CTACTATAGTTAAGGTCTAATACACTAAAATAATATTAGTGCTAATATAGGATATAAAGATAGGTAATTGATTAAGGTAACTATTCTATAAGTACTTATAAAAATAGGTAGGTTATCTAAAGGAAGTTAGTTTTAGAGAATTAGTCTATAAAGTAAGATACTTAGGAAAAGGCTATTTTAGGTAACGTCTTATAGAGTAAATATAGAGAGTAATATATAAAGAGAAACGAGTAATTAAGTGACAACTAAGGTTAGACGCTATAGTAGAAGAAATTATAGATTACCTAAAATACTATATATTAATTAGTTATATATATATATAGTAGTGCGGTTATCTATAGTTATCTTACTATTAACCGCTTAAGACCACTAAAACTTATAAGGTAACTATATAAAAACTATAAATAACTATAAAGTAATCGCTAAAGGCTATATAATTATTTATTTAGATAGTGAATTCTTTATTATTTTATATAGGAACTTATTTTCTAAATTTATCTACATAATTAGATATCTTAACTACGTATTTTAGTGTTATAATAGGATTATAATCTACGTAATAAAGTTAAGTCTTATAAGTAAGTTTTATAGGAAGGTGCACTAACTAATATATATAAAAATATATATTTCTTAAGATTAGACATTAATATAACCTATAGGTTAGGTCTAGCTGCCTATAGATGGGTTGACCTATGGGTTGCTAAGAAACCTATAATACTAGAATATATAATTTATATAATTTATGTAGTATTTTATATATTCGAGTGGTAAGGTTTAGATAAAATATTATTAGATTAAATTAGGAAGTAAAGATAAAGTGAATAAAGAGTGAAAATTAATTAAATACTAAACTATTTACTAAGTTCAAACCCTTTATATATCTAAGGCGCTTTCCTTACCCTTCTAGAATGCTATATCTAGCTTATTAAGGGTAAACCACTCTTATTATTATTACTTTGCTTACTTTTATAATTAGATAAAATACTCTTTTATCTCTTCCCTACCCTTATAGATATCCTTACTTTATCCTCGCCTTCCTTAGTATCACTAATTAGATTAATCCCTTCTAATATAGGTAATATCTTCTTATTTTCACCTTCTTCAGGAATCTCTAGAGCCTAAGCTAGTTTAAGCTATTCGTCTTCTATCTTAAACTAAATAAGGTAAGAGAATATTATTAAATCCTAGATAGTAGTTAAGTTTAGACGACCTCTATAATAATAATAAATATTATAGGCTAAATTAAATAGCCTCTCTATACCTATACTAGTAGTAGGGATAGAGAAAATATTATAGGCTATCTATATAAAGATAGGGTATTCTACTTAATAGTCCCTCTAGAAGGCCTAAGGGGTAGTACGTATAATACCTAGAGAGAAAGAGAAGTAAGAAAAAAGGGTAAAGAGGGTTAATAATAAGTAAGGAAGCCTTAAATCAAGAGTCAAGTAGACTTAGGGAAGGAGTTAAGTAGACTTAGGGAAGGAGTTAAGTAGACTTAGGGAAGGAGTTAAGTAGACTTAGGGAAGGAGTTAAGTAGACTTAGGGAAGGAGTTAAGTAGACTTAGGGAAGGAGTTAAGTAGACTTAGGGAAGGAGTTAAGTAGACTTAGGGAAGGAATTAAGTAGACTTAGGGAAGGAGTTAAGTAGACTTAGGGAAGGAGTTAAGTAGACTTAGGGAAGGAGTTAAGTAGACTTAGGGAAGGAGTTAAGTAGACTTAGGGGAGTAGTTAATTAGACTTAGGGGAGTAGTCGCTTAGACTTAAGAATATAAGGGATTAAGCTTAAAAGAGGAGTCGACCTAACTAAAAAGAGGAGTTAGTCTAACTTAAAAGAGGAGTCGAGCTAACTTAAAAGGGGAGTAAAGGAGACTTAAATTAAAAGGCTTACTAGCTTAAAGATACTATATAAGTTTATCCTAATCTAGGATAGATTCACCTTTATCTTTAAGTAACTAATTAAGCTCTAACCTATATATATAAGCTGTCGGGATTGGTAGTATATAATAATAAGAGAGATAAATAAATGCCTGCGGGTCCCTATGCGGCAGGGCTGTCTTCAGGACAAATATTTGTAGAGAGAAATACTACCTCCCGTAGAGGTTAGCTACTACTGCGGCGTAGTGGCTTACCCCTGGAAGATGAATAAAGATAAAGATAAAGGGTCTCTTTGGTCTGCCTTTAGGAGAGAAAGGTAGTAAGAGAATAATTCAGATGAAAGCTCTTGTTTTATTCAGTCTGGTTTCTAGGCCATATTTATAGACAGAAAATATTCAGTTCATCTAGCTAATTACCCAAGGTAAGCGTAGGCTGTTTGCCCGAGGTAATCTTGCCGTAAACGTGCTGTTGCCCGAGGTAGGTAAACGTGCTGTTACCCGCGGCTATAGACAGGATAGGCCTAATAACCTCGGTTTGGTAGGCTGACGTAGATAAAAAGCATAGTAAAGGCCGAAGTGAGGGGAAAGTGAGAGATAAATGAGAGATAATTGGAAGATCAGATGAAAGCGGTGAGAGATGGCAGAACGGGAACATCAACTGGAACTTTCCATGTTGAATTGGAAGCTCTGGAAATCTACATGAATTAATGCATGCACCTAAAATCCTGACATAAGCTTTAGATAGAAAGGTATAATCCTCTTCGCATTAATAAGCTTTAATCTAATCTTAAAGGGTGCTATAGTAGTATTTAGCCTATATTTAACCTAGCTTAGAGTCCTCTAGGCCACTAGACTATTCCTTATATTTAAAGTATTATAACTTATCCTTTAGTATAAGGATAGTGCTATATATATATATATATTACTAGCCTTAGGCTAATCAGTCTCTATATAGTACTTATAGAGCTTCTATAGGCCTACTTTAAGAGGGATAAGTATCTATTACTTTTATTTAATCTATTATTTATTAGAATAAAAGTAAGGGAAAAGTAAGAGGGAAGTAAGAGCGTACCTTCTTTTTTTTAAGCTAATTAATTAACGCCTTAAGATATTTAAATAGCTTATTATAAAGCTTAAATACCTAGTGGATAGTTATATCTTTTATCTTTAAGAATATACTTATATATAGAAAGAATAGTATCGGGTTTGGTAGTATATGAAAATAAGAGAGATAAATAAATGCCTAAGGGTCCCTAGGGTCCCTATGCGGCAGGGCAGTCCTTAGGACAAATATTTGTAGAGAGAAATACTACCTCCCGTAGAGGTCAGTTATTACTGCAGCGTAGTAGCTTACCCCTGGAAGATGAATAAAGATAAAGATAATAAGAGAGAATCTCTCTGGTCTGCCCTAATAGAGAGGAAGGGTAGTGAGAGGAGAATTGAGATGAAAGCTCTTATTTTATTTAGTCTGGTTTCTAGGCTATATTTATAGATAGAAATATTCAGTTCATCTGGCTAATTACCTAAGGTAATATTCGCCCGAGGTAATCTTGCCGTAAACGTGCTATTGCCCGAGGTAGGTAAACGTGCTGTTACCCGCGGCTATAGACAGGATAGGCCTAATAACCTCGGTCCGGTAGGCAAATGGAAAGAGAAAGCATAGTAAAGGCTGAAGTGAGAGCAAAGTGAGAGATAAATGAGAGAGAACTGCAAGATCAGATAAAGGCGGTGAGAAATGGCAGAACGGGAATTTCAGCGGGAACTTCTATGTTGAATTGGAAGCTCTAGAAATCTGCAGTTATAAATGCAGACACCTAAAATCCTGACACGTATTAACGTAAGAAACGAGTTTTTAGCTCTAGCTATCTTTTAATATAGTTTATAACCTAGTTTTCGCTGACTATCTAGATTAGGGTTAAATCGCGCTTTATAAGTAAAAGATTCGCTATTTCTTGTACTATAGCTAGCCTAGGGGCTACTCTACGCGTATCTATTAATAATATCCACTTCTTAAGCGATTCCTCTTTAGTTTAGGTCAGTTTATAGTTATTAGCGCGTCTTTTAGAGCGATTTTAGTGGCTATTAATGCGGTCGGCTAGCGTAGAACGTAGGAACGTTAAATTAGCGCGCTACGTCTCGAATAGAGCTAATTTCTTTCTTTTTTATAGCCTATATAGCTAACAAAAGACGGCCCTCTTGTTCGATGGAATTACGGCTTAATTAAGCGCGTTTTGGAGGCATAGTGGTTAGTAGAAAATAGGAGAGACGCGTTAGGACGCGTAAATTTAGTTAGGTGGCCGGGTGGCTTGTGTGGCCGGGTGGCTTGTGAATTACGTTAATTAAGATAAATTAGCTAAATTATACACACTAAGACCAAGATTTTATATAAATTTAGGTCAAGATAGGTTATTTATGGGGTTTTAAATCTAAATTTATAACCCACTAGGTTAGGTTCGGGTTACAACTTACAACCCAAACCCGCTACAGGTTCTGGTGCGGGTTATGGCGCAGTCTAGGAGGGTCCAGATCTTGGACCCTCCTGCCAGGTCTACAAACTAACCCTATCTTTAACCCAAAACAACACAATCATATAGCTAGGTGCATATAAACACGGTTTCTTTTAAGTTTCTTCCACTTCGTTCCGGTAAGAAATGTATTAAGCAGTAGTCTTTATTCAGAAAATAAACTTGTCACTTGTATCAACATTTGGTTGATCATGAACTAACTCTCTGGCCAGCAGGCATGGTGGTCGTATGGATGCCTTCAGCATTTCTGCCCGGGCCGTATACCCCTCTCCCTGGGGTTTCCGACAAGCTGTTGCGCCAATTTACATAGACGCAGACCCAGTGGTATCGTCAGATCGTCTTCGACCTATTTTTTCAACATCAAAGGGGCGTCATTTAGAAAACGCAAAATCTGAGGAACGTTGGAAGTCTGTATTGAATTGAATACTAGCTTCCAGTGTAGAAACTTGCCGCAATCTCAATAAGAAGCGCACTCAAGTTTCTAATATCGTCTAAAGCTCGTCACCACGTATGTCACGAGCGAAACGAAATTTGGTGCTGGCTAGGAATCCGTACCAAATAATCCAAATAGTATCTATTCCTAGTAGCGAAGATTGAAACTATTACCCACCCATTATGTCCTCATCCATATCAAGCCCGAAATCGTCACCCACTCCTTGATTTACCTCGGAGGCAGTTGTCCATGCTTGACCCTTGGATGAAGCGTCCACAAATTCATCACTCAATGCCATGGCGCGATTAGTCTCCTCAAGACTGCCCATAAGCGCAGTCATCAACTGTCCCTCTTTTCGGAAGCGAACCTGCATATGGCTTTCATGGGACACCTGGGAAAAGAAAGGTTTACCCGAAAGTCGCAGCATTGTATCACTCGTATGAGAGGGAGAATGCACCAATGTGGCATTCATAGCACCGGACATTATGAGGGGCGCAATCACTGACTCGGTGGCTATGGGATCCGCTGGCAAATGCGGCACCTGCTCTAGGACTTCGGCCACAGTCAAAGCGGCAAATGTTTTCCGCAGTCTGACGAGGGCATGCGCCGAAAAAGTATTCACGACCTGAGAGACCAGGCCCATATTGCGGTCCTAGAAAAGCCGTCAGCAATACGGCAGAACACAGGAGTAAGAATTGTGGCTGACCATGATCCAAATGTCTCGAGCAGCATCTACTTCTGCCACGAGTGTTTGCATCTCACCACGCTCAAAGGCTTGAGCAAGGCTAACGTAGGGCTTAGCAATTGACTGGTATAGCTTGACCAGGTGAGAAGGAGTGTTGTTGGGAGGTGAAGATAGCTGACAGAAAGTGAAAATGTTAGTATAAAATAGAGTGACGGGAGCGTATCCTAAATGATGATGTTTTTCTACTTACCTTGCCATTCGCAAGCAATCCCACCAAGACCCATTTCTTGTAGGCCTCTACCATGACCATACTAATTGAACCGACTGTTGGCATCGAGATCACAACACCCAGAAAATGAAAAGCCTTCCGCCACTCTTTTAGCGCCATGTAGATCATTCCACCGTAAAGAAAATATAGCAGATAGTCCTTGTATGTCAGCGTAGCCGATAGCGCAGAGGAATCAGTAATAAATGAGAGACCCGATTCGTGTTTTGCACAGAGAGCCAAAGAAGATTTCGAAGAGGCACGGCTAGATGGAGCAGGGAAATGGCAGACGTGTTTGTCCAAAACCGGTAGTGCACAAGCATATGCCTTGGCCCGCAAACAAAGCTGGACGAACAGGAGGTGAGTGGACGTGAAAACAGCACACGACGGGTCAAGTCGAAGTATTGCTTCCCTAATTGGGCGAGTAGCTAGCAAAGGCTTTGGCAAGTCAGTCTTATGAGGAAGGAAAAAAAGAGGGCAGAGGAGAGGGGCAGGGCCATGCCTTCGAGGCAGCCTCCGAGGCTTGCCCAACATATTCAATTAGTTGGCGAAACTCCTGGCCAGCATATCTGATTTGAACCGGATTGAAGGTCTCCAGATAGCGCACAGCTTTCGACCATAGTCTTCCCCGGGGGTAGTAAATCCCGAGGCAATGTTCCATGGGACGTTTCCTGGAGGGTTTGGATTTGCAGACGGAGAAGAAAGAGATAGACGATAGAATCCCGTCTTGGATCAAAGTTCTATCATGAGGCTACTGTAAGCTGCAAATGATGACCAAGACCAAGGAAAAAGCGGCTTACATCCAGCACCGACTCATCGCGAGAAATAGAGCTGAGAGCCTTGGTTGAGAGCAAATTTCTGCAGTATGCAACGTGATCGCGTATTTGACAGTCGTGGCTTTCATCCGTTAAACCGGTGGTGTTATGCAATTTCGTAGAAGCGGTAACAAGAGCTGGAATCGCGGCCATGTTGACGACGGGTAAGGTACACCGAAACCACCACCCGCAGAGGAGGATCTCAGAGAGGTAGTGTGTAGCCAGAGATTATCAAGACACAGAGTAGTGTAAGGACGGAAAATCGAGCCGAAAGCCGAAGGCCGATTGAAGGGGTATGTTTAGTGGGAGGAGAGGTGGACGTGGAGGTATCAGTGAGTTGTAGATCGCAAGTGAAGCTCTCCAAGGCGGAGAAGGGAAAGACGGGCCCCGCCGCGCTTCTTTGCGGCCTGAGTCATCCGAAGTTCCCTGCCGATGTAGGAGCTTTCGCTTTCTCTTTTTCTCTCCTTCTCTCGTTTTCTATTTCCACCGGATCAACAACAATGTCGCTAACCGAATCGGCTGCAGTCGACGTCGCTCGTAGCGCATCGCTTGCTTCTCGTCGCCTCGCAACGCTACCTAATGCCGCCCGAAACGAAGCTTTAACGGCCCTCCACCAAGCTCTGAATAAGAACAGAGCCACTATACTTGCTGCCAATGCTAAGGATGTGGAAGCCGCTACCCGCGATGCCAATAGTGGCAATCTGAACCATAGTGTACTCAAAAGACTCGATCTGTCTCGACCTGGCAAGTATGACGATATGCTCGAAGGGATCTTGAGTGTGCGGGACTTGGATGATCCTAGTAAGCATTACGATTCTGTTTGATGGAAACTAAGCTAACTCACGGTGGGGGATAAGTCGGCAAAGTGACATTACGCACCCTCTTGGACGAAGGACTGAGCCTGGAGAGAATCAGTTGCCCGATTGGGGTCTTGTTGATTATTTTCGAGGCCCGCCCGGAGGTAATCGCCAATATTGCGGCTCTGGCAATTAAGTCTGGAAACGCTGCCATCTTGAAAGGTATGGCTTCTTACCTTCCATAATCGTCTAATTTGAGAACCCTCCCAGTGCTGACAGAAACAGGCGGAAAGGAATCGATGGAATCATTCGTGGCCATTGCAAATGTTGTTTCTGAAGCCATTGCTGGCAGTCAAGTACCAGTTTCATCGATCCAGCTTGTCAAGACGAGGGATGTCGTCTCTTCTCTCTTGGCTCAGGACTCCTTCATTGACCTAGTCATTCCCCGAGGATCTAACGATCTCGTTCGCTATGTGAAGGAGAATACAAAGATTCCCGTGCTCGGACACGCCGATGGCCTATGCTCTGCCTACATACACTCGGACGCAAATATCAGTACGGCCGTGAAAGTAATCGTGGATTCGAAAACAGATTACCCTGCGGCCTGTAACTCACTCGAATCTCTACTGGTTCATGAGGATATCCTTGGATCCGTTCTCCCCGCAGTCGCTGCAGCTCTCATTGACAAGGGTGTGTCGCTTCGTTGCGATGAGGCTTCTATGGCTGCGTTAGCAAAGACACTATCCAGTGAACAACTCTCTCGAGTACAGCCATCGACGGAGATCGATTATGACACAGAGTTTCTGGACCTGGTGTTAGCAGTGAAAACCGTCCCATCAACGAATGATCCTGCATCGGCGGTGGAGGCAGCCATGGCTCATATCAACGTGCACTCATCCAAACATACCGACATCATCTTGACGGAATCACAAGAGTTGGCGACTTCGTTTATGAATGGCATTGACAGCGCAGGGGTGTTCTGGAATGCATCCAGCAGGTTTGCCGATGGCATGAGGTACGGATTTGGTACGGAAGTGGGCATCAGCACCAACAAAATCCATTCTCGTGGTCCAGTTGGACTGGAAGGGTTGACTATCTACAAATACTTGATCCGGGGGAATGGCCACGGCGCGGGGGATTACCACGACGGTCAAGGGGGAAGGCAATATCTTCATACCAGCTTGCCTACTGGCGAGTAGCTGCCACATCAGAGGAAAGGAAACGGTAATAAGTCTAGAATCCAAACGAGATTTTTTTTTGAAACATTTCGCAGTCGTAAGAAAAGATGAGGACTAAGCCCGGATGCATTTTTCTTTTGCACGCCTCCCTTCATTCATAAAATCTGAATCTCCCAGCCCAACCAAAGACATCCCGTCACTTTAGGTACATCGAATAGAGGCCTCTAGCCAGACTCGGCGAGATAGACACCCGGGCAATTCAGTGCGAGCGACCCACGATGCATTCGCACTGCCAGACTGACGCCTGTACCACCATCCTCACAAGGTCACTTAGACCTTGAAACCCTTGGAGCGTCTCCGGCCACGAGCCCGCTCGAACTTCCGGCCCTTGCTAGCGACGTAGGGCTTCTGTTTAAATTGCATATAGGTTAGCGCAGTCCCTTTGAATTCCAACCCACAATCATTCAATCATGTGGAACGTACCTTGTGAGAGTGAGGACCGAAGCCGAAGTGCTTCACAGCCTCACGGGCGTTCTTGGGGCCGCGGAGGAGGAGGGTGTTGGCACCGGTGGGGGCACGGAGGGCAAGCTGGTCCAGAGTGAGGATCTCACCACCGGCCTTCTCAATGCGAGCGCGAGCAGTGGCGGTGACGCGCAGAGCAGCGACCGAGAGCTTAGGGATGGTCAGGAGGCGGTTGTCATCGGTGACGGTACCGATCACAACGACGGTCTTGCCCTTGTGCGCCTCGTTGATGTTCGAGGCAATACGGGAAATCGAAACCGGGGGACGGTTGATGCGCGACATGAAGAGACGGCGGAGAACAGCCTTGTTGAAGTTGGAATCCGTGCGGCCTGTCAGGAATCCCTAATTAGCTTTTTTTTGCCTCCAAAATGTGCCATTGCAAATGAAAATCGAGGAAGGGGTTCTCATACGAGCCAGGAAGCGGTAAAGCTTCACGAGCACCTGCAAGTAGACGTTGTCGCTCTTGGGAGCCTTGCGGTGCGTGCTGCGCACATGGTGACGGTCCAAGTCGATACCTGAAAATTCGAACGTGATCAGCCTCGAAGAATGGAAGGTGGGAACGGAATTTGGGGTCTGTATGCTCTAACGAAGACCATGGAGGAAGTGGGAATGAACATACCCATGGCTGCTGATATGGATTGAACACCTGGGAGTTGGCTTGCTGTCGCGAAAGTGCAGGAGGTTTTTGGTCTAGGACTTTCGGCTGCGCGGGTGTGTGTGGGTTGAGCCCTACGCTAGTCTCGATTTGGAAGAGGCGAGTCACATGACACGCACCCGTTCCGAGAGTGGATGCGTTACATAATCTACATTAGGGCCTTGCGACTGTGGAGGATTCACTTGTGAAGGTGGTCTTGGATTCTTCCGTGGGGCGAAGGTGCCTTCGGGCCGTCCTAAGATTACCCGATGAAGAACTTCGGAAGGGAACGTATTTGCATCGCCACGTGACCTGTGGCCCGTCACGGTTACTAGAATAGTGCACTTATTGAGGCCGAATCAGAATTGCGTTTCTTTTTGAATTTCCGCTTGCTTTGGGGTTGACTATATACAAATCACCTGACAAAAGTCTAATGATCAAGAGGGGCGGCAGGTCTAGGTATATTGCAACTAATCTCTATCACCCATGCTGACGAGGAAGTCCCGTGTCAGCTCGAAGCTGAACCAGCTGCTGGCCATGCTGGGGGCAACCTTCAGGAGATTGGGTCCGATTCCCTTGAAGAGCCCTCGCAGCCCTTCCTCAGCCACGATCATTCGCACAGCATCCCAGATCGAGGAATATTTGTATCCCATCCCGGACATGGTGTTGATTTGGAAGCGTCGCCGCAGCACATCACTAGACAGAAAAGTTAGCCTTACAATGTAAGCATTATGCAGAAAATATGGGAAGCTCACAAGGGATATGTGCATGTTTGGGCCACTGCACCGGAGATAGCCCCTGCCAACAATCTTCGAGATGGACTGGGGTTCTTCTCTCCGTCCGGAGTAAGATACTTGCGCACCGACTCATATGTCATAAAGTTCAGTCCGACCTGCGTACTGCGTCAGCCCCGGCACACCGATTCGATATGATTGGACGAGATGAAAACTCACGTAAGGAGCCACCCCAGCGACGGTGGGGACGATTCCACGATAGAGGGCAATCATGCCGCCTTCCGTCTTGTATATCCTGACCATCGTGGTGAACATGCCGGGCAGCTTTTGGTTTTGGTCTCGCTGACCTAGCTCGGCAAATGAAGCGGACTGGATCGAAAGTCGCGTACGAACGATATCCAACGGGTACGTGACGGTAACCGAAGTAATGCCCGCGATTCCACCGCAAATCAGGCGACTCATAGGGGTCATTTCACCTTCAGGTGATTCGGCAAACTTGTACGAGACTGGTCAGTGTCGAGGCCCAGCTCCCGAGGGCTGAGAGGACAGAACCACTTACTTTCTTGTAGAAGTTGTAACTTCCAAACTGCACGGCAGAGTAAGGGATGATGCGAATACAATTGGTGCCGTTACCCCGCAAAAAGCCTCGCCAGCCTTCCTCACGTCCCATTTTTACGAGGGCCTTCCAGATCGACGACTTGTAGGCTTCTCGACCGACGGTTTGGACCTGAAGCAGGATCTTCAAACGTTCCAGTGGTGACACAATAGTCCTAGAAACTGCACCGGCTACTCCACCGGCCATGAATGCGGCCACGACTGGTTCGGCAAGCCTGTTCTTCGTCCGGTGCAAGAATGACGGCGGTTCGCGGACGGAGACCTGGATATATATGGTCAGCCTTTACCATTTCACTTCCCAGGGGTCTTGCATCCCACCTACCTCAACCGGGCTGGAAGAAGAGGGCAACTGCAGACCCTGCAATGCAGGCTTCGCGGTACTTTCCAGCTCTTTCTTCTGAGACCCATCCTGACGATCGAGACTCATCGTGACGTTAGGCACATCCGAGTCTGTTCGAGTAGATGTAGAATATGCACCGGTGACGGGATGCTGTCACACACCACCTGTAGTTGTTGCGATCTAAAGAAGGAGAGAAGGACGAAAGTCGGATGAATGGGCAGACAAATAGGATCGGCGACGCGACGGAAGGATGAAAGCACAGATAATCAGTATTTGCGAAGCGCTGGCCATGAAGGTTGTCCGTTGTCTCTTGCCGGCGTTCTAAAGGTCCATAATTGGTACCACAGACCCAGCTGTTTCGGTTCGAATGTTCACGTCGCGGCAAGATTGGGGCGACGAAGCCCGGGTCAGAAGGGAAAAACGAAGGGGGTGTGATATCAAGTTGTCAAAATGAATTGCCGTGGCTTTCCTCTACGAAACTTGCGAATGATAGATGAGCAAGAGAGGAGGAAGAGTTAGCAGCAGGGAGAGAAAAAAGAAAGGGCCTGGGCGTAGATTGAGGTGCAGCGAGGAAGAGGAGGAGGAAGTGCAAAACATCATCCCGATTACCGACGAGTCTCTACGCGGTACCTCCCGATGGGGACAGCGCCACCTCCTGATACTATGATCTATAGAAACTATTTAATATGGGACCTGGAAGGCATTGATAACTATTCCGCAGCCTCTTTCTCCTGCCCATTCTGGTGTTAACCGGGTTCCATAAGAGGTACACGCCGTGCTCAGCTCAGCTGGTCGCTTTCATCATTGGCGTCTGTGGTTGCTGCGCGCCGCCGTAGCCACATCCTCGCCTTTTCCCCCTTCGTTCTTTCCTTTCTTCCAACTTTTCTTCACCCCCCCCCTCTCTTTATCCTGGTTTGTTACGACCCTTCATGTCTCGATCAGGAACCACTCTCTATGTCACTGGCTTCGGCCATGGCACCCGCGCTCGCGACCTTGCCTACGAATTCGAACGGTACGTGCCGCCTACACCTCCCGCCCTGCTGAACCCACGGTTCTCGACCCCCCTCTATCCATCCCTCCGGGCGCCGACGATGATCTCCCCCATGTGAACTATTGAATCGGGTCGATGCTGGCAATGGGGTAATCTCCCTTTTGACCACGAGCACCTGGGAAAAGAGACAAAATGCGGCTCTTGGTCATTGGATATCTGTCATTACAACCTTCAACATCTCCATGCTCGACCGTAGGAGTGCTGACCCGTGAATAGCTACGGCCGTCTGGTTCGTTGTGACATTCCAGCGCCGCGTACTCAATCGAGTCGTCTGTATGTTTCCGTTGACGATAGCTTCAGTATCTACTTCTGACAATCGCTAGGTTCGCCTTTGTCGAATATGAGAGCCGCCGGGACGCGGATGACGCCTACCATGAGATGCATAACAAGCGCATCGGACGGGACGATCTACTGAAAATTGAAGTAAGCTCTCTTGAAACACCATCCCAAGGATATATCTCATTTTTGTCCCTAGTGGGCTCGTACTCCGCCTTCCGCGTCGTGGCGATTCGATTCCGGTCGTGAATCTGGTCGTGAATCTGGCCGTGACCGCCGCCGTTCACCTCGCCGTGGTCGCTCCGTCTCGCCGCGCCGCCCTCGTGACTACTCTCCCCGACGGGACGATCGGTACGAGCGGGACTACGAACGTCGCGACGACCGAGACTACGAACGCCGGGACCGCGACCATGATCGTCGTGACCGGGACCATGACCGCCGAGACCGGGACCGCGAGCGCTCCCGTGACCGTTCCCGCACTCCTGACGACCGGGATCGTGATGCTAAGGATGATCGGGAAAGACGCGATGACGACCGTGAGAGACGCGACGACGATCGCGAGCGCCGTGACGATGAGCGTGAGAATATCACGAACGGCGAAGACAGGAAAGGTATGTGATCTTTTCAGGTGATTGGCCAGAGACTCGTGCTTACAGCGAACAGTACCCCTGGACCCTGTGCCCTCTGCTCATGACGAGCTTGATACTGCTGAGTAGATCAACTCCAGTGCAATGTCCAGTCGAGCCGTGTCCTTGCCCATCCCAAAAAAAACCTCGCCGACCGATCCGCATTCCACACGAGGTGCCGTTGTCTACGGCTCTCTGAAAAAGGACACCTCCCAAGGCTTTGCCACGCACATCGTGGAATTTCCCTATGCTTCTTTGATTTCAAACTGTCGAGACTTGATCTTGCAACTGTTTCTAGCCGGGGTTTCAGTGATCCTGTTTACCCCCCTTGTTTGAGGAGTTTTCTATCTGTGGGTTTTGGTATTTATCATGGTCAGCAGCTCGGATACCATCGAAACATACGTCGAGCGAACGTGTTCTCTAGTCCTCGCCCGTCTCTCGTCTCATCTCGTCCTTGCGTTTCCACCATGAATACCGCCCGCCTACCGTCTTATTCGCAGATTTAATATGAAAGCGGTTCTCCATATTCCATGCCCTCCACCCTCCACCCTCCACCTACACCTACACCTACACCTACACCTACACCCCCGCCCTGTACGACCGGTCGGATTTCCGAGGATCCTTTGTCCTTTCTCGAATCATTTCGTAGACTCGTATGCTCCGGGAGCGCCACGGGTTTTGAGGCCGAAGGTCGACAACACCGGCCTCTTGTTTTCATTGACGATGCAACAGACGTCTCCCCGCAGGGGGAATCCAGTAGACGGACGCAGGGTAATGGGCTCTCGAAATCCGCTAGTGTAACTTTTGATTCGATTACGATTATTCCTATGCATATTACTGTTTTCTCACTCGAACCGGACGGATGACGTAGAGCGCCCGCGTGCGGGGAACCAGGGCCCGGTTGGTCTCGTTATCTTCCCTCTCCGTACGAAGTATCGGATGCCTATCAAAGCACTATGGAGCCATCCAACGCAAAAGGAATTAGCATTGCCATTGACGTACGAGCATGGCCGTCTCCCCCAAGGTTTCGTGGCGCTGACAGGTAACTCTAGAGAGGCGGCACCTTCACTGACTGCGTGGGGAACCCCGGAACCGGGCGATTGGAAGATGACATCGTGATCAAGCTTCTATCAGAAGATCCTTCTAACTATCAAGATGCCCCTCTTGAAGGTATTCGTCGAATTCTCTCGAAGTTTACGGGGCGAGAGATCCCTCGAGGAGATCCGATCGATACCTCGCTGATCCAGAGCATCCGCATGGGCACCACCGTTGCGACGAACGCTCTGCTCGAGCGCAAAGGGGAGAAGATTGCACTGGTGGTCAGCAAGGGTTTCCGCGACTGCCTACGGATTGGGAATCAGTCGCGACCCCGAATTTTTGATCTGGCGATCAAGCGTCCAGACGTACTGTATGAGGAGGTGATCGAAGTGGATGAACGAGTTACTCTGGAGGATTATGCAGAAGATCCGCAACGTCACATTACCACGGTCACCCATGCGCAGGTCTCTGCAGATGCTGAGATTGTTCGTGGTCTTTCTTCAGAAGCAGTTCGTATCCTAAGGCGCCCGTCAGAGAGCGTGGTGAGGTCACAGTTGCAAAAAGTTTTCAACAAGGGAATTCGAAGCATAGCGGTATGTCTTATGCACGGGTACACCTTTCCCGATCACGAGGCTTTGATCGGACGACTTGCGACTGAAATCGGCTTCCACCACGTCAGCCTGAGTCACCAGCTCATGCCAATGATTAAGCTTGTGCCTCGAGCAACTTCGGCCTGTGCCGATGCATATCTGACCCCAACTATCAAGAAGTACCTTTCTGGCTTCCAGGCTGGATTCGAGGGCGGCCTTGGAAGCGAAAGTGTCAAGCGACAGGAAGGTGCTCGGGGTGCCCGCTGTGAATTCATGCAATCTGACGGAGGCTTGGTCGACGTGGACTCATTCTCGGGCCTGCGAGCGATCCTGTCCGGCCCTGCCGGCGGAGTCGTTGGCTACGCCCTTACCTCCTATGATCCTGTGTCCCAAATCCCCATCATCGGATTTGACATGGGTGGAACTAGCACCGATGTCAGCAGGTATGGCTCTGGCCGTTACGAGCATGTCTTCGAGACCACTACGGCCGGGGTGACTATCCAGTCACCCCAGCTGGATATCAACACCGTAGCAGCCGGAGGTGGTTCCAGGCTTTTCTACCGCAATGGGCTCTTTGTTGTTGGTCCAGAGTCAGCCGGTGCACACCCCGGACCAGCGTGCTATCGCAAGAATGGCCCCCTCACCGTGACGGATGCCAATCTCTTCCTCGGTAGAATTGTTCCCGATTTCTTTCCCAAGATATTTGGCCCGAATGAAGACCAGGGCTTAGATGAACAGGCAAGCCGGAGGTTATTTGAGGAGCTGACACAAGAAATCAATGAGGATATGGCTAAAGGTGAACAAAGTAAGAAGATGACTCCGGACGAAGTGGCGTTTGGCTTTATCAAGGTTGCCAACGAGACGATGACTCGACCCATACGGTCTTTAACCGAGGCCAAGGGTCACGACACTTCGAAGCACAGGCTTGCTACGTTCGGAGGTGCTGGCGGACAGCATGCTGTGGCCATCGCCGAGAATCTGGGTATTCGTCAGATCCTGATTCACAGGTATTCATCCGTGCTTTCTGCATATGGAATGGCTCTGGCCGATGTGGTCGATGAAAACCAGGAGCCAGAATCAAAGACCTGGGGCGATCATCAAGAGGTGCGACAGGAGCTTGCGGAGAAGATGGAGCAACTGAAGCAGAGATCGACGAGAAGGCTGCGTGAGCAGGACTTTGACGACGGGTCGATCGTCTTCGAAGAGTACTTGAACATGCGATACCGCGGCACGGAATCCGCTCTAATGATCTTGAAACCTAGCAAGGAAGAAGCCGATCGCCTCTTCGACGGTGACGACTGGGCGTTTGGTAAATGCTTTGTTCAAAATCATGAGCAAGAGTTTGGCTTCACCCTCCCGGACCGCGACATCATCGTGGACGATGTGCGCGTCAGAGGTATTGGGAAGAGCTCCAAGGTATCCGAGAAGACGGTTGACCAACAACTCCAAGACGCGAAGCCTAGGGACGTGACATGTGGCGAGTATCGAATGTCTCACGTGTACTTCGAAGGAGGCCGGCAAGACACGCCCATCTACAAACTCGACGACCTGCTGGTCAATGATCGAGTGAAGGGGCCGGCCATTCTAGCCGATAACACCCAAACCATCGTGGTGACCCCGGGAGCCTCGGCGCTTTTGACGAAGACTCACGTCGTGATCAGCGTGGGTGATTCGGACGCCGATCTTCCTCAGGTTAGTACGGATACGGTAGACCCTATCTTACTGAGTGTTTTTTCTCATCGGTTCATGGCCATTGCGGAGCAAATGGGACGTGCGCTCCAGAAGACGAGTGTGAGCACAAACGTTAAAGAGCGTCTTGACTACTCGTGCGCGCTTTTCGACGCGCAAGGCGGGCTCGTTGCCAATGCTCCTCATTTACCGGTCCATTTGGGCAGCATGTCCACCTGTGTCCGAATGCAGGCTCAGATCTGGCGAGGCAAATTGCATCCTGGCGATGTCATCGTTTCCAACCACCCAGAGTTTGGAGGTACTCATCTCCCTGATATCACGGTGCTTCAGCCTGCTTTCAGTCAGGGAAAGATCATATTCTATGTGGCCTCCCGGGCACATCATGGTAAGTGGAACCTGGTTCACCATCGGAATAACTGTTCAGTCTGACTCGTTCCAAGCCGACATCGGCGGTATTCTGCCCGGCTCTATGCCGCCCCATTCAAAGGAACTCTACCAGGAAGGCGCAGCGATCAAGAGCGAAAAATTGGTATCGGAAGGCAAGTTCAACGAGCAACGTATTACAGAGCTGCTCTACCACGAGCCTGCCCGATATCCCAATTGTAGTGGGACTCGCTGTCTCGCAGATAACCTGAACGATCTCAAAGCCCAAATCGCCGCCAATACGAAGGGAATCAAGTTGATCGGGACCTTGATCGAGGAATATAGCGAAGAGGTGGTTCTGTTCTATATGCGCCAAATTCAAGACAATGCCGAGCTCAGTGTGCGTAATCTGCTGAAGGAGGTCAGCGCGAAATTCGCGGGCCGTGACTTGAGCGCCATGGACCACATGGATGACGGGACACCTATCCAACTGAAGATCTCGATTGATGCAGAGAAGGGTGAGGCAGTCTTTGACTTTGATGGGACAGGCCCGGAGGTATATGGTAAGCTCCTAGAGAGATACGAAGTGATGGTCGAGTCCTTTGCTGACGATGAGTCTAGGTAATTTCAATGCCCCAGAGGCTGTCACGTATTCCGCAATTATATATTGTCTGCGGTGTCTCATTTCTGCAGACATCCCGCTGAACCAGGGTTGTTTGAAGCCAATTGATGTCAGGATTCCACCCAGGAGTCTCCTTTCCCCGTCCGAATCCGCGGCGGTTGTGGGAGGCAATGTATTGACGGTGAGATGAACCCTTTCGATTGTTTCCGTTTTTCGTATCCCAGGTTACTGACTTTGACTCCCCCTCCTCGGGGATGGCCAGAGCCAACGCGTAACCGATGTCATTTTGAAATGCTTCCAGGCCTGCGCTGCCTCTCAGGGTGATACTAACAATTTGACATTCGGGTTTGGTGGCAATATGCAAGGCGAGACCGAAACGAAAGGCTTCGGATACTATGAAACCATCGCTGGCGGGAGCGGTGCGGGACCGGACTGGGAAGGCACTTCGGGGGTGCATACACATATGACCAACACCCGTATCACCGATGCTGAGGTTTTCGAAAGACGATACCCGGTGTTGCTCCGGGAGTTCAGCATTCGAGCAAACTCCGGCGGCAACGGGCAGCACCGCGGTGGTGATGGGGTCATCCGGGACATTGAATTCCGCGTTCCAGTGCAGGTGTCCATTCTCTCGGAGCGTCGAGTCTACCACCCCTACGGCTTGGACGGGGGTGAGGACGCTCAATGCGGCCAGAACCTCTGGGTCCGCCGTGTCCAAAAGGCCAACGACGACTGGGAGGAAAGATATATCAGTCTGGGTGGGAAAAACTCCGCCCAGATGCAATCAGGCGAGAGGATCATCATCCGAACCCCCGGTGGCGGCGGATGGGGACGAGCTGGAGATCAACAACAGCTTCTGCGCGCGCAGGACGCTCGTCATAGCTGGCGAGGGGGCTCCATTGCTACCCACACGGCGACCCAAGAAGCAAGCATGTAAGATGTAGATTTAGATCATCATGAAAATGGCTACCTCCATCAGACCATAAAACCTCTTTCTCTTTCTCCGTACGAAAGATACCTTAGGTAACCGAGTAGATAGTAGGTTGGTATGGCTTGGGCATATCGATGCCTCCAGTGCCTTTCAAATTCAATCAATTCAAGTTAAGAATTTGCATTATGGTATGGACGTTGGCCCAGCTATGAGGATATGGCGTTATGCTACGCAGATGGATCCCGCTCCGTTAGTTGCCGGTCCTGAATCAGGCTTCACTCTCCTCGTCACTCGTAGCCTCGATGTTCTGCTTGGAAGGACTGGCAATCCTGTCCGGCTCTTCGTCGCTGCCGTCATCTGATTTGCCCGCATCACCAGAGTATACCGGCCGGGGTAAACACTCGCCCCGTTGCTTAAGGGTCTGTTCAATGTCGGGGAGAAGCCTGATCAAGGCAGAGAACTGGTCTACTGGCATGGATATCCCCTGGGAGTATATGTCAATTATCAGGATGCCGAATTTGGGAAATAAAATGTGCAGGAGATGGGATGGGGAATAAGAGCCCGCTTACCTTTTTGCCTGGAAGTTCCTGTCCATCCTTTTCGTAATATTCCCGAACATTGACCAGGTTCTTACCCCGGAAGGAGGATACGGTCACTCGGCGCATTTTGGAGATTTCCCAATAACGATCTCCGTTGGTATCAACCTTGCTCGCTGTCTCGCCGGTGCTGACCTTTGATTTCTTTGATTGAGAACCAGCATCTTCAGCAAGTCCCTGCGAGCCTGACGGGCGTTTTCGGGAAGTCATAATGAAGTGAGAAGATTCTCGGCTGGTAGGGGAGAGAGACAGACGTGTGGAGCGAAAAGCGATGCGCGTGCAGAGACAAGACGCGTGGTATCACGTGGTGATTAGAGAGCGGTGTCGCTTACGTCATCGGTAAGATGTTAACGTAATTCACGGCCAACCCGTTAACACGGCCAACCCGTTAGCCCCACCAGAAATCGCGCGTCCAGTCCTACCTACCATCTTCAACTACCCACCATGCCACCAAATCGCTCTGAATCCTGGCATAAATCTGCTGAGCAGGAGGGCAGGATCCTATTAGCCCTTCAGGCGGTGCAAAAGGGCCAAATTAAATCTCTCTACGCCGCAGCGAAGCTATACGATATGCCCTACACTACCCTCCACGACCGCGCTACCGGAACGTCTCCACGCGTCGATAAACGCTGGCATAGCCATAAAATGACACAATTAGAAGAGGATTCGCTTACTGAGTGGATCATCTCTATGGATTCGCGTGGTGCAGCACCTAGGCCCTCTACTGTGAGAGAGATGGCTAATATCCTACTGGCCACTCGTGGGATTCACCCTCCGCCTACTGTAGGCGTGAATTGGACATCATCCTTCGTTAAACGCCGCGAAGAGATCCGCTCGCGCTTCTCGAGACGCTACGATTACCAGCGCGCCCTGAATGAAGATCCGAAGTCGATACGAGAGTGGTTTAATACCGTAAAGCGCGTGGTCGATGAGAATGGGATACAACTAGAGGATATTTATAACTTTGATGAGACGGGCTTTGCGATGGGCCTTATATCGTCACAGAAGGTGGTTACGCGAGCTGAATACTACGGTCGGCGCTCTATCTTACAGCCAGGAAACCGCGAATGGGTTACTGCTATCGAGGCTATATGCGCCGATGGCTACGCACTACCGCCATGTGTGATATTTCAAGGCAAGGTTTATATTGCTGGCTGGTTCGAATCAAATCTGCCTAGCGATTGGCGGATTGAGGTCTCGAATAACGGCTGGACTACCGATGAGATAGGCCTTCGCTGGCTACAGAAGCACTTCATTCCATATACGAATTCGCGCGTACGAGGTCGATATCGGCTATTAATTCTTGATGGCCACGGTAGCCACCTTACACCTCAATTCGACCGAATCTGCGCTGAGAATAATATTATACCGCTCTGTATGCCTTCGCATTCTTCGCATTTACTCCAACCGCTTAATGTTGCGTGTTTTGCTCCGTTGAAGCGCGCATACGGTCGCTTCGTGAGCGACCTCGCCCGATATGGCTATAACCACATCGATAAGCTCGACTTTCTCGTAGATTACCCTCGGGCGCGTATCGAGGCGTTTCAACCGCAGACTATCTAGACTAGCTTCGCTGCTACTGGTCTTACACCGTTTGACCCAGAGCGTGTGCTTTCTAAGCTCAATATCTCGCTCCGAACGCCAACACCGCTAGGAAGCCGACTAAGCAGTAGATCTAGCCAATTCACACCAAAAACGCCTAAAACAGTGATTCAGCTACAAAAGCAGGCTACCTTACTCAAGAATCTATTGAGACAGCGGTCAAATAGCCCTCCGTCACCCTCAAAAACTGCTGTGGATCAGATTATCAAAGGTGCTTATTTATCGATGTATAACGCTGCGATACTAGCGCAGGAGAACGCTAGTCTACGTAGAGCAAACGAGAAGAAACGCCAGAAACGTACACGGTCGAATCGACAAATAGCACATGAAGGAGGCCTATCTATCGCAGAGGGCCAACTGCTAGCTCAGCAGCCAGACCAGCCAGTTGAAGATAGCCCGGTGGTATCGCGTGAGGCAGGCGAATCAGCTAGTCAGGCAGATTTGCCACGCAAGAGGGCTCCGCCAAGGTGTAGCGGGTGTGGGGAGTTAGGGCATAAGATTAATCGTTGTAAGAAGCGCTAGTTTGAGATGAATTTATACTTTCTTGGTGGAGTTATCTTGAATAGAAAATTGGTAATGGAGGTGGACTAACGGGTTGGCCGTGTTAACGGGTTGGCCGTGAATTACGTTATTCAATCAGTTCAACTTCACGTTCAGTTCAGATTCAGGCGATCACAACGTCAAAACCCGTAGACCTTGTAGAAGTACCGAGAACACGAATCCTCGTGCGACAGTCTCCACTTGGAGGCTGTCAAATATCTTCTCGAGCGCCTCCCGGCTAGCTGCTGCACCCATCACACTTGTCAGCGCTTGGGGGATTCCTCTCTGAACGAACAGCCGGCGCGCTTTATCCCGCAACTGCGCCTTTTCCTGCTCGCTTGGCGTGGGAGGCCAGGCCTTTAACTCTTCCTCTGTTGGAAGAGCATTCTCCCGCAGCTTTTTCAGATATTCTCCAAGTGCGTCATCCGATGTGTGGCTTTCAATCATGGAAGTCTGCAGCAGCTCACGGATCGTCTCGAGTGTTGGACTTCCAGGACGAAGGATATACGTTTTGGCAGCATTCAGTAAGGTCCGACGGATGTTCCATGCAGATGACAGGGTATAGAGTTCGTTGATCACGGCAAATATCAGTTCCACTGCGATCTGAGTCTCGTCCGCGGTGATAGGTTGCCGGTGTCGGCGCACGCCTTGTGAGCCGGGATCCAACTCTCCAGTCAATTCGGACTCGTGTGCTAGCTTCGGTGACGCCGGGCCCGGGTCTTCTTTGACTTCGACTACTTCGTGGTCGACAGACTCGAACGACCTCGGGTTTTCAGACAGCGCGAGCGTCGACTCGGAGGCCCACGCATCCTGCTCAGTGACCGCCGCGTCCATATCATTGCCAGGATCGCTCAGGGAAAGTGACTTGGCAATTTTTTCTTTCGCCACGCCCAAGGAGGAAGCAGTTGGCGATGAGACCAGCGTCGGGAGCTCTTCTCCGCTGCCTTGGGACGAGGCAGAGTGACCTTCCAACCTGGGCTCTGCCGGAGAAGAATTGATGCGGTCCAAGTCACCCACAGAGCTAGAGCTGTTCCGAATTTCACGCTCTGATCGTGACGGGCTCTTCTGATGGTGCGATAGTCGTTCGCTATTTGTAGGCTTCCTGCTATGTCCAACGCCCCCAAAGACCCCGGTCACTCCGTCGAAGACCGCTCTGCCGCCCCCTGCCACACCTTTGGGGGCATTGGTCAGTGCCCCCAAGACGCCCTTGCCCATATTTTCGAATGCGCTCTGGCTCGGGAAGGAGAATCCAGGCTTGGCAGAGGGGACTTCGCTGGTCCCCACATCCTTTTCCAAGAATCGTCGCATTCGGTCTGTTTCCGCAAGGGGTTCATGCTTTATGGCCTGCTGTAGATACTGCTCTAAATCTCGCGCCAGAGCCTGTCGCGTCTGGCCTTTCCAGGAGGGCAGAGCTGGAAACTGTTCAGAGAAGCCGGTGATTCGGTTCAAGCGTGACACCGTCTCCAGCATTTCGTGAAGAGACTGAAAGTCAGAATACTTTCGGAACACCATCCATCCGGTAGAGCGAGTGGACGTTGGTTCGATCTGCAGGAGATAATCCCACGTAGGCCGTGATTTAATGAGTCCCTTCTCACTCCCGGCGCCAGCGTCGTCCACCATGACCAGGGCACCGTGAAGGGTTAGAGGGGGCACCGGAACGTCTTCACGAAGGGATGAAACGGGAGTTGACGATGGCGAGTTGGTAAGTGGCATTTGGTTTTTCATCGCGCCCGCCGGGGTAGAGATGTCCGATTCTTGGCTACCATTTGTAAGCTGTGTCGAAGACCTATTGGTCTCGTCAGTCGATGGACGCGCCTCTGCGGATTGAGCGGTTCTGGCGGGTCGTTCATAGGCGCCCTGTACATCTTGAGATGCAATCATGGCGCTCAAACGTTTTGCCTCTAGCATGGCTTCTTCGGTTACCTTATCCGTGCCATTAGACTCGTGTCCCGTATTTTGAGAAACGATTTCATCATTTTTCGATTCCGGTATCCTACCCTTGGCCTCCTCTGAGACTTTTGGGGTATTAACACCCTGGTTTCGTGCACCCTCGACGCCAGCATCGATTGCATGCATGATCTCAGATTCGCCATCTTGTAAAAGATAGATGATCCAATCATTGATGAACTCGGGCCGAGAAAGGCTCGTCACCGTCGACTCCAGAACGACCCCCGAGAAAACCTCGCGAAGAAAATCCCTCACTGGATAACATCCATACGCTTTTGCATCGAGGAAGTTGGACAGGATATCATCTGCAACCATGTTGAGCTTTTTCCGCTGCTGTTCTTCTGACAGAACATTTGCGAGGCTGCTGTCCGGGGCATTTTCGAGATATTGGTCAACAATCTCCTGGGCTTCGGTGTAAGAAGACCCCGCGGCAAATGCAGCAGCGAGTTCGTTTAGAAACACGATTATAATAGATGAAGAATTGGTGAGAAACTGTAAGAAGGTATCCTCCGTCCGTTTCCGCGAAAGATGGGACGAGATAGTCGTCACGAAATGGGTCAGAGTCCTCCGACAGGACCCTGGAAAGACTGATTCTTTAGGCAGGATTGGCTCGTACCAATACCTTGAGCTTTCGTCAGCTGATCCCGGACATGAAGAGAAAGAAGTAAATGGGTATTTACTTGACATAATCCTTAACAACTGCGTCGGTGAGCAATCTCAATGCCGCAGCAGTCGCTGGCCGAAAAGTTCTATAGTCAAGGTCCGTGGCAGACAAGTCTTCCGGTGCCGCGACCGGGTTACCATTGTCCTGGGTGTCAATCTCGGCGGAAACGACGCGCTTGGGCCAATCCAAGAGCCTCATTGACACCTCCAGGGCCAATTCTTTTCGTTTTTTGGACAACTGCAATCCTTCCTCCCCTTGTCCATGAGCCCCTTCCCAGGACGCGTGTAAAATGACCCCGAGTGCAGTCCCAATCAACAAAAGCCCGACTCGTCCTAACACGATGTAGGTCACGATTGTTAGGAGAACGAACACGCCCACGAGCTTCTCGTTGCTGGAGGTCGAGAGGAAATTGAGGGTGAAGTCCATTGCTTCTTGCAAAAATCCCGCATTTGAGACACGTTTCTGGGCCAGCGAGTCGTTTCGCATTTGATCAGGAGGGGTCCCTAAGTCCGAAGGCACGGTCGTCGTGGACTTGGTGACCAAATCATCACTGGGAGGATCCATTGTGGTTCTTATGAGAGCGCGTCAGCGGTGGAGGGTTTGGCAAGAAAGGGGGGTTTCCTAACATCCATTACCCTCTCGGGACTTGATTGAAGTGGACAGTGGACAACATGGACGAGAAGCAGTCGGAGGGCTAGGAGATCGACGAGTGGAGGAACGTGGTCAGTGCGGGAGCCTTTCCGCATGGGGATGCAGACTGCCTTATGACTGCGGAGTATGTGAAGTTGTTTCCAGTTACAGTACTTCGATTACAGAGAGATAGGATTCGACAATGATCGTATTCATACCAAAGATGGACACTACGGTCGATATGTACCCATTCATAATTGCCCCGCAGCCACAGGGCAGCCAGGCATCTAAAGCTAAACAGAATGGAGTTGCTCTCCGCTATCCGAGTGACTCCGGGCATTCAAAGAACATGCGCGTCATGCCAGATGCAAAGAAGATGGCGGGGTCGTGGTCTATATCTACTTCGTGCACGGAATACAGCGTGGCAGGCCATCGTGAACATCACATCGAGGGCCTTGCTCATCGTGTCCGCACGTATTTGGTGTGAGAACCCTGGGCGACGAGCGTCAACCCGGACTCGGACTTTTTAGAGATCGATACCGTGGTGAACGCGAGCGATTTGCCGACCTTGTTGGCCCGGCCTTCAATCTCGATCCAGTCGCCATCCGTGGCACCGGATAGGAAGCTGACATGGATGTCTGTACTCACTCCCGTAGAGTCTAATCCGTAGGAGGCAATGGCCATACCTCCAGCCCAGTCAGTCACGGAAGCAGAGAACGCACCGTGCAGGCTGCCCTTGGAGTTGAGTTGGCGAGGGCCGACTTGTAGTCGGGCCCGGACGACGCCCTTTTCAGCATCGTAGATTTCAACCTCGCTCAAGAGAAAATCGTAGATGGGGCTGTTGGAACGAGTACGCTCCCACACTTTTAGGACCTGTTGGAGTTCAGCGCTCATGTTGGGGGAGGTCGGGAAGTCCAGAGGAGGAAGAGAAAAGGATTTTGCGGGAAAGAAAAAGCGGTCGTTTCATAGCCGAGCGCTAGTCCGCAAGAGGGAAAGGCCCTCGCTGACTACTACGCTCAGGTGTTGAGGTACCACGATTCATATTCTCTAGTACTCAATCTCAATATTGTCATCTATTCAGGTCTTCTATGGTTCCGTTTGCCTCGATGCCGTGATTTCCTCGAAAGCATCTGAGAGAGTATAAAGTGGTTGACGTCCTCGTCCCCCCAGTACATGAGGTGACTGGCAATGCTGGCAATCAACGAGATGTCGAATGGTCCTCTGCAGGTTCAACCGCGTCAGTGGTATTAATTTACCGAGAAAAACGTGATTTACTTACTCCTGTATGCTGTAGTCAACGCGACCGTTGGAATTCAGGGAGCGCACCTTGGCGTCTTCGAATTTCAACTTCCGCTCCCGGTCCTCGGCGTCCAGCTCGGGCTCGGTCTCCGAGGAGCGAGCGTGGTCTTTCCTGTCGATACTTCTGCTCCTTTGGAACCCATCGTAAAGTGTCTCGATATCGGGATCGATCAGTGTTGGGACATGATCTTCGGAATCCTGGGAAGCATCCTGAGGCGGGCCGGACTGAGTGCGTTTATGTCCGGGCGAAGCATCCGTCGGTTTTCCCCCAGGACCAGTGCCATACGGGGCTCCTTCGGCATTCAAGCCCAAGCTACGGTTCAGCAAGCTGCTCGCCACGCCGGATGTAAAGTTACTCCACAGCGAATTTACGCTCTGGCCCATGCGAGTTCCGAGTATGGAGAGACTCTGCCCTGAAGCTGTCCATAGGCTTTTTTTGACGGAAGGTAAAGGTTGGGGCTTCAAGCTTGCCATTGCGGGTGAAATGAGCGGCTCAATTCGGTAACTTACCGGGTCCGACGGATGGAAGATATTGTAAAGATCACGGCATTTCGGGGCTGAGATGGTGGCAGAGTTGTCCCCCAAGTCAGCCCCAGCACTGCCGCGTGAGTCTCGTTTGGAAGCCCTGAGGGAACCCAGTACTGTAGGATCAATTCCGTCCTCCAGAGCACTGTCACGATTTCTCGCACGGAGGGGAGAGTATCCAGCAATAGTCTTCCCCTTCAGCATCTGAAAGAGCGCGATGGGGGATCCCAGGCAAAAAAATTCTTCGCATTCAAAGTTCAATGTACTTCGGCCTGGGTTTCGCTGGTCTGAAACATCCTCAGGTTCCTGGGCCGCGGGCTTTCCCCCTGGGTGGGGTCAGGCTCAGCAGGTTGGTGACATAGAATGTCAAACAGGATTGCGCTGCCGAGAGAATGACCGTATAGGCTGACTGTCCCTTGGAAAGACGGATTGCGTTTTTTGTAAAGTTGGAGGATTCGGTTGCACTCTTGTTTCACAATACTGGAGATGTGTTCACAATATCCACTCTGGTATAGGAGCACGTCCATCGCCAGATCGGAAATGAGATTTCGAACGGCAGGGACACTGTCTAGTGTGATATCCGCCAAGCTAGGATACGCATCATCCTCAATGGCATCTGCTTCGGTCAGGTCAAGCTCCTTTCGGTTCTGCCGAACCCCTCGATGAGGGAAATCTAAGAGACGACGCCAGCATCTGTATGGAATGGTCAGTTCTGGCCCCTGGTGACGACCGGCGGATAGAGGATCCACTTACACAGGAAGTACTTGGACTCGACAGTTACCGTTGCTGTCCGCGAAAGCGGAATTGAGGGCTTGGAGGTCCGGTGAGGCCTTGTAGACTCCCTTGAGTGTCTTCCGCAGCACGTTCACGTCATGGATGAAATTAATGCTCTCCAAACGCTGCCCTAAACGCTCTCCTATCCCATGGACGACCAGGAGCAGGTGTTCAACCTCCCGCTCTCGATCTTCACTGTCGACTTCTCTGAGATCCTCCATCTCCTGTTCTTCCTGTCTACGGGCTTGCTCCTCTAGCTCGGCCGGATTTTGAGGTTCTCCCTTAAGCGACGACATTTGCCGCTCCAATGTTGACTTCGGCCGTCTCTCTGCATTTTCCAATTCAGTCGCAAGTTTCGACTCGGGTGCATCCACGGAGAGTGGCTCGGTCGATTTCTCGGTCTCCGTGGCGTGAGTCTCGATGTTGTTAGCGCCCGGTGTTTTCTCGACGGGCTTTTGCTGCGGCCCTTTCGAGTCAGGTGTTTCCTTTGCACGTCTGGGTTCAACCATCCCCCGGACTACTTTGGTCCCAGGGACACCGCCTAGTTTCTGATATACACTGATACTGACCCGCGACATGAAGTCATCAGTGGTGAGCCAGGCTGTGAAGGTATCTTGGTAGGCAACGATCCTATTCATGTACGCTCCAAACAAGCGATACTGCTGGGGGTCCGATGAAGGTGCAGTCGATCCATTCCCAGCCTGAGGTGGGGTGTGAGACTTGGTTGAATTTGGACCTTGTAATCCGTGGACGCCGGGTTGAGAATCTTGTCCATCCATAGACTGTTCGGGGGGTCTGATCCCAGCTGTACTCGTCCTCCACGGTCGTAATTTCAGATAGCCCTCCTCAAGCTGGGTGGCAAGATTCTCTTCGCATGGCTTCAAGCCTGACCCGTCCTGGAAAAACCAGGTTCCACGACGAACTTCATAGACGGGGCCCAACCAATACGCCGGGCTTAGCTCTCGCTTTTCCACGTCGACATCAAACAGATAGTCCTCATTCACGGGAACCTTCGTTGGCACCTGTTGTACAGAGCCCTGCCTAGGACTATGTTCGTGGGCTTCTCCGACATCCGATAATCTCTGGAAGGTGGCTTCAATTGACTGCGAATCTTTTGGCGAAAAGGGTATGAATTTCCTAGGTGGAGGCGCTGGTTTCTGATCCGGCTTTTTTTGATCGATCAGGGCAGGGTTTCGTTTCGGGGAATCAACGGCGTAGAACCATCTCACTTTCAATGGAGGGCAGTCGGAAGGATAGTGTCGCAGGCTCAGCCTATGCCTATGGGTCACCGTGTGGTCCTCCCCTTGCGACCGATGCAAGACATCCGGTCCTCGTGAACGGTCGGGCTGAGGGGTTGAACTTCTCGGGGTACTCCACGGGGAAAAGGTCCCCAGAAACGATTTCTGGTCGGCACCGGCCATGGAGGGACGCACCCGTAGGAGGGCTACCGACCGATCCAAGGTAAACAGAGTCAGGGTGATTTAAGCAGAGAAAAATCCGACAGGACGGGTTCGGGAGGCGATCTTTGAAGCTGAAGCTGTCAGAAGGGCCAAGTGTAGTTAGTTGTCTTGGGTGATCAACCCGCATGATGTAATCCCGCTTCTCCCGCTTCGCGTCGCGGAGCTTCAGCTCATGGCGAAGTCTATTCATAGAGATTCGATCGAAAAGCACATTGTAATTTCCCTTGTGCCATCTATTTTAAGAAATGTGACCGTTTCTGTGGGGAAACACTCGAAATAAAGTCATGGCCAATTTTGGAACCATTTGAACCCGAGTCGTTCAAGCTTTCCGATCAGATAGGTTGCTAGCCTTCCCCGAGCATTGGTCCTACATACGTGTATATATTTGGCGGGATCCGATCTTACCCCTGGAAATGTAGAATGTAGAGCTACAAAAAGATACTATCTTCCTGTTGTTGTGGAGCATCCAACCTCCCCAGAGAATATTATATATATATATATACGTGTAGGTATTAAATTATCAAGTTAGGCTAGTACGATCCCCTATTATATGTTCGATCCCTCCAACCGACTCAACAAGACGGACATAAATATGCTGGTGTGAGAATCGTCGTCCTGAATGAGACGCCAAAATCTAGCGCAAATTGCCTGGGTTCGTAATGGGCGGAAATAAACACCAAGGTGGGCGTGATCGACCCACGACCGTAGCAATATTTGTACGAGACATGATGGAAAGTACCTGGGCCGAAGATATACCCTGCTGCCATATACGAAGGAAAAATAAATAAAGTAAAAGAAGTCGATGGTACCGTCGACGTCATCAACAGGCAGGCAGCAGGTGCATTGAGCGGATCGTAACGGAAATGACATCCTTGTACCTTGGATGTACTTTGTGGAACCCCACAATCACTGGACGGCGCAGGTATCTGGTATGTACCCGTTCGGTAAAAAACAGCCCCTTTACGGGGCGCAGTGCGCGGTGGCTCATCGAGTTCCCCCACTTCCGTCCACTGTGTATACTCGGTTGCCTCTTCGACCTTGCACTGCCCAGCACTCTTGTGCCCAATTCTTCCCCTTGTCGGCCTCATCTCGCCCTTGATTCATTTGATTCATTATACTCTAGGGACACCTTTTCCCCTCCTTCCTTCCCTCCTCTCTCCTACCCCAGTCTCCGAGCCTTCCTGCGGCTGCTCCCCGCCCCCTCCATCCTCTCGAGATGAACGCTCTCAAGCTGCAGAAGTACGTGTTCCTCAGATCCCACCCCTCCCGTCAATTTTAAATGGCATAAATTGACGATGTGTGATTTTTCATCCTCGATAGGCGCTTTCCGCAGCTGGACCAGGGCGAGATTTTCGCTCTTCAGGATGCATTCCTTAAACTGGACGTGGACGATCGTGGCTACCTCGACGAAGCTTCCGTAATCAAAGCGACCCAACAGTCGGAGCGACAGCCGTATGACGTTGTACGACAGACCTTGAAGGGCGTGGAACTCGACAGTTCCCGGCGCGTCGAGCTCGAGGACTACATCGATGTACGTGGTTACTTCGCAACCTGATGCCTCCCTATCCTCCGTCTGAATGAAGACTAATTGTTGGCAGCTGGTGTCGCGGCTTCGTTCAGGGCCAGCTCCTGGTGCTCAGGGCGGATCGAGCCCCGCGGCTGTGATCCAAGGAGCTCAAGCTCAGCCTGGAGCCGGTGCTGGCGGCTCCCGCCATGTTTCCAAGGGCAGCGTCGGGGGCAGGATTCATGTCCAAGGATCTTCGTCGAACGTCACCCACACGATCAACGAAGATGAGCGAACCGAATTCACGAGACACATCAATGCCGTCCTGGCCGGCGATCCGGACATTGGAAACCTCTTGCCCTTCCCCACCGACACGTTCGAGATGTTCGATAAGTGCAAGGACGGCTTGGTCCTCGCCAAGTTGATCAACGACAGCGTGCCGGACACCATCGATGAGCGTGTTTTGAACAAGGCCGGAAAGAAGATCAAGGAGCTGAATGCTTTCCACATGACCGAGAATAATAACATCGTCATCAATTCGGCTAAAGGCATTGGGTGTTCCGTCGTGAACATTGGAAGTGGAGATATTATCGAGGTTCGGGAGCATCTTATTCTCGGCTTGATCTGGCAAATCATTCGTCGTGGCCTGCTGGGCAAGATCGACATCAAGCTGCACCCCGAACTTTACCGACTCTTGGAAGAAGACGAGACTCTGGAGCAGTTTTTGCGCTTGCCGCCGGAGCAGATCCTGCTCCGTTGGTTCAACTACCACCTTAAGAACGCGAAATGGGATAGACGGTATGTTGCCTTGCGGCCCACGTGGGCCTTGGACAAGTAGATTGATGGCTAACACCCTTTGCTAGGGTGAACAACTTCTCTACTGATGTGAAGGATGGTGAGAACTACACCGTTCTTCTGAACCAACTGGCACCGGATGCCTGCTCCCGTGGACCTCTTCAGACCAGGGACTTGCTTCAGCGCGCAGAGGAGGTCCTCACAAATGCAGAGAAGTTGGATTGTCGAAAGTTCCTGACCCCTACCTCACTGGTCGCTGGAAATCCTAAGCTTAACCTCGCCTTTGTTGCCAATTTGTTCAACACGCACCCTGGACTTGATCCTATCACCGAAGAGGAGAAGCTCGAAGTCGAAGACTTCGACGCCGAAGGTGAGCGCGAGGCCAGAGTTTTCACCCTCTGGCTTAACTCGTTGGATGTGCAGCCGGCGGTCAACTCCCTGTTTGATGACCTGCGCGATGGAACTGTTTTGCTGCAGGCCTACGACAAGGTTATCCCCGGCAGTGTTAACTGGAGACACGTGAACAAGCGTCCGGCTTCGGGTGCTGAGCTGATGCGATTCAAGGCGGTGGAAAATACAAATTATACCATCGAACTTGGAAAGCACCACGGCTTCTCTCTGGTGGGTGTACAGGGTGCTGATATTACCGACGGCCAGCGGACCCTTACGCTTGGCTTGGTGTGGCAGTTGATGCGCCGGGATATCACCAGAACCCTGTCCGCCCTCGCGCAGCGACTGGGCAAGCGCGAGATCACGGACGCAGAGATGATTCGATGGGCAAACGATATGTCCAAGAGCGGCGGCCAGTCTTCTACGATCCGCAGCTTCAAGGATCCGTCCATTGGATCCGGCCTGTTCCTCCTGGACGTGCTCAATGGCATGAAGAGCAGCTACGTAGACTACGACCTGGTCACTCCTGGCCGCTCCGACGATGAGGCTTATGCCAACGCTAAGCTGAGCATCAGCATTGCCAGAAAAATGGGTGCCACCATCTGGCTGGTGCCCGAGGATATATGCCAAGTACGCTCTCGCCTGGTCACCACCTTCATCGGTATGTTCAACTTCCATTCATTCATATGTTCGGCTACTCACCGTGCCTGCAGGTTCTCTTATGGCCACGCACGAGAAGATGTAGTGATGATCCATGTCCTCGACTACGCCTTTACATTTCTACATTCCCACAGGGGTGTCACCGAGCATGCACCGATAGCGCCTGTCCAAAGTGCCCGGGATGCGGCCTTTTGCGAATATTTCAGTTTGTGCTTCTTGTCTCTTCGATGCATGTACACCTTCTGCTTTATGACATGGCGAATGAGGGAGAGGGCCCGAGCCCAATTGAAAAATTTGAATGTTACTTTCAAGAAGAAATGCTGTAGACACTGGTGTAGTGTTAAAGGTACTGGTTGAACCAAGCCACGGCCTGGGTGAAGGCCGACTCTTTGGCGAATCGAACGATTGGCTTGGTGATGTCAGCCCGGACGGCAAATCCGTGCTCCACTCCACTGAACAGGTTGATCTGATACGGCTGGCCCGTCTTGGCCAGGATCTCCTCGGATTCGTGGCGTTTCGAGGCCGGGAAGATGGAGTCGGTCTCTGTTTCCCCAGACCACTCGGTTAGCTAATCCATAAAAATGGTTGGCAAGGCCGCAAGCAACTGACCGGCAGCAGCAATAGACAGCGGGCCTTTGATGGCCGCTAGCTCATCAGCCTCAACGAAGCTGGGATGAGCCAAGTAGGCGACATCACAGCCACTAGGCTGAAGTAGGCGGACAGCGTACTTGGCCTGTAGGAAATGTCATTGAATTAGCATTCATGCGGCTGTCTGCAAATAGAGGAAGCGAAGGTAAAGGAATCTTACTCCGAAACAATATCCAATCGCTCCGATACGTTCGCAGCCCAGGCTGGACTTCATTTCCTTGAACACAGCCTGGACTACCGGCTCCACGCGGTCCGGTAGGTGACCGGGAGGACCATTTAACCAGGCCATCAGATCGAATCTAGCCGGGCGATTGAGCGGCACTGGATCACCGTGGAACAGATCCGGCATGACAACAAAGTAGCCGTTTGCTGCTAGCTGATCCGCAATCAGCTGAGCGTTGATAAATCGGTGTCCGATCACATCGGTGAGGAGAAGAATGGCCCGCTTGGTAGAGCGATCGGCCGGGTGCGAGATGTAGGCATCGACTGCGATAGTTAGCCGTACTTCTGGGAGGGGTTAGAGAAGGCGGAGACGGTTTCTATACCACCGCCGATCTGCTGAAACTGGCCTTTGGCCTCGCCTTCGTGCTTTACACCGACGGTACAGCAAGCCGCAGGAGGGTTGGATGCCATATTGGCTTTGTCAACTTGGGACGTAGAAGATTGAAAAGACGCGAGGAGTTTGGAATGAGCAACGATGATATCAACGTGAGGTCACCCGCATCCTCGGCAAAGACCCAGCTCTTTGTTGCCGAGCTCCACCTTAACTATATACACTCAAAGGGTATTGTCATATTCAGTTATATAATCAGATACAGACTGCACAGCAAACTCGGCCCCGTGAAAATGCCCAGCCAGAAGAAGATGTTGCCCACCAGTCGTTGACCACGCATGAACCGCGTCCGACTCAAGGAGACGAGCGGTAGCTGCGACATCTGGAGGAAGAGCAAGTAGCCTCGCAGGCGCCGGAAAATACACAGCATGATTAGCTCGTGAATACACGCTGAAAGAAAGAATGTCACCAAGCTGGCCGAAACCCGTGACAGTTTGAAAGAGCTGATGGAACTATGATACACATGTCGCAACAGGAAATTGTGCACTGGGCGGTTCCAATCGCGAGCGAACTGGTCCCAGGAGACCGAGTTCCACCAGTCGGCGTAGAAGCCACGGTCTGCAAATCTGGTGATTTCGGCCAGAGCATTGAGCTGAAGTCCGTGAGTCAGTTATCACATAAGGAAGCATCCAGGAAGGAAGAGAGTACTCACCACGCATTCCCAGATCACATAAAACGCCAATAGGTACTCCATCATGAACGGGAAGAGAAGGTCGCTGATGACCCAGGGAAATTCCTCTAGCCTCTGTTGCACAGTGAGCCCCTCCTCCTTCATGCGCACGGTTGACATCACAACCGGGTAAATCCAAGATTGGGACACGACAATCATGACCACGATGGTACCGAAGGTGGCGGCCGTCTTCTCCGCAACATAGGCCCAGTCCACTCGCTCGGTCCGCGGGTATTCAAGTTCATAGACCAACGTGGGCAAGGTGATAAAATCACAGAAATTGCCCATGGTTAAGTTGCGCGGGTAGTGGTTGGAGGATGAAAACTGACCACGAAGCCCTTCGGACAACAGCTCGATCTCGCGTTCCAGTAAAGCTTTAAGTGACCTCATTTGAGAGGGCTCCAAAGGTGCCCCGTTTTCGATCGTTTCAGCAAGGGACAGGAGATGGTCAGTCTCGCGGATTCCATGGAGATCCTTGAGATTGGCTGAACGCTCGCCCTCATCCTGCCGCTTCAGATCGGTCATCTCAGAATCAAATTCCGTGTGTACTGCGGATGAACGCCCGGTCGATGCTGCACGGTGGTCACTTTGTTTATCTAGCTGCCGAACTCGTCTCGTCAACAGCTCGCGCTTGTTGTATAATTCAGAAACTGGTGGTCCTCATTAGCGACGCTTCATTTGACTGGTCGAGAAGTGTTATCACTGACAGTAGCCATTGTAGGATGAATAACTATGCTGTTTCATTAACATCGTCAAGCAATGCAGAACTATGAAAACGGTATGTGTCCACGGCCAGTCGCGATGGTATGTCCACCAGATGAAGCCGGCAAGGTATGTCGTCTGCCAGATCTATTGCGTGTTAGCGTATCCAGAGCAAAAATAAGGAGAGCAAGCTACGGGATATACATTCTGAACCACCCATCCAAGGCCGCTCCAACGCAAATATCCGCGCCGGATTGCTCGCTGGAGTCCGAGACAAAATATCGTAGACCAGCACAGAACGAAATCAGTTAGGCCTAGAACCAACACATCCTTGGAGAACATGAGGCGAATGATCTCGTTCTGACCCCAGATGGACCCATAGATTCTCCAGTTATTGGCCGCAACCTTGACTAGCAACAGGGCCACACCCAACCAGAAAAGCGTGAAGAAGCCGTGGAACTGTGAGGAGCTGAATTTGGGATTCTGGCGATCAAACGTGCTGAGCCGCCGGGTGAACTCTAGGTCACGAAAGCGAAAGCGACGTGTCTCCGACACTCCCGATCTCTCCAAGTGCACGTTGTGCTGGAGAACATCTCTTAGTAGCTCGGCATCCTCTGTCGTGAGGAGGTATTGTCCGACTCGATCAGTCTCCTGGAGCTTGATCGGTACCGTTGGTCTTTCCAGGGATGCCTCCGTCTCGTCGGAGCTCGACGGTGTGGGGGCAAGCTGCCCCTGCATTGGATCGGCCTGCTTATCGCGGTCGCCCATGACGGAGGGGGTCCACATGCGTTCATACGTATGCGGGGACAGGATCGAGTCTAGGTCCGACTCCGTTGCCTTTATATTTCAGACTGGTCGTGTCGGTTCGGGTGATTCGGATCATTCGGATCGCCGAGTGGCAAAGTGAAAGTAAACATATGACGTTCCTGGGACCGGGTGATCGGGTGCGGGACACAAGATGAGGCATGGGGTAGAAACCTTAAAACGCGGATCTCATTCGAGGCGCTGGTTTTCAGCCCTATGCATTTCGAATGTCTGTTACCTCAAGTGTGATGATGTAGATGGATTCTGAGGATCCAAAAAGCGCCGTTCCTCGAGCGATGTTAGCTTAGATTCGGTCGCGTGTCGAGTAGTATGTTGTTTTTGTACTATTTATCTCTCTTCCTCTCTTCTTCTCTCCCACGCCTTGGCCGTATCCAATACCCTGCTGTCGGCCACAGAGGTCCAATCCTTGCCCGTCTGCTACGACAGACTGCCACTGAGTGCCCCTCTTCACTAGATAGAGACACAGACCCGTGAGACTGAGACTGAGATCTCCGCCAGTCAAGCTACGCTTGAAGCTTCTGCCCCGGCATCTCTAACCTTCACCAATCCCCAGGCCCTCCCTCTTCACCTCATCCTGACCCATCGGCATGGACGAACTACAAGTCCAAGTCTCAGACCTCGAGAAATCGGACTCAAATGCAAACATAGACAGAACTTCCGTCGAGGTCGAGATGAGCGGCACGCGGGACCCGGTGAACGACACGGCGAATTCTGGCCCGACGGCACCGTCGGAGCACAGTGAAGCCACACTCGCAGTGCTGGAGGATACTACTCTGCCCGATGCGCAACCCGTGGCCGAGTCCCCAACCCCCGCAAAGGAGATTGCTGGTCGCAAATTTCTCGAGTATGTATCCTAGAAAGGCTTTCCTCGTCACGCACCCTGGATGGGATGGCAATCCCATTGCAACCAACCAATTGTCCTTGTGAACCACCAGCTCATATCGCCTAGTTTGCTGGAATCTCCAATCGTCGAGATCGTCGTCAGGCGTGATGATAGTGAGATAGTGCTAGCGGCACATCAGAATCTTCTCCTAGAGTCGCCTTTCCTCGCCGAATTCGTGAACAATTTTGAACCATCAGGCCCGGTGAGCAATTACATCCTGGGAGAATACTTTTCGGTATACTAATAAGTGGACGAGAACCAGCGACGCATCAATCTTTCGGGCGAGAACGTTGAAGCCCTCGTATGCTTCCTGCAATTCCAGTACACTCGGGACTACACCGTACCACCGGCTGAGATTCCCTCCGAAGGGATAGATTCGAGCGGCAAACAGCTCCTACAACATGCGCACGTATACACACTGGCTGAAAAACTGGGACTGCCTGCGCTGAAAAACCTAGCGCATACTAAAATCCACCTGATTAAGGGCACACCGAGTGGCGAGCTGGCCTATGCTCGCTATGTTTACACCCACACCTCGAAAAACGACACTGCGATACGCAAACCCATCGCGTCATTTTGGGCTACCCGGGGTCATGTTTTGCGACACGAACTCAAGGAAGAATGGAAGAAGCTCTGCTTCGAAATGCCCGACTTCATGTTCGATGTGTTGACCATTGTTCTGGATCGGAAAGAAAAAGAAAAGACCGGCCAGTCTGAGGCACAGTCAAGTGGCAGGGATAGCGCTAGAAAACGCCCTCGAAGTGGCGTGTGAACCCGGATCGGGGAATAGAGAGCATCTGTACAATCTGCATATTGTCACGATATCATCTGCTATGTACTCAGTCCGATCGGGGAGTTTTTTGACTTTCGAACTCAATTGACTCTGCACTTGTATATAGATCACTAGTCTTATTGGGCGAGACTCTCCACCTCCTCAATGGCCTTCGGGGCCGAAGTCAAGTTCTCATAGCCATCCTTGGTGATGTGAACGTTATCCTCAATGCGCACGCCTCCCACGCTCCAGTATCGTTCCAAGACCTCGGCATCAATGTACTTGCCCAGCTCCGGAGACTTCAAGACCGGGTCGATAATGAAGCGGCAGAAATAAATCTAGCAGATCGTCAGTCATGTGCTTGTCTTTTCAGGGTTGACGGAATTCATCTTACGCCGGGTTCGACCGTGACCACGGCACCGGCAGGCAGGTTGCGCCGGACACGCAGATACCGGAACATCTTGTCCTTGTCATCATACTTGGGATAGCCACCGGTGTCGTGAGTGTCCATGCCCAAGTAATGACCCAGACCGTGCGGGAAAAAGGCCACACTGACACGCTTCTCAAACAGTTCGTCCTCGGTGCCACGCAGAATACCGAGCTTCAATAGGCCCTTGATAGCGACGCGATGAGCTAATGCGTGAACATCGTCCCACTGGACACCCTCCTTCAGCACCGCAATGCACTCTCTCTGCATCTGCAGAACAATCTCGTAGATCTGACGGGTCTCCGTCGGGAATCTCCCAGCAAGAGGGATAACACGCGTGATATCGGCACAGTACGTTTGGTATTCACAGCCGGCATCAATTAAAAGGTTGCCCTTCCGCTTCTGGGTTGCTGCATCCGTTAGGCTCTCATCGTTTTGCACGTAGTGGAGAGTAGCTCCGTTTGCACCGCCGGCAAAGATGGGGTGATAAGACTGCTCCCGACAGCCATTGGCAACGCAGGCGCTAAGGAAAGCTGCCTCCATCTCACGCTCATTGGTGGCCGTTTTGGACGCCTTAATGGCGGCAATGTGTGCCTTGGCAGAGACGTCGTTTGCCTTTCTCAACAGCGCCACTTCATACGCATCCTTGACCACGCGGACATCCCCGATCACGTCCTTCAAAATCGAGAGTTTAGCCTCGGCGAAGCCCTTGAACTCGATGCCCTCGGAAATCTGCTTCTCGATGGCAAAGGCCAGGGTCTTTCCACCTTGAGCCGAGGCAAGCGAGGCGAGGGTGGCATTGACGTCGGTGGTGTACAGAACGCGGTCGACATCGTAGAGCTTCGCAGCCTCCTCCGTCGACATAGGCAGGCCGGACCAAATGACGGAATCGGGGTCGATAGGTGGAACGAACAGGGTCAATTGGTCCGCTTTGATATCGTAGACCATCGACGCATCAGGCAGAAGACATCCGGTAAGGTAGAAGAAAGGGCGACGCTGTCTACACCTCCGATCAGCGTGCGCGGCTCGAATGGGGAGCGAACGTACCTGAAAGGCATCGCCTCGTCATTATCCTCAATCAGTCGAGTCTTTTGTGCCTCGAGGTAAATAGCGCCGGCATCGCCGTGGGTCTTGAGCGCCTCGGCGACACGGCGCGCATGGGCTTTGGCCGGATACTTGGCAGCGAGAATGGAATCGACCGTGGTCATGATGGGCAGATCTAGAGGTTGAAGGAGAGAAGGCTGTACGGCTGCGTTGAGGAAATCGCGGGGCAAACCCAGCAGTAAGTTACTGTTGCATCGCTGCGGGGCTCAACATAGGCAAGGCGGCTACGGCCGGGAATTTCATTTTCGTTATACATCAAAATACACATTATTCAACGAGCAGGACTGCTCTGGGTCTCCGATGCAGAGACTTCTTCAAACTCCATCTGCCACTTATCAACCTCCGCAAACTTTTTGGCTGCAGCGCGCAGCTCGTCGCTCACGTAGCGTCGCGTTGGCCGCGTCTCCCCCTCGGTATCAGATGCGTCCGAATCAGGCGGCGATGACAAGGGCGACGAAGACGGTGAGGATAACAGCAGTTCATTTTCCTTGTCGAGTCCTCCACTTTGGCGCGCACGCGAGTATGTTGCCGGCGCCTGCGGCTCCAACGGTTTTGGGGCTGGGGCCGACTTGATCTTGCTCTTCTTTTGTTTCTGGTTGTTGAGCTTGGACTTTTCCCGCACGTTACCAAGGGGCTTGGGTTTGTCTGATTGTCCTCGTCGTGAACGTCTCGAGGGCAGATAGCTCAGCTCGTCGTCATCGCCAGACGCAGCATCGTGCATGTCTTCATCACTCTCATCACTGGGGACGTCGAATTCGCCCGCTGGACGGCGTTTGCGTTGACGTTGCCGCCTCCGAGGTAGGAGCCTGTCTTGCAGTGCCGCTGTTGAGAGATGAGCCGGATCCTTGGTCTTGTTCCTTTGGGAGTTGTTGTGGGCAACGGCGTTTGGTGACCGAGACGCCGCAGTGGAACCCAAAGGGCTACTGTCCGGAGGTGCCATGGTTTGACTGAATACCTCTGGGAATTGCAACGGCTGAGGTGTCACTTCTGACATATGGGATGGTTGATCACGAGCAACTGGCGTAGCACTTGGTGTATCCTCAACCATTTCTTGAGCGGTAGGTGATCCGGGTACCTGAATGTCCCCGGCGCGCTTGCGTTTACGCGATCCGCCCGATGATGGGAGCGATTCTGACGGCGACTCTTCAGCCTGCCTCACCAGTAATGGTTTGCCTCGAGAAATATTCAGCGGCGTAGACTCGTCCTGGGGGCTGAGGCTCCCCAGAAAGTCGTCATCGTCAAGATCAGAGGAGCCATCCTCGGCCTGCATCATCTGGAGAATACTCTGCTGTCGCGGGCGGCGTCGGAAGTTGCTCAATACCGAACTCTCATAACCAGGTGTACCGGGCACGCGCGAGCTGATATCACCGGTGCGCCCAGCAAAAGAAAGTGTAGACGAATATCCGCGAGATCTGGTGGGAGGCCGACTGCCGGTGCCAGGTCGACTGCCCGTACCCGGCCGGTCACCAGGCGACGAGTCAATTGCTTGTTCATAATTCTTGGACAAGGGTGTTTGGCTGCGCAGGGCTCGAGGGTCCAACGTAGACCCGCGTTCGGGGGATTTGGACGCGTGCGTATCGGGCTGGTTGCGCGGTTCCGCGGTGGTATGGTCGACCTTGGCCTTGGTGGCCTTGATGGCCTTGGTCGATCGATTTCGTTTAGGCGCAGGGCGAGGCATGACGCAAAAAGAGGTGTAGAGAATCAAGAGTTAAGGGTGCTGGGAGGAGGACCCGCGCGTGTTTTTGACTTTCCTTTTGTTTTGGGACGCGTCCACGTGGGGAACCCGGCCTTGGGCTTTGGTACTTGACTTGGTACTTGATACTCGGTACTGGATACTCGGTGCTCGGTGCTCGGTAACTTACCCTCCTACCCCGTTCAATGATGAACTCGTGCACTTTATGAGTCGCTGATCTACTGCGGTGCTTTACTGCTCTATTGCCATGTCCAACAAGTCACGGAAGCCCCGTGATCAACTGGGCTCAACCCGCTAAACCCCGTTCGGGACGCAGAGACCCAGTAACGATGCGCCCCGCTGTTCCCCCGGACTTCTGGAACTCTGGGACTATATTCGAGTCCGAACATGTTCCGATGTTGTTCCTGTTATTCTCTAGTATGCGAGCGGCGCTGCCCGTTCTACGGTGTAACACGTTTCAAATTTCCTCGACAATCCTTCCTGGCGGTCCTTGACCACGAGCAGACCGGTGCAGAAACAGGTATCCGCGAAGGCTGCCGAGCGACGACGACACATCTGTCTTCGGTCGGCCGGAATTAGCATTTAAGCGCATTGCTTCTCTATAAACTCTTTGTGTAGCAAGGTATCATCTTCCCTGTTGTAGAGGGTGTTGAAGTTTATAGATGTAAAGCTACAGTCAGTCCATAGAAGGAAATTGTATGCCAATGTAGCTTCCCATCTTTCTTGGGACGTTAAAGAATTGTCAAATTGTGCATTGAAGCGGAAATATATGCCACATCCTTTCATTATGATGCGTGTTCATTCTATCTAACGCCAAAATACTCAAACAAATCATCTGATGTGGCGATGCTCGTCTCAAATTTATCTTCGGGGGGTATATTGATGACGGACGAAAAATATTTGTTTGGGCCGTTGGGAGGAGGAGGAGGGAGGAAAAGCCATGATTTACAGAAGATGCAAGGCAATAGGCAAAAGAAATAGATACAGTGTCCTTCTCGTGGCAATCATGTTCTTCAAATCGTATCTGGGGCAAATCATGGTATCTTAAAAAAACATGGCGGAGGGTCAAAATATAGACGTCAAAGAAACATTGGCAAATAAATCAGAGACACGGCCATTGGAGACCGCCTGGAAACGGGTACGGGAGGGTTTTAGGAATCTGTCGTATCATTTCGTATCCTTTCCTAGACCAAAACCCACTCGCTGCCACGTTTGATAAACTTATCAAGCATTAAACCTAAATCGGCCAGAGCGAAACGGCACACGTAGAAACCGAAGAACTCGGCGGCATGTCGTGTGCTAAGCTCCAGACCAACGTGGGTTGGAGAGGAATGTTTGAGTCCAGGATCTTCAACTTGCTGCGCGATTTGGTCTAGTTTGATGGTTAGCACGGTAGGCCATGGCCGAAAATGACAAAACACCGAAATATGCACGTACCTATCACTTGGGCAGCATCGAAGAGACGTGCCAAGGCCCCCATGTAATTGGCATTCGGGCCCGAAAACTCGAGCTGGGTGACGTTACGCTTAGCATGAGGGGTTGGCCCCGGTGCCATGGGGAGTGAGTTGAGAACGAAATTGTCCTTGTTGCTGTCACGGGCGCTTGGAGTAGAGGACGACGTGGTACCAATACCGGAAGTCTTTGCCCGCAGTCGTTTCCAAGTCGGAAGATACGATTTGTTAGAAGTGCCAGAGGTCCTAGAGGGGGAGGATCGGCGTGGGTGGCATCTTCCGGGGATGCATTTGGTCTGAAGAGAGGTACAGCCGTGTGAACTCCGACCTCATGGCCCAGCCTTTTGGACAGGGCAGTCTGGACCTGGTCGAGAACAGATTCAAGAGATTGCATCTCTTCCAAAACAGCATCCGCGTCATATGTGTCAACCTTGGCCAGTTTCAGGAGAGCTGCTGTAAGAAGATCGCAGTTGGACACTTTGTCTTCGAGAGCTTTGATCTTGACGTTTTTCACGCGCCAGGCATCCCGAGGGATGAAGAGCTTCGCTGACAGATACCCGCCATGGGGATGGGCGAGTGTTTGATACAGACATCGCATGAGCCAGAACGGGCGGAGAAGAAAAGACTCCGGGCAAGGTTCCAGTGGCAGAGGCGCATTAGCAACCAATGAATTCGGACGTCCTAATGCCTTAGGGGAGTGGATGTTGCAGTCAAGGAGATTGAGACCACCTGTGGGTAGCCCATTCTGCGTGAAGTAATCGCCGGTAGGGGTAGGCATAACTGGGATGCTGCCCGCTGTCGCGGCCTTTTGAGTATCCGCAGCCGGGAATGAACCGCTCCACGGGGTGGTTGGAGATCCGGGTGCTGTCTCGGGAGTGGGAACAGAGACGTTGCGGTTTCTGAAAGCTTTTGCGTGGGAATCAGCCTTGTCTAGGCCGTCTGGGGCCGAGGGAACCTTGCCCATGGGCCGCGCGGATAAAGGTAAAGGCGGAAGGCCAAATTCTTCATCCTCACGGGTCCGGGCTTTTGCAAGGTTAGCTTGATCCACAATAGACCCAACAGATGGATTGCGTTTGGAAGGATGCAAGTCAGATCTGTTGCCTGACGTGGAGGTTTTGGAAGCGTCCGTGGACGGTTCGTCTTTGGGGAGAGGTAGTGGCGGCTGGCTCGTCGAAGGAGTTGAGAAAGATAACCCCGAGGCACTCGAGTCTGCACGAGGGCGTGAAATTGTTTCGATTGTAAGATCATTGGAGCCCTGCTTGGAAAGCCTCCGGGCTCGTACGCTCGGGACGGGAGGCGGACCCATGACCGGAGGAAGAGGGTTGGTCAAGGAAACCCTCTGAGCGGGTAGAGCTGGGAAGTCCGACGAAGCAGGTACCGGAGGCAATGCCGCGGAAGGTGGTGAAGATGGCAGACCATCGCGGTCCGGTCTTTGGCCCGGCGGCAGGATGTCATCGTCTTCGGTGAGGGTGGAAAGAGTAGCCCCGGTGCCGGTGATGTTGGATGCCGCCGAACTTTCCCAGGTTCTTCCCGACATGTTGCTAGAGTCGGATTCTCGGGGCAAAGCAGATTTGGACTGAAGACCGAACTCGAAATCATCCATCACATATCCCTTGGTCATCTCTTCTAGAAGGCGCTCTTCCTCTTCTGCCTCCTCGTCGAGATAGTCGGAATCACGCCGGGGCTCTATGATCTGTTCCATGTTCTGTTCCTGGATGCGGCGCATTTCACGGCCGCGATTCATCGCAACCTCTGCCTCACGCTCTGCTTCTCGTACCCGCTGCTTTGCCAGCTCGATGTTCCGGCGGGCATTGGCCACGACGTCATAACTTTCCTCTTCATTGTACTCCAGGACGGGCTCAAGGCCCTCATCATATGCAGCTTCCACGGCTGCGTCAAGAGCAGCGTCGAATTCAGCTTCTGTATCAGTGCTAATGCGCCGACTTGTGCGCCGGCGTAGATACACCGATGATGCTTTCGAGTTTGCCGACGATGGCGAAGACGCACCGGACTCATCGATTGTGTCCAACCACGATGTTGATTCACTGGCTTCTTGGCCAGATGCCTCCAGGTACTGACCATTATACGCAATATTGGATCCGCTCGCGGGATTATAACTACCAGATTGTCCAGATGGACGCAGAGACTGGTGGCGAGGTGGGACTGCCTCGAAAGATAGAGATTTCGCCTCTTCGGTCGCGATTTGGAGGCCGAGACTGGAATGCGCAGAGCTATGCTGACTCCCGGCACGAGAATTATCAGTCGCCGATGAATGCACTAATTCATCGTACGACTCTTGACTGAGAGGGCGCTCGGGTAGAGCTTTATCGGCATTATCTGGGAGAGGGAAATCCATGCGCTGAAGCTCCGTTACTCTGATCATATATGTATCGCGCTAGGACAATCAGCATCGACGGAGCCTTTTCTTGACTTGATAATGGGTGCACTTACAATTTCTTGCAGTTTGAGCTTCTCTTCATCGCCTCCATTGCTACGAAGCATTACCAGCTGTAGCAGCTGGCAGGCATCGGTGTAAGCTTCCATAGCACCTTCAAAGTTGGCTGCATTGTCGAGAAGAACTGCAGTGTTTGCCTTCTGCAGGGCCTTTGACAGCATTACTTTCTGAGTTTGGCCATGCTGTCGGTCTACCTCGCCATCCCCGTCTATCAAAGAAGCCGCGCCTTCATTGGCACGAGCAATGATATGGTCCGGTTGGTAGGATGGTACACTGTCTCTTGGCTCATTTGCCGAATTTTGGAAGATATGGGTGGAGGCTGTGAATGAAAGGTCAAGGTGAGAGGAGGTTGAATCGGTTGGAAACATATCCGATGCTCTAAGGTCGGGAAGGCTTAACTCAGGCAGTTCGCCCAGGTCGGCCCCCCTGTGCGGGCTGTGGCCCAATATGGACATTTTGGAGCTGCCGCGGCGGTGATTGGTGTACTCGGAAGGGCTTTTACTCGAAGTCGTTGACTGAGACCAACGATTCAGGCTGCCTAACCCTTCTTTGATGGGGCTAGCCATTTTGAGACTCTCGGGATGAAGATCGGGGGCATTCTCTGTCACCACACCAAGTCCCGTAGGAGTCACGACTCCAGATTTGGCCATTCTATTGCGGGAACCAGGCCTGGATGAGCGGGAGGAAGGCCGATTTGGAAGCGGCGCCGAGGCAGGTTCTGTGAGGGGGTCCGAGGGACGTCTGGTGTGGAACGGTCTGGCTTCATCTTCCAGAGCTGAGCGGTGTAGCATTTTCGAAGATGGAACGGTTCAATGTCGGATTGGTTCAGATGTCGAGGCCGGGCATTAAGAAACGGGGGGCGACTTTCACGATAGGAACTCAAGAAACGCTATTTGCACGAAACAAGTCGGGACAATCGATCGGTGGTCGTAAATTGAATCCGGATGTCTTGACTCATTCTTCAACAACGGCGGCTTTTCGTAATGAGAACCGTGACGGATCCTAGCAGCATGCGCTTCGCTCAACGCATCGCTTCGTGGAAAGGTTTCGGGGGTGGAATATATCTATCGCAAGGCAATGGCGGACCGGAGACACATGGCTGCTCAGTTTGCGAGAGTGAGAACTAGGCGCACAGGTCGGAAGATCCGAGTCACTCACGGATCGAGGGCGACACAGAAGAGTGAAGAGTTCAGGGGGGCCGCGGTCCCGCGTCCGGTTCAGGGGTGGTCCGTGTGGGTTGCCGGGCGGTGGAATGTCGATTGCGGGGAGGGATTCGATTGTTCGATTCCTCGAAGGCGACCCCGAGAGCAAAGAGGGGTCCAGAAATGAAGAATGGTAAAAGGGAAAAAGGGAGGGAACGAAAGAAAGGGGTGATTTGTTGTTCCTCCCTAGCGGAGCGAGAGCCGGTGCAACTCGGCATAGGAATGGAAGTATACACCTCAAATCCACGATCTGAAGTATCCTATGAACTCGGAACCATCGAGATATACCTCGCATAGGGGAAGAACTCTAAACCGAAATTAAACGGGCTCTTCGGACTCTGGACTTATCTCCCAACCGACTCGTCAAAATTCACGGGGTTGCATCCGCATCGCGCACCGCTTAGAGGCGGGAACACCAAAAAAATTGCCTGCGTAAACGTGGAACGCGGAACGCGATGAGTGCCTCCCCGCTCAGACTTCATCGCTCTCTCACACGATCTCTCTCTTCCAAGCTGCAATCATCTATCTCTGTGCGCAGAATGGCCGTGGTTACTAACCCGCGTGATCCCAACACGCTGAGCAACTACAACAATTGGCGCTCCACCCACATCACCGCCAATTTCGATATCCTGTTCGACCAGAAGAAGCTTGTGGGAAATGTCGTCCACCGCTTCAAGTCGATCACCGATGCCCAGTCTCGTGAGATTATTCTGGACACCAGCTATCTCGACATCAGCGCCGTGAAGGTCGATGGCCAGCCATCCAAGTGGGAGCTGTTGTCCTCGCTGGAACCATACGGCACCCCGCTTAAGATTAGCCTGGACAAGGCCGTCGAGCTCAATGGGATGATTGAGGTGGATGTATGTTCACGTTGATCATATTTTTGTGCGTTTGCACATCAGTCACTGATATCTTCTTCCCCTTCGGTAGATTACCGTGCAGACCACCGAGAAGTGCACGGCGCTCCAGTGGCTGACGCCCGCCCAAACTTCCAACAAGAAACATCCGTATATGTGTAGGTGATAGGCAACAACCCGTCATTTAAGTCCCTCGGTCTGACTCGGTGCTAGTCTCGCAATGTCAGGCCATCCACGCGCGGTCCATCTTCCCTTGCCAGGACACGCCGGATGTCAAGAGCACCTTTGACTTCAACATCACCTCTCCGCTCCCGGTCATGACAAGTGGTTTGCCCATTCGGGACTCGTCAGAGACCTCTCAATCGGGAAGCCGCCTGTACCGATTCAACCAGTCGGTCCCGATTCCAAGCTATCTGTTTGCAGTCGCAAGCGGGTAAGAGGATACCCTAATTCGCGTTCGTACGCTTGTGACTGATTTCGTAACAGAGATGTCTCTGAGGCGCCCATTGGTCCCCGAAGTGTGGTGGCCACCAGCCCTGATAAGCTGGAGGAGTGCAAATGGGAGCTTGAGGCTGACACGGAGACCTTCATTACCACCATCGAGGTATTTGAATCGGCTTCTTTAGACTTGGCGAGATTCGACGCTGATACAAATACAGAAAATCGTGTATCCCTACGCTTGGGGCGAATACAACGTTCTGATTCTGCCACCGAGTTTCCCATATGGTGGCATGGAGAACCCGATCTTTACCTTTGCGACTCCGAGCATTATCTCGAAGGTGCGCTTCACAGAGAAATCTGACTTCATTTCGCATGTTAGAAACTAATGTGAGACACTAGGACCGTGAAAACATCGATGTCATTGCGCACGAGCTGGCTCACAGCTGGAGCGGTAACTTGGTGACCAATGCCTCGTGGGAGCACTTCTGGCTCAACGAGGGCTGGACGGTGTACCTTGAACGACGGGTACGTAACCCCTTTTTAATTTGTACTGGCCGTTCTGACTGACTCGTGTCCATAGATTCTGGCTGCAGTGTATGTCTTTTATGGAGTGATCGTTTCTTTGTCGATGGTACTAACGTCCGCAGTCATGGAGAGGCGTACCGCCACTTCTCTGCCATCATCGGTTGGAAGTCTCTCACCGATTCCGTGGAGCACTTTGGTCACGACCATGAGTTCACCAAGCTGGTGACCGATCTGAAGGGCAAGGACCCGGATGATGCATTCTCCAGCATCCCTTACGAGAAGGGTTTCAACTTCCTGTTCCACCTCGAGAATCTGGTTGGAAAGCCGAAGTTTGACAAATTCATTCCTCACGTATGCTACCCTCGACATTCACATTTGGGATAGGCTTTTGTTGACTTGCTTTTCAGTACTTTACCGTCTTCAAGGAGAAATCCCTCGATTCCTACGAGTTCAAGGCGACGATCCTGGATTTCTTCCAGTCGGATGCGGATGCATCCAAATTGTTGAACGAATTGGACTGGGACAAGTGGTTCTACACACCTGGTTTGCCCCCCAAACCGCAGTTTGACACCTCGCTGGTAGACGTCGTCTATTCTCTTGCCCAGAAATGGGAGACCCTCCCGGATTCCTCGTTCAAACCGCAAGCGAGCGACCTGGAAGGCCTGACAGCCAACCAGATCGTCGTTTTCCTGGAGCAGATCCTGCGTTGGGAGCAGCCCCTCCGCCCAGAGCTCTCGAAGTTGATGGGCGATGTTTACGGACTGTCTAAGAGCGAGAACATCGAGGTGGCCAATCTGTACTTCCAGGTCGGCATGAAAGCCGGCGATGAGAGTGTCATCGAGCCCACTACAGAACTGCTGGGCCGGATCGGAAGAATGAAGTTTGTGCGACCTCTGTAAGTTCACCCGCCCCGGTGGCTCTGGTTAGAAAGCTAACGTGCATGATTCAGCTACCGCAACCTCCAGAAGGTCAACCGTTCTGTCGCTCTTGAAACTTTTGAGAAGTACAAGGACTTCTATCACCCCATCTGTCGCGGCATGGTTGAGAAAGACCTTTTCGGCAAAAAGTAAATCACTTCCCTCCATGCTATTCCATAGAGCAGATTCTACAGTTTCCGATGAGAAAAAAAAAAAAAAAAAACCTCGAATGGGTAGAGTTGGATGTGATCAATTACTGTACATGACTCAATTAATCCAGTAAAGGGTAGATAGAACCTGAACAAGATGTACATATAGTAAGACAGAATGCTGAAAGAGAAAGGAAAAGCTGTTTTTACACCTGTCCGCTCGGACTCATTTGGTCCCCTCGGCCATTTGCTTATCAAGCGCAGAATATCCGAAGATGCCAGAGCTCTTCACATCCCCAGTACTCAGACTGAAGACCAAATCGGCTTCGTCCATCTTTGAGATCTGAGAGAGGACTCGTCGCATGTAAGCGACCACCCACGCGACTTTTGTCCAATCAATCTCCTGACCATCAGGGCCCGTGGAGCTCGCCTTCCACAGGTTCCTCCAGACAGCAGCTCCCAACACGGCGTCACCCTTGATCAGGCCCTCATCGTATGCAGCAATGATTCCGCGCCACTGGATGAAGAGGTCCTTTAGGTACTTATTCCGAATGGATCGGCTTCCCAGGTCGTGTAAGACATCCATCCGGTGTTCTGCATTGTGCGAGAAATGATCGATCAGGTGGCGAGAGTAAGTCTGGACGCTCTCACGGGTAGGAAGCGCACGCAATCGGACGGTCAAAAGATACATGTGGAGGAATGTGATTTGCGACCAGGTTGAAAACGTCGGGACAAGGCCGAGCTCTGCAGACACACATATTAGTCCTCTCATCTTCATGCAAACTCAAGTATCTCTGGTGGCATTCACTCACCTCGATACCACCAACTGTCACCAACACCAAGATGTTCACCCGCTTCGGTGGTGGGCACGGGCATATCTTTTTGCGACGCTTGAGGAATTGTATAGTCTGCCTGGCTTGAGCAAGCCTCGAAAAGCTTCTGTGTCATTCCGTATGCAATATAGGTTTCGGCCGACGCTCCTGGGGACACGGCACTCCTGGCGAGGCGGGAGACAGTAGATCCCTGAGAGTAAGAGCGCACGGGCAATGTGAATCGCAATTGCGAATTTGGGGTTTGTGACCGTGGCGTAGATGCCAACGAGACGGGCTTCGAAGCAGCATTGCAGCTGATGGGCTTCTGCGACGTGGTCGAGATAGATGCGCGTTGGGTGAAAGACCGCTATACGAGATCAGCACCCGACTCTCGGAGCACGAGAGATGTGAGAGAATGTACCTGAAGGCCGCAGATCCGGACCCTGCGGATTTCCCGCGTCCAAAATGTTGTTGCGCGTGTGGTCGACATTCTGTGATGCGTCGAAGTTGCTTCATTTCGCCGGGCGATCTTTTTGGATCGCGTTTGCACCGTTTGTCTCTGCGATCATTGACGGGCCATTGCTCCCGAATAGGCCAGCTAGGATGACCAGGAGTATTACTATGGGGATGGATACTACGAAGTGGGCTATTACTTTTGTTTTTGTACTTGACATTTTCGCCATCATCGGTCGCCACGATATCATCCTGTTCTTCGATGAGCGCCTCGGTTTGTTCGTAATGGTCGGCGGGGAGAACGACTCGTGAGAAGGGATCGAGTTTAGTTGTCTTCGGAAAATAAAGCTCCTAGTCAAAAGTTCCCAGGCATGGTCCACGATATTGATGAACACGCTCAGCCGTGTAATCTCAGCAATCAGAAAAAGAGCGAATGAATGTATAATGAAGCCGGCAGTATAATTCCCCGAATCTTTCTCATACAGCCGGACCAAGAAGATACTGCAAATGGGCCTCAACAGTCTATTCTCCTAGTCCTTCTAAATATCCTGCTGGGTATTTCTGTAAACGTCTTTCTAGACATCTTCTGATTATATTTTCCAATGTACCTTTCTAAACGTCTTTTAAGACATCTTTTGGTTCCATTTGTCTAGGTATCTTCTAAACGCCTTTTTCAAAACTCCTGGACAGATAGTTATGACCGTCTAATTAGGCCCACTTACAATCTCTTCTGGTCCAGCTGTAGAGGCAACATGCGTTTTGTAGAGCTAAGAATACGAAGACTAGAAAAATGCTCCTTCAGCTCCCGGCAATACAGTTTTGGTCATCCCCATCATTTTCATCCTCATCATCATTTTCATGATCTCCCTCCGTACAAAACCCGTCTTTTTGGTCACCAAACCCTGAGGCCCTCAGAGCCGGCCGTCGTGATGTTACTTGCTTGGAGCCTATCTCCAAGAGGAGCTGGGAATCCACGGACCGGCTGGGAGAATGCCTCCTTTTAAAGTCTTTGATACACATGGCCGAGTTTCTCGACAATCGCCAGTAGCATTTTTCGAGGCATATAACGCCCCGGAGTCCCCCAGGGAGACTTCACAGATTCATCTTTCATGGTCTGAGATGCAGCTGGATCCCTTGAGAATTCTGTTGCCAAGCAAACCTCAGGATCTGGAAGCAATAGTGGAAGTAGAGATATCGAGCCGCGGGACGAAAGGTCGATCGGAATTGAAGCGGTCGATTATCGAGGTCTTGATAGTCAGGTTGTCATATGGAGTAATCAGCTTTCTTAATTGGGCCCACGATCTGTCGAGAACTCTAATCTTGAAGTTCTGAACGTCGCTGTTCACCCAAACAAGTAACTCGGCGATCTTTGGACGCTCTGGCAGATCTGGCATGATAACCAGCTTTCCGTCATCGAGATATCGTTCAATGTGTGACGAGATCCAGATACAGTTGCGAGGGGAAAAAATTTCTGGCGGTCTTCAGGATCCCAAAATTGCATCCATGGCAGCTTGGCCGTGCATATCCCTCCCTCCAGCGTGGCGCTCATCAACCAACCCCGCGAGAAGTTGTTGTCACCGAAAGGTTTCTGCAGGAGCCCAAGCCAGTGAAAGTGACTCCTGCCATTCAGTCAATTGCTAGATGCCTCCGAAAACCACCACCTCCAAATGGCCCAAAGGTTTGTTGTGGAAGCGTTATCCACGGGAATTGCGTCATCAGATCAAGGACTACCTGACCGCGAACACAAGTTATACACAAGGGAATGGGCCACCATAGACTACACATCCGGATATTTGGGTGTTTGGAAAAAATGGGTTTGGTACATAATACAATTTTATTTGCGTCATATCATGAACGTTACTGCAGCGGAATGCTGTACTAAAGCGTCCGATAGTTCATCAGAAGGATCATTTCATATTCGTCTATTCATGGGACAACCTTGGAGGTTTCTTGAAAAAAAAAACATTCCTGGCTCCAAACAGTCGAGGCAGCCGAGAGGACCTCTTTTCGTGATAAGTTAAGTGACTCTGCTTTCGGATTAAATCTGCGGCGCTTGAATGTGTCCGCGAAAGCCCAAAACATTAAGCATCGAGAACCACGCGTTCCGATTGCTTTGCTACGATGGGTAGTAGCCCAGAGAGTCTGTTGGGGTCTCTCATCAAAGCTGGGATGTCATCCCGGGTACCCGCAAGCATCTGGGAAGTGTGAGCGAGATACGGCTTTGCGAATACAGCAGGTCCACGATCTTACCTGTCTGACTTTCTCATATTCACATTCCTTGGATTGGTATTCGCGGATCACTTCGCGAGTCTCGAAGTCGACATAAACCCGAGTGTCTCGAAGACGAATCAAGACATTGTCCAGTCTCATAAAGAATCTGGACAGGAGAAGCATTCTCCCGGGCATCACGCGGATCTTGCAAGACAACATAGCGATACCGTTATCCGCCAGTTCATCTTCGTAGAGTACGACGTCGTCAAAAAAGAGAATTGGATCGGGACGCTTCAGAAGCTCGATGGGAATTGGTTTGGTGGTCACTTCGAACGGCCTGCCATTGGGGCTGAGAGTGCCCTTGTAGTCCGTACTGTATGACCAGTCGAACGGCTTGACGACCTCTTTGATACCTTCATGTGTGTTTTCTCTGTCCAGTACCGGCGGTGAGCCTCAGCCCTCTCTAGAGGCAATGAATAGGAGTAGTAGCTCCATACCTGCTTTTCTGCCACTCCTTTGAGTATGCGACCTGAAGCATTGACTGCCCGGTCTTATCCACCAGGTCTAGAGCATCGAACGAGTTGAAATTGATGGCCCACCCACTCTTCTCGTGTTCGATCGCCACGTAGTTGTCGCCAAAGATCATCTCTGGCGGGGCAATGCCGAGTTTTTTGGTCATCTCCTCGATGGGGTCTGCTTTCAGGATGGGCTGCTTCTGTGTCGAGATTCGGAAGCCATGGATAGAGATTCCGTTGGGCTTCTTGGCCTCTGGGAAGACAGCCGCATGCCCAGGGGGCACCGCAGCGGAAGGCTTGGAATCCATGCTAGACCATGTTGCGGAGAAGCTCGAGCTGATAGCGATATGGCGATACGGCGATAGAGCCCCGCGGGCGGAGAAAGAGGCGGACCGAAGATGTTGCCCGGGAGACGCGACCGTCGACCCCAAACACCCGTTCCTCGCCTGGATCCTTTAGATTCCTCGACAACGACTCTACGCCAACTGAAGATGCTTGCACGGGCCTAACTCTGTTTCTCGACATCTCGCTTGTTTATCGACAACTGCCCTCCTCTTCTCCTTCTTCCCTCCCCCTTTCTCTCTTCTCATCCTTTCCTACCTTTTCTAGCCATGGCGACCAAGACATTGGAAGCTCGGTTCGAGCACCTGTCCGTCAAGGACGAGAAGGAAATTGGAAATGATCGGACCTATGGAAAGCAAAAGGTACGAAGACAGTTCAGATTAAAAGCAATGCCTGCTGACCCGGTTCTACCAGGGCTCCCTGTCCACTGCCGTCTCCCTCTCCGGCCTTGGTGCGGCCCAGTTGAACAATTCAAACAGGTCCCACCTGCTGAAGCTGGCTCTTCAAAACACCAATGACAACAAGGTCAACTCCATGAATGTTCCTGCTTCGCCTGTCAGGAGCTCCCAAGGCGCAAGAGTGTCCCGCAATACGGACGAGAATGGAGAACAGCGCACGTCGACGTCGCTGAGTGAGCCTTCTGTGCCAAGGGAACTACACCTCGGAATGTTTGAGATTGGCAAACCTCTCGGAAAGGGCAAGTTCGGTCGTGTTTACCTTGCCAAAGAGCGATCTTCGGGCTTTGTCTGCGCCCTCAAGGTGCTGCACAAATCGGAACTACAACAAGGCGGCGTCCAGAAACAAGTCCGCCGTGAAATCGAGATCCAAAGTAATCTCCGCCACCCAAATGTCTTGAGACTCTACGGTCACTTCCACGACAGCAAGCGTATCTTCTTGATTCTCGAATTTGCTGGTCGGGGTGAATTGTACAAGCACCTTCGGAAAGAGCACCGATTCCCCGAATGGAAAGCTGCGCAATACATTGCCCAGATGGCCGCGGCACTGAAGTACCTTCACAAGAAGCATGTGATGCACCGCGACATCAAGCCCGAGAACATTCTCGTCGGTATCCATGGAGAAATCAAGATCAGCGACTTTGGTTGGAGTGTCCACGCTCCCAACAACCGACGCCAGACCATGTGCGGAACGCTCGATTACCTGCCTCCAGAGATGCTGAAGCCGGGCTCTCAGGATAACTACTACAGCGAGAAGGTGGACCTGTGGAGTCTGGGTGTACTGACGTACGAGTTCCTGGTCGGCGAGGCGCCTTTCGAAGATACCCCGGTGATGACCCAGCGCAGAATTACGAGGGCCGACATGTCCGTTCCGTCCTTCGTTAGCCCGGAGGCCAGGGACCTCATCAAGAAGGTTAGTTTTGATATCGATTTCTATTGCGAAGCCGCGTTGCTGACTGGCTATAGCTGCTTGTTCTGGATCCCGAGAAGCGAATTCCTCTGGACGATATCCAGCGTCATCCTTGGATTGTCAAGCACTGCGTGAAAGAGGCAAAGCGGAGCTCGGGTTCCTCGAAGGATGGCAAAGCGTGATGGCTTTTGCAGGTCAAATTGGTGTTATGGTGTCTTTTCCTCTATCGTTCCATCCACCGTGTGGATGGCAGGAGTTCTTAGTGAGGCGTTCGGGTACTTTCTGCATTTTTGGAGTTTTTTCTTTCCTTTTTTCTTCTGGAGTATAGCCGGTCAAGATATGGGGACATGTGGGCTATTAATCTTGGTTTTACCCAGTGCCAATGAAATATGGTACATTCAAAAATCTATGGTACAAATGGGGGGTAAACCGTTGCAAAGCTGAGTGGAATCGTAAAGGAAAAAGGGGGAGAGGGGAGAGAGAGTTCGGTATCATCGGTAAATTTCATCAAATGGCCTCGTGTCTCTGAAGCAGCTGTCCCAGACCTCATTAACAACCTGCTGTGCATGAGCCTCGTCTCGGCAAGTAGGCCGTGCCCTCACGGACAAGACAGCCCTTCTCCGAACACACTCTTGATGTTGCTGTGTAAGCTTCCATTGGCCTCTTCGGAAGAACTCACGCGCCCATCTGCACTCGCCGCTGAGTGAGCTGGCTCGGATCTAGAACTGATTAGCTGTTATATCCCCATGAAGTGGTATGAGAACAGTACATACCTCTGTGCAAGCAGCATGTCGTAGGTTATCAGTCCAATTCACTTTGAATCGCAGGTGATCATAGGCGTGGACCATCTCATGAGCCATTGTGTCCTCCAAATGCCCCTGATCCTTCATCTCATTGGCGCAGAGCAGAATTCCGTACTCGGGATCAAATCCGCCACCCTTTCGATCGGTACAACGGCGGCAGTAGATGTTGTGGCTGTGGAGATCGCCTCCAAGTTGCCGGATGTTGTCACTGAGGAAGCGGATGACGGGACCTTCGCCGCGGGTGATTAGCCTTTGTTTGAACCTTTTCCAAAGAGGCAACTCACTGTATTGAAGGAGATAATCACGCTGTTCGTCACAGCGCTTGCAATCGGCTGTTTCATTTCGAATGTCGCGCGCAACGCGGAACTGCTCAATTCCCTCGGATGACATCTTCCCCGTCAAGATGGAGTAGATGTTGCGGAACTGCGTCCATGTGTCATCTCCTGAAATAAACCCAGTATCTGGCTTTCCATTTGAAGGTGCGGTCGCACCTGGCGACTGAGTGTCAGACATCTTGATTTCACAAACTGCAGGAAGCGCGCTGCCCGAAACGAAGAAACTCCGCAGAGGGCGGACACGGCCGGCAGAAACCGGAGATTCCTCCGAGGGAATCGCGCTTCGTCAAATTCCCAAGAAAGACAACGTGCGGGGTACCGTCTATTTCCTTTCAATACGTTTGCATGTGGCGAAATTGTGGTATTTGTTCGAATTGACTGGCTCGTGCACCATGGCGACCTCGGGGCTGACGATTGTGATCAAACTCGGTGCGGGGAGATATATATGACTCGATGCGGAGCGAAGCTAACATCGCCGTTTGAACAGGGACAAGTTCAATTGTCGACGAGAAAACCCACGAACCCATTCTGTCAATCCTGACTCTGATTGTTGAAACGGTCGCCAAGCTGCGCAAGGATGGTCATCGAGTTGTACTGGTCTCTTCAGGCGCGGTGGGGGTTGGCCTGCGGAGAATGGACGTGGGCGAAAGACCAACCTACCTTCCTCGAATACAGGTACGAACGTGACGATTGCATCCTGAACAAGCTTCAGTTCATGGAAGAACGTGAGAATTGGGACCATAGCTGATAAAGATATCCAGGCGCTTGCTGCCGTAGGCCAGTGTCGGCTGATGAGCCTGTGGGATAATCTGTTCTCGCATCTTCGAGTTCCGGTGGCCCAAATTCTTTTGACGAGAAATGATATTGCAGATGTAGGACTTCCATGCACTATTAATTTCTCAGGGCACTTCACTAACCAGAGAACAGAGATCACAATATGTCAACGCCCAAAATACGTTCGAGCAATTGTTCGACATGGGCGTAATCCCCATTGTCAATGAAAATGATACCCTGGCCGTTTCTGTATGTGTTAAACCTTGGTTGGTTATAATTTCCTGAACATCAGATCTAACGTGAGGCTTATAGGAAATCAAATTTGGCGACAACGATACCCTTTCCGCGATCACTGCAGCGACAGTAAACGCCGACTATCTGTTCCTGATGACCGATGTGGACTGCCTTTACACCGCCAATCCGCGCAATAATCCCGACGCCGAACCCATCGAGGTTGTCTCCGACATTTCAACGCTTGAAGCCGACGTATCGTCTGCCGGTTCCTCTTTGGGAACTGGTGGTATGAGCACAAAGATCGTGGCCGCAAAGCTGGGAACCAGTGCTGGTGTGACTACGATTATCACCAAGAGCTCAAAGCCCGGCAACGTTCACGACATTGTGAAATACCTGCAAAGTCTACAGGAGGTTGCGGATTCGAAAGAGGCATCGCCTGATCAGCTCGCGAATATACCCCTGCCTCCTCTTCACACTCGATTTCTCCCATCCGATACTCCAATCAAGTCGCGAACATTCTGGTTGCTTCACGGGCTCACGCCGCACGGCACTATATACATCGACCAAGGGGCTTACGACGCACTTTTCCTGAACAAGGCCAGCCTTCTCCCTGCCGGAGTCCTCGGTGTAGAGGGCCACTTTGGGCAGCAGGAAGCAGTCCGATTAGTGGTAGTGGAACGACCCTCTCCAGATGCTCTGAATGGCGACTTCCTAATCCATGGCCAGGAGCCCAGGGAAGTCGGCCGTGCCCTAGTGAATTACGGAAGTATCGAGATCGCGCATATCAAGGGCCATCGCAGTAGCTCGATCGAGTCACTGCTAGGCTATTCGGACAGCGATTATGTTGCCCTGCATGAGAATATCTCATTTCACCCCGAGGACCGACATAGTCACCCAACCACTCCATCGTTAACGCCAGCACTGGAGGAATGGAAATCACCCCGTTAACCATTGGCGTCTACCACAGACATAATGGTGATCTGAACATAGCACGGCATGGCATATTTAATATAGATGAGCTTCCTCTTCTTATGAACACTGATTTTCGGCTACATTCTAGATTAGAAAAGTGACGGGCACAAAAAAATTAATAATTCTCAAGCGATACCAGTCAACCGAGACAAGCTCGAACAATGGATTCTTATCTCGGGGAACGCAAAGTCCTCATTTCAAGGCCGTAAAATACCGGAAATTATATGCTGTTGATAAAGACTATCATTAATCCTTCCAACGCTCAAGCCACATCTGCATCCTCTTGTCCAGCGATGGTGCAGCCGCAGGGGCAGCCTAAGTAAAAACGATTGTTAGCTCAACGACCACCTAAGTATGGAGATAGAAAGCATACTGTATTCTCAATACTGTGAGCAGTCAATGTGAGATACGCAGTGTCCGTGTACTGAACCGTGGGAGCGGGAAGGTAGGTGGTTGCGATGGAGAAAGGGAAAGGCGGGTATTGAGGCGTTGGCGATCTGTTTGGAATCGTGGTTCCTGCCCTCTTGGGCATCGGAGCATACTTTGTCAGGCCCATCTGCTCGCCGTAGGGGACAGTGTGCTGGTCAACCCCAAACCCGATACGCTTCCGCAGTTCATTTCGTTCTAGCTCGTTGGCCATGGTTGGCGTGGGGAACTGCAGGAAAGCCTTGGTCGCATCGCCGTGAACATCATTATAGAGAGTGGATCCATTGTATACCGGGGCCTTTTCGGCTGCATCGAGAAGATTGGCATCTGGCTCTGCGGTCCAGGGGATCTCGATGAATTGCATTGATTGGAGTGCATCGGATACCTTGGTGGAAAAGGAGCCCTTCATGTTAATTAGGGTGAAATGGGAGGTGAATCCGGACCATTGCTCCTTCTGGTTCGAAGGAACGACCTTGAGGAAGCTACCAATACACAGAATGCGTTAGTTTCAGCTCGAGGCAGCCCGATATACGGGAGTTGTCCATACTATGCATTCAGATCGTTCCCGCCCACGCTTGGGTCAACGCGAAAAGACACGAGGTCGCCAGGTACGAAGACGCTGTCACTAATGACTCGTGCGAGCGAGTCCTTTGATAGTTTAATCCATTAGCCCGGTCCTGCAAGCATCCCAGTATATAGGATACAGAGCTGATCAACTTACGTATGAGCCTGTAGACTCGTCTCCGGCGCACAGGTAGAAATCGTAACGCCCCGATGTCTGCCCGTCAAAAACCCAAACAAGACTCACAGAGTCCCGGCCATCATAAGTCAGACCACTCACGGTCTGAGCCGAGACGGCACCCAATAGGGATAAGAGAACTGGAAGCAGACGGTCGAATCTCATGCTGAGTGGATTGGGAGAGAAAAGACGGTCCGGATCCAATTCCAGGATGAAGCGCACCGAAGGGGGCGGATTCACCCCCCTGCCATCTCGACGGTATGCAAAGTATGCGAACCGTGTTGAGTTTGGCCCATTCCAACGCCCTTCCCCGTCCCTTCAAAGGATGCAAAGGATGCAAATGATGTGCAGCTAAGATAAGCCGTGGTCCGTGCTATCGGGTCTCACCCGTGTCCATTCTGCTGACTCCACTGTGAGACTCAACCTCCCCATCAGCCCACCATGTCGAGTCAAGCCGGTTGGAACTCGGTGACGGGCATCGCCACCAAGCTGCTCGATGGCAGCCCCCTAGCCATCGCCATTGCGATCCTCATCGCCTTCGGTGTCCCGGTGTTTCTGCACATCGTCTTCTACCGCGCTGCAGCGTCGCCGCCCTCTAGCAACTTTCTTCTCCTGGGCCCCAGCGGAGCTGGCAAAACGGCCTTTACGACTTTGGTAAGCTTTCATTCAACTTATGGCGGTCTCTCCTCATTCTGATTCGTGTTTTGCAGTTGGAAGCCAAGTCCTCGCCGGCTTCGAAGAAGTCGCAACTCACCCACACTTCTCAGGCGTCGACGCTGGTCTCCGTCAGCCTGCCGCCCACTGTCCCCACGGCCTCGAACCGATATCGCTCTGTCAATGACCCTTCGTTGAAAGATGCCTCGCGGAACCCGATCAGGTACTGCCTAAAGGATACCCCCGGCCACGGAAAACTGCGTACCTCTCAGGGTATCTCGGAGCTTCAGTCCATGTCCTCGTCCAAGGACGTGAAGACAAAGATCCGGGGTCTGCTCTTCATGGTTGACACCGCGGCCCTAGTGGACGAAGCCTGTCTACGGGATGCTGCATCCTACCTTCACGACGTTCTGCTGGTTCTTCAGAAGCGATCAATGGGCAAGGGCAAGTCTTCTACCAAGCGAGAGGCCGAAATCCCCGTCCTTATTGCCGCAAACAAACAGGATTTGTTCACCTCTCTGCCACCTGGGTCGGTGCGAGAGAAGCTTGAAGCCGAGATTGATCGAATTCGCAAATCCAAGACCAAGGGTCTTATGGATGCTAGCATGGACACCGGACTGGAGACCGAGGAAGATGTGCTGGGCGATGACGATGCCCAGGGTGTTTTCACCTTCAAGTTGCTTGAACAAGTGGGAATCAAGGTTGATGTGGTTGGGGGTGCTGTCAAGGGTGACCCGCAGGAAGAGTTTGGATCCGGCGTTCGTCGCTGGGAAGAGTGGATTGGCATGTGTCTGTGAGCATAATTCAATGCATCAGCCTTGCTGTACCTGTTTTGTTTCCAAAAAGCGTCGATTCCCCTGTATGTGCGAGAGGACCGAGTATCCTTTTTCTTTTCAGCTTGCATATAGATGGACATGGGCGCTGTATAGTGGAGGCCCACGTCCTTAGCTACAAAAAATTCCACTCATCTACGAACATCAAAGCCGCGTAGTGAGCATCAGTTGACCGTTGTAACCAACACCATTTGTCGCAAATCTCTTGTCAGTTCATTGGGGTGAGTGTTTGTATTCATACGGGAGGGAACACTAGGCCTTCGTGAGAGAATGAGAAGAAGCACAGACACACGAAAATCGGATATTCTCCTCTTGTATATTAACGAGTTTATAAAATATTATGCAAGGGTGCAGCGATAAGCCCGCGCTGCACAATCTATCCAGATTCCACAGTGAGTTGAATCCAACCGGAGTCTTGATATGACATCTCCGGTTGACGCAGGGGAAACGCCGGTCCCGAAAGAACAATGACAAACCAGTAACTAGGAATGTTGAAACTCCACCCGAGAAGCAGAAGAAGGTACTTCCAGGAATGCAAGCCTAGGATGAAAAAAAGTAGAGCCGGTTAAGCGCCGTTGGTCTTGCTTTGGCGAAGCATCCAGGTGAGCAAATCAACCTTGGTGACAATAGCCAGAGGCTTCATCGCGCCACTCTCGTCCTTCTCCGTGACAATTGCGGCACTGTTCCACTCAAAGAATCGGTTCAACACGCTGAGCGGAGTGTCCATGGTGATCTCAATGAACTGGCGTTGCTTGGTCTGGGCAAGGGTGGTGTCTGCTCCGTTGGACTTCGCGCCCGACGAAGAGCGGGTGACACCCATATCGCGAGGGTCGGTGACAACCTCCGGAATTTTCGAGAAATCGAACATCACCTCGGAAACCGGGCTCTTTCCGGTCACGCGGCCGTGAGTCAACCGGCTGAGAACGTTGCCCAGTGTGAGAAGACCCACGAGCTTTCGGCCGGAGGGAGCGAGAACGGGCAGCTGGTCGAAGCCCTTCTCACGCATGGTTTCGATTGCGGTCTCACACGGGATGTTGGCGGTCACGGTAGTGATAGGCTTCAGTCGGAGAGCGCTGACCTTCGCACCAGCCAAGGGGTCTGTAGACACCGGAAGCTGCTGCGTCTTAGCGACCATGACAGGGGACGACGACGACAACAGGTCGTTGGCAGCCAGCCAATCGTCATCGGCAAACTTGGAAGTAGTCAATATCAATAGTAAACATATATCAGCTCAGCATGAACTCACCTTGGTCAGATAGCTTCGGATGCTATCAGGGAGGACAACAACCACGACGTCGTCCTTGGCAAATTTGCGCTCCTCATTGGCCTTAACCAGAGCTGCAACGGCACTTCCACTGCTGCCACCGACTAGGAGACCTTCCTCGGCGATCAAACGCCGCGAGTACTGGAAGGACTCCTTGTCGGCGGTCTTGTACCACCGGTCAACAGCCTTCCGGTCCAAGACCTCGGGAATGAAGTCGTAGCCGATGCCCTCCACCTTGTAGGGCTCGTTCACGTGTGCGTCGTTCAGCGATTCCGGCAGGGCCAGAATAGAGCCATGGGGATCAGCACCAATCACTTCGACATTGGGGTTGTGCTTCTTGAGACCCCGAGCGAGACCGGTGATCGTACCACCAGTGCCTGCACCAGCCACAATGGCCGTGATCTCTCCCTTGGTCTGCGTCCAGATCTCTTCGGCGGTGCCGAATTCATGGGCATTGGGGTTGTTCTCGTTACCGTACTGATCGAGGATGTGAGCGTTGGGCAGTTCCTTCTGCAGACGCTTGGCCACTCCAATGTGGGATTCGGGCGAATCGTAGGCGGCCTCGTTGGGAGTTCGGATGATGGTGGCGTTCAAAGCACGCAGAACGGAAACCTTCTCAGCGGACATCTTCTCGGGGAGAGTGATGATGGTTTTGTAGCCTGTCGCGAAAAAAGAGTTAGCACGGGCTAAATCATGCGTTAACCCTTCTCTCCGACAATGAACTCACCCTTGACGGCACCGACCAGAGCCAATCCAATACCACTAACAATCCCATTTAGCACAATCCACACGCAATTGTATGAGACAGAAAAAAACCTACGTGTTGCCACTGGTGGGCTCGATCAGGGTGTCGCCAGGCTTGATCCGACCGGACCGCTCTGCCTCTTCAATCATGCGCAGGGCAATGCGATCCTTGACACTGCCGCCGGCATTGAAGTACTCCAACTTGGCGTAGACGGTGGCATCGATACCCAGGCTGCCGGGCAGACGGTTCAGTCGGACCAGAGGGGTGTTGCCGATGTGCTGGGTAATAGTATCCAGCGCCACTGGCGGAATAGCGGGTCTAGTCGTGGAAGCCATAATGGTAAAGAGCTTCCTGGGAATGGTGATGAATGAAGGTTCCGAAGATTTCGCCATCGCAACTTTTTCCACGTTTGATCGCCCCGCCCGACGGTAGCCGCATGCAGGTGGGCTGGGCCAGGCACCACCCTGTGTTGATCATTAGAGCGTCTCGTCCGGCTTTGAGATCCATTCAAGTTCAACTACTATTGCACACTTACTCGAGCAGATGTGAGCCCCGTGCACCGTGCCAATTGCAACACGAAACCCGCAACCCACAGGGCCAACTCTCTCCTGTTTGTTTACGCCATCTCGGCGATTTCCGACCCGAGTCCAATGGACACCATCTTTTGGTGCTACGATGAGTGACTTTGACATCGAGAGTTAATTAACTCGGGCCGTCGGGCCTCTATAGTCACGAAGATCATCGATCGTCTTCTGGGCCCAGTTCCTCTCGGCGCCCGTCAGCGTCCAACTCTGCAGGAGCCAAGCCTGTGGCTGTGCAGATGGTGTTCTCCACAGTTGTGGTTTCATCCCTGAGATGAAGACCAAGATGATGCATGCTTCCAGTCGAGATGCCAATTCATCGGACAGCTTAACCAAGGGGAGGGGGCTGTGGGATACGGACCCATGCGGCAAATACAGCAACCGGAGACACCGAACGAACACGAGAATCTACACGAGATCACTCCATTACCGATCGGAAGTATTTGTGCCTCGTAATAGCGCCCCCCACCTGGCGGTGAGGGTGCGCCACACCATAAGCCCAATTATCTCCGTAAACCCAAATTCTATGCTATTCAGCTAATTATCACCGCGCTGGGTTCGGATCGAGGTAAAAAAGGTCGCCTGCTTCTTCTCCTGCCCTCGCTGCTTCTATAGATGCCTCACTCTCCTGGGTAGGCTGTTTTGGTGGCGGTTTACCGTGCACTTTCTCATGCAGTTTCGCTAGCCGTTTTATATCCCGGGAGGCCTCATCTGCCTTCCTCTTCGCAATAGATCGATTGGCATCGCGTACGCTGAGGATGCCAGTGTGCCCGAGTGGTTTAACGTGTCGTTTAGTGTAATTCCGTCGTAGGGGGGCACGAGCTGCCGTCATTCGACTAATAATCTCGTTCGAGAGAGCCGCATGCTCCGCCACCACCTTATTGTGTTTAAAGACACGTAGTAGGCCTCGTCGCTGCTTTAGGGTAAGGCCATCGATCTTAGATAGCTTCTGGTGGTTCTTTTCGAGTGCTTGGATGCTTTTTGGAGGTGTATTTTCGACGCTAGAGGACGAGAGCACAGTTGGGGGTGGTGATAGTGTTTTCTCTCCAAATGGGCGAAGATTAGGTGCCAAAAGCACTGGAAGGTCGATATTTTAGCTATTAGCGAGCTTCTCGATGATTATAGTGCCGTCTGGTGGCCAAATCCCTCGATCTTTAAAAGAATCTCGAATAATTCGTGGATTAAAAGCCTTCGCGCGCACAGTGGTGATGCATCGTAGGAAGTCGGCTTTCCCTATAGGCTCACCCGCAAGGAACGCGAGGTTATTATTCTCTCTCCGAAAGTGCTGCTTATAGCTTAAAAAGGGCTTTCCATTAAGCGGTTGACAAAGATACGTTGAATGAGGTTCGAAAGCGAAGCAAATAAGCTAATAATCCTCGCATCTCTGCAGAAACTCCTTCGTGAAGTGGGCGCTATAGCCATCGAATAGCAAGATACGTTTCTCCCCTTTTGACGTACGACTAATCGTCGCCTCGTGGAAGTACTGAAGCCATTCAACAGCTAATTTATTAGAGATCCAGCCATTTAGAGATATAGCCGTAAGCGTCCGCGGCGGAAGAGCTTCGCTACCATAATACTAAGTCTCCATCCTCGTCGAGCCCTTGAAGATAAACAGTGGATCTATCTGCTAACCATCGGCAGCGATACATTCGATAGCGGTGATAGTTTCGCTACGTTTAGCTTCGCAGAGATCGGGTATAGGTATCGTACGGCTACCGATTACCGTTTGCGCTTTACCTCTACTAGGTTGGAAGCCACATTTATCGACATTATACACTAACCGCGGCGCTATATCTTTGACGACATTCCTCCACCGATTATACTATAGCTCTAGCACTCCGCTATCCTCCGCCTGGATCCGCTTATACTCCTTCGTTCTCTGCTTCACTGGGGCAAGCGATAGATCTTCGGGGAGACGTTTAATGAAGCGGTAAACCCACATCTTACTTAGCTCCTCGCGTTCAGCACCCACGCGCTTCAGGGAGAGATTGGCTATCTCTTCTAGTAACGCAGGCGTCACTGGGAGATACCGATCACGCATATCACGTATCCAGTGAGTCAAAGCTTCCTCCTGATAGTCCTGAAGAGCCTTATTGACAGGTTTCCGGGCAGTGCGAGCTAGTTTACCCTGTCGGAGGCGTCCCCGCAGCACCTCGTACGAAACACCATATTCGCGGGCGATCTTCGATAAATTCGGCTTTTTTTGGGCACGGGCGACTTCGCAGGCCTCAGTTACACGAGATTCGGGGGCTTTGGACGATTCTGGCATGCTGGGTGGGTGGGAATAGCTTCAAAACGAATAATTTGAGAGCATTTGGGTTTACGGTGATAATTGGGCTTATGGTGTGGCGCACCCTCACCGCCAGGTGGGGGGCGCTATTACGAGGCACAAATAGCTGCTGCCAAGACCTCCTGGACTCCTCCAGCTCCATCTCTTGGCTTGATGCCAGGGTTGATTGGCTGCGACAGATTGTCAGCGCACGGCTGGTGTGTTTTTCTTTTCGCCTGTATAGACTGCAGAACCTTTCTCGTGCAGACCTCGTGCATTCCTTCTTTGTTGATCTGGCCGTTGATATCTGATCGCTCTGGTCCATTGCCAGGCCTTCAATCGGCTTTCTAGCATCGCCTTCCTTTTGGTGTAGAGATGGGCTTCAGCAGGTCCTTGGCGACCAGGGAGCCACCCCCGCAGGCCAGCGGCGACGACATCGAGCCGCCGCAAGAGAAGGATACCCAGGGAAGTTCTGTCTTGCCTACTCACGAAAGAAAAACTCACCCCCATCGCTATGTGCTAGGCCTCTTCCGGGTCCATAGTGCCGGCGAGAGCGGCCGCACGGGGATTCATCCGCTTCACTTCTTTCGCGTGTGCTTCAAGAGCGTCTGTACAGCTTCAATGATGGTGAATATTTTGTGGCCTTTTGTGCCGGCTGCGATCGTGATGCACTTTGCTCGGCCTGACCTTCACGTCTGGGTCTTCACGCTCAACTACATCGCCATGGTACCATCTGCCAATTTGCTCGGTTTCGCCGGTGGAGAGCTGGCTAAAAAGCTGCCCAAGGTGTTCGGTGTTTTACTGGAAACAACTCTAAGTGCCGTGGTGGAAATCGTGCTCTTCATGGTTCTGCTCCACAATTCCGGCGAACAGGACCTGATCCCCGTCATCCAGGCCGCCATTCTCGGCTCGATCCTGGCCAATCTGCTTCTCTGCCTGGGTACTTGTTTCTTTGTCGGAGGCCTCAGGCGTGACGAGCAAGTATTTCACGAGGCAGTCAGTGAGGTTGGAACGGGACTACTGCTGGTCGCAGGTTTTGGGTTGTTGATTCCAAGCGCTTTCTACACCGCGCTGAAAGGCGCCCTCAACCCGAAGTTCACCCTGGAGGAATTGGAACGATCAGCCTTGACAATCAGCCGCGCAACCGCTGTGATCCTCCTAGTCGCATTCATCGCGTAAGTACCAGGGCCGGCCAAGATTGGTGACCGAGCTCGAGCTGACTTTGTTTTGATAGATACCTCATTTTCAACCTGCACAGTCACAACTCGATTTTCGATGAGATCCTTGCATCGGACGAGGCACAAGATGAGGACCGAGATCAGGAGCTCCAGAGGGCCAAGCTCACGTTCCTTGAATGTATCATGGCCATTGTGATCTCCTTGACTTGTGTCTGCATGTCGGCCGTCTTCCTCGTGCAGGAGATCGAGCACATTGTGGCCCTCGGCGTTTCCGACAACTTCATGGGATTGATCCTGGTTCCTCTGGTCGAGAAGGCTGCTGAGCACCTTACGGCTGTGGATGAAGCTTGGGACAACCAAATCAACTTCGCCCTCTTCCATTGCCTGGGTCCATCTATCCAAACGGCTCTCCTGAACGCTCCGCTCGCCGTCATTGTGGGCTGGGGTTTGGACAAGGACATGAGTCTCAACTTCGAGATTTTCATGGTTGTTCTACTGGTGCTCTCTATTCTGGTCGTCGGCAACTTCTTGCGAGATGGCAAGTCCAACTACCTGGAGGGGACTCTGTGTGTGCTCGTCTATGTTATCATCGCCGTCACGTCCTGGTATTATCCCGGAGTGGAGGATGCTTCGACCAACCAAGCCTAAGGTGATTAATCTGGACATTTCTTTTATATATTAATACATCTGTTCTATGTGTGTCATTAGCGTTGTACCTGTCAGAACTTAGGGTTCGGTGGCGACGGCAGGGCGCTGTCGGCGGTGTCTGGGTTCGTCCGGCCAACCGCGTGAATACCCTTGGCTCTCTTAGCCGATGGCCAATGGATGTAATCCCCTAGTAGATACCGCTGGTTCTCCGCTGGTAGTTCCTGCGGGAACTGAGCCCATCCCCGTAGGGATTCTGGTAGCCGCCGAGGGGCTTCGATAACCGGATCCCCTTGACCTTCGCCGTCCGTATCCTGAATTGGTGTCCGTGTCTGCTGATCGGAGGATCGAGGTAGGGGAAGATATGGATTAGTATGGCGTGGAGTGACAGGCCTCGACTGGGGTACGGGTGGTGACGGGAGGGTAGGTAACTCCCACGTCTTTGGAGCTTGACCCGCTAACCCGTGATCATGCTCAGTCATCAGAACGTCAGGAAGTCCTCCAACTCATCGTCACTCGTCCATTCCTGCGCGAGATGCTGGGTATCCCCCTCACGGAGGTCTCGCAGGAGGCGAGGGACGCATACCGGCTGGTTTCTCTCCATCCAGATAGCGGCAAGCTCGTTCCTCAAGCTCTCGTCCCTCCCTTGCGCTCTGATATTGATGCGGTAGTGACTGACCATCGCGTAGACTTCCTCGGTGGTCAGGGTAACTGGTCGTCTAGATGAAACCAGGCGTGCTCGGGCGACACCTGCGGCTCTTTCTATTTCTTGTTGTCGTTGGGCGGAAGGCTCCAGGCGGGTTGGGCTCACTGAAGCCGCTCGCGCTTTCTCTTCCATTGCGGTGGAAGACTGACGCTGCATGGCCAGTTCGGAGGGATCCGGTGGCCGTAGAGCTGCCGCTGCCGCTGTAGCCTTTCGGGAGGGGGGTTTGCGTCATCGAGATTAGCGAGGAGAACGAACGAAGGGGAGGGGCGATATCGAAGTGAGAGTAATGAGAGCGAAGAGGAAACGATGACGGCGCTAATGAATGATGGATGGAGGAGACGAGGAGGTAACGAAGAGGAGAAGAGTCTCCGTAGTGAGGCAAACGGAGAGATGAGGACGAAGGAATCTCTACGGCGAGAGATGGAGATGACGACGGAGGAAAATCTCTACTGTGAGAGATGGACGGAGGATCACCACCGCGAGAGATAGAGGAGAGTTGAAGGACGGAGGATCTCCATTGCGATTTTTATTCTTTTTGAGCTTCACGAAAGATAGCAGAAAGCAGCCGATGGAGAATTATTGATAAAATAACATTTTTGTTTTTGCCACACTCCCTAGCAATAATTCCTCTTGCCACACCCCCTAGTAATAATTCCCCAGTACTCGCGTAGCAAAGTTTGATCGAGCATACAAAGAAACGAAAGGAACAACGAGAAGAGGCAACCCCCATTTATATGCCTTTCTGGTGGAAGGGGATATTTTCCCCAACCAGGGGAACTTCAGACAACGCGTCTTCATGGATTAGGGATCGCCCAATGATGACCCCTATAACTGGCTCAAGATCGAGAACTGCATCTATCCTCGCCCACGTCTCCCAGTTCATCCGTACTAGTATCAGTGCCGACTTTGTTGTCTGGAAAGCGTCCACGATAGAGAGCTTAAATGGTACAGGGAGTGTTTCCACAAACCGTCTAAACTCCGTGGTGACCTCTTTCGCCGGTCCGGCAAGGGTCAGCTGTACGAGAACATGTTGCTCGTCAGGGTCTGGAAATGTAGTCCGCACAGGTACTCGAGATGGCCGCGGCGAACCAGGAGGAGGCAAGTTCTGAAGCGGTATAACGATAGGGGTTAGACCGCCAAGATTTCCTAGCTGGGGATTTGGAGTTCTGGCGTTTTTCGTCTCCTGTAGTCTCTGGAACAGTTTGGGGATCGAAACTTTCTCTCTATGGAACTTCTGGGCATGTTCCACTTCTCTGCAGAATCGTTGAGTAAAAGTAATACTCGTAGCTCTGGACCGTGCCGTTTCTCTTGGGCCGCAAGCTGCTAAGATCTGAATAGAACGTGTCGGGTTGCTCCTAGTAGCTACTCCCGAATAGCAGCAGTCGAGGAAACCGAAAAGGTCATACGGGCAAGCGGAGGGCGGATATTGTGTCCTCGCTAACAGGAAGTCCCACAAGATCTTTTTCCCGGATGAAGAAGTGAAACAAAGTCCATTGTTTGTATCCATAGAGCCATGTCCCACATAACCGAATATAATGAGGGATTGTAGGTTTGGATTGCTCAGATGAGAGCGGCGTACCATTTGGTCGAATTCATCGGTCACTGTGTACCCAGGCATGGGATCATTTTTCTTGAGTTCCACACGGATGGTCTTAACGCCGAAAGCAGAGTGGAACGTCTTCTCCAGCCTATCAACGTCGGACTTTGCCCCTGTGTTGTCATCTTCCCAGTAGAAGACTAGTGCGGTTATTGTGCGGTAAGTGTTTCCTCTTGCTCGCACCGCTTCCTGAAGCGTAGTCTTTAGAGCGGGCAGCGGGACATGAGAGGTGGAGGGTCTGGAGGAGGTCAAGATGGCGGAGCTTGGGTCCGGGGAGCTTGTGTTCGGGGAACTGGGCGTATCTGGAGACATCTTATCGGGAGAGTGAACTAGAGTGAAAGGCGAAGTTTGGAGTAAAAGGGAAAGGGAACTCTTGGAGGAAGAGACAAATAATGAAACTCACTTAGGGGCTTCTGCGTTCAAATAAGGAATGGACGACCAGTTAAGGGAAAGTAAAAAAAGGAAGGACCATAAGAGACGCTCCGTTCCCTAGATGGGTTTCGGGTCGGAAATCGCTACCGAGGCAGACTCTTGTCGTTGTCCCGATGTTGTCGTCGCCGTCGACGCTTGCCGAAAGAAGTGAGAGAGAGATAGGCGATGACGGAAAAGCCCCCGATGCAGCGAGAGACAGTGGAGAGGATGGAAGAAGAAGGGAGACGAACTCAATCAATACTCGACTAATCCTGTCGATGGAACAACTCGTCGCGAGAGAGGAACAGATCGACTTCTTGATGGAAATTTCATTCAGGAACTAATAACGATAGAAAGAGGATGCAATCCATCTTCTATTGGCTTATCTCATTCTCATCTCGTCCGTCATTAGCGCGAATCCCTGTCTTGTGTAAGCCGTCCTGATCGTCGTCTTGCCGGAGCTTCTTCATCAGATCTGTCGTTGGTGCGAGCCCTCTTCCGAGACCTTACGGGCGCCAACCGGATCGTATCTTGCGTCGTGGGAGATCTCTGCTCTGGGGTCATCATGGAAACGGATCCTCGTCGCGGCTCTGGAGTTGGAGTCGAAGCCTGGAAGACGTCGAAGGTAGACGGCGTGTGCACCGATCGCGGACTAGGCTCTTTTGTCACGGAAGGAGCAGAAACCTGCAAGGGATCGGAAGCAGCATACTCACGGCGTCTGCGGTCGCGAATGGCGGCTTCCCGAGGGCTGTTATCAAAGATATCGGAGTGACCCGCCGTTGGGGATGACGCCGGCATCACTTCTGGATCCGTGACCATGGCGTCGGATGAACGAGGGTATGTATGCGTTGCAGGGTGATATTGGGTATGCTGAGGTCTACAGGTCTGTAGGTCGGTTGGTATAGACAGAACACATCTGCTTACGGCCGCTCTTATAGCTGAGTATGTGAGTATTGGCCTATATATGATGCTTCTTTCATCTACTAGGCTGTATCGCTAAGTATGGTTTTCTTTCAGACCTCTCTTTCATAGCAGCGGGTTCTACAGACATCATATAAAGCCCTTTGTACTGATTCTAATGCTTTCGGTCTGAAAGAAATGGGTAAATTTAGTATGGGAAGGATAAATATAGCATGAAAGCGTCGAATTCAGTACAAATTCAGGATGACTAATCAGTTTCGGCAGATGCAGCGTAGACAAATGAGACTGAGAGCCGACAGATTTCGGGCACGGTCAGCATCCCTTATTCCAGGCCGAGCCTGGAGAAGCTCTGGCCAGGCCAATCCTCCTTATCGGGCTCGAGTTGGGCGACTCTCAGCCCGAAAGATTCACCGTGCCGCATTCCACGTCCCCGCCCGCGAAAGACAACATCCCCGAGCATGGATTCCGGAATCCCGACGGACACAGTGCTTTCCATACTCAGGGAGAGAAATCTCATAGCCAAGAAAGATGCGATTGAATCTGCTCTGAAGGACCCGGATACCGGCCACAAAAATGCGGAGTGGGTGTCGATTCATCTGCAGCCGGAGACTCTGCTCTCTCGGGAGGAACTAAATCTGTGTGCTCCCCAAAGAGAATAGACCCTGGCTTGAGCAGCAGCTAACGTTATGAATCAGATACACCAGGCTCGAGAACAACGGTCTCCTCCAACCCATTCTTCGCGACCCAGGTCTCAATGCGACGCGCCCCTTTTTAGAAGACGACATACGAATAGCGATTGAAACCCTCCAGGCATCGACAGCTACCATTCAAAGACAGATAGAGACGTTATCACTCCAGTGTGAAACGCTCAAAGGTCAGCTGCGACGGCAAGGGGACTTGGATCAGGAACGAATTCGAGACCTCGGACGGCTGCGAAACAAACATGAAGCTGGGAGGCAAACCACGACAATTGCGGTAATTGCACGGCATGGAATCGTCATTGGGACATATTGCTGACCTTTCACAGGCCAATGATCTTTCCGACGAGCTGCAGGCAAGGTTCAGAAGTGCAACGGACAAGTCTGGGGCAGAGAACAAACGAATCCTCTCCTCGTTATCTACTCAATTGAAGCAAGACGATAAGATACTTGCGGGCCTAGAGGCACTCATATCCGGCATCAAGTTAAATGGCAGTGATGCATCCACTGTCAAACGAACCGCCGATCTCAGTGCAATGCTCGCAGACACCACCGCTCAAGAAATTCACTACCGCTTAGACCGATTGTATCTTGAGACGATACAATCAGGGAGGTCAGACTATGGCCAGACAGCCGTGGAAGACGAGACAGTTTCTGCGATTCAAGAAGAACTGGAATCTCTGTATCCTGAAATTGAGATTCTTGCAGAGATGTCCACGAAGCAACAGTTCCAAGAACCGATTCTTCGGGAGATCCGTCATGAACATGGACAGCTTTGCGCAGCATCACAGCATAAGCTGGAACAGGTGTGACTCGCTTCCCACCGCTCGACCTGGTCTAGACTAAACAAGTTATAACAGACACTCGATATCTTACTTGACATGACTCTGTCCAGGCAGACACTGTCGAAGCAACTCGAAGACCGGGAGTCTTTATGTGAATTATTAGAGCAGCTCGCCTCACTCTATCAGGCCGAAGCAGGCATTCCGTTGGTGTCTCAAACGTCTTCTCGCCGGGAATCCCTCCGACGGCGTTCAATGCAACCCGGTGCCGTCCTTGCAGCCAGTCACAGCCCGGCGCCGGCGCCCGAACAGCCCGTTCTGGAGAGCCTCCTACGACGTGTTGGGGTGTCGCCCGAATCCGTGCTTCGTCCCCGTGCGGAGGGTGGCAGTGCTCAAGAACTCCATGAGAAGCGGATTCACATATCGGAAACACTACGGAGTCTTGGGGCAGCAGTGGAATCGCCTTTGATGGCACAATTGGCCCCGGTGGACAACGCATCCCAGGTGCTGGCTTCCTCATTGCACTCCAATTCCCACTTTAAAACGTCTCTGCGCGATCCCGGGCAAGAAGAATCATTAGCAAGCCTAGAGGCTGAGCTTGCCCTGCTGCAGAGAGGCGTGCAAGGGCTCAATCTGGAAGTACTCCACCAGCGAGACAAGACGCAGGATAGGTTCCTTGAGCGATGGAGCTAGGAGTGAGGCCGTTCTGCCTAATAAATCGTACAAAGCTCCGTGGGAGCCACTGAACCCCCATCACAATGTCAGCCATCGATGTGCTCTCGTAACATCTCAGCCTGTGGTTGCCGTTGGCGCGAGAAGACACTCGAAACCAACGGGCAGCAGCAGCCGTGATTCGCCGAACGTTGTGGCTGGTGATGCGCCACCCCGTCCTGCATTGCACCCGGTTCCGTGAGAAGCAATGTTGCGCAGGAGATCGCGATCGTGATCGCTTTTCACCCAGTCAATCCTCGGTGATGTCAAATTTACCCTGTGTCTTGTCTTTTGGGCACCCAAGAGCCTCACTGCTTTTCACGTGGAGGAGTTTCCTCGGGCGTCCATCGTGTTCCCCGCGCAAGGCGGACCAGGTTGAACCCCGGAGAGGCTCGAAAGTTCTACGACTCGACCACCACCCATCGGACCTAGACTCCGTAATTAATGCGATTTAAAATAGTAATTATTTTCTACTCCCTACGTTTGATGTTTGATTGGAATGGAGCACATGCCAACCCAACTAGAGTACCGAAGTATGTATGCTGACGGCCACCGTCTCAACAGACTCGCAAAGTGTAAAAGAGAGAGTCAGCAATCCAAGTCCTAAGCAGAGTCAAATATCGAAAGCAGTGAAATGCCCTATAATGTACCTGACATACCCGAAACCCCCAGATCGGGTGCACTTTTGTCATCCGCATTTCCCCTGCTGACTCGCTGCGCCCCTGTGACCCATTTTCAGCCACACCACAAAAACAGAGAAATTCAGAAAAATTATCGCAAAGAGAAGCACTGCTGCCTTCTCCTATATACTACGCTTCATTATGGAGACCCAACAAAGAATATATATATAAAAGTGTGCGGTTGGAAACCGTGTTCTCTGTTCATCATGGCTCTGAATAGTCCCCCGTCGCGTTGGCTATATACTATGTTCCCGAAAAAGACAATGACGACTGAGCTCTGCAACGGAACAAACGAATCACCTGCAGTGCGCCTATGACAGTCACCACATGGCTTTGGGGTCTATACTTAGGTAGGCATTGTTCCTTCTACTGCTCGTTTCACCTTTCTTTCTACTCTTTGTATGCGGGTCTTTGTATGTCTTCTCTTGAGCAGGACGAAACATCCAGCCTCAGCCCCGTTGATCATGACCTTGCATTTTTGTCGAATATCTTGCTCGAATGCCTCTTGGTCTGTCGAGGCATCGTTTGTTCCGAGTCTCCTGATCTATATAACGCCCTTCGTTCTGCCCTGGTGCTCGCCATCATGTTGTCAAACATTGATGAAACCGATCTATGTAGCGAGCATAGCACGTATTTTTCAGAAAGTTCTTACGACCTGCTCCGTCCGAAACGTCCGAAACGTCCAAGACGTCCAAGACGTCCAAGACGTCCAAGGCGTCCCAGACGACGGCCCTTGCTTAGCTACAGACCGTGGTCGGGATATCGGCACACGGACGATTTCGAGTGTTCTCGATCAGATCTTCTTGAAGATAGTGATTCGGTGACGTCGGATTACTCGTTCTACGAGTCCAGGATCTCAAGCACATACATTTCAGAGTCGCTTCCGAGCTTGGACATGATCCGACCCAGAAAGTGGCTGTCTTCGATTCTCGACCTCGTATTCCTGGACGTCTTCAAGAAAAAGACCAAGGACAGTCGTAGAAAGAAGGACAAAAAGCCATCTCGAAAGCGTCCGTCGCGGGCAGTTGTGGTCGACCCCCCGGAGAATCCAGATGAAGAGGATTTTCGTCGAGAACGACGTACCACTACGACTCGATATATGCTACCCAGGATGGATTTAGATCCCATATCCGAGCCACAAAAAGACCGTTGCCCCCGGGATGACTGCGCCAGGACTCCGGAGGCTAGAAAGCCCCCAGATATCGGCGTCGCCGAGAAAAGTCCATAGTGACCGAACGGAAGCCCCTCCGACGAGGACGGCGGACATCCCCAGACCGGACGTTCGAGGTACACAAGACCAATTCCTTGAGAGACCCTAAATCTTACTGGGCTCAACAGGTCGATCGCGAAAGCGTGCGTGCATTCGAAGTAACTACAACAAGTCGATCCACTAGAGTGAAAAGACCCATGACGGAAGCGTCAACATCGGCCGGTGGGAAACAACGAGCCTTGGAAACGAGAATGCCAAAGCGCGGAGGCTATACACGACCGAGCGATGGACCCGAACCGATCACGATTGAACACCGCGCACCGCGACCTCGGGCGAGATCACCCATGCCACAAGTCACCGAGAGTCGCAAGGTCGAAGAAAGAGCACCTCGCGTCGAATTTGACGAAAGAACACCTCGAACACAGCCTCGGATCATACAGCATGGAATCGGCGGGCTCTCAAACACGGGCGTCGAGGTTCTCACTCGTGCCCGGTCTCGCCAGGACGATATACAAGTCCAGGGCGATACATGGGTCGAGATCAAAAAGAATCGCAACACACGGCGTGTTGGAGAGCGACCCTCCCGTCCCTATGGCCCTGGCCCGAGTAGCTGAGTGAAGATGATCACTCGCGTTGCGTAGGAGTCGTGGTCTGGCCACAATGACAGATGCCTGGTGTCATCGCATGATACCCTAATACCCGGCGCGGAATTGGAGCACGGAGTTTCACTTGGTGGGCTTTCTTTAGAGGTTCTTGCTTTTCATAGACGGTCAAGTTATAAAATTGAGACTGTTTACCCGTTGATTTAGGAACCTTGCAGATGACCGTAGAGGTTTAGATCGAGTGGGTTTCAAGTGGAGAATGAATTCGCGGTGTTCAATCCAATCCGGCGCGAGGCGGGTCAACCCATCCAACACCTTATCTTTTGCCCCCTGATCTTCCCACTTCTTCCCAGTTTTCTTTTTTGAAATCCTTAATTCTCCCATTGTTTCGGTTTTTGGGAACTCCCGGTCTCTTTACCCGCTATCTATTGCCTAGAATTGACCAGGGTTACCGTGCGAGGGGTGATTGGATGATAGTAAGTTTCGCGGTGATGGCGCTGTGGCTTTTTGGGCATGCGACGTTAACCACCGTCAGGCAGTCGGGCCCCATACGTTTAACAGATTCTCGATCGATTGCATCTCCGGTGGCCGGTTCTTCTCACTGCGCTCCCTTATCCTTGCGCGCATTCTGTGCCCTTTCTGCGACGTGATCCCAGATCGCCACGCCAGTACAAAGCCCGCGTGTCCTTTGGTGTCATAAAATGAGATATCCATTCGAGGAGCATCCGTCCACCTTTAGGCCCGGGTGCGTTTTTTCCTCTCGCATCGCCCTGTTAGCGTACTCCTGCGCCGGTCAATAAACCACGGCAGCATGGCCGCAGTCATGACGCAGATCGAGTGCGGTTCGCAAGGCGCGAAATCCCCGCGGCCTATGCTAAAACTGGGCTCTCCCACCGGCGCAGAGAAAAACGCAGCAAATGGGGCTGCGATGGTCTTTGAGATCTTGCCTGAGACGGCTTTGCACCGGCTCTGCGATAATGTCGAAAGGCTGAATGACCATTTTGCGGCGACGCCAGGGAGCAAGGATCCAACTTCATTCGTCTCCACACCCCTTGAAAGTGGTACACCGGGAGATGAAGCAACGTCAGTCACCGCGGTGGGCCTACACTGTGGAGATGTGGAGGATGCGGCCAACCGGACCCGCGAAGAAGCTTTCCAACTAGCGCTGCTCTCTCGAAAGTTCCTGTCAAAGAAGGTGCCTCCGATCTCGATACGAGACTACGTGCTGCGGCTGCACCGTTATTGCCCCATGTCTACGGCCGTGTTTCTTGCCGCGAGCCATTACATTACAAGAATGGCACTGTCAGAGAAGACCATCCGCGTGACACCGAAGAACATGCATCGGCTTGTCCTCGCAGGCCTTCTCGTGGCTACCAAGGCTCTCGAAGACCTGAGCTACCCACATGGTCGTGTGGCCAAAGTGGGCGGAGTCAGTGAATATGAGCTGTCCAAACTAGAGATCAGCTTCTGTTTTCTGGCCAACTTTGAACTGCGCGTGGATGCGCAGATGTTAATGGTCGAGGTCACATCGCAGAACATTTCAAAAGAAGTTACAAACGTATAATGCATATCCTTCATGAGTACCGGTGACATAAATATACAATTAGTTTCAACTCGAGTCCATTGGGAACGCGGCTGCCTATGTGGCTGAGTAATCGGCCATGTGCGTGATCGCGCCCCGGACGAACCTTAGTCCAAAAAAAAAATACGAGCGTTCTTTTCCCTGGTAGAGAGTTCAAGGTGAGACGAGTGAGTTTTGTCTACAAGAACTGTTTCGCTCGGTTTCAGCGTTGAGTACTGAGTGTTGGGTGTCGTTAGCGTCCAAACGTTTCCCCGACTCCAAAAAAGTTCCGCCCTTTCGCCGCTCATCCCCAAGTCCACCGACTCTCCTTCCACCATTCCGTCAGCTATACATTCGCTGTCTACCAGATTTCAAGTGTGTTTGCGACAGGGATCCGCCATGTACCCATAGAGACCGTCGTTCATTGAAATTCCCGAATTCGACTCCTTCGTTTCCCCCCGACCCCGTCTCCCGTTGTACGGCAATACCCAATGTCTTCCAACTCCTCCCCGTCAGCGACACAGGGCAACAGTCCCTCCGGTCTGAACTCCGGGTTTACGCCCTCCTCGAACGACAAGGGCAGCTCGACCCCTCCGAATGGCGACGTCGAACTCAAGACCATGGGGCCCGGTGCGCCCAAGCGCTCAATCCCCATAGGGGAAGATATCATGCAACTGGCTCGTATTGGAGAGATTGGCGCGATGCAGAATCTGTTTGCGACCAAGAAATTGACCGCGAACCATCGCGACGACGAAGGGATCACCCCGTTACACGTTTGTTTGCCCCCTCCATAGCGGTTGTAGTCTGCGACATGGGAGACGAGATGGAACACCTGACTAACTGCTTTATGACTTCAAAATAGTGGGCGGCAATCAACAACCAATACGCGATGTGCAAGTTCCTCCTTGACTCGGGCGCCGACGTGAATGCCAAGGGTGGAGAGTCGGTAGCCACCCCGGCCATGTGGGCGGCGCAACGGTGCCACTACTATATCGTCAACCTCTTGCTTTCATACGGAGCGGATCCGCTCCTGACCGATGTGCAAGGTTATAACATCCTTCATCTTGCGACTATCGATGGCAACGCCTTTCTGGTCGTCCTGCTCCTACACCAGGAGATCCCGGTGGACGTGGTCGACCAGCAAGGTCACACTGGGTTGATGTGGGCTGCCTACAAGGGATACCCCGCTTGCGTGGATCTATTCTTGCGATGGGGCGCGAATGTCAATGCCGTGGATGAAGGCGGCCTGACGCCGCTCCACTGGGCGTTGGTGAAGGGCTCTTTGCCCTGCGTCCTGAAGATGCTAGAATACGGCGCGGATCGATTCGCAAAGACCAGAGACGGCAAGTCTCCGATGACCGTGGCGCAGGAAATGAACACTTCGCGCATCTGGACTCGCGCTCTCAATGAGCGTGGCTACGAGCCTGATGGTAGCCAGAAGGTGGTGCCCATGGGCTTGTCTGCCTGGGCCCGGAATAAGAGTCTCATGGCAAAGTTTTTCTTCCTCTGGCCTTTCCTGACCATTCTTGTGGCCGTTTGGATCCTCAGCAACATGGCCATCTTTATTGGTGTCCCGCTCACGCTGGCGACACTGTTTGGTATGCAATGGGCTGCGCAGCAGGTGGCGAACCGTGGACCCTCGGAATATCGCATTCTGCAAAAAACGGTATGTCTTCGACTACATTGCCTGTGTCTTGAACGTGCTGACAGTTTATAGCCATATCTGGCTGGTGTGTTCGCAGGTACATTGTTCTGGGTTGGCTTTTGTTATGTCTTCAAGGTCTTGCCAGGTGAGCATTGGGATTCAGAATACCCATACCCTTCGACAATTGACTAACGGTATTTAGGCACATACTCTTCGTCTCCCATCCTGAACATCCTTTTCACGGTCTTCTACTCCTTGACGACCTTTTTCTACATCATGGCCATGGTGGAAGACCCTGGATACGTCCCCAAGCTCGGCAGCAGAAACCAGCAGAGAGAGATGGTCAAGCAGCTCTTTGAACTGTGGAAGTTTGATGAAGAAAACTTCTGTGTTCCTTGCATGTCGAGGAAGCCCCTTCGTAGCAAGCACTGTCGCCGTTGCGGCCGCTGTGTCGCAAAGCACGACCAGTACGTTCATTCTGTCTGCTCCTTGTTGACTCCCCCACTAACACTCCGAAAGCCATTGCCCATGGATCGACAACTGCGTTGGAGCGAATAACCTTCGTCACTTCGTTCTCTACATCGTGTGTCTCGAAATCGGCATCATCCTCTTTGTGCAGCTTACCATTCGCTGTGAGTATCCCCAACTACTGATTGATATGATCAAGTTGACTAACTGGCTCAGACATCAATGACTTGCCATCTGCGAATGCCAAGTGCAGCGTTGTCAACGATACTCTGTGCGACTATGTGACTCGAGACACGTTTGCCCTGGTCATCAACATCTGGATCATTCTTCAACTGGTCTGGGTCACCATGCTGTGCGCTGTCCAGCTCGTGCAGATCTCGCGTAACCAGACCACGTACGAGAACATGAGAGGTCACCATATCGATCGTTCCTACCCTAGCTCTCAAGCCTTTGCCTCGGCCATGACCGCGGGCACGACTTCGTTGGAGGACGCCGGTCTCTCCGCCGCCGGACAGGGACCGAACCCGGCCCTGGCACGACCTCCAACCCCTCGTCGGCGTCACGGCTGTTTCCAACAATGGTCATCTCTTCTGGGCATCGACACCTTCTTCGCTACCGCACGCGACGGGCTCCGCGAAGGACCTGCCGCTGCACGGCCCCGCAATCCTTTCTCTCGCGGGGTGACAGGCAACTGCCGCGACTTCTGGTGCGACCCGGCCCCAATCTTTGGCAAGCGTCAATCCGGGTCTGGGATGCTGGGTGGCGAGGTGGTGAATTATAACGACATGTACGAAACCCCGATGCGTATGCACGTCGGAGCTCGAGGTGGTGATGGGGGCGCCTACCGCAGTGTAGCGGCCGAGGATCCCGAACACATGGTGTAACCCGTAAAGAGCTCTCTCCGGCACTGGTGTTTGGAGACTTGCATTTTAATGTCTGTACACTCCGTTTCGGTTCCAAGTCACTGTATGAGTGCAGCGTCGGTGTTGCATTGCATGGCATGTTTTTTTTTTTTTTGGCATTTTATGTTTACCTCGCGTTCTACATTTAGAGCTTGTACAGTGGACGCTATATAATGAACTATCTTCTTTGAAACCCCCCTGATTCTCACTGACGTGCGTTGCACTTTTCCTCGGGTCGATATAGTGACACGGATCGAGAACCCTGCATTGAATCATTCCTGTGACGGACGATCCCTGCGGCTTTTCTGCAGGGCTCTGGAATGCTGCCCATTCCCGCTGCCAGCTCCGACCCGAGGCCACGGCCCAGCATTACCCACTTTTAACCTTTGCCTTGGGGCATTGGCATTGACTGCCAAAACCCAAATTCCACCGCCATTTGGCTCCCTCGTCTCTCTCTCACTTTATTGGGCAAGCTCATCCCGAGTGTCCGAGTACGAGGAAAGGGAAACGTCAACCGAGAAGGGAATGCAGCAGGACAGATCCGATATTGCCGAGGTGTGGATACTCCGGATTCCTGTGACAAAAGATCGCATCTCGTGCAGGTAACTCCCGAGTCTAGGCTTGAGGCCAAAGCAACATTGCAACCATGCAGTCAAGCAACGTGCCACCTAGGGAACAATGCCGTCGTGCCCCCACCCCCCCATTGACGGGAAACAAATTCCCAGGACCGCAGATTTCCATTAGCCTGGCGGGTCCCCGGTAGCCGTACCGACCAGGGGAGTGCCAGGTGCCAGTGAAGAGCGGGAGAGGGGGGGCTCCATCTCACTAGAAACGGAGTAGGCAAAAGATTGACGGTGAGATTTGAGGGCTGACCCAGACCCAGTATGCAAAAGGCAGTTCAAACAACCGGCATGTCGCCATACGGGACATGCAAGTTCCGCCGACTGTTGAAATTAGCAAATACGAGGAATGCAACATGCCACGGAACCGGGATCGGAGGTCTGATCAGATAAAAATTCTTCTCGAGTTATCTGATGGCGCCACGCAGGGGGGACCCACTCGATGTCTCGGTTGCGTACCGTACTCGCGTTGTATGGCTCGGCTTTATACGGGGGGTGTCTGTACGGGTCCATCATTTGAGCGTCCCTGGTCTTTTCGGATTTGACCGAGCTGGTCAGCATTGCCGATCGCCGTGATCTCATTGTGATCTCGTCGTGATCAGGCTATGATCTGCGGTCGTCGCTTAGAGCTAGAACGACATTGGAAGCTGGAGAGACCGTGTTTCGCGCGGGTTCCGAGACTGGGGCTTGGCCTATATTACATGAAGGTTGGTAAATACCCCCCTTGTACTCTGACCTGGTATTGCAATATCTTGGTCTTTGCTTACTTTCTTGGGTGCTCCACACTTCGGTCTTTTTATACTTTTTTTTCCCACCAGGTTTCCTGGTTTTGCTTTTGTATCGGGGATAAAAGTGTGTTAGGCTGCAGAGTCCCTCCCAAGACCGAACTTTCTTTTTTTGTTGGGTAGGGACCAATTGGAGCATCATTCATTAAATCCAACAATCTAGAGAACAGGACGGGGTGTCTAAAGTAATTCAAAACATCATAGAGTAATCACAGCATGGCGCGCAACCGGGTGTCCTGCACCAGAGCTCCCGACAGCTGCTCTCCGAACACCGAGCTGATGATCTCGCCACCGCGGACCGCCAAGATGGACAGCAGGCTGTCGCTCAGGCCGTGGGTCTTCTCATTACATCCCTGCAGCCAGATGCCAGCCTGCTGGCTGACCTTGCCATCGTCGAGGGTAACGCGGTAATCCCGGCTAGGGTTCCAAGCCGCCTGGCCGGCAGGCCGCAAGGCACGCACCTGCTCCAGCAGCTGCTCGTGCGCGTCGCGCTGGTAGCCCGTGGCCACCATGAGGGCGTCCACCTCCAGTATCTCCTTTCCGTCGGTGGACTTGTCGTTGATCGATTTGAGGTGAATACGCATGGGACTGGCAGGTTTGTGGTGCTCGATGCGCCCCACCTTGCGCTCCGGCAGGATGCGGTGCTTCCACTGCGTCTGGTCGGGGTTCTTCACGCGCTGCAGGTACATGGTGTTGTAGATCTCCTCGATCAGCTCCAGGCGCACCACACTGTAGTTGGTCGCCTTCTCTGTCGCAATGCGCTTGTTGCGCTCGTCCGTCGGCAATTGGAAGAACTTGTCCACACGCTCGGGGTTGAAAATCTCGTTCACGCTGGATCCATCCGTAAATATATATTTTCAGTCAGGGTGGTATTCCAGCTGGGTTTACTTACAAGGGAGAGTCGTCACTGGGCCGCAGGGCGGTATCACGTAGGATCAAAGTCGTGCGCGAGTTGGGATACCTGCGCTGGAGGTCGTGGAAGATCTCGGCGGCACTCTGGCCGCTGCCCACCACGGCGATATGATAGGGCTTGGCCTCATCCTTCAGCACTTTCGGCAAGGTAGTGCAGTACTTGGACGAGTGCATGATGCGCTGATCGTGGGGGAAGCCCGGGGGCATCTTGGCCTTACCACCCAGAGCCACCACGACCTTGCGAGCTTTGCGCGAGGAGATTTCACCAGTCTCGGTGTTTCGTGAGCGGACGATGAAGAAGTCGACCTTGCCGTCGGTCTTGCCGCCGGGAACCACCTCCACGACCTCCTCGCCGTACGAGACGACGTTTTCAAATCGCTGGGCGCACCAGCGCATATAATCCTCAAACTCCATCCGAGCCGGCAGGAAGGTACCCAGGTTGGTGAAGTGGATGAGGCGGTTCTTGTTGTGCAGGTAGTTCAGGAAGGTGAAGCTGCTGCGGGGGTCGCGAAGGGTAGCCAGGTCCTTGATGAAGGAAATCTGCATCCGCGAGCCAGGAACCAACATGCCGGAGTGCCAGGCAAACTGCTTCTGGCGCTCGAGGAAGCACACCTTGGGCTTGAAGCCGGCCGGGGCGGAGCGGTTCAGAGCAGGGTCCATGGCATCGTGCAGGGCAATAGCAATGGCTAGAGAGGCAGGACCGAAGCCCACGCAGAGCAGGTCGTGCATCTCGTCGGAGGGCGACGAGCGCAGAACACGCGGCGGCGTGTTGACAAAGGGCAGCTCGGACTTTCGAAGAGTGGCCTCCATGGCTCAAGGTTCAAGCTCGAGCTCAATGATCAAGTAAGAGTAAGGAAGAAGGGAGAGAGAGTAAATAGGGCCCGAGCTCCGAGAACCAAGAACCGAGAAGCTAAGCTAGGGCAGAAAGTAAAAAAAGACGAGGGAAAGCTTCAGGAAATGAGCGTCGGTTATGTATAAGGGCCGACCCCATCAGCAGGTTCCACTCTCCGGAGATTTCTCGTTCTGGGCACAGTCGGTTCGAAGCGAACGGGGATTCGACTTGACGTGACGTACGATACGTTGAGGGTTCCACCAAGGAGGTGCGGAGGTGAGAAAAACTCGAACAGAAATTATGGCCAGATTCCTATTCACCAGATTTCGGGAGCGGATCAGATAAAAAAAAATATGTCCAAGTGGAGACGAGGGATGTCTGGGCGTTCTTGAGTCGCAGAATTAATGGGTGTATCATTTCCAAGGTGCCACTTATCAATCAGTCTCCACCGGTCTTCATTTCTCCTTCCTAGCCGATTCCGGGAAGTGGACAATTTATACGTTTCTTTCCTCCACGTCGTCAAGAAAAAAAACCCCCCGTTCCCCCCTCCTGCGGGTCAACAGGTTCCTGCACAAGGAACAACCATGAAGGCTCCACAGCGAACAGGAAAATAAGACAAAAAAAAAAAAAGCAAAGTGACGAACAAGCCGAAGGCTAAATCTGGCCATCCGCAGATGCCCGACATCGGGAAAAGTGGGTAGACAGTACTCAAGGCAGAGGGCGTCGGGCTAACAAAGGCTGCGCGTACCAGTGACTCCGCGCAAGGCTTGGCGACGCACCGAGCGTGCGAAATGGACGAAGTGGGGGGATCCTGGAAAAGGACTCCTAGTGGCTCACCGCGAGTCCCTAGTGGTTTTTTATTTCATTCATTTCTTTGCTTTTTTTTTTTTGACTCTCGTTGATTTTTCCTGAAACGTGGGGTTGCAAAGAGCACGGGCATCGTGCCACATGGGATCGTCCGTCATACTTCTCTTTGCTCGAGATTCAACGTTCCATCATAATTCTATCCTTCCATGTAGTCTACTTTCCCTGCGAGGAAGTCCAGCAAGGGAAATATAGACGTGCGATATGACGTAACGCCATCCCAGTACCCGTGAACCGGTCATGAAAATGATCTCGGCCCACTTCTTCTCCAAGTCCGAGCCGTTTCACGATGCGGCTGGTGGAAACGCATTCCAGTAGTGTTACCAAAAAAAAAAAAACTCTAAGACGGATTTGCAGTTGTGCAGGTTGGCAGTGCTTCATTTATGATCTGGTAATAAATTAAGGTAAAATATCAGGTCACGGAGAACGGGTCTCGCGCTCGGAGCTTGCCCTCCCAAGCATCCACATCGTTCTTTTTTGGCGCTTGTCTCGGTGTCTGCCACCAGGAGATCATCGGGCTCCACGATTGGAAATCCACGACTTTTGAACCCCTCATCTTCTCGCGCTTTTTACAGGCTCCCTTCCGAACTTCACTGTAGAAGCTGATCACGGGCCCTTTCTGCCGCTGAAACGCCTTTGGTCATTGCTTCGCGGCTCCTCCTGCATATAGTCGCTGCAGTTCATCGGGCCCGAGCATCCACTCACGGATCGCGTAATAAACAGTCCATAAGCAGCTTTCGATGAAGCACCATTGACCCAAGTGAAACCCGGTTCGTGCTCCGATGGAGCGGTTTACTCCCTTGCCGGCCGTGACGGGCGACGACGGCGCTGCCCGCGCCATACTTTCCTGGCCGGTAGATACACATCGTATCCCTGCCGAGTTGCTCGCGGTTTGCTGGGGCTTTCTATTGCGGTCATTCACGACCGAGGAATCACCTGTCTTTCTACTGAACGGGTCCCCTGTCAAAGCAGACTTAATAGCCCGGACGATCCAGCCCGCAGCGGATGTACCTTCTGAGCTCTCTGCAAACCACACCGCTGTGATAATTCAAGATTCGTCATATCAAGACCGCTCGTCCTCTTCTGTTCTGACGTGGATTCTGAACCTTTCCGCCCAAACGAGCACGTTGCATTCGTCCTCAGGCATGGACACGGCGTTCTTGCAGCAGTTGGGGGAGCAGCTAAAGCACACCGTGCAGGAGCAGGTTGCAAAGTCCGGCATACAGGTAACACTGTCGACCGCCGAACTCCCTGCCTTATCTATCTCCAATCCGTCGCCGTGCATATTGCCGGGGCCACAGCTTCTTCACGAACTTGCTCTCAGCGGTGCCAATGACTCCCACCCCGCCATTGAATTCTTGGCAGCGGATGGAAACATTCGCTGTCTGTCGTACAGATCTCTGGATCGGCTATCCTCGAAGCTAGCGGCACAAATCATCTCGGCTTCGGCACCTCGGGTGAACCATGCACGGAAGTTCGTGGTGCCCGTGCTCTTGCCCCAGTCCATGGAACTGTACATTTCACAGCTGGCAATTCTCAAGGCCGGTGGAGCTTTCTGTCCGTTGAACATCGACGCACCTCCGGACAGGATAGAATTTATCCTGCAGGATGTAGCTGCGTCCGTTGTGATTACACAGGATGCCTTGGCTGCAAGAGTTCCCCAAGACGAGCATCTGGCTGTGATCAAAGTGGATGGAATTGAAATGAACGAAACGAACGATACAGGTGTTATAGAGCCCGTGGTGGACTGCCCACCTTCCGGCCTGGCCTATGTCATGTACACCTCCGGGTCTACTGGCCGCCCCAAAGGTGTTGGGGTCTCTCATTTGGCTGCCACCCAATCATTACTTGCACATAATGACTTAATACCCCATTTCAATCGATTTTTGCAATTTGCTTCGCCCACGTTTGATGTCTCCGTCTTTGAGATCTTCTTCCCTTTCATGAGAGGGGCAACCCTCATCGGCTCCGACAGGGAGCAGATGCTTCTGGATATTTCTCACGTTATGACCGAAATGAAAGTTGACGGTGCGGAGCTGACTCCCACCGTGGCAGGAGAGCTACTACGCACCCGAGCAGCCGCGCCCTTTTTGCGAGTTCTGCTGACCATTGGTGAAATGCTCACCAAGCATGTCGTGGAGGAGTTTGGTCAGTCAGAGGACTCGGTTGGTATTCTGCATGGAATGTATGGACCAACGGAGGCTGCAATCCATTGCACTGCAGCCACACATTTCTCGGCCACCTCCCGAGTCAACTTGATCGGCGAGCCTTTCAAAACAGTTTCGGCTTTCGTCATGTCTATGGAATCTGACGACAAATCTACGCCGGATCTTCAACCCCTTCCGTTGGGTCAGATCGGTGAGCTCGTCGTGGGTGGCCCTCAGCTAGCGGATGGATACATCAACCGGCCCGAAGAGAACGCCAAGGCATTCATTGATAGCCCTGAATACGGCCGACTTTACCGGACCGGTGATAAAGCTCGCATGCTACCCTCGGGGGAAATTGAATGCTTTGGTCGTCTCTCCAGCGGCCAAGTCAAGCTACGAGGCCAGCGAATTGAGCTCGGCGAAATCGAACATGCCATTTGCCGAGCCGACGATGTTCGAAGTGCCGTTGCCATTGTCAGTGGCGGAAGCTTGGTTGCGTTTGTTCTGGTTGGCAACAAGGGCACCACTGATCGTGCCCTACGAGACAGCTGCCGTCAATGGCTACCTCGATTCATGGTTCCCGGCGAGTTCTTTCTAGTCAACCAGTTCCCCCAACTGCCATCGGGAAAGATTGACCGCAAAGCTCTTGAGGCCGAATTTGTCCGCCGCCGCAATGCTTCACAGTCTGTGGATCAGCAGCAGTTCCGCGATGAGTTTGAAGAGACCATTACATCGTGTGTGGTAGATGTGCTTGGCAGAAAAATTTCTCCGGATGAGTCTCTGGTAGCCGCCGGTCTAGATTCCCTTGCCGCGATCCGACTTGCATCACATCTTTTGGGCGCCGGCATTCGTTTGGACGTGGCGCATTTGATGGAAGCTGATTGTGTGGATGGGATCTGGCAGCTTGCGAAAGAACTGGAAAAGACGCAGACAACTGATGATACTCAGGCAGGCCTTGAGAACATTCATCAATTGGTTGCGGATGCCGGGGCAAGAAGGATAGAGTCGCTTGGTCTGAGCTCACAAGTGTCTGAGATCGAACCATGTAGCCACATTCAACAGGCGATGATCCTGGAAACAGTTCGACACACCAAAGCATACTGTAATTGGATCGAATTGGAATTTCAACGTTCGAACTCAATTGATTCCACCACTGTGCAAAATGTATTTGTCCAGATGTTGCAACAGAATGCGCTGTTGCGGTCAGGGTTTGTGGAGATCGGACTCAAGGACCACTCATATGCCCGCTTCATAAGGAAAACACTTGATGAGCAGCTGATCCTAAAGCGCGACACATTTGACTATGATCTCTCTCTGATTGCAGAGCAAGATCTCCTCCAGCCTATCCGAATTCAGTTGAAGGAAACATCGGAAACCATCCGAGCGCTGGTGCATATTCACCATGCGCTATACGACGGATGGTCCTGGCAGCTGATGTTGAAAGACCTCCATCATCTTTTGCTCGGAGAAGATCTGCCACCGAAACCTGCATACAGCGTTGTGACCGATTTCTTCATTGAGCATAAATTGAGCGGATCGGCCGACGAGTCCTCCAGGTTTTGGCGTGATCAACTGCAAGGTGTATCTGGTGCAAGCTTCCCCAATTTTCATGGGAAAATCCACGTCTCTCCAAGTACCCAAGAGGCCACTCGCGTGTTTGAGGTCTCCGTCTCAAAACTCAACGATGTATCGCAGCACCTGAGAGTGAGCCGACAAACCATCTTCCAGGCCGCGTTCAGCTACATTCTCTCTTCTTATCTTGGATTTGATGATGTTGTGTTCGGAACTGTCTTCTCTGGTCGCACATTGCCAGTCAAAGGAATTGAAGCGGTTCTTGGACCATGTATTCGGACACTTCCCACCCGCATGGATCTGAGCAAGTTGCAAAACGTTACGGACCTCCTCCTGGCAATTCAGAACCTGAACCTCAAGTCTCTCGAACATGGGAGCCTCCCTCTGCAAGACATCAAGAAGGCATCTGGTATTGATATGCACCTGAGCCTTTTTGATACTGCGCTTGTGTGGCAAGAGAGTATCTGGTCCAATGATGAACATCGCGACTTGTTCCGGGAAGTCGGTGCCGCAGAATTCTTGGAGTTTGCCCTCTTACTAGAATTTGAGCCCAGACAAGACAGCATCTATGCAAAAGCCACCTATCAGGAGTCAATCCTGCCTTCTGAACAGGCACAGATTCTCTTGGAGCAGGTCGATCATGTGGCGTCCATTCTCATCGATTCTCCAACCCTTCTCATTGACCAAATCAGTGGTCATCTTCCTCGACCAGCTCTTTCCATCTCCATTTCTGACTTTGAACGTTGGCAAGATCTTCCAGGTTTTATTCCGGAAATTGAAAAAACTGCTTCCGTCAACCCTGTTGACGGCGTTTGCACCATCTACCCGACTGCCAGAACATCGAAATCCTCTTCAAGCACAGACTTGCCTATCAAAGATACGTTTGCAATGATTGTGACGGACCAAAATGCCACCAGCCTCCTTCCTCGTGGTTCATACGGAGAGCTGTGCTTTGGTGGTAATCACATTGTAGGTCCTCTGAGATTGGTTTGCTCGACCCAGAACTAATATTCTTGGAAAGGCAAACGTTCTTCCTGATACGAAAATCCCTGATACGGCAAAATTTGTCGAGCACCCCAAGTTTGGCCGACTGTATATGACTGGGGACTACGGAAGGTTGCTTGCAGATGGCTCCATAGTGCTTCTTCCCAGTCGTGATCAGCTCAAGCTGCATGGCCAGTGCATTGATCTGAACGAGGTAGACCGAGCCATTCTCTCGTCAGACTTCGTTGAAAATGCTTGCAGCATTATTTGGAGCAATCCTTCGACAAGCCAACAGCAATTGGCAACGCTTTGGATCCCTTCAGTGAAGACATCGGACTCTTTGCAGCTTGAGTCATTGACAAACCGCCTCTTCTCTGAGATTTCAACAAAGCTTCCTCCTTCCGAGATCCCTTCCCTTCTTGTCTCCGTCAATGAGATTCCCATGACCGAGGCTCACCGGAGAGATGATGCCAATATCCTGCAAAAGCTCGGGCAGTTGAGTCCCGAAGATCTTGGGGCCTTCTCACGCAAACTTGATATGGCTCAAGTCGATGATCCACTCACCGATATCGAGAGTATCATTGCAGGTGCCTTGTCAGCAGTCACTGGAGCTGGCCATCAGCATATCCACAAACACACATCATTTTACAAGCTCGGTCTGGATTCCCTGAGTGCCATCTCTTTTTCGCGGAGGTTACAAGAAGCTGGCTGTGGAAGAATTCCTGTCTCGACAATTCTACGATACAGCTCTGTCGCTCAGCTGACCGCAGTTGTCCCCGGCTTGACCAATGGACATAAGTCTGCACAGCCTCCGGTGGAGGAAACAACGCCGATATTTAACAACAGCTTTATCCATGCAGTTAAACTTGAATTCGATACCACAGATGTGTCTGTTGACCGCGTCTACCCTTGTACGCCGTTACAAGAAGCAATGCTGGCCACTGATTCTGATGTTGGCTCGGCCTACTTCAATCACTTGCTACTCCGTGTGAACACAGATATTGATGTGTTGAAGAAGGCGTGGTCTCAGATGCTGCAAAGGCATGACATCCTTCGAACTTGCTTCAAATCGACCAACGACAAGCAATTCGCCTTTGCACAAGTGGTGCTGAACGACGCAGGTCTACCTTGGGTCCAAATCGAGATACCTGATGATCTTGATCAGCACGTCGAGAAGAGAAAATCGGAGTTTGAGTCGCAATCCCCCATCAATGGCAACCTTCCTTACTCCCTGACTGTATTCATGGGTTCCGCTTCGCAGAGTGCACACCTTCTGTTGTCTATTCACCATGCACTGTACGATGGAGAAGGCATTTCACAGTTGCTACATGAACTTCAACTTTTCCTTGCGGGTCAAGATCTGCCAGCACCGACCCAGTTCCATCGATTCATCGATTACATGGTCTCTGCTAGCTCAGATGCTTCCGATCAATATTGGGACCGATACTTGTCTGGGGTCTCGCCAAGTCTCATATCAACCCCCGAGCATGCCAAAAGCCCTGTAGATCAATCTGCTTCCCACCAGACCAATATAGACCTCAAATCCCCCCTCAGCTCCTTCAAGCAACGATGCAAAGAGCTTTCTGTGACACCTTTGAATGTCTTCCACGCTGCATGGGCGAGATTGCTTTCGTTGCATGTCGACTCATCTGATGTCTGCTTCGGTAATGTTTTCAGTTGTCGAACCGTTCCTATCGAGGGCGCAAACCAAATTGTGGGACCTTGCTTCAACACGCTACCAATACGGATCAAGTTCTCATCCCACTCGACAAATGCAGACATTCTGAAGCTATCGCAAAAGCACAACAGCGATATCTTGCCTCACCAACTTAGTCCCCTACGTCGCATCCAAAGGCGTGTACTTCAAGGAGGCTCTCGTCTCTTTGATACCTTGGTCATTCTTCAGACCAGCAATACTGAGCTTGATCCACGTTACTGGGAGCTTCTTCGCGACGAAGGAAATATGGGCTTGCCTCTAATTTGTGAGGTCGTCCCTGATGAGTCAAGCAACACTATTCACATCCGTCTTCATTTCCAAGTCTCGCACTTGGGGCGTGAGGTGGCTGAAAAGCTTGCACGGGATTTTATGGCCCTTATTGAACATACTACTCAGTATCCTTCGGCCCAAGCATCTGACAAGCAGCTGATTGGAAAGATTACACTTCAGAACTTTGAAACGAAGAAGAGTTCTCAAGTCAATTCCATCCAGATGTCTTCTACAAAACCTGAACCCATTCGCGCCTGGTCTTACCAAGAAGAGGCACTTAGGGAAATGCTGTGCAAATTCTCCGGTGTTGATCCAGAGACTGTGACCTTGCATACGACGATCTTCCAGTTGGGTCTGGATAGTATCAATGCTGTTCAAATCTCAGGAACTCTTCGCAGACTGGGTTACAAGATATCCACTGGTGATATTCTCGAGGTATGATAGTTACTTCCAAAAAAGCTGATGCTGTTCGATGCTAATTTAATGTAGGCTGCCTCAGTTGAAAAGATTGCCTCGCTTCTTGAGACTAGCGAGAAGGGCAACAAGGAAGATGAATTTGACTTTTCATCGTTCGAGAATAAACATCTCCAGCCTATATGTGACCAACTCGGTGTCTCTGCGCAGACGGTGCAATCTTTGCGGCCCTGCACACCAGTCCAGAATGGCATGTTGGCACTCTTCACTCATTCTCTGGGAAACATGTACTTCAACAAAATGGCTCTGAAGTCAAAAATACCGCTGGACAAAGTGCTGCTCAAGAAGGCGTGGTCGAAGGTGGCTGCTCATCATGAGATGCTAAGAACAGGTTTTGTTCAACTGCACGATCAGCAATACCCATTTGCCATGATCACATACCGCGAAACCCTTGATGTCCCATGGCGCGAAATTTCAAACTCCATCTCTAATGGCTCTGTTCAAGAGAAGAGAGTCCTCGAAAATCTCCACCGACCACCTTGGGAAGTCTCTGTCGAGCCTGGTGAGCAGGTCGATACTGTGCATTTCGCTGCACTTCATGCCATTTATGACGCACAATCTTTGGCATCGATCTTCTCCGATGTCATGGCAGCGTATGAAGGAAAGATCCTCAATAAGCCTGCTCCAATTTCCGCGACACTTGGACCCATCCTCATCGAAAGCCAGAAGCAAATCGAGGATGGCCAAGAATTCTGGCAGGGATTGGCATCAGAAGTCCATTCGTCCAAATTCCCGGACTTGCACCCTATTCGTATCGAAAGGAAAGAGTTGCTTGAAAGTTCAATTCGCTGTTCACAGCCTCTCAAGACACTTGAGGGCCGCTGTCGCGAACTCGGGGTCACCTTGCAGGCAGCTGCGCAAGCTTCATGGGCTCGACTGCTTGCTGCGTACACAGGAGAACAAAATGTTGTCTTCGGGACTGTTTTTTCTGGCCGCAACCTATCCGCAGCTTCCCAAGAAGCCGTTTTCCCATGCTTGGTGACCGTCACATCGCCTTCGCGTATTGAGGGAAGTAATCGTGAACTGCTGGACCGAACCTTGAAGCAAAATTCCTCTTTGATTAAGAACCAGTTCACCCCACTGGCGCAGATTCAAAGATGGCTGGGCAGCGATGAGCCACTCTTTGATACTCTGTTTGTCTATCAGAAGTTTTCATCGAAGTCGGAGCACCCCGAAGCCTGGGATGTCGTTGACGAGGAGACAAAGATCGATGTATGTAAATTCCTGTGTCCGCGTATGTTTTTCTCATCACACAAGACGAAGTGCTAACAAAATATATAGTACCCCGTGTCTATCGAGTTAGTCCCTCAGTCTACCGATCTTGAAATTCGAATCAGCTATAGGGGCGACCTTGTCCCTGAAGAACAAGCCATGACTCTCTTGGGTCAGTACGACAAGTTGCTTGAACAAACTGTCTTTTCACCGGACTCTTCCTCAAACGACTACTTGTGTCTTGGGAATGATCTGCTTTCTGTCACTCCAGCCAAGGAGCGATCAATTCCAACCTCCGTGTCTTTGCTGCACCAATTTGTTGAAGAAAATGCCCAGAAGATTCCGGAGAAGGCCGCATTCGAATTTGCGACTGGTTCCACCGCAGACAGTCTTCAGAAGAAGACATGGTCCTACCATGAATTCAACGAGGATGGTAACAGAGTTGCTCACTTCTTGCAAGACAAGGGTATCACTCCTGGTGGAATGATTGCCATCTGCTTTGATAAATGTCCGGAAGCATCCATCGCAATACTTGGTATTCTGAAAGCAGGCTGCGCATACCTCGCCATTGATCCTGGTGCTCCTATATCTCGCAAGCAGTTCATCTTGGAAGATTCCGGTACCAAGATTCTGCTTTGCAACCAGGCAAGAAAGATGGAGCTAGAGGGTCTTTCCGGCATTGATGTCCAAGCGCTTGACGAGCCTGGTTTATTTGAAGGCCTCTCATCTGCCCAGCCAGTGCTTCTACGAGAAATTCGACCGGACGACACATGCTACTGTTTGTACACGTCCGGCACTACGGGTACACCAAAGGGCTGTGAGATCACCCATGACAATGCCGTACAAGCAATGTTGGCGTTCCAGAGGCTATTTTCTCCCCACTGGGATAAAGACTCCCGATGGCTGCAATTTGCCTCGTTCCACTTCGATGTTAGTGTTCTTGAGCAATACTGGAGCTGGAGTGTTGGAATCTGTGTGACCTCGTGTCCTCGAGACCTTCTCTTTGAAGATCTGCCAGGCACGATTCAAAAGCTCCAAATCACACACATTGATCTGACACCCAGCTTGGCAAGATTGGTTCACCCGGACGAAGTCCCTTCTTTATGTCGAGGGGTTTTCATTACTGGTGGTGAGGCGCTCAAACAAGAGATTCTCGATGCTTGGGGCAAACATGGGGTCATTTACAATGGATACGGACCGACAGAGGTCACCATCGGATGTACCATGCTTCCACGAATGCGCGCTAATGACAAGCCATCCAATATTGGGCCACAGTTTGACAACGTGGGATCATATGTCTTCCGGCCTGGCACTTCCACACCAGTTGTGCGCGGTGGGCTCGGAGAGCTTTGCGTGTCTGGACCCCTGGTTGGAAAGGGATACTTGAATCGCGCAGAGCTCACGAAAGAACGATTCCAAATGTTACCTGAATATGGAGACCGCATCTACAGAACCGGTGATTTGGTCCGAATCTTGCATGATGGTAGTTTCCAGTTCCTCGGTCGCATAGATGATCAAGTCAAGCTCCGTGGGCAGCGGCTCGAGATTGGAGAGATCAACGAAGTCATCAAACAAGCTACTCCTGAGTTGAATGAAGTGGCTACGATGGTCATCAAACACCCAAGACAATCCAAGGACCAGCTGGTTTCCTTCATCACCAAGGTTGGTGTTGACAAAAAGTCTCGAAATGTTCAAGTTTGCACCAACGAGAATGACCGGGCCCTTCTGTCGACGATCAAAGCAGCTTGCCACACTCACCTGCCGGGCTACATGGTACCAACACATATCATCCCGATGACTCGCTTCCCTCTGTCGGCGAACAACAAGGCTGAAATGAAGGTCTTGAAGGGTATCTATCAGGAGCTTTCTCTCGATGAATTGCAGAAATTGACTTCGATGACTGTCGATCGTTGCAAGAAAAGTGAGCATGAAGAGGAAATCATCTCTATTTTAGCCAAGTTCATTGGGTCTACTGATGGAGCTATCTCTTCGTGGTCGAGCATTTACGAGCTGGGTCTTGACTCTATCTCGGTAATATCATTTTCTAGGAGTCTCAGAGAGGCGGGCTTCTCCCAAGCTCAGCCATCGCTGATCATGAAGCGTAAGTTGAGTTGCCTACTTTGATTGATATATATCTAATGTGGATACAGATCCCACCGTTGCACGCATGGCATCAGCACTGCAAACATCCGCGGCTCCTTCTGTCTCTTTGAAAAACCTCCACAGAAATGCCAAACAAAATATGGAAGCTTTTGCACACAGGCATTCACACTCTGTCATTGAGAAAATCGGAGTGGTCGACAGTGATGTGGAGCAAATTGCACCATGCACACCGCTCCAGGAAGGTATTATATACCATTTCCTGTCGAGCACGACACCCTTGTATTGTTCATCCTTTACCTTCGAGATCGCCTCCCAAGTCGATCTTGACAGATTGAAAACTGCTTGGAGTCAGGCACAGGACCAAGTCCAGATACTGCGAGCTCGCTTTGCACCAACACCAGATGGTTATGCTCAAGTCGTCTTAAAAAAGAGTGTTCTTCCTTGGTTCCAGACAAAGGTTACTGCCGAGCAAGAAATCGGAATCTCACACAGAAAGCAACTTGAAAAGTGGATTTCTGGACTTGGAGATCTCTCTACACAGCTATGGGAGGTCGGAGTCGTCAGTTCTCCGGAAAAGTCGGTGATGAGCCTCAACATTTTCCACGCCCTTTACGATGGCAACAGCTTGGCTCTCCTGCTTGAGCTGGTTGCGCACATCTATCTTGACAACCAAATGGCCTTGGAGCACCCGCCTGAGTTTCTGGATGTGCTGCATTTGGGCCCTCTTTGCAAAGACCCCTCAGAGCAGGAATTCTGGAAAGAACAACTCGCGAACTGTCAAAACCGGGCTCTGCCAAAGTCGGACCACGAGTCTAACAGCCCCGTGCTAGAGAGTATTCAAATCGATAGTACAGAGCATTTGGATCGTCTGCGGAAGTCGCTCAACGTTACCGAGCAGGCGGTGCTTCATACCTGCTGGCTATTGACTCTTCACCACCACTACTCGTTTATCCCATCCATTGGTATCATTGCCTCTGGTCGGACAATCGACGTTCCTGGAATTGCCAATGTCGTCGGTCCTTTGTTCAACACCATTCCCAGCAATGTGCAACTTCGCGGTCTTAAGTCCTGGTCCGACATTGCTCATCGATGCCATGAGTACCACGTGTCTACGATTCCGTATCAATACACAGCTCTCCGTGATATTTCCAAATGGCTTGGAAAGAATCCCGATGAACGACTTTTTGAGTCTCTCTTCGTGTTCCAAAAAGAAAACACCAAGAGTGAGTCGTCAAGGGACAGTCTCTGGCATCCCTTGGTCTCGGAAGCGCAACATGAGTATCCCTTGGCCTTTGAAATTGTACGCAATGGCAACGAATCTCTTACTACTACGCTTGCTGCTAAGGGCCATGTCTTGTCTCTAGAGTCAGCTCAGCAGATCCTCGTCGCATTCAAGCGAATCTTGTCTGAGTTTGCAGAGAATCCAGAACAAGAGTTACCGTATATGAATGGATTTGTGGAAGAGCATCAGGTCCAAACAAACGGTCAAGTTGAGATGCCGAAGGAGACTCCCAACCACCCCGGAAACGATTCATTCCAATGGACCCCTCAAGCTTGCACAATTCGCGATGTTATTGCAACACTTGCCGGTGTAGACGCGCACTCAATTGGGGAAGAAACGTCCATTTTCGAGGTTGGACTCGACAGTATTGACGCAATCAAACTTTCCTCACGATTGAGCAAGCTGAGCATCAAGCTCCCAGTTAGCGCCATCATGCGCTACCGCAATGTCAAGTCCATGGCTGGTCAATTGACAGAGACAAACCACAACGAACAGAATGGGACGTATCCAATGCTTCGCCAGATGGAAAGGACCTTGAAAGACTTCCTCGAGCGCGAGGGACTTGTTCCACAGGGCGCCTCTCGAATTCAGCCGGCCACGCCAATCCAAGAAGCGATGATGGCCGAAATGTCCGCCTCTAAGTACCACCATTACTACAACCACGACGTTTTGAAGATCGAACCCCATGTCGATTTCACAAAGCTCCAGGAAGCATGGAAAGCGGTTGTGAAAGCTCATCCTATTCTTCGCACTTCCTTTGTGGAAATTTGGGATCCAGAGATACCCGTTTCTTACGCTCAAGTTATCCACAGCGAAGATACTTTTGATTTCCAGACAGTGCAGCTGAAGGGAGAAAGCGTGGATTCAATCATAGAAACCCAACGCGCAAGAGCTGTCTCTGAACTTGCGGGCAAACCACTCCTTACTGTCACATCCGCTGTGGATGGCGAGGACCGCTACCTTGTTCTGTCAATTGCTCATGCTCTCTATGACGGCTGGTCGATCAATCTGCTTCATGAGGACGTTGCCAGATCTTACGCCGGAGAGGAATGTGCCCGTCCGCCGCCTGACGCCATACTGGAGCAAATTATCGCATCGTCTAGCGAGCGCGCTCTTAAGTTCTGGAGAGCAACGCTCTCCAATTGCACGCCAGTGGCTTTCCCGTCCGGAAAAGGCATTGAGGAAGGCTCGCAAGTAGTTCATCGTGCAGAGCAGCCGCTCTCAGTTCCCTTCGAAGAGGCCGAAGCCTTCTGCAAGCGTAACGCCGTTACAATGCAAGCTCTTATGGTTAGCTGTTGGTCTCTTGTTCTGGCCACCTACGTCAAGAAGCTAGACGTGGTTTTTGGTCTTGTACTCTCCGGCCGCAATGTGGCTGATTCTGAAAATGTGATGTTCCCAACGATGAATACGGCAGCGATGCGTGTCATCCTTCATGGGACCCGTCGGGAGCTAGTGAAGTACGTCCAGGAGACCTTGTTAGAAATGTCTGAGCATCAGCATTTCCCGCTGCGGCGCGCAAGGCCCGATACAAGATCTCAACAATTGTTTGACACCCTCTTCATCTACCAGAAGAGGCCATCGGAGACTAGCCCAACATCGACCCTATACAAGTCCACTGGCGGTGCATCAGATGTCGAGTACCCAGTCTGCGCCGAGGTTGAAGGTGTCGGAGCAGACCTTGTGGCTCGGGTGGCTTGTAGCGGGCATGTTCTTGGGGAAAATGATACACTTGTTCTTCTGGGACAAATCGGTCAAGTCCTATCATCGATTGTCGATGAACCCGCCCAGCAAACGGTCGGCTTTGAAGGAGACACGATGAGCGTATGCGGAACGTCGTTCACTCAAGATGTCTCCACGCAGGTTATCCAAAACGGCACAATTCACAAGGCAGCAAGTCGAAAAGATTGGACTTCTCTCGAGTCGAAGATCCGAAATGTTCTCTCAATCGTATCCGGAGTGCCCGAGGATTCAATCGGCAGGGAAGCAAACATATTCCAGCTCGGCTTGGATAGTATCAGTGCTATCAAGGTTGCTGCACTTTTGAAGAAACAATCAGTCAAATTGGCCGTTAGTGACATGCTCAGGGCCGGTACGCTCGAGAATATGGCCATTGCGGTGAACAATCACCATGCAGAGCTCACTCCGACTGAGATTGCCAGCTCCCTGGAGAAATCACTTGAAGGGATCGAACTGAATCCACTCCTCCAATCTTACGGAATTGAACTTGATCAAGTTGAGATTGCTATGCCTGCAACTGCTGGACAGACGTACTTCCTTGCTATGCATACCTTGAACCCAAGTGTCTTCTATCCAGAGTTCCACTACTTGGCATCGACACAAGTCAACACGGATATTCTCGACAGTGCATGGGCACGTCTCTCCGAGCTAACACCGATGCTTCGAACGGTCTTCGTGACTACCAACAAAGAACAGCATCTGCCCTATGTCCAAGCTGTGCTAAAGCATGTACACAATCCCGTTGTCTGGCACCACAATGTCGATGAGCTTTTCGCACCCAATACCAGGCAACCCTTAGGCGCACCGCCAGCTACACTGCATGCTTGTCATACCTCTAAGGGAACCGTGCTTGCGTTGCAGATCCATCACGCACTGTACGATGCCGTTAGTCTTCCGTCCATGATGGATAGACTTGCCTACCTCTGCCGCTTGGATACCTCCGAATCAGAATTCGACGTCCATAACCTGTCGCGACTCGTGGCGTTCCAGCGCCTTCATTCGCCGATGGATGTCCGGCGGCAATTCTGGCAAAAATATCTGGGCGCAATCTCAATCGACGGTGCAAAAGCCAAACGACAGGGTAACTTTGGTGTCATCCAACAGAACTACCGACCGGGATTAGTCTCAAACATGTCTCGTGTCGAGATAGCCGCTCAGAAGCAGGGCCTCGGTGTCCAATCGATCTTCCTGGCTGTCTATGCTCGAGTGCATGCTGAAGTCCTCGCTGCGGCGGATGCAGACAGTAAGGAGATCCCGAGGCAGCTCGTGATCGGGTTGTATCTCGCCAATCGGTCTCACGATACGGAAGGGCTGTCAGAACTCATGGCTCCCACGGTCAATATCGTGCCGCTTCGTCTGGACAACAAGCTTAGCCACGACCACGAGTCACTCTTCGTTGCTGCTCGGAAGATTCAAGATGACATTAATGAGATCAGCATGGTTGAGCATTCGGGCGTCTCTCTCGTAGAGATTGCTGAATGGACCGGGGTGCGAATCAGCACCTGTGTCAACTTCCTGCGACTGCCCGAATTGGAGTCTGCCGATGCCGCCGCCAGTGCCACTGATCGTGTGGTGTTCAAATCTCTTGGACACGACGAGCTGGCAAGCCTCCGCTTATCTAGTCTGGGCCAGTCTGACCAGTCGCAAATCAACGGTGGCAGTGCAGCCTCATTGAGTTCAGCCCCGACCGTACATGCCGCCACTTCAACGGCGGCAATTCAAGACATTTTCATGGTAAGTTGACAGATCCCAAACAATGCACCACGAACCGGTACTAATGCATTTTCTACACGTTCAACAGCCTACAATCGACGTGGAGGCAGCCATCCGAGACGCCCGATTGGACTTTGGAATTTTTGCTCCCGAAGCTCGACTCGATCATTCCACTGCAGAGCAGATGATCGAGAAAGTGCAGCAGGAGATGACCGTTTTGGTCCAAACTTCGAATTTGATATAGGTACGATAGACAACCCAGAGAGAAGGGAAATCATCACATCACAACTCTACAGGGGGTTTGTTACTCCTCCCCTTCGCAACCCTGGGAACCGTTTGTTTTGGTCGATATTTTCAGCAATTGTTTTCTTAGAGCTGGGTTACTTTGAGCGAGCCGTTCATCTCCTTTCCTGTGCATATATTGCTTTTGCGGTATTTTTGGCGTTGGATGTGTCCGTTCCAATAAATGTACTTGCATAGAACCGGAGGGGCAAAGGCGCGGACCGACGCGGATCCCGGATGATCGGAGTCGCGCGTATCAGATGTCTCCACCCGGAAGGCACGATAGACAGAATAGACAGCGATATACAACGATAGAGTTCCCTTCTCTGGGGACTAAGCACCCGAGCCCGAGTCTGAGTCCAGGAGTAACCTTCCATGTTTGAGGATGCGATAGTGCGAAACTCTGTCGGAAGTCGGGAGCCGAGTGGATCGCCTTCATTCCTGCAAAGTTTTTGCATTTTCTGCAAGCTCCAAGGGCTATAAGGGAAAAACTGATGGATCAGATAAAGACGCCCTGGGAGTGGAGCGGCACTCATGGGTGACAGCCACGAAGCAAGGGCCATCCGCGTGGCTCATCCAGACGCAACACTGGAGATCCGGCCATTGAAGCCACCCAATGCCAGGCGGCTCTCCTCTTTCCGATATATATATTATTGCTCACCAGGACACCCAGTGGTCAGAGTTTACGCGCAGCTCATGAAGTGGCTGCTTGGCGCAGGGGTGAACCCGGACGTCCCAGGCCAAGCCATGGTCCGAGTGCAAAATTCAAAATTCAAAATTCAAAATGGAAAATGCAAAATAGAAATTGGAAGAGAAGTACACACAAGCACAAACATAGGATAGCGGTAGTTACGCAGGTACCATGCGGTGCATCTCTGCATCTCTGCCTCTATCGACGGCCATCGTCGACGTCCTTGTGTACGCACCTTACCTAAGCCACTATTTGTTTATGTCACGACGCGTCCCCGCCGCTAAACCTGAAACGGCATCGAGGATCAACAACGCGACGTGCGCGTTTCTTGTACATTGACTTTCATCTCCATTCTTCACATTCCTGTCATCGATCTCCCTTGAACCATCCCTCTCCCTCCTCCCTCTCCTTCTCCGCTCTGCCTCGCTCTTCCGACCTTTCACCATAGCCATATTCCGACCCTCTTTCGACTTTCCAACTCGCGTGGGCTGATTCTCGACGACTCTTGGAGGGGAAACTACCCCTTACGCTTCCGTGCTTGGTTGTATAGACTGTGATAAAGAATCTGACTTTGTCGCCAACTACGCCCTCTCTTGTCTGGAGTATTGAGGCCATCACCGAATGTCCGTGGGTCCGACCTGAAACATTCCCGCCCGTCCCTCGACAAGATAGCGCGTGTCCGTGTTTATCCCCCCGCGTGCTCCGGAGAAACCGAGCCAAGTGAAGGCCATAGGTGAACAACTCAGAATTCCTAGTGTCTCGCGATGCGTGGGTGAAGCTGCCTGCTTTGCCATTTGCTGCGCCTTTCCTGCTCAGCATTCCAGGCAGCGTGCCTGCCCTCTTATCCTTGCGTCACCCTGGTGATTTCTTTTGGGGACTTCTTGTTCGACGTGGAAAGGCTGCGGACTTTTCACAACTTGTCTGCTGAAGAGTATCGGCACTGAATATATTGATCTCTGAGCCCATCGCTGGTGGGCGGAGATCATCTCACGCGGATTGGATCACCTCTCATTCTGGGATTGTTGCGCGGCGGAGCCACATTCCCCAGTCATGGTTGCGACCTTTTCGCCGCACCGGGACTCGGGCGGCACCCTCCACCTGTCATCGCACTCGGGGCTTCATCACGTCGATGCCAGTTCCGCCATCCGCCAGCTTCGGCGCTCTCTGTCGCGCTCTCCTTCCAAGAGCTCAAGCTTCTTCCTTAACTCTCGCAACGCCTCACCCTCTAAGTCTACATACATCTCCTCGCCTCTATCTCCTTCGCGCCGATCGTCACAGAACAACTTTGTGTTGTTCCCTTCCTCAGGCCAGCAGTCACCTCTTGCAGTTCCGTATCCTCCTAGTGCAAAAATAACCCGGCCGGCCATGCGACGGCGAACATCTCCGCGCAGTCCGGCCAAACGTGCTCTAACTGTGTCGGCGGATGGCGGTAATGCCACTCCTAGTCAGCCTATTTCCATGTCTATGGGTAAAGGTGAGGAAAATGCGCTCACGTTAGATGACCTGATGGGTCAAAGTGAGAGCAACATTTGCGCCAGTCCATTTCTCTCAACCACCCCAGGCGCCCCTCCGTCTGACACTTTTGCTCCTCGCTCCACACTCTCCCGCATCGAAAAACGCCGGAGTGGTACCTTTGGAAATTACGCGACAGTCAGTCCGTTGAAGCGCAGTGACGGCATCATGAACCTGGATCAGGCATCGCGTGGAAGCCCCTCCGCGAAGAGGCGCAGTGTACATGCACCCAACATGTCGGACTTCAGCATCTTCGACACCGACCAGGAAACCACGCCTGCCAGTCCTTCTGCAAGTGAGATTCCGCCTTTCCCGACTCCAATTCAGCCGTTCAGCCCATTCGCGACCATTCCCAAGCGCTCATCATCGTTGCGACGATCCACCCTGCAGCAACGCCAGGGTGAACGCTCGCTATTTGGTCGACCCAAGGCTGCTGGAGAAGGCGAGACATCACCTAGCACCCCGCTGGCAGTTCGCTCTCGCATGTCGTTTGACAGTGGCCTCTTTGATGCAGGACAGGATAATCTGTTCTCACCTCGCCCTGTTCCTGCCAGTCCGCTCTTCTCCAATCCCAGTGGCACCAACCCCAGTGCTGCTGCTCAACCTCCTCGCCCTGCCGCTCATCCTCTTTCGCGCACGATCACCCAGTCCTCCTCCGGATCCAGTCTCGATGACTCGCCCACTCATGAACCCGCTCACAAGCCTGAGCGTCTGCCTCGTCCTCTCTTCAACTTCTCCAAATCTCTACCTGCTGGTGCGACTCGCCCAGCTCCTGTGCGCCGTATTACGCGCGAGGATTCGAGTGGCTCGGACACTTTCGCAACACCCGAGAATTTCAAGCTGGTCAAGCCGCTTCCGGCTGCGTTCATGTCGACTGGACTGATCTCAAAGAAGAATCGCAATGCGGAGGAGTCTCTTGGCTCGAGCTTCATCAAGAACATGCCTGACACTCCATGCAAGCGCTCTGTCAACCTGTTCACTGCGGGCCCTAACCCAGCTCCAGAACGCCTCTTCGACCAGTCGCGCATGGTTCGACAGTCTGAGGATGTACCTCCCTCACCATTCAACCCTTCTTTCTCGACAGCGCGTCCCAAGCCCAGTCGTGGCATGGGGATATTTGGCAATACCTTCAACCACCCTGAAGAGCCCTCGCGCCGTGGAAGCTTTGCGAGCGTGGATGGTGACGATATGCTGCAAGCTCAGTCTCCCTCTTCGCGCCATGACAGCCAGCCACTCAATGATTCCGACTTCCCTCCTACTCCTACTAAGCAGACTTTCCTCCCTTCTCGCACCTATCCTCCCACCACTTCTCAAATTGCGCCCCTCGAGCGCTTGTCAGAGGCCAGGGCCGGTACCATCTCGACTCCCTTGCACAACCGGTTCCTGCAAGCTTCACCTCGCACTCCTCGGGATCAGTTCTTCCCACCTGACCCTAGCGGCTTGTCAATCTCCGTGCCGAATGATCAACAGCCGTTCCAGCCAGACTTTGGCAATTCCGCTCTTCCTGCCACCCCAACTGGCCCGCGTGATTCGTTGCTCTCGAGCAAGCGACCCAGCCTCCAACTCAGTGGATACCACACAACCGATGTTGATTCCAGTCTGACATCGCGCTTTGAGAAGGCCGAGCTGATCGGCACTGGCGAGTTCTCTCAGGTCTATCGAGTTTCTCAGCCTCACGAATCATCTTTCCCCTCTGTCTTCTCTCTCCCATCGAGTGGTCCCAAGTCACCCAATCCTCTGCCCGACCAGGTATGGGCTGTGAAGAAGAGCAAACAGCCCTACCTGGGCCTCAAGGACCGTGAACGCCGCATCCGCGAGGTGGACATTCTGAAGACTCTCGTCCACTCCGACCACGTCATTTCCTTCGTGGACAGCTGGGAGGAATGTGGTCATCTATACATCCAAACCGAGTTCTGCGAGGAGGGCAGCTTGGATGTTTTCCTTGCCCAGGCTGGCCTCAAGGCCCGAGTCGATGATTTTCGCATCTGGAAAATCCTACTCGAGCTCTCCTTGGGTCTCAAGGAAATTCATGATCAAGGGTTCATTCACCTTGACCTGAAGCCCGCCAACATCCTCGTTACCTTCGAGGGTGTACTTAAGATTGCAGACTTTGGCATGGCCACGCGCTGGCCCGCTGAGGAGGGCATCGAGGGCGAGGGCGATCGTGAGTATATTGGACCGGAGATTCTCATGGGCCGCTTCGACAAGCCCGCCGATATTTTCTCACTCGGCCTGATTATGTTTGAAATCGCCGGCAATGTGGAATTGCCGGATAATGGAGTGTCTTGGCAGAAACTTCGAAACGGTGACATGAGCGATGTGCCCAGTCTGACCTGGAGCTCGGAAACCAGCATCTTCCGTGATGCGTCTGGCAACCCTGTTTCGGAGTCTTCCTCGTTTGAGGAGCTCTGTGTCTCTGACCTGGGTGATGACGACTTCGGCGACGAGTTCGAGACGAGCCGCAAGCTGAACGCCGGCAAACCAACTCAGTTAGAGCGCAGTGGCGAGCTCGTCAATCCTCCGGACTTCATGGTAGACGCTCATCACCTTCAGGCGCTGGACAGGATTGTCCGCTGGATGATTTCCCCCGAGCCTCTCGACCGGCCTACTGCCGACCAGATACTGGAAACTTACGGGGTCCAGTTTGTCAATCGACGCCGCCGTGCCGGTGCCACCATCTTTGAGGGTAACTGGGGGCCCGCCGACGAGATCTTGGCTGAAGATGCCGAGATGATCGATGTGTAATCTATTCTCCCCTTTCCGCTGTTTGTGCATATGGAAGGTGTTCTGTGCCTTATGTTTCCCCCTTTTTTTCCTTTGTCATTTTCCGGTGTTTATCATGACTAGGCGCGGCTTTTGTTTCTTCCTATCTTTGACGTCATGTTTTCGGATCACGACCTTGTTTCTTTGTTTCTGTTCCAGGCTTCTCGGGTCGAAGCCGAGATTTCTGTTTCTTGCGAACTGGGAATTCCCTCGTGAAGTGCTTTCTTGATCACCCTTTGGGAGTTGAAGCCACTTTACCAGATGCTCGGACTACCAGTTCATTCCTCGTCATGACCCGGTGGAGTTTACAGAGGGTGAATACCCTGGAGTTTCTGTGTGGCGTTTCTTCATTCGCTTGCGGCGTCCTTGCTTTCTGTTTCCTTTGTATCTGCCTAGTATTACTAGGTGTCACGAATGTACCATGATCCCACTGTGACCTCCGGAGGTCTTTGTCTATCGGAATTGCTCTCGTACTTCGTTCCAGCTTGTCAGATCTTGTCATAATTCTATGGATTCATAGTTTTTCAAACTGGCCGCTTGGCACTGGGAGCTCGATCGTTGGCATTGTGCCGGTTGGCCGCATATGCTTGGGGCATCTTGGTTTCCTTCTGTCTTGTCTGCTCTCCCCCTTTTTTTTTTTTTTTTTCGGGTGCAACTGTGACGATAAACGACTGCCGCCATGCCGTGTTCCATTAGCGAGATTTGCTTGAGTTGTGTGTCTATTGTCTGACTAGTTTGATTCCATGTCAGTGTACAGCCTGGAGTCCGAATGATATCCCCCGATTTTCTTTACTTTGCTCCCTTTATAGTTGTGATTTAATCAAGTGCTGGTGTAGTCTTGGCTTGGCAATCTCGACTCGTAAGCCTACGTACCAAGGCATCGCTACCTGGGTAGATCTGGCAGGTCAGGATAGAATTCCTCGAAGTCGGTGAAGTTCTGGCTTTAGCTACATAGGGCATGGATTGAGGATAAGTAGATACCCAAGTATAATATAAACTTTTTATAAGGACTTGGAGGAATACGACAAATATACACTTATATTCCTGGGCATATGATCGACAGTCAAATGTCATCCCTCTCCCTCAAGCTCTCTTTCCTTCTCTAGATTATAACGAGACTTGGTCCTTTACCGACTAAGTAATGTATACATATATACGTCTCTAGGTCTGGATCTGTAAGTGATAAGGCCTTATTATAGTAGACTTCTCTAGATATGGCCGTCAAAAATAAACCAAACAAACAGTGGCCACTGCTCATCTGATTCGACCCAACCTGTATCTACTGTCACAACATCACTACAGTATGTGATCAGCTCACGTGATCAAAAGGTAGATTGGTCCAAAAAAAGCTCCCGGCGGGGATCGAACCCGCGATCTTGAGATTACTAACCAATCGACAGGTTCCGTTGAATAGAAGTCACACGCCATACCACTTGGCCACGGGAGCAGTGGTAGTCTCCAAAGTTCGGAAACGCCATATTGAAATCAAGGCAATTGGGGAATATAAGGACGCGCCTTTTGTGACTATCACACGCCTATTTACGACGACCAGAGCCAGAATGGCAGGTCTGTAGTAGCATAGACGAGAACGTTGCACATGGGGAAGGAAGAAAGTGAGGGAGATTGGAAGATGTAACATGCATGTCGGTGCCTGAGGATGCAGACTTCCCGGAACCTTCCTCAGTGACCGTCGGGCCACCTGACTTGAATAACCCCAACCACTTCACGAGAAGTGAGAGAAATCTCCCGGTTTTGCTTATGCACACCATGCGCCGTGCTCTCTAATATTCATTACAATTGTATCCTGTGAACGGGTTCGGAATATTGTGTCTTCTATAATTCCGCGCCCAGCATGGACAACAAAACTTTCGTGTCCGATTCACTGATTCGCTTGACCGGTGCCTCAGATCCGATCGCAGTTGATTTTGTCCTCGCCGAAGCCACCTCCGCCAAGTCCTCATCCTCCCTGCAAGATAAGCTGGTCTCCTTCCTCGATGGCAGCCCCGATGAAATCGCCGCGTTCTGCGGACAGCTCTTCTCCCGCGTGGGGAAGAGCAGTCAGCCCAGTGCATCTACTGCGAAGAGCACTGGAAGCAAGGAGGCAAAGAAGAAATACCGGCTGGTAGACATGGGCGAAGATCTCCCTGATCCCGCATCCACATTGGGGCCTGTCAACGTCGAGGCAGACCGCGACAGAAGGAGGCGCCGGGACAAAGAAAGGAACGGTGATCGAGACGGTGATCGAGACCGAGGCAGGAGCAAGCGAGAGTCCGAGGCCCCCAGTCGCTGGGAGAAAGACGACAACCGAAAACGAGATCGCAGCCGGGACACGGAGAGTCGGGACCGCCCGCGGTCGAAGAAGTTGCGCAAGAAGGACTCACAAGGCTTTGACGATAGGTGGGGTGATGAGGAAACCCCCGAGGAAGAGCTGTATGCCGAAGGCGATCAGGATGAATTTGCGGAGTCGCCCTCGAAACGGACGAGACTTGAGGATGGATCCGCCTCCCCACGATCCGCGTCTCCCGTCGATGACCTCGACCCTCAAACCAAGCAAGAGATGGATCGCCAACGGGACCTTCGTGAGCGAGATGAATTTGCGAAACGACTGGCCAATAAGGATGACAGCAAGTCCAAAAAGATCGTGGAGGACCGAACGAGAGATGGAGAAGCTGCACGGCGTCGCGCTTTGGCTGACAATGCTGATGCGCGGGCCGCCGTGATGCCCGATCTACGCCTGCGGTCGCGACAGGAATATTTGAAGAAGCGAGAAACGGAGCGGCTGGCGTTATTGCGGCGCCAGGTCGCTGAAGAAGCTGCTGAGTTGCGCGACAATCCAAATCTCACACGCCGCGAGAAGGAGGAGTTTGCGCGAAACCGAGAGGTTCTTCGCATCGCAGAGGAACGACTTCGAATTGATGACCATCGCGATGGCTATATGATGCCAGATGATTATATCACGGAGAAGGGCAAGATCGATCGCAAGAAGAAAGAGGATGCCCTGTACAAGCGCTATGTCGATCGCGACGATGCCGGCCAGGAGCGATTCGTTACGGAGCACGAGGAATGGGAATTGGAACAAGCAGCCAAAGCCAAAGCCCAAATCAAAAAGGCTGAATTCGTCGACGAAGGAGACTATGAATATGTCTTCGACGATTCACAGCAGATCAATTTTGTGATGGATACCAAGCTTGAAGGCACGCAAAAGCCTATGACCCAGGAGCAGCTCCGGTTCAAGGAGCAGGTTGATGCAGCTGAAAAGAAAGCTGCCACAATGGAGGAGACTCGGAAGAGCCTTCCCATCTATCAATTCCGGGACCAGATCATCGAAGCCGTGCACAAACACCAGGTCTTGATTATTGTTGGAGAAACGGGTTCGGGTAAAACGACACAGATACCTCAGTACCTTCACGAGGCCGGCTACACGAAAGACGGCTTGAAGATTGGCTGTACTCAACCGCGTCGAGTGGCAGCCATGAGTGTTGCAGCCCGTGTGGCAGATGAGATGGGCGTGAGAATTGGTAATGAAGTTGGCTATGCTATTCGATTCGAAGACAACACGAGCGACAAGACAATTATCAAATACATGACTGACGGCATGCTTCTTCGAGAGTTGCTCACGGAGCCGGATCTGGGCCAGTACTCGGCGTTGATGATTGACGAGGCCCACGAGCGGACGGTACCTACGGACATTGCTTGCGGTCTTCTCAAGGATATTGCCAAGGCGCGGCCTGATTTGAAGCTGCTCATCTCCTCTGCGACCATGGATGCGCAGAAGTTCCAGAAGTACTTCGACGATGCACCTATTTTCAACATTCCCGGTCGCCGGTACCCAGTCGACGTGCACTATACATCGCAGCCGGAAGCCAATTATTTGGCCGCAGCTATCACCACGGTCTTCCAGATCCATGTCACGCAGGGCCCCGGAGATATTTTGGTTTTCCTGACAGGCCAGGAAGAAATTGAAGCTGCCGAGCAGAGTCTACAAGAAACGGCTCGAAAGCTGGGCAGTAAAATACCGGAAATGATTATTTGTCCCATCTATGCCAACTTGCCGTCGGAGCTACAGACCAAGATCTTTGAGCCCACACCGCCCAAGGCGCGCAAGGTGGTGCTGGCGACCAATATTGCCGAGACTAGTTTGACGATCGATGGTATTGTTTACGTGATTGATCCCGGATTTGTCAAGGAGAACGTGTTCAACCCTCGCACGGGCATGGAGAGCCTCGTGGTGACGCCGTGCTCTCGCGCCTCGGCCAACCAGCGTGCAGGTCGTGCCGGACGAGTTGGCCCGGGTAAATGCTTCCGACTTTACACCAAGTGGGCGTACTACAACGAGCTGGAAGAGAACACCACGCCGGAGATTCAACGCACCAACCTGAACGGCGTTATTCTGATGTTGAAGTCTCTGGGTATTGACCAACTACTTGACTTTGATTTCATGGATCCGCCCCCGGCGGAGACCATCATTCGAGCATTGGAGCAATTGTACGCCCTCGGAGCTCTCAACGACCGTGGAGAGCTCACCAAGGTCGGTCGACAGATGGCCGAGTTCCCTACGGACCCGATGTTGGCCAAGGCGATCCTCGCAGCAGGACAGTACGGATGTGTGGAGGAGGTGCTTTCGATCATCGCAATGCTGGGTGAGTCGAGTGCACTTTTCTTCCGACCCAAGGACAAGAAGATCCACGCCGATAGCGCACGCAACCGGTTCACTATCAAGGATGGCGGTGATCACCTGACGCTTCTGAACATTTGGAACCAATGGGTAGATTCGGACTTCAGCGTCGTGTGGGCCAAGGAGAATTTCCTGCAGCAGCGTAGCTTGACCCGAGCCCGCGACGTCCGCGATCAACTGGCCAAGCTGTGCGACCGAGTCGAAGTGACAATCAGCACCTGCGGCGCCACCAACATCATCCCGATTCAAAAAGCCATCACCGCCGGTTTCTTCCCCAACGCGGCGCGGCTGCAACGCGGCGGTGATAGCTACCGCACGATTAAGACCGGTCAGGGAGTGTACCTGCACCCGTCAAGCACGCTGTTCGAGGTCAACCCGCGGTGGGTGATCTACTACGAGCTGGTTCTGACCAGCAAGGAGTACATGCGCAGCAACATGCCGCTGCAGGCAGAATGGTTGGTGGAAGTGGCACCGCACTATTACAAGAAGAAAGACCTGGAGTCGCTGGGACTGGATCGCAAAGTGCCCAAGGGGACCGGGGCAGCGGGCGAGAAAAGTCGAACGTGAGCATAGGGAGTTGACCCTATGATGTATTATTACATATAAGCCCAAGGAAGCAAAGTACATGTTTTGTGATATAAGTTCTTGCCTTTCTTGACCACACCTTCGAGCAGATATCAAGAAACAGTGCGAACACAACAATGGCCTTGCATTTATCGACTCGTAGCTCGAAACAGGGCTCGCAAGGCCCTCAGATAAGAAAAGACAACCCTTAACCTTTTATTTCCTTGTTTTCCTCTAAAAGTAAGTACTTATAAAGAGCTATTGTACTATTAGCGGTATATTTGGCTTTAGAGCAATCACGTAGGTAGATCAGGTCCTGACGTGTTCTGCCACACTATAAGACCGGCCCTAGAAAAAGAATAGGTAAACATAAACGTCGGAATAATCAAACATAAAAAGGACCGAGATATCACAAGAGCCCCACTCGCACGAGTCCAATCAGACGGAGGGTATTTGAGATTTCCGAGGCACCATCGAGTTTACCTCGGCCCCGCCTTTTCTCCCCAGACTGCCGCTTTTAATGACCTCACCTTCTAAGAACACCTTCCATCTTCACACCACCACCCATCATGTCGAAATCCTTCACCCCCGCCGATGTCGCCTCCCACAACAGCGCCGACAATGGCCTGTACATCATCGTCGATAACAACGTGTACGACGTGACCAACTTTATCGACGAGCACCCGGGCGGTGCGAAGATCCTCAAGCGCGTTGCTGGCAAGGATGCGTCCAAGCAGTTCTGGAAGGTGAACATCCCTTATACCCAATGTCTCTCTTAAGAGAGACATGCATAGCTAGATAGCCATGAAATATCTGACTATGGGCCGATGGACCACCCGCTAACCCACTACAGTACCACAACGAGTCCGTGCTGAAGAAGTACGCGCCCAAGCTAAAGATCGGCGAAGTCAAGGAGGCCGCCAAGCTGTGATTTACAATTTGCGATAAACGACATACCGTCACAAGATAGAGACGCTCGAAATCAGTTTCACCACTTTGTTCTTCGATTCATTCTCGAACTCTATTCTGTATTACGTTATACCTTTTGTGTTTACCTTACCCTTGATCCATCATCTTGGCAGTGGTTGTATGAGCTATGTCTTAGCTAGAACCGGTTTTGCACCCCGCATTCTCACCCTTTCCTACTACATTCAGCGGATTCAACCATCTGTGATACAGTAATATTCGGAAATAGATTCTGCCATGGACAATCGCGTTGTTTCTCTGCCTGTAATCACCCGAATATGAATTTGGCTAAGTAGTAAGAAATGGTTCTTTAAGAATAGGTCCATACTTAGTCTAGGATGAATGCGTTACGTATGATGTTATATCAAATTGTCCTCTTTCCAGTTGATCGTCACGGTGGCACAGTTGTTCGATATTATGATATGGATGTTTGAAGAATCAGGATATTCTGGCAACGTTTGTCCAGCTAATCGTAAGACCATGAAAGCTTCGCAACCCAGCATCGTCCGGCATCTCTCTCCGCTGAGGATTGGGAGAGCTCGAACGAACTATTGGTAGCGAAGAACCATGTCTATACCCACTGCAAAGCTAGTTTTACATTCTACACTGTTATTTCTAGAGAAGTTTGTTCAGTATACATTAAATTTGTATAGCATCCGACTGCGGTTTTGCCTCCAACGCCTCGAGTCCATCGCTGCTTCGATTTGGTATCCTCTTTCGCACAATGGTATCAACATGAAATCAAAACGTAGAAAAAAGAAAACAAAATTGTGGAGAGAGACGTATGTAGGTCGGAGGATAAAAAGAAAATATTTTAAATAGGGCTGTACATGCAAAGGGCCACTGCGGCGATCAAAAGCTCGCCGATGAGGAATATAGGATTAAAAGCCGCGGAAAGGGTCGGATCGGAAGGACATTTCACTGCCGTAAATGGAGGGTGCATCGTAGTCACCCTGGCTCCAATTGCTGGAGCTCTTGCGGGTGTGTCGTGAGCGAGCAGGTGGCGCGCCACGAGGGCGGTTAATCTCTTGCGCATGGTGATCGATAAAGGCCTCCATGCGCATGGTGCCCATGTCAAAAACATTACTGGCATTGGTGTTGGCGGTGCGCGCACTGGCCTCCGAGGTTCGACTGATGCTACTGCGGCCGCTCCTGATGCCCGGGGGGAGAACGGGAGGCGGCACAGTTGAGTAGTATGGCTCTGAAGAACCGGCAGTCGTACCGCTGTGTGACGAGGGCATAGTGCCCTGGCTGGAGAAGCTGCGAATGGTGGGAATCGCTGGTGGCCGTGGAGCCGTGTTGCTGCGCTTGCGGTTGTGGTTGGAGAAACGCGGGACATGGGGTGCATCAGCGGCCATGTCGAGGCCACCTGGCGGTAGTTCAGGCATGGTTGTTCCAGGGAATGAGCGTTTACCCTTGGGCATGGGTCGGGGCCGGCCCTTGGCCACGCGGATGGAGTCACGGATTGGATTGCGTCGCAGGGCAGCCAGTGGCGTAGGAGATACGACCTCATCTTGCGGCGCCGGTGGCAGGGCGGCCAGTTCGTGCAGGCCCATAGAGGAGTGGCTGAGGAAGGATAACGCCGTGAGCCATACGTAGTGGCGCTCGACCGTCACTGCGGTGAATTTGAGCGCGCGCTGAGGTGTCAGCACCAGGATTGAACGGTTGAAGGGATTTGGGGAGCCGGAGCCCTTGGGCAGAGGGTTGTCGTCCTTGACGTCCAAAACGGATTGGATAGCGACTAGAATTCATAAGTTAGTTGGGACGAAATTACAACTAGTACGGAGCAACAGCTTACACTTCCTGCCACTCTTGCCCAACAATGCAGGACCACTCGTTGGCTGCTTGCTGCTCCACATGATAGAACCTTCATATGGCGCAAGCCAGACCCATCGCTTGTGTCGTACTCCACTGTTCGTGATATTGGCCGATACCTCGTCCGGGTTCTTCCCCTCCCAGCTATCCTTGGACTCACCCATGCTGAAGGACTTACGGCGGCGGACGTATTTGAACATCCACTCGCCGACCATTGTTTGCGCAATGGCATCCACGACACTAGTCGGCTGCACGCCCGCAGTCGAATCCCGACGCTCATGATTCCAGCTTATGGAGGGTTCTGCGCGGTGCGAGGCCCGTTTATGAGTATTTCGCAGCTCGAAAGGAGCCGTGATATCATCAAATGGCATGGGAGGCGGGCAGAACGGGCTATCAGGTACAAAGGAATCGGGCGACCGCGTTGGGGACGATCGAGTCTCTGGACGTTCTGGAAGGTCTGAGTTTGACATTGCAGCAGCGGATCGGACTCGGCGCAGGGTCGGTCGGCGGGCGATCGACCCACGGCCACGGTCTGAGAACTGTCTCCCAGCGGAGCGAGTCGGACTTGGAGGTCCATCGCTGCCGTCCAAGGGGATCTTGCGCGAGCTGAGACGGACCGGGACGGGGAATGGAGGAGCAATGCTAGATCCTGCGCTGCCACTTTCGAGGCTAGGTTCGCTGGGGCTGCGGGAACGCATCTTTTGATGCGTCACTGCCCCGTTAGAGATCATAGCCATCTTGCGCATGCCAGACTGGCGGCTGCTGGAGGCAGTCGCACCAGACCGTTGGGTAGCGCGAGAGTAGCTGTGACCAAGGTCGGATGGTCGAGACTCAGGATCAGAGAGATGCTCGTCAATCTCGGGGAGACCTATGGAATCCAGACTGGGTCTTGATTTGGCATTGACCAATTTGCCACGACGGATCTTGTATGCAGCGAATGGCCTGTTCAGCAGCTCGTCGTCCGTGAAAATGTCGCGCTCTTCCCCATGGGGGCCTTCATCATCGCTCAGCTGTTCAAAGCCGGCAAACAGACTGCTGGACCGGAAAGGTCTCCGAAGTCCAGAAGCTACCTCGTCAGACAGTGGGCCGTTGTCATTGTTGCCTGGGTAGGCTTGAATGGGCTCCGATGGTGGTGCAGGTGGAGGTCTCATTGGCCGCTCTAACAGCCTAGGAAGCTGCTGCTCTCGCTTGGCAGACCGTGGCGGGGGCACGGGTGGCCGGTACGGCTGATACCCTGTATCCCGAGCTTCAGCTGGAGTGGGCAAGTCCGGTATAGCCGAAGGAAGAAGGCTGGCGGGCAGTTTCCGCCTATCAACACGAATCTCCTCGGTCTGTATGGCGATGGATCGGCCTTCGATGACCGACCTGAAATTGGCCTGCACAGATACATTCTTGGTTTGAGGTGGCAGAACAACGCTATTTCGGGGTGAAGGCGGTTCCGAACCGGGAGGATGGATGGTGATCATTGGAACGTTCATTTGATCTGGGATATCATTGGGTGATAGGGAGGCCTTTTCTTCCTTGACGGGTTCCGCTTCAGGAATTGGATCGGTTTGAGTAGAGATTGATGCCATCTTCACTAGCTCCGGAAGCTTTTCTGCAGAGTGAGCTGGTGATTCAGGTTCAGGTATCTTGGGTGTCCACGGGGGACTGGGAAGATAGCCCACTGTCTGACTAGACGTGGACACCATCTCGACAGCACTGGTGAGCGTCGCGGAATCCTTCATCTTGGGCATCTCATCCTCGAGATCTTCACGCTCTGGCTCCGCAATCGTCTCTACAGGCACAGCAGAAAGATCTTCCTCTTCCACAGCCGACGTCTCGGGTGACGGCGGTAGAGAATACTGGATGCCCGTGTGGCGATACTCAACAGATACCTCCGGTACTTTCGCAGGACTCTTCATGTCTAGAGAACGGTACTCTGCCGCTGTAGCGGACCCGACGCTTTGAAGAGAAAGACCCAGGATTTTCCTGGCCTTTGATGAAACCGCATGAGACGACTGTGAGTGAACGGACATCGGGCGTTCCTCAGGCAGCGCATCCTCATCAGATGCAGCAAACTCATCCTCTTCATCAAAGTCCAATTCCTGGGCCAAATTCAAACCTGAATTGTTCTTGGCACCGGGAGCAAGACTCATCACCGAGTATCGCACGTTGTGATAATCGGCTCCGGCGTGGTCGTCACCCTCACCCTCATCAGACGTCATACTGATCATACTCGTGCGCCGACAGCCCTGGCTGCTGGAGGCCACACTTGCTGTGTCGCTGCATTTGCTCTTCTCCTTGGCAGCATCGTCATTTCTGCTAATTTGTGAATGAAGGTTTCCAGCTTCTTGGGCCGCTGCGACCTCGTTCAGCACCACCTTCAGACGGCCCTCCACCACGTGGACCTTGCGCTCCATATTCCTCCGCTCATTCTCCCACTTTTCTCGATCGCGGTCCCACAACATCTGAGTGCGCTCGACATCTTCTTCCCGACTGCGAACTCTTTTTTGTGCTTGCTCTAATTTCTTGCGGGCGTCGTTGACGTTCTCAACGGCATCGTCTCGCTCGCGGGCCAATTCCGTCATCGCAGATGAGGTCCCGCCTTCCAGGAGCTGGATTTGATGCTTCAAGGACCGCGCATCGCGCGTGGCCTGGGTCAAATTCTCGCCCAGCGTTTCATTTTCCGTCCGTGATTCGTCCAAGCTCACTTCTAAGAAATCAATAGCCTTGGTTTTGTTTTCGACCTCTCGCCGGAGGGAAAGAATCTCGGAGACGAGCGATGCATGGAGGGTAGGTGTAATTCGGCGGGCGTCGAACGGCGACAGCGTATCTTCCCCGAGCAGCTCTTCTTCGTCATCGCTGAGCCCATCGGGGGAGAACGCCGGCGTAGGTAGGCCTGGTGGGGAGGAGGACGGTGGGGGGGATGAATCTCGATGACGCCGGGCTGGCCGAGATCTTGATCTCGCCTTGGAGAGATTTTGGGGTTTGCTGGATGGTGCCGGCGAGGACTGGGCCATGTCGGTAGCCGGGGACTTCAAGTCCGTCGCCATATCTGTTGGGTGTGCTGAAACGTTCAAACCATCACCTGGATATCTTCGTTTCCCGGTGCTAACCAGAGCACAACAGGCCGGATCCCATCAATTGATGTCTACCGTAGTTCAATCATCCGGCCAGAGGTGTGTGGTATAAGGTCTCCTCACGGGCAGGAATCAGAACACGCCCGAGGGAATCCCGTGCGTCCTGGAAGCAACCTAATATTCAGCGGTGGCTGTGGAACGAGTCAATCAGCCACTGTAGCGCGTTTGCGACTGCGACTGCGGGATGCGAGGTGCACGCCCGAGCGCGAGGAGGGCCAATGCAATCGTTTTTAGTATGCACGGAGGCCCCGAAATCTACTTACCGGAGACGAGCCAGATCTTAGGTTTGGGAAGTTGGAGGCGGAGGAGACAAGTCGGATATCAGCGCGCCCCTGGGACCTCTGCGGGCTTCGAGAAAAGGCCGATCGCGATCGCTCCAGACCCAAAGAGTTATGGGTCAAAAAAGTACAAATTTCCTGCGATCTGCGGGTTTACGAAGAGGGCAACGATCCGAGACGCGCAGCCCGCTATTCGGTAGATAGATTAATGTAGAACACTTTTTAAGATCAGCCTTGCCAAAGTCGGAACCGCGCCGGATACGATGGGCTTTGCCCTCGAGAAATACAAGAAGCCCAGGGGGTTCGTCAGGGGGGGGGGGGGGAGTCATGGGGAAGCTAGAGACCAACCCGATTAGCCAGGATGCACTTGGATCCACTGGGAACTGCCAACCAAGACACCTACGTTGGATCCCGGCCGACTTCATCATGAGTTTGGTCTGTTCGCCGATTCAAAGATATGATAAGCTGGCATGCTCTACCTATACAAGGCAGCCTTAGTACCTGTATAGTGAACAAGCTCACTGCAAATTCAAAGCTTCCAGCGGACATGGAAGAAGGCGAAAAGGGTACTACTACATTCTCGATGCCAAGAAAAAGAGATGACAATAAGCTTGATAGAAATGAAGAGGCGTCTGGAGATACCTCGGACTCACAGACGGGATGCACTGGAAGAGGAAAAGGAGTCGAGATGGTTTCCCGGTGCTCTGCGATCGTCCGAGTCCACTTCCTATCCTGGGTGGCATGGGGAAGGTGTTCGTCTGCGATGAGGCCCTAATCGGGGTTCCACCGCGCTGAATATGGGTCCAAACAACGCGTCCAGATTGCGCCTTCGGGTTTTCCTGGACATCGTGCCAATGGGGTGCCCGTTGTGACCCCTTTTTCTTTGTTCGTGGTGATTGCGATGCCCCTGGTAGGCAGGAAAGTGGTCATTATCCATTGTGATGGGAATAAAAAAAGCCAGGGACATGACCAATGGACGGGAGGCTAGAGCCCTGTCAAGACACTAAGAGAGCTTGCGAATCGAATTAATTGGGCAACGCTGCTGCTAGCGCGTTTGAGAACGAGCGTTACCCTGTTCAGACGAGTCCGCCCTAGCGTAAGGGTCGCTCCTGATCATCCATGATAATTTCGTTAAATGAGAGCCAGTGGTCTGTGTTGACGCGTTTCATGTGTGCAGGCTACATCTGACCTGGGTGTTCTTTTGGGGTTCTCGTCCGATATCCTCTGGAGTGTCTGTTTCCCTTTGTTGGGAAATCCACGAGTCCAAGCGTTTGACGGTGCAATCAGGGGTAAGAGTAAGATTGGAGACTCCGTTCCGCGAGATCCATCTGTCTCCACTCAAGAGTTCGAAGGATCCAACCTGAAATGAGAACCGAACCTGTTCTGTTTTGTTTTGCTCTTTTTCGGTTCCTTCAAGTCTGGTACGCGACGGTCACGAGGCCTGGCCTGGACCGGACTGTACTTTCTCACGCAATCTAGAGACCCCGTATTTGCCGGTCGCACGGATGGCAGACGTTGAACGTGGCTAAAATAAAATTAAACTGTAGCCAATCGGCCCCCCCTTGACTGATTTATTGGCAATAATCTGTTGTCAACGCCCGTTCCAGGCTCTGCCGGGGTGACATGCGATCTAATCACTCTCAGCCCCGTTGGAAATTGGACCGTGAGAAAACGCTAGGGGGCATTTCCCGCGAAACCATTACGCGCACCTCGGCCCATGACCCACCTGACGTGAGGTGGGGTTTGTGCAAAGCAGACACGGGCTGTTGACAGGTCTATTCTGCGGTAGCGACTTGTCATTCGATCGTAGCTGGGTCAATCCGCGATTTTTATCTTTTTGACAGGGCACTAATGCGGTGCCCAGACTAAGAGGCGCGCGAAGGTGGAGATGGAGCTGAGCTGGGTAAATGCATATGGGAGATGGTGATTTGAAGTTGAAGTTGAGTTTATCTGGCGTGAAGGGTGAGGCGAGATATGTTCAGGTCGCGAACGGCATTCTTGTCATCACTCTTCCATCCGAACGTGTGATGTCGCAGTTTAAAATCCCAGCGCTGTAATTTGCCATAAATTGTATTGTTACGTATGCCCGCAGACTTTGGGCGTACTGTCAACACTTGTTCTGGCCGATGTATGCTAATATATGCTAATATTCTCCGAAACCCCCACTAAACCCTCGATGGTGTAGTTGGATATCACGTTCGGCTGTAATGGAAAAATTGTAACCGAAAGGTCACCGGCTCGATTCCGGTTCGAGGGAACAACTACTTTTTTTTTTGCCCATATCTTTTTTTAAGAACCAAATAAAAAGCACCCCGCCTCAACAAAGGTGAAAAAAAGAGACCATTCCCCCGAGCCGGAATCGAGCCGGCGACCTTTCGGTTATATGTGAATCCATTACAGCCGAACGCCATATCCAACTAGACCATCGGGGGTGTTAGGTGGCAACGCTGAATTTTCTTATGATCTATCAGACTGTACTAGAAATTCGATCTGAGTAGGTTAAGCGACAACACTAGGATAACCTTTAGAAGCAACCAGTAGGCATAGTCTACTAGAGGGCTAGGTTTCTGAATTCTTTCGAGGCTTTGGGCTTTTTATGCAACTAAATTTTGCCCATTGTTCACTAAATACAGGTGTCTGACAGGTAAGGCTACCCAAGGAGCAGTAGTCATAATGGTAGCGGAAAAAGCGCCTGATACCTGCACTACAGTATCGTACCGGTGATCCTGGTATGTTGAAGTGAAGATGGCCTTAAAATTGCATTCAGGTGGTGTTCTAGATGAACTAATCATTTTACATTACCGATCTGTTTTCGCTATCTTCTATAGGGTAGCGACTTCTTGTTCTTGGATATATGTTACAGTCAAAAACGGAATAACTCGCCGTCAGCAGGTGGACTCAAGGTTATCAACCATCGGGACTAATAGAATAGATAGTATAAAATAAGAAGAGAGGAATAAAAAGAAGTGAAAGCTTAGGTGAAAGGCCTCAAGGGTTGCTATATCCCGATTAAGAGGAACGAACCGAACGGGGGAAAAAAAAGATGTTCCCTCGAACCGGAATCGAGCCGGTGACCTTTCGGTTACAATTTTTCCATTACAGCCGAACGTGATATCCAACTACACCATCGAGGGTTTAGATGTTCATTCGCTCGATTTAATAAATCAATACCGACCACGCACGTTCCAAATTCCATACCTCAGCGGAAGACCATATACTGTGTAAGCCCCGTAAAGATGGTGACTATCTCCGGCTCGCTCACTGTCTGCTTTTATACGTACCTACATAATTTTACGAGACCCATGTCAAATTGAGAACCGCCGAAATGTCTGCAATTGAGTGATAGAGTTTTCGACTCGTCGCTGAAGCCATGTGGTTGCGATGAGTCGACTTTAAGTGCGGGGAGAACGATAAGCCTGAACCCCGCCGGCGCTGCCGGCGTTTGGCCTCGGTTCGCTTGACTCGGCGGCATACAGTTCTTACATTGATTCATAAGGGCAGCTTTTTGAATATTCTGCTCGGTCCTAGACAATATCTGAACTAGTCTCATCGCATAATCCCGACCACGACACCACGACCATTGCGGGGTGACTTGCGATCCATCGCCTGCAGAGCGGCCCACCATGACGGCTCCTCAAGCCTTGTTCTTTGATACATTTGGCACGGTCGTCGAATGGCGCACCTGCGTCACGAATGCCCTGACCACCGCCGCTCAACAAGCACTGGACTCTGATAGGGTTATCCCTGCTGATGTGCGGCATCGTACATCCACTATGCGCGAGGCGGATTGGGTCGGCCTCGCCGAGGAATGGCGGGCTTCCTACAGCAGATTCACGAGCACTTTCGACTCGTCCAAGGAGTTCGTGTCGGTAGATCAGCACCACTATTCCGCACTGCAAGATCTATTCCACCAACGAGGGATCCTGGACTTGTTCACCGATAGTGAGCTATGGTCGTTAACATTTGCCTGGCACAGGCTGGATCCCTGGCCGGACAGTGTCCCAGGTCTCGATCTATTGAACAAGAGATTCGTCACATCCACTCTATCAAATGGCAATGTGACCCTGCTTGAAGATCTTCAGAGGCATGGATCCCTACCCTTTGCCCATCTCACAAGTGCCGAGAATTTTGGCGCCTACAAGCCCTCGCCTCTCGTTTACAAAGGAGCTGCCAAGTCACTCGGTCTGGACCCAGCACAATGCGCCTTGGTAGCAGCACATCTCCATGATCTTCAAGCAGCCAAGAGCTGTGGCTTTCAGACTATCTATGTCGAGCGACACTTGGAGGAGGCTTGGTCCGCTGATCAAGTGGAACAGGCCAAGAAAGATGGCTTTGTTGATATTTGGGTTAATTTGAACGCGGGTGGTTTTTTAGAGGTGGCTCGACGGCTCGGGGTTGAATGATGACACGATATTGGCCATATACGTATACATTTTAAAGAATAAATACCGTGATATGTATTGGCTTTATGAATTGGTGATGTAATGACGCACGATGAAAGTGGCGGATTTGTCAGCCCCGCGAGAGCTACTCGTGACTGCGACAAGATCGCATTCCCATAAAAGTTATCGTAAGTCGTCTCGTCGATGACAGGGTATAGGGTTTATCGTTCATTGTTCCACTCCCTGGTTCCTGGCGCATTTCCTACGTGTATTAGCCATCAACGCCACGGGCCCCGCCAAGGAATTATCAACCATGTCTGACCAAGTAAGCTGTCTCAATATATGCCCAAGAGCATGGTAATTATTTTTAATTCAGCTAACAACTCAAAAGACGAAAGTTTACAAGCATGCCGACTCCGACGGTCACTTCCGACGGAAAGACTCGTCCTTTCGATCCCGGGTGTCTCGCGATGCATACGCCGAGTTTCCTGCCGAGAAGGATCGCTACGTGCTGTACATCAATTACGGCTGCCCATGGGCGCACCGAGCAAACCTGATCTGGACATTGAAGGGCTTGCAGAGTATCATTCAGATGGTGATTCTGGATCCAGAGCTCGGCCCGGATGGATGGTTCTTCTCTGGCCGGTATGGATCAGCCGAAAAGGATCCCTTGTACGGGTTTAAGTATCTAAAGGAGCTTTATTTGAAAGCTGATCCTGAATACAATGGACGGTATACCGTGCCGACACTTTGGGATAAGAAAAGGGGAACGATTGTCAACAACGAGAGCAGCGAGATCATCCGAATGCTGTACACTGAGTTCGACGACTTTTTACCAGAAAATCTACAAGAGGTGAACAAACCGGGGGGTGGATTCTACCCAGAGCACCTGAAAAATGAAATTGATGCGATGAACGCGTGGGTGTATCCACTGATCAACAACGGCGTCTACAAGACGGGTTTTGCCACCTCGCAGGCTGCCTACGAGGAAAACATATACCCACTGCTTGAAGCACTTGATCGCGTTGAAGAACACCTGAGCCAGCCGGGACACCAGCCATTTCTATTTGGTGATCACATAACCGAAGCAGATGTACGACTGTACACGACCATCGCGCGTTTCGACGTTGCTTACTATCTGATCTTCAAGTGTAATCTGAAGATGATCAGACATGATTATCCACGACTTGACCGCTGGTACCGCAGGCTGTACTATGACGAGTCCGAGCTGACTCGAGGGGCCTTCAAACAGACGACTTTCTTTGACATCGTATGTTTCGCGTATTCGGATTCGCACTGGAAGACGAGAGGCTGACTGAAAATAGTACAAATTTGGGTATGCCGTTGCCGTTGGAAACAAAACTGGCAACTCAGAGCTAGTGCTTCCTGTCGGTCCTGTTCCTGATATTCTCCCCCCAGAAAAGAAGGAGTAATCGCTAGTGGTCACTTAATGCTTATTCTCACACGGCACCTTCACCCTGACGAGAACAGGGCGGGAAAGTTGATAAATTTGACAAATGGAGACGAGTCGAGTAGCGTCTCTATCTCAGTTCTTAGGAATCTTATTTTAGTGAAATCCCCCATTAGTATTCTCATATACAGTAAAAGAAACATTTTGAACGCCCAGTCAAACCTCTCTCGTTCTCATTCTCATTTCAAAACGTCAAAAGGTTGATACTACCGACGTCAGCATCTAGGATCATTCACAGAAATCTATATAGGCATTAGAGGACCATCCCCTTGGTCTGCTGGATCTTCTTGACATTAATGTCGCGGATCATCATCATGAAGAACAGACTCAGGGCCATGATTGCAGTGCCAGCAATCAGCATTCGCTTCTGGGTGGCCGCATAGGCGTATTGAAGCGCGACTCTAGTCGGGGAGCCCATGGGGAAACTCAGCTGCACCGCAAGGTCATCATAGATCTCCTGCCACTGACCAACAGATTCCTCGGGAAGCATGGTCTGGAGTAGGCCCGGCAGAGTGTTAGTCCAAATGGCACCTGAGATACTGCCACCAATGGAGCCACCAATAGTTCCGAACAGGCCCAACAAGGCCAAAAGTGCAGCCAAATCGTCATGGTCCGCAGCAGCCATAACAGCAACCTGTTGACCAATGATGATAACACCACCACCCAGGGCAATGAAAATTTGGCACATGATGATATAGCCTATACCAAAGCCAGGGTTTCGGAAGTAGATCATCAAGCCAACGCCGAGCATGTACAGCGGAACGCCCCACATAAGCACCCACTTGAAATGACCGGTGAAGCTGATTAGAAGACCAACGGCAAAGAGCTCGACACCCGAAATGATGTCAAAGACGCTCGAGATATACCCGGCGGATGCAAGCGAGGTGTTGTACACAACCTGCAAGTAAGAGGTGAAGTAGTAATTCCAGCAGTAATAGGCGATCTGGTAGCTGGCATCTAGCAAGCAAGCACCAATTACAGTGCGATTTTTCAGCAGGTGCCATGGGACGAAGGGGTGACGGGCACCAAATCTTTCCCAGAAGCCGAAAGCGACCAGCAGGACGAAGCCCACGACCAGCATGGCAATAATATGGGCGGACTCCCATGCATCGGGAGATGAAGCCGCGAGAGTGAACGGCAGCAGGAAGAGGACGAAGCCAGCGCACAGAAGTAAAACTCCGATAACTGAGAGAAATTGAGTCAGACATTTGTGGAGTGAAAAGTGTTGATCTCACTTACTGTCAAATTCGATCAAATAGTGGACCAGGCTTTCGGACCAGCGACGACCGCTGGGCGTTTTCAGGACCAGTCCGTTCTTCTTTGCCTTTCTCTTACCCAGCTGCATCATGACAATCATAGGAGTAGCAACGAAGGGAAGGACGATAGCCCAAGCACCATAACCCCAGCGCCAATTGATAGCATATACCGACTCCGCTGCCTTGGGACCGCCGAATGCGGTAATAATATAGGGAGAGGAAGTCAGGGCAAAAGCAAGACCGCGGTTGCGCAGCGAAGAAGTATCGGCCGTGACCACGTCGACGCAAAAGATCATGCCTGTGAAGCCAACCGAGTAGAAAACCTGAGTTGCAATCATTGTCAATTGCGTTACTTATTTCGTCGTAGTGATCATAGACTTACGTTGGCAGCAGCATAGAGCTCGAAGCTGTTGCAAGATGCCATGAGAACCATGCCCAGTGTAGCAATCGCCAGCATCAATACAAAACCGAAAGTGCGATCCCACAAGTTCAGAATCTTGGCAACCGGTAGATAAGTGGCACCAGCCATAACGTTGGACACGACGGAAATGACTGGCAACAGCGAGTGATCCTGGAATGCGCTGGATACGAAGGGATCCAGGTTGGCGGAAAGCGATGACTCAAAAGCCCTACAAAAGTAGAGCAGCCACATACTGCAGATTAGAAGTTAGTAACTCGCCAGATTTTTTGCGACAAAGGATTGATGTGACCACTCACCAAATGTAGACGATGATAAGGGAGGAGGTCGACCATGACAGAGTCATGGCTTCCGCGATTCTCACACCATCCTGTGCATTCTCATCTGGGACATCATCAAGATTCTCCTGTCCATCAGGGCCATATCCAACCGGCTTCTCCTCCTTCTGGCTCTCGACGTTGACATTCATCTTGGTCTTAGTGAAATCGGCCTCCTGGGAGGTGTTATGTTCTGCCATAGCGACGCGTAGCCAAGAACAGGGTCTGGTCTGCAAGCGTTTATAGCTAACAGATACACCAAGACAAAGGAAAAGAAAAACCAACGGAGAGATAAGATCAACCGCCGAGAGATCAAGAATGGGGGATACGGCCTAAATAAGTTCAGATCGACCGACACCGGGGAGAAAAAGTCTGCCATATAGCGCGGCCCCTTTCTCAGCGTGCCACTATTTCCTGCCAAGTACTTCGGCCGGCGGGGTCGTTAACCGACAGCCAAGCCTGTAAATTGGCTAAATCTTTCGGATCGTGAGAGTCCCGACCACGGCGGCAAAGCCTTGGCACAGGCAAGCGAAAGAGCCGAAATCCTGAGTAAACCCAATTATACCATGCGAGAATAGCTCTAGGCGCGCTAAAGGTGGCTCGCCGTATCCATATGCAGCAGTAAACGCGAAGAATCTCAAGGAGAGAAACAGAGACATGGCAATATGGAAGAGTTGGCAGGGACATGCCAAGCGAGGGGCGGCAGGCCAGGATGTGACTATAAAGCTGGGCAGCGGCGCCCATTCAATCAAAGCTCAATGCCCAGAAACTCGACTCCAGCGCACCTCCGGCGCTAGTTTGAATTCTTCCTTAATCTCCTGACAGATGATCAGATAACTCGGAGCCAAGACCCACCGTCTTGGCCTGTGTGTCAATGGCAAGCGAGTGGTACGAGGTGTTGGAGAGGAGGCCAGGTCGAGGCTGTGTCCCACGTACAATTCCGCACGAAACCCACACGCCAAGAAGTTCATATCGTTCATATCGTTCGGAGACTTTACGAGACATCGCCACTAACTAATCGAATTGACCTACACAAAATCCACGTGCCGAGAACTGCCAAGAGGTCGAGAGGGAGCTTGTTATCGGTAATGCTCGACGCATATGCCAGCGCAGCGTTGACGACCGGACGCTCCAGCACCGTGCAGTCAGCCCCACATCCTGCGGCACAGCATTAATCAACCCCCAACCCCTAGCCTCAGTAGCAGTGATGCTCTTCCTAGCTAAGGCGGGCTCTGTAGCTCTCGGCCGACCGATCGTTCTCGCGAGTCTCGGCATGGAGCCGACCATGGTAACGACGCTTCGCTTGGGCCCAGTAAGCGCAAAAGCGCGCTCTTGGCGAGATCTTACATGGATCTTATCAATCAATTTATTCTGAAAGAAAATCAGATAAAACCCAGAAGGGACTCCAATATTTAGAATTCATCCTGACCTGTGTATAGAGTGGACGGCGTAGCGTGTAGTCGTCACATACCAGCGCAGAGCCCTAATTCCACATTGGGAACGGCCCGCGTTATCGGCCACTCGTCTTATCTGATGTCTCCTTATCTGATCTGACGACAGGATCCTCAGAGTCCAGTCACCAACCCTTGCGAAGCTCCTAACAACTACGCCATGCAACTCAAGGGGCTGACCTCCTTGGCCCGCGGCCAGCCGGGCATCCTCCACCACATCGTAAAGCCGCCCCATCCCCCTTAACCCCTCTCCCGACTAATCCGGACTCCACCAGACCCCAAGCCTGGTCTCCTTCGAATACACGCGCGGCGTGATCCGCAAGCCGCACACCCTCATCTTCGTAGGAGGGCTAGGTGATGGCCTCGGCACAGTGGAATACCTTAGCGACATCGTCCAGGCACTGGAACCGACCGAATGGTCGGTATTCGGGCTGGTGCTATCCTGCTCATACGGCGGCTGGGGCATGGGCCGACTCGGGAACGACATTGACGAGATCGCACATACGGTTAATTATGTCCGAGAATACAAGACACCACAATTTGGGCCGGGCAAGGTGGTGATTATGGGCCACTCGACGGGCAGCCAGGACGTGATGCACTACATCAACTGCCCGAACCCGCGACCTGCACATCCTATTTTCGATAGGGACTGGATACCCGTCGTACGTCCGGAGGTAGACGGTGCCATTATGCAGGCGCCTGTCTCGGACCGGGAGGGTATTTTGTGGGTGGTGAAGTGTGGTACGGAGCGGGATAGCCCGGAGACGATGCGCAAGATCTACAACAAGGCGGTAGAAGATGCACGACGACACACATACGAGGATCACAACTCGGTCGATACGCTTGTGCCGTTGTCTGTGACGGGACGGATTGGATACCCGACCTCGGCGCCAGTGAGCAGCCGGCGATTCTTGAGTCTGGTCAGCCCGGAAAGTCCCGAGAAGCCCGAGGAAGATGATTTGTTTAGCTCGGACTTGAGTAATCAGCGGTTGGAGGATACCTTTGGACAGGTCGGAAAGCGGGGTCTGTTGAGGCAGCAATTGCTCGTGCTGTATTCTGGTCGGGACCAGTCGGTGCCTCCGTGGGTCGACAAGGAGGCGCTGCTCAAGCGGTGGAAGTCTGCCATTGATGTGCATGGCAAGCAGTTCTGGAGTCCGCACAGTATGGTTATTCCCAATGCTTCGCATGCTCTCAGTGACTCAGATCAGAAGGAGCCACGGCGAATCCTGGTAGAGAGGATGACTAGGTATTTGCATGATATTCTGCAGGGTTAGCTTAGGAATTGATAACAGCTATATTGTGTACGCTCTGCGATGTACGACCACTTGTCAGTGAGAAAATTGTTCCATCATTGGAAATGGCCCATGTTTTTGGCCGTCATTATCTTCTATCAAATTGACCGGGGTCTGAAGTTATCCAGACCCATCATTTAAATGGCAAGACGCCTCTTATCTTTGCAGCTATCGTCTGTCGCTTGAAGAAGGGTCTAATCTATCGTGACAGCTGGCCAAGGTTCTCCGGTATCTACCAAAGGCCCAGTAGTCAGCGATTGACATGCTGGAAGCGACCTACCGCCTAGCCTCTTGATGGCCACCATTTCGGTCAATTCGACAACGGGCGCGCAACAGATCTCATCTTTTAGCGGCGATCCTTTGAGCAGATCTTTTCCTGAGACAGCCGATATCCGAAGATAAATCGGGATTCGTTCGGCCTTTGAATGAACTGAGAGCGGCAGATACCATTCCTCATTACTGTGAATCATTGGACAATCCATGCCAATAAAGTCCTGGAGCATCACCTAGATCCAGACTATCGATTGAGATATAGTTCTGGTCAGATGACCATCATGCCTTGCACATAAGCCGAATTCATGGCTCAGGTCCGATATCTCTGTCGAGAAGTTTAGGAGCCTTCCAAGCGAGGCCTGATTGAAGAAGATCCATTGACCCCTTCAAAAGTCGATTGTCCAACGGAAACAACCTCGTGACTAGTCCTAGAACTATCGACGCCCCTGAACTGAGCTCCAAAACCAAAACCCCACCGGGAGGACTCCGCCAAGATTAACCCGACTTGCTCTAATCCCCTGACCCCCATCCGTCCATTGACTAATCTTGAGATAGTCTATCCAAGAGCCAGTCTACCGGAACTTGACATGTCGACCATGTCGATCTCGTAGGTCACCTGGACAAAGCTAGGGCCAGGATGACGGACGCGTACATGACCGGAAGACGCCTCCCGGTCAACCGTCCTGCAAAACCCGACATCGGGTTAAATTAGTCGCGCAAGGACCAGTTCGAGCAGCCACCCGTTCTGACCAGGACGAGACCATAGCGGGCCGTTGGATGCCATATGGCGTCTCCATCTAACGGCCGAGCAGGACGGGATGATCCGTGGGGGTCTTCCCGAACCTCAAAGGCGACTATTGGCTTGGAAGAAAGGAATTGTCTTTCCCGGTCCTTCACGCCGGGCCTCACCGCTGCATCAGGACCAAGCACCAGCCTGTGCAGGGATGAGATCATACCATAGTGTGATAGTCGTGACATGTGAGAAAAGGGGAATGCACATCGCTACGATATAGGGCCATACAGGGTTCAAAGTCCTCCAATAACACAAAGAGCAAACCGGAAGGAAGGCAGAAGGGCATCTGGTCAGCCCAGTCTGGACTTTAGAGTCTCAAGGCACCTTAACGAAGTTTGACTGTAGGCCGCGGCCCCGCGGCCAGAGAACTGGGATGCGCGACGGAGCGGCTCGCCGGAGAGTCGCCAGGAACCTGCCTCGGCTCCAATTGACAAAACGCGAAATTAAACCGGTGTCAACTTCTCCAAATACACAGGGCCGAAGGTGCTCCACTGCGCTCATCCAGGCAGCTTTCGGGGACGATCCGTCAGGCGGGAATACACGCGCCGTTCCGCGGGTGGATGCCTCCTGCCCACTCGAGTCGTCGAGGATACATCCAGTCCATTGCACCGGGACACTCTGTCCATGCATCCGGTTCCTTCGGCGACCGGAAGCGAGAGAGGCATTGAAAATCCATTCTGGAACGGTTCTGAGCCAGGCTCAAACCGGACAAGATCCGTCTCCTCATTTTTTTTTTTTTTAATCTAACGGGGTCCTAGGAGATAATTGCTGACCATTGACGGAATCCTTCACAGAGTTTTCAGACTTGAAACGGCAAGGGTTCAGGTTCAGGTTCAGGTTCAGGTTCAGGTTCAGGTTCAGGTTTCCTGTTTCCTGTTTACGATTCACGATTCACATATATCAGATGAAACGCAGTGGAGAAATGAAGACCGGCACCCGGCACTTGCTTCCACGTGCAGGATACAAGAGAGTGAAAAAAAAATAAACCTTCTCGCTTGGCCAGCTTCCCGGGCTCCACCGAGGCCATAGCAGCTTCCTGTCGTGGCATGGCACCAAGGCCAATCTCGTCTCAAACCCCCCTGACTGGGCCGTTGGCTCTAGGCCCGGAATCTTCTTACCCACTGTGCCCTGTGCGAGTTCCCCGTCCCCTTTTCTTGCCAGGTGGAGACCCGAGTTTTCTGCGATCTATCCACGTGTAGTGGGTGCGATCGCGTGAAAAGTACGTGCATGTACTTGGGTGCCTAGGTCAAATTCATCTAGGTGCGCGTGAAAAGTTAGAAAAGAGGATCAGGGAACACGGTTGAGAAGCATGGCGGAAATCTTAATATGGGTGAAATATGACAAGGGCGATTGGGCTCACCGTTTAGTCATTGGCCCCCTTGGGAAAAAATGTATGATCTCATTCAACTTTTACCGAACGCCTTGCAATTTCCGTTTGACATTGTGTACTTTGCACTTTGCATGCACCCAATCATCCTAACGAGGAGCTGATCATTTATTGTGTACGTAGAAGGGTGGGGGGGGGGGTATGGCTAGGGGGAGAATATTATTTCTTTTTCCCCTCGATTTCTTTTTCTCCTCGTGCCACTCCTGTACCCGAGACGGTCTCGGAGCTGTAGTGATGGACCGGGGTTGACCAGAGCGATGGGTTCGAGAGAGGAGGTTTTGCATGGGAGATAATTTCTTGGACCTTAAGAGTTTCCCATATCCCACCATGTCCACCAGCCCCTCCCTCTCCACTTAGTTCCAGCCACTGCCCGGACCAGACTTCGCACACTGGAGCCCCCTCTTTTCCCCCTTCACACAACCTGCGTCATCTCGCGATTGTTGTGAGCTCCCTTTTCCACCCCCTTGACTTCCTTGCTCTCGACCTCATACCCCCTCCACCCCCTCCCCCTTGCCCGCCATGTCGGGGAAAATGACATTGTACAAGTTGGTGGTGTTGGGCGATGGAGGTGTTGGAAAAACCGCTCTTACGATTCAGGTTGGTTGAAACTTCGAACTCGGTCTTTCGAGTCCTGCATCACTGACCCTCGACCGTTTCTCCCTTGCAGCTCTGCCTCAACCACTTCGTCGAAACATATGACCCGACCATCGAGGACTCCTACCGCAAACAAGTCGTCATCGACGGACAGTCGTGCATGCTCGAAGTGCTGGACACCGCGGGCCAGGAAGAATACACCGCGCTACGGGATCAGTGGATCCGAGATGGTGAAGGTTTCGTGCTGGTGTACAGCATCACGTCGCGCGCCTCCTTCTCGCGCATCACCAAGTTTTACAACCAAATCAAGATGGTCAAGGAGTCTTCCAGCTCCGGATCCCCCTCCGGCCCCAACTACCTGGCTTCCCCCATGAATACCTCGGGCGGACCGCCCCTGCCCGTGCCCGTGATGCTCGTCGGCAACAAGAGCGACAAGGCGGTGGAGCGCGCCGTCTCCGCACAGGAGGGCCAGGCCCTTGCGAAGGAGCTCGGCTGCGAATTCGTGGAGGCATCGGCGAAAAACTGCATCAATGTCGAAAAGGCCTTTTATGATGTTGTACGCATGCTGCGACAGCAGCGGCAGCAGGCGCAGGGCGGTCGGGGTCAGGACCGTCGCCCGACTGGCTTCGGGTCGGGTCGCGACCGCAACGCAGAGGCCGAGTATCCGAAGCCTTTCCGGACAGACCACCGATCGCGGCATCGCAGTCGACTGCAGTGCGTCCTCCTATGAGCGGCCGGGTCCGTCCGGGAGGGTATTACGTGCCTCTTGCCTCCATGATAGCTGTCCTAACTTTCCTATATGTCCTTTCTTATATAATTCTGTTGGTCTCGGGTGCATTTGGAGGGTGGTTCTGTCTTTTGGTTACAACCTCGTTTGGCGTCGGCGGCCTCTTTCCTCCCTCGACCGTGCTTCATATCATCCGCTCCGCTTGCCATCGCAGAGCTCTGGAGATGAGGAGCTATCCTCAACGCTTTCTTTCGTCTCGACATTCTCCGGATTGCACGCTTCTTTGTCCAGCACTGTCCATGCGGCATCAGATTCGCAACACTTGGCCCCCGAATCCAACCCAGCAACCACCATCGGCTCGTTTGAACTTTGGTATGCTCACCCACTACTTGATATTTGGGATATGCTTTGGTGGCTCACGGGCCCACGGATGATTGGGGAGCGGCATTGCATTTCCTGAGAGCACCCGACGCCACAAACACAAAAAAAACTCCCAGGCGACGAAGCCAGAAGATCGCAGTCGCGCATTAGCAGGCATTTCGATATGATACCCTACGACTGAGCTTGTCATTTTATATTTTTGAATTCGTACCAGCCATTTACGCGAGTATATAGACAATACAGATTTCGAACTCAATGGCTGCGAGGGGAAGCACTGAAGAAATGTGTCTGGGGATTTCGGTCTCCAACTAAACCAGTAAAAAGTAAGTAGCTGTGTAAACGAAAGCGAACACCTGTTTCATCCCCTCGCGTATACAAACCAGTACATGGCAGTCCACGGTGGCGTGCCGCGAGCACATGTAACCGTCACGTACTGCGAGTTGCGGGGAGAAGCCTCAGCCCGAGGGTGTCCGTGCTTTCCCCGCATTTGCATCCGACTTGTCTCTGGAGCTCTCGGTGGGAAATCCCTGCAATCATCCGTCTCTCCGTCATCCAATCGCACATAAGGAACCCAACTACCTGGACCTCGGGTACCGGCAGGGTTAAAAAGTGGTGGAAAGCGTGCGATCACAACGAACAACCAGAATACCACATCAACCCACCATGGCGCACCCCCAACGAGCGGCACTGGAACGGTCCCTCACCGACCCAGAGACATTTTGGTCTGGCCATGCGGAAAGGCTCCACTGGCACCGTAAACCGACTCGAGCCCTGACGCGTCAGTCCAAAACCCTCCCGAGCGGAGTCCAGCATGAACATTGGTCGTGGTTCCCGGATGGCGAGATCTCCACGACGTACAACTGCGTGGATCGTCATGTGGCAGGCGGGCGGGGCGATCAGGTTGCCATTATTTGGGAGTCGCCGGTGACACAGACGACGGAGAAATACACCTATGCGCAGTTATTGGACGAGGTCGAGGTACTTGCCGGTGTGCTGCGGGAAGAGGGTGTACGGAAGGGGGATGTGGTCATCATTTACAGTATGCAATCGTCAATAACTACGGAATGGAAATGTCTGACAACGGGCAGTGCCGATGATACCAGCCGCGCTCATTGCAGCGCTGGCCATTACCCGGCTGGGGGCCATCCACGCCGCGGTCTTTGGCGGGTTCGCTGCCAAGTCCCTGGCACAGCGTATTGAAGCTGCCCGACCGCGGGCAATCATGACGGCCTCGTGCGGCATTGAAGGTGCCAAGGGGCCGATTTCGTATCGGCCTTTGGTGGAGGGGGCCGTGGAGGCGAGTCGGTTTAAACCTAGTAAGGTTATTGTATGGCAGCGGGACCAGATGCGCTGGAATAACCCGGATAAGCTGGGTGGCCAGCGTAACTGGCAACGGCTGGTCAAGAGTGCGCGTGGGCGTGGTATTCGAGCTGGCCCGGTGCCGGTCAAAAGCACCGATGGGTTGTATATCATCTATACTAGTGGTGAGTTTCGCCATGATCATATCCCAGTCTCCCATTGCTAATCAGAGCAGGTACAACGGGATTACCAAAAGGTGTTCTAAGAGAAGCTGGAGGCCATGCCGTCGGACTTGAACTGTCCATCCAGTCTTTGTTTGGCATCAAACCTGGTGATGTGATGTTCTGCGCCTCGGACATTGGCTGGGTTGTTGGTCACTCGTATATCCTCTATGCACCGCTGCTGGTCGGTGCGACCACCGTCCTGTTCGAAGGCAAGCCTATCGGCACGCCAGACGCAGGAACGTTCTGGCGGATAATCGAAAAGCATGGAGTCAACACGCTATTCACGGCACCAACAGCAATGCGAGCCATTCGCAAGGATGACCCCAGTGACCGTTTCCTGAGAGAAATCGGCGAGCGAGGCGGTTTGAAATCCCTCCGAGCACTATTCCTAGCCGGTGAACGCAGTGAACCCAGTATCGTTAGCACATATCAAGACCTGCTGTCCCGATACGCCGCACCAGGAGCCCTCGTCGTTGACAACTGGTGGTCCTCCGAGTCCGGGTCCCCCATCTCAGGGTTAGCGCTGGATAGCCACGCCGCCCTGACCACAAAATCAGGATCAAACCGCCCGCTCGCCATCCGGCCGGGCTCAGCAGGGCTACCGATGCCAGGGTTCGACGTTCGGATTGTCGACGACGAAGGCAACGAAGTCCCCCGCGGAAAAATGGGCAACATCGTAATGGCACTCCCTCTGGCCCCAACAGCATTCACAAGTCTCTTCCAGGACGAAGAGCGATTCTACAAGGGATACCTGAAGCGGTTTGACGGACGCTGGCTAGACACGGGTGATGCAGGACTCATTGACGAAGACGGCTACGTGCACATCATGTCTCGATCCGACGATATCATCAACGTCGCGGCGCATCGCTTCAGCACCGGTAACATACCCCCCCCATCCAACGAAAATAAAAACTAACAGAAAACCAAGGCCAAATCGAACAAGTAATCCTAAGCCATCCCTCCATCGGCGAAGCCAGCGTAGTCGGGATCCCCGACGCACTGAAGGGCCACCTCCCCTTCGCATTTATCCAGCCCCGCGGCGAAGGCCAAATACCCGCGACGCCATCAGCGAAGCTATTCTCTGAAGTTAATGCGCTCGTGCGAGAGCAGATCGGGGCTATTGCATCCCTGGGCGGGATGATTCAGGGCCGCGGGATGATTCCTAAGACTCGAAGTGGGAAGACGATGCGACGGGTGCTGAGGGAACTTATTGAGAATGCGGTGCAGGGCAAGTTTGATGCGGTGATCAGCGTGCCGCCTACTGTTGAGGATCCGGATGTGATTGAGGTTGCGAGGGGGAGGGTTAGGGAGTATTTCATGATGAAGGAGGGTGGCAAGGCGAAGCTTTAGATTCAGATTGCGTACGTGGTCCGTATCTAGAGGGGATTGGTATTTGGATATTAAGGGCTCTAGATTGTGAATAGGAGAGTCAATTCGGTTGTCTTTAGAACGTTTTGATAGTATGATGCTGGTATCTATGGATGTAACAGTCGTCTTCTAATAAGGAGAAACGATTAGCAAAAATGTCGTTCTTTCCGAAGGAGGCATGTTTCTTAAGAAGAGGCGGGCACCTTCAAAGGTAAAGAAGGCATTGACGTCCAATACGTCTCGAGAGAAGAGAATACCCGACAGTCGTTGAAGTCTCCCGGCCGGAATCTGCAGTAAAGCTCAACAGAGACACCGAGTATAGCAGCGAGGTCAACGCCGTGAGCACTATCCTTTTGAAGGATAATTGAGACACTACGATCTTCCAGAGATGATATACAATGGTGGCCCTATTATCAAACAGGAAACTCTTCGTCAAGAGACAAGAAGACAACATCCTCTCAGGTAACGGTTCAAGTCACGATTGATTCTTTCACCAATCCTTTTGGGGAGCTCGTCCTGCTTGCTACCAACCTGGAGCGGTGTTTTGAAAAGCCTTTCTGGATGTGTATGGACCTTTCTATGGATGTGTGCCCAGAGGCCATTTGAATGATCTAGCTCATATTGATGGACTCAATTAGCTTCAACTTCAGCTTCATCTTCGATGATAACCAAGTGACCTTCTGACTGGCTCCTCTTATCCTTTGATAAGGATGCGAGGGAAAGAAAGGCGAGCCTGTTGTGCTGCCATTGGAAAAAGGCTGGAGATGAAATAAACTCCTCGCCAATGAAGTCGAACGCGCGTACCGAAAAACGAATTGTCTCCGTGGCGCAATCGGCTAGCGCGTCTGACTGTTAATCAGGAGGTTGGAAGTTCGAGCCTTCCCGGGGACGTTGTTTTTGCTTGACCTGACGCGGGCTGGCGCATTTCATAACAGGAATGGAAACCGATTACCGACTGTGTTCGCGCGAATGTGGTTCTCGCAGACAAGGCGGCTTGACGGGTTCACCGGACAATGGAGTTCGTTTTGCTTACTTTCGCTCTACGCTGCTCGAATACGCAGGTTCAAACACAAAGCACGTTCACGGATAAGTAAGTCATTTAATGAAGAAAAGAAACGTTATGTCCAGGAGAATCTTGCAGAAGTAAAGAGGCAAAAAAGAAGCAGAACATAAGAAGATCCAACCCCGAAGGGAGAGATACATTATGTATTATCTAATAAAGGCATAGACAAGACATATACACCCAAGAAAAAAAAAAGACCCAGAAGCCCGAGGTCATCCAACGCCTGGCCGACAACGCTCACGTATCACATCATTGAACAAAGCCGGAAGCATACAGCGGATGGTTTCCAGCCCGGCACAGCGACTTGACAACGCTCACGTTGAGAATCGAACGATCCCAATCGCAGATCTGCAGAAGCTTACGCTTACAGCAGAAGAGCGACGGCACCGAAGACGGCGGCCAGACCGGCACCAGCGCCAGTAGCGGCGTTCATGGCACCGGCGTTGAAGGCAGGCTGGGAGGCAGCGGGGGAGCCGGAGGGGGCAGCAGGGGAGGAGCCGGCGGAGCCGGTGGCACCAACGCCGCTGGGCACCAGAGGGGTGGAAGCGGGGGCGCTGGGGGAGACAACGGGGGAGGTGGGGACCACGGCCGAGGAGGAGCTGTTGAGGAAGTCAGTACCGTGCGCATATCCTATATCACGGTGGATTGTTGGCATACCACTTGTTGCACTGGGTCACGGTCTGGGTAACCATAGGACGGGTCACGGTGAAGGGACCGTGGGTCATGGTGATGTGACCGGGAGCCGAGATGCTGTAGGTGTGGCTGCCGTGGGCGATGGTGGTGGCCTCGGGGCACCAGGTGGTGAATTTGGTGACAGTCTCAGTGACGTCGGCGGCCAAGGCACCAGCGGCCAGGGCAGTGAGAGCAGCGATGGAGAAGCGCATCTTGATAAGGTTGAAAAGTTCGAGGAATGTTGCTTGAGATATGACACGAGGTCTAAAGAGTGACTTTTGACGTAAAGAATGTAATCGGACACGAAGTACCGGGGATGTAGTCAAAAGAATGTGGATGGGGGAGGAGAAAGGAGGGAACGGGGTGAGACGGGCGGTTTATAGGGGGAAGACCATGGTCGACTCAGGTACCCGTGCACTGGGGCGGAAAGGGGGCGGGCGTGGCATTTGCCCGGAAATTGGTCGGCCTGGCAATCATGCGTGTCTCGTCTCTGCCGATGCGAGGCACACTGCAATAGCCGCGTCGATAAATGGGGCAGGTCGTGGTCGGAACACGGCCTGCGAACCGTTTGTGCGCATGGCCCGCTCTTGGGGATCTTTTTCCCGTTTGGGCCCTCGTGGATGCTAGGGTTTTGCTCTGCGCAGTCGGACGGGTACAGTCTAGGCCGCCGTGATTGTCAGTGCCGATAGAGATGAGCAGCAGGGATGCCTGGCCGGTCAACTATTCTAGACAAATGTAAAATCAATCATCTGCGGAGTAACTAGATCCAAGTCTCTACCTGGTGGCATAAGTTTCGCGGGGGGGGGCCCGACTCTGAAACCAAGAAGGTTCGGTTCCTGAGGAAATCGTCTTACGCCAGCTCATTTCCCGCCAGTGGGGCTCCCATAATGTTGTCCCACTTGCCACAAGCACCGTTATTGGATCCTGGTCCATAATCTACAAGATCTGAAAGCTTCGTAAACAAAGCGCTGCCGATGTGCGGCGTGGGGTTCATTAGACATCAGGTAAGGGACATACATAGTCTACCAGCTAGGGGAAACGACGTCACATGAAGTCTATTGCGTTGCTGTTGTTGTCTCAAGGAGCAATTTTATTCTAGGAACCAAGAAAAATAAAAGACGAGACCGCACGTGGGGTCGACTCTAAATCCCGGCAGTCGATTGTACTGGTAAATGTCAGCTAGAGATTGGATGGACACTTGGCCTTGCAGAACCTGATTATATTTTGGTAAAGCAATGTAAACAAATCATAGGCATTTAGCAGACTGCTGAGCATCCGATGGAGTTTAAAAGGGTCACTCACCATGCTGACTCGTTTTGCCGGATCTACCGGCATGCGGCTCCAAGGGCATCTCTACTTGGATTTTTATCGCTATTTAAAGCTTCAAAATTTAAGGCGACCAGTATTCTGTTCGAACACTTGAAGGAATCTTTAAAAAAAGGGCTGGTAAGTATCGCGACAAAAAAACGTAAACTCGACCATGACGGTATTCGAAACCGCGATCTTCGCTTATTTCCAGAGGCCTAAGCCATTAGGAGAGCGACGCCTTACCACTAGGCCACACGGCCCGTTTCAACGGGAAATTAAAATATTGGCATCTTGGCTCTATTTACAAAAGGATGCGTTAGAAACGAAGGAGCTCTCGCTCTCCACCTGGCTTACGATTGTGTTTTTCTTTGTGTACCATAGGGATGTAAGAAACATAAAAGCTATAGCTTAATCTGCTTTGATAGAAAGCTCAATGGTAGATTTTGATAAACTATGGAAGGGCAGCCCGAGGCAGTCCTTTGAAACAGGAGACAACGAGTGCGACCATGTTATGGAAGGTGTCACGATTCATCTCTTTTGTTTGACTCCACCCCTCTCCGTACCTAGGAGGCTATGACTCCGGCCCCGGGAGCACGACCGGAACGGGATGCTATCTCGGTAACCATCATAATCCACTGACCTCCTGAACCGGGACCTAGCTCGGTAGACCTTCACGACCCGACATCAAGGGTCGAACACAACACGTCCAATCCGATTGTAACTGGGTCCCAAATGGATGGTGAATAGGCGCGGGACCTCTCAGCAGCGCCCGTCCAGCGCCGGCCCGGACGAATCCAGGCCGTCACCGACGAGTGCTGACACAGATTGAACGCCGTCTCTTCATCTTGGATTTAGTTGTGTGAAGAAAGAAAGGGGAAACCAAAATCTGCCGAAGAAAAGGGCCCGGTCGAAGGCGGTCAGCCCGATCGGGGATAGTGCCGTTTCCCGCTTTCCGCGGGCAACGGGGAACGTGAGGAACGGTTGGCAAGCTGCGTCCCGATATAAAGCGTCGGCGCTTTCCTATCTTGCGAATCCGTCGTGAATTTCTGCCCGCCATGTCTCTCGCTCGCTGTGGGCGTCTTGCCCGTCTCTCTGTTGGGACCATTCGTCCTGCCATCGCCCTATCCGCTCGTCCCTATATCCCCAGAGCCCCCCTCGCGCGGGGAGTAGCGTCATCCAGCCGGGATGCTCAGCAAAAGGTACGGTTGCACACAATGGGTTGCCAGAGGGTAGTAATTGCAATACTGATGCCTGCTGCAGCTTCTCTCTTCCTCCCTTGAGGACTCCGACCCTACTGTGTTCAACATCCTCGAGAAGGTACGTCATGCCCGGAGCTATGTGCTGGGTAATTGCTGACCCCAATCCCAGGAGAAAAACCGCCAGAAGCACTTTATCAACCTGATTCCCTCCGAGAACTTCACTTCGCAGGCCGTTCTCGATGCGCTCGGCAGTGTGATGCAAAGTACGTGCTTCTCCGACCGAGTTCTTGATAGACACGTGCTAATCGCATAACAGACAAATACTCCGAAGGATATCCCGGTGCTCGTTACTATGGAGGAAACGAACACATTGATGCTTCGGAGCGTCTGTGCCAACAGCGCGCGCTGGAGACCTTCCGCCTTAACCCCGAGGAGTGGGGTGTGAACGTGCAGCGTAAGTTGTCAACCTGGTTCCAATGGCATGCGACAGAGCACTAATTACTCTTGCAGCGCTTTCCGGCTCGCCCGCCAACCTCATGGCCTACTCCGCTGTCCTCGACACGCACGACCGTCTCATGGGTCTGGATCTGCCTCACGGTGGCCACCTGTCCCACGGTTACCAGACCCCCACCAAGAAGATCTCCGCCATTTCCAAGTACTTCGAGACCCTGCCCTACCGCCTGGATGAGTCGACCGGTCTGATCGACTACGATGCGCTGGAGAAGCAGGCTCAGCTGTACCGCCCCAAGCTCATTGTGGCCGGTACCTCCGCCTACAGCCGTCTGGTTGATTACCCGCGCATGCGTGCCATCGCCGACTCTGTCAATGCCTATCTCTTGACCGATATGGCCCATATTTCGGGTCTCGTGGCCGCCGACGTGCTTCCTTCTCCCTTCCCTTACTCGGACATTGTGACCACCACCACTCACAAGTCTCTGCGTGGTCCCCGTGGTGCTATGATCTTCTACCGCAAGGGCCTCCGCCGCACTGACAAGAAGGGCAACAAGGAGATGTACGATCTGGAGAACCCCATCAACGCCTCTGTCTTCCCCGGTCACCAGGGTGGTCCCCACAACCACACCATCACCGCGCTGGCTGTGGCTCTGAAACAGGCCCAGTCCCCCTCGTTCCAGGAGTACCAGAAGACCGTGCTGCAGAATGCCACGGCTCTGGCTGAGCGATTGGGTGAGTCCACCAGCAACGGTGGTCTCGGCTACAACATCGTGTCGGGCGGTACCGACAACCACCTGGTGCTGGTTGACCTGAAGAACCGCGGCGTTGACGGAGCCCGCGTTGAGCGCGTGCTGGAGCTGTGCGGCGTGGCCAGTAACAAGAACACCGTTCCCGGAGACAAGTCGGCCCTCAAGCCCGGCGGTCTGCGTCTGGGAACCCCGGCCATGACCTCGCGCGGCTTCCAGCCCGAGGACTTCCGCCGTGTGGCTGATATCGTCGACCGCGCCGTCACCCTAACCCAGAAGCTGGACAAGGCTGCGCGCGAGCATGCGCAATCCAAGGGTGTCAAGAACCCCGGCACCGTCAAGGCATTCAACGACTACGTTGGTGAGGGCGAGGAGATCTCAGAGATCGTGTTGCTGCGACAAGAAGTGGAGGACTGGGTGGGCACCTTCAGCCTGCCGTGGGTCAAGGACCAGTAGACATTTTTATTTTATTTTTTACCCCATTTTATTTTTTCAACGTTATGTACATTTCCCAGCATGGTTCAACACGAAATATGATAAACTATACACTTGAAAGACCTCTCGAATTATTGCCCTATTCGGGCACAGGATGCGCAGTGGAAACTTAATCGCTGACGTAGAACCCGGGGTGATAACCGAGAACCGATAAGCGCGTTCGGGGCCCAGAGCGACAAAGACTCTTCTATAAACCCGCGGTGTCCAGCTCTTTCGCTCAATTGTTACGGCAACCTATCCTACCTAAGTATTATAGAACCGCGATAATGAAAGTCAGCCAGGTAAAAAATTCCTAAATCCCCGACACCGGCCGCAACCACTAACCCAACACCAGCTCTATGTGTACCCCATCAAGTCCCTACGAGGAACCGCCGTCCCCGAGGGCACACTCACACCACTAGGATTAGAATGGGACCGACGGTTCATGCTACTAAAGGTCGAGCCGACCGAAGACGGCTCAACCACATTGAAGAACATGCACGTCTCGCACCATCCCGAGATGTGCCTCTTCCAAACCGCAGTCGAGCTGCCACAAAACAATTCAGATAGTGGGAAAATCACCGTTACGTACAATCCCGCGTCAGACGCAGAGGAGCCGAGACGCGAAACCAAGAAGCTCGACATCCCACTGCGCGTGACTAGCCAGCAGGTGAAAACGATGGAAAAGTTGACGGTCACGATGTACCAGACCTCGACGACGGCGTACGACATGGGGGCTGAGTATAACGAGTGGTTCACCGAGTGTTTCGGGTATCCCGTTGTCCTGGCGTATCTGGGGGCGAACACTAGAGGGATCCTGGGGACGCTTCCGCCGCGGAAGCGGAATAAAGAAACTGTCTGGGAGTCGTGGTGGCGCGAGGTTAGCGATCCTAAAGGGAAAGAGGGGATCCTGATGGGTCTTCTTGCGGTCTATATTTCTGGGACTGTTATCTGGAAAGGATATGATGTGGTTCAGCAGGGCATGACCTCGGATGTATTGAGTGTCAAGACATGCATCAACACGTTCGCTGCGGTCGTGGTATTATCCGCTCTACACTGGACTACTCTTCGCCGCCGCGAAGACCGAATCGGATTTTCCGACTGCGCGCCATTCCTGATTATCTCCGAGACATCGGTCGACAATGTCTCAGCGCGGCTTCCGGAGGGCGAAGAAATGGACCGAACGAAGTTCAGACCGAATATAGTTGTTTCGGGTGCTGAGAGTGCCTTTGAAGAGGATTTCTGGACCGAGTTGGCCGTTGGGCCGAGGCGGTCTCGTTTGTTATTGACGGGGAACTGCGTGCGGTGTCAGAGTCTGAATGTGGATTATGGGACGGGGAAGATAGGGACGGGCGAGTCCGGAAGTATTTTGAAGAAGCTTATGAAGGACAGACGGGTGGACCGGGGTGCTAAGTTCAGCCCTGTGTTTGGACGGTATTCGTTCCTTGATCGACTTGCAGCTGGTGAGCAGATTCGCGTCGGTGATGAGGTTCAGGTTGTTAGGCGTGGTAAGGAGCGTACGGTTGTTGGTGAGTTTGTTCTTCTTGCTTCGAAGGGTGTTTATTCGGCTAATGATTCTGCTAGATTGGCCCGGCCTTACCAATTAGAACCGAGTATATAACTCAAAGTATAGAATGAGAAACCAAGCACCGCCACTTTAGACATTATGTTCAGGCTTTCTACGACGACGTCCAATAAAGTCTACACCCCGTGGCCGAGGTATGGTCATGCCTAAGTGACCCATTGTGTACAGCCCGAAATGCGTGTTAATTGTGCCCAACGAATGCTCAAAGCACTAAGGGTCATCGGAAAGACCGGTTCAATCGGAAGCTGCAAGGAACAGCAGAACCCGCCTATCAGCCCTAGTCGTTCTCGCTCTCGTTTTACAGTAGCGTGACACCGCCACAGTGACATCAGACACATATGCACCGCCACGTCACCTGACCTTCTCCGGATCCATGGAAAAGCGACAGCAAGTGGATTCATGTTCCAAGAATAACTCCGTGTTTCTGCAGTGCAGTGTGTCAGTGGTTCCGTGTGTCTGATCAGCTTCCTGTTGACACTGCTCAATCTCACCTCAATTCATCGCTGTGGCTTGAACGGCCAAGACTTCACCAAGAATCCCGACACTTCTCAATCTTACGCCGCTGCCTGGAATCTCCGAACTCTCACATCGGCCTTTATCCCAACACCTAGACCGGCGCTGCAGTTGAAGGCTCGTGGTTGCACCGGTGTCACGCTTCCCGCCTTTACACTCTGATCTCGGTCAGGCGCCAGGCCTGCGACCTCGATAAGGCGCCGTTGAGCCCCGCGGCGGGAACGCTGCAGATAATAAAAAAAAAAAGAGGAGCATATCAATCACTCTAACACCAACAGCCGCAGTCACCCAGTCACCATGGACGAGGCCAATTTGCGCCGCAAGGACACCACCAAGGGTCCTCCATTACGGATCCTGTCTCTCGGTAAGCGCCGGCTCCCCCCTCCATGCACAGTACCACAGCTAACCAGCACAGATGGAGGCGGTGTTCGCGGCTACTCCATGCTCATCATCCTCCAGGAACTCATGTACCGTACATACGTCGAATGCGAAGGAAAGCCGCCGCGTCGCGACCAAATCCCCAAACCATGCGACCATTTCGATCTGATCGCAGGGACCGGCACGGGTGGCCTAATCGCTCTGATGCTGGGACGTCTCCGGCTCGACCTGGAAACATGCAAAGAAGTCTACGTTCGCATGACCCGGAAAGTGTTCGAAACAGACAAGACCATTGCCGGTATTCCCTATCGGTCTACCCTGTTCAAGGCTTCCAAACTGGAAGAGGCGATCCGGGAATGTGTGCGGGAACATACGATTTACGAGGGAGAAGGAAATGACCAGCCAAACCCCTCGGCGGATCCTCGATCATCCATTGCAAGTCTCCCGTACATCCCTAATTCGGTACCTCAGCGATCGATGAGCCGGGGAAGCTTCAGCACTTCGGCTGCGTCACACCCACAATCCCCCGCAAGTCAAAGAGGCTCCACTTTTCTCAACGGACTGCGCTGGGGAAACCCCGATGCGCTACTTTATGATAACCGAGAAAATCGGACTAAGACGTAAGTTCTACCCAACGAAAATGCACCTGCAATGCTAACAGGCGATTTCTAGCGCCGTTACTGCGCTCTACAAGGGTACCCCGAAGAACGGATCGGCCGTGCTACTGCGATCGTACGACTCTCGCCGCGAACCCCCGCCGGAATTTGACTGCACTATCTGGCAAGCCGGTCGTGCCACTTCGGCTACCGGACTTGCATTCAAGCCGATTCGGATCGGGCAGAGCAACTTCATCGATGAAGGCCCGGGAACATACAACCCGGCACCGCAGGTTCTCGACGAAGCCGTCGTTAATGAGTGGCCTGGTCGAGACGTTGGTGTGTTTGTTAGTATTGGAACTGGTCGTCGCCCATCCGGTACCAACAATCGCTCTCATGAGTGGTGGGAGGATTTCGTCGGAGATGCGCTGGGCACGTTCGCCGAGGCGCGGCGGCGTCTCATCTCGAAGATCGAGGGCTGTGAAGACATTCATCAGCACATGTTGATGGAAAATCTCAGCCGGCGCAATGTTCCGGTAGACAACTACTACCGTCTCAACGTCGAGGTTGGAGTAGGGGAGTTCGGCATGAACGAATGGAACCGGTTGGCGGATATCAGTACCAACACGCGACGCTATCTGGCGAAGCCCGAGGTAAAGAAGATGATTTTGGATGCCGGAGTCAAGTTCGCCAAGATTGACCGCATGAACAAGCGCCTGGCTGCCCACGCGGCTGCTGGGGGCGACCGAGATGACCTGTCCTTCGATCTCCAGCAGGAGGAACTCAGCGTCTCTCAACGTACGTCCGCATTTCCTGTACGGCCGCCTTCCAACCCCACCGCTATTGAACTCCCCGCCGAGCTCCCCGCCGAGTCCGTTGAGTATTTCCAGCATGCACAAGCGTCACAACCCGTCCCAGCCGGAGTGACTGTAACTGCACCACCCGGAGACGATTCACTACCATCTCATCCAACGCCTCAGGACAGTCTCCCCGTGTCCCCGACAAGACGTTCCAGTGGCGATATCAGCAGTTTCCGCCCCAGCCGTGAATATATTCGGCCGTCTTCGCAGCAGTATGCTTCTCCCCGGCACAGTGGTGATCAAGTCTCAACTCACAACGGCATGCCTCCGCCCGTGCCTCCCAAGACACCGATCCCGTACCCCGCCCAAGAATACTCGTCGGGGGTATCCATGCCGGCGCCACTGTTCACTCAGCCACCGGTCCCATCTAGTGGCAAGGCCCGGCCGCCGTACCCAGTGGACGAGCCCCCGCCGACCGTAAATCGGCAACGGAAACCGAGCTACCACGTACGGTGATTTTCTAGCTCTGCTTTTGCAGACTTTCATTTTCCTTGTGTTTCTCTACTGGATACCCTTCATTCGAAGAACACGGAACGCGGGGTCTTGGCGTATTTCCATTGTTTTTTTGTTTTTTGTTTTTCTTCCTATTCGATAGGATGACAGGAAAGGACAAGATAATCCTTGACGGAAATGATGAGTGACGACTTAATGACAACGGTGGATTGCGGGGGTGTATAGTAATGAAGCGCAATTCAAGAATGTCATAGACCCGAAGTAGCTCTGGGTTGGACCCCTGTAGCGGCAAGATACTGTAACGTCGAAGATGTCACCGAAACAGGGACAGGGACAAGTGTCAGGAACAGCCTGCGCAGAGACCCACCGCGCACCCACCGTATCTATCTTTTCCCCACAGACCCAGCCTCTTTGTTTCGGGGGCCCCCTATTCTGCACGTTTATCTTCTGCATCGTTTTTTTCTCTCCCCTTTCTCTTGTCACATATCTGATTTCTGCTTCTTGAACATCTTTGCTTTCGGCACATATTTGCTCGCGCATTTCTCGAAATTTTTCGTTTGCATGGTCCCCTGCAGCGTCACTCTGCCGCTGACGTCGCGCCGCTGATCTTTTTGCCCCCGCTGCGTTATCTTCCGATTTTTCCAGAAACATTCCTGATCTTCTCTATCAATCATTTCTCGGCTCTGCATATACTTCTTCTCGACTTCTATTTCTGTTGTTTGGACCGAAACACACGTCAGCACTGCGAAACGCGCCTGCAAACTGGCCTGAACAAGTGTCTCAGTAGGCGCCGAGTACCGTCTTCGGACGACTCCGTCCCCGCGACGCCCTCTTCGCTTCCACTGCTGGCCAGTGTGGTCTCCATCCTCACCAACACCTCAAAATGGATCCGCAATCCGCCCTCGCACACACCTCGGCCCTCTTCGCCCGCGCCGACTCCGACAGCCGCCCGCCCGTCTACAAAGCAGTCGGAATCTCACTCGCCGTTGCATCAGGCGTATTTATCGGCGTCTCCTTCGTGCTGAAGAAAATCGGCCTCCTCAAAGCAAACGTCAAATACAATGAAGAAGCAGGCGAAGGATACGGCTACCTGAAAAATGTCTGGTGGTGGACGGGAATGACCCTGATGATCGTGGGCGAGATCTGCAACTTCGTTGCATACGCCTTCGTCGACGCAATCCTAGTAACACCACTAGGCGCTCTATCCGTGGTGATAACCACGATCTTATCAGCAATATTTTTAAAAGAACGACTCTCCTTTGTTGGAAAGGTGGGCTGTTTCTCGTGCATTATCGGGGCTGTGGTGATTGCCATGAATGCGCCCGAGCAGTCGTCTGTCAGCAATATCCAGGAGATGCAGCACTTTGTTATAGCTCCCGGATTTTTGTCATATGGCGGCGTCATTCTGCTGGGTTCATTGATTACTGCGCTCTGGGTGGGCCCCAGATACGGCAAGAAGAGCATGTTTGTCTATATCAGCATTTGCAGCATGGTTGGTGGGTTGAGCGTGGTTGCGACGCAGGGTCTTGGGTCTGCTATTTTGGCTCAGATTAATGGCGAGTCGCAGTTCAAGCATTGGTTCCTTTATGTTTTGTTGGTCTTTGTGGTTGGGACGCTGCTGACGGAGATTATCTATCTCAACGTATGTTTTTTCCGGTTCTGGTTTTTTTTTTTTTTTGGGAGAGGGCAGATGCTAACGTATCGCAGAAAGCTTTGAATCTCTTCAACGCCGCTCTCGTCACTCCGACCTACTATGTCATGTTTACCAGCTCCACCATCGTCACTTCGGCTGTGCTGTTCCAGGGGTTCAAGGGTTCTGGTAGTGAGATCGCTACAGTCATCATGGGCTTCCTGCAGATCTGCTCCGGTGTCGTTCTCTTGCAGCTGTCCAAGTCTGCTAAGGATGTTCCTGATGCCGCTGTGTTCAAGGGTGATCTGGACCAGATTCGCGAGGTTGCTACGCAAGAGGAGCCCGAGTACGAGCCCAAAGCGGACTCCATCCGAGGCGCAGCATCTATCCTCCGTCGGATCTCGACTACTCGTCGTGATGCGGAGGCTGTTGAGGCCCGGCGCTTTGTTCAAGATAAGCATGAAGACTATCTCAGGCCACCCGGTGCGAACGAAATCGTCGAATGGGATGGCATTCGCCGACGTAAGACCGTCATTGGTGAAGGCCCTACCATGTCTCGACCGGCGAATTCGCGCTCGCCATCGATCAAGCAACCGCTGCCGCCCTTGGGCATGTCGCGGTTCCCCGACCCCGAAGATGAAGAGGAACACCGACCCGGCACTAATCAAAGTGGACACTCTTTCCTCAGTGAAATTCGCTCACGAGCAGGGAGTGTGCTTCATCCTCAGTGGCGTCCCGTGCACAAAAATGATGAGAGATACCTTAACTCGACCAATACACCTGTGACCATGACCGAGATGACAGGGGGTGCCGTCGACACTGAGTACCATGGCGCTGGTAATGAAGAACAGGGAGCTCCTTTCCGTCCCCCTGGACGAGGGCGCAGCGACACGCCCCGGTCTATCCACTGGGCCGATGAGAAGGGAGCCGATGACCATCTTTCCGAGTCTCCAGTCCATGCTGCGCAACGCCAATTCTCCTTCAATAACATGTTCAACCGCATCAGAAATGGCAGCCAGAACTCCCCCAAGGCCCCTACGAGTCCAACCCGAGGTATCCTACGTCGGACGCACCTTTCAGGAGGCGACCTGCGCAATTCTGCAACTGAAGAGGAGCGACTTGGCCTGGTGAAGGGTGACTCGCGCACTACTCAGCCGGGAGAGACATTCGGCGAGAAGCTGGACCGCTGGTCTAGCGGCGAATCTGACCTCGCCGAAGTGCCACCCATGCACCCTGGCCGTCCCCACGGAGACTCCGTATCGAGCATGTCCACGTCTGCCTTCCCAGCATACGAGGATAACCATGCGCTCTACTCCCACGCCAACGTCTCAAACCCCTACTACCTTCCACCCAGCCGGCAAGCGGCCGCATCGCCAGAGCAAGTCGACGAGCACGAAGGCTATCAACATCCTCCTGGCAGCCGCAACCGCACCAGGACCAATTCGTCTCACATCCGCGCCCCGCCACCCTCCCAATCCTCCTTCTCCACCCACCGCCATCCCAACCCTCTCCCTCCTCTTCCAGACGAGAGGGCATTCAGCGGTGAAACATCGGGCCTGAGATCCGCTTCTAACGTCTCGTCCGATATGGGGGCCTCGATCCCTGCATCCACCGAAGCCCGAGACGATGACCACCATGCCCAGTCCCCTCCTGGCTCTGGCTCTCCAACACGTCGACACAGTGGCTGGCGCCGGCATATCTCCGAGCCCAGCAGTGTCGACGGAGAGGCAAACCCGGAGCGTAAACCTGGGAATGGCGGAGCGTTCGTCTGATAACCTCCCATGCGACCCTCATTTTATTGAAGAGCGGACAACGTTTTTGTCACATTAACTGCACTGCATATAACGGCGTTGGGAATTCTTCGATGTACATATTATGGCATCTTGGCCTTGTGAGTCTTCGAAACTGTATATATAAGGAACCTTGTGTCATGATAGATGACGGTAATGAGCAATGAAATCAATTCAAGCAACACTTCTCCATAAGTTTGTAGGGGTATCACATCTCTATGCTAGTCCTAGTCCGGATAAATCCCAAAACGCCGTTTCAACTAAACCCCGGCACAATGCAGAAAACGCCAAATGCCATGCAATGCCACATGCAGCGCCACGCCGAATACAATGCAATAAAAGGTACCTTCCAAGTCGTGACACCATCTCTACCGCGAAAACATCCCCACAACACTCCTTTGTCCCTTGGGCGCAATACTCAACGGAGCAAACCTCGACTCCGCGAGCCGCTTACCAGCTTTGATACTCTCAATCGCCCTATTTAGTTCGATTAGCAATCGGCCAAGACCAACGCCTTATTCTCGGCGACGGATAAACATACCAATCAACACCGACAACCCTAACACCCTTCCACCCACCCCTCTCAATCTCCTGCTGCAACTTCCTCGCCGCAAGACCACCTCCAGCACCGGACGCCGTCGTGCCCGGCTGACCGATAATAACGTGCGAAACAGACTTGCGCGCCATAGCGATGGAAACCTTCGCGCCGTGAGAGACAAGGAGGCGTTTGAGTTTGTAGTCTGAGATCTGGGGGAGGGTGGAGCCGTTAATATAGACCGTTATTCCCGCGAAGAGTGTTGATTTCTCGAGTAGATTTGTTGGTTCGGCGGTCCCGGTGTCCAGGGAAGATGTCGAGGGTGCAGTAGACGCAGCTGCAGATGTAAAAGCTTCCTTGTCGGCATCAACCTTCACCCTCTTCTCCTTCTCCTTCTCCTTCTCTGCCTTTCCGTTTCCGATCTCGGGTGCTTTGCGCTTGCCAACGCCCATGAAACTGCGAATGTCCTGCACGCCTAGCTTTTCGCGCTTCGCTTCCGCGTCGGATACCCATTTCCACTCTCCTTTCTTTGTCTCTGGTGAAGATCCGCACGTCCCGTCAAAGGCCATTGGCGGCCCGGAGGAGTCATCGCAGTGTCCGTCTCGGAATTGGCGGGCTAGTTTGTCGGAGCGGATATCCCTCCATGTGCCGGCATTGTCACGGGATTCTGAGCGCTGGTGGCCGGTTGAGGAGGAGTTCCAGGAGTCGAATATATTGTGGTTTTGTGGGGATGGTGGGCGTGGTTTTTTAAAGAGTTTCGGTTTTGAGGGTTCCGGCATTGTGGGGGTGCATGCGGGGTGGGATGGTTGATGAGTGCATGTGGTGATAAGGTGATGGTGTGTGTTTTTTCACGAGGAGCAAGACGGCAGCGTGACGTTGGGGGTGGCTGATGTGAACCGTGGTTGAGATGTTTTGGTTTTGCTGGTTTGGGACGGTCGTTTCCGTCACGTGGGGCCAGTTGGAATGCTGTCGTCGTCACTTGAGTTGATTATTTCGAGTTTCGATATTGTAGGACTTTCGTTACGTCAATGGTGTAGCTGCTTGGCACAGAATGAGTGGTAATCGTAGTTGTGGTTGGGTAATATTGTTTGTCGAGTTGGGTGAGCATTGTATATATCTCAACCAAGAAGGTTGCGGGCCATCTTTCCGACATTCCAGTGGGAAGTATAGCATTGATACCACATGGAAACTAGCATTTGAACTCAAACCTAGATCAATAATGAAGGATTAACGAGTGACCTTGAAATGTAGCTATCCGAAAGATACTCAAGGTTGACTGAAGTCATTAAAATGGCAGAGAGATCAAAATTAGTGTACAGCTCCGTGGGCCACATCTACTATATGCACATGTGCTAGGGGGTGTTACAGGGTCTGATATTAAGGTAGAGGACGTATCAGCTTACAATCGTCTCTCTAGCTAATCTACTACCAGATGAACGTGGATGCAGCCAATATCGGACTGATCTAAAAATGCCGGCAGTGGCACTCCGCACGAAGCCACCAGCCCGATTATAAAATTGCAATCACGCTTCCAGAAGCCTGCTGCCATCCGTGCCGAGCACGTCTCTGCACAGCTCTCTGTACGCTGTATACTGTCCGCGGTCGGGATGCACCCGTGCTGGCACGTACCCGGCGTGCGTAGATGATTGCATTATCTCCAGCCATCAAGGAACCAAGGCACAGAGCCCAGCGCGAACTCAGCGCGAACTCAGCGCGAACCCAGCACGAGCCCAGTCCACCCAGCAGGAACCAGCACGGGGGGAGTCAGACATGAAGCACAGCCAGCCGCGAATATTTTCCGCGGGAAAAGAACGGTCTACACAAGGGCGCACCTGCACCAAAACTCCATGCCCATCTGAAACCACATCTAGGGATCTCAAAAAAGAAGGCCGGTCAGTACACCGGCACCCGGCCACGCAACATCCCTAGATCGGGAAGGAGAAGAAGACAAAACAAGACAAGACAACCCTATGTGAAACCAGCGGTGAGCCACCAGCGCTTGCCCCCCAGCGCATTCCCCCCAGAATCTCAAACCACAGACTGGGCAGAACGGGCGAGACATGCAGGAGGAAGATGAGTCTGGCATGCTTCGAGAATGTGGCAGGTTCCACGCGTCGTAGATGCACATTCTTCGATCGGCTCCAGGGCAGGTGTCAAGAGACGGTGAAGCGTGCAGATTCCAATGCACGGGGATAACCCCAGAAGATCGAGGCCCGGGCTGGACGACACAGGTAAGAGGTACATTGAGATCGCGTACATCAGTGCACGTGCAGAGTAGATGTACACGGGTGCGTCATAAGCTACGGCAGTGGAAGTACTGTAGCCCGGATGTCGCACATGCTCCTCTGATCGGCCTTCTTTCCGTTCCGACTGTCAGCTTTTCATTTTAATTTCAGCCCGCGTTTCGCTCCATAACCTCACGGCCCCAGGCTTCACATCTCTACGGCTAAACCCCGGAGTCCTCCGTTCCTCATGAATTCCTAAATCGGCCACGCTGAAACTCTCTAAATCAAGGCATAAACGGTCCACTGAGATCATCCTTGTGCCACGTCTGCACGCAAGGGGGCCAACTGGCGGTGAATCCACCATCGGCTACGTGGTGACGGCCCCCGCCAGTCGTTGTCCGGTCGGATCGTCGATCGGCGGGCGCTTGCAGCTGTCCACTCTCTCCTCTCCCCTCTTTTCTCGGTCGGCGCTGTTACACCTTCGGACTGGCTGGGCACTTGAGTAGGGCGAGGCGCTAATTGCTGACGGACTAAAGGCCGCAGAGGGGAAAGGCCCACGATTGAAGCAAGATGAACGTGCAGTCGATCTTACGGGACGAAATGCAATGCGAGGTTAAATCAGGTTGCACGGCCCGCCTTCTGCGCTGTCCGTTCGGTCCTGACCCTCTCGTTACGGGGAACTCATCCTGCCTAATCTCCCCAATCAACTTGTACAACCCTCCCCCGACCGGGGACATCCCTGTTCGACCCGTGATGAATTTCCTGTCCATCCTGACCAATTCTGATGCTGTCCCACCCACCAGCGTCGGACGGCGTTATCTGGCATCAACGTTCAGAGAGCATGGCAGGACGCTCACCGCGGTGCAACCTGGGACTGCGATATATTGGGCGCGCTGCACGGCCGACGCAGGGTAACTGTGTTGCTGCAAGGTACGGACGAACCCGTCGATCGGACCGTAAAGCAATGGGTGACGAAAACCCGATTTTCCCTATAGCTGTGGGCTATGGTGGAGCAAGCCTCGGTCTCGCCAAAATGGCGCCCCCGAATGGAGAAATCGGCATTTGGTCCACTCCGAGTGTGATAGCAGTCACAAGAACTAGGATAAAAAGAAAATTGCACCGTAGAGATGGAGTTAACTGGGAGGCTATGAGAGGTAGCGGGCGATCATAGAAATTCCGCCAGCAGTACATAGTATGGCCCTTGCTGTTCATCAGGCGGTTCGGGGAGAGTTGATACATCACGGAGGTTCGCACCCCGTTTCGTTCCAATGGGTCCGTGCGGCGGGTCGATGGGTCCATTGAATACTCCCGGTTCAAGCTTTCCCCCCCTACCAATTGTTCAATTATTTCTCTTTTCCGGAAGTTCCGACCTGATAGTCGATTTTCGCGAAGAAGAAAAAAAGAAACAAGAAAAAAAAAGGGGGGGGGGGATGGGCAAAGCAAAAAAAAACAAAAACAAATCCAAAGCCAGAGCCACTCCGGAGCTAGTGCTGATCCACCGGAACATGATTTGATCTTTCTCCGGCCTTTCCCATCCAGAAGCTCCGGGGAGCCAAAAAAAAAGAGGGGAACATAAATCAACTGAGCGGATCCCTTCACATATGCGCAGCGGGTATCGGGCCGTCGATAGCGAGCTGCGGTGCAGGGATCTCGGCCCCGGTTGAAGACGAGCTTCTGCTTTGTTTTCCTTTCTTTTGCAGAACGGTCTAGACGGGAGATTCTACGAACCCCCGGCCCCCCGTTTCTTTCCGGTCTCCCCTCTCAAAAATCCCCCCTCAGTTGCCCAGGGTCTGTGTGGTCCGGTTGACGCCACTTGTGGGCGTAACCCACTGGGGCCAAGTAATGACCGAGTAGGAAAGAGTCGGATTCAATAATGCCCATGATCGGGACTTCGGTGAGTAGGGTAGAGACGGTCTCCATACGGAGTACGGAGGAGATATTGATGAGATACGTCAAGCGGGTATTTCACATTCCACGCTTTCCCCCTTTGTCGTCTTTGACATCTGTCAGTGTCAAACCATTGCCTCGGAAAAGTAACCTTAGACGGAATAGAACCCTCCTAGAAGAATAGTCGGAAAGCATCTTCCAATCTTCCAATCTTCCCTCGGTTAGCATGCAAGGGACAGACTGCTAGTAGCGGTGTACTGGAAAGAAGACTCCAGACTCCAGACTCCAGACTCCCTTGCTGGCGAGAGTACGTAGCTGGGTAGGTAGTCGCCTCCGACGGAAAAGAGCCCACGGTACTCCGTTCGTCGTATCCCAAACGTCATGGAAATTACCTCACGGCGTAGCGCTATCACGCATCACGGGGCCTGGAAGTATTTGAATTCGGGCGGTCTTCAACCGACCATTTCGGTCGTGGGACTGGCAGGGATCCCGAGAGAACAGACCCTTGATCGACTCAAGCCACCCGTGTTTCGTGGTGCGCTCTTGGCCACTGATCCCCCCCCCTCTCCTCTCGACGTCGCTAGCATCCCTTGGGTGTGACGCGCTTGTACTCACGGACCTCTGGCCACCGCGTGTGGCATTATTGCGGCTATAGCCGTGAGGGTCTGGTTGTGTAGAGGAAGAAGGTCATGGATGGGATCGGCGGGCCGCTTCGATTTACAGATCATTATCCGAGCCGATGGACAAAGTACACGTCCGTGAGCCAGATGGATCCCATTCCAGCATCGGCGAGACTAAAAAAGAGGGCCCGGAGGACTAGCACCGTCCAGCAGCAGCCCTAAGAGCACTAGGGGAGCTCTTGAAACCTCCGCCTCGTAATCGACCGTGCAGCGGTTAGTTCTCTGCAGGCGCTATGTCTTGCACGGGGCCCCGTCGATCGGGGGTCTCGACTCCAACCTCATTGTGCTGGACGTGAAGTTTGGTTGCCCCGGCCGTCATCCCTGGTTCGGAGTGGGCCTCGTGGAGGACATCCGAGGACTATCCCTTTATCAAGATCGTAGTATAGCAGGTCGACTCCGGTGTTCCGGCCCCCTCGCCAGACAGCTCCAGAGGGCGCGAGTGCGTGGCGGTAACATCGGACTCCACCAGATCCTAGGCGGGCCTATCCCGGCCGATCAGCGTTGTGCTTGTCACACAGACCAGGATCCTCAGCTTGGTGGAGTCTGTTTTCCCCCCTCTCTCTGTTCTCGTCCCTTATTTGATTTTCCATTTTATCATTTTATTCCATTTTCTTTTTCCCATTTCTCTTTTGGCAAGTCAGTCCTTGCTTGGTGGCGGCAGACTCGATCCCCCCCCAAATTCCCCACCACCGGGCATGATTCGATACTATTTGTGCTGAGGAGAAACCTCAAAAGGCTGCCGGGATTTCTGCAGCATTCTCTTTTCTCCCAGCCTTTTTCTTTCTTAAACCCCCCACATTCTCCCCCTTAGTCATCCAGCCCACTGATCTTCCCGTTCGTCCTGCGGCTCAGCGTTTATGTGTTTCCCCCTTCCTCAGCTGCAGAGGGATGCGTTTGCTGCACGCCAGCCTCTGAAAATACTTCTCACCTTGACCACTTCAACTGCGGCCTTATTTGACTGCATGCACCTGCTGCGTTTGTCACGATTCATGACATTGATGACCTGAACTTGCTCCGTTCTTCCCTGTTTCTTGCTCTCGACTTGCTTCCGCTCTCGCTATTCCTATTCCTATTGCTATTGCTATTGCTATTGCTCTCCTCCGTTCCCATACCCGGACGCAGTGCAACCTTCCACCTTTTTCACCAAAAAAGAAAAGCACAAAAGTCTTGAAACGGCTCGCCGGACTCTTCCTTCAGGTCCGACAGCTTCCCCTCTTCCTACCTCTTCGAACCTCTTCCCCCGTGAAACCGAAAAGCTGGAGCTGCCGTCGATCTCGCAGGTCCACACCCGCGGTCCTGCTGATATCCCCTGGTACAACCACCACGCGGCCGAACGTCCACTGCTGTCGGGCGACAAGCTTCCCGCGCTCAGCCTGCCTACTGCCACCCAGGCCCCGTCCCGCACACTATACCAGGAGGGCATCTCTGGACACTCCGCCAGTTCCAGTGCCCGCAGCAGTCTGTCGGGTGTTTCTGCGGTTCAGGAACCCAGGAGCCCCCCCCTCGGATCTAGGTAATCAGGGCCTGGATTCCGACTATAATATCGCCCAGCAGGGCTACTATCCCAGTCCGACCTCGCTCGGCAGCATGAATCAGGCTCAGCCTTACATGGATGTCCATTCCCATATGTCGTCTGCTCAACCGTACGCTTCCCACGGTGCCACGGCCGGTGCCATGTCGCATTATCATTATCACCAGCAACCTCCGGTGCTGCAGCCGGCGTCGTCATATGGCCCGGCTTCTTACCCGCAGTACGGATATCCCAACGGTGTCACTTCGCCGCCCACGGGCCACCCGCCGCCGGCAAGCTCCATGGGTGGACAGATGAACCCGCAGTTGCTGCCACTTCCAGGTTAGTTCGAATGAATCAAAAGATAGAATTGAGAGGAAACGTGCTAACCGTATTCTAGTGAGCAACCAGCCCATTGCTGCACCCGGTTATGGAAACAACACCGGGGCCCCGTTGCAAGGCTATGTTTATGATCCCACCGGCCAGGTTGCTCCTCCGGGAGCCAAGCCCCGGGTTACAGCGACCCTATGGGAAGACGAAGGTAGTCTCTGCTACCAGGTCGAGGCGAAGGGTGTCTGTGTGGCTCGGAGAGAGGGTAAGTAACGAACGAACCAGCCCCGAAGACCCAATCTGACCGGAGATTTACAGACAACCATATGATCAACGGCACAAAACTTTTGAATGTGGCCGGAATGACTCGCGGCCGCCGCGATGGCATTCTCAAGAGCGAGAAGCTGCGCCACGTAGTCAAGATTGGCCCGATGCATCTCAAGGGCGTTTGGATTCCTTTTGAGCGCGCCTTGGAATTTGCCAACAAGGAGAAAATCACCGATCTTTTGTATCCGCTCTTCGTGCACAACATCGGCGGCCTGCTGTACCACCCGGCCAACCAAACCCGGACCAACATGGTCGTGCAGGAATCGCAGCAGCGGCGCCTGGAAGGCCCTCCCCCCGGCGCTCAGCGTACCCCGACGGCTCCTCAGTCTTCAGGCTTGCATCACCACGCCATGCAGACCCCCATGTCCTCGCACATGTCCCAGCCTTCCTCAATGGGTCCGCGTCCAGGAATCGATCGAGCCAACACTTTCCCCACGCCTCCCGCCAGTGCGTCCAGCCTGATGGGTGTGACAAACCAGGGAAGCTCCTATGAATGGGGCGGCCAGGGCATGAACTCGGGAGTCCCCCACACCCAGCCATTGTCGATCGACACTACATTGAGTAACCAGCGTTCAATGCCGACCACTCCGGCCACCACTCCTCCCGGGAACAACATTCAGGGAATGCCTCCGTACCAGAGCCAGACCGGATATGACAGCTCCAAGTCATACTACTCGGCTCCGCCTCAGTCCCATTCTCAGTATGCTCCGCACACGCCGATGACCCAGTCCGGTCTTTCCAGCTATGGTCAGCCTCTTCCGGCAGTCGGTTATCTGAAGAATGAGATGGCCCCTCCCACGGGACGGGCTCCTGGCTCCGAGGCCGAGTCTGCGGAGCTGAAGTCTGATCGTTACTCCCAGGGCCATGGTGCCAATGAGTCTGTACCCGAGCAAGAACCTGAGTACCTGCAGGACCAGGGATCTGCCTACAATTCCAACCGCAACTCGTATAGTTATACGACCAACCCATCGGTGGGATCTCTCACTGGCGAGCACTCGCAGTTGACTCCTGAGATGACTGGATCCCCGCAGCAAAACGGCTCCGGTCGCATGACACCTCGCACCAGCGGTGGCCCGCCTCCTCACTGGGCCTCTGGATACAACACGCCCCCGCGCCCACCAGCAGCCACCACTTTGTACAACGCGGTGAGCGACACTCGTGGGACTCCCGCCAACGGCGCTTCAGATCCCTACTCCATGGCCTCAACATCAACCCCCGTGTATTCAACCACCCTGAACGGATCTCTCGGCTCAGGCAATAAGCGCATGCGTGAAGACGACGACGTGATCCGCTCCGAGAGCACCGGCGATTATGAAAGCAAACGTCGCAAGACCCTCACCGACGCCACCCTCGGCGGCCCCGTCGGAGGCGCTCCTCTTCTCCAGCCCATGAAGACCGGTGGAGTGATGAATCGCCGTCGATGAGTATTTTGATCTCATCTAACGCCTTTTCTGCCAGTTCTTGGAGCAGAGTTTTGTTTTCTGTTGAAATAGATCTGCGGCACACCCCCCACGGAAGCCGCAGACATCTGGACGATCGCCATGATTATTGTTTTTCAGCTTAGCACCCTTCTTTTCGCCGTTTCCGCCTGACCTCATCCGATGGGAGACTCAAAAAGCTCAAAAATTACTCGTCTCCCATCGCCACCACCTTGCCGAGGCATGCATATCTTCGGTTTTTGCAATGGCTTTACGAATCATCCCGGGTTCTCGGGTTTGCAGCCACCCCAATCGGGGTTGTTGAATTCCTTTTTTCCAGTTTCAGCAAAGTAACGAAACGAATCGGCGACACACCACCACTGGTGATTTCCGCCTTAACGACCATGACGTGACGAATATCTTTTTTTATGACGAATCCTCTTCCATGTGTGCGCTTTCCTACATCGCGCCGGCCTTTTTTTATCATTTGATCTTTTCTCTCTATTTGTTGTTCTGTTCTTTTGTTTGGTCAGAAAAGGGTCTTTCTTCCTGGCATTCCGTGGGCTTATGGTCTACCTTTTGGTTATGTTTTAGAGAGATGATATGACGGTAATGAATGATCATGAAACCTACCTTGGATATGAATTCCATAGCGATATACAATCTCTGCCTGGGTTTTCCTTTCCTTTTCTTTTTTGGGCCTGCGAATACAATGGATTGATGACCTAATTTTGGTTCAGCGTAGTTCTGAAAGTAGTCTTGTAAATGTCCCCAATCCGGACACTTAAGGTAGACATGTTTTGTCATGGTACGGAGTTGAAGATGGCACGAGGAGGTCTGAAAATATCTTTTATTCTCAATCACTGTACTTTGGATCATAAGCTGTACTCAAAACCCAACTGTGCAATCCATCTATTCCAAATCCCAAGTCTATAATGGCGCCCCCCAAGAAAAGAAAATCACATCTATCATGCCGGTGACCCTCAACCCATTCATGACACTCATCAAAGGCATAATATGAACAAAGAAACCAAGTATACAAATGCAAGTGCTATACCCAGCAGAAACCAAACCCAACCCAGAGCTCTGGAATACAGCTCAGGCATACCAACGAAGCCACCAAGTCGATATCAACGCTTTCCAGCCTGCGCAAAGATCTGCTGCCAGATATCCAGCCACTGCTGTTGCTTATAAGAAAGCGGGCGGTGAGGGTTCTTAAATGTAGACGCGAGGAGATCGCGAAGCCGGGCGTTGAGGATTTTCAGTGCGAGCATTGATTTCCAGTCGCGCAGTGCGAAGCGGATTCTGTTTGCGTCGATGGAGATGACGCCCGAGTAGAGCTGCACGGATTAGAATCAAGTTTATATGGAAGGGGAAGGGGGAGGGGGTTGGTTACCTTGAACTCGGCATCACCGCACAGCAGGGCAATGGCGAAATCGTCAACGGCGCTGGTATCATGTGCGTTCAGGTTCCGGTTACGAGCTTGCATGATATGGTAGTATGAGAGCCATTTGATAGCGTGGTCGGCATGCTTGTTGACTGAAGTTGGGTGTAGCGTCACGGTTTGGTTGTTTGCGACGTTGCGCCAGCCTTTGCCTTCGCGGGTGATGAGCTTGGGGTAGAAGCTCCATGCGACGACGGAGTTGATGACAACGTCGTTTGTGCTGTTGAGGTCATACTCTTCGGGAATGGTGAAGAATTGGCGTTGGCGGTTGCTTGAGCGGGCTCTGTTGGGGGTTAGTTTGTGGACAATGATGATATGGGAGTGATAACAGGACGGACCGGTTGAGTGCTGTCTTTTGGGAGGCGTCTAAGTTCAACATTCCGGCGTCGGCGATTGAGACAATGAGCTGCAGCTTGACGTCCTCGATGCTTAGGAGAGTCTGGGGACTGAGGAAGTTCTTGCGGCAGAAGGCGTAATCGCTGGAGCCGGGTGTGCTTTTGGTGCGCTTCCAGCCGCAGTAGGCATTGTATACGGTCAGAAGATCGGAGTCACCTGAATAAGGTTAGTGATTGTCTAATGATTTGGGGATGGCGAGGTTTCATACCTCTCTGGAAACCGTTACGCGCTGCATCGCGTTGCGAGTTTGAGCCCATGGTGTTGACGAACGGTGACTTGGACGACAGAATGGCAGCAATGCTGACCGCAGCATCCAAGCAACGGAAGAAAGCTCCGTGGATGATCAGCTTGCCCAAGAAAACGTCCAGTGGCAGTTTTGCCAGCTGCGATCCCAGCGGTGTCAAGCTTTCATTACTTGTGAGAGCCTTTACTTCTTTGAGAGAGTCAATAGCACGCCGAATATTCTTCGGTGACGGTGGGTCCAAGGCTTCGAGGAGCGTCTGCTCAACCTCGCCTAGCTTGCAGATCTTAACTCGCAAGACCAGGTCTTGCAAAGAAAGCCGAAGCAGTTCGGGTGTTTGTTGCTCTGCGAGCAGCTTGTCGTGTCGATGTTTGGTGAACAAATGGAAGCAGATACCATTCTGGACACGACCGGCACGACCACGTCTCTGCTTAGCGTTGGCGCGAGAGATAAATGACTCGACGAGTCGAGAAAGCTGTCTCCTTTCATCGAAGCGCATCATCTTCTCCTTGCCGGTATCAACAACTGCCGTGATATCCGGGATGGTAATACCGGTTTCTGCAATGTTTGTCGCAATGACGATCTTCCTTGTCCCCTCAGGCGGCACATTGAAAGCCTTCTCTTGATCTTCACTGGCAATCGAGGAGTGAAGTGCATGCACAATCCATCCCTTCTGGAAAGTTGGCTCGGCGAGAAGCTCATCATTCAAACGACGAATCTCTGCCAGACCAGGCATGAAGATTAGGATTGCCTTGCTGTAGTGGTCCATTTCAGGCGCGGTGGCAATCCTCAGGAGCAGTCTCTTGATCAACTGATAGTCCATCCGGTATTCATCAAAGTTAAGGATGGTCTCTCGTGTCTGTTTGGAGTAGCCTTCGAGACTGGCCTGAAGACCACCGTTAGCAGCATCCCCGGTGGAGTCAGAGCCTTCGTCTGGGTCATCGTCCAGAACTCCGTTTGAATCATCCTCTGATAGCCGGTAGCCTGTCATCTCAACTGCATCCTCGAGATACTTCATCTCCACGGGGAACGTTCGCCCGGGGATATTCATCACGGGCACGCCACCGAGGTAGTTAGAGAAGCGTTGGGCCTCCAGCGTAGCGGACATGAGAATGAGCTTCAAGTCGAGACGCTTCTGCATTAGCCTCCGGAGAACAACAAGAAGGAAATCACTATCGATCGTGCGCTCATGGACTTCGTCCAGGACAACGTGAGTAATGTCCTGGAAGTCCTCTGGCCGTTCTAACATCCGCACAACAACACCAGTGGTCCTGAACAAGGTTAGCTTAAAATCAGGTTAAAGCGAGTAATCAATCACATACGCGTAAACTAGCCGGGTGGATGAGCTGATCTTGCTTTCCAGTCTCACTGCAAAACCAACGAGAGAACGAATAGTACCAACGTCGTTCTTGCTTTCTCCTAGCTCTTCGCTGACACGCCGTGCCAATGAAATCGCTGAGATACGACGAGGCTCCGTCACGTAGACTTTGCAGGGACGGCCTTGTTGCATCTCGTGCTCCAGGATGAAAGAAGGAATCTGGGTACTCTTTCCACTTCCCGTCTCACTGCAAATGATCAGGATTCGGTGAGTATCCAAAGTGTGCAAAATGTCATCCTTGAAGTTCCAGATCGGGAGATTCATTCTGCCCTGCAACATGCGATGGAAGGAAGGAGTGGATGATTTCGCCGCCCATGCCTCCAGTAACCGTTCATCGTGACCAAAGTAGCCATCCCGAGAGGGGCCCTTCAACGGGCTGCCGGGCTTGCTACCGTTGCCATTTCTCTTCCGGAAATTGTCCAGAAGCACCACGTCGTCCTCGAAGCTACTTTGGTTCTCTTGCACCAGGCGCTTCAAATCTTTCACCGCGTTCTTGTCAACCTCGTCCTCCTGGGTCTTCTTGAGATATGAAAACTCAGTACAAAGATCTCTCCACACCGCGGGCAGCCGCAGGTAAGCTTTGCCCTCCTTGGAGCTCTGAGGGAAGAGAATAAATAGGGCGAGAGTAGAGACGTATCCCTCAGCCTGCTGAGAAGTCGGAGTGGCCAGTGAATCCATTGAAACGAAAGTTGCAAACTCATTCGACTTGTGTGTAACCGATTCCACGGCAAGTGGGAACGGGGCTTCCTGCGGTTTTGACCACCGCACCTCGACAGCCTGCCTATTATGGTGGCTGGAGATGGAAGTATCCTGATAGACAACTTTGCAAGCCGAGTCTTTTGCTTTGCAAGTCTCCTCCAGCACTCGCCGTGGACTGAGACCCGTAGTCTTCCCAAAGTCCCGAAGAGTGGTAGATGTTCCAAGTACGGGAGGAGGGAGACCAAGTGTTGACCCCGAGCCTTCAATTTGCTCCTGGAACATATCGCCGAACCCGGCACCATCCAACTCATCCATCGATGGCATGCTCAAGTCGAGCCCATCAAGGGCTGGGACATCTGGCTGTTCCTCAGCCGGTGGCTCCTCCTTCTTTCGCTCAGGCGGGCGACGGATGAATGTCGCGTCCTTTCTGAGCTCCTCAAGCTTGTCCTTCCAGATGTATTCGGCCTCCCGGCGCTCAAAGAGAACATCGTTTTCGATTTTTGCAATCTTCCGCTGAAGTTTTGCCACCTCAGGATCATCAGACTGGCTTGTTGGCCCACGACCTTTCTTACCCTTCCCTGGGCGATCAAAAAGGTCCGGCTGTAGGCTGTAGAGCTTGGTTTGCAAGTCCAGCCATTCTGGAACCATGGTGTCTGGATCAATCGAGCTATCGGAGTCATAAGAAACAGGAGGCGGAGCTTTTGCGGCCTTCCAATCGGCCTTCTTTCCCTGCTTGTTTCCATTTGGTTTATTGGGAGTGGAGGACCGTGATGGCTCCGATTCTGATGAGGGTCAGCACTTCATTCTTACGAGGTTATCAGAGCCGGGGTTTACCAATCATCCATGAGGTGACACTGTTCTCGTCTTTCTGGGGTCGGGCGGTAGTTTGCACGTAAGATGGAAGCTCTTTCTTGTCGCTATGCGTTGCCAGCCACTCAAGCGCCTCATCCAGGTTCCACACCACATCTCGACTGGCACCAGCCGTATTGCCGGCAAAGTATTGGAGAACATGTTTCAATGCTTCCTCGGTGCGATTTTCAGGGAATCCAAGTTTGAGAAGTGTCTCCTTCAAGGTCCAAAGCTTCATATACAGCTCCTCCTCGGACCCTGCCTGCTTGGCGCTACCATTTCGTGCATTCGCAATGAGATAGTCATGCTCCTCAGTGCTAGCCAATTCCAAAACTCTTTCTTGCATCTCTGCTGGGAGCCATTCGAGAAGACTCAATGTCACCGATTGCTGTCGAAAGACCCGCTTCTCGGTCTCCAACTTGGTCGCCTGACGCGCCCCATCTCCCTTGCACCTCGCTGCATATTTGTCCACCAAAATCTGTAGCTCCGCCTCTTCCAAATGTTTCTCGAGCTCTTCGGGTGAATAATTTTGTAATGAGGGCGCGTTATCTTGTGTGCCCGCAGCAGCGGGGAGTTCTTCGGCATGTGTGGGCTCCGATTCATTCTGCGGAGTGGATTTCGACTCCCCAGTCGTCGCAGAAGAAGTTTCTGTGCCCTCCGGCTTTGGTTTGGAAGGCACGGAGACAGTCGCGAACCCGCGAGCCGGGTTAGACGCGGCCTTTTTCTTTTTCTTATTGTTTGGCGGCATCGTAAGAGGGATCTGCGGGAGATCACATACTCGTCAGAATTCTAACCAGGCGATCGAAGCAAGAAAAGAAACCGAGAGACTTACCAAGTGGAAGATGCGGAGTGGTTGAAGGAAACAAGTCGAGCGTCGGACATGACGATTAAGAAGAGCGGAACCAGCTCTCGTCCCCACACAAAACTCTTATGACAGCATTCGATCGATCCCAGCCCACTTCACCAATTTCCTCCCTCTACTACCCACCACCTTCCCTTCTTTTGCCCCGTATTGACCTCCGATCATGGATGGAATTCCATGGGACCAGGTCAAGGCCGGGGATCTGGAGCCCTTGCAGGTCGCGCTCTTCTCGAGTTCGACCTCGCGCAGGCTCCGGGCCCTGCAAGAACTTCGCGATAGGATCGGTAAGTCTAATGAATCCTCCTTTGGCAAGGGATAGGGATTGACACTCATAGGAGCCGAACTATCTCCGGAATCCCACCATGATATCCTAGCGCTACTCTTCCAGACCTACCCCCGCTACGTCGACCGACCATCACGACATGCCGTTCAGCAATGCCTCCGCATCCTCCTCCAAACGCCGGCCGCCACAGAACACCTAAAATATTTGACCCAAAATCTGCAGACCGAGGCAGTGAAAGGCGGTCTGAACTCGGCGTCGGCATTTGTTTTGCTGGAATGGTGCTGCATTCTCTTGCAGCAGGCTAGCGAGGATGAGGCCTCGCCTCTGGCCATTGTTCTGGACCTGATCACCGTGGATGCAAAGGCGTTAGAAAACTGTTTCGCACACACACCCAAGGCCGCAGTGAGGCTATCGGCCCTCCGTGTTACCAGACGTGCTCTGCGCGCGGTGTTCTCCAACCAGACATGGGGTGAGGACGCTGTGCGTCAGTCGGTCAGCCGACTGACTGCAGACACAACGACGGGATCTAAAAACGCGCTACTCCTAGGAGTCATCTCTGGAGTTTGCGCACGACTGTCCGCCATAAAGTCGGTTCTTGAGGAGTCAAAGAAGGCAATCCTAGCCTTCTATGTCAAGGAGATTATCAGCTCAAAATCTGCGGTGCCTTCCCATGTGGCCGAAGGACTGACGGACTTCTTTGCCTCCTTTGTCACCGCTGAGGATGTGGCCACTGAACTGGTGCCTCCGATGGAGAAATCCATGCTGAGAGCACCTGAGGTGATCCTGACAGGCGTGATTCCGCCTTTCAGCTCTTCTTTGCCCGAAGCGATTGACCTCTCAGAGTTGGTCCAAACGCGTTTCTCGAAACATCTTCTGACCAGCATGAAGTCGAACAATGCAGCAATTCGACAAGGGGCCACCGACTCCTTCAAATCCTTGCTCTCTCGGTGCAAGACCGAATCCTTAGTCCAGAAGATCACCACTGAAATCCTCGGTCCCTTGAAAACACAGAAGATCACCTCTCCCGAGCACCGTATTGCCTATGTACAGGCGATCTCGGCCGTTCCATTGTCTGTGGACGTTTCGAAGGAGATTGTTCAGGGATTCGGACCGCTCTTTAACCGAGAGTCCAACGAGGCCGCTCTGGAAGAAGAGCTCAAGGCCTTCGACACACATCTTGCTTTCCTTATCCAATCGCGTGTCAAGATCAGTGATGACATTATAAACACCATCGTCAAGGGCATTTCCGAGAAGCGAATCCCATTCCGGAAGATCTGGCAGCTCAATGTAGGCGAAGTGCTGTGGACCTCCGATGTCACTGCCTTGAAGAGCCCTGAGATCGAGCCCTTCGTCTCCAAGTTCCTTTCGAAGATGCAGGATTTGTTTGGAGAGGTTGCCTCCAATTCGCTTCCCTCCGCACAAAGTGGCGCCCTCTCGTCCGCATATGTCTTCTTGGCTCTGTTCCAGCGTATTTCGGACATTTCAGGGTCTGAGAAATCAACCTGGGAAGAGAAGGCCTCTCAATCCATGATCATGGGGTCAAAGCCCTCCTTCCTTCTTAACCCCAAGACCTATTCGAAGGTGGGATCCCAGGCCGAGATGCAATGGCTGGTTAGGGCTCTAGCGGCTGTCACTTCTGGATCCAAATTCAACGACTCCGAAGACTCTGCCAAGACCGCTTGGGGTCAGGCCTTTATTTATGCCATTACTGGTCCCTCCATGTCCACGAAATTCTGTGAAGGTGCCGTAGGAACCCTGTCTGAAGTTCACAAGAAGGATGTCGCATCCATCGGACATACTGTCATTAACGCTCTCTGGGCTTGGATCTTTTCTTTCCGGACTGCGGAGAAGGAATCGGCTGCTGTTTCCGCAGGGCCGGCGAGCGAGCGCCTGCTTCATCTGGTCTTGAAAAGCCTCTGTCCTGTTCCTAATGAGGGCTCCCAGGGTCCCTCTCCCGATATTGAAAATGAACTCATCAATATGCTTGTCCTTGGCCGTCAAGAGATGATCCCCAATGCTTCCTGGATTGATCTGTGCTTGAGGACGGGCACCGATCCTGGAAACCTGGTTCGCGCTCACCCCACAGAGTGCATTGAGCAATTAGTCCGCGTCAACACAGACGTTGCTCAATCAATTGTACCTCAAGTGAACTCCGCCGTGTGGAGCGCCGCAGGTGATCTGGCGTTCGTTGCTCCTGATGTCATGATCCCCCGTCTTGTTGACCAAATCAAGGAAGCCTTGGATGGCGCTCGCCTTTCCAAGTTCACCGCTACCGACGCCGCGATTTCCCGTACTCCCGAGGGAACTGTCTTTGTTGATGTGCTGAGCAGCAAGTCTAAGCAACCTACTTTCAACAAGAGCACCAAGGATTATGACACATTGAAATGGGAGGAGGAGCTTAGAGCACAGCTAGCAGAGAAGAAGGGCCAAAAGCAAAAGAAGCTCACTGCCGAGGAGCAATCCAAGGTCAATGCTCAGCTCAAGAAGGAGGCAGAGATTCGGAAGGAGGTCCTTCAAGAAGTCAAGCGAATCGAACGAGGAGCTGGCCTTATTCGGGGACTTGCGACTGGTCCTGCCAATGATCCTGAAGGGTGGATCAACGCCGCTGTTAGCTGCCTGCTTTCTCTTGCTGAAGCAGGTGCTGGGCTGTTTGTCGGCGATGTTGTGTCCCAGGCTTATATCGTGTGTGCCAATGAACTGTCTTCGCGTCTAGGCAACACCCGGCCGTTTGTGGGTATCGCAACACTTCGTGCCATTGGAAACACCAACCTACCTGCGGAGATGGAAAGAGAGCACCTTGGAGAGCTTGTTACGAGGATTCTGTACAGGTTGCGGTTTGCATGTGAACAGCGCCCTCTGGACACCCCATCTCTCGCTTATGTGTTACCGCTGATCTCTTTGATCTTGACTCGGAATGGGATCGAGGAAGTCAAGGGTGACACCGAAGGCGAGCAGGTTTTACTTGCTCTTGAGTTTTTGTCTTTCCACTCCAGCTCCTTCGCAGACGTTCGGCTGCCTCGCGTTGAAGTTCTCCAGCAGCTTCTCTCTGCCATGCAGAGATACACTCAGCATTACAAGTTGATCAAGGATACGCTGTTCGACTTCTGCCGCTGCATTTCTCCTAACATAGGTAGTGAAGAGCTGAACACTCTTCTGGAAGGTACCATTGTCTCCGAAGCCTCTGTCAGGACATCTGTCCTGCAGGTGATCGACGATGAAATCGACCTGACAGATCTCGACTTTTCCGAGCACATTTGGCTGAGCCGCCACGACCACGTGGAAGAAAATGCCGAAATCGCAGACTCGATCTGGGAAGTGAACGCCTTGGAGGTGGATGACACGGCCTACGCTAAGATCATGAAATACCTGGACTCCAAGGACAATCAACTCCGAGGTGCTGCCGCTCGTGCCCTGGCCGCCGCGATCGAGACCGACAAGAGCAAGTTCGACGGTATTTTGGCCGAACTCGAAGCCAAGTATGCGGAAGAGGTCAAGCCCAAGGCTCCCGAAAAGGACGCTTATGGAATGCCCAAGAAGATGGACAACACCGACATTTGGGAATCCCGAAGCGGTATCGCGCTCGCATTCAATGCCATGACTGGTTTCTTCGAAGGTGATCAGATCATTTCTTTCTTGCAATTTTTGATTGAAAGAGGCCCTCTCGTCGACAAAAACTCTTCTGTTAGAGCGCAAATGCAGGAAAGTGGCAAGTCTGTCATTGCGGAACGAGCCCAGCAAAAGGTTGAGGATCTTATGAAGCTGCTCGAGGCAACTCTTGAAACCTCCGACAAGGCGACCCAGAGCTCTGACCTGCTGAACGAGGCGGTCGTGGTGCTCTACGGATCTCTGGCCCGTCACTTGAAGGCCAATGATCCTCGTCTGCAGACAGTCGTCAAGAAGCTTCTTGCGACACTCCCTACTCCTTCCGAAACTGTACAATCCGCCGTTTCGGAGTGTCTGCCTCCATTGATCAGATTATCTGGTCCTCAGACAGCAGACTATGTGAAGGAAATGCTTGATTCGTTGCTCAACGTCAAGAACTATGCCACCCAGCGTGGTGCTGCCTACGGTCTCGCAGGTATTGTGAAAGGCAAGGGTATTTCAACATTGCGGGAGTTCCGAATCATGAGTCTGTTGACCGATGCCACCGAGAACAAGAAGGAACCCCATCAAAGACAAGGCGCTCTGTTGGCATACGAGCTTTTCGCGTCCGTCCTCGGACGTACCTTTGAGCCCTACGTCATCCAGATCGTTCCTCAGCTTCTTGCAGGATTCGGCGACGTCAACATCGATGTCCGCGACGCTTGTCTGGATGCTTCCAAGGCTTGCTTCCAGAACCTTAGCTCGTTCGGTGTGAAGAAAATCCTTCCAACTCTCCTTGATGGTTTGGATGATACTCAATGGCGTAGTCAGAAGGGAGCTTGCGATCTTCTTGGAGCCATGGCCTACCTTGACCCGCAACAACTGGCTGCCAGCCTGCCTGACATCATCCCACCTCTTACTATTGTCCTTAACGATACGCACAAGGAAGTCCGTAATGCAGCGAACCGCAGTCTCCAGCGCTTCGGAGAGGTCATTAGCAACCCTGAAGTCAAGAGCTTGGTTAATGTGCTTCTGAAAGCCCTGAGTGACCCCACGAAGTACACCGACGAGGCGCTGGACTCCCTTATCAAGGTGTCTTTCGTGCACTACCTGGATGCTCCGTCCCTCGCTCTTGTCGTGCGTATCCTCGAGCGTGGTCTCGGAGACCGGTCCGCTACCAAGCGCAAATCTGCACAGATCATTGGCAGCTTGGCCCATCTTACCGAGCGCAAGGACCTTATTTCGCACTTGCCTATCATTGTGGCTGGTCTCAACCTGGCTATTGTCGACCCTGTTCCTACTACTCGTGCTACCGCTTCCAAGGCTCTTGGTTCGCTTATCGAGAAGCTCGGAGAGGATGCTCTGCCCGACCTTATTCCCAACCTTATGACTACTCTCAAGTCGGACACCGGTGCTGGTGACCGACTGGGATCTGCTCAGGCCCTTTCGGAGGTTCTTGCTGGTCTGGGTACCGCAAGATTGGAGGAGACCTTGCCTACTATCCTGCAGAACGTCTCCAGCTCCAAGCCTGCTGTTCGTGAAGGCTTCATGACCCTCTTCATCTTCTTGCCCGCTTGCTTCGGTAACAGCTTCGCGAACTACCTCAGCAAGATCATTCCGCCAATCCTTGCTGGTCTGGCTGATGATATCGAGTCGATCCGTGAGACCTCTCTGCGCGCGGGTCGTCTGCTCGTCAAGAACTTCGCTACCAAGGCCATCGATCTTCTGCTTCCCGAATTGGAGCGTGGTCTGGCGGACGATAGCTACCGCATCCGTCTCAGTTCCGTCGAGCTGGTTGGAGATCTTCTGTTCAGTCTTACTGGTATTTCTGGCAAGGCGGACGCCGAGGAAGAGGAGGAAGAAGCAACCCAGGCCGGCCAGTCGTTACTGGAAGTTCTTGGAGAGGAGCGGAGAGACAAGGTCCTTTCGGCCCTGTTCATCTGCCGCTGCGATACCTCGGGTTTGGTCAGGAGTGCCGCTATGGCTGTGTGGAAAGCCCTTGTTGCCTCTCCCAAGACCCTCAAGGACATGGTGCCCACCCTGGCTCAGCTCATCATCCGCCGCCTCGGATCCTCCAACATGGAGCAGAAGGTCATTGCAAGCAACGCCCTTGGCGACCTTATCAAGAAGGCTGGCGAATCTGTGCTGGCCACCTTGTTGCCGTTGCTTGAAGAGGGTCTCCAGACCTCGCCCGATGTGGATGTCAAGCAGGGTATTTGTATTGCTCTGCGCGAGCTCATCACTGCCGCGACTCCAGAGGGCCTGGAGGACTTCGAGAAAGTTCTTATCTCCACTGTGCGTGTGGCTCTGGTCGACAACGATGAGGATGTGCGAGAGGCTGCCGCCGAAGCCTTCGATGCACTGCAACAGATTCTGGGCAAGAAGGCCGTTGACCAGGTTCTGCCTCACCTTCTCCACCTGTTGAGAAACGACGAGGATGCCGAGCAAGCTTTGTCTGCGCTGCTGACTCTCTTGACCGAGCAAACTCGTGCCAACATCATTCTTCCCAACCTTATCCCCACGCTGCTTACGCCTCCTGTTTCCGCTTTCAATGCCAGAGCCCTGGCATCTTTGGCTGAGGTTGCAGGCTCGGCCATGACAAGAAGACTGCCCAACATCCTCAACTCTCTCATGGATGGAAGCATCGAAACCAACGACGACGAGCTTCGCGAGGAACTTGACAATTCCTTCGACACCGTGTTGCGTTCTGTGGATGAGTATGATGGTCTGAACGTCGCCATGAACGTGATGATCTCTCTTGTCAAGCACGATGATCACCGTCGCCGGGCTAAGGCCGCTCTTCATCTCAAGACATTCTTCTCGGATGCTGAGGTCGACTTCTCCCGCTATCACCCAGACTTGATCCGCGTCTTGTTGATTTCGTTTGACGACAGCGACAAAGACGTTGTCAAGGCAGCATGGACCGCTCTCAGCGGCCTTGTCTCTTCCATGCGCAAGGAGGAGATGGAGGTTCTGGCTATTCCCACCCGCCAGATCCTGCGCCAAGTTGGCGTGGCTGGCGCGGACCTTCCTGGATTCAGTCTCCCCAAGGGTATCATGGCCATCTTGCCGATCTTCTTGCAAGGTCTTCTCAATGGCAACCCCGACCAGCGTACCCAGTCGGCCCTTGCTATTTCCGATGTCATTGACCGTACTGGCTCTGATTCGCTCAAGCCCTTCGTCACCCAGATCACTGGTCCGCTCATTCGTGTCGTGTCGGAACGTTCGACTGACATCAAGTGTGCCATCTTCTACACCCTCAACAAGCTTCTGGAGAAGATTCCATTGGCTGTCAAGCCCTTCCTGCCTCAACTTCAGCGTACCTTTGCCCGTGGTCTGGCAGACCCGTCTAGCGAGACTCTGCGCAACCGCGCGGCCAAGGGTCTTGGTATCTTGATCACTTTGACCCCAAGAGTTGACCCGCTCATCGCGGAACTGATCACCGGATCCAAGACTACTGATATCGGTGTGAAGAATGCTATGATGAAGGCTCTTAAGGAGGTGGTCGGTAAGGCCGGCGCCAACATGAGCGAGGCATCTCGGACTGCCATTCTGGCTTTGATTGACGATGATGCCAGTAACGAGACCGGTAAGTCTCCAACTGTTTGTCATATTAATCAAGTAGCTGACATGTCTCATAGACTCCATCGCAATGACGAACGCACGCCTGCTCGGTGCGCTCGTCAAGGTCCTCCCCGAGGCGAGTGCAGTCCCTCTTATCAAGTATGTTTCCTTTTGCCTAGGATTTGCTGGCTTTGTACTCACATTCAATCTCTAGGAGCCGCATTCTCAACGGAGAGTACTCGCACGCGTCTGTGCTTGGCCTGAACGCTCTATTGGCGGAAGCTCCTGCCACTCTGATGGAGCATTTCCCTGCCGAGACCATCACGGCCATCTGCCAGGGCATTGCGAACAAAGATGTAAGTTGGTTCTCTTCCTCTTGTGAATGGTTCAGTTGCTGACATGTAAACAGCCCTACGTGTCCGATAACAGCGTCCTCGCCGCTGGTAAGTTCCTCCTGTCTGAGGATGGCAATCACAGCTTCGAGACGCACAAGGCCATCTTCGAAGCCCTGGCGCCGGTCATTCCCCCTGGCGCCAACACCGATACCCGCCGGTTGACCCTCGTTGTCATCCGAACCGTCAGCCGCCTGCACCCCGAGCTGACCCGCCCTCACCTGGCTATGCTGGCACCGCCGATCTTCGCCAGCGTCCGCGACCTGGTTATTCCAGTGAAACTTGCCGCGGAAGCCGCCTTCCTGTCCATCTTCGGGGTGGAGGATTGCGAGAGCGAAGTCTTTGACAAGTACATGGCTGGACCCGGTGCCTCGTTGCCCCCCGGCCCGAAGCGCAGCATGTCGGACTACTTCAAACGCGTTGCGATCCGACTTGCTACCCAGGCTCGTGAGCGCAAGGCTGCTGAAGGTGGCGAGGGTGGCCTGGGACTATCTCAGGACGAGGTGGATGACGAGAAGGAGGTATGGAGTATTGGTAAGGTGGATTTGGGAGATGATTCGTTTGGCGATGAGTGATGATATGTTTCGATGAGCATCCCAAGGCTGCATCTACACGCATCTCTTGTGTCTATAGATATACCCTTGGGCTCTTTTTTGTTTGTTATTCGCATAAAAGTTGTTACGGCTGAATGTAGATACTGCTCTGGTCTTGACCGGAGTGCTACATATACAATGTTGTACATTCTATATCACCAACCTATGAAGGGGTCTAGGCCTTGGCAGATAAAGGTGGATCTGCGTAGGGGCTCGCATCTCTCTTGCAGTGTATTGCAGCGTATACAAAGCCACTGCCCGATTGGGTATCCAAGATCATGTGACTTGGAAAGAACCCTGGAGTCACGTGGTTCAATCACCATTCACTCTTCCCACCTCTGGTCACACATATGAGTCAAATGAGAAGGACTAGCTAGATAATGAGGCACTTAGAAGAATACTATCTCTATCACCTTACCGGGTGATTTCAGAACCCGCCTAACCACCCGGACATCATGGTCGTCACCGCCAGTCAGGTTTTGTCCCCGCCTTACTCATCAGGGTACCAGCCCTAAGCGCACTTCAAGGCCCTAAAGTGGACGGACTCGCTTACTGCACATTAGCTAATCGGCCCGCCCCAAACTCCTCACTGTCTGGATTTCCCGTTAAGTGCTACGAGAACTTCATCCGCCAACGACCATACGCCGACATCAAGATGTGAGTCTTATTCCCTGCCGTCACCATCCCGAGAACTACGTGCCGTGAATCGTGTTGCCCGGACTCGTCGCCAACGAGCAGGGAACACTGGAGGAAACAACCGGTCGGGGAGTGTATTGTGTGCAAAGGCTGACCATGACATTTTCCTCCCATCAGGGTCAACCTTCGCACCCAGAAGCGCCTCGCCGCCTCCGTGGTCGGCTGCGGCAAGCGCAAGATTTGGCTCGACCCCAATGAGATGAACGAGATCTCCAACGCCAACTCCCGCCAGACCATCCGCAAGCTCGTCAGCGATGGCCTCATCATCCGCAAGCCCGTCACCATGCACTCGCGTGCCCGCGCCCGTGAGCTCAACCAGGCCCGCCGCATCGGTCGTCACCGCGGTCTGGGTAAGCGCAAGGGTACCAAGGATGCCCGTATGCCCAGCCAGGTCCTCTGGATGCGCCGCATGCGTGTCCTCCGTCGTCTGCTCGTCCGCTACCGTGCCGCCGGCAAGATCGACAAGCACCTCTACCACGAGCTGTACCACCTGAGCAAGGGTAACACCTTCAAGCACAAGCGCGCTCTGGTTGAGCACGTAAGTTCCCGCCACCCTTCGATATGGGCAACGTCCCCAAGAACGTCCCGAACAAGACTGACTCGTCTTCACAACTACAGATCCAGAAGGCCAAGGCCGAGCGCGCCCGTGAGCGTATCCTCAAGGAGGAGATGGACGCTAAGCGTGCCAAGAACAAGGCTCTCCGTGAGCGTCGGGCGGAGCGTGTCGAGGCTAAGCGCAACGCTCTGGTCGCCGAGACCCAGGAGTAAATCACTCCAAACTCAGTATGATTTTCTCGGTGCGGAGGTTGGAGGTTTAAAAAACTTTCTGGGATGCCCCCCCCCGAAACAAAGGTCGGCCTTCGACTTCTTCCTACAAACCCTGTTTTATTTACGACACGCCTACTCATTTCTCGGATTCGCGTGGGGTTTGGGCTTCTGGGAGCGATGGGAAATGGGTCTTGGTTGGGGGCAGGAAGATGCATGATGTGATACTCAAGCTTTTCTTGTTGATAACGAGAAGGCAAAAGGAAATTCTTTTCAAAAACAAAAATAACTAAAATCTCTTCCTCTATCGGCACGGCGCTTGTCTGTTACGAATGTGATCGTTTCCTTTTCAAGGTTTCTGTCTGACTGGCTGCCAGCTGGGTGTATTGGTCTTCCTGTAGATGCTTTCAATGTTACCACGTCTGCTTTTCCCCGGCTGGAGGCATGCTGCACATGTGCAGGTGGAGCGTAGATCTAGATTCCAGTCCAGATGTCAATCTATCTTGGCTGCTATCTGTGCTGATCTCCAGGTGGTCATGTGGGGATGTATATTCCCATGTCGAGGGATCTTCTTTGCACCACCGATCTAATCATCAGCACCCAACTTGGAAGTTTTCAAGAATATTCGCTCCGTATCTTGCCAATATATATGTCTTAGATTCCCGGAAATCCAACTCCAAATGTCATGCTCATGTCATGCCCAGCAAATGAAGTGACCTGTGACCTGGTTATATGGCTTTACCGGTGACGCCAACTTGACTTTGGGATTCGTTGATGTAATCAATCTACGTGGACAGCTAACTACACCTCATCTATCAGAGCAGTCGAGCCTCAAAGCAAATTGAACCTATGGTCTATTCATGAATGATGCATCAAATGCGATCAACCTTAAATGGCCGATGTTCTCTATGTACAGCGTAGTAATCGGAACGTCGAATCAAGCTCGCTATGGCCGAGTTGTCGCCGAGCAGGGCGCCGTCTCAGATGCCGGCCGTCGTTCGGGCCATGTATGTGTATGATGCGCTGCATCAAATCTTCATGAACGGAGTGGAAGAGATCAAGGAAAAGAGTGGTAAATCGTTTTTACCATCAACCGTCGCGGTGAGTCGTTCTCAGCTGGTAGTGGAATAGACTCCAGGTACCCTTGAGAGCCTCGATCCGGTCGTTTGCGTCTAACAGGTCGTACCACCGGGTACGCTGGAGCTTGAGAACGTGCCATGACTGGTCCGGGTCGGAGGCTTTGGGGTGTACGCTGCCGCCTTTGCTGAGGACTTCGAGGTAGTGGCGGTGGACCCGGAGATGCAGGATGGCGACATGGTGGTTGATTGATGAGACCATGTATATCTGGAGGCGGTTAGAAAAGGTTTATAAACAAGGGGACATGGAGAGTGTACATCATCGTAAGCGCTGTCGTTCGCTCTGCCAATCTGCTGATAGATCATGCGCTTATCCCACAGACTTGGACCAGGCTGCAGGATCTTCCATTTCTCACCACTGGAAAGCTTACGCATGGCACTAGGCCGACGCGCTAGAGATGTGGAATACGAACCCTGGGAATGCTCGAACTTGTGCCGCTTGCGAGCGGATTCCGCCTCCTGGGCGGAAGGGCTGTCCCCAAGCATGGAGTCTGGGATAGGGATTCCAGCGTTCCTGACGAGATCATCCAGGATCCCGTCGTTAGGAGCACCACCAAAACGCGCCTTTGTAGTCCACCACTTACCCTCGCCGGGCCGCAGCTCAACTGCACCCTCACGAGCACGCTCCTGCGCGGCAAGAAGCATGCCACCGACTTCTCGGAACAGGTCGCACACCTCTCCGATGCCCGAGCCCGGCTCGTCGCCCGTGACTCGGAAGACGGTTTCGGGGCGGCACTGCGCAATGAAGACGGGTCCCTCGAGGATACCCTGTCTGGCGATCTGCCGGTCTCTTGGAGAGCGGGCTACTTGAAAGGATTGCCGCACGGGGAACAGCAGATTTCCGACCGTCAACCGCGGCGGTAATGTGGGAACGGTGACCTGGCACCCGAAGGGCCAGGCTGCCATCTCAATGAAGGAACGAATGGTCTCGTCCCGCACGTCGTCAGGCATTTCGGTGCCGGCGCCAATACGGCGACCCGTGTACATGCGCACCGTCGGGCGGGAGATCTTTGCATCGGAGCCACCGTCATTGCAAGGCGTGCCGTCATCGGCTTCGGATCTATCCACGTCCATCTTGCCATCCGCCGAGCCAGTTTGGGTTGAATCGAGGAATGGCCCGTCCGTCTGCATTTCGTCACCCTGGGCTTCATGTTTCGCGGGAGGGGTCTGGCGCGGTGTCGGCTCCGGTGTAATGGGGCGTTCAAAATAATTGTCGATACTTGTATCCCAGTACTGCGACATGCGCTCGAGGCCCGTCCAGAACTTCCTGGACTGGGTCACGCGAACACGGCTCCGGCCTTCGCGGGGTGGCAGACGAGCCACTTCGCGGAAGCTGTCATCTTGATCCAACGACAACTCTGCCCGGAGGGTTTCGAAGCGGTCTCTGGACGGATAAGGAAGCCCATTGCTCATTAGCGGCGGCGCTTGATCCTCACCTTCCCCGGCGGGCTTGATTTCCGCCACCTCCTCCCAGGGCAGCGGAGGTAGAGTCCGCGCCTGGTCGGCGGGGAACATCTGCTGAACGTCGACATCGGAGTCAACGTGGAGGTTGAGAGGCTTGAAGCGATCAATGGAGATATCCTGGGGCCTCTTAATGGAGGCTAATTGTGTGAAGAGGTCGCGGAGGGTCGAGTCAGAGTCATCGGGGACGACATCGGGGAGACGGTAGGCAGGGAAGTCGAGTTGTGTCGGGACTGTAGGAGGATTGCGTTCTTTCTCAGGTACTTCCGAGGCTGAAGACAGGGCTAAAGACCGTGGGTTAGCGGTGTTGGTGTCGCGAGTGTTAACAGTGAGGGGAAGGCGCCACATTCCGCGCCGTGGACTCCCAGGAAGGAGGACACATACCCAATCCAGGACCCCAGCCGAACATGATGAGTGTTTATTCTTTCCACTTGCGCATGCTCAGGGGCGAACATGGAAGTGGCAGAACAGGAGAGAGTCAGGAACAACGGTTGTTCCTAACTGGATCCGTGGTACTTTGTCAAGTGGGGGCAAAGGTGTCCGGGGCTCGTGATGCACCGCATTCCGTCACAATGTGGTATGCCGACTTTCCCTGACCTGTCGAATGCACTAAGCCCTTAATCTATATTGTCTTTTGGATTTTGCGTTCATCGGGTCGGGATCATGCCCCGTAAAAAGGAACTTCCAGATCACATGTTCGGTCTACCCTAGGCATGTCCACTATATCTCAAACTCGCTCCAGTTCGGCTCTTCAGGGAGCATCTCTCCACCATAATGATATTGCTCGATCCCAGTCATTTGGAACCTTATATGCTGTACTTACGAGCGATCTTCGAAATTAAACAGCAAGTGATGGGTGGCCACACAGTGAAACAGTGCTAGTGCAAAATGGCGGGGCATTATGTGCAATGGAAAAAAACATCCTATCAGGATATTAAACGGGGATTCAATGAACGAGAGCCGAGTCAATTGCATTCCCTGATCATAAGCCCCTTATTTTATCAAACGATGTAAGCGAATAGGTACCTTGAAAGGAAATTCACCTCTTGCCTCGTATCCAGCAGCCGAGGACAGGTTTGTTTTTGTTGGATATGGGATCCACCAATTTCTGTAGAGACTTTATCTCCGAACCAACTATCCCATATAGCATTGGTTTCAATATGGTTAGTCTAGGTCTGTGAAGCAACTCGCCCCGAGCACAAGAGACGAGGCAAAGGCCGAGTTGACGAAAGACAATCGCCCGGGGACCCCCGGATTGTGCGTGAAGTGCCCACTGCAGTTCGTGCCGCGGTCCCACCAAGCGTCACGCATTTTCTTCGTGTCGGCGCTACAGAATCGTCAGGAGCCAGGTCGATCGCTGCGGAGTCGTGCAGATGGGATGTCGTCTTCGGTCTGCGCTTAGATTATTCCAGGACTCGGTGTGAATTTAGTAGACATTGAATTGCCAGCTCTGGAGGAAACCGCGAGGGCCAGAGCGCTCGACCTTATAGGAGCTATCTGGTGGTTCTTGCGGGACAGACTCGCCAGGAAGTTCAACCACACAGATAAACTTGGTGGGCGCTCTTAGAATGAATAAATAGGCGGCGACATAGACCCAGGCGCAGGCGAGAAGAGTACCGGGGACCGTGAGCCCAATGCCAATGCCATCTTGGTCGGTAACTCGTCAATTCCTCCGCGCGACGGGGATTCTCATCGGGAATTATACCCATCCGATCGGAAGCTTCCCCAGAGCCCGGATTCCGAAGGACTGCGCAAGCCGTGACGGTTCAGCGACCCCAAAGCCATTGAACTTAGCCTAAGACATTAAATGGGCCTAATCGTAGAAGGAATTGCTGCGGATGTCTTCTTGCGGGGTACGGTTACATGTCACCCCCACATCGTCGCCGACATTGTTAGCCCACAAAGACCGACAACAATAATATACTTGTTCTGAGAATCCACCCCCTATATAAGAGAGAATGATAGACCTGATTTGAAAACTATTTCCTTCCTTTATTTCGGCTTACGCCTCATATCTGGCACTTCGTTCTACAAAAGTGACCTACATCAAATCATGACTGGCTCTGTGCCGACTAGAGAGGACCATGTCGATGTCCTCATCGTGGGAGCCGGCCCTGCAGGCCTCATGCTATCGACTTGGCTGAGCCGCTGTGGGATCAAAACTCGCATCGTTGACAAGCGAGGTACCAAGGTATAACTATCATCCAACAGCGGATTTCAAAAAGTGAATGCTAACCGTCGAGTAGATCTTCAACGGACAGGCTGACGGTCTCCAATGCCGCACTCTGGAAATCTTCGACTCGTTTGATTTCGCCCAGCGCGTCTGGCGCGAGTCAAACCACATGATCGAAATCTGTCTTTGGAATCCCGACGAGAATGGGACCATTCGACGATCCAGTCGTATTCCCGACACCATTCCTGGAATCAGTCGATTCCAGCAAGTTGTCCTGCACCAAGGCCGTATCGAGCGATTCTTCCTGGATACAATGAAAGAGCACGGGAATCTGACCGTTGAGCGCGGTGTGCTTCCCGTATCCTTCCAGTTCGACGAGACCAAAGCAGGAGACTTCGATGACTATCCCATCAGTGTCGAGCTTCGCACGCTATCCGATGAAGAATCGACACCATCGCAACGCCAACAACATCACAAATCCGTCGATGGGCAGGAAACAACCGTCAATGACGGCCTATTCCGGAGCAACTTGGTCGCCGATGATACGGACGACCTCATCCGATTAACAGAAGCCAACCACGCCGACCAAACAGAGCTAATCAAGGCCAAGTTCCTCGTCGGATGTGACGGCGCCCACTCATGGGTCCGGCGTCAAGCCGGCTTCAAACTGGAAGGTGACTCAACCGATTACATCTGGGGCGTGCTCGACATCATCCCGATCACGGATTTTCCAGACATCCGCCATCGATGCGCGATCCACTCGGCCAGCGAGGGCAGCGTGATGGTGATCCCGCGAGAGAACAAGCTCGTTCGACTTTACATCCAGCTGCTGGCCACCAACCATGAAAATGGAAGCAAGGCGGACCGGTCGTGGATTACTCCAAGCATCATCCTGCAATCTGCCCAGCGTATCATGCACCCTTACAAGCTGGATTACACGTACTGTGACTGGTGGACGGCGTACCAGATCGGTCAACGTGTTGGTGATAACTTCTCGTTGCGCGAGCGTGTTTTCTTGGCCGGTGACGCTGTCCATACGCACTCGCCCAAGGCTGGACAGGGTATGAATGTCAGTATGCAAGATAGTAAGTGCTTCCACTCCTGACGCGTGACAGGAGACTTATGGAAATAGCGTATAATCTTGGATGGAAGCTTGCACACGTTGTCAAGGGGTACAGTGAAGGATCCATTCTCAAGACCTACCAGTCCGAGAGAAAGATGATCGCGCAGGATCTGATCGCTTTTGACCATCGCTTTTCGAGGCTTTTCTCAGGACGCCCGGCTAAGGATATCATGGATGAAGAGGGGGTCAGTATGGAAGAATTCCAAAATGCCTTTGAGAAAGGGAACGAGTTTGCAAGTGGTATAGGTGAGTTTTCACCGGATGCGATACTCGTTTGATTTCTATACTAACCTCGTCTACTGCAGCGGTCAACTACGGCGCCAGTCCAATCATTGCGAAAGAAGGCCAGATAATCAGCAAGCCGCAGCTAGCAACGAAGATCGACATCGGCAAACGCATGCCCAGCTTTAAAGTGTTGAACCAAGCCGACGCTCGGCCATGGCATCTCCAAGAGCTTCTAAAGAGCAACGGACGCTGGCGAGTAATCGTGTTCCCGGGACGACTCACGGAGCCATCCAATATGCAGCGCATGCAAATGCTAGGCAAACGACTCGAGGAGCCCGATTCGTTTGTCCAACGCTACACACCGCCGGGTCAATCCATTGACAGCGTGATCGAAATATTGACGGTCCACCCCGGACCGCGAGCGGGTATAGAGCTTCTGGATATCCCCGAAGCGTTCCATCCTTATCATAGCGATATCGGGTGGGATTATTGGAAGGTTTACGTGGATGACGAGTCTTATCATGAAGGTCACGGTCAGGCGTTTGCAAATTATGGTATTGACCCGAGTCGTGGAGCGAGTGTTATTGTTCGCCCGGATCAGTATGTTAGTTGGGTGGGTGAGATGGATGACTATGAGGAGATGTCGCGATTCTTTGCTGGTTTCATGAGGCAGCAATTCGCTGCAAAGGGCGCGGTTGATGGTGCTGGTTCATAGTTTCCAACTACGCGAGTATGATTCAAGGCTGTGTAGGAATGAGTGTTTCCGTATTTGCTAGAGGCGTGAGCTTTTCGCAATTGTGCTGATGTCGTCATCGGTCGGGGGATCTGTAAGGAGTACGCTTTTCGAGAAATGTTTGGTTCTTCGGTCGTGAAAGGCAATAAATTGAAGACAATTAGTCTAGGCGATATGATAGATTCTATACTTGCGTTCTCGTACGGCATATGTTCCCGAGAACCGAGAATTCTGATAGATCCATCAACCATGCAAGCCCCGCCGCGTTGATTACATAGCCAGGATCAATCTATGACGATCCTTGATAGAACAAGTGCCAGAAGGGCTGCATATGAATGGACTATTTTCCCGCATTGACGTGAGCTTAGTCAGTGAATTTCTTCAGGCCTCAGGGGTCAGGTGATACTCACTTCTAACGGTTCGGCGGGGGGATCAAAGCCTATGTGATGATGAATGGTAGAGGGCACGTCTCATCACTCGTCTCATTTTTGCCCCTTTTCGTTTAGAGAAGCGGGGATGATCTTCCCCGGGTGGTTTGGTCCTGTGATTGGGCGGGGGAACCATGTGAAGCTTAGCGCCGGCCACCAAGACGCCCCTCTCGCCCATGGTGGAAGCGCCGGCTTCAAGGTGAAACGGCGAATTAGTATATTCGACCCCTGGAAGTCAGAGAGTCGGAAAATTGGGAAATGCTATAAGACATCTCGCCTGCAGTCTGACGTGATGCTTCTGATTCTTCCCTTTTCGTAATTTTAGGAAAACCATCAACTGCGATACCATAATGAGCGTGTTGTGCAGAGAACGCGTTGAGAGCGTGCCTTAACCTCTAATGACCTCCCACTTTTCCCCTCCTCAACACCTATCTCACGTGGATTTCACCCCGCTTGCTCAAAATCGACCCGCCTCCGTTTCTCGAGCCCCGCCTGCGGGCGCGGTCGTCATGTTGAATTCAACTGGCGCCGCGACGCAGACGCGGGCTGCTTCGCTCGCTGAAGTGGCACGCGCTGCGGTGACCTTGGTGGTCACAGAGACGGTCCGACCGACCTGGATCATCACGGAGTCGGTAATCGTCTTCACTAATACGGTCAGTTCTGAGGAGAAGACCTCTCTCCCCGAGACCGCGCCTCAAAGCGCCGAGCCAACAGATACCGCTCAGCGGCAGATCAGCCCACAGTCTCTACAAGCGGACACTACAAGTCCAATTTCTGTTCCGACCACTGTCCCTCTCATAGAGGATCCCACCTCCCGCAGTGCTGAGTACTGGCCGGGCTTCTTAGGGCATTTGACGGTTCAAACCAGCTGGGACTCTGAGTCCAGTCCCTCCAGCTCGTTGGTGTCTCCAAGCCCACCCAGCTCAGAGTCGTCCTCATCGCCAACTTTGTTGACAACATCGTCAAGTGTACGCACAAGTGTCCTGTCGAGTATGACTCCCAGTTCATTGGCAAGCACTCCAGCTCGCGAGACAATGTCAAGCATCTCTCCAGCCACCAGATCGTCAACCTCGCCATATCACTCACCCACATTCACACCACTGTCTGGTCTGGGCTCTAACGCCTCATCAACTGAATCTTTCTCCGGTCAGTCCCATCATCGCTCTCCGGGCACGGGCACGATTGTCGGTAGTGCCATTGGCGGAGCAGCCGTCGTAGCCCTCGGGCTTTTGGCATGCTTCTTCTTCTTCCGTCGCAAGCGAACACTATCTCACCAGCGACAAGCCAGCAGACAGAGACTGCTGCGGACCAGCGAATCTATGAGCTCGACTGAAGGATTCCACCGCCGGCAATTCTCCCAACCATTGCCAGCCACGCAGTTTCCTGTCACCGACGCGACGCCAATCTTTCATTCGCGCAGATACTCAAACACGCTGGACAACCGTCCCAGTCCAGCTGTCGCAGCTTGTTACCCAAATCTATCTCACGACCGAGTGAACCCGTATGGTGAAATGCCGTGTCACCTGCTCGAAGATTCATTCGCAGACCCAGAAGCCCCCCCTCTCAGTCGTGGCCTCTCACCCATCATTGAAGTGTCTCCACCAACTCGCTCGGCCTCTCTTTACTCCCGGTCGTCATGGGACGGAGGCCTCAATGTGGTAGAAAGCCATGAGCCCATTCGAATCTCTCCATACGGTTGCACCTACCCCAGCCGGAGCACGCTCACCCTCGAGACTTCTGGCAGTGGTTCTCGGTACCAGAATACGCCCAAGAGCCACTCCAGACGAAGCGACCCATTCGACCTGGAGTCACCAGCGAACACACTCCAGTGGCCTTTTCCCGCGTCCCCTCGTCCGAATCGCTGGGGTAGTCGGTTCTAAATTTCTCTCTTGTTGATAAGCGCTGCAGAATACCCCTGGCATTTGTTTCTTTCTACCTTGTCTCTTTTCGCGATACCTGACTCATACATTCACGACTGTTTACGATCTGAACGAGATGCATGGACACGTATTTATTCTCACTGGAGCTTTCATGTATGAGTAAACTTTACGGCGTTGATTGGGAGATACTGGGAGTTTCCGAAAATTCATCATATTCTTATCCTTCATTTATTTACACATTTCATCTTTCCTTGTCTAGCGCCGTCCCGAGGTTGTCCACACTCTTAAACGCCGCGTCGAGTGCTTTGGTCAAATCATCCACTTTCGCAGACCCTGTTTTTCCCTGTCGAGATAGATCATCCCACCCTTTTGCCGCCGTTGCCTCTAACGTGCTATCACACTGACTGTCGCAGTACTTTGTCAGAATAGCGATTGTCTCTCCTAGCCCATACAAATGAGACCGCAGCTCCTCGAGCAGTGCCCGTGCCCATTCCATCGTTTCCAATTTTTCTCCTTGATCCTTGACCTCGGCCATTTTCTCAGTCCACTTCTGCATCACCTCAAGCAAGACCTCCACTTCCTCAATACTCCACCTCATCCTGATCTCCGCCTCCTCAAGTCCATATTGAGCAACATCGTCAAAAGTAAGAGCTTTTGACTTCTTCGGCCTTGACTTTTTCGTCCAATTGGGCACGATAGACGGCATCCACTTCGAGATGCTGAGCTCCCTACGCGGAGGACCCGTAGAAATTTGCTGGAGCATCCTAGCAAACATCTTTCGTGTGGCCGGCCACAACAGTTCATCGATGATTCCCTTCGTTTCACGGATCTCGTATTCCATATTCCACCATTCCGAATTCCGAATTATGTCATCCTGTCTACCCCCAGTGCTGGCGTTGGCGTACAAATGGCGGATTTTCTTCCGGTCTTTGATAGCGCAATAGAAGCGCAGCACGTCCAGTATATCCGCCCCCCACTTGTATTCTTCGTTGAAAGTATCCGGATCGAGATCTTCCTTGCCGACGAAGTGGCCGCCGATACAGGTGATGATGAAGTCCCATTCCTCTTTAGCGACTGCGTTGCGGATAAGCTGATGATCGATGACCTCGTCTCCGATGAGCGCTCTTGCTTCTGCGCAGAAGCGAGGTTCTTGGCTGGGGTCTTTGATGGACACAAGGATCCGGGATCGTCGTGCTGGTACGTCGAGATCGTTCGTTGCCAGCGCATGTTCGAGGAGCAGTGTCATGAGTGGGTAATCAACATATTCCATAGCAATGGCGAATGGAGTCAAGCCTTTGTCGTTCTTTGCGAGAATGTTGGCTCCTTTATCCAGTAGTCTTTGGCACATGTATGTACGCGTATATGCGTAAAAATCGGAGTTGTTTCGACCTGCTAGGCAAGCTGTAAGGAGTGGGGTGTTGCCGTTGGTGGCGAGAGAGTCGACTTTGAAGCCGGCAGAAAGTAATACGTCGACAAGGTCTACCCTACAAGCAGCGGCTGCTTTGTGGATAGTTGAGATTATGCGGGGATATTCAGGGTTCTCGGTCTGGCTAGATGGCTTGGGAAGTTTCCGCAGGTATTGCTGCAAGGCCGCCGGCTCTCCATTTTCTGCTGCAAAATGCAAAGCTGCAACCTTTTTCTCCCAGGGAAGTTTCTCAAAGGAACCGTGGTTTTGGAATCGGGATAGCATCTGAGATGTTTTCCAGGCAAGAGACATGAGGAAGGGCGAAAAGTCGCGTTCGTCTTCGATGAAAGGATCTGCGCCAGTGTCAAATATCAAGAAGACAAGATCCGAGCGTCCTGTATCCATTGCCACTAGAAGTGGTGTCCTTCCATGTGTATCTTGAGCATCAATCTCAGCTCCAGCTTTGAGAGTCATCTCTGTCATTATACGTGATTTCCGCTGGATGGCACAGTGGAGGGGTGTCCCAATTCCGTTGTCTCTGGAGGATAGATCCGCACCCGCCTTAATCAAGGTCTGGAGTACCTCCTCTCTGCCTTGGGTTGCCGCTGCATGAGCCGCAGTGAAGCCCAGTTGGTCTTTGTGGTTGATATTTGCGCCACTAGAGAGCAGTATCTTTGCATTAGATGCGGTACGACAGAAGTGCAAGGGACCTTGTCCTCGCCCATCGAGGTCGTGACAAGATGCACCGCATTTGAGCAGGAATTCTGTGATACGGGTGGAAGATCCCATTGCTGCGACGTGTATCGGTTTGACCGAAGAGCTGTCTTGGCGGTCGATTGCAGTAGGATCTAGGTTCAGAATAGTCTCTAGAATCCGAACTGACTCATCAGTGTCCCTACAAGAACCGATCTGCACGGCAAAATGCAGTGGGTAAGTGAAAACTCCTTTGTTGGAGGGCTGTACAAGCTCCCTGTCGGCAAGCTCGGGAAACCGCTCAAGGAGGAGTTCCACAGTGTCGGCATCCTCAAGATCAATTGCCTGCGTAAGTGCATTTTTGCCTTCGGGGGATGACTGGAGCAGGATGTCCATAGGAAGGAGCTTGATTGTATTCCGGAGAGCTTGCTTGTAGGCGCTGCCGTGGATTGCAAAGCGCTCGGCGTTGGTGAGAAGGCTCAGGGCACAAGCGATTGGGAATGAACCCAGAGACTGAGCTAGATGGGGTCTCGCTCCACTAATCACTCTCTCGCCAAAAGCTTTCTGCCAGAGTAGCTGAAGAATCTCGGGAAAGTGGTAGCGTATTGCCAAGTGAATAGGTGACAAGGCGAGAGTGTCGCCTTCAACGGTAGCGAAGGCAAGGGCCAAAGGATCGGCCTTTAAGTCCAGAAGTATCTTGACAGCAGCGAGATTCCCGGAAGTTATTGCAGTAGCGAGGGGTGAGCCATGTACCTGAAATGGCCATTGTGGGTGAAGGATGATTTTCTCGGTGCTTGCTTGGTTCAATAAAGGTTTGAGGGTGGAGCTTCGAGGCCATTCCTGTAGATACGAGTAGACCTCATTCAAAGTCGAGGCATCCAAGCAAAAAAGCCAGTGTAAAAGGGTAGTCGAGTTCTCTCGGATGATGGGAGCTCCTGCTTTTAACAGGCGGCTGACGACAGCACCGTGACCTCGAGAAGCAGCCTGTACAAGAAGCATTTCCCCTTCGGCGTTTGAAGCAATGTAGTCCTCAAGGCAGGGCATGAGAGCCCCCACGAGCTCAATATCACCATGCTGAACAGCAACTTCCAGCGGATGGAGGCGCACAGAAGAAGCATTTGGAGCGACGCGCATAAGCGCAATATCATCTTTTCCAAGTGCCTCGTCGAGAATAAATTGTCGAAAAGAATCGTAACTGGCAAATTTCGTAATTGAATGATCGCGTTCAACGGTGATCTCCTTGGAGCTTTGAGGTTGTCGAATGATTTCAAAGCCCAGCGCCAGACTTTCGCTATACTCCTTTCGAAAATCAGACAACTTCTGCATAAAGACATCAATCATTCGAGGGCCCAGAATGCGAGCAATCAAGTGTCCTGCCTCTTCGGCCTTGTGAAGGAACTCAGCAGCTTTAGTCAAGTTTCCGGATGTGCCGAAAGCATTGACATAACACAACATGGTCTGGAAAGCACCAGTCCCATTTTCCTTCTGGGGCTGAGCACGTTGAGCTACCGCTTCGAAGTCTTGCAAAAGCTGTTGCTGCTGTTCCCAGATAATATACGGTCCAGTGTCCCGACTGAAAATTGAATATCGGACCTCGCTCGACAACGTGTATGTTGCGAGCTTTGACTGGAGGGAATGTCCGCCGGGTGCTTTATTCCAGAAGCCAATGATGGGAAGTCGACTTAGATCCGATATCCTCTTGTTAGGATCAGTCTGTAGAGTGCGAGACAACAAAGGTCTAAGCATCCCCTTTTCAAACCCCACTCCCGGTATTTTCAGCTCGTTCACAAATTCAACGGCAAGATGCTCGAGGTGTGAGGGATCGAAGCGGCCAAAGACATAGTGACCGTCTTCACCAGTGGAGACATTATGGGTCTCCGAGGTTAATGGCGATGTCACCATGGCCCAGGAGTCTGGATAGGAAGGAGGTCGGTCGTAAAGCACGTTGTTTTGCCAGCTGCGTTGGAAGTACACCTGTCCGTCTGCCAGAATCTCCCATGCACATAGGCCGAATGCCCAGATGTCGCATTTGTGAAGTTGATCCGCCGGAATTGGCTGGTTTCTCTGATGAGCTACCTCAGGCGCATTGTATCTGTATTCGATTGTCAACAGGTTGGTAATACATGTCGAGGGACTATACTCACAAGGCCGTTCCAAAATACCGAGTTCTCTTCTCTGGTGTAGAGCTCGCCAGGATCGAATGACCGAAATCTGAAATCTTAGCAATTGACCCCGACGGGCGCTCCAATGATGCAAAGACGACCACATTTTCCATCTTCAAGTCACCATGCACAATGCCACATTTATGTAGTGCCATCAAGCCTGCTCCAACATCGCCCATGAGAATGAATTTCGTCCGGATTGTCTGATTCAACTTCATGTATTCCCTAAGTGATCCATTCGAGGCAAACTCAACCGAAACAAAAGGAGAAGGCCTCTGTTCTTCCACGGTCCATCCATATCCCAATAAACTGATGATATTGGGATGGTGCGCAAGTGGCGGGTGACACATAATCAAAACTTCGCGCAAGACCGACTGCAGCCGTCGCTGAAAGTGCTGACGATCCGATTGTTCGCCATATTCATTAAGTCGAATACGCTTGACAGCGATCACCGAGCCTTGATATCTACACTGGGAAACAGCAAAGGTTTCTCCGGCGGCGATGAACTGAGTCTCTTCTAGCTCGTCGACGCGCAGCCTCTTGAGTTTCAACTGTTGGACTGTTCGGAGCAGGCTTTCTAGACTGTTCATTGCTTCTGCGTCGACATTTTCGCTGAATCCGAGGCCATCCACGGTTGATACGCGGGATCGGGAAATTGAGGCTGTCCATGTTATAGTGTCGCCTGTCGCTGTCTCTTTTGACCGAGGGACAAGAAGCCAGTCGTCACTAAAGGAACTCGACATGATCACTGTCTACATCAACTTAGATAGAATCTGGGCATCGAATTTGCGTCGATTCAATATCTTAAGGCGTGGTCGCGAAGTTGCAACACGAGGAGCTGAGCCTCTGCGGGGCTATAAGCACTAGGCGTGATGAGGACGTTTCCCCTCTCGCCTCTGCCCAGATACTCAGGACTATTGCGGAAAACTACCAGGGAAATACGCAGTCCACTGGGATTTTACAAACAAGTGGCTTCTGTAAGAATTTCGGGCCCGACCCGACGCCATGATTGACCCGCTGTCCGTTGCGGGGTTGGCAATCGCCATCGTTGACGCCCTCATCAAGCTCGGAGAGAGAACGGGAGAACTCATCAGTGATGCAAATGCGTTCGAAAGTGTAAATCGGAAGATGATATAAGCGAAGCGCATCCCTGACTGATACATGCTCAGGATTCGAGTGAGATGCGGAACTTGGTCAACGATGAGAACATACAGACCAAGCTGATTCGGAATCTGCTCTTCTCTGAGTGCGCGGTGAGTCTAGCAGAATCTTTCAACCACAGAATACACCAACATTTCAACTTAATTACTAGGTATACGGTGGGAAAACTCTCTTCGAACAATTCGACCCAGATATCCAAAAGCAGATCGAGCTCCTCTGCGTCGAGATCAAGTCCATTCTCCAGGAGGGCGTGGAACTTCTAGAGCGTCGATATGGCATCTCGCGGCAGACCTCGAGCGCTTCTATTCCCAACTTCTCATCCAATTCACTGCTTTCTCCGGATTCAAGCCAGCGTTCTTCAGGCCGTGCAACCCCATCATTCCCCGATCTCCTCAGATGGTCATTCCGCGACAAGAAGAGGGTAGAAGCTATCCTTCAGTCTTTTAAAGATCGCAATTCACGCCTGAAGAAAAAGGTTGAGCTCTGGTGTCTCGCATCGCAGCTCGGTGTCTCGCCTGACCACCTGAATCATCTTCAAACAGATGCCTCTTCTCGAGAGCTCGGCTTTGATAAAGATGCATCTTTACGTCTAGCCCAATGGGATTCAGGGGAAATGACTACCTCTCTTGAGCTACTAGATCAGTCATGGGACTCACATCTCAAACAGATCGAACCTATTGAGTACCAGGGCATGTTCGCGATGTTCTACAAAGATGGCGTGGCGTATATCCAAGAAAACCACCACTATGATAGCACCTCGATCCCTATGCATGCCTGCATACCCAGCTATGGTGTCGATCAACGAACCAAAAGTCGAGTTGACTCCCTAGCCAAGCTCCTGCACCAGCCAAAGGGACAGGTGTTTCGCGTTCTACCCTGCGTAGGCTGGAAATACCTCCCAAGTCAACACTCCATCGCATTCGTCTTCGAGGTACAGCCAAAACCCATTGGCGCGCCCGTCAGTCTTCAAAGGCTGTTATTCAAAAATGACCTCCGTCCAGAGCTAGGGGACAAGTTCCGCCTAGCACTTGGTCTCTCGAAATGCATCGCCCAGATGCACATGGTCCAATGGGTAACCTAACCATCATTCCAGAAGCAAAGTCTCTCAACACTAACAAACCGAAGCTACACGAAAGTTTCCGAAGCGACAACATCCTATTGCTCCCCCACCAGATCCATGACTCAACAGACCCTCGAGTCGGAGTCAACTACCCTTCACCATGGGTGCTCGGCTTCGAATTCAGTCGCCCAGAACCCTTCTTCTCAATGGGCCAAGCCGATTTTGAGCCTTCACGCGATATATACCGCCATCCAGACCGACAGGGCCAGCCAATGAAGATGTTCAAAAAGATCCATGATATCTATGCTCTAGGCGTTGTACTGCTTGAGATTGGGTTGTGGGAGCCTGCTGTTAAGTTAGAGAAGAATGTCTTCTCGCATGCTAGTAACCCGCATGCAGTGCGGGCGCAGTTGATCAAGCATGCGCAGAGGAGGCTTGAATCGAGGGTCGGGAGGAGGTACAAGGAGGTTGTGGTCAAGTGTTTGACGGGTGAGTTTGGGGTTGAGGATGATACGAAGGAGGATTTGAAGCTTCAGCAGGCTTTTCGGTATCAAGTTGTTGATGTTATTGAGATGGCTGCTAGTTACGTATAGCTTTGGGTTCCCAGATTACTTTTTTTCCCCTTTATTTGACGATGTTGGACTCGATATTTCGTTGGCTGGATTCTGTCTGTCTGTCTGTCTGTCTGTCTTATATGATTGTCTCGGGGAACACGAAGAATGAGATATCTTGGAAAAAGCATGCTCAGGTGTTGTATTGTGCATATAGATCATGATGAAGAAATAGTTTATCTTGTTCAATCTACTCGGCTTTCCATTTTGCTTTTCCCTTTTGGTTCCGTGACTCTCAGGTTCCCCTTACAGGGCTGACGGGATCTCCAGGGTATCCATCCGGCTGGGAGACGCTACTGGGGAATGATTTGGATTTCGAATATCATATCGACCAGCGAGTTTTGTCTTCCTAGGTTTGTTCTCGGCTCGCTATATCTTCACTTACCTCTGCTACCGGCGCTGAGGTGACCAGCGAGTCTACACGACTTGACCAGACAAAAGTACCTCTTCATTTATCATTCACCTTTCGTTGGCCATGAAATTGGAAACCGTACGAGTACGTACGCTCTCGTTCTTCAAACGACACTGACTGTACGAGCCATACGACTCCTACTCCACTCCAACCGACGACAAAAGTACCACGACACGTTCCATTGCCTGACCGCAACCACCTTGAGGCACCTGATGTGTACATCATAGTGCGCACGAAACATCACGATCTCCCAATTATCAGAAGCCTCGCATACGCATAGAGCCCAAATCTCAAACCGCATAGGCGTGAAGAAAGCAACGCCAAACCTTGACCCAGGACCAAAGTACCGCCGCGCCGGACATGTTCGGAGGCCGCGCCAGTGATCTCACAACTAAAAACAAGACGACCCAAACCAGTGGGAAAATGTGATCGGTCATTCCTGATCCCCGGGATCATCACCAGAACCTCCCTAGTAAGTGATGTCGTGGGAAGAGGGGCGGTTCCAAGAGCGTACTAGAGCCGCGCATGGCCCCCCTCAGAAGCAACAAATCCTCCGAACACGCGGACAAAACTCGGTCTATTCCAAGGCTACCAGAGTCTGTTTTCCCCTAATCATATCCGAGTAATACCTAATTCTCTATCGTGGCTACACCGTACCGTAGCCCTGGGACTGGAATCCCACAAATAATCCTTGCGAAGCTCGGGCGCGTAGCCCGGTGGGGCGGGTTACCAGGACGGAAGCGACCTTCCCCCCCGTAACTTTCCAGAGCAGGGGGTTCGCTTATCGCACGGCTTGGAACTCCGTTATTCCCGCTCAGATCTTGGGACCCGAGGTCATGGGTGAGGGGTTATGTCGGGTGAACCCTGGGAACTCTGTTTCCCGGAGTTATGTACAGTAGATCCATGGAGTAGGGGTTGCATCCTGGATCTTCGATGCAGACTTGACTTGATATGGGGATGTATTATGATATCAGCGGGCATGGGGGGAATATGTGGAGGGGGGGATTAGCATAAAGGGGGTAAATAGGTCGGGGATGGATTGGGAGATTGTCGTGGTCAATCCAGTGTGGATAGTCCGGCGAACAAAGTACATTCAAATGGTCAATTCTTGACAGAAATATGGTCAATGCTCTGTGGCAGGATACATATTTGGCCTACGTTAAGACTGCAGATGGATACCACATACCCCCACAATTCCAAGCTTGAAATGTAGTTTGCTACGTCTTTGCCAGACATTGCTTTTCTTGAAGCTATTCACGCATCCCAAAAAAGTAGCTATCGCCTGCAATTGAACTAAGAGAGTAATGTTTGCTCGTCTCGACATCTCAACCCCATCTAGGAAGGCGAGCAGATGCTGCTAACCGAGGTCTGCATGTGGCCATCACATCACACGCAGCACATCGGACAAGATCCCTCGTTCATTAACCGAGTATTTCTAGCCAGCTCAATTTGGAACTACAGGCAATGATCGGGGGAAGAATCAATAGCCGCTGCCTCGTTCTACTATCACGAGGTTGGGTTCCAATCCCAGTAATACAGTACAGTTGGCGCTTTACACGATGTCATTTAATATCCCCTCGCCTTCCTAAAACGCCATGTGGCGCTGATCTTTTCAAATCCACAACGGGGACCTCGGGGACCAGGAAAGCGCCCTTACGGGAAAAGTACGTACTTTTGAACCCATCCCCAACTCCATCTCAAACTTAGTTATTTCGGAGGTTGGAGACTTGAAAATCTGATTTAGGTGGGGTGGAAGAGAAACACACGGAGGAAAGTTGGGAGGATGAAATCGGAATCAGAACTATGTAGTAAGCCCGTTGCAAAACCGATGTTGGGACTGGGAATGCAAGTTGGCCAGCAATGACATGCGTCATCTGTGCATTTCCCGAGAGACGGGTGTGGTGTGTTGGTGTATCCGCGCCCTCGGGTTGACTTTGTCTTGCTCTCCACTTGGGATCGGCGAAGAGTTGCAGGGTGAGATTGGAGATTTTGAAATTACACACCGCAAAGTAGGATGGGGCTAGATTGCATTTCGGGTGTATCGTTGTTCAAGATACTACTTCGAAGGTTTAGGTACAAGTCATAGACTCGTGTTGATGTAGTAACCTCGAAGTAGGGTGTCTGGAAGATCCCCAAGTTCCCTTCGCTTCAGTTTCCTTGCATTGAGAACAGACCAGCCGTTCCTGCGAGTCTGATTGTGAGTGTTTGTTGGGTTTTCATCACACGAGATCAAGGGGTGGCTGCAGCGTAAGGAGGTTCTTGGACATGCAAAATGCCCAGTTGGCGAGTCAGGCATAGGACTTGTAGAGGTCGCTATGATTAGCGAGTACAACCATTGGATACAAGCCCGAGCAACACCGAAACTAACAACAGGTCTGCACAAGTACAGTAACAAGCCGCGGCTTACCCAATCTCTTCTAAAAAAGGGCTGCGTTCGAACCACATGGGACGGGTCCCACGTGGACTCCGGTCAGGACGTTGGTGAAGTATCATATCGCTGTGCGACGCGTCAGTTTCACTGTCGCTGAACCGGTGGCAAGGGCTCTCGATGAGACATGACATCAATCTTGAACGGGGCGACCAAACAGCTGCTGCGAGGACCTGCGCTGTGCGACTCGGGGGCTATACGTCACATTTGGATTGTGAGGATGAAACCGTATTCCAGCAGGCAACACGAGACCTGGAAAAATCCAGAGATGGAAATAAACTGCGAGGCCTCGTACTTTCTGTCCATCGAGCTAGAAGCAATGATTATATCGACTTCAAGGAGAACAAACAGTCCAGGACCATGGGTTTGGACCCGGGGGAAGCGGCCGGTCCCGCTGTCACGGAGCTGAACTCGCGTTCGAGAATTAGACGTGCCACTCTGTTCAGCTGTGGTCCTCCCGATCCATTCTGTCCGCACGAATCAGAGCCTGCCATCGCCGATGTTCCTGATACCCTCTGATACAAGCGGTTCGCTCGTCACTAGAAATCTGGTAACGACCAGGTTGACGGCGCAGATTGGCTCGTTGTCTCATGCCAGCCGTTGGTGTGAATGCCCCCCCAGCATTCTCTACTGTAGAGTCACACATGGAGAATTTTTCCTCCGATCAGCAGTCGAAGGCCCACTGAGCGGCGTGATTCGCCCCTCGTGACAATCCCCTTGAATTATGGGGCTGAAACATGGAGCTGACGTCCCACTATGATTCACCGGTGTGCTGTATACACCAGCCACTACACTTACCCCGGTGCTTGGAGCATTCCGGAACTTGAGGATCGAGTCATGACCCTGCCCATAGCGATAACACCAATATCTCTAGGTCAACCGCCACTGCCGCGGCGTACAATAAAAACAAAAAGCAAAACACGAACGCGCGTGTCTTGGAGGTTGGGACGCTAGGAACTTGAGACCTACCGTTTGCTGGGGATGCAGACGATCCTCCCTACAATATCAACTCATGCGCGGTGCCGCATTTCGTAAACACCACAGATTCCAACCAGGGGCGAAGATCGATCTCCAGATAGTCAACATTCCATCGGTCTCGTGAGACCCCCCTCCTCCCCACCCATTGGCGCACGCGTTGAAGCTCACCAGCATATCTGTTCTCCGGGGTCTTCGCATGCCCACGAAGCTACCATCTATCTCGCGTACGCGTAAACAAGACTCACGCGCCAATGTATCGGCATGTGCCGGCGACGACCATTACAATCCAGCCCAATAGCAGCCGCCATACACCAGGCGAATTCTTATTTCCGGGGTAGTTGGGTAAGCGTGTAGGTCAGCGGCGCACCCCTTGCATAGGGTCATAGGTTCATGTTCATCATCAAAACTCTATCGTCGCTAGAGAGTACTGTTTCATGCATGGCTTGCAGAGCACAGGGAAATCTGGATATGGAGATTCCTGCGACTGCGGCTGCTTGAGGGATCGGCCAGGAGGTGAATTGGGAGGCTGGCTGAGTTCGTTCTGTCCAATGTGCTTGTAATTTTGGCGTACGAAATCCAGTAACCTAGTTTCTGTGGGAATCCTATGCAGGCCCTGGTCTATTTTGAAACCAGTCTGCTCTATGCGCCGGTGCAGTGTACCGATGGACCTGGTTTTTAATTTTGACGCCCGACGCGGCCTTTATTTAACCCCCTGGAGCAGGATGCGCCCAACGGGACCCAGGAGACCGGATACTGGAAACGGTCCGGAAAATCAGGATCGAAATAATTATACTACCGAAAAATAAAAAACAAATCAAAATGGAAATAGAAATCCGGTGGTAGAGGGACCCAAGAGAAAATGCTATCGGTGTTCATCCCTTATTGCGAATGCAATTGACATGGCGGCGAGAATGTGGCAGTCGAACATTTCGCCAATGACACCCGCGAAGAGCAGGAAGCGAGACCCTCTCAAGAATGGGGTCAATGGAGATATTTCTAACACGGTGTGTTTCCGAGGACACGTCAAATAATAAATCTGAAAGAAAAAAATGGAATGGCTTGCCCGGATGGGGCCGGGTCAAAACTATTGTACTGTAACTTGCCGCCATGCGGTATCAGGGCCATCACGACTCCACCGAGCCCGCTCCGAATCCATCGCTGCTCCTGACTGGATTGCGACGTTCATGATGATGGGCGCCTACACGTACGGCCAACAGTCAAATGAAAGCCAAAGCTTAGGACTTTTCTCTGACTCTGTGCGACCTGGGTTGGGAATTTCAATGCGCCGAAGGTTTGGAACGGGGTCTTTTTGTTTTGATTCTCCGTGCCACCGTTGCTTTTCTACTGGTTCCCACTTTGGTTGCTGGTGGCTTTGATGGTCGAATTTTTTAGATTAGGCTCCAGTTTTGATATCATGGTTGGTGAGACGTGCGCCAATGATAGGGGAGATTCCGCGGTAGACACACCGCGGGTATGAAGTCATCCGCTTGGATCGCGCTTTGTGCTGCTTCTAGGGAGGTGATCTGGTAGGTCCCCTGGCTTTGCTTGGCTTTAATATATATTGATATTATAGATCATGGCTGGCTGGATCATTGGTTTTTCGAGCTCCTTGCGGGCAGAGCATTGTGAGCAGTCGGTACCTAGCCGCCGGCATATATAGCCAGCCTTGGACGGAGACCGAGTTATAATTATAAGCCGCTGCTCCACAGCTGATAAAACGTGTGACCCGAATATTGTCACTTGCCGTCCTGTTTGATGAGCTCCTACTGCAAGACATAACGACAATCCTCCGCATTTACTCCATACAGTACTCTGGATATTTTGTGGGTACTCCCGTGGCCGGACCCATGGATGAAGCAACGGGTCCCTGGGTTGTTTCCGTGGGCGGTAAATTACAAGACTATACTTCGCGGTTGACCTGTCTCGATCACAATAAAAGCGTGTCAACAGCCAACCGAGATCTTGGGTCAACCACACCCGTTGATCTGCCAGAAACCACATTCCTGGGGCGCTCTTGGGCCGGCGCCACGGGATTCGCCGGGTGTTTTCGAGAACTTTGTCGATCTGGAGTTGTATCCACTTGATTTGTGAATCGGGAATCCAATAGAGATCGCTCATTGTCCAGCGCCCCTTGCGGTGCCGCAATCGAACTTTGATCTCTTCGCTTCGTACCGTGGATCCCCGAACTCTGATCCAGATGAGATCGGGCACTTCGTAGACACGATTGGATGAGACCGTCGATGCTAATCGAGGTTCGCTTCGATCGCGCCCCGGGATTTGGTCTCTGGGAAGGGAATCCCGGTTCTCGTCATGGGAGAGGAGGATGACAGGCTCCACCGAAGGATGGAATCCTGCCGGGCACCCAGCACGGATCAGTGGGATGGTTTTCTCGGGCAGAAGCGATGAAACAGACCTCCTACAGTGCGGACCGGCCTCGCTACCGCGCGAAGTACGACTCAGAAAGCAGTAGCCCGCAAGGGAAATGCCTAGGAAATCGGTTGTCATGTAGCATTGCACTGTCGAAGGATTCCAAATCCATGAAAGTATCCCCCACCTGTCGTGGACCCACCGCGCGGTCTGTCATGAGGCAAAAAAGAAACGGGAGCAGACCTGTCAACTCCGGCGTTTGCGACTTTATCAGGGACTGGACTGGACTGGCACCGGACCAGGAACTAGGGCCCTGCAACCACATCCCCATATCTGGAATCGATCGAATATCGTACAGGCCAAGGGAGGGGCAAACACAGGTTTGGCCGCGTCGATCTCACACGTAATTAAGCTGCTGATGTCCATGTCCGCGGACTGGTGTACTTCTGCCCTTTTCCCCCGGTTATATTCTCGCTCCCTCGCTTCTTTACCTTTTCCCTCCCTTCCAGACCCAGACTGCTGGAACCTCGTTGTTTTGCTCGCCTTCAGGACCCGACAGCCCGGCTTAGCTTCCTTCGCTCCCACTAGATCCTCGACCCGAGGATCTTGACTCCACAGACCAAGCAGTGCTCGACGATTGGTCTTCCAGCGTCCTCAACCTAGGCAGGTTGTGAACCGAAGAAGGTAATCTCACTGAACCCGAACTGCACTTGCCCCCTCACCAGCCCCGTCACCGTCCCGGTGGAAATTACCGTTACATACCAATACACGCCAGTACACCGCACTCGTGTACCCGCGTAACTGGATGCTCCACCCCGACTTTCCCTGTACAAGCTTCCCTTTCCCCCTCCTCTACCTGTGCGATCTATCTGATACGTCCGTGGACTTTTCCTGTCTGTTTCTTGTTTCTTGTCTCTCTTCTCTACTTGTTCTCTACCCATGATCCGATCCTCCGCCCTGCCCGATCCTCTTTTCTGACTTGTTACTTCTTTGTTTCATAGTCGCTCCACTCTGTGCCCGCCTCCAAGAGCTCCCGACCCGCGCCCAATTTTTGCGCCGATACCCCGGCTCACCGTCACCGCGGGCTTGTCACTGGCGCAGCTAATATTTGCGCGACTCTATCCCGTCCATCACCCTCGACCTTCCTGACCTGGTTTACCTTCCCTCTCGGTCTGCCGCCTCGTCATGTTCATCTAGACGGCGAATCTCCAAGCTATATTGCTTCTGTAAACGGTATCCTGCGCACCCTTGTTCACTGATCTATGGCATGAGGCCGTTGCCGGGAATCATTGTGGTTGACATCGGTCTCAGATCACTAGCACCCTCGGACGGAGACTCGACTTCGAACTCGACCCGATGCAGCGCATGCCACCTCCCGAGGGGCACCATATGCCTCCCGGCGCGCATGGTGTCTACGAGCATGCATGGCGCCCTCCATACCACCCCCCACCATACGACGGCCATGCGCCGCCGGATTCTCGCCGTACCTCAACGGCTTCGGCGTCGCTGCCTCCCCAAGGATATCCCGTCATGCCCAACCGTGAACTACCGCAGCTTCCTCCCTCCGGACCAGATGGACCCTATGGCCGAGCCAGTAGCCTATCGGGTCCCCCTCCCCACCCGGCACAAGAATCAAGTCCAGTACACGCCAGCTATCGTCCGATAAATGGAACGCCGCACGAGTCGTCGCCGCATTCTGCTCCCCCGGAATATCGGGCGCGCATGGGAGGCTTTCAACCCCCCGAGCAGCCGACCCCCACCGAGTCAACACCGACACCTGCTTCTCTGCCTCCGACATCACAGTTCATGACACCGGCTCCACAGATTCCTCCCGGCACTCCTGGTCCCTATGACCCGGGCTATTATCAGAACCCGGCATATGGGGCACGCCAGCGCAAGGCGGCGCGAGCAACACAGGTCAGTTTTCGCCGGTACGCCGTCTTGATGATTGACTAACCTGGATAATTGTAGGCTTGTGATCAATGTCGTGCGAGGAAAGCCAAATGCGACGAAGGAAGACCGGCTTGTAGTCACTGCAAAGAGAACAACTTGATTTGTGTGTACAAAGAAGTACCACCTCACAAGTCTGTGCCCTTTCCCGGAGAAGCCGAGAACGGAATATTGACCTAACTTTGATCAGCAGGCAGGAGAAGACGGCTCAGCTGTTATTGGACCGACTGATGGAGATGGAAGATAAATTCATCGATCGAATCGGCAGAGTAGAGAAGTACCAGGTGGACCAGGGACAAATACTGGAACAGCTTCTGGGAGGGCCGAGTGATGCAACCCGCGCGCTTAAATATCGCACAAATAATCCTGTTCCGCCCCGGGACCCTGTTTTAAAGACAGAAGCCCCGGCCATGCAGGCAATGCAGACCATGCAGACCATGCAGACCATGCAACCGGACATCGACGACAAGAGCCCGTTCTTTGGGCAACAACAACCACAACCTCCACTGAACGCCAGTTCCAGCTTTGATGACGTGAAGAATGACAATGAGGGAGAGCTTTCGATTCCGGTGGAACATACAACCGCCGCGCACAAACTTTTGATGTGGCCGTCTATCAAAAGACTAATCACCCCGAACGAATATGATGAGGACTACGTCATGAGACTAGAGGAAGAGCGTGGTCTCATCAGCGTCTATGGACAGGGTGAGATATCGTCCACGGCCGATGATAGCCAACTACCTTCCCCTCCTATTACCCGCGACGGAGGAAGCTTCGATGAGACCCGAATCAACGGTGATTCCAATATTCAGATCGGTGTCACATCTGATCCGGGCGAAGTTGATATTGACAGCTTCGGTCGCCTGAGCCTGGATGCGAAGACGGCTCGACGGTACTACCATACCTATCTGGATCGTATTCACCAACTGCATCCTTTCCTCAACAAACCTGAGTTGGATGGAAAGGTGGAGACATTCATTCGATCGTTTTGCCCTCGAGACGCTTCGCCGATTCAACAGTCCGGTACTCTTTGCCGGGAGAACTCACGACCGATGAAACGCAAACGTTCTCATGACGATTTACAGGGTGTACGTGGTGGATCTGTGGATGCTGCTGCCGTCTCTACCCGGCCACGCGTGGGCCGGAATATTGACAACGCTATCATTTTGCTCATCTTCGCACTCGGGGCCATCTGTGAGACTAAATCTCCCCTTCCGGGCCCCGTCATGGATAGGCCCGACTACCTTGCTCAAGATATCCCCACACCCCTTCCACCTCTTCCCGTGGCTCCCGTGCACGCCACTCATGCTGCCAACGGGGTCCTTTCCCCTGCCAATTCCGATTCGGCTCTGCCAACATCAGCAGCGTTCTATAACCAGCAACTTCACACTACCAGCCAATCCTTCCCATCTTCGATAACTGAGATGCGGGCTCAGAATAACCAGTCCAAGCGGTCTATTCCTCGTACGAGGAATGAATACGGCCATGTCAAGAACCTCCAAATTATCCCGGGGTTGTCTCTGTATGGATACGCAACCACCATCCTGGGTCTCCTCCAGGGTGGCGTTGAGCTAGAACATGTGCAGGCAGGATTACTTGCAGGGCTCTACGCTGGTCAGCTGGCACACCCGTTCCAAAGCCACGGATGGATTTGCCAGGCTGCAAGGGCATGCCAAGTCCTCGTTCGACAAAAACGATATGAGCGACTCGAGGAGGACACCACGAAAGATCTATATAACTTTGCCTACTGGACATGTCTGCAACTGGAGAGTGATCTGCTCGCGGAGCTCGATATTCCAGCAAGTGGCATCTCTCGGTCTGAAGGCCGGATGAGTCTTCCAAAGGGAGTATTCATCCATCTGCCCGACGAGGGTGGCGCACCTTCAACGATCATGATGATGTTATACTCGGCTCAGATCCATCTTCGCAAAGTTCTCAACAGAGTCCACACAGATCTTTACAAAGTCGAAAAGCAGGGGCAAACGCGATGGTCGTCCAATGTGCAACAAGCTCTCAGTATGAACCTCGACCTCTGGCGCACTAGTCTCCCCACTACCATGAGCTGGGATGATAAGGAGCCTCCAGCCAAGGACATCAATGCTGCGCGTATGCGAGCCAAGTACTACGGAGCCCGGTACATTATTCACCGACCTCTGCTATATCACGCGCTTCACTATGGCCAGACTGGTGCCCGGGTTGGTTCCGTTGCCCAGACCTCCGTCGACTCGCCCACGGGATCTGCCAGTAACTCGCAAACGCAACAGATGTCGCCGTCAATGCCGCATGCCGGTCAGCGGGCCCCGGGCATGACACGCATCATGAGCAATCTAGGCAACCCGTCAGCCGAATTCATGTCTTTTGCAAACGGCTGGACTCCACCAACCGTCGCCTTGCGCGAGCTTCCACAGAAACTCCGTCGCGCCTGCAAGGTCTGCATTGAGTCGGCTATCCTGAGTACCGAAGCATTCGACGGGATCCCAGATCGACTCGTCGTCACCAACATCTTCGGCACAGCCCATGCGTAAGCTCCCCCCTCCCCCACCTTCTACCATTCAAACCCACTTACTAACACCCTCTAGACAATTTGGAAACATGCTCGTCCTCTCCGCAACATACATGTCCAGCCTCTCCGAGCTCGTTGAGCCCTCAACCCTTGAACGACTCCTCAAGCGCACAATCCGCTTTCTCCTCCGCAGCGAGAATATCTCGCCAACCCTCCGAGCCGACGCAAAGATCCTAACCGAAATCTACAGGAAGATCTTCGGCCAGATGCCCGTCCTCAACTAGCTTTTCCACGATGTGATACCATATTTCTTGATTTAGGTTTCTTGGTGTTCAACCGGCGTGTATAAACCCGTTTCACTTCTTTTGGAAGAGAATGTGCGGGGTGGCCCATATTGCATTTTTGTTTCACGGTCTATCTCATGGATATACTCCGATTCGATTTTGGATTTTGCCTGGGAGGAGTTCGAGCTCCAATGCGGCCATTATACTTTTTGCATTGCGATAAACCATCGGTCTGAGATACCTTTTTTTTTTATTGTTCTTACTTTCTGGGTTGCATTTTGATATCTCTGGTTGGCTTTGGTGTTTTTGATTTTATTCCCCAATCAGACTGCCGATGCAGATACCGGTTTTCCGATCTTTCAATTTTCAATGATGTGATTGAATAACTTATATTCCTGGTAGATATTGTGAGACTGAAGTAAAAAAGTAGAGGCGGCACCAAATCCATAAAGTGAAGGCAGCGAGGGTTACCATTTAGTTCCACGGTATACGGCAGTGAGGCCAGTAGGACATCGGTTCGCCACAACTTATTTGGCACCGTGGATCCGATGGCCGTACATGAAACACTTTCTCCACGTCAGTAGATTAGCCTGTGCTAGGTTGGAAGACCTTTCTAGTTGCCACGAGTACTTTTATTGACCCTTTGAATTATTTCAGCTCCCCAAAGGCGAAGCGTAGACGATCCCCAACCTTCCTTTGGCTATCGGCCGAACAAATGGCTAAACAAACCCACACAGACTCGCAACCCCAGAGCAAACACCCATGAATAACAACAACACAGCAAGCCCCTGAGCCCAAGTGGAGTCAACTACAGGCCGAGAAACAATGGCGTATTCTAAGAAAAGAAAATATCCCGCCCCTATGACATGGCATGGCCCCGCGGCGGCCCCCAACCCTAAGCCGGACCATCAACAGAGCCGCGCCTCAGCCTTACCCCCGCTTGACAGACAAATTTGTTGGTCGACAGGAAGGGTTACCCCTCTTTTTTGCTGGCATGGAGGAGGCTGAGCATCATAAAGGACTGGAGAGGAAATTGATAAAAGACTCCGGAACCCTTTCCCGTAGAACGGAGAGAATTCTATTTTCTGCAAATGGAGACAACTCGAGGGGCTCTCTACTTGAAACATAGCTATAACTATTTTAGGACTGAGCTATTGGTAAGGAAACTTTGATACTGAAAATCTCAGTTCTAAATACTCACTTACAAAAGGCTCCCGGTTCCTTCACCATACCCGCCATAAAGCCAATTATAAAGCACCATGGCCAACACCATCCCCTCGGTACACCTATACCAACCACCCTCCGACCAAGGAAATTTCCAGCATTACAACAATGACAGCATAAGCATAATCAGCCACTCGCGGTGCCAGTCTCTCGTCTCCGCCATCTCCGCCGAGGGCGACGACAACGGGCACATCGGGCTATTAAACGACCACCGACATACACGTAACTTCTCAAAAAGCTCTCGAGAGGAGCAATACCAAGACCGCTCCCACCTATCAAACAACCACCACTCTCAAGCCCACCCCAGCGAGAACCAAAAACGCACCCCCATCCAGCCTCCCCAACCAATCCTCCCCGGCCTCCCAACGCCAGCAACACACCCTACCCCAAAGCCTCGACGAGAATCAACACGCTATTATAGCGGTGCTGGCTGGGACACACAAATCGGGTACGAGTGGGAGATACAAGGGGAGTATAATCCGGGACATAGCACGGGGCTGAAGATATGGAATTCGTGGAGTAATGCGAAGACGGAGTGGAGGGTTGGGAGCCGGGAGAGGGTTTTGAAGTATTATGTCGGCGGGCCGCTTTTGGTACTCTTTGTTTTGGCGATTGTTCTCGTTATCGTGTGGTTGATTGTTTATTTTGCCAAGTGGACGTAGGAGTTCTATACCCCGATGTATGGGGAGGGATTTGGTTGTTGGTGTTTGGAGTTGGGATACCTGGTTAATTTGGAGACTATTGGATTTAGGTGATCCATAGCATGCTGTGGACCTATTTAATGTGACATTTTTTTAATTAAAGAAGGGTTTCTTTTAAATGTCGGGGTTGCTGCTTATGAGAAGTATTTCACAAGAACCTCCGGACCGTCTGGGAGACGACGTGACTGGCTCGTACCCTGATGGCATGCCGCGAAATATTCTCCGAGATCCAGAGCTGAAACCAGGTTAGCTGGTTGTCTTGAGGTCAATGTTTTAGAGATGGGATATAAATTCGTTGGATTCCATTCTGGATTGTGGATTTTTTATCAACAAGAAGAATCTCAAGTCTATCTAACCGACCTGTCTGGAACTTGGTAATCTACCTCAAATTGCCTGGGCAATCTTAATGGTTCTCATTGTTGACATATCTAGTGACAAACTCGGGTGCTTTTGACCTACTATCATTCGAAATGAAGTTGAGCTACTTCCTCGCTTTCCTCGGCCTGGCCGGCGCCGCTATTGCTGCACGCGATAGTGGTTAGTTACTTCCCACCTATACAAGACGTGCTTCGAGCTGACTACAATAGATGACTTCGACATCGATGTGCCTGACATAGTGGATGGTGATGTTTACTATGACGGCCCCGGCGTCCAAGTTGTTGGTGACTTACCTGGATTTGAAGTCGACGATTGATATGCCATTGAGAGCAATTCAACCGGTGACAGATTGAAGCTCGGTGGTTTATTTTAATTGAGAAAGAGTTGCAAAATTCAAGTCTGGAGTTGACGTTGGATTATACATTACAATCCGCGTAGTTTTCCAACTAAACGAAACAGTACGTTCTGAAGCGCAACGCATGCATCTGGTACCTCGGCGCTGCACCTTTTCAGTCATCATTACCAGCAAACGCTCGGATCCTCATTTTACATTACCCAACTTCAACTTACTTAAGAGAGTTTATCCTCACTTACCCTACTGCACCACGTACATTAAGTGAAACCTAACCATCTCACTTGACCTTACTTCAATAATCCTTACCTCCCTGACCTCACCCACTATTACATCTCACCCACCATTACCCCCCGACCTCATTCCTCCCTGCTCTATACTGCGCAAAAACATTTGACCATGACAACAGCGCCAACCTAGAGGACACCACACTCTTTGCGCTCAAGAAACTAGAGAATCGGTCGCAGTGTGGAAAGGTATCCCCTAATGTGTTTGACGGGAAGGTTTCATTCGTGTGCCGGCGGAGCGGAGGCTTGAGTATAGAGTTGGGGATGGGTGGGCGCTGTTGTGAGAATTTTTGGGTATGGAAGTTCCTGATTTACCGTTTCCTAGGGAGAATGATGCGGAAACGCATGATGAGAAGGCAAAGGCGCGTACGAGGTTAATTTGGGTTAATGGACTTAAGTTTATGGTGCCGTTGGTTGTGTTGTGTTGGGTTGGCTGTTGCTCTTGCGCCAAGGCGGCCTGGGGGTATAAGATTGTTATTCAAGGTGAACAAATAGGCATCACTCACTACTACTTAGGAGATACACTCTAACCTAGAAAAAGCTGTTTGCGGGCTGATAGGGCTGTGTTCAGTATTAGATGGTGCAGTGTTTTACATCTTCGTACTGGAAATGTTTAAAGGGGGAGATAGGTACATCGATAGATATTTCAAGAGATGGAACGGAAAGTAAACACGGGAATTTGGGGAAGTAAGCACCAAGATCAACGAGCCAGCTGGTGGGTCGACCTGGAACTTACACAGCCCCGTCATCTTAAGCACTGCCTCCATCTATATCACCCCCGTATCCCCCAGACTTTTTGAATAACATTTCTTTCGACTTTTTTTTTTTGAAAACATAACCCTCACCATTTTCACCATGTCGGTGCCTCTTGGATTTGATAACATTCTCTTCATCCTGAGGAGTTTTCGTTCCGGATTTCGATTCTTGGCGTCTCCGTTTAGACGAGATCGCGAAAAGGAACCAGGACGAGACTAAAAATATATCTGGAGTTTTCGGGTGATCTTTGGGTGTTCTACCTTTCCAATTACCGAGAAAGTTCCCCCTCGAATCCAAGGAACTGCAAACCGTCGAGAAGCACATAGCGACCTAAATCAACGATTCCAACGATACCACAGGCCTAAGACCGGCTTTGAATAAAGTCCAACGGAGTTCAAAAGCAACAACGCGACCAACGCGACCACCGGCTCAAAAACCAGCAACCAAAACCGACTGTTGTGTGAGAACATACATGGCCGATATCACACACGCGCCGGGGATAATGCACATGCGGCAACGGCTACTTTAGTCTCATCTGGGGAAGTGGGTCTTGCACACAGGATAGGCTATGTACGTCACTTTATTCGACGGTATAAAACAGAAATTAGATGGAAGGCCAATTATGATGAGCCAATGCAGAATCAAATGCATTTTTGGGCGCGGGCCTCGGCTTCCCCGCACAACACCGATCCGGCGACGCTGTAAATCAGAAGTTCACTTTCCTTTGATCCGGAATATTCAACCGGGCATTCAGTTCTATCTGGACTCTTTCAGTATCAAATTCCTGCGGGTCACATTGGACAGACTCAACTCGTGAAGCATGGCATCGCCGGCAAAGAAATGGCCGTCGAGAGAAGGTATGCACCTCCCCGTGCTTATACCCTGCAGCTTCTGACATATTGAGATAGGATTTACGGCGGACGTAGTGGGTAGAATCATCCAGTGGGCCTTGTTGGATCCCTGGAAAATGGTGCCTCTGCTGGCTCTGGCTCAATACACAGTCAAGGGGCGTGAGCTGCTCGAGGAGCGACCACATGCACTCAAGGCACTCAAGGCATTCGCCTCGCTGGCAGTCCTCGACCGACTCAGGGCATGGCTTGACCGTCGCATCATCAACAACGGCCAGAAAGATCACTACGACTGGAACCGGGAGATCGTGGTCTTGACCGGTGGCAGCAACGGCATCGGTAGACAGGTCGCGCAGTTGCTAGGCGATCGCGGTATCAAGGTTGCCATCCTGGATCTCTCGCCACCGACAGGCACCCTGCCAAACAGCGTCCGTTTCTACCAGTGCGACATCACGTCGGCCGAAGACATCGCCTCGGCCGGTAAATCGATCCGTGCCTCATTCGGCCGCCCGACCATCTTGATCAACAATGCGGGCATCGCCACCGGCAAGACCATTCTCGGCACTACACCCGAGCAGACTCGGCGCATGTTCGAGGTCAACACCTTCGCACACTACTGGCTGACACAGGAATTCCTGCCGGACATGGTTGCCAGTAACCACGGCATGGTAGTGACCGTGGCCTCGCAGGCCGGATACACCGTGACCCCGAACATGGTCGACTATTCAGCCACCAAAGCTGCAGCCATTGCCTTCCACGAGGGACTGGCCGCCGAGCTGGCTACCCGATATCAGGCACCCCGGGTCCGCACCGTCTTGGTGACGCAGGGATTCACGCGTACGGCGCTGATCAAAAATCTTACCCCTGAAGATACATTCGTCAACCCTCTACTGTATCCGGAGACGGTTGCGGAGGGCATTGTGAGCCAGGTGCTGACTGGTGAAAGTGGACATGTAGTTGTGCCCGCTACGGCAGGGTGGATAGCGCAGCGCCTCCGCGGGTACCCTCTGTGGTTCCAGCACTCGCTACGGTGCCGACTGGAGCGGCTGATGCGTGCTGATTAATTTTAATTTTGGCTTTGACCTCATCCTTGACAAGCGATTCTCTAGCTGATTATCTTAGTACTGTAATTATTAGTGTGGCTGGTTGTCCGAACTCGTATCACGGTATATAGTTGCGTGGCTCAGCTGAAGGCAACCGAAGCCGAGAAACAACAAACAACCATCAGCCATCAGCCATCAACCATACAAGTACTATATCGTATGTCCGGCCAATCTGATAACCCAAGAGCCCGTAGCGAGTGATCGAATTCACAGCGCAACAGAGAAACAGTCGCACGGCGCCGGAGTCCAAGTGACGAAATCGCCAGCCCCGTCCATTTCGGTGGCACGTGCACGGCCTTCACCGCGACTTCGATTGGCTCCACTCGATGCTGGACAGCTCATCCTGTGCCACACTCGATTTTCGCACAGGTTCTGCAAGTCTGCAAGTCTGCAATGCTGGATTAACCTCCTGCACGCAGTCTGACAGTTGCACTTGCCAATTCACTGGTGGACGTCGAGATCGAGATCGACTGTTGGAACCGGGGCCCCGATCGTCTGGAGCAACGCAGTTCAGCCCAGGGCTCCGCTTCGGACGAAGATCCACGGGTCGGTTCCGTTGTTTACTCTCCAAAACAAACCATAACAACACTTTCATCTCACCTCCATTCCGATCTACCCTCCTTCCTCACATTCCTCCCCTTCCACATGGTGGCCTGTTCTATCGGGGCATTCCTTTGATTTACTGCCCACCATGTTCAAGGCCCTCATGGGCGGGGGCCGGTCCTCCGACGCCCGCAGTACCACCAGCTCCAGCTCCAAGAGCCGTCGCAAGTCCGATTCCAAGTCTTCACATAGCCGCAAATCCTCACGGGGTGACGACCGTGACCGCGGCTTGGGTGACTTGTCGGCCTACGAGCCCTCGGCTACTGGCAGCAAGCGCGGAACGTCCAGTGTGGCTGGCGACTCTGTCGCATCCACCTACGTGACGGCCGAACCCGAAGAGATTGATACCTACCCTTCAATCGTTGAGCGAACACCAAAGCGCAAAGATAGCGACAGGGAGAACACTCGTTCCCGCCGGCACGACCGAGACCGATCAGAAAGCAGAGACCGCGACAAGAGGAAGAGCCGCCGAAGCACCGGGGACGGAGATGATGACTGGGAGCGTGAGCGCGACCGTCGCGAGCGCAGGCGCACGCAGTCTGGAGATCACAACATGCTGCCTGTCTCCAAGTCCATGCCGTCCAGTGCTCCAGGCGCCCAGTTTGCCGCTGATATTGCGGCGCCGGGCTTTTCGCAATTCCCCATGCAATACGACAATTCGATGGCCCCGGAATTTTCGCCCGGTCATGTCTCTTCACCATCGCCGTATGATCCTCACGTCCAGCAGCAATTCCCCGGTCAGTTCCCATCTGAGACCGCGAAACCTTTCCTACCTCATAATCCCGCCGGCGCCGCGGCGGACTACTACGGAGACCAAGGCCAATCTGTTGCAGAGCAACCAGGTGTCCGACCGCAGAAACCACTGGTGAACAGTCAGGAACACCTGATGGCGGCATCGCCGTCGGCCAATCCTCCTCCCGAGCCAAGCAGTCTTGGCCAGGTTGGTGCGGCGGCCGCGTACTTTCACGATGCTGAACCCGTTCAGTCCCAAGGCAAGCCGTCATCGGGATCATCCTCCAAGCCCCCAAAGCCTGGAAAGCCTGGAAAGCCCGGCAGGCTATCAAAACCCTCAAAGCCCAGCAAGCCTTCCTCTTCGAGTGCTATTCCGGCCGCAGCGGCGGCGGCGGGAGCTGCTACATATGGCATTGGAAATGCTATGATGTCCCACGAGGAGTCACAATATTCATCGACAAGCGCATACCAGTCCCACTCATACTCGCAACCGGCTGTCCCAAGTACAAGCAAGCCTCCCCATTCCTATGGTATCGGTACTGGTATCGGCACTGGTATCGGTGTCGCGGCAGCTGGCGCAGCGGCGGGCTATATGCTCGGCCATCACGATCACCCCGAGAGCACTGGAAAGCCCTCACAATACAATATCCAGAACTACGAACAGTCATCTCAATCTGGTGTACCACCCTACGCATCTGGTAGCAATAATGCGATTATGGCTGCCGGAGGAGCAGGCTATGCAGCTCATGTTGCACATGCTGCCCATCGTCCTGGCTATTATCCGGGCAGCCTTACGATGAATCATCGCCACCGCGGCCCTCTGTCCAAGTTTGTGGACTTTTGGCGTGATCCAGAGGGCGTTGGTCGATTCGAAGATTACACGGAGACAATTGGCGTGTGCAAGTATTGTTTCGACCCTCACACGACCTCCGTCGACGCGCCTCGCAAGCACCATTACCACGGGCGCCGTCATTCTGCTGACCGCTACAGTAGCAGCAGTAATTCCCGAGTGAACAAGCTCAGCCGATACCATTCGTCGGAAGACGAGAGGGGTCGCCGAAAGAAATCAAAGAAGTCCTCTTCGTGGTTGCCCGGAATGCTGGCTGGCTATGCGGCGAAGTCGATTTTTGCTGGCAAAGACTTTGATGATTCTTACAGTGTTCGCTCTGGCCAGCCGTCTGGCGATCGTACATCTTCACATAATGATACTATGAGCTATACTTCTCGCGGCGTTGTTCGCCGATCTGATCGAAACTCGTCGAGAGAATACTATTACAATGACAAGAAATCTCAACGCAATCGCTCTCGTTCGCGATCCTCATCTCGATCCGGGCGCCATTCGTCGTTTGTGAAGGAGGCGGCCTTGGGTGCGGCAGTAGGTGGTGCCGCGCTGGCAATCTCCAAATCGCACCAGCGAGACCGCAGTCGATCTCCCTCGCGAGTCCAACGCCGGAAAGAATCTTCATCTAGCTCCTCCTTTGTGGATGTATCCCGACCTGCTGCCAAGTCTGTTGGAGGATTTACCTCCTTCTTCACCTCTTCCTCTGAGAACCGCCGGAAGACGCGCAGTAAGCGGGCGAAGAGCTTTTTCTCTTTCCGCAGCTCCTCTTCTTCCTCGCTCGACAATGACCTGGCCTTTGGTGATGGATTTACGAAAAAATCTTCCAAAGACAAGAAGACGGAGAAGAAGAAGGGCAAGAAGGGAGAAGATGTGGATGCTGCGCTCCTTGGGCTAGGGGCAACGGCAGCTGCTCTTGCTGCTTCTCATTCTCATGGCCGTAGTCGCAGCACGGGTCAGATTCTTACTGCCAGAGAAGCTCGATCTCGCCATTCCAATAACGCTTCTTCCGTCAACGAAGATGACGAATGGGTGGATGCCGAGTCGGAAGACCACTCTTCCTCTAGCATCAGCTCTGCTCTCGCCTTTGGTGCTAGCAGTGCTGATTCCAGTTCCGATTCGGGCAGTGGACGATGGGGCTGGGGATGGGGTAAGAAGAAGCAGAAGAAGGACAAGAAATCTTCTGTTGCCGATGCTGCCTTGGCTGCTGGCGCTGGTGCTCTTGGAGGCGCGGCCTTGGCCTCGGTGGCTCGCCGCCGCGATAGCCGACCTTCAAGCAGTGCTGGTAGTCTTCAACATGTCTACCCCGTCCCTACATCTGACCCTAGCCGGTTTGGTGTTGCCAAGATGTCTCCGTCTGTTCTGTCCAACGACCAGACACCTCTCGTTCGCCCTGGCCCTATCCCTCTCCAGCAACCCCAGCCTATCACACCTGTTTCCCAGGCCGTATACAGCACCCAGGGCAGATTGCCGGGATCAATTCCTGCGTATAGCGCACCGGCTGCTGTTCCTCCTATCTTTGCCAATGAATACGACCGCTATGGACCCCAGTATCAAGGCTCTCGCGATGCGGCCTGGCGCCCGGAAGATGCTAGCTATGTCGAGCATCGCCAGCCGCATAGAAGCAACTCTTCTCCCGTGTTCCCTATTCAGGAGAGCTCTGTCTCAACACCAAAGCGCCGCTCTACTATCAAGGACCAAGCTTCTGTGTCATTCAACCTGACGGAAGAACAGGCGGAACGCGAGCGCCGTCTCAGTCTCAGTAGACGTGAGACGGAACCACGGGATGATTTCAGGGACGAGCCTGTCCAATTGGTTGATCGGGAAGAAGAATTGGCTCGACAGGAATCTGAGCGCCGTGAGCGTGATCGCGAGCGTCGTCGCAAGGACAGAGAGGACGAGAAGCGCCGAATTGATAGTGAGAAGGAGAAGGACTCCTCCAAATGGGTTGAAGCAGCTGCAATCGGTGCCATAGGTGTTGCTGCTGCTAGCTCAATGATGTCTCACAAGAAGGACGGTGAACTCGCATCGGAAGCTAGCTCCAAACGTCGCGACGCCCGAGAGCGACGTCGCGCTGAGCGCCGGGCTGAATCATCAATCGTTTCCAAGTCTGATGTTGTTGAGCCTGTTGAGGTGAAGCAGACGCCCGTGGACAACACAGACTACCGAGACACGTCCTCTCCCCAACGGAGCCCTCGCCCAGCCCAGGTATATGACGACTATGCCGAGTTCTTTGCGCCCGAAGAGCTGCGACACAGTACTGTCGAGCATTCGGGCCGGCGTGGGTCTGGTGATTCCAACGATAAACCGGAGATCGTTGAAGTTGTTCCTGCCAGTGAACGCGAGAAGGAAGAGGCCAAGGACGAGCCCACCGACCTTCCCCAGTTCGGTCCTGAACCTTATGAAGATCGTGATCATCTACCGTGGCCGGTTCCACGGCTTAACTTCATTGATCCTACTCCTCCCCACAGTATCAATGGGTCTGCTCTCGGTATTTCATCGCCCATTGTGGGACCCCAAGAATCTCGTGATGAAACCCGAGAGGTGGCCCGTGAAGAACCCCGTTCAGAGCCTCGCCCAGAGCCCCATGTGGCTCGCGGTGAAGAAGAGGCCAAGCCGCGTGAACGGCCTACGACCGGCTCTCGGGTGTCCTGGGGACCTCATTCAACTCACGAGTACGAGGTTCCCTCTTCTTCCGAACCCGAGTTCTCTCCTACACCCGAGGACTTCCAAGACATTTCAATCGATTTCCCCGAGAAAGAGAAAGAAAAGTCAAAGGGTGCCGGCAAGGCTGATTTCGGCGATGATATCGAGTTTGCTGCAACGGTCGCTGCCGCAACCGAAGCAGCTGGATTCGATCCATCCTTTGTGGTCGATGACCCCAAGTATCACAAGCGTACTTCTCCTCCCGGGTCGGAGGATGAAGGGACGTTCTCGCACACCTCCAGATGGAACGCTGAGCGGGACCAATCCCACGGCTTCGTCGAGGGCGAAATTGAAAGCCCCGAGCGGCCTAAGTCCAGAGATGTTGATACATCCAAGCATATCATTGATCAAGATCCTTTCTACGCCGAGCCCGAATCTTTCACCAAAGATAATGGCAAATCATCATCCAAGCGTCGGGAAGGTAGCTCAATTGCCGGGGAAGCTACTGAGAAGCTTAATGGAAAGCACGCAAGATCCAGTTCTCCCGAGAACGACGTGCTCTCTATGCCAGGCGGCTTTGACAGCTTTGATACCTCTCGAGAGATTGACGCGCGTGATGACACTCGCTCTGTTTTCTCTGCCCCTCCCGTAGGAGAATCCGAGAGGAAGTCCAAATCCAAGAAGTCTCGTAGCGGTGACGATCTTGACTTGTCTCGTGATTTGCCTGGCGAATTGTCCCGCGACTTACCTCGTGATACTGCTTCGCCAACTCTTGAAGACGCTGAAGTCGACGACAAGGAGAAGAAACGCCGGAGGCGTCGCTCAAAGCAGGATAGCGATACGTTCTCGATCGATGATGATGCTAGATCCGCCATCACCTCAATTGAAGATATCGAGAAGTCTGAGCGCCGAAAGCATCGTTCCCGATCATCGCGGGACTTTGATGATACCGTGTCCATCTCTTCTTCTCCCGCCAAGTTTGACGATGCCAAGGCCCCCAGAACTCCTTCTGAGGACGACGAGAAGTCCGAACGTCGCAAGCATCGTCGCTCGAAGCCTGATAGTGACACATTTTCAGTGGACGATGACGCTAGATCCACTGTCACTTCAATTGAAGACGGTGACAAATCGGAGCGTCGGAAGCATCGCCGCTCCAAGCGGGACAGTGATACCTTCTCGGTCGACGATGACGCCAGATCTGCCATCACTTCAATTGATGATCTCGACAAGTCCGAGCGCCGGAAGCATCGTTCCCGATCATCGCGGGACTTTGACGATACCGCGTCCATCTCCTCTTCTCCTGCCAAGTTTGATGAAATAGGGGAGAAGCGACGCAGTAAGGATGACAAGGAGAAGGACAAGGGCCCCCCCGGTGGATTGTTCCGGAGTCTCTTTGGCTCGCGGGCCTCAGAGCCAACGCAGTCACGATCCTCCCACCGGTCCTCCTCCCTGGACAAGCGCCCATCTCGCGAGGCCATGTCCGAAGCTGGAGTTGATGATGAAGGGCGCCGCCGCAAGAAGAAGCATCGCAGCTCCAGTGGAGGAGATAGCTTGGTTGATTACGGATCGGACAAGGAGTCTGTCCGGAGTTCCCGGAGTGAGGCGAACCTGGAGGAGTACAGATCCAGCAGACAGAAGAAGGAAGAGCGTCGTCGACACAAGTACGAGGATATTGTTGATTCGGGGAGACGTCGGGAATCTGAGAAGGTATAATATCTGAAATTTCCCTTTCATTGTTCATGTTCATGTTTGCTCGCTTCTTGTACACTGTTATGTGCCATATAGTTGCCCTTTTTTCTGGATGGTCTTGGCCTTCCACCCCCGACTTATCCAATGCACAAAGAACCAATCCCCAAAACAAGTGAACTCTGTACTAAGCTTTTTCTGGTATTACTCCATGTGCAGGACGCAAAACCTTCCGACTATAATGAAGACAGCGACAAGTCTTTTTTAGGGGATCGCCCCGAACTACCAGCCGCGGCTGAGCGCGACCAAAGTGGTGCTTCGGGGTTTGAAGACTCGGCGGAGAAAGGAGTAGCTATCGCTGCTGGCCTAGGATTGGGAGAGGAGATCCTACACCAGCTATCTCGAAGCCGGTCTACCTCCCCTCCCGCCGCTGAGAAAGCTCTAGACCTAGCCCCGAGGTCCCACAGTAGACCATCATCGCCGGAAATAGTCCGCGATAGGGACGAGTCTCCTAGGGGACGCCGTCCATCTCTGGCTCGATCGGTCACCGAGTCTCCTACAGCAGTGCCATTGCACTTCCGCCGTCCGCCAACTTCCCCAGGTCTGTCGCGCGCAGTCCCTGTTAGTGGATCTCCGACTGCTGCCACTGTCTCACCCGGCTCACCCACCCAGCCTCGCCACCGCCGCTTAAACTCCGTTGAGTTCAGAAACTCTCGCGAAATCCGTCCTCTGTGGCTGGTCGAACGCCATGGAGCAGCCAAGGGCGAGACCGCCGAAGCCGACGAGCCATTGCCATCGCTTCCATCCAGCAAGACATCCTCCCGCGCGCCGTCGATTGAAGACCTCCGAGCACTCAATGATGAAGACGCCATTCAAAGCTGGGATGCAGTTGACTTCAATCAATCCCTGTCCGAGAAGCGCCGACCGGCTGGTCTAACCATCTCAACTGAGCGAGCCAACGAAGAAGGCGAAGCCGACCTACTTGATTCCCAGCAAGTAACCCCGACAGCCGCGGGCTATGGTGCGGATGCAGCATCCGCCAAGAAGGAAAGGCTCAGCTACGAATTCCATTCTCCTTCCGAACTTCTTCAGGATCCCAGCGCATATCTGGACATGCCTCCTTCGCCTACCATGGAGGCTCTTCCTTCAGCCGAGGGGTCTGTAATTGGATTACAGGATTCCAGCGAAGATAATGGCCAGCAACAGACAAGAGACCTTGATCTGCAGCAGACCGAGTCTCAGAAGGAGGTCGGTACACCTACGCAAGAAAAGTCATTCTTTGACAATTTCGGGTCCGGATTCGCCGGTGTTGTCGGTGCGGCTGCTGCTGCTGCTGTCACAGGAGGCAAGAAGCCCGCTCAAACGGGTGACAAGGAACCCGCAAAGCCTGCTGCGGAGATTACTCCTACCACCACTGCTCAATTCGGAGGATTTGGCGATATTGTCGATGCCGCCGTTTTCAAAAAGGTTTCTCATGGCAAAGGCCCTGTCGATGAAGAGCTAGGAGAGCCTGGAACTGCCGTTGAAGAACAGCCCTCGCAGCTGGAATCTAGCAAGGAACTTGCTCCTGAGACAACGGGGCCAGCTAGTGAGCCTGCTCAGCCACAAACAGAGGAGCCGCTCGTCGAGGAAGTTGCCACTACATCTTCTTCTAAGAAGAAAAAGAAGAAGAAGGGGAAGAAGGGTCAAAATCAGAGTGTTGACGAGACTCCTTCTGAGCCTGCACCGCTTTCTGAAGAGCAGGGCCTTGCTGTGGAAGCAACTGAAGGCGAGGCACGTTCTATTGAGTCGGAAGCTGCCCATGCTACCGTGGAGCAAGATACAACTGTTCAGCCTGAGCCGGAAGCTGAACAGGCACTGGTTTCTAAGGAAGTTGAAGCCGAGACTTTGCCTGCTGAAGCTGCCGAAAGTACTGAAGCCATCACAACTTCTGAGCCTGAAGCTTCTGCTGCCCTTGCCGAGCTCGAGCCCGTGGAGCCAGTTACCATTCGCGAGAGCCAGCCCGAGCCAGCAACTTCTGAAAATGTTTCCACCGAGTTTGAGGCTCCTATGACTGCAGCTGAAAAGCGGAAGGCCAAGAAGGCGGCTAAGAAGAAGGCCAAGAGCATCTCTTCTGCAGACGAGATTGGCAGTGCAGCTCAGCCATCTTATCCTGCTGTTCCCTTCGAAGAGACCCAGGTCCAAGAAGAAAAGGGGATGCCACAGGATGTCAGTCTTCCTGAGGCTCCTAAGAGCGAACAAGGTGACTCCGAGTTCCACGACTCTCGCGAAACTGCAGAGACCGTGGAGCCAGCTCCTTCTGAATATGTGAGCAAGGAACTTGAAGAGGCAGCCTTGGAAGCACAAGATATTGACTTGCCTCAGTCTGCCCCTACGGAACCCGTTGAAGAACCTCAGACCGTGGAGCAGATCTTTGAGACATCGGAGGAAGTCACTCCTACTCCCGCATCCGATGACACTCCAGCGGAGAAGACTGGCGAGGCAGATGAGGACAACTTCCAGGAGGCCGTTGAGGAGCAGGCCGAACAAGCGAAAGAGCTTCCATCCGAAGCAGCTGGCGGCATCACCGAAACCACCATCCCAGTCGAGCCACAGCAGACTGAGCCAGTAGCATTAGCCGAACCCGAGCCTGAAGTTCCAATGACCGCTGCGCAAAAGAAGAAGGCCAAGAAAGACAAGAAGAAGAACCGCAAATCTGTCTCCTTCGACGAGGCAGAAACGTCAACTGAGCCAAATTCTGCTGCGGATCCTGAGCCAGAGGAGACCAAGGATCTTGAACCTGAGCAATCAACTTCCAGCGAGCCTGTTGATACTCAGGTTCCTTTGGCGGACGGTGAGACACAGTCTTCTGGTCCTGAATTAGTGGCCAAGGATGCATCCGAACTACCCACTGAAGAGGCTGTGACTGCTCAAGAACCAGAGTTTGTTCCTTCGGGTGATGTCGAGCCATCAACAACTATTGAGCCGGCTGAGCCCACTGAGCCCACTGAGCCCATTGAGCCCACTGAGGAAATGCCAGAGCCTCCTCTTGCTGAGCCCGAACGCGCGCCTGAGGCCGAGCCTGAATTCCCTATGACTGCGGCGCAGAAGAAGAAGGCTAAGAAAGACAAGAAGAAGAAGAAGGCCAACCAGAGTATCTCTTCTATCACTGACGACGAAAAGCCTGCCGAACCCGAGTCTGCGGACTCTCAGCCCGAGGCCGAGCCAGCACTTGAGGCCACTGCTGCTCCTGATGCCACTCCAGAAATTGCTTCGGCTGCCGACGGAATAGCAGCGGATGTGGCTTCTCTGAAAGAAACCAAGGAGCTTCCAGTTGATTCCGAGCAGCCGCAGGAGGAGCCAATTGCTAGCCCTACCGCAGATGCTAGCGAAGAAGCTCCCGTCCAAGATGCTGTTGCCGAGCCCTCGGAAGTGCAGCCTGAAGCGCCGCGAGAAATGCCCATGGAGGAGGTCCCCGCTGAGCCTGAATTCCCTATGACTGCAGCCGAAAAGCGGAAAGCCAAGAAGGCGGCTAAGAAGAAGCAGCAGCAGCAAGGAAGCCTGAGCTCTATTGCCGACGAGACGCCTGCCGCTGAGACTACCTCTGCTCCCGAGGCTGAAGTAATTGACACAACTAAGGATATTGAGGCTGCTCCCGAAGCCGAGATACCAGTTGTGGAAGAGGTTCCTGCTCCCGCAACTGAGACTGAAGCTGTTGAGCCCGCCAGTGACGTCCCCGCCCCGGCTGATGCTCCTCAGGAAGAAGAAGAAGAAGCGGAGGCCGAATCTTTTCAGACCGAACAGCCCAAGGAGGAGGATTCGACCCTAGCTGCTGCTGTCGAGACTGTTCCTGAAATTGTGGAGCCTGAACCCTCAAGGGAAGAACTGGAAGCTGCTTCTCCCACGCCAGATGCACCAATGACTGCCGCGGAGAAGAAGAAGACCAAGAAGGCCAAGAAGAAGCAGCAGAGGCAGTCCGTGGATTTCGAAGACCAGACTGTTTCCACCGAACAGCAGGATACAGAGAATACTGAGGATCCTCTTCCAGAGACCGAGGCCGCAGTTCCTGAACCTACAACAACAGAGGCAGAAAGCGATTCTAAGGCCGAAGCCAAGCCTGGCGACGTGGAAGGCCAGGCCGCTGCTGATGTTGAGAAGGATGCTACGGCGGAGCTGTCTACCGAGGATGCGCCAAATACCTCTGAACCATCGCCTGAGACTACTGCAGATGTCCAAACCGTGACTGAAGAAGCTGTAGCCGAGGCTGCACCCGTCGACACTCTTGCGGAAACTACCCAGGAGAAGAACAAGGATGTTTCTGCGGAGGGTCAACCCACATCGGACCAGTTACTTGGCGATAAGGCTGTTGAAAGTACTCCCGAACAGCCTACCGATGAACGGGCTATATCTGAAGAGGCTGCACCGGATACTACTGCAATTGAAGAGACAGCAACTCCCGTTTCCGCGGACGATGCACCTACAGAGGAGATTGAGGTTCCTATGACCGCTGCTCAGAAGAAGAAGGCTAAGAAAGACAAGAAGAAGCGCCAGTCTCTTGCTCTTGCTGAAGAGTCCCAGCTTGAACCCCAACCTGAGCCAGTCAAGGAAGAGCCTGTCGAGCCTGCCGAGTCTGCCGAGCCAGCTTCCGCCGAGGGTGCTTCTGCCGAAGCCGTTGAAACCACCCCTTCCACAGAAAACGTCGAAGCTTCTGTTTCCGTTGAGGAACCTGCTCCTGAAGAGGTCACCAAAGATGAACCCATGCTCGAAAACCAGGTCGCCGAGTCCGACGCGCCGGTTGAGCCTGAACCTGAGCAGGAGGTCCCAATGTCTGCGGCGCAGAAGAAGAAAGCCAAGAAAGAGAAGAAGAAGCGACAATCTATGGGTCTGGAGGAGTCACAACCTGAGCTGCAGCCCGAACCGACGAAGGAGGAAGAGGCCACAGGGCCTACGTCCGAGGAGCCTGCCTCTACCGAGAACGCTGAAGCTGCTGCTGTCGAAGAGCGAGTTCCGGATGAAATCACCAAAGACCAGCCAGCTCTTGATGAGTCTCCCCCTAAGGAGCCCCTCGCTGAAGAGCCCTTCGCTGAGGCAGAGGCCACAACCGAGCCTGAGACTGAGTTTGAAGTCCCGATGACTGCAGCCCAGAAGAAAAAGGCCAAGAAGGAGAAGAAGAAGCGCCAGTCTATGGGGCTTGAAGAGCCACAGCCTGAGCCAGTTATTGAAGAGCCCGCTGACGTTGCTCCTAGTGAGCCTGCTGAGACGCCTGCATCGACCGGAAACATTGAAGCTGTCGATGAGGCAGCTCCGGAGGCTACCAGAGATGTCGCGGCCCTTGATCAGCCCGTCTTTGAGTTCGAGACTCCAGCGGAGCCTGGCAGCCCAGCCGAAGCCGGGCCTGAAATCCCAATGACCGCTGCGCAAAAGAAAAAGGCCAAGAAAGACAAGAAGAAGCGCAAGTCTGTTGCCTTTGAGGATGAAGCTCAGCCTGAACAAGAAGCCTCTACTCGCGCCGAAAATGTCGAAAACCAGGACCAGCCAACTGTTGATGCTACTTCCAGCCAAGAATTGACGGAGACTCTCGTTGATACCGAGCAACCCGTCGAGTCATCTACAGAAAAAGATATTGCCGAGCACGAGACAAGAGTTGTGGACACGACCGAAAATGTCCCAGGCACCGAGGAGCCTGCTACCCCTGAAGCTCCAGTCAACGCGCCCGAGTTTGAGCCCGCAATTCAGCCCGACGAGAAGGCCGAGTCTCCCGAAGAGCCTTCTCAGACTGCCGAAGACGAAGAAACACTGGATTGGGCCTCATTGTCGGCCAAGGAGCGCCGCAAGCTCAAGAAAAAGGAGAATAAGAAGGGCAAGTCCGTAGACTTGAGTGAAGAAGTCTCTTCTCCTTCTACTGAGGCGCCCCAGGAAACGCAGGAGCCTGACAGCGAAGCTTCCACGCCAGAGAGAATCGATGTCTCCTCGCCGGCCGACAAGGATATTGCAAACGCTGAGGAAGACCAGTCCCCCAAGACTATTGACGCCGAGGTCTCCGAAGAAAAGAATGTGGGAGCGGAGAGCGATCCCGCCGAGACAGCCGAACCTGAGATGACCACCAAGCCCAAGGATGACGAAACGCCCGCCGCAGAGACCGCAGCTGAGCTCGAGCCTGCCCCATCAAAGGAATCAGAGGAACCTGAATCTGAGGCTGGCCTATCGGCTAAAGAGCGCCGCAAGCTGAAGAAAAAGGAGAAGAAGCGCCAATCAAGGAACCTCGATGTTGACGACAATCCTCCCGAAACCGAATCGGCACAAGACTCGCCTGTGCCCGAGACTGCCCCCATCGAATCTTCGCCTGCCGCCGATGAAATCGAGAAATCATCCTTAGACAAATCGGATACATGGGAAATCACTGAACCCGTGACGGCACCCTCGCCTGCGGAGAATGACGGTAAAGAACATCAGTCCCACGACATTGAAACGCCCAACACACCGGCTCAAGATTTGGCTTCGACTGATGAGTTCTTATCTTCGCAGGTAGAGCAGCCGCAGTTAGAGAGTCCTTCTTCAGATTATCCTCCCCAACCCGTGCTTGAGCGTTCAATTGATTTTGGCGATGCGCAGAAAGAGAAGGATGCTGTTGGTCCTATCCGGGAGGAGGAGGTCTCGATCGTCAAGGAGACGCCAACTGGTGATATTGAAGGTGACTTGGAACACCCGGGGGTAAGTGCCTCGAAGGATGCGACTGTGGAGGATACGAAAGTGGGTGACCTTGGAATTATGAGTGTGGAGGAGTCGTCATTACCGAATGAAGAGGAGGATATTCAGAAGGAGCCCCAACATGAGGCACCTGGGTCATCTACTGAGGCTGAAGTGGATGCCCCTGCATCTACTGAGCAAGAGCCATCTACAGAAGAAGCTTCCGAGACAATTGTGTCTCAGAAACAAAGGAAGAAGGACAAAAAGAAGAAGCAGAAGCTGCAGGAGGAAGAGGAGGTGAAGATTGAGGAAGATGTCCCGGTTCCGGAGGAAGCGCCAGCAACTACAGAAACGGAGCAGCCAGAATACGATCTTCCCATCCCTGAGGAAACAGAGACCAAGGAGCTTCCCGAGCCTGAGGTTGCGCCAACTGAAGAACTTGAGACCGCTCCGCTTACCGAGGAGTCTCCGGCAAAACAAGCTGAAGATGTCGCGTCTCCTACGCCTCAGCCTTCCGAATGGGCCGAATCCTCCAAGAACGTCAACCCCATTGAGGATGAGCCTGCTACTGAAGAACAACTCGAAGAGGCGCCACTCTCAAGAAAGCTGAGCAAAAAGGAGAAGAAGAAGCATCGCCAAGCTCTTCTTGCCCAGGAAAATGTGGAAGAAGCTGCCGAGGACCAGCCTGCTCCTGAACCTACCAAGGCTTCTGACCCTGTTTCTGAACTGGCAGAAGAGGCGGCAGCACCTGCGGATGATCAAAAAGATGACAAGTCTTCTGATGTATTCGACAAAACCACAGTGCGGGCCCCTGATGCTGTTGAGGATGCTTCGAAGGATGTGGTTCCAACTGCCAGTCAAGAGGTTGAGCAAGCAGAGCCTGCTCTAGAACGTGCGACCGAAGAGACGGGACAAGCTCCGGTTTATACTGAAGAGACCCCCACCGAAACTTCAGTGGAGCCTCAAGAGTGGCCTACCGTCACGAGAAAGATGAGCAAGAAAGAAAAGAAAAAGGCCGCCGCCGTGGCTGCCGCTGCCACTGCCGCGGCTGCTGCTGCTGCAATTGAGGAAGAGAAGCCTGTAGAGCTGGAGCCAAACCTGGATAAGCCACCGGTCTCTGAACAAGTTCCCGAGACTTCAAAGGATGAGGGTTTGGCCGAGGATTCTCTGCAAACTGGCCCCGATCCGAGCGCGGAGGTCATTGGGAAGCCCACCGAGATAGCTGAGCCACAGACTGACATTCTTGGGCAAGGATTGACTTCGAATGATGTGGTAGAAGAATCTGCTCCAGTCGAGCCTATCTCTCGCAAGCTGTCCAAGAAGGAGAAGAGAAAGGCCAAGAAGCAAGGGAAGGAGGAACCTGCGGATTCGGCTGCCGAGACTGAACAATCAGAGGCTGTACCTTCCACCGAGTTGACTGATACAGAAGAGTCAAGAGAAGTTGTGCCAGAGCCAGAATTTGCCACGCAGGATGCGCTGGTGGATGCCCATCGCGAACTTGGGTCAGAAAGCATCGAAGAACCATCTGCTCTCAAGCCTGAACAATCCACTCATGAAACAGAGGTACCGCGGCCAGAGGAAACCAATGATGAAGCTGTTGTCTCTCTGGACCCATTCGATGCGCTTTCACCCACCGAGCTGCCAGATCAAGGTACTGAAGGAACTTTAGGTGGTAATCCCTCCTCCGAAAGGGGACAAGAACAAGAGCAGGAGATCGAAGCCAAGCTCTGGCGCCAGGCACTTGAAAAGGAAGCTGACCTCGAGGCTGCCGGCGATTTGTTTGAAGACCGACCTCGAGAACCCGAGAAGAATGCGCCTCTTTCCAAGAAATTGTCAAAAAAGGAAAAGCGTAAGGCGAAGAGGGGCATCGTGGAGGCTCCCCTGGATCAAGAAGAGGAGCCTGCTCGGGAGCCCATTTCCGAGGAACCTAAGAACGTGAAGTTGCCACCGCCAGCTCTTGAGCCGGAGGTCGAGCCCGAGACAATTGCAGAGCCAAAGGCTCCCGTGGAGGCGCAGCCTGAGCCTGAGCTGGAACTTTCCAAGGATATCGACCTCACTTCAACTGAGCCTCAGTCTGTCGCCGAACAAATTACAGAACCCGAGGTAACTGCTCCCGGGTCAGTTTTGGAGGAGCTGGAGACGCCGCTGTCGCGAAAGGCTTCGAAAAAGAATGCCAAGAGAGCGAAGAAGGCTGCTGCACTTGCTCTAGACGAGGAGCCAACCGCCGAAATTGCTACCGGCGACCAAGGGGCTGTTCTACTTGAGCCGGAAGAGCCTGTCAAAGCTCTACAGGCCGATCTCCCTCAACCGACTATGCGGGAGCTCAATCAAGATGAAGATGAGTGGCCTTCGATTGAATGGGAGCAAAGCAAATTGGAAAAGGCAGAGCCTGTGCAAGAGCAATTCCCCGAAGCTGAGCCAATTACTTCTGTGCCCGACGCAGAAACCATCGGGGAATTTGATGAGTTTGCAATTCCTGCGGCTTTGCAAGAAGCCAAGAAAGAAGCAGAGGAGCCATTTGAGGAAGAATCTTGGTCTATGCCACTGAGCAAGAAAGACAAGAAAAATGCCAAGAAGAACAAGAGAAAGGCAGAGCAGGCCACTCTGGTAGAGGAATCTACCGAGGAACGCCCCCACAAGATGATTGAATTGGCCTCTGATGCCAAGCCAGAGCCAATGGTGGAAGCGCCAGCCTCTAAGGAGATCGAGACCGAGCCACCTTCCAGAAGTACCACTCCAGGGGGCTCCAAGATTGCAACCCTCTTTCCTGGCTTGGAAAGAGGAGGTTTCCGGCGAACGGCCATGAAAAAGGATGCCCCGTCGGTAAAAGATAGTGCTGAGGAAGAGACTGCAGCGGACCTGGAAGCGAATCGCGACATCGCGATCCCCGCCGTCTTGGAAGCACTACCCCTAGCGACCACCGAAGCCAGAGCAATCGCACATACCAGCTTTGAGCTGCCTACGGCGAAGGAAGCTGCTTCTACGACTACACGACAAGAATCTACTGCGGAGCCAGAGCTTCCGGTGTATGGAAAGCGCTCTGTCGCAGATGAATTTCCTTCACCGGAGCATCCTGCTTCGAAGGAGCGATCCTCTATGCTCTTCGGCTCGTCCCCGTCTACTCGGACTGAAGAGGCGTCTTCACCCCGGCACCTCCTGCCCTCGCAAATGGAGGACGCCCATGATTCTCCCAGTGGACTACGCCGGTCACCATCTGTGATTCACGGGAAACATCAACATACTCCCCGGACGTGGAATTTGGAAGATCAATCCATGCAAGCCGTGAGCAATCCATCTCCGCCGCGGTCTCTCTTCGGGCCATTCGAGCACGATTCACTTTCTCGGCCCCGGACTCCACTCGACACGATTGCGGAGCAAGAACCGGGGGACGGCCAGAAGACGACCACGGCTCGATCCGGGACGCCCCGTCTGGAAATCAAACCAGAGCACGTCCTGCCTCGACCGGTGACGCCAGTACGCAAGTTCACGGACAATGCACTGGAGCGCAAGGCGTGGCCCACGCCCGAAAATGCAAGTGGCAGCGGCAGCAGCCAGGACAATCTGTCGAAAATTTCAAAATCGCCTTTGCAAACTCCCGAACTGGGAGCGCCAGTGCTGAAACCCAGCAGCAGTAAGGGAAAGCTCCGTCGCACGAATCGGAGCACTAGCAGCGATCTGCGGGCGACCAGTCGCGGACTAGACTCTCCCCAGCCACCCTCCGATCTCGATCAGCTTCCCTCTTCTTCCTCTTACGATCCCGTCACCGACAAGGGCAAACGTCCTGTGCGAAACATGTCGGACGTCTATGTAAGTTAATTATGATCCTATCTGGTTTTCCTCATTTTTGTTTGTTTACTGACTTTTCCCAGGAGGGTTGGGGGGAAACACCCAGCTCCCCGCGGTCGCCCAGCCGACCGCCTAGTGTCCGCCGCCGCCGCAGCATGCAACACCTTCAAGACCTCGAAGGTCGACTTGATCAACTCATCTCTGAGAACCGCTTACTCATCGCCGCTCGCGATGAAGCTGAAGATCGATTGCGCAATGCCAGCGTCGGTCGCCGAAAGAGCGATCGAGCTCTGAAGAGCAGTGGCGCCGACCTGCGCGACAGGGAAGCCGAGGTGGAACAACTCAAGAATTCAGTGGAATGGTTCCAGAAGGAGATGGGCCGTCTGACCCAGGAGAATGAGGGGTTGGCGGCGTCCAATGCTGCCCTCGCTGCCGCCCATGCCGCCGAGGTCAGCCGGGTTCGCGAGACCTCCACGCGCGAACTAGACACCCTACGGTCGCAACATGACGACCTGTCATCAAACATGGACGATCGGGTCCGACAACAGATTGAAGCGGCTTTGGCCCAAAAGGATGCCGAATTGCGCCGTCTTCGTGAAGAGCTCGAGGAGGCTCGCGATAAGGTGAAGGAGCTACAACAACAGATCGCCGCGTCATTAACCGACAATGCCCTTGTCTTCCGCGACGAGGATTACTTCGACGCCGCGTGCCAGAAGCTCTGTGGCCATGTTCAACAATGGGTGCTACGTTTCTCCAAGCACTCCGACCACCGTCGCTGCCGGGCTCTGAGTGAGCTGCAGGACGAGAAGATCGCCGATCGCTTCGACAATGCCCTCCTTGACGGCTCCGATGCCGATGCATACCTCGCCGACCGCGTTTGCCGACGTGACGTATTCATGTCGGTTGTCATGACCATGGTCTGGGAGTACATCTTTACCCGATACCTGTTCGGCATGGATCGCGAACAGCGCCAGAAACTCAAGTCACTGGAAAAGCAATTGGCGGAGGTTGGCCCTCGTCGCGCAGTGCATCGCTGGCGCGCCACCACCTTAACCCTGCTGTCCAATCGGCCTGCCTTTGCCTCTCAGCGTGATAGTGATACCGAAGCAGTGGCTCTAGAGATCTTTGGCACCCTATCGCGGGTCCTCCCTCCTCCTTCCCAGAAGGAATCGCAACTACTCGACTCTTTGCGCAAGGTACTTCGTCTTGCCGTCAAACTGTCTTTGGAGATGCGCACTCAGCTGGCAGAGTTCATCATGCTGCCGCCTCTGCAGCCTGAATACGACACCAATGGCGACCTGGCGCGCCAGGTATACTTCAACGCCTCTCTTATGAACGAGCGCAGCGGCGAGACCAGCTCCAACGACGAGTTGGAATCTCAACAGGCCGTCGTGCGCATCGTCCTCTTCCCTCTCGTTGTCAAGAAGGGCAACGATGTCGGCGAGGGTGACGAGGAAGTCGTCGTCTGCCCTGCCCAGGTACTCGTTGCCCGCCCCAGCAAAGACAAGCGACTCTCGCGGATGATGAGCGGCGACCGCATGTCGATTGATGGCGCCCGCTCCGTCCACAGCGTGGCACCTTCTATTGCCCCGTCCACGATGGACATGAGCAATGTGATTTGAGGCGTCACACTCAGATCCGGATTGCTCCCATCGCGGGCTACCTTTTCTTCTGTTTCCTTATCGGAATTGGCAATTTGGCGTCCTCACGGTTATGAATTCCTCGGTCACTGAAACTGGATAATTTGGAGTTATTTGTTCCCTTTTTCGTGTTTTTATTTCCTTTTTTTTGCTGCAAAATAACGGCCGCTGCATGTATTTATTATCTTTGATGCCTGATGAGTGATGACTTGTACTTCTCGCACGGCAATGTAATAGAATCGAATTGTTCTACATATTCTACCTCTAGATGGCAGTAGAACTAATAACTGGAGAGCAAGCTCATTAAATACTCAGAGAACAATGATACGAGATCGACTGAGCTGTAACCTCGGAAGGTACCGACACTATCGTATGTAGGTTGACTCGGAATGCTGATAACCCAAACTAACCATGTCGAATACTTTCAAGGTATACCAGCTAGCTATTAATAGAACATTTGAATGAACATCAACCGCGTCCTAGATAAGACTCTCTCCTTGTAAGCCTGGGAGAGCTCCCATATGAGACTGTCATCTCGGCGAGAAACGCTGACCTCATCGTCCGCGTTAGGCAATCGAGCTTTGGCAACCCGTGGGACCAACGTCAACTTCGGGAACCGCGGCACTCAGCTTTCTCGAGTCTCGAGACCCTGCTCACTTGTTCCCTTCCATTTTTCCCGCCGCTCCTATACATTCCATCCTGCACCAAACGTGGTCGTATATGCGGTCTGCGTATCGAGCTTCCCATTCGCTCTGCCCACTTAACCGCCTTGCCTGATGTTCCACCTTGGCTCGCCACCCGCGTCATTCCTGGCGAGCAGCTTCAGCTCCAGCTCCAGCTCCAGTTCGATCCCATTTATGCCCGAACGCTGATCACCTGTCGAACATGCCGAGAACCCTCTCGCCGTGACCAACAGCGCCATCACAACACGCACAGCACAGACGTTGCAGCTCTTTGTTCCCGGACGGGAAAAATCGCCGAATCAATTGATGGGGCACGTCCCCTCGTCGACAGATTCTGCACAAACACCATTCTCAGCGCTGTGGGCGCACAGGGCATACATATCGTCGTGCGATCGATCTGGGTACAGTACACATAGTCCGCTGCTATGGATCCTCCCCTGACCCCGACGCCCGCCCTCGGCGGCTCTCTATCGCAGGGCATGTCGCCCTCGTCCTCGAGTCCGAGAACGCGCCCCCAACGCAGCGATTACCCACTTTCCACTGATAGCAGGACTGGGAACGGTCCAATGGGCGGTCGAGACCATGGCCCGGCCACAACATCTGAGACCCGCTTAGAGTTCCCCACGACTGATGGCGGTGGTAAGTCCTCCAAGGCTTCAAAACGCAAGAAGAATCGCAACCGCAAACGTCGCAATCGCCAGGAATCGTTCCTCACGCCTAATCGAGAGGAATCTCATGATCACTCTGGAGCCACAACTGGGAGCGGCGGGGCCAGAGATTCGATGGAGGGGGAGCCGCCCACAGCAAAAGACCGTCCGTCATTTTTCAAATTCGGCAGTAATTTGAGTAATACTAGCATCGAGAGCGATGCCTTGCTGGACCATCGGTATGTTTTCTTTGATACACTTCAAAGCAATTGCAATATAGAACACTACTCTAACAATTGGGGTGCAAACAGTGCGCAGCCCATGATGCGACCTCGACGAGAGAGCCGCACTGCTACAACATACCGTCCTTCTCTACTCGCCGGTGCCTTCCGGTCTTTTGAATCTCGATCTCGCAATACTCCAGGAGGAAGTCGAGTGCAACACCACGATGGGGATAGTGATGATGACGAGGCGAATGATCGGACACCATTGATGCGCCCTCCTTCCGGGCATGCCTCCGGTCTCGGTCGCTATGGGACTGATTCTCGACCGAGCCCGTTCTCCCGTCAACGACGAGCGTCCGTTCAGACAACCTCATCGCAATGCTCGCCACGGGGTCACCATAGCCCAGCCTACACTCCCGACGTAGAGCGCGACTATGATGTGAACAACCCGCCGTCGATTCCAAGCTCACCGAAGCTGGGTCCGGAGATGAACTATGACGATGCTGTGGTTACGGGTGCTGATTTTGACTTCCCGTTGGGGCGATCCATGGACACCCGTCGAGAGTCGACGGGCCGCATAAATGATGCCGTGATCGACATGGAAGGTGGAACAGCACGACATTCAACACCTTCTTCCGTTCATTCCGGGCATGTTTCTCCTGCGGAGCTGCGGCGGCGCCGAACCGTGGCCTTGCCAGTGCAAGAGGATGTTTGCTTCCCCACCGAGATCTCCGAGATAGGAGACGAAGGCCCAAGGATGCCGATGAATGGTGAACGGCGGAGACGTAGCAAGCGTCAATGGCCGGATCTATCGGTTCTTGAAGAATGGAGTCGGGAGGAGAAAGAGGAACGCAGTGGAGATCTCCGTGTCAAAAAGATCAGCGAACCTATGCTCATCGAGGGCCGCCTTCGTCCTCAGTATAAAATGTGGCGACGCGAAGAGGACGACGCGCCCTATCGATTCACGTATTTCAACGAAGAGTTCCAGAGTACCATTCACGCTCAATCCATATCCGAGTTGGTTCAGCCAGGTGGTAGCTTCAAAGAGCTCTTCATCCCCGACCCGCCCGAACTGGAGGATTCATCTGATGATGATGACTTTGAAGGTGATTATGCGGAGCACAGTGGTGCCAATCACTGGGGTCCTCGCACCGGCACCCGCGTCTCGCCTTCGCATAACGATTTACAATCTTCAAATGTCACCAGTGGCACCGCAACTCCCGCCCCGGATCAATCACGCAACGGAGATAATGGAAACCGGGGTCCTCCGCGCTTGTCTGTGCTGAGCGATGAAGGTCCAGGATCGAACCGAGAAGCCTCGCCATCACACTCCAACATTCCTCCAAAGCCCAAACGATACGGCCCTCGTCCAACCTTTTGGCTGGACGTGCTCTCCCCAACCGATGCCGAGATGCGTGTGATTTCCAAGGCATTCGGTATCCACGCTCTCACAGCAGAAGATATCATGATGCAAGAAGCGCGAGAAAAGGTGGAGCTCTTCCGCAGCTACTACTTTGTCAACTATCGTACCTTCGAGCAGGATACAAACAGCGAGAACTATCTCGAGCCTGTGAATATGTACGTGGTTGTATTCCGTGAAGGCGTGCTGTCCTTCCACTTTTCGCAGACACCGCACCCAGCCAATGTGCGACGGCGAATCCGCCAGCTCATGGACTATCTGATTCTGAGTTCGGACTGGATTTCCTACGCTCTTATTGATGACATCACTGACGTCTTCGGCCCCCTCATTCAAAACATCGAGGATGAGGTCGACGAGATCGATGAGAAGATCATGCAGATGCACTCTTCGAGCAAGGAAGCCTCCTCTGGCGACAATTTAACCGTCTCATTTGCACCAGGTGAAATGCTGCGGCGCACTGGTGAATGCCGCAAGACGGTCATGGGGCTGTATCGGCTGCTGAGCAACAAGGCCGACGTGGTCAAGGGGTTTGCCAAGCGCTGCAATGAGCAGTGGGAGGTGGCACCCAAGTCAGAGATTGGTCTGTATCTGGGTGATATTCAGGATCACATTATGACTATGACTGGAAACTTGACGCATTATGAAACGTATGTTGCCCATCTTGTTTTTTTTTGAGTTTCACCGGGATCTGGAGATTGGCTGACTGTTTTTGTTCAGGATCTTGTCTCGTGCACACTCCAACTATCTGGCGCAGATCAACATTCTCATGAACGAGCGCCAAGAGCAAACAGCTGATGTCTTGGGCAAGCTGACTGTGCTAGGTACCATTGTACTCCCCATGAATATTATCTGTGGTATGTGGGGGATGAACGTGAAGGTGCCGGGTCAAGATATTGATAGCCTATCTTGGTTTTGGTCGAGTATGTTGCCCCCATCAGAGCTTATAGATATGATCAGGTTCTAATTTTCTCTAGTCACGGGTGGCTTGCTTCTCTTCGGCCTTGCCTCGTTCTTGATTGCCAAAAGGGTCTACAATATCGTCTAACGGGTTTCGAAACCTGTGTCTGATATTCCACCAATCACGCTTAATACCCCTGACTTTTGCTGTTCTTTTTATCCTAATTATCTTTTGTACATGATTTTGATCTCTCTACCTTGATACACGTGGTAGTTCAGACGAGCATTTCGACGGCGTTAGATCCTGGAGTGGCGAACATGATGGTCATGGCATACGGGACCTTTGGTTTTTCCTTGTTTTTCTCTATTCCCTGACTTCCGGGGGTGGCTCTCGTGCTCGGATTGTATATTTCCAAGGACTTTTGAAGTATGTACAATGTACTGTGTATATTACGTGTGTTTTGCAAGGAATCGGGCGAACCGGAAAACGGAAACGATGAGGTCACTATTGCCGGTATTGCCGATACCGCTGTATTGATCCTATTCCTGCTTGTAGACCTTGTTTTATTACCCACCTGCGTCATCACTTCGTCCGGTAGGTTTTCCCCGGGTTGTCACAATCTTAACCTCATGTTGAAACAATACACACGATTTCCCGACTTTCCCATCTTCTCTCTTCTTCCTCAACTGTCCCTCCTTCCGGCATCAACATTCCTCCTACACCTGGCCTTTCTTCATTCCAGACTTGCACCGGCAGTCTAGACCGTTGTCCGCGTGCCTCCCCTGCAGTGCCAGGCCCCTTCGACCCTGACGTGGGCCACGATCATTGGCTCTCCCGGTCCGGCCCTGGCCACCTTTGCACCGAGGCTTGGTCACCGACTCTGCAGCGGATCAACGCTAGAACACAAGAACTGCGGTGGCGTCCGTTTCATGAAAAACAAGTCAGCGCCAGTCAACAACGTTGAGCCGGATCGGCGCCCCCCATCGCGCTTTTCCGCCAACCACCGTCCACCCGGCTGGTTCTAGACGTTCTTGTTTTTTGCGTGCTTCCCCAGCAAACAAAGCTGTGAGATCGGGTATCTTTGATCGTCTCCTAGATTCACACCCTTTCTTCCTCCCTCCACGATCTTCGATCTTCTGTTTCCTACCCAACCCCTGCAACCTGCATCCTGCTGCAGCCCATACCTTCTCTCGTTCAACATAACCCCGGTTATCCGTCTTTAAGCATGTGGACATCGGCTATTCGCTTCCCTGCACCGTCACCCGCGTAACGACCCGTATTCTGCGCAACGTCTCAACCTGACAACACATTTCTTCACCGTCGAAGCCACTCCCTGTTTGTGGTCGCACCTTGCTTTTTCGATTCCCTTTTCGGGTCTTGATTCCTGCCCAACTGTCCGCCTTCCTCTCGGCTCTCCTGACTAGTCTGCATCCCGTCAGTGCAATCTGACTCGATAGTGGCCATGGCTGCGGAGTCCGAGAGGCCGCCTTACCTGAATGGCGCTTCTGCGCGATCCAGAGGGGCCAAGAATGCGGAGGCGGCTTCGAATACTGTGCATCGGGCGGCCAGCGAGGGTGACGGCGTGGAGACGCTGCGCCCGACCGTTAAATCTCACAGCTTTGCCATGGGCCAGGTTCCAAAGCTCGTCATAAATTCTTCCACCACTGATTCCGCCGTCTCCTCCCGTGAATCCTCCCCAGTCCGAATCACTTCACGGACCGCCAATCCCTCCTCCTCCTCCGCCAGCCGAGGGCCTTCTCGATCCCGAAAAAGCAGTCAGGAAGGATCGTCTTCCATCGATCAGCCCGCAACGATCCCTTTACCCTCTTCCGCATCGCCTACTCCCCGTACGCCGACACCTACCACTGACGCGCTTACAATTATATCAGCACCTCCCGCTTCTCAGCCACCAGTCAATGTCCTCAGCCCGGAAAAGGCCAACATGCCGTCATGGGCGGGGAATCGTCGTACGGATCAGGAGTCTACACCATCGAATACCTCCCATAAACGAACCCAGCTGCCGTCGGAAGACGATGGAAAGGCGGACAGAAACTCACCACGCACGGTTACGAGGGGTGTCAATGGGCAAGGACCTTCCCTGGAGACAGTTCAGGAGATGACCAGTAATCCTTCTACTCCGTCGACTGAGACTGCTCCTAAGCCGGCCACCCCGGACGACTCACGGTTACACACGATTGATGAGGACCCGACCCCCCGAGCCTCAAAACACAATACAGAAAGTGGGAGCGACAGCGGTGGTAACCGGAGCTCCAAGGAAGACAAACCTAATGCCACTGGGGGAGGCAAGACTTCTGGGACGATCATGCCAAAGCGGTCGATGACCTCATTGAGCGGTGCCCGTGGAAAACCTAGTGAAGGCTCGGTGCGCAACATGATTGTGGAGACCGAGACTGTCAGCTCAATACCTCAAGTCTCCTTGGGAGTTGGCTCTGGTGAACGAGGCAACGGCGGCCGTGCCGATCAAGGCACTCTGCGCATGAAGCCTTCAACTGAGACAATTCGGCCTCGCAAAGAGAAGAAGAAACACCGCCGTCCCAATACTCTCAATCCGGGACCTGCAACGAGCAAGGCGGATATCTTCGAGGCCAAGGTTGCAAATGCTGTGGATGAGGCTGATGTCTCCGATTCCGATGAGACATTTGTCTATGAATCTAATCCACCCGATCCATATCCTCCACGGCAACCCCGATACCATTCTCGAACTCCCAGCGCTACCTCCATGGCGAGCCAAGTGGACCAGCTGGCTGGTCGTGCCCGTGGACTACGGGATGGTGCTCACAGCGTCACCGGCAAGCGCAGCATGAAGTTTACGAACAGCGGATATACTCCCAGCATGGATGGCGAGTCTGGAGATGCAGACGGAACCCGACATGCTGCCAAAAACTCCGGTAGTGGGACGGTCACCCCACGCCACCAGCACATTGGGCGCCACGGACGCGGCGGTATACTACACGCTGGGCTTTTCGATAGCGAGCAGCCTTTCCCACCGCAAACCCAGATGAAGTCACCCCGCCATTTTCTTGGACATGTCAATCGGCATTCGCGAAATGGCAATACCCGCTCGTCGCCCAACTATAAAAACATCAACGATAATAAGGCGGGTGAGGTGTATGATTTCGATGCGGAAGGAGCTGATGATGAACGTACGCCGCTGGTGGGTGCACGGAATTCGAATCGTCGCCCAGGTCGGCGCCCGAATAGTGCTAGCTTGCGGCAGTTAGAATATATGGAGCGGCAACGCGGGTTCTTGTCTCGCTATGGGTCATGCGCCGTTGTTCTCCTGCTTTTGCTCATTATAGCTGGCGGTGCCATCTCGTTCGTTATGGCCGCGACGAAGACCCTTTTGGACGTTCAAGTCGTTGCCATTCAAAACGTGCTCGCATCTGAGCAGGAAATCATGCTGGATCTCAACGTGCAAGCTGTCAATCCCAATATATTCCCCGTGACGATTGACGACACCGATATCAACATTTTCGCCAAGAGTCGGTACGTCGGTACGGATAAATTTTGGCGAGACCACGGGTCGGATGAACTTGATCGCTTCCCACGTGTCGAGCAAAGCCGACGCCGTTGGGAGTTATCACAAATTGTCCGGTGCTTGGGCAACATGGACTGCGTGCAATCCGCCATGTCTGGCGTCTCTTCGTCGAAGCACACCAAGGACAAGGACGGCGTCGATCACGGTACTGATCCTATCAACGACCCTGAAGGCGATGCGCGATCCATGCTGCTCGGCAGAGTATTCCGCTTTGACTCGCCGCTTTCCTTCGAATCGTCTGCGTGGTCACAGGTGGCCTCAACTTCAATGGGACAGATCCGGCTTGCCCGTCCCGGGAACAAAACCGAGGAAGGCGGCACAGAGCGCTGGGAACAGGTTCTCGAGCATCCATTCGAGCTGATCGTCCGCGGTGTTGTCAAGTACCAGCTACCGCTTAGCTCCCACTTCTACTCCGCCTCCGTCAGCTCCAGCGTCAAAATCGTGCCCGACGACGATATCCAAAATCCCAACAATCTCGAAACCACACCACCAAACAACGAAACCGCCCGCATCTCCTTCACTAGGAGAATCACTCCCATCGTCCGTCTCACGGACACCGATGCCCACCCCGAGCATCGATCGGGACTCTCTCAACGACAATTCACGGCCTGAAAACTTTTTGCAATATAACTTAGCGATAGACTCATGTCCATTACGACTTCACCTTTTCCTTCTCTCTGTAACGAGACGGAAAAAAAAAGCAAACCAACCCTGCTGGGCTTCTGCTTACCCCGTCTCCTTGCTTACTCACGCTGTATACCCAGTTACAACTCTTTTCTCTTTTCCCTCTGTCATGGCTCTTGCGTGACCGAGTCCGAGTCCGAGGCATAAGGTGCAGCTTTTATTTTTTCTTTTGGTTTCAATTTCTCTGTACATTGGTTCCATATCGCAGATGTGGACTTGACCATGTTTTTATCATGATCTGAGCTGAGCCGGATGGTCTTTTTGTTGCCGTCCGCTCGTCCTGGCATCCTGCCGACTTTTCCTTGCCTCGTGAGTATGTATATATATATTATCTTACACGTCTGAAGATGTAATGGAAGGCTTATGGCTAGGGTAATATGCCCGGCTTTGATCTATTGGGATTCCATAATGTTCTTCCAAGGTTGTTGCTGTTTCAGCAGCATAGACAAAACAATTGAAACGTAGACCTTGAATGCTAGTAACTGCCCAGGTGTTTGTTTCCAATATTGTAAAGGATCTATTCGGGTTCACCAACATCAACACAATTGTCAGTCTTTAGGTGAAGCTAGCCCCTTCTCAATCCTTCTCTGAACCACCCACGTCCCCAATTCAGCCCACACGGCTTCCTTCTGCGCCATAGTCATCCCAGCAGCCAACCCACTCGTCGTGGTGGCAACAAAAACCCGGGCGCCGCTCCAGTCCGAATCAGGTATGCGGCCCATATTCTCTGTTTGATCCTGCCACCCATACCGGAACTCTTGCTTGCGAATCGCGCGTCCATGCCGCACCCTCCATACAGCTTCCCAGATACCCTTGCCAACCAGGCACACTACCTCGGGCCGCTGCGCCGCCACCTTGGCTTCTAGCGCGAGGACACCGGCGTCAAGCTCAGCTTGAGTGAGCATGCTCGCGTCGCGGGTGGGCCGTTCTACGAGGTTCGTATTCCCCACGTTGTACAGCTCTGGAAGCTTATAGGTGTCCGAGGGCGGATGACGGATTTTCGTGATCCCGGACGAGTACAGGAGCTTCCAAAAGCGGTTGGAGGGGTGCGCGTAGGCATACCCCGTTGTTCCAGTTAGGATTCCCGGGTTCACACCCACAAGGAGAAGAATCAGATTTGCTGGAATCGTGTCGCGGAGGAGAGACTTGGGGGCAGAGGGTAAATGGGTAGGTATTGCTCGTTTTCGTCGGGGCGGCGCCGGTTTCGGTGACGCCGTCATGTTTGTTATTTGGGGTGAAGATGAGGATGAGCGCGAGCGGGTTATACGAGGCGATAATCGTGCTGCTTGACTGGCCTTGGAGGATGTAGTGGTGGTTATCTCTCTCCTCTGTCGCTTGCGTCTTGCAGGAACGCTTTGGGACTTGACGTCGCCTTTTGCATTGTTAACGTTGCTGGCAGCTAGATCTTGTTTCAGGTCATCTGAAACGGATATTGTCGCTGGGCTGATCATCTGGCCAGATGAGGGAACGGCGGAGCTATTATGGGGATATTGGTTCAGGTTGCTGTTCATGCTGATGGTACCATTGACCGGCACATTCTCTGCTTCCGTATCAGGCATAATGTTGTTCTCTTCCGTGAGACATTAATGGGGAAGTCGGATGAGGGCATCTCGGCCCTCTCGCTGCGAATGTGGTGGTTGTGTCATCGGCCAGCTCTATGCTTCTAGAACTATCACAAGGGAAGTTAAGGGGCTCTCCGGTCAATTCTCGGGTATAAAAGGTAGGGATTGTCTTGATTCTATGGCGCCGAGACCTGGATGCGGGTGATGATCGGCGTCATTGTGAAGTCAAAGGTACGAGCTGATGAAAGGGGCAGCCAAACTCAGGTTTTCGAGTACCTATGGTTATGATTTAGAATAGCAAGTTTGGGTAAACATCAAACTCGAATAACCGACCTGACCAGCGTGGGATATACATTAAGAGCTTGTAGTGATTTCCATTTTGAAGAGAACGGCATCGTCTAGCTTTCGAGGTCGGGAGGATCCTGCATCCCACCTTTGACGTCACCCCGACCCCGGGAGATAAGGCGTGGATATCGATTGCACAATCTGTCTCTGATGATCCATAAAAACGTCACTCCGTTAATCCTTGCTGCACCTAGGCATAACTTAGGCAGAAGCTAAGTTTGTTTCTCAAATATTCTTATTGCGTTCTTCCGCCTGTAAATATTTCCTTTACACTCTTCGGCTCTACGTACCTAGAAGCCTCCCAACGTGACCATGGCTCAGTCATTGTTCACTCTGTTCATTACGAACCCATTGCTCTATCTTTTCTCGATATTCTATGTCATCTCTCAAAACTTCGTCGCCTGGATCTTTGGACCCTCAAGGTCCGCGTCTAATGCTTTCCACAAGGGCCTGCCGAAGAGGAGAATCGCGATCATCGGTGCCGGCTTGACGGGTATCTCATCAGCGGCACATTGTATTGGCCATGGCTTCGACGTGCAAATCTTCGAGGCACGCGGGAAAGGGAATGGATTGGGCGGCATTTGGAGTGTAAGTTAAGAAGACCGCCATATTTGTCAATCGGTCGCTCATGATCAACAGCGCGTCAACTCTACATCCGCATTGCAAATCAACAGCATCATGTATCGGTTCCACCCAACCGTGCAATTCAAACACGCATATCCCACCCAACACGAAATTCGCGACCAGATCGTCGACCTGTGGAAACGATACGGTTTAGAGGAGCGCACTGAATTCGGAACACCGGTAACGTCCATTAAAAAGGCAAAGTCGTCTGGCAAGTGGGTTATCAACGGCCACCCAGAGAAATACGGGAGCTTTGACGGCGTTATCACAGCCGTTGGGGTTTGTGGAGATCCTAAAATGCCACCTTTGCCAGATCAAGATCAATTTAACGGTACTATCTGCCACTCGTCAGATCTCGATGGCAAAGACATCAAAGGGAAAAGAGCTCTCATCATTGGAGGCGGTGCAAGCGCCATTGAAGCATTGGAATTCGCAGTCCACTCGGGAGCCTCCGAGATCGATGTTCTCGCGCGATCGGATAAATGGATTATACCACGCAATATCCTGGTACAGTCCTTGCTGGCCTGTAACATCTGGGGAGAGGAGACTTCTCTTGCGTGGGTGCCCGAGTGGCTCCTTCGCAAGTTCTTCTATCGCGACCTAAAGGACATTGCCCCTGAGAGCGGCTTGTTTACCACGACTCCTATGGCGAATTCCGATATCTTCCGCCTCATTCGAGAAGGCAAAGCACGTTGGCTACGTGGTGATATTGTGTCAGTGAAAGAGGACGGTATTCTCTTCAACCACCGATCGAGGGATGTACCTAAGGGTGGACCTGGCCGTGAGAAGGTCGTTCCAGGCGATATCATCATTATGGCTACTGGTTTCAAACGACCATCGCTCTCGTTCCTTCCCGATGATTCCTTTGAGCATGACTACTCCCCTCCTAACTGGTATCTCCAAGTCTTCCCACCCAAGCATCTCAGCATCTGCGCCAACAACAGCACCTACGTCAACGCTATCGGGACAGTCGGAAACATCCATATCGGAATTTATACGCGGTTCTTGCTTATGTTCCTGACTGATCCGCTTACGCAGCCTACAGAGGGCCGAATGAAGACCTGGATAGACTTCACTCGCTGGATGAAGCAAGGAGCACCGCCTGGAGCGTTCGATTTCTTTACATACACGGAGCTACTATACTGGTTTGTGTTCCTCGTCGTGATCAATCCGTTCCGGTGGAAGTGGGCGCTCTTCATTCTTTTCGGCATTGGGCAAACGCTTCCATTGGAGATTGTTAGGGAAGAAGAGGCTTTCCGCAAGAAGCTGAATTCTCAACATGACTAGGAAATGGGCTTGCGATATTGAACAGAAGTCTTGTGAATACATTGCACTAGTCCATGTGTACATACGTATACCTTTGTTCAACATAAGTGTTTTCTTGATCAAAAAGACATGTTTTCTTTCTACTCTCATCGTACAACGAAATAATCATGTGAAACAATGGTCTACCACTTATCATACAATAGTCAGTACGCTGCTGCGGTTCTCTTCAGGAAAATAGTCTTTTGTCAGCGGTTGCGCACTTCAAAAAAGTCTGAGAACTACTGAGTCAAACTCTTGGCATTGGACTATGTTGTATTTTGAGCCGTCAGATTCGCTCTTGGCGCGCGGGGGCCAAAGTTGTGTACGCTCATTTAAACACTACCGATCCCACATGAGCTGATAAAATTGGCAAAATGCCTCGCAACAGCCCCCTTTATCTCCCATCTGAGATCATCGAGATAATTGCTCAATATCTCGCCTTTGAGCATCCTCCAACTCTCTGGAGTCTCGCAAAAAGCAGCTGGGCATTCTATGCCTCTTGTGGGCCTTTCATCAAATCGATCCTCTACCATGATATCCTTATAAGGATACCCGCAAATAATAAGCTCGAAGAAATTGTGAGCCTCTTTACTCGAAAGCTCCAGGAGGCAGACGGTCTTCGCTATGTACGGCAGCTTTTTCTTGTCCATAGAGTCCACGGGCGCCGTATAAGTGACGTCCCCCAATGGAGCCCGCCTCGGCTTTCTGATCTCCGACGTGTTAAACCCGCAGACACATACACGACCCAGTACGCATACTTGCACGAAGGCTCGGGGTGCACAGATGAGCCACCATGGGCCCAACACTCCTTTCATCGCTCTGATGGTGATTACCATCTCGAATCCATGTGGAAGCCTGTGGTCAATCTGATCAAGCAGTTACCCAGGATGACCGATCTAGTCTGGCATTACCCTGAGAAATTTCCATCTTCCATTCTCGAAACACTCCATCGAGATCGGCCGCGGTGTCGACTCCATCTAGATTCTTTTTGGTTGCGCAGCCATGATTCCCCTAAGAGGGACCCTCGGGAACTTGAGATTTTAACATCGCCATCTCTTCACTCCGTCAAACTGAGGAGAGCGAGCAATTCAGCTATTACTAATAGACGCCAGGAAAGTCTTTTATGTTTGCTAGAGCTAGCTCCAAACCTGAAAGCAGTCCATCTCGCAGATTGGATTCCACAAGATTTCCCATCACAAGAAGTAAATACCCGACAGCGTCCTGCTTCATTGGAGAAACTTCAATTCGCTGATGGGCCTATAAATCCCGGAACGATCCACAGATGGAGTCATTATATTGATTTTGCCACCTTACGGGATGTTAAGATCGACTTAAAAACCTCGACTGATCTTTCGTATGTGATGGATCATCCATTACCATCATTGAAAATTCTGTCATTGGGTATTCAATCTTGGTCCTGGGGATCTAGGTCGGTGGATTGCTATGAAATAGTAACCAAGTTTATACGAAGTTTGCCACCCTTGGATGAACTGGAATTGGAAGGCTGGCACACGCTCATTCCGATTGAGTCCATTGTCAACCGCCACGGCTCTCGTTTGCGAAAGTTCAAATTGAGATGGCCTTTACTTTTACAGTGCTTGAATGAACAAGAAATTTACCAAATCAGCAAGCACTGTCCAGTTCTGGAGGAACTGGCGATCATGATAAATCGCACGCAAGGTAACTCGAGAGAAGTCGCTTTGTACAGAGCTTTGGGAACGATAAAAAATCTCAAATATCTCGATCTGAACTATGAAACATCTCTCACGGCGGAACCACACGGAATACTACGCAGGGAAGATGTAATATCTTCAACATCGATACTCGGCAAGGGCCATGATATGCCTACCGACCCATCATTTGACGAATTCGACAACGAATTCTGCCCTGATTCTCTCGGATTTGCCTTTCGGCTTCGCAATGGGCATATACGGAGGATGATAATTGATTCAATCATCGATGAGAAACTTGCATGTGCAATTTTCCAATCCATCTCATCCACCAAGCCTCCAGGATATCCACTCCTCGAAGACCTCTCGATCAAAGTCAATGGCATAGGACACTATGCGTGTTCTTGGGTGGTGACCGATACCACCACCTATTGGCGTGTCCAGCGCAATCCTCGTTACAGTGATCGTGAGGAGTTAATAGTTGAGGAGTCCCAGCCAAAGAAATCATATTCATCTTTCAAGCCATGGAGCGAAGAAAGAAAGGAAAAGCATTTAGAACCATGGCTGGACACAATATTTTGCCAGCTTTTCCCATCAGCAAAGCCAAAAGGACAACAGCGAAAGTCTTCAAAGAAACTAGCAAGGAAGAGAGAAAATGACAGGAACCGTCTTCCTGTGACCTGGTGGCAGCATGTACATAGCTTTCCTCTTGCTCCTAATGGAGATGACCAGGGCTGGATTCACTCTTAAGTTCTGAGATTCGGCCGTTAATTAATAAAAAGATAACCCCGTCGCAGACCATTAGGCCTGGCATTCGCAGTGAGTTGAGCAAGTGACGAACAGCGACCCAACAAAGATATTTCCGGAATAGGTAACCATGTCGACCAGTCAGTGATATGAGCAGGGCGAGCACGGCACTGCCCCCAACGAACCAAAAAATAATAAAAAGTAAAAACATACAACAGCAGGGATTCGCTGGTGGTCACCCACCCAACTACTAACCTGCCGGCGTGTGGCTTAAGTACGGCTGAGCGGACGGGAAGCCCTGTTCTCCACACCCTATGGTCGTATGTGCTTGATCTATGAATTGAAATGTTTATCAGTGTAAGGGGTTGAATGTAGGAGCAACTAAGCGAGACTATCCGCCTGCTTTATGCGTTAAACGCAATATATTAGACACTATAAAGGTCGATAGTTTCACTAGTATATACCTCTGCGTCTAAGCCCTATTCTTCGTTTATCTCAGCTATTGGAAGTGGCTTAGGAGTATAAGCTGTGACTAAAATATATTAATCCTCTTTACGTTGTGACAACTTATACTGCCGCTATGGTTCGTTACAGATTATATCAAATGGACTGATGTCTAGTCTCGAGTGCCCCAAACAGTAGGACGTTAAGAGCCACACGACTATACTCATTTACGTAATACTACCAATCGGTGGCCTACTTTCTCTAGCACAGTGCTACTAGCCTATCTTCGTCATTGTCAATGTTTTGTGTGTCGATGTTGAAGGTAGCGCCTTGCCTTTTGAATAGATCTAAGGATTCACCTCGGCTTCGTTTAACGATGCTCTTTAATGAATAGCTTTTGCGGCGTATTTTATTTCATCTCTGGTAGATAGTAGCATCGATCTCGTCTCAGTATGTTTTCATTAATTGCCTCTTCAATTAACCTCATTGTACATACGACCATAGGGTGTGGAAAACAGGGCTTCCCGTCCGCTCAGCCGTACTTAAGCCACACGCCGGCAGGTTAGTAGTTGGGTGGGTGACCACCAGCGAATCCCTGCTGTTGTATGTTTTTACTTTTTATTAATTATACGACTAGGCAATCACGTCGAAGATGCACTCGGTGCATTTTGCCGTTGACGTTTGAAGAAATCCGCCTTGAGGTTGGTGTCCGACCGATCTATCCTAAGAGCCTCTACAGCCGGACCAAGGAGATATTGCAAATGGACCTCAATACTTTATTCTCCTAGTCCTTCTCAATCTTCTCCTGGGTATTTCTTTAGACGTCTTTCTAGACATCTTTTGATTTCTTTCTAGACATCTTTTGATTCCATTTTTCTAGGTATCTTTTTAAACGTCCAGGTAGGTAGACATTACTGTCTAATTAGGCCCACTTACAACATCTTCTTCGTCCGGTCTACAATCTTCCAACGGAACAACATCAAGCCTCCTAATTTTTCTTGCGAATCCGCTACTTGAAATATCTAGGTGAAGAAGGATATCACTAAGGCGACTCCACCAAAGGTAGGATGCTGAGATAGACGACTTGAAAGGGCGCATTCCATGATAGTATTCAGAAATCTCATGTTGGCGGCATCTTCCGTAGGGTTTTTCGTTCAGGAGTTAACCCTTTTCGGCAGGTGATATAGCGAAGGCCTACTGTTAGTTAGCCAAGCCGCACAGTTATGTAAATAAGGAGGTCAATTGAAGAACATACAGCAAGTCTGATGTTGGAAATGTTCGGAAAAAGCAAAATTGACGGCTCAAGAGGGAAGACGAACTCCAAGCTTTCTTTAGCATGTTCAAAAAGAATACAAGAAACAACCAATCATCGTCGTCTCCAAGATAAATATACTGGTCTTTCTTCCAAAACGCTTTCCAAAAAAGTTGGCCTCTTTTGCTATCTGGTGGCGGGATGTTGGGGGTTTGGCGGCCTGAATTGGGTCAGGGGCCTTGGTTGCATTGGTAGAATTGGTGGAGATTGTTGGTTAGGTCGGGGACGTGGGGGCAATTGGCTATAGAGCACCAGTTTAGCATATGGACAAGCTCCGAAGACCCACCCATCATCAGAGGCCCTTCCCCTCGTATGTAGCGAGGGGTAAATGTTTCATATAGATTTTGCTTTCCACTCACTTTCCACTTACTTGCATAGGTACAGCAACTTGACCGCTTGTTCTAGGACGATACCAAACGCCAATGGAACGTGCGAGTACTCTGCATCTCCAAACCAGCAAAATGAAACCATAGAGCCTTATACGGTTGGCACAGCGGTAGTTCGGGGCATCAAGTCCCGATAAGTATTCCAAACGGACAGAGTAACATCACTTGGAAAAATTTCAACTCGAATAGAGGAAGCGGTAGGTATGTCCAGACCGTGGCGAGGGGTCGTAGTTCGTAAAACGGAAGATTTATTGAGGATTTCATTGGACATCACCAGGAATTTGTCAAAAGCCAAATCACGTTTATAGGGTAGGGGCACGGTCGGTGATGCGACTTGACGCTACAATTGCGGGGACGAAGTCGGAGACAGGGAAACACTTGACCCGCCTGCGTGTGGCTTAAGTACAGCTGAGCGGACGGGAAGCCCTATTCTCCACACCCTGTGGTCGTATTTGCTGAATTCATGGGACCTTAAAATAAACTCTAGAATATATCTACTTCAAGGGAGGAAGACAGGGTAAAAATCTCGAAGAGAAAGGATTCGTTGCGCTCAAAAACTCACTTCTAGAAATGGACTTATTGTAGGATGTTTTCCACTAGTTCTTAATGAATTCGGACTTCCACGCACGCAGCCGTTTCGCTTTCCGGTTGTAAAGCTGCGATCGCTTAAGTATAAGACACTGGGCGAAAACATATTCAAAAAGGCTCTCACAAAAGCCGCGAACGGTGAATTGGAAGATGCCAATTCTCACCTGATGAAGAGAAGCTTTTCCTTATTATTTATAAAAACGAGCTATCCCGAAGGATGGAATGATAGCACGAGATTAGGTATACCGGCTCTCGGAAAATTTCTCAAAAGCTGCAATCGACGAAACACCAATGTAACGCATGCGTTTCATTCAAGGCAGCTATTGAATTTCCTGCAAGTGCGGGCCCTGAGGATAGCTTGACGCAAGAAGACGGGTGGCGCCCGTGCTTGGACCGTCGGGCTAACCGCCGAGGTTGCAGTTGAATGGGTCTAGTGTGGGGGAATGGTGCCTAGTGGCGAAGACGACCCTATAGCATCCCTATCGCCAACGTCTTCGTTTGGGGCCTTGAAGGTGATTGTGCATTGCCATTGAATCCCCGATGTAGTACGCGGAGGTTGCACTAAATAATGATCGGCACCCCTTAACATGAAAGTACCTTCGCGTCAACTTACTTGACCTGCTGTAGATAATGCGCTAGTAACCTCTAAACTCGATGAAATCAAAGCCTCAGGGGGAATTTTGGTACGAGATTGTAGCATGCAATTGGCGCGCTAGGCTTCCTCTATATAACCAGCTCCATCGCCAACTTTCTGCTTAGCCCTCTCACCTCCTTTGCCCTTATCACGATGAAGCTTTCTATCGGGCTTGGCGTCCTGGCGACGGTGACGTCGGTTTCTGCCGTTAAGGTCAACCCACTCCCCGCTCCCCGCAATATCACGTGGGGTACCTCCGGCCCTATCCCTGTCAAGCAGCTTCAACTGCAAACCGAGTCACACAATCCGCATATTCTTAATACTGCGTTTGAACGGGCCTGGAATTCCATCACCAAAATACAATGGGTCCCTCAAGCGATTGAAGCTCCGATCCTGAATTATCCACCTGTCCCGACTGGCATACCCAAGGCCAAGCGCGATGTCAAGGCTATTCAAACCGTTCAGCTTAGTGTGGTGGATAGTGGCGCCGATCTCCAGCATGGAGTTGACGAATCATATGATCTGAGAGTGAACGAGAACGGCATCCAAATTCATGCTCAAACGGTCTGGGGTGCGATGCACGCCTTCACAACTCTGCAACAGCTAGTTATTTCCGACGGTCAAGGTGGTCTCATCATCGAAGAACCTGTCATTATTCATGACGCGCCTCTTTATCCTCACCGTGGGATTATGATCGACAGCGGCCGGAACTTCATCTCGGTGCCTAAGATACTGGAGCAGATCGATGGATTAGCTCTATCAAAGATGAACGTTTTACACTGGCATATGGACGACGCCCAATCATGGCCTATACAAATTCGCGCTTATCCTGAAATGACTAAGGATGCGTACTCACTCCGAGAGCAGTACTCTGAATCTGATTTACGTCATGTTATTGCCTACGGCCGGGCACGCGGTGTACGTATCATACCAGAGATTGACATGCCGGGCCATGCATCTTCCGGTTGGAAGCAGGTCGATCCTGATATTATTGCGTGTGCCAATTCGTGGTGGGTGGACACTGCCCTGGAGCCGAACCCCGGTCAATTGGATATCATGAACAATAAAACCTATGAGGTGGTGAAGAACGTCTACTCCGAGCTCTCCGACATCTTTACCGATAACTTCTTCCACGTCGGTGGTGATGAGCTCCAGACTACATGCTATAATTTTAGCAGGCCTACCATGGAGTGGCTAGCCGAGGGTCCGCACACCTATAACGACTTAGTTCAGTACTGGGTAGATCACGCTTTCCCTATTTTCCGCAACACCACCTCAAATCGCCGCATTATGATGTGGGAGGATACCGCGCTTGGCCCGATGTCAGCCCATCATGTTCCTACGGATGTTGTCCTACAGGCCTGGGACAATGCTGAAGCCGTCGCTAATCTAACCACCCGTGGCTACGATGTTGTCGTTTCGTCCTCCAACTTTCTCTATTTGGATTGTGGCAGGGGTGGCGACGTCACTAACGATCCTGATTATGACGTGCAGTCTAATCCAGGCGGCGTGAATTTCAATTACGGTGGTAACGGCGGCTCCTGGTGCGCGCCTTATAAGACCTGGCAGCGTATCTACGACTTCGACTTTACCGACAACCTCACCGAGGCCCAGACAAAACATGTCATCGGCGCAGAGGCACCTCTTTGGTCTGAGACAGTCGATGACGCGACTGTATCTACTCTTGTATGGCCTCGTGCTGCAGCCTTGGCAGAGCTGGTATGGTCCGGTAATCGCTCCCCTGACGGCCAGAAGCGGACCACCCTAATGACCCAGCGTATTCTGAACTTCCGGGAGTACCTCCTCGCTAACGGCGTCATGGCTGCACCTCTGACTCCAAAGTATTGTCTACAACATCCTCACGCTTGTGACCTCTATCGAAACCAGAGTATCATCCAATAATTCATGCCTGATCTAGTTGAATCTCGGCAACAGAATTCACGGCTGGTGATCGGAAGACGTTCTCTGGCATATACCACCCTATTGGCTCTTAAATAGATCATCCCTGAATTATCTTTGTACGTACCGTGGGTTTTGGCCCTTTAGATGTCTTATATCGTTGGTATTTATTTGAAATATTTTTGGTACAGTAGATTTCGCATTGACCCTTCGTTATCGGAGAAATTTAAGCTTCCCGTCTTTTGTTGCAATATTCCGACTAGGACAATTGTAACTTCACGATGCAACATGACAGTGCATGAACTGGAAAATCCTGCTCCTTTCTAATAGGGGTGCAAGTATTCGGCGCACCATGTCTTCGTACCTCTATGCGAGGCTTTACGCGGTCGGGTATATCTACTTGCTCTTTCTCTATCCGTGTCTATTTTCTTGTTCTCTTTTTTCCCCTGATCTGTTCCCAAACCCCCGATCAACAACCAAATAGCCGAATTAGTACTCGGTTCTACCAGGAGAAAGTAAATACAACAATCAGGTAATTCTAACCCCACTTTGAGGTAATCTCATCAGATTATTTCGATCTCAACTCACGACAAATAATCAACATATAGTTCCATAATCAATACAGGGAGTTATGATGCTATACACTTCAATTTCATTACTTTTGAGTGCCGTATCTATTGCAGCTCTCTCAGTTAGTGATGCACATACTATCCGCGAGACTGTCCCCCAAGATGCAGGACCTCCCATCCTTTTACCATTCGTGTGCTTCTCTATTGAATTTGTCTTCTTTCCCGATTTTGCAGGTAAGTCCCTTTTCGGGTCTTGACTTTACCGCTATGTGTTTAACTGTATATTGCCCTAGGGAACAAATCACAGCCTAACTTGTTTTCAAACAACCTTCTCAATAACCTGGAAAATATTCAAGGAATCAAGCCACATATCAGAGTTGGTGGCCTTACACAGTATAATAACCCTGTCTATTTCCTTCACGTATAATTTTTCTGACTCGAATGAAACAAAAACAGAGACTACGCACTCTATAATTCGTCACTGGAGACAGCCATCAATGGCACTTACATACCCTCTATATCAACGGACTATCCGTACATCATTTACATGGGTCCATCATTCTTTGAGTCCTATTTGACGTGGCCAAACACCAAATTCTCTCATGGATTCAACCTAGGAAAGAATAGTTCACATGATATACAGCTGCTGCTTGACACGGTGCCGCTAGCCTGTGAAGCCCTTGGAAAAGGAAATTTGTTGGTTTGGGAATTGGGAAACGAGCCTGATGATTATCCAGTCTCTATTCAGGGACCTGTGAGACCTGCTAACTGGACCGAGAAGGATTATGTTCACCAGTGGTTAAATCGAACTGCTGCCTTGAAAAAGCAGATGGAGGATCATTGTCCTCAATTGGCAAACACAAAATACATGGCACCCTCATTTGGAGGAATAACTGGAGCCTTGAAAGCACTTACCACCTGGCAAGTTGGCCTCAATGATGCTAAGAACATTGCTTTCAATTCTGAGCATAAGTGAGTTCTTTTCTCTATGGGGCTTCGATCTTCAGCGGCGATTGGCTAGATTGAAGAAATGAAAATGAAAATGAACTAACCGTTTGTATTATAAAGCTACATGGGAGGAGCGGATGAGCCAGGAGTCACGCTTCAGAAGACACTGATGAATCATACTGCGGTGATCCAGAACGCGGCACCGCATATTAACTTGATGCAAAGTCTCTCAGCTGAAAACCTTACGCCTAACATTCCCTATATTCTGGGGGAAACCAACTCCCTCTACAACGAAGGGCGAGCAGGCTTATCGAACTCATTCGGAGCTGCCCTCTGGGGAGTGGATTGGAATTTATACTGTGCGTCTCAGGGTATTAGACGGGCCTACATGCATCAAGGGACGGACTATAGATACGCAGCATGGCAGCCGGTTGAAACAAACAAGACTACACTTGGGACAAAGGCCCCCTATTACGGAAATACCATGGTGGCTGCCATGACCCAGGGTGTGAATGATGTGCGGATTATGAATATCCCGCTTAGCCAGGATACCGAGTCTGCTTATGCGGCCTACGTCGACGGCAAACTGGCCCGGATTGCCGTTGTAAACATGGTGGAATACAACTACACCTTTGGTGCTGATCCATCAAATGATAATAATCGTCCGAAGGCCAAGTATTCATTCCACTTGCCTTCTTCAGTTGCATCTCGACCAGTCTCGGTACAACGCCTGTTGGCTAATGGGAGCAATGCCATTACGGGCGTCACTTGGGATGGATTCTCGTACAATTACGAGTTGGAGGATGGGAAACCTGTTCGAATGAATAACATCACAACGGGTGAGACGATTCATGTTGGCGCCGATGGTGTGGTCACACTTGAAGTGCCTTATTCAAGCGGTGCTCTTTTGAACATACAGTGAGGTTTTTGTCAGAAATATTGGAGAGAGAATAATCTTCAAAGCATGCCAGCATCTATATTAGCCCTCTATGGAAGACATTGGCCCTACGCATGCAAGCTACGATATATCGAGTATTAAATTAGCTGACCGAAATGCTTATTTCGTAAATTTTTCGTAACAATTAGGTACTACAGTACTAGATTTCCAAGATATATACACAGAGATTTGATCCTACCAACCCCCCGGGGCCTGATTTCCTAGGCACTTACATTTTTGCCGAATTAATCATGCGTATTTTCTAGGGTACCAGTTTTACCCGTAGAGATTTTTAATTCTGGTTTACATAGCAAAAAACCTGATTGTATCCCATTAAACTGCTCTCTTTTAGCTTTCTACATACATCTCTCATAATAATTGCCGGACGATGTGGACTGGGAGAGTATGTTGAACTCCGGAAACACAAAGCTTGGGTAAGAAAGCAGTTTCAAATTAATGGCCTCAAAAGACGATGTATTTCACCTAAACAGTGTTAATAGGGACGAATTGTGAAGGTGATGGGTTTAATGGCTACCTGAAATTAACGACTGCGTGTTTTATCATAGACTCGGAGGACAGGTCGCTATTGTCGGCTAAGATGTGTTCATTTCGACGTAGATCCAGCAGCCAATTAGAGTATATCATCGGCCCTCACAGATCACCAGAAACGAGCTATGAACAGCAGCCGGAGCCCATTGTTATTTCCGAGAAATTGCCGCTTCGGCCGGGGATCTGGACAGAGTGCCCCACAGTTCACCGCACCACGGACAGGTTCCTGCGTTTATCCGAGAACCGAGTGAAAAGAACAACGTCTACTAGTATCCGTAGGCCTTCAATAACCCTCGAATCTTACCTAGAAAGGATAAAAAGTAGAAGGGACTAACTTTTAGCAAGTGCAACTATGCTGTTAATGATATCCGCCAACACAGCTGTTCAAACAAGCCAGTAACCATTAAGCTCGTCGACCTTACGCTAGCGCGGTTGATGGTCGGAAACGTCAAAATTTTTCCATAATTACTTCAACATAAAATACTGAATTTCGGGGAATTAGGCGCACGTGACTAGCCAAACTTACGAGTATATACCTGAATTCGTACTTTCTTCTGTTTTAGATCCTAATATCGAGTTGAGATCTTACGATTTATCCCTTCATCGTTTCCGTGGAACATATTTTAGATTCAAGATCTAAGACCTATTCATCCAAGGTCAACCCATCAGACTCCTAGGTATTTTGTCGTCACAATCAAAAGGGTTGCCTTCGGTCAGCACCTACTAACGAGCTGCAGCCAATTTATTCAACTTTATCTTCCCCGGCTCCGCTTTCTCGTCCGGCGAGCACGATGATTATAACTCGGGGTTTTTCTCTGACAAATTTTGTGATCGCAAGCTCGGCATTTTGCTTTCAAGTTTGTGTCCTGTACCCTTGGCATCACAAATTGGAGGATGAATTCAAACAACTAAAGGCCGAGCATCTCCGGCTACTGCAGGAGGGTGAGGAGAACCGATTGAAGGAGTTGAGGAGTATTCGTGAGCACATTGGCCTCTTGAACACCAAGAAGGATTAGGGGCCTATACTTTCAGTGATTGAAATCTCTTTTGATGCCTTGAAAGGCCAAAGTATCTGGCATTGCAAAAGATAGATAGAACGCGTTCTATTACTTGCGTGAACCCCTATTGCTTTAGATGAGCATCGCTTAATACATTACGTTATATAATTTCTCTATGTTCGAATGACTACGAGGAGGTACCAATGAAGGCGGTCAGTGCCCGCTAAACAACTCTTCACATTGGCACCGAAATAGAAATATTTCCATGAGAATGGGCAGCTTGGAAAGACAATTGGGAGGTGCGGATGTGTATGGATGAACGCAGATAATAAACAAAATTTCTGTCAAAGCCTGGTTGAGGTAGTTGTCTCATTTATAGTTCCGCCAACAACGGAAGTGCTCCGACCGCGCCTTTTTTCCCCTATCATTGCAAGGACCGGAGACTTTGTACCCAAGCCAACAGCTGGCGATCAAGCGTTCACTTTGGTTATATAAAGAATAATATAACTGGTTGGCAGATAGGCGAATCACTGCAACGCAATCTAGAACGGAACGGCATTTTCCGCGCAGCTGGTGAGCATTGTCGCTCCTCCAGGAATATAATCCCAGAGATACTCATCTTTCCTTGAGAATATTCGGAAGCCCTTGCCATTCCCCTCAGTGAGTTCTCTGCAAAAGAGATAGCTATTGGTTCCCTGTCTCTCCGTGAAATCGCCGTATGCTAAAATAAGAAGCTTTCGCAGGCCTTGTAAACTGAATGCCCATTCAGCAAATTCCAAGACTTCTTCTTTAGTGGACAATGGGACCACGGGATACTGGAAGTTGGCGAAGATGGATGGATCTGGTCCGGTTACTTATGGCTCTCAACACACAGCTCCAGATAACATTCTAACTCACATAAAGTCCGGCACCTAGCGACTTTCGGGTTCTGCAGATCAATTGGTCTACAAGTGCGGATATGCAATAGCTTCCAATCTTGACCAATACCGGCCAGTTGGAGTTGCGATTTCTATATCAGATCTCGAGTAAGAAAGGCTTCAAGACAAGGCACTGGAAGGATATTACATACCAGAGTGCCAGGCCGCTCACAAAACCCGACGCAGTTCAGCTGTGCATTCTGTAACAGCTTGGTGAAGTTGTTTCGAGCGAAAGGAGTCACGTCTTGATCCGGCTCGATATCAAAATCAAGATAGTCTAGCCGACATTGGTAGTTATCTCCGTCTTCGTAAGATCCATAGTCATCGGCCCTATCAAGAGTAATTCTCATCCGCTCGTGATATATCAATCGCCGCAGGGAAGTGCAGTGAGTAGCAATACTTCCAGAAACAGGATTATACGTATCAGATTCGTAACTAACGTTAATGTATAGTTCCTGAATGCTTTGACATGCCTGGAAAAATCTGTCAAGGTTTCGTCCGTAGGCTTCGTCGGCATCTGATATCTTTAAAGTCAGTTCAAGCGAGCGTAACTGTATTCGTCGTCCCAAATCCACTAAAGCTGACAGAAACTCCGGTGCATGAACACAATATTGAAGTTTAAGGGTGTGAAGCTTGTCAAAGATATCGCTTCGGAAGAGATGAGGTTCTTTGGGCAGCAGAGCCTCTCGGATGCATAGGCTGCGCAATACCGGGAACCTAAGGCGCTTAGCATTCAGTCCAAATTCTTAGTGTGGCGGAGAAGTCACCGAGGGATAGAATACCTAGATACTGTGAACAGCTGGATCCAAAACACTGGGAGTCTTGATGTGCCGTCAAATGAAATGCTCAGGCTTCTGAGGTGACTCGAGTTCGCCGCCACGCACGCCTGAACAAGGCCTATATCATCCTTATCGGCGCAAAGGCATGATATGTCTTGAAGGCTTTGAAACTGTAAAAAAGCGACACGGCGCTCTCGAGTTGGTCCGAAACAACAGAAATTCTTACTTGGGAAAGAAATGGTGCGAATTGAAGTTTGGCAGGATGAGAAAATTTCCAGAACAGTATCTGGCATGCAAGCATTTAGATCCCAGCTGCAAGAAGTCAGAAGCAGAAGACAAAGAGCAAGTTGAAAATCAGTACCTAATAGTCTCCAGACTGTTTTTCGGTATCATTCTCAATAGAGGCTTGAGATATGTGGCGATCAGCTTGATACTGGCCGATTGCTGCCAATTCAAGGCCCAGCCAACGCGACCATGGTGACAATGGATGTGTGACTGCTGATATTGGATTAAAGGGCCTGCAATAGAAAGGTGTTTTACAAATTGAAGGCTGCTTTTCCCCATCCGACCCTGTAATGATTCTTCGATATCGAATCGTGAAAAGGACCCATCTAGCCTGAGAGTGACATGTTCATAGAGTTTCACGAGTGTAACACGGTAGAGTCCCCGGGAAGCGAGGCATAAGTTCTTCAAATCCTCAGGATGTTGTATCTTTGCATGTCAGAAAGGCGCTGTTCACCAAACGAGCCACTTACTTTCTCCAAGATCAATAGGTATATCTCCAGGGGTATAGCATCCAGTCGCGCTTTACATGAAGAAAGCAGTTCCCATTGCCCACGTTCCATCTTACTTCCTCTCCGGAACTGTGAATAGCTAAGGATGTGGAGATCTTCATGTAAAGGCGCTGTGCCCGTCGCACTCATTGAGTATATGGCTTCTGGACATATGCAAAATGAGATCATTGATGGTGTCGTCATATCTCGGTTCCAATATTCAGGCTCGACCATAAAGTCGGTAAATTCTGCTGCCGCATTTTCATCAGGAGTGCTGTCTATGCAATAAACCTTGGGAAACCTCTCGAGTATTTTCGCGATTTGGTACAGCGAATCATTGCTCGCACTCGGCTCCGAGATATTGCCGCGGCCCGAGAAGGAGTTCATCTCCGTAATATGAGCGAATCGGATTCTGCGCTCGGGTTATGTTAATTGTGGGTAGCCGGAACCTATGATCGATCTGGCACCAAAAAGGTTGGGCTAAAGAATATACTCGTGATTTAAAGCCCGATGCGGCCCGAATGTCGGGAGTTTGATATCTGGCGGAGATTGATCCTATCAGTCGGATTCGAAGAGAGAGCTATGAAATAACTGTTCGCTCGTCGCCATTGAGGCTCACTTGCCCTGGTCCGTAAGTTTGAGTCTCGAATCAAATTCTTCTACCGAAATATTCCGGCTTTTCACGATGAATGTCATAAAAAATGACTTTGATGGTCTGCGTGTCTTCTTGTCGATTGCAATTAGTGCCGGCTCCACCGCGTGAATTTTAAACGCACCGAAATTGCGGAAGAAAGTCTGTGTTCAACACCACTCAGCGGTCGTTTGAATGCCAATGACCTCTCGACCAAGTAAAAATTCATCATGGAAAGTGTGTGATTCTGCCTCATCCTTCAAGACTAAAAGATTACTAACCAAGATTTCATAGATACCGCCCCTCCAAGCTCCGAGGTTCCCAAGTCGCAGCAGACGCAGGTGTATCCAAGCACCGAAACTCAACTATCACGGGATAAACCGCACAATCTCTTCAACTGGGTCAGGGAACAGAAATACAAAATTGCTGGTGCTACATTTGTTGCCAGTATGGTCGGTTCCTTCATTCTAGTTGGTCGGAACCCGTACTTGACTGGCAAACAGAAAATAGTACAGGCTCGGGTGTATGCACAAGGCCTCACACTAGCTGTGATTGTCTCCCTGGCCGCGTTTGAGATATCAGACCGACGGAAGCCGTGATTAAGCGATAGTGCTCAGCGGAAAGAAGCTGCCAAGCAACCAGGGCTTTTCAAAGATGGCATCAGTCGAGCGAGATGGATACGGACCTAGGTATTGGAGATTTCCATGAGAATATGAATTTGCCATTCAGTTTTGTAACTAAGAGGAAATTATATATGCTACGCGGTGACATCCGGAATGATAGGAAGCCAGCGCTTGCGGATACGCTCTCGATGAAGTTAGAACTTTGAAGAATAACCGGCCTCTTTCGTAATTTACGATTGTTACAGACTCTCGCATGAAGGTGGCTGGGCAGATTTACATATGTGACAAAACATCCACGCGGTCCTTTCATTTGACTTGATAGCGCTGTTATCTATTGCGCACTCTCCTTTCTCACCCGCGTCGCGCGACGCTAAAGCGGCGCTCACCCTATGTTCACCCTATTTATTCCTCAAAGTAGAATATATTTTATTGACCTGGGGAACTCAGTACATACGACCATAGGGTATGGAGAATAGGGCTTCCCGTCCGCTCAGCCGTACTTAAGCCATATGTTCTGCATGATCAATTCTCAAAGAGCCCTGAACTTCTAAACCAGCAATGCAAGCTACCCTAGGGTGAGTATAGGTGATATAGGTGAGAAATCTGGAGACTGGAGTGAGAGTGGTGAGTACGGGGTGAGAACAGGATGAGAATTCTCGCCCCCAAGGTGAGAGGGGCCAACCCACTCTGCACCACAGAAAAGGTCACCGTTGTCGAAAAAGTTAAATGCGATATCAGAAGTATTCTCCTAGCTATCATATACCATATTTCGGGCGATAGAGCGATGGATAAGCGTAGAATTAGAATCTCGCTTGTCATTTGTCCAAGATCGGCATCTTTATATCATGATGTTTTCATCGTCGAGATAGGGAATTCATAGTTAGGTCACAAAGAATATCCGCTAGACACCGAAGTCATATATTAGCTACTATGAATTCCGAAAGAAGGTCTGAGTAGGTCTAAACTAGCACAGTAATAGCTGTTGAGTATGCGTTCCCATCATAGTCTACCTTTGATTGCAATTCAAGATACGAAACTTTGCATGGGAATCTTTTCTGTACCCTGTGTCAACGCCTCAGACACTCTCACTCCGCAACCTCAACAATCAACTTCTGACAACTTACCCCCCGGAGCAGTCTGTCCAACCCAGCATTGATAGCCCCTAAACCCTCTCCCACGACGCTCGGCTCCGGACTCGGCCTGATGGTCCCGTTGGCCAGGTTCTTTCTCAGCCATGTCCCAATCCAGTATCGGAACTGCTCTACTCTCTCCCCCTCCACATTCGACGGCATCACAAATATCGTCTCCACCCCGTTCACGACCTCCGCATCCGAAGGAATTACGGGTGCCGACCCAATCTTCGCCGGTTTGGTCATCTTCCCTTCTTGATATTCTTCGAGGAATGACTTCAGCACAGCCTGACATGGTGCCAGCTGCCCGGTAGCAAGAAAACAATGCCGGATCACTAACCCGTCCTCCTTGGCCGCCGAAACGATCGCATCCACAACTTGTGAGTCTTTATAGTCGAACACGCGGTCCGCACCCAGTGAACCCACATACCCCTTATTCGCCGAGCCGGCCGTGGCGTAAACGGCTGCGAAAGAAGAGTTGGGATCTTCCCGCAGCAGCCGGCCTGTTTGCACGCCCATGGTGCCGACGCTAGAGGAGGCACCCCAGATTAGGAGAGCATCTCTTTTTTCCGTGTTTGTAGAGTAAACCAAGACTGGAGCAGCAGCGGCGGCTTCTCCCATTCGGGGGATCCCCATGGCATCCCATGTGTTCAGAGATGTCACGACGGCGACGGGCAAGGTTGCCGCATGGTTCCAAGACATGCCCTCATCTGGAACGGGCACAGCATGCTGCCAGGGAACGAGGCACCGCTCCTGAAATATGCCGTAGTCTGGATCGCAGGACTTCCAGACGGAGGCGGCGTAGGCGGCGACGCGGGTGATACCCGGTCGGAAGGAGGGGGCTAGATCATTGTCGGTAGAACCGGTGGGGACGTTTTCGCCGACCTCGAGAACTAACCCCGACATGTCGAAGCCAATGACTGTGGGGTACGTGGGTATGAAGAGGCCTTGGTCACGCATGTAGGCGTCTGCTGGGTTGAGGGCTATGGATTTGACAGCGATTAGGAGCTCGTCTGGTCCTGGCTTTGGAGTGGGGCGCCTTTGGAGCTCGAAGGGTTGGCCTTTGGCCGGGGAGACAGCGGCGAGGTGGGTGGCCATTTGGTCTTTTGTGTAAGTCGAAGTTGTCAAAGATTTCGAGGTGGAGGGCTATATGTGAAAATAGCTGGTGTTCAAGTCAAAGTTTTATGATTCCGATGTCATAGACAATAGCCACTCTTCCTAGGATATTGAGGAATGAGCTTCTTTTTATACCCTTATGCTATTATTTCCAACCACTTACTCCTTGATGTAATGACGGCCCGTCCCATGCGGCCTGCTGTTGATTATAGATGACGGGAGCGCCAGGGCAGAACTCGCAGCCAATCCGAGACCTCAGCATCCGAGAAATGGCTAGCGTGGAAGGTGGGTTTCCGAACGGAGGTTAGCGTATGGGTGGGTGTGACGACGTGGAACTAGTATCCTTCGACCATGACCGATTCCACCTGCTACGCATCTCCTCGGCATTGAATCCATTTTGAGCTCGAAAAATCCCTCACAATAAGATGAGTATGGCCTCGGCTGGTCCAAGGGAGGTCCGAGAGCGTAGGACCCTTCGGAGGTCGAGATTTGGCTGCCGAAATTGCAAGCTCAGAAAACTCAAGGTGGGTGGCTCTCGGCTTTCCGAGACCGGTGCTTGGCTAAACGAATTTCCTTGGCCTCTTAGTGCGACGAAGGCAAACCACATTGCAATAGATGTAGTTCCTTCGGCGTATTATGCAACTTCATGTCTAATATTCCCGATCTACAACCCATCGCCCCTGAGACAGGGAGGCGATTGGCGGTTCGTGAAACAGGGGAGCTTCAACCCCCGGTTACCAGTGCTGTCTGGACGGCGGACGAATCCACATCCTATCAATTGAACGCAAAGTGTCAGGATTTCATCACCCGATATCTTGGACGAAGTCTCATTACCCCAGACGATCCTAATATGATACACGTCAATCGCAAGCTCCTGAAACTAGCCTTCGCCGTAAGTTTTATTATGTGGATTCTGTCACCATGAGATAGAATCAAAGCATGATTATACCTTATAGGCCCGAGCTCGGCTAATATATGGCTTACAGCACCCTTTTTTAATGCACGCCTCTCTGGCAGTGGCGCTTACATACGACCGCCATCTGAATAGCTCATTTGGCTGTCGTCGCAGTCTAGAAGAGTGTTATCACTGGTCTCAGAGCACAGCTCTTCTCAGTAAGCGGTTAAGGGAACCGATTGAAGCGAAAGATAAGGATCCAATCTGGGGCACTGCGGCTGCTCTGACTATATTGGCCTTTTCGTCCCCTGATGCATACACGCCGGAAGAATCGTGGCCTATGAAGATCTCTGGCCACTCTGACTTGGATTGGTTACGTATGAGCAAGGGTAAAATGTCACTGTGGCATATAGTGAACCCGCTACGATCGGAGAGTCTTTTCCGCGTGATGGCGGCGACCTTTGCTCTTATGCATTCCCCCTTGCCAGAGAGGGGCATAGACGGTATACCACGGGCCTTGGCTGCCGTATGTCTGCTCAAAGTATCATCTACGGTGAAAGACAATCCGTATTTCCATGCCGCGCACGCATTATCCCAGACGCTGGACCTCCCGGATAGCGAGGTCACAACGGGTCAAATTCAACTTTTCTGGCGCAGTATCAATGGCGCATTTGAAGACATGCTCCGGAAAAGGGACCCTGTAGCGCTTTTGTTGCTGTATCTATGGTACCGCAAAGCAAGTCGCAGTATATGGTGGATTGAACTTAGAGCCAGAGTGGAAAGTCCTTCTATTTGCTCGTACCTACGGCTATATCACAATGGGAATGTTGCGGTACAGGCATTCCTTCCAGGAGGTGCTCTCGCCGACAGTTGGAATTAGTTAGGCTTTCAAAGCCCTATATTCCTTTCCCTTTCAGGTTGCTTAATATGAAGAACTGCAGCAGTGGTTTTTGAGATTTCCACTAATTTAAGTGGTTGAGCGGCGCCACACTGCAGGGCACGCTACCCAACCTATGGGAAGGAGGATTTCTACAGCGCCAACTACGACCGTTTGCGCGCCATCAAGAAAAACAACGACCCGGAGAATCTGTTCTACGCGCACAGTGGCGTGGGCAATGATGTGTGGACGGTGGCTGACAACGGGCGTATGTGTCGATCTTAGAGGGAAAGACTAGACAAAGCGTGTTGATAGGACTAGAAATGTACCAAACCAGTGCTTCAAATTTTAATTGTCCTTTCTGATGGGATCTACGATGGAAGGCACCTCGGGCAAAGCAATATATCTGTGTGATGTATTCAAAGTGAGAAGACTAGCTCAGAGCGAGAAAGATATCTAGATCATAGGAGTAAACAAAGAGTCATGCAAAGATGACTCTAATACTTTCCCCTTACCAAGGGACATGAGATCCATCCCACATGCGCAGCTGCCCACCAACCGACTCCCTCGTCCCTTCGTCGATTACCTTTACGATACCGCCGACGCTCTCCTCAACCGACATGTGACAAATGAGGAAAAAAAAAAAAAAGAAACAGAAGAGAACAAAGGGGCAGCCTTGGGTCATTCCCGATCGGGTATGAGGATAATCCCAATGTTGGTATAAAATGATCAGAGATAGATTATTCCACTTCGGAGGATGTTTCATTCTTAGTATTGTTAGTCATGTTCACTCAATCTTACACCTAATCATGGATCCAGGTTTGAGTGGAGGATCTCGTGGAAGACAGTCTTTTACACGACCGTCTTGTGGCGGTTGTTCTGCCGCGAGGTTACATGACGGATTTGCACCTCTATTTTGTACTGTTAAAATTAGAATGCATTGGGTGAAAGTTGACCGAACGGAACATACATCGTGGAACTGGAAGACTGGGTTCATAGTTGGACTTAGAATCGCCACCAACGAGTTTCGGTCTTCAACGTCGTCAGAAGAGAGGGAAGGTGGCCTGCCACATCCAGTCAGACAGGCCAGTCTCGGTCCGGGGATATGGGCAATCAGGCTCCAGTAAAGACGATACAGGGCCAAGAGGGCCAGGTAGACGGCCAGGAAGGGGAGAAGCAGCATGAATGCCATTGTAGCCGATGTGGTATGAAAAGAGGAGTCAACAATCCAAGGAACGAGAGATATCCCTCTCTGCCAACACGCTCTGTGCTCGCCTTCGCAAGGAATACCAGGGAATAGGCCAAGTCCTGCGTTTGGATTGGATGTAGGGTTGTATCACGTCCGATAGTATCGTTCACTACTGCTTCAATGAGAGCTATGGGTTTCTCGATGCTCCGGATTTCAAGTTCCCCTTTGTGCAGGCGATGGTCGATGTTTTGGATAGGGTGCATCTTGTTGCCCAATTCCCCTAGGTACACTCTTTTTTGCATTCATGAATCTGTTCAATTAATCCCTAAGTACATACGACTATAGGGTGTGGAGAACAGGGCTTCCCGTCTGCTCAGCCGTACTTAAGCCACATATAGAACGCGGCCAATTCTCACTTAGCCCTAATCACCCAAATTTCTTTAAAACAGCAACCTAAATTAATTTAGGGTGAGTGTGGGTGATATGGGGGAGAACTTTTGAGAACGATGACGAGAGGTAAGAAAGGGGTGAGAACCAGCTAGGAAGGGTGAGAATTACAAAACGTGGTAGGGGTCTCATAAGTTGGCCGTAGGGGAATCGGGGGGGGTTTTTTCAAAATGGCTAGGATTTATGTTTTGGTCAAAAATCCTTGTTAATATCATGTTAACCATCTTTTTATTATAATACCTTCTAAAAACCATCACGTGGCTATAGCAATGATAAATACAAAGGATGAATGTACGGTGTACTACGCTAAGCCGATTACGGGGGATGAGTGGAGAATACTGTTGATTTAGAAATGCCCATGGATTCTGCTAATCATCTCCGCTTTGTCTCCTCTATTCGACCCACTGGCTTCTCGCACGTTCATGCTGTATTACCCAGGAAGTATGGCCTCAAACTCGAGCTCATTTCATGGTTCCAACTTCGGCCTTGCAGTTGGACAAAATAGCGGAAACATATCGGCCGTTTTCACAGGTATGACGAGCCGGGTTTCCGCCCAAGGGATGTCCGTGAGGCCCACCGGCAATTCTTGCTAAGCTAACAATATGAGCGAAGGCCGTGAGAAGGCTCGTCCAAGTCCATCATCGATGGTTCCATTTCCTAGAGACCCAGATTTTGTCGATCGGTCAGAAATTATTGTGCGAATAAACGAGGGATTATCTCAGCCAGGAGCAAGAATAGGTTTAGCCGGGATTGGGGGTGTTGGGTATGTGATCTGCTGAAGTCCACATCTCTTCCCAGGATACCAGTCGTATTGAACAAGCAGTAGGAAGTCCCAACTGGCCGTCGAAGCCTCATATCGACTCCGGCTTCACAATTCGCAGATATGGGTCTTCTGGATCTATGCAGGGAGTGCTGCCCGATTCAAGCTGAGTTTGGAAGAGATTGCGACTCGAACAGGAATCCAGGGCCAGGGAGATCCCGGAGCGAATGTATTCGAGTTAGTTGAGGCATGGCTCAATAGTGAAGAAAGTGGCAAGTGGGTGATCATACTCGATAACGTTGATGACGATCGATTCCTTCGTGAGCGCCCGGCACCCGACCCACCAACGCAAGAGAAGCCGCGCAAGCCCTTGCTCAACTATATCCCAAAAACCCGTGGTGCAGTCGTTGTGACTGGTCGGAATGAAAAAGCCGTTGTGAAGATTGTTGCTCGCAGGAACCTGATTCAGATCAAGCCCCTACTAGAGTCTGAGGCTATTGATCTTCTGCACAAGAAACTTCTACTGCCTGGGCATGAAACAAAAGTCAGCAACCTAGACACTTCAAAGAGACTTGTCAGAGAACTAGGCTTCTTGCCATTGGCCATTTGTCAAGCAGCCGGGTTCATTTCTTATTTTTCACCACGTTGCTCAGTCTCTCAGTATCTTGAGAAATTCCTCAACAGCGATCATAGTGCCGTCATGCTCTTAGAACATGAAGTACCCGAGGAGGACTCACTCAATAGAGACTGGGAGGCAGAGAACTCCATCGCAACGACGTGGCAACTTTCATTCGATCACATTGCGCGAGTACACCCTCCTGCCGCGGATTTATTATCATTGATGTGCTTTTTCGATCGCAACGAAATCCCAGAATGCGTTCTCAAGGTGCCACCGAAAAGCTCCACGCAACAGACGGGGTTGGAAAGCAACAACAAGAAAAGATCACACTCAGAAATGGAAGACTCAGATCAAGAGTTCGCCGTCAATATCGGCGTTTTGAGAGATTTCGCCCTCGTCACCATGATCAGTAGCAAATCCTTTACCATGCATAAGCTTGTACGATTGATTACCCAGGCCTGGCTGCGGAAACAACTGGACAGGTTCGACTTCTGGTATACGCAATTCATCAATAATCTTCGCCGCGAGTTTCCGAGAAAGTTCGAGAAAGCCGAGGATCTCGAAAAGGGCCATCTCCTCTCTCCGAGTATTTTCCAGATCTATTCTTTTGCCGTTGAACGGCAGCAAAGATCGAAACACCCCCAGCCAGAAATGACAGCTGGAGAATATCATCTACTTGAGATGATACGACTCTACGAAACAAACGCTAGAGAGAGGGCCATGATAGACTTTCTCAACGATAAGATGGCCCTTGCCATTCGACGGCTACACCGACGAATAGCGGAAATCCCACCAAATCTAAACTCTGAGTCCGGTGAAATGCTGCGACTTGACACAGAGAGTCTAATGCACGACAACCAGCTGGATATCAACCGGAGGCTTCCCATGTTAGCCGCATCTCAAGAGCACTTTCAAGACATAGACAATATGATGAAGCGAGTGGATGAGTCTGGTCAAAATATTACTGTTCCCTTTACCGATGCACTGGCCTCTGGATTGGATTTCATGAAAAGTGTCATATCTACTTCTAATACAAGCAAGGTAATTGGCCTGGCAAGCAGGATACTCAGGTGCTGCGAGGAAATAGACAAGGAATTTATGGAGAATTACGGAGCTCAACATTCATCATAACTTGGGCTATGTGACTCAGTATATTTATGATAGAGAATACATTTACTACTATGATTATTAACCTTTAGTCTAACCAGTCTGTATCCACAGGTGGAGGGATTAACCATAAATGACAGGGGTAAGCTTAGGTATACTAAAACTATCATCTACAACACTGCACGAATCAAGCCGCTCGGGCTTGTGCTGTATTCGCGAAATTCCTGAAGTCAAATGCGTCATTTGTTGATAAAGGGGGTGTAGATTTTTTTGGCAGACCAGGGCTACTACAAACTGGCGTGCTGTGGGTTTGTTCTCTGCGCAGTGGACGTCTGGAATAAGGGGGTGGTTCTCTAAAAAGGGACATGCAAAAGTTTGAAGCTGTAGATGTCAAGTCCATGGCATACTTCGGTACCTCAAATCTCTGTGTTGTCTTTTGAGCTGCCCCGTTTTTTTAATCTTTCTCTTTCTCTGAGGTTTTCTTCTTCTTCCTCTTCTTCTTCTTCTTCTTTAGTTAGAAAGCGACGTGGTGTATAAAGCTGGCTATTGGTCCGGATATCGTTTTCCCTAAGGCCGCCGCCGCGGTGCCCGCGCGACAAATCATCCGCATACAGAAGGCGATAACTACTTGGGCTTTGCGAAGGTCTATGTGTGGGATTAGTAGGTATATTACCTAGGGCTTTAATTACATAGAACCCTCTCGACCAGGGTCAATATAAAGGGCTTTTATGCCTGAGGCCTAACTATACCAATCTATGACATCCAGGCCTGATTAAGGCCCGTATAGAAAATCATACTGATAGCCATTGCTAGAACGCGTAATGATACGAGAGAAAGCGAGAATACGGTGTCAATGATCGAGTATGGCATTAGGCCAGTCATTCACTAGTGGCGGGAGTGAATAGCACTCCCGCCTAGGCAGCCTATATAATAGGCTGCATAGATCCTCCTACGAATACTATCCTCGTCAGATCTTCATTTTTTCCCTGTGTCTATCAGTCAAGATACAAGAATATCGACGTTGAAGAAGGAAAAGACCGCGCTTGACCGACTATGGTTCCTAAGTAGAGGCCTCGAATCCTCATTGGTCAGATCGGGATGTGAGCGAATCATGTAATCATCGAACCGATTGTCATACATCGCGCTCTTAATGCGGTTAATCAGTGTCAGGATGAATGGTCTCTCTGAGTCATATATGTAGTACTAGAATATATTTTACTTTCACGGCTTTGTCATCTAAGCGATCAAAATAGTTTTTTGACATTTTCTTTTTATAAATGTTGGTTTCTCAAAGCAATCGAGATGCCAGGTACCGGCGCACATGAATTAAAGCGCAGATTCATGTAAAAAGCGTCTTTTGGATCTTATCACCCCACTCGCGACCCAGTGTAAGCTCCATGATAATATCAGCATCGTGCTCTGCTGGAACGATGAATGATACACTTGAGCGCGAAAATGACTCTCCCGCCCTTTCTTTCTTGTACAAAGTCCCTGATCTAAGCGCAGTTGCTAATAAAGGGCTTGGCAATGGTGGTAATACTTCATCAATACCCTTCTCAGTGAAGCCATTGATGCGCATGGAAGGCCTTGGAACCACCCTGATACCATTCTGCAGACAAACATGCCGCACATTACCTACCACATGTAACTCAACACCTGTCATTTTTTGTATGATATCCGAAGCACCGGGTTCTCCCAAATATATCTTTAAGACGGGCTCCCCAGTGGGATCTGGAGGTACTGTCATCTGGACTGCGCGTGTTTTTAACATCGGTTCTCCCTCATCCATATCCGACTCGAAAGGGTCGGTGGTTCCTGCACCCCATAAATAGGTTATTAGGATCGGTTGGGAGGAAAATTTAAGTCAAAAGAAGGAAAGAAGAATAAGAATAAGAAACACATACACTTACCATCTCGTTCGGCACTTTGGGGCATTTTATTAACCCTTAAGTCAAGAATCGATTTTCGCAGGACGATATCTTTGGGGCTATGCAAGGGCGTTGTATTCTGGACTGGTGACGAAGCAACGCTCTTATGAGAAATCGTTGTCAAAATTACATGAACAGAAGTCGCACCATCTGGGAACCAACTCAGATTTGCGCTAGTCAGAAAAAAGAAGGTGGGGTAGACAGTTTTACCCCGCTTGCAATATCCTGGCCCGCAACTTCCCTAACACGAAGATCCATCACCAACAATCCAGGCGCTAGGCCCATTTTTCTGCTAGGACATGGCAGAATTAGGTGTGGCCGCCAGTGTTATAGCAGTCATTCAGTTGACTAGCCAAATAGTCTTGTTACTTGGCCAGTACGGTAATAAGGTGAAAAGCGCGAGAGATGACATCAGTCGACTACATATCCAGCTCCACTATGTGGCTGAGATCTCCAAAGCTGCCCAACAGCTCCTCGAAGAACAGAATAACGAGAGACTAAAGACGTCTCACAAGTTACATGTCCATTTCCGAGATATTCAAGCACGGCTTCAGGAACTCGAGCGCGAATTCAACCGGAGTGGGACACAGACGGCTATCGGTCGTATCCGATATCATGCTTTCACATGGCCATTCAAAGCAGGGAAGATAGAAAAATTGACCGGAGACCTTGAAAGATGCACACAAGCCATATCGACAGCTTTGCAGATCGACCAAGCGTATGTATTTGGCAATTGACTATTTGTAGCACTTGCTCACCTGGCATTTATTTAGAAACCTTCTTCTACAACTCGATAGCAACACATCTCTTCTTGATCAAAATATTATCATTGGGAACCTTCAAGTTGCCGAGGGGGCCGGCTTTGATTCCCATGCAGAAGCACACAATCCTACATGCCACCCGCAGACTCGAGTCGATATTCTACAGAAAATATCTCAATGGAGCGAGGATTGCCGTGCTGATCCCATGCTGTTGCTGAGTGGAAAGGCTGGCACAGGAAAGTCGACAATAGCCCGTACTGCTGCTCGTTCTTTTGCGACGCTCGGTATTCTCGCTGCTAGCTTCTTCTTCAGAAGAGGCGAAGGCGATCGAGGTAAAGCACTTAGACTTGTTACTACGATTACCACACAGCTTGTAGAAAATCAACCCGCCCTAGTGCCATATGTCAAAGATGCTGTCAGAATGGATCCCAGGATCACTCAGAAGTCGATACGAGAACAATTCAACAAACTGATTCTCGACCCATTATCGAAAGCCCACACCATAGAGAATCAACCTTCACTCATCATCGTTGTTGATGCGTTGGATGAGTGTAACGACGAAGACGATATCAAACTTTTGATTGAACTATTCTGCAGTCCAAGAACCACGCGAAATTTGCGACTACGATTTTTAACCACCAGCAGACTCGAGCTGCCGATTCGTCTCGGATTGAACACTGTTAATGGGGCATATCGAGACTTGACCCTTGACGAAGTTCCTTCCCATGTCATTAAGAATGACATAAAGATTTTTCTGGAGTACGAGTTCAAAGAAATTCGGAATCAGTTTAATGCTTCCGTGACCGAGAATCGAAGACTTTCAGCAAGTTGGCCTGTCCCTTCTGATATTCACAATATCGTGGACATGGCCGATCCTCTTTTTATCGTTGCTGCGACTGTGTGCCGCTTCCTTGCAGATCGGAAAACTGGGAGCCCGCAGGGAAAACTTAACATGATTCTGGAACACAAAACAAAAAGCCTTGGTACTAAGCTTGAGGTTACATATCTCCCTATCTTAGAGCAACAGCTCGCTGGATTATCCATTCACGAAAGATATACAACGATTGAGCATGTTCGAAGTATTGTTGGCTCAATGATTCTTCTCGCAAACCCGCTCTCCACGCATGCTTTAGCGGCGCTCCTAGACATATCTCAAGTCATTATCGATGATAGACTCGATCTGCTTCACTCGGTTCTGGTTATCCCCATGACACCTAACTCTCCTGTGCGCCTATTCCACCTTTCCTTTCGCGACTTTCTGCTGGATTCCGAAAATCAAATTCACAATCCCTTTTTGGTAGACCAGAAGCAAGTTCACCAAGAGCTAGCCACACACTGTCTCCGGGTAATGAACGACCGCCTTTCAAAAGACAGTTGTGAATTGAAATGGGCGGGAGCATCCCGCTCAGGAATCGACCCCGACCTAATAAAAGAACGCTTTCCCGCTGAACTTCAATACGCTTGCCTTTTTTGGACGTACCACCTCAAGGAAGGATGTCAATACATCTGCGACATTACCCTGGTCCATAAATTCCTTCTTGATCATTTTCTCCATTGGGTCGAGGCTTTGAGCATTCTGGGTAGGATCTCAGAAGGCATCTCCTGTATAGAGACATTACTGTCTTTGCTCGAAGTAAGTTTTTACTGGCTCGATTGCACAGCACATAAGCTAACATATAAGCGGCAGACACAAGGAGATGCCAGACTGAAAATTTTTTTAACTGATTCTCGCCACTTTTTGCTTGCCTACGCATCGGCAATCAACTTAGCGCCGTTGCAGGTGTACTTTTCAGCCCTCATATTTGCCCCAGAAACAAGCGTTGTGAAAAACTCGTTCTTGAGAGAGCATCCTAACTGGATTTCCATTCTTCCTGATGGAGCTGACAGTGGATGGAGCCAATATGAATTGACCCTTGACAGACACAAAGACTCAGTTACCTCGGTCAATTTCTCCCACGACTCGAACTTCATTTTGTCTGGGTCTAAGGACAGAATAGTCCGAATTTGGTCGGCTAGCTCTGGTGAGCTGCATCGTACACTCAAGGGCCACGGAAAACCTGTCAGGTCGGTTGTTTTTTCGCATAATTCAGAACTTGTTGCTTCAGCTTCAGATGACCAGACGGCTCGGATCTGGTCGACCGCGACGGGCGAACTACGGAGAATACTTCAGCACAGCGATGTCGTTTTATCAGCCGTATTTTCACATGACTCAAAACTTATTGTATCAGCCTCCAATGACAATTTGGTCCGAATTTGGTCTGCCGATACAGGTGAGCTGCAAAAAGTGTTGGAGGGGCACCAGGACACTGTTAATTCAGTCGCATTTTCACACAACTCGGAGCTCATTGCATCTGCTTCAGATGACAAGACAATTCGCATCTGGTCGACTAGTACAGGCGAGCTGCAGCGCATCCTTAATGGCCATAACAGCCTTGTAACGTCAGTTGTATTCTCGCATGACTCAAAGATTATCGCATCGGGTTCATACGATTGTACAGTTCGACTCTGGACAGCCGATACTGGTGATCTCGCATTTACATTAAATGGTCATAAAGGAGCTGTTACCTCAGTAACACTCTCGCGTGACTCTACGTTCCTCACTTCGGCTTCACTCGATATGTCAATACGGGTCTGGTCGACACGTACCAATGAGTTGCAGCAGGCACTTCATGGGCATCGTCGCGGTGTGACCTCAGTCTCATTATCGAACGAGTCGAATCGCATTGCATCGGCCTCAGATGACAAAACAGTTCGCATCTGGTCGATTGATACATTCAATATTCATCAGGCGCTTGAGGATCAAAACGGAAGTGGTCCCCAGAACAATTTGTCATACGAATATGGCTCCTTAGAACCCCATAAGGAAACCTTTGAAATACGCACATTAAATGATACACGAAAATACGATACCGAAGAACGTCACGGTAATCTGGAAGTTAACATCGGTTTTTTAAGTGAACGAGTTCCTTTTTCTCGCCAAGATCTAGAAACTTTAGGTCATTTAGGATTCCTTGCAAGGAGGTATGGTGAAATGTGTGAAAAGGGCCCAAATCCTTTTGAAAATAACGACTGCGTGGGCCCAGGAATAAGCAAAGACAAGCGGTGGATAACCTGGCATGGTAGTAATTTACTTTGGCTCCCAGAAGAGTTCAGACCATGGTGCTCGGCCGTATTGGGGTCTTCAATTGTAATGGGGTGCGATTCACGAAAGGTCTATCTTATAAAGATAACTGAGAAGACGAGGCAATAAATTGACGGTTCTCCTCACTACCACATATGAGTTTCAAACCTACGCTTATAAATATTGTAGCTGGAAAAACGCCTCACGAACCAGAATTGGTCCATCCCGCTGCGGAAACTTCACCCCCATCGACCACCTAGAACTCGTATATTATTTAGTACTATTATCTTGGGGATAGCTACAGAATACACTCTTTTACACCTCTCAAGTCCTATAGATAATATCCTAATTGGTAGACTGTGTAATAACAGATATTATGGTATAGGTTTTCCGAGTAAATTCCTCTCCTAAAGGGGTCATACGAGTGGATTTGACTAGACCTGGCAGTTTGGGTGGGTTGGATTTGGGTTTGAACTTTTGGCCCATGGGTTTATGGATTGGCCTATTCTTAGTCTAACCTATTTAGATAATTTTATGCTTTATCAGGCAAAAATCCATACACCATACCAACTTTTAATAATGCTAACAACTAATCACAGTGGAACCAGAAAGTTAAGGGATTTATCTGAATATCCCTTATAGGTAGACCAACAACACTGTTTCTGAGCCCAGCTGAGAGGGCCACTGCGGTGATCGCGCGACGGAGGGTGAGAATCACCCGCTCTCCCCCAGCTTCTCACCCCTCATCGCGCGACAATAAAAGCAGCTCTCAATAAGTACTTCATAGCTTATATTCATTTCTCAGGAGACAATGAGCACATACGACCACAGGGTGTGGAGAACAGGGCTTCCCGTCCGCTCAGCCATACTTAAGCCACACGCCGGCAGGTTAGTAGTTGGGTGGGTGACCACCAGCGAATCCCTGCTGTTGTATGTTTTTTGTTCACCCGTTTTCTGTGATTCGTTGGGACAACTGCCCTTGCCGCTTTACTCTTCAGGCGCTCTTCTTCACCCGAACCCCTTCCTACGCTACTTAAATCTCTTTTGTAGATCCAAACGAAGGTTCTAATTCTGGTGCTGCTCACGATCTGTAAAGACCACAAGAAACCCTTACAATCCCTTACTAGCTGAGCGTTAGAAAGGCTATTATGTGTAGTTGAAGTAATAAGCAAGGGCGGTGGTAGAACTTAAGCAGTAGTGGCAGAACGAAGCGGATAGAGGCAAGTGAGGGAAAGGCTATATAGCAGGGCCATGTAGTAGAAAGCGGGTCCAACCCGTTATAGGATCCAATCCAACAGAAAGCTCCTTAGAGGAAGCGGCCATCCGCCCCGAGCCACTTAGCCATGAAATTGTACGCAGTCAAGGTTGTATTGCCGTACTCGCCGGGATACGTCTCGCATGCTGTGCACGTGTTGATCGTATGCGTGGCGCCTTCAACAAAGCAGATGGTCGTGTCGTTGCTGCCGGAGTTGAGGCGGATCTTCTCCGCGTTAAGATACTCCCAGTGGCCGGTCATGCCCATGGTGAGCAGGGGCACCTTGATCCCCGGCACCGCCTGGATTGGCACCATGTGACTCGAGTTCCACTGGATCCCGGTGAAGCTGGTCTCGTTGTAGGAGAAATCGTCGTCGATCCGCATGCCGAAGGCGCCTAAGAACCGCACGATGGACGTCTTGGCGGCGCCAGACCCGTACAATTGAGCTACGGACGGTCCGAAGTTGGTGGGCACACGGACGCTATGGATGATTTCGGTGGTGATCGACTCGTCCTTGTGCAGGAGCGGCCAAGGGTAGACGGTGCGTGACAGGAAGCGGGTGTCCTGCGGGAACAACTTGTTGTCCTCGACTCCGTAGTTGGCGTCGGGAATGTACAGGTCCTCGTCGTCGATGAAAGTTCCATTGCCGGCCTTGATTATAGCCCTAGTCTGTTGAGCGTGCTTCACGATGCGCTGCATGCGGTGCGCAATGCCGGACTGGAAAGCCCGGACGAATTCCGGAGTGTAATTGCTGATTCCAGAGTCATTGAAGCCATTGGCGGGATTGTAGACACTGAGATTGAAATCAGTCTTCATGCCGGTATTCTCATTTTCGATCTCGGCACCAAAGCTCAAGAGCATCATGGTCGACATGCCATAATTGGCGTCGATCAGCATGATCCCGTCCGCCGCGGGAAGGTCGTCCATTGCGGGGGAGCAAGGGAGGAGCTTTTCCGATCCATTACACGCTGACATGCCATTCTCGGCGATGTTCTGGTAGGCAGACATCTCGGCGCCGCCGCCGCTGTGTCCGAACAGAACTACCTTGCTGATGATATCTGTCCGATTGCGTAAGTACTCCACGCCTGCAGCGACATTTTGCATCGTGTCCTCAAAATCGACATCCGTCTGCGTCGGGTATTTGCTCTCAGGGCCATCGGCGCAAAAAGCCGTGTAGCCTCGAGCCGGCAGCTCCGTACAAGCAGAAAAGGAGAGATAGTCAGACTGAAGATGCGTGACGAATACCGCAATCTCTGCTCTCGCTCAGTCAGTTCATACCGCAAAGACCATTCGGGAAGATGATTACCTGCTTTCGGTCCGGGGTTGGCCGGCCGATATAAGCCCCCGACCAGCCCTCCCTGAGTCAAATCGACCAGTTCTGGTTTTAGCACTGTGTCAAATGCGGAAGTCCAGCCGACCAGTGCGGCCAGGGCAACAGACCCAGCTTTTTTAAGGTAGACCATGTTTGGTTTCTTGATTCTTGGGACTGAATATGAGAGATGAAACCGTTCGGACACAACGGAAAGGGAAAAGCCGCGAGAAAGATGAAGGCAGAAGCACATACGTCAAAAAAACGACAAGGAAACGCCCTTTGCAAGTAGCAAGTAGCAGGTTTGGTTAGTAGTAGCCGGGGATCGACCAACCCACCCGTGCTGACGCGTCTGAACTAAAAAAGATAGATTCCCCCTTGCTCGCTTTCCCAGAAACAATATTAACGTAGTTCAGTACCGAGTCGTCCACCCTACCGAACTGCCCGCTCCGCCCGGCCGCTACCACTATTTTTTTTTGTTTGCTCCTTTATAGGGCGCAGGTTCGAGCTTGAGTAAAGGATTTTCTTTTGCTTTTCCCGCACATCACGTAATTTACACATAATATACAATGCCAGCTGAGCCCTCGGATGCCTTCCTGTCCCATCTTGAAAGTATGGGTGCCGACGAGGCATGTTAGCGCCGGAAGAGTCTTCCGCCTCATAGAGTAACTACCTACTTGATATCTCCATTTGACCGTATCTATTCCATGGGGCGCCTCTTCCTTTAGATCAGCAGACATGACTTACCAATCCAGGATGGCCTCAAGCCGCCCGGGCAGTGCAATTCTGTCAACGCAGACATGGACTGAGAGACACTACCACACGTAGTAAATGCGCTCCAGGCTACATCAGGATATGTTCCTTTAGATTCCTGTTTACTCTTCGCAACGCGCGTAGCGCTCCACCTCACCAACCAAATAGCACACACTTGGACCAGAGAGAGCACACAAGTCTTCGTCGAAGTCCGCCGTTTCGTAACTTCAGCCGAATCGGGGAACTAAAGCCGCGACTGATCTACAGGCAAACCCGAAGCTAACTCATTCCCGTTTAACGCTCCGTATTGACTAACCTGAATGCGTAAGCCGATCGGTGATATGATCGCGGCCATGTACTGTGTACATAGACGTACACCGTAACCTACTTACGCGTCTATGTCAGATCATGTCCGCTAGTAGAACCACCGAAAGTAGCTAACTACAAGTGTAAATTCTATACACCCCGTATCAGAACTCCGTAATGAGATACACAGGGAAGTTAATCTAGGTTCTGTCCCTCTTAGGCTCATTATCCTAATCGCATTCCGACATTGACGCTATAGGTGCCTCCCTAATAAATAGTTTTCAGGATTTTAGGTGTATGCATTTTTATATGCATTCACCCAGAGCTTCCAATTCAACATGGAGGTTCCCGTTCTACCATCTCTTATCGTCTTTCGTCTGATTTTCCAATTCTCTCTCATTTATTTCTCACCTATCTCTCACTTCAGTATTTACTATGCTTTCTCTCATTACCAACCTACATAACCTCGTTATTAGGCCTACCCCTCACTTTCTGACATCCTCTACGATGCCGTTGATTCATCATGATGTTGTTGACACCAGAGAAAAATGCCTCACTTTCTGTCCATAAATACAGCTCATAACCTAGACTGAATTAAATAAGAGCTTTCATCTCAATTTACCTACCACTACCCTTTCTCTCTCCTAAAAGATAGACCAGGGGATTTTCTTATATTATCTTCTCTCTGTCTCTCCCTCTCTCTCCTATATTATATCTCTTACTATTAGGGGTGAGCTACAACGCTGCAGTAGTAGCCTACCTCTACGGAAGGGTAGTACGTGTAGTAGGATTAAGTATTTGCCCTTGGGAGGGCCAAGGACCCTGAGACATTCATTTGTTCTCTCTATATTATCTCTATCCGCTTACCCGCCTACTCTGCCACTTCCAACACTCTTTCTATTTTATTTTATATTAGTTCTATTCTATATGATTAGCTTTTACTCCTATTTAGTAAAACTGTCTACTTTACTAATAGATAATAGATCCTATTAATACGCTACATCTTCTATTTTAGAATGTATAGTTATAGAAAGAGGCCTTTATTATAAATTGAATACCTAAAAATTTAGACTAATACTTTATAAATAATACTAAGATAAGGACCCACCTAAATATGTTAGGTTCGGGGTGGCGCGGGTTATGGCGCACTCTAATTTATAGCCTATGTGCGGAGGACGATAGGGAGGTTAGGACAAAACCCCACTCTACTAATAACGTAATTCACAAGTTTCCTACTAAAACCCCGGAAGCTATTTGACACGTAATTACATGCATCACCGTGGAGAACTACGTACGTAGCTAGTGGGCCTTGGCCCTGCGGCATGTAAAAAAGTGAAACTTTTCGGACTAGATTACTTAGTTAGGGAAAGCCCACCACGGCCCGAATAGGGCCCTCGGCATGGCTATGTGCCCCTGACGAGATTAATTGCAAAAATTGCCAGTAACTAGTGGGTCTGTGGATCTTTTCATGTTAGTATGTACACCCTGCCGTCCTGTTCCTTCATACATAGCTTCTACCCTCGCTGGCTTGCGCGTCCCTTTTATTACGTCGTCCATATAGGGCATGATCTACACTTAGGGCTATTCCGGTGTTATGAAGCAGTAGTGTGAAGGAACTAGACTAACAAGAAAACCCATAAAATCTTGGCCCCGGGTGGTCTGACGTTTTAATTATCTGAGTAGAAATATTCGCCTACAGGTTTGCATAAATACTGCCTTGTAAACCCATCCTCCCCGGGCCATGATTCAATCCGAGAAGACCAGCTTATGTGCTCTTCACGCTCTCATGTTGAACCTACTCAAGCTTCTCGTCGTTGCACCAGCTCTGGTAGTCGCTACTGACTTCCCAGTCATCAAGACAAACTATGGCGCCGTCCAAGGTCAAGCATCACCCTTCCGGCCAAATGTTACTGTCTACAAGGGAATTCCATTTGCTGCTCCACCAACTGGATCAAAGAGATGGACTCCTCCCACGAAGCCCTCCTCTTGGAATGGGACACTGAATGCAACAAAATTCAGCCCCCAGTGTGCCCAACCCTACTCTCCAGCCGGTATCTTCTCTAGCGGCAAGAACTCTACTAGTGAAGATTGCTTGTACCTGAACATCTGGAGCCCCACCTACGACACCACCTCTCTCAGCCAAATCCAGGCCAAGAAGCTGCCTGTTTACGTGTGGATTTTTGGCGGTCGATTCGAGGGTGGTTCAGGCGATGTGATTACGTATGACGGTACCGGTCTTGCTTCCAAGGATGTTATCGTCGTCACAATCAACTACCGTCTCGGTGCTTTCGGTTTCCTTGCTCATCCGGAGCTCTCGGCTGAGTCTGGACACAACAGCTCCGGAAACTATGGTATCTTGGATCAGCTGTTTGCGCTCCAGTGGGTCCAGGAGAATATTGGGTACTTTGGTGGAAATTCCAGCCAGGTTGTTGTTGGTGGCCAGTCTGCTGGATCGGCGAGTGCCCTCGACATGATGTGGAGTCCTCTTAGCAGTGGACTTATCAATGGTGTTATTTCGGAGAGTGGTGCTCGCGGTCCGCGCGATCCAGCTACTGGAAGTGTGGCTACGAGTTACAATACCAAAGATGTGGCTGAGAATTTCGGTGTTGAGTTCTTGAGCACTATGAACGTCTCTTCTATTGCTGAATTGCGGGCTCTTCCTATGGCGGATTTGATCGCTGAAGGCCAGTTGACGCAGGCTGACTTCTATGATGGAACTACCTTTGTGGACCTGTACTCTGGACCCCCTCGCTGGCGTCCTGTTATTGATGGCTACGTACTCCGTCACGGTTATGGAAAATCCTTGTCTTTGAATGCCCATGCGGATGTGCCTATTCTGACAGGAAACAACAAGGATGAGAACAATGGAGGTGCCTCGACTGCCTCTGAGTATAAGACTTTGTTCACAGAGGTCTTCCAGAATTACTCATCAGAATTCTTCTCTCTCTACCCTGCCGACAGTAATACTGCAGCTGTCGACATGAGTGACGAGGTACTCCGAGATATTGCCCGTGTCGGAACATGGGAATGGGCTGCTGATTGGGCTGCTGGTGGTGCAAAAAGCGATGTGTTCGTGTACTACTTTACGAAAGCGCCTGCTGAGGATGAGTCCGCGGGTGCTTACCACGGTGCTGAACTCTGGTACACATTCAACAACATTCCGTACTCGGACTATTCGAATGTGACCTGGAATGCCACCGACTATGAAATTGAACAGATCATCTCGGACTACTGGGTTAACTTCATCCGCACCGGCAATCCTAATGGCGAGGGGCTGACGTACTTCCCCCCGTCGACTGCTGCTAACAAGTCTACGATGTGGCTGGGTGAATCTTTCGGGGCTGGACCCATTGCGGCTTCAACCGAGAGAGTGAGCTTCTTGCGACGATGGATGTCTCATCTTCACGAGTATTAGGTGAATGCTATGATTCCTTAACCAAACTATTGATTGGTTAGTTGTTGCATTTCAGGCATAGAACCCGAACGAACATATATCCTAGCTCAGCCGATGTCCTCTAACAAAAACTCTCTGGTGGGGCTAAGGGTGCGGGCCTAAATACAATGTGATGATTTATTGGGTAACAAGTAATGTATACTGTAATAAAACAATGTATGAAGTGTAATAAATATACTTCCAAGAAGATATATTACGTTCGGCCCAGGGACATGGCCCCAAACCGGCCCAATTGCCAGGTTTACACCAGGCGTATCCAACATGTGAGTAGGCCAAAGCACACAAAACGATCACCAGCAACACATGCCGCAAAGAGCTGGAGAAAGTCATTCTCGCATACAGTGAAGGCAGACCGAGCAGAATCTCTAGAATACCATGCAGATGGTTCTCAGCAAAGAATCTACAAATATCTCTGCCTATCATTCCCTCAACCTCTGAAGGAGGATTAGCTCATGCTCGAGGAACCTCCAGGGCCTCACTGATAACTAGAGGTAAATAGCGCCTTCAAGATGGATAAGAAATATCAAGAAGACGTAGCGCGAGACAGCAAGAAAACGGGTGTTCCTTGTATTTAGGAAAAGCCTAGATAAGGTACGTAAATCCGCTCACGTCGTACGTTCCTCCGCTTCTCGTGTATACCTGTGACAAGTCTTACCTTGAATTCCAGGTATTCGCCTTGTCTCATGGTGACCCTACGCTTGACTCCCCCAAATGCTGTATGCCAGGTCTCTCACCAGCTGTAGCTTCTCCAGCATGTTCTGTCTTGTGAGCCTGTTTTCGCGGCAATGACTGGCAAACCCGCATTGGGGACTAACGGCCAGTCTCTCCAGAGCCACATCCAAGCTGACGTTATTACCCTCGGCGATGTATTCTGCGGCTTTATAGACGCGTCCCTTGAGCTCTTCCAAGTCCTCCATTTCCGCCTTCTTCGTAGAAATTACTCCCAGAACGACATACTTGTTCAGGGGCAGACTCTTCAAAGGCTCGAAGCCCCCTGCCCGAGGCGTGTCATACTCCAGATAGTACGTATTAACGTTCAGGTCCCGGAAAAGCCGGCTAGCGATTATGTCATACCCTCCTGTCGAGACATATCGGTCGTTGGTGAAATTCCCCCGGCAAATGTGGATGCCGATGTGTATGTCTTCGGGAACATTACCAAGGCAGGAATTATACCAGTTAACGTATGTTTCTAGTAACTCAGTGGGCGTTTGTATGCTTTCCGGATCAGCGGCCCAATCCTCGATAATTTGAGGAGAGCAAAGGTCTGTGATCGGCGGTTTTTAGTAATATTCCCTATTGATCTTCCGCTTGATCTGCTTTTCTTTCACTATAGAGCAAGGATGCATTCACTGACAGGACAGATGGGGATCATCAATCTGGACTCTTCTGAGACCTGCGTCGTAAAGAATTTGTAGTTCTTGCCTGTAGACTACCGCCAAATCTTCGAAATAGCCGGTGTCAGAGTCGTACACGCCTTTGGCGTAGGCCATGCCGTCTTTGTGCCGGAAATGGTACCAACTTGGCGCTGGAATGGTAATTTTGATGTTGCCGGCATTTTCTGGCCCAACGACAGACCTCAGGAAGAGGAATTCATCCAGATGATTGCTGCTTCCAGGGTGTCTAATTTTACCAGTGCACATTGTAGAGGCTCCCGGGGCAAAAGGAGACTCCAAGAGTACCTTGATGTCGGGTAGGTATGTGCGAAGTCCATTTGCGTCAAGAGGGACGGCTTCAAAGCCTTCCAGGTTATCGAAAAAGGTCCCCCAGAACACTGTTGAGATAATCAGCTTTGGTCTAGGTGTCTAGTACAGACAAGTGAGGGTGTCACACAAGACCGCCGGTATTCACCGTCAGACACGGCTTTGAATCCGATTTTCAACTGCTCATTGACAACAATGGTGATTTCACGGTTCTCAATTTGCCGTCGAGCAGTTGCATTTGTGTCCTGGCTCGCATACCCCAGAAGCTCTGCAGGACGAAGTAAAGAGCCGAGATGCTCGGCTCTGCGGGGACGAGGAAGAGCAGCACCGGTCATATTGCTTAATCGTCGGTCCTAGGGTCAAAACAATGGGCGGCTTTATTGCGAAGAAGGGGTTGTGGGAAGTGAATACAGAATCAGGGAGGGGAGGGAGTGTATCTGGAAGAGGGGTAATAGTGGTTGTGTGGGGATTTAGCCAGCTAAATGTATATCTTTGGCGCAATTTGTAGGTCCAAAGATACCATTTCTTACAGGGGATGTTACCTGATACTTTCAGGCGCTGGCGAGTTTCTAATTTGATCGGTCCGACAAGGCTTAACCCAGGTATAAACAACTCCCATTGTGGGCTATTTTCTCCATTTACCTCAATGCGCCCCATAAATTCCACGATATTTTTATTCTGATGCCAAAACCTCTACCCCAGCTATGGTCTCCTCGCTGTTCCTTTCAGTGCTTACAAAACCAGGACGGCGTCTCTGACCGGTGGAATATTTCGGTAGACCACGAACGACCGCGCCGAATGGTCGGGGCCGAGCCGAACAATCAGGGTGGGGGTTCGGAGATAAATGGCGAGAGGGCATTCATCTCTGGATGCCCCCGTGACACGCGACTTTGGAACCTCTTTGACGCCTTCGCGAAATCCAGAACGGCTTCCACCATCTTGTTCCGCGAGGTATTGTCTGGTTGCTTCCTCTCTTTCTCTTGAGAGCATCCCAACAGAGTCGACACGCTGTTAAATGCGTAATGCGACAATCTAGGCACTCCGGAGCGAGGTAGAGTGGAGAAAGACTGTTAGAGTAGTTAAATCCGAGGTATTAATCTAAAGACCCACTTTTCAGGTCGCCCCTGGCTTAGTTTACACTAAGTTTACAACAAGTTTTCACCTACAGTCACACTCAGGCCTCTGACCTTGCAATTGGTGACACCTTTTTATGAAATGGCCCCTCGCATAATATGCTTTTGTCTAGTTGATAATAGAGAATCCCAAAAAGACACCTTCGTCCGACTACGTGGCTCCTATTATACATGCACCAATATTACGCTTGAGAGTAAGCAGCTCAGAAAATCCATGCCCATGAGCAGATGAACCAGACCATATGGAAGCTATACGCAAAGCATAGAGTACATCTTATAAATTAGATAATTAGGGGCATTAGGACTATGTAGGAAGTTGATTCAAGTCAAGTTATCATCACCAAGAGGCCTCAATTATATAATGCTGGCTACACTGTGCTTGCATGCCTATGGAGAATAACATTGATATTTCGTAAACGTTTGATAGTCTCGCAGAACGTATTTCACTACCCACCCGGCCACCGCAGAACTCCATATTAAATGCTGTTTTTATAACCTTATGTCTCAACAACCATCGGTCTAATTTATTATAATATAAATATCCTGGTATTCATAAGCATTCTTTATAGCAGATATTAATTTCAAGCCGATCAAAGTGTCGTATATTCACAATACCATAAATTACGTTGTAATTTAGCTAAAAAAAACCAGAAATATATATACTCCCCTATCAAAATTTCCTAGACTCTATTTAAGTACTATGTTTACTGTATAGAACATGACCTTAGAGATTGCTATCTACACGAGCCCCGATTGTTGAGATATAAGATTGCAAAAAATGGCATTTAATATGGTGTTCTGCGGTGGCCGGGTGGATAGTGAATTACGTTAACCACATTGGAGGATCATTCCACTAACCAGCAGTTTTACCCCTGCATAATTCGTTAGCGGTAATATTGTCGATCATGACTACAAATTGAGTGAGGGGCAAACACCTGTATTCAACAGGCACAATACGACGGCATGGATACAGTAGTTTTAAAACCCCCAGCGCCCTTATTTCCGTCCTCAATTTCTGGCTGGACAGTTGAATTTTACAACTTTCCCTTACCATTACAATCGATATGCTTTTGCCAGTCTTCGCAGTGCTTACATTGTTTGCTGGAAGTGCAGTTGCCGAATGCCCATTCAAGTACCAAAAACCTGACGATTTAGGGCATACAGTCGACAAGTATCCGCAGACTCCCGATGGATCCAGCAAAAAGGGTATCTTCTATATGAATCGCATTTCGCCGGGAGGCTCACGTCTCTATGTGGCCAATTCCGATGGTAGTAACATGAAGCCACTCGAGAGCAACAAAACGGCAGGATTCGACTTGCACCCTTCCTGGTCTCCCGATGGTCAATGGGTTGTGTTCACAAGTGAACGTCGTGGTGATGGACAGGCTGATATCTACCGTATCAAATCTGACGGCACTGAGCTCAACACTTTGGTGCAGACCGATGCTTTCGACGATGCGGGTACGATATCTCCCGACGGCACCAAGCTGGCATATGTTTCGACACTTGGCAACTTCACGACAAATATATGGGTTAAGGACTTGAGAACAGGTCAAACGCACAATTTGACGGATACTGCTGCGACGCGAGGTGACCCTGCGAGTCCTCAAGGGCATTTTCGTCCAGCATGGTCGCCTGATTCAGAGTGGATTGCCTTCAGCTCCGATCGAAATACAGATTGGACTGGTCATAGCAACGGAACTGGTTGGGAGCATACTCAAACGCTCTCGATCTATGCTATTCGACCGAACGGTTCCGATTTCCGCCGGGTAGTAAGCAAACCCGGCTACTCCCTTGGTACGCCCCAATGGTCTCCAGATGGACGCCGAATTCTTTTCAATGTTGTTCGCACCGAAGACACGTATAATGCACATGGAATCTCGAGCTCAGTAGCAAGGGTCACTGGCCAGGTTGCTAGCGTGGATTTCCATACCGGCCGTGATATTGTCGTATACACATCTGGGGATCACTTGAAGGTCGGCCAACACTGGATCGGCAACAGCAGTAACATCGGCTATTTGATCAAGGGTGGGGACAATGAAGGTATTAACTACACCTTGCCTGACTCCACTCATAGCGCATTCAACTTAACCTATCTACGGGATCCATCTTGGTCGCCAGATGGCACAAAGCTGGTTTTTGAAGTACTGTCATGGGATGTACGCTCTGCCGGCAAGCAGCTCTTCAGCTGGGATGAGGAATGGGAATATCGTTTCATAGATACGTTCCCACTATTGAGCAACACGACCGGTCGTATAGCTTTGACTGAGAAGCAATTGGGAAACTCGTCAGTGATAACATCCACCGGTAACTTGACAGACCAAATAGACTCTTTCGACGTGTACAAGGTGTGGTCGAGCAAAAACAAGACCAATGAGGAGTGGGTGGAAACCGGCACCGGCGGTGCGTTCCAACCAACATGGAACCAAGATGGCTCACAAATCGCCGTCGGACTCGGTGTCTGGTTTGCCGGTCGCAACGACGACACAGGAACGATCTATCTGGCTAATACTACTGGAAATGGCTTCCAAGACTTGACCAAAACACCCTCTACTCTCAACGCTGGCTTTCCATCTTTTTCACCCAGTGGTAACAAGCTTGTCTACCGTCTCTGGGACGTTACTAGCCAATCTCCCTTGGGGCTTAGAATTCTTGATCTTGAGACAGGCAGAACCACAAATCTAACTACTGGCTGGGATAACACGCCGGGGTGGTCGCCAGATGGCGAGCGCATTGTCTTTACTCGTCAAGTAAACTGGACGACAGAATACGGTAGCCGGTGGTATGCCGACCGCTTCGATATCATGACCATTCGACCAGATGGCAGTGACCTGACTCGCATCCCTGATAGTCTGGCTAATGACGCCCATGCTGTGTGGTCGTATGATGGCCGCATCCTATGGAGCAGTGGTCAGTACGCCTTCCGTGACGAATGTATTCTGTACGATCAAACCTTTCAGCCATACGGACAGATCATGGTGATGGATGCCGATGGGTCCAACAAGCGCCTCTTGACTGATAGTATGTGGGAAGACTCGATGCCTATGTATTTACCGAAGGACGCTCTATAAGTCGATGTCAATTTGCCAAAGAGGGATTGAAGCTCAAATAAGGGCTTAGAAGAGAACTTTTTCATGAAACTCATGGCTTTTCTTAGGGAGGATAGTCCTAATGAACAGCTCTCGGCCTTCGTTATGGGTTCTCTTTGAAGAACATTCTATATGCCGATTAGCTTAAATCTAGGTCTTGCCCCATCCGCACCTCAGGATGTGAAGATCTCAGAGTTAGACTTTGTTCCAGAAATATTAATGAACGGCCACTGTAGCTAGGAATAATCGGCTCTGGAATGGGAAGATGTCGAGTAAAGTGGGGTAGTAAATCACACCCGAAATGGTTTATTTTCATTTGTGTCATGATTTCTTTGTTTGTATTAAGGGTTTCTCGCAACCCGCTCCGAGAATCGGGATTTTCCACCGCCCTTTTCCTACTCATACAAGCAAAGACACCCTAACATCACGCATCTTCCGCTATTTTCATCCTCTCTTCAGTTCAATTCATCTGATATTTTTTGGGTTGGTCCCCCTTGGTAGATTAGCCTCATTCTCGCATACAATGCTGTACTGTATCAGCTTGCTGTGACAGAAGATTTTGGTGACTGAGAGATGTACGGGCCTGATTAAGAGTATATGCTAAATAGGTCTCCCATCCCTTTTCTTGAACTACTCTACGAGCTACACACTCACTCGTCAAAGATTCTTAGGGTAAGCTCACTATCGCCCTCTGTATGCGGCAGGACTACTTGTCTGATTTCGGAGTTATCGCAGTCGCCTAGGTTTACCACGTTACAGGTGTAAGCCAGCAGTGGATTTTGTTTTCATCATAATTGCCTTGGACTTAAAGCAGGAGGGTAACGGCAGAGGGATAGGAGTGAAGTGGAAGGGAAGGGAAGGGAAGGGAAGGGAAGGGAAGGGGAAAAGGGTAAGGGCAACTAGCGGCAACTGCCTGGAAGGCAAGGATATGGTTTCTGCTCCCGCATGAAATCTTTCCCTTATCAAAATGTACAAAGGCACACTTAGGGGTAGGGCTTCACCCTCTGGGTGAAGAACATTGAACATTGAGGTGGGTAACCTGCCGCTCGAACCCGGAAGGCCGACTGCGTACAGCGGCGAGCCGCCCAGCACCGAACGATGGGCGCTAGGTTAGCATCGCCATAGAATAGCTGTTGTATATTTTTGTTTCTTGTTTCCTTTTGATAAATTTTAAGCATGAGAAGCAAATGCAAGAAATCGGGGCTATAACCCAAAAATAAATTTGAAAGACAAGACAAAAAAACGATGGTGCCAGAGACTATCAACAACAGAGGCGGAAGCGATTTCGAAGCGAGGGCATGACTCTCAAAATGGTGCATATTTCAGGAAACCACGAGTTCTATTCCAAGATCAATCGGACCAAGGATCATATCCTTCGGGCCATCCAAGATCCCGCGCGAGATCGGACCATCGAATATCTGCGTAGTCATCTTCACTCCCAGTATTATATTCCCAGTTTCGAGTAGACTGGGTGGCAGGCAACTTGCCCTTGGACCTGCTCTTACCGTACTTTTGTCGATTCCGTGCAGACTTACGCTCTTTCTCCTGGCGCCGAGCATTTTCCGCCCATACTTTCAGTTCTTCCGGGTTCCTAATGCACCAGATGACGACATCTCGTGCTGCATATGCGTCTTCCAAAGCACTATGGCCACAATCGCTGGTCTGTATATCCAAGCTCAAGAGGTCTTTTGCAAGTGCTTTCAACCCCCACATACGGGTCAATGGCTTTGTGGATTCAATAGAAGGGAAGACAGTCTCAGCGGTCAAGATGGCAGAGTCAACAACTTTCGCATGACATATGCCTAGTACTTCGAGATCATAGTTGAGAGAATGACCAACCAACACAGTCGAGTCGTCTATAAACTCGCATAGTTTGTCGCGTGCCTCTCGCCAGCTTTCAAATGCTGCACCAGAGGCAATAGCTCCGGCCATGATGACTTGTGTCATGCCACTGAACTTAGTTCTCCAGTCAACCACATCCTCGACTGGATTAACATAGCGACTTATAAGCACTTCGCCTGTCAAAAAGTCAATGGCGCTAATAAAGGCGAGTGTTTGGCGACCGTTTTTAACCCCCACCATCTCACAGTCAATTGCGATGGCATGACTGCTGCCCGCTGCTTGTAACTCCAGATGACGTGTCTCTCGAAACTCATAGGTTTTAATGGATCCTTTGGATGGAGCTTTCTTGTTTCGTATGGAACCGGGTCCAAGAATGTATCCTTCCCCCTGGAGACGACTCCATGAATGGCACCTTGAACGAAGATATCGCAAGATGAGATTCTGCTCCAAAGGGTCTAGAATGGTTGGGTAAATCGGGATTCCAAATTTAACAATTGGCAGAGCTCCTGTTGAAATGAATGTAAGCCTCGAGTTAGCCACTGGGTAGGATCCGAGGCTCCTGACCTAGTATAGGGTTCTCTTTGAGATCCATTACTGGCATAGATTCCAGTAAACTATTTAACAGATGATCATCCGGAATCTCCAGTCCCTGTTCGAAGGGTTTAAGAGCCGCGTTGGAGGCACCTGCTTGGACAGCTCTCAAGCGTAAAAATGGTGTCACCACTCCGCTTGATGATGATACGCTTGGTAATGGTATGCTCGAGAATGGTATCCGTGGAAGATCGTTTGGTATATCCGGTAAAGCGCCGTTGGACTTATTATACTTTTGGTAATGCTGTATAATCCCCAGCTCATCCTTGAAGGCTCTTTGGCAAACAGAACACTGAAAAGAGTGGCGCTCTTTTCTAAAGTGTCTTCTGACGCCACCTAGACTCTGAAAGTCTTTCCTCTCACATCCAGGACAGGAAAATCGAACTGAAGTATTTTTGACCATGTTCCTAAAATATTGAATTTCAAGGTTCATATGACAACCGAACGAAGGGTGCGGATTAAAGAGCAGATTTCGAGAAGTGTCGCGCACTTTATTTCTCTGCCTAACACTAGGACTGGCGCTCAAGGCACACACGTAGCCAAATCCGTGCATGCTGTGGCGGGAAGCTATTGGTAGGTACAGGGGTTTTGGAACTACTACGATACGATACGCTGCTTCGCCACAATCCCCGCGCGCGCGCCTAAACAATTTCACTATTCTAGTCTGCTCTACGAAGAGGAGAGACTCAATATCTGGCAAAGCCAGTAAGTGTTACTTACATTGTTAGCCCAGTCGAGGTTAATCCGCCAGGGGGCTATGTGTAGATGGTAAGAGACCGACTGGTTTAGATAGGGCTTCGTGGCCCAATGATGTGCCACTCTAACTCAGCTGGCAAGGTCAGTGCGGTGCTCGCACCGGCAGGTTGGTTAGTAGTTGGGTGGGTGACAACCAGTGAATCTCTGCTATTGTATGTTTTGCTTTTTTAGGCACATTAGGAGACGATGGGCCGTTGCTACGAGTCTTAGCTACTATAGCCTTAGCCAAGCTAAGTTACGAGTCTAGCTCCAGGGCTACGCCGCCCTACCACAAAAATAGCCCCAAATATAAGGAAAGTCACGCAGGTAGGCTGTTGGATCGATATACAAGTGCGCGTAGAGGCTGATTGGGAAGTCTAAGACCTCACCAGCCACATTTTAGGTGGAGCAATATACAAGTTTCACCAAAATCACAGATGTTGACCAAATGATAAGTGCCGATACGTTGGGATCAAAGGAACTTATTGAGAACTAACGAATACTATACAGAAACAATATACCATTCAACTCCAAGGAGAATACAGTCATAAATTCATCATCATATCGCAGAGGCATTAAATCATGATCGAAGCAAGGCCATAGGCAAAAACATCTCTAAAGCAGAGAAAACATAGCAAACCGAAATACTTAACAGAGTCGATGTAAGCGTCACAATACAGAGGGAAAAAAGAAACAAGCAAAGAAAACAAGCAAAGACAAAAGCAAAGAACCACCCAGAAGATTAAAGAACCGCAGCATTTAAATCAATGTTTTTGTATCCCGGTCAAGTCCAACTGTTTAAAGTAAGTTGGGAAGAATCAGAATAAGACTCGAGTGAATTTCTTAATCAGGTCTTCGATCTTTTCGACTGCGGGATCTTCTGTCTCGGTGATTAGACGACCATGCGAGTCGAATCGATCTGGAAGATCGATTGTCGAGTCTGATTCTGATTCCGGATGGTGTTGACCTTGGGAGTGTTTAGAATGATGGCGGTATTCCCGAGATCGAGCAGGGGCCGGGGGTGAATATGGAACAGAGGATGAGCGACGGCGAGAATAATGGGGACGACGGCTGGATGAATGGATGGTAGAATCACTGTCGTCGGTCTCGTATCCGCGATCTGGCTCCGGGGTCAAGTCAAAAGCGACGGACTTTGAGGAGGGTGCTGGTTGGCTGCCGGATCGGGGTACGGACGGTGGTGGTTGGAGGTTGTTCACATCTAGACCTGTACGTAGATTGTTAGCTTTTGTTCCACAGGTCACCGAGCATGGTTCAGTGAACCCACCATCGCGCGTGTGGTCCTGATCAGTGGGAAGGGTGGAGCTCTGTGGAGCACTCACATTCTCATCGGCTCGTCGTGGCCGCGGGGCGTAGGGCTCTGGTCCGGGTGCTGGGCCGTAGGGCTCTGGTCCGGGTGCTGGGGCGCCGTAACTATAGGGCTCGGGTGGGGGAGCCGCGCCTGGTGGGGGAGGGTAGTCCGCAGGGTTGTAGGGCTGAGTGGTGGCATTCAGGTTTGGAGTTGAGCCTGGCGGGGGAGGGAAGTAGTTGCTCTGGGGGTAGTAGTTGGGGTCCGGGATAGGATGATGGGGTGCGGCATGGGGAGAGACGGGGTAGGGCTCAGGATCATAGGATTCTTCGTATGGGTCGCGGTGGGCATCATCCTCATACCCTGTTTTACTGTCAGTTTTGTGTTGAAGGGATGAGAAAGGGATAGTGATGAACTCACGGGTCCTCGAGCGTGAACGTGAACGTGAACGTGAACGTGCTTCCTTGCGGTCCCGGTGCTGTTGATACTTGTGCGCGGCATATCCCAAGCCGGTGGCACCCAAGACACCCTCGGCGATCCCGCGAGAACGGCTGCGGTGCCGGTGCTTTCCGCTGCGCCGGCGTTCCCGATCCGAGCCCGAGGAGCTGCTATAACGAGGAGCACGGCTGCGACTGCGGCTACGGCTGTGACGCCGGCCGTCAGCGCCGTCCGAGTAGTAGGCAGTATTCTGAAGGGCTGGCTGGCCATAGTAGTGGTCAGCGGGGATGCTGCCCGTGACGGGGTCGTTCCCGTACTCGATCAAACCCGCCGAATCACGAGCAGGATCGGGATGCATTTCATGGGCACGGCTGCGGGATCTAGACCGGCGTCGCTCACGGCTCACCGGCTCTTTGGTGTCTTTCTCGGCCTTGTTCTTCTCGTAGAGACCAGTGATACCAGCGGTACCCAGACCAGCGGCCAGGATGGGAAGGGCCTTCCGAATGCGACTTTGCGAACGAGAATGCTCACCCTTGCGGGACTTGGAGCGGGATCGAACATGCTCGATCAAGCCCGCAGCGGCAGCACCAGCCAGACCAGCGCCGACCATATGCTGTCTGCGCTTAGACTGGCTGCGAGCGTCGTCATTCTCCGAGCGGGCAGTGCTCAGAGCCCTACCCCGAGAGCGGGAACGAGTACGGGAGCGGCTCTTCCTTTCATCCTTGTTCTTGTTGTTGTTGCGCATGGCAGCGACACCGGCAGCCACTGCAGCGGCACCGAGGCCAAGCTCCAAAAGAGTCTTTGCACGAGAGTGCGAGTGGGAGCGGCTGCGACTCCGGCTGCCGTTACGACCGCGGCTGCGGTGTCGACGGTGGCGAGAGCGTTCATCGTCCGAGTGTGCGCGATGGCGGCTTCGACTCTTGCTGCGGTAGTAGTCGCGAACGTGTCCGGCGGCATTGACAGCCACGGCACCCAGAGCACCAGCTCCAGCGGTCTTTGCAGCACGGCCTAGGCCATGGCTCACCTCCTTGCCCTCACGCTTGCTTCGGCTGCGCAACAGTTCAGCAGCACCAACACCTACCAGGGCACCTTCTACGAGGTGACGGTTGTGGTGGGGGTGCTCGTCATCATAGTCGCGGGTGGTCTCTTTACGGACGTAGACCATGCTGTCGTCGCTGCTGTAGTCATCACGATCCCCACGGCGCCGGCTAGCCTGGGATATGGAGTCACCCGGGCTCAGTTCTCGGCGCGAGCGACGATCATCGTACTCGCGGACACGGCGGCGGCTGTGATAGTAGTAGGGGTCTTCGTCGGCATCTGAGCGACGGACAACGTCGTAGTCGGTCTCTCGGGCTGGGCTTATAATCAATAACTGTTCTCGAATGAACCTTGGGTCCGAGTGTCGCCCAGGATGCAACAAATGATCTGCGGATCTGGTGCGGTTGTGGTGACGATGCATGTACTCACGTTCGTAGTAGTCCCGCTCGTAGCGGCGAGGTTCGTAGTCGATCTCGCGCTCGTAGCGAGAAACGGTCATGGGCTCTTCGCGCTCGGTCTTGCGACGGATAACGAGCTCGCGGTCCCCTGCATAATCGTTTCGACTCATCGAGAACTCTCGTCGGTCCTCACGGTCCTCGGAGGGAATGACGTAGCGCTTGATGGTGACGGGGCGATCATAATCGTCGCGCTCTCGCTCTCGGTAAATGTACGACATGGTACACGGATTAGAGGAAGGTGAAGGATGAAAGAAAGTTGGAGGGGCAAGTAATCAATGAGGGGCGACGGGAAACCGAGTGATGCAGAGAAATGGAGGGGCGCAGGGCAAGTGGGGTTCAAGGCAGTGATCGACTAGTGCAACAACGGAACAGGCGGGACTTCCGATTGGAAATATGGAAATATGCTTCTGGAATGAAATGGAAGAGATTTCCCTGATGATTCAGACCCAACCCCGAGCCCGAGAGTGCCGTTGGAGATCGACAGGCAGCACTGATTCACTTGGGCAGCAACCGGGACGAGACTGAAGGAGGAAATATGAAAGGCACAAGTAGAGGAGTTGAGGAGATGAGCAGAGACGAGTCAAAAAGTGAGTTGAGTTGAAGAAGACGGAAATAAAGAAAGATAAGAAAGAAAAACGCCACGTGAGGCTCCGTGTACTTCACCGACTGCGTAAACCCTTGATGCACCGGCGATGTCCTGTTTGCCTACTTTTTCGCCCGGGTGCTCGTGGCAAAACCACGGTGTGCCGTGGCTTAGACTTGTTTACTTCTACTTCACAACCTTGGATACTTCCCGCTCTCAATCCACGGAAACCCTCCATCCGGTGGGCCGCTCCAATATTCGCCAAATACGACCCGGACGTTGGAAGCCGGGCGCGACATGCAGCGTGAATGACACAGAGACGCACTGCACGCGCCCTGCGCCCCACCATCTCGGCATCCATGACCCTGCGCGTTACCTGCGAGTCTTCGCAGAACGTGGTTGACAGCGGGGAGTCTGAAACGCAAGGAAGACTTGCATTGATCCCTGCATGAGACTCGCCCCGTCCGTATCCGGGCGGCCCTCTAAATGCGACGGCCTCGTCTTTGCAAATTCCAATGCCAGATGTGGGGTGTCTCTGTGACGTCAACGGGTTCATGGTGGGACCGGGGTTTTTTCAGCCCTGCTGGTGGGCTTGAGCCTGGACTCTCATCATTTTGCGAAATCATACCGAGGCTGTCATTCTTTCATGCTATTATCTCTCACGACGGGTTGTTGTAGGGCTGACCCTTCTCGTCTACGTTATCGGGTTCTACTGATGAGCCGTGGCGGGGTAGAGAGTGACGTGGGACGCGAAATAGTTCACGATGACGTATACCCTCCGTCTGCCTCGTTTGCCTAGGTAACCCAAACATGCGCCGTGTAACACAATATCGCAAAGTACCACAGATTCCGTAAGAGGGGAACACCCGCCACCTTCCGAGAAACAGTAGCTAGAAAGCAATCCCAACATGTATTTCCTCTAATCTAAAACCAAACCAGGTCTAACAACGTACTCTAAACAAAAGCACAAAACCAAGCCTCTCCACCGCGCCGAAAGACTCAGTGCTTCGCTTTAAAAGCCTTCGGCTCCGGCAAAGCAGTCGGTGTGTCATCACGCTTGATATTGCGAATAAGATGATCAAAGGAAGCAGAAGAACCAACGCGCGGGGTAAAGGGTGCAAAGTCCCAAAGATACCCCAAAGTACGCAGAATAGACGAAGCCGAATAGGAAACGGTCTTTCCATTCGAATCGGTTCCCTTCTGCTCCACCAGGCCCTTGCCCACCCAGGGAGAAATCAGGATGGTAGGAATACGACCGCCGAGACGGTCGAAGGAGAAAGTGTATTTCTCGCCGTTGGGCGCAGTTTCGGTGTAAGTTAGGTTGTCAGGACGGACAGCTAGCGGTGGCGGAACGTGGTCATGGAAACCGCCCGTCTCGTCGAAAGTAAGGATAAAGAGGGTTTCATTCCACTGCGGTGAGGCGCGGAGGGCGTCGTAGACGTTTTTGATGAATGTTTCACCGTCGGAGATTAGGCCAGTTGGGTGCATTGAATTCGTGCCGACGCCACAGCAAGACGGGTCGATGAAGCTAAATTCAGGAAGGTTGCCGGTGGCGGCGTCGGAGTAGAAGGTTGATAAGGGCTGGGCGAGGTCTTTGTTGCCGCTGGTTTTGGTCCAGTGGAAGAACCAGGCGTCGACCATTTGGGTGTTGGTGTAGTAGTTCTTCCAGGTGTGGTTGGTCTCGGAGAGTTGCTGGAAAATGGAGCGCTGGGTGAGGCCGTAGTCGTAGAAAGAGTCGTCGTTTGTGCCGTGGCCGGCTGAGGTGCCGGAGAGGACGTAGGCACGGTTGGGGTTGGTGGGCTGATTTGGTTAGCTTTTGCTTGCATCTATGGACCCGGTGTCTGAACTTACACCGGGGTGGTCGGAGTGCCAGTGGTTGAAGGTGAGGTAGTTCTGCACGAGAGACGTGAAGACTGGGACCTCGTCCTCGGTATAGTAGTTAATGACCTGTTTAGCCAGCTCGGTCTTGTTGACATCGTCACCGTAACGGCGCAGCTGCTCGTGGACGAAGCCCCGCTGGTTGGGAGTGAGCTTGCCAGAGGCAATAGCATCGTTACTGGGAGTGAGCGTGCCATAGAACTCGATGTTGTTTCCGGTGACCGAGTGATCGGGGTCATCCAGAATAGAGTCGAAGTCCTTGGCCCTACTGCAGACATGGCCCATGGAGGAGTCGGTCAGGTTGTAGGGGTTGCAGTAAGGGCCATTGTTGATAGGATTCTCGAGGCCCTTAAGGGTCTGGCCACCAAGCAGGTTGTCGAAGGAGCGGTTCTCCATCTCCAGAATGACCACATTCTTGATATGGTTCTTGAGATTCTTGATCGAGGATGAGGAGTGGGCGTTGTGACCGCAATGCGGAGGTGCAGCAGTGGCTGCAGCCGCGAAGGCCAACAGTCCAAGGAGAGCGCTGGGATTCATGGTGAATCTCAATTGAATTGACGAAGACGCTTGAGTTCTCGAGCTGATCTTCCGGAAGGAGATTGTAGTGCCCTTTATAACTGTCGATAAGGAACATTGTTTGCAGCGTCGGGCTGGGCACCGAAGGGAAACGCATATGCACTATCTCTTAGTATCCCACGTGTTGTGGTACTGGTCGCCGTCTCGTTTGAAATCTAGGAAGGTCAGGTCTGCGGGGTATATACGAGTCGGGAAGATGGCTGACCGGAGCTCCAACAGATGCCCACTTGGACGGACCATCTAGAAATGCATTAGATCCGATTGGCAGCGCATAGCGAGTCCCTCGATTTTAATGCGCAATATGCAGGATGGGCAGGCACCGTGCAGGAAGGTGGTGCAATCGCACACCGTGATGTTCTATGTCCACTCAGTATGGCGGTGGTGGGCAGTAGAACGGCACGAAGCCTTGGCCTAGGATGCCAAGGCTGTGAAGAGTAATCTCGAGAAGGCTGATAACTCAAATCAGAGTGAGCAGGTTTTGCTCGTGCCAACCCACCGAAGGGCAAGTGGTGGGCGTCTCGTCCATGCCCAGGCTCTAGCCTTTGACGAGGCTTGCCAAGATTAAGGTTGTTTTGGCGGAAAGGGGCGATGTCCGTTTCAGATGATAGTGAATGTCGATCATGTAACTATGTCGCGAACCTCGCTTGCACAACTGTGGGAGCTGGCTAGTATAAAGTAGTGTTTCTCAGTGATCGCCGCTCGTGCTTTGCTCGGTCGCTTTGATTGGGCCATGCCGATTTTCCTGGTATTCAATCTAACCTGTGAATGCTAGTATGTACAAAGAAATCGGTAAAGTATCATGTCCAGACTGGTATCGACGCACTGCGACCGGTAGGGATCACATATTTCCACATATACCGTCTGGCATGGTAGTAGGCGGGAGCGGGAATCCAGAGTCAAAGATCATTCGATGGAAAAAGACTCTTGATTTCAAATAAGCAGACACGGAGTATATATGTCAGTTTGGCCGAGTGGTTAAGGCGATGCACTAGAATTATTCTACTGGATAGGTTACTATCCGGATATGCATTGGGTTCGCCCGCACATGTTCGAATCATGTAGCTGACGTTACAACTCTTTTTTTGCTCCCCCTCCCGCTCCCGCATATCACCAAGTAACTCCATCCAACTCGAAACCCACGAGAAATTAAAATATGAAAGCCTTCTTCCAATTTTGTTTTTCAATGTTAAATCTGTACGCCTTACCTACTACCCTCTCGATTTTTGAATGGAACCTCCAACTCGCGAAGAGCACGCTAGAGGATGTATATTTTAACATTCAATCTTCAAATTAGGCCATACTAATTCTATAATATTCATTCATCATGATCTCATTAAAAAAAAGATACCCCTAATCCAAATCAACCACCCCCTTAAACTCAGCCTCTATAAACCTTTCACCCACAATCAAAATAGAACTAAAAGCCGACTCCCTTACTCAACACCCTAATCAAACCCAAACTGCCCCATCGAGGAACCAAGTGTATCCCAAGGAACCGAGGTAGGACCAATCCAGTTCTGTGGTTGCAGAGACATGCCGAAACTAGACTGCATAGTGGGATCGCTCGACGACGACGAGACAGTCGGGACGGGTGAATGGGATTGCGAGTGCGATAGCACGAAGCTTTCGTGCATAGTGACCGAGGAGAGATTTGGGGGGAGGGTGGTGATCATAGGAGTTTGAACCCGGGGCCGGGGTTGTGTGTGGTAATAGGTGGTGGAGACATCTCTATTGGACATGCTGGTTAGTTCTGTCATTGTATGGAAATAATTGAATGAACGTACATTATCTGTCGGATGACGGGGACGGCCTTGCTGCAGAAGATGCTTCGCACGGACAGCGAGGCAAACATGTCCAGGGCTTTATTCAACATGTCTTTGGTTTCGTCGAACTCGGCTTGATTCTCCGGGTTCATGAGTCCGACGGCAAGGACGACGGCTGCGTGGAATGCGTGGAAACTGCCTAGACCACTCGTATACCATTTGTATGGTGCGAATCGGGAAGATTCCAAAAGGGTTTGAAAGATTGCGACAGACGCCTTGGCAGATGCCATGCACTTGGCTCTTGCTGCGCATGTCTCGGACGTGGTCTCGCCTTGGAGGAAGCGGCATAGACTGGGGCGGAGGAGGAGAAGGAAAAGTTGGTTGATTTGGCTGTAGAGGATGTTGAGGTTTGCTTGGTGGTGTACGGGGAGAGGATCTTGAGCCGAGTCAAGTCGATATCGCGAGTCACACATTTCGCGAATTGCGAGAATCTCGGTTTCAAGTTGGGAGACTGAGAAGCGGGATTGGGGAAATGTGAATATTGTTTCGCAGATTTTGTTGGAGATTTTGTAGAGGCGGAAAGTTAGGAGAAGGTAGGTCATTTGTGTTGGTCGGCTGGCCGAAGGGGAGGAAGAAGAGTCGGATGTCATGGATACTGTTGGGCCTGTAAGGAGGTCAATGTCGTCGACGTCGGCTGGCATTTTCACGTCTTGCGTTAACATCTGTTGATCTAGGCTTCCGAAAGAAGAGTTTTGAATAGTGTAGAGCATCAATAGCCCTGCCCAGGCCCGTCGGCGCTCTTCTCGTTCGATAGGTCCCAGAATGAACTTTTCTGGGTCGATATGGCAGCCCATGGATATAGCGACGTGCTGGGTGAACCCAAGTAATGTCCAAAAAGGCAAGCCACGGTGAAGCCGTGCATAGCTAATGAGAACCAATGCTTGCAGAGAGTTGATTGAATGGCGAGTCATAACGCTGTCGGCAGCTAAACATTGAAGAGCCGCAGATCGGTAGCGTGCTGATAGCACCTTGATGTTTCGACTCACAGTCCTCTCCCGGCCAAGATCAGACAACAGCGGGTCATCATCGTCAAGTGCGCTGACTGCAATAGATAGTATCGCAAACAGCAACGCGAGCCAGGACGTTGATACGCTGCCGGGATCGTGACAGAACTGTTGGTACTCCGCTTCAAATGTCAAGTCATGAAGAATGTGAAAGATCTTGAGAATACGTTAGCCGTCATCCGTACCAAAACCTATGTCTTCGCTTACCGGTGAAAATACTCGGAAATAGACTTCCTTCAATGTATCACAGTACCGACCCGGCGGCAAAATACCCAGCAACTCAGCGCGTGAGACATTTCCATTCCGAGCCAACGGGATCTGCAGATCGTCTTCGTCCGTGATATCCTGATCGGAGTTTCGCAAGCATTCCGCAGCGGGACTTGTAGCAACGACCGATTCCCACTGCGAAGCAAGAGGCACGTAACGCACATGGCCCGAAGATGAGGTATGGAGAGTCCCCACGTTGCCCAAATACGGACTTCCCCATGTATCTAGCCCGGTGCCGATTTCAGACTCCGAGAAGCTGCCCGAGACACTCGGAGCACCGAGGGGAGACCCACCTCCCGTAGGTGTTCCGGCATAGGAGTTGACTTGTTTCTGGAGGAGACCTTCAAGATTGCGGATTCGTGCCAAAAGCTCATTCTGTACTGCTGGGTCTGTGGGGGATGTTTGCTCGGATGATAACCTAGGCTGGCCAAGGTAGATGCAATCCTCGGCGCCTAGTCCTCGTCGTACGCAGGTTTGGCATGGACGGCCATCACGCGAGCAGCGAATTTTTCTTGTTCGACATGCCTGGCAGCTGATGGGCAGGCGTTTCCCAGATGACCGGGATGAAGCCATGAGATGCGACAAGATGCACGGAGTCCAGATTGATTCACTCGGCGCTTCACTTAATCTGTAATAGCCCCAGTGCAACAAACATGAACCACCAGTCGATCAGGCGAAAAAATAAGATGCGATCAATGGGCCTTGTGGACCAGCGGATACCTTCAGATTAAGGACCCATCGAAGTTCTGGAACAAGGAAAGAATCCACCCTGACAGGCGGGGGGGGGGAACGGGGTCTTTAAAGTTAAGAAGAGAATGCTAGCAGAATGCGTCATGGTATACCGATCTAGGAATGAACGCACCGGCTGGAAAAATCTCGGAAGAGGCAACGGCCTAGCCTAGCACAGCTGAAGCCCCATTCGCCCCTTTCGTTATAGAGACAGACATTCCTTAGTAAACTAGCAGGTTCTCGCAAATAGCGCGGAACGCCCGGAGTGGAGCCGACAGGGCTTCTAGAAAACATCTCTGGGTCCGCTACGGCCTAATCGGATGGGTCCACGAATCAAGGTTTTTAGGGTACATCAAATTCCGATTAAACACATTCTTTACGTAGTTCCAAACTTTTCTGGAAAGGACCAGGAACATGATTTAACTGAATCGATGATCGATCCAGGGGGTGAATACTCAACCGCAAACCGGCCGGAAGGGCCTTCGCGGTATCGACTCTGGAAAAGGGGACACCGTTGGAGGCGCATCAAGAGATCGCAAAAAGAGAACTCAACGGCCAAAGGCGGCTCATGAAGGAACCACAATGCCGGGGATCGAATAGCAGGTGCCTTATGACACGACCTTGTGTCAGAGTGAATCGCCACAGGGGGTCCAAGCGATCTCCGATCGTGCCGTACTTAGCGGTAAACAGTGATAGGTGCCACACCTGAGCCACAGTTGGGCCATGTCAGCATTCCTGTGTGAAAATTCTGATCTTACCTCGATGTATTCTCTTATTAATAGTTGTACTTTGGTAACGTAATCGGTAAGCGAGTGACGCATGTAAGCGAGCGACGCACCCCAAAACACCATAGTAAAAGCGATAAATTACAACTCTATATTTCCGCAACAGCAGCTTCTCATAGAGACTTCCTTTAAATATATGTCCTTTATAATGAGTCTAGGGGTATTTGAAGGTCTCGGAGGGTTTTAAGTCGTGTTGAGTCGATGATCTATATTTCAAGCTCAGAAAGCTAAATTACAGTGTATTTTATGTAAACGTAGTGAAATGATAATTAAATTATCCCAGACTCCCAAATTAGGCTATCTGTGCTCTAAATTAGTGAATTACTGAAAGCTAAATAGAATAAGCTTGTGGTTGTTGAAATATTGCGTTCTTAAATATCGCATTTAATATGGTGTTTTGGGGTGCGTCGCTCGCTTACATGCGTCACTCGCTTACCGAATACGTTAACGTAATTCACAAGCGAGTGGCTCACACAAGCGAGTGGCCCACCAATCTCATCACCATTTTTCAAAGGCGAATATATCAACCGGATCGCATTAATTAATCCTAATCTATCGCTTATTACATTGATTGATCTTATGCCCAATCGTTCCGCATCCACTACACCTTGGTGGAGCCCTCCTGCGTGGCTGATCCTGCTGACTAGGTAAATCGCCCTGCTCATGCGATACTACCTCATTAGCTTCTACTGGCTGAATTAGCTGCTGAGCTAGCTGTAGGCCCTCTTCGATTGATAGGCCCTCTTCGTGTGCAATCTGCCTAGTCGATCGAGTGCGCTTTTGACGTTTCTTTTCATTCGCTGCGCGTAGATCGGCGTTCTCCTTCGCAAGGAGCGCAGCGCTATGCATCGTTATTGCGCATCCTTTGATAATTTGATTTATCATAGTTTTCGATGGGGTAGGAGGGCTTTTCGATAGTTGCTTATGTAGCTCTTCAAGCATAGAAGCTTGCTTTTCTAGCTGAAACACTGTTCTAGGCGTTTTCGGTGTGAATTAGCTAGATCTGCTGCTTGGTCGGCTTGATGGTGGTGAAGGCGTTCGAAGCGATATATTAAGCTTAGAAAGCACTCTTTCGGCACTAACTGGTACGATACCAGTAGCTGCAAAGCTGCTTTGAATAATATGCGGCTGGAAAGCTTCTAGCCGTGCGCGAGGATAATCTGCTAGAAAATCAAGCTTGTCGATATGATTATAGCCTGTTCGGACTAAATCGCTCACGAAGCGACCGTACGCACGCTTAAGCACTGCAAAGCACCCAACATCAAGCGGTTGAAGTAAGTGAGACGAATGTGAAGGCATACACAGTGGTATAATATCATTTTCGGCACAGATTCGATCGAATTGAGGTGTAAGATGGCTACCGTGCCCGTCAAGGATCAATAGGCGAAATCGTCCTCGTACACGCGAATTAGTGTACGGAATGAAGATCTTTTGGAGCCAGCGAAGGCCGATTTCATCGGTAGTCCAGCCATTATTCGATACTTCGATTCGCCAATCCCTAGGGAGATTTGATTCAAACCAACCAGCGATATAAACCTGGCCTTTGAATATAATACAGGGCGGCAGCGAATAGCCGTCAGCGCATATCGTTTCGATCGCAGTGACCCATTGGCGATTTCCTGGCTGTAGAAGTGATCGCCGACTGTAGTATTCTGCTCGTGTAACCACTTTCTGCGCTGATATAAGGCCCATTGCGAATCCAGTCTCATCAAAATTGTAGATATCCTCCGGTTGGATACCGTTCTCATCAATCGCGCGTTGTACCATCAAAAACCACTCTTTTATAGCCTTTGGATCCTCGTTAAGGGCGCGCTGGTAGTCATATCGCCTAGAGAAGCGTGTTCGAAGCTCATCACGTCGTTTAACAAAATTAGATACCCAATTAATGCCAACGGTCGGCGGAGGGGTGATTCCACGCGCTGCAAGAAGAATATCGGCCATTTCTCGTACAGTAGCACGTCTAGGCGCTGCACCACGCGTATCCATAGAGAATATCCATTGGACAAGCGAATCCTCTTCCAATTGAGTCAATTTATGCGAATTTGGGCGTGTATCGACGCGTGACATTGTGCCTTTTGCCCGCCGCGATAGCGTTCTAGCGGGGATATCGTATAGCTTCGCTGCTGCGCGCAACGATTCAACGCGGCCGCTTTTAACATCGGAAAGGGCTAATAAGATTCTGCCCTCCTGATTGGTCGATTTCTGCGAAGATTCAGTGCGAATTGGTGGCATTGTAGCTAGTTGAATTGAGGTAGGTGGTTTGAGTGAGCGATTTTGGATGGGGTGGGCCACTCGCTTGTGTGAGCCACTCGCTTGTGAATTACGTTACCTCGCACACGTCAGTTAGTCATCAGGTCTACCGGGGTCGTGAACTGGCCTTGCCAAACAGGTTTCCTAGTAGAGCCAGCGAGCCACGGAAACGACCCGAGGCCCACAGATACTCGCGATGAAAATCAAATCGACTGTAGATCAACACTAGCCCCAACATCAACACCGATCCATCGTGGCTCGAGCGCTGCAAGGGGGGCGTATCCGGCGTATCGACCACATGGCTCGACCATTCCGTTCAGTGTGCGAACTATCGGCTTTTGGCGAGGGGCTCGAGCCTTGTGTTCGTTCCTGAACCCCGGATAAAATGGACATGGCCCCATACCAGAGACCAGGGACCACACCACAGCCGACATGCTTACCGACATACTCGGGGAGCATCTGTGATCATCGATGGCATGCCGTTGTGGCAAATAGTGTCCTCCCCGGATACGAATAGTGGGCATTGATCACCGAGACAGGGATCCCAGGGCGACTAAGTTTTTCGGAAGTTTAAATATGCATCGGGATGGAAAATTTTCAATACTTTGCATGATGTGTTCGAAAATTTACATATGAAATGGTTATTGACCGGGGCAAAGTGAAAGCCAGATCTGCAGTATGGTGGGCGATGGGTACGTTCCGAATGGATAATAGGAATAGGAGCTGAAACAACACATCGCATATCAACTCGGGCAACCGTGATTGCAGCTTCGTATCTCCGCGGCATCCAAAACACGCATTATCTCGGAATAAATATGCACGCGACATGGGGAAGGTAGCATTCCAGGTAAGCAGCGACCTTCCTAGTCGGGAATGTGGCTTACTTCAGGCTACCCAGAACAACCTCGCATCATAACGAATTTTTATAAATTCTTCAGCCTGTTGTGCAACCTTTGAAGGTACATGGGTACAAATGTCCCGCCACAAGATATTTGAACCTGAATTTCAAGGCTCCTTCGATCACGCTGAGTCGAGGTGATCCGCCTTGCCAACCACCGACGTCCCCTTGGGTCCCTCGTCCGCAACGACGACGCGGTCTCCAAAGGATGCAGCAACCTCCTCCAGTGTCTTCTGTTTGGTTTCCCTGCGACAGTGTCAATGTCATTCGTTATGTTCAAAGGTTGCGGTCACTTACGGGAAAAAGAAGTAGGCAATGACGAGGAAGAAGAAGGAACATCCGACGAAGACATAGTAGTAGTTCTGCTTGATTGTGGCAAATGCACTGGGTCCAGCTTCGGTGACTGGTTTCGAGTTTTGTCAGTGATGGCACTTCCCCAAGGGTCTATCTTACTTACGCCCAACGTTGACAATAAAATGGGAGGCAGCAGCGAGACCCATGACTTTGCTGCGCAGAGCAATGGGTAGCACCTCGGCACCGTAGAGCCATGTGGTACTGTTGAGCATACCGTCTAGAGAGAATGGTGTTAGTAAGCGATCAAGATTGAATTCTCACGAGAACTCACAGTAGCAAACGACAAAGAGATAGATTCCCAGAATGGCGAATCCCTTGCCGACTCGATTATCTGTGTTCTGGAACTCTAGCTGCATCACTGCGGCGTAGATCTCAATGAGAACGATGCCACCCAGTCCCGCAATAATCATCCTGTAATGGTCAGTGACGATGATATCAGAGTTCTACATCGAGCTCACTTACTTTCGGCGACCCCAAGAGTCGGTCAAGTACTTCGTGGTGATGGCATTGGACAGAAATGCAATAGTGCCGTATACAGCCGCAAGAGCAAGAATCATATGCGAGCCGATTCCGAGCGACTTGAATAGAATAGCTGTGACATGGTAAGCACGGGTCATGAATCCGAGCGTTAAAGAGACTCACTCTGGTAATACTGGATAACATTGACACCCGTCAAACTCGTCATAGTCTGCACCGCAATAGACCTAAACCACGCCATAAGCATCAATCCGGAAACCGCAACCCAATTCCAAAGATAGAAAAATACTCACACCAAAACACGATGCCTGAACAATTTAAAAATCTCGCGGAAGGAAGTAATTTCCCTCTCCATCTCATACTCAATCTGCGTCTGCATAAGCAGAAATTCCTCCTGCACCTCATGTTCATGGAACCCGCGACGAATTCTCGTAAACTCGCTACGGGCGAGCTCGATCTTCCCACTCCGAATCAACTGACGCGGCGAGTTGGGCATAAACGTTGCCAGACCGGCAAACATAATGATACCCCAGGGGATCTGGACACCGAGCGGTAGACGCCACTGCACCGGGCCATAGGGAGCGTAGCTGCATGCGAAACCGACCCAGTTGGACGCCATCGTGCCGAAGGAGATGCCGCAGCCCGAGATACCGCCGATTAGACCGCGGTAGCGGGGGTCGGAGATTTCGCTGAGGTAGATCGGGACTGTTGCGACGAGTCCACTGTATGGGAATTAGTATTTGGCGGTCTGGTTGGATTTGGGTTAGGGCTGGGTGGTGGTCTTACCCGACGGCGTAGCCGGCTAGGAAACGGCCTGCCAGGAACATGCCGATATTGACGGAGGCGGTTTGGATGATTGTGCCGATGGTCACAATTATACACATCAGTTGCATGAATCGGATGCGGCCGAGTTTGTCGCCAATTAATGTCTGTGTTAAGGCGCCTACTGCCTCGCCCGCGATGTAGACTGCAACCACCTGGGGTACTTGTTAGTATCCTGATTCGATGATGGAAGTGGACTCGACAAACAGCGCCGGTGAGTCCCTCGGAGGGGTTGTTCATATACTTGACCCAGCTTTCATGGGCGATTGCTGTATAATGGTTAGCTTTGTTGGTGAACTTTTGTGGTATGATTGATTACTCACTGGTCGTAGCAATGCCGGTATCAAAGCCCTAATTCAGTCAGCCGTCCACCCAGCTCAACGCAGGAACTCCACATTCAACTGAGTCGGACACATACAAACAAGAAAGTGCCGATGGCAGCGAAGAACGCGATTCCTAAGGAATACCAGATCGCCATGGTGAAATGTAATAGCCAGATACAGCTCAACCACAGGCAAGTCTAGGATGAGAAGAAAGACAAAACAGCACACCGAGCAGCAGGACCGAGTATTATCTACGCGGGTGATGTCCGAGGGCTCGAGAGGGAGTGACACTACATCGAGACCAGGGGGGCCTAGCCTTCAGAGTCGGAGGAGGGCCGAGTCGGTAATGATTTTCTGAAGATGCGGGGGAAGATCGGGGCAGATGGAACCGACAATACGGGGATTATCCACGGCCGCCCTCTCAGGATCATGCGACATCCCTTTTCTCTAGCATTGACCACTGTCTATGCGGGCATGAATCATTTAGGCTTTCTCCACTGGGTTCTCGGCATGGGGGGTGGGGATCAGCACCGCGGAATATGCATTCCACGGTTCGGGCGACTTATTTCCGACATGACTCGATGGCGAGTATGCGTGATGCTCTGAGCTGGAGTTGTCGCTTCGTCTTACCTGGCCTGTTCTAGCCTGGCCTGGTGGATATAGATTTCAAATGTTCGTTCAAGATTTGCCTTGTCCTCTGTACGAAGTAATCTTCGTTGGCGTCTCCGCGAACATAACAGACACACCAGCCACTTGTGGCAATGAGTGACAAGATAAACAACATGTTGATTGTTGGAATTTGAAACCTTGCTCTCATAGCAGTGCAGCCAAGTCTCTATTGAGCTCCGTAGTTATTATAGCTGCGTGCCCAGCCGGGCGGTGGCTATTCGCCAGTGGCTGCTGCCCGCGGTCGTAATCTCAGATCTCGAACTTGGAGAACCCGACATGATCCACAATCTAAGAGCTTGAACCAGGACACCTGGGTCCTGGGCATGGCGTAGATCGGGCGCCCTCTGAGTCTTTGGCAAAGCTACTCCAGGTCAGTGGACAGAGTTGGAAACCGACCACCCAGGACCCTAGAAGGACTGGTCTAGGAATTATCAATTGGCAGACATCTACGATCCAGGGAAAAAGACTCATAAAATGGTAGTCATTGAGTGTTTTTGAAGGTATGAATTCCTATCTCATTTTTCCATTGCCACCGTCATATGACCTCCACAAAGGCAGCGAAGCGTCTTGTGCAATGCAGGAAACCCAGAAGCCGAACAAGGAAATCGAACGCTTAGAAGACAAGAGCGGCACCCTTGGTCTTCTTGTCACCACTGTAGAAAGAAAAGATTAGTATCGGTCTGACATAATGGAGGATGCGTCATGACGTACCCCAACTCGAAGTGCTTGCAGCGCTTCAGGGCGAGCTGCTTCTTGGCCTTGCAGGCAGTGCACTCGAGGCGCAGGACAACCTTCTTGGTGGTCTTGGCCTTCTTGTGGAAGACGGGCTTGGTCTGACCACCGTAACCACTCTGCTTCCGGTCGTAACGACGCTTACCCTGGGCGAACAGGGAGGCCTATGAAGAAAGAGGTATCAGCACTTGCGAGGCCTGCTGGTATTAATCGAGGGGTCTCACCTTGCCAGCCTTGTACTGGGTGACCTTGTGCTGGGTGTGCTTGTGGCACTCCTTGGACTTGCAGTAAGTCCGGCGGGTCTTGGGAATGTTGACCTAAACGCGGAGATATCCGTAAGCTTCTGTTGTGCGTGCGAAAGTTAAATGTGCAGGCTTTGTGTCTGAAGTCCGGGATCGAATATTCGTGGTCACATCGGTTGCAGGTAATGCTCGAGTCGAAAATCCATTGTGCGCAGGGACATTGTAAACACGATCAAGTCTGTCAACCCTCCAGTCCTCGATCTATTTTTGTGTCCTCTGTCCTCTCTGTTCCTCGATCGCACACACAAGCTGCGCAGCGCGGATTTGCCATTCGTTCAAGTTGGTGCTTCATTGTAGCTGGCTTTCACGTCATCGAATGTTGGGTAGAACACCGTCAAAAGCATCCGGCTGATCGTTGCTATTCGTGGTATTCGCGACGTTCGGTCGGTCATCGTTGACGGTCTCGAGTTCGGCCACACACATATCAAATTCCTCACACACTACCTCCATCGAAGGGACGAAATTCGAGTAACCGGGACTTCAGGGCACATGAACCTGGAGCACAGAGAGTAAAAAGCCTTACCATTTTGACTGACTTGCCGGGTAGCGGGTGGTGGTCGTTGGGTTGTCGCTTGTCGGAGAAGTCTCAAGCGGATGGTTGGGTTGTGGGATTTCGTTCGCTTAGGCCCTATTCGGGTGCGCGCTAACCTGTTTTGGCGAGCACCACCCAGAATTTGCTGAGTCATTCGTGCACGGACGGCCTTGCCTGATTGGGAAATTCGTCTATTCATTACTATTCGTTCTATTTCATTGCTATAGAATGCCTTGGCCGATCAGGAGTTTTTCTCCTGTTCCATACCATGCCACGCCTTTGTTGAGTTCTAGTCCTCTCTCTTGCCCAACAGTCCACTCGCCTCGCGAGGGGCTCCCAAATCGTTTCCACTCGTCGGATCGCAATTCCTGGTTGATATCCTCGAGTCTTTCAACGAGTTTGACTACCCTCTCACCAAGTACGGCCAGCTCTTCCTCATGCGTAGATCCAATGGGCACAACGAATCGTGCAATCGTAATATGTGCTGAGGGCACACTATACCGGGCCCCGATCTGACACCCAGATTGAGTGACCCGGTCGTAGAGGTCACTGCGCAGGTGGTGGTAAGAGTAGGTGCCATTGACCGCGTTGGCCGTCTTCTCCGTCTCTTCGAGGATGGGAAGGAAACTGAGGGCCAAGGCAGAGGCATCATAGCTGACGATCGGGCGTCCAAGACGAGCACGATGCGTGAGGGTGTAGTTCACCAATTCCTGTAGGGGCGCATTGGCCCGAAGAAACGCAGCCACTTCGTCGACATCCGGTGCCGTCTTCGCCGAAACCATTTCAAGGGTAGTCATGTGCAGGTTTTGCGGCGGCATGAACCAGAGGCCTAGAATCCGTCATTATAAAGTTCTTAATGAAGAATGAACACAACTCACAAGACCCCGATACTGCTGCAATCTCTCTCTGGATATCGGAGACGAGCTCTTGAATATGGCGAGGCGGCCGAGTCCAGAACCCAAGATTGTGTCTGGGATCGGTGTAGTCGATCAGACCCTTTTCGGCCTTAAGCACGTTGTGCAGAATCTCGTCGAACTGCCATTCTCGGAAAGCTGGGTTTAAGAGTCGTTCTTTGAACTGTGCATTCCGGTTTGTTCGATGCTTCTCATAAGCATCTCGGAGTTGTCTCTATTCGAAGGCGTCAGTTTTGATAATTGGGCGGTGAATCGAACAAGGATTACCGGGTCGTTCTCGCACGCCGTGATCAACTGCTGGAACGGGTTCATTGGAGCCTCTTGTGCAGATTTGATGGTCATGATCACTTCGTTCTCTCAAATGATCAACAGCAGAGATTCTGGCGAGTAAGCATCTCTCAAGAGTGGCGTTTTCAGAAATTGTGGTGATTAGGTCCGGGCGTAACGGAGGTAATATGAGCGGATAGCCGACGGATATATATAGTTCCTGAAATGCTCATTACTACACCAGACAGTGCAGATAACACGCAAATTTCAAGTAGGGACCAAAACGAGAGCCACTAAATCTAACTTAGGGGTTTACGGAAGTCCAGAGTAATTTGATTGCTAGTCATCCTGAAGCTCTAACCCCCCACTAATGAGAAAATCAAGGGAAGTGATGTCGCTCGAAAGCTGATAAAGGCATATGTAGGTGTTTTCTAATTTCACCCCTAAGGTAAGCTACTGAGGAAGCAGACTCCCGTTTCCTAGATTATGCCGAGGGAACGCCTAAAGAGAAGAGTCTTTCAGCCTTGGGAGCCTCACCATCAATCAGGCAATAAGGCCACGGGCCCCACCAAAACCCCGCCAACGCGACTCTCTTCTCCAAGACACTCATTAACGTTCAAGCTCCCTCTCGCCCCGAGTCCCAGACAATCTCCCTTTCTATCCAAAACATCCCGGAGAGTGAAAGTGACCGCGCCGCCAAGATGTTGATCAAGTACGTTGCTAGCCCTGGCCTTCCCACCTGCAATTGCATTATCTCGGACCCCATTGCGGACCCCGACGCGGACCCCGACGCGGAACACCTCAAAAGTTCACACCGCTTACACCGTTATCTTCTGCAGAGTCCGCACCCTTACCGGAAAGGAGATTGAGCTGGATATTGAGCCTGACTACAAGGTGAGCCGAGATACCTACTTCTCCACGGCGCGGGTCGGACACGGCACAGGATCGTCTCCGACAGAGCCGCATTATCCTTGCACACTGTGACAACAGCTCCGACTTACATGAACCGATGATACCAGGTCTCCCGGATAAAGGAACGTGTTGAGGAGAAGGAGGGCATTCCCCCGGTCCAGCAGCGCCTCATCTACGGCGGCAAGCAGATGTACGTCTCATCCACCGTGACCCGGAAATACTTGCTACAAGGACACACGAACTGACATATTGTTTCTGTTAGGGCGGATGACAAAACGGCATCGGAATATAGCCTTGAGGGTGGAGCTACACTGCATCTTGTCCTTGCCCTGCGTGGTGGCTGCGATGCGTAACCACTTTTGCCATTTAGATACCGAGCCCTTTTTTCCAGCAAGAATAATATGATTTAACGTTGAGGGTTATTGGCGCAAAATTTGCATTTGAGCTATGAGTTACGTGGTTCAATGGGCTGGGTGGAATAGACCCAGGGCATATGAGCTTGGAGCTTGGAAGGGGATGTGAGATGCATTCCAGTGCCCTCTGGAATTGCCAAGATCGAGGCTATCCGAGATTTGGCCTCATCATCGCTTTACTAAATAGTGGCTCGGGCTTAAGGTTGTGTCCTTATTCACCTGCTACTTATCAATATACTATACTCATATCCAAAGTCTCAAGTCCCTAAAGTATCGACATGACTCCTAGAATCTCATGTCCCAGTAATAAAACCCGCGAAGCATGTCATTCCGAGGTACCTCGAGTATGTTCAGTATGCCATAAACAATAAAACCAAGACTCCGGCCCAAGATGATAAAACATGCCCACCAGAGAATGCAAGCCATGAAACGGATCCACCTACACCCAATATAAAGACAAATGATACCTGAACTGGACCAGTTACCCTCTCGACATCAAACGCCAGAAGATGCAATATGTTCACATGCAACATGCAGTGGACAGAACACGAATCGCTAAATGGAAAATCATAAAAAGCAAGACTTAGAACACCCGCTTACGCTTCGGGCGAATGAAGACATTGTCCGGTCGCTTGCGAACGACCGCGGGGCGAGGGGCAGTCGCAGATAGGGAATCCGATGTGGAATCACCCGAGGCTGACGGTTGAGGTGAATAGGAGGAAGAAGCTGGGTTTTCTTGCGGAGGGGGCGACGTTGCCTGACGCTTAGGAATGGGTTTCTTGACCGGGGAGGCTGCTTGGGACACTGGGACCTTGCGAACCTCGCCTGCGCCATGAGGCATAGGATTTCCAGAAGTAAGAGCCCGCAGCCGCGCCTCTCGTTCTGCCAACGAAGAGCCCTTGTTATCGACCTGCGCCGATGAGCCCTGCTTGAACCGCCCCGGAGCGACCGGGGCCCGATCACTCTCACTGCGTTTCGGCGGCTGCTCAACCGGCCGACGATGCTCCTCAATAAGCGACCTCGGCGCCTGCCGAACCTGCGTAGCACGGGTATTCAAATGCTTGGTCGGCATAGCCAGAGACGTATTCCTCCTCTGGGGCGTAAAGATAGTCGACTTCCTCGGCGCCGCATTAGAAACAACACGCTGGCGAAAACTAGGCCCAATCCCGCCGATGCGCCTGGCGCGGGTCCCCGAGATGATCTTGGGGGTTAGCCTAGCGCGCTCGGACTGGATGCCGTCGATAGCCATCTTCATTTTCTCGGCGTCGGCATCAAGGGATCGCTGAACTATTTCGCGCAGGTCGCAGTAGACTTCGTACCATGAGTTTGTCTTCTCGGGCAGATCGTAGGTTTCCCACTGGGGGATATCGCGCTTGATGAATTCGAGCCATATTTCCTGGTCTTCGGCGGCGATTTGGGGCGATAGGAGTTCCATGGCATGCTAAGGATGAAAGAAGACGTTAGCTGCATTCTTTGTAATGCATGCGCATATGTGTATGCCCGACGTACCAGCTTCTCGGGGTTATCGACTTTCAGTAGAATGGGGCGAGCAAGGGAATAGGGTACGTTGCCGATGTCGTTCAACACTGCACGTAGAGACACGGGTCAGTCAAGATTCTTTGGGATTAAAGCTGGTATGTTGTCTGAAGTGCTCACATTTAACGTGCTTGATCGCAGTGACCGTGGCCAGGTGTTTGAGCGACGGGGCTGGCATAGCGGCTTATGACGGTAGAGGACTCGACCGGATTTCACAGGGATGAAGACGTGGCATTGAAGAGTGAGGGCTAAATCGGACGAATGAGCCTTTGTACCGGTATACCCGACCTCTGATGCCAACTCAAACTTGAGACGATTCGGGTGTGCCAGACACTGGGGATGTCGAAGCAGTACGCTCTGCGGGAAGGCGGATCCCCGAGCTTCGGGTGGGTCCTCATTGGCTTGTTACAATAAAGCCTCAAATGTGCTGCCGGCTATCAATATCGCCCTTGGTGTTATGGAGACTCATGAGTTATGAGAGGGATATATAGCTCGTCATTAATTACGCTAGTGATGGTTTGCTCAAGCGATTACAAGTACAAATGCCTACAGGGTTGGAGTTGATCATATAGAGATGGTTGCGAATGACATTGAGATTAAGAAGAAAACGAGGGTTCGTCCAAACATCGTCGTAAGGAAAGTGCACCATGAACGACCACAAGCATCTCGTACATGACCGTTGTGCCCATATCCAAGTTCAAGTGACTCGAGTCGTAAAACACGTGAGGCCCCTCGTGCAAACACAGCAAACAGCTGCCACCATGAGGGGCTCTCCTGATATCACGGATTGCTAATGACTTCCAATCAATCGGTTGATTCAAAGAACAGCTAGGTGAGTGTCATGTTCATATTTCAATTCTGCCGCTGTGACCGCTTGAGCTGGTCCCAGGCGGTCGATGACGTCACGCATACATTGAATGCTCAACGCAGCTCTCTCAAGCCCGCATCTGACCATCGAACAAATCAGACATAATGCCTCGCTCCCAGCTTGAGATCACGACCTCATCGGTCATCCGCCTCGTCAAGGAGGAGGCCTCCTACCACCGTGAGCTGCAGCAGCAGACCGAGCGTCTCACCAAGCTGGAGAATGACCAGAGTAACGAAGATGAGAACAAGGAGTATGTGCTGAAGCAAGAGGTATGTTAGAAACTCCATTTTTGAAAATCCATACTGATTGGGACAGCGTCTGGCTCTGGAGGAGACCAAGAAGGTCATGCCTACTTTGAAGAAGAAGCTCGCGGAGACCGTGGCTGCCCTGGGGACCCTTATTGTAAGTCCACTGTTTACTGAATTACGTGCATCATACTGATTCTTTTTACAGACCGAGGAGGGCCAGAAGGGATCCGAGAGCAATGTCGAGCAGATTACTGCTGCCAAGGAAGCCATTGCTCAGGCCAAGACCGCGGAGCGTGAAGTGTCCTAAGCAAGAGATAGTAAAAGCAACTCAATTCAAAATGCATGTAATCTAGACCCGAATGACCAACGCCTGGCAAGCCTAACTCCGTGCTGGTAATGTATATGCGTAGAGAACGTTCATGAGATATCCATCTTCTCGCGGTCGTCGGGCAGCTCCTCGCCTTCTTCGAGCTCCGATTCTTCCCCTTCGTCGACCTCGCCCTCATCCACCATGTTTGTATCCTCCGCAGACACCTTTTCATCTGCTGTAATCACCTGTCGCAAAGGAGAGACCCCCCGCGCATTGCCAGACGTCTTGTCCACACCTAACCGGCTGCCCTCATCCGGGCTCTGTCCAGAAGGGGTCGCGCTATCCTCAGGACGAGGACTATTAGGACCGCTAATCTTGCCCTTGGAGCCGACATCGCCCTCGTCTCCGTCCTCGCCTTCCTGCATACCCTCTCGTCGCTCAACCTCCTCCTTCTCATCACGAATCAAGCGGCGCAGCTGCATGCCCTCCTCCACAATACGACCGAATTGTTCGCGTCGCTCCGTCCAAGTCTCCGCATAGTCCTTGCTCTCCTTCTCCAAATCCGCAATTTCAACCTGCAGCTTCTGCAGATTCGCCTGCTGATCCTCGCGCGGCTTCAGCAAACGGTTGCTGGTAATCTTCTCCGCAAGCTCATCGTAGCTCTTCCGCATAGCAAGAACCCTTTGAGCCTCCTCCAGCTGGGCGCGCAGCTCGCCTGTATTCCCCCGGACCGAGTGCATTGTCTCCAAAATGCGGAGCTTCTCAGTCGCATACCGCTCGCGCTCTTGTTCGTTGCTGGTGAGAAGGAACTGAATGCGGGCAATGCTTCCTTCAAAGGCGGCAAAATCGAGGGTTACGTCTTCGCGGAAATGGCGCCATTCTTCGAGCCTTTTTTGCTTTTGGGCTTCGGCCGCAGCGGTCGCATCGGGGTCGGCGTCTTCGGGGGGAGGAGTGAGAGTTTGCGAGGTGTGAGAGACGACGAAAGAGTCTGGGTTTAATAGGCGCTTGGAGATTCGCTTGAAGGGCTTTTCTTCGACGTTGAGGAGGCGCGATTTGTGAAGCGCATCTGCGAGGGCAGAAATGTTAGTTTGACAGCTGGGTGTTTGGTAGGGCCGGAACGGACCTTCTTCTGGTTGGCCTAAAAGGCCGTAAGAAGCCATGATTGAGGCCTGTTGTGCGAAGGTCTCTGGATAAATTAGATAATTCGGAATTGAAGATCCCGAGGTGATGGAGGGGGTGGAAGGAGACGAGGGTGGAGAGTTAGAAAACCCAAGGTGAGCGGTCTGCCGCCCGTTAACCTTAAGTTGCTTCCCCAGACAAACGAGGGACATTCACTCCACGAGTCGCGGGGCCCGCAATCCACAGCGAATTCCACTATTCATCTACAACTCTACTTGCTGTGACCGGGTTTGGCAACTCGCTATAGTCTTTGCTTGAGAATGCTCGGCTGAAACTACGCCGCGCTCCACACTTGACCAGCGCGTCTACAATCCTCGTGACCGTGTACCGTTGCGCTTTGCGGCCTGTACCCTAATGGAATTTGCTGTCTGGGTACTTGCGACTGGCCTCCTGGTTGCTGCTCAGTCGTATATACCCTTGCTGCCTGCTCCACCCTCGCCAATATGACGGAGATGTACTCGGGGCTCCACGTGGGCCAGCGGTTTTCCTCCCTGGAGGAGTTCAAGACGGTCATACGAAGTATCTCGGTCAGACAGCATTGGGAGCTTCGAGTGATCCGAAGCAACAAGAAGAGTGTGGTTATTGGCTGCCGTTCTGGGGCCAATTGCTTCTTCCGCGTGGTCTGTCGCTCGAACAAGAACGCGACCTACATCACCAGCCTTCAAGACAACCATAGTTGCCGACGGGGTGCAGAGACTACGGGCGTGACTCCTGCGCGCTCCGAAGCCTCGCATGTGCGATTCTTGCTAAGTGAAATACCCAAGTTGTTCGACATGAGTACCAGGGTCAAAGGCCAGGATGTCGTCGACGCAGTGAAGCGTTATCATGGATATGACATTTCCATGAGACAGGCGCAGCGCGCATTGACGAAATTACAGCCACGGCAAGCAGACAGCCAAGGCGAGCCATCGCTGGATCTGGATATGAGTGCTGTTGATCAGCACTCACCGGCCCAGTCCCAGCCTGAATCGCAAGCAAGCGCAGGGCTAGCTTACCGAGATATCTCGGAGAACCGCTGGATGCCGGATTCTTTGCAACAACCAATGATTGATGATACTTCTGTGGATCCAACTGAGTCCCAAACCAACCCTTCAACTGCACCACCACCAGCACCTCAATCTATCCGACAATCTCAGATACAACAAGCACCTCCTATTGAAGCACCGAGCCAGTCGACTCTCAGCAATAACTCACGCCCTATGACGGTATCACAGCCAGGTGTTGGATACCCAACGGCTTCTGCTCTACCAGTAGGAACCTCAGTGCACCCCAAACCCTCCGACTATACGCAACGCAACGACCACGCCGTCCAGCATATGGTGCTCACGAATTTCAAGATTGAATTCACCTGCACGACCTGCGGCTCTCTGAACCAAAGCTTTTTCCCCAATCAGGGAAACGTCACAGGAGCTGGCTATATGCCTCACCCATCTGTGCCAAACCAGAACACTGTCGGGAGACACCAGGGGCCTGCTTCCTCGAATGAGCCGGAGGATGGTGGCCACGATGTTGCTGAAGATGGCGGCTACGTTGTTAATGCACTCAGCGCCCGCGACATACATAATGCATGGGCTGCTGGCGGTCTAGGGGTTCCTATAGGTCCGACAAACACCTAGGGCGCTATTATCAAGGTCCGATCATGCAGACGCAAGAGGCTAATGGGACCCGAACAATGAGCAGCGGAGGGCACCTCATCAAATTTTATGCCCTTGTAGGATGTTGGCTACCGAGCATTTGCTTTACGTCTAATTTCATTTGGACAAAGTCCTCCATGGCCGAAGCCCAAGGCCAATGCCCCGGCTACATTTCAAATTCTGCATTATGAATACTTGCTCCATATTTCGTGAAAATGGACGCGGAAGTGAAGCCGTTATGAAGACGACGAGACACGATATTGGACGTTGATTGATACCATCTTTGAGCCGATTTTTTTTTTTTTTTTTTCCTTTTTTAATGAATTTCCTAAAGCTCCTCGATGGAATTTTGCTTTGGAATTGATGTTATTTATCCCTATAGCGCATGGCTTCAGAGAGCCGAACTTGATACACGACAGAGTAGGACCCCGCTGGATCCCCATCATATACCCCCCGGCTACTGTAGCCTTCAAACGTATAACTAGATCGTGCTGAACGAATTCAGGCTAGACTATCCTCGAATTTCCCGGTTTCTGGTGAAAGACAAAGCGTTACGGGCCCGCTTCTCCACATTTTGCAAGCTGATCTTCCCCACCCCCAAATAAATACCATCACTTGGCCTACGCTAAAAGCATCTAAAGTACGTAGCGCTTTATCCACCAGCGAGTGGCGCACGACCAGATCTCTATCCAGACCAGTCCAAGACCACGCGACTGCCGGAAACAGGGGCCCAGTCTCGCCGAAGAAGAGTCAAACTCTCCAGAGACAGCCTTAGCTCGCCGCCACGGTGCCCCCGGCAGTGAACATGGGGTTTTAACACCCGAAGCTCAAAGAGCAGTGAGGAGTCATTGCTTAGCGTGCGCTGCACCCCCTACTTCGGTTATATCTATCCACCAATCAATCCACCGGAGACATACAACCCTTCCCCACGGGGTATACTCAGCGTAAATCATGGGGTTGCAAGAGCTAGACTTCTACATCCCTGCAGAGTCAGGTCCGACTCCGCATAGCCCCACACACGAATGGGGAGCTCGAGGATGTGCCAAACGCTGGCCGGCTAGTTTTGCAATCCTCCTATAACCCCTGGAGGTGCTACACCACCGGAGAGCCTATAATCCCCAGATCTATCAGGCCGAATCGTGATAGCGTGGTATTCATTAATATGAGCTTTAATCTTGCTTCGGATCAGAGACTAGGCAGATAAATTACAGCATGGCGGATAGTCAGAAGAATGGCCTTCGGCTGCATTGGAAGTCGTTGGCGGCTTGTTCGTTGATTTCTATGTCACCATTTCAGTATGGTGTTGATTTTACGCTGATTGGAGGTTTTCAGGCCATGATTGGGTTTTTGAAGGTGAGTACTTAGTCTTTTCGCTTTGGTTCTGTCTAGACAACAGATCTAATGGTGTTCCTAGATATTCGGAGAGAAGTCTGATAAAACCTCACTGGGCTGGAATATCTCTTACGAGCGCCAGCAATTGATATCATCATTGATGACTCTCGGTGCCTTTGTGGGCTCATGCTCTGCAGGTAGGATACCTCACACTACCGTGGGATTTGACATGGTAACTGAGAGACACTAGGACCCGTTGCAACATTCATTGGCCGCAAGACCGCTCTTTATATCGCAGTTCTCTTGATCTATGTTGCCAACATCACAATGATGACTACGGACACTATTGCTGGTCTCTACGCTGGCCGTTTGGTTATCGGACTGGGAAACGGGTTTCTAATGACGTTTTCACAGCTCTACATTCAGGTAACTGACCTCCATATTAAACATCTCAATACAGGAAAGAAAGATATTGACCCAGCTTATACAGGAATGCTCACCAGCCCGATACCGAGCGCTAATGCTGGGCGGCTTCCAATTCTGGACCTCCTTCGGCTCCCTCATCGGAACGATCGTCGACAACTTTACAGCTAAGATAGACGGCAAAAACAGCTACATCATTCCTCTCGGCATAGTATATATCATTCCCGCATTCCTATGCGCTGGCATGCTTTTCATCCCCGAGTCTCCACGCTGGCTGCTACAGCATAACAAGCCCGAGGAAGCTCGCAAGGCCTTGGTGTGGCTGAGACCGGATCGGGAGACCGTGGATAAGGAGATGGAGGATATCCAGCATGCAATTGAGCTGGAGCAAGACCTGGCTCATGGTACTTCGGTTTGGGATATGTTTGCGAATCCCGTTGATCGCCGCAGGACGATCTTGGCTGTTGCTGCTGTGAGTACTCAGGCTGCTTCTGGGGCTATGTATATGATTGGTGAGTATGGAAGCTATGGAAGCTATGGATCGAAAGAATTGCTTTGAATGAAGCTAATGATTTTCCAACAGCTTATGGAACGTACTTCTTCGAAATAGCCAATGTCGGCAACGCCTTTGAGAACAGTTGCATTCTCACCGCGGTGGGCGTGGTGGCTATCTTGCTCAACATCGCCGTGGTGACCAGGATTGGTCGCCGGAGGCTCTTTTTGACAGTTGGACTTGTCTTTTGTGGCTTCAGTCAGCTCATCGTAGCCGCGATCTATACGGTTCACCCCGGAACTGAGTCGACGGGTAAGGCGATTATTGGACTATCCGTGGCTTTTATTTTTGGCTACAATGTGAGTGAATAACAGCCGATGTTGTCCTTATTTAGCGGCTCTGACTTGGAATCCAGGGAATGATCTCAACCTATGCGTGGGTATCGGGTGGTGAGCTCCCATCTCAACGACTTCGATCCTATACATTTGGTCTAGCAGCAGCAGTTGGGTTCTTGGGAGCTGTAAGTTTACAGCGCACGCTACTCTGGAATAGCAAATACTGACATTTGTTTCTAGTGGCTAACCACGTTCACGGCGCCATATTTCATCAACCCCGACTCACTGAACTGGGGGTAAGGATACCCCAAACCCTCCTTACAAACACGAGGCCTCGACTAACAATTGAATCCAAGACCAAAATACGGCTACATATGGTTTCCATCTTGTCTCATATCAGCGGCGTTTATCTTCTTCTTCCTCCCAGAAGTCAAAGGCCGCACGCTCGAGGAAATTGATGAAATGGCAGGTCACATTCTCGTAGTAGCTTCTCTGTCTATGCTAACGTTATATCTCAGTTCGAGCAACGACTTCCTGCGCGCAAATTTGCTTCTTATGTATGCGTTGGCCCGGCGGCACTAGAGGCTAAGCTTAAGGAGTCACGTAGTTTGAGTGAGGATGCGGGTATCAGAGAATCTGGTGATTCGGAGAAGGTTACTACGGAGGTTATTGAGAGGACGGCCTGAAACAGGCTGGATGCAAGAGATAACGAAGAGATATTTTGGAAGCCAAACTTGTCCATCATGACATGTTTGTCGTAGTGACTAGGAAGATACTTGCTCAATTGAATTTGTACTTGCCGCTTCAGACTGTGCACTCTCATACATTAGGCTTGATCTGCCATCTTATTCAAAAAAGAAAAGCAGCCAAATCCAATAATTAAGCACCTGGACATTCAATCTAATTCACCTCAACCAATTTCCCAAATCTCTCCTCCGCATTCTTCTCTGCATCAAATCGAAAGATCCAATCCTCCCTCGGAAGCTGAATAGACTCAGGATCCTTGGCAACCTTATCCCAATCCGCCTTATGCCACATATCCCTCGTAGTCTCACCCGTCTTCTGAACCGCTCTCACACGCTCATATCTGTGACATGTCAGGACGCGCCAAAATTGCAAATTGGACCAGCATACCGAATATCTTGATAAGCCCGCACGGAGGCTGGCACATTAGCCTTGCCGCCTCGTTTCAGACAAACACCCAGCACGACTCCATCCTCCATCGCCTGCGTCGCCCCCTGGGCAGACGTGGGAAGGAAAGGGTGCGCAGCATCGCCGAGGAGCGCGATTCGGCCGTGGTCGCTTACCCACCGAGGAAGGGGGTCTCGGTATACGAGTTTCCAGTCGACGATTGAGGGGGTCTTTTCCACGATTGCTTTGCAGATTGGGTCCCAGCCTTCGATTACTTTGTATACATCTTCGAGGTTTCCGGGAAAGGACCATGATTCTTCGATGTCGGCTTCGTCCTGTTTGAGATTTGGTTAATTGGCTACTTAGATCCTGATGTGAGTGGATCGCGGACCTTGTGCGTCAAGACCCAGCAACAGTCCTGACCGTTCTTTACGGTGGAGAACAGAAAGTGTACATCGGGTCCGATCCAGCCGTTGAAGGTATCGCCATTCTCGCAGAAATGCTTCGTGCGTGGGTCGCGGATCATATCCTTGTTGGAGAACCTGGTTGGAGTTCAGCTGTAAGCCCGTGCTATGTGAATATTAACTCTGAATCTGAACTCACCATGCTCGGAATACAGCATATCCACTGGATTTGGGCTTGTCATAATAGCCTAAAACTAGTTCTCGGGCCTTGGAGCGGACACCGTCTGCACCGACGACTAGATCCGCGGTGATCTGAAGAGATGTCAGCACCACCCACTATGTGCGCACGTATAGCAGGAGACAGGTGGAACTCACTTTCTGGCCGCTTTCAAGCACAATCCCTGCCTGATTCTCGTCCTCAAAATACTCAGTGACTCTCTGGCCAAGATGAATCGGAATGCCCAACTCATCCTTGGCATAGTTGAAGACAATGGTGTGCAGTTCGCCTCGATGGCCGTTGAAGACAGGCGCAGTCGGATCGTACTTATGAGGTAGCTGTGTATGAACGAGCTCACCCGTCCATTTATGGATTTTGAAGCCGTGGTGTTCCAAATTGATGCTAAGAGGTCTTAGGCGTTCTGCAACATCACCGTCGGACCAGCGACGAAAGATTCGACCCGCGTTGGGACCAAATGAGATGATATCTCCCAGGGATCTGAGCTCTGGGATTGAAACTGTGAGTCTCTTGGTTTCATGGATTACCGTCCGTGGTAGTCACCTGGAAATGATTCATATATTTCCACACCGTGTCCTTGGCGGTGACACTCGATTGCAGCAGTTAACCCGCCAAATCCTATCATTTCTCAGTGACATGAATTAAGAAGGCCAACAGGCTACATACCAGCACCGACCACAACCACCTTGATCCCCGTCGGCTTGACCGGGTCGCCATTCGCAGTTTCCGAGACCGTCATGATATGCAGGCTGATGTACGTGAAAAGAATAATCGCAACTGATTGAAGAGTCAGGCGTGTTCTAAACTCGACAAGCCCCGTTTAAACCCGATGACGGCATGAAAGATGTTATATCTCAGACCTCTGGAATAACCCCGAGATTCCACCGGGTCAGTCGAACCTCAACTGCCGACGACCATACTCAAAAGAGAACTGAAGCAGGGCTCGGTCGCTTCTGCCGCTTCTCGAGACCAATGAAAGTCCATAGTTCAGATCGAAGAGGGACAAGTGGAGAGCACTCTTGCGGGGCCCGGGGTGTGAGCCAAGTTGAATCTAGATTGCAACGCCCCGCACCCCCGCAAACACTAGTGTCATCTGCCATTTTTTGTGTTTAGGCAAATCGATGTAGAGTAGTTTGGGACTGCCGGTTGAAATGCTCTTGCTTGTGGGGCTCGAGATAGAGTGAAATGGGCTATTGCGGGGCTTCCGCCGAAGGCTGCGGCACTCGGGGTGGTAGCATAGATGCGGGTGAAAGCCAATGGATACAACAAATCTAAGAGAATGACCAAATAGACTAAGAGCAACCTTGGAAGACGAAATGGCTACATCTCATCCCGAGTATAACGAGAAGACTTCGGCGACAGATGTCGCCAGTGCATTTGCCAGTCAAATTCACAACAAGATTGGTGAGTTAAACAGTGATCCCTGCAAACACGAGTCATGCAATTAACAGGCCACAGTGGTAATTACCGGAGTTGGCCCCAATAGCCTGGGCGAAGCTCTTGCCCTGGCAATAGGAGGCCAGAAGCCCTCAAAATTGATCTTAGCATCACGCACGGAAGCCAAACTCCTCGAAGTTGCCGAGAAGGTCCAAAAACTCTCGCCTAATGTTTCAGTTGAAGCTGTGGTATTGAACCTGGCTTCTCAGAAATCCGTTCATACAGCTGCGTCAAAGATCCAGAGCCTAGTCGACCGAGTCGACACCCTGATTAACAATGCGGGCATGATGGTCCTAGACCGACAAACCACAGAGGAAGGGATCGAAGTCCAGTTTGGAACGAATCATATTGGTCATTTTCTATTTACCAATCTGCTCATGCCGCAGTTGAAAAATGCCGCCAAAGTCTCTGGGCCGGGTTTGACTCGCATTATCAACGTTACTAGTGCTGGACATCGTCTGTCTCCAATTCGCTTCCATGACTATAACTTTGAAGGGAAGAAAGTTCCCATTGAAGAGAGACCGCCCGAGGGACTGCCTCCCATGTTCAGCCCTTCGGCCGAAGGATATAACGGATGGCTGGCGTACGGACAGTCCAAAGCGGCCAATATATTGTTCACGGTGTACTTGTCTCAACACTTGGCAAATTCTGGAATAGTCTCGTATAGTGTTCATCCCGGATGTAAGTTGGTCCCTGTTCTGCTTGAACAATACTGACAATGGGTTAGCAATCTGGACTGGGTTGAGCCGGGATCTTGACGATGCCGGATACGAGACTATATCGAAAACGAGCAACGTTTGGAAGAATGCCGACCAGGGTGCAGCGACTATGCTTGTGGCGGCTTATGACCCTGCACTGGCTGGTATGAATCACGCAAGGGCTTTTTCTAGCTCACTTTGGCTAACATGAATTAGCTGTATCCGATCCATCAGCCATATATTTAAGCGATTGTCAGTTCGCAAAGACTGCACCGCATGCGGTCAATGCGGATTCCGCTGAACGGCTATTCCGTCTCAGCGAGGAACTAGTTGGAATCAAGTTTGCGCTGTAATATCACGACCTATCGGCAATATCGGACGCTCCGATACATAAAAAGCCTGCTCAGGGCAGAGTCTAGTTTGTGACCGGGATATCAATCCTAGCAAGCTAGTCCAAGCCAATGCATATTTATTCACCGCTCCATCTCGCAGTCTCATAAATTCTAGAATCAAACGGACCTGTCACTGTCGCATGGACATCTCCGCTATGACTAAAACGGCCATCCGATCGGAGGTCCGATGTGGCGGATCCACCCGCAGGTTTTGCAGCGCCAACCGCAGTGACGATGACGCGGAATTGACCCGACGCCCACCGGTAGAGAATTGGGACAAGATGGAGGGCTTTTCGAGCCCGTCGGAGAAATATCCGACTTTACTCTTGTTCGTGCGGCGACAGTCTCCAATCGATGCTCAGGATAAGTTGCCGATGAGCCGGATCGCACTAAGCACCGTTACATGGGGAAAAAAATCACCTTTTGTCCCTGATTGTTATTATATGAGCCGGTCTCCACCTCCACATGGACATTTCAAAGCCGTCATCTTGTCGCATGTATACCTTTGAGATTAAAGTTTAGGCGAGCGTTCTTTGCTCCCATGTGTCGCAAGCAAGTTGCGTACTTTGAAATCTCAGTGATGTGCCTTGCTGCCTTTACACAACTTCAAGATATTAAGATAAGTCGCCCTGGACTTGTCCGTGCAAAATCAGCATGAATCGACAACGTGAGGCCGAAAAGGCTCTTCACGACCAGACCAATATCCTACCGTTCGCACAATTGATGGTGGTGTTTACTGGCCTAGCAATCTCACTGCTGATCACTATGGTTGATCAAAATGGAATCAGTGTCACATTACCCACGATTGCCCGCGATCTTGGAGCCCAAGATACCATCTCCTGGGCTGGTACATCGTCCCTGATCGCTAATACAATGTTTACGGTACTCTACGGCCGATTATCAGATATTTTCGGTCGGAAAATCGTCTACATTTCAGCTCTGTGCTTACTGTGCGTTGCCGATTTGCTCTGCGGCCTCTCCCAAAGCCCGGCCATGTTCTACGTATTCCGCGGCCTGGCCGGTGTGGCCGGTGGCGGCGTCACATCTTTAACGATGATCATCGTCTCAGATATCGTCACACTCGAAAAGCGTGGCAAGTACCAGGGCATTCTCGGTGCATCTCTCGGCTTGGGAAATATTATCGGTCCGTTCCTGGCTTCTGCATTTATCATGCGGTCAACGTGGCGAGGCTTCTTCTGGCTGATCTCGCCCTTGGCTGCATGCTCTGCCGTCGTGGGATACTTCCTTATCCCGAATAATGCTCGCAAGGAGGGATTTCGAAATAATATACGCCGGATTGATTGGTTCGGCTCGCTGGCTTCCTCTATTGGAATCATCTTCATTTTGATTCCCATTTCTGGAGGCGGGTCGTATTTCACGTGGGATTCTCCGATGGTGATTAGTATGCTTGTCATTGGAGGATGTTCCTTCATTGCCTTCTTTTTCATCGAGTGGAAGGTGGCTGCTCTTCCAATGCTTCCAAGTACGTTTTCCTTCCTTTGTATTTGGCCAACTACTTTTGCTAACTTGAGTTATAGTCCATTTTTTCAAGAACAAGGTGATCTCGGCATTGTTCCTGCAGAGTTTTCTCCTGGGAGCTGTTTACCAGTCCTATCTCTACTACCTGCCGCTTTACTACCAGAATGGGCGTGGCTGGTCGCCCGTCGTCTCCGCATCGTTAACTGCTCCCATGGTGGCTTGCCAGTCGATCGCGTCTGTGTGCTCTGGCCAATATATTTCTCGACTCAAGCGTTATGGAGAGATCATCTGGGTTGGATTTGGGCTATGGACTCTGTAAGTGCGATCCGGCCGACTTATACCTGTGCAATGGGATTCTAACTGTAGTAACAGGGGCACCGGCTTGACGCTTCTCTTCGGCCCTCATACCCACCCAGCCGTCATCGCAGTATGTGTCGCCATCACCGGCACAGGAATCGGTTTTACATTCCAACCCACTCTCGTTGCACTGCAGGCACACTGCACCAAATCCCAGAGAGCCATATCCATATCCAATCGAAACTTCTTCCGTTGCATGGGTGGTGCTTGCGGTCTCGCTATTTCAGCCGCCATCTTGCAGGCAACCCTGCGCTCGAACCTCCCAACTGAATTCGCCTACCTGACAAAATCATCCTACACACTCCCCTCACGGTCAACTCTCACCGATTCCCAGTGGTCGGAGATCCTCTCCGCCTACTCCAAGGCCTCGCACTCTGTCTTCATTCTACAAGTTCCGCTCATCGGTGTTTGTTTCCTCGCTTGCTGCTTTGTTCGCGACCGAGGCCTCGAGCGACCGAAAGAGCCCGAGGAGATCGAGGAGGAGAAGCGAAAGGCAGAGGCTGAGAGGGACGCGGAGGCGGCTCTTCCCGAGTCACAGCCTGAAGAGACGGAGACTCCCCAGTCTGCCGACGCAATTGAGAAGCGGCATTCTACGTCCACACTCGCGGGGTCTTCTATGCCCCCCTCGCGTGCTGAACCGCGATTGGCGAACGTGGAAGAGAAGAAAAGCACCGAACACAAAATAGACGACTGAACAGGAAGGTTACACAGGGGCTTGATTAGCGTTTCATTTTGCATCTTCATTTGCATTTCTAGTTATACCTGCATGGCGTTTGATACCAAAAGTATATATTGCATTTCGAATAGATATGGCATGAGTCTAATATACCCCTAATATCAACAATACCACTCCATGGATAGGGAAATCATCATTGTATGGCGTAGTTGAGGGTGACACATAAATGTCTTGGCGTTCGCTCGGCTTCCCGTAGACTTTCGCCGAGGTCTTCTTCTTTCACATTCCCCCGATACTGCACCATCAGAGAATAGGGTGACGTGATGTACTCTTGCGTGGCCTTTTAAATTTCTGCCACCAAACATGTATGCGCTTGGACAAAGCACGGGGTCTTCCAGACAGACCAGTCCGGCGTCCAGGGACTACAACCCCCGGAAGCGCGGGAGAACGGCATGTACCCGCTGCAAGACGAGAAAGCAAAGAGTGTGTTTGCCCACGAGGATCAACTTGAAGTTCTGAGTCTGACTGATGCAGTGCGACAACGAGTATCCAACATGCTCCAACTGCCAGAAGGCGGGGGTCTCATGTGACAAGTCGAGCGTGCGAGAAGATACTGATCGCGAGAACGAGTGAGTTCTCTAAACTCTTCTGCCTCTTGGCATATCCGGAGCAGATTTTTGACTTGTGATTCAGTTATACACGCGCCCTCGAAGAGCGGGTGGCGTTTCTCGAGGGTAAACTTGGTCGAGAGCCGATCTCCAGCCAGAATTCCGGGACGCATGTCGGGGGCTCGGTATGGTCGCCCCAAGGAGGCCGAGCAACACCCCAGACAGCAGCGTCCGGTCTCGAGACCAATCCAATAGGCGAGATTGTCGGCCTTCTTGCCTTGAGTTCCTCTGAAGCACCCGCCTACGTGGGCTCCAGCTCTGGCCTCTCCTTAGCCGCCAACCTAGGCGAAATGGTCCAGACTAGCGTATGGAACCAATTTATCTCCAGAATGCACGAGCAGCAGGCTGTCTCATCTACTGGCTCTATTCCAAACCCTGCCGGAGTGACAGCCGGAACAACGCAACCCGGAAGCAGCGCTCGAATCCGAGATCGGCCTAAGAGAATGGAAGAGCTTTTACCAGTTAATGTGGAGCCTCCAACTGATGAAATGGGATCGAAGATTCTTGATACTTACTTTAAACGACTTCATTCTCGGTACCCCTTTTTGGACCGTCGTCAGATGTGGCAGCTTCATGAGGAGAGGTGGCGGCTGTACAAGACCAAGCGTGAAGAGCTATCACAGGCTGATCGATTCGCCATTTTCAAGCTCAACATGGTTTATGCGATTGGCGCTACTATGCTCAAATTGAGCGATACTGGAAAGTATTCATATGCTGCACCCGAGGTAATTCCCCATCTTTCTAGATATCAATGGCTAGCTGCTGACGGCTTCAGCGATACTACGCATCCGCATTACAATATGTAACCACGATGTGTGAAGCTCGTTCCATTGAAAACATTGAAGCAATGGTTCTTCTTGTGGTATATCATCTCCGCACTGCTTCCAGTCACGGAATGTGGTACATGATCGGACTGGCCATGCGCACTGCAATCGACCTCGGTCTTCATCGAAAGGCAAACGAGATCAATATGGACCCATTCACCGCTCAAATGCGAAGGCGGTTATTTTGGGTAGTCTATTACCTAGAGCGAGTCGTCTCAATGTCCCTCGGACGCCCATTCAGCATCTCCGATCGCCACATCGACCTTGACCTCCCATTAGACGTGGACGACGACATCCAAGATCCCGCCCTCCTCACAGCGCCCCAACCCCATAGCAAACCAACCTCCCTCACATTCGCAATCTACCTTTTCAAACTCCGCCGCATCGACTCGCGCATCCAACACAAGATCTACCGTGCTGACCGACCCCTTTCATCCCTCCGTCTAAAAATGGACCCCCTATACCTCGAACTCGAAGAGTGGAAAGAATCCGCCCTTTTACGCTTCAGCGGCGCAGACCTCGACTACCCCATGCTCCACTACAACCGTGCCGTCAGACTATTAATCCAACCATTCCTCCCCCTCCTCCCAATCACAGACCCATACTATCACATTTGCCTCCGCGCCGCTGGTGAAATCTGCCAATCTCACAAGCGCCTCCACCAAACCCTAGAATATGGCCACTCATTCCTCGCCGTACAAACCGTCTTCATGGCGGGCATCACCCTCCTCTACGCAGTATGGACACACACAGAACAAGTCTGGTCCGTCCGAATGAGCAACGACATCCGCGCCTGCTCAACAGTTCTCTTCGTAATGGGCGAGCGAGCAGCCTGGGTAAAAAAATACCGCGACGCATTCGAGCTCCTGGTCAACGCCGCGATGGAAAAGCTGCAAGGCAACGAAACAGTCCGGAACGCAAACATGGCAGAGCTCATGACTGCCCAACACGGCGGCGTCTCGCTCAACACAGCCGTGCCTGGCATGTCTGCCGGCGAGAAATTCCCTCCTGCGAACCCGACTGGGTTGGCTCCTGATACGGGAAGTACGTATCCGGCGGATGATACAGATCATGCGGTTAGGATGGCGTTGCAGCTTGCACCGTGGATAGATCAGGACCAGAGTGATCCGTTGTGGATGCCTGACTTTGAGACTTTGGAGAATTTGTCGGGGACGTTTTGGAGTCATGCTGATACGACGCTTTTTGATGCATTGTGAATAAACCGCTAACTAGATTATAATATGTCTGGGACATCTGAGAACCAGCTTGCTAGGTCTGGAAGGTCGAATCTTCCTAAGAATCCGAATTCCTCTTGTCCTAGTCCTGTGTCTTCCCAGCTCATGAATGGGTTGATTGGAGCGTTGAGCTCTGTATCACGAGGAGGTTGTTCATCTGGGTGTCCTGCAGGTTGAGAAGGGAATTCAGGATCGGACGGCCGGTTGCCTTTTCGCTGTGTTTGGCTCGGAAGTAGGGACGTAATGTCTTCATTTCGACCCGGACCTGGTCTCATTAGTTTCTGACAAGCATGAATCCCGTAGGTGGTCGACATACCAGTGTAGTTCTGAACAATATGCTGGTGTGTAACTTTCAAGAACTGCAGCGAGTTCCGCGCAGAAACACTAAACACGGACATGACAGAGAGAATCTCTTCGCACTTGCGCCAGCTCTCGTCGACAGTGTGGGCGTCGATTTGGTCGAGGATCGAGCGACAGGAATATGACATGATCAGGACAAAACCAGCCGTTGAAGTATCTTTTGCGGATTAGTTTAGTTGACCTCCTTCAGGGTAGTGTTCACTGACAGAAGCCGTTGTACCACCATGCATCTGTTAGAGATGTCCTATATGTCTCGTAGACGAGAGAGACTAGCTCCACGGCGGCTGTAACGCATGCAGCTGCGCAGTTTACGGACATGGAGGAGTAGATGATGTTTTTATCGGGGCGGGCTGTGTTCTTGTTTGTATCCTGGCCGGACTGTCTGCTCAAACCTAGGCGTTCTTCGGAACACAGTTGTGTGAACATGGGGCGGAAAAGGAGGAGGCGAAGGTGGATGAATCTGAGAGCATGAGTATTTCTAAAAATGTAAGGTTTGTGGAAGAGGTACCTTGCACGTAGGACATTCCGCTGTCGCTGGAAAATCGACCCTTGATAAGTGTTCGGGCTGGGTAGCGGATTGGCATTTGTCCAATTGAGAACAGAAGGAATGTTCGACTCGTAGCCGGAAAGCTTATCATCAAGCTCCATGATAACATCTAGGCTTTTGTGCTTGAGGCCTCTGGGCGACATGGGGCGGTGGTGATGCGAACTGGACTGCCATGCATTGTAGATCTCTGACAGGATCGACTCGAGAATTTTGTATAGCTCGATAGTCGAGACGTAGAATGTCATGTACCCATGTCTGTGATCACATGGTTGTCCGCTGAGCTCGCATGGATCGTCTTCTTGTGACTCGGGTCTCATTCCAGGGAGCGGGACGGGGGAGATATGAGAAGTCATGCTTGGTCTGCCGTAGGTCATGCTCACGATCCTGGATTTGTTTAGTAGGTTTCTCTGTAGGAATTTGAGAAAAATGATGGGGCACATACATGTCCATTATAACACAGCCGTGCCAAGTGCGTCGCCGTATCTCCCTCTCCAATGGCTTGATAGATCGCTGTGATGCTTCTTCGTGCAGACCAAGGCCCTGAGCAACCCGACAGGCAACACCTATACTATTCCAGCATCGATTTGGGTAAGGAGTGCTTTGAAGTAGGATCGCAATGATAAGAAGTGTCTGCACCACTCCGATGGTCCCACAATCCAAAAGATCAAGACCAACAAACCGTTTGGCCCGAAGGAAGAATGTGTACACAGCTGCTTCGCGCTCAGTAGCAGGGATGTCTGAAAAATGACAACCCAAACCAAAGATAGCATTGAGGGCACAGTGGAAAACAATCGATTGAGGACCCGAATCAAAGGAGCCACCAAGCCCGATATTGAGTTCAGGAAGTTCAGGTTTCGGCCACTTACTCGAGCCCCAAAGATTCTCATATGCCTGTTCGAAACTCGGGCGATGGAAGAAAGGATATAGACAATGGACTCGTTCCCAATAACACTCAAGCAGGTGATCTGCCAGAGCTCGAGGGGGCAGAGAAAAGTCATCGAATTGGAGGCCTAGAGTTGGGACATTGCAGTCTTTCCAAAGGCCCGTGTCTCCATTGGAAGCATCAGGTGCATCGCTTTCGATGCGTCTTAGAGCTTGTAAGTAGGTTTGGATAGGCATAGAATCTCTTGCAAGGCGCATGAAGGATGCTGCAGACGAGTTTCCGTAGTATTGTTCTTGAGGCGAATCGGTGTTTTCGTCCTCGGCGACTGATATTGCGCCCATGGCTGTGACATTGCCGTGGGGGTTGACTGACGGGGAAGAGTAGACATTGGAAGACATTTGGAGAGCATCATATGAACCCAGAGTTCCACGCGGCGTGGTGCCTTCATATTCGGAAGGCCTCCTGCTTGGCTGAGATGGCTGCACGGGAGCTGTGTTTCTAAGTGGTGGTAGGATCGTCCCGGGAGAGAGGGACGCTAAGGATGGACGAGGGACCCCAGTAAGCTCAGGAGTCAAACCAAGCCCAAGAAGGCCCTCCACAGCAACAGATGTTCTAGACTCTATATTCGAGACGTCTCCACCGGGCTGAGGCTCTTGGATATCGTCAAGCCGCATGTCTCCATCACCGATGCTGTGGGGCGCAGGCGGGATAGCAACTCCATTTTGGGAGCAGATCTGTTCAAGATCTCGAATCCGACCGTGGAGAATCTTCAGATACTCGTCATTACTGGCCGAACGAGCATTCTCAATTTTGTAGACGCATCGATCGATCGGATAGGATCGCCGCGCGCAAGGCCCACATATCGGCTTCGAGCCGTCACACCGGACTTTCTTTTCTCGGCATGATTCACATGCCAGCGCAGTTTTGCGCCGGCGGGGAGTGTCTCGATTGGAAGTTCGATGCCTTGAAGACATGGTTGTAATGGAAATTGCGAGTCTTTAGCTCATTTGCTTTCCCGCTTCATGCCGAGGCAATGAGAGACATCAACCAAGTCCGAGTGATAAAAGGGCCACGTACGGCATATGAGCCACCTTTTTCAGAAAAAATATTCATCGAATGCGGGGTAGCCAAGAATAGTGGCATATGCTAGCCCCATTGATTGTCTTCAGCTGGATAACACATGTGTGTTGGGGAAGAAAGAGTCGCCAACGCGATGTCCGGAACGCACCCGAAGCCATCACGTGACACTGCGATGAACACATGTCAAGAATCACGGAGTGGAAGTAATGGAACAGGATTGGACGGAACAGAAATAAGCTCATGAGCATACGAGATGCACCCCAGGATTGGGCTACGGTCGCATGAACACCATACCTGATCCAGTAAACACGATGCAGCTGAGCATGTGCACGTTCGGAATGCACCCGGCCCGCATAGTAAAAACCGGGTGCATGCCGGAGTTGACGTATGATGGCGGCCTAGAATCTCGCAAGCCCTCCCCAAGTGATATCAAAATAAGGGATCGACAGTCTCAACAACGCGTTTTTGGGCATTAGGCGCCGGTGTTTCCGGCAGTACTTATTTTTTAGTATCGCTTGTCTCCAAAGAATATAGATGACCTCTTATGACCACAAGACAAGATACTACAATCCCCCAACTGAACGATTTCCTCCTCCCAACTACCACTAAACGGCAAATGGGAATATTCTGTCTCCTTGAAACCCAAATAGAACCACACAAGCTCGTCCCATAACACCGCATAATCAATGTCAGCCTTACACGCGACGCATGCAACCGACCTTGACGGTGGCTGCTATTCAGGCCAAGATGTCAAACAGCAAACAAATACCCCTAAGCGTCTCCCACTCGATAATGGTCTACAATGGGGCTCAGATCCCAGTTTCTGCTATCATGGATTCTCCTGTCCCATTGGAACCTGGACGGAAGAACGGCTAGTCCAAAACCTGATGCGCAACATGGCAAGCATGTGCGATAGCATGAACATCGACTTCAACCACGACGCTGAACTGCCCGACTACACAGTCGACTTCCAAAAAACACCAGACATGGTCCAGTTGAATGGGCTAGACGTCTCCCAGATGCCTCGCAAGTACCGAAGCGAAACCCCTGGATCTATATCCTCCTCAAGCACATCCGGCTCTGAGAAACGAAAATCCGTTACGCCGTGCTGTTCAGATGAGAAAAACACGACACCGCCGAATAAGAAGCGGAAATGTGTACAGAAGCCTGGTCAGAAGCTTTGTCATTGTCGGTCGGAGAAGAAGAGGCGGGAGATTATTACGCAGAGATATCAGGAGGTTTCGGATCTGGTCCCTGCGCTCGGAAAGCATAATTATACGAGGAAGTATGTTTTGAAGGAGGCGGCAAAATTTATAACGTCGTTGACGGAGGGGAATGAACTGTTGCGGAAGCAATTAGATGCGATGAAGGATCAAGAGGAGAGGGAAACACGAGAGACGTTTTTGGGAAATGAATTATAAGTGCGATATTTAATAATGACCTTCTCGGGGGCATGCAGAGGGTGATGTATATACTGGGCGTCCAAGGTTAGAACTATTCAGAGTGCTTCAAAAATGTAACTCAGATTAAAAAAAGTCAATGAACTAATTTTGAAGATGAGACAAAAACCAACGCATACTTTTCTTGCCCGATTCCAGATGAATGAAGCCGGGCGTCACAACAGACTAAAACTTTCACCACAGCGCATGTTGAATGCCAGAAAAGATCCCCATCAACTTTTGATAGATGAAAAACAAAAAGCATAAAACATAATAACAAGAAACACAAAACATGAGAAACGAAAAGATGGAAGAAGGAAGACTAAATAACAGCTATCTTTCACGCAGCGTCCTCCATATCAAGCACCTGCATCTGCTCCTCAGTGCTCCTCACATGCTTCACGAACGAAAGCAGTCGCTGTCGTCGATAGTAGATATTACTCAAATCAACGCGAGCTTGGGCCTCCGCATCGTTCTGCCCGGTGATCAGGATGAGCATGAAGAACGTTTCGATGATGCTAGGCGGCACGTTTGAGATCAACTGTCCGGTCAGACTCCAGTTCATGGCACTCGACGTAATGATGCAGCCAATGGTGAGCATAAAGCCAGCTACCACCATGAGTAGATGGGAGCTGACCGCATCCATGCTTCGAGATACCCTTTGTGTCAGAGATGCTTGCTTCGTGGTGTCGGTGGCGGGAATCGGCAAGGACAGTCCGGCGAAAAGGACATTGTCTGCTTCCTCCAAATCACTGATCTGGCGCCTGATATATTGGTGTACCTTGCCTTGAACGTTCCGGAGGACGAAGCTGTCGAAGAGACCCACCAACCCAGCATAGGTACCGATGAGAAGCCACCAGGTGTTGTTGAAGTGAAAGGCTGGACCGGCGGCTGCCCATGCAATGATAACCAGCAGAAGGACGATGATTCCGACCAATGTGCCGATGACATCGGCGTAGTAGTAAATCACCACCTGCAGGTAGCTCTCCTTCGGTGGCATGATTGTCTCAGGTATATTCGGCAATTCATCTTGACCGAGGTGGCGAAGCTCCTTCTCAAGGGTAGCATCGAGCCGGAAGATTTCGTCCACGCAGGTGTTGGTGTAATCAGCGTAGCATTCACGGAGGCAAGCCAGGAACGCAAAGACCAGGACCATCAGAGCGGATGTGGCGTCGTTGATGTACAGCTGCCATCGATCGGACCAGTGGAATTGGTGACCAAATCCTAGCCACACAAAGATGCCAACCCAATACAGACCAACAGTGGTAATATGACCGAACATTTTTGCAGAAAGAATGATCAACCGCGCGAACCGGCTCTGCGTCCGGAACCCATGGTCAAGCGGACGGAGAGGCTCACTATTGTACCCCTCGACATAACGACGAATGCCTTCCGATCCCAGCGTCTCCTTGACCTTGGCGAGCATTCGGTCATGGCTGTTGCACCGGGACTTGATCTCAGCCATGGCAGACCGTTGCTCGGAATACTCTCGAAGCAGCTGGCGCATGAGGAACGAATCGAACACGTAGCACAGGATGGCCTGCACATCAGAGATAACAGCGATCCAGACGTCTGAGTTGGCAAAGCGAATACCCATCAGTGCCCATACAAGAAGACCGCCAATAATGACCAGGAAGACTGGGGGCGATCCAGCAACGTGCACGACGGCATCGAGCCAGCGATCCACAACGCGAGGGCTCTCCTTGACCTTGTAGCCTGAGACGGACTCCACTGAGACGGTAGCAGTCCCGAGCTTCGTGTCTTGCTCAACGACAGCCTGTTGCGTCTCGGCAGCCCCCTCGAACTCGCAGCAGAAGATGGGCTTGTAGAACCGCATTGTGCTCACAAGATAAGAAACAGAATATGAAGGCGTTGACCTGACCGACACACAGTGTATATTTTGACGTATTTAAGGAGGTCCAGATACCTCCGGAGATGCACTGGTAAATTTCACCACAGCCAGTTTGCCTGGAATCGCAAATGTAGTCGAGATGGAGAAGTTCATGGAGTAGATATCAGCCATTCAGAAAGAAAAGATGGACACAGAGTGACTTGAAGTGTTTGAGAAGTGGTTTGAAGATGTGTAAAAATTTGGAAAGGGAAGATATGGGAGAAAGAGAAGTGAGAATATTAAATGCCTCACACCAACAGCTTGGTCCCAAAGGAGACGCGGTATCAGCCCAGGTGTCTCAACTCCACTTGTTTCATTCTTCTTCTTCCTACTGGCTGCGGAATAATTCACCCCCATTTACCGGATATATTCAGGTCTCTAAACTCAAAAAAATAAATTTCTCGTCTTGGCGGACCTGCAGTGTGAACCGGATGTTCCCACCGCTGGAGACCGGTCCAGGCAGCAGTAAAGTATGTTAAGGTTTTTCCCTATCTCACCATGACCCGCTTGCTTCCACGGGAACTTTGTGACTTGATTGTTGAGTCACCTGAGAAGCTATTTTCGGGGGATTGGGAATTTAGAAATATTCCCCTGGTTATCGTGGCGTGGTCTATAGTTCGGAAACTCTATCTGCACTAGTGTCAAAGCACGACCATCAGATGAGAGATGAGAGACTCGTGGAGATACTCTATATCGCCTAAGACAGACATGGGACAGCTTGACTCATGATTGCCAGGTGTATGAGTAGTGCATCTGGTCTAATATCCCGCGTTTCCCACTGAATGGCGGGACGTACACATATTTGACATCCTGAATTAGCACCCTTTCTAAGGCGTTTTCATACACAGGCTCATCAAAATGCCCCAATTGGGGAACTCAAATTAGTGAATATTGAGGAGGGTATTCATCACCCTCATGGGTATCTCTAGGCAAACGCCAATCACGCAATCAAGACCCAAGCATGCATCAGGAAAAACCAAGCCGCCCAGACCCAGTCTAAACCTAGAAAAAATCACCGCCCACACAACCACCCGCTCACCAGCAAGAACGACCGACGTCGCACCATCAGGGCTAATGAACAAACAAACGTCAGCTTCAATTTACCCAGAATCGCGCGGCAGGTATCCTTCAAGTCCAACAGAAAAAAAAAGTCATGAACCATACCTTCAGTATAGCCATCAGCTCTTCGTCAGTCGTGAGGTTCCAATCATACGCCTTATCAATGGCCTCCAGGATTAGATCCTCCTCCCGAGCCTGCTGGTCCTCGGGAGTCTCACTGGCAGGGGTTTCCTGCACGCTTGTGGGTGACCCCGACTCGGCGACTGACGACTCAACGGCCGACGACTCAGAGTCACCGGCCATGTCCTCATCGGAGGAGGCTGGCGTAGTGACGTCGCTGTCACTGTCAGCATCGACGTCCCCGTCATAGCCGGGGTCGTCTATACCCGTATCAGTATTCGTATGAATGTGGCGCACGAGGCGGTGCAGTATACGGCCATGTACTCACCGGCAAGGACGACACCGTCGGCGCCAGAGGATGGATGGTGCTGCATCCTGCTGCGGGGTACTTATTTGCTCGTATTTGTATTTGGAGGATAATGTGATGGATGATGCGATGGGGTGAAGGTTGGGGAGGGGGTGTGAATATGTAATGTGAGAGAACCGCCCAGGGCGTATGAAAACATGAACGACAGACGCGTTCGAAAGAGCTCGCGAATTAGGCAAGAACGACTCCCGACTCTCCGGCAATATCCTCCCCCATTAAAACAATTCCTTCCCTTTATTCGCTGAGCAGTAATTGAGAAATACAGGCCCCGGCCATGATCCCGACCATCTAGTGTATCGGCCGGGAAGAGATAGAAGAGTGACGGAAGAACAGTTAGAATAAGATGTGACTGAGACGGAGCAGGCACATTGAGAGCACTTTGGGACACATCGGGTGTGAATTCATTTGTAGTTGATATAAAGGCACAGGTCTGAAACTTGTTGGCGGCTTGACAAAATTATATTGATGATTGGGGTGGGGATTATGGCAAACTGCAGCGGTGATCTATATAAAGTCGATCATGTTAATTGCTACACTAACAAGCAACATTACATGGAGAGAACAAAAGGAGAAACTAGATTATTCATAACACCATGCGGTTCGACTGTTAGAGTATAGATATCGACCAAGACAAGAAATATCTACACCCTCGTGCTTAAAATTACGCATACAAATTATAATAGAAGCAAAATATATCAGACAGCATATCCCCAACCACAAGAACCTGTCCAGAAACAAGCCCTCTGCCCTCAAAGAGCCGGAGCAAGAGTAGCCAAACCCCTCGACATACGACTGATCTGTCCTGCATAATAAGTCTAGAGCCAGAGTTAGCATAAAGAATCCCCAAAAGAAAGCACCACGAAGCGTTTTGAACTCACACTCTCAGCACCCGCCCCAATCAAATTCCTCGGCAACCACCTCGCATAAAAGGGCGTTGGGACCTTCTCAAGCGGTAGCGCCGCCTTTTCATCGTCCAAACTCTCATCAAGCAACAACAACGGAAACTTGGGATCAATCGCCGCAGGCCGTCCAATACCCACAAGATCACAAGCCCCATCCCTAATAGCAGCCTCAGCCCCAGCCCGACTCCTAAACCCACCCGTCAACATAAGCACTAGCCCCGGATGTCTCTGGCGCACTTCCTTGGCGAATTCAAGAAAGAATGCCTCGCGCGCAGCGGTGCGCTCGGACTTTGGAGTTTCCGATTTGGCATACCCCATCATCTGGGGGTCTTCGTAGCTGCCGCCGCTGACTTCCATGAAATCTATTCCTGCGTCGACGAGGAGGGCGATTTGCGTCATTGTTTCCTCAAAGGTGGACGAGCTGTGGTCTGCGGAGTTGAGTTTGATGCCGATTGCGAATGTCGGCGGGACTACTTTGCGGATTTCGCGCAGGATGTCGAGGACGAATCGCGCGCGTTTGGTGGGGGTGCCGCCGTACTCGTCAGTGCGGAGATTTGTTTTGCTGTTAAGGAATTGGTCTGTACGTTGTTAGTATTAGTATTGTTCAAGAGCGGAGAATGGAGAATGGCGGATAGGTGGAAGGAGTTACCTATTAGGTAGCCGTGGGCGCCGTGTAGCTCGACTCCCGAGAATCCGGCGTCGGCCATTAGGCGTGCTGTGTCGACGAAGCAGCGGATTGCTTTTTCGATGTCGCCGCGAGTCATTTCGCGGGGTTGGGACCATGCCACGCATGCGATTAGCTGCTCGAGAAGGCCATTGCCTATGTTCATGGGGACTTCGCTGGGTGCAATAGTTTGCGCGAAGAAACCGCGCCGTCCGGCTGGGCGGAAGGACTGGCGACCGGGGTGGCAGATTTGAACAAGGGCGGGGGTGCCGTGTTTCTGACAAGCGTCTGCGTACTTCTTCCACTCCTTGACGACGGTCTTGTCGTCACCCGTGTACTCGCCGTGCAGCGCCGGGTCGAAAGGGCTGCCCAGGTGGTCTACGTCGACTTGGACGTTTCCTGTCAGGATGCTGCCCCAGCCGCCCTGCGACCATTGCTCGTAGGCATCGTTTAGGCTGTCGTTGGGCTGGTTGGTTTTGGCCATCAACTCGGCCATTGCGGCCTATCCTTTTGTTAGTATCCAAGTTGAACAAGGGGTGGGACTGCGGACCTTGGAGAGGCGGTTGGGGAAGACGAGCCCGCAAGGGAGTTTGACTGAATCTGCCAAAGGAGAAGGCATTTTGTGGAGGATGCTCTTCCTATAGAATCAAAAATGTGTAGTTCGGAGCCCAAGAATGCGATGTCAACTGGTGGTGCAGATCAGACAGGGGTCAGTTATGCATATGTCAAAAGGACAGAAGTGGTGAACAAACCAGATATATATCGACAACTCTAAACAAAAAGAAAGGAATAATATACAGCGCATGCAACAGCGAACGCCACTCAATTCAACACTTTAATAAAGAGATATGAAAATCCTCTGATCCAAGGCAAAAAATAACCTCGGCCCTTAGTCATCACTGATGCGGAGAGATTGATGGCCCCGCGTGCGTTCCACCGTCGATCTACACTGGATCCAGTGGGCCCTTGATTAATCCAAGGTGAATCTAGAATGCTTTGCGACTGCTTTCTGCAGGGTTAGGTGGAGCCCTTCATGTGCAGCCGTCCCACCGTGTTGGACCCGACGTGGTTGGTTGAGTGTCGGCGTTTTGAGTTCCCCCGACGGCATGTGATCCCAAGTTGGAAAGTTGGCCGGTGTTTTATGGGGCATCATGCTGCCAGCAGAAGCTGATTATTCAACATGAAGGCAAAGGTGCTAATGAATTGTAGATTGAGGGTTCAATCTCAAGATCATTTCCCCTGGAAAAAGAATTGAACGTGGGACTAATGTGCCGCAGGGCGGAAGCAGTGAATAACAAAAAGGAGGGGAACCAAAGGTATTTATTTCTACGAGAACGTGGGGGGAGGTAGAGTGGTAAATCCAAATTTATTCAATTCACTGATCGTGTATCCGATCCCAAATGCTGAGGCATCAAGCCAACAATGAAAGAGGGTATTCCAAGAGAGAAAACCAAAAAAACGAAAAAAAACATCCATAATCCATCCCGAAATGAAGCGCTCGAAAAATGAAAATAAAAAACGATATATACTAAGCTCAATCAGAGCAATCACGTAGTGATCCTCCTAAGCGGGTCCACATCAGAACAGTGCATAGAGAAGAAAAATAGGGCGCCGGCAAATGAAACACGAGCGAGGCAGATGGTAACGGAAAAGTCTTACAGCTTGTGCGGGCTCCCGTTAACTTCCTCGGTGGGAGAGCCACTGGAGAAGGGGGTCAAGTTGCCCAGGCTGGAGAGCAGGTGACCGACCTCGCGCTCCAGGGCGCGGACCTCGGTGTGCGGGTCATACATGCGGGTCCTGATGTAGTTGTCCAAGTCCTTGTCGGACATGTTGCGGAGGGCGGTCTCACGGTCGACCTTGTCCTCCTGGGCAGCGCGCATCACGTTGCGGGCAACGACCACGCTGACTTCACGGATGCGGGTGATATCCGGGTAGAGGAGACCGAGCTCGATCTCCTCGGCGGTCAGGGCCTTGGAGAGGGCTTCGCCGGAGGCGTAGATCATGTTGTCGGTGACCCGGACGGCCTTGGACAGAATGCTGCCGAGACCGATACCGGGGAACACGTACATGTTGTTGCCCTGGCCGGGGTAGTAGGTATTCGTCTGGCCTTGGGCGTTGGTGAAGGACATGGTGGGGAAGGGAGAGCCGGAGGCGAAGAGGCAGCGACCGTCGGTGTTCTTGACGGCGGTCTCAAAGTCGCACTCGGACTTGGAGGAGGGGTTGGACAGGGGGAAGATGATGGGGGTGGTGTTCCAGTCGGCCATCTTGCGGAGGATCTCGGGGGTGAAGACACCGCCCATGGTGGACAGACCCATCAGGATGGTGGGCTGGACGTGGTCGACGACCTCCTCCAGGGTCTTGAACTGCTGTCCATTGTTGTTCTGGCGGGCGAAGTAGACCTTGTGGTCGGCGAGCTTGTCACCACGGTCAGCGGTGACGAGACCCTTGGTGTCGACGAGGTAGAAGCAGTTGCGAGCATCCTCCTCGGTCATGCCCTCGCGGACGAAGAAGTCAACAATCTGCTTGGCGACGCCGACACCGGCCGAGCCGGCGCCGAAGAAGACGGCGCGGTGGTCCTTGCAGGGGAGACCGGAACGCTTGACGGCGTTGATGACTCCGCCGAGGATGACGGCGCCGGTACCCTGGATGTCGTCATTGAAGCAGGTGTAGATACCCTGGTAACGCTCCAATGCGGGGAAGGGATTCTTGAAATCCTCAAACTGAATGACGATACTAAATTAAGCTTCCCGTTAGCATGGGGTCTTCGGATCTTGCATATCCCCCTCACCCGGGGTGTACCCGGGATGACACGAGGAGAGGAGAAACGACTTACCCGGGCCAGCGCTCGGTGAGAGCGGACATCAACTCGTCCAAAAACTCCCGCTCCTCCTCGGGGCTGATCTTGTCACGGCGGCTACCCATGTACAGCGGGTCTTCCCGGAGGGTCTTGTTGCTGGTGCCCAGATCCAGGGTCAGCGGAAGAGTGGCCTCGGGGCGGATACCCGCACAGGCCGTGTAGAGGGCCAACTTGCCAATGGGGATACCCATGCCGTTGATGCCCAGGTCGCCCAGTCCGAGGATACGGGAGCCATCGGTGATACATGTGATCTCCACGGTGGGCTGGGGCCAATTGGCGATGACGGCTGCCAGATTTCCCCGATCTTCCCAGCTCAGGTACATACCTAAAACGGTGTTAGCGGCGCCGGTTCATCTTCGTGCTTCCGATTTGAGTCATAGTACGTACCCTCCGGCTGCTGGTAGATCTCGGACCAGCGCTGGCAGGCCTCGCCGACAACGGGGGTGTAGATCAAGGGCGTCAGCTCCTGCAGGGATTCTCCGTTAGCTCGTGTTTCCCGTTTCGTGGGGTGTCCGTGGCCAATCACGGCCGAGTTTTGCATACCCTCAGGTGGTCGGTGACCAGACGGTAGAAGAGGTGGACGTTGTTCTTGCGCAGCGTGCTGAGGTACTGGAATTTGTCGATGGGGGTGTTCTTCAGCCCCAACTGGGACAGACACCGGGACTTTTGGGTTTCATAGCTCTCGGCGCGGGGAGGAGTGAGGCCGTAGGTGCGCAGGTACTTGCGAATGTAGGCAGGGTTGGCGGTGTCATAGTTTGCGTCTCTGTAGGAGATCGGTGTTAGTCGGGGACTCTTCCAATGGGGTTGTCTTGGGGTCTCTGGATAGGCATTGCCCGTGAGACCACGGCGGCGACGTACGAAGGAGTGGTCGAGTGGTTCATGAAGGGAGTCGCGTGGACGGGACGGCTTTGTTGAGGAGAAAATCGAGCCATTGTGTCAGACGGAGAGCGCAGCTTACTCGTCGGGGCAGAAGATGAATGATAGAAATGAGAGAGACGGGGCGTGAGGGAAGTGTTTTTATGTACAGCCCGCAGACTAGCTTTCCCCTGGGTCAATCGAGCGCACATCATCCCAGACATTCCGAGTGAAAATTAACCGGGTCCGTGTTGAGGACGGTCAAGGCTCAGTAAAAGCGACGGCATCATTTGGAGTCGGGAAGAGTCGGGGGTGTACGAAGGGATGGGGGTCAGGAAGGGGACCCAGGATGTGGATATTTCGGTGATGGCAGCGAACCGTTGCGCGTGAAAGGCCGGTGGAATCTGGATCCCTCACAAAGCTTCTTTTCTGTTCTGGGAAGCAGATCCAGCAAGGAGGAGCTCGAATCGCCGGTGGAGACGGGGAGCGCCGAATTGACTCCAATATCCATGCGGAGGCCCATCTGGTTTCACGATCCGTTAGGGCTAGATGGCCCAGCGAGGGCGTCGAGGCCGACACCGCTACTACGTCTACATCGTACATTCTGTCCTGTCCGGCCGGGATCAGCACTGGGAGCCGCCGTACAGTGTACAGCAGATCACTCCCGCTCATTCCAGCCTGCAAGTCGGAGTTCTACACGGTAGGCCTCGAACTACGACGTCGACTCGCGTGGGCGTTGCTTCATCTGCACCCTGACTGGTCCTCGAGGCCGGGGCGAACCTAAGTACGGGTCCGCCCAGCAATCGACCTCCACTCGAGCGAGCTTCCAGAGCCGCAGACAGTGCCGAGGTGGAGCAGTCTTCGAAATTGACTACAGTACGGAGTACAGCCTAAACTCCGAGCTACGTTACTACAAATGGCCATCGGTCATGACCCTTCTGGAAACAGAACCTGTCCGCACGGAGCCCAGCGGGAAGCGGCAAGCGGAGCCTGCCGCCCCGAAATGGCGTTCCTGCGGTGATAGGAAAACGCGCCGGAGACGACGGGAATTGGCACTGATGGTCCGTTTCGAGTTGGCCGCGTTACCAATCCCGCCGTGCCCTCTGAATGGCTTCCGTCGCCGACGGGGACGTCCCGAGACTTATATTGCTTGCCCGGGACTCCCCCAGCACGGCCCTGCGTGGGATTTTTATTTTTTTTCATTTCGTCGGCCTGGAAGAATCCACAATTGAAAGTCCGAGAAAATCGGAATGCAGGGCCATCCGATTGGACCTCTGGCCCTAGTGCTGGCAAAGTCTGCAGTTGAGTTGAGAGCTGAGACCGTTGGGGTTGAAAGGTTGAAAGGCTTAGCTGCTGAGAAATACGCGCGGTTTCAGTCATGGCTCAACGTTTGCCATTTGCTTTTCCCGCACCAATACTCTAGGAATGGCGCCTATCAAGACACTGTAAGGAGTACCCGTGAAGTCACAGCCTGTTCATTTTTCATTCCCACTTTTGAAGATGATCATCGGGAGTCCACTTCAGTCCTACTAGTTGAACCGAACTAGGGAACTAAGAATACTACCACCCGGGGATCGAATCGAAAGTAGTAAAAGAAAATAAAATAAAAATTATAAAATAATTGAATTGAATAAAGTACAAAGTCTATTTGGTGCAGACAGTCCACGGTTGTCGGAAAGGGAGCTTCCCCAGATCGACGCCGATCGTTGTATGAGGGATTTCCCTCCAAGCTATGTAGAACCATGTAGCTGTACACCCTAGGATCCCTGCTCTGTGTATTCTCAGTTCTCGGATGATCTCCTCGTAAATGTTGCCAAGAAACCAAAATGAAACAGGCAAACGGCCAGTGACACGACGAGTCGGGGTGTCGTCATCGCCACGCCAAAACAGGTTGCCCTTCCCCTCCCTTCGTAGCTTGTAGCTTGGAGCTTAGCTACCTGTCCTCATTCCAAACTCGAGTCCATCACCTTCTCAACTTCACGTATGTCGGTAGCCCTTGACAGGGGCCATCCAATCCGCCATGCCTGACGAAACGGAGCCCCTCCTCCCGCGCTATGAGGACGACACCTCGCGTCAGCGGCGGCTGCACCAGAAGCTCCACTCCTACCAGATGCTGCGCGCCATCTCCGAGGGTTACATGCCATCAACCGAGCAGACGATCGCAAACCTACGAACCCTACTCGCCTCCGACGTGCTGAACCTCCGCAACCAAGAAATCGGCACTCACGGCCGCCAGCTGGTCCGCGACGCCCGTCTCTGGCTCCAGACCTTCATCGAACTCCTACACTCCAAGAACAACGATGACCAACTACAGGAGTTCCTGTGGCACCTGGCGCGGTCGCGCGTGTCAATTGATGGCTCGCGTGTGTCGCAGCAAGCTGCCCACGTGAAGAGGCGCGCCGATACTAAAGCAGGTGGGTCTCGGGTCGCGTTCCACGCTGTTGACAGCTGGCTAAAGTTCTTGGCATGATGCTAATGCGTGAAATCCAATAGCTTATGATAGTTTCCGAAATGTGGGGAGCTTGCTCTTGACGAATGCCGACTTTCGTCTTTTCGTTGATGATATCGCCACCGTTGGCCGTCAGATCTTCGCTGATACCGCCGAGTCTCTTTCTGAAAGATCTAAGATCGTTGCTGAGCAGGTGAAGCCGTCGCAGAATGAGGAGCAAGCTCTGCAGGGGGCTGGTGCTGATGAGGGCCGTGAGGTGTCACGGGAAGAAATAAAGGAAGACGCCGCCCATGTCGCTGAAATTGCCAGGGAGGGTATTGCTCACACCGGACAGGAAGCCGTGAAGAGTGCCAAAGAACACTTTTCTGGCCAGGAACGGGATACACTTTTGTTCCGCCTTAAGAAGACTGTTCAGCAGCTGCGTGAACGGACTGACTACTCGGATTCCGTGTCAACCCTTGCACAAATGGTCCAGCGATATGCTATGTTCTACGTCAATGCGGCCGAGGACACCGCCTCAACCGCCCAGGAAGGTATCGAAGTCAATGCTGATCTTAAGCCAGCCGTGGATCAGTTTTGGGGGTTGTTGCGTATGTTCGGTAGTCCAGACGAGTGGGATCAGCTCCAGCAAAAGTTCCACGATGTCCTGCGCCATGCAAACAAGGACCCCGAGTTCGAGCAGCTGATGGGAGAAGTTGGCACCTCTCTGCAGGACATGCTCACCGATCCAGCGTTCTTCGATTCTGCACCGCAGAAACTCGATGAATTGCAACAGCAATCGGAGAAAATGAGCTCCGAGACCGGTCTTCGACAGGACATTGTTGAGTTCCTGGCTCAAGCTAAGCGGACACTGCGTGCAGTGCCTGAAGATCCTGCTGCCTCGAAGTTGGTCAACGCTACTACAAAGCTCTACAACGACGCATGGAATGCATACAACGACAAGAACACTGATCTCCCAGCCGACCTGGTGAACGTCTTCCTTCCCGTTGCCCTGCGCATGATCCAGTATGTGCCCATTCCTCGTCTGGAAGTGGCCGCTCCAGAGATGGACCTGCTTCTGGAGAATTTGATCCTGGAGCCTGGCCACACCGTCAACTACTCCTCCTTCCTCCCATACCGCATGCACCTTACCACTCGCAACGACATTGATATAGTCAAGAAACACTCAAAACGGACCCAGACAGATATCAAAACCCTGTTCAGTGTAGCCCTCCACGGTTTGAACATCAGCGCCGTGGATTTCGGATACTGGCTAAAGACCCACACTCTACTCTGGCACATGAAGGATGAAGGTATCGCCAGCTTCTATCTCGACCGCCGAGGCATCGACATAAATTTGGAGATAGAGGTCGGTCGAGGCTCTCTGGAACAAATCTTCACCTTGCGCAATGTCCGAATCCGCATCCATAAGCTCGACTACAAGGTCTCGAAGAGCAAGTGGAAGTTCCTCCTCTGGCTCGCAAAACCATTCCTAAAGCACCTCGTACGCCGAGTACTAGAAAAGAAAATCGCCGAAGAGATCGTGGCCGTCGCCCACGCCTTGAACCGGGAATTGGTATTTGCCCGCGAGCGTTTGCGCGCCACTCGCATCGCCAATCCGCAAGACCTGGCGACTTTCGCTCGTGCCGTACTTGCACGACTGAAGCCCGCGGACACGGATATGGAAGCTCGGATCGCTCTTGAGCTGCCAAAGTCTGGTGTCTTCAAGGGTATCTATGCTCCCGGTAGCATTGTCAAGACCTGGCATGACGAGGCAACCCGAGCCCAGGAGGCGATCGAGGATGGAGATGAGACTCACGGGCTGGGACACACATGGCGCAACGACATTTTCGACGTCGCTGGATCCCGCTGATGAAATTGTCATTGCGATTTTTGGTGGTATTGGCCTTCATGATTTTACGACCACTATGCTCATGAGGACAAGATGGCGCACATATGAAACAAGTAGCGCCGTATGACTGAAGTAATTTTTTCTACCATAACTCCAATCAATTTTATTTCTTTGTATCTTATTCTCATCTCTTTGAACACCGAATCTTGATCATTGTATAAACCCCACGTGACCGCGATAAGGATTAGCTGGCCATTTCGACGCGGCGACTTCCTACCTTACACGAACACCTGTCCACCCCATTGTTCGATAAAACAATAACCCGGGGCCCCCGATCGCCGATCCTCATGACTGTCACTTAATTTCCACCCCCAAATCACCCTCTTCAATCCTTATCTCCAAGCTCTCGCACCCGAAGCTTGATCCCGAGCGGGAAACACGTCAACCCGACGCTCGCGCCAATTGCCAGAAACCGGCTCCCCGAACACAAGCTGCTAGCCCACAGGCAAAATGTACATGAACCGTTTGCTACTCGCGTTAGCCGTGGTGCTATTCTCGGTCCTCGTCCTCGCAGCAGAAGATTATTACAAGGTGCTCGGGCTAGACAAGTCCGCTTCCGAAAAAGATATCAAGCGCGCATACCGCACACTCAGCAAGAAATACCATCCCGATAAGAACCCGTGAGCCCATCCACGATCCCCGCGGCGGGAGCATTACTGACACCGTACCAGGAACGACGAATCAGCACGCGAGAGATTCGTCGAAATCGCAGACGCATACGATGTCCTCTCCACCAGCTCGCTCCGCAAAATCTACGACCAATACGGCCACGACGGCGTCGAACAGCACCGCAAAGGCGGCCAAGCCGGCGGCCGAGGCAACGATCCCTTCGATCTCTTCTCGCGGTTCTTCGGCGGCGGTGGACATTTCGGCCATGCGCCCGGACACAGACGCGGACCCGACATGGAAGTCAAAGCCGCTCTGCCGCTGCGCGACTTCTACACGGGTCGGGAAATTTCCTTCCTGGTTGAGAAGCAGCAGATCTGCGATTCGTGTGAAGGGTCGGGATCGAAGGATGACAAGGTTGAGACGTGTGACCGGTGCAGTGGGCGGGGAATCGTGATTCAGAAACATATGCTTGCGCCTGGAATGTTCCAGCAGGTGCAGATGGCTTGCGATAAGTGTGGGGGGCAGGGAAAGAAGATTAAGAATCCTTGTCCCGTTTGTCAAGGGAACAAGGTTGTGCGGAAGGCTGTTGAGACAACGGCTGAGATCGAGCCGGGCATGAATCGGGGGACGAGGCTTGTGTTTGAGAATGAGGCTGATGAGAGTCCGGACTGGGTTGCTGGGGATTTGGTTGTTATTCTGGATGAGAAGGAGCCTGAGCTTGGAGTGGAGGATGCCGAGCGGACGGATGGGACTTTCTTCAGGAGGAAGGGGAAGGATCTATACTGGAAGGAGACTCTTTCGTTAAGGGAGGCTTGGATGGGTGAGTGGTCGAGGAATGTGACGCATCTTGACGGGCATGTTGTTCGGCTTGGGCGCAAACGTGGTGATGTTGTGCAGCCGTTGGCCGTGGAGACTGTTCATGGGGAGGGTATGCCTTCTTACTCGGAAGGCGGTTTGCATGATCGTGATCTCCAAGAGGGCGATGATGAACCTGGGAACCTTTACGTCGAGTATGCGGTTGTTCTGCCTGATGAGATGGAGGGTGGTATGGAGAAGGAGTTCTTCTCGTTGTGGGAGAAGTGGCGCAAGAAGATTGGTGTCGATCTGGCTACCGATAGCGGCCGACCGATGCCTCCGCCGGCGGAGGAGTTGAAGGACGAGCTATGAGGCTTGTATTGTATATTGCACAATATGTTGGACCGATTCCTTGAGGTAGGGGCTAGATTAGACTTGCTTTTGCTTCTACGGCCCCAGGGGCAACATTAGACTCTTTCTTCCAAGGTCCTCAAGATATTATTACTCTGCAGTGGCTAGTACTGGACATTGAAACGACTCGTCGGCTATTCCACCATAATGAGAATCTTTGAAGCTCTGAGCACGATAGAGCGTTGTTTTGAGTTTTTTAGACCATATAGGATCAACTTTCCTACTTGGGTAAACAAGTCCCCGATGCTATCTACGGCTGTCTTTTTCAACGCTGAGCCACTTCATCCTCGCTCCTAGAATATGTCAGGCCGAATGAAGAAATGAAACCAGCCATGAGCTTCAATGGCCTCGAAAAGGCAAGCCTAGAGAGCATTCGGGAGCAACTGGAGAGCGGAGGCTTCACGAGCGAGGTCCTCGTCAAGGTTCAAATGCCCACATGAGGCCCAGTTGACAAAAGTACTGACGTTCAGGCGTAGACATACATTCAGCGAATTCAGCAGGTCGACCCAATTGTCCATTCAATCGCTCAGTTAAATCCCGATGCCGTCATGGAAGCGGCTGAAAGGGATAAAGAAAGACAAGCAGGGAAAATTCGGGGGTATCAAAGCCCTACCCACGACAGCCTGCATAGCTAATGGACTCAATAGAGCGCTTCACGGTATCCCAATCCTACTAAAAGATAGTCTTGCTACACTGGACTCTATGGATACCACCGGTTCGGGCCCTGGACATGCCTTCGAACAAGTACCTAGCTGATGATAAGCAAAGGAGGCTCATTTGCACTGGTTGGCGCGCGTTCACTATTTGAGTCAACAGTAGTCCAGAAACTACGAGCAGCAGGCGCTATAATCCTAGGAAAAACCACCATGAGTGAATTCGGCTATAGTCGCACCCCTAATGCTCCGAACGGCTGGTCTCCTTTACATGGTCAGTGTCTTGGTGCGTTCTGTGCCGATCAGGATCCGAGAGGGTCGTCATCCGGCTGTGGTGTTGCTATGTCGTTGGGGTTGGCTGCTGCTACCATTGGTGGAGAGGTACGTATTTTTATAGTCAAGGTATGTGTTGTAACTGATTCAAGAATAGACTTTTGGGAGTATCACATATCCCGCTGATAGGAATGGGGTTGTGGGATTGAAGCCGACTGTTGGACTGACTTCGAGAGCCGGTGTTATTCCTATTTATAAGTATCAGGATACTGTCGGACCGATTGTGCAGAGTGTTAGAGATGCTGCTATCATTCTGCAGATAATCGCTGGTAAACTTGAAGCCCTCTGAGTCTGCAGTGTTTTTTGTCGGCTGATATGTTGTAGGCAAGGACCCGTTGGATGACGCAACGAACGAAATTCCCTTCCGTGAAGTGCCAGATTACTTGGCCGCATGTAGAAGCGACGGTTTCAAAGAATCGAGAGTTGCCGTATGTTGAGATCCTATGTGTCGATAGTGATTGACCTAAATATATCAGATCCCGAGATCCTGCATCAGCCCCGGCGAAGATCCTGAAGTTATATCCTCGTTTAATCGAGCACTCGAAATTATGAGCTCCCTTGGAGGCACTGTCATAGACAACACGGAATTTCCAAAGTGGAAGGCGAGAAATCGACAGAGAAATGAGTTATATGACGCGATCCTCCTGCGCGAAGGTGAGCATTGCGTTCACTCATATATGAAGCTACCCTAACCACACGACAGGCCTTGAGGGATATTTCCGCACACTAGACAAAAACCCACATAATATTTATACAGTCACGGATCTAATCACTTTCATGCAAACAAACCCCGATGAACAATGTGACACACACGGCACGGAATGGCTTGAGGATGCTCGCGATGCCAAATACACGACATCCCAGAGAGAATTTCATCTTATGAGAGAAGAAGTTTTTGACGACGGAGAGGAAACCCAACGGTTACTGGACAAATATGATTGCGATGCCCTCGTCGTTCCAACGTTCACCGATGTGCCCCACGACATGATGGGCAATCCGACAATCTCGGTGCCGCTTGGTTTTTATTCATCGAATGTGAATGTTGAAAGACGCAACGGTCTTGTCAGCAAAGCGCCAAATATCCCGTGAGCTCCCAGAGTATCGTATCATATTTTCATGCTTACTGTTCCTCAGGTATGGGTTGATGTTTGTTGGGCGTCGGTTCAGTGAAGAGAAACTCCTTGGGCTTGCCTTCGCCTTTGAACAAGCCACGAACGTTGCGAAGCAAAGACAGCCCCACATTCATCCTACGGTGGATCTTCTGAGCTACACATAAGACAGAATAACTGCAAACAGATTCTGAAACAAACAAAAGTCCGACAGCCCCCACGTAGCATCCGCACTGCATGAATGCCGTATGCAGCACATGCACTAATTAAAGTCGGAGGGGTGCACATGTAAAAACCCCAGAAACACCAATTTCGGCGGGGTACATGCTAGTGACCAAAAAGACACTAATGTCCTGCTTGGAAAGGGGCGAATGTCAGCGCTATCTCTCCTGACAGGGTATTTCCCGGCTGGGTCGGCCCGCGGCAGGGGTTCAGGGCGGGTACTATGGTACTATGGACCCAAGGCGGCTTGATCATCAATCTCATTTCGCTTGCAGGTGCTTCGGACTTTGTACGTCGGAACATCTTGTCCTTCTAGCCAATTATTATTCTCGTTATTTCACGAGGCTTACAAACAGGGGGAGTCTCCACATCTGGTGAATCTACATAAAAACATCCAATGTCTCGGTGAATCTTAGGCTTTTCTCGCGAGCTTGCCTGTCTGTACACACTTCTCTGGTACCTTTGCCAAGATTGTCTCAAAGAAAAGGAGAGGAAGGCGCCCAATGGGCTTTGGCAACACCACAGGATCGAATCGTGGGTCTTCAATTCGGATTAACAGACATGGCATTGGCGCGGGCCCAGAAACATTGCCTATGTGACTTGCCGAGCGGGAACTGATCCCGAGCAGTGGTCCTGAATGGGTGTTGGAGATGATGGACGAGGAACAACGCACGAGGGAGGTGCAATTACTTGAACTTTGATATTATTGGGGGCTTAGGGTATGGTCGGTTTTTCGGACTCACAAATAACACGGAGGATCGTTCGGACCTGTCTCGAAAGTCACTGCAGGGTGGATTTCTGTCAGTGTTGAGAGATCCTCTCCCACATGTCATATGCCCGATGAACTCATTTGTGGTATCACCCTTTGACCATGTTTCTTCGCCAGATGTTGTTCAAGACACGGCTTGGCCCCATACTCGGAGGCCAGCCATTCCACGACAATGCTTCTTTGCATGATTTCTGTCTTCAAAACTGGAAGAGCGACTAAAGACCCGGAGCCAGAGCAGTGACAACAACGAAAAGGAAGCACAGACATATTCGAATACTACCTCAACGGCCGAGAACCGGTAAACAGGTCAAGGCTATACAATCGGCGATCTTGCCTATGAAAACGTCTTCTTGGTGGTATCAGGCTTCCAATTGGTACCCGGAGGTATATCCGCAACATTCTTCTACCTGGAACACCACCAATCCAAGCTCTCAAAATTACGAACAAAATCCGCACCATCTTCTCCAACGAATTCTTTACCCACTACACCCACCACGGCCCACGGAGCGCTGTCTCTAGCCAGTGACTTGCCATCGACGGATGCATGCATCAGGCGCAGAGGAATGGCGGTGTGAGTCCTGACGCGATTCAATTCCGTGCGATGCACTTCCAGGACCCGTTGGCGTTTCTGCCGAAACATTGGCTGGACATAGAAATGGCGCTAGAGTCGACGTTGACTCCGTTCAGTGCGGGTTCGACGGGTTGACCCGGCCGGCCGTTGGTGATCGTGGAGCGGTGTTTGACTATTGCAACGTTGCTATGGAGGGTTGATTTGCGGTTGGAGAGTGGTCCTTGGCACGGTGACGTTGAATATCGAATGAGGGACCTGTTTGTCGGCCGAGGTATTCGGCCTCGGCTATGGTTGGTCCTTTCTCCGCCAGGGCATGGTGGGTTGTAAACCTTTTTGGCATGCACTTTGTGATCACCCGAGTGAAGAGAGGGGTAAATTGGTATGGCGGAGTAGTGAGGATGAGTAGTATAGACATCAGTTCCTAAGGTGGATGGAGTGAGTACAACTATATTGAAATGTATACACTACATAAATATAATTAGTTCTCGCTTATATGATCCGTATTAAGATGTTTGTCCGATACACTCCCGAATGTCTGGCTCTGGGGAGGAATTACCAAGGAAATAGGACGAGGGCGTTTTCCCATGTTCTAGGGCTCCACTCGTGTCAACCCCGCTCGCGAAAATGACCCAAAAAGCGAAAGCAAAAGGTACGTAGCCTGTATCCAACCAGCATGTCGAATTGGCGGGTTCTCCACTCAAAGGGGTTCGTCCGCTATCGGTGGCTGTCATAAGGCACCCGATATTCCAAATAGAACGCCACATCAAACTCTACCAGCTGAGCCTGGCCGTCAGAGATCAGATACGAACCGCTCCAGGCGATCTAAGCTAGATGGACATCAGAAAACCCCATCTCTGGAAGGTCGTCAGCGAAAGGCCCCCATGTCAGACGCTCCCCCGGACCCCGACCACCCTGGCCACATGTTCGCCGAACGGGTGATGTACGATGCAGCTTTGCCGAGATTTCTATCATGCAAGGCAAAAGGCACCGGGTGCTCGCCCAGCGATCGGCCAATGCAGCGCGGCCACGTTCAGTGGCGCGTGGTCGGTGCAGAAATGGGGTATTTCAGGTGATTCGAAGCCAAGCGGGAACCTCACGACGCGATTACCATAACGCGCGGAGAAATAAGCCTGAGAAGAGGCGTTTTGCGTCATGGCGGATATCTGACACAAAGTGTATTGACATATGCGGCATCCCCATTGGACGTTATGATAAAACCCGGCCGCTCCTCCGTGGTCGAGGCCGTTGACACAGTAAAGTGGAGGCCAGCTTGAATCATGTCCCGTTAATGCGTGGTTGGGTTCTTAAACTCTTGCCTAGTCGAGTAAGCCCCCGGGAACCACAGAAATGTTGAACGGTGATCAACCATGCGCAGTGCAGATCTATGGGCTGATTTGAAAGGATTCAGGGTAGGTGTTGCTACCTAGCCGGGGCGTTCGGAACGGTGCGGCTTGCAGGGGTTCTTTCTGCTTGTTTATTTATTTTAATGCCGCCGCCAAGTGCAGGGGGCCCTGGACGGATCCATGTTTGGCGGCAACACTAACCATGGTTGATTTTCATAATTTTCATAGAATGCCGCCAGAATGACGGTCATGGCAGTTAGACGGCTCCAGAATGGTAGCTCGTTCGTTCGGACTGGGGATAGATGATCTCCCTGCAGGAGATCCCCTCCCTAGGTTTGAAAAACTCTTCAGCGGCCACGCGAACGGGGTCAACGCGGGCGCGTCCATGTGGGTATCAATTGGGGCAGGGGCCCACCTGACCAATACCGGACACCGGGTAATGACCGGCGCCGTTAGAAGCGGGAAACCTGGGGATCGGCGTTTGAATCCTGCAGCTGACAGCTGCACGTTGCCTCCTGCAGTTTAACGCGTTGTGCACCATCATGGTGATCCACACAGGCCCATGACGCTGGAGTCCAGGCCCCGACGCGGCGGTTTGTGTGGCTCGACTGTTTGGGATGGGAGCGTAACGCAATTGGAAGATTCTCGTACGACGAAGGCCCCACCCGGAAACCACGTAGAAATACGAAATACGACTGGCTGACTGCACTTGAAGGGAAATAATCCGGTTCATGCGCTGATCAATGGGGATAAAAAAAGGTGCTCGTGCATTTTCGACGTGGGACCTTGGATTAGCGCCCTTCGTAAACCACCCCCTCCTCTTACCCTCCACTGGGTACTAGAACACTTGGGACGCTTGGACTCTGCGTCAGACTAGAAATATGGCTGCTCCTCCTAGCTTCTCCATGGGAAGCCATGCCTGAGCCCCCTCTCCTCATGCGGCCCCTTCTGGTCAATGGCGTCACCGGCGATGGGGGAGCTCCGGATGCTCTGGAACCCATCGCCATCGTTGGTCTTGCTACGCGTTTCGCGCATGCCGCCTCCACGGAAGGTCTATGGGAGACTTTATTGCAGGCACGTTCTACCTGGTCGTCCATCCCGAAAGAACGATTCAATGCCGCCGCGTTCTATCATCCGGATCCTGAGCATGGAGGCACGGTGGGTTTGCCATAATCATTGGAATGCCGATGAAATAACAAAATGCTGAACCGGATCTAGTTTCATGTACAAGGAGGTCATTACCTCACCGAAGACCCTGCCTATTTTGATGGATCGTTCTTCAATATCAGCAAGAGTGAATTGTTGACCATGGATCCGCAGCAGCGGTTGGTGATGGAGAATGTCTTCCATGCGCTTGAGAATTCCGGGATTTCCATGACTGATGCGCTGGGCTCGAATACGTCCGTGTTTGTCAGTGGATTCAATCACGACTATCTCAGCATTCTCAATTCTGATCCGGAGACGACTATTAAATACAAGCCAACCGGAGTCACCAACGCAATTCTGTCGAACCGTGTTAGCTGGTTCTTTGACTTCAAGGGCCCAAGTATGACCATTGATACTGCCTGCTCTAGTAGTCTAGTGGCATTGCATCTGGCAGTGCAAAGCTTGCGGGCTCGTGAAACAAACATGGTGGGTAAATTGTGTTTCTAGTGGGAGACGAGGGAAATGATGTTAGCTAACTTGTCACTTCAAGGCCCTTGTCAGCGGCGTCAGCATCCTGGAGAACCCAGCCGAGACCATTGGCATGAGCCACCACGGTCTACTCGGTGCTCAAGGACGGTCTTTTAGCTTCGATGCTCGGGCAGAAGGCTATGCCCGCGGAGAGGGTGTTGGTACGGTAGTTTTGAAGCCGCTGTCCGTCGCGGTGAGGGACGGCGATACGATCCGCGCTGTGATACGTGAGACCGGAGTCAACCAGGACGGTCGAACACCGGGGATCACCGTGCCCAATGCAGAAGCCCAAGAGCGATTGATACGCGAAGTGTACTGGAGAGCCGGTTTGGATTTGGCAGAAACGAGATTCGTCGAGGCTCACGGCACTGGCACCTCAATTGGTGATCCAATCGAAGCAGGTGCGCTTGCCCGGGCATTTAAATGCAGGCGAGACACTCCTATGTACATCGGCTCAATCAAATCCACCATTGGGCATCTCGAAGGTGGCTCCGGCGTTGCAAGTCTCATTAAATCCATTCTCATTCTCGAAACTGGCATCATCCCCCCCAATTTCGATCTGCAGGAGGTCAACCCTAAAATCCCGGCGGCCGACTGGAACATCGCTTTCCCAACAAAGAACACCCCATGGCCATCATCGGGATTGCGAAGAATATCTGTCAACTCGTTTGGAATCGGAGGTACCAACGCTCACTGTATCCTCGATGACGCCTACCACTTCCTCAATCAACGACGCATACCAGCTACCCATAACACAACAATGAGCGTACCGAAGCTTGCGAATGTCAGAGGAAGGCTTTCGTCATCAACCCGACCAGACAACGACACGGATCACAGCAGATCAAGCTCAGCAGACGGAAGCGATCATTCTGTCAGCAGTGGTGCCTTCGTCGATACGCCCACAAGTGACGCGTTCTGCTATTCCCCCATCTTAGGTTCATTAACGTCATACACAAGCCTGATGAGTGTTCCCCGAATCTTCATATTGTCTGCCTTTGACGAAGATGGCGTCAAGCGTAATGCATCATCATACGCCCACTACCTCGACCGCAGGACGAACCTTTCCAATAGCCTCGACCGGGTTCTCGACGACCTTTCCTTCACCCTCTCGAATCGGCGATCTTTATTTGCTTGGAAAAGTTTTGTGACAGCATCGACACCGAAAGAGCTTGCTTGGAAACTGTCAGAGTCTAATTTCACCAAGCCCGTCAGATCGACTCGTACACCGGAAATTTCTTTCGTTTTCACCGGACAGGGCGCTCAATATCAAGCAATGGGAAGAGCTCTGTTGGCTTACCCTGTTTTCCAAGAATCACTAGAGGAGGCTTCGGACTACATTCGTCGACTGGGAAGCCCATGGTCACTTATTGGTAAGGCACCTTTAACTTTATACCGTCCGCCAAAAATCAGCTTACACGATATAGATGAACTGCTGACTGAAAGGAAATCCCCTCGAGTCGACTTTCCTGAAATTGCGCATCCACTCTGTACGGCACTGCAAGTGGCAATTGTTGACCTATTAGCCAGTTGGGGTATATTCCCGAGGTTCGTAACTGGGCACTCGTCTGGCGAAATTGCCGCCGCATACTGTGCCGGTAAACTATCCCGAGAAGGTGCATGGAAGGTTGCATACTACCGTGGATACGTTTCATCAAAGCAACTTTCCATCAATGGAGCCATGATGGCTGTAGGACTGGATTCCTCACAACTTGAGCCCTACATTGATATTGTTCGAAAACGCTGTACCGGCGAGCTTATCATTGCTTGTTACAATAGCCCCAAGAACAACACCGTCTCTGGAGACGAGAAAATGATAGATGCACTGAAAGAACTGCTGGATACCGACGGCGTGTTCTCTAGAAAGCTGAATGTCAAGAATGCGTACCACTCAGCGCACATGGTTGCTATCGCTGAGGAGTACCTACAGCTTATGGGAGACATTTCATTTGGAAGGCGGTTGGCGGTTCCCCATGTGGTGCACATGGTCTCAACTGTCACCGGAGAAGAAGTTTTGGATGAGCACCTTTCCGGCCAGTACTGGGTTGATAACATGGTGTCACCCGTGCGGTTCACCAATGGTCTGACTACAATGAACTCACGGTCGTCAGATGCCGGCGAGAGCATGACACACATCGTGGAGATCGGACCGCATACGACATTGCAAAGCGCCATCAAGGAAACGGTGGGTCTGAGCAAGGATCGGTCGGCCATCAAATACCTCGCAGTCTTGAAACGCAGCGACTCCAGTCTGAACGTTTTGCTCAGCACTGTTGGGTACTTGGCTGCGAGTGGCTGCTCGGTGGATCTGCACAAGGTGAACCTGGCCTCGCGACCACAAGCAAAGCCGTGCAAAATGCTGGTCGATCTGCCACCTTATGCCTTCAAGCACACGGAGAAAGTTCTTTACGAGAGCCGCTTGAGCAAGAATGTGCGGCAAAGAAAATTCCCGCGTCACGATCTGTTCGGTGCTCCTGTCGCGGATTGGAACGCGAATGCCCCGAGATGGAGACATTTCGTGCGATTGAACGAAAATCCTTGGCTAAGAGACCACAAGGTGAGTATTTGAAGATCCTTACTACGATACAATTTGCTGATATCTAGTAGGTCACTGGAAATTATGTCTACCCCGGAGTTGGATATCTCGTCATGGCTATTGAGGCCTCCCGTCAATTGGCCGGTAACAAACACATTAGCGGATTTCAACTGCGTCGAGTTTCCATCAGGAGAGCTTCGATTATCCCGGAGACCAAGGAGGGGATTGAAGTCAGCTTGTCCATGGTAATGGCAGAGATCTCGTCTGAGTCAAGAGTCTGGCGCCGCTTCCAAATCAGCTCTTACAATGAGTCCAGCGATGACTGGACAGAACACTGTTCAGGATTTATTCATGTTGAGCTTCAATCCTCGCCCGATCCCGTCGACAGCGGCCACGAGAAAGCCGAGGAAGCTCGAGCTTGGAAGGCTGATCTGAAACGTGCTCACGAAACATGCGGGCAACCAATTAATTTTCACACCACCTACAACAACCTTCAAACAGCGGGACTAAACTTCGGACCGCTCTTCCGTAATCTAGGCAATGTGCGATCAAGTGGCTCACGAATGGGGTTCATGACCGGCACCGTAACCGTTCCTGACATTGAGGAGTCAATGCCAAAGCGGTACATGCACGCCCATTTGATCCACCCCGCGACGATGGATAGCATGATTCATATGATGATAGCCGCAGTGCTCGACTCCACCGGCAAATCCTCCCTGCAGGAAATCAGGCTACCTACATATATTCGCGACATGTGGGTATCAGCGGATTTGAACTCCACGCCCCGTCACAAGTTCACGGGGCACGCATCTGTCACTATTGCCGCATCTGAGAAGTTCGAAGGCAATATTAGAATCATGGATGAAGTCAGCAAGGAGAATCGAATTCGCATGGATGGGATTGAGCTTACGCCTCTTGAGACTGGTCTCGTGGAAGAGAGCGAGCGGCGTCTATGCACTGCAATCGAATGGAAGCCCGATATGCATTTCCTAAATTCAAAGGCTGCTTGTGAGCTCAGCTCGATCGGAAATGTTGACCATGACCAGAACCGATACTGGGTCAAGCGCCTTCAGCTTGCTACCATGCTCTATGTCACCGATGCCTTGGTTGAACTGAATGGCATTGATGTGGAGACCCTTGATCTTCATTTGCGCAGGTTTTGGGACTGGATGAATCACACGCAGGACCTTCTCGTCAGTGACAAGATGATTCACCTAACCTATGCAGAGTTCAAAGAGGTCTCGCGGAACAGTGCACTGAAGGAATCTATCTTCAAGGAAATCGAAGCGCACGGTGCAGAGGGTGCAATCACCGCTCGCATGGGGCGCAACATTGCTGCTGTCATGCGCCAAGAAGCTGACCCGTTGCATCTGATGTTCGGCCAAGATGCTGTCATGGAAGGAGTCTACAAGGAAGGCCTTCACCTTTACGATCTACCACACCATCTTCAAAGCCACCTTTCTCTTTTACGACATCAACATTCAGAATTGAACATCCTGGAGATCGGTGGCGGCACAGGCAGTTTCACTGCAGAGGTTCTGAAAGTGCTCTCGCCAGAGTCAGATGCGCGGGTTGCCCGAGGTAGTATCGCACAGTATACCTTTACCGACATATCATACGGATTTTTTGAAAAGGCAAAGGAACGCTTCCAATCATGGAGCGATCTCATGACATTCCAGGCCCTCAACATCGAAAGAAGCCCTGTTGACCAAGGTTTCCAGACTGGTAAATACGACTTGATATTTGCCGGGAATGTCATCCATGCTACAGCCAACCTATACACTGCACTCGGCAATCTGCGCTCTCTGCTTCGACCCGGTGGACAGTTGATCATGCAAGAAGGTATCAGACAAGATTTTCTGTGGTACCCCCTTGTCTTCGGCCAACTTCCTGGATGGTGGCTTGGCAATGAGCCTATAAGACAATGGTGTCCGTATATACCAGCCACCGAATGGAATACAATCCTGATGGAGTCTGGGTTCTCTGGCGTCGACATTGAGTACCCGAGCTCGACCCAAGAGGACTTGAGTTGGCAGAGCATTCTTGTTTCTACGGCCACCGACACAAACATCAAACCGCCTCATAGTGTCCTCATTTTATCATCTGAATCACATGTGACGGCAGATGCGGTCGGCATCCTTCGTCAAATGTTCCCACAGATACAAGGCGGCACTAAAGTGACCACCATAAAACCGTCGGAACTCGAACACGTCGCTTTCCAGAATGCTCTGTGTATCTCATTTCTCGATCTCGAAGGAAGCTTCCTATCTGAAATTGACGAAATTCAATACATGGCAGTTAGAAAGATGCTAATGGAATGCCAAAACCTGCTCTGGGTGACACCCGATTCTCGCGAAAACCCTTTCGCCAACATGAGTACGGGTTTGCTTCGCACAGTTCGCTGGGAACGTGACGCAGATGGCTCAAACATCGTGTCCCTGACAGTCGCAAATCCCAAGGAGGTCCCTGCCAGCCATATGGCTATGAACATCCGCAGAATCATCGACCGTCAGTTCCTGGGGCAGGATGACAACGATCGCCATGCCGAATATCTTTTGAAAGATGGCCTGGTTCACATCGGTCGTTTGAGTGAATGGGAGAAAGCGGATGATTTCCTTGCTATGCAGACTTTGAATGTGGCTCCTGAGCTTAAGAGGCTTGGTGATTTGGACAGGCCGATTGAGCTTGTCCCCAGGACAAATGATCTTCACTGGATTATGGACGACTCACACGATACTCCCCTTGGCAACGCAGAAATTGAGGTCGAGGTCCGCGCAGTCGGTCTAAACTCCGAGCCCGGTGCTTCCAACTGGTCGAATGAGGCTTCTGGTGTGGTTAAGAAAGTAGGTCTCGCCGTGGAAAGTCTGGCACCAGGTGACCGTGTTGTTTTCCTGAGTACGGGTAGTATCTGTTTCCGTACGCTGGCCCGAGTCGACCAGGCCCTGGCAGTCAGACTACCAGAAAAGATCCCGTTCGATGTTGCTGCTGGGATACCTTCAATCTACATCGCTGCACTTTACGGGCTTGGCGGAGTTGCCAGGCTTAGTGAAGATGACGCCGTCCTGATCCACACTGGCGCCTCTGTTCTTGGTCAAGCGGCTATACAATACGCGAAAATGATCGGAGCCGAAATCTACACCACGGTCTCGACGCCTGAAGACCAAGCATTCATCACTTCAGAGTATGGCATTCCCAAGGAGCATGTCTTTTCCAGCGGAGATCTCAGCTTCGCGAGGGGCATCATGAGAAGCACGAAGGGCGCTGGTGTCGATGTCATTTTTAACACCCTGACCGGCGAGGCCCTGCAGGAGTCCCTGGGTTGCATCGCCCCGTTCGGCCGGTTCATCGAAGCATCCAACAAAAGTGCTCGGGACAATGCCACGATTGATCTTGCTCCACTACAGCGAAACGTGACAATGTCCAGTTTGGATATTCCTCTCCTGATTAAACAACGCCCAAAGCTTGTTCGACGCTTGTTGGCCGAGGCACTGAAGTTGTTCTCCGAGGGGAGGATTGGCCAAGTTAGCCCGATGACTGTCCTGGATTTCACACAGATCAAGGAAGGTGTACAGTCTCTGCGCAACAGCCAAAGGCCTGGCAAGATTATCTTCACCCCTGATCCTTCGAATCTCATTTCCATTGCCCCCCAGAATGTGGCTCCTTATCAATTTGAAAGCAATGCATCCTACCTACTGGCTGGTGGTCTTGGCGGCCTGGGACGCAGTATAGCTCGTTGGATGGCTGCTCGTGGTGCGAAGAATCTGATATTCCTCTCACGTTCCGGAAGGGTCACAGAGTCGGTCGAGGAGATGAATGCCGACCTAGAGAGTATTGGTTGTAACGTTCACATTTTCTCCTGTGACGTTGCTGACGCGGACCGTCTACGAGCTGTTGTCAACCAATGTTCGGCCTCATTGCCGCCGATCAAAGGATGTATCCAGGGATCCATGGTTCTACGGGTAAGTCTTACCAAGTACCCGTTGAATACTATTTGCTGACTTGACATTCAGGATGGTGCTTTCGCCAGCATGTCGTTCGAGGACTGGCAAGCCGCAATCTGTCCAAAAGTTCAGGGTTCATGGAACCTGCACCAGACACTTCCCCAGAATCTCGACTTCTTCGTGATGCTATCCTCAGTTGCCGGCATTTTCGGTAACCGTGGCCAATCCAACTACGCAGCAGGGAACACCTTCCAAGATGCACTAGCAGCTTTCCGGGTTTCTCAAGGATTGAACGCATCCAGTATCAATCTCGGCAGTGTTTCAAGTGTGGGGTGGGTCGCAGAGAACCGAAGCTCGATGCGCACGCACACTGCAACGCTCTTTGAGCTTTTGCGGGAGGAAGAAGTACACGGAGCCATTGAGTTCTTAATCGACACCAGATACAAGAAAGCCAACAATGATACCACCCCTCACTCACAGCTGGTCCTCGGCCTTCCGGCTGCCCAGATGTGTCGACAAAACGGCATTCCACCCCCGACATATCTCAACTACTCTCTTTTCACGCACCTTCGCACAACAGCCACGGCCAAGGCTACAGAAACAAACGAACAGAAAACCATGAATACAGCCGCCCTTCTCGCTGCAACGGCCAACAAAGACGACGCCGTAACCGTCGTCTCAAACGGTCTCATCGAACGACTATCCTCCCTCCTCGCCATCCCAACCTCCGAACTCGATCCCCGAAGATTTGGCTTCGGAGGCATTGACTCCTTAGTCGCCATGGAATTCCGCTCCTGGATAGTCAAGGAGTTGAAAGCCGAAGTATCTTTACTTGACATCATGGGCGCACGGAATATTCAAAGTCTGAGTGAGAAGATCACTCAGACTAGCCGGCTTGTCGGTGAATCATGATGTTTATGAATTTCATTTGTTATTCCAGCGTTATTTTGCATTTACGTTTATGATCCCCTTGTTGATGTGCGACGCGCGATGCCCATTATGATTTATGAAGTTGCCTGCATTTATTCAATGTAAATATCGAGTATTTTATGAGTTTATGATATCTACATGTACTGAATTACAATATTCTTTGAGATCCTGTTGCAATGGTGTTCCTGTTTATAACGTTGCCAAACCGGCTGTATTTTGGCTTTTGGGAAATCCAGACCTGAGCATCTTCCATATCCATATCGTATTGTGGATCTAGATCTTTGGAAGCAAGAATTCCAATGTTACAGTCAAGACAGTAAAATAACCAAAGCCTTCAAATAATCATCATGGCCCATGTTTACATCGTTCTTGATCACGTGATCTAACACAGGATGTGGCAGAATCTCACCGCCCAGATAACAAATTTCGTTATCGCCGTCTTTTTTCACGACCGGCCGACAGTTCTGTTCAAGTTGCAATCCTCCAAAACCACCTCGTCCTCCGCTTGACTGTGCTTTATTAGCCAAAATGGTCCGTCAACTCAAGCACCACGAGAAGAAGTAAGTTCCGGCTGCCACCAAAAACGCTCCAGCGTTCAACCATCCCCGAATAAAGCTTAAGAACAATCTCTAACCTTGAACCAGACTTCTCCGGAAGGTCGATTTCCACACCTACAAGTCCGATGGCAACCACCGTGAGCATGTCATCCGCCAGCGATACCTCCTCCAAGACCCGATGGACTACCGCAAATACAACGCCCTGTGCGGTTCGCTCCGCTCACTGGCACACAAGCTCTCTCAGCTGGACCCGGACTCGGATCCTGTGCGCAGGAAGATGGAATCCGAAATGCTGGATAAGCTGTGGCGGATGGGTATCCTGAAGCAGTCGCGCGAGCAGGGCGCTGGGTTGTCGAAGGTTGAGCGCGAGGTCACAGTCTCTGCGTTCTGCCGACGCAGACTAGCGGTTTTGATGGTCCGCACCGGCATGGTGGAGACTATCAAGGCCGCGGCCACTTTCATCGAGCAAGGCCACGTCCGTGTCGGAACTGAAGTTGTCAACGACCCGGCATTCTTGGTGTCGCGCAACATGGAGGACTTTGTCACCTGGGTCGACTCCAGCAAGATCAAGCGCAACATCATGCGTTACCAGCAGAAGCTGGATGACTTTGATCTTCTGTGAGGGGTGGCTACGGAAAAAAGGCTGTCTCCGAAAAGCATTTTGTGGTCTTGATTTGATATACCCGGCGCTTTATGCATTGTCTATCGGCCTGGCGTCCCGAGGAATTTTACGATATTTTGTCTTTATGAACTTTCCCTGTAACAATAATGAAAGCTTGACCGTCCATGGTCATCCGGGACGAAACGATGTTGGTATTCTCAAAAAGTTTAAACGGCATTCTTCTCCTCAAACTCCCTAGCAGGCATCCATTTCACTGCAATAGGTTCATGCTTGTTACTCCGAATCCTCCTATCCTTCGACCACAACTGAAACGAGAGATCCGCAGGCCCGACCACCACTCTCACATCAAACGTAGTCCTCCAAAATGCCGGTTTCATGTTGTACCAGTGCCGATTTTTCAACTTTTTATCCACACCGTCAGTGGCGATATCGAGGCTGCAGACCAAGTGAACACCTCTTTGGGTCATATTCCGGGGAAGCTTGTCCGGTGAAAGAGCTGACATCACGATCCGCACCTTCCAGGGACCGTCTTCCCGGCCCGGGTCCATCTTCAATTGGAATTCCTTTTTGACACCAGTGTAGGGAATGGGGTTACCCTGCAAGTAGAAGAGCTGTTAGCCAGGCTTCTAGAAAAGGTAAGTAACTTTCAGCCCTACCTGAATCACAAGCCAGTCGACTTGATCAACGGCAAAGGTCGTATTATCTCGGGGATCAAGTCTAACTGGTTCTCCGACGTGACTTTTTGGATTGTATATCTTGTCGCAAATGATACCGTAGCTGACAGGAGAGCATCGTGATCCGAAAGTCTGAACTCCCTGTTTAATTTGCTGCATCCGATCTAAGACCAGGCCATGAACAACTACAAGCTGTCTTTGCGGAAGTTAGATTCAATGCTTTTCAGTAACAAAGTTGGAACACACGGAAGTGCTTTACGTACGGCTCGTCCGCGAGGAGGATTTGCATTCCTTCTGCATTTGGATGCATAAGAGCACCGGGCCCACTGTATCTTTCTAAAAGATACTTTCTCACATACGGGGAGCTGCCGAATCCACCCGAAAGGACGAGATATGTCTAAGTCAGTCGAACTCGTTAGTAATTAATCCTCCATGGAAATTGGAATCGCGTACTATTTGATCATAGGGGTATTTCGCATGCATATGGCGAATATGCCCACCCAAGAGGTTGCAAATTTCAGCAGCCTTCACGTCAAAGCAGTTCTTGAGAGATTCCCTTCAACGATGTCAGTCACATCCAAGGAAGTTGATGGCCATTACTTACCATGCAATCCGCATTTGCCCATTGTATATCTCGGCCTCCGGAAGATTGGAATTGGGCTCCAAGGAGGGAACATCGAGCTTCAGCCACGGCGTCAATGTAGCCTCCGTGCCAAATGCGCATTTGAGTCTCTGGAAACGACCAGAGGTCATTCTCCATGCCGCCTCGCTTGGTGAGAGCCGTAGTTGATCGCGGACCTTTTCCAACCTCTCAACGATGAGTTGGTGGATTTTTCTGTCGATGAATACCGAGCCAATAGGTTGCCCTGGGATTCTATCAGTCTACTCATTCCTCGAACACTTGTGTCGCTGTATATTACCTTCCACGTGGCCCAACTGTTCGAGTCGTGTTGGCTCGCCTCGCGATGAAATGAGTTTGAGAACATTGACATCCTGTCCTTCGAATTAGGAGACGATCACAGTAGTGAAAGGAATACTTACCGTGGTTCCTCCACCGGCATCACAGACAAGAATAGTATCATCCACATTGTAATGTTCATTCCCAGCGTAGACTGCAGCTGCCTCTGCCTCGGTAAGACCTATAGAGGCGCGATGATTCGGCGTCCTTGCACCAATCGCCCGCTCAAGAAGTCTCCTTGTTTCTTCAACCATTCGCACATCCTTCCAGGTAGTGGGAACACTGAAAATAAATTCAACTTTGCGCGAACCAAATTGCGGAATCGTGCTATTGAAATGAGAGACCACATGCTGATAGATGCATTGAATGTAGTCTTGGAACCAGCGCTGGGCTTCATGCCGACTGGGTGCCCCGGGGTGCCCATCTTGGTACTGAGGCGCGAGATGTAGCTTGAAAAACTCCTTAACATGCGAGCCTTTGTCTTCTGGATCACACTGAAACCCCCAGTTTCTAATAGAGTTCGAATCGGGCTCGTACTCGATGCAGGTTGGCACTTTGTTCGCCAGTTCTCCGGGGAGCTTTCCTGGCCAGCGTTGGATGGTTTTTGGAGGAAGCCATTCTGGTGCGGATGAATATGCAACTCCTTATAGATGTTAGTGTACTTGTACCATCTGCGCATATTAAAATGCACGTCTAGATCAATCGAGATTGCTTACCAGTATAGGTCATCCCAAAATCAATACCCACCACAATATCTGGGTTCCATTCACCCCAGCTTTCCGATTTGAACACCAAGACTTCTTTGTCCCCCATTGCATTGGCTGGGAAAGAGGATCTGTCTTTATCACCCAGAGAAGCTGAATACCAGTGACTGCGACAGGACCGGAGGTTCTGGATTTGTTTTCCTGTCATGTGGAGTAATTTCTTTGGCCCCCAAACAGGGGTACCTTCGCTTTACCTTAGCTTGCTTTTAGCTCTCAGCTAATGCAGCTAAATTTCCGCTAATTTAAGTGAGTGGGTAAATTTCGGTTGCGTTGCTTTGCGGCGCTCCGAGTACATCCACACTATCCCCTTTATAGTTAACGAGCCATCCTCCGCGAGTCATGTCTTCCTTAAGTACTCCTAAATTCCCAGGTTGCGACTCTAGCGAGCGAGCACATGCGAAATTGCGTGCACTTTTGTTTGTTGCCCGGAAATGAGTGAAACATTTGAAGTTCAACAGGAAAGGGCCGCAGAGTCCTCATCTGCTGCGGCCTATGCAGAATCCTCATCTGCTGCGATCCATTCAGAATCCTCATCTGCTGCGATCCATTCAGAATCCTCATCTGCTGCGACTCCTTCAGAATCTGCTTCTTCAAAAGTGGGAGCGTCTGAATCCTCCAGCGCAGAAAATCCAGCTGCCGCAATTACTCCCGGACCGAGTGCTTCTTTGACCACTGCAACAAAATCTTCCGCTCTCATACCCACTACCGCGTCGCAATCGACACCAGGAACGCTTTCCAGTGCCCCCAGCATAACAAATGTGGCAAGCAACAACACTTTACCCTCAGGGTCCCATAAAGCGAGTTACTCCGGCGGGACTCTGGCAGGAGCCATAGTAGGGTCCATTGCAGGAACCTGTCTTCTAGCTCTTTTGGCCTTCCTTTACCTGCGGCGTCGCAGAGAACGCAATCATTCCCCCGAAATGACTCGAACTTCCTTCGCGGTAACATCAGACACGCCTAAGCAATCTGGACAAATTCACTCTCACTTTCTCGGTCATACTGTTGCTAGCACGCAAGAGAATCCTTCTCCGCCTATCTCACCTGTCATCGGTTCTTCATTTGATTTGTCCTCATATATTCCAGCGCCGGCAGATGACAACGCCGTTTGCACACGAATCCAAACCCTCTTCGACCAGGCCAGTCTACACATCGACAATTACTACTCGTATAGCAATCCAAGCCTTCGATTGACACAGGATGCCCTGGCCTGCACAATTCAATATGATTCACCATTCTTACCATCCCTTCTGGCGACCATACTTTCGAATCCCAGAGCTCAGAGGCCTGCTCTCACCCACGTTTTGGTCAGAGCTTTGCTGGAGGCTACCCAACCGGGAAGCCGAGGAGTGTCCCTTCTTCCGTCGTGCTATAAATTGAGCCCGCAACAACAGGAGACTAGCACGTTTGATCTCGGTACGCCCCTCAAACCAATGATCTCTCCTTAATTCCGATCTAACTGACTCTCTAGATGACCACCGTACCATGTTTGCGTGGCGTATGTTAACTGCACACCTGTATTCTCGGAGCCACGGCATCCAGGGATCTACGTCGATGGAAATCCAAAGAGATGCGATTACGGCCCTGGCGAAAAGCTTCACTACAGCATTCGCACCGTACAGTGATCCCAGCTTCTCTGAGGCGCATCGTCTTGGACATCTGACTAGCGTAGTCCGGGCAGCCGCCGACCTTGGGGCTTGGCTATTTTCTCAGCCGTGTTTCTTCGAGTTCCGCTGGACTTCGGTCGTTACTCCCTTGAATCAACTCATCATGTTCCCAGCTGTTGTTAAAGTTGGGAATGAACAGGGGCGGCGAATTTCAGTCCCTCATACCCTGGTTGCGGAGACAACAGCCCGGATTTGAGAGCCTCCCTCGGTAATTGCTTTCTTGATATTTTGGTTGGGTGTCATACATAATGTTCGTGAATTTTTTTTACTGCCAATTGGGATATTTGCATGTGACCAGACAGTGCATTTAGCTTCAGCTACAAAATGAATATGTAATATAGTCCACGAGTCTAGAAAGAACTAGATTCTCTCTCACTGAATAATTTCGAGTATAAAGATACAAGATCTCAGGTATCGGATAAACAGAAGCGCGTGGAAATTAGGAGCGGAAAAAATAAAGAAATAAAACCAAAAAGGGAAGGTGGACAACATATATCCTGCCCATATCGAAGCTCACGAGCCGATGTCCAGTTCTTCGGTGGTGGGGCCTAAAGCAGGTTTCATCTCAGTCGAAGTTCCCTTAGACCGACGCCACGCCAACATATCATGCATCTCGTAGTTCAGTGGGCTTTTTGTCCTCATGACCTCCATCACATCCGTTGTGGATCCATTGGATCCAGACCACAGTCTGTTCTGATCTGATAGGCTGTAAACCATGTCTTTTGACAGGGTATCGGCTGCAAGTTCATGTACGACGGGTGATTCGGCAATGGCAGATTCGGGACGACCCAGCCGCTGGAGATGGCCCAAGACCACCATCAGGCTTTGATGACACACCAACAGGCGCTGGTTCTTGCTCTGAGCGCGCTGGCTATCTCGATAGACCCAACGCAGCTGCCGCCCCAATGTGACCTTTCCGTTGCGGGTCTCTTGCTCGACTCTCATGGGTTCAATGAGGATAGCTGCTTCGCGGGCTGCTTCGGCCACATCCTCAAGAGTGTGATCAATCCAGCTACACTCGCTGGCTTCAAGAAGAGGCTCCTTCAGCTGACGCAGGCGTTGGGCCTCTTGAAGCTGGGCAAGGGTGTGGTTTGTTGTCTTGACTAGCTCGGCTGTCTGTTCGTTGACGGATGTCAGGTGCAAGTCCCGCCCCAGGGCTCGCAAAATTCCAGGTGTCTTCTTTTTGGAGACGGTTGACATGTGATCGTCTTGGGAAGGTGTAACTTGCTTTTCTTTTTGATGGCGTGAAAACAAGAAGCGTGATCGCCCCTCGGTCAGCTCCATTGTCTGCACCGCAAACTCGGTCGTCCAAGGAGGGGAGTAGCTTGGTTCAGTTGATATGGCAGGGAAGTGCACGAGGCACCTTTCTCCGCTTTATCCTGTTAGTTCTAGTCTCAAGTGTTCTCGGAATGACTAGCAAGGCGGACAAAGGGGCTGATTCATTTCGGGGACCAGACTAGGTGCAGGTATACCCGTGCTAGCTTTCTGTTAGTGCGGAACTCTGCGTTAGTGTAGAGCCCGATCGTGATTTTGAACTAGCGTGTTTAGTGTGGTTTGGCCCCCAATGTGGATACCGGATCTCGCAGGGACGGGAGTTTAAGAAAGGTCAAGCATTTCACGAGTAAGAAACAAACATGAGATTGGGGAGAGTACGCATTCCAATTAAACGGACAAAAATAGTTGAGATTCATGGCGGACGCGCGAGTAGTGCGGTCCCGTGGCGGCAAATCACAATTCAACCAACTGTTGGGTGGCTGAGTTGTTGCTGCAGTAGCTTTCCAGGGATATCTCGACTTCGCTGTTAAGAGTCTGCTTCGGCCTGTATTCCGACCCATCTACTTTACGGTTTTATTGGGCTAGAGAATTACGTTGCTTTTACATGTTCTACCTCGATATATCTAGGAATCTACCAAAAACTTCTGCAAAAACAAGCGATAAAAAGACTGCGCGTTCATTCGTACAAGTGTCCTAATTTGAAGAGAAAGCGAGCATCACAGCCTCAATCAAAGTCACTTGAACTTTCAGCTCGCCATTTGCAGTTTCCAAGGCTATCTATTATTTTAGTGGTGCGCCACTTTGCATCTTCTTTTCAGCCGGAACTTTGACCTACAAAAAAGTACAAGGCTCGCCACCCAAATGGACATCGAGTCCCCATTAAGAAGGAGGGGAAAATATCATTCCCCACAAGTACGAGGCTATAGTCCCTGACCGTAATGTCGGGCGCTTAGTGTTACTTTTGAACTGTCGGCGTGGGGCGGGAGGGGGTGGAGCTTTGGTATCATTCGCGCGTTCCCTACGCATGAAACCTCCGGTGCCTTGCCAATGCGGGGTGGATCATCTGATCCACCAGATAACGCGCTCGGCTTGTCCCGATATCTTAATTTTAGCACAAATAGGCGCATAGGGACGATGAGGCTATGTTGGTGCCAATTAGCGAAGGAAGTATTTGGAATGCTGAAACGGTGCGTTTGGAACCCAGCAACTGACTATTACCACATGTGGAATTTGTTCAGTTTTCCCAGCTTTGAATGCTTGTATATCTTCTCAAATGGGATGACTGTGTATCAAGGTGATGAACATGTGAGTATCCGAGGAGGACTGTGTAAGCCATTGGACTAGACAGAGTTGGCCCCACGCAGCATGTAAATAAAGCCGAAATTAGATAAACGACTTCAGGGGCTCCTTCTGCCCGGCGCAGCATTCAACAGCTGCGCTGCGGCATGGAACTAATGCACGAGCTGCGCTTTGAAGGGATACCAAAATGGGGGCCGAGATTGCGTCTTGCTTAAAAGCCCAGAGAGTCGCGGACTTGCACCATGAATCAAATTTGCTTGGAATTTTCCGATCACAAATATCTTGTTACAAACGACTTCAACATCTAATACAAAACTACACTTGACACAATGTCGACCTCCGGTGAAGAACACGCCTTGAACCAACTGCAGGTGGAGCAATCGAAACTGCTAGACAAGATCGATGAGCTACGCAACCTCGGTATCGGCGGACTCGTGGAGTTACCTCAACTGATTGTTTGTGGCAATCAGTCAAGTGGAAAGAGTTCCGTGCTCGAAGCCATCTCCAGAGTGCGGTTTCCAGCCAAAGGAAATGTCTGTACCCGATTCGCGACCGAGGTCATCCTTCGTCGTAGTCCACAAGCGCGAGTCAAAGTGTCTATCGAACCGGGTGCTTCACGCACCGACGAACTTGAGCGAGCGAGGCTCCAATCATTCACCTCCGAATCGTTTTCCACCGGCGAAGACCTTAAAAATTTGATCAAGGATGCTGAAGCGTGCATGAGAATTGATGGCGGCCAGCTCTCCACAGCAGGCTACAGCGATGATGTTCTAAAGGTCGAGATCTCTGGCCCCGAGAAGCCAGAGCTCAGTCTGGTTGACCTTCCGGGGCTTTACAGCTCCGTCAGCGATGACCAGAATGAAGAAGGAATGAGGTTAGTGGAGGAGTTGACGAAGAAGTACATGGAGAATAAACGAAGCATCATCCTGGCCGTCATCAGCACGAAACTTGACTATCATCATCAACGGGTCTTGAACCTGGCAGGAAAAATTGACCCCGGACACGAGAGGACACTGGGAATAGTGACCCAGCCTGATACTCTTTCACCCGGCTCGGAAGAGGAAGACACCTATCTCAAATTCATCAAAAATGAAAAAGTCAACCTACAGCTGGGATGGCATGTGCTCTGCAATCGAAAGTTTGAGACGCGGAACACTTCGCACGATGAGCGAGACCGGCATGAACGCGTTGTTCTCGAGCGAGGCCGTTGGGCTTCACTTTCTCGTGAGATTGTAGGGATCGACAGCCTAAGACGACGCCTGAGCAATATTCTACTGAAGCACATTCGCCGCAGCCTCCCGGATCTGATCTCGGACATACAAAACAAGATCTCGGATCACGAACAAGAGTTAGCAAAGTTGGGCACCGCAAGGTCAACCGTTAAAGACCAACGAGGGTTTCTTGTGGACATAAGTAGCAAGTTTGGTCGCATTACAGACCAGGCTTTGAACGGAATGTATTCCGATGATTTCTTCGGGGGGTTCGATGGCCAGAAAGCGAACCAGGATACCCACAATTTCCGTCGATTGCGGGCAGTCATTCGTGAGATGAATGAGAATTTTGCGGAAGCCATCAGTATCCGTGGCTGCCGAAGAATCATCCGCCAAACTGAGTCAAGTATCCCCTTTTCAACCCTTCAGCAGCAAAGGGCCAAACCCTACATGGATGGGTGGGTACCTATATATGTCAATGAAGAGAGCCTTCAAGAGGAAATTAAGGAGCAGGCAGTCGATAACCGCGGTATAGAGCTTCCAGGAAACGCAAATCAGATGCTCGTGGGGAGTTTGTTCCGCGACCAGTCCGAACCCTGGGAAGACCTTGCCGAGACTCATTTAAAGGGTGTCTGGGGAGCGGTAAATTATTTTGTTGGCCTTGTACTCGAGCATCTAACGGATCAACACACTTACCATTTACTGATGCGCGACCTCATCATTCCCGAGATGGACCGTTTGAGAGTCTCTCTGTTCGAAAAGCTTCGGGAACTGACTTCCTACAGAAGATGTGGTCATCCTCTGCCCCTGGGGAAGAGCTTCCTTTCCAAAATCCAGCAGTCACGCAAAAAGCGTCAACTCGCCGTGTTGAAAAAGGAGCTTGGCCTTGCTTCATCCCCATTCTTCCCGAGTGCAGACGATCTTGAAAAAACGTTCAATGCCAGTGACCTTGACCGAGCAGCTTCTCAATTGCAGTCATCCAGTGACCAATTTGCAGCGGCAGAAATCATTGATCAGATGCAGGCCTACTACGATGTGAGTGTGCTGTATTGCCAACGTACTGAGAAGTCTCTCATAAGGCCCTTTTTAGACCGCTATCGTGACTTTCATCGACAATATCGCGACTCTTGCAATTGAGAACTGCTTGCTCCGACCCCTCGAACACATTTTCACAGGCCAGACGATCGTTGGTATGGAGGATGCCCAGATTCAAAGCATTGCAGCAGAGCCGCCGAACGTCGAACTCGATCGTAACCGTCTAAACGAAGAATTGAACAAGTTGCACGCAGGAAGGCAAACCCTCAGCGCCTTTAGTACGGACGGCCCCTTGATGCCATCTCGGCCCGTCTTTAGTATGCTTACCCAACGTGGAATTAATCGTCTCTCGAGTTAACAGAATTTATCCATTAGTCTCACAGTTGTCGTCTCGTTCGGAGACATCTAGCCCCTCACGTCAGGCGAACGGGCATCAACGAGGTGAGTACTCGGCAGTTTCGACATAGTCACTCGAATTTTAATCTTGAGCCAAGGTCTTGCTAATAACTGAAAATACAAGGAACTTCAAGGAACAGTCGTTCCCCTAGCGGACTCAGTGCTGACTATGGCCGACCAAGGTCCCGAAATAGCGCCAGCCCAGGCCTTTTCCCTTAAAATTCAACAGTCACCAGTAAGCAAACAATGGAACAAGAGAAACATGAACATGCTGACACAGCAATAGACAATCTGTCCCCAACTCCCTCTGCACCTCGTGCTCCATCCCCGTCTAGGGGAAGCTCGAACACCTTGGCAAGGAAGAGAAAAATAAAATTCTTGTTTGCTCACACCGCAATTTCTGTCGTGAACATGGCAGCCCAGGGTGCTCTGTCCACACCAATTTTCTGTCCTGCGATCCCATTAGACCCTTCTGAGATTACGCGACTATCCCACTATCCCAAGGGGTTCCTCAGATGTCCAACCCTCAATCCATGGATCCCCTTTGGCTCGTATACAGTAATAAGGAGCACGAGTTCGCTGCTGCATGGAAGGTCCGAGTAGTGAATTAACTCTTACATGCTGTTGCAGTCATCTTCAGAGCACAGCGTGAAGTCGGGTCTGTCGTGTGCCAATACGATGTTCCGAGCCGTGATGGTACCTGCCACGCAGAAGCCGCCAATGCAAGCTTCATCGAAGGCGCAATAATTGTTGTTCAGGCAAGAACTTCCCGCCCTGGCTAGGGAAACGGCCGCTAAGCACACAAACAAAATGACAATACTCCTCATTCTGGATCGGGGTTGGAATCAAAGAATAAGTGCAATGGATAGGGGGAATGGATAGGGGGAATGGATAGGTGGTCTGGATGGCGGAACAGCAGTCTATTTCTAGGGGAACAGTAGCCCTTACACAAAATTCTCGTTTCCTTTGCATTAATAAAGGAGGCAACGGTACAGATTCTGTGGCGTCGCGCCCAAAAATGTTTACAATGTTTGTGGCCCCACAGTTTGCATTCGTCACCTAGCACTAGTCAAGAACAACCCGATGACTGAAGTTGGATCCGGATTTTAGAGGACTATTTTCGCTCTAAACAGTCTAATCCGGGCATGTTAGAAATGCCTATGGCATTCTTGCGGAGGCGAAAGATCGGAAAAGAAAAGCAAAGCAAATTTACTCTATCGAATCGATAATAGGGCCAGTGAAGGCTTCTTGTGTACACTGCTGAATCTAGACCATGCCGTGGTCTTAGTTATACCCCAGTTTACTTTGCGCAAATATTACACTAAATTGCCCGACACAAGCACCTTTAGCCCCATTATTCATAATGTGAGGTCTGACAGGCCCGTGATACTAATCAGACTGCCTATCTTATGAATAGCGCATCAGTATGCTCTTCGTTAAAATGGGTTTATCAATTGATTCAATGTATTTGATATCGCAAATGCGTTAAATGCCCCCCCTCCCCAAACTCGTTTTCTACGAAGGAGGGGGGCCGAACACCGAAGGATCGCTTTGATAACCTTCGGAGTGCATTTCCTAATGAAGGTATAAGCGTTGCCAAGAAGACTTCGCCAAAAATTAGATAGCGAGTATTTGCATCCTTCTTATTTGCAAAGCTGCGATAAATTGTCTCAAGCGATCGCTCTGTTTTCAACATGCAAGCACCTCCACTATGTCTACTCCTCGAATCCGAACGGTGTATTTCGTCACGTGGGACCACGCAATATTTTTGCCTTCAATGAGGCCTTGATGACAGTAGGCAACACCCTCAAAGACTCTTCAGTCGATGATTTAACCTTCTGATAATATGTCCGCGCAAACGAGAATCGTGGTAGAGCATTTCAACAGAGGACAATTCCCACCACAGCCTTTCCCACTTGATTCACTGAGTGCCTCCGCAATTTCCTCAAAAGATATCCGGCAGGTCTTGGATTGGGAAAATCTTATGAGAGGTATCGAAGATATTTACTTGAACAATGTTGAGTGGGCTCGAGAGATGTATAACGACCTGGGAATACGCGATCCCGGACAGCTTTCTCCGGAATGGTTCATTTGGAAGGAGAATTTCCGTCGCTCCATATATCAGTTCTTTTTCATGGGTGAGGTTTTATGCCGATCACACCAGGAGCCTCTTTCAGAATCCCCCAAGCATCTTTTCCAGGACAGAGACATAAGACTTGAACAGCCAGATAAGCCATTACTGAAGAGTGAAGAGATGGCGTATTTACTGAAATTCCCGGTCTTCAACTTTGAGGATTATGCTCACCATGAGGCCATCTACAATGACATAGCGGAGCTCTTCAGGAAGCAAACAGAGCACCGCCCACCATCCCTTGACAACCCAGAGCTGCTGGATGCATACCCAGAGGATGCCGTCTCTCCTCAACTAGACAGGTATCACGCCGAAACTCTTCATGCGGAGATGATCCAATGTCTTCTATCAAGTATGACTTTATTAAACCACACCGCACAATGACAAATATTCGAAAAACAGGCCGGGACTATCGAAGGGCCCTCGAAAAAAATCACCGTCGTTTGTCTAGGGTCATTCTACTCGGAAGCCATCGCCTTACCAGATAATCCGAAGAATTCACACAAGACACTCCTTTTGAAAGAAGCTATACCCCGATCCAAGGATTCCGTGTGGCGCTCATGTTCTCCGTTTATGAATCGCATTCTCGAGATCATGCATTCGTTCTCCGGTCAGCCAAGTCATTACAAAGAGCAATATCCCACCCCACCTCCTCCCATGCAGATCTTCCAGGACATCTTACGGAAGTATCTCGGACTTCGATTTTCAGATGATGCATTTGAGGTAGAGGATCTTGATGCCCCAGATCACCTCTTCGTGCATTATCAAGAGATGGGACATCTTTTTTTGGATAGGTGGCCTGAACTGGTCCCATCATTATTTGATTTGGACGACGGTACCGAATATGAAGCATACTACTCCTAAGACAGAAGAATGGATTATGGACCTGCGAGAAAAACGTCGGCTCTATAATAGACACCGAGAGTATCGGCTCAGAGCTATATCATCCCTCTGCACACTAGGACTTATGTGACTACTTTAGATGCGGCAGCACGGCCGCGGAATGCGGTGCTGGGAATTGTCAGTCGGGCAACTGCCAGGACGATTCATCTTCAACGACTGCTTCAGATACTGCCACCACTACTAGCACATCAATCTCTCGACCCAGTTCGAGCCCTTTTAGCCCCTCGCCGGACGGTTATTGTGGTTACCAGAATGAGTATGTCTGCAATGGAACGGATGTTTACTACAGATACTGCTGCTCTGCAGCCGGCTACTGCGGCACGGACCAGTAGCACGAGATGATGTCTCGAATAGTGGCTACCCTTTTTGATATTATTCTTGAACAAAGTATATGCAGAAGAATGGAATTATATGCGACAGACTTCGAAAATAATCGCCGTAACAAGCTCAGATAAGTGGTAGCAGACCAGTGGTGTTTTATCACCGTTGACAGGTTGTGTATAGGGTCATTCTCTTTGAGGTAAAACGCCCAACCACACTTTGACGGGAGTAGAAGGATAAATAGATATTTTTTAGCTCATGGTGCTAGTCTCCGCCCACACCCGGCGGGTTTTGGCCTGCGGATCAAGCGGCCTAGTTATCCTTCGATTCAGGCTTCGGAGGCGCCACCGACAAATGGTGCAAGAGAATCACTAGAATTACATCAGTATCATATCAAACCATCCGTTCAGATCATGATTGACTGACAAGCGAGCAATATTAGTGTGAGCGCAGGAAGAGTCCAGGGCGTTGTACCCAGGTTCCCTGCCGCATCGGTTAAGACCGCGGTGCTCAGTAGAGCAATACCCAGCCCAACGAGGATGTTGGCACCGATACTGATATACCGTAAACTAGAATGGCCGGAACGATATCTGTGTGACAGTAATGTGAGGACACCTATTATCAAACAGACAAGGCCGGTGCAGACGCAGAAGTATCCTGGTACAAAAAGCGGTTAGCACAGCCGGCTTTGATAGAGGACTGAAGAGTAGATGGAAGAAATATGATGAATTACCAAAAGTAAGGTTGAATATGGATACGATCGAGCTGCCATATGCAGTAAAGTCCTCATCGGCTATTTCAGTTGGTGGTTCCCAGCCGAAGCCTTCAATAATTGTTTTGGTCATCTGCCTAAAGACCAGTTGAACATTTTCCATTATCTCCTCATCTGTGGTGTTAGCAGCATGGTTCATGACTGCATCCAAGGATGCTTCGACCTCATCAAACACATTCTGTGTGGAGGGGAATCTCTCGTAGATGGTATGAACTGTGTCATTCAGCGTAGTGAGCAGACCTTCGGTCGAACCCCCCTTCTGGAAACAGAGCTACCAGTTTGAAAAGGTCTTGAACGACGTGAAAGCACAACAGGATCTGATTTGTCCCTTCCATCATGAGAGCGAGAGCTAAATGGAAAGGGAAGTGGAGTATAGACCACAGCTGCTGGCGGACAGATCCAAACGGCTCCATACGGACATTGTCAAAATACAGTTGATAAACAAAATACTATCTGGGATATTAGTGATTCTGCTTCAGTCTCCACGAGCCAGAGCTCTTACAATAACCAGAACTGCCGATATGACAGAACCAATGTCTGCAGAGGTGAATTTGAGGTCGAAGGTCTCAATCTTGACAATTGTCTTGGTCAGGCCGATGATGCCCTCGCCCAGCTACTCCAGTCAGCCTCTGATTTGTGAATTGAAAAGGTCATCGGAAAACGTACGATAATCAGTGTCAGGCAAGTCAATCTCTCCACGAGATGTGTTTTCTCGAATGATATGGCTTTCCAGCGGGCCGCAAGGGCCAAGTTAACCCCAACTTCTATCACGGCGACAACATACCACGCAATATAGGCGTTGGACGCCGTCCGGTAAAATGCAAAGGATACACCAAGATAGATGATGGCGGCAATGAATAGGGACACCATCACTCCCATCAATGGTAAACGGGTGGCGCGGTACCTCCAGGTAAAGAACAGAGTTGAACCATATTGACAAAACAGAACCACACGGCTCGCCATCAGGATGAGTGACAGCTGCTGCGGGGGTCCCCATCCATCATCTTCCGTCAAAAATTCGGGTCCAATGATCGCGAGCCCTACCATAACTCCGGAATGACAGGTGTGGGCGACACTTTCGAGAACGCTATCTGTAGCAAACCGGACATCGTACAAAGTCACCTGAGCCCAAGTAAACCACAAGATGCAGAAGAAACCGATGTAGGAGCCCATTTCTGCGAGCGAGAAGGCTGAAGTTAGCTACATGACAAGTGTCCGGTCAGGGAATCAGACACAGACTCTGTGAGCTGTTAATCTCATGGGCGTTTGTGAACGAGGTCAAATTTGCAACGAAAAAGAGATCAAAAAACAGCTGAATATTGGAGGTTGCTTCATAGTGCTCAAACTGTGGGTTCTCAAAGAGGGTCTCATCTTGGGTTGTGACATCGGCCACGCCCTCAACTGCTTGACCGCGCCGGTCACTCGACTTTGACTAAGAGCTGATCAGCTTATCAAAATGAGCCTGTCAGGTAGCTGCTTACCAATGGGCTTCTCCATAGAGGTAGCCCACCCATTTCGTGGAACAGAGTACGGGGTTATCGATGTTGGTGCTGAAGGTTGTCGTCCTTGCAGATACTGCAAAATGTATACCTTAAATATGTGAGAATGAGAGTTCCAGGACGATCATACTTTTCTCTGCGGCATGGGATCCAAATGCGACGAGGTGAAAACGAGCCGATCCGCAGGGTCTAGGTCCACATTTAGGCTCCCAGCCTTAGCTCCTACCCATACCATACGTCTGACTTAGCGCCCAAATGCATAATAATAATAGTAGTAGTAATGAGATGACCTGGTCCAATGTTATTCGCACGGAGAGTTGCGTTTCACGCACTAGTGTCCGGATGGATGACTTTATCAGCGGTCTCATGCGCTCCGGATCACTAACAGGACCAAGGGGTGAGCCAAGTTGAAGTTTTTTGAGTTTAAGATCAGCTCAATATTTCTTGGTGCTGACCACAGGGCGAGTAATCACGGCCGTTTCTAAATATTTGCCAGGCTGTCCCCCCAAAAGGCTTACGACATGGAGAATAGATATCCAATCAAGGGCGTCAGTAAGCGCCAAGATCCTCCTCCCAGCCCTTTGTGGAGTTTCTAGGAAGATCCTCTTGGCTCAAACAACTGCCAAGCTGTGGATTCCACCCCAATTGTCGCAGCTGAACTCAGCGGACCCCAAATAAGCACAGCAGTCATGACGTGAAGTGGATGGTCTCGACACCAGTGCAAACCCCCAAGTTGGCTAGTCGGCCAGATTCCGATCGACGAGACTCTCCGTTCGCTGCGTTTCACTGCTAGTTTTGAAGTTGTCCACTCTATAAAGCGGGACACCAAGCCTGTTTTCGTAGGCTAGGGCTCGAAAGTATAGGTTAGAACCGCTACGGTCGCCGATGTATCCATATTCAATCGTGTATATGTTATAGCATGGTTGAACTTTCCTGTCTTGGCCTTTCGCGCCCTGGGGAGTCGCATCCTTACACCCCTGTACAATATCCACTCCGAAACGGGCTGGGACGCAGGTGACTGAACTTGAATAACGCCAGGCAAAGGTCACGACCGAGATCCTGAATCGTAGGACATGCCGGCGCTACTGGCTCTAAACTGAAATTCCGTTAAACGTAATTTTTGAAGGGGCTAGTTACCCGTTATCCATCTGAGGTGGGCCTATCCTTGTCCATAGCCTTATGCTATGTATAGCCACGAGACACATTGGGGTGGGAAGACTATATATCCAAGGTTTGGCCAGTAGCTTAGCCTCCCGAAGATGGGTGTGAGCTGGGACTACGACACGGGAAGGGTAGGAACGAACCAACACGATGCATTTAAGGATTAGACCAATATCTAAAATACTGGACCTTGACCCACAGAACCATATCTGAATACAACGATCGTACAATTGATACGACAAGTATAAGCGCTAGGATAGGCCAGGGTCTTAGCGCTGACCATACCGATTCCAAATAGCTGGCAGTCTCCACAAGGTTAAGCTCGTATTCAGCCCACTTCAGCCCACTTCAGCCCATCCAAAAATCTCAACTCAGCCGCCCTAGATCGCACGTTCGTCATCTCAAACCGGTATCAAGGTCCCCGTATTTGGTCCCCGAGATTAGTATCCACTGAATGCTAAGGCTGTGGTAGCAGCCCAATATTACATTTCTAGTTTCCAATTCGGAGGCAATAGGAGAGTTGTGTGCTGTATTCTATCTGACTACTCTTAGCCTCAGGATCGTATTTGAAATATTTTTGTTTGTATCAACATTTACTGGGGCTTCTATAAGCATTTTAATATCCGTAGGATCGAGGATCGTCGATCACAATTTTAAGGTTGGCGAAAGATTCTATCTCATGCTCTTGCTATGATAATCCAATCATACGGCGGGAATGATCGACTTATCATGTCTCGTCTTTTTGCACTAATTAAGCACTATGGAGGCAAACCCGACAGGATATGTACCTTATGCCTGGAGTGCCAATCAAATCTCTCATTAAAAGGGTCAGTCCCCTAGACTAAGACGTTGAATATATTAAATATCCTCTATCGTCATTTCCCGTCGTGACACGATGGCCCCTAAAGGTCTCATTATGGCCGTGGCCGTGGGCGTGGCCTCGGTGAGACCGATGGTAGTTGCGACAACCATGGCCCAGTCGACTGAAGTCGATATTATCTTCCCGGCCCTAAATCAGATGGACATGGACGAACTGGAAGGAAGTGTTGTGAGAGCCGACGCCACAGCCACCACAATCGAGATTGACTGCCGATTCAGCGTGAGCAACCAGTGTCCCTCTGCTGGTTATCTCTTGCCCCAGACTCTCACTACCGGGCCGTCTTTCCAGGATTTTCATTACGATATTACCAGCTATTATAACCACACCATCTACATCGTTACTGGTAATTTGGATGGCAACGTGACCGAGTCTACGCTCGATGCCTCCTGCTACTTCTCGACCAGTACCTGGATCTGAAATAATTGAACAAGAAAATAATAGTGCCATAACTAAATGAAAAGCAAACTATACAAACATGCTATACAACAATTCAAACAAAGACAATTTTGTCAAAAGGATTTCTCCCATCTCAAATAATCAGAAACATTTCACAGTTCCTCCTCAACCTCCTCAGTCGGCTGGAGCTCCAGCTCCCAAGACTTAAAGTCCAAACTGAGGGTATCCTCGTTGCTAGCAGCCTTACCAGAGCCAAAACTCTTCAAGTTCCACTTCTCAACACCCTCAATGCCCTGAAGGTCGTCACGGAACTCAAGGAAAAGCTCAGCGTTCAGACGCTCGTACTCGGCAAAGTCCTTCGGCCAGTCACCGAGACGCTGCACAGACAGCTTGAGGAGCTGCAGGTGCTGGCGGACCTGCTCACCCTCGGAGATGGTAGATTGGCCGTTGGAAGAGTCGGCGAGGTCGATGTCGTAGGCGGAGCCGTCCATGCTCCGGCTGCTGTCGAGACCGCCCTCGAAATCGGCGAAGTGGGGGTCGATAAAGACGCGGAGGAGGTTCTCGTGTACGCTGGCGCTCTTCTTGTAGTACTTTTTTGCCATGTGCTGGCCGCCCTTCTCGGACTGGTAGCGCTGGGCGATGCCGGTGTACAGCTGGGTGAGCAAGGTGGACATCTCCAGGGTGCTGGAGTGGCGGGCACCATTGACACGACGGCAGTTGTACACAATGTCCTCAGCGAGACGGGAAGCCTTGAGGGCGTCGCCTACCATGTAGCGGGCTAGGATATAGCGGCGAGCCAGCTGGATGGTGATGGCGGGAGACCAGTTGGCTTGCTGATTGCGGTTGTTCCAGAGGCCGGACAGCAGCCAGACGAGGTTCTTGTAGTCCTTCTGCTCGCCAAGGAGACCGATCAGGATGTTCAGATATTCTAGGCTGATCTGGGCCAGGTTGATCTTAAGGTCGCTGATGGTGTGAAGGACATCCTGGATTATGACGGCGGAGACGCCGTGCAACTTCTTCTGGACGGCAGCATCGGGCTGGGGAGTGATGGTACGCCCAGTGATGAAAACACCAAGGGTGAAAACGAACTTGACGATGGCCGGGGTGCGGTAGACCTCATTGGCGGAGATATAGCGGAAGGCAGCGATGGCAAGGTTGGCGGCGTCGTCGTAGCTCTTCTTTTGAAGAAGGTTAATGACACGGTAGTTGGCGGCGATACCAACCGAGCGGATGAAGTTCGAGGACTGGTGGGTGTTGAAATGGTCCAGGATGGTAACCAGCAAGATCCTGACCTGAGCGGTCTCTGTCAACTTGATACGCTTGCCCTCAGTGTTGAGGAAGTAGGCAACGTAGTCATCCAAGACGCGGGTAGCGACGACGTGGCGGTTGCTGCGGAGCAGGAAGTGGTACAGACGAGAAGCAGACAGAGAGACCGACTGGAAGGTGCTGGTCTTGGAAACGGTCCGGCTGCGGAACTCTTCGAAGTAGACGTACTCGGTGGTCAGAGCGGCTAGGATCTCGGTGATGGTCGAGGTGCGCTGGTGGAGACTGTGCTCAAGCTGGGCGAGGAATACCAGGCTCTGGCGACCCTTGGTGGTAAGGTCAAATTGCGACTCCTTGATCTTCGAAGTATCCTTCATGATCACCTGGCGGTACAGTTCCTCAGACAGCTGCGTGGCCTTGGAAATCTGGTTGGTGGCAATGTAGCTACCAGCAATGGTAACAGCGGCAGACGCCAGGGCAACGGAGGAAGTCTCCGAGGACAGGATGTGCACAGTAGACTGCTTCAGCTCCTCGAGGACAGACTCGATCTTGCTGTGTTTGTAGTGGAAGTTGACCATCTCAGTCAGCTGGACCAGGGACTCCTCATGGGCCCAACCGTGCTGCTCACGAATTGTGGTAACGCGCTTACGAAGAATTCTCGAAGCACGCGAAACCATCTCATCAGAGACTGAGTCGGACTTGATAGCAAGGGAAGTCTGCTCCTCGTAGATGCCATCCAGAGTAGCGCGGATCTCCTCGTGGTCGAACTCCTCGGTCTTGATCTTGAGGAGCTCCTCGTAGAGAGTGATGGCAGTAGACTCATAGCGCTTGGACTCCTGGCATACCTTGGCGAGCGTCAGGGTAGCCTGGATAGTGATCGAAGCGGTTGCACCGAAGATAACCTTGACCTTAGACTGGTAGTCAGTGGTGATCTTGTGGATCACAGTGTAGTCTGTGCGGATACTGCGGAGGCACTGAGTGTACCGGGTAAAGAATTCCTGAACAAAGGTGGTGTCCTGGAACTTGGGGCTTTTCTTGGGGTCATTCAACCAGGTGGTGAACAGCAGCGAGTAGTACGGCACGGCGTCGGTATAGCGGCTCTGGTTGTAGAGCTCGGTCAACACAATCATCAGAGCCTTAATGGCATCCGGGTGGCAGTTGGGCGAGTCCTTGTTCAGGGCGCGGATGATGCGCTGATAGTACTCTATGGAGATGGGACGAGGATGAGTGAGCTCGGCCAGGTTCCACAGAATCTTGATAACAGTGGAGTGCCCAGGGCCGTAGTGCTTGATGTAATCCTCAAGGATCTCCTGGCGGGTGGTGATGACCCGATCAGGCTGGGAGGAGTGGTCGTAGAAGCGGACCAGCTCCTCGGTGACGCGCTCACGGATCTTGTCATCTACGGGTTTAGCAGCACGGACGGCACGGTAGACGCGTATGCGAATGTTCTCCTCACGAGGGAAGCGACGGCGGAAGTGGTAGCACTTGCTGAGGCGCTCGGCAAGGTCAATGCACTTCTCGACGTGCTGGCTGGGCAGGACGACATCCTGGATGGAGGAAGCAAGCAGCGAGGGCCAGAGGCTCTGGAGGACCTTCTTGACAACGCGGGTGGCATCTTTCCAGCGGTGCTGGCCGATATAGAGCTCAACCAGGGTATAAGTGGCAGTGAACGAGCTCTGGCTGATGCTGGAGCTGGAGCTCGAGGCTTCGTACACAATCTCTTCCAGAACGGTCTCGGACACAGATGAGGAAGACGAGGAGCTAGCCGACTGCATCACATACTGGGAGGTATTGGAGATGCTCTGCTGTATTTCAGAGTACATTGTCGATTGAGTGCTGTTGGTGCTCTGGTAGTAGTGAGCGACCTTCTTGAAGATGGTCAGAGCAGCAGCCGACATGCCCACAGCAGTCATAATCTTGGCGATCTGGTTGAAGTGGGAAGCGGTGCTCTGTGAGACCGTCGTGGTGGAAGAGCGGTACTCTTCGTATACGGAAGACATGATCGAGGATGCCTCGACCTCGCGCTTCTGGGTTTGAAGGAACTGGGAGTAGACAACAATAGCCTTGAGCTTGATCTGTTCCCAGTGTTCAGAGTACTGAATGCGGCATTCTTTGCTAGCACGCTGCCAGATTTCAATGTAGATGCGCTCAGCCTCCATAATACGGCTCTCCGCGGTGTATTTCTGAGCCAGCTTGATAAGAGCCTCGAAATCAAAGGACTCGGACACAACCTCATCTTCCTCAACGTCCAAGACAAAGCGAATCCCAGTCTCACCATCATGTTTGTGACCCTTCAGATGGACGTGAAGGTCACGGTTGTCCTCGTCATCGCCACCGTACTGACCAGTGATGGTCTGGATCTGGATTTGGATCTGCTGGATCTTCTTCTCCTCCTTGGTCAAGCGGTAGTGCTCAATCAGAGTGCGGAGAGTGACGACAACCTTCTCGGAGGTGGCTCCGTAGTGAACCTTGTAGGTCTCGATCAGTACCAGAAGGATCTCCTCGCGCTTCGTCATGAGATCAGTCTTGCTGCTAGTAATCTGGTCCACGGTGAGGTCGAGGAACAGAGTAGCCATCTGCATAGTCACAATGTGCTTGGTGGTAAGCAGAGTATTGCTAAGAGTGACAATCTCGTAGAAAAGAGGAATGGCCTCCGGGACCTTGCTGATATCACGGCGTAGGATTGCCAGATTGATGAGGGACTGCAGGGTTACAACATTCTTGGTGGTCAGGATGTTGCGGCACAGGTTGGTGACGGTGGTTTGGAAAGTCACCAGCGTCGGGGTGGAGATGTTTTGCCAGAGGGTGTTCTGGAGCAACAGCAAAGTGATAGAAGCAGGGAAGATCTTGCTGAACTCCTTGCCGATAGAGGCATCACCACCAGTGGTGTAGGTCGTAGTCTGAGTCAGGTGGTGAGGCCAGTACCGAACAGCGAAGTCCAGAAGAGGGTTTCTCTGCACCAGCAGAGTGGTGTCGTGAGGGTCCAGAGGACTCAGCGAGGGAGGGTGTTGTTCGGTGACAGTGCTCTTAATGTAGACCAGCAGACGAGCAACGAAGTCATGGTGGCGGTCCTTGATAGTGGGGATAAGCTTGCCGTTGTGGAACACATCCAACACAGCAATGCGGATCAGGCCGTGACGGAGATACACCTGGCCATCCTGGAGGAAGACAAGAGAAACCAGAGGCTTGAGGACGTGCAGGGCGTCGACCTTGTCATTCGATACAGTCTGCTTGTCAACCTGGATGGAAGCCAGAGTGGCGAGCTCCTTCAGCAGCAGGGGGCGATCGGAAGTGGCAAGCCACAGGAGCATAAGCTTGGCATCCTCGCTGACATCTTGGGAAGACAAAGTGTGAATCACGAAGTCAGTGATACTCGGGGGGCTCTTGATCATGGCATCCAGGGTCTTGCGGAAGTTGTCAGGGTTGTGTTCATGCCGAACCTTCTTCGTGGCAAGCTTGGCCCACAGGAAGGAGCCGCGAGAGGCCTCGGTAATCTGATCAATGACGGACTCCTGCTCAAACTCAGAGAGATCGATGAAGGTCTTACTGTGCTCTATGTTGGCGCGCACAACCATGGAGACATCATCGTAGATACGCTCTTCGCTGATGGGTACGTGCATCACATTCTCTGTGGAGGGGGGCTTCTCGGCACCGAGAGTGATCAGTTTCACGTTCACACCACCGACAGCAGCAGAGGAGAGCTTCTTGAGTAGAGTGGATTCACCACAAGTGGCCTCGTCAAGACCGTCAACGACGATGACCAGCTCCTTCGCGCCAGGGAGGGCGGCAGCCAGGGCGCGCTGAAGAGCGGTCCAGAGGATGCCCTCGTACTCAGCAACATCGGTAGTCTTGCGGCTACGCTCGAAAGCGTCGCCGAGAATCTGCAGAAGCTGGATATTACCGATACGCTTCTCAAAGAGCTGGTAGAGAATAGTTTTCGCGATGGCGGTGGGAGTAGTCTCGGCCGGGATGCGGGCATCTGTTAGAGCATTAGTCAGTATGTAGTCCCCAGTACATGGATTTATATTTTCAAGACTTACTGATGGGAACAAACAAAGTCTTATAAGTGACCCCACCAACCTGATCCTGCAGACGGTCGACAATGACGGAAGCCAACACGGTCTTTCCAGATCCAGGCTTGCCAGAGAAGGACAGAGTGTGGTTATGGCTCTTCAGGAAGCGAGTCAAGTATGGGCCCATCCACAGGCAGGTCAGCTCTTCACGCTCGTGAGCAAGGTGGGAGGAGTTCTCGGCAAGGTGGTTGAGGACGCGGTCTTCGGGAGCGAGCCAGGAGCGAACGGACTTGACAACGGAAACTATAAAGATCGAAACAGATCAGTCCCTGCACATTTTGGAATATATTTGGGAGTCCTTACCCCGTTCCGTATCAATGTTCTCCTGGGCGAGCTGGTGGCGCCACATAGTCTCCGCAATCTTGGAGCAGCGGTCCTTGAAGGTCTGAATCTGGTGGGGGAAGGTGTCATAGATGTTGACGGAGACCGAATCCGCAGTCAAGCTACGGATAGCCTGGTGGAAATGAGTAGACACATTGGAGACCAGAGTAACAAGGTCGGCCAGAGCCAGGATAAGCTGTTCCTTGATCTCTTGAGAGATGGCGAACAGCTCAGTCCGCTCAAGGAGGTTAACCAGCGTGGAGGATGTGCTGTAGAAGAAGCCGAAGGAAATCATCAATGCCGAGGCGTTCTCCTTGCCAAGCTTTACAAGCTAATTAGCACGGAATCAATTTGTCTCGGTGAGACTTCGTTATATAACATACCTGAAGGAGCATATAGCAGTAGCCATAGGAGAGCTGAGCGGCGAGATAGCTATCACCGGCGAAGCCCTGGATGTGCTCTTCGAACCTGTTCAAGCGCTCCACAAACAGCTGGGCCCAAGCAAGGACCTTGTCATAGTTGCTTCCCTCAGCGGGCAGGTGGCTCATACGCTGATTCCGGATCCACTCAATAATATCGGGGAATTTGGTGTTCATAAGAGCGAAGGTGTCAACGCCAAGCTCTTCACCACTGCGACGGTGCAGGGACTGCACGACGCTAGTGATGTTGGAGTTGCCAGCTCCGTTGAACTTCCGCGGCGTGAAATACTCGCGGCGCGAGGAGCGGCCATGGTTAGAGATGCTGTCGTTGTCGAAGACAGTAGAGAGACCGGATACTTGCCGGGAGTTACCAGGCAGGCTGGAGTAGAAGGGGGAGGTGTGGTTACCCGGGAGGGGAGAGACGATACCGGGGGCCATTTTGGTCAAAAGTGGCGTAGTTTCAGTTGTCGTAAGGTTCTTTTTCGTTGTAATAGGAGGGACGGTCACGTTTTCAGTAGACTGTCCTGAATGTCTCTTGGAAGGTGTAGAGATCTTGCGGGGGCCGGGAGTAGGTTCGGAGATATCTTCTTTATCTGAGCAACAGCTCCTAAAGCAACAAAATAGGCGACACAAACCGGCGGATCAATCGGGTATAGCGCTCTAAAATAGTGGAGAGCACATACGAGGGATGATTATGAGATGGAAGACGAGGGATGAAAGAGAAGGATCAACCTGTCTGGGGGCTATGAGGGCTTTTGTAGCAGCTTCAGGGCAGGAGCGGAATCCAAATCTATTCCTTTTTCATATTTTCCTGTCTTTTCTTTTTTGCCCCCCCATTACGCCGAGGGCTGGGATGGAGCTTCACAGCACCATTATTACATGGGTATGGGTATTGGAGAGTGGGGCAGAGCTTTAGCTTCTGCGGACACGGACTATGTATCTCTTGCACTACTCGATCTTGTCGGATCAGCGGGAAAGTGGAAGCCCCGAACAAATGAGGGTGGGCCGAAGATACAATAGACTCTCCGAGGGTAAGGATGCTGGCGTCAGTCACTCCATCCGGCACCTCCAAGGTTTCAACCTGCAGTGGCTGCGCCCGGACTAGGGTTCTGAGTCTAGCCAGCCCAAAGGCAGGAATTTGCAGCATATGGAGAAGGCGTCTGCTGGTACCAATTATCCTGTGTTCCAGCTCGATGGACGCGAACGTGGAGCGCTGCGGAACATGCTGCATGGTGATGACAATGATAGGCATTGCTCTCTCCACTATGACCATCATTGACCCATATTTTTCGGTAGCAGGCACGCCGGAGCGGCAAACTTTTGTCCATTCAAGCTGGACATGAATCGTTTCACAGGTAAACAGCCCAATAGGCCTGGTCTCGGAGTCGCCGCAGGGGTGTAATAGGGGCTGGCTGCTATGGCTGCAATGGTGGCACTGGTAGGCTGAATCAAAACGTATAGTTCATAAGTACTCGACATATGAATCGGGCACCAATCATGGCTGGCTGGCAATTCTGTCTTCCTTTGCCATGGCCTCCCCTGTGCGGGCGGTCTCTGGAGCTCTGGACCTTGCGGTTGGTAGCCAATAGAAGCGAGAACTCAAGACACCGAGTGGACAATGCAACCCTTCGGAGAACCGCCACTCGATTGGCATGGACACTGACCAGTCTGATCGCAACCTGGTCACGGCATACACGGTAGCCAAATGTTTGCGCGGGGGTTGGATGCCTGGGTCCTGGCTGCCACTGCCGATCGGAAATGGGCCATCATGAACCATGCCGGATCTCTGACGCAAAGGGATCCACTAGCTTCCGCACCTCCCGGAATCGACCCTCGGGTGAAATCCCTTTGGTTGGGGTGGTGCGGAGCGGGAGCAACCGTGCGAGAGTTCGAACCGCTAGGCACCTGAGGCACAGCTAGCGTAGTTCTTCACCACTCCAGCGCCGTTGTTTGAGGCGCAGATGGTAAGCATATTCCAACTCTTGTCTGTACGCACTAGATACGGCGAAGTCCGTTCGAGAGAAGGTCGGGGAATTTTGCCATCAGCCCCTCGTCTAAAAGGTGAGGTGCATTAGCATGATGGGTCAGGCGGGGATGAAATCGAGTGAATAGGTTTGTCCCGGCAATTTTAGCGCTCTCCACTTTACCTGAAGAGCCGAGAGGGGGGGAGATAATAGGCGGGGGTCAATGAAAGAAGAGGATGTGGTGAGCTGAATCTGAGACCCACGCGGACCCACCGATGAGCCGTACCAAGCTTCAGCTTCCCCTCACGATACAAATACGTTTCCATGGACTACGGCGCCACCCACCTGTCAAACAACAATTGAGATCCATTTACGGAAGGACACTGTAAACTTACTGAGGCACGGTGGCTGGACTCGACCGTCTTACCTCCAATAGTAATTGTCCTTCACCCATGACTCCCTCGTCAAACATTCCTCACTGTCTAGATACCCCTGGTCCAATTCATTCAATTCCTTACTGAAACTATTACTAGCCTCTTACAATACCTTGGTGAACTGATCTCGGGGCGTATACCAGTCCCTGAAAAAATCAAAGTAAATTGCGCACTTCCCAAATTCTTGGTTCGCACGTGTGTGGACTCTGATCGTCCTGCCATCAATGGGTCCCATCTGCAAGTATTCCGATTTAGGAACCACTCAACCCGCGACTTACGTCACGGATATACCTGTATCCACAACCCCAACAACAAGGTACATACCTTTTGTCAGTGCAAGGTGATGCCGCACGAACCTCTGATCGGGAATTTATGAACTTAGAGTCTGTGCACGGCCAAGGCTGCTTTAGCACGAATCGAGGCAGCCTTGCATACAGAACATTTTCTCGCCACCCACCGCTATTAGGAAATAAAGCAGCAGTTAGCACCTTGTTTCTCATGCTGAAACTTTTCAGTCATTGGTCCTCGAGAATATCCCGATTTTGCTTCGATTGTGGATTTCCCGCTGTATTATTACAACCCAATAATAAAAGGTATCATACACAGGGTGACTAAAGAAACAAACGTTAGTCTTCCCAATAATTCTGCCAGTAATTTATTATATCTATCCTGTATTAAGACTGCGAAGGGGGGCGGCCCCCTTCCCTCTAAATGACCTCATTCACCCTACGCGGCATTGAAGATGTAGCGCTTCTAGTATATTAGCTAGTAAAGCGTCCTATGCTTCCTGTATAATAAGAATAAGGTCATAGAGCCTTATGTTTAATAGGCCGTATTGCTAAGACATATAATCCTTTAGTTAATTCTATAGGTTCTCTTACGGATTTAGGTCTAGTGAGATAGGTGGATAGTAATTGTTGAAGATTAGAGCCCTCATCCTAAGGCACCAACATCGGTCGGCATCTCTCTGTGCTCAGACGGCTGCTGATTGGGCACCTAGGCCCATGAGGATAATTATTCGAAACTGGGCTGCATAATCAGCGCGTATATGCAGTTCGCTCATCTACATCACCTTCTCTTCGGGTTATCTATCCAGTTCTTTCATGGATCACCGAGTAGCGGTGTGAAAGAACAGTTTTATATGCGTTTTCCTTGGAAAATAGGTCTCGGAGAAAGGATATAAATATCCCCTTGAGAATCAGCAGAAAATATTATTAAGTGCTAAAATGATCTCCGAACTTCAAACCTCCCCATGCTTTGTCTCCTTCGCTTACGTGCTGTCAAGATGTGTGTTCTTTCCTTCACTCTGCACTGCCCGGCCAATGTGCCTCTAATTTCACTACTGACCATAATTGGTACAGCATTCTATATACACACAGAGGCAGGTTATTTTCTAATCTTGCCTCATAAAATTGTACTTCTTTCTTTTCTTCCTCCTTTCCCCACTTCCACCCTCCCCCCTATTACTTTCCATCAGCTTGTGCTGGCTTCTGCCCCATAGCGAGATAGAAATATGAAGAAAGCCGCAGATCCTATTGCTATAGTTCCTGCTGCACCCGGCTAATCAGGGCATCAGTGTCTTCCTTTGACCAGCCCAATGTCTTGGTAAATAGACGTAGCTTGTATCCCTCCAGCGCGTACTGCATGTGGAACACATAGGAACTCTCAATTCTTTTCAGATTTGGGTCGTCACTCCACTTGCCAAAGGGAACCTAGTGGTAGGTGCTCAATAGTCAGCCGCTCAGGCTACAATACACTTACGGATTGTCTTTGAATCTTTGTTCCATTTCAGGCTCACCCACCTTGAATATTTGTTCATCGGCTTGCACAAAGCCAGCTGAGTGCATTAGCTCCTTCTGCTCTGCTGCCACGTTGACTCGCTTGCCAAACTTGGCCGCTACCTCGTGCATCAGCGCCTCTCACTCCCTCAGTGCCACCAGCCAGGTTTCATCCTGTGCGTTGTCGGTAAAGAAGCGCAAGTCGTTCTCCCAAGCTTCCAACCACCCGCCCGGGAGAAGATGCCGGGACGCATTAGTGTAGAACCTGTCATAGTCGGCAATCACCCCGCCTAGCGACTGCGCATGGATCAAATGAAACGCCTGTTTTGCAGCAAACGGCCAATCGCCCTCAAGCTCGTGGCGTTCGAAATACCGGCGATCTGGAGACATATAGGTCGGGTCCTTCCCCGTCAAGCGCGGGGCAGGACGATGCCGGTCCAGGGCCATGATCGTCCAGGAGCTGCTGTGGGTAGCGAACTCGAGAAACTTGTGGTTTTTCTGGACCGGATCTAGGGGGGCAATAAAAGCTCTATAGTCTAGAAGATGTTGCCAGATGGCAGTGATCATCGCGTGTGCTGTGGTGGCCTTTTGGTCGTCTGGAAAGGGGAATTCGGCCTTGAAGCCATAATATCGGCGTCCATTTTCGTATCTGTAGTTATTCCGTGCAGCCAGTCAGTTTGGCTCCATTTTTCTTTTCCGTTATCTGCCTTTCCTTTTTTTCGTGAGTGGAGATCGGGTTCAGGAGATGAAAGAGGAAGGAAGGGCAGATAGAGGTAATGTCTCGGGGATTCCTTCTTCCGAGGAGCTAAGTCTATTATAGACTGTTGATACGGCTGCATGACATGGACCGTCCGTGGAAAATGAATGTGGATTATAACCGTCCTCCTACTAATATGGTATTGTTTCTATACTACGCAGGATTCTTGGGATGGGGATTCGTCTTGAACAGTATCTTACCCATTGACGCTGCGGATTCAGGATTATCCGAATCCGTAAACGCTCAAGGTGGGCTGCTCGGCAATGCACTACAAGCCGCATCAAACGGAGGCCATGAGAATATGGTGCAGATGCTGTTGGATCGGGGTACGAACGCCAACGCCCAGGGCGGATTGTATGGCAATGCACTCCAGGCGGCATCAGTTGGAGGCTATAAGAGGGTTATACAGGCGCTGCCGGATCGAGGGGCCGACGTCAGCACCAGGCGTGGAGAACTCAGTCTCCATTCCTGCATAGTATTTCAAATCTGTCCATTGTCATACCCTTAGTTGCGGATAGGTGACCGAGACTGACAACAAAAGTAATATCTCGAGCTAAATTCTATAGTCGGCGGCCGCTTTTGTAGCCTGAAATCGTGAACGGATTACTGCAATCGAGTGTACGAATGCTTCCGGGTGGGCTTTGCCTCCATTCCTTTATTTTGCAAGGGAAAGGCCTAAATACACTCCTAGTTCGAACATCCGGCCTTACCAGACGATTGGTAATTTTTTAGATTAAGTCCAAGCAAATTGGCAGCTAATATGTAGTTGTGAAGATCAAAGCGTTGAAGAATTTAAGATAATCTCTTTGAAAATGCATGGTCATAATCTATCCTGATATGTTATACGTGTATTAGACTGATCGCCACTGATGCTTGCTATGATTATAAACTTGGACTTTTTACCGTTCAGTCTTCAGCCGTTATTTGAAGGCGAAGTCGAGCAGCTAAAGGATCCCGCTGGTGCTCTCAACGTGCTAGCTATTCCGAATGGATTAAGCTAGGCGTAATATACGCACCTGGTGCTGAAAGATGAACAAACTCGTCAAGACAGTTGTGTTCGCCAACAGCGCAGCATAAAGAGGTAATGACACTGAATACAGCTCCAGAATAGTCCTTCGGTTGAAGCGCCTTGTTTTTCGCGATGAGCGCCGTGATGAGAGCCCAAAGATCTGGCAGCTGGGAAGGTCAGTAGGTGCAAGTGATGACGAATGTCGATGGATGTTGTCTTCTAGCGGCTTGACTTACCTCGTTTTGAAATATACGCTTGATCTCGCTTTCTTTGTTTTTTCTGCTCTCATTCTTCGACGCGCTCCTATCCTGGGGCATGTTGAGCCACTCCAAGAAGCTTGGGCTAGATTTAAACGTCCTTAGTTCTCTAACTAGTATGTCTTCAACGCCTTTTAGAATCTCCTCACGAAATCCCTTGCGCTCCCAGTCGCTCCATCCTCCGGCTGCGTCACAACAAGCTGCAAGGAATTGTGGCAGGCTTCGGCTTCGACTTAGTCGTTGCTGGCCGTACAGTGGTGTCCCTTCGTCGAAGCAAGTCGTGTAGTAATCCACAATCAATTCATCGAGAGTTTCATATCCTGCAGCCTTTGCAGCTTCTAGTACATATGCCACGCGACCTTCTATCAACGCATCCTTGTCTGGGGGTAGCATTTCAAAAGGCGGCGTGATGGGGCCAGTAGATCCAGACTCAGAACCGCGATTGTCAGTTGTGATGACAGCATTTCCGTTCTGGTAGTATGATCGATTGCCTGGCGTTGGAGAGTCCATTGGTGCATGAAGAGAGTTGTTCAGTGGTGAGACGGTTGTAGTCTCAGGGCTCGGTGGCAGGTTCCACAAGCTCCAGGCCTCCTCAGTTGCCAATGGCAGATCTGAGGTTGCATTGTTGATGTCTTGGAAAACAAAGTCGTTGATAAAGTCGGTATTTGCGAGCAGCTCACTGTCCATAATTGCTGCTGTGATTGTTAGCGCTTTTACCTATATCGCCTTGTGGCTTGAATACAAAGCAAATCGCTTACAATTGGGGTAGTTGGAACACAAAGGAAGGCTTTGCGATGTATCCAGCTGTAGGTGCTTGTGCATGGGTGAACTGGAGCCGTGGGAGGTATTGGATTCGCTCGTATCTCGAATTTCTTGTAGTCCCGGGGACGGGGAATAGAACGAATAGGCATCAACCTGGTCCGTTGGTAATAGTAGTTGATTCAGCTGCGCGTGCGAAGTCGCCTGTGCGGGGAACATATTGCCACTTGATGGAATTCGACTGAGTGGTGAAGCGGAATCGTAGCTGTCTTGTGTTTTTGCCGTGTCCGCATTGCTCCAAGAATTGTCGACAATTGTGTCTAAGCCATCGGAAATGCAAGATCTCTCGTCATCAAGCCCACCGCTATTCCAAAAAAAATGATTCTTCTCCATCGTCGTGTTTCCATTATGACTTTGAGTGTGAGGGATCTTCCTAGGAACTTGGCATTCGTGATCGCCAACTCCCCGCTTGTGTGTTTCAGGAGGAATATCGCGACGAGATATCTTTGCACGGAATAGTTAGTCTTAAGTTCGAATAGAGACCTGATGTGGAGTCAGACCTCGCTGCTTTCAGTCATATCATCACGGAACTCGACTTCGTCCTCGGAGACATTGAGCGGGCTCGTAATCGAGTCTGCAGCTTGAGCTTGATTGGAGTCACGACTGGAAGATTTGCGCTTTTCAACCTTGTCCGCTTTCTCTTTTGCCCTTTGCTGGTATATCGTCACTCTTGCTTGTAGATCCTCTAGTCCGATCCTCATGCGTTGACCTGCGTGTGCACCATACGTTAAAAGTCAATTCGTCGATTATATTGGCAGGTGTTTGTGAACGAACGATATAGCGGCTGAGCTGAATAGTGTGGAACATTGCCCGTTTTCTGACAGTTCTGAGCCTGTGTCAAATCGTCATTTCCAACACTGGCCGCTTCTAGACCTATTCGCTGTGTGACAAAAGTCTCGAACGGCATGGTCTCATGGATGTTTTTAGAGCCAACAATGGAAGTGCAGGCAAGACGAACATGATAATTACGTCTCTCTGCATCAGGCTAAGATGAATGGTATAGCTGGATACTATATACTCCTTGGAAATGGGGGCGAAAGCACTGGGTCATCTCGGGGAATTCAGTAACTGAAGGCTCAGTTGATATTAGTGGCGGGACAATGATCACTTGCAAACAACGTTACATCCCACGCTAACCGGCCACCTGGCCGGTATCCTTGCGGACGGACAATGGGGGCGAAAAAATAGCGAATCATGTTTTTCCAGCTCTTGACTTTTGCTACAACCCCTGCAACAGTAAAGTACTTGAGGGGCTGCGCAGTTAACGATGGACCACCGAGGCCCAACCAGGTCCCGCGAGAGCCAACCAAGCTATGCCAAGATGCAGTCCAAGTCACGTGTATTTCATACCTCGCAGTCCGTAGGATCTAACGTAATCTCAGGCGCACCGCCCCGCTAGTGCGCAGCCGGCGACGTAAGCAATCACCAACGTCGCTTCAAAGCCATCGAGGATTGGTTAGGTTTCAAACTTATTTCTTGATTATTATTCCTGAAGATTCTTTTCTGGTCGACGTTCCTGCTTTCACATGTGTACACGATGGCGATTACTGCTCCTAGTATCAATCACATTTTGAGTTGGCCTGAGTGATTCAACTCAAGCCCTAACAAGGGCTACCGCCAGGGACAGGTGGATCCTGTGAGTCATACGTAGACGACTAGTCTCGGTTAGTATGAACTAAAGAATGAGCTATGCCTCTTGGAGATTGGCATCTACTCCTCGACGTTGAGTGGGGTTGGAGCCACTTGACTCCCGATCAGCAACCAGGACATGAAAAGAGGAAGGTATGATTCGCATCCGAGATCCGCTATTAACGCTAGCTCCTAATTTCTATGTTGTAATTCATTTCCTCAATAATGACAGTTCACAGCATGACTTAACTCCTATTTTTTGATGTTTTCAAAGAGTCTATCTACTAGAATGTTCACACAAAACATTGACCAGCATTTTTATTCATCACATCCTCCTGAATTAAAATTACTTCTCCAGATACTCTCGTTTCCGTTACAAAATATAATGCCAACGTCGATGCCTAAATGGCTTTATGACACTCACCCATTGAGGCAACCAAAGTGCCTCAGCCACACTCCCACTGGTCCAAGTGACTTAGCTCATTTCCTCACCGACGAAATTTTCTCTCAATCATCTCGCAGAAGCGGCCTTTTTTGTTCTCGTTTTCGGTGATGTTGATGAGTCTTAAGCCATATGTATCACCAATGCGGTACTTATACCGAGCACTCACCCGCCCGATGGGTCCAAGATCAGGAATCTTCACCCGACCCTACTAAAACTAGTCGCATAAGGACCCTGCGGATCACCCGCAGGTGAGTGCCAGGTCTACTAATAGGGCGAGATAGCGGCAACGATGTGCTCCTATCTATGCGGCTCCAGCGGTGATGAGAAAAGTGAAAGTCAGTTTTGTATTATGTTACAACCTAAAATGAAAGTTATCATGTAGCATTAACGAAAATACAAGACTGAAGAAGGAACTAAGTCTAGGCGTGCCTCGCGGAGTTAAACATAATCATGAAGGACGCAGCTAGTCCAGACCAGCAGAATCAGCCACCGCCCTCCAAGGCTTACATCGAGGCCATACGTCATATGTATTACAAGGTGCTCCGCAGGCAGGGAATATTTTATGGTTAACTCCGATGTTTTCATATATTTTATGGCCAAGGTTCAGGTAAAAATCATGTAGATCCACAACTTCAATTGAGCTAAAGACTGCGTAATTTGAGTATTCAAAATGTTTACGCGGACGGAAGGTCAGGCGTTCAGAGGAGACGGGGTGAGATATACCGAGAATAGCTTGGCTGTCCTTAGTGCTTATTGTATACGATGGCAGGATTACTTTCCCCCTCGAGAGTGGCTGTCCTTAGTGCTTATTGTATACGACGGCAAAGTTACTTTCCACCTCGACAGGGGCCGAAGGCTTTTCTCTTTGCAATACCACTGAGTGCATGTGGTATGAAAATAAAAAGAAAAATAAAAACATAGAAAAGAAAAAGAAAAAGAAAAGAAACATGTGCACAACGGAGTAGCCGCTAAACACAAATCGAGGGAATTTTATCCCCCCCATCTAGTAAGCCGATCCTCTGTACCAGTATTGCTACAAAAGTACCTGCACTAACAAATACATTCCGGAAAGCGTGGGGGGGTGCATATAGCACCTCGGTGTGAAAAGGTGAATTAAAAGACCTCCTCAAGATCGAGAATTTGCAAGCTTTCTGCTCCGAGGCTTCCGGAATTCTTGTTCTTACGCTCGTAACGACGACATCATGACGCCGATCGAGACCAAATGGTGGAGTGGATTGAAATTGAGATCACGAGATAGAGATAGGACTTGATGTCAGAGAAAGTATAAACTTTGATGTGATCTGATGATGTGAGCCTGACCAACACACCTGAATATTTCAGGGTTTGAGGGTGGAGTTGCCCAGCCACCTGGCCCCGATTTTCGTCAACCTTCCTCTTGCGGAAGGAGTGAAATTTCCATAGGTCATCATCACATTGATTTTCCGAAAGCGAGGACCCGCCCATATAATGTAGTCCTGGCTATCCCGATCCGAAGGATTACTTGACATGCAAGTTTACTTCATAAAATAGCTATACATGTCCTGCCCAGACGAAAAGATCTATCGGTCAATGCGTAAAATGAGAAACGTAAGAGGAATATTTACATTTTGCACAGGTGAATACCATTAATGCTACCGAATAAACCAAATTCTAACAATTGTTCTTTGATATCACCGCGATCGTACCATATTTTCTAGTTCGATGATTATGATTCCTCATGCAGCTATGTGAAGGCCCCATTCGTCAGCAAATGTTGCCACAAGCCATTGCCACAATCCATACGAACTAGGCGCAATAAGAGAAAGCAGCAGAAATCCCCTGCAGTCAGATTTTAAATCCGGCCGGAATTGGCACGCCACCCCCTCATCTCTGCAAAAGCGCTGTAAGTAAGACGGCAGCTCCCGACCACGTGGCTTGGCAGGCGTTGCTGAGTATCTCCTGGAGATCAAGAATAGATTATTGGACTAGGGGCTACATAAAATACTCCGAAATTTAAAAAGAGGACCTTGTTTCAGCCCTCGTGGAGATGAGAGAGGTCCATTCGGCACTTGTCAGATCCTCTTCGAATATGATGCCTCCGCCTCGGACCTCGCCGATTGGCTTTGGTGATTTACGTATCTTTGACTGCAAGCCCCTAATCCACAATGGGTAAGTGGTCCAATTCAGCCGACGTGGGTATGAGTGTGGGCACGATTCCCCGCTGTAGTGCATCTGCTTGTGCAGTAGTGACAATCTGGCTCTCCGTCAAGTTGTCCAATTCCTGCATTATGATTCCCAGTAACCACTTGCCATGAACCAGGAAGATAATTAGTATGTCGTTGATGCACACTAAGGACAGTTGGCGAAGTATTTTGATGCGATTCGTGCTAAGCTCGTGTTGATACCTTGACCTCTTTTCAAGGTGGTGCCACTTTGGCCATCTGGGCCGGAGGAATGTCCAAGCGTCTTGCAGTATAGCTTGTATCGAGTCCTTGAGTTTCCTCCTCTACCAGCTAAAATATCAGTCTTGGAAATGACTTTTGGTGACATACATAGCTGAGTGACGGATGCATTAGGCGAGAGAAATATCGATGAATCGGGATTTATATCCATCAGTCAGACAAGTGGCTTTTCAGTGTTAAATTACATGAACCTCTTGCCTTTGGTTGTTCTTGCGTAGTTTTTCTCTAGGTGCGAGTGGTAGTTCAGCTCTTCAAATGTTCGCGGAATGTATGTTAAGACCACGCCTGGGAAACGCTAGCCAACAAAGCCAAAAGACTATCATTACCCACGAGCTGACGAAGCTCGTGGATTCCGGCCCTATATACCATATAGGAGTCGTAACAATGTACTAACTATCTACTGGGAAAGACACGGCAAGCAAATACTATCATGATCTCAAGTACTATTATTCACACTGTAGATAGTTGTAGATAGCAAAGAAGACTGCACATGGAACAAACAAATGTAAAGAAATGTTAATGAAAAGGTCCGCACGTATATACAGCGAATTCGATTCGATTCAGCAGATGGGTATCTCAGTCTTGGTACGATGCAATGAAGAAATGCAAAAGATCAAACAAAACGGGTGTGGGGAGACTATAGATAAGTGAAGTGAACGGGAGTCTCATCAAGAGATCATTCCAGCCCACAAATCAGGATAATTAGCTGGGGAAGAAGGGAAACCATGCATGAAGTTGAGAATGCAAGTCACGCGCAATGCAATGCAAATGCAATATAGTCGGTCGGGTATCATTTAGTCGTGTTGAATTGCCACCAGTGCATGCGATGCGATAGGTGGATAGTATGCTTAATTGGGGGTTGTCTCCGACCGCCGATATGCCCAGCGTCGAAGCGTATACCCGTCCGAGTCCTTGTGAAGATCCAGGAACTGCGTCTGGGGTTTGCCTCGCTCCGAGTCATCTGATTCTTCATCGGGGAGGTCCATTCTGAACCGCCGAACACTGCCTTCGCGACCCGATTTGCCTTCTTCGAAGAAGGGCGCGCGAGAATCACGATGGCACCAGCGTGGTGCGACTTTCCGCCAGATACCACGGACGCCACGGCTGGCACGGTCGATTTTCTCATACTCGCGCCGGCGAGTCGTGTCTGATGTCCACTCCATCACTGTTGCCGGGATGTGGATGGAGGATGCGGAGGGGCTATGGACATGCTGGCTGGTGGTGCTGTTGGGGAGTGTGTTGGCTCGGTCTCTTGGGTGGAATGGAGGAGAGGCAGCGGCCGAGCTTAGTGAACCGCGGTGGTCGTAGTCCCGACGACTGGATCTTGATGAGGCGATCGGGGATGGCGGCGCTGAATACCCCATATCGGACGAGGTGCGACTCTCTCGTCGGCGGGGGTAGGTTGTTGAAAGTGCCCGCTGCAGGGTGGGTCTTACATTATTTGTAGACTCCTGCTCCTCGAAGAGACGACATGACTCCCGATGTAGTGCCAGCAGCGACTCCCGCCTCTCGTGGGGCGTAGTCCTCGCTGGTGGGACGGGGACGATGCTAGCCGTCGTTGCAGGCCGTCTGGTCGAATTAAAAGAGCTATGTCGACTAGGCGGTCTTGACCTCGCTGTACTGCGAGATGCAGAGCGAGAGTGCTGAGCCGAGTTGGTAGCAGAGGAAGCACGACGACTTGACTTTGGGCTGAAATTAGGCGGGTCGATCCTCTTCACCCTGGGGGTATCCATGTCAGGCGAAGAAGGCGAAGAAGGCGAAGAAGGCTCGCGAGACGAGTTTAACTCGATGCATTTCTCAAGGATCTCAGTGACAACAGGCTCAGGCTGGATCTTGTTGATGAGGTTCAAGGGCTCCCGTAGATCTGCAGACGGGGCCATGTGAAGATCGCCACGACATGTGACGGACGCCATCATCAAACCTTGCTGCCTTCGTCACCAACTGCAGCTTCTGATACTCAGAATAAGATTAGGGCTGGACGTGAGGGGCAGGTCCCATGGTGTGTCTGGGGTCGGAACCGCGGTTCGCTATCTATAAACAAAGGATATATACCTCTTCAAGGGGTATACCTGTTCTCGGGGAAGGAGAAGATGATATGCATACAAAGAAAAGAAGAAAAACAGGGGTCCCTGAACTGGCGGGCATGACACTTTTTAACTGCCACACCGCTCCTCAGTGAATTTTCTTTTGGACGTTTTAGCGGAGAGAGTGGGGGGGTTGCCTCCACCATGGGTGCACGGTCTAGATCTTTGTACCCTTCGGTAGACAACGCCCCTGCAGTGACAAATATGCAGGGGTCGGGTTTATTTCGAGTCGTGGCGCCTATTGGTATGGCCTGTGTCGGTTGTCGTCGGGTGGCATCATCAATGGTCACAAACCGACTCGTGGGCGCTTCATGAGACTCCTCCCCGGTGGGTCCCATCACAAATACTGGGCTCGTGGGTGGCTTCACGCCGATCTCGATTATTTTAGAAACTACGGTATCTAGGGACAGAGTTCGATGCAGGGCAAAGCTTTGTATGGTTTCACGCTTTGTAGCGCGAACCACGCTACAAGGAGGGGGGAACAAGGCTTCAGGGTTCAAGGTTCCAAGGTTCGGGAGGGTTGCATGGTGCACGGATGAAACGTGGGGCATTCAACATTCAACATTCAACGTTTCCCTAGATGATCATATATACAGTTCCCATTCCCACGAGCGAAAACTCAAGGATCGGCTTTCACAGCGAGTACATGAAATCGGGATTCTCCCGGTCCGTTAGGTCGAGCCACCTGCAGCAGTTAGCGCGCGTCCCAAACCCAAACCCAGTCAAAAACAAGAAACTCACTCCTGATTTTCCAGTCGCACGTAGTCAGGGCGGGATTGGATTTCTAATTTTCGGATATTCTCCTTGCGGTACCACCACCAGATAAAGCACATGATGCCGATGCACACACCCGTGCAGACGATGATGGTAATTTCGGCGGGGACGTAGCGCGGGGCATCTTTCGGACGGAAGGTTTGCGGGCCTTGGCAGATTTAGTTAGAGCGCTCGCTAGTATGGAAAGGGTTGGCGCTTGTGCTCACCGATAATGTTCCCGACACAGTATCCGATTAGGTACATGGCTGCGACCGTGGTTTTCTTGGTGTATCCCGCCACGTTGGAGGAAATCATGGCTAGAAGGGCCACGAACGCGGTTGGGCTGGCTTGGGTCATGTAGTAACCGATCAGGCGACCCGTGTTGTCGCTCTGGGGAAGAGCAACGATCAGGATCATTCCGAGCATGGCGCAAACAAGTCCGCCCAGACTGCAGAGAATACGCTGGTTGGTGATATGGCCCATGTAGCCGTTCAGCAGCAGAGCGACGACTTCGACTGCGCCTCCCGGGACACCGAGAATTAGACTCTGTTGGTCAGTGAAGCCAAAGCTCTTGATCTGTAGTGTTGGGACTTGGTTAGAGAAAGCACCAGCAAAGTGATGCTCATGACGTACCAATAGACTGAAAAAGTTTGAGATACCGCCATTTGGAATATCCACAATCAGCGCATAGAAGAAGAAGGCCCAGCTCATCGGATCCAAGAGCGCCTCCTTGACCTGGTACAGCTTGAAGTGCTTGTTACCGATACCCTGCTGATTGATGCGCACTCGGGCAATGGCCAAAATGCGATCCTCCTTCTTCAGCCAGCGCGCATTCAGCTGGTTATCAGGCACAATCCACAAGAAAACACAGCCCAACACAACAGTCAACAGACCGGTGACCAGGAAGATGATCTTCCACGGTGCGATCGACGATCCGTGTTTCGCGGTGCCGACGGCGATTCCGTACGCGACGCAACCACCGACGATCTGGCCGATGCCGTTGAAGCTGAACCAGATATTGACGCGACTGCCCTGTTCTCTCTTCGTATACCACTGTAACACGGTCAGCAACCGCGCTCGCATCTTTGGAAGTTTGGTCCATACCTGCGAAGTCAACAACGCGAAGCCAGGCGTAACGGCCGCTTCAAACACACCCAGGAAGAAGCGAATGGCAATTGCCCCCGAGAAGGTCTTGACAGCCGCAAAGCAGCTGAGAATAATCCCCCACATCAAAATACAAACTCCGGAGTACTTGCCCAGCGGCAACCGCTGCAGTAAGCGGTTGGTCGGGTACTCCCACGCCAGGTACCCTAAATGCCCGTAAGCTCCCATCCCCCCAAACACAAGCATAAAGTACAAAGTCTCACCGAAATAAAACAAACTCCCGAGCCATTGATATTGATCACCAACAAGATTCAGATCCTCCTTGATCCCCATAATACTCGCATAGGATAGCGTAGTCTCTGGAATCATCGTCAGCACCTTAAACCGCAACGCCCTCGCAGAGCTCCGTGCACGCATGACCCATCACGTACTATCCAGATAATTCATGCCATAGATAAAGCACATAATCGGCATCATATGCCAATCAATAGTCCTCAACAGCCTCCGATTTGTCGCTTCGTCCAACTCGATCGCTTCGCCATGAAGCTCATCAAAGGCCTTCAGGGCCTCATCCGCATCGTGAGCATGCTTCTCCAGCGTCGGATCAATCGCCCTGGCCTTCTCCACGTCGGTGGCCCCGACGGCCTTCTCTTCTACCATGGTTTCGGTTCAAGGGGATGGCAACGGTATCTAATCGTAGGAAATCGCAGGGAATCGCACGGCGAGAACGGGGAGAATACAACCTCGACGGACGGGATGAGGGGAAGAGAGCATAAACAACAGACTTCCGCGTGCAACACTGTCGCCCTTGGCGTTATCTCCAACACCTCTCTACATCCTCCTATCAAGCAGCACGGGCCGGTGGGTCTCCCCCGCGATAAGCACCCATTATCTGGGGTTGTGGACGTGTCATTGGCTGGTGCAAGAGGGGAATGAGGAGAGATCGGCAACGTTGATTTCACAGGGATGTAACGACCGAGTTGGAGCTATGCTTATCGGACTAGCCGAAACAACGAACCGGCTGGGCTGTCACAAGTGAGGAGGTGTGATGTTCCCGGACGCAGATATAGTTCCGAGTACTCCATTTGCCGGCGGGGGTAGCTTGGCTTCAAGCTCTTGTTGGGTGTTCTTCGCGAGTGGCTTGCTGTATGTTTGTTGGCGTTATCCCTGGGTCTGGCTGTTTACACGTTTGAAGATAGATTCGATCTTCTAATCTTATCATGTCGTCCCAAGGTGGGGGTAGGTCGAGTCTGGAACGAGGACTGATACTGTACTTGCGAGCCAAGACGCAATTCCGTGCCTCGGAAATGTTCCGTCGACTGGGTGGACTGTGCTCTGCAGTAGTCGACGCGGACGGTGTCCGTGTCTAGCGGTGGAACTGACGATTTCATATCTGTACGAATTTGAGAAGACTGGACTAGGTGAATGAGAGGGAATCGGTTTTGTCCAATATTTCCTGTATAGATATTCGCTTTCGTTATACATAATCTACTGACCTCCAACGCGCGCCATGTAAGCCTCCCACCCCTGCTGCTGGTACTGCTTAGCCGCCTCGACAGGGTCAGGAGCAGCATAGATACCGCGGCCGGCAATAATGAAATCCGCACCACGGCCAATAGCCGACTGCGGAGTCTGGTACTGCTGGCCGAGCTTGTCACCCTTGGAAGAGAGGTTAACGCCGGTCGTGAACACGACAAAGTCTTCATTCTCGTTCGCGGCGACGGTCGACTCAACCTCGGTCAACGAGCGGGTCGAAACAAAGCCCAGCACGAAACTCTGGTATTTGCGCGCGTAGTCTACGGATGCGGAGGTGTAGGATCCCGTCGCCAGGGAGCCCTTGGAGGTCATCTCGGCCAAAATGAGGAGGCCGCGGTCCTGGCCGTAGGGGAAGTCGGGGGACTGGGCGGTTTGGGCGAGGGCTTCGACGATGCCTTCGCCTGGCAAGACGCTGCAGTTGATAATGTGGGCCCATTCGGAGATGCGAAGGGTGCCTTGGTGGTACTGCTTTTGGACTGTGTTGCCGATGTCGATGAATTTGCGATCTTCAAAGATTAAGAAGTTGTGCTTTGCGGCGAGCGCGTTCAGGCCGGTGATTGTCTCTTGGCTGAAGTCGGAGAGGATGTCGATGTGGGTTTTGATCACGGCGATGTAGGGACCGAGGCCTGGTTTGGGTGTCTGGTTAGTATCTGTCGGCGTGTGATTGAGTGGTTGAGCATACGATCGGCCAGGTCGAGGAGTTCGGCGGTGGTGGTGACGTCGGCAGAGACGGTCACGTTGCTCTTCTTGGCTTCAGCCACCTGGAAGAGTTTCCGGGCCAGCGGGTTAGGGTGGTTGGCGGCGCGAGCGCCGTATGTCGATTGCGACTTGGACGACATGGTGGATGGTGGGGTTGGCGGGGCGCGAGGGTGGTGAATGTAGGTGCTTGGAGAGGGTATTCAAGGGCGATGAGAGCTCAGTACCGATTGATTATTCACGTCCCCAGGGAAAAGATGCCCCAATTGACCCGAATCCAAGCAGTTTGCAGGAGTGAAGCGTTGTCTACGTCGCTGCCGCGGCGGAACTTTTTTTTTGGCGCGCCACAGTGGAGCATCAGCCACAATCCTTAGACCTACGTGGCTTTGAAGATTCAAGATTCACAAGAACGTGGCTATTTCATTTGTCCAACTATCAATACAAAGCTATAGGCTCGGCTTAGTACGAGATCAAATCCCGAGCAACACCAAACACAGTCAGACCCCACAACGCACCCTGCGCCAGCCAGAAGAAACCACCGAGCATACGACCCTTACCCTGCGGCTTGCCCGAGTACACATAGCCGTACATGAAAAGCGAGCGGAAGACAACCCAGAGGGCACCAATGCCGGTCGCGAGTTCGGGATACTTCAGGCCAGCGACCAGGGTGAAGAGCATCGTCTGCGGGGCATTCTCGAGGAAATTGGCGTGGGCGCGCTGGGCGCAGTTGAACTGCTCGGCCTTGGCCTGCGGGGAGGTCAGCAACGTAACGCAGGGTCAATCGAGGGATGTAATTCGGAACGTACACTCTCCTTGCACTGCTCAACGGTGGCATAGCTGTGAGGATAGGGGACTTTGGCGACCTTGCGCAGGGAAGTGGTGATGCTGCCGTGGACAAAGCTCAGGACGGGGATGGTGCCCAGCGCGACGGCGATGACGGCGCTGCTCGGTGTTAGCGTGACAGGGATCAGGGACTATGGGGTCCAGAGGACTGAAAGTACATACCCGTAGTTGGAGGGAAGGGTGATTGCGACCATTTTGGAATTTGCAGTGGATGTGATGGGGTACCTATTCAAGGACTTGCAGGGGATTTATACTTTGCTCCCCTGTGTAGGGGTTCGGGAGTTGACTGCCCCGGCGGGCAATGAATCTATCCGGCCCGAGTGCGTTTCCTACGATCTTTCTACCACGCGATTCGTCCGTGCACTGCTCTGGTTGCCCCGGGCGGCAGTTCCGTAGGATGATTTCCAATGGATTTGTCAACACCATTGGACCGGAATAACTGGTACCCTTCTGGGTCCCTCTCTAACTCCGCAATAGCTTGTCTTGACATCCGAACTCTCCACCCAATGTCCGATTCAACGTCTGTACCAATCTTGTGATTGAGAAACGGTTGCTATTACCGACTCAACAATGCTCTCGGGGAGGTCAATTCTTCTTCAAAGGTAAGTGTATAGGGGCGAGGGAAGTTATTTCCTGTCATCAACCACCGATTCACCTCCCGATAAAAGTTCGGACCAAAAAGTGAGGATGGTGAGTATTTTGAAGCGACCAACAGGTCATCAAGAAATGGAAAATAGATTCAAATATCATCTAAATGGCAAAACTCATGTATCAAGGCCATTATTACCAAAAGATGTCTGCTAAATCTCCAGAAAACATAGCTCAAGGGGAAGGGCCCATACGGCTCACACTGCCGTACTTCGCTTGCCAAGCAAAGAAATACAGTAGTGCTCCCAGGGGCTGCCCAACCAAGCAGAAGCTAACCCAGAAGATACAATTTCCAATGGTCTTACCGAGAGGGTCGCGCATTTTCTCCAAGGGCGCGGTGAGCGCGATGAGAGGCAACTGGAACATCATACCGGCAAAAGCAACACCTAGAATTGGTCAGTCCCGATTCAATCAAGATCAAGTGCCAGCGGTAACATACCGATGAAATTGTGAGTGGGAATTCCCACCAGCATCTCGTGTAAAATGGCGGATAGTGCAAACACCATGCCGCTTGCTGCGAATGGACTCCAGCCGCGGCCGACGAGGGGCGAGTAAACATGTCTCTTCATGAAAAGATACACAGGTCTATTCCAGGACCGCCAGTACGTGCCCAGGCTGGAACTGTTCCACCAGTCGGTGTAGAACTCGCGATCACCGAAGCGCATGACTTCAGCGAGCGCGTTCAGCAGAGCTTGGAATAGAGCGAAGAACCCGGCAAGCCAGATAATTAGGGAGATGGTGGATAGCTTCATGACACGTTCCAAAATGGACGCAATGTCCATAACGGCAATCTTGTCAATCGAGTTGCGGAGGACCGGTGCTGCATATTGCGCAGATAGAAGCCAGATAAAGACTGCCAGACCACAAAACTCCGCCAGGCGCTTTGCAACGAATGACCAACGGATGGATGTCGTGCGTGGGTAGACTGGCTGGTAGACCAGCGTCGGCGCCATCCAGAAGTACGCCAGGTTCTCGAGGGTAACATTCCTGGGGTAGGGGCATGCGGCGTAGAGGTCTGGCAGACCTGATTCGGCCGAGGGATTAAGATATGCCAGACGCAGGTCTCGGTTGGTAAATGCGTAGGAGCAGTTTTTCAGCCAGACGATGATGGCATGCATTTGGCAAATAGTTCCAATGCCGGGGTGGTGGATGTAGAAGTAAACTACGTAGCTGGTCACTGCAAGACACAGAGTGGCGTTGACGGTGTGGAGGAAGGCCGTGTAGTGCCATTCGGACCGGAAAACCTGTTGGTCGTGCTCCTTCTCCTCGGCTGTCTTTTTCTGCCGGCCAACTGTCGCTTTGGCTGCGGATGCAGCGGTCACTTCGACGAGATATGCAACGAACAGATGGCACGGGACTAGTGCGGACAGAATCAATCCCAGGACGATGTCCTGTTTGCGATAGTCGTGACATTTGATGCAGATCAGAACGCCATACTAGATATTTGTCAGAATTGTCCTTTTTGTCTTCAAGATCAAGCAGATCTTTAGCGTGACCCACTTTCATGAAGTTTTCGATAATCAGTCGGAGATTCATGGCCACTATCGCAAAACATTAGTACCATTGTACCTCCGGACCTTCCCGAGGGGCATCAATCCCTACCGAGAACCAACACCATGAGGTTCCTAAACCCGAGGAAGCTCGTAGTCACATTGGACTCTCTGCTCAGGCTCGAGTGCCGCGTTTTGGAATGGTAGGCAGCGACATGGCGATACTTGCTGCGTCTCCGAGCCTTGAGGGATGGAGTCGATTCCTGGGCTTGGTGGGGAGCCACCTCGTTTTGTTTCACTGGAGAGCTCGAATGCTCCAGGGTAGTAGCCACAGCCTCCGTCTGCGAGGCCATCTCCAACGGGGAACCCCGGTCCTTGCTGTCCTTGCTGAATGCTCGGCGGGAACGTAGATGGACCAATGCGGACGTCAGTCGGGCCGAGCTTTCGGGCGATCTGAGTGGCAGGGGAAGAGCACAAACAACACGGCAGACAACGAAGTTCAGGGTCCGCTCAGCATGGCGGGAGGAGAAAGTACCCGGGTCATTATAAGTTAAGATAATAACGCAATGGCGGGGGATGTCATAGCGCACAGCAAGTAGCGAAGACAAATCGGGCCAATCATCGGGCCGTGAGCTTCTCCAAAGGAGGCCGAGACGCTGCAAAGCTCCGACTTCTCCCAACGCTCTTGCATCCAATCGCAATCCCGGTCTTTGACAGCCCTTCTCGTGTCATGATCGCTACTTGATTACTCTTAGCCGACCTTCCGCCCACCCAAGTGGTCGCCATGGCCTACTACGACGAGAATGGAGGCGATTCCCAATATTCGGGGAGGTTTAACAAGAACTTCGATGGTCCTGTCGGACCCCGTCGGCCAAGTACGTTTGATCTCTGCGCAATTTCACAAATCCCTTGGTGATTCTGCAGCCTAACTGATGACCCGCTTCTCACACAGGACTGGTGACCGACTATGGCTCGTCGATGGTACAATGGATGCGGACGCGAAAGCCGCGTTTTCGCGGCGAGCACCGAATGGAGACCGAGCGACCGAGTGCGAGCTTCGCGGTGGATGTGAGTGTTGCGCAATATGTGTAACTGGCAGAGACTGACTTGGAAAAGATGGTCCCGCCCATCGCGCGAACCTATTCCCCGGTCGACACGATCCCCGTACGACACTTGCATCAGTCTATTGGAAAGTCCAAGAAGCCGATTGTCGTGGTGCGATGGACTCCAGAAGGGAGACGCCTGTTGACGGGCGGCCATACTGGAGAGTTCATGCTCTGGAACGGCACGGCCTTCAACTTTGAAACGGTCATGGATGTGCGTGGTTCAATATCTGCATGGTCCGGGTACTGGCTAATCTCCTTCCTCTCTATAGGCGCACTACGATCAGGTCCAAGCAGGCGTGACATCTCTTGGATGGTCCCATAGCCACGAGTGGCTGATCTCCGGTGGACAAAGAGGCGACATCAAATACTGGCGACCCAACTTCAACAACGTGGAGACGATTGACGATGCACACCATGACGCTGTCCGAGACCTCGCCTGGGCTCCCAGCGACACTAAATTCCTCTCTGCGTCCGACGACACGACCCTCAAGATCTTCGATTTTACTTCGCGCACTTGCGACACGATTCTATCAGGACACAACTGGGATGTCAAGTCTTGTGATTGGCACCCTACGAAAGGCTTACTGGTTTCCGGATCGAAGGATCACCAGGTCAAATTCTGGGATCCGCGCACTGCCCGGTGCCTGACAACGCTCCACAGCCACAAGAATACCGTCACGTCAACGCGCTTTTCGCGAGTGAATAATAACCTCCTTGCCACGTCGTCGCGTGATCAAACAGCGAGAGTATTTGATCTGCGAATGATGCGGGACATTTGCATTCTACGTGGGCACGAAAAGCCAGTCTCTTCGTTGACGTGGCACCCGATCCACAGCAACTTGATATCCACTGGCGCCGAAGACGGCTCCTTATACCACTACTTGCTTGACGAACCCAATCTGCCCGCGGGACAGATGCCTACCGTGGCACCCTATGACAGCCCTGACCCGGCCAATACTCCGCCGCAGGTGATCTACCCGGCACATCGCGTGCAATACGCCCACGGCGCTACGATCTGGTCACTGGACTGGCACCCGCTGGGTCATATTCTGGCATCTGGATCAAAGGACAACTTCACTAGATTCTGGTCTCGGGCGAGACCCGGCGAGACTAGCTACATGAAAGACCGATTCCATATTGGTGAGGAGGCGGCAGAGGCCCAGGGCACCTGGAACCGTGGCTTTAGCCGCAAACAAGCGCGCGATGAAGAGGAACAGGAGATGCAGGATGAAGCCGATAGCTTGGTCGACCAGCGACAGCCCGATGCAGCACCTGGGTTGCCGGGTATTCAAAGCGGCCCTCAGCTTAATGGTCCAGGATTCCTGCCTGGCATCGGTAATGCTCAGCCTCCTCCGCCCGGGATGCCCGGGATGCCCGGCGCTATGGGTGGAATAGACCCTGGTCGTCTAGCAATGATGTCTCAGCCTACACAGCAATCAGCACCACCGCCCCAGCCAATGCCCGGTTTCCCAATGCTCCCCGGAATGGGAGCCCCGCCTATGAACATGGACCTAGCACAGCTTCAGAAGCAGCTCGCTGCCCAAGGCATCCAGATCCCTCCCAATATGAACCTCCAAAGCCTGGCAGCGGGTCTGGGCGGTCTGCCTGGTCTGCAGGGTGGCGGCATGGCCGACGGTCGCAGATAGGTGTTTGAAAAGGGTTGGATGCACGGTGCATGTCATATTTGGATTGCGGGATCGGCGTAAAGGACATATAAGCATGTGAAGGCCATTCGGGCTCGGAATGACGGCGCTCGCGATATTCTCCGGTGTATTATAGCAGATACCAGCTTTATCAATTTTTCGCAGACATGGGACTGCTGTCGTTGCTGTTGTAGATGGTTCTGAAGGGTGGAAAGCATTTCGGATATGTCGTCCAGCCGGGTGTCACAGTCCGCCTTGCATCGGAAAGCTGGTCATGATGAGAACCATCACATTGACGCCGCCCCAGATCATAGGGACCCAAGTCGACATCCTGAAATTGCCTGCTTCGTAGACTGCGCCGAGACTATATAAGAGATTAGCCAGGTTACATGCGATCATCAGTGTAAACAATGCGGACTCACACAAGCCCGATAATACTCCCAGCTATCAGCCCCTCCAGCCCTGCGATGAAGCTATAGAGCAACGGAACGAGCCATATGACACTCCAATTCCGACTATGAGTCAACACCGTGCACCCCGCAACGGGGAGGTGAGTAGCAGCATAAAAGATCAAAGTCCAGAAGAGCGTGTAGCGCCAGATATCCTTCGTGTAATAAAGATAGTACGCTTCCTTGTGTAGCCACGGGACCGGATTGTACAGCGAGGGGAACTCGGGGGTTTGGTAGTTGATCGGAACGCGGTTGCCAGCCATGAAGAAACTGCTACGCCGGCGCAGATGTAACTAAATGATTGAAGAGCAGGTCATGGTCATGGTAAAGCTGGTGATGGTGCTAAGGTCAACAACGTTGCTGGGGCCGAAATGACGCTGTGAAGTTTGCACTGTTTGCACCCGTCACGGGCCTCGGCTGCTGCGTCTGGGGTCTCCGGTCTCCGCGCTTCCACGTCCGTCATCCCCCTAAGGCCATGTAGACCTGGGGACCATTGTCCAACCGTGGTGACTACGATATGGCGACAGAACGATCTCTGGCCGCTTTGCTGCGGTCACTGCAATCAACATCCAGCTTCGAAGATGCTTCTGGGTATGTTACAGTTACTGTTACTCCACGTCCGCCGGCAACCACCGACTTCGGCTAATGATGCTTTTGCTTTCACAGTCTCCTTCCCACCGCTACCAGCTTCCTGTCTATCCTAGGTAATCCGTTAAACTTGAGTCTTCTGGCGTCGCAACTCCTTTCCGCGCCGGCGCTGTGGAACCACCCGGTCGATTTACATGCTTGTCGCAAGATCCTGAGCGTCTTCAACACTGCCGCTATTGCGGTCTTGCAGAATGATACGACCGAAGAGGCTCAGATACCCCATGGACGCAATAGGAAGATTGAGCGCGAGGCGTGGGTGAAGGCAGTTGTGGAGGGCGCAGATGACAATTCCCCGCGCTGGAGACATATGCTTCTTTTGGGGGGTATACTACTTGGATTCGAGGGACAGAATAGACAAGGTCTTCCGTGGCATATTCGCACTAAACTCGAGTCGGCGCTGGCTACGGCGGCGCAATTGGCTCTCGAGGAGCTAATTCCCGATGCTGGGGTGGATGGGTACTGCATTACCATGGTGTTGAACTACACTTTTGAACTCTTGTCTGATATGGAGAGGAGCAAGATCAATTACGACCTCTTGTTACCTGTTATCATTCGCTCGACTTATCTTTCCCCCGAGGGTCTTGAAGGCGGTTACTTTTTGGGGGCCGTTGATAAGGACGTGGTTGAGGCGCCCGGGAAGAAGTTCCGGTGGTCGGCCAATTCTGCGACGTTCGGTTATGTCTCTGCGGTGGGCTCTCGTCCTTTAGTTTCCGCCCTGGGACCTTTGTCTCGTCTTGCTTCACATGCCGTTGAAAATGCGCGGGACCCGAAGCTGGTTGCACAGACTGTCGACTACTTGGCGGACTTTGTCCGCACGCTGATGGTTCAGTGGCGGCAAAACAAGTTGTCAGAGGTTGATGTTGCGGAAGAAGCTGAGTTCTTGGATGCTGAATCTTTGAAGACTACGATTCCTGCACTCTGGAAGGTTCTTCGAAACTGCTTGTACTCGGTGGTCATTGTCCTCCGCGCGGTTCTGGGGAGAACGATCAATGATCCGGCTCTCGCTGCTGGCAGCAGTAAGTCATACGATACATCCAACATCCATCCGAAACTGACAGTCTTTTACTAGGTGCGCCATTCCTCTCAATGCAAGCCCTCCATATACTCCGCAATCTCTATTTCATCTCCTCTCGCACTGGACAAAATGCATCGTCGCAGCAGAATTTTGTTTTCTTGGCAGCCATCGACATTCTTTCGCAGTATCCTGACTTGGCCGAGAATTTCTTGCGCAGCATCAAGCCCGCCGATCTAGGTCAAATCCCTGCCCATCCAGTGGAGCGGTGCTTGGACCTTTTCTTCTTGAATGCAGCTGAGCATTTCCCCTTGGTTTTGTCTCCTGAGGCCAATGAGGAACTGCTTCTTTCTGCTGCCTTCCCATACCTCGCGGCCGGCGCCAACAGTCTGCTCTTGGAGATCTTCGAAGCTGCCCACAGTTTGGTACTGGTCGTCTTCGCCATTCCTCATAATGCCGATTTGGCTGCGAAGCACCTCCCTTTCTACATCGAAAATCTCTTTGCTGTAAGTTTTATCCTTTTCTGTCAGGTTCATGCCGGGTGTCTAACGTCGTATAGGTGTTCCCTGAGAACCTTTCTGCGAGACAGTTCCGACTTGCTTTCAAGACGGTCATCCAGGTCACAGCACCTCCTTCACCATTGGCCAACAGCCAACCACTACTTCCATCTATTCTACTCGAGGTAGTCCGAGATCGAGCACTACACGCATCAACTACGCCCATAGCTCTTACAGCACAAAACAGCTCAACGCCCGATCTGGGTAATTTGCCGCCACTCTCCCCACAAGCTGTGCTCATACTCGCATTGGTTGACTCACTCTCTTTTCTCCGCGTCGACGACTTGAAAGAATGGCTCCCTCTCACAGCCGAGCTGATCAACGTGATTCCGGACCGCGCAATGCGCCAAGCTTGCGTCGACCGCTTCTGGGAAGCATTGAGCGGCGGCGAAATGGACGTCGACCGAGCGCACTGCTGTGTCGCCTGGTGGAGTACCCACGGTGGGCGCGAACTTCTCCTCTTTGGAGCCGAGCCTGCCCCAACTGGCCCAGACGATGATAACGGACCGTATATGAGTGGGGCGGTGGGCGGAGTAGCGCCGGAGAACAAACTATGATCTGAACAGGCCATATTGCATTGTACGAGCGTTGACATGTTATATACCATATACCACGGACTGCTGTCCGGAATCAATTCACCTCTATGAACATTGAAATAAAGTGTTTACATTCAAGCGCCATTTTGGGACACTGTCTTCCTGTCCGATTCTCAACGAACAAAGGGGATGCCTACTGGAGTATCCTTTCTATATTGGACATACTCGGCACCGAAGAACTGGATCAAGAACGATTCCTCACCTAGAGAACAAAGAGTGTCAGCGTAGTGAAAATATTCATAAGCAATGAAAGCAGTAAAACTCACGTTTAATCCTCGTTGCAAAAAACCTCCACAACACAACCGCGTACCCAACAAAACAAACGACATTCCCAAGGACCAACTGCGTCCCAAGCCCCCACCAAAAGAACCCAAAGTAGCTCGGATGTCTCAAAAACCGATACAACCCATTCTTAACCAGCACATGGCCCGCCTTACGCTCAACCTGCACATGGTGATTGAAATTCCCGGCCGCCGTAGCCATAGCCAGTGTACGAACACACTGTCCCACGGCAGTAAGCACAAGGCCTGTCCCAAGCACCAGCGACACTTCTAAGCCAAAAACCGGCTCCGTGAACGAGAGCATCCGGCCCAATGACGATTGTCCAGGCCAGAAATAGTGTGAGATTATACATTCCAGCAGCGCTGATCCATGCGCCGCATTGTACGCCCATCCGTTCGAGGATAGCAGGAAAGCTTTGACCGTAGCGTAGGGCGTGTTATAGCGCGCCGTGACGAAGAACTCGAGGAAATGGAAGAGGCTCAGCGCCGCGATGAAGAACGGCACGCGCCAGAATGGGGTCGGAAGCGTGGCTAGGAGGAGTGTCAAGCTTGATGTCAGGCCCAGGCTTGTGCCGAGGAGGAAGGCGCGTAGAGAGATTCCGGATAGTGATTTCGTGCCGGAGGGGTAGTTTGAGGGGTCGAGGTCGGGGACGTCATCACTGGAGGATGAGCTCAAGCTTGAGGCTGAGGGGGCCCGGTTGCGCTGGGTGAAGGATGGGTGCCATTCTTGGTCGGGGTGTGAGATGCGTTCGGTGGGCCAGGAGATGTTTGGGTCGCCTGTTGGCTGTGCGCTGGAGGTGGAGGAGGTGGTCATTATGGAGGAGTTGAATGCGTCGGTGATTTGGGGTAGGATTTGAGGGAGAGGAGGTCTTTATAGTGTTAAGGCGCCATCTTTGTTTGGAGAACAATACTGGAGAGGGATTGTTCGAGCTTTGAGCTTTCCGTCCCCACATGCACCTCCGCGGAGTCTCGCTCCGCATGGTGACACTTATTCCTTTGAACTGTTCCTAGGCTCACAGTGTTATACGTCCTTCCCTTAGGCGATATTTGCTTTTTATTACTTTCTATACAACATGGCTGAGCCGACCGAAACAGAAAAGATGCTCCGCGGCGAGCTCTTCCGCGCCTTCACGCCAGACCTGGTAGCAGCGCGAGCACGCTGCAAATACGCATGCAACCGATTCAACAAAACAGATGAAGTACCGCGCCGACGGCTAGTGGAACTATGGAGAGAGTGAGTTGACGCCATCCATCCAACACGAACCTCAAACACTGTATAAACCAACACAAACAGTATCATCAACGACAAAACACCGCTTCCCTCACAACTAGCCGACCCTGTCGCAGACGAAGAACAATTCAAAAACGAGCCCTGGATTGAAGCACCCGTCAAAGTCGATTATGGATTCAACGTAAAGCTGGGCGATGGAGTCTTTGTCAACTTCAATTGTGTCTTCATTGATACTTGCCCCATCACTGTGGGTGCGCGCACGATGTTCGGGCCTAATGTTAATTTGTTTGCGGGTACGCATCCATTGGACCCTGCACTGAGGAATGGGACAGAGGGGCCAGAGATGGGCAAGCCAATTAGTATTGGGGAAGATTGTTGGATTGGTGGGAATGTTATTGTGCTTCCTGGTGTTACTATTGGGAAGGGGGCGACGATTGGGGCTGGGAGTGTGGTTACTAAGGTATTTCAACTCTTTTTGCTCAATCTCGATGCTATGATGTGAGAGTTAACTAACGTTGAACTCGCAGGATATCCCCTCCTTTCATGTGGCTGCTGGTAATCCGGCCAGGATCATTCGCCGGATTGAAACGACCATGACCGAATGAACGCGTGATAAGCTCTCCGTAGAATATAGCTAGAGATAGATAAGTCTCCATTGTGCACCCATGGGTATCTCCAGGGCGAGGTAGGTACAAACTTTCAATGCTGTCTATGATGAGTTTGTTATTGGGGAACATCTGCATGCACGATTGGTCCAGACAGCAATGTAGGCTTTGGGATTATGAGACTTTGGCTTTACGGTCTAGGCGATCAATCCGCATACATTGGAGATCCCTTTAGCATGCATTAAAGTGATGTCCGTGGCATGATGCCGGCCCACGTTTGTCAGTCATTGGAATGTTCCTGGCAGGTCGATCCCGCAATTTATGTTGTTTGCCAGAAACCCACGTTTTACATGTGCGCAACTTATTTAGAAACTGTAGGCTAGTGAAATGCAAAAGGGAGGAACAAGGAACAATAAAGAGACGGTATAACACAGTATGAATACTTGGTAGATCCCTGGATCCCTAAGGGGCTGCGTAGTTGTAATGATCGGGGTTCTCCACAGCACAACGTCACCGATTTCCTCTCGCGTCCCCCAAAAAAGCTGTCGACCGCTCCGCCAACGCCGAGCACATCTCGACGTCGGTCTTCTCTCACTTCACTGCCACCCCGATATCAAGTTTAATAACCTATCTCGAGCCCCCTCCTCTCTTATAGCCACTTTTAAACCGTCAAAACGCATCACCATTGTCGAACAAGCGAAGAAAATGTCATGGCAGAACCCCCGCCAGAGAGCTCTCACACTCCGCCTGGCACTCCCTTGAGTGACTCCACGCGTGGCCACAGCTCGATGGAAGACCCCGATCCTCAGGGGCACCGGAAACGCCCACGTCTCGACAGTGGAAGTCGCGTAAGTGAGAGCTTGTCTATTGACAGTGCTGCCTTGACTCCGGCCGCGCCTGCCTCCGACATGGACCTCACTCCAGACTCGCGTCCCAGCAAAATGACAATCAACGTGAAGTCTCCAACCTCCGAGATGAATTTCGAAACTATCGATCCCGCGCTTGCTCAACCCGACGCCCCCCCACCCCATTCAGACTCCGACCCCGACGCGCACCCGGACAACGTGATCTCTATCTCCTCCTCTCCTGCCCACAGTCCTGAAATCGAAGTCGCCGACCTGGAGGACATGGACCAGGATCCAACAAATTCCAGCTGGAGACCACTAGAAGAGGCATTACGAGACCAGGAATCACCCGAGGTGATCGAGGTCGACGATATGCTCTCTCTGGTGGACTCTTTCCCGAGAGTACGGGATAGAACGACCCCTCGCGAGAACTTACAGATGATTATCATGATGATTGAGAAAGGTATGTGACTTTGTGTCCACGCTGGCATGCTGGTTCTGGTACTGACATGGTGTACAGGCGACTCGCGTGATGCCACCGCACTTACTGCAGTAAAGCTGTGGATGGATGATTGCGTGCGAAATCTAGATCGGTTGACGGCTCCTATCATTGCCCGAGACTATGAATTCTGGAACCAACTGCCTTTACTCATGGAAACACTTTTCCGTAGACAGTATGGTTCACCTTTCGATTGTTCCTTGTTGTTTCGTGCTAATTTGGACTCCAGACAAGAGCTGCTTATCGAAGACGAAGAGAAAGGATTAACGGGCCTGGAAGAGTTCTTCATGGATTATGTCCACATCACTCTCCACATGGTTCGCCAGGATATCATGTTCTTGCGCCTGTTGGCTGAAGAGCCAGAGGCCCAGCTACCAGACAGTCCGACCCAGCGCTGGCTACAATTTCTTGCATGGTTGCTGACATTCTCGAACATTCCTTTCTATCGCACTCTAGAGGCAGTACACGACACTGATGCTTTCGACTTTGTGCTCCGAATCCGAGCGAAGACTTTCGCTACCTCCGTCGATGCCCCTGGCGTGGTGGCAGAATACACCTCCCTTCTCCTAGAAACCATACCCAAATTTCCGTCTTTGTTGAACAATCTGGTCTCCAGTTTGCTTCTCGCCAACAGCATCACTGACTGCACGCTGGAAAAGATGCAGAATGAGCAGAATGAGCATTCAGAGACCGCTATCGACTTGTCGGTCGATTCGCTTTTCCTGAAGGTCATCTACGACACAGTCCGTCAGCTTGATGACAAGTACCAGCAGTGGGTTACAAAGAAGTCTCCCCTGGTATCAAGTGACTTCAGCGAGCATATGCTGCGCCAAATACCTCGCGTTTACAGCTCACTCTGTCAAAGCGACCCCTCATTCATGGAACGGATTTCCAAAGACCTTCAAATCCAGCTTCCAATTGATGTGAGCATTGATAGCAAGACCAGAACCATTACCTGGGGCTGGAAATTTGCTGTCCTGAAAAAGCTCATCATGGAGGGCCGCATGGAACTTCGGGTTCACGGCGTGGAGACCATGCAATCAGACTTGGTGACCATCTGGAGACAGCACATCTCCAACGATGCTACAGGCGCCGCCTCACCAGAAATTCAATACTTGGTCCACTTTATTCAGCGCAACAAGATTGTGGACTATCTCGTAGGGGTTGACTCTCACCCTCAGTTGATCAGCCGCAGCAGCAATATCGTTGGGTTCTTGATCGTGACGAACACGTACACGAATCTTGAAACCGACGTCATCTGGAAGGCTGTGACAGAGAGCCAGGACAGTAGAATCGTCTCCGAGGTGTTAGCTATGCTCACTCGGACGTTCTACATGCACCCGACTGCGTCACCAGCTTTGCTATATGTCTGCAAGAAGGTCTTGGAGCTTCCTCTGGAGCAATTTGACGCTCGCATGCTCGAATTTTGTGAGAACCTTCTCGGTCGGATGTCAGAAAAGCCCGCCGATCACGGGTACTATGACCAGCCTGGTGATCACGTGGATGCCGTCCCTCTGTGGCTATGCGTGCGTCTCATTCGTGAAAGCACTGCCGCAGATAATCTGTCCGATGAGCAGAGGACACAATTGCAGAACTTCGGTAGCAAGCAACTGGCAACCTTCATCAAAACTGGCATCAATGAGGCGGACCGGACGGAAATTTACGAGCGATGTATCCAAGATATTGCTGAGATGAACGAGTTCACCGCGGGCAGCATGCAAGCGCTGAACGCTCTCGTCCCTATGCTCGATGCACAGGAGATTAACAAGTTGGCCACAGACTACGACTTGACACGCCTAGTGATCACCGACCTACTTCACACTGTGAACGGTGATCACGTTAATTTATCCGATGCGTTTTCACAGCACGGCCTCGTTTCGCGCGTTGTGATCTTGTTCCGCCTTGTTGATATGGCCCCAGAGACAATCACGCCCGAACTCGGACAGGCCTTGTGGAATGACATCCTTCTGTCAAGCAAACTGGGATATGATGGGCACAAGACTGTTTGGAATATGATGGTCACTGCGTTAACGCGCTGCTCAAAGCCTAACCCTTTCCTCGACCGATGCATCCATGAGTACCTGCCTACCTTGGTCCCGAAAGACTATTCTCCAGAGTTGCTTGCATTTACAAAGATGTCGGTCACCTATGAAATTCGCTTTAACCCGCCTCTGGCCGCCGGAGAGAATGAGGTTGTAACCATTCCTGGAATGGATCGCATTTGGAACTTCATTTTGACATCTCCGCCGGGTTCCATTGAAGATAAGGCAATTGACTATGCGATCAAAACCTACCTGGATCACCCAGTCATCAAAATATCACCGTGGTCTGCCGTTGAGGCCACTCATATTGCGATTGCAGATCGCTGCATCGACCAGCTCAAGTCATCTGCAGCGGCTCTGAAGCCCTCAGAGACTATCGCCGCAAATGGCGAGTCTGCCACCGGACCGGAAACTCCAGATGATGAAATCGGACCGGAAGAGCTACGATTCAGACGCTCGCTTCAGTTCCTCTACCGATTGCTCCATGGGTTGCGGGCTCGTCCGCAATACGTTTCCCCAAAGGGATCTCCACCCAGGTTGCCGGAACGCCCACTGAAAGGTGATCCGATAGACCTGTCCTGGCAATGGTTCAACGGCAGTACTAGCTCTGGTGTTAAGACGTTGCGGATCGGCGGTCTTTCGAATGCTGCTGAGCTCGTGGAAATGCTTAGCCGGCTCTCTGGATTTTCCAAGTTCTCAGCAATCTGCGGTGGACAGCGGCTCGACCTGCTTGGTGACCCGGAGGCCCTCGTGCAAGACATTAATGTGCTCCATTCAGGTCTTCTCATTCTCCGCAAGGCACCGGATGCTCAGGAAGTATCGCGTGACAGTGGCCGCCATTCTTTTACATCGGTCGACTCTGAGGTCCTGAAGCATTTCGACGAGATCTATGCCTTCCTCGCTCTCAAGGAAAATGTCGCGCGGGAGGTAAGTTCAATATTGCTTTCAAGTTCTTTACTGGATGCTAACGTGATTTTCATCCAGGTGTATGATTTCCTCGCCGTGTTTCCGCCCCCCGACCGCATTCTCGAGCTTGTCAGGTCCGAGCAAAACAACGAGGACTTCTTATTTCCCTTTGAGAAACCTTTCGTTGCAATCTACTCATTCCATGTGCTGCTGATGTGCCTTCGTGATGAAGCAATGGAGACAACACCGAACCAGACCTTTGCGTCGCACAGCATTGAGATACTGGTGGCATTTTTGATGGCTGATGAGTTTGCCAGTGGCCTGAGTAAGGATACAGTCAAATTCTGGCTTGCTTCAAATGCGACTGAGTGCCTTCTGGCAGCATTTGTCATCTGTGGCACTCCCACGGACGATGCAGCATTGGTCCAGAACCCAACAAAGCTGGTCAAGCGTCTTCTGGAGTTCATTCAGATCGCTCACAGTACGCCTACCCTGCCCTTCAGCACTCTGAACCAGAAGCTTATCCGCTTCCCTTTCGCTGTTCTCATTGATGGCTCAACACGGGATGGGAAGTTTTGGAAGGCAGTCAAGCAGGAAGCGCACTTCGACCGATTAATCCAGTCACTGCTTTTGAATGAAAGCCGCCAGTCTGTTCGCATCGACGTGGCGGAGAGGATCAAAATAACATGTGGTCCTTTGAAATTGCAGAAGCAGCCGCTCAAGACCAACGAAGAGCCGCAAAGCCCGTCCTCTGCCGAAAGTACTTGCAGAATAGACATGTTGGCTACTGTTTGGGATGCTTTTCTCAAGACCATTCCTAAAGCTCCAGAGTATGCTTCACAATCTGCAGAATTCTTCACAGTTGCTCTCTGGGTTTTCCGTTCGGTTGCGGAGAAGTCTCCCCGAGATGTCATTTTCAGTCAATATCTTAAAGAGTGGAGCCTCGTCATGCTCGAGCATCACACTGAAGAGGTATGTGCTTGTTTCTCACGATAACAAGTGATCTCTTTGCTAACGGTAGTAGTTTGTTGGTCGTGAGACAATTGACCACTTGATCCATGGATTTGCTCTTTTGCTAGAGCTGTGTCTTGACCTGGCAGACAAGGCTAACGTCGAGCTGGAAACTTTGTGGGTTTTACAAGATAAGGAACGCGAACAAACATTTGACTGACCATTTTTAGTGACCTTGCGGAGCAAATTTTGACCAACTATCTGTTCCCAGACTTGTCGCCCGAGACAGAAAATCTCATGACCCCGCAAGTTCCTGTCCTGCATACACTCACTCGTCAAAAGTTTTACAGCATTGTCAATTTGCTTTGCAAACACAATGACGTGAACCTTGCGCAAGTCATGGACCAATTGGAGGATATCATTCCTCGAGGTTTGTTAACGCACTGTTTGCTCTATCTCCGAATGACGCTTGCTGATATTTACTGTCTGTAGACGTTTCTTACGGTCACAGTTCGAGCTACGATCGATCTAAGATGATCCGAGCTCCACCAGGCTATGCGGGGCTTAAGAATCTCTCGAATACCTGCTATTTGAACTCTTTGATGACACAGCTTTTCATGAATATCGAGTTCCGGGACTTCATGTTGAAGCTTGATCTTGTTGATCCGCAGTCATCACAGCGACTTCTTGAAGAGACCCAAAAACTTTTCGCATGGATGCAAGACATCTTTACGAGAAGCACCGATCCGACGGATTTTGTCGAGCAAATCAAAACCTACGATAACGAGGCCATCGACGTTACCATCCAGATGGATGTCGATGAGTTCTACAACCTGCTCTTTGATCGTTGGGAGGCACAAATTGTTAATCCAAAGGAAAAGAAAAAATTCCGATCCTTCTACGGAGGTCAACTTGTCCAGCAGATAAAGTCCAAAGAGTGTTCTCATATCTCGGAGAGAGAGGAACCGTTCTCTGCCATCCAATGTGACATCAAGGGCAAGGCCAACCTCGAAGAGAGTTTGCAAGCGTATGTCGAGGGAGAGATCATGCAAGGAGGTCAGTGAGCAACCGCTATTGGGAATGAGGCTCTTCCTAACATGTGAATTAGATAACAAATACTCTTGCACGGGCTGTGGCCGCCATGTTGATGCTGTCAAGCGGTAAGTCGAGCTTTTGTGAAGGGCTTGGGATTTCCATTTCCTAACATATGTGCAGAGCCTGTCTAAAGGACGTCCCAGACAACCTGATCTTTCACCTCAAGCGCTTTGACTTCGACATGGTGTCTTTGACGCGGAGTAAGATCAACGATGAATTTCAGTTCCCAGACCGTATCGACATGGCCCCCTACAAGGTAGAGCATCTATCTGATCCAGAGGGCCCCGTTGAGCCGGACACTTTTGAGTTGGTCGGCGTTTTGATTCATACTGGCACGGCCGAATCGGGTCATTACTACTCCTACACTCGGGAAAGACCCTGTTCGGGTACTTCGACGTCATGGGTTGAGTTCAATGACTCGGAAGTTAGCACTTTTGACCCAGCAACCATTGCCGACCAATGCTTCGGCGGCCAGAGTGGATCAGGTCACAACATGAGTGGTCACCAGCTCAACAAGGTTTGGAATGCCTACATGCTGTTTTATCAGCGTGTTTCTACAATGGAGAAGTCCAAGGAGGTCTACAAGCCGTTGCAGCCTGGCTACCCAGTTCGAGCTTCTGTGCCTGACGCTCTAGCCAACATGATTGCCTGCGACAATGAGGTTATCATTAGAACCTACTGTCTTTTGGACCCGCTCTACTCATTCTTCGTGCAAAGTCTGCTCCAGGGGTTGCAGACCGTTGCACCCGACTTTGAAAGAAAGTCCGATCTGGAGCTGACGGCCATGACAGTCGGACTGGACACATACGAGCAGCTCGTTGCACGGTCCAAGGATCATGCATGCTTGGACGGAATTTCCACCGAGATCTCGAAGCTGCTCACCCGGAACGTATACGCGGCATTTCAAGTGCTCCAGTGGTTCTGTCGTAAGGAAACCTCGATGCGCAACCTGGTTCTTCGGATGCCAAATGGGGAAATTCGACAGAAAGGTGTCATGTTTATCACTGCGGCCATCAGAAGACTGGAAGATTATCTTCATGATCCAAATGTTCACGAGCACGAACGAAACGCCTTGCAAGGCCGCTTCGACTCGACGTTGGAGCATCTCGTTGGCATGATGGAGGATCTTTGGCCTGCTCTTCAGACCGCTCCTCGCGCGTGGGAAGATTACTTCGATATCCCGCTAAGAATCATCGACGCATCACCGTCAGCAGTTGGAATATTACTCGACAATGGCTTCTTCGTCCGTTGCCTGGAAATCATCTGGCTCGACCAGGAAGACCGGAAGAGGCTGAGGGGCAAGTATGCCAACTACATGAGATTGGTGGAGAAAGGTCGACGCTTCTCATATCTCACCATGATGTCCCTCTGCGCAGTCTTTTTCAAGAAAATCGACTTTGCCCTTCCCGTCATTCGAGATGACGAGCAGCGAGCCATGTCAGACGGCGGCATGTACCCTCTGAACACGACCGAAAGCAGGCTCATCAGACCACTTGAAGAAGATGGAGGTCTTTCTGTTCTAATGAAGATCATGCAACAAGACAATCTTGGTAACAGTCGGGCCTGTCGCGTGATCGTTACCGCCATGCTTCAATCAGAACCCCAAGCAGGCTTCCTAGGTAGCATTGTCAAAGTGCTGCAGTCGGGTCTGCGGCTGTCACCTGCTGATCTTAGCATCCCATTCCTGGAGGCAACGCTCGTATTTTGCAAATGGTGCCCAGATGAGGGTGATGCTGCCAAAATGATCAGCTTCGTCGCGGAGGGAGTTGAGTCCATCAACAACAGTGCAAGTGTTGAGCACCTCGAGTTCTTTACCCGCGTCTGTGCCGTATCCAACGAAAGATTGGGTCGAAATGAGGACTGGTTCACGGGATTGGTTCAAAACGAGATTCCCCACTGGGCACCGACCCTACTCATCGACACTGATAGATCGGTTCGCCAGGGTACTATGGAAATACTTCGGACTTTGCTCTTCAGCAACGACAACAGCGATATCACCGAAGAAACGCAAGCTCGATACCTCCAGATTGGTCGCAACCTCATGGTTGGCTGTGTGCAGCGAGTCGAGAAGTCATTCATTAACACCCGGACTCAGCAAGTCGAGTCCAGAATCGTTGATGGCATCATCGAGGTCATCAAACATTGCCAGGAAGCATACTTTGATGATGAGAGTGAGGAGGATAAGCAGACTATCGACAGTGCAAATTGTACGTTCAGCCCACCCTCTATCGTTACTCGCGTTTTCACGTTCGGGAAAAACTGTTTCGACATTGACTAACGCGCATCCAGCGATCCTCGCCCCCCTCGAACACATGACCATCGAAGTCCCAGACGATCTCGTCTCAGGTACGGTCCCCTACTACAAATGGAACGACGAAATCTGACCCGGGCTCCCAGAATCCGATCTGCCCTCTCCCGATGAATGGGAAGCAACCTCCGCATTAGCCAGTGACTCCGAGATGGGAGTCGCCGGTTCCCCATAGCCATGCCCTTCGATCCTTCTCACTTTGCTTTCTAGCGATATTCATGAGTTCAGCGAAGACCGACATGATCAAGATTCATTATGATTTCATGAAATGCGTGATTTTTTAAGTCTCACGGAGGCGTTGCTTTTGCTTTTGGCCCCGGGCGTTTGCCCTGTCCGGGATGTTACAATACAAGGCGTCTGGTAGAATACTTTTCAATTTCATATTCTGCATAGTGTGGCTCTTTGAGCGGCGTTTTACATGCCCAGGTGCTTTTTCTGTTTCTGGATCCTGGTAGTTCTGCAACTCAAGGTAGAGTACAGGTAGTCAGCAGGGGAGAGGATTTGTAGATGGGGAGGGTCTGTGAGAGAATTCAGGTCAAACATTGTTGAACAAGTCATGAAGGCATGTTGAGAAGAAGTCGAGCACCCAAACCCGACCAAAATTGGTCGACTTCCATCGTGTGGCAAAAAATGTGACTGAATAGTACTAGAAAAGGATATTCTGAACCATCTCAAGAGAATCTCTAGTGTCATTGATAGCCTAGATTGTTGATGCAAAATTAAATGCCCAAAAATAAGCCTCCAAACGCCAGCGCCGATGCCTTGGTCCCACGACCATTTTTTTTTTTCATTTGACCCGTGTTCGTTGGTGTCATACGTCTTCAAACTCTTCCTCGTCCTCGTCAGACTCCTCCTCCTTGACTTCGGGCTCGGCCTTCACGTCGGGATCCGACTTGATAGCAGGCTCTACAATTCCGGGCTCAGACTTGATCCTCTTCATCGCAGGCCCATCGTCAGCTGGCGTAGTCGGTGTGCCAATCGATGACGGAGCAGCACTGGATGCAGTCTCGTGATCACGCTTAACACCCGCAATACCTGATGAAGGGGTGGGAACATTGGTAAGGCCAGCTCCTGTAGCCGGGGTGGCTGGTCCACTTGGACCAGAAACTCCGACGTCTTCGAATTCCTCGTCAAACTCATCGGAGTCTTCTTCGGCACTGCTGGCATCTTGCTCGGCTTGCAGGGCTTGCTCGCGCTCCATCTCAGCGTAGTAGGCCGCGACCTTGTCGTCCAAGGCATCCGGATCGGGCTTCTGGTCTTCGTCTTCCAGGTCTGACTTGACGGGCATACCCATCTCGTTCTTGACCGGCGCAACGCCGACGTTTGCGTTGACGGTGGAGTGGGTGTGCCAGACAGGAAGGGCGTTTTGCTTCTCGACAGCAGCTTTGCGAGCTGCCTCCTCGGCCTGATCGGCAGCGCTCTTCTCCTCGCTGGATGTGAGCGCAATCTCCAATTGAGCAGCATCTGTCTTGATCGTGGTGCGCGTAACGTCCTGTGTTTTGACGGGCACGGAGATCGCTTGGCGCGTGGGATGGGTGTGCTGGTTCCGGGGAACCTCGACCTTGTGATCCCAGGCAGTGTCGAAGTCGTTCGGCGGGATTTCAACAGAGTCGATTTGCTTCAATAGCTTGAGCATCTTGTCGAGCTGCGCCATGAGCTTGCTGTTCTTCTCGTGGCCAGTACGGTCAATTCCCTCCACGCCCTTGACGTCCTCGGTTCTTTCTAGGATAGCGCCACAGTTTTGACACTCAAATCCTTCGTCGGAAACCAAGCTTAGCACATCCAACTCTGTCCATTCTGAGCCGCATCGCAGGCAGATGTACTCCTTGCGCTCTTCGCTCGGGGTGTACTGCGCCTTGATCGTGGACGTCAGTGTGGAGACCTTATACTTGATTGCATCGATGACCGGGTGGAGCGGGATGTAGTAGTATTCGCGGTTAACGGGCCGTGTTGAGCCATCGCGAAATTCGGAGCGCTGGTTTCTGCGGTTGAGAGAAGCCACCCAGATTAGCTTGAATGTAAAAACGGCCAACACCACAACACAGCCAAGGTGAAGCATACACTCCGATGAGGCGGTCCTCTCGCAATCGGGCGCACAGTTTGCGGAGATCCTTCTGCTGCATACCCATCAGAAAGGCGAGGTCCTCGGCGTGGAGACTATGACAAGTGAGTCAGATTAGCCTGCGCATGAAATCTTCTCAGAGAGCATCATACACCGAGTGTAAGAAGAGCGCATCAACAACCAGAATGTGGCGGGTCTCGTAGAAGGCGCGCACCACACTCCGGATGAGGGTGTTGGCAAGATCCATCGTTGCGACAGCTGTCAGAGCTCGAGGGCCGGAATGGCTGGACGGTCGACGACGGTCGAATCGGAAGACAAAGCTTCTGGGTTAACGTTTCAAGGAGAGACAGCAATCATCATTACAATCGAGTGCAATGAGATATATTGAGGAACAGCGCCAGGCGCGGAGGGGAATGAATGAGCCAAGCTGAAAAGAATAAATCGACGGAGCTTTGCGCGGGTTGAAAGAGGTGTTTGCGCCTGAGGCAGATAACGGCTAACCATATCGGGACTAGTGGTATCCGCCTTCAAAAACCTCCGCGGCGCATCGAAGACCGTCGTCTTTTTACTGAATCGATTTCATGCGCCCCTTTGCCCTTTCGCGCAGCTTAAAAGGGATTTTCTCCCCCAGAAGCCCAATTGCACCCGCATTGACCGTTCGCCCGAACTCCCGAGCCTTCTACAACAAGTTTAACCCTCGCATCGAGCTATCCGAGTTCTTCAGTCGAGTACAATGGCCGACGACAAAGGCGGAGGAGGCGGAGCTGGTGGAAGGCGTAAGAACCGCGATATGGGAAGGTCGGCTTGGAGGTATGTTACGTGCTTTTTTACCGCCAGCGCCGAGCTCAGCGGCTAACCAAGGAAGTCGTCAACCCATAGATAAAAGAGAGCGCACTGAGCGACAAGCCGAGGCCAAGCGCCGGAAGATTGAAAACGGCGAAGAAATCAAGGCACCCATATACGCGACCGAGTTCTCCAAGGAGGAAATTGCCAACGAGGAGCGGCGGCCGAAAAAGAAGGTCGCGGTCCTGCTGGGATATTCTGGAACTGGATACTATGGCATGCAACTGTACGTTCCACCCAACGATTGCCGCGCAATTTCTGTATATTGACCGAATGCGTGCAGGAACGAGGACCAGAAAACTATCGAGGGCGATCTATTTGCGGCTTTCGTCGCAGCTGGAGCGGTCTCCAAGGCTAACGCGTCGGACCCCAAGAAATCGTCATTCGTGCGCTGCGCCCGTACCGACAAGGGTGTGCACGCTGCCGGAAATGTTGTGTCGTTGAAAATGATTGTCGAGGATCCCGATATTGTCCAGAAGATCAACGAGAAGCTCAGCCCCCAAATCCGTGTCTGGGGTTATGAGCTTACCACTGGTGGCTTCAGTTGTTACCAGCTTTGTGACTCTAGAGTTTACGAGTACTTGATGCCGAGTCATTGTCTTTTGCCTCCCCACCCTAGCACCTATATTGCCAAGAAGATCGTCGAGTATGCCGAGAAAAAGGGTGATCTGGATGCCGTGAAGGCCAGGCAAGAGGAGGTTGCGGGCTACTGGGAAGAGGTTGACGAGAAGTACATCAAGCCTATCTTGGAAAGCGTCCCGGAGGATATTCGTCAGGTCGTTGAGAAGTCTCTGTACCTTGACGAAGAAAATGAAGGGGCCACGGAGAAGGAGGAAAAGGAGGAGAAGGAGGAAGACTTGTCCGCACTGCCAGAGGAGCCCGAAGAGCCCTCAACAGAGAAGAAGCCTTTCGTGATGGATCCTCGCCAGCGCCAAATTCTCGACACCATCAAGGCAATCAAGACAGCCTACACTACCGCCAGACGCACATACCGTGTGCCTCCGTCGCGCGTCGCTCGCTTGCAAGAGGCATTGAGCCGCTACGTCGGTACCAAGAACTTCCATAACTACACCATTCAAAAGACCCATAACGACCCATCTGCCAAGCGGCATATCAAGTCATTCAATGTCAACACGACCCCGATTGTCATCAACGGCACCGAGTGGCTCAGCTTGAAGGTACACGGTCAGAGTTTCATGATGCACCAAATCCGCAAGATGGTAGCCATGGCGACGCTCGTCGTTCGCTCCGGCTGTCCTGCCGATCGCATTGACGATACCTACGGCCCCCACCGCATCGCCATCCCCAAGGCCCCTGGACTGGGACTTTTGCTCGAACGGCCCATCTTCGACAGCTACAACCAAAAAGCCGAGGGCCTGGGTCGCCAGCCTGTTGCCTTTGACAAGTTCACCAAGGAAATGGATGAGTTCAAGCAGCGGGAGATTTACGATCGCATTTTCCGCGAGGAAGAAGAGTCTGGATCGTAAGACACATCCCTCCATATTTAATCTCGATACAATTTACTGACATGAAATGCAGGTTCGGCTCGTTCTTCAACCACATCGACCACTTCCCTGGGGACTACTTCCTCTATGTTACCTCTGGCGGAGTTGAAGTGGCTGAAATTGTGTCTGCTCCTACCGAAAAAGGTGTCCCGAAGAAGGAGGCTAATGACAAGACCGGGAAGTCTCAGAAGGAGGCCTTGGCTGAAGTTGAATCCGATCCGGAAGATGAGGGCAATCTTCCTGGAGGCGAAGAGGGCAATTAATTGTCGGGTTGAGTAGATCATAGTATCGATGCTCAGTCTTGTGATGTGTCATGATTATATAGCAGAATCAATCTAAAAGAAACGGCATCGATCTTGTCCACTCTAATACCCACTGAGAGTGGTGTAGCTCTGTTGAATTTGTCCTATACACCGAGGCGGAGAAGTACCGAAACGAGACCACTAGGACTTAAATTTGAAAACAGGGCGCGGAGTCCCAATTCAGTTGTTGAGGTTTTCGAGGACAGAGTTGGTGTGAGCGAGATGAGGTATAAAAAGTTGTTTGAGGCAGCGGGATGAAGGACTGCGATGAAACCAAACAACCACGGGAATCACAATCCCAACGTCATTCACCATGTCTAACAGGCCTCGCAGTAAGCATTACCGGGGTGCCGGGGGCCTTGGTATATCTAGGTGCCATTATGAAGTTTATCTACGTCTTGTTGAGATGCCTCCATTCTTTATGATATCTCTTTTCTCTTCTTCATAGCTTTAGAATACCATCCTTTCCATTACGTTAAAATTTCCGTAGACACGTTTCATTCAAGCCGGAGGTTACAGCTAATCTAAGCTTGCCGTTTCAAAAGCCTTTCTATTTACAGGTGTAAGTGGCTCTCCCGCAAACTCCCCATTCGGCCCCACGACCGCAATAATGTTGCGCATAGCATTCAAGTCAAAGTTGATTCTCGTTGCCAAAGCTCCTCCGCCAATATGCGTAGTGAGCGTAATGTTGTCCATGCTCACCAATTTCGGCGACACCTACGGCTCATAATAATGCACATCCAGTGCCGCAGCAGAAAGATGACACGTCTCAAGAGCGTGAATCAACGCATCCTCATTAACAACCGGTCCTCTCGCCGCGTTGACAATCCTGCTTCCAGTTTTCGTCAAAGAGAGCGCTCTCAAATCAATCAAGTCCTGCATATGTTTATTGGGCGGTGTATGCAAGGTAACACAATCAGCCACCTTCAGAAGTCCGTCCAAAGAGTCATGTCGCATTCAAGTCCTCGTCTTCCTCTTTATCGGCGCGCACAATATCAAAACAATCAGATACAGTGCAAATATGAGCACACCGACGTTCAACGTGGAGAAAACTACAGCCGGGCCAAGGAGATACATATTACAAATGTGCCTCAATACTTTATTTTTAGTCCTTCTAAATCTCCTCCTAGGAATTTTTGTAAACGTCATTCTAGATATCTTTTGACTCCATTTTCCAAGGTACTTCTCTAAAGGTCTTTTTCAAACCTCCTGGACAGATAGTTATTCCCGCCTAATTAGGCCCAATTACGATATCTTCTTGATCCGGCTGTAGAATATGTCAAAAAAGCTGTGAAAGGTGTGACTACGCACATTGCTATCGGCGCAATACCGACTGTTGCACGGTGCTCGATAATGAAAAGCCATCTCCAAGTCGCATGAGCGTAGCCTTGGTTACCGGTCTTTATCTCGAGTAGCAACTAAGCAACCAGTGTCCCTTAAACCCAGGAGGTGAAGGGAAATGGACGACACATTACAAGATTATCCAGGCCAGGGATTAGCACTTTCCACTAGTCAACTAATCAATACTCCATGGCCCTCAGAATCAATTTCATCGACGGTATTTGTGGCTACTCTAAGTCACCGTGTACTGTGAAATAAGGGTCTGGCCCAGGGTAGTTCGCATCTTCCTTCCCTGTGTATTGCTTATGTATTCCTAGACAGCAATACCCTTCCACTATATGTTTGTCCTGAGATTTAATCTTAGTACAGTCGCTCAGCAATGGCTGAAATTAGCGTCCGACGGGGCGGCCTTAGTTCCGTGACAAGGGTCCGGTAGTTGCCGATCACAAGAACCGATCGAAAGGGTATAAATAGCGGGGTCATGGTCATTGGAAGTAGAGAGAAATTGATCATCCAAGATACCTCTCAACAATGACTTTGCCCACCAAGAAAGAACTTCAACAAGCGATCGAGGAGTACATCTCCACGCTGGCTAAGCCTCTTCGCGAGTTGAACAAGAAAGTAACCAAACACCCGCCAAACCCCGTTTTGCTTTGGCGTAGGCATGAAACTAACAGAGCGGATAGATTCATGAAGCCCCGGAGTTGGCATATGAAGAGCACAAGGCTCATGATGTGATTTGTAATTTCCTTGAATCCCAGGGAATATCCACAACTCGCCACGCCTACGGTCTCTCCACTGCATTTGAAGCGGTCGTCGGCGAGGCCCCCGGACGCTGCATCAACTTCAATGCCGAATACGACGCCCTACCAGACATCGGACATGCATGTGGCCACAACCTGATTGCCACAGCCAGCGTCACGGCATTTGTAGCTCTGGCATTCGCGATACGAAAATTCGGGCTCCCAGGCCAGGCCCAACTATTGGGAACGCCAGCAGAGGAAGATGGCGGGGGAAAGATCGATCTGATCCGCGCCGGAGCTTACGAAAAGGCCGACATTTCGTTGATGATGTATGGATCCGTTGCCTTACCCCACGTTGCGGAAGCCAATAAACTGACATCCGCAGGCATCCCGTTTCCGAGGAGGAATTCGCGACCCACGACGTACGCGGAATTGGGGGTCGTACTTCCATCTCCTGCTACGATCTAATCACCGTCTACAGGGGAGTGAGTGCGCATGCAGCTGATAGTCCGTGGGACGGTATCAATGCGCTCGATGCGGTAGTGTCGGCGTACAATAATATCTCTATGCTGCGGCAACAGATTCATCCCACCGAGAGGATCCATGGAGCTATCGTGCAGGCACCGACTGTTACGAACGCTATTCCCGAGCTCACAAGAGTAAAGTACACGATTCGGAGTCCCACTGTCGAAAGGACTAGAGCACTAGGTGATCGTGTACGGAAATGTCTGGAGGCGGGTGCTCTCGCTACAGGATGCAAGATCGAGGTGGAGGAGACCGCAGTATATGCGGATTTGGTCGTGAATCCGCCGCTGTGTAAGGCATTTAAGGAATGTATGGGCGATCTGGGAGATCAGGTCTTGGATTCCGATGATACCCCGGTTAGCGCCTCCACAGATCAGGGCAATGTCTCGCAGATCATACCGGCACTCCACGCGCTCATTGGGATCCCGGTCAAAGATGGAGCACGAAACCATACACGGCAGTTTACATTTGCTGTTGGGACTGAAGAAGCGCATGCTAGGACCATCACCACAGGCAAAGCAATGGCCATGACTGGGTGGAGGGCGCTCGTCGACGACGATTTTTACCGGGATGTGAAAACGGCATTCACACCTGGCAAGAAGATGTAAATCTAGGATCTCGGCATTTCCACGACGCTGGAGTACGAGAAATAATTCAATGAAACGTCACTCGGACGAATCGCTGCGTCTGTGCCATTGAGAACCCCCATTATCATGTCGACCGGCCCGGTACAGCGACCAATCAGACCTAATTGCGCGCATCTGATACTAGTCTCATTCCCTGTTAGTTGTTGATACCGAGAAGAAATAAACATTCACTCAATGTGGGTTTGTTATTAGTATGAAACCAAATCCAAATCTCAGGCGAAGACAATCGTGAAGAAGGCTGCGCAAGAAGAGTCCTGTATCCCAAGGGCAATCAAAGTCGTCAGACTAGGCATTCAGGTTGAGCGGCGAGACGCAAGAGAAAGAGTTCAATTGCGGATCCTTGAATGCCGAAATCATTCCTGCGCCGAACATTAGCATGAAGTCAGTATGGAAACGAGAAGGATTGGCTAACCCAAAACAGCCGCATACATCCCCAGGCCGCACATAGCAAGGGATGCCAAAAAGTAGATGATATGCCAAACGTTGACTCCAACTTGCAAGGCGCCACCGGCAAAGAACCCGCGACAAAGCCTTTGAGTGGAATTCCCCGACCGAGTCACTCGTCCAGAGATTGGGTCAAAACCTTCACTACATTCCCACCGAATCGAATTCTTCTGAATATCAAAGCCAAGTGCATACAGTGGAGGGAGGCTATAAGTCAGAGTCAGCAGCATTGAGGCCGATATGACGCTGACGAAGCCTATGTAATCCGGGACCGCAGCTGCAATGACAAATGCAATGATCCACCACACTGGAACGCATGCAGCATAGAAAACCTTGCCAGTCCGAGTAGTGAGTGGGGGTGCTTGGAAGATGTCGATAAAAACGTTGTTGTAAATAACCTTTATGCCAATGTTGCCGTACAAACCACCTGCGATTAGCGCCGAGACTAAGGTTATTATGTTACCGGCGGTCTGCCATCCATAGACACTGAGTCCCTGATAGCTCGGGTTGTAGCTATATTGTCCCTGGAGATAGTAGATCACGCAGCCGTACACGAGGTAGACGCTGTAGATAAAGAATTGCGCTAGCCACATTGCTTTGATAAAGTCGCGAGGTCGCTTCATCTCGGCCAGGAACTCCACAAAGAGTTGAACGCCAGCATACGCCAAAACGCCCGAAAGCATTCCAGTCAACGCACCAATGAGTCCGTCGGCGGGGATTGTGTTGTAGTGCATAATTGCGGGATAGTTTCCGTCTTTATCGGGTGTGATGGTCGTTTTGTCCACCGCACTGCCTGCAGATCCTAGCTTCGCGGCTTTATAATTCGGTGGCGACTGAGCAATAATAGCCATCGTCATGAAAATCACAAACAGGTTCATAAAAACTGCGAAATTGGCAACCCAGCCATAAGATCTGAGTGTCCGAATCTGCGAAATCGCGAACCCGGCACAAGCAAAAATAACTGGGCAGACGGCATAGCACAGTTTGAACTTGGACATCTGGGAGATGTTCTGGCCCATTAGGATGGTCACTTGGCCCGTGATCAAAAGTAGTGAGAGACCCTGGCATACGTTTGTGAAATAGCGACCCCAGCGACCCAGTGTTCTGAATCCAACATCGCCATAGTTCTTGACCGGAAATTGGTAGCTGTCGATGCCGAGGAAAATGCGCCAAATGAGATATCCAGAGTATCCGGCCATGAACCCAAAAACCGTGTAGAATGCAATGCCTATACTGATTGTCAGATTGTTGTATCCAGTGTCCTTCCAATCATCAGTCTCACCAGGTCCCCAACCCAATGTACCCATTGTGAAGCCAGAGCCCCAGGGCCCGAGAATATCAGTGGTGATCAAGAAGAAACCTGGATGAAATTGGCATTAGCGCAATCCTTGGAAACAAGACTTGTTCCTTCTTACAAGCACCCCAAGAGGCAGATCTAAAGGAACGACTCGCATTTGCCCACTCCTCGTCAGTGATTTGGAGTCGATTCTCGCGGCTTCTGAAATCATCCCCTGTCAGATTCGCAATAGGGACAGCATTGCGATTATCTTGGTAACTCTTTCGCTCAAAGAACTGTCGCACATTCATGACAGGGGACTCGAGGGTCAGTTCCTCCTCTCTGGTCTTCTGCGCATAGTAGTGGTATTCTTCGAAGGTCACGGCCGGGTCGTACGGCGTTCGAGCCTGAGGTTTGATGAGTGAGCTCGAAAGTGCCTCATGCACAGAGTTCGTGGGTTTACTGTCGATCTTCTGATCCATAGTGAATGCAAGACGACCTTTATCACTTTCACTTGGAGGCCTCGACGAAGATGCGGATAATGTGGGGTTCTGTGCTGATGGGGTCTGAAAAAACAATGAAATTCGACTCATGCAAGGGATGCTCAATGCAGGTTCGTATTGGTCTTGCTCTCCATGTATCGAAGACCTTGCCTATACGTTGCCGTAGTAATATATGCATAATATTTGAGTGTGTTACAAGCAGTTAACTTCCGAAACATCTCCACTTCATCATTTTTACCGAAGACTGGCTTCAATAGGGGATATGTTGCAAGCTCAATACGACGTACCTTGACTTGGGTTTATCGTCACGATGAGCCACGGCTGTGGCTATCTCGCCCCGCAAATCGCATTGCAAACGGGTAGATTAGATTCATGTTCCCATAGCTTTCATCAAGCGACTACTAAATAGTAATAATCCGGCCAGGCCCATTGGGTCGCAGATTATTTTTTGGTGTAACCTCGTCTGGCACCAAAGTAATGACAAGAAACTTGCTGATTTGGAAACCCGCCGAGGTGCTTGCTTCAATCCGTTGTGGTCGAAAAGCGTGCGACAACTCTTACCACCATAAGAACCAGTGGGTATTATACCTGTACCCGATGTCGCATTTGAATTTCTGCGGCCCGCATAAGTTATCCACCACGTAATTCATGCATTGAACGGCCTTGGCATCTTTGTCTTCCAGTGTCGCCTGTCAGAGTCTCATATCCGGGAGACGATGGAGCTATGGCACACGGGCATCGGGAATTGAAGAGCACTGAGCACATGGTCGAACACGAGGTGGAGCAGAATCGGGCCGCCCGAGTGGCCGAGATGAAGCAACTAGAAGTTTAACAGGGCTGGGCAGCTTCTTGGCAGGCCGTAACGAGTACCTGCTAAAGCATCCGGAGCCGAAATTTCCATCAGATAAGATGATATCCGTGGATTGCTTTACTTGGTGGCGCCAGCAGCTCCGGCGCCAACGACTCCGGCACCAGCAGACCTTTTTCGGCGTCGGCCAAGAGCTTGGCTACGCTGCCCGTTGAAACTTTTAAAAATCGGAATTTCCCAAGTCCTTTTTTCTTTCCAAGGGCATCGATTTTTGACTCGCGTGCCCACCATGTCCGCTACGATCACCGGCTTCGGAGAACGCTCGGAAAAGGACCCTGAACCCCAGACCGGGCCTGTTCCCGAAGTCCAACTCTTCGGTGAAGGCTGCCCCGGTGTTCGCAGAATTGAGATCATCACGTCACATTTCGGTCTCATCGATCGCATTTTTCTCTTTGCCAGCGTGTTTCTAGTCGCCTACGTTTACGGTCTCGATGGAACTGTTCGCTACACCTACCAGGTTAGTCTCGCCAAAATCGTCCCAAGTATATCCTAGAAACTGATCAGGAACCTTCTTTGCAGCCTTATGCCACACAAAGCTACGGCCAACACAGCTTGCTCGCGACTATCAATGTCCTCCGGGCCGTCATCGCCGCCGCCGCACAGGTACGGATATCAATATTGGGGGAGGGGGAGTTTAAGAGTGCTAATTTGTAGTACTTGTAGCCTACTGCTGCCAAAATTGCAGACGTTTTCGGCAGAGTTGAACTAATCATCGTCTCGATAATTTTCTATACCATCGGTACCATCGTCGAGACATTTGCTAAGAGCGTGGAGGCCTTTTGCGCCGGTGCAGTCATCTACCAGGTATGGTGCACGCCTCGAAACCCGAAAACCGTCATTCTAACACGCCAAAGATTGGATACACTTGCATCATGCTCCTTGTCGAAGTTCTTATCGCTGATGTGACTTCCACTCGGTCCCGTCTTCTCTTTTCCTACATCCCGGCTCTTCCCTTCATCGTGAGTCTATCAGTACTGCGCCCTACGGCCCTCCTCTAACATGGTGATACTCAATTAGATAAACACCTGGATAAGTGGAAACTTGACAGCCGCCGTGCTAAAAGTGACCTCTTGGCAATGGGGTATTGGCATGTTCGCCATTATCTACCCCGTCTGCGCGCTTCCATTGATCACTGTCCTCTTGATTGTCCAGCGCCGTGCAAAAAGGTCTGGCCAGTTGGAGTCCTACAAGAGTTCATTTCAGGTCCTTGGTGGCCATCGCCTATTTATGGAGCTATTTTGGCATCTTGACGTTGTCGGACTTATTCTGATGATTGCCATGCTTGCTTGTATCCTCGTTCCTTTCACAATTGCTGGAGGTATCACTGCTCAGTGGAAAACGGCAAAGGTTATTGCGCCACTTGTGATTGGTATTCTCTTGGTCCCGGTCTGGGTTTATTGGGAGAAAACGTGCCAGCACCCTATGTTGCCTTTCAGGCATCTCAAAGATCGTGCTGTCTGGGGTGCGCTCGGGATCGCGGTCATGTTGAATACTGGTGAGTAAACATTCTTCCAATCACTATCAGGGCCATAATTGACATCCTTCAAGCCTGGTATCTTCAGGGTGATTTCTTGTACACCGTGCTCTACGTTAGCTTCGACGAGTCAATCCTGAGTGCAACCCGAATTTCGTCCCTCTACAGCTTCACGTCAGTCATCACTGGTGTCATACTCGGCTTCGTGGTGGTAAAAGTCCGCCAACTGAAGCCTTTCATTATTTCTGGCACGGTCTTGTTCATGGTGGCCTTTGGTATTCTAATTCACTACCGTGGCGGTGCTGGTGACTCCAGTCACTCAGGAGTGATTGGCGGCCAAGTTCTTCTTGGTATTGGTAAGAAGAGTAAACAATCTGTTTTGATGTGCCGCACTAATAATTTAATAGCCGGTGGCCTGTTCTCCTATCCCGCTCAAGCTAGTATCCAAGCTGCCTCAAAGCACGAATGTGAGTCACAAAACCCGACCTCGCCATGAATGCACAACTAACATTGGTTCAAGACCTGGCCGTTGTCACCGGAATCTACCTCGCCTCATACAATGTCGGAAGTGCCATCGGCAATACTATCTCTGGTGCCATCTGGAACCAAGTCCTCCCGTCAGAGCTGGAGCATAGGCTCGGAAACACAACTCTTGCCACCTCAGTCTACGCTGAGCCACTGGCATTTGCGGCGGCGAATCCGGTGGGTACCCCGGATCGTGATCATGTCATTCTCGCATACCAGAAGACGCAGCGGCTGCTTTGCATCACGGGTATCTGTTTAACGATACCGCTTATTGCATTTGCGTTTTGCATTCGCAATCCTACACTTACCAAGGAGCAGAGCTTGGTTAAGGCTGAAGACAACTCTAGTACCGATGCGGATTCTATTCATGATTAGATTATGTACCCCATCTGAAATTGTTCTGGATAATCTGTTATATATTCTAGGTAGCTTTACATTTTCTCTAGATGCTTGATATATTTCCGCGCCGGTTAGATGATCCCGTTTAGAGGCCTATCATTGCCTATCTGAAATTTCTGATGGAGCAGGAGATATTTCAATCCGCGTTGAAGTAATGAAATTTAAAAATGGAGCACAAGCATGTAGGTAGGCATCTAGTTGGCCCTCTCCTCCGCCTAACCGTCACTAAGCGGTGACGACCCCGTTTGAGTACTGCCGCTTGGCTTAACGCGACGCGGCGAAATCTCACCACCACTCTCATGGAAAATCTCACAGGCAAGTCCCTGTACGAAATGAATGCATACTGAAGACAAGACGACAAGGCTTTGTGGGCTCCTTGATTGGCGAGGACTCGGATGGCTGCCAACGGGCAACAGCGTAGTGGGCCGGTCCCCATTGCCCCGGCACCGAGAACCCACGGAGGACCCGATAGAAGCGGCAGTGGCGGCCCATCTCAGCCTGCCATGTCCTACGCTTGCCAGACCTGTGCCAAGCGGAAAGTCAAATGCGACAAGTTGGCCTCGGCTTGTTCCCGATGCCGCAAGGCCGGGCTCGAATGCATCTACCAAGTACCCGACCCACGATCTCGGAAAAGGAAAGTGAGCGACGATGTGCTTGAAAGACTGGCCCGATATGAGCGCATTTTGCAGCAAAATGGTCTGCTAGATGCCGAAACATCAACCGTCGAAGAGATGTCATCTCGGGAATCGGCATCGGCCAGTCATATCAAACCCCGGGTATCAAAATCCGGTAAGCTTTTGACTGGCCAGGGAAGGTCGAGATATATCGACAGCGATATGTGGTACAACCTCGGAGATGATACGATTCAACACCTGTCCGATGACGAGGAAGAGAATGAAATGGCCCTTGGCGATACCCATGTCCCTGGGGGTGACGCGCCAGATCCGTTGACTGGTGCATTCATAGGCTCCCAACAAAGCGTTCTGGAGTATCATCCAAGCCATGCGGATGCCATGGTATTATGGAAGACGCATACTGAAAACGTGGAGCCTTTATGCAAAGTTCTGCACATTCCATCAACTGATAAAATGATTGAGTCCGTTTCGCAACATCCTGAAATGGCCTCGAAATCAGATGACTGTTTGTTATTTGCGATATACCACGTTGCGGTGTTTTCCATGACGGAGGAAGAATGCACCAATCAACTCGGACAGGCGCGGTCGACGCTGATGCAACGATTTCACTTTGGCGCACGGCAAGCTCTCGTGAATGCGTCGTTTCTCAAGTCAACGGAGGTTTCCGTCTTGCAAGCTCTCTACCTGTTCCTTCTGTCCAGTCGTCACTGGTACGATCCGCACACTTTCTGGATCCTGACCGGGATCGCGACTCGTTTAGGACAACGCATAGGTCTCCACAGGGACGGAGAAAAGATGGGCCTGCCACCATTTGACGTGGAGCTGAGGCGACGGCTCTTCTACCAGATTTTCCCACTAGATGGCGGAGCAAGCCAAACTGCAGGTATCGACTTTGTCACTCTGCCTGAATTCTGGGACACTCAGCCTCCCTTGAATATCAATGACGACCAAATTTGGCCAGGAATGACAGAGAAGCCAGTCGAGCAAACGGGCGCAACGGATATGATTTTTTGTCTGTCGCGTGCATACGTTGGGAAAAACCTAGTCAGGTCAGGAAAGCCAATCAACAGCACAAGTCCCTTGAACTTCCCAGATCACCACGAAGCGGAGAAGGTCATAAGCGCAGCAGAAAGCGAAGTAGAGGAAAAGTTCATTCGCTACTGTGATATTGTCAACCCGCTGCACTTTCTCACCATCGGTCTTGCTCGGTCGGGTATGACAGCTATGCGTCTCAAAATCCGCCTCCCCAAAATTAGGGATCAGACTGCCACTGATGCGGAGCGGAAGGAGTTGTTCCAACTTGCACAAAAGACTTTGGACACTGATGCGGCAGTTCATGCTCACGGAGGTACCAGAAGGTATCAGTGGCACATCAGACCATTCTTTTTGTGGGGGACACGGGACTCTTTTATTTTCATCTTGACTACATTGTTGAAAAGACGTGACTTGCTCTCTACGGAAGAAGTCAATGCGGCCTGGAAAAGCATCGCGCAGCTCTACCACAACCACGATGAGCTCTTTGACGACAAGCAAACTCTGCATGTGGCCCTTCGGCGCCTTGCTCTGAAGGCTTGGGATTCCTACCTGCCGAACAGCAGTGCCCCGGAGCCAGGCTTCATTGATACCTTGCGAACATTGAGGGAAGAAAGAGAAAAGAAACAAATCAGAAGAGACAGGTTGATATGTTCTACCGACGCAACATCATCAACTGGCCCATCCCTTGCGAGCGATGTGAATACATCACTCGGCAGTCTGTCGGATAGCATTGGTTTTGAAATGGGCCCCAATTTCGAGATTGATGTAGACGAATGGGTATTCTGGGGTCAATTGATGCAAGACCACCAGACCCAAGGCCGTCAACAATGACCGCAGTTCCGACACAACAAACTATACTCGAACCAAAGGAAGCTCTCGGCAGATGTGGCCTGCAACGGCCGTGATTGGCCAACTGCTCGGCCGCCAAGCACCCGAGCAGAACTCGAAGTTGCTCCTGTCAGCCAATCAACGACTGTGTTACCTCGGGTCTCTCGCGGCTCTGATGCGGAGGTGAATATCTTGCTCGGTGCTATATAATGGAGACCGATTCTTCTGGCCGTTGTGTTTGAAATAACGAAATAGTTCCAGATGCAAAATTGTCTCTCCATCCCATCGCCAATCCACAATGTCAAATTTGAGAGTTTTGATCGTGGGCGCATCCATCGCAGGCCCAACAGCAGCCTACTGGTTCGCCAAAACCGGAGCAAAAGTCACGGTCATCGAACGATTCCCACAGATGCGAACCAACGGACAAAACATCGATATCCGGACGGCTGGTGTTTCGGTGATGCGAAAAATGCCCGGAATGGAGGAAGCCGTGAAAGCCAACATCGTGCCCCTCGAAGGCATCAGCCTGGTGCGTGAGAATGGCCGGTCCTACGGAACCATGACAGCTACCGGAAACCCCGATCAACAGTCCCTTGTCTCCGAGTATGAGATTCTCCGCGGTGATCTGGCGCGCATTCTCTTCGACATGACCGAGAACCACGAGAATGTCAATTATGTGTTCGGCGAGCAAATTGCTTCTATGCAGCTAGACGAACACAGCGATGGACCTGTTATAATCGACTTTAGGAACGGAACTCCCTCCTCGGAGTATGATCTCGTCGTCGCGTGTGACGGAGCTACGTCCAGAACTCGGGCAATTGGACTAGGCTGTGGTGTGCGAGACTATATCCGACCCGTGAATTCATGGACAGTTTTCTTCTCCATTAAGAAAGACCTTCTTGAAGGGCGCCAGATAGGCGAGGGATACAGCGCCGTTGGCGGTCGCGCCATTGGCATCAGCCCCGATGCTAATGGTGGCAATCGCGTCACGTTGATGGGAATCCACCCACGCAACGATCACGACTCCGTCCGCCACTTCCGCGAAGCGAGCAAACTCGGCACCGAAGCACTCAAGGAATTTGTCGCGCAACACTACAAAGGCGCAGGCTGGAAAAGCGACGAAGTCATCCAAGGTATGATGGAATCCGACGACTTCTACGGCACCGAAATGGTCCAAGTTAAAACACCAACTCTATACAAAGGACGATTTGCATTAGTCGGCGACGCAGGCTACGCACCCGGCCCCACAGGCACGGGTACCAGTCTAGCCATTTCTGGTGCCTATATATTGGCGGGCGAGATTGGCAAGCATCGAGGCGATCTTGCTTCCGGGCTGAAGGGGTACGAAGAGAAAATGCGTCCTCTGATCAAAGAGATGCAGAAAATCCCCCCTCTTATCCCGACGATGATTGCTCCTCAGACGGCCTGGGAAATTTGGTTGCGGAATACTATTTTTGCGTTAATTTGTTGGAGCAGAATTCCATCACTCTTCCAGAAATTCTTTGGAGGCGCTTCCGCGCACTCTGATAAATACAAGGTGCCGGAGTACGAATGGGCAGCTTGAATGTATGCTCGGCATCATGTCGTCTGTATCTAATTTTCGCAAATTCTCATCTCTCTGTACATAGAATGGAAATCAACCCCTCAGCTAATCCCAGATCTGATCCTTTTCTTCTGAGAACAACCCAAAGCACAATCCATCAGAAATCCCGGAACATCCAAAGCGACTATCTCCGTAAATTAATGCATGGCACCCCTTGATTCGCTTGGAATCCGGTAGGTCCACGCGCGTGCCTGGCGGGTTGCAACGTTTCATCGTACTGTAGATCGGCGAGATTCTCCGGCCAGCAGATCAATCTCCCAAGAAGGAAGTGGGGGCCAAGCGGCCATTGTTTAGACAAAGTCAATGGGACCTGCATTTATGTAACAAAATCCTAACCCTGCAGCCGTGCAGAATGAACCTTGTTTAATTTCGCTTCATGGGTATCCCTGTGATTGGTGGTAAGATATGTGGCGTTCTGGGGATTGTAAACAAAAGCTTCGGAGCTAGCTTCAAGATCTCTGCGGGAAAAGCCTTGCGAGTCCGGTATCGCGTGTCTGAAAGTTTGTCAATCATTAATGCGTAGCTCGATTTTGAAATTAGCAAGAAGAAAATCTCTCGTAGTGAAGCTTCAGTGGCCCAAGGCTGTGCAACACCAGGAGACGATCAGGGACCAAGACAGGCTAAGAGGCCAATCGGAACAGTGCTGACCAGGGACAAGATAAAACCACGGAGCTAGTTGGCCTCTTAGCGATGCGGAGATTTCAGGACAGTTAATGATCGACAAGAGGGGAGTTGTAAGTGGATCTTTTCCCAAGAGGCCAGTGAAGCCTTCCTTGAATTGCACGCGGCCAAGCACGGCTCGATCATGCCCGAGACTGGAGCCTTGCTAGCTTCACCCGACTGGCCCGCGATGGCTATAAATCACTGCCCCCTCTTGAAAATGAGGCGGGAGACGCTTCTGCATCTTCAACATGGCCCTGTCTCTCGCGCTTGTCGGCCTCGGCCTCGGCCTCGGCGCCGCCGCGGCACCCCACTCCTCCGGTATGAACAACATTAAGAACGTCGTCGTGCTCGTGCAAGAAAATCGATCCTTTGATACTCTCGCCGGAGGCCTCACCTACAACCCTGACATCGACGGACTGGTCAACCACAAATACTGCAATCCCGCCAATGTATCCGTCGCAAGCTCAGAGAACGTCTGCGCGGCTGGCATCGCGAAGAACATCGCGTCTGATGATCCGGACCACACGATCACCGGTGTAAACATGCAGATCTTCGGCAACTACCACCCCCAGAGCAGCTCCAAGTCAACCATGGACGGTTTCGTGACCGAGCAAAGCTACATGTATAGCCTGGAAAACGACATGATGGAAGCAGCCGAGGTTATTAATTACTACAAGCCCGACCTTGTTCCCGTCACCAATGCCATGGCCGAGAACTACGTTTTGTTCGATCGCTGGTTCGCTTCGATCCCCGGCCCAACCGACCCTAACCGCGCGTATCTGACTTCGGGCACGTCGCACGGTCACGGCGACAACGGAGAAGTATTCTACAACGCCGGAATGCCCCAGAAATCCATTTTCGAGCAGCTGTCCGAGAAGGGAATCTCCTGGATCAACTACGAAAACACGACGAATATCGGGCCGAGCAGCTTCCCTCCCGATGCCATGTTCTACGAGTGGACTGCCAAGTCTGCCAAGGACAAGATCCTTCCTCTCGATCAATTCTACAAGGATGCCAAGGCCGGTAACCTGCCCCAGTTTACCTGGATCAACCCCGAATGCTGCGATTACATGTCCATGCATCCGAAGTCTCCTATCAACATGGGCGAGAACTTTATGAAGGGTATCTACGAGGCGATCCGTAACTCGCCTCAATGGAACGAGACTCTCTTTATCGTCACCTGGGACGAGCACGGTGGATTCGCAGACCACGTTGCTCCACCCACCGGAGTTCCGCCGGGCGATAACCTGCCGTATATCGAAAAGGCCAACGATGGCAAGAACTATACCTTCCACTTTGACCGTCTTGGTGTCCGTGTGCCCACTCTGTTGATCTCGCCTTGGGTCGAGAAGGGCGTCGTTCAGAACAAGCCCGGCTCGGGAGAGAATGAGTTCACTCACACGTCTATCCTCAAGTTTCTGTCTGAGTTGTGGGGCTTGGAGAGCTTGACTCCTCGTGTGGATTGGTCGCCCTCGTTTGGGAACCTGATTACGAATAACTTCCGTGATGATACTCCCGAGCAGCTGCCCAATGCAGCTGGCTATCCTCTTCATTGACGGGTACGCTCGTTTGATGAGGTTATGTGACGCCATGCCATGATTGTATATAGGTAACGGCTACGCCGCAGCATTTATTTTGCCATGAGGGAGATATACACGAATCCATTTCGAACATAGTCAATGAGCTAGTGATATGGAGAACCTTTCTCTTTGCCGACATCTCAACGGAGTGCACCGAAGATGCAGCGTAATAGTTTCTACTTCCCAGCCTCAAGCAAATATTGTAGACACCCCTATTGAGAAGTCATCACTTGAATCGATGCCATGGTGAGCTTTTGCACGCAAAACTAGACTGAATCCGACGTGGTGTGAGATAGAGTTGGAGGGAATGAAAACAATGAGATCGGCTAATCTCATAACTTAAAAGGCTTCACCCCGCGGATTGCAAACCTATTTTGTTGATTAGTGGGGAATCCGGGGTCGAGGTCGTGATTTCTTGCCGGGTGGAAAACGAACCCCCGTCTCCCGAAGGATCTCGCCTCTTTGAGAGGGCTGCTTCATCGATGGTGCTGCTTTGTCGTTGGATCCTGGAGCGGCTAAATAATCTCCAAGTTGGTTACGTTATGCAAGGCTGAGCTGTTGTTGTTTGATTTGAAGCAAAACTTCATGTATATAGTCATATATTATACAACCTAGCCCACAACGGGCCGGAATCTTAAATGGAACGCTCTCGATGATCAGTACATCCTAATACTCTTGTTGATCATTCCAATAAAGTGTTCCATGCTGAACCTCACCCATAGGCTGAAGCTCCCACCTCAACACCAACCTCGTCCACTGCAGCAAATGGCTCGCCAGCTTAAGATGCCCCACATCCGTCGGGTGATTCTTCGGGTTAATATCGTTATGCTGCAGAATCCCTTTCGTATCGAAGTAGTAAACAAATCCACGGTCACGGAAATGATCATGGACATTCTTGGTTTCTTCTTCGTATACCTGTGTCGGGACGTACGACAAGCCTTCCTTGACCCATTGGCCCCATTGGGACTATTTCTGTTAGATTTATTTCGAGATAGGGAGGGGTGGACGTACGACAATAAGAACGACCGCGTGGGGCCATGTCCTGTGGATATCTTCGATCAAGTCGACGTAAGCGTGGTAAAATTCGTCGCCAGGGATTTCGTTTGGGTGGCGGTGGTCGTTGCCTCCCATTTGGATCACGACGAGGTCGGCGGGTTGTTCGGCGCTGTTGTCAAATTTCTCGGGCTTGTCGCCGAAGAATTCGCGTGCACGACTGCCGGGATCTGAGGCACGGTTCCAGTACCAGGTCTTTTTGATAGGGAATTAGTATTCTGTAATGGGGTTCGAGGGTATAGGGGGCCGTACCATGCCGTGTGCGCTGCCGCCGTAGCATCGAAGATCCACCAGGCATGCGCCGGGATAAGCCTGTTTCGGGGCATCAGCATTGATCGGGATGTTTAGCTTCAAGAGACACCGACCGTGAGCGTATGCTCAGCATTGCCAAGTCCGGCGGCGAAAAGGTATCCCCAGGACGAGATCGTCTCATAAGTAGCGAATTGGCCAGCAGCAAGACTGCATCGAGTTAACGCACGATACCCCAAATCCACTGAAGGCAGACTCACGATCCGCCGATGATTTCCACCTTCTTGTTGAACTTGGTAGGAACCTGCAGGCTTGCATCGCTTGCAACGGAGACACCGGCGATCTGAACTGTAAATGGATGTGAGCAGTGTAAGCGACAGCGGCGGCAGCGCGACTTATCCGAAGCCCCAGTTTGTGACTGCAGAAAGGTCAGCATAGGGGATTTTCATGCTGTTGATGTTGGATAGTACCTCGCATCTCGAACACCTTGTGCTCCTTTACGAGATCCTCATCCAGTTCCAACTCCGGTCCAACGAACTGATAGGTTGCGTCGGCGGTGACATTGGAGAATTGCCAGTCGAGCGATCCGACGCTGCGAATTGTTAGAGAGATAACGTGGAGATTCGAGATCCAGGACACTGACCGGTATGCCACCAACACACCATCTGATGTACTTTTGCCAAAGCTCACCGCAAGCTGGTATGGTGTCAATATTGTGGATAGACGCGATGGCTATCATGTTGTGGAGACGTACCTGGGTTCCTGAAAACTCAACCTTGATTCCAGGTGCGCTAGTGATGTCAGAATCAACAACGAAAAATGAAGGCAGCAAGGGGAGAGGGCGACGCACGACCACCCTAGAAACAGTTAAAACGAGTTTGCAATTTCGGGATAGCTTCACATACAAGAGACGTGTTGACTGTCCCACCGTCCTTTGTAGGATATCTCCTTCACATGCGCATCATAGCTGCGCCAGGAGTCGTCGAGAGTAATGCGCCGGGCTTCTCCGGGGTACGGATCCTCCCTCACCTGGCCATTCTGTAGAATGGTAGCCGCGGCATGAAATGACCACAGCAACGTTAGACCTAACCGAGCAATCCGCATCGTGTATGATAGTTCCTGAATACTGGATCACAACAACGGTATATTTCTCACAGTGCTCGTGTGCTGCTCGCCTACGGTACGATGTGGTAAGGCTACTAATAATGGCGTGATCTTGGCTGGGTATCCACAGGCCACAGCTGTCGCCGGCGTCACCACTTCCACTTTCCACTCCATTTACGAGCGGACCTTCAGCCAAAAAGAAAAGGGTGTTGGGGTCCGAGGATACGAAACCAGCGGCCATGGCCCGGATCCATTATTACAGGCGAGATGTAATAATGAATTCCTTGGCGGGAGACGCCAAGGCCACCAGGTCGAAGGACGTGGAGCTTAAAGACCGGGATTGGTAAATCCGGGGCCTGCCCGGTCAGCGCCCAGGCGCTACCGGTTCGGTTCCGACGCTGATTAGCTGGACGGGTGAGGGACCTGAGTCAAATAGTCTTGGAAAGTTGCCATTCCCGGACCAGGGGCTGCAATCCCTGCAACACCGGAAATTGTTGCATAAACTTCTTCGCAGTGCAACGGAACTGTCAACCATATATTTCACCCATCATGGCCGCAATGATGGAACGTGTGAAAGCGATCAACAACATCCTCGGATTTTCGCTCTTGCACTTAGTAGAGTCCAGGCGATGATCTGTTCCTTTTGGACCCTGATGGACTTCTCCGCTTTCGGCTGTATCGGATAGTACGTGTCAGAAACGACCTGGGCCACTGTAGTATTGTATAGCGGGTAAAGCCGCTTGAGTACCTCAGGGCCAGATTCAAGAGTAAGTCGAATAGGAAGGATGGCACGGCCATTGACGTAAACTGTTTAACGAGAAGGCAGTTCTTGTCGCCGCCAAGAGCGCCACGACTCCAAGCCGTCGATTCTCGGAGTGCCATGGATGGTGGACGGAGGCGAGATCCTGGAGCCCGTGCATGTTCTGGAAATGAGTTCGCTTATCCTCGACCCCAGAGTCTCGTATTCTCATGTGGAAAGGTGAAGAAAATCCGCAGGGCAGTTGTATGCCATGAGGCTTGCCCCTGCATTCCAGGAACGTGTTTTCTTGAATAGAGTGCCAAGCCGTATCAAATACCATTCCGCCAAATCACAAACGGCTCAAAGTTCTACGGACAGTGCAAATCTTCGCCGATCAAATCGCGTTCACTGAAGCCCGGATTAGGCCAAATGACGCCATATTCCCACCACCTCATGCAATGATTCGTATAGGTTTCGGCCCCAGAAAGGGCACTAGATATGTCCAGGGTACGCAACGTATTCGGTATTCGTTCCCGGGAGTGAGAACAGACTCGACAACCTCGTTTTCGCTCGCAAAGGGAGACCTCAGGGCCGAGCACGCCGCCAAGCCAGCGAGACCCTTTTCCACTCCACTCGTGAAAGTCCGACTTCTGGCAGCAGACAAATCACATGGCCATGTGAATGACGATACCCCATAGGACTGGTGCGAAGTCGAATCGGGTAAGGAGATCGGCGCCAAGTTCTGGCGCAATTTCGGCTGACTTTTGGGCCATAACGGAAGTCGAATCGGACATGATAGTTCGGTGCAGCCAGGAAATTCTACCCCTGCGTCGTCATCATCCCGTTTCCTCAATCTACCTCCGATTGTATTTGCGTAGATCATGAGACGGCTCAAAGGGCCCTTTCTAGTAATTCGACCTTGATAGTCGTTTGGGAGTTTGTATCCATCTCCGGAATCAGTCGGACACTCGTGGAAATTGTGGCTGGAAGGGCATCCCCAGACTACGCTTCCGTCGAGTTCGGAGTAACTGCGCAAGCTTTCATGCAGAAGTGCGGTACTTATTGATAACTATCGAGGCAGACGGGAGATGTTGCATCTCATGAAACGCCCTATCTCAGCGCTATCCGGCCGTTCATCAAACGGACGGTTCACAATCACTGTAGCATAACCCCCATGGGGGTAATAGATCTGTCCCGTTTGGTAACAAGTTTCTCGTCAGGCCCGCTGTCAAGCCGAGGAATTCTGGGCAACGTATTGGCATACTCCACTCCCATTCGGCAGTCTCCTATCTTTTCGCCTTATGGGACGACCCGCAGTCCAGCTATTCAAGACCCCAAAACCCCTCGACTCGCATTCCTTCTTTCTTCGTCTTGATCTTTTCTGCACGTACCAGGTGTACATCCACCCGTCCCATCTTGGCACGTAATTATTTCTTAAGGGGAGCCGCTCGGTTTCTTCCTTGAATACACTCGTTTACTCTCCGTCTCGTCCTTCCCCGACATTCGTTTTCACGCATCGCTCTTCCGGCTAAGAAGCAGATGCCTCGATGACAGACTCTTGATTCACAACCCTACGCTCGCTTAGTTGCTTGGTCTTACAGTCATTATGGAATACATCCAACCAAAACAGCTATACACCCGCATCCTGGATAACGTACCTTGGAAAACGGATCCAAACGCGAAAGGTGATCCTAGGAAAAGCGTGAAATGGATCGACGTGTGTCATCTATTCCCATGACATTCTGAAAACAAAAGGCTAACGCTCACCAGGGCTTAAGAGGAATTGCCTCCTTTCTCGTCGTCCTAACTCACCTGGCGCGTGCATGGGACTACGACCTATTCGCACCCCGCGACAGTGAAGACGTCGCACCGCGCATTCTCCAGTGGCCCGTCTTGCGAATTCCATGGCAGGGTCGTCTCGGAGTCACCATCTTCGCCTTCTTGACCGGTTACGTGTGTGCATTGAAGCCTTTCAAGCAGTCTCGCAATGGCGACATGCTTGGTTCATTTACTTCCGTGGCCAAGAGCGCATTCCGTCGCCCGCCACGTCTTATTTTCCCCGCAACCATCGCCCTTCTTATTTCCTGGGTCATGGCTCAGTGTGGTGCTTTTATCACTGCCAACCGTTCGGACTGTTGGTGGTGCCGTTATGCTGCCCCGGATCTGGCGCCGACGTTCTGGGAGGAGTTTGTGCGGTTGTTTAAGAACTTTTTGGACGTCTGGACAACCGGGTATATGGCATATGATGATCATCAGTGGGCGTTATTGCCGCTGTTGAAAGCCGCGATGCTGGTCTACGTGATGCTTTGCATCACCATGTTCGTCAAGTTCCGATGGCGTCTGGCTATCTACTTGGGAATGACCCTTTACTTCCACCAAGACGCCGCCAAAAACACAGGTACGTTCCATCTCCACACCACCCCTCAACATTCTCTAACAGAACACAGAAACCTTCCAAATGCAGGCAATCTACGGCATGTTCCTCAGCGACCTCTCCTACTCAACATCATGGAAAGAGTTCATCGAAAACCACAAATGGCTCCGTCGAGTAGTCGCAGCTACGCTCACCTGCACGGGTCTCTTCATCTGCTCCTACCCAGGCGAACACCCGGAATGGGCAACCTGGTCAAACTACATGTTCGAGGCCGCCCAGTACATCTTCCCACCGGGCGTGAACATCGGCAAACGCTACTCCGCCATCGGCGTCGACATGATCATCTTCGCAATCTACATCTCCCCTTCCACAAAGGAATTCCTCGCAAACCGTCTTCTCCTCTGGCTCGGAAAGCAGAGTTTCGCCGTCTACCTTGTCCACGGAACACTCCTGCGCACCGTACTCTGCTGGATGCTGTACGGTATTACCGGCCAGCCTTGGGAAGGGGATATCGTGGATGGAAATGGCCAGCCTATTTTGGATGAAAACGGCGAGCCGCTCCACCCGCACTGGATCCCTATTCGGGCTCCTTGGGTCGTTGGGACCTCGATCCCGGCTTGGATCGTGTTGGTTTATATTTTTGCGTCGCTGTGGACTTCGTACGTTGATCCGTTCTGTGCGAAGATGACGCAGAAGGTGGAGAAGCTTATGTTTGAGGAGGATGAGACGTCTGCTGAGTCGCTTCCTCTTAATAACGTGCCTATGGCCGCTATGCCCACTGTGTAGTGGGAGGTAGCAAGGTATACGAATGCATGCAGCATATTTTCATATCATTCCTTCGGGAAACACTTCCAGGACTGCAATGGGATGCACTGAGAAGAGCGGCGACATCTACTTTTCGTGAATTGGAGTTTGATTGTATATATAGCATTTCAGCAACATTTAGAATATTTGCATCTGTGGTTTTACTTAAATATCGGTCTATTCTATTCATGCCAGCCGAGTTAGTTTAAAGCTCGCTGTAGATTCCCACCTGATCGTGCCTTAAGCGAGGCATAAGCCCGACGCTGCGAGACCTCCACACAGGGCAGAGAGTATCAAACACCCATGTCTCAGCCACCGGCGCCTGCCGTCACTCTGCATGACTCTAGGGGTAGAGTAGCAGCTAAAGGTGGTAAACAGGCACAGCGTTTCGGCCGTTCCGCCCGAGACGGTCCCGCCCGAGACGGTCCCGCCCCACTCATTATGTAGGAGACACTACCGTCGTTTCTCCGTGACATCCGCCAAGTCCTCGTATGGAGAACTTCAACTTGGCACAATCCTTGACGCGGAGATTGACGGGTGGGTAATCCCGATACACAGGTCCATGCTGGCGTGGATTGACTGCGGGAAGTGTTCAGGAAAGTTCCCCGGTGGGTCAAGAGCGACACCCAGACAGACTTTCTCGGGCCAAGAACCCTGGGCAGAATGGTTGTTTCGGGAGGCGGGACAGACGGCTGACAGGGTAGTTTGCCTCCAAGGTACTCCAGGTATCGCCTTGGCAGGGCGTTGGCTAAAGGGTCTTTAATTGCCTTGGTTCCAACTTGCCAAGGCATCTATTTTTGGAAGGTCATACGTCGTCAGTTTTTTGGTACCTAAGAGAGACATGCTATTTTATCCATGAGAGTATATTGGAAATGGGTAGTGCAGTGGCTTTTGTATAGTCCAGCAAGTGGCCTTCCATCTCGCCGACGCAGTGAATACTCCTTGTTCAACTTTGTCTAGGATGTCACTCCACAGTTCTATTGCTTCCTCTGGGTGGTCTGCATAGTCATGAGTCTGAGGTGCCAATAGCCCAGACAGTAGTTGAGTTCATAGAGCACTATTCCACTCCTTGTACTCTTTCACAGGTCCGTTGGCATGGTGTTGGCGTGGATGAATCTTGCGAGAGCGCAGTCGAGTCAGTGAGCACCTTCTAATGTACTCAGGTCTGGTTTGTACTCACATTAATGATCCAGAAGACTCGAGAGCCCGCTCTCGGCAGTCCATTAGCGCGGCAAACTTGCTTCACACAGACGCGACAAGCGCACGTCAAGAGCTATGCAGGTCTTGATCTCATCGCCAACACTGCAAGGACCTTCCTCTGTTTCAGTAACAAGGAGCCTGTCTTGACTGTCTCCGTCACCACTAACGACCTCCACGCACAGAGAACGGGGATGTCCGATCCCTCTGGGGTATGCCATGAGGACCATACGAAATCATACCACGAAGCCTGGAATTTAAATTCAAGACCAATCTTGCTGGGTATCCCCCCATGTTCTGTTTCGTGATAGCTGACTCCAGATTCATGTCAGCGCTTCAGGTCTTTGTTGAATAGATTGAAGGGCAGACTTACCTTGGACTGCCTAATGGTAATTTTCTTCAAAGACTCGCTCCACCGCTCATAGCAGTGGGCCTGTCACGACTTCCTCCTTGGCCACCGGCTCCGCGTAGAAGTAAAAGCATTTTGCTCACTGGACAGGCAGCATTGCCTTCCGGGAGGTTGTAATCTTCATCTTTCACCTAGGATAGTTGCTCTGGTATGTGACATGGGATAAAGTGGACAGCGCAACTGAGGATTCGCGCGCAACCTGGGATTGTAAGTGAGAGGAGGTGCATGTAGAGAGACGTGGAAGAATGAAAGATTGGTAGAAACAGACATGGAAAACCGAGAGAGGAGATAAAGAGAGACTTAGCTCACAAGTGAGCCCCCACATGTAGAAGTAGACCCTGGCGACACGCAACTGTCCAGCCGATAATAATCGTTTGTAGTCACTGAACAGGCACAACTGCCTCCCTGGGGGTTGCCATCTTCAACTTTTATCTCGGATCTTTGCGTAAGGTACATGCCACGAGACAGTACCCAGGGTCCGCGCAGGTCCGGTGGTTGTGAGAAGCAAGAGGGGAAAACACGAAAGGTGATGAGGATGGACATGACAGAGGGAGACAAGGGAGACAAGAAACAAAATGGGTATAGAGAGGAGATGAACGAGACAGATGAAGCCTGGGAGGTGAATGTAGATGGATAAATAGAATGGGAAGAGATGAAGAGTTGGGGGGAGAGAAGAACAGGGAGGATGAGAAGGAAGAAAATGGAGAACTTTTTATATTGGGAGACTGCAGGTGCGGACAGGCAGAATCGAGGGCGAGGCCTCTCTCACTCCATCTGTGATGTCTCGATCAACCATGCACGCACTCTCCAGCCTCAATGGCTCCCCGTCGCGCTTCAAGTTCTCTGATGGCATTTAAAGACCCCCAGTCTAGAGGGGGGGCATCTTCATTCCATCTTTGTACCAATATCCATTTTTGAAGTTAAGCCCGCCGGGGGATCTGACTATTGTCCATGGCTGCTGTAGCATTAATCGTGCCGTCGCCATTCAGGTAGCCACCTATGAAAGCTGTGTGATATGCCTTGGGACCGGTTATAATCGCGGAAGCAGAGATCAGGGAAGTGGAGAAAACTTGCCTGCAAGTCAAAGCCCTATGTGCCGTTCTTGGAGTATACTCCCGTACACCTTATTGTTTGCACGATATGGTTTCTGCTAACCATCTAACACTCTCGGTTGAGTATTAGCAGCTCTCGTTTTTGCAATGGATGAACATACGAGGGAGGGATGGACTTCGCTTCGATCGGGGAGTCACTTGGCCGGGTCAAGTAGAAGCATCGATATTCACCATGCGTGGTTTCGAGCCAGTAGGCCCCTGTCATATTCATTCGCTCTCTTCAAAATCTCCCATATTATCCGCCAAGAAGTGAAAAGTGCCATTGTCAAGGGTCGTGTAGGTGTACATGAGGATGAAGTGTGTGTCGCCATTGCCACCCGCACTCTGGAAAAGAATAGCATCGCAGTGGTCTGCTGCACCGACGATGCCTTCCACCCGTTCGTATTGTCTGGAATTGCTTTTACTTTCATCTATCAAATTATGAACGCGATCAATGTAAGCGTTTCCATCTCGAACGAGGTTCATATATTTAAAACTAAGCCAGTGTTGATGGAGCCTGTCATGTTCTACGATACTGTGTTTTATAAGCACCCGAACAGCATTCGCGCATAGAGAAGACCATCTGACTACAATCCTAAACACAAGTTAGAGCCTAATGGCTGGAGGATTCATATGGCGTGTCGACATTCAACATGCGGACTCTGATTGGTTGACCATCCTATTCGTGTACGCACGTCTTGCGATCTTACGCTCATTGGGAATATCACCAGTTTAAATTCTTATATAGAATGCAGTGGTTTTCATCTACTATAATTCTGGCCTAGTGCCATCATATGTTAAACGGCGAAGGGAAGGTGTAGAGATTAAATCTGAAGCGGAGAGGCCCCGCCAAGTGTCTCCCGAAGTCGGAGTTTTCCCGCCACTTCTGATCCACGCCGGCTGGCACCGTCGGTCTGATCCGAGCTTTCGGTCAACGCCGGAATTTCCCTGTGGACCGGAGAACCAGGGAGAATGTCCTTTTAATGTGCGGGGAAGCTTCTGATCCTTCCCGACAGCTACATGTTCGATTTGACTTATATGCACCACTCACCTCTCTAACGTTCGTCGCATCCTTTGTTCAATCGGATCTAAAGTACTATCCCGCCGATATTGGAGGGATTCACCTTGACCTGCACATTTGCGCCGAAAGATTTCCCGCTTTCCCGCCATGGGCAACGAGAAGAAGGTCGGTGCCTACTATGCACCGACCGGCGGATTGCCGCCGCAGACACAGCTTCTCACCGACCGCGCCATGTTCACCGAAGCCTATGCGGTAATCCCGAAGGGCACGTTCAGCGACATCGTCACGAGCTTCCTGCCCTTCTGGGACAAGACGCGGTTGTGGGTGATTGCACGCCCGTTGTCGGGCTTTGCCGAAACCTTTTCGCAATACATCATGGAAGTGCAGCCGGGAGGCGGTAGCGACCGCGCCGAACTGGATGACGGCGCACAAGGCGTGGTGTTCGTGGTCGAAGGCGAAGTGACCATTACCTTGGCGGGCAAGACGCACACACTCGCCGAGGGCGGTTATGCTTATCTGCCGCCGAAAAGCGGCTGGACTCTACGCAACACGGGCGCGACTACCGCCCGTTTCCACTGGATACGCAAGGCCTATGAATACGTGGAGGGGCTCGATAAGCCGGATCCGCTTTTCCTCAACGAGAAGGAAATCGCGCCCACGGTGATGCCGGACACCAACGGTGCTTGGGCCACCACACGCTTCGTTGACCCGGCTGATCTACGTCACGACATGCATGTCACCATCGTGACCTTTGAGCCGGGCGGTGTCATCCCGTTCGCGGAAACCCATGTCATGGAACACGGGCTTTATGTTCTGGAAGGTAAAGCCGTGTATCGGCTCAATCAGGACTGGGTGGAGGTGGAAGCCGGAGACTTCATGTGGTTGCGTGCCTTCTGCCCGCAGGCCTGCTACGCGGGTGGCCCTGGCAAATTCCGCTACCTGCTCTACAAGGACGTGAACCGACACATGAAGCTATCGCGGTTGTAAGCGAATGCCGTGCCCCTACAACAAACCGCGGGAAGATGGAAATTGTGGAGCAGAGACGACGACAGTCGGGTCCGGAATAACTAATTCCCGAAGAGGAATGTGCAGAGGACCTTGACTTCTACAATGACTGCCCTTTTGACTGAGCTAATTGATCTCGTCGAACGTTCGTTGATGTTTCCTGTACACCACTGGAAATTCCCCGGACCCACACTGTCTTGGCCCATCGATGAGCCTTGGCGTTTGAAAACACACTGAGATGGCGTTCTTTGTTTGTCATAATGCATTATGTCTTCGTACATTTCGTGACCGAAAACGAGCTAAGAGTGCATCGGATTTCCAAGGCTTGAAGCTGTGATAGAGACCAGACATGTTGGGCACTAGATCAATGGGATTCAGTTCCGATAAAACTCCAAGCGAGAGTCCAAAAGGCTGACGTAGAATCTATCAAACGTAGCAGGCAGAATTCTGACTGCTGAATTTGGAGCCAACCATGGTCCTGGTGCTGAAAGTAGGATGAGTAAATAGAGACTTTCGGCCCAGATGAAATAGGGCTGTCACACATATTACTTGCGACAGAAAATTGTTGTGGTTTGTACCGAGCGGGAGCTAACCCCGGACCCATGGCTGACCCACCTGCGGGGAAGGGTACAGTAGACCTCGCCATGATCCACCAAGACTTTTTTTAGGCGCTAGCGGAGGCTCGCGGATCGTGAGATTAGACCCATACACCGGGGCGCGGGCCCGAACTCAGGGTTGATGGCGAGGTGTATCTGAGGGGTCATGGGTGACAGGCAGCTCGGTATGACCCGGCCCACGGGTATGGGCCATAAGTAGGCCTTGTCGGGGTTTAATACGTCTCTAATCAGAGGACGGTTGCTGACGCGCAAATTTTACCCCTCAAAATATAATAATTCATGTTACATCGCTCGAGGGGTAAAAGGGGAACTATTATTAGAAAGTGGTGGTTCATGACTTGGCCAAATACAGATTAGGGTGGATTTGGATACGGGCCGAGAAACAAGGCACGTGCGTCTCATGGGGGGAACCTGTTTTGAGTCCGACTGTAGCTCTGCGTGGCCGTTGCTGGGGGCAGCACGCTCGGAGGTTAGGGGCGAGACTATTTGAGTGCGACGTAATATTAGGAGCCGCCGAAACCCCCCGTATACTAACTAACTAGGCACCGAATCATTCGGTTCAAACGAATCCGAAAGTGGGGCATAAAAGTCATTTTAATTGGTCCTACTTCCCTGAGCTACTCCAATGACATCGGCTCGATGCTTCGCCTCGCTCGCTTCCAACCTGAACCTTCTCTTTAGCCAAGTTCCAAGAAAATACTTGACTTCAACAACCAAGCACCGGCCAAGAATTTGGTCCCTTAGCCACTCTCGGCAGCTGTGGTCATACTGAGCACAATGAGGTTTAAGGATGCCGGGCATATGGCCCTGGTGGCCCTCCACGTTCTACCACTTGCCGGCCATGTCTACGCGCTTGACCTGAACGTTGACAGTCAGGGTAAGAGATTGGATCTGGATCACGGGGGTCTTTTCAAGGCTCGAATTGCTAATCACGTTGTCTCTTCAATGAGTAGAATCGATCAAAGATGCCGGGAAAACCGCCGCCTACAACATGATGACTTGGTACACACAAAATGGGACCGACAACCCGGGTTTTATTTCAAGATCCTGGTGGACAGGAGCTGCTTTGTTTCTGGCATGTCTTAATTATTGGCATGCTACTAACGACACAACCTATAACGAGGAAGTCAGCATCGGGTTGCAGCACCAGGGAGGTGCTGACGGAGACTACATGCCTTCGTGGGCGATAGGCATCGTAAATGTCCATTTCAACATATGGAGTCTGCCCATTTTGACCGTTCTATAGGGAAATGATGATCAAATGTTCTGGGGTCTCGCAGCAATCACAGCAGCAGAATACAATTTCCCGAATCGTCCAAGTGGTGATACCTGGCTCACCCTCGCAGAGGGTGTTTTCAATAACCAGATAAGCCCACAGGGGAATGGGTGGGAGACGAGTATTTGCGGAGGTGGCCTTCGCTGGCAGAAACAAGTGTGGCAACCTGGTTATACCTTGAAGAACGCAGTGTCAAACGGAGGCTTTTTTATGCTCGCAGCACGTCTCGCTTGGTATACCCAAGATGACGTGTACTCTACGTGGGCTGAAAAAGTCTGGAACTGGTCTACTAAGGTCGATATGGTCAATACTACAACCTGGGCTGTGGCAGATAGTGTCAGTGCGGGTACTGGGGGGCCCGATGGCTGCAGCCTTCCTGATAATAGCCGGTGGACTTACAACTACGGTACCTACCTATCTGGTGCTGCTTATATGTATGCCTATGTAAGTGTTTTTCTTCTATCTGCTACCCGTTTAATAACTCAGAACTACCTATCCTGTTCTAACATGCTAATAACAAACCTCGTTCTAGACGAATGATAGTAAGTGGCTAAACATCACGAACAGCCTGATGGAGTCATTATTTACTACATTCTTCCTACCTGAACACGGAGGTGTGATCACAGACTGGCAGTGCGAAAATTCGGACCGATGCTATATAGACGCGAATGATCCACTTTTCAAAGGCCTCACGGTCTCGTGGCTTGCAGATGTTGCATTGATCATCCCTCCCCTAGAGGAGAAGATCCTACCAAAACTCCAAGTCTCTGCCCAGGGTGCTGCAAATTCATGCACCGGCGGTGGCCAAGACCTCTGTGGTAACCGCTGGTACGGCGGGTATGATGGACAAAATTCAATGGAGAATGCAATCAGTGGCAGTCAGATGATGAGTGCTGTTATGTTGAAATTTCTCGGCTCATACTCAAAACCAGTCTCGACAGCAACAGGAGGAAACGCCTCAAGCGACCCAAATGCTGGTACTAAGCAAGGTTCGCAAAGTTCGGAATCTACAGTGTTCCCCCCTATCACAACGGCAGATAGAGCTGGAGCTGGAATCCTGACAGTGGTTCTCGTGGCTGGTGCGGTAGGGGGGTCGATCTTTTTGTTTAGTGACACCTAAGCCCTCCAGGAAACAGAGTCCAGCTGCCAGCCAAGAATCATGGGAGAAGCTTACGGGCTGATGTATATTTCGAGTTTTTATACTGTAATGAATCAAATGCCGTTTTGTATCTTCTAACGTATTCGGTAAGCGAGCCACCCATGTGAGCAGCCGCCCGCCTCAAAACACCATAGTTAAGCCGATAGGGGATGTGTTGCGCTCTCTCCGGCTAGAAGGACATGAGTAGCAGAACGCAGGGACTGGCTGGGAATGATCAGGAGTCGCGAGCGAAGACGATCCCATAGGGAAAGTGCCCACTGATTACCCGGATCAAGGAAATGATCTAGGCCAAGGTCAAAGTAAAGGAGCTGCTCTTTATCCTTGTTGTATTAGTAGACTGCTTCACCACCAGGTTAACGTATGATGCTGGTATACGGAGTACAAGAGCTCGCGGCTGAAAGAAACGAAGAAGACAACAGGTATAGTGGAGCCTTCAAACTCACCTGAACAATCGAAGAGATCCTGGTATCGGTTACATAGCCCGTACCCATTTGCCGAATACAGCATCCGCCTCAATTAGACGGTCGAGGTAATGATGATCACCATCGCCAATCCACATTTTTAGGTTTAATTTATTGAAAGCGGCGTTGATCAGATCAGAGTGGAGTGTCGGTAGATCAGGAGTTGTGAAAGCGACTCGCTCTAGAGGAACAGAAATGCTTTTCTCGGTTCTTGCTGGAGCTGCTGAACTAGGTCACTGAGAATTTCCAAATTACCGTGAGTACTATCTCCGGCACGGGTAAAATATGCCCCGTGCCCCATAAACGGCCTAGCTCGAGTTTTAGCTTTAGATCGATCGCAAACAGTTTTGTGGACCTTCAAGGCTTTTTCCTTTCTAAAACTCAAAAGAAACTGGTGCACTGTGAATACGGTGTTCTAGCATTCCATAGTACGCAGATAGGTTTGCCACGGAAAGCCAATGAACCTGAAGGCATCACGTGATCAGGAACACGACAAGGGGTCAGAGCCGTGCTGTGTGATGAGGACTGAGCAGACCCACCGGCAGGGGAAAGGCGGCACCTAGGGGGTTGACTAGTGAAATTTTGCCCCCCCCTCCTCCCTCCGGCCAGCAAAATCTGTACACTGGTGCACGGTGGCAGGCTCTACCCGGGGCTAGTGAACGAGAACTCCACGCTCGTGGCCGTTGTCAGTGTCCCGGGTATTCCTTTGGCTTTGGCGCCCCGAAAAGAACCAGTTCCTGCTCGAGTGTGAGACACTCCTTCTATAGGCCCCCGCCACTACTTTGCAACAATTCCCTGTCAGACTGTATTCCATCCCATGGCAAAAAATAGCGCTGGTGGTCATTTTGGGCTCTGCGTTTATAATTATTAGCCGATCAATCAATCACCAAAACTTGGCCAAGGTTCAAAGCTAAGCTTGTTGCAACTCTCTAGTGCTTATTTTGTCGCACGGTCCTCCTGGAAGGGACGGGACGAGAGCCAGTGGAGGACCGAATCGACAAGCTAACTCAGTTTTATGTCGCTTATTATGGCTGGAACGCACCACCATGCGCCTATTATTATTGCAGAGTCTGAGCCACTATTCATTCATCTTGAAATCAATCTGTTTCAGAATATCCTCATTCTCAGCAAAGACCGCTTACCCCGAGCTAGCTGTGTTCTGTGTTGTCTTTCAAAGTCCATGGGGCGGCACAATGGATAGCAGATACGCGATTATCCATGAAAGTTCCGACCCTGTACCTGATGATCTCGTGACGTCCATAGTCACAAACAGAGCAGTAAGTGAACAAGCAATGCAAGAGCCATTTGGACTGATCCTCACTGGCATTAGGATGATGATCACCCTACTCCGAGAAAGTCCCCTCAATCGTCATCCTGGAGACGAAACACAAAAGAAGGCACCACATACGCTTCAATTCCCATTATAGCATTGGATGAGCTCAACCATACAGCCGACGGTAGCCAATTTTCACACTCAATTGAAGTCTTCGCTGGAGCAGAGCCTCAAGATCTACCTTCGGTCGACATCGGGTCTGATACCAAATTGCAGTGCCTTCTCGCGATAGCCTTTGGGGTAGTGTGCTTTTCGGCCTGTATTATCTGCAGCATTGTCTTCTTGTCGACTAGGGCCGATATAATGGTTTATCTACCAAATGGCTTACCTGGCGAGGCCCTCTCCTTTATCGTCAATATCATCCTCACCCAATGTCTGGAAGGCTTAGCGTATGTTCATTCAATATCTCTTCGCTGGGCCCTTCTCAAGGAGAATCGACTCGTATTCAACACCAACATTCGCTTGATCACTAGCTCGAGTATCTCGAGGCCTAATAGCTGGTACATCAACTCCATCTCAGCGATGCTTCTGATTCTTTGCTATGGGGCTACTTCAACGCTTGTCATGCCCCGATTCAGCTTAGATATGGGCACATCTTACGAGTCGCACTTGAACCTGATCGCCTTGCTGGCACTTGGACTCGCTCTGTTCGGTCAAACCCTGCTCGCCGTCTGGTGCTATTATGACAATCTTCGCGATATTCCCTCGTGGAGCTCAAACCCATTGAACACTACAATCACCATGATGAACCAACAGTCTGTACAACATAGAGAAGGCCGCTGTATAGGCTCGGTTCAGGTCCGAGAGACGTCAGAGGCAAGACCAATGCTCCCGCATACGAAACAGCCGAGTCAATGGCAAATCAGCACTTCCGCAAGGCACGCTATGATATTCATCTGGGCACTGACTGGATTATCTATCGTCTGGTTCTTGATAATTGTCCTCGTCGCACGATCCAACATGATAAGTACGATCAATGAAGTCCACCCTCAGGCCAATTCGATATGGCCGTCGACGTGGCATTTTTCATTGGCTTGGAAACCTTCTGCAAACCTCATTGTGGGGAGTATATCCATGACTACCTACTTCAACGCGGTTTTCTTCAGTCTGGATTATATCGAGCCGATGTCTTTCATTTCTGCACTTATCGTCAGTCTTCTGTTTGTCTGCATAATCCAAGGGTTGCAAACTCTTGGGCTCCACTGTGCAGAGCTCACCATCAATCTATCCCGAGATGAAGATGTATGGAGAGATCTTGACGCTCAAGGCCACCCTGGCCGCACAAAAAATGTTCTCGCGACCCCTCCCTTCCTAGCTGCCCTGATGAGCTGGAAGTACGGCATGCTCATAATCTTTAAATCCCTTCTGCATTGGCTGCTCGGTCAGTCTACGCAGTCTTCCTTCTCTGCTTTTCCTGGACCAGAGAGGGTTTGGTTCACCATGAACTACGCTCGTTTGTTCGTTTACGTTATCTGCACCACTGCATTTGCGTCAGCTCTTATGTTTCTTACGCTCAAGAAGCCGAAAGGCCCCCAGCCGGCAACGTACGGTCATATACAGACTCTTGCAGACGTTATTGACGACTGGACCTTGGACAAAAATGGACAGTTTTGGTGGGGAGACAAAGGCTGTAGGGAACAAGTTCGGCACGCTGGGATGAGTTCTCGGAAGGAAGATCTGGGACCGATACATATGAATGCTCGCTATGCTGGTGAGGTGAGTAGCAGATGCCTTTATATTCGGAAGGCAGAGTGCTAAAATCCGCCATGTTAATGAGAAAGAAAGGGAAAGATGGAGGTAAGAGATGATAATATGACTAAAGTGAGGAGATTAGGTTGTAAAACAAGTGATCCGCAGAAATCATACCAAATTTGTTAGCCTAGCTGTGATCGAGAAACGGGGTGCACAGTGTGTGGAGAAATTTGCATGTTAATGCTAGGCTCTCAGCTCCCTCTGGCAACGTGTGTGGAATGATTAGTTCCAACAACTCTGTTGGCAATTGCACACGGGCCATGGTCACGTTCGAGATTGAATCACCAAGACGCTTGTCAAAACCGAAACCGGCGTGGTGCGGTTGACGAAGTGCATAATGCCTTGTTCGGTAAGAGCCAAAAGACCAGCAGCCGGTCAGTGCCGTTATAAAATTCCGTATATCGATTTACAGCAATAGTGCAAAAGAGTGATCTGCGAACTGTGTGAGGTGAAACGACAATTCCCTGAGGACTCCGAGGATCATTCCTGCTATGAATTTGATATCGTTACAGCCTTGAGCATATTGATGCGACATAGGGTCTAAGTTGGACAACTTTAAAAAAGCCAAAATGTAGCTCCTCGACTGTGGGACCAAAATGTAGGAAGCACAAGCAAGGGCAAATAACGAGATCGAGACGGCTAAATCATGTCAGAGTTAATCAACCCAGCACGAGCGATAGAATTTTCGATACCTATCTGGTGATTATATGACGTTAAGATAGATATAGCTGGAGTAGGAGGTGGTCATTCAAAATGACCGGCAGAAGACTTATTCCCTTGAGCAGTCATTTTTCTTAAAAACGAGGTTGATGAAAGAGTTGAGTGCGAAGATAGACTTGGAAAATGGATGATTTTCACACTTTCGCTTTTTATTTAATACAAAGGACCCAGGCTTTTTGTCCCATAACGAGTGTATTTAAAGCGGCACAAGGGGACATAATGCAAGGGAGAAGATTGGACGTAACATCGATACATCCTCCATAGACGGCCAAAGATGAGACAATAGGCCATGTGCAGTTGCCAGTTGGGCATACAGGAGTAGCCGGAGTGTAGATTGCAGCTAGAAGCCCAGAGTAGAAAGCGAACATCAAGTCCAGGGCTGGTACCCCGGTCTGAGTGGCGTATATTTTGCCAACTTCTTCTTGCGACGAGGTTTGCACATCGCTGTTAATGTACGTATCGCCCCGTAGTACCCGAGGAAGTTGATTCTCAGCAGTGTGCGTAAGGGTGCAAAGCGAGCATCAATGGAGATGACTTACTGGGTGAATACATCGAATGCAAGAGTCAAGATCGTCAATACCGCACCGAATATCGCAATATGAAGAAGCCCTTTGAGGTTGAACGGAAGGCATGCGTTGCCCCAAGCTCCTCGAGATGCCTGGTCAATCGTGTCAAAGTCTCCAATTCTCCGTGGTGTTTTAAATGAATACCACAGCCATTTATGTTGACTTATGGAGGATGATGTCAAGATGGAAAAAGCCACGAGTGACGCGTGTAGTTCCAGGACGTGAGGCTCTCGCAGCGGGGGAATGTTTTCGTCCAAAAGTTTCTTCTTCAACAAGGCACGGCGCTCTGGAGAGGCAGATTTGGGGCAATCTTCTGGATTCAGTTTGCCAGTAGTACGAATCACGCGGCTCGATGAGGAAGGGACGGTGTCATCCGCATTGGCTTTATTTTCAAGGGCCATCTTTCTCAGGGCAGCTCGCCGGACAGGGGTAGAACGATCTGTCCAGGAAGCCCGCGCACGCAGTGCATAGTTGCGGCCAGTGCTTGTTCGTACCCGATATGGTTAATGGGAAGAGCCACAGTAAGGTCGCCATAGCGATCGCGGAGGTGGTCAGCAACTCGGCTCAAGACCATGCTTGCTGGGAATCTTTCGGGCAGATCCATGTTGGAACGCTCCTTGCACGGGTCGAGGTTTGGAAATAAAGCGGCACAAGACAAGACGAAGATTGGAAATGTGAAATAAGTTGAAGCTGGAATGAGTTGAAGTTGGAAGTTGGAGTTGGGGTGCGAATGAGGATCAAGTTAAGGCAAGAGCGGTCCTAAGCCTATTTGGGATGTTTAAGAGCCGCGCTAAAAACGACGTCAAAAGTAGCTGTTTACGGGGCCTAGTTTACAGTCACTCAGCGTTGTGGTGTAGTCTGCAAAACTAATTTGATTCTAATGGAGTGACATGAAGCAATCCAAGACCAGTATGCACGATGTTAATGACAAACACCTCATGGACTGTGAGTTGCCCCCCTCCGATAACCGCGTGGCTGGCGTTCTGCAAAGATCTCCATCAACCGAGTGCTTATTGGAGGACACAGCAGCTCATCGACAACAGCCCCATTCTCGATTTCTAAAAAGTAGACCAAAAACCGCTAATATGATATCGGCTTTTCTTCATCCAGGTTCCTTTATAGCTAATCAAATACTAATCTAAGCTTGGCTTCATCTTCAACAAGCTAATACTCTCCTTTTCCTCCCCCTTCTATCCGAAATTCTTCACCGTCCCTCTTCACTATCCAACAATACATTGCGAGTCAAACTCTGCTTTCTCTCATATCTTCATGACCGTCTCACTCTTCTCGTGAGCCCTGCGCTTCCCCCCTCTATCCATTCAAACTTTTCCATTATCCATGTCTCTTCACCATCCAGCATTACATTGTGAGTCCAAATCCGCTGTCTCTCACTTCTTCTCGACCTTTTCACTCTTCTCATGAGCCCTGATCCTTCCTTCTGTACATTTTGTCTCATACAGGCAGCTACACTTGCTTTACTCCCGCCCCAACCCTCACATCCGGAATCTGAGTTCCGGATTCATTTGCTTTTTCTACTTGTTACATGTGAACGTCTTATTCGCACTGTAGCCCAGCTGACAAAATCCAAATCGAGGCTACAAAGCTCCGAAGAGAGAGAGAGCGAGAAGTCCAAGTTGATAGCGACGATGATGATGACCATTTGATCGACAATCTCGGCGGGCTTTCCAAAGTGGCAAAGCAGCGTCTCAGTTCCAAGTTTCTCAAGAAGTTCAGCTGGGACAATTTCGCCTAATCCACCCAGCCCGATGATAAAGCTCGCGAGAAGCTGGCATTGCTCAGTCTCCCAACGGGAAAAATCTGGACAACAGAGGATTTTGAGGACGAAGACTCTCCCTCTATCGCTCTCCTCCTCCTCTACAATCTCACTCATGGTATTAAGACATACCACCATGATCGGTCATACCATATCCACTACACAGACCTAGACAGACAGCGCACCCAATATCTGACTGGTCAACTCCTGGGTCCGACTGACCAGGAAATCCAGCAGGCTATTGCTCCATAATGGCCGCACTAATTTGGCCATTATAAGCCGGGAGGAGGGGGAGTAGACAGAGCCCACAGGGAAAAATGGAAGTTTTTAGGGTGTCATGGAAAATACAAAAGAAGGAAGGAAGGAAGAAAATACAGAGATTGAAGGGAATCTTTAGCTAGTTTAGGTAGATAGCAAAATTGTATGGTTTTTCACTATTATTTTTCTGGGCACAGTAGATGGTCATACGCGGCCGTTTCTAGCCTTAAAAACGGACATTTCGGCGTCAACTAAACAGGTCCTCCCTCGTATTCTCCTTGTAATTCCGGGACCAAATGAATGTTTGCTAGGATGAGAGAGCTAAAAAGAACGTCAAATCCACTTTTGAAATTTCGAGACCATGAGTGTCCGAAAGAATCACGAAGAAACAGGAACAAGCTCCGTGAATGTTATGATGAACTAAACCTAGCTGTAAGAGAAACCAAAGCCTGCAACATCATTAAAATAGTCAATCACTTTTCTCCCTGAGTTATGATCTGGAATAGATCTAATGATTATCTCATGCAGGCCAATGTTTAAGAGATTATTTCGAGGTCCCGCGATCAGGATAACTGTCGCATAAATAAATGTACTCATAATAAGGTGCTTGGTCCTGCATGATGACATCATAGATGCAGGACATGCACATGGTGGGACTGATCCTACGTTTCTACATCACTCCATATTCTACCCTCGAATGTACAAATTAAGAATTACGCAATTTTGAATGCCTTGAATTATGATGAGCAAAATGCTCTTGAATCCGTACACATATTTGTACCTACCAAAGCTGGAGAAATGTCTAGTAAGCGGCTTTTCTGGGCTGGGGGCTTCTTGACCGCGGTTGGATTGATGGTCGCTTGGAAGATGTCAGCAAGGGCTCAACAAGGGGAAGGGCGAGAAAAAGAGACCCTAATTTGCACTGGGTTTTGGGGAAACCCTTAAAGTGGGGACTTCCCCGCCTATTCCTAGCAGATATCCGGGAACCGAGGCAGACACCTCAATCACAAGTATAGATGATCTCCATGCGCCCAACACCCCAACACTCTCTAGACCCCACCTGAATTCCGATCGGCTTATGTTGATTGGTTTAAGAACTAAATTATACTTGGATTGTCTCCCCCACAGTCTCTTGTGTGGTGTCGATCTTGATTTCACATGCCATGATCGTGGCGGACGACACCGGGCCTAATTTAGGAACCCAGGTATATAAGGATCTATAATCCTCGCTACATATCGCCTGATGTGCGGATATTACTTCCAAAAGTGAACACTCAAGAATGTCGACACAGACAACGCAGACAACCGCCGTCAAGCGGAATTCCGCAGATTCCATGGTGTCCACCTGGCGCCATGACCGATCTCAGTGGCAATTCTGGCACTGGATGATTGAGCTCCTGGGCTTACACCTCGTGGACCTCGATGGAGAAGTGCCAGTTTTCTCCAAGACAGAGAAAATTCACTCCACCCGAGAATGGACAGTCCACCTATGGATTCTACTACACGCTGCGATCCCGCTCGCGCTTCACCACGCGTATACGACTTACACAGGCCAGAATCTCAATATTTTCGCTGCGTTCGCATTGTACTCCAGTGCTTTCAAATTAAACGGCATCCACGAAATGCACATCATGCGCCGCCTAGGTCAACGGTATGGATTTTTGGATGGTGATAAACATCCACGGGATGAAATACCCGACGTTGGTGTTGGCAAGGTTATGCGAGAGCTTATGTCCACTTCATCATTCCGCGTGATAATGGCCATATACCTTACCTACCAACCGAGTGAGACACCTTCATCGATGCAGTGGAAATGGTTACCTTTGGAGATCGGCCTCTACAGCATCACAGTCGACTTTTGGTTTTACTGGTACCACCGTTTGATGCACTCGATGGGTCCGTTGTGGAAATTCCACCGTCGTCACCACCTCACAAAGCATCCTAATCCCTTGCTCTCTGCCTACGCCGATCATGAGCAAGAGTTTATGGACATCACTGGCATTCCGCTGCTTGCTTATACCACGTTGAAGATTCTTGGAGTGCCTATGGGATTTTACGAGTGGTGGATCTGCTTCCAATACATTGCCTTCTCGGAGTTCATGGGACATAGTGGTCTCCGAATCCATGGCGGTGCACCCTCTACTTTGAATTGGCTGCTGGAACTTTTTGATGCGGAGTTGGTGATTGAGGACCATGATCTTCACCACCGCTATGGATGGAGAAAGAGTCACAATTACGGCAAGCAAACTCGCTTTTGGGACAAAATATTTGGAACTTGCCATGACCGCATTGAGAGCGTGAAAGGGAATGTCGATTACGCAAATCGTGTAACAATGCCTCTTTTATAAAGTTGGACGATGGAAGGGAAACGTTTTTACGAAATAAACCAATGCGAATACCTGACACGGATTTTGATCAAACATAAAGAGAAATTTAATAGTATGCCCACAAAAAATCACTACGATCTCTTGCAGACCACCTCCTAGGCTGGCATATCACAGTATCTTGATACAAAGAAAGTTGGTTTTCAGCACCGGGCATTAAACTGATCTTGAGGAAGCCTGAAGGCGCTGATCACTCTGCCCTCGTCATCTTCATTCGTAGCACTCGTGGAGCAGGAAAAGACTTGACATGAAGGAAAAAGAAACAAAGCAACATGTCATTTTTTCCATACTATTTCTCTCTTCAAAAGCAGCTACAGAAATACCATCCCTTTCTTTTTTTTTTTTTTTGGCTAGAAGGTTCCGAATTCCAGATGTCCTGACTTCAGACTATTTGAATTGACCCAGTAGTCTAATTTACATCCATATAACTTCTGCTTGGGATTCATCGAGTCCCGGGAAACCGAAAACGCCAAAAATTAAGCAAAATAAACTTGAGAGCTCCTTGCCTATTTTTCAGTTTGGCGTTCTACACTAGCGTAACCACTCACCTAGGCATTGACCACGAAGCGACCTGGGGAGCACTTGAGCCTTGCCAAGGAAATGATTCTACCAAAAAATAAAAAAGATATCTCAGGTTATTTGTAGGAATAGCCGAACGCGGGGGTCGAACCCGCAACCTTGAGATTAAGAGTCTCACGCTCTACCGATTGAGCTAGCCCGGCAGGGCTTGGTGGAGAGTGTCAAAATTGTGGAACCATGAACCTCGATGGCACCCCAACCCCCCCACTTGGCGACTTGTCAACGGGAGAGGCTAACCTCCAGATCTTTTGATCATTAACGGCTGTATGAGGGATGAATATACCATGTAGCTATCGACGAACATTCGGACTGGAGTGAGTATAGTTAACCCCAGTTGTAGTTGCTCGATGTTGAAGTTGATGAGAATTACGGCGGTGTATCAAAAGTCCCACGTGTATAAGGTGAGCATGGATAGCCCCGGCTTAGTAACACCGCCCATTCCCTATTGCTGGAAGAATTGCGTTAGGGGCAAGGAATAACCAAGGAATGTACAGGGAACATGGGACTTGCACCTTTCGAACCGGTCAAACCCCACCACCCTCTTATATGACGTCAACACCCCCTCTGCGGCGAACTCACATGTCCGGTTTTTTTTTAGGTCTGACATTTATTCTACTATTTGAAACCATCTTCTGAAGTCAAACCATCTTCTCAATTTACTCAATTGATACAAATTCCGTCAAAATGGCAGGCGGCCACAAATTTCCAGTGGATCTCAAGCAGTTCAAGCAGCTCAAGCTTGACTCCAAGAATACCACCCTCACAGCAGAGCAGAAGAAAGATCTTCTGCACAACATCAACATCTTCCGCGATGCCATCATTGCCTTCACTGCCACCGGTGCCGCTCGTGGCGTATCCGGCCACACCGGTGGACCATTCGACACTGCTCCCGAAGTCTGCGTCCTGCTGGCGTTTATGAATGCCAATCCCAACGGCTTCGTGGATGCCTTGTTCGACGAAGCAGGCCACCGAGTTGCAACTCAGTACCTGCTCGCTGCGATGGATGGCAAGATCGACCCCGAGCACCTCTTGAACTACCGTGATGCCAACTCCAAGCTTCCCGGTCACCCCGAGCTTGGCCTGACCCCCGGGGTTAAGTTCAGCTCCGGACGTCTTGGTCACATGTGGGGAATGGTCAACGGTATCTCCATGGCCAATAAGGACAAGAATGTCGTTATGCTGGGCTCCGACGGCTCCCAGCAGGAAGGAAATGATGCCGAGGCCGCGCGTATCGCCGTGGCCCGGAACCTTAATGTCAAGCTGTTCATTGATAACAACGACGTCACAATTGCTGGCCACCCCTCTGAATATTTGAAGGGTTATGACATCGCTCGCACTCTGGAGGGACACGGCCTTCATGTCGTTCGCGCCGAGGGCGAGAACATCGATTCCTTGTATGGAGCGATGGCCGAAGTCATCAACCACAAGGGCCCCGCAGCCGTCATTGTGAACCGACTTATGGCTGCTGGTATTGAGGGCATCGAGGGCGAGACTCATGCCCACGACGTTATTACTGTCGATGTCGCTCGCAGGTACCTCACCAAGCGGGGATACAGCAAAGAGCAGCTTGCTTTCTATGACGAGATCAAGGGCCGTTCCAACCCTCACAAGTACAAGGGCTCCTCAACAGACAAGGGGGCCAACCGTTCCATTTTCGGCGAGGCCGTCAACTCTGTCCTCGACAGCTTGAGCAAGGAAGAAGCTGCCCGTCGTGTGATGGTGATTGACTCCGATCTTGCCGGCTCGACCGGTCTGAAGGCCATCCAGTCCAAGCACCCCGAAGTCTTCATTCCTTCCGGTGTCATGGAACGTGGTAACTTCTCTGCCGCCGCTGGCTTTGGCTTTGGCAGCAATGGCGAGCGCCAGGGTGTCTTCTCCACCTTCTCCGCATTCCTGGAGATGTGCATTTCCGAAATCACCATGGCTCGTCTGAACAACTGCACCGTCCTCTCCCACTTCTCGCACAGCGGTGTTGACGAGATGGCCGACAACACATGCCACTTCGGTCTGAACCACTTCTTCGCCGACAACGGCCTGATGGATGCCGAGAGCACCTCCCTCTACTTCCCGGCCGACGGCGAGCAGATGAAGGCCGTCGTGAACAAGGTATTCTGGGAGACGGGCATGCGTTTCATCTTCTCCACCCGCTCCAAGGTTCCTTACATTCTGAAGGAAGGAACCGATGAGAAGCTATTCGGTGGTGACTACAAATTCGTTCCCGGCAAGGAGGAGTTTATCCGCAAGGGCTCTGATGGCTACATCGTATCCTATGGTGACATGCTGTACCGGTCGCTCGACGCCGTTGAGTGCCTGCGCAAGGACGGTCTTGACGTCGGCCTGGTCAACAAGCCTACCCTCAACATTGTCGATGAGGATGCTATCCGCACATACGGCTCTAGTCCCTTCGTTCTCGTTGTGGAGTCTATCGCTCAGAAGACTGGCCTTGGATCTCGACTAGGTACCCACCTGCTGGAGCGCAAGTTCACCCCCAAGTTCAAGGCCATGGGCGCTGTGAAGGAGGGCTGCGGTGGTTTGTTCGAGCAGGTCAACGCCCAGGGCCTCAGCCCCGACGACATCATCGCGGCCGTGAAGCAGGTTGCTGGAAAATAGAGGATTATCCTAGGATATACCATGTATCTAGATATGAGTACAAATGCCCCAAATTGTTACGACTCCGAATCCATTGTGCATTCGTCATAAAGTAGCATGTCCAATTTAGTAAACAATTTGTAAACAAGTAGTTCCAGGAACCTCCACTTACTCCCGATCACCGGGATGAAAAACCAAAGCCCGCACCTCAATACTCTCCCTCCCATCCTCACGCTCAGTCTCAGTATTCACAAACGCCGAATGAGGCACACGTCTCGCCCTACCAACCGTCTTTGAATCAAAACATTTAATCAAAGTCACCAAGTCCGGCATCGGCCCGTAGCGATAATACCACTTAATTTCAGGATCCGGCTTCACGGAATAGGTCTCTCCCTCCCGGTCAGGATAGATGAGACCCACTGGGACGAGATCGCTGTCCGGCACGGTATGGGGATCAGCCGCGGTCAAAGGATCTTTGAGGATGGTACAAATCGGGCGCGAGACATTGATGATCTGGAATCGACCTCTCAGAAGCTCCAGTGCTTCGTCTGGGAGGTGGTGGGAGACTCGGTTCTCTGAAGCTTTGTATGATTGATCGATGTGGACGTGTTGAACGGAACGCGAAGCTGGTCGGCTCCGTTTCTGGGTGTGTCTCGAGGTGCGCGGCGGATGGTGTGATCGAATATTAGGACTCGAGAGGCACCGGTTCTGTATTAGTTAGTTTTTCTTCTGGCAGGGGTTGCCTGGATGAGGGTGGGATTGATGTGTGATGGTGAAGTAAGTCTAGCACGGGAGACCGTACGCATGTTTGAGCAGCTTCTCTGTCTCCGGGTAATACTCGCGTTCAATCTTCTCATTATCCAGAAAGTCCGTCTCCGTACTTTCATAATAATAAAACTGGAATCCATTGCGGTCAAGGGAATAGTCGAGCTTGTGTCCGCTGATGTCGTGAATAGTGACGGGGAGAGAGATGGACGGCTTGTTGAAAGATTCTGGTTTGCCAATGATAGTAGGAGATGAAGGAGAACCATCCTAACTATCTTTGAAGAAATTCAGAGTTGTCTGAACATGGTGCGGCTTTTCGAAAACAGGGACAGTCGGCTTCTGGGCCAGGATAGAGCCATGGCCACTGGAAACTTGGACTGTGGCAGATGCCATATTTTATGCCTGGGCCTTAAGATGTAATTCCATTTGTTCAAATTAGGATAAGAGGTCAGTTTTGTTGTGAATTTTCCTGTTTTTATACTCGAGATTCCTTGCAGGGTGATCGAATCGCATTTGTCAGAGCAGCACGCAATATTCGTCGTACATGGAGAAATGCTGATAAATGCACACTTGAGACTCGACAAATGGTACCATGATGGTATTTGCAACATGTGATTGTCTACCTCGAGATGAGCACCTGGTGTCGGATTACCAAACTCCAAAACATATGCTGGAAAGGTATTGCCATCTAGGAACACATAAGCGGTACACAGGGAAAGAAGATGCGAACCACCTTGGTCCAAACCCTTATTTCACAGTACACGGTGACTTAGAGTAGCCACAAATACGGTCGATGAAATTGATTCTGGGGGCCATGGAGTATTGATTAGTTGATTAGTGGAACTTCGATAGCTTTACCTGTTCCTCCCGGGAGACTCTCCTTGCGGCTTACGTTGGCTTTACGAATACTACTTATCTCCGACACTTGTGCCTATCTTGGCCATTTCAAAAGGCTTTTATCAACGTGATCCCGGTCTGGAAAGACCTTATGCAGCTATTTTACAGCCAGGGAGATCTTCAAAAGGTCCATGATCCAGATAATAAATGGCCCGATGACGATGAGGATGACGCAGATAGCCAACAAGGCAAACGATACATGATTGTCTGTTGGCATATTCTTCAATTGCAGAAAGATCCTTTGGAGTACGGAAACAACAAGGCCCGAGCCTGTGAGCCAACCCGAATTAGAGGATCTGCCTCTTATTGGTGCCCTCAATGAAGTGAATCTGCTCTCATCAAGACTCGTTGGTGGCATTAATTATGGTGTTTTGCTTGGGGAAACATGTCAGAATGGACGCGATGTTTGGAATCGCCCGTTCAGCAAGTCTACAGCACCGGAGTGGACGCATGTGAGAAATGAAACGTGCCGATCTATGAAACCTCGAAGGTTGTAGGTACCCCTTAGATGGAGGTCCATCGCATGATGCTCAAGGAACACGTAAACTGAATAAAATGAAATTGGACAATAAAACTATGAACTCATGAAAGTTAAAACCTAGCAGGCGTATGTCTCATTAAAGTACAGCAGGATCTCGAAGGAAAACATCAGGTGTCCTGCAGTCTAGGGTCATGGCATTGTCGTCGTGCCCTCGCTGCGCACATGAAGCCTTGGTAAAAAGAAAATCGCACCAAACACAATGAAAGCAGCTGCATCGTACACCAACGCCGTGAAAGAAAGACGGAAATAGAGGAAAGGAAATGGATCTCCAAAGACAGGAGGAGAAAAGTAGTATGGAGCGACATCCACAACGGGGAATAGAAAAGGTTATTGTGACAACTTAACATCATGGACAGGAGAAGTGAACTGGAGGCTTATGTTCTGTGCAGGGATCCCATGCGCGCTTTAGAACATGAGGGACCGGGTCTTCTGCCGGCGAGTGTCAACACCGCTCATCTCGGGTTGAGAGAGTGTGTGCGTGTGACGGGGACGTGGGGACGGAGGCACCGCCGCTGCAGATCCTGCTGAGGCTGGAGGAGCTCCCATCATATTACTCTGTCGTTTTCCAGTAGGCGAAGGAGGGCCGACTGGGAGGCGGTCGGCTGTGGAACGACGAGTCTTCATGCTTCGCTCACGCTTGAGCACAAGATCAGCCCAGGGTTTGACCGCACCGTTTCCAGAGGATGATCCCTTGCCGACAGCCTCCGACATGACTCTCAGCCAGCCGTCCTTGTCTGCTGCACTGTCTGCGTAGAAGTCGATCACTTCGCCGTTGCCAAAGCGAATACGGAATCCCTCCTCGACAAACATGTAGCCGTCCTCCTCTTCGGCGAAAGCCGACTTTCGACGACCACCATTCTTAGTGCTGGTTTCCCTCTGAGTGAGAGATGACCGGTCGTCGATGAGCTTCGAGGCTTTGGCCAAGTTGATCGTCGCTCGGGGTTGGCGAGTCGTCTCATGGTAGGCTGTCAGCTTCGAGCCCTGAAGCTTGAAGAAGCGGCGACGCCAGAACTGTTACATTTGTCAGAATACCAATGATTTCAAAAAGAGTATGGTGAAGAACTTACTGGGCAATCTCCACCTTGTTGTGAGAGGAATCCCTCCCAGCTGCGAGCAGCGACACTCTCAGCATCGCGCATCTCACGAATGCAGGCGTTCATGCTCTTGGGCATGTCATCATCCTTGCTACCCTTCGGCTTGGGGACGAACAACAACTGCAATTCCAACTTGCCAATCTTGTACGGCGGTCGACGCTGAGCGGTCACGCTAGTCGCGCTCTTCTTACTCTTCACACTGCTGGGCTGCTCGTCTACGGCCCATTCGTTGAAGCAAGCAACATCGACAACGTGTGGACGGCCGAAGGCTCGTTTTTCGTGGTCACTCAAAGCCACGTAGGCACGACCAAAGCTTCCATCCCGAGCGACGAGATTTCGGAGGCGGTCGTAAACAGGGGCGTTGACATCCTTGGACTGTTGAGATTGCATTTGTTGCTTCAACTCGAGCTCCTTGCGTCTTCGAGGAGATGCGAAGACACGGCTCAATGCTGACGTCTTCTGGCGAGCGGGAGAGGCGGCATTCTCTTGTGGATAGAGTTTGTTTTCGTCGACCTTCATTTGCAAAGTCAACTGGAACTCAAGATCATTTTGTACGATGAGCTCGAATTCTTGGCCGATCGGAGCTGACTTGCCCAATTCGAGCCAGGAGGTCGTCACGCAGTGGAGACCATTGTCCAAGGTGAGGGCAAAGTGGGAGCGTTCGCCTGGGGAAAGTTAGCAACAAATTAATACCGAAAGGTACTTTATCCGATCGCTTACCGCGTGGAAGAGGAAGATCCAGGTACTTGATCCCCACAACCTTGACAAACAGGCGGCCGCGCTCTTCACCTTCCTCAAAGCTGTCTTGAACAAGGGCCTCATTCTCATCGATGGTTGCCTGCGCCTCTCGGACATTGCTCTGTTGCCCAGGGAGAGGGGGCACATCCCCAGCCCCAGGAACAGGCTTTTTCTTTGGGACGCCACCGGCCATCTTGATACTCGGGCGACGCATGGAGCCATTCCACGGCTCTGTGGTCCAGGTCTGCTGGCTTGGCTTGCGAGGCGAAGAGCCCGCGGAGCGCGTACCGCGCGGGTCCTGCATCGACTCTTCGCCAGGCGTTGTGGGCTCTTCGTCGTTGCGATTGTTGGCGATGACAACCTTTGTGTTCTGCCGCATGAGGTAACCTCTCTGTTGATTACAATACACGTTAGCTGGTTTGACAAAATTGGCAAAGCTGGGAAGTCCTTGGGGTCGGGAAACCAGCGGGCGATCCGCGTGGGAAGCTGGCACCGGAAGACAATCAACTTTGGAAAGAGCGAGTTGGAACGCAACCTTTTGGGTTTCAATAACACGGTCAAACTCCTTGTCGAGACCAGATCCAAGGCTTTCCTCCTGGATGCTGAATGGAATGTCCAGTTGCATGAGGCTGGATTGGCGTTGAGATGGGTTGTTTGGAAGGGTCAGCTGCGGGGGCAGAGCTGTAATTTCGTCCTCGCGTTCAGAGTCGTTGGAGGCTTGCGGGGGAAGCGAAGGGACTGGAGGCGCGTGCTGTCCACTGATCTTGCGGCGAGTAGCAGCCATTGATTCCATATCAGCTGGAGTCAGTGAAGGTCGGGTCTTGAGGCCAGCACCCGGGGCTTTGATCGTGGCGACCGGCTCGGGAACGGACTCATCGGAGGAACTCTCGAATTCTTCCTCCATTTCCTCATCATCCTCAATGGGATGACGAATGACTGACTCCGGGGTAGAGGGCTCCGAAAGGTCATCTTCGAGTTCCTGGTTGATTTCAGGAGTCACAGGGCGCCCCAGAGACCGGCGAATAGAAGCAAGATCCAATCCACGATATTCGGCAGGCTGTGAAACTTCTGTTGGCTGTTCTGGCTGGTGCTCGTGGAAACCTTGACTGTGCTGCTCGGGGATTGGGGTGGTTTGCCCAGAGTTGTCCTCTTCGGCAGCCTGCGCCGCCTCACGGAGAGAATAGCTGCTGTCTTCATCATACTTGGCTCGCTGGTCTCTTGAAGACAGGCTATTGTCCGAAAGATTTTGGTAGTAATCAGGGATGGCATAAATATCGTCGTCATGCGCTTCCTCCTTGATGATTACGCTGGAAGAGTCGTCATCATCATTTTCCAGAGACGGAATCGGGACGTCAGGGTCATAATGGTCATAAGGGTTGGGGCTAGAGGCAATCTGAGAATCATCATCAAAGACATCGTCATCATATCTCTCGCTCTTGCGGATGTCTCGCAGGATCGAATCACGGGAGATTCGAGGAGGAGAGAAGACATCGCCGTTGGACGGTTCGGCCAATTGGGTATCGGTGTCAAGGGCCGAGGCATCGTGGTCGGATGTGCACGATGCCCTTGATGGCTCATCGATTTCCTTGTCATTCTCGTCTTCATCACCCTGCTTCTCGTGGAGCATCATGAGCCTCAGCCTCTCCTGCAAGGATATCGCACCGTTGATGTCAGTCTTGCTGCAAGATGCAGGCCGAGGGGCCTTCGGCAAACCACGCTGATTACCACTGCCCAGTTCGAAAGCGGCCGCCAATTTCTCAGGTGAGGTTGGTCGTGAACCAGACAACGACATGCGCGCAACCGATGGCAGCGGTGGCAGCGGACGGCGCTCTCCGTTGGAATCAAGAGACTCGACACGCAAGTGGCTGCTGGAGTCTCCTCCTCGCGACATGGGACGCTCCTCAGCGGTGTCGTTTTCGGTGTTTTCAGCGAAGGAATCATCTTGACCGTTCGCACTTCCAGGGCTCATGAAACGCCAATCCTCGGGTAGGACTACCGGGGTCTTCTCAATATCTTCGAGTGACGCATCGAAGCTATCATCCCGTTCAACAGACGACTCATGCTCGAAGCTAATATCCGCATCTTCTTCCGAGTCATAGCTGTTCTCGCGGGAGCCCGAGGCAATGGAAGAGGGATCTGGAGTGCGCATCTCGTATTCATTGACCTGAGGGGGTGCAGCGTCAAACTTGACGCTCTTCTGGTAGGCAGCGTTATCATACTCGGACCAGATGTCATGCGAAGGGTCAAAGCCTTTTCCATATCGGCTGCCCTTAGAGAGCGACGATTTGCCGGGGGAAGGTTGATCTTTGCTTGGAGAGATGGGTCTCGGAATATGTGCTGGATCATCCTCCTCGACGAATTGTGACTTGGCAAGATTCATTTGGCTGTCGCGGTTTGGCGATCGATCAGCGGCCAGCGGTCTCTGGGGTAAAGCGACATGCGCAGGATCATATTCTGATCCGCCATCACGGAACATGCCCGCATTGTTTTTTACTCGTGATACGCGCTTGAGATCTTCGAGAGATGGACGGCGCGCGGGGAAGTAGGAGCCTTCCGGGTCGTAAGGCATTCGGTTTTCGGCGCCCTTGGCAAAAGGAGTTGGAGAGTCGCGACCCTTCCAGAAGAGACGCGGGGATGATGTGTTGTTGTTGAGAGGAGAGACATCGTATGCCGAGGCCTCGCCAGCTGGCATCTAACAACATAAGGTCAGCATGCTATCTCATCCGGTTGGAGGACCACTGTGACAGTACCTTGGTTGTTTGGTTCCAAATGGGAGAGTTGCGTCTCTGCGCCATGGGGCTCACTTCTGAGAGCGGCCGCTGGCCAAGTCCACTACCCATCGTAGTGTTGCGCTTGTCAAGGCAATGGTTCTGATAACAAAAACAACGGGTTTCTGATGATATGTCAGCGATTGTTCATCGCGGTCGACGATCACGTCGAGTCAGAGGCCAAGCGCAGAGAATAAGTCGAGAATGGCGCCAACATCAAACATACCTTTGTTTAACAGATACCAGGAGTCGCGCGGGAAAACAGCGAGACCTGGTACACAACACTTGGAAAGGAAGTCGTGTTGATCGTCTCTGGAATGCAGGTTGCCAAAGTGGAAGCCACAACAAGCCAATGTACGCAAGAACAAAGAACAAGGTTTGTGAAAGGTAGAGGGGAGGGATAATGAAGGGATAGTTGGAAAGAGGGTAACGGAGGACCGGAGATCTCGATATCTATTCCATGGATCTGAAAGTGGATTGTTACCCCGAAGCAAGTTGCTGATGTTGACAGAGTCGCGGGAGTCTCCATAGCAACGCGTCTGTCCGTCTGTTTCAGGCGGGGGACGTGCGGCTGACTCATCTGCGATAACGGTCACATGACAAAATTGCCTGAGACGTCAGGTGCCGAAGATCGGCACTAGTCCGGATGGGGAATAGCACGAGAACTTTCTGCTAAACTGGTTTTCTCGTGTGCTCCATCGCGATCCTACTGAATCAACATCCGCCATTCCCGATTTAAACACAGGCAGGATGCCTCTGCCCGTGCGCTTTTCGATATGCTTCTTATGCCAAACTAGGGCCACCATTGCCCCTCCCCCAGCGCTTCTCTCGACATGGCAAGCCACGCGAACCATGGCCACGATGCGCCGCCAGCCCTCTCGCATGACCCTATCCCCTAACGTGGCAAAGACTTCGTTGAAGAAGCCCCGTTCGGGCCGGGGAGCGGGTCCTTTTGCTACAATGAACCAGAAGGAAGCACGGATTCGAGATGACCCGCGCTCGAGGTCCCAAGCAGCCCTCAAGCGATCTGGGGAAGAAGGCAAAGGCAACAAGAAGGACAGCCCGTTGTACAAAGCATTAAAGATGCAGACGACTCTGTCGCCGGTTCCATACGCTCGCCGATCTGCCACCAAAGCCAAATTAGCCAACGTCACGAGCTTCGACCATTTTCCTCTCCTGCCTGCGGTTCGGCACTCGATTTTCTCCCAAGCCCTCCCCGGCCTGACGGACGTAACTCCAACCCCGATCCAACGACTCGCGATCCCTCGATTGCTCAAGGATAGCGATGGCAAAAAGGATACTGTGAAGACGACCAGCGACGACGGCCCCCAATACGATCAGTACCTCCTCGCGGCCGAAACGGGCTCAGGAAAGACTCTAGCCTACCTGCTGCCGGTTGTGGATGCTATTAAACGTGCCGAAAGGGTAGAGAAGGAAGAGCAGGAAATCATTGAGACACAAAAGGCGAAAGAGCGGGAGGAAAAGATGAAGAACCGGACATTCGAATTGGAGCCCGAGGAGCCGCCCATGACCGATGCCGGTCGCCCCAGGGCCATCATTCTTGTGCCCACCTCGGAATTGGTATCGCAGGTCGGAGCCAAAGTGAAGGCCCTTGCACACGGCGTGAAGTACCGTTCCGGAATGATTGCCTCGACTCTCACGCCACGCCGCATTAAGAACACGCTCTTCCACCCAGACGGCATCGACATTCTCGTCTCTACTCCCCACCTCCTCGCGTCCATCGCGAAAACGAACCCATACGTCCTCAGCCGTGTCAGTCACCTCGTACTCGATGAAGCGGATTCCTTGATGGACCGCTCATTCCTACCCACAACGATGGAGGTCGTCGACAAAGTGGCGCCTTCGCTCAAGAAGTTGATCTTCTGCTCCGCTACTATCCCTCGCAGTCTCGACAATCAGCTTCGCAAGAGATACCCCGAGGTGAAGCGTCTGACAACTCCCAACTTGCACGCAATTCCTCGTCGTGTGCAGCTTGGTGTTGTAGATATTGAGAAGGAACCTTATCGGGGCAACCGGAATCTTGCCTGTGCCGACGTGGTATGGTCGATTGGCAAGGCGGGTGAATCTAGTGATGGGGAAGATTACGGTCCTTTGGCGAAGTACATGGGCCCGAAGGTCAAGAAAATTCTCGTCTTTGTCAACGAGCGAGAGGAGGCAGATGAGGTTGCTCAGTTCCTGAGCTCCAAGGGCATCGACGCCGTCTCGCTGTCCCGCGATTCCAGCTCCCGCAAGCAAGAAGAAATCCTTGCGGAATTCACCGAGGTTGACCTTCCCCCGACCTCGGATGAGATCGTGCTGGCCCGAAAGCAGCATCGCGCCGAGAAGTCTATTCCCTTTGAGCTTCCCGACAAAAAGGCGGAGGTTGTTCGCCGCCTGCCCAACACCAAGGTTCTCGTCACCACCGACATCGCCTCCCGTGGCATTGATACCCTGGCGGTGAAGACTGTCGTGCTTTATCATGTCCCCCACACAACAGTTGACTTCATCCACCGCCTGGGTCGTCTCGGCCGCATGGGCAAGCGCGGCCGTGGTGTTGTCCTGGTGGGTAAGAAAGATCGCAAGGATGTTGTTCGCGAGGTTCGCGAGGGCATGTTCCGCGGCCAGGCCCTGATTTAGATACATTGCATTGTGTTGTACAAATTATAAACCGTGTACCATATATGGCGTTCGTGAAATTTGGGGTATGTTTGCGATTGGAAAAAGATGAATACCCGGCATGACTGCGGTCGGTCATTGGAAAGTCACTGTATGATATTGGATATATAGATCACTGAATTTCTACTCTCTGTATATTTGTGTGAGAAATCAATTTCACTTGGTACTCCCAGGTTAGTCAAAATGTAAAGCCATTTGTGGTGAGAATGCTCCGTGGATCTCCAGTTGCAATATATATCTCCCTCCCCCCCCAAACAAGTACACTTGGTTTTCAACGCCAACCACTTCCAATAGCCACATCCATTTATCTTTTAACTTCTTGCTCGTTCAACCCCGATTACCGTCGACATTCAGATACCGCGCGCGAAGTTACTGTACCGGCACGGGCTGCTTCAGCTGCGAGAATCACCTCTCATCGTCACCGTGGGACTCATGCTCCCCACACCCACCATGAGGACCGCAGTAAAAGCCTTATTCGCTCAGTGTAGAAGATCCCTACATCGAACATCTTTGCTAACATCATTTTTCGAGATAATTCCTCGATTACATCCAAACTATTTCAACCATCAAAACAATGGCCGACGCGACCTCCACCGCTGACAAGTGCTACAACTGCAACAAGAGTGAGGCCGAAGGAGGTTCACTCATGAGAAACAGTCGATGCAAATCAGCATGGTACCGCTCGCGCGACTGCCAGAAGGCTGGCTGGAAAAATCACAAGAAGATCTGCGCGAGTTTTGCCCAATCGGCGGCGGAAGCTCAAGCCGCCAGGGAGACGAGGAGTGCCTCCGGCGCTTGACGTAAACACCAGTACCGCGACGCGACTCACACCCCTAGATCCGAGGATCAAATATCCACTTTATTAACTCATCTATCATACATATGTAGAAGAGTGAACGCGGTGGAGGACCCCTCAATGACTCAGTTAAGCTTCACGCTTGATGTAACTCGGTTCCACTTTCGGCCGCACCCCACGAGGTGGTGCCTCCAGTGTTATAGCAAGAAAAATATAAGCCTTCTTCCTGTTTGGGAAGAGAATCCCACTCCGGTCTTGAGGCCAATGGCGCCAGGTGTCTTTCTTGGATCCAATCTCGAGACTTTGATGAGAGTGATATTAGAAGGAGTCTGGACATTCCCTTTATCCCACCAACAGCCATATGAGAGCCACATGCATTCGAATCGGCAATATTCCAAGTATAGGTTTCCGCACGTTTCTAGATACGAGGAAGGAGCAGGCATCAGATGGTCGTCACGCGACCTATCGTATAAGGCATCGCTCATCAATTTGCTCGATGGCAATACCACTTGACTGAAGTCTTCAGCTGAATTATGCAACAATTCACTATCCCTAATGATCCTAGGCATTCGTCCTGTGGGTCTGGCAAACGTATGTGGTGCAAGATGTCGGATTTAGCGGAAGTAAAACCTGCCTGGTAGGGATACCTAGGAGCTCGCTCAACATTTTAAGCTTTCTCCCGTTCCAAGGGAGAGGGCCCGTGCACCATTGTTACTGAATCCGGGAACGTCGAGTGCTGGATGATGTATTCATTTCCAGCCTATTCGGCCAGACCGGTCGCGGATATTTAAAGTATAAATTGACGAACCCGCTCTTATCCCTTTCCCCCTTAAAAACCACGACATTCCATTGAAGCCTCTTCATCAACTTTGAATATCTTTGGCACGCCACCATGGCGAAATTTCTCTCCAAAGCAGTTTGGACGCAATGTTATCGCATCCCTGAGCCTCCTTTGACGGAGAAAAACCTTCCCGATCAGGATGGCCGAGTCCATATCGTCACTGGTGGGTATGCCGGTGTTGGCCGAAAATTGTCTGCAATCCTCTACGGAAAGGGTGCCACAGTCTATATTGCTGGCCGCAGCGAGCAAAAAGCCGAAGACGCCATGAGTCAAATCAAAGAAGAACATGCATCATCCTCGGGTCATTTGCACTTTCTACTACTAGATCTCAATGATCTATCAACCATCAAGGCGTCCGTCCAAAACTTTTTATCTAAAGAAACTCGCCTTGACGTTCTCGTTAATAACGCCGGCGTGATGTTCCCTCCAAAAGGATCCAAAACAACCCAGGGACATGACTTGCAATTTGGAACGAATATGCTGGGACCCTTTTTGTTCACAAAGCTCTTGATGCCAATCATGGTTGAAACTGCCAAAACTGCCGCCCCGGGTTCAGTCCGGGTTACCTGGGCAGCGAGCCTGGCCATTCAAATCTTGTCTCCAAACGGTGGTGGCCTTGTGCTGGACGAATCTGGCGCACCTAAGATCTTTGACAGCCAACAAACCAACTATGGACAGACCAAAGTCGGCAATGTTTTCTTGGCCGTCAAAACCCAGGAGCTTTTCGGCTCTCAAGGAATCAGAAGTGTTTCTTTCAATCCCGGCAACCTAAAGACGGAGCTTCAGCGTCATTCTTCCGGTTTGATGATGAAAGTGGCCGAGCCAATGCTCTATCCAGCCATCTTCGGTGCTTACACAGAGTTGTATAGTGGCTGGAGTGAGGAAATCGGTGCTGACAAGAGCATCACGTACGTTATGCCTTGGGGAAGGGACGGCACGGATCTCGTGAGATCCGATATTCAGAAGGCTATTGGAAATGGCTTAGCGGACAAAGTATGGGATTGGTGCGAGTTGGAGACGACAAAATATTCATAAACTGTTTCATCTAGTTTATGTTATTGTTGCGCTTTGGAGTTTTGTATTTTTAGCAATGTTGAGAATCTCTAGAACCTAAGATACACACCCCAACCTCCATACTAACCATCCATTTGACGATATGAGTACTTTAGAATAAAGTTTATGTACATACGACCATAGGGTGTGGAGAACAGGGCTTCCCGTCCGCTTAGCCGTGCTTAAGCCGCAAGCCTGATACCCACCTACGCAAGCCATGTTCTCATGACTGTGGGGCAGACGAAAATAATTATTGCATGTAGAGCGCCAAACCGGCCTAGATCGGCACAAAATACAGTGTCTTCGCAAGCTGAACCACCGACAGAGCCGACGGAACTGTCTTTGATAGATAGTAGTGGATAATTCCACGTCCGAGCACTCCACCTCATTTATCTTGGCAATTGGCTTGGAATTTGGAGTCTCTAATGTCCCAAATATTAAAACTTGAACTGACGCGTGTCTATAGTGTTTGAATGAAAAAAAAACATACAACAGCAGGGATTCGCTGGTGGTCACCCACCCAACTACTAACCTGCCGGCGTGTGGCTTAAGTACGGCTGAGCGGACGGGAAGCCCTGTTCTCCACACCCTATGGTCGTATGTACTGTAACCGTCGATAGGAAACCTTCATATAGCAATGAGAAACATATCGTGTGACCGTATAGTTGAGTGACTAGGGGTGAGAGGGGTGAGAGCGCAATATACGTAGGTGGGAATCAGGTAGCAACTGGGTGAAAAGTCCTGGGAATCGCTCGGGGCCACGTACTTCCGTCATACGCCGGTCCTTTCTTGCGCGGTTGCCGCATGAAAATGATATGAGAATGATGATTAATGTGCATTTAGCTAAGTCATAAACCTCCCGTGTCCTAGTTACTCCATATTATGTTATGCAACACTCTTCGGGTCACGTAGCAGGCATTTCCTCAAGGAAAACCCACCGAAATTTATTACTACAACCACTAGAGAATACAAATACAAAAGCCATTGTGAATGTTCATGAATACAAAGCTTGCTCTTTCTCTCACAGATATAGAGCCTTTCTTTTCCGATCCTATTGTGTTTTACCATTTACAGCTTCCAACTTGTTCAACAATGAAACTAGTACAGCAACCGTCTTTTTCCTTGCCGTGGTTACAGGCAATGCTTCCCCATTAGCCACTACCTCGGATGATTTGGAAAATCCCACTCCTGAAGTTGTACATGAGGGGGCAACCTCATCTTATGAAGTGCGCGGGGTGAGTTAAGCTTCATCATTTTCGATAAATCATTGTGTGGCTGCATTTGAGAAAAAGAAAAAAAACATATAAATCACTCCTCCTGTAGAAGTAAAGTAGACTATCAGATCTACATTGGTGGACAAGCGTTATCAACATTCTTGTAGTCGGCCTCGTCAAACATCCGAATCCGCTTAATGGTAGCGCGTAGACTTCGCCATAGCCCATACTCGAGTGGATAGGAAGGGCCCAAGGCCTTTCTCCCACTAGCAAGACCATGTAGCTGTTCCATATCCAGATCTAGCTGTAGAAGATATCAGAAGGCGCTATTCGATGCATCGCTATCTCTCCGGGCGATCAGCATCTGTCGCAAAATTTCGGCACACTCGTCATAAAAGCTAGGGTGATTTTTTACTGATGTCCAACCATTGACATCAATCACGTAGCTCTTCCCTCCATTCCGAACAATGTCGAACCCGCAGACGGCCTGGCCAAACCCCAGAGAGATTTTAGCCGCAGCCTGTGATTCTTCCCTGCTGACCTCCGTGATCTGCCTTATTTCTTTGCCATTTGCATTCCGATGGACTATGCCGGTAACCGCCGGAGAGTTTCGCGTGACTGCCAGACAATAGCGAGGGCCCACGGCATAGGCCTTGACATCCTGCTCGTGGTCCGCTGCCAGGAATGGCTCGTATATGTAGCTGTTTGTTGTCCCTCGTTCCGTTATACATCGTGGGACTTTTAGATCCGGATCGTATTATGAACATTTGTTGCCAATCTTTCGGAACAGGCGCCTGCCCCCGCCGCCTTCCAGGGAGGTGCTGGGAAAGTAGATGTAGATGTTGTGGTCCTCTGCGCTAACCGGCTTCTCAACGAAGGGCTGGTGGAGCTTCCGTCCGTCCACTATAAGCGTATTTCCATCCATCGACAGAGATACCGTAGGGGAAGAAAGAGAGTTATTGCCATCATTGGGACTCGGAAGTTTCAGTCCAACTGAGTTATAGACGTGTTGCGCGAGTTGATGACTAACTTGAGGGCCACCATCACGGCTGACTTCGACTCGCTTAGGAGTCCGCACTCCGAGGAGATTTAAGACTTAATGGCAAAGGCGGCGATCAAAGAGAAGCTTCTGCATAAGCAAGTCGTTGCAGGAAATCGGCGAGTGGAGGCGAGTATACGAAATCGCCTTATCAAGCGGGAAGCCATCCGAATAGAAGGCGATGAGAAAGTCGCAGATAGGCCATTCCTCCACAGGCTTATTCAAGAGCACGTCATCTCCGAACAGGACAATCTCGATATCGCCCTTGGCTTCTAAGCAACGAAAGACGTCCTGATTAGATTTGCTGAGCGCTTTGTCTTCCATAGCACATATGCCAAGCCTCCCTAAAAGAAGTGACAAACTCCAATTCTTTGTACTGCGGTCGGTGATGCCATGTAGCGAACGAAATGCTGCTGGAAGTTGCAGCGCCTCGATGTCGTGGTCGTCTAGACGAGCCACTACTTTCAAATGGTGGTCGTTCCAATTGACTTCGGGACTTCCGCTAACAGCTGCGAGTTTGTATAGTGCGGACATCATAGTGACCTAGACAATGGCGGTTCAATTGAGGCTTCTGATTAGTTCCTCAGTGGCCAACTCAGGATCCCACGGGCGGTAGTAGAATCGTTCTGGCGGATAAGTTGATAAATTGCCATGGATAAAACATCAGTGCAGAAATCATTGATTTTGCGATTACTGTGCAATCCTGTTGTGCCGAAGAGTAGTGTGGAATAGAAGAGAGGAAGTTCTGAGGAATTCAGAGATTTCTAGAGCAAAAGCTACATATAGGGCGGAGAAGGTTCAGGCAACAGCCGCATTTCACATGGAAAGAAAAAACCGCTCCGCTGGCCCATAGTCGTCTCCACTATCGATAAATCGCTCACTCATACCCAAACTGTAACGTGAGTCATTAAAGAAATAACTCAACCCCACCCTAATGAGATCCTTGGAGCACTCATTTAGTAATACCACTGTAAATTGATCGAATTTAGATTTTGTAGCAAGCCGATCAAAGTTCTTAGTTGTGCAATATTGGAGAAAGTTGTTGTGAATATTCTCGATGCGCCGAGGGACACTATCCCGTTGCAAATCCTCTTGCACGGCCAAGGCAGTACCCATCGCCGCATGTGTATCAAGAGCTGTGGGGATCAACTGCTCGTTCGGTTCCACGTACCGTGTTCTAACGAGCTTTGGCATGACCGCAGTTCTCCAGGTCTCGTTGCCGGCGCTGTATAGGCTTTGCGTCGGATATGCAAGTTTCCGATAAGTAGAACCCTCAATATCAGTTGATTTCCTTGAGCTGAATTCTCGTTTTACTGAAGCCCTTCAATGAAGGAACACAAGGTAGTGATGTTGTACTTGGCCAATCGAGAGCAACAGGGTGCCATTGGACCTTCTAGCCATAAGCTTTATGATTTTTCTCACCTCGTCTTCAATCCTAAGTCTGTCGATACACAGTTCAAAACAAGTAGTGGAAGGCGCGCTGTGCGAGTACTGTGCGATATAAGAAGTAAGATCACCTTCGCCGTAAACGCTTGGCCATGCAACTTCTCACAAAGAAAGAACCCCGCAGGAAGCCGTCTCCCTAAGTTATTGATATCGCTAGAGCACCGATCCACGTGCATCCATACAGGTGCAGAGGCTATAGAGAAATTGTTGGACTGAGGCATTTTCTGGCAGTGGATCCTGTTGCCCCGAGTATGGGAGGGAAAGATAGGGATGATAAAGGAACTTGAACATATCAAGTGCAGAAGAAGCCGAGAGCAACAGGCGGTGCAATCCGGACTGCGGTTTAGGTCGACTCGTCCATTAAGATCAAGAGATACAAAAGGGGGCCTTTGCGGAAGCAGTTGTGGATGGCAACAGGCGCCGATGTGATTGGGAAACGCGTCAGCTTTTCGGTGATAGGGGGCTTTGGTGATTCAAGAATTTGGCCGGTGGACGACGCCAGTGATGCAAATCGACTATTCAACTAGCATTCTTGGGGATTCGAGATCAAACAATGAAGAGTTGGGCCGTGGGGGTTGACATACTCCTTCACCCAGTGAGCGAGGTTGCTCGCAGAGGACGAGTGGAAAGCTTTCTGCTCGAAGTATGCGGCCTTTTCGACAGGATTTTTGGTTGCTATATCGCCGTTAATTGTCTTTTTTTCCCTTTTGCGATGTAAGCCTTAAACGTACTCATCGGCACGACTGCCGCTTCGAGTGCATGCACTGCGAGGATGGCGACGGTGAACTCGTAGCCTCTCGCAGCTAACACGCCAATGTATATCTCATCGTTTCGTTCGATTCTCTCCAAGACTATACTCTCTAGAGACGATTCTAAAAACGCCCGATAGGTCAACACATCCGCTAGGAGGTCTCCGTAGGGTTTCTTGATTTTGAGGATATTGTCTCTAATGGCAAGGCGATTGCAACAGGCATGTCTGGAAAGTTTCACGAAGAGTGGACTATTGGGCAGAACATGACGACCAATGTGGGGAGGAACTAGTCGAGTGCGATCTTCATTCGACTCAGTCGCTGGCAGAGTGGGTGTAGTAGTGGTCATAATTGTTGAATATGAAACGACAGAATACACTTGTTGAGGAAACCACCTTTTAATGAAAGGCGCCCAGGGTTGATTATATGCCCGCAAGCTTCCATTCTCGAAATCAAGCGATCCCCAAACATTTCACGAAGAAAGTGAATAGAGGATCCGAGACACTTTTGGACGAAGGGATGTTCAATTCTACGAGAACCCGTCTCATTGGTGGGATCTGCAATCTAGTCGCCGGCCCGGCGAATTCATTACGATGACGTTTATAATAGAGAAAGGTTTCCGCTTATAATTACCAAATCCGGACGACAGCCTCATTTACGCGTCATCATCTCCTTTTCTCTCTAAAGGCCATTTAATCCAAAATCTTCCTTCTATAATATCTCACTCTCTGCTCTCTAACTGGTCACTATGGCAATTGATCACACTAGCTTTTACGTTCCTGAAGAGAAATTTCAACAATGCCTTAAGTTTTACCTCGAAGCTCTCAAGCCTCTGGGCTATCAAATTCGTTATCAATTCGGAGAATTTGTGGTTGGACTGGGGTCGAGAAATGAGGACTTCAGCACTTACCAACGTGCCGACTTCTGGGTCTTCGGCACAAAGACTATACTTAAGCGACCTGCTCATATCGCATTCAAATGCCACGGTATGCATATCTCCATCGAAACAGAACACGCAGAGCTTACAAGACCTCGGGAGATCATGCGTCTGTTGACGCTTTCCATGCTGCAGCTATCAAAGCAGGTGGCAAGGACAACGGTTCGCCGGGATTGCGATCATCCTACCACCCCAACTATTATGGTGCTTTCGTGATAGATCCCTCAGGAAATAACATCGAGGCTGTTGATCATGGTGTTTACTCAAATCCCTGAATAACTTTTGGCAGTTGACCCACCCAGGAAGATGAAAAGTGAAAGCATTTTTACTTATCTTTAGTCTCTTGATGTGATTTTTAAAATCGAGATTCTGACCTTGCAGCCCCTGAACATCTAGATCTGATTAGACCTAAGGAGATTGAACCTCATCCTTTCCGTCGGTAAAGGCAGTTCATCCCCACGGAAAGATAAGTGCTTAGGCCCATATTTGGCTACCGGTCTTAGTAGAAAGAAGTGGAGATTGCCAATCTCTCAAGGCCCAATCCAGCCTCTCGTTTGTGTCCAGGGGAAATTATTTTCGACCACAATAAACTTATTCATGGCAACTATTTAAACACGGAAAGTGATGCGCAGTGAATGTCACAAGGATCGTATAGCCACTTTTAACACGATCAATGTCTCAAATCCCGAACGCCATGATGACTTAATGGCCATTTGCCCAATCTAAAGTATTCCATAAATAGGCATCGCCTTCTTCACGTTTTTAACCCACTTTCTAATGTCCTCTACGAAACGCCGAGGGACACATTATTTTATTCCTACGCAGGGTGATTCCTCACCCCGTTCTCACCCTGTCTATCGCGCACTCACTCTTCTCACCCTGGGTCTCGCGACGCTAAAGCGGCTATCACCCTATTCTCACTCCGGCGACACCTACCCGGCTCCTGGCCGCACGTAAGCCATGTGTTCTGTATGGCCAATTTCAAAGAGCCTTCAAGACCTCTATCCTTCTAAAACAGCGAGGGAAAGTCATCAAGGATAAGCATGGGTGATGTAGGTGAGAGGGTCCCCCTTGCAAGCGGTTGCGGAAACATAACTTTAGGACACAAGGGCACACTTGTTACTTTAGTATTCATCTTCGTCTTTGTTCTTTTATAGAACTATATCTGTCGGGGGTATAACAGGTGAGATAGATAGAGAGGAATCGATGTCTTAGGATCCTATATAGCAGGCTACCTAAGAGCACCAACTTCGCACAATTTATTCTATTATCCTCCGGATATCAGCCGACACCGCAGCGTGCTAGCCGACCGCGCTGGTTACTAGTATTAGCTAGTACTGCAGCGTACTGGCTAATCTATGAAAGATAGATAAGATAGATAAGATAGACAATATAGAAAAGAATCTCCCTGGTCTGCCCTTTATGAGAGAAAAAGAGTAGTAGGAGGAATGTGAAAGTGATAAAAGCATCGGCGATTCGTTTCTCGACTTCAGAATCAAAATCTGGTCATCGTAGTGGTTGGTAACGAGAGGTAGGAAGTAAGAGAATTGGAAGAAAATGACCATTAGACCAAATGACTATGAAACTGTGGCGGGTACCCTCTTCTTGTACCCCGCACTACCACGAACGCTTCTGACTCTCTCGCTTACAAAATCGATCGAATAACTTATTATGGCCAACAATCGGCTTCCAAATCCAAATCGATACATCACCGATGCCGATGTAGATGGCAACTCCTTCTTTTCTACCGACTTTCCTGCATCCGTGGAAGTATATAGTGATCTTGGTGGCGGGCTCCAGAGGCTTTGTTACCAGACCGAGCAATCACCCGTCTCACTCAGCAGCAAAAACGATATCGAGAGCTACAAGGCCTCCTTGCAGACCCAGGTCCCACTCGTCAAGCCAGGCGGCGGTGCCAACGTGTGGTATAACGACATTCCTCCCGAGGGAGAAAGCCCGATGCACCTCACCGTGAGCCTCGACATTATTATCCTGCTTATGGGCGAAGTCGAGCTCACCTTGTCCAACGATGAGACCCGCACGATCAAGCCGGGCGATATGGTGATCCAACGATCTACGTTACACAAATGGCGAAACCCGAGCAAGACGCAATGGGCACGAATGGTAGGGATCGTTTCGGAATGTCAGTCTTGACCGACCATGGACTACCACTTCTCATTACTATATGAAGTTTCCTATCGACGTTTACAGTACATACGACCATAGGGTGTGGAGAACAGGGCTTCCCGTCCGCTCAGCCGTACTTAAGCCACACGCCGGCAGGTTAGTAGTTGGGTGGGTGACCACCAGCGAATCCCTGCTGTTGTATGTTTTTGATTTTTGTTGGTTTGAATTCTTGGAATGAAGCAATTGCCGCCCAAGCCTACAGTCCCTTTAGGGTCTTCACCCTGAACGCCCCGAATCCCCTCTTTTTTTCACCTAAATGCCCTAAAGCCCCCTAAAGTGCTGACGTTCCCCTCGGCTAAACCCCTGTCTCTCGCCCTTCCTTTCGCTGGCGGCCCACTCCCTACCCTTATTTTTTTTCGGGGGCCGAATTGACCGTGCTGACCCCAGAAAATTGAACACCCTCTTGTCTGGTTAGGTCTTAGTTACCTCTTTTCTAAGGACGCAGTGAAGATTCTGAAGGCGGAGGGGATACGGAAGCGAATGACTTATCCTGAAGAAAAAGGAAACCCCAGAAACGCGCTCTCGTAGAAACCGGTCAATCGAACGCTGGAGTATTACTTCAAAGAGTAATTCCAAGTGCTTCATTTTTCAGCCTAGGGCCTTAGTATCTTATTGGCACCTTGAGCAGGCAGCATTTGTACCACCTCCGCGTGCAGCCTGGAGTTCATTGCCGCATTCTCCACCTGCAGCGGCTGGCCCCCAAAGCCTACCCACCTTACCCACCTCAGCTGGGCAGTCGACCTGCACTAGTCGCCTCCAAAAGTACGGCGCTATTTTGGAGCCGATAAAGGGGGCCTTTCAACCTTCCCCCTTTGTTACTCACAATCCCCGTTTCGTCTTGCAAGAAGACTGCAAGAAGACTGCAAGCGACCACAACAGGGCTCAAAGGTAATACCATGAAATCTCCACCACAACCAGCAACAGTCTATGAGCTGGACGAATACGGCAACCCGGTGCTTCACAGCAAGGTTTCCGCGATTAGAGACCGCGTAGCCAAGAGGAACTCCACACCATATACCGGGAACAGCGCTCAGCATAGGCCTGGAAAGTCCCAGGACTATATTATAGGCGAGTCCATGCGCAGCGGCTCGCTGGATGAGATGGTCAAGGCGTGTGGCCAGAACCCGACGTTTCCCATGACCATCTTCACTAGCAGCCAGGGCACAGATTCGGAGGGTAACGGAGTCCCCGGATGTCGATATAGAAAGATTTCTTTTCTTGGTACATATATGATTTCATTGTGGCCGTAGGCGGGATTCTGAGCTAATTGGGATACAGATGAGACTAAAGTTCTCGATTCCAGCGCAATAGATGATAGTCAACGGTTCGTTCGACTGACCGCATTTATCACAAAAAACGATGAAGACCATATGGATCCCAAAATATACGTGGAACAACGCGTTTACGAAGGCAGGCACGACAAGATCATTGTCCATGAACTTGCGTTTGGTGACAGAATTCAAGTTGACAAGGAGTATGTGTTTTGCGCCTGCGGCGACGAAGATAGAATTTTGGGAAAGCGCGATTTGAGGCTCCGCATCGTATCGGTAAGTTTGCATTCTCAGATATCCACTGTCCAGGATGAATCGCTGAATCCTATTCAGCTTGAGCAAGAAAGCTTTAATAACTACCTGCGGGGTCACACGACATACTACGGTTACGATATCATAGACTACGTCTATGTAGACAGAGAGAGTATTTCCAAGGGGTTACCGCATGCAGCATGGCGAAATATGAGCGAAGTACCTTACAAGATATCCTTGAATGGGAAGGATCTGCAAATTCTTCTAGAGGCCAAGCAGAAGAACCGGGAAATGGTGGACGTATTATCGGGCGAGGATATCGAGCTTCTTCGACTGCGTTTCGCCGGGCAAGGACACTCCACCGAAGATAATGTGAGCGCAGGTGATCTTGATATCCGTGTTATCTATAGGCCTTGATGTTAGTATGGTGTTATTTTATGTGATGCTTAGGCTGTTATGTTGTATTTGGAAAAGCTTGGTAAGGAATCGATCAATCTAAACATCTCATTGAAAAATCGAGCATCAGAGCAGCACTATAATATATGAGTATTCATTATGCTAAAAAGAAAATAAATCTCTAACTTCAAATTGGTTTAATGCCATACTAAAACGGATGCGACCACCGCAAAGCCAACCGCCCGGCTATAACTAGGCGGATCGCCTGCACGGACCTTGACGCCAGCCATGGCCACTCTCTAAGATCATAGGTCCCTGCTAAGAAACTATGTTTTAGGGAGAGGGTCCCGCTTTCAAAGCCGTGGGTTCTATTGGCAAGACCGAGGATCAGCATGTTTACGGTGGGAACATAGGAACATAAAGCCACCTCGGCACACGCTTTGTAAGCCCGATTGTGCCGGTCTTATGCATTTGATATACGGAGTGTCTAAAAATTTTCTCTATAATATCCTAAATTAATTAAATTTACTGTCAACCCGCTCATACGTAAGCCGTTTCACCATCTGAATGAGATAGAGAGACTTCAGGACACTATCTACACCTTGTACCTTACAAATTCTTCAGACGCGAACAGAATAAGAGTCGGTATGGTGATATGCGGTCTTATCCGTCAAGTTAACAAGGATGATGAGATCATCTGGACGTGGAGCGTTTTCAAAGACCGAGTTCTGAACCAGTAGCTTTGTCAAAAACGAGAATATGATAAATTCAACAAACCTGCAGTAGAATATCGATGAACATTGTCATCGGATTATTAGGTATGTTCTTCATATTAGAGTCCCAGTCATAAGATCTGTTCTTTACCATCAGACGCCTGACAATATCGGCTAAGGCGTATGCTTTACAGATGGTAGGATTCATTTCCGACGTCGTGATTTGGCAGCTGTTTTCCCACCCTCCTGAGAATACCTTATTACTTTTAGTTCTTATTCATTTGGCTCTTTATACGCATACCGATCTTCACTATCCCAGATTGCGTTATGAAAATTGTGTCTGGATTTAGGCAGGCAAGGGCTCTACCGTGTTGAAGTCGGTATTAAATGCCGTTGATAATCCGTGATCGGTTAGAGAGCGAGGAATAATAACTGACATTGCCTGCCTGTGGGCCCATTAGACCCTGTACGATTTCAAATGTAACCTTCTGGCCATCCTTTAAAGATTTGAAACCACCTCCTTCTATAGCCGAAAAGTGTACAAAATAATCTTGGCCGTCACTATCTGAGGACAAAAGCCGTGTCCCTTCCCATCGTTGAACTATTTGACGGGTCCCGTTTCGCGTTCGGACATTCCTGCTGGACTAATGACGTGGGCAGTTCCTTAGTTTAAATGGCCTGGTCGTGAAAACGATAAAAAAAAATCACGTACGCTTTCAAAGAAGCTAGCAGGCGATCTTGCCAGATCGCCAGATCTACAGAACAATTCTGGATGGTTCCATATAATATTACTGTACTATGACGATGACTCATCTTTGGCAATACAATCATTACGATAACGGTACTGCTGGAATTAAAGGGGGGGGTGAGCAAAACAGATTCGGAATTATTTTTCCCGAATCAAGTAGTGAGAGTATGGCGGTATCATGGTTTGGATATCCAGGCCTCTTTTACTTATTCTATCTACATTTTAGCAGCTACTAAGTGAGTAGGTGACTGATCACTGATGACTTGTCTAGACATACTGACAACTAGGGCAATGCATCAGCGTCCCACGCAAGGTAGCTCGCCCCAGATTGATACATCTCCGAATCAAACCATGCATCCAGATTCCACTTGAAACCGGTCGTAGTGACATCAGATGTCTCAAGTTTCAGCCGTAGATTGTAGTCGCTGTTGTAATCAAACTCATCCAAACCCACAAACAAGCTCGGGGGCTTGGTGAACTGCCAGTTAAAATCCACTCTTGACGAGTTTTTCTGCTGGGGGTTTCTCCAATCGCGAATATCCCCCGTGGAAAAGCGACCACTGCTGATGGAAGACATATCGGACGGATAGGCCACCCAGGTGGCGCTGGCTCCGTACAGAACACTATCGAACCACGACTTGATGGTGATCTTGAAGCCGGTTGAGGTGATGTTGGACGGAATCACTTTGAGACGCCAGTTCTTCCCCTTCTCCATGTCAAAGTACGTGAGGAAACAGGCAACCTTGGGTGCAGAGGAGAAGGGAGTAGAAAACTGGATAACTTTTGAATTATCATGCTGGGGCTTTCGCCAATCGCGGATCTCGTTTGTATCAAAGGTGCCCGACTGGAGGAATGGCAACTTATGGGTTTTTTCGATCCAGCTCATTCCGGCAGAGTAGAGCTTCGTGTCGTACCAGGTCCAGATTTTGGCGGTGAATGTGTTGGATTGAGGGTTAACGACTTCTGCTCTGATGCGCAGGTTGTGCTCCTTGTCCATGTCGAGACTGGTCAGACCAATGGGAAGCTCTGGCTGAGTGTCGTGATACTCTAGAAGCTGGAACGTCTTCTGGTAGTCTTTGATCGGCTGGTCCCATGGCTGAACTTCCTGGGTGTTGAAGTTGCCGACACCGGTAGTAGAGGTAGACATTATGGTGATGAAACTGAGTTGGAGTATTCAGGCGATTGTTGAGTTTCTCACCTGGTGGAAATGGGCTGCAATTTATGTCAATCGCCTGCTCCTTATCATTCATAAAGGGCGATATTCGTCATGAATCAGATGAGTTTGATCATATGATTGACATTCTCTAGCACCAATGATGACCAGAATGTTGGAATAGTGGTTACACAGTAAGACGCATGGTTACACAAGATGAGGGGGAAGTGGAGAAGGTTTCAGCTAAGCCACCTAAACTAGCCGCTGTTGAGATGTAGTTAGTAATGAGAGATTTGCCTTATTGATCACGTATCGAAGCCGCCTGGTTTGCTGGTGATATAACTTGGCATGAGCGGGTGCAGTATGCACCAAACCCACTTGGTCAATCTTCGTTGTTTATACATGTTAATTTGCCTGGCGTTTATGAGGTGGCCAGAAACAAAGAGAGCATCCTGGCGGTCAAGCGTTAGAATATGTACATGGATCCTGCGGAACATGAAGCGTCTGAGTCCCTTTCGCCCACAGTCGCCACGCTTCCTCCATGAACTTTCTCTTACCTTCAACGGATCCCCTATGACAAGCAACTTTTTACTTTTCAATACACATCTGCATATGGCTCTGCTGTTATTGAATTCGGCGGAACCCGCAATCAATAACAATCACTTACAAATCTAGCATCAGGAAGCTGAGCTCTCATTTCTAGCGAGAGGTTCCCTTGGTGCATATTTGACGCCTTGAGATACAGCGCTAGCTGCTTAAAGATCGAGGGCATCCGACCATGTCCACTAGCAAGCTAAAGTGCCGCCCTATCTCCGGAATCGGCGCTAGGCATATTCTCAGCTCGCCACATCGTTGGGGCGCAAATCTTGCTTGTTTCGGCATGGCCTGGTCTGAACAACCCGTACAGTCGTATGTTCCAATGCTATGTCTCTCTGAGCTCCAGTCAAATATTTGCGGGCCGAAGTCATCTTTTTACTGCAGGTTTCTTTTGCAACATTTCGTCGATCAGTAGCGGTGTAAACCCGTTCATGAATCTGCGAATAAAGACCGTGGTGGTTGAGCTTCCTTGACTAATACTGGTATGTATCTGTCGGTAAAAGTGGAGAGAAATCTTACCTAGCGTAATTTGTTTCCAGAAATCAGGTCAGTAGGGCCCTACTAAGACCTAGACATTGACATACCCATGGGTATTCCCATATGGGTAGGTCCCGTCCCGCCCATGGGTAGGCATGGGACGGAATATCAGACCTATAGGTGGGTAGGGTTTTACCCTTGGAAGCTCTGGATATATGCATATATGAATGCATACACCTAAAATCCTGACGTAACCCCTTTAAAGTGCGATAATAAATAGCAATGGCTAGGTATTTTGGAAACTTCTTCTCATGCCTTAGTGCAGTTGCCCTTTGTTTAATAACTTTCGATGTCTGCATTCTAATCTTGCAACCATCAGGGGCGTGACTAAAAAGCTCTTACTACCATCCGTAGACGTGCGTAGATCCTGACGTGACGGCCAATGGCAAGTGCTGCTCATAATGTAGCATCCACATAAGTGCATAAACTTTGTGATGGATCATATCATCCGCATCATCTGTGTAACGTGCCACGCCTATGTCCTATCACGTGCATGCCCGACCTTTCCGGTTTTATATCCTGTAGTTCAAGCTCTGTAAGATTTAATAAACTGTATGTCCTCACTCATCCCGCACCGAACCTCTGTGGCAACTCTCCAGCCATCCACCCTAGCTCCGCATTGACTAGAACAGAATTTGCGACACATCCTGGTTCTTCTTGATTTTAATATTCTTCATCATCAAGACCCAGGCAATAGAAAGGCTCATAATTGCGATACCGGCGATCATCATATTACGCTGACTGTAAGCGTAGGCGTTTTGGATAGCTGTGCGAATAGCTGATCCAACGGGATAGCTCAATTGGACATCCAACGACTCATAGATATCCGACCACTGGTCCTTGACATCCGCTGGGAGGTATTCACGCAGCTTCACAGGAAGCGTATTGGTCCAGATTGCACCCGACACACTGCTGCCAACGGCGCCACCCAGGTTACCGAATGTGCTGAGCAACGCCAACATAGCAGCATATTCTTCATGGTTGGATGCGGCCAGAACGGCAACCTGCTCAATGAGAATGAAGGTACCACCGCCGACAGCCATGAAAATTTGACACATGCACATATACCAAAAGCTATGGCCGGGTGAACGGAAGTAGATCATCAATCCGTTGGCAAGGAGGTAGAGAGGGAGTGCACCCATTAACAACCACTTGAACCGACCGGTGACCCTCATGAGAAATCCGCATCCAATCAACCAAATGGGATCCATGAGGTCGAAAATGGCACTGATGTACCCTGCCTGAGTAAGGCTGGTGTTATAGACAACCTGCAGATAGGAAGTGAAGTAACTGCTCCAGCAATAGTAAGAGACCTGGTATGTAATATCCAGCAGACAAGCACCAATAACAGTCCGATTGGTGAGTAAACGGTATGGGATGAAGGGCTTGGGTGCTCCCCAATGCTCGTAGACAACAAAGACCACAAGGACGAAGAATCCAACGACGATCATGGCAATAATCTTCGCCGACTTCCACTCACCCGTTGTGTTTCCCGCAATGTTGAAGGCGACCAGGAAGAGGATCAGACCCCCAGTCATGAGAAAGATACCGCCGACTAAATAAAATCAGCATTGTATTCAATACGGTGGTTTCTTTGAAGATAGCTTCTCAAACGCACCATCAAACTCAACAATGTAGAACCAAACACTCTGGCGCCAGGTGCGGGTACTCCGAGGCTTGTATTGCAATCGTCCCTCTTTGTCTGCTTTCCGCTTGGCAAGTTCCCAGGTGACGATCAACGGAAGCGCGACGATAGGCAGGATAATGCAGATGGTGCCGTAGGCCCATTTCCAGTTGGTCTCATGAAATTGATTTGACAAAGGTGCGCCGGCGAATGCAGTGATGACATTGGGAGATGAGGTGAAGGCAAAAGCGATACCTCGGTTGCGCAGCGACGATGTGTCGGAGGTCATGACGTCGACACAGAAGATAATACCGGTGAAGCCGACTGTGTAGAATGCCTTTGAAGGAATATCGAGTAAGCCATGTTGGTCGCGGCCTTGTGATGAAGTGAGAAGGGTCTTATAAGAACGTACCTGAGCAGCACAATAAGTTGCGATATTGTGGCAACAGGCCATCATAATCAGGCCCATGATGGCAATCACGAGCATGATAAAGATGCCAAGTGTACGATCCCATAGGTTCAAGACCTTGGCAATAGGCATTAAACATGCTGCACTCATCACACTCGTGACGACGGTGATCACAGTTAACAGCGAGTGTCCGGAAAAGTCACTCGTTATGTATGCCGACAGGTTCGCCGTTAAACTGCTATTCAGTCCGTTGATGAAGTATAACATCCACATGCTATCTGTTGTTCAGCTACCGTTCTTCGACCTATTGTGAATGGTATCACACACCAAGCATATACAAAGATTAGTGACTTCATAGACCAGGAAGAAGTGATGGCTTCCGCGACCCGGACACCATCCTGCTTGTCATTATCCGTGTCAACCGTTTGAGGACGTTCCGTTTCCATGGGTCCTGGATCCTTATGGATATCAGTCGTAGGTGTAGGCTTAAGGCTAGCCATGATGACTGGAAGTCAGGGATACGGAAAATCAGGTAGATGTCAAAATTGAAATTCACTGGGAATGTTGGGTCCATTTTAAAGCCAGACATAACGAGGAAACTTCTACGAGGTAATACATTTACGCTAGTTGCCCCACTCGTGCCTTTTTCTTACCTTTTTACCTTCGCCAAAAAAAGTCTATCGCTCGGCCATTTCTGGGCTAGAAGATGTGCTTAATTGACACTTGATTTTTCTTTCTGACATTCGGAGTCTTATTTAATGTACCAAAAAGGAGGCGTATAGGCCATTATTAATGATTCCGTATATGCTTGTACTCCCTTTGATCAAAAGAATGGCACATTAATCTCATATAGCTTGAGATCCATTTTGGATGTAAGAAGACGATGTCTTGCTGCAGAGTGGCCGCACTTTTTATCTCTATTCCTACATCACCTTTCCATATTTTCTGGGCACTGATTGATAATTTCGAGTCCCCACCTATCCACTTGTAATAGAGACCCATTATCTTACTGAAGGTATCCGATCGTCGTCTGTCACAGATACAGGGGCGATTTGGGCCATCCTAGTGCCAGGAATCGCGCAGTGGCTGGCCAAAGGACGCCGATCGTAGCGATCCATAAAACGTTGTTGCCTAGAAGTATGTGGACACTGTACCTCACGCGGCTCTGGTTAACATTTAGATGCATGGCAATATGTTAAAAATTTGGTCACTAGATATGAGTCTCCTGGTTGATTCAAATTGGTTCCTAATCACATTGATCCAAGATTGAGATAAGTGAGCAGGCCGAGAAGCAGCTTTATCAACGGGAACAATCCGGTTGGAATGTTGATTTCTTGGCTTCTTGGCAAATGTGACATCTTTCATTATGTAGTACCAGGCGGGTCCGATCCAAGACTAGTCAATGGTGGAGTAGGATTCGGTGGATGCGGTGTCCGCGGGACAATGAAAATCTTATCGGCCTTATCAGATGAAATAAAGTCGGCCCTCTTTCTGACAGAATATGGAGCAAGCAATCAAGAAGATCCTGGCCTACCTGGAGCACTATCGATTAGGGGGCCTCGATCGACTGGTAGTAGCCTGAACCCACTAAATCCCATTTAACTGTTTAATTTAGACTAACTGCATGTCGTCAGCTAGATTCGGTTGATCGCCTTATTCCATAAGACTATAACATACACACTCGGCAATCATACTACGCCCCTAAATAAAAACTGGGACTGGAAATAGAGCAACCCCGAGGACAATCGGTCGAATGTTCCAGCAGTGCTTGATACCTGGCGAGTCTTGGTCATTCACACGGGAGGTGAGTGACTTCCTGAGGAATTTCAAGCCTCGTGATCGATTTCGGTACGGATTTAAAGGAGATTAACTTGACTGATGGGACTGGGGTAATCTTTATGACCATGAAAGTACTACGGTGGTGGCTGGGGAGCTTAGAGTTCAGGATCCAAGAGGAAATGGAGGGAGACCTATAATCGTGGTGCCAGGTAGTAACTGGCTTGAATTTACATTGATTGAATAAAGGTCTTTCCTACTAGAGAACATTCCAAAACAAAGAACTGCCTATATTGAGAAAAACTAGGGGAAAATACCGTAGAAAAATATCTGTTATTCTAGTGCAATCTATCTATCCTAAGAGTGGCTCCGTCTCGCCTCCTCGCTGTATCGTGAGTTTATTCAAAGACGGGCGACGCAAGGCTAACACAAGAAGCATTACCGGGCCGATTGCGAAGACAAAGCTATCAACGATGACCCAACCGATAGTCCCATACCAGATAGTAAAGGTATTCCAACTCATATGTCCTGGTAAATCCTCATACGGAAATGGAAGACACCATATCCATACCACTGACACGAGGGTAAATACAACTGCCTGCATAGCCAGCCCTTGCAGACTAAGCGAATTTGGAAAAGGCACTGTAAGGATCTCTCGGGCTTGACGGTAGACGCTTAAGCAGCCGAGAAAAGTGATGATCGGCCACAGAAGCATTGAATGTAGGGCGAAGTAAATCGCTGACCACAATCTCCGAGCTTCATAGTCCATAGGAGAGACTGAGTCGATGAGAAGCGGGATGATAGAAATGAGAAGAAAAGCAACGTAGCTGGCGCATAGACGGGCACTACGGTCGCTGTAGAGCAAAACTTGGGCGAACCTAAAAACAAAATTGCGTTAAACTCTATATGGGGATTTCTTTTAGAATTCGATGAAACAATCTCACATTACTAGGAAAGAGATCGTAACCACAGCACAATGGCACAGACTAAACCAGTCGCCTGCGGTTATAGGAAAGTGCAGGAATATGGTTTTGGCATTAGGGTCGTTTTCTGTAACAAGTCCATAAAAGTAGATGGTGAGCTGCTCCGTGGCGCTGATTAGATTCCATAGAACAGAGAGTGAAGATATTCCATAAATGCTCTGCTTTCTTTGTATGCGCAAAATTTGAGGTACAAATGACCCGATGGTGAAAATAGTCAATGTACTATCTGATTTAGCCAATATTCTATTCGGAGAATTGGAGCATGTATGCCTACATTCGACACCATAGAGGTGGTTCTGGAAATGCCATATTGATGCGTCCGTCTGGCGATCACTATCTGTCTGGCAGGCGGATAATGGCTAATGATTCTCTGCGTCCGCAGATGGGGGGTTTGAATTCAGCAGGTCCGTTAGCGAGCTTCGAGGAATTGTGGATTCTGTCTCAGGCTAGCGGGAAGGGGAAAAATGAAGAGGAAAAAGCAGGGTCAAAGAGCAGTGTTGCGTTGTGGGCTTCAGGATTCGGAAGGGAGGGAGGGGAGCAGCAAAGGGACCGAGCGTGGAAAAGAGGGTCCGGCCCACTTGTAAAATAACGATACATTCTTGGCAATAAACAAGTTTATGGAACCTGTTCACGAACGTGCTGTCCTGAAACTAGCGTGAGTAACAGTAGAAACCAAATGGGGCTAGACTAGTAGTAGGGTTAGGACAGGTAGTTTAGAGGGTCAGTGCGGCGGTCGCGAGAAGAACAACTTCTTACCGGCCTTTTGTACACTCACCCTTTTTTTCGCCCTGGTCTTTACCCCAACAATAGCCTTTACTCACAATACGCGAGCGCTCAGTATGCAACAAGAAGTTACTTATGCCTTGAAAGTCTGCTTAAGGTGATCGAAATTCTGGAAAGTTTGATGAATGGAAAATCTGATAATGAGCAAATGGAATTTCTATTTTATCTGCTTGGTGCGCCGACTGTCTTCAGAATTTCTTGTAAGCGGCCGACTCCAGCAGCTTAGCATAGAGCTGACGTTGGACCAGCTGGTAGCATGAGAAATGAACGCCTGGGGTAATTTTGTACCGGCTTTACAAACACTGCCCCCAGGCGAGAGTCCATATCGCCAGCTCCAAAATCGCGCTGTGTCAGAAAATCCATTAAAAGCATAAAATAGCCCCTCGATTCTTCTGCATCCGGTACATCTCAGAAGAATGGCACCTGGGAGAATATGACCGACCGATCAAGCCATGCGCAACAGCGAACTATCCAGCTCAATTGATCGACATCATCTGCCGGAGTCAGAATCTCGAAAACCTCAAATTAATCCAGAAAGCCCTGAAGAATATAATTAGTGCAGGCTCACGTGACCCGATCGCGTAAAATCTCCGAGCGCAGACCGTCGGAATGTCAGTGTCAGATCGGGAGCTTGGACCTCGCTAGCTTCGCCGAGCCTCACACAAGGGGCCCCGCATTCCCGTCCACTCATTTGCTTCTTTCCGCCACGTGCACCATGCATGATGCCGTTGGTGACATTTGGACCACGACCCGGGCGTGCCATGGAAGGCTGTGCGACATGTCTAGCGGGGCCGTTTATGTGTCCCGATTGTTATATAGACAATGCGCGTCTTGATCGTCCTATACTCCGATCTTTTGAACTTTGATCGGCCATGCAACCCTCGAATTCGAATATTGCAGATTTCTTGTCTTCTGCGTCAGATGCGGGTGTGGCGAAGGCTGTCGTGTTTCTTGAGGTATGAACCGAGCCGCCTATGATCCCGTGACTCTGCGGTCGAGTCTAATCGCGCCGTCAGAGTGCGGATACCGTCAATGAAGCCATCGATCGGTATTATGAGAATCCACACAGATATTCCCACAGACTGCGCGCATCCACGCGCAACTCTATGAGCAGCTCCATGAGCCCTCGGGCTCAATGCGTGAATGATAACCATTTTGCCACGTCGCCCGCCACATCGCCCACCACGTCGCCCACCCAAACCCCTTCATATTCGCTGGCCACACGAAGTCCACCCGCATCGACCATGAGTACAACAAGTCCGAAACTGTCCAGGGTGACAATGAGCAGCGGAACCTCTCATCATCCTCATATGAATGCCTTGATCGAGGCCGCCAAAGTCCGCGCCCAAGATGAGTCTGAGATGCAGAAGATGCTTCACGGCGCTCAGCTGTCAAGTCGGGTTTTTAACCCCGAGGTTGAGCCCGAACACGATACAAGCGTGCTCTGCGAATGCCCGGTCCACAAGTATTGGAAACGAAAGATTGACCGCCTCGACGTGCACGAAACCTGGTCAAAAGCTGTGATGTATCCCGGCGAGAAGTCATACCATGACTTCGCCCACTTGCGCTTTTTCAACAACAACCCATACTCCGAAATAGTGTCATCGTATGCGCCCAATGGGATCGCGCTTTACGGAATTCCCAGGCCCGACCCCCAATTCCACGCCCGGTTTATCGAACAGACTATCGCGTTAGATTCGAGTCTCAATGCGAAGGCACAAGCGGCTGTTCAAGCATTGGAGCCGTCCTTCAACATCTGGGAGCTTGAACGGCTAGAGTCTCTAGTGTCGGATATTTCCCACACTCGTCACTTCTCCATTGATGGCGATGAGAATAGTGATAAGATGTCCAAGCGCACAAGCATCCGAAAGGTACTGTCTGTGAAGACGCCAGACGAACGAAGTGCAGATAGGATGAAGAAGAAATTGGCTCGTTCGTCCGAGTTACGCAACGATATTCTAAAAGAAGAGAACGGACGATGGCAATATGACACCGACAGACAGATTGTCGTGGCTTACCAGGAAATCGTCGGTATGGCTCAAATGGTCGCCGAGATTCGAACGCACAAACCACTCCAATACCTCCATCTCCTCCGAGCGGGATATTTTGAGCCGATTCCCGTATTTTGGCAGGGTCAGGCGTCCAGTCCTCTCAGGTTCACTATTGACTCCGCTGCGGGGTGGAGAGGCATCACACCTGCGTGGAGAGGCTACAAAAACACTGCCGAAGAACGACTCTACTGGGTCCTGAATCACAGAGACAGAGGTGGAGACGTGATAAAGCCCGATCTGGTTCGGGAATTTGACATGGCAACCGCGCGAATGGCTTCATCGGTGGAACCCCACCCGAGATATTACTCCCCTGACGACATATGCCACGAACATAACTCTAGGCCCTACACGAACCAAGTCAAGATACCTTTCAGACTAGGGTATACTCCTAAAGCGCCGATGGACGAGACCATGATTCTGTTGGATGGTTCCGGCTCTATGGACTCTTACCCTGTGCGACCAAATTATGATAAATATCTCGTCATGGGCTATTCGAAGTCTAATCAGCCTAAGAACAAAGGTAACAACCAATCTTTGAACCGTTTTTAGGATATAAACTGACCTTTCGTGACAATGAAGACCTTGCGAAGACCATCGTTCGTCGCTTTATCGAAGCCCTAGGGAAGTATGACAACGACCAACGTGGCTACCAACTCGCAACGTTCTCCAATGAAGCCGATTTCATCGACGTGATTCATAGCTGGACCTTGAATGAAATCTGGAGAGAGATCAAATTCAGAGGACGGGCCCGAATCATGGCAGGGTGGCAGAAAATTAAGGAGCTGCATTTTCAAAAACATTCCGCAACAGCAACATACCACCCAGTCTACGGGTGGCAAGCTGGTCCAGAAACGCCCAACCTCCGACTACTTCTGATCTTAGACAGCGAAACCGGCGATATGGATGAATTCGAGCTGGAAATTCTCGGTGTTTCCTGGGCTTATGTTACTATTTTGTTGATTGGGGTTGACGAATGTCTCCATCACCACCGACACGCTAACAGACTGCAACGGATGAGCGATCAAAATCACCGTATATCATTCGTCGATGCCCAAGGAAATATCCCCGAACGATTGGTCACGCACGAACTGCTCAAGCGGCATCTCGGCTACGACCTTACATTTTCCGAATTCAAGGACTTGGAACAAACACAACAACCACCAGCAGAACTGCCATCCCCGATGCGACCCCAACACCAGAGAAGCCGGTCGAGCCAAAACTTGTTGGAGCAACCGCCAGTCGAACTTCCTTCGCCTGAAGAAACATTGCTCTGGCAAAGAGAGCAGCTGTCTGGACAGAGACAAGGGTTATTTGAGCTACCGGCCCAACAGGCTCCCATGGAACTACCCGCGACTGAGGTCTCAACAGGGCGTCCGGCGACAAGGCTTTCTAGACAAACGTCTCCCGTGTCACCGCCGCTACAGCTTGGGCCGTTGGATTCGCCGCCCCCTTATTTGAGGACTGTATGAGTGGACCACAGTTTTACCCGTCCACACAACCTAATGACTTATGGGAAGCGATATCTTTGTAAATATACCCTGGACTACATTATTATTCTCGAATCAATTTTTAGTATGAACGCAGTTGATACATCAGTACTCTTCCAGAATGTAGCAAGGCTGCCAATCTCGGTTCAACAAACAAAGAACATTGGCTCTTTCATTAGTGTACGCCTTTCTTTACTAGTCTCTACCATCAACGCTGTCACAGTATTTACTATTCCTTTTCATGAATCGTGTCACTGCCCGGAATCCGCCTAGTCCCTCCCATCTCTTCTGAAGTAACAATCGGTTCCGAAACTTCAGGCCCATGAGGCTCGAGTTGCAAGTTCGCACTGTCAAAATATTCCGCGAAAAGTGACATCCGGCCCGTCACTACCTGATTGATCGACCGGGACGGTATTACCGAGAGCGATTTCGGGCGTCTGCTGCTGGTCTGAGAATTAGATGTCCCCGATTCAGATCCAGCAGGGGTCTGTGGCGAGACTGGAGACGGAAACCTCTGCACCGGACTGGGTTGTGGATATGTATTGAGCGAGGAAAAAGAGGCGTGAAACTCTGCAGGAAGTTCGATGGGGGACGAATCTTCAAGAATAATTAAAATTAGGATTCCAATAGTGTATGCGAAAGAGGGTTTGGTAGGGGCTAGCAATGACATACCGTGCATCTCGTATACAGCGCCTCCACCCGATTCTACCGTGACCGGAGTTGCTGACGAGATCAATGAATCTGGCAGAGTCTCCACGCCAGTGGCTTCGGATGCTGGGCAGGGCCCAAGGGAGGTTGAGTCGCCTTCGTATATCAAATTGGTGCCGCCCGGGGTATCAACTGCCTTTGCCTCTTCAACTAGCGCAGGTTTATGTTTATTCCGATGTTCGCAATGATACCAATATCCGACAAGGAGTCCAACGACGAGAAGACTGCACAACACGCCGATTACTGCGGCAGCCCAGGTGGGAAACCGGCTGCTCTTGGTCATGCCCGTGGTGCTGCTCGAGTTATCGTAGGGCCAGTAGATTGCTATGTCCCTAGTATACCTCTTGTCGAATATTCCAGCCAAAGAGCTGTTAGTCCATGCTAATGGGGCGGTGGAGGTTGCACCCCCCGAGGAGCTACGGAAACCATTAGCCACGCTTTTTGTTTTCTGTTCCTTTGGCTGTTTTACTCACTTCCCCCCTATTTTTGCTGTCAGTACATCGGGTACTTTATATTCACTCCAGTTCGAAGGGTCGTAGTCCTGAAAGCCCAGGCTATTGAGGTTAAAGTTGACGATGACACCTCCCTCAAGACAATTGGTTGGGTCCACGCGCTGCCCCCCAACTGCAAGCATCTGGTTTGGATACACCTTTATACATTTATGCCCGCTGCGACCGTGTGAGGCAGTTCCGCTGTACGCCTTGACCCATGTGAAAGAAGGAAGAGACAAGATATACACGTCGTCCGACGGACTCGCATCATACTGGAGACCATTATAACCGCCGTAAATATAAATATTGTGCGATGAGCTGTCCGTGGCGCTAGCAAGCACGGAACAGAACTGGGTCAACTGTGGCGGCGTTTCACCAGTCGTGTTCTGGAGATACCATTCCTGAGTATTCACGTCGTAGACAGGGACCGCCTCCATGAACGTCGGACTGACGCTTTTGCTTAGCGCCATCTGCGATGCGTCTAGTCCGGTATCTCGCCAAAACTCAACGGGATCAACCACCCCCCCAACGGCTACTAAAACTCCAGACTCAGACACGGGGACCCACACCAGCTCTGCGTTGGCACGGCCGGTGATATAATGTGGAAGTGTATCATTGGTCCACTTTGCCTCACGCATGTCTTCCATATTCACGGTGATGAGCGTGTGGGCTGTAACCTTAGACTCCATCCCATCATAGGTGAAAGGACCCCAGTCCGGGGAGCGCATCCCGCTGAAATAGAATCCCAGGTTCTCACTCGGTGCAGACGCTCCAGCGCCATTGGTAATATATCGTATGACATTGCTAGAAAGAGTTTCTTCGTTCCAGCCGGGCTCCCAGTCATTACGAAAGGGACCATATTGGTAGGCCTCGTATCCAAGAACCTCATTATCGGGCGGTGGCTCGGTACTGTTGGTGAGACGGAGCATACCCCTGTAATCGTCCCTTAGTATTCGCTTTAGTGGAGAAGAGGAAGAGGGACTAACCCGTAGAGATAGAACTCATCATCGTTGGCAAACATCACTCCATCGACGTAATTTGGAGCTATGTTGTTGGCGGCACCGCCGGCAATGGAGGTATTGCTCAGAACATTCATGAAATTCGAGCTAGTGTTGAAAGGGGTGGAAAGGTTCAATAAATAGATGGAGCCCTCCAAATTGCCTGTTCTCGGTTAGCTGGATACGTTCATTAAAGTCACTGTTCGGTCCTCCTTTTACCATTATTCACATAATTAACGCAACCGTCCGAGAATCCCCTGAAATTGTCAGCGCAACTCATTGCCTTTCCGAAAGCACTTCATACTGTTGAAGCCATAATTGTCCTCCGTCTACGTAGATCGTATCGCGAATGACGTTGGCTATCACCGTTAGTACAATCCCCGGCAACAACCACAACGGCGACTACCCACCACGCAGGCCCTGCCAGTTACACATGGAGATGTTGACCTGTGTCTGCCATGTGTCGCACTCTCCTTTAACGCGGTATATAACATTTACCAGCAGGGTGAAAATCGTTTCCCCACGAAGCTGCATTTTCAATAGATGGGGACAGTCGCTCTCGTCGCCTGTCGTCTGGACTGCCAACAGGAAAAAGAAAACATATGATAAATTATCTAACAGAGGGATCAATAATTGAAAGGACATGGATGTAGAGTGGCGGAACGTCCGAGTCTAGTTAGCGATGTCGCTTTGTTTACTTTCTTTGTTATCCCAAACTCACCATCCTCGCCCCGTGCGCGAGGCAGCCAACGACAAAAGAAAGTCGATGCATAGGCTCGGGGACAGTACAGCATGGACCGAAACCAGATTTGCCACTTTACTGTCTTTGATTCTTTCCCGGCCTTCTTTTAAACCGTAGTATACTGTCTGTGATTTGCAACATCTTGACCCTTACTCTTGGCGGTGTCCAGGTGGGGTAATAAATGATAAAACAAAAAGAAATAGAGCTTGTATTATGCTTGTATTGTCCACAGCCTGTGTGGAACGTTTAAGAACGAAGCGCATGCCAACGCCCTGTGTCAGTTGCAGAGTACTCTATATGCAGAACAATCTTACACATCACATATCTGATTCAAACCCTCGGAGAGATCCTCGGGGAGACCCTAAATCGGACCTGGCGATTGGTACAGATTTAGGAATCAAAAGCGACCAGAAGATGAGTTACATCGGTCCCCGGCCGGGGTTCGAAATTTTTCTTTGTCTCCAAATCAGATACGGTAGCAATAGAGGCGTCGAGATGACGAGTCTATCGACGCACGCCCTCGGCAGCCAACAATTCTAGTTGCATTTGAGCCTCAGGTGACCATCATCTTTCAAGGTCTAACCGACCGTGCAGATGGATGGATATAGCTTTTTGCCCTCCTTTTTCTCTCTGGCCTTCTCTAGCCTTCGTCCTTACACTTCTTTCTACAGAAAGTCAACAATGTGGGCCTCGGTTTCTTGGTTGTCGCTCGTGGCAGGCTCTGCCTTCGCTGGGCCTACCTCAAGCTATAAAAATGGAGTTGTCACAGCTAACATGTCATCGCTGGCGAGTGCTAAAGACGTTGATTATCTATCGCCGCGAATGGCTGTGCAAACCATCATAAAAACTATCACGGAAACTGTTCCTGTCACGGTTTACACCTGTGGCTTGAAAACCAGTACGCCTTTGACAGCGGCCATCACTGGCTCTACTATAAGTACTACTAGTGAAGTTATCACCAAAACTACAACACCTAGTGCCAGTCTCACTCCGACAACTGATACTGAAATACGGACAACAACAACTCCTATCGGCAAGTCAACATTTACAGGGACCTCGACATTCACGAGTATTATCGATGGTTCAACGACGACACAAGTCTCGACTGTGACAATGAAGTCTATCAGCAAAACTATTAGCACAACTATCCTGACACTGGCGCCAACCACTTCAACTAATACAGCAGTTTTGACCTCGACGACTACCTCAACCACAGCAACGACCTTGAGCCGGCCAACCACGGCAGAGGTATCGACAGAAAGCATTGCCATCGGGTCAACCACGATAGAAGTCATGACGACGATGACCGCCTCCACTGCGACAACCTCATTTACATCCACACGAGCCACGACCACTATAATTACTACTTTCACTGCGCCAAGCGTCTCGACAGTAACGACCTCCCTTCCAGAGTCTACCACTACAGAGGTTTCGACAGTATCGACGACGATAGGGGGCTCGACTGCTACAGAGACCTTGACAATAGTGACTACGCGCGATAGTTCAACTGTCATTGTCGGAGGCACTACTGTTTCCTTCCCAGGAGCGACAAAGTCAAAAACCATTGTGATCACTGAGACTGTGTCGGAATCTCTTACAACCATTCCGGCTTCTACTGTCACGACAGTAATTACCCAGCCTCTTAGGACTGTGACTTTACCAAGTGATACAACGACTCCATCAGCTTCAACCGTTACAGCGACTATAACCTACTCGGCTACAGGTCCAGGTAAATTGTCTTCGCATTGAGCATCGTCGTAGATGCTAACCTTATCAGATTCAACCGCTACCGATATTACTACTGCTTTCGAGACAACGCAAACCCAGAGCTCTATTGGCACTACAACTGCCTCTTTCTCGGTCTGTCCTACCCTGATCGCAAATCCAACTTACACACCCACCTCGCCCCTACCAACGGATTATACATGGGGTTGCCCACCTGGCTACCTTTGCAAGCCCCCTCATACCGGTGACCGTGCCCACTGCAATGTTGAAGCTGGACTTCCAGCAGCTAGTTACGTGTGTAGCCCATCTGAGTGTATTGTATCACCGCCATTAGTGTCAGAGCAGGGATCGAATGCTGTTGGCCACCATTACAACGTCTCCGACGAGTATTATAACCTAGATCCAGAGGACTTTGGTCTCAGGTACTCTATCTTCAAAGGCTCAGAAGAATCAACGACAGCTATTCGAAAGCGTGACTTGATAACATTGGATGGCAGTGGTATATCTCTTTGGAATGTCTTCTCCAGCCAAAGGATCAAGAGGGATATATCAGATATTCCCGGTGTTTGCTACAACGATTGCAATGATGCGGCATTGGAGCCGCAAGAGATCGGGAAAATCCACGAGCTGTGCGAGAGTGACTCGGCATTCATGGTTGAGCTAGGCAATTGCAAGACTTGCATTAGTACCTACGCTTCATCGCCCTCGGCCGCATGGTCTCAAAGGTTGTTGCCTTCGTTCGCACAGTTCCTAGATTATTGCTCGAATTTGACAACGACTTCCACAAGCGTTGCTGCGGAGACGACTACTCTCAGTACTACAACGTCAGCAGGTGCCACGGAAACGAGCGTTCTGCTCACCGGAGGGTCCACCGCCACCAGTGTCGAGGTATCGACAGTGGCCACTACCCTTACATCAACCCAGTCAATGAGCATTCAAGTTTCTGAAGAAGCAGTCACAACCAGTTTCGCTGCATTGACATGGACTGTAACACGGAACAGTGAGAGTAGTGATACTACCAAGGCCACCAACTCCGCCAACACTGATAGTACCATCACTGTCAGTACCCAGACTGGACAAACGTCCAGTTCAGCGTGGACAACTCTGGCCACTACAAAGAGGACAGCTTCTGGGACTGGTTCGATGGTGTCAGAGTCTGGAGCTGAGAGAACAGTAACTCAGGATGGTAAATTGACAGGGAAGCCAAGCACAACTGGAGATGCTTTCATTAATTCTGGGATCCACACCACTAAAGCATCTGCCTCTACCTCTGCCTCTATTTTTGATAGCCCTCACTTTGCATCAGCATCGGCTAATGGTGTGCCTCACGTCGGCTTACTGAGTTGTCTGCTGGCTGTCATTCTGTCAATTCTTTAGAATGCCTGATTTCCCATAGAACCTGCCCCGTTTTCTGGGATTCATATACCGATGGTGGTGATACAACCGTTTCATTGATCCTTTAGTAATGGCGGAGTGGGTTTCGTTGAAAGAGCGTGCTTTTTGGATATTTACAGTGTGTGGCTTGTGAATTTATTTTGCAGGGACATATTTTGGCTGTATCTTCGGTGTCCGTGAGTAATAAAATGGAATTTGAACATCCCAGTCTCGTGATTTCTCTTGTTTGAGCGGACTATAGTCTTCCCATAAGTCTGTGCTCCCTTGACTTTCTCATCCCAGATTGAATTAAAAATGAGACAGATCCCAAGTTGCAGAAGGAAACACCTATCTAACTTTGACATTGCGCAATAGAGAACCGCGAGTCACGAAGAGGAAAGTTTACGAGAACGACAGGATGTCAAGTCATTTTCATTTTAACTACAACAGATGGTCGTCTCCTCCACACCCTTCGCCTTGTTATTCACATCTATGCCGGTGTTCACCACCCTCCAATCAAAAAAGAACTTGCCCAACCCGGCTCCAATGAAAATACAAACAATCACGTAAACGTTGAAGTACATCGCCAACAACATAACGATATAAGCACCACCAAAAGTGAAAGCATGAATAATAGCCCGGACCAACTGCTGCAACGGCATAGTGCGGAAGGTAATACGTCCCATAGACTCGGCCTCGCCGGCGGAGACGCGAGCCACAGCTTGGCGCTGAAATTGGCGGACGAGGAAGGCATCGTATTCCCGCCCGATGCGCCGACATAGTTCAACGACCATAACGAGCAGAATCATACCGATGCATGTTGCAGCAAACATGCCATTATTTTTGATCTGCCATGATGAAGAGAGAAAGCAGGCGTCGATGGTGTACCAATTAAATAGCATCTAACTGGATAAGCGGACGCGTCCAGCCAAAAAGTCAGACCTTGGCACTCACGGAAATTTTGCACTCTGCGCCGGAGCTGCTGCTCATGTCCATGCCGTGCATCTTTCTTGTTGCTGAGCGAGAACACCGATAATACAGTAAATCTTGATATGAAATCTATATGATCCGCGCGGATGGTCATGGGCTTCTTATATGGTCATGATCCAGTCTCCCGATTCCACACGAGGAAGTGCCTAGTCGGAGAGAAGTTGAGCCAAGCCATCAATTTGCTCAATTCTTCGCGGCTCTTGGAAAGGACCATTGTGTCTGCTATATTCAGTTGAATCATGACGTACAAAATCCCCGACTGGTCCCGACAGAGAAGAAAAAATATAGTATTGCCGTCTTGATGCCGAGTGTTGTACGGCCTGGATCAGTCAAGAGCTGGACATCTTACAAAGGGCCAAGAAAGCCATGAATCTCAAGATTAGAATATTCGCTCCTAGAGATTCGGGCAATGGTTCCTCTCCCGCCACGACAGATACTATCAGCTTCTCAGTCGCCGATGAAACGGACACCTGTGAAGTCTCTCCTGCTCCATCCGAATTTCCGTCTTGTCGCTGGGAGAAAGAGGCCATAATCGAGAACCTAGGCGGTGAATCGGAGAAAGGTTCCACTCATCCTGACTTGCGCAAATTAATCCCTGCGTTCCTGGAAGAAGTGGTGAAAGGGCCAACGGCAGTATTTGTCAGTGGGCCTGGCGATATGGTCAGTGATGTACGGGGGTATCGTGGCATCGTGCAACACTGGTCCCAGGGTCTGGAGCGGACAGGAGAGGCCTCTCTCCGATGTCAGCCTCGTTTGTGATGATCGTCTGGAGTGGTAAAATTGTATACTAGAATAAGTTTGCTGAACAAGGAACCAATACCAAAGGCGCAACAGCCACAGTTAGCATTCTGTAAAAGTTGATTGACTTTATTGATTGGCCGAGCCCCCTGAATGCCTAGTGTCATCGTAGGTCGGAGTGAGAAGAACTCGTGCCATGTGCACCATTGCTCGATAACAAGCACATTTATCTTGGTCCTTACGCCAATTTAGTGCAGAGTCAAGACCAATTTATACAAGACAATGGTACTTGGCCGATCTTCCGACGTGTCGAGAGTCTTGACGCCTCATTTTGGTAGTGGATATGATCTCCATCAATATGGCCCCGCACACCGACGATCACCCCGTTTGCTCGGTGCGCACGAGGCTATTTTAAGACTCTAAAGCCCCAACTTAAACGCCCGGGAATAACTTATTTTATCTTTGATGAGGTCAGGGGAGCTCGGGGACCTTCGTGAGCATGGGACAATTGAACTGGAATAGCGCCCCACGGCTAATGAGTGTCGCACCAGGAGGGGTTGGACAGTAGGGGCGCGCAGGGGTATCTCCACTCATGCACGATGACGAACACATCTGACCTATCAGTGTGCATACTCTCCTGCATCGTTCAATCTACTCCGTCACTTTAGACCGCCTTCTGAGCCGACCTTGCTATAAGAATCGTGATCCCTTCGGCTAGTCTGCGTGTTCAGAGAACCTATCCAACCTATAGCTGCACTCGAAACATCCCCAGTGAGTATCCCTTCGGCCTGCTCCATTGTCAGCATCTCTAACTTGATATTCTAGCAGACATGCCTTCAGCAACAGGAATCCTCAAGAAAAACGAAGAAGGCGCGATCCGGGGCCAATTCGCAGTCGACGGATCCACCTATTTCTTCGTCGGCACTCTCCTCACTCCGATTTCTTCGTTTGGCATCTCGAATGCCCGCATCATATACGACTCTACCGAGCAGCTCGCGGAGCAGCCCGTAATGTTTGAGGAAATCCCTATTCGGAAGGACCAGATTGAGCTCAAGCTGCAGAATGGTGTCGAGGTTTCGGGATTTTTCGACCAGCCTTTTGGTGACGATGATGTAAATGATCAGACTTTTGTCACGGGTGGTGCGGCTTGGATGCAGATGGAATCATGAGTTGTTCAGATTGGTGATTAGGACTGGTAGATTCGCATTTGTGCAGAGGCCCGGGTAGGATTTTTGAAGCGATGCTTACGATTCGAGGGGCATGAGGTAAAGTGATAAACAATCCAAATTGATGAGGTTCCGATTCGCCGGATAGGGATATTTCGATACACCTGTCCACGCAAGAATTATCTGCCAGGGGCTGCGATCATGAACAAGGTCGTCGTCACTCTCGGGCGTAAGCTAAGATAAAGCGATGCACCGAACACCCCTTGCTGGCCAAGGTGCTTCAGATGATGACATTTGGACCGGGTGCGGCTTCGGCTAGTTGCACCTTGCGCTTCTGAGAGCGCAGTGCTGGCATTAGTGACTTTCCAAGGCTATCATTGACTTTTGATGCTTCTGCCGATTCCAAACGATGAGACTGATGTTGCTATGGTAGGCGGCATTGAAGAGTCGATGTAATCGATGTGGATAATGGGCAGTGCCTTAGGGGTGGATTCCGTAGTAATGACAACTAACAGAGCGGAGAAAAATGGTATTTAACCCCCGTTGGATAATCACAAGACCTTTTGCAAATAGCACTCGCACGTAAGGTAATTCTAGCCAACTCTGAGGCCTTTGTTTACTTGGCATCAATTGCGACCCGGTCGGGTCGAACCGCTCAGCCGAGTTACCCGGGCTAGTGCAAAAACGCCATGTTTCCTTTACTCGAGTATGAACAACTGCAATCAATCCTCCTGAAAACTTCCAACGAATATCTAATTTCACGATCTGTTAATACACGGATTGAACTCTACGTTCCTCAAAGATTCCCTCTTCGTCCTGGGGCCATCACAATCCACGTTGTTCAGGCTTCGCATCGATCTACCTTGGCCTAACTTTTGGTAGAAATGTCTCTCTCATCACTATTTTTGCTCCTAAATCTTGGAAATCATTTCACTACTATTTATTTTGGTGCCTATAAGCACCCACTCAGGTGAAGAGTTAAGAGTGGAGACTTCAGCAAAATAGCAGCAACTAACTAATTCGAGTAAGGCACGCCGGCATTCAACGGGGATTAATTTACCCGCAATCGAATTTTCATTTTTGAAGGAGTTGGAAGCTCGCAGACATCTAATAAATAGATAGGGGAAAAAATAAGGCCGACGCCATATGTTACACTTCATAGGTTACTGCCACAGGCATATATCACTGTCTTGATTAATCACAGCCAGATGGTTGGTGTTTCTCGCTGAAGCGCAATTTGGAGAGAAGGGGGGAAACTAACCCCAGGGGGTAAAGATCGGTTCTATGAACGCGCTAAAATTGCTTAGTTTCGCTTATCGGCCTGTTCTCATATTGTGGCCGCGCAAGCATGGGGGGCTCTCTTCGAACGTCCCCGTGCTGGTACCTGACCCCTTTTCTGTGAGTGTTTTTGAGGGCCATTCTTGAAGCCTCCAAACCTCCAGCCGATCTTTTTGTGTTTCACGGATAGCAGCCGCAATTGAAGGCATACGTGTGTGTTTTTCCTTGGACCTTAAGTGGTTCATTGCAGTGCTCTATCATCATGTCGTTCTCTTTGAATACCTTCCTTTTTACCCTTATCGCTTTTCTCAGCCTCCGCATCGTCGCAGAAGTCGAAACCACTTGCAACCCGACCAAGAAATCATGTGCCCCCGACCCTGCCCTCGGCACCGAACACACCTGGTGGTTCAATTCAACTCTTGACGATAAACTATGGAACATGGCCACGGGAACTCTCAACTACACTGCCGAAGGCGCCGAGTTTGCCATTCGTACTGAGAACACGTCCACTCTTTTGGAGTCCAACTTTTACATTTTCTTCGGGGTGATGGAAGTGCACGCTAAAATGGCCGTCGGCCGGGGAATCATTAGTAGTGTGATTCTACAATCGGATGACCTCGACGAGATCGACTGGGAGTGGGTGGGCTATAACACGAGTGCCGTGCAATCCAACTTCTTTGGAAAGGGCAACACCACGACGAGCAACCGAGGAGAAATCCTCCCCGCAGCAAATGCCGATACCGTTTTTCACAACTACACAACCTATTGGGATAAGGATCGGCTGGAGTGGTGGATTGATGGTGAATTGATGCGCACGGTCAACTACTCAGAACCACTCACCCTGTACGGCAAAAATTATCCGCAGACCCCCTGCCGAGTCAAGGTCAGCAATTGGCCCGTCGGGATTGCGAGTGAATCTATCGGAAATATTGAATGGGGTGGAGGTCTTGTTAATTGGGACGAATTGCCTTTTATCATGACCGTGCAAAGGATGCGAGTCCAGGATTTCCATTCCGGCAAAGAATATGAATATGACGGGACATCGGGATCTTACGAGAGTATCAAGGTTATTAGGTATGTCTAACCTCCATGTGCCCGCGTGCCCTCCCTGCAACCCACTTTGAATTATCTGATCTCCTAACGCTTTCTACAGTGGAAATTCAACAGCCAAAACAGAAATCAACAAAAAGCCAGCCGAAACCGTGGCCGAAAAGTGGGACGGTCTCAGCGAAGGTGCTCATATTGGTGTCTATGTTGGCGCCTCCGCAGCTGCCGCCGCTGTCGTTCTTGCATTTGTATGGTGGTGCTTACGGCAACGCAGAGCTGGTCGCCTTCAGCGTGCCCTGGATGATTCTGGACAGGGCGGTGCCGAACTCAGACAGATGGAGAACCAAAAGACTTGGAGGCAAAGCCAGTGGGGACAACAAACCTACCAAAAGGTACCTTAGGGGGCCCCTTAAAGTGGCAAGCTCTACGAGCTCAGATTGCCCAGCAGGCCTTGGTGACTGGGTTGGATGTGGATTTTTATACGATTCTTTGTACATTATTAATCGTTCTTGAATTTCTGGATTATTATATTATTTTGATATCATTCAGCTTCACACTCTCGAGTCCATGATCCACAACCACAACTCCTTTCCCGTATCCTGAAGCTCTGGGACCCCAGGCTCCGAAGTATTAGTCAGCTTGTGGGCGTTCGGATTCCCCTGTTTGAAAGAAGCTGGCGAATGCACCTGCAAAGCCTTCGTAAGCGACTGGGTTCGTCTCTTGGGCGGAGTTTATCCCGTCCCACTATTCATTTTATTTTCGAAATATCTTCATTACTGTATGTTCGTTGCGTTATCTCAAAGATGATCAAATCACCCAGACTCCCATGTAGATGAGCTCATAAATATCAAAACCCATGCACCAGAGGCTCAACCCTCAAACACCTTGACCAATGTTCAAAATGACGCGTAAAGTTGAAAATAATGTTACAATCGACCATGCCCAAACACCGGTACCAACCCCTCGTCATAAGCCCATAACTCTTTTTATATCGTCATGCGAAGGCGCCTGTTGGCGCGGGTGTTGCGGCGAGGCTCGGGTGCTTCACTCGCCTCAGTCTCAGTGCGTGTATCCGACAATTCCGGGGTCGGGGTTATTCCAAAACTGACGCCGCGATCTCGACGGGAGACACGAGCCTCTGATTCAGGTGAAAGAAATCGGTGGATAATGCGGTGGTCCATGATCCGGTCTTTGCCTTCGGTCTTTGGCCACTGGAAGCCGTAGATCTTGGAATGTCGCTCACAGCGGGGACACTCGCGACGTGTTTGGTAGGAATTTGATTGGACGAACCAGGATTCACAGGTCTGGCAGTCGACCCAGCGATCGTATTTTTGGGCAAGCAGTCTCGGGGTCTTGGTGTAGTCTCCTGGAGCTCGGACAATGGGTACTTCGGTCTCGACGGAGGCAATGATATGCCACTTGCGTTTGTTGCGGCGCTTGGGAGTCTTTTCCACGACCGTTTGAAGTGCTTGGTCGAGTTCAAGAGTTGTTGATATGGCCTGTTCAATTTTCGCAACCCTTGCTTTGGGACCATTTTCGTCCACCGAGGTGGGAATACTGGACTCTGACCGCTGAGATTCACCCGCAGCAGAGTTGGGAGATTCTGGGTCCGCAGGTGCTGTATGTCGACCATTGGTCATTCCATTCGATTCAATAGAAGGCTGAGGTTCAGCTGACGATGTCTCAGAAGCTGGCTCCAATACTTCCGATAGAATAATCTCCTGTCTGAGATTCGACAATGGTCGGTCACCCCCAGTCGGGACGGGGAGCAGAGGAGTTGGACAATCGGAGCCCGGGGTAGAGGGGTTATCCGACTCAGGGGTTGCGGTGGATTCATTAGGGAGCTCAGACGCGGAGATTTCCTCGCGCAGCTTCGAAGTCTGACGCCGGAATTTGGTTCTTTTTCGAGGTGTAGAGAGTAAGTTCGAGTCTTCCGAGTCCATGTCAGAATTACGCCTGCGTTTCTTGTTGTTGATATTGGTTTCTGCGAGTGCGGGCGTATCCTCATCCACTGAAGTCTCTCTGCTGTTCAAGTCCGAGTCCACCTGCAGGGACCAGCCATTTCGTACTGAACGTTCGCATGTCAAGCATAGGCATTCGCAGTTGTCAATGCCGAAGTAGTCCTCGCCGTAGGAGACGGTGATCTCTTCACCTTCCTCAATGTTGCGCGTGGCCATGACCGACATGCCCTCGGTGCCCCGAGTGACCAGACGGCCATTGGCATCACAATCGTGGTTGGCAAAGCGAGCAGGGCCCAGGAAGAAGGAAGGGGTCTTGCGACGGCTAGACATAACCACGCTGAAGTCCTTGCGGGTCAGGCCAAGGTCCAGCTCTTCTTCTTTGGTCATGGAAACAAGAGTTCCGCTCAAGAACTTGATCTCCTGGCCTGACTTGATAGGCTTGCGAGCACATATGGAGGCCTCGTGCTCAGTGATGATGTATCGGTTTGTAGTGGTCACTTCGTAAGGGCAGTCCGGGTGGTACATCTGGATGTATTTGCGGAGGTGTCGGCGGAACCATTCCTGCTCACGAGAGCTGCGCAGGTTGGCGTGGTACTTTCTCAGGCCCGGGAGTTCTAGCAGTTTGCGCTCGGCCTCTGGAATATCCTTGGAAACGACGACATTGTGGAGGAGGATATGGCCAACATCGTCGTCGTGGATGCCGCGGGCAGGGCTGTACTTGGTGCGGTTCTTGCGCGTGGTTGTCCAGAAGTATGCCTGTGAGTAGACTAGGTCAGTAGACAACGTTGAGCGTGAGACTGCAGAAGAGAAACGTACATGATCAACGAGCGCATCAGTTGCGACATCGTCATAACTAGCCAGTTTGGCCAACGTGAGGCGTTCACGCCGCTCGGTCGAGGGGGAACTCGAGCGCGCCTTCTTCGGCGGCATGGTATGTGTTGTAGGTAGAGAGACACCTGAAGAGAGAAAGAACTACTGGCGTCATGAACAGCAGCGCGGGTCTCGCGGACTTGGCGGGTTGAAGGAGCAGAGATGAAGGCCGATCCGAAGAAGGGATTGGCGGGAGATTTTCGAGAATGACAGGGCAGAAGTGAAAGTGACACGGTTCAGCACATGGTGCAAAAGGAGTGAAGCAGCAGGTCGCCGATTGTTGCTGAGGAGTGGGAAGTGCCCGTCGCGAGACCAAGGGGAAACGACACTTTCCGCGTTCCCAGCTCCGGCCCATTTCGCCCGCCGCTTTTACCTGCGCTGCGCCCCAGCATTCAGCTCTCTACTCGGGGGCCTTACGTTGGTTTGGCATTTTTATGGCCATCTGAGACTCCATTCTCTGATTGACCTGTTTTTGAGGCTACCCTCTTCCTCCGACACGCCACTGCCCAAGCACCCAACTTTACGTATCATAAGCCATTTACAGCAACAGGTGTGTAGATAGATCACCTACCTACGTACCTGGGTATAGACAATAATATGACACTATGACTATATGAAGTTCTATGAAGTATAATCTGGTCATTTAGACCGATATCGATCACCAATGAGCCTTTAGGATGTTGGCAGGGTGGTGTACTGTCTTCAAGGATTCAATAGATCGGGGCAGAATGCCTCTATATAAGGAGGAGAAATGATAGCCTAATAATCGGTCCTCAAAGCGCATGCAGTGATTTATCGGGGCCCTCGTAAATCATCAAGTGGAAGTAGCAAACTGTATAGTGTATCACAATACCATTTCTCGATCACTCTTGAGTTGTGCCCAGGTGCCAGGTATCTGAAATGGAATCGAATGGCACGCGAGCCGAATCCACTGAAGCGCGCGACACCACTAGGATAATCCCTCGTCGAATTACCAATTCGAAGTGCCTAATTTCTCATTCATACCCTGAATCTCTCGTGACTAAAATAAATTAACCATCAAATGCGTGTGTACACAAGCCAATACAAAATCGACTGGTACCATTTATATCTCCTATCGGACAAACTTTCCGTTCGGGGAAACTCCGTTCCGACCCCGAAACAAATTGTCGTGATGCGACTCGCTCGAACGCCTTCTCCCCAATGCGCCCACGATGATCCAACTAAAGGTATGAGGATTACTCAATCAATGCTATACGGTCCTTACTGACATCTCCCAGACATTACTAAACTGCATCGACAACTCCGGCGCCTCAGTCGTCGAGTGCGTCAACGTCCTCAAGAAGAAGCGGCCAGCGACAATCGGTCAGTTCCCGATCCCGATCCCGACAAGTGGATGAACACAGGAGGATAAAACTAATACGAGTTGGATATACAGGTGACCGGATAGTCGTCGTCGTCCAGAAGCAAAGGGCCGCTGGTTCCGACGGTAGCTCCACCTCTCTCGCGAACAAAGTCCGCCGCGGTGATATCCGACATGCCGTCGTGGTGCGCGTGAAGAAGGAACTGCAACGGGAGGATGGCACGGTCGTGCGCTTTGGTGACAATGCCTGTGTTCTGGTGAACAAGTCTGGCGATCCCATCGGAACGAGAATGAACGGTCAGTGTTCGAGTCCCCGAGTCCGTTGACGAATACTGACAAATTTACAGGAGTCGTGGGTCAGGAACTGCGCGGCAAGCAGTGGTCCAAGATCTTGTCGTTGGCGCCCGTGCACGTGTAAATCTACATGGACTGTGATACCTTTGGGAGAGCGTGTTGTTTCTGAAAGCCTTTGCATTATGTATCAATAGAAATAAATCCCCTTATATCTTCAGCACTTGAATTGTGTTTTTTTTTCCACCACTTATCACACCGCCAAACTCCAGAGCATGCAAAATTCGCAAATAAGATCAAAGGGTATCGGAGTCGAGGAATCGCGCCGTATCGTTAAAAAGGTCATCACATGAACACGTTACCGCACGCGCAGCAGACATAGTAGAGTTTCTAGCACGATGTGAGTATATTGGACAAGATGAAATCGTCCAAGGTGACTCACCATTCCCGTTTCCGCAGAACGTTGTTGCGACTGGAAGAAGACCGCTTCGTTTTCACCGCAGCTGGGGCACAGCTTGTTGGCTCGGGGGAGCTAAAGCGGGAGAGACAGTGTCAGCCAGAAAGAATCTTAACCATGCAAAGTACCCCCGTTGCTGAACAATGCAGTTGAATTTGGGGTATCATCATTCTCATCTGGGCGAGGCTCACGAGCAGCCTCGGGAGCCGGAGGAGCGGTGAAAGGAAGCCGGCCGCAAACACTGCAGGTGATCTCCTGCCCGCAACACAAACAGAATCCGGCAAAACAGAGGAGAGCGCAAAGAGATTCGGGGTCACAAACCGTGGGATCAGAGCTAACATCCTGGGTGACACCGGCGGTGGCGCCGACCTGGCTGTTAAGCTTGTTCTGATAGACACAGTAGGAAGTGGCGGGCTCTCCGACGTGACAGGTTCGGCAGGTAAACATGAGCTGGTTGGTGTGTCGGTCCTCTTTCGGGTAGAGCAGGTTGGAACTAGCAATAGGTTAGCCATCATGTCCAAGAAGGATTAGGGGCGGCAAATTGAAGAACTCACCATTCGCGGCAGAAGCGGAAATGGATCTGGTCAGACTGCTTGGTGTCGCCACCGGCAGAGGGCGAAGGGCTTGCAGACATGTTTTAGAGAGTCCAGATGAGTGAGTCTAGAGATATAAGGCGGAATTTCTGGGGTTGGGTGTGTATGGAAGATCGGAGGAGGCGAAGACTGAAGGTGGAACTTGAAGCGCAATCGCAAAGGCAGATGTTTGCATCTGTTTGCACTCCCCCGCAATCGCTGTCAGGTCCATCGCGCAGATTAATCCAGCTCCTACAATTACACAACCTCAACCACAAAAAGACATTCAAGATGGTATTTGGCTCTTGCTTTATTCTCATTGCCTTCTCTCACTAAATTATTTCTTACCCAGGCCGACTCAGGTCTTCCCTCCGGCTGGGAAGTTCGTCATTCGAACTCTAAGAACCTTCCCTACTACTTCAACCCCGCCACCAAGGAGTCGCGCTGGGAACCTCCTGCGGATACTGATACCGAGAAGCTAAAGGTCTACATGGCGACGCATCACACCCCCGCAGCTCGCCCTGAGGCCGGTGGGCAGGGCGAGGGCAAGATTCGCTGCAGCCACCTGCTCGTCAAGCATCGCGACAGCCGTCGCCCGAGCAGCTGGAGGGAGGCTGAGATCACTCGCTCCAAGGAGGAAGCTATTGAGATCTTGAAGGGTCATGAGCAGCGCATTCAGTCGGGGGAGATCACTCTTGGTGACCTTGCAGTCTCTGAGTCCGACTGTAGCAGTGCTCGCAAGAAGGGTGACCTGTGAGTTTTGCGCTGTCGCTAGTGAACTTTTTCACGAAGCTAACTTAATCAGTGGATTCTTTGGCCATGGCGAGATGCAAAAGGAGTTTGAAGAGGCTGCCTTTGCTCTGCAGCCGGGTCAGGTCAGCGGCGTAGTTGAGACGGCGTCTGGAGTCCACCTCATCCAACGGTAAGCAGCACAACTTCGAGAACCCTGATGGGTATTTACCTTGCTGACAACACCTGATCAAACAGTGTCCAGTGATCTAAACACCGTCTATTAAATTGACATTTGGCCCGTGACATTGGCTTTTTTGTCTCTCTCGAACTCCATGTCTTCCGTTTCATGGATTTCTTTTCGAATTGGAAGTTGGTTTAAAGCTACAAAAAGCTAATTCTGTACTTTACACAATGGATTAATACGCAGCTTTCAATGTTGATGGAGCTGTGCGGCGGTGTCTCAGAAACAAGAGGACAATAGGATAGCTCATACAGCTGTGCCGACAAAGACGCTCAATGACAGAAACTAAATGAAAAACTCCAAAAATTCAGAATGATCTAGAATTGTCATTACACTAACTCTGATACTAGACATCTCAATAGAAGGTGAACGTGATTAAGATGCGGGAATATGACGATGCTAGGGTCTTTCAAGCTGTGATTGACCCCAGAGCACCCTCCTCAAGTGAAGCTGTGTATCATCACTGCGAGTCCTGTTCCTTTCCTCCCCTCTCTTTCTTTTATTCTGTGCCTTTACTTCCCTCGCTCACTGCCCTCACCACCTTCCCCTACACGTGCATCCATTTAGCATCGCCCGATGCCCACGATGGAGACCGTCAAGATCAGCCGCGACTTCAAGCGCTTCGACCACATACCACTACACAGGAGCTCTATTCATGATTACCACTATGATCCCAATGACTTCGAAATGCCCAGCTGGCTTTTGGTCCCTCACGTCATGAAAGACGCGATTGCTCAGCTCCATGAACGCGCACAGATTACCATCACATCCATGAAGCAGCTCTCGCACCTTCGTTCTAGCCGTTACGACAACATGTGCTCCCCCTCACTCGGTGTGCTCTACCAACTACACCGATGGTCCATCAAGCGTATCTTCGACTGGGAAGCGCAATGGGACCCAAAAGATCCCACCCTTGTACCCTCTGCCAAAATTCCTCGTGAAGTACTCAGGTTCACTCTCGATCCCCAGCATTACGCCAAATTTTACAAAACCTACGCCCTTTGGATCCAGAACTTCATGATCGGCCCCATCAGAGCCTGGAAAAAAATGAAGCCTCTGGTGATTACCCGGGCTTTGCAAGTTCTGACCGAGCATCAGTACGGGGAGTGGCGCTACTGGTGGGACAACACTTACATGCCTGCGATGTGGAAGTGGGAGACATGTCTGGAAGATCTGCTTCTTCCTTCTTGGGAGGATATCGTTGATGAAGTCTACGCGATGATTCTTGAACGTGTCGAGGATGCTGAAGAACTCGCCAACTCTCTTTGCGCTACTTGCTCTCCACCGGTGACTCCACGGGAACAGGAGAAGGATCATGATAACTACTTCATTTTCACCTGATACATCCTCTATTATCATTACCGTGGACCTTTCATGAGATTTTTATCCCTACTGCCGAGCATATGCAGCTTGGAATGATGATTCGCGATACACAGGGTGGATCTATGAGATACGAGGACATGTAATGACAAGGAGATGATCTAGTGGCATCAGAATGCATTCAGGGTATGCACTTTGATCTTTTCTCAACATGAGATAGTCTACCTCATAATCCTGCGCCCAGAATAGAGTGTTAATGGGATCTGTCTCAAAGCTAAAGAATTGCGAAACATTTGCCGCTCAGTAATAGTAGTCCACAATGAGCCATACTACTATACTTCCGCTTTTCTTTCACATATTCCTTTTGTGCTTGAGCTCCGTAACGCAATGTCTTGTGTCACGCATAGTGGTAACGATACTCTAACAAAGACACCATTGCTTTCCTACAGTGCTTCCGGAAACTGGTGTCACCACCTACACGCTTTCATTGTTTCTCGAATCCTACTGCCAAGAAGCACTAAACAACGTTCAGAATAGCTCATATAACCCCCGGTTTCTAGCCCTTGTAACAGAAATTACCGGACTATTGTATACGCTTGGCTTGTGTTTTTACCTGTCATAGCTATACAGCTGCTAATTCGGTGCCTCACATGCAACATTCCATTTCAACCACTGGGGATGAGGGGCTTCTGCCTCACTTTCCGGAATCCTATGGCGCCTTGTTCAATCACCCAACCTCAGAGACTCCGTCCATAACAACCGAGAGCAAATCCAATTCGCTGAGGCTCACCTGAGGAAAGTAGCTAACGTCTATCTATGCTTGTCTTGACAATAAGCTCTTAGACTTGGTGGTAAACTATCTGACTAAATGCTTTCAAAAAAAAATACGATGGTTTACCGATCAGCAGTGTCTAAAGTGGAGATTTGGAAGCTCAAATCATCTCTAGATGTTGAAGCAGGAATGCCCTGTTTGCGAAGCTCATGGAGCCCCAGGAGGAAGAAAACGAAACTACATAGATATTTGAGATAGAGTGTCCTCATGCAATTGTCAGCTTCTTCTTTTTAAATGTCTCAGCGTAGCAAAGTCGCATCGGTCACGAACTCATTCTTCATAAACTTCAATTGATCAATTCAAGAATGGTCCTCCGAACTTGTCACAGGTAGTGTCCATCAAGGTTTCCAAAGGAAGATTGCAAGATTTTTTAAGGATTGCATAGGTCAGACAAATCGCGCGCCCCTTCCCGAAGAAAGCCTAAATAAGACTCGATGATCAGTGTGTAATTGATTGTCCGTTTACAAAATGCTTGAAAGATAAAAGTAACTACGGAGCGTGATGTAGATACAACCTGATAATTGGACACATGATGAGCACCGGGGGTCTAGCCCGTTACATTGCGATAATTACATTGCTGCCAGTTACTACGATAGATACTGTAGATGAATGAATGAGAGCTCAGTTTGTCAGTATTCACTTCTTTTGGACAACCCTTGTAGTAAGCATAAATTCAGAGCTATTCAAGCTTTACATTTGCCTGTAAAGCAGTATCCACAGTCTTCACGGCCCAGGCCGTTGTTGACATCTAGACCACCACTCCCATCTTGGTTCCTTGAACAACATTTTCCATCGCGGTTTTTACTAGGAACATAGAAAAGTTAACGTTTGCCAGAACCTAAAGAAATTAATGTCTTACCAGTTGTGAAATGAATTCTGGGGACCCAGGCGTTTACCAGAGCATCTATCGGCATTCCCTCTTGTACCCGAGCAACGGAGTTCTTCGAGTGACAGTGAATCTGGAGTCAAGGTATCCCGGGTCACCCTTTCTGTGTTGGACATCGCGAGCATGGTGACACAAAGCATGAGGAGAGTGTTGCAAAGAATCTTCATCTTTTGACTCTTTGGCAATGTCGTGATTGAAGAGAAAAGAGAAAGCAAGCGGATTGACAAATATCCCAAGCAAGTTGAAATCGTTTTATAATCCCTCGCACAGAAAGGGGCATTTTTCTCTCTAAGCCACAAAAACCTTAGTTAACCCTTACATTCTACTAGCGTATGACCAAGCCAATTATCGATCATCCGCACGGTTCCCTAGATCTTAAAAAAAAGCAACGTAAAGGGTTGGATTTATTCAGAAAATTAGGTAAATGCTAAAGTCAGAGTTATTTCACGATGGCGAATCGCAGGCCTAGAAGCGGCGTGGAATATGATTATTCATCGTACTCCCTGACCGCGATAAGTTAGTTACCAGACTCGCGGCTGACAATATATATTAGTTTCTTGTTTCATCTCCCTTACAGGAGGGCGATCGGCATTCGCATTCACTATGCATATTGATCACCGAACATAAATCATATGCTCTGATACTATTGGGTGCTTAGTACCTGTGACTTTATGGACCACTGACTACACTAGTAGCGCAATGAATCATAGCACCGAACCTAGCTAAATCTACGCAAGGGGATAGGCTGGTCTCGCCTCGGTACATTTGTACAGTTACCCAACGAAGGAAATGAATGAGGCGTTTCTGATCAAGATACAATATCCATGCCAATCTACCAAAGACGGGCTGGCAGTCTTTTGCCGCCTCTGCTCATGCTAAATGTATGTTTCCTTAGAGGTCGCTGCGACATCTAAATCTGGCTCTCGATCATTTTAACCTGACACAACTGCAGTATGACCGAGAGTGAAGATTTGAGGGAATCTGGTTGTTCCACAATGCTCGCGATCTGTTTCTTTCCTAAATGCCATCTAAGCGGTCTCGCCGGCCAATAACTGGAGTTCGATGTGCATTGAGAAAGAAGATTCTCTACATCCTTCATAAGCCGCACGTTGTCGTGCACTATTATTAAGCCTAAAGGCTGTGGTTATTTACTGAACATCAACGCGGTAACTACCATAGAATCTGAGTCTAGAAGCTCCGAGTACTGTCCTAGGCTTTGTGAAAGAAGGAGTACCTCTTTGCATGCACCATTCATATTCCGGAAAATGTTTGTCAGTTTCAAAGAAATTTCAGCTGCATATCCATAACTCTTATAATACTAGCAGCAGCGGATAGCGGATCCAGTCCGGGCAATTTTGGCTTCTTTGTGTCTTTCCGAAAATGTTGCTCGTTTGGGCTACTACTTCGGACTTGATAAAACCTGTATCGGCGATGATACAGGAATATTGCTATTCCAGGACTACTCTCCAAGTGTTATAGTAGATCGTGGCATTGGGGTTCGAGGAACAATGGAAGAGTGTAGGTAGTGACACCGAGTTTCGGAAGTACTGTATGCATCCAGGATCCATTGTGCTTGCAAGGCTGGTACCTACAAGATGTTCCAGATTCATAATGAAAATATGACTTGTTATTCAGCATACGTGCTTTGTTCTTGAGAGTACCCCCTCAAACAGTCGTTTCTAAGCCTTGGAAATATCCGGCTTTACGGACAAACACAGGAAAGATATAAAAGGCCCAAAGACACCTTCAATGCGACATCAAATAACAAGATCAATAGCGAATGAGAATGGTCAAGAGAGCCCATATATTTAAAGGTAAACCCCCATTCCCAATTCTTTTCCCCATTCATACTCAGACCAATAGTCACAATTTGCCTCACCTACGCACCAAAATACAACGCCTGTGGTTGCATCCACGAAAGACCAAAACAAAGCCACTTTTACACGGAAGACGTCCCCTGTACCGGCCGAAAGTTCAGGATCTTCCAGTCCAACCTCCAACCCTGCGCAGACTACTGATAGAAGAGTGAGCAAACTGAATAAACCATTTGCTAAAATCTTAATTAGGCACGTCAAAGAAGACCGAGGGCATCAGGAACGCAAAGCAGAACAATACTTCATCAGAGATGTTCTTCGCAGGCCGCAGGGTTTTCAAAAGTACTCCACCTCAAGCGAATCCGAAGGGCTTGTTGAAAGAGATGCAGATGGAGAAGGTCCAGGAGAGGATGCGGGAGGATATCGAGGAGCCAGAACAAATCACAACTCAGGAGTCGAATATGGCATCGCGGAATGTACTTGCCAAGGTTCAGTGGCGAAGGAAGCCAGCTCGGCACAGAAGGAGAAACATTAAGAAGGGCAAGAGGGTCAAGAAGCCAAAGAAGCCAAGGGCTCAGGATCAGCCACGAAAGATGGAGAAAGCATCCCAGTTGCTTGCCGACCAGGTATCCCCGTGCCAAATTGGTGTCTTGTCAGACACTATAACACCGAAGACGAAGTGATGAATGAGTACTTCGATGGCCTGGCGAGAGCATGTGATCCAGTGGATCGCGAGTTTATAGGGATTGGATTCTAGGTATTTACGGGAAATGGGAATGGGTTGGACCCGATCTGGATACTGTCCGAAGAAGTTCGACGAGGAATTTGATTTATATCGAGCGTGGGCTGATTTGAGGCAGATTATAGAAGAATGAGATCGGGAAGAAAGGAACAATGGGTACATTAGAATAGTAGAATCACTTGGAAACTTGAGAAATCGTTTAAGTATCTTATGCTATCCTAGTAACTTGAGCATCATAACGTCGGAATGTCCATGTACATTTGCCTGGCATCGTCTCGTGTTGCGGGTCATGAGATGAAGAAACGTTGATTCAGATCACCGTTCACAAACTGGTGTTCAGTCGCTCCAGGCGAGACGTAATGGCGTCAATGACAGCAGACCTAGTTGGACCAGTTAGCTATGTCAAAAAATGTGAAAGTAGAGGCAAACTCACTCCCGTTCAACCATTTTCATCGCATCGGCGATCTTGGCGCGTTGCAACCGTTGGGGCACCTTGGGTTGAGAGCCAACAGGTGAAGCAGGGCTTCCTGGTTGGCTGGGAGAAGGCATCTTGGATGTAATGGACTTTGTTTCGGCCATCAGATCGAGGGCAAGGCGTTTGGCCTGTGTGACATGTAAGACGAGCGAATACTACAGTCAAGACTAAAGAGGTTGATTCTTACCATGCCCAAACGCTGCGAAATCCGCTGGTTTTCCTCCTCGTCCTCCTTCGAATGCCCATCATCAAATGACTCGGAGAGGGTGTTGACTTCTGCGACCCATGACTTCTCCTTTTCACTGAGGGGACGGCCACCAGAGTTCAAAACCTTCTTGCGCAAAGCGTCGTACCGTTGCACAAGTTGATCCTGTCTGTCTCTTGCTGCCTGCAGCCTCTTGTCGAGGGCGTTGCTGTCTCGGACTGCCTCCTTGCGATTGCCGTCTTCGTCAATCTCGCTCGTTACACCCTTGATACGCTCTGCAACGTCCGAAAGCTGTTTGAGCTGGTCTTTCATCTCACCCTGCAAACGCTCGCATCGCCGGAACAGATCCGAGGCGGCTCGCTCGAGGGCGTTGGTGTGGGCGGAAAGTACTCGGTGGGCGGTGGTGACCAGGTCCAGAGTTGCTGGAGACATGCGAACATTTTCCTTGAGAGTGTGTCGCTGGCGGTGAGGAACGTGCTTCTCGACGAACGAATCCAATGGGGAGTTCGCGTATAGAACGGCGGGAACTTGATACGGAGCTCGGCGGGGAGGCACAATAGGGGAACCAGGTGCCGGGAGCTTGTGTTCATACAATTCCATTGCCGCAGAGAAGGACTCCTCTGGGGCATCCATAATGGCCGCGTATGGATTCGAGGGGTGATAGGTGATGAGTAGATAGCCAAGATCAAAATCGTAAAAGAGCAGGGATGCGGCCAGGTGCTCATTCTGAGAAGTGACATCCGCTTCCGAGACTTGAAGTATCCGCTGTCTTTTAATAATGTCTCCACCGCAAATGACCCCGAGGCGGAATTCAGAGCCAGATGTGTCTTCTGTTTGCAACTCGGCCTCGAGCCTTTGCGCCCAGGAAGACATGGAGAAAGATACCACATTGCTTGCGGTTGTGACGAAGAAGGAGTACCGTGAAAGGACATCCTTGGTGAAAGTGGGCCAGGTAGTCGAGGTAACTTCGCTTGATTTGAGGGTGTCCAGCGATTCAACCAAGATCATGTCAGATGGCTCCGACCAAGGGGTTTGGAAGGTCGAATTCTTTGCGGTCTTGGGCAACCACTGGCCTTCAACGCCATCGAGCTCCAGGCAGACGTGAACGCGGCCATTTGTGCTGGAAAGGCAGATAACGGTGGCCGAGAGCTTGTCTTGTTCGCTCACTTCCACAGCCAGTTGTTCCTCTTCACCTTCCATTAGGTCCTCGACGTCCAGTCTGGCAGCGATTACCAGGATGTCACAAAGATCCAGATCATCTACTGCCTCACCGTAATCAAAGCGGAACGGCCCTTGCAAGCGCGGAATGGCGCTTGGATTGGCTGGGCGAGTATAGACATCCGCTCCCTCTATCACGCCAGACTCAGATGATGGTTCCAGAGACACCTGGTTGTCAATTTCACGCAACCATTCAAACTGCTGCCGACATGCCGCCAGCTGCTCCTCTTGGTTCTCAGCGCCATCTCTAAGTGCGGCTAGTTTGGGTCCGTTGGCGGCGGAGAGAGAGGGAATTGTGGTCGAAGGAGCCTGCCACTTGGACGGCAGAAGAGGGCAAAGGGCATAGAGATCGCCTGGTCTCATTGCCACCCAGAGAGTCATCGGTGCCCACGCGTCCTCTCGTTCGTCCCCATTCCCCGCAAAGCAAGCCGAGCTGGCCTCCATATCGATAATGTCGGCAGAAAAGCCCTTGTTGTTACTAAATTTAGAGGGCGTGAAATCCTGATCGGATGACGTTCCATCGATGAGCTTCTTGAGATCCACAGCCAGCGTAGGCTGATCAAACGACCAGTGGTTGTTTCGGTCCAACTCCCACACACGCACCGCAGAATCTGCCGTGACAGTAACTATGCAGCCACTGAGGTTGGTATGCAGACCCAACGGGTGCCATAGGGCCGAGACCACCGGTGCTTCCGGAATAACATGGGTGGTAGGGCCGAGTTGATACGTCTTCAAGCGAATCGGAGCATTATCGGTAGATGAGAGATGCGAAGAATCCGGGAGGACAGAGATGTGGACGGTGTGCTCGGTGACAATTGCAAGAAAGGCGCCGTTCGGCGAGGGGAGGATCTGCTTGATCAGACCGTAGACGGGTACAGCCAGGACCTGCGCACTGTTAGCCAGAGTCGATTTCGCATTTTAAATGGGATCCTCCGATCAGACTCGGCGTATCACTTACCCGGTAAGATGGAATTTCCGAGCCATCTGCCTTCGCCTTAGATTGTCCAGCGGATGCCTTTTTCTGTTTGCCTTGTTGTTCCCATTGATCCTTCAGCCGCGCGAGGTTCGACCAGCGAATTTCATTATCAACGACGGCGAACACTTCGTGGCCCCTCTTCGCGATCGTTCGTGTCGGTCCGCTGGCCCCGGAAACATTTGTTCGGCTCTGCAAGTCCTGCGCAGGGCTTTTGACCGAAGTGCTCGTGAAGAGGCTGGCACCTGGCGAGGGCCGGCACAGCCAAGCCGGCGCATAACTGTTGACCTTGGGCATTGAAAATGTCGATAAATGCCGATGAACGAGAACCACAATAAAGGAGGGAGTGCGACAAGACTCAAACCGTCCTCGCCCAAGAAAACGCGGGCAAAGCGGAAGTTGTTGATGCGTGGAATTCTTGCGCCAAGATCTTTTGGGAGAGCTCCGAGCTCCTTGTCCGCCTTTTCCCTCTCCAACCACGACTTCTTTTCCTCCCACTCACCTTCTTCGCTGGCATTGTGATTCACAATGAGCTTGCTCTCAGTTAACACAGTCGATCGGCTGGATCGTCCCAGTGCCTACTATGTTGGCAAGGTAGGCGCTTGCACCTTGCAGACTCTACGGGTCTGCGCAACATTTGAAGACGGGCGCTAACGGACACGCGCAGAATAAGCGACGCAGATATAACGACCGCGACGATGACAGAGGAAGAGAAGAAGACCCCGTGGACAAGTTGCGTGGTGCTACGACACTCTACGTGGGCAACCTGTACGTTCTGCCCGCAAACCGGCAACCGGGATAACGGCACTAAATATCCACAGGTCTTTCTACACTACCGAGGAACAGATCCACGAGCTCTTTTCAAAGTGAGTCTCGCCGAACTGTCACAATTTCTGCCATTGCTGACCCGACATCCAGGTGCGGCGAAATCAAGCGCCTAGTCATGGGCCTCGATCGGTTCAACAAGACCCCCTGCGGCTTCTGCTTTGTTGAATACTACACCCACCAGGATGCTCTGGACTGCCTGAAATACGTCGGAGGTACCAAGCTGGACGAGCGCATTATTCGAGCTGACCTGGACCCCGGATTTGAGGAGGGCCGTCAATATGGGTATGTCCTTTTTACGGAATGCCACAGATACCTGAGGGTATTCTTATGACAAGGATTTGGGCTGACATAGAATACAGACGTGGCAAATCTGGAGGACAAGTTCGTGACGAGTACCGTGAAGAATACGACCCCGGCCGCGGTGGTTATGGCCGTGCATACGACGAACAGCGTCAACGGGAAGAGGATGAGTACGGTGCCGGACGGTAGGTGATCTTTTTTTAACGAAACAATGGCGATTGTTGTTACTGGAAAATGGCGCTATTCCCAAAGGCGTAATGTTTTAGAAAAAGCTGGAAATTCTATTCACCCGATACCCTATTTACATGTGTCTTTTGAGTCTCCTCTATATGCTCTAGTGCGCTAGTTTGTTTCTCTTATTCACTGCCTTTTGCACCTGGTGCAGCCACCATGCATGAATTCTGGCATCTCCCGTCAGCTCTGGGTGGAAGCTGGTTCCGAAGACATTGCCCTGTCGCACGGCCACCACGTCGCCCACCTCTTGGTCTGGGTTGATATCACGCCCCTGTGTGGCACAGCGGGCTGCCGGTCCTGACAAGGTGGCCAGCACCTCAACATGATCAGCCATGGCGGCTTCGGCCACCGAATCTTTGGCCCGCCGGGAAGGCGCAACGACAGTCTCGTCCTGCTGAACTTCGCCGGTTTGAATGCCCTCTTGATGCGGCAAGATGCGTTCCACAATCGGTGCCCGAATGAAGACTGCGGGGAATGGCGGAGCATCTTGGCCCAAGAACGGCAACTCCAATGGACCCTGGAAGCTCTCTGTCTGCCGGCCGAAGTGGTTGCGGTTGACTCGAACATCCAGTCCACCAATAAGCTCTTGACCACCTTTCTTGGTCTTGTTGGCAGACTCGGCAAGCAGGATCAGACCTGCACATGTGCCCCAAACTGGCTTGCGATGCACCCTATACATTTGCCACATTAGACTTGACCACTTCCACGCTCAGTACAACGAGTCCTTACTTGACAAAGTCCCTCAGAGGCTCCAAGAGATTCGATCTGGCTGCCACCAAAGACATAGTGGTGCTTTCGCCACCGGGCAGAACAAGTCCATCGCACTTGGCCAGTTCTTGTGGCGTTCGGACCTCAATGAACTCCCATTCTGTGGGGCGGTTCTGCTCAGCAGCCTTCTTCAGCAATTGAATGTGCTCGAAGAATGCGCCCTGCAAGGCGAGAACTCCAACTGTGAGCGTCATGTCTGTAGGTTGAAAGAGTAGAAATTTGATATCCCATTGCCTCTTTCGATGTGACTCTTCGTGCACGTGATGCAAACTTTCCGCGGGGAATCTTCTTATCTCCACGTGACTGGTCTGATTGGCCCGTCGGTGTTCCTGAGCGCTGGTCAGATCGTCGCGGGGCATCAAGAACCCAACTGTATAAAAAGACGAGATCCATGATACGCGCTTGCTGAAAAACTTCGTTTATTATCCCTCGTTGTCTCGGGCAGCCCCACCTACCCACGCATCCCTGGGTAGAGCCCTCTCATCATATATCTGGGATACTAAGCAACCATCTACCGAAATGGCGCTCAACGAGATCAACCTTGAAGATATCCTGCAAAATGAACCGAAAGGGCAGAATGTGGATAGTACATTGCAAAAGCTTCCAACACTAGCGCGCTGGTACATTGATACTCGCGAATGGAACACCAAGGGCTTGGATCTCCCGCTACTGGAAACGTTGCGTCCTCACGAACAAGAGGCCGTAAAGCGATTCTACCACACTGCAGACAAGCAAATGTCTCTGGCCTCACACCTCCTGAAATACCTTTATATCCACCATGTTTACGGTATACCCTGGAAGAGCATTGTCCTCGGCCGCACCGATCCACCCCAGCGCCGCCCATGCTTCAACTCCACCACACTGACAAAAGTCGAGTTCAACGTCAGCCATCAAGCATCACTCACAATCCTCGCTGGAACCGTGGAACCAGATGACAGACAGCTTTCAAAGCTAGCTGCCGCGAACATCTCAGCGCTACGACCCCAAGTCGGCATCGACATAACATGTGTCAACGAGCGCAAACCAATCACAACTTACACGGCTCTAATAGAACATGTCGAGATTTTCAGTGAAGTTTTCTCCACCCGTGAGCTTGATACCATGAAAAAACCTCAGTTGGTTCTCGCCCAAGCTCAGCAACTGGGATACGCCCAGAACTTCTCAATCCAACGCCAAGACGACGTGGTCCGCTTCGGTCTTCGCCTCTTCTACTCGTACTGGGCTCTCAAAGAAGCATACGTCAAAATGACCGGTGAAGCTCTCTTAGCACTTTGGTTACGCGAGTTGGAATTCACGAATGTGATTCCTCCTGACCCTATCGACCCACTTCCTACATCCAAGCCATATACCACATCGGACCGAAAGATCCCACAATCGCCGAAAAACTGGGGGCTGCCGTATACCGGTGTCGTCATTTCCAAGTCTGGTGAAGTACTCGATGATGTGCGGATAGAGTTGGTTGCTTTTGAGTCAGACTATATTGTTGCAACTGCAGGGAGCGGATGCACGGTTGGCGTGGTTCCTCACGTTGCCCAGGCTGGAGAGCCGTCTCGCCTTGGAGACGATATATATGTCCGATTACCCGGAGGTGGACTTGATTGCTACCGGATCCCACTCAGTGCCAAGAGGCTTATTGGTGATATGGACCCTTGGAACCTGCCGGGTGCCCTCAATGACCCCTGGCTACCGATGCAGGAGGTCGATATTGATCTCGATGTCCGGGCCTGTGCTGAAGGCCACTGTTCTCACCCGACCGAGGGCGCAAATATTCTATCATGTGTTGAGGAAAGACGTTAGGGATTGTTTTGATCTCGAGCTTGGCGTTTTATTTTTTTATTATCACTGCATTTGTCCTAAGTGCTTGGGATAGGAGTCCGTGGGCATGACTATTGGAGAGACGACTATGCATAGCGAGACTTTGTTAGAAACTTAGTCCTTCTGAACAAATTTTGGGTTCTGCATGATCTCCCTTGCTGTAAGTTCAAATATAAGCCCAAGTTACAGAACATCTGGGGCGAATCAAATTGCTGATCAAAGCAGCATATCAACAGCAAAGAAAGACATCTTGAACGAATTTCTTTTCTATTAACAGTTCATGATAAACGCGCAGCAATGCAATAACAATAATCAGGTCGTGAGGCCTCTTCGTGCTAAGAATATATACATTCAAGACTGGAAAGGAAAGGGAAGTTTAAGGACGTAAGGTTCAGGGCAAAAATGGGGGTTCCCACAGAAAAGGGCTGATAAAAGCAAAGCCGTAGCTCATCTAACAACAAATCCAAAAAAACAGTCCAATCAAGGTCCAAGTCAAACGTTGTCAAGGAAACAATTTTCCAGGAACAAGACATGGGTTCTTCATCTATTCGTGGCTCTGTGGCGATGAAAGGTATGTACCGAAAAGGCGAATGGGGGATATACAGCAACAAAATAGAAGGCGGGCTGCTCCCCTCATTGGAGTAGGTGGATTCAAGGGAGCGTGATCAGTCGTTGTTCCGGGTGTGAACAACGGAGTTTCCGGGCTCCATAGTCGGGGGTATTGGTTGACTGTTTGCGGCCGTCTTCCAACGCTTAGATTTGAACAGCGGTTGATTTGCCGTTAGCGTGGGACTTCTCTACCTTGGTCTCCTCTGTGTGGGCCATGGCCATGAGGTTCTTGAGCATTGATTCGCGCGTAGACTGAGTGAGGCTGTCCACATCTGCGGAAGTCAAGTCCTTAGTCTCAATGGGAGCCAGGACTACATATGTGCGATTAGCTGTGAATGACTACCGTGGGTTTCATGAGGACTCACCTTTGATCTTGATGGAGCCAGCATTGAACCGCATGTTGCGAGGCGACATGACATGAGAGTAGTTCTCAACCACGATAGGCACGATCGGCACACCAGCCTTAACAGCCAAGTGGAAAGCACCCTTCTTGAAAGGCAGCAGCATAGGCTCATCGGAGTAACTCCGCGTGCCCTCGGGGAAAATGAACACGCTCTGGCGGTGAGTCTTCATCTCATTCACGGCGCCGTCGAAGGCCTTCAGGGCAGTCTCGCGATTTGCACGGTCGATGAATACAGTTCGGGAAAGAGCCATGAACCAGCCCAGGAAGGGAATGTTGCGCAGCGACTTCTTAGCCGTGACACTGCAGTAAGGCGGGAAGATCTCGCCCAGCATGAGCACATCAAGCTCGGTCTGGTGGTTACCAATAAAGACAGCCGGCCGGGTAGTGAGGTGCTCCTCGCCCTCGACGATGTCGAACTTGACGCCGGTGGTGATACGCATCACCCACTTGAAACTGCGGGCGGTGGCCCATTGGGAGACACGGCCGTAGCCGACGAGGCGGAGGATGATGGAGGCGATCACACCGTAGGTCGCGCACAGGAGCAGAGAGCCATAGGAGGCGAGACAACGAGCGACAAAGGCAGCGCGGGGCATTTTCTGGCCAAGAGCGAAGAGCGACAGGGTCACCACCACGAACGAGCTGATGCCCGACAGGATGTAGGAACTGATCGACATGGCGGGATCACGAACAGAACTGTTGGGACTATGTGGTCAGCGGCGAGCAAGGGCATGACGGTCATGATGGTTTCCTACCTGATAACACCAGAATGAAGCGGCCACGGCCCGTAATGCACGAAAGATGAGAAGAGCAAATCTCAAGGAGCGAAAGCCATGTTGCGGTTCTGCGGATGTGAAGCTGCTTTTTTTTGCCCGCGCCGACTCACCGCCAGCTGACCCGGGCATCTGATGGCATCACGTTCTTGTTTGCATGAAAGTGCTTTCGAGTTGCGGGGTATAATTGTATTTGGGTGATCAGGAAATGTCTTTTATCTATTTTGCAGGGAGTGGTTTCTAGACAATTATAGGGCTTTGAAGTAGGTGGTCGGTGCGAAACTTTTACGGCAAAACATGCCTATGAGACCGGATTTATAGAGGGGTACAGTTTCGACTTACAGAGCGGGTTACGACCGCCCTTGCACCTAGGCAATACCTGGGGGCCCAGGTACCTGCTGATCGGATTATCAATAATAGTGGATTATGCTTATGCCATCATCGGTTCATCTCATGATGCCCAACCCTCACTAATGTACAAAACACCATCCCTGATGCCAGATGTCTAGACCTGGAAAAAAACTCCCCACTGATGCTGTGCAGAAAAAGGTCCGGAACGCCGAGTTCGTAAGACGCGACCCCAAAGAAGAGAAAAGGCCGTGAGGTCTACGCCATGTCTTCGTCCTCCATTTCATCGTCATCCAACGACTCCATCGCATCTTTAATGAACTGTGCAGCCTGAAACGCAAGTTAGTTGAAAAGCCAGAAGCCAAAAGCTGGGAGGGAAAGGAGGCACCTTCGGATCCAAGTTCAAGGCCGTGGTGAAATGCTTGATCGCATTGGCCTTGTCGTGGAGCATTTTGTACAGTTTGCCCAGGAGATAATGCACGTTCGCCTCATCGGGCGCCATGTCCTTGAGGACCTTCAATTCCGCTAATGCAAACTTGAATTCCTGCATCTTCATGAGTACGCGGGCTTTGCGGAACCGCGCCAATACCGAATGCGGTGCCAAGGAGCAGGCACGCTCGTAGTGAACCAAGGCGTTCTTGGGGTTGTCCATCTTCTCCAAGACCAAACCAATGCAGCAGATGAGAACCGCATTGGTTGGGTTGATGGTTGCCGCGTTCCGGAAGTGCTGCTCGGCAAAGTCAAGCTTGCCCATCTTATCGTACACCGTCCCCAGTCCGTACCATGCATTGTAGTGTCGGTTGTCGGCTGTGATTCCGTGGCGGTAGGCGTCAAGGGCCTTGTCGTATTCTTCATTGGCCACATACTCGTGGCCTTGGAGGGTGAAAGCATAGGCGAATTCGGGGTCCAGCATCGTTGCACGTTTGAAACATTTCAGAGCTTGATCATGATCCCGTTGATGAGAGAATGAGTTTCCAATTGCACACCATGCCTGAGGTGATAGCCGGTCAGCTTCCAGCAACTGATGAGCCAAATAAGCAAGCTCCACGTCGCTCTTCAGATGCCAGAGAACAGTCGAATAGATCTCCATGTCTTCAAGCCGGGAAGGTGCCAAGCTTTGGACCCGAGAGAAGTATTTGGCAGCCTCCGTATACATGGCTTGTTCAAAGTGGGCGCGGCCAAGCTGAGCGAGGACCCAAGGGGTTTCCCGTTGACCTTGTGAGAGTGAATTAAAATGTTGGATAGCATCGGGGCACTTGTAACGGCTCAAGGCACAATATCCAGACGCTAATTTCGTGAAAAGCCCCAATAGCCAACTCAATGCCTCCATTTCCTTGGTTTTTTCGGCATTCTTAGGCAATGGCGGAGCTGCAAAAGTGGGTGGTACAGATGTCGCCCGGTGTTCTTTGCCATCATGATCGGATGATTCCATAGGCTTTCGGTTGCCACTCACCACACGCCCAACAGTCGATGTGGTAGGGCGCCCTTTATGGTGCATGCTTCTCACTTTCTTCACCTCGCGGCCATCCCTGCCAATCAAGGTAGAATTTGAAAGCTTGCTAGTAGTGGGTTTGATTTGGTTGAAGAGCCTGACACTGCGGCGTTGAGGAGCACCTGGTTCCGTCGGTTGAGGAGGAAGAGGATGAGCAACCTGACCAGAAACAGTGCGTTTGCGATCGCCGATCCGTGGTGCAGGCGGAGGTTCTCGATCTGCCGGCCCCATATGTGACTCCTCTAGGTCTGTCCTTGTCTTTGTTCGCGGTCGAATGCCCGTGGGGCGCATCTTCGGAGGAGGCTGGCCCGTGTGATCCAAGCTCATCGTTTGCATTGTACGATTCTTCCTGGCCGGAGCCAACGGTGGGTCCCATGCGGATTCCGGGTCGGTTACCCCATTTGCGATGCGGAACTCCTCTGATCCGCTACTTTGGGGTGTTTCCATGCCCTCGTGAATCACTGGTGCTGCCACGGATGCAACACTGACCGAGCTTCCATTAAGTTTCTCCCACAGCGCGGAGCTTCCATATGTTGCATCGGAATCACCGCGTGAGGCAGAGACCATAAAGGGATCAGGCGCAGCGTGACTAGTCTGTACAGGGAATGCGCTTTCTGTAGGCGTGAGACGATCGGACGCGATGTCGTTGTCTTCGGAAGTTGAGGAAATTATGGCAAGGAGCTCGGGACTGAGCTGGTAGATATTAGGGACTCGGATATTGACACCTGCTCACAAATTAGCTTCCTCCATTACATGGCTTCACTTCGAGATCAAAAGACGTACCCGTCGCACACAGGCCCAGAAACGCATCCCACATGAATGGATTGAGTTTCAAGGAGTCCACGTAGCAATCGACTGCTTTGTTGAGGTCTTTGTGCGCGTGCCAGAGCTTTCCTTGCAAGGAATATATTGCCGCTGCATCTGGCAGATGCTGTCTCTGTGTTTCACTGTGTTTGTTCCAGTTGTTCTTGGTTGCCCATAATCCTTTGCTGCGCTCCAGTGCGGTTATGCCATCCAAATGTTTTCCGAGGTCCAAGCATGCTTGAGCATAGACGTAAGCGCAGCCCAGATGTAGACCTCGAGAGCCGGAACTCTGACTATGTTCAAAAGCGGCTTTTACCTCGCCATTATGCAAGTGGCATAGTGAAAGTAGGTATTGCGCTTCAAAAGAGCGAGGTTCGTAGGCGTGAAGGCGTCCGGCGAGGAACATCGCGTTGCGAATGAGGTTGTTGTCAAGGTGGTAGTAGACGAGGTGCCGCAACTGGCTGGCGACGTGCCCGGTTGACAAAGCCATGATGGCAGGACACGCGCTGGCAAAGAATACGAGAAGGGAGGATTGAAAATGGAGGGGAAATCTGTTCTTTGAGAGCCGGTGCGCACCTAACTCCGATCGCAAAGCACCTTCCGAAACGCGGAGAGGTGACGCGACGATGCAGGTACCAAGGCGACGAGGGCCATCAACGCCAGCAGTGAAAGGCCGTTCTATCTGCCTGTCCTGTCACAATGTCGATTCTCAGGGCAGAGAGACTCTTCTTTCCGATCTCGATCGTTACGCCCACGGTGCCAGCACGGGAATGTGAGCGGCCGGAAACGGTAAGCACGAAAAGATGCCCAGGGTTGCCCAGCAGAGTACGTGATCTGCGGCGAGTCAGACTCTTACTGTGCCACGGTCATCGTGCTGGATCTAAAGAAAAGGTGAGGGTTCGCCGAAATCGAGTTGTTGCGTGTAGCTCGCGCCTTATTTTGGTTGCATTCGCCCACTGCGTGCGGATTCTGCCGGGCGGTGAAGGTTGTGGCGGGCAACAATCGGTGGTCATCACGAACACCAGTTCAAGCGTGTTCATCTTTGTTCAAAAGTGCTGCGCTTGAGGTGTCAAAGCCAGTCTCAATTGCTTTCCTAGCATATCGCAGTTTCAGGCCAACGGCTAACTCGTGAGACTCTCAATTCAGTCCCTCGTCACCATGGCCCAGGTTAGCTTAAACGGAGCTTCTTTGCAAAGGTTATCTAACATGAATTCAGAAAGCAGCCAAATCCTTGGCTAGCCGCAATACGGCGGTTCTCAACCGCACTCACCTCATCTCTGCCGCGCTGCACATTCTCTTCCTCTTCCTCCACTTCATGTTCCAGCGCCCTGGCTCACTGAAACGTTACATTCTCCTCGGTGTCCCGACTCTCGTCATTGAATTCTATCTGGACAAAGTTGGCCGTCCGCGCTATAACGAAGATGGCTCCCTTCGCTCTGCCGGTGAGGATCTCAATGCCACTGGTCTGACTGAGTACATGTGGGATGTGCTGTACTGGACCCAGGGCTGCATCGCTGCTGTGTGCATCTTCAATGACCGCGCTTGGTGGCTCTGGGCCGTGGTTCCTCTGTACTCAATCTACCTGGCATATACTACAATTATGGGAGTGAAGAAGGGATTCGCTGGCATGGGTGGTGGCGGCGAAGGGGAAGACTATGATGCCCCTAAGAGCAAGACACAACAAAAGAAGGAGAAGCGGGGTGACCGGCCCAAGTATAGAACTCGTTAAGCCTGCAGGGCTGCGGGCTGCGGAATTTGTACGGATTGATACTACATGGTATTGTTTTTGGCATTGATCCATGTTCTCACTTTTGTCCCAAGCATTCTGTATTAACTTCATGCAAATACAACCTTACCAAATAGTTTCTGAATGATATATGTGAATATTTGACTGCTTTTGCTGGAATGGTGTACCTATGTAGATTGTGGGAGGAACTGGGTTACCTTTCATTCGAGGACTACATTCGCATCTAAATCCAGCCTTGATATACTCATAGCAAAGCATTTCATTATGTACTGAAGATACAACGCTACCTTCCCTAAAGGCTTCTCAAAAAATTACGGCACATCAAGACAAATGGAAAGCCGAAAGAAACATAAACAAATATCAATGTGCATCTTGCAGGTCGTGAACATGTTGTCGTCATGACAAACTATATGGGGAATTATGCATCGACAGACGGAGCATCACATACCGCTGGCAAAAAAAACCCCAATCTCGAGGCGGCGTATTTCTGAAAAAAGGCAGTGTAGTGCAAAGGAATTGAGAATTACTGATACTAGCCCGAAATGTCAAAGATGAAACTCGAGTGTGTTCAAAGCTCATCCTTTGCTGAAGAGGCCGCAGACTTGACGCTGCTTGTCGCATGGTCCATGTGGGAGGCAGCGGTCTCAGCTGCCTCATAGGCAACACTGCTCATGCTGGAGGCGAGGTCGGCCAATTGAGCCTGGGCGCTCTCGACGGCAGCGGCAAGACGGCTGGTGGCACTCTCGACAGCACCGGACTCCTCGCCGTAAATAGCTGCGCTGGCCTTGGATTGGATGTCTGCAATAGCGTCCTTGGCAACGTCGACATACGCAGGCTCATTCCCGTACACGGCGCCGCTGACCTGTGCAGACGCGCTAGAGTAGGCGCCAGCTGCAGCATCTGTCGCTTTCTCATAAGGACCCTTGGGGGTGCCGTAGATTCCAATGCTTGCGGCCATTACGGCAGAATGCAGTTGGTCATTGGCGTGTTGCATGACATCCTCCACGCTGGGAATATTGCTAGCATATGCGTTAGCAGCCGATGAAGCTGTCTCGTAAGCCTCGTTAGCAGCCGATGAAGCTGTCTCGTAAGCCTCGTTGACATAGCTAGAGGCAGACGACAGAGCTTCAGCAGGGTATGGGGTCTCATAAGCGACACGAAGCTTGCTCATAACGCTCTCCGTAAACGAGGGCTGCTTGCCGACCAGAAGCTCAGAAACAACATTCTGAACTGCCGCGAACTGCGAAAGCTGGTTATCAGCCACCTGCTGCAGATACGGCACGGGAGTGCCGTAGACCTGCTCGCTAGCTTTGGAAACGAGGCTTTCCCAATTCTCAGATGCCTGGCTGGAAAGGGACTCCAAAGGACCAGGGGTGGTACCATAGATAGCGGAGCTAGCAGATGCCGATACCAGAGAGAGGGAGGCAGAGGCGGCAGAGAGGGCAGCACTGTATCTCGAAGAAGCGTCGTCGATGATGCTTTGCGACCTGCCATCGTCCGCTGCGGAGATCGCCGAGCTTGCCGAGGCAACAACTGCAGCAAGACTGGCGGAGGCCAAGGATGAAGCATGCTCATATTGAGATCCAGCTTCTTGGACAAGGTCCTGGAAGCTGCGAGGGGGCGGGGTGGGCGTCGGAGTACCATACACTGCCTCGGATGCCGTGGAGACAAAGGCAGTGTAGTGATCGTGAGCGAGGCCAACTGCCTCGTAGTAGCGGCGTTGGGCATCGAGAACAAAAGGCTGAAGCGCGGCCGAGCTGGTCGCAGGTGCAGTCCCCTTGACCTGGGCCAGCTGCTGAGACGCAAGACTGAGCCCTTCACTCAACCTGGACGACGCAACAGAAGAAATTTGGGCCAAGGGACCGACGGGAGTGGGCGTAGCCCGAACAGCGTCAATTCGCGACTCAAACTCTTCAGTTGCATACTTCACAGCTCCAGAGTAGGCAGATTCAATGGAAGAGAGAACCTGGGCATGGACAGGAACACTAGATTGGGACATCTGGCCCACAAGCTGAGATTTCGCAATGTCATATAGGATTTTAGCTTGGGCTGTCGAGTCGGCAAAAGCAGAGCTTGCTTCTGCGTAAGCATCTTCAGCCTTGCTTCCCACTTTGTCAAACAGGTCTTGCTCATCTTCATCTAGGATGGGTGCCTGCTGCGAGTTGGCATCCGCAGCAGCAACGCCAAATGCGGGCCACGAGGTATGATGACTCTCCTGAGCCTCATCACTCAGGATAGACTCGTCGTCATCTTCCTCCTCAGCAGCGGTACCAGTAATCGATGAACTTGGCGCAGAGTCCGTCTCGGCATCGTGTTCGGTTAATGCCGGTTCTTCGTCTGTAACGCCGTCCTCTCCATGGGTCTCTGAGGCAGTGCCAACAATTTCATCTTGTTCGGCGTCGGAATTCTCTTCCGACTCCTCAGCTTCAACTGCAGGCTTGGGCCGCGGGGGAGGAGCTTCAGTTCGGGTATCGAAATTGTCGCTTACTTCACGAGCAGCAAACTTCCAGGTTCCGACATCCTTCAATCTAATAAGCTCCTTGGCAGTGTCTTCCGCAACCTCCATACCACTACCCAAGAGCTCGCTTACCACGGCTTCAGCCTCCGCAACCGACTTGTGGTTCAAGCCGACCTTGCGGATTTCATTGCGCCAGTCCTCGAGCTGTGCCTTGAGTGCGTGGTATCGCGCCCAGTCCTTGTAAGTGACACCATCCATCCACGCCCAGCGCATGCCGATTTCTTGCAAGCCCAGGTCGCGGATGTTATCCAGAACGTCGAGGGTTGAGTTTACAGCGGCGCCTACTCGGCGAACGAGTTCGTCATCAAACGAGATGGCCCATTCGCGAAGGGTATGAGCACGATCTCTGACCGCAATGGCAGAGTTCCGGATTTCGCTGACAAGTTGTTCACTAGCAGCTTTCTCTTCGTCCGGGGAATCTTCCTCTGGCAGGGACTGCGCGAGATCGTTGATATGCTGCTTGATGACGGAGAGCTTTTCGGAAGCGACGGCTTGAAGCGCAGTAGAAAGGCTTTGACCATGGCTATTGGCACTGCCTGTGATAAGAGCAGTCACAATTTCCTCGATGCGTTTCTCGAGATCTTCGATTCCCTTGTCGGCGGCGGCTGCGAATTTGACTTGCCATCTCTCAAGATCCGAGTCAACTCGGTCGCGAGCTTGCTTTGCTTCTTCCTCGGCAGACAGAGTGGGCTTTGCAGAAGGTGTTTCGGTCGTAAACGCGGTGGTAGCAGTCGAAGTCAGGGGTTCGATTTTGGTGCTGGGCACGGTTGAGGAAGTGGATTCTTCAGACGGGGTGCTATTAGGTTAAGGTCAGTAAGAAATATTTCGTCAGGGAGGAAGGCGGTTGAGCATACTTATCCATGTCCTCAACAACGGCGCGCAAGCGCTTTCCTTCCCTGTAGCTAGCGAGGCGCTGTCCAATCTTCACAAGTTGGGGTTCAACCTGCTCCGAGTAGAGGCCAGTGATCTGCGGCCACAGCGAACTGTTGGCGAAATAAACCACGGACGACCAGGTATAGCGGGCGCCGGGCATAACGTGGGTCGCCAAAATATCCTGGCCTGTGGTGTATGTCTTGCCAATAAAGGGTTGAGACCGGGTGTAGAAAGGCACAAAATGATCCCAATAGGCCGTCTGCGCAGCACTGCTGGCCATTTGGTAGTAGGGAGATACCACCGCCATGGTCTGCTGCACATACGGATCAACCTGGGCCATGTAAAGTTGATGCGCTTGGCCTTGAGCCGCCTCCAGACGCGGAGTCACTTGAACTTTCCATTGCGCGGCGCCATATGCCTCAGCTTGTTGCCATGCAGGCGCGCCGTATTTCTCGTATCCCGACTTGGCGATCTTCGAGGCGGGGATATAGACTTGCTGGTTGACGACTTCCACGTAGGGACGGGCTTGGTCAACGTAGGGCGCAGCGTACGTATCGTAATAGGGAGTGACATAGGGCTCCAGGTGCGATCGAGCAAGTAGGTACGGTTTGCAGACCCGAGGAGATTGATCATTCAAATCCGCGATGCGCGAAGGACACCGGAAGAACGGCATGAGAAACGTATACCAGATACACAACCTAAGGAGATCAGGGATTAGCTTGGGATGCGCCGGATGATTATTTCAAGATAGGCCCATCCTTACCGTAGAACCAGCCCTACTGTCCACCGAAAAGTACTTTTCCTCTGGACTTTCCCTGTTTCATTCCTTCCATTTGACTTCCTCACAGATTCCTGTACGTGGCCATTCTGGGTGCTCATGGGAGCCGCCATGGCTGCCGGTTGGCGGACGAGACCGACGTTGAAAGACTTCTGAGACTAAATCCAAGCCACACCAGACCCGTGGTTTCACGTGAGATTGGACTTGATAGACTTGGAAGCTATTACTTCATCGGGTGTCGGAAATCGGCTGCTGAGCTGTGTACGGTTGAGATAGGAGCTCCAGAAAGCAAGACGCAGACGGAATGATCGCGTTCGGCCTTGGCGCTAGCAAATATTCACGGGCTGCGACGGGCCGCGGTCAGAGCGCAAGGTGTGCTTCCGAGGTAGACGGTGACGAGTGTGGTGTTTTGAGTTCTTCAAATACCCAAAGACAATGAAAGGATACTTCAGGAACCTTGGGTACCTGGTTTATAGAAAAAGGATTGTTTGGTCCTAGGAGATCAGTGAGGTCATCAGTGGCACCTGGTGGCAGAACCGTGCAATACACCGTTACGATGTCGGTGTGGGTTGCCTGGCGTGTAAATACGGTAAGCATGGTAACGGGGATACAATGACTCAGCAAGCGGGAAAGCGCAGCAGCTCAGGTAGAAAGTTAAGGAAGTAGTTGCCCGCCACTTGGAGATTCGCGACTTGGCGATTTGGAGTAGCAACCATCTTACCTAGGTAGGTGTGCCCTTGAACCAACAATTGCCTGATCTAACTTGCAATGATCCCACAGCCCCTCCTTCCTCCGCCTCTTTCCCCGTCATCCGCCATTATCCTCTCTTGCTTATCGTTGATAGTAGGGAGCATACGATGAGGATTTGGTAAAAGACGTCCGATCGTCGATTCGACGTCCCCTTACACTATGGACATGTTCAACTCCTCTCGTAACCCAGGGGCCATGTCCTCCTTTCCTGACCTCATGAACGATCCGGCTTTCGACGAGAGGGAGAAGGGCTTCGAGGACACGGACACCTGTCGGATCTGTCACGGCGAAGCTACTGATGAGGAACCACTGTTCTACCCCTGCAAATGCAGCGGCAGTATCAAGTTCGTTCACCAGAGCTGTCTGGTGGAGTGGTTGGCCCACTCGCAGAAGAAGCACTGTGAGCTGTGCAAAACCACCTTCCGCTTCACCAAGCTATACGACCCGAATATGCCCCAGAGTCTTCCAACGCCTCTCTTCATAAGACAAGCGGTGATTCAGTGCCTCCGGACTCTGGTGACATGGATGAGATTTCTTCTGGTGGCGTTTGTTTGGCTGGGTTGGTTACCATGGTCGATGCGCGCAATCTGGAGAGCCTTGTTCTGGCTCGCCGACGGCCGCTGGTCGGCTAGCGGAGCTGCTCAGCAGCAAGCTATGCAATCTGTGCAGGAGGGTGCTACTCAGTGGGCTGGAAATGGTACGGCGTCAGGTTCTGTCCTGAGTTCGATGACTTCAACGGTCTCGAATGCAATGAAATCTGCTGCCACTAGTGCGCCGTCGCCACAACCGTCGGCGATCAACTTCCCAGCCGGAGACCCACTGATGCTCACTCTGATCAAAAAAATCATTCCAAATTTATTCCTCCCCGCCTTCTCATCGGCTGGACAAAATGAAACGAGTTCAAATGGCATGACTGGGGTCACGAAAACCCGATACCCATCGTGGCTGTCTGATGTGAAGTTTCTTAACTCGTTGACACGCTATCCAACCATCAACAACATGATCATAGATATGCTGGAAGGCCAGCTGATCACTCTTCTGGTCGTCATTGCCTTCATTCTTCTTTTCCTGATTCGGGAGTGGGTGGTTCAGCAGCAGCCTATGGCCAACATTGCCGAGGGAGAGCGTGAAGCGGCAGTGCAGCTTATTGCAAACAACCGGGTTGACGACCATAGAAATCGTGTTAACGAGCTTAACGAGGAAATTGATGCCCTCCAGCAAGAAAATGCCCGCCTACGCCATCCGGTTGAAGAGCGTGAAGATGGTCACATGGACGACCATCTCCCTCCTCGATCCGCCACACATTCGCCTGCCCCATCTTGGACCGACTCCGATGATGGTCTTCCTGTTCTTGATAGACCAGCGGCACATCGTGATGTCTTTGCCGGCGATCATTTACCTGGAAATGCCGAGACGGAATTCGGCGGTCCAGCTTTCCAACACCAGGAGGAGACGCCCCGCACTGGCGTGCTAGCTTTCCGCGATGTCCTAGCTCGATCAAATGGTGACCGCGATGAGATGCTGCGAATAATTCGAGAGGAGGGCCATGAAGAAGAGCTCGGCTGGATAGTCAACGCGTTTTCAGGACCTAATCAAGACGAAAATGTAGCTGAGCCTTCGAACCATGCTCATCAATATCAGACTATCGATCCCCAGCAACCTCCCCAAGCATTTAATGAGGATCATGATGTCGCCGCGCCCCAACTTCCCGAAAATGAGCAACCGCCTTCTGTGCGGCACCCTAACCTCGAATCAGCTTCTGGAGACGGTGCTGTGCCTATGGACACCCAGGACAATGAATCCCCCAAGCGAGCTACGGAGCGACTTGCTGACTGGTTCTGGGGAGATATAACTCCTGCTGAGCGTGACCCTGCAGAAGCCGCGTTGGAGGACGATGCGCACGTCGTCCAAGATCCGGCGTTGGAAGACCCATTTGTGCCTGTCCAGCCCCGTCTGGAAGAGCAGCCAGTCGACGGCGTGATGGCAGCAGCTGCAGCCGAGGCCGGCATGGATCCCAACGATATGGACGCGATCGAAGGAGATGACTTTGAAGGAATCATGGACCTCATTGGCATGCAAGGGCCGATCTTTGGACTCTTGCAAAATGCCGTCTTCTGTGCCCTTTTGATTGCCTTTACAGTGGCCATCGGCATCTGGCTGCCCTACTTGTGGGGCAAGATCGCCCTCGTACTGCTTGCCAACCCATTGGAGCTGATTGTCGGAGTGCCGATGGCTGCTGTCACAGTTGTTGCTGACATTGCTCTTGACACCTTGATTGGCGTCGTAGGCTATGTCATGTATTGGCTGACCTTCATTTGCAAAGTCGTGCTCAGTCCCTTCGGCGCCTTTGTCCCTGCTATTGAGTGGATTCCCCGGGGCAAATCTGTGACTAGTGCCTCGCTGTCTCTCATCGACGCCAGTACCAATCGCCTCAACAAAGTGGTCAAGGCATTCCTTGTCTTCCACGAATCCGACATCCCTATGTTCTCAGTGATATCGCATCAGGCGCTCAAGCTCCACCAGGCACGGATTGGAACGGTCTTCCAATTCGCCTTCGATGCAGTGAAATTTATTCTGCACGATTTCCCAATACGCCTGATTACCCTCGGACTCCCCGGTGCTCTTTCCTTCGAATATGACCTATCACCGTTGCAAAAAACCATATCACAGGCCCAACATCAGCTTAGCGGCTTCATCAAGACACCGTTCTTCAGTTCCGGGGCCAAGTTAATAAACGCCGGGGCCGCCGAAGCCACCAAGCCAACAATGTCTGTCGACTATGACTTGGCCGTCTGGGATACGAAAGACCGAGCTGTTGCCATACTGATGGGCTACACTCTGGCAACAGCGGTGGGATTCCTCTACCTTCGCATCACCGGGCTCCTTTCTGGGGCCAATCGTGGCCAAAGAGTTGAGGGTATTGTGGCAGAGGTTCTTCTCCAGGCAGGGGGAGTGATGAAGGTCATTCTCATCATTGGCATCGAGATGATTGTTTTCCCTCTTTACTGTGGTACACTGCTTGACATTGCCTTGCTCCCTCTGTTCTCTAATGCGACGGTGACCTCGCGCATTGCGTTTACGACGGCTTCTCCTCTCACATCGCTTTTCGTGCATTGGTTCATCGGCACATGCTACATGTTCCACTTTGCTCTATTCGTGTCCATGTGCCGGAAAATTCTGCGGAGCGGAGTCCTCTGTGAGTATTTCGTTCGAGCCGATCATTTCCATGCGGTTAGATACTAACATTCTGCCCAGACTTTATCCGTGACCCAGATGATCCGACTTTCCATCCGATTCGCGATGTTCTCGAGCGCAGCATCACCACCCAGCTTCGCAAAATAGGATTCAGCGCCCTTGTGTACGGTGCTTTGGTAATTCTCTGCCTCGGAGGAGTAGTTTGGGGTCTCTATTTTGTATTTGATGGCGTGCTACCCATTCATTGGTCTTCCAATGCCCCTATGCTCGAGTTCCCCATCGATCTACTGTTCTACAATTTCGTCATGCCACTGGCTATCCAATCTGTCAAGCCCTCCGATGGCCTGCACGATCTGTACAACTGGTGGTTCCACAAATGCGCTCACTACTTGCGCCTCAGCAACTTCTTCTTCCCGGAGAGGCATCCCGAGGAAGAGGGCCATCACGTCCGACGTACCTGGTGGAGTCTGCTGTCCGGAAGCAAGGGTGATTGGGAGCATCCCGTCATTGGAGAGGACGAACAGGCTGCCGCAGAAAAGGAACAACGTGACACATACTTCCTGCGAGACGGAAAATACGTTCGCGCCCCTGCTTCAGACCAGGTTCGCATCCCTAAGGGAACGAGAGTTTTCTTAGATGTGACCGCGGACAATGAACGTGTTGATGGGAGTCCCGATGCCGATGATGGGCTACACGGTCGAACCAGCAACATGTTCACGAAAGTATACATCCCTCCGTCCTTCCGGACTCGCATCGCCGCTTTCATTCTCCTGATTTGGTTGTTTGCTGCTGCTACCGGGGTAGGCATCACCATTGTTCCACTGGTCATTGGCCGGAGGATCGTTGCCCTCTATTTCTCCAGCCCCGTTCCGGTGAACGACATCTACGCCTTTTCCTGCGGACTGTGTGTGGTTGGCAGCGTGGCGTACATTGCCTTTTCCTGCCACGGCGCAGTTCTAGCGATGAAAGATAACCCGGCCACTTATCTGCGATCCCCACGAGAGCTGGGCCAGATTGGTCTTGATCTGGTGCTCAATGCGAGCCGCCTTCTGTACATGTCAGGTGTATTGGTTGTATTGCTCCCGACGCTTTTCGCACTGATGACCGAGCTATACATTCTCATCCCGATACACACCTTGATGGGAGATGACCAGTCCCATGTGGTCCACGTCGTCCAAGACTGGACGCTGGGGGTCCTTTACGTGCAGATGGCGATCAAGTTGACTCTGTGGCACCCCCAGTCCTGGGCCGCCGCCGTTCTCAACGGCATCTTCCGAGACAGCTGGCTGCGGCCTAACGTCAACCTTGCGACTCGAGCTCTGGTGCTCCCCTTCTCGCTCCTCACCGCCTTGGCGGTCGCGGTGCCCTTGGCATTGGGAGGGGTGTTAAGATGGACCGTCTTCTATACGCAAAGTGAGGCGCAGTCCTTGGTCTATCGCTATACATACCCAGCTACGCTTTTGGTCGTGTTGGCCGCGTGGACCGTCCACCTAGTTCATCGACGGGTGGCGATCTGGCGCATCAGCATCCGGGATGACGTATACCTAATCGGCGAACGTCTGCACAACTTCAGCGAAAAGCGAGCGCGGGATGTCGGAGTATCGCGACGAGTGATCACCGGGTGAAGGAGGCTCCGTCCCTTTTCCCTTTTGTATTCTCCACTTTGATTCACTGTACATTGAGACATCATCCACTTTTCCATCCTGTACTAGTAGTTTCAATTGTAACTCACCGTGAGCAATGTGCGCCTGAGGATTGCGCTTAGTCACCCCTCGAATTTAGGTGCCTGCCACGTGACCCACTCGAGCCCACCGCCGGCGACGTGATTGGTTAGGCAACAGGATTCCACCAGATCCTCCCGCGATGCTCGTCTATCGAGACCCTTCATCGCCATCGCCAGGCAACCATTGTTCGGTTTTCCGTTCTCCCTTACATTCCCCTCCTCCTATGGCTCCTTCACCCTTTTGCGACTCACGACATGGGATTATGAACCTGCGCGATTCTTCATCCTCGATCTAGAGAGTCGAATTCCCCTTTGGTCCTTATCGAATCGCTATCGCCATGTCCGTCCTGCGCGGAGGAAGCGGGTTCCTCCAGCGCCGCCTCACGAAGTTGTATACAGACACGAAGACTTCTTGCGAAAGCGTTACCACAGCATCCAAGGCCCTCGATGACCCTGAACTCGTCGCCCTGCACCAGAGCTTCCAGAAGCAGCGGGATCGTTTGCTGGCGTGGGGTCTAGATTGGAGTGACGCCAGCGCCGCCCAGCCCAATGATATCGATGAGTCCTTGACCGCGGCTGGTTTCAGCGATGTCGTCGAGAGTGTCATGTCCTCGATTCAGGACCTGCTCAACAAGGCAGAGCAGGTCCAGCATATCGACGCGCCGATTCTACCCTCCAAAGAACGTAAAGTGGACTTGCCTTCGAAGGACACCCTCGGCAGCCTCCCACTCAAGACACAGTGGACCGACGATGATATCAGTCGCTCCAAGACTATTTTGAGTGACTTGACGGCGTCTATCGACACTCTTTATGACCTTTCTCGTTCACGGCGGGAGGCCAGCATGTTGAGCAAGTATAATGCCGCCGCCCAGCGACGACCGAACCCTACTTCTCCATATGATTATTCCCATAGCCCCTTCTCAGACTCGAAGGGAAAAGTTCAAAGCTCCAAGCAAATGATCGACCCTTTCAACTATTCTCCGTCCAACCCACGCGACGTCAGCAAGACTCTCGCGTCGTCGCACCCTTTCGTCATCGATCGGTCGGCTTTGCAACTATACGGAGCGGCCCACGACAACAGTCCTCCGCCCTATGAACCAATCGCAGCATCTTCCAACTCTCGAGCCATTGGCCGATTGAAGGCCTCGGCTGTTCCGTCTCTCCTAGGCTCATTCAAAGAGTCGCATGTTTCCGTCCTTGTCGAATTCATGCCAATGATGGCTGAAGCACCAATGAACTCAAAGAATGTGCGACTCGAGAAACTCCAGAAATCACTTGATCAGTTGTTACAGAATGCCAGGATCGCCCACTTGGGTCTCCTGCGCTTCCTTGGTTACACTCTTGATGAGCCCAATGCCCGTTATGCCTTCCTCTACCAGATGCCTGTCGATTACTTTCCCTTTCTTCAAAATCCCAGTGACCTGCTCAAGGAGCTCAAGCCTATGCCACTGGTTGCCATGCTTCCATCAGCGGAAGACTACCGCGAGAAGCGGATGCCGAACTTGGAGACTCGCTTCCGGGTAGCCTATGATCTGTTGATGTCTGCTCTTCATCTAAGAAGCCAGAATGCCGTTCATGGTAACATAAACAGCAGCAATGTCATCTTCTTTCCTGGTCGCACCGATGCGAACGACGACGAGAGTGGCCTTTCGCCTGATCTTCGGCGTGCTTATTTAACCTCCCCAGCCCGCTTCTCTGGAGACGGTCCTACGCCGGAACCATTATCAACCGCAATGTACCGCCACCCCGAAGACAAGAGAAGTGTCGACGACGACTCGGCATGGGCGTATGATCTCTACTCTCTCGGACTCGTCTTGCTTGAGATCGGCCTGTGGGCACCGATTGGACGGCTGTGGAAGATGAAGTATGATCGTTCTTGGTTCAAGCATCGAGTGGAAGATCTCTACATCAAGAAGCTTGGCGCCAAGTGTGGTACTGCTTATCTTCAAGCCGTACAGCTGTGTCTCGATGCACCTAACTTCCACCTTTCCACACAACCTATGACCGACCTCTCTCTCCGCGTCCCTCAGATTTATCATTACCCCGTTCTTGATTTGTCAGACCCTGATGGCACATTCTCGTTTTCGATGAATTTCATGTATACCATCTGCAAACTCTTGTGGTCATGCTGTCGCATCGACATCTTCAACGCTCCCTCGGCAGAAGAATTGGACGACTGCTTGCCGCTCGCCCTGGTTCCGACTCCCGACCCCACACCTGTGGAGGAGAAGCCCGACCCGTACATTGCTGCTTGTCAGCAGGTCAATTTGGATAAGAAGCTCCCCACACTCCCAGGTCAATGGGGTGCGGTCACAGAAGAGAGGGTTCTGGACAAGCCGGCCAAGAAACGCACCGTGAAGCGCCTTCCTAATATCGAGATCCCCGATGAACACTTGCAGGAATGGAATTTCCAGATGATGCCACAACTGAGTCGGCTCCTTCAGAAGATTCTCAAAGAATCTTCGGAGTCTTGTGGAGCCTCTCTTATAATGACCGGAGAGTCACCCGAAACGGCACGTACAACCATCTGTGTGACCTGTGCCAGCGTCAAGAAAGTTCGATCTGCCTTGAAGAAGCACTTTGTTTTGGGCCGGGATGATTGGGACCTTATCGTCATCCGCGGCGATATTGAACGGTCCAAAGTCCCCCGCAACAAGCGCCGCAAGCCTGCCAAGACACGTCCAAATGGATCAAACCAGACTCCTTTTCGTCAGCGAGAGTTGAACCCATGTTATCAGCAACGGCCTCTTTGCGGTGCATCAATCGGCGCGTTTCAAAATGAGGAGCATTTACCTCCCGTTTCCTATGGTGGTGCTGTCCTCGTGGATGGCTTTCCATACGGCTTGACAGTTCACCATATGCTGGAGGCACCCAGTGACGATGAAGATCCTGGGGATGAAGACCAGGACGTTCCATCCCGATCCGCAGGCAATTGGCCCCGAGATACTCCGAACGCCCCTACCCAAGACTTCTTATACGTCCATGGCGAGGAGGATCATTCTGAAGCCAATCTCGACTTGGAGGTCTCGGACCCCGAAGATGGTGATGACACGTCAATATCGCAAGGCGGTGATGGCGATGACGAATATTGGCTTTCAGATGAAGAATCTTCTGATGACGACTCCATTGACGGTGATGATAACGACGACGACGATGCTGCCTCCATCGGCGATACTGCCGGTATTGAACCTGGCGAAGAGCCACGACTACTTGTCACCCAACCAGCCATTGATGATGTTCACGAAGATTTTTTTCCGTCACCGGAGGACCGTGATGACGAGCATCTCGCATCACACTCGCTAGGCTACGTTCATGCCTCATCTGGCATGCGACGGTGGACACGGAAAGGAATCAAACACGAGATTGATTGGGCTCTCATCAAAGTTGACGAAGCCCGCATGGATCCTCGCAACATCATTATTGAAACCTGCTCGGCCCTGCCTGTCCGCCCTGGCCTGGGACGAGCAGCTCCACCTCAACCCATCTTCCTCAACCAAGTGGCTCGAATGGAGGAGTTGGGTGGACTAAATGTCCACTGTTGCGGCCGCACAAGCGGGCTGCAAACCGGCCAGATATCCAAAGCAATGACAATTGTCAAATTGCATGGCCGACACTCATTTTCCACGAGTTTTTGTGTCAACGGGAACTTCGGAGGTAAGCGGCACACTGCAGATCATGTTTATGTCTATACGATCCTTAATTAGATACCCTTGTTTTCTCTCTTTGTTAAACCCCTCCTGTCTTCCCCTCATTAAGCCGGTAGACTATAACATCCACCGGGCCTTAAGACCAGAACCATGGCGTCACCACATGTATCGAGTAAAACATCGAGCTAACATATGGCCTCATAGCCCCCGGCGACTCTGGCGCATGGGTATTCGACAGATCCACCGGTCGCGTCTGTGGCCACGTCCTGGCCTGGTCCGAGAAGAGCAACACCACCTACATCTCCCCGATGGAAGTCACCCTCGACGACATCGCCCGCACTCTCAACGCCTCCCTCGTCTCCCTCCCCGGTGACCCATCCCGCTCCATGGGCTACGCCGGCCCTGCCTCCCAACCCCCGGGCCATTACCGCTACCATACCCAGCAACTACCGGGCGACTTTAACCGTCTGAACGTGGGATCGCCTGTGCCTCCTGGTGCGCATCATCCCCAGTTTGGTCGTCATCCCCACCACCCCGGGTTTACCCACCCTTCTCCGCATCCTTCTTCGCCCCCTCCTCGCCCCGGTTCAAGGGAAGCTTCCGTCTACCGGGGCCCTGTGCCTCCCATCCCGCCGCCTCTCTTGACCGGCCCAAGAAATATTGAGCGCCAGCTCGCCTGATTTTGTTACTTTATGATGATCTTTGGCTGGATACACGGTTTTGCTATGATTGATGTTGCATTTTTGGGGTTGTTTTGGAGAATACCCACGGTGGAAAGCATTCTTTTATGGAGTACGTCTAAACTTTATCCTTAATTTGGATGGTTTTGAGATATTCAGTTCCCTCTCACCTGGCAGTCACCTTAACTGTTAGTGTAGGCCCGCACGTAGCTCGTAGGAAATCCCATTCCTTATAGCCTGTCAACATAGCTAAATTGATCTCCGAGGGCAAGTTCTGGCTCCGCAACTGCCTATCGCGAGAAGCCATGTGGGAAATAATATACCATACCGCCCGGCCCCCAACTGTCTAAACGGCCGAGCCAATTGTAACCCGCACCCCGCGCAGCCCCCAACCCCGCCAAGATGCGGCTGAGTAAGGGCCAAGATAGGATCGTGAGGCCTAATTTCCAAATGTCTGTGCTTTACGAGACACCCAATTATATCTCGAGAAATTCTGTCAACCTGTGGATACTGCTCGGTTCGTAATAGGAAAACCGTTTCTTCATATCAGATCTGCCTAGTGACAGCCCCTCCAGATAAAATTAGATGTCCTCAGCCCTGACAGTATGTGTGATTTGGACTTATTTCATTGGATGATTCGTATTTTTCAGCTTTAGCTCCGAATAGGCTGAGGAGAGTTTATTTTGCTTAGGATTGATTGTTTGAGAGATCTATCGGTATAAAAACCGCTTTCATTTCTTTTCGTTTTTCATCTTACTCTCACCATCTCCATTATCTCCCCTTGTTACACACCAATTGGTCTTTTCCCAAGCCGATTTTAGTCCTCTACTCCATATCCGACATCTTTCAATTCCTTCCCACTCATCGATATGACGAACACCGACGAGAGTCTCTATATTGGCTGCAAGCCCTATATGCATGGTGTCGCGACCTCATATGGATATGTGCCATCAAAAGGAGCAGGCCTTGCATTCTGCATACTCTTTGGTCTATTGATGGTCGCGCATATCGTTCAATTCTGCTGGAAAAGGACATGGGTATATGTTGTTTTCGCCATCGGGTGCTTGGGTAAGTGATACCTTCTTGCTCCAATGTCCAATATCCCAGCTAACATGGAGTAGTGGAATTGATCGGATGGGGTGGCCGTGCCTGGTCTGCCGAATGCCCTTACAACTCAACCGCGTTTCTTATGCAGATTTCAACTTTAATCATCGGTAAGCGGACACTTCCTGAAGTTGGTGAAATGCCTGTCTCAGCAGCCCTAACGCTTTCATACTCCAGCCCCAACATTCTTCACAGCCGGCATCTACGTCCTCCTCGGCAGACTAATCCAGCTTTATGGTCGCGAGAGCTCTGTGTTATCACCAAAGCTCTATCTCTGGATCTTCTGCACATGCGACGTCATTTCACTGTTCGTCCAAGCCGCAGGCGGTGGCATAGCCTCGTCCGTGTCTAACAATAAGAGCGAGAGCGACCTAGGGACAAACATCATGGTCGCCGGTATTGTATTCCAGCTATTCTCAATCACCATCTTCGTCGTTTGCGCTATTGACGTCTTCCGCCGTGTTAAGCGTCTTGGATTGCTCGGTTTGGCGACCAAAGGCCGGCTCCGCCCTCTTATCGGGGCCATGGTACTTTCCATTGTTTGCATCTATATTCGAAGCCTTTACCGGACCGTTGAATTGTCGCAAGGCTGGACAGGGTATTTAATCACCCACCAGTCGTACTTTATTGGACTGGATGGTGTTATGATGGTCATTGCTGTTGGCGTGTTTAATATTTGTCACCCTGGGTGGATGCTGCCTTCCGAGATTGATTTTTCATTGCCGAAACACGGGTTGTCCAAGTCCGAGTCGTCCGCGTCTGGGACGCTGAACTTGAAACCTATGGCAGGCAACACTGGTTATGGGAACCGCTTCTGAAGAGTCTACATGTGGCTGCGGGAGCATGGTGGTTTGGTTTTGTGTGTTTGAATTACAGATATTTCCCTGCCGCGCGTATGGAGCGACGGAAGCTTTGTTATTTCTGGAGTCATTGCTGATTAAACATTGAATATTTAAACTTGTGCTACAAGGGTATCTTCTCCGCGGAGATCAAGTGAAGGTCCCTTGGGCACTCGGCGGAGCCAGTAACTCGAGACGTAAGTCTGTTCTCCGATCTGCAGCAGTAATCACTACCATATTAGCCCCGTAGGGCTGAAGCTTAGCGGGCGTGACAAGCTTCACTGCTTTAAACTTAGATTCCCGGGGACAGTCTCTTTACGAGCCCATTGGTGGGCTATATCTGGCCCAGGAGGAAAATCCCGCAAAATCACATCGAATCCAGCCGGGGGTATCACCACCACCCAACCAAGACCGTACAATAAGCGCTGCTTTGCCCAACTCTGTCACGAAATGACCTACAATTCTCTCATTGAAAGGATGGCGGGAGATCCTCTGCATTATAAAGCTCGTCCACGTTCACGGTTCATGGACAGCCTACCCCAGCACCAAATACAGACCACACTATAGGCTCAACGGCGGATTTACTTTATTATTCTCTCTCTCCCAGACCTTGACAGCCGTTTTTCAGGATGGGTCTTATTAAGTTTATTCTCAAACTCATCTTCATCCCGATTGTCCTTCTCGCCGTTGTCACCGTGGTTATCATATTCCTGATCAGAATGCGTCGGGAGAAGAAGGCGGAAAAAAGGCAGCTCGAAAACAACGCGTTCCAGCCACCTCCAATCACTCAATGGGAATATCCCAGTTATCCCCAGAAACCGCAGCCGGTCGTCTACCCGACCGGCACGCCGAGTCAGATGGAGAGGGGGATTGCCCATGCATGATAGAACAGCCGTATGTCAGTTTCATCCCTTTTCTGGAGTTTTGCTGATTGGATAAGACGGTCCAGGCGACCAGGATTGTATACACTGTTTTTTTGGTGGATTATTTGCGTGCCGATTTTGCGTTTCAAACAATACGCTTTGATTCTCTGATTCTGTAGTCGCGGTTAGAATGGGGACTCATGTTTATTGTGTGTTTTTAATCCGGTCTCGAGACTCGGGTCTTTTCACGATGTACACCTTTGCTAGGTCTTTACTTGCTATATTCCTACAAGTATTTCCACGACTTGATGGTTCGGTTTCCTTCCACTAAGCGTCTTCTGCGCCTACATTACCGTCAGGGATCCTTGATTTGATTTTGCTTCAGCGCGAATGGCTTCGACTCTGTCTCGTTTATGATTGAGATCGGATCTTCGTGAAGCCCAAGCCCCCGGACATGTCCCCCCGTCAACTAGCATAGGTAACGGCGGGAAAGTTGCTGCCTACTCCCGGGGGGAAACTGCCGTCTGCATATTCCAGGCGCGAGACACTTTCGGGGAGTAAAGAGGTAACCCCGCCCTAAATAAAGACCGTACGGTGACACAGGAGGCTAGCAGAGGCCAGGCAGCAATAAAAGCATCGTGGTTGATCTTGCACGTGTGATTGGATTTGGCTAGGGTGGACTTCCATGCCTGGTCCCATCGTAGCATTAGGGCTGAAGACCCTAGCGATGATCGGGACTTGTCTCACCTATAGTAGCGAACGCCCCGTCGTTAGCGCCGAGTGATAATGCTTGTTAGTTGCGCTAGCTTGGTGATCACTTGTGACGTTTCGTATAATGTGCTTTCGGCGCTTCTCGTACCTACTGATGAGTGAAACGGATCAAAATGTGGTGGCGACTTTCGCATCTCCCGCACTCACCTAGCATCCCCAGTGATCCCGCACTCGCATCACCCGGCCTGTCCAGGCCAAGCCCTGGCAAATGTCTAATATCTAGGGGGTGAGATCCAATGAATGTGCATCTTTGCCTGCCAAGAGCCCAGCAACAGCCGGCTCAAGGGCAGCTCGGTCAACAGAGCTATCCCATCCAAACCCCTTTTGAGTGGCCCAGCCCACAATTCAGCCAGTCAGCCAGCCTCGGGGCCAGGGTGCGCCATTCAACAGCACGATAAATGCTGCTATTGGCCCAGCAGAACCTTTGGTCTTCTAGCGGAGGGATGCCTGGAGTGCTACTGCACCAACATCTTGAGACGGCACGCCGGGAACGAAGAGCAACGCTTCATGGGGCTATGAAAATTAGTGTTACATTCTCGATCTATTTTTAATTTGCTTTGACTCTTGTCTAGATCTTCTTCTTCAACCCTCCCTAAAGGAACTCAAAACAGGCCGGACATGAATGAGATGTCATTGGAACTACATAAATCAGAGCCCGAATCCCGACACACTGTTTAACTGTCCCTAGCTCCAGGATTTCAGACCAGGGTCCGGAATTCGATGACTGAGCTTTTCCTGCATGCCCTAGCTACATGTAATGTTTATAACTGGAGGATGACAATTGCTGCAGAAGAACGCATCAACGAAAATATGTACTGCTGAAGAGCTCTGGTTTCATGGGGAGCGTTCAGGGCAATGAGTCCAATATAGTCACTGATTGTCCGTTTTGAAGATCCTTAGCTTCTAGTTGATAAATCACTACCGATTTCCACCCCCTATCTTAAGGCTCCACTAACGTAAATTCGTAATTCGTGTTTTCTTCGCAAAAGTTCATATCTGAAAACAAACATCCAGACAACCGTGTCGCTTCATTCAAGCCTAGGTAGTCCTAGATACGTCTGCTTCCTAATCCTGGTGGAAAATGTCACCATCCCAGGACCATGGACATGAATACGAGGACGGACACCCAGATAAAGCCCAATATGTGGGACCAATGACTCTCGGGAGGCCTTGATGTAGTGAAATGTATTACACTCCAGTTGCAACACAACTGACAAAGTAGGACATCTCCGATACATTCCTTGATGTGCATGGAGAATCCGACTGAAAAGCCATTTGGCCATAGGCTAATAAATGCAGAGCGAGGGGCTGAAGTTGGATATTCAGGAACCCAATGGCATCACCGAACACTTAAGCTGATATTAGCCAATTGCATTGTCGGACGGAAGGAGGTCTCGTCAGACCATTTTAATTCCAACCCCAGCTATGAGGTAACACCTCCGAGGCTGTGAAAATGTGTTTAAGAGGTTGGTCCAAGCTTCACACTAGTACTGGGTACGCCTGTCGATGTATTCCGGTCTGTAGATGTGCATTGTGGTATAAAAGGGCTACATTTTATCTGGGCTCTAGTTTACTATCTATATTCCAATTCTATTTCTAATATTGATACAGTATGCCTGTGGCCGCGTCTTGTCAGTGAATTTGCTAACATCATGAAACAGTTAGAATATTTCGTCAGGAGATCAATATGCGGCACGACTACTTCCTGGCTTTTATTAGCCTATCAGGGGCTGCCAACGCTGCTCCTACTTTTCCACTTGCTGGTTCGTGCTTTATTGTCAGGCATTATTTCCTCTCTTCTAACATGCGATATGTTCAGATTCATTTGGAGCTGATTCTCACCTCGGTGTCGGCTCAAGTCTGGGTGGAGGGTATATAGAGAAAGGAGAGAATTTCCAAGTGGGTAGCGGAGGTGTTGGTCTAGGTGAAGGTTTTGGAGAGGGTGGTAGTTTTGGAGGCGGATCTGGCTTCGGTGGGGGGGGTTGGTCTTGGAAGTTCCACCCTGGGAGGAGCTGACCTTGGAAACTCTGCCTACGGAGGTTTCGGCTTGGGCTCCGACCTGGGAGGCTCGAGTCTCGGAGCTGGCCTAGGTGAGGGAACCGGCCTTGGAGGCTCCAGTCTAGGAGCTGGCTTCGGAAGCTCTGCATATGGCGGTTCTCCGGGTATTCCTGGATATGGAGGTTCAAGCCTCGGAGGTGCCAGTGTAGGGGGAGCTGGATATGGGGTTGCCACAAGCACTTGCGCGGAAAGTGTTGGTTATGGGGGTATTGGGAGTGCTGTTGGGGTTCAAGGAGCACCATCCACACCGGCAGCTTCTCCTATCCCGTTACCCTCGACGGCACCGGCTTCGCCTGTGGTAGTACCGTTGACCGTGCCAGCCTCTGTTGTGTCAGTCCCAATTGCTCCAGTTTCTTCTGCTGCATTAGCCTATGTTGGCCCGGCTTCCATTGCACCAGCTGCTGTCGCACCACTGTCATCGATTGTTCCAGCTCCAGCTGCTTCAGTCTCCTGTGCGTCATCCTCTGTTGGAGTACCTTCAATCTGGTCCACTCCTATTCCACTTCCCTCTGGACCGGCTTCCATTGCACCAGCTGCTGTTGCACCGCTGTCATCGATTGTTCCAGCTCCAGCTGCTTCAATCTCCTGTGCGTCATCTTCGGTTGGAGTACCTTCAATCTGGTCCACTCCTATTCCACTTCCCTCTGGACCGGCTTCCATTGCACCAGCTGCTGTTGCACCGCTGTCATCGATTGTTCCAGCTCCAGCTGCTTCAATCTCCTGTGCGTCATCCTCGGTTGGAGTACCTTCAATCTGGTCCACTCCTATTCCACTTCCCTCTGGGCCGGCTTCCATTGCACCAGCTGCTGTTGCACCGCTGTCGTCTGTTGTTCCAGTTCCAGCTGCTTCAGTCTCCTGTGCGCCAACCTCTGTTGGGTCCACTCTTATCTCGCTTCCCTCTGGAACGCCACAGCAAGGGCCGGTGTCTGCAGTAACGCCCATTGCCTTTCCAGCACCCGCGGTTTCGAGTGGCCTTGGGGGATACGGTATAGCTGGCACAGAGGAAGGTGAACATGGAGCTGGACCTGGTGTAGGCGAATCTAGCAATGGTGAAACAGCCCCGAGTGAAGTCGGAGGAGGTACCGCTAGTCTTGGAGGATATGGATCTGAAGCCGGCCTTGCGGGATCTGGGGGAGCAGAAGGTCTCGGTGCTATTCCCGAAGGCAATGGGGTCGACGGTGCTTCTAATGGTGAACCCGGTGAACCTGGCCCGATAGGGGCCGGGGAAGCTGGATTAGGAGGAGCCACAAGTGGGCTAGAGCCAGGCTCCGGTCTCGGATGCGACGAGGGAGAGTCGGGCACTGGCATCGGAGTCGGCATCGGAGATAACGGAGGCACGGGGATCGGCGTTGGCATTGGAACTTGAAATTGTCACTAGACCGAGGCGAAGGGGAAAGGCTATACGGCGGGATCAAAAGTAATGCTAATTATTCTTTCCTATTCTACAATACCTCCAACGCTCCATAGATAGTGAACCGGTAGTATGCCGCCCTCCCAAGCGATAAACTAAACACGGACCCCGCCCTGAGGCTTACGGCCCCCACTCGGGCGTCCAGGGCCTTTCAAAGACGACTTTGTCCGATCGCACAACTTACCCTCTACACACTTCTCCGGGCCCAGAACCAAAATGCTGGCCTGGCTCAAGAGCCTCTTTGGCGATCCCGCTGCAAAGAAGAAGCGGCGCCAGAGTCGTGCGTATCAGAAACGCGTGCGGAACCATGAACGTCAGCTGCGCAAGAAGCAGTTAGGGGAGACAAATGAGCATACAAGCTTCTACTTCAAGCCGTACGCGGGTGGAAGAGTAGTAAGTCGAGGAGGCGCCTAATCCTGTACCGGTTCTTTGTATACTTGGGACCGTGTCCGGACTAGGGCCCGCTTCATCCCTTGGCTGCCCTACAACTGCAACGAAACCGAGAGAGCAAGGTAGGGTATCCTTCGCCATTGACGGCACTGCTCGAGCTAACATGGCCCCTGTAACAGATCACGGAACAGTAAGAGTGGCTCGTTACGTGAGTGAACGGAACAAGAATCTGGAAGGAAACTGTAATCCTCAATGAGTATGAAGAAAGAAGGCTCCCTTCAGTACCCTGGCCCGCATGTATGAGATGTAAGGTTTACTCTAAATAGAGGGAGACATTCTTCTTCCCCGAAGGACAACACCTTCATGCAACGACGTCGAAATATTCCAAAAACTCCGCATCCTTCCTTAGCAAGTCATGATCCTCAACCGCCAACTCCACGAGAACCTCGAACACCCTTCTTCCTCCTCGCGAGAAATTGGGCAAAATCATAGCAGCCCTCGCCATAGGCGGAGGTAACCGCACTGCAACAGGGCTCGCTGCAGACCCAATATCGTACTTCTCTGCGGTGCCCGAGTACCAGGAAGTCATGAGAATATCCATATCAGCGAAATCGGCGCGAGAGCCTATTATCTCCCCCGGGGAGAGAGATCCCATGAGGGAGGTCATATAGCCGATTGAAAACATATCGACGGAGTATATGGATTGGCGGATTAAAGATGCTGCTGCAGCGAGGCCTCGGACTCCATCTGATACCAGGGCTTCAGCAGTGAGAGGGCCTGCTTGGGTTGCAATGACGGCATTACCAAAGTATCGATCAGAAGTTTTGTTGTCGGGGTCTCGGGTACGCACATCAATAGGGTGGATGAAGCGAGACAGCGAGGTTGCTTTCTCCGGGAGAAGATGGAGCCGGGCACGCGTGACTGCCGTCCAGATGATGGCGGAGATGCAGTCGTATGAGGTTATGTAGTCCACCCCATTCAAAAATGGACCGCATTTTGCTTTGAGCTTTTGGATGGATGTCTCGGAGATCTTGTATATACCTGATTTGGAGGCGGGTGGCGGCTTTGGTTTGAATGAACTCATGTCCATGATGTAAAACATTGGGAGCTTTTCTTGTAGCTCCGTCTTTGAGATGGTTGGACCAGATGCTGAAGTGTTGTATGGAGTTCTGTTGAGGTCTGGCATGTAGGTGGGCATTTCCAGTCCTTCTTGATGTGCCTTGCTGCTTTGACAGACAAGAGACAGGAATGTATCAATTGAAAACCAATCCCCCACCGCGTGATTCATACTGAAACCCAAGACCAGGCCCCCTTCGATGAGACTTAATTGCAGAGCGCAGACCGGATTGTTGCTCGTCGGCTCTTCGGGTAACATCATAATAGGGTCCAGATGATTGGGATTGAAGCCATCCGAGGCCAAGGCGGAGAGAGACTTGTGCTCTGTGGGCTCGAATCGGCGAATGTTGACTTCGACTTGGCTTCCTGGATGTGTGACGATGTAGACCTTGCCGTGATCGTGAATCTGGAGATCTCCTGCAATAAAGGGCAACTGTCGGGTTGCGTTCCTCACACCTTCCATAATAGAGGAAATCAAATCGTCCAGATCAATAGCGGGCTGAAGCTCATAGATCACAAAGAGTTTAACAGACTTTCGCATCCCCATTTTGTCTATATCGGATAACTCGTATTTGACCGTGTCATCCATTGTCAGACGGTTTAGTTTGTACGTGATTCCTGAGCTTCCTGGTCATTGTTGCTGGGATGAATTACACTTAAATGTGATTCCAACCACAATTATAAAGTAGATGCCCACATTCGGAGCTAACCATATTTAGTAATTTCGGCCTCCAATTTCGGCAACTATGGAGAATCAACATTACCAAATTGGGTGTCCGACCATCCAAGGCGTCCGTCGTAGCATAGAGTCTCACATAAGAAAGTGGCTCTACGCTATTCTTATAAATTGGTGATCTAGTACTTGCCAGATATACAGGCGTGAATAGCGGCCATTGAGGGAAACCCCCCTTCAAAGGTAAAGCAGGCCACTCTCATGACTATTAGATAACTAGCTAATTTCTAGCTCGACATGTTTGGAAAGACCTGTCTTGGAACAGCCTTAAAGGGGAAGAACCCTTGGAAAGATGTTTCACCAGACGTTTGAAGGAGTGCTCATAGAAAAGTAGAAGACCAAAAGAGTAAGGTGTGGTAGAGCGACTAAGGTGCTAATCAAGGCTTTGTTATGATGAATCGTTGGTAGTGCGATGGACTGCCATTTTAAAACATTTACTGCAATGGAAAGTCCCGGTTTGAATACATATAAACCTTCCCTTTCACTTTCTCTCTCCTCCTTCCTTCCTCATTTTTAGTAAACTCGTTTTGCCACTGATCCACATCATACATTCTAGTTCGGCCCTTGCAACTGATCTCATGATACTCAAGCTAATTACTCCGCAGCTAGCCTCCTTAGGATCGTCCAGTTTACGATATCGTTCAAACCACCAGAAGCATACAATTCACATTGCATCGAAATGGAAAAAGTGAAGCATCAACCCAAAATGCCCAACGAAGACGACCGCGGCACGAATGCCCAGAACAAAGAGCCTCAACTCACAACCCTTGAGGAACTGAACGATGCTGTCAAAGATTTTTTTGCCAAGGGGCCTCTGTACGCATCTTACAAAATGCTTGCTCTCCAAATCTCTATCGTACTGGGCTCCACAGCAGTTGATGTCAACGAGCCACCTGCCTACGCTATCCCGTTCATTGCCGAAGGATTTCCCTGGCGCGACCCCAAGCTTTCCGCCACGCTCGTTTCATTATTTGCATGTCCCCCAGACCCTCATTCCGTGTCGGAGACTCTCAAGTGCGGCCACGATGGCCTAGGCGGAAGCCCTACTGCGGCAGACGTTCCCGGAACCCCACCGGCCGACTTGTCAAAGGTATTTGCGCGAGCCAAGAAAGCAGCTGTTGATGGCAAAGTCGGGAAAGCAACAGTCTTGCTAGTGAACCTGGTTGACGTGGAAATGACCGAAAGACGTGAAAGCGGATGTTGTGATATGAACTACTCCTCCTTTGCGCATGCTTTTGTGCTGGCTATTGGCCGGGAAGGATTCTGCGTGTTCCAAGCATCAGGCAGACATGGTTATCGTCTCGATCAATATCTCATGAGAGACGGCTCGAGACTTCGCAACTGGGAAGAGGCCAAGACGTTCGTCAACCGATTTCAAAACCTCGCTTGCTCTCGGGTATGAAAGATCACTCTGTCACTAATGTCTTGCGAGTTACTCTAACAACCCGTGGTAGGGGAAATGGTCAACCGATTTGAACAAGGCCTATGAGGAATGCTTTGAGGTGAACATGAACTCTATCTGTGGCAAAGGAAAGCCGCTGCCACCCATTGTTCCAGCTTACCGACCTTGGGTCAACATTTTTGAAATCAATGATGTCAAAGCAAAGCACTTCAAGAAGTGGACTTGGAAGAAGGGGAACGAGTGAAGAAGATGCCGAATCTTCACCGGGTTTACTAGCTTCAGTTGAGCAATCTGTCTCATTCAAATGAAATCAAGTGGGGAACATTAAAGTCTCTATTAATCTACCAGAGTACGTAACAAAGTAGTCTTCATATATAAACCAATTAAGTGTATTGGAAAACTAATCCACGAATCATATACCTATCATAAAAACACCGATGCACTCTTAAAATAAACAAAGAAAAATCCAAAGAGAAAAGAGCATATCAAGTCATAAAAGGAAGCAAACACTTCCAACCTCCTCGGATCAGACTTATGCGGATCCGAGGTACTTGAGCACGTTCTCGCGCTCCTCAACGGGCAGCATAGACAGCACCTGTTGCACACCACGAAGACCACCCTCCTTGTTTCCAATAAGAAGCTGAGCAACCTCGGAAGCAACACCATCGGTGCGCAGGGCCTCGACCTTGGCCTGGACGAGCTTCTTGTTCTCCTCGTACCAGGTAGCGACCTTCATGTCGTCGTGCTCGATTTCTTCATCCAGGAGACCGGTCCAGGCGTGCAGGGTGCGGAGATGGGAGGCACGGGAGGACTCTGGAGTGGTGTGGGTGGTGCCGGTGGAGGGGATGGCACCGCCGGCGCCGTTGCGGGGAGCAGGGGTGGCGGCGGTGGTGACCATGCGCTTGACGATCAGCTCTTCGCTGAGACGGCGGCGCAGACGCCAGTAGAAGAAGCGGCGGGCATTCTGCCAACGCAGGGGCTTGCGGATGGTGTTCTTAGCTTGCATGCGACCGGCGCGGTCGTGCAGGTCGGCGAACTGAAGAGCGATCTGCAGGTACACGGGCAGAAGCTTCTCCTCACGCTCGGCCATCTTGGCCTTGATCTCGGACAGCTGCTCATTGCTGAGCGACTTGTCCTGGAGAGAGCGGCGCAGGTCACCGTAGGTGGAGTCCAGGCGGGCCATGGTGTCGAGCTGCTTGTCGCGGCGGTACTTGATGTTGACGATACCCTCGGGCTCGAGAACACCACCGCGGGACTCCTCGTCGGCGTACATCTCCATCTGGTCGGGGTTGATTGTGGGATCGACAACGACCCAGGATCCACCACGGAGCTCGCCGTGGGGAGGAATGTATACAAAGATGGGCTGCTCGTGCTTGACGAGGGCGTCGACGATGTACGAACCGTACTTGAGCACCTCGTTGTACATGTCACGCTGACCACCAGAGAAACCTCTCCAGTTGGCAAGGATCATGACGGGCAGCTGCTCACCGTTGTTGAAGTCACGCAGAGCCTGGGCAGTCTTGTAAGCAGAGTTGGGGTACCACACACCACCAGCCTCCTGAGTGATCATCTCCATGGAATCAGGGTTGGCAGGATCAGCAGGAGTGACGTTCTCGACGGAGCGGGTCTCAACAGCAATCACACCCATCGGAATACCACCAAGGCGGGCACGACCCACGACGACGGTGCGAGCCCAGCCGCCAAGGGCCTCCTCGAAGGAGTCCTTGTCGAACAGACCGGGCAGGAAGCCTTCCTCATCCTGCTTACCACCAATGAGCCAGCGGACATCGTATGCCTGCTTCGGAGGCGGGTAGTAGGCGATATCGCGGTCCCAGTTGTCGGACCAGGGACGGATGGGGATGGGAGCACCCTTCTTGTCGGGAACGAAGGACATCCACTCGATGATCTTGCGGACACCATCGAAATCGTCGGCAGCAGTCATGTGCGAGACACCGTTGTTGTACATGATCTGGGTACCACCAAGCTGCAGGTTGGAGGTGTAGACCTCGCGACCAAGCAGCTTGTTGATGGCAGGCGCACCAGTCAAAATGATAGGCTGACCCTCAACCTGGATAGCACGCTGACCAAGACGGACCAGGTAGGCACCAATACCGACGGAGCGGCAGGTAACCAGGGTGATGGTGAAGATGTCCTCGTAGGCCTTGGAAGTGGCACCGGCAATGAGACCGGAGCCCTTCAGACACTCAACACCAAGGCCGTCCTTGGCACCAATGACGGTGGTGATCTTGTGGCGGTCCTCACCCTCATCATGAATGAGCTCAGTGATAACCTCCTTCTTCTTGCTGGCGTCGAAGCGCTTCTTCACCTCAGGGGTGAGGTAAAGATACTTGAAACCGGCCTCGGGCTTGGAGGCGTCGTTCCAGGCGACGGAGAAGTACGGGATCAGCTCATCAGCCATACCGATACGGGCACCGGAATTGGCAGACAAGTAGATGCGAGGAATGCCAAGCTTGCGGGCGAGCTCGGTGCACTTGTGGAAGAACTTGTCCTCCTGAGGACCGAACGAACCAATCTGGAAGGTGATATCGTTGGCAATGATGATGAAGCGACGGCCACGCGGGTACTCGGGGGTACGGGCAGTGACGAGCCAGCCGACCATACCGTGAGAGTTGGTGCCAGGCTCACGGGAAACCTCAACCAAGTTGTCGGTATCGTCAAGGACCAGCTCGCTGTAGTCAATGCACTCGCCAATAGCAGGGCGCGACGAAGCCAGCGAGGGAATGTCCGCGACAGCCTTGGTCCAAGCGTTCTGGAAGGCCTGGCGGAACAGCTCGGGGAAGTCGTACACGTACTGAGTCCCCATGAGATGGGCCTTGTAACGCTTGGGCTGCAGCCACTCCTTGGTAGGGTACGGAGTAGAGACCGGGCGCATGTGCATGGAGCCGAGCTTGTTGGTACCACCAATGCTCTGGAAGATCCACTCACCCTTCTCGGACTTGCGCTCGATGTAGAGCTCGACCTGAATAATGAAACCATAGGTGTTGCTGATGATCACACGGAGCGGGTAAGGCATGCCGGTGGAAGGATCCGTGCAAAGGATACGGATCTCAGCACCAGTAACACGGAGGCGCCACAGGCGACGGCCGAAGCGGTCAAGGAAGCCAGCCAGGGCCTGCTCGACATCAATGGGCTGCAGATTGAAGACGGGAGAGAAGTTGATGAAGATGTGGTTGAGATCAGAGTTGTTGTTGCCGATGATCTCCAGGGCATCCAGAATGTCGTTCATCAAGCGGTCGGCCTCCGAGATTAGGTACTCGGCAGTAGGGATATCATCGCGCAGACGACCAGGACTTACCACAGCGCGGACGAAGTAGCGCTTGTCGACGGCCTTGTCACTCTCGAGGCCCTTTCCAAACGCCTCGTAGACGTGAATGTTGCGGTTCTCGGTGAAGACAGGCTTGATCTTGAATTTGGACAGACGACCGAGCTCAAGCTGGAAGGCCAGAGCAGGCTCGTTGTGACGAATACTTTCATCCTCCTCGTACGTAGGTCCACGGAAGGTGAAGTAGCCGGGGTAGACACCGTTCTTAGCGCAGATGAAGGTAACACGGCGGATGCGGCGAGCGAGCAGCTCATCCTTGTTGTCAGCCAGCAGAGCCTGCATCTGGGTGACAATCTGTGAATCATCCTGGTCCTCAATGTCACGGATAGCAATGTTGAGGACACCAGTGAGCTCGCTGTCATTTTCCTTGGTCGGAGCGCCGGTGGGTGCAGGACGGCGCTTGCCTTCGAGGTTGGCAATCAGGCCGTTGTCAGCCTTCTGGGCCTTGGATCCAGCGCGGGGGAAAGCCTCCAGAGCCTTGGACAGGAACTCCTCGGCATCCTCCAGGTACTGCACGGGGATGATAACACCCTTGCGGACAGGATCAGCGGAGGGGTCGTTGACCAGGTAGGACATGTCACTGATAGAGTTGATGCGCTTGAAGGGGTTGGCCTCAGCGGTAGGGGTGCTGGGAGTAGAGGGCTGGGTGGAGGAAAAAGGGCCAAATTCGGGCTGACCCAGCTTGCCAAGGGTGAAGTCCCAGGACAGGAAGGGAGGCTCGCCAGAGGCAATGTATTCAAGGCTCTTCACAGTGTACGCACGGTAGGCGCGGCGCACATAGACCTCCAGAGCAGCGAGAGTAACCCAAGGGTCCGGGTGTACGAAGAAGCGGGGAAGGACATCGAAAACGGTGTACTTGGAGTCAACAACCTCCTTCAAGATGCCAGCGTCGGGCTCGCGGTGGTCCCAGCCGGTCTCGCCGTAGCGGGACTCGACAACCGAGGAGCGGAGGATGTGCTCCATCTGGGACAGGCGCTCCTCCAGAGAGGGCAGAGCACACTGGATAAGAACTTCACGGGCCTTAAGGGTGACCTTGGCGGTGGAGCGAGCCTCGAGGTCAGTCAACTTCCTCAGGATAGGCTTGAAGTGCTTGTTGACGTTGCCAAGGTTGGGCTGGTTGGGGCGGTACATCTCCAAAATAGCCAAGACCAGGTTGTTCTTCGAGCCGATGCGACTATGCGACAGGACAGTGTGAACGACGTTGGTGATGTCCTCCTTGTTCTCCTCACGAAGCTTGAGGATGACGTCCTCATCGCGCTTGGTGCCGGTGGAGAACAACTTCTCGACCTCGTAGTACTGCTCCAACAGACCGATGAAGACATTGAATTCGTTGGTCTTCAGGCCATCCATGTACTTGTTGATGACCTGAGTCAGGGGCAGGAGGGTAGTCTTGAGAATATCGGCATCGCCAGGATTGACGTTCTCCTCAATGAAGCGGAGAATGGTCTTCAGCAGCTGCTTGGCGGGGAACTCGGCCTTGCGGGCCTTGGCCTTCTCAACCACGCCCTCCAGCTGAGCATCCAGCTTTTGGGGCATGCGCGAGTGCAGAGCGGACGACTGTGCGTTCCACTCTCCGTAGGGAAGATCCGGGTTGCGCAGGACCTCGACGAGCTCCTTCAGGGTGTCACCCATGATGAACTGGTTATCGAAACCACGGAGAATGTTCTCCAGAATGGTGTACAGCAACCAGAAGCGCTGCGGGGGCTTCATACCGACAACGACGGGAGGGCCGAGATCGGGCAGCTGGCCAGTGAAGGGGTGGGCATGCTTGACACGCGAAGGGTCATCCAGGGCGAGGATACCAAGGATATCACCGGCCTCCAGAGTGGCGCCAGGCTGCTTGATGAGCTGCACCATACCATCCTCCTGTGCAATGAGAGGCATGTACATCTTCATGACCTCAACCTCAGCGTAGGCCTGGCCAGCACGAACGTGCTCACCGTTCTCGACGGTGAATTTGACCAGCTTACCGGGGGAGGGGGAGCGAAGCTGGGTGGGGTCGTTCTCCTGCTCTAGAAGGCAGGTTTTGCCGTCCACGCTGAGACGGGTGGCAGCAGGCTCCTCCTTCCAGTAGACGTTGTGACTGCGGCCGCTGAGCAAAACCAGCAGACCACCGTCAGCCAAAGCACGGACGCCAACGGAGCACTTGGAACCGTTGATGAACAGGTGGTAGCTGTCCAGACTGGCACGAGTGGCAGTGAACTTGTAGCGGGCACCTTCGTAGATGAAGTCCACGGGGAAGACGGTCTTCAGGACATCCTTGGAAGGGACCTGACCCTTCTCCAGACCCTTACGGTACTCCTCGATACCAGCCTCGCTGGCAAGGTGGGCTTTGGTGACGGCACCACAGATGACAGCGACAATGGGGTCAGGACGCTCGGCAGTCAGCTTATTGGAGATGAGCTGGTCGAGCCACCCGGTGGTGATGGTGTTGTCCTCGAAAGCCGGAGTCTCCAACAGCTTGATGAGATACTCAACAGTGGTACGGAAGTCACCACGAATGCTCAACTCCTTCAGAGCAACAACCATGTGCTTACGCGAGGCAGAACGATTCTCGCCATAGGCGAAGATGTGACCGAACTGACTGTCGGAAAAACTGTGGATACCACCAGCGGTACCGACGGAGAAGTAACCCCAGACATTAGACGAACTGCGGAAGTTCAGCTCGTGCATGGTACCGCTCGAAGGCTTGAAACCCTCGCCGGGATCTTCAGAGGTGATACGGCAGGCAGTGGTGTGTCCTTTGGGCTGGGGACGACGCTGGGTCTTGAGGCTCTCCTCGTTGGAGAAGTCGAAATCGATCTCGCCGGAGGTGTTGGGGTCAACACCGTACAGGAGACGAATATCGCGGATCTGGTGCAGGGGGATACCCATGGCAATCTGGAGCTGAGCAGCAGGCAGGTTGACACCGGACACCATCTCAGTGGTGGGATGCTCGACCTGAAGACGAGGGTTCAACTCGAGGAAGTAGAACTTGTCGTCGGAGTGCGAGTACAGATACTCGACGGTACCGGCAGACACGTAACCGACCAGACGGCCCAGGCTGACGGCGGCCTTCTCCATGGCCTGGAAAGTGGGTTGCTTGGCAATGGTGACGGGGGCCTCCTCAATAATCTTCTGGTGACGACGCTGGACGGAGCAGTCACGGCCGAAAAGCGAGATATTGTTGCCGTACTGATCAGCCAGCAGCTGAACCTCCAAGTGGCGGGCGTTACCGGCAAGCTTCATGATGAAAATGGGCGAACCAGGAATCTCGTTGGCGGCCGCATTGTACAGGGAGACGAAATTCTCCTCGCTGTCGACCTTACGGATACCCTTACCACCACCACCTTCGGAGGCCTTGATCATGACGGGGAAGCCAATTTCTTTGGCCTTCTCCAGACCCTCGGCAGGAGAGAAGGTGCAGCCGCGAGCATAGACATCCTCCTCGACCGTCACAATTCCCTTGTCGTCAATCGTCACGTCGTTGACACCAGTTCCAGACCAGGGGATACAGGGCACACCGGCATGTTGTGCGACAATGGTGGAGGAGATCTTGTCACCCAGAGAGCGCATGGCCGAGGCCGGGGGGCCAATGAAGATGATCTTCTTGGGCGACGCAGCCAGGGACTCGGGTAACCGAGGGTTTTCGGAGGCGTGACCCCAACCAGCCCACACGGCATGGACATCCATGCGCTCCGCAACATCGACGATCAGCTCGACGTTGGCATAATTATTGTTATTCGTTCCACCGGGAACCTCGACGTATTGGTCGGCCATACGAATGTAGTCGGCGTTGGCATGCAGATCCTCGGGGGTGGCCATCACGGTGAACTGGATCGCGCGCTCGTTGCCAAAGGTCTCGTAGGCCCATTTCCTCACTGATCGGATCTCCTTGACGGCGGCGATACCGTTGTTGGCGATTAGCACCTGGAACGAGGAGATTAGTGTCGATTTCTCACTTCGAGATCCCTTTGTCCCAAACTCACCGAAGTAATGACGGAGTGACCGCCGTGCTCAGCAACGAAGTCCTTCACACTGCTCGGAGGTGCTACTTCGAGGTGGTTGCCACCGATGAAATGTGAAGGGAGGTCGTATTTGGCGGCATTGGAGCTGCCGTGGCCGTTAGACGGCTGGTTGGCGTTGGGGACGCCCATGATGCAGATGGATCACGCAAGAGTCTCAGCTTCCATGCGAGAATTGGGGCGAAAAGAAGAGATTAAACGCTAGGGAAGAATAATGTACAACGTGGTGAATCCCGGAATGGTGGCGCGGGAGGAGGGGAGAAAATCGAGGTAGAGAGTAAGACGAGCTGCGCGATACGAGAAATCAAGTCAGTAATCGCCAATGCTCGGAGGCAACACGGAGATCCCGATGCGGCAAGTTCGGAGCTGGTCGCAAACGGGGAGTGTAGCAAAAGGGGGCAGCGTTGCAGTAACACTCACCGGGACCACCAAAACCCGACTAAGAAGGATGAAAGGAAGTAAAGATAAAAGTCCTGGACCGGAGTGCAACGAACTAAAGAAGCTCGATTGAGGCCAGAAGAAAAAATGATGAGGATGATTTTCTGGAGTCCCACCAAGTGGAGATTCCCAACTTGCTGGAGTAGCGCGCGCAGAAGTACCTTGCCATACATTGTAGTACGGCCAGGTACATCCAGGGACACACTTCCCCAACTCCCAACTCCCGGCTTTGTTGGGCTGGTTCCACCGTGCCTGTCTCTTACGTCCCACCATTTCCCATTTCCCTTGCCTCGCTATTCAATTAGTCCAATCATCTCGCTCGTTATACGCCCGCGACTGTCAATTCCAGCTTGCGCTCCCCGTTCTAGGGTGCTTTTCTTGAATTACCTGGCGAATGGGCTTCCTGGGTGTGCTCGGTGTGCCCGGTGCCCCCATGTCGGGCTCGGTCCGAGTCGGCGACATTTTACTCCTAGTCCGGAGTGCAGGATGAAGCTGATGCCGGAGTAAAGTACCTGCGTAGATTAATGGTCCCGGGTTTACATCTACGACCCTTGTCGAGTTCTTCCATTCCGGCCTCGACGCAATCCGGTGGGGACATAGTGACGTGCCGCTAAATCCAATTCCCAACGAGGGATCGTCATTGCGGTAAAACGCTGGATAGACTGGCAATCCGCTCTATCGGTATCAACGCCGACACGGTAAATGTCTAGAGCGATACCCAGTTGAGTAGCTTTGGCAGTAGGTGGCTACGTGGCTTAGGAAGGGTAACTACAGAGAATCGCTCAAGGACGTAAAATCGTGGGTATTATCAAACGCCTCGCAGCGTACAAATCAAGAAAGGCTGAGACACAGCTTAGGACGCCTCGGAATCCACCAGAGGCTACATCAAATCAGTGACTGTTAGAGACGGGAGATCGTCGCATCGACACCGAGTGAATTTGTACAGGATGGCGCAGGTGCGGAGTCTCCGTGGCCACAAACCAGGTGGCCGCTATGCACAAATTGTAATACCATGCTTTCCTGGCAGCTTGTCGGAGAATATGGCCCACGCGAGAAGAAGAGAAATCTAACGGAAATATGGCATATCCCAGGTGACTCGGGAAATTTTCTAGAAAGTCTCTCCTAAGTCGTTCACCGGCGTCTTTCGCTCAGGCGGCGGCATGTTGCCCGGACCGATGCTGGTCTTGAAACCCCGGGGTGTGGGGATGGCGGAGACACCGCTAGTGGTGCGCTTCTTTAGTCCCGGTGTGCCTGAGATGGATGGGCGTCGGATATCCTGGGGAATTCGCGAGGGGGGGTGGAAATATCCAGATCCTCCTCAATATGAGACATGCCGCCGATTGATGGGGTCTGTCCCGCATGGTTGCTTAAAGAAGACCGCGGTCGCCGGCTTTCTGTCATCGGGTTGGTCGAATAATGCCCGAGGGGTGTTTTGGCCCCAGGGCGGCTTTGTCGACTTTCGGGGCGAGCGTTGATGGGCACGCCCGAGTGGACGCTCTGGCTGAATGAGCTGCGGCTGGAGAAGCTTGTCCGGCTGCTGGGGCGGCTGTCGCCCTGAGTTCGAGCTCCAAAAGACTGGCGACTCTGTGGGACATATGACGGGGTCCCCTCGCTATCTCGTACGGATGAACCGAAACTGCTGCCACTCAGGCGCTTGCGGGAGCTCCTTCGAACGGTCACATTGGAGGGAACCGGACTATCTCCAGCGATAGAGCCCGAACGCGGTGATCCATGTCTTGAGGACGTCTCTGATGGTGCAGGAAGACGCGACTTCGCTGACTGGATCCGCTCCTCGAGCGTCTGCATCTTGCCAATCAGGCCACGGATCTGATACAATGACCCGGATTTGGGAAGCCCTGTCGGGCGCTGAGTGGTCGATCTCGACAAGCTAGCGCGGGAGGAAATGGACATGGAAGGGGTGGAACGTCCACCATTGCTGTAGGCGCCATTGCTGTAGGCGAGGGACGAGGCTCGAGAGTGAGTGGGACGGGGTTGGGTGCGAGCATTAAGCAGGGTCCGTGAATTGATCGGGTCTGTGCCCGCAGCTCTGCTTCGAGGGAAGGTGGGGGTTGCATTGATTGACCTGCGCAGGCTGGCAGAGGACTCCGAGATAGGAGGTGAGGGCGGAGTAGCGGTCGATGCTGCCAGAGATGATTTGGCTGGAGGCGTTGCAAACACAGGAGAGGACGTCGCGGTTCCAGGCGAACGGTCGAAAATCTCCAGATTCTGGGGTGTGGATGGACTGCGGTACAAGGGAGTCGGCTTGCGACGACGGAACCCGCCCCCCTCAGTGTGCCGCAGCTTCTCCAGGTTGATCTCGGCCTCGACCTTGAGATCGGAGAGTTCATCCCGCAGACGCTGGTTCTCGATCCGCAGGTCCTCACGCTCCTGTTCACCGGTCCGCATCTCCTCCTCCAACAGCACACCGCGCTCGATGGCGACGTTGTATTTGGATTCCATGTCCTCCAGGGACGAGGTAGTGTTCCGGGCTTGTCGCTCATAGTCATCGTTGGCAACTTCGATGTCGCGCAGCTTCAGCTGCAAAGTGCGGCTTGTATCGCGTAGGGAAGTAATTTCCTTCTGCAGAGTGTTTTGCACGGCATTTGCTTCGGACTTGGACTGCTTGTATTTGGTCTGCCGGAGTATAAGTTTCCCTTGTACCCGATAATGAGATATAGTTTAGCATACCTTCCACTCCTCAACCTCGTATCGCAGATTATCAACTTTTTCTTTCAGCTGGCGTTCTCGCTTCTCAGAGGCCTCGATGTCCTTCTCCAGCTCAGCCTCCAGCTCCCGGCTGGAGACTTGGAAGTCTGCAAGTTCCGTTTCGAGTTGTTCATATTGAGCTTTGTAATGCACAAGTTCATCTCTGTAGGAGCTGCTGGTGTGCTTTCGCTCGGAAGGCGAATCGTCGGCGGCCGGCATCCTCCCGTGTTGGGCACCCGGCGGGCCGCAAAGATGTGCGCAAGACCAACGTCAAATTTGCGCAATGCGAGCAGGTAACTGATCCGCCGAAAGTCACAGAGACCAGACGGTCCTCCTCAAAGGGTCATAGGGCTGTGTTGGTAGCGACGCACGGTTGTTGATAAGAGCCCCTCGGCGAGGCGGTGACGCAGCGGGATCGGGATTGTTAATGAAATCGACGATTACCCTCCACCACGAGAGCAAGAACGTATGGTGGTGAGAAGAACAGATCGGAGTCGAGAACCGACAGACTTACCTATTCTTAAGAAAGGTGACGCTCTCACGGTGGACGGGGAGGAGGATGTGTCGCAAAGGCGGGATTGGGGATTGATTAGATCGGGTGTTGTCAACACATGTTTCGGTCGTCAGGGGCCCAGAAATGGCGCTAACCCCGATCAGGAGATAGTGTGGCTGCCTGAGGCCAGTGGAGCTAAACCTCAAAGAGCAAGAGACTGTGATCCACGATCTGGATTCATCCGCGGGTCTCCTTGGGTCTCCGGGGTAAGATATCACTGTCCGCGGTTGCGAAAGAAAAAAGGCGGTTTTTGTTACGATTATTTGGTCTCCGCGTGTCTCATTCTGCCCTCCTTCATCCCACTTACTCTTCCTGCCACCGATCTGTCAGGTTATGCCCACGCACGGCATCCTTGGATCGGAGGCTGATCGTCGACACTGCTTCCACGCACTTGTTTACCCTCGCCCCTCCGATTCCCACCATCTGCTCCACGTTGTATGTGACGCTCTTCCAGCTTTGCGATAATGATGTGACACGCGCGCTGACCTTATTTCCTCGCAGGCTACGTGTGAGATTGGGGCCGAAGCATCTCGCCCATCATGGCGGACCCCACCGACCTGAACCTGGACGCGCCGAGCGACCTTCAGGACATTCCGGAACTTGCCATGCAATTGATTCCCCCGCCGGAAGGAACATACCCTGACAAGTGAGCCTCGGCACTCCCCTTGCTTCTGATAGTTTTCTCTGCTAACCAGGACCTCACCTATTAAGGAATACGCTCCTCGCGGCCGTTCAAGCACACGGCAAAGCACATGGCTACAATGTTGTTGTCAAATCATCAAGCACGCCTACCGAGAAGAAGCCGGGCCGGACTGCCAAGGTGTGGCTGCGCTGCGATCGCGGTGGACATTATCGACCGCGCAATGGACTCACGGAGGAGACGCGCAAGCGCAGAAGAACGTCGCGTCTGATGGACTGTCCGTTCATGCTTGTCGCAGCAGGTTCCCCAGGCATCTGGACTTTGACCGTGCTGAACCCGACTCATAATCATGGTCCCATTATCGAGAAGCCCCGACAGGTGCCTCACCACAAGGTCCGGAAAGGTCAACTGCCGGCAATACCATACGACTGGCCCCATGATGCGACCTTTACTCCGTACACGACTGCACTTGTGATCATTGACATGCAGAAAGATTGTAAGATTCCTTTGACGTCTTGCGCATGATATCTGGGTATACACTAATGCATTTTTTAGTCTGCTCCCCTGGCGGATACCTTGAGTACCAAGGCTACGACATTTCTGCTGCGCAAGCTCTGATTCCCAAGCTACAGCGGCTTCTCCATTCCTTCAGGTCTGCAGGTTTCCCCGTGTACCACACTCGAGAAGGTTCGTACTTGACTTGCAGCTATAATTAAGTTCACTCGCTGACCTTAACTTATTAGGTCACCGACCCGATCTGTCCACCCTCTCAAGCCGAGAGTCATTTCGCTCTCGCAACAATGCTACCGGCCTAGGCATTGGCTCTCAAGGCCCTATGGGCCGCCTGCTTATCCGCGGCGAAATGGGTCATGACACAGTAGACGAGCTGTATCCTCTCGTAGGGGAGCCCGTCATCGACAAGCCAGGCCGCGGTGCATTTGCACACACTGACTTTGAACTCATTCTGCACAACAAGGGCATCAAAAATCTTGTCATTGCCGGTGTCACCACCGACGTCTGCGTCTCAACTACAATGCGTGAGGCCAACGACCGCGGATTCGACTGTGTTCTGTTGGACGACGCCAGCGCAGCCAGTGAAGCATCCCTTCACGTCAGCACCGTCGAGTCTGTGAAGATGGAGGGTGGCATCTTTGGCTCTGTGGCCAAGCTTGAAGACGTAATTCAAGCTGTTGACAGCTTCAAATCCGTCACTATGAAGAAGCTGGCTCCTCAACTGACGGGCTGAACATCTACTCAGATTTGTTTCTAGCGGAATTAGTTTAATTGCTGGGGTTGGAAGGAAACAGGCCGGCGTTTTTCGGGATAAGGACTCCCCTTTTTTTGGTGATTCTAGTATCCAAGAGCGTGCTTCGCCCCTGTGTTTCGGGTTTCTTGACGAATTTAGCGGGATATTTGTTTTTTTGTTGAAAAGCCATGATTGATCATTTTTGTTTAGAGATCGAGAGTCCGGACATTATCATAGTGTGCATTGACCAACCCAATGACTCTTCTTTCCTGGGTATCATTCGCAATTCCTTCTGTCCGACCAGCAATAAATCTTGTAAATGAAGTACGCAGCACATGCACAGTGACACGATTTCGATCTAAGGTCCATGCAAGCCCAAAACGCCACGCTGTATCAAGAAAATATACACGAAACAGTAACGTAAGCACAGCAAACGTTTTACAACCACTTCTTCCCGGCGCCTGTAACCTTCGTCCTGAATACGGGACTCTTGATCTCCATCCCCTGCTTATAGAACGGGCTCATGGATGTCTTGACATAGCTCTCGTACACCTCGTTCATGAACTGGCGCACCGCTTCCTCGGTTTGAGGGGACGTCGGGTTTGCGGCGACGGAGCTCGAGGAGGCCCGCGTAGTGGATGCAGATGAACCTAGGAGTGACGATGATCCAAGGCCGCTAGAGCTACCGGAGGGTAGTTGCGGAGGTTGATGCAAGAGAAGGAAGCGGGCACCGCTGGGTGTGAGAAAGGCGGAGATGTAGGCTGCCGCGGGTGGGTAGGTGTCGATGTGTTTGAGGTACCTATGTCCGTGAATTAGCTTGGAAGCCCGGTGGTTCGGGGTCCAAATGTTGATCATGGCTGGAGAAAGACGAGTAACTCACATTCCACCATTGGTCCACTGCGCTTCTTCGACTATATCCAGACTAGAGTGGATGATGAATTGGTTCATGTACTGTGCCGTGTCTGGGAAGCGGAACCGGGCAATGCCATCGCCGCCGCCTTTGGAGGTTCCAAATGCGATGTTGAATATCGGCGTATCGGTAGGTGAGAGGATGGTGAAGTAGTATGACATTTTGGTGGGACAGCGAGTGCGGAGAATGTAGTCGGAGGTTTCGTGGGGGAGACGAACTGCTGTGGCCGATGTTTAGTCCTGTCCACGTGATCGATAAGAGATAAAGGCTGACTATGGAAAGGTGGACACAAAAAGAGAAAAAAACAAGGCGAAATGAATTATTCGAACCCTTTTTTTTGCCTTCAAATGCCATTGGTGTCATTCTATCATATATTGCTGCGTGTCTGAATGTTTCGTCCCTTTTTTGCAGAAAGCGTTTGATAAATGATATAGACCTTCAACCGGTAATCAATATATATATATTTTTTCAAACAGCTTGCGAAAATTCGAACTTGCAAAGAAAAATTAGGGCGTCCAACAAAAAGGCCCGAAACTTATTCAAATCTTACAGACCATCACCATACAAGCTTCAACGAAGAAAGTAGAGCTTGAAGTGCTACTTCCACGAGACTTGACTCTACTTCCCCCGCAAAGTGAAGTCACATGACTGATTGCCAGTCCCTGCGTTATCGCCTATCGCGACTTTTTGATCTCGACGTCACGCACCTCAGGTTGCGCCCACCACGACTTCACATTCTCCGCAATTCTTCCAAGCTTGTTGATTGCTTCTGAGTGACAATAGGCCAGCCAGACGAAATTACAACATGGCGCCGCAATTTGGCCTGAACCTCCCGAATAAGAACCCTTCGGTGCCGAAACCGGGCAATCCTTTCGGACAGAAGCGCAAGAAGAACATCTTCGACGACGACTCGGGAGATGAAATACAGAATGAAGATGGAGAAGTAGAAGTCTCTACAATCGGCGGACTGGATGCGCCAGCTCCCAAACCTTCGAAACCATCCACGATCGCAGGGCCGCCGCCCAAACGAAAGATGCAATTGGGCAGTGGCAAGCCTAGCGCTAGGCCACTGAACAAAGGCTCGATTTTTGCGGATGATGAGGATGAAGATGAAGAGAAGGATAAGAGACAAGGGGAGGTGCGCTTCGGATTGAACCAGGCCCAGTCGAAGAAACCGACAGCCCCAGGCAAGGATTACACCAACCTTTCTGCACTGCATAGCAGCAAACAGCATGCCAAGGAAGCTGAGGAGGTGGACCCGTCAATTTACTCCTACGACACTGTGTACGACAGTCTACATGCCAAGCCAGACCAGTCCGCAGCCGCCACCAAGAGCGAAACACCAAAGTATATGACCAACCTGCTGCGCAGCGCAGAGATTCGGAAACGGGACCAATTGCGAGCACGAGATCGTCAGCTGGCCAAGGAACGAGAGGCCGAGGGCGATGAATTTGCCGATAAAGAGGCATTCGTCACCAGTGCCTACAAGGCTCAACAGGCAGAGATGCGGAAGGTGGAAGAAGAGGAGGCACGGCGAGAAAAGGAGGAGGAAGAGCGACGGAAGCAAAATGGCGGCGCGGGCATGGTCGGCTTCTATCGAGACGTACTCTCGCGAGGTGAAGAAAAACACGAACAGGCCGTCAAAGCTGCCGAGGAAGCTGCTCGCCGTATCAAGGCAGGCGAGATCACAGAGGACACCGCAAAGTCAGAAGAGAAGAGCGAGGATCAAAAGGCAGAGGATCTCAATGCTCAGGGTGCTCGTGTTGCGGTCAACGACGAAGGCCAGGTAGTCGACAAGAGACAACTGCTGTCCGCGGGATTGAACGTGGCACCCAAACCCAAGGCTGCTCCATCGGCTGTTCCTACAATGGCCGCTCGACCAGCGGGACGACCTGGTCCCAATGCTGGCTACCAGTCCGGCCGCGCTGGCCAGCGGGCTCGCCAGACCGAGATGATCACCCGGCAACTGGAGGAACAGGTCCGGCAAGAGGAGGAAGCAGAAGCTGCACGACAAATGGAGGCTGCAGAGAAGGCTCGCAGCCGCAAGACCGCCGGGGACGTTTCGAGTGCAAAAGAGCGGTATTTGGCGAGAAAGCGGGAGCGGGAAGAGGCTGCCGCGAAGGAAAAGGCCAACGCCAAATAATGGGAATGGTGGGAAGCCTGTACATTTGCATCTACGGTGCCCATAAAGGAGTTTTAAGGTATTTTGGAGGTCTTTTAATTGGACTTGTATGACTAGAGGTGTGGTATTCATGGAGACGAATCTTGAGCAGCTGTAGTCAAAATATCATATATTGTCGCATGGCCTCTACTTTACAGGTAAAAAGTGCACACAGAGTTCTAGAATTATTCTGAAGTAATACCTTGGATGAAAATCCAAAGTGAACCAACATTATTAGCAGCCAAGACCTTGGATGTAGTTCGGAGAAACCGGGGCTGCTTAAGTCCGGGAGAGTCGCTGACTCAGTCGCTGACTCATTCACTGACTCAGGCACTGACTCATCCGGCCGCTCTTACACGCTCGCACATAAATTGATCCGCACCGACGGCGCTCGCTAAGCCGCCCCACAGTCGCACTGCCAATTTTGAATCCCTATCGTGTCCCGATCGCCTCGCTTCATCCCCCTTCAACAACTCACACCTCTTTCGTCCATCCCCATCAACATCCAACATGGGTAAGGTTCACGGCTCTCTCGCCCGTGCGGGTAAGGTCAAGGCGGCCACTCCTAAGGCAAGTCCCCCGTGCACCCATCGCCACCGCGTCCGTCGCAGGTGTTCCGTCAGCGCCGTCATCCTAACACTCATTCCCAATACAGGTCGAGCCCCAGGAGAAGAAGAAGAACCCCAAGGGCCGCGCCTACAAGCGTATTCTCTACACTCGCCGTTTCGTGAACGTTACCATGACCGGTGGCAAGCGCAAGGTACATACCGACTGAGACCCCCTTCCAGCCATCCATCACACACATCGCACACAACGCCTCCGGAATCATCACCGAAATCACTACATTCATCACACGACCGAAATGACCTGAACAGGAAGGCTGACAACGGAAACCACAGATGAACCCCAACCCCGGCTCATAAATTGCCCCATTTCGCTAAAGAAAACCCCCGAGTCGTGGAGGAACGTCGAGGTTTTACGCTGTTGAAAGACATGATCGCAAAGCACGACATCGCCATGGCCCCATCGAACGAAGACTTTCCGGCCGCGGCCGGCTACTTGTACGGATGATATCATGCTTCGTTTTCATTTGAATTTTCGGCAACGGATCGGTTTTTGAGGGGTGGAAAAATTTGGGGAATGGATACCACATGGTAGCTTTGAGACGGAAAGCCATGGCTGGGGGCCAGCTGCATGAGCAGGTTGAGTCCAGGATGGTCGTTTTCGCCTCTTTACATAGGCTATTCCATGCATTGCATTTCCAATTCAGGAATGAAGTCTTGCTGCCCATTTTGTCCTGTTTCTTGCGGTTGCTCGGGCTCAAAGAAACTCGAGTGAGTTGGAACCTTTTGGGTTTCCCGGCGCTGCTCTGTAGGCATAGTTCTCGTACGCTATCTGGACTCTCTGCATTCTGGACCCTAAAAGTTCAGCTTGCGGAAACATGAAGTCTACCCCGCAGCGCGGGGTCTGATCAAGGGGCTTTCTGCACGGATTCCGCGCGTCTCAGGTCAATATAAACACGAGATCCCTGCCACAGCCACTCGACATTGTACCCTAAGGCTGTGCCCCGCTATTGAGTGTTCACGCAAACAGGAGAAAATGGGTTAGATATCGAGTTGCTTTTGGTGAACTCAAGAAAACAGCCTGCGGCCTTAAAGGTGAATATTGATGTAGAGACTGATCCACGTAGTCGCAAAGCGAAAGCCGAAGCATGATTTCTACAAGAGAAGATGCCGAAGATGCCCTTGCTGGGTGCGAAGTTCTTGTTGGCTATGAATCAGATCCCCTAGTACCAGACAAGAAAGAATGGCCTTCATTGATATGATTTTACGTCGCCCACAGGTGCAGACCCGGCTTGCTGAATATTCCAAAGTTGCTAATCTTGCCTTACAGGATGTCACGTTTGCGCGCAACTGTCAAAGCCCCAGGGTCGTGCCAAACGAATATTTCTTGAACAAGTAACGATGCTTCCTATCTTATTTATTGTTTCGAAAGAATATATTGAAAATAAGTCTTAAGTGCCCGTTGTGAAGCATCCTAGGTGCCCAATAAGCGATATTTTTGCGCCCCGCAATCTAGGATTTGCGTTTCATATTTTAGAAGTGCGTAAAATAATCTGTCCAATTAATTAATCAAAGTGATATCCACGGTTAATCCCGTGCGAGAGTAATTAGACAAAACCACCTGCCAAAACAGTCCACTGGTGGAATTCCCCCGAGTCTACCACGTAGAGTAAGCTAAGCAATGTCATGACATAAACTGCGGGGCCGTCCGTTGACAAGGGAAGCTCTCGCCATGCGAAGAGCACCTTTGCTGATTGCAAAAACAAGAAAGAGTGATCTCATGAGCCGTCGGGAGCCCCGGAACTGTCATAGAATAGCGAGTAAATGACCTCACTGCGATGAAACCCATGGATCGCAGGGTTCAATTAAGGTTAATGAGGTGTGTGCCCCCGTATGACTAAGGACAATGTATGGCCACTATCCACTACATTTCTTTTTCGGCTCCTGAGTTGATTTATGGAGACTCCGTGAGAATGAAAGTCTTTACGTCACTGGGCTGGATACCTTGGGACAACCCACACAATCATGCGGCAGCTATCCATTGTCTCTAGAGCTGATCGACCGGCTACCCCACACGAGAACTATCACAAAACCCAGGCAAACCTATGGGGATAGTTTAAGCGTGTGCATCGAGAAATTTCAATTGTTGGGATTATAGACTACTGAGAAGTGGTAAAGTGGAAAAATTATTTTTGTAGACATTTACTGTAGTAAGAAATGTCGAACAAACTAATTACTCCGAAGGTATTCCAGATAACACAAAATACACAAGTGACGAAGCTTCAGAGTCTATGCAAGTAGATCACCTGCGTCAGACCCACATCCCCCTTGGCCGTATGTTATACAGCATCATAGACTTGACTGAAGCGCTAGTACCGCTGCAATCAAGGCTTCTTGCTCCTCTCGACCCGCTTGCGGCCCTTGGATACAGTGATACAGTGCACGGCTCATCTGGACGGCACTTGTCCTTATCGTAGTGAATTGGCAGTGGATGGTTCAGCAGCCCCAAAATGAGCCCATGATGCAATCATCTGAACAGGGGCGATTTTGGTATTAATTCGCGCGGAACTGTCTACTTTCTATTTTCTTCCCGTACCTATTACAACCTACAACCGAACTCAATGACTGTACGATAACTTCAACATAATCTTTAAATTTACGACCAACACCTATTCAATTCATCACGATACCCATTACCTCTACACACTACCATGTCCACCAATCAGGCCGGCCCGGAGGTCGAATCGGAGAAGAACCAGAGCATCGGAGCTAAGGTAGCAAAGCAGCTTAGCAAGAGGATGTCTCTGGGGGGAAAGAAAGAAAGGAAAGAAAGCACAAGCAAGGAAAGTACTAGCAAAGCCACGGCCGGGGAAAATGGCATCAGCCAAACTTCGACAAAGGAAAACGCTAGCAAGGGAACCGCTGCGGAAAGCGGTATGGGCAAGCAGGGCCTCGACAAGGGAGAAGAGGCTAAGAACCAAGCTATGACAGGAGATATGAGCGGCGTCAAAGGGGATGCTGGAAAAGGAGAAAATACCAAGAATGCCACAAGGGAAGGAGATGCTGTCGGAGCTGTTGGAGGACTCGGGTCAAATAAAGAAAATATCAAAAAGCCAGCCGAGGAAGTCGGCCACCGCGTCTTTGGCCACAAACCCAGTGTCGTTGCGAACGATTCAAACGATGATATTAAACAGGGACCGATCACACATGGTCGTAAGGACCAGCGAGACACCAGGAGCGGCCGTGCCTTCTCCGGAGCAGGAGGTAGCGGAGAAGGAGATCTCAATAAAGCTGGTGGCGGCTCGGCTCCTGGAGAAGCTGCAGCCGGAGGCACCGGTCATGGAATCTCATTTGCTGGAAGCAATGCCTCGAAAGGAGACACATCCGCAGGGGGTATGACTGGAGACGGTGCTACCGGAAGCAAAACGGCCAGGGGCTATTCCACAGGAGATACTGTTTCTACTGCAAGTCTCGCTGGAAGTAAAACCAAGAAGGACAGTGCTGGAAATAGCATGGCTGGAAGCAGTGCTGCCAAAGACAATACGACTGGAGCCAACACTGGCTTCACCGATACGACTTTGGGTACTGGTACCGGAGGTGCTCTTGCTGGAGGAATCCTTGCTGGAAGCAGCACCTCTGAAAGAAATGCATCTGAAACCAAGACCTCCTACAACTATACTTCAAAGAGTACTGGTGCCGGGAATACTCTCACCGAAAGAGCACTCGGTGGAAGCGGTGCATCGAGAGGAACCCCCTCTGGTGGTACTTCTAGCGGAGGCGGTCTTTCGAGAAGTAACGCCAGAGGGAAAGTTGGAAGTGGTGTGACCGCAAGTTACATGTCTCGAAGTGATTCCGACAAAGATATTGCTGGAGGCGCCGCCATTGGAGGCGCTGCTGCTGGAGGTGCCGCTGCTGGGGCATTCGCTGGAAAGAAGGCTACAGGTCCAGGTGCGACAGACGACACTCTCAGCCAGGAACTCAGAGAAGAATCCCACATTAGCAATGATGTCTTCAGCTCTGGAGCTTTCAACCAAGCTGCAGCCAAGGGCCTTTCAGGTGGCAAATCAATCTCCCATGATCCTCCCGGCAAGAGCAAGAGCAACATTGGAAAGCATAAGAAGGGTCACCAGACCTCTCAGGCTTCCAAGAGTGGTCTCAGCCAGGGAATCACTTCAGCGGGACAAACCGACAAGGGCCTGTCCTCTATAAGTGGCCTTGGAATGGGAGCTGCTGGCGGTGGAGTTCTCGCTGGAGGAGTCATGAGTAGCGGAGGTTTCGGACAAGGTATGACCCAAGGCGGCATGAGCCAGGGAGCCTACGGCCGAGGACAATCCAGCACCGCCACTACCGACACGACGGACACCAGCCGTACGCAGACCAAGCGCGTCGTCCAAAACTTTAGTGGCGGCGGTAACAAGGCCACTGTCCTTCAGGACAAGGTCCAGGCTGTTTCCCAGAAGTGCAAGACACAGCTTGGCCTCTCTGCGAGCGAGATTAACCAGAGAAGCCCAACCGTGGATACCTTCTTCGATGCAGTGGCTGCCGAGCGTCTCCGCTGGATGCCCCGTGATGGAAGCAGACTCGACTGCAGCCTCAGATGGGCCTCCCGACTCGCGTATGCAGTTGATGCCCTACGGGAGTCGATTGGGGCCTTTGCACCCGGAGCCGATGAAGCGGCCAAGCTCATTTGGGGATTCGAGATACTCCTCTTGGAGGTAGGAAAAACACCAAATTAAACATGAAGGCCATGCTAATACATTCAATTGTTGTTTTAGTCTGATCTTGACAATATGGACGTGTTCGAAAGCGTTTTCGGCAGATATGGCCGTGTTGCTGTCCACATCTATCTGCTTCTCCAGTATGAGAGCGCTTACAAGTCATCCCCGGAACTTCAGCCAGGGGCCGCCGCTGTATATGCAGACCTGCTCGAAATGGTCTGCAACACCACAATCAGCTGCATCGAGGGAGCGAAGAGCAAGGAGTCTGAGCAGGCCATTGCTCACAATGTTGACTCCGCCTTCGTGAACTATTCCAAGCGCTACTCGACTCACTGGAATGAGATTGTTGAATCTGCCACGTCGAATCTTTTGAATAAGAGCTCGCTGATCTACATGACGCCCGAACTGGGCAGTCTCCGCCAGTTCCTGGGTGTTCAGGACCGCCCTCTTCAGTTCATTCTTGAGTCCCGCACGCATTCCCTTGCGGAAGGATCGTTTGAATGGTTCAACAACACTTTGTATGACTTTTCCGTCGGGAAGTCTCCAGTGATGCTGGTGAATGGTGGCCCCGGCTCTGGAAAGAGTGCCCTGGCCCAGTGGACCGTGGAGCGGCTCCAGGAATCAGGCGAGCACGACAACTGGAACGTGATCCCGTACACAATTCGTGAGTACTATCTATTCAAGATCCTTAAGGAGCATACTAATTCTAGTAGGGGCTGATATCCCTGTCGCGACGCTGCCACTGCGCTTCCTGAAGGGTATGATGCACCAGATGCTGGATCATTGCGTCAGCGACCAGGTTACCCAAGAGGCCATTCTGGTAGAAGTTGCTATGGCAGCCCAAGGTGCACTTGATGGTGCTGGTGAAGCCGAAGTTGAAAAATCGCTCTGGAGGGGTATTCGCAGAGGATTGAACTCGGACATTCAGTTCATGTTTGTGGTGGATGGTTTGGACCAAATGAAGGGTGGTGATACTGACGCCATTGCCTGCCTTGACCAATTCACCGAGATTCTATCTGAACAGAATGCAGGGTCAAAGATGATTGCCTTCACCAGACCACTCGGCTCAAAAGTCCGCGCCAGGGGCATCGAGCAGTTCACGATGCAGACTTCCCAGACTCAGACGGATCTGGAAGCCTATGTAGCTAAAATGCTATCCGGCTCGCAATTTGATGGCCCCATGGACAATGAGCTCGATTCAGCCGTGTCTGTCATCGTCAACCGCTCTCAGGGCTCCTTCAGCTGGGCAGAGATGGCAGTCGCATACGCTCGACAGCAGAGGACTCTGAACCAGGCAATCTCGTCTGTGGAGAGCCTTCCACAGACCATGTCTGACTTGCTTGACTTCCACATGAAGAACATGGACTTCAGTCATCACGAGACACGCTATATCATGTCGTGGCTCGCTGCTGCTGAAAGACCATTGCTGGTTGAAGAGGTGGAACAGCTGCTCGCTGTGGATCCTCAGGGTCCCAAATTCATGTCACGCTACTACCATGGCGAGGAAAAGTGGTTCAGCTCATTGAAGCCTCTGGTTATGACCCGCGATGGCGTCGTTTCGTTTGCGCACACATGTATCCGCGACCATGTCATCAAGCAGGCCAAATCTGCTAGCACCAAATCTCCACTCAATCTGAGAGAGGCTCATTACGATCTTCTCACCAGGTGCCTTGCGTGGGTTCAGTTGAGCGTTAAAGAGGAGGCCGAAATTTCCATGGACAAGCTGAGCATGGAGGAGCGCAACCATCTCTTCGACAAGTATGTCATGCTGGAGTATACCGCCCGGTACTGGCTATCTCATCTCCTATCGTCACCTCTGGTTACCGACGATGGAGAGTTCCAGTTCACGACAAGCTTTAAGAAACTGGTTCCTCCTACTGTACTCTTTGCCCGCCTCGAGTTGACCTGTAAAGAGTCACAGTTCACCCGCTCTAGTGTCGTCGAGCTGTATCGACTGGCGGCGGACATCCGTCGCATAGTTTTGGGGGAGAAGTCTATGGCTCTTCTCCAAAGTCTGCTCTTCAGTGCACGCGTCTCCAAACTGGCTCATGCCAACCATGCCGATGAGCATAGTTACGAGGCATGGAGACTTAGCCAAGAGCTTCTGGGCCAGTCTGATAACATCACTTTGAACTGTGCCGAGATGATGACCCAGTCGTTCACCGAGCGAGGCAGCATGACTACTCAGCAGGAGGACATCATGAAATACCTGATCTTGACCGATTCGGAGATCACCGGTATCGAGTTCAACCAGCGTCTCAAGTATCTCGGAATGATCTCCGGCATGTACAAGACTCGAGAAGAACATGAGTCTGCCCTCATCGTCTCCAAGCAGTTCTACCAGCAAGTCATGCAGACATACGGCACCAACTCGAGACAGTCGACTGAGACCGCGGACTTCTTGACTAGTCAGTTCCCAACTACCGGAAGTGACGAGATGAGCCGTGACATAGCGAGAACCAAGTATGACAACATGCTTCGCACCATGGAAGTTGACGACGAGCGTCGCATCAAGTACACAATCTACATGGCTCAGATGTACGAGCAACAGGGTGAGACGGCCCAAGCCCAGGCAGTTTTGTCTGCTCTATGGGCCGGTCTCAACTCTCGCGACATCGACTCGGTTGAGATGATGGACAAGAAGGCGAATGTTGCACTGGTATACTACCAGTTCCTTCGCCGACAGGGCCGGAATGAGTCGGCGGAAATCATCATCCGCGAACTTGTCGCAGACCTCGAGACCACTGGTATTCACTCTGAGGAGATGATGCAGCGTGTGCAGCTCCTCCGTATTGAGACCCAGGAAATGCACCTGTACAGCATGGACCGGGCGCTAGCTATCCTGATGTGGCGTTACTACAAGGAGACCAACCAGGAGTACTCTTCCGATGCTACGACTCTGGCTCTTTCGCTCGCCGAAGGCATGGCCGCAACGGTCTCTATGCAGAGGTCTTCTGGCCTATCTGCTCGAGACCGGAAGTTGATGGTTGAGCTTCTGGATTCCGTCGCTTCGTCACCCAGGAACCTCTCCGTTTCCACATTGATTCTGTGTCACAACCTTGCCAGCATTTATGTGCGCGAGGGTGACTGGGTCGATGGTGGTGAATGTTCCAAGGCTGTTCTGCAGCATATTTGGCCTGCCGTTGAGCAAGCCGGGTCTCACAAGAAGTTCTCAACAGAATTGGCACCTCCAATTGCCGATCTGGCATTAATCTTGGCTTACTGCCACTTCCGCAGACTGCATTTGGATCAGGCAACTATTGTCTACGAGAACGCCTTTGCTTCGTTGATTGCATCCGACAGAGTGCCCGTGCCTTCGGTTTTGGCTGTGGCTAAGGCAGTGGTTGAATTCTACGAGACCACCTTCCAATTCACCAAGGCTCTCACCCTGCTTCATACTGTCAGCAATTTCCTGGCGACTAGACTGGGTGAGACTCACAAGCACACGATTGACAACTTGTATCTGGAAGCTGCTTTGGCGGACCGACTGGAGATGATTGACCAGGCGAAGACCACCTACCAGCGCATCTATCAGAGCACGGTTGGAGATACCACAATTGCTCCTGAGGGTATTGAAGCTGCACTTGCTCTCATCGGTCTGTATGAGAAAAAGCTGCAGTGGGATTCTGCTCTGGATGTCTACCGGCATCTCTGGCCGACCCTCGTGGTCCAAGACAACACGTCTACCTATGATCAGGCTGAAGTCGAGCGATTGCTGGAGAAGACCTATCTGGGATACATGACCATTCTGACTTCCCGGACAAAGACTACCGACTTCTCTGAAAGATACAAGGTCGCATCCGACTACGCGACTACTTGCCGTAATGTTTATGGACCCACGGATCAGAAGACGCTCAGCGCACTTCTACTCTACGCCGAGCTGTGTGAGACCAACGACTCGTACATTGACCAGGCTATCGCGCTATACAAGCAGCCTCTTCAGACCAACGACTGGGTGCCTACATCCCAGTCATCTAAGCCTCTGGAGCAGATGTCGCAGCCGCTGCCCATCACGCTCAAGCACAAGCTGGCGCAGCTCTTTGTCCGCAAGCGTGACTCAACAAGTGAGGCTCGCTCGCTGTACACCGAGGAGTACCAATTGGCAAAGAAGACTCAAGGATACTTCTCTACCACGACCTTGTCTTGGCTTCGAGAGCTTGCTCTGGCCCATTCTCGCCAGGGTACACCATCCTCCGTCCAGCAAGGCAATGCCCTTCTCCACACCTATGTCACAGATGTCCTCCACGCTGGCGGTGATCCCGACATGATGGGCGACTGGGCCCGCAAGATCGCCTCCATCTACCTGGAGTGTGGATTCATTGAAGGGGGCAACAATGTTCTCGAAGAGCTCCGCCATCGTGTTATCTCTGCATCCGACGCTTCGGCAATGCCCCTGGGAGAGCGTCGCGACGCCATGTTCGTGGCCTCCTACGAGGAAGTGTTCAGCCGCCGTACCACCTCCCAGCAGATCCTCGTAGAGATGAGCCGCGAGATGCAGATCCAGCAGACCTTCTCGAAGAACCTTTCCGGCCACGACTTCATCCCGACGCTGATCTCTGGCGAACGTCTTGCCCGTCTGCAGACCGATCAGAAGCGTACTCGTGCCGCGAAGGATACCCGTGAGCGACTGTACGAGTACTTCTGCGCTACGCTATCTGCTACCAAGATTGCAGACCACGAAATCGTGATGCAGTTCTTCGGCATCTGCCTCCGCGAAGTGCATAACGAGAACTACTGCTTGAACATCCTCAAGACAACCACCAGCCTAGTCCGCGATCTGTGCAATGAATCGCGCTTCCAAGACGCAAGCGATGTCACGGGTGTCTTGCACTCATTCCTGCACCTGACCGACGGCTTGGACAACTACGAAAGCATCATCACGGCCACCAAGTTGTGCTTGTACCTGAGCGGCCATCAAGCCACCAAGTGCCAGAACGAGAAACTCTTCAACGAGATGTCTCTCAAATCCAAGATGCTGCTCCAGGAACTCATGGCCTCGGCCAAGTCAATGGGCATCGAGATCGTCGATCTCCCTTTCACCGAGCTAAACGACATCATCACCTTACTCGGCGAGTACGAGATGTTCGACGACCTCGAAGGAATCCTGACACAGCTCTGGACTTCCCGAATTGTCCAGCGCACGTGGACTCCAGACGTGGTTGTCTGGATCGGCCGACGACTCGTCGAGACGCGCTTCTGCCAGGGCTCCGTCGACTCCGCTATCCAGCTTTGTCGCGATATCTGCTACAACCTGCGCCAGGTATGGGGTAGCTGTGACAACGTCACACTCGAGATGACCAAGCTCCTGTCAGCTCTCTACACAGCCTCGGGAGACAACAAGTCCGCCGCCACCCTACATGAAGGCGTGTTGTACGACCTACTGGGCGACTCCGAAGCCAAGAGCCATCCCAACGCTTCGGATGTGGTTTCCCAGCACTTGGAGCTACTCCGCCGTGCCCAATCTCGTCTTGGTGCTGGAGAGACCGCCCGATCATCTTCGCATGCCGATCTCGTTGCGCAGGTGACGGATCGCTTCGGTCTACAGTCCGCGCAGATCGAGGGCGTGGGCGCTGCCCACGGCGGCGAGCAGTTCGGCGTTTGGACCAAACCTCGTCGGTTCAGTATTGATGTTGAGGATCTGGATGAGCAGGGCCAGATGCATCATAATCACTTGCGAGAGTCTAGTGGTGCGGGTTTGTTGACCGGTAGTGGCGCGCCTAGGAGGATCTCGGTGCAGGCGCTGTAATGGGATGATGATTGGGGTAATTTGGGGATGAAAATGTTGATTCAGATTGCCAGGTATTTTGATTTGTTGGTGTTTGGGCTTTTTGTTTCAACATGTAATTGTGGAGGATGGGACTAAATTGTCAATCTCTAAGTATACAGTCATGAGTTCAGTTAATGTCACTTTCTTCAACGCTACGTGCCGGTTGTAGATTTCGAGACTACTGCACTTCTATACTTAGGTAGTCTTTTGAGGTAGATTTTGTATAGATAGCCCGTATCACGAGGGCTATATTCATGTTTCGTATAAGTTTTCGACCGCTATGTACAAAGCCTCTTGCTCAAGTACGTATCTGATATCAACGTGCATCATCAAAAGGCACCAATGAACGCATACAACACCGATCATGCAACCACCGCAATCATGTCCAAAGGAGAGAAAAATCAAACGACCGAACACCCTTCCAGTTTACCGTATATGGAGCGCCCAAGTAGAATGCAAAAGGAATGTGCGGGATAATGAATATATCTCAAGCCGTCAAGGCAAAGCTGAGTCCCATGAGCCCCATACCAGCCACAGCGAAGCCAATACCCATGCCACGGCGGTGGGTAAGACCGAGCCCCTCGCTGAAAAGCTGCAGCGCAACGGAAGTCATGACGCCGGCCGTCGCGGCAAACATGCCTCCGTATACGCCCCACGACGGGCCCCGAGAATCAGAACCGGTATGGCCGGAGCCCCAGATCCATAGCGCGGCGAGACCGGCACCGGCTGGCTGGCTGATTCCGCCTAGAAGGCTGGACCAGAACATGGCTTTCCAGCGGGAGCTGAGAGCCAAGTATAGAGGCAGTGCCATGGCGAAGCCTTCCACGATGTTGTGGATGAACAGGGCTAAGAACACGGTAAGACCGAGGGTTGGGCTTGCGTGGTTGGTTGCATATGTGATGAAGCCTTCTGGGAGCTTGTGGAGGGCAATTGCGACGGATGTTTGTAGGCCAATGGATAGGAACGCGTTTTGTGGGACATGGTGATGGTGAGTGTCGCCGACAGCCTTGGTTGGGGATGAGTCTGCGTCGTGAGGGTCTGCGTCGTGATCATGATCGTCGTCCGCATGAGCATCATGATTTATGTCTGATTGGTGGTAATTCTCCGAATGGGGCGTATGCGAATGAGATCCGGACGAGCCCGCCGCATCTTGAAGAGGATGGTGAGCCCCAATTGCGTCGAAGTACCCTATGTCGGAGGCCGTTCTAGACGCGTCGATGGCGCTGTCCGCCTGCATACGCCGTCCAGGGTCCTGCTGCACCGTGATGCTCTGATGCTGTGGCAGTGTGGGCCGGTTGACCTCATTCGCGGTCATGGTGGGTGGCGGGCTCAATACGGGCCCCAGCACCTTTGTACATTCACGGCCGCAGGTCTGCGAAAATCCGTAGCAAGGGCCATTCTCATCACACAACGGCTTGACGCCGCCCATGAGGAAGCGGAGCCGCCGGCCCAGGACATCGCGCAGAGATTCCCGTTTCACGGCATTGGACCCGGACACCGTCCGTTGAAACACCGCCGGAGTTGACTTGAAGCCTTGCGATTTCTGAGGTCGCAGCAGGGGCGTGCGTTCAGTGTGGCCATTTGTATTGTGGTGGTGATCTTCGTGCCCGCCCGCATGGCCGTCGCCGCGTTCGGGATCATCTTCCGGCGCCGCGTGACTGTGCGCGCAGTCGACCACATGCGATGGAATGAAGCGGTGGATAAACCCGGATACAACGCGGATAACAATGACACCGGCCACGAATAGACTGGTCAAAATATATGCAGATGCGGAGGGGGAGAAGCCGGCGCGCGTGAGGTACTCTTTCGAGGTGGGGAGCATGCTATAGAGAGAAGTAAAGAGCTGTCGGTGGTTAGACCCGACGGATGAAGCCGAAAGAGGGCGAGACTCACCATCACCCCTGCACTGAGACATAACGAAGCCGACAGGAAGTTGTTGCTGTTAGCGATCTGGAAGCTCTTATGGTGGGAGAATTGCCGGAACACCAGATCGACGCAAATGACGGCGGAACCGAGTACACAAGCTGTGAAACCAAGAGTCAGTCAAGACACGCAGTGTTTAGAACGGCTGTACTCACCGACGCCCGAGACGCCGCTCATGACCCAGCCCCGAAGGTCGTTGGCAGCCATGTCGAGTAGTTGAGAAAGCTAGGAATGACGGAAACGGTGATGTAACTGACAATCCAAAGCTGATGGTTGGCGGTCAACGGAATCGCCTCTTTCTCTTCTCAACGTCTCTGGAAGGCTGAGAATAAATTTCCCACACTGAAATTGTTTTTAGACTCGGCGCTATTCAGCGCCTGCATGAGTGTCCACGCATTCTTTGCCCCCAAGGTCCTCATCGTGGTGTCCCATACATCAGAATCGAAGACTCCACGTGCTGTCATGTCGCTCCCCTCTACTGGGTAAATACGGCGTGTGATACGACTATATTTGACACTAAGCGCCCGGCCTCTCCTCAAATGTCCTTGTCCTGGATTCTATGCTTATGGGGAGGCGTGGCCATGATACAGCCCAGGCGCAGTCCAACAGCACGTCTCCTGACAGCGGGCAACCCAGTAGATCTCCGCTGAATTGACCGATCAACTCGCTAACCATTCCCTAACCATTCACTAACCGCTCACTGACGATCAACTGCAGAACGATCAACTGACGGTTTCAGCTGACGATTTAATGCCAGGACGAGTCGCGGGGCCGGACATGTGACCCGCTGATTGGCCCGTGACCGACTCTTTTTTTCTACGCGCCGCGAAATCTCCAAACTTCCACATCTCGACACTCACCATTATGTCGAAAGCTACTCTGGCCGTGATCGCGGCCGCCAGTGCTGCCACTGGTGCTGGTGTCACTGCGCTGCTTTATGGCAAATCTTCTCGGCCTCAGCAACAACAACAACAGCAGCAGCTTCCTCCTCCTCCGGCTGCCGGTCCTATCAAAGTCCCTGTGACGACCCCGATCCCGACACTCGCTGCCAAGGTTGCCACCGGCCCTGTCGATGCCGCTGGTATCCTCCAGTATGGTTTCCCCGGCCCCGTCGCCGATGAGCTATCCTCACTACCTCTGCACGGCGCCTATGACCGCCGAACCCGCAATCCCGCCTGGGTCGCTGAGCACATCACCCCGCAGTCGCTGGCGATGAAGAACGCAGACCGCAAGCACAGCGTCTTTGCCGAGGACACACACATTCCGCCGCTTTTCCGCGCCAAGTTGGCCGACTATTTCCGCTCGGGCTACGACCGCGGTCACCAAGTGCCGGCAGCGGATGCCAAATGGGCGCAGGAAGCCATGGATGACACCTTTGCGCTGAGCAACATGTGCCCGCAGGTCGGCGAGGGTTTCAACCGTGACTACTGGGCGCATTTTGAGGAATTCTGCCGCAACCTGACCCAGCGCTACCCGTCCGTCCGCGTCGTCACCGGCCCGCTGTACCTGCCTCATCGTGATCCCGATGGCAAGTGGCGCGTGAGCTACGAGGTTATTGGAAACCCGCCCAACGTTGCTGTGCCCACCCACTTCTACAAGGTCATCTACGGTGAGGACGGCACTAACTCGCCGTTCGGCAAGGTTGCCCTTGGCGCCTTTGTCTTGCCCAATGCTCGCATTGACAACGCGAAGAGCCTGTCCGACTTCGAGGTCCCCCTCGAGGTTCTGGAGCGTGCCTCCGGTCTGGAGTTTGCGGCTAAGCTGGATCTCGGTCGTCGTCGCCGTCTCTGCCAGGATGTTCGCTGCGAGATCACGGTGCGTGAGTTCAACAATGCCAAGAAGAGGGCGTAAAGGATGGGAAGCTTCGTGAAGTGATTCAGCCAGCCAGGTGGCTCTGTATATTTAGGACATAGTTTCTTTTGCATGGTTCGGGCGTTCGATAGCCCTCTCTGGGCAGCATCATTCGGAATTCTTATTCCTACAATCCAAGGCCGTTGTCTTAGAATTATTTTTGCTTGCTTTTCTTCAGCATTGGAATGCCACGCCTTTCTTCGTAGCAACATTACCACCACCACCGGCGAATCCAGTCCCTTCGGAACTGATCGCCACCAGACCCGGTCGAACGGCGTCGTCTTTGGCCTTCTTTTTGGACTTCTTCTTGCCTCCATCGGCATCTGCTTTCTCTTCCCGTGGTGTGAGGTCCGTTTCGCAGACATAGCATAATACCTGGCCATGGAGTTCTGCCGACTTTTCTTGTTCCTCCTTCGAAGCGTGGGGGTCTGATGTATTATTGTGAGGGGCCATGAACTTCGTCACACATGGTGAGCAGATGACATGACCACAGGGTTTTGTGACTGTATAGAATATTAGCATGACTTCGACTGTTCACAAACTAGCCCAACACGTACGCATAGCCTTGAGACCATTGCTCAAATTCTTCTTGCAACTCGGGCAAACTCTGGCGACTGAACCATCCGAACCCTTCTCTTCCGTGAAATGCACATCGACCAACGACTTGAGCGAGTAGCCATGGCGATTCGTATCCGACGACCCGGGGCATATGGGAGTCAATTTGACATTCTTATTAGCAGCGATCTCATTCGGATCCGTAGCCGGCGTCAATGAGGGAACCCAGAAAGACGGAAGAGCAGACTTGCTAGACTCGGTCTGCTCAAGTTAGCGGGCAATTTATCAATTGCAAAGTGTATCACAAACCTTCTCCCGTTTCAGTTCGTTCTTCAACCTCTGCTGCTCATCACGAGCCACACGAGCCATCTCCTTCTCATCCAACTCAAAAACCTTTCTCCTCTTCCCATCAATTTCAACCTCTCGCGCCTTAAATGCAGCCAACGCCTCCGTCTCCTCGGCTTTCCTCTTCGTCCCCTTGGCCTCTAATCCCATGGAGACGAGCTCGAAATCATGTAACTCTTTCTTCCGCGCCTCTTCAAGTGTCCGCTCATCATCTTCCGCAAGGCGCTTCTTCGCATCCTCGCGTTCGCGCTCAAGGCGCTTAATCTCCTGGCGCTGCGCGAGGAGGTCATTGATTGCGCATTCGCGGCAGAAGAGGTCGCCGTTGGTTGCGCAGGCGACGACTGGTGGTCGGGCTGGTTGGAGGCAGAGGCGGCATGAGGCGAAGGGGAGGAAGGAGTCACGACCGATTACGCTGCGCTTGGTGCCCCATGTTGAGCGGAGAAGGCCGCGCTCGTAGGCTGTGAAGTGGGGGAGGGAAGTGTTGCGCTTTGAATGCGCCATGCTTGCTGGTGTTTTTGGAGCTTGGAGAATGTCGTAATGCTGGATGTCTTTGATGGGGCGGAATGAGGGGTGTGATTTCATTGGTGTCTTTCGTTGACCGCTTCCGTCACCGCTTGGTGATGGGCGCCTCCGATATCAGGCTAAAATGGTGCCTTGGCGCCTGATATATGCCTTGCCTTGTCTTCATCTGTTGGAGCGATCGAACTTCTTAGTAACATTCAAAAATTACTTCATGTAACGGGCAGCGCATTCGAGCGTTGTATATATAGATCATAATCAAGCAATGTTTCGTCTTCTTCCACCGATCTCCTTCAATTGCAACAAACTTCCCTCATCACCCTGATCTTTGATTCTGGAGTGCGAGTTTTCAAGGAGGCTCGTGTGATTGTTGTTTGAGTGTGGGTTTTATTGAATCGTGACTGCCTCTTGACCTTGGAGGTTGGTTTTATTCGAAATGCTTCCTTGATGTTTCGCGCCCACATGAAATGCAAATACTATACAGTTTACTTCTCCATTTGCTCCTTCCAAACACCACAAAGTCGTGTCTTCCGCAAAACCAATGAGGCCAGATCCTTTATACCACCACCCGTCAACAACTCCAACACTTGCAAGTGAGCTTGAAGCTCCTTGCCAATCCAGTTCCTCAGTTCAATCGCATTCAATGAATCCAATCCAGCTGCAGTGATGGAAGCCTTGGATTTTTGTGACCCAAGAACCTCAACAGGCACCATGAGAATGGCAGCTAGTTTCTCCTGCAAGCCAACCGTCACAATTTCCAGAACTTCTTCTAGAGAGGACGCTCGCTGGACCCTGTGCCCTATTTGAGCTTCTGTTGATGAGGAGGAGGCATTATCATTCGCTGCCTTGGCAAGTGCCGTATTTCGAAGATGTGAGAATTTGCCGTCAGAAGCCCAGTAGGGCAATGAAGATGAATCCTCGAAGTGTAATCCCGTGATGCATTGGGTGCCGGAATGACCTAGAATAGCTTGTTCTACCAAGGCCAGAACCTCCGCTTCATCCATGGCGTTGCCGGATAGGTTCCTCATGACCTGGGACTGCTTCTCTGCGTTTTCAGCCAAGTATCCGATATCCTCAACAGCAGCCAGGTTGAGAGATGATGCTGGCAGACCGTTTTGGCGGCGGTAGTGTGCTAGTGCGTCGAGATAGGTATTGGCACCGGCATATGCTGCTTGGCCTCTGTTGCCTACAACACCGGCGACCGAAGACAGCATGACGAAGAAGTCAAGTGGGATGTTGAGGAGAGCGTTGTGGAAGTTTGACGCGCCGTAGACCTTCGATCGAATCACTGCTTCGTAGTCTTCGAAAGTCATTTGCTCGAAGAGAACGTCCTGTAAATTGTTAGAATAAATAATGTCCACATAGAAAGGCATGTCACTCACTTTCAGCACCATGGCGGCGTGGATGAAACCTCGGATTGGAGGCATCGTCTTTTGCACCTCTTTGACAAGCATGTCAACAGCTACCTTATCTGCAACATCGCACTGCTTGATGTGCACCGAGGAACCAGATGTCTGGCTGTCGGAAATGAGTTGCTTCAGTTCATTGGTTGATGAACCAGTGCGAGACAGAAGAACAATGTTGCGCGCTCCACGATCGACCATTCGTTTGGTGATAGAGCGACCGATACCTCCAGTCCCACCAACGATCAAGTATGTGGCATCGCTCTCTAAAAGAGTAGAAGCCGGAGGATGTGTGGCCTTAATAAACGCAAAATTAGACGAGGCCGCGAAAAAAAATAACCCAAATGAACATACCTTGACCTGCTGGTTGACAATGTGATTCACAACAATCTTGCCAGGAGTTTTACCACTCTGTAGACTCCGCAGTGCAGTCTCAACTTCGCCAATGCCAACACTCGAAATGGGTCCAATGGGCTTGACAATCTTGTCATCAAGCAGACGCATAACTGCTTTCAACACACGGCTCATAATCTTCGGCCGCTCCGCAGCGAGAAGCGTCAGATCAACCGAACTGAAGGTACAATTCTGCTCAAACTTCGCCATCTCAAGCCTTGTGTTCGAAGTGATATCTCGTTTGCCAATCTCGATGAAACGCCCGAAAGAGGCCAAAGACTGCCACGACTCGCGCAAAAGATCTCCTGCCAGAGAGTTAATCACCACGTCGACACCCTTGCCACCTGTGGCTTCTCTAATAGCGGGGCCGAAGTCGGTGTCCCTGCTATAGAAAATGTGATCTTCCTGGATGCCATACGAGTCCACAAGAATTTGCTTCTTTTCGGTGCTGCCGACAGTTGCATAGATCTCAGCCCCAAGCATCTTGGCAAGTTGAATGGCTGCTTGGCCGACACCACCTGAAGCTGCGTGGATCAGGATACTTTCGCCGGGCTCTATGCGTGCAAGCTCGAAGAGAGCATAGTATGCGGTACTATAAACAACCGGGATTGATGCTGCAACGTCGAAGCCCATGTCGTCTGGAATCCGCGCAACGCTTGTTGCAGAGCAATGGGTGTACGTGCCATAGGCGCCCAGGGACATGGCGCACACGCGATCGCCAAGTTTCAAACCGGTGACACCAGACCCAAGGCGGGAAATAGTACCACTGCATTCGACGCCGAGGTAGGGACTGGCTACCTGGCCCATCGCAATGACGACATCTTTGAAGTTCATACCCGTGTAGGTGATTCTAATCTCGACCTCGTTATCCGCAAGAGGCAACTCGGGCTCGTCTTTCCAGTAGAGCGAATCCAAAGCGCCGAATGTGCCAACGGATACCTTGAGCCGACGGCCTGGCTGGTCGAAATCTTGTAGGTATGGGGCTGATGACTGCGTCTCGCGGAAAATGTCGAGATTCATCTTTTCTTGCTCCACGATGCGCGGGACACTGAGTTTTCCGTTCTGTTCTGTGAATTCATAGTCCACTGTTTCGTCTCCATTGGATGCAATGGAAGATACTTTGGAAGCGAGGAGAATGAGATGCGCCTGGTCAGCCGGGTCGAGCTCGGAGTGTGGATCAAGGTCTAGCGTGGCTGCCGAACTGTTCATTTCAGACCTCAATGTTCGCAGAAGTCCCTGGCTGATGTTTCTCCCTGGATAACTTGCAGATGAATATGCGCCTGACGTGACCCAGAGGACTGAGGAGCAGGTGAGCAAGAGCTTTTTGACCCGTTCGAAGACTTCGGGGGGCATTCCATAAAGAACGGGATAATCAAGTTCAGCGAGGCAGATGTATCGCGCTAATGGCTGGATTTCGATGTTGGAGAATGATTGTAGACGGGGTTTTGATCCAGACCGAAGGGCGATGATATTGACCAGCGCGGCCACGAGCGGATTTACTTCGACGTCGTTGGTAATGATGGTTATGGAAGCATCGTCATTGTCTGCCACTGGTGATGATATGTGTCCATTGATACCATTCACCTCCAAGCACTCGCCATTGACCTTCCGGGCAATTTCATTGGGTTGTTCCTTGAACTCGGAATTCTTCACTTGACGACCACAATCCAGAGACGCATTCTCAACATGACCGTTGATCTGCTTATCACTGTGGCCATTAATATGCTTTTCGTCTGTGTTATTGCCATTGGTACTGAGTACACAGTTATTGTGGTGGCCATTAAGGGTAACCCTCTCTTCGGAGGCCTTGGGAGTTCGGCTGCTCTGCTCATCGTCCCGGCACATAGGGGCGTGCTTCTGTTCGCCATCGAAGCCTGTGCCATTAGATACACTGCTATCTTCATTGGTGATTTGCAAAGGCTCCCATTGCAAATTGTAGCACAGGGATCGCGGGGCTTGATCACCTTCGGTTTCACCATTCACAGGCGTCATTCTGAAGCCGTTCAGTTTAACGACGGGCTCATCTCTATCAGAAGCCCAGGCATCGATAGAAAATTCCACTGGTCCAGCATTCGCAGGGTCAGGACATCCATGTGCCACCACCTGGACCATCTCACCGGGCTGGTTGGGAAGAGACGGGCTAACGTCCATCTCATGGATGGCAGAAGGCATATAGAGAGATCCCATTTTGCCACGGCCAGCTCCAAGGATTGCAAACGTGAGTTGAACAAAGAGATCTGCAAATGCTGGAGAGAGAATGGATGACGTCTCGTGTGCATATGGCATTCCTGATGCGGTATCGGGAACAGCAACACTGCAAGATGAGTACCCTGCATGGTATTGCAGATTGCCGTCGTCTTTATGCCTGAATGCTGAGCTGTAGCTGGCTCCGTGGCATTGAAGCTCCGTATAGAATTTCTCCACTGAAATTGAATCACCAGCGAGACTTTCAACCTTTTCTCTGCGAGCGAGAGCGCCCTGCAGTCGAGAATCATTCACCGGGTTTGCAAATCGATCTTTCTTGATGGCAATAAGACCGCGACAGTGTTCCTGCCAGCCACGACTTGAAGTCCATGATGATATGCGAAATTCATCCCAGTCATCCGAGTATGATCGAGTTCCTTCAGCGTATGCCTTCAAAGAAACATGGGTTTCATAATGGGCCCCGTCGTCAATAATCAACGCTTTGGAGGCTTGGATCTCCCGAAGACGGTATCCAGCAAGATCTTCCTTTTGTATCCCGCGGAGCTGGGCCCTCTGAGATGCTGCCTCGATGGCCATGCAGATGTATCCGACCAGCGGAAAAGTTGTCAAAGACTGCATCTTGTGGTCCCGAAGCCAGGGCACATCATCCGATGATAGAACGTTGCGCCAAGTGGGTTCAGAGTCGTTATATGAGTCTTCGAGTGCACCGAGAAGATCATGGCGAGCAAATGGTTTGAGGCGATGTTGTTTAGCTGTTCGCGAGTCGAACCAGTATTTGTGATCGGACCACGGATAGGGAGAAAAATCGGAAATGACAGCTGGCTTCTGCAAGCTACTATCTTTCTCATTGATGGCCTCAAATTTAAGGGCATGTCCATGAGTAAACAGATTACCGGCTAATTTGAGAGCTGCTGCGGTGGCATTCTCATTGCGAAGAAGCGAGGGGAAATATTTGACTTCGGATGCTGCCTTCTGGTTGATTCCTTTGAGGATTTGCTGGATAGGACCCTTGAGAGCGGAGTGAGGTCCTATTTCCACCACGGCATCTGGCATTGTGTCCATATAAAGGCCCTTCATGGCGGAAGAGAATCGAACTGGCTTGGTCAAATTCTCGACCCAGTAAGATGGGCCAAGAGACAAGGTCGAGTCTAGTTTGCCGCCCAGCAGCGAGGAGTAAAATTCGACGCCATCGATGGCCTTTGGACTGATGTGTTTAATGACAGACATGTACTCATCTTCAACAAGTTTCATGTGAGCAGAGTGGTAGGCGACGTCCACATGCAACTTGCGGTTAAACACGCCGCGAGCGTCTAGTTCACATGAAAGCCTATCCACATCGTCCTCGTCTCCAGAAATCGTGACAGAACTGGGTGAATTCTCGCATGCCACTGAGATTCCATTGAGGCCGAGCAGTTTGATCATCTTTCTTGCTTCTTGAGGGTCAATACCCGCAGCAAGCATTCCTCCGCGCAGGTCGGGGAAGTTACTGCTGATACTACTCGCGACTCGACCACGATAAAAGGCGATGGCCATGGCTTCCTCCAGGGTGATTGCACCGATAGCATAGGCAGCTGCGATTTCACCGCTGGAATGACCCGTCACCATGGAGGGTTGAACACCCCACGACGACAACAAGTCTGTGAGACCCAGTTGGACCGCCGTGCATATTGGCTGGGACATATGGGCTTTGCTCACGTTGGTGTCCTTTTTGCCTTTGGAAAGCTCCTCCAGTAAAGAAAAGCCCGCTCCGATTCGCTGGAGGTACGAATCTGCAGCTTTGAAAGTTGCTGCAAAGACAGAGTGGCTTGTCAAAAGTTCCCTTCCCATCTGCGGCCATTGAGCCCCTTGACCGGTGTAGACAAAGGCCAACTTAGGGGCCACCGATGTACGTTTAGGAAGAGAATCAGCATCGTTAAGGAGCGATGCAAGCTCGTCGCACGAAGACGCAGTGATTGCAATTCGCCATGGAAGATGCGTCCTTCGTTCACCGAGCGTATACACAATGTCTCGAATTAACCGCTTCTGGAATATCTCTGGGTGCCGCTCGAGATAGACTCCAAGTTGCGTTGCCATGCGCTTTGCTGGAGCTTCTTCGTTGGCGGACAAGACGAAGAGTCGCGGAACCTCCTCTCCTTGATTACCGTGATTTGTCTCGGCAATCGAAAAAGGTGGCTTCTCCAGAACAACATGAGCATTGGAGCCACCGAACCCGAAGTTGTTGATGCTCACGAACCGTTTGTTCTTAGGCCATGGTCGAATAGTCGTCGGGACTTTGATCTTGCCGTCAGCGAGCGGCACTGCGTCATTAGCCTTTTCGAAATTGGTGTTGGGCAGAACGAGGCCCTTTTTCAACATGAGGGATGCTTTGATGATCGAAACAATGCCGCTTGCGTTTTCCAGGTGGCCGAAGTTGGTTTTGATCGACCCCATGTACAGTGGCTGTCGCTTCGTGCGGCCAGAGCTGAAGACTCGATGGATGGTATTTGCTTCGATTGGATCGCCAACTTTCGTTCCGGTGCCATGGGCCTCTACAAAGCCGGTATCATCGGGCGAGATGCCCGCACGGCTGTAAACGTCGCGAATAAGTCTTTCCTGTGCTTCGCCGCTAGGATTTGTCATTCCTTCGATACCACGTTAGTTGAAGACGAAGACGTGACCGAAATGTTCGTGAATAACTCACCAACTGTCTTTCCATCCTGATTAACCCCCGAGTTCACAATGATGGAGTAAACCTCATCATTATCTTTGATCGCTTGATCCAGCGGCTTCAGGATGAGACAGCCAACACCCTCTCCACGTGCAAATCCAGAATTGGCGCGGTGATCAAAGGCATAGGTTTTTCCTTCGTCGTTGAATAGGCTTCAATGGTCCGTCAGTAAAGCCCCCTTCTCCATCGGTTTTATAGATCTTACCCAAGCATCGACATGGAGACGGAGACATCGGGTTCTAGATACAAATTGCACCCAGCAACAATTGCCGAATCGGACTCGCCGGCTCTTATACTCTGCACAGCTAAATGTAATGCCGACAGGCTGGAGGAACACGCTGTGTCAATGGCAAGAGAGGGTCCGCGAAGATCGAAATAGTACGAAATGCGCCCAGCCTGAATAGATTGATGGTTTCCCGTGGATTCAAACATAGGGATTTGGTCCAAATCTCGGAGAAGGCCCAATCGATAATCGGATGTTTTGGCGCCAACAAAGACACCCATGTTGCGGCCGGAAATCGAGTCCTTGGGGATGCCGGCGTTTTCGAGAGCTTCGTATGTACATTCTAAAAGCTGTCTTTGCTGCGGGTCTATAGCTCGTTAGAAACGAGAACAACCTTCAGTAATAAATAGAAGCTCTTGATAGCGACTTACCCATCGCCGTTGCCTCCTGTTTGGTGATCTGGAAAAACGGGGCGTCAAATTGGGAAAAGTCGTTGCTCATGAAATAGCCGCCCTTTTGGTTGAAACATCCTTTCTTCTGGGGGTTCGGATGATGGAAAATACCGCTGTTGAATCTTGCCTCGGGGTTGAGGCACCATCCATCCCGCGAACGAGAGATCAAGGTCCAGAAGTCATCCAGCGTCGAGACATTTCCCGAAAGACGGCACGACATGCCAACAATGGCTATGGGTGCCAATGGAGGCTTTCCTTCTGTCTCCATGATGAATAGTATGCACTGAGAGGAAAAAAAAGAGAAGGGAAATGGTTGAATATACGCAATTTGTGACCCCGGGCTGAGACATGAACGGGGGTTTAGTCCGCAGGGGCAGGAATCCAAGGATCAAGGACCGACTAGTTTCAAGAGATCAGATGAGCCCCAGGAGAGGAGGTAGCGGTACGTGAGGGCAGGGTCTGACGCTACAACTGCAAATACACGGAATGCCGCCATGCTTTACTTCATCGAGTCATGACTGGCTTGGCTAATCTACAGCGGCAAGAAAACGCGAGATCGATCACGTAGATAAATAAACATTCCCCGCAGAAATGCTTGGGCCTGGAATGGATAGGTTTTACTATTTATCCCTTCAGGATTAGGTGATTCGCCGCCCCCTAGCTTGACCACCCGTTCCTGCAGGCGAGGAAGATCAACGCCCCTTGGTTTCATCTCCTTCGCAGCGAATTATTTGTGGAGGATATTGGTTCTGCCCCGTGCCGAATCTGCGATAGCGGCGATCTGCATATGGCTCATGGTTCTCATTACTTATTCAAGTTTGTCCCACGAGAAAAAGGATCCCATCACTTTCCACCTGTATACACCAAACCCGCCACCATGACAATTCTCTGCCTCCACGGATCCTACGGTAGTGCCGGAGTAAGCTGACCCTTCACCACCCACCACAAATATCACGAATATCTTATTTCCAGAAATTCAAAATCCAACTCGGAACCCTAGTAGAAGCCGTCCAAAAGACCGACTCGGTTCAATTCAAATGGATCGACGGCGGCCACAACATTACGCCGCCAGACAATTTCGCCAATTATTTTGGAACACCACCGTACTACCGATTTTTCGCATTCGACGGTGTCAGCGCCTTGGATACCATCGTCACGAAGATCCGAGATTTTCCCACGGGGATGACAGCCGAAGACACGATCCGGAAATTGATCAACGAGGAAGCCTTGGCCAAGTTGGATACGATTCAGTCTACTCTGGATAGGATTTTCAAAATCATAGATGAGGATCCGTCGATTGATGTAAGGCCTGTGACAAGCTTTCTGTAAGCCTTGTACTGAAATTATGTTCGATAGGGCTTGATTGGATACTCCGAAGGGGCTACTCTAGCAGCCACTTTGATCATGGAAGAGCGTAGGCGATCCGAGGAAGAAGGCCGCCCGCGACGTATTAACGTGAGTCATGGGTTATGAAGAGCTTCATCATCGATATCTGCGACTGACTTTGATTTCCGTAGCATGCGGTCTTCCTAGCGGGATGGCCGCCTCTACGTCTTTCCCCATCCACAAACTCTGTTGGTTGCGTCCTTGCGGATGAGTGTGAGGATTTAATCGATGTACCGACATGCCACATTATCGGATGCAAAGATCCATATATCCATGGAGCTATGGCACTGTTCGGCGTGTGCGATGACGACACGGCGGTTCTCTTTGACCATGGCAGCGGGCATACAGTGCCTCGGGATGCTCAGACCATTCAGGAATTGGCGGAGGTCATTAAGGGTGTGAGGCAGCAAGGGAAGAAGTGTGGCTGGTAGACGGCAATCCCGGGAGAATACAAACATACAGCGGTGCTTCAGCGGATTTTCCGTCTTTTTGTTGACCCTGTATGTGCCAATGTGGTGGTTGGTTGGCCCTCCTCCGAAAGTGGAATATACATGTAGCTCGCACCTCAAGGCCCTTGTAACTCTATTCACATGTGATAATGTTCTACAACACATATCAATCTCTACTCAAGAAAAATACCGAATCATAAGCTTTTGCCTAACACGGCCTAAAAGTGTCGTGTGGGGGGTAAATCCATATGCCGAACGCACACCCAGATGATAAGACAGAATCGCAGAAACATCACACCATATGCTTGCCACAGATGCCCAAACCGAAACCATCGTAAACCTGAGATAGACCAGTTTAGGCCATCAAATGCAAAGGAACCCAAAGGGAAACAGGCAAGAGTTGGAAATGGGGTATAATATTCGTAAAAGAAATGGCAGATCGAAGAGATTCAGGCTATACAAGTGGTCGAACAAGACACAGACATAAAATGGAAGAGGAGGGAGGAATCATGCGCCGACGGCTTGTTGGCGCAGGTTCTCGGATGAGGGGGTGTCGACGGCTCGCTGTTCGTTGAGGGAGGAGGAAGATGGTGATGGGGTGGTTCGATCGTTGCTTGGGGTTGTGAGATGGCCGTTATGGATTACGGAGCCGGACCCGGAGGCGGAGGTAGAGCGAGGCATGCTCTCGTTCTCGACAGGTTGTTCTGGTACTGCGTCCGGGCCAATGTCCGGCGTTAAGGGAGACAGGGTGCTTGAAGGGTCGCCGAGGTCTTCATGGGCGTCCTTGAAAAACTCGATTGGCTCATCGTCACTGCGAAGGCTGATGCCCGTGGTTGTGCTTATGCTGCGGACGGAGTGAGGCCGGCTTCCAGGGTAGCTATCCAAAGTCATCGGGTCGGTACTGCCGAGTATAGAAGGCTCCGAAGCCCGTGGTTCCTCATGCGGAGTGGGCTTTCGAAGTTTGAACCGTTCCTCAGGAGGCATGTTCTGCCACTCGGAGCCAAAGGTCACGATGGAAGCCTTCTTCCCGTGAACGGTGAAGCGGGGTGACTTGCGAGACAAGACTTCGCTTTCAGCCATGCTCTCATCGTCTTCAAGAGGACCAATACTAGACAATGATCCTCGGTTTTTCTTACTGGACCGCGAATGATGGCGATGCACATTATGTGGCTCGCGAAGGGTGCGATGAAGACTGCGTCGTACTCGACTCGGCTTGTGGTCACCCTGAGACACCTCTGAGGTCTCGTCTGGGACGTTATCGGCGCCTGATTCAGGCACAGTGGTTGGCTGTGCCTTTGGCGGGGGCGAGCCACTGATGTCCAAAAGGCCCGTCTCTCTGAGAAACCGCTCCTCGCCCTCGTCATAACTTGCGGGAGAGGTGATTTTCGATGCCCGAGAGCCGAGACTAGCGCCATCAAACCTGCTACCGCGACTAAGCACCGAGGCTTCACGCTCCAACTGAGCCGCCTGCGTCTCGGATCCGCCCTGTTCGGGAACAACAGCGATGGAAAGAGGCCGTCCAACGCGGCCAAAGTCAGAAGACGTGGTTGAGCCCGGGATACTTGGGCGGCGCATTTCATCATTCGAGGGCTGCTTGAGAAGGCTAGGCTCGGAGGGGCGATCGGTAGATGCTGAGGTTTGCTCGTTGGCGTCGTGACTAGAAGCCGTGCGCACAACACTAGGCACACGATGCACGCTAGGGTCAGACGTGACTGAAGGTCCCGACGGAGAGGCCAGTCGCGCTGGACCCGAAGAAGCAATTGTCTGATCAGCAACTGACCCTATTCGCCCCTCGGCCAGGCTCTCAACTTCCCCAAGATCCCGGAGAAGAACCTCACGGTAACACTTGTTGCGCGAGATATCCTGTCGGATCCACTTGAGCTTTGCTGCCATGCGCCCAGCAGCCATAATCACTCCCTCTCGAGCACGGGGATGAACCGGGGCTAAGATTTGCAGGTGACGCGCATTGCGCAGGACATCATCAAGCTGCTTCTGAGTCACAAACAGCTTCTCGTTTTGCTCACGGATTTTCTGGCTCATCAACTCGCGGCGGGCGGCGACGAACTCGGCCACAATGTCAGTGTCGATAGAAGGCGAGTAAGGCTCTCTGTCGGCTGACTCGAGCGATCTTAGTGAGGAGTCAGATCCCATTCGCTGACTTCTGCGGTACCGTTGGCCTTCATAATTTGTAGCAATCATGCCTTTGGTGCGAACACCGGTGGTTCTGAATGCGGCAGCGTAGTTGAGCTTGGATATCCAGTCATTCATCTCAGGCTCTGATGAGGCAAGGAAGACCTCTTCCAACGCATTGTGCCGAACAAACGAGAACGCGTGTTTGTGTTTCTTGTAGCTTTCATCCAGCAAGGCTACTGCATCGTTGGTCGACATGATAGCATCCGGCTTAAAGTCGGCAAGAGGCGGCCGGAAGACCAATGTACCACGTCGTTCATTCTTCACGTAAGCGTCATGCTGTGCCATCAGAGAACGTACCCATGTGACGTTGCGGAAGAAGTAGAGCTGGGAGAAGGTAAGGATCGCTCCCCATTCCGCCCACGGCGACCGGGCTCTTTTCTTCTTGGGGTCTTTTCGCCAAAGCAAGCCAACCTTGGCAACCTTGATGTCTACCAGACCAGGATTCGATTCAGCTGGATTGTTCAGGCTTGTCTGCATGAATGCATCCGGTCGGGAACGCAGAGACACGATCTGTAAAATGCCAGATTTGGTAAAGGCTTGGTGGAGATCCTCCATATCCGGGGGCCCGGAAGTCCCAAAATGATTGTATGTATCATCAAGGTCCATGACTTCCTTCAGGCTTGGCCGCAGGGTGTCGACCTTGTTCTCCATGATGAGGGTGTACGGATCAACAGGCTCTCGTGCCATGCGTGATAAATGTTCCGAGCTAGCAGTCTTGAAGAGGGCGCGGCGAGGTTTTGCCAGCTGGCGATCACGCAGGTTGGCGTCTTCGACATGGATGAAGGGGGTGTATGAGATGTTCTCGTAAAAGCACTCTAGGATGGCTTCAGCAATACCTTCACCACGTGTATTCTTGACGTAGTCAGGCTTTTGCATCTTCCGCTTGTTATTCTTGTTGAACACATCCGTATGCAAGATAAGAATTGAAAATGCAATAAAGTATGCTTGATCTGGGACGTTGTTAGACCCGAGTAATAAAGGGGGATGGAACTGGTCTTACCGGAAGAGGCAAAAATGCCCGGGTTGCATTCGTGATACCGGTCAGCAAAGGATTGCAGAAACCTGTCTATCTGCTGGGTTTCTTTCGGCAGTTCTACCTCCATCAAAAGCTTGCGAATTGCCATGTCGATGGGGTCACCAAAGTATGAAAATGATCTCATGTACTTTCGCAGGGTAACTTTGTAGAATTCATCATCCGATTGAGCCAGGATGCCGCCAATCACGCCCCGTGGGAGATTCTCCTCCAGCTTCGTCAAATAGCTCGCTGGAGTATCGTCTTCATCTCGCGAAGGAATTGGAGGGAGGTCGGGCTTAACGGGTGTTCCCGAACCGCCTACCGCCGGAGAGCCATGACGAGGGATTGGTGGTTCTGAGTTCTGCCTCAATCGTTGTGAGATATTGAAAATGTCACCGAAACTCTTCCGACCACTGGTAGAAGTGGAGGTGCGCCCGGATGATGCCATATATGGTGCTGGAGACAAGTCTTCTTGGTTCTCGGCCAATGATCCCATCGTGGACGATCTGCCTCGACCTCCTTTGTGGGAGGGATTGGACCGTACAGAGCGGGCCGAGTTTGTCGAATCATTCCGAAGCAGCGGCGGTGCGCCTGATGCAGGCAACCCTACTGAAGAGCGAGACGGCGAGGGCAGAGGTGAAACCTGATCGGCGTCATCAGAGTCTTGTGATTTCGGAGTGTCGGCCGGTGGGAACTTGGGCGCGTTGTCCAGTGCACGGCTCACGGGAGTTGGCTTGGGTGGTAAAGGAAATAGAGGGCTTCGGTTTCGCTTCAAACGTGGCAGGCGGAACCGCTTGTTGTTTGGTATAGACCCTTGGCCCTCGCGAGGGGAATTCGTTCGAAATGTCTGGTCCCCATAGCTCTGATCTGACCGCGAGGACTCGGAGAATCGCGGATCAGTAACTGACGAGCGATGCGAATCGTTCAGTTGATCTCGGCTGCCATTTTGTCGTGATGTTGTAGAAAGCCGCCCAGGCTGCTCCGGAGCAGTTTGGAACGTCGAAAGGGTGGATTCGGCGATTTGTGAGTCTGTAGATCCCTGATTCTTCCGCGCGGGTTTCGTTCTAGGACTGTCGACTGAGCTTCGGGACAATTCCTCCATGGAGCGTTTTCGTAAGGGTAGAAGGCCGAGCTTGCTTCGCTGTTTAACAGGTTGATCGAGTTCGTTGCTGGTAGGGGCGGTGGTGATAATTGTGGGAGCTGTGAATTGAGAGCTGTCAGCAAGCACTAAAAGATGGACTCGTGAAACTGATAAGGGCCATTCCCGGAGCATCCAACCACGGTACAACGGTAGGGAGCGTGTCAATTGTTGAGCGTCCACTTACGAGGAAGAGAAGGCACAGGGGGGTGTCCTGGGCAGCCTTGGCATAGCTTTTGGATAGCTGAGGATCTGAAGCATGCCGTAGTCTCATAAAGCTGAAGCGATTCCTGCGAAGACTCGGCGTATCCACAGATAACCTTGTCGGCGGCCCAGCGAAGTCCGTCCGAGCTATAGCATGGCCCGGCTCCGTATCTGCGAGAGCGTCATCCCCCGGTGTGGGATTCAGGGCTTCCTCGGATGAAATATCGAGCCCGGTCGAGCGAGGCAAGGCTTCCGAGCATCTGGGTTCGGTCTCAGGCGGAGAGGGACGAGGGAGGTGCTCGCTGTGACGGGCCTGCGTTTGCGGTTCCATAGTGCTTTGACGTTTGGAGCTGCCATCGGCGACGAGTCGCAGGCCTTTCCAATGCATGGCTGCGAGACACAGATCTGATCAGACCCATGCGTGGCCGGCAGCGGATCAGAAGGGGCAGAAAGACTTGAGAAGGATGTTTCTAAAGGCAGGACATGGCGACGTCGAGTGTTCCAGAACGCGGTGGGTGGAGTTGGAGTGCGTCCGTCGTCAGCTCGCGAAAAAGGGGAACGCGGAAAGGGAGGGGCGCTCGGGGTTCCGCGCCACTTCAGGAGATTTGTAGTTAATGAACAGTATTGAGATCTCAAACGATCAGACAGATAAAATGGGGAGGAGGGGTAAAGGCAAACGAGTTCGTAGTGCCCTGAGCGCGGCTGAGAACGGGGTTGGAAGTTGGGAGGAACAGGATCCTAGACAGGATTCTAGACCCGGGGCTCTCAAGGGTCTCGCGATGTTTCTATTTCGGTCTGTTTCACGGTCTTTCTACTCCGGTAGGCTGGGTCATTACTAGCGAGTCCCGAAGTAGTGTCTACACATGCTATACATGCTTTTTCTATTCGGGAAAAGTCAATTCTATGACAGCCTCGCCGTGAGGCAACTGGATCCGGCAGAGAGACACCTGGACTGGACCGCGCGTACAACGGAAACCAAGGCGGATCAGATGTGACTTCTAGAAGGAAAAAGCAACCACTGACGTAGAGTGCATAGAAGAGTCCACTCGGGATAGAAAGGTGGAATCACCCACACTAGCATCGGAGGCTGCGAGTCAATGAGGCGGCTTCTTACGTAGCTCCTTTCCCCTCTTTCGTAGCTGGGCCTCAACTGCTTCCACATCACTGCGCTTTCACCGCGATGCGGTTCTTACCTGCTTTCCTGGTCTTGTCGACCTTCTTGTCATCCTCGTTTGCCATTCCTGCCGGTTCCAGCATCACTCCGCCGCCGCCGCTCCAACCCGTCAGTCTTCTGCCCCAGTCCCCAGACCCGCGCCGCCCGTGGACCCGGCTCCGCGACTGGGTAATTGAATCGGTCTGGGGAATCGGCCACTCGCAATGTCATCATAAACATGCAGGACCGCCTGCCACTGTCTGGGATCGCTACGAGACCGATGTGGTTCTCCGCTTTCATCTGCGTCATCCTGACGAGGCAGCAGCCCTGGCCTCGGCATCGCAAGTGCTCGTCTTGGATGTCTGGGCCATCACTGCAGAATTCGTGGACATTAGGCTCTCAGAGGATATGGTACGCTGAATCACTATCTCAACCTGACGACTCTGGCTAATCGGTTGATTCACAGATCCCGTCGCTCCTTGACCTGCTCCCCGTCTCGCTCCGGACAGCCCATACTCCCTTGATGGACGACCTCGTTGACATGATCTATGCCACCTACCCGAATCGCCCTCGTACTGGACTTGGACATGATCATGCGTTCGGATCCGATGGAAGACGGACATCCGCCGTGGGCGACGTCTTCTTCCTCGACTACCAGCCGCTGTCGGTCATTGTGCAATGGATGCGCTTGATGGCGTCCATGTTCTCGTCACATACCCGTTTTACTAGTATCGGAGTATCATACGAGGGTCGTCAGATCCCGGCGCTGCGGATCGGCGCAGCCCCCTCGCAATTTGAACCGTCTCAGCCTCGCAAGACCATCGTGATAGTCGGTGGCCTCCATGCGCGAGAATGGATCAGCACGTCTACGGTTCTGTATGTCGCCTACAGCCTTATCACCGAGTACGGCCAATCAAGCGCTGTGACTCGGTTGCTGAACGAGTATGACTGGGTTCTGATCCCAACCCTTAACCCGGACGGTTATGTCTACTCATGGGAGGTTGATCGCCTTTGGCGCAAGAATCGACAGCCGACCGGCCTGTCAATCTGCCGTGGAGTCGATCTTGATCGGGCGTGGGACTTTGAATGGGATGGTGAATCGACTCGCTCCAATCCGTGCTCGGAGAACTACGCCGGCACAGAGCCCTTTGATGCGCTTGAGTCCCAGCGACTGGCACACTGGGCACAGAATGAGACCGAGAGTGGCCGAGCGGATATCGTCGGCTTCTTGGACCTGCACTCGTACTCTCAGCAGATCTTGTATCCCTATTCGTACAGTTGCGAGTCGATTCCTCCCACCCTGGAAAGCCTCGAGGAACTGGCTCTCGGTCTGTCAAAGGCAATCCGGCAGAGCTCGCGTGAGTCATACGACGTGACCTCTGCCTGCGAAGGTATCCTCACTTCGGGAGCAGCTTCCAGTATGACTGCGGGCGGCAGTGCACTAGACTGGTTCTATCACAAGCTGCATGCCACCTATTCGTACCAGATCAAGCTGCGCGACCGTGGCATCTATGGCTTCCTTCTTCCCTCGGAGCATATTGTTCCCACCGGCCAGGAGATCTTCCATGCCGTGTTGACGTTTGGAAGGTTTGTCTGGGGTGAGGACATCAGGGATATGGACTCTTCCGACGTACAAACCCCAATGGGCGATCAAAAGCCGCTGTCTGATGTATATGATTTCACTTCATGATCGGGCATCTGACAACTTGCATAACTGTTTCCATGTGGCGTTTGGGGTTTGGGTTGCTTGAAATATCAGAAGTTTCTGTACATATTGGCTATGAACGTGAAATGTTCTAATGCACGAATCATGACGAAAATATCAATGCAATGTGACAAGCATATATGTTTCGTTACAACAATCATAAACTAGTGGTAAGAATCCAGTATTTGCAATGGCTAAGCCTTTCCAGGCGTGTATTTCTATCGTTAGCTTTAGGAAACATTCTACCTCAGAGGCCTGACGATTGATATCCCTCGCCAAACCAAAGATATCAGACCAACCATCCGATTAATCAAGCACCAATCAATCAATCAATCAATCAATCAATCAAAATTCAATTAACCCGATGGAGCCTAACTAGTTGCGTCAAGGCTATGCAGGCGCTTCGTCCAAACCGAACCAGAACTTGGTGTCCTGAACTCCAAACCGCAGAATAAGTCTCTATACAAAGGAGAACTGGCCACTGATTGGCCAGTACAGTAATGAATGTACATAAGTAAATGAACCCAAAGCCCACAGATCCCACAAATCCCCTTGGTTCATCTGTCTTTCCTCCTCCAGTATCTCGTCTCTGCCGTTTCGGCCCTCTCACTCCGCGATTAATCATGCATCACTCGCCTTGACTTACCCTCAATCAAACAGTCTTGAACACAGCAGGACCCGCCCAAAGACGCAATCTCTTCCCCCAAAGCTGCAAACCCAACACAATCAAGAAAGCCGCGCCGACGATGCCACACATAGTCCCAAATTGGCGAATAGTACCGTATTTCTCCTCCCACTCGACCATGAAATAAGACACAATAACTCCCCCAAGAATGCGTCCAAAGTTCACCCACGCAGCAACTTCTCCACTTGCCTCGGGGTATCCATCCAAGACGTACGAGTTGACGGCAACGGTGACAATCATGGTTCCAAACACGTACAAGCCCCATCCCAGGGCCGCGAGCATGTAATGATAGTGTCGCTCGAGGGCAAAGCCCATCAGGATCAAACCGGACGCCATGAATGGCAGGGATACCCAGCTGGCCCAGAGACGAGCTTCGGGCTCGAGGCGCCCGCCGTTGCGCTTAGCGGAGACCTTGGCGATGAGGTCGTGGAGCCAGTGACCGGTGATTTCGCCCAAGATGGCTGCGATGACGGGAGTGAAATAGAAGAAGCCTGTGGAAATATCAGTATAGCAATCCCACAATTCCAAGGGTGAAGCGTACCGATTTGCTTAGCCTGGAAACCATAAATGGGCCCCAGAAGAATAGCCAGCGTGGTATTGATGCCAACCACCCACGCGAAGCTCAACATATAGTAAATACACGCCAGAATCACAACGGGCTTGCAGATGATAACGAGCGGTCGCATCACCGCATCCTTGACCGAGTTCCTCATATAATTCGTCCGCCTCTGCTGGATACCGAGCATCCGCTGCCAGCGCGGGGCATTGGGATAGAGCTCGGGCTGTCCGGTTTTGCGATCGTAGTAGGTCTCATCAACGAAGAGGATAATGGCGATCAGACACAGTCCTGTCTCAATGGCGTAGACGCCGAATGCCCATTGCCAGATTTGGGTGCTGACGATGAATGCTGCGAGGAGAGGGCCTAGGTAAGGAGATACGATGATGAATCCGGACCAGATGTTGATTTTGCGGGCGTGTTCGTGGAAGAAGAACATGTCTTTGATGTACATGAGACCGCCCTGTTGGTGGTTAGTATGGGACAGCGGTAGGTATTGGAGAGCGGAGGGCTTACACCTTGCGCAACAGTTGAAAAGAGCCCGTTGAGGATACGAGCAGCCTATTGCAGGTTAGAAAAAACAAAGGGGTATATCAAGCCGGGAAGCAATTACCATGAAAGACTCGAAGCTTTGCGCGGCGGCACACCAAATAGCCGTTGCAACAGCCAGCACAATGAACCAGAACAGAACAGGATAACGCCCAAAGTAGGCAGCGAATGCCACGATGATAGGGCCACCAACACCCAGCATGAAGACATTACCGACCTGAGAATGGTTGACAACATTTGGGTCCATATGCCATTCTCTGGATAGAGTCGAGACCATCAGCGGGAGAGTCAACCTTGAGATTCGTGACAAGTACTTACGCTCCTTGGGCTAACAACGTCACGGCGCCTGTAGCGCTACCGTAGTCCGGTAACAATGCCGTGCACGAAATGATGATAAGAATCAGGTGCTTGCGGAACCAACTCCAATTGAGAGGATCATTGGGCGAATCGCTCGGCTGCGGGATAAGAATCGTCTGTCCGTCGGCGGTCGTCTTCAGACCACGCTCATGGGCCAACGAAGCATCATTGAGGACATATCCTTCGCGCTCACCGGCTGCTTCCAACTCGTCGATAGCATGAGGCTTCTTGTCGTCGTAGACCTCGTCCACTGGCACGTGATGGGGCTTTTCAGGGTCCATTGTCGAGTACGCAAACGCCTTAGCTGGCGAGAAGAATAGGGAAGCACCGAACTTAAATGGAAAGAAATGGTGGATTCGAAGTTAAAAATTAATATACATTGGAAATGCAGGTGAAAACCTTGTGTGCGCTCGAGCTCTTTGTACTGCTAGGAGATTTAGCCCACGGTGGCGCTGTATGGAAAGACACGCATCCACGTAGTGAGCAGCGGCTCGAATCGGAATTGACTCCTCATGGCCTATGATCTTCTTGATAAATCCCGCAGCAGTATGTACAGAAAATCTGGTGGATATTCGGACCCTCATTCGCCGGGCTCTTTGCGCACGGTGCACAATGGTTGTGGGGAGGGTACGGAGATTTGGAAGCGTTTGGTTCGCCCATGATAGCCATGTGGAGACCGAACGCGGGTTGACTGGTGCCAAAGTGAGCCCCACGGTGTCGATCTGGAACTATTTGGTTTTAGGGGGTTCTAGATGTACTGTAGGGCCGGAGCCATTAACCCTCCTCGGTTAAGGGTGATGTAACGCCGGGTATAGCTGTTTATCCTCGCTGATATCGAGTGGATCTTCGGCCGTTGGAAAAGTTCCTGGATGTTTAGATATTTGCGCCTGTTGCTTGAGCGAAGACCGCTCAAATTTCTGTGTTGATCTCTTCTACCCGCGGATACTATTGGCCCGCTAGAAAGATAGTCATTGATAGATCACGGCCCTTCCATGAATTTCAAGGTTGTGGCCCGTTGATCATAACTTAAAATCTCAGTCGTATGGTAACCTCGGACAACCTTTGCCACTAAATTCATCCTTGACTCACAGGTGCTCTAGAAGGTCTCTCGAAATACGTTCGCCTGATCCAAGCCATAAAGCCTAATCCAATGAGGCTTAGGGGGCTGAGCTATGTAGCACCTGGCGTTCTTGCGTGATGGGAGCAAGTCCTGAAATTTTCATATTTCGCAAGTATTTGATGGACGAAGGTTTGCTTCCATTACTGCGTGGCAAGTGATCAGTAACTCTGAGGTGTAAAACCAAAAACAAGTTTTGAAAACACAAAGATCTGAACCGGCCCCCGGGCGCAAGGGACACGCACGCATGCATAATCTGATCGATACATGCAGAATATTGCCGATAGCTGAAGCCGAGCCAATTGCAAGTGCAATTCCCTAGAAACATGGGAGAAAACTAAACGTCTGATATGTGGTTTGGCTGTAAAGGAATACTCAGCTCCAAGGTGTGGCGGATGTGGTCTTTAAAACCTTCCGTACAGATGGTGGGGTCTTCCCCTGGCGATGAACATTGTTCCCTCCTCGCCATGGTTCGTTTCACTATGTTCACCAAAGAAAGGCTTCTCCCAGTGGATCTCACTGTAAATCAAAAAAAAACACTGCTACTATCGCCAGAATACCAGCGACTCTGCTTCAATACGACGCCTTCAGACTTGCAGTACCGCAACTTACTCGAAGTCTTTCACAGAATTTTTTGCAAGATGCAAGAATTTCTTCTTCATGCACCCAGTGCGGAAGCCTCGTTCTGACAGTTGATCTTAGGGCTCGCAGGTTTTTCCAGCTACCGAGTGAGGTGAGAGAGATAACAAGAGGTTATTCAGGCTTTGACACGGAACCCGGTCGCGGGAAAACTCCAATCCCAAAAGAAAGTGTTTATTTCTTTCGAAAGGTACACCAAGAAGGCGAAAATTGTCTTCCACCCCCTTCAAATTTCCAATGTTCTATGACAAATTTAGACTGAGTGAGTTGCTCTGCACTTCACTAAGGTTATGATCCCGAAACTAGTTTTCCCCAAGGAATGGTCGAAGCTAGCGGGCCAGCTGTTTAGCCAATTGTCTACCATGGTTGAATCAGCAGAGCCTTTAACCGGAACACCTTCTTTAGACTATGAATCCCTGGGTGTACGGAGTACACTTCTACGACTCTCCGAAACTGATTTCTGATAGGACCCACTTCAACCCACATGGACAGTGAGACATTGAAAATTTTGATCCGAGCTAGCGGGGAATCCGACGGGGTGGGTATTGCCAACGAACCAGGTTGACAGCGAGGGCATATCACTTGAGGCCTGTTTCATTACCATTCCTGCAGTGCCAGATGAAGTTATCGTGCTGGCAGGAATTCGATTACAGCGCCTTCTAGGAAAAGGTAAAGCCCGTGCTTGCGTCCACAGAGTTCGTGGTCCTACAAAGACGGAAATTACCCCTATTGCAAACGAGAGACTAAGCTTTGCGGTCTTCTGTGGACCCTCGGTTATAAAAATGAAAAATAAATGAAAAATAAATACAACCTTGGATGACCAAGCTTGATTGAAGTGGGCAAGAACGACTCTTAACGGTTCTCAGGGGCCGAGGTTTCACCCAGATCTCACTAGAGGGAAACTTTAAATTAATTGGGAAACGCCGATATGTCTCACTTCTACAAATATTGTTCTAGAAAAAAGGGGGTAGAGGAAGAGACAAGTGAGAGGAGAAATAGGAATTAATGGTATTGTTGCAGGCGTGCCAGAAAGGCAGACCTTGAGGGACTATGAGGTAGATGAGTCATGTCTATAGTGACATTCGAAGACACTGAAAAGGGAAGTTCCGTCAGGGACAAGGTGACGCTGAGCTGTCTTGTCATTACCTTAGGCAGCATCATGGACACCAACTCGTCCTTGTTTACTGCGGTCTCCGGTCTACATGTAGTATCTTAAGGTGGGCTGGCCTGTTCTCCAAGGCACTCACCTCATCTTCCGACATATGATTTCTGTCTCTTCGCAGTCTCCGTCTCGTAGATACATCATCCGTCTAAGAACCACGTCTTTCCTCTTCATGATCCGGCTGCCCATGATAAAATCCAAATGCGAGGAAGGGGAAGGTGAATGAAAAAGGCCTGGAGATTTGATACTCATTTTGCCACTTCAGAAACATCTCGACAGACACCAGGGCTTCAAAATTTGCAGCTAAAGCTTCATACCGTCATATACCTACGATAATTATCTCAAAAATGCACAAAGAAGGGGGAAGTCCTGGCGGCAAGCGCTCCAGGACTCATGATGTGCCAAAAGCCTCAAACTAACTCGAAAATCCCATTACAGATTCCCAAGAGCCTTCAGATTGCGACAGAGCTACAAACGCCAACCAGATTCTGACCGACTCTGGCCTCGGCCAGGCCCTCGAAATGTCAGACAGGATTATGTCAGAGTCCAGCTGCGGCGAATGCGATCCAGATTTCGTGAAAGTAACTGACGTGATTATCAAACTGGCCGCCACCACGTTGGAAATCAAAGAGCGAATCGAGAACAGGATCAGAGAGGATCGTTTGCCATCTACAGATCCCTTCGCGTCCATGGTAGAGGAAAGACATCTGGAATCGATTAAGTTGCTTGATCAACAGTTCAGGATGTTTGCTGATTTTTTCGCTTTCCTCGTCAAGACCTACCTGTCGCTTATCAAAAAAATAATAATGGGTGACCAAGAACGGTCGCCAGATGACGAAGCGGGGCAAATTGAGCCAGATGGAGATGCGCATAATGATACTTAGAATGACTTTTACAACAGTGCTCTCGTTTATTACGAGTCTTGGAATATGAATGGATACCTTCTTGTTTTAATGGGCATGAAAATCAGTATGTCGTAATTCATCTAGGTTTCATCCACTATGGTAAACATACGGCCCATTCATATAACAAATGCACATAGTAATATAATAACCGGCGCCATCTCTCACTAAGACGAGAAAGCGATGTCGACGATTAGAACAGCCAAGAAACGCATTTCTGGTAGAACCAGTTCGACTGAGCATGCTTCTCAACCTGAGCATCCTTCTGGGCAAGATAAGCAGCCTCCTGGCGATCAATCTCCTCCTTTCCAGACCAAAGATCCGCATTCTCCGGAGTAACCTTTGGCTCATTGCGGTGGGTGAATTTGTACCCGAAGATCAGAATCAGGTACAGTGGGATACCCAGGTATGCGGTGATGAAGTTCTTGTAGTCGAAGTTGCCGTACTTCGGAGAGTGAGTGAACACGTTAAAGTTTTTGGTGAAGGCAATAAGGATGCAGAAGGCCAGGGCTCCATAGGAACCATACACGCCGAATGGAGCGACGTAGGCGAGATCACTGTCGGGAACGTTCTGGGCACGGCGTGCGCGGACGAAGTAGATATGGGTGACCAGGATGGAAATCCAGGTTAAGAGACCAAAAATGGTGACCAGGTTCACGAAGTACTTGAAGACGGTCTTCGAGTCATTGGATACATTCATGTACGCGAGAAGGGCAAAGAGAGATGAGATACCCAGGGCGAAGATGGGCACACCGCGACGATCGGTTCGTGAGAAGATCTTGGGTGCCTTGCCTTCGCGGGCGAGACCGTAGATTGTGCGGGTTGCGATGTAGAGATCGGAGTTGGCGGCCGAGAAAACGAAGAGGAGGATACACGCGTTCAAAATGTGAGAGAGCGCAGGAATTCCGGCATTTTCGATGGCGACGACGAATGGAGATGCAGCTGCGGAGCTGCTGGCGTTGACGGCGAAGGCCAGCTTCGGGTCGTTGTACTTGACCAGGGTGCCGACCAGAAGAACGGAAAGCACGTAGAATACCAGGATACGGTAGAATGTCAACCGAATGGCACGAGGAATGGTGCGGCGCGGGTTCTGAGCTTCACCAACGGTGACACCGACCAGCTCCGTACCCAGATAGGCGAAAGTGGCTGACACCATGGTTGACCAGAAAGCGTAGAACCGGCCAGCTGCACCAGTGTCGATGTACTCGGCAAACGCACCCGGGTCTTTCCAGTATCTGAATCCCTTTTGGTCGTGATCTGGGCCTCCGCCGAGCATCAAGATGAAGGACAGCAGAATGATTCCAAGAATCACAATGACTTTGAACGATGACAGCCAAAACTCGAATTCTCCGAAGAATTTGACTCCGAAGTAGTTGATGCTGATGATCAACAGGAGGATGATCGTAATCCAAACGCCGGCGTTGACCTTTTCTACAGGAATCCAGTATGATATGACCAAAGCACCGGCCGTTAACTGATTTGGCGTGACGAGAATATATTTAAACCAGTACCTATATCATGAGTAAGAGAAAGATTCAGTGGCGAGAGTGAGGGAAAGGCTTACGTCCAGCCCACGGTGAATCCGAGTGCAGGGTCACAGAATCGAACAGCATAACCAGTAAAACCTGAGGGCAAGGGAAGCCATGCCGCCATTTCGCCAAGAGCACACATAACCAAGTACACGATGAAACCCACCCAGGCATAACCGATCAAGATCGAGCCAGGACCGGCTTTTGCGAGAGCTTCGCCCGTTCCAATAATCAAGCCGGTTCCAATAGCACCACCGATTGCAATCATGGTGATGTGCCTCGCCTTGAGGGCACGGTGAAGCTCGACATGGTTGGGATCGGACAGGCCGCCCTCCTCGGCCATGGCGATATCATCGCCGCTGTATTCACTCTTGATTGGGGCATCTGATGAGAAGCCCTCCTTCTTGAGTTCCGCCATCGCTGGTCTGAGCAGATGGAGCGGAACTAAGATGGGTAAGGATGCGACAGTAGGAAAGATTGGCGTCGACTTCAGAGGTGAAAATAAGGGAAAAAAGGTTAAGTGATCAGCAGGTAGGAGACGATACTTTAAATGAAAAATCGCGGGGATTACCTCGACCTGCAGCTCGGCGCACGACTTTCCTTGATCTCCGCAGGCCAAGACAAAACCAACCACCAGAGAGATAAGGAAGTCAAGACCGAGCCAGGATCACGGGGACACACGACTGAATAGACTCCTCTTCTGATAAGCGGACTGGGGAGCCAAGCAGCCAAGCCATCTCGCGCGTGGGAGTGGACCGTGGAAAGGTCCCATAGGATCGTGCGGAGTGGCTCAGTAGTACCGCAAAGCGTTGGAATACCAAGAGCCTCTGCATGAAAAAGGTTTCAATACGCGAGCAACCCCTGGTCCCTGGCCAACTTTCCCTGCACGGCTGAGCAACGCTGTGTCGGCACCACCTGAACTCATTGACACTCCGGAGTATGAGACTCGATAGCTAACTACTGTATATAGTACCGAGGCCCGAATCTACATAAAATTTCCTTTGGTCAAAGCTTCTTGATAAGAACTGCCCCAATTTGATAACGACAACCAAAGCGGAGCACCCGGGCGCCAAGATCTCGGAGATGCTATTCCTCTTCCACTTCTTGCGGGGCCACACGGCTCGCTTTGCATCGGGGTTTCTTTTTTGCTAGCCCTGGATACGGGGTTACCTCTGGCATTCAAGGCTTAGAATTCACACTCAATCGCCCACGACTTGGAGTACCCTAAGGTAACCTAGGTGTCAAACGCGAGGCGTGGTTCGTGATAGGTAGCCATGTTTACTTCGCCTCAAGACCAAGGCCCAGATATGAAAACTTGGCATGCTAGCCAGAACTAGCCACCCATGTTGAAGCCAGCTCCGTGGAAAATTCTCGCCATGACTTGCACTCGGTGAAAGCACCTTGAGCCAGGCACAGCAACACACGGAAAAGGCTTGGCGATCAGCCAGTGCTGCGCGCCAAGAATGTCCGCCACGGCCGCTCCATCCAATAGCAGTGCGAGGTACCTGTGCATCCCGGCTGACTTTGCAATTTGGCTGCTTGGCGGGCCCCCAAAGGATGAATTTTACCAATCACGGTGAGAGCAGAGAAACCTTTTGTCATGTGTCTAGCCTGGATAGCTGAGTGGGTCCTGATAGCGATATTCTTACCCCAGCTTATGTGTGATATAGTCTGGAGTTACCAGGCACCATTCTGCTCACTCTCGTAATAGCCCGGATGATTTGTGGGTCCATAATTTAATAGCATAGGCCCTGGGAGCGAGATTTGCGCTCCTGGCGCCATTGTCTTGACGGGTAAGGAGCAGGTGTTTAGAACGAATTTGACAAGTGAATCTTTTTGGACCCCAATCAACTCTCGCAGAATCAAACTCATGCGCCCAAAAGAGATGGCAAACGAACCCCAAACAAGGACGGCAGAGACTCAAATCGGCCCGAAACAAGGACACCAAAACGGGGGCAAAAGTACGGAGTAGCGGGATCTTTGAGCCTCCCTCGCCTTGATAATAGTAGATTCAGGAAAAGTGTGTAAACGCCGGTCGATGTTCTATTTAGCAAACTGGAACACTAACTGTGGACATCTTTTTTGCTTCCCACTCATGCGACAAAATCCCCATGGAGATTGTATCCCGCCACCGACCGGCCTTCCATAGAGATTCTCTCTTTCTCCCCTCAGTCACAAAACCGAGCTTTTTATATGCATTTTGCGCCCTCTCATTCCATTCGTAAACCGTAAGCTCAACCCGATGTAATCCTGCGGTCATAAAACACCAATCGAGCAGCCAGGCGATAGCCTCAGGACCATACCCGTTGCCCTGGTACCTGCGCGCAATAGTAATGCCAAATTGACGTGAACGATTATGCACCAATATGGGATCCTCATATTTGAGCGACATGATGCCAATTGTCTCAGGTTCCTTATCGGAGTTTTCATCGTCTGGGATGATGCAAATCATGACTGTCATCATCATTTTGTCCATTTTTACCCTTAGCTGTCTCTGCTCCTTGGTGCTTAGTGGTCGCTGTAGACCGTTGGAAGCCATAGATAAGACGTCAGGGTCAGCGCGGAGGGCTTGATAAAATGCATTGTCTTTTTCGTTATCCTCTGGTGCTCGGTAGAGGAGACGCTTGGAGCGATAGGGTTCCAGGAAGGAAGGATCCATTGATTTATGAGAAACCCAAGGTAGGGATATAGTAGATTAATGGTTTTGGATGAGTCTTGGGTCATAAATAGGAGGAGATAAAGCATATTTAAACCTCGTGGTTGCCCTGCTATCAGATATCTGCGGGGTTCGGAGGCTTCCGTGACTCATCCAATACGAGCGCCGTAGCACGCTAATCGCTAGCACAGTTAATAGTTACAGTCATTATGGCACATGGGAAGAAGTCAAAAAGGTTCATTGGGATGCTTCAAGCCAAGATAAGTATTTCTGATATAGAAGATATATGTCCCCGAATCATACTCCGCCGCTTCATGGTTCCTTCCAAATAATCTGGAAACACCAGAAAAAGAAAAAGGAATCTATGAATTCGCCGTGCACCTTTGTCGGGCGGTAATTTGACGCTGCCATGCAGCTCTATGTTCGTAGAGATTTCCAGAATACGATTGCTGCACAGGAAAACTTATCCTGCTCGTTGGAATCCCGGATTCGACTCCACCTCGTTGCACAATAGAAGCAGGCAGCCGGTAAACCGACCGTCCGTCACAACTAAACCAAAGTACATAGTCCAATATCTATTCAGATACACGTTTATCTCTAGCCACAGGGCTAAGGTTGAATGCTGCCACGAGCCCAGCCAAAATAGAAGTTAAGGCTAAAATCTGTCAGGTACGAAAGCTCAAGCTCAAATTCAAAGAAAGGCAATACTTACTGAGTATGAACTGTAACTCGAAAAATCCAAATCGTTCCACTATAATTCCAGCCAAGATCGGTCCGACCAAGAGACCACTCATCCAGCTCATACCTGTCAAAGCAATCGCCCGGGAATACCCACGGCCTTGGCCAAATACGCCGGGGTAGCGTGCCTCGAGCGCATCAATTGTTTCTGAGGGAATATAATCAGTAGCAAAACTTAAATACGAGCCCTATCAACCTACCGGTTGCTTCCATGGTGCCAACTCCATTGAGTAAGCATATCAAACATCCGATCATGCCCGTGCATACACCGAAGATAATCTTGCCCCTTTGGCCCTCGGTCGCCCATTGAAGGCGATCATCTCCAGCGGCCCCAAGAAGCCACAGGAATGGGGCAAGGGATAAGAATCCGAAAGTCGTCGGGGTACGAGAGCCCATTCGATCCTTCAACCATCCCACAAGCGGGGAGAGAACCATACCGGGTCCTTGAAGTGCAGCGAATAGCAACCCCACAGGGAAAACCCCCCATCCAAATGCCTCTCGTACATGTATCGCAAACGTTGTCTGAAAGCATCCGATCAAGAGAGAAAACACGAAATAGCAGAAGATCCCTGCGGCGAAGCGGGGTTGTCGTAGCAGCAAGACATAAAATTGCCAGCCTTGGACTTCTGTCACGGCCGTGGCAGCCTCAGACTGCCCTTCACCCAGCAACGGGGCTTGCTCAGTATCCTCAACAGTAGTCTCACCGCGAGACTGATTTTGTGGGTCATTTGGGTTGTGCGATGGCTTTTCAATCATCAAAAGCCGCATGATGATATCGACCACGAGGAATAGAAAGGCGCCTGCCCAGGCAGTCCAGTATCCTCCAAAGCCGAATAGAAAGGCCGCGATGACAGGACCGGCAAAAGTCCCCGCAGCCGAAAGAGTCGAGGCCAACCCGGCAATCTTGCCCATATGCTCGGGTCCAATACTCTCCGCCAACGTTGCCAGACTTACGATGAAAAGTCCATTACTGACAATCGATTGGAATAAACGGCCGACGAAAAGCCCCGCCACTATTTCTTTGTAAGCATATGATACGTCGTAGCTCTTGATGGTATGGCGACTTACACGAGGTCGTGACTGAGAGACACACAACGCTGATGAGAGTGAGCACCAGCAGGATCAGTAAAAGCATTTTCTTGGAGTTGACCCGGTCGGCAATGTCACCAATTAAGGGACCAGAGACTATTGATATCAAAGCTCCCTCGACCAAGAAGGCAGAGGTTAGTCGCTGGGTCTCTGTTTCCTTCGCTCCGATGCGGTTTTCTAGGATGAATGGAAGCAAAGGTACCATGAAAGCAAAAAGCATCTCGTCTAGGAGTGATTAGCCTCATAGTTAAGATGGTTCCGATATTTTATTTACTCACCAGTAAATAGAGCCATAGACATGCTGCTGATGATAAAAGTGTTGGATGATCGCCATCGGTAACCCCGTGCGGACGACGGGTCACCGCCATTTCCAACGCGTCGAAACATTCGTAGATATGGGACAGTGTTCACGTCTGGGGTGGACTGTTCGTTTCAATGGCTATTATTTAGATTATCTCTTGTACTAGCCGACTAGGATCTTCGAATAGGAACAATAAAGTTGGTAGGATGAATAACAATGCACAGTCTGACCGCCCACGTACAGTATGTAGGCCAAGGGGGGGGGGGGGGGGGGGGAGCTAGGAAAACCGCGGCTTCAATCGGTTCGGCCCCCAGGTAGGCCCGAATGAGTCACCCCTTTGAAACCCCAAAAGTCCCGGAAAAGGCGGTGTTTGACCGGGCTGTTCGCTCAAGGCTGGAAATTTAAATCTGCGGTCGCCCGAGTCAACTCCATTGGATCCGCTAAACAAGACTTTTGGATTCAATCAAGTCAAAGCAAAATATCGGTAGATAAAAATAATCGTGATTCGTGGCATATACATTGGTGAAATTATGTACACCCCTGGGTTTCTAGTCTAGATATCCCCAGCTAGGCTTGGGCGTGGATAAATGGAGTTATGTGCTGACTAGTGCGATGAGAATGCTTCAATCATCCTCGACCTTGATTTCTTTCTCGACAGTTTTGCCTGGGACTTCATTCGGCATAGGCTTGCGGGCCCACACACGCCGCCTGCATCAGTGCCATTAGTTACGGTCGTCCAAAGTTAATCACTGGAGATACTCACGCTCTTTGATAGATGTGGAAATGTGGGTTTTTGAGCTCAGCACGTAGCTTTGCAACGTACACATGAACGTCGTCCTTTGTCCAAGGTTCGGGGGTACCAAACTTCGTGAGCAACCACATGGACCATCCCTCCATACCGGACAACCAGTGCTGGTAATTGACGGTGCCAGCCTCTTTGTATTTCTGGTCGCGGGCCCAGGGACCAATGGGCCACTTGTAGGGCTGCTCATGTATCTCAACAAAGCCGGCTTTGCGAATACTCTCCTTCATCGTGTCAATGGCATCGAGATGCCGCCCCGCACGCTCGCCGCAGCCCGAGACATTTGGACCCCAGCTTCGGAGGACGTTGTCAAGGGGTAAGCTTTGGTCATCGCATAAGATGAAGGGACTGGCTTCAATTTGTTCGATCCAGCCTCCTGGGCGAAGGTGGCTTGGCGCATGTTAGAAAGAGAATGACCTTGTGTGATGCGAGGGAAACCTACTCATAACACGTCTTGTAGACTCGTTCCCACTCCGTTGGGTCGAATGAGCCGATCATAATTCGCATGTGGATCAGATCAAAGGGCTCGCGCCATGTCCACTCGTTAAGGATGTCGTCCACCTCCAACACACAGTTCGGTGGCATCCAAGTGACGGGAGGCGGGAAGAGATCCACTCCGCGAACGGTTGCTAAATTGTGTCAACATTACAGCCCTGGAGTAAATCTCCATTGGGCGAAAAGTGAAAGCTTACCCTCGGGGAACATATCTGCGACATCGCTACGACTAGGTCAGCACGACGATAGGCAAACGTCTTCTTTCACGTACATAGCCCAGTTACCCTTGCCCGTCCCAATATCGAGGATGTGCTTAGGCTTATGTCCTATCGGCGATCGAAACAAAGGATTTTCTCTGTGCGAGTCCAATACAAGTCCCACCAAGTGACTGGACACTTTTAGCCATGAGATTGAGGCATCTGCAGATGCGGTCGTGCTTACCCGGCCTCGTAGGTTTCGAACATCTGATCGTCGGACGGGATACTGTTTCGGTTGGTTAATATTCAAACCGTTCATTCAAAGTTTGTATATCGGTTGCATACAGATATTCCTTGTTGCTGAGTGTCTGGTACCTGCAGAGTTGCTATGAGCTGTGGTCACACGACCGAGGGGGAAAACATTACCGTCGGCCATTTTGCATTAGACCGCGATAGATCGAGGAGCCGATCGAAGTTGTTTCCCTAGAAGTCATTCAGCGATCTTCATTGTCCTGATTGAGCCGGAAAACTTTACGACTGCCAATCATCGGGATAACAGGAATGTTGAGTGGAATATAAGTCCGGGTCCTACCGCGTGTGAGAAGTGAAGCGAGGAGCGGTCAGGGGAAACCAACGGGCGCAATCGATTCATCGACCATGGTGCATGGAAACCGAAGCCGTCTGTCTCTTGTTGTTGGAACTGAATCCGAAGATCAAGGAAAAGGCCACAGAGTAGTTTTAAAAACAATTGTGACCTCGGATGTGCCAGAGTAGAGTAGCATTTTTTTCCACCGTCGGTGCATGGCCATGACCTGGGCAGCAATGATGATTGGGCGTTGAAATGCGGCGGGTCGCCTGGCGGGATCCTCTCTGTCGCCCACGACTCAGAATCGTCTGTTGCTACGCTCAACGGGGAAGAGGGGGCTAAAGGCTGCCTGTAAGTCAAGTGGAGCGCGGCCCGGAAAACGTCCCGCTTTGCAAAGCACGCCTGAAAGGCTCCACTCGGGAGGATCGGCCCACGTTTGTGGGCATGAAATTGAGCAGGTATGCCCCGTAGCTGCTGATTTTTTCTCTCTTTCAACATGATATGAAGATGACTTTGAAATATGTTTCCTGGTTAAAAGGTTTTGATGGCCACATACGGGAACTGTGGCGCAAACAACCTGAGACACGGAAGAGTATTGTTCACTTCGGAGACGCACGCGGGGCTCGTTATGGAGGTGGGGTCAAAGTGGTCTCTCATGCAAATTGGCCGTTAACCTAGGTATGCTAGCATCATTAGCTTTCCAATGAGCAAGGCTATCTTTGAATATTTTCTCGAAATTTAAGTGGGGAGTGGGTTAGCATCATACGACGTATCTTTGGTAGGCGGACTTGGCGGGTCATTTAGGTGACTACCATCCCTATAGTAATGAAGCACTACTGTGTCACAATCCATATCGTAGCTTGTTGGTTTCATGTATGAAGCGCCAAACGGCCGACCCACATGTTTGCGGAGGATTACCCCAAGGTGCAACAGATCCAAAATGTGACAGGGACGGGATCAACATTTTCCATTCTCAGTAGTGATTATCATCCGTTCAAACGCTTGAACTGGCTAGTTTGTTTTTTTTGTCGCATTCAAATTTCCACGAGGAGTTAAGAGAGTTACAAAGCAAGTTTCAATCATCTGACTTTAGTCCGCCCGCCTCCATCATGTCTGGTGAGTGGCTGCGAGCATCTACACTTCCAACGCTCCCCCTCTCATCATCCATGGCTTCGTCCTGTTGTATATCATGCACTTTGACACCGTCAAAAATCCCAACATTCCAAATAACAAAGGCTGAAGGGATAATGACAGGTTCACGACCTCGGCGCCGGAGAGAGGGAAAGTGTCGATCGACTTGATTCCGTATGATATGACTTGGCCTTCACTTTCAACACCTCGAAGAACGACGCTTAGACGAATAATGTCACCACCGTCACGATTGATGGTACCAATTAGCCAGTAAAGGTAGTCATACATCAGATTGAACCCCACGAGCATCAAAATATAGACACATACACCCCGTCCGAATCCATCGTCTGTCCAGTCCAGGACAGGTGGAGACTCCATGCGCTCGTATTCTTTATTCACGATCATCGCATAGATGTATAGTGATAGGATGAGGGGAGAATTTACAAGAAGATTCCATAATTCAATCGGTATTGCTCAGGTCATGATGTTGACCGAAGCTGGCAATCGAGGATTTCCTGAATCTCCTTTGAAGTCGCGAGCCCAACCGGCCTGTCTTCAATTTACTATGAGCAGGCTCAGCCGGCTTTATTTAATATTGTCTGAATCATGACAAAATGAGCTTTCCTTTGATCATACCACGGTACTGGGGTTAGGATTTTGTGAAGGTTGGGCTTGCATGACGATCCGTGTCTACACCGACTTCATTTGCCCAGAATTAAAGTGGATATGCGGGGTTCGGAGCCAAGGTGGGAAGCTGTATGACATACAAAACTACGATAATTTAATCTGTGACAGCGCATGAGACTTTTGCTGCTGGAGCTGACAAAGTCTCCTCTTGATTCACTTCATCTCGCAAAGGACTTTCATCATGAGCAACCGCAGCGACGGCAACGTTCACGCGCTCGAACATCGCGAGGCCAAACCATCTCAAGGAGACCCCGCACGGCCTGTGTCGGAGCTCTTCCGTCTAGACAACCGGACCGTCATAAGTGAGAACCTGGTCACTTTTGCCGCGTTCTCCCGTTGATTCACGGTTCTAGTCACCGGTGCGACGGGATTCCTAGGAACAACGCTTGCAATCGCCATTTGCGAAAGCGGCGCCGATGTGGTTTGTCTCGATCTCGCCCAAACACCAACGGCTACAAACTGGGGTCAGTATCCTACTGCACGCTCCTCATCATCGGCATTCTAATCAAACACGTCCCGCCAGGTGAAGTCGAAGCCGCTGCAAAGAAATACGAGCGTCAGCTCTCGTATTACCCTCTCGATGTCACCGACGAAGATGCAGTCGCAGCAACGTTCGCAAAGTTCATTCCCACACTGAGATACCCTTTGAAGGGCCTTGTCACCTGCGCAGGTCTATCTCGCAACGGACCGTCGACCGAGTTCCCAGCCTCTTCCTTCCGCCGGGTCCTCGATATCAATGTCACTGGTACTTTCCTTATCGCACAGGCAACTGCCAGGGAGTTGAGCAAGGCAAACACAACCGGAAGCATGGTCTTTGTGGCCAGCATGAGTGGGTACGTCTCCAACAAGGGCGTAGATACTGCTGGATACAATGCCTCGAAGGCTGCCGTGCACCAATTGACACGCTCCTTGGCTGCTGAGTGGGGATCTCGAGTTGGGATGCCGCTCATACGAGTCAATTCTCTTTCTCCTGGTTATATCCGGACTGCGGCGACTGCGGAGGCACTGCAAAAGCCGGGTATGGAGAGCCAGTGGGTTGGCGATAACATGCTGTTCCGCCTGAGCACGGTCGACGAGTTCCGTGGCCCGGTACTGTTGATGCTGGGAGATGGTAGCAGCTTTATGACGGGCGCTGATTTGCGCGTGGACGGTGGACACTGCTCTTGGTAGTGGTATGTTCTAGAGCAGTGATCAACGGACTCGAAATGAAGGAACATTTTCGAGTTCTTTTTATTTTAATTGTTGCGGGTGACACCCATTAACCTTCATACTATAGACTTGATTGTTATTTTCTGAAATGGAATGGAACCGAGAATCCCCGTTGCGAATTGATTTTATCTGGTACAATAAATTGGGGAAGGTCGAGTCTGCCGAGGAATGGTGCAGTAAAATGTGGCTGCATTCCTTACGTATCTATTGGTCGGAAAATGTAACCGTATCATGGCTATGACAGTGGCTGATGTTTCCGTCCAATCGAATGGGACTGATAGGGCTGAACCATTTACTTCGTTTCTGAATGCGTATATAACTGACAGCCGTTTTGCAAACTGTAATTTGACCTGTCATATTCTCCAAATTCCCTGTCACACATTGCCCAAAACAAGTCCGAAGGTAGCTACAAGAAAAAAAAAAAGAAAAAAGAAAAAGAAAACCTGCAGAGCAGAGAAATGCAATAACAGGACGACAAGGGAATGAGAATTTTGAGATATTAAATTGGCATAGGACTACGGAAGATACCACAAAAAGCAGGCACCAGTTACTTCACATCTCCCGGGATGGGTTAATACGGTGTACCCAAGGGGGTGCACGGGTGCATTCTCCGACAAAGCTGAACTTTTGCATAAACCGACAGAGTCTCAACCTTATACAGCTACATGTCAGGACGAAATCGTTGGATTCCAGATATCTAGGAATAGGTCGGTATTCACATCGTTCGATTGGATTAGTCGGGGAAAGGGGCCGGGTGGGGGGTTTGTTCTAGACCCGTGGCAGACTATGTCTAATGCGGCCACTTTCTTCATCTCCGTCATAGGAACCGTACTTAGCTGTTGCCAGAAGCAGAACATTAGTGTAATTCAACGCTCATAGTTATAGCCCGTGTTTGGCTCAAGCTGGGAAAGAAACCCCTTGCAAGAATCACACACCCATACATTTAGAGCGCAACGTAGAAGTTGATTTAATCAGTATCACTTTTGGAGGCTCCGCGCTCGGTGCACTCGTCGTATTTTGATGACTTGGGGCGAGAAATTCGCCGGAAAAAGGTTATTTGTTCCTCTCATACTCAGTTCTCGTACTTTTGATGGTTGTGGTGACGGGCGCGTCGACACCCGAGTAACAGAAAACGATTTATTCGCCATCGCCCTCCCTCCCCATGCATTTCAGACGACCGCTAATCATCAAATAACGAACATCTTGTCTCTGAAGTTATAGCTTACGTCACGGAATTTTGGTATCCCAGGATCCCATGAAGGTCTTAAAACTGACCCATTCACATTCCTCAGCACCTTCTGAATTGACCATGACTTCGATTTCGCGTTAATTTCTTTTCCCATGACTTCCTCAGCCGATAGGTGTCTTTCGTCTTGTTCCGAACTATTGGCGACTCTTACACCGCGCTACACGGGCTGAATGCTCATTCAGCACTCCGCTGGGCTCTACGACCATGTCACCATACAGGGCCTTGGAGTCCCGGGAGCCTCATTATAGCTTTGAAATGTTACCCACCCATCCCGACCAGAAGAACTATGAGTCAAGTGATGGGGAAAGGAACAGCTTAGGACGCCCTTCATTGCAAAAGAGACAAAGCCTCCCCTCCATCAACTCGATTCTCCACCAAGAACTCACGCGCATGTTGCCCATACAACAAGCCACTCCCCCTCCACAAGACAATTCGACGCAGAGAATGCCCATTCCCTATTTCCATACCCCCGCACTTCGATTTCGGGGTACCCAATCAGCCAATACGGGGACTTGCTGGTCGCAATCGTAAGTTGACCGTGTTCAAATTTCGCTCTTGAATGCCTCTCCGCCCCTACTCGGGCCCTACTCAGATTATCAAATTGGACCTTGCTAACACTTGTTACAGTCCTCAATTTCAAATTCCAAACTGGCACGGACGACCAGATCATCCTCCGACGATAACGGAATCCAGCCCTGCAATTGACAGGCCAGACAGTCCCCAGGTTGAGATGCTCAAGTGTGGATACATCAATCCCTTGAACGGCGAGCCTTGTACCTCTGTTTTCTCCCGCCATGACTGTGTGCTTCGTCACAAACGAACTGTTCACAGCTCAAGGAGGACACTATGGGAGTGTAAGCTTTGCAATCACTATCGAAACTTTACACGACATGATTCTTTGGCAAGACACATGCGCCAGATACACGGAGTATTTAATTTTCCTGGGAAACAGCGTTCAAGTATTTAATTGATGATCGGGTTATCGAGATACACAATCGAGAAGATTTAATTTTCATCAGCATACGAAATGAAAAGTCCGCCTCGTTAGAGCACTTCGAACACAATAGGATTATCTAGTCAAAGCCCCTTTCCAATATATAAGTTGACATTTTTCTTGTTAACACCCGTGGATTCCATACGGACAGGCAAAGATCATCCGTTATCACTTTTCAAAGCCAGAAATACTTCCTGGTTATCAGAGTCCATTCAAAGTCACTACTCTAAGTGCATGAAAGTTGTTACGAGTAATTAGGTAAATTTCACTTTAAAAGTACATTAAAACAGTATTTCCTCCCAGCGGCGAGTGCATCTATCATTATGATTACTGCAATGCCATTCAATAGAATGATTGAGTGAAAGTATGCATCTACTACCACTCCCGTAGTCCTTTTACCCAACGCGGTTGAGGGTGCACTGCAGATTGAGACCAACGTCGACAAGGCCAAACTAAAAGTTTTTTTATAAGCATTCGTGCTACTGCATGGATTTGATTCAAAAAAACATACCTCGCTCACATACTTCTTCGAGCAGCAGTAAATGTTACCTGGAGAGCAGCTTTCGCCAGCAATGCCTTCGCCCACACTGCCCAAGGAGATCAATTTACCCACGCCATTGCCCGAGCAGACAACTGTTTGGTCTTCGCCGCAGATTTTGGCGCCGTCTTCGGAGAGGGAGCTAGCAATGGCAGTGGCGGCAAGAGCCAAAACAGCAATGAAGAACTTCATAATGGCCGGTGGACTTGGATTGTAGCGGGATGTGTGATGACTTTGAAATGTTTATTGAATTCTGATTTCGTTGAAAATCTTGTCAGCAAGGTGAGAATGGTAAAATCTGAACTTGGGAAGACCATACCTGACAGTGTTCAGAAGAGTTTGTGGGAAGGAACGGAAAGGTGATTTTCGCAGCGACGGAGCCTCTTAAATCTTTCGCCAGTCTGGGGTTGTTTTCAAGAAAGCAACATTTTTGATCTTTAACTTCGATCTAGCGAAACTTTCCGTCAGCCACATACCGGTCAGGAACAAGAATGTAACGGAAAATATCCCCGAGAGATCTGCACCTACGCAGGAAAGCCCCTCCCTGGTTGAGATTCGGCTGGGATCAACGGCATTTAACCTTAAAACAGCATCAGTAAGATGCGTTCAGAAGGTAACACCTCCAGGGATAGGAATCGCCCACAGGTCTACCATAAACTAAGTTTACTTTTTGATATTATTATAGCATATCAATCTTGAGATGCTGCCAGTCTATTGTATGTGGAAAATTGCAGGGACTGTGATGTAAACCTTGAAAGAGATAAGGTATTACCAAGCCATTCCAGCAAGCAAAATGCTACGTATATCCTCAATTATTTGTAAAGAGGTGGAAGGCACTGTGAGATTTTGTCTAATGAATTTGGGGCATTCTTGGTGCATATCAGGTAGATGATGCTCTACATTCAGGCTAGTTGGACGAGATGGAAGATCTTCGTATCCTTCCATTGTTTAAAGCCTGATCTTCCCAGGATAGCGCCTCCGAATATCCTTTTGTATTGCTTTAAATATAGTTCAAGAATGCGAGGTCTCAGTTACTTTGCTCCTTAGTAATGAGGTTCTTTGCCTGTAGTGCGCCACAAGTATTCAAGGACTAGCTCTTATTCATGATTTGTATCGTGACAGCAGTATATAGACCTGTTGATTCAACGCCGTTGAACAGAGAATGAAATAGGTGGATAGGGCGGAACATCGAGCTATTAGTCTCAGTTTTCTCAAGGATGATCAAATTCCAGGTCCCATAGCCGCCTTTCATGGCCCCATGCCATCCCTTAACTGCCAGGTAACGCCGCTGTACGATTACGCCCATGGAACTCGAGAAACCCTTCTAAAAGGATTCTTGCGCCCAAGCTCAAAAAATCAGTCCACCAGTAGTCCCATCGATTGTCATGTCAGATGTGTCAAAATGTGGAGAATCCTATCACGGAATATGGAATAGAATAAAAACACTGCATCCCTTTTCGGGGAAACGGTCGGGGTGCACTACCAAGAGATATCGGGGCGGATAATGCAGGGGTGGGTTCGCTGAGTAACAGAAAAATGCGCACCCTTTTCCTTGGCTCCTTACAGGTAGCATTCCAAGGGCTAGATTGAAGACGGCAATGAAATGAACATCCTAATTCCGTGCTATTAGGTCTTGGTGTTGTGACTTTACTCTGCCAGGCATTGCGAGCGAGGGATTAGTTTGTTCCGACATCCTTAGCTACAATTATATTTCTTTGGCGCACCAACAAGAAAGTATTATGTCAACCAACATTTATAGGGAATTGATACTCCCACCACCCCTAACCCATGAGACATGGTTGTTACCCGTCAAAATGACATATAGCGGAGATTCACCGTGTATGTAACCCAGCAGGATGGATGCTTGGATACTCTGGAATTAGAAGCACAAACTCAATTTCAACAGAAGAAATTGCAATTGTAGACGCATCTATTAATAGTGTTGCTAGCTGCTCAACATGCCAAGTAATTTATTAATTAGTTACTAGTTAGCTACTAGTAGAAGTATTAGTGACTAGGAAGATATATATTTATCTGTGCTGAGTTGCGCCGATGAAAGATATGCTCATCGGTTAGATCAAAAAGCTCTTCGTCTATCTCTCTTGGAGGGTCCTGCTCAATAGAAATAGGCGCAGTATCTATAAGATACTGCACCCGAGTAGAGAGATGCTGCCACCAGGTTGATACGTACTACTCCATGGTTGAAGAGGCAAATGGCAAGAGCCAAGCACAGGGTAAACAAAAGATAGGCGATTCAGGAATGTCAGCCCATAGATACCACATTTTTCAAAGTTACCATTATACTGCTTATATAAGCAAAAAGGGGGGACACCCTAAGTTACTGAGCACTGACCTACGCACCCCATTGAGGTCTCAGTAGGGCCCTACTGACCTGAGTTCTGCCAAAGAGAAAAGGGTACACCCTACTGACCTGAGTTCTGCTAAAGAAAAAAGGGTACACCCTACTGAGCACTGACCTACGCACCCCACTGAGGTCTCAGTAGGGCCTTACTTATCTGAGTTCTGGTAAATGGGGGTGGTGGGAGTATCAATTCCCCCTTTATATGCAAAAATCGTAACTCGGCTTCGGTTGTGCTTTTCTTTTCTTTGAATTGCAAAAGGTTGCGTGTAACCCCAAAGATACCGATTTCCGAACGCCGAAGGGGAAAAATAAAAGAAAAGAAATACCTCTGTCTATTCCTAGGATACTAATTGCATGTATTTCGATGGAAATAAAACCATTTCAGGTGCTAAATCTTTCTCCCGCGACCCAGTTGCGGTAAAGTCGCTTGTGTTGTTCCAAAGCTACCAAGGTTGCAATTGTTTGGGGCCCGAGGCGAACGAAACTAGGTGTCCAACCGCGAAATATCCACCGAATCCCCTCAGCACCGAATAGCCCTCGCACAATTGTTAAGACCGAGACCTTTTTAGAAGAACTCATTAACTGGGTTCTGATAACATCCATAGGGTTTGAGACTGTAGTTGCTATCAAACTAGCCAGCAATGAGGCAGAGAAATGAATCAAGGGCCTCTCTTCCGTCGTATCACCTATGCTCTGGAGAAGTCGCTTGAAAGCATCATAAGATGCCAGCTGGCTTGCTGTCATAATACCGGAGCGGAAGCAGTTAGGCCAAATGCCTTGAATGAAAGCTCTCCAACCCTCATGTCGCTTCATTTGATACCATGCATCAAATACATGTCGGTAGTTTCGACGGTGTTGCATCGGCAAGGACTTATCATTTTGCATACGAATGTTCGCAATGTCGGACGGTGTGCCAAATATCGCACCAATAAAGCCTGAAACAGCAGCCATCGTGCCCAGTGCCGGAACGGACAGAGACTTGTCGGGAGTGGTTGCGGACTTTTTCAGCTCTTCATAAATAGCAATACGAGCAGTCCCATATGTCACTGGAAATTGTTAATATTTTTGACTGGATTTTGGTCATTGGAAAACGAACATGATCTCATGAAACCGGCTGAAATGCCACGGTAGAGGCCCTTAATCCCTTCACTTTGAACAACGAGAATTCCGGTTCGTATTGACCCCTGCTTATCGCCATTCGGCACTGTTTGCATTCGAACTTTGACTGTTGCATCCGTTAGTTTTTTGTGTTATGCTACAGATTTCAGAATTTCTTACTGAGGTCGAATGGATGCGAAACAGCCACTGCCATACATGAGGCAGAGCCTCCGAACCATCTTGGGTACTTGAAGTCTGCAGGGCTCTTCTGCACCGGATCTATCTGGCAAACAGGCAATGGCAACAGCTTGCTTTCACTCATTTTGAGTTGTGCTCAAGTGGAAAACTGCGGTATGCATTACTACCCTTAAAAGTGAATGGCGGCTATCATCCATGTACCCGGGCATCTTGTTTCACAGTACAGACAAGAGACCTCGGTATAGCCTTTTAACCGAGACAGACCTTTCGAAAGATCCGAGTAACCATGAATGTGAGATCATCAAAGTCTTTCTTCTTGATTTACGACTTGTATGAAATTTATAAGCAGCTTTTACAAGAAAGTAAACATCACTTCTCCATAAACATCTCCCGTGCCTGTTGGTCTCCAGGCTGGGGGGTGCCAAGACGCCTTTATGTATTCGTGACCCACCTCCTGTGCCATTAGTTCCACCATTTAGCCGAGCAGCTATCCCTACGTTATGAACGTTGAATGAATCGGCTAAGCCCTCAGTACTAGTGTTCAGGGTCCTAACATTCCGGTTTTGATTCCTGGGTTTCTATGAAACGGGTAGTGGCAATAGTGACTTGGTTAGGTAACCAATTCGTGGCACCGCGACCGAATTAGGAAATGCTTAAGACTTGCCTTAAATGGATGAAACTCTAATCGCATGCGCGAAAATCCGGTGGCAATGCCAATCAATGCTTCGATTTTTCCACTTTAACGGCCGCCCCGGGGTAAACTCAGCCCCCCGGAGTTTCATAATGGAGAACCTAGGACCATGTAAGGAATCGGCCTTCGGTCGCATTAGGTTTCGTGCTCCGCACCTGCAGGCGCGGCTTCAAATTCATATCGAAATGCCTGCCTATTATGGAAGGCAAAGAGTATCTTGAATGCAATGTCAAGTGGCTGAGGCGAGACGGATTATCTTAGGTCATATGCTCTTGCAGTGCGTGTAAATTCGAATATATAATAGATAGCGACTCCCAGATGTCAACTCTAACGATCAATACTATTTCATATTTCCCAGTCACATTGACATCCATAATCTTTATCATGGGCTTGCTACGTGACGCTATTGGCTCGGCCCTTGGTGCCAACCAAGTGAACAATGGCTTGTCCGGACCGAGACTGCCTTTCGGCAACAAGAACAGCAACCGCAACGCCGCTTGGGTCTCACCTTCAGCCTACCGTCAATCACCGTCTCTTGACCAAGGATATGCTTCTTACACAGAATATGACGATGAGCGGAACTCATCACCAGATGAGAAGCAGGGGCGAATCAGAGGATCTCTAGGACCAGCGAGGCCCAGAGAACTTAGTTGCCAGTCTTTTACACAAGACAATTGCGCCGTTGGATATCAGACGTCAGTGGTCGGGCCGCCTCCTGACCAAATGCAACAGTGGTATAACGATGATCGAGCCCAGTATTCAGATCTGCCTCCTCGCTACGAAACTGCGGCATATGATACCGGGAATGAATATCAAGGGCAGTCCTACGATATGAGCCGAGCTGGAGACATGGGACTTCGAAGAGATGCCAATTTCCGTCCACTAGCTCTGCCTCAGATCGCCTACGGACATGAACAACCCTTTCTTCGAGGATACACTATGGAACTCAGCCAATACGGCATTTCTGAACACGAGTTCATAGGACTACTGGACGCCATTAATGTTGCCATAATCCCTAATCCGGAGCATCAAATTTTCCAAAAGGGAGCGAATATGGCTGGATTTTTCTTGTGAGTCTCGCTTGCCGCATAACACCTATCCTACTTTTACTGATGCATTGTTCTACAGACCCGGCGCCGCTGGTATTGGTCTCATGGTCGGGCAGATTGGCGTCGGACTTGGCTCAGCGGTCAGCCACGCATCTGCTGTCAATCAGATTCTCTCAAGTGCAAATCTACAGCTCTTCCTACCAAAAGGTCTCGAGATATGGTAAGCTTCAGACCTATATCGTTCTCTGCCTCGGCTAGTGCCCTAACGTCCTTAGTATTGGGAAAACGGAAGACGTCAACGCCGAGGTCGGCCTAGCCTCCCAAGGCTCTAGACGACCAAACTTCTACGGTATATCACCAGAAGAAAGACAAGCATATTTCGGCGACCTCATTGCTCCTCTTTCCCGAGTACTGCCACCGTTTCAGCAGAACGGTCGCAATGATCCAATCGCCCAGCTTGGTCGAGGTCTGGCCAGTCGAACCAATCGACAAAAAATAAAAAAGGCGAATAAAGATATGGCGAAAGGCAAGACCACAAACATTGACTCTCTAGAAGGAGGACTTAAATGGGTACGTCGCATGGAATTGAATATCATCCCAATATTATGGGCTGTCGCTAATAAACATGGCAGCTTATGGTTAGACGAGCCTCTGCAGATGCGCTGGAATACTGGAGGAAATCTGCGGCCAACAACGCTGCTCAGGAACAGGCATACGCTAGACCGGCCCCTCAAAATAGATACAGCAGATAGCAGGCTATGTCCACCGTTCTGATTCTTTTTTTTTTTCTTTTTCCTTTTGCAAATTTTGGGTTCACAGCTGGGATACTTTGGAATTCAGAAGGTAAAGGAGCCGGGCATTGAGATTGAAATAGGATGGCAGTTTGATCAAATAATCTCAAAACTACCCCTTTCTATCTCATGGATATGGTTTTGTTTGAATATCACCTGGTCTGCTGTCATAACATGCAATACAAACTATATGATGCACCAATAACCCAGGTCACATTCTGTTTGGTGTCAGTTTGGTAATTACACCTGAACACTAGGTTAACTAGGCTAGAAAGCTTGGGGTGAGCCAATTTTTATGACTGAAATTTGTATTCATAAAACTCCGGGACTATGGCTGTCCGATGAGGTACAGGTAAATTCCGACGGTAATATTCGCCTTTCAGTGCCAATAACAGCTTCCCAGTGATGTCGACAAATTATCTCGGTCTGCGTTGTTTCCAACCATAAAATGATCCTAGTGCGGGTGAGGGCGTCTCCACAATCAGATAGTTGTAGAACAGCAGAGACATCACATGCTTTTTCCATAAACCACTGGTAATGACCTGTGCCAGTAGACGCCACCATTCCAATCGTAAGAAGCCAGACGTCAAGTGAATTATAAACACGAGGCGCCGCGTCTAGGCATTTGAGATTCTCCCTAAGGTGGGTGACGATGGTGTTCAAGATTATGGCATGTGAGTAATAAGTCGGTCCCTGGATGACAAACATGTAAAGTATAATTGCATAACGAATGCACTCTGAGATCGGTGGCGGTGCAGGGGCTGCTTTGTCTGAAACTTTGGGTAAAAGTCGATGTATGACGAAGGATGTGAGGTCGTGGAGTTGTGTAGTGGTTAATTGCGTATTTTGGGTCTGTTGGAAGACATTCCGAAGGCGGATAAAAACATTGCTCACTTCATAGTCGACATCAATGATTGTGAGCTCTTGCAACTCATTATCAATGGTTGGATTTAACTGCCATTCTGGAATCGGAGGTATCCCATCCCCAATGCCGGAATCGTTTTGTGTGTTAAATTGAGGATGGCCCATGATAAGCATCGATACCCTAGACATGTGAGCACTATATCCTCTGGGCGATCAAGGAGCGACTGACCAGCTGACCATCCTCGCAGTCAAGGGGCTAGTTTGCCGCACTGAGTTGATACCACCTCGCATGTCCACCAGTCTTTTCACTCCGTCGATATGCATTTCGGCAATCTCATTATTACCCTTTCCGTACTAAGGATTTCGAAATTTGGATGATTAGCTTAGGCGTAAAAGGACGGCAAGCTCAAGAGAGTATCTTACTTCAATCGTGGCTAGGGTGATGACGGAGTTCATAGTTCCATCCTGAGCAGCCAGTGACGTGTTCCCAATTTTACGTCGGAGTAAAGCCACTGAGTCAGCCATGAGGATTTCAGAGCTTTGGAAGCCCTTCTGGGCAAGCAGTTCCTCATCAAGACACGCTGTCTGTAACGAGACGTGAAAGAGTGCAGGGTCTCCCAAAGCAAGTGGCCACCAAGAGACGATAAACGGGTTCGAGGTCGCGTTCAAGTCGAGAGGATAATATTGAAAAGCAATCTTGTGGAGAACTGAAATGGTAAGTCAATGTTCACTGCCCGTCGATTAAGACCTGCATACAACTATGAATAAGACGTTGCACATGTTCCCGAGGAAGCCTCGTCTGGGGATACGAATCGAAAGGGTCTAAAGACTCAAATCTGTAATTGGTTAAACTGTTGGATCCATCCAGCGATCTTGTGGGCTCGTTGGCATAAATGCATTGAAATTTGCGCCTAGTGCAGCGAGCACATCGTGGCGTATTGAGATCACAGCTCTGTTTTGATTTGGAGCATGCAGTACAGGAGCGACGAAGGGTTTGGCGCATTTTGGGACGACTGGAAACAAGCAAAGGAGACTTAGATACCGCAAGTTAGTGGAGACTGACCCGAATAATCCGAGGGCGGTGAATGGCGGAGCGTGCAGTGTGCTAGGCACAATGAAGACTAGGCCCAAGTAGGCCTAGACGCCGCGGTCTGAGGCTCCGCTAGTCCCAGTTAGGTGATCTGTATGGCATCACGTAACGTAGATAGGAGAGAATCTGTGCGATCAACATCGTACTTAAGTACGCGTTTCTTCCAAGGATTGACAAATGCAGTTTTCAAGTTTTCTTTTTCACCTAACACTCCAACATGTCTACTGGGGTCAATATCTCTACCTCTTGGCCTGAGCCACCCCAAACGTGGCCTGTTGGCACTTTTCAATTGCAAACCACTCTTCCAACTTTTCTTGTAGACTGGTCTGCCTGGCAGTATATCGTGGCGTTTCTGGCTGGTCTTATTGTCTATGATCAAGGTAATTTGAGCGTTGAGTGTGTAGGATAAATTACCTAACTCCATTTCTGTCTAGTCATCTACCTCAAACGAAAGGGTTCCATCGTTGGTCCCTCATTCAAAATCCCGCTTACCGGTCCATTTTTCCAAGCAATTAATCCAAAATTTGAATCTTACCTTGCACAATGGGCGAGTGGGCCTCTCAGTTGTGTATCCATTTTCCACAAGTATGCACCCTCATCCAATTCGGAAAGAATACAAGCTAATCCCTCATTGCCCATCAGGTTCGTCGTTCTCATCTCCGATCGAGATTTAGCGCATAAAGTTTTCAAATCTCCGACTTACGCGGAGCCATGCATAGTTCCGATCGCCAAAAACATTCTAGGCCAAAAGGCTTGGGTGTTCCTCCAGGGAAAAGCCCATACCGAGTACAGGAGAGGGCTCACGCCTCTCTTCACCAATCGAGCTCTGTCCTCTTACCTCCCTGGTCAAGAAAAAGTGTTCACTCGCTATTTTGACAAGTTTGTTGCGGCCAGCGAAGCAAATCAGGGACGGCCCATGGAGTTTATGACAATGTTCCGCGAAATCAACTGCGCAATTTCCTGCCGTACCTTCTTTGGAGACTACATATCTCAGGATGCCGTCAAGAAGATCACCGATAACTTTTATGTGGCTACCGCAGCCCTCGAACTGGTCAACATCCCCCTTTCGATTTACATTCCGTACACCAAGCCCTGGCTGGGGCAGAGAGCAGCCGATGCGGTGCATATCGAATTCGCGAAATGTGCGGCGGCGTGCAAGGACAGAATGGCCCTGCACTCGACACCCACATGCATCGTCGACCATTGGGTCCTCAACATGATGGAGTCTAATCGATATCACGAAAGGGTCGCCAAGGGAGAAAAAGACGTGGAGAAACCGACAAATTTGATCAGAGAATTCTCAAACGAAGAGATCGGAGAAACACTTTTTACGTTTTTGTTTGCATCCCAGGATGCATCCAGCAGTGCTACCACCTGGCTATTCCAAGTCATTGCCCAGCGACCCGATGTTCTCAGTCAATTGCGAGAAGAGAACTTGGCGGCGCGCGGAGGTGACAGGAACAAATCATGCGATCTGCCCATGCTTGAGTCGCTCACCTACACCAACGCGGTCATCAAAGAGATCCTTCGCCACAGACCACCAGTCATCTTTGTGCCTTACCTTGCAACAAAGGACTTCCCGGTCACGCCCAATTACACCGTTTCCAAGGGGTCTATGATCATTCCGTCCTGCTATCCAGCTCTACACGATCCGGATGCCTACTCCAATCCCGATGTCTTTGATCCAGATAGGTGGATCTCCGGAGACGCTGAATCCAAAACCAAAAATTGGCTTGTTTTTGGTGCAGGGGCTCATGACTGCCTCGCAAGGAGGTACGTACCACTATCGATGGCTGCTATGATAGGCAAAGCGGCACTGGAGCTTGACTGGGAGCATCATGCTACGGAGAAGTCGGAGGAAATTAGAGTCTTTGCGACGCTTTTTCCAATGGTATGTAGTTGCTATTCATTTACCTCGTATTCCCGTTTCGTGACTTGCGCTAACATTCATTAGGATGGATGCCAATTGGTTTTCAAGAAACGATCGTAAAGGTGCACTGGCATTTACTAAAGCCTATGCACGGCATATGGTTAAAATCAGAGAGAATTCAATAAATAGGATCCTGGCATCTGTCTATCGGTCTCCTAAGCAATTTTTACTTCTTCATTCCCTTGGCCTAGGCTTTTGCAGACACCTCCATGAGTCCAGTTAATTGGCCAAACTCACCACCCGGCATTCCATTAAGACTGAGTAGGTCTCGCCGTCGATCAGCTTCCCCATTATCCTGGCCCGGGAAACAGCGTTTAAATATTACACCCGCCTCGATTGTACGATAATTTAATTAGATCTGGGGATCTACTGGTCAGCAGTAGGGCCCTGGTGAACAACTCATCAATTAATATTCTAATCTCAGCTACATAACACCTGCTTTGTCTGCTGAACACATGTAAGATCAAGTACAACCCGTCTCCACCACGGGGTCTTATGTTTCCCGACAACACCGCCGGATTGGTGGCTCCTACAGGTAGCTGCAACTTCGGATTCCGAATAAACTTGAAACACGAATGATTTATTTCGGAAGCGGGGCTCGCGGTAGCCACGATCACAGTGCATGAGCAATGCTATGCAGGGGCAAGATTGTGGGCCTGAATTGGAAGCGACAAATGAGATAACTTCCGTGCCCGCCTGTTTACACCCTCACGGAAACGAAGTTCTCACTATAACCTTGGAGCGAATTAATGTTATACAAATGACCGAGGTAGGACCCATCCCACCATTCACTTACCTGATTAACAGGCACTTCCCTGATCGGCGTGGATCAGTGGTCATCCAACGATCATGTTTTCGCGAGCACATAAGGCTTTAGTCGCGCTTTTCTTTTTCCATGCGCCGTTTGGTCAGTGCAGAGTGAACACCATCATCCGCGATGTTGCTATCATTGGAGGCGGCGCTTCAGGAACCTTTTCAGCAGTCAGACTGCGCGATGAAGGCAAATCAGTCGTTCTGATCGAGAAAGAAAATATCCTAGGCGGTCATGTCAACACCTATCAGGATCCGGTGACGGGGACAACAGTGGATTACGGCGTTGAAATATTTCACGATATGCAAATTGTCAAGGACTACTTCAATCGATTGAATGTTTCCTGGGCCATTGAGGTTCTAGGTCCCCGTTCGTCTGCTCCAGACTACTTGGATGGAAACACCGGCCAGACAGTCAAGTACAAGGCACCAAATCCCGTTGCCGGGCTGATCGCGTATGCGGAACAACTGTCCAAGTATCTAAACATTGGGTTGGGATTTTTCCTTCCCGACCCCGTTCCAGATGATTTTTTACTGCCATTCGGCCAGTTTCTTGCCAAATACCCCGATATTGGAAATGCAACCTACACGATCTTTTCATATGGTCAAGGTCTAGGTAATTTTCTCGATCAGCCCACGCTGTACGTATTCAAGAATTTCGGACTGGACATTATCCAAGGTATCTCAAGTGGATTCCTGGTGACGACGAGCTCAGATAACTACGAAATCTATGATCACGCCACGAAGCTCCTCGGGTCCGATGTACTTTTGAGCAGTCGAGTGGTATCCACGCAATACAGGGGTGATCATGGAGTCGAGCTCGATATTGAAACCCCGACTGGCACCCAAGTCGTGATAGCGAAAAAGCTATTGATTGCCATTCCGCAAAAACTCAACAATATGAACCGATTCGCTCTCGACACGCGCGAGGCGAATGTTTTTCGCGAGTTTGGGAACTCCGGATACTACACCAGCTTGGTCAGGAATACCGGCTTGCCAGCGAACTTCACCTCATATTCTGTGAGCCCTGATACGCCATACAACATTCCCAGGCTTCCCGGTGTCTATGATGTTGTTCCAACGGCAATCCATGGTGTCTTCGACGTCAAATACGGTAGCCCGCACAGTGTACCGGATGGTTTTGTTCGAAAGCAAATTCTCTCATATATCAAGAAGTTACAGGCAAATGGGTTCGCTGAGAATGTATCGGGTGATCCAGAGTTTGTGGCGTTCAAAAGTCATACTCCATTCGAGTTGACGGTGTCTCGGGATAAAATTGCGAACGGGTTCTATAAAGATTTCTACTCACTGCAGGGTCATAGAAACACATGGTACACTGGGGCTGCTCTCCATACGCAAGATTCATCATTGATTTGGAATTTCACTGAATCGTACGTGTTGCCAGAATTGTTGAAATAGATATCAGGTCTGTCCTCGAAGGGTTACATCTGGAAGTCGGGCAAACAGTTGCAATGTGATTACAAGGCGACACCCCCTTTAAATAAGAATCCACATTCAATTCCCAAATATTTTCCCATATTTTAGTTTTTTCTACGCCTGTTTAACCCCAAAATGTACGGAAATGGACGACTTCCCATGGAACTAGATATCACGTGGTCTGATGTCATACACATCCACGGCCAAGAAGCCCAAGAAAATGCCCAGACACTGACGCTGAAGAAAGAATTTTTTCAGCAGGCGATTCGATTAATTCTTCAAAGCTCAACCACAATCGAATCAATTCTTACCGAAGCCTTGTGATGGCAGGAGGCTTCCTTGCATACCACGAGCCTGGTAGTAAGTACTTGCCACTAGTGGAACTGACGCACGGACTGACTGTGACTTGCAGTTGTCGAGATTTTGATTATCATCTCATTTTTCTTTTTCCTATCGTTTGCAGAGTGGTGTTCAGCGAAAGTGATTCGCGCGGGCATTATTGGCCAAATTGCCGTCGGCATTATATATGGGAAACCATTAGCAGATATTCTTGAAGGGCCGTGGCAACAGACGTTCCTCGCGATTGGATATGTCGGATTGATTTTGATCATTTTTGAAGGTATTGTATCTTTTTGTTGGGCCCGTGAAGATGCGCTAACACTGAATATAGGTGGACTTCAAATACGGCTTGATCTTTTGAAGCAAAACTTCCTCTTCAGTGTGTTGGGAGCTGCGACGGGAGTCCTATTCCCAATCGGCCTTTCGTACTTGGTACTTTATTTGGGGTATGGATATGGTATGTACAGTTAGTTCTATGCTGTCACTTACCGGCCTAACATCACCTAGGCGCTGTCGAGACATTCATTATCGGATCTGCACTATCTGCGACTTCGTTAGGCACAACCTTCTCGGTTATATCCTCCGCTTCAAAGGAGGTAGACCTTTCCCAGACTCGAGTTGGCTCAATTCTTGTGAGCGCGGCTGTGATTGACGATGTGGTTGGTCTTGTATTAGCCAGGTAAGGACTCATATGCTGAATGCCGTTGTATTTGGGACTTACATGACACTACTAGCGTCATCGGTGATCTGGGAGAGTTGTCTGGCCCCGGTGCAGGCCATGTCAACCTTGGCTGGATTATCGGTCGTCCCATAGTGGCATCAGCAGCTATGGCGATCCTTACGCCCATCCTTACAAAGTGGGTCTTTGCGCCCGTCTTTCGTCGGTGGTTCGAGCATTCATTTGCCAAATACGATCACGTCTCCAATATCATCCTGATGGTCTTGGTTCTGTCGGCATTTATCAGTATTGCGGCATATGCCGGTACTTCTGTGTTGTTCGGTGCTTTTCTCGCGGGCGCATTCCTCACATACTTGCCCACCAAGCACCCAGATGGTCCTTTCGTTGTCATGAGCCGGGAAGAAGGCGAGCAAGACCCTGACAGGAGCCCTACATTCGTTCATACCTTTGAACTCTATTTATTGGATACCCAGAAGTATCTGATGGAGCCGTTGTTCTTTGCGAGCATTGGGTTTGCGATTCCTTTTGTGGGACTGTGGACTGGGAAACGAATTTGGAGAGGAATCCTATTCTCGCTTGTCATGGCAGTTGCCAAGGTAAGTCGTGTTCGCTTCCGATACCCACCGAAGGGAAGCTAATACACCACGCAGTTTGTTGTTGGAGTCTGGATTCCCATATTCGAGTTCACCGGTTCCCGAAAGTCCCCTACCCCCGGCGAGAGTTCGCCGGCGATGAGCAACCATGGAAAGAGAAACAGCACCGACGAGACAAGCGACTCTTCAAGAGCGGTAGAAAAGAAAAGTGGCTACGGCTCGGCGTCACTTGCGGGGCTCCTTCTTGGCTCGGCGATGGTAGCGCGAGGAGAAATCGGACTTTTGATTGTAGAGATCGGATATAACGAGACACCCTATGTGAGTGAGGAGGGCTTTATCACTGCGGTGTGGGCCATTCTTCTCAACACCATTGTTGGCCCTGTCACTGTGGGCAATATCGTCAAATTCTACGGCAAGCGCATTGGAGAGAGTGCATGGGGACTTCAGGGCCAGGCGGCCCCCGCCCGAGAAGCAACGGTGGACACAGTAGACAATCACAGAGTTTAGAAGAATAGAAGAATCTAATGACTTTTGATTTGTAGATACGCGCAGCAGAGCCACCGTTCTTCTCAGTTTGCTTTCGAAATGCCTACTACGATTGACCCTGCCATTTATATTTCGATAGTTTCATCTCGTAAGGCCTTAAATTCGTTTGCTCTGTGTATATAACGGACATTCAAGTGCATTTCGATCACCACCATCTTTGATAAGGTACAAATGACGGTCATGTCCTTTCGATCAACGTCTCAAGTACATTGACAAGATCGGAAGCCAGAAACAGATCATCATAAGCAAAGCCGAGTGATCATGGAACCCAGGCGCTCCCGAACTCTCGAAAGATCTCTTATGATTCACCTTAGCATACTTATCCTGTCCGTATGTCGCATTGAGCGTGACCGGGGCCGAAATCGTGCCATCTTCCAGCCGAATCCAGGTCTTGACTTCATCCTTCATCGTCTCTTGATCCAGGAGAATCTGACGTGCACCACGGGTTGCGTCTCCATAACCTCCGTATCCAGTGTGCCGACCGTAGCACATATTAATTCCATTACCCTTCAGGTCCTGGTCAACAGTATGACCGTCCCATTTGAAACACCTGTTGAGGTTAGCAATTGGACCGCAGCACTAACCCGACTCCTGGGAACGTACCAATCATTTTTATGATCGTGACCACTGAAAGTAGCCATCAGACCGGTGGTATTCAAAAGGGACTCCATGAACCGGCGATCTTGTCCCGAGTAGGCGGTGTCCATGGAGCCTTGCGACACCACTTTCTCACCGTTAATTCCGGGGGTGCGTCGAGAATCGAACCCATCTTGTTGGTATTTAAGCATGGCGTGAGCGGGGATATGGAAGAATGCGAGCGACGGAATGGTGTGGCTGTACTCAGCGGACAAGTGCTTCTTTGCTTCCGTGAACCAATCGACAACCTTGCTTGAGTCAGTGAGGGATCGATAAAACATTATGGGAATATTCATACGGATTTATCAATCCAGTCGCCTCTAGGCCCAGGGCTGACGCCTTTATCGCGATTTGTGGCATAACTTCCCCCCCTTGAATCGAAAAACCACAAGATGAGTGCCGGGGTGCTGCTCTCCGGAGCCTTGTGGGAATAGACGGGCAGATAGTAATTTGTAATTCCAGCCTTGGGCGCGAAAACTTTTCTCTGAGTAAGGCTGTTGGGATATTTCTTCTCTTGATCATAAACATCCAGTCGGGGAGAAAGATTCGTGTTCGAGTCGTGGTTTCCGTACGTCGAAGCCCACAATTTACCCTTATCGACCAAAGGGGACACGACCTCGTGGACATATTCACTAGAGTTGGAAGCTTTTGTGAATTCACCAGAGACCAAGTCCCCGTTTATTACAACGAGCTCTGAAGGTTCCTTCTCGAGGATATAATTCATAACACCTTTGGACTTGACATCCTTCGAGGCATCTGAATGTGGTCAGCATACTCGGGACGGTGCAGTCCGGGCTGGAGACGGAAATTACCCTCGGCGAAATGCAAATCCTCAAAGACAGAGATCTGGAAAGTACCGTCCTCGGAGAACCTGAGGGTTCGATCGTTCACCTCCGCATGGCGATCCGGTGCCATGACGTACTGGTTTGGAGTTGAGCCCGACATGACGGACGGCGATACTCGGTTTTATGACTTGAGAAGGGCCGCGGAAACCACTTTGAAAACTGGCCTGCAGCAAGTCTCGTGCGTCATGGAAGGAATCTAGGGACATTCCAAAGCTAGGGGACTGGTCGGGTCTTTAAGTGGGCCCGAACCGGAAATGAACTGCCCGGGTCCGCCAAGCTCGTCGATCCATCCTCGTTTCTTAAAGTCTCCGCTGTCCCGGACCAGTGATTCTCGTTTCTTTCCGGTGTATAGCGATCGCTGGCTATCTCTCACTCGTTCTCCCTCATCTCTTCTTTCGCTCATTCTCCGGGCTCATTCAATCTCATCCGATGCTCATTCCGATGCTCATTCCGATGTCCAAGATGATCGGCTAAATTACCCCGCACTTTTAACTGAGACAAACCACACCCCTTTTCTATAAAAGGTTTCAAGGGACACTGCACTGTTTGACTCTATTCGGCTCCCCGAGTGCTTGTCTGAGGTACGAATGGGTGGCGGGAGGCTCTGTGCTCCAGGGCTGATATCACGTATTGACTGGGGTCTGCAGTCGTACCCTAGGAAAGTTATCTAGTAGTTGCTTCGAAGCTTCTGGCATCACATTTACACCATCTTAAGTTCGTCTGTCTTCCCCTTCTGGGATGGACCGTAATTATGCGTGAAATTTAGGTCCTCTTCCAGTTGTTAGTTGACCGGGGACCTATTCACTCTCAGCCAAGTAGGCTATTTCCAAAACATGTGATGTAGATTCTCCACCATGTCATTCAACAGAACCCATGTTCAAATGTGAAGCTATTCTTGCAGAGCGTCCGTCGGGTAAGACAGAGCATCGAGTCAATCACCGCAACACGATCGATGGAAACCTGGAAATACGAATCAGGATTCAACCGCAATTTTGAAAATACAGATCGCGGCAAGTTGAAATCCAATCTATCTACTTCTCAGAGAGACTCCTTCCCTACCGTAAATGATGAAAGTATTGTCCCAGCCACACAGGCTTGAATGGAAAGGAAGGCTGGGCACTGTCGGCCTCGGGTCGGCTGTTATAGTCCGAGCACCTCGCCCTCACTTCCGACAAGCAAGCTGTCGCTCGCGCTGAGCAGCTCAGTGTCTCGGCTTCTCGGAGCTACTTAAGAACCATGACAAGCGGCTGAACTAATCTTAAGGTCCCCGTAGCTCGTGAGTTTTCACCCCTTGGTGACAAGAAACAAAGCCACAAATCCGTCCACCAATCCGACGCCTCGCATTCTTCCTAAACAACTGTGGGGCGGGGGTTGTGGAATTTCGAACCTTCTCCCCGAACGCCGTGGCTGTTCAATCCTACCCGAGGTACATCCAGCACGAGGTGAACCCCCATGGAGGCTGGGTCAAGGGGTACTTGGTTAGATCAAGATCACGTAGATGTAAGTCATGCAGATGTAAGTCACGCAGAGTGGATTTGCTCTGCAGCCAGCAGCCATGAAGTGGAGCGTGGAAGATGCTGGAGAAGCGCAAGGTTGGAGTTCCGTGCAGCAAAGTCCCTTTTCGTGAACACAGTTACTCTGCATTGACTTGAATGGTAGCACCAAAGTTTGCCCCTTGGAATTTGATTGGGCCTGTCTTAGATATGAGGTCTGTGTGGTCTACCAGCCCTGAGCTCGTGTGGAATGTGCCCCTTGCAGCGATTTTCGGGGATCGGCGCGTAGGGTCCACACCTGACTTAGGCGGACCTCAGATACACCGCCATGCATGATGCGATAGGGTAGATACTGAATCAGGTGTTGGACTGTCAGAAACAGTGGAACCATGTTTCTGAATGATTCGGAAGGTTTGTTCATGGGGATTGCGGCTTGGGTCTTCTGGATAAAATCGGCTGCCCATGTTCAGATTTTAGATTGAACGATGCTGAGCATCTTGGTTTTGATTGGTTAATTTATTAAAGGATACAAAAAACATCAAAATAGAACAAATTTGATATTGACGAAAGTTCCACTCATCTAGATTATTCTGAATAGTCCTGCTACACCTACGACACAGCCAAGACTCAGCCCAAAAAGTTGGCCGCAATCGACGTCACAATCAAAGAACCAAATGCATTATGACCTCAAGTCACAAAAAATGACTTAGACCTCTGCCAGCTGCGGGATTTCCAGCCCACGCAAGGAGCCATGATAGCTTTTCCCTGCCCTCCTAGTAGATGGATCAGTACCATGCCGGCACTGAGAGTAACTAAGAGCTCTGTGGAGCTAGCATAGGTCTCCCGTATAAATAACAGGACACTTTTCCCGCAAACTCTCTTCTTCATCAGCATAAATACAAGCATCAGCATCGAGAAAGCATCAATACTCTTCTTTCTAATTCACACTACGGTCATCATGCAATTCTTTCTGAAGAACGTCGCCCTTTTCTCGCTCTTTGCGATTATGGTCTCCGCGACCTCCAAGTTCGCCGACTCTTGCCGCGAAATTGAGGGCTATGGCTCCGAGCTCCAGGCCGAGTGCCAGGAGTACGAGAACGGCCAGCTCCGACCCACCACCATCAATCTGAACCGATGCCTGAAGAACCACAAGGGTTCCCTCCGGTGCGGATCAAAGTAAGCATGCTATCTACCTTCAAGCAGTCCCCATATCTAACAGCAAGGCAGCGGCAACTATGAATCCTCCTGCATCAACTGTGTCCTGAGAGGTACCACCGACTATGAGTGCCAGTGCCGCAACGTTGACGAGGGGCACCAATACGTTTCCACTCAAATTGACCTGAGTAAGTTGGTCGGACCTGCGAATCGGGACAAAGCTAATATGTCGTTTCTTCTCAGACAAGTGCATCAGCAACAACCACGGCGAGCTTCGCTGCTAAATCAAGCACTTGACCTTGAGACCGACTCGACGACATGGACGAGGCAGTAAAAGATAAGGGAAGAGAAGCTGGCTTAAGCGGAGGAATATATGAGAATATGATTTTTTATGCGATCACGCTCGTTATCCATGATGGATGGAATATAACCTGGCAGCAAGAGTTTATGATTGATTAGTATTAGTCTATGTTCGAATGAATCCCAGCAAAATTACTACAACTCTATTCTATCCAATCAACAGCCACAAGATCCAAGTTTACAAACCACCGACGCTTATTCATTTTCAGGCCCATTTTAAATCCATGACTTAAAATGGCCCAGCTCAATCTAAGGTTATGAAGATCATCCAAGCTGACCGCAGAGCGGGGGTCATGCAGGATATGCAACACAGTTGTACACACGCACCATTTGATTAATCTCGCCCCTTTCCTTAACTTCAAACCGTTCACTCACCACAATCCAAGACGAAATGACCTACAAGAACGAGAGCTCGATTGAGATCGCAACATCGCCTGCCAAGGTGCGGGAAGTTGTACGTCGTCGATCATCCGAGTCAAGAAGAAAGCAAGAAGGCTGACAACATGCCCCTAGCTGCTCAACTTCTCGGCATACCCAGAACGGCATACCCAGAATGGCACACCGATTTCATCAAGGGCGTTGAGGTCCAGGAGAAGGATAAGACCGCTCAGACACTTGCAGCAGGGGACAAGGTCGAAGTCAACATCGAAAATTTCAAGTTCATTGCCGAAATCAAGGTGGAAGACCTCAATTGCAGCTTTACAGACACGACGCTAATATACAACTATCCAGTCCAACACTGAAGAATTGTTCTCATGGCAGGGCCCACCCGTCTTCACCATTGCCAGTCTTCATGAATTCCGCATGGAGCCCACCAAGGATGGAGCGGCTACCATCTTCACACAGTCAGAGGAGCTCAACGGCCTGTTCGCCTGGCTCATGAGCCCGTCGCTTCTGGGCAAGAAGATGAAGGCCCATTTCGACGAGTTTCACCGGGACTTGAAAGCCCGTGCAGAAGCTACATAGATGTGGATGGCACTAGTTTGGATCGGCCCAGGGGGTACATGCAAGCCCGTTTTTATTCCCACGCACCCCGGCTCTTCAAGCCTCTCGGCATTTGTTTTGGAGATATCCATTCGGTACAGACTTTTTTGTTTTGTTTGTTTGAGAGCTTCGTAGATCGATACCTAGATCCCAGAAATACTATGTTGCTGCATTTAAAAGGCTGTTCGGCACCTGGGCTGGAACCTCATGAGGTTGGGAAATAAAACGATGAACAAAGCTTCTGTAACGGCCCCCAACTTGGCCCCACTCTTCGTCATGTTTGCTTGGTCAAGACTCTTCAGCCTATTCCCGGGTAGGATGAGGCAAGCGGCGATCGGTCGGGTACCATAATTGCCGGTGTGCAGGGATGCTGGGGCCAAAATGAAATATTGACTCAAGGGCAAGTCATCAGGCGTGGTTGGACAAAACGGAGAAAACAAAAGTGCGAAGACAATTAAAAGTCGCGCAAAATAAATCTTTGTAGTGAGAGAGTTAGGGTGGTTGGCGGGCAAGGGGTTAAAAATAAAATAGAAAAAAGAAGATGTAGTTGCAACACCAACAGCCAGCTTCCCTGTACGGGGCGGTGTATTCTAGCATCGCCATCCCAGGCTGGAGACTCGTCTGCGATATTACTATCCTGAACAGTAGTCTCCATGGCTTAGCGACCCCCAGCATCGTGGATTACTCGCACGAGTGAAGTGTCGAACCCAGGATTCGAACCAGGCACCAGTACCCGCTGGCTTGCGCCGAAGCAAGGTTGCCGTCTTAGCGGTGACTCTCCCACTAGGTTATCCATGACAGATTCTTATTATCACACCTCTTTCATAATATGATACCAACTCATCGAGATTATTTTTGGCAAGCGTCGTGAACCTCCCCCAAGTCTACCTTACCAGTGGGTGCTTCGAGGCTCATTTAGTGAATGGCCACAGGACTTTTTTTGGTGGTGCGACCTGTGCTAATTTCTTTCAATACGCGTATTGCACTTGTCATGCAGGGAACTTTCTTACTAGAATTTTCCTTGGAACTTGATATATATTATGGCCAAGAGCAATGCAGCCGACCGACTTATTCTGATCACTCATACTGCTCAATACATTATAAATAACAGGTTCCCTGAGCAATGGAATATCACCGAATGCCAAAAGTGAGCTTTCCTTTAACGCCCTAAGCAAGCAGTAGAGTGAGAAACAGCCCACGAGACAGACCACTTACGTCTCGTGTCCAGATTCTGCAGCAAGCAATAGTCCTGAGTCCCGTATAATCTCTCGCAAAGAAAATCAAAGAGTGCTACCCTTCTGTAAGATCATTCGCTAGCATAATTGGACTGCCAGGTTGCCAAAACTCTCCAGGTGGGTATTGCGAACAGTTGAAGTCCTAGTCTGCTTCCCACGTTTGTCCACATCTGTTGGAGATTCTACCCGGAATCCCCATTTAAGATATCCGCGACATCATGGAGGCCATCAGCCACAACGACGGGAATTTCCACCCCTGCGGCTTTTGTCGCGTAGTCTAGCATAGCGGTAAATCTAAACATAGCCATGACGATGCCAGCCAACACAGCAAGGGCAAGCAAGCAGACCCAGAAAAAACAGCATCCACGAGCTATTGACCGATGTTTTGCTGAATGAAGCTCCTCTGACTGTGTTGTAGGCTGCTCCTCTACCGAAACATTACTCAAAACTGCCGAAGGGGAAGGATTCCCTGGATCTGGTAGAGGCTGGTATAGAACGTTTGAAGGAGGAGATGTAGACCTATAAGAAGGAAGCCCTTTGGAGCAGTAGGGTGGGGGGATCTCGCTGATCGTTGAGACGCTCGAGAGGGAGAAGGAATCCGGCTCATCGACGGCCATTTTATCCTGGTGATTTGCTATAAATAGTGCACGTGAGATAAAGTTGACAAGAAGGGCTTGAGCCCAGGAAAATATATGGACAAGGGACATACCAGGTAATAAACGAAGAGATTGTAGAGTCTTTTGAACATAGGCAGACGAGAAGCTCCAGGCTGCCAGAAGAATGCTAGGACCTGATTATTAGCGGACGTAATTTTGAGCGCAGAATAAAAGAGGGATTGCGGGAGATGCTTGCCGATACCATTTGTGGACTCGGCCTTACGGAACTATTCCCAAAACGACGGCGGACAAAAATTATTATTTGGTAAGAGCAGCTCTATCATTCAGGTAAATTAGTGTAGTGTTCTCGCTATTGGGTGTCCGCATCGGTACCGAGATCCGCCTCAAGCTACTATGTCACCCCTTTTATCCTCGATTTTACTGATCAAAGACACCGGCGCAGGCCGATATTACAATACCTAGCGCAGCCAATATGGCACATACAAGCAAACTGAAGATACAGTAATGCGAACATGATCGACAACAACTCGGACAACTATCCTCACAACATACACTAACGGGGACGGGACACGGATAGGGTATAAGTGGTGAACCCCTGCCAGAGAGAGATATTGATCGTACTATGCTACTAGAATATGATTTGTAGCCCTAGAGCCACTAGGAAGTCAACCCTACCAGACACCCACTTCGAAACACCTCCCCAATGTATTTATTGAGCAAGTCTCCCTAGCAGTTACTTCAAGTACTGTCCTTTATAACCTACTTCATCACAGTGTGATATCTACTTTCGAGTTACTTGGGCTTCTTTCTTTCTGCCTTGATTCGGGATTTTCCTCATTTAGGCTTTTTTTCTGTATTGTTATGCAAATGCAAAGGCTTTGTTTCTAACCGCCCTGCAATAATATTTTCCTTACGTAAACCACCCTTCGACGTCTTTTCAGAAAACTTTTAAGTAGACCTTGCTTTTAGGACGCCTGCAACAGCCAGCTACTTGAAGGCCTATTCAGCCGACGATGGGTTACCGAGAACCAACCAATCCCAACATGGCGTTGCGGACCGTCTGGCGATCCCACTCCTTGCCGCGCTTGGGGGTATCTTTCGCCAGAATACAGAGAATGAGAAACAGCGATATTTAATCTAAAGGCATACTCTCACTTAGAGCGGGTTGGAGGAGATCGAGATACAGTGTACTCCATATAATATGGCATCGAAACTATTTGTGGCCCTCGTTCTCCGTGTTCCGCCTGTTCCGAGCAACGGGCTTCTTCGCCCAATATCGCACTTTACGACATGGCTCCGAGTTTAGGTTACAATACCGAAGAAAAGGAATGACAGGATACATTTGTGGAGTTAAAGAGCGTGTATAAGGGGAGAAATCCGGCGCAGAAGTTCGGCTTTTAGGCACCGGGGCCTTTTATCGCCGTCCAATCTCCGGCGCTACATCATGACTTCGTCTCCCTTGAGGAGGCTTAAGTACCTCACGATCCCGGAAGTTATAGAATCGCACGCTCCATTTCAATCATGGGTTTCTTCTATTCTCAATTTTTTGTTCGTCCCACCTACCCTACCCGCTCCTTTCAAGGGGAGACGGTGCTTGTCACCGGCGCCAATGTGGGTCTTGGCTTGGAAGCGGCTCGGCATATAGTACGCCTGGGTGCCTCCAGAGTGATTTTGGGGGTGCGTAACGTGGAGGCGGGCGAAGCGGCCAAGATGGAGATCGAGACGTCTACTGGACGGTCGGGAGTCTGTGAAGTGTGGAAGGTCGATCTAGCTTCATATACCTCCGTGCTGGCGTTTGGCGACCGCATCGCCCAGATCCCCCGACTCGATGCGGTGATTCTCAACGCCGCTTTGGCAACTAGGACCTTCGAGTTCGCCGAGGGCTACGAACGCACTATCACGGTCAACGTTATAAATACCCTGCTTCTCGCCCTCCTCATCCTCCCTTCTCTTAAAGCTACCCGCCAAAAGGTGCCTTCTGTGCACCCTTGTCTCACCTTTGTGGTGAGCGAAGTCCATGCATGGGCTGATACCACCGAGTTCGAATCAGGCCGCAGCGACCTACTAAAGGCCCTTTCTGACCCAATCAAGGCCAAAATGCGTGGACGATACCCAATGTCCAAACTACTCGAGGTTCTTCTGGTGCAGGAGCTTGCCGGTCGGGTGCGTGGCTCGGAAGTGATGATCGATATGGTCAACCCTGGACTCTGTCACTCTCAACTGGGCCGAGAGGCTGGGGTAGGATTTATGATCATGAAAATTGTTCTTGCTCGGTCTACTGAGGTAGGGTCCCGCACCCTAGTCCATGGTGTCTCTATGGGCCTCGAAGGACATGGCGTCTATATGACTGATGGTCAACTGGAGAACACGGCTTTGTCACCATTTGTACGCAGTAAGGAGGGTGGTGAAGTTCGGGAGAAGCTCTGGGACGAGCTGTCGATGATCTTGGAAGGCGTCCGGCCTGGGATCATGGAGAACGCTCAATAACTTAACTGTTCCTGTTACTGTACTATTATGTAATTTTACTCGATAACTTCACTCCGCATCTTGGGATAAAGGATAGGAGGGGCCCCTGTTGGCTTATTCGGAGAGCAAAGTTTGGATGGAAGCTAGGAAGGAATGAGACTCGCAACCAATAAGACAAGCGACCGAAATAATGAATCAATATTGGTTACCAACGTTAGCACTCCATAGCATAATTATAGCCTTCAATGGTATAACAGGCGGCATACATGAGGGAGGCGTATAGTGTACGGAGAGGAAGAAGAGAGAGCGACCTTGCCAGATAGCTAGATCTCTAGCTCTCCCTGACCCTTTGAGAATGGTGCCAAAAACATTTTATTGCGGTCTACGGTATTTTGGCAAACAGCAACTATGTACATTAAGGTGGTTACCTGACCGAGACCGAGGGACTGAGGCCGTGAATGAAGCTGAATTACCGACTTTCAGTAGGAAAAAATAGTCTCCCCATGTCAGATTGTCGGGAGGACGGCGACAGGAGGAATAATGAAAGTGCCGGAAGAAGTCTATACGACTCGGAGCAGGCCGAAAAGCATCCCCACACTTTGCCACTAGAGTTTGCGGAGGTGGATCTCAGGAACCGAGTCAAGTGCGCGACCGACAGAAAGTTACACCAAGGAACTCAATAGGAGTCTTCACCACAATAACCTTATTGGCCGATTGTGCACGGCCTTGGTTTGAGTCTTGTTTGAGTGACGGGGAGATCATGACATGACGTAGCACGAGCGGTCCTGGCGTGATATCCACTCACTCTGGTACATCTCCACCGAGATCATGTGGAATCACTGTCTCCCCAATCCCGGCCCCGTCTCATGTTCTCTTCGGTACCATTCGATCACCATGCCTCAATTTCGCAATCTCCTTGGCCGGAAGAGCCAGCCCAATGGCGAGGACGCCGACGGCTTCGACGAGAACCATCTGTCGCCCAACGCGCGGCCCGCTCCGATCGAGATTCGTCGCAGTTGCGACGGCGAACCCAACGAGTACAAATTGAGTGGTATGGCCGAGTCCTACGTGTCCGCACGATGTGGTCAGCCGTGCTTGTTCTGAGAGGCGCCCTGCTAATTATCATCCTGATAGTCGTCAATGATAGCGGTGTCTATCTTCCTGTACAGTGCCTTTCCTTCGCAGTCATGAGAATCACGACTTAGAGAGGACCTCGCTAATAGTAGACAGCCCTCCCCTCCAGAAAAGCAGAGTTTCTGGCGCCGATACCCAGGCTCTACGCCCTCATCGAACCATCGCGACCTCGTCGACGAAAACGAACCGTTCTCAATATCGCGCGAATCATTCGACTCTTATCGCCGCTCATTTGTACGCTCCCCCAGCCCTTCTCGACCCGCCAAAGATTACCAAAACATTGAAAAACCGCTGCTGATGATGTCTAGGATATTTGCGCACGCTCACCCATCTCACACCCCGATGCCGTGCCCTCCCGAACCTCCCTCGACTCCCGCTTCTGCCGCTCGCCCGGCACGTGCCAGGGCAGATTCGACAAGCCCGACCCGATGGAAGAGGAGAAATTCGAAGAAGTCGGTTTAAACGACGAGATGAAACCCAAGAAAAAGGGTATTTTCGCACGATTCGGCGATTCCACCAGCGAAGCACCGCAATCCGGCAACAAATCCACGTCCTTTGGGTTCCACATTCCCGGCAGGAAGCGCGGACAGAGCGGCGGCGGTTCAGAGCTGAGCGCCATCAAAGGGCCTGCGCCTGGAACGGCCGAGAATGGCGAATGAGTTTTCATGAATAATGATATTTGTTGACGAGGTTCTGATTTACGTGGGAGGCGTTGTGAGTTGACTTCCCTTTGTCCGATTCGCATCATATCATCTTGTTCTCAGTGATATTTCTCGAACACCGACTCTCGCTGAATACGTTCTTTTCACGAGGGTCGCGAGGCTTTCATTTGTACATTTTTATCTCTTATTTGCGCGTGGACCGATCGTAATCTTTACATATCGAGATCATGTCCACTCAGTCCGCACGGAGCCTTGAATATGGCCAGTTTACATGCCGCATGAATTCTCAAGCCGAGTACAGCCAATAATAAGGGGAAGAAACGAAAGAACAAAAAAAGAACAAAGTATTGAAGTATTAATCGTAGCATTTGCCCGTCCATCCTCGCAATCTCCTTATCAGTGCAAACCGTGCAAACTCCGGCAAAAAAACTTCCTCCGCCCGCAACCAAAAAAATTATCCTCCAGCACCACGAGCGATCCCAGCTCGAGCACCCACCAATCTTTCACTTTACTTTTAGTCCAGACACGAATTTAGTGTCGCCGTGACTCATACACATCATGGCTGGAGTGAAACGCCGTGTCGATACGGCTGAAGACCGCAATGGAAAGCGGAGCAAGATCAAGCAGGGCTCCGCATCAAAGTCCAAGCCCACTGCACCAGTGAAAAAGACCAGCTCTAAGAAGGATGTTAAGTCTAAGAAGGACGACAAGAAGAAGACCTTGAAGAAGAAGGTTCAGGAGGAATCCGAGGATGAGGACGAGGACGACTTCGATATCGACGATGTTTCCGATTCTGGCGACGACGACCTCGATGCTCTTGATGAGTCTCCGGAGGACGATGTTGATATGGAGGATACGAACGAGAAAGAGGAAGCCGAGAGTGAGGAGGATAAGAGTGTCGAGAAGGACGACAAACACCAGAAGGTTGCCGACGAGGCGAAAAGTATGTTTCGATTTTTCCAATACTGGTCAACGAGTCTAGCCGCTAACCAAAACCACCATCTAGGCAATGCGTCTCGCGAGTCCCACGCAAAGCAAAAGGCCCTCCAACAGGAGCGCAAGGCCGCTAAGCCCAATGCCGACCAGATCGCACGCTCGAAAAAGCTCTGGGAACAGCTGCGCCGCAAGTCCCACGTCAAACTCGAGGACCGAAAGAAGCTCATCAAGGAGCTATTCGAGATCGTCACCGGTCGTGTCCGGGATTTCGTTTTCAAGCACGACTCTGTTCGAGTCATCCAGACTGCTCTAAAGTACGGCAATCTCGAGCAGCGTAAGCAGATTGCGCAGGAGTTGAAAGGAAGCTACAAGGAGCTGGCACAAAGCCGCTACGCTAAGTTCTTGGTCGGCAAGCTGATTGTGCACGGTGACTCGGAGACCCGTGATATGATCATTCCCGAGTTCTACGGCCACGTCAAGCGTCTTATTCGTCACCCCGAGGGATCGTGGATTCTCGATGATATCTACCGTACTGTTGCGACCAAGGCTCAAAAGACCCGCTTGCTGCGCGAGTGGTATGGCGCCGAGTTCGTCATCTTCCAGGATGACAAGGAGCCCACAGCCGACCTGCCTAAGATCCTAGAGGCTCACCCGGAGAAGCGCGCCCCTATCATGCACTACCTGCACGAGCTCATCAACCAGTTGGTTCAGAAGAAGAGCACTGGTTTCACTATGCTTCACGACGCCATGTTGCAATACTTCCTCGCTACCAAACCCGGCAGCACGGAAGCGAACGAGTTCATCGAGCTGCTCAAGGGCGATGAGGAGGGCGATCTGGTCAAGAATTTGGCCTTCACTCAGTCGGGCTCGCGCCTGATGTCCCTGACCTTGGCCTACGCCAATGCCAAGGACCGCAAGCTGCTTTTGCGATTCTACAGAGATACCGTCAAGGCGATGGCCGGTGATTTGAACGGCCACGTGGTTCTTCTCGCGGCCTACGAAGTCATTGACGACACCAAGTTGAGCGCCAAGTCTATCTTCTCCGAGCTGTTGAACCAGAATGACCCGGAGGAGGCCCGGAATGAGGAGTTGTGCTACCAGGTCAACGACCTGACCGCCCGTGTCCCTGTGCTATACCCCTTCGCTGGCGACCGTGTCAAGTGGCTTCTGCCCGATGCGGACCAGGAGGTGCTCAAGGAGGTTCGGGAGATCCGCAAGGAAACCTCCAAGAAGGAGCCCGCTACCCGTCGTCTGGAGTTGGTCAAGGCGGCCTCCCCAACCCTGCTTGCCTTCATCGCTGCCCGCGCAGAGACCCTTCTGGAGACTACATTCGGGTGCCAGTTCATCGGTGAGGTGTTGTTCGAGGCGGACGGCGACAAGACCGCCGCCCTGTCTGGCGTGGCCCAGGCCGCCAAGACTAAGTCTGAGACACGCGACTCTGCTTCCGTCGGACGCCTACTCAAGTCGCTCGTTCAGGGCGGCCGCTTCAACCCCGCCACGAAGAGCGTGGAGAAGGTGGAGCCGGCGCTGAACTTCCACGAGCTCCTTTACGAGCAGATCAGCGATGAGGTGATGGAGTGGGCTACGGGCGCCAACCCTTTCGTGATTGTTGCGCTGACCGAGTCTGACGATTTCTCAAAGAAGGATGAGCTGCTGAAGACACTCAAGAAGAACAAGAAGGCCCTGGAGAAGGCGTCGGTGCCCGGCAAAGACGAGAAGAAGCCTGGGCCGACGAGCAGTGGAGCGAAGATCCTGCTGCAGAAGGTATAAGCTTAGCTTGGGGTATTTTTTCTTTTTTATGGGGTTTTGTAATATCTACCACATTGTACAGGAGTCGACCTAAAAGCATACTGGAACATGATGATATTTTCTATTTGGCACATGGAACATGCAAATTAGATTCCCCACCGAGTGGATTCCATGGATCACGACGGGTCTCAGGGGTTCGTTCCGTTTAATTGCCGCCAGCGGTAGAAACCAGGGGGCTCCGAAAAAACATGGGTCCTTGCGTATAGATTCATGCATCGCCCTTGCACGACCTAGCAACGTAGGCCTGCGTTTGCAGCAGCTACGGAGCCGCCCATGGATAGCAGTTATTAGCAACACGGGCTACGCGATACGATACACGGTACACGGTACACGGCACACAGCACACAGCACACGTAATGGGTCAGTGCGACTTGGTTTAGTGCCGGGTGTAATTAACCATCCTTCGAGCTAAAAAGCCTATGCTCGTTCTGGGGTCCAACTATTGAATGCACCGCACGAGCACAATGCAATTGTTGTCTGCCTGTGACCTGTCCAGTCTGGAGATCTATACTGGACACGCCACATTCAGTTCAACCTCCAATCCCAACACACAAACAGCAAGGATCGAAACTTAACGTCTTCATCTCCCAACCCCGATCAGGCAATGATCACGGCGCTAGACCGCATCCAACTTGGCCGTTAGGGGCAGCTTTTTCAGGCTTGTTCTCACTGGGGTCGCTAGGTTCTTAGTCCAGGCCTCAGAGCCATCTCATCCCATTCCTGTCTCTACTCAACCCCTACATTCCACTCGGCCCGAGCCCGCCACGCATGCCCTCCCTCACTCTGCCCGACCCGGACATGATCCTGCCGTATGGCAGCGAGCGCGAATCCCAAACTCCCTCCCCGCCCACTCAGCTGGTCTACCTGTCGAACCTGAATGCGCGCTACTCCGGCGATGCGCATGGCGCCAGTGCTGCGGCCACCCGACCCAAGAAAAATTTCTCGCGACACTGGTCACACGACGATGTGAACGCGAACCGCCGGCTGTCGGATATCGGCGAGGAACTATCGCCGTCGCGATTGGGAGGATTTGAGGAGTCGGAAGGGCCCCGCGATCAGGGATTGGCGAGCTCGCCCGTTATCAAGGAACAATTGGCTTCCGATGAAAATGATAATGCGGGGAGTAGTTCCAGCTCGACTGTGAGCGCGAGGAGTGTTCGCGCTTCGAGCTTGAAGAAGTCGTCACCGCAGATTCCTGCCGGTCCGTCGCCGGATGTTGCGGGAAGTGTAAACAAGCCGGACAATGGGGACGCTGTCAACACTGGTTTGCCCGACAGCAGTGTCATCGTCTCCGCCGCCAAGGGCAAGGGCCCCGGAGACGAGTTCTCGTCGGCGATTTTGAGCAGCGAAGCCGAGAGAATTCTGGAGAACGCAAAGAAGCGCTTGACGTTGATGGAGGGTAACTTGAACCGCGCTCGTTCGTCGGTGCGGGTCACGCCCTCGCCCTCGCCCTCGCCATCGTCACCAGCGACCTCACCCATTGGGTCTCATTCTCATCAACCGGGTGGTCTTTATCGGTCGATTTCCCACCGCAAAGGATCCGCGCTCCGACGACAGTCACTGCTTCCGTCGCAGGATGCTTCGACCAACCGGCACTCCCGCGTCCACAGCGAGACCAACTTCCCGTCGGAGTCCATGTCCAATGATACAAAGCGACTCTCTCGATCAGTAAGTGCTATGGGTTCAAGTAGCCAGTCCAGCTTCCATACCGACGAGCGGTCATTCCAATATGGGCCCGGAAGGGCGTACCTCACGCACCGAGCGTCGATTTCGTCTATGCAGCCGCCCCAGCAAGAAAATCAACAACCGTCTCCGGAGTCTGTGCAGTCAACGGTTATCGAACAGTCCCAGGAAAACAGCCCCACCGACTCTCCAAAAGGACTGGGCATCTCTGGGGAAGACGAGTCCAAATCTACTCCGGGTGATTTTAGCCCGGTCTACAGCTCGTATGGCCCACCCAGCCGTGCCCAGTCTCAGCTGCAAGTGCGTGACCTGCAGTACCAGATGAAGGGTCTTCACATCAAGATTTCCTCTTTGAAGGTGCGGAACCAGGAGGACAATCTTCGCCGGCGCAGTCTGCAAAGTTTGCGCACGCCTAGTCCTTTGACGGCCGCGGATCCGTGGTTTCACAATGGTCTGGAACTCCGAGATGGTCAAAGCAGCCGTAGTTCTAACACGAGACGGGATGGCAGCTCTGAATATACTCGAGAGGCCCGCTCCCCGAACCCCAACGCTACCGCCAAATACGGGAGTGATAACCATGCGACCAAGCGGAGTGATGGCAGCCCCCAGGAGCCAGCCTCGGCGACTCTCTCACCATACACGGAGCATGTTCCTTGGCAAAGCCCGCCTGTGGGCTATGACGATGGACGACAATCTGCCGCAGAGAGCATGTACGAAGACGCCGAGGAGGGGGACTATGAGAACGGTTTCATCGATCGAGAAGCCCTGGATGAAATCCTACGCGAGCCGCTCGACGAAGATTTGGAAGACTACAATGCCGAGGGCGTGCCACACGAAGAACGCGAAGATGCCTTTGATTATGAGCATTTTATCCTGCACAGCGCATTGGGGAATTACTCGCGCCAGCTTCGCCGCGCCAGTCACAGCTCTCACGAGTCTGCCGAGACGACTCGGCCTTCGCAGCCTTCGCGAGCTCGCCAACAATCTCGTTCTCGTTCTCGACAGCCTTCTCGATCTCGGTCGGTTAAGCACTCGCGCAATAACAGTGCCATGTCTGTCTCGACTGTAGCTACCTTTGCTACTGCAACTGAAGGCGAGGAGATGACGGAGGAAGAAGAAGACCTTCTCTACTGGGACCGTCGGTTCAATCATGGTAAGTTCTTATATCCTTTTCTTTTTATCATATCTCAATCTAACACCAAAAAGAACTTCGCCGCCAGCCCAGTCCCCTTCTCGAGACTGACCGTTCAGAAACTCCCCGTGGCCCACGCGATAACGGCGATTTCCCCGTCGATGGCCAGCGACAAACACCATCCCGAGCTTTAGACATGACAGGCCGCTCATCGGGTGCCGGCTCCGCAACCCCGACGTCCCTTGTCTCCTCCCTCGTTTCAACCGTTCGCGCAGCTTCAAGCCCGCATCCAGGCTCCGCAACCCCAACCGGAGGCGGAGGCATCAACGACGAAGACACTCAGATGCTGGAACAGCTCTTCTCGAGCCTGGGCAACGTCTGCATGGAACTGCAGGCGATCACGACCTCCCCAGATCCCGACATGAAGGCTGCACGGGTTTTGCGGCGACGACTGGACGCAGCGCGGCGAGTACTGGATGGAGAGCTCGATGCTTGATCTTGTCGGGCACCACCCCCTCTTTATACGTGTCCACTTCTGATACTTTCTTTCTATTTTCCACTATGATACCCAATGTCGTGCCTTTCCTTGAACGTTTTCTTCTGTTAGCGTGATTGATCCATAGTGGCATGATGTGTCTAGACTGTGTCCAGCATTCACTACATTTATCTCACATCCAATATATACCCAGTCTAAGTCATAATGTTATTTCAACCTTCGCATACGTCAGCAAGCCGTAAAACCAACCTACATCAAGAACAGCAGTGCAGCAATTAGTCAAATGCACGTCGATCATTCCGCTCCACCCCCACCTTCAACACGGCAAACAGGAACAACACCGCCAGTGTCCACCGAAGAACCCATTCCTCGGTAATTGCGTAGGCACATGGCTTTATTCTTGATTCTTTAATCCGTTTTACTGTTTGGTAAAGCAAAGCGGAAGTCGTTTTTTCTTGACGTGAAATTCGCATTCCCCCTTTTTTTTTTTTTTGTGCCCCGCGCAATAATCGACCGCCGATCCAGACGCGATAACAGCCTCTGTCGGGTCGCGCAGTGCAGGCTCTTGTGAGACCCAACATGTTCGAGATAGATATACGCGCGCATACTAATTCTATCCTAGGTGAAACATCCTTGAAGCAGAGACGAAGGAATCCCGCGCCGTCGGGAATCGAGCGCAAAGATTTGAGCGCAAAAGCTCGAGTGCACGAAGACCACCCAGGTCCTTAAAACAGAGAGGCACCACTTGACATCAACCCCCAACCATCCAAGATGAGCAAGACCCAGACCCCAGCCCGCCGCCTCCTCATCTTCCAGGAGGCGCGCAACCCACAGAACACGGCGGAGATCGTCTACCTCCCCGTCAACAAACTGGGACTCCCAATCTGCGGCGACGGGCCCGAGCTGCCCTCCATCCTGGAACTACCACTACGCATTCTGAAGGTGTTTACTGAAATTTTCAACCAGCCCAAATATAAAGGATGGTATGTTTCCCCACGTTGTCTCTTGGGGTGAGTGGTATGCTAATGAACCTAGGGCTGTTCTCGGAGCCGGTCCGTACCATGATACCTCGGAGGAGGGCAAGTTCTATGCTGTTGTGCTTGAGTCAACGCAGACGTCTGGAGGACAGGGGCAGGTGCAGGCACAGCCGGAGGTTAATATGCAGACGCCTTGATGTGGAACGGAGGGTTTTGTACAGTGTATGTTTTTTGTTATTAAATTGGTGCGGAATTAGCAGTCCTTTCTGAAATAGAATACCAATGGATATTAGCAGGCCGAGAGCCTTGATGACATGCTACTTAGTTTGGGAATATTGGCATTTGCCTTTCACTATTAAGATGAATGTCGAACCACCTCTCTTTATCCATGGGTTTCATGAACGCATGAGCTGATTTGGGTTCGTAGTGCCCTTTTCACCACATTCGTAGGCGATGACCTAGGGCTTCTTCCAGTCTCAGTACTTCGCCCTCGGGCCGTCACTTGTCACTTACGTTCTTTCTGTTACACCCATCGACTATAAGGTAGCTTAATATCAATGGGAAAAGCTTTTATTCCAATCATGCTCGCACTAAACTCTTAAAATAAGTTCTCACTTGCGAAAAAGAGCACATTCGTGGCATATATCTTAAAAATCTCGCAATTTGTCTACTCCCTACCACATCACACTATCCTCGCAAATTCTCTTTCCATGACAATCTAACTAGGTACCGCTCGACCTCCAGGGCTATCACGCCCAAATTTCTTCGAAGAGGAAGACCACTTTCCCAAAATCGAGAAACCTTCACACTATACCAGGACCTGGAATCTTCCAAAATGGCACCTTCATTGATTCTCCTGCTCTACCACAAAGTCTCCGCCCAGAGATTTTACCTCGAAAACAGACCCGGAATGCCGATCTCACCTGATTCACCACTTATCCCCCAAGAGCAAGATCACGCTGGTCTCAGTCCGGCCCTCTCTCGAGAGATCCTGACAGACCTTCAACAGTACCCGAATCTGAAGGACTGGTACGTATCTGCCAATGAATAACTCAGGCATAAAGTGATAAAAAATAGCACTGTCTGACAGATTCCCGTTTAGCGTCTTCGTTCGTCACTGGCACGACAAGAAGAATCGCCACTTCTGTGTTTTGGTCCAAAACATCACTGCTGAGCCAGTTGTCGAGATACCCGAATCCTCGGTTTCAGATATCACTGTTCAACCCGCTTTCAAGACACCTGAACCCCGGATTCCAGATTCCTTGTTCGTCAATGCCGTCAAAGAAGTCACTACGCCGCCCTGGGGAGGATCCAATCAGAAACTCCCCGTAGATATCACCTACTGTGCCGCAACGACCACAGAGATGGACGAGAATGTCTTTGTCGATAACACCCTTGATCACACATCCGACGAATCCTTGGACAGCCTCTTTGAAACGAACTCCCCAAACTACTCCGAATTCCCCACTTTCGACATGAAGCGGGCGAAGCCCTACGACCCAAGCTCAGAGGAGTCCAATCGTGTCTATGCAGACGAAGTGGAAAATAAATCTGCCGAATGGCGGAATATTATGCGTTACTTTGAGCCGCCTAGGTAACGGGACCGATTGCGCATATTCGACAGGACTATACAGAAAGGTATTAATTTGCTCGAACTGGCTATTTATGCGTTTGCGGCCTATGGAAATCGGTGTTTCTCTGCGGTTGTGTGTGCTTCTTGATATGCATATACGTACTGGCTTCTCCGATCTGCTTTAAGCGGACGCTTTTAGGATTCCCGTGTAGGCAAGCGAAGCTTAAACAGCAAGCGGACTATACACCTATATTGGGTCAACGGGTATATACTACAGTACTCTTCGTAAGCTTGCTAGATGAAGTATCCACTGGAGACCGCGGACACATGAAACACCGGGTAAACTCCCCAAAGCCTACTTAAAAGTGGATTCCAACCTTGCAGCCTTGGAAGGTTACTAATCCTAATGCCCAGGATGGATAATCGGTTTACTCGATGCAACAAGCCTTCTCAAATGATGTTTCCAGGTATTCTCGGCAGATTGTGATCTAAAAAAAGATAGGTGCGTTGGAGTGCTGCGCACCTGGGCAGGTGATCCTTGCAAGACTATTTGAAAAGGCGATCAATTTAACTAAATTGTTTGAATCCTGATTTAAACTCTCTTTGGGGTTTCCCGACATCACTCCCGCACTGAAAAGAGTATAAGAATACCATCGCACAAACCTTGGAACCCGCATTCCCAGCAAGTCATAGAAGAGAAACAGCAAGACAGAATTGGTTTGAAAGTAGACGCTTGGCGAAATTAAAAAAAAGTCTGAAAAGTGGACAATTAAGAGTTGGCGGGCAGAAGCAGCGCGGCGCTATGGCGGAGGTCGAGGGAGCGCGAGTCGGAGGGGTCGAACATGGCGTTGGTACGTTCCTCGAGGTAGTAGGCTGTAGAGAATTCTTAGTACTCGTTGATAGATAGAGTGGGGGTATTGGTCACGTACGGGACATTTGGAGCATGTCAAACCAGCGCATGGCGTTCTCGTCGCTGCCGTCAACGGCCTTGAGGGTGCCGTTTTCAGGGCGGATGGTGGTCTTGGGCGGGAGGCTGCGCATTCTCAGGAGCATGTGCAGGATGTCGGCGAAGCGCTCAGACTGGTTGTAGTAGTAGGGGGGACGCTTGTCCAGAGGCCACTATAGAGACGTGTTAGTGATGGGGATTTAAAAGTCAGGATATACAAATAACTTACGCGCTGGGCAAAGTTCTCGTTGTCCCACGAACGGAACAGCCAACAGGTACGCTCGACGCAGTTCAGCAGAACCATGGACACGAGGAAAGTCTCGAACCAGCCGGTCTTCTGACGCTGAAGCAGACGGCGCTCCAGGTCGTTGATCACGGACTTGCTCAATTGCATAGCACGCTTCTCCATGGCCGCGCGCAGTTGGCTGCACAGCAGGGAGTACGACTCGGGGTCAGAGACTTCCTCGATCGGCAGACGACCTTCATCCGAGGGCTGGGAAAGGGAGTGCATAGAAGTAGGAGGGAGGGTAGGGTTGCAGAAAGTCTTCCAGCTAAGCTCCGTGTCCACCAGGATATGAGTGGCGACCCACAGGTCCACGGCGCGGTCGAGCAGAGTGTCCTTCTTCGACTGAGCCAGTTCGGAGGCCAGCATAAGAGTAGGCTTCACGAAAGGAGAGGACTCGCGCTCAAAGAAGAACGGCGCAGCCTTCTTGATGTACATCTCCAGCTTGCTGGGGATGTCATCGGCATCGCTGTCCAGCAGATAGATGTCCTGAGGAGGCCCAGAGAACTGATCATCACCCAGACCCTGAAGCTGCGGATCAAGAGTCGAGACCGAGGTGCGGTGGCCCTGAAGTCCACTGATGGTGACAAAGATCATGCTTTCCTCGATATGGGTCACCTCGATGCGACCGGCATAGTGCTCGAACTTGACTTGGTTCTTGATGGCACTGGTGTCGTGGTAGGCAAGAGTCGCATGCAGATCTATCGTCTGTCAGTTTCGGATCTAATTCAAACAGGAAAACTGACAATACTCACTGGCATTGTAGAGTTCGAACTCCTCGGACAGACGGGTCCGAATACAGGGGTGTTTCCAGAGGCGAGCACTCTCAACACTGGCGCACGTGGTGCAGGGGGTATCGCCAGAACACTGGACGGGATGTCATTATTAGATACTTCAAAGGCATTACACCGGGATTGGCACTTACAGGCTTCTTCAGCATACGGCAACGAATGCAAGCGCCGCGCTTGCGCACTTCCTGAACCTCGCGACGCCGCTCTGCAGAGAAACGTCCCCGCACCTTAGGTTTGGCTGGCTTGGTTGAATTGCCGAACTCGTTGACAAATCCCTTGGCGTGGGTATTGGGGTTCATAGCAATCGGACGGGGGAAAGATGCAGCACGCTGTGTGGGAGTCGCCGCCGTCAATGAAGGGTCATGCTCCTGCAAACTTTCGAACAGAATCTGCTCTTGGTGCGTGAGCGGCTGGTTCCATTGGTTCATCTTTAATCCGTCGGCACTGAGGTTGTCTCCATCCATGGAGAGTCCCTGGGGAACCATCTCATTGGCAGATGCCGCGATCATCGACAGCTGCGACTGGCGCGCGTTGGAAGTCGATTCCGGGGTCATCGAGGTGTCGCCAAGTGGAGGAGACATGGAGTTATGATCGCCGGAGGTATGGCTGGGGAGAGCAGGAATAGCGGGATGGTTAGAGGACTGCGGAGTTCCTGCGCACTGATTGTTAGTACCCAGCATTCACCTCAGCGCGTCTGGGGGCCACCTACCCTGGGCATTGTTACCGTCCTCCTGTTTCTCGTCTCCCTGTTGAGAACTCGGGCCCTGGAAGTCAGCCTCCAAAGCCGGGTCAACAACCACGGTTTTGCCACCGACAGTCACAGACTGGGTGTATTGCGAGCCTCGCTTGGCAGGTTCCGAGGCACCGACCTGACGAGAAGCCTCCGCCAGGACGTTCAAGCCGTCAAAGTTGGGACGATTGCCAAAGCTCCCGTCACCTTTGCCCTTCCCTGTCGAGCTGGGATCCTTATTCGCGTCGCCCTCGGTCAGGTCGGGGAGTTCGTGGAGGCGGAGGAGCACGCGCTGGCGATCGCGAAGTGGGATGGCCTGGCACTTCTTGACCAGGTGATTGGTGAGGCTGTCGATGCGACCTTTGGGAAATTTCTCGCCACAGGCCTTGCAGGTGTGCTGGTAGCGGTTGCTGGAATCCTCGAGCTTGGGGCCTCGGATAAAGAACTCGAGGATGAGTTGATTGGGCTTACGACCCATTTTGAACGCGATCCGGAGTTGTGAAAAGGAGGAGAAACACGTGTTCCACCCAGAGAATCACCAGAGTGTTCAATTGCCACTGACAGTGCTCTCTGTGTTGTCCGAAGTCAAGTCTGAAGACGCGACGAATCCAAACAGAGCACCACGCGATTCCGGATCTGGCGGCGCCCAGGAAGAAAACAGGAGCAGCGGGGTCAAGACCACAACGAAGGGGCACCAGGCCAAACAGGCAAAGCCCAGACTCAGGAACTCGTGTTCAAAGTCGAGCTGGATTGAGATAAATCGAGGAAACGGCAAAACCGGGGGGCAAATAGAGGGCGGTCAAGTTGGGGTGGGAAAAAGATACGCGATGAAGGCTTCACCGCACGAAAGGCGGTGATCGCAGGCAAGGCGGTGATGAGAAGGCGGTGATCACCTTGGATGAAGGCGGTGATGAAGACGGCCGTGGGAAGATGGGACTAGTGTTTAGATGGGGGATTGTGTGTAAGTTCCTGGGATGATGGATGGATGAAGGTTGTGAAAAGGTTGAGGTCATCTCCCTGGGAAAATCTCTGCCGGGAGCCTGTAAAATATGCAGCTTTTTCTTTTTGACTTTCTCCCATCCTTTCGGCATCAGGGTATTTCTTGTATACAACTTTTTTATCGTCAAGGCTATCTCATTTGGATATTTGAATCTAAGAACTAGCAAATTCGATGCTCTGGAGGTCGCCAGGGTACTCCTAGTGTCGCAAAGATCCGGCGCTCATCGCGCCCCTCCAGCAGTCGCCCCGGATTGATCTTCACGCCGGCGCGGTGAAGCACATCCGTGTACAGCCCTCGTTGGTTTAGCGACATGCCCTTTTTACGGGCTAGCAGTCTCATGCTGCGATTGAAAATGTCATTACCGGTGAAGTAAAGAATTGCAGCTCCGAACTCGGCTCCGGGCACAAGAAGCAAATCAATTCGCCGCCACACATTCCCAGGCAGAGCGGACGCGCCGTGCCATTTGGATGCGTCGTGGTTATGCCGTGATGTAGCTAGTCCGACTTGTAAAAATCCATTATCAAACAGCTGCGGGATGACGATGTTCATAATCAGTCTTTGTATCTGCTCGAGCGATGCGTCGGGCTTGGTTATGAGCAGATCGATGTCCCCCGAATCCAGTGCCCCGCGGCGGTAAGAGCCCGCGATGACGACCTGCATGTCTTTGTCGACCGCTTGCACAGCCCGTCTAACGATCGCCCCATGTTCTTCCACCTCCTTGCGTGGAATCCGCTGTGCAAAGTCGTGATAGCGCTCTACTCCAACGCGCTGGTTCTTGCTGAGCGGCGCTCTTTCACGGAGATCTTCGAGAGATCTATAACCTTGCGCAACCCATCTGCTCGCTTGGACAAGACCGACTCCGTAAATACCAAGAAATTTTTGGATGATTCGATCCTCGGTGGTGCCTTTCGTGTGATCTAGACGACGGAGGTGATCGGTGAGCACGATTTCCTCGATCTTATCCGCCAGTCGGGTTCCAATCCCAGGGATGGCCAGAGCCTGGGCTCGTGTTGCAACCATTTGTGGTTGTCGGCGCAGTGCACCGATCGCCTTACGGTAGGCCAGTGTCCGCCATTGATCAGCGGTGCGCGTATAATAATCCAGCATCTGCTGCAGGATCTCGATGGTCCTGCTGTTTGGGCTATCGCCCTTTGCGTTCGGGTCGTACTTCTGCATGCAAGCGAAATTTTGCGTCCATGAGTCTCCCGTTTTGTGTTCCCCGGGCGGTCGATGCTGTTTTTTATTGGGCGGCTCCTTCGGTTCGGATTCATCATCAGTTTCCTGGTCATTGAACTCTTCGTCGGAATCTAGTGTATCGAGGGGCTAATCATAGTTAGGTGTTGCTCAGGATCAGGTAGTTTCTGGGAATTTCTCACCAAATGTCTGACAGCTTTGGTCTCATCGATGATATCATCTAGAGAATCCCTTCCATGTGTATCTGCGCCATCTTCCGTCACCTGTGCAGGCTGACCGGGCGGTGGCTCAACTGGCGCTGTCTCATTGTTCGACTGAGAGGTTTCTGGAGATTTTTGCCGTGTCCTCCTCGATGGTTTCAACGGCAGCGTGTCTGCGTATATCGTTTGAGTAGCCACAGTCGGCTCCTCCTTATCTGTGGCCGTCGGAGTGCCGTCAACACGGAATCGCACCTGTAGTGTGCTCAAGACTGAGCGAAATCTGATACATTCGGAAGGGTAGGTTTCGTTGACCACGGCTATTTGAGCCTATTGCCTCGTTAGCCCCTCTCGGAGATGTCCAGATCAGGTGAACTGACAGTTAAGTTCTCCGCCTTGATATGAGTTAGGAGGTCTTGATATAGAAGGCCCTTGTCGACAATCACATGCGTGATGCCTCCTGTCCATTCTTGGGCCCACTTGGCGCCATACTCTCGGGCTCGCTGGATTCGCAGTCGCCGAGAAGGAGCGATATCATTGTTAGGAAAGAAGACTGTGCGACTGTTAGGCAAGCATGAACTGCCATGAGGAGTCACAATTGACGTACAAAATGAGAGCCCTTTGAAAATTTGTTGATTCTCGGGGACAAGCTTGAGGCTCTCCGTTTTCCTCTTTTTCGCAGGATGACCCCCGGTCTTTAACACCGGCATTGTTCCAGTGGTCTGGGCGCGTTTGACAGTCCTCACTTTCGACTCTGTTGCTTGAACAGTTCTTCGAATATTCCCCTTATCGGCGACACCGAAGACTTGCCGTGATCCACCGGCAGGTGAAGGCTGGGGCTCAGTGATGGAACGACGAAGAGAGATTGGTCGAGTACTCGCTGATATACGAGCAGCAGTGGAATCTGAAGCTCGGGAAGGCCGAGAACTGATAAGTAGCTTCTCTATTGAGTCGTCATCTTCATCCTGGAAGTCATCGAAATCATCCAGTTTTTGAAGGGCATCAAAAAAGCCCTTCTTACTGAACCTGTTTGTCATGGGGGAGGGGCTAGTCGGGGCTTTTATCGGGGAGAGAACGTCGGGACCATGGATGATTCATTGCCGCTGCCTGGTAGAAAACCAGAGGATAAAAACAGGCAACTCCGAGCCTGCAGTTGTCAAACGGACTGGTAAAGCCACGGTTGAGGCACCCGTGGACGCGGAGTTGCGCGAAAATGCCGCCTGGTCACGAGATCCGCTTCCATTTAACCATATTCGTCAAGGGCTCTGGTTACTCCTTGATATCAACTTCTATGATTGAAATGAGCCGCTAAACGAGCTTGGTTTCGTTGCGTTTGAATCTCCATCCTTCTAGTTTTGTACCTCGCTGGATTTATTGGACATTTTGGAAGTATATTTCGGCCATTTAGCAAGCCTGGATGACCATCAGGGATTCAAGCTCACTCAGCACCGTAAGCACAGGTATATATTCCAGCCATTATAACAATATTGACCGAAACATCATATGAATGTAAGATTGATACTAAGGCAAGCCCTAATCTTAGATCTGAAACCGATTCGCAAAAAGCAAGTATACATCATGTGACCAGGCCATTCCCTGTTGGGAAATTTTGAGACGCAAGAGGCGCTGGCGCGGAGTCCTTTCTATCCGATCCTCCAACTTCCGCTCTTCCCTATACCGCCGACTACCTAGGTATCCAGACAATATGTGGAGGCCATCGGCATCTGTATCTTTAGCGGAGCTCCCGCTCTTCCAGACGGGACGCTGCCTGAGCTGCCAATTCCGAAACACCGGAGTCCTCTCGCACCTCGGCACGAAATCCGCATTGGTTCGCCAGTATGCCACCGAGAACAGCGCGAGAAAGTCTGGCAAGTCCGATAACAACGGCGAACCAATTATCACCAAACGCCCCCCTCGCGAACCACAACGTCTCCGGCGCGACGTCGGATTCCAACAGAATCCCAATGCCAACCCGGCTGCTCAGCCAGGCGACGCGGAGTTTACGCCTCCGCAGCTAGACAGACCGATTGGCTGTGCCGCGCCTCCGCAGGAAGGCGAAAATACTGGATATGACAGCCGGTCGTTGCGGCAGCGACGGGACGACTTTGTCGACTACGACAAGCACATTGCGCGGCGAAAGGAATTGTAGGTACCAGTGGCATCACCAGCAATGGAAACAAAACTAACCAATTTCACCCACCAACAGAACGAGACAAGTTGCGAAACCCTACTTCCGAGAATGGTCCAACCTGCGTTTCCAAGAAGGCAAAACATTCGTGTCAAACCCACGGCTCTTCAAGGCCAATCATGCGCTATACTTCCCCAACCTGCACGGCTTGACTCTCGCATCGCCCAAAGACCCGCAAGACACAACGGCCACGCTGCGCGGCCAGATCAGCGTCGTGAACCTGTTCTCTAGCATGTGGGCCGAGTCTCAAGTGGCGACATTCACAGGACCGAAGCAGAACCCCAGGCTTGCGGAGCTACTGGCTAGCGGTGGGGAGCATGTGCAGAAGGTGGATATCAATGTGGAGGAGAACTTGATGAAGGCGTGGCTGATCAAGCGGTTTATGTGGAACATGCGGAAGAAGATGCCGCTGGAGCAGCATGCGCGATACTTCTTGATCGAGAAGGGTTTCAGCGAGTTGCTGAAGGAGGCTGTTGGTATGATGAACACCAAGGTTGGCTATGTCTACCTCGTTGATTCGCATTGTCGGATCAGGTGGGCGGGATGTGGCCCCGCGGAGGCTTCAGAATTGGAAACTCTGAATAACGGGTTGGCGAAGCTGATTGACGAGAAGAAAGCGGGTGGTGACTTGGCCTAAAGGATTGCTGTGTGCGATGTGACATCCCCTCTCCATTGGATTTGTACATATAATATAGAATCTGTATAATAGAAAGAACATAAGACGCCAAAAAAAGCCAGGAACAGTATTATCATAATTCCTGACAAAAAATCAAATGCCCAACCGCCGACGCCGAATTCCCAAACAAGTCGCTGGACAGCTGCAACGAACAAAAAAAACAATAGGTAAGGCGAGTCCAGCCCTCCTACATGAAGTAAACCAGCATCAAGAAGCAGAGCCCAATGAAACATCCCAAGATAATCGCATCACGCCTCTTCTTGGTTCCGATCTTCCCGATCAGATAGTTCATTCCGGGCACCTGGCTGGCCGCGCCGACAATCCGGCGGTTGACGCTTGCCAGAGTTTCACGCTGGATCCCGAAGTTCTCGTTGATGGCATAGGCCTGGCTGAGTACGCCGTCCATCATGTTATGGCTGTTGTCGACCCGCCCGCGCTCCTCGAGCATGTAGTCTGCCTCAGCTGCGCTGGGGTTCGATGCACGGTAGGCATCAATATCGGAGCGGACATTGGAGAGAAGATTGGCGCGGTCGCGCGACTCCGCCATGGCGGACGTCAGGCGCTGCAGCTCGCGGCGGTGGTCTTGAAGGATTTCACGGTGGCGGGAGAGGTTATTCTGTTTCAAGGCAGAGGAGGTAAGGGTAGCTTCGGAGTCGAGGAGGCGAGAGAGCTGAGAGATGAGCGATTCACGCTGTGTGGAGGTTAGCTTGCAGTCATGCATGTGTCCTGTCGCAGGCAGACGTACTCTTTCGAGGAGGTCTTTCAACTGGGACTCGGTTCGCAGCTCCTCTTCTGTAGGAGTTTGCGGAGGCTTTGTGAGAGATGCGAATTGTGCGTATGTGTGGAAGAGGTTTTCTGTCTATTGGGCTTCATGTTAGTCTTGTAGAACGGGGGTGTTGAGCCTCGGCCAGATAAACGGTACCTGAGTCTCGAGCGAGCGGGCTTGTTGCCGCAGTTGCGCCCATCCGGAGCCGGTGGACGTCATGGTGGATGAAGTATAGCAGGTATCAAGCAGGTCAAAAGGAGTACAAATTAATCTGCTCGGCTTCTAAGCTCACCCCAGACATACCAAAGATATCAGACCAGCGACCCGGCGACGTAAGTCCGCTGGGGAGCTAACCCGATTCGGACAATACTTTATGCCTTGATGCCTGACTAATTGGGTGCCTGAATATACAGGCGGCAGAGAATTTTCGAATTTTCATCACGTGCCCGCTTAGTGCGACCAACTCGCTTAGCCCTAGTCCCACAACCACAATTTGACCCGACTAGGACATCTTCATTCTCAACGCCGACAACCCAGCATACACAACACGCCACCATGGTATGTTTGCGCTCGCTGCATCCCGGAAATGCACGCACTGACTGTTTCTAGTCGTCCAAGGTCAAGGCTGGTCAGCTCTGGGGCAAGAACAAGGAGGACCTCTCCAAGCAACTTGAGGAGTTGAAGACCGAGCTCAACCAGCTCCGCGTCCAGAAGATCTCCAGCGGTGCTTCGTCCAAGACCAACCGAATGTGCGTATTCGATCCCGATACCTGAATCACGATGCGAGTAGGAACGACGGGGGTTTGGGGTTTGTGCGATCGGGCCGCGACAAAAAACACCACCACACAAAAGAGAAGGCAAATTCTGGAGGATGGGCGGCAGACCACACAAACCATCGCAAACCCTCCGACGACACCAATTCGCAGAATGATAATCACCGGAGGCCAAAAAATCTCGGAGTACTGACTTTTATTTTATTTTATAGTGGCGATGTTCGCAAGTCCATTGCTCGCGTGATGACCGTCATCAACGCCAACCAGCGCGCCCAGCTCCGTCTCTTCTACAAGGGCAAGAAGTACACTCCTCTTGACCTCCGCCCCAAGCTCACCCGTGAGATCCGCCGCCGTCTCACCAAGTACGAGGCCACCCGTACCACCGACAAGCAGCGCAAGCGCCAGATCCACTTCCCCCAGCGGAAGTACGCCGTTAAGGTATGATGGATATCCCGTGGATGGTGTGTTTAGTGAGGCTCGGAGACTCGATTGTCTCTGCGCTCTATGCATTACTACACACTATGCCACTACACTGGATTGAAGAACGGGGCTGACTGAATCACCATAGGCTTAAATGCAAAACTGTTCGGATCTGGAGTTTTGTGGGAAGACGCTACTTTGCCCTTGGACACATTAAGCAGGACGTGAAGGTGTAGACCTGATACCTTGCGGCGGAGTCGATTTTCTCTCTTTTTTTACATCCAAAAAATGGAACTTGATTATGTATCTTAGAAGGATGCAAATCGACTCTTGACATGACATGACTTTCAACGTCTTTCAACTTTCAACTGTGTGAATGTGTATACACAATCTTGGTATTCTGCATTTGAGGACAATGTTCCTATGTGTATCTCGTATCTCGATTGTCTCCAGCGCTGGTTGCAGAACTACCTTTGCTCTGTAAATTTTGGTCGACGCCCTCTCATCTTATCGTGTGCTGCCTCGGGTGTTGTATTTAATCTACGCTCCGCATATCCCCAATAGGCGTCTTGTTCTAGTCTTTTCAAGCAAAAAGTATGCATTCAACAACAAAATGCACTGTAATGCACACTCTATATTACCACTATCCAGAAATTAAGGCAAGAGGCACCTGGGGCGGAATTCGCTAGTTCTGATGCGACAGCGACAAACCTGCCCCTGACGAGTCCGTACTCTCTGTCTCAAGCATCCACATCCCACCACAAGGACAAGAGCGCAGCAGATTCAACTTGGCAACCATTTTGAAATAAGGCAACGACCTCGGCAGCACCGTATCCCCCGAAACCTCACAACACCGGACACACCGTCTTCTCTTTTGCGGCTGAACAACTCTCTCATTCCTCCCCACAGTCATCGGCGGCCTGAGAGGGAACTTCTTCAGGATATCGACATCCCGATGTTTGCGATAACTCGCCGTGCGAGCATCACTACCAAACCCAAGCCAGGCATAGTCACCAAGCACGACATCCTTGCGGTTAATCTCGGCCTTCATAGCCGGCACGGTCTGTCTCAGTAGCGTAGCGACGGCAGTGACCAGGACCGGTGGGATGCGCCCATTAACCAGGAGTTCCTTTTCAGGGCCTGGCCGCTCTGCTTCGCCGAAGCCGGCGCCTTGGTAGGCGTGTTTGACGGCGGAGTCGACACCTGATAGGAACTTCTCGTAGAGGTCTATGCGGATGGGCGAGGACTCGAGTAGTTGGAGGATCTCGGTGTAGTAGACGCGTGAGTCCGGGCTTAGGATTATCGGGTTGATTTTTGCGAAACCGGCTGTTACGCCACGGAGGCCTCGGCAGATGAATTTCAGGAATGCGCGGGACATGCTGGAGAGGAGGATGATGAGGACGAGGGAGTTTGTAGATTTTACTAAGAGAATAGGTTAGAGGGCTGAAGATAGGGTTGAATAGTAACGTGTGTGCATACATTTCTGAGTGAAGGCCTCTTGATCGGTAAAGATACTCTCGAATTCGTCGGCAAGATCGAAGATCTCGCTCAGGATGAAATGGTCGAAATCCAGAGCCCATTTTGTGTTTCCGAATATCATGCGTAGAATTTCTGGTGTTGTTAGCCATTGGACATAAAAAATAGCGATTTGATAATCTGAACTTACCGGGATCAAGTGCATCGCTTTGCCCTTCTCTATTATTCTGGAAGAAGTATGCATATAGAACCGATGCATGACGAAGCTGAAGAATCGCCCAGGGCACTGCTGATGCGAGGTTTCGCTTATTGAGCCTCCCTTTGAAGCCCAGTGCAGCCTGCAAGCTCAAGCACCGCGGAATATACGGATGGGTCATGAGCTTTTCCTGCTCAGTCGTAAAGTTGCAGTTGACAGGCAATGCACGGAAGATCTCGTTGATAAACGTAGCCTGGGCCTCTGATGAAAGTTGCCGTAGAGCCACCATGAGAATGTCGTCGGTGTTGACATCGGCTCCGCATGCGCGGCTGAATGCAAGGGTCAATGCAGCAATGGCTGACGAAAACTTCGTCTCGTCGTAGAGACTGCCGGCCGATCCAAATGAATGCTCCATCAGGCGTAGCTGTGTTTGTCCCTCGCTGTCGAGTATTACGGCGGCGCATGAGTTCGGGGAGAAGCTGACAGAGAAACCCGGGGTGTCCATTGGGTATTGGAAACCTGCCTGGGCCAAACAGGTCACCGTGCTTGTATCGTCCATGCCATTGAAGACGGCCATGGTTCTTGTGTCGTAGAATGTGATGGAGCTGTCATCGTGGGTGATGGCCAAGGCGGTGCCGTGCTCAACTAGGTCCACCGAGACGATGTATTTATCGCAATAGATATCCTCAAGTCGACGAAGATTCATTTTGGACTAATAACACAATCAGCAAGTTTGGACAACGTGAAAGATATCTGCGTTCATACCTTGTTTTGTGGACTATTCTTCTTTGAGTTGACTTCATTGAACTTGGGATGGAATGATTGGGGCGCAGACTCCAAATGCCATCTCACAATCACACTTGGCGGGCCTTGTTGTTCTGGGTATTCAGGGGTAGCGTGAAGAGGTTTGGAAAAGACAGCAAGTATCCATGGGCTCGCTGTTGATCCTGATGGGCTATCAATCTGACCCGGCATGATATCGAGTCGAGTTAACGAGTAGACGAAATTAGGGAACAGCATTGGCTGATCCGTATGTTCTTCAGCGCCACGGTTGACACTGAAGATACTGCTGGGCATATCGATTTTGCAGTGGAGAAAGCGGAAGGTAGGAATAGGGAACTGATTTGGTTGTTTGGCCTGGCTTGGGTCCCATTGCGGTGGATTCCAGGTGATGTGTACCCGGTAAAGACAGATCTTCTGGCACACCGAGTAGGTGGCAATCAAGATTCCAGCTACATTTGAGTCGTTAGCATCCTACAACTCATATCTCGGGGAGAGTATGTGGCACCTTGAGTTGCAACCAAGGCTGCGTGTGTCAAAAGCCTGTCTGAATACCCAGTGTTCTTGAGTTCAGCAGGCAATTCGGCCCACTTGCTATCCGGGTTTTGGTACATGAGCCTGATCTGGCCTGCTCGGGTCACACAGATTAGTGCGCCCTTATTGGCAGGGTGAAAAGGGCCAATTGGGCGTCGACGGAAGGGCGAATATGCCCATCGGCCGTTCACTTTGGCCGCCTGGTGAAAGGCATGGACCTGGGAATACGAGGTTAGATCTTGGATGACTGGCTTGATTGGAAGGGTTGCTTACGGAGCGGGAAGTGTTGAGCCACATCATACCGACAACCTGGTTGCTATCATCGCTCGAGTCAAAAGACGCTTGGCGCAGCCCCGTTATGCTATTCAGAGCCATGGATATTGAGTAGATGGAGACTCGTCCCAAGCAATCGACCACGGCCAGCTCCGACCCGGTCTCGTTCCACGATAGATGAATTAACTGACTACCACTGTGGGCTTCAGTAATGGGTCCCAGCGAGGACTCCTCGCTCAGAACCCACTTCCCATCCGATGGGCGACATTGGAGATGCCGGACATTCACTCGGGTTCCGTCAGGGGAGATGTAAGCAATACAGCCCATTCGAGACCAGGTAATCTTCCTAGGCGGATTGTCAGTCTATACCCGGTCAAAGATAAGAACGACAACTAACTGTCGGCAGCCCAACAGGCGCAACTCGTCCAAACACTGGGCGAGACCTTTGGTGGACGGGGGAGCAGCTTGAAGACCCAGCTCCAAGGAATTGGGCTCCCCAAAGAGGTCGTCGACGTTGATGCCCTCCTCCATCATCAATGGCATTCTGTGGAATACTCTACTTCTCACAGTTCAAGGGACGAATGGAGCTAGCCCCGCACGACATGAATGCTCAATGTCGATCTCGCCCGGGACCATTGGCGGTGTTGATATGGCTGGGGAAGGCCGAGGTGTCCGCCCGATGAGGATTTCCGGAACGGAAGGAGCAGTTCCCGGCTCAAAACCAGGCGCCAAAGGTCGATTATGTATGTATAGAAATCATCCAATGCCCAATATATCGTCTACCGGCCCGTCGATCGCACTGACTGGAGGCGTCTGTTGGAGCACGCGCCCTTTCCCAGCTGAGTCAGCAGTGACATCACATGACGGCTGCCCTGCCAACCGCGATTTGACCAATCACGGGCGGGCACACGCCCCACATCAGACTACGCCAATCAGAGAGGACGTTGCAGAGGGCAAAACGGACGAAGCGGGAAAGAAGGCTGTGAAGGTGGAAAACAAGACAATCAAATGAATAGCAATGGAAAAACTAGACCTTCGGATATACATAAAAAAGATATCTTTCCGTAGAAATGCATAAGTAGCCTTCAGATCGAACTATACCGTCCCGGCACCGAGTTCCCATACCACAACGAATCCCGCACAGAAACCCAACGTTACTTCGCATCAAAACAAGCGCATCATCGAGTCGTCGCCCGCACAAGAACCGGCCCAACATACCGGGGCTTTCTTCCATCCCGGCGATCTTCTTTCTTCGCAACCACATTCCAGACAGAACAGAAGCAACCCAACTTACCCGTACCCCTCCGCGGGTCAAAACAAATCCGTTTCGACGGCCCGTCCATTTCTTTTTCCCCAATTTATGAGAATCGACCCCCGGCTGACCTCATCGTCTGCAACTTCTCCCCTTTCCACCCACTCCTCCCTTCATCCCCCTTCCACCATTGAAACGGGGCTCCTGCTACTCTCCATTGATCGAGTTTAATACCCTGGAGTCCTGAATGGTTCTGCTATCTGTCATTTCTTCCGTTTGCGAGCTTTTTGGGACAGAATAGAGCGTCATCTGTCCCTTCGAACTGTTCCAACATCATCCCTAGAGCGCGCTTCTACTATTTCTGACCGCGGTTTTCGCTCGACGAGCGCACCTCTCGTAATGGATTACGATCTATCCGATACGTCAGACTTGAGCTCCGTGCCCTCGTCGCCCAGGTCTTCCCCCGAACCGGCGAGCCGGTACTTGACGCCTTCGTCGCAGGAGGGTGAGGATTCTACGCGCCAAGACTGCCCTCCGCGCAAGAAGCGGAGACGCAACCCCCTACCGAAAGAACGCACCACGCAATATCTGTCACTAGCCAAATCGTCCTACGAGCAACAAGACCAAGTTAAATTGCTCGTTGAAACGCTTCGCCACCAGAAAGACATCGTTGTCATTGCGGGCGCGGGCATCTCCACCTCCGCGGGTAGTAAGTTTTTCATGTTCCCGCGTTTCACATGGCACCCCAAGCTCACACCATATAGTCCCCGACTTCCGCTCCACGGATGGTCTTTTCAAGTCCTTACAAAAGAAACACAACTTGAAGGCGTCTGGCAAGCTTCTGTTCGACGCTGCTGTCTACCAAGATGACGCCCTCACAGCTCCTTTCCATGAAATGGTGCGGTCGCTATCCGTCGAGGCAGCCAAGACCAAGCCCACCAAGTTCCACGATATGCTTGCCCGTCTCGGCAAGGAGAGCCGGCTCAAGCGCCTGTACACCCAGAACATCGATGGCCTCGAAACGTCCATGAAGCCATTGGAAACCGAGATCCCGCTCAACGTCAAGGGCCGCTGGCCCGTTACGATCCAATTACATGGAAGCATCACCAAGATGGTCTGTCAGAAGTGCCGCTATCTTAGCGACTTTGTACCCAGCAGGTTCTGCGAGGCCGATCCCCCGGAATGCGACGAGTGCTCGATCAAGAATGAAGTCCGCACGACGACTGGCCAACGGAGCCACGGAATCGGTCGCATGCGCCCGCGCATTGTCCTCTACAACGAACACAACCCCGATGAAGAGGCAATTACTTCGGTTATGAACGCCGATATCAAATCTCGGCCCCGCGTTCTCGTCGTCGCCGGCACCAGCCTGAAGATCCCGGGAGTCCGTCGTCTTGTGAAGAGTCTCTGTCCAATTATCCGCGGCCGCAAAGACGGAGTCACCATGTTCATTAACAACGAGCCGCCTGTAGGCAAAGAATTTGAGAACTGTTTCGATCTCATCGTGCAAGGATCCACAGACGACGTGGCCGATCTGGTGAAGCTCAAGCACTGGGAGGATTGCACACCCTACGAGATGCTGCCCGAGCCCGTCTTCGGAACGAGGCACAGCTCGGACGAGGAGTCCGAGACCGAGCGCGAGAAGAACACCGTCTCCGTGGTTATCAATTCGACACCGAAGAAGCGTCCTCACAGCGAAACTGGACTGTTTACACCTTCTTCCAGCCACGACGAGAAGCCACCAGCCAAGAAGCTGGCCAACCCCGCCAGTCGCGGTCGCAACCTCAACGACGTGCTCAAGGGCAGCAAAACGACAGCGCCAGCCAAGCCCGTTCGCAAGAAGGCCACCGCTACGGGTACCAAGAAGGCCAAGGCCGAGCCGGCCAAGACTGCGAAGATCACCACATTCAGCCGTGTCACCAAGGCATCCAAGCCCCCTGCTACGACAGAAAAGAAGATCGTCAACGGCAAGCCCATGCGTCCTCTTCCAGCTGGTGCTGCCCGCAACAACGGGCTCCTCTTCCCAAATCTTGTCAAGAAGACAGGCGTCGACGCACCCGAGAAAATCGAGCAAGCCTTGCCCGAAATCATCACCCCTTCTTCCTAGGTCTAATACTTTCTTCCTGTGACGATACATTTCTTCGACACCATTGCATAATGCATACTGCACATGGGCGCGGGTTCTCATACCATTCATCTTTTTCTGTTACTTTACATTCATGGGTTCCCCTTTTTTGCCACTCTTCCATGCCTGGGAAGAGGTCGGCTCTTTCTTCCGTCCTTCGCGAAAGATACCAACGATAGACTACGGTTCCGTTGCATGGGGTGGCGTTGGCGTTTCCGAGCTTGAGTGGCCGGTGTTTTTGGATGATTTGTGGGTTATGTTCGCATGCATGTGTGCGTTCGGTGTCTGATAGTCTTGTGATGGGTCTGTGCTAGGGTATTACCTCTGCTTGAAGCTTGAAAACACGACTTGGATACTTTGATCTACAACTTCTCTCTCGTAGTAGACTTCCAATCACTTGTAAGCTGACGTGAGTTGCATCGTAATCCAAGTCAGAATCTAGAGCGTGAATTGGACTGTCCGGTCTTTGAGATACACATTCAATGTTGACCACCTTCAGGAGAAAGCCATTAAAGAGAAACATTTGAAATCAACTCAACTGCTTGCGCTACAACATGCCGCGAATAGATTCCCTTCCGGAAACTTCATGAAAGAGCGTGCCATGACTGGAATCAAGCATATCGCCCCATTAACTGCAACTGCACGGTATATGGCAGAGGTATGTTCGGGCTCAAGCATGAATCCATTTAACATTATGTGTATTGTACAACAAGCAACCCAAAACCAACTCCCGATCTGCAAACTTGGAACATCCAAGAGCCAAAGCCAAACATGCAGACCTTTTAACCCAGACCAAGATCATTGTGCAACTGGCTACCCGGCCCATCATCATCATCCGTCTCATCAGCATCCGGATCCATAGGCCTAGAACCCCCATCCAGATCCTCCACGCGATCAATGTCATCCTCAACCTTCTTCTCCTCATGCTCCTCCTCCTCTTCATCCTCAGCCTCTTCATCAGCCTCTTCCTCCTCGATCTCCTCCTCCTGCGTCTCGTCTCCATCCCCATCACCCCCAATCACGACCTCGACATTATCATCACGCTTCATCTTCTTCGCTGGTTGGTCCGTCATCTCAGCATCCTCGTTATCGCCCTTCGCCGCGGGTTCTCCGGTAGGGGCATCGGCGCCGTTGACGTCGGACTTCTTGGCCTTGCGCTTGCCGGCCTTGATCTCGGTGTATGCTTCGAGCTCTTGCTCGAGGCGGGCTCGGAAGGAGTCAAATTCGAGTTCGGTAAGAGCGCTGAAGACGTCTGTGGGAGCGATGGTACGCTTTAGGGTTGCGTCGTTGGCGCTGTGTGGTGTTAGCTTTGCCATTCGTTTCTTCTTGTGGAATTTTAGTGTAGATAAGGGGGAGGTTATCATACTGCGACGAAAGATAGGAGACGAAGACGGTAGCTGCTTTCTGGATAGCCAGCACAGCGTCCTTTTGGATGGTGGTGTTGGGTGGGAGCACCGCTTTGGCGAGACGGATTGTCAGGGAGCGAGGAAGCAGGTAGTCCTGAAGATGAGGCGTTAGCTTCACTCCTCATCCATCGCAACGTTGGAAGCTGTAGAAGCCGGTATCAATATGTATGCCTTACATCGACACTAACGCCAGCCTCTGCCCGCGCCTTGATCTGCTGCTCTGTCGCCGTGATGGGCTTATCGGCCTGTGTCTGCTGTGGTGATACTTGCAGCGAGTCACCTTCCTCGGCGGGTGTCATTGACGACGTGGACTTGCGCGGAGGCATGGTCGGTGTGTGGGATTCCTTTGTCGATAATGGTCACCGCTATGCGGTCGGATTGTCGGTGCGGATGGGATATAATAGGTTATTGGCAGCTGAAATAAACCAGAAAAACAGGGTTCCGGCCCTGATACTGCAGGATTCGAGGTGAAGGGACAATTGCGGGTGGTTAATAGGGTGGCGGGAGTTGGAGAACGCGAAATTCGCGACGCGGGTTGCATCTGGGATGCGCGCGGTGTGGGGTCTTGGCTACTTGACCCTCGTTGTACTTGTCCAGCTACAATTGCTACAATTTTCTATATCAAATGAAACGAACTTAGAAATTCTTTACTCATTGAATCGCTGTCTTTATTGTATTGACAAATGCAGGGAAATTAAAAGATCCGACATATAACGCCTACTTTTTGGTATCAACGACAACTGATGCCTTCGTAACAGGACTCGAGGAATCTCTACTCGGCCATCTCCTCGCCGTCACCTTTGCCGTTGCCCCAGAGACCCTCGATCTTGAACTCCTTGGCCCACTCGGTGACAACCTGCGTGGTATCGGCGCCAGAACCGGCGGTGGCTGTGGTGGTCGCCGCATCAGCTGTGACAACAGGCAGGACCGGTGCGTTGGCCCAGCCCTGAATACGACCATCTCTCCAGTCATTGATCACGGTCATGGCGGCGCTCTCAATGTTGGGGATACCGCCCTTTCCAAGACGTCCGCGCTTGCGAGCCACCTGGATCAGGAAGTCGGTGGTCTTGTCACCGTGGGTCGGGAAGAGAGTGTTGATATCGTAGAGCTCGAGCATCTTGGCGATCAGGTTCTCCGAGGCAGAGAGTCGCTTCACCAGGAGGTTAACCGCGGGAATCGGGTCCTCGATCTGCTTGGGCGGGATGGCGTTGAGCAGGACAAGGCGGGCCTGCTCGTTCTCCTTGGACTTCTTGCTGGTCTTGCCGTCGGCAGAGGGGAAGACAATACCGGGAGAGTCGATCAGCTTCAGCTTATTGTCGAGCTTCACCTCGCGCATGTTGGTGGTCACACCGGCCTCAGCGCCGGTAGGGCAGGCGTTGCTGGAGCCCTTGTTGAGACGTGCAGTCAGGGCGTTAATCACCGAGGACTTTCCGACGTTGGGGTATCCGATGACACCGACGGAAATGGAGCGTTTCAATTGCTTGCTGTGGGCATAGGTCTTGAGCGCACGGAAGAGAGTATCTGAGGTGCCCTTGATGGTCAATTGCTTGTGGTCGAAGCTGTGTGCGTTGCCGGCGCCGTTCGATGCCTTAAGCGGCAGAGTAGGGAAGTAACGGCGCAGGTGCACCAACCAGGCCTTCAAGACGGGCGGCGGGACGAGATCAATCTTGTTCAGGATGAGGATCAGACGCTTGGAGCCACCGTCGGCAGCCATGATCTCGCGCTCAACCTCCTTTGACCGAGTACCCTCCGGATCGCGGGCATCCAAAACGTACAGCACAACGTCCGCAGCCTCGGTGACATTCTTGAAGACTTTGTCGAACTGACGTCGTGAGCTTTCCTTGGGGCGTGCAGTGACCAGGTCTGGAGCAGAGTCGTCGAGCATCGCGCCACCCTGCTCCTCGTCCTCATCCATCTCATCATCGTCGTCCTCGTCCATCTCGTCATCGTCGCTCTCATTGTCGTCATATTCCGCAGCCCGGGCGCGGGCAGAGGCGAGAAGTGCAGCCATGGGGTTCGAGTCGTTGTCATCCTCGTCCATGTTATCGTCCACAAGGTCGTCTTCATTGATGTCCACACCCTGGTTACCACCCTGAACCTGCTTGGCCTCGGCGCGGCGAGCACGAGCCTCCTCACGAATGCGCTCCTGCTCCTCGCCCTTCAGGCGCTTCTTCTCCTCGATATCATGGAGGAGCTTGTCCTTGAACGGGAAAAGGTTGGGGATACCCGGGTCCTTCTTGAGCTTAGACCGCCATTCTGGGTTCTGTTAAAACGAGGGTCAGCACCGATTCAATTCCACACGGATTGATGTTCTGAATAATTACCTTCTTGGCCAACTTCTTCTGCTTCCTCTGCTTGGCAACAGAGGCCTTTTCAATCTTGTGCCTAAGGCGGACGGGCACCCGCTTAGAATTCTTGCCTGCAGGATGGTCAGTACGGTCAAAATTTTTACAGGAAAAGTTTTCTGTGGAGTGCGATCATACCGAGCTTGACCATTTTGCCTGCACGTCAAAACTGAAAGAGAAAAGACGAAAGAGTGCAGATGTTCTCCGATGCTCCGCAAGTTTGATTTCGAAAAAGTTGGGCGCCAAGATTTCGATAAGCGGAACAACGTGGCACCGATCGCCGATCAGGTCGGCGGGTCGACTACGCCTTTGAGTATGGCAACCGCCACTTTGAATATTCTCTCGTCTTTCCTTTCCTTCTTTCCTCTATAGACTTAGATTTTTTCTTCTTCACTCTCTCAGAAACGCAATTTGCTTTTACAGTCACCTTCTTTCGGATACGTGCCTTTTTATCTCCATTAGAACGCCTGAACACCCCCCCCGCGCCACACTGCTCCCCCGCCATGACCATCACACCGGGAACTTTCTCCGCCTCGACAGAGATTCAAACCTTCGATGGTATCCTTTCTGACTTTGATGGAACAATTGTGGACTCTACAGATGGTATGCGCATAATTTTGAGCCTACTGGGCTCTATGCGACAACAGTGTAAGCTGACATATTACTCTTCGCAGCAATTGTGAAGCACTGGCACCTGTTAGTGAACACCGGACCCATAGATTCTCCAGGGAGCCTCCATCTGACTTGTATCTAGCATTGGTGCTGAGCTGGGCGTTGACCCCGAAGTAATTCTGGCCACTTCGCACGGCCGGCGAAGCATCGACACGATGGCACTATACGACAAGAGCAAGGCCAACTGGGAGTGTACGTTTTCTCCCTTACGATCCCCTTCCAAACGCATCTGACAATCCAAACTATAGACGTCAACTTCATCGAAGGCCGCATCCCGAAAGAATACGGCTCCGACGCCAAAGAAATTCCCGGTGGCCGCGACATGCTCGCCGCACTCCAATCCTCCGGCGCGAAATGGGGCGTCGTGACCTCCGGCACAAGGGCCCTTATTGACGGCTGGCTCGACGTGCTAGGCCTCCCACACCCAGAAATGCTGGTGGTAGCCGAGGATGTAGAGCTGGGCAAGCCGGACCCGCGCTGCTACCTGCTAGGCCGGAAGAAGCTGGGAATCGAGTCATCATCGGTGTTGGTGCTGGAGGATGCGCCCTCGGGGATCAAGGCGGGCAAGGCGGCTGGGTTCAAGGTGATTGCGCTTGCGACGACACATAAGCTAGAGCAGCTGAAGCAGGCTGGTGCGGATTGGATCGTTGAGGACTTGCGCAGCGTCTCGGTGAAAGGCGTTGTGGATGGGCGGGTCCAGATCGAGATTCGGAATGCGTTGCAATAGCTGCGTTTCTGCAGGGGTCAGGGATGTTTGTGATTGCACATGCAACTGGAGTTTTGAGTTACACAGCATAGAGCAGGGGTGCTTTCATGAAATAAACTTGTGCTTAGCTTGTACATTCACGGTTAGGCTGGACCTTGCTGCTGAGGTTTACTTCATGGTACTTGGTGTACTTTTGCCTTTCAAGGGGCTCTGGAGCTTTGTAAATAACATAACGGGCAAATGGGTGAAAAACAGTGTCATTTCGTATTTGATTGAGTTTTTTTGACTTAATCGAGACGGATTTACAGGATTCGGTTTTCATCTGACAGCGTTGGAGCATAACGGTGCTTTCTGGCGTTTACCCGGTACACCGGAGGAGCATAGGCCTCTTGAAACGAATAAATATCTCGATGCATCCGATTCCACCCAGCACTCGAAAAACCCATCCTTGAAACCCGATACGCCGAGCCCCGAAAATGAGGCGCAGGATCAAAATATAACGCTCGCTACGAAGGGTAGGAGCCTCGCCTCAGCCAAGGATGTAACTCTATATTAGCCTGTACGAACGTGATGACAGCAGTACATATTACAGGGACCAGGATTACAGAGGTGAGGCTCGAGGTCTCACTCATCCCGTCTCAATCTAGACCCCGGCCCACGCCCAAGGGACATAGGTGGCGGCTTTTGAGAAGCTCGCCATCCTTGCAGGGCGTCCCCGGGCACGCCCATCAAACAGGGCGTGCAACAGGATTTCCGTAACGACCGGCCGCCCCGGTACCATCCTGCGAACTGTAGTTCATGCACATTGCATCAGCGACGAACCCCGTTCGAACTCGGAACTTGCAGCGATTGGTAAGTAGAACGCGAACCCAACCGGAAGCTGCAGCTTCTTGCAGCAAGCTACGTAGCTGGCCTTGACGAGGGAAATTTTATCCCCGGCAACAAAGACCGTTGTGAGATGGTTATTGGGCCGTCGAGATGTTACAGGTCCTGCCGATGCGCGGAAGGACTGAGCTTCCTCAGTGGTCCGGCTGCAGGTTATTTTCTGGGTCAAGGGCTGGAAATCACGCAAGGGAGAGTGTTTTTTTCAGTTGCACCCTGCGCACGGGTCGAATGCTGCTGTACGGTTGACGCAGACTCCTAAATATCAGTCTCGTGAACCAAGAAACAGAACCGTGTCCCGGTGGTTTCACGGTGGCTTTGACCCCAGCGGTCTGCGTGATGGTGAATGTGGCGGCAATGCAGGGCCATCACGTACATACAGCACGGGTTTTCTTGTGCCAGGGTTCCGATCTGGGCCACAGCATCGGGACGAGAATCGAATCGCGAGCGATCCTACGGGCGGTCCCGAGTGCGTGGCTGATCTGGTCAGGTCGGGATCATCTGGTTGCTGTACGGTAAGGTAGCAGGCCCACAGGTTTGACAAATACCTGCAGGTTGACTCCTGGGGATCACGCACCGCCACAGGGTTTGGTTTTTTTTGTATTTTCAGGTGTGCCACACCAAGGGATGAGGAAAGGTGGAGAATTCGAGGGCTAGGTGGATCTGTCACATTCGAGAGGACCGTGGTTCAGGCGATCTCGGCCCAAGCCTTGAACTATAGACCGAAAAAGCCCGACAAGGGAAATGACGAGTCAGAAGGGAAACCCGGCGGCTCGATGACTCGAAGGAAAGCGGGGGATCGGGGGTGGTGCGTGGTCGATCCGAGGATCCCCCATGCCACTGTAAGCAACTAAAAGAGAGGCTAAGTGATGCGATATCGTCGCACGAACCCCGGCGTCGATCATTCGGGACATTCGGGGTATTTCTCTAGGTGAACCCATTCGGTTGCTGCTCAATGCATTTGCCGAGTTCGATATTTGAGATACCGTTCCACCGCAACGGTTCACTCCAGATCCAATCAATAGTCAGATGGGGCCCAAGCGATCCGTGCGAGCTCATCGCAGATCATTCCAGGGGCACGTCAGGTCGTAGGTCGATTGTGTCCCGACTACGGAGTGTCAATGACCTCAAGTGACATGGTGATAGCTGAGAGCTGAGAGCTGTTGGAATACCGTACAATGCCATGACATCCTCGAAGTGCCGACTCGGAGATTCTCGCCTCGGCGGGAATTATAGTTGACGGTATTATAGTCCACCACCTTGGGCAGCTACGTGTTTTTCGACTGAGCACCTCACACCTCAGTGGGGCAGCCGAGGGGCAGCGCAGACAAATGTGATTTGCAACGCTGATAGGCGCCCTGCACGTGAAGCCTCACCTTTTTGACCACGGTCCGTTGCTGACGTGCTGCGTGGGTGTCATATTAGCTCGGACTTCAGAGCGCAGGGTATCTGAAGATTCGGTACAGAATACGCCACCGGGCCACGTTGTGATCCTTCTGCGAGGATCAGTACCGAATATCGAATGAGCTACTCCGTACTGACACGGGAGGATTTATCCGGGGAGAAAGGGTTTTAAACTCCCTGGTCGCGATCCACCTCGCTCCAGGTCCCCGAAGCTCTGTGAGTGGCGCATGGAATCGATCACCCGGGGCCCGATGGAGCGTTGATTCTCTTGGGATCTGATGCTTTATCCGGACAGGGCAGGAGATAAGGCAGATCATAGCGAAAGAGGGGTGTCGCCCTGAAGTCCGTGTAGCACTGCCCCCAACATACAGTATGGCCTTGGGCAGATGTTCCGTTGGACCGACCCACCCTTTGTCGGTCACCCGCGTGGTCTACGAAAGAGGATGAGAGTGTACAAGTGTACAAGTGTACTGGAGGAATGGAGTCAGTGTGAACGACGTAGCTGTCTAAGTTTGGTTTTGCACTTCCGGGACCTGCCCGACTCCATAATTTAGACTTTGGACTCGAGGGATCCTGTGGAACGTTTTGCTGTCAGGAGAGACTTTTTCAGGACGAGTGTAGTGATCAATCCTAGGAATCGTCGGAGGAACATCGTCTAGCTTTACAGCTGCACAGTGGAGCGTCACGGCTCTCAAAAATGGGCAAGACATCGTAATACACGGCCCGGGCAGCAGGTCCGCAAGGTCCGGAGCAGCGAGCCCCTGCGGGCGCATGTGAACTGCATGACGAAGAAGGGGGTGAGTGGCCAAGTCCCAAACGGGTAAGTGGGCAGATAGGGAAGAACAGGTGATCACTCCGTGATTTGCGTGCATGGCGACCTCTCGATCTAACAAGTTTAGCGCCGCGAACCCAGGGCCAACCACTCCCCCGGAACAGATTGTGTCACTTTGGCTCCAAGAATGACTGGGGCCTGGAGGGGAAGGGCAAGGGGAAGTGGAAGAAAAAAAGCTTGGCCGGTCCTGAGTGATCGACGGGATCTGTCGACTATTGATGTTTAGCTTCCCTTGGCTGCTGCCATGCGCCCTGGCCTACCTCTCAAATGGGCTTAGCAAGGAACGCCCATCCCAGACACGGGCGCGCTGACAGATCTCGGACACTTTGAGCACATTCGTCTGCTTCAGGACTCAATAGTGCCCTTTTCACAACCCTTTCCACAAGATCGGCGACATCATAGCCCTCCAACCCCGTCATCTTGCCGATCTTCATGACCCAGGACCCGACGCACCGGGCTTCTGTGTTGCCTCCGGAAATATCTCGAAACGCATACCTTCACTATGCAGGATCGCCATCACCTGTGCAGACAAAAGCCACGACCCACAGCTGCCCAGCTCGCGGGGGCGTCATAGTGGACATGATTTCCATTGCATGGCTCCACGATGGGCCACCCGGGCACACACTGGGATCAGACATGGCACTAATGCAGGAACTAACCAGGGTGTATTTCAGCGGCCTGCCCCGGTACTTTTCTCCAACTCGGGAGTGTTCTGCAGGCCGTAGGTCCCTACCCTGCATGGGGTATGTTAAGGTCTGGTAATACCGTGGATGGTTCCCGTTCCTCCGCACGCAAAACCATGGAACGCCGTGTTTACTATGTACCTGTTTATCCCGACTGTTACTGTGACCGTACGGACCCCGAGCCCGGGAGTATCTTTTATCGAAGTGGAACACACCTCAAACAGCGGTTTATCCGACTACATAAGACTGTTCGGGAGAGATCCATTTTTCTTCCACTTTACTCGACTACTCTACGAGTCCATGCTACAGTCATACAGGTCCCGGGGATTAGGACCGGTGGCAATGCCTGGGAAGCAGTGGGGATCGGAATATGGTCCCCGGTCGATATACCTTGTCTTAGGGGTAATTTCTTACTGATACGACACACAGGCCGCCACCCCCTAGAACCGCGGGCGGGTAGCGCAGCCTCGGGTGGAGAGATTCACGCTGGTTTTCAGCCCGTTTTCACTGACGATCAGATCTCACCCGAGCGCCCCGGCAAAATCCCCGTGTGCAAAAAGTAGAATTTAATATTAAATGTTAAATTACGTACCGAGTACCTGGTACCAAATACGTGCAGTTAAGCTAAAGAAGATTACCCTCGTACCGATCTCCCAATCACCGCCCGCCGCCGCGCACCCTCGTTACCGCCCTTTACCCCCCGACTCTTTCCAACTTCTCTCCCATCACTCTCTTTCTTGTTCTTCTGTCATTCTCTCTTTTCTTTTTTTTGTCGTTTTGGTTGGCTCTTAGCCCCCGTCTCTCCTTTAACACCGGGCTGTCTATGCTTCACTCTTTTCTTTTCCTACTGCTCCTTCCAGGGTCCCACCGCCGCACCCTCAACCCCCGATCACTCGTCGCGCTCTATGATATAGCCCTGCTTCTTCACGGCTGTTCTCCTCGTGCAGCGACCTCTTTCATTTCATCGTCCTCTCCTTCACTCCCTCCCTACCGATTGCCTCCGCCGCCATGAGCTACATCCACCCCTCATGGAACTACCCTCCGCATACGGGTCTACCAATGGACCACACCATGGCCTACGACCCGACTATGATGCCTCCGCCGATGATGCACCCCATGGAGGGGTACATGTACCCACATCCGCCCATGGAGATGATCGACTACTACCACCAACCCATCATGGACTATGACGAATACACAGAGAACCTGTCGCGGCCGCGATTGACCAAAGAACAAGTCGAGACTCTGGAGGCCCAGTTCCAAGCCCATCCCAAACCCAGTAGCAATGTCAAGCGTCAATTGGCCGCTCAAACAAATTTGAGCCTGCCTCGCGTTGCCGTACGTGCCCCGGTCTACTTTTGTGTGACCTCCCACTAACCTGCGCAACAGAACTGGTTCCAAAATCGACGCGCCAAAGCCAAGCAACAGAAGCGTCAAGAGGAGTTTGAGAAAATGCAGAAAGCCAAGGCCGAGGCCGAGGAGGCTGCTCGCCAAAAGACCGAAACCTTGGATCAGATGTCCGACTCACGACAACGTTCCGCCTCAAAGGAAGAGTCCGATAAATCTCCTACCCCCAAACCGACTCCCGCCGCTTCTGCATCGGATAGCAAGGCCGCTAGCGACGCCTCCCCGAACAAGCAGCACAAGAAAACAAAGAGCGACGTGGCCCGCGAGGCAACTTTCCTGTCCCTGCAACGGGCACTCAATGCTGCATGCGCCGCTCGCGATCGGTTTACTGGGCGAGACTCGAAGACCAGACGGGATGCCAAGCGAGAAGCTCTGCGGGAGGCTCCTCAAGAGGAGGAGGAGGATTCTATCTCTCCCACTTCGATGGCACCGCCCAGCGCTACCCCTAGGACACGCGAGAACAAGGAACACGCGACACTAAATCCCTATCAGAACTGGCCCGACATCAAGGAGGAGTCTGCTTCATGGACCCATGGCCAAACGGAAGCCTCATACCCGTCGACAAGCCAAGCGGTTCACGAGATGCCAAACGTCTCGCACTCTCTGCAACAGAATGTGGATGCGTACTCGGGAGCTCAATACCACACCCAGGCTGAGGAATGGGCAGAAAGTTCCAAGGACCAGCTCTCTGTGCCTGGTATGGGGCACGACGCCGCCCTTGGCTACAACAACATGCAGTACCCGATGTCTATGCCAACTCCAGATATTTCGCTCTCTCGACGGGAGTCATCTGATGCGTTGACTAACTCTTTGAACGGTATTGGAATCTGCAATGCCGAGTCTGGATTCTCGCAGTCTCAGAACCGAGTTGGTGGATCGTGGAAGGAAACGGGCAAGGAACTCGACCTTGCCGCGAGACGGAAACGTCCTCGCCCTGCTGCCATCGGCACCTCCAACACCCGCTCGCTGGCTAATTCGACTTCCATGTCTTCTCTGTCGCCTAGTAGCCGCATGCCCAGTGGTGCTAGTAACTCGATGAGGCACTCCAAGTCGACTCAGAGTCTTAACTCTCGGTATGCCGGTGTTAGGAAAGCTTCCGCCGCCCAGCGCTCCCCCTTGAACCTCACTTTTGCCGAGTCCGGTTCCATGAAAGCCAGCAAGGCTGATATGCTGCGGCCGTCGGTCTCGCAAACCACTCTGGCTCCTCCAACCCCCTTGACTCCGCAGGACTTCCAGCACTTCATGCCTGCTTCGCCAACCGAAAGCAACTACTGCCTGTCAGCGCATTCCACAACTCATTTCTTCCCTGCTTCGCACCCAATGCAAGTCAACATTGCATCGCCTCCTGCAACACCTCTTGACATCTACTCTCCCTTCCCTTATCAGAACGTCGCTCCGCCCATGTCAGCTCCGGCTCAGGTATCCAGCTTTCCGGAGTACGTGGCCTGCGACCCGGTCCCCATGACGGCCAGAAGCTGGGCAGATACCAATTCTCTTTCCTCGCCCGAATACCCAGTCGGTCTTCAAGTGCCACACTCGGCCACGGTGTCTCCTGTTGGATACGACGCGGGGATCGAACACCCGGGGAATGCCTTTGGGATTGAAAATGTATCCGGCTCTCCATCTCTGATCTACTCGATCGAGGATACCGACATGCCCGGTTCTGCAGATGCCAATGAGAGGAAGGCGACCGAGTTTATGATGCACGAGTTCCCCGGGCGGGCCATTCACGGGGGGCAGAAGCCCAAGGCTTACACGTTTGCGAACAATGCCACGCCGAGCAACTATCCTCCCTGAGGACATTGCCTCTGCCATCTCGATGGATGAAATGAGAAATGTGCCGCGATAAATATGCTTTTGTTGGTCTGGGACGAACCGCTACGCATCCTCTCGTCTCGTGTGAACCTTTTTTTCTTGTCTTTTTTTCGACCGCTCACGAGTGGCTTGTCTATTTCCAACGCTCCGTGCGCGGAGAACTGTCATTTTGAGATTTCCTACATACCCTGTTTCTTCTTGTCCTGTCTCTTTATTGGTATGGCTTCACCGGGGTTACATATTCGGAGCATTCTTTGCATTGTGTTTATTGGCCTGGGATTTTATACGTGGGTGTCCGATACGACTTTTAATTCTGCCGAGCTCGGCTCGAGCTTTCTCTTCTTTTCTTTTCTTCTTTTTTTGGTGATGGGCTCGGTTTTAAATGGGATTTGGACTTGCATATTTGGAAGCATTTGGTTATCTGATACATATCTGTCACGTATCTACTTAGGTACTTATTTTTCTGTCTCATAATATGAAGAGGAGAAGTCTACTTTGATTCTGGTTTTTCCAGTAAATTCTCTATTCTCCAAAAGATCTCGGACCTTAGGGGTATCGAGTCGGCTAGCCGATCCGGTAGATGCTAAATTGCGACATGGTTGCACGGAGACATGGCGTCCTTGGATCTAGCGACGCCTTTCCCCGCCAATCTGGAACCGGCATGCCACACGTGCCCCACGTCTTTGGACCGTGCACATTCCTCCGGCCCCCATATGACCCCGTTCAAGTATAAAAGAACATGACAATGCCAATCTGCTCAATTTCAACACTTGGTAGCACCGAAATTCGCTCGTTTTCTGTTACCACCTCCACATGAAGCTGTCCGCGCTCTCCCAGGCCCTACTCGGGTTCACCGCTTCGGTGCATGCCTCAACTATCCAGTACTCGACGGTGACGGGATACTTCTTGCAGGATGAGGCCTCGACTGACCCCTCAACTTTTGACTATGTATGCTCTTAAACCTCCGAATGGCTTAGGATACGGTCTAATTAGTCTCGGGCCTATAGACGGCAGTCAACTTCGGTCTCATCAACCGCACTTACCCAGCGGATAAAGAGCTCAAGCACCACCAGTCCCTGACACAATGGGAGCGGTTCTACCACCAAGTCCAAAAGCTCAACGATGACTCCCCCTGTAACGTAGAGTACAAAGTACTTTTCCTCGGTCGCCACGGAAATGGCTGGCACAACTCCGCAGAGACATACTACGGGACTCCCGCCTGGAACGTAAGTCCCCATTACCGCCTGTTTCCAACTTACGATAACTAACAAAAAATCCCAGTGCTACTGGGCCGAACTCAACGGCAACAGCACCGTAACTTGGTTTGACGCCGCCCTAACACCAGCCGGCGAAGACCAAGCCCTAGTCGCCCACAACTTCTGGCAAAGGCTAATCAACGAACAACACATCCACACACCAGACAACTACATCATCAGCCCGCTAATCCGAACTCTCCAAACGGCCAACCTCACTTTCAACGGACTGGACCTCCCGCACGGCGCCGCGCCCTTCGCGCCCGTCATCAAGGAACTATTCCGCGAAGGAATTAGCATCCACACCTGCGATCACCGCCACAACAAAACCTACATCCACTCCCTCTTCCCATCCTGGAGAATCGAACCCGGCTTCACCGAACAAGACGAGCTCTGGAACGGCGTTACCGCCGAGACGACCGCTGCACAGAAGGCGCGGAGCACCAGGGCGTTGGATGAGGTGTTTTTCACCGAGGAGTATAGTAAGAAAAATTCGTATGTTTCGGTGACGTCGCACTCAGGAGAGATTGCGTCGATTCTCAGCGTTCTGGGACATCGCAGATTCAGTTTGAATACCGGCGCCGTGATTCCTGTTCTTGTGCGGGCTGAGCATGTTAAGGGGGAGAATACGGCTACTTCGTCGCTGCCGTGGACTGCTAGTGCTCATTGTACTTCGCCGCCGGTGACTAGTGTGTCGGCTTGCGTTTGTGCTTCTAGTGCGTCGCCTGTTACTACGCCGCTTGTTGCTACTGGTATTTAAATTTGGATTTCGTGCTGGGTGTATATATGGACCGGGTTATCTAAAGGATAAATTGCGAAAATATGTTGTTATTTGCTCTATACCACATTGGAAGTTTCGGATGTCTTGGAATCCTGCGATAGTCAACGCATAGTATTACATTGCCTTCCTTTACTTACCATAAATGTTAATTTCACGATCGATGCCATTCAAGGTTCTATTATGATGTGAATATAGGTATAATTTCCAAGTTTCTGGATTAATTCACGAGACGATGGCACTATTTGATGATCGTGGCGACACAATACTGTTTACCGCACTTCATAAGGCTCCCCCTGCCTTATTAAAAAAATAATTTTCGAAATTCCCTTTCACCGATCCATTTCTGTTGCAAAAAATAATAATGTCACAAAAACAAAAAATGAACGTCCCCGGGAAGGCTCGAACTTCCAACCTCCTGATTAACAGTCAGACGCGCTAACCAATTGCGCCACGGAGACAATTCGTTGATAGAGCAGACCCACTAACGAAACCTAAGGACAGGTGTCACTAGCCTCAACTAAGCTTGCACTTACACTTGTCTCATTTGTTAAAAGGGAGGTGCATCTATAAATGGAGCACTTGTGCTCTCTGCTTCTGCGTTCTGTTTTCTTCCTTTGAAAATAACCACATTTGTTTTTAAATGCCGATCTAGCCATGGTTATCTTATTTGTATGTCGTTCTGAGATATTCTCGAAGGCTTCATGGTGGGCTTGATGTATACGCTTCTCTTATTTTTGTTAGCGTTCCTCATCGCCCAAATCCAAAGTTGAAAATGACAGTGATGGGCCGGTTTTTCTTATAGTAACGGGCAATTATAAGGTCAACAAAGCATTTCGAGAGATTCGCGACTCATCGGGACTGCCCATATTCCGATTCGAATAGGTCTGGTCGAATCAGTGACAATGAGTGGCCCGCGGACCCTCCAAGACAAGCCACAAAGCCAGAAGACCCAGTGCTTGCCGCTCCGTCAGGAACACAACCACCAAGCGCTTTTGGTGCTTCAGCAACCCGTTCCTTGAGAATCGGCCTGAGAATCACCCTGGACCCCAAAGTCAAAAGCAAAGTCAAGATGACCGAACAACCGCCCACCCTAACTGAGACGACAGGACGGAAACGCTCCGCTTCGGGAGATATCGTGGAGCGCGAACGAAACTGCAAAGACAGTCCACTCATGGCATAGCAGATAACGAAGCTGGACTAACACCTTAAGCTCTATCCTGAAAAACATGTTATAATCCACCCTTCTCACACAGACTATCTCTATACGCCCAACCTTGTCCACAAAGGAAACCTGGACCATCCAGGATGACATCGAGATTGTCCCCCAGGGTGCAGAGATTACAATTTCAATTAATCAGTATACAAAAGAAGGAAGAGTCCGGCCTCATATTTGGGACAGAATCGCATTCACCCAGTCATCATGCAAATCCTTGGGTAGAACGTTCATAAAACAGCACAAAGTCCCAACAGGGGTCAACGAGATAATAACCACTCATGGTCTTCAAGTCCTATACGCAATAAGTCGTATTCTACCATTATAGGTATGACTAGGTCATATGGTAGTCTTGGGGCTATAGGCCAGTTGGAGGAGGATTGTCTGTTTGTTTTCTAGAATGATCTATGCTTGATGCTTCTGTTAGACTACGGGAAGCCTCCAGCTTCCGGAGAAGTGCCATTTGTAACAAGAGTGGTTGAAAGAGCCCTCTTGCCCTGCCTTCTCTCTCTTTCCTTTCCTTTTCAACTTGATGTTTTACTTTTCTAGGACCTAATTGAGACTTCTTCCCTCTTTTTAGCTTGCCTGCCGGTAACAATAGGCACTGCCAAGTGTGCAAAGCTACTGTACGACAAAAGCGTTACGCGACTTGTAACAAATATTACACGGCCGAAGAGTTTTGTGCCGCCCATCATCAGAGCATGTGGTCAAACAAAGTTACATAACCCAAATAAGAAAAGCTTGTTTCTCAGTCATGGACGTAACCAGCACAACTAGACGTAATTTTGAGGGCGCAACCACAAAAAGTATACATTAATCAATCCTTTTCCCGTTTTTGAACACTTGAAGTAGTCCAAAATTACCCACTGAGTTTGGTACAATAGGTACATTGATAAACCTAAACGCGATCCGAGCCGAATGCCACAAATTGAGTTTTTCCTCGACGCGAGCGTCAAAAATTGCACACTGGATAAACACACCCTTGCAAGAAGCAAAACAACAATTGCCAATGGCTACTAGGCGGGCAAAAAGGTCGTCCCCGGGAAGGCTCGAACTTCCAACCTCCTGATTAACAGTCAGACGCGCTAACCAATTGCGCCACGGAGACTTCGTTAAAGCCCACGGCCGAATTTACGCCTGGTAGGACCCACAATTTGGCCAGATTCGACGATAGCAAAGAAGGTCGAACAGTGAACTACTGTGTCGATTGCTGTTTGTATTGACCCCACGGTTGAGGATACGGAAATAAAAAAAGAAAAGCAAATCATTCAAGGCTAAAAATGATGGTACAAAGGAGCGGCCTCATAAATCCGGCTCTCAATCATCAGGTAGGAGTGGTGTAGTCAGACTACACATCATTGACATTTGGAGCGCTTTCTCCCGTTTAAGGATCCTTCTTTCCAGAAGACAATCCAAATTTCGATCGCAAGAGGGAAATTGGAATGATTGCCACGTTTGTTGGGTAGATTGTTCATAGCGCTCTCGGTCAACAAATGTATCCCATGTATCGAGTACGATCTCGGATCGAAAGATGGCTCTTCCCAAAAGCATTGTGTACGAATTATCGGGAAAGTTCTGCAGCGAGGGCACCGGCTATTGGGGGCCTCTAGGCCGCATTCCTGGGGAATAGGGGCCCCAAAACCATGGGATTCGGCGCCAGCAGACTCGAAAGTAGCGGTTCTTGTTTTCCTCGCCGGAAGTCCCCATTGCCAGGTCATACAGGACGTCCATGCGAGGACCACCTCCACTTTTCACTTTCTCCAGAGGCAGTTCCCACCAAAACGCTTTGACGCAGTCCCACTGGACTTCGGTGAGTTTCAACCATCCTATCGACATCGACTGCACAGGGGGCTGTTGAACCAACATGCGGCACCAGCTCGCATTTTCGCGGAAATATGCATCTTTATGGTCTTCGAGGAGCGCACGCATTGCAGAGGCCCCGGAAGCTTTCCTACAAGCGTTTCGGTCGTCGGAGGGGAACCAGTAAGGGAACGGATCAACAAGAAGCGGGTTCACTTCGGGCGGAAAATTCATTCGTGAGGTGGGCTGGAAAGAAAGTGCTTGCTGGAGCGCCGGAGACCCTCGGATGCAGCGTGCCCAGTGTTGGCATGTTAGCTGGGCTAATAACAGAGTCTGTTCATCCACTCGGATTAGGATAGCTTCGAGGATTTCCGGTGGAAATATGTCAAGTCCCATTTCTCCTGGTCAATTCGTGTAGACTTGAGGTTGATGTTGAGGCTGTCGCGATTATATCCTCATGACTGTCCAAGCCTTGGAAACGAAGGCCGCGGGAATAGCTACGCGTGGCTGAGTTATGGTGGCAAGGATATTCCCGGACAAAGCTAAGCAAAAAAAAAATTAATTAAGAAACAAAAACCAATGACTGTCCCGTTCCTGCAGGAGACAAAGTTGCTTGACTAGGAAAAGTCTGCCTTGGCAGGCAGAGTGGGAGGTCCAATTTGCCCCCAACTTCGTGAGGCTTATAGAATGCGTAAGCACGTTTGTTTGGGTTTGGGTTTGGGGGGGGGATAACGCGGATCGGCATCAGTGGATGACACCTGAGGTCCGCAGGCAACCTGTGGCTTTCCTGGAAACGAACATATCTAAATTGTGAGTGATCCATGGCAAGCAAGTCACCATTGAAGCTACCCAGCAAAGCTTTTCACGTATCCCAAGTACTTGTTGGGGTCAATACAGGACCTTCAAAATCTCGACAAAGGGATGGAGTTGATACAGCGACCTAAATCCTTCCAGGATGCGTAAATGTTAATATTTTGCTGTTCCGTGCACAGTCACAGCGGGGTCTATTTCGAGGTCTATTTCAGTCTATTTTAGGGTCTACAGAAGTGATCGGGGCCAACATGGTCATTGCCCCTTATTCGACAGGGGGCGACAGGGGACGAGAGATTCTAAACATAGCAGAGAAAACAATTGCACTCTTATAAAAATATACAGGTTGCTTTCCTTTTGTCGAATTTTGGTCTTGTTATACATAGCAGAAGGGGGAACGGCGCATCTATACAAGTCAAGTATAGACATTCGTCACGGTTTGCTCTAACTCCCCCGGCTTCCTCGCTCTCTTGTTTTGCTTCGCGGGCTTGGTACAGCTCTCTGCTGCCTCTCCCCATGGATCTGTTTGGCTCAGAAGAGATCTCCTCGACGTGGATGTCAAAACTCGCTTCTTTGTAGAGGAAAGCTCCAGGAGTGCAAAGGACTATAGTGGAGGAACATGCGAAGGGTTCCCTGTGGATGTGTCTAAAATGTACAAGGAGTCCATTGATATGGCCCAGGTGAGCTTGGATGCCATCAACAATTACGCCAATGATGCGCGTGTCCGCACCTATCGCCGGTTTGCCACTGCGTATTACGTCAAGTCATGCGACTGGTCCGATATGAGTTGCAACCACGCATCGTGAGGATTTTGGCAGCATATGGTATATTCTTTTGGGCGAAGGCTAGTATTTGTTTCAGAGTATGCCGATAACTTCTTTCAATCTACATTCAGTCTCATCTAACCCGCTCGCTTGGGCCCCGATATCTGTTTCTGGGAGCAAACATGGAGCTTTTATGTGCACTGGGCGTCTCAAATGGCTTTGGGAATATACAAAGTCCCTCAATTAACCACGTACACATTGGTGCGCCTCGTTATTAACTGCTATCGAGCTTTTGAAACCAGTGATCGAGCTATAGTTTTACTCTGTTCTAGTATCCACGGGGACATTACATGTGTTTTGTATACCCAAGTCTGTAGATTACAGATATATATTGAGCCATCACGAATATGATGCTCAAGTACCAAATTTCAGGGGCGGGAATTGGGGGTTGAATTAATACACCAGGCTATTTAGGTAATTTGTATACTTAGCAAGCACTCAATAGTAAGTTAAGCGATAGGAAATCTACAATTTAGTCTAAACTCGGATTTCACTAAGGTCGCAAAACACAGCATTTGTTTCGAGTACACAAGAAATTCTGCCAGAGAGTTATTTTGCTATATTTTATTTTTAGACCCGTTACCCTATCAAATCGTCTCCGTGGCGCAATTGGTTAGCGCGTCTGACTGTTAATCAGGAGGTTGGAAGTTCGAGCCTTCCCGGGGACGACTTTTTTTAATTTTAATTTTTAAAATTTTCCACGAGTGAGTAAGGGTGCAACGCAAAAATATTTTTGCCAACAGCAAGGCAGAAATGGGGAAGAATTAATTGGTCCTAAAGTCTAGGCAAAATTTATGTAAAAAGCGCTTGGGAAAGTTTACGTTAATTTGGGCATCGATCGTAAGGAACAATGGGCGATCAACAATGGGCGGACAATGACATACGTGCACAGGGTACAGGATGGATCGAAATCAGCTTCACCAATGTTCTCACTGTATAATTGGATGGACCTCCTGGTAAATTTGTCATTTCTATAAATGCTATAGTTTCTGGGAACGAGAGGATGGTCTCTTTGTTAGGCCATTGGGGTATCGTCGAGAAGGTCTTATCGACTGTAGCGAATGAGGATTGTAGTGGAGAGCAAAAGCCATCGCAAAACGTAAGATAATTTTAGTCAAGACCTTGCCGCTAGACTATCCCCTTCTCTGAACTCTCCGCAAAGGCGCTTTGTGTGATAGAGTAGAAATTTGATTCAGAACCTATCACTATTTCCACAAGTTATAGATATCACCTTTTAGTACGATATTTGCTATTATTAGTCCAAAGCACGTGGATATTTGACGTCGTTTATAGCATAATATTATAGGTCTGATCGAAATTGACCCTATCGTAGAAGCGTGTCTACTAATACAATAATGCATCTTCTACTAGACAACTATGGCCATCGTTGCTATAGGTCTATAGTCCTAGTCAAACGAACACTGTAATATAATCACGAATCAATCTAACCTTTCGACGATTTCCCTCCGCCTGGGATCACATATCACTTGAGCACCGGTTGGGCTGATTAGTTTGCCTTCTTCAATTCCTTCTGTAATTCTTTTCCTTCCTTGATCGCTGCTTTCTTCGCCGCCTTTCGTGCAGAAACTTCCTCTTTGGCTTTCTCCGCCTCCTGGCCTCCGAACATTCCTTGCCACTCCTTTCCTTTTTCGGGCTTTATGTTGCTAAATAAATAAGCTGCTTTGCCAATCTCGTGGCCAGGCTTGATCGAGTCAGCACTCCAATGATCGGGAATCGGCAATGGCTCTGTGTGGAGCTGAGCATTTATCGATTTCGCGGTGTCCGGCATGAAAGGAGAGACGATAGAGGAAAGAAGGTGAATCAAATTCAAGGCAAGTCCAATGACAGCCGCACATTTGAGGGGTTCTCTCTCGGCAAGCTTGTTATCGAGACTGTTGGATTGAAGGAAAACATTGCCCTGCTGAGAGATAGAAAGAACTGTTGATAAAGCACCACGAATTTTGACGGCGTCTAGCTTTTGGATGTAGTCAGTGAGGAGTCCATCAATTTGTCTTCTCCACAAATCAAATGAAGGTTCGTGGTATCGAGTGTAGTCTGGCACAATATTGTTGAAGTTTTTAGAGTTGACGAACTTCACGACGCGGCTGACAAAATTTCCCAAATTTTTGAGCAACAAGTTATTGTTGGCACTGATAAACGAGTCCCAATTGAACTCGTTGTCGCTAGTTTCGGGTCGATGGGAAATCAAGTAGTAGCGCCACACATCAGAAGCGACGCCAGTTTTTTGCGCCGAATCTCCAAATACACCTATTCCCCGGGATTTGGAAAACTTTCCACCCTCATACGTTAGGTACTCAGTTGTGGAGAGATGGTGTAGTTTGGTCCACGTGTCCCGTGTGCCGATTTGACTACCAGGAAAGATGACACTGTGGTACGCAACATTGTCCTTCCCAAGGAACTGATAAAGTTGAACATCATCTGGGTTGCGCCACTACTGCTGCCACTGGTCGGTATAATTTGCGGTGATGGATACATAACCAATGCAAGCATCAAACCAGGCGTAGATGACCTTGTCTTCATAGCCCGGTAGGGGAACGGGGGTTCCCCATTTCATATCTCTGGTGATGCTGCGTGGTTTCAAACCCTCCTTTAACCAGGCGGAAGTGATTTCTTTGCCATTGTTAGACCACGCACCGTTCGTTGCGGATTGCTGGAAGAACGGCTCGATTTCCGCCTGCAATTTGTCCAATTGGAGAAAAATATGTTTGGTATCCCTTGTAACTGGTCTTGCACGATCAACTTTACATCGAGGATTTTTAAGCTCGAGGGGATCAAGAAGTTGGCCGCAAAAATCACATTGATCCCCATGCGCATCTGCATAGCCGCACAATGGACACTCCCCCTCAACAAAGCGATCCGCAAGGAATGAATTGTGCTGCTGACAGTACAGCTGCGTCGTCATCTCCTCCTTTAAGAACCCGTTCTGGTGGAGCTTGAGGAAGATATCATGAGTGATGTCTGTCTGCAACGGAGTTGTCGTCCGGCCGAAAATATCGAAACTGATATTGAACCAATCATATACGGCGGCATGGATTCTGCGATATTTATCGCAGAGCTGCTGTGGCGTGCATTTCTCGACAAGCGCTCTTGTCTCAGACGTAGTGCCATACTCGTCAGTACCTAGGCGAACACGATTATTAGCAAAAGAGGGTGCGAGAGAGATGGGGAAGGGCATTTTTTTGACTCGCCACAGACATAGAGGGTGTTGATCCCGCGTGCTCTACAATATCTCGCAAAAACGTCCGCTGAAAGCGCAGAACCTATGAGGTTGCCGAGATGAGGCACATTGTTCACATAGGGCAAAGCACTAGTTATGAGTACATTGCGCTTTCCAGGCTCTGGAAGAATTGTCCTGCATTGATGCGCTTCTTTGGCCATTTTTCTTTTTTTGTGAGAAAGCGGTAGTTTCCTGAAGACTTCGTGGTTCTGGCTCGGTAAGGAGGAAGAGGGAGATCGATGGAAGTATTTAATCACCCTAGATGATGACTCACCGCTAGTAACTTATGTCACATGGACACATGGTACCATCCCTTAGCGCACAAAGACGCTGGAACTAGGTAGGTAAAGTTCAGAAACCAGACTGAAGTTGTCAGGATTTAGGTGTATGCATTTATCCAGAGTTTCCAATTCAATATGGGTCCCAGTTCTGCCATCTTTCACCGCCTTCATCTGATTTTCCAACTCATTTCTCACACTTCAGTATTTACTATGCTTTCCCTCCCTACCAACCTGCATAACCATGGTTATTAGGTCTACCCCTCATCTAATGATGTCTATATCCTCTGACAACGGAACCACTCTCTCGAACAGACACAAGCGATTTGAGGGTAAAGGCTTCAAGATTGTATGGCGCAATGCAATATCGAAAGTATCCATAACCACAGTTAGAAGGATTGAATCCCCACCAGTTGACCTTGAATATTTTAAATTGACGATCCACGTATAGATACATGTGTATGAGACCATGTGGTTCCAAGGTCAACCTCCAGGCTTGGAACTGCACACCTGGGCACCATCGTGGCGTCTGACACATGGCAATTAATATTGGAAAATGTCGACAACATGAGACGAGCCTGGACCAGGAGGGTATGGTTTGTATAAAAATTGTGCTGGGTGACATTTGCATGACCCAAGTTTCAAGAACCTCTACATGGATGGTAAGTAGTGCTAGGGGTAGCACTCAAGATAAATTAGAATTCAAATAATCTAAAAAAAATAAAAATTTCCTTCGTTATCTTTTCCCGAGGTCTCTTCTATACAATCTCAAACTCAATTGTTCCCCATCCCTCATAAGTACAAGACCAGTGCCCTGGCTGCTCCATCGGGACAGCCTCCAAGCAGCTTCCCGGCATAATGAGTTGCCCTGCCTCAAACTCGATCCCATACTCCGACAGTCGGTTGACTAGCCAAGAAACGGCCGCCAAAGGGTTACCCAGGATATTCTTAGTGTTTCCAGACATCACTTCCTGACCATTGAACTTCAAAAAGCCCCGCATGTTGCTAAGATTGAGATCGGTAAGCCTCCGAGGGGTACCGCCAAGAATAACAGCTCCGGTAGATCCATTATCCGCCAACGTATCGGGCAGGTCGATGGCCCAGTCCTTGACGCGGGAGTCGATGATCTCAATGGCCGGGATTGCATAGTCAATTGCGCTAATGACGTCGGCAACAGTGCAGTTAGGGCCCTTAAGAGGACCCTTCAGAACAAAAGCAGGCTCAAGCTCGACAAACGGCTTGATAAATTCGCTGCGGGCAATGGATGTACCTTCGTACAGGAAGGAGCTTGCATGCAGGAATCCATAATCTGGGTGATCAAGACCAAAGGCGGCTTGCATCACCTTGGCGATGTTTCCGAGCTTATATCCGATCAATCGGTCGCCGTTCTGGACAGCATGAATGGAATTGATCTGTTGAACCTTGAATGCGCCGTCGGCATCGAGGCTGGGCCATGTCTTGGTTGGTGCGTCAATTGGCTTTGATTCCGCACGAGCGGTGCGAAGTGCAGCCGCGACATCATTGAGGTCGAACGCAGACATTTTAGGGGTAGCAAAGTATTAAGGGGGGGAAGACAAGGATATTTCGTTCATCTACAAGCTTATGAGGGTAACGGGAATTTTATAGTCTATTTTCTCGCGACATTATCTATTATATCCAGGCGTCGGGTTTGAAACCGGAGTTAGACCTCGGAGGTGTCGGGGAAGTAGTTCCTTGAAAGGATAGGTTCGAACTCTTCTTATCAATACAGTCCCGAATAATCCGACAGCCCCCACATGTGGTATCTGAGTTTTGGTTGATATCGCCTGCATGATAAGTCTCGGCTCAGAACCCGAACCCGGACCGAGATGTTCACCTGACTTGGTACGGTAAATGTGGATCATCAGGTAAGACATCTGGAGAATCCCCAGATATGCCAATTATCGGGCCTGAGCCGAGCCGAGATACTCACCTGATCTTTTGCAGGAAACATGAAGATCCTTATGTCAGATATCAAAATAGATTGCGGATTTCCCAGATACCCAGATACCGGGGCTCAACCGAGCCGAGACACCCACTTGACCGTCTATAGGAATCACGGAGATACACACATACATCAGCTAACCCAAGACGTACAAGGAATCCGGAGTCAAGACATATCAAAATCGGGAATTGCCCGAGCCGAGTGGGGCTCGATACTGTTTTGTAGAATCAACCCCAGACTTTGAGCTCGGATGGAACGTAGAAAGGAACCAATAGAGGTATTGTACTCTCAGTCTTCAAGTTATATAAACTTCTTCTGCCGGACTCAAGCCAGTTATTCCCCATACTCCAAAAACCTAATACACAGCAGATCAAAATGGCACCCTCTGCAACCCTCATTGACATCGAACCTCCCGTGGTCATTGGTCCTTCCACCAAGAAGGCTACCTGGCCCTCCAACGAGCTACCACAGACCCTGATCCAGGGGGCAAAGATCACCAGACATGAGGAATTTGACCCAGCCAAGCACCTGAACTTCCAGCCCCCAAAGTCTATCCTGACTATGGAGGAGATTGGACTGAAGGGACATGGTATCTCACCTCATGCTGCTACTCACCCATTCCCGCTCTTCTCCCAAGATGCCATCACACAGATGCGCGCTGAGATCTTCTCCGAGAAGGTGCTTGCTGAGTGCCAGTATTCTTCCACATTCAACAAGAACATGGTGCGCGGTATGGGACCAGCGTAAGTACCCTGCAAAATTTGAAACTCCAAGTATCTTTCTTCTGACTGTAATAGGCGTGCTCCTTTCACATACACTGCTTGGAAGCACCCAGAAACCCTAGCCAGAATCTCCGAGGTTGCAGGCATCGACCTCGTTCCCTCCATCGACTTTGAGATCGCCAACATCAATATTTCCATTCGGGACGAGAAGGCCAATGTGGAACATTCTATTGATCTTATGTCGGATCAGGAACTGCCTGCAGTTGCTTGGCACTACGACAGCTTCCCATTCGTGTGTGTGACGATGCTCTCTGACTGCACTGGCATGGTCGGCGGAGAGACTGCTCTGAGAAAACCAAATGGAGAGATTTTGAAAGTTCGCGGACCTGCTATGGTGAGTTAGTTCCTATTCACTCAACCAAATATAAATGCTAATCCATTTTGGGTAGGGAACCGCCGTCGTCATGCAAGGTCGTTACATTGAGCATCAGGCCCTGAAGGCTCTGGGTGGTCGCGAGCGCATCAGTATGGTCACTTGCTTCCGACCCAAGTCACCTCTGGTCAAGGATGAGACTGTTCTGGTTGGAGTGCGCGGAATCAGCAACATTTCTGAGCTCTACACACAATACACTGAATACCGGCTGGAGATTCTGGAGGAGCGCATTCGCCACCAGCTGAAGAAGGAGCGGGAGCGGGAGATTGCTAAGAAGCCGTTTAATATTCCCGATATCAAGCGCTTCCTCACCAATCAGAAATTATTTATTGAGTCGATGTTGACGGAGATTCAGGAGGTTGATTGATTGTTATGCGATGGGGAATAAAGTAGTCAGACTGGAGATACATAACTGTATGGAATAATGAAGCCACTTCTTTTACTTGCACCTCAACTTTGAATGTATTCTCATAGTTAAATGAATGAGCCTCCGACGCCCCTGGATGAATGCACACAATCCCATTCTTGTTCTAATGCCGATCGTTCCAATGTTGGACATAGTATGGCTTTCCTACGTCAGCCCGGAGCCAGCTCGGAATTTCTAATATGCAGCCAGACATGCGTGTTAGATTGCTAGCATTCCAAACTACCACGTCACCTACGGGTGACTTTTTAGAGATATGACCAAATCATCATCCTGCATATACGATGCGGGATTTCTTGGGATAATTTACCCCATACTGCCAACACGAAGCTTTCCGATAGGACGTTCGGTGAGGTTATTAGGACGATCGCCGCCCCTCGGGTCCTGACCCGAGGCTAACCCGAGACCAAACCCCGGGGCTTGCCTCCCCCAACAATTTACCGACCGGGGCGCCTCCGACCTCCAGCACCCCCCTTTTGCGGGGGGACTAGTCAACCAAACCAAGTTGACGACTGTGGGGTCCCGGAGAAGCGATTTTTCTGGAGAAGAATTCGGATTTCTGCCATTGGTCAAATCCGCTGGGTAACATGCCTTGAGCATCTATATAAGACTGTTGGGCCTGCCAAGGGAAATAGGTCACATCTCGCTTTCTCTGAGTAGGTCGCAGTATGGAAATCGCCATAATGTCTGAGCTTGAGGATAAAAGTGATGCCCCGGCGCAACTTGAATACACACATGATGATGTGTTTGGAGAAATCACTGAAGATGGCCCGAACTTTCGTAATGTTTGTTCAATTGCTCAATGAGTTGCCTATTAGGACTATGGATGGCTAATTGGTTACAAGGTCGGATTCTTGGGAACTGTCATTTTGATGATGAAGACTCAGATTGGTCTTGGTGTCCTGGCTATTCCATCCGCATTGGATATACTAGGCATGGTTCCGGGCATCATTTGTATCGTTGTCATTGCGTGCATGACTACCTGGTCAGGGTATATCATTGGCGATTTCAAGATTAACCACCGCGAAGTGTACAGCATTGATGATACAGGTGGCATTATGTTTGGCTTGTCTGGTCGAGTTTTTCTGCGACTGGATTTTGCTTATGTATGTTCAATCTTCGCACTTCGAATTCGAGCGAGAAGACGCGAACATATGCTGACCATCGCCCTATTTATACAGACTATATCTTCAACAGTGGCTCGGCTATTTTGAGTCTGTCCATTGGGTTGAATGCCGTCTCTTAACACGCGACATGCACTGCTGTTTTTGTCGCTGCTGCTGCTATCTTTGGATTCGGGCTCAGTAGTATCCGAACACTTGGTCGTATAACCTGGCTTGCATGGATTGGATTGCCTTGCATTCTCACTGCTGGTATGTTCATCATGCTCTTTACTCCACGTATGTGAGATCAATACTTACATACCATAGTTATTATGGTCACAATCGCGGTTGGATTAGAGAACCGTCCTGCCGCAGCGCTGCAGACTCCTGGGCCTTGGACCTCCGATTGGGTAGCTTTCGGGAAACCTAATTTTGCAAAGGCTATTGCTGCAGTCTCAAATCTTCTCTTTGCATTCTCTGGAACGCCAGGTAACCCTTCCCATTGAGCTTTTCATACAACGGGCAATTGGCTTACGATGAATACACTTACACTAGGGTTTTTTTCAATCGTGTCTGAGATGCGCAATCCACGTCAGTACGGCGCAGCTGTCATTGCCTGTCAAACCGGAGTCACTCTTGTCTACGCCATCGTCGGATGCGTCATATACTACTATTGCGGTACCTACGTATCGTCGCCGGCGCTCGGCTCAGCCGGTGGTGTCATCAAGATTATCAGTTATGCCTTCGCATTGCCGGGACTTTTCGTCACAATGACAATTGTTACACATGTGAGACTAGACAATTTTTGGAAAGCAAAAACGGATGCTTACTTTGATAACTTTTAGATTCCTGCAAAATTCATCTTTGTGCATGTTCTTCGTGGCTCTCGGCATCTGACCAGTAACAGCCCGACTCACTGGATTACTTGGCTCAGTTGTATACTCGGCATCACGGTGATTGCCTGGATCATCGCTAGCACAATCCCCGTCTTCAATGACCTTGTCTCCCTCATTGGAGCCTTGTTGGGTCCCATTATGTGCCTGCAACCGATGGGAGCTATGTGGCTATATGATAACTGGGGTAAAACATAGGGAAAGCCAAAGAAGGCAAGTTGGATGTTTATGGTGGGCTGGTGCACACTAATCATTGTCCTTGGAACCTTTTTGATGGTCGCAGGAACTTATGGCTCCGTTGTGAACATCATGGAAGCGTACGGTAGTAGTGGAGGCTCCGTTGCTTTCTCTTGCGTTGACAACTCGAATTCTACTTGAGCCGGGCCCAGCGATTAGCATAGAATTTATGGAATGTAAGATGTATCGAGTTGATGCACCTGAGTGATGTACATAGAAATACTTTCAATAGGTATGTACCATGGAAATCGGATTGGATAAGAATTATGGGACGCGCCCCGATGCCCGGTCGTTGCATTTGTAACCAATGGGCGGGCCCGCAATACCATTCGGCTTTGAGGCCGATCGGAAACTCGGGCCAATCCACCACCACAAGCTTTCCCCGCAACCTGAGCGTTTGATCGAATAAGGCAGGTAAACTGAGCGGTTGTTAATTGCCTCCCACTATTTTTTGGATGACACCCAAATGCTGCCGAATGTGTTAATAGTATTTAGGACGGTGGCCTGAGTAAATAACTTGGTTGTAGGCCTAGATGACTAGATGTAGTTCTATGGATGCGTGTGGGAATCTAATTTACTATATCGCTCAAATATGAAACAAAATATAAAAAGCCAACATTCAAACGCTCAAGGAAACATGTCAAAGGTGAAATCGTGGAGCGAATTCGTCGGGTTTCTGTCCGGAGGGCCTCATTGGAACGGTTCAGTAGACCGTGCTGGATGTTGTTATAAAGAAAACCTAGAGTCAAGGACACTGCTATCGGTCCCACCGATCTGGTCAATAATCGACGAAAACTCATATGATGAGATTCCAATATCATCCAAGAGCTCGACACCATTAGGCAACCGAGCGGTGGATGGGTAGCCGTCCATGTCGTATGTATCAGGCGTCTGGAGATGTGCTGCGGATTGTTCCATCTGGCTTAAATGGTGGGGAGGAATATTCGTCACATTTTCAGATTGGTCGGGTGTGGTCAGGAATAGTTCCTGCAGGCCATAATGTTTGATCCTCATAGCGAATTCGTCGAAAAGGCCTTCCAGGTGCGTAAGCTCTGTTTTTCGAGCAGCTGCTAGTCTATTGCCTTTTGCGACCATCTCGTCAAGAATCGCGTGCGCCTTGGCTGTATATTCTGGTCCTTCTGTAGCGTGGGAGAAGAGGGTATTTGCCATTATTAGATGCAGAGCAGCTCCGTATGTGACTTCCATTTCGAATGGGAGAAATATTTCTGAGGAAAGTCCAGAATGTTACTACCTTAATTCCGCAGAGACAACGTGTTGATTGGATACTGCTTACCGAGAAGACTATCTTCGTCGCTCAGTATTTGCAGGGTCTTGATTGCTGATTTGATGCCAGTGGATATCAGAGCTTTGGTTGGACTGAGAAAGCTTTGCAAATCTTCCTTTTGTTGTCCCAACCTCTCTAGTCGTTCCTTTAAAACGGATAGGAGGAGCGGTCGAGTTGCCACTAAGACACACTGTCCAACCCATTAGCCATGTTCGTCCTGGTTGATATCATCTTCCTACTCACCTGATGGTATAATAGTGTGATATATCTTGTTCCCTTGGGCATTGTCTCCACTGAGCCTGTATGGTTTGCAGGGTAAACAATTTCTTCGATCTCCAGAGCGTAGGCAGGCATGGTTTGCAAAATTGTTCTTGTCTTCTCGAGAAATGTTCCCAAATCTGTTTTTTCGTTTTTATATATTGCTTGAGGGTGGTCAGTTATCCGTAAGCTATATAGTATGTGTAACGTGGACTCACATGATAATATGGAGGTGAACAAGTATGACAACTTGACATGCAATCTCAAGGTGGCATCATGCCGTGAGCCTCCACGGGCTGGATTCAAGACAGTCGTAATATCGCTTTCCTGGATAGCCATCGGGAGGCCCAAGGAAGAAGATATGTGTCGATCCATCACGTAAAGTGTCCACCAAAGATTACGGCAGCGGTTCACTGTCGCGACGCCAAGCTCATCCTCCGGAAGTTCTATGTGTAGTCCATCCAGCTGTGCGATCCTTATAGCTTGAACAACCTAAATTGAGTCAGCATAAAAAGAGGAAAAGTGAAAGGTACATTCTAAGCAAGTTCTTATATGGACATTGGCTAGCTCATTGGCTAGCTCCCGATGGTCAATAGAATAGAGATAAAGACCAGCCAGAGCCAAGACCTCCACCGCAAGTAGCCCTTTAGTCCAGAGGGTTGTGTAATCAGGCAGAAGGGACATGGCGCGTATGAAGAATTTAGAACCTGGAGGGTCCCTACTATTTCGAGAACGCAAGAGAAATGCATTACCGAACGCATGGACTAGCAAGAAGTGCACAAACCAAAGGCAGTCTTCACTCGCTTTTCGCTGTGAGTTACCATTGTAGAACTCATGTAAGTGGCCCGTGAATGCATCTTCATCGAAGAATCGATAGTGTTGATCAAGGTGGTGCTTGACTGTGTTGAATAAGTATAGTGCGTCGTCAATGGAGGGGAGTCCACTGATATCCGGAGGGTCCTCAATAAGGGCCGGCCGCCAAGTTAGCGGGTAGACCTCTTTGTCTAATGAGCTTGAAACTCTGTACGGTGACTCTAGATGCAGATGCTCAGACATCATGAGAGAAAGACGAGTCGTCAGTGACCATAATGATGTGGGAGCCAGCCAGCCTAGTTATGTCAGCAACCTTTGCGCTCGGTGTAGGAAATCAAAACATACTCCAGCCGGTATTTCCCTTGTACAGACCATTCACCGTCCTGGATGGCAATGTAAATGGGTTGGCCCAAACACTTCGTTCATGATCGTTTGGATCGTATAGAGGCATTGTGTCATCATGATGACCCGTACTCGCTGTTCTCTTCAGTAAAGGGCTTCCGGAACAGAGAACCGAGTCCACTTACCGGAGCATGCCCTGTCAAACTCGATCGTCGGCCCAAAAGCCGAATTAGCAGATCGCTTTGTCCCTGGAGAAGGCCCCAGGGGCTGTGTGACTGGCTGCTGGTTCTTTGCCTCGTCAATCAGCTTCTGAAGATACCTACAAAGACCCGTCAGTTCTTGAGTGTGCAAAGGATATATGTTGCACGAACCTTTCGTCAACCATGATTTTGTTCGCGTCCGCGAACTGGCATTTGATGCCTCTGCGCTGGCAGTTCGCGCAAGGGTCCTTGCCCGTGCATTTTATCTTGCTTTGGCGACAAGCAATACACCTGATTGAGAGTTGTTGGCATCCTGCGCGTATTGTTGTCATGAGGGGTCAATCTCACGCGTTTGACGTCCGCTTCGGCTTTCGCGTCTCGGCTTGTGCCGGTGCTTCCATCTCATTGGGCTACGGCGTATCAAAAGAACTAGGGGTTTCCACCTCTGTGTGTGCGAGACAGGTCTCTAGAACCGTCACCTTTGCCTGTTTTCTCTTCGGATAGCCTGCGGCGGGGGTTGGTGATGGAAAGGACGGGGGGAGGGGTAGTCGCTTTGTCCGCGGGTCCACAGATGGAAAGATAATGACCCCGAATATTGGAAACCCTATCGTTTCCCATATTTGTACCAAGGTTGAAATAAATGCTCCACGCCAAACTTGATAGGGTAGTTCAGCTAGATTCGCCACGGGAAACTGTTTGGTCACGGGGCCTTTATGGACTTCTTAAGCCAGGAGGGCGCCTACTGACATTTCCACGACTCACAGGGGCAGATTGAACTCTACGAGACAGAAGTCGTCCAACAGCTTGGTATCTCTGTACCTAAGCACTTGTTTCGTGCCCCTGATCTGACCTGACATAGGAAGAGCGTGTCAGTTTTGACGTGAGATAACGTTCATAACACGAAGATCCCTCCAGCGAGACCAAGACTTTTATCGATTATTGAATCGGTCAACTCGCAAAATCATGCATATCACGCGTTCAATGCTCGAGCCCTCGAGTATCGTATTGTGTACAGAGTTCTTCGTGACTACCGAGTCTCGGAAGGATCCCGAGGATGCCCGGTTGTGCCGTGGATGGGACCACGCAAGGGGTCCGTGCATCGTTTCCCCCAGACCGTTTAAATGCTTAACCGAGCCGACTTCGGCCTCTCCACGCGAGATGGCCAGGGTCAATTAAAATTATTTCCCTGGGATTTGGAGAAACTCAAATTTCGAGACAGTGAATGTTGGAAACGAGATTCGGGGTGTTTCGTCAACTGGTACATCATGAGGTTCAAATGTTTACATACTAGGCGCAACACTTCACACTATTCCATATGTCTATATACATCCATGATTCTGCAAGACCCATTCACCCACGTGTGCACTTTTCTCCTTCAAACTTCATTCAAATATCCCGATAACCCATCCATCGTTGTCGTGGGTCATTCATGTTTCCGTAATATACCTCCGATATCCTACAGCGAGGCCGAGTACACAGTGTTGATACCTCCAGTAACAATCATCTTGATGTTGATATAGTCATCAATACCATACTTACTGCCCTCACGGCCCATTCCAGAGTGCTTGACACCGCCGAATCTGGAAAATATTAGCGACTGAATTACCATCCGGGAAAGGTGCGACAACTTACGGTGCAGCAGAGTCAGAGATAACTCCTGTGTTTATAGCAACCATGCCAAACTCCAATCGCTCAGAGACTCGGTGTGCCCTGCCCAAATCATTGGTCATGAGGTACGATGCCAAACCAACCTCACAGTCATTGGCGCGAGAAATAACCTCCTCCTCAGTGGAGAATTTGGCAAGGGCTGCGACCGGACCGAACGTCTCTTCAGTGGCAACCTTCATAGAATCGTCGACGTTGCCCAAGATGGTGAGTTCGTGGAAGTTCTTGCCAACTGAAGGCAGGCTCTTACCGCCCAGGAGAACGGTGGCATTCTTGCTCACGGCATCCTGGATGTGCTCCTGAGTCTTGGCCACGCCATTGGTGAGAGGACCGTGTGTCATGGCGGCATCTTGCCCGTCGCCAACTTGTGCCTTCTTCATCTCCTCAACAAATCGCTTCGAAAACTCCTCATAAATGCCTTCCTGAACGAAGAACCTGTTTACACACACGCATGTCTGTCCAGTGACCTTGAACTTGCTAATAATAGCGCTAGCCACCGCAGTCTCAACGTCGGCATCATCGAACACGATAAAAGGCGCGTTACCACCAAGCGCCAGGCTCAGCTTCTTCAGAGTGCCTCTAGACTGCTGCATCAATAGTTTTCCAACCCGCGTCGAGCCGGCGAAGGAGATCTTCTTGACAATATCCGACTCGCAGAGAGTCAGTCCCAGAGAGGGTGTGTTCTCGAGAGCGGTCACCACGTTGAAAACACCCTTCGGCACACCTGCGCGCTCGGCAAGAACAGCCAACACATTGGAGGCGAATCGGGTCAGACCATCGGATTTCATCACAACGGTACACCCGGCAGCCAGGGCAGCGGCCACCTTGCGGGCTCCCATGGCCATTGGGAAGTTCCACGGGGTGATAAGACCGCAGACACCCACAGGCTCCTTCAACACCTGTGTACGGCAGGAAGGATTACTGTGAGGAATGACGTCGCCGTAAATGCGGGGTGCCTCTTCGGAGAACCACTCGAAGAAGCCGGCAGAGAAGAGAGCTTCTCCCTCGGCGTCACCCTTGGCTTTGCCATTCTCGGCTGTGATGATCTTGCCAATGTCTTCCTTGTTTTCAACCAAAAGCTCGAAGAAGCGGCGCAAGATTCGTCCACGCTGGCGGCCAGACTAAGCACGCCAAAGCGGAAAGGCCTTCGCCGCAGCTTGGATGGCGGCATTGATATCTTCTGTGGTTGATTCAGGGCATGTTCCGATGATGGCTTCTGTGGCGGGGTTGTAAACGTTGAAGGTTTTGTTTGACTTGTGTGAGATCCATTGTCCATCAATGTAGGACTTCTCAACGAAAAGGGAAGAATCTTTTTAAGTGGCGGGGAGTGTGGAGGTCATTTTGGATTATGTTTTACTTTCACGGGATAACCGGGACAGTAAGGCAATTTTGATGGGATTGAGAATAATTAACAACAGATGAGCTACTTCGAACATGGAAACTTATAGGTCTTTGACATCTCGCTTATCGCGAAAAAACTGCCCCAGTTCTACCATTATACATCATGGTATCACCGAATTCCCGAGGGCGACCCGGGAGGTGAGGGGAAGCATCTCGGGTTCTGGCCCGATCTACCCGAGAGGCTTTGTCAAACACCCACCAGAGGTGGGTCAGTTCCACTAATTCTCGTCTTCCAGGGAACTGGAATCATGCAATTAACTATCATGTGTATGCAATAATCATTCAACGCTAATTTAGTAGCGGACTAGGTTCAACTGCACAAGGTGGTTGCGCCCTGAGGTGTTCTAAAGCTGATGACGGCTAGCTGCCCAGAGAAAGAGGTACGATTGAGCGGTAATGCTAGATTTGGAGTGGTGGTAGCTGTTTATCTACAGGTGCAAGTTATAGCTTAGGGGAGGGTCTGTTCTTTTGGCTGATTCTTGTTCAAAGAATTGATTACTCTATAGACATTTGGTATATACCAGGAGATTCTAATATCATCCGTCCCAGGCCTGCACGCGAGGCCTCCATTCATTTCTCAGGAAAAAACCCCAAACTTCAGTCATTTTCACAGTAGCTTCATCACCAGCCAAACGAGCCAGCCTAGACCAGGTCGCCATTCTTCTTAGCGACACTTTTCATCATTTCATTCATGAAAGGACTTCGAGCACGGACTTCCTTGCCCCACACGAACATCAAAGTGGGAACAAGGGACAGTACCAAAGAAACAAACGCAAGCAACGTGCTTGCCCATTGAAATCCGAGGTATCCGTACATACTCATTGTGGCAAGAGGCAAAAAAGCAGAGAATAGATTCTCACCCGTTGCAACGGCTCCCATTGCACTTCCAGCGTACTGACTATAGGCATCAACAACATAGTCGGACACACCCGTCACAACTAGGACACTGCCAGCTCCGACCATGCCTAGACTAATTGCGGGTGCAATCCAGGGAATATTAGGGTAGGATGTCCAAGCGTAGGTGAACATCCCACCTGAAATCCCGAAAACACCACCCAGAATGGCCATGTATAGTCGAGCTTCAGGAATTGGTTTTCCGGGCGTTTCTTTATTGCGAGCAGCAGAGGCGAAATAGAGGTGCCGAGATATGAAATTCAAGGACCATCCGATGCATTCGCCAATGACGATAGAACACTGAACGAAGCCAGTTTGGGCGATGCTCCAGCCATATAGGCCTATGAAGACTTGCTCAACGGACTGCGTGAAGATAAAAAGGGTGCCCACTGTGAAGGCTGACCAAATGGTAGACACGAAAAGCACAGGCTCTGTGAAGACAAGGATAACTGGCCTTGTCGCGCTGGCGAGAAGCTTATTGAAGCTCAGATCTGGAGTGTGTACCTCGTCTTCGATGGATGCCGCTTCGCCGTTTTTGGCCTGTGCTCGGACTCGTCGGGCAAGAATGGCGCTTCCACGGGACTCGTAGAAGAAGAAGTAAAACACAGAGAACAAAGCACCAAACCAGATGATTTGCATATAGCTAATCCATCTCCATCCAAGCGACTGGAAAATAGCTGCTCCCATCACTGGACCCATGCTGCTACCAGACATATAGCCCAAAATATACAAACTGACAGGGATGGACCTGGCCCATTCCGTCTCCCAAAGGTTTCCAATAACACCCGCGGCTGTGTTTGCAAGAATAGCAATGCACCCTCCAGCGAAGAACCGGGTGACTACCAAAGTCGCAAAGTTTTGAGCTACTGCCTGGGGAATGAGGAAGCAGACCAGTATCAAATATGTTGAGAGGAAAACAGGCCTGGTGCCAAAGTCCTCCGCTAGGGGCAGAATGAACAAGGCAGAGCAGGCGCCTCCACAGGCCCATGTTGTTACAGGCCAATATAAATTAGGGAACGTCGTTTCAGATACGTTGAAGAGATCTGCTATCGCGACATGTCCCACTGTGATGATAGCACCGTTCATCATCGTGAGGAATGTGGTGAAGGCGGCAAGGCAAGTGAGGGCCCATTTTTGAGACGTCGGCCAGTTAAAAGGGTTCTCTGGATCATGTTGCCCGTCCCATGAGAGTGTGTTGGTGTCACTTTCACAGGAATCAAAAATCTCATGAGTGGCCTCGGCTTGGAGAGGTCGTTGCGTATCTTTCTCTGTGGGAAAATCCATTGCAAGTGGAAGATCCTCCGCGAGCGCCCAAGGAAGGTGGTTCTATGTTCTTTTTGGCAATGAGGAATTCCTAACCTTGCAACAAAGGAGCAGGAGCCAGGTAAGGGAGATGAACAATTTTGCAGATCCGGAACATTTGAGGCCAGCTCTTGAACTAGTATTCATGAATTGATCTATATATTAATCAATGAGTTTTATGAGATGGTAGGAGGCTCCATATCTCCAGACATTACCCTCTTTCGGAAGGTCTTGGCGCAGTATACCTGTGGAACTAATCAAATGTCATGTTCTACTGTGGGTACAAAAGGTTTTGATCAGGCACTAAAATTAAATTGTGAAAGTTTCAATGGGCTTGGGACTGCATTTTCTCCGCGAAATGGATAGAGGTGGAACCCAGGTTGGCGGTACAAACCCGCGGACCCGCCGTCGGCTGAGAACCCGATATATTATTTGCTCCACCCGAGAGTCTCGGTGAAGAACCCGCGGTTGAGGATGCCGATGACCCCGTGGGTCTCCAGATCGTATTGGTGCCTGACGTTGAATTCAGTAACGGAGAAGGATCCAAGATATAGATTACCAGAAGGCAGTCTCCTTTATCGGGGAGTTTATGCGGACAAGAAAACAAGACCTGCATTCTTCATCTTCTCAATCTCAACTGCTAGACCATCGACAACTTCCTCAAACTCAAGGTAATAGACGATGCAGTGCCGCCATGTTGACACCGTTCGTTCAAGAGAGAGCCCAACCCTCCATGCCCACTTTGGTAATTAAAGTAGTTGTACGACTGAACAAGACTCTCATAGCAAGAAGCTTCAAGAAATTAATAACCGCTATCATGTCACCTTGTAGGTCCTTGAAATTCCATGTTTATAAAACGCAAATTCTCGCAGGGCTATCAGACATCGCGATGAGGTCCGAAGGTCGACAAATAAAGAGAACAATTTACTAAGACCTAGCGCCAACATCAGCTCAGGAGGATCAGTAAGGGAGCTCAGCGGGTGCAGAATAGTTGATGAGGTGGTCAAGCGGCAGCTTGCTAGTAGAAAGTTACGGTGGAAAGGCGGCCGTTTCTAGCGCCAGAAGCTATCATTTTCGGCGTCATTTTCCTAGGTCATTATATTCTATATGTAAAAAAGGCTTCACAGAATACAAACAAAGAGCAAGTTATCTCAATTTGAACTTATATACGGGAGAAGGGAAGATAAGAGGATAATTAAAGCCAACCTTGCAACCAGGCTTGCCACGAATAGGAAAATATGAATAGCAGAAGCAGAGACCAGAAAAAAAAAGGTATATCATTCACAGAAATCCGGTCTGGAGGACAACCAAATAGGGGGAATCGTCAGAAAACCGACCTTTCAAGTTCAAACGGTAATACACAGGCGAAAAATCAAAAGTGAAATAAATGCAACATTGGAAATAAGGACATGCTCGAGAGGAATCAAAGAATCCCGGCCACTAGAAAGAATTCCCTCTATCGACCATGTATGGCAGCCTGTGGAGAATAAGAAGAGAAATACATACTCATATCCTATAACGTTCGGCAAGCATCAACGCCGTAATTTCAGGAAGAACGCCGGGAGTAATAGAGATATCGCAGAGAAAATCTGGAAGGAAATGACAAGGAAATAGAAAGTTCAACATAAAGAAAAGACATCAACCGAGACCCGAGCCCGACCACGTTGAACAAAGGGTATAGGAAGGCTGGCCCAGATCAACGATAGCGAAGATCCCTGCAAAGGAAAGACACGAGAATGCAAGGGGAACAACCAGAAAGAGCAAGAGGAGTAGGGGAGAGCGGTAGGAGATCAAGAAAGCAAGAAACAACTCCGGTGTCTCTGATACTGGAAATGGAAATTGCTCAATGCAAAACGCCATTCTAGATAACGCCGGTTCGAAATCTAGTAGCCTGACCATCCGCCTAACGGACTACCAGACTGGCCAGGCTGCGGCTGACCGGGCTGTATCGGTCCACCAGGCCCAGCGGGCCATCCGGGCATCCCACCTCCTCCCATGCCCATTGCCATACCGGCTTGCTGAGGATTGCCCGTCATGAAAGCTTGCCCGCCAGGGTTCTGATTTGCGGCATACATTGCCCGCGCCATGTTGGGATAGCCGGCCGGCGCACCGCCCGGGTATCCCATGCCTGCCATGGCCTGCTGTTGCGCTTGGGGATGCTGTTGCATCTGAGCGAATTGTTGCGGCATCTGGGGTACTGATGGTCGATGCTGGTTGCGTGGAGACTGGTGGGGCTGTTGGCCGTGATGACCCATAGGCGATGGTGCCTGTTGGGGAGCAGCGGCCATCTGCTGAGCGTATTGGGGCATGTTCACCCCTTGCGGGCCCTGTGAGGACAAGGGCGAGGGTTGAGGTTGCGGTGGTGGCTGGCCCCACATCTGTTGTTGCTGTGACGGGTATCCGTAAGGAGACTGGGCCATACCGGCAGACATGGACGGAGTGGAACGCTGGGGCATAAGGTTGGGTTGCATGCCTGGCGGAATGCCCCTCATGGGAGACTGTCCCATAGGTTGTTGGTGGACTTGCTGCGGGAAACCAGGTTGACCAGCCATCATCGCTTGATGAGGCATGACGTGCTGGGCATGTGCATGGTTTGCCATTCCAGCCGGTGGTATTTGGGCAGTTTGAATGGGCTGCGACACCGATAGTCCAGAGTCGAGAGCAGTGCTAGACTGGGGTTCAGTCTCGGGAGCTTCACGGGGCTTTGCATAGAATTCATCGAGACCCTTGTGACGAAGGGCTCGCTGTGACCCTAAGGCTCGGTTGAAGTCGGCTGCTGTCTGAGCCTGATGAATGATCTCTGAACCGGCGCTGCTCTTGGTGACATCCTGATACGTTTGGCCGGTCAACTCCTGTCGCGATCGTGGCATGCTGTTGTAATCTCGCAGTCGCGGGTCATCCGTCGTTGCCATATGAATCATGGGCAGGTGGGTCAGCGATGAAGTGGAGTCTGAAACATCCAAGGAAAGACCGGGGGGCAGTGGCTCGATAGTACTGCTGAAGATGACATCGTTGTGGGGAAGCGCCGGCAGCATATTATGGCGTTCATTGTCTACCGCTGTCCCATCGCGTGTCTTCGCAGCTCCTGGGCGCTTTTCGCCAGCGAGGTCGTCCTCAGTGAAGCCCTGTTTCCGTGCCTTGCTCTCCCAGTAGTCATCGCGAACCCTTCGACCGTTGACGATCACACGGCTACCGAACTGTCGGAACATGGACCTGGCGGAGACGATGGCGATTTGACGTGAACGATAAGAGTAAGGAAGGATGTCTTGCTGGATCAGATCGTCCTTTTCTATCTGCGACGCGATAATTTTGTGTAGAGACCGATTCTTGTTGAACAAAAGGTAGGAATCGCGATAGTTCAATACCCTGGCGCACTCCGTCGCCAGCATAAAAAGCTTATTGCCTCGGTTCGGTACACGGAACGTCCGACATTTGTATTCACGACCACCTTGCGGGTATCCCATGGCGTCTGCCTTTGTCTCTCCGGCCTCGTCAAATTCCTTGGGAATGTATTCATCGCCCTCTTCATTCAGTTGATCGGACGTATGATCTCTGACGGTCGGAAGGGCCTTGACCTGTGTTTTTGTCGGCGTAGACTTGTCCGGAGGCGATGCGAGAACCGGAGACCCGGCCGTTTGGTGAGGGAGCGGACGGGATTGCATCTGCGGCGTTTGAACAGGGGTGCCCGCGCCAGGCTGGTCGTTGGAGCTTGCCCGCGGTGTCTTCGGGGGGCGTCCGCGCTTGCGACGGCCCTGATCCTCTACAATAATTGAGAGCAGGTTAGCAAGAATCGCCGACAGAAAGAAACCAGGTGCGATCGGGCAAAAGGCAGCAGATGGGATGGAAAGTCGCAAATTCGACGAAGCCTCGATAAGAAAGACATGACAGTATTCTCTCCCATGCGCACGTACCATCATCCTGATCTCCTTCTGTTTGTCCACTTCCACCGCGATCTGGAGTGCGACTACGCTTGACACCACGGGGACTGGGTTCAGCAGGGGATAGTGCCGGCATAACAGAGACTAGGAGGGGCATCAGTTTGAAGGAAGGCGACAGGAAAGAGACAGGACATAGGTAAGAGGCGACGGGACGAGGCAGCCAACGGTCGCAAATGACCGATCGCGGGGATTCGCGCAACAGATCGGTCGCGACGGCAAAAACACGAGGTAGCGGAACGAAGAGGAAAAACCACGAATGCGACGACCGATTGAACAGCACGGAGATACGTACCAGAGTTGCTCAAGTTGGCCGGGTCGATAGTGCCGGAGCCATCAACGACCTCTGCTCCCATTCCGTTCATCGTCGCAGAATGAGACGTGCCATACATAGTCAAGAATCAGACGGGACAGCGAGGCCGCGAAAAGGCGCGACGATAGGAACGCGCGCCAGGGAGGGGAGTGGTGAGCAAGTCGCGAAGGATGCGACAATAGTGTCAGGGTGGCGCAAGCGGGTATGCTAGGCTTGCATGCAGATGGCCTTGAGAGGACGATCAGCGCGGGAAGGGTTGGAGGTTCGAGTTGGAGCTTTCGTATGGAACTTCGAGAGGGGCGGGGCGGTGAGCGTATTTGTGCCTGAGAATTCAGGACGGAGCCACGTGAGTAGAACGAGGTGATAGCTGAGCGACAGCGAAGCTCGTAGAAGGAATGGAGATAGTGAGATAGTGAGATGGCCTGGATAGGAATGATAATGGACTTTGAAAATAGACCACAGATAAGGGAGGTATCAAGCAGAGTCAAGAAAATCAAGGGGGAAAGAGGTGCAAGGGAGGGGAATGGACGCGTGATTGGTCACGGGAATGATTTGTATGGGAATAGAGTCGAGGTAGCGGTGAAGGTGAAGAAGGTGAGTGATATGAACGGAGGATCAGTTCAGAACTCGAGATATCAAATGATGCAGTATGCCACGGAGATTGAGGGCTTCGGGATCTCCCGAAGAACAGCGGCGGTAGGAGAATCCCCGGATCATAGAAGAGATCGGATGATGAATCAGATCTGGATGGGCAAGGTTTTCTTTTTTGATCGCCCCAGTCTAGGGTTTCGATGATACAGGCAATGAGAACGAACCCGAAGAGGGCGGGCGATTTTCCGGAGGTGACACGGCGATCGACGGGGTTGGCAGATTGAAGGACCCTGCGTGGAAGTCGTGGAAGAGGTAAAAGCGAAGGCAGTAACCGTTGTACAGGTTGGATTTGGAATGACTCTTTGAGTGACGAGTCTAAATCTACAGCTCCTCGACGCGGACTACGACTATAAAAAGCAGCCCCAACGCCCCAGAGGGGTTTTCCCTTTCACGTCTCCATCACACAGTCCCTCGCTATGATAGGTCTCTTCTCGTTTCTGATCGCGCCCGGCCTGGATTGTGTAACTTGACTGGCCTCGAAGGGACCAGAACCTGAGAATTCTAGAACTATGTGAACGAGCATAGCAGGGCTCGGCCGTGGTTTACTTTCGTTGAGGACCCTTGGTCCGGGTGATATGATTTCTATAGTTTGTACGGGATTAGACCCATCATTAGAAGGAACTAAATTATGCATGGTCTCACGAGACCCACGTCTCTGCAGAATAGTAATCGGATCATGTCGGGAGAATGGTGAACATTCGATACTCTCTGCGCGAGTAAGAGGCATTTCTTGTTTTTGAGCCGATTTCGCCGGTCGATAATCCTCCGGACAGGGCAATGAGGGGCATTGCAATAAGATCCGCATGGAGTACATTTGCTACGACCATACTAAAACATACTAAAAGGCCGGGATCTGGGAGCTCAGGCCGCATCTTGTCAGCAGATGAGACAAGCTAGCGACACATTCGAACTAGCGGGTTATCTGATGAAGATGAAGCTCATGCATGATGCGGCCACCGCGGCTTTGGTTTTTCATTCTTACAACGGGTGCTATTATTTTTGGTTTATTTACGGACGAGCTAGATAGGCCAGATAACAAAAAAAGGGTAAGCAAAGGAACAGACCCCTTGAAGTTGGGACGGCCATGTTCGCAATCTGCAAACCCCGCCGGCCTTAGTGCGACGCAGATGACCGCCGCGGTCACTTGAGACGATCGACGGTCCATGCGCGGGGTTTCCAAATACAGGCGCGCGTTCCAAGCTCTGATATACCAGGGTCCTCGGGGAACCACCGGCTGTACGATGGCGGACGATATGGCCCAGTGTGACGGTGACTCCATTCAAAACGGAAAAGCTGCAGGGTCTACACGGTCTCACGACAGCCGTCCGTCCGGCCGTTGAGGCTTCGGCAGCTCCCTCCCGTTACACAGGGAGCAACACTGGATTCACCCGAGGCGCACAAGTTGACTGTGCAGCTCCGATGCCAGCCGCTATTGGACGGGTTGTTACTTGTACCAGGCGATTCCCAAAAAAGCGATCCGCTACAGGATCGTCCCTGGAGGAGCTCGCCGCGGCCCACGTCGGATGCAACAGGGCATAAGACCATGTCGGACAGATGTCGGATGTAGATTTCTTCCAGGTAAATGCCAGTGCTCTAAAGTGGCTGATACCGTTTGTCGATCCGCTCTGGAGCGGTTGTAGACCGGATTACTGGCCGCTTGCAACTTGCAACTTCGCTCATTCTACTGGTTGTTCATCCGCCAAGATACGAGAGTGCATGAGATACGAAGACTTGCCAGGGCCTCGCCCGTCCCTTCTGATTCGGAACACGGCTATCTTAGAACCTTAAGCGTCTTTCACATTCCTGGAGTGGGAGGTGGGCCGTGGGCTGTTGACTAGCACAGAACGGGAGCCACATTCGTCAACTCGATGTGATTCACGGTGACAGGTTGACAGGTGGAGTCGCAACATTCCAAGCCAACTCCCATGTAAGGGCTTCCGCTGCCTTCTGGATGCAACGGCAGCACCAGGCTCCAATGAGTGGCGAAGGGATGCTCCTCCCGTTTCTTAGTTTCATCATAAAGCTTACCAGGAAGCTCAGGGAGAAGAATCGAGTGTTCAAGGCAGCAGCTTCCGTGGAGAGTGCAGATCCTGGCCTATTCCAAGCCACCTTGGGCCCGTAAGCCGCAAATCGAGGATGCGAATCTCTACTATGATTCGACTGGATACTATAGGCAAGCTATGGAATCCGTGGCATGTGGCCAGTCTATCACGCGCAGCATGGGTAACTCGGTGCTAGTCCCAATCGCCGGGTACATGTTTCTAAAAAGAGGAAACCAGAGAAATGCGCGGAAAGTTGCGTGTCGGAGAAAGCCACGCGTTGCGCAATGCATCTTGGAAGACACCCATGAATAGTTGATCTATCACATCGACTTTTAAAATAGCCTCAACTACCAATATGGACTATGATATTTGGCTCCCAGCTGAGATATTCTGACTGGTTCCACTATGCGTTGCAGTCCAATGATAATACGTGCTCACCGTGACAGTCCAGGGAAATGAACATCAAAGAATTGTACGCGATGGTGCCTTCCACCCCTCGGATGTAACAACCAAACCAGCAAAGTCCTGCTTCCGACAAAGGCCCGGACCGAACTCTTAGTTTGAGATCTTACCTCCGAGGGTGGAACGGCAATTTGAGGCCTTGTTTGCATATTCCAGATGCACCTGTCGTAGAGCATAGATGCTGTAGATCGAGCGAGCCGACCACAGATCCATGCCGGATACCGAATCAGGAAACTCGGCGGACACCAGGGATGTTTCCGTCTGTACCAAGATCCGGGAGGCGACATGCGTGGCTGTGCGCGGGGAAGAAGGGACCCATGACCGATGGAGCGGATTCGCGGCGCTGCCACTCGAAAGAGAAGGGTCATTCGTTGTCGTACAGTAGTTCCCGCTGAGATGTTCGAGCGGAGGTTGGAGTAATGAGGATGATCGACTCGGGGTTTGGGGATGGACAGCACACCAGAGAGCAGAGTTCAAGCTGTCTGGGTCATCTGATCCCTTCCGAGGAATACCCGATGAGCCAAGTATCATTAAACGAGTAATTATGCTGGTTTAGTTTTCATTGCGATATATGATGCTTTTCATAAAAAGCCTAGCTCTAACAGTATTGCATGATAGTTCGCGTTCACTCACATGGACAATGGACGGATCTTAAGGGATTGGGGAGCCCAACTAGTCTTGGATGAGTTTAAAGAGAAAACATTGGATATGCTCGGCAATATCCAAAGATACATCTTGGATATGGAGTTAGGTATGCGGCATTGCATTCAACATGCGTAGTTGAATCCCCGCCTGTACCAGGGCATTAAAATTCTAGGATCTTCACGTAGAATATCGGCACGGTCACCCACACTGACCAACAGAGTTGGTTTTTGACCTGGCCATGATATTAACTCTTGCGACACCTGCTGAGTAGATCGACAATACTTGATTGCCACCAGGGCAGAAGTTGACCAAGACCATGCTGGACACTCCGCCATCTGGAATAGCCCCTCTCCATTAGGCCCTTTTTTAAGGAAAAGCAAGCATTGAAGAGAGTAAACGTCCAAGTTGACGAGGTTGATCTTTTCCAACCATTTTCCAACTGATTTCCAGGCAAGATAATGTAGGTTTTCACCACTCACCTTGCATATAAGCACCTACCAGTATATGTCTCGATTGCCCGGTATGAACCAATAAATTCATTGATTTCTGACACCGGAGGCGACCGTGGTATTCGTGATTAATATTCATAGGCTGATGGTGAAAGGGATAGTATTTTGGTAAATCGTTGCGACCGACTAGAAGTCACCAGACTTCTGGAATGATAGCACTCGACGCAATGGTGCAACGTCGTGCTGCGGAGGCCAAATGGAAACGCTCAAAGTCGAAGCAGAGACATTGAAGGATACTGTTAGTGTCTATGTAGCAGCGTGTCATCTTTGCATAGCGATTGACCAGACTGAGATCTTTCACATTTGGCGTTGGCAAGGTTCATATCAGCAATATTGGCCGAGGAAAAGCAGTACCAGCCGTCAATAACGTTGAGATGAAGCCTGTTGATAAGACAAAAAGTGAGAGATACCGGTCTGATCATTGAAGCAAAGGCGTTGACACTCTGACAAGTCTGCAGTTCCCGGTTCTTTCGTAATTGATGCCCATGCCTTCAGGCGCCAGCATTGGCCCATTTTTCCGGCAAAGACACCCGTACAGGTCACGATCATGATCACATTCTTCGCTGGTCGGCTATGTGATCGATCTCGATGGAGGGATTGCCGAGGGAAAGCAAAGGCCATCCAAAGCATTCGAATGCCACGCCCGAACGCGTCACTTGTCGGGGCGCATCGGATCGTTTCAGAGTGTTCTCACATCAATCCCACACGTGATCAAGTTCATTCTGCTTGCAGACATCGTGAAGTGGGGAACTTCGACCTCAAAAAAGGGTACCCGAATGTCGGGAGGACACACATTGGGTGAGAAACAGCCGGTGGCGAAAGGGGAAGATATTTGCTCCGAAATAATATGGGTCGCCGGGGCTTGCGGAAATATACAGTAGCTGTGCCATGGCACGGAAGCCCGGAGAAAGTTCCTCGGGGCGCACTGTAGTGAAGTGGAACTTCGAAGTACGTACTCCGTACGGGAGAGCTCAAAGGAGTAGGTGATGTTCTTCGAGAACCCTTGGGAATGCTCCACGGGTCCCAATTAAGGGTTGCTGAGTCACGGCACCGGGAAGAAACCACGGTACTTGAATTGAAATCAACATGAACTGGCAGAGTTTTAGTGAGGATTAAGAACTATAGTGATGACGGTCTGGAGAAGCAATGAAGCGATTTCAAATCGTCAACTCTTAGCGCTGGCCGTTGTCGGCGGGTTCAATGCCGCATGCAAGACTCGGCACGAAGTTGAGGGGCTTCGGACTTCCGTAACCGGTAATCCGTGGAGATCGTGAGTTACCCCGAGCGACGTTTCTATGTAAGCAAGATAAGGTATGGAGCAGGGTCTCCACAGAAAAAAAATTCGAACACCAACAGATCACGAAATCGGCATCTCCACTTAGTTCGCTGTGGCCACCGCATGAGGGATTCCGAATACCCGCCGTCCCACATATCCTACTGTGAGTCAAGAAATGAAAAATCTCAATTTCTGATGGGGGGAGGAAATTCCTAGCGAGAAGTTGGAAAGAATAGGTTCAAGCCACGAATCTAGATTCATCGAAATCAAGGAAGAAGCGACAGGGTGAGTTGGCGAGCTAAGGACAAAGAAAGGGGACCAAGACAGGGCTGGACCGAGCCGGTAGGCCTAGATTCGTTGCTCCGGCGTTGGCGCACCTGTCCTGCTGACCCGGAAGACTTTTAGGGCGCAGGGGCCAGGTTCCCCATATGCTGCAGATCAGACCGTATAAGATTCCACTCCGACCCTCGCCCTTTTTTTTCGGCTCTGCTCTTTCGAGTCTTCGGTTCCACCTACGCCTATTTAAATATTTCGGTCCCCTCAAGAGACCTGGATCGATTCTACTCTGACCAAATATCAACTATAAAAACTACCCGATATACGTCCGCCACATCGGACGGATCGTTATGACAACTGCCGTGAGCATTGTCACTCCCAAGTCGCCGAAGCCATCACACTCTGTACCTTTTCAAAAGAACGCCAACAAACGCTGGCCCCCAATGGCGAACCGCAACGCTCTTCCATACAAGCTCACCGTCATCTCGAAAGAGAAGTTGGCGCGTGAAGCTACCGCTCCCGACCCCAGTCTCCGTCGCTGCGTGGCACACTTCCGCCTACACTGCGGCTCAGTATTATGGACCGAGAATGATATGAAGTCCCGCATCAGTTCATTCGAGTTTGAAGAGACCGATGAAGAAGACGAGGCCGAGGACGAGAAGCAAGAGGAATCACCAAAGTTCGTCAATGGTCCTGTCACCGGGATACCCTCGGAACAGGAAATGAACGCTGCTCAAGTCACCGAGACGGAAATCCTTGCCATGGATTCCAAGAACTTCTGCTGCGTCTCGGTTACTCCCATTGCCGCTTAAGCTGGCTCTCGACCTCAATCACGCCACCTATTCCGACTCCAACTCCTATTGCCACCCATCTACTCTTCCTCTCCGACACTACAATCTCTCTCGCTCTCTCCTACCCGATATAATGAATAATGATGCCACGACGACTTTACGACATAGAAGAATGTGTTCTGTACATAGCCACATACTCAATATTAATCCACAAACCAAAAGATTTTTTGCTGGCAAATTCCGATTCCATTGTAATCAATTATTTTCATTGCACTTATTTTAGCACTAAATCCATAATTAACAATTTGCCCCTTCTACCGTACTTTCCATCAATCCACAACTCGGCTAACTTGCCCTTCAGTGACTCAGAACGGGGCCGGTCACATGAGAGGCGCGTGTCGGTGTGGCCAGGGTCCACTTTGCAGCCCGCAAAGTGTGCGTTGTTGACGATCTCGAAAACAGTCGAAGTCGGAACCTAAGGGACGAGGCGTGCAGCAAATGAGAGTCCTAGGACTCAATTACCCGGCTGCCTTAGTCCAAAATTAATATTGCCAATATGTAATGGCGAATGTCGGGTCCGGGTACACGGGATTGTCAGGGCCGAAAGACCGCCGATCGTCGGTTATCATGCCGAGGCGATATCGCCCGAGAAGAAGGGCTTCTATGTACTAGTTACTACAGTAAAGTAGTACACGGGCGAGCAATAGGGTATACCGAGAAGGAATTGAGGATGACACCTCACATTGCTGTACTACGTCATTGGGGCTTTCTTGGGGAGATGGAATCGGACGAAAACAGTGCCATTGCCACTGGACTCCATATCACAGTACTGTAAGAGACATGCCGACAGGAAATGGATGGCCATGTTTGTCTGCAGCTATGTCGTACATTTGAAATCATAGTTGCCGGATGTTCTTTCTTGCCAACACGGTCGCCGAGGGATTGCTTACACTAGCTTGATCAATGGAAGCATCTAATTGGCTGGTATCTCACCCGCGATCTTGATACTTCAGCTTCTACTGTGGCAAGTTGAAAGTCACTTTACGTAGATGTTATGTTTCCGATCTCGGTTTCTCCTTTCTCGACAAAAGGTTGATCTACTTGACAGGAATTGCTTGATCGGGAATCCCGACACCGATTATCTGTACTCTCTGAGCATTTACTCGTCTATTGGCGGGATGAGACCCCATAACTTTGACATGGTACGAGTCATCGGCATCAATCCTTGACCGAAGGGTATGTGAACTTGCTTTTAAATCATAAACTGCGACGGTCCAATTGTGACCTTTCACATTTACTTACGTCACATACGCACAAGTACATTGACGAGAACCAGAGCAATAGAGATGTGGATTCAGCAGTAGCTTGCAACTAGAATATCTTCCACGAGGGAGAAAGGAAAAACAGTAAGAGTGAAGTGGAAGACATAGAAAGTCGCAGCTCAAGGATGCACGCTACCCAGAAGCATCCGGGGATTCCATCTGTCGTAAATTAGTCAGAATCCGTTCTCTTTCTCTCCATCTATAGACCAGTGCCCTAGTAGGTAATGTTGGGAAGCTCTTCAGTCCCCAGTCTCTCCGAGCCTCTGTTTGTATTTCTATAATGTACGGTTCAACCAACGGAAGTTATATGCGGCCCAATAATGACGTAATTAGCAAAAGGTCTGTTTACGAGTCTGGTTGAAAGTATCAAGCCTGGCAATTTTAGCCAAAATAGTGGCTTTCAAGGTTGCATTCTGACTCCAAGGGAAGACAAACGAGAACCAGCCATGAGTGCCACCAGCGCAGGGTACGCAAGCACTAAAGATGCGGCGTCCACCTCAATGTATAAATTGCGGACAGATCGGACACAAGAGGAATACATGTAAAGTTAAAGATTGATCAATATAAAGGCGTTCTGGTTGATAAAAGTGTCAATATATAGAGGAAAAGTGGTTGGGAGGCCCCCTGGTTACGGACCACGTTAGTTACACAAAGGCGTTTATAGCCCCTTCCATCCCACCTCTCGCTAATTCTGATCTTTTCCTCACTATTTGCTCGGTCTTCCAAAGAACCGCATAGTCTTTATATTACCACGTTTGCGAACCTCAGACCCCATGGAGATTGAAGCCAATTCCAGAATATGCACCTGATTGCGGTTGGAGGCATGTCCTTCATTAACCAGGCCGACGCAGTATTGTGGTCAAAGTTCCACACACCGGGGATTGTGCGAGACAGCAATTTTATAACGAATTTAAGATCTATAAAACTTTCTCCCAACAAGCAACCTGCGCCTTCATTGTGCAGTGTCTCCTCTACACGGACGACGGGGTATTCCTGGAGCATATAAGAGGTGATACTCCTGAGAGCTATGGCCACAATAATATCTCTATTAATCAACTGAATAGATAGATCGCTTGCCGACCGTATTCAAGCCAATCACACATTCGACGACAACACCTGGGTGGTTACCCATGTGGATAGATTGGCTCGATCGAGCCGGCCGCGGAAAGCGGGTTGACATTTGAGAAAAGAGTGAGAACTTCTTACGAGGTTTGTTTCATAAGCTCCGCGCCTAATGTCACATTGGTAAAAAGAGCGACAAGTCCTGGTTCTGAGGGAAGCAGGATTCTCGGACCCGAAGAACGGCGCTCGGGGCCAAACATTTGGAAGCTTGATCTGTTTAATCGAACCGATGCCGATCGATTGCCAAAGTACCCCACTCAGCCCGCTCCGACCCGATAGCCCGACTATCGTTATTTCCGAGGTTGGCTCTGTTGATCCCTCAGAAACGCTGGATGAGGCCGACTTCTATCAGCGGCTAGAGCACATGAGTAGTCCTAGCAATCCAGCACATTGGAAGATATATAGTCTCTAAATATGTGGCATTATTGCGGAATCGTCCTCATCACCACGAGCAGACTTTACAGGGCCAAACACCGGAGCGACCACAACGACCGCGACAACTGTGACAACTAGTCCATCTTCATCCCCACGTCGTTCTCCACACATAATACTAGTTGCAATGGCTATCCAGCGGGGTGATCGCTGGCATTGTTGTGGCCGCGGTCGCTTTCATTTTCATCGTCGCCATGGGTTGGAACCGGGCGAAGATCACTGCATGGGTTCATCGAATATTGTTTCCTCTTCCAAAAATAGTGTGAAAGAGCTTCCTGACGAAGACTGTGTCTGAATTGCCATAGGAAGATTCCTTTGATATGATGTTGCGAAGACAAAAGTTTATGTATATTAACGTTTCTTCGCTAAAAAGAAAGCAAAACAAGTTTGCGCACGCGCATCTAATTATACAATTTGAGGACGTGCCAGTCCCAATCGGTTTAGTCCAAGCTTTGCCGAAGTGAATGAATCGATGCACCCTATTAATTTTTTCCAGGGGGGTGTTTGTGGAGTGTAAATTGGGAAGTTGGGGATGGCCTCTATGACCGCAATCTCCCACTCGTAATCCACCACGCATGCCATGCTCTGTAGAATACCGAGTTTCTGGAGCGTCTAGGGAAGCATGCCTGCCATGTTCAGTGCCTTGCCATAAATCCACCTAAAAGCATAGGAGCCGGTAGCTCCGCTGTCTGAAGAAGCGGAAACTCCTTGAAAAACTCCCCAAAATGGCAAACCCTTGTTCGAGATTTCCGTGCTTTGTCTTGTCCCAATGGGTGGGAAGGAAAATAGGACAGAGCTCAAGACTAAACGAAAGGTGTTCGACTTTGTCCTTTACAGCCGACAAAGACACATTGTAGTCATGAAAAACTAATGCAATTGATTTATGTGTGCAAATGAATTATCTATGTACAAAGTTCAGGTGGTTGAGAGTCAGAACAGCAAAGCACTACGTTTCTCCACCTCATTTCATCGTGCTATCAACCAACTCGCGGTAGATCTTCTTCAGATCAGCAATGTCGGCCTGCAGTTCCTCTACCTGCTCACTCTTTTCACCAAGCATCTCAAGAGTTGTTTGATACCGCTGGTCGATATCAGTCAGTCTATCCTCAAGCTCCTGCACACGAGAATCGGAAGCTTTCTTTTCCTCGAGCTCGCGCATGAGGTCAACGACTTGTTGCCTAGCCTCATCGCGCTGACTTGTGACGCGCGCAAGTTCGTCCTTGGACCCGGCGCGCTCACTTTCCAATCGGCGGACTGTAGCACTCATGCGCTCCACTAGCTGCACGGACGGGCCGGCGCCGACAGTCGACTCGGAAATGATGTCGTTGATGCCACGGGATCCGGCAGCCTGGGTGCCACCGTATGCAGATGGAGTAGCGGGAGTGCCAGGGTCGAAATCATCCGGCTCAAAGTTAATGGAAGGAGCCTCCAAAATCATTGATGGAGTTCCTGTGTGGATTGGAGGAGGAGAAAGTGTTCCCGGGTTGATCGATGTTGGGTAGGAGTTCTGGCGCGGCGGCGTGCCGATATCAGGCGAAGCGGAGGGCAGGGTGGATGAGCGACGGCTGCTGGGACGATAGTCCAAGAGACCAGATGGGATAGCATCGAGATTGCTCGACCGGCGAGTAGACGGAACGGGTGACACGGCTCGGGGTTGTTGCAAACTGTTGACCTGGTCGCGCCATTTGGCGCGCTCTTCCTCCAGCTTTTGCGCCCATGTTGCGTCGGCAACTTTCTTCTGCTCAGCCGCGTCCTTTTGAGCTACAGTGAGGTCGTCGGTTGCTTTGTCGACCTTCTGTTGCATCTTTTGCAACTCTTGCATGCGCTCTTCGAGTTTGCTCTCATAATCCCGCTCGGATTCTTTGGCATTCTCGACATCTTCTTCCAATTTCTTGGTTTTGAGGTTCTATAAAAACCGTGTTAGTCAAGACTTCCACGAATGAAGGCGTTGCTGCAAAAATCTCACCAGCTCTCGAATCTTCTTGCGCAAATCGGCTTCTCTGCGGCTCACATCATCTCGTTCCTTCTCCACGTTGGCCAAGCGGGCAAGGAGAGAACCTTCCAAGGCGTGCCAATTCTCGCTGGCAACAGAATACTGGGTCTGAAGGGTCTCGATCTGCCGCAGAAGTTTGGCCTGGGTCTCCCCTGTTGCTCCAGATGAAGCTTCTTCTGCACGAGAACGGAGGCTCTCCATCTTGCTTTCCAGAACGGACTGCTCGCCCTTCAATTCGGCCTCGAGCATGCGCGCCCTTTCTTTCTCCTGATCAATCTTCTCCTTCAACTCGCTGATCTCTTTCTTCGACTTGTCGTGGCGGATGTCCCGCTCAATCTTGAGAGTGGAAAGCTCTTCTTCCAAGTCATTGGCTCTGCTTCTCTCTCTTTCCAATGCATCAGACGTAGCCTTGGACTCGGCGGCTTCGGCACGTGCAACGGCTCGGCTCAGTTGACCCTTCATTTCCTGCACCGTTTGAGTGAGCGCGTTGCGCTCGTTCGTCACAGCTTCAAGGTCCTTGGCCACTTTTGTCTGGGAAGACAAGGATTCGTTCGCTCGTTGAGCTGCGGCTTCAGCTCGTTTCGCTCTAGCCTCGGAGCTGTGTAGATCTCTCTCCAACTTCTCGGTCTTTTTCTTCATTTCATTCTGAGCCTTGATGTTCTCGGAAAGCTGCTGTCGAAGCTTCTTGAGAGCGGTACGATGGTCCATCTCTGACTTGGACAGCTTCTGGCCCTCCTCAAGAAGCAGTGCAATCTTCTCATCTTTTTCTAGCAGTTGTTTTTTGGTACTTCCCGGGGAAGCAGAAGCTGCGGCGTTCTTGGCTGATTCAGCTGCCTCCTTGGCAAGATACTTGAGCTTCGACTGAAGTGCATCGATTCGTTCAATATATCCATGGATTTCCTCCTGCCGCTGAGAGTCCGCCGCGTTGTCATCACCTTCTGGAGCCTCTGAAGGTACATCGACGCTCGGCCGTGGGCTTTCAACCGATGTACGGGCACTGTGCACCTCATTTGGTTGGAAATCTGTTGGATCCTGGCTATAACTATCCGGCTCCGCAACCCGCTCACTCACATCGCCGGACGCCCTGGGTATAGATTCTGTGGCACTTAAATCTACCGATTGCCTGGTAGAAACACCAGAGTCTTGGCTTGCTCTTGGCGCTGTAACCTCCGTTGCAGTGTCTTCTTCTTGCAGCGGAGGAGACTTAAAGGTGTCGGTAACGGGCGCAGAGGATGCAATACTGGAATCGATATCCATGCTGGATCGTGCATCACTACTTGGTCGCGGGCTGGCCGCGGGGGAAGAAACACGACTTGGCGAAGTTTCCGAGTTCCGATTCGGGGCGTTTTGTTTGACCATGGCCCGCGCCAGGCGTTCTTGGAGACGGTCATTCCTGCGCGCAGTTGATGCGCTGCGAGAAATTGCTGGGAATAGCGTTAGTAGTTTCCAAGACGGCAAGTGTTCGATACAATTTACATACAGCCAGCAGGAGACCTGGTTACTGGTGCACCGGTACTCGCAGCCTCTCCAGACTTCGCGTTCGCCGCTTTCTGTCTTTCCTCCTCATCTAACAGAATATTGTCTAGACGCGATTCGACGCCCGCCACTGCTTGCTGGAAAAAGTTGCCCACGCCCCATTTCTTTTGCGCCTGCGAATTCTGCGCCATGATGACGAATATGCTGGATGGAAAGTACGACTCGAAGACTAGGCAGCAAATGCCCGGTGTTAAGTTTGCATGGGGTCGGTGGGGGCCGCGCTCGGACAAGACTTGGGTTGTGTTCGACTCGAACAATGTGCGATTGAGTAAAGGAGACTCACTTCGCACCAGACAAGAGGGAACGGCAGAAACGAGGCCGGGAACGAAGGACTGTAGGACTGGACGTTTACGTTGTATTGAAGGCAACAACACGTTGCAAAACGGACGTCGCACAAGAAATCAGGCCTGAAGGAGTGTAAGAGAGAGGACCGCAGTGAGGGAGACACCCGTAGGACACGACAGAGCGTACAAGAGAATAGGGGAGAAATGACGAGGACAGAGGCTTTAGATGAAACTGCATGCGTTGGGAACCAACGCGGGTCTTGGCGGTGCTTCCGTCATCCCCAAGCTCCATAGGCTCCGCCTCCCTTCTCGACCTTCCACCTTCCAACGGATCCTGTTTCTCTGGCCCGGGGTCTTGTCCGATCACCATGTCGTTGGAGCCACCAACCTACCTCAGCTCGCTGCAGAACAACATCCGCGCTCGGCCAATTCCGTGGGAGGGCGCTGTCCGCGCGGGCAACATCACCGATGACCACCTCAAGAAGATCAAGGCTGTGGACAAGGTGCGCAAGGAGCAGCGCATTCAGACAATAGAGGCAGACCTTCCGGGTTACACAAGCCTGCTGGCTGGTGGCTCGCACGGAAAGAGTGTCTTGGAGTCGGCCTCTCGGAGGACCGATATCGTGCAATACATCTTGGTACTGGCATCGGACTTGATTCAGGGTACGTCTCGCTGCCTGCACAGCGCATTATGCTCTGAAGTAACTAACACATGATGCTAGATGTTCCCTCTCTCGCCGACTCCCTCGTTTCGCACCCTGAGCCGTACAAGCCGTTCCTGCCGTTCCTGCACCACTCCACGAACGCCGAAGACCCCATCCCGCTGCTCACATCAACTTTCCTCACTTTACTTGTGTCGCACAGTCTCGTCTCGTCCTCCAAACCCGCCCCCCGTGACGATGAAGCCCTCCCACAGCTGTATACGTACCTCTCCACCCTGACCAAGAACCATGATAGTGGACTCCAGGACATTGGAGTCCAGGGATTCTCGGAGCTCCTTAGGAAGACACGCTCTCGCGAGATCTTCTGGAACCACCGCAAGGAAACCTTGGACCCTTTGATTGATACTCTGCGTGCTGCTGCGGGAGTTAAAGAGAATAGTGGTACACCGGGAAGCAACACACGTGGCAGTGAGCCTGGGCTTGCCGGCGGTGTTGGCCTTCAGCTGCTCTACCGGGTGCTTCTTGTAGTGTGGCAGCTTACATTTGAGAGTGCACTTGTTGGCGAAGAGCTGCAAGAGTAAGTTTTATGCGCCTAATCAACACTAACCCCCGCCGCTGACCACGCCTAGGAACTATGAGATTATCCAACTCTACACCCAACTCCTCCGCCTCTCGCCGAAGGAGAAGACCACTCGACTGCTCCTCTCAACCCTGTATAACCTCTTTTCGAGTAACCGGACAACCTTGCTCCCTGTGGCTGTGTTTGTCCGTCTGCCCGCACTCCTTACCAACTTGGCTGGTCGCCACCTGACCGACCCCGACCTTCTTGAAGACCTAAACGCCCTGTCTACCATGCTGGAAGAGTACACCAAGACCCAGACAACATTCGACGAGTACGCCGCGGAGGTCCAATCTGGTCATTTGCGCTGGTCCCCCCCTCACAAGAACCCGACCTTTTGGAAGGACAATGCTCGCCGGATCTTGGATGAGTCCAACGGCGCGCTACCCAAGAAGCTTGCAGAAATCTTGTCGAAGAGCTGGGACAACGACAAGCAGGTTCTGGCCATTGCCTGTAACGATGTGGGGCATCTCGTGAAGGAACTCCCAGAACGGCGCACGCAACTAGAGCGGATCGGCCTGAAGACGCGAGTGATGGAGCTGATGGCTGACAAGGACGAGACGGTGCGATGGGAGAGTTTGAGGGCCGTGGGCGAGTGGCTCCGATATACCTTCGACAAATGAGGGGTTTCTTGCTTTTGAATTTCGAGGATTCCCTACGGGATGAACATATACTTCTGTTGGCACGTGTGTATTTCTGCCATAGCGCATATCTGTCTATTCTCCCGGGTCAGTTGCATCGGCAGAATAATCTAGAGACTCTACAAACCAAGTACACAATATCAACTGGGTCGAATTCAGCACAGATAAAACCCGCCGATCGGTGGATCCATAGGAGCCGCTAACAACGCAACCTACAGCGTCCTCGATCCAAAAAATCTCGATAGCCATGGTTACATGGGGAAAACAGAGTTAGACTTTCAATCGTTATCAAACCCTCCTTTTCCTGCCAGCCGATAAACCCCTCGATCCCAACTCGACCGCCGGAACCCTGGTCTAGTCATTCGCCACGCGGGAAGTCGGAGATCGTGGATTTTCCCCGCAGAAATTATTCTCTGCGGGACACTCACCTCTCCACACCCAACACATCCAGCACCCATGTCGAGATCCTTCACCGGCTGCACAAGATGTAAAGCGCGGCGCCAAAAATGTGACGAGCAGAGACCGACGTGCGGGCGCTGCCAGACCGCGAACGTGGAGTGCAAATATGCGATGCAGCTGCAGTGGGGTGGGCGGGCGTTTTCGCGATCGCGATTCGGGGCCTGCGTGGGCTCGAACATGCAGAGATTGGGTATGGCACGCTTAATTGTTCCAGGAGACTAGGAGACTTGCGCTGATACCATCAGAATACTCACCCGGCGAATTCATCTACACCACCAAGTCCAAGTCCAAGGCGGCTCAGGCTCAGGCTCAGGCTCAGGCCCTCGCTCAGACTCAGTCCAGCTCTAGCCTGATCTTGGCGAAGCCTGTCGATCCCTTCTCATCGCTCTCCAACGATCAAAAGGCGCTGCTACACCATTTTATCAACGATGCCTCCCAGATCACCGCCTGCCACTCCGGCATGCAGCAAGATATCTGCCGCATGATAGTGCCCATGGCTCTACAGACTCCATCCTTGTTATATGCCACTACCGCCCTCTCCGCAATTCACATACAAGCCCTACATAACCAGTCCGAGAGCGTCAAAACAGCACCCGATATCGCACGGCTGATGGCACTAAGTCTGGAACACTTCCGACAGGAACTCCAGAATCCCTCATCGAAGGGCTCGGAGGCGTTGGTGGCGACTGCGCGGACACTTTGTCTGGCGGAGATCCACTCGGGAGCGATCAATCCGAACTCATGGCGAGCGCATATCGAGGGAGCGAGGGCGTTGATGAAGACTTCGGATGCGGCGGGTGAGGACTCGCTTCGATCTGAGAGTGGTTTTCGCAGGTACTTGGATCGCTGGTATTGGTCTATTGTGTCTCTTACGGCGTTGACGGGGAATGGGCCGCCTATTGGTAATACCTCTGAGTTTGCGCCGTCGGATTTGGCGTGCCAGCGGGGGTTGCCTGATTATTTGGATGATTATTGGGGATTCACGGTTGATCTTGCTGCGGTTTTCCGACAAATTGGTGCCGCTGCTTGGCAAAATCACCAGGCTGAGAAGGATCCGCAGGGGTTTATCGAGGGTGAGGTCGAAAGTAACGTGGAAGACGAAGCGGCGACGCTAGAGTCTTCGGTTCGGCATCTTATGGACCGAGGTGCTAGTTCTGAGCCGTCACTATACCCAGGCGTCGCTGAAGGACTGCCGGCGGAGAGCGTGCAGCAATTGTCACTCTGCAACGAGGCTTTCCAACACAGTGCTCTGATCCAGATTAACAGACGTCTGCGCAGGATCCCGACGGCGTCGGATGAAGTACAGCAGTCTGTTCAGCGGATCCTTGAGTGTACGGCACAAATTGGGCCGTCATCTGGCCTCAGCCCGTGGGTGATGCTGACCACGCCGCTCTTTATCGCGGGCTGTGAAGCGCTGGGAGAAGATCGCGACACAGTGCGACAACTACTTGCGTCGTTACACGACACTATTCGAGTACCCAATGTGTTGCAGTCCCTGAAATTCCTCGAGCAGTATTGGTCTAATCAGCTCAGTGAGGAAGAAGATTGGAGCCATTTCCTTGGTATTTATTTCACCGGTCTCTCTCTACTCTTCCAACGTGTTGCTAACTTTTTTCCCAGATCGAATGAACTTTGACTTCATCCCTTATTAGATCTCGAGGGGGAAGTCTCGATATGCATGATTTGTGATGATTGGCGTTCCAAGATTGACTTGCCCATGTTTGCCCAACATTTTTTTATTTCATTTTGTCATTTTATCATGCTGCAGGCGCTGTTATGGAGGATATCCTGGAGTACATATTGTAACCGAATATTGTATATTTTGATCTAAGAGAAATCGCCAAGTAATTAAAACACATCAACACACTGAATTCGCCGAGTTTCCACCAGATGGCGGCCTGTGCTGCACCAGCTCTTGGTTGTCCTCATGTGCAAGTGCAATTCCCCGGTCCCATTTCCTAGCTAGAAGATGGTGGTCAGATGGCCAGGCAACAGACAGAATCTTGATAGAAAGTAGGCATGGAGGCAGCCTCTACTGAGTGAGGTTATTCAGTGATGAAACGTGCCCTGGAATTTTCCAGACATGCCATATAATATGGCCAATATCTTCTCATTCAACGCAACCATCGCAAACCGACTTCCATTCCTCGGAATATCCTTTGATCGTCCGACTTCATCATCGCTCAATCAACCGCTTCAAACATCAACCAGTACGTTATCTCCATCTCCTCTACAAATCCTGCAGCTCACATCCGACCCAAGTTCTGTCTCTTTCTCGAAAGTGAGCAACGTCATCCACGATGTCTGACCAGACCCCCCGCAGGTCGGTACGTATGAAAGAATGTGCCTACACTGAGAAGCTGAGGGACTAACTTGGTCTGCTCTTGCAGTTCCTGAAAGGGGATGGTAAGTTCAAACCCGAGCCTGAGCCATCTCAGATGGGCTGTTGGCAGACCAGGCTGCGAAACAAGGGCAAGGAGGAAGAGAAGAAGGACATCAAGGACAAGAAGGAAGCCAAGAAAGAAGGGAAGAAAGAGAAAGGGTCGGAATCAAAGAACTGAGTTTGTCCTGAGAGACCGAAGTGTACTACACACGACTCTTTTTTGATTCTTTGCGGTTTATTTTGGGAGGCCTTTGGAAATTTCGAGGGTCAATGACCACTTTTTGATTTGATCATACGGAAATGAATTGAATTTGGCCAAAGCAAATCGTAGATACTGATTTGGTGTTTAAACAAATGAAAAAAGGTAGGCAAAGCCGGGACTTCTTGGGGTTGCCTGGGCAGGTATTCAGCAGTGCAGAACGAGAAGAGTTCTTCCGAAGATGTCTCTGAGGAAACCCGACTGTCTTCAGAATTACAAGGTCCACCAAGTGACTATCCACTCACCGTGGTACTCTCATCCACCTGGTCAGAGCAACACATCCAGCGGCGTAAACTCCACTAATCTCTGTAGAATCGCCGACTCTATCTCTTGGATCTGGATTTGGCCTCAGAGCTCGTGGTTTGACTGATTGACTTGATCAGCATTCTTGCCAAGGGATATTCTCGTTGCCCACCTTGGAAAGCCGTAAATAGTTCCAAGAGTCCGACGTGGAAACAAGGTTTCGAGATCGGCCTACACGATACACATATATCACTCCTGAGGCCCGGAGAGCGAGTTCCATATGCCAACCGCTCAAACGCTCAGGGCTGAAAAATGAACAGCATCTCTACGGCACCGTGGAGTATTTGAATGCCGTTTCTAAGCGTCTCACTGCAAGTGAAGCCTGCAAGAATTGTTTGTCGAGCGACTAGCGGGATTCGCGAGTGGATTCTATGGAGCAGCCCTACGGGCCCTCAATACTCATGGCGCCAGTAATACGCATGGTGCGACAATAGCCCAAGCCACCCGATGTCGCGACTGCTATTTATTCCTCAAACAAACCGGGAAGTGGGTGTAACGCGGTCGTCTTTGCTATTCTAAGACCAAATCTGGAGCTGTCAGGCCAAAGTGGATCCCCCGATCGAAAAGGAGAAACAAAGTCGAGCCGGTCTACGGTTCCAGACTCGGACGTTGCTGGGTTCTTGGGGTCTCACAGCCCCCGAGACATGCAATTAATGCACGGGTGCGGCTGTTTGATGTATGCACGTAATACCCCATGTCTTAAAATTGAGTGTTTGGTTCCCGGGGCTGGAAAGTCTGGGCCCGAAGTTAATCGTTCATGGCAACGCGGTTCTTTGGTTCTCGTTTAGGGGTTATCACGGGTTTTCCAGATGAGGAATATGGTTTTCGCCACTGACGCTGAGGGTGTTCGTCCATGGCATCGAATGGCACGACAAGGTTCAGCCCCCCCAGGGTAGAGAATACGGTAGGGTATCACTGTACAAGCACATTGGCCAGTGCTGAGCCGTCGGGACGCGACGAAGAGGTAAGCAGGAAGCGCCAAGCCTCAGCAAGTAACGTACGCCGCCCACGCGTTGGCCCGAGATTTCGGCCAGACGTCCGAGTGTGATTGACGTTGCACACGGCACGACAGGGGGGCTACTGCACAGTACTATAGCAGTTTAGCAGCGCACGTTCTCTGGGGGAAGGTCCAGAAGCCTGGACGGGCCGAGTTGAGCGGAAAAGGGGGCGATCTCCACCGGTCTGCGCGATCCACGGGAGAGCCCCTTCATCTACAACCGAAGATCGAACGACGCGAGATTGAGCATGGCGTGGCGATTCCAATATTCCTGAGTAATGGTGGGTACCGGCCTCGAACACATGAGAGTACGTATACATGATGCGAAGAGATAGGAAGCTCATACCGATGACATATGGTTTATATGTCCGTTCATAGTTTAAGAAAGGCCTTGCATGAGCAAACCTAGCATGAAAGGGTCAACTCGAGTATCGTGCTATACAAATGTGTATGTAGAGGTACCTGCAAGTACAAGGGGGCCAACCCCTGAAAACCAGGCGCTAGCGGGTCCGGTCCCAAACTTCGATTCACGACTCAAGGGGGATGTCTTTTGCACTGTGCTATTGAAACACTGTTCTATTCCGGTCGTCAAGTCCCGGCCTATCTACGAAGCGCCGTTATTCTACCATTTGACCGCTGGATAATTCCTTCAGGCACTTCGGTACGCGAAACACAGATAGAACGGCCAAGAGTCCACACGTTCAAGATTGTCGATCACATCGGGGCCAGAGCGTTCCTTGGCGGCGCTATCAACTTCACACTTTGTATTGGGGTGCCAATGGAATCCAAGCAGCTGCAGGTCCCGCATCTCCACCGGTGCCATCACGCTTACTCGTCCCAGACAGCGCTAATGCGCGGTCTCTGGAACCACGGGCGGTTTTGCGCCAATCGCCCGGGCCCAGTCGTACCTGACTTTCTCCTTTTCTTTCTTTGCCCAGAGTCCCTGATTGTCACTCACCTCCTAATCCTTTCCCCTTTGGTCCTCAGAACTGGCGCGTGCCATCCCTCTACCCGCGGCGGAATGAGCGACTGCCGATCGATGGCTTATTTTTGATACGACCAGGGTGTCTCATGGCTTCCATTCCTTCCGGCGGTCCTCCCGCTCTTGACTACAATCATCCTTCCCCGCCCTCGTCTCAACTTCGAAGGAAACCTCTGCCGCAGCATACCAATCCGCTGACGGTCGACCCTGATTACTATCCCCCTTCTCCCTTTTCTGACGAGGGTGAGAAACACGCTTCCATTCCTCCTCCTGCGTCCAGGTCTCCCTCCCCTTCGGTGGATGGACACTCCTTTATATCGGCGCCAAGGAATTCCAATAGGTACGTCTTCCATGGAGGACCCTCTTCAAACCGCCCCCTGATCGGCGCGCCTCTCTGCTCTCTCCGTCCTTGAACAAACGGACGGAGGCTTGTTGATATGGCCTACACATGATATCCCGCCTCCCCAACATCTGGAAGACCCATTGTCGCTTACCTGTGTCGCGCTTCCCCAGATATTCTCGAGCTCGAGCTCCGGCGAAGCCTCTCCGCATCGATACCGCCGCCTCCTCCGCGTACCTGAAGTCCGTGGTTGAAGACGACGACGACTCGGAAGAGGGTGCTGACTATTTTGACGACGATTACGAACACCAGTTCTCGAATGGAATCGGAACCCCGCTGCACAATCGTCTAGTCAGCGAGCCGTTCATCCCGATCCTTAGATCCCCTCCTCCAGCCCAACGACGTGCGACGAGTATGGCTTTGCACCCGCCTGTCAGCCGGCCACCACCCTTACATATTGACATTGATCAACGGTCGATGTCGATGAGCAGCGACCCTCGACAACCAAAAACACCTGCGAATAAGATCAGCTCTTTCTTCGGTTGGAAAGGGAACGCAGGCAACACGGCCACTTCTCCTGGCGGCGAGTCTTCAAGCACCGAGATCTCCGATATTGGTCGTTCACCTATGCCATCCCCAATGCCTCCCCTACATAATGTACCTATAAAACCCCCGTCTCCTTATGACACAAGGGCTCCTGGTGGTCTCCCGCAGCGGACTCCCTCACTAGCCAGTGTACCCGACACTATATTTGCGTCCAAGATGGCCGACTTGGAAAATGAATTACGAGAAATCAGCTCCGAATTGGCGGGTTCCATCCGCCGTGAGATGGAGCTCGAGGATCTGATCGAGCGTCTTCAGCAAGAAGGGCCTGATGTAAACCGGCGGACAAGTGATTATTTCTCCGATTCAGGCACGAGTTCCGTCCGATATGCCCCTGAAAGTCGAGCAGAAGATATTGAGAAGATTAAACGAGCGGCGGAGCAAGAACGTGCTCAATTAAAGGTGGAATTGTCGCAGAAGCTGCAGGAAGAGCGCATGCAACGAACGGCGTCCGAGTCGCATGTTCAAATCTTGGAGAACCAGGTCCAGCAGGTAGGACAATTGGACGCGATGATCTGTTGGGAGGTTGCTGACGTATTTGCCCGATTAGCTTCGACGCGATAGAGTGGATTTGTCCGATCTCTCGTCCAAAACCAGGGAGCTTGAAATTGCCCTCGAGGATACCCGACGAAAACTGCTCGAGGAGCGGCAATCAAAAGATAATTTCGAAGATTTACTCACGGCCATGCGCGTGGAATTAGAACAGCTGCGGAACGAACGAGACATTTTCAAGGAAGGGAAAACCCTCCCGGCGGAAACGCAGCGTCTGGTTGAAGAGATCGAAGCTCTCAAGATCGAGAATGCCTCTTTGGCCCAGTTGCAGGGTGGACGTTTCGCTTCTATCGCAGAGGAGGATGGCATGCCAGCCAAGCGAAACTCCGTGTTTGGTCTCTCACGGTCGAATTCCCTTGCCCGCAAGCCTGCCGGTGGCCTATCTCGATCGAACTCGGTATCTGGTGGACAGAAACGAGAGAGCCACGAATCGCTGGTCGACAAGGTGAAGGACATCGAACTTCAGCGAGATGCCCTCCACCGGACATTAAGAAGCCTTCTCGATCGCCACGCTTACCAGGCGCGCGACTTTGAAAAGCGAGCCAGGCTTATGCAAATGGAGCTTGCGCGAGCCCAGGAGGCCGGTCTTCCTCGGAAACTTGGGTATGAACGTGAGGTCCGGGCCCTCCGTGACGACGTCAACCATCTCCGCATGCGCGCGGAAGATGCGTTGGATGGCAAGTGGCAGTGCGAGAAGAACTTGGCAGGTCTGAAGATGGATCTGGACCGTGCCGAGCAAGAGACTAGCTCCCTCCGCGTGCTTTTGCAGGAGCACGACACCAACATCCCCGAAGGACTAGAAGCAGACCAAGAAAGCTTTGCCGAAGTCATGGCCACATCATCGTCCTTGGAGTCGGCCTACCGTCAATTGCTGGCAGAGCGGCAACAGGCCGAGGTCGCAGAGCAATCAGGCGACCTCGCCGACTCCATCGGCCGAGTAGAGATGCTAGGTGGCAATGTGCAGCAACGGCTGTCCAAGAACAGCTCCCTGCGTAGTCGCCTCGCGAACGCCATCGACAAGGGCGAGAGGGACCAGCGCATTTCGATCGAGCGCATCAACTTGCTGCAAAACCGAATGAAGGAGATGGAAGATTCTCTCCTGATCGCTCAGCACCATTCCGAAGAAGAAATGGGCAAGCACGAAGAGGAGATCCGCCAGATGAAGGAAAGCCACAACGCCCAGCTGGTGCGCATGAAGAACGGGGTTCGCACACCCGTCGGCGTCTCCCCACGGCCAGCGAATACACCATTCGATTCGCGCTCGCCGCGCATCGACAAGACTACCAGCGGAGACGGCGTGCCGCTGACCGACGTCGTCCAAGCCGAAGTCTTGGAAAAGCGAGTCAAGGACCTGGAGAAGCTTCTCCGAGACGCAGACATGGAGATGGAAGAATGTGTGGGAAGGATGAACCGCGCGCAGGTTGACGTAGCCCAACTACAATCTGATAGGTAAGTTTTTCTACGAGAAGAAGTGACAGATCGTGTTTCAGGCGGGCACTAACCCGATTTCCACAGAGACGAAGCCCTTCGTGAAACCCGTCGTCTTCAGGCGGACATTCAGGCCGAGCGAGATACGCTCCGATCCCTGATGGCCTAATTCTAAGAATCTCGCGCTAATTTTTAATTTTTTTTTGGATTTTGTTCACATATACCACCCCGCCATCTGCATCTGCATCTGCATCAGGACTCATCGACTCTGTACGAGTACGGGATTTGTCTTGGAGTTTGGACTTGGAGTTTTATTTTTGAGGAATATTTTGGACCGCTGTGCCTGTCCGCGTGGCATCGCGCTGGCCGTATGAAGCGCAGGTTTGGTTGTGTTTCACTGGTCAGCCTGTATATATATCATATCACCTTATTGTTTATTGGTAAATAACCGACTTTACAGTCCTGTGACGAGGATGTCATTTCACTCCGAACATTATGAATCGATCATCGAATCGTGAATTTATTAAACTAGAATCAAGGTTAATAGCTGATCGCGATCTGAGATCGCGCCCGCGTTGTTTGTATGCTTTGCACCTCTTATCTTGCGCTGGCCACTTCCACCCTCGTCGCACTCCCTTCACTCGAGTGCTGATTCACGTTTGACTACTCCTTTCTTGCGTATACCACTTCCTGAAAGGCAGGCGACTGCAGATTTATTAGTGGTTCCCACCTTCGCCCCCAAACCAAACCGCTTTCAAACAATCCAAGCCTAAAGATACCTCGTCTCCTACAAACAACAGCTGGGCACACCAGACCACCTTTCTCTCCTCCAACCAACCAGCACTCAGTGGATTCAAAAGCTCAAATCTCAACCATGGACATGCTCCCAGGTAAGCACTACACCAACCCAAGCCCATTTCCACCACTTACTAACACCTCAAACTAACAGAAAACCTCCAAACCCTCCTCACCCACCCGACAGTAACCTACATTACCACCAAAACACAAGATCAAGTAACGACCCACCTAAGTAATCTCCGAGAAACCTACATCCAGCCCTACATAATCACCCCACTCTCCACCCTCCTAACCTCATCAACAACGAGCGCGATGCCGGACCTCGTGCAACTCCTCATCTTGGCGATTATCCTCTTCATCTCGCTCAAGGTGCTGGACTACGCGCGTCGCGTGATCATGTTCTGGGTCATGCTGGCCTTTAGACTTGTTTTCTGGGGCTCGTTGCTTGGGATGGGATTGTACGTTTATCGCGTCGGGGTCGAGAATGCGGGCAGGGATTTGGGCTGGCTTTGGGGGGTTGTGCAGGGGTTTGTGGAGGATTTCCAGGCGCGCGCTACCAATAATGGGAGTGAAAGTGGGTGGAATGGTGCTGGGGCGAAGAAGGGGTATAGTCGGTGGTAAAGACCCGGGCCTGGATTTTGCTTGAGTTTATGGGGGATGTGATACTGGGGCACGATGCTTTGGATTTACGGACTAGGGTCTGGAACGGAATTTGTGCACAATGTCATTAATCATGGGCGTATTATTGGAGTGGGTTCTTTTTTCTGCATAGGAGTTTTGTTGCGGGCCTCGGAGTTTCGTGTTGAGGCTCGGACATTCTGCAATACGATGCTCGGGCGGAGTTTTTCGGTCACGGCTGAGTGTGGGTGTTCATGTATGTAAGATTCCCGACGGTTGGAGTTGCTTCCATAAGCGCGCTTTTCTTAGTATGGCAATTGCAGTCAATGTATTGAGAGGTCCGGCATTCGATGATTTCGTTGGCGTTTGACGTGGGAGTCGTAAGGCCGGGTCCGCGGGCCGAATAGCGAGTCGGTGGTGTTTGTAGATGTCGATTTTGAGCGGCTGCTAGGGACAGTGCTTGCTTCAATCCTCGTAGTTCACCTCCTGCTCATCCTTGGGTTCCCGTGGCTCCTGGGCTTCGTGATACTGGATAGCGTCATCGATGTGGCTCAGAATGGCGGAAACGCTGTCCTCATCCTGGACATCCAGCTGCAGGAAAGAGACCATGCTGAAATCATCGATCAACTGTGCCACAGCCCGATTGAGCTGTTTGAAAGAGCCGCCACTCATCAAGGCATCCGGCGCCATCGGGTTGGCGCGCGCTTCGGGATCGTCTTCGTCGTTTTGCAACAACTGAACGTCCACATTCGCAAATCGCCTGAGTTCCCGTCGCGTGACCATATCACGCACCTGATCCATCTTGCTGAGGATGTTCACGTGTGGGATCTCCAGCATCAGCATGGCAGACATGGCGCTGAGCGTGCCCGCGAAAAATTTGGCTTTGTCGATCACGAAGGTGCTTTCGAGCAGGTAGGCCGCGCATAGGTTGATGTTCAAGGGACCCTGGCGGGAAAGGAATTGTGTTAATGACGGAAGTAGCGGGATGTGTGTGTAGAGCTCGATCTGGCCGGGCATGTCGAAAATAATGAGGTATTCTTCGCTCAATGGATCAAGAGCTTCGGAGAGGAACTCGAGGTTCTGTAGCAGAAATTCGAAGCAGTAGATCAGGCCACCATTAGGGCCAAGGCCCAACTCTTCCATGACATCTTCCAGGGTGATCAGCTCGCGGATATCGAGATCGGGTTGGTAGGAGAACTGCTCGGCGGCAGGATCGAGATTGACGTAAAAGCAGCTGCGGCGAGTATTTTGCAGATGCTGGATCAAAGAGTTGCTGAAAGTGGTCTTTCCGGCCCCCGCCGGGCCCATGACCAGAAGACCGAACTTGGACATGGCTGCAGAGGAGTACTGTCGAGTCCTAGAATTGCTAGAAAAGCTCGCCAGTATCAGCTTATCGTCGGTTACTGAGAATTCGCACTTGCCGGCGGTACTGCCACGGGCCACCGCCCGGATGGCGCCATCCGCAAAAGTGTCCTCTGCACTTTTGCAGGCCGCGTTCCTGCGGTGGGTGCAATTATTGGACCGGCTGAAAAGCCCCACCAAATTTTCCCCTCTTCCCTATCCTTTTCTTTTCCCCTCCCATCCTCCCTCTTTTATCCTCATCCTCTTGACTTTTTCCCAAGTCTTCAATTCCACACATCCTTCACAATGGGTTCTCTCGCAAACGGTTCGCAACCCGGCACTTTCCTTTTCACCTCCGAGTCCGTCGGTGAGGGTCACCCCGATAAGATTGCGTGAGTTTTTTTCGCCCCCCTGATAAATTCTTTGCACACTTCTGACAACCCCCAAAGTGACCAGGTGTCCGATGCCATTCTCGATGCCTGCCTGGCTGAGGACCCCCTCTCCAAGGTCGCTTGTGAGACCGCCACCAAGACCGGTATGTTGATCCCCGAGCCTCGTCTCACATGCCAAAATCTGACATTTCCCTTCAGGTATGATTATGGTCTTCGGTGAGATCACCACCAAGGCCAACCTGGACTACCAGAAGATCATCCGCGGTGCCATCAAGGACATCGGCTACGATGCCTCCGAGAAGGGCTTCGACTACAAGACCTGTAACATCCTCGTTGCCATCGAGCAGCAGTCGCCCGATATTGCTCAGGGTCTCCACTACGAGGAGGCTCTCGAGAAGCTCGGTGCCGGTGACCAGGGTATCATGTTCGGCTATGCCACCGACGAGACCCCTGAGCTCCTCCCCCTCACCATCCTCTTCTCCCACAAGCTCAACGCTGCCATGAAGGCTGCCCGTAATGACGGCTCCATCCCCTGGTTGCTCCCCGACACCAAGACTCAGGTCACCATTGAGTACGCCCACGACAACGGTGCCGTCAAGCCTCTGCGCGTCGACACCGTCGTCATCTCTGCCCAGCACACCGAGGACGTCTCCACTGAGGAGCTCCGTGCTGTCCTCAAGGAGAAGATTGTCAAGAAGGTCATCCCCGCCAACCTGCTCGATGACCGCACCGTCTACCACATGCAGCCCTCCGGCCGCTTCGTCATCGGCGGTCCTCAGGGTGACGCCGGTCTGACCGGCCGTAAGATCATCGTCGACACCTACGGTGGCTGGGGTGCTCACGGTGGTGGTGCTTTCTCCGGAAAGGACTACTCCAAGGTCGACCGCTCGGCCGCCTACGTTGCGCGCTGGATCGCGAAGTCCTTGGTTAACGCCAAGCTGGCCCGCCGTGCGCTCGTCCAGCTGTCTTACGCCATCGGTGTTGCCGAGCCCCTGTCCATCTTCGTTGAGACCTACGGTACTTCCTCCAAGACCTCCGACGAGTTGGTGCAGATCATCCGCAACAACTTCGATCTCCGCCCCGGTGTGATCGTCAAGGACCTCGACCTGGCCAAACCCATCTACGCTCAGACTGCCAAGAACGGTCACTTCACCAACCAGAGCTTCAGCTGGGAGAAGCCCAAGACCCTCAAGCTCTAAACGGATCCCTCCGATCACCCCGGAGACGTTATGACGACTGTGATGAGTATGCTTTGTTTTCAACAACTCAAAGCACGTGCATAGACATAAAAAACGGCAAAAATCTTTTCTACAAAAGTTGATTTCCGATCTTCTGGAGTCAATCTTCTTTGTTTCATTATCTTGCATGGTCGCCCACGAAGAGGGCCTAACGGCGAAGACAAAATTCAACATGATACCACTTTCATCGGCTGGGAACGGGATACTTTTGGCGTTTATTTGCGGAGCGAAAGTCTTCAACAACCATCCACCTACACCTCACCCTCCCCCCGCAGCCTGTTATTTTTTTTTTGGCTCGGGTCCTAGGGGAAAGCGGGCTGACGAGAGATTCGACTGTGTCGGATCCTCGAAGCTGCGCCGGTCAGCTAATCTAAACATTAGCATACAATAATACAATACCATTTCAACGATTTACTGGTGAATTCACTTCTTGTTAAATGTAGTAGTCATGTAGAATGAGGTGCTTAGTCTAATTGTCCGGCAATCTTCAAACTCAGTCCATTAAACTGTCGCTGGGCATATCCGAAATCTTCTAGCCTCCAAGGCCGCTTAATGATCTATGAATTATGGCCAGTGACGGCGCCCCAGATATACGCCGCCCATCCGCCCACAGTCAATAGCAACAGCGCCCCGAAGCATCCCACCGAAATCTGCCGTGTCCGCCGAGCATTCGTCAAAAAGCTCCGCTCCTCGTTAGAAGCAATGATATCTGCCCCAATCGTCAATCGTTTATGCCGAGTCCACTGCAAGGGCGCCAGGTACGGTGTCACATAGGTGCCGATCAAAATTGCTGCCCCAACAACCGTCGATGCCGCCGACAAGAAGAGATAGACCTGCACTACGCGGCGGTATACATTGTTGTCTGCATCTTGCAGGGCTCCGGTAATGATGCGAATGATAATGCTCATTCTGGTTTTTGGTTAATGGGTACTCCATATCTTGCAGAAGATCTACTCACGCGTTGTTCATGGTCATTTTCAAAGAAAAGGCAGATCCAAAGACCGACTGATGCCAAAGAGTCGTGCGTATACCATCAATGAGCGTAGTCGGCCCCAGCGCAGAAGCAACCGCATAGATACCGAAAGATGCTCCCGTACCGCCCTTGGAGGGGGCAAAGTTGACCAAAGCCATGCTAAGCAGCATACCGAAACCGCAGATGAAGAGAATAGATGCCCGATGTCCAAGGATATCAATAAAGACGCCCAGGATGGGGACCAGAAGACAACCTAACAGGTCAATGATTGAACGAGCACTCGAGATCATCAGGACATACCTGTATACTGCGACATAGAACTATACCATCCCGCCGTGATAGAGTCAACATTGAAACGTTGCTCAGCGAGCTCCGTCGCATTCTGACTAAATGTGAGAGCGGCGCTAGTTTGGAACAGAGAAAAGGCGAGAATTGCCCAAAAGGTCCACGGCAGTTGGAACACCTTCTTGAACTCGAATTTCTTGTTCTTCTCCGTGAGTTGCTCTTTGGTTGCGATGTCGCGCCATCCACTGTAGTGCCGATCACAGTATTTGTTGAAGAACCAGAAGATCGCCGTTCCCGCATTGGTGAAAAGGTTCATGAAGACGGCTGTCCAAAAGACCCAGGCGAAGTTGCCAGTATTCTAGGACTGTCAATATTTATTTTAAATAGAGCTTGAGTGCCACTGACCTTGGCAATGATATTGGCTGTGGACTTCCCAATGAAGCCGCCAACCTTCTCCCAATCAGCGATGTTCCAGGTCATCGTATCTTGAATATCATACCTTGCCAATAGCCAGCTCAAAGGCTAGTGTAGATGCAAATCCATTGCTAGGGGCGAACCACGAAGAAAACATCTTGTACTGGGCCATTTGTGTAGCGATGTCCCCAAAGGCAAGGATGATTCTGCCTCCGATCATGAAATTGAATGACCGCACTGTCGTTGCGGCAGCGACCAAGATTGAACCGATGGTATAAACGATATTTTCATAGACAATCATCTCTGCGCGATTGTCAGATGTTGTCCTGCGGATAGTAGACGGAGATAGAACGTACCGGCACCTCCAACACGATCTGTCACCAAACCACTAGGCAGCATCAGGACGGTGGCCATGAAATCTTCGCTGGCTTCCAAGAGGGAAAATTGAACGTTGTTGATGTCCATTTTCTGCACAAGAGTAAGTAAAATGGCCGATTGATTTGATGTATTGCTTGCGTTACCTTTTTAATGGTACTCTTCATAGCACCGGTGACGCCAGAACTCCAATGCGATCCAAAACTGATACATGCAATCAGAGCTACGGCAAATAATTTGGCAGCCAATGGAGGCGGCGTTTTGCCATCATTGGAATTAGACGAAGCTACGTCCAAGTTGGTCCACTGCTTGTCCTCTGTAGGTTCTGAAACCTCCCCAAGAGTAGACTTGGTAGCAATATCCTTGGCCGCCATGGCGTCAAAATAAGATCGAGAGCTTTAGATCAAAAGATTTGCAGGCACTGGGAGAATCTTACGGCTACTTATGGATTGCTATTCCTGTGGACACACTCTGCACGTTTTCTAGAAGAGGGCCAAGAAAACCGAGACAAGCTGGATCAAGACCATGCTCAACCCTAACAACCAACCTAGTGGAGCTACGGATCAGATAACGGACAATTCCCGAGAGCCTAACCTAGGCTGAGGTGGACGCACGATGCCAAGTCCCTCCAACTGCTCCAATCAAGTAAAACACAACCAGAAATGCCTCATGGCCCGACAAGGTGGATTCTTTATCTGATTGAATGCTTGAAGCGGTCTCTTAACTCGAAAGGAAACCCGGCGATCTGATCTCCGTCTGGCCTGCGGGTCCGGCGCAGTGTCGGCGAAATTGGTATGTGCCAAGCGCAGTTATGCGGAACGCTGTTTGTTTTCGTGGCGAGATTTTCGGGCCTTAGCTTCTCCTAGGTGGTTGCTAAAGTCCGAGGTTATCCACTGAAGGAGGTTTTCCCTGTTCTGACTATATGCCGTCGTGGTCCACGGTCCTAGCGATTTCTTAAATAATACAGTTTCCATGTAACACCCGCCTAATTACCTAGGCATGGCAAGTATTTATTATAGAGTAACCCAATGTGAAATGGGGTTGGATAGCTCAGAGACAACTCGTGGACAGCGTGAAGTGTTCAGTATAGTGGTGAAAGTGGGGAGCGGAGCGCGTAGACCACGACGCGTGACGCCAGATTCGCCAAGCATCCGACTCGCGATCTCCTCCCACCTTCATAAACACGACCATGACCGCGCAAGCCTTTCCTAGCGCCCTCGATCCCCTCAGTTCATCCACGCTAAACAAACTACACGAGGCGGCACCGCCGTCAAAGAAGCGCAAATTCGACCCTGGCACCGCTGCTGGACAGCTTTCTATGACATCGATTGTCATCAGAGTGCGTTATGCCTTGTTGCAGGCTCACTCCACCCACGCTGGCTAACACGACCGTCTTTTCCAGGCCCACGCTGCTTCATTATCAGACGAACCACTCGTCCTCGACCCCATCGCCGCGCTTCCCCGCTCTCGATTCCCACTCTCATGGCTTGAGGATGCGCCATGGTCGCGCTCGGACGCCCAAGCGAGTGGCTTATTCGCTGCAGATATACCCGCCTTGGAAAATGACTTGCGCGCTTGTGCAGAGCCGACGGTGCTGGCGGTACGGCTTGCTGTCAATGGTAGGCTGTATGTGATTGAGCGAGTCAAGCGGGGTATCTACTCACTGTCAAGGCTTGCGAGATGGGTGCATGAGGGTGATGTGGTCGTTGCCACCAAGGGATGGCACGCACCTCAAGATGCTGCGATGGATATCGGGGCCGACGAGAAGACTTGTACTGTTCCAGATGCTCTGAACTGGTGGCAGGCTGCGCATATTGAAGAGCCGTCTTCTGATCTGGGGTTGGGCGAGGACTTTGCAGGCTTGCAGGTGGCCGTCGTATTTGGGCAGTCGGAGGCGGATGGGGGCCAGGATGAGCCTACGTTTATGGATGTCCTTGAGCATCGTGGTCAGACACTTGCACCGGCTGCAAGAGCTCCGGAGGCTGCCTTCGGACTACCCGACTCGCAGGCTGTTGGTGGAGATGCCATGGATGTTGATGGCGTCGAATCCAACGCGGTGAATACGAAGCAGTCGCCTGAAGAGTTACTCAATGGGATGAAAGATCACTATCTGCAAGCTCTCTACGCATCAAAGGTGAAGATAATGCGCTTTAATTGGCGGGAACTTGTCCTAACTCTGTTTACAGACATCCCTGGCCTACTTTGCCAAAGGTCCATTGACACGCTGCCGTACAGCTCTTCAAAATGCTGGCCCTGAACAGTCCCAAAGTCTACCGGAGCTCATTGAATTCTACAGAGAAGCCATCTTGGCTGCAAAGAAGATGGACCTTAAATACCGAGAAACTCTCCCAACATCTGTCCGCGATGCACTATTGACTCCTTCTGACGGGGAGGAAGGTACCAAGAAACGCAAGAGCAAAAAGAAGAAGCTTGGAAAGAATGGTCTATATCCCGAGGAAGATGGTTTCATTCGCAAGTGGTGGAAGGATCGGAGCATGGAGTCATCTGCACCGGAGACCTCTCGTGAAACGGAGACCAAAAAGCACATCTCAGATCTTCGATTGCGTGAGACTCAACTGCAAATTCTTTTGATCCTGGAAGTCATCGCTTTGGAATCGACTTCGACCGAGGGAAAAAACAAACCCAACGAGAAAATCCTCGATGAAGAGAAGAATTCGCCCAAAAAGCCCAGAACCAAAAAACCTCAAGATCTAAACGTACTTCTTGAACTCCATCTAGACAGATTGTGCATCTGGCATGCCGTCAGTCTAGAGGAGTCTTCTGCGGCCGACTCGGCAAAGGCTTCATCTTTCAACGACAGTCACATGTCCGGAAAGAAGGTTGAGAGCGATGCGGTGCGCGACTTTTGCACTGAAGTGGTTGTCCCATTCTATGCGGCACGGCTTCCTGACAAATGCAAGCTCATCACCCGCAAATTCGGCGTTTCTGGTGGTATTTCACCGGCTGGCAAGAGGACCCAATCTTCAAGCAAAAAGGACCGCCCGGAGCCTGGATCAGAAGTCAAGCGACAAGCACCAGCACAAAAGCCCAGACGCTCGCTGCAGCGAGTGCTGACAGATGAGAGGACTGCTGCTGCGTCTCAAAATCGGCATCCGTCACTCCATCGGTCCAACACGGCACCATCAAAGCGTGATATCAAACGAGATTCCATGGAGCCTTTGCTGCCCACTGTCTTTGGTGGTAGTGTCAGAGGAGGTATCCAGCAGGCAAAACGAGTCGATAACCGCGAGGTTGACCTTAATGCGGTTGCCAGGCAGCACGAAACCAAGTTGCGCAAAGTGCAGATGTTGGTCGACCAGAAGAAAGAGCTTGATGCTGCTATTCAAGCTCTCCGGAAGCCAAATAGGGAGCTGGTTTCCAATGAGATCGCCGATGAATCAGTCAAGCGGTCCACCGGCGGAGGCAGCTCGCGAAAGTCAAAGAATCCTGTCCGTAACCCGATGGGTGAGGGCGTGCAGGTTATGGCTACACCCCGCGGCAATCGCAGAAAAGACATTGTCGGGATGCCACCGCTCCCTCGCAGTCTCGCTCCTTCACGCTCATTTGCTGGGGAGATGGAATACCGTTCCCTTGCCGAATCACCCGTCATGATCCCTTCCTCATCTTCGATTCGGCGAACGATTTCCTTCTCTGGCCCGGATTCCAACCCGTTCAGCCCTCGTCGCCCCACAAACTCAAGTCCAAAGAAGCGAAAAGAGCCACCGACAGAGCTTGGATCGATCCAAGAAACGCCCTCTCGGCCTTCCAAGCTTTTTTTTCGATGAACAACGAAGTACCGATGTATCGAGTGACCGCCGGCCTTCATCGAGCAAAGGAAGAGGCCTCTTCCGAGTCCCCAACCTCCCTGCACCTCGCTCTACTACCGATCCCACCACTGAACCAATGGCACCGTCCACCCCAGTATCATCACGCCAGAAGATCATTCCACCTTCCACTAATGGCTGTTCGCAAGATCTCAGCAAATCTCTCCAAGGCGCCAGCGCATCAATAATGGAAACGCCCCCAAGACAGCGTGGCGTCGATTCCATTCCCGCCCCATTTTCTGTAGCATGGGACATGAATGTGCAGGTCCAAGATACCAACCAGTCCGGGGCGCGCTCTCCGGTGGCTGTTATGGGAACTCCGGTCACGGAGAGTCCCGTGAAGAGAAGTCCAGTGAAGGGACTTGCCCCTGTTATCCCCGTGACGCCAGAGAAGTCGCAGTCCAAGTCGATCTATGAACAGCTCGGCTGGGATGATGACGAGATGGAATTTTAGATCATGTGCATGTTGCATTTTGTATGCATTACTTTTCGGCGTTATTTTAGCATATTCTTCTTCGGTCACGGAGTCTTCTAGCATCTGGGCGGGCGGGTTCGACATGACAAGCGCTCTGGAATACATTTATCATCACTTCAATAGAGATTATGAAGTTTATCATACAATTACCAAAACCCTATCTTATTAGTAGTATAAGTAAATGATAAGCTGCCCAATGACTTCACCGGGATGCGGACGTGGAGATGCATCTACTCTACTGTATTCCATAATATTGCATAGAGAAGTTGACAATAGCTTGCAGAATTTGAGTGATATAAAAAGATGGATGGTCCAGACCGATGGTGCTATGATGTTATTACAGCGCGGTTGGTGTCACTGAGGGGTACGTCACGTCTTCCGGATCTACTCCGCACCGGGGAAATGTTCATTTCAACTACAGCCTTGCACTTTCTTACCACAGATAAGCGGGACGATGGATTGAGGTGCAGATGTTGCAAGATAGCCCACCTATGGCTTCGTTCGTGTGAACTTGCCCATCATCGTATTCGCGTTAAACCTTAGACCCGTTGAATTTCACTTCCAATCCCCCCTCTTCTTCCCCATCACCGTCCGCTGCTTAATTGATTAAACTGCAATGAGAACCAAGCACATTCTCTGGCTGAGTGCTATCCTACAATGCACATCAGCAGATTGGCAATACCTATCCCGCCCAGACCTATCCCCACCCCGACTCAACATCACAGTCCCAGCCTCTCCACGCACCGAACCAGGCTACATATTCGTGGCGCCGACTGCCGGGTTCGTTGAAGGGAGTGTAGGACCTGAACAGCCCGGACCATACATCTTTCGCGACGATGGAGAGCTTGTCTGGTCTGGCCTCGGGTATTTAGCCGGCTACGTGGCTGACTTTGGCCCGACTGAGATTGATGGAAAGCCTGTGCTGCACGCTTTCCAAGGGTCGCTTGATGCTTTCCGTGGAAGGATGTATGGGAATCATGTCATTGTCAATGATAAGTATCAGACTGTCAGTGTCGTTCGGGCGGCATCGCATCGGTTGGTGTCAACGCATGAGTTTAATGTGGTGGATGGGGAAACGGTTTTGATTGAAGCTCCGGTGTCGGTCCCTGCGGACTTAAGCCGTTATGGAGGAGATGAGGGCCAGCAGTGGATTGTGAATAATGGGTTTCAAGGTGGGTCATGACCCCTCGGGTCGGTACTTATTCCACGTTGAAAGCTGACCTGGGATAGAACTTGATATTCATACCGGAGAGCTGCTCTTTGAGTGGTACAGTCTCGAACACATCACCCCAAAATGTGAGTTCAATCATCCAATTCAAAGCACCAATATCTCACATTTATCGCAGACAGCGCAGTCCCTCTTGAAAAAGAAGGCATCTTCTCCGGCCGCAGCTCACTCGACGCATGGAACTATTTCCACATAAACAGCGTGGACAAAGACGACGAAGGAAACTACCTGATCTCAGCCCGCCACTACGCTGCCATCTTCAAAATCAACGGCACGGATGGCGAGATCATCTGGCAGCTTGGCGGTACCCACGGGTCCGATTTCGATATCCCGCCCAGCGTGCAGTTCGCATATCAGCACGACGCCCGGTTCCGGTACCGGTCCGCAGATGGATCTATTGAGAGGATCTCATTCTTCGATAATGCAGCCATTACTTCACCCCTCGACCCCATTAATCCCTTCTCAAGGGCTCGATATGTCGAGTTAAACCATACCGCTGGGACAGCCGCGGAGATTCACACTTATCCAGCTCCAGATGGATTGAGTGCGCATTCGCAAGGAAATTTCCAGTTCCTGCCCAGTGGAAACAAGTTTGTGAACTGGGGCCAGGCGGGTGCTGTAACGGAGTTTGCGGATGATGGGACTGTGTTGTTCCATGCGTATCTTGACTCGTATCCGAACAAGCATGTGCAGAGTTATCGAGGGTTCCGATCAAATTGGACTGCGGTTTCGAACGAAGAGCCTGCTGTTCTGGCTCTCAGTGATGGAAAGGGGACAGTAACCGTGTGGGTGTCTTGGAACGGAGACACGGAAACCAGGACCTGGTTGTTTTATCTTTTCGATAACGACGCCAAGGAAGGTGTTGCGCTTGGGGCACAGACTAGGTCTAGTTTTGAGACACGGTTTGAAAAGAATCTTGGGATACCTGCTAAAACAATTAAGAGATTCTCGATTGGGGTCGAGGCGTTGGATGCTCAGGGCCGTGGCCTTGGAAGTAGTAGACCGGTTTGGATCCAAGATGATACGCCCTACCGCGCTCATCTTCAGGAGATACAACACGAGTCACATCTCTCGTCTGGATATAGGGAACGGCTGGAGCTGTGATATTCCGGATTTGATCGAGAGTGATTATAGGCAGCAAATATTATTTCCAAAGTTGTCCCAACAAACGATTTACAGAGCGTTTCACCAGATTTATACTCAACGCGCCTTAGCCAGCTTAGATCGAGCAAAATAGCCCCCGGCCACAGCAAGAACCCCAATAGTCCCAACCAGAAGCGAAGTATCACTGATCAGTGTCTCCTCCCGAACACGCCCTAGCTGTGTAGGCTTTTTCTTCACAAGATTGCTCCCAGAACCTTCGGCAATATAATCCTGCCATTCCACCTTCGATAGCTCGTTCTGATAGCTGATAACGGTTCCAGACCAGTTATTGGTAATAAGGCCATCATCCGTCTTGTACCAACTGTTGCAGTTGGGGTCCGCAAAGCTGCTGGCCCTCAGGAGGGCCTGAATTCTATCATTGTATTCCTTCATGGCGCTCCGTGTTGGCTTGAACGTTAGTGTCTTGCCTTGCTGCCGAGCGCGGATCACTTCGCCGACCATGGCATTGAGGTAGCGGGACTCGGCCTCGATCATGAGGATGATGGAGTTGTGTCCTGTTACTCGGGGTTAGCAGAACTAATACCGGTAGCAGTGTCAGAGGATAATCTCACCCAGGTTGGTATTGGGTCCATAAAACATGCCGAAGTTAGGCAAATCCTCAATAGTCATACCGAGGTAGGCTTGAGCCCCATTCTTCCAAATATCTCCCAGAGACCGCCCATTTGCACCATAGACCTGGATAGGATACATAAAGTCGACCGTCTTGAACCCGGTCGCCAACACGATCAGGTCATATTCCTGTTCGCCTTTGCCTTCAATTTCAATTCCCTTCTCCGTATTACGAGTGATAGCACCTGTTTCCAAATCGACGTTATCGCGTCCGAGAGCGGGATAATAATCATCGCAAATGATGACTCGCTTGCATCCGGGAGAATATTCGGGAGTCAGGGTATTCCATAGCTCAGGCTTATGCGGTAGTTGGCTCTGCATCATGCCCGTGCACCAATCGCGGACCAACTGCGCAAAGTCGGAGTTACCGTCGAAGATGGCGGCGTGGAAGGACTCGCGGAACTCCATTTGTAGTGCACGTTTGCGCCAGCGGAAGGGTGGAACGTAGGTGAGTAGAGCCTTTTGCAGGGTGGAAACTGGGACATCTTGACGGGGGATGAGCCAATTGGGTGTACGCTGGAAGACGGTCAGATGAGATGCTTCTGGGGCGATTTCTGGAATGATTTGGGCGGCCGTCGCTCCTATATTCAACTTTAGTATGTTATTTTGATCCGTTGTTGGATATCCGTACCATTTCCAATAACTGCAATTCGTTTCCCTGCAAGATCGTAGCCCCAGTCCCATCGAGCCGAATGCATCATTTTGCCTCGGAAATCCTTCAGTCCTGGAATATCCGGCTCACGGGGCAAGTTGAGCTGTCCGACGGCGGAGATCAAGAAGTCCGAGTTTATGATGTAAGAGTCTCCATATTCGCTATCCTTGGCTCCTGATACCTTCACGCTGACTTTCCATTTTGATTCGGTATCATCCCAGAGCGCCTCTTCCACCGTTGAGTTGAATCGGATATGGTTGTAGAGTCCCCATTTCTGCGCGACGCGGATGAGATAGGCCTGAACAGGAAATGTTAGTCCGGGTTGCGCTCGGGGTGTTTCTTGCCTTACATGGATCTCCTCCTGTCCGGGATACTCTCGTGACCATCCGGGATTCTGTTCGAAGGAATAGCTGTACAGAGAGCTCCAGACTGATTTCCGTTAGTTCGTGCCTCGGATGAACGAAATGAAAGGCATGGCGCCCATACCATCGCAACAACAGCCAGGGTATTTGTTATCATTCCACGTTCCACCCACACTACTACTCTTCTCCAGGATGACGAAATTGCGGCATTTGTTTCGCTTGATCAAATCGATAGCCATGCACAACCCTTATATTGCGTTAGCCGTTAGATTGTACTTGACCATCGTCTTGGGTACTTGCCAGATATCCCGGCTCCAATGATGACCACCGTCGCATTGGTGAAGTCTTTGTTTCCCACCGGAAGACGTGTGCTGTATGAAGCGGGCATTCTGTCTCCAGTAGCGATAGCGGGCTAGAATTATAATTGAGGCACTCGGGAGGTGAAAGAGGCAAGTTTCCCAGGCGTCGATCACCGACTCTGTCTTCCAGCCATCGGCTTAAATGGCAATTCGACCCCCTTCGTTTTACCGAGACCCCTCATTTCTCTGCTACGAAGGAGACGTTACTTGCAGGTTGGATCACATGGTTACTAGGCATGCAAGAGTGCACAAATGTACCGGTCTCGGCCAGAGATAGTGGTACATTTTTTGGGGCCAATTTATATTTCCTCTCGCTGATAAAGCCAGCTGGGTGAATTAACGAAATACCCAAGTAGAAGCCCACAATCTTCCAGCCTGTATTACACGAAGACAAAGGGGAATTCCCGGTTACTCCTATTAAACTTCGGCAGTGCGGAGGCGAAGGTGCGGGGACACCGGGCCGCCGAGGCCCAAATGATGCGCACTATGTATAGTCTACACAACGGACACGTGCGGATAGTAATGTACAGCTCAAATTATGGAAGCTCAATTCCTTCTCTTTCTGCTGTTTGTAGGATATACTGCTTGACCTGTGGAGATAAAGGTTGAGAGTTAGCAACGCGCACACTACATCAGGACACGAGTAACCACTGACCTTGTCATCTGGCACCAGAGCGATCGCCAATCTCCCCTCTGCATCCCTCTTTTCTGCATCTGCTCCGGACTTGAGCAGTAGGATGGCGGCGTCACCGTGTCCCTCGGAAATAGCATGATGCAGCGCCGTGAGACCGTCGTTGTCGGTCGCATTGACGGGGCTTTTGCCTTCTTCTAGAAGAATCTTGATGATAGGAGCAGAGCCGACTGCTGCAGCTCGGTGAAGTGGAAGCTGACCGCGAATATCCTTGATACGGGCGCTGCATTTATTGGCGAGCAAAGTTCGTACCGTGGAAAGATTGGCCTTGGAACTTGCAAAGTGCAAAGCGTTCTAGCAAGGTGTCAGTATCTTGGAGATATATTGCTCTAGCATGTTGCCGAATAAGCGTACCTGCCCTGATGAACTCTTCACACTGACATCGGCTCCTTTGCGTAGAAGTAGGTCGATGATTTTGTCACCCTCGGCGGCTTTGAGACTGGCCGCGATCATAAGCGGTGTCCAGTTTGACCCGTCCTAAATTCACGCCTCAGTTAATATCCGAGGAATGCCTGGCCAAATGGGATGATATAGGACATCCATCACGTACTTCGACATCGGGATCAAAATTCTTGATGCCAACTAGCATCTCCACAATAGGTAATCGGTTGTAGGCCACAGCCCAGTGGATTGGCAAGCGCTCATCATCATCTTTGACAAAGGCGGACTTTGGATTGGCCTATAAGTGCGATTAGTCTCTGCAAATTCATCTGACCATCCATGGAAGACCTCGAGCTCAACGGGAAATACGTGGTGGGTTTTGCGGGGCAGCTCGGAGCTCTAGATATCACTCACGTTAAGAAGAGATTCTGCGATTTGAGCTATTATACATGTTTAGCATAATTAAATATCCGTATCTTGGGTATATACTCACTCCTGCCCTCACGAGCAGCCTCATGAAGAGGGAATTTAGCGCTGTAGTTGGGGTCCATCGCGTTGAGAGGAATGACTTCGACGAGGAGATAAACGATAAGAGCTGCGATAAGTAGGCGGTCGACACCTGACGCGGACACCTCAGGCCGCTAACCGAACTTCCATCAGAGATTCGTTCTTCGGAACTCCACCACTTCTTCATTCACCAACGCCAGGGTCGCCTTTTCTTTTTTAAAGAGGACTGGTCGAAATCGGATGTGCTGAACTCACCGCACGGCACGATATCCACCGCTGATCCCCTGCGCAGGGTTTTCTACCGCGCGCACCACCGTCGAGGCTCCGCCTTTACGCTTCGATCTTTGAATCTTTCTAGCTCCCTCTCCACGCCGCATCTCCTCCTCCATATCCTCCAATTACAGAATCGCGATGGACTACTCCCAATCACTGACCGCCGATGAGGCGGTTCGCACGTCCGCGAAGCGGACTGCCGACCTCTTCGGCACTGAATACTTGATGGTCACCCCCTCGACTCTCGCAGACGGCTCGATCGGCGTGTCCTATCGACGGAAAGCTGAATATGAACATGTGAAGGAATTGCCTCCAGTACTGGCAGAAAAGCAGGCCAAGGCCGCCGCAGGGCGCACAAAACGGCCCAAGATCCAGTCGCAGCAGTCGCAGACTTCTGGGGACCGAAGCGGTGCGTCTATGGCTCTCGTTAAGAGGCCGGCGGGTATGAATTCAGGCGCGGCCGCCGAAGACCAGCCTAAGAGTTTGATCCAAAGACCGTCTGCGACTAAGCAACAGCGACCTGATTGGCACGCGCCATGGAAGTTAATGCGTGTGATCTCGGGTCACTTGGGTTGGGTGCGAGCTCTGGCTGTCGAGCCAAATAACAAGTGGTTTGCTAGTGGTGCGGGAGATCGGACAATCAAGATCTGGGATATGGCGACGGGCGGATTGCGTCTTACTCTCACTGGTCATATCTCTACCGTGCGTGGCCTCGCGGTTTCGCCGCGGCATCCGTACCTGTTTTCGTGCGGAGAGGACAAGATGGTCAAGTGCTGGGATTTGGAGACGAACAAGGTTATTCGGCACTACCACGGCCATTTGAGTGGTGTATACACCCTGGCCTTGCACCCTCACCTCGATCTGTTGGTTACCGGTGGTCGTGACGGTGTATGCCGAGTATGGGACATGCGCACACGGAGTAACGTCCACGTCTTGGCCGGACACAAGGGTACTGTTGCCGACATCAAGTGCCAGGAAGCCGACCCGCAGGTCATCTCCGGTTCTCTGGATGCCACAGTGCGGCTCTGGGATTTGGCCGCGGGCAAGTCCATGGGAGTCCTGACACACCACAAGAAGGGCGTGCGCGCCCTCGCTACCCACCCGCGCGAATTCACCTTCGCCAGTGCCAGCACGGGCAGCATCAAGCAATGGAAGTGCCCCGAGGGCGACTTCATGCAGAACTTCGACGGCCAGAATGCCGTCATCAACTCCCTTTCCGTCAACTCGGACAACGTCTTGTTCTCCGGTGGCGACAACGGCTCCATGTCGTTCTGGGACTGGAAGACCGGCCATCAGTTCCAGTCCATCGACACCATGGCCCAGCCTGGTTCCCTCGAGGCCGAGGCTGGTATCATGGCCTCAACTTTCGACCGTACTGGTCTACGTCTGATTACTGGTGAGGCCGATAAGACTATCAAGGTGTGGAAGCCGGATGAGGATGCCACGCCTGAGACTCACCCTCTTACTTGGGCTCCTACCCTGGGCAGACAGCGGTACTAGAGGATTGGCTGCGGCCTTGCATATCTGTCTTCTGTTCTGAGTCTTGAATACCCTTCTTCCTGTTTGATTAATTATCTTTTGTGGCACCATACGGAGTTCAGAGTTCAAGGGTATTGGGAGAGTGGTATTCCCTGAACAAAAGGGGCTATCTCTTTCAAAAAGAATCACATCGTCTGTACAACTATATAAGAGTTCAGTATGGTTTCATAGCTACGTGGACGTGACGGCGTTCTAAAAGTACAATAAATGTGCGCTTACAGTGATATAGAGAACCAACCACCAAAAGGGTATCACATGCAATGTAGACTATGGATGCAGACAAAAATACAAAATGCAGAAAAGAAACTCCGGAAATGCACAGCCAGCCAGCAGGAACTCACTGTTCAGTACCGAGACCAAAGCCCTTAGCATCAACATCCTCCCGGAAAGCAGACCTTACATCCTCCGGAGAAACCCTCAGTCGAACCTTGCTACTGCGATCACCCCGAGCAGGAATCGTAGAACCGCCTAGCACGCTCTTCGAGCCAGAGCCCTGCTCCAGAGCCAGGACGCCAGAGTTCATCAGCTCCATAGCGGCAAAGCCCAATGCACGCACCCTTGCGCTCGCACCTCCGCCAAGAAGGAAGTCCTTGACGCCGGCCCCAGTGGTTCCGGCCAGGGCGACGGCTGCGTCAGCGATGCGACGTGCCTCGTCGAGGACATCGCCGAATGTTGACTCGGTGATACCGGTACGGCCGACACGGGCGAGAAGGGCGGCCAGGAAGAGCTTTCCTGAAAGAGGGAGGCAGCGGAGGGATTGTTGTAGTGGAGTGGATGTGGCCTCCTGGATGGCTTGTTTGATGGTAGCGATTGTGACACGCCCGGTTTGTCCTTTGCCTGTTAGAGGTTTCGAAGCAGGAGCGTCTTCTTGTCCCTTGTCGGTGAGCATTTTATTGCGCCGTGCAGGTGTTTTACTGGGAGTGGGTGGTTCCTCGTTTTCATCAATTGCAGCCAGGGTGGTGTTGGCAGCTTCGTCTGCGTCTTGTTCAGCAATTTCAACGGCGCGGCGACAGATGTCTAGTGCACGACGGGCGTCACCACTGACGGCGGCGACTTTGCGGCTCGCGAACTGGATGGCGTCTGGGTCCACGATATTGCCGGGGACGTTGGCCAGACGTGTGCTGATGATCTCCATCAGATCATTGTGGCGGTAACCAGGGAACGTGATACGAGTTAAACCGAGACGGCTGGAGATCTTGTTGCTAAGTGTTCGCTCGGGAAGATCCATAGTGTTGGCGACAGCCAGAACGATGAGGCGTGAGTGTCGAAGGGCGGGCCAATTGAAGAAGTTGTACATGACGGACTGGTTCTTGGTGACCAGCTGGTCCAACTCATCCATGAGCACGACGCACGAGACCCGGCGAGGCGAAGGGTTGGAGAACTCTCGCTCCAGGAGGTCAAGGGCATGAGAAGGAGAGACTCGGTCTCCTTTCAAGGCCTCCCAAAGGAGGGAGTAGGATTGATGAGGGTCGGTGACTTTCATGCCGTTAATTTCAACGAAGATGAAGTCATCCATTTCCTCAGCCATAACGGCACCGTTGAGCTGGGCCACCACTTCACGCACGGTTGCGGTCTTGCCGGTACCCGGTGTGCCTGAGATATAGATACAGGCCCCAGTGCCTTCCATGATAGCCGCACTAAGATGATTGTAGACTGAATTGAACTCGGTTTTCCGACAAGGAAGGGAATCCGGCACCGTTGACACATGCAGTAGGTTACGTGCTTGGCGATATGGTGAGGCAAAGTGGTTTGGAGAGAGGACACGAGTGCCAAGCGGCGTAAATTCAAGAGGCTTCTTCACCACGATCCTAGGGCTTTTTTTAGCATGTTCTTGGACTAAAGTACTTTCAGTGGGCCACAGCTTCATACCTCTTATGGGTGGGTGTCGTCAAGGGCTTCTTGCGCTGTGACTTGGGTGTCGCATTGCCTGCCAATCGTTGCCTTTTTCTAGGAGTGGTCGGAGCCTCACTCTCCTCCTTGGCGTCGACGTACTAAGAGGCAGATGCAGTTAGTATACCTTCGTCACGGTCTGCTAACCAAATGTATCACTTACATCGTCATCCGCGACCTTGCGCTTCTTGGCTGCTTTGAGCCCGTCCTTGATCAGGTTGATAAGATCGAAGATTTTGTCTTCCTGATACACCTCCTCCCAGACAAATTCGTCCGTATATCTACCCTGCGCCTGACTCACACCTCTACGGCAAACGATGCACTTGTTGTACTCGGCCAGTTCGGTTTTGTCCTTAGGAGGAGTGCCGTTCGGGTATTTCCCAAAGAAGACATCCTTGGACATCACAACAGCCTTGCCATTGATTGAAGTAAGAGGGTTGGTATTGAAGTCCGCGGTCAGATACTGCTCATTCGGCAGTGCATCTGCCCTGCGCTTGTTCCTAGTCGACAAGAACTCATCCGGGGATGCGAACCACATGATGTTGGCGGACTTGATCATTTGGTCTTCCTCGTCTTCGTCCTCTTCCTCCACGAACTCCGTAATGATCCCAACCCAGTCCTTACCCGGTTCTGGCGATTTCAAGAGTACTACCTGGCCAAGATGGCACTCGAAAGTGCCCATGCGGGCGCCCACAATCGTCGGTCCTTTCCTGGCAGGTCGAGAGGAGCGGCGGCGGCGGCTTGATTTGGTAGGGCTGGCACCATTGGCTTCAGCTTCATCTGTAGTCTCTGGCTCCGGTGCATAGATCCAGTCCCACGGGTGGTCTTCGTCACCGAGTTCGTCGTCGGAGTCTTCACGGACCAGAGCCCCTTTGGTCACCCATTGCTGGGCGCGCTTTCGAACATTGCGGGTATGCTGAGGATTGGGATCGGAGTCGGAATCGGAGCCCGCAGCCATTTTGTATATGGCCTTGCTGTATAGCTAGGAGCTGGGCGGCAGGGCAATTGTCGAAGTTGAAAGGGCTCGCGTCGCAACGAATTCGGGCACGCGTTGTCCACTTTACTCCATTTCGAGTTTAGCGCCCGATTTAGAGACGCCAATCAGCGTCCGGCATTTATATAGCTTCACAAACAGATGAACAATCCATCGGGTAAATTGAGAATTTCTCGCGCAGTAATTGGTGATAATCTTCAAATAAATAGTTGCCCGGGTGATCAATTACGATAAACCGACATCGACCGGCGCACGTGCCTTAATGGCGAGCTGTGTAAGCACGAAGGATATCTGTGTGAATACTCTGTTTATGTACGGTTCGCCACTAGGCCAGAGACAGTTGCATCTTATTAGTTTGTTGCAGGACATTGGCTGATATTTACTAACCTCGAAAATGTCAGCGAGATATTTCACGATGAGCGGGCTCAAGGGCATCTGGTTCCCCGGTATGTTGTTTGGCTCACTATGATACCGTAGCCCACCAGTTGCTGATTCTAACTAGATTGAAACCGGACTGGGAAGAGCTCCTCGATCGATGCAGCAAGGCTGACAATCTCCTCGAACTGGTAAATTCCGGGAAACCTTTTGTTTCTCTGCATGAGATTGACCCTACCTGCTATACGTTATTTGGGTTCACCCCGGATGCCGGAGTCGAGAGGAAAATGGAAAGGCATTGCAACGTCGACCTCGGCGTGCTTTTCTAAAGTGAAGAGATGAATCTTCCCTACATGGCACCGAATCACCTACAGCTTTTCAAAACACAATGATCCCTACCCCGGGAAGACAATGGGGGGGTATTTGGATGAGAAACGGGTAGTTGTGGGGAAGAAAGGTACGTAAAAGTGCAAGATCACTCGCGTTGCCGACATCTTAGCCGCGAGTTTAGTTTGTTGTTCGATGGAAAGTAATATGCTCCAGAATTTAAAAATAGAAGGTTCTTTTATTTTCAGGCTTCTCATAGCCATGTCCTCGTAAATAGTGTATCGGTATCTAACCTGCCGCAGCAGCCTGAGTCGGCGCACCTTCGCCGGCAAGCATCTTCTGTCTAAGGACTGCGAATAGTCAGTAAAAGGCACATGCAATAACTAGGGACTAGATGAACAACTCACCCTCCTCCACAACCCGCAACTGCGAGCTCTTATTCGAAACAACCTTCTCCAGCTCCTGCAAGTTGGAATCCAAGCCCTTGACCTTATCGTCATAGAAAGCAACAGCCTTGTCGTGTGTCTGCTCGGTATAGAAATCAGCATCCGATCCAATTCCCGTCTCGCATCCACTTCAATGCAACCGTCAACATACCTTCTCAACATAAAATCCCGTCCCCACATCGACAAGCACCTTCTCCCGATCCGTCAACCGACCCTTCACATACAGCGAGCTGGTCAAGGGAACCAGGATCTCATCACGGCCCTCGGTACCCTTCTCCTTGGATCCAGTCACGCCGTCGTTGATCGAGCGCACACAGTCGCGGAACTTGGACTGCGCCGCGCGCAGTTTGGCGTGTGAGGTGGTGAGGTGCTCCAGCTCTGTGGTGAGGCGGGTTTGGAGAGCGCGGAGCTGAGGGACGGAGAGCGTGGCCAGATTGACTTGATTATTTCATGAGTTAGTTGGGATTGCGATGGTAATTTGGTGGGCATTGCGGCATTGTTGGCGGGGTGAGGAACGTACCTGAGCCCGGGGGAGCTCCACCGGAGCTTGACGAGTCGGCCATTGTGGTGTTTTGTGGGAATGGAGGACCGTCGGGTAGAGGGTCAAGAGGTAGATTGACGTCGAGTCTGCAGGGACTCGCGGTATGGCGCAGGTGGGGTTGGTTTGAGCTTGGAAAAGTGTCGGGTGGAAGGGCGTGGCAGTTGTGCGAATAGTGCGGTGTCCCGCCAATTGACGGTGGAAGAAGAGTATGCACACGCACTTATTTTCTACGCTCCACAAACATCAGGAACTGAACTATGGAAATAGTTAGACGGGATAATAATGTACATGGCTCGACTATGCTAAATGTTACACGCGAATACTTACACTCTCACAGCTGCGAGAGAAGACCTTCGACAAACGAAGGTAACTGATCCAAAGACACGTCCTGGCACACGCCCAGACGTCGGCACTGGACTTCCAGTGTTTGCTTGTTCTTCCAGCCGTTGCCGACAACCACGATGACCGGGTACCCAATAAGATCTGCGTCGCCTAGTTTCCAGCCCATTCCCTTGTCACGGTCATCCAAGAGGGTGTCCACCGGCTTTGAGCTAGATGCGAGGTTATCATAGACCTGTTCAGCAACAGAGTCTAGACCCTTCCCAGCAACAACTAGAACCTCGTAGGGAGCAATTGCGCGAGGCCAGTTCAACCCGCTAGCATCTACTAAGCGGTTTGCCACAGCCGAGATCAAGCGGGAGACGCCAATTCCATGGCAGCCCATTTGCATCGGCACAATTTGCTCTTTCGTAGATTGTGTGTTAGATGCAGAAGATCCACTTAGCGCTGCGGGGCTGACAGATACAGAGGCATTGAGCACCTCACTATACCGTGTGCCCAAGTGGAAGGTGTGGCCAAGCTCGACAGCAGGGTTACTCGTCAAATGTCCATCCGTGCAGTTTGAGCATCGGTCTCCATCGTGGACGCGTACAAGGCTGAGCTTGTTCTCGGTACCAGGGAACCGGTCCAGCATCGAATACTCGATATCTGCAGCGGTGCAGCCAACTTCCTCCAGTAAATCACTTAGCGGTGGACGCTGGTAGACCCGTACTTGGGAGTCATAGAGATCCAAAACACGGGGCTTTTGCGTAGAAGCACCCGATTTGACATGTGCGGTCCACTTTACCAATGGATTCTCAACGCTCAAGTCGAGATCCACACTAGCTGCGGTAGCGATGGCCTTGACGGCGTGCGAATTGACCTGCCTTTCGACGGGCTCTGTTGCACCATTCTGCATGGAATACTTGGGGTACCAGCCCCGGAGAAGAGTACTTGCGTCATGTGAAATGGCCATCCACATGCCATTTGATATCGTTGCGCCCCCTTCTGCAGGCGCATCTTCTGTCTGGAAGCCCGGCGTAGTGCTCTGGCCAGCAGACTCGTGGAAGATGTGTGTCTTGCCATCTGCAAGCTCCTCGTTGTACACGTGATCACAATTTGAGCAACTTATTATGCGATCTTCGCCCTTGTTGCTGACGAAATGAAACTCGTGGCTGAGACTACCGCCCATGTTTCCAGAATCTGCGGCGGCAACAAGATAGGGAATCTTGAGCTCATCAAACAGCTGCGTGTAGGCATGTTTCACGGACTTGTAGGTCTTGAGTGCTTCCTCGACATTGTAATCAAACGTATAGAGGTCTTTCATGACAAATTCTCGGCCACGAAGAAGGCCTTGCCGCGGCCGCGGCTCATCGCGATACTTTCTCGCTGTAAATGGTCAGTGATGAATAGAAAAGCGGGCTGAATGTGGCTCACTGATTTGATACACCCGCAAAGGAAGACTCTTGTACGACGTTGTGAGACTTCCGACTAGTGTAGTGATTTCTTCTTCATGGGTAGGAGCGAGAAGAAAACGAGTGTCTTTACGATCGTGGAATCGAAAAACCTCGGAGCCCTCGGTGAGTCGCCCGGACTTCTCCCAGAGCTCCTGTGATGATATTGAGGACAGAGAGACCTTGGACGCGCCTGGGCAATCATTAGATTCTATGAAAGGAATATGATCGCATGTTCGATCTTACCCAATCCACGCATATACTTGTCAATAAGTCCCTCTAGCTTGTCTTGCACTCGCAGCCCCAGAGGAAGTAAATGGAAGACACCAGAATAGGCCTGGCGAAGGAATCCGCCTCGAACCAGGAGATCATTGGCATCCTCTGGTACTTGTTAGCGTTTGGTCAATCTCTCGATTGCAACGGGCGCACCATTATCCCCTGTCTTTTTAGCTTTACCAGCAGTGGGTATCCAGAAATTTGAAACTCGATTTCGACCATCAACCTGCGATCAATCAGCACCTGCAATGGAATTCATGTCAAGCTTTCCGGGGTCGCGTACATGAAGTCCGCAGCGCTGAATGCGAAGCCCCAGGGCCAGCCGCCTCCCCGAAGTGCGACCGGACACTGGACGCATCCCGGAGATCATCGAGGAGAAATTCTCACAAAGAAAATCTAAAGAATTGCTACAGGCAGATGTCGAATGCGAATCTCGAGAAATCGTCGCGGTCGCCCTTGGGATATTGCTTATCGCGTTGGTCCGAGCGTCTGATAACTGGCCCGCCGCAAAAGATTTCTCCGTCCAATTTTCTCTCCGCGCAAAAAACATACCTGCTTTCCAACAACGCCAACAATGGCCAAAGGGAAAGAAAAGCACTCCTCTGGCACTAATGAGGACCTCCAGAAGGGAGGTGCCTCCGCCACAGAATCCCAGCCTGCCGAAATCCCCCAGTTCGCAGACGGCGCCTTCGCTGGCCTACGACAGAAAATCGAGCAACGGTTGAACAATCAGAGCTCTGGTAAGGGAAAATCGAAGAAGGACAACAAGCCCCAGCCATCGATTGAGACGCCCAAGAAGGATGCCGCCCCCAAAACCGGCAAGAACCAAGGCTCTGCTCAAGGCAAGAAGCGGGATCGCAATGGTGAAGTGATTGCTCGGGAGGAGCAGAAGGGAGATAAGAAGAAGCAGGGTAAACCTGAGGGTGCCAAGAAAAGCAGCAACAACGATAAGCTGCGCGAGGAGATTTTGGCGCTGGGCGGCACCGAGGAAGATCTGGATCTTCTCGATGGTGTCGACTCGGAGTCCGAGGTCGAGGGTGCGCCATCTCAAGGGAAGAAAGGAGGCGACGAGGACTTGCGGAAGGAGCTTTCAAAAATGCTGGAGGCTTCCGGTCATGTCGTTCCCGACGATCTAGAGGACGATGAGGTTGAGGAGGAAGAAGCAGAGGCTGAAGCTGAAGCTGAAGTCGAGGAAGAGGAAGAGGACGAAATTGCACAGGCGGACAGTGAAGATGCCAGCGAGCCCGAGGAGTTTGACATTGAGGAAACAACTCAGGTCAAACCGACCAAGACGAAGGAACCCGAAATTGTCGTGCCCAAGGAATTTGCGAAGCTCGTAAGTCCTAACCTTATGCTATCTTGGCTGATTTATGCTAACCCCGGTTTCGCAGACCTGCCTTCCCCGGTCCGACTGGTATAACATCCCTCTTCCCCCGCTGAATAGCGCGAAGCAAATGAATGCCCTTCCTCGTCACTTGGTCGAGCGCATCCATGAAGTCGCCAACACCTTCCTCCAAGAAGAGACAGACCAGTATGCGGAAGCCCAGCAGGCCTCTGCCTCCTCGTCACACAAGTTCTATACGACCATCATGGCCTCCGGTACCCTGAGTGATAAGATCTCCGCTCTAACCCTCGCCGTGCAAGAGTCGCCGCTGCACAACACGCTCTCTCTGCAGAACCTCATTGGTCTCGGAAAGAAGCGTAGCCGTGCGCAAGCGGTTGAGGTGTTGCGTTCTTTGAAGGATATGTTTGCGCAGGGTACTCTGCTGCCCAGCGATCGGCGACTGAAGTCGTTTGCCAACCAGCCCGGTCTCGTTGCAGCATTCCAAGGCGCTGGTGGGCGATGGACAGAGCGGGACCCGCTTCCTGGTGGCTTGCAGAAGAGCCACCTGGTGGTCTGGGCCTTCGAGGACTACTTGAAAGAACAATTCTTCGAGATGCTTAAGATCCTGGAGATCTGGTGCAATGACGAGATCGAATTCTCTCGATCCCGTGCCGTCAGTTACGTGTACGAGCTCCTCAAAGAGAAGCCGGAGCAAGAAGCCAACCTGCTGCGTCTTCTTGTGAACAAGCTTGGAGACCCCGGCAAGAAAATTGCTTCTCGAGCTTCGTATCTGCTGTTACAGCTGGAGCAGCAACACCCGCTCATGAAGCCCCTCATCATCAAGGGCGTTGAGGAGCTGCTGTTCCGTCCCGGCCAGAGCCAGCATGCCAAATACTACGCCATCATTACTCTGAACCAGACGGTTCTCAGTACCAAGGAGCCAAAGGTTGCTGACCAATTGCTGGACATTTACTTCTCCCTCTTCGTTACCTTCTTGAAGCCCACCAAGCAGGCGGCCAAGGCCAAGCATGGCAAGGGCGCCAAGGGCAAGGGCAAGGGCAATGATGAGACCAAGGGCGAGGCCCAAACCGACGAGATGCGCGAGAAGTTGACTTCGGGTGTCTTGACTGGTGTCAACCGCGCTCACCCTTTCACTGACGCAGACTCCGACCGGTACGTGCTTACAACTATATTCAGCTATGTAATCTACTAACTTGCATTATAGCCTCACGAAGCACATCGACACGCTTTTCCACATTACGCACTCGTCAAACTTCAATACCAGCATTCAGGCTCTGATGCTGATCCAGCAGCTTACTGCCTCGCACCAGATTGCCAGCGACCGCTTCTACCGGACTCTGTACGAGTCCCTTCTGGACCCTCGCGTTGCTACCTCCTCGAAGCAGTCACTCTACCTGAACCTCCTATTCAAGGCTCTCAAGAACGACTTGAACATCCGCCGGGTGAAAGCATTCGTCAAGCGCATTGTCCAGGTGCTCGGAATGCACCAGCCATCTTTCGTTTGCGGTGTTTTCTACCTGATCCGTGAGCTCGAGAAGACCTTTACTGGCCTTTCTTCTCTGTTCGATCAGCCCGAGGATAACGAGAGCGATGGTGAAGAGGTCTTCCGAGATGTTCCCGATGAGGATGACGAGGAGCAGCCGCAGCCAACACCGGTCGCGGCCAAGAAGCAGAGCAACGGATACGATCCTCGTAAGCGCGACCCGGAGCACAGCAATGCCGACAAGACCTGTCTCTGGGAATTGCTCCCTTACACTTCTCACTTCCATCCCTCCGTGTCCGTCAATGCCGCGAATCTACTCGAGCACCGGCCCATGAGTGGCAAGCCCGACCTGACTATCCACACGCTCACTCACTTCCTGGACCGCTTCGTGTACCGCACCCCCAAGGCTGGCGCTGCTTCTCGCGGTGCCTCGATCATGCAGCCCCTGGCCGGTGGCGATGTTGCCGACCGACTAGTAGAGGCCAACAAGTCGGCGCCGCATGCCGTGCCACTGAACTCGGAGAACTTCTGGAAGAAGAAGGCCGCGGATGTGGCCGCGGAGGACGTCTTCTTCCACCAGTACTTCAACCGCGTTAACAAGGACAAGGTCAAAGCCAAGAAGGGCAAGAGTGCCGTTGACCCCGTTGAACGCGACGAGGAGGATATCGATGATATCGATGGTATCAGCGAGGACGAGGATGAGATCTGGAAGGCGCTAGTCGACTCTAAGCCAGATCTGGAGGCCGACGACGAGAGCGACGATGACCTCGATCTGGACGATCTGGAGTCTGCCTACTCCGATGAGGAGGGTGAAGGCGAGGCGGCCGGTGACGATGAGGTCATCTTCAACGACGAGTCCGACGTGCCATCCGACGAAGAGATGGAGGAGGCCGACTTTGACGGATTCGACGACGAGGAGGCCGCACCTGCTCCCGCGAAGAAGGGCAAGAAGTCCGCCAAGAAGGAAGAGCCCGAGGATGACGAGGACGTCTTCGACATGGACGTCTCCGACGACGAGGCCTTCCTCGACAGCGATGACGATCTGCCGTCGGACATGGAGCTGGGTGGCGTGGAGTTGCCTCCGGCCGAGACGGCGCCGTCGGCATCGGCTTCGGAGCGCAAGAAGCGCCGCAAGCTCAAGCACCTGCCGACATTTGCCTCTGCGGACGATTACGCGGCGCTGTTGGGCGACGAGGACGAAGGCATGTAGAGGGAGTTATCTTGTATTGTTTCTATTTCTATTCCATGTCTGGACATACACTTTGGTATTGTTGCAGGAGTTCGGACGAAAGTATCCCCGTGTATTATTGTCACATATCAAAAGCGGCATCAAGAACCAATCCCATGTGTTACTCGAAACCGCAATCTTAACGCGGGTCTAGCCGATCACTGTCGTACTGGGTAAGAGGCCATCTCGCAACAACAGAGCAACCCGGCGCAGGAACGGATTCTAGAACAGAGACGCCGTCACGCAGTCACGCAGTCACTTTTCCGACGAATAAATAAAGTATTCGGAGGCGTTCTAGGCGCCGTTGATTGCTGAGTAGGGCAGAAAAGATAGAGAAAGTGGGTGGTTCCCGCATGAGGCCATCGGGGAGGAGGAGCACGCAAGAGCGGGAGGCTCGATAGCGGGCGGAACACTAAATTGGGCGTCCGCGATTAATACCGTCACGTAGTATCGCCGTGGGATCTTTTTGTTTATTGATTCGAGTCGATGACTTTACATTGGATTCTAGAATTCCCCAAATGCATTGAATACATAAAATACCGAAGAAAACCGTGAGCATACTGCCAGAATGCCTCGCAGGGCGACGAACTCGGCAACACGTGGCCCGGGTATTCGCATTACCGAGTTTCGAGTTTCGTATTTCGAATTTCGAGTCTGATGAATTCAACCGAAACTGGCTAATCTCGCATCAGATTACTGCGAACTCTGTTCATCGATACACTAATCAGAGCTTACGCACTGGTCCTAGATACAGAGTCCAAGCCCCCCAAGCCCCCCAAGCCCCCGAGCATATTACGACCCTCAGATGCTCCCCCGGGCCCCATCGTGGCCACCGCATTCGGCTAGGGACTGGTAGCGGTCAAATCAGGGCAAGGGAAAAATCACGGCGTGCAGCCATCCATGTTTTCGGGGGTGGCTGATGCATGGGTTCCGATCCTCCACGCCCACTGATTAGCCACCGGCCGCTTGCGGGGCTCTGGTGGGGTCCGCATCCGGCAGGTCGTAGCTTCATGGGAGATGGGATCCGATCCTGTCGAGTTCGCTGCCTCTCCCCGATGAGGTGTGGTAAGGTGCTCGTGTGTAGGTAATTTCGGAGTCGCCGCTCCTTATCTATGCACCGGTGCACAGACGGTATTCCCTACTCCGTATCTCAACCCCGAACCCAGGATCAGGGCAAAGCACGCTGTCAGGGCGGGCATAGCGCCTCTCCCGAACGCCCTGGGAACGTCGTGGATACCCCGATACCCCCATTTCGGCGACCTCTCGTCACGTCATGCCACCTACGTAGAGGCTCCAATGATGAGATCGACAGGTTTTTTCCATTTGGAACCCAGGGCGCGAGAGTGGGGAATCCGCATAACCTGCGCGGAACCATAATTACGGCGCTTTCGATCGTCAACGCTGCGATCGTAGTGGACCTCCCTCGCCGCTGGTATCCTGTATACCATTTAGGATACCTAGGATACCATCGTCCCTTGGCCTTCTTTTTTCCGCTTTTCTTTTTTTCTGAACCGGTTTCCTTTTCTTTCGGTTCTCTTTTCCTCTTCCTTTCAACACTCTCGCACCCCCTCTGCGCCAACTCTACTGGGAGCTCGCTGCCCCGGATCTTCGTTGTAGATCCCGTGCCCTAATCGCCCGCAGCCTCGCCTTGTACCAGAGCCCCCAGCGACCACGCAAAACCCCCCGCGACAAGAAAAAAGAAATCGATAATCTCGACTTCGATTGCCCCAAGCCCAGCAGCCCCGGTTGTATGGAAGTATCGCCCCATATCTGCAGTTTTATGTATTCGAAGGTCACCAACGCCTCTCTCGACTCCGCCGAGTACCGTCAAGCACGGTTCTCCCGCTCCTTAAGATTAAAATGGCTCGGCCTAACGACGCAGCACTTGCTGCTGGCCCCTGGGACCATGATCGCACCGCCGATATGAGCGACCTCAGCGACAAGAGTGATAAGCTGGAGGAACCCAAGCTCAAGGACTTCGATGCCGAGGGCCAGCGCCGTCTGTCGCATCACCATGTCACGGCGGTCGACTCCTCCTCGACGACTGAGAGTATCGGTCGCCAGATCGAAATGGAGTCGGAAAATACCATCAAGTATCGCACTTGCAGTTGGCAAAAGGTAGATTTCATTTTGCCCTTGGTACTTTGAATTGGGTGGGGACTAATCGTTGTTGTATAGACTGCGGCTCTGCTTTTCTCCGAGTACATTTGTCTGGCTATCATGTCCTTCCCCTGGTCGTACTCCGTGCTGGGTCTCGTTCCCGGTCTAATTCTGACCTGTTCCGTGGCCGGTGTGGTGCTTTACACTTCCTTGACTATCTGGTATGTCCTTTTCTGACTCGTCGACGATCGCGCTAATTCGGTGATAGGCGGTTCTGTCTGCGACACCCCGAGGTCCGCGATGTGTGTGATATCGGCCAATATCTGTTCTGGGACTCCAAGATCGCGTGGTGGGCAACCGCCGTCATGTTCCTGTTGAACAACACCTTCATTCAGGGCCTGCACTGTGTGGTCGGCTCGGAGTATCTCAACACCATGTCCAACGGAGCAGTCTGCACAGTCGTCTTTTCGCTGATCATTGCGATGGTTTCCTTCCTCTGCTCCCTCCCGCGCACATTCAACACCCTGGCCAAGATCGCCACTTTCTCGGCCTTCTTCACCTTTGTTTCCGTCATGATGGCGACCATCTTCGTCGCCATTGAGCCTCACCCGGCCGGATACCCTGGCAAAGGCGAGCCGACTTTCCGCACGATCCCTCTTCCCGGCACGACGTTCGTCACGGGACTCAATGCCTTCCTGAACATCAGCTACACGTTCATCGGCCAGATTACCCTGCCCAGTTTCATTGCCGAGATGAAAGAGCCGCGCGACTTCTGGAAGTCTGTCACCGTTGTTACCATTGCCGAGGTCATCGTCTTCGGCCTGGTCGGCTCTATCATCTACGTATACACCGGCAATGAGTACATGAGCTCCTCGCCCGCATTTGCCAACATGTCCGACGAGCTATTCAAGAAGGTTTCGTTCTCCTTCATGATTCCGACAATCATCTTCCTCGGAGTTCTGTATGCCTCCGTCTCCGCCCGCTTCATCTTCTTCCGCCTGTTCGAGGGAACCCGCCACAAGGGCAACAACACCGTCGTCGGTTGGGCCGCCTGGGTCGGAATCCTTGCCTGTCTGTGGGTTTCTGCCTGGGTTATTGCCGAAGTGATTCCCTTCTTCTCGAGTCTGCTGTCGATTATGAGCTCCTTGTTTGATTCCTTCTTTGGTTTCATTTTCTGGGGTGTTGCTTATATCCGCATGCGCTCGGCCGACCACGGCCCTTACTTTTTCATGGAGCGTGGCATTCGGGGCTGGTTGGGTTTCATCTTCAACGTCAGCTTGATCTTCATAGGTATTTTCTTCTTGGGTCCCGGTACCTACGTGAGTTTGATCTTCTCCCTTCGGTCTTTCCGCTCTTTTACTTACATTCTGCAGGCATCTATCATGTCCGTCGTTGAAATGTACCGTGAGGGTACTGTCGGCGGCGTCTTCACTTGTGCCAGTAATGCGCTGTAAACGTTGCGCGCTGTCTTTTTTCTTTTTTTTTTGCATCTCCTTTTCACATACTATATTTGGTCATTTTGACCGCCGGTAAATATCGGCTGTGGAGAGGTTTCATGACGTGATGACCGAGACAGGCGGCCAGTTACTTTGGTTTTTGGATTCGCGTGATATTCTGCAAGTGGTTTTCTTTGTTGGATATTTGTTCTGGGATATCACCGTGTTCATGTTTTATACTTTTGCGGGGACGGGGATGTTGGGACTTACTCTTTTCCGCGCCGCTCCAGCATGTCGTGCACATAATCCGCGGTGCCAAATTGGATCCGGATGATCAGCGGGGCTCTTTGATGCTCTCGCCTGCTGTCATTCCAGCCACAAATTACTTCCTGCATCTTTCCCTCGTAGGGTAAGCTGTCTCAATGCGGAATTGACTTTCCCCGCCGAGGTCACCCTATCAGCACGTGACTTTTCCGCTGTGGTTCTCCGACGGCGGAGTAGACACAACTTCTCACGGCCTTTTTCTTCCTCTTCCCTCGCTTCTTCACTTGTCAATCAAATTCCCCTTTTGTTGAATCGTCATGGCCAGCGCTCGTACTTTCCGAAAGGGTGTCGACCTCGTCGCCGCCAGGTCTTCTGCTCTGCACGCTCCCCGCGCTTCTATCGGCTCCACACTGCTGCGGCGGGAGCTCTCCTCCGCCGTGCGGGCAGCTCCCCGGACTCCCAGCGCCAGACTCACCGCGCGCGTGGCGGTTCCTCAGGTCAAGACCCAGGCTGTGCGTTATGCCTCGAGCTCCAGTGAGCCCCTGGCCAAAACGCAGCTGTATGACCTGCACGAGGCGCACGGCGCTAAGATGGTGCCCTTTGCCGGATACTCTATGCCGCTGCAGTATGCCGACCTGAGCCATGTGGAAAGCCACATGTGGACTCGTGAGAAGGCCAGTCTGTTCGATGTGAGCCATATGTAAGTTCAATTCCTCTTCAGGCTTCCAATTAAAACCACAGGAGGCTAATCCAGTTCTATACAGGGTTCAGCACCACCTTAGCGGACCTGGCGCCATGAATCTGTTGATGAAGGTCACTCCCTCCTCGCTGGATAAGCTTGCCCCCAACACCTCCACCCTGTCCTGCCTTCTAGAAGTTGGCACCGGCGGCATCGTCGACGACACCGTCATCACCCGCCGCGGCGAAGATAGCTTCTACTTCGTCACCAATGCCGGCCGCCGCACCGAGGACCTGGCCTTCCTGCAAGCCGAGATCGAAGCCTACCGCGCCGAGCACGGCGCCGACAGCATCAAGTGGGACATCCTTGAGGACCGCGCGCTGGTCGCGCTGCAGGGTCCCAAGGCCGCTTCCGTCCTGCAGCCTCTCATCAACGCCTCCTCAGCCGCCTCCACCGACCTGAGCACCCTCTACTTCGGCAACTGCCGCGAGCTCTACCTCACCCTGCCCGACGGCAGCGCCACCCCCCACCCCCTCCTGATCTCTCGAACCGGCTACACCGGTGAAGACGGCTTCGAGATCTCCATCCCGACCTCCGGTGCCCCCAACCTGCCGGAGCAGGTCGTCAACCTCTTCCTAACTGACAAGGACACCGTCCGCCTCGCCGGTCTCGCTGCCCGCGACTCCCTCCGCCTCGAAGCCGGCATGTGTCTCTACGGCCATGACATCTCAACCGCGCAGACTCCCCCCGACGCCGCTCTGGGCTGGGTCGTCGGCCGTGACCGCCGTGACCCCGCGACCGCCAACTTCAACGGCGCCTCTGTCATCCTCTCCCAGCTCGCCAGCCCCAAGTCTCTCACTCAGCGCCGCATCGGTCTCTCCGTGGAGAAGGGCCCGCCTGCCCGTGAGGGTGCAGTCGTCGTCGACCTAGCCGACCCGGCTAACCCCGTTCAAGTCGGCGTCGTCACCTCCGGTCTTCCTAGCCCTTCGCTCGGCGGCCAGAACATCGCCATGGCGTATGTGAAGAACGGGCTGCACAAGAAGGGTACTCAGCTTGGAGTGCAGGTGCGCAAGAAGGTTCTCAAGGCCAGTGTTGTCGGTATGCCTTGGGTTGAGAGCAAGTTCCACCGTCCTTCTTAGGCTGGACCTGTGTCTCTTTGTGTTTTCGTCTGGTATTTTCATGGTGTGATGTGATTTACGTCGGTTGCCCTGTACATAAATATCTTTTTTTGCGACCTGGCATGTTTCTTTATGATTGTTCTACTTCAACAGGTAGTATAGAGCGAAAAGCAATTCCACATTTGCTCAACTCCAACGGTATCAGCACCTACATAACTAGCCATGTATGAAGCAGTAATCTCCCGAATTGGGACTGGTCACTTTTGCCTAGGCACGCCTCAAACGGAAGCAGCAGCAGCTGGAGGTCAGAATCACCAGTAGGAAAAATCCCCTAATCGTAAGTCGGTATCCTTAGCCATTTTAGGGCTCAGCCATTGTTAATCGTTAATGAAAGGTTGTATGTATATATCTTTCGTGTACAAGGTACGTCGTATATAAATCTTAGAAATTTGATGCATTAATTACATGCATTGTGTTCCAGCTACTAATCCAGAGTGGAAGAAATGGTAATACTACCAACCCTTCTGCCAGTGAGACTGCTTCGCGAACCGAGCATGGTAACCAGCGCTTCTCCCATTTCCAACGTAGTGCTGAGCGCCCGCGGCCAGAGGAGCAGGCTGCTCTAGGTCCACCAAAGCATCGTCCATTCCACGGGCCAGGATATCAGAGGAGTCAGACAGAGAAGGCGGTAGATCCCCAGGCTTAGTGCCCCACGCACTCTCATGACTGCCAAGAACCAGAACCAGATCCTTACCCTCAGTGAAGAAATCGTGGGACAACCAGTTCTTTGTGTACGGCCGGCCGTTCAATGTTGCAGACTGGATGAAGCCAGTGCCACCGGTGTTGTTGAGGGAGTTGAACTTGTCCCAGTTGATCACACGCACGGTGGCGGTCTTGCCGGTGAGGGGTGAGACGATGCTGACGGACTCGAAATAAGGCACGGTGATGAGATAGACGCTTTGGCCTGGGTTGGGGAAAAGACCCATCATTGACATGGCGACGAAAGAACCCATCGCGCCGGAGTCATCGTTGCCGGGTAGACCTGCGGGGGTTGGAGCGAAGTATTCGGGGATGTAAGTGCGAACCCGAGCGGTGGATTTGGCTGGGCGGCCGGCGTAGTGGTATTGGAAGACTGTTAGGAAGGCGGGCTCGTTACCAATGTAGGTGATCTTCTGATCGTGGAGGTAGTCGAGGCGTCTGACGAAGCTGGAAGGCCCTCCGAGAATGGAGATGAGAGCGGCCATGTCGTGGGGTACGAAGCTGCAACGAAGGTATTAGCGTATGGATAACGCAGGGAATGGAGGACGGCATACAATTGATACTCCCAGATGCTTGACTCGAAAGTCTCGGCTGCGTTGTTTTGAAGGGAACAGATACTTCCACTGGTATCAATGTTCGAGCATTTGAGAGGATCCTGATACCCCCAGGTTCCGTTGAGGTACTTGGGCTGGAAGAATCCAGTGAACCCAGTATTAGTGCCATTCATATATGATTCCTGGTCCTTTCGGAATAGATTTTTCCAGTATCGTGACTCCTCTTCATATCGCGCAGTATCGGCAGTTTTGTTCATCCGAGAAGCAATTTGGGAAATAGCAAAGTTGTTGTAGGCATATTCGAGAGTGCGTGAGATACTGCGAGTCATAGTTCCGAAGCCGATATAGTCAAAATCTTCAACTGGGACATAGTTGAGTTTCTTCCAGCTTTGCAGGCCGCCACGGCCCTCATTAGACCAGTCAAAGGGCTCCACGTCTGCATCTTTCTGGACGGCTGCGTACCCTGCGTCCCAGTCAATACCCTCCCTGATGCCTTTGACGTAGGCATCAGCAAAGACATTGTCAGCGTTCGATCCACCTTGCGTGTAACCTGAGTGGAAGGCAATTAATTGGGGGTTTCATCCTCATTGGTGATAAGGAAGAATTGCGCACCTTTGCACAGCGACATGCGGCAGTCAGGCAGCCACCCAAGATGACGCTGAGTATCAATCAGAGAGCGTATCATCTGAGCCGCTGATCTAGGGTCGAAGATTATCAGGAAGGGAAATTGCGAACGGAACAAATCCCAGATACTGGCGATGATCAGCAAGAGCCTATAATGTCCAGCAAGCTCGAGACAAACCAGTAGAAAGAATCGAAATACGGCTCTGAGCTCGTCCACAGCGGGTTCTCGCCAGTGTAGTTCTGGGGATTAATCATTGTCCGGTAGATACCACTGTAGAAGTTGGTGAGGACAGACGGCTTGACACCGTTGCGCGAGACACGGATCGGACGCATTTTCTCGGTCCATTGCGCGACTGCAGCTTTGCGGATGGATTCAAAATCAAAGTTGGCAATCTCCGATTCAGCATTGGAACAAGCCTGCTCGGGGCTGATGAAACTCAACCCAACACGAGCTTGGATGACACCATCTGCGGGAGTTTTGAAACGGACAAAACCACCGCCCTATACCGGTCAGCTTACAAAGAAAGTGAAAATGAGGGATCCGGCGTTACTCACCGGCAGGGGATAGCCATTAATGCTGCGCGAGATCTTCAAGTCGTGAACACCAGTACTAGCTCGAGCATCAACAAAGATACCGCTGTCGCGCAACGAGGCAGAGCTATGGAAGTCGGCGCAAAAGTGAAGGTCGTATTCTCCACTGCCAAAGCTAGGCAAAAACTTGGCACTGCCCATCATGCGCCCGTTAGACTCGTTGATCGAGATCGTCGCATTATTTTGGCGCGAGTCGGATAGATCCGAGAGATCCAACAGAATCAGCGGGTTGCTGCCAGGGGGAAATTGGAAGCGGAAAAGCGAAGTATGCTGAGCAGTAGTCATATCAACACGTACGCCAGAAGCTAGCGTCAGAGCAAAGTAGCCCGGGCTGGACTCGACAGAATCAGGCATATACTTCGTCTTCCGCGACTTCTTCGGAAAAACACAACCATCCACATCATCGCCGGCGCATTGCGCATATGGAAAGAGAGGGAAATTCCCGAGCGAGGGATTTCCGCCAGTGCCAGAATCATGCATGCTCGAGAAGCCAGTCACATTACTGCCATCATAGGCGAAACCGCCCTGGTTGTTCTCGGAATCGGTATCGGCAACAGCCTTGGCCATGCCATACGGCAGAGACGCACCCGCGAAGACATTGCCTGTAATCGGAGTTAACGTTGATGAGCACGAGGCGACGTGGAATTCTCCATACCTCCGTTGGCGCTGCCGATCAGCGGATCTATATACTGCAATACATCATAGTCCCCCGGCGGCGCGGGGAGCGCGGCATCAACCAGCGCTCGCCTACTGGCGAGAACGAGCGGCAAAAGCAAATGGCGTAACATGATCGCCGGGCGTGAAGAAAACCATCGCGAGAAAATCGGGATTCAGTCTGGTATTTAGATTCCCCGGCCCCTGCGGGCGCGACGTGCCTGTCCGGTCCGGCATGCGTCCATTGCCCCCTGTCGATCTTCACCCCGCGTCGCTGCGTTGCATCGTGCGCTCATAAAAACTACTAGTGCGGTTAGTCCTTTTGCAATTTGCAACGTTAGGTAGTCCAGTCTCGTGTGATGGTGTGAAGCAGAGGTCGCATGATTGAGGGGTCGTCCATACATATCTGGGCCAATTTGCTCGGGCCTTTGGTGGCGAAGGCTAAATCGTGATCACTCGGTGCATTGCAGAAAGTAATTGCCCGATAAAGGGGATCCGCAATGATCTATGGCAATGCGCGCAAGTTCGATAACCATGGAGTTGGAGGTAGTTGGATGGGAGGGGTTGCCGACAGGATTGTAGCACTATTCCCGAGTCGGTTCAAATATCCCTTCATTGCAGCGTACATGCATCCTGCATTACCAAGCCACTGTCTCATATCTGGCCCTTTCTTTTACTCTTCTACTTGAAGGTCGTCGTACGGGGATATGCTATTCAACGTGACTGGGAAATGTTTGTGTTATGAGATGTCAGCATCGAATTTACGTGAATTTAGGATACTCGCTCTCTAATGTCCTCTTTCAATGACATTAGATCCGAAAGTAAACAAGCTAAACTGAGTAACCTCGTGTCCTCTGTAAGTCTAATTAGAGGGATGGCGTTGATTCAGTGTTATCAACGTACATGAACTGTCACCGATGGTCAACTATATTCATTCAGACCTCGGGAGAACAATGTCTCGTCAGCTACATACTTAATCCGTGGTTGTTCAGTTTTATAGCTGCACCTTTTGACGACTGAAGAACCCTTCCTTTCTCGAACTACTCAAAGATAGTCTTCCTTTGAGCAGAATCGCAATTCCTTGTCATTTCCTTGAGATACGGTTCCGGTGTGCTTCTTCCGGGCCAGGCACGCCCGGAAGATTTGAAGGTCTTTGACATTCCTCGTCAAAAGCCTCGCCCTCACATAAATTCCAAGGCTGAGGAGTAGAATGTATAGAAAATGATGGATACATGAGAAGTCCTCTTTTTCTCTTGTCAGAAAAATGTGGAGACATTCTCTGGGCGCTAGTTTACAGTGGCAAAAGGGTAAGAAGTCAACCAGTCAACCAAGGCGCCTAACAAGACCCCAGTGAAGAAAGCTGTCAAGAAACTCCAGAAATTTGGAACCGAGGCAGCCTTTCACGGCCAAAACAAACCACAGGACGCAACGGGGAAACTCCCTCTCTTCGATAGCTGGAGCCCTCCCGCCCTTGATCGGAGTCTACGCAATAGAGGTCGTGGATGGCAAACCCTATTTCCAGGACTGCCGGGCCGTGGACCTCAAAAGGCTCGGCAACAAATTGCCCAAGGATCTCAACGGGAGGGAGTCGGACTGGTTCGGGTTCCTAGCGATGGTGTTGATGCCGTGGCTGATCATGCAGTTCTCGGATTCCGCGGAACTCAGTTGATCGGGAAGATCCCATCGGAATGTGGCCGATAGATCGATGGATTAACTGGCCAACCTCGGCTGCATCTACGTGGTCGACAAGCCGGGTCGCCCTCAACCAACACCGTCTCCAAGTCGGCAGTAAAACCGGCGCGGATGATCGAGCGTTGGTAGTTGGTTATTCTTAGATGTGAAAACGGGCCGAGGTAACTCTTCCCGTTTGACTCGGAGCATCCACTCTTCAACCACTTGCCTTCCCAACAGTTCGCCTTCGAGACTCGCGGAGTTCGGTCTTAGTCTTGGAAAATGCTCCGACCGACTTTTTCTCTCGTTTCCGACCTCACTCCCCGTCTCAATCCCACTCCTTTACGGCTTCTTTCACGTACTCCCCGATCAGGGTCTCCTTTCATTCACCCCCGGCGAACTCCCCGACTCTACTCTACCGGTAAGCCATGGACCACCCCTCGGTCCTCGACACCTTGCTGTCCTCGACATCGATCCCGAAGAATGCGCCGTATCTAACGCGTCGGTAATCGCAGAATCAAACCCTTCCGTTCACCCGCCTCCCCCTCCGCGGTCGCGCCTCCGCCGCATCGCAGGCTTCACCTCAATCGCAGTCCTCGCGTTTACCCTAGGCCTTGTCTACCAAACCCAGCTCACCGTCTCACGAATCATGTCCGCCGCAGTTTTAACCGACGAGGAGACCCTCTCCGCATACATGCCCGCAGACGCGCGGGCCGCGGAGATCGAGCAACACCTCCGCAACCACCCCGAAGCCGAGAAGCTGCGTGCCAACCCGGACTTCAAGGAAGCGCGCCCGCACCTTAAGATCCCCGAGACTCTGCGCCCGCGCAGTCTGACAGCGGGTACATTGTCAGGACCTAACAAGATTGTCGTGCCGCCGCTGGTCTTCAGCGAGAAGGGTGGCAAGAGCATGGTCTCGCTCATGTACCTGGGCTCGGATATGTGCGGCCACATTGGTATCATCCACGGGGGTTTGCTGGCTACATTGCTGGACGAGGGTCTGGCGCGTTGCTGTTTCCCCGCGCTGCCGAATAAGGTCGGCGTTACAGCCAACTTGAATATTGATTATCGCGCTCCGGCTATGGCGGACTCCTACGTCGCTCTCCGGGCCGAGACCGTCAGGGTGGAGGGTCGGAAGGCGTGGGTCGAGGGGCGCATCGAGACTCTCCCGGAGGACGGTAAGGAGCCCGTGGTGCTGGTTGAGGCCAAGGCCTTGTTTATCGAGCCCAGGCAGGCTGCTGTAAGTGAAATTAATGTGTTCTGGCAAATGGCGACGTGGCTAATCGAATTTTCCAGGCAATGTCAAACTTGTACCGTGGCGTGACGGAGTGAAAATCTCTTACGTTCCTGGTTCCTGGTTCCTGGCGAATGGGAATCTTATTTTTTATACTGTTTAGATGGGATGTACATTTCCCCGGCCTCTGTAATAGCCTAGACATAGCACCAATTGCATTTCCTGTGTTCTACATACCCGGTTTGCTAGCAGAGTAGAGTAGCCTCGTATAGAGTTAAGGTGAAACCGCTATACGAACGGGCCGCCAAGAAACGCAGACCCCGCGATCAGCGCTCGTTTCCGCTCTTACGCGGCCCATTTCACTGTCTCTTTGCCCCTCCTTCCTGCTCCTTTTCCATCTCCTCACACACACACCGTCAAAATGGCCACGTATGTCCAATTGAGCCCTCACATTCCTCCCCTTGCATGAGAACGGTCGCGAAGACTCAAGAAAGACACAATGACTAACCCCGCAGCAGCAACATCACCTTCCACGCACCCGCCCTGACCAAGACCGAGCGCAGCACCCTGCGCAACCAGCAGGGTCTGACGATCTGGCTGACCGGTCTCTCCGCCTCTGGCAAGTCCACTATTGCCGTCGAACTCGAGCGCCAGCTGCTGCACGACCGCGGCGTGCACGCCTACCGTCTGGACGGCGACAACATCCGCTTCGGCCTGAACAAGGACCTTGGCTTCAGCGAAGCCGACCGCAACGAGAACATCCGCCGCATCGCAGAGGTCGCCAAGCTGTTCGCCGACTCGTGCTCCATCGCCATTACCTCGTTCATCTCGCCATACCGCAAGGACCGCGACACTGCCCGCAAGCTGCACGAGATCCCCCCTCCCGGCGAGAACACCGGTCTCCCCTTCGTTGAGGTGCACGTTGATGTCCCCGTTGAGGTTGCCGAGCAGCGTGACCCTAAGGGTCTGTACAAGAAGGCTCGTGAGGGTATTATCAAGGAGTTCACCGGTATCTCGGCTCCCTACGAGGCGCCTGAGAAGCCCGAGGTCTACCTTAAGAACGTGGATCTGCCTATCAAGGATGCCGTTAAGCAGATTATTGCTTACCTTGACTCCCAGGGCTACCTGCCTGCTAAGAAGGAGTAAAGAGTTTATGGTTTTGATGTGAAATGGAAAATGTCGTTGTATAGCGGTGTAGATCTGAAGATGAGTTTTGTGTCTTGATTACACGCAGACAAGGCGCTGTATATATCCGGATAAATATAGATCGCTTTGATATTGGGCACCTTCTTGAGTATAAGACGAGGAATAGAGTGTATTCAGTAGAAACCACCTGGGCAAGGAACGATGTTCAACAAAATCCAATGTTAGTTTGTGATCGATGTTCCCTGGGCTTGGTATATATGTACGCAAAGTCGTGCAAACTACCCCAGCAACGTCTTAGTTGAATTCGAATTCGTAGAACACGTACGGTGTGTACTCCACACTTCCCTCGCCACCAGCGTGCATTTCACTAGGGTCATCGCGCTTGACACGACCCTTCTTGTCACGACCAAAGGCATTACCGGCCAAGTAGGAGTACTTATCCTCAAGGTTCTTCTTAGCGCGGTCCGCTTGCTTGGTAGTGGGAGCCTGCAATAAATCAGTTAGCAACATAATGCAAGTCCCCATAGGATGAAACATACCCGGATCAAGGCACAGACAAAGTCCAAAGGCAACCCATACCGCAGCACCGTTTCAACAAACACGCGCAAGACCAGGACATGAATCCAGACCATTACAGCCTCACTCCAAGCCGTCCGACCCAGACGTAGCGTCTCACCCCAAAGCTTACGCTCATCGCCACCAACACGCTCAACCTCTTTCGCTTCCTCCTCCTTACCACCCTCAACGTACTTGAAATCGCGCGGGATCCACTTCTGCTCGCGGGCCTTGTGCACGAACTCCGCGCTGTGCTTCTTGAACGTCGTCACGGCGTACAGCGAAAATTCGCTGTCCTCGGCGACCAATTGGGCTGAGCGGGGGACTACCATCGGCGCGACGGTTTCGTAGGTCTTGAGGAAGTCCTTTACTTGCTGCGACGGGACGGCGACGAGGTGTGTTTCGATAAACTCGGAGTCTTGGACGATGGAGCGGGGGTCCACGATTGAGACGAGCGATTTTGTAGAGAGGTTTCCCCTATACAGTGTCAGTTGGTATTGTATCGCGGAGTAGGAGGGGTACACACGTTTGTTTCCGTTGCAGGGTCGCCAGCGTGTTCTTAACCTGGTTATATTGCGAGTACTTGAAACGGATATCATTGTCGATACTGGCACCCTCCTGTTTAAAGCCATCAGCAATTCCATCCTCTAGCAATTCATCACGGTGTTTGATGAGAACCCACCTTCTGCAGAAGATCAATCAACTCCGAGAGCGACTTGTCCGCACGGTATTTGACCTTATTCCACTGGAAGGTGCGGAGATACTGATCAACCGGCTCTGCAAAGCGTCAGAACACACATCCCATCTCGACTGACCGTAGCGGGGAAGCATACTATCATTGACGACCTTCATGCGCTCAATCTGCGCCTCGTCTCCCTCGAGGATATTCTTCAACGCATCGCCGACCTTGCCAACGACAGTCTGGCACTGGCCTTCGAGCTTGGCCAGCTCGTCAGCCTGCTGGACGAGCGCATCTAGTGTGCCGATCTTGAACTCGGGGATCGGGAAGGAGGCCACGGAGCCATTGTCGGGGGAGACTGTGGTGGATACGGCCTCGAGGGCGTCGTCGCGGTGGTGCGAGGGGACGATGGAGGAGGGCAGGGAGAGGAGGAGGTATTGGCTTGGCTTGGACATGATGTATGACAAGGAGCCCTGGAGGCGGGCAGACGTGAGGTGGTCAATTAAGCGGAGCTCGGGAGCTGAGACGATGTCGTAGGCGGTCGGCGATGATTGGCGCGGGACACTAACAATACACGTCTAGAACTGGAACTACACCGAAGTACATTATGGTCGACTATTGACATTAGGGCTGTAGAAATTAAACGTTATCATAATCTAACGTATCGGAGACAAGCGCACTCATTCTACACAGGTCGTTAGTCGACCGCGGTGAAGATGCATAACGCTAGAGACTCGATCCAATGCTCGCTCAACACAGGAAACTCAAACAAGAAACAAACAGCCATCCATACAGAAAAGAAATATTTTGATCCCCACTGGACACCGGCAAGGCGCTGGTGAGCGAGAGCGCAGGGATCCGAGGGAATGACTAGCTTCGAACCTGCGGAATATGTAGGGAGAATCAGCGACAAAGGGGGAAATGACGACGTGACAGGGTATCTGTATCGAGCTTGCAGCGCTGATCGTGATAAGAGGGTAGAGGAGAGGGCATGAGAAGAGGGAAGAACGCAGGACAAATGACCACAGAAAAGGGTTGGTATCTGTACAAGTAGAGCGCCGAACAGGAAGGTTAAAAATAGATAGCAGAAAATAAAAAGGATGAACTGCCGTATTGAGGCCGAGTCTAGCCTTGCATGCCCATGAAAATATCCTGACAGTTCTCCACCAGGAACTTGAGGACGTCGTTCTTTTTCTGCACGTCCGTCATCTCGCGGGCCAAGCTCTCAGGCCGCATGATGGTCGGAGCGAACACGACTGCGACATTTTGGCTAGTCATTAGGTTCTCATCCTGACGTTCAACAACACGCTTGAGGTGGAAAATAAGGAATTCAAGGACATCGCGATGCACACGTGGCAATTCTCCCAGGTTCCTCTGAAGAAGCTCCACCCGCCCCGACACGCTGGGGACTTGTGCAGAATCGATGATTGTCTCGTAGACTTCGAAAGTAATTAAAGGAGTAGGAAGCTTGCGGAAATACTGCTTCAGAGCAGAAGTGACGGCGTGAATATCGAGGTCGGGATCCGAAATGTCATAATCGAACGGCGAGCGCTCGAAGCCGTCACGAATACCCTGGATCGCCGAGGCGGCACCTGACTTGCGGTAGATACCTTCCATATCCATGCCGCGAAGTTCAACTTCTTGGATACATCGGGTGACGATGGCTGGAATAATACTCTTCTCGTGTTCCATACGGGCCTCGAGTTCGGTACCAAATAGTCCTAACGGAATGGTCAGTTGGTTGCGGCCTGAGGGAGCACAGTAAATGAAAGACTTACCACCGCCTGCAGCTTCAGCCAATGCCGGCACACTGTCGGCCTGCGACATCTTGCCTCCCTGCTTGTTCCTCTGATTTCCAAAGAACCCGAAGCCCTGGCGACTTGGGTCTTGAGTCTGCGAACGGGGCAGACCACCGCCAGCCTCGGTTTCGCTGGACATGAAGGCTCCCTTGAGACCCTTCACACCCTTTGCGACGTTCTGACCACCCTTCTTCCAGTTGAACTTGCGAGGCTGTCCCTTGCGGATGCTGACAACCTGAGGCCCAGGGACAACGGTGGCCGTGGCTGTGGTAGTTTCGGAATCGTCCGCGATGTGAGCATGGGAGATCGACGGCGGGAAGTCGTGGGCTGTAGATCTCAAGGTCTCCACGGATGACATGGACTTCTCCTTGTGCTGAGCGATTCCAAGGCCATTTGTACCACGCTGGCCATCCGAGCTGGCCTTGTACAGTTCCTGTATCTGGTGCACCAATTGGTTGTTCAGCTCGGCCAATTGGGCATTCTTCGATGACAATTGTTCGAATTCCTGGAACGTCTTCTCCTTCTGATTGGTCATGTTAGCAACCTCCGCGGACAGATCATTGCGCTGCTGAATGAGCTCCTCAATTTGAGGCGCATAGGACTCCTTCAGCTTCTGAATAGATTCCGCAAGCTCTCGCAAGACATGATTGGAAAGCTTTCCAAGATCCAGGGGTCCACCAGCTGCACCACGCTTCTCTGCCTCCAGATGTTTGGTGAGCACGGTGAGCTCTCGCAAAACAATCTCTCTCTTCGCATCGAGCACAACCATTGTAGAACGTTTTTCGGAGAGCTCGGTGTTGACCTGCTTAACATCCACGGTGGCACGAAGAGTACCTTCCATTTCTGCCATACGCTGGCGTTCTTTGCGCAGTTCAGCGCGAAGCCAAGCAATCTCCTCAGCTTGAGATATACTGGCAGTGGGACTGGCAATGTCCGTGCCCGTGATGCTTCCAGGAGATCTGGGGGTTTTGCCTTCTTTTCCAGTTCGAATACTTTTCTCGCTATAGCTTCGGCCGTGGCGCACGGAGCTTGACATACGTCGTAAGAAAGAATCGCTAGTCTGGCCATCATCACTCATAAGACGAGCCAAGTCCTCATCGGCAGAGAACTCACTACCACCCTTGTACTGCGGGATGGACGGTGAGTGTGCGCGATCTCGTGTATCGAGAGACGTGAGATGCTGCCTCGGCTGCTCGAAACCAGTGTCGGGCAGCCTGGGAGAGCCTCCGTAGACGGAGGAACTTGGCGATGTGCCAATATCTTTCCGTGGGATCGAATGGAGCTTGCTCTCAAGCGAGTCGCCTCGCTTTGGTGGGTAGGAAGACTGCTGAGAACGTGAAGACTCCACAGAACCATGCTCGTGAAGTCGGTGCAGTTCGTTTGAAGGGCGTGGGTGGACCGATGTGACACTCTCCAGTGGCCTCGATCGTGTGATATCGTTGGCAGTCTCCTTGGACCTGCTACTTTCGGGACTGGTCGCACCCGAGAAGGCGCTTGTTTCCCTCAGTGCCAATGGCAGATCAGACCTAGAACTGCGGGCTGATTCGGTCTTTCCAAGCCTGGACTCAACACCAGGCGCGAATGGCTTGGTCGGTCCATTGCTGTCCATATCACGTCGGTAAGAGTCCGCGTCGCCACGTTCGTATCCTTTCTCTTGGTATGCAATGTGCGGGGAGGGATTCTCGGACGAAGTACGAGACGGAGGTTCCATGGAATAATCCCGGCCGTCACGAGAGGTTCGGAGTGAGGAATCGCCAGACGGGGCCTGGTTGAAGTACTCGCGAGGGTCCTGAATGATTTGTGATTGCCTGTGCGAAGACGATCGCTGGCTTTCAGAAGGATCAAAAGCGAGAGGAATCAAGAATTCCCCACCCCCGTCAGCTTCATTGTTATTATTGCTGCTGTTGTCACGTTGTGAACCCATATGACGGCTGCTTCGGTAGGTACTAGAAGGAAGAAGAAGATTGTCTGGAAATCACGGTCAGTCTTTAATTACGTGAATGGGTCGCGACTTCCTTACCTGCGGCGGGCTGTCGTGAAGGAGAGCTTTCCGAACGGTCTGCAGAACCATCCGGCCCAGCTATCTGAATATCGGCGGCCTCCGTGTACGCCTCACTTGGAGACTCCTCGATAGACATGGTTTCCTCCATACTCGGGGGCAACGACGGCAGAGATTTGTCTAGTTTTGCCCCCGGCCTGCGGGCCGCAGCAGTTGCCTTTTTCTTCCGTCGTCGTTGCATCAAGGACTCATGACAGTCCATACAGAATATTCCCTGCGACGTGCGCGCATAGCGTAGATTCTCGATTTTTCTCTTGCAGTTTCGACACCGGAAGCACTGTGCGCAGAACGCCTGGTCACCGGTCAAAATAGCCAAGTCCTCGATCTTATTGCCGCACGAGTTGCAGCTGTAGGTGCATGAACTGCAAATCAGGGAACCGTCGCCGAGCAGTAGGAGGTGGGCATCGGAGTCTAAGAGACAATTGCAAGTGCTGCACCGGAAACAGTCGATATGCCATCTCTGTCCAGCTTTCGAGGGGTTAGCACAGGTACATCGTGACCAGTGTGAGGAACTTACAGAGCTCGAAAGCTTTCCCTTCCTCCAGGATCTCCCCACAACCCATACACGGGTAAGGAATGTCCTCCTGCTCCATAGGAGACTCCGGGTGTAGAGCCGGGGACTCCATTGTGAAACCTCAAGTAGATCACCTCCTCGTCACGGTATCCGTTGAGCGGCGGGGAAGCAAGCGCGCTCCGCAAATCAGAAAAGTTGTAAGCGATTCAAAGTCGCGCGAAGGAGTACACGAGTTGCGCGGACATGCGTTTGCGATTCAGTAGAGACAGAGCGACACCAGGTTGCGGCAGAGCCGTGGATGGTTGGGCGGGATCGGAGAGGGGATGCGACAAGGGGGGCAGAAAGAAAGACGAAAGTGGCTGATGCAGGACTGCTGAGGCATTAGCCAACACAAGAAATCACCATTTGGTTTAAGCGTAAGACAAGCCCTGGTGTCCCAAGCCACGGACAGCTGGCCTGAGGGCTGAGGGCTTAATGGTACCGGATGAAATAACCGGAGAGGGTAGTCTCATAGTAGAAAGGAATGCCACATACCAGACTGCTCCAGTTCACAGTACTACAGGGTGTTACAGGGTGTTTCAGGTAGATAGGCGCGGGTGTTGTGACAAGCGCTCCAGGCGAGTAAACTGGGGAGCTTGCCCCTCGCGGGCGATTGTTTGGAGGGACGATTTGGAGATGGTCGAGAAGAAATCGAAAATTGGCGGCAATGTAGATGGAATTGATCGTGAAGTCGAACGGTGCGAAAAAAAGAAAAGAAGAAGAAGAACTAAAAAAAAAGAAATGAGGTGTCGTGAGGTAGGGGGGTGGAGGGGAGGAGGAAAGGAGGCCGAGATGAAGTGGCAGCCAAGTGTGGAACGGGAAAGTCACTACACTTTTCGACTTTCGACGTGCGATTCACCCTTCATTTACTTTCTCTTTCTCGCATCACACACTTTCACCCACTTTGGTCCTACAGCCTACGTGGATACTCCGACCTGACGCCCAGAACATGCGGGCCGCACTGCTGCCCATGAGCACGGTGGGCCCAATCAGATCTTCACTGCCCCTTGGGTTGTTTCAATTACGACAGACGATCCCTGGGATTATCTGTGGAGTGTGCACAATGCCTCTACAATTCCTGTGAGGACCTGAAGTCCACGGCATTTCAACTCCTGGTCTATGTCACGAGAAAAAAGAATGCCGGGCCCCATCGGCGCCCATGGAACGGCTCGTCTGTCTCAAACAGCGGCTCGCGACCCGTTCGTCATTCGCGGAGGCTGCAACAGCCTCCCCCTCCCCCTGAAAGTGACATTTGGTCTCTCGTGGTCAGCACTGATCAGCCGTCACCTACCTTACTGAAGATCGCGGGAGTTCGGACCCCGCGCTACCTGCTTTGGCTTGCTCTGACTTGCTTTGACCTGCTTTAACCTACTCGGCCAAAGAGATGCCCACAGAATACGACCCCGGAAAGCCAACTCAGCTCAGGCCGCGTTGTTTCAACACCCTGAAACGCCTGTCGTATCACGTGGATCCGGTGTCTCTGGTCTAGAAACCATCCCGGGTGCTTGGCTTGTGGTACGTGACCCCTGCACGTTGCAAGTTGCTGAGATCTCCAGATCGGAACCCACTCGAGGTTCGTCGGCGACCGAATCAGCCCAGGAACGCTGGACCATATTCTTCTGGCCTTTTTCTTGAATGCTCTTCTAGCTCCATGGTATATACTCCTAATGCGCCCCGCCTAGGTTCTCCGATGTTTCAAGCACTTCCAGCTCCAGAACCTTCCCTGGAAGCTGCAGCCAATAACCTGGCCTGGTCTTTGCGTCGAGCGACTCGGCCAGACATCAGAAGAGAGAGATTATAGATGCCACCCTCCCGTTTGGTTGTGGAGCCTTGTTTCATGGCCTTGTTCGAAGAGTGAAGTGTAGATCTTCGGCTGAGCAGCCCACACCCTTCACGCCAACTCCAGGGTCGGTACTTTGAAACACGCCCTGTTCCAGTGCGGGCAATGTATTTGAATTCAGAAGCTATCGCAATGTTTAGGGGTTTGGCTCATCAGATCGTCAGGTCGTGGGCTACAAACTCGAATATTTCGAATAGGTTTCTGTGGGAAGGACTCCACACGCGACACTGGAGCCGCATAGGATATTGAGATTTGGATTTTGTTCGGGACTACCGGATGCTTATGATGCAGAGACTGACATTAGACATTCAATCGTACATTCAATTCGTAAATATCTACATTTTTAAAACATGTAGAGCTCAGCGCAGCGCGCCCTCGGCAACTATTCCTCCGACCTTTCATGTTATGGCCTGCGGAAGGATTCTGGTTTCGCAAGGGGGGCTTATTCGTATAACTGAATCATGCCCCAAGGATTGGACGCGGGCATTGCGGTTCAACTTGGGATTTCACGGACCACCCGCTCTCAAAATAGCCTACGACAGGAGCCCATCCCGCACTATTCCCGCCACCTGAGCTTGGCTGCAGATCTCTTGCGGGGCTAACAACCGTAGCCTGAAACGCTGTAGTGACATGCTCCCACGGTGCGCTCAAGTAGGCTGACCGTCCAGATTCTGCAATCTGTCGCGAATGCCACTGCCGTCGTGTCCCTCATCATCCTCGTATTCCTGGAGGACGATCTTCCTCATGAGGCGACGTGGGGCGCGGCGGCCTGTGAAGAGCTCGAACTGAGCAAATCCTTGCTCGGGTAGAACGTCCAGGCCGTCGAGAGCGACCCAGCCCCGGTGGGATAGGGCACGAATTTGTTTCATGAGGGGTGTGTTGAGAGGTTTGTATTCAAGCTGCAAGGTATGTTAGCTAAAGAAGCTGACTTGAATCGACTGCCAAGATAGGACTTACATCGACAACTACGCCTCCAGTCGGGCTTTCCAGCCACTGTGTAGGCATGTGGAAATTGGGCGCTGGGGCACCGCCAATACCGTGAGCTGGAATACCCGATACTATGATGGTCGGTTGCTTGTACTCCGCCGGCCATGGCTCGTCAAGTGAGCTCAGTGTGCTGACTTTCGGGCGCCCATCGGCGCCTATTCGTTCGCTGGCGAAGAAGTCTTGCCGGTTGTAATGGTGGGCCAGCTTTTCGGCATTTGCCAGAGTTCGATTGTAGACGAAGACGTTTTGCACGCCCAGGTGAATCATCGAGTAGACGGCGGCACGAGCCATACCACCAGACCCGATGACGAGGCCGGTGGTTGAAGGGCGGACTGCATTTGCGGGCGACAGACCCCGGCGAATACAATTGCAGATTCCAATCCAATCAGTGTTGTCGCCGTGGATGCCCTTGATCGGCCCGGCCCGGCTCTTCTGGAGGAAGACAGATGATTGTTGGGAGAGACGGGGATCATCGGAGTCCTCGTTGTTCCGGATGGGAATTAGAGTGTTGACAGCGCCAATCGCCCGGGCGTGAGGAGACATGGAGTGGAGGAGAGGGATGACTTCGGTCTTGTAGGGAAGACTGACACTGGACCCGCCGAAGAACTGGTTTTCGACGAGGTCATTAAGGCCACGGAGAGTAGGTGATTCGTAGATGGAGTAATGGTGGGGCATTCCGCATAGCTTGAAAGCAGTGTTGTGCATGGCAGGAGACATGCTGTGCGTGACATTGGCACCGAATACAAAGAACTGCATCGGGTCCAAAGCAAAAGTGCTGTAAAGGGCTTGTTGGGCATCGCGGGCGGTGATGGATGGGACTAATTGAGTTGAGCTTTCGGTGATGAGGGAAGGATGTGTGACAGGAGTCAAGATAGGGTTGAGGCAGCGCGACATACGTCCGAGAGGCCCGGTGTTGTAAGCGATCAGAGGCAATTGAGGAGCTGGAAGACTTTCGATGCGGTGTCGGAACCGTTGCACCGCCATATTATCCTCCAATGTCTCTGCAGGCTGGCAGAATCGCACCACATTACATCCGAGCCTCTTTGCACGCTCGTATAGCTTCATGTACTCGTCTCCGTCCCAGCCGCCAGGGAGGGGATGGAATGCTTCAAAGTGGCCAATAATCTTGGTTGTACCTCTGGCACTGACAACTTGAGATAATACACTATCATCACGGGACAGGTCCACGGTGAGGAAACTGGGGGCAAATCGCAATCCGTGTCGGACCAGGTTCAAGTAGGATTCGTCAGGAGTCCGCGAGGCCGGAACGGGCGAGCGAGACCCTCGAGGTATGATGTAACTTTCGACATGGTACATCAAAGGCACAATGATGTTGCGCCGAAGAATGGACACGACCTCGCTGATGCGATCGACCAGGTTGGAGTCAGCCTCCATATCTGGAGGGCTGGCCACATCAATCCTCAATTCGAATGCATCGACAGTAAACTCTAGCTCCTCGATATCAAGTTCTCTTTCGCAAAGCACAGAGAATGGGACCGATACCGCCGACGTATACCGTCTAGTTTCCACCGGCAGGAACGATAATGGAAATGAAGCATGTTGACGGCTCAGTTCGATACTATCGCCGATCACAAAAGCAATGAACTTCAGGAAATCCCGCTGGACTCGCTTCAGTGTCAGGAAAGGTGTGGGGGTTTGAGCTCTCTGGTCCTTGGGCCCGGGCGACGGCTCATGGCTATCCTTGTGAATGGATTCGCGGTTGGCGGCCTCGGAGAGGTTAAAGAATTCCAGGTTCGAACAACTTCGATAGATGGGTCCGGATAGCTCTAGAAAGTGGCGCACTTTTTGCGTATCCCAAGCTTTGAGGTATGATTGAATGCTCTCGGGATCTCGGGTGATGTGGATAACAGGATGTGTCTGCGCGAATTCCCGGAGTAGTTGCTGGCCACTGCGCTCCATGGACCCAGCGCCGCACGCAATCACACATTCTTCCTGGTGGTCAGAAAGCATGGACTCGAAGATTCGCGCCTCCTGTTGTCGGTACACCGCATGGTCATTGTCCTTCTTGAAAGCGGCACGCGAACAGCCGGTCATTTGATGGAAGTGCCGATCAGCATCGATGAGACGCCGGCCCGATGTCGCGGCCAGAATCACTGCCAAACTAGATTTTCCAGTCCCTCGAATTCCGATGAGGACAACGGAGGCCTTGGGACTGAACTTGCGTGAAGTGTGTAAAGGTCCGTTGTCGTAAAGGACCGGTGATGCGCGGTTGGAGTGCAGATCGCGCAATGACGCTGACGAGATATGTGAATCTCCTGCTTCCCTCTGCTCACTGGATCGGCGCGAAACAGGGAGTGAACGAAGCCCCGGGGGACCACGACGCACCGGAGCTATGCTTCCGAGACCCCTCGTCGGCTTCGGCGTCCAATTTGCGCTTGGGCGGCCGCACCAGGATGGACATGGTGTCGCAAAGGCTAGAAGGACGTGGACTGAAATCCCATAGCCACAAGAGCAGGCTGAAATTGGGGCGTGGGATTTGGGATCTCGAAACAAGGTTCGACTCAAAAGAAGCTAACGAAGGCGGAGGGATCTCGGATTTGCGGGGAGACGGCAAAAGTTTCTGTCAGACGGGTCACCGTAAAGTTACAAGGGCGGGCAAGCGCTCAGCCGGCAATGCGGTTTTCCCCGCGGGGTACCAATGCGTCTATGCACCAATTCGCAGGTGTGAGCAAGACGTAAGAGTAAATTATACTCGAGAGCTCGGAGATCATCTCACGCGATAGTTCCTTTGAATCTAACTGTCCATCAATTGGGCCGTAGTGGTGTGTTCGTTGTCGACCCCATATTACCTTTTGCCTTACGACGAGCGGCTCACCGCTGGCGGGTATCCGTTATCCTTTCCCCGGAACGTGAATCCTGTTCGCTTAACGACCTAGCAACCTGGCGATCTCGTTTGCGCAGCCTTCGCATTTCTTTGTTCACCCGACACCCTATTCATCTCATCTATCGCCCGCACGGTCCTTCTCTGCTGTGGGGGTGGACATTCATGGCGTAGAACGCCGTTTGTATCTGCGCTGCCGCTGTCGGCAAAAGGTTCAACTCCCGTCATACAACCGCGTTGCAGGAACATGCGCGTCGAACCGCCAAGTGGATCATCGATTGAAGTAACATGAGCTCCGAGTCTCGCCAAGGCCCCCGGGCAGGCGGAAAATCGAAGCGTCGATGGACCGATCCGGACGACGATGGCAGATCCAATCCGCAGGACGATCTGGCGGCCCAGCCCAAGCGACAGCGCGTTTCCCGAGCCTGCGACAGCTGTCGCTCCAAGAAAGACAAGTGCGACGGGGTCCAACCAGTGTGTTCGACATGTGCATCACTGAGCCGGCCCTGTACGTACAAGGCTAACCCCAAGAAGCGTGGCCTCCCGACCGGCTACATTCGATCGCTCGAATTGCTGTGGGGGCTAGTCTTCCAGAAGATTCAAGGTAGCGAAGATGTGATGCGTGCCTTGATCAGATCTATCAATCTTCCGAGTCACTTGGCCACGATGGGGAAGGAAGCCGAAGTATCGGATACACTGATGTCTTCCTTCAAAAACAGCACGGTCTTGAGAGATATCGAGCGGATCTTGGCAGTGCTGGAGCAGCCCGAGGAGGAGAGGGAGCGCCTTTTCCAAGCATATAGTGACAGTGATACACCACTTGATATTGATGGCATTCTTGCTTCCTCCGAAGCCCGGCAATGGCAGATCCCGGAAGGATTGGAGCAGCGTGAAACGCCCCTAACGGCGGGCTTATCACCATCCCACGCATCGATGATCGGCTTTGATTCAAAGCCTTCTGGGTACCGCACCAAAGAATGCGGTGTTCAGACATCAACCTCGGATGAATTTGAATCCTCCTCCCTCGCCATTGCCTTCAACGACCCCGGAATGATCTCAACCAGCTCTCCCCTTCAACTCCCCTATAATGCATGGCCCCTTCTCGACATCTATTTCTCATATACGCAATGCTGGTTTCCCATCATCGAGAAACATGATATACTCCGAACAGCATTTCAATACACCGAGGGCGATGTGTATATGTCTCGCAGCGCACACGGTTCTGGGGACCACGCCGCCTTGTGGGCTGTATTGACTCTCGCCTCTCTTCAAGACGCTTCCATCGCCTCCTCTGGGAGCATGGACAGCCAATCCAACCAGGTGAACCCGTTACAACTATACAATACCGCCCGAAATTTAATTCCCTCTGAGATTGGCCCGTATGAAGTCGGACATGTCCAAGCTTTGTTGATCCTGTCTCTGATTAAATTTGGCCAGCAAGAATGGACTGCAGCTTGGATGCTTGTCGGCCATGCTGTGCGGGTTGCTTTAACCTTGGGCCTTGACCAACCGTCTTTCTCGACAACGTCATCGAGGTTTCCCGAGCAAGACAAACAGCTGGGACGAGCCAAGCATGTCTTCTTGGGATGCTTTGTCCTAGAAACTCTCATCGCTGAGCAGTCCTCACAATGTCCATCGCTTCGAAAGGATGATTTGTCCAGGGTAGGGTCCATCAATGAAGATGGGCTAGAGGAGTGGCATCCGTGGGAAGACCGGACTGGGCTACGGCCAACGCAGTCCTCCCGCGCTTCCATGCAACGTGGGCCGCTTCACGCGCTTAGCACCTTCAACCGTCTTGTGTCCCTGGTTTCAATTTTGAACGATCTTTGCATCCTCAAGCAAAATCCAACCGTTTCTCAGTCACAGCTGGAGTCATTGGAGCTACAGTTACAACACTGGGCTTCCTCCCTTCCAAGGAGCTATCGAGTCGACTTTCAAAGCCGTCCCGTCAAGCTTGGCTCGCCCCATATTTTCGGACTTGAGATGACGTATCAAGGCATTGCCTCTACGTTAAGTCTGCAGATTGCAGCCCGTGAAACCGACCGGATTCCCCCCGAAATGCTACACAAAACACGCGCTATTGAAAGCTCAAAACGCCTTTTGCAGCTTGTTCAGACGTACATGGAGACTTATAGCTTCGCTGCGACTGTTCCGATATTTGGAATGATGCTGAAATATTGCCTACCGCGGTTAACATCGCGAGATTCGATATCAGACATGGAGCTGGGCATCCTGAACAAGATCCAGTCGTTCTCATCCCATCTTGGGCAGCTTTGGTTGATGCCGGATCGGCCAAATACATTACAAGATACGTTCCAAAGTAACGTCGGGACGACCGCACCTGCGGTATCATTACACCCGCCGAATATGACTGCAGCTGAAGACCCGGCAATGCACCATTTGCTACCAGAAAGAGCCGATTCTCGACCTCCGCCAGAAGGCCATGCTTCGAATGCTTCGCATCCATCAACATCCGACCCTTTCCTTTCCACACCTTGGCTCAGAGCCGCTCCCAACGTCGACGATGGTTCTTCCTTATTGCAAACACCCACACCATCCCTGACCACCGTAGGCGGTGCCTCCGAAGTGTCAGCACAGCCAGGACAAGTAGATAGCGGTTTCCCAAGCGGTCTCCATCAATCACTATCCGCCCCCTCCAAATCCCACAACGCGCCTGGCATGCTTCCCGATCTTCACCCCTCCTTTCCTGGTGGGCCATATCACGCGACATATCACGACCCTTCTCTTAGCCTCCGTACCTTCGTCGACATGGACGGTTATGGGCCATCGCGGCGGCACCAGCGGATTGCCCCGGACCTGGATGCCTTGTTCGACGAGCTGGCGTCGTTGGACGGTGGTGAAAAGTGAGTACATCTTCCTCCTTTGTCGAATCCATCATCTAACCCAAACTTCTAGGGCCGACAATTCATCCGAGTTTATGCAGAACCTCGGCTTTGTCTCCGACTCGGGTGTTCCGGAAGTCTTCTCCTTCTCGAGTCAAATCGAACCCTTCCTTCTCGCACAATCTCAGCAAATGCCTGAAGACCCTTCTGCCGTGCGGAGAGAGTCGCAGCCGCATGTTTGATCAGGGGCACCGAAAAGATGAGGCCAGCAGTTGGATATTGCTGTAAAATCAGTTGAGCTTCTGTTTCGTGAGGTTGCTAGCCGCGGGTCGGTTCCTCTCCCTGAACGGTTTTGTCTGGAGGTTTGAGTCTTATACGCCTACATGCATATGCTCGAATGGGTGGTGATTGAGATACGCACTGGCACTCATGGATGTCACATCATGTGATACCATAATTAGTTCCTAAAAAAGTATCCCGGATTGATATCATAATGTATTCACTTCACCTACTGTTAACCGCGGCCTTTAAAAAATGGTTCGCATTGGACAAACCGACAGACTTCAAGGTTCATGTTGAGGAATTCATCATATCGTACTTTAGAGGTGGACTCGACCTTCAAGGCTCGATTTAAAACATCTCAAACCCTGTTGGGTATACTTTAAACATTTGCCTCTGATTTTATGGTTCTGAAATCTTTTTCAAACTCCAATATAATGGATTAATTTACGTTGTCCTAGGTTCCTACGAGAAATTCGACTGCACAAAACTCGACTGGACAGCAATTCATGATCAATAAAGTTCATATATACGATAAAACTGCCGAGGCTGGGTTACAGAGTCGAACTGGAAGCCAGAGACCAAACCCCACGGATTTATCGAACCTATCGCATTCTAATACACCCGGTTCAAAAACGACAATGCTTGTTCAAAGGCCCTCGAGGATCTTAGGAATCAGACCATCGTCAAATTGCCATAGCTGTGTCTGAAAGTTTGCCGAAAAAGCACCACCTGTCCACCACGTGGAGCGAGCACCCTGCAGCTTGTACAGATCCTGGAAGAAGCCGCATTTAACTTGGTCGACAGATACACGGGCATGCATAGGTCCATGCATAGAGAAGGCGGCCCAGCTAAGCTTCTGGTCTCGGATGGACTTGGACAACCGACCAGACTTTAACAAGGTGTTGAAGCTGTTCTGGGCCAGGACCTTGGCTTCGTCTGCGGTGGAAGTGGTATTACCGATAATCATCACGCGGAACAGGTGCTCGAGGCCGGTGTATTGGAAGCTTGCTACCATTGGCTCGTCTTGGAAGACGAGGTAGTGATTTGGAGCGGCGGTGGAGGGTAGGTTGAAGTAGTAATAGCTAGTGTTAAAGACGGCGTTGTCGACCAGACCGGTGAATTCGTTGGAGTACGTGAACTTGGATAGTGTGTTCCACTCTGAGGGGCTGAGATCCAAGGGCTTCATGTTGACCTCAGTGGGCTCGATAGCAACTAAGAGCCGGCGAGCGATGATACGGGTGACCTTATTGGTTTTATGATTGCGGACGGCGAGGGAGACGCCGAATTCTGTGCGGCGGCTGTCAATGACAGTGCTCGAATACAGCACGTCGTCACCCAGATTCTTAGCAATGGCATTGTAGAGAGCCTGATTGCCACCAGAAGTAGGCGAAAACAAGCCCATTTTGCCTGTCATGCCGCGCGCCATATCCCAGCCGAAGCTCTGGAGTGCAAACATGGTCGCGACTTCACTCATGTTACCCACTCCAAGGCCTGTGGTTGAGTATATAAGAGGCGCACCGTCTTCGAGGCCATACTTGGTCAAGAATTCCCCAAAGGGAATAAGGAAATCCTCGGGGATGTTGTTGGTCTGGGGGAAGTTCCAGTAGCCGGGGCTCAGCATCGACTCCCACGGCTCGATCACTTTGAGGAACTTGGCGATGGCAGCAAGCTGCTTCGAGGATGAAGGGGGCGTAAAATCAACCTTCTTGCCTGTGTTGAAGTCAATGTACTCGGTGATTAAGGAGGGGCTAGTTGAGCCGCTGCCAATTGAGATATTGAACCGAGCAAAGAATTCCGCGGCTTTGCTAACGTTGAGGAAGCTCTGTACACCATAGTCATAGGTGGCGCCAGTCTTCTCATCAACATAGGTGTTGACCATACCACCCTGCATATCGATATTACGTTAGCACCTGCTGCCAGTACCGTTCTAGCCTAAATTTTATAGCCAAAGAGAGAGCCCGTGGGATTAAGTGATTGGGACGTACCAGTCTATCCCGCTTCTCAATTAGGGCGATACTCTTATTAAAGTCATCGCGCAGGCGGACAGCAGCGTAGGCACCAGAAGCACCTCCGCCGATAACCACAACATCTCGGTGAAGTACGTCCGGCAAGCCGGTGGCAGCTGCCAGTGGCAAGGCAGTTCCTAGGCTGAGGACAATGAACGCCAGGGAAAGCATCGTTGATGAATGGGACAGAGAAAAGGAAACGAGCTGATGGGGTGGTCTTCGGGGAGAAAGAGATCTGCTGTTCGGGCTAATTGAGAAGTAAGCAATTTCGAACATATATCCTGGTTAAAGTACTGGACATGTTCCTCTATTATTGGGATAACTTTGATAAATAGCAACGAAATCGAACATACGACAAATTTTCAGGGGTGAAAGCAGCCAAATGGAGGGAGATGTCAGCGGGTACTCCGTAACTCACACACCGATTTTCCGGAGACCGCAGCTTCCCGAAGGGGGGGGGGGGAGGGGACCGAGCAATAATGATCCGGAACTTCTGTTGACAAAGATTGAGAAAGACGGGCTGAAAGGGAAATGAGATGTATACCACGTTTTAGCCGGATTGGTGGACTAGGACAATTTTTTAGTGGCACTAGTAAGTGGCACATTCATCCGACCATATTGCCCGTTGGGTGACGATATATCGATGACCAGTTTCTCATTCCAGCCCATCGGAGAACCCCGTTACGATAGAAAGCCTTAATTCAGGTGCCGTGAATCGCCTAAAAGCTGAATACTGAACATTACCACTAAGGCCTGAGATGAGAAGCGGACCTTTTTTTTCTCGGATGGTTCTAGGCTTTCACCCCCTCTTTTGTACGGGATGATCCAACTAGCGTGGACTTCCTGGAGGGACCCGTCAACCCCGCCAAAGGCATTGTTCATAATTGGGTTGAATCAGGGCCATCAAGGAACATATCTATTTATGCTACCAAGTTGGAAAATCCCGCTACGGCAAAAGCCTAAAAGTATAATATATAGATGCCCAGTTTCCAGATGTCCCATCCCAGCCAAGGGTTAGGATTGGATAAAGTTCACCTCAGTGAATATGATCGGTGAGCATTTGAGGCTTCGCGATCGGGTGTTTTCTCAAGAGGTCAATAGGTGAACTAAGATAGGGCACTCAAGTGCTTGAAGTCAAAAACGCAGTTTGAAAGGCACCCGTAGCAAAGGCATAATTCCCAATTTTGGCGAGCAGCTTAGGTGATAGCGGAAGTGTTTAAGGCCAGGAAAACCAATCTTTGGTCCTGTGTTCTAGTGGTCAGGAAGTCGGATTTTGACATACCTTATCGGGTCACACCTTCCGAAAGCCCCGGTTCGAACCCGGGCAGGACCTCATAGTCCTTTCTTTCTATTTTTGCAATTCTTTTCATTTTTACTAAACCACGAGAAAAATAATCAGAAATAAGTATAAGATCCCTATCTTTTCGCAAAAGAAAGCTTGCGGCATTGGTTTTCGGGTATGATGCAAATCCTAATCAATTTCTTTTCTATGGCGAGTAAGTATGCACGAACTATATACAAGAAACAACTTCATCGTCCATGCCAGCAACCCCCTTCTAAATTAGGAAGGGTTAGGGGGTTTACAAAGCAGCCTTGCTATCCTTCTCCAACTCTTTGAAATTCAAAGCCACATGCTCGATAGCAACCTTATACCCATGCACACCAAGACCAACAATAATACCCGCCGCCTTATCACTGAAATACGAGTGGTGTCTCCAAGGCTCCCGAGCATGAACATTGCTCACATGCAGCTCGATAAATGGAATGCTAACACCAAGCAGCGCATCGCGGATAGCCACAGAGGTGTGCGTGTAGGCGCCGGGGTTGATCACAATGCCGTCGACGCGGCCGCGTGCTGCCTGGATGCGGTCGACGATTGCGCCTTCGTGGTTTGACTGGAAGGCATCGAAGGAGCAGTTGTGGCTTGCGGCCACGGCGCGGCAGTTGGTTTCGACGTCGGAGAGGGTTGTGCTGCCGTAGATGTGGGGTTCACGGGTGCCCAGGAGGTTGAGGTTGGGGCCATTGATGAGGAGGATTGATTTGCCCATTTTGGTTTTTATTTTGGGATTGATTGGGACGAGAATGTTTGTCAGACTTAACGCTTTAAAATGTGGTATGAAATGTATAGTCACGTCGAGGAAATATCGCGTTGTGATGCGCGCGCTCTCATCCCCGCATTTTTGACCCTCGGCGGCTGAGCGCTTTGCCGGGTGGGGGTTGCGGAATATTTCTGGGTATGGCGGATGGTGGGATATTGGATGCGTTTTGCCAGTGCAATTTCCCTTGGTACTCTCGTATTATCTGGATTTTGTTAGTCAGGTATTCCGTTGTATTCCGTTGAATCGAGGGAGTGGTGTGAGGCTTTAGTTACGTCGCAGTGCACAGTCGGTCGTGGTATGGGGTATCGCGCGATTGGTGATATCTGATTTCCAATGCCCAAGGCCATTCTCTCCCAAGGGGCTCCCAATAAAATCTATCCAATACACCTGTATATACACTGCACAAAAACCATGAGTTTCACCGTCAGCGGCTAGCATCATGGAGCGTCTTGCATATCAATGTTCGGTTCCACCGCAAGTGGGGAAACCCGATGAGGCAAATCGGTTAGCGGTGGTTCCCTCGACCTTTTTTTCGCCGGACGAGTGACTCAAACACCCAGTCAACACCCCAGCTTGATCTAAAACCCCTCAAAAATACCCTCGACGAACCTCACATAGTCGTCCCATACCCACACAGCACCTGTATTCCGCCGAAAGCGCCTCCTCTACATCGCTCATCATGGCAGCGGGACATCTCTCGCAAGAAGAGCTCGACGAGATCTACGCCTTCGCCGTAGATCTCGGTCGCAAGGCGGGCAAGATCTTGATGGAGCGTGTGGACCAGCGCATCTCCGGCAGCGAGGGCCACTCACAGAAGTTCGAGGAGAAGGACAACTCAGTGGACATTGTGACCCAGACAGACGAGGGTGAGCAGCGAGGAATAGACCAGACATGATCTATCCAGATGCTGACCAATATCCACCAGATGTTGAACAGTTCATTTCAAATGCCCTTAAAAAGAAATACCCAACCCACAAGTTCGTCCGACCCCTCCCAGCGAAACGACCACCTCGCTGACAACCCCAGATTCCTCGGTGAAGAGACCTACGCAAAGGGTCAATCACGCGACTACCTAATTGACGAGCAACCGACGTGGTGCATCGATCCACTGGACGGTATGTTCACCCCTAGACTCCCGTACACTCTTTTCTAATACCTCCCAGGAACGGTCAACTACACGCATCTCTTCCCAATGTTCTGCGTCTCCATTGGTTTCATCGTGCAGCATCGTCCCGTCATCGGCATCATCTACCAGCCCTTCCAAGACCAACTCTTCTCCGCCTGCAGCGGCCGCGGCGCCTGGCTCAATGAGTCGCGTCGGCTTCCGCTTATCCGCAACCCGTCTATCCCGCCCATGCCGCCTAATGCGCCGGCGCAATGTATCTTTTCTTGTGAGTGGGGAAAGGACCGCAGGGATATTCCTGATGGGAATCTGTCGCGCAAGATTGAGAGTTTCGTGAATCTGGCTTCGGAATTGGGCTCACGTGGTGGGAAGGGTGGTATGGTGCACGGTGTGCGGAGCTTGGGGAGTGCGACGCTGGATCTGGCATATACGGCTATGGGATCATTTGATATTTGGTGGGAGGGTGGTTGCTGGGAGTGGTAAGTGCTTTGTGGACTGTGCGAGTTTGTGTTGCTGACGCTGTTATAGGGATGTTGCTGCTGGTGTCGCTATTCTTCTCGAGGCTGGAGGACTCGTGACGACTGCTAATCCGCCTGAGAACATTGATACAGCTGAAATTGAAGATGTCTGTCTTGGAAGCCGGTTGTATCTGGCTATTAGGTAAGTTTACGTTTGTATACTTGCAGGATTATCCCAACTGACTCGACTACAGACCTGCTGGGCCATCGGCCACCGAGACTGGCCGCCAGTCGCAGGAACGCACTGTCCGTGAGGTCTGGCGGCGGGTCCGTCAGTTGGAATACTCGCGACCCGGCGCGTAAAATGATTATAATCTTACGGAATTTGAGTCTATATGTAAAGAACCTTGGAAAGAAATTTGGAAATATAATCATCATATGCAGTCAGACGTCCCCGTAGATAACATTGTGTATTCCATAATTGACGCCAATCATCTAATGCAAGAATGTAAACCCCTTGTTACAATCTTTAAAATACAACACAGAGAAGAAAAGAAAAAGAAACATCACAGGCTAGACTTGTTAGACGACCGCTCGGCAATCGACTTCGACACAATGTCCTTAACCTGCTGCACAACACCGGGTGTGTTGACAATGTCTCTGCCAGTCCACAAGCGTGCCTGCTCCAGGCCCTGCCAGATCAGCGCCTCCGAACCCAGAATCACCTTCCAGCCGCCGGTCGAGGCCAGTTGAGCGATCTCGGTCCAGGGGACGGGGTGGTAACACATCTCCAGGATGACACCCTGCTGCTTAGACGCATCAGCCGCAGTGCCTAGGAAGGACTGGATGATGGAGCGGGAGTTGAGCTCTTCGGGGGTCCTGGGCGGGTAATTGGGGATGCCGGAGACGATAGCGGCAGGGGCCTCGAGACGGGCAGCCTCCTCGGGGGAGGTGACGTGGATCAGGGGAGCTTGGGCAGTGGGATCCGGGTTACGGCGACGGTCTTCTTCCATGATGGTAGCGACTTCGCTGACGTCACGGTTGACGATGTAGATACGGCTAGAGCCGAGCCAGCGGCGCATCACGTAGATGGCAGTGCGGGCGGTGCCACCGCCGCCGATGATGAGCGCCGGCCGGCCGCGGAAGCGCGAAGGGTCCGGAGCGTTCTGTGTGAGGGCTTCGCGGATACCGTCGCAGTCAGTGTTGGTTCCAACGTACTGGGTTTCGCCGGTAATAGGGTTCTGGCGCCGGAAGATGGTATTGCAGGCGCCTGCTTGCTGGGCGTGCTCGGTCAAATCATCCAGGTGGGGCATGATGGCGACCTTGTGCGGCATTGTCACGGACGAGCCGACGAACTTGGGGTTGGACCTGATTGAGGCCAGGTATTTCTCAATGGGGGGTGACTGTGTGTACGGTGGCGGGTAGGTTGCCGATGTGCCCGTCACGCTGGACAGGGGGATCTGCGTCCAGTTGAGGCCCAATGCATTGAAGACAGTCTGGTGGAGGGGTGGCGAGAGGGAATTCAGTAGCGGGTGGCCGTAGAGGTAGGCCACGCCGTCGAGGTGTTCGGGGATGGTGATGGGCTCCTCGGGCCGGGTGGGCGTGGAGGTTGTGACTTGAGGCGCGGCCATGATTCTATTCTTTATTTGTGTATGAATAATTGGACAAACCGTGCCGGGAAGAGGGGATATAGGAGAAGAAGACCATGGGGACGCACGGGAGCCTATGAAGCTATATTCGGGAATTTTGACGTCGTAAGCATAGAGCCGCCGGGGGCGGAGAAACGCTTTCCTCCCAGTGCTATCCCCTCGCCACGACTGTACTCATGCTCAACGTTATCCTCGGTCAGCCCACCCATTATCATTCGACCTGTTTCTAATCGCATCGTACCAAATGTCTTTTATGAATCAAGCCACCTGAAGCTCTGCTATCACTCACTGCCTGTACACCAGCGGACGCTCGCCATGCATCTACCCGGGGCAGAATGTTTTGCCCGACCCACCCACCCACAACCGCCTTGTCCTCCCCCACGGGGAATCTCCGTTCACTTTGCAGCAGAGTTTGCAATGATCAATAACACACTCGGTGTTACCATGGCCGATGAAGTACAGTACGGCCCAGATGTATTGATATTCCTAGCGAGTGGCCGGAAGACCTGCGCAATTTGGCGACACCAGCCGGGGGATCACTTTTTCCCGCCACCACTCAACATTCACATTGGCTGTTCTCGAGACGGGACTCGCCCAGAATCTACGGAATTAGAAAGAGTGGTTTTGCTATGCTAGACTTCCGCGAACGGGAATATGCGTCCGGTTGGCTTCCGGGGTACACTATATCATCTCTCTCGCACAGCGGCATCGGCATCCCCACAATCCTGAATTGGTCCAACCAGAGCCTTCCAATACCTCTCTTTCAGCATTCGGTCCGGGCACAAGCCTCCCAAGTCCTGGATGAAAAGAAAATAGAGTTCGCCATTCCTTCCTTCTCCTGGGGCCAAGCTCTTATCCTTTGCGCACAGTCCTTGCGACTGACGAGATTTTTCACCGTTTTGCCGGAGCTTGGCTCTTTGCTTCAGCTACTTCTACCCCAAGCCCAACGTACTTGCACCTTCGCCACACCGTGGTGAATATCCCTTCGAGGAAGATCTGACTACCTCTTTCCATTGCTTTGCATTGGAGGTGGCAGGTCGAGTGCGATCACCTAGTTCTCTTCTCGATTTTGTTCTATTCTCTATATCCTCACCACCATGTCTATCCTCAAGCTGGTCGAGGACCGGCCGACGCCCAAGGCCGTCTACAATTGGAGAATATACCTCCTAGCAGCCGTGGCCTCCTGCACCTCCTGCATGATCGGCTATGATAGTGCCTTCATCGGCACGACCCTGGCTCTGGACTCGTTCAAGAGCGAGTTCCAATTCGACACCATGGACACCACTGCTAAGAACCTGGTCAGCGCCAATATCGTTTCCCTCTACCAGGCTGGTGCCTTCTTCGGTGCCTTCTTTGCGTACCCGGTTGGTCACTTCTGGGGCCGGAGGATTGGCTTGATGGTTTCTGCTTTCGTTTTCATCCTCGGCGCAGGCCTCATGCTTGGTGCCAACGGTGAACGAGGTCTGGGTTTGATCTACGGAGGTCGTGTCTTGGCTGGCCTGGGTGTCGGCGCGGGCTCCAATCTGACTCCCATCTACATATCCGAACTAGCACCACCTAGTATCAGAGGCCGCTTGGTCGGTGTATACGAGCTTGGCTGGCAGATTGGTGGCCTCGTGGGCTTCTGGATTAACGTAAGTCACCTACCCTCGCAGTCTATATGACTCATGATGCTAACGCAATAGCTACAGTACGGTGTTGACTCCACTATGGCCCCGAGCCACAAGCAATGGTTGATCCCATTCGCAGTCCAGCTGATCCCAGCTGGCTTGCTTATTTTCGGATGCATCTTCATCAAGGAGTCGCCTCGTTGGTTGTTCGGACGAGGTCGCCGCGAGGAAGCTATCAAGAACCTCTGCTGGATGCGCCAACTGGATCAGACCGACATTTATATGATCGAGGAGATCGGAGCCATTGACCAAGCCTTGGAGGAGCAGCGCGCGACCATCGGTCTCGGATTCTGGAAGCCGTTCAAGGCCGCCGGCACTGACAAGCGTGTCATGTGGCGCCTGTTCCTAGGTAGCGCGATGTTCTTCTGGCAGAACGGCTCTGGAATCAATGCGATCAACTACTATTCCCCGACCGTATTCAAGGTGAGTTATCGGAACAGTCATCTTCTCCGGGGACAAAACGCTAACAACATCGACAGAGCATTGGTATCACTGGCGCCAACACTAGTTTGCTGACAACCGGTATTTTCGGCGTAGTCAAGACCGTCGTCACCTTCGTATGGCTCCTGTGGCTGATCGACCGCGTCGGACGACGAAACTTGCTGCTCATCGGTGCCGCAGGCGGCTCCGTCTGCCTGTGGATTGTCGGAGCATACATCAAGATCGCGAAGCCCGAGGAAAACCCGAAGTCCTCCTTGGAAGGCGGCGGTGTCGCAGCCATTTTCTTCTTCTATCTGTGGACCGTCTTCTATACCCCCCACCTGGAACGGAACCCCTTGGGTCCTCAACTCGGTGAGTATACATCGCTACTTCTTTGGCCTCAGTCCAAGGCAACAATAAGCGAAACGCAAAGCTAACGGACCCCACAGGAAATGTTCGACCCCAACATGCGTTCTCTGGCGCAGGGTTGCGCCGCCGCCTCAAACTGGCTGTGGAACTTCCTCATCTCTAGGTTCACGCCTCAGATGTTCACGACCATGGGATACGGCGTGTATTTCTTCTTCGCGTCGTTGATGATCTGCTCCATTTTCTTCGTCTTCTTCCTCATCCCTGAGACCAAGGGTTTGCCGCTCGAGAGCATGGACCAGCTCTTCGAGATTAAGCCAGTGTGGCGTGCACACCCCGCCATGGTTGCGAAGTTGCGCGAGGAGGAGGAGCGCTTCCGTCATGATATTGAGGAGTCCGGCCTTGCGGCTAGTAAGTTTGATACCGAGCAGGTCGAATATACCGCCAAGTTCGCATGATGTATCGGTTTTGTAAAATTTGTATGCTGTCTTTTGTTTTTCAGTCACGGTACTGTGGAGCCGTGTCCGCTGGTTAAATATAGGCCGGGTGTATCCCGGCAACTGATATAGACTTGAATGTCCACGATTTAAAATTTCTCCAAACAATTCCCCTAGTAAGGTAGCGCGTAGTGCGATTTCGAGCCACGGGGATAAGTGTACAAGGTGTCGTATTCGAAGGTTGACGCAACTGCTAAGGTGAGATATGTACAGCCCCTTTCAACCACTTTGCAGTCGGAAAGATCAAAGAGCTTTAGCTCAAAAAGGCACCTATAGGTTCAACAGATCCACATCAATATCCACAGGCTGACCAGTCTGCATAGCCTTCTGAACAGCCTCACAGACAACAAGGGCACGCAGACCCTCTTCACCAGAGCAGCTGGGCGTCGCGTTTCCACGAATAACATCAACGAAGTGAGCTAGCTGCAGATCAAAAGGAGCAGACTCGTCAGGTAGTTCAACTTTATGCACAGTCAGGGGATGCGACCAGCTCTTCTCCGGGCGTCCATCATAACTCCAGCGAGTCAAATCCGGGACACTGAGCGAAGCTTCGGAGCCGAAAATACGATAAAAGTCCGATCCATCCCCAGTCGGCGAGCGGGGAATTATAGGATTTTCGCCCGTTCCAGCCTCGAAATTATGAGGCGACGGTGTGGCATCGCAGACGAGGAAAGTACCGACGACGCCAGCGGCAAATCTCAGAGTAAGAGCGGCGCCTTCATCGGCATCATGAGGAGGGCTCGGACGTTGGGGGAGTGTGCGCTCGGCCTGCACCCGCACAATCGGGCCGAAGAGATGGTGCATCAGGTCAATATCGTGGACAAGGTTGATCGGTATAACGCCGCCACCGCGGGCCCGAGATGCGCGCCAATCGCCGGGTGGCGCAAAGTATGTATCTGGCTTGCATAGGGTCCAGAGGCCATTGACAGCAATCGGACGGCCCAGGGATCCCGAGTCTAGAACGGACTTGGTCGCCCGGACGTAGGGGTTGAAGCGGCGATGGTGGCCGATTAGTAGCTTGAGGTGGGCTTGTTCTGGGGCTTTGGAGAATTCCAATAGCGAGAGGCCTGTTTCAAGGGTATCGCTAACTGGCTTCTCGAGGAGAACGTGGACTCCTCCAGCTAGGAGCTCCTTGGCGACAGGGACGTGCGTGTGGTTTGGTGTGCACACGATTGCTGCGTCGGGTTTGTTTGACGAGGCTAGTAAAGCTGCCACGGATGGGAAGTAGCTGGTATTGAGCTTGACGGCTGTGGCTTCGCCTGTTGGTACTGGGTCCACGAGTCCTACCAGCTCTGCGGATGGATTGGAGATCACGGACTGGGCATGGCGGGGACCAATGAGCCCTGCGCCGACAATGGCAACTTTGAGAGACATTGCGGTGGTCGTAGAGGTATGTTTGCCAGGTTGCCACAGTTGAAAGTGTTACAAATTTCGCAATGAATATCTAGGGTTTCACGGTGGGCGTGTTTTAGTAGTCGGCCCCGGGGACCCTGAATTGGCAAGACATGGCTGGTTCCTCAGGCTTCAGGGTCTTGGCAGGACCCAATGACATTCAAAATAATTAAGGTTATACCCGAGTCGTCATTGGTATTATGATTATTAAAAGAGCCGGGGAAATGGACTCTTCAGGGCCGCGGGTGAAGCAGATGTATCGAGTGGAGGAAGTGGACCGGGTAAACGAAGAGCAGCCAAACGCTTACCCGATCAGGTGACCATTATCGTCACTGAAGGCGAAGAGCGTGAACATGTTTGGGGTTTCGGGGGATAATGTTTTCTCGCAGCTTATTATCGTTCAAGAAATTAATCCCGGGTTAGCAGGCTTGCCCTTGTCTGTTCAATCTGTATCTTTACCATTTTGCATTTGTTCTACACTTCTCACTCCCACCGCGCCACATCCTCGGGCAAATCCATTATTCAAGGAACATTTTCGGCCCTTTCTACCTCAAAATATACTACATTTTCGATTTAATACATATCCGCAAAAATGGTTATCAACCGCCCTGGCATCGCGTCCATGTCTCTGGGCCGGCCATGGATTCACGACCTGCCTGGCAAACTGATGCAGGCCGCAGCCCATGGGTTCGAGGGCATCGAGCTCTTCTACGATGACCTAGACTGTTATGCTCAGCGCACATTTAACGGCGACCACTTGGAAGCCGCCAGACAAGTGCGACGGCTGTGCGAGCGGCTCGGAATGACCATTATCTGCCTGCAGCCATTCTCCATGTACGAGGGGCTGCTCGACCGGGCCGAATCTGACCGTCTCTTGAATGAGAAACTTCCGGAATGGTTCAAGCTGGCGCGGGCGCTAGCCACAGATCTCATCCAGGTACCATCGAATTTCCTGGGCGCAGACCCCAAGACCGGGGCTCCTTGCACGACGGGCGATCGTACCGTCATCGTGCAGGACCTCCAGCGCCTTGCTGATCTCGGCGCTGGTGCTGGTTTCCGTTTCGTGTATGAGGCTCTCTGCTGGGGTAACCACATTGACACTTGGGAGGCGTCGTGGGAAATTGTCCGGCACGTCGACCGCCCCAACTTTGGTCTCTGCTTGGACTCATTTAACATCGCTGGTCGTGTGTATGCCGACCCCGCCTCGCCTTCTGGTTGTACCCCGAATGCTGCTGCAGACCTCGCGGCCTCGCTGGAGCGCCTGCGGACTGCCAAAATCGATCCCGCCAAGATTTTCTACGTCCAGCTCGTTGACGGCGAGCGTCTTTCTGCCCCCCTTGACGAGAAGCACCCCTTCCACGTCGAGGGCCAGCCTGTCCGTATGAACTGGTCGCGTAATGCCCGTCTCTTCCCTTTCGAGGAGAACCGTGGCGGCTACCTGCCTATTCTGGACATCGCTCGTGTCTTCTTTGATGACCTCGGCTTCCGCGGTTGGGTCTCACTTGAGCTCTTCAGCCGTACCCTGGCGAACCCCGATCCTTTTACTCCCGCCAACCATGCCCGCAGAGGTATTGCGTCCTATCATAAGATGGCCCGTGTATTGCAATGGGATAGCCAAGTCCCGAAGAGCACTGTCTCAATTGCAGAGCCCTCCTCTCCTGTACAGCACCGTCTCTAAAGAGACATGGAAGGAAAGCAAGAAAGCTTTACTATCTATAAACTGTTCTGTATATATCTTATGTCTCACGAATCTTGATGATATAGACAGTATGTTGGAAATTTGCATACATGGCACAGAGCCATGTCATTTGTCGAAAGCACTAAACTGTTCAAATTTACCATATGACTTATATACGAGCTCAGTTACGCAGACCCAAATCCAGAACAGACGGCTGTCATATTGTAGTAGTATCAACGAGAATAGGGACTGCTTCGCCTTCCTGGCATAGATATCCTCGATGGATCTGGTTTATATGACTATAATGGCTCGGTAAATGCCTATTTATCACCTTTATGAGTATGGCCAATAATACTTCTCTTTTTTCGCTTAATTCACTTTCGCATCGGGGACCATGTCCTCTACTATTTTAGAGGTCGTATTTCCTCATTTACGTTCCGATTTCCCTCGTCTTTCACTATCATCGCCCCCCTTCACCACGCGTTCTATAGCAATTTTTTAAAAATAATTATATTCTATCATATCTTATTAATCGAGGGATAACAACATCCTAACTCTTCCCTCCCGCCCTCGCCGGGAAGGAGCGTTTTTAGCCTATGGATTATAGAGATGTTTACCAACTTTGATAGCAATTCTATCTTACTTTCCAGAACCAAGGAACTATACAGTTTATTGCCCATATTTGCTTTAGAACATATGTATAGAGTGTGGTTCATGATCTTGAAGAGATCTAAATTGAAAGACATTCAAATTGATGTCATCCATGAAAGCTTGTGTTTGTTAGCGGGGTATTTGCATTAATTTCGATGTTCGCCACAAGGCTCGCGTAAACGCAAGTCAGTAAACCTGCAGGCTAAATTTCAACCACGTTACTAGCAACCTGTCATATTCAATATGTCCAGTTTGAACTCGGGTGGAGCGAAATGCATGAGCTTTCACCTATTTCGGAACCTACCGACGGAGATCCAAGACCACATATGGGATCTCGCCATTCGCCCCCTTCCAGGCAACCGGCACGTACATGAATTTATTGTTGTCGACCACTATTTCGACAAGCCAAATGGCGCAGACCAAATCCGTGCAGACTTTCTGAGATTCGAACCTGGCGGTTATTTGGGCCAGAATTTTGGGCTAGCAGTACCCCGCAATGATCCAGTCCGAGGCTCAAATATGTCAGCCTACAGTCTGGACAGCGGACTTTGGATGGCTTGTCAGCAGTCACGACGGGCTCTTGAACGGCACTACCGCAAGAATGAATGGTGGTCAGATCTTCCGAATCCAGAGTGCCCTACTCGACTGGCGGCCCGCGGCGACTATACCGGCCAGTCAGGAGTCTCGCATACGGCTTCCTACATTGACGGCGATGGAAAACCTCATCATGTAACGATATCCCCGGACAAAGATCTAGTTCATCTCGTGGGGCTGGACCCAGTATCTGTGGAGTGGTTCTACCATTATGCGGGTGATAGGTTTCTCATTAACTATAGGTGTCGATATGAGCCCTATCCAAGTTTCCTTGGTTTAGATATTGCAATCACATTCGACCACCGATGGATTGGGTTTATCCCGTCAACACTCGTCGATATGATACATGTGCTACATGATGATTCGGGTCGAACATTATGGTTCATAGATCAGCGCCTTCATCGAGTGCATGCCCCTGGATCGGGTGAAATCGGTCTCAGCGGGACTGATGGAGGGAGTGATTCATGCCTCAAAAACAATAACAGGCAAGTGTTTTACTCGTCTGGCTATGTGTTTACGGAAGTTAGAGAGACAGATGAACATTTATGGGAAGTTAAAGACGAGGAAAACAGAACACGATCAGTATTCGAATTCTTCCGCCTCCTGATACCCATGCATAACGGACGTTTGGGAATTGAGGGGTCTGATCGAATGCGAGTGTTGGCATGTGAATTTAGTTCTTGAACACATACTAAACTGTTTAGAGATTTCAACCATCTCAATGAAATAACCTCTGTCCACTTTAAGGGATTCATACTTTCATCGCTTGAGGAAGTTAGCCAATAATCAAACAACGCTTAACACCCGTCGTACAGTTTACCAAACGCAAGTATACTCCACAAACCGTGGTTCCAGGACCCCGAGCCCACAATTACCGAGATCTGTGCCTCCGACGACACGGGCGTAGATCCACGAAATCCAGAAACGATTGGCTTGTTGCCCATACCTATAGCGCTGCTATTTAACCTTACCCTCGCTAAGAAAACCTCTGCCTCAAATGTACAAAACACCCTTTTACCTACGAGCTTCAGTCTTTAGGTAGTCTTCGGTGATGAACTACCCTGAAGATGTATGAATAGAGTGGGGAGCCGCCCACACCCGATCGAGAGACTCCCGACGACCACTACGATACTTTGGCTTTTGTATAGTTTTATATTTCTGTACTTGCGCATTGAAATTAGCTATATCCTGTGACCTGCCAGCTCGGCCCCCTTCACTCAGTCCTTCTTTATCCCATTTGTGGTAGATTCTGAAGGAGTCCCATGACCACTACCCTCTGCGTTTGCCATACTTTGACTTTCGATGATGTGGCCACTCTCCAGCGCGTTAGCATTAAGGCTGAGATGGCTCCTCTCACCCTCGAAGAACAATGCATAGGCCTCTTCACCATGGATTGCATCATCACCAACAAGCAGTTGTTGTTCATTCATACGCAACGGTATGCGTAAGACATATTGAATGAAAACGCAGATCAATGTCGTCATGAACATATTGAGGCCAATGATGAATAAGGCACCCACAATTTGCAGCCATACTTGTTTCCCGTTACCTTCGATCGCGCCACCGGGATTTGTAAGACCAAACGCTGCACATCCATCAATAGTAGCAAAGATACCCGTGAGGAAACCACCCAGGAAGCCGGCGACCATGTGAGTATGAACAACTCCCACTGGAAAGAAAAGCGTCAGTTGGCTCATTCAGGGGCATGTCAGCTTTGGATTACTTACTAACGTCATCGACCTTTTGCATCCATTTCATCCTTCCTAAGACGTTCATCGATATCCAAGGAATCGAACCTGAGCAAATTCCAATGATGATGGCTCCCCAGCCTGCGACGAAGCCAGCAGCGGGAGTGATTGCCACAAGGCCAGTGATCTCGCCCTGAACGGCACCTATGACGGATGGCTTCTTGAGAAAGATGTAGTCCAGCATCATCCAAACGAGCAGACTCATGGCGGTACAAATATTGGTGTTGAGAACGGCAACGCCGGCATCAGGGCTTGCCGCATATGGGTCGCCTCCATTGAAACCATTCCAGCATACCCAGAGGATGCCCGCGCCGACCAGCATGAGAAGAATGTTGTTGGGGTAGAAGGAGTCCTTATCGCGTTGCAAGCGTGGACCTAACCAGAATGCAGCAGTAAACCCTATAAAACACGTTGTGTTGGAAAAGAAAAACATTTTAAAGGTATCGCAGACATTTCCTGACTTACCAGCAGTACCAGAGCTCAAGTGAATGACATATCCGCCTGAATAGTCCAGGACACCCATCTGGCTGAGAAACCCCCCGCCCCAAAGACTGCACGTGTCATCAGTTAACACATTCCATAAGTTGTACCATGTGCTAAACGACAGACCTGAACGCCCCAACAGTATAACTGAATGTGATCCAGAGGGGCACAAACAACATCCATGCCAAAAGATTCATTCGGCCTAACAGAGCTCCTCCCAGGATGATGACTGTGATAGCCGCGAAGACGAACTGGAAGTAGATCATAGTTGACAAGTTGAAATTCGGCGCGACATCTGCGGATGGTAAAGTTGCTTGAGCCAGGTTTTGTTTCATCGTCAGGACGGGACCGGGTGCTCCAAGCAAAGGGAAGTTGCCCCATTGCTCGCCAAAAGCCATTTTGTATGCCCAAATAACCCAGCACACAAGTGTAGCGGAGAAAGCGTAGAATACCTGGGCTTGATTAGAAGGGTATTATCAATTGAAATTTTTTGAATAACGAGTGTACCATGAATGCGGAGTTGATGGCCCATTTCCTATGTAGATTGAATGTTATTAGTTCGTGATAGTGAAGCTTGGCACAAGAACGCCTACTTCTTGACAAACCCTGCATAGAGAATCGCAAGTCCCGGAATCGACTGAAGAGCAACCAGGGTACCAGCCGTTAACTGCCAGGCCTGGTCTCCCTTGTTGAGCCAGCTGTATGATTATCAATAAAGTCACGTATAAGCAGTTAAAGCTTACATAGGTCAGGACTTACTCTGGAGCTGGATTGGTTAACGCCGTGGCAGACATTGTCGAGGACCCGAGAAACAGTAGTCCAGAAGGTGATATATAGAATGACTGTCCTGAAATGATCCACGCGGGTAGAATGTATTGCTCAGTGCAGACAAGTCGGCTGTATGTATAAGTACCAAAAAGGGGGTGTGCTGCGGGAGCTACTGGGAAGTTTGAAAGTCAAGTCTCAGCCCTGCCAACTTTTGACATGGTCTAGATCAGAAGGAGTCGTTTAATCGAAGTTTTGCACCTTCCAAATCACATTGCAAGCCCCTGATTGTAAACCTATATACATCATACCATCACAGAAGGGATTGAGAGATAAGACGAAACTATGTCTTCAAACCAAATAAAAATGGTCACCTGTACGGATCCGATAACAATAATCACACCATGACACACGAAAATTCCGATCAAGAGAATAATGATTCGTCAACGGGTTTGCTATCTTTATCAAAGCAGTGCTTAATTTGGTTCTCGTTTCTTATAACTTGATATTTCGGGCATAGCCGTATCAGTCCTGCCCCAGTTATCCCCCGCCACTTCCCTCGCGAGCTTGTCAGAAAGCTTAACTCCCCAGATGTGGAGACAAGTCTCTCGGATCCTGCGTTAATGGGTCAAATCTGCCGTATAATCTCAAGGGGGCTGAATGATGACGCCGATAATGGCGGATTGCAATCCCGTATCGCTTAGTCCTAATTCGCTGCGATTACGCCACCCACTCCCCGTCCGCAATGGATCAATCAACTTCCATCGTCTTATCTTCCGGATGTTTGTGTTTTGTACGTATGTTTTTTGTTTCCCACATTACCTCAGTTCCAAAATGCAACAAAAATGGATCAGATGATGGTAATTGACTGGTATTGTGGCTGGGCTGCCATCCATCACCTGCTAAATTGAAAGAACGAACCCGCGAAATAAAGTCGCTCATACATACCAACGAGAAATATGATAAGGAAACGAAGGACTGTAGATAAAGTGGTGGGTCAATATTAATCTGGGGTAATGCCAAGCGACTCTGGGCTTCGTTTTCTGTCTAAATTGTGTGCACCAGATCCCCACCTGCCAAGAAAGGCTCATGATCCAGGTGATTCAACACGAGGTAAGTACAGGACCCATTGGCTTGGCAGGACTAAGGAAAAATAGGCTCGCTAGATCACATGAGAGATTTGTTTGAGACTAGCATGGTGTCAGAATGTTTAGATTCTGGAAACGTCCCCGCTGGTTCAGGCTCCGAGGTACCGACCTTGATGGAGAAATTGGCAGGGAAGACAGAAGAAGACTACTTCCTGATGCTGTTTTCAGTGGGAAATATTTGTCATTGCCTCAAGCCAACATGAGATCGCGATCACAAGGATGTGGTCCGACGGAGGACCAAGGGCGATATATGAGCTTTGGTATTGGCGGTGCGGGCAACATTCGGAGGTAACTGAAATTACTACTTTTCTTCAAGCACCCCCACTCAATATAGAGTGTCTTTTATGTTCAATAGGCTGACTTTTGGCTTCAACTTTCTAGGGTTTCACATCGAAATGGACAATACGTGGAAGAGCCGGCACCATTGACGTGAGGTTGCGAAGTATAGCCAGCTGTTTCGGCTATCCGAGCACGAATAATTGATGATACCATCTTATACGCAACATTTGGATGTACCCTTGGAAGAGAGAATCAAAGAAACATCCAAATACATCATTTTCACAAACAACCTCTGATCCCCTTGGGCAATCATTATGGCAACTCCGTTTTAGTAGTCTGAACTCTTTCCTTTCTACACCACGTCCTTACTTTTTTTACCTCGCGCAAAATGACTATACCAGCGAAGGAACTTTTTAATAAGTGTATAATCTGGAGTTGAATAGCCTAGCTCTATTTTGCTGCCCTCGATCCTTTCTAATAGCTTTTAGTGCGTCTCTTTAGCGAGCCTATCTTATTGAGCAAATCAGAGCTTTCGACCTATGACTAAGATGAGAAAATACCTAGAGCAGCCCTAAGATGGAAATAAAACACGAAGGAAAACCTACGGGTCTACGTAAAGGCAGGCGTAGATAAAACGAGAAAAGGAATATTCCTCTTGCGTCACTGCATGATAGATAAAAACCGTGCCTTCTATTTTGGCGTTATCCCGCTCTATCGCGTGTTTTGGGAGGGCCACGGTTAGCAGTGTGAAGGTGTATAAACCACCTCACGAAATTGAAGCTGATTAGGCCGTCAGAAAGTAATTCACAAATAAACACTATTATAGGACCGAGTCCCCTTTTGGGTATAGACTAAGCGTGGACCGAGTGCTCGATTGATGCCTCTAATCAATCTCTGTGTAATCAGTGAGCAATCAGTGAGCAGCCAATCACTAGTTAACTAGCACTGACCACTCACTGAGCACTTCACTGAGCGCTCAATGGATCCTACCAATATATCACGTGATGACGATGAGCAGCTCACTGAGCCCGAGCCTGACTCTGAGTGCCTTCATAAAGGTGGCGGCAGCTAAAATAGGAAAGCCCCGCCTGGCAGAGGAAATAACCTAGGTGTCCGAGGGGAATCGCCTTATGATATCGATTGCCGTAATGATCGGCGGTTTGATTATCGTGTTCGGATCATCGTGCATACGGAGTGGGGGCTGCAGGGGTGTAAGCCAAGAAGTACAAGTCGTGGCGGGAAGCGACCCAAGAGCAGCCTTGTTCCTGGGCACAGACACTAGACACTAGACACTACACATACAAACCCTACACGGTATGCAAAACACATTATGAATTAAATAGCTAGCCAGTGGCCGATGGAATTGCTGAATAAATATCGGAGAAAACATTGCATCCTCCAAAAAGCTATGTGCATGCCAGAAGCGAGAGAATTAAAGCCACATTTTGATCCAAACACCTGTTGAAGATTCCCAATGAAAAGATGACGTCGACTATGCACGAGATGCCTATAAAGTTTACCAGCTCCACTCCACGCACGTGTTTCCCCTTTCAATTTCAACTTGATCCGAGACTGTTGAATTGCCCGGGATGGCCCAACTGCAAATGTCTGGGGTGGCCCAGCTGCAAATACCCGTGCGCGTCAGACCCGCGCCAACGCAGACGTTGGGAAGAGACGATGTGGGCCTTGTGACGTTATTCCAGGAGGAGAAGAGCGAAAAAAAGCGCGAAAAAGCGTCAAGATGTGAATTCGAATGCTGCGTGGAGTGGAGCTCCTTTAGGGGCATTTTCATGCCTCTTGAGACCAGCGCTGCTCGCGAAGAGGCTTCTCCTCGCCGGACTTTTCCCGGCTGCCGTCGACTTCGCGCTTCCAGGCCCAGTACTCGCCCAAGCGCAGCTCGGCGTAGCTGGCGTAGTCAAAGTCAATTCGGGAAATCTGGGCTTGAATGAGTGCCCACACACCCCTGCAATTGTATCACGTTAGTCATTCTGTGTTTGGTAGGGGGTAATTGCAAATAACGGCACAACTTACCAGTACAGACCGGGGATACCGCGGAAACGATCGACATCGTGATATAATCGGTCGACGATCTCGGACTCTGAAGACGGATCCAACCCACGTTGCTGGACGTAGCTCTTGGTATACTCGGTCAAGAACTGGCGACGCACCGATTGCGTGGGTGTCATGTTGTAGTCGCATTCGTAGCCGATCCACTCAGCCAAGTGATTGGCGATATCGAACGCCGCCGGAGCGGGGACTGCATACTCGTAGTCGATGAAGTTGACGGGCGCAATCTCGTCCGACGGCTTGCCGTCATCAGGAAGGATGATCACATTGGCACACAGGAGATCGCAGTGCGAGAAAACAAGCTGCCGGCAAAACGTTAATCAAGTTATCCAGTGGGTATGGGATTGGTGGCGTACCCCGTCTTCACCGATGCCTGTCCCATCGTCGAGCTGGCCCACGACCCACTGCAGTTCCTGCTGCAGGCTTAGTCGCCGAGATCGCTGCTCCGGTGTGGCCACTGGCAAGGCCAGAATCCATTTCTGAAGCACTGCCCACATGGAGGGGCCTCCGCGCCGCGGTTGGATGACGTCGAGATCGTACTTCTCCGAGTCTGTCCCGTTGGCTACAATCGAGGCCTCCTCAGAGGGTGTAGAGCTGCTGGCGTTGCTGGGAAGGACAGCGTGCCACTGAGCCAACTTGCGGGCAACCCCGCGGAAAATAGGTGGTCTAACCAGATCCTGGTGCCCACAGGGCTTACCACGGATAAACCGGTAGAGAAGGCCGTTGTTGAAACGAGCGAGGAGAGGAGGAGCGAGGCCGCGGGCGGCGAGGAGGGCGTGGGACGTAGTTTCTCCTGTAATGGCGCAGGTCTACTTTAGCAAACGTCGTAATCGACAGCAAAGGCAAGAGGGAACCCAGATGAATATGGGGTGGTGGGAGGGGGTTTAAGGGCCAGGAAAAGGCCCAGGGGCTCCGTACTTTCACGGTCTATGAGGATCTCAGTGCCGTTCCCGTACGCGCGCATGAGTACGGCCTCATTGTCTATTTGTTCCTCCGTCAAGCCGGCCTTGCGGTTGATAATCTTCAGGAGCTGTACAGGCACGTTAGTCAACAGGTCCGAAGAGGGGCTCGCAGTTCAGTGGGAGTGACCGCGCAAGTGGGCGGACGAACCGTGTTGGTGATGCCGTCGGTGAAGCGGACGAACTCGATCTTGTTGCCAGCGCCCTCCCAGTCCGGGAAAAGGCTCAGAATGAGGCGGAGAGCAGTCGACTGGGAGTCGGCCGGGCTGTAGGAGAGCGGGATGTATCGCAGGGCGCTGGCGCCGTTCGCGGTCTCGTAGGAACCCATGATGGGAAGAATAGGAGAAGAAAAGGGATGCGACAATGCGAAAATGGCAGATTTGAAGAGTTTTTAATTTGAGGGAGCGTTGGGGACTAAGCAATGCTAGTCTGGCATTCAAGACAGTTAATTCGAGCCTCAACAAAAATTCTTGGAGCCTGGAGATTTCGGGAGATCTGCAGGGTAACAGGAGGAGGGGGGGGACAGGGGGAAGAAATAGGACAGAACGGACCAGGGACGAGGCACCTATGGGGCAAGTGGTCGCATGGGGCAAAAGCTATAAATTGCGGGCTCGAGAGGGCAAAGGCTAAAGGAAGAATGAGACAAAGAGGGGTGGAAGCCAAATGGTCTCGTGCTCCCGCTCCCCGATTGGAAGACGCCACCCAGGGGAACCTTCGCGAGCGTTGTTGCCACGGGTACTACTACGGACAATGAAAAGTTGGGAAACAATAGATATAGTATGTAGAGTCCGTTCTTCGGTCTATATAGTACCGGTATACTGTAGGTCAATTGAGTGCTACGTCGGTAGTCTAAGTAGTACAGTACTGATGTACAGCTAAACGTTCACCGCTGCGACTTTCGACTTTCTTTCAATCCCGTCTCCACACGCGGGGCCTTCACATGTGAGACAATGTATCACATGGTTCCACTTGCCCTGCCGCTTGCCCTATGTCCGTTTTCGGATTTCCGTTAGTCATGACAAGTCACGTGCTGTCGCGTGTCGGCCAAATGGTTCTTCCGCACCCAATCAGACCTAGCGCTGGTCGATTTTTTTTGGCATAAATACCGGCCGCGAAATCCCAATCTTTCTTTTTCTTTTCTTCATCATCAGTAGAGGTTTACATACCATATGTAAATTTTTATCACGGGGCTCCATATTTATGGCTTGCTGAGGGTTATCCAGGGTTATTCCTCTATGGGTTTTCTTCCGTTCCCGGCTCCGGAGAAAAAAACGTCTCTCTTTTTCCCTTCCAAATATGGCTGTGCTAGGGTTCCCTCACGGGAGCTCCATGCGCTCTAGCTGTGGAGGGGGCGGTATATTCCTTTTCCAAACCTCAATTGGTGTGGATTGGGCTTTCTATGGCTTGGTCTGCGTAAGCGATTCGAGTATTCGTAATTGGCTTCAATGTCTGTCGACTTGCCAGGGAAGCAAGTATACTGTACGGCTAATTCACGGCCTACGAGTAAATAAGCTTCGCGGATCCTATACTTGAGTGTACTGGAGTCCAACCTAACTCGCTCTCGGACTCGAATCGTCGATTCATTTTCTGCATTGCAAAACATCTGTCTCGTTGCAGGTAGCGCTGGCTACCTCTTCGTGGTACTCATAGCGGCGATCAAAAATCAAATCACGCAACCTGTTTTTTATGCTCTCCTCTCATCTATATGCCCAATCATGCCCGTCCAGCATTTCCAATCTGGATGCGCTCGCCAGACCACTTGTCATCGCTGCGCAAAACCGGCCAGCTGGTGCCGTCCGCCTTGACCAGGGTCAGCTCCAGCTTAGTGCCCAGCACGCGGAACGATGACTTATCCGCGTCGATCGGGGCGAAGAGCTTGTATGTATCCTGGAAGCGCTTGTTGTCGGAGGTGGGAAGGTCAAAGGTGATCGAATTGGTGGAAAGATCCACGCGAGCGCGCTCCTTGTCGATCTTCTTCAGGTAGAGAGAAACGTTCACGGAGGATGTAGTCTGGTAGAAATCATTCCTGGAGAGGACATCCATGTCAGTCTTTAATGTCTAGTGGGCAGGGTCCTGTTTGTCAACCTACCTGACCGAGTCAACCTTCTCCTCGCCCGGTGCCTTGGCCTTGTCAACGAACATGTGCCTGGTCTTCTCTGTGCAGCCAGGAATCTTCAAGAACTGGTCAAACTCGAGCACTCGTCGCTTGCAGCAAGACCATCCTTTGCTCCCCTCGTGGAACACTGGGTGGCCTGGATGGTGCGTGCACTTCTCCTCATCCCGCGCGGTCGATCCGGTATACGTAGCACCGCATCCCTTTCGACGGCATGTGGCATTGGCGGGGATCTCCAGATCAGGATCATCCGAGTCGGGCTCCGGTGTCGGGGCCGCGGGGGGTGTAGGAGGCGGGATGGCGGGGGAGATGGCGGAGCGCTCGGGCAGCTTGGTCTGAACGGGGGAAGGCTCAGGAGGAGGCTCTGCGACCTTGGGCGGCTCGGGAGCAGGCGTGTCGTCGACGGTCGAGTGCTTGCCGGTGGTGCATGGTGGGATGGCGAGGAATTCCTCAAAGGTCAAGACGCGGGGCTTGCAGCATTTCCAGCCTGCGGCAGTTAGCCTCGGGTCAAATGTAGCGATTACTGCAGCTATCGCAGCGATGCACGGTAGAATGCAGACATGGAGAAAGAAACGGATAGGGAATAGCTCCAGCAACCAAGGTACTTACCTTTCTGGCCTTCGTGGAACACTGGGGGGCCCGGATGATACACGCACTCTTCCTCCGGGTCGGAAAAGGTCTTCCCACATCCCTTGTGAACACATTTGTCGGCCATGGTGTGTAACGAGCAAAGTATAACTGAAAATCGCGGGGAGAAGAGAGTCTCAATTGACCTGGCCCAGGTTACCTAACGCGGTTTAGCCGATGGGAAGCTCGAAGGTTCCATCGCGGAGAACTCGGTCTGACCGCTGTATTGATCCCGAGCTTCTTCCGTCAACCGTCAACCGCAAACGTTCAACATCCAACTTTCAACGGTCAATTGCCATGTTTCCTACGCGCGCCCTGTTCGGTCAAGCTCGCGTGACTCTTTTTACTCGCGCTGGCTGCGGCCTGTGCGATACCGCCAAGCACACCGTCGTCCAATTAAACAAACGCCGACCCTTTGAATACGTCGAGAAGAACATTGATGATGCCGGGAACAAGCAATGGAAGGACGTCTACGATTTTGATGTGCCTGTGGTTCATGTTCAGTCTGTGAACGGTGGTCTTCCCAAGGAGGCCACCCTCTCCGATGCGAGGAAGCTCTTCCACCGAATGACCGAGCAGGAGGTCGAGCAATTGGTGGACGAGGCAGAGAAATAAGCCGTATGTGACCGTATCAGCCATTTTCACGGGATTACGGATCGACTATGGACAACGGACTGCGAACCTATCATCCTACATTGGACACTTGGGTCTACAACAGACTTCGGGTGCCAGTTGGAAGTCTTGGCTAGCATGTTCCCAGCAAGGCATGGACATCGCGTGTGCTCCATGTCATGAGATACGCCGCGCCTATGCGATGAAAGGCTCTACGCTGGTCACCTTGAAAGACGAATGTTCAATTTCTTGAGGAATCGCGGAGGAAGTTGCAGCTGGAAAGAAAAGGAGAGCGGCCAATCCCGATACATGATCACTCCCGCGTTATTCGGAACTCTTTTCTCCATTTCTCTCCTCATATTGCTCGCGAATGAAATCAATCTCTGCAGCGACCCGATAATCGAGTCCTTCAGAATCGGGAAGATTATGAATGAAGCATTGGCAAGACGGATAATCGCCCCGGAATTTCAATCGACTGTTAAGTTTGGGAAACATTCCATCCGTCAGGTGTTCATTCGAAATTACGCGGCGAAACCCTGGAACCAAGGATTCGATGTACGTTTCGAGTGTCTGTACATCTGGATGTCGCCTTGCTTCCTGCATCTTCTGTGGGTTAAACTTCGGATTTGCGAAGAGATCGGAATAGAAGTTCAACAGTCGCCAGCGCTCCCATGTATTGGTTGAATGGAACCCGTACTCAACCTCAGATTCGTTGCAGAGTAAAGGCTCGTCTTTTGAATGGAACCCGCATGCAGCGTTCCTGCATGAGCAATTTGGACAGCCGCTGAGACCGTGCGAGACTTCTGACATGAGGCGGTAGATTCCGATTGTTTCTGGCGAAGGTTGACGGGGGTAGATTCCGTCGACGCGGAGAGATAATGTTGCAATTCCTTTAGTCGCCATGAGATCAAGTAATTTATTTGACTCCCATGCTGTTGCTATTTGGTTGAGCGATGCATGGGTGGCAAGCTGGGTGTAAGCATTTGCAAGGAGTTTCTTCTGGGTCCTGCTTGTGCAATAACAGAAGCCGAATCTGATCCACTCTGGGTCACCTGTATTGGGAACATTGTTGAAGTCTCGGAGAAGAATCTTATATAAAGACCCAACAATAAGTTCTGATCTAGACAGAACACTGTTATCATCAATGGAAAACTTTCTCTCCAGCTCGTGTATGGCCCAATGCTGGTAAAGGTACTGTCCATCATGATTGGGGATGTTGAAGAAGCGTGATTGACACCGACTGAGAAACCACGGAAAGCAGCCGCATTCTTCGGCGTTAGTCTGAGCCATTTGAGACTGGATCCAATGCTCAGTAAATATGCCTAGGGTATGGTGCTCGAGAAGACTTTGAAGCATCTTTGGCGAAAATCCGCGCGTCAAACTGTTATAGATGCAGAAAAGATTGGCGACTTCTATTTCTTGCAAGCAATTGTTAAATCCAAAACTCTTGCAGAGATGATCGTCTCGAAAGAGAGCTGTTAAGAAATGAGCTCGGGAGATCAAGTCCTGCTGCACGACAAGCCATTGCCTGGTCAGAATTGTGAGATAGTCCACGTCATTGGGTCGATTCTTGATACAGCAGACGAAGACATGTACAAACCAGTCTTTTGATTGACATCTTCTCGAGCAATAATTCATACGACAGGCCGAGCAACGAAATCCACATGATTGGCCACACAACTTGCATTTGTGTGAATGGGAGAAGCGTCGGAGAGGCATTTTGCTCGGGGATTCAAGCTTGAACATGGAACGGATATCCTTATCTTTAAGGCGTTCGGCTTCTGCCAAGGTCACCTCCATCGATCGAAGACCAAAGTGGGCCCCCGAGATACATACGTACCCCGGCTTATTATGAATTGGTACAATAAGCAAGCCGTTGTTGAAGACCGTCGGCATCATCATTAAATGCCTGTAAGAGGATTAGCAAACCATTTTGTATATACATAAATCCTGGCCGATCAACATACTGGAAGCCTCGATAAGACGTATCACGGTATTCGGGGTTTCGCTGCCATATGGCCCCCGTCGAAGACAGTGCATGGGAGGACTGTGCCCTTAAGTCATTTTGCTTCATCGGTGGACTATTGAACAAAGTCTGGAGAGATTCTTTCAATTCCAGGAGTAAACGGTCCATGGCCAAATGGAGTTGCGTCGATGAGCCGCGTTTCCCTGTCGGAGAGGGCATGGGCACGTTCCATCTATGTAGCAATGTCCCATGTGTTCCCCGAACGCCAAAATGCTCATGAGCACGGACTAGTGCATAACATAGCAAACAGCAGCGCCTACTACATCCGATGTATTTGTGTGACTGGTTTCTATCTTCTGGCGACATTGAGTACTCGAAGTAAGCTAGGAGCTGAGTTTCTGCGTGATAAAACTCTTTCTTTCGTTTCTCTCTGCAGAACTTCGGGAACAGAGCCGCATTCTGTACAAGATAATTTGTCTAACTAGGGTGGAAAATGATACCTAGAGTTTTGATGATGCCTAGGAGACTTTTGTATTCGTCTTCGACTGCATGCCGCTGTGGTTTCATATCCCGGCGTTGGTTTCCGCTGTGCGAAACAGACACGATCTCAATAGAGCGAAAGACTCGATGGCCTTTCGCAATCTCGACAAAAGTATATGCAGCGTAGCAAACCCTGGCAAGAAAAAGTAATGTGTCTCTCTTTCTGCCGTGTAAAATCTCTTTTTAGGGCTGCCTTGAGCATGAATCGAGCCCGGGGTTCTCTCCAGAGATCAAATATGTTACTCATGACTTCCTTCAGTAGAGTTGTCTTGTCTTGTAATTTAGTATCAGGCTGACAGAGGCGACAAATTTTTTCGAAAACCTCGGATACACGGCCTTGGATTTCACAAAGTGTCTCACCAGTGCAAGCAGCGTCTGATCTCACATTGGCCAACTCATCCGCGGGGACGGAACGATTTGCTTGTACAGCGTAGTCTAGAGGTATGACAAATAGAAATCCATTGTCGTCCTGCCACTCCCGACTCTGCAAGGATGGAATGGTCGAAAGTTGCTCTGTTACTAGAGAGACTTTCGGCGTACCCGTAACTTGTGCCGAGTTTGTGTGAGATCGGAAAACCCGCTTCAACGACTCAAGATAGGACGTGATCCGCGGCCATTGATGATCTGCGACGAGGTTGAACATGGCAGACGTATCCTCGTCTGAGGCATGCCCTAGCTAGACCTCAGTAACAAACACAAGCACATGTTAATGCACTTATTAAAAATCGAACGAACCTTTCCTCGCGATAGTTTCCATTCGTAACTTCCATCTAGATAAAAAGCCCTCATCTTCCTCCTCAAGCCCCTCATTCTTAGCGCAGAATATCTTGACGTGCTTCTCGGCTTCATGGCAGACCATCATAGTTGCGGACACATGTTTCGCATCATTCCTTGTCTTGGTTTTAGGGTCGGTCTTGAAACGAGCTAATGTTTCGGCAAACCGGTCGAGGAATTGATTCTTTAGGTCGATGCCGTATTTTTCGTGTTCTGGATCGGTGCCCAACACCGTTGGATCTTCTAGGTCGTTATATTCTTCGTCGTTGGAATCCGAAAGTGACACTTTATCATTCTCTGTGGTTTCCGTATCTCGTGTCGATTCTTCCAGGCTTGGTAGACGGTAGGGGGTTAATGCCATAAGACATATTGCATCTTCGAGGTTCTGATACATGGACATTGGGCATAAATTTTGCAGGTATCATAAAGAGACCACGCCGTGGAAGTAAAGGATTCAAACTGTGGACTCGCCGAGGGCCCAAAAAAGCAACTCAGAACTTGAAAAATTGACTTTCCAAATAACTCCTCAACGCCGTTGTAAAATCGCGTTGAAAAGCAAAGATGGAGAGACGCAAACATACGACCGGAGGGGGTTGAACATGTGACTGAACTTGCATATTGTGTTCCGGAGACCAGTATCGCTGGCATAGCGGCCCAATGTACCGCGTTATCTGGAACCTTCTCGTGCAATGATTCACAAAGGGCTTTCTGTTCCTTTTCCTCCGCGTTGAAGAGTCTAAAGAATCTAGGATGAACCTCTTCGAGAACGCGGGCAACTTTTCTCGTTCTTTGACTCGGCCAGCGGGCCTTCCGGGCATTGCAAGCTTGGAAGGCTCTCAATCTGGACTTGCAATTTTCTTTTACTTTTTATGGTTCATCGAATACGCGAATATGTTTCTAGGTGAGCCTAGAGGCATTGGCACATGGCGAGGTACCGGAATAGAGGATTTTGTTTCATGACCTGCTGGTAAGGCGCTGTTTATGACTTATCAAAACATATCGGTGGAGTGTTGGTCATACGTGATTAAGTTAATTAGAGATGTAGAGGTAGTAAGCACTATAAATTAAGCACTTGATCACCTTTTTCGGCTCTCTTGTATGGGGCGCCAAACCGTGGGTTGCGCGAGCCGGTGTTTAGTTCCTTAATTCCGTGAAATCCTATCTCTACCACGATTTTCCACCTTGACCTTCGCACTCTCATCCGTTGACCCTGGAATTCCCATAATGGATACCGACACCAGGAATCAACAGTCAGATGATGCAACAAGGAGAGCGATGGAACTTTCTAAACAAGATGCCGCATCAAGACGGAGACATCAAAATCGCGTCAACCAACGGGCTAGTCGTAAGCGGCACTTTTCCATTCAGCCACGCTCTCTGAATCAAATACTAACCTCAGACTCTCAGGAAAAAGGAAAGCCCTTCAAGCTGAAAAGCAGGGCAGAACCCGAGAAAGGCGTTGGATCATCTACACCGAACCCGTCTGTGCCTCACCTGAGCATAAAGGCACGACTGTCGCAAGTTCAACACAGCTTGAACAACCAAGCCCGATACAAAATTATGGCAAAGCTTATAAGGGTGTCTCTAATCAAATGATACGCGAGAAATATTGGGCTCAACTGAAAGCGAAAGTAGCCGCCGGAGCCGCCAACAAGGTGCAATCGCCAGATCTTCTCTTACCGGTGGCCCAGTTCAACATAATGCGTGCAACCTTTGAAAATGCGACTACCATGGGCCTGACATGGGATATCCTCAGTGAAGATATCGCCTCATATTTCAACATCGCTGGGCCAGTCACCTTGCGGTTGCCACCGAGCTTGGAGCCGAGCGGCACGCAGAGGAGCATCGTCCATCACCCTTGGATTGATCTCATACCCGTCCCCTCGCTCCGCGATGCACTGTTGCTACAGATTGATGAGTACGACGAGGATCAACTCTGCGGGGACTTATACGGGATATGCGGACCTTCGCCGGAGGTCGGGCTGTTAGTATGGGGCGAGGCATGGGATCCGTCGGCATACGAAGTTTCAGAACGAGTGTTCAACAAGTGGGGCAGGTTTTTAAGAGGGTGCCCTGAGCTTTTGAAGTCTACAAATTATTGGAGGAGGAAAAGAGGAGAGAAGCAATTGAGATTGCCGGATCTGAGAGATTCCTGTGTTGAAGAGATCAAGGATTGATCACGAGCTGGATTTAGTCACCACCATTTTTCGATAGCATCATAGCGGATAAATCTCGCCAATGAAAGCTTCACTCAATTCCCAAAGCCTAGTCCAGTTCTGTTCGTCACGAATTTGGCTGTGCAGCTCTTCGTTCGCCACGGCGTTTTGCTTCAAGAATGAACCGGTAAAGTCTTAGATAAGGTGTCAGTATAGAATCCTAACCGATTCCAAAGAAAGAGATACGAGATACTTACCGGCAATAGTGGGATCAATCATTCCAGTAATCATAGTGGCTGCGCCCTCGGAGCGAGTGGTCCATGGAGGAATATCATACTTGTTTCCATCCACATCGGTCATGGCTGTCTAAACGTGAGGAACAGTTTAGCCAGGAGAAAAGGTGGACCACACGTACCTTTATCAGTCTTCCTCCACTCCTCAACCTGTGCTCGGAAATCAGGTGAGACATGCTTTTGCAGGCCAGTCCTCACAGCTATGGCGTCCAAGTCAGCTTAGTTTATTCAAAAAGTATTGGAAAATCCATACCGCCAGGATCGATGCTGAAGACGCGAATGCCCTTGCTCTTGAGCTTCTCGCCGAGCTTTTTGGCAAACATCACTCTCGCAACGTTGGACTGACCATAAGCGGCCCAGCCTTCGTAAGTTTCGCCATTCTAGCGAGCGTCAGATGAGTGCTCGGAGTCAAAGGATTGACAATACTCACACTAAAGCCAATATCATCGAAATTAAGCTTTCCCCTCCGGACAACAGAGCTCGCCACAATGATAACAGAGGACGAAGGGCCGGCAGCTTGGACCTTTGGCAGAAGAAGCCTGACTAGCAAGAAGTTTGCAAGATAGTTGACACCAAACTGCGACTCGAATCCATCCTTGGTCTTTGCATAAGGGCAAGCCATCACTGCAGCCACGCACACCACATGGTCAATCTTCGGGATGTCGGCGAGATCATTTTCAACGCCTTTGCGGATGGCACCCATATCACCAAGCTCCATGTTAAGGAAGCGGGTGGCGACATTAGGCTTGCTCTCTTTGATCTTGTTGATGATCGGTGTGACCTTCGACTCGGCTCGGGCACTCAGGATGAGAAGCTTGGGATTGACGGCGGAAATCTGGACGGCGAGCTCGCCGGCGATGGATTCATCGGATACACCTGTGATCAAGACTTTGAAGATGTTAGCTTGGTGACTGAAATCGGGATCGTGGAGTCGTGTCAGAATACCTGTCTTTCCGGCAAGGGCTTTGCCGTACTTTTCCAGGACAACCTCAGAGCGAAGGATTTGCATGGACATTTCGAAGAAAGTTCAATGAAGAGAATAGTCCAGAAGGATTGGATCTGTGATGGAGTCAAGGGCAGAGAAGTATCCTCCCTTTTATACCTTTTCTAATACCTGCAATGATCATGTTTTCATGGAAGTAAAGAAGCCATAACTCCGATGGAAGTAGGAAGAACCATCAATATTAGTTCCGTAGAGGCGATGCATTTCCCAAGACGGTTAGAACCTTGTCATCACCCCGTCTGTCGGCCTTAATTATGACCCTGGAATATTGCTAGGCAGTCAATCATCTGGTAATCCCCCAATGCCTTCATTTCGAAACAATCAAAACATTACCTTGCCTTGGTCTATCCGGGATACTTTTTACAATCTCATCCCATCTCATACAACATGAGTTGTGGAATTTCAATTGTTTAGATCTCTCGAAGACTCCGACAGTTCAGCGAATCTTGTACCGCGTTGAGCTCCATATTGACTCGAAGCTAACCAAATCAAGTTAGTCTCATGTCACCATTCAGAAGGGCCACGAAAAAAGTCTCAGATTCTAAGATTGTCTGACCCTTGCCTCGTGTATGCGATGCTGTGTCCATCCATGCTAGCTCTTATGGATGACTCTAATCACCATGTACGCCATTCTCAGCTGTGGGTTGGCGATCTTCACTTCATGAACTAGTGTTTTGGCATCTTCAGCCGCTGCTCAGCAGATCGGTTGCGATCGAGAAAAAAAGCAATTTACCAAGTGCAGAATATTCCATAGTGAACGGAGAACTTCTGCATACGATTCCTTACGAAAAAGCAAAAACGGAAAAGAGCACGTCGGATGAGTGGCTATTGGCCGAGACCTGCGGTGTGTTACATGTATGCAATGTGATGAATCGCCGATCATGGTTCATCGCCCCTTACGTAGATCCCCCCCGGACTCCGTCTTCAGCTCCCTTAAAGTTCGAAAGGCTTGCCCCGCGCCCATGTGCGACCTTGAACACATTCCATCACTGGCCATCCGCTAGCCATCCCGTCATGGACACAGAAGAGACTCCTCTTCTTAACCGACCGGATGTTTCTATCAAGTCGAATGTCGTGGCCGCTATCGTTTCCACTTGGATCGCTACGTTCCTCGCGGCTGCAGATACGACCATCACCGCGACACTTTCTTCGACGATTGCCCACGAGTTCGACTCCCTTACGATCATCTCATGGCTCGGCTCCGGGTATTTGATCGGCCTCACGGCTACGCAACCACTCAGCGGAAAATTGAGTGACATTTTCGGCCGAAAGGTCAGCTTCTGCTTCGCGACATGCATGTTTACGATCGGGAACCTCATCTGCGGCCTCGCCCGCTCGAAGGCTGTTCTCATTTTGGCTCGAGTTCTCGCTGGTATTGGAGGAGGTGGCTGCATTTCGATCGCTACCTTTATTGCCTCGGATCATATCCCCCTCAAGCGCCGCGGCACTTGGCAGGGGACGTCAGCAGTGATGTTTACGCTCGGAATCAGTCTAGGTGCAGTGGTTGGAGGTGCCGTCAATGATGCGTTTGGCTGGCGGTGGGCATTTATTGGAATCGCCCCGATCTCCCTCGTGTCGTGCGTGCTGGTTGCCATATTTCTTCCGAGCGGCATGGAGAGGGAACAGGGTTTTCTTGAAATGCTCAGTCGGGTTGATTTTGCCGGCTGTGTCACCCTGGTTACGTCTTTGGTACTGCTTCTGGTCGGATTGAACCACGAGGGCGATCAAATTGTGACTCTTCAATTTTTCATCACAATTCCTCTCGGGGCCGCCTGCTTTGCACTCTTTCTTTTCATTGAGTGGCATTGGGCGAAAGAGCCTATCATTCCTCTGTCGCTCTTCCGTCGACGCAGTGTCGTTGCCACATGTCTGACTGCGTGGTTCATGTCATCGTCGGTTTATATTCTCCTTTACTACGTGCCGCTATACTTTCAAATGCTGGGCCACACGCCTAGTGAGGTCGGGCTCCGGATTCTACCGTACTCGATAGGATCCGGGGTGGGATCATTCCTGATCGGCCTCATTATTCGAGTAACGGGAAAATACGGAAGTTTCCTGTATATCACCCCGCTGTCCATGGTCATTGCCACGCTCGGATTTGCCTTCATCGAGAGAGATAGTCCTTGGTTCGTCCCGGAGCTGTATCTGCTCTGTAAGGGTGTTGGAATTGGTGGCGCAATGACAGTGTTAATTCTTGCTATGCTGCATGTTGTGCCGCACCAATCACACGCCACGGGCACGTCCGCCCTATATGCCTTTCGATCGGTCGGTTCGACAGTGGGATTGTCTGTTGCAAGTGCCATTTTCTATGGTGAACTGAACAAGTTTGAACGGGAAAGTGGGTCTAGCTGTAAACTGACAGATGATTGCTATTTGAATGCCCTGCATGGAGCATTTAGGTTGGCGGTAGCATTTGCATGTATGGCATTGCTTTGTGGATTCCTGATCGAATCGAATTCTAAAGGGAAGGAGAAAGAGGACGAGGTTGATTAGTTTCTGACGATCATCCACGGAATGATTTTCCCATGCTCAGGGCAAAGCTTTCACGATGTATTCATTCCAAATTGACAATCGCACGTCCGTGTTCGGTTTCCTGTTCGCCCAATTTGATCATCGGCAACAATTGAACTTCAATTTAGGAGCTAACGCGGTGCCGATCAAAACCGAGAGATTCAGCGAGCCTAGTTAGTTTTCATAGATTGGTAAAATATTCGGATGGGTCATGTGACCCACCCGGCACGCCGGCAACACCGGCCGTCGGAACGGACTGCCTAAAAGGTGAAGGATTTACGGAAAGATTCCAGTGGGGACCCGAACTGCCCGAATTGGAGCTTGGTACTGCAACGCAGCCTCGGAATGCCAGACAGGGGAAATATGGTATTTTTACGATCAAATTAAGAGCATCTTTGGGACTGATTGCACGCAACAACTGAGTAGATATGCTTCGATATTCTCCGACCCATCGATTCAAGACGCTGACGTCATACACCCGTGGCAGCAACCACTTAACGGCGAGTTCCGTTGTCTGGACCTTGGGACTGACAAACTCTGCTCAGTCAGATGATCATTAATTAATGGCATAGATTGATAATGGCTGCATTCATAAGTACGATAAGTCACCCCCGCATGGAGCTGTTAGAATAAGAAACAAATGTGGTTTGTGATTCGCCTGATTAAGCTTGAACCTTCGAATACATGTACAGTAGAGCCCAAAGCTCGAACAGCATCATAGCGCGGTTCTAGCGGGTTCCCTGTGTTTCTGTATTCGCTCTAGCAGAAGCGAGGTACTCGGCTCGAGCACTGTAATCCCCCCGGGGAATCGGGATAGCACGGAGAGAAAGAGGTATTTCACAAATAAGAGGACACACGGGGGTCGCCGTCAACGCTGATTCGCAACGCCCCCGCATCTGCATTCGGTTTCTAAATCCCCCGCCTCTCCACATTCCCTTGACGGCGGTCTGGCCCAATAGAACGGCGTAGCTTAGGAATCATCAATGGCTCGACAGGTCTAGCCACTTAGGGATGACAAACTCGCATTTCCCGAGGAGCTTCGTTCCTAGGTAATATGTTTCCCGCCATTCGTTCCTTCGTGCCTTTTAAAAGTGCGGGGTGCCCTCCAACCCTTTTTCGTCCCCCAAATTTCTTCCTCTCTCCTCCCCATTCCTTCCATCCATAGCAATCATGAGTGGATGTCCCGTTCACAACACCTCGGCCAATGTGGCCGGTGGTGGTACTCGCAACCGCGACTGGTGGCCCAACAGCCTCAAGTTGAACATTTTGCGCCAACATACCGAGGCTACCAACCCCATGAACAAGGACTTCGACTATGCCTCTGCCTTCAAGACCCTTGACTACTACGCTCTCAAGAAGGACCTGCACAACCTGATGACCGACTCTCAGGACTGGTGGCCCGCTGATTTCGGCCACTACGGCGGTCTGTTTATCCGTATGGCGTGGCACAGCGCGGGTACTTACCGCGTCTACGACGGCCGTGGCGGTGGTGGCCAGGGTCAGCAGCGATTTGCACCCCTCAACAGCTGGCCCGACAATGTCAGTCTCGACAAGGCTCGCCGCCTGTTGTGGCCCATCAAGCAGAAGTACGGTGACAAGATCTCCTGGGCTGATCTGCTCCTCCTGACCGGTAATGTTGCCCTTGAGTCCATGGGTTTCAAGACCTTCGGCTTTGCCGGTGGCCGCCCTGACACCTGGGAGGCCGACGAGTCGGTCTACTGGGGTGGTGAGACCGAGTGGTTCGGCAACAATGTTCGCTACCTGCCCGAGAGCAAGGAGCAAGAGGCCAAGCAGAGCGACATCAAGACTCGCGATCTTGAGGACCCTCTGGCCGCCGTCGTCATGGGTTTGATCTACGTCAACCCCGAGGGCCCCAATGGCGAGCCTGACCCCGTTGCTGCCGCCCGTGATATCCGCATTACCTTCGGCCGCATGGCCATGAACGACGAGGAGACCGTCGCTTTGATTGCCGGTGGTCACACCTTCGGCAAGACCCACGGCGCTGCCCCCGCCTCGAATGTCGCTGCTGAGCCCGAGGGCGCTGATATCCACCAGCAGGGTCTCGGCTGGAAAAACGCGCATCAGTCTGGCAAGGGCCCCGACACCATCACCTCCGGCCTGGAGGTGACTTGGACCAAGACTCCCACCAAGTGGAGCAACCAATTCCTCGAGTACCTCTTCAAGTATGATTGGGAGCTCACCAAGTCTCCCGCCGGTGCCAACCAGTGGACTGCTAAGAATGCCGACGATATCATCCCCGATGCCCACGACCCCAGCAAGAAGCAGAAGCCTCGCATGCTGACTACCGATCTTTCTCTGCGCTTCGACCCCACCTACGAGAAGATTGCCCGCCGCTTCCTCGCCAACCCCGACCAGCTCGCGGACGCTTTCTCTCGTGCTTGGTTCAAGCTGCTGCACCGTGACATGGGTCCTCGCGTCCGCTGGATCGGCCCTGAAGTCCCCAAAGAGGTCCTTATATGGGAGGACCCCGTTCCGTCTCTCTCCCACCCTCTGATCAACCATGAGGATGCTGCTGAGCTGAAGCGCGACATTTTGGCTTCCAGCGTTGAGCCCTCCAAGTTCATTGCCACTGCCTGGGCTTCGGCCTCTACCTTCCGTGGTGGTGACAAGCGTGGTGGCGCCAACGGTGCCCGCATCCGCCTTGAGCCCCAGAGCAAGTGGGAGGTCAACAACCCCACTCAGCTCCGCGAGGTCCTGAAGGTCCTGGAGGATGTCCAGCGCCGGTACAACAACTCCCAGACCGGGAACAAGCGTGTGTCGCTGGCCGACCTCATCGTTCTGGCCGGTTGCGCCGCCCTGGAGAAGGCTGCCGGTATCCCCGTCCCCTTCACCCCCGGCCGCACCGACGCCACCCAGGAGCAGACCGACATCGAGTCTTTCACCCACCTCGAGCCCTACGCTGACGGCTTCCGCAACTACGGCAAGTCCAGCAAGCGTGTCCGCAGCGAGCAGTACTTGGTTGACCGCGCTCAGCTCCTGACTCTTACCGCTCCCGAGATGACCGTCCTCGTTGGTGGTCTGCGCACCCTGAACGCCAACTGGGACCGCTCCAACGTCGGTGTCTTGACTCAGCGCCCCGGCCAGCTGACCAACGACTTCTTCGTCAACCTTCTGGACATGAACACCGACTGGAAGCCTACCGATGCCAGCAACGAGTACTTCGAGGGTGTCGATCACAAAACCGGTGCCAAGAAGTGGTCTGCGTCTCGTGTGGATCTGATCTTCGGCCACCACTCCGAGCTGCGTGCTCTTGCTGAGCTTTACGGTAGCTCCGATGGCCAGTCGAAGTTCGTTCGCGACTTTGTTGCCGCCTGGGACAAGGTGATGAACCTCGACCGCTTCGACGTGACCTACTCTTGCGTCGTCGGCCGCCCTGCTCCCCGTCTGTAAAGCAAAATGGTCGGCTGAGGACATAAATATGCGATGACCCTATATCCAAGTTAACTTACGAAGATTGATATCTCCAATCAATTATGAATTTTCAAACAAATTTCCTTTCGATAATAGCAGCGCAACGGGTAATGACCTGAATATTTACGCCTTTGTCATACAGTTACAGTAAATAAGATGATTGGTGGCTCAGGGAGAATCGGCTTCAAGCCACTAAATCGTATGCATGTATTTCACTATAGGATAACTCGAAATTAGATTCGACACTTTATTTTGATCATTTCTCAAATCCTACTTTGAAGCGCACTATACTATTTACGGTTAGCAACATTTTGACACTTGCTCTTATTCGAGTTCCAAAGATGAACTTCCCCACAATCGGCAGCAACCTGATGTGGGGCTCGTACAAGATGTCTGCGGGCTTTAGCCGGACTATCGCCACAGCGCCATAAAATAACCGAGAGGGGGTTAAGAATGGGCCGTTTGTACCTCTCGGCCTTGTAGGATCATCGACGAGATTCGGGAAAGACGCTGCTATAGCATTCATTGATGATGTCACCGTCCATGTCTTAAGCTAGTCCTCAACTTGCAATATTGCCTGTCATTCTCCCAAATCAACCACCGACAAAAGTACGCTCAACTCTGAAATGCGTGGGTCGGCGCTCGTAGTTATCTTCCCGGCGTTCAATACCCTCGACACCACCGGGCCAATATCAATCTTCTCTAACTGCGACTTTTCAATCACGATCACAGCCAAGGAAGAATGAACAACATCCCAAGAAAACATAGTCGTCAAGCGAACAATATCATTCTCGGAAGCACACAAACACCTCTCAGAATATGACATTCTCATAGTCCCCGGTTCAAGATCCCGAAATATCCTCCCCTATATCCAACCGGAGAATCCACAACTATTGGAACTTCTTCTCGAACTCGTCGCAAACTTCGCCAAACCACAACATCCACCCGCCAAAGCGCGGACGATCATGTCTGTCTGTATAGGAGGATACTTTCTCGCAGCCGCAGGTGTCCTGGATGGTCTCACGGCAATAACACATCGCCTTGCGACCAAGGGTCTTCAAACGGCGTGCGAGGAGTATACGACAAGAACGCCGGATTCAAAAGGTACAAAGATTCTTCCCGAGAACCCATCTGTCCCTGTTCCGTATTGCGATGCTGGGATAAATGAGTTTGGAGTGAGAGTTATTACCACCGGTGCGGTTACGAATGAGCTTGATGGCGCACTGCACTATGTTGCGCGTCGGTTGGGGAGGCCTGTTGCTGTGGATGTGGCGGGGCTTATTGGGCATAATTGGCGGGAGTTGAAGACATGAGTTGGATCATTTAATGGATTTATAATTAAAAACAAAATTTTTATTGACAATCGTATACTTGCAGACTGGATTCAATAACGGAACTCTGCTCGGGCACGAAAAGACCGAATGCAGATCCAGTGTGATAAACGCAAATCTATCATTCCAAGCACCTAGGATTCTCATAAAGTAGTCATCACAGGAGTCGTCGATCACATAGGGTAACTAGCCCCTACGTGTTTCTGCACACGACTAGGTGGCGAGGGTGTACAAGTCACTTGAGATGCGAATATCGTGGACATTGCCAAGAAAGTCGTCCTACCAGGAGTGATCTTCTCCCGTTAATACGAAGGAGGCGTATATCTATTCTTTGATGAGTTTCTTATGTTCTTGTCCATGCTGATATTGGTTTCTTACCATCCTGGCCGGCTTACCAAGAAAGCTCTTCGTTGGGGTAAGGTTCTCCATGATCTTCTTACGAGTGAGGATAGCTCGGTGATTTTTTCTGACTCGGTATGAGCTGCGGGTAATGGCAGCGTAGGCTATGTTGGTTCTCATCATGTCCGTCATTTCGATTCTGATCTTTCTTTTGTGTTCGGTTCATGGGGACCTCGTTGATAGCGCACGGATTGTTTACTTCAGCTCCTCCTTCGTATAGATGGCAATGTATCAACTCGTGCTCTATTGCATGTGGTCTTTTATTCAAATGTTCCCTGAGTGCCGCGCAATATTTACAAGGGAGGTGCATGTAGTAAGTAAATGTCAATATTAAGAATCCACTGGAGGCTAACCCGCGCCATCCATACAAGGTCCATCCACACATGTCAAGATAAGACAATAAGAAAACTCATTACAGACATCAGATGACATAAACGGCTTGTGCCAGTGCCATTAACAAGCCGTATACGACACCAACCGGCCAAAATCTGCAACTCCAAGATCATACCCCGGAGGAATGATACATCTAGAACCACATTATCCCTACAACCAGCCCGATCACCACAGCCATGCAGCTACCTCGTAGCTCCCGCGAATGGTGGCTAGCAGCGTCGGTGGCCTGGCCACCTGGGATTTTTTCTGATATTTGTGTTGGGACTGGGAGAGCGCGATCGTTGTCGGTTTGCGATGTTGCAGGATTCGGAGATGCATTGCCCGAGAACATCGATTCGAGGTATTTTGATCCACTTCGGATCAGTGAATGGAGGGCGGAATTATACGGCGATACTTTTGAGGAAAGGCCAGTTGCGGAACGGCAGGCCTGCTGCCACTTGTTGCGCAAGGAAGGGAGATGAAGTCCCGAATCGTCTTTTAACGCGGTCAATCCATTACTCAATTGTTGGGTGTGTTCGAAGATTTTGTCGTGGTCCGAGGTTGGCGAGGGATTAATGTTCGACGGCGCTAGAGTAGGGGGGAGGTTCGCGTTTGCGGTGGCGTAGTTCCGGTTGGTAAAGGGGGTGAGGAATTGATAGTCGTCTAATTGCTGAATGAAATACGTTCGAAATGCATGAGCCCTTCGACTGAACATGAACGAGGACTCGGCACTGTGCGAAACGCGACTTTCATTTTTGACAGGGGCAATCTCGCTGGGAAAGGTCGGCGCGCTGTGGCCCGTCCGTGACGACCGCGACGGGCGGTTCCCACGAGGCCGATACTGCGCAGCCAGGATCCATGGCCTGCGAGGATCGACTGGATGTGTTTCCGAGACAAGGTCGGCAGCGTTATTCTGGATGAGAGGGACTTCTAAAGAAGGGACCATGTGTTAGCTCAACATTCCAACATTCCTCAAGGATCGAGCCAATGGACATACGACGAGCTCCGTTGGTGTAGGACGCAAAATCCGCTAACTTAATGTTGTATATACTCGACAGTGATGGCACCAGAGTGAGCAGCGAGAACACAATCAGGGCCAGGAGTGGGAGCGCGCCCGGTTTAGCCAGCCCAGGGCGCATCGTCCGCGCACGCCGGTCAATGCCGGTGATTGTTGGCGGAGGCCAAGCGACGGCTATGCTGAAACTCAAGAAGCAACAATGGCAGCGTGGATGCCATGGAGGGGCGGGACGTGAGGGTTTCAGTTCAATGTTTTGAATTCAGGGTCAAGTCTCCAGGAAGGCGCGCCAACACGCAGCAACGAAGAGCGGGGAAGAAGAAGAAGAAGCCCAAAAGCGCCTCTCACTCACACTCAGCACGGACACAGGACATAAAAAGCAAAGTTTATGGAGGGGGGCGATCCAAGAAAAAGCGATAAGGCTTGAGACAAGGTGAAGGTTTCACTCTTTTTTCCCGCACGGCCCGAATGACGTCGAAGACCTCCCTGGCCGCGCAAAAGTACCTACTGAAAGCGTCGCGTCCAGAACTTTATTCTCTCGTTATCTTTGCGATCATTGGATATACGCTAGGTACATAGGTACATTTGTGCTCCGTACATCTCTACATTACATGCAGGTAGAAACAGGAAATGTTTCCTCTATCCAGATTTTGTCTCATCTATTTTCGAGGATCCTAGGACTGTTGGCCTCGGAAATCAGGCACGAGACACACACTGCTAACTGACTAACAAGCTACATAGTTAACAGTAGCCCTCAAGCAAAAGAAGACAAACCCGCAAGTTTTGGTTCATCAACCTCAATCCTCAAAAGTCTTGTTTATATGCCAGGAATACCGGGCTAACCAAGCAGGGTGATGAGAGCCAAGGAAGGCAACTGTCGTGCTTCCCCAGAAGAGCAGGAGATCGACACGGCCGCCTCACCTGTATCGCCCCCCAAGCTGAGTGTGGCAGGTTGGCGGGCCATTCCGTCCACCGTGCATTTAGCCGGCACTATCATACAGTTGGGGTTATCATAATGATCTACCGATCATGAGGCACATCGCATGGTTGGTTCTATTTTCATCGATGATCATCAAATCCGCTAATTGCGATGGCCCATCCACCATAATGTACAGTTGCGACTCTCTCCCTTATCTCAAAGGAAGACGCCCGGGTTCCAAGGTTTAAGCCAAGACACCCCCCAAAATAGCCTGGCCATAGAACAACCAGCTTCGAGTCGGCGACTCCAGAAATGATGGCAACCATTCGGGAAGTGCCAAAGAGGTGCAACCCTGAATCTCACCACCACTACCACCACCATTGGCATGTAAAGACATGAGCGCCTGTTCAAGTTGGAAATATCCTGTCGGGTGCGTTTGACCACTCGAGAAGGATCCCGTCATAGCTGTGCCAGTAAGACTATCCTCGAACAGATCAGTTCCATTCAGACCGCCGCGTAGGATCCCATGTAGACCCTCTAGAACACTGACGCCTCTTTTGGCGAAGCTATAATGTGGAGCCTGCCGATAGAGGAGACCGAAACCATCGAAGAAAGCTTGGTAGCTACGTTGCAGGTCCGAGTCTGTGATGGTCTGTATTCCTTCCATCGAAAGCCTCCTCTCATCTGCCTGGATGGACAGTAGACAAACAACGAGACTGGCCAAGGTGTCAACGAGACAAATTGGCAGCAAGAGCAACCTCTCGGCAGATAATCCTTCGCTTCCTGTGAACGCGTATAGTCGGGTAATACATGAAAGCATCTTGCATGTCGTATCCATCAGAGCCCGGCGGTGAGAAAGCGCGAGAAGATCAGGTCCGTGCTTTGATCGTACACCCTGGACCCGGTGGAGGGTCTTGCAAGGGTCCATGAAAGATCTATATAGCGACGCCCTGGTGGTGTAGATGAAAAGACTGAGAATCTCTCTCTTCAGAATAAGCGCAGATTCCACAGCATCCCAGGAATTATCGGGACTCTCGAGAGAAAATGGAGGAGGTAATTGGTCGACGATGACTTGATGGAAGCACTGTGCGAATATCGACACGACTGCTGGGTCTTGCTGGTCGCGTTTCCAAGATGGCGGGCTCATGAACGCTGTCAAATATCGGGCCAATTTGATATGAAAGACTCGGTCGGTAAACGGAGTGAGAACGTAAGGGCTTGTTGTGAGAGCCTGGAGGTTGTCGTACGGAGGCTCTATGTCGAAGTATCCTTCTGGGATCAGGGGCCAGTAACCGAAGAATGTGCACATGAACCTGCGTTGAAGGGTAAGCTATGTTTCCAGATCCTCATTGGATAATTTGTTCATACCTATCCCAGACGTATAAGTTCCAAAAGGTTCGCCTTCGTAGTTCCATATCCAACTCGCTGATAGGAATCCCCGGATCTTTAAGATACAACCCCATCTCATGCGCATCCTTGACAGCCGTGTTTAGAACAGACCAGCTTTCCCTAATCTTCCCGTAATTTTTGAGATAACCCACATGCAAAATCTTATGTTGAACGGTCTCTATCGAAGGCATTTTCTCCGGTGACCGAAATTTTTCGAGTTTGTCCGCCAGAGACGAATACAACTGTTCCATAGCCTCGGGACGTGACAAAATCCCTGTAGTTGGGAGCTTCGCATGCGAGAGGGATTGGATGCTGAGAAGACAGACTCGAAGAACCAGTAGCCTAAAGTCAATGTATTCGTCCTGAATAGTGTCACCTGCGTAATCAATGTTCTCCTGGGCTATCCACCACGAAGCGTATCTGGGCTGGAAGGATGGAGGGTAGATTGTTTCATAAATTCGATTGATATCTTGAAGGAACATTCCCACAAGGAAGTCGGTCACGGATCTGTCGGGCCACCGTTCTCGTGGCCTTGATCCAGAATGTGAGGAGTTTTTCCTACTCATCACTTTCAAAGGTTGAGAATGGTATCTTTTGTATCTCTGTCAGTAGGCGGGCGAGAAGAGAGACCGATGGGCCACGAACAAATCTGGAGGCGCATGCGGAGAGATACTGCTTGACCCAGGCGATTTGTATTCTAGAGGATCAAATCCATCCAACTCCATCTGATCAATGTCGGACTCGTATGGGGAAAGGGTTGTTGACGTTTCTTTTTCACTGAGAGCCTTTGTGGAGCTCCTTCTTTCTTCTCTCGGATAGCGGCTGCGTTCATGGGGATGGATCACAGAATAGACGCAGAGAAGTTGTACCCCACGGCCAATGCAATGATTGCATGGTTTCTGCCGGTTACACTTTAGATTGCGTTAGCATTGTCTTCTCTTGAGGCAAAGAAGAAAGGTTAGTACTTTCTGCTTTCTGCGATTACATTCAAGACAAGACTTTATTGGTTTGCGCCGACTTCTTTTCTCAGTGTGCATATTCGCATCATACCTCGAGGAACTAGAATTCAAGTCGATTCTTTTAGTCTGCAGATTTTGATCGCTTTAGTACCTTGACAGTAAGCCGCCAAGACCGCTAAGCCTCCATTCAGGAACCCAAACAGGTATCAGTCTCGACGCTAAAAACTTACTCCACAAATACAGTCGCCAATTATAGCCCAAGCTTTGGTCTGTTTCATCCTTGCTCTGATTTGCTTAGCCCATATTGCCCGACGAAACCTTGATGATTAATCGAGATCCCTACAGGATAAGAAAACCCCTGACGACCTACCAGATAATTCACGGTGCTTTTTGCCTCTCCATGACCATCCTGCCAAATGGTTTCAAACACCGATAATGCCTAACACGACGCCAGGAATTAGCCTTCACTAGAACACATGATAAACGCCGCTCTGTGGCCCCGGGGGGCCGGCGGAGTGGCACCAAGTTGGGGGCCATAAACACTGCAGCGGACAACTTCCGGGGAGTGGGTGACTTCCATACGTGAAGCGGACTTATCATGTGAAAGGATAACTTATAGTACTCAAATATTTTCGTTGCCGGTGCTCGGAGGCAGAGTGAGCAACGATGCCATCTCTACTCCACACAGTCGTTCGCGCTCCACAGAACGTCACGCTAATGATGTTTTTGCCCCCAAAAATAAGAGGAATAAGCATTTCTGACGAACATGGAATTAGTGCCACGTGGGCTTGGAAATTTCATCTTGCGAATTGCAACCAGTCATTAGTGAGTCTACCGTTGACGAATGTGATCGTTTCGGCCAATACATGCCCTTCCCAGAGTATTTAGGATAGCCACATCTTGCCATAACGGGTCAGCTGAGATAAGACGAGCTTGTATACCACATGGCAGTCTACTTATCAAAGAAACGGCCCCATATCAGCCTTGTGTCGTTTGAAAAGCAATGTAGCTGTGGACTTGGTTCTGGGGAAACTGGATGTCAGATCATCCTAGGTCCGAGGAATTGCAGGAATTCAAAATGAAGTGAGCAGCTTTTGGACTTGCGACTAAGAGTCAGAAAGCTAACGTCCGTGAGTGTATGCCCTAGCTGGACTTCGTTGAATGATGAACAGCTCCACATGGATCACGCCCCCGAACTAAGCAATCACCCAACGCCAATGCGCAAGTGTCAAATCACAGCACTGGCCATTAGGATTTAATGGTCGTGACGAAACAGATGTCAGTCAATAAAGTTGAATGCAAGGCTAAAAAAGGATCAAATACGTCATAGCATTCCAGTGATCTTCAAAGTCGCATCTGGGGAAGGATGGATAATTCCAAGGCGAGGTTGCTCCTTCCAACCAACCCTACAAAATCAAGCCCCTCTGCCCCTGTCGGCTTTTATCTCTTTAATTTCAGATGCCACTTGAATCAAGATTGAGAGACCCCGGGCCATTACCAGGTAAATCATTTGCGCAATGATGTGGTGGGGTTGTCGTTGGCATAATTTGATGCTATTCAGCTCTCTCAACTCCGCTGTGTTTTTAACTTTGGTCCCCAGAGATCCAACATTTAAAAACCAAGGAATCTCAAAGGTTAAATCTAGTCTAATGGTTCGGAATATTCAGCCCTCGTAGTACCCTAATCCCTTGTTCCAAGGTTGTGGGCCGCCCCCCTTGTTGTAGCGGGCATCCCTTGGCCCTGTGGAATTCAGCACGTACTCCTTCAAGGCGCACGCGCTCCCTTCCCGAGAACAATAATGACGAAGCCCTACCAAACCCCTATAGGATGTAGACCTCCAATGGCATATATCCGGCATTCGCTCATGATCTCCCGCCAACACCCAACCTAACGCCCGCACGAGTTTGTACAGACACTCAACGATAACCTACATACACGCGACACCCTCACAAGTTCGAGCAATAAAGCTCACACCCGCAAATGGGACGCTCAACAGTTCTCGCAGACACATTCGCCATCGAGCCGAAATCATCCCTCGATCCGCGAACGAGCGTCGACAGCGTCGATGATGGAGACCCGAATCCAGCACAAGAAAGTACCATCCAGCTTTTCGAGAGCGATTTATCTCCCGATGAGCAACAATGGCGGCCCGGTATGCGCGACTGGTTGGTTTTCATCTGTATTGTCATCCTGGCGATGATGGATGCGTTCGACGCCGCTGTTTTGATACCCGTCCTTCCTGTATGTTGCCGATCATATCAACACAAGCCCACCGATGCAAAACCTAACACTCTATACAGGAACTAGCAAACATATTCGACGAACCACTAGCCAGCACCCTGTGGGTAAACACCGCCTACCTCGTCTTCAGCGCCGGAAGCCAACTCTTCTTCACAATGATGTGCGAGGTCTTCAGCCACGGCCCCGTCTGGATCGTCGCCGTCGTGTGCACCACTATCGGCACGGGAATATGCAGCGGATCAATGAGTCTGACTGAACTAATCGTCGGTCGCTTGATCCAAGGTATCGGTGGAGGGGGTGCCATGAGTCTCTGTCTTGTGATAATGGCGGAATCGGCACCCGAGTCTATCCACTCGCGGTATTCGTGCTATATCTTACTCACGAGGCTGATCGGGACGACCCTTGGGCCGATCGTTGGTGGACTGTTTGTTGATTTTGCGCATTGGACATGGGCGTTTTATTTTAACTTTATTTTCTGTGCGTTGAGTTTGCTTGTTATTCCGTTTGCTGTTGATTTGCGAGTATCGAAGAATATTCCGCTTCGAAAGTTGCGGATTCTGGACTGGTCTGGTGCCGCAATGGCTTTTCTGGGTCCGGGTACTATTCTTGTTGGTTTGAACTGGGGTGGCAGTTTATATCGATGGAGTGAATGGCAGACGCTGGTGCCTATTGTTGTTGGGGTGGCGATTATTATTGCAATGGTGTTTTACGAGTCAACTTGGGCTTTGCATCCGCAGTTTGGGTTGCGCGTGTTTCAGACTCGGGCTACGGTGATGACATACGTGGGCTGTTTCCTCCATGGCTTTGTGGTGAGTTGGATGATGATATTGACCAGAAAGAAATACGCTAATCTTCTTTCCAGGTCTACTGCCAGCTACAGTTCTTCACCTTTTATTTCATGTCCACCAAGTACTTCAGCACTACCCTCTCTGGCCTCTCTCTATTCGCCATCGCCGGTCTCGCAATCGTACCAGCCGCACTGGTTGGCATTATCCTGGCGCGAGAGTCGCAGTGTACCAAGTGGATAATTTCCGGGGGCTGGCTTCTCATGGTTCTTGCGTCAGGTTGCTCCATTCTCCTCGATAGCAAGACTCCCACAGTTGGATGGGTCTTCTTATTCCTCTCGATTGGACTGGCCCATGGCCTTTTGCTGTCAAGCTACAATATTCGCATTCACAATATCCCCAAGGCCGAAGGTACTACTTTGCCAACCAACCCGACCACCATCTCAAACTTTATGCGTTCATGGGGAATGGCGCTCGCCATTCCAGTCGGTGGGGTCATTTTTCTGAACCGCTTCGGCTATGAACTTCAGAGTATTGGTCTGAGGTACGATCTCATCAACACCGCCAGAGGGTATGTGATCCTGATGGATCAGGTGAGGATGGCGGAGGGCCAGAGAGAAGCGGTTCAGGATGCTTCTGCACTGGCCTTATCAGTCGTGTGGGAGGTAGTCACAGGCGTCGCTGCTATAGGTGGCCTTTCGTCTGCCTATTTGTGGACGAAAAGGCAGTAAGATATGATCAAATATAAGCGAATGGATTTTTTTTCTTGGCCGTCCCAACAGCTGTCCCAACCGCAGACCGTTAGACAGTTAGACATTTCAGTGGGTAGACAACAGAAGCGAATGAAAAGGGCAAAGGACTCAAGGCCCGTTCAGACATAAGAATACAAAGCACCGTAAGACAATGCAGGGTATTTAGGCTAAAAAAGAACACCCTCAGGGTCCAAGTCTCACATCAGAGAGCATTGATCGCGCCGTCTCGCCAGCTTACCAGGCTCAGGCTTGCTTGGGGGCGTCTTGAGCCGGTTCAGTTCCTGCTCTTTCATTTCCTCTTGAGTTTTCAGCCGGTCAGGCTTCACGGATTCTCTTCCACCCTTGATCTTCCACCCATTCAATCGATCTTTGTCGAGATCGTGGAGGGTCTTCCTTTCGACAATGCTGTACTGGCTTGGGTCATTGCGATCAAGGTTGAAAGGCTCGTTCAGTGAAACAGGAGGGTTCGTGATGATGCGCGGAATTCTCAAACTGTTTACCGAAGCCGAGTGTACCATGAGTGGATGGAGAAGGATCACATCTCCCACATTGCCCGTCATCTCGTGAAACTCATGACAGTTTTGTACGACAGAATCGTAGAAGTCAAGCTTGTCGGGATCCAGGTTACTGCCTCGGGGAACCATGTACGGCGATACACCCTCGGGATGATCATACTATCAACGGAGTTAGACACAACACGCAAATTGAAATACCAAGCTCACTTACCAGGTACTGAGCCACCACTTTGATCGCGTCCGAGCAGACCATGGTGCCACCCGCATGATCCTGGATGTCGGTAAACAGGGGGATGACGAGCAACCCCTGCTCAGGCGAATCAAGGAAATGGATAAAAAAGTCGCCGTCAACATGCCACCCGTCCAGTTCGGTCGGCTTGGGTACCTTTCCTTCCGACTCAGCCGTGCCGAGATTAACGATGAACGCGTCGTTCCAGGTAGCCGAGTGGGCCATCAGGCGGTCCTCGCCGCCGAGAAGCCCACAGATGGCGGCCCATGCTTTGGGTGCAAAAGTCCTAACTGGCTCTTCCTTGTGGTCGGGCATGTGAATGCGTTCAGCAGCCCATGTTGACTTGTCTGTAGGCGAGTAGCCGAGTCGCGTCCATACGTCGGCGGTCCACTCAGCAGCTTTTGCCCGGGAGAAGCAGTCGGTAAGTCGGATGAATCCATGGCGCATGAAGTGGTCGACCTGCTCCTGCGTGAGCTTGTAGTCTTGGTGTGCCATCTTGTCTGAGGATTGGGAATATGTAAACTAGGGCGACATGCGAGATCCACAGGTTGATGTCGTCCCGCGGATTGAGGTGACAAAGCACCCGCTGGTTCACGATCTATAAGGTGCTGAATGATCGAAGAATGATCGAGGTAAACCAAGGTCAAGGATTGATGAAAATGAAAACGATGCGAGAACCATCCAGGCCGCCAGGTTGATATTCCGGCTAAATCACCGTATTCACAGGGAAGGAAAGGCCCACCCCCTCTTTCCGCAAAACACAACTTGTCTTGGTTCTTGCCGTTCATCTGACACAAGTTAATCCACGGCTGAGCGTCTTTTATTTGGAAACGGACCATCCATCTCGGACTCTGAGATTAGGTAGAGATTGGATGCTTTGTCTTCAGACAAGTCCAGTAACCCAAAATTCCACCACACAAGAACGTCCAACACGAGCTTTTCATCATTTATGAACAAGTTTGACTTTCTCAGCCAAGAAGAAAATGGGAAATACTCATCCGGCAAGGCTCCAGCTTGATCGTATTGTAGGTTGCGGCCCGCACAACCGGTCAGAGTGAAGCGTTGGGGGGAGGACTGATAGTCACGGCATCGAGGGACTAGACTCGTCGGGCAGAGGGCAAACCGCATGACACATGCAGTATAGCGCAATTCCCTTCTTGCCATTTATTAAGCAGAGGAAACGACCAAAGGCCAGGCCCCGGCCGCGGCATGGAATTCCAGACACAGGGCTTATCTGGTACACGCTAACCCAACCCCATGGGGCAAGGCTGGACTGCTGACAGTACGCTAAACTAGTGCATATATGCAACAATCACTGTATAAAACCACGATACAGAGATTCTACTCCCTAGTGTCTCTCAGGAGACCCTCAAATTCCTTTGTGGTCTCGAGCCAAAAGCTATGGTAGAACCACCCCTGTCTCGAACGCCACGAGGTATTTAGCCGGTTAATATCATTCCTAAGCATTTGTGATGGCAAATGCAACTGCTTAAAATTAGCTATCTCCCTCGGGTTGGTCTCCTTTCCAGTATTCCTTGGTCTTGACCATTAGTCTATATACGCTCAAGGCAGTACCTTCTTACTCGGGATTGTGGCTAACTTGGGGTACATCACGCAAACAATATGCCTCCTGCTGTCGGAGCGGCGTTTCTCAAGTCGGAGGTGAAATTTGCCCAAGATGAGTCTCCCCAGTTGGAGGAGGTCAAATGGTGGCGCGAACCTGGACTGCGACGGCTCTACTTCTGGGCATCCGTCCTTTGTCTCGCATCTGCGACCACCGGTTACGATGGGTGAGTATTCAAAGCCAAGAAGACTAGTTGTCGATATTGATATCTGAAATCAGAATGATGCTCAATACCTCCCAGAATATGGACGCCTGGCAGACCTATTTCGGAACCCCGACCGGCTCAAAGCTGGGTTTAATGAATGCCATCTACCAAATCGGCGGTCTCGTCAGTTTTCCATTCGTGTAAGTGGATAGGGGTTCTATTAGGAGTGCTTTGCTAATGCAATACGAATAGCCCGTTCATGGCTGATCGATGGGGTCGCAAGACTCCCATTATTATCGGGTGCCCTCTTATGATCCTCGGTGGGTTCCTTGGTGCATTCTGCAAGAACTACGGAAGTATGACTGTCCACTTCAAACGACAGGAAAATTCTAAACTTGTTCCCACTCTAGTGTATGTGGCCGGTCGCCTCTTCCTTGGATTTGGCAACAGTCTGGCTCAGATGGCCTCTCCTGTCCTCCTCACCGAGATCTGCCACCCTCAACACCGCGGCAAGGTTACCGCCATCTACAACTGTCTGTGGTATTTGGGTGCATTGGGTGAGTCGTTCGGATATGGTGCATCGATCCGGCTCTGACGAGACCAGTTGTTGCATGGATTGCCTGGGGCACATTGTACATTCATAGTGACTGGTCATGGAGGAGCTTGACTCTTCTCCAGGTTTTCCCGGCCGTGATCCAGATCACCCTCATCTGGTGTAAATTCTCAATATCCTCTACTATGCCCATCGTGCCTATCTAACAGTACTCAAGGGGTCCCAGAATCTCCCCGTTGGCTCGTGTCAAAAGAGCGATACGCCGAAGCTCTCAGCACCCTCGCCTACTACCACGGAAATGGCGACGAGAACAACGCGACCGTCCAATTCGAGTATCGCGAGATCAAAGAGACTATCCGCATGGAAATGCAGTACCAGGAGAACGGCAGTTACCTCGACTTCATGAAAACTCCGGGTAATCGGTACCGACTGGCGATTTTGGTTTCATTGGGCATCTTCTCGCAGTACAGTGGCAATGCTTTGTTCAGCAACTACACCAGCTTGATCTATAACAGTATGGGTATTACCGAGCAAAATAAGAAAATTCCGGTCAGTCGCTTCCTATCCACGAACTCCTCTCTTTACTGATTGGTATTAGCTTAATGGCGGACAAACCCTATTGAGTCTGGTTGTCAGCGTCAGCAGTGCTTTCTTCGTTGATCGCGTCGGGAGAAGACCTCTTTTCTTGATATCAACTGTTGGTAAGTGCTACGATCTTGTAGGGTGTCTCTTGTCACACACTGAACTCCGTGTAGGAATGGTCCTCATGTTCTTAGCGTGGACCGTAACTTCCTCGGTATACGAGAGAACCCAAGAGGTGAAGACCTCGAGCCATCCCCAGGTCGTATTTGTCTGGCTTTTCTCCGCCTTTTACGCGATCGCATGGTCGGGTCTCCTGGTCGCCTATTCGCTCGAAATTCTCCCGTACAGGCTGCGTGCCAAGGGCATTATGATCATGAACTTGACCGTTCAGGCCTCCCTAGTTCTTGGGAAGTAAGCAATTTGCAGGCTACTAGACTAATTGCATACTGACCGTCTTAGTTGTACCAACCCTATTGCATGGGAAAAGCTTCCTCATCACTGGAACCTATCGCTGATCTACACGGTAAGCAATGTCCTGCAAAGGTATATTGTTTGTGCCGTACGCTAATGTACTTGCGAATAGATTTGGATTTTCATTGAGCTTCTCTTTGTGTACTACTTTTATATGGAAACTAGAGGCCCGACTCTCGAGGAACTGGTCAAGATCTTTGACGGCGACAGCGCCGTCGTTGCACACGTGGACCCGCACAAAGTGGAAAGGGAAATCCTTGTCGACGAGAAAAGTCGCATGGAGAACACGAGGCCTGGCTAGGTAGATTGCCAATTTTCAAGGCTTACTGGAGGGCTTTTTCGGCTTGTATATCACTCTAGTGCTGATGCCTATGGTGGTTTTCAATCAAGTGATCTTCCTATTTCATCTCGGGCACGACAGCCGCAGCCACAGCAACAGCCGCAGCCGCAGCCCTAGTTAAAATAACATGTCTTACTCAGGCTCGAAAAGAGACTCCAGCCCTCGTATTCTTTCATAGTGTTTGGGCTCTTCTTATTCTCCTCTACGTTAGAAGATTGAGGCTTGAATGTAAACCGTTGCACTGCCGCGCTGTGGACCAACGTCAAGAGCTGCTTATTTCACGTGTCCGAGCGTCATGCAGCCAGTGATTAGGCCAGGCACCGCTTTTCCGAACAGCTAAGCCTTGCCTAAGTCGCACTAAATTTAGCCCGTATTCCTAATGTAGCACATCTCGAACCATCGCAATCCCCACTACCTTTTTCCCGATTCGGAAAACACGCAAAAATGAGTCGCGCCTTCCCAGGCACAGCTTCACGCCTGCGCTTCCGGGGCTGTGTCGATCCTTCGACCCTTTCAACTCATTGTCTCAGACCTTTCGTTGTCTCACTTCCCGTACTTAAATACACTCCATTGCTACCAGTGTCTCTCCTTACACACCAACTTTACTACAACACTTGCAACATTGGCTACTCCAAACATGCGCTTCTTCTTATCTGCCATCGCTCTCTTGAGCGCGGTCCCACTTCTCATCGCTGCTCCGACGGCAAAGGCTCCAGATGCAACCCAGGGGCTGCCTGACGGACTTCCATCTCCAAGTCCCAGTGAACTGAAGATAATCGAACAAAATGCTCACGGAACCCTGCCCAACGGCCCCCCACCCCCTGTGATCAGCAACATGGGAATCATCAACCTCAAGTTGATCGCATTCAATGAACTCTTCGAGGTGGCTTTCTTCAACGAGCTCATCTCAAATATCACTGAGAACGTGGATGGTTATCGGTTCACCGATGAGGACGTTCGCACCAAAACTCTCTCCTGGTTGAAGGTCATTCTCGCTGTAAGTTTTGTGGATCATGGTTGTTTTTTTTGTCTTTTTGCTTTTTGTTTTTTGTTTTTGGGTTTGTTTTTTTTTTTTAAGTCACTGACTCGGTCTTCGTTCTCTAGCAAGAGGAACTCCATGCGATCAGAGCCAACGACGCTCTGAGCCACTTCGGCGTGAAGCCTGTTGAGCCTTGCCAATACAAATTCCCTGTCCAAGATTTCGATACCGCCATCGCACTCGCCTCAACATTCACTGACCTCGTCCTGGGCACTTTACAAGACGCCGTTGAAAGATTCGCGCTGGGCAGAGACGTGGATCTTGCGCGGGAGATCTCTTCCATCATCGGCCAAGAAGGAGAACAACAGGGATGGTTCCGAGTTCTGCAGGACAAGGCCCCTAGCGAGCTACCGTTCCTGACAACCAGCGACCTCAACTTCGCCTTTACTGCGATTCAGGCCTTCACTGTTCCCGGCACTTGTCCCAATATCTTCGAGATCCCACTGCGCACTTTTGAGACTTTGAATGTTATCACACCTCCGGGCCCGAGAAGCGAGAAGCTCACTTTCTCATTTATGGATACCGGCAATGAGACTGGTCACCAGTTGTGGATGACTTATATCAACCAGCAGAATCTGCCGATTGTCGAGCCTCTGCAAGTTGTCTCGCGGGATGGTGGTCAAGTCCGGGCCGAGGCCCTCTTCCCGTATGAGGAAAATGAGATGAATGGGTTTACGATTGCGGCTGTTACGAAAAGTGACGGACCCTTTGGGGACGCAAGTACCGTGGCCAAATGGACCCTCGCCGGACCTGGACTCATTATCGTTAACTGAACTTTCCCAAGGTCGGCATTGGAATCGCGGCATGATATTTTTAGAGGTGACTCTCTAATGACTGTAACGAATCAAGCACACTGTACCTATTTATATTCTCTCCAATGAAGACTTACGGTTGTAAACTGCGAACTACTAAGTAGAACAATGCGTCAGAAATATAATCACCCATTTCCTAACTAATCAATCAAACCCATAATCCTACACTATGAAAGCACCCTTCAGCGCTTTCGCTTCCATACACCTCGCTTACACTTTACCCTGTCCAGCATTGGCGTTAACAGTCGAGACAACGGAAGTGTAAGCAGAAGCAGTAGCAATGTTCTTGCCCTCAAAGTTAGACAAGAAGCCAGTATCGCTCTGCGAGAAGGTACCAGAGCTACCGAATCCGTTGACCTGGCAGACACAGCCAAGGTAGGTGCTGCACACCTTGTTCTCGGCGGCGGAGGGGGCAGTGAAGAGAGCCCCATCGATGGGAGCCTCGACGATGGTGTCGATGTTCTGGAAGACGTTCCCTTCAGCCAAGACGTAGCCGCCGCTACCGATCTCAAAGGCATGGCCCGTGTTGTCGTACCAGTAGTTGTTGACCTAGTGACAATTAGGGGTATGGTTCTCTGGGAATGGGAGAGAGGGGGGCTTACAGCGTGCAGGACAGTGTTACCCTGGATCTTGGGGCTGCGGCCGCTGGTATGGTAGATGTAGTTACCCTTCAGGGTCACCAGGTCGTTGGATCCGTCGAGGTAGATTGCCCAGTAGTGGTAGGTGTTACATGTGGCGGACCAGGTGGAGTAGCCGTTGATGTAGCTGTTGGAGATGGTCACGCGCTTGGAGGCCTCGGTGCCCAGGACAATGTGCTGACGACCGATGCGAGCAGTCTGGGATGTAGTGTCAGGAGGGCTCTTGGTCAATGAAAAAGATGAGGGCTGCATACAGTAACGTGGTCAATCCAGACCATGTCGGAGTCGTTGATGGTGATGGCGTCACCACCCCAGACGTACTCGGGGTTGATATCGGTGATGGCAATGTTCCTGTGGCGATGTTAGAAGGATCCCTATATGTAATTGGGTTGTTGTATACATACTGGATGATAATGTTGCTGGCGCCGCTGACGCCGCTGACGATACGAAGGCCCTTGCCCATGATGGTGCCCTTGGAGCCCTCTCCAATGATAGTCTTATCAGAGGTGACGGTGATACCCAAAATACCGGCTTTGTCACTATCGACAGTCAATTTGGGTTCTTTGGTATAATCTGGTACAATACGCACTAGGTAACGGAGACGGAGGGCGCTTGCGGCTCGTAGTTGGTGCACCAGTCATTCTGGTTGATGGCAACCTGACAACCGGAGGCAGTACCCCAAGGAGCGCAACCCGTGGAGGTGGTAGTACCCTCAGTGCCGCGGAAGTCGAAGGTCTTGGACAGGACAATCACACGAGCCTCGCTATCACCAAGGTACGAGACTAGCTCGTCGTTGCTGCTGGGGTAGACAGCAGTAGCAGAGCCACCACCAGTAACGCCCTTGGCGAAACCCTCAGCGGCACCCGAGACACTGACGGCAGCAGCGTGGGCAGCAAAAGATGCGAAAAGAGCGGTATACTTCATAGCGAGTAACAGATACCGGGAGAGTATGAAGAGCAGGGTGTGAAAGATCCAGTAACGGGCACACTCGACATCTTATATGATAAAGCCCACAGCGAAGCATAATAGAAATGTTTTTGGCTCCGGCCCTTTGAACAGATAGATAGTCGGCTGTTTCGAATCCCAGCTGCCACCGGGGCGCCATAGTGATACCGCCGTCTCTGGGGCTAACGTCGGTACGCAACCTCGGAGGAAAGGGAGTATGTCCACAGTGCGTGTGGAGTAGAAGGGGGCCTAGGACATGTCCCGAGGTAGAATTGGGCGAGCCACAATGAGTGTCGAATTTAACGCGCGGGCGAATTATTCCACAAACTAAAAATTGATTAAGGTGCAGGCCCGTGAAAGTGGCTTGAGGTTGGAGGATCAGTTCGGTAGTCGAATATGTTTCACCTTCGTATCTCCTACGCCCCACAATTCTGCATTCAGTAGCGTGCTCCATATGGTTCTTTATTGCCGGCCGGACGCTTTACTCGGATGAGGGGTGCTCCGAAGTAGTCCGGCCCTCACTTTAATTTCGAAAACGGTGCCATATCATTTTCACCGAAGTTTATCCGGATTCTTGTGTTTCACTTGTGACTGGGGTGTCTGGTGTAATGGAAAACGAAATTCTCCGTCTTGGCACGGGGTTGTAGTTGCAGTCTAAACATCGGAGAATCCTCAAGGAAGTAGAGTTTGTAGATCACCAAAGTCGGCACTTTTGCTTCAATGATCTCAGACCACCCTTGAACACGGTTTGGTGCTCTTTCGGAGTATCAACGATCGCTGTGAGACTTGCCCATTTAGTGTTAGTGCATGTTAGTGCCAACAGCTTTGTTATCTGGCTCCATAGTGAGGTGTCGAAATTTCTAGACTTGAATTCTCGTCAGCCTCCACAGCTTCCGCGGCAGAGTGCCTTTTCTGGCCCTTTCCTCCGATTTCGGCCTCGGCCACCCAGTGTGGCAAGTTGATATTCGGTATAGCGTGATCTGATATAGTGCTCAGTATCCGTTTATTGCTGTGGAACCGATAGCAGACAAGAAAAACAAATGACAAGGACGATGGCATGATGCGAATGCTCACAATAGGTATAATCTATTAGTAACATCCCATGGAATGGCTCTATCTATTTTATGATGCATGTTGTACAGCTAGATACAAACCGCCGCCATTTTTTAGCGCACCTCTCGGCCCATTTTACATGATCACGGGCAGGTTGCGCTCCAGGTAGCCACGCCACTCAGGAAGAGTACGTTGCCACTTGGTACCGGAGGTCTTCTGGAGGTCCTCGATAGCGCTGGCGTACTTGATGAGGGTGGGCTCGGAGAAGGCAGTGTTCATGATCGCGAGGCCGTACGGCATGCCAGACACATCATTGGTACCGGCCGGTACGGTGACAACGGGGTAGCCGGCCTGGGCAGCGCTCTGGATGCTCTGAGCAACATCCGGAGGCACGAGGAGGCCGTCCAGAGTGCGGTTCTTGTACTTCAGAGCGGCGTCAATGCCTTCCTCGCGAGTAGTCCGCTGGCAGAACTCCAGAGCTGAGAAGTAGGTCTCGTTCATGATGCCCTTGCTCTCCATGGAGGCAATGAGGCCGTCCTGGCCGGAGCCGAAGGCAGGGTGGATGCCGGGGAGACCACCCTCCGAACCGAAGTTGTCGATGTTGTACTGCACAAGATCTTCGACGGTCTTGATGTTGGTGTTGTTGACCTCGGCGAGGTAGTCGCGCAGGTTGTTATAGAAGTCAACCTTGATGTAGGAGTACTCCGATTCGTTGGTGTAACCGCGAGTGGTGCCATAATCCCAGTTCCATCCATCGGGAGAGACAATTGTCTTGTAGTGAGGAAGCTCGGTGCCGTTGACGATGGTAGCACCGGCAGACTTGATCAAGGTCAGAAGCTCCTGCAGCTGAGCAATCTGGTCGGCGTCACCAAGAGCCCAGAAAGACTCCCAGGGCAGACCGAACACGGCACCCTTGAGAGCGTCCTTGTTGGTGAGGAACTGGGCGTAACCACCTTTGGGGGTGTAACCCTCCTGAGCAAGGGTGTAGTTATCGCGGGGATCCACGCCGTAGATGGCATCAAGGGTGTAAACGGCATCGCGGACGGTCTTGCCGAAGGTGCCAATGGTGTCCTGGTGCAGAGACTCGGGGATGACGCCGGAACGAGAGGTCAGACCAACAGTAGGCTTGATTCCAACGATAGCATTTCTCTGGGCAGGGTTGATAACGCTGCCGTCGGTCTCGGTACCGATGGCAATGGGGATCAGGTTAGCACCGACGGCAACACCGGGACCAGTGCTGCTACCACCGGGGTTAACGGTGAAGTTGTAGGCACTGCGGCACTGACCGCCACGGCCGCTGAAGCCCTCGGAGTAGTTGTTCGAGCGCATGTCGGCCCACTCACTCAAAGCACCCTTGCCTAGGAGCAAAGCTCCGGCCTTACGAAGACCGTGCACGACGTGAGAATCGCGGGGCACAACGTTACCCAGCAAAGCCCAGCAGCCGGCAGTGGTCTCCATGCGGTCCTTGCTGGCAATATTGTCCTTGACAATGAAAGGAATACCATGGAGAGGACCACGAACCTTACCCTGAGCACGCTCCTCATCCAGCTTCTGGGCAATAGTGAAAGCATCCGGGTTGAATTGCAGGATGGCACTAAAAATCTGTCAGCAGTCGAACAGTACGATCTTGGTCCATTTGGAACTTACTTGAGGTAAGGCTGGGTCTGGTGGATGCGGTCAAGGTAGCATTCCAACAGCTTAACGCTGTTCAAAGATCCATTGCTCAAGCGCTCCTGAATCTCATCGACACTGGCCTCCTCCAGCTTGAAACCGTGGCAGTCACGCATGGGGAACAACGAGGCGCCAGGGGCGCCCAGGCGAGGGAAGTCAAAGGCATAGGGATCGTTGAGGACCTGGGAAGCAACGAGAGTATCGACTTCCTGGCCATGGCCAGAGGCAATGGCCGAACCGACCAGCGCCAAGCCACTCACGATGGTCTGCAACAAGGGCGACATGATGTGAAACCGAGATCAAAATGAACCCCACCAAAAAACCATGTGGCAGAGACGATCTTCCAGGGAAAGCCGGATATCATATACCTTCGTCTGAGACAAAGTATGGGGCTACGGGGACATAAACACCCCTGACTAAGCCAGGAATTTGCAGGTCCACAATCGCCGAAATCGCAGACAAAACGCCAACAGTAGCAGTATGTGAACGTGAGCGAAACACTCACGAGGCTACCGTATAACGCACTTGTCAAAACGGCCCGCAAACGTCTTTCTACCTTTCAGAAGCTTCATTCAGCACCTGTGGGAGCGAATTTTCGACTCCGAGCCATTATCAATCGAACGACTAGCGCGATCAGAAGGGCGAAAAATTTAACCTCCTGCCTAAAGAGCGCAATGAATCCTTCAGGATCTGCAGGGCTCGTGTAGTGCATGGGGCCGGATCTCGCCCGGTTTTCCACGATCGGTTAGCATCGATCTGGACCCACCACTGCACGTTGAGTGGCCCATCCCGGCCCGTTAACCCTCGAGGTCCTTTATCTCGCGACGTTGGTAACACGAGCGGGTCCACAATTACGCATTGGAAATGATTGATAGGCTATGTAGCTTGATGGAGCTGCTCTATATACGAATTGCCAAGATATTTACAAACTTTCGACCACAGCGAGGTCACTGAGAAAGCATCGTACCATGTCTGAATAGACTGTATTCGTCATCTTTCACTCTGGAACGATGTTATCAAGACCCGTTGAATTGCTGCCGACAGATCTTTGATTCGGAATCATGAAACATCGCCTCAGCATATGAGAGGATTCCCGTATTTGCACCCATTGAGTTTCAGTACGAAAAGTCAATATGGACTCCACTGTTTCGTTCACCATCTTGGGACCGGGTGATTGTCGGCGGTACACGATTCCCGTTGGCTGCGCGAATGGATATGACTTGGATTTATTGAACATCCTGACCCGCTTCTGCGTCCGCTTTCTTTCTCGGAATATTGTTCTCGCCCGTTGTTCGTTCGTTATAGCCAAAGTTTCTCGTTTTGCGTCCGTTGTGTGAATTTTGACCAGACTTGCCATGTTTCCTTGAGTATCATTCCTTTCTTTCAATTGACCTGCTATGACGATTCCCGACGATATCCTCGCTGCAAAGGCAGCGCGGAGAATTCCCGGCGATGTCTCCCTGTCGTACCTTGCTCAGTCGCGCGATCATTCGGCCATTGTGGGCATTGTGTTTCTGGTCTGTTTGACGGGCGTGGTGATGATCATTCGTCTCTATGCACGGTTATTCCTTGTCAAAAAGATTGGCATTGATGATGCATTGGCGACCTTGACAATGGTATGTCCCGATAAATTCCTCCGAGCTGAATAAACAGCTATATGCTATAAAACTTGGAAGACATCTCTAAACCCGGGATCAAGCTAATCATAGCCAAACAATAGCTGATCTACATCGCATTCGTTGCCCTGTCCATCGTCCTCATCGACCTCGGAAGCGGCCGCCACATTGAATACATCCAATACGTCCTATCTATGACAACTGTGCGCGAAACTGAAGTCCTCGATTTCGTCGCACACGTTCTCTATACAACAGCCCTTTTCTTTTGTCGACTTTCCGGTCTCGCCTTTTACTTCCGGCTCACAGCACGCGCCGGCAAACTCCACATTGCCATCCTAACAGCTGCGCCGTTCCTCCTTGCCGCCTACCTCCCGCAGCTTTTCCTTTTGATCTTCCACTGCAAACCTGTTACCGGTCTGTGGCCATATGAATGGCTGAGTGAACCCATTACCTATACGTGTCTTCCGTGGGGCTTGGTCTATTCCGTCAACTCGGGGCTTTCTCTTGCTTGTGACGTGATGATGTTCATCATCCCCGCCATCCTCATCAGGCAGCTTCACGTCTCTATGGAAAAGAAGATCAAACTCTCGCTGGTCATGTTCCCCGGTGTATTGTAAGTCTGAATTTCCCCCTCCCTCAGGGCCAAACTAACACCCAAAAGCGTGATCATCATCTCCGCCGTCCGCGTCTGGCTCGTCATACGAGGCCAATGGGCCTCCGACGGCAGCTGGGCCTACAATCCAATGCTATGCATCGAAAACGCCGAGATCGCAGGAACCTTGATCGCACTCTCCGTCCCCGCCCTGAAACCCGTCTTTGGAAACCTCTTCTCTCACCTGACAGAGTACACCTCTAGCCATACGCGATCGCGATCTGCAGGTAGATTGCGCAGCCATTCCAACCCGGTGAGCGCTTTGGGCTCGAATGCTCGCGACGACAAGCGGCTGTTAAACTGGTCTAAGCGCGGCCATGATGATTACGAGATGATGCCTTCTGAGGTCTCTGTGACGAGAGATGCGAATGGGTCGATTGTTTCGTCTACGGTGCCTGGTATTAAGGTGACAAATGAGGTTAATATTACAAGGGTGGATGGGAGGACGCCTTCGCTGGAGAGCTTGTCGCGGCCTTCTTCGCGGGCTGCTTAGGGTGTTGCTACGATAGATACATCAGAATTTAATAAATAATAGTCTTCAGAGCGTTATAAGATGATGACGTCGTGGAGATTGTTGGTGGCACTTATGTCAAGTCCAGCCAGATTTAGCTGATGAATTTCCAAGTGTTTCGTGCAGTCTCTTCATCTCTTTACTTACATGGGTGCGGCACGTAGCACACGCAGGCAAACTCGGTCATCACAATCTGACATTATAATTTCAGTGTTGCTAATCCAGCTTAAACTTAATCTATAGCATTTAAGAATAAGGCTCCCCGTTTGGGATGGCTAGCAGCAGACTCATTTGCTGACCGAGGAGATGCTGCGACAGTAAACATGGGGTATAGCAACTGTTCAATACATCCGCCAGCAACCCTCATCACACCGGTACCAATTTCATATTCATTCGTGAAGACATATACACTGAGGCTTTCCCGGTCTTCATTGGAAAGTACCCGAGCATTTCCACCGTATATCTGCCACCCGATGGGCCCATAGCCTTCACTTTGCATGCAGAGCTAGGAGAGGCAACGGCTTGACTGATGATCTTCGGTGGTCATGACAAGGAAATAGTTCTCCTGGCTGCAAAGGAGACTGCCGAGATCGCGGGTGTCATCAACGAGACCACGGGCCGAGAGGTACAGGTCAAGCTCATTTCTCCTGACCCATTCATGCAATTGAAGGGCATCAAGGACGAAGGAGGGAAACCGGAGGCATTCTCTCACAACTTTTTTACATGCTACGAGGCAATTGCCCGGGGTAATGCCGGGACGGTTGATCTGCTCACGGCCGAGGTGCTGGGCAAGGAGCCGGTGACGTCCCGGGGATGATCCGGGGATTTTTGAAGGGGAAATGGAGACTATGAGTGGCACCAGAGCTATAACTATCAATCGCGATTAGTTATCAGCATCTGTTAATAGCGGGTGTTTCAGTTGTTGCATGTGAGTGCGGTGTAAGGTGTCAACAACACCGAGGCCACTGGGTCGGCGCAGCGGAGCCGTGGTCTCGGCAACCGATTCGGAAGTGGGTGCCTTGCAGCCTGAGGCGAACATCGCCATTGTTGGTCTATCGTCAAATTTGGGCGTGGTGTGATCATGTTAGATTTGACAATCCAATATTAAATGTACGTCTGATGTTTTTAGTACCACACCCTCCGTTTATAGTGAACTTTGGGGACAGCACCGGCCTTTGAACGGCACTCGACCGTCTGAGGCAAACCGTGTCCGCCCGATGCTGACAATCGGAGCCGAATTAACACGGCGGTGATTGGTGGGTAGCCCCTGACTCAGCACGTTGCCGACGCTCAAACCCGAGGTTACCAAGTGAAGTTGCTCCTTGACTTCATTTTGTCGCCATCTGTGCTTGTGGTGCTCCGGCTTGTTTTGACCGTCTCTCTACCTTTTGGTCCATCTCCTCTCTCATACCTTGCTGTCCGTACAGCCTTCACCTCAATTTTGTCGTCAGCCCCGGATTTTTTAAATTCGCCTTTAATACACCATGGCCTCCCTCCGCTCCACGTCGCGATTGTTCGCTGCGTCGCGGCCCCTGTTCCGCCCCGCCACCTTTGCTCGCTCCTATGCGACTGTCGAGTCGACTCCCAAGAATGTCGACCCCATCCCCTCCGAGAACCCCAACATGAAGACTTTCAAGGTCTACCGCTGGAACCCGGACAAGCCGAGCGAGAAGCCCAACATGGAGAGCTACCAGCTGGACCTCAACAAGACCGGTCCCATGATGCTGGACGCTCTTATCCGGATAAAGAACGAGATTGACCCGACCCTGACCTTCCGCCGATCCTGCCGTGAGGGTATTTGCGGTTCCTGCGCCATGAACATTGACGGTGTCAACACCCTGGCCTGCTTGTGTATGTTCCCTCACCATTCCGCAAAATGCACCTCCGAGCATTGTACTGACTCGGTCCAGGCCGTATCCCCACCGACACCGCCAAGGAGTCTCGCATCTACCCCCTGCCTCACACCTACGTCGTCAAGGACCTCGTTCCCGATTTGACCCTCTTCTACAAGCAATACAAGTCGATCAAGCCCTACCTCCAGCGTGATACCCCCACAGAAGACGTGAGTCCCTCTGCCATGTTTAATACATATGCGCCCAGTCTAACACCTTTTAGGGTCTTGAAAACCGCCAAAGTCCCGAGGACCGCAAGAAGCTCGACGGCCTGTACGAGTGCATTCTCTGCGCCTGCTGCTCCACCTCCTGCCCTTCATACTGGTGGAACAGCGAGGAGTACCTGGGCCCCGCTATTCTCCTCCAGTCGTACCGCTGGTTGGCTGACTCGCGTGATGAGCGCACCGCCGAGCGCAAGGCCGCTCTCGACAACAGCATGAGCGTCTACCGCTGCCACACCATTCTCAACTGCACACGGACCTGCCCCAAGGGTCTGAACCCCGGTCTCGCCATCGCCGAGACCAAGAAGATGCTGGCCGCATAAACGGGGATATAAAAACGGAGTTGGGATCTTTTTTTCCTTTCCAATGTCTTGCCAGCCGCTTTTCTTCTGTTTTTTTAACTTTACTTTTTTTTTCCGACCCTATCACGGATGTTTTCATAGGTGTAAATTGTGGACATTTGTTTCTTTACAGGAATGTACTGGTGGTCCAATTGATTGAAATATTCAAACTGGAATCTAAAACTTATTCGGCTATATGCCTCGCTATTAGGGGAGAATTGTCTCCATCTTCCATGCCAGGTGGCATATGTTGGAGTTCCCAAGGCTCTTCTATAAATCGTTTGATCATCCCTTGATCATATTGACCGAACTCACTTGAACCACCCCAAAACCTTCACCAAGTGTGCGGACATTAGAATATGCGGATCAAAACTCGGTTATTTGTTTTCCCCAACTCGACTCGATCACCCAAAATGGTCCGTTCACGCTTACATCATCGGTCATTAGCGCAGCCCCGACTAATACAATGTACGGCAATATCTCACGATAGTCCATGACACCGATGTCCTTGGTTGGTATTTGCTTTTTCTACGCACTGAGTTTCCAAGTCGCCCATAAACCGCCAACCAACAACCACGGGGCTGCACGATCATTTGACACGGGATAAGCACGGACGTGCTTGTCTGTGGATCGGATCTGATGCATGCTGTACATTGTCCTTAGTTATCACGTCCTCGGACCATGGGTGGCATCCAACAAACCCCCCGGGGCCCCATCCGGGGAAAAATTCCACTGGTGTAGCGAGCGTCGTTAAGAGGTGGCTTCGGGACCTCTGTCCGAGCGCGGTTGGCGCCATGCGGGAGAGCTGGTGGGAAACATTATAGTTCCTGGTTCTATAGCATGTCAGCCCTGGCAATACCATTCAACCCATTCAAGGAGGAGCTTCGGCCGCGGTTTTGAGAACCCCGGTCCCCAGCTGCCCTTTTCTCAAATAGTGCGTTGCTTGCCCCTCTCGTCTCTTGTTTTTCTCGTGTTTTCTTTTTCTTAATTACTCCATTATCGTGATATGAGCTCGATCTGACCCTCCGGATTCCCGCGCTGTATCCTATCCTTAAAATGGAATCTATTCTACTTTACGCTGCTCTGGCAGTCCTGACACTCTTCGTGTTCTTCGGCCTGCGTGTAGTAATCTATCGTTTGTGCGCTCATCCGTTGGCCGGATTCCCCGGACCCAAGCTCGCCGCCGCTACTTTCCTCTACGAGTTCTACTACGATGTCGTCAAGAGTGGCATGTATATCTGGGAAGTTGAGCGCATGCATGAGAAGTACGGTGAGCATACCCATTGCTTCACCAGGAGCCCGGTCCAAGCTCCTGGGTGCCAATACCTCTACTAACAATCCTTTAGGTCCCATAGTGCGCATCAGTCCCAGGGAACTCCACATCAAAGATCCCTACTACTACGAAGAGATCCACGCCCCAGGCTTCCGTAAACGTGCCAAAGATCCAAAGTACGCCATGGCCTTCGGCGCTCCCTACTCCCTCGTTGGAACCGTCAACCATGACCACCACCGTCTGCGTCGCAGCATCGTGGCCAACTACTTCTCCAAACGCTCCGTCATGGATCTCACCCCCATGATCAATGAAAAGGTCGACAAGCTAATCGCCCGCTTTGAAGACGCCTACCACCAGGATACAGTCCTCAATCTACTGATGGACTTTGCTGCCCTGACTACTGACGTGATCACGCACTATTGCTACGGCTGGAGCTATGGATATTTGGATGACACGAAGAGCGCGAGTAGCAATGACCTCGTCGATGCTGTGAATGGACTGATGTGCATGTTTCACATCAATCGCTTCTTCCCGATTCTCATCACTATCCTCCGTGCAGCCCCGCCAGCCTTGGTGGGTTGGTTGCAGCCCAGTATGGCGGACTTGTTTAGTTTCAAGGCTAAACTTCGTCAGCAGGCTAGTGAGACTCTACAGAAGAGGCAGACGGATATGGACTTCAAGGAAATGGGTTCTATCTTCGATGCTCTGGTTAGTCCTCACGTTCCGCCCGAGGAAAAAACCTTGAATCGTTTGGAGGATGAGTCCGCTTTGTTACTGGGTGCTGGCACGGAGACTACTGCACGCGCTATATCTATGTCTATGTTCCATCTCATTAACAACAAGGACATCGCAACCAAGTTGCGCGAGGAGCTGCGGACTATTCTGGAGACGCCTACCTCGAAGGCCTCGTGGACTCAACTTGAGCAGCTCCCTTATCTCGTAAGTTTCAATGATGCTATCGATTTTCTTATCGGGGAAACCAACTCCTAATATTAGCTCGAATCGTAGACGGGAGTTGTCAACGAGGGCCTTCGCTTGAGTCACGGCATGACCGCACGTCTAGCTCGCGTTTCGCCCAACGAGCCAATGCTCTACAAGAATTGGGTCATCCCAGCGGGTGTAATTATACATTTCTTCCCGATTGCTACTACAAGTATCGTTCGATGTTTGCAATACTAACTCGCTCCAGACTCCGATCAGCCAGTCAAACTACTTTGTGCACATGGACTCGACCTTGTTCCCCGAGCCAGAGAAATTCGACCCAGAACGATGGGTCCGCGCCGCAGAAAACGGCGAGTACCTCAGTCGATTCATCGTCGCGTTCACCAAGGGAAGCAGACAATGTCTGGGAATGAAGTGAGTGTGCATTTCTTGTCCAAGTTGAATGTTTACCTTGTGGGTTGAGGCTTTGTTAACAAACCCGAGATGTCTTTTCGCATTTGATGATTAAATTCTTGTACTAACGGATACGAGCCTCGCCTACGCCGAGATTTACATGTGCCTGGCCCACATCATGCGTCGCTTCGATTTCGTTCTTCACGAGACCACGATTGATAACATCGCTGTCTACCGGGAGCTGGGAATCGGCTACCCGAAAGAAGGCTGCTTCAATGTCAAGGCCAAGGTCGAGGCCATTGTGAAGGAATGACCCGTGGTAATCTTTTCTCTCTGATCAAGTCTGAAAGGAGGTTCTTAGCTATCTGGACTCGGATTCATGTGGGAATATGGAGTGCGTATGTGATGAGATACCCGGCACGTTTCTATTTGCGATTTGAATTTTCAATTCGATTATTCCACTTTCTACATACGCACAGAATGCCCAAGTGGAGAGGAACATGGTATGTTCAGGGTGGTTAGGAGCGTAGAGTTCAGCCGCCCGCTTCTGGAATGTGAGTTTACCCCACCTCTCAACCTCAGTAAACACTGCTCCCCTTGTCAGCAGTACGCGTCATCAAGGTGTCACTTTATCGAGGATGGGTTACAAGTTGTTGGATGTGGGTGACGCGATGTCATTCTGTGGGACGAATTCGCTATTCAAGCGACGAAATCGGCATCAGCCGCGCTGTTGCGTCCAAAGGCCGGTCCAAAAAAATCGCACGAGTCAACCTCCAAGAGCGCAATTCAAACCTGCGTGACGGATATCTTTTCATTGCGATACAAGTAAGCCCTAAGCACTGAGTCCGTCGGCCAAGGAGCAGCTTGTCTCCGGATATCACATTGTATAGCGGACCCCACCATGGAAATCGGTGATCACGCTACTCCTCGATGACAGCCTGTAGCACGATAGTGGCTGTATTAGCCTTCCGGGAACACGTTTCGCCTCGCAGCGCAAGCCGGTCGATCCCGTTGAGGGTACCCATGTACGAGACCGACTGCGCTCGTGTCCTTCTGACGGCCGTGCTTGGAGAGGAGGATACCGCGGGATTACCGTCCACTGTAGTGCTTCTCTGGACCCATAAACTATCGCGGCTGGTTGCGGGCAACGATGTCCGGAACGCAACGGCTTCGATCAGCCAGGATGTGAATCCCACCGCTCGTCGCCGTGACTCACATGCGGTGAGTAGATGGCTCCGTTTCACTGCCCGACAGCACCTAAGGAAGACTGCTTTGGGGTCACTGCCCCATCACCGCATTCCCCATTTGTCATCCGCTGGGGATGACCACAAGCACGTTTCTCTGTTCTGCCCAAGCTGCGTAGGAGAATGTAAGGGCCACAGAACACCCTGCTTGTCGGCCCCCAGCCCCCGCTCCTTCCCCCTGCCTCGAGGGCCTCAGGTGGACCGGGATCAGATCCTGCGCCGCAGTGACTGCGCCATCACCTGCGCAGCCCCGGGGTAGTTTCGCGTACGTGGCCGCCAATTGTCGTCCCCTCCATTTTCGCATTTTGTGCCTTTCTTTGACCTTTAATCCCTTCGTAGTGCCGTTATAAAGTGATAGTGCCTGAGATTTGGTGTGCTGTAAGCACATCCTTTTCAAAAACTAGAAGCTTTTTTCTCCGCTGCATACCCGAGGACGCTAGTATTTCGCCTAGCGAGTGTAACCCTACGCATCGACGCCACCTAGAAATCAATAGAGCTAAACTAAGCCGAGAGGCTACGAGGCAGACAACAAACTTTGAATATAAAAAGCACCAGGACTGCTGTGGACTTCTTACTAAACCTTATCTTTTTGAATCAACGTGATATATCTTTTATCATTTGTATCATCCTCTTCCTCCTTGCGATGGCTTGTCGTGCACTTGTATACAAAAAAACAAGTGTGATACTGTCTCCAAAGCCTCAAAATCCTGCCAACCCTACATTCCTTGACCCTACCACCAACACTGAGTTCAACAAGTATGCCATTGATACTGGAGATGCAAGTGAAGCTGAGATGATTGCTATCGAATACATTTGCAGCTATAACCCTGACGAGGATGGTGAAACGTGGCTAGTTAGCGAGGAGGGCAACCCCGTTATAAAATTGACTAGCGACTATTTCGACAACTTCGGTGGAATCTCAGAGAAGATTCCAAGCACCGAAACTTATTCCTTTAGCCCAGAATATTTTCAGGCTAAGCTATCACTTGTTCGTGCGGATCCTCTACTTCAGAAAGAAGCTCAAAAATGGTCAGATGATGTTAAGGCTGCTCGGCTGGCGCAACTCTCTACGCATTGAGCGAACGCTCTTGATAGGAGCGTTAACTTTAGAGTGGCTCGTCTCGATGTAAGTCTACACAGACTTGTCGCAATATAGGAGGCTGTCGATATCTTGCTTGTTTAAATTTTGTCTATTATTACGCAATACTTCCAGATGGCTATTGGCATTAGAGAGTCATGCAGTTGCCAGTATTGGTGTCTACCTTGGGCCATTGATTATATGTAACTACGAAGTGGCCGCGTGTCTTGATAGATCAGTCATTTTCTATCAGGCAATACACTCTCCGTTAGGGTTGGCCTTCTCTTTTGCTTTTTTGCCAATAGTGTAACCGCCGTGTTCCTGGACTAAAACAAGTCAAGGGTGGAAGGCACGCAATCAGCTGACAGCGCATTATGTCGACTTTATGTCTGGACCATTCGAGGAATCAGTACGTCCTAACTTACCTGATGGCTCTGTAGTCACCATTCTTATCTTCCTAAGGGACCTTGTACTGATGGGGCTGGTTGCCAATTTTTGGGACTGTTTTATATCCATGCGATGAGGTTAGGCGCAGCCCAGTACGTGGCCCACCTACGATGGACGATTGAAAGTTTCGGTTGAAAGTTTCGGCTTTGTCATGGAGCAGGATCGTGTCGTTAGATAAGGTGGAAATAAACAGTCCGGCATCATCTGGCGTCACCGACGAGTGATCAATCAAGGATTGAAGACAGTTAGTGGTGCGGGCGGTCGGGTTCTCACGCTTGGCGGTCAGATCACCCGTCTAAAAGTTGCCATCGGTCGCCGGGTCTACTTATTCATATTTTTACACCTTGAGAAGTTGCCGGTAATCCGTTCAAATACCTTCCTAGAAGCGAGGTGAAGAATGTAACTCTTCTCTCCTCCTCAAATACTTAACATTTTTCAACAAGTACATTGAGAGCATTTTCTACCATATGAACAAAGCACACTATGAAGTGACAATTATGATACATGAGCATAATGTTAAAAGAAAGACATTTCTAATCATGCAGTATGCCTAGGTAAACGAAAGAAGTATCCTTGGGGTAAATACATAAGCTTGGAAACTTCCAACATTCGAAGGCAGACTGCTAACACAAGTGGATATATATATGAGAAGATTCATTCCCTCCAGGATATCAAAATATTCTTCAAAATCAAACATGAGTTTCTTTATTCTATGAACTTCACAAGTGTTCTCTAATTAGAATTCCATATTCTAAAATGAGTTCTTACGGCAAAAAGTCCACTTGGTGTCCACGGGTAGTGTCAACCATGGTATAATCTTGGAAGTCAACTCAGTCCTATCGGCAAAGAGTGAACCACATATTCCCAAAGTCTGCCTGACAAAAATTAATCCATTTTCACATGATTAATAATTAGGCCAATCATTATATCCATACGCTTTATACGAATTCAATTATCTCGGGGCTTGAAGATCTACACACTCAAACTAACGCCGTTGTCTGCGGACTACTCAGGCAAGTGTCTTTGGTCCCAGGGCACTTGAAACACCATATCCGACCAGATTTGTAGATTCAATCTCAATCATCAGGCCAAAAAAGTTTGAAAGTGCTCCTGGCATGCATCAGACAGTCTGTCAACTTGAGATGGCCAAATCAAGGGTGGCCGGGTTGTTACACCCGATTGTACCTGGAGCAGAGCAAAAATGTGAAGCACTTTAGCTTGTCGATCAAAGCATAAAACCTTATGTTTGAGCACAGGACGCGTGAAAATTATTGGGGCAGCCAAAGCTCAAAATGTGATTGATGGCGGGTCCAACGCTCGGGTGTTCGATCCGCAAGGGATAGTTAGAGTTGCCAGTGGAATGGGCTACTGCGTTCCTGAATGCCCCTACATGGAATAAAATGTTTGGAGATGAGTAAGCTATCACCAAAGGGAGTAGAAAGGGTGTTACTCTCAAGGGACGTGAAAGGCACAACCGATTTCCAAGCCGCGTTTCATGAAACCCATAAATCATGCGATGAGCAGGATCCCCACGAGACACAAGTTTGAAACAGTAGTTTGACCTGCAGGGTTCATGCAGCCGCTAAAACCCAAGTCTAGCCAAGCTTTATGCGTCTTCCTATGTTGCAATTGAAAGATAAATTATGAGCAGACACCTTTGCGTGCTTTTACCCACAAAGCGATAAACGATGTTTAGAGCGCTTGTTCCAACCCCCGGCTTTACTAGGTATATTTGCCGGCGATCATTCCACAGGAGCCAACCGTGATTTGAGGACATAGTAAGGGAATCCAATTATGTGCCCTGGCTGTATCTCTTCCATACCACGGCCTAGGGCAAACCCCTTATGCTATGCAACCTCGTCATCCACTCCAGCGCTGATCCTCATCCGCGCGTGTGGCATGGAGGACGCGGTATTGACACCACAACAGAGTGTAGATCAATAACCCCAGTTTTCTCTACATAAAAAGCCTACACACCCCTTTACCCCGACGCCATTTCAAAGTCTGTTTCCGACCCGTTACTTTCATTTCCGACAGAGGCCAGTACACGATGCACACGGCGTATCTTTCTTTCGTGGTGTTCGCCATCGCCGCGGCTGCCGCACCCTCATTCCCCAAGTCCGACAGCGATCCTTTCTCTGGCACCTTTCCGTTCTTCCCTTCGGGCAGTTCCAGTCTTACCGAAGATGATGATGGCATGAGCAACCCGGTCCCGGCCTACTTGGCTGCCATGGACGCCGTCGAGTCTGCTCAGGCCGGTTCTTATAACACACCTCAGCCTACCAGCAATATCCCGCCCCAGTATATTGCTCCTCAGATGCAACAGGCTCCTCCGGCACCTAAGCCTCAGCCTCCTGTCCCCAAGGTCCAGACTAAGCCTAAGGTGGAGCAGAATGCTCCTTTGTCGGACCCTGTCGCCAACGACCCAGTGCCCAAGGACCCCATTCCTGCTATCCCGGCCGCTCCTGTGGCTCCAGCGCCCAAGCCCTCTCACAAGGCTAAGCCTAACTTTGCTTCTGCCGCAGTTGCTGAGGCTGTTCCTACGTCTGAGGCCGTTCCTACCTCTGAGGCTGCTCCTACCTCTGAGACTGTTCCTAATTCTGAGACTGTTCCTACTTCTGAGGCTGCTCCCGAGCCCACTCTCAAGGCTCCCGTTGCTGTGACACCTAAACCAGCTTCCCACATCGCCAACCCCTCTTCCAAGCCTGAGCCCGGGAGCCCTATGATTCCTTCCAAGGTTGCTTCCAGTTCCAAGGCTACTTCAAGCTCTAAGGCTCCTTCAAGCTCTAAGGCTCCTTCCAGTTCCAAGGCTACTTCAAGCTCTAAGGCTCCTTCAAGCTCTAAGGCTCCTTCCAGTTCCAAGGCTACTTCAAGCTCTAAGGCTCCTTCCAGTTCCAAGGCCAGTTTCAGGGCTCCTTCCAGTTCCAAGGCTACTTCAAGCTCTAAGGCTCCTTCAAGCTCTAAGGCTCCTTCCAGTTCCAAGACCAGTTTCAGGGCTCCCTCCAGTTCCAAGGATACATCGAGCTCCAACATTCGCCCGACCCCCACTTCGGCGATCAGTAGCTTCATTTCCAAGGCCTCTCCCAAGCCTACCCACCGCCCCACGCACTCTGTTGGTGTTCACGAGGGTCACCTCTCTTCCGTCGCCAAGCTCGACACTACTCCCTCGAGCTCTGCTACTCCCTCTGCCAGCGCCACTCCGTCCGGTCTCAGCTTCCTCGGTCTGGACAAGGTAGTTGAAGATGTGCCCATCCTTGGTTCCATGCTCGGCCCTCTCTTTGGTGGCGCCTGAATATTTCAGATCAGCCACAACTAGCATGTCGATCATCAATTGAGCATCTATATAGTACAGTATACTCAACAAGGGGTTGGGTTGGGAGCAATTGCTTTTTCTTTGGGCCTCATTGATATCCAAGAATCTTTTTAATTGAAACGGCGTTGGAGTTTGGACCATGTTATGAATCTATAATTGAATGTATCCAGCTTAAAGAGTCTCAAAAAATACAAGTGCCACATCAAATCCTTCTTCAAGGGTATCTTCCAGTAGAGTTCAGCCGATCCATGCACCCCTCCACGGCCTTCTGCATAGCATTCGTAGCCTCCTCCAGCAAAGTAGTAAGCGGAACCTTACCCGCCTTCTCCTGCTGCACCTTGATATACTCATTATTCAACACCTTGTTGATATTGATCTTCGATACGCCGCAATCAATGCACTTCTGGAAAATCTCCTTCGTAAAAGGATCAGCACCATGCAGCACAAGCCGCACCTTGCCTCCAATAGTCTCATTAATCGACTGCAGCCTCTCATACTCAAGCTGAATACCTCTCGGCCCGTACTCGCCATGCACGTTTCCAAAAGCAGGCGCCAACCAGTCAATCCCCGTATCAACAAACTCCTGACTCTCCTCGGGGGTCGTCAACAACCCCTCCAAATCAGCCGTATCAGCAACTCCGTCCTCTCCTCCCTCGATGCGCCCAGGCTCCGCTTCCGTGGCGATACCCCGCGCGTGGCAGTATTCCACCAGCTCGCGCGTCAGGGCAAGGTTCTCCGCCTTCTCGTAGTGCGACATGTCGACCATGATACTGTCGAAACCGCCTAGATCTGCGGCCCGCCGGATGATCTCGGGCGTTTGCGCGTGGTCCATGTGCACCGTTACAGGCACCGAGGCGTTGCGGGCGGCTTCCGCGGCAGCGTGCACGAGGATTCCGTCGGCGTAGTGCACGGCCCACGGGAAGAGGAGGATCATGGCGGGTGAGCGTTTGGCTTCGGCTGCGCGGACGGTGGCTAGGATGCCTTCCACGTTGTAGCAGCACATGGCGGGCACGCCGTAGTGGTTCTCGGCGGCATGGTCGAGGATGCGCAGGGCGCGGTTGTCTGTGAGTGACATTGTGGTTTTTTGGTGTTTAAAGAAGAGAGGGGTAATTGAAAGGTAGGATACTGTGGAGTTAAAGTCTTTTATTCCTCCTGGGCTGCTATGTAGGCGCTAGTTGTCTTGTCCGATTGTTGCGATCAGGTCGCATGTTGTCCGATTATTCGGAGATGGTCCGAGAGGGTCCAATGACGTCTAATTGACTTCCGGCGGAAGTTGATACCCGCGGGATAGGAATTCGCAGTCTCTCGGCCGTAAATTTGGAAATTGAGCTAAACTATTACCTTGTGGTCTTCTGCAGAGCATTGCGCGAATTAATCGTGGTGTCTAAGGACAGAATGGTTCAAAATGGTAACATCGAATTGAGAGTGGGTACGAGTAGACAGAGATTGAATTGATAGAAATCACGAATCAACAATGAAAATACGCAGGACTATTGGATTTATAAACTAGTTTCCAAATACTTTAATAACACTGGTGCTTCCCTCGGCACCGAATCCAGCCTTTTTCGCCAAGAACAAAACATTCATCGCGGCGTTGCCCAGATGCAACGGGCAATGCAAGTCCCGCGCCGTCTGCACAGCCTTCTCCAAGCGAGTAATTACATCGTTAACAGACTCTGAATTCTGACCAATGCGACCATCGATCATCTCCAGTCCCTTGGTCATGAATTGGCGACTTGCGCCGGCGGCATCGCTGACAAGAGTGAAGAATTGCTTCAGATCGACATTGAGATAACCAGCGAAAGCGATAGCTTCGGCGGCAGCAACGAGGTTGGTTAGCTGCATCAGGTCCAGGACGAGCTGTTGTGCCTCGGCGGTCTCCTCGGCAGACTTGGTGTTTGAGACCTTTGTGATTGCCGCGGGGTAGTACTGGCGGACCATAGAGGAGTCGTCGACTGCACCGTATCCTTGCAGCAGAGCAGACAGGTATACTTGCTCGGCTGTGGAGCACAGAGGAGTCGGGAACTGGTTCTGGCGGGCAGAGGTAGTGATGATACCCTATTTCATTCTCGTTAGCCATTCCGTCCTGTATCAAAAGCTTCTCTCTTTTACTTACCACATCCTTCAAGATAATAGTCAAAGCACTAGCACCGGGATGCCAATCCTCCTCCAGCATACGTTGCAGACGGTTCTCATGCATCCATGACCACGCGTCTGAAGACTTGATAGCCTCGGCAGTTTTCTTCGCATCCAAACCCAGCTGCGCAGCGAAACCCATTGCCTCACTAGCACCCAGAATGTGAATACCGGCCAAAACCTGGTGCACCATCTTCATATTGCTACCAGCACCAATTCCACCGGGTACTAAGTAAAGCTTGTTCGAATCGGACATGGCCTCGAGCAGGAACCGGCCGCTCTCCAGCGCAGCTTCTGGCGCGCCAGCCATGATAGACAATGTACCATCAGCAGCGCGCTTGGCGCCGCCGGAGACGGGGGCATCGATGAATTGGATATCGCCGCGACCACGCGACTGCAGCTCTGCGGCTACGGACTGAGCGTAGGAAGCTGGGACGGTGGAGCAGAGGAGCAGGGTTGCGTTTTTGGGAAGGACTATAATCGGGTTAGATCCATGTCTTTAAAAATGTTGAATTAACTAGAACTTACCAGAAACAATGCCGTCCTCGCCGAAAAGAACGGATTGCGCCTGGGGCGCTGATGCCACCATGCAGACATAGTACTGCTTCTCGCTGGCAGAGTCTTTCAGCGAGGACGCCGGGATACCACCAGCAGCCTCAAAGCGGTCGACCGAGGCGGGAAAGACATCGAAGCCGTGGACAGGGTATCCTTCCTTCACAAGATGGGTAGCCATGCCGAAGCCCATGGCTCCGAGGCCGACGAAGCCGACAGACGGTTTAGACATGATGAAGAGACGAATGAATGTACAGAGCTGGGGATATCGACAAGCAGAAAACCAGGAATAAGTATAACTTGGAGCACGGAATTTACAGCGAAACGTGGGGGTCGGAGGGGCTTATCTGGGGAAATGCGCGAGTGGGATGCTCGGGCCAAGTCCGACTCACCCGAGCTGGGCCTCGTCACTCCCCGAGCCGGCGCCATGGCTTCAGTTAACGTTTCGGCTAAATTGACTTGCTTCCTGGAGTATCTGCGAACGTGGATGATATTATCCGCTTGCACGGTTTGTAATGGAATGAGAAAATAGCATAGTAGTTTCAAGGAATCGGCTTCAATTGTTTTTTATCAAGAAATGTCTAAACGAGTGAACAAGGAACAGGAAAAACAATATCTCGGTCCAGCTATGGATAAGAAATCAACGATCAAGGTTCAAAACTAAACAAAATGGCTAACGCGGAAGTGGCACCGAAGACCGAGGTCGCAGGTCTCTCTTTTACCGAAGCAGCAGCAATGAGGCGATGCCGCGATTGTTCAGGACCGCCGCGTCAAAATGGCATCCCAGAATGTCCCTTTGTTGATTAAAAATGCTCGAAGGAAGCACTCGTATCCGAACCAGCTGAAAACGGAGAGCTCTCTGAATGACCTCGTTCATGATCAGCATTGAAGCTACCCTGGATGTTTAGAAGTGACAAATCGGGTAGGCTGGGGCTGCTCTCGGATCCAAATATGGAGCTTTCTCCCGAGTAATCTGTAATACTGCTCGAACTGCTCCCTGGCGTTTGGGTAGGCGGGCAAGCCAAGTCCACCCGAGGAGAGTACTCTGACGAGGAATACTCCCCGAACCTCATGCGATCAACTTTCGGCTTTCGGTATTGAATGCGTATATGTCTATGTCGCTGCGAATCGGAACATGGCTGAGACTCCGAATTGCAATCCCAAGGATCCGTATCTGTGCTCTTGTAAGTTATGGAAAGAGTGAAATCACCACTTTCAATGCTCAGAGATGAGGAGGCAGATCCACGGTGACTCATGCCTCTTCTTGGGCGGGGGCGGGAGGAGTCATGGGAGTTTGAATCGTGGCCGATATCTGTAGACACATCAAACTGCTCACTGGTACCGATGATAATATCAACACTGGGTGAGGAAGACTCAGCTCTGTCGCTGTTCGTGTCACGGTTCATGCGGACAGAAAATTCAAGAACGGGCCTGGCTGCGTCTAGGCCCTCGATAACGCGGTACTTATTGTCCAGCAAGGCGTCCATGTCGTTGCTGGTCATAGCCTCGCACCATTCGATATCGCACTGGGCACAGAGATCCTGTTTTGCTGTTTGGTTGATAATGTGTTTGATCTTGGTTCTGTCGCAAGACAGGACCTGGCCCGTAAAGGCAAGTGCACGAAGTTCGCTTGTGAATTCTAGACAACTGACCACAGTCCAGTTGGAGATGTGCCCGCAAAACGGGTAGTGGTGGTAGGTGTACTTACACATGGTGGAGATGGGGAGTGATGATGGTTCTGTTTTTTCGAATTCTCTGACAGTTTAAATAAGGGAGTTTATGATGTGATAAGAGCGCTATCAAGGGGTGTGAGAGACTCTTATCAAAGAAGATCTCAAATGCATTAGAAAGGGCCATTGTGTATGTTCTTTGGCATTCTTTTCATCTTTTGTGGATATGATGGGAACAATGACGGGCAGAACAACTTTCGACAGTGTCTCAGCCGGTTATATGAATATTTTGTTGTAATTTGATCAAATGGTATTGACAAACGTCTAAAAAGTACAGAGAGTATAGCAGGCTTAAACCTGCATTAACAAAGAATTCAGTCCAGTCGACAAGAAGAGAGGCGATTTCAAAAAAAAAAAAAAAAAAAAAAAAAAAAAGACAAAACTACCTATATCAGCCCTCCAGATCCATCAAATACTTCGTACCCGAATCTATCAACCACCAAGCCGCAGTCTCATGCATCCAACGCACCACCCTCTTCTCAAGCGGCATAGTCCTCATCTCATCGGCCCTTCGCCACATAATCGTCTCACTAGAAAAGACCAAATCCCCATCCCTCTCCTGGAAGCTAATAGCAAGCCTCCCATTAACAAACTCCATATTCTTCATCGTCATCTCAAACTCCACCTTATTCTTGCTGCGCGCAACGACACGATACATACCACAGACCAAATCTCCCTTATTAAAATCCAAGGTTGAGATTTGTGACGCCTTGAAGCTTCGTCGCTCCTCCGCAGTCTTGCAGACCATTCGCATCATCAGAGCCTGCGGGAAATGAGAAAAAACCGTCATATTGCGGCGAACCAGTTTGGTGAAGAGGACATCTGTCGGGATGCATGCGGGCAGCAGGTAGCGCGGGACTGGTTTTGAAGACCGGTCATAGAGTGCATGGTATTGGTCTGTGTATACAGTGTCGGGGATTGACTCGATTTCACATGGTTTGGGTGATTCCGCGAGCTTCCCGCAGTGCGATCGGTGCTGGACACGCGCGGATAGCTTTTGGTGGAAAATGTACAAGTAGATGGCTGAAGAGCCGGTGATGACGGCTGTTGCCGTAAAGATGAACCTGAACATGGTGAGGGATGTTCTTGAATTGCTTCCTCTTTTTTCTTTGCGGGAAGTACACGGAGGTCGTTCGCGGTCGGATACAATTGGGCGGGTGAATGACCGCATCATCGGACCTGCAGCCAAACCCAAATACGAGGCTCGTCTCGGCATCTCATTTGCTGCTTCGAGCTTAATCAAACCAGTTATCTTCCGTTCTTTTAGAAAATGACCAGTTCTGGATCAACACTTTTATTATTCGTAAGCCATAGACCGTAGTATGACTGTGTAAAAAAAAAAAATGGACTTATGCATGGGCACAACCCATCCCCGGAGCGGAAAGATTACGCCGTGATCATAAAACCAAGTGGTATCACTTCAAAACACTGCGGCCAGAAAGGCAAAGACATGCGAAAACAACCCCCGCGCTCCCCTTTTCCCTACCCAACCCCAACACCTAACCACGCAATTATTGCCTTTGTCCGGTCTGCAGCACCTCGACACGCCCGCTGTTGTGCCAAGTCGCGAGCTTAGCACTACATTGACCGCAGTAGTGGTCGACATCCTTGAGCGAGGACATCAAGTAAGGAATGCATCCGAGACAGCAGCAGCAGCAGAGGACAGCAGCCCAACCACTATGAAGACGTTAGTATCGTACAACTCATTTGATCGACCGGCGCAATCGACAAGTCGATCGCGTTTTGCATTAAAAAAAGGAATTCAACTCACTGCGTCGTCGTTCCACTAACCGACTCAACTCTCGTCATTTCGCGTTTTCCGCAGCATGGACAATCCACCGGACACGGTACTGATAAAAGCGCGTGCAAAGGGGTAGCCGTGGCATAGCCGGTCTGCTGGCCATGGGGTGTATAGTACGCGCCCGGCTGTCCGGGCTGCTGTTGTTGAAACTGGGGAGTTGGTTGACCAGGGTACGCCTTGACATCCGACGGCGAGTTCACCGGATACTGGCCAGCGGGTCCATTGATCTGATCGGGGTGCGGCTGTCCCTGATATCCCCTGGCAGATTCGTCGGTGTGGACGGGGGTGGGTGCATCATAGTCGCCTTGCATCGGAGGCTTCTCGGAGTGAGCGCCCGTGGCTTCGGAGGGAGGTGGCTGGATGCTCTCTGAGCCGGTGATGGGGCTCACGGGGCTGGTGCCCGGGTATGGAGGTGCTGTGAGAGGAATGAGACCTAGCTTTGACTTAATGGTAATTCGGAGACTCGAAGAATTGCGGTGACTCACCTTCGCTGTCGCGGGGTTGAGCATTGTACTGGTTATTGGTCTGGTTGTGCTCGGCCATGGTGAGTGTTTGTTCTCGCAATCCGGGGGGTAACGGGGATGTAACAAAGGGCAGGTCGCGAAAACACTGGGGAGAAGCGAGGGGGCGAAATTTTAATTTGATCGCGAGATGGGGCGGTCTACATTTTATCATGAGCGGGTTTTAAGGCAACCCAATTCGATCGCCAAGGCTGATGCCCCTTCAAATCTAGCTGTACAGGCGTCCGTGAGTAGTGCACTGCCCTATCTCGTATTCCGTGGGGACTCCGTGTGGATTTCGACGTGCCGTTCAAGCTGAACCCCCAATGATACAGCTCGTCTTCAACCCTGAGACATCTGCTAATTCAAGGATCATCGCTTATTTCTCCAACTCGTGGCGCAGCCTCGTTGGACAGCTGTCCGTGAGAGGAGACTATGCACTGGCTGTGGCTCGGTTCGTGCCAAGACTGTACTACAGGTATAGCTTCGGGCTTGGTAGCGAAGCTAAATAATCTAATCGAAGTTGACCGATTGAGAAGAAGCTAACAGCTAATTTCCAGGGCTTGACCCTCGCCTCGCCAAGGCTCGTGAAGCAACTCAATTCGGGGAGTACCCCCTACCAGCGGTGGAAACTGGGCATCGCAACTCTTCAGCCCTTCAGCCCTTCAGCTTACGGACCCACAGGGCCTGTGGTCTAATCTAATTCGCATGCCAACCACGACCTATCATGCTGGTGTGCGGCTGATTCTAGTACCGCCCTACGCGGATTTAAGTCAGGTTAAGTTTTTACAATACGGGGGCTCAGATAAAGTCGGTCCAGCCGAGAGAAAAGCCACGAAACGAAGGCGTTATTCTCACGCCATACTGCTTTAGGTACCCGCGGCTCACTTGGCCCCCTGAACTATTAATAGTATTCTGGATGCATGCACAAGGCTGTAGCTACATGCTGGATCCAATTGCCTGTGTTACGGAAGCTTAGAGCCGCGTGGTCCACTCTTGAGAGGGGTGAAGATGGTTCCGGACGGCTTTTGACGTCTCCCAGTCACTATCTGTGATTGACACGGGAACTTGTCAGTGCAAATTTCCACTTTTTCCATTCTTTGATTCATTCGAGAGACAGACATTTCAACTTTTGAGCGCCTGGGCTCGTTAATACCCGTCTTGGTCGAATGATGGTTTCGCTCTAACGACACGATAGCGACAAAGTGCCATCTGCTATGGCGACCGACAAAGACTTCTCTAGATAAATGACCAAGAACAGCACTCATCTTTGTAGAAACTCACCCGATGCACCAACGACTGGGAATGGAGGCAAGGTAAAAATCGACCGAGTTTACAGAACACGGCGACAGGCAGCACTTCATCATTATACTAGACAAAATCCCATTGCAAGACCTGTTGGACGATGATTTCATCGCAATCATTCCAGTCGGGTCTGGATACTGATCCCTACCACGCACCCAGAAAAAGCTCTATTGTACCCTCTTTGATTAGACTCGGTCACAAAATGGGGGGTCAGGCTTACCGGAATGAGACGTCCCCTAGGCCTAACTTTCTGGGCTCGGACTTACCGGAAGGAGACGTCCCCTAGGCCGAATTTTCGGGGCTCCTAGAAATGACCGAAATGAGATCCACATCCTCTACATCAAATTACAAATTCAAGATAGATGATAGGTATCCAGGGAAGGTATAAGGAGTTAAACGGACGCAGCACAGTTATCGCCGATAAGGCCGTGATGTGTAAGCCAGCTGCGTTATAAACGGTAACTACCACTCGAGCCGACATACCGCAGGAACAACCACCCGTACGATGAGAAGAATGGCTACCACAATCACTTCAACGATTAAGCTTGCCAGCGGCTACGAGATTCCCCGCTTGGGCTTTGGAGTATGTACTCTCCGTCAATATCCCTTATCGACACCGAGCTAACAAATCCCAGGTCTACAAGACGTAACGCCCCCGCCTACATCCCCTTTCTGGACCCACTAGATCTAACAGTCTCGCGCAGTCCTCCAGAAGAGACGGAGAGATGCTGTCTCGATGCTTTCAAGGCCGGCTATCGCCATGTATGTACTCCTCTGTTAGGCCGGAGCTATTCCGGTTAACACCAAGCACAGATCGACTCCGCGGCGGTGTACCGCAACGAAGAAGGCTGCGGAAATGCCATCCGCGCGTCTGGAATCCCCCGAGGCCAGATCTTCTTCACATCCAAAGTCTTCGACATCAGCTATGAGGGTGCCAAGGCACAGGTCGATAAGAGCTTGACTCTGTCCAAACTGGACTATATCGACCTGATGCTCCTGCATAAGCCAATGGGCGGTTCCGAGAACCGCAAGGGTGCATGGAAAGCCGTAAGTCCGGCGACTCCTTCACTGCGAGAGATTCGCTAATCGTCCCACAGCTAGTCGAAGCCGTCGAAGCCGGCAAAGTCCGCTCAATCGGCATCAGCAACTACGGCGTCCATCACCTCAACGAACTCGAGCGCCACATCGCCGAGCTCGAAGCCGAGCGCGGCAAGGGTAAAGGCGGCATCGTGAGTATTCAACAAGTTGAACTCCATCCATGGCTACCGCGCAAGGATATCGTCGACTGGTGCACGCAACGCGGAATCGCTGTTCAAGCTTACTGTCCGATTGTCCGTGGTAATCGCTGGGACGAGCCCGAGCTTCAGAAGTTGGTAAAAAAGTATGGCAAGACGGAGGCCCAGGTGCTTATTCGGTGGAGTTTGGACAAGGGGTTCATTCCGTTGCCGAAGAGTGTTACTCCCTCGCGCATTGTAGCTAATGCCGATGTGTTCGATTTTAAGTTGACGGATGAGGAGGTTAAGGGCCTGGAGACGGATGAGTATAGTCCTGTGGCTTGGGATCCGACTGTTTCCAAGTTGGAAGATTAACGAGGTCGGTTCGTGAATACAAAAGGCTTTCATGCGTGATATCTTGAATTTATCTGACCGAGACTTGTTTACTGTTCAGGGGGGCGAAACGAGTCCGACTCATCCTGACGTAGATGGCAAATAAACACTCTAGCAAGCACACTTATCCAGTACAAGTTAACATGCCGTCAGCCACTAAATGCTTATTCTAGCGGGTTGCAGAAATTACAGGAATGGGGCGGGGTAGCCTCTTGTAGCTGAAGAAGCCTAGAACATCCGAAAGTCGTCGGCTGACGGGACCTTGAACTTGTATTCCAACACATCGGATGATGTAGGATGGTTCCTCTGGTTTCTATCAGTTTCCGACGTTTTTATCGTCAACCCCCCGCCGTAATTCCCTCGTCCATCCAAACCCCATTACAGAGCCGCAGAGGCATGGAAAGGGTGAAAAGGCGCTTTAGTGCTGATGATTTCAAGCGAGGTACCGAGATAGCCCCCTCCGACGTTGGTTTGTGTGAGCGCTAACAAGCGCATTCTCACTAGGGCTCGAGGTTCTGGACGAGGAGATGGGCAAGGATGACTGGCTAATAGCCTTCGCGCCCATCACACTAATCTCCACGGGAGGATTCCTGGCGACCAACTACTTCCACAACCGAGACAGTACAAGCGATCTGGACTATCTTCTCGAACCCCAGTGGGCGAGCGATAACGACGTCAAGCGGCCGCTGCAGAAGGCAATGGTACGCACGGCGAATCAGCTCGGGTTTACCGAAGACTGGGTCAATGATGACATGGCATTTTTCATCCCCGAACAGTCCAGGGAAGACTTATTCGAGATGGCAGAGGAGCAGAATATCGTTCTCTGGGAAGGGACCAATCTACGGGTGCTGGCCGTTCCACTGGAATATGCCCTGGAACGGAAGCTGAGGCGCATTCATAATAGCAGGAGACACGTCAAGCGCGGGTCGGATATCGTCGACGTGGTCGCGATTTTGAAGCATTTGAGGACACAGAATGAAAGCCCGCTGAGCAGGGAACACATCCGGACGCTGAATATCTGTTCTTTCGAGATGCCGCCGGATAATACGACGATGAATGAGATCGCTGCGGCATATCGGGAGCAGCATAGCGAAGAGGCTTTTGACTAGATCTGCGCATGGGAGTATCTGGTCATTCACACTGTGTAAAAGTGACCAGTGTTGGCCACAATATTCCTCTCTGCAAATGAAGGATTTTCCCCGCCTTCCTCGAGTACAAGTCTTCCCTGTACATCTCGCAAGTTTTCCGGCAGGTCTGCAATTGACTCAACATCGAATGCAGGCACGTGCCAGGTCCATCTGGGGGCAGTTTCCGCCACGAATGGCGGAAGCGGCTCCTCAAAGGTCTTGCGATAAATATGCTTGCGCTTGTCCCGCCTCATGCCCACGCTCATGCGCCAATTGAATGCCCTCGCTAGTTCCTCGGCGACACACGCGAGAATGGCATATCGTACGGGATCGCAATCGCACGGGTCCGGGATGCGGCTGACTTTCCATGACTTCTGGTTCTGGTAGAAGAAGTATTCCACCTGTGGGCCGATAGCATAAGGCTCGCGTGCAACCATTGCTTCGTATATGCGGTATAAGGCTCGAAGTGGGGTATCTCTGGCGCGCCATAGAGGGACGGAACTCATGTTGGCCAAGTCGGTAGAGGCTGCACGAGCGTCCAGAAGCGGAACATTATTCACCATAGTTTTCAAAGGTACCTGGTCAGGGACGGGGAAGTGCCATGTTGGGAATGGCCAGAAGAGGCGGAGCAGGGCGAAGACAGGGTACTTATGTCGATGGCCAAGACGGATAAGGCTGGTTCGAAGTCGAAGAGGTGACTCGAGATCGTAGAAGAATCGACGGACTCGCATCCACCAGGTGATATGGGGCTTTGGACGGTGCCGCACCATCCTGCTAGTGATCTTGATCGACCTCGAGGCTCATGGCATGTTGGGACTCAATGTTTTGTTCCTTTTGAGAATCTGGTGGTAAAGTGACGATCGCCGATACGGCCGCTATTCCTGATTCGGCAGGTTGGTGCCTGACTACCAGGGCAGTGATTGTGCTCCGGAGTCAGGCTTCAACGTGCATAGTTGCGATCCTCATTTTTAATGAAACTATCAGAAATGTGAGGATCTCGCTCAGACATTTTGACATTGTTCGAGTATTCAGTACATAGTGGAAGATAGATGGAACCACCAGCGAAGCTTAGTATGAAGATCAACTCTCCGCTAGTTGAACCGATTCACACCTCCCCCAGCCCAACGCCCGAGTCTCACTGTTTGCTCACCCGCTCATCTAATCTTGACATGCCCCTAGTCTCTGCATAAGTTATGGACTACCTTGACATAGTTCCCCTGATAGTATGATTCAGAGCATGACATACCACCTGAGGCCTTGGCCAGCCAGGACCGCACGTGGACTGCCTCCTGCTTACCCCATGTGAATCCAGGGGAGCTCCTGATTTGGCCACAAGAGCATTCCATGTATTTCCCCCTTGGGACAACATTCCACCAACATCCAGTCAGGAACGTATTTTTGGTTGAGATATGGGGTTTTAAGAAAGCTTGCTTGTTTTGATGGGCGCGACTTGGTGTATCGAAAACTCTCGGTGCCTTATGCCCCGAATCATGCGTCATGTGCGTCGAGCACATGGATTCTCAGGATCTGTCATTCCATTAATTGCGTATTTGGGCCGGACCCCCAGATTAAATGGTAGCGGGGCACGGGTCTTATAGACTAACCGTACAGTCTGTATACATATGAAAATCTGGTAGCGTTGCCGATCCTAACTAATTCTAGTTACAAAGACTACAGCAAGCTAAGATGTAACCTGATTAACAGTACTAGTATGGAGGATATCAAGGGCAGGCTTATCCCCGACAGTTCCCACGTATTGGGGGTTGGATCATTTTTTTTCTAACAGACCGTTGAGCAACACTCACTATGAGATACTCAAGAACGTTGACGAGCCTATCTCTACTGGTAGTGTCTGCGGCAGAGGACTTTACCAAGCATGTCGATGTCTTGTAAGTTCTCTCAAATCTCGTATGGAAGATGACTGATATCGTCAAGCATGGGAACCCAAAACGGGGGGAATGATTTCCCCGGGGTCGCAAGGCCCTTCGGGATGGTCAAGCTGGGCCCGGATCTGCTGCAGTCCGGCACGGATTCTTATTCAGGCTATCTTTCCAACGGAGCCTTCTCCGGCTTCAGTATGATGCATGAACAAGGCACCGGCGGAGCGCCCAAGTATGGCACCGTCTCACAGCTGCCACTGGTCGGCAACATCAGTGATCCCTTGTCCAATATCACCGTGTCTCGAAAAGTGGCCGACGAAGGCTCTATTGGGTACTACAAAGCCCAGACAGGGGACGGTGTTGAAGTCGAGCTGAGTGCTTCGGCTCGAGCTGGTATCTATCGTTACAATTTCCCTTCGGGGTCCCAGGGTAACGTGCTGGTGGATGTCTCGCACGTATTGCCTTCGTTCCGTGGCCAGGGTCTTGGCCAAAACTATATGGGCGGTGACCTTTTAATCCTTGCGGACGGTCACTATGAAGGCTCTGGGGTGTATGACAATGGATGGAATGAAGCCCCAGATTGGACAATCTATTTCTGTAAGTCCCGTTTCCAGCTAAATGATGCGGTCTCTAACACTCGAACAGGCGGGTACTTCAATTCGTCTGCAACAAGCAACAAGACGTACAGTGCAACTGGTGCAGCCAAGAGTGTTGAACAGCCCAGTGGTTTTGTGTCGTCTTCATCCGGTTCCACTCGAGTGGGCGGACTTTTCTCGTTCAGCGACAGTGAAGTCATTTCTCGCGTAGGAATTTCTTGGATCTCCACGAAGCAGGCCTGCGACAATGTGAATAGCGAGATTCCAGCTGGTACTAGCTTTGAATCTGTCGTTGACGGCGCTGTCTCAGACTGGAACACCGAGGTTTTGTCTAAGATCGTCACGACCAACACCAACGACACCAGCCTGAGTCTATTGTATACCTCGCTGTACTTTATGCATCTGATTCCAACCAACCAAACCGGTGAAAACCCGGGCTGGACATCATCCGAGCCCTACTATCAGGATATCTTTACTTTCTGGGTAAGTCTTGCCGACTGTCTTCAGTCCTCAAATACTAATTCCATACAGGACTTGTTCCGCTGCTCCACTTCTCTCATGCAAATCCTACAACCAACAGCTTATGAAGAGCAGATCCGGTCACTAATCGACATCTGGAGATTCGACGGCTACCTGCCTGATGCGCGGTCATCAAACTACAACGGCCGCACGCAGGGCGGCTCCAATGCCGACAACGTCCTCGCAGATGCTTACGTCAAGGGCGTTCGCGGCGCCGTCAACTGGGAAGACGGATACAAAGCCATGGTCAAAGACGCAGAAGTGACACCCCCCAACTACCCTGTTGATCCAATGGCCCCGGACTCTTCAACTCATGAAGGTCGAGGAGCACTCCCTGACTGGCTCAGCCTGGGCTACATCACACCGACCTTTACCCGCGCAGTCAGTCGGGCCGTTGAGTATGCATACAATGACTTCGGGTTGTACCAAGTGGCTTCAGGGCTGGGGAAAGATGATGATGCACGGAAATACCTCAACCGCTCGCGCAACTGGCGCAACCATTGGAACCCGGACCAAACTTCGCTTGGGTTCTCCGGATTTGTGGTACCTCGCAACAGCACCGGCTTCATCAACGTGGATACCTTGAATGCCGGCGGCTACTGGATGGACCCCTACTACGAAGCCAGTGCCTGGGCGTATTCCTTCGCGGATGTGCATGATATGCAGGAGATGATCAAGATGATGGGAGGTACCGAAACGGTCCTGAACCGGCTGAATACCATGTTCACCGAGGGCGCGAGTGGATCGAGCGGAACTATCTTCGATCCCACCAACGAGCCGTGAGTTTGTTGTGCCTTATTCGCTGGGCTTTGCTGACATGCGTTGTGCATTACAGAATGTTCAACCTCCCCTATCTGTACCACTTCATCGACCGACAGGACCTGTCGGTGTCGCAGTCCCGCAAAGTCGCCAAGAGCGACTATTCGACCGGGGTGACCGGTCTACCGGGCAACAGCGATGCCGGAGCCATGCAAACCTGGCTGCTTTGGAACATGATCGGTCTGTATCCGATCACCGGGCAGACGACATTCCTGATCCATTCGCCTTGGTTCGAATCGATGACCATTGACCTGGGCGATGGCAAGACACTGCATATCACGTCCACTGGAGGCGATGGAAATGGTGATACGAACATCTACGTGCAAAGTCTCAAGGTCAACGGCCAGGCCTGGGAGCGGAACTGGCTGACTTGGGATGACGTCTTTGCGAAAGGAGGAACGCTAGAGTTTGAGCTGGGGCCAACCGCGGTCAATTGGACAAGCGGCGAGCTGCCGCCGAGTCCTGCGTCGGAGTAGAAGCTGCAGTTTTCTTCATTTCCTTGTATATGTTCATATGCCCATGTATTAAACAACACACCCGGGCAACACGACGGCGTGGATTAGTTGGTAGCATAGAATGCCCGCTGGTCGCGTTTGAATACATTGATGAGATCCGTCTATTTATAGAGTGATCGATTAACTCTCAGAGAACATGACGAACTGAGTTTTTACCGAGATGCAACTAGCATGATGAGGGTCTGTGAGGCGGCCCGTCGACTGCATCGAGGTGGTACGCCAGGCCAGGAACGGCGAGACTCGGATCGACGTTTTCAGAACATGCCCTCGCCCAAGCACACGGCCCGGCGTGGCACCGGGATAGCACCTGGGCAGTCTGTACACAGCCCTAGAGACCGAGATAGAATCCACCCGGTGAATGGACGAGAATCCGTTGAGCTCGCAGCCCAAAACAGGGAAGTCCAGAACGCGGAGGCCCGAGCTCCCCGCATCCCCCCACCTCGCCATCACAGCTTAAGCCAATCACTCCGGGATCTGAGTCTGCCCGCGATAAACGTTTCGAGAGGGGTTTCCCCTTCTCTTCTCTTCATCTATTTCCAAAATGGCTTCCATTCAAGAAGCTATCGATTCTAGCCCCGCTGATGGCACAGGTACATGATCTAACCGCTGCGGCAAGAGCTCTGCTAATGCAACCCAGGTGTGCTCAAGCTCGACCCATGGCTGGAACCTCATCGAGACGTGCTGAAGCACCGCTACAGCTTGGTCAAGAAATGGGCCAATGCCATCAACGAGTCGGAGGGTGGACTGGACAAGTTCAGCAAGGTAGGATGAATTTCCAAGCTCCCAAGCTATCGCGGGGACCTACCCACCTGGGTGGCGAAAAGATCCTAATCAACATCACTCTCACAGGGTTATGAATCCTTCGGCCTGATTGCCCAGCCCAATGGCGATATCACCTACCGCGAGTGGGCACCCAATGCTGTGGAAGCGTCGCTGGTCGGCGACTTTAGTATGTGCCATGCCATTCAACAGCCCGAGAATCACATTACTGAGACTGGCAGACAACTGGGATGTCAATGCAAACCAAATGAAGAAAAATCCCTTCGGCGTGTGGGAAGTCACAGTCTCTGCGCAAAATGGCGCCCCGGCGATTCCGCACGATAGCAAGATCAAGGCAAGACACTCGAGGCCTGCAACAAGTCACCAATTACTAATTTGACAACAGATCACAATGGTCCTCCCCAGCACCGAGCGCATCTATCGCATCCCAGCATGGATCAAACGTGTCGTTCAGGACCTCAACGTCTCGCCCATATACGATGCGGTTTTCTGGAATCCGCCCGCCAACGAGCGATACCAGTTCCAGCACCCGCGGCCCAAGAAGCCCGAGAGTCTGCGAATCTACGAGGCTCACGTTGGTATCTCGTCTCCCGAGACGAGAGTCGCGACCTACAAGGAGTTCACAAAGAATATGCTGCCTCGCATTAAGTACCTGGGCTACAATGCTATCCAGCTCATGGCCGTCATGGAGCATGCTTACTATGCCAGTTTCGGCTACCAGGTGAACAACTTCTTCGCTGCCAGCAGTCGCTACGGAACCCCCGAGGATCTGAAAGAGCTAATGGACACTGCCCACAGCCTGGGCTTGGTCGTTCTGCTGGACGTCGTGCACAGCCATGCTTCGAAGAACGTGCAGGATGGAATTAACATGTTCGATGGCTCCGACCACCTCTATTTCCATGAGGGTGCCAAGGGTCGCCATGAGCTATGGGACAGCCGGCTGTTCAACTATGGCAACCATGAAGTGCTGCGCTTCCTCCTGAGTAACCTTCGATTCTGGATGGAGGAGTACCAGTTTGATGGCTTCCGCTTTGACGGTGTCACCAGCATGCTCTACAGTCACCATGGTATTGGAACGTACGTTAATCTACTTCTCGTCACCATTTCCCTCTGTTAACCATTCCATATAGTGGCTTCTCCGGCGGATACCATGAGTACTTCGGTCCTAGTGTCGACGAAGAGGGCGTCACATACCTGACCCTCGCCAACGAAATGCTGCACAAGCTCTACCCCGACTGTATCACGGTAGCAGAGGATGTATCGGGGATGCCAGCCCTGTGCATCCCCCATGCCCTTGGCGGCATCGGCTTCGACTACCGCCTCGCCATGGCCGTCCCAGACATGTACATCAAGCTTTTGAAAGAGAAGGCCGACGGCGATTGGGACATGGGCAACCTAACCCACACGCTGACGAACCGACGTCACGGTGAAAAGACCATTGCCTATGCCGAGAGCCACGATCAAGCGTAAGTCCAACGTTCCTCCCGATGATCCACCACCTCTAACCTTCCCAACAGATTGGTGGGCGACAAGACCCTAATGATGTGGCTCTGCGACAAGGAAATGTACACACACATGTCCGTGCTCACCGAATTCACACCCGTCATCGAGCGCGGCATGGCAATGCACAAAATGATCCGCCTGATAACCCACGGCCTGGGAGGCGAAGGCTACCTGAACTTCGAAGGCAACGAATTCGGGCACCCGGAATGGCTAGACTTCCCCCGCGAAGGCAACGGCAACTCATTCTGGTACGCTAGACGCCAGCTCAACCTCACCGACGACAACCTGCTCCGCTACCATTTCCTGAACGACTTCGACCGTGCGATGCAGCTGACAGAACAGAAGTACGGCTGGCTGCACGCGCCGCAGGCTTATATCAGTCTCAAGCATGAGGGCGACAAGGTCGTCGTCTTTGAGCGCGCGGGATTGTTGTGGATCTTCAATTTCCATCCTACTAACAGCTTCACGGACTATCGTGTTGGCGTTGATGTCCCCGGCACTTACCGAATCGTCCTTGACTCGGATGACCCGGCGTTTGGGGGTCTTGGGCGTAATGTCAAGGATACGAGGTTCTTCACGTCTGATATGCCGTGGAACGGACGGGGTAACTTTGTGCAAGTTTATCTTCCCACGAGGACTGCTTTGGTGAGTTTAGTTTCCCTTGTGAATTCGGAATACGGCTAATCTGGTTGATTTAGGTCCTTGCTCTAGAGCAGACTCTGTAAAGGCTCTTATGGGATAGATATCCGGGCTTTGTGATTCAACAATACACGAAGGAACACTGCATAGTTTGATCCAGATTGCGTTTAGCCAGTACTGATAATCCTACTATACTTCCATTGAGATCCGCCTGCGTCGACGTAGACTGGATGTTGATGTAGGCCATTCATTCCATTCTACCTCGTTTATCAAATGCCCTGGCTGAGATAGCTGGCAGGTAGCAAAAAGTAAACCTCAACCAGATATAAGCATGCGTGCTCTAACGGTTGTAGTCCCCATCCAAGACGTGAAGCTACAATTCAAAACGAGAATCTACCATAGGACATGTAAAAGACTTGAAACAAGATGAATACAAAGGAAATCCGATTGACCAAGAATATTTAGGGTTGCCTTCAGGGCTATGGGTTTTCAACTCTAAATACACAATAATGAAACACGCGCCAGCCAGGGGTGTCCAGCCGGGCTTTAAAAAGACCAAGAAATCTCATCAACTCGCTCAGTTAGACATGTTCGTCCCCTTCCACTTCACCATGTCTCCCATATCCTCCTCTCACCCCCAGATCGGTCCTCCTAACTCCCGTGAGTCCGGTCATCCGTCAGCCTCTCACTCTGTTTCCAGAAAGAAACCTAGATCGAACATGAATCGAGCGCACACCACCCCCACACAAGACGTCAGGAAACAGGAAAGACATGACAATCAAATTCCCTTTCTTTTCTTTTCGCTTTGAGATCGAGTACTATACACGCAATCGGAAAGGGAAAGTGACGTCGGAGTGGGGGGCAGCACAGGACCAAAGTTCGAACAAGGGAAAATATTCCAGACCACAAGAAAAGTAACGACCAATATGAGGGGGCAAAGAGAAAAAATGGTGGGCGTGAAATAGTTGAACAGAGGGGACGCCGCTAGCTAGCAAATGACAAAATTACATCTAGGACGAACCCTCGAGCTCAGCCAGAATCTTCTCACCCTTGGCGCGAGCAGACTCGATGTCGCCAACCATGTAGAAGGCGTTCTCGGGAAGGTCGTCAGCCTCACCGTTGATGATGGCCTTGAAGGAGCGGATGGTGTCCTTCAGGTCGACAAGGCGACCCTCGATACCAGTGAAGACCTGGGCGACAGCGAAGGGCTGGGACAGGAAACGCTGGAGCTTACGGGCACGCTCGACGGTGAGCTTGTCAGACTCGGACAGCTCGTCCATACCCAGAATGGCAATGATATCCTGGAGGGACTTGTACTCCTGGAGCATCTGCTGGACACGGCTGGCGGTGTTGTAGTGCTCGTCACCGATGATACGGGGGTCGAGCATACGGGACTTGGAGTCCAGGGGGTCGACGGCGGGGTAGATACCCAACTCGGAGATACCACGAGACAGGACAGTGGTGGCGTCCAAGTGAGCGAAGGTGGTGGCGGGGGCAGGATCAGTCAGATCGTCAGCGGGCACGTAGACGGCCTGGACGGAGGTAATGGAACCCTTGTGGGTGGTGGTGATACGCTCCTGCATACCACCCATGTCGACGGCCAGAGTGGGCTGGTAACCGACAGCGGAGGGGATACGACCCAGCAGGGCAGACACCTCGGAACCGGCCTGGGTGAAACGGAAAATGTTGTCAATGAAGAGCAGCACATCCTGACCCTCGTCGTCACGGAAGTACTCGGCAATGGTCAGACCGGTCAGGGCGACACGGGCACGGGCACCCGGGGGCTCGTTCATCTGACCAAAGACCAGAGACACCTTGGAGTCACCGTCAAGCTGGATGACACCAGTCTCCTGCATCTCGTGGTACAGATCGTTACCCTCACGGGTACGCTCACCGACACCACAGAAAACGGAGTAACCACCGTGGGCCTTGGCAATGTTGTTCTGGAGATTGAAGTTAGTTGAGGGGATTCGACAACGACCGGTGGAAGGAAACTCACAATCAACTCCTGAATGAACACGGTCTTACCGACACCGGCACCACCGAACAGACCAATCTTACCACCACGGGCGTAAGGGGCGAGGAGATCGACAACCTTGATACCGGTGACGAGAATCTCGGCGGAGGTGGACTGGTCAACGAAGAGCGGGGGCTCAGCGTGGATGGGCTTGTACTGAGTAGCCTTGATGGGGCCACGCTCGTCAATGGGGTCACCAGTGACGTTGATGATACGGCCCAGGGTGCCGGCACCGACGGGAACCTTGATGGGGGCACCAGTGTCGTGAGCGGCAACACCACGGGACAGACCCTCGGTACCTATGAAAGCAACAATGTTAGCAAGGTGATGTGGTGAGGTTGTCGGGCCGAACGGGGTGTGGGTCCCCTTTCACCGAAAGGGGGACGACGACACGGTGGCTCAACAACACAACAGAGGGGAAGGGTAGCTTACCGTCCATGGCAATAGTACGGATGACATTCTCACCCAGATGTTGCTAAAGGATCGGGTTAGCTTGGCAAGGTCGGGTGAAGCTGGGGCGTCCAATCAGAGAGCACGTACGGCAACCTCGAGCACGAGCTTCTGGCCGTTGTTCTCGGTCACAATGGCGTTCAGAATGGCAGGGAGCTTGTCGGTGTCGAACTTCACTATAATGCGGCGAATAGCAAGTCAGATATCGTTCAGGAGATAGGATTGAGATCGATTGCGATGGCTTTGGAGATGGATTGGGGTCCAGGAAAAAGATTTTCGCGTCCCCCAGTATCCGTCGCCAGGGAGGTGATCGGAACACGTACCGTCAACGACGGCACCAATGACCTGGTGAACCTTGCCAGACTGAAGGGCGTCGGTGCTGGCGAGACGGGCAGACAGGGCAGGCAGAGCATTGGAGCGGAGAGGCTGGAAAGCGCGGGCGACGGGGGTCGGCCGGGCAAAAGCAGCCCTCCCGAAGGTCCGGGCGAGACCGCTGTGTGAAAAACGAGTCAGAGGAGAGGCCTAGATAAAAAATGGAAAAAGGATGGGATAGGAAGGTCAGTAATATGAGGCATACCTCTTGAACATGATGACGGTGTTGAAGAGCGAGGTGGTAGGGGACAAGGGTTTTGGATGGGGGGAGGAAAAGAGGGAAGAAGGAGGAAGAAGAGGTTGGTGGACTCTTTGCACGGGAACTGGGCGGACTTAGCCTTTCCGGGGCGGTTTTGCCGATGGTCCCGTGATGAACCGACCGGTGTTTTCGTGAACATCGTTTACTTTTGATCGATGATTTCGATTTTCCAGATCTATTCCTTGACATTCTACCCTCTGTGCCCTTACTGATGACCCCCATCTCATCGTGGTGGCGGCCTGGTGCCGTTGCCCCCCGTTGCTAGGGACATTTTGGACACCCTCACCGGCCCGCTTGGCGCCCGGATGCAGGCTAACTCAATACCTCGACAGAGCATACCTCGAAAAAGACTAAATCGCATCTATCGTCTTCGAAACATATACATAGTCACTTATTACACCCATTGGCCTCTCATGGGAGGTGTGGTGCTGCTTCCAAGCTGCAGCGGACCTGAGCTGCCCCCGGCGGAAATCTCTGACGTGTTGCTCGGGAGCCCCCAAACCGCCCATCCACGGTCTGGTATGAGCGCCCTGGAAGTTTGGGAGCTCCCACACACTTCCCACAAGCTCCATAGCCCTGTAAAAAAATGTACCCGGATATACATAGAATTATCTATACACATCGTCAATCGAAGTTAACACGTTGCGATGCCAGTGTCGACACGGCTCATTTGGACAGGGGTTCTCCGCACCGGCGCTGCAGGTTCCGAATCCCTCCGGACGCTCCACGCCATATGCAGGACACAGACACAGGACACATGGGCCACCTACGACAACAAGAATGGAACACAACATATTTCTCTATGGCTACAAAAGAGATACATTGATTATAGCACAGTACGGGATACACGCATTTTCGAATGCTTGTCGACCAAAAAGACAGAAACGGTGAACAACAGCTCACACCGGCACCGGCCGGGGGCCCATCATGCGAGCAGAGAGCGCTCGTGTCAGTAGAATCATGCCCCGGGTATAAACCCTCAGGGCTCTCTGATGGACGTGCGACAATCGAATCCCAGCCCCGCCCGGCGCCGATATCTGCACTCTGTTCATCCTCCAGGCATCTAGCCCATCTATTGTTTCTCGGCGGGGGGGCTCTGGACGAAGCCCTGGCCCTCGTAGTCGGGCTTGCTGACGCCGTGGATGGGGTTGATCTTCTCGGCCTGTAGGAGTAAAGCTTGTAAGCACCCGATATATGGACGCTGCGGTCGCGGTCGCGGCGATATCAAAACATCGCGGTCACGAATTGAGGAGCGTGCTTACCTTGGCATATTCGTTGGAGGCCTCCTGCCACTCCTTGGACATGGTCTTGGGCATGGGCTTGCCGAAGAAGTGGATAAGGTAGAAGACACCGACGGAGGCGAGGGTGAGCTGGGTCACCTTGAAGAAGATCTTCCAGCCCTCACCCTTGGGTGCCTGGGCACGGGGGCCGTGGGGGCCGAAGGCGATCCAGTAGGCTGTAGAGGGCGAAAAAGGATGTTAGCAACCCGAACAAGGAAAGAGTTGAGGTCCCGGGTCGATTTTTGAGATGGCTCAAATTTCACCCTCGGAAGATGCAGGGTACGACGAAATCGACCTCCGCCAACGAGACCAATTGCCCAATGGAAAGTACGTACCGGCCTTCTTCTCGTGGAGGGTCATCTGGTGCCAGTCAACCTTCATGCGATCGCGGAGCTGCATCCACAGCTCGGCCTGCTCCTGAGGAGGCATGCCCTCCCAGCGCTTCTCGATACCGGCGAGGGTAGGGTTCGAGATGGCATGTTCGGAGGCAAAGCGAGTCTGCAGGGCATTCACAGAGGCAATGGGACCAGCGCGGGTGGCGGCCGGGGTGCGAGGCACAGCGCGAGCGACGGAGCGAAGAAACATTGTGCGGCAGGAGGGAGGTGGCAGCACCACGTCGAGAACGAGTCAATTGGGTATTAAAATGAGGTGGCCGGGGCCAGTAGAGTCTGGGACCACGGACGGACTCGGTCTGGGGGAGGAGAGAGTGGAGGGGGTAGGACGTGATGGAGAAGAAGTGAATCTTGTGGTTTGAGGTGGAAGTCGAGGATCCGGACTAGCGTCTGAACTGGGTTTGGCGGCCCTCTGATTGGCTGTGCGCGGGCCAACCCGGCTGCCAGTGAGATGCATCATCATTCTCAGCAGGTTCCGGTATGTCATACGATACGTATCTGTAGCCTCGATCTAGCACGTTTTCTATTGGCATGGAGACCTGACTTATCTATTGTCACCCGTGTGAGTAGTACTATGTAACTCCCATACCCCACGTGTGCGCCCGTTCACACGCCCAGAGCCTCTCCGTACCACTACGAGACATACGATAAGAACGCTTGATGTACTGTCTTTTTTACTTTACTGGAAATAGTAAACAATATTCAATATCAGATTTCTTTTCATGCCGTAATCTATCCAGTAGGCAGCAGAAATTCAGTACCGGCAACCCCGAATGCCTGCAGGTCATGATACCACTGATCACACGAGAGAAAAACGGTCAAGTCGTAGCAGTTTTGCATTGCAACTAGGAAGAAAAACGAGGAGAACGGGGAGAAGGTGAAGGATCGTGCCGTGGCGCATTCGAGGTAGAACCTCTATCGCAAGGCCCGGTTCCAGCCGGCGCCGTCAATCTATTTGCCAGCCTTGCCACCGCTGGCCTCGTTCAGAACATGCTTCCACTCAATGTCGGACTTGTCGTCGGCGTGGAGGGAGGTGGAGACGTTGAGGGCGCTCTTCAGGGGCTCGCGGGTGCTAGCGTAGATCATGGACCACTGTAAATGGGTTAGCGATGCTCTCGTAACACAGGTCCGATACAAAACATACCAGAGTGGGAGTCTCGCTGGGAACCCAGGAGATGAAGATGATCTTGCTCCTGTAATTTCGAGTACAGTCAGTGGGAACACATCCTATCAGCTACGGGGAACACCTAGACACTGCGATCTAGGCGCTCGGGAAACACGCACCGCTTGCCCTCACCGCTACCGAGGTCGTACTCGACGTCGTAGACAGCGAACCGCGGCATGGGGGAGCCGTTGGCGTTTTTGGCAGCCTCGAGCTTGCTGCGGAAGGCTTCGTAGTCCTGGTCATGGCCAACCTCGTCGACGACGACGCTCTTCTTGTCGTCGGAGATCTTGTAGATAATGAACTTGGTCTTGCCGTGGCTCAGACGGAACTCGTTGAATGCAGTGATGCACTCATCCTGAACCTGAACACTGTATATCGACTTATCAACACCGAAGTCTGGAGGGGGTAAGAGGGTTCAGGGGGATTGGTCGTACCCAGATGCGAGCTGTACAAAACACAAAGTTAGTATTTTGCGACAATTTATAAAAATAATTCGGTATATACGTACCGACATGATTGCTTGTGGAGATGAGAGAAATCAAAAAAGGACGACCGGTCGCCTGGGCTGGCACAAGATGTCAGTGGCGGAATTCGCAGAATCAGGTGGCCACGTGGTGCGGGTGCCTCTGCCGAGCAATTCCGACCGTGGTAGTCAGTGGGCAACTTACAGAGAAGCAAGTACACAGGAGAGGGGACAATGATGAGAAGTGATGGGGAGGAGGCGGAGGGGTCGTTGCCCAGGTGTTGCGATGGTGGGGGGTGCTGCACGTGATGCCGGACCACTATGGGTAGTAAACAATGCAGGCTGGCACTGTCTCGGCTGATTTTTTTTATACGTTATCGTGACTTGCGTGCTTTCTTAAATCGCTTAGATATCACCTTTTTCCCTCGAGGCGTCTATATGTGGTGCTGGTAGCCTAGAAATACTCAAATCTGGCCCACCACGACTCCGCAGAACCGTTGTTGGAGATCGCACCACCGGCATAGAATTAATGGGGCCTGCATGACATGTACGGCAGCCTACGGGGTTTGCTTTGAGGCTCCAGGGCTGTTTGGAATGCCCAAGTAGCTGGATGCCCAGGTACCTAAACTGACGCCAGCAGACTAAATTTGGATTCGGCCTTAACCATGGGACTGTCAGTCCGCCGACACGTCACTGCCCCTCCGGGCTTCTGTTAGGCCCACCAATTTGATGCCTGATCTTTGTTTATACCCTTTTTTATTCTTGCAATTGAGAAGTAAATTCAATTCAAAATACCCATATTCTCATTCAAATTGAGCATCTGATCCCGCAAACGACTCTGCCTGTTGAAAACGTAGTAACCTAAGGTTTAGGCGCCCACTTAGCCCTCATATGGTCCGCAACCGGCTTCTCATCCCAAATAAAGTTAACACTCTCATGATTGATAGTAGCCTCTGCCCAACGCTTGAATCTTGGAGCCTTCTCCAGCAGAGCAGGCAGCTTAGCGCTAACCAGACCGTGCTCGGGCTTGCTGAAGCCAAGGATACGCAGCAAGAAAGAGCCCGATTGGACCTGTTCCAGTCAATACAAAAACCCATATTAAAACAAAACATGAGAAAGGAAAACATGAGACATACCTCAGCCAAAGTCAACTTCTCACTACCCCCAAAGAAAGGACCCTTGCCCTCAATCTCCGCCAACAGAGGCTCGACCTCCTTCACGACAGCAGCGGCCAACGCCTCCGCGGCAGCATCGCGCTCCTCCTCCGAGGCCGATTTGACACTGGCGAAGAAGTGCGGGACGACCTTGCTGAAGAAGGCATCGACGAAGAATGCGAGTCGGGCTCTATACAGAGCGTTTTCAACGGGACCGGACGGCGGCAGGAGGTGGGATGGGTGGGCATCGGCAATGAATTGGGCGACGATGCCAGACTCGGTGATGATGTTTCCGTTATACGAGAGACTAGGGACCAAGCCGCGCTGTATGATGTAGGTGTTAGTGATGTGCTCGTAACCGGGGCTTGATACACTTGGCAATGCTACTTACCGGGTTGACTTCCAAGTACCAAGGCTCGCGGGGAGTTTTCAGGTCGATGGTGACTTCTTCATAGTTCAGGCCGGATTCCTTGAGCGCGATGTGGGCGCGGTGTGCCCATGGGCAGCCGCGGTTGGTGTAGAGGGTGATCTTGGGCTGGGACATGGTTGTTCTGGTCAGGGAGGGAATTCGAAAGGGATCAAACCAGAGAAGGGGGGGGAAAGGCGTCATTATCTATGCTAGCACGGAATGTGGGCGGAGGGGTGTGGATTAGTAAAATATATGGCGAAATCGTTTTCCGGGTTTCTGTACCACAGTAGCTTAAAGCCGAGCCGGGTAAGAACTACTGAGAAGGTGGGGAGCGAGCGAGCGGGCCGTGACGACCGGAAACTCTGCAAGCCAACTTTTCTGCAAAATAAGATTCGAGTCTAGTTATATACATACATTAATGCTTGCATTATATGTCCGATATCTTCAAACAGACCAATTCCCCTGAGGGGCGGAATCATCAGGACCGTGGAGAGCTCAACGGCCGGGTATACCGTGTACATAACAAAGACGGAACGAGGTCCAAGGCTAGCTTCGGATGACAATGGCTTGCTCGTCTGAACCCGTCGCGCCAGCGTCCAGTTTCACAGAAATGAAAAGGATGGAAGAAAAAAAAGGAATTTGACGAGAAGGTCGATCACCTTGTAATGGGGGTATATAGAATACAATAAAAAAAAGAACATATCAGGAGAACCTCAAAAAGGTTGCCGAGGAGCGGCCAGCCGAAGAGTAAAAAGAAAAAGCACAGGTTGAACTCCTCGCGAAACTGGCAAGACGAAAGAGAATGCTGCACAAGCTGTCGTCAGGGCGTCAATTCGCATGAAATAGGGGAATTTCTCCGTCGTGCTCAATTCTCATCTTCCTCTTGCACTCCACCGTCGATAATCTTCCGCCAATGCTGCGGAAGACAAATGCAGACCAGGGGGAATGCTTTTATCTCGCCCGAAGGCACGGGAGACGGGCTAGGTCTGTGCGAGCCGTTGGAGACACCACTATCGCGCTGCTCGCGATGGATGTCGTAGTCCTCAGCCCGTTCGTGAAGACGGACACCCGTCGCCCAGCCGTCATCCCAGATACCAATCACCTTTAGCATCTCACCGCGATCCAGCTCGAACTCGTCACCCGCTCGGGGAGAATAAGCCCAGAGAGCAGCCACCTTATCACCGGGGTGAATATCATCTTGGGAGTAGTAGTCGCGGAAATAGGACATCTGCTCCGATTGGCCACTGGTGAATCCTTCGGGGGAGGAATATTGATTTGCGGTACCGCCCGAGAGGGGTGAGCTGTCACTCTCCAGTCCAGCCAGAGCAGAGCCACTCGAAAGTGAGCCATGGCGCTTTCCGGTCACAGGAGGTATCCTTCTGGACATGGCTCCGGGGCTGGCACCCATTGCTTCTGAATCAGACGAGTCGCCAGCATACTTGGCCCCGCCAAACATCGCAGCTGAAGTTCGCGAGTAGGCCGGGGACGAGCTGGGCATCTCGCGCAGGGCAGACATTCGTGCGACGCGGCCACCGGGAACAATATTGAGATTATTAGTGGGTGTTGACGGGCTGTCCACCTGTTGCATAGGTGGAGAAGCCCCTTTCCGCTGCGGGTTCGGTTGGTTGAGTCCTGCATCGGCCTGGGACTGGCGGCGTCTGCGACCACAGAGGAAGAGTAGAACGGCCAGGGCAGCCAAGATGGCAGCTCCGACCACAGATCCGATTACAATACCTGCAATTGCACCCCCTGACAAGCCGTGATGACCGGCACCGGCGCCGGCGCCGGCTGCCGCGGTGGTGGTCACGATCGGCTGCAGAGTTACAGTGGAGGCGGGGATACTGACGCCGGTGCAGCGACTGGACGCGTTGGAGCTCATGCAGCAGGTGTCAGTCGAGTTGGGTGAGCTGGACGCACAGTAGGTGCAGAGACCGATTGTGTTTGATGAGAAGCCACAGTTGTTTGGCTCGTTGGCGGACCCATCGACACATCCCCCAGTCAGCGATCCCGTAGGGTTGGAGCAGATCGTGAAGTCGGACCTAATTTGGTCTATGTATTTCTTGTCGGTGCTGGGGCAAAGATTTTTGTTGATCATTATCTCCTGTTCACTGGTCGCGAAAAGCGCACACGTCTCTGCGCATAGGGGCTCCGAGTCATTGTCGGACAAATCGCACGAGACCTTGGAACTCTGAATGAGGCCATTGCAAATAACGCTAGTGGTGTATTGGGCATAGTAGTCGTTCAATGCGCTGGAATTGTAGCCCACGCATCCCAAAAGGTCGACATATCTAAGCGTCTGAGTCAGTTTGTCCACGCGTAACCTCCCATGACTGCGGCAACTTACTTGGCGGTGACATAGGTGTCCTGGACGTAGTGTTGGAGGGATTGGTCAAACGATGTGAGATTGGAAACGTTTTTCAGCCATGGACTGCCCGATTGTGTCAGTAATTTCACCCACGCCCGTCCTATGCCGAGTGCCACTCACAAGTCCCCGTATTGACTTGAATTGATTGATACTGAGGCGCTACTCCACGCGGGGCAGGCGCTGGAGCCCGACAGAGAAAGACACGCGTCGGACATCTCGAGATATCTCCGAGGAATGTTTGCCGCGGGATGCGTCGCAACTGAGATCAAGAAGCTTCGGGAATTACACGAAACGCATCACTGCGCAATTTCTCCAGCAGTTTTCAACGTCGAGAAGGTTGACCCCAGGTCAAACCAAAAGTGCCTCAGGCTTGTGTTGTGAAAAGAAAGTTGCAAAAGATAAGAAATGAGTGACTGGGGCGGACAAAGGCCGTGGACCCGCAAGGAAGGAAAGATCAAGGCCTCGGAGGCGCTCTCGAGGGAATCGAACGAGGGAATCGAAATCGAAGGAATGGGCAAGCGATGACCAATCGAGCAAAGAGGAGAAGAAGAGACGAGTCGATTTGAGAGATGAGAAAGGTGGTCTGGGCGCAAGTGCCTGGGACTTGGGATTTAGGGGGAAACGAACTGGACTGAAACGGGGGTCTTAGCGTACTAAGACGAACGCTGGAACTGCCGAAGGTTGGAGGGCTGGACGTTGGGGTTTCTGCGTAACGAGTTTTACCTTCTCAGGGTCGACAAAGGTACCATAATAGGGGGCGCAGGCCCATCGTATCGCTCGTCTACTCCGTACTGTTTACTGCATACCCTGCGTATCCTATTTTGGGCCGGAGCTTCCTAAATGGCAACGGCCAGCCAGGCCCCAATTGGACTTAAGTCGCGTAGCTCGGGGTGTGCCGTCCCTGTCCAGGCGGTCTATTCCCGACCTGTTCCTGGCGTGACTCTTCCTCCACTCATAGCGCGAGCTGCGGACCCCAGCACCGGCGATCGCTATCACCCGCCCGTTTCGCAAATTTTCTCGAGTCGTAATCTTCCGGCCTTGCATGATGCAAGTGTTGTGCGTACTGCGTACATGGTTCGGTATGTGAGCTATCCTCTGTGAGGGACTCCCCTAGGTGGACAGTGCAATAGATATCGAGGGTGGAGTGTACCAAACTGCTGTGAAGACCCCTGCTGGGAGTCCACCCCCGCTTGGTGCCGGCTAGAACCTTGGCACGTATAGTCGATCATCCCACGCAAGAACATGCAGTCCGCGGTACCTGTATGGAGTAGTCGGTGCCCAGTCTACATGCATGTTGATTATGTATTTCAATTATGCCGTCAGCTAGTTAGTTAGTTAGTTAGGCCGGAAGTATAGATGCCTCAGGTTCGCGGTTCGCGATCCACGGATCACAGGTCATGTGATCAACGTCATCTGATCCCAGGCTTCCATCGCGGGCATGGAATGTGAGACTCGTCCAAGGCATCTTCTGCACGTCAACATCCCGCCTGCGATAAGCTTTCACTTTGATCTCTGATTTTCGTCCTTGATCCAGTCCTCGCATCTCTGCAAGTGATAGAGCACACTCCCCCTCCCTGGAGCCATGTGTAGCTCCGATATCTTCTTGGCCGTGCTGGCCGTCTTCTTCCCGCCCATCGCCGGTAACCCTCACTCGCCGCTATCTGTTTACATACGATAGCATGACAATCCCAAGGGATCAAAACGCTAACCAATATTGCACGCAGTCTGGATCAAAGCGGGAATTTGCTCTGCCGACTCCATCATCAACATCGCCCTCTCGCTACTCGGCTACATCCCCGGCCTCATCCACGCATGGTACATCATCCTCAAATACCCGGACATGGACTATGACGATGTGGCCTACGAGCCTATCCCCGGTGGCTCCAGCCAGCGTCGCGACCTCGAGAACGGTCGCGTGACCTACTACTATGTCTCACGCCAGCCTCCCCAGAATCCCACCCAGCGCGGATACGGCACCGTCAATCAGCAACCATCTGCTCGGCCGGATGCATCCAGCCACCCGGAAGGTACTGGTGGCAGCAGCCACGCACCGCCAACTTACGCCGAGGCTGTGAAGGGTGACAACAAGGTGCAGACCCAAGATTGAGAAGAGATACGGTCTTCACTGTCTATTACTCGACCTTGTCTGCCCTGCTCATTTGCATGAGCCTACCGTATATGAATCCTGCACACAAGCCTCTTATGACGTTGACGAAGGAATGTTTTTTTGTTGTTTGACTCATTGTGTTATCAATACGCCTCTCCGTAGTTGGCTTCCTTTCTTTCAGGCTTTCGTCTTGTGCTTTGCGCCTTGAATATAGGAAATAGCTCTGATTTCGCGAGATTCACGCCTACTGCTTTCTAGAAGATGGTGCTTTAAACGTCTCACTGGGCTGGAGAGCGACTTGAATTCTTCAATCGAATAATACCAGTGGAATTTATAATTTATAGTCTATCGTTCCGCACGTAAAATGGACGGTAAGGCTTGATATTGAATCTACCGGTTAGAATTGAGATTCTATTAGAGTGCACATTACAGTACTTCCGGAAACTGGTGTCCCCACCTACACACTCTCTGTGTAGTAACTTGTCAGCGGGCGCTTACGCGATTGCACTTCAGATGATGATCGATAGGCCACAGAATCCACGAACTATGAGTTCAGACCGAACAATAAGTTTTTATAGTGAAGTAGAAGCGAATGCTTGAGATCATCGTTTATCTCAAGAAAAGGAATGGGAACACGCCATTTGACACCTTAGGCATGCATGATTGGTTGGACTTGGAGTGACACCTGCGCGACGCGCGACTGGTCGCTGTGCTGAATGTTGCCTCCGCAGATGTTCGCACATACTTGCATCAATACCCGACGAATCCCTCGGCAAGTATGCAGCTTCATCTTAAACCAGTCCCATGTCCGAAATACGCCATCGATGTCCAGCTGCATCTCCCTGAAAGCAGGTGAAATGAGCTTGAATACAAATGGATTCAGCGGATCTCGGCCATCGATCACGAAACCTGGCAAGACTCCGTACAAGTTTATTGAATACGTCGAAGACCTAGACAGATATTGTCCTGGAGGATATCATCCTTTAAATATCGGGGACTACTTAGACGACGGCCGATATCGACTGGTTGACAAGCTTGGATACGGAGGATACTCGACTATATGGCTAGCCCGTGACCTACGAAGGGCTAGATACGTGGCAGTGAAAGCCATTACCGCTGATGCTAGTCCTTCCACACCTGAGGCTAGTCTTATACACACTCTTGGGAGCTCACCGTCTAGACCGGGAAGAGAAATTATTCCGCCCTTGACCGATGAATTCTGGATTACAGGCCCGAATGGGAAGCATAGGTGTATCGTCACTCCGCCAGCACAGATGAGTTTGTTCGATGCTAGAGAGGCTTCGACATTCGGTCTTTTCCGGCCAAAGGTCGCGCAGTCAATTATCGCTCAGCTCATTCGTGGGGTGGCGTTCCTACACAGCGAAGACATTATACACGGCGGTATGTGATGTTTATAGTGAATTCAGCTGAATTGCCTAGCTGATCTCATTTCTTCTAAGACCTTCATTTAGGCAACATTCTGGTCCAGTTCCCTGAATCGATCGATCGTTATTCCGCGTCAGAACTATACGATAAATTTGGAGAGCCAGAGCCAGAGCCGGTTATTCGTCTTGATGGTATGCCACTGTCACATGGAATACCTACACATGTCTTCATTCCCGGTTGGTTTGGCGTTCGCAGCGATGATATTGCTTTTGGAGAGGAGAGGGTCGTCCTTAGCGATTTTGGAGAATCTTTCAATCCTAATAAGACGTCCAGGTTTTCTTCGAAAACTCTTCCTCTTATTCAGCCACCTGAGGCCCGGTTCTCTGATGAGCCACTTTCCTTTGCCTCGGACATTTGGACACTTGCCTGCACTATTTGGGAGATTTTTGGCCAGCGACCTTTGTTTGACGCTTTTCGCCCAGCTGCTGATCGAGTCACCGCGGAGCAGGTCGAAGTTCTTGGCATATTACCTCACGAGTGGTGGGAAAAGTGGGACAGAAGACTGGAATGGTTTAACGAAGAGGGAGAATTGGACTTGAAGCCAGAGACGTCTAGGGGCCACGATAGCGTGCGCAGGACCTGGGACCTGAGGTTTGACTATTGCATACAGGAGCCTCGAGCCGAGGCGGACCTGGAGATCGTGACGGAGGAAGAGAAGAGGGCGTTTGAGGCGATGCTCCTCCCGATGCTAAAGTTCCGGCCGAGAGAAAGGGCGACGGCACAACAGGCATTACATTCAGAATGGATGAAAGATTGGGGACAACCAGCACTTGAGGAGAGCTGGAGTGCTTTTCATTCTGTGGTAAAAGATAAGGGGAAATAAAGGACTTCAAAGCAAGCTCGAGCTGAGAATCTTGGATGAAATTGAAAATATGCCGACGGGGTTTTCTTATGACTGTATAGCAAGTTACAATAACTCTGCCTGGCCATTCGTCGCACCGTGTCGCTTCAAAAAATCGCGTAGAATGTTTACTGGTTGCCTTCCAAGCAGGATAGGTGTTTTACGTGTTTGCCCAGAATATCCATTTTGTTGCCATGGAAGTTATAAATGGTCCCGAGGTCCATTATATATCGAGGACTAAAGGGGTAAGACACTCAAGATACAACTTTATAAAGCCGTAAACCGCGTAGACGCTAGTTTGGGATTCATGCAAAGCTTAGAAATGAGCTACTGACTTATATAGAAAAATGCTTCTAAAAAAAGGCCGCCTTGTGTAGAGCAACTGAAGTAGAACACAACGTATACACATCTGATAAGCGGTAGACCGAACCCGCTCCGAGATAATCCTCTTCCGAGCCGGCATTCTCGCACCCAACCACCACCTGGGTACTCCCACCGGCTCTAGGCTCTCGACCCGGCCATGCAGTCCATGCAATTGTTGTTCCGGCAATCGCTTCGGTCCAGCATACAAATCACACGAACCACCTCCAGACCGGTGCGAGCTCCATTCCGCCCGACAACTGCGAGTGCCTCTCCCGTTCGGCCGTCGCGGACCTTCTCAGTCTGCCTACAATGCCAATTCCGCCGGCAACCCTACACATACCTGCCCGATGATAAAGACAAGGCTAGCAACGATGCAGAAAGACTGATCAAGGCTGTTCGGGAGGCACCAGAAGCGATCGTCATCCCGGAGGTGGATGCGGGGGCTGCTCGGGCTGGAGATACTACGGAGAAGGATGGGGTGAGCCGGGGGCCGCAACTGGATGCAAGCGAGAAGGCACCGCTGGACCAGGAAGAGCAGGCACGGAGAGAGGAGCAGAACGCCAATGCCGAGGGCGCACGGCGCGGAGGCCTACCGTCGTACCTGGAAAGCCGACGGTCTCAAATGTCGAAGCAATTCAGCACGATGATGGACAATTTGCAGTCCAACGTTTTTGTGGCTGGCCAACGTTTAAACGATCTTACGGGGTACTCTGGGATCGAGGCTCTGAAGAAAGACATTCACATCCAAGGTACGTCCGCCCTGCTAGTACACCCAGGCTTGATACTAATTTTCGACCTACCCAGAGGACCGACTCCGCATAGCTCGCGCACACGTACGCCAAGCCAAGGAAGATTACACATCCGCGATCAACCGTCGCTCGACGTCACAGCGCGAAGTAAACGAGCTCCTGCAGCGCAAGCACGCCTGGTCTCCAGCCGACCTGGAGCGGTTTACGCTACTCTACCGTAACGACCATACCAATGAGGTCGCCGAGGTAGAGACTCAGGAGGCATTGTCCCGGGCTGAACGTGAGGCTGAGGAAGCGGCTGCGTCGCTGAGCAAGAGCATTCTCTCGCGCTACCATGAAGAGCAGGTGTGGTCGGACAAGATCCGCCGCATGTCGACTTGGGGTACCTGGGGCCTGATGGGCGTGAACGTCCTCCTCTTCCTGGTCTTCCAGATTGCTGTTGAGCCCTGGCGCCGGCGCCGGCTGGTCAAGGGATTCGAGGATAAGGTCGTTGAGGCTTTGGAGAAGGAGAAGACTTTGAACCAAGTTGCTCTCCAGGGCAATGTTCCTGCAGCCGTCTTGGCCCCGATTCTTCCCGAGGTCATTGATTCGACGCTTGAGACTTCTTCCACTGAATCTGCTGGTGGTGTTGGTGTCCCTGCTACAGTCCCTGCTGTAGTCCCTGTTGCAGAGGAGAGTGTTACTTCACCTTCAGCCACCACTAGCGCCAGTGTCTCCCCATCTCTCTATTCCCGCCTATCTGACATCTCCACTTCACCACTGTCTCTCGAATACTGGCGGCAGGTCTCCGAGGAGCTCCTCAGCCTGCGCAGTGTTACTATTTCTCAACACGATCTCACTGTGGTTGCCGTTCAGAGCGCTGCAGCCGGCGCGGCCATTATGGGTCTCTTGATTGCTTTGGTAAAGCCTCGGTAAAGAGCCCTGGCTTGGTTATTTACAGAAGAGCGTGTTCATATTTTCCTCCTTCTGGTCCCTTAGCATTGCCAGATTTGTCTCATACATTCGTCCTTGGGGACCACATCTGTACAGATGAATAGACATAGTTGGGTTTCGGACCCTTGTACCAATATATTGAAAGTTTTCTACAAAACTCGTACATAAAGGGATGCATAGAGGCCGAGTATGCCCGTATCAAAGTGACCTACGTAGACTTGAGTTTCGATCTTTTAGGAAAGACGCAATGTATAACAAAGGAAATTTCATGACTAGGCAATACACTGGCAATATAGAACACAAGTATGTACTCAAGGAGACGCTGTGCAGGTTGAACAGTCAAACCAAGAACCAGAAGAGACTGAACATCCATCGAGCAGCGACTCGAGACCGAGGACACAAAAAGGGGTAAAAAAAGAGGCTCATTTTTTGTCCATATTAAAACACGGTCTCTTAATCTTGGCAAGACACACAGCCGCTCTGTCTAAAACGGAAAAAGATCACACAAACACATACACGGACACGTCCCCCTCAACCCTCTTCACCCTCGGTCTAAACGAAACAAAGCCCTGCGCACGGCAGGACCAACCCGGTCGAAAAGTGTATGGGATATTTTGAGGGATCGCTTAACCGATGACGAGGACCTCCTCCTCGGGGAACTGGTACGCGGGAACCTCGAGGTTCAGAGGAGCAGGACCCTTGCGGATACGGCCGGAGATATCGTAGTGAGAACCGTGGCAAGGGCAGAACCAGCCGCCGTAGTCACCGGCCTCGCCGATGGGCACACAACCCAGATGGGTGCAGACACCCAGCATGACCAGCCACTCGGGCTTCTGAACACGCTCATCGTCGGACTGGGGGTCACGCAGGCTCTCCCACTTTGTGTCACGGGCCTCGTTGATCTCATCCTGGGTACGGTGACGGATGAAGACGGGCTTGCCACGCCACTTGATGATGACCTGTTTGGGGATGTGTTAGGGTATTTCGGGGAGAAACGAGGGCGAGTTCACGTACGTTCTTGCCCTCAGGGATGGCACCGAGAGCAATCTCAACCTTGGCCTGGGCCAGGACATCGGCGGAGGCGGACATGTTGACCAGGAAGTCTGTAGGGGAAATCACACGGTCAGTCTCGGTAATCCTTGTCGCGTGCTATTATTATCGGGATCCATCCAATTCCACCGGATATTTCCCCCATATCATCTCAAAAGGACAAAGGGACCAAAAAGAGAGAACGTACCCTGGACAGTAGCCTTGGCACCGACGGCGGTAGCCAGACCCATGGTGCCGGCCATGAAGTAAGAGAAGACCTGGTTGGACCGAGGGGACTTGCTGGACTGGTATTTGCTGAAGTTGGGGATCTTCAAGGTCGAGCCACGCTCGTTGGCAGTGGCGAAGGGGCTCTCGAAGGAAGCCTTAGCATCGGCGACTCCCCTCGTCTGCTGGCAGGAGGTGACGGCGGCGCGGGCGGTAGGCAGCTGCTGGCGGGCGCAAGTGCGCAGCAAAGTGCTGGAAGCGGCGGAGAGCGACATGGTGAGGCGATTGACCACACGGACGGGGTTGTTGACCGCAATTGCGTGGGGAAGGAGGGAGTGAGGGAGGGAGGTGGATGAAGTCGGAAGTCGAAGTCGGAGCCAGAGCTTTCGCTAGCGATCGGAATCACGGGGCCTGTCATTGGCTGAGCGGGTCCCGGGCGGTATAACTTGATCTTCATTTATCAACTCGTGTCTCTTCTATTGTTATTTTCTCATGCGTTGTCATTCCGTTCGATTCAATTGGCCTCTATTTTAATTTGTGACACTAAATGTCATTGGTATCGTAAGTTGGACTGTGTCCCCTCCCCCGTGCCCGATGCGGACTATAAACCACCGGGCCAAGAAGCAACCCCGGAATCCCATGAAACTCCAAATGCAAAATGAAAAACGAAGAACAGTCATGACTCCCACACCTAATCCTGCATTTCAACATCCGGGTCGTGGCGGACCGAGGGCTCGATCGTCCGGTCTGTGATCAGCGCACTCACGGGCACCACGGGTGTGCGAGGAACCGATGGTGACGATGTCGTTGGCTCTTCCGCCCGGGGAATCGTTTCAGCTGGAGCACCGTTCGTATTGCCAGCAGGTACACCATTTCCATTCAGTGTGCGCTGACCCTTTTCCATCTCGGCCGACTTGGCTGCGTCCTTTGCCTTCTTCTCTTTGAATTGTTTATATGTCGTAGTCTTGGGGATCACATCGGAGAGGAACTCGAGATTATCAATGTGCGAAACCGCCGTAGCTGTTGCACGTTAGCATGTCGCTCTTGTCGTGTTGCTGGTCACTACCCACCCAGATCCTTGTATTGGACGGTCTTTCGCGGCTTGCGCTCTGATTTGACCACGTTATACGCTTGTTCGGCGAGGTTCTGAATGAACATTTCCTGAGAAAGGTGTCAGTAAGTGTCCGAGAGACATAGGGTTCGTGGCTGAGGGGGTTGCGCACGGTAGCCATAGCAATGACAAACGTCGAATTGTTGGAGCATTGTACGATATCTTCGTCGAGTTGAATGATCTTCTTGATTCGAGAAACTAGGAGCCTGTTAGTCTCTCGTCTCGTCTCTTTGGGATCCTATACGCACTGGGAAGGGCGCTCTGGCCGGTGATCTCATCGGGCTCGCCCGTGTTCTTCGACGCCATGGTGGGATGTTTGTAAATTGTCCGTGGAGTTGAAGATGACTAGAAGGGACAATGGTCCTCTTTCGCAGTGGCGGGCGTGTATATTTGCAGCAGAAGGGAGTGCGAGTGTGGCGTGTAAAGTGCAGAGGGCAAGACCACGCGCGTGCGCCGCGTTCCAAGGTTATCTCAGCAGCTCCGTTATCGATACTTGGCGCGGACTCGTCGTAACCTCGACCTCCATTCCCATCGAAATTGCTCGACTACGCCCAAGTGTGTTCTGCGAGCTAGGGATCTATTTGAGCGCTGAATTGAGTGCAGTCAAGGCTTTCCGGTCTGAGCTGTATATTCTCCAGCAGCGCTTCTGCGACCTTCCTGTCGCGGTGGAATAGCCTCGTCATAGCTCGAATCCGACTATGCTGGTTCCACCGCACCGGTCGATGTTATGACCTCGAATCGCTCCTCTTCGGCCTTGCGGTCGCCGTCAATCCTAAACGAACGTCGAGATTTCCGCAGATTGTCCGGTCGCTCTGTGTCCTCTCCTATCGATCCCGAGCCGGCTCCCGATGTCCAACCCACCGCAATCACAGAGGAAATCAGCGAAATCAAGCGCTATGAGGATTTCACTACCATAGATTGGGTGCAGGATGCGGTATATGAACAGAGCGCTCGCCGCGCCAAGCGGCGGGGTGGCGGGGGATTTTGGGATCAGGAGGGTGTCTTTGGCTGGCGACGCAAAATGCGCGAGTCTTACGATGCCGGACAGGCCTGGCTGGTGGTCACACTTGTCGGAATGGCAATTGGACTCAATTCGGCTCTTTTGAATATCATTACCGAGTGGTTGTCAGATATCAAGCTGGGCCACTGTACCACTGCATTCTATCTGAACGAACAGTTTTGCTGCTGGGGGGCTGAAGGAGGTATGTGAACTGCATTGGAGACGGTTTGAACAAAGCTGACATTACTTGACAGGATGCCCCGAGTGGAAACACTGGACTGGCTTCTGGCCGGTCAACTATGTAGTGTACTTCTTTTTCGCTGTAAGACTCCATTCCGCGCCCACCCGAGGCTTTTGCGAGCTGACATTTGACTAGGTGTTACTTTCTTTCGTTGCAGCGGTTCTTGTCAAGTCTTTTGCGCCATATGCCGCAGGTTCCGGTATCTCAGAAATCAAATGTATCATTGCGGGCTTCGTCATGAAAGGTTTCTTGGGAGGCTGGACCCTTCTCATCAAGTCGATTGCTTTACCATTGGCTATTGCTTCTGGCCTATCCGTTGGTAAAGAAGGGCCTAGTGTTCATTTCGCTGTTTGCACGGGCAACGTGATCTCTCGATTCTTTGGCAAATACAAGCAGAGTGCGTCGAAAACGAGGGAAATCCTGACCGCGTCGGCGGCCGCGGGTGTGGCTGTTGCTTTTGGCAGTCCAATTGGTGGTGTTCTTTTCTCATTAGAGGTACGTTCGAGAATAGCTCCGTGACAAGCAGATGCTGATAGCAACAGGAAATGGCCAGTTACTTCCCGCTCAAGACTCTCTGGCGTAGCTACTTCTGTGCCCTGGTCGCGACCAGTGTACTAGCTGTAAGTTTTCTCATCGATCTTTTCGATGAACTATGCTGATTTTCGTCAGGGGTTGAACCCATTTAGAACTGGCCAGCTGGTCATGTTCCAAGTCCAATATGATCGCACATGGCATTTTTTCGAGCTGATCTTTTTTGTATTTCTGGGTGTATTTGGCGGTCTCTACGGTGCATTCGTGATCAAATGGAATCTTCGAATGGCCGCATTCCGCAAGAAGTACCTGTCTCAATGGCCTATCACCGAATCTGTGGTTCTTGCTGCCCTTACTGCAGTCCTCTGTTATCCAAATATGTTTTTGAGGATCAACATGACGGAGATGATGGAGATTCTCTTCCGCGAATGTGGAGGGGGACATGACTATGATGGGCTCTGCGAGTATGGACATCCCCATTCCCCCAGTCTATCAGATAACTGACATTGTCATTTACAGAGCCCAGAATCGCTGGTCGATGGTATTTTCGCTGGCTATTGCTACCATTCTGCGCACCGGGCTGGTCATTATCTCCTACGGGTGCAAAGTACCAGCCGGCATTTTCGTCCCATCGATGGCCATCGGTGCGTCATTTGGCCGCATGGTAGGAATCATGGTGCAGGCACTACATGAATCCTTCCCCAATGCCGCATTCTTTGCGTCATGCAAGCCGGATGTTCCCTGCATCACTCCAGGCACATACGCCTTCCTGGGCGCTGGCGCAGCCCTCAGTGGAATCATGCACATCACCATTTCCGTGACAATTATCATGTTCGAGCTGACAGGAGCCCTGACCTATATTCTCCCGACCATGGTATGTCTTCTCAAGCGCTTGTCATCAGCTTGAATCAGCTAATTTGACCTCCCTAGATCGTGGTCGGCGTAACCAAAGCCGTTGGAGACCGCTTCGGCAACGGCGGTATCGCGGATCGAATGATCTGGTTCAACGGCTTCCCATTCCTGGACAACAAGGAAGACCATGTCTTCAACGTCCCAGTCTCGCACGCCATGACTACGGACCCGCTCACCCTGCCCGCCTCAGACTTCCCAGTACGCGAGGCAGAGCACCTGCTGAGCGACAACAAGTTCCAGGGTTTCCCGATCGTCGAAGACCGGAATACCAAGACATTGGTCGGCTATATTGGCCGTACCGAGCTACGATACGCTATTGATCGTGCACGCAGCGACGGACTTGTCTCACCACGCGCACGGTGTGTTTTCACCAAGGAAGCAGCCGAAGCAGCCGAAGCAGCCGTCGCCCGACGAGCATCCGTCTCCCAGCCGCGCACCGCCGAGACCTTCGACAGCATTCAGGACAGCGTTGGTGCCGCAGTCGTCGATTTCTCACGATACATTGACCACACGCCGCTGACCGTACACCCGCGCCTCCCGCTCGAGACCGTGATGGAGATCTTCAAGAAGATGGGCCCGCGCGTTATCCTTGTCGAACACCGCGGCCGCCTGACCGGCCTAGTCACCGTCAAGGACTGCTTGAAGTACCAGTTCAAGGTTGAGGCGGAAGAGCAAGCCCTAGCTGCGACGAGCTCGTCTGAGTTTGCCTCTGCTCCATTGGGCGGGCATCTCAGCAGCCCTGCGCCAGAGACACTGGAGGACCGTTTATGGCGACTCATCCAGACTGTTGCTGGCTATGTGTCTGGGAAAATTGGACCCAATCGGTCTGTGCGATTGCAAGAGAGACACCGGCCTGCACCATCAGAGTCGGCGATCTTGGATGGCACGGAAGATGACGGGCTTGTGGAATTAGAGGAGAGAGAGGAGCGGCCCGGTCGCTAGTTTGTAATAACTCTGTGGATATAGGTTGATAGAGGAGTTGTGAACATGTAAAGCATTTGGTTGTTGATCAATCCAGGGATTTGTGTCTCATTAGTCTTTTTTGATAGAGATCCGTTTAGCTATGTTCACATTTCAGGTATTAAGCTCCCTCTATGCCCCCCCTCGCGCATCCCAACCAAAATACAACCCGCCCCCATCATCGCAGCTCCAAGCCACCAAAGCCCACCAACAGCCTCGCGGAACACGATCATGCCTAGCAAGGCGGTAGCCAGGAAGTTCGATGCGGTGTTGGTAATTGACACCTTCACGGTAGACGGGCCGGCCGTCAAGGCACGGGTGAAGAGAGCCCACATGATGATGTTGCAGACGACGTTGAGGCCCAGACAAGCCTGGTAGAAAGGGTCAGTATAACATAACACCTACTTCCACAGAACTCATGTATCAAAGCTCTAGTAACAAGATAATAGCGGGAGACGTACACCGCGGACCATGAGCTCTAGGAACGGCGAGGAGTCCAAGCCGAAGAAGTGCGCGAGGGACTGCGCAAAGGCGGTTGTGTTGTTATCCGTTGTGCTACCGAATGTGTGAATTGGTGAATCTCATTTGCAGGTATAGGTTCTCCATGGTGATAGGTTCAACTTACAGCTTTGCGAAGACCCCGTTCAGTGCAGCGAATGCGCCGCTCGCCACGGCGAGGACTATCCAGGGGGAGGTGGTAGACTTTTGTGCCGGCTGAGGAGCCATTGTGGGTGTTTTATGTACGAAGATGATAAATGAATGAAGGATGGAGCTGGACTATTGTATAAAATGCAGGGATCTGAACCCACAGCGCGAGAAGGGAGGTCAAAATGCCAAGACCCGATAAGATAGTGATCGACGTTATCGAAGTATCAAAACCGAACTACGGAAGTGGACCAATATGTTCGTGTATACATCTAGAATTTCTAGTCTCAAGGAAGGAAAGCTCATGGAGAAAGCCTCTGCACACGCCACTGTGCATCACCGCCAACACCGGATCCCTCAACCCGCACATAACGGAACCGATCATGCAATCGACTCTTCCGACCCTGCCAGAACTCAACAGACTCCGGCACAAGGCGCACGCCGCCCCAGAAAGGCGGAAGAGGAATATTCTCAACCCCGGCAAAGCGCTGCTCCATGTCCTTAACCCGCTCCTCAAGCAGGGCGCGGCCGTCATTGATATCCGTCTCGTCGATGTCGGCCGGAACGTTGCCCTGCAACTTAGCCACGCTCTTGCGACGCTGATTCTCAGCGAGCTGCAATGGCTCCCCAGACCACAGCACCCGGCTCTGCCAGCTGGCCCAGGCGCCGATCTGACTGCCGCGTTCGCGCGTACGCCAGTATGGTTCACTCTCCTCGCGACTCAGCGGCTCCAGCATGCCTTCGATACGGACCTGGCGTTCCACGGATGCCCAGAGGAATGTCAGAGCGCCCCATTTGTTGCCCTGTTGAGGAAGGTCCCCTGGTGGGGGTATAGATCCGATCGTATCTGTGTTGGCATCCGGGCCCCAGACCTGCCGGCCTTTACCTTCCCGGCTACCCCAGTTACTGTAGACCACCCATCCGTGCTCATCTAACTCCTTGAGGTAGAGGACACGCGCACTAACGCGGCCGGAAGGGAGCTCGGCTGTAGCAAGCGTGCAGGTCTCAGGCGACGAGCTGGGCGTTAGTCGAGGGTCGTGGAACCAAGTATTGAATTGGTGCAGCGGATTGGTGCCATGCATTTGGGAGATTGTAAGAGGCGGGTTGGTCACGAACTGGTGGGCTCGCGCGGGGTGCGACATGAGTTGACTTTCGGAGGTAGAGTTGGGCGTCGAAGTCTGGGAGCGGAGGGCTTCGGGGCCGAGGTGGGATGGCACGGCGGATTGTGCATGCGCTGGTGGCTCCGGAGAGTCGGATATAGCTTCAATGTCGCCGGGTGCAACTGTTAAGCGACATGGAGGTTAGCTTGGAGCTCTTTTTGGGTTCCCCGCGGTGCGGCGCATTGTGCGGACGGGCGGGTGGTAACGGTAGGTTCTTGCGTACAGATAAGCTTCTTCGGGCGCCGTGACTGAGCACCCGCCTCGACGTTCTGTGACATGTTCGAGTTGTGGACGAGTCGTGGTGTGGACGAATGCAAATGTCGTGAGCGGGGTTGGCGGGAAGCTGTGATGCCAATGCGGAGAAACAAGTCAAAGGCGATGGGCGTAGAGAGACGAGACAGCATGAAATGTGTCTCGTATCACTTAACAAGTCAACGGCAATACCAAGGTAAACCTCAGTAGTGGTGGCCTAGAAAATTGAGGTGAAAAGCCAAAGTCACACACTGCACGAGGTGAAAAGGCGGAGCTCCAGATCTTGGAACTGGAAATCGTGGAATGTTACGGATGCACCCGACGTCATGCCATACTTCCAAGGTCGTCACGTCTACCATCACATTCGGCTTGTCATATATTTGGAAATGCCATTTATCTAATGCAAGTTGTCACTGTACAGGGTCCCTAGGGACCTTTTCATGATTCTTCAAGCGTCTATACGCCGTGAACTCAACCTATAGATTAATTAGCAACCTTGGAGTTATTGATATCCATAGTTGAAGGAGACATGCCGTTTAAGGCTTCGAGCACTCAAGGTACTTCTCGCCACGCTTGCAGGGCGAGTCAGCCAGGACTTTGCAGCACTGAGTGCCGGCTTTGGAAGCGCAGTCGCCGGAGCCGTCGGAGGAGACAGCAACGATCTGGTTGCCGTCCGACAGCTGCTGACCGGCCTTGTAGGGAGAGACACCGCAGTAGTCGGAGCCGTAGCCGTATTCGGACTTGATCCAGTCACAGCCCCAGCCGCGGTAGACGCAGTCGTAGTCCTCGGGATTCACGGCGCTAGCGGCGGCAGAGGAGTCGGCAGCCGAGATAGAGGCATAGGAGGAGGTGGGAATTGAAGACAGATGGCTCTGCAGGACGGAGCTCGGAGGAACAGAGATAGAAGGAATGGCCACTGTAGAAGTATTAGGAGTGTAGGTGGCCGAAGAAGTCATCCTGGCCGAGGCCACGCCGGCCAGAAGGATGGTAGACGCGAGAGTGAACTGCATTTTGATATATGATTATATCGAGATGTAGAGGACAGGATGCCGACGGGGCAACACTCGGTAGATATAGGGCTAGGAAGACTAGGTGGAATTCCGTACCAGCTACATTGGCAGTAATTGCCCTTCCCAAACAAATGACAAAACAGAGGGATCTGCAAAGAACGAGAGCTGCTTTTCATGGTAGCGGACCAAATTGATGCCGATGAATAGAGCTGTGGCTTCAATAGATCGAGTGTTCCTGGTGGAGCGCAGCCCACCCAGCCCTAACGACATGAGGCAATTGATCCCCCAAAGCTGAAAGACGGAGAACCTCGGGCCGTACTTCGATCGGCACTGGGACCTGAATCTAGCGATCGACAACTTTATCGAGATCAAGAGCTGACATGATCGTCGCTTTGGCAACAACAGACCCCTGAAGCAGGCCCGTGGTGGTCAAGGGTCAACTGTCGATCTCTCAGCTTTGCCCACCCCCCTACCTAGCACATAGAGCTATGTATCCATGCCGCTATTTCACCAAGTGGGTTCAGCCGGGAAATACAATGGCCCCGTAGTGTCCTATGACTATGTCCTGTGTCATGACCGAAATCGTGTACGCCGCGATCAACGCGTACTATAAGTATTGTACCCGCCCAAAACAAGAGTCTTTTGGAACCACTTCCACTTTATCAATATGCAGTTCAAGCTCTCTACACTTGTTGCCCTCCTGGCCGCATCCCCGGCCCTCGCCGCTTCCAAGGGCGCTACCGTCGCTGCCGGTATCTACAAGGTCACTACTAAAGTCTTGGATGTCAGGAAAGTGGCAGAGAGTATCGAGCTCACTACCTACCCTTCAAAAGCCAGCGTTAGCTTCCCTATTCCGGTGCCTCGTCTCTAAAGATATAATACTGATCCCGCCTAGCTCTTCTTCTCCGATTACCGGGGCCTCCTGGATCTTAAGAACGAGCAGGTTCAGTCCTCTCCCGACGGCATTGAACCTAGCAGTGAGCCCGAGGTCTGCAATGCCTTTATCTCCGTGAGTAGCCGCTATTTATAATTATATCACCGGATCGCCTAACAGTATACATAGTACTCGGAGGTCGAGAAGAACTTTCTAGCAACTATCATCGACAAGGAAGCAATTTTTAAGTCGTTCGCTTCCGCCTTACCAGTTCTTGAAATGCTGCGCTCCGATTCTTCTATCAGTGACGTATGTTTTCCAAAGTGAAATGCCTAACTCCAAGGACACTCACCAGTTTTATAGACATACTACTCCAACGTGCTTGGCCTTGTTCCATCTTGCCAGGCTGATATCATGAAAAACGGCAAGTAGGTAGACGAACTATTCAAGGTCGCCATCAATACTTACGACCAAGGGTTCCCTAGCACTCCTTACTAAGATCATTAGCATCCGAGGAAGGAAATACCACGCCATCACACTTGACGCTATGAAGGCACCAGCTCTGTACATAATCACATTGTATAGGGAGATGCTTCATATGAGGAATCTCTTGACTTCAAAAGAAATCGCACTTAATGAAATGTACCCTTAATCTACGATCTAAAGCGTTGAAGACGAATGTTAGTTGTCCAGGAAGGGAGTTTGGATTTCATTCACTTCCGGATTGAGAGACTCAATTCACCAGATTCCCCCGACAGATTCTCCTAGGAAGTCTCCGCATATAGATCAGAATGTCTCGACCGTCCTGCGATCATGCTTTCATGTTGGCACGAATCTAGATCCTCGTGGTGGAACCCTTGCGTTACATACTTAGTGCGTCGGTCAAGGTTTTTTAGCTGTCTCCTTACGGTCTAGATCCCATGTCGAGATACTTGATAAACAATGGGAGTCCTTGGTCCTGAACTGCATAAAGAAAAACGCCAGGTTTAGTGGAACTTGTTCTCGCGGCGGCAGCGCGTGTGATTCCAAAGAAAACGGGCCCGGTTGCAACTCCAGGACTCGTATAACCAGGAACAAGTCTTGGAAGCGAGCTTCCCATTTCTAGAGTCTCAAAGTACCAGTTTACAGGAACCAAAATGCTCAATCACTTTTTTTGTATTTCGTTGGGCGTATGGAAGCGCCATGCAGAGTTGAGATGGGTCTATGAACATCATATCACAAACATGGTATACATAAAAGAAAAAAACTCCCCACCATTTTTCAACGCCGGTCTCGCTGAATGCCATGATATCAAAAAAAAAAAAAAAAAACATCCGAAAATTGCAAATCTGTTATCCAACCACCGCCACCCCTACATGCGCCGAACCGAAGCCCACACCGAAGGGATCCAGCCCTGACAAGGTGAATGTAGGGTTTTTATCAATCGAAAAGATTAAAGGGGGTAAAGAAACCCTGGTAGACGGTAGCCAGGAAAAAAAATCAACACGAAATAGCAAATTAGATGGAGGTAGGAGTGCTGACGAGATCGATGATCTTGCTGGCCACGGCGGAGGGGTAGCCACGGGACATCATCTCCTGGACGATGCCGGCGGCAGCTGTGCGGTCGTCGGCACCCAGGAAGGCGCGGGTCATGGCCTCGTATGTGCTGGGCTCGCGCTTGGAGATGCCGATGCTGTCGTAGATGGTCTTGGCCTTGGAGACATTGCCCTCGACGGCCCAGCCGTGAATCAGCGTGTTAGCGATGTAGGCGGTCATCTCGACGTTGCGCTGCAGCATGTCTTTGACGATTTCCTCGGTGTCAGCGACGCGGTTGTTGGCCACCATCGCTTCGAAGAGGGCCTGGTAGAGGCAGGGTTGCAGGCGCACGCGGCGATCAGAGACGACGGAGTCGAAGACCTTGCGGGCGGCAGGTAGGTCGTGCTGGACACAGCCCTTGGCGTGGACAAGGGAGGCGTAGTGCACGGCATCGGGCTGCTGGCCGGCTGCCTGCATGGACTCGAGAACCTTCTCGGCGGCTTCCATGTCCATGGGCTCGAGCGAGGCGTGCGCGTCAATGAGCAGCTTGTAGGTGTGCATGGTGGGCTTGATGTGGCGGACCTGCATGCGCTCATAGTAAGCGAGAACCTTGCTGCGATCGCCCTTGGTGTTCAGGAAGTATTGGATCATAGAGTTGTAGGGAGCGGGACGCGGCTTGTAGTTAGGCATGGACTCCATCTCCTCAAACATCTCCTCGGCGAAGCGCTCGTCACTGACTCGGCAGAGCGCGTTGACGATGGTTCCGTAAGTGACGCTAGTCGGACGCACGTTGTTGGCACGCATCTCGGCAAAGTAGGCGAGGCAGTCATCGATACGACGAGCCTTGCCCAGTTTACCGATCAGAGCATTGTACAGGAACGAAGTGGGCTCGACACCCTCAGCAACTGCGCGGTGGAAAATCTTCAAAGCCTCAGTGGCCTCGTCAAAGGTCTTGGTCGATTCCTTCAACGTGGTGATGTACAGACCAAAGGTGTTCGCGGAGGGCGCAGAGCCCAGGCCGAGCAGCTCCTGGTGGAATTGGCCAGCCAGTCGACGGTCACCGAGAGTGAGGCACGCAGAGACCATGGCATCGAGGATTGAAACCCAACCGTACTTGACAGCATTGTAAGCCGGGTTGAGAGGGACGTCGGCGCGCGCCATGTTGTGGATCTCGTTGACCAGCTCCATGCGGTTGGCCTTGGCGGCGGCAGTGATCAGCTTCGCGTACGTGATGTAGCGAGGGTGACGACCAATGCGACGCATGTTCTTGAGCCGGATCAAAGCCTCGTTGAGGTGAGTCTCTGCCCGGCCGGCGGTCTTCTCGAGCTCATCAGCGATAATAGCAGACCCTCGGAAGTCGGTGGCCTGGGCATAAGGGTCGAAGGAGTCGGGGCTTGAAGACGGGGTCGTGATGGAGGTCTCGGCCATGGAAACGGGGCTGTGGCGTTCAGACAGGAAAGAAGCCTGAGTAGACGCCTCCAGGTGGTCCTGCCATCTCTTGACGACATCAGGGCGACTGGCGAAGAGGTTGGCGACAGCCTGATCGACCAGGTGAGTCGTGTACGTATCCAGCGGGAGAGAAGTTGACAGCGCGACTTCGAGCATGTGTGCGAAGCGGACAAGGTGAGCGACATCGAAAATCATCGCACTGTTATTGGCCATCATACCAGCCTGGACCTGGAGGGCCAGGGTGAGGTCGGTGGGGTTCAGCTGAGAGATGCCCACGGGTCCGAGGCTGGCGACGGCATGTTCGGCCAGGGGGGACACCAGACCGCCGTTCTCAATCATAGACCACAGAAGAGTCATGGAGGAAGAAGGCGAGAGAACAGCGGCCGTCTGCACAAGGACGCGACCAAAGAGGTGGAGGGACTCGGTGACTTGCTCACGTGCGGTGGTAGGGACAGTGACCTGGTCGGCAGAGGCGTTGCGAATACGGGCAAACATGTTGCGCGCCTCGTGCAGGCCCTCCTCAACCTGGCCACTCTTGAGTAGCGCAACCGCGTACATGGTGGTCGGCTGGATCAGATCCGGGGTTGCCTGACCCACGGTGGTCAGCATAATCCACAGGGAGCGGGCCGCCGAAACGTTGCCCCGACGAATTTGAAGAGCGAGAAGTGAGATGGCGGGGTTCTGTCGAACATCAGGGTTGGTGGACAGGCGGTCATATGCCTCGGAGGCAGTCGTAAGATCGCCGGCATCAGCCGCGGCAATGCAGATTCGGGAGATGGCATGGTCCCGAGCCTCATCATGTAATTGGGCCTTGGCTAGCTCTAGGGCCTTGCTGTGCTCGCCGACATTCAATGAGTGTTGCACGAGGGCATCCTGCACGATCACTTCTTCCACTGCAGCCCACCGGCCCTCGCGGTTCTCGGTGACATCGTCAAACGAGGAGCGAATTCGGTCAAGGAAGCCCTGAGCACCCTCTTGTCTGCCACAGGACAAGTAGGCACGGATCAGAGCAGCGTACACCTCACCGTCCAGGCGCTTGACAATAGTGAATACTCCATTGTCGTCCGAAACCGCAAGGGTGCGATACTCGTTGTAGCATTCCACGGCGCTCTTGAGGTCACCGGTACTAGCAAAGGCATCAATCATGCACGGGAAGATAGTCGCATGGGGAGTAACCTTTTGCTGTTCCATGTGGGAGTAGATACGGATCATGTCCTCCACCAAACCCTCGCGGGCACAGGCAATGATGAGATTGCGGTAGAGGTCGAGCGGGAACACGAGTCGGGAGTGACGGGTCGTGGCAGTATTGAAAAGCTTGACAGCGATAGACAAGGAGTGGTCCTCGGCAAGAATATCGCGCTCCAGTTCACTGGACTGAAGCATAAACTTGCCAGGCTCCTCCATACCGCCATAGCGGACACGTTGCCGTTCGAGCACCTCTTTGGCCTTGATGATCTCATGCGCCTGGGTCACAAGCAGCTGGACGAGGGTTTGGTAAGTATCTTCATCGGGAATTACCCTACGACGAAGCATATCAGAGTAGACATCGAGGGCCTTGGGAATGGCCTGGGCGGGATCGGGGTTGAGCTGGATGGCGGCGACGAGGAGGGCATTGTACGCATCGACAGTCGGGGTCATTCCATCCTTGAGCAATGATTGAAAGGCTGCAGGGATCGCGGCATAGTTCTTCGAAGTGGCCAGCTGGACAATGCGTTCCGAGGCGGCCTTGGTCTCGTCGGATATAGCCTCGGCCACAAGCGCATCTTCAGACTCGGCGGCGGTCTCGATTGCCTCCGACGCTTCCTCCGCCTGTGCTTGTTCCTCCTGGATCTGGATCTCTCGGGCGACGGCCTCCTCAACCTGAGCGCTGACATCCTCGTGCACAGCGGCCTTGGTCAGATGGGGCGGCACGGTTTCGGGCGAACGGGCCCGTTCCTCTTTGCCCTCGACATCCTCGGCGGAAGGTTTCCATCCGATACGGCGCTTGAAATGAACCGAGCGCCAGTCACTGTCATCGCCAGTCTGCTGGGCGTGCTGCCAGGCAGCGTAATAAGCAGCTAAACCGAAATCCCCAGAGCCTGAGCCGCCCTGACTCGCTTTGGCGCCGGCGCCGGAGGAGCTGGACGCGTTAAAAGCATTCTGGAGTTGTGTGCGAGAGAACTTGGCGGGTTGGGTAGCGAGGGAATTTAAGGTGGTGGACGACGCGTATGAGGACTGCGACGCCGCAACTACCGACTGAGCATAGCCATGGGTGAAGGCTTTGGTGAAACTCTGGCGCGCGAGATGGGTGAACGGTTTAAAAACCATTTATCTAGCGGGGGACCTCTTCAGAGTGAAGAGGCAATGCTGTTTCAATGTTAGGACCAGAGAACCAGAGAACGCGTGCAGATCGCGGAGTCGAGACACACCTTGCACTCAGAATAGTAATTTAAGTGCAGGTTCATTGGACGACCGAGCCGCCAATGAACGCGCTGGGGCAAAGGTAGGAAGGAAAGGGTTGTAGAATTAAGACCCGTGTACGGACAGGTCCTGGTGGCGATGGGGAATAAAATGGCAGGGAAAGAGGGAGCCTAAGTAAAAAGGGAGAGGCTAAAAAAAATATGCCGGGTTTCCAGAAGGAGATGGAGTCGCACAGTGGGCCAGGAGTGTCTAGGGCCGATCCTCTCCGGGGAATCCTCTCGATATACGTGGTACCTTCGATTCATAGGTAAAATGCCCCCGACTTTCGCTACTTGCTATCATCTAGCCTGTTTCCTGGGTCTATCGTATACCAAGATTCAAACACGTCAACATTTTTCTGAAGTACAGTATACCACGAGACGAGTACATTGTGCTCGCAGGGCAAAGTACTCAGTACGCCAGATGTCAACAGGTCAGCAGGCCGCTTATGTGAAAAACCGGAAGACGTAGACTTTCAGCCAATAATAGCGCGACTCCCCTGGTGGGTTCCTGGATGAGTCACCGTCCTTCCGGTTCTTTTTCTTCTCGGAGCCTGCGCTGAACTTCCCCGGGCGGCATTCGGCCTCCCGGTTTGCCCGACGGGGATAAGGGATCAAGGGGATAACGGCGATCCGGAGGTTGACTCTTGACTCCGAGGAAATACGAGGGTCGTAGCATTCTAGGGTTTCCTTGGTGTCAGCATTCGTGGGAGATCTAATCCCAACCTTTCTAAAGGTTGTTTCTCCCAAGTTGGTCGAAATGTGACATTATTCTCACGAAAGTTATCGAGAGAGTATGAGAGTAGGGATAAGACGTGTAGATGTAGTCGATGATTGCCAAGAGACGTTGAAATGGACGAAGCGTGCCAAGGACGGGCGGTGTTTGTGGCCTCAGGCAGCTTATTATTATCACGTGACCGCAATGGGATTCCAGGTTCGACCCTTGGTCAATATCCGCCAAGGATGAGGCTTCTGATGTCAGTGCTGGATAATTCGAGTCTTACCGAAGCCCATGCGGAGAGATCAGTGATCACGGTGACCGCCGATGCTATATGCGGATTCCCTAAAATGCAGACATGACCACGGATATTTTCCTTGTGGCAGCCCTCAGGATCCCGCAAAGAGTACCGTACATGTACTTTTCACGATATCCACTCGAACACGAAGCGAAACGCAAAGTACAAGGATTGACTATCTGACGTCAGAACAGGGCCTGCCGTAATAGACAAAAACAGGATGCTCGGATACACGTCGATCGATATCCATGTCCCGTGTCTGCACTTGGGCCACGCCTCTCAACCCGATCATCGCGGGGGAGGGGCGGGCTTCGCGAAACAAATCGCACCCCTCCCAACTTTCCCGCAAGGTCTCCGCTGAGATCCCCCGGGCGGTGGCACCCATTATGTACTACCGTTCTCTCTCATTCACTTGTTTGGTTCGCTCGTTATCAGATTCCCGTTTCGATAAGGTCATCCTGCACGGTGTGTTGAATCCTTCGGAACAGTGCGTTCCAATTCCCAAAACGCGGGAATGACTCAAGGTCCTGTACGAGTCTCTGTCGACGATCACTCGCTGTTCGATGGCCATTCATGCGATGTAAATCCGGTTCTGGTGTCGGTTCCAAATGCAGGTCCGTGCCTGCCAAGGGGGCATTTTTTTTGGACCTATAAATCAAAGGGTCTCAACGGCCGCCATCCGATTATTACCTCCGTCGTAGATGAGGGCTATGTCGAGCTGGAAAATCCCGCGGGTCTCTCTGGCCCAAAAGATTCTCCATGTGCTGGAAATGGTATGACTCAGGTCGATTTATATAGAACGTTATGCCTCGGGTACCTCAGTGGGTACCCGCACGAGGCCCTACCGGGAAAAAGGCCCCTCCAGAATTTCATCATCGCTTGGTGCACAGAGTACTGATAGAGTACTGATATGCAGGTTCGAATTTTTTGTGGACCGTCCGGCCTGGACTCCACCCCGCGCGCCGTGGCTTGCATCACCGGTGATGTCGAACCAACATCGCTGATCTTACCCGGCGATTAGTAACGCCGAGTTACAACTTTTCTCCTGGAAATCAATTCGACCGAGTACAAAACCCGAGTCTGTCTTGATCCACTCGCACTCCGTACGAATCACCACATTGTTACCTTTAACACGTACCACTGCGTGTCGGTGTAAATTAGCAGCACCGAACCAGCTAGGTGGTTCAAATTAATAGCAGCGGAGTTACACTGATCCTAAGGAAGCATTGCCAAGTATCTCCGACGACACAGCACGCTCCGCCGATATCCGAATCGTCTTCGGCGCCGGTCATTTAAAACCACTACCAAGGCGCCCTAGCGACTAATATGTAGGAGAATGATACTCGTTTAGGTATACACGTGACCGGTCCCGGATATACGGGAAGTCGTCGGGCTCCGAGTTTCGGGCCAAAGTGCCCTACCGTTCTGACGGGATCTATAAGTGGGTCCGTGGGTCCCCTGGTGACTAGTACCGAATGGACTCAAAAGGCAAAGTCCCTCACGCATTATCCGTACTCAGTCCAGACTCTACAGTATCGTGATAGTTCGCTCCGAAAGCCGACCCATGGCCCACTCCCGGAGCCATGGCCACATAGACTATTTTGGGGTTAGAGGTAATTTTTAATTTTTTTTTTCTATTTTTTAAATCAAGAAATTAAAACTTCTCGAAGCAGCTTCCGATACTTCCAGCGCTCTTCCCGCTCTAGAATCGCTCCGTGGTATCAAACTATACAGGGGGAAAACGCCACAATTAATAATTCGCTTCCAGACACGGGGATCGAATGTGACTCAAACGAAGAGGGGTTAGAGCTTCATTTGTCAGTGAACTAATGTAAGAAGTGTAGTAGGTAGATCCCCGGAGCACCGCAGGGGCCCGGCGTTTAAATGTTGCATTTCACTCCGCGGTCTCATGTATGATGATGTGCCAGTGCACCATGAATTAATATTACCACGTGTATCCTACAGTCGAGAAAGAGTATTCATCGTCAAAAAGGAAGTAAGAAAAGTGGGTCTAGATCGTCGCCCCCATGACGATACTCATTTCCTTGCAGGACCCTTTCCCGCGTCATCCGTACCTGACCGCGTCGTACTCGTAGAACGCTCCACCGGAAATGACCACCGGGTTGCGTAGAGTATGAAGCTGATGGGAACCTTCAAGAGAGTATCTCTGGTTATCCGGATGGCAAAGGGAAGTGCGGTTTTACCTCGTTCGGGCATCTACCATTCGGCGCGACTGCCGAGCTACCCGGAATGAGCTTTCAGGCGTGGTGACAATCCACTAATGTGGCTACTTGACCGCTCATGGGCTCGTCTTGGCGAATGATCTTTAGGGATCGGGGAGTAAAAGGAATCTCGTAGCGCGCTGCTTATAAATTGCAGCTGAGTCCGCCTGTTGCGGTGGGAAACGGCGCATACACAGCATTTGCATCTCTCCTCGCAGCTTCTTTCCTCCTACAAATACCCTCCCCATAGTTTCCTCAGATACATAGCTCTGTTCTGAAGCTTTCTCGCGTCATAATGGTCTCACAAACGCTGGTGGAGACGCCACACCATCCTGGGCGCACTGGACGCGGCTCTGAAAGTGACAGCTCCCTCGATGAGATTGCGGAGCAGAAGCAGAAGCTGTTTGCGACGGCGCTGGGAAAGAATGGAAAGGATCTCGACAACTCTGCATCCCCGAAGAGGTGGAAGAGTTTCTGGACCTCCTTCCGATACCTTGCCAATTTGACGCCCAAGGAGGTCGACGACTTTATGGCGTCATACGTCATTTACAACCTTGATTGGTCCGACGAGCAGCAAATGACCAAGGTGTTAGGCCCTAACTATCAGGAGAAGGTCGGCGACTGTTTGAAATCATACTACGGAGTGTTGAACCACCTGTGCGCCCTCGGTGACGTCGAAAAAATGTACATTCCCCCATGGATGAGTCGCAAGGCCAGTGTCCTGGAGAATCAGATCCTCTACGAGCGATCAATTGCTCAAAACATTGGTCTCTCTGCTGGGGATAAGGTTCTGGATCTCGGCTGCGGTCGCGGGCGAGTAGCGGCTCACATGGCGCAATACTCGGGCGCCCAAGTCACCGGCCTCAACATCGACCCCAATCAGATCGCCCAAGCGAAGACCTTCAACGAAGAGCGCGGCCTCCAGAACAGCTTCGTCGTCCAAGATTTCAACAACCTCCCACTTCCGTTCGCCAACGAGAGCTTCGACGCCTTCTATCAGATCCAAGCCCTGAGTCTATGCAAGGACCTCCCCGCTCTGTTCAGTGAGGTTTTCCGGGTGGTCAAGCCCGGCGCTAAGATCTCGCTGCTGGACTGGATCAGCCTGCCCGCTTATGAGCCTACAAACCCCGAACATGCCGAGCTCATGCGTCGCGTCAAGCCGTTGATCGGTGCCGTCGGCACCCCCACCCAGGAGAGTTTGGAGAAGGCGCTGACCGACTGCGGCTTCGAGATCGTACTCTCCGAGAATGCCAGTATCGACGGCTTGCAGGCTCCCCTGATCGACACCGTCGACCTTTACTTCCGCACCCTGCGCCAGGTCATCCTCGCCCTCGTCAAACTGCACGTCCTGCCCCGTCACTTCAAGACCTTGATCAACCGCCTGTGCCTGGACGGTCAAGCGTTCGTCAAGATGGATAACATGCGCCTGGCCACCACAAGCTATAGCATCATTGCACAGAAGCCCAGCGCATAATTTGTGAGCAGGTTATTCCCTTTTGATGCCGCCTTTCAAATGAAGAGGTGTGTGAGCTAGGGAGAAATGGCATGGCGAAATCGTCGCAAAAGACTCATCGACGACTCCGCCCATCCTGCGCGCATTTGCAACTTCAGACCGACAGTGTCGGTCAGACAATACAAATACCCTATATAGTAATTGAAACCTTAGAGGACTCGGGAGTTCACGGCTGCTTTGTTTGGGTTTCCGCGATCTTGATCTTTATTGTTGAAACAGTGTCTGGAGTTTTTCATTTGGAATATCAATGTCAGCAGAATTGCATATAATTTCGTATAGCATTGATGATTTTAATGATAATTAGTTCTGCCGTAACGAATGCATGACGATTAAAATAGACTTCCAAAGTTCGGTGTGCTAGATCCGTAAGTTTAGTTGCGGCTCTAAACCTTATGTGCCGATCGTTCGACCAGCAAAAAAACGGTTGATTATATGGATAAAACCAGGCCATCAATTGTTCAGAAAAGCTAGAAAAATTGTATATTATCTTGCGATAGTCTTCAAAGGTTCAAAAAATGAAACATTGGAAGGTCGTGCCCGGGATCGAACCGGGATCGGCGGAATCAGAATCCGCAGTGATGACCATTACACTACACAACCAACTTGATGTGATCTGCAGGCCTTAACTGTTCTCTCAACCATAATCAAATTCCGCCCCATTGAACCTTCTTCGCTCTCGTATTAACCGTTGCTAAACGAGGAACCTTGAAGTCATGACTCTTGCCAATGGCCGAATTGGTTCTGACCAGAATTCTAGACCGTTGCTAGAAAACCCATGGCTCTAAGTGTGCCACTTAATCAGTACACTCTTGCGGGATAACTTGATATATTTCCACCGTTGTCGCCGTCCTAGTCTTAGGGGTTGTGCTACAAGGCGACATCCCAGTTCGTTATCGTTGAGGTAATCAATCTAATATTGTAGAGTGGAAATCAATTTTCGCATCCTCTACTTAAATATTCGGAAAGAGTGCCTTTTGTGCCCTTGTTTCCCACCTTGAGTTAAACCCGAGCATAGGATGCCTGAGTAAAGAAGTCATGCCCGTGGGCATAGGACATTTTTCAAGTTCCGATGAACTTTTTTTGGTATGTTTGTTCATAAGTATGTTGGTGAGGTTAACATGGGTTGACATTCATCTAAAAACTAGAAACATATCGAGATCACCGATCGGGTCGTAGATGTTATGGTTCTCGATCTGTGTGCGGCAGGCTCTCCTAGTGCCTAACATGCAATAAAACCGGATGGAACCAACTACGCCAAACAGCGAACAAATCAAGGTCCAGTATATTGTTACCCGAGCAAATCCAGACCATCACTTGCAGATGACGGTGCTTTAGGGCATGCGGTGCAACGATGGGCTCGGCACGTTAGCCCCCTTTAGGAAAATTGGATACACGCTTCGGCCGACGATGCCCGCCCTCTGCCCGTTCCCTCGACACCCTCCAACGCTGCATGCGCACGCCTTCGCAGTCTTGACTACGCTCCCCGCATTCATCCTATTCCACCTACCCGAGCCATCGCACCTCCCGCCTTGACTCGACCCCGCGGGGCTCACCTTGATAAATATCCCAATCTCTCCCCGCCTTCCCTCCACAAACCCACGATCGATATTCATGTCCCCTCAACCGTCTTCCGTGACGGCGCTGTCCGCTCCTGGCAAGGTCCTCCTGACCGGTGGCTACCTCGTTCTCGATCGCAGCTATACGGGTACCGTTTTCGCCCTCGATGCGCGCATCCATGTTGTTGTTCAACAGCTCAGAAGGGGTCACCGCCGTGGACCTTCTGGGTCAAGTGATGCTAAATCTGCCTTGAGTGGGGAAACCCAGCCGACTCAACCAGAGGGCGAGGATAAGGAGACCGATGATACCGTCGTTGTACGTTCGCCGCAATTCGTTGATGCGATCTGGGAATACGGAATCCAGCGGTGTGAGAATGGCGGCGGAGTTAAGGTGGTTCAAAAAGGAGATGGGTGCGCTTCTCTTCCCAATGATATATCTGAAAGGAAACTAATCAGCAGAAATGCAGTCCCCGGAACCCTTTCGTCGAGACCTCGCTGAGCTACGCATTAACATACATTAGCTACGTTGCTGACTCGAAGGATTTTGGTTCCCTCTCAGTCACCATCCTGGCTGACAACGACTACTACTCTGAGACAGCAGCCTCAAGAGGCCCTGCATCTCAAGGGCGTGGTGGACGATTCGTCAATTTCGGTGTTACTCTCCAGGAAGCCCACAAGACTGGACTTGGTTCATCCGCCGCTCTAGTCACTGCCTTAGTTTCATCTCTGGTCATCCATCGTACCATGCAAGCGGACGACCTTGGTGCTGGCCGTGACAAGCTCCACAACCTGGCTCAAGCTGCCCACTGCGCAGCGCAGGGTAAGGTTGGATCTGGATTCGACGTGGCTGCCGCCGTGTACGGATCATGCTTGTATAAGCGATTCTCGCCTGCTATCCTGGAATCTGTTGGTGACGTAGGAACGCCTGGTTTTGAGGAACGGTTGTTTGCCGTCGTTGAGGATGCCGACCAAGAACACCCGTGGGATACCGAATGTGTCGATTTCGGCATGCAGCTCCCGCGTGGGATGCAGATGGTCCTGTGCGACGTTGAATGTGGCTCGCAGACTCCCTCGATGGTCAAGAAGGTCCTTCAATGGAGAAGCGAGAACCAGAAGGAGGCCGACATTCTCTGGGCCAGCCTGCAAAACAACAACGAACGGCTACGACAGGAGCTTAAGCGTCTGGCGCAGCACCCAGATGCCAATACAGATGGCGAGTTCTCAGATGTCCGCACTCTCATCGGCCGTACACGCCACCTTATTCGCACCATGACCCGCCGGACGGGTGTGCCCATCGAGCCGAGCGTGCAGACAGAGCTGCTGGACAACCTCTCCGAGATTGATGGTGTCATTGGCGGCGTGGTGCCCGGTGCTGGTGGCTACGATGCTATTGTGCTACTTATTCGGGACGATCCCACCGTCATTGCACGACTAAATGAACGTTTCACCAACTACGAGAGTGCCGTGAAAGATGACTTCGGAGGGAAGATCGGCAACGTACGACTTCTGGGTGTGCGGCACGGGTCAGAGGGGGTGAAGAACGAGATTCTGGAGCAATATGCCGCCTGGATTTAGATCAGGAAGTACTCATCCTGGCTAAAAACAGCCACTCGTACCGCCAAGCTTGAAGTCGACATGTCTCGAATTCTGGACCCCGCCTTCCTTGCGCCTCCGGCCCGTCTGCCAAAGAACCGCACGAATCGCGTCCCAGACCCTGAAACATTGACGAACCCGATATCTCACTTGACTGAGAAGCCGAGCCTTCTCGGAGTCTGTTAATACGGGCTTGAACGCCGACGGGCCGGATCTATTAATATCTGCCGTCTCTACCGAGCATCGATCCTATGGATACCCCTGTATCTCAATAGACATATCTTGAGCAAAGCCATCATAGTGCAGATGACTGATATAATCATATGAACCCGCCATAAGACTTGCAGGCTCTAATTCCCAGAACGCTAATGTCCGATGCTTATCGCAAGTTCGTAACAAATAGTTATCCTCTCCTTTCCTTCCTGTCAGTGCATTTGGCCGTATGATGTAGGGAGCCAAATCAACTTTCAATCATCAATAAATTTTCGGGCATTTATCAAGCCTTTGAGACCGTGACAGACGATCCAGGAGACTCGTGCGGCCATCTTTCGATGTATTCCTAGCCGGTCCTCTGCATTTTTTACCAACACTCCACCTTCCCTGCATATGCAGCCCGGTTCTAGGCCATAAACGAGCCCATTCATCTCATAAGGCACCTGAACACTATCACAGTGTGCGACCGAGAGTTGTTTGTCGGTGTTCTGATTTGGCCGGGGGGGCCAAATCGGGGCACGGTCTCGGCTTCCACGAGCCTAGGTAGCATGGGACGGAACGGGAAACACTGTTCACCTATCGAATGATTATAATTAATTGAAAGTTTGGGACATGAAATGCTTGATCCGTGTTCTGGTATGGCTGAGCGGAATGCCAAACAATCTGGGTTTGGGAGTCTAGTTCTTGCTCGGTTTCCCCGGATCTTCTTTATCTCCCCTATCATTAATTAATTAGAATAGAGTAAATAGATTCTAGCTCTAATTAAGCAGTTTATCGTATGCCTGTGAATTAATTTTGTGAATTAGTTTTGTGGCGAAGCGGGATTTTTCTCAAGCCTGTTTGTCAGTTTCACGTTGCGACCTTTTGACATGCCGATCTCTCCTTTCCTTCTTCCCTTCATTTTCCGACTTTTGCTGCATCTCTTTCTCCTCGCCTCGTTAGGATCTTTCGTATCTTTCGTTTGTTCTTACATTGCCCTGTCCTGTTTTCTGCGCAGTTCATCCTTCTTCGGCGCGCTAGCGAAAGACTACCGCGCGCGCCCCGGGTAGTTGACTCCTCACATCTGAGCCGAGATCGACCAACTCCTCTCTCTACACCTTCCCATCTTGTGAACGCCCCATCCCCGGTGACAGCATACCCAGTTCCCATCCCAGGGGCGTCAGTCAATTGCCACCTGCCAACGGGGCATCAACAAAGATGTCTTCTACCGACAACGCCGAGTCCGGGGTGCTCGAGTCCAAAGAGCACGAGTCGGGGCCCACGAGTTCTCCCCAGACTGCGCAACCAACACCCGCACAACTCTCGACCGTTCCGGCCAGCTCAGAATCTGTATCTGATAACACCGCCTCTGTCCCATCGGACAACGCCCAGCCAGTCGGTGCCGCGAACCACCCCGCAAACGGTGGCGAAAACGCCGCCCTCGTGACAGCAACGACTAGCTCCTCCATTACTCCCCAGAACGATTCCACTCCCGTTGTCGCGCAGCCCCAGAATACCGACCCGCCTTCGATGGATACCGAAGAACCCAAGACGGTCGCTGAACTCTCGGAGGAGCAGTCAGACCTTGAGGGGAAGGAGGTTGAGGACGCCGGGCCTTCGCTGGCTATTACGTTGCTCTTGACGACCGGGGCGCGGCATCCGTTCACCATCGACGGGAAGTACTTGCGGAAGCGGTCGGTCAACGTCGAGAATTACGATCCGTTTGCCATGAGCGTTTATACATTGAAGGAATTGATCTGGCGAGAGTGGCGATCTGGTAAGTCTACATCTTGCAAGCTATGGAGCAAGCTGCGAGTTGATATCTAATCCCCTCTTGTCATCTTTTAGACTGGGAAACCCGTCCTTCGTCTCCGAGTTCAATTCGTTTGATTTCCTTCGGAAAATTGCTTGATGACAAGTCGCCTCTGTCTGGTACGTTCTGCATGATCTCAAGAACCCCTTGTCGCCACCCCGTACTAACGAAACAAAACAGACTCAAGATTCAGCCGAGAATCTCCCAACGTTGTACATATGACTGTGAAACCACAAGAAGTGGTAGATGAAGAGGACGCAAAGGGAGCCAAGACACAGTTCAACCAAGGACGCGAAGCCGGTGAGCGCAGTCCCGGCTGTCGCTGCATCATTCTATAAGCGTTTCCCCCAAAGTACCCGAGAATCCGCGACAAGACCCTCAGACCGTTCCCTTCACGCCTTGCGAGCCTAACCTCGAGCCTTGACATTACACTTCTACTCTACGATCTACCCCCCACCTTCCACCATCTGACATCGCGGCTACTCGACCAAGCCTGCCTGGATGCAGGATCACCTTACCCCAGGGCAGCCAAACCTGACTCCTGATTGTTGAACATGCGCTCCGGCAGCGGCGTTTGGACGTTTCATTTCTTTCTCTCGACCCATTGATATCACGACTGTTTATTTAACCTGTGTCGCCATCTCTGCTTGTTTCCTTCTATCTCGACCCGCCTCTTTGTCCGCCTCTCCCTTCTGATATCTATATACCCATCCGATCCCTTTTCTTTTGGTTCTCCCTCTTCCTCGAATGTCTATTCTCTGTATGGCTTGCCTCAGAACTTGTGTATCTACAATTTTCGCACTTTTTTATATTTGTCTCTTGTTTGGTTGCCGGTCTGTTTTGTAGTGTACATGCTTTTTACTCTTATCCTTTATTTGGAGACTTCTTTATTATACAACCCAATATTTGATTCTGACCGCAGTTTTTGAGTTTGGAAGGGTTTAGTCTTGACAGGTATCGGGTATCTTTCATACTATTCGATACGTGGAGTCTAGTAATGGATTGGAAGAAGAGATTGGACCAGCTGCATCGTGGGCTTCTGCCATGAACAGATGCAAACAGAAGACCGATGCAGCTGATCTGGTATCTATCTCTCTATCGTTGACATGAGATCGGACGTGAGGAATAGAGGAAATGCGGAAAGGAGACTAGTTGCACATGTCGACCGAGGGAAAAAGAGAAAAACGAGCAATTCAAACATCGAACGAGATTCATCACTTAGAAGTCCATCTTCAGCCTCTTCTCCATCTCGTCGTGGAAGGTAGGCGGTTCCCGGAACTCGTCGCCTGAAGAAAGATAAAGTCAGCTCACATCCAAATAACCGAGCCAGCAGCGTAGAAAAAGATATGACATACCGGGGAAGATATCCTCCCAGCTGACCTCCGAATCGCGACCTCCAAGCACAAGAATATCCTCGTGGACATTGCCACCCTTCATGCCGCCCAGCACGGCGGGTCGGAATGTGCCATCACGGACAATCTTCAGCTCCATGCCACGGCGGACGGGCTCGGCAATGCCGTATGCCCGACGTAGGGACTCCATCTTCATTGCATCTTGGGTTGCGCGCCAAGCGAGCAGGCGAGCCTCCAGCGGGTGCGTCGAGGAGGGGATGTCATTCAAGGCTGGGATGTTGGTAGATGAGGCCGTTGCGGTGGCGGGGAGGGTGATCTTGTTACGGAGGGTATCGGGGAGACCGGGCGCTGAGGGGGCGCCCTTTGAGAGCTGTGTTTGGCGGGCGGTGGTGTTGGTGGTTGAGCTGGGGTTACCAGATGGGGGAGCGATGCGGAGAGACTGGGGCCGTTAGTGGAATTGAACGAAGACTGAATGGTAAGAGGATAGCGAGCTGGAGCTAGGCTCTAGTATAGGATGAAATTGGACAGATGGGATTCCGGATTGACTCGGAGATGGTTTGACTGGAGGGTGAGGTCAAGGTCCGTAGCTTGATAACGTACCATTATGACGGTATGAAGGCGGGCTCTTGTATTCAATTTGGCAGAGTACGAGTGATCGTCGGAAGCAAGAGCAGCTGCGAAAGAGAAGAAGATACAAGAAGGAACGAGGATGATGACCGAAATGCGGAGGACAGCGTCAGGCAGAGAGAGCAGCGCGTCCAGCTCCTTCGGTAGACCACAGTCACCGCATGTGCAGATCACATGACAAGATCAATTCTAATCCGCGTCTCTCCATCCAACACCTCGATAACTCCTCAAGAAGAAATACCACAATGCACCAATTAATGACGCCCCTGACCCTCCGGGCCCTGCGGACCCTCGTTCACCGTCCAGCAACAACATCAACCCCCCTCCGCACCCTGACGACGTCCACCCTAACCCGCCAAACCCCGACTCCAAGCCGCTTCACCTTCAAGCCCGTCTTCCGCACGCAAACCCCATTCACCCTCTCCGCCCTGTCCCGGCAATTCTCCAGTTCCCCCATAATTCGCGCAACCTACAACCAAGTTCGACGCGGCTGCCGCCAGGGCCAGCGCGCGCGGCGTGGCCGGTCTCCAGCGCTGAAGGACCACCCGTCGCTGAAGGGCGTGTGTCTCAAGACCGGTATCACAAAGCCCAAGAAGCCTAACTCTGGCGAGCGCAAGATTGCTCGTGTGCGCTTGAGTTCGGGCAAGGTCGTTACCACCATCATTCCCGGCGAGGGCCACAATATTCAGCAGCATAGTGTGGTTCAGGTGCGTGGTGGCAGAGCTCAGGATTGTCCTGGTGTCAAGTACCACTTGGTTCGTGGTGCGATGGATTTGGTATGTTCAGGGACTTTTCCGAACTGTCTGTTTTGAGGCCATTTGCTAATCTGTGTTTAGGGTGGTGTTGGAAGCCGTGTTACCTCCCGCTCAAAGTACGGAACGAAGAAGCCCAAGGGTAACTAAGTCCAATCAAACTGAATTGGTTTGATGAAGAGTGGATGTATTGAGGCCGGCGTTGTTGAGTCCGCCTCGAGGCCGAGGGGCTGAGTGTACAAGGCATACTTTATCTTTTTCTTTTCTTACTTTGTATTTGTGCAATATGGGCGACATTCTCATTTATTGGAATTGCATGTACCATTACGAAATCAACTGGCTACCCTGCTTTGGCTAAAACTTATTTTTTGAAATTTCTTTGCCTTTCTTCTAGAGAAAAAGTAGCCAAAAGCATTCATCGTGCTTGGAAAATAGAGATAGAACAAAATAGCTGCTCGTCGTGATTCTCTTGTACTCCGATAAACCATGCAACCAACATTTCTCAGCGGGCAATGAATAGAAACGCTGGCGAATCGACATAGTAAAACAAGGCAGGCATCAAAGGTCAATTTGCCGCGTATGGAGAATGAACCGTAAAAAAAAATAAATTAAAAAGAAGTCAAGTGTTTTTGGAACTTGACACATCATGAAAGGGACTGTTCTTAACCCAAAATAGATGGAATGAAGAACTCACTTTTCCCTCACTGAGCGGTACCTGTGACCGCCGCGGAAACGGCTCCCAAGATCAACTAGATAGTTGATGACGAAGTATATCCGGAGGAATAGATAGGCCCGAACACTTTGGCTCACGAGCAGGACGACTACGCCAACAAAAAGCAGAATGATGCCAAATTGTCCGAGCGCAAGAAGTCAATCGTTCTGATCCCAGCCGTAGGGCTTCTCCATGTCGTTCACTTTGAACCATCGATTGGTGCCTGATGCAAGATTAGAAGATGCATTTTTAGGGCAAGATGTTTTGTAAACTTACAAGAATAGCCCTTCCAGTCGAAGTTCTCGTCCGGCTGGCAGTGGCAACGGAGGTCCAGCCTCGTCTGCTCGTCGGTCGGGCAGTGTGTGAATGGCACGTGGTAGTAGGCAATCTCGTTGAAGAAGTGGATTTGCTCCTTCTTCAGCAAGATGGCAGCGGCAATGGAGTGGACGGGTGCGTCACCCCAGCGCTCGTAGAAGAAACCGCCATCCTGGTCCAGGGAAGAGAAGTAGTCGATGTACTCCTTGGAGCGCAACCATTCCAGGCTGCCAATCTCAAAGTTGGACCACTGGGAGAAAGTTAGTTCTCTGAATAATTGTGTGAAGATTTTGATGGGCACATACGAAGTGGCACTTGTTGTAGGACTCGCCACCGTCCTCGCTGATGAAGTCCATAGCGTTTCCTTTGGGGATGTGCTCGGGGTGGTTGCTCATGAACTTCTTCACACTATCCCACAGCGTAGGTATAGTCTCGTAGTACTCGTACAGACTGATGACGAAGCTGTATTTCTTGTCGTTTTCCTTCATGAAGCGGAAGGGATCAGTGCCGATATCACAGAAAAGCTCGATGCTGGGCTCGACACGCCAGTAGTACTCGTAGTTCAACATCAGCGGATGACGGAAGAAGAATCCAGACTCGTAGCGGCACATGTGGCGATAACTCTCGGAGCCTCCGTAGATGATCTTCTTGCGATCCATCTCATCGCGCGCTTCCTTCGCCTTGTCCTCGTCGATCCACTCGGGGTAGGACCAATGGGCCTTGGGAATCCGGCCGTAGTGGGTGGTGCCAGACACCAGTGACGTAGTAAGCTTCTTAAAATCATCGTCAAAGTCGGCGTCGTTCAGGAATACCCAGTCGTAGTTGTAGTTGCGGTTGAATCGGTCTTCCACCGTGCGGATGGACTTGGCGATTTCCCAGATATCGCTGTTGCGGGCGAGGGTGACAAAAGTGGCATTCACCCGCTCGCTACTATTATTTCCGGAAGACTGTAGCTTTTGCGCCTTGAAGTCTTCGTATGAGGGAGAAGGATTGGGGAATGAGGCGGTGCTGGGGATCTGGAGGGAGGATCGGGAGATGAAGTAGAAAAAGGTCAGGCCCTGGAGGTTGTTAGCGGTGTCGCGATCACCGGAGAGTCGAAAAACGATCCCCAGAAGAAGTCAAGCCTTACCACGAGGGCGACCACCAGATAGCGGGTATATCGCGCGGAGGACATCGTGGCGGGTGGGAGAAAGTTATTGCTTATGAGGCGGGGCTAGCGAGCGACAGGGGTTAAAAAAAACCTGCAGGATTGAGGCCAGTCCACGTTATAGCGAGAAAGACATCCGCGAAAATGAGAAAAAAGACCGTTGAGGATGAGAAGTGGAGGGAAAAAGAAGGGACTGAAAGCCACGCAAGACAATGGCGACAACCGCTTTCAGCCGTGCGTTTCACTGGTTCGAGACTTCTCCGAATTCTCAGGGGAACTTGGTGAGAGAAATTCTCGAGTGTCTCCAAGGTTGGCCTCTCAGATTTCGTGATTTGAGCGATGATGCAAAGGTCTATTCCCTGCCGTGTCGATCGAGGAGATCAAAAGGGAGATTACAGGTGTCGTCAATGCCCCATTGGTAGTACCTCAGATGTCTTGGCTTTTTGGACACAGTGTAGTGGCGATCAACACCGAAGAATTAAAATGTTGGCGATGTATAGAAATCACCGGACAGGTCAAATTGATATGACATTTGTTTCAGATGTCCCCTCGTGGAGTTGACTCACAATCCAAAGAGTGCACGCATTGGATCAACACTTGGCATGGTGTGTTCGTGCCTGAGGCCGACACACTCCAGAACTTCGTTCGCTCCATCCGACTCGCTCCTCATCCCCCCCACCATCCTTCCACTTTACTCCCCATTCCTCCCTTCCCCTCTATTCGACCAAAGAGGCATGTCTTTCTTTGGCTTCGATACCACCCTGCCCAGGGATCGCGGCCGCGGCCCTGGAGCTCCCAAGGGTTTCTTCGAGAACTCGGATCCCTTCGCGCAAGTCGCTTTGGCTGATAAGTTCGTGGATGGTGACGCGTGAGCTCTCCCCTTCAAAATTGATGATGGCACTTGAATGACGTGCTGATAATTCACCTAGCGTTGACTTCGAGGATACCTACGACGGCCTTGGCGACCAGCTCGATGACGATCAGGACGAGTTCAACGATGACACCTTCGGCGGCGGTGGAGAGACCGCACCCGTCGGCAGAGACTTCGATTTCTTTGGAAGGACTGCTGGTGTGGCTGATGTCATTGGAGAGGAGCAGGTTCGCTACAGCTTGCAAAACCCCCAGGCCGCACCGGCACCTGCCCAGAGAGCTGCTCCGGCCACAGCAGTCCCCGCGGAGTCGACTTCTAGGCGCACGGGCTACGAGAAGTATTCTGAACCTGGATATATCCCCGACCTGCAAGCCAAATCGAGCGTCTGGACTCAGAAGGCTGAACCGACCCCCGCTCCAGCCCCGGCCCCGGCACCGAGTCGGAAGATAATGAGCTTGGAGGAAGTCGAGGCCATCGAGGCACAGATGCGCCACCGCGGCCAGCCTATTGGAGGATTGCCCCCACAGCAGATCCCCCAGTCCATGGCCGACCTGTATCAACGCCATCCTCAACATTTCCCGACGCTTCCTGATGGCTTCCCCCAACTGCCCCCGGAGTTGCAGGCGCAGCTTGAGAAAGGCGGCATGCCACATCCACCCCCGGGGATGCCGGAGCTATATGGCGGGCCTGGTCCTGCTATGCCCCCTGGTGCCCCATTCTTGCAGAATAATCTTCCTCCGCAGAACATGCCACCCCAGGGCCCTCGTCATGCCGGCCCGCCTCAGGGGCAACGACCGCAGAATATGCAACAGCAGCCGCCACCGCCACCGAGCAGCCGCGCTCCGAACAATGGCCTGCCGGTAATCACCAACCCGCAACAGCTCATGCACCTGACCGAGGAGCAACGCAATACTTACCTGGTTGAGGACGCGAAGCGGGCCAAGCGCAACCACAAAATCTTCCTCCTCTCACGGGGCAATGGCTTGATGACGCCCCAGGACAAGAACTTTATCACACGCATTCAGCTGCAGCAATTGGTGGCCGCGGCCGGTAACGTGGCAGACTCCGATCCGGAGGCTGTGTTGGCGGAGGACTTCTACTATCAGGTCTACAGCCAGATTCGGGGAGCGCCCCGCCAGCACCCCCACCAGCCCCTCGGCCACTTCGCCCAGACGTACTTGCTCCAGACCGGAAATCGTCTCGGTGGGAATCGACACCGGCACCCCCTCCAGGGCGCGGACAACCACATGCAGCGGATGCAGCAGCAGGTTCAGCGTGCTGTCGAGGCCGCCAAGGCCAAACCCAAGAACAAGCAACTCATTATTGAGGGTAGCCTGGGCAAGATCTCGTTCAGCAACGCCAAGGCGCCGAAGCCTATGCTCAACATCAAGCGACCCGACAGCTCGGAAGGGCCTCGTCCGAAGAAGGTGCAATCGGACCTGAGCCTGAGCGACCGCAAATCCATTCTCACAAACATCGAGCGTGTATACAGTGCCCTGATGTCCATGGAGGACATGGAGCGCACGATGCCGCCACCACCGGAGGAGGGCGACGCGGACGCGATCCAGGAACATATGGAATGGCGACAGAAGCTCCAGTCGCTTAATCAGAAGCTCTGGAAAGCGCTCAAGGTTATGGAGCCGATCGTTCCCAACTCGACCACACCACACCCCTTCATCGCCTTCCTGTCCCACCCCAAGGGCAAGAAAGCCATCCCGCGCATCTTCCGCCACATCGACCAGGAACAGCGTGTGACTATCCTTACCATGATCGTCGTGCACCTGGACAGCTTGGACGTGGTGCGTCTCGCACAGTCCATCCCCGGTGAAGCCCAGCCCTCCTTGGCCGTTCGGGAAGCTATTGACCTGTTCTCGCTGGCCGTCATGCCCAGCTTGTTGCAGTATGTGAATGAGGCACCCTTCAACATTATCATCGGTCTCCTGGGCCTGGTCATTGCGCAGACCCACGTGCAGAGTGTCGCCCGTACCAAGGTCGGACTGGGCATTCTGACCATGCTCCTGAGTCGTGCCGAGCTTGTCAAGGAGGCTGGCCAGGCCCCCGAGCGTGACTGGCAGCAGTGGGTTGAGAAGTTCAACGTGCTCTTCGACACTCTGGAGCCCGTCTTGGCCGACATCTTCCCCGGCTCGATCAACTCGGGTGATGACATGTACGTGTGGCAGTTCCTTGCCGCCGTAGGTATTGGCGCTAGCCCCGAACAGCAGCAGCGTCTGGTGATTGCTGTCAAGTAAGTTCCAACCTCCGTCGTTTTCTAGAATTAAACGTGCTAACTCTTCTCCTCAGGGACCGCGTGATGGAAACCGTCGGCTATAGCAAGAGCCTCCCTGCAGACATGTCCAGCCAGCGACTGGGCAACGTCAACCTGTTCATGCGGGCCATCGGATTGGACGTGGAGCTGCTTGGTTAAATCTGCAGAACCGTCCATGGTTTTTTGATGTCTGATATTACGTGCTCATTGGCACATTGATCCGGCTCACGAATGCCCGCCGCTCCGTGAATGAACCCGAGCCGGGCCGGGTACTCGACCGGGGCTCTTGATCCTTTGAGGCATTAATTGCATTGATATCGAATGCACCGCGCAGTTTGCAGAAACGCATGCTGGCGTGCCCTTCGGGGCTGTGTTTGGGGGGCGCTCCACGCAGAGCTGGAAGACACCGACAGGAGCCAAAAGTTTCTACAGGGCACACAATGTAATCCGCCCTTGGAGCATTTGTTCATTATTTCTCCCCATACCAATTTCATCGTCGTTCTGTTTTGCTCACGACCAGAGATATGGATAGGCCGTTTCTAGTTTATGATGATTATTTTTGCAGCTGGATGAAGAGGAGGTAGTATCCGATGTTCACATATCTTCTCGTTTAGTATCGTTGAATGTACACGTTGAAGCCACATCACATCACCGCATCGGCAGTGGAAGCCCGACATTGGACCCTGAGCCGGGGCGATGGGCCAGGCCGAGCTTCTAATTCGACGCAACAGAGTGGACTCGGACCCGCCGCTGAGATGAACCGGGGGTTTCGTCTTGATGGACGGGTTGAGAGCCCGTCTGGCGAAAAGTGGTCAAAATCCAAAAGCATCTCACGAGTAACCCGGGGCCAAGTGCAGGCGGATAATTATGCGCTTATCTGTGCGCTGCCCGTTCGTCCCTGGTTATTTTCGTGCCGACTCGTACACCGCCAGGGACGATCATCGATCTACGCGGAGGAAACAAGCCGGTCAGCACAACCGGGCACTCACAGGGCCAATTGAATAGACTGGACAGCAATCGCAAAAGAGAAGGTATTCAAGAGCCCAATTCCATCGTACAATGTCCAACGGGTCGGGTGCAACGGGGATGTCCAACATAAATGGCCGACGCAACGGGCAGTGCCGCGTAATGGGGAAGAAGGATAAACGACGAGAGCGGCCGGTCTCTCCCCCCACCTTGAATTTCCCCTTAAATGCTGCCCCTCCTTCCATTTCTCTTCCCCTCCAATTCCCCAATTCACTCTCCCTCAATTCTTTGATTTATCGCAATCATGTCTGCCGGTTCTGTTCTTGTTGCTGGGTAAGTCTCCCAAGTTAAAAAGCTCCTATGCCATTGTGATCCCGACACTAACCTCACCCGCAGTGGCACGGGCTACATTGGCTCGTTCACCACCCTCGCTCTGCTGGAGGCTGGCTACAAGGTCGTCGTTGCTGACAACCTGTACAACTCCTCAGTCGAGGCTCTGAACCGCATTGAAATGATCTGCGGCAAGAAGGCCGAGTTCGTTCAGCTCGATGTCACCAACGAGAAGGACTTCGACAAGGTGTTCGAGGCTCACCCCGACATTGACAGCGTTATCCACTTCGCTGCCCTCAAGGTATGGCTTTTTTTGATTTCCCTGCGCGATTGATGGAGGTGCTGACGTTGTATTGATTAGGCTGTCGGCGAGTCCGGCGAGAAGCCCCTGGACTACTACATGGTCAACGTCTACGGCACCATCAACCTTCTGCGCTCGATGGTCCGCCACAACGTAACCAACATTGTTTTCTCCAGCTCCGCTACTGTCTACGGCGATGCCACCCGCTTCCCCAACATGATCCCCATCCCCGAGGAGTGCCCTCTGGGCCCCACCAACCCCTACGGCAACACCAAGTTCGCCGTTGAGACCGCCATCACCGACGTGATCAACGCTCAGCGCAACAACGCCATCAAGGCCGGTAACGAGGCCGAGGCCAAGAAGTGGAACGGTGCCCTGCTCCGTTACTTCAACCCCGCTGGTGCCCACCCCTCCGGCATCATGGGTGAGGACCCCCAGGGTGTCCCCTACAACCTGCTTCCTCTGCTTGCCCAGGTCGCCACCGGCAAGCGCGAGAAGCTGATGGTCTTCGGTGACGGTATGTTTCCCATTATCACCCAAATCGCCAAGAACCTCCCCCAAACTAACTACCAACAGACTACGCCTCCCACGATGGCACCGCCATCCGTGACTACATCCACATCCTCGACCTGGCCGACGGTCACTTGAAGGCTCTGAACTACCTGCGCGCCAATAACCCCGGTGTCCGCGCCTGGAACCTGGGTACCGGCAAGGGCAGCACCGTCTACGAGATGATCCGCGCCTTCAGCGCCGCTGTCGGCCGCGACCTCCCCTACGAGGTTGCTCCCCGCCGTGCCGGTGACGTTCTCAACCTGACTGCCAACGCTACCCGTGCCACCAAGGAGCTCGGCTGGACCCCCAAGCGTACCCTCGAGCAGGCCTGCGAGGACCTCTGGCTCTGGACTGAGAACAACCCCGAGGGCTACCGCCAGCAGCCCCCGGCGGAGCTACTGGCTCAGCTGAAGAAGTAAATTTTGCTTTTGACCTGACTGGCTGAGATTAAAAGGTTTGGGGATTGTGGACATAGATTATTTATTGGTAGTATACATTTGAGACGAATTTCCTTTCTCATGGATTTTGAACTTTTATACACGGTCGTACGAGCGTAAACAGACCATCTCAATGGCTAGCTACCTACACGAATGATGTCCATAAGAGGTGAAGTATCTATAAAACTGCCCAGGTGCCATGCGAGGATCGTAACGACTCTATAAACCCAACCACATCTAATCTATGCCTTATTCTTCCGATTTCTCCTCGACCCAGCACTCTGCGTCTTCTCAGAAGAAGTCTCCTTCCTCTCCTTCTTCTCTTTTTCGGTCTCCTTCTCCTTCTTCTCCAACGCCCTCTTCACAGCCCCCTCCTTCTCCGCCTCCTCAACCTGCTTCTCACTAAACTCCCAAAGCCTCTTCCCAACGTCCTCATCCCGCACATCCTGCCGCGCATAGTCCACCTCACGGCACTCCTTGATCATCCACCCACCCTGACCCCGCCCGTAGTTCCCCTCCATCGCCGCGTACAAGATACTCTGCGCACCCTGCTGAGGCGATTTCAGAACCAGCCACCAGATCGGCCACGTGAGAAGGTACAGGAGTAATCCCCACAGCGATCCGCCTGTCAGCCAGCGCCGGGTCCCAGGTGTTCGGGAGGTACCGGGGTCGACGACGATGACGCGCGCGCAGTTTGGTAGTCCGTCCGGCCGTTGATAAGCGGTCAGATGGCGCTGGAAGGACTGGGCAAAGACCATGAGAGCGAATTTGCTCATGGCGTAGATATTCTTCGTCTGTGCGGCATTCTTCTTCTTCTTCGACGTAGCGAGCCCTCTCTTTACCGTATCAAGGTCGAATTTGGCTCCGATGTAGCTGGAACACGTCGTGAAAATGACTCGCACGTCGCGGTGTGCGGGTTGTACACGGAGTGCGGGACTCAAAATGCTTAGCAGGTGGAAGTTGGCGAGGTAGTTGACCTGCCATTCCTCGTCGATGCCGTCGGGTGTCGTGGTGCGTGCGTTGGATGGGAGAGCGATGCCGCCACACATGATGACGGCGTCGAGGCGGCGGGGAGGGGCATTGTCGATCCATTTGGTGGCGAAGGTGCGCACTGAATGCAGGGATGTTAGGTCTACTTGTTCGGCGTAGATGAGGTTGTTTTTTGTGGTGCGGCGGAGGTCGTCAATGTACTCGACGAGGAAGAGGTCGGAGGGTGGTTGTTTGCTGAGAAGGATGACTTGGGCGCCGCGAGCGGCGAGTTCTTGGACTACTTGCGATCCAATGCCCGATGTGCCGCCCTGTAGGGAGTCAGTATTGATACTTGATCAGAGGAGAGATTAACGCACCGTCACCATCACCACTTTGGAATGCATCAGCCGCTCGGAGGTGTTCCGGGCTCCGCCGAAGTAGTACTTCAGTGCGGCGACGATGAGAAGCCATGGTGCGACACGAAGCACCGGCCATGCGAATGGGATGGCCTCAACGCCCTCCTGGAATCCCTTGATGATAATTGGGATGGGCATTGTGTGAGGGGGGGCGAATTGGGGACAAGAAGGGAAAGAAGTCGAGCTGTTCCAAAGGGCTATCGCGTTATCTTATCGCCGATTGCCACCACATCTTCCGCACGTCTCTTTTTACCCTCCACTTGGCAACGATGTCGGACGACGAGGACTATTTCCTGCCGTTGGAAGACCAGCGTGTCTTTGGCGCTGGCATCCGTCGAAAACGTGTGCCTTTTGTGCGCTCCACGGAACATGAGTTGAGGACGACCGCCAGACCGTCTTCTACTCCCAGTACGAGTATCGCGAACACCTACCTCTCAATTGTTCTCAAGACAGACGCCAAGAGAGATGGTTCGAGTACATCGACCAGTACTTCAAGGGAGCGGTCGCCGCCTCCTCGTACGACACAGTCTGCACCACCTACATCCGAAGCAATCCCTCCACCTCCAAGCAATAACTGCGAGATATGCAATCTCCCACTCTCCGAACCAGGCATCGACTCAGATACGCCAGCAACACGTCCACACGAGGCCTCTCTTGCACACCAAGTCTGCCTGAACCATTCCCATCCCCCATCACACCTTGACCGCGCCCGCACAGGTCTGCGATACCTATCCACCTACGGCTGGGACCCAGACAGCCGGCTTGGTCTCGGTGCACCTGGCAGAGAAGGCATTCGAGAACCACTCAAAGGCCGGATCAAAAATGACAAAGCCGGGTTAGGGTCAGGGCTAGACAAAGACGGAGATCGATTACCGGCCCCACCGCCACCACCGAAGAAAGTACAGAAGCTGAATGCGAAGCAAGCACGAAAAGGCGCCGACGAGGCGAGGAAGCGGGGTGACAAGTTGAGGAACATGTTTTTCCAGAACGATGAAGTGCTGAAGTATCTCGGCGAAGATGCTTGATTATTTTTAGACCTAGCGATTAGCGTGCTTTTACGAGATACCCAACATACATGAAGAGCAAGATATGGATTTTATTTCTGTGCAGTACGTTATTCGCAAGTCCTCTGTACTATGATCTTCCGCTCCCAAACGTAGAGAAACCCAGCAGCCATAAGAAATGCCCGGAACCGAACTGACCAAGATCAAGATAATGAAAAAAATGGTATCACAACGGCGCTGAATGGAGATAGATACATTGCACAGGAGACAAGGAAATGAAAGAGGCATGTGGTTGACCTCTACTTGAAGAACCGGTACTTCTTTTCCTTATCTTTCTTGTCCTTGTCCTTCTTCTCCTTGTCTTTCTTGAGCAACTTCCCTCCCGACGACGCCAACGCCGGGTTCGAGCCGTTCGACCCCAAGTTCATGTTGGCCATTAGTGCCTCTGGAGGCGCGGGTGGGTTCAAGTGTGCTGTGGAAATGGGCTTCTTCTGTGGCTGAGGGGTGGGAGCAGGTGGCGCTTCACGCTCGAATAGATGTGCCGGAGCACTGGGCTTAGGTCGCTCGGCCGGGATATCCAGACGGCGCTTGTCAATGCTGAGGTCGCCAAGTTGGCGCATAAAGAGTCCGGGAGTCGTCATGTGAGTTGTGGCCAGGAAGACGTCGCGGCCGTAACTCTGGGAGATTTCATAGCAGGTACGCGCCTCGGAGGGAGTGGCGCCTCCAGCCATGAAGACGATCAGGCGCTGCTTTGGCTGGTCGGTGGATCGAGTGCGTGCCCAGGTGGGTTTGGCGCTGCGCAGAGATGCCTGCTGCGTGATCATCTCTTGGGCAGCCATTCCGCCGTCAGTTTCGGTATGAGGCCTGGTGAATGGGAAGACTGTCGGGTCCAGGGTGCCCCGGATTTGTTCCTCCAGCATCTGTTTCAGACCAATGTCGTATCGGGAGAGACTGAGCTCCTCGGTCTCGGGGGCTGGAGCTTTCTTGTTGAAAAGCGGTTTCACTGGGGGCTTTTCGTCCTTTAGAGGCTTCTCTACCCGCGCACCGAGAAGGTCAAGATTGGCAATGACATTCCCGTCTTGTCCAGGGAGTTGTGCGTGGGACATGAGTTTGCGAATGTCACCGCCTAGCAAGCCTCCACGGTACAGGATGTACAGGAGTAGTAGTCGAAGACGGTCTTGAGGCAAGACGGACTCATCGTCAAGCAACTGGACCAGCTGGGCGGCCAGGTTCTTGGCTTTCTTGTAGTTCTCATCGAGGCCCGTGGCGAACGATTGCTCAATAGAGCTCACTTCCAACAGCTTGCGAGTTTGGAAGAGCTTCATGCATTCCTCTGCCATGTTTAAGTGCAGTGTGTATGCATCTTTACCCTCTGTGAACTCGGTCAGACCTGCCAGCATGTCCTTGATCGTGTTAACGTTGGTTTTGTCGTTGCTGCGAGTAACAACGTTAGCTAGGCCTGTTGTGATTAATGATGAACAGGTTCTCTTACTCATCAGCAAACTGGGAGTTTGCTTTTCTAAATTTGGCAAAATCATCAGCCAATTTACCAAGCACATCTTTCATATGCATATGTCGGTAGTCCACCCAAATCTTGTCATGCTCGCCCAGCTCCATATCCTTCACCTCCTCATTCGGTTTACCCTCGTTGACCCTCGTCTTGTAGGTGACCTTATCTCCATCCTTGATTGGTAGTAGATCATGCACCATGGCCTGATATGTAAATTCATGGAGAAGAGGCGCGAATATATCCATAGAACGGTCCACCACAAACAATACTCCCCGAGGGCGGTTGGACGGAGGTGGGAAGTCCCGCTGAAATTGTGCGAATTGGTCTAGCTCGGATTGGATAAATCGTGCCAGATGGGAGGAGAGGACACCGGCTTCATGGGTTGGGGATCGCGGCCGGTAATATCGGATGACGGGATATTCGCCCAAACTGGCACAGAGTGAGACAACCTTGGACAATAGTTAACTCTGAATTCCACGAGAGGCATGAATAGACAAGATAGCATACCTTTTGGGCAAGATCTTGAAGATGCTTCTTGATTAGATGGTTGCAGCCTGGATGGAAGAGAACCGGGAAGCTCCATGGATCACGGAAAGTAACCACGCGTGACTCTCTGGGGTAGAAGTTAATGTTCATAATCCTGAAGTCCGCGATGCGTTCGCGTGCCATTTGAGATCGGTCAATCCGTGCACGCTGCTGCTGGTCGAGGACTAGTAACCGTCAGCCTAACCGCTCCACCAAGGCCCAGGGTGTAGCCGCCACTGACAAGAGGTCCAAACCAAGATTGCCTTCCTGTACCGTCCGACTTCAAAGTCAGCCATCAGACAGTCGACGATCCATGACTCCGGCGAGAGAATATATAGAGCGTCCATATCCGGATTGGACATCCGTCGCTGCTCGATCTGTTCGACATCTGCGGGGTGACAGTGATTGTTAGCAGGCTGTCCAGTGCCCGTGGCCCGGAGAAGAGCTCACTGGAGACATTCAAGTTGAGGATCTCTTCTTCTTTCATGGCGGAATTGATCAATTTCCTGCTCTGTTCGTCCACCACCAAGACTTTCCACTGTACAGGGGGAGCTATCGTCAGTGCCCGCCGCCGAGAGGGACCGGGGGCGCAACCCACCTCGTTACCGCCAGCATGTCGGATTGTATTGAGGATAACTGTGAGCGAGGGTAAAATGTCAGCCAATCCACTCCTAAAAGGGTCCGGCACCGATGCGCCACGTACTGTCGCGTTGGATGTTGATTATTGAGGAGCCCATGGTGGCGGGCCACGGGGCCGGGGGACAGAGGCGGAAGCAGCGGAGTTTTCACGAGAAAGAAGAAATCAACCAGAGGAGAGACAAGACGAGAAGAAAGTTGAGTCAGGTGGCCCGTATGAGGTATGAAGGAGAAAGCGTTTCCCCACCATTTGAGCTTCGACAGGATGCAAGTGGATCTCCCGGTGGCGCGCCAGGGAACGTTCATTGACCGATAAGCAACTTTTTCTCGAAACCGTCCTGAAACCATCCCTTCGTTTCGCGCTCTCTCACTTCTTTCATTTAGTCAACCTACCTTGTTTCACTTCTTGACTGCTGGGCCTTGGGCGGAATGCAATCATGGGCCGGCGGAGGCAGCCGCTCGCTTTTCTGCACATTGCGATCATGCATTCCCATTCGGCCTGCTGAGCAGCATTGCACCGCTGTCGCTCCCCTTCTACGCTTCCAAAGACTGTACAGCCCAATAGGTGCACCATCCGAGCGGCATTTCACAACGTCTTCTACCCTCCAGCGATCAAAACGAGAGAAAAAGGGCAAGGAGCCGAAGGTCAAGCCTGATGATACCCCGAAACCTCCCCGCAATGGCTCCTTGAGACCCAGCAGACAGCGTGTTGCAGACTTTATTGCATTGGTGGAAGCCGCAGTAAACGATGTGAGGCAAAAACTCCTCAAGTCTGGAGAGATGTCCGAAGGGTGGAAGCATATCGAACGCCGGGTGTTGAATGCCTGTCGGATGGATGAGACGAAAGCGGATTCGGGTTCGTTACGCCAGGTCAAGAGTTCTCTACAAAGGGCTTTTCTTGCTTCGGGAGTGCAGGGTTTGCGAAACGAGCTGGAATATCTCAACTATGCCGATCGTACCACGAAGAATTACTCGACTCCGAACCTCGAGTCACAGAAGAAATGGGCCGACCTCCGCTATCCGGCCGAATGGTACCCCAACGCACGCTCTATCCAACGGACAGTTCATCTTCATGTCGGCCCCACGAATTCCGGAAAGACATACCACGCTCTGAAGCGACTGGAAGCAAGCAAATCGGGGTTCTACGCGGGGCCGTTGAGACTGCTTGCACAGGAGGTGTATCATCGTTTCAAGTCGAGTGGTGTTCCATGCAGCCTGGTGACCGGTGACGAGGTCAAGGTTCCCGAGGATGGCCAGGTGCCCCGCGTCATGAGCAACACGGTGGAAATGGTCAGCCTAGGACAAGAGTTCGATGTGGGGGTCATCGATGAGATCCAGATGATTGCGAATCCGAGACGAGGATGGGCGTGGACGCGAGCTGTACTTGGAGCTCAAGTCAAGGAGTTGCATCTCTGCGGTGAAACGCGTGCAGTGCCGTTGATTCGGGAGCTCTGTGCGCTCACAGGGGACAATTTGGAAATCCACCGCTACCAGCGACTGAACGCTTTGGAAGTCATGCCGCATAGTTTAAGAGGGAATTTAAACAACCTCCGCAAGGGCGATTGCCTGGTGTCGTTCTCCCGAGTTGGAATTCACGCCTTGAAGGCCGACATCGAAAGAATAACTGGAAGACGAGCAGCCATTGTTTACGGTGGCCTGCCGGCTGAGATCCGCACTCAACAGGCTAATTTGTTTAATGATCCGGACAATGACTATGATTTCCTCGTCGCAAGCGACGCGATTGGCATGGGATTGAACCTGTGAGTATTGCGATCTATCTCGCCCCTGAAACTCAACTGACTTGCAACAGGAGCTGCAAACGTGTCATCTTCGAGACTTTGATCAAACGTATGCCTGGTGGTCTGCAAAGACTTTCTGTCCCAGAGATCAAGCAGATTGGTGGACGTGCGGGCCGGTATCGTCCAGCCGGTGCCACGAACGACACGGAAGACGGAGCCAACGTAGGCCTGGTCACATCTCTTGAAGAAGTCGACTTGCCCTATATTCAACGGGCCATGAGTATGGAACCCGCTCCACTCCGTGCTGCTGGTATCATACCCCCGGATGCTACGTACAAGAAGTTTGCCACCTACTTCCCGAGATCTACTCCATTCGAGTATCTGGTCAGGCGCGTTGGGGAACTCGCCGAGCTCAGCCCCCTTTTCTTTATGTGTGACGCGCAGGATTTGCTCAACAATGCTGAAATCATTGACAACGTGGCTGGCCTACGGCTTCAGCAGCAATTGACACTCATGGCCGCCCCCATGGACACAAGAAACCCCAATGGGTATGACGCCATCTGCGCATTTGCTGAATGCGTGGCCGAGAACTCACGCGGACGATTGTTGGATATTCCTACTCTTAACTTGGAGGTGTTACAAGAACCTGTTTCCGGAAACAAGGAATATCTGCGCCAATTGGAGGACCTGCACAAAGCCATTATTCTCTACTCATGGCTGGGCTTCCGCTTCGGTGGTGTGTTCACGGACCGGACTCTCGCCGCGCATGTCAAGGAGCTTGTGGAGGAGAGAATGATTCGGGCATTGACCGAGTTCTCTGCTAACAAGAAGCTGCGCAAGGATGCTTCTCTGCGGCGCCAAATTGCCCTGCAGAAGCAGCTCCTCGAGCAAGGAAAAGTCGACTTTGATGATGATGGCGAGTCTGATGGAAGAGAAGGGGAAGTGCAAAGAAGCCAAGCGGAAGAAGGCTCTTCGGAGATGCCGAGTACACTATCCGAGGCTGATCTGACAGAAGGAGAGACTTCAGAAAGCTCAGACACCGACTATGATGAGTTCTATTTGGAGGAAGAGAGCTCTTTGAAGAGCTCCGTCCCCAGGCCGAAGCAGTTACAAAAGGGGCAGACCTCTACTGTGTAATAACAGTGTAATAACATATGTGTATATTAGTTATATAAAAGCAAACCACTTTAACGGGCTAAATCAAAAAGTCTCTGTATCTTAGGGTAGTTGACAATTTATACTTGGGCTTATCTCTTATCGGTGGCGACTTCGGCCGGACTGATTTTCCGCCTTCACTTTGCTTCGCTGAGGTCGGCCTCGTTCGCAGGTATTTTGCGCCCTCGCTCAGACATCACTTCGCTCGCGCCTCTTGTTTCCCTCGGTCGTCGCTCTTTTCATCTGTCGCCAGGATGGATGACCTGGAGTCGCTGGAGCTGTTTTCGCTCGTGTCGCGAGTGACAAACGAGCTCCAGAACTACCTAGGCATTAACGACAAGACTCTGGCCGAATTCGTGATCGACCAACACCTGAAATGCAGCGGCCACTTTCCCGAATTCAAAAAGGGACTCGACGAGATGGGGGCTGAGTTCCCGCAAAGCTTGATGGAGAGTATTGATCGCCTTGTCCTTACAATGCACCCAAAGTACAAGTCAAAGAAAACGCAGAATGGCGACTCGGGCCCCGGAGAAAATGACTTGATGAATGAGCTGGATGCTCTGGAGAGAAAGTCACGAGTGTTCAAGGGACTGGCAGTTCCAGATAGGGAGAAGCGCTGGGAGGAGAACGACTACCTCGATCGCCAGGCCGCAAACGAGACCGACGCACGAGCAGGCGCCATGGACGATACTTTCGCCATGTTGGAGGGCCTCGCTGGGAAGGCGAAAGACGACAACGCACCCGCTCCAAGAGATGAGCGCAGCAGCAGGAAACGGAGTCGCAGCCCCGAGTACGACGATCACAACCGCGGACGCCGACACAGAGACAAATATCGGTCGAGATCAAGATCAGGGAGCGCCCATCGCCATAGCAAGGATGACGACCTCGTGGACGAGTTTAGAAGATCCATTGGCAGACACGGCAAGCGGGAAGACGGCCATCGCAACGTCCACAACGACCGTCGGAGACGTCGGGACCGTGACCGTGACCGTGATGATGACGAGGAATACTTCCGACGACCGCCACCAATCGAACTGGACGATCAGCCAATTTTATACAAGATTTACGAGGGGCGTGTAACGGGCGTGAAGGATTTTGGTGCCTTTGTGAATCTGCAGGGGGTTCAAGGGAAGGTCGACGGCCTCGTCCACGTTTCTGCGATGCAAGAGGGCGTGCGGGTGAATCACCCAGGTGACCTTGTGTCTCGTGGACAGCCCGTCAAGGTCAAGGTTGTCAGCATCCAGGGCAGCCGTATTGGACTGTCAATGAAGGAGGTCGATCAGGTTACAGGAATGGATATTGTTCCCCAAAAGCGACTGGCTTCAGGCGCGAACATGGAACGCCTCGATGGAGCATCAGGAAACGACCGATACGGCAATCTCAGTTCAGATGTGCCCGTTATTGAAGAATCAAATGGACGGCCGATGAAGAGCCGCAAACGTCTTACTTCGCCTGAACGATGGGAGATCAGACAGCTCATTGCTTCTGGTGTCGCATCCGCCGCCGACTACCCCGATCTCGACGAGGAGTACCACGCCACGCTCACCGGCGAGGGAACGTTTGAAGAGGAGGAAGATGTCGATATTGAAGTTAAGGACGAAGAACCTCCTTTCCTGGCCGGCCAGACAAAGCAGTCACTCGAACTCTCTCCTATCCGTGTCGTCAAGGCTCCTGATGGCTCAATGAACCGTGCTGCTATGTCAGGCACCAACCTTGCCAAGGAGAGACGCGAATTGAAGCAACAAGAGGCACAGGACAAGGCTGCCGAACGGGCCGCCGAGGTCGACCTCAATGCACAGTGGCAGGATCCCATGGTTGCACCGGAGGATCGCAAGTTTGCTGCGGATCTGCGTAGCACACAGCAACCGAAACAGGATGATGCGGTACCAGAGTGGAAGAGAGTCACCATGGGCAAGAACCAGTCCTTTGGCAAGCGGACCGACATGAGCATCAAACAGCAACGTGAAAGTCTGCCAGTGTACAAATTCCGCAAACAGCTGCTCGATGCCGTAAAGGAGAACCAGCTGATGATTGTGGTTGGAGATACTGGCTCAGGAAAGACCACGCAGTTGACGCAGTACTTAGCTGAGGCTGGATACGGAAACAATGGTATCATCGGTTGCACTCAGCCTCGTCGTGTCGCTGCCATGTCCGTGGCAAAACGTGTGTCCGAGGAGGTAGGCTGCAGACTGGGAGCGGAGGTTGGATACACAATCCGTTTCGAAGACTGCACGAGTCCGGAGACCAAGATCAAGTACATGACAGATGGAATGCTTCAGCGAGAAATTCTGCTCGACCCAGATCTCAAGAGGTATTCTGTGATTATGCTAGACGAAGCGCACGAGCGAACAATTGCCACGGATATATTGTTCGGCTTGTTGAAAAAGACCATCAAGCGAAGGCCCGACCTCCGCTTGATTATTACATCGGCTACTTTGGATGCCGAGAAGTTTTCCGAATACTTCCATGGTTGCCCTATCTTCTCAATTCCTGGACGAACATTCCCTGTTGAGATGATGTATTCAAAGGAGCCAGAGTCTGACTACCTAGATGCTGCTCTTATTACTGTCATGCAAATCCACTTGACTGAACCAGCTGGTGATATCCTTCTCTTCCTTACGGGCCAAGAAGAGATTGATACTGCCTGTGAGATATTGTTCGAGCGGATGAAGGCATTGGGTTCTACAGTCCCCGAGCTGGTCATCCTTCCTGTCTACTCCGCGTTACCTAGTGAGGTGCAAAGTCGAATTTTCGAACCTGCCCCGCCTGGTGGCCGCAAAGTTGTCATTGCAACCAACATTGCCGAGACCTCGATTACCATCGACAACATTTATTATGTCATTGATCCCGGCTTTGTGAAGCAGAATGCCTATGACCCGAAGCTCGGTATGGACTCGCTTGTGGTGACACCCATTTCCCAGGCACAAGCCAAGCAGCGAGCTGGCCGTGCAGGAAGAACCGGCCCTGGAAAATGTTTCCGACTGTACACGGAGGCTGCCTACCAATCCGAGATGCTCCCCACGACCATTCCTGAAATCCAGCGTCAGAACCTATCGCATACCATTCTTATGCTCAAGGCAATGGGTATTAATGATCTTCTTCACTTCGATTTCATGGATCCGCCACCCACTAATACCATGTTGACCGCTCTCGAGGAGTTGTATGCCCTGTCAGCTTTGGATGACGAAGGTTTACTGACCCGTCTCGGCCGCAAGATGGCCGATTTCCCTATGGAACCCGCCCTTGCGAAGGTGCTTATTGCCTCTGTCGACATGGGCTGTTCTGATGAGATGCTCAGCATCGTCGCTATGCTTTCGATTCAATCAGTATTCTACCGTCCAAAGGAAAAGCAGCAACAGGCCGACCAGAAGAAGGCCAAGTTCCACGACCCATGCGGCGATCATCTAACCTTATTGAATGTCTACAACGGCTGGAAGAATTCCAAGTTCAATAACGCCTGGTGCTACGAAAACTTCATCCAGGTCCGAGCAATCGGCCGCGCGAAGGATGTACGCAATCAGCTGCTCGGCATCATGGACCGATATCGCCACAAGATTATCTCGTGTGGACGGAACACTACCAAAGTGCGACAGGCACTCTGCACCGGTTTCTTCCGGAATGCGGCTCGCAAGGACCCTCAAGAAGGATACAAGACGCTGGTGGAAGGCACGCCTGTTTACATGCACCCTAGTTCTGCACTGTTCGGGAAACCGGCCGAGCATGTCATCTATCATACCCTAGTGCTCACCACCAAGGAGTATATGCATTGCACCACTTCGATCGAGCCGAAGTGGCTCGTGGAGGCAGCCCCGACTTTCTTCAAGGTGGCACCCACGGATCGCTTGTCGAAGCGCAAGAAAGCCGAGCGTATCCAGCCTCTTCACAATCGGTTTGCTGGCGAGGACGATTGGCGTCTCTCTGCCCAGCGTCGCCAAGGCAGAGGTGGTGGTGGAGGAACTTGGGGTTGATTTGTTGTTGCTTTCAAGGATACCAATACTTTTTTGCATGTTCTATACGTCGTATATTCACCATAGTGTACTTTTCTCCAAGCTTGATGAATGAAAATGGACTGACGTTTGAATGGAAATAGCCATTATTTGCATTTAATCATGAACCGGATATGTAGGCTTACCAATTGGACGCGTACGTAGTTTCTATTAAATCCCTACTCACAACCAGCAAGTCATTGCGAACCGAAGAAAGTCGCGACAGACGCGTTAGTTAAAAGTCGACAGTGGGTCCACAGTGGCCAATCAACGGGTGCGAAATCTCGAAGGCATCGGAACCCGTGCATCGAAGACTCGAAAAAAAATAACATTGTCGCAACCATCAGGATGTCGCACGTCACAGAGCATCCTTTTCGTGCGAAACGAAGAAAGCTTGACGAGGACTCTCAGGAGAACAGCGAGGCAACAATTAAAAACCCCTCCCAGCTGCGCAACCTGCTCGCTTTCCAGCAGAATCCTCCGGCCGCTAAGCAAGGTAAGTTTTCGTTCAACGGTTTACGACCACTGAAGCTGACGAAGGTGGAAAAGGAATAATCAAATTTAAGGAGTTTTTGAATTCTATTCACGACCCTGAGAAGGAGAATGAAAAGGCCCAGAAGCTCCAAGTCTTGAAAGGCTATTGCGATAAGCAAATCTCCCCGGGCAAAGAGGAGGAAGATTCCGTCTGCTTTCCAGACCTCATCCAGACCTGGAGCCTGGGCGACAGCAGCAACCATGACTCTCTGCTGACCAACGTTCCCTCGGTTCTTGCCATCTTCCTTAAGACCATCTCCCGCGAGCTTGAGTTCCGGGAGTTCGGACTGGCGCTGTGCAAGCATTTGCTGCAGAAGGACCAACTGAGACTCTTCAACCGTGGCCTTACAGCCACCAAGTCTAAAGAGCACCTCATCTCGCCTTGCCTTCGTCTTCTTACGGAGATCGTTACATTTGATGGAGGTGCTGTTGCCAGGCAACTCTACAACCGCCGTTACATCACCTTCAAGCGCCTTGAAGTCTTTTTGACGCCTAACAAGGCCCAGCTTGAGACCTCGGAGGACGAAACTCAAAAGTCGACTTTGCGAAGAAACGCCCAGCGGTATCTGCTTGCGAATTTAAGGGTTCAACATGAGCTCGAGAAGAGCGACATCATTGAGCAACACAAGCTCACCCGAGCGTTCCTCGACTACATTCGGAAAGACTCCCGGCATGTTGCCCTGGAAATTATCAGGGCTATTGAGAAGGACATCGTGCAAGACGCCTCGCTGTCGCGCAAATCGAAGAGCAAGTTTTTCAATCGGTTCAACCTGGAGAAGCTGGTGACGCTCTATGGCTATGATCGCGAATCAGAAGAGCCCAATCCGGAAAACATCTCGATTGCGAATGAGATACACAAACTTTTGATGACTATCTGCAAGACTGCGGGTCTTGGCGTTCTTCTTCCTGAGACAGGCTGGTATCCGGTCGGAACCGATCCCGAAACCCTCCCCGTCGAGGACGACGGCTGCATTGAGTTGGGTCTCGACTCACCTGTCTATGTTGACAAGTACCGGGAATCTGTTCCTGTCCGAAACAACTCTCTTTCATACCTTATCCAATGTCTTCGTCCCGACGTGGATAGTCTGCAGATTGAACTGCTGGTGACAATCTTCAAGGCGGCGCCGGAGTTGATCGCCGACTTCTACTCCAAGAAGACCATGTTCACCGCGGATCCTAAAGCAACCCCTTCGTGGATGGCTGAATCCGCCTTGCTCTTCTCCACTGTTCAGCTGCCTGTCCCTACAAACTGTGGCTGGAGAGAAAGACAGCCCATTCTGCCGCCGCCAGTCTCGATCGTCATTGAAAACATCCTCCCCCGTCCCATGAGCCAGAAGGTCATGGCTCGGTGCTTGAACCAGAATGCGGAGATTATCACTCTCTTCGCTGTGCGTATCTTGACACTTGCGTTCAACAAATTGCGCTCCGTTCTGAAGATCTTCCGAGCTGAACATGGACACGCCCAATTGTTCTGGAACCAGGCCTCCTCCAAACTGCTCGCTGAGTTTTCTCGCCGGTGCCCCGCCGTGAAGGATGTGATTCTTCTTTTCCGGCGAACAGCCAAAGAGGATATGCAGCAGCAAGACGCCGTTGCGGAATTATTGACCTGCTACTATGAAGTGATGCCCGACATTGCGTTGGAGGAAACCTTCGATGTTTCGCTGGTTTTGGTGGACGTGCTCAAGCGATTGGAAGAGCCGGAAGTCAGCTCTGAAGATTCCGAGCTTCTTTTGAGCCAGTTGCAGAGCGTCCTGCAAATCGCACAGCAGTCTGCTTCCATGCGTTGGTGGCAAAAGCCAGGTAAGCGCAGAAAACTCCCGCTGGTCGATATTCGAAGATTAACATTTCCTTAGCTTCCATGCAATATTCTCCTTTTACATCGATTCTCAAAGTCCTTGTGGAGACCTCAGACAAGGATTCCTCACGCCGCATCTCTATCCTTCTGAGAACTGTCCTTGCGGAGAGCTTTGTTCTTCGGAACTCGCCGCGGTCATTCAATTCTCTCTTGTCAAGCCTCGAAGATTCCGAGGCCGGAACCCTCCATAAGCAATTGATTTTCTTCGACAATTGCGTGTCTCGGGTTGCCAAGAAGCCTGTTCACTATGTGGACCTGCTTGAGTCTCTATCCGAAGATGCTGCCAACAATTTGAGCCCCCTCGTTGCGGCGATAGTCGAGCAGTGGCCTTTCGTCATCAAGGCAGGAGATGAAACGACCGAAATTGCCGTTGGATCGTGGATTGCTAAGCTCTTCGGACAATTGAAGCAGGGCGGCGAGAGTGAAAGTGCACTAAAGGCTGCTCGCGATGCTTTGATCGAGGCCACCGAGGCCAAGAAGCCCCGGTCTCAGTTCAAGAAATGTCTCAAGGAGTCAGAAGATGCAGACGATGATGACAAGATGGACATTGATTCTGCGCCGACCCAGGTAGCTTCGTCCGTCAACGCAGAGGTGGACCTCGATGAGATCTTTGGCTTCCTACCTACCGAAGCCACAACGCACAACGCATTGCACAAGTGGGAACGAGTGGATGAAGAGGAAGCAGTGGAACAAGGCCACATTGCTGAGCTGATGCTATGCCTGTGTTCTGAGCATGAGGAAGTTCGACGACAGGCATTTGCCAATCTTGCACGGTTCATGGCAAAGCTGAAGGTGAGCTTCAAATATTGATTGATTCTCGAGTCCCCCACTAACGAACCCAGGAATCTAAATATACTGAATGGCGCTGCGTGTATACGCTCACAGGCGAACTGCTGGAAACAGTCAACGGTATTGGCCTCGACAAGCCCGTTCCGTGGATCATTGGTGAATGTGCCTCCAACTGCCTATCAGTCCTGATAAACCCCCTACACAAGGTGTATGGCAAGGTCAACAAGTTCTTGCAAAAGGCCCCAGTCTGGGAATTGGAGAAGATCCCGTCCTACTGGATCGACAAGATCTTCTTGCACGAGCCCGAGCTTGATGATGGGTATTTCGACGAGATCGACTGGCTGCTAGGACTATTCGTGAAAAGTCTTCGTAGCAAGGCTGTAAGCTCACACGTTTCCCGCAGAAGCCCAAAGAAATAACGGCACTGACAATATTTCTAGGATATGGAGATTTACCGTCGCGCAAACGTCTTCGAGCGCATCCTCTCTCTTTACCAATCCCCAAGCCTGGGTTCCGCGAGCCAGCGTAAGATTTTGCATGTCATCTACCGGGCAGCGCAGGTCGGCGGCAGCACAACCCTGATCACTCGTGCGGCCGTCATCAGTTGGATCCAGCTTCAGATCGCCGAAGCTGACGGAAAGGAGGCTGCCCTGCTCTCGGCTTTGGCCCGGACCCTCTACGAAACGTCCGATCGCGAGCGGGTCGATGCTTGGAGTAACGGCACCCTTGAGTCTACGATTGAGAAGATTACACAGGCATGAGATAGACTCGTGTATCATACTTTATTCTAGAGCCCTTGAAATAATCAATATATTATGGATACAAATTTAGAATCTTGCAACCTCAGTCGCGTGCTTCCAGTCTTGGAAGGTTGAGGGTCGCGATATATACTTTTACCATGAGCGAATGGCACCGGGGCTACCTATTCTCTAGGTATCATGTCTCCTCATAGCGAGCACTATTCAATATTTACGATTTGGATAATCTGACGCCTGCCAGGCAACACTGGAACAACATTCCAAACAAGCGCGAGGAACTCTACTGCATGCTGCAAGGTGCCTCGAGGCAACTGGCGGGATCCAAGGTTTCCCTTTTAGGCGCAGCTTTGGAGAAAACTCACATTCGACATTATTGATCTCCCTCAACACCCGAGCTCCTACGCAATATATAACCCACTTCATTCACACTGTAAAGCTTGCTCGCTCGTTTCTATTGACTAGGAGCATCTCCTGGTGGAGTTCTCACCGACCCCCGACTCCGCCTTGAACCTCGCCACAAGGTGGCTTACTGCTTCTCCTCACCTAGCGACTTCTTTTTCCGACCGTCTTCCTCCACGAACCCCACGACCTTTACTTTCCCCAACGCTTGACACTGTTCTTCCGACCGTTCCCACCCGCCGTCTCCTTTTTACACCCCTCTGAACCAATGAGACGATCATAAGTCTTGTGGACCAAGATCGCACACTCCCAGAGGCCGTTATGGCGCGACGGTACAAGATCGATGAGCTGTTATGGCTGCGCTCATCGCCTCTCGTCGCAAAACCTCCTGGCCTACCCCCCATTGAGGAATGGATGTATGTTCCTTCTATTTCTCCCCCAGCTGGTATCCCGCACGCCCACTCCAAGACTGACCCAGGCGCCTCTCCTCCAGGCCTCAACCCGACCCAACCACCCAGCGCAAACAACAAACTACTCGTGACCCGAATAACCCATCTGAAACCACTTCAAACAGAAGACCTAGCTTTTTCGAACCTCGCCATATCTCACGGGGCTCCAATTCAGGTATGCCTGTTCCCTACATCCTGTTCCACGGGCTACTCTTATCCACCTCCCCTTATAAAAATTCGCTGATCTGACGTTGAATTGACAGAGGATGTTCTCCTTACCTCGCCCAAGAATGTCTTTGCGTCATCTAGAATGGGTAGCAAGGGATCGCTCGACATGACAGATCGGCCAGTGCGATCGGGCAACCCAGATGACAAGATTGATCGATTCGCCTTCAGAGACCGCCTTTTCAAGGACCGAGATCCTGTGGAGAGCGATGGAAGACCGGGAGGTCTGAACGGCCGCCGTGGAGATAAGGAGGATTGGAATGCTGGACGGCCCCGCCGCACTTTTGGTCCCGACGACCAAGAGCGCAAACCCCGACGCAACGGAGAATTTGACCGATGGGATAACAGAGAAACCCCGCGCGACACCAACGATGAGCGAGGAAACCGAGACAAAGATGGCCGCTTCCCACCAAAGAAGGACGGCCAGCCGGGACGCTCTAAATTCGAAGGTAGCTGGTTCCGTAACGAGAACACTGCCGACGGCCCTGATGCCGATGATGATAAACCACTACGCAACCGAGAATGGCGCCGTGACCGACACGGTGCAGACCGCGAGTGGAACCGCGGTGCTAAGTTCGATCAAGAGCCCGAATGGCTGGATAGTAACGAACGAGATGAGCCACGACGAGCACACACGCAGGAGGATTTCCAGCGCTGGAAAGAGCGCATGAAGGCGGGCTCTGGCGCTGCTCAAGCCCCGGCGCAGGAGGAGAAGAGAGATGTGCCCGCCGAATCATACACTGCTGCGCAGGAGCCCGAGCCTCACCACACCGACGGGTCGGTCTTCAGCAATGAACGAAGCGGCCACTCCGCTGCTCCATTCATGGCGGATAATTCCATGGACCGCTTCTTCGGCATGCTGGGCGGAGAGAAGCCGCCTGCCCAAGATGTTGCAACCCCGATTCCCGTCGAATCGGCCGCGAAGAATCAAGTCTTTGCTGGCAAGCCCAGCAAGTCATCTCGCTTTGCCGGACTGTTCAGTCCGCCGCCGGAGAGTCCTTCAAAGGCTCCCGAGTCTCCTGCGATTCCTATGGCCTTCGCTGGAGGCGCTTCCTCCAACCCAGACCGGGAAGGCTTTGACCGCATCATTGCGATGCTCGGTGCTGGCGGCGGTCGATCTAACAGTGGCACTCCCAACCAGACCAATTCGTCCCAGCAGTCGCGGCCAACTTCGATGGTGCATGCTGAGCAGTCTCGGAATATATCATCCCCTGCCAGAGAGTCTTATCCTCGCCAGGACTACGCAAGTCCCGTGCACGAGAACCCTCTTGCCCACCTTGCAGGGAAAGAGCCCCAGGCCCGTGAGAGAGAGCATTTGCTCCGACTCATGCAACAAGTCCGCGTCGGACCAGGCCCCTCGGGCAACCTAGCCCAGCAGTCTCCGAATGCTGCCGTCGCTCCCCCTCCAGGTCTGATGCCTGAAATGATGCCTCGCCCTCCTCCTGGGCTGGTTGGTCCCCAGAAGACTCCGAACTTTCTGGACGACCCCGCCATCGCCAATATGCAGCGGCCTGACAGCGAGCAGCTTCGCCGACGAGCCCCCAATGGGCCTCCCATGGGATACTTTGATGATGTACCCTTTCCCCCTGGACCCCAGGGACCTATTACCCCCGGTGGCTCTCGCCATTCACAGGGTCCTAATCAGCCTCCTATGCCTCTCCAGCGACCCCCAGGGCTTGAACACTTGCCGCCTCCTGGATGGACCGGCCAGCCTCCGCCTCAGCAAGGCAATGGACTGAGCCCGATGGGTCATCCGCCTGGAATCCCCACCCCTGGCCGTGGCATGAACCCCAATTTCCCACCAGGCATGATGCCGATGCCCGGAAATGTACCTCCACTCAACGAGCGACAGACCTTCCCTCGTGGGCCCCCGCCGGGTATGATGCCCCCGCCCGGATTCATGGGCGCTCCTCCACCTCCGGGCTTCCCTCCCATGCCGCCCAACCCGGAAGCCATGATGGGACTTGGCCCTGGAGGCCAAGGACCATTTGGACCTGGCAACCCTGGACCCCAGGGACCTCCCCCTTCATCCCGGCACTTGTTGGAGATGTTCGGCCAGTCTAACGGAGGCGACGGCCGCGGGGGCATGGTTGGCCCGCCTCAATTCCGTTGAATGAGACTTCATGGAGGTTGGCTCTTGCCGTCTCGTCCTACCCGCTCGACATTTTCCTGCTTATCGTGATTTGTGATTTAGTCGTGCAAAATGTGAAGCGAGTATGCGGCGCAAGATCCAGCCGAGTCTCAATGGGAAGCCGTACCTGGTTACACGGCAACGTTGCATCTTCTCGAGAGATCAAAGCACCCGGTTCTTATTTACTTTTCTTCCTTTTTCTTCCGTTCTTTTCATGCTGTATTTGCTGATGCCCATTTGGTACCGTGATGCCCACGAGGCTTCTCTTACCATTCCCGGCTTAGCCTTTGGTTTCCCAGCCAAGGCTTGCCCTGTGTTATTGCTGAATACTTCCGGGCTTTCTCTTTCTGGTGTCCGAACTCTCGAGCTGATTTTCGTGTGCTGTTTCTCCGGTGCCGGTGTCCAAGTCTTCCGGTGGCCTCTGGGGAATTATGATTGATCGGGTGGTAGTTAGGTTGCCCATGTATCTATGGTGGAAGAGGTCTGGGTTTGCTATCTGTCGGTAGGTTCTTCCTTTCTAGATGGCTGGACAGCTAGCTACAATCTATCTATTGCTTGGTCGTCATTTTGTATTCGGTAGAGCTTAACATGGTAAAGCAACTGTGAACTGGGGTCCTGCGCTACGCTCTAATTAGGTACCATTCCAGTTGAGTACGGTTCATCACAAGACCCCAATTCTTGAGATTCGTCGTGGTAAAACTTTATAGGAAACTTGTACACCGTAATTTGTGTGTGTAGTAGCAGAAGACCTTCAAAGCCTAGACATGCACTCGCATTGTCCAGGGCACGTTCTCCCATCTATGGATTCTGAAAGCAAAGTATGCTCAAAACCTCGCACATCCCTGATAATTATCTGTTGGCTATGGGTGTCATCCGGGCACCAGTTGGACTCATGATCATATAATCATGTCATACTTCTTGAGAGGCTGTTCAAGTTCCGACTTTATGGTCCAAATGTCTGCTCTCCAATACTTACCGTCCAGAAGATTACATCCTGTAAGGGGTAGCAGTTTATGGTTTCTTTGTTATACAGTGACAAATGCAAGACCCAAACAGAAACCATCATATTATTATGTACCAAGCAATGAGAATATGTCCTGAAGAAAAAGCCAGGTTTTATGTAAGCGAGATATGTGCAGAATTATTCACGATCATGCGGCTCCTCGGGCGGATCCGTTCCAGATTCCTCCCTCTTGATCGACCTAGTCAATTCTATTTCATCCATCTCATGCCGCTCCTCTTCAATTAAGGGCTTCTCGTCATAGTCGAGCGCCACCGGTCCATCGGCACCGCCCCACTCCCCAAACCGGTACCGGTACCCTAGCCGCTCAAGGTGCTCTTTCCGTTTCTGTTCACTCCAGTTACCTGTGCCCCGAATATCATTCAGCATACGGCTGTGCGCAACCCAGGGGACCAAAGATCCGATTGAATGCGGGACAGGTGCGCCGGCGTAGTGTTTGTGGCGCAGCCAGAAGACTCCTACTAGAACGAAGAGATCGATGGAGAGGAGAATGATGATTATGACGATTGTGGTGTTGGAAGGTGTAATATCCCACACTGCCGACATCACAGTGCTGGGGATGGTTGTGTTTGCGTTTTGGGAAAGGGCAAGAGGCGAGAGGTAGAGGTCGCGCTGGAGGGTGGTGTAGGTTGTGAAAGTTGCTCGGTAGACGGTTTGAAGGGTGTGGATTAAAAGAGCTTGTTCTTGAGCTTCGGTGTTGGGATGAGGATGAGAGTGGTGTCGGAATTTGTGATTAGACCAGGTGTGGTTATGGGATGTATGGTTGGCAATGAGCCTATCGTAGACTTGCGTTGTCAAGAGGGCAGGCCAGGATTGATCGACTTCACCATGTCGTATGAAGGCCTGGTTGAACAGCACAAGGCCGCTGGAAACATTTTGGAACATTGGGCCGCTTGTAACGGAGCTCCCCGGTATTGGCTGGTAGCCAAAGACCAGCCCGTTGGGGTCGAACTCCATCTCGAAATCCTCGATAATAACTTTAGGACTGCAATGGAAGACGCTTGAGTTTGTTTCGGCTCCATATATGATGTTTGTGCCATTTATGTCGCCGTAGCGGCTCACCACAAAGGATGTCTGACATGCAAGACTCGTATTCATGGATGCACTGAAATAAAGGGACCCGGACTGGGTGTTCTCAGTTGGTCGTTGCATTTCCGCGGTACAGTTCGTGCCCGTGGCAGCTTCAAATGGAGTGTAGGTCCAGTATGAAGAGTCTGAGAGACTGTCGTATCGGGACTGGCTGGGAGAAACCTCTCCACACTGAAGCTCGACTCCAATCCCACGCGTACGGGCCGTATACATCGTCCAGTCATTGTATTGTGCATCTGGATCGTTAATTCCAAGTGGGTAGAATGAGAAGCTGGCAGTATTCCATGATAGTAAAGAATTACCAGTGAACAAGCCATCTGAGATTAGACTATAGCCGTTGAACACTGCCCGGACTTCAGGATTGAAGAAACGAGAGTCGTTATATTGCGCGGCAATGACATCCGTGTGCTCTGTCCAACGGTCGACAGATGGCTCGAACAAGCCACTGCTGACGATTGTTAAGACAAAGTCTAGGATACAGACCGCGGAGAGCGCGACCAAAAGAGGGGGCCTGTTTTCACGAAACTGTTTCCAAGCGGTCACAGGCGTATGAGAGCCATATTTCACCGTCAGAGAATGTTTGGCTAGGGCCATCCCTTCTTGCAGCTGAACCCAAGGCTCCATGTTACCTATATGGCGGTGGACAGAGACAAAGAGGGAGCTGATCATGGAGGCGATGACAGTGGGGCCGTATATTAAGAAGAGCGCGACAGTCATTGTTCCGGCTGAGTCGGAAGTATCAAACTTGTCCAAGCGAATGAATTGGAACGATACTCCAAACGCACCCAGCACTCCTGCCATCAGCACACATTCAACCAAAAACCATGGTGGCGTTAAGAAATGTGGCCGGGCATTGAGACGTGCTCTGCGCCGTGCGCGAGATGCTCCGGGGTTCGGTGCTGCTGTATGTCCCTCTCGGGGGATTATGTCTATGCGTTTCCCATCAGGCCCGTCAACCCATATACACCGTAGCGTGCGAGCAAATCGACGAAGCTGCCGAGGCGTGGCCCGGTAGTAGTCCACATCGGAATGCATCAATCGGTTGAGTGAGGAAAACGTGTCTGTGATAAGGGCGCATTGCGCCGCAATAGAGCCGGGATCGGATAGGAGGAAATTAGGTCGGAGTGGGTATATTAAGGCCATCACTAGAAGCAGCAGAAAGGCTGACAGGAGAAGACCTTCTGCGACAAGAGCGGAATGAGATGCGACACTATAGATTATTGTGTCGGTACTCTGTTTGGCTTGGACTCGCGTTGGACCCGTCGTTGTGTTGAAGAATTTGTTCATCGAGCCAACAAACTGTCGATTCCAGAGCTGAGCGACAGCTTGCTCATATTGAGTAATATTTATGCGATTAGGGTCGCTGCGGATCAGTGTACGATTCACACCTGTGGAACCAGCTAAGCTGATCGAGAGCCCGTTGTTCCACAGCGTCAGATCGATTTGAAGGTATTTTGTGAAAAGCAGATTCTGGAAGCTTGAAATACTGAGGTCCGCAGGGGTTAAAGTAGTCGTCATGTTCGAGACATTCGTAACATCGGCAATGGAGGAGTTTGTCGGTAGAGTTATATCCGCCTCTGCGCGCCAGTATGCGGCGGTGCACCCGAAGACCGTGGCTTTCGAAGCTAAATCTTTTGATGTGGCATCAACATCAATGGTGAGTCCCATCAACGAAAATGACTCGCACCCAGTACGGTTCAAGGTAGCCGTGTCTTCGGCGTTGGGATTAGGATTGAGAGGCTCCCAATGTCGTATTTGGGACAACCCATTCCCCGTTGGGTAGGTACTATTCAGGGTGATATCAATCTGACAGTTGGAGTCTGCACTGGTATCCGAAGCATTCTGGAATAGAACATTGCGAATATCCCATGCCAAGGCTGTGCCAGTGGAGTTGGATCCAATCCACTTGGTGGGAATGATATCATCCACAGAAACCTCCACGCAGCTCAAATTGGCCCAGTGGACATTTTGAGTGAGCTCCCAGGTCGAGGCTCCGCGATTAGCGTGCACCGGCCTTGAGATGGGCGGCAGAGCGTAATCGGGCGTTTGGTAGAAAAAAAAGGTCTCTTCGAAGATATCAGTTCTGTTCCTGGAATGAGATGCCGCATTGTTTAGCCAGGAGCTCTGTGTTTCCAAGTTCACTAGACTGGGCCACGTATTGAGATGTCTCACGACGACCATAGTCGGCTCGTCCAGGTACACGAGGCCGGACAGTAGGGAAGGCAACATCATTCGCAGAACCAGAGCAATTGTTGAGACACATGCCACAATCCAGTGGCGGTTACGTGCTGCCATGATGGGAGTCACAATGCCATAGAAGAAGGAGTAATTGGTGAACAGCACGGTCCCGGGGGCCCCTCGAGGGTTGGCGAGCTGGAAGAACGGCTCCAAGCGCAAAACATCGAGGGTGCAAATATTCCATAATGCTACTACTAGAACGGCAAAGGCTGTTGGTACATAAGTGTACACCCCTGAAGTGAGCCTTCCGAGATCCTCATATGATTTGAGATGGATGAGTCCATGGTGACGATTGGAGTATTGTCGGAGAAGTTCGATTGATACGCCCATCAATAGAAGGAAAGCAGCCACGGTGAAAAGGAAAGGGCGCCGCAAAGAAGTCGGCATCCAATGCCGATTCCGCCCCAGTGCAATGCCGCTGCTCCCCGACCCGTTCTCAGACTCGACCATTTTTACAGGCCCGTCAGCAAAGGGAGTCGGGGGATCATCGGGGCTGGTCGGACGGTTCCTGGGCCGCTGGACCTCTTCCAACTTGTCGTTTCTGGTGATATATCGCCTTTGAGTCAAGCAGTGAGATTTGACATGGCGGAGTTGACATGTCTCAGATTTGCTACTGGGCTAAGCCGCTCCACGTGATCCAAACTCTGCCGGAGACTTTTTAAAGTTTACCGCCCCTGTCACGTGGGCGGGACAGTTGTTCGGATCTCACGCGAAAAGTGGGGTGATTACGGGGGGCACCATCCAAACAAGGCACGATAACGTAATGCCCAAGCCGGCAATCACACTGTACAGCCCCATATTACATATAACAGTAAAATAATACATAGCATATTGACACCGTCTATGCTTTTATCCCGTTATGAGTACATATCAGTTTTGCCGTTATCTCACGATCTTTTGGTTGCGTTACCGTAAATACGATGTAATCTAGACAAATTAGCTCGGAATACATATTTCTTAGTACAATATCTTCATGATTGATCCTAGGGCATTTTGATACATAGAGGGTTGAACCATAACTTCGTTTCTAAATAAGTGATGGTTGTTGAAATATGAAGCTGCAATTTATCTCATTTACTATGTGTTTTGGTGTGGCCGACTCGCGTGCAGAGGTATTGGCCACTGTATAGCTGCCAAAGGACGAAACATTGCTCCAATTACACTTCAATCTCATGTTTACTTCGGCTCTGTATTTAGAAAAAGGCACGGTTAGATTTTTCTATTGAATTGGATTGATTTGATGTGAGTAGTCGCTGTCCATGCCCAGGTTACTCAACAGAGCTTTGCATAATGTGAAATGGCCTTCAACCCACAATTTTGTTAGCTCAACCCAAGTGTTCCTTTGATTTGAGCTGCCAGCCCGAGTTATCTCTCAACAAACTTTCATCTGTTCTTACTTTCCCCCATCCATACACCACACAGGCAAAAAGATCGCCCCCTTCTCCGACATCAACATGACGGGTGGTGATTGGGCCATGACCGTCAATATTGAACGCGGTGTATGTGCTAAACAGACCGCTCAAGCTGCCTCCAAACTGCATGTTGCTGACCTCGAGATGCATACAGGCTGCAAGGATTAGTATCCACGACTCCGGCTCCCCGACACGTGTAGCCCGGGAGAGAACCCCAACGCGACACCAGATGACTTTGCGATCTCATTCCGGACAGGATTCGTCTCCATTCAGGTGGTTCCTGGCCGATTCCCTGCGCCTTCTGCCTTCCTCCATGAACGAAAGTGTGTCTGCTGCAACGCAATTCTGGCTTCTGGCTATCCAACCCTGACTGATTCATTTGGAACACAGACGAAAGCGAAGCAACCACTGAGATTTTGAGCACAAGTCAAATACAAGAATGGTTCCCGGAGCCACCTAGTCCAGCGAGAGACCTTAATGACCCACAAGGCCCTTTCCTAAGTCTTCCAACCACACCTGAACACAACGGGCCCAGAGTGTGGGCGTTTCATAACCCGGTGGAACCGGATTTTGCAATCTGGGAAGATCCGACATATCGCCCGTCTCCACTTCAACACACTCCCTTGGCATATCATGATGCTGGAGAAGAGAAAGAAAACATCTTTGCCACTGTATCAGACTACGACACCTCGGACGGGAGCGAGTCTGGAAGGGGTCGCATCGACTGGACACGAGTCCAGGTTGGCCCACACGATGTCTTTGGCTTGCCCATCGAATCTCCTTTCGGTCCTGCACTGGTCGATATGCCAGTAGGCCGGAATGCTGGCGATAGCTTCAGCCGTGCCCATCCCATTGTCACCGAGAGAACTGTTAGATCTCAAATGCGAGTGATGATGCACGATGAAGACGAACAGGATGAGTGGGATGATTCCCTGGCAACGACCCAAATTCGAGAGCTCCAGGAGCTGAGAAATGTCTTCATGGGAGGTGCCGAAGACAGATACATTTACGGCCGTCAATTTCCTGTGCTGAATGCTCAAGGTCAGAATAATGTCTTTTTTGAACCGCGACGTATCACCGAGTACCAGGATCACCGAGACCGCCACCACCAGCCCATGGAGGAGGACTAGCTGACTTGAAATGGGCCGGGATATTGTGCAAAGAAACTGGTAATGACTAATACAATATCATGACTTTCTCGTTTCAATACTTCCAGTTGTATGATCAACAATTACGAAACAATGCCACCTGTGCCTACGTACTTGTAGTTTCAATCTATCAATAGTGAGCCGGATAATTCCTTTGTCAAGCATCAATCTCCAGATATAATATGGAGCAACGTCCATTCAAAAAAAGGTATAGCTTACAGGATATGTACAGTCATGAAGAAACAAAGACTAGTGGAGTGATGGTTACAATCGATGTCAACGGGAGGAACTGTACAACAATCATTTACTTCATATGGCAAGATCATAACGATCTCCTAAATCACTCGATATCCTCCTTCTTTATGTGCACCTTAGATATCTCGTCCGGGAACGGTTTACGTGCCCACACGCGTTTCCTACCGGAACTCAGTCAGTCAATAGTTTCTTCAATCCAGGGTACAGTACCACTTACGCTTTTTGATAAGTGTGATAGCGCGGATTCTTGATATCCTTACGCAACTTAGCCACATAGATCTGAACCTCCTCTTTAGTCCACGGCTGCGGCGATCCAAACTTGGTGAGCAGCCACATGCACCAACCGTCCATACCAGACAACCAATGGTGGAGCTGAACCATGCCGGCCTCCTTAAACTGTTGGTCTCGGGCCCACGGGCCAATAGGCCACTTATATTCCTTTACATGAATGTCCACGAAACCAGCTTGGCGGATCTTCTCGGTCATGATGTCCATGGCGTTCAGTTCTCGACCTGCCTTTCTGGCGCAATCCATAGTGTATGGGCCCCAGGTGTTGAGGATGCTATCCGATGGCAAGCTGCCATCGTCACACTCGACGGGAGGTATGGCTTCTAGTTGTTCGATCCATCCGCCTGGCTGCAGGTTGCTAGTACAGACCAGTATTAGGATTCTGTAAGCTACAATAAAGTAAAATCTTCGGACTCACTTGTAGCATTGTTGATAGATCCGGTCCCATTCTGAATCGGTCCACGACGCGGTCATGATGCGCATATGGATGAGGTCAAATGGCTCCCTCCAAGTCCATTCCCGAAGTGCATCATCGACCTCTAGCACACAGTTGGGTGGCATCCATGAAACAGGCGGCGGGAACAAATCCACCCCGCGAACCGTGGCTGGGGTATTTTAGCCATGTCTTGGGAAAGGCGACAGAACTGAACTTACCATTGGGAAACATGTCCGCCACATCGCTGTGATTGTAAGTCACAAAACAATCTCCAAAGAACTTTGGGATTGACGTACATGGCCCAATTACCCTTTCCAGTTCCCAAATCAAGGATATGCTTGGGGTTGTTGCCCACCGGTGATCGGAAGAGGGGGTTATCTGTATTAGCCTCCAATATGAGGGCTAACAGGTGTCTGACATGGTCAATAACCTGCAAGGCAAGTATAAACGGGGATAGCATACCCAGCTTCATAAGCCTCGAACTGCTGATCGTCGGCAGGAACACTGCAGATAAAACGCAAGTAAGATGGCGGTCAAGGATCTTGATATGCATGATTTCACATACCAATATTCTTCATTGCGCAGTGACTGGTATCTGTATCGTGTGAATTTAGCCTCGCATTCTCGCCAAGCGACACAAATAAAACTTGCCGACGGCCATTTTCCATCATACCCTTATAGATCGAGGAGCCGATGGAAGTTGTTTCCCTGAAAGAGTCAACACGGTCCTATAAAAAAATATAATGGTCGAAGAAACACGGTTAAGAAGTTAAGGGCAACCTACGACTGCCAGTCATCGGGATAGTCGGGGTCATTAGGCCTATGGAGGTCCGGGTCCTGAATTTCGAATGTTAGAAAAGCTTGAAAGACTGCGATAGGGTCACAAACCACTGCAATCCTTTCATCATCCATTGTGAGGTTGTTGAGAGGGGAGATTCGGCCTGCTGTTAGCTGGGCTGAAATGGGACGGTCGTGGGCTGCGTCCTAAGCGGCGATTGGGGCCGTTGGCATAACGGACATTGGGATGTTTGGTTTTCAAACGTACCGTGGCGTTGCCCCACGCGGATGTAAAGGGCAGATCCGACTGGCGAGAGGCGGGAGACAAAAGGACGTTTTGTGATCACGAACGCAGGATCTTGTCTATTTTACTTAAACTTTACCTCTATGGGAAGGAGTCACTTTAGCGGGTAATTCTTTAGGGTTTGATGCATATATTGTGGAGTCGATGGGCGATAACGCCTAGAAATCGACCACAAATGCAAAGTCGTTCGGGAATCAATCATACCAACTATCCTCGGATCAATTTCCATAACGCGAGGGGAGCCCGGAATATGTCGATGCCGCGTCTGTGCATTTTGTCTCGTTTGTCTTCGACATTTTCGAAGATCTGTGGTACCCAAGTGTCTCCGGCGTCGGATACCCGCATAGAAATGTGCATGGACCCGACCCTTCTCTCTTGGCAATGTGTCAATCTCGCGTCGGCCCACGCTTGCTCGTGTGCAAGAATATCAACTTGAATTACAGTCTATGGAAAGCGCATTCCAGAACCTTTTTTGGATATCTTCCCGCAAAGGAAAATTATTAAAACATATTTGCAAACTATTAACGACTGTCCGAATCAAAAGCCATTTTTTTCACCCTTCTTCCGACCTTTTTTGAATTGAAAACGCACGCGTAGGGACTTCGAAACCAGAACGATCAGTCGGTGCAAAGCACACCATAAAAGCAATGTGCAGAAAACCATAACGAAAAACAACGCGAAAAAAACTTGGAAGCTCTTTAGAAATCAATTTTGGATCATCATCTCTCTCGAGTCCCCTTCACTTAGCTTTTTCGGTCCCCGTACCCTCTTCCTTCAGAGTGGTCAAGTTGCGACGCCTGATGAGTGTGATATGGCCCAATCCATCCTTCACAAGTGTCCCCCAATTCTGGAGGAAGCTTTCGGCGGCACTTTTGTTGTTAAATGCCGATGGGCCCAGGATACCGTGGATTGCCTTCATTTTTGATTGTTGCATCCGATACATTTGTCTGTCGATGGACCGTTGGCCATCGAGCGTACCGTCGGCAATGATCCTTAGGAACTCTACATCGCGTACCTGGCCGATGCGGAACAGGCGGAAGCAGGCCTGGAAGAAATATTTAGAATTGTGATGATGACCATCCCATGACTTACTTGGTCGTCACGGGCCATGTTCCACCACCCATCCACCAGGATGCATTTATTCGCCGCCGTGAGATCAATGGAAGCTCCTCCCGTGCCGTAAGTGGAGAGTATAATCTGGAATTTCTTGTTATGCTGAAATTCCTGGATTTGATCGTCTCTGTCCATGACGCCCATTTTACCCGAAATCTGTAAAGAATCAACACTGAACAAAGGCGATCACGGTATCTCGGAGGATAATTACCTTGGCATAGTGCCATTTTTCCTCCTCACATACCATCTCAAGTATGCGCTGGGAGTCGACAAAATGAGTGAAGATGACAATCTTGTTGTCCTTATCTTCCAGTAGCCATTCTCGAACGATGTCCCGGACCGCTGTCATTTTGGAACCCAGCCAATTGGCACCGACATGGTATTCCCTTAAAAATGGAATCCAGTCTTCAATGGGTGATCTTTCAAGACCAGGTGATGCGTCAATTCGCTCATTTTGGTTGATGGTCCTTTCAGTCTTTGGGGCTTTTTTCGTGGAGACCTTGCGTGTGGTAGCTCGTTTTCGCTTGTTTCCAGGGCACATAAACGATGTGGAGGGCGCTCCAGCCAGAAGGAAAGCTTCTGGTGGGTGGAAGTTGGCAGCATTGGTAATCTCCTTTTTGCACTTCTGGCAGATTTTCCCTTGTGAGCCGGAGATACCATCATGACCAGGAAGACTTTTGTAACAATCTTTGCAGTAAAGATGGCACGAAGTAACGAGAAATACTTGAGCGAGCTTGAGCTTTGCATGGCATCCGCTGCATTCTCCAGAGGTAAGTGAATCGTATTCGGCCCAGTTCTCTTCAGCGGCGAAGTTCCGCGCTCGCTCTATGCAAGCATGCTTCAAGTTAATGCGATTCTCGGGCGGCTCGAGCTCGGCTATGCTGTTAGGAAAAGCCTCTAGAGAAACTGCCGTGGGGGATTTTCCACTCGCCAGAAGCTCAATGAAGCGCCAGATCTCGATCGAATTGCGATCCCAAAAGCCTTCTTTTTCAGCAGTCGGACCTTTCAAGGCCTGGCCAATTGCGTCCACCAGAGGTTTCATCACGGCCTGAGCAACAAGGAAATGGTTGGAGAACTGGCGAAGTCTGGTGATGACAAGAAGGATGCAATCTTTCTGCTTGTGGGGAGACTCGGAAAGCGCTGAAATATGTCAGTATGGACTCGAACCCGTACGCGTGGATCTTCGACTTGCCGTTGTATTCTTCAATGCCCATGTTGAGAATTTCGTCATAGATGACCTTTTCAACGTTGGAAAACTCAGCTACCTTCTCTGACTCCTTGATGTGGCGCAGTGGAATGATCGGACGGCCGAAGTATGTGCTTTCATACGTCTTGCGGTGGAGTAATGGCTTCAATACATCAACGAGACGCTGTGTAGCTGCCTCGCCCCCCTGCTTGTAATATACCCAGTCAGTGTGTGTTGATAGACGTATGATAGTAGAATATGTAAACAGGGAAGACCTAATGAAGCCAATTCCCAACGATAGAGGAACCCTGTCGATACGTACCTTGCAGAAACTATGATAGAAGTTCCTGTAGAACTCGCAATTCGGCACACCAAGAAAATTGAAATATGCGTAGAAGTCCTCTTTCCGACTAGAGAAGTCAGCAATAGATCCAAGGATCAAATTAAGGAGCTTACTTGAAAATCGGCGTGCCGGTTACGATCCATTTGCGATCTCCAGTGAGAGTTCGGACAGCCAACGAAAGCTGTGTATCGGTGTTTCGAATCTCATGACCCTCTGTCAAAGGTATTTAGCATGTAAAAATTGACATAAGCAGAGCGACTGATAAGTTTTACCGTCGACAACGATTCGGTGCCATTTGACTCTGTGCAGCAGTCCCACTTGCCCCTCGAACGATGTCGTCCACCATTGCGCCTTTTCTTCATCACTCTGGAGCACTCCGGGCAAGCCCAACGATGGATATGACAGGCGCACATCCTCGTGCGTGGCCAGCCTGTCGAGTATATAAATTAGAGCGTCCAGGGCAGCTTTGATATTACCACTCACACAATACCGAACTGTTTCAGGCCGTTAATGTTGCTCGTGTAAGTCCTCTCTGTGTCAGACGTCCAAGCACAGACGGCCCCAAACACATTCACGTTGAAACCATCAGAAATTTGGCGATGCCTTGTTAAGTAAGCCAATGCTGCGATCCTTTAGATGTTCCATTGCCCACTTACCAATGAGGACGGGCGCTCGATGGGACAATGATCAGAGTAGGGGCCATTCGCCCATCCGGAACCTTGTACCTTCCATCGAGGATGCATGAAAGGGTGGTGAACGACTTTCCGAGACCCATAACATCGCATAACATCCCACCACGTGGGATGGTGCCGGCCTTCTCTCGCTTGCACTGTGATTATCAAATTTCTGCTCCCAAGGTTTCACGCTTTCGAAGTTGGTACTCACCATCCATCCTGCTCCATCGAGCTATTGAGAAGTTAACAGCCATAATTTTCCAAGATGGGCTTAGCCTCACCTGGTGATGCAAAATATTCTGCTTCATGCCCACCATTTTCCATCCTCTGACTCCGTCCATGTGCGGCTTATTTTGAAATAGCTTGGAAGCTGCAAGCAAAGACCTCCAGTCCCTCGAGATCTCACGCTTGTCAGTTGTTGGATCCTCGTCCATAATAATTTTAGCGATCTCTTTGAGGGCTTTCAACTTGTCCGTCTGCAAAGAGGTTGGGATTGCAGGTTTTGCTGCGTTCTTTTGGGCACCTGTAACAACTGATACCCTTGCAAGCAAATTTTCAATCGCTTGCGTCGGCTCTTCGTGGGTAGCCTTACGAGGCTTGCCTTTGGGAGGTGATTCCGGGCTATTACCGTCGCTGGTGTCGGACTGTGGATAAAGCTCGTTCGTGAGCGCGGTGTGCCCGACCAATTTGCGCAGTCCCCGTTCCATAGATCGAGTCATGTCTTCTTTAGAGACTTCGATATCCTTTTCTGGTTCTGGGAGGCTCTTTATACCTCGTCGGGAAGATCGCGGCTTGGCATTATGAGTTGCCTGTTCGACGGAAGTTGGAACTTGTGATGCGTCCTTTTCCAAAACAGTCTCATTTTTGGGGATTGTAACAGAAACCATCCTTCCAGGCATGGGGGCCTTGAGACTCCGGGGTCGCTCGTTATCGCTAAATCTAGTATTAGGGTGCATTGTCATCATCAAAAAGCTGTGCATTTGAGCAACTGACCTTTGGTAGATTTTCTCGCCAGAGGAACCGTCAGAATCGTCATCATTAGATGCTCTGGATCCATATATATCCTCCCATTCAGGATCAGAGCCATTGCCGTGATCATTGGAATCCAGGTCACGAGCCGCACCCTCATCGTCTGGATCATCCTCCAAGAATTCATGCTGAGGGCAGAAAATATCCGAATCGTGGCCCTGAGAGGGCAACTGAACAGTCAAAGCCGGTAACTCAGTTTTCACTTTCGCAGTGGATGGCTCGATTTCCACTGCAATTTTTCGATCCTCGTTTTGAGAATCCGCGAAGACAGGTAGCTGACACTTGGGCCCTTCAAAAGAATTGCTCAAGTCTTCATTGTTTTCGGTCTCCAGGACCTTGACGACGATTTTGTCTTCCATCGTGGTGACTAGTAGCAATTGATGTAAGTAAAAGAACAGAGAGAGAGAGAAAGATTGATGAGAGGGCAGAGGGGCAAAACGATGTTTAGTTGGGAGTAGCGGGGCATGAAATAAAAAAGAAATCTGTGTAGTGGGATATGATCGAAAAGAGGAATAGTTCAAAGTGAAGATGAATCAGGTAGGGAATTGTTGCAAGGTAACGGAAGATATGAGCCAAAAATAAGTATAAATGGAACTCACTGGAGCGAGGAGACAATGTAGTCCCCGATGGGGCAAGGTTGAGGTTGTGAGGAGGGAGGGAAAAAGTGACGAAGTGAAGATGGCAGGAGGGATGTGTAGAGGAAGATTCGTGAACAGGTGCCGTGGAAGCTGTCTAGGGCCAGGTCCTAACCAACTTTGTAGGTTTTTTTGGTAAAGGTGACGGATATATGAAAAATGACGGAGATGACAAAACGGGGTTGGGCAAGAGAGCGTAATGATGTGAGTGCGGAATATCAATAGAGCTTTCCGGAGTGGGAAGGCGAGGGAGTGCCAGATAGGATAGAGTCGATAGGGTTAGAGAAAACAGGAGAGAGTTGAACTCGGGAGCTATGTCGGCAAAGTGAAAAGAGAAAGTTGGAGAATGGAACCTGGTATGGGACAAGGTGTGGGTAGGAATCACGATTAGAAGGTGATGATGAACGGTGGTGTAAGGTGGAAGGGAATATAGAAAGAGAAGCAGAGGTGCGTGGAACAGGATTCGAGGACAGTCGTCTCAGGAGCCACTGGCAGGCAGATCCTCTTAGACCGCTGTAGACAGATCAATGGTAGAGGCGGTAGATAAGATGGGCAAAGCGACAACAAAAAGTTTGAAGACCAAGGGTAAGAGGAGCGAGATGGTGGGTAGCAAGGGGAGGTGAAGCAGGTTTCGTAAGACAAGGGGAAAAAGCAGATAAGTGCGATCAGAGGGCCATGATGGAGGTGATGTTTAAACGAAAGGATTGAAGGTCCTGGTAGTCAGTCCTTAGGACATTGAAGTGCGTACGTGTTGAAAGTAAAAAAAGTCAAGTTCCGAGTATGGAAAAGCCCGAATGAAGTCAATTCTGCCAAATAAATCGTCCGTAAAAATACACGTGTGTAAGGTACATTCAATTCCGATATCCCATACGAACGCCCCAGATAGAATGTGCCTCGGGTATCATTGTGATGCAGTTGCCAAAATATGCGGCGATGTTTCGCTGACATGAAAATAAATAACAAACATGGAAGGTTGAACCATCAGGTCATGATGCAGGAATAGCATACGGCGACCCAAGTGTGTCGCCGGAATCCTGGGTGTTGATATCAACTGCGTTGGATATCTTAAGTGACGGGACAGGAGCCTTCATATCCTCAATAGGCAGTGAGTTGCGGTCTGGAGTCGAAACACTGGTTGCGCGAGAAGTGCTGGACTCAGGATCCGTGGGGCTAGAAGTAGTCGACATGTCCTCGGACATGGTATAATTGGAAACTGACTCGACGTGAGCGCACTGCGAAGATCCCGACTTCATGGGCTCCTCGGGTTGAGCCGATAGTTGGATGTCGATGGCTTCGTAGAAGAGCATAAAAGCTCCACCCTGTGACATGACATTGCCTTCACTAACCATCTGCACGTCGTCGTCGCTGAGACGATACCACCGCTCGGGTTTTTCCTTGTCCCCCTCGGCCTGCAGAACCTCGTCAGGGACAGGAGCAGGAAACTCTGCAGTAGGGTATTTGCGATAGCAGATATAATGCCCATTTTCATGTCGACCGTAGTGTGTGATAATGGCTCGCAGTTCGTACTGCCTGCAGGGAAGACGGACAGACTCGCCTGGGCGAGGTAGCATTGTCTCGGAAGGGTTGGTCACCCATCGCTCGATCGCGTCCCCGGACTTCTCGGCAATCCGAGTCCCGAGGCACCAGTCATTCAGATCCAGAATCTTGGGGAATTTGACTGCGGCCTGGTTCTTTTTCAACATGCCTGTCATCTCATCGAAGAGACTGCGGTTGATGTGAACTGCGAGACACTGGGGAGCCCGCGCAATAACGGCCTGTCGTGATTTGGTGGTAGTGACTCGGTTTTTGGAAGGAATGTGGCATTTATCGGCCAAAGTCTTTTCTGCAAAATCATCCTCCTCCAAGGCCGCCTTCACGGCCGCAAGCCTGGCCTCCGCAGAAGTTCGAACAGCCTCTGACAAGCCTGGCGATTGTGACCGATCGATTAGATCTTCGTCTTCCGAGAGATCGCCAAGAAGGCTTTTCAGTTGTTCGTGTGCCCTCAGTAATGTGCACTTGGCACACTCCACACCCTCGATGGGCTCCAAGGTCATATATTGATCCAGACACTCGCGCACGTCATATTCAAACTTGCCTCCAAGGGGCACGGTAAGGCAGTTAAACGGGATAAGCGACAACCCTTCTGTCCACCCACACCTCATGCACCCCACTCGCTGGGCGAGCAAGCCCTCAAGAGGGTTGCGCAATGACGATTTCTCGATGACGGGGGTCTCTATGTTTTCATCCGCTGGCGCTGCATTCTGGACAATATCTCGGAGAATATTCTCCTCTGGGCCGGTCATTTTGAGCCCCACGTTTTTTGTCTCTCCCCTGGAAGCTTGTTGGATTTCGATGTCGATTTGATCCACCACTTTCGAGAAGTACTCCTGCGCATCCTGTTGCTGCCAGCTGCTCATAGATTTGAGGTCCGCGGGAATCCAGTGCTTGCCTCCGTAGTTTGATGCACTGTTGAGCAGGTCGATAATACCCTTCAGCGCCTGGTGTGTCGAGAACGAGCCCTTTTCCCCCAGCGCATCAACATTTTGACCTAGAAAGGCGGAAAGGGACTTTAGCGAGGCGAGTCCCTGAATGATGCTGTTCTGATAGCAAGAGTTGTCCCAGTTTCCCAACCCGGAAGGTACGGCATCCTTGTTATTGCCGAGGAGGGCGCTCCCAAGACCTGAAAGGGATCGTGATCGAGGAAAGAACGGGAAGGAGTTGTTGTCGAGCCCGAAGATACGCTGCATCGCCTCATGTTTCAGGTGAAAGGTCATCTGTGAAGGGCTCGGGGCGGAGGGGTCCGAGTACGACATGCGGGAATCTAACGCGACGACGAGTCGAGAGGGTGTGAGGTAGACGAGGATGTTCCAGAGGAGACGGATCAGCGAAACCGGGGCGAAACCAAAGTGATCCAGAAACAAATAGATAGAGAAAACGGCGACGAGGGCACAGGCGAATGTTTGATTGTTTAACAGGCCCGTGAGAGTAGTTTCATCGTGGGTGCTTCGGCTTGCGTAATGGATGGGGCCGTTGGAGAAGATGTCAGGTCCCTCTCTGCGAGCATTCATGGCGTAAGGAGGGAAATAAGAGAGCCGCAGCAGCAGGAAGACCTGTAAAGCATGGGCCGTGTGGTATGATCACGGATCACAGTGGGTGGAAGAAGGTGGAGAAGGAGACTTTGTATACAATCTTTCAGTTGATCTGGAGCTGCGCTGTAGGTCCATCGCGCCCACCGCAAACTTTTTTTATCGATAGCAGTGTCTCCACACAAAGTTTCACTCTCTTTCAGAACAAATCCCACCATGGCGAAGAACAAGCGTGAGTCTCAAATTCCTGTTTCTACATGTATTTACTGACAATTCACCAGCTAAGACGGATAACTCCCGTGCAGCACGCCGGGCAGCGTCCCCCAGCTTGGACGTGGACAAGTCCTTGACCTCTTTGCCCCGAGCTGAATCTCCAAACGTTAAACGTCCCTCCGTCTTGTCCGATCGCAGGAATTCTGGTATCCAGAAGAAGCAGAAGCAGAAGAAGTTGACAAGGGCACAGCGTTTGAGACAGCAGAAGGGCATGGATAGAGCTGAGGCGGTCTTGGACCAGATGGAAATCAAAAAGGTCAGAAGTGCGAGCCGACAAAAGACTGTCAAAGATCGGAGGGTATGTATTTTTATTTGCTATGAGCCGCAGGTCTACTTGTGGTATTACGTGCTAACCAAAATGTTTCACATTAGGGCGAATGGGAAGAACTCAACCGGAAATCGACCGCATTTGCAGCTCTCCAACAAGACGATGCGGGAGACGATGACGATGACGATGACGATGCCATGGCCGAAAATCCCGAGAAACCCAAGACCAAACCAAATCCTTTCGCATCTGCAAATGTGGCGGAGACCCCGGCTGCGAGCGACCCTGCGCTGCTTGACGAAGATGATGAGATCACCTGAGGACATGGCCTCTCGATATGAGTGATGACTGGAAACTATTTTCTCGGCCTGAGTTGGTTGATCATGCGCTCGATTTCGGTGATTGCGGGACCGGACGCTTTGCTTCGGAGGAGTTCAAGGGTGTTCACGTCTTTGGCCTTTTGCGCCTCTTCGCCCGCCTTGACGATCATTCCACATTTCACCCACATTTCAATTCGGTCCGCGACGGGCAGGTTTGTGCATTTCGGGACGAATATGGAGGCAAGCTTTGTGTTTCCGGCGCCCAGGACCTCGTTATAGAAAGCCTTCGTTTGTATGTCAGCATATGTGCAAACAAATAAGATTAGAAATCTTACCTCCCATCCGATTGGGGACTTCTTATTCTTGCCAAGTTCTTCCAGCTCACCCCAATCGCGTTTAGCCACCAAGGCTCTGAGTCTCAGCCACCAGTAGGTCTTTTCAGGCATCTTGAATTCAGCTTGCATCTTGTGCGCTCGTTTCCCGTAGCCTGCTCGAATAAGTCTGTATATCGTCTCGTTCAGACTGAGGCCGAGGAATTCGTTGTGGTCGGCAAGATCTTTGTCGAGTGTCTCCTGGGCTTTGAGCAGTTGGGAAGCCTCGGACACCAACTTCTGGTGTAACATAACCGTCGGGTCTTTGGAGTCTGACAGCAGGCGGGCGGCGAGGTGGAGCTTCTCTGTCTTGCGCTGCAGGTCCGTTTCTTTTGTAGCTTCCGACAGCAAGACATTCGAGCCCTCAATAGGCCGATCGTCTTGGTAGTAAAGATCCTTCAGTAGTTCCGTATCTTGGCCTCGTGCATCTGTCTCGACTAAAGCGGATGCCATAGGACGAGTGTTTATCATGCGGAAGAAGCTAGCCAGAGGAAGCTTGCCCTTTAGGTGGAGGAGCACATAGTTCACAAGATCGTCGTCACCACTTTCAATTGCCTTGTCAAGAGCCATTTCGTCCTCTTCCATGTTCAGTAATAGGGGCACTTGTTTCCCAGCTCGTGGTTCATGGTTCAACAGCTGGGTAGCCAAGTACGATCGTCCCTCATCATAAGCTGTCTGGGCAATAATTTCGAAGGAGATGCCTGGCTTCCCCTCCAGCCTTTGTACAATCAGCTTGCACACGGCTTCATCGTCTACCGTGGAAACCCGGACTTTCTGACTGGCCCAACGAACATAGATTCGGTCCGCAGGAATCTGGAGATACTCGGATACCCGGATCGCAAGAAGATATTCATGACGGCTGATAAGACGTTCGATGAGTCCCTCTGGTGTCAGGCGGAGATATTGCTCATATGAAATAGGTAAGCCGACTTGATAATCTCTGGCTGCTGTGAGGACTCGGAGCTTTTCAGTCATTTCCACAAATTCATCACTGTTGTAGAGTTCAAGCACTGATTTCCCAAAGGACGCGGCTTTCAGTAGCCGCTTCTGCCAGTAGACATCGAACTCATAGCCAGCTGCTTTAATACACGCATCTACTGCGGCGGGGAGGCTCGAGCGAATCCGCTGAATGTTCTCGTCGGCTTTTGGTGACTTCTTCTCTAGCTGGTCCACGGAATCGAGAAGCACCGAGGCAGGGGATGAAGAGCCCACTCGGAATATTTCTTGCGTCACGTCTGGATTGGATTAGCGCCTGCCCAATCCATCGCTTCGTTGCGCAACATACCGGTGACCTTGTGCAAGAACTCGCACGTATCGTTAGTGACGAGACGGACCCCGTCTAACTCGGAAATAACGTGCACACGGCCATCATAATAATACTTTGATGCCGAACCGCTGGGTCCGACGAGATGAATCTCATCTTCCCAAGCCAGAATGACTGCGTCGTCACCGCACCAGTTCACCGAGCTGGGAGCCACACGAGACTTTGAGTCGTACTCGCTGAGTTTACTCTGAAAGTCAATGCTGACAACCCATAACTTCCCCTCCCCAGTAAACAGTGCGACGAAGCGCCCAGTCGGTGACACGCTAACGTGCTTGAATGGACCATCTTGTAAGATCTTATCCTCCGCTTCCGTGGCGTCGACCAAAAAGACCGTCTTATCAACGGCCAGTAGAACCTCCACTGACCGCGAAAGCGTGTGCGCAGGTGGAATCAAGGACCACGATGACACCTCGCCTTCTGGGCAAGGTGCGAGGAGTCTGGGTCGAGGCTCGTCATACTTGGAAACAGCAATCAGCTGATTGTTAGAGAGCAATGCCACAAGGCCGGAAGTCCAGAATTGGCAGGCTCTCACGCCGTATTCTTCGGCGCCCTGCATGTTGTCAACTCGGAATGCCTCAGCCAGCCCATAAAGATAGAGATAAAACTCACGTTTCCAAGAGAGAATGAAGTAAACTCGCCGTCTAGGCCGAAATAGCGGCGGACGGTGCCGTCCTCGGAAACAACCAGGAGCTCTTCTTTGTCGGACCAGCCGAGCCCGCGGATAGTAGCTTGCTCCCACTGTAATTAGATTAGCATACCTGAATACCATCAAATCAAAGCAAAATTGGCACACATTGATGGTATTAATGTGCTTCCCCGAGCAAGAATAGATCTCAATGCTAGACCGGGAGCTTTGCGAATCCCGCAACCTGAACGGTTTGCTCTCATCACGATAGAGAGCTGCGGAACACTTCCGTTTAGCTTAGACTCAATACTCGGATCAAATTGAAACATACCGATAGCACCTCCGTAGGGCGCGCCCGCAACGATGTAGTTCTCAAGCTCCACGTCCTCACCGAAGATGGCGTCATACACGGGGATTTTGCGATAGAAACTGTCGCCGACCTTTTCCCAGTTGGCAAGAGGGTTTGAGGGAGCCATTAATGGGCAGTTTTTTGTCACGGACGATGGCTCTGAAGAGACCATCAACCCATGCCCCGTGTTGTGGTTGATGATGGGCGGCGGTGCAGTTCCGCGGCCTGCTATGGGATGCACGCTAGTCCTAATTTAGCACAGTTCGTGCCTCCATCGACAGGCATCAAGGCATCAATCATCCATCTCGATTGTCCGGCACCCCCCTCCATCCAACCTTACCTCGGCCTTGTCTCACCCCAGGAAATCAATGACATATGGCGTACCAGAATGGATGATTTCAGCCTGGAGGATACCGTGCGACAGCTCTCTGACCTCGAAGTGGCCCTGTTCCTGTGTCTTGTCGCGCGTGAACACTGTTTGATCGAAACCACGAGAGACGGCATCCACGATCTTGCCAAAGAGCTAGCCTTGGTATGGAAAAAGCTTCAAGGCTTTCGAATGATGGCTCCAACTTACATGATGGATAGGTCTGCTCAAATGCCTTTGACTTGTCTTATTCCATTCTGGATTGTTGTGAGACAACATCCATTGAGGACATTCACAATGAGATCCTCACGGCAGATGCTCGGAAACATCAAGACCGTCCATCATATTTCCGGTTGAAGACCGCCTCAGTATGTATTTGAAAGAAAATCCTACTTACACAAATCGGAACTGATCAAAGAAGTCCAGTAATCTCTCATCGCCTATGACTCCTCGAGATCGCAGCAGGTCACCGATCCCGAGCTCATTGCCTGATGATACCAATGTGGTCAACATTGTCATCGCCCAAAATTTCAACCTGGTTGACGAGGACGTCCAAGTCCAGACTTTACAGGTAAGCATCCTATTCCGATATTTGGTTATCAGAACGCTAATAGTCACTTCAGTTAATGCGAACTAAGAAGTTGGTAACTGAAATAGGCATCCTGAATGCTCCTACAGACTTTCTTTTCATTCCTCTCGTGGTGCGAGAGACTGATCAGCTTCGACCACGACTAAAGACACATTTGGTCAGTACCCTCGTGGCTTCCACCCCTCCTGGGGCCTTTTCTAACTTAATCGGTACAGAGTGAACATCTATTGATCTCACATTACCACGACCCCGCCGATGGCTACGTATATCTCGAGGAGAATGACTGGCTATCGGACGGTCAAATATCTGCGTCTTCTGTCATTCACTCACCAAAGACCTTTGAAAAGACAAGCGCCAAAGTCGATCGCCTGGTACGCATTTCCACTCTGACTTCAGTTGTATCCGGTTAACTCATTATTTTGTGCAGGCAATAGATAAGCTTCGAGAAGCGAGCGACTCTGTAACAAGCAGTGCGGAGGTGGTTCGGTATATCCAAGATATCGTTGTTTTCCTACGGCTCAGTCGTGCAGTTGCTGGCGGGGTATCTGCTAAGGCGAACAACGACTTCGCTCGATTTGCCCAGTAAGCCAGGATTAGCCGTTTCCCATTTCACAAAATTCTCAGGTTGTTGACCGTTGCCAGGTTTCTTGCGCCCCTGCATGGGATTGACTATCTCACGCCATCGATTGTAGCTTTGGCTGCGAGGAAAGTGTTTCGCCACCGCATTGTCGTTGCGACTCCTGATGATGATCGAAGCCTGCAATACGGAAGTGGACTAGAAGCTGTCTCTTCTGTTCTGGTCGATGTTACGCCCGACTCAATATTGGATGGCGTCCTGGCATTGGAGCCTCCAATATAAGGACAGAAACTATTTAAGCGCTAGCAGGTCTCGAGTTTTCCAAAACAATTAGAATATCCTCAATGAATTCAATGTCAATTGCCTCTTAAAGGCAAGTGCCTATTTTCCATAGGCACTCCTGATAATATCCATGAGGCTATCTTTAAAACGCTATCCATACAGAAGAGCAAGCAGGCCAAGTCGGCAAAACCAGTTCTCAATTCGAGGTTCTCGGTCTCGTTCTGAGCTTGAGGAACAGATCAGGAGGGGTGTACTTTTTCTCCTGACACCGATCTCCATGGATCTGCCCTTCACGGAAACCATCCATTGCCTTGGAGTGATTGCGCCACTCGGTCAAAACGGTATCGATCTCCATCTTAGAATCGCCGACAAGAGCATCCATTTTGATATCATTCCGGTCGTAGCCAAATGGATCTTCCAGTTGGGAGCCAATGCCTTCAATACCGTAGAGGGTAAAGATAACCAGGCTGACGATGGGAATAGCCCACCAGCCCATCTCGTCGACCATAGCGAATGGAAGAACGCATCCAAACAAGGCGAGAACCTGCTTCTGGTGAATTCTAGAGTTCGTTATTAGCATCACATCCTTGAAATTCAAAAATTGAGATATTGGAACTCACAGATGAGCTACTGGCATGGGTGTCAACTTGATAGTCTCCATCCTGCCATACGCATCCAGAAGAGCATTGAGCTGCGCCTGCATCTGGCTTGCACCAGGCGCATTAAACCAGCCGCGATCCTCGCCACGTTTGATGAACCCGTCCACGAAGAAAGTTAACTGATACGGCAGACCAAGTCCCTCGTCCTCGTGTCCCTCCAATCCGGCTGGGAGTAGGCCCGCATAGTCGGGATTATAAGCCGCAGAGCCACGCTCGCCCAAGTCATTTCCAAACACGCTACCCAATTCCCAGGCGGCACCCCATTCAGCGCGCAAGTGATTCTTGACAGCGTACGGAATGGCCATCATGATCCGAATAGTGCGCTCGATATCTTCACGCTCGGCTGGCGTAGGCGGGCCGCGCGTCGAGCTGTAGCTGTTGGTAAGGATTGTGCGTGTTAAGTTGCGAACACAAGTGTTCATTGAGCTCATGCCATTGCGCCCATCCCAGAACCGATTGTAGGAGGTCTGGTTCCTGAAGACGAGGATCAAGCCTACGACGATGGATAGTGATGGGATCTGGTTGGAGGTAATTAGGTAGGCCCTTGAAAAGGATTTGGGAAAGACCTACGATGCTAGAGGGTATTCCGACGGTATCAAAGGCATAAGTGTCGAGGTATACGACAAAGGCCGTAAACACGGCATGCAGAAACACGGGTAGCAATATCTCCACGTGGATTGCTCCCTTGATGAAGCGAAATACCAGTGGCCATCTACAAACCGTGTCAGACACCTTGATTGTACTCCAGCTGTAGTAAGAGCTCACCTTCTTGGCTTTCGACGTGATGACAGCAGGTGAGGGTGTGTGGTTCGTCGCTGGTGGTGATTCCCGACCAAAGAGGTGTTTTGGCGACTCAGAGTCGGGGTCGGCGGCTCGCTGAAGTTCAGCGGCATCGCGTGGGTTGGCAATAACGATCCCAGTAGATCGACGCCGGGGTACAGTAAACACCGCTGTGTCAAGGTTACGACGTAACGGTTTACCCAACGGATGATCAACCTGGAAAGTCGCGGGGAAGCAACTTTGACAGGTTTCTCAAGATTGGTCCGTGTGATGGGCGGCGGACGCTATGGTCACTCTTCCTGCACGGTGACATCGCCAATAAGTTGCTGTACTCTATATCGTCTACACTCCACCCGACACCGAGCGGATGTTGCCTAAGGTTGATCATCCACACCGCCCTTAGGAGACATCGGGACGCGTCGTGATTGTTTATCATTTTCACGAACAACATCTTTCCCATACCACCATGCCTAGAGGTAACAATCCCACCAATGGACGCGTTTTCAAACCCGCTCGTCAGCCAACGGCCTTGACGCATCCCCGAGCATTCGCCGCGTTGGAACACAAGATGAACGCCCCTGGTGATCATAATCAACCGCACCAACTGAACTGCCATCCGGCCCCCCCAGCGCGTGTGGCTGGTTCCAAGACACTTGATGATGCACAAGAGGGACTCTTGATTCAGTGGATTCGGCAGGTAAAAGAGCTATTTTCTCTACCTACGGCATCTCAAATCACAACAAGCGCGAGCCAAATTCTGAATCGTGACGGGAACGACACCAAGATCAGCCAGACTTGGGTTAATCACTTCATCAAACGCCTACCAGATGACTTGAAACCGTTTAAATCGCGTTCTTCCAAGAAGAGACGTCTCGAACCATCAGATTTGGCGATTTTGCAGCATTGGTTTGACCGTTTGGAGGCTTTGATTGCCGGGATTTCTCCATCAAACATCTATAATTTCGACGAAACTGTTTTCCAAATCGGCCGGGGAAACAAGCCGGTCATGGTCCTTGCCAGCAACACTGAGCCAGTGCCTTGTATCCGCTCGAATAGAACCTATTGTGAATGGACAACCACGATGGAATGCATCGCCGCGGACGGGTGGGTAGCAGCTCCATATGTCGTTATTCAAAGCGACCGTATTCTCGACGAGTGGTCGGCGGCTAGTGGACTTCCCAGCGGGACTACGTTCAATCATACTCCGAACGGTCGAATCACTGAGAAGGCTGCATGGGAATGGATCCAATTTTTCCATCACCAAACCAAAGATCGCGCCGCAGATGGTCAACCTCGGCTCGTACTCTTTAGAGGTCAACCTCAAAATCTGACCTTCAATTTCCTCCAATTTCGCGAGAAACACCTGATCATCCCATTCTGTTTTCCGCCGAACATAGGACATCTGATGCAACCCTTCGACGTCAAACCTTTCCAAAGTTACAAGGACTATTGGAAGCGAAAATATTACCGGACCCCGCCTGACGACGCCGATGACGAGAAAACAGACTTCATCGCCGAATTCGCTCCCGTCCGTGAGGAAACATTGAAGCCTCAGGTTATCACGGATGCATTTGCCGACAACGGTATATTCCCATTTAATAGGTACAAGAAGATTCAACCGCTACAAGCTGGCCCATCCAACATGCCGGCAGATTGGTCGCACGGTGAGTGGTAAGTGACCAGACTCCAAACGATGGAGAAGTCGACACCTCTCATATTGAGGAAACACAGATTTGTTAGGGAACATTGAAATCTCACTAGGCTAAGAAGCCTACACGTGTAGCTACGTGAACCATCTTAGATCAGATTCACAATATATCGATTCGACAGAACTCCAAGGATGCCAGATATACGATCTCCTGGGCAGGACTATGCATCTTGCTTTCACCACATTTTCTCCCAAGCTCGGCGCCTTCAGTACATTTGCATCAGCTCAGCCTTCCTCCTCTCCTCCCATCCACCATCTTCCCAGAATTTGCATTCCTCGTCAACTTCAGCCTTTCCAGAATACAAGTCCGCTTCGGTCGAAATGACGAATTTCGTACGATGATACACCTTCCAAAACACGAACATAACTGCCCAGAAAGCCAGTCCGAAATACGAGGTCACGAATCCCTGCACATCAAAAGGCTTGAAGACCGAGAAGTAGAAGTATACCCAGTCCCTACGTAAACAGGTGTTAGCCTCGCCTCCGCTCAAGAAAAGGGCGCGTCGGAAACGGAAAACTTACATGGCAAACCCGAAAGCAGGGTCAATGAATTGCGCTGCCGGCTCGAAGATCGATCGTCGGACAGAAGGGACAGGGGGGCACTTGAGGAGTTCCATCACAAGTGCTTTGTTATCCCAGATCGCTTCGATTGAAAGTTGCATTTCAGCTTGGAACCCAAGGCGAGTAAACCAGGGAACGGGAAACAGCCAAAGCGTAGAGATATGGATAGCACGATTCGGCAGTTGGAGACGAAAAGCATGTTGCAGCTTGGCAGCGACAACCATCCGGGGAAGACTATCAGATCACAGGTCAATGCACCTAGCCTGCACTTGCGGCTACGAATCATGTTATGCCATGTTAATCAAGTGTTTTACTACTACCCTGTATTTGTTTTGGTCTGTTTCTAGTCTTTATGGTCACTACTATCATTATGGCGCAGAGCAGCCACCCTCTCTAGAAGGAATATGAGCACCACTTAATCTATAACCTTGATTTGAGTTCCAAGCTTGTCATATTCCTAGATATGGTAAAATTTTAGAAATTCGGGATCTACATACACCTTCCTCCTCCCTTTCATCATCCTGAACTAAAGCCCGTGATGATAAGCGGGTATATTAAACGATGGGAGGGTGGAGTGTCAACAAGGAAACGCCGGTTTTGCCATGAGCACCTAGAAAATCAAATTGGACATATGAACGCTATGGAGAAATGCAGCGGATGTGAGCTCAGATGGGCTTCAATCATGGAGGAAGATTGCAGCCGGAAACGAGAAATATGAAAATGGTAAGATGTAAGATGCAAAATGTGGTGAGGCTCGCTCAATGGAGCCATGACAGTCAATTCACGCAATGTTTCTGTAGATGGTCCCAATATCATCTGTAGGCGTATATACTCCACGATGACAGATTATGGCATTCCCGCTCGGCCGTCAAAGGCCAGGGGACCCGAGTCATTTCGCGGAGTTAGCGGGTTATCATCCGACGTCTCCGAGCGAACAGGCGTGTCGGCCCGGAGGTGGGCATGTCGACTAGTAGGGACATTAAGAGGTAGAGTCGATTGCCAACCTGGAATGTTCGCGGTGGCACTGCGAGAAAGGTCGTCGTTGCTCGCATTTGGAGCGGGGGAATCGGAGCCTCCAGTATCCTCCGTGTCCGCATCGGGGGCCTGTTCATCCTGCAGATGCAGATTCTCAACATCGGTGACCAGATCCGGTTCTTCAGGATGGGGTTCTAATTGATTCTGTGTCTCTTGGTCTCCATTTTGTTGTACACTTGCGAGTGATTGCGTCTCCGAGCGCGTTGCGGCCTCGTTGTCTTCCCCTGCATGCGCAGGCTCTTCTTGGACGCTTCCCTCTTCGTGATCATTCGAGTCATCGACTTCAGCACTCAAATCAGTGAACGCCCGGCAGTTAGGACACTGGAACATGGGGTAATCTGGCGAGTGCAACAAGCGACTGATGCATTTGTAGTGCCAGACATGGGCACAAGCTGCCATGAACAGACACTGGTAGGGCCGCTGCGACACAGTTAGCGACGTGAAACAGCGAGTATGAAAAGGAACGACGAACCAAGACGGAACCAAGACAGATAGAACATTCGCGACAGCCAGAATAATCGGCGGTTTCCCCTTTGCCCAGGTTTTTGATCAGGCTTTCGGTGTTTTTACTATGATGACGTTAGCCAAGGCATCAAACACGATGTGTGAGACTGCATACTTAAACTCGTTTTGCTGCTTTTGCCAGGCCCGATTGCACTCGATACGAATTCGCACACATCGGAAGATCATCTCCTCTCCTCCCCGGAAATCAATGCCTAGTTGTACAATATCGCCATCCTTGATGGAATACAGGCGAGACACCATGTTCGGCTGGCTCAAGCGCATGTGGTTCAGGAACGTGCCCGACGAGCTGCCCACATCCTTTATGTGCCACTGACCATTGATGTACATGAACTCGCAGTGCTTTCGACTCACCACCTTTGACTTGAAGCCCACGGGGGAATCAGAGGGTTCGGAGGGATTGGGGTTGGGAATCCCATCGCGCTCCGAGTATCGACCGACCCGAATGACGCAGCTTTCGGAGGGAAGTGTGCGCGAAATGGGAATGAATGGCAACGAAGGTCGAGAACTCTGGTAAGAGTCCTGATAGGGGAAAAACCTAATGGTCGCCTTCTGTGGAGGTTTTGATGGTGAGGACTGGTTCTCCGCCGGGGTCGTGTCCGTCAGTACTGGAGTGTCGCTCACCGCAGCAACCGGTTCGGGTGACGACGTGGGCGCATCTGGGATGGCGGTTTGACCCAAATTTCGCGGGGGGCGACCTTGCACAGCGGATGCACTCCTCAGCCGCGCCATGGCATGAGTTGTCAGGCTCGGCTCGTCGGGAGGTGTCGATCGCGATGATTCAGTAAACGAGATCTGGCTGTCGACGAGATCGTGGGAGCTGGAGGTGGGCGCAGAGGTGTAGCGAGACAGTGTCGGTTGATCAGTTTCGGGGCATGGAGGAGTGGAGTTCCCCACTTGCGTTGAAGAAGATGGAGAAACAGAGCCGGACGGTGTCGTTGGCGACAACCACGGCACTCGGCTACTCAAACTGGGGCGGGAGCGCTGACCACTGGGGGAGGAGTGGGAGAGATTTTGGGTGTAGGCTCGTAGCTGACTGAAGCGGCGAAGACGCCCCGGGCGAGGAGGGTCGGAAAGCGAGGCGGAGGCGGTGGCAGTTGAGGTCGACATGGGGCTCAGTTCTTCGTGCAGTCTGCACGCGCGACGGGCAAAGAAACAATCTTTCTACCCAGGACCAGTTGGCCTGGGATCTCGAATCTCAAAGGGAGGATCGCGGGCGGTGGGTAGATTCTAGGGCCTGGGATCCGGGTCTGCGATCTGGGGCTGCGATTTGGGTCTGGGATGTGGGATCTGCAGTCTGCAATCTGCGACTGGGCTAAAAGGCGAGGGCTTCACCAAGACATGATTGATGATTGAAGGAAACAAAGAGCGGGAGCCAAGGCCAAAACGGGAGGAGAGACAGAATACCGGAGAGCAGGAATCCAGAAAGGTATGATGTGACCGAGTTTAATGGAACAGAGAACCAGAGAACCAGAGAACCAGCCTTCCCTTGTCATTCCCATCTAAGATTCTACACCAGGCGGGCTTGTCGTGGGCTGAAATTAAGCGACCAACGAGATCCAGGCAATCCTCGCTAGGCCGAGGACTAGAGAAACTAGGTGAAGAGCGCGATAGTGACAACATCCGCATCAAATGGTTATGCGGGATCTTGCCTTGTCATCATTGCCTTTTGCGGGGAAATTAGCCTCCACTTGGAGCCATGCGTTGCCTGCGTAGGATTAGCCGACGCTCCATGTGATTTTGTATATGCAGTTCTTCACGCGGCCAGATCATCCCATTGATCAGCTGCACTGCTGCAACGTCCTAATCACAAGGCGTTGACCTCATTGGATTTCGGGCACGGACCCGACTGGAAGAATGTGAAAGCCCTGGAGTCTTGGGCGTGGCACATATACACAGTTTTTGCTATATTCCGATAGCTGCTGCCCGGGTAACTATAGTTGCATGGCGCTGATCGTGCATAGAAGTGTCAAGTGCAAATGCGGTGCCCAAGTGCATCCGGCGATCGGATTGGTGGCAGCTCTCGGCATGATGTGACGTGCAAGCTTCAGCCTCTAGCATCGTCGCAGTAGAGAAATAAAAGGTAGACTGGTAGAGTGGTCAAACCACATGTCTGTACTGTGATCGTGGCCAAGGCTATTTGGTTAATTAGTATTAATTTTCTGTTCATCTTTGAATCTGTTATCAGTGGAGGCAGAAAAGACCGGAGGGGGAAGGAGACTGGAGACTGGAGACTAACTAGTGAGCTCCTGCAACCTCTTTCTCTCTTCCACCTCCCCTCCTTCCTCGACCTCCCACCCCTGGAGTCGGTGTCAACTGAAGCTCCACCCTTTGACCTCCCTATCACGCGCCGCCTTTTTCTGTGTTCCCATCCCAGAACCTTGGACACGGTTATATGCAACGGTCTCCAGCCTCCACCTTTGGCCGCTTTCACCTCCCCGCGGAATTTGCCCTCCCCAACCCCCACCCTCTTCGTGTCTCGATTGCTGGTAGTGCTCTGATGCGGGTCTGTTGAGGAGGCATGAGTGGAATCGTGACCACCTGTCGGTCGTGCCTATCGGCCGTCGACCAATGGTGTCATATCTCGGACTGCTTGGGCGGCGGCCGGTCTCGAGATGGCATCTACGAAGCCACCTTGGCCGATAATGAACGGGAAGCTGTCTCAGACCTGCTCAGCTATCTTGAAAACGTACGTCTTAGTTTGAGATTTCAAACTCCCCCGGTCGGCCTATTCGGTCTCGTTACGCCACTCATTGCTAACCCCCCTGTCCAGCGCAACGAAACCGACTTTTTCGCCGGAGAGCCGCTACGAGCTCTGAGCACTCTCGTTTATTCCGATAACGTCGACCTACAACGCAGCGCGAGCTTGACATTCGCTGAAATCACAGAACGAGGTGCGTGCGACGCTATCAATGGAGGGAATGCAATCCCTGACGTCTTACCTACAGATGTGCGCGAAGTCGACCGAGACACCTTAGAGCCCATCCTCTTCCTGCTCCAGAGCTCTGATATCGAAGTCCAACGAGCCGCCAGCGCCGCGCTTGGCAATCTGGCTGTAAATGGTATGCACCGTGGAAGCTTCCATGGCCCGTCCCGACCGCTGACTCGATATAGCTGAAAACAAAGTTCTGATCGTCGCCCTCGGAGGGCTGGCCCCTCTGATCCGCCAGATGATGTCGCCGAATGTGGAAGTGCAATGTAATGCGGTCGGCTGTATAACCAATCTGGCCACGCACGAGGAGAACAAGGCCAAGATTGCTCGCTCGGGAGCGCTGGGTCCTCTGATCCGCCTGGCAAAGTCGAAGGATATGCGTGTGCAGCGTAATGCGACCGGTGCACTGCTCAACATGACACATTCTGGTGAGTAGCTTTGGGTCCGGAGGCAGTGGTAGGAATACAAGGCTAACTGGACAATCAGACGACAACCGACAGCAACTCGTTAACGCCGGTGCCATTCCCGTTCTCGTCCAACTCCTCTCGTCGCCCGATGTTGACGTCCAATATTACTGCACAACTGCTCTCAGCAACATCGCCGTCGACTCGACCAATCGCAAACGGCTCGCTCAAACAGAGGGTCGGCTGGTCCAGTCTTTGGTCCATCTCATGGATTCTTCCACACCCAAGGTCCAGTGCCAAGCGGCGCTCGCTCTGCGCAATCTTGCCTCCGACGAGAAATACCAGCTGGAGATTGTCCGAGCGAAGGGACTTTCTCCGTTGTTGCGACTGCTCCAGTCGTCCTATCTTCCTCTTATACTCTCCGCCGTTGCCTGTATTCGCAACATTTCTATTCATCCTCTCAACGAATCCCCGATCATCGAAGCCGGCTTCCTGAAGCCTCTTGTGGATCTGCTGGGTTCAACTGACAACGAAGAGATTCAATGCCATGCCATCTCCACGCTCCGCAACCTTGCGGCTAGCTCTGATCGTAACAAAGAACTCGTCCTACAGGCCGGCGCAGTTCAGAAGTGCAAGGATCTCGTTCTCCGGGTCCCACTGACCGTCCAATCCGAAATGACCGCTGCCATCGCTGTACTGGCTCTCAGCGATGATCTCAAATCTCATCTTCTCAATCTCGGCGTCTTCGACGTTTTGATACCGCTGACCAACTCGGAGAGTATCGAGGTGCAAGGGAACAGCGCGGCTGCCCTGGGCAACCTGTCTTCCAAAGGTACATACATTGATGCTTTCTCCACCTCCCCATACATCTAGACCCTGCTGAATCAACCACTAACATGGGTATAGTGGGAGACTACTCGATCTTTGTGCGCGACTGGGCAGACCCGAACGGCGGCATTCACGGTTATCTCCAGCGTTTCCTTGCCAGCGGAGATCCGACCTTCCAGCACATTGCCATCTGGACTCTTCTCCAACTGCTCGAGTCGGAAGACCAGAAGCTCATCGGCTACATCTCCAAGTCCGACGATATTGTACAGATGGTGAAATCAATCTCCGACAAGAACATCGAGTCCGATGAGGAGGATGCGGACGACGGCGAGGGTGAAGTCATCGCTCTTGCACGGCGATGCCTGGAGTTGCTGGGAGCTGGTCCCAAGCAGACCCTGGTCGAAACGTAAAGCCTCCTGATTTTTTGACGTGCGCGGCAACCCACTTTTCAGTCCTTTCGTACCTCTTTTGGCGACTCCGCTCTTGTTGATTCCCTCTTTTTCTTCCCTTGGGTGTTAGTATGGGCATTCAATCCACCGAATTCGGTTTTTTGGTCAGCAGGCATATGGAGTGGTCAGGGCCTTTCGCGTTTTCCCCGTTTCTTCCATGTCCACGCTATTTCTGGGCTGGTTCCGCTGTCTCTTCCATGTTTCTACGCATACACCGTGTATTCAAGCTAGATATGGGCCTTTCATAATTAATTCGTGCCATGGGAACTTTTCGTGAGCTCGTAGCACATACAGAGGGGCGGGGAAACCTACTTCCGGGCCGGCCATAGCTCTCCCCCGGCAGAAAAATCGATTATCTGTCAACCATCAACTTTTCCAATTCTTTGCCCTCGAGGGCTTTACACAATGGCAACCTCTCTTCCGCCTGTGGCCGTCCCTGGCCAACGCCTGGGCTCTGTAGCCACGTACTCTGCCGGACCTGGAACACACGTGCAGCAATCCAACATCTATGCCTCCATCGCTGGTCCCGTCATCGTCGATCCCGCTCAACCCAAGACCCAAACAAAGTCAACCCTGCGAGTCTCGCGGGTGATTCCTGGCGCGAATCAGATAGGCGCAGCTCCGTCGAAAACCTCAGCCTCTACCACGAAGTCAAGGCCCAGATACAACACCTTGCCCGCAGTGGACTCCATCGTCCTGGCCCGTGTCACCCGAGTTCAAAAGCGACAAGCCGCAGTCTCCATTCTCGTTGTGCTTGACGACGCCTCCGCAGCAAACCCAGATCCCTCGAAACTCGCTTCAGATAACGATAACGTCGCCTCCATCCTGACATCCGCCGCCAACCCGGAGAACCACAGCAACACTGACGAGCTACGCTTCCAGGCGCTGATCCGCAAGGAAGATGTACGTGCTGTCGAGAAGGACCGCGTTGTCATGGATGAGATGTTCCGCGTCGGCGATATCGTTCGCGGCTCGGTCATCTCCCTTGGTGACCAGAGTTTCTACTACATCACCACTGCCCGCAACGACCTGGGTGTGGTGATGGCTCGCAGCGATGCTGGAAACATGATGTTCCCCATCAGTTGGAAGGAGATGAGGGACCCTGTCACCGGTGCCGGTGAACAAAGAAAGGTTGCTCGCCCGTTTTGAGGGGCTTGTTGCCTTTTATTACCGAACTCTTGGTCTCCATTACAACATGGTCATTGAGTAATTTGATGCTATCGACAGCCTCTCATTTCAAAATGTCTGGGCTGTGACTGAACAGAGGAACCCCTTCGTTCCCCAGGCACACCAAGCATCCCCGCATTGCAGCATAGGACACAAAACACCGCCAAACTTGAACCTCCATCAAGTTGAAATAACTTGGCAAGGTTCCTCTCCTGGGAAAGATATGAGGCTTCTATGAGGGGCACGTCCATTCCAGACAACCAACCCTCCAGATCGGCCAGTGCTGCGTCCTACCTCCCTGCAACCGGCAACGCAAGTTAGCCAACTTCGCGCGTGGGAACTCAAACCAGTCCCCACCAAAATTATGTGATACCCACCGACTGATGAATGAAACAGGTCCAGGACCTACTTTCTCGTCTATTGTTCCATTCCCTTCGCGTATTTCACCATGCAACAGGCAATATCTAGTCTGCTTCGCCTGGACAATGCATCTCTGCATCTCGTAGTGTTACCAACCCAACCTCCTTAGTATACACGGTCGAGACCTATCAATGTCGGACTGTGTTTGTCAAGAGAGGAAGATGAATGGACGCAGCAGATTTCTCATCTCTGCGTACCCTCCTGACTCATATTTCTTGTCCGTTTAACCTATGACCAGAAGAAAAGTTATCTCAAGGGGGTTACAGCCAAGCAGCACTCATAAAATATTGAATACAATGAAATCCCATTTTTTATATCCTCAATACATAGCAAGTACCATCTACACCTACCTCTTCAACGTCTTCTGCTTCTCCGCATCAATCAACTTGCGCCCCTGCACAACAAGTCCCTTCCGTTTGCGCACCGCATCCATATACCGCTTCGCCACGTTCTCCCGATCCGCAAGCTCACCAAGATCCTCCAGCTCCTCTTCTGTAGCGGGAACCCAGAACGGGTCCTCGTCGAGCGCTTCAAAGCCCGCAAAGATCAGCTGCGGTTGCGCAGCGCCGGAGGTCCGCTTGCGGATCTCTTCGGCGAATCCGAAGGACTCCGCCACGGGGAGAAGGGCTAGGATGGTGAAGAAAGGCGTGCCTTCTTTCATTACCTCGGAAAGAATGCGACCGCGGCGGCGGGTGATTACGCCGTAGACGCGGCCTAGGACTTCGGCTGTTTGGACAGTGTGTTAGATTATGGTCAGGTTTATGGAGGTGGAGGGCTTGAGGGTTGGTCTTACTGGTTGCTTGGATCTCGCAACTGTACATGGCAAGCATGATTCGAGGACTCCAGTCTAAGAAGCCCTGCGAGATGCCTTCGCGGACGAGTCTGATTGCGTCGCCGGTCAATCTGCCCATATCGAGCTCGTCGTTTGAGCTGGCGTGCACGGTGAGATCTTCGAGGAAGACGGCGATGCCTTGCATTGGTTCCTGGCATAGAGGTCCCTGGCCTGTTGCCAGCTGGAAGGCATACGCGATCTTGTCGCACAAGTCGCGGACCAAAAGGGCCTGTTGGTCATGGGGGTTGGGTTGTTTGGGGTCGTCGAGCAAGCTGGCGCAGTATTTGTTAGTTCGAGGTCCAAGGTCTCGTGGTGGCTGGGGAGTGCTCACAATTTCTCGCAGGTGTTGACCGTTGTAGCATCCACCAAAATGTTGGGTCCAGTTCTCCGAGGTCCGAAGCTAATGATTTTTTCGACGACGTTCTTCCACAGCTCCTTGTCACCCTGGACCTCCTCTTCGAAAACCTTGTCTAGTTCGTCGCGGAACTCCTTCAAGGACAAGATATTGACCTCGCGGGCCTCGCCAGTAGCACCGGCATCAGCCGATTCAACTTGTTGAATAACTTCGGAATCTGACACCGCCTCGGCCGCAGTGTGCTTCTCTGACTGAAGGCGTTTGATAGTTCCAACTTGCTTGGAGAGGAAATCCGTCACAGCTTCAGGAAGCGGCACGACACGTAGGCGAACGGTCATTTGCTTTGAGGGGGAGACAGATACGACACTTCCACGGCCGAATTCGGGGTTCTTAGGCGGTGCCATCTCGGGGGCATTGACAATAGTCTCACGGTACGGGACGATGGCCTCGCCAGTTTGAATATCACACCGAGCAAACCGCTCACGAAGATCCTTCACACAGCGCTCCAAGTGCAATTCACCTGCTGTAAGGATAACATGCTCACCACTGGGGAGTTGTTCGTATAGCGCACAAGGATCACTCTGTTCCAGAAGGCGCAGACCGGTAATCATCTTACCCAGATCTGCCGGATTGACTGGCTCCAGGGCAACACGGACAATTGGTGGGGTGCTCAATGACACACCAGCCAAGTTGATACTGCCTTCAAGCTGGCTGCAGAGCGTACCCGTTTTGAGCACATAGCCTGCTAGACCACCAATTCCAAACACGACACCTGCCGGCACCGACTGGAGTGGCTCGAGACTCCTGCCCATCATTAGGTACAGATCTGTGACTGTGACCTTCTTCGGCTCAGGGCTCGCGTGCGGGTTTGCAGGCGAGAATTTGGGTGGTAGAACATAGATCGAGTCTCCGACATTAAGTGTTCCCGAATAGAGTCGAGCGAAGCCGATGAGATGCTCTGGATCCTCCTTCTCTCCCACTTCTTCTGGCTCCTCTGTCTCTGTAATCAAGGAAGCATTCTCGAAAGCAGACGTCATCCGCTCGAAGGAATCGTTGCCCGGACCTCCACCAGCCTCCGCCTGCATCTTCGCGATCTCCTCTCGCTTGCGGCGGGCAATCTCTCGAGCCTCATCCGCAGTCATAGTAGTACCACTTCGTTTCTTGCTTGAGGACAGCTCACTCTCCGGAATAGCAACCATCTTACTGACGTATGCAACAACGGGCTCTTCAGGTCCGGTTTTGAAGTTAACCATGGCCTGTTTGATATCTTCAGAGATATGGTCTGCGCCGGGTGAATCTTTAATCAAGCCCGGGAGTCGAGTGGCTTGCGCGGACGAAGGGCTCGGGAGATATTCGATTACCGATACCAGGACAGCAGTCGACAGAGGCAGCCATTGTGAGAATAGAGTGGTCATGATGTTCTTGGGGTCGCGCGAACGCAGGACATAAGGCGGGATGTTGATGTTTAATGACTTGGTAATCTTCTCCAGCAACACTGGATCCCTGTTAAAGAGTCAGTCGCAAATACTCACGATGGCGGCTTTGATTTCGAGCTTACCCTTTGCCCTTTCCACCGCCAGTGGTGGCTTCGTATGCAGCCCAAATACTGTCAAGAACAAGCTGCACAAACATGGGTTTCAAGGCCCGGCCCTTGAGATGCTTTTGACCCAGGACACGCTTTGTCTTGGGGTCCAGATAGAAGTCACCCCAGAGGACCTTTTCCAGGACAGTCCGTTTAATCCCAAGTTTCTTCTCGTAGATGGCAGCAAATTGCCTGATCGTGAAGGCCCAGCCGTCAACCGCACTGCCGAAGATGACGTTATTCTTCTCAGGTGCGAAATAGAGATCCTCATCATCGCGCTCCTCGAACTCGGTGGCTTCAGTGATGCTCGCCGACTCATCATCCACGATTTGCTTTTTGGACTTGTTGTCCTTTGCGGTTAAGGTATTGACACGGTCTTCCATGCGCTCACGCCACTGCAGATCCTCTTCCATACGCTCGCCCTGGTAGAAGCTCCCGATAACGGCATTGATCTGTTCGAGCAGTCTGCTAAGGTGCGAAAAGGCCTCGCTCGGGCTCATCATGAGTTCCGTGATTAACCGATCCATCTTGTTAATGACGAGAATCGGCTTCAGTTGCTCGACCCAGGTCTGTCGCAACACAGTCACGGTCTGGGAGCAGACACCCTCCACAGCATCAACCAGGACGACTGCACCATCGCAGAGACGGGACGCCGTGGAAACCTCGCTACTGAAGTCAATATGCCCCGGCGAGTCGATCAGGTTGATTAGATACTCCTTGGGCACAGGAGCGGCGTCGGGGCTGGAACGCCGAAGCATCGAGAAAAACAGCGAGATGGCCGAGGATTCCATAGTGATACCTCGGAGCTGCTCATCTGGACGAGAGTCCAGATAGCGGATCTTGCCCGCCAGCTTGGGTGAGATGATGCCATTTGTGGCTATAAGACTATCCGTCAAAGATGTCTTCCCATGATCCTAAATCAAACGAAAGAAACAGAGTTAGAGATCGACGCCATTTCCGGAGAACATTGTTATATACTCACAACGTGGGCGAGAATGCAGATCTAGTCCTAGGGTTAGTATATGCCTGACATCAGAAATGGGATGGAGGGGCAGCACTCACATTTCGAATGTCCTCTGGCTTCCGCTGCAGGCGGACTAGCTCGTCGACATTAACCACGGGCATTTTGAACTGGCGCTGACCACTTCCCGGGTTTCCAAGTTGCAGCGACGGGTGTGGTGGTGGAGAGTAGTCGGATTCTCTGGCCCGAGAAAAAAAAGTTGCTGAGAAATTGGAGAATACAAACCGCGCCCTCCGCCGCTACGATATCGCCCTTCACACTACGTCACTGGGTATTTATAAAAACTTATTGACGGGGTGGAATGTTTTAATACTTTCATTGTTATATACTATGAATTCTTTTTTTATTCGCGGGGTTAGCGCTGTACACTTTCCCGGTCGCATTTGACTCATAATGAATCAAGTTCGATGCTATACTCGGATATGCTCCGAGTCAAGTCAGAACCCGTGTTCTTAGGTCCTTTGTAGCATGCTTGATAAACTAGTTGTTACTCTTCGTCAAATGAGAGCTTGATCTTCTTGGCCTTCTTGGGCTTTCGAGAAGCTGGAGCCTTGGGCTTTTCCTCAGACTCCTTTGCTACCTCTGCTTCTGGTTTATCCTCGCCCACGACTTTGGCCTGTTTTCGCTTCTTCTGTCCACCGACCTCGGTAAGATTGCTTTGTTTCGCGGTGGGTTCTTTTGGTGGTTGTGTCTTGTCCTCTCCTTCCACACCTTGATCCGTGGAGGCCCCGTCTTGCTGGCTCGCAGTCTCCCCGACCAAAGCCTGATAATCCTCTTTGGAGATCACCTCGTTGCTTTCTTCATCGACATAGACGGGTGCGTCGTCTTCATCGTTATCCCTGGCTTTTCGAGGTCGCATGGCAGGTCGCTCCAGGCGACCGGAGGTGTTTCCATATTGGCCCCGGAGCTTCTGAAGAAAAGCGGGCTCCTTCGCATCTATAAATCCGATGAGAAAAGATTGGTAGAAAGCAAAGTCATGGCATACCGTAGGCAAGCTTTGGGTTCTTCGACATGGTCGGACGCTGAGTGGGATTCGCCGCTTTAGCTGTATCAAGTCAAGTTCATGCTGTACCTTCACGGCGAGCAAATTGTAGACAACCAAGAGTTGGCCATTGAGACCCGAGGAAGGAAATTCACAGTCCAAGGGCAGGTTGAAGGAAGTCGAGCGACAGCTGGACTGCGAACAGTTCCCGCGCTAAACCGAAACGGGACACATCGAAAAGTCCCAAGGAGCCGCTCTTCGCGTCTGGTCTTCTCCATCCACCTCCCTCCATCCATTCCAATTAGCCATGCTTTGCGCAAGTAAGTGTTCGAGACGCAATCGTACTCCGGTCGCAATTTGCAGGTCGGTTTACTGACGTTTCCTTTTACAGTTTCCGGAGAGGCACCTCAAGTGCCAGTCGTCTCGTCCAAGAGCGGTAGGTCTCCCCCAGCCGCCTTTTGCGCACAGCACCCATCTAACATCCGAGCAGGCAGTGTCTTCGAGAAGCGCCTCATTGAAGCATACATTGCCGAAAACGGCAAAGATCCGGTCAACGGCGAAGAGCTGACTACCGACGATCTGATCGATATCAAGTCCCCGCGCGTTGTCCGGCCTCGCCCTCCTACTCTAACCTCCATCCCCTCGCTTCTCAGTGTCTTCCAGGAAGAGTGGGATGCGCTTGCTCTCGAGACATATACTCTTCAACAGAACTTGGCGCAGACACGGCGTGAGCTGAGCGCGGCGCTCTACCAGCATGATGCCGCCGTGCGCGTGATCGCACGAGTCACTAAGGAGAGAGATGAGGCCCGGGATGCGCTTTCAAAGGTGACTGTTGGTGCCAGCCGGTCAGCCGGTGCTGGTGAAGCTATGCAGGTGGATTCCGAGGGCCTGCCTCCGGCAGTATTGGAGCGAATCGAGAACACACAGGCTAGGTATGCGGACTCCTCTATAATGGTTTGTTTCTTTTCGGCTGACTCTTTTCATCTAGTCTTTCAAAGACCCGACGCAAGCGCGCCGTTCCCGAAGGATGGGCTACTAGTGACTCCATCTCCACATACAAGCCTCTCGAGAGCTCCGAACCTCTTTACCCCGGTAGCCGTGCCTTGTCGGTCAACTCCACTGGCGAGCTGGCTCTTGTTGGCGGTGTCGATGGCATAGTCGGTGTCTATTCTCTCTCCCAGAAAACTGTGGTCCAGACTTTCAAGACCGATGGTCCTGTGACCGATGCCACTTGGGCTGGTAACAAGGCAGTTGTTGGTTCGGCTTCTGGATCGGTGAAGGTGTTTGAGAATGGTAACGAGGTGGCAAGCTTTGCCTCGCACGCTGGTGAAGTTACAGCCCTTGCAGTCCACGCGACGGGCGATATTGTTGCCTCCGTCGGTGTTGACAAGAGCTACGTGCTTTACGACCTGTCCACCAGCGCCGTCATTACCCAGATTTTCACTGATGCCGGTAAGTGCACCAAAACCTATGGTTCTCATGAGCAGTATGCTAATAATACCTGTCTAGCTTTGTTGTCCGTACACATCCACCCAGATGGTCACCTGCTGGCTGCTGGCGCCGCCAACGGACAAATCAAGATCTTCGATGTCAAGACCGGTGCTGCCGCTGCCGACTTTGCGATGTCGGGCCCCGTCAAGGGCCTCTATTTCTCCGAGAACGGTACTTTCCTGGCATCGGTGGCTGCACAGTCCACCACCGTCTCGATCTGGGACCTGCGCAGTTCTAAGGAAACCAAGGTGCTGGACACCGGCAGCCAGGTCAACTCCATCTTCTGGGACTACACCGGGCAGTTCCTGTTGACCGGTGGCCCCAGCGGAATCACTGTCCAGCAATTCAACAAATCAGCGAAGCAGTGGTCTGAGCCATTGCGGAGTGCTGTCCCGGCTGTTGCCGTGGCATTTGGCTCTGCAGCCCAAAGCATTGTCTCCTTGAACGATGCAGGTGTTGTTACGGTTCTGGCGCAGTCATGATAATTAGGGCAAAACATGTAATTTTAGAGCTGGATATCTGAGTTTCAAATGGTGTTTGTATTCCGTTCACAACAGCTCTTGATGCAACCAAAATCGACAATTATTTGTCTATGAACCTGAGTCATCGCAACACTGCGTTTGTACTCACCTCTTCAAACTTTCTCATCTCCCTTTTCCATTTTGTCGTTTCCATACCCTGGATCTTAAATGCCTAACACACCCCACTTTCACAGTACTTCCTAAGTTTCTCTTCCCACCATACTTCAGTGCTGACCGCCTCAATTCCGCACGAGTAAAAGCTGACCGCCTCGGGCAGAATCACACCGCCTTAGGACTCGGGCCGGTCATCATGTCGGTCTTTGAACCTACTCTTCCCTTGCCCACTTCATGGCGTGATATATTCCCTTATAATCCTGTGCCCTGTTCCCGGTCTTCTCTTGGACTCACTGCTATGAGTGATGAGCCCGGCGTCCTGTTTATGGGCGCCAGGTCCAAGGTGTGCTACGTTGTTCCTGTGCAAGCGCGGGGGCCACCGGTTTTATGAATGAACGTCTTGACTAACACATCTTCCTTTTCTCACAGCGAACCCACCGCCAGATGTCACAAGAGTCTAGTGAGGGGAGCCATACTTCCTGGCACCGTCACTTTCACCCTCCACTCCCCGAAGCGGGCGGCTCCCGTCCCGCTCGGTTGCCACCCATGAGAACTCCTCGTGATGGATTCGATTTTCGACGACCCGCTGCCACATCTTCGCAGGAAGAAGATGTGATTGACTTGACCAATGAGCCCGAGACACCCCCACAACGTACACATGATCGTACCTCGGACAGCCGAACTTTAAGTACCTCGAGACCGCCGCGGTTCGGGAGGAACATTTTGGCAGATGTCGTGGACCTTGAAGGAGAGCCGGATGATGACCCTGGTGAAGGACCATCTAGCAGTCCAGAGGTTCAATTTGTCCGGGCCACTACACGGCCTCGACCACCAGCACCGCCTCGAGGAAACTGGGATCCCTTCGCGATGCTCTCCAGCACCCTTACACGCGGCTTTCGTGCTCGACAAGACCACGAGGACAGACGTATGCTTTCATCTGTACCTTTTCTCCAAACAAGAGCTGGAAGACATCACCTCCATGGGTTTCACGACACTATGATCTTCTCCGGAGATGGATCTGTGCTTAACAGCCCTGGTATCTTGGACTATGAATACTCTTCATTTGCCATGCGACCCTCTACCCCACAAGAAGCGAGACCTCAGCGTGAGGTTTACAAGGCTCCAAGCCCAGCACCTGAAGGATTTACACGTACCCTGGGCGATGATGACATTGCAGTGTGTCCCAACTGCTCCTGGGAGCTGGGTACCGGAGAAGGAAAGAGGCAAGAAATCTGGGTTGCAAAACCTTGTGGGCATGTTCGTTATCAACTTGTGCCAGACAATACTTTTTTCTTTTGCTAACATTGTATAGGTCTATTGTGGCGAATGCGCAGAAAACAGGTCTCTGTCAAAAGCTAAAAAGGCCCAAGGACCTCAAAAGACAAAGCCCTTCTCAAAATGCCAGGTTGTGGACTGTGGAAAACATGTCAGCGCGCCCACTGCCATGTTCCACCTCTACCTGTGATGATGTCCATGACTTCGAGAATCACTCACTTGCATGATGGCGGTGTTTTCGGTTGGCACTTGCACTTTCTCTCTCTTCGATACCCTACCGGCATGGACACAGGCGTTATATTCGATTGTCTTTTTGTTTGGTTATTTTTGGTTAAATCTTCATAGCCTTTTCTGAAATATCACAAGTCTATCTTAAGCTATATCAAGCCTCGATCAGGTCTCTCGCAGGCCTTTCCACATCCTTCTAGCCCTGATTTCGGAAAGACCTAGCCTTCTAGGTCGAGAATATGATTGTAAATTTGAATTTCATTCAGATTGATATAATGACATGGCTCTGCGATGTATAACCGGGTGTATGAGGCAGAGCCTAGCACGGGTCTCCAAAAAGTAACAAGGCAAGCAAATGAACAAAGAAAGGAGAATCAGACCGTTTCAATAATACAGTAGAATGCAACGGTAGAGGTCCATCAATTGCATGGACACAACCACCGGGAACTCCCATCAAAAACGCCAGATCTACTAATGTAGATCGCTTTAAACACCGCGTAGATCTCCGTGGTATGGAGACCAGATACCGCGAACACTCTCGTTCAAACTGGTAATAGGCTTCTTGGTCCGCTTCAACTTGTCACCGCTGGCATCCTTGAGAATCATAGCCTTCTTCAAGATATCTTCCGGCTCAAGGTTGCGCACGCAGATGGACTTCTCACGACCGTTGATGTATTGGCCCTTGATGACGGGGTGCTTCTGGTGTCGGGGGGAAACGCGGATCTCGATCTGCGGGTTTTCGCGGGCGAATGCGGGAAGGGTCTGGGTTAGGAAGGCGCTGGATTTCATCAAGTTAGCACCAATGCTGGGATTATTATTTCAAGTAGTTCACTCACAGCATGCCGCGCGAGCTACCACCGAAATTGCAGTAGTGGAAATCAAGACGTTTGCATTGGAGGATGAAGGCACCGACGCCATTCTATGGTGGAGTCAGCGAATCGTTTCGAAGGAGGCAATCAAGTATCTTTGTCTGATCTCATTTCCTCAAGGCAATTGTGTAAGCACGTACCCTGGCGGCGGTGACAGTCCTGATTCCTTTCACAGGCATTGCTGCAGTTGTGATTGTTCAGTGTTCTGCCCATCTCGAACTTTCCCTTTTTCCCATATCACCTGATCAGGAGCGGTGAGGCGAGCGGTGAGATTTTCAAATTGCCTGTTTTCTGCACCCACAAAATCCCTGAGCGGTGAGGTGGGCGGTGAACACGCGCCAATGTCGGCTATGGCGCCTGAGGCCGTGCCTATCCCGTGCAGCGACTTAAGTCGCATTCGCTACGTCTCTTGGGGTTCCACTTCCAGACTATCGCCCTGACATAACTTGTTCGACATCCTCGACCTTGCTGGGCTCACTCTCCAGAGGAGGCCATCATGACGGACAAGCTCCCCCCTCCCCTGCTGGCGCTTTTCCAGCCTCGCCCTCCTCTTCGCTACCTACCTCCGACCACGCGTGCTCCGGATGATTGCAAGAAAAGCACAATCTCTGGTGTCGCTGCATACCTCGCTCGTGCAAAGGAGGAACAGCCGACGTTCGAAGAAGAGCATCCGTACAACGCGACTGAGTGCTGGATTCAGCGCAAATGGCGCCAGAAGCTGGAGAAGAGCGAGCTCCAGCATCGAAAGCTGGAAGAAGGTGTAAAGACTTGTATGTACCATCCCCACCTTCGGCCTTTCCCATCTATCTCCTTTGTCCGGAATTCACCTTGCTAATGCGCACTGTTCGTAACAGACGACCCCGAGAAGGATCCGCAAGCTCGGGGTGACCCGTACAGAACACTTTTCGTCGCGAGACTCAGTTACGATGCCAAAGAAGCCGATCTGGAGCGCGAGTTTGGCCGCTTTGGCCCCATTGAACGTGTACAGCTCTCTTGATTCGACGCTTCACCTTTTTACGCTAGCTGACATTTTCTCCCACTCAGATTCGAATCGTCATGGACACGGTATCTGAGAAGGCGAAGAAGCCCAATCGAGGCTATGCATTCGTTGTTTATGAGCGTGAAAAGGACATGAAAGGTATCATCACCAGCCGAGCTCTGCTTGCATTTCTTGCAATGCAGAAACTGAAACCTTGGTAAGAGAAGTCATAGCTAACACAGTGTCCCTCGACATTAGCCGCATACAAGGAGACAGATGGAATCCGCATTAAGGACCGCCGAGTCCTGGTCGACGTCGAACGTGGCCGTACTACCAAGGGCTGGAAGCCTCGCCGTCTTGGTGGTGGCCTCGGAGGCCGTGGATACACCAAGGCCATGCCCTCGCGCCCCATGGGCCCCGGATTTAACGCACCCTCTGGACCTGGTGGTTTCGGTGGTGGGTGGAGAGGAGGAGGAGGAGGTTTCGGCGGCGGCCGAGGCCGTGGAGGCCGCGGTGATCGATTCGGTGGACCTCGTGGAGGAATCGGCTACCAAGGAGGCCGCAACGGCTTTGGTGGACAGGCACCCCCGAACGCACCTTCCGGACCGGGCGGTGGACGTGGTGGGTTTAGAGGAGGAGGTGGTGGTGGTGGTGGTGGCTTCGGCGGAGACCGATTCGATCGTGGTGTTACCGGCAGCAACCGCGAGCCCGTCCGCCCCCGCGACAGCTACGCAGACCGTGACCGCCGCGATGACCGTGACCGAGACCGCGATGGCGACCGCTATCGTGAACGTGACCGCCGTGATGACCGCGGTGGAGACCGCTTCCGTGGCGACCGAGACCGTGATAGGTATGGCGGCCGAGAGGACCATGGACGCAAGCGACACCGTGAGGATGATGCTGGTTTCGACGACCCGCGCTCCCGCCGACGATACTAAATGTTCTCCCCATGGATACTCACCCTTTCTCTTCTCAGCGTCATTCTGCTGGTGGGTATCCCTTTGTCTTTCGCGCGTCCCCTTCTTCGCAAGGGTAAGGGGGTAAGACGAGAGACTGTGCATATGGAGAAATGATCCGAGACGGCAGAGCAGGACTCCGGCTCACATCGGCATGCACTCCTTTTGATGCCTGGCGTATGTGTTTTCGGACACACTTGCTGGCTCCGGGCTTTGCAAACGATTGCCGGGTGGCCCGAAATCATGGAGTGGTTTTGTTTCTCACGTCTGGTCTATCGAGGGTTTGCAAGGTTCTCCCCCTTTCATTTCTTTTCATGTCTTCCAATGTCTTCGTCCCACTGGGACTTCGTTTTCGCTTCGGGGGGTAAGTATGTATTCTTAGTCTCTCAAATATTCCTAGGAGTTCAGGCGATGGAAATCAATGGCATATGACTCTCAGGTAAGACCAGGTAAGGGCCAGTGCAATAACTAAAAGCAGGCATCTTGCTAGGTAGTTGAGAATTGAGCCCATTTACATAGTAGGAAATGTTTTATAGTAGACTTTTTATCCAATCTGGTATCTATCATCACTGACATCAATCGGAGGACACCACGGGTCTTCACGGTGGACAAAATGGTGAAAAAAGAATATTCTTTCAATATATCTGAAAATGGAAAAAAAAAAAAAAAAAAAAAAAAGCGCCGCCCCAAACTCCATAAGAATGCCCATAGGAATCTTTTTTGGTCGACAACAGAAGTCGAAGGACATAAAGGCACAATATTCGAGATCATGCGCATCTATGCATCAACCTCCATTCCGTTCTGCTCAAGGATCTTGATCTCGCCGGTACTCCGGGACCATTGGGCTTTGAGATCAACCTTGAACTCAGAAGAGGTCACACCGAACATCTTCATGAGGGTAGTTTGCCGGGAGTCCAGCGTCTCGCCCTCCTTGCACACCTGATAACCCTCCTGGTCCTCGGTGAGCTCGAGCATAACTTTGCCCTTCACCAGACGGGTGGGGACACCGAGCTTGCGCAGCGCAGGCTCCATGGTGTGGCTGATGGGCTCATCCTGCTCAGTGGCGATCTCGCCGGCCCGGGAGTAGACCAGGCCGTTGGGGATCATGAACGAGCGGGTGGCCTCAGTGCCGGCACGGGCGAAATCCATGGGGCGGAAGTTCTCGAAGTAGTTGATGACGGATTCAGCGGGGCGAGAGGTGAACAGAAGACCGACGGCACCGGCCAGGTAGGGTGTGAGACGGTGCACGTTGGGAGCGGCTTCGGTTTCGGGGTTGCTGCCGAGAGCGACGGCCATGACCTTGGTCTTGCCGAAGAAAACACTGGATTCGAATTAGTTGATATACAGTATCCTACTGGTAACAGTCCACATACCGGCTGTCGGCGAATTCGGTGCGCACATCCTTCAGATATGTGTTCCGCATGTTGTCCACCGCAAAGACAAACATGGTATCATATTCTTCAAGACATTCCCGGATGTTGGCATACAGACGGCGGGTCTGTTCCTTGTGGTCCTTCTTGGTAGTCTTGGACTCGTGGACGACGCGCGCACGCTTTGAACGAGGCATTTTGAGATTGATGGAGAATTGATGTTGTTTGTTAAAGTCTGTTCGATAGAGACGGGGACCGAGTGTGGCATTTTTTTCGCTGATAACCGGATCAACAGTTGCCCCGGGCTTATCCGACCCCCACTAACCCCGATGGGGCAAGCAGCTGCGACTGGACTGGACTTGGCTTCTCGCATGTCGCTGCGTTTGACTCCGCCTCGACGGGACAATGCTGGATTTCATGGATTATATCCAGCTGGCCTTTGCTGAGGCTACCAGCTGGAACCGCGACAATTCATACTCCTGCTTGACGACTACCACGCAGTGTAAGTTGACAATTCAGGGATGCGCCGTGGACTTCAATTGACTTGCTTTGAATACAGCGATTTTGGACTTTTCGACTCCTGAGCGATTGCGCGTCCGTGTTGCCTCGCTCTCTACGCCACATTTTGCAACCAGCTACACTCTCGGCACGGTAGGACTGCTTGATGGATCAGTATCATACCTCTTCAGCACGGTGCCCTTCCACAACACGCCCAGCCGGAGCGCCTTGATTCCTCTTCGAAAGATCTCGCCCGGATATCGCCAAGTGCAAGCGCCATCTGCTCCTGTGCAATCATGGGGATTGGATTCTCTGCTGGACAGCGTGAGCATCCCTGGGATCAAGAATGGTTTGCGCCCGGGATTACCAAAGAGCAAAGATGGGGATCAGACTACGGAGGCTGCGCAGCGTAAAGCGACTCTTCTACATGCCTCTTTGCATCTCCCATCACCCACTACGCTGTATGCGCTGTTCCTACGCAGGATTTCTCCGACCATGCAACTGTCTCTGGCGGTCTGTTCCACCCAAGGACCGCCCATGTCAAACTCCGCGCCGCAGGCTTCCATGCTAACCCAGCTTTCCCATGATACGGGCAAATACTGCAATGAATATCTATTCAGTACCGACAATGCACTTTTTGGCTGGCGCGGACTCTGGAATTTTGGCCCTGATCCTCGCTACACTCCAGCTAATGCCCCGCCTGCATTGTCACTGCTGTCGGCCGGCGCGGAGGCATACTACTCGCCTATTTCCTCATTGATTGGCATGTCGACAGGGTTGCGTTTCACCACACTTCCAGCAGCAACTCAAGTGCCTTCGACAACATCCTCTTCATCCAACTACCCCGCCCCCATTTCTACTTTCCCCTACACGTTGACCCTGACACTCACACCCATCACCGGCTCTCTATCAACAACATACTCCCTCCGTGCATCACCCAACCTCGCTTTCAGCTCCCGATTCGGCTTCAACGTCTACAGCTGGGAGAGTGAGATGGTTGCCGGCTGTGAGCTCTGGCGCAGGAAATCAAAAACCCCGTCCAGCGACGACGATCTTGAATGGGCACGCCGCAAAATGCGCATGTATGATTTCTCCGCCTCTCTGCCAGGATCTCCGCCTTCTTCTCCACTCCTCTCTGACCCGGTTCAACCCGAGTCCGCTGTCAGATCGCATGCGGATGACAGCGAGGCCGACGACTCCGTGATCAAGCTCCGCATCGACCAATCCTGGAATGTCCGTCTGCTCTGGGAGGGCCGAGTCAAGGAGCTCCTGGTTAGCGCGGGTGTCGGGCTGGGCCCTGGTTCGTTTTCGCTGTCACCCAGTGTATCCTCCGCTGCCTCGGGGTGTGGGTCGTCGCAGAGTGGAGGCGGCGGGCCTGGCACGTCGTACTGGCGCGGGGTTGGAGTGTCTGTGATGTACTCTTCATGAGTGATGTTGTTCTGATCATTTCACGTTTCTTCTTGGTTTTCTTCTGGTGTACTACACCTTTTGACTGCTGTTTGGCCAACATCTACTTTATATACTTCATGTTTAATACGCCGCAAACCCGGAAATACTGGCGGTTCGCACATTGTACATATATTCTCATGACAACATATCTCACGTTGAAAGCTCTTTTTTAGCTCTTGGCCTACCAAATTAAGCCTCACATTCACGGTGCACAACCTTTGGTTGGCACGGAGTATCAAATTATCTACAAAACACCTTAGATGCGTGCGTTGATGATGTCGACGACTGCAAACTGGATTAGCATCACGGCTCAGGAGAGGGTTTAGGCACATCAACTTACAGGCAGGCTTCAAGCTGGCACCGCCAACAAGGAAGCCGTCAACATCGGGCTGCTTGGCGAGCTCGCGGCAGTTCTTCTCGCTGACGGAGCCACCGTAGATGATACGGACGTCTTCCTTGGCCTGAGGGGAGATGGCCTCGCCGAGCCACTTGCGGATAGCGGCGTGGACCTCCTGGGCCTGCTCAGTGGTGGCGACCTTGCCGGTACCGATAGCCCTGGGAAGCGGTTAGCATTAAGCTCACGTATATGCTGTGGGCAGCGAGGTCTTACCAGACGGGCTCGTAGGCAATAACAACCTTGGCCCACTGCTCCTTGCTCAGCTCCTTAGCGGCAGCGTTGAGCTGGCGGGTGACGACCTCGATGGTCTTGTTGGCCTCACGCTCCTATAGTTGTAAAAAGTCGGGTGTAAGCGGAGGACCTTTGTCAATGCCTATCCCGATGACCCACACCGGGACGCAAAAAAAACGGGTAACCGAAGTAGAATGACGTACCTCCAGAGTCTCACCAACGCAGAAGATGACCGAAAGGCCACCCTCGATGGCGGCCTTGACCTTGCGGGCAATGAACTGCGGAGTTTGTTAGTCTGGCCGAATTCTGGGTGTAGGTGCCGAAGCTCTCGGCTCGTTTTGCGGATAGCGGGACACATACATCATCGCACTCCTTCAGGATAACACGGCGCTCGCTGTGGCCGATGACAGCCCAGTCAACCTTGGTGTCACGGAGATGCTCAACGCTGATTTCACCGGTGAAAGCGCCATTGGGCTTGTCATAGACGTTCTGGGCGGCAACGCCAATCTTGGGGTCGGCCAAGCTGCGGGTGAGGGCGAGGTAAACGGCGGGGGGGGAGATGACGACCTCGGTGTTGGAGTCGAGCTTGGCGGAGTTGAGGTTGTTCACGATGTTGGTGATGCTCTCCTGAACACCGTTCCTGTGTTGCTGGTCAATTGTGGTTGTTCTGGTAGATAACGTTGCTCGGGTGGGATGGAGAGGCTCTGAAAACCGCGGGGTAGCTGGGGAGAGATGGCACGTACATCTTGAAGTTACCACCGACGAAGAATTGGCGAGGCATGGTGAATGATTGTTTTGATATGACTTGATTTGAAGAAATAGAAGAGAGTTGGGATGTGTATGGAGAAAGAAGCGAGCGGAGAAGAGAAATGGAGGGGCATCTTCACTCCCGGCGATCGGTGCCTCACCGGGCATCCATGACATAACCGAATCGGATCCACCGGTATACAACTTCCACGTTAGAGTTCCTTTCATGTAAAGCTTGTAAATAAACTAGGATCTGAGACTGAGTATATTCTTGCTGAACGAATATGATACTACATTCGAACCCATTTGTGTATGTACTAAAGATCCTATCTAGCTCCCAACTATCAAGGATGCTCTATGGCATCGGGCCGAGAATTCCCTATCCATCGGGTGCATCATATTTCTGCGTAGCAGATCACTGTTTCAGGATTTGCGTAAAGGCGATATGGAGACACAACTCTGTTTCCTCTCCAGCACAATTTCCTCCCATGACTATTCCAGATCACCACAGATTCTCCATATAAAATTCAAGTCTCTCGATCCTCATAGCCTCTCGTGCTGCTCCCAAAACACAATCCAAACAAACGGAAAGTGTCAAAAGGAGTGAAGTGGTTAACTATTCAGTATTCCCACCCTTCGGGCACTCAAATCCGTAGTGGGGTATCCGAGAGAAGTCCCAGAAAGATCGGGACCGCTGCAGCTGTCGTGATTCTTCAATAATTTGCTTCAGTGTCCGTGTTTGATGCTCAAATGCTCTTTCCCACTGCTCAATCCGCGCCTCACAGTCAAGAAGCCGACTGCGCAACTCCTCACCATCCATTCGATGAAACCGATATCTCTTCTCCCAGACCTTAGGATCTACGTTTCCTGCTCCAGAGCCCCGGGCCCGCTTGGCCGGCAAAATATTTTTGGCACCCATCATGTCGATGTGGTAGTGCCTCCAAGAATTATATCTTTCCTTCCTCTCCATATTAAGGCCTCTCGACTTCTTGCGGTAGTGAAAGCCATAGCCGCCGTTACGGTGAGTCGGGCTGCGAGACCGCTGTTGGTAGGTATTCTCTTGTGCAGTTTGAGGCTCCTCGCATTCACAATCCATACTACCTTCGTCCTCAATCATGGAGCTCACGTCAGATTGAGAATGATCAAATATCATAGACTCGTCGTCCTTCCCGCTGGAAGCTTCGGATGACCAGCCTCCATCCTGATCACTAGTGGTCTGACCCAAGTCAAGCCTAGTAAAAGGAGTGGTGAGCGAAACAGGGCGAGGGAGCGGGCCTTGAACCACTCGAGTCGGTCCCTTTGTTTGACCCGGGACGCGAGGCCAGTCTTTCTGAGACCATGGATTAGGAGGCAGAGAATGACAGCCGGATGCAGCCAGCTCCGGGAGTCGTTCTTTAGGCATGGCTTCGCAGCTCGAATTAGCCGTCTTTTGTACTTCATTCCCATCAAGACGGAAAGGAATCCCAAGGTCCACCAAATCACCCATCGGTGTTCTTGGGTAGGTCTTCGTCTTCATGGGCCTCTTCATAAGGATAATGTCCATGGAGACTGTCTCGTAGTCATCGCGGAGAGCGTTGCGGGCCTTGGAAGGTCGGTCGCGCTCCTTGGCGTAAACACAGCTCCACTCAACGTTGGGATCATTCCGCCGTTGCTCATGGATCAGCTGGTTGACATGAGCACGACGAGTGTTTGAAAGGTTTTGATACTGCTGCGCTGCAGACACCTTGTTTGCTCGTTTCCGGACCATCTTGTAAAACTCACTTTGGTTAAGGTGCATTTGAGTACGCTCCACCCGAGTCCAAGTTGCCTTTTGGCCCGGCATAGGATCAGCTTTGAAGAACTTGTAGCCTTCATAGACTGTTGCATTTGGTGCTTCGGAAACGGAATCCAAAGTTGGCGTTGAACAGGAGTCGTCAGGATGGTCGAAGTGGACAGTATTGGCTCGAATCTGGGGCGATGCTTGCGCAGACTGAGCCTGGCCGGAGTCGGGATGGCTCTCTTGACCGTCATTTGCAGTATCATTGTCCAGGTGAAAGGTAGTCATGGTTCCAGAAGAAGAGATGACGCCACTGTAGAGCACATAAATTGCCAAAGTGGAGATCTGAAAGTCCTTTAGATTGTAGAGGCCCAAGTAACTGTCTTTCCCCCATCTTTTATACAATTCCATGACCAGGAAGTGCCCGGGTGAACAAAGGTTCATATCTGCAGGCCATTGCTACCTAGGATAGCTAGTTCGTGTAATTATTGGTCCAGTTGGATCCTGGCTCTTGGCCTCGTGCTAAGATCCTCTTCTCAGCTGCACTTCCATTAAACATACTGGTTAACCCGGGTGAAGCCAACCGCCAATAACGTGCATTCCGGCAGTGGATTTCCGAGTCACGTTGCATAAAGCCACGTTCTTTTGGGTAGGCTTCTACTTTATTTGTCACCAATGCAGTTTTAATTTTGGGGGTTTGTGGTGATCATGCATCTTGCGCTCGTTCCGCTCCACGTCAGCCTCAAAGAAACAGGGCGCTACAACAGCCTCATCCTGTAACCGCTCATCTTATCTGCTTTGACCTCTCGTTGCAAATCCGGGCCAGTAGGTTCCACTAATCAATCTTTGCGTGCAGTTACGGCAAGATTACAGTGAGAATCAGCATGAGCCTCAACATGAAGCGGGGACTTGGTATTTCACCTGGGCTTCGAGTAGATTCTAATTTTATCTCCTTGTGCGGTGTTTTCGCGGGTTGGTGTTTATCTGTTCGTCGGTTAAGTGAGGAGAAACCGAATCTGTCCAGGGTTTTGCCAAGAACATCAGCCCCGACATGCGGCTCTGCTGTTCTCTAGAATCCAAACAATCCTCGATCTTTCCATTTTGTCTAAATGGTTCAAGGGGCAAAGAGCTCTTTGTCTTCGAACTAGGCTTTTGTACAGGGAATTTTATTCCTTGAATCGCCTTTTAAACCCATTGTTAATTTCTCTGGCGACGTCTTGTGTTTTTCATTCAGTGAAGACATGGCTGTCTTGTACTCTCTCCTTGCTAGCCCCCAGTATTTAGACTCGGTTTCCTGACTCAAATAGACTCAAATTTGATGAATTTTGTGATTCCAATCGAGACTGAATATACGCGGCAAATATATGAGAGCCTTGTCCGGTCCATGGAGATCTATGGAACACTAGGTACAGGATGAAAGTTATTCATTCCTCTCTGTCCTTATTGATTCTGAAATATGCTAAACAAATACAGCCTATGCTAAAGCTTTCCTTGCATGTAAACAAAGTCCACCCGATGTTGATCCGAACGAACTTTTACATTATGCCGTCAAGGTAGAAACACACACCACGATGATGAGCGCCGGGCAAATCGGACAGTTAGGGCCTTCCTCCGGTCGAAACCACATTTGACGTTTTGCAAGCTATGTTCAGCAAGCACCCGAGTGAGGGGTCAAATCTTACGGAGTTGCCAAAATTTCCATGCATCAGGAAGTGGGTATATGAGGACAACCCGCTCTGGAGGCGGCGTTATTCCAAGGCATTTCAGACGGATAGTTGGCAACAAAAGCAAGCATCCATTGACTTGTTTCAGATTTTATCGTTCTAGTTCTCATTGCAATAATAGACATGGTCTCATTGATAGACGAGCTCAATTGAAGACTAGGCCTTCAACTTGACGCGTTGCCACATCTATGTCGCGGAGGTATATTGAAGGCAGCAATGCTTCCAACTGCAGTACACGCTAACACCTTGGAATGAAAGGCAACTATGAAAAATGAGGCTGATACCAAAAACTCAATCCGACTGCGGAGCCTCGTAATGAACAGCGTAGAATATGAACGCAAAGAAAAGATAGGTCGTCATCGTCGAAGGCTGTCCAGCCTTGCTTGGAGGTCATCGTCGCCGGCATCACCGGCGCCTCCTCCGCCTCCACTGCCGCCGCCAACGGCTTGCGCAACAGGAGTTTTGCCGACAGCCTCTGCTTGTTGTATGTCCGAAGGTGTTTCACCCAGCTATAAGGTCGGTCAGCAAATGATACACATTTCCTGGTACGCGTAGAGAAACGAACCGACTGGCCCAGGTCGACACCGATTTCATCGAGCACCTCCTTAACGATGTCCTCCCCTTCTTCCTCTTCGCCTTCTATTCCCGTAGCTTCGTCGATTGCGTCGTCCATCATCTCTTGCCGTTCGTCCATAACTTCATTTTCTCTTTCGAATTCCATCGCAATGCGCTGAAGGGCGGGAAGGTTCATTTGTCGGTTCATGCTACCAAGAAGCATAGTTGCGCCTTTCATCGACTGCATCATCTGCTCGTTGCTGCGGACGGTCTGTTCGGAAAATAACGGTAAGCATCTGTAGAAGTGGGGGCGGGGGTTGGCATGATAGCCTCTCTCGTACCTGAATGCGAAGCGAGATGGCTTGTAATTGTGTGCGCATCTGGTAGAACTTCTGAATGTATCTGTCGTGTCGTTACAATCAGCCAAGGTCGACAAGGAGCGCAGGCGTGTAGACTGACCTTCGTGTCCGCACCAGATCCTTGGCCTGGATCTTGCAAGCTCCAATCTGGCCGTTCTTGGCGCTCTTTTTGATATCCTGTACCAGTTTCTTCTCCTGGTTCTCCAACTTCACGCGCTCTCGATCCAGCTCACGTTGCGTTCGATCCAGGGCCCGCTGGTGCTTGCGCAGACGCTCTGCGGGCGTCATGCGCTTGCCGAACGCCCATTCGACGATCTGAGAGACACATCAATAACAGGCCATGGATAGGTTGAAGACAACTCACATTCATGGTTGTAATATGCAATATGCCAATAATAGAGCCTCTGGAGCTTCACTCGCAGGACAGTGACATCAAGCGGGACGTAAGATAACGGTAACCGTACCTGGTCACATGCCGGGTCTAAACCCCTTTGAGCCCCAACGTCACCGAAGTTTAGAAATCTCCCCATCCAACTTCCAAACAAACATCCTCTCGCATGGCTCCCTAAACTTCGCTATGAGTCAGGAATATTTCCCCGGTGACGGCTCTTCGAGAGCCGGCTCTTCTCGGTTTCCCGGCGAAGATGAAGAACGGAACCCTTTCTTCCAACCCCCGCCAGCCTATATGACTGTGGGCAATGGCTCAACCTCGGAAAGCGCCACGGCCTTGATGACGTCGCTAAATCAGGACTCAGGATACGGAGGCAGCATCGCGGGCGATAGCGCCATGGCGGGCGATTCGAGTGCCGCTTGGCGTGCAGGACTGATGGAGGACCGACCGACTCCCGTACATACTCCGACGCGACCCGGCGAGTGGAATCCTGCTGGTGAGTGACTCGAACAGATGGTGATACGATGGCTCTATCATATACAGCTTGGCTAATGAAATTTTTCACGCTCTAGCGGAACATGAGAAACAAATTGTTGCGAACCATGTTCACCAACTTCTTTAGTATGTGAAATGCTCAAAATATCCTGTGGCTTTTTCAAAATTCTAACAGCTGCCCTTCTAGCAACTCGAATCGGACCAAACTTGGCCGCGCCATCTCCCGGACGATCGATACGTTGAAGGAGCTGCAGGACATGAATCGCCAATGGCCCGCTCACTACCCTTCGGTACAGAACGCTGCTCCTTCGTCTGCGGATCGGCCGGCTCTCCAGCACACCTACTCGGATGCTGGAAAGGGTGGCAGCAGACCATCGACTCCTCCTCGGCCTGGATTGCTGAAACGGGCGGCGACTACAACGGGCGGAGAGGATTTCGGAGAATCTAGTGCCTCTGCCGAGCGCCGCGCAACGCCTGAACCTCGATTGATGACTCCTCAAATCGCCCAAGAATTTTCTATTCTGAAGCTGGATCTGAAACTGGGTGCGCTGTCCCAGGCCGAGCTGGTACACTCGTTGGAGAAAGCCTCGATTGCGTCACTGCTGGATGGGAAGATCAGCCAAAGCGTCAAGCATCTTCTTTCCCTGCGAGATCGGATCGAGGATACGTCAAGCAAGGTATTGGTTACTGGAGATCTAAATGCCGGAAAATCAACATTTTGCAATGCTCTTCTTCGACGGAAGATCTTGCCCGAGGATCAACAGCCCTGCACCAGCCTTTTCTGCGAGGTGCTTGACGCCCGGGAGAATTGCGGAATTGAAGAGGTACATGCGGTGCACAAAGATGTCCAGTACAGCCGCAACGACGAAAGCACGTACGACGTTTACGCTCTGTCCGAACTTGAGAACATCGTGGTCGACAACTCCAAGTACATGCAATGCAAGGTTTACGTGAAGGATGTGCGATCTATTGACGAATCTCTCCTCAACAATGGTGTGGTGGATATTGCCTTGATCGATGCGCCTGGTTTGAACTCGGACTCTTTGAAAACGACGGCCGTCTTCGCTAGACAGGAGGAAATCGATGTTGTCGTCTTCGTCGTGTCTGCCGCCAACCACTTCACCCTTTCGGCGAAGGAGTTCATTTTAAACGCTGCACATGAGAAAGCTTACATTTTCATGGTGGTGAACGGCTTCGATCAGATCCGGGACAAGCAACGTTGTGAGCGTCTGATTCTCGATCAAGTGGGCAAGCTTAGTCCTCGTACATACAAGGAGGCCGATGAACTTGTACATTTTGTGTCGAGCAACGCTATTCCGGTTGCCCCTCCCGTGCCTGTGTCACAGTCTAGCTCTGGGTCTGGGGGTGGTGGTGGTGGAGGCGATCCTCACGATGATGGAGACGACGCGGATGACAAGGGTGAATCCAAGGATAAGGGCAAAGGCAAAGAGAAGGAAAAGATCCAGGACTTTGAAAACTTGGAAAGCGCTTTACGACGCTTTGTTCTCGAGAAACGATCCCGGTCCAAGCTTGCGCCTGCACGAACCTACCTTCTGAACCTGCTTGCTGATCTCAACTCGCTTGCAACGGTCAATCGTGATGTCGCTCAGTCGGAGCTCAAACGTGTGATGGACGAACTGTCGGAGATTGAGCCTGCATATGAGAATGGCAAGAAGAAAAAGGGCGAGCTTGCAGAGGGCGTTGACAAGGCCATCGATGAATCATGTGAGGATGTGTACAACCACACCCGATCCACTTTGAACGATACCATTGCCCGGGTCTCCGAGGCAGACCTTGGCGTTGACTATCCTGGTCTTTTCTCGGTGTTCCAATACGCCGAGGACCTCAAGCTCGCAATGCTGGATCAAATTTCTTCGGCCGTCACGGGCTGCGAAGATTATGCCCGAGAGAAGACTGTCAAGGGAGTCGGCTTCATCCAAAACATCGGTCTCTTGCATGTGGGCGAGGACAAATTCTCCGCGCTCAATTTCCGAGCAGACCTGATGTTCCGTCGCGGTCGTCGTCACTTGACTGGTCGGCAAGTCCATACCGAGGTCGAACTCTGGGACTTCTTTGATATTGCTGGTCTCTGGGAGCGCCAGGAGAAGATGGCAGGAACTGGTGTGGCGATGACCGCCGTTACTGTTCTTGGTGGCAGAGCCTTCGGTGGCTTTAGCTGGGTGGATAGCGCACTCAGTGCTGTCAAGGTTGTCGGTCCAAACAACATGCGTCGGATGTTCCTCCCGGGTATCCTTGCTGCGGGTAAGTTTCTAGGCCTTCTATCTGTCTGTACAATCACGCTAACTCGTCTGAACAGCCCTTTTGACAACGGCCTATGTACTGTCCGCTATCCCGAGCACCTTGCCTCCTCGTTTGTCTAAGAAGATCGCGGCTACCCTCGCCGACATGGACTACGTCCACTCGAATGCGAACCGCATTTCGGGTGAGGTTCGTCGCATTCTCCGTCTGCCCGCAACTAATCTGCAGGCCACCATGGCCCAAGACATTGAGGATCTCGCTAGACGCAAGCAGGAGGTCAGCAAGGTGAAGCAGGAAAGCGAAGTCGCCACCAAGTACTTCGCAAACCTGATCCGTGATAGTAGTGAGAACCGACAGACTGTGGAAGGTCTCGACCTTGACGCTCCGCTACCCGGTGGCATGGGCGCTCTCGAGGCGTGAGCATGACCGTGCATCCGTTGACCACGATACTTTTTGCTGCTGGTTCCTTAATCCCCGCTCCAATTTCAAGCCTCATATCCCCGATTTCTACGAGCGAGTACAGGTTTTCTTCTCTGTCCTTCCTCATTCTCGATATCCCTTTTCTTTTGTGGTATTTTTTCGTGCTGATGCCGTCACTGCATCTCAGAAAAAGGCAGTACAAGTACATACAGTCTTGCTCTTTTTTTGTGTCTCTTTTTCATGGCGTGTCGGTGTGCATCGGAGGTCATTTCAAGTTTTAGCCCAATATTCCCATCTGAATTGACAGCGTGATTCTTTCTGCAATCATAGCTCCTCTGGTCTCTTCGTTCCTGCTGGTCCAATCATTTTCTAGGAGGATCAGTAAAATCAAGGCTTGGGGTAGGTTACATTTGTCCCATCTTTCTCTGAATACAATCACGGATGGCTATATAAGTCTACAAAACCGCCTGAGTCTGGTGGACATGTATTATTTTTCTAGCATGGGATGTTAAAAGTGAATCATATCTGTCACCCGAACTCCATGCAGTGAAAGGAGCGCCATTCGCAATGCAAAGCCATAATACCAACCTTTTTTAACACCACCCGCGAATCAGAAAAGCGGAGAAAGAGCATCACTCATCATCGAGTTTAGGAGGCTGCTTCCTCGTCCTCCGCCCAGACCCCCACCCAATATCCTCCAACTCACGAACCTGACCAAGTAGAGTGTCAGGCTTCTTAAGCTTCCCAACATCCTTGCCAGCATCCCGCAGAAACTCCGCTCTCATAGCCGCCGCATCGGCATCCTCGTAGTCCAGCTGGGTCATTTGAGGTTCCTGATTCTCTTCATCTTCGCCGTCAATCGGGGCTGGGAGTCGGTCGGTCAGGAAGTCGAATTTCCCGCCGCTAAAAAAGGACGAGAGGCTTTGGTCGTTGCGGCTGTTGGTGCGGGATAGTGAGTTATCGCGGCTCGGGTTGGCGCTTTCTAGGGCGCTGCCTAGGCCGTCGTCGTTGAGTGTGTCGATTGAGCTGGCGCGAGAGGGATTGACTATGGCCTCTGGTCTTGCGGAAGGATGAGATGGTGCGCGGCCTAAGAGGGGCTTGCGTTTCCTTCGAGGTGGGTAGCTGTCGTTTTCGTTGGTAGAGACGTTCTCGCTTTGCTGTCGCGTTTTAGCGGCTTGTGCTTGCTGTAGAAGTCCTTTGAGTGCCGTGTCCAGCGCGGATGGGGCGGCCGGAGTCGCCTCGTCTGGTGCCGGTTGATTGGAAGTCTGGTCTTCGGATAGCGGATTGTCTGCTGGCCTGTCCAGCGAGGGAGACCGTGATTCTGGTACTGAGGGTTTGGGTGCTTCATAGGGTGCTTTATAGGGATCCTCTTCTTTAGAGAATCCGTCGCCAATGATAGGCATCATTCGAGTGTTGCTGTTTTTTGCTGGTACGAGCTTATCGGTTGTCTCCCTCTGAAAAGATTCCGTTGATGCTCTAGAATGTTCGTCCCGCGGTTTGCCTATGAGATGTGACTGCCTTTCCTTGGCGCCTGGTTTTGAAATGCTGCCATTGGTTTGAGCTCTCTGTCTTCGGACGGTATAAGGCTCAAATGGTTTCTTCTGACCAGATTGAATGGAGATCCACAGCCAGTCGGCAGATACTGCTGGAATTCCCCATTCATATGTGTGTCGTAGTTTATCATGACTAGCAGATTGGGGGTCGTTGCATATTAATACGGAGGCGTTGGATGTAAGATATTCATCATATGAAGCCCCCATCAATTCAACAAGCTTGGAGAGGTGCAGGAGGTCGATACGCGCAAAGCCAGTAGAGCATATCCGCATGCCCGTGAACCCTAGAGCGATTAGACTCAAGTCGACGTTTCCTAGCTGGTAATAACTTACCTGGGAGAGGAAATTTCGGAAACGGTGTGCTCGCAACATGTGATTCTGGCGGGACCAGTGCTCTGGCATCAAGGCACCTTTCTAGCCACATGTCGGTTACAACTTCACACTCAAAAGCCAGGTCGTCGGTCGATGGGATCTCTGATCTGGGGGTTTTGTAGGGTACAATGATGTACAGTCCTTGGCCAGTTTTTGGTATGCTCGGGCGAGAGAACTCGCTCAATGATTCCACACACTGAGCTCCGTTGAATTGAAGATGATGCCGCAATACGCCCATCTGGCGGATGTAAGTCATCTGCACGACAAATCAAAATGATTACCACTCACCTGCTTAGAGGAAAACCCGTGGATGAAGAAATAGGACCCATCGAGAAAACCTTCCGGTACCTTCGAATGTGTCTCCGGCTGCTGACGATTGTCCATGGTTTCGTTGAAGGTTGTCTCACTCGCAAACGATTTTGCGGCTTGAATGAAAGGTTTAGGCTTCTCGGCCTCGAGTTCTCCTGTCTGGCCGCTTCCTGATCCCGTCGTCTCGGTATTTGCAAAGCCCGCGCCCATGATGTCTCCCCAAATATTCTCGTTCTGACCCACCAACTTGGTACTTGCAGTTCGGCGCAACTTCTTCCTAGGCCGTGGATTTGACAAACTATCCTTGGCAGAAGACCTTTCTTTCCCCGCCTGTGCCTTCGCCGGCGGGAAAGATCGATTCCATGCCCCCACGCCTTGCTCTTCCAGTGGCAGCATTGGGTGGTATTTTTCTTCATCGAGGGTCATTCCGCGCTCGAGACAGTCATGGAACCACTTGACCGTCACAACCTTGATATTCCATTGCGTTGCGAATCTGTATTTTTCACCCTCCGTGTTTCGTGCGATAAGATGTGTGACGCTTTTGGTCAGGTCTTTGCGGAATTCGGCTCCATTTTGTACGGCGCTGTCATGCATATTGGTCCGAAAGGCCACTGGGATGAATGTCAGCTTTGTCTACCCATTCGTCGTGGAAGTTCTGAGGACTCACTATCGGAGAATCCGGTAATACAGATCGTGAGACCGAAGAATGCGGGTACTTTATATTCTTCCTCCAACGCCCGAATGTCGGTGTCCTCTCCCTGCATCCATGATTGTCGTACGGCTTCGATCCATTCTGGCTTCAAAACGGCCACATCGTTCCGCTCGCGGGCCACAAACTTATATTTTGGGGAGTCCGTCGCCCCGACAAGTAGATGGGTCACGTCCGATGTTAAGTCGGGTCGTTCAGATGCGCCCATTTCCTTTGCAATTCTGATGAGTTGAGTCTGTATAGGAGATTTGCGCATTAGTCTGCGTCCATGACGGCGGAAAAGACCAGATCGTTAACACGAGACATACCCTTTGCTCTAGTGGGACCGACGTGAAGCAAATGACTGCGCCTTCGAGCGGGTGCTCCTTGTCTATAACTCCGCCGGTTAGAAATTGGGTCGCGATTTGAAAGATGGGTATATTGGTCGACTTGCCGGAAGCCATTGTCCCTGCCATTCTGCATGATCTGTAGGGACCCCGCTCAAGTTTCAATGGCGTCTCTAGCAGGGAGCCCTAGCGCCGAGTATTGGGGGAAATTAGATCTGAATGTCAGTCGAGTCCCGCGCGTCGCGATAATGCAAAGTCACGTGCTGCACGATAAGATAAGACCGTTGGTTTTGTACGCTTGTTGAAGCCTGGGGAATCAGGCAACAAGAAATTATCCGTCACGGCGGGCGCGTCTGTCACGCGTTCCGAGAATCAAGTCACCTTGAATCCGCATTGGCATCCTGCAACAACACTTGTCGGGTCTTAGCGTTTTCGTTTATGCATGTAGCCAGGCCCAGGATACGGCGTCTACGAAGTTTTCAGTCTCTCTCGCTGAATTGCTCCCGGACAGGCTCGCCGTCCGCGTGTTCGTCCACATTACGCCCTGCCCTGGAACCCGCAATGTTCAAAAAGGCCGTTAAGGACCATCCTGGAGGGGTTCATAAACCTCTTCAGTCTAATTTCCTGCGCGCAAACACAATTGTGACCTCCAAGCCTTCACCACCTCCTCCCCAATCCTCCGGCGTCAAGCGCAAGATAGAGATGCACAATGGCGGGGAGTCCTCACTCGGTTCCCTCCACAGCTCTGTTTACTTTGACGAAAACGACTTTGATGATGACCTCGACCTTGATATCGATGAACCTCTTCCGTTTACCGCGCCGGCCGTCAGTAAACCTACGAAGCCGGACATTGTGACTTATCCCACCATCGACCTTACAAGCTCGAACGATAATAATGCGGCGCCTCTTAATGGAAGCCAGCCGCAGTCAAATATAACATATCCGGAATTGCCACCTGCCTCGCAGGAACGTGCCGCGCCTTCAAGCAGCATCCAAATCCCGTGGTCCTCCTCCCCACCTTCTCACTTCCAGCCGCCTCCCAGACCGCGCACTCTGCCATGGCTGAAGGAAGCCAAGGAAGAACCCGATCAAGAAAAGAAGGAACTTCCCAGATTTGTGACACCGAAGCGTACAAAGCCGTCAGAACCTTGGAACAAGAGTGCGAGCGCGATCAAGGAAGAGCAGAAAGAATTGAGGCGGGAATACAAGAAGAATCAAAAAGGCGAGGAAGTCCCACAACCCCAGAGCGAGGAAAAGGTTGCCGGCATATTCCTGAGCGATGAACAAAAGGCTGTTCTCGATGCCGTTGTTGAACGTGGAAAGAGTATCTTCTTCACTGGATCGGCAGGTACTGGAAAGTCCGTCCTCATGCGAGAGATCATCAAACACTTGCGCAGAAAATACAAGCGAGAGCCAGATCGAGTAGCGGTGACGGCATCCACAGGCCTCGCAGCTTGTAACATCGAGGGTGTCACTCTTCACAGCTTCGCCGGCATTGGACTGGGCAAAGAGGCCGTGCCTGAATTGGTTAAGAAGGTGCGTCACCTCTATTCGGCTAGAAAGGCCCAAATTCTGACAATCAATAGATTAAGAAGAACCAAAAAGCACGAAACCGCTGGCTACGCACCAAGGTTCTCGTCGTTGATGAAGTGTCGATGGTTGATGGGGACCTTTTTGATAAACTCGAGGAAATTGCCCGGCGCATTCGCAACAACGGGCGTCCATTTGGAGGCATTCAACTCGTTGTGACTGGTGACTTCTTCCAATTGCCACCGGTGCCGGATGGAAGCAACCGCGAGGCAAAGTTTGCGTTCTCCGCGGCTTCCTGGAATACTTGTATCCAGCACACCATCCTTCTGACCCATGTATTCCGTCAACGTGATCCTGAGTTTGCGGCGATGCTTAATGAGATGCGACTGGGCAACATTAGCCCGTCGACAATCGATGCGTTCAGGAAGCTCTCCAGGCCGCTCAACTTCCATGACTCGCTTGATGCAACTGAATTGTACGACATCTTTCCCTTTGACTAATTTCTGTACACATGCTAATTTTACGAAGGTTCCCTACGCGTTCTGAGGTTGAGAACGCAAATTCTCAGCGGATGCATAGACTCTCTGGCGAGCTCATGACATTTAACGCTGTGGATTCTGGCACCATCCAGGACGTCCAACATCGCGAGAAACTCCTGTCTAACTGCATGGCCCCGCAAACTATTCACCTCAAAAAAGGCGCCCAAGTGATGCTTATCAAAAACATGGAGGACAGCCTTGTCAACGGATCTATTGGACGAGTAGTTGCCTTTATGGACGAATCGACCTTTGACTATTATCGAGACAACGAAGGGGACTTTGCCGGAGGTGATGGCAATGCAAGTGACGATGAAGGTCTCGCTCGTGCAAGGAAGAAGCTCAAGCCCATGGCACACAAGGAAGGCGGAGTTACCGTGACGCGAAAATGGCCGCTGGTATGCTTTGTGCAGCCCGATGGCACCGAAAGACATCTACTTTGTCAACCCGAGGCTTGGAAAATTGAGCTTCCCAACGGAGAAGTTCAAGCGCAACGTCAACAAGTGCCATTGATTCTGGCGTGGGCCCTTTCGATCCACAAGGCCCAAGGTCAGACTCTCCAGCGAGTTAAGGTCGACTTGGGTCGAGTTTTCGAGAAGGGTCAGGCCTATGTGGCTCTGAGTCGGGCAACCTCTCAGGCCGGACTACAAGTTACTCGTTTCGAGCCTCGAAAGGTTATGGTTCACCCTAAGGTTGTCGATTTCTATAATAACTTGGTGTCCATCAACCAAGTCATCAAGCCCAAGAAAACCGGCAGTGGGTTTGAAAATGGACTTGATGAGTTCATAAATGCTATATAGGTGTGATGGTCTATAGAAGCGCAATACTCATTGTACCGATTTGGTTGGGGCTTTTATGTTATCTATGTCTCGATTCAATATAGAGATATCCCCAGAATTACCATTTCTTGTCTTCTCTCCCTCTTGTTAGCGCAATATTCCAGGTTCCAATATAGATGTCGATGGGTGTAGACCGATTAATCATTAATACCGGCTCGTCTTACATCCTCACACCGGCACAGGCAAACAGCCTCAAACGCGTGGTTTGCGTGTTTTACTCAGATACACGCGCTCATCCCCCACACTGCTTATCGATAACAACACGTGACACTGCCCTCGAAGCTGCCTGAGCTTTCTTTTTCATCTGCAGGTTTTGTCCTCTGCTTACCCCCGTCTGCACATCGTATCAATTACTCTCTCCAATGCTTCTGGTATCCCAGATTACGCGTGAGATCCAGTGAACATGGCTTCCGAGTTCATTGGGTACAACGTGCTTGTGAGCCTTCGAACACCGCCAGGTGGGAAGCTCCAAGGCCAGGTTGCTGATGTGATTGGACAAAACCTATTGCTTCACAATGGTATGACACCAGAAATGATAAGTTTCTTGGACCCTGCTGACCGATTGACCGTATTTCTTCTAGTCACACTCCTGTGGAACGGTCAGCGCCTCCCCCACTACTCCCTGGACGCCTCCTCGATTATCGACCTCTCTCTGGAATCGACCAACAAACCTCCCCCGCAGCATCAGCAGATGCAAGATGCTCCAGTACAGCGTTCTCATCAATCCAATGCCCCTCCTACCCAGCAGCAGTTTGTCGACCCGGCGATTCTGAGCTATTCCAAACCCCCTTCCGAAGTCGCCAAGGCACCTGCTCCCAGGCCGCAGACTCAGCATGCCCCGCCACTCGCTGCCTCCTTGACTGAACCATTCAGTGACCTTGAGTTGAATGTGGATAGTGGAAGAGCTGGCATACACGGAACCTCGCAGGTGAAGGAACTCCAGGAGAACTTGACCCCAACCAAGCAGCCATCGCGCCGAAGCCGACGAGCCAACGATGATGGATTCACGAGCAAACATAGTGCCGCCGCCAGCACCAACCCGAAGAGCAAAGGCTGGCGCCAGACTGCATTCGTCGAGCCCGCCGTCCCGGTGAACCTAGCCTCCCCCGAACACAAGATGCAGCCCGGCGCAAAGCTTCGCAAGAAGAAGACCCGCCGTGCTTATGAGGAAGACCCCAGTGGATGGGCTACGGAGGATGCAACGGACATTCAGGAACTGGGAGAATTTGATTTCCAAAGTAATCTGTCCAAGTTCGACAAGCGACGCGTGTTTGAGGAGATACGAAACGATGACACGACGGCTGATGAGGCTCGCCTTGTCAGCTTCAACCGAAAGGTCAAGCCGGGAACTAATGGTGGAAAGAACCTTCACTGGACCGAGAACGTGCTCGACAGTCCGCAGAACAGCGATTTCGGCGACGATGCTGTCTTCAGCGATACCAGACTCAGCAGCGAGAACATCTCCGGGCGTGAGCGATCGAGAGCATCGACGCGCATTCAGACATCTCGCAAGGGCAGCGCAGTTCTGGGACAGGCCACCATGCCACAGATCACTGCGATAGGCCGCACTCAGCTGAACACATCTCGTACTACAAGTCCTCGGCCCGGCAGATCATCTGTTTCGCCTATGATCGGCCCCAGTGTATCGAGTGCATCTCTGCGACTGTCAACTACCAACCGTAGCTGCCCGACCGTGAGCCCACTCCAAACACTCGAGGTCGAGCAGATCGCAGTAGCCGAGTTCGGCTTGAGCGAAGACATCATTACTGAGAATGCAGGCCGAGGCATCGCAGAAGCAGCTGTTGGCCTCCTTTCTGACGATGCGGCTGCGCCCACCATCCTGATTATCACTGGCAACCACCGCACTGGGGCTCGTGCTATTTCGGCAGCGCGCCACCTGCGTAACCGTGGCCACCGTGTCACCGTCTGTGTGCTCGGGTTAGAGCACGAAGCTGAGCTGCTGGAGAACTGTCGCAAGCAACTGGAGATCTTCCGGAAGATTGGAGGACGCGTTCTCAAGTGGGAGGATCTCTCAGCTCGTCTTTCTACAGCTGAGTTGGCTCCTGATCTGGTGATTGACGCCTTGTTTGGCATGCACGTCGCCTTCGACGACCTTCGCACTGACGACCAAGCCGTTGCCTTTGAAATGATCTCATGGGTGAACCGGAGCAATGTCCATGTGCTCTCGGTTGACGTTCCGTCGGGGATGTCAGCTTCGAGTGGTATGTCTTCTCATTGAGCTTTCTTTTTCCATAATTAACTAACATCTGGTTACAGGCGAGGCGGCTATTGTTGATGGGGGCCGACTGTGCATCAACACCTCATCCGTGGTGTGTCTTGGCGCCCCGAAGACCGGTATTCTGAACGCCCTACTCGCCGGCGAGGGGCTTACCTGGAACGTCACCGTAGCCGATATTGGCATCCCACAGATCGTATGGCGGAAGTATGGAACCAGAAGACGCCATGGGATCGATTTCGGGAACAGATGGGTGGTACCTCTGCGGCTCCAGACCCTGGCTTCTTGAGTGGATTCTCCATCCGCTCTCGTTATGAATTCATACAAGGCGTTTGTTTCGGGATCAGGGGATACCGAGCGCGGCTCGTGGCCCATCCGGCGTTTCTCCTAGATGTTCTTTAAGGAAGGGAAAATCATGTACATATATCTCTAGCGATCCCAGGCGTTCAATTCCCACCAGGGTTAATCCACCGAATTTAACTCCCTAACCATTTGTACACTCGTGCGTATAATATCATAACTCGAGCATGGGACCTCGGGAGCCTTGGAATAGTCTTGAGGCCGATTCCATTACTTTAGGCTGGCGGAGAGACCACTTAGGCGTTAGCTTTTCGTGCACTACGGCCGTCTAGTAGATGGGAGATCCTAAGTACTGTATGCCACTTCAACCACAATGAGCCTTAGTATAACCTTCCAATTGGACTTTTATGAGAACATCTAGCAAGACATCTATAAAAATAACCCGGCAGATATTGGCAGAGATATAGATATATAGGCAGCCTTTTGAACATTCGCTTATCCATTCGCCAATACCTAGTATCAGGGATAATGAAGACGACGTACGGGAAAGAAATGCCGTCGTGTACGAGGAAGAGAGAGGTTTCTTCTGAGGAGGACGATGGCATTTCTGCTTGATCAAGCTTGGGGGAGAACATCGCGTCCCGACTAACTATGAGACGTCCATATTTTCAGGTGTCCAGGCATAATGAGCTAGTCCCGAAAGGGCTAGAACACCCTGCGTCATTCTCGCGGACTTTCGAGTCGAAAAAAGAGAGTCGACAAAAGCTTGAGCTTCGCGCACCATGGGTAAAGGTAGGTCCTGAAACCTCTATTTGTAGGGAATAGAGACTGACAATCCCTGAAATAGGAACGGACAAGCTTTACGTATGCGATCCCTCTCAGTTGCCCACCTCCCGCTCCGTCGCATATTGGATATCCGCTAACACTCGCGTTAATAGATCACCCACTCCGAGTGGGCATCTGAAGATGCATTCTCAGCCAGCGCGGGCGCTGGCGTTGCCAGGGCCAGAAATGGAGGCCCTCACGCGGCATTCAAACGCTTGCCATTCAATTTCTGCTCCCTCTCCCTTCAGCCATTTGCGCATCCGGTCTGCACACCCACGGGAACTATCTTCGATCTCACAAACATCCTGCCGTGGATTAAGAAGCATGGGACGAATCCGGTGGATGGGTCGCCGCTGAAAAGCTCCGACTTGATCAAGCTCACCATCGCGAAGAACGAGGAGGGCGATTACGTCGACCCGGTTACCTACAAGGTCTTGACGGATAATACACACATTGTCGCTCTGCGCAATACGGGAAATGTGTTCTCGTGGGATACGGTTGATCGGCTAAACATCAAGGGGAAGCTCTGGCGCGATCTCGTCACTGACGAGGAGTTCAGCCGCAAGGATATCATTACCCTGCAGGACCCGCAGAATATCGAGTCTCGCAACCTCAGTTCGTTCAATTACTTGAAGGAAGGAGAAACCGAGATTCTGGAGGAAAACCAGGCGTCGGGCAGTGTTAATACGAATGCGCTGGGGAGTTCGGCCAAGATCTTAAAGGCGAAGGAGGCAGTGGCCAAAGCACGTGCGGAGCGCGCACAGCAGCAGGCTGGCCCTGCTGGCTCTAAAGCGGTTTCCAAGTCTGGCTCGGGCTCAGCTACCTCCAAATCGGGACAGGCCCAGCCGGGGAAGCCTACACCCTATAACGCTGCACGATTCACGACGGGCAAGGCTGCCGCCTCATTCACCAGCACAGGATTGACACCTCATACATCGGCAGAATTGGCACTCCTATCCGAGGAGGAGTATATGCTCAAACGGGGTAGGGTCAAGGGCAAAGGCTACGCGCGGATCGATACCACTGGCGGGCACCTGAACGTGGAGCTATATCCCGAATATGCACCCAAGGCCGTGTGGAATTTCATCCAGCTTGCCAAGAAGGGATACTACAAAGATGTCACCTTCCATCGCAATATCAAAGGATTCATGATCCAAGGCGGTGATCCCACCGGCACCGGACGAGGTGGCGAGAGTGTTTGGGGCAAGTACTTTGCCGACGAGTTTGAAGGACCCCTGAAGCACGACGCGCGAGGCACGCTGAGCATGGCCAACAAGGGAAAGAACACGAACAGCAGTCAATTGTGAGTTGAGAAACTACCCAGCTCGAGTTACCATCTAGCTAACGAGTGCGTTACTAGCTTCTTCGCCTACCGAGCTTTACCTCATCTCGACCGAAAACACACGGTCTTTGGGCGACTCATCGACGACCCGACTCCTTCATCCGCCACACTCAACAGGCTGGAAACCAACCCCGTTGAATCATCAACTAATCGACCTACCCCCGAGATCCGCATCAAGGATGTCACGGTGTTTGTCGATCCCTTCGAGGATTTTCTCAAGCAGAAACGCGCAGAGGACACACAGGATCCGGCGGCCTCAACGGTCGACGATAGCGAGGCGTCTCGTCGCATGGACGACGATCGGGTCACCTGGACCGGGAAGCGCGTCCGTGGACACGGTGCAAACACGGACGGTGAATCCATCGGTGTTGGCAAATACCTAAAAGCTGCGCTGGCCGATCGTGAAGAAGACGAGATCATGGAATTTGTGGACGAGCCTGAACCCGAGCCTGCTCGCAAGAAGGCTAAGGGTACTGGGGGCTTCGGAGACTTTAGCTCCTGGTAGCCTCATTTCCATAGTTTCACTCTCGAGGTCCGGTTTTACACGGGTAAATGTACATGATTTTTAATTATTTTGGGTGGAGTTTAGTGCAAAAGGTGAGGTCATACCCAAGTTGAGGTAGTTTGCGGAGCCCAAAAATGATGACGAACGTTCTTTTTTTTTTTTGTAGTTCCAAGGTCAGCGGGGATCGGCAGATCAGAGTCAGCGCGAGCCCCTTGCAACAATGGCAGTCAAATACATGTAGTCGAATACTCCGATACCTACGGAGTACGGAGGAGTTGACCACCAGTTACAAGCGCCTAGGATAGTCGCCCCCGAGGCCCACTCGCCCACTCCGTTCTTGGCTCCTCCGCCTCGAGTCTCGTACGCAACGGGGCGGAGTCAACCCAGTTTCCTCTTCCGGATATCATCACCCCAACTCATCTCTGTGCACCCTCACGCAATTCTGCCTACTTCAAGTACCTCAGTACACTCTTTGTCCATCACGGTAAGCTTGACTTGCAGCACTCGCCACAATATGCATTGTTCTCCGGGGGTTCCGCTCGGGGGTTGGGCCATAAGCATGAGTCTCGCTCTCCTTCTATGAGAAGGTGACGGAGTGCGTCTGTGCATCTGGATAGCTTCATCTTGCCCCAGCATAGCTCTATCTCATCTCAATGGACTGTTTATCCCTAAGCGCTCGCTTCCGCGAAGCTGAGGGAACTTCCCCTCTTTGCCCCCAGCTCCCCCCATTGATTATGTGTCTTGCGTTGCCTCTTTCACTCTTTCACTACACCATCAGCTTTGCATGACTCTGTGCTCAAATTCAGATCGACGTTAATGCCTGTGACCGTATAGCCCTTCACCTCTATCGTCCGATCGGCCGACCATACGTCAGTCCGCCGTATCGCCATCCGCCCTCACCCCCACCAACCTCCCACCTCGAATCGCCCCCGTCCGTCAGGGATACAATCAAGCTGGCAGGTAAACAGCGCCGCAGCTTTTCTTCTCAGGGTGGGTTGCTGAACAGAATGTTCAGTGGCTCCTCGAGCCCACCCAAAGACAGAATCGACTCTTCTCCCCCCGTTGCCGGAATCGACACGAGTTCCTTGAGCCTTCAGCCCGAAAACGCTAGTCCTCGCGACAAGAGGTTTTCCCCGCCCGGCGCTGGATTCTTTCGTCGTCAGAGTGAAGACCAAAGCCCTGCCAGCGATAAGAAACGCAGGAGTAGCACCGTTACGAAAGCGGCGACCTTCTTCAGTAACGCCAAGAATTCCCTTAGTTTGAACGGTGGTCGGGAATCTTCTTCGTTCAGCACCAGCCCGTCGATCTCGGAGAGTCCGCTCGAGAAACTGGGGAAGATGGATCCGGCCCTCAGCGTCCCTCAAGGGTCGTTCAACAACTCTGCCGGTGAATCCGCACCTACGGCGCGCTCGTCTTTCCGCGTCGGTGTCACAGAAGACAAGAACCGAAAATGTCGCCGCACAATGGAGGATACACATTCCTACTTGTACAACTTTTTAGGTACTCCGGCCCCGAATGCACCGCCGGATATAAACGGCAACGAACCCCCTGGCGCCGCGAGTGAGGGCTCCGAGGATTCGAAAAATGTGGTGGAAACAGACAACGGATACTTTGCGATTTTCGATGGGCATGCTGGCACATTTGCAGCCGAGTGGTGCGGGAAGAAGCTGCATTTGATTCTTGAAGAGATCATGCGGAGAAGCCCCAACACGCCCGTGCCCGAGCTTCTTGACCAGACATTTACCAGCGTCGACCAGCAGTTGGAGAAGTTGCCTCTCAAGAACAGCGGGTGTACAGCCGTGACTGCCGTGCTTCGTTGGGAAGACCGTATCCCCAGCTCAAGTTCAGCCACTGGATCCGCTGCTTTGGCCCCTGCAGCTGCGGCTGCGACCAATTCCGAGACCACTGAGACACCGACCCAAGGAGCTCCATCCGGTGGATCCCTCCCCCAGTTGCAAGAAAAGGCCGCTCGTCAACGTGTCCTGTACACGGCAAATGTTGGTGATGCTCGCATCGTCTTGTGTCGTAACGGGAAAGCTCTTCGTCTATCGTACGACCACAAGGGCAGTGACGAGAATGAAGGGAAGAGAATTTCCAACGCTGGAGGTCTCATCCTCAACAACCGTGTTAACGGAGTGCTAGCTGTCACCCGAGCTTTGGGTGATGCCTATCTCAAGGACCTGGTGACCGGGCATCCTTATACAACCGAGACGGTTATCCAGCCTGATGCAGATGAATTTATTATTCTGGCTTGCGATGGGGTAAGTTTTCATCTGTTTCTATCCTCTGGTTGTGTTCGTAATGGCTAATACTTTCTTTTAGTTATGGGATGTCTGCAGTGACCAAGAGGCCGTCGATCTTATACGCAATGTGCAAGACGCTCAGAACGCCTCCAAGATCCTCGTGGATCATGCTCTCGCGCGGTTCAGCACCGATAACCTTTCATGTATGGTCATCCGCCTCGATTCAAACCGGGTCAAGGACGTCGTCACCAGCAGGGCTGAGCCAATTGGTGTCGATGGTGATCCCGTCAATGTTCCCCACGGCGTCAGTGAAGCCGACAAGATTGTGGAGGGCGCCAGGAAAAGCATAGCCAGCGCAGGGATAGCCGACGACCCAGAGTCAGCCGAACAAGCCAATGAAGCAATCCTCGAAAAGATGGCGAACAGCGATCAAGAAGCGGGGCCGGAGATAGCTATCGACGACCCTAGCCATTTGCCCTCGGTGGACATCCTGAACCCGCCAGAAGGCCGGGAGACTCGCTGATTGCCCCAAGCCATATTCTGAAACGGCATGCCTCGGATTTTGCAGGAGCAGCAAGCAGATAGAACGTGCACATACTTTTTTTGTTCTCCGTTACTCGCCGTTGATACTCCAAAGAGCAACGTGGCCGACGTTGGGTTCGGAGGTTTCTTCTATTGTTCTGCTCCTGTTGCCTTACATTGCACATCGGCGTCAATTATGATTTGCACCCCTTCCCCTGTTTTTTATTTCACTCGTGTTGCCGCCAACAAGGAAATTGGACCAGGCTGTCGCAGTGTCCTTGCTATCGGCATCTTTCCTATCTATTTGGAACTTTTGCCCGTCCTGGGTTCATGAGACTAAGACCTTTTTATCTTGTCATTCTATTTTGTTCTTGAATATCACTTCTCGATGACTTGTGACCTCGTGTATGTATGGCTTTTGTTCACAATGTAAATTGAGACGGGCAACGTTTTGACTGCGACATGCGTGATGAATAAGGGTTACTCTCGTAGAATATCATACTGGGAGTCGGAGACTTTGGACTATCTTTGTTTTTCACTATAGTGAAGAATTGTCTAAAAATACAATTTATGCAAGTGGTTCCAGTAGCTGGGGCAAAACCTATCAAAAGGGAAAAAAAAATTACACAATCACCCATCGCCTGAGTCCAAAGGATGGAAGGAGGTATGGGATATCAACAATTGCACAATCGCTCAATGCGGGCGAAGAAAGAGACAAGGCTGGGAAAAAAGCAGAAGCGACACCATCAAGACGATGACCGCTTACTCCTTCCGCTCATTGAACTCATGCTCCGTAACAACCTCATCGGTGCCATCCAGGTGTCGCTCCCGGCCAATGATAGCACTGCGCTTGATCTCCAGCTCGCCGTGCTCGACATTGCTGGGCCACGACTCGGCATAGTGCGCATCGTGCGCATCCCGCCAGAGAAGCTTGACGGACTCGACGTTCTCGGGGTATGCACCATCCTCCTCGCCAATCTTGACCTGCACTCCGGTCCGGTCCTGCTCACTCAGCTGCTTCTCGAGCGCCCCGATCCGAGCCATGTTCTTAATAGCCTGCTCGTTCTCGCGCTCAAGGGCCTCGCGGCGGCGTTGGCGAGCCTTCTTGGTCAGGTATCCTCGCTTGTAGTCATCCTCCAGGAGCCCGTTCTGGATTTCCTCTTGTTGGATGGCTAGGACAGCAGCAATGTCCGCCACGGAGGTAGCCTTTTGGTCCATGAGAACCCGGGCACGCTCCTTCTTTTGCATCGGCTTGCCGATCCGCTTCTTGTTCAGTTCATCGAACTCCTCCGCCTCTACCGGGTTCTTCGGTCGCTTCAGTGCCAGGTACTCTTTTGTCACTGTGATCATCTCGGCCGGGGGAGAAAATTGTCGCTGCATCGAGAATTCGCGGAGCAGTTGGTAGGCTCGTAGGCCGAGGCGCGCATCGCCGAAGTGAACGGAGTAGTATGGAATCCACATGTCTCGGCGCAGATCGGCAGGAACGGTCTTCTTGCCATGGTAGACCATCTGGCGGAGGAGGTTGTTCTTCTGTGATGGTTGTTAGACATTGGCCAGATTGTCGAACGAGATCCGCTTGTAGCAGGTGGACGCTTCGGCTGATACCGCAAGAAAGCCTCTGAGAAAGGAAACAATTAAAAGACTCACCTCCAAATACCGAGTTAAGGAGTAGACCACCTGCTTGGTGCGGACATTGTGATAGACGAAGATATGCTTGCCGTGGGAGATCGAATTCAGCGCCTTCTGAAGCCGCACGCTCTCCCGCTTGATGTGCTCCTTGAATGCATTCGAGGTCGTCTCTCGTGGCTTTCCTTGAATTGGTTGCTTCGGGTCAACCGGTGGCTTGCGTACGAATTTCAACAAGGACGCGATTTTAGTTGAGTCTAGGATCTTCTGGATCGGCTTTGACGCCGCGCTGGAGGAGGCCATTGCGGCCAGTGGCTGTGTGCGATCACCGGAGAATGAATAAACTGAGCGGTCCCGGTGAGATCTCTCGCATTGACTCGGGGGGTTGCTGTTCGTCGGTGTTGACGGGGATCGTAGGAAGTGAGGATCGGAGGTCGATTTTTTGACGGGGCGGCCGTGGTCTTGGCGCCGCCTGCTCTCCGCATCGTCTTATCGCTTTGCTTCTGCCATTGCTGACGCGCAGGTCCTTTGTCTCTTTTGATTCGCTTTCTTTGCGAATAATGACTGCTCGGATCAGATAGCCGTGCAGCTGCGTTAACTCCCGCCCCTCCCTGGCCGACTCGATACTCGCGATGGACGGCGCAGGCGGCATGGACGCAGCCACAGAACATGACGCCGGTTCGCGCAGGGAGCGGCCGTGGCTCTATGCATCGGTAAGATCAATGTTTAGGGCGTGCAACACAATACTGACAAGCTTTAGAACCGCAAGCTTCGACATCTTCATGGCATTTCCGTTCGTAACCTCGTGGTCACTCCACCCCCAACGCGAGGTCGTGGCAAGACGATTGATGACGACGATATCCCCAATACCTTGAAGTCGCCCTCGAAGATTCTAGCACAGAATGAGAATCACTCGATACATCCCTCGCGGTCTTTTACAGACCTCAAGTCGCGCGCAAGTCAAGAGAATCATGCAGACAAGAAGCCCGACAGGTACCAGTTGCGACGCCGAAGTACTATGTTTTGGAACGATCCCAACCCTCGAACAAGACAGATCAGACTGGAGGATATTACTAAAAACCGCATGGCGGATACTTTTTTCTCAATTCATTGCCAGGGTATCGATGAACCAATCTACATTAGCGAAGTGGTCGACAAGGCAACCAATCCTAATTTCCGATCGTTTGACTTGAATTCCTCTGGACCTTTGGTCTCCCGAAGGGACACATTGACCGTCAAGCTCTGGGCAAAGACGGAGAATTTACCTGAATATGAGCTGCTCGTTGAGTTACAATTGAACCTACGATCGCTCCAGTTCTTGGGGAAGACGATTGAGAACTTCCATCAACCACTTCCAACCAATTGTATCTTGTTTCATTTCCCTGACGGGGTTTACACGAATCTGACAGACCTTCCCCCGGTTGAGCCATTCCTCAATGGCGCAAGACAGCGGGCGAATCCTGATGGAACCACGCTACCTACCTCTTCCTATGATGCATTGATGCGGTTGGCCAATCTGGATGAGTGTATCCAGGATGCCCTAGCAACTCGGGAGAGATTGGAAACGCAGATTGGAGACATTCTGAAAAGTAACGAAGGCGCCCTGGAGACCGAGAGCAATGCTGCCCAAGCGGAAGACCGCCTTTCATCTATCAAACATGCTGTGTTGGCCGAGAGAAAGCAAATCAGAGCCAGCACAAAGCGAAAAGAGGAACTTGCTGCCAGTATTAAAGCTCGCAAAGAAGCCATGGAGCTAGGTCGGCTCACGCAGGAAAAGGCCCAAGGCCATCTCCCGGATGCTCAAGAGAAGTTGGTCTCCTGTGAGAAATTGCTCCACCGGAATTCGGAAGATACAAAGGGCCAGATAAGTCGTATTGCGGAAGATTTGTCGCTCATCTACCCCATTGAACCAATTCCCGACAAGTCACTTGCTTTTACCATCTCTGGACTGCCGCTCCCCAACTCAAACTTCGAAGACACCGACCGCGAAGTGGTTGCAGCAGCACTGGGATACACCGCTCATCTTGTATACCTGCTATCTTTCTACATGTCGGTGGCCATCCCTTACCCAATCAACCCAAACCAGTCGACCTCCTTGATCCAGGACCCCGTGTCCCAGGACCTTCCACAGCGCACTTTCCCCTTGTACCCGGGCAGCGTGAACTATCGCTTCGAGTACGGTGTCTTCCTTCTAAATAAAGACATCGAGTTCCTTCTCAACAAGACAGGCACCCGCGGTCTGGATATTCGTCACACCCTCCCCAACCTCAAATACCTCCTTTACATACTCACCGCTGGCGTGTCTGCGATTCCGGCACGGAAGGCTGGAGGCATTCGGGGACTTCTTTCTGGCCGGTTGACACCCAATTTGTCTCGACGCGGTAGTATGGACAGCGCTGCCTCTGGCGAGTTGGTGCATCCTCACAAGGCTTGGGACGTGATTTCTAGGATTAATGGACATGCCGTGAACGGCGCCCCCAAGACGGCAAATCAGCCGCCCTCGCCCCGTGTGGCATAACCTCCGTCAATTACATGGATAATTCTTTTTATTTATTTGTTTTGATCGCATTCTATGGCTTTGGCTCCAGGGCGAATGCATTGTGTACATCAAAAGGCGTACATAGCACAGTAAATTGCATGAGCGAATGTGGTTTCTTGCCATTGAAGTTAATTGAAGATTTGATGAATCTATGTACCTATTAAATGTCGTGTTTCAAGCTTCCTATGGCTTTGATAGGGTTATCCACGAAGGCTGTTCCCCGGGCGGCTGTTTCACGTTACAGCCGGACCAAAGGAGATATTGCGAATGGGCCTCAATACTTTATCCGCTTAGTGCTTCTAAATCTCCTCCCGGGTATTTCTGTAAACGGATTTCTAAATATCTTTTGATTCCATTTTCCAAGGTATCTTTCTAAACGTCCTCTTCAAAACTCCCGGACGGGCAGTTATTACCGTCTAATTAGGCCCACTTACAATATCTTCTTGGTCCGGCTGTAGAAATTGGCCCCTTGATACACCACGAATCCGAAGTCTTACATCGAACCAAATCAACAGAATACTTAGGTATGACATCACGAATATCTGGTGATGCGCTATTAGTTTATGATTTATTAGCTCTATAGGTTATTTAGCTTCCCAGCATGAACGGGCATAAGCGAATTCATAAAGCGTGAGCGATGTAACTCTTACAGTTTTTGCTACCCCGCAAGGCGTATTCCATTATACAATCGAAATTGATGGCTGGCCGAGGCCTCTGAGACTCGACGTTGGCTCCACGGGACACTTTCATGATAGAATTTTCAGGTCTAATTTTGATTTTTATGTAATTTTCTTTTGATAATTTTTCCTTCGTCGTTCCTCTAACCCGCCAGGGCTCTTTGCTTTTTCCCGAGTCGCCCAATCCGCCGGCGCTCATATAAGCTCGCCCCCCACCGCCTTCCAGCTTATCTTCGCTTTGCATCGGCTTCCCCAGCGTCACGCTCTCCACCTACCGAGAGGTGCTTTTTCACCATGGGCCAGGACACCAATAGCACGGGCCAAGATTCCGGCAAGTCACTGTCGCCTGCCCCGCAGCATAGACGCGGCTATCAGGCATGCGATCCGTGTCGCAAACGAAAGGTGAAATGTGATCTAGGCAGTACGGCGATCCCCCTCCCCCTCCCTACAAAATGTAGCTGACTGTTCACTGTCCCCCAGGTGTCGATAATCCTCGTCCCCCGCCCTGCGTGCGATGTCGACGTGAGAGTAAACTATGTGAATTTTCGGCCACCAGGCGCAAGCGCAAGGCCTCCGAAGCCGCCGAGGATGCTGAGGCCGCTGATGTTCTCCGCCGCGACAAGCGGATGATGACCGGAGAGACACCTACGAAAAAGGAACTACCTGAGGGGTCACCCTTCCCTCAATCAGAACCGCCGCTCGATACCGAAGCCTTTCGTGCTCGCCAGAGATGGTCCGAGGCGGCACCGGCACCGGCTCCAGCTCCAGCCAGCCAACGATATACTCCAAGTGCGCCGCTTGCTTCCCCAGCAAGGCAGTTTTTAGAATCAAGGAATCCCTCCCTGCCGACATATCCAATAGGGGATCGCACTTCTGTGCCTGGGTACGGCGGACAGCCCATGATGAACCGGACTGCCGTGGAGCTGTTGTCACCTGCTATTACCAATACCCACGACGCTTTACATCTTCTCTCTGAAGCGGCGGGGCGGACCGAGGATTTGAATCGCTTCGCTACACGTCAATCCGTTTCCTCCTTCAATTCAGGCCCTTCGCCTCTGGCGCATGGCAACTCCCCAGGGAACCTGAGCGGATCCCTTACACGAACTCCTCGGTCGGCCATGTCCATGGCTGGAAATGCATACTACCAAGGTGGTGGCCCCGGTATTGTGGATCCTCAGGTCTCCGATAATAATGGCCACCAAGAGGAACCGACGAACCTTCAAGACCCGGGATACATCGACGCTATTCGAGCATGGTCACGGTTGCGATTCGTCCGCGCTGGCTGGATGACGGTGGAAGAGGGCATGGAGTATGTGGCATACTATTATGAGAACCTCGCACCGATGAGCCCTGTGGTGACCCCGGACTATTCTCATCCTTCTACACATCGGACGCTACTTACCGAGGAACCGGTACTTGCTGTGACCATTCTCACAATTGCTTCTCGGCATCTAAAACCCAAGGGTGATGGTGCTAGTACAAGAGCATTCTACATCCACGACCGCCTCTGGTCATACTTGCGCGGCATGATCGAGCGCCTCTTCTGGGGCCAGGAGAAATTCGATGCTGGAGGCCCGGGTATCGGCCGGCCTCGCGGCCTCGATCTTGGATCAAACTCAGGCAGGCCAAATGCTAAAGGAAACTTGAGAGCTTTGGGTACTGTGGAAGCGTTGTTGATTCTAACCGATTGGCACCCACGGAATCTTCACTTCCCCCCTGGTGATGACGAAAACACGCTTCTAGATAGGGAGGCCCAAAGCCAAAGTCGTGCCGACAAGGATATTGACACCGAAAGTGAACAGATCGGTAACAAGGGACAGAATAGCTCTGCCGAAGGTCGAGTCGCTTTTCAAAAATGGCTGGAGCCTGCCTGGCGATCAGACCGGATGTCGTGGATGCTCTTGAGCACTGCACAAGCTCTGGCATTTGAGCTTGGCGTTTTCGATCACAAGAGCGAGTCGAAAGGTGCACTGGAAACACTCCCTGAGCAGATAAGGAAGCGCCGGCTGCGTCGATTGATTCTTGTTTTCATTACGCACAGCAGTGGTCGGCTTGGAATCCCATCAATGCTTCCCCTGCCAGAATGGGGTCAAGATCTTCCCCCAACATCAGCTGACGCCAAGAGTGACAGCCCGGATCTTGACCAGATGCAAGATTGCTGGATGGAAATATCGCAGATTGTGTATGATGCCAATCACCAGCTATTTGCCTCGAGCGAGCAAACTTCGGAGTTGATTAGGAGCGGACGATACCGGGAGCGAATCGACTGGTTCCAGCCTCAGCTGCGAGCGTTCAGACAGCACTTGGATCGCGTTAACCGTGAGTTTGGGACTTGGTATAGCACTTCGGCTGCAGACTGACAGATTACAGTTACTCCGGCCATGCGAAACATCCTGATGATCGAATACGAGTACACACGTGAGTCAACCAATGGTTCAACCACATAGGTGTGGTATCAACTAATTCAATACAGGGCTCTACGTCAATTCTCTTGCTCTCCAAGCGGTCGTCGACCGTTGGACAACAATGTCCAGTGAGTCTGCCCAGGTGCAGCCCGGAGGGTCAGGCTCGGGACCAACCTCTGGCAGCAGCGGGTGGTTCCGGACACTGATGGAGCTCTATCGCGTCAACGAGCACTATATCCAAGAAGTTGTGGATTCCTCGCGGCGAATCCTGCAGACAGTTCTGGAGGGACTCGTTCCCGGAGGCCGTCTCAAGCATGCACCCATTCGGACCTTCTTCCGTATCCTCTCGGGCATGATTTTCATCCTGAAAGTAGGTTTTCAATATATCAAATGGCAAGACCTTTTTGACTGACTCCACTTGATAGACTTTCACCCTCGGTGCTCGTGAAGACGACGTGCGGGTCTCTCTAGACCTACAGGACCGGACAGTGGAGGCACTGCGGACCTTCGTTGTCGATGACGTGCACATCAGTAACACCGTTGCTCGATTGCTGGAGCTGCTCACAAGCAGCATCCGCACACGATTCCTGCGTTTCGCACCGCATGACCGCGGAGGGGACGGAGAAGGTGCCGATCGCGGGTCAGCGCCGGCTTCACGAGCCCATTCTCCGCCGCGCGATAACGTGTCAGGTCGTCGAGACGGCCCGCACGCACCCTGGTCATCGACTCAGAGCCAAGATGCAACTCCAAGCGGAGGTGGACTGGGGTATTTGGAAAGCAACGGGAATCCGCCAGGACCGATCGGATCAGCCCACGATCCTTTGGCCAACATTCCCGCCCAGCCGATAAACTCGTCCAACTTGGGTGTATCGTTCATGCCGCCGCCTCCGTCGGTGTATTACAACTACTATGACTCGAACTCGGCCATGCCTGCCAACGAGATGGAACGATCCTCGCCGAGTCACGTCGTCCCCCACACCGTCGGGGACAGCAACGGAGCGAACGCAACATCCGGCGGGTTGCCAGACTGGTTTGCGCTGCCGCTGGATCAATTCTTCAACAGCTCCACCGGGGTTGTTGACCAGGGCCTGGGTGGAACTGGACCGATGCTGGGCGAGTTTGACATGCTAGAGGTGCTCCTGAATGAGGGCTATGACGGCAACGCCAACGGCGAGGGCGAGTCTGGGGGCGGGGCACTCACCTCCCAGTTCCTGTAAACTCGGCCTATCTTGGCGATGCCTACGATGTGACGCGTACTTTTTTTCCCACTTGCCCCTTTCACCCGTTTAAACTATATACCCCTGCGGGACTTCCTGCTTGGCGTCTTTTTTTGTGATTGAGCGTACGTGGGCGGTCATTAGGCGTTAGTACTTTGGTTGAAACAAATTCGGAAGACTTGGTCTCCTGCTTTTTCTATTTTTCCGTTTTTAGATGACATGTTCTGCTTTTGCACTTTATCTAGCTTCTGTACATCCGGCCACTAGGACCTCTCGGACCACCATATCGGTTGTTTAGGTAGACAGGCGGTCGGTTGGTAGGTAAAAGGTGGGTCTCAATTACATCTGCGGTCAGGCTGCATTCCTTCGAGATTAAAGGTATCCGACCGGTCTCCGTCGGTCTCGTGAGGGCGGAACCTTGGTTTCATCGCATTCACCGGTGGCCGCGTAGATCTTTCACATATTTGGCATTCAGTTTAGGCTTCAGCCTTGTCGATTGAGGCGTTCGGGTGGCTTGGCTCTGCATGTCTTCGATATCGGAGCTATGACGACGATGGAGCCATGATGGGCTCAACTGGCGTGAGGTACATTGAATGAGCAGTCCCGTTAAGCCTCCCGGCTACCTTTGGGTGGCTTGCAGACAAGGGTGTACGTAAGTGCTTCAATGCTACAAGTAAATGACGTTGATATATTTTGAAACGTACAAATTGAACTTTGTATCTATGAAACCGCAGTGCAGTGACAGCGAGGGGTCTGATGGATTCGAAGGATTGATGTATAGGGTCTTTTTCATTTCACCGCAGCGACACGAGTCGCACGACAGCGATTCATGCAGTAGTCTCTGCACGAGGCTTGTCTCATCGATCTATCCGAGAGCATGATGTGACTAGTTCATTACCCGACCAAGGGTATCGCGGAAGCCTGGAAAGATCTGACAGCCGGACCCCGTACATCAACCAGGGCAGGAGGTGGACCACGAACCACAGACCAATGTCACATCCTCCATGAACAAATGGAAATATCTCGGTAGCACGCACAGAGTCCAGACGTGCAGGGCCGATCAGATCGCGGACTCCGACGTTTCGCATTGCGAGAAAGCGGGACGGAGAAGACCTGACAATAATCACCGTGGACCCAATTACCGGGGTTGGGGTCAAAGCTCCGATGCTGGAGTGGACGAAGCACCTGGAGCGACATAACTGTAGACGAGCCGGCACTCATTTCAAAACGACCGGCTCACCAGGGGACTCCACACTCCAATGACAGCGACGGATTGCCGTTCCCACGATGAGCGCGAGGCACGATGTGACCTTGATTGGAGGCGAAAGTCTACGGTTTGCTTTTTTCGGCAGTGATTGGCCCTTCTCTCCAGATAACGGGCGAAGATCGTCAGGGCTTTCTCGATCGCTTCAACGTCCTTCGATGCAGTTCGCCAGTCGCTGTCCCTTGATCAAATGATCAAACCTTTCAATCAAAACATCTTGCCTCGTCTTCATATCTCCCGGACTCTAATCCCCACATAAACAAGCCCCTGACCCTCCGGCCGAATGGTGATCGTCGGGGCTCCGCCGAATGGGTATCAATTGTCCAATGTTCGTGTGGACGCCTTGGCCGGATTTCTCCGCTCTGGAACGATGATAGCTTGTCACAACCAAGCCTCCGTGGCCTCGCTCGTCACCGTCATGGCACATCGCGCCCCGCCTTCCATGCCTGACCAGAGCTATCAGACCCGTCCGCAGCCCCTGGACTGTACGAAACACCGTTCAATGTTCTCTTTGGCCCGCTTCTTCTAGGCTCCAATCTTGGCGGCGTCCGTTGTGCCGTTCTGTCTGGCCGATGGAGTCCGTGACGATCTCGAAGTTTATGTGCCCGAGTCCCTGCCGGGTGCTGGATCGGCACCATGGGCTTCCCGGATGAGAAACAACTCCTTCTCCGGGATGTTGCGATAGGTGCCGTCTTTGATGCTTAGCTTGGTCCATGTAGACCCGGCTCCATCGCAAAACAATCCACGTTCGGGCTATAAAGAAGCCTTCGTCTCCGGCATGTTCTTGGATTATTCCAATCCACACAGCTCTCATCTACCCATTCATTCTTTTAAGAGTCATTCTTTACTCTCTTGGTTCCAGCATGGTTGTCTTCAGCAAGATCACGGTCGTCCTGGCCGGTCTCTCCGTCGCGTCGGCTGTGCCGATGGGCGGTGCTCGCAAGAGCAGCTTCACCGTCAACCAGCTGGCTCGGCCTGCCTCTACCACTAAGACGCTCAATTTGCCCGGCATGTACGCCAGCGCTCTGAGCAAGTACGGTGCTTCCGTTCCTGCCAGCGTCAAGGCTGCTGCCGAGAGTGGTTCGGCCGTCACTACTCCTGAGAACGGCGACGAGGAGTACCTGACTCCCGTCAACGTCGGGGGTACTACTATGAACCTGGACTTTGACACTGGTTCGGCTGATCTGTAAGTTTTACCCATGAGGGATCTCTTATCAAAAATGATCTGCATCTGACAATCCATAGTTGGGTCTTCTCTTCTGAGCTGCCCGCTTCCGAGCAGGCTGGCCACGCCATCTACAAGCCCAGCGGCAACGGCTCCAAGATTGCCGGCGCCACCTGGCAGATCGAGTACGGTGATTCGAGCTCTGCTAGCGGTAATGTCTACAAGGACACTGTTACTGTCGGCGGCATCAAGGCCACCGGCCAGGCCGTCGAGGCTGCCGAGCAGATCAGCCAGCAGTTCATTGATGACAAGAAGAGCGACGGTCTGCTGGGCCTGGCCTTCAGCTCGCTCAACACCGTCAAGCCCCAGCGTCAGACCACTTTCTTTGACACTGTCAAGTCGCAGCTCGACTCGCCTCTGTTCGCTGTCACCCTGAAGCACAACGCCCCCGGCGCCTTCGACTTCGGCTTCGTCGACAAGTCCAAGTACACCGGTTCGATCGCCTACGCCCCCGTCGACAACTCCGAGGGCTTCTGGATGTTCACCGCGGATGGCTACAAGGCCGGCAGCGCCTCCGGCGGCTCCATCAGGGGCATTGCTGACACCGGTACCACCCTGTTGCTGCTCCCCGATGACGTTGTCTCCGCCTACTACAAGCAGATCTCCGGTGCCACCCAGGACGCGTCCGCCGGTGGCTACACCGTTCCATGCTCCGCCAAGCTGCCCGACTTCGTCGTCACCATTGGCAGCTACGACGCCGTCGTCTCCGGCGACCTGATCAACTTCTCGCCCGTTGGCCAGGGTAGCTCCGCCTGCTTCGGCGGCATTCAGAGCAACTCTGGTATGAGCTACTCCATCTTCGGCGACATCTTCCTCAAGAGCCAGTATGCTGTCTTCGACTCCAACGGCCCTCGCCTTGGTTTCGCTCCTCAGACTTAAGTCATTCGTTCCTTAAGCAGAGCGTCTTTCCCATTTGCCAAAGTGCTTGATGCTATGGTGCAGATGGGAAATTCATGTATATGAGTGGATGGGAGCTGGGAGCTGGCTAGCTGGCTAGCTTGGATTCGTTTCGGAGGATTTTGGTTCAATATTTGACCGCAGCTCCAGTCTTGCAAGACGCGACTGGGCTTGTACATGTGTCTTATGGAATGCGTGCAGCACATAATATACAACGCATTGGCAGAAATCCTTTGTTTCCTTGTAGATGAGTTGTAGAAGTCATATTCAGTAGGATGGCTCTTGGGGCAACTCCGAAAGGGCGGGGTTCCTAGAAGAGCTCTCTCGAAAGACTTTGAAATGGGTGTAGAAAACCGATCTACTGAAATATCTAGATGAGAGACTATGGTGCATACCTCATAGTCCCGGGGTATCTAGGGCTTGGACATTACCCTGGTGATTTCGGGTCCTTTATGCCCCTAGAGCACGTAGCTTCGTCTCTTGAGTTCCATTTCTTTGGCGTCAAGCATGGCGTCTAGGCCTTCTTGGCATGGCAAAAACGCCAAATAGACGCGAAGCTCAGTCAATTGATGTGTCTAGGTACATCTGAGAAATTTACTGGCCCTAGGCACCTGGTCACCGTGGCATCGTTCCCATAATCACCGCGGGACGAGAAATTAGCGCAAAGAATGCGTACTCGGCTGATGATGAGCCTCCATGTGGGGTGAAGAATGCCCGTGTGGATCATACACCGATGGCGGATCTTCTCGACCCGCCAAACTCCAGACTCTTCCTGACCCTTTTCATCTTCTGTTCCAGGTGTCTTGGGTCTAGAGTCTATCTACTTCTGTTACGGTCATCATTCACACCACGGAATAACGAAGAACATAGCTCGACTATCGCCTCGTCGCCTCGTCACCGCCATCTCGCCCCTGCGATCCCGCCTCCTTTCGGATCGGCTCCGTCCACGCGGCTTCTAGCCATCTGAGAATGGCTGTTTGAGTGGTCGCCCCCGAGATAGTGTGAAGAGAACTCGGAGGGGGACTGGTGGACTGTTTCATTGTTGCATGAACTACAACGACCGGCCACTCGAGCCGTCTGCAGTGCCTGATCATGGAAGATGCTCCCCTTGTGACTCCCCGCCAGATCTGGGCGAACCCGACGACGACCTCGACCAAGACGTACTCGTCCGGGTGCACCCCGTTCATGCTACCCAGTGCTGGTATGTTCCGATGTTGATTCTCATTCTCAAGATCTCCGTCCCGGTTTGCCACGCTCCGTACTGATTCCCGTTTTTGCGGCCTGTCGCAGGAGTTATACATGTCAACGATTCCTACGCCGTTACCCTGACCGATAATGCCGTGTTTGAACCTGTATGCACTGGCAACCCTGCGGATTACACCCATGTATCTGCAGTGCTCGACACTCGCGACCCCTTCTACTCCTCCGTCACCCCCCAGCTATACGCCATCGGCTGCGCAACCGTGGTCAGCTACGTCCTCGTCATCATTCTCCTTATCACCCCCCGAACCTTCTTTATCGGTGGCCCCGGCGGCGGCGCAAACTTCCTAGGAAGACATGGCATGATGAGTAGGTCATACAGTGGGAACTCCTCGGTCGTCGGAGTCGGAGGTCGGCCATGGCTGCAGAAAGTAGCGGCGACACTCGTTGCAATCTCACTGACGATTGCCACGGTGGATTCTTTCAAAGTTGCCAGGATGCAATACGAATACGGATACTCGGATGCCGAGGCGCTGTCCGAAGAAGTCATCGACGGGACGGAGATCCGTACTGTTCGCGTGATATCAAGTACATTTCTCTGGCTGGCGCAAGTGCAGACCTTGATTCGACTCTTTCCACGACACAAGGAGAAAGTGATGATCAAATGGGCTGGGTTTGCGCTGATTGTGCTAGATACGACTTTCAGTATCTTGGAGAATTTCTACGTCAAGAATAAATCGCCACGCCCCAGACTTTACGATGACGCGATTCCTGCACTCAGCTACTTATTTGAGCTGGCGCTCAATCTTTTATACGCCGCCTGGGTTATCTTTTACTCGATTTCGAAACATCGCTATGCCTTCTTTCACCCCAAGATGCGCAACATCTGCTTTGTCGCTCTTTTGTCACTATGCGCGATATTGATACCTGTTGTCTTTTTTGTTACTGATATCGCCCGCCCTGAAATCGCTGGCTGGGGTACCTACATCCGATGGGTTGGATCTGCCGCTGCCAGTGTGGTGGTGTGGGAATGGGTGGAGCGCATAGAAGCGCTAGAACGCGACGAAACGAAAGATGGAATCCTTGGAAGAGAGGTCTTTGACGGCGATGAGATGCTCGACGTTACTCCGTCCGAGGAGGTCGATTGGCCTCGCTATCCGCCTAAAGGAAACGACAAAGATGGTGGAAGCGGTGAAGCTTCGGGCTGGGTAGGAATGATGGGACTGGCTCATCGTCCTCTACGAACCCGTGTAGGCATCCGTGGAAACCGAAACGGGGGCACCCATCCCCTGGCGCAAGATTCTAACAATCCTGCCGCTCCTCGGGATCCGAACAACCCTCGACCTACACCACCCCCCAATGCTATGACACCAGTCAGCCGGACCGACACCACAAGTGCTGCGAGTACCGTATATAATGTCCGCTACCATCCAGTTGCTAGCCCCACACCACCCGTGGCGATGCCTCACATGGAAGAAGAGGATGAGGAGATCGAAGAGGCCAAGGAAATGGAGATTGAGGGGGGCCAAGCACGCGACGTCGAGGACAATCCCTCTACCCAAGATGTCAGAGAACAGTCACCACAGATTGTTCACGCCGATCCAAGATGGCGCAATCTTATCAATCATTTCAAGCGGAGACGTGGCTCGCTACCCCGAGAAGTGGCCTTTGCCCAAGCCGTCGAAGAGCCAACACCCGGAAGCTCAGTCGGCACGCCCGACGAGTACATTGGTGCCCAGCTTGCGCAGGCAAGAAACAGCTTCTTTTCCCTCAACCGTAAAGGACACTCGGGCTCCGGCCCGCAGAATCCCGACGCTCCCTTGCCTGTCACTGTCATCCCCGCTCGACGCCGCGGCCAGCATACCTGGTCTCCCCAGAACCACCTGCTCGAGCCGTCCTCATCGCACGAGCCGTCTCCGTCGCACGAGCCCCGACATGGCCGCTCCGATCTGCCATTGCTGGTCATTCCGTCCCAGCCGCAGGCCTCTGCTCCCTGGACGGACGCGGACATGGAGAACGGCGACAGCGACTACGTTCTGCGATATGATCCCGAAGCGGCCGCGCTGATCGACGAGGATATAAGCCAGGCTCGTGAAGACTGCACACCCGCCGGCGATCAAGTTAGCCGGCCGGAGACGACCTTCTCAGAAGAGAGGAACGATGCCGGCCTCACCCAAGCCGATACGCAAGAGCAAACCGAGACCAACGTCACGCATCAGCAAGCGGGTCGCGGGATCGGCTCCTCCTGATTCGCGATTAGCATATAGTAGTGTTTTTGTTTCTAAAACAGCGAGTCATATATGGGATGGGGAGGGGAGTCTTTTATTGTGGGTTTTTATTGGATGGATTCGGGGTTTTTGGATAGCACATTGGGATATATGCCACGTAGATACCCTGGGATCTATTTTATTTTTGCATGGACTTGTTTTTGTACCTAATATTGCAATCAACGATCTATTCAAAACGTTCCATTGGATTCTGCACCTGATCACGGACGAGCAGGGATGTGGTTGATGCCAGAAACCTGTACGTACAGGCGCCGCCACCGCTCTTTCTCGTGGTTGTACTTGTGAAATCAAACCGGACGATGGCTATTTCGGATTCATTCAAGCACCACGTGTATGTACTACAGCATAAAATTCTGCCATGCACGAGCCCGTAGATTGAAGTTGTATTGAATTGTAGTATCGAAACGGGCTGTGACTGGTTCGAGTGGAGACGCCGCTACTCTCCGCTCGTTCTCGGGAGCTTTTGGCTCCGAGATTCGTATCTTCCCCATGTTCCACACTCCCACTTTTCCATGCGGTGGATCGTGATGCCACATCATGGTGGCCATCAACCAGAACATGTTTGAGGCCGGCATCACCACCGATCGGCCCGGTGGTGCTTCGCTAATGGTCCTGCCGCTCAACTTGATCGCGCAGATTGTCTCAAACGTCCGCTTCCACCACCACGTGAAAGCCGCAACATAACTGACACTTTGATTCTGCAGGTCGACGACACCGGCGATCTTGCCCGACTGTGCCGAACATGTCGCGTTCTCAATTATATGGCGCTTCCGCAGCTATATAATAGCTTGACCCTCACCTCTTACGACAGAATCCGTTATCGTGGCGAGCAACCCGAAGGAATCGGCAGTGCGAGCCCCTTTACAATGGGGCTCAACGCGGTCATAACTCGGTCTTATGCGACCCTCGTGCGATCAATAACCCTGCGCGGTGGTTGGAAGGAACGCGAACTGGAGGAACATGCGCAAGTTGGTCGCGTACCGGACTCGTCGATGTTGCTGAACATTGCGGTTCGGGCAGCGGTGGATCGCATGACAAACCTGGAAAGCTTCAGCTGGGAACTCAACACTAAAATGCTGGAGACGGTGTATTCGGGGTTAACGCAGCTGCCCAAACTCACCTCTTTAACGATCCGATTTCCGTCCACCCGTCATCCACAGCCCACGTTCGTGCTTCCGGGCATGCCGCACCTACGATCCCTAAAAATCACCGATATCGACCCTCTCTGCTATCCCGATGATATTGCGACCATGTTGTTGAAGAGTAGAAAGCTCCGTGAACTAAAGCTCCACTGGTCACCGCGCATGCGAAACGCACAGGAGCCCAGTGTCTGCCTCCACGATTATTTCCGGAAATGTATTGCCTCCAAACAACCTCTTCCGGTCAAGAAACTGTGCTTCCAGAATATGTACGCATTCCACAGTGAGGATTTCAATATCGCATTCGATCCTACCACTGTCGAAGACGTCGTGTTTCTGAGCGGGACGGACAGCCTCGGTTTGGTCAACACATTTGTTGACAACAGCTGGCCTACCGTGGTACCGAATAAAAAGCTCAGAATCAAGTCGATCCGAATGGATACGATTTCGAAGCGCAACTCGGAATTCCTTGGGAACTTCAAGGGCCTTCAGCGTTTATACTTCGTCAACGTCACCGCCGATTCCTCCGATTATCTCAATTCCCTTCGGCCGACTCCAGGGTCAAACTCATCTGCGCTTACATCTCCCGCCTCAGATTATCCAAATGGAATAACGGTCAACTCTCCCTCTCCAGCCACAGCGGCATCACCGGCCAGCCTGCTGAACATCGCGTTAAATGTACGGGATAGTTACTTGGCGAATATCGCGACCAACCACGGTGCGACTTTACGCCATCTGCTTTTATCCTCTAAATGGCCTCTGTCCACTGCCATGATCGCACGCCTGGTCCATAGCTGTCCGAATCTGGAACAATTGGCCCTCGCAACGGAGTTCTCAAGCATGGAATCCCTTGGGATGCTAGTCCCATTCCTTCGGAAGCTGGTGGCCCTTCGGCTTCTGATACCAGCGGGCTCCCCACCACCCCAAAACAGCTCGACAAGTAATGGCGCATCTCGAGGACAATCGGCAGCGTCTTCGGAAAATCCGCCCAGAGTCAACAAGGATCTCGGCTCCACAGAAGGATCTATTGGATGGACCAAAGCAATCGAGGATGCGTTGCTCAAATCACGTAGCCTGGCTGATTTGGTTGAATTGGACGACGAGCTGCTTACATACATGATGAGTTACGACCTCGCAGATAAGAACGTCTTTGGAAACGTCAAAATTGTCGGGATGGGCTGGAAAGCCTTCGAGTTGCGTGATTTCTACAAAGCTCCTATTCTATCGCGCGATGAGTCTGTCGTGCAGTCACCGGCTGTTGACCTTTCAACCGAGACCGAAGAAGAAAATCCTACCAATGGGACCAACGGCGCCGGTGCTGAGAACCGCTCGCCAAAACAGCCAACTGCCTCTAACCCGACGTCTCCCAGTCTCCCTCCAAATATCCCTGACGCTGCTCTCACGTCAAAGTCTTGGACAGCACCATCAAACCCGTTTTCAACCTTGGGGAAACGCACCCGGGGCGACGATGATGACGAGAGCGGTGTACGACAAGCCCCCCTTGATCTCCGAGAGGACGCCAATCATCCCTCACCGAATTTCCCTAAACGCGGATGTTTCCCTCGCACAATGACTGACGACGGCCAAGTCATGAGACGAGACATGCGGCGAGTTGGTTGGGAAGTCCTGCAACACTGGGAGATCTGGGCACTGGATGCGCAAGAAATCTGAGCATCTTTTGCCTTCCCCCGTTACTATCAATCACTAGACATTGAAGTACCGTCCTTAAGTTACAGCAATATAAAGGGAGTTTGTGGGATGGTGGATTATTTCGGTATACATATTGATTAGCGGGAGTTGTGCGTCTGTCTGTATTGGCAGCGGAATACAGGTGGTTCTGTTATTTTTGTCAGGACTTAATGTCATTAATGTATCTTTTCGTCGACTGGAAGTGCTGATCCAGAATTGACTTCAGCACGAGGTTGACGGCGTATCGATTCGATGCACATGGTAGCGGGACGATGGCCCGCCGATCCGCTCGGTGGGTCCGTGGGGGGTTTCTCGCAAAGGTATAAGGATTGCTGTTCCCCTTCATCCTTGGGAAGTATCTCAAACGATTTCAATCGTTCCAGAACCTTGCAAAATCGTATCTTCTATAAGACTTGGAATAGACAACATGGCCGCCGTCACTGAGACCCTGGAATTCAACCGGACATCATTCAGGTAAAGACTCGCGCCCCAAGGCAGGCTCAACATCAACTGAAATGAAAAAGTCTTGCAGGTCCATACGGAGACTTTCGTGACGATCTTCAATCTCAAGGATTCGCGGTCATCAAAAACGCCATCGATCCGGAGAAAGCCAAATATTACCAGCAGAAGGCGCTGGACTGGCTCAAGTCATTTGGCACCCCACTCGACTTCGACGACCCTTCAACCTGGAAAGCCGAAAACCTGCCTGTACAGAGCAAAATCAATACCTTTAATGGGTATTCGGTTGTGCACGAGAGATTCATGTGGGAAGCTCGCATGGAACCGAAGATCCTGGACGCGTTCGCCAAGATTTGGGGCACCGACGAACTACTGGTCTCCTTCGATGCATTGAATGTCACCCTGCCAAACCGGCAGGATAAGCCGGCGCAGAAGCGGTGGCCTCACGTAGACCAGTCGCCTCTGCGCCGTGGTCTCCATTGCGTGCAGGGAATCATCAACCTCAGTCACGCCGGCCCCGAAGACGGATCACTCATTGTTCTGCCGAGATCGAACACCGTGAATGAGGAGTTCTTTGATACGCAGACCGATCCATCGACCTGGGAGAAGAAAGACATCCGCTTCTTTAGCGAGGAGGAAATGAAATGGCTCGAAGACCGGGATATGAAACCCGTGAAAGTATTAGCCGAGCCGGGAGATTTAATCCTGTGGGACTCACGAACCGCTCACTGGGGTGGTGAGCCTACGGTGAAGAGCAATACGATCCGGACTGTGATCTACGCATCCTATTCCCCTGCGAGTCTGGCCTCGACAGAGTCCATTGAGCGGAAGAAGGAGGCATTTGAAACATTCCGAGCCACAACCCACTGGGCACACGACAATATCGCCATTCGCAACAAGGTAGTGTATCTTCCTGATGGCACTGTGGACCCGCGTAATCGATCCAAGCCTCTGGAGAAACCGGAACACACTGATCGTCTGCTCCGACTCGCCGGAGTCAAGCCATACTGAAATTCAACTGAGAATAGAATCGATGCCAATCTGCAAAATGAACTGCTCCTGTATAGCGTAGAACGGTGAAGTCGTTGACCTATCGTTGATTATTAAAGGCTGCAACCATAGCCCCACTCCCCCGCGCGACGTGTGGCTTTCTCTCTACGGTTCAGCCCAAACAGATGGATTTTCCTCGAAAGCGTGCTCTAGTTGCATGCACCTTCTGCAGGCATCGGTAGGTCTGTGTTTGGGGACTGAGAGCTACGGTTCGAACTAATTGGTTCCAGAAAACGCAAGTGTGATGGACAGAGACCGGCATGTGGGTTCTGCGCTGGATCCGGGGCCCGATGTGTATATCAGGAGAACTCAAATGAGAAGTACCACACCAAGCGATCCTCCTCTGATTTAGAGTTACTCATTGTGAGTGTTAGGTCAGAGGCAGATATCCCGGCAGAGCTAGTGCTGCGTCTGGACCGCTTGGAAAGTCTTATACAGCACCAGACGACTGTCATATCAGCCTTGTCCAATCGCCTTCTGTCAATCGAGGAAAAGGATAAGAATTGCCCGTCTCCCTTTAACTCGAGTACTTCTGAAAATTTGCGCGGTAACAATGTTTCTCATACTTCACTGATCTATAGCTCCCTCGCGGGTGATATGTCAACATCAATTGACTCTCGGATGAGATACCAATACAACGATGATCCACTTCTTATCCCTTTGGGTCATCAAACACCAACAGGAAGCCTTTTGGGTCTTGAAAGAATTAGAAGTTTGATCGGCGACTATTCGCAAGATTTCTTCTTGTTCCTCGAGTCAGAGCGCAGCCTACAGCCTTTGGTGCCGCGAGTTTCATACTCGTCCCTCCTTGAGAGACTGAACGCTCGTCCTGAAAGTACAGACTTTCTGGTCTCCAGCTTTCGCACTCATGTTCACTCGCAGTTTCCAATTATCGAGCACGAGCCATTCCATGATATGTTTGAGACTTTCCTCCGAACAAGTGAGGGCAAAAGTAGTTCCGATGCGCTTTGTCTCATTATCCTAGCTCTGGGAGAGATCTCCTCAAATACTACCGAGGTCTATGATACGGAATCACAACCGGATGGCAATGGCTCAGAATACTTCGCTCATGCACACCGACTCCTGACTACCGAGGGCTTGACACTATTCTCGCGTGACATAAGAGTTCCCATGGCGTATTTCTTGAGCTCGATATACTTTCGTTACAGAGGAAGGCCCCTCGAGGCTTGGAAAATGATTCACACAGCATCCACTGGAGTGCAGTTGATGTTCTCCTAGTAGCTATTCCTGTTTCCATCCCCCGTCTCTCAGTCTACTGATTGTCCTAGCCTGCAGGACAGAACTATACCGCAAGAGCAACATGATATGTTGATTCGAATAGCTTGGAGCTGTTATGTCCTAGAATGGTAGGCTTAGCCCCAATACGTCTTTTATATCCATCCTTCTAAGTATTGAAATGAGCAGCGATGACCTGGCCGAGTTCCATTTCCCTCGAAGTGGGATTGAGATTCTGGTGGAAGGACTCCCGTTTCCCGAATTCACCAACCCAACCGACCGTAACGGTCTCATATTCCTCGCCATGTGCTCTATTCGGAAACTTTTAAACCGCATTCACAACACCATGTATGCAAACAAACCCGAAACGGATGGACCTCTCTCGTCAAAACCAAACAATCCACCCTCGGTTGTTTCTCTGGAGGCCCTCAATATTGAGCTTAGCCGACAACTAAAAACCTGGTTTGATTCATTACCCGAGTCCATAAAACCCAATCTCCAGGACCCAAACCTCCGAGATTTGCAAGACGGCCAGCTTCGCTCGCGATACTATGCTGCAAGACACATTCTCGGCCGACCGTGTCTTGTATTTGCTGCTCAATCAAAAGACGTCCAGTTGACGAAGTATCTCATGGATAACTGTGAAATTTGCGTGGACAGCTGTCGAAATTTCGTTCTCGGGACAGTTCATCTCCTACACAGGCGGACTCATTCCATTTGGCTTAGACTGCAAGCGTAGGCCTTCCCGATGCTCGACATCATACTGCTTGGATCCCTGTGCTAAATGATTGCTATAGGCTACTTGCGGCAATATTTGTCCTTGCAATTGCCAAAGGCACCCCCTCACTTACGGCTCTTGTTCCGGATTTTGATGAGCTGCTTGGTAAGGCGATTCAATCCATCGAACCATGGGCTCAATATCATGAAACGGCAGATGCCATATTGAACATCTTCAAAACTATTCGGCGGAAGTTAAGATTCCATGTTATGAATATATCATGAAGAAGAAGTATGTATGCAAAAGATCTCTTTAGCAGTGGGCGGGCTTGAAGAGTAAAAAATATATTTTTGTTCCCTAGGTGCCGATTGCGCCATGTTTTATAAGTGATCAATGCCCTATTATTATTAGACAAACCATTTTTCATAAAAAGTTGATTGAACTTCGCTATGCATCCTTAGAATACTTCAAACTTGAGCGAACTAATCAGTCGAGACCATTTAGCCTTCATAGCCGACACATGTGTCTCTAGATTTTTGTTTGAGATTGTTGAATTTGTTCGATTTATCATTTCGAGTCCTTTAAGCATTCAGTAAATAATTAAGCCACAGCTATAGGCACACAAAAAGTAGAAGTATCAGGTGATTCAGCAATTTTAGTAACTATTAGTGTAATTTGCAATCACTATGACGTGCCTGAGACTCACGATACGAAGCCAAGCAGAAGGCGTTGCACAAAACCCTTTGGTTCCATCACCGGAATATGCAATTAATAACCACAACGAAATATTTCCCTAGATTTATCCGGCAAATCAAGGGGTAAATGTCGCATGGCTATGTTTTGCCGGTTGACGCGACCTTGCGTCGGTGTAGGGCGCGATTGTGGATCTGCCGGCTTTCTTGAAACAACACCGGCCACGTCCAACCGTCAATTTGATGAACCTCTACCACTCCACAGCATGGTCAAGGTTGATTCTCTCTTCTCCGTGATTCTAGACCTTGCATAGTGCATTAGCCGGATGGCGTATACATGTGATATCACACGCGATCTCGATCAACTTCAGTCAATCGTTATTGTGCATACTACCCAGAAGCCGAATTTATGTTCGTGACTCGAGCTTTGAAAATCATACGCCACAAATTTCGTGTATCGCCGGACTTGGCAGCTCTGCAGCTCTGAGGTGTTCAGTAAGCCAATGAGGCAGAGCGCGCAAAATCTACTGAACAAGGTTAGATCCATGGGATGGGGGCCAACTTTTTTGTTTACTCTCTGCATATTATCCTTGTCTTCTAATTTGTCTTGGAGACCCGGGATACATAAGATTCTTCAGCCAAGGATCGGATACGAGCCTTTGTACAGGGCCAAGCATGGGTGGCCTAACCAGGCGCAATGGTCAGTTCATGTTCAACGAGTTGCGGGAGATATAAAAGGAGCCCCCAAGTTTCTCAGCAAGTACTTATAGATATGAAACAACCGTGAACGTTCAGTGGCTATAGCTTGCGGTTTACTCTCACTATGAAACATTTCAATAAGCTCCTTCAATGCTTTGCCGTCGTTGGCTCTCTCCATTACGCCCATTCCTGCTCTTCCAGATCCAACACTGGAAGCTCCGACAATCCATTCCGTGATTAGCAATGACGGCCCTGCCGCATCAGCCACTCTCGGCTACGCTATTAATCATTTCGGTCTTCTCACCACGAACCTCGGCGCCATGAAGCACTTCTACGGGGATATCCTAGGCATGCGCCACATCTTTGACGCGCACGTTACACCCGAGTATACCGTGAACTACATGGGATATACGCAGGGCGGTCGTAACGGCACTGGCTTCCAGAGCGCGCAGAGCTCGCACGGGACAAGAATAACCTGTACGGGCTCATTGAGTTGGTGCAATTCAAGGTGTCGGACGATCATCTTGTCGCATCCACCAAGCGCACCAACACATTTGGCCACGTTGGTCTGATTGTGCTCGATGTCGAGAAAGCCCAAACCTACCTGGAAGGCAAGGGCGTCACGATTCTTAAGAGAGTCAAAGAATCGATCACCGCATTTACGGGACCGGTTCAGAACGCCTTTGGTATTGGCGAATTTGCCGGGGAGCACATTGCGGCGAAGACGGCTCTCGTTGCTGCTCAGAGCTTAATTGGCCTGGAAATGTTTCTTATGATTGAAGACCCTGATGGAAATCTGGTTGAGATTCAGCAGCAAGATCCCCCGAGTGCTGGCTCGATCTAATGCGCAATTAGGGGGGTTTCGCTGATCAGCAATAAGGGATGCTGCCAATTGACAATCTCCGACTTCCTAGAGGCTGGAGACTTGGGAACTCGGTGGAAAAGAAAGCCGGGAGTGGAACCGGAGCCACCGAATAGGGGTGGCGAGACCCTGAACCCAATGTCGATGGACCCTGCGAGCAGATAAAAGGATAAACCTGAAACCACCAGGATCCACTGCAAAGTACACGTCGACGCGTGGACTTTTTCCCAGGCCGCCCCCCTTCACCCGCCGCTCACCGCCAATCAACGCGCCGTGTGGTCGGTCACCGCCCCACGATCGTCGAGCCCCTAATTGCCCCCGTTTCGCTTTTTTTCCCTTCACCACCACCACACCTCACCCATAGTCACTCTTTTACGGTTCTTACTCTACAACCATGGCAAACGGTCGCTCTTCGCAAGATGAACGCAAGCTCGAGAGCGGTGCTCCCGCCGCTCCCGCCAACACCGGTCTTCACCCCGCATTCTACATTGCGTTCGTCCTCCCCTATCTCGAATCTCGAATCTCCATCCTAACGGCCACAGTCTGTGGATTACTCTGAGTTCCAGCGTTATTCTGTTCAACAAGTGGGTTCTTGCGTCCGCCAAGTTCAGTAAGTCGATTCCCCGGTACCTCAATTGGCGTGAAGAAATCCGAAACTAACAATCGCTTCTAGACTTCCGTGAGTTCCCATCCAGCCTGCGACTGATACTTGTTCTTCCGCGACTCGAAAACCACCAATTGCTAACGTTGACTTTGCAGCGCTGTTCCTCACGACATGGCACATGGTTTTCGCTACCGCGATGACCCAGATCCTGGCTCGCTGCACCACCATTCTGGACTCTCGCCACAAGGTCCCGATGAACCCGGCCACCTATACGTGAGTGTTGGACGGAATACAGTATATTGTATGAAATGGGCTAATTGATGGATCCTTCGAACAGTCGTGCTATTGTCCCCATCGGTATCATGTTCAGCTTGTCTCTGATCTGCGGTAACCTGGCCTACCTCTATCTGAGTGTCTCCTTCATTCAGATGCTGAAGGTAAGCATCCAATGTCCTCGGCTGCGAGTAAAGCAAGCGACCAACAATTTTATTTTCTCTAGGCCACCAACGCCGTTGTCACCCTCTTTGCTACTTGGGCCTTCGGTATTGCCCCGCCCAACTACAAGACCCTTGGCAATGTGGCCATCATTGTCCTCGGTGTCGTGATCGCCTCCTTCGGCGAGATCAAGTTCGACATGCTTGGTTTCCTCATCCAGGTTGGCGGTATCATCTTCGAGGCTCTCCGTCTTGTCATGGTCCAGCGTCTCCTTAGCTCCGCCGAGTTCAAGATGGACCCCCTTGTCTCGCTGTATTACTACGCCCCCGCCTGCGCCGTCACCAACGGCGTTGTCACCCTCTTCACCGATCTTCCCCGTATGACTATGAACGACATTTACTCTCTTGGTATCATGACTCTTATTGCCAATGCCCTGGTCGCTTTCCTGCTCAACGCCTCCGTTGTGCTCCTGATTGGCAAGACCTCCGCTGTCGTCCTTACCATGGCTGGTATCCTGAAGGATATCCTTCTGGTTTGCGCCTCCATGATGATCTTCCACGATCCCGTCACTGCCCAGCAGTTCTTCGGCTACTCCATTGCTCTTGTCGGCCTTGTTTACTACAAGCTCGGCGCCGAGAAGATGCAGACTCTTGCCACCGACATCAAGCTCCAGGTCGGCGAGTACCGCCGGAACAACCCCGCTCAGGCTAAGGCTGTCATGATCGGTGGTGCTTTGACCATCATTCTGTTGATCCTGTACACCGGAGCCCCTTCGGCCACCAAGCTGACCACCTGAGGGCCACCTTGGCTTCAGCTGCCACCGAGCGTGTAGCACCTGCAGGCTATTCTGCACAATAGCATCTATTGTGCTGGCTCAGACAAGGTGATAGTTGTCTGCAGTCATTTTTATTCTTTTTTTCTTAATTGCTTCTATAGAAAGGATTGTTTTTCTTGTTGGAGGATTTGCATGTACATTTGGAGGGTATAGAGAAAGGTCCAAAAGGGATCAAGGCGAGCATCCAACAATACTGCAGGCTGTCTTTTGTCAATGTTCTAATGATTGTGTCTTCATTTGCCTGGGAGTCTTGAGATAGCCAATGGACATGATCCAATTAATAAACCCGAGCTTTTCGCGTAACTAAAGTCCATCAGATTCCCGAATTCGGCCTTCAAGACAAAGGCAGCAGGATTCGACACGAATTATCCCTAATAGAGACTCGTAAAAGTCCGGCTGTATGATCGTGCGGAGTATGCCCGATTACGGCGTCTTCGAATTGTCAGTTACCTTGCCCTCTGTTCCATCATCTCGGATTCTCTATAAAGAGTAAGCTAAATTATCATCACTCTCATCTTTATATTCGAAATTCACCAAGATGGCCAATCGAGTAGCGTGAAATTGTGATTCAAAAGCAGCATCTGGGCTGTTGCTGACATCTGCTGACCCAGGGAAACCTTCGCTCTATACCCAGCCTGAAAGGCCAAGCTATCTTGGTACTGGGAACAGAACAATTCGTGAACCCAAGTCAATGTTCGGGGCCATCGAGGTGCAATCAGCAAGGTTCTTCACGTCCAGCACGAGGTCATCGCTTGGGACGTAAACCTAGAAGCAGCACGACAAACAGCATCCCGAATCCAAGCCCGGTGGAGAAATCTGTGATGCAATCCAAGGCAGACGCAATCAGCCAAGCTGATATGTGGCGAACTGTCAACCGCACCGTTGAGAGGGACGACCGCATTGACATTCTCATCAACGACGTGGGGGTACAAGGATTGACGATCCAGCAAAGATCGACGATCCAGCCACCATGTGACAGGAGGCCTGTGACGTACATATTCGCCTCAACCTTAAAAGGTTCTTTTTTGGCTGTAACGCAGTACTGTCGATCATGGAAAAACAAGGATCAAGATCTATTTTCAACCACGCGTCCATTGCCGGCATGAGATACCTGGGCAAGCCTCAAGTGACTTACCCATCTACCAAGGCCGCAGTTATTAAAGTTTTCAAAGGTCACTGGGATTAGGTACGCGGATAAATAAAGGCATTCATGTGAATTTGGTCGCACCAGGGATGATGTATACGCCGCTGCTGGAGAAGCTTGGGGATAACGAATCAGCGGAGGATCAAGATAAACACAAGTTCACCGATCATAGTGTGCTGCAAGGTTCTCATGGGCGATGCCTTTGATGTGGCCAACTGTGTGGCTTTTTTGGCTCGTGATGTTTCACATTATATAGGGGTTCAATACCAAAGGTTGAATATCTATGTCCGGTACGGTATGTTTCAACTCCGAGTGACTGGTAATCCTGGCTGGGGTAGCTTTGCCGTCAAAGGCAAGGAAATCGTCTGACAGTGAACATCTTAATTGGAATAATGATGAAATATTGACAGCATTCCAATAAAGTATAATTTAAGAGTGGCTTCTGCCTGGCGTGGGTGGCTTCGTATGGAAGACAGGGATGCATGGATGTGGACCTGTTTTGTGCCGTGGTACAACTCTGGGGTGGCAAAAGTACCCTGACGCAATTTGGCCGACGTTCAGGTACTAAGATCAACAAACATACCACAACTGATAGCTCAGTGGTCTTTTACTGCATAACGACTACGTCGTTTCTGCAGAAGTCGACGTCATGCGTGTGCCGTTATTTTGACTCTAAATGGGTTTGACTCGCCCTAGGAGGTTATAAAAACCTCTGAGATACCACCCATTATTTCCCATCATTTCCCATCATCTACACTCCAATATCCTGCAAATCAACCTATATTGAAGCTTCAAGTACCTCTTATCAACATGGGTCTTATGAAAAAGGCTGAAGAAGCCCTGATGGGCCACCCCCAAGAGTCGGCCCGCTCCACGAACCATGGACCCCACGACTCCAACATTCTCAACAAGCTGGACCCCAGGGTCGATAGCGACCAAGGTATGTGTTGCTATTTTGCAAGACATACATAATACTGATCATCTAAATCAACAGACAACCGTGTTCGCCACGAGGCCATGGGAGGTGCCGCCGGCCCACACAGCTCTGCCATCGCCAACAAGGCCGACCCGCGAGTGGACAGTGACAGAGGTACGTCTTCTCTTCATCAATAGATATGATAGTACCTAACTTCTTCAAGACAATCGCGCACACGATCATCTTACCACTGGCCAACAGCACGCCGTCCCCCCCAGGGACGCTGGCCTTGGAACTACAGTCCCTCAGACGACCACCACTACCAGCCACGTTGGCTACGGATCTGCAGTTCCCCAGACGATTACCACTACCAGTCACGTTGAGCCTCGTGTTGGAACCACTACTGGAGGAGCTACCGGAGCTACCGGAGCTACCGTGGGCCCGCACAGCTCAAACCTAGCGAACAAGCTTGATCCTCGTGTCGATTCCGACATGGATAACCGAGCTCGTCAGCAAGGCCTGGCTGGTAGCAGCTACAACAACCCTACCGTTGGAACTGCTACTGGAGCTACTACGGGAGCTACTACGGGAGCTACTACGGGAGCTACTACTGGCGCTACCGTGGGACCGCACAGCTCAAACCTTGCGAACAAGCTTGATCCTCGTGTGGACTCTAATCTTGGCAATCCCACCACCGGTACCCAGCGCGGGGCCTTTTAATAGTTTTGATTTTGACATGAGAAATGAGAAATTGGCAGGATACCTTTGAGCGATGAGTTTGATAAATTCCCAAATTTTGAATACAATGGAACGTTTGAATTATTACCTTTTTGATCGCGATAACTATGTTTTATCACAGTCGACGCGACGAGTAGCACTTCTGTATTTGAATTTGCCTAGGTGTAATTTCACTGTGTTGGTTTCAATGCCTGCAAAATTGCCCACTTCTAAGCCCAGATGGAGGAGGCTACAGGTAGGAAGAAATAGGGGCGAGATTGATTACAATTGAGTCGATATTGTGAGACGGCGAGGAGTCAACAGCGGCAGGCAGAGAAGCTCCTAACCTGTCGAGAAACGAAAGAAATTTATTCAAAATCAGAGAGATGATATTGGGAGAGATGATAATACTAAAGTACAAGTATCCATCGAGGAACAGAAAAGAGCCTCTGAACAAATCCTACACTCCCAGAACCACAATCAAGCCAACAAAAGCGGTTTCAAAAATGCTATTGCCTGGGCTCATAGGCTTGGAAGCTGCATTTGAGGTTGGAGTGGAAGTTGAGGTCCTAGTACTTCCCGTGGAGGATGTTCCACTCCCAGCCGTGGTTGTCATATCCTCAAACCCGTGGGTAGTGTTGGCAGAAGAACCAGATGTTCCCGAAGGTGAGGCAGTAGATGTATATGTGGTTGTGGTGAACGAGCACGATTGAACGAGGTCATTGGCATCTACTCGGATTCAGTGAGCCAGATCCTATTACCTGGGCGAGCACGGTGATAAACAAACCATTGTCCCGTCCATCCTTACCATACTGAGTAAGGCAAGCATCACAAAGCGGTAGACTCTTGGGGGCCCGGGGGTCCTTGCAGATGCAGTTCAGCTCGGCAGTATCGTCATCATTGGTCTTCTTGTCGCAGGAGGCAGTCAAGCTGACAACTGGGGCGCACACATCCTTGCACTGCGACGGTACATCGTTGGCGTCAACATCACCCGCCACGACGTACGATGCGAGAGCAAGAGTGGAAATGAGAAGTGCTGAGCGCATTCTGATATGCAAATATTTTTAAGTTGTCGATGTGCCTTCCCTTGATAGTTTGAACAGATAGCGAGCTTGGTAAAAACAGGATATCAGGATGTCCTGGGCATTACTTATAACTACCCAGGTAGTTACCCTCGGGGCTCTCCGCTAATTGATACACCTGCGTTGGTCGGCTTTGTCTTACAGTCCGATTTCCGTTGATCATCATTCAAGGCAGCAATCGTCAATTCTCCGCATCATTCTAGTCTAGTTACGTCACGGCAATGCATTTTCTGGGGCGATGTCGAGTCGATGAGACACAAGCCCCGCGTGCCAAGAGCCAAATGCCCAGCTTTTCCGCCGTGCCACAAAGTCAAATGTTGACAGGGCATAGCTAATAAACCCCAGGTGTATAGTCAACGGCTTGTGCCTTTTCAATCACTCCATCCAAACTCCGAACAAATGCCTGGTGAACCGGATCCTTATGGACGTAGTAATCCCGGTCTTCCGCGCTCGCGAACTCCACGACAAAAGCATGAGTAATGCCGTTCTGAGAATAGAGAATTTTTGTACCAGTCAGTCCCCCATGAAGAATAAAAGTTTTCAACAGCCTCGCACGGATAAGCGATGTTACCTACCTGAATACCTTCAGGTGAGTTGTCTGCACCGCCGGACGATGTCTTGATGTATGGTTTCTGGGAGGTCGGGTGCAAACAGTTGTCTCTCAAGGCGAGCATACGATCACACGTCTTCCAGTAAATAATTGTTAGCTTCTAGGGCGTGTACATCGGTTCAATTGTCATACGTCTTTGACAACTTCAGGCTCAGTGCCAGCTTTAAACTGGAAGAGAACAATGTGAGTGATCGACATGATTTCGTAGTCTCCGATAGATCAAGGAAGCCCAATACAGAAATGAGAAGCAACAGAATCTATATTCAAAGAAGGACTCATCAACAAGATACTCCAAGGTTGGGAGGGGCGGGGTCGGAAGCTTCGGAAAATGGAAGCCCACGTGACCATTGACGTTGACTTTAGTTACCTTATTTCGACAAGAGAAATCAAGTTAGATAAAATACATGTCTTGTGGCTCGGACATAGGGGCCACTTTTTTCTCAAACAGGAAAGTATGAATCGCCGTATAATGCCGAGGGTTGTGAAAAAGCGGATTAATATCCGCCCCCGAGCTAATAAATCACTTCAATGTCCAAAACTCTTCCTTTAACCTCTCTGTAATCCTGGGGACAGTATATTTCAAAAATTGGAAGAGAGTCTCAGCCCAGACCATGGCGGGCGATATTCTGACAAGTGACCCCATCACTATTAGCCAGATAGAAGCCATTGCCCGACAAAAGCTTTCGGACAATGTCTACAACTATTACTCCTGTGGCGCAGATGATCAAACTACACTGGAAAGAAACCAGGCAGATTTCGATCGGTGGGGTTTTTCTATCTCCATCGTTTCAAAGATTCGGCCGCTTATGTGCTTCCAGTATTTTGGTCCTTCCTCGTGTCCTTCGAGATGTATCTCAGGTCGACACTTCCACAGAGCTGTTCGGCTATCGATTTCCCTTCCCAGTCGGCGTAGCACCTAGTGCTATGCAACGATTGGCAAGTCCAGAGGGTGAACTAGATGTTGCACGTGCGGCAGCTTCTATGGGGATCAATCTAACTCTGTCTTCAAATTCGACAACATCCCTAGAGGACGTAATGTCTGCCCGGCACCAGATTGGAAAGGAGACTGCCGCACCTTTCTGGTTCCAAATATATCTTGCGTCCGACCTCGACCTCAGTGTGCCATTGATCAAGAGGGCGGAAGGTAAGTGACATTGTGGGCCTATACATAGCGAAGCAGGGAGGCTGATTTTTAAATCAATAGAGGCGGGATATGAAGCCCTGGTTCTAACAGTGGACACGCCGGTCCTCGGTAACCGCATTAATGAGCGCCAGACCCCATTAATCCTTCCTGAAGGCCTTCACCTGGCCAATATTCAGAAGAATGGTGCTAAGGGATCACGCAAGCCATCATTTAATCGGGAGATCATGGATGCACGCACCGCCAAACAAGCAAATGACCTCATGCAAGCGGCCGGGAGCACAGCAAACAGTGCTTCCCTGACGTGGAGCTCAACCATCAAGTTTTTGCGACAGACGACAGACATGAAAATCATTTTAAAAGGTATTATGGCGCCTGAAGACGCGCAGCTCGCTGTGGAATGTGGTACCGATGCTATCATAGTGTCAAATCACGGTGGCCGTCAACTTGATGGTGTCCCTTCCACCATTCAAGCACTCCCGGGAATAGTCGACGTCGCAAAGGGCAAAATCCCAATAATTCTTGACGGAGGAATACGCCGTGGAAGCGACGTCTTCAAAGCATTAGCACTCGGGGCAGATTTCGTGTTGGTTGGACGACCGGCTCTGTGGGGTCTCGCCTTCAATGGCAGAGAAGGTGTGGAAGCTGTAATGAATATCCTCGAACGGGAGCTCAGTCGTACCATGGCGCTGGCCGGTACCGCAAAAGTGGGAGATATTTGCTCTGCTTTTCTTCGGTATACTGAAGGTGGACGATTGAGTAAAATTTGAAGATTGAAATAATCTCAGTTGTACTCGGTTTAACATGCTTCATGTAAAGGGCAAAGTCTAGAATCAATCAAATATCTCCCTCTATTCCCTCGTCATCCTCTTCTCCAGGCAAATCTTCCCGTCCATCCTGCCAACTCGAGCAATTGTTACAGCGCCTCGCCTACTACTGATTAATAACCTCCGGGATTCAAGATTGGAAGCATCTTACCTCAGCGCTAATAAATTTCCTGCAGTATTTGCATCTAACAGTCGGCTTGATGATCTTGTTGTGAGAAACAAACATGTACATATGCGCGACCGCAAACAATGTGAGGCTGACACCAAGGAAGTTGAGAAAGTTCTCGACGAACATACTGAGAGTCGCATTAGAAAGTTATACATCTCGACAGTCAGAAAAGAATAAATTAACAAACCCGTATGCCAGAACGAGTGCGCCGTCATCTCTGGCCTGCTTGATGGTATTGTACCCTTCACCCTTCACATAGTTAGGACCACTTGAGAGAATAGCGAATTTCTGGTCCATATTGCGGTTCAAAAATGGCAGCAGCGAGACGACCGGCAGAGCCACATCCGAGACGAACGAGGTAACGACTTTGGTGAACGCATTAGCAATACTGAAGCGCATGCTGTTAGTTTTCACATCCCGTCGCAGGCGAGAGGAACATCTAACATCAAACCAAGCGCAACCTCGAGAACGTTGTCCCGAGCCGCGAAATTAACAAAGGCGGCCCAGCCATGTTTCACCTGCTCTCCAGCAGTCTGGCCAACACGTTTGAGAACCTCGGTGCTATCATCGAGTCCACGCATGGCGAAACGCTTTGTGTAACCCTCGACGAGGCCGGTGAAAAGTTCTAAATACCCCTTGTTGAATCCTTAAATCCCCGCAATGACCGTTCTCAGGGCTTCCCGCGTCATTGCGCATGTCTATCTATCATGTGGCAGGAAGGCGGGGGCTCTGATCACGCTGGCATGAGGGGCCTGCCTGATTCTTCCCAATACGTCTTTTGATTGGGTCAACGGGATGGCGTCGACATGATCGTCGATGCTCTTATCTGCATCTGCTCCGATAATGTCTGGCAACTGTGGGCTTTCTCTTTCCCGTTTTAGTGCTCCCCCCCTCGCCGCTTTCTCCTGACCGAGTAAAATTGAGCACGCCCCTGAGCAGCCTGAGTTCCTCACCACTCACTGAGCCTACCCTAGGTGTCCTGATTCGTTCACTATGTATGCCTAGCTTAAGAGCAGACCGAGTGATTCCCAACTCAATAAAATCCAACACGCTAGCTTATATAGTTGCTCTATCAACAAAAGACAGACATCATCAAAATAACCGTCGATCGTGATTATCTAGCGCTGATGCTAAGTCGGGCGCAAACTGGACAAAGTATGTACACTCAAGAGCTTCTAGCTATATTGATCCTAGGAGCTTTCTTCGATTTAATTGGCCTAATAAGATCCCTATATAGTCCTTCTGTGCGCACTACTCCTAGGATAGAACATATACATACTAGGGGAGGATACACATATGAGTCGAGCCTAATGATCTTACAAGCCAGTCAACTGATCAAACCCCACTTTTGATCTCCTCACTAGAAGATACCTCATGGACGGGCTCACGCTTATGGACGGGATTATGCTTATGGACGGGATTATGCTTATGGACGGGCTTATGCTTTATCGGTCAACAAAATGACGCGGCTGACGTCACATGCACCACACTAGCTAGTGTCATCATATCCCAGAGTGCGACTCTCTATGAACTTAGCATGACAACATCTCAATAATATTTAAAGTGCTTATATTGCTGTGATTGTAAGCATGTCAGCAGAAACTTCAGAGACTATACCACAAGGCCGGCTTCTCGAGGTATGAAACCCCCATAAGTTGCCTTCGCCGCAGAGGAACTAACAAGCCAATAGCCTAGAGAGAACGAAACGCTTGTTATAGCGCCTTTGAGCTTGGAAGGCTTCAATACTTTGAGACCTCTTCTTCGCCAACTAGTTCAGAATGATGTTGTCCGGAGTTATTATTTCGAGCCCGCTACTAGCCAAATCAGTTTGGTCTGCGCCACTCAACGCAACTGATATTGAAGGAGGCGCAGATCTCGATGTGAATCCATAGGAAGTTGATCTCTACAGTGGCCAATTTAGTGACCACTTAGTCGGCTTGGGAGGTTCTAGATTAGCTACAGGATACTTGTCGGTGGGTTCAGGTAGAGCGGAAAGCTTCACGTTTGAAAGTGGAGGAAATTTCGGATTGAGGATTTAACCCTGAGTAAGCTACGCTAAGAGCGTCTATACTATAGGTGGATCCGTGGCCTGTAGTTTGGCTGGCTTTAAGATACAGTCTTACTAGGTCATTAGAGCCCAGTGAACATGATTGGTAATGCCTACCTTAGCTCAGTATCCACTGGTGTGCTCTTGAATTGTCCGTACCAAGATATTCAGTGAGAACAAAAAAGGTGACAACAATTTATCTCTACGTGTAAAAGATAGTGGATTCGTATACGATCGTTTTCATGTATTTGAAAAGACTAGGACTGGAGGGGCTTTTCTCCACAACTCGGTGTCCACTTTGTCACAAATGGTCTCAGAGCTAGTTGAAAAGCATATGAGCTGGTTGGTGGGGGTTCCATCAGATGGGGGGACTGTTGGGTGAAAGGTTGAGGCAGAGTCACTTTGTCCAGTGTTATCCACCCCTGTATCTTGGAGCTTGCGAATTTGTTGTGTGACAAAATTCCATATTCCAAGAGCTATCTGAAAGGATGACTCGGGTGGCAAAGTAATGCCGGGTCTCATGACTGTATAAGGCGCCATGTCGGTGGATTGACAAAAGAATTTCAGTCTTCCTTGAATTTAGAGACACTATAGTAAACCACTTTCCTAAAGATTCTGACAATAGCAGTCTGGCCTTCGTGTGGATGATTTCATTCCTACTTGGGAGGAGGCGAATGCGTCTAGACATGCATATGATGCCGAGCCCTTCCTGGCGCCCTACAGCCGTAAGAGCCTCACTGACAACAAGGTGTTATTGGCTGCAAGATAGCTGCTGCCTATCTGCATTTTTAGCTTTGACCTCCTTAGCTTTGACTTTTAGTCGTCGGGCACTCCGATTATGCAAGGTACTGTAAAGTACGCCATTCCGGGAGATCGGCTGACCGTCGGTCCGCCGACGGTGTCGACTGGACGCGACAGTCTGACTTTCCATAATATCCACCTTTTCGCTGAACCATGTAGGGGCTCAAGGCTTTGCCATCACAGTCTTAGCTCAGATAAACATTAATTTAGATTAGCTCTAACCAGCCGGAGCAGTACCGGACTACTTATTTAGTTTTTGCCGACACAAGTGTGGTCATGTACTATATCCCCCGCATGGGGAGGAAAACACTTCGAAAGTAGCACCGTCTACACAATGTCAATGTCGTCGCTTTCAAAATCTATCAATCAGAATCAACCTGGACGCCAAACGACAGGTAGCGACCTAGTAGCTGAGAGTTACGAGAAAAACTAGGGGGAAAAAGTTTCAAGTTTTATGTAGGTCATTGCGGCGGATGTTTGTACGATCTATAATCCGATATGTGATTATGAATGCATTACGAAATAACGCAATCACTTTAGGTAAAGATCCCCAATAATCTCAATCCAATGTAACAGGGACAAGGATTCCCAGCACTTCATTTCAGCGCCTTAAACAGCCACTTAAGTCAGAAGCATCTAAGCGTGGGCTTTTTTTAGAATGATTGATGTCCATAGAATTTCCTTGGACTACTTAAATAGCCAGTGCCACAGTTTGACGCGTCATGACCCCAAAATTTCCATTATATGATACTCCAATTTTGATATGGTTAATTTACTCGCTGTAGATCAAAACGACTCTAAATCCTCTTTATATTTTTCACTACGCACAAACATTCCGTACAGACTACCAAGAATTGTCCCATGGCCAACTCAAAACCTGGCCGTTTGCCTGCGGATGTCCGGCCGTTTCATTACAACCTCACGCTAGAGCCAGACCTGGAAAGGTTCAACTTCCGTGGGGGTGTGGAAATCGGGTATGGCTCTCAAGAGGGCAAAATATCTGATCTAACGGTCTCAGGATTCATGTGCTTAAAATCACAAACTCGGTCACTCTTCACGCTGGCAACTTGGTGATCCACAATGCGCGTATCTCCGGCTTTGAGATTCCTGAGAAGAATCTTATTAGGGGAAAAGGTAAAGACACCTTAACCCTTCAGTTACAAAATTCTCTACGAGCCGGTGAGACTGTTATGCTTTCGTTCAGTTTCGCCGGAGTTCTCAACACCGATATGGCCGGATTCTATCGATCAGTTTTCAAGGATAAAGATGGCCAGGCGCACCACCTAGCCGTCACCCAAATGGAGCCCACTGACGCACGGCATGTGTTTCCCTGCTTCGACGAGCCAGCACTCAAAGCAACTTTTGCAATCACTTTGATTACCGCGAGTCATTTGGTCTGCCTGAGTAATATGAACATTAAATCAGAGAAAGCAATTCAAGCAGGGAAAAAAGGAAACTGCCTTCAACACTACGCCCCCTATGTCAACTTATGTCGTTGCGGTCGTGGTCGGTGAGCTAGTCGTCCTTCAGACAGACATCTATCGCGTCCCTATTCGTCTTTTTGCTGCTGCAGGTACTGAAATCGACCGACTGGGGAAGTTTTCGCTGGAGCTGACGGCGCGAACGCTCGCTTTCTACGATGAGCATTTTGGCACCCCTTTCCCGTTGCCCAAAATGGACATTGTCGCAGTGCCGGACTTTATCGGCGCAATGGAAAACTGGGGTCTGGTTTTCTACCGTGAGCGAGACCTCCTGTTCGAGATTTCCGAAACCTCAGTGTCAACACTACAACGCAACGTCAAGCTCGTGCAGCATGAACTGGCACACCAGTGGTTCGGAAATTTGGTCACTATGGAGTTTTGGAATGGTATGAAATTTCAGATTTGATTTGAATATCTTAAGTGAATATCGCTAACTTTTAGACCTCTGGCTCAATGAGGGGTTCGCAACTTGGATGGCCTGGTTTGCTTGCGATGCTTTTTATCCAGAATGGGGCATCTGGCAGATATATACCGCGGAAAGCCTGCAGCACGGGCTGCAGCTAGACGGGATGCGTAGTTCACATCCCATTCAAGTTCCTATCCACGGGGACGATGAAATCGGACAGATATTTGACGACATTTCCTATTCTAAAGGAGCCTGCGTGCTTCAAATGATCGCGGGAGCTCTAGGTCAGGATGTCTTTCTGCAAGGAGTAAGAGCATACATCCGCAAGTACAAATATGAGAATGCAAAAACCGACGACCTTTGGTCAGCGCTAACGGAGACGAGTGGACAAGATGTTGGTCGATTGATGCACACCTGGACAAAAGAGGTGGGATTTCCCTTGCTTCTTGTCACCGAAGACGCAATAAACAACACAATTCATATCCGACAAACCCGCTTCATGATGACAGCAGATCTTCTACCCAGTGAAGATGAGTCTATATATTCTCTTTCTTTAGGCCTACGATCCGCAGCTGGAGTTAACATGGATGCCATGCTTACGACCCGGGAAGGTACATTTACCTTAGCGAGCTTGGATTTCTTCAAGATCAATGCAAACCACACCGGCTTCTATCGCACAGCGTATTCACCCGAGAGGCTGAAAAAGCTGGGCGAAGCTGCCGTTCAAGGCTTTTTGACTGTTGAAGATCGCGTGGGTCTCGTTGCGGACGCTGCTGCTTTGACGGCTACAGGGTACCAACGGACGTCTGAGATCTTGTCTCTACTTGAGACACTCAATACGTAGTCCGAGTATATCGTCTGGAAACAAATGATTGCTACTATGGTTGCTATTTCTGCTGCTTGGATACATATCCCGGAAACACAAGAGGCCTTACAGTCTTGTGAACGCCAACTTATCAATTCTAAGGCGCATAAGCTCCGTTGGGCAGTAAACGCGAGCGAGAGCTACGGTTTACGGAGATTAAATATTTTATTGTTTAGCAGGTTGGCGCTCATTGGGGATAAAGAGGCTCAAAAAGCGGCATTTGAGATGTTTGCGCAGTTTCGCGCCGGTGACAGATCTGCAATCCATCCCGACTTGCGCGCGGCGGTCTTTGGCTCTGTTCTGAAATTTGGCTCCACGGAGGAGTATAATGCTGTGCTAGACATATATCGCACCACGGAGGACAGCAATGAACGCATCACAGCGCTTGCAGCTCTGGGTCACGCGCGTAGTCCAGCGCTCGTCCAACGCACGACAGCAATGTTGCTGGGCGATCAGGTGCGCCTGCAGGACATTCAAGCTCCGATGACCAATTTGGGAACGCATCCAAACGGGATTGCAGCACTATGGCATTGGATCACTGAAAACTGGTCCATTATTAAGAGGCGGCTGTCTTCAGGCCTTCTGATCCTCTCTACGGTCATTTCCTTGTGTACGAAGGGTCTCACAACAGAAGAACAGCGGCGGAATGTTGAGGAGTTTTTCGAAAAGAGCAAGACGAAAGGATTTAACAATGCTTTGAGGAACAGTCTTGATGAGATCCAAATCAAGATACGCTGGATAGAGAGGGACGCAGAAGATGTACAGAAATGGCTCGACAATTATTTGGAGACGCATGGCTCTTAGACGGAAGGAGAGCGAGCAGGGGACTCGGAGTGCGTTGTGTCGTTGATGGTGTTGGTGAGGCTTGGAGTGTTGCGAGTCCATCCCTTTTCGCCGTTTGCACTGATGATCTCCTGCTGGCTACTGCCCGCGGTAGAGCCGATGCGCGACCACAGCTTGGTATGCACGATTTTGAACAGAGGACGCATGTTCGATAGACAGGCCGCGACGATACCCACGGCTGGCTCAATGCAGGTCCACACACTCGAGTTGACTTGGTTGTCTGCAAAATGTTAGAATCTTGTTATAAGGTTTTCGGAAACTGTGATCATACAGGTAATGTCGTTGCCAGCGGTGGACAAGTCGATGAGAGCGACCAGGCGGACGATATCGAAGACCAAAGTTCTATGTTTTGTCAGTTCATGTCGAACAAATAAAGGGCGCGTGACAAACAGGAAACCCAGAATGAAGATGGCCGAAAGACCAAATTTCTGGGTACGAGAAATTGGCAGACCCCAGACGACATGCATGGGCATGAACAGAATGATAGCGTCAGTCGCGATGTTGGGAACCTGAAGTCCGTAGTAGAACTTGGAGAGATCCATGCATCCACCGGGCAATTCGGGATACCACAGCTTCTCCGTGGGAATGCAGGTAAAGCAGCCAGTGAGAATGCCACAAGCGGCCCACAGAATAACAATCATGGACACGATGTTGACACCGATCTTCATCTGCTTCGTAGGGAAGATCCGGCGGTAGAGCATGAGAATGGACAATTTGACCGAGGCGATGCAGCAAGTGTAGAGGATGGATCCGGTGAACAGTGTCTATCAAAGTGTCAGTCAATTTTCCACTGGAGATGTGATTGAAGAGCTTGTACCTTCAGGTATACGACGAGCTGCTCGGGCTTCACGTAGGCGATGTGGGTTCCAAGTCCATTGTAGAGCACTGTTCGATATTAGGTTGCTGTCCATCCATTGTTCGTTCGGCATACGTACAAACAATTCCAGCTATTGTAATCCCATACTCGAAAATCTTTATTACTATTAGCATGAATCCATATCATCCGAGAAGATACAAAACCCTACCAGCGCCGAGATGATGAGCAAGTCATCCAGGTAGAGACCGTTTCCATTGATCTTTCTGGAGATAATTCGGAAGCCTACTGCGGTCGTAGACAAAATGAAAGCAAAGCAGGTTGAAGTGATGACCACATGGCGCAAGTTGTCATGGTCATAGCCGGTCTTGCTCTGTGAGATGATCGACATGTTGATACAAGTGCAGTATTGGCAATGCAACGCTACGCACGATTGTGTCTCAGAGCTCCTCGAATATTGATGAATGTAAATTTTCGAAGAGTCTCACGGAATAGAAGACCTCAATATATTCGAAGAACTTGATGCCATCAAAAAAGTATTTTCGCACAGGGTGAACATGGCTCACATTTATCTGCCTTGACGACCAGTGACGTGATTCTTCGAGTACATCATTCGATCGGAGTGCCACCTTGGATGGAGTATAGACGTAATGCACCCTTACATGCAATGCGAGATCAGAGCCAGAGATCTGTAGCTTGGCTCGAGCCCGGGCGCTGATGGGACAAAAGGTCCCCCACCCGACCCGGTACGGCGGCGTAAACGAGCCCTGAACCAAGTCCCGAAGTTCTGGGGGAAAGATCCCGGGACCCACAGGCGTTGTTCAGGCAGATTGAACGAGACACATCACTTGCCGTGACTATCGAGCTTCCTACATGACCTCATACATAGTGGCTAATGCCCAATAGCAACTTGTGGGGGTGGTGGATATCGGTAGTGTGTCCGAATCCTCGCGCAAAGATCGACCTGTCGCTCGGAACACAGCCGTGGCAGGTTTGATCGTGAAGAACCCGCCACCCCGGTTCGCCCGATCATGCGATCGTGCGATCGCATAGGCGCAGCGCGAGCTACTTCTTCCTGATACATTAAAGAGTTCAGTCGGATAACTGTCGAAGCAGCTCCCACGGCGAGGGTGGATTTGGATCACTGCTAGCGACTCCATCCTGGAAGTGGCCACGCGTCAACGGACCCATTTTCTATTTAATATTGCGCCGTAATGTAGTGAATGTGATGCTGGAGTTTCTCATGGAAGTTCCCACTTTTTAGGAAATTACGAGAACGAGAACGAGAATCTCTCAGGCCTCTAATATACAGGTCTCCCTTTACTGTGGAAGTTGAGAACCAGGACCCTCGCAGTATCTTTTTTCACGATATGGCTATTGAATTTAAAATTTCAATCTGAACCAGGCAATTCTACAAGGCTATTTGACATCATAAGTTTCAAGTTGAGTGCCAATCATCCAGGTGCAGTGGTACGCTTCATACTCCCAACAACCCGGAACGCGGTTTAGCATTTTCGAGATTTGGACTGCTAACCTTGTCATGTCGCCACATTAGAACTATCAGAATTGTCGCCTGCAACCGATCGGGATATTCGTGCATGGAATATGCAGGTATCGTACTTGGCCACGCGATCTGTATGCATAGTTGTCAAGGACACACAGAATTACCTAGAACCGAGGGGGTTGAAGTTCGAGATGTACCTTTTTAAGCTATGGATTTCTGATATGTGAGGCTGCCATTAGCGGTTGATTCACCCTTCATGAAGATTTTGGCCTGTCATCGAAAGCCACAGCGGAGCTAGAAAATATCTCAGCCCCCCACGACCAAGACAGTCACCCTATTTCGTGAGCCTTAGTCAGTTTAAACACGCCACGGCTTGGGCCTAGTCACAATCAGTATGAGTGTCCCAAAGATGTTTGTATTGCACCTGAGCAGCCATTCGAGCGTGCTCACACTCCATACACATCTCGATCTATATAGCATGGATAGAACCCCAAGGTCCACGGATAAACGATGGAAATTTTAAAAGTAAAATTATTGTAGATATAAAATGCTGCATAGACGCCATGAGAAGACAGTAAACGTTCACCTCCCCGGTGGCGGGGAATACGTCATGGGCCCTGGGGCCGTGTATGGAGAGAGGAGGGTTGCACCTCGCTCCAGCGTCGCTCGGGCCCGCAGCTCTTCTCGCTTCTGAATTTCCTTCTCATCTTGAATCAAAGTGCAACAAGTACAGCAGGTCGCCCGAACATAATCGGATGCAATATTACCCTTGATATCATATGCCTTTCTCGTTCGAGTGTGCTGGATGGTAGCCAGTAGCCCTATTGCAAAAGTTCAGCATTCCGCGGCATCTCGTAATCCATACATGGGTGAACTTACATTGACACCCGCACAACAGAGCCATGCAAGTGCAAGATCCATTACAAATCTCGTACCCCAGCATATTGGTCGGGTCCCCCTTTTGCGATTTCATTGATAGCCGGTATTGCGTCTTGCCGTATAGAATGCACGGGCAGATTGCACCTAGACAACACGTTCCAATGTTCGAGCATTCGCAAAGCCCGTGACTCCAGGTCCCACCTTGTACCTCTTGATTCGGGTGCATTATCTGTCCGGGCTGATGGTACGAGCTCAAGTCTTCGACCGTGGGCGCTTGCGAAGCCGGTGCGGCGGTGGGAGGTGGGAAGTATGGCAATTTCGGCGACTGGAGTGGATTTGCATCGGGGGCGACAGAAAAGGTTTCGCTTCTTTGGGGGGCTTCGGGGTTCATTTTTACTGGTAAGGGCCCTGGTGAATTTGGGGGTTGGCTGCGGGGGCTGTACGAGTATAGCGGCGATTGAACAGGTTGGGGATGTTGAGGAGGTTCGGCATATGGTGCATAGTGAGCAGGATGCTGGTCTGGCGGTGGATAGTTTGAGTATGTGGGAATAATACCCTCCTCTTGTAGATGTCGTTCTTTTTCATTTGAAGCAAAGCGGTGGGCTGACTGTTCAAGCTGTTCGCTGGGTGGTTCTATCGCCGGTTGTTGAGCTGAACTCGACATTGTGGGTACTGACGGAGGGGAATTTGACTCTGGAAACTGCGCGGTGGAATGCATCTCAAGAGGAGTTTCCATGAACGAGTATCTCCGATCATGTCCCACGTGCGTGTCCAGATGTAGTGGGCGACTCATTTTGATGCCGGCGATAGCGATGCGCCACTCTCTATATTGCCCCCTTGAGCTTCAAAGACCTCAGGTGCAGCTGAAGAGCCAGAATTATGTATACTGTCCAGTCAAGCCTCAGCCCCTGGGTGAGAAAGGAAATAGGTGGCTAGGGAGTTTGTCGCTGTGACCTGCATCGCAAGAGCTCGCCCCTGGAGCCTAATTTGGGCGGCACACGCTCGGCTAACAGATCATCCGTCGGTCCGCTTGTAGGCGATATGCGACAGCAGCTCGACAGCGTGAATGGAACGAGTCTAATTCCATAGGAAGTGTTTGGTGGGAAACGCGCGTGACGGGGGAGACACGGAGGATGCTAAACCACCGAAGTGGAGATACAGACTGTCTGAGGGGGGGGCTAGGTCAGAGCTACGCGGGGAATGGACGATATGAGTGGCTTGAGAGCTCGAGGTTCATTATGAACTTGGTTGTTTAGCGTGGTCCGGGTACACTAATGCATCTGCTTCACATGGCTGTTCGCTCTGGTTGGGCTGGGACCCGCCCGGCTCCTCCCGTTGGGCGCCGTGGTCCCTCTCATCACACTTTAGCTGGGCGCACTAAGGAGCGTTGTCACTCGGTAGCCCGTGACTGCTGGATCCGTAATGTAGGGCTTGGGAGATAATTAGTTACGTAGGTGTTGGTCTCGCTCCGCTGGAAAGCGCCCTGTATAGTGGGCCGTAGAGATACACAGCTTGGATTGTGTCGTCGACTATGAGAAGTAAAGGTTTTGAATGTCAGTTACAGGACTTGTTAATCCAGATTCAAAGGATCGAGATTGGCATAGATATTCCAGTGCGGGGTTCAAACTTCTAGTTTATTTCTCACTTTAAATTGCGTTGGTTCTTGACATGGGTCAATCACCGCAGCGGGCCTCTGCTACTCCGAGCCCGGTCCGGTTCAAAAGGATTTTATCACCATGGTAGGTGTGTTGACTGGTATAACTGACTTAGTTATCTCTCCGGATATGTCATCCTTGATTAACTATCGGTTGCTCCAAACATAACACCAAACCTCTTTGCAAAAAGTACAGTCGGCTTTCCGGTGGGTGGATTTCCGGAACAGGCGGGCAACTTGAGGAGTCGGTGAAGCGCTTCAATTTTTTGCATTTCCAACCCGACCCCTGGATGGATTGACTCAATTTTGAGAAGCGTGCCCTCGGTATCCTGTTCCTGGCTAAGGGTGTATATAGGGTGAATGCTCGTGTAACGTTTTCTTGACGTACAAACTCAATACTAGATCACGCGCCCTTGACGCACAGCGATCAAACCGTTAACCGTGTCTCAGGTATGGTGGCGGACCCTCTTTACTTTCGTGAGCAGCTCAGCTGCCTGGATAATACTGGGGGAACCTGTGAACTCCATGAAAAACCGAGGCCAAGCTCCAAATGTTTGATCAGGCCCGACCGCCGAATCTCTTGGTTTCGACGTATCACCTAGGCATTAATACTGCAAACCCTGTCGATTGTTAGGCACCAGCGACCGATAAGAAAATAAACAGTTGATCTTAGAACTGCTACTGGATCCTATGGCACTGTACGAGGTAGCTTATACGGACCATGTAGAAGCCGAATACTTGTGGCTGTCAGGAGAGTCGAGAATGTTTCTAGGGGGGCTTCTCCCCAATCGCAGACGGAGGATCGACTCGGGTCACAGAGAAATGGCACGGTTGGCACGGTTGGCACCTATGGCCGACCATCGTGGTACCACGCCACCTCCAACGGACACGATGATTGGCAGAGGCGTGAACAAAGCCCGTTCCAAGAATCGCCTGATCGACCCGAGAACCTTGTTATCCCTTGCCCCACAGGTTTCGGAGATGGGGGTGAATGCGAGAGCTGCAAGTGTAAAATCGAACGCCTATTCTGCTGCATTCCGAGATCTCCGGTTCCTGGATTGAGATCAGCTGGCTTGTTCTGTCGAGGTCATATTCAAGCCTGGAGCCCGGAGCCTCAAGCCTGGAGCCCTATTCAAGGGACTGCAGGACATCCTTGGCCGTATGCAGGGATCCCAGGTCAAGGTTTGCAGGATTTGGCATGGAAAGAGAGTGGGTGAGTTGGAAGATACTGAAGATAACTGCGGATGCTGCACCGGGCAGAGGTGTAGGTAAGAAGCATAAAAGGAAGTCTTGACGGGAGTCAGCCAAGGACAGACAGAAAGGAACAGCCCGGTGACTTCATCCATCGGTCTGCTCCATTTCCCATTTCCCACTTCCCATTCCCCGTTTCCCATCTCCCACTTTACTCCTCTTGCTCTCCACTCTTTATCATCAAGAATTTGAGATCGGAAACGATCCACTTCCAGGCGGTGACGGGCGATCGGCGTCACTTGTGCTACCGTCCCGACTCCGTTTAGGTTCTCTCGATCCTTTATCTCTCTCCCCCAGCGTCTCAGCCTTTTCCTGATCCCGGCTTTCTGACCGATTTGCGGTCTGCTCTCTACCTGTAAGATTCCTCCCTCGCCCAACGTGCTCGAGATATCTCCTTCCCCTGTCGTCTTCCTCCCACTAACTCGTCTCTATTCAGATTCGTGACGCCAGCCTCTCATCTGTCTCGTCCACGTCCATCTGCCGGCGTCCCAATTTTATCCCTCATATCCAACCAGCACCCCGCCTTGTTCCCGCTTCCATACCTTTCCGATCCGGGCAACCCTGACCAATGTCCTCTCCATGTCAAACCCGCCGCACGCTCCCGAAGACACTTTACATGACCCCCTGGTGACACCTGCTACGCCCGTCCATCATGATTGCTCCGAGGAGGCAGAGCTCTCCCAGAGCAACCCACGTCACCACTTGTCGCAGGACCACCGGTCCCAGGGGGCTCAAGGGGTGCTTTCTCCATCGCGTGCTGAATCCCCAACGGTCCGTCAATGGTCCCAGCCCGTATCTGCTTTCGCCCTAAATAGGACCTCCACGATTCCTTTGGAGAAATTATCCCGCCCTGAATCCATCCATAGCCCACAATTGTCCGAGAGAGACAGTATCTTCGCGACACATTATCTCCCTTCGGATAGCGGCGCCAATACCCCACAATTGCCCCCCGAAAGGGCCTCGGATCATGAGCGCCCGGTGAATGCCATCCCCGGCCTGGATGATACACCTGGGTCCCCAAGTCCTATATCCAAGGTCTCCCCCCACCGCTCCCACGTCGATCCTTCCCACATGGAAGTTGACGTCCGCAGACATCTCCCATTGCGCTCCTCGCCTCTGTTTTCTCACACCAATGCCCCCCGCTCGTCTCTACTGCGCTCGTCCATCTCTTCTTCGGACCACGTGAAAGATCAGCAGGGGGAGACAATCACTCCGTCTGTGCACATTGGGCCTTCGGATGAAACAGGTACGAAAGCTGGCAGCTCTCAAGACACTTTGGCTGAACGCAGTCTTCTTCCGTCTTTGATAGACGATGCATCTCACCACCCCCGGTCCTTAACGCCCTCGTCGTCCGGCCAGGACCGGCCGATGGTTAGTTCGGAGATCGCACCTCATACTTCGTTTGCAGACTCCTCTCGAGGTATTCCTCTCGAAGAGAGCTCAACCAGGGGTCGCCGTGGGCGAGTGGATAGCGCAATTGAGGCAAACCTTGCCAACGCGGAGCCTGCCTCTAACGTGCGCAGCCGCAAGTCTAGCCATTACCTTGGCTTGTTTAAAGAAAACACGACGTCGCCCGACCGTAAACGATGGGACGACCGCACTAAGCAGCAAGATGAGCCATTTGATCTGAGGGATCACACCATGGAGCCCGAAAACCCGAAACTTCATACCCTAGCAGAGGAGGACGGGATACTCCGCAAAAGTATTTCTCTCCCTTCATTGGACCATGGTCCGTCACCCGAGTCAGCGACGTCGATGAACACGTCTCAACAAGCCGACCAGGAGGATGGCCGCCAGCGGCGTCCACAAGCGCTGCCACGCGGTCTCCTCGAGGAGATCCGCAATTTTCATCTGACTCCGGGTGGCGGCCGCGGATCCTCCTTCTCCAAAAGCATCCCGACCCAGTATTCGGAGCGCAGTCGCGATTACTTCCAAAGAGAACCTCATGTCGAACACTTTGCTGATTCACTGAGCTCTTTCGAGGAAGGAGAGCGTCGGGAATCCGCCCAATTCGAAGAGGAAGAGGAGAACGAGCAAATCTCCTCTGCTGTTTATTTCCCTCATAAGCGCACAGTTCCGGAAGGGGTTGATCTTTCCGAGCAATTACTGGCGGACTCGGGTAGTGTGGAAACACTTCAAATTTCCGCTGCAGAGAAAGGCAATGAACTGATGCTAGTGCCCCAAGATCGTAGAGAGTCTGCGGAGCAGGAAGTCGGCCATGTGGATATATCCTTTCGATCTAAAAATGAAAGTAAGATCCTCTCCGGCGAGCTTCCGGATCTTCGGTCTCCGGCAGAAGGCCTGCCAGAGAAGTCCTTGAGTACGGTTTCCGAACACAGTTATGATTCCACTGGAGAGTCTGAAATTGTCTCCGCGGACGAGAGTTCTCAATCAATGCATGATGAATCTAGCCTCACCGACGACCTCGAGGTAACGCCGACCGCCACGCCCACGCAACGATCCCGGTTCCCTTTGAGACGCAAGTCGAAACCCGCAGGGCCTCTTGGAGCCGTGGAACTGAAGCCGTACAGGCATCAGGTTGGGGGTCATACCACTGTTTTCCGCTTCTCGCGACGGGCAGTGTGCAAGCAGCTCAACAATCGGGAGAATGAATTCTACGAGCGCATTGAAAAAAGGCATCCTGATATGCTAGTGTTCCTTCCCAGGTATGCTTTACCCCATCATGATGGTAGTGTGGCAAGATCGTCACCTGGCATCAATGCGTTTAGCGTTATTCCCCGAAGAGGGTCCGATATTGTTTGATGATCTAACTTGTCACAGATACATCGGCGTTTTGAACGTGACTTTTTCGAAGACCTCGAAACGCCTCAGAGCCAATACCGACCGTTCAAACGGAAGCATTCTCAATGCAAGTCAGACTAACGGATCTTCGGCAATTAATTCCCATACGCTGGAAGCTCCGGAACCCCAGCGAATCGTCAGTCAGAGTCAAGTTACTGGGGTAATTCCCAAAGTCATTCTCGAGAACAACCGTCATATCATCCCCGCCGATCTATTCACTCGTCCTCAACGACCGCGTCTTGCAGATGACAGCGTGATGGGCCGGCCCCGCTCGGCTGACGGTCTCGATCATGTAGCAGCGGACTCCGATTCCACATCACTGAAGAAACGCACAAAGATCTGGGGTGCGACTACAGTCAACAGGAAACTCCAGGAACAGGTGCTCCGGGAAGTCTTCAGCCCGCCAGCCATTCACCATCATCGGCGACACGCCCGTGGCCCCCTTCATCTACCGAGAGCCAGCTCAGATATTCCTCGTCAGCGTGGAAACTTGTCAGAAGAGCACGCAGCTAATAGTCGCCCGTCGTCACTGGGTAAGATCGAGACTTTGAGAACCCCTGCCAAGGAGATCGCGCGGTCCAATCCGGAAGGCCCAACACTTTCGTCATCGGCCTCCACCGCTTTTGAGGACAATCGTAACCGTCTCGAAAAGGTTCAGACCGAGGAGCAGCCAGATCGAGCAACCTCTCTTCATCGTGGCCAGATGAGGCGGCGGCACTCAGGAGGTGGCCTGCAAAGACGTGGAAGTATCAACTCCCGCAATGATGGCGAGCTCCTGTTTTTCGACGACGAAGGTTACGGTGGGGATAGAGAGGATGAAATCTTCTCAATGGAAGGCGATGCATCTATGCCTGAGAACTCCATCCCCAAAGTCAATTCTTCGTCCTCCATTTCCACAGTCTCGGAAAGCGCCTCTACCATTGGGCCCTATGACATTGAAGCTGGAACCCCTAGTAGAAAACTTTTGGACGCCTCGCGTGCAAGGGCGAAGGACGACGCCAGTTCTGAATTGCCAAGCAATCCCAAGGAGGCGCAATTGCGAAAAGATGATCGAGTTCAGTTTTTCCTCCTACTGGAAGATCTCACGGCTGGCATGAACAAGCCATGCGTCCTCGATCTCAAGATGGGCACTCGTCAATACGGCATTGAGGCGAGCGAGAAAAAGAAAAAATCGCAAAGGAGAAAGTGCCAGTCGACCACATCCCAACAACTGGGTGTTCGCCTTTGTGGTATGCAAGCCTGGAATGTCAAAAAGCAGGAATACATCTTCGAGGACAAGTACTTTGGACGAGACCTAAAATCCGGTCGTGAATTCCAGGATGCACTCACTCGCTTCCTCTACGATGGCGTTAGCTACACCAGCGTGGCTAAGAAAATCCCCGTCATTTTGGAGAAAATCTCGCTGCTGGAACACATGATCCGAAAGCTGGACCGATACCGTCTCTATGCTAGTAGCCTTTTGATTCTGTATGACGGAGAGCAGGCAACCCCTCCCTCAACGCCTAGTCGTCCCACTAACGAACGGCCCGACCTACGACGACGAGCCTCTGAAGATGGGCACAACAACATTGATGTTCAGCTGAAGATTGTCGACTTCGCCAATTGTGTGACAGGCGAGGATGAATTACCTCCGGACACGCCCTGTCCGCCCCACCATCCGCAGGACATTGATCGCGGGTACCTCCGAGGCCTTCGCACCCTACGGATGTATTTCCAACGCATCATGCGAGAAGCTGCCCAAGACGAGTTCATCGAGCGTGGCGAGGGCGAGGCCATCGCGTTGGGGTCACAGCCTGCTGTTCGCGAAACGCCCTCAGACCAATATTGGGACGAGAGTGTAATGGACAGCGACGCGGGTGAAGTCAGCTTCTGAGGTGCTTCATCTGTCAATCCTCCTTTTCCTCTTTCCTTCTCTATATCTTTCTTCTCCTTATTTCGGCTTGATTTCCAACACCAGGATGTTCGGGGATAGACGGAGTTTATCTTATCATTATGCGCCTTGATTTGTTTTCGCGCCGAGCTTCCCTAGGGAAGTACGACTTATGATCTCCACGGATGCTTTAATGACCCTTGCCAATGCCTGGATGCATTTAGAGCCCGGCTGATTTTGTGCTTCTCATTTCATTCCCCTTTCCACTTGGATGGCATGTATGAATTAAGCAACCCTTGATTCCCCGTCTACCTCTTTTCACTCATGTTTCACTTCTCGGTCTTGTTTTATTGATAATACCCCTCCAATCGGGATCTCTGGGCTTTCGGACCCGTGTTCACCTGGGTCGAAGCTCTGTGTATTGTATATGATCTATTTCCGATTAGACAAGAATCTACCTTTATCCTAAGCTCTTCCGTATCTCCCTGTGTAAAGCCTCGTTTGATGTCACGTGTCCTCCGATAAGTCCAACCCCAGCTCCTCTCGCGTCATCGCGGATGAGCTGTACAACTACCTTTATCGTCAGGAGTCATTGCGAATAGCTCTCAACCCCGTAAAGAGCTTATGTTGCAATCCAATGACGTAGGGTGGAGACGCGACAACACAGCAACTGATCCACCCAGCTGACACGGCCAACCATTCCTTCTCCGCAAAGGACCTCGCAGACATACCGGTGGGGCTGCTGGACGGACCGCCCTGATATAACACCGTCACAAACCTACCGAATTTCACGTTCTTCATTCATCTCACGAACTTCCGTTCCAAATTCGAGCCATTCGTGCGGCGAGCACGATGACGAGCTCCCACGGCCATAGGGACCCGCCGATCGACAAGCGCGACTTCGATGCGAACCGGCCACTGCTTCAAGATGGTGATACGGAAGGGCACACTGGGCATTCAACACCGTATCCTCGATCACAACCGGAATCAAGTCACTCGCGCCTTTCGGTCGACAGCGGAAGCCGTAATGCCGACGATGGACTGCTGAACGATGTGGTGGAGGGTATTGTCGAGCGTGATCGACAGAAGATACACAGGGAGGTGGTTCGGGTGGTGAGCTTTGTCTGGGGCGTGGTTACTTGGTATGGTTGCCCGGTCATATGCTATAGGTATCCCCGACGCTGACGTTCGGCTTGTAGTCTTGGTGCTGGAAGTATCACCGCGTTCTCCTTATACGGGCATCTGCTGCTTACCCGGCTTCGCTACACTCAACTGCAAGTTAACGCGGTGTCCATTGCGGCGGAGGTTGCAATGTATCTGCTCGTGCCATTGTTTGGGTACCTTTGCGATCGATACAGCCCGTCGCCGTTGTCGTTAGGGTCGGCGATCTTATTTGGACTGGGGTATCTCCTCGCTGCCTTTACATACAAGAGCGGCCCACCCGAGGATGTTGGTGGCACCGGATGGCCATTCTGGGTCATGATAGTGGCCTTCATCTTGGTCGGAATGGGCACCAGCTGCATGTATTTGTCTGCCGTGGCAACATGCGCAAAGAACTATGGCCGGGGGAAACACAAGGGTATCATGCTTGCTGTTCCCATTGCGGCATTCGGCCTGAGTGGCATGTGGCAGAGTCAGCTGGGAACTTACGTGCTGTGTGAGCGTAATCCCGATGGCAGCCGTGGTGATGTGGATGTGTTCCGATACTTCCTTTTCCTGGGGCTGCTGCTTCTGGCCATTGGAATAATCGGTACATTCGCTCTGCGCATTGTTGACGACGAGGAAGAGAAATACATTGATGAGACAGTTGAAGAACTGGAGCGCAGTGGATTGCTCGAAGAGAGCGATTTCTTCCGTCCACGCAGTGATATAAGGGCCGTGCTCGAATATGGCACCTTTGGCTCTGACGATGATGAAGAGTCGGTGACTCTTTCGGATCAGGAGCGGGAAGAGCAGAGGCGTGAGAAGGAGCGCCAGGAAGAGGAACGTCGGAAGAAGAACTGGCTCCTCAACTATGAAACGCGGGTTTTCCTCCAGGATCCGACGATGTGGTGGCTGGCTGCTGGCTTCTTCTTGGTCACTGGGCCGGGAGAGTCGTACATCAACAACGTGAGTCTTTTCATCGTACTTGTTATGCTTGATATCTAATCACAAGCAGCTCGGCACTATCATCCCGACTCTCACTCCCCGATTCTATTCTCCTCTTGCTCCTCCGCCGGCCGGTCTCCCATCCACTCATGTTACCACAATTGCCTTGACCTCGACCATCGCCCGGCTCCTCACGGGATCTCTTTCTGATTTCTTTGCACCTCCAGCAACACATCTTTTCCCACCGATCCCAGAGCACAGCCGACATCGCTTCGGCCCGTCTGAAACAGGCGGTCTCACGCTTTCTAGGATGACCTTTCTACTTCCATCCGCACTCCTTCTTTCCATCGGATACCTTCTACTCTCATCCCCCCTCCCAATAGACCACCCACCGGTCTTCCATGTCACCACCGCACTAGTTGGATTCGGCTACGGCAGTGCATTCTCACTAACACCGATCCTCATCTCCGTCGTATGGGGTGTGGAGAACTTCGCCACGAATTGGGGCATAGTCGCCATGATGCCAGCCCTCGGCGCCGCGCTCTGGGGCGTTGTCTACTCCCGTTCTTACCAGAATGCCCTGGATGCGATCGGTTCGCCTGATGGGCAGTGCTATGGTTGGAAGTGCTATGGGTACTGGGCGGTGGGCTGCACTATCAGTGTTTGGGTGGCTCTTGTGGTTTGGTTAGCTGCCTGGAGAGGTTGGAAGAAACGCGGTGTTGTCGTCTAGTCGAGGACCACCACGATATGGCCATTTGCATCACGATATTTGTTTCGGCGCTTAAGCGTTCCCCCGGCTAGACGTATAATTAGCCAATAGAGACCATTTTCAAGATATTAGTTCTTTTTGCGATGTCCACAAAGATCCACATATAACGAATCATATCCTAATCAAAGAGAGATAGAGAAAACCCCTACTGCATGTTAAATTGAAGGGAATCATATTGCTACACAGATTATCACGAGGAACGAGGCTCTAGAAGGACTGCCACGTTCTTAAGGTAACATGACACTACACTTGGTACTGGAACAAAACTAGGCGGATTCTGACTTACCAAACTTCCCTTCAAACACATCGAACTACTATATTATTTACCAAGTAGCCTATTTTGCTTCCAGGGCCAGTATGAACAGCCGCGCACGTCGACTTTGGGCTTGTGTTTATTTAGGAACCTTAGTAGAGATAGTCCGCCCCGTATACGATTGATCCTCAACCTTTTTGATATCATCTTCCTCCGAAACAGCAAACTGCTGATCGATATCCTCCAGCTCCAAGCGTTTGGTCTCGGGAATGAACAAGAACCCAAAGACAATAGCCACAACCGAGATGGAGCCGTAGATGAATCCGAGTTTACCACCTAGATAGACATGACCTGGTGTATCGGCAGTTTCCATGTATGGGTAGGAGAAAGTCACGGCAAATCTATCACCACTTAGTATTCAGTTCAAACAAGATCCAGGGAAATCGAAACGTACTCGGTAAGCAACTTAACCGTATAAGCAATTTGTAGTGTCATTTCTCGCAAAGGTGACAAGGGGAGCTCTGCACCGAGCACGTATACAAGGGGCGCCCAGCCGAGAGACCAACTGAAGCTGTATAATACCAACATGGCCACGATGCCTTTTTTGGCTGCGAGGTTGCTTGGATCTGCCGTTCCAAGAGCGCCCATGGTCATCAAAAAGGTCGTTTGCATGGTTGAGCTGACGTGGAACATCATCCTGTATGAAATTAGTTTCAAGCTGCATCAAAAGAAAAGGAACAATTATAGTTTTGAGATAGACTGACCTGCGCCCAACTTGGTCAATGAGCAATCCTGAAGTAGCAATTGCTCCAATATCGACCGCATTTGTACCCAGTGATACGCTAAATGGATTGACGGAATTCAACTGCTTCACGAACAGAGTTCCGTACTGCGACGCGAACGCTTGACCAGTAGCTTGCTGGAAGAAATTGCAAGCAGCAATGACAAACGTACGCTGTCGGTTCTCCTTGGTGAATAGATCTTTGAAGCTTCGCTTCTGGAGCTGCAGAGCAACCTTTTCGCAAATAATCTCAAATTCTTCATGCAGCTCCTCGTCGGACGTATCCTTTGACTTGAGCCGTCTGACAGCCTCGAATGCTTCCTTGCGCCGATCGCGGAGAAGGAACCATCTCGGAGATTCGACGGAGAACCATACCAAACAGCACACGGTGAAAGGAATGATGAGAATCAGACCAAATGGGATCTGCCATGCAGCGTTGGATTTGATGTTTTCGGTTCCGCGGGTGATGGATGTCACGACGAGGCCTCCGACTTTGATGCTCAGCCAGTATAGAACTCCCATTCCACCACGGATTTTGGCGGGTGCGAGTTCGGATAGGGTTGTTGGGATGACGGCCATTTGCATACCGAGGTAGATATCTGAGGCCAGGGGTGTTAGCCATCCGGGACTGTTCCAAGGCTGGGAGAAGCATGGAGCTCACAGTGAAGGGCTCTGGCAGCTTGAATTTGGGCTACTGTCTTAGAGCTAATTACGACGGATGTACTGCCGAGCGCATATACACTCATGGCGAAGATGCACATCCGACGTCCGTATGTATTGCTCACATAGCCACCGAGAAAGACACCTGAGGAGAAGACGGAACAATGAGCACACAATGTATGAGAAAGGAACAGGCGGAACAAACCAAGAATCTGTCCTCCAGCCTTCAAACTGTTATAAAGGGACTTGAATAGCGGCTCCAGCTTATACTTGTGCGTTTTCTCACTATAAACACCGAACTGGCGAGTAAACGAGTCCATCGCCTGACACGAAGCAAAAGCCTGATCACTGAAACCATAGTTAAAAGCCGACAAGACCAAAACACCGACCGAGAACATCAGCATCGGGCTGATATTCCAGCGGCTGGGTGCCATTCTCGCACCGAAGAGTCTTGGAAGGTGAATGGCAAGGGTCCCTGCGCGACTTATCAATCAAATCTGATCCGGATGGCAATCAGATATGATGAGATAAAAAGCTCAGCCGATCGCGGAACAGGGGAACTCTGTAATCGAGTCCGCCTAGGGTTAGCTCCCTCAGATCCACTGCAATACTCGCCGTATACCGGTGAAATTTTACAGAGGGCTTTACACACCCTTCAGCCCTACGGTGGCCAAGCTTCGGGTAAGCTTTGCTCGGGGGCTCGGCAGATCCCACTCTGGTTGAAGTGCCGACCCTTCAGTTGGCTCCACACTCAATGCCAGGGAGGCAGGCAACAGATTTACGACATTCCAAGATTTCTAGCGCGCACAAGTCCAGCGGAGACGTAGTGGTCTTGTGCCAATGAGAATTAACGGGAGCATTCGGGGTTCGAAATGTACTTCCATTGCTATGCACCAATAGGTACCAAAAGCCAAAGATAATTGAACAAATAGCTCAACCCCAAAGCTAGACATCAGTGGATGTCGGGTCCAATCCTGTAAACACTTTGTACAAGCGCTTACTGGCTGCGGGGCCAACGCGCGAGTCAGTTAGTGCGCCATTTTTATTCGCGGATTTCTAGTTCGGCATTGTTAGCCGTATTCAAAGACGGTAGAGGAAACGAGCGGGCCGAGATTGACAAGGAGATAACACGCGTACCTTGACATCTTCCAGCATTGTGGGTCCATGCATACGCATGCCCCTGACCAAATCAGTAACGCTGGGATATTGGTTTGTAATACCGTACGCCATCGAAGCAGTCACACGGTTGACTTCCTGGAGCATCTTGACGAAAGTGTCGAGTTTGTCCTCGCCAGATTTGACCTGTCCCACATCCATGCAGAATGCGGCATCGTTGCCTTCCATGCGTTGGCGTCGGTATGGAATCGTGGAAATGTGTTCCGTGAAGTTCTTGATCCACTCTGCTGACTCGGGTGCCGCATTGCTGTGGTGGATAAGACACCCGTGTGTCACTTGCAGGGCGAGAAGGGCGTCTTCGATCGTATCATCGTCGACGGGTGGAGTAGTCTCCGGTTTATTCTTGGTCTTCCTGCTGCGACCACGGGCTGTACCGGATCCTTCGCTACTAGGAGGTTGCTCATATTGTCTCAGAACCTCAGCCTGGTATGCCCTGTTTCGAGAGTTTCGGTTTTTGCGCATCCAAGCTGTCAGGCCTTCAATCAAGTAGATGACCGTATAATTTAGATAAACGCTTTTGAGCCGGAGAACATGGAGTTCTAGTGACTCCCTTTCCTCGCCGTCCGGTGCTGGAATAACCATATCAACAAAGTCTTGTGCAGGGACCAAACACAAGACATGCTTCTCTTCCTGGATGTGGAATGCGCACGGCTCCCAGTGGCCTGCGGCTTCGTTGTATCTGGCATTCCTTTTTCGGCGCCATTTGACCACATTAGAGATCGGCGCCGAGACGAAATTATGATCAACTCCCAGCCGTTTCATGAACTCGACGGTCTGGTTGCCCACGCTGCTCTCCTCCATAGAACTGGCCATATCGACGATCATTTCCGGTGTAGAATCTTTCTTGTCCACTTTGGCCTTGTTGACCTCCGAAATGTCTGCCGCCAATTGCTTCTCCTTTGCTTTTTCTTCTTTGAGCTTCTGCTTTCGCTTCTTCTCCAATTCCCGTTCCAACTCCTTTTGCACCTTGGCTTCAGCTCGCACCTTTGCCCTGGCCTCTTTCTCTTCGGGTGGAAGCTTGCTTGATTTCTTTGCTGGCGCTCGTCGTGGCTCCACAGGTTCCTCCAGTTCGTCGCCGTCAGATAGATCAGAAAGTGACATACCTCCCACTGCACCGCCTTTTTGCTTCTGTGGGTTGGATGTGGTTTTTGGTTTAGACTGTGTAGTATTCACTTTGAGGCTGGAGAGTAGCTCGGCAGTCTTGCTAGAAAACACGGAATTGGAGACTGGCGCCTCCGGCTGGTCATCAAGAAAGTCTGTAAATCCAGGAAGTGAGAACGGATCGCTGAACTCCTCTATTGTGTCCTGATTCTTTCTAGGCTTGCTTGTGTTCGAATTCTTTCCCGGGGGTTTCAAGAAAGCGTCGTCATCGTCATCAAGCGCAATCACGTCGTAAGGCTCGTGATTTGGTTTTCGTGGTGCAGGCGGCCCGGGCTTAGATACAGGTTGCGGTGCCGATGAAGTGAAGAAAATCGGGTCTGATTCTTCCACGTCGCGTTCTTGTCGTTTCAGCACTGCGGGGTTTGAAGGTGGGAGGCCAAAGTCATCGTCCGAGAATAGCCACGACGAACGCCGCTCCGGGAGTGTTGTTTGGCATGATGTAGTTGTCTGTCTGAGAGGCGAACGATTCTCATCACTGCGCCTTCGTTTCCTCGCAGGCTCGTCGAAGGTATCATCGTGATTGAAAAGCGAGACGTCAATTGAATCTGACGAAATCAGTCCCAAATTGGACGGCTGTCGCGTGGGGATCGGACGCGACGGCTGCCGCACCGGTTGCAGCTGTGGTTGCAACCGTGGCTTGTCTGGCAGCGGAGGATCCGAAGAGATCAGGTCAATGACATCGGGCATCTTGCCCCAGGTGAGATGGCGGAGGCACGATGCGACGCGGGGAGGAACGCGGCGTCACGAAGTCAGGTGACCGTTATCGCGATCTACAAACAAATTGAAGTGGAATGAGAGATAATCAAGAGGGTATTGTTGATTTCAATCTAAATTACATCATACGGAGTAAGAGTGCCGTAATTACTGCTAGGAAGGCCCCAGCAAGAGCCAACATGGCCAACACCTGTTGCCAGCCATGGAAGGGACGTCTCTCGACTGTCAACATGGTCAAGATTTCCTCCTCCAGTCTGTCACCCATCGCAGTGAGCGAGAATTCATGCTCCGCTCTTGCCTTGCCGGCCGCAGCCATCCGTTCAATGTCCGTTTGGCTCATTCCGTATAGCACCTTATCCATAACCGCCGTCCACTCGTCAACCGCGTGTGCGTCACGGAGCCAGCCCGTTTCACCTTCGACAATCGTTTCCAATGGACCACCGGTATTTGACGCTAGAACAGGAAGGCCTGCAAGCATTGCCTCGACGGGCACGATCCCGAAATGTTCATTAATCGGGGTGTAAAGAAGGAGCTTGGACTGTGCCAGGAGGGTATTCTTGAAGGTAGTTGGAACGGAGAGGAGGAAGAGGACATCAATGCTATCGGGAATGGAAAGCGCCGATACAACCGTCTTCGCGGTTGCAGTCTCAAGACCGAAGCTTTTGGCAAGGTCATCGAGTTCCTGGTGATATTGAACGTTTTCTTGTACTCGGTTGTCATAACCGCCTGTGCAAATCTCAGTCAGAAATTATAGAAAAAATAACAGTCCAGCACAAATCACTTACCAGCGATCACCAACCGCGTCCCTTTCCTCTTTCTTGCGCCCAACCCATTATACGCGCGAATCGCCAATGCCATATCCTTCTTCCGTTCGAAGCGATTGACACTCAACAAGATCTTCTTCCCACCCCAAAGGGCATCCGCTGCTTTAGTTTCTGGTGCCGCAAGTCCAGTGTTTGTGTCGACACACGGGTAGACAACCTCCACATCGCCGAGTTTCTCAGTCCCAAACACCGAGCGCACGACGCCTCGCGAGAAATTCGAGTTCGCAACCACGCGATCCGACGCACTCATTGCCCAGCCCTCAAACCAATCAAACGGGTATCGGTATAGCAGCTTAGCAAGCCGGAGGAGAGAGCCGCCTTCATTGCGGCGCGCGAGCAATTGGTCGGGGAAGTGGCAGTAGAATAGGATTCGTTGGGTTCGAGATTTGCGGGGCTGACCGAAGGTCTTGAGGATGGGTACGCAAGCGGGCAGCTGGTCGACAATGAAGATATCGTCTCGGATTTCCTCCGCATTGCCGCTCTGATCCTTCTCAGAAGACTGGCTCGGTTGATCGCGCGACCCAAGCTCTGTCAGTAGCGATGCAGTTAAATGCAGCTGGCGTAGCGATGCCATGAGGATGTGCAATCGGCCGAATATATGGGCAGGGAAGATGGTGTTCCCGCGAACACGAACGTCCAGTGTACCATCGCGGGCCTCGTCGAAACAGTGCGCCTTGTCGCGGTGGGAGGTGTAGATCGTCACGCGGTGGCCGCGGTTCTGCAGGGCCAATGCGACGTCAATTATCAGTCGCTCTGCACCACCGATGCCCAGATCGGGGTGGATAATGATCACATTGGAGGGCGCGAGACCCGACATGGTGGATGGGGAGTTGAGACCCAGTTGTTGACGATGCGATGAAGACACGTGGGGGTACGTCATCACATGACGACCGTATAAGAATGTCTTGATTGTTTGGCCCTATAGAATTGATAATTGTCTATAAATCCATATTTTACTTGAAAGCATTATACCTGTGACGCGCCTTGTTTCTATTTGTTTGTTGTCCTGTTATCACTGCTTATTCAACTCGGATAGCAGCACCCGCGCATCTGCCGGTGGATATTCCTTGTACCGGATTCTTTCAATCGCATCGGCACGATTTCCGAAGATATATGCATAGAATGAGGAGAGAGGACAAACGGACCGAAGCCTTTGTATCTTCAGGATAGAACGAAAAAAAAAACATATAACAATGTCCACCATGCAGCTCTTGACTGGGAATCCCGGGCCACTCGATCTGATAAAAGCAGTGGGGAACTAGACAACCCACTCGGCTCCCCCGGGGCACGGGAAGGACGCCGCACCGTGTGTTTTCTTCCCTGCCAAGAGGACTCTATCTCTTCTCTCTCTTGTTCAGCCCTCTCAGCACAAAATAATGGGAGAGGAAGAAAAGTATCCAGAAAGCAGCCAACCCGGCGAACGCGAGGTCGCCCAGGCACCGCCATCAGAAGATGAGCTCCCAAAACCAACCAAACTGTAAGTCAAAGGTCAGCACGGCTCCCCAATGCATCACCAAGCCTCGCAACTATACCCCAAACACAAACACAGACTAATAACCCGATGCAGCCGCCAGGTGATGATCGTCGCCGCAGGCTTCATAACCATGTTCATGACATGCGCCATCATCTTCGCCTACGGGGTGTACCAAGCCATCTACGAACAAATGGCCAAAGAACCCAACACCCCATTCACAGGGACCTCAACTTCAGTAATCAGTCTCATCGGCACATTATCCATCGCAATCATGTCCATGGGCGGTCCCTTCGTGATGACCTGGGCAAAGCTATACAGCCCCCAGCCCGTAATCATGGCCGGCGGCGTCGTCTTCGGACTCGGCTGTATCCTCGCCAGTCTAAGCGAGCACGTATGGGAATTCGCACTCACGCAGGGCGTCCTCGTCGGCATGGGGACATGCATGGCCTATGTACCGACGATGTCCGTCGCGCCGACGTGGTTCGACAAGCGACGCGGACTGGCGATGGGGATTGTGATTTCGGGGTCTGCGTGCGGAAGTATGATCTGGCCACCTGTGTTACGGGCGATTACCTCGCACCTCGGGTTCCGCAATGCTTTGCGGATCTCGGGCTGCTTGGTGATTTTGTTTGTGCCGCTGGCGGGCTTCACGTTGCGCTGGGAGCCGAATTTCAAGGCAAAGGTGCGCGGCCAGATGGCGGGATTGTCGAGGTCCACGGGGTGGCTTAAGGTTCCGCTTGTGAATTGGCAAGTTGCTAAGTCGAGGAAGTTTGTTGCGCAGGCGTTGGGCTGTTTCCTGCAATCTGCGGGATATTCGACGCCGTTGTTCTTCTATGCGGCGTTTGCGAGGTCGCTTGGGTATAGTGATAGTATGGGCGATAACTTTATTACTATTAGCAATGCGTCGAACTTTGTTTCGCGTATTGTGATTGGGTATACAGCGGATAAGTTTGGTCGGTTGAACGTGTTGTTACTGACGACTATCATGAGTTCTGTTGCCGTCTTTGCATTCTGGTTGCCGGCGACCTTTGCGGGAGGCAGTGTCTCGCAGACCTCTGCCGATGCATTGTTTATTATGTTTACGATCTTGTACGGGTGCTTTGGCAGCGCTTATATTTCATTATTCCCTGCGAGTCTGATCGAGTTGTTTGGGGTCCAGCATTTCACTTCGGTGAACGGGGCTCTTTATCTCATTCGAGGCATGGGGGCTTTCTTGGGAACCCCATTGACCGGGTTGCTGCTGCCAGGACAGTCAGCGCTGTCCGCTCCATTCAACTACGAGAGAGTCACAATCACTGTGGGAGTGCTGCTTTTCGCAGCTAGCATGGCAACGCTCTGGGTGAGAATTACCGGTGCGACAGGACAGACATTGACATGGAAGCTTTGATACACCATAGCGCAAGGGATGTTCAACATTGTCTTACGCAGTATATATCACTATCAAAATTCAATCCAATTTCCGTATCAATAGATTTGTACAGATCCTTGAGCATGTAAGGATCCAGGTCGACCGGACCCACTGTTCTGCAAGGCGGAAAATGCCCCAGGATTGCGGTCAAATATCAAACGAGAGAATAGAATGGGAAGAAACCAAGGACTTCCAAATGGGTAGAAATTTGCACCAATCTAGAGACAGCCAAGGGAAAATGTACAATGGAGATTCCAAGCGAGGTTTTGAATCTACCGGTCATAAAAGGGTTTGATCGTGCGGTGGCAAGAAAATAAACCAAAGAATATGTAAAAAGAACAAACAAATGTGCATAGAGGGACGCCCGTAGCACAAGTGGAGAAAAGGCAGAAGAGGTATCGAAGAATCGACAGCGGGGTAAGAGTGAGAGACGTCATAATACAGGAATTCGGGGTAGTGTATGGGCGTGAATCAAAAGAAAAGAAAAAGGGTATGAAACAAGTAGAGGAAAAACATTAACGGACAAGAATGTACATATTGGGGGGAAACGGTAGCGACAGGTGTAAATCACAACACGTTTTTTGTGGGGTGAGGCGAGGTGTGGAACAGCACAAGATTAGAAGCAGTTAAGCGTGCTCTTCTTCTTTTTCTTGTTGAGGGCGTTCATCCGTTCCTCCAGCTGGGCACGAGCGGCTTCGGCTTCGCGGCGAGCACTGCGCTCCTCCTCAACGACTTGGAGAGAAAGACGGGCGGAGTTGCGCTCCTTGCGAAGAGTGGACAGCTCGTCCTCGAATTGCCACGCCTTCTTCTTCCAGGACTCGCAGTCGGACTTGACCTTGCTGCTCTGGGCTTCCAGGTCGCCGAGTGCCTCTTCGAGGGTAGCAGTCAGCTGCTTCTCGGCATACAAGTGCTTCTCGATAGTCCGGATGCGGGCTTCTTGATCTTCAACTAGCTGGATGTTCACCAGCTCCTTACTAGCGTGGCGAGAGCTGGGTGGGGACACGCTGCTGGAGCCATTGCTTTGAGCGATGGTTGGGAGAGGAGGAAGGGGAATGGCCGGAGGCGGCGAGGGTAGAGATGCGGCAGATGAGCTCTTGCGGAGGTTCGATGTCATCGAGCTGCTGCGATCGTGCGAGCCATCTTGGGTTCCGTTCTTGAGTTGAAGCTGTTTGAAAGTTAGCGATTGTTCAGAGTCCCAATGAGCCAGTAAAACATACCTCGAGCTGCTCAATCCGCATCTGGTAGGTCTCGATGTCCGACTCAAGAACAACAATTCTGGCCTTTGCATCCTCCAGAGCTTGGTCACGTTCTTGCTGGATAACAGACAAGCGGTTGTGGTGCTGGTCGAAGCTGTTGGTAATTTGTTCCTCGAGCTCCTCCACCAGGCGCACACTCTTCTCCTTCTCGGCGGTGATCTCCTCAACCAAAGTCTCCTTCTTCTTCACCTGCTCGTCCTTCTGGCGAAGAGCATCCTCCAGGGTGGCAACCAAGAGAGCCAGCTCATTTACCTTGGCTTCCTGGACGGAACTCTTTTTCGCCAATTCCTCGACGTTGGCGCTGTCGAGCTGTTTACGCAGATCCTCGTTGGTGTCCATCAGTTCCGCATACTTCTCGGAGAAGTGCTGCTTCTGGGCCAAAACATCCTGGATCTGGTCTGCCATCGTCTCGGCAGTCACATCCGAGTTCAAGAGAGTCGAAACTGCCTTGAGCAGCTTCACTAATTCATCACGAGACTCGGTAATGTCCTTCTGCAGAGTCGCCATCGACTTGGCATGCTCGGCATCTTTCTCAGAAAGACGGGACTCGTGCTCGGCTTGAAGAGCAGCCTTGGTGCGCTCCTCCAGCTCAGCCAGCTCCCGCGTATGGGTCTCCTGTAGCGAACCCAGGTTTGTCTTGTGTGCATCAATGGCAGCCTTGTTAGTCGAGATCTCCTGCTCGAGTTCGGCGATACGTGCGCTGTGGGTGTCAGCGGAGTCACCGCCAACGTCCTTGGAAGCAAGCTGTGCAGATAGCTGCTCTTGAGCATCCGAATGAGACTTCTCCAGGCCAGCAATAGTCGCCAGTTGAGTAGCAATGGTGGTCTTGTGCTCATCAATATCCTTCTTCAGACCATCAACAAGCTCCTGCTGCTTGGCACGTTCGCTCTCGAGAGCCTGTGCAGCGGCTTCCTTATCGTTAGAGGTATCACCCGAGTTAGCCCGCTCTGCGCGCATAGCCTCCACAGACGCAAGCGCGCTTTCAAGCTCAACGAGGGTTGTGGTAAGTTGTTTCTCCGATGACTGCACGGACTCTAGAGCAGTATGGTGCTTGCTCTTCCACTCGTTGAGTTCGCCCTCCAGAGCATTGATCTTCTTATCCTGCTCCTCGGCACCGGCATCCATAGCCTTGGTCGCGATCTCCTGGGTCTTCAGAAGGCTATTGAGGTTCTCAATGGCAGCCAAGAGTTGGTTCTCACGAGCCTCGTGGGCTTCCCGTAACTCGTTGATCTGGATTTCCTGGCCCACAACCTGGTCACGGAGTTGAGATACCATAGCCATGTCCATAGACGAGGCTCCCTGCATGCTGGATCGTTCGCGGGTGAGTCCAGAGATAATGGTGGCCTTCATTTCCATCTCCTTCTTCACACTTTGGTTCTCAGCTTCCATGGACTGGAGGCGCTCCATGCGGGTTGCCAATTCGTGCATGGTGGCGTCGAGATGGACCTCAAAGGTCTGAAGAATCTCGGGCCGGCTCGCAAGCTCCTCAGTCGCAATTGTCCGCAGCGCGGTGAGCGACCGGTGAGCACGGTCAACGCCAGACAGGAGATTTTGGCTTGTCATGCGGCGAATCATCTTGAAACCGGGGGTGGTGGGGGAGCTAGTCCTGGTGCGCTGAGCCTCGGCCTCGGCCTTCAGCTTCTCAACAATTCCAAGGATCGCCTCGTGCTCGGCTTGAAGCTCGGCATATTTCTGGGTCATGATTTCGGCACTTTCCTGGTGCTCAGCAAGGGCCTTGCGCATCTTCTCGGCATCCTCGTCAGACTGGATGGGAGTGGAGGAAGCGACAGTGGTAATAGGGGTCTCTGGCTTGATTTCAGAGGACTCGTGCAATGCAACTGATTCCCCGGCCGAGGACAATTCCGAGGAGAGCGACTGCGAGAATGAGTGTTGTGCTCCAGAGTTCGAGTTCGGAGCGCTCCTGTCGTCTAAAAAAGAGACGGGGCGAGAAGCGCTGTTCTGGGCATCTGGAGCGGGGTGACGAGCTTCATCGAGCTTGTCCCGGCGGAGCTCAGCCAGAGCCTTCAACGCTTCTTCATACTTGGACTCGAGCGTCTCGTAGTCGTTCAGAGTAGACTCGTGGTTAAGACGCAGGTCAAACAGCTCTTGAGTAACTGTCTCGAGCTTGTCGGCAACAAACTTGGACTGGGCCGGGCTGGTAAGGGGCTCCTCATACATAGCTTCGGAGCGTCGAGCCTCCAGCTTGTTGGTCACAGTCTCCAGCACCTGCAAATCATCACCAGGCACATCAGCGGTCTTCTCGGCCTCCGCGACCTCTTCATCATCCTCTTCTGGAATTGGTTCTCCCAGATCTTCGTCCGATTCGGGAATGGCGGTCTCGGCTGCTTCGTTGAGGACGTCCAAAGAGGGAGTGTGACGGTGGAACTGCGAAGGCTTAATGGGCGTGGGAGAATAGGACGAGTCGATTCCGTTAGTGCCGTCATGGTTCTCGCCATTTTGACGACGCTGGTCAAGGTCGTGTAGCAAGTGATCAATGGTTCCGAGGCCCCGTTGGCGCTGAATAACATGCTCCAGGCGAATCACTTCACGCTGCATTAGCTCCATGTCCTGGTCAGACTCGGCGAGTCGATCTTCCAATGTGGAAATGTATTCCTCGCAGCTCGTCTCATTTTCACGGGCACGGCTAAGCTCCTTGCGCAGCTCGGCCACAATGGCCGCATGCTTCTCCTCGCCGGTAGTGGCACCGTCGAGCTTCGACTCTAGCTCATGCAGGTAGGTCTCATTGCTGGTATCCCGAGCCAAAAGCTTCTGCACGCGAGACTGGAGTTGCTGGTTGACGGTCTCGACGTAAGTGCACTTGGTTTCACGCTCCAAAAGGGTGCTTTCTGTGGTTGCCAGAGAAGACCGAGTGTCAGACAGTGAAGTCTCCAGGCTTTGAATTGTCTTTTCATATTCAAGAACCACCAGTTCCACGGACTCGGCGAACGACTTGGATCGCTGCATTCGCTCGATGGAACTCTCGGCCAACTCGGAAGCTGGATCGTCGGTCTCGCCCTTAGTAGCCTCCGCATCGTTGGCCAGGTGCGAAATGAGTTTCGTGTGACGCTGGCTGAGAGCGTTGTAGCTCTCTTGGACGTCCAGCAGCTGGTTTTGCAGCTGGATTTCGCGTTCATTCTTGCGCTCGCTGCGCTCTGTGGATGCCGCGTCTCGACGGTCCGAACCTTCGGTGTTGCGGATCTGCTGGCGGAGGAAGGCCACCTCGGCCTTCAATCGTTCAATCAAAGCTTGCTTGTCGCCTTCGTCTGCCACTTGCTGGATTCGAGGCTTACTCTGGATAGCTCTGGCTCGCTGGGCGTACTGAACTGTATTGAGAGTCTCGCTCAAGTGGAACTCAGCGGGGGTTACACAGGCAATCATATATGTAATTGCATTACCGCCCAGAGAATCCTGGAGCAGACGGGTGAGTTTTGAGTCGCGGTAGGAAACGTGAGAGCCGGACTGGCGAGACGAGAGCTGCGAAATGACTTTGCCGAGGGCGGCGAGACCGGCATTGATGGAGATACCCTCCCGCGCACGTTCACCCGAGGCACCGGTGTTTTTCATACGTTCGCTACCTGCCAAATCCACAAAGTGCAGCTTGCTATCAACGGTAATGGAGTCGCCGCTAGAGAATGGGTCCACGGGCATGGACATGCGCTTTTCTTTGGGAGACGTCGGTTGGCCGGAAGATTTGCGCTGGACGAGGTTCAAGCTGAAGACGGCGTGGGAACGAGAGGACTTGGCATTAATGGCGGTGGAATCGGTTTGACGAATAGCGGAACCAAAGTTCAGAGCCCCAATCAGGTCTTCAAAGGAGTTGATACTGACTTGGTGCAGACCAGTCAGAAGAATGCGTCCCTTGGCGTCTTCGCGGATAGTGACGGTGCTGCGATCACCGACGGGTGTCGAGTCAGGAAGCAGCAAATCCCGAAGCTGTTCATTGTAGATCTGGAGGAATGTTAGATCTTCCGTCACGCCTGCGATTTGAGACCAGTCCCTACCTCGACATAGGTCGCCTTCATTTGCCAATTCTTCTCCGGGCTTTGTTTGCCGAGGCTTGCTGCAGAGCTCATCGAGTATCTCTGGGGTGTTCGGAGACCGGTCGTGGATCCGTTGCGATTGTGTTTCGAGCCGTCGAGCTTATCGAACAAGGCCTGTGCAGCGCGGGGGATGATGCCTAGACATTGTGCATTGCGATTAGCCCACATCCCTCTAGATATCCAATGGTAAACTCACCCATTGCCTCCGAATGGCCTTGCTCGCTGGGCCCGGATGTGCCCATGGTGTACGATTTTCCAGCGCCAGACTGGCCATACGCCAGAATCGAAACATTGTATCCTTGGACGAAGGAGTTGACGCTATCATTCAAATAGTCCCAGACACCATCCTGATCAACCGTCTCGGGGAAGACACGATCGAAAACAAACAGCTTGCGGCCCTGCGGGACGTCCACGGCCAAGCTGGTCGAAGCCGTAACGTGAACCATGGATCGCTGGAATCGTTGGGGAATCAACTCGTATCCGGGGTCGGTGGGCTTCAGCGGTGGTCGCACTCGAACAGCTATTGCGCAGTCAGAAATCCGTCTTCTGGGGGTATCTTTATCGCCGGCTCTTGGCCAGACAGTGCCGGTGCGGCGTGCGCGCATGGCAACCGGTCCGGGTGTATTGGAAACAGGAACGGTCACGTACCGACTTTGACCGCGGTTTTTCCATCATCGTCAGAGGCTCGACTTCCACCCTGTCTGCTGCTCATACTCATGCGACTATTGCTGCGCGGCGTGCGCATCACCGCGCTGATGGGTCGCGGGGCATGGCCCGTTGGCGACGCTGGCGGTGAGACGGTCATCTCCCTTGGAGAAACCACGCCGGGTGGGAAAGCAAAGAAACGTTGATTATCAGAAGGGGTATCGAGGGATAGTCGAGAATCGCATGTGTGACGAGGACCGGGCAATTGTCTAGAATGTGGAGAGCGCGACGGTCAGTTTCGTCGGCCCCTTAAATTTTTTTGGACCGGTGGAGCGATCCCCAAGCAGGCAGCTCAACACCACACAACACGACGGACAAGAAACGACGTACCTGTAGAGATTGCAGACTCCCCGACAGTATCAATGGATGGGTCAACAAAAAAAAGAAAGCAGGGGAGGAAACGTTGGAAAAAGGGAGACGTCTGGAGTAGAGGCCGTGCACCCTAATCTGGGAAAGGTTTAGTATCGATTAAGATGAAGGAGCACAAAGGTGCGCGTTGGCTGCAGTGGGGCCTGAATGGGGCCATGGGCCAAGCGAGGGGGCCCAGGGGCCTTTCGTTGCTTAAACTACTCCGTACTGTCGCGGTCCGGAGGCTAGCACCGAGACTTGTTGTCTTTGGTGCCTGAAACGGACCCGCGTTCCACGGTTCCTCCTGTTCCTCGCCCTGAAGAAGCCAACTCGGACAATATCGATTCCGGGGTATCCACGCGTTCCAACCGTTCGTGTCAAGGTTCTCCTCCTTTGGGGTATCAGAGTGGATCGGTCAGATGGAATTCTGATCTCCGCTACGAAGTACCCCGTCCGTTGGGTTGGAGTCTCCAGGTCCAAAGTCAACCAGGCTGACCGCAGGCTTCCGGATGTCGATCGCTGCCCGCTGGCCGATTCAGACACCCGGCCAGCCAGGGACGGGCCAGTCTGTCCAATCTGGCAATTGCTCCTGAGACCCACACTCGAGAAGGCAACCGGAGGACAGATAGCAGGACTCTCTGCTTGTGTCACTGTCTTGAGGATATCGATTTGGCCTAGACTCGTCGTACATCAAAAAGGGGTCCCTCGGCCCCCCCCTACAGTAATAGAGTAATTGTCCCACGTGGCCGGGCCAGAACGTTCCGCCCAAAATGGAAATACTCCTTACTTTGCAAACTGCGATCCTCAGACTGTGTGCCTCCGCACGATCCGGTTCACGGCCATGGGCCATGAAGTTCAGGCCGTGATCGTCCCGGTAGACCGGTGGAATAAACCCGGAGGAACGTGAGTCCATGCGTGATACTCCGTAGATGTAAACAGACAGGTATAATTCCGTATCAGCCTATCACAATCGACCTGGTGGATGCCGCATCCCAAGTCTCGTGCGAGTTCTTCAGGGCCACGAAGCCACGGCGAGATCGAATTCGGTTAATGATCCCAATTCTGCGCGTCTTCATTTCCCAAAAACAAGCTCTAGGCCCTTGGCTCGAGCGAGAGTGGGCACAAAAGTTAGAAACTCTACTGGACGTAAAGTTTTCAGCTCCCACCTGTGGCTCTTCCCGTATTCGTACCTACCACCGATATAGACCTTTGATTGCTGCATACTCTATGAACTACAAATTCCCAGCTCGGCTCACTCCTCCATAACCTCATATGCTGCCTCGAGCATCCTATGCCATGACGCGATACTCCACTTCAGCTCGCCCACACTCGGTCCACTCTCTGGTGAACCGTTTTCGAAGCAGCCGCGATGATCAGAGGCCCACGGCTTGTTTCATGTTTTGATGTCCCCACTAACGGGGTGCACGGCCTGGGTCCGAAAGCCGATACTTGCCCGAAGCGCCGTTTTCAAGCTGCGTGGCAGCTCGGCTCCGACAGTTCGTGAACCCGTTTCAGATAGAGGGTTCCCAATGCTGCTTTTTTAAGCTTAATTTTCGTCGGGACTTGAAAACATGGGAAAAAGTGGAAATCTCAATCTGTATACTTTTGCAATGTTATCTCCGTTTATGACCTGCCCTTGAAATTCAACTCTCAGCTCCCCCCCCCGTTGATACCATTTCTGACGTCGGTTTTTCTCAAATGTCCTTGCCTCCGGCGAGTAATCCACTACACGACATTAGAACCTCATAATGAACACACTATACTCACTGGGTCACTAAAGTCCCCAAAGAAGATAAGCGGATAGATGGTTATGATAACTTGGAGTCTGGTGCCGGACCCGAGGTTGCTAGGGACCAGTGAGATTATGCGGATACATTTCCTATTGCACCCCTTTCACTCTTTTTATGGTTTTGGCGTCTTCCCCGTCAATTCAAGATGATCTTTGTATTCTATCAGTGAAATATCTGCATATGCCTGTCCAATTCTATTAAAAATTTGCAGACCCATCTGTATGTAAATCACGCCAAATTCTAGTCCAAGTAAGTGGGTTCACGCAAAAAAGGATGGTGTATATATGAGCCGAAATGCTAAAGAAACGACAGTGGGAATATCAACGTTGTCAAAAAGGGGACCTGGGCACGGCATTGATTTTACGCCTGTTCGCTTGCGGATCCCTGGCTTTGAGACACGCTTGGGATGTCCTCTCCCTTGAGGTAGTTCTCGAACTCGCCGATCTGCTTGCCACCTTGGATCCAACGCTCGCGAATCAGCTCACGACGCTGTTCGGCCAATTTGTTCAGAGCGGGCCAGTAGATGGAGTGGTCGTAGCGGAACTCAACGTCACCACCCACAGACTTCATGAGTTGGCTGGGCGGAACATGTTGGCACAGGTCCTCGTTGAACTTCAACTTCTGACGAGTCTGGGGGTCGATGAACGGTGTGATCAACTTGAAGAAGCCTGAGATGATCCAAGGCACTAAGAACAGAAAAAGAGTTAGGAAGCCATGACAAACCACAGTCGCGATTCACTTACCATTGAGCACAAGAGCACGTCCCAACCGCTCCGGGTAATGGTTTTGCAAAATGTTCAACGTCTCCTTTGCCTGTCCAATGGACGCGCTCTGGCCCGACTTGGTCGAGCTAAAGTCGACGAGCAGCGCCAGCGTCTCCTGATCGGGGCCCATCAGGTCAATGACCCGCTCAAGCATGAAAACGAGGTGCTGAATCTGGCGCTCGCTCTTCTCAGTGTTTTGGTTTGAAGGAATCAGGTACAGACATGGCCGGCCGTGGATGTCGAAGCCCAAGATAACTTGTTTTCCAGTCTCGTTCTCGATCGAGATGTAATCGGGTGTCAACTTCTCCATGCCGTATTCTCGGCGCCAGGTAAGGGTGGCCTGGAGCCGCTGTTCGGCCTGGGCAACATTCCACTTTGATGCGCGGAGGTAGCGGAGAAGACACTCGCGAGTTAACCACATGCGCTCATCGTCAGTAATAGGGGCCGTGGGGGCATTTCGCTCGGACGTGGTGGGGAGAGCTGTCCATGAAGATACGGTCTTAAGGACAGACTCGTATTTGGATTGTTGGTCCGCCTTGAGTTCGGCGGGCTTCTCGGGCTTTGCGTCCTCCAGCGGCCTAGGGAATGGCTTCTGGATAAGACCGTCCGCGGCGGAGGTTGGATATGTCTGGTCTTGCTCGGAGATCGAGGAGGGAGCAGTCTCGAGTTTCACGGCCTCACCATTGTCGGTTGAAGGCACCGCTGAAGCGACTTGGGCAGAGTCATTGGCCGTCATGGTGTCAGGAATACTCAATGCACGGGGGTTCCAGGAGAAATCAGAAGTCAATTGACGATCGACGAGACCCGCCTTCCAACTTGGGAAACCGATATTACTTTTCTGGGCGCTGAGTCAGCTACACGTCCCACGCGTCTTGCGCGTCTTTGCGGAGTTCGCAGTTCGCAGTTCGACAATCGACTGTTCACCTTTCCTTCAACATCGCCATAATGGACGCCACGGCGGAGCTCAACGAGCTCTTTACCGCATCTTACCCCGACGGCCTGCCCAAGGATGTTCTCGCCGAACTACAATCTATCTTGCGGGTCCACTCGATCACCGCGGAGGAACTTTTCTACAAATGGGAGTCTTACAGCATCAAGATGGGCGAGGAAGTGAAATTGGACATGGACACCGTGCGCGGCTTCAAGCAAGATGTGCAAGAAGCACTTGAGCGCGAAACTCGTGGCAAAGCTGGCCGACAGACGGAGAAGAGGAACGCTGTCAACGCAACCCCACGTGCTGCAGCGAGCGCTGATGTATTCGGAATGTAAGGACGGATAAATTGGATCCTTTAAATCACCGGGCTGATTGTATATACTTCCCAGGTTGGACGGATTGACACCCAATACCTCGAATGGTCGGCCTTTGCACACCGTTACTGGCTCCGTCAAACGCAAGAACAACTTCTCCTCGCCCGCCACGCCAAAAATGGGACGACTTGAGCAGAATGGATCTCCTATGGCAAAAGGACCTGCTTCAATGGCAAATGGTGGAACTCCTGGCGGCACACAGTATGTGATACGCTTACCGTCTCGGACAAAAACGCGGCAACTGATCATGGAACGCTGACATGGATGACAGATCTGTTTCATTCTCTGAGCGACAGAATGCCGGTCAAACAATTGAATCGCTCAATTCCCACTTGTCGCTGCCAGAGACCCCGATGGCACCCTTTTCCGAAGCGCGCATCAAGCCCACGGCCAATACGGATCTCAAGAAGTTCGGCTACAAACCTATGGGAATGCGACTTTCAGAAGCTTCGGAGATCCTGGATGATCGGATCGATGAATTTGCTGCTATCTTTCAGAAACACTACGACTCGGACGAGCTCACCTTCGGCAGCGCAGCCACTCAAAGTACAAGTGAAATCATTGCCGTTGGACGGCTTGCTTCAGATTCCTTGGAAGGAAAGCTGAACCCGGCCTCTCTGGTTCTCGAGACTTCACGCCGAACTGGGGCTGGAAGACGAGTCCCTTTGAAAGTCGACTCCGTTCCGGGCTTAAATTTCTTTCCGGGCCAAATCGTCGCTCTGCGAGGAATCAATCCCTCTGGAGATTATTTCACAGTTAAGGAGATCCTCCCAATTCCTCTCCTGCCTCCTGCTGCATCTTCGGCGGTGGCTCTCGATAATATAAACGAACGTCTCAACAATGGAGACGCCAACCCCCCTCTCAATGTCATGGTTGCAGCCGGTCCGTTCACAGCGGATGATAACTTGGACTTTGAACCTCTGCAGGAACTGTGCCAGAAAGCGGCAGACAATTACGCTGACGGTCTCGTTCTGCTCGGTCCGTTCCTAGACATCGAGCATCCCCTGCTTGCATCTGGGGACTTTGACTTGCCAGATATCAAAGGACTCGACCCGGACACCGCAACACTTACCACAGTCTTCCGACACTGTATCTCGGCGCCGCTATCCCGCCTCGCAGCAGCAGTTCCCAGTATCACAATTGTGATTTTGCCATCCGTGCGTGACGCTTTGAGTCGGCACGTTTCATGGCCGCAAGAACAACTTCCTAAGAAGGAGCTTGGTCTGCCGAAACAAGTCCGCATGGTTTCCAATCCCGTAACATTGTCCTTCAATGAGGCTGTTGTTGGCATGTGCTCCCATGATGTACTTTCCGAACTCCGCCGCGAGGAGGTCCTTCACGGCAGGCCCACCGAGGGCAACTTGCTCTCTCGACTGCCCAAGTACCTCGTTGAGCAGCGCCACTTCTTCCCTCTGTTTCCTCCCACCGGACGCGCCAATCTTCCCAAGCCCGGTCCCGAGTCCGGCCCAGCGACGGGCGCAATGCTAGATCTGCCTTATATGAAGCTGGGCGAGTGGTGGAACGTGCGCCCCGACGTGCTGATCGTGCCCAGTATGCTTCCGCCATTTGTCAAGGTAAAAAAGCCGAACCTCAGTTTTTCTGCATGGTCTTGTTGTCCTTGATATACTAATTACATCTGTAATTCCAGGTCGTGGACAGTGTCCTTGTCATCAACCCCGGTACTCTGTCCAAGCGCCGCGCCGCAGGTACCTATGCCCAAATGGCTATCCACCAGCGGAATATTACAGACGAGGAGCGCGAGCAGAAGCAGCTTGACCACAAGCTCTACGAGCGAGCCCGGGTGGACATCATCAGGATCTAGGGTACAGCACGTTGTACAATCATGTCACATTTACTTGCTCGGCGTTTGAGGCGCATTACAGGTGGAAATCGAAGATCCGCCAAGGCAGGATTCCATAGTTCTCGAAAGGCTATACCAACGAAATGAATCAATGAAGAAAAAACACATAATCGTGCTAAACAGCCACAGCCCAGTGGGTATCATTCCCACGCCATGTAACCAATACTCCCGTAATGCAAACGACCCATAGTCAGAATCCAACCACACGAAACCTCGTTTTAACACCCCTAGCGCAAACAAACAACCCTACGTCCACCCATCTTCCTTCCAGCACTCCTCACCCGAACAGCAGGCGCCGCTGCCGAAGCCGCACCACCCGCACTTCCCCTAAGCGTAGCCCCAGGCCCCGACCCCGCCCCAACACTAGGGCCAGCAGCAGCCATCGCACTCCCACCATGTCCCTGTCCACTCACAAGTGCCTCAAGGCCCAAATCCCTCCAAACAGCATCCCGTCTGCGCTCCATAGCGCGCGTAATCCCAAACGCAGCATGCTGGTCCGGCACAACATCATCTTCGTCTTCTGGGTTTGGAGGCTGGTGTTGCGGGGCGACGTAGATATCTTCGATGGGTAAGAAAGAGGGGATTGAGGCGGGTGAGGATGAGCCGTAGGTTATAGCGTTTGAGCCTGTTGTTTGGTTTAGGGCTTGGGGGTTGTCCGTGGCGGCGGAGGAGGTGTGGGGGCGCGTGAATTCTTCGAAGAAGTCTGCTAGCCTGGGTTGGTGCATGTGTAGATGGGTTGCGGAAGAGTCTTTGCTCTGGAGAGATTGTGAGCGTGCGTTGTTTTGATTATATGGGGGGTGGTTAGGCTGGAGGGTACCATTTTTGATTTGGAGGATTGGATCCTCTTGATATTTGAGATATGGAGGTTTCTGTTAGCGGAGAAAGTTCAGAAAGCGGTTTAAAGTTGGTTGGAGGAGTCGTGGAGCTGAAGCTCGTTATCGGCGGCAGAATAAACAAAGCGCGGTACACCGCCTGAATCCCTACGACATATATGGCAATGTGTTGTATCCACGGGAGTGAATATTAAGATATCAATGACGGTGGGGTATCTGGGAACTGATTACGATATAACTGAGGACGCTGGTAGTTTACACACCGTGACTCGGTATAGCAGGTATGTTGGTCGAGTCCACGAGGTGAACAATGGGCTTCTTGAGCGACGCGTTATGAAACAACTTGGATCGGGGAAGGAAGAGCCGGACAATATGAGAGGCGTTCCTATTTTATGATAATAAGGGACTGCGATGATAGTATCTTACTATTGACCCGAATTAGCAAGCGTGTCGCAAGGAAGAAATGAGCGGTATTCCGGGAAATCAGGCTCAGATGCTCATTTATTCCTACCTTATTAGTTCTGAATCACTTGGCGCCATATCAACGCCACCATGAAACGTGAAACTATTTTCACTGAAGATATATTCGAACTTTGGAGAACGTTACAGCCAATGGTTTAGTGCCAATGCTCGAAGCTTAGAGGACATCAACTTTTTTGGCTATGTATTTCGGAGTTTACGTCCTGATCTTGATTAAAGTGGGTACCGTGGGGCCGAAATCGGGTTCTCGGTCCCACCATCAAGCTGTATATCCGGTGTATAGTATCGTCCTCCAGCAGCTCCAACAGCATCAATGTCTCTCCCTATTGACGATGCCACTCACCCCAAGCTGCACTACACCACGTATAATCAGGTAGGCCACGCCACCGTTGTGCTGATTCATGGCGCCTTCGCTTCCGGCCTCAACTGGGATCTCGTCATCCCGTACCTCCCCAGCTCTTACCACCTCCTGGTCCCAGATCTTCCAGGCCATGGTAAATCCCAAGCGATCACCCCATTTTCGGTAGATCTATCGGCTCGCCTCATCGCTGACCTTATCCGCACCCACGCCATCAACGGTTCGGCTCATGTCATCGGCCACAGTCTAGGTGCCAAGATAGCTATCCGTCTGGCCTCCACAGATCCCGATGTGATCAACTCCGTCTTCGTCTCTGGCTTTGAGATCTTCCCCCGAACACCGCTCACACCTTATGTGCCGTACGCAGCATGGACCGTGTCTCGCGTGGAAAACTGTCTTCCGCGTGTCCTGATCCGCTGGGCAATGGACGGCACAGATCTGCCTCGCACTGATACCAATATCTGCACACTCGACTTATGTCGGCAAATTGTTTCGCCAGAAACGCCGACTCAGTGGCCATCGCCATGGCGCGCGCGCACCCTTATTGTTGCAGCTGGGAAAGGCGGATTCATTCCCACCAGTGATCACCCGCATGATGCCGTCAAGTTGATGCAGATAGGGAGAGAGTTGAACGAGGAGACTGTTGCATATACGCACTTGAGTATGCGGCACCCCTGGAATCGTCAGGCACCACGACTCTTTGCACAGACTGCCGAGGCGTGGTTTGGACAGAAAGAGCTCCCAGAGGGGTTTGTAAAGCTTTAAGCAGTGATCTGGGCAATTTCTATACAATTATTCTAGTATTTGCAGTAGTTAGTGCTCGTAACCATTTCATTAAAGCTTTTACGGACTACCATCAATCGATCAGCCAATAGCGTTATCGCGGTACCATTGTGCGAAGTTGAGAAGGGCAACGAGACCCCCCGAGGACTCCGGGAAAATTTGTAATCCAGTGGATTGTCGGAGTTCTCTGGTGCAGGGAGAGCACCACAGTAGCCTGTGAAGGCTTTTACTTGTCCGCCTGCTTTGTGGATCTCGTCAATCGTCTTTACGGCGTAAAGGTGGTCGATGCCAGGGTCGAGACCGATCTCGTTGAGGACGGTTATACCTGCGGACTTGGCTTGGTCGTCGAGTGCCCAGAGGGCGGGCGAGATGTAGCTCGTTGTCACCAGTCCAATTGCTGATTGAAAATGGGGCGAACCCGACACTGAAGGATCAAACTGGGATGGGCCCGTGACACATTGCTGCGGAGAGAGGGAATGATCTTGTGCTTGAGGCCTTGATTCGGATCGGAGTGGACGTAAACGCGTTATAAAATCCTCACGGATTGGGCATTAGTCAAACGATACCATCGTGTCGGAGAAGTGATACCCTTGCATTTGCCTGGGAATATGAACAGTAGAATCAAAAGTTTAATAGAATACCTATCTAGTGAGAGTATCTCACACTTCATCGTGGCCAATATTAAAGGACCCATGAATCGACAATATACTGTCACCAGGTCAGCAAAGAAACACCCAGGGGATCCAATTAAGAATCGAGTCCACTATACAGATCCTACAACCTCAATAAAGTTCCGCCACAGCGAATCAACGGGAAATGACCATGATCAGTCCCTCGTAAAATAATCGAGATCTTCTGGCTCGACTTCGCATCAGCGGGGACCTTTACAGTCGCCTGACAATTGTCACCCGCAGTCTGAAGCCCCCACGCATCAAGGTCCCGTCCACATACTGAGCTAATGCGAGAACATGAACCCGTTCATGAGAGATAACCCGCCAAGATATCCATCTAGATAGTGCTCGGATCGTTCGTCTTTAAACTTGAGAAGCCGCTCCACACTATACAGCAACATCCCGATCGCCTTCTGCGATTCCAGTTGCTCTTTTGTTATTCCCCCAAATCCCTGCGCAGCAAGACTAGTCAGAGCCCGATCGTAAAACGCTGTCTCGAGTTCCTGGCGATCCTCCGTGTCTTGCCAGCCACTCAGGGTCATGAACCCGAAAAGGCTATCCATAAAATGAAAATTCGACCCAACTGGGAGGTATAGAGCACCATCCCAGTCTAGTACAGCTTGAACCCGGCCCGTAGAGTCATCGATAAGGTAATTGAATGGGGTGAGATCCTGGTGGGTAAGGGTGACGGGGAGGGCAGCAAGATCGCGTAACCGTGGTAGAAGCTTGCTGATACAAGTAGAAATACTGTTCTTGAGGGTTGCGTGTCGGAAAATGTAATTATTGACCGTATGACGAATTCCCTCAAGAGTAGAAGTGAGGTCGGATACAGTAGTGTTGAGTATAGTAGTGGTCGCTCTGCTCCCCGAGTAATGAGGTCTGCAAGGTCCATAAGAGTCACCATCTTCCTCTGGAGCGGCAGTTGAAAGTCCTCAGAAGACATCAAGACACTGATATACGGTATCCCTTCTGCAAAAGGCGATGCATACACAAACAGCCCTTCGCACATGCCCTGGTATGTTACCAGGGGTACAATAGGTCCACGGATGCGGCTAGCTTCGTTGACTCCGAAAAGGTCTTGCTTGTCGCTTCGAAACTGGACGGCAATGCGATGATCAGCGCTCCTGGAATGAGTATGTAATATAGCGGTGTAGCTCATCCTCCCCTGGAAAGGGCTAGGTTGAACATCGACCTTGCCGGTAGCGTTGGGAAGAAGTATAGGGGCAATATGGTGCAAGACGAACTGGTGACACGATTTCTGGGAGAGGTTTGGCATTGGCTCGAAGAATTGAGCCACGACGAGTCTCTGGTAATCGTCCATTGTAATAGTCTACCCTCTCTAGGCATGGAATTTCCCTACTCCGTCTCACGTGGAAGCTAGGAGCTTGAATTTGCTGTAATCGCTCCTTATTTTTCTCATTCAAGGGAAGGGACGACGTTGCCCGCGTCGCAAGAAAGAAATGGTTTCAGGTCGAGAAGGGGCCGGGATAATCTGCGGTATGTTGGTAAAACTGTTGTATGGTTATTACCGGTAAAGTTAATTCGACACATCAACATGATCTGAATAAGAATGAATTCAAGCCGTCTTTATCAACAAGGTTTTCCTTGTGCCCGCACCTTAAGAGTTCAGGGTCCATAAAGGTGTACTGGAGTACGACGTTTAGGAAAACATCAGTTCTCCTGAGGGAAACAATCATAGGAAGTGCCATTGGTCTACTGATGTAACCTAAGAAGCTTGTATATCGCACGTGTTGTGTTCTTTACCACAATGACCCTTGATATTCTTGTGACCTCATCTCTGCATTATTGACTGCATAAACAGCGACAAAGCCGTATTTTTCACATGTATTCTTCCTCGCAAAAGTCGTCGAAAATCCAGTTTTCTTGGATTCTTGTTCTCTCCTCTTCTGTTTCGGCAGCATCGAGAGTGTCTGCTTTCAGTTTTCTTTCGCTTCTTTTCGCCTCATCGTAGTTTTCTAGGGGCACCCAGCCCTCATGCCCAACCCCAATCGCTTCCTGACAAGCCCGGAATTGTTCGTCTGATTCAGACTGTGCGCGTTCCAGCCGTGAACATTCCGTCAACTCGTCGTCTGAAAAAGAAATTGGACAAGGTGTTTTCGCATCTCGAGCGAAGTCTGTCCACTTCCTAGACAGTGTAATTAAATCGGCTGTCAACGTGATATTGTCACCCTCCCAAGGGTCACTTGCATGATGGAAAAGCCGCTGCCTTAAGGTGCTGAAATGAAGGGTCAGGGCCTTGTAATGTTCAGGATTTCTTTCTGCTGTCAGTTTGACATAAAAATAGTGGAGCTGTCGCCTGCGCAGGAGTTCGGCTTGCTTGAATTGCTCTATTTCTTCCAGTTCATCGAAATTGTTCGGCAAAGTCGGAAATTGCATTGATTCCGAGATCTCGTCACCATAATTCTGTAGGCTCTCAGGAATACCACACTGCAAAAATAATGGCAAAATCGTACTGTGTTGCCAATCAATTAGACCTCTGATTTCTAGGTCATCAGTGATCAATATGTTGTTGGGTTGAAGATCGGGGTGCCGTATGGCTGGGCGATGAAGGGCCGGGCAGTCATGTGGTATAAGGTAAGGTGCAATCTGAAGGTATTTCTCTAGAGCCACAGCATGTTCCAAGTGTGACTGAGGCTGGTAGTTGTATACCTCTCGGCGAAGACGCTGGAATAGCTGGACAGGTCGCCCGAATTTCTCAAGATAGGCAATCTCCTTTTTGGCACCGGCAGTAAGAACTGCCAAGGAATCTCGGTCTTCAGAAAGTTAATTATCGAAGTCTCTTCCACGTCCCGATTTTCACCCGAAAGGCACTCACAAGGTCCGCGCTCAACCGACAAGTTGAGTCTTTTGCCATACCACAACCGTAGCGAAGTATCAGGACCGATGCAGAAGCGTTGGGTCGATCCTGGGCTTGGAACAATGACACGGGAGTAGTTATCTGGCAAATCACTGCAGTAATAGAGACTTCCACTTGCCGGAAACCGCAAGCTGAATAAACGAGACTCTAGCTGCACGATTCTTTCAACCAATTCTCTTCTTTCACGTTCAGACAAGGTATACCACACATCTCCTAGATTTTTTCCTTGGACATACTCCATGAGAATGTACTCTGTACCCGCCCTATTATCTGCAACGGCAGAGTAGCCAAAAACCTTCAGTACTGGGATACCATGAGCATGGAGAAAATCCAACGTTGCGACTTCACTCGCGACCACTAAGGATTTTGGTTCGGTAGCCGGATATGGAATTCGTGCAACGAGTTGGTAGCCATCTCTCATGGTGATCAGAAAACTTCGATTGAAACCCCCCTCGGCAAGTTTTTTGAATTCGATCACATCGGCTTCTTTCTGCTGAACAGCTAGGGCAGCAAGGCGCTTAAGTTCAGAGATGTTGAAAACTCGTCTTCTCTCACGTTGTCTCAAATTCTCATTATAGCTATGATCATATCAGCGGAGCAGTTTAATATGAATCACTTGTGTAAGCCTGCAACATACATCCATCGCCCAGACGTGCACTCGAACAAATCACAAGGCTCAGGCATTTTCTGGAACGTCGAAACAGGGCGTGCGAGGATCAGTCTTGTATAGGGGATGATTGTGCATGAGTAGAGAATATGAGGAGTTGCTCCGAATAAACGCATAGCCATAGCTTCCCCAAGAGAAAGAACTAACGCGGGAGGTAGGTAATGATCTGGACTTTATATTGCCCCCTAACGCGCTTCAGTCGCGTCGGTGAAATGGATTATGTAAGATAAGTAAAATAGTTTAGAAGTTTGTCGTGTTACTCTCGACTTGGCGAAATATCTCATGCAAGCGACTGGGACCTAAAATCGGCCAAGGTCCCTGTCACGCCCAATCAATTGTTGGCGCAGTAGGGCATAAGCTCATATGTACAATGGGCACAAGCATAGAATTCGGTGTTAATGAGAACCACATCTGCATGGATTCGGTCAAAATAGTCGTCAAAGAAGTAGAGAAGTCAGAGGGCCAGGTCGGGTCTATATGTCGGGCGGTCTGAGAGGAGGTTTACGTGACGGCGCGTTGGGGCACTAAACCTGAAAGGGCAACACTAACTGGAACAGGCATTTCACAGGTCTGCCGTTTACAATCAACCTTTCACCAGCTCTAACATGTTCATATCACCTTTTTATGGCCTCCAGTGTCTGTCTTACGGTATCGTCGTCTCTTTAAGCTGGATGGATGTTTTTTTTAAAATAGCTTACAATCAAATATGTCATTATGTTGAAAGAAGTCTCTTGGTTTCTCGCATGAAAGGACCATGATCCAGCACCAATGCTCGTTCAAAAGTCCGATCATATTATTATACCGCTATCTTGTAATCTTTCTGCATCCATGGATACCAAAACATTTGTGAAATACTTGACAAATTCCGTGTTGCTCAGATGGGAAATTTCTTGCCGCTCTGGCTTTCTTTTTCGGAAGCCGCGTTGTTTTCGAGAAACCGGGAGCCGTTCCTTTTTGGCATAGCGATAAAAGTTACCCTGTATTGCCTGGTGTCCACTATGCTGGTGGTCCTGGAATTTCTGGTTGAAGCTGTCAAAGACATATGGCCATCTCCCAGATCTCCTAGTGGCAGCAGCGTCTCCATGCTCAATAGCATATTTGAACCAGATAAATCAGTTTTTCACGGCGTTCGCTTTGATTGGAATATTGTACCCTCATAGTCAGGATTTAATAGCGATCAGTGTCCTGGCTGAATCAATCTCAATTTCTAAGCTATCCAAACACGAAATGGAAGCATATTTGACTGGCGATATCACCCTAATTGCCTGCTTAGCGGAGGCACAATAAAGCCTTTCGAATGCGACCACAGTGCTAGCATCGTCACTTCCACAAGCAGCGTTAGCACAATCACGAATGCCGTAGTAGAAGTTTATATTCTGACACAGGCAGGATGGGTCTGGACCACTACATCCCAGGGAGGCATATTTGGCCAGCATGTTGTTAAAACAAGTTTGACCGCAAGTAGGCAAGTCCGTAATAGCGGTTGGTCCAGTAGTAGTAGCTGGTGATGATGTGGTGGTTGTGCGCGTGGTCTCGACCGGGGCGGTAGTGGGATATGTAGTATGCGCCGCAATGGCGGAGTGACAGTAGTCGCTTTCAAAGCTAAGGATAGTACTGGCAACTTCAGTCCCACAGGCCGCGTTAGAGCAGTCTCGAATACCGTAGTAGAAATTTATATTTCTGCACAGGCAAGATGGATCTGAGGTACTGCATCCAAGAGAGGAGTATTTGGACAGCATGTTGTCAAAGCAGTTTTGCTTAAGGTATAATTATTAGTAGCTATACCCTTGCGAGAACTTGGCAGAAGACTTACACCGCATTTAGGGAGCTGGGAAATAGCTGGGAGGCTTGGGAAGGTAGCTGTCGAAGTGACAGTAGGGCCGGTGGCTGTAGCTGTAGTAGACGAACCGGAGGTAGAGAAACTAGATGAGTGAGACGGCATCGAGTTGCCTTCTACACATATCTGTTCGTATCCATCACTTGATAAAGCGTCCCATACTCCATCGCAGTCCGCGCCGATCCAGGGGTTGAGAGCAATCACATCTGCCATGTCCACGTTGAAACGTGAGGGGAACATTGTGCAGTTGAATACATCTAGCACAATCAGCACGCCTTCTTCGAATTTGAAGAATAGAATGACCTTACTCTTATCTGCCTCTCTAATCTGAATGTAACAATTGCAGTCCGCGGGTTGGGCTGAAGTCGACGCAATGATGCTGGTGTTTGGAGCGAAACAGTACTCATGCGGCAGTGTTGAAGCTGTTGTATGTATGAGCTTAATAATGAACGATTTTCAGTCAAAAAGCGGACTTACTCGTTGTCTCCCCCGAAATAATGCAGTAGCTGTACTCAGATTCGAAGACACAGTTTTCAGGTGAGAGACTCGGGTTCCATCTCAACAGATCATCAACAGCAACACCAGCGACGACAGCCCAGATATAACAGGCATTTAAAGAAGTCACATTAGCTACATTACTGCCGAAGGCATTTTGATATAATGAGCAGTCCGCGATAGTACCGGAAGCAGTCGGCTGCAGTGAGGCAGTGGCAACAGGAGTTGGAGTGTATGTGGTTGAGGGTAGCTTAGTGAATGTGTAACTTGCCGTCGTCACTGGATAACCTGAGTAGGTGGCGATATTTCCGACAGCTTTCACGCAGTATGAAGTGTTGGCCCAAAGGTTGGAACAACTTGAGTCTACTTGAGGATTGAGGAAGTAGAAGTCGCTCAAGGATATCGTGTACTTCAGCGAAATAGTAGAGCAATCCTCGTCAGTTATGACCTATACAGATGTTAGAGTTTCTCCTGATCAAAGGGCTTTGAATATTCAGGTACTTTATGCCAGTTCCCACAGTCAGTGCTCGTTTGTGGCTGAGCATCGGTTGGAACTGGTGCAGCTGTCGTGACAGCGGTCCCTGCGTTCACAGTGATCGTACCATATGGAGAACTTGTTGATCCCGGATTAGCTATAACTCAAACATGACTTGGGAAATTGGAAACATAGAAGGTAATGAGGAAATCCAGTTGCGAGAAAGTGGTTTCGAATAATCATCATACCTGGCACAGATGTACCATCCTCTCCACGAGGCGAGGTTTGAGCAGCCTGTGTTTATCATCGGATTCCAAGCCAGTAGTTGAGCCATTGTAATGCCTAGACTGCTAGTAAGCGAGTCGCATGTTTCACCAAATTCAAGCTGATGAGTTGTGCAAGTGCTGGGGAGACAAAGGTTTCTGCCCTCCGAAAGTAAATTGCAAGCCATATCAAGGGCATTAGTTGTAATGAGGCTGTATGTCGATACGCTATTGGCCTCTGAAATTGTCACACAAGACTCATCTTCTTTAACTGTATGGAAACCTGAACAGGGTGGTGAAAAAGTAGCACTCGCAGTTGACCCAGTCCCCGTTGAAGTTGCGTTTAGTGCATATGCCGTGGGAGTGGCAAAATCATAACCAGTGGCACCACAGCTAGAAGTGAGCGAAGCAAAGTAATTAGCAGCCTCGTCATCGTATCCAAAAGGTGACTCGAGCTGAAACTTCTGAATACTTAATTCGCAGGCGGAGCAATTCTGAGCTGAAGAGTATGTGGATCCATTGGACATCCAAGAACTGACGATTGTATCGCAATATTCATTGGTAGACCTGGTACTATTAGTAAATGTTGTCTTCTGCAACTTACTCGCTACTCACGGGTCAGTAAGGCAAGAGAGCCCAGCCGAATAAATGTAGCGGTCGATCATGAACGTTGCTATCCTATATTAGAGTTGAAAATGATGAGTCTCATTGACGGGAGATACTTACCAGGATAGGCGATTGATCCAAAGGGCATGACAACGTCATCAGTAGTGCATGAATCTTTGATCATTTGCCGAACCCGTTGCATATTGAGTCGGCAGTTGCTTTCGCATAACTCTGTCAGTTGCTCAGCGGGAAGAACCTCAAAGCTCGAGTCTCTATCTCATATCAGTTTAGACATTCTCAGGTAGAAGCCAGTATCCAACATACTCAAGTCCGGTATAACGGGCAACCCAGGCGGGGCATGGGAGGGTAATATTGAGAGCGGCAACGCAAGGATCACTCAATCCCAAATTATCGTAGGGGAAGACATAGCCATCAAATTGCTGTGCCTGAGTGACCATCAGCAGGGCGCCGACTATTGTCAGACACTTCGCCATTGTTGCTCCTGAGGAAGAATAGAATAGAGACAAAGGGGTTTGGTGAAATTGTGAAAGTCCTAAGGAAAAAGGTGGGATAATTCAGCGACAGCAATCATTTAACAACCATATGAAGTGTGTATTTTTCTGCCTTCTCCTTTTGATTTTTCACCTAACTTCTTTTGGTTGTCTCTCTAGTATTTCTTTTCGTTTTCCATCTCGTGAATACTCGTCCGTATTCAGTCCTTAATCCCGATTAAAACTTCAGAAGCCCCACATAGTAATTTCACGCTGATGCCGGCAGGCTTTTTAGGCAATCATACCATCTTTAGAGCAAAGGAATGAGCCGAAGCGTGGAGTTGCTTGGCAGACTAATTGATGCACGTAGGAATTGAACAAATTAAAAGACCCTCTTCCCTGAAGTGGATCTGATTGTAAATCCGGAACTAACCGACTCGGATCCTTCGTCGGGCCCGATCCGGGCCGTAGGATCTTGAGTGGATATGCAAGAACAGGTCGGCCGAGGGATTTAATTTCCATGGAGTCGGTCCCCTATTTTGGATTGAACATGTTTCACTATGGTAGGGATTTAGCTTTAGACCCTGCCCCATTCGATTGAACTACTGATTTATAGTGGGGCCCAAGCCTTGATGTTTCATTTCTCGTCTTATCCACTAGGAACGGACGTTAGCCGGCACTACTAAGGGGCATGGTGTGGCTTTAGTATGAAATCCTATGATTTCTCTGCGGAAATAATTAGCATTGAGGCATTTCCCACCCCTATCCAGTCACTCGAGCAAAAGCGAGGGTAAAGCGACCATTTTCCTTGATATGATCTCCCGCTGAAATGCTGCTCTTTAAACCGCGAGCCATTACTTGGTTCCGCCGCCAGCCATGTCAAATCATCCGCCAGCCATGTCAAATCATCCGCCAGCCATGTCAAATCATCCGCCAGCCATGTCAAATCATCCGCCAGCCATGTCAAATTCTCCGCAAAATGTCAACCATGGGACCATCAGGAAGGGATATCCCACTTGAAGGGATCCGAATGACACGATCGGAGACTTTCCAGAGAAAGCCAAATCTTCCATGGGGCTTTTGCATTTATCGATGCTCATTCAAAGACGATGCTGCGTGGCATAAAATGCTCCAGCTCATTCAGCAAGAAGTGCAAGAATCATTGGAACTTTGCTTGCCACCTGGAGAAGAAAGAACAGAGCTCCTAGAGGCCCATGATCTCGTGATTCATGACGAGCCAGCGAAGTTCAAAGGCGTGACTTCGCATGAGGTGCGCGATCATTTTAATGATTGGGTGGCGGAACAACTGCCAAAAGTTGTTGACACGCCTGAAACACTACAAAGGCTAATTAGATGGCATTCGGAGAGAGAAAATGAAATTCCTGGGCCTGAACACGCTTTTGGAGCACGGTTTAACTTCGCCCTATTTGTTGATGATATCTGTTTGGAGTCTTTGGTCCATATGGATATGCCCGTCGTTAAAATTCTGTACAAGCAATGGGGCGATTTGAGTCCCGAGGAGAGGAATTACAAAATTGACCCCGACTGGCACGATGGGACAACGGAAGAGAGTGAGGAGGATGTTGGATGGATGTACATGTCTGTCTTCGAATACGTTGATACGTATGACCGGTCTGAGTGGGCTCATATGGATGTCTGGCGTGCTTCCTATCTTCGGCCTCCTTGGATGCTTAACTATTATGGAGATGAGAAAAAGCAACCGGGCCACTGGCGGAAGTAGTCATGTAACAAAAGGATTGAAGGATGGTATAAAAGAAGTGGGTGCGCATTATGAAAGACTTCTCTGTCTTGTTTTAACTTGAATTTGGTGCTCAGGTATGCTTCAGGTTTTTGTAGATAACCTCCGCTTCCTACATATCAAAGACATCCCAGGAGACAGATCAAATGCAAATCTGAAGATAAATTCTCTAACAAAACATACCCCTTCGAAGAAAGACTCATAAGAATAAAAAATGGTCCCTGATGTAAAGAAGTCAAGGTACCCTCAACTTTTGCAGTATGCTAAAAGAAACAACAATTCATATCTCACATGTTCGTGCTCATCCGATGCACGATAGGGACAGCACTGGGCGGCAAGCTGCCCATTTCCGTCACAACCATGTCCACATATTCTGCAGGCGTGACATCGTACATAATGTTCAGCAGCTGCAGGTTGGACGTATCCTTCCACTCGGTGAGAGGTGAAGTGGATGGGGCACGGGAGGAAGCAGAGGGAGCGGGTGTAGGTTCTTTGGGGGCAGGCTTGCCGCCCTTTTTAGGGTCGACGGGTGCAGCAGTGAATGCAGCTGGGTCAGCGAGGCCGGTCACCTGTTGCGGTAGCTGGTTGGAGATCAGCTCGTCGGCGTCGGCGATTTCATTGACCACAATGCTGTCGAGAGCCACGCGGTCGGTGAATTTGACTGTCTCGCAGCATACGATGACGGGGACTTCGACGCCTCCTGCGCGTTCCTTGGCGGACATGGCTACTAAAGCGGTTCCGACGCGCGAGTACAAACGCCCGTTACTCATCATGGCGTGTGCACCGAGGAAGACCTTGGTTGCATCCTTCATGGCGTGGCTGACACCGTGCATGAGCGAATACTGCACATCGAGCCCGGCATTTGCCAGTGCGCGAGCCAGGTTCTTGCCCTCGAAGAGCGGGCGTGAGTCGATGATTGATACTCGGAAGCGCTTTCCTTCGCTGTGTGCCTGCAGGAGAGTCTGCTTGACGATCGAGCTGCCGGCGAATGTCACGATCACATCGCCATCCTGAATCTTCTGTGCCGCGCTGCGGGCGATAACCTGGTCGGCAAGGGTAATCTTCTCCCGGATATATCCATCAATAAACTCGCACAGGGTTGCCTTGGCCGAGGCTTCGGGGGTTGATGGGTCGATAGAGGAAATGGTCAGCTTCAACTGACGAATCGCGTTACCCTGGCTAATGGAGAGTGGTCGACAAGTGGAGAGATATGTGATCTGATGCGAGAGGACGGTGGTCAAGTGGCGCGACAACGAGTTGTTCGGAGGTGTGTCGTAGGATTCGATGACCTGAATAACTCCAAATCAGTATGCACCGCCAGACAGTATGTATGATATGCACAAAACTCACCCGCTTGAAGGCCAGCAGAGTCGCGACGCATCGCGCACTACTGCCGCAGACGACGTAGTCCCTCAACTGCAACCCCAATGCCAGGACTGCAGGGTGCACTTCTTTACCAGCGCCAGCGATAGTAGTCCGCCGTTGTTGGCCATATAAATGTCCGAAGACAGCGACCTTCTTATCATCCTTCTTTTTCTTCTGCTCGACGGCGGGCGTCTGAGTGACGGTTCCGGGTCCTGATCCGCGGCGCGGCGGAGGAGCCTTCTGGCCCTTCTGCGATGCGCCTCCACCAGCAGCGTCCTTCTTCGGTGTAGCCGGAGGACGACCTTGACCACCACCAGGAGCTGAACCGCCAGCAGCACCAGCTCCGCCCTGCTCTCTTTCAAGTTTTTCCTTTGCGCGGCGAGCAGCTTTCTCTTCCTTGGCCTTCTTCTTCAATTCCGCGGGTGTGAGTGCTTTGGTTCCACCATCAGTGGGCGCATCAGCGCCGACAGCGGCAGCGGCAGGCGCGGCATCCTTGCCCTTTTGTTGCTTGTCCTTCTGTGCGGGGACTTTCGCGGGCTTGGAGTCGCGGATGGGGAGGTTTTGCTGCGAGGAAGGCTGCATCGCGGGCTGGGATGGTGCCGGGGCAGGCGCAGCGGCCGCAGGCGATTGGGTCGGCGCCGAGGCAACGGGGTCGGTCATTTTGGATGACTCAATCTCGGGGTGCGAGGGGCTTGCTGGATCTTCAAACGCTTGGTGGGGAGGGAGGGTTGACTCACGGAAAAAGTGATGCCATAAGCGGCCCACCAAGTCCCACAGCCCTAACCTGAGTCGCTGCAAGACCATCGTAAAGAACATTGTATATGGGGACAATTTGGAACACAAAATCCAGGTATATTGACTGGCTTGAAACAACTTACGCCTTTGCGAGATGTCTCTGAGTTCTCCGGCTACGAGGCGACGTCCTAGAGATTCCATTGGATCTGCTCCGTCTTACATGGTGAAAGAACATACTATGTACAGTGTTGTCTGCCCCTGCTCGTGTCCGGCCCCTAAAAGGGTACCTGAAGGTACAGTAATATTGGAAATCTGTTTTACCTCTCCACTCTTCGACTTGATCCCCGGAAAATAAATCCGAAATGTGCGGGTCCTGATAGGATCAACAGCACTACGCAGAAGCTACAAACGCGAAGAGGACTGGTGGTTCTGTGCAATTTTTTTCAAGTCAAACCCTTGATTAACGCTAAGCCTCAGGAAGTTACAAAAGGTAAAATATAATCCACCTTGCCTAGAAGCACGCCTTCCTTGCGCAAGATGCCATAGGAAGTGGATACATGAAAGAAGATGTTAGCCTGCATAATGCACGCGTATGTAATCCCAGACAGAGGTAGTATATTCTCTCCCAGAAGCACGGGCGTGACAGTCTCGCAGTGTTCGAGGATCACGTCTTTGTCAACCGCGTCGAGGGCCAGGAGCGCTTTGTCGATGCGAGCGTACATTTCCGCATATGTATAGACAACCTCCTTACTCGTGTCTTCGGTTGGAACTGATTCGGCGGTAAGCTTAGCTAAAGCTAGCGATGCTTGCGTGGTTGCCGCGAACACTTGATAGCTGAGTGATTTCATGCCGTCGTGGAGTCGACAGGACGGAAGACTGGAAGCGTTGGGCTGCTCCTCGGCTTTGTGAAGAATATGCGAAAGTGTGGTTAAAGCCCGCTTTGTCTGGAGAACAAAGCCTTCGTAAAGGGTATACACCATTCTGGTAATCGGATTTGGAGCTATGGATATGAAGTTTGTGTTTAGGAAGATATTTTACCTCTGAAGAAGGGAAGGAGGGAGGTTATATCGTTTACGCTCGTTCGGACTGCACGAGAGTGAAATGTAAGCACTAACGTTGAGGCAGGACAAATCCAGGTTGAGCCCAATCATCAAGGTCGAGCACCGTCCCCACGCCTACGCAAAGCTGAAAAATGAAGATTTCGCATGTGTTTCCCGGGAATCAAGTTGGAAGAGTACGGAGGTAAAAGTGATTTCGGAAATTACCGTGCCTACCCTTTTACAGGCCAGACACGAGCGGGGACAGACAACCATCGCCTTCAAAATATGAACTCGTAAAGTTTTTCATAATTCATCGCAGGGGGGGTAATCGCGCTATCATAGAAATAGACAAAATAAGAGACAGGGATGATCCGCACGCGGTCGATTCTAGGCTTCTGTCCGAAAACGAGGCCTCAGTCCAAGCAAAGGGCTGAAACAAAGACTCCGCCGCCAACACCGGGTTTATACGCCAATCATCACAAAACAGAAATGAATGAATCCACAGGCACTAGCGTACATTGCCAGCAATTGTTCCAAGAGCTCGTCGTTTTCGCGTCCTCGGTTGCTCGTTAGGGCGGAATCGTTCGTGATCTGTTGCCAGCTTGCGCTTGAAGACACTCAGGTCGCCGAGAAGATCTTGCATGCGAGCTTGCATCAGATGATGTACCTCGTCGTCCTCGTCATTCTCGTCGTCTTCGTCGGTAATGGCCTCATCGTCTTCCCAAACGTCCGCTTCGGAGTCGGTGGGATCAACGGTTGAACCCTCGCGGTTTTCCTGGTCATGATCAGGGGACATTTTCTCGTCTGCTAATGAGGCCATGCTGGGCTGTCGCTTCTCGATGGTGATGGATGGAATGGGGTTCCTGATACTCTCCAGGGCGAGCTTCAAGTGCATACGCAGAGCCTCATTCTCCGTCTGTAGCTGACGGATCTTGCACTCGCTGACCATTTTGGTCTCTTCCATGAGTCGCTGCATCTTTTCGACCTTTTGCTGGTACTCATCCAACTTCTCATCTTGAGCTTCACTTGCGCGCTGGTGGACTGTCGCCTGGCTCACGCTGAGTTGCAAAGTGCGGATGGTCTCCGCCATTTCTGCGATTTGCGCGTCACGCTCGGCTGCAGATACATGATCTTGGTTGACACGAGCACGAGTGCGGATGCGCTTGGCCTGGTCGGCATATCGTAGTGTTGAGAGAGTTTCTTCGTAGTCCGCTGGTGAAATGCATGCAATCATTGCTGTCTTCGAGTTTCCACCAAGACTGTCTTTCAAGAGCCACGTAAGGATCGAATCGCGGTACGGTACCAGCTCTTTGCCCTTTCTTCCACCACGGCCCTTCTTCGGGTCTGCCAAAGCCGCGATGACTCGACCGAGCGTAGTGAGCGACTTGTTAATATTTGAACCTTCACGGAGCCGGGCACCTGTTGCTTCGGTAGATTTGGCGCGCTCCGAACCCGCGAGGTCGACCAACCGAATGCGAGCAGTGCGCTCCGTTGTCTCATCTGTAGAAAGATCGTGATGAATCTGTTTCAACGTGATCGTAAAAACGGCATGAGATCGAGACGAAGTATCATTCATCTTCGTGCTAGCGGTGGTCCGGGAAACATCACCCTTCCGCATAAACTTCATCAGCTCCGTGTAGTTCCTGGCAGTTACCTCTGTCAAGTCTTTGACATAGGGACCTTCCGATGGAGACTCGCGAATTCGGAGATAATGTGGAGGATCCGTGCGTGGCACCAAGAGATCTCGTACATGTTCGTTGTATACCTCGAAATACGATACTCGGACGTTGTAGCTGATGTCGGGAGATGGCGAGGTCTCAATGCGCTGGAAAAGATCCTCGCAGGTACGGGGAATCAAGCCCGGTTGTTCCGGAGTGCCCATCATGGTGTAACTCTTACCAGAACCGGTCTGTCCATAGGCAAAGATACAGGTGTGGTACCCCTCAAAGTTGTGGTCGAGGAACTCCTCGCCCAGGCAGTTGTATACATCCTCCTGGTGGGCATAGTGTCCATCCTCGTCGTCGTGCGACCAGAAGGAGTTATCGAATGTGAATGACTTGTCGTCGAGGACTTTGCCACGGGCTTGTGATTTCGGTTTCCCCAGATCGCCTGCACTGCGCTTCGGTGCTTTCAGCTGCGTCATTTGAGTGTGCGGGTCCATCGCGATGAGACATTCTGCGTTGCGTTCGATCTCTGTGACAGGACGTTAGATGCAGACCCGATACCTCTTCCGCAGCTCCCTCTGCACGTACCTCTGGGGAGGAACTTGCGAACGCGCACCACGACGCGCACATTGCCGCCTGGTGACGGGCTCGCGGCTCCATCTCGGTTCACAGGTACTGACACGCTTTCGCGAGCGCGAAGTGATGGACTGGAGGCTGTAGATACAAAGGTGGCGGTGGAGGCCGAGGTCGAGACCACGCTGGGGGAGGTGATGCCGGTCATGGCGGAGGATTCGGAAGAGGTCGCAGAAGAGATCGAACCAGGCCCGGTGCTCTGGCCGATGTGTCGAAAGAAGCGCGAGTCCAGCGCCATTTCCCTGCTGTGGTCCCTCAATAGCTGCACACAAGCGTTGACGGCCTCGCGTCGTCGAAGAAGGAGATGATTGTACATGCACTGAATCGAATAAAACACAGGAAAAGGGGATTGGGTTGAATTTGTTGACACAAGGAAAAGATAAGGAGTGGAATGGGATGGGGGCCGGTACTGTTGCGCGTTGTTACCTTGAAGTTCAAGTTTCAAGTTGGGCGGTTCAATGTGTTCGTCCCCGCGGGGAATCGCTGGATGTAAACAGACTCGGCCACGAGTTTTACCACGCGGGCATTTCGTGCAATGCAAGGCAAAGGATGGAATGGAACAAAGAAAATAGCAAAGAAAGCGATTATTCGGATCGAAGAGACTATGCAGTGCTTTGGTCGCTCCATTAGCTGCAGCGCGGTGTGTTGGTCGTTGCCAGGGCAATGACAGCAGCACTAGACTAGCTCTACTCCAACGAACTAAATCTATGAACTTTGTACTGGAAGTCTCCACTTATTGCACAGTCAATTCATTTCATTTGATAATTTTTTTTGAACTGCAATCTGGCAACTGTCTCATTTGAAATAGCATTCCTTAGTCAAAGTCCGCCGTCATGGCATCGAAGACGTCGGCGTCGTCGTCGAACTCCTTCGACTGCTTACCCTTGCCGCTATCGATAACGGGGTCGGGCACAGGGTGGCCGGCCGCGTCCATGTGGGTAGCCAGTAGCTGGTTGGGCGACCAGCTGCTTTCTTGAGACTTCTGGCTCGCGTCCTGGGTCTGTGATCCCTGTGATCTGGTGGACTTCGGATCCTGGCTCTGTGAAAGGTTCTTCGAGGTAGGCATAATGAATACTTGTGGCTGTTATGGTTAGCACGAGCTCGTCACTCCACTTCGCTAGCGTCCTCCTCCCTTCTCATACTTCCAGCAAGGTCAGAAAGGATGAAGAGAAGACGGCGTACCAAGTGTGGTTGTGTGTCAGTAATTATTATTGTCAAGTTCAGACAACACACAAATGGGCATGTGCCCAATCTCCATATTTATGAGCTGGGGAAGGTGGCGGTGATGATTCGATGGTGACGACAACATTTACCATCACCGTGGTCGCTTCTCCGCACAACCCATTTGTGTGAGCTCTTCGGTGCCACCAAATCTTGTTTGTTCTGGGATTGGCCTAAGGGCAATTGGCTGGGCGGAGTGGTTTGATCGATGGTTGGGTAGCCAAACTTGAATCCGTGGTTGTCCCGACAAGCACTATGAGGTGATGTTCGCCACGTACATTTTGCGTTCGGTCCTTAATAAGTGATGCCCTGTCATTGGATTCGTAGTCAACAAACCCTGGAGAATTTAGTGGCGGAAGACCGCGGATGTTGTTAAATCGCTCAGTGACGCTTCCGTCTACTCCGTGATATACTCCCGGGATACCCAAATGGGGATCGTAAGACTAGAGGGTATAGGTGACCCTGTACACACTATACGTTGCTTTTGGACACAGTTGTATAATTAACACACTCCCGACGCCATTCTAATAATGCTCGGTTTTGCTCCTGGGAGATAGCTACTTCAAATGCGCCAATGAATCCATCATAGAGGCTGTGCAAAGCTTTCGATAAGCTACCAGTCCTAGTCCACATGGCTCTATCTTTTATTGGAAACAATAACAGGCGCATCGTCTCTGTGGCTCGCTTCAACGGGTGGCATTCAAGTGTAAACTCGGCGGGGATGCTCTCGAAGTTGCCCTCGGCCATGTCTTAAGTCTTCTGCATCGCAGAATCGTCCCAAATCCCTTGACTCCACTGTCGAAGCTTGCTGATCCGTGGGGGTTCTCAGCTCTGTTGGATATGACAGTCCACTAGAACACGCTAAGGAAGGATTTAGGCGTCCTGAAAGAGTGATCGGTCGGTTCGATAGCATCGTGAAGAACTTCGGGTAGTCAAAGCCTGGTACTGGATGTACGAAGGGGTCTGCCGATGGGCGAGGTGACAACACAAGTGAAAATGGCACCTTCAGAAGGTCCATCAGTTTCCTCGGTATAGTCAAGAATACCTCTTTGCATCGGTCTCCTTGGGTTGGTGGTGTTCTAGAACAACTAGCGGTCGCCAAGGGGAGGTTGGTATGGCGCGAGGTATCAGAGATGACCCTATGGTAGACGAACTGACCATTCAAGACTCGATCAAGACTCTATTCGAACTTCAAGCATTTGTTCTCATTCTCTCATTCTGTTTAAATTCAAATCACCAAATCAATCTCGAAAACCCCCAAAGTCCCTCCGTTCCCTCACATCCCACACAGCCCATTTTGAAATCCCCTTCCTCCCGTGGATGTCTATCAACAACGCATCGACTTCTCCTCCATACATGAGCCGAAGAAGTTCCCTTACTCAACGTCTTCCTTGACCTTCACCTTGTCCAGGCCCCGGAATAGAATCCACAGCAAGAAGCTCGCCCCACCCAGAAGCCCGGTCAGAATGGCATACATCGTGACCATATGGGGATCTTTAGTGAGCGGGGTGAAGGCCAGGGCTAGACAGGCGCCAAGCCCACCCATGGCGAGCCAGATTGCTTGAACCAGTGTTTTCATACTTTTCGGGGCCTGATTATAAGCATACTCGGTTCCCGTAGTAAAGCAGAAAACCTCCGCCAACGCTCCACCGAAATAGATGGGGATTTGGAGAAATACCGATACCTGGTTAGGAATTGTGCGATCATTGGCAGCAGCACATGCGAGGGGGGTATCATAGCATGGCCCAGCCTGGTAAATAAGCTTCTGAACCACCGTGGTATAAGCCATAGCGAGCGTCAGCATAAGGAATCCCACTGTCATGCGTGCGATCGGTCCAAATGAGACTCGTCTCTTTGTGAGGAAAGGATAGAGTCCCTTCTGGATGATCGGCGCAACAATGATTCCCGAAATGGCCCCAGCAATCTTCATCATGTCGTTCGGAATACCGTAAGTGACCATCTGCCCAGCCTGAGAAATCAAATTGTTGAAAGTCTGGTTATAGCAGAGCCAGTGGATCGGGAACAGAAGCCTGTGTATGTGTCAGCTTTGATTGTATACTAGGAAGTGTATCAACTTACAATACTCGGCAAGTTAGAAGACTTAACTTGATGTCTTCAATGAATGAATCTGTCCAGGGAACCTGACGACCGTGTCGATAAAGCTGAGCATCCGGCTTTGCAGTATCCATCTTGAAGCCACCGGCGATCCCGTATCGCAAGGCAGTGCATGCTTGGGACATGATATTGCTCGTTGGCGCAGCCCGGACTATTGTATCTTCGTGTTAGTATATGGATTTCTAGGCCTGACAATATACACTTACCAAAATGCTTGCGCCCAAGGAGAATCGGGATCAAGGCTAACCACATAGCGCAGCATGGAATCAAGTACGCGACCCAAAAGCCAACATACCGTTCCAACAACGGCGTAGAATCGGCCGCAAACCCCACAATATTGATAGTCCTGTTTGGGAGTTAGTTGCGCGGCAACAAAAGGGGATCGATCAGCTCACCAGTAATAGACGTTGTAAATATAGGTAATGGTCAACTCCCGGCTAGTTACAACCCTCTTTCCCTTTTCTATCCCAATCCGAAACTCCTCCTCGTCATATTGGTCGGCTAATCGAGATCAGTCTTTGGACTGGTACGTCCGATGCTAGGGAATCAGCTCACCAATGAATGGGACCACGGTAGCATTGAATGCCCCTGATCCAAGGGCCATCAGGATACAGGCAGCGATTACTCCGCCCAAAGCAGCTCCCTCATGAATGGCGACGGGCAGGGACGTCCCAAATATAATTGATGCGCCGATTGCCTCGATGCTGCTATAGAGTTAGCCACCAAACAAGCCAAGTGGGTAGGATACGGGGTTCGTGGTACATAGCAGAGTATATCATGGTCTTGTAGCGGCCCAGCCAGCTGTCGGCAACAACGGCAGCAGGCACAGGCGTGATATATGACGCAATGAAGAGTGCGTTTACAATGTTCGATGCAGTGGCCTGGTGCAATCCCAGTGCTCCGGGAACCTCACCCCCGGGTGCATTTTGCAGGTAGTTCTCTGTGAATACAATCAGCCAGGCAACGTTATCAATAGGGAGTATACCACGCACGTAGAGGAGCGGTCGCCCCGTACCAGACAAAGCGTTCCAGGATACCCGCAATACATGCTACCCATACCCGACCGGGAATTTTGTCAACGACATGGAGGAGATCACGCACTTCATCCTCGGTGGCCACGCGACCGTCGTCGTCGTTCGAGGAGGTAGGAATACTGCGACTGGCATGGAGTACCGGATGGTCTTCGAACTTAGAATCAAGACTTGAAACCTGTTCTGTTTTCGGCAAACAAAGAAAGGCGCCGTTATCAGCATTATCGCTCTTGTTATGAGCTTGAGAAGCCAACACCAACCGTGACTGTAGATGAGGCTCTGCGGGGATATCCGCAGAGTCGTGCACATCGGGCATGAGACCCGACATTTTGAATGTAGATTGTTCGATCGATATGGTGGGGAAGTATTGACCGATGTGGGTGCAGAGAGAAAAGAGGGAGGCCGTGCTTTGGGAGGAGAAATGGAAACTTAGCGGTCCATTCGGGGATTGTCAGGGACTTGGGGCCAGACCGTCTTACTTGCATTCGGGCTTTCCACGGGCTCCGACTTCGTGATCCGGCGGTGACAGGGATTAATGAACTAATTCCCTGTGCCCAGGCCTTGGCGGGCTAGGAGGACGCGGAAAAGTGACTCTTACAGAACGATTTAACGCGCTAGAGGTCTTTTGATGTGGCTGAAGGCCCGGAAGTCTTGGAATCCCGAATTGCCCGTGCTATTGCCAGCTTTTTGGGCTTAAGTCTCTCTTTTCCCAAGCTCCGGGCTGGTTAAACAGTTCTATTAGGAAACAAGAGGCAATGTACCTATCACAACTAAAAGTTCACCATTTGATCATGAAAAGACCATCCAAATCAAGCCCATTGACACTCTAATTATCCTTCCAAGTCTCAGAAACTTCATCACAAATCTTCTCAATACTATCCCACTGCAAAGAACTCCATTTTTCAGGCCTCTCAACCGCTTCAACAAAATGCCTCATCGCCGTAACAGTCTGAGCCGCCCAGCGCTCCTTACTCACTTTCCCGATACCGGCTGCTAACGGCGCCATAAGAACCGTTCGAATCTGTTCTGAGGATCTGCGATTGTAACCCTCCACTTGGCACAGCAGGCTCCAGACACACTCATACACCACCTCGCGGTTCCAATTAGCATTCTCTGGTTCTCGCATCGTCGGACACAGCGCTACCCATTTGCAGCCCCGATCGTTATTCTTCAGGTTCTCTGGGAACTCAACTAAGGTGCATGTACCGGGTGGGGCAAAGCCTCTCCACTTGTCGTAGAGGACTAGCTGTGCCGCGCGGGTTATGGCGTGGTAATCATCTTGCGGGCTGAATGTCCTCGAAATAGCGTGGTCAAAACCGCCGTCTAGACGGCCATAAGAGTTTGCCGGGGAGACGACCAGGTCGAATTTTATGGAAGGTGGGAGGCTGTTTAGGCGCTCGTTGAAACTGGTGATTTTGATTTTGTTCGGTGCGTAGTCGGGCCAGAGGTTGCTCAGGGCTTCATCGAAAGCGGTTATGAAGGCAGAGTCCTGGCACATGAGGCGAAATTCTGGGATTTTTGATGTCATTGTGTTGGCTTTCTCTCTGAGAAGCAGGCCTATGTCTTGGTACACGGAGAGGTTGAAATATGTCCGAGTCGGCGAGGCTCAGGGATGTAGCTGACTTGGGGTTAAGTGGAGCCGGTGCACCGCCTCTTACGCATGAAAACCTACACAATACGCTAACCATATCGCAGTATTGGAATGTGAAATTGGGTTACCTGGCTAGGCGCCAGCGATGAAACGAATAAAAAGGAAATCGCGAGCGAGCAGACAAAGGTCAGCTCTATTTCATGGGTCTCCATGGGCCAAGTGATGATGAAAAAAATGTTTGGAGTGATGCAAAAAAGCGTTAAACTTCAAGAAGCAAGCACTTGAGTGTCCTCCAGATGTCGTTTCCAAAGTTAGCTTATAGGCATTTTGGAGCAAAATATGTACTGTACATCAAATGTGGAGGGGTATTTCACAAAGCAAACGCGCACGCAATCCTAGTATGCTTCCAATATGTTCAAGTCTCATCGATACCAAGATCCCTCTGCTTCTGCAACGTCGGCTCTTCAACCTGGTCATCAGACTGATCCTGAGCAGCTCGAGCCTGCTCCTGCGTACTCACGTAGCGAATTAAGCTCTCACAGAGCCGGTCCAATATCCACTCCGGTTCAGTTTTGTGCGCTAGCATGGGGCTGTTCTCACCGATCCAATCCCAGTTCAAGACGCCAAACTCATCCTCGTCGACCGAAATACTATAGTCTCCAGTACGTTGGGTTCCAATGGTCGAAGAGGTTGGTCGTGATTTCGGGTCGGTGAACTGGATCAAGCGCGTGTATTCGACCCATTCTTCGTAACTGTATCGCTTCTTTTTACCCTCACGCGCATCCTGTGTGGTGCGTCGGATGGCAAACACGAGCTGTTGTGCCAGTTCGAAGGGTGAAGGATTCGATTCCAGGGCGAGTTCTTCGATTGTTCTGATCGGATGCTCCTCATTCGAATGTCTGCGAGGCGGTGCCGTTTTCTCGGCACCCTGAGCTGATGATGACTCATTCTCTGGATCTTCGACATCCTCCGCTAGGGCGCCGATTGGGAACCCACTCTTCACCCGCTGTTTCTCCTCGTGACGTTCTAGCATCCGCAGGAGAGGCGGGAAATGAGACAGACAAGACCGGTATGATTTAGACTGAGGCATGACAGTATAATCGGCGAACTTTTCCGTGGACTGCTTGATGCCGGCAACAATCGTATCACTCATTTGCGAAATGAGCATTGTCATCGTTGGGATTGCAATGAGGGACCACATGATGAAGAAAGGTCGTCCCGCATTCGTTTTTGGTGTGATGTCGCCGTAGCCGATGGTGAGCAGGGAGCAGAAACAAAAGTAGAGACCATCGAAGTAGGTCATGTCGTGCTCCAGTCGCCAGAACACGACAGCTCCACAACTCCACACAATGCCAAACGCGATAATACTGATAACCAGATCATTCCAGCGACGGAACCGTATGGTCTCATGCTGGATTGCGCGCATGGCATCAAACCGGTCCTTTTCTTCTCTCATCACCAGGAGTTTAGGTCGGCGGTTATTAGCAAAGGCGTGGATAGTGTGGCGGATTGGCTGATGTCGATGGTGCTGATGATAGGTATCCTCCGGCGGAACAACTCCATTTCCTCGCGCAGGTGTTGCTTCCGGGGGTTCATGGGGGTCGTCCAAGGTAAGAGTTCGATCAAAGGTAGACTGTCGCTTTTGTTCGATATGTTTTCGGACGACGTTGTCATAATGGACTTCCCGCGCGAATCGATGAATACTCCCAACCACCAAGCCCAGTTGAATAATACCAATCACCGCGTATGGCCAGATCAGACCCCTCCCAACAGGCGTATGGGCAGTCACATCGCCGAAGCCTAAGGTTAATACTGTGACGTCGGAAAAGTATAACGCATCTGCAAATGAGATCCCTAGCACCCTTTGGAAAATGGCAGCGCCAACGAGCAGCCAGATCACAAAAGCAGTCATTTGTAAGATGAGAGTCCGTTGGTCGTCTGTTAGAGAGAAATGCTGCGGGTATCTTCCCAAAAAGTACCCGAACATGTTGATCATCAAAAGAAAGGCCAAAATGAAGTAGATGATGGCCGCGATGACAGCACTCCAGTAGGCTTGCGAGTAGATATCGGTCGGTCCAATGGGTGGGTTGTATATTGATAGTGACGCGGTGAGGCCGCACAACTATAGACGGCTGTTAGGTCAAGTTAAGAGGTGCATGACTCTTCACTCACAATCCCAGTAGCAAGGAACCACAAAACGATGGTCACCGGCAACGCTATGATGTAGCGAACAATAGTAGTGAAGTTAAAAAGTAAGAAGAGATTCCCAACTACACCGCAGAATAGCGAAACGGCGTTCAGCGCAGTGATCCTATCGACACAGTCAGGAATGACCACAGTATTTCTGGTTGATTTGAAGATCCATACCAGTGAGGATCAGGATATCCTTCTTGCATGATATTCCCACCTGGTCCCACTTCATCTGCAATTATCTTGCTTCTCCAAGGCATGACTAGCGCGACAATCGACATAACATTAGCCAGCGGCCCGGCAGCAGCCGCCACCAGCGGGATGGCAGTCGAAGCGATCCACCAAGACTGGGGTTCATCGTCTTCCGGGGGTCTCATATGAAAATGGCTCTTGAAACGGTCCCATATGGACGGTCGTGCTGCGGCCGTCCACGTGGGTCTGGTGCGGAGGAGATCCATTCTGCATCGTTCGTGCGGCCGGACCATGTCCGTGAATCGGAGGGAGCAGGGAAGCGCTAGGGATCCCAGGGACCGAGGGACGCTATGTCGGACGCTGCAGGAAGTTGAGGTTGAAAGGGGGAAGCGAAGGAAAACTCAAGTTTCAATTTGATCCCGGTGGAGACGCGCGAGGATTCATCCCTAGTAACCCGGTTGGTCCCCAGTACTCGGCAGATCGCAATATTACACGAGCGGGTTGCAGAAAATGCGTCGAGAAGGAGCGTGGATCTTCGGAATGATATTTAGATCCTTGGGCAGGGAGAAGAGGCAGGGAATTACGATGGTCTCCGGATCACGCGTCAAATCACATTGTTCTGCAGATGATGTCAACGAGCATATGAAGAAACTTTGGCTTTGGATCTGTGCCCATGGTCCCGTGACCTCCCCCACTCGAGTCCATGGGACACAATTTGGCAAATTGTAAACATGGCAAAGTATGCAGAAAGATGATGGGTTTTGGGGGGTATCAGTATATGAAGATCGGAGTAGTCCAGGTAAGCGTTAGACCAGAGCTCTAACGGCTTACAATTTAGAGTTACTGTTGCTAGACATCCCCACTAGAGCCAAGAATCGATTGTCCAACGTTAGATATAATTGCCAAGGATTTTCCTTTAGCGCTTGCAGGTCTGGTTTTTCTTTTTCTTATTTTATTTTTTGACCAACTCTGCCCGAAAGATGAGCACTGATCCTACTAATGATGACAGCGTAGAGAGACGGATAGCATTGGAACAAAGCCCATAGATTACTGGGCAAGACGTAATGTTGAAACAAATAATCGATCTTGTTGATAAAAACCTCTTTTAATTACGAAAGACTTGCACCTCTAGCTATCTCGATTGCGTGACAATAGGTATAGTTAGCAGCTTCCAAGCTCCAACCAACGATAACCCCGCAAGGCAAACCTCCAATGAACGAACATGCATAGGGCAACCACACTAAGCGCTAATACAAGCCACATGGCCAACACGCGCACAGTCGCCAACGTGTACAGAGTTGCATTTGACACTGCGCCAAGTAAGCTGCAAGAGCACCCCGCCCTATGTGACACACTAGGATCACCCCGCTCGTCGTGATAGGGTCGCCACACGGGGCACACAGGAGTCCACACCAACCCACCAACCGCTCGGGAGCAAGCTAGAGCCAGTGGCAAGCATCATCACCTGCATACATGCACGCATTGGCCGTTGGCACCTCTTGACATGAACGCATTGGTTGATGACATCAGCCTTTGGCGTCATTGCAGCGAGGTACCTGCTTTCGGGCGTACAGGGAAGGATGATCTAGAACGCGGACGTAGGTACTGTGCAGCGCTACGCGCCGCACCCTTGCTACTCTCACATCACTGCCTATCTGGGTAACTACGGTACGGCGGGGATGTTGGGTCTACGTGGAAATAATGACGATACGAGATGTATTGCTTCCTCCGGTGGAGAAGACAGTAAGTACTACAGGCTTGAAAGATTAACGAGTGTAACATGTGGTTCTATCAACCGCTGAGGTCGTGGTTCTATCTACAACCCGGTTCCTCCTCAAGACCCAACACTAAAATCAAGACAGAACAGGTAGCACAAGTGCTCGGCAATCAAAGCAGGGAATCAACAATAGGAGACGACGAAGGAAAAAGTAATATAAGTAATCGCAGGATGGTATCATCGAAGCAGAATGACACAAACATCAACGACGCATGAAAGGACATAACTCGACAGCCGAGGCATCAAAGCCGAGGACGCCAGGAAATAGAGAAGACGCCGCCCCGAGATGGAAACGAAATCAGAGTAAAAAAAGAAGCGCCGAAACCAATATTCTTTTGGGGGTGTCCGCACATGTGGGACGGAACAAAAACGACATGGGAATCCAAAACAAGCAGAGCACCCGTGTAGCGAGTAAAGCCAGCCGAAGCCAAACCCAACGCGCGGCAAATGCATATCAAAATGCTCCCGGTATAAAACAAAAATCAAACGTATAATCTCTGTCGGGATGGTTCCTCTCGGTGTGAAATATCAATTCTTCCCTTTTCTTTTCTTTTCTTTTCTTGTTGTATGTAACCGTCTATTTGGCAGACGGTCGGCGAAGGATGTCTTCACAGTTGGCGTCGAACCGCATATTCCACAGCCGGATACTGTTCATCAGCTTCTCCGTGTTCTCAAGCTCCCGGTCGCGGCCGAATATCGAGTCGACAAATTCACAGCCTGCATTGCGGCCCATGGAAACCGGGCCCTTGCCACCTTCCCGCTTGGCAGCCTTCCACATGAACATCTCACATGCTTTGAGAAGCTTCTTGAACCGCGTCCACAGTCGATCACCGCTTTCCAGGAAGTCTTCAACCACTTCTGCCGCTTCCTGGCGCTGGATGCGCGGAAGACATTCATCGGCTCGCTTTACTTTGCCCGCGAGTTTGATCAGCAGAAGCCACAAGTCGCCTGCCACATCGGCCATGGGTGTCGATGCGCCATGGTGGAAAACCGTCCAGTCGTAGATCCACTTGCCGAGAGAGTTGGCGTCGAATACACTGCCGAGGAGAATGATGGGGGCCTCGGTAGGGTCCCAGTTCTTGATCGAGTAGCCGGGTGGGATTCCGGCGCGCTCGGCATCATCCTCGGTGGCGACGGGTGGCGGCTTGGAGGCGGGAGCGGGCTTGGGCTTGTTCGGAGTGCGAGTGGAAGTGGACTGGCGACGAGCATGGGAGCGACGGGCTGATTCGATGTCCTCGTTGTTAGGAACCTGATTGAAGTAAAAGTGAGAATCAGCGGGTGGATTTGATTTGCGATGAGAGGTCGAAGCGGCGCGACGGTGGCCTGGGGGGCCATCTCGTTTGGGAGTCGAAGCCGGGGGACGGCCTGGGCGAGGTCGGGGCTGCTCGCGCGAAGCGTAGCGCGGAACATCGAATGCATCGTCAACCACATCTACGAAGATGGGCTGGTGCTGCCATTGCGAGCTGAATCCGGTGCCGGTACCGGTGCCGAGGCCACCCCCCGCAGGATGACCGGTCGTATGGGTGCGACGGTGTTTGGGCGAGCCCGCGAAAGAAGCACTTACATGATCGTGCTTGCGCGGCATGCCATATTCTGGCGTCGCCTCGTAGTAAGGTTGCGAGTGCCCCGAGTAATAGCTGGGGTCTTTGGTGGCCGTGTAGCTGGCCTTGCGGGTGTGTCGTCGCGTGCCGCGAGGCGATGCGTATGCGTTGGCGTACTGAGAGGCGTAGTAGGCGTAGTGAGGCGAGGTGGGTGGCGACTGACTGTAGTCGTAGGTCGACCACCCCGGTGGTGGACTGGAGTAATGATACATTATCGAGGGAGCATGAGCCGATGGCAACTGGAAGCTTGGGAAGACGTCCAGAGATCACAGGTAGTAAGAGACAACTAAACAGATGAAAACAAAAGACCCGAGTATATTATACAGGATATCGTGCGCAATAGCCAAGAAAAAAGAGACGCCGACAGAGCAAACTGGAGGTCAAAAAGAGGTCGAGTAGGACCGTCACCGTGGTACGGTTTCCGATCGGAGAGAGGAGGGTTGACACTGAATGTGCTGAGAGTGCATTTGAACGTCGGTATTCGGTAGCCCGAAAAAGGGGGGTTTTGGCGATGCCAGAGAGGTGAAGAAGATCCCGGGTTAGGACTCTTTGCAAGAAGTCCAAATAGTGGAAGAAGAGAGAATAGGACCCAGGGGGGTTTGTATGGAGCCGAAGGGCGAGGGTGGAGATGGGAAATTTTCAACCCAAGATCAAAGGGAAAAGAAGATGGGACCGCGCCCAATCACGGATATGCGCGCGTGCGAGTTGGCGCGGTGGAGCGTGGCGTTTGTGTGGGTTTGTTACGTGTATGCGGATTTCACTCTTTATACATACTCCGTCTATCCTCTGTTATAGATCCATGCCGAGGGTTCTGTCTCTGTCTCTGTACTTGGACGCTGTGTGTCAGCTACGAGTCAAGTTCTGAGTGATGTTGTTTGAAAAATGAATACAGCATGACTGTCTCTATCGACTTAAAAATGCTAAATGTACAAAGTACCTCCACCAGCTCTTACCCCTCATACTAGTCCGGATGGAGACCCTCTTGACTACTGCACTATCTGCCACTACCTGACAGGCCCCTCGGTTTCGGGCGACAACTGCTTTTGCAACACTCAGGTAGCCGTTGGTTCGTATGACTCTTGATAACGTCCATGACTCGTCTATCGTAGAAGGGTGTGAACGGCTGATGTCGCCACCATCAGTACGTTTGGTGCAAGTTGGACTGCTACTGGTTGAAGAGGCCGGGATTTTGACTTGCGAACAAGATCACGGCATCGGCGCAGCGTGTCAAGCCTCCGTTGGATGGGCCGCCATGTGCCAGGCTTCGAGAATTAGGGCTGCCTCGTTTCCCTTTGTACAGTTCATCTGGATGAACACGCGGGTGACAATGCACCCACACTCTCCTTTCGGTAATGAGATCCCATTGCGATATTGGCTCCCTACTATGTAGTCTACGGCTCAAAGTATCGGTGATAATGCCAGTGTCCGGTTCCATGGTTGGCTCGCGGGTATTCGATCGCTGCGCCGGACTTTACGACGGATGATCCCGTCTCGTCCAGCGGTTCGACTCCACAGACCTCCATCCAAAAGGCCAACCCACCTGTGTTGCCATGGCAAGAAATAGAACTAGAACAAAGTCTCCATCAGGCTCTGCTATCTACATGGACGGTATCCGGCTCGTTGGGCAACATCACGGACCACGCATGGGCTTTACCGCTGCGTCGCTGGGCAGCAACCGCCGTATTGGGCCAAAACGGAGCCAGGCAGACGAGCTTTGCAGACCGCAACTTGCATCCTCCGCCAGTCCTATGAGTGCCGAGATTGCTGAATACCGTAAAATCTTTGCCTTTGTGGGGTACTTGACCACGAATCTCGCCTGTGTAGGAGATAGGTACAGCTGTGCCAGTATCTACTCGATGAGAAGGAATGAAAATGGAGGCACTACGGAGTACCTTCAAGCTAATCAAATTGCAACGGCCACCAACATGAATCAATATTGTTCGTGAAAAATATCCGGTGCGACCGTAGCTGAGCCCTAAAATGGCGAAGGAGACAGGCTCCATAGAACCCACTCGCCCCAGCAGGTTACGGCGTCCAATCCACTCCTCAGTAACGGGATCTGCTGAAACTCCTAAGCCAATAGCCCCATACAATCGCACTGTATAGGGAGAAACCAGACTCTGCTGACCGCAAATACCACAACGCGCTCAGCACGCCGCTACGCTCACGCACCAACCGCAGGGATAGAATAAACAAAAAAAACACCTGGTGCGCGTCCTTACAGAGCATAAATCGAGAATTCCAGAGCTCATCCTTGATTCAAGGGCGTATGACAATGGTTGGTTGTAGATGAGTCAACACCCTTCGAGAAAGCCCCTTCGCGCCCGGTCAGTCCTGCGCCACCAGTATGCACCGCCGATCGTTCAGCGTCGCACATGGCGTTCATAGATTTTGGTGTCTTGCATCGTCTAATATAGGTCTTGCATCTTCTGATATAGACCGACTCTGTCATATCAGCCTTACTCCATGACATTACAGCTACGACTCTACGATTCTGCGACTCTGACAAAGCAGGCATGTCCTATTTTTATTGTTCGCCTCCCGGATATAAGCTGAGAGCCTCAGCTGGGGCACAGCCGAGGTAGGTGCAGTTGCCTTTTGGGAAAAAAAAAAAAAAAAGAAAGGATTTAGGGCCAACAGGAAAGCCGCAGCACACAGGGGGGGGGGGCTCCGAACCTTGCAAAGTGGGTCGCCAACGGGGAGCTGGATGCATGGAGCGCATATCATGGCCCAGCCTCTCTCGGCCCTGTAGGAGCACAAACTGCTATGTTCCAAGCTTGCTCTAGTTATGATCTACTTTCTGTGCGTAAGCGTACAGAATTGGGGTATTTGTGTACATTCTAACGGGCTTGGTACATTGGCATATTTCATATTTGAGTTCTGCTTTTCAGGGGGAGGCGTGCGAATACAAGAGCATGGTCCTTGCGGTCTGTTCTCAAGATTCCCTGTATTTTTCAAGGTTTTATTATGATTCAGACGGTGGAAGTTAGTCATTGGTTTAATTAAACGAAGATTTTTGTCCCCTAGTCCAATAGCAAATAGATGAATCGGTGTTTGGCGCGAGATCTGATGAATCATTTACCCCTTGCTCGATCTGAGCTTCAAAACAACCTGCGGGGTGGCCCTGCTCCTAGGGATGTCAAGACGCATCTCAAAGGTCTGGCCAGTCTCTTTTTTTTTTTGTGATATTTCTCATTTTTTGGGATTTTGGATTCTTGTGATTTCCTGGATGCTGTGCGTTGTGCGCGCACTGATCACATAGTGTTCAATGGCTGCCCTTGCCCTGAGCCCTACTGCCCATGCTTGCAAATAGGGGCTGATGCATTTCCATCTGTTCAGGGGCTAGATCTTGTTTTGGCGCTACATGTGAAGTGGAGTGGCTGTGACGTTTCTCTTTGAGTGGCCGGTAATAACTTCCACGTTCCGCCACGGCCCGGAGGTTCGATGTGTGCTCCACTAAGTCGCATCTTGATAGAGGATTAATAATGCAGAACCTGCGTTGGAAAGCCTTATTGGTCTTTTAATTATAGGGTAGTCTCGCATAAAGAAAAGCCGGGCCATTGCCCAGCCGGTCAATGAGTGATTGGGCCGAGGTAGGAGTATAGTGTGAGGTGTATATACAATGCAACCCCCGGGTCATTTCACACCTGTGTGACTAACGAGAACCATGGGCAGATTCTATCAACAAAAAAATATAGAGACGCAAAGAATGGTATCATATCCGCCAAATGAGCAGGGATCCAAGTCGCCAATAGTCAAAAAGCCCGTCCACCCGCCAAAATAGATGCCAAAAACGAAATTAATCACCGTATGTAGTCAGTCATGTGGTAATTCTTGAAGTATTAATCAAAGTAGGAGGCGAGACAATACTTATGCCACCATGTACTCCCCATCACCCCGTTTGGCTTGCATGACGCGAGACCAGCGGAACGCTTGAGAAGTAACGGGTGCCCCACTTCCATCCAGCGGAGGCGGAGGTCCCAATTCGGATGGATAGACAGGGTATGAAGATTCATCAGAATGTTCTTCCCATATCTTTTCCAGCAGTTCCAGACAAGAGATGTTGTTCACGAATCCAGAGTCTTTTGAAATATCCTTACAACGATTTCGAATGACGGAACGGTGGTCTTCTTGAACACATTCCGAACCCACGATGAACAGCGGCCAGAGAAGGTACACATCCGACTGCACAGCACAGAGGCAGTGCATGGCAAGAAGGACGAGGTGTTGGATGCGAGGATGTTGCGACGGGAGACTTGGCTCGGCGAGTCGTTCGCAGTAAAGTAGCGCCGCGTGGCGGAAGCATTCAGAGATCTGGTAGACATCCTGAAGATTCTCGCTAGCCACCTGGTATGAGGGTGGGGTAGGAGGAGTCGGTGTAAAGTTGGAAGGATTGAAAGACAAGGTGGAAGCGGACAGAGGCGGCGAGGGGAACGAGGCCTCAGCGGGTGGCGCAGATGGTGGATCGAATCGCCAGGATTCGAGGCGTTGCCGTAATGAGTGCCATTCGGTCCAGAAAGCAGGAGACGAAGGCTTTCGGGCCTGGTCACTGCTTTGGGGTGGAGTGGGCATGGAAAATCCATAACCGCCCGCCGTGGCTCCTGGTTCAGCAGCTGAAGGGACGCTATCCCAGCCGGGGAAGATCATGGAGGGAGGTAGTGAGGCGGTAGGAATGGTCACATCGGCTGGCCGAGACTCATTAGGCTTCTGGTCCTGGCTGAGCAGGTTCAAACGGCCCAACTGAGAGATCATCTTGAAGAGACGTCCATCGCAGCCAGCCAAGTTCTCCAACCCCCATTCGCCATCGGTGGTCGAGCTGATTTCCAGGCACCTGCCGCGAAGCTGTACATCACGGTCATTTGTGGTTGCAGTAAGCGTGTCAAACCATGAGAACATGCGAATGAACCACTTGAGGTCATCTGTCAGAACGGGAGAATGCCGCATACGAATTGCGAGGAGCCTGGTGACGCCGGCAAACTGTGTTTGAAACTCAGCAACACCGGTGTCGCAGCCATGAAATAAGCAAAGGATCAGCAGTGTGGCTAATACCGAGTCTGATAGTCTGCGATGGGGGTCTGCCAAGTCGGCATTCAAGGCCTTCACGGCCATTCCGCGGTGGTGATTTTCTTCCCGCGCATAACCCTCTACCATCGAGATCCCGTATGTATCTTGGAACACCTCGTCGGTAAGGGCACGATGCGCCAAGGATGACATACGTGCCGGGAGGGTTCTCTCAGTGGACATGTGATTCTTTTCTCGCCGCTGTCGCAGATTGCTCGTGGCCAAGGTCGCAATTGCCTCTTGAAGGGCATCGCTACCTTGAGCCAGGCGAAGAACATGAGTGCGAAAAGGGTTTGTCGGGGTATCAAAAGCAACGATCATAGGGGCAATGACTTCGGCGAAATAACTGATGAGGTACCGCAGGCGAGGTGTGCGCCCTACGGATCTTGCCAGAAGTAGCTGGGAATACGAGGGCGAATGACTTGCATCCCACAGCATTGAATATTGTGGGTTGTTTCTGTCAATTTCCTCATCTGCGTCTTGCGGGGACGTCGTGTTTGAGCCCGCCCAGTTCCTCGCAACGGGCCAAGATGGTATAGCGAAACTAGTGTCGGGACTTAAAGTGGGTGCATAAGCAAGGGTTACCTCGGAAGATATGCTGGGGCTCGAACGACTCGTCACCGCCGGTCGAGTCGGTAATGGAAGCCCGGATATCTGAGGAGGCGCTGCAGATATGCTGGACCACGACTGGGGATCCGGCATGTCCATTGTCCACGCCATTCCATTTGACACATCGGGCACATTCGACGCAGCTGACGGACGGCGAGAATCAGAGTCAAACGAGTGGAAGGTTCCTGCATCAAATGAAGAGAAGCCCATTCCAGTTGTCGTTGCCGCCGGTGGGGTGGTCGAGGACGATTGTGACGAATATTGGGCTTGACTCTGGCTGCTGAGAGGCGTCGATTGCTGTGCTTTGGAAGGTTTCGCAGAGGACTCGCTCGCCGCTTCATCCATGACGGGGAGCTTCTGGCCCCGCAGCTTGCCTCTACTGGCGACTCCTACCCCCCACGTAAGAGTTGTCTTGTACCCGGAGCATTCGCGGCCGAGTTCGAGGCACTGGGAGCAGTACGGGCGTCGTCGATCACATCGAGCTCCTCGCTTAGAGCATGTGAAGCAGTCATCTGGAGCACCGCTCACCACCGTTCTCTTGCGCCGTTTCCGAATCGGCGCATTCGGGTCGGTTTTGCGGGATTTGCTTGATTTGCTTTTGGCCGGCTCCCGCACCGGCTCCCGCACCGGGCGAGTTGGATTCTCGGACATTACGAGCGAGTATCGCGGCAGACACCTAGCAGGGGTCCCATGGGGTAGATTTCAGGGAGGCCTTCGTTGGCCACAGGGAACGAAAGTGTCGACCAGTGCGGGTGAGGATCTGGCAGTGAGAAGTCGGGGCACGGGATAAAGTGGGCCTGAAACGGCGGGACTCGATACGGTTCACCGGAGGGCGGAAGGCGGCGGGCGGAGGATGGAGGAGCGGAGCAGGTTCAATCTGCCATGAGGTAGGGCCGAGGGGGAGGAGGTATATACAGTAGAAGGGAGGGAAAAGGGAAGAGTTGGGGGGTGGATATGGGATCTTCCCGGTGGAGGATGATCCGCGCCTTAGTCGTCGCCTACGAGAACTCTCGACGGGGCGCCGTGAGAAATGGCTCAGGTCTCCACTCGGTGATCCTTGATCCAGGATCGACTGGTTCCTCCTAGCCGGAAATGGTGACATTCTACGGGGGTTCTATCGTTGCGGCAAATCGCTAGTTCATGCGGGCCTCCTGCGGAGTATCGTGGGAGACGTTCTCTTAATGAAGATCAAATGATGCCGAGGTTGAACGTGTATTAGGTTTGCAGTAGTTAAATGCCTGGGTTTCGTTGGGGTCGCCTTCGCAGCTCAAGGAGTTATACTTAAAACATGGCCGCCTGGATGCCCGCGTCCCTCTCAGGCCATTGCGTGTCTCGTAGCACGCAAGTCGGGATGATTAGAGAGAGCATCGCCAAGGCCAACCCGGGACCGCCTTTCTTCCCCCAACTTCATCTCCATCCTTCCACTTGCCACTACCCCTGTCTAGTGCCTTCTTCCCTTCGCTTTCCGACTGGACCTCTACATTCCAACCCCAACAGTCCCAATTGCCTTGCCTAACTCCCGACATCGTCGATCGGCGCCCGTGCGCCCTCAGCTCGCCCAAACCAATCCCCCTGCACCTCCGTGTTTGCATCGGCTGCGTGACGCCCAAAATCAGCCACACCCACCCACTATCAGGCCTCGGCCGCGGCCGCCTTCAGATATGGGTTTGTTTAGGCCCGGCCGGGCGAGGTCCGTCTTCCTTGCCATGCTAGCCACTCTCCTCGTCTGCACGGTCTATCTTTACTGGACTCCGACCACCGCCTCATCCACCGTCTCTGTCGTACCCAGTACGGCCTTCGAGGTCCCCATCATCGAACGTCAAAAGGACTTTTGGAAAACCTTCCACCCTCTCCTCAGTCGTTATGAGCCCAAATGTCCTCCCCCGGCGAACAAGGGCAATGTGCCCGCGGTTCATTTCGATCCCAATGAGGGTATACCACGGCCCGATCTATCCAAGTTGACCGAGGAGTGTCTGTGGTTATTGGAAGGGGCGCATGACCAATTTGTGAAGGAGATCAGCAAACCGGGACGAGATTTGAAACCGGTCCATAGCCATACCCCAGGCACGCGAGGAATCGTATCCACCGCCGGTTCGACGTACATGCCAGTCTTTATCAACTCATTACGCATGCTTCGCCGCGCTGGGTCCACGCTTCCCGTCGAAGTATATATGAAAGACATGGGTGAATACGAGAAGCATATCTGTAATGAGGTACTTCCGGATATGAATGCGCGGTGCTTAGTGATGGGTGACATCGTGGGCAAGGAGGCTATCGAGCACTATCAGCTCAAGATATTCGCTATCCTCTTCTCCTCTTTCGAAGAAGTTATTTGGATGGATGCGGATTGTTTCCCGTTAGGTAAACCGGAGGATCTCCTCGACTCGGAACCATACAAATCAACTGGCCTAGTTACCTGGCCAGATTTCTGGTTCTCCTCCGCATCTCCTCTATATTACCAGATTTCGAAGCAACCGGTTCCACCTATGACGGCCCGTCAGTCAACAGAGGCCGGTGTGATTCTCGTGTCTAAGAAAACACATTTCCTGCCTCTCTTACTCGCAGCCTATTATAACTTCTACGGTCCTTCACAATACTTCCGACTGCTGACCCAAGGAGGTCCTGGAGAAGGGGACAAGGAGACTTTCGTCGCCGCTGCCTCGGCACTCAAAGCTCCGTTCTATACCGTGAGTGAGACGGTGCGACCAATTGGGCATTTCGATGAGCATAAAAGTTCGGGGTCGGCTATGGCCCAAGCGGATCCACGGGAAGACTACGCCCTGACCTCACAAGGCAAATGGAGGGTGAATGACCCAGCCGTGGCGCCCGCTCCGCCCGTCTTCTTTATCCATGCGAACTTTCCGAAATTCAACCCGGGAGACAACGTTTTCGGTACGGGATGGGAGACGACTCCCACAATTGACGAGAATGGCACGGATGTGCGGGCATGGTCAGGTCCCCCCGACGTACTCGAACGGTTCGGATTTGATGTGGAGAAAGCTTTCTGGGAGGAGATCAAATGGGTCACTTGCAAATACGAAACAGTCTTTGAATCGTGGAAAAACAAAGCAGGCCTTTGTCAGAAAGTCGAGGACTACTGGAATAACGTTTTCGCCGAGCCGCACGACAACGCCCTGAAGTTTACCCAAGACGGTTGAGCTCAAAGCTCGATTATCATCCTCCTGCACTTCGAGTCACCGCACGTCGATTGCCAGGTATCCCTAGACACGAGCTGAAGTGCTCGGTCCCAGCAAAGCCACCAAATGTGACCACGATTGGCCTGGGTTTTGACGCCTGAACAGCTTTGCTTTTCTCGGGCAGTCGCCACATCGCTCGGCCGGTATAGAGGAGATACCACCCCATTCCTCCAATCAATGCCGGCCTCTTTTCATGGCAGCCCTTAAGGCACTGCACATAAACGGCCTGGGCCCATCCTGTATATTAGATCTCTCGACCTCTCGGGTGTTTGTCGCACACAATGCATATAATATAGAATAAGGGATGACAACACAAAATCCATCATTCTACAATTTACGGATAGCAACTTGAAGTTGAATCATTTCATTCAAGACCTCTATTTTCGAAGCGAGGTGCAAATCGTTATATCGTACATGAATAACTTCCCCAAACGCCTTTCTGGTCGAGATTCGACCAGGCATGCCAAACGGGGTGGGTATTATGAAATTTTCATAACATCGTGATCAATTTATTTCTTGATACCCTTCTCGCGCAGGCGCTGCTCGTCTTCAGCCTGGAGCTCTGCGTCGATCTGGGCACCCTTGGAGGGAGCGTTGCCGTGCATCTTGGCCTGTTCAGAGGGCATATTAGCGAATGACCAAAAGGTAGCTAAGTTAGAAGTTATCATACAGGCTTGGTCGGGTCCTGCTTGCTGAGCTCGGCCTCGGGGTTATGTTCGTTGTTGTGGTGGTGGGAGGGGTCATCCTTGCGTCCCTGGGAGGCAAGCCTGTTGGCGATGGAGCGCTCGTCCTTGGAGTCGAGGTTCTTGTGGCTGCCCTGCATGCCCTCCTGGTAGGCAGTGGCCTGGTTCTCGGACCGGGACGCATTGCGCTGGTCACCGGCCTCATAGATGGCGCGGGAGCCGACGTTAGACTGGGCGGCGCTGTGAGACATTGTGTATAGAGGAATTGAGGTATTTGGAGAAGAGAGTTGTTGGAATTTTGAGGTGGAAAGTGGTTATGTTTTTCGATTGAAGCACTGGAAGAGCTCCAACTTATACTCGACGAACTTGATGGATGGATTGCCGGTGATGTCACTCTGAAGTCAGTGAGATCATACTGTGGGTCGAGACCCAGACTCGGTGAATTGATTCTCGCGGCTCAAGGCTGGTCGTGTGCACTTTTTGACCTTTTTTTTTCTCGGTTTGCGTCAGGGCGTTCTTGCAATCAAGGTAGTTTGGGTGCAGTGACATCGTTGATGCCCGGTCTTCTTCGATGCTTGCATCTGCGCTCCACTTTCTATACTCCACTCGACTCAAGGGCATTTTATCGGTGACAGCCACTTAATTTGTTGGTCAATGAATTGGATTTTTGTACAATGGATATAACAGAGTCCATTCTTATTCTCTTCTTAACTAACTGTTTGTGGTTGAAGCATTCGTGGTTTGACCTGCATGGGTCGAGTACTTGGCCGCATTGAGGGCTACGGTGACAATCAACCGTGGAGTAGGTGTAGACATTCGAGTCAACTAGTTTCTACTTCCTTCTTGTTCGATGCTATTCCAATATAGCAGCGGATGTCGCAATTGGTTTCGAACGGGTTCGAAACATCATTTTCCCTCAAAATGCGCACGATAGCATTCTTGCGTACGACCCACTCCGGTCATCGGAGTCGATTACGATTATGCACACTGCTGTCGATTGACGTTGCCCCTGCGTTCCTGGTCAGGAATCCTCAATTCAGTAGGAAATCAGGTCTCCAACCCATCGACCCCGTCCGCCATATACCATCCGTACCCTACAGCACAATGAGTGCTCCCGCCCCCACGACGGAAGTGCAGCCCCGCTTCCAGCAACTATTCACGGAGCTGGAGAACCGCTTCAAAACCACGACCCTGGGCAGCGACAAATGGTACATTCTCGCCACGGCCACCCTAGCCGCAAGCCCAGACCCGGAGCGCGCAGACCAGCTATATTTGCATCTCTGCAGCCAACCCGATTACTCAACCGCGCCCGCCCGCCAAGCGCTAGTTCGCCGGCTGCGCGAGGCACTCATCAAAGCCGTCCCAATTGTCGGCGTCTGCAAGCCCATTGAAGCCATCTTGTCCATCGGCAAGGTCGAGCGCGACGAGGACAAGGATTACACCTCCACGCGTGAGGGCTGGCAATGCGACCAAGCCAACCATGACCGCGGCACGGCATGGATGCAGAAGCTGTACGCGCGCAACACCAGCGGTACCTTGAATTTGTTTGCTGCGCATAAAGATTTCTCTTGGTTGTCGGAGGAGATTACTTACGGGCTGTTCCTGTCGGATCGTCAGGTGTTGGATGATGTGGACACTCAGCTCGTTGTTCTTCCCGGTATCATGAGCCAGAATCTGCCTAATGAGACGCACTGGCATATTCGTGGAACGAGGCGTTTGGGTGTTCCTAAAGAGGAGGTGCAAGTGATTTGGGACTGTGTGAAGCTTGTGGCGCAGTTCTTCGATGTTCAGTTGAATAAGGTGCCCACTGTTGAACAGGTGGAGTATGATGTCTAGCATTTATCTTGGTAGCGTTTAGCATTGCATATAGCACATGACATTTACAAGGAAAGTTTCCTGCACGCGATACTCAGTTCCTATTATTATTGAATCCATTTTTGCCGTAAGTAGAAATGTACCTTCCGTCGCGTTACCAGAACGGATATATATTCAGTTTAAACGGGCTTGACCGCGAAATTTGCCAGATGATGCGCACTGTATTAAGATTGTAGCTATCTCAAGAACTTAGAGCAGCTTCAGTTTTCCAAGAAACCGCATATTTTAGACTATTGGTTCAGGAATCGGAAGCTCAATAGAAGCAGGGGCCGGGCATCATAGATCGTGCCGATAACAAGCGATAAGGAAAAAAGTTCGAAAGCGGCCGAGGGGCGGAGCAAGGTCAAAACCATCCTTTCGCTCCGCCCATCCAAGGACACCAGGAATCAGTAAATCATGGGAAAACGAAAGCAAGATCTCGGCGATGTGCCCATGGGTGGCACCAAGGGCCAAGAGGACGAGGATTCCGACGACGTGAGTAGTCCTGCGCCGCACTCTGCCATACATCTTTTAACCCGTTCCAGGACGTTGAAATGGTCAATGTCGACTTCGAATGGTTCGACCCGCAGCCTGCAGTCGATTTCCACGGCCTCAAGAACCTCCTTCGCCAGTTGTTCGACAATGATGCTCAGATATTCGATATGTCCGCTCTGGCCGACCTAATTCTGTCGCAACCGACGCTCGGCTCGACCGTCAAGACCGACGGCAACGAGTCGGATCCGTATGCTTTCCTGACCGTGTTGAACCTCCAGGAGCACAGGGTGAATCCTCCTGAACTCCACCATTTCAATTGCCTAAAACTGACAACTCTCCCAGGATAAACCCGTCATCCAGGACCTGATCAAGTACATCAAGAGCAAAGCCGCCGCCAACCCCTCCCTCTCCGCCCTCAACGAGCTCATCTCCCAGACTCCAGTGCCCCCGATCGGCCTGATCTTGACCGAGCGTGTGATCAACATGCCTTCTGAGGTCGTGCCGCCCATGTACAACATGCTGCAGGAGGAGATCGCCTGGGCCATCCAGGACAAGGAGCCATACAACTTCTCGCACTACCTCATCATCTCCAAGAACTACGAGGAAATCGAGTCCAAGCTCGACCTCGAGGAGTCGCGGCCACAGAAGAAAAAGAAGAAGGCTGGCGAGAAGTCCCAACAATTCTTCTTCCACCCGGAGGACGAGGTGCTCCAGAGGCATGCGATGTGCACCGCTCCCATTGAGTACACGCACCAGCAGGATGACGGCCACTCCGACTCCAAGCGCGCGTTCCAGGAAGTGGGCATCCGCACCAATGGTAGCTTGACCTTGATCGATGGATCCAAGTTCGAGGCTGCTGTCAAGGCGGTTACAGAGTACTTGAACCCGCAGTGAAGGGATAACAATTGTCGTTTCATTTCATGTCCCGTTTACGAGAATCATTTTATATATGTTGGTTTCTTTTGTTTTCTTGCTTCACTACCCTCCAGCGGCATGATTCTATAGATCCCCAAAAGAACCAAAGTTCATAACTTCATGATAAATCCGCTTTTTACTCCCATTGGGTGCCCTTGAGGCGCTGCATGAGGTATTCGACCTCGACGACCTTGGTCAGAGGGATGACGCATTCCTGTAGCCGGCGTGTCAGTTGCTAGCTCGAAAGATCCAACCCTCAAATAGTCATTTCTTACCTTGTACATGGCCACCACGGCATCGATATTGATCTTCTGGCCCTTCTCCTCAGGGAAAGCAGGATCGGTGCCGTAAGTCTTAGCTTTCAGACCCAAGCGCTCCAGAACCTTCTGCTCAACCTTCGCATCCGTAATAGCAGCATCAATGCCCTCACGGTCACCAGCACGAATCAAACGGACAAAAGTCTCAGGATCCTTCTGGAACTTCGACTCAGCAACAAACTTGCCGAAGTGAATCCGCCGCGATAGCGCCTGCAAGCAAGCAACATCGCACGTCGCCGCCGAACCGTAGTTCTCCTGCGTCTCGCCACGGTCCTCACGACCAAACTGGGGGCAGACGGCAGGCAGGATCTCGTTGATGTAGCGCTGCTTGATCACATCGTTGACATTAACGTCGTTGGCGTGCAAGATGCGCGGGTACTGCAGCGGCTGCAGGATCGGCTTCTCGAGCACGTCGGGGAAGAAGGGGTATTCGTCGGGGGATTCATAGCGGCGCACACGCGACTGCAGTCGCTCTTGTTCACGAAGGAGGTAGTCGGCCAGACTGAGCTGGCTGGAGGGAATGGTGACACCGCCGGGCACGTAGATGGTCTTGTTGAGTGGAAATTGGACGCGTTCGATCAGGTGAAAAGTGATTGTGTCCTCTAACCGGCTGCAGGTTTGGGATATTAGCAGCAGTTCTTATGGAGATGTTTGGTTTGAGTGCGCAGAGCTCTACTCTCTTGCGGTGTGACTGTATAGCGGGGCGCGGGGCATAACGAAGGAAGAAATTGTCGCCTCAAGGATTGGAGACTGGAGGAAGCTCACATCAGCTGGAAGCGGATATTGGCGAGGTCCAATGCCTTGGAGGCATCGGATAGATCAATGGCTGAGTCCATGGCGCGGTGGGTGGTGAAGTTGGAGAAAGAGAAGTAACGGGTCTGCGATATCGGGATCACCTTCTCGGCCAAGCCTTGGGGCCCTATTTATGTTGTACGCCAGCAAGCAATTTTTTTGGTGGCACTTGTATTTCCTTTTTCTCCACTTGAGGCGATCTCTTTCTTTCCTTGCACGTAACAGACCTAGTTACGATATAGATAATCATCCGTGCAGTATAACGTGTACTCGGTACTTGACCAGTACCGAGCTCCCTGCTGGATCATTGGAGACGCTCGAGTATCGGCAAGGTAGAATGTACAAAGAGCGAAGACACCTTGCATGTCGCTAGTCGATTGATATCTCATAAAGTAGGAAAAAAATGACTTGTCAATTGAAGGCGAGACCGGTCTCAGACCGTAACCTTGGCAAAGTACCGTACGCCCGTACCCGCGGAACGCGGTAAATCATCGCGTGTAACACATGACGATTATCTCTCCGCAACCTTCTACCGAGCTCCCTTTTCTCCAACATATGGGTCTTGGTTGAACCCCCCAAGACATCTCCAGGCTATGGAGAATCACCGTCGCGATGATTCGCCCTCCGGTCTGTCGGATTACGCCGAGGGCGAAGGCTTGCTGGGCACCGGCATCACCGTAAGCTTTTTTCGCTGCCCGCGACATGCCCCTCAACGCCGCCGGCTAACACGTTCTTATATAGACTCGTCACCTAGAGGCATTCGGCAGAACGGTCACATCAACGGCTGGACACTTGATGGGACCGCCCGACCAGAGCCAGACTACCCACTATCAGAATGCTCTGAATGACATCCACCGCGAACTGCGCCGGCCGACGGCGCAGCGCAAGGTGTTTTCCCTAACGCAGACAACCCCGACCGATCTGATGCGGTCCAAATTGTCAACTACCGAAATCAAGTCTCGTGCCATTTCCTCTCTCCCTGACGCCCTCCTCGCCGACCTTCCCGAAGATAACAGCTCCTACTCCCTATTCCAAGGCTTCCAGGCCTCCGTACCCGAAGAAGAACATGGCCATAAAAAACACCGGCGACGCACCTCCAAAGGCGGAAAGTTACTAAAGGACGGCGAGAAGGCCGGAGTCTTGACAGCTGGACCGGCCGGGCTAAAGGAGGAGCGGAAATCATTGAGCCGGCGGCTTGATATGATGGGCATCCGCAAAAACATGTGCAGCGCCGAGATTCACGAGATTGATAACAAGATTGCGAATTTGCACAAGATGCGCCAAATTGTCCTTGATCGACTAGCGGGCTTGGAGATGGACGAAGCCGCCTTGGAGCACGATCGTAGGTTACCCTGCCAGACGCGTCATTGACAAGAGACCAGCCCCTCTGACTTCCGCGATACAGTAACGGAACTCGATAACAAGCTTGAAGACCTACAACCGGAGGAGACACCTGACACATCTGCTGCGGACGAGACACCCAAGTCTTCAGAAGCCCCGGAGAGTTCGGCCACCTCCTCAGCCGACCCTGCTATGGATGCATCGTTTATGTCGGAATCGATATACGAGAAGTTGCCGACCCCGTCGCCGAAGAGCTTACGACATCGATCTATACGTATGAAATCGTTGACATTTGCAGGCCGCGGATGATCGCTTACAATGGACTTTAGGGAAACGTTCCATGCCGATTTTACACGAACATTTCGCCCCGGGGTCATTGATCAAGGAAATTGAAGCGCACACCGATATGGTCACCGCGATTGACTTCGACTTTCCGTTTGGCACCATGGTCAGCGCCGCGTTGGACGACACAGTGCGAGTATGGGACATGAACGTCGGTCGATGCTCTGGATTGCTTGAAGGACACCATGCCTCAGTCCGGTGTTTGCAAGTGGAAGATAACATTGTGGCAACGGGATCTATGGATGCTTCCGTGAGGCTGTGGGATTTGAGTCGTGCTCGACCCGCAACTCGCGATGGCCGCTTGAATAAGCACGAGCGTGGTGAACGGGAGGATACATTAGAGCACTCTTCGCCGGTGCCACCTTCTTCCAATCTGGAGGACTGCCATGTGTTCACCCTGGATGCGCACGTTGACGAAGTCACTGCCCTCCACTTCAAGGGCAACACGCTTATCTCAGGCTCCGCGGACAAGACGCTGCGACAATGGGATTTGGTCAAGGGACGATGTGTTCAGACACTCGATATTTTATGGGCCGCGACCCAAGCCTCGTCTTCAACGACCACCGATGGGACTTGGCGTCCGTCGGGTCGACTTCCCGACGCATCTGCCGACTTCGTTGGCGCTATCCAATGCTTTGACGCTGCCCTCGCGTGCGGAACCGCTGATGGCATGGTCCGCTTGTGGGATCTTCGCAGCGGTCAGGTTCACCGCAGTCTTGTGGGCCACACTGGGCCCGTCACCTGCCTGCAGTTCGATGACATGCACCTGGTAACAGGCAGTCTTGACCGCAGTATCCGGATCTGGGACCTGCGCATGGGCTCTATCTACGATGCCTATGCCTACGACAAGCCGATCACTAGCATGATGTTCGATTCCAAGCGTATTGTTGCTGCCGCCGGCGAGAACGTGGTCAAGGTCTACGACAAGGCGGACGCCCACCACTGGGATTGTGGTCCCGGCGTTGGCATCGATGAGACGGGTCCATTCCCCGCGACGGTCGAGCGTGTGCGTCTCAAGGACGGATATCTCGTGGAAGGCCGCAAGGACGGCACCCTGGCCGCCTGGACGTGTTAAGCTCGATATAACTTCTATCCCCCCGCCCACAGTACATCCTTGCTTCGGACTCCCGCCTCATTTCCCCCTCACCCGTGCTCGATGTATAGTATTTCATCCCCTGTCTAGAGAGCTGGATGTAGCACGCTGGCTTGAACAGAGTGGCCGGACCTTGATATCGCGATTCTTGTATGTAACTCAGCATTGTTCAGGTATTTCATTCGCTGCCAAAGAGCACCCAAAGTGCATTTGTCGATGATTCTAAAGAGAGATAAAAATAGCCGGAAATGAAAATCGAGGAAACCCGACAAAGCGACAAAGAATACACAGTAGAAGCCTTGGACGGACTGGGGACAAAGCGATAAAAAGACTTCAACCCCGAACGTCAAGACCTGACTCTCTAAATTTCTTCACAACATGACCATTGCAGCTGGAAGCACTTAATTTCATCTCCATCCCTCTCTAGACTACATCAGAGGTGCAAGTCGTAGGTTGAAGGTTGACCATATACAAGCGGCTCTGATTCGCGACGATCGTTGCCGGCTCCACATCTTTTTCGCTCGTCACGTTTCACGCGTCTGCGCGTCTCGACACTTTGAAGTCCGGGGATCGCGATTGATTCGATCTCACTTCCATCTGAACTCACGCCTTCTTCTGCTTCGATTGTAAGTCATTACCACGGTATGTCGCGGTCAGCCCTGGGGATTCTCGCGATTCCTTGCCAGGACCACCCCCGTTGCCGGTCCCCTGGGTCGACTTATACCTCGTCGCTATCCGTTAATGCATTCAAATTGTTGTTTAAACTGTATCTAATGTGATCGCAGTTCTGAAACCTTCGTTCACCCTGTCTTCGTGAGAGGAGACTTGCTTCTGGTGACCAGGGTGGCCTGTTTCAAGGATCGACTCTCTGCGACAGCTTGGTGTAAGTGTTGATTTTCTGTCGTTTCGTCTACGATCCCCGAACTGTCCCAACACACTGCTTTGCTTTGAGCTTTGATACACCTGTCAATTGCCTGGTGTACCTCTCGCGCGTTGCCATCCTAATAAGCCCTGTATCCCCCATCCAACATTCTTGCCTTCCAACCTCCCGCCATCCTGGGGTTGCTGGGAACATCAATCACTCTGATCGATTTTCTTATTGCCTCATGGCCTCATTAACTGCTCATTGACTCCTGAAACCATTCCGTCTCATTGTGTATTTCCTTTTTGCTTGGAGTTTCTATACGTTGGCATAATGACCTTACGCGTGAAGTGAGAGGAATCAGCAGTACCAATACTGACGCTCACAGATGCCTCCCAAGGGCGCAGCTACCAAACTCGGCAAGGGGTATGCTTATGCCTCTTCGGAAGACGAGCTCGACACATTACTTGGTAATTCATCGGCTGTTGTCTTGCCGGCTGTTCCAATTGCAAACTCCTGGAATTATGGCGCTCAAACAACATCAGCTTTGCCCACTCGGACTCCAGTGAACCCGAACATCAGTCCGGGGCGTATTGCCAAAAGAATTGAGGCAGGTATCGAGATTGCGCAAAATCGAGACTCGCCAAGGAAGCAAAAAGACAAAGTCCAGACGCGTTCAATTCTCCGGCGGACCAAAAGGGAGCCCACTCCTGATCAAACACAACTCCAGCAAGATCTCGACGGAGCTGCATCACCTACGCCTTCACCTCCTATTCGAAATACAGTCTCTACAGATTCAAGCTCTGACGACGAGCCTCCTCGTCAGCGCCGCTTATCAGTCATGTCAAACGAACCGTTATATCCGTCACCCCTCCAACGTGCTGGTGACCGCCGCAATGACGCTTCTGCTAGGAGCAGCCTTGATCGTGAAAGTTCGGTAGATAATGCATCTGAAGTGTCCTGGGACCTGGAACGTGACATTCACGAGGATGATCTGCAACGAACACGACCGAGCAAATACCGTGGCGAACGCCACGGCCGCAATATCACTAAACCTCCCCGTCGACCTTCTGGCCTTGCTATGACCCAAGAAACAATCGAAGAGGAGGAAGAGCCGTCTTCAGAAGAAGAGGAAGAGGAGTTGGAAGAAGAAGAGCGGGATGAGGCGGAGCCAGTTTCCAGCGCGTGGACCGCACCGGTACGGACGATTATTCCTTCAATCTTCCGACGTTCTCAATCTACCGAAGCCATCTCTGAGCCGAAATCGCCGAAATCGCCTAAAGAGAGTCTATTCCGACAATGGATCCCATCAACCAGACCAAAGACTCGCGATGACCAGCTCCCAGAACCAAAGCGCACCAACTGGATTCGAGCTGGTCTCGTCTTGTTGCTCTCCTTGAGTCTTGCATTTGCACTCCAAGGGGGCCTTCTGGCTGCGCTTCCGGGTGGTGTTATAGCGAGAATTCGCTCATCCGTTTCTTTCGGCGAACCCCCAATGATGATACCCCCAAACATCACCGAATCCGAAATCTTCCACGGCTTTACAAATCAGGTTTCGAAAATGAACTCCCAAATGTCGAGCCTCTCACGCGAGTTGAGCAGCGTTCGATCAGAACACGCCAACGCCCCTCATCCTACCGACGTCAATGTTCCGGTTGTCGTGGGATCAAGGCAGCCTCCAAAAATCAACTTCTTATCCCCAGCCCTCGGAGCTATTGTCGACCCGTACAATACTGCCCCCACGGCAGACAAAAGCCATCCATATCTCACCCGTGTCGTGATGAGGATGTTCCGCATAGGACCCAACTTCGGACGGGGCCCTCTACCCCCTGTGGCTGCCCTATCACCCTGGGACGAACCAGGAGATTGCTGGTGCAGTGTTCCTCGCAAAGGAGTATCCCAGCTATCGGTCTTGCTTGGCCGTGACATCGTCCCCGAAGAGGTAGTCGTCGAACACGTCCCCGCCGGCACAACACTCGACCCAGGCACAGCACCAAAGGAAATTGAAATGTGGGCGCGTTTCCGCGTCGTTCCGTTGGTCTCGGAAGATGACACTAAAGGGTCTTGGTGGCCCTGGTCTGCGAAAAAGAACCCCCGTCCGATCGATCCCCGACCTGCACGCGAAGAAGGTCTCGGCGGCTACAGTATTCCCGGCGAGAAATCACTGCACGACGTGCTCATGAGCTCCCTACGCGTCTCGAATGCCTTCGAGCCAGAAAGTACCTATTCAGACGATCCAGCCCTCGGCTCAAACTTCTACCGCGTCGGAAAGATAGAGTACGACATCCATAAGGAGAACAATATTCAGCGTTTCGCGCTCAATGCCGTCGTTGATATCCCGACTATCCGCGTGGACAAGGTGGTTTTCAGGGTTAAGTCGAATTGGGGCTCGAATATCACCTGCCTCTATCGGGTCCGACTACACGGACATCTTTGAATGTTTATAGGGCTGGCAAGGCGTTTTCATTTTACCTTCCACTCGAAGGGTTCTACGGCGGCTATTTACGATTTGCTGTTTGGAAGAAAGCAAAGGTTGTTTCGCGTGATGATACCTTGCATTTAGCGAGTTACGGTGGCGTTTGAGGAACATGGGATTAGGATTGATAATTTTAATCAAGATGACTGTATTGAAGGTCCCAGTTCATACGGGTTATACAACTCACTTGTAGGAGTCAAATCGAGTCCAAACCTGAGGAAGTGTAGACGCTGCCTTAGAATTCGGGCGGGGGCAGCACTGGCCCAGTCGAAGGTGGGGGAAGAGAGGGGCGGAGATGCCATGATTGGCATCCTTTCCAAAGTCCAATCGAAGGGAGATATATAGCGCAGGAGGACTCCGTACACGAAGCAAAAGGACCATGTCGGGTCGTCACTAGATGCTCACCCATTCCGGACTCCACAATGACATCCCCCCACCACGACATGACGAAGGCGGACAACGGGCCTCACCTTCTCGGGTCTTGCACCTCCCTCGGTCACGCGCCTTTCGTGCAGCCATCCACATACCTTCGCCCTCCAATGACCTCCCAATCCGAGAGACCAATCGATCGGGAAGAGCGACAGGGCCTCGTGAGTTTGCTCTTTGTGCTGCTTGACCGCCCCGCGCGCTTGGACTGCCATCTTTTTAAGATCTGACTGGGGAAGGGGGTCAGGAACCCTCCACAGGGTCTCGGAAGTCCTAGCTCGTGGCTCATATCCAAATCTTGACTAACTCAGCATCACCACAGCGTGCCATTCGCAACTTCCTGAAGGTCCGCACTAGTTACGACGTCCTCCCCCTCAGTTTCCGACTCATCATCTTCGACACCTCCCTTTCAGTCAAGGAAAGCTTGAATATTCTCATCCAAAATGGCATGACTCCCGTCGCGAACGCAGAGACCATCCGCTGACTGGGCAATCGGGAAGTACAGGCATCGTTTCAGCCCCGTTGTGGGACTCCAAAGCGTCCAAATTCGCGGGTCTTCTGACCACTTCCGACTACATCAACGTCATCCAATACTATTTCCAGAACCCCGCCGCCCTTGATCAGATCGACCAATTCCGGCTAGACAGCCTTCGTGGTGCGTCCCGTCTCTTCCATTGCCCTGCGGAAGCGGCTCAATGCTGACCCGAGCTTCGGAACGTGAACAGAAGTTGAGAAAGCCTTGGGTGTAGCGCCGCCCGAGACCATCTCCATTGATCCCGAGCGACCCCTGTACGAAGCCTGTCGTCGCATGCTCGAGTCCCGCGCGCGCAGAATCCCTCTCGTTACGAACGATAGCCAGACCGATCGGTCCCATGTCCTTAGTGTGATTACGCAGTACCGCATTCTGAAGTTCGTCGCCGTCAATGTGAGCGATACGCAGAAGCTGCGCCGCCCGCTGGGTGAGCTGTTGATAGGAACATACGACAATATCGCCACGGCGTCCATGGATACGCCCGTCATCGACGTGATTCACATTCTGGTCGAGCGCAGTATATCCAGCGTCCCGATCTTGAATTCCGAGGGTATGCCAAAATGCTCTGCCACCTAATTACCGGAGTTGATACTAACGTTCAACCATTATAGGCGTTGTGTACAATGTGTTCGAGTCGGTCGATGTCATTGCCCTGATTCGGGGCGGAGTCTACGATGATTTGAGTCTCACGGTTGGAGAAGTGCTCAAGAAGCGTTCGCCAGTAAGCCCGAATTAGCAGCAACTTTACTGGAACACGGTTAGCTAACCATAATCGTAGGAGTTCCCTGGCATCTACACCTGCTCGCTGAACGACGGATTGGACACCATCTTCGACACCATTCGCAAATCTCGCGTCCACCGTTTGGTAGTTGTGGATGAATACTTTAAGCTCAAGGGCGTCCTCACCCTGAGTGACATTCTCCACTACATCCTCCTTGAGGGAGAAAACGACGAATGAGCGCACCGCGTGAGCATTGTGTATAGGTCGGACTGGGTGGTCCACAGCGCAAATGACGAAGTATGACCGAGTCCTGCTTGGAGTCTTCTGTCGCTATACATATCCCCCGAAATTTGCATCACAACGGCGTTTGTTTCCATTTCTTGTTCTTGTTCACCCACAGCGGTCTCTGCTTTTACTTTGTGGGCTGTTGATGATTGTACAAAGGTAATAACAAGGCCTCTGAAGCCCCCTCTGCTTTATTTCTTGGGCGCTGGAATGGCACAAATAGATTTCTTTGACACTCTATTCCACTTCGATGCTTTTAGACATTCTTTCAAGTGGTTTTGGCCAGCTTTAGGAATCGTTCTGCTTCGACGAACTTCAAATGCGCCAACGTGGAAGCTGCGCGTAGACCGCAGCTTCCCTCTTCCAACACGCTTTCCCATTTCCCATGCAAGTTGCTCGAGTCCTCCGTGTTTCTGCTTCTGCGATGATTTGCCCTGAGACTATATTGTGTCTTCATTTTTACTCATGACCGTCATGCCGTTTTTTCAGGCTCTCTTCCGTCCGGCCAGACACAACCGGCCTTCCCATCCGACCCGTCGCACCTGGCCCCGGCTGCGTCGATCTCGAAGATCTGTGGTGCCGAGCCCGTCTGAACCGATCTTGAGTGCCACTGACGATCCAGAGTGGGACCTGATTGACCACAGAGAGGCGAATAGTTCCACTGCGGGGAACGCATCGGAGACACTGCCTGACGACGATACTCCGCCAGTCCAGACTCAGCACGAAAAGCGAATTTCCACCAGCTCAGGATCTGCTCGTAATCGCGGTGCTTCCAGCGAAGCTCCTCGGTCTCCGCATGGCTCGAAGCGTCTGAGGGACTTTGTAGCTCGCCTGCGCGGAAGCAAGTCCCAGGATCGGTCTTCTGTGATGTCTTTGAAGGATGCTCTTCAACAGACTGAACCTGACGACCCCAAATATCCTCAGGTGACCCTTGACCCTGTCAAGAGAGACGTTAACCTTCCGATTGCATCCATTGTTGATCAAGAGGGTTTGGAGCAGAATCGCAATGTCAGTGCCCAGACAGCTTGCTCTCATGAATCCAAGGACACGGCTGTGACCGTTTGTCGACACCCATCCCAACGTATACCGATGCCCCTCCAGGAATTGAATGAGGGCTGGCTTGCCAGCATAATGAACTTTTCTCATGAGTCGGATCATCCTCTCGAGCCATCGGATCCTTTCTCTGATGGCAAGGCCTCGGAGATACCACGCCCGACTCGCGCATCCGCCAAGTATAGCGAGAAGCAGGAGAATAGACAGTCCGAGGCTTCGCAGGAACAACTGGAACGCAAGAATCCCGAGAGCACTTTGCATCCATACTCCAAGTCGCATATCAGCTCACGTCATGTTTCGACACATAGCAATATTTCCTCTAACAGCCAGTCCAGTCGGAGCAGTCGTCTGAGCCGGCTTGACCCATCCAAGGCGACCGTGGCATTCAATGTGCTGGCCGCGAAGTTGAACCTCCCGCTTTCCATCCCTGTTTATGATGCTACTACCACTGGATGTAAGTGTTTCCAACATTGTTGTTATGAGCCACGTTTGACCAGTCTCTACAGCTGACGAGAAGCCAAATGTTGGAGAAAAATCGTCCCGGCGACACCGATTGCTCTATCGAGTTCGCCCAGTGCAGTCCAACATGGCTCTGGAAATCGATTCCCAGCCGTCGACTCCTAAGCTGCGACGAACAAAGACCTTTGCCAGTCTCGGGCGCCGGCCGGCTCCCATGAGTTCCCTTCAAGGCAGATCGGTCGAGACCCTCTCACGCCTGGGAGGGCATAGTTTCATCGTCTTGCCCGCGGACCTGGCACCCTCTCCGCTGCAGCTACCCGCCTGTATCGTGGCGAGTGTGATGTACTTGAGAAAACACGGTAAGTGAACTACTGGTCTACGTCATGGCATAGCCAACTGATCCCGGGTTCCTGCAGGTGCCAGTACCGCCGGCCTTTTCATCGAGCCGGGCGAAATCAAGGCTGCCACCAGCCTGTACGACCAGTTTGCCAGTCAGGTCTTGTCGGCAGAGAAAGATGACCCCAGAATCGCCCTAACAATGCGTGTGGTCGCCATGCCTCACTCGGAGACCAACCCACAGCCGGGGATCGTGCTCAGCGTGGGCTGGGTACTCAAGGCCTTGCTAGCAGGACTGCCAGGTGGCATTCTCGGCTCTACTCGTCTTTGGGAGGCTCTGAAAGCCATTTATTATTCCGAAACTCCTGCGCCTTCCCGAGTCCGCCTTATCACGCTCGCCATTATCGCATTGACCAACGAGATGCAGTGTGCGCTTATCTGCGCAATTTTTGGACTGCTCACGGGCATGTTGCAGGAGATGCAGCGCATCGAACAGCGGGAACTTTCCGGGAATGCCCTCCGACCGGTGGCAAGCTTGACAGATGCCGACAGGCTGGCCCGGGTGTTCGGTCCGCTGTTGATCGGAACAGGCGGTCGAGGTAGTGTCGGGCAGGACAAAGTGGAACGAGAGGTCGAGGAGCAGCGCGTGGCGGGGCTGCTACTTGAACACTGGCACGGCGTAAGCCGCAAGTTGCGCGAATGGGCGAGCGTGTCGGGGATTCAGCATTGATTCCCACTGTTTATGACTGTAGGGATTATACGGGGGCATTGATTCCTATTGGGGGGTAATTAGCCATAGCTAGGACGAGTATAGAGCTAGGAAAGCTCAAGCTCTAAGAAACTGTATACTTAGGGCTCCACTTTCCAACTCAAACCCTGTTTAGATTCCCGTCTAGACCCGCCTTTCGTGACTGGGCGGCTTGAGATCCCGACTGTTTATTGTCTTTTCCTTCAGTGATGTCAAGACCCTAGCTCTGCAATAGAGGGCCGCATGCCCTGGTGCTGGAGTCGATGGTCGACCACGGTACCTGCTGCGCTTGTCTCCTTGTATGCACAATCCCATTCATCCTGTGCAACTCCTCACCCATCCTGGCTCTGTCCCACCCCCTCACCGTATTCCAACGCGTTCTGCCCGCGGATTCGCTCGGATCTGCTGGACCGTTGGAAGTTCTGTCCGACCGTGGCTCCAACCATTCGACAGACACCTGGGCCTACGCTTCTTCAGGCACCGGCCGGGTCGACGACCGTGGTTCACTTCCTCTTTTGCCTAAACCCCGAGCCAAAGTCTGGTCCTGACGCCTGAGACTTTGATTGGGGGTGATGGGCCTACTATTCTGTACCTGACCTGACCACCTTGTTTCCCTCGCCTGTACGAGACAACGACAGTGAAAGAGCAGCTACTCAATACAAAACAAACGGCAACTCCCACCGAGCTTGCGACTGTGCACCTTCCCGAATTGAAACACTGGTATGTCAACTGTGAACTTGAATCCTCTGCCTAGCAGCCTCCACCTTCCCGACTCCGGCAGCACCGTCGGGCCATCACCTTTCACTGCGCCAAACGCTTTCTCGGGCGACTTTCTGGATTTGCCAATTACAGAAGACGAGCCACAATTCTGGGGTCTGAGTCCTATCTCACCAACAATGGGGATGGGAGGCTGGGACGCCAAAGCAGACGCCGCGGCCTTTGCCAACTCGACGCTGGAACGAGATCTCAAGAACGCCCAGGTCCGCAATGGCCAACCCACGCCGCCGCCCTACGATGATCATCATACCCGCGAGTCATCCAGCCCGGAACTCGAGAGTGCCAGCACACGCCGCCGGCTGCGGGAGTCCAAAGTTGTAGCGGACAGTCTGAGCCCGGATCTGGATGACAGCCCCCCTCAAGAGCGGGCTAAACGGGCCAAGTTCCTGGAGCGCAACCGACTGGCGGCGAGCAAATGCCGACAGAAAAAGAAGGAACATACACAGAAGCTGGAGTATCGCTACAAGGAACAGTCGGAGAAGAAGGAGCGGCTTCAGGGAGAGATAGCTAGCCTGCGCTCGCAGATCCTGAGCCTCAAGAACGAGGTGCTGAAACATGCTCAGTGCGGTGACGAGCCCATCAAGCTTCACCTCGCGCAGATGGTGAAGAAGATCACCGACATCGACGGCCCGGCCCCAGCTCCAGTGGACCCACCGATCAATATCGTTGAGCACGTACCCGTGTCGCCGCCTCAAGCTCCTACACCTACGCCTACCAAGCCTACGGTCACGGGCCAGACAACCTCAACTTCGACTCTTTCTTTCGGATTCGATGATCCGCTGCAGTTGGAACCGGCCGCCGTAGCCGCAGCAGAGGCCTTTGAGCAGCAGCTTCGCCGCGATTCAGAGGCATCGCTTGTTACCGAGTCCTCCTACACCTTTTTGGCAGACGACACCTTTGACGACCTGATCAACGTTTAATATGATAATGAATGCGGAACATGCGACCACAAAAAGGCTTACCCTGGATCAGATCTTTCGTTTTATTGCACTTTTCTTGCGATCCAGTCTGAAACAGCTGGAGGGCGTTTGGAGTTGTTGACGAGCGTGGCAATTAAAGGTCAATAGGCTAGCCTGGCTTGTCCGTCTTTCTCTCTTTATTTGCTTCCATGCGTGAGACCCCCCATCGGGAGGTTAGTTGTTTTGCTTTCTTTAGGAGGCTTCTTTACAATTTACATGGACGGGGTTCTGTACCTTGTTCGGCAATGAATGACATGATTATGCTGTGCATTCATGCTCAGACTCTTGTTTTATCTATACGTAGAATATCCCTTTATACACCACAATTCTTTGTACAATGTAGTCTTTAATCTATACCACGGAGTCAACTCTGGCCAGCGGATGCCTCCTCGAGGTGAGTGGCACGCTTATTGGAGGTGTCTGCAGTGTCTCCAGCGTCTGCAGTCTCCGTGCGGTCCAGATACTGCTCTTGCTCGTTCCGGCCTCTGGTCTCGTCCAAGTCTCCCTTCCAGCCATGTTCAGCATCTGGATCTATGCCGTCGAACATATCGTTGATCTCCTCGAGCGTCTTGCCAGCTGTCTCCTTGAGACAGAAGAACGTAAATGCGACAATGAGAATGTCCAGCACTCCAAACAGCAGGAAAGTGCCCCAGCCTATACCGGCCATGATGTAAGGAGTCGAGAAACTCCAGATAAAGTTGAAAAGCCACTGTGAGCCAACGCCGAACGCAACACCCGGCTCACGGATTCGGGTCGGGAAGATCTCACTCGTGCACGGCCACGGCAGCGGGCCCCAACTGAAATTGTACGCGATGATATCGAGATAAATCAGCGCAACGGTGGCAATACCGGCCGAGCTAACAACACCGTTCTCCGGTGGGTAATTCTTCACCACGCCCGCAGTAGCAATCATACACACCGCCATAAAGGACGCTCCGGCAGCCAGCACCGGGCGGCGCCCGAACCGGTCGGACATAAAGAGCACAAAGATAAGACAAGCCGCCACCTTGATAGCGCCAAAGATACCCGTCAGCAGCAGATTCTGGTCACCCGGGCCGACGAGCAGCGAAAAGAACTGCGGGCCGAAGTAAGCCAGTGCCGTCGAGCCCGTCGATTGCTGTGCCAGGAAAAGGCCACCGCCGATAAGCAGGCGGTGCAGGTTAGGCCACTCGAGCAGCTCGCGAGGCCGGAAGCCCGCCGTTGCGTGGCGCTCTTCTTCCAGGCCGCGGCGCATCTCGGCAAACTCGTCGCTCACAGCGGGGCCGTCACCGGCTCGGATCCAGACTAGACTGCGCCATGCTTCCTCGGTTTTGCCGTGCGCTAGAAGCCAGCGGACACTTTCGTCGAGTGAAAACATGCCTATGCCCATTAGGGCGCCTGGGACGAGTTGCAGGCCGATTGGGATCTGCCACTGAGCGGCGGTGGAGGGCATGGCTTTGACGCCGTAGTCGATCCAGTATGAAACAAGGATGCCGATGGTGTAGGTGAGCTGGTAACAACTACCTAACCGACCGCGGATTTCTTTAGGGCTCATCTCTGACATGTAGATTGGAATGACGGTGGCTGAGCCACCGACACCCAGACCGCATACCACGCGCCCGACATAGAAGAGTGGTAGGGAGTGGGCGTCGATAATCTCCAGCGCAACGCCGATGCAAAATACCACAGAGCAGGCCATCATTGCGATCTTGCGGCCCCAGCGATTTGTCACCGGCCAGATAATGAAACAGCCGGCGAGGGCGCCGGCTTGTTGGATGCCCACTGCGATAGAGCTCACGCTGGTCTCGTCCGCGCCGCTGAAAGCAAAAGATGATTGGAAGGACTTGAAAGTGAGAACTCCGCCTTGGCTGCGTTAGAACGGAGCCGGTTGATGCATAGAAAGGGGGGCATACCAATAACACCCGAATCATAACCGAACAAAGCACCACCGCAGCATAGCACAGCGGCTAGCCAGTACGTGCGCCATCGGGCCTTGGAGAGGCATAATGCCTCCATAGCAGGGTCTAACTGATTCAATTGATCTTCGTCAAGGTGGTTCTGAGGGAGCTGGGAGTATGTAGATGTCGAGGTATGGTTCCACCAGTTCTGGAAGTGGGCCCGCCAGGAAGAGACAATGGATTCAGAAGACGGGGCGAGGGTGGAGGTTCTTGATATAGAAGCGCTCACATGGTCAGGCATAGTTGGAGAAAGAAGACAAGCTAGCTCAGCTCAGGAATGAAATGAATGGTAGTCGCGGCTACAAACGACCGGCTCGCGCTGCTTCTGGCTGGTTAGACTGCTTGATTCTCCGGATCAGCGTGTATTATGTCATGGACAGCCGACAGCCGACGCGCAAGTGAGTGGGGAGATCACGCCATGTTGTCATTCATCAATGCAGATACAGTCTGGGACTTGAAACATAGACCCGATATGTGTCATTGTGAACGGGGAATCCGATCGGCCGGACTTTACAATGATCGCGTGCCTTGGTCCATGGAATTCCAGGGCTCCCGCGATCAGCTGAGGGGTCCGTACACGCTAGAACGTCAATACCGGCAGTGGATGTGCGCAGCAACAGCTTCCCCGCATGTAATATTACAGCCGATTACATGACCCTCTGAATCCACATGGCGCGGTCTCCATCGGCGTCTGCTGTCTCATCTTTACCCACTTGGGAATAGGTGCCGCTATACAGCCAGGCCAAGGAGGTATTTTAAGTGGGCCTAATTGGGCGGTCATAACTATCTGCCCGGGAGGTTTGAAAAAGACGTTTAGAAAGGTATCTTGGAAATTACTGTCAAAAGATGTCTAGAAAGACGTTTAAAAAAATTACCAGGAGGACATTTAGAAGGACCAAGAGAAAAAAGTATTGAGGCCCATTTGTAATATCTCCTTGGTTCGGCTGTAGAGTAGCCGACTGCCGACTCGCGATTCACTCCACCCGAGAACGAAATGAGGTGCCGCGATGGCGTAGCTGTTGCAAGGAACCGGCGTAACTCCGATATTGATCTGGCGGGGAATATAAGAGCCCTTGCGCGTGCAGCTACCCTCTTTTTGTTCCCCTTGCTCATCCTCCTGTTTCTATCCTCCTTTTTCTATCCATTCTCTTGATCATGGCCAAACGCCCTAACTTCCTCGTTATCGTGGCCGATGACCTCGGGTTCTCCGATGTGGGCTGCTTCGGCGGCGAAATCCGCACGCCCAACATTGACAACATCGCCAAGGAGGGCTTGAGATTCACAGACTTCCACGCGGCGGCAGCATGCTCGTGAGTTATGCTTGCTGAAACGAGTTTGGAACTTCGAGCTGACCAGATAATTCCCATCCAGGCCCACCCGCGCCATGATCATGACCGGCACGGACCACCACATCGCCGGCCTGGGTAATCTGATCGAATGGACCAACATCTCTGGCCAGAACGGACCCAAGGGCTCTGCCATGAGCACAGCTCCCCAGCGCGGTATGCCAGGTTACGAGGGATACCTGAACGAGCGCGTGGTCGCCCTGCCCGAGGTGCTGCGCGATGCTGGCTACCACACCGTGATGTCCGGCAAATGGCACTTGGGGTTGACGCCGGAACGATCGCCTCACAAGCGTGGCTTTGAGCGCTCGTTTGCCCACTTGCCCGCCTGCTCCAATCACTACGCCTACGAGCCCGAGCTGCGTGACAAGGACCAGATCCCCACCTTCATTGAGGCTTCTTACATTGCTCTACACATGGAAGATGGCGAGTATGTGCGCAAGCTCCCCGAGGGCTGGTACTCGTCTGATGGATATGGTGATAAGATGATCGATTATCTGAAGGAGTGGAAGGAGAGCGGCGGTAGTGATGGTCCTGATGGTAAAGGAGACCGCCCCTTCTTTGGGTATCTACCCTTCACTGCCCCTCACTGGCCTCTCCAGGCTCCGCGGGAGTACATTGACCACTATCGTGGCGTCTATGATGAGGGCCCCGATGTCCTGCGCCAGAAGCGTCTGCAGCGCCTGAAGGAGCTGGGCATGATCAGCGAGGATGTTGAGCCCCACGATGTGAACGCCGAGGAAGTGAAGCCGTGGGATGAATTCACCCCCGAGGAGAAGAAGAAGTCTTCTACCGCTATGGAGGTCTTCGCCGGCATGGTCGAGTGCATTGACTACAACGTCGGCAAAGTGGTCGAGTACCTGCGATCGATCGACGAGCTGGACAACACATTCGTCTGCTTCATGTCCGACAACGGTGCCGAGGGCGCCGCCTACGAGGCATATCCCATGGTGCAGAACGGTGTAATGCCCCACCTGCAGAAGTACTACGACAATAGCTTGGAGAATCTGGGCGCCGGAAACTCATTCATTTGGTACGGTCCGCGCTGGGCGCAGGCCGCTACCGCTCCCTCCCGTCTATACAAGGCCTACACCACCGAAGGCGGCGTCCGAGTCCCCTTCACCTGCCGCTTCCCCAAGAACATGAACCTGAAGCCCGGCGACGCAACCGCCGCAGCTGGTGGGATCACCGACCAATTCGCCACCGTCATGGATCTGGCTCCTTCCATTCTGGACATGGCCGGCGTCAAACACCCCGCACCCAGCTACCAGGGCCGTGAAATCGTCTCCATGCGCGGTGTCAGCTTCCAACCCTGGGCCACCGGCGAGGCCGAGCGCATTCATCCGAAAGACTTCATCCAAGGCTGGGAAACCTGCGGCCGTGCGGCCCTGCGATGCGGCGACTGGAAGATCGTCTTCATCCCCAAGCCCAAGGGCCCCGAGAAGTGGCAGCTTTACAACTTGGTCAAGGATCCCGGCGAGGTACACGATCTGGCCGATGCCCACCCGGACCATCTCAAGCGCCTGCTCAAGCTCTGGGATCAGTATGTTCTCGAGACCGGCGTTATTCCTCTATGCCCCGATCTTGGTGATTTCTTGGAAGCTACCGAGGCGCAGATGCCCGAGAATGCTTGGATGGAGTTTGATTACTGGAAGGATGGTGCTCGTGATGTGCCTGAGAAATTCACGCGCCAACCGCCGCGCTTCCAGCGTACTGAGAGGCCGTTTTAGATTTGCCATGGCTGCTCGGTTTGTTAACATTGGGATGTGATGATACCTTTCAAATATTATGATATCATGAGAAAATAGAACTTGAATACCTTGTTACGGAGATTTTCCTAGGCGCATGTGACTAACCGTCTTCGGGCTTGATGGGCCTTGGTTTATGACTGTACGCCAATTAGCCTGCAGACTATGCGTTTCCGCTTACAATATGTGCCAATTCTAGAGTCTGAATGCGAGTAATCTGAGATATTTCGTTACTACTAGCAAGGGCGGCCATAGAGAATTATTTCATAGGACTCTGCTTGACCTACATCTACGTGGTCTTGATCTAACCAAGTACTCCACCCTGCACAGGAATACACACATGCTCAGTGCCCAGTCTGAGAGTAAGTGGCTCGTTCCTCTGTATATAACACATCAAATGCCTCTGACCCTGTTTGATCCCAGCCAAAGCGGTTGACGCTGCCTCTCAAGCACATCAGGAGTGGGGGGTGCTTGAATTTCGGATCAATTCCCGGTAACCAGGCTAATAATGTGAGTTGGACAACCTCAAATAACTTAAAACACAATGAGCCACTTACCTGGGTATTTTCGTACAGAGATATCGTAATGCCTGTCAAGCCTGACGGGGTTGAGCCGCCCAATCCATTCACTGAAGCAAATGTCGGCAACTTGTGCATCGAAACTAACGGAGTATGTCGGCTCGACCGAGCCATCGGGCCCTCCGATCAACACCTTCAACCCTTCATAGCCAATATTGGCCATGAAGAATTTCTTCAATGATAATTCGTTTGCAAGGAAGTCCCAAATCCTTTTCCAGGAGGTGGGATTTGAGCCAGTCGACGGAGTGCTGTCGTCTTGCAGAGTGACCAATTCGAAGGTCAAGGCTTTCAAGGTCCCCTTCGCAGCGGTAATGAATGATTTTAGAGATTCATACCGGACCTGAATCCAATGGAGACGAAGCTCCTTGAGTCGGGTGAATTTGATACTTCAAGAGAGCTCTGAAAAGCAGGATTGGTCCATGCCACGTTCATCTTCACACCATTGTGAGAACTCCAGGATTTTCAAATTGGGTGAAACCGCAACCAAAATATCAAGCCAGGTGTTGGAGCTTGAGGTGCAACCTGACTCCTTTTTACTATAGTAAATACAAACGTGGAGAAATTCCAATTCTCCCAAGCATCGTAAAAGCGAATCAAATTGCTCTTGCGCGAGAGAAATCTCGGGAGATATCGAGCCACAGAAGTTGGCGCTGCACGTATGAAGAGATTTTATTCTTTGATTGGATCCGTCGAGACCTTGAAAGATTCCTGACATGCTCAAGGAATTGATGCTGGCCACTTGACTCCATTGCAGATGACAAAGACTTGAGGGGTGGGATACAAAGTCGATCTTATTCCGCAAGTCCTTTAAACCGAGACAATCGAACTCGGCTTGCCTTTTGTCAAGTAAAAAGCCTGTGGTATAATGCTTTAACCCAACAGAGTTGAGCTTCTTGAAGGATACAAGGCATTTGTGCAGCCTGGTAGCGAAGGCATCCGATTTGACGAGAGCGAGATGGTCAGCTACTATCGCTTGATAGATATCATATCGAGCTGGTAAATCCTCACTTGCCCGGTTCGATTGATTTGAAGGCTTTGAGTATCGTGACCGTCTAAAACAGAATTGATTCATGTCGTGATCACCTTCAAAGAGGGTCGGTATCATCCACAGTCCCCGGACGTGTGTTATAACCGTATTGCTTTGAACCAACATTTCCAGCTGCCGAAGACCTTCACTCGTGGCAATGAAGCAGATGCTTCTAAGAAAACGACGTGCAAACGCCTCCGATGAGGTTTCGCACAGGGAGCGACAAGATAATCTGAGGGCAGACCATTCTGATCGGTCCAGGTAGTTGCTGATGCCACAAAAGGCGCTCAATCACCTTCCTAGACTCGACTCTCAATTTACGGCGTGGTAAAAATGGAAGAAGGCTTCCTGGTACCAAGTGCAAGAGCTCTCTAGGCACTTTATGGAAAGTATTACCACTTCGAACAAGATCAGAAAGAAGATGAACCGTCAGATAAGTCGAGTATAGGTTACCCTTTTTAAGACCACTTTGAATTGGAATTGTTCCATCAAGATAGCTAGGACGGCACCATGATGCCGTACTTGTTGTAATTGAAGTGCTCCAGATTCGGTATCATTTCAGCCCAGCCGTCATCGATCTCTCCTAGCTGCCAGTCTTCTCCGACCTCAGTGATTCCCGACCTCCCAGCAAGCACATCCTTCTGCTTAGCTTGATACTCGACCGCCACATCTGGATGCGGTACCCAAACAACCCTCATACCAGCCCGTCTTCCAGCCTCTACCCCAGCCACACTATCTTCGAAGACCAAACATTCGTTCGGCAGGATGGCCTTTTTGCCAGAACCTGCCGCCGAGTTTAAGGACTGCAACGCGACTAAATATATGTCAGGCGCTGGCTTCCCTCGACCCTGTCGCACTCGTGGATCATCACCCAGGACCCTCCTGTTGGATTGAAAGAAGTTAAGAAGTCGTTTCGTTTCCGGCCCTGAAGTTTTCAATTCATAGCTATGGCTCTTGGTGCTAGATGCCAATGCCAGCTCAATTCTGTCCCCGGAAGAAGCACTACGTGCGCGGCTGAGGTTCAGCAAAAGCTTTTCCGCGCCAGGCAACGGCTTGCAATTCGGAAAATGCAGTCGCATTTGTTCAGATGATTCACGGGCGAATTGCTCGCGGGAGATGGGTAACTTGGCCCAGTTGTGGAACACGTCGCCGTTGGTCGAGTCTGGGACGCCCATGAGCTGGGCTCGAATCGAACGAGTGAAGGCAGGCCTTCCATACTTTTCAAGTAATTGGTTCGTGGATAGAGTGATTAAGTCTTCGGTGTTGATGAGAAGCCCGTCCATGTCGAAAATGCAGGCGCGGATTACGGGGAAGCTGATGGCAGTCTTTGTTAGCCTCGGGTCTTACAGTACTACTCTCATTGACCGATAATACTCATGTTAAGGCCAGGGGGTTTGTGTTGGAGGGCACTTACTCTGCCTCAAGGGGAGCCATGAGTACTGACTGAAGGCTAACTTTGACCCGAACCGATGGCACCGGGGGCGATATGATGAGAGATGAGGTCTGGGCTGAGATTCGGGTCGTGAATTTCAACTTTTAATGTAAAGCAAGGACCTTTGAATTTCCGGTTCAAGTTAGTGTTTCAACTTCTGGTTTGGTGCTCTTATATGCCGTCACATAGTAATCAAGACATACTCCTTAAAGCAATTCAGTCTTCTCCGACTCAGAATAATATAATGATGATGAAAAAGTGAGATGGTTAGAGCTATGCTAAATGTCTGAGTTTAGATTCGGGAGTAGGATGTTTGTTAGTGTAGTGCCGGTATACCACCTTTTCCTTTCTGTGCTAAAAAAAAAAGAGGGGGCGGGGGTATCGCTGGTGTTATGGGCCGCCAATTGCCGTCGGGGCCTGTCAATGATTTAGCGCCGGGTCGCCAGTTGTAACCTCGTCAACAGCCAATAAATCCTGGACGGGCAAGTATCCGCAGGCGCTAGAAATAAGTCATTACTTTCGTTACAAGAGATATATTATCGCGCTTTGCTATCTCTGAATCTCACCGCATCCCTCAATTATCTATGAGGAAGGCTTGAACTGCAAGGAAGCCGACTTTACCAAGGAGGCCAAGCGGGCTGTATCGGGGCACAGCTATTTGGGCACAGCTATTGTCTCTGCCCATAATTTCGCTTTCATAATGCCACGCTGGCCCCGAATGGTTCAGTCGTTATTGCTGTCTTTAAAACGTCTTGGTACAAGACATCAGGCCATGCAACCCGTCGTTGGGAAGATCGCTGAAATCAAGGGGTCCCAGGTAGATCCTCGCTTTGAACCATGTGATTTGCTTCTCCAGGCTAGAATACCCTGCAAAATCTGGGGGGAAGATGTCCTCTCTTTCTATGGTGTTCCGACCGTGGTCTTCGATCTCTTCATCCTTGTGTCCAACCCAAATGAGGCTTCGCAAAGTTTGATCAACCAAGGTTATAGCCTTAGCACGCCAAACCCGCGCTTTGCACACATACCCGAGCTGAGTCATCGAGTGTCTCGTCTAGTTCCCTCAGTTCTAGCCGATAAGACTACGCGAACATCGTCCCTATCCTCTTCGGATGGATTGGGGCTTGTGGAGGCCGATGATACCGTGCTCACTGGTGTGGTTCTCCTTTCGGCGTCAGACTGGAATTATCCACTTCCAGATTCCGTTACCGGGCTTCAAGAACTTGTACCATCTCTTCATGAATATTTTGATTGCATTGTTGAGAAGTGGATGGATCTGCCAAAGGACAGCGACGACTTACGAGACCACCTCGCGATTCACATTGGTTACCATTCACTTTACCTTGACGAGGTTTGGACTGAGGATTTTGAGAAGCAAGTTCGCAAAGAACATCGGCAATTCTTATTCGACCTCTTGGCAGATGGAGCTGCTGGTCGCGTAGATTTACTCCATAGTGAATGCCAGGTATATCATCGAGATATTAAGGGCCGTATATTGGAAGGAAATCACGAGCCAGTCATACATGACAAGTTTGTCCGTGAACGAGTTGGTCCAGTTAATGTTGGGAGTCGCTTCGAGTTGACTGTTCCGTAACAATAACGCTGACAATGAAGAGGAAAGACTGAGGAGGAATTAGCATAGTATCGTCGGCTCTCTAGTATCGGCTTCATATCTTTCCGATAAATCTCCTTTTATTCATTGAGAAAAAGTGTTCTAGTTCACAAACGTATTTGCATTGTCTTTCGAGGTATCTTGTTGAGCGCATCTGTTGAGCAAGTATGAGTGGAAAGACACGAGTACTCTGGTATCACAAGTGAATGATTTCTGCCATGTCGTGGATCTATATCGGAGAAAGATAAGAGCTATTCTCACGTCAGTTTCAATCTCGGATAAGCCGCGGGTGTTGTAATCAACTCGCTATAAGTTTTATATTCCTCCTTCCACTATCAAGTCTCACTATAGTGTCCCTAATATCTCCTTATTCCGGAGATTCGCTTTCATCAGATTTAAAATCGCATTACTAACCGTGAAAGCTAAACTCTAAAAAGCCGCCAGAGCTAGAGGCGTGCGCTATGAGAAGCAGTATGCGATCATCGTCTACTTAGAGACTGATAACACTGGAGCCGCCGAAGACGCTCAGTCCCTAACCGCCACCTTTGAGGATGTATTTCAAACCATCTGAAATTCTCAAGATCAAAAAAGATGAGAAAGACCCAGAATGGATCGCGAGCAAGAAGATTCGCTCATTTACTGAACTTTGGCAAATTCCCGATTCACCACGAGACCTTCAAGATCCCCACAGAGCCCTCCTTATTTTCGCATACTCTGGACATAGCACACTCGATAAACACCAAAAGGGCAACGACGAATTGAGGTTTCACAATGGATCTCAGTCTTTCCTATAGAGTGAAGCTAAGAGCCAGCTCTTCTCTGACCAAGCCCAGCTATGCAGTATCGACGCTTTCGATTTCCTCGATTGCTGCTTTTCGGGGGCAGTACGGGGCGCTGGTCAGCGGTCGACCATGGTGTTGACTGCTTGCAGCCCACGCGAAAATACTCGCGGCCGCCGTGGAACCCTGTCGTTCACGCAGAAATTCGGAGGCGTTGCTAGAAAATTCCAAGGGTAAAACTTACCAACTTTGACTGTTGAGAAGATATTCGATCAGCTTGTGCAAGAAAAGCGAACCGGCCCAATGCCTCGACTTATACGGTTCGGTGGAACTCGACCTATTACATTCGCCGTGAAGAAACGACCTGGAACCATTTAGTGGGCAGGGAAACTACCTATGATAGATAGTTGTCAAGATACAGCCGGATATTGCAAATGGGCATGAATACTTTATTCTCTTAGTCCTTCCAAATCTCCTCCTAGGTATCTCTTTAAACGTCTTTCTCAAAACTCCCGAACAGATAGATATCACCTCATTAGGGCCCCCTTAAAATATCTTCTTATTTCGGCGGTAGAAATCCCACGTTCAGGGCCAGGTACATGATCACCCACGTGGAGTCTGAGCTTTATGCATAAGGAGAACAAACCAAACGCTAGGTCTACCCGAAATCATCGCGTAAGATCCGGGCGAACGAACCCCGAGCTCTTCTCCACTATTGTAACTCGTGGGCCGCAATTGCGGGGAAGTCTGCCACGCACCGATATCGCGCCGAGCGTTGACTATGCCCCAAGGCTCATGGTCCATCTCAGGGACCAGATCATGGAGCTATCTGCAGAACGATCGCCCAACACATCCTACGCGCCCGGACTAACGGATGCGCTGCGCTTACAGGTGCCCAAAGCCCGGGGATCAGGCCGATCAGGCCCACGCCGCCGCACCGGCTGCTTGACATGCAGGGCTCGAAAAGTACGCTGCGACGAAGCAAAGCCGAGCTGCGCCAACTGTGACCGATTGCGTCTGCGTTGTATCTACAAACCCCCCATCGCCCTCGGATCGTGGGCCTCGTCCCGCCGGTCTGTTGACTTGACCGCAGCGCATGCGCATCGAGTCACACAGACGGCTCCCACGCCCGCCCTAGGTCCTGTATCGGCGGCTGCTGCCGTGGCAGGCGCTTCGCAGCGCTCGCCATTCCTTAACTTCTTCGGTACTGTGCTTCGCTCGGACGATCAACATCGCACCATCCCGGCACCGACAACACCGATCCGACGACTGTCCCGCGATACAGAGTCATACCCGGCGGAATTAGGAGGAACGTTTGACATGCTTGGATTTATGGGAGGCATTACATCGGAATTGGAGCAGAAGCATCTCGATTTGACCAGCGGGCTGTCGGAATTCACCACCGGTTTATCCGCGCAGTCATTATCTGCAGGCATGGCTGGAAGTATGACAGACGATGGACAACTTATTGCCGAAAGACGCACGCCACTCAGTCCTGATGGGTCGTCGTCGATAGTGGATGGGATGTCGATTGGAAGTGCATCAGATGCAGCGACTACACGTGGGAGTTGGTCTGATCCGGGTAGCACCACGTACGAAGAGCAGCTGCTTCAGCATTTTCTAGCCATCGATCCCCCGGCAGCCATTTTCGGACCAGTGTCGATGGAGTGGAAATATGTTCGGCCATCGGTGCTGGCTCGTGCGCGGGACTTTAGTCCCCTTCTGAATGCGTTGTACTGCTATTCAGATGTTCACAAAGCTCTGCTAGAGGGAAACGCTGGCGCTGGGCACCCACATACTACCGAGTTGCAAGCTCGGAGATGCAGGCATGTCTCCTCGGTGACGTGTCTGACTCAAAACTGGTCACGGTATTTGCAGCTGTGTTTTTCTTAATGTTATCCGAGGTAAGTTTGATTTGTTCCGTTTTGGATGGCTGTCAGCTCACAAGAATTCAATCTAGATCTACTCCTCTCCCGAACTGTCTTCTCCCGGCACATCCTATCTCCATTCGTCATACCTCCTACTGCAAAGGTTCAACGACCGCACTCGAAATTGGACTGGGCTTGGACATGTATTAGTGGCATGGATTTCTCTTCTTGATGTCAAATCATTGATTGCAGGTCGTGACGGTGACCCACTGACTGAATTGGGCAATATATCGAACAATAAGCCCTTGACGTCCAACCCCTCAGAGACACAGGGACCTCAGTCGTCTCGAACATCTTCAACAGAGGATGATGAGACGGAAGACCCATTCCGCAGTCCTAGCTACCTAGTTTACGAAGCGATCGTGGGCCCAGCTTTCCGCTTCTTCGTGCAGGCGCAGCAAGTTGTGCGGCGCATAGTCTGCATTGACTTACACCACCGCAGCCGCGGAACACTCAGCGACGAGTTCGAGGTTCTCCAGATAGCACACAAAGTTGGTGCAGATCTCGAAGCATTATGGCACCGACGGCCCTCTGTGATTGACGTATATGAACAACCAGAAGCCCTAACCGACACTCTCTGTGCACCTGTGGCCATCGAAGTATGTCGCACGTTCAGGCAATACGTGGCCAATTTTCTTGCCAATTTCATCTACCTTCACCGCGTCGCATTTGCTATCTATCCACGCACAGATCGTGTCAATGGGGCTGTCGACCAGATCATTCAACTAGCCGGCGTGGAGTCTGCCGGTGCAGGGGCAAGTCATCTCCCCGTTAGCTTTCTATGGCCTCTCTTCGTTGCGGGCTTAGAAGGCTCGCCCGAACAACGTCAGTGGATTGTACAGGAGATGCAGCGCATGGCAGCTGCTGAAAATACTGATCCTGCTACATTAATCTCCCGTCACCCGGCTGCCAATAAGGTCTTACTATTGTTAGAGGAGATGACGCGGCGACAAGATGCGTCACGCACATGGGCAGACTCACGATGTGTGCGGCGAGAACTCTTCTCCGACTTCTTTGTCATGATTTGAAATGATCTGAACCTTGTACATATGAACCTTGATTTAGCGTTTTATCTTTAGCGAGCATTCTTCTAGCAATGTCTATCTGGAAGACTCATGCGGCCTCAGTAAGTCGGGGTGAATTCTAGTACATATGGACGGCAAGTACCATTGGGACAATAAGAAATTACATGTATATTGCTAAAGCTCACTCTTTATACCCACCGATAGCCCTCGGCGGTGTTCTGTGTCCGTCTGCTCAAGACCTCGGCAACCTTCTCCTGGACACCCTCCTTCTGGTTCGACCGTCGGGCGAACTCCTTAATGACCTGCTGGCTCGACTCGCCCTGCTCGCGCACAAACTTCTCAATCTCGCTCTCCGAGGGGAGGGCAAATCGCTCGTGCGGGTAGCGGGTGTAGTCCTTGTTGCTCACGAGCGGGAGACGGGTCTCACCCTCGGGAATGGTGAAGAACTTATCAACGGCCTCCTGAGAGACCTCCGCCAGAGTAGCGGGCTGCCACTCAGCCTGGCGAGGGGGCTTGGACATCAGACGGGCCTTGACACCTTCCACGAAGTCGGGGTGGCGCATGAAGTTGGCAGAGATCTCATGCTCGCGTTGGAATGTCTCTGAGATGCTCCACTTCTTGCCGAGACGCAGCTGGCGCAGAGTCACCTTGAGCGAGGTAGGAGAACGGATCGAAAGAGTCTCCAGGGTCTTCTTGGCCCACTCCTTGTGGTTGGATTGCTCGTTCTGGGCCTCGGTCTCCAGAGCCTGGAAGATCTCCTCCACGGTATTAAACTGGAAGCAGCGGTCAATGGCGGTACGCAGAGCACCTGCCAACAGAATGGGCTCCTCCTTGAGAGAAGGCAGACCGAGCGAGTACTCGGCCATTGTCTTGTTCACTGTGTCGAGACGCTCGGGGAGATCGACGTGGTCGGGGAACACCAGCTCCGACAGACGCTGGGTAACGTTGGCGAGCACACTCGAGTGCAGGTAGTGGGTAGCAATGCCGGAATACAGAGCCTGGACACCGTTCAAACGCTCCGAAGTCAGGGCCAGGTACGTGCCAATCTCGCCATCCAATCGGGGCAGGAAGAACGAGCCGCCCACATCGGGGAAGAAACCGATGGTAGTCTCGGGCATGGCGAAAACGGTCTTCTCGGTCGCAATTCGGAAGGGAGCGTGCATGCTGAGTCCAACGCCGCCGCCCATGGTGATTCCGTCCATGAAAGAAATAACGGGCTTCGAGTATGTAGCGATCATGTGGTCGAGACGGTATTCAAGTCCGAAGAAGTCTGTCGATGCGCGCTGTCCCTCCGGTCCCTGCTCGTTCTGTAGTGCCAGAGCGGCGACATCACCTCCAGCACAAAGAGCCTTCTCGCCGGCGCCAGAAATAAGAACCATATTTGCGAGATGGGATTTTTCCCATTCCTGTTTCCAACCTTTAGTATCCTGCTCTAACTTAGCGTCTCGCATAAACTGACCTTCAAGCGGGGAAATATTTTTCGTGCCATCGAGCCATTGAGGGAGTTAAGCTTCTTGGGGCGGTTAAGCTCAACGCTGCGAAGACCGTAGATGGATTCGAACAGGACGTCGTCGGGCTCGTCGCCGGGGAGCTCTTTGGGGATTTCAGGAGAGGTAGACATCTAACAAATATTAGCATCTCCCCGAGCTTTTCTCTTCTCCTATGCTATCATACCGAAGCAGTTGCGCGGAACGCAGGGTTGGTCACTTTGGCGCGCAGAGGCATGGCTGGCGAAGGGAAGCGCGAGATCCAGCTCGGCGGCGAAGGTAATCGTGAAAATGAGTGCCGCAGCAACATGAAGACGGGTGGAGGAAAAGGAATGAGGGGAAACAGGATTCGAAAGGACAATCAGATGTTCTTCTCCGCTTGACGGTCGACCTCGGGAGTTTGCTGGATTTTCTCCGGTCCGAGGGGCGCCGCAGCTTCTCCGCCCGACGATAACCAGCTGTCCTTGAAACAGGGAGATCACAATGGGATCAGCCGGGGTTTACGTAAAAAGCCGTCGTACAATTCTTTACTCTCTCGTGAAAGAATTGCGCTAGCATCTCTAGGAGGACATTGGGTGATTTACATCTATTAGGCCTGCGGACCAGGCATATGAGAAGTCAAAGGGGTAGATCATGTTCTATTTGTACAATTGGCCAGAATACAACGAAGAAAGAGATATCAATGCACACACGCTTGGCTCCTGAGTCCGTTTAGTAAGTCGCCTTCGCAGGTCGGCTCTTCAGATCCCGTGAGTGGTGGTTCAGGATCCGGTTCAGCGCAACTCTTTCGATAATCAACCTCTGAGTCTCCAGCAGGTTCTTCACATCCACGTCGCTACGGTCCATGATCGTCGCGTATCGGCTCATCTTCTCCACCTTGTCAAACAGCTCCACGTCGACATTCTCCGTGATGAAGGTCGACCGACCCTTCTTGGTATCCCATCCGTTCTGGTGAAGAATGTTCTCGAACAGGAACGGCGTCGATTCAGAAGGAAGCGAAATTTGATTATCGATGACGATCAATTCACCGCGCTGGTACCGGTAGCTGAGGGCAATGCGCCAGGCTTGGTCGTAGATCTTCTTGGGCAGGTCGGTCGAAAAGTCGCGAGGATGAGGACCGTGAGCAACACCACCACCCCTTCGAACTGGCGATTGCTTGTCACCAGCACGAGCACGGCCGGAGCCCTTCTGCGCATAGAGCTTCCGGTGGCTACCGTGCACGTCATCCCTCCACTTCGTGCTGGCCGTTCCTTGCCGGGTCATGTCACCCTCGTATACGATTGCGCGGTGGAGGAGGTCCCTTCGCAGAGGCATTTGCAGGTGTTTCGGCGAGTATTGCACGAGACGAGCAGGTTCCATCGTAGGGAATTGGTAGGTCATGACTGTGACGGGGGCATCCCATGGCGCGGGCGCTGATCGCGTGATGTCCGGGGAGGAGGTGGTGGTGGCTTGAGCCTCAGTTGCCATTGAGCGTGCAAGGCATCGTTGCTGTATTGGTAGATCGTCAGTGATTATGTCTTTGTCACTGGGGCTTGACACGAATCAAGCAGAAGACGAAAGGTTCGTACCGTGACCTTTTCTGAGCCCGACAGGAGTCCTCCTGAGCTACGCGAGAGCAGTCTCAGCGCCCGGAGAGTCTCACTTCCAGGCATTTTAAATAAGCACTGCAATGCGTAGGTCGAGTGCTTTTGATATGATGTGCTGGCGTTGAAATGGGAAGAGTAAAAGTTGATTCCGGGGAGGCGGTGGGCGCTAGCAAAAGTCTTGGCTTCGAGCAGAAAAAGTTCCCCCGAGGACAACAACATCACTTTCGACCGTCCACCCCAACTCAATCCCCCGGAAATCGTTCAACATGGCTCATTGTGAGCGGGCATCCAAGCCGCTGCTCCAATGCCTTCGCAACACGTACACTAGAAGCCTTCCGGTCATCCAGCTCCCTACACGCGGCTTCCACTCGACGGCCGCGGCCGGAGAAGCCCAGCCAGACCAGAGCCAACCATTCCACAAGTCCCCCGATCCGTCACTCGTCTCAAGTCCCCGTCTGGAGAGACGGTTGATGCGACAGGGAACCGCTCCCATCGGATCTCGTCGTCGTCGTGCTGCACTGCAGGGCTCTGCCAACCTCCCCTTCGAGCAACTGCCCTACCAATGTTTCCAGGAAGCGCGACAGGTTCTACTTGCCGACCGGGTAGAGAAGCTGGAAGAAATTGAGAAGATGAGGCAAAAGATTGCCCGGCTGGAGGCTTTATCCCCTGAAGAGGCTGGAAATGAGCAGTCGCAGAAGTCCCGACTGCGATCGATGCAATTGCATTTAGAGCGCCTCAAGATTCACGCCGACATCAACGACCCATTAGTCAAGCGAAAGTTTGAAGATGGTCAAGGTATTTTCAACTTCTAAGCCGGGTGATAGTTTGAGGATTCAACGCTAACATTTTGTCTCATAGGCGACATGAGCAAGCCCATCTATCGCTTCCTAGCTGACCGCAAGTGGCGCGAGTACCGTCGCAAGATCCTGGTGCAGCGTATCACACAAATGAATGTGGTTCCTGACGTCCTGCCTCACTGCGAGCCTATCGTGGATACCAAGCTGTACTTCAACAGTCGTCAAGTTCAGCCCGGAGATTTTGTTGAGGCGAAGAATAGCACTAGCGCGCCGAAGCTGGATGTGCAGCTGTTTGAGCGCGGAGAAAAATTGGTCACCATTGCTGTTGTCGATCCCGATGTTCCTAATGTCGAGGCGGACAGCTTCGACTATAAGATGCACTACCTGGCCGTCAACGTGCCTATTTCGGCCGTCAACACCAAGGTCGATCTCTCTCAGCTTTCAACCGACTCTCAGGTTGTCTTCTCCTGGCTTCCTCCCGTTGCCCAGAAGGGCAGCCCTTACCACCGCCTCTCTCTCTTCATCATGGAGCAGAAGGACTCCCAGCCGCTTGACTTTGCGGCCATGAAGGCTAAGGAGACTGACCGAGCCAGCACGCTCCTCCGCACCCTGCAGGCCAGGTATCACCTGAAGGCTATCGGTGCTCACCTGTTCCGTACCCAGTGGGACGAGTCCACATTGGAGGTCATGAAGCAGATTGGATTCAGCGAAGCGGACGTGGAGCTGCGCCGGAAGAAGGTCGAGCCTCTTCCCTACAAGCGGAGAAACCCCTCTTCTTTCCGGTAGATACTCTCCCACGTTTCCTTCGAGTATAGATTTGTATTGTACAATTGAATATGTATGAATATGCACAGCAGATAAAACTCCGTTCAAGATCCCAAACTCCGTTTAGATGCTCGTATGATCGCAGATTCCCCGAATCTCCCGTAACGGACCTAGTCCAGTTGTGCCGGCTGCAAAGTGTTCTTCACCCATTCCATTTTCGACGGCGGCCAGACTCGTGCGACAATCTTGCCATTGATAAGTCCCAGAGGCACCGGACCGTAATTTCGCGAATCTCTCGACCAGGGAAGGTTGTCGCCGACTAAGAATACGTGACCTTCGGGGACCTAGTCGCAGAATTAGCAATTGTATCCAACGCAGGGTCCAAGACAGATACACACCTGAATCATATCCGGTTGTTTCCCAGCTTCCTGACTGAACGGCTGGTCGCGACAAACAAAATCCCCGGGCATACCCAATACCCGCTTGGCTCCGTGTACACCGAGGAATGTCGGGTGATTGAACCGCACCACGTCGCCGATTTGAATTCCTTTGCCGTTGCTGTGGAGTCGCGAGATCAGGAGCCAGTCGCCCCGCGGGTTGAAGGTCGGGTACATCGAAGGGCCCTCGCTGAGCTGTACGGTCGCGACGTGCTCCCAGAACAACGTGATGGCGCAGAACAGGCCGGTGCCATTGAGGGCATACCGGGCAACAGTGCCCGGCTTGACCCTCAGCGCTGATCGCAAAAAATGGTCCATGGAGAGTACGTTAAAGGCATGTCTCGAGCTTCGAAGAGTTGGTATCTATCGATTATCGCCGATGTCATGTGACCCACGGCCCGTTTAAAAATCGTTTTTCTTTTCTTTCCTTTCCTTTTTCTCTCCCAATGCGCATCGAAGTCAACAACCCTCTTTCTTGACGCAATCACTGCGGGATTCCAATTCCATTTGCAATGTCACTGCTGGTCAGCTTGATCGCCCATTAATGTGTGGGTGTCTGATCCTGCAGCACCAGCGGTTTCAACGGCAATGTTTGAGGACCCCGCGGCATCGTATTCCTATGCCAATTGGCATAGCCTACATCTTTCCGCAGCTTATAACTGTTGGGATCATTCGCTTCTAAAATTGCTAGAGCTTGCCGTCGCCGAAATTCAACACCAGGACGAGCAAGTGTGGACAGTGAAGCAAGATTAATATCACCGGTCTGGGCCTTCTCCCAGGCCGGTCCCCCATCTGGTCTCAATCTTGACCCCATTTAATTATGGGACTGGGCTTTTGAGGCTGGTGTAGTGGGGAGAAATTCCGTAAAGATAGATATTGCAATTGAAAGAATATTTGATTTGAAACTTCTCCTTCATTTTATCAATATGATCCATGTAGTGCTGTAGATGGTCTTTGACATGCTACTTCATCATGGCAGGGCATCTATCAACGGCCATGTGGTCAGCTCAGTCCAAAGTCTCAGTTCACGTAGTAAAGGCACTTACCAGGATGTATCTCAACCGCTGGAATATCCTCTCGCTTCTTGGCCTTCTGATGATGATCCACGCCGAATCTCTCATTCCGATCTTTAAGTAATCCATCCAAGCCCCCCTTATGCGCCAACTTCACACTTTCAGCTGTCGTGAAGCTACCCATCAACTGCGGCGGTCCCATTGGCACTGGATCTCCACGGTCTACCTGCCAGAAATGATAGGTCTTTCCATATATCGGAACAATATCCCTCATCTCAGCTGTCTCAGCGGCCTCCCATGCGGCGTCGGGTACACCTGCCGGGACTGGCATGATGAGCATGCCGCTCTTGACTTCGAACTCATGTGTATGCCATAGCTTGCGCTCTTCTTGTGGAAGAGTTGCGAATATGCGTGGAGAGACCATGTACTCGACGCCGATCAAACGAGCGTTGGACTTGGGGGAGTCGTAGATCAGGCATTGTCGGACATCTATTGTGATATTTAATTAGCGGGATTGTTCGTGTGGCAGTTACTAAATTAGGAAGTGATTTCTACATACCCTCTGTTAAATGCGTACAGTAATGGTTGGCCTCGACGCATCGAGTTGGGTCGTCGGCGTAGACATGGAATGCATTCAGATGAGCGCATATCTGCTTGACTGGGGTAAAGTCTTGGATCATTGACGCGCCGGTCTCAAGAAATTTGCTCTTCGCCGTACGAGGATCACCGGGAATCCCGCCATCTCCGGATTCTGGGCCTTTTGCGCTCGTTGACATTTGGAAATGTTGTAGGTGATGCTTCTCTTGGTTATGAAATTTTCGCTGGATGCGAGTATTCAAACAGAGGAGTTGTTGACTAGAGAGTGTATGCTGTGTATTGAGATCACGCCTGTGTTCAAGTTTCTTGAGTTCCAACATCCATGGCCATTGACGTCACAATGATTGTATATACATGACGGTTTTCTTAAATCACTTCAGTATGTCTCTCTATTCTTGCTGCGGAGATCTATCTGTGGAAATAAAGGGTGTCCAACCATTGGGATTTTGTTCGGCCATGGAATTGATTGATCCAAGGTTTCGAGATGGCGGAAAATCCCCGTGCAGGTACCCGTCTCGATTTAAGTCTTTATCGAGGATAAGAGCGAGATAAGGCTTCACGTTCCTGAAGCGGCCATGGGTTTTCGTCATTGGTCGACCGATGCAGTGGAATCATCCGAGGAATGTAACCACTCCCGTTGGAATGCGACCCCGGAGAGACCTTACAATCTAGAACAATTGCCTCACCATCTACTCATACTGCAGCTCACGAAAGGCATGAATACGAAGAAAGATCATTCAAGCTGGAATGACTTCTCATTTAGTGTCTACCATTCGATGCGTTACTGACCTATACTATATACTTACTCACACACGCCAAGGTTCTCAATTGTATAGTTGACTTGATCCATGTCCGTTTCCGGACTCACACAGCTAACTTACTCATCATAAACGTGGTCAACCTTGGATCAACGTTCAACCATCTATGGTACCCAGGTACTAATCCCTCGATTTGAAAGCCCCGGGTACTTTTGTCCCGGTGACATCGCCCTTGTAAGCCCGCTCCTGCCATTGTGGTGCCCGGAATAGAAACGGCTCACCTAGAAGAGGAACCCGAACCTTGGACCCCTCTCAAGGTACCCTTTTATCTCTAGATAGATGTAACCTTCAAGCTCTGATTGTCTGGACCCGCCACATATATTCTTGTCTTCTTATCCAAATTGAATCTTCTTCTTGCTTCTTCGATCTTTATTGCGTTTTAGGGCGCATGTCATTCACATTGTGCCAACTTTGAACCCATTAAGCTGGCCATTTTCATAACGTCCAAATGCTCTCCAATGCTAAGCTTCCTTTTCTGCTCGCTGCGTCGGTCAGCTTGGTCGCTGCTCAGAATCTAGCACCCACACCCTCCTCAAGTGCGGTGATCAATGGGATGTGCGCTGATCAAAAGTAAGGCACCTGAATCTTCCACGATAAGAATCATTTCCTTACCATCTATAGAATTGTCGATTCATGCGTCGCGGCTATGAAACTAGGACTGGACAGTTGTTCCAACGATAACTGGGACTGCAAGTGCTCGGGTCAAGCAAATATCGCCAAGTGAGTATACCTGACTATACTACACCCTCTTCAACCCTTATTTCAACTCCATATACATACTTCTCCCAACTGAATACTAATTGGATCAAATAGCTGCTACGTCAATTGCCCCAATGTCCCAGCTGCATGGTCTGCCCAGCTGGCGAGTGAAAAGGACTGTGCCACGGCGAACCACTACGATAAGGGTATTACGGACGTGCCCGCCACCTGGACTACCCCCGGCCCTCAAACCACGACAGTAATCCCAACAGATGTCTCCGTCCTTGGTGATAACCCCACTACGACCATGAATAAGGCTGAAGAGACGGCGAAGCCGTCCAATGGGGCTGCACCTGGGAAGGCAGCTGGTAGCTGGTTGGCTCTCGTTGGATTGGGGCTTGGAGTTGTATTTTGAAGAGCGTCATGATTTTGTCTTTATATATCACCACCGCAATACAATCGTTTTCATCTCTAGAACCCCCCTAGCACCCTGTATGAATGCAGGATTTAATGAGGCGCTTGTCTGTATGTATCTATAACCGCGAATTAAGCGCCGGGTCAGCCGGGCTAAAATACATAATTGCCCCAACCGTGTCTTTGCCTCTATCGATGGAATTCCTCCAATTTGTACCCATAAATATGTTCCAAAAAGAGTCCCAGAAGAAAGATAAGCAATTTCGGTTTCCATTTCGGAGGCATAAGAAAGAGGCCACAAGCACAATCCGCGTTCCGCGGAGTGGAGGAGACACCACCATCACTCCCCTCACCCCTCCGCCCCCACAGCCGAAAAAGCCCGCGATTGACATTCCACCGAATGAGCTTTGGGACCGAGCCTACGATGATCTCAAAGAGGCTGAATCTAGCTCCAAGTTGATCGAGGCCTATGAGGCAATTTTGTCACTGGAGCTTAGCTCCGAGGTCGTCGATGAGAATGGCAGCAGGAAGGATGGAAGCCAGAAGGGCCAAACAGAACGACAAGTTCAAATGAACACACTGCTTGATAATGGCCTAAAAAAGACTGCCAAGCTGAGCGAAGTTGAAAGTGGTCTGGGCGATGCCATCAACATTGTTCTCTCTTTGAAGGACGCATTAGACCTCGGCCTCAAAGCTGTTCCTGTAGCTGCCGCTGCTTGGAGTGGTATCTGCGTTGCGTTACAGGTCAGTTCAGATCCTGGCATGATTAGCACATAATGATTATCCTAACATACTACAGATTTTTTTGAATCCATCCAGTGAGATGGCCTCGAGTCGAGAAGGAATCGTCATTGTTGTTCGGAACATGAAGTGGTATTCTAGTCTCACGAGTGTCCTTTATCGACAATCGCCTGACGAGGAAGAGCATTTTGGAAAGCTGCGCGGGCAATTGGCTGAACAGATCCTCGATCTTTATAAGGTCCTGCTCGGGTATATTATCAAGACCGTCTGCGCACACTACCGAAACCTTGCTTTGCATATAGCGAGGGACCTGCTGAAGCTTGACGATTGGACTGGGGCTCTGGACGAGGTGAAAAAGGCCGTGGATTCCGTCAAGGATACATTGGGCCAATTCAACTCCACGCAGACAAATATTCATCTGAAAGACATGCGCGATCTTCAGGCTTCCGAAGCGGAGCATAAGCGTATACAGCAGCTTTTCGACATTGACATGGCTGCCGAAATTGAGGACCTTCAGCTCGAAGATAAACTACTTCCGGACACTTGCAAGTGGGTCCTCAACAGCGACGAATACCAGGAATTCAACGACTGGAATCGTGACAATATGAAGAAGCTCCTATGGGTGAGAGGCGATCCCGGGAAGGGAAAGACAATGCTGCTTATTTCTATCGTGAAGGAGTTGACTGCTCATCAAAAGACGTCCTTTGATGATATTGCGTTATCCTACTTCTTTTGTCGGGCAACCGACGAGAGGCAGGACACGGCAGCTGCAGTCTTGAAAGGACTTATCTGGATGCTCTTGCACCAGAACAGATCCCTCATACGCCACCTTGACCGATTCGACGATCAGGGCCCAAAAAGCTTCGGCGACAGACAGGCTTTTGACAAACTGAAGGATCTTTTTATTTCGATCATCGATGATCCCAAGTTGGGAAGAACATATCTCGTCATTGATGGCCTAGATGAATGTCGACGTCAGAAACCAGGACTCCGGGAGCTTTTACGTCTGATTTCCGAAACACTGAAGAAGACGAGTCAAATCAAGTGGTTGGTTTCCAGTCGGAACGAGACTGTTATTGATGCAGAGATGCGCAAGCAGTCTGCGGCCGTTCAAATAAGACTTGAGGATTCAAAGTACGCTGGATCAGTGGAGACGGCTATTGATATCTACATTGATCGTAAAGTGTCTGAGCTTATCGAGTTCTATCAAGAGGCACTTGATCCCGAAGAAGCGGAGAGACTTGAGGAAAAGTTTTACGGCGACGATGGATTGAAAAAATATTTGAAATCGCAGCTCCAAGACAAGGCGGATGGAACTTTTTTGTGGGTGGCCTTGGTGGTCAAAGATCTCAAAAGCTATCCGGCCAGTGCGGCACGCGAGCGAGTGAAGCATTTTCCTTCCGGCCTGGATAAAGTTTATGAAAGAATGTTGGCTCGCTTGGGAGATGTCCCTGATGCTGCCATGTATAGGCGAGTACTCCTGATGATGGCCACCGCATACGGCTCTCTCCACCTTTCGGACCTGGAAACATTTGCTGAATTGTCCGCAATGGACGGTCTGAAGCATACGGTGAGATCATGCGGTCTCCTCGCAGTGAAAGAAAGCAATGGCTTTGTACATTTTGTTCATACAACCGCCAAGGAGTACCTTGTCCAGGATCCAATCATTCAAGATATCCCGAGCTTCTACCCTGGAGGTTACATCGAAGGGCATCATATTATGATTTCGAAGTCGCTCGAACTTATGAACAGCCCTGGCAAGCTACGAAGGAACATCTGTGGTTTGCCACGTCCCGACTCACAACCCTCGGAGATCGAAACTTTGGACTCGAAGCCACTCGGCTCTCTTCGATACGCTTGTCTTTACTGGATCGAGCATACCTGCAGCATGGGATCCAGTCCCGAGAAAACAAGCCTGTTTGACGATGGTGCAATTCATCAATTCTGGAAGGAGCATTTTCTTCACTGGCTCGAGGCCCTCTCTCTTCTGGAAGAAATTTCGGCTGGTATATTTTCAACCTTGAAACTCATGGAACTACTCAAGGTCAGTAATTTGCCAGACACGGTATATGTATATTTTTTTCGCTGATCAGACCAGGATGAATTTCCCAATTTGCAACTTTTCCGCTTAGTTCAAGATTCCTATCGGTTTATCCTGTCTTACAGGTTTGTCATCGAGGAATATCCTTTGCAAATATATTCCTCTGCTCTCATGTTCGCTCCCACAGAGAGCTTGTTGCGGAATCTCTTTGAAAGGAATAACACAATAGACTGGATCAGTACCAAACCAGCCGTCCAGGCGACATGGGGCGCTTGCATGCAGACGCTGTACGGCCATAGGAACAGTGTGCACGCAGTCGCCTTCTCCAATGGTGGCCGATTGATTGCATCAGGCAGTTCGGATGGAACCGTGAAGATATGGCAATCCAACTCCGGTAGCTGTCAAGACACCTGGTGTCCTCTTGCATGGGTCGCAAGCGTCGCTTTCTCTCATGATGATCAGTATCTTGCGATAGGGATGGAGTTTGGACGGATTGAGATATGGCACATCGAAACGGGAGAATGTTTAAAGAGGCTCGAAGGCCATTCGAAGCTTGTCGAATCCCTCGCATTTTCACACGATAGCAGCCAGATTGTATCGGGATCTGTCGACAAGACGATAAAAGTCTGGGATTGCGACATCGGACGCTGCGTGAAAACGCTCCAAGGTCATACCGACTGTGTGACATCTGTCGCCTTCTTGTATGACAGCACACATATTGTATCCGCTTCATATGATTCGACTGTCAGGGTCTGGGACTTAGAGGATGGGAGCTACACCACGTTACTTGAAGGCGGCCCAGATTGGGTAATTTGGTCAATTGCTGTCATGCACGATAAGTCCAATGTTATATGCGGATCTTCTGATGGAACCATATTCATTTGCGGGCTTGACGGTGGCCAACCCCGGACCTTGAAAAGTCATCTTGGGGAGGTTGCCTCAGTCACCATATCAAAGGACGACAGGCGCATCATCTCAGGGTCAGAAGACCATACTGTCAAGGTTTGGGACTTTGACAACGGCAGTTGCATAGAGACCTTGGAGGGCCACGGTCAATCCATCTCCTCTGTTGCCATTTGGGATGATGGCCTCATCGCCTCGGCATCAATAGACGATACTATTCGAATCTGGAGGCCGAACGGGGATAACGGCCCCCTGGATACTTTCAAGCGAGATACAAATATTCGGACTTTCGCTTGCTCGAATGAGAAGGGAGCATCAGGCTTCGATGATGGCACTATCGAGATATGGGATTCCCGCAACGGAAAACACCTTCAGAATTTCGAAGGTCACGAAGATATGATCACGCTCATCGCTTTCTCTCGTCACGGCACATATTTCGCCACTGCAGCATGGGATGGGATGGTCAAGATCTGGGAGACCAGCAGTGGCAATTTACTCGCAAGTTCTGGGCCTCACGACGGGCTCAAGTCGTTTGATCCTCGCGATAAAATGATATTGGCTGACGCAAAATTCATGCCGTGGGACACGTCGGACTTTTCAGACCTTGACACCCCAGAACCTCTACATCACTACAGCCTGAGTGAGAACGGACAATGGATACAGTGGAAAGGGCAGAATGTGCTTTGGCTACCCAATGAACTCAGGCCGAAATTGAACACTCATTGTAATACCACACCCAGTGGTATTGCCATATGCTGCCAATCAAACCGGGTCATGATATTCAACTTTGAGGTTGACAGATTTCCACTATAATTGATGGGTGATCGCTGGAAATTGGCGAGCGACAGTCTGAGCAGCAGCAGATAGATATCAGATAGAGAAGGAGGCTTTCGGCGTGCTGAATGAAAACGGTTCCACCAACTGCAGGAACACTGCTAGCATATACGGAGAAAAGTCTCCCACGAGGAGAAACCTGGAATTGGGAGCATTTGAGAAGAGTTAATCAGAGCGTTTGCAACTAAGTACATAAAGGTGCTTTTGACTGATTATAGAAACGGGTTACGATATTGACTGCTGTCGTGGCCTGTCACCGGACATTTTATCGCGTTAATAACAAGCGCCTTGTATACTCCATAGAGCCGTGGTTGGGGTTGTAGAACCCGTGGAACCCCTCCAACCTTGACACATTTCGGGAAACATGACACGAAACCCCACCGAAATCTCTTCCACGCTACCTGTGGACTAAACGGCCTAGCCCCAAGGCAAGTAAAAACTCTACTAAACGGAACTCGAACGGGCTACCCACGGAGAGAAAGTTCAGAAGCCACAACCTTGGAGAAGCACATGACCCAACGATCGGCCGATAGAGCTGCAGGGAAAATCAACTAACCAACCGATGCGGCCGATCTCGCAGTACGGAGTAGACTACTGGACACTACGGACGCACTACGCCCCCGTGAGGCCAAAAAAGCGGTGCGTGCACGGAGTAAGCACCGCAAAAAAGAGACTTTCAAAGACACTCCACCAAAGATCTACAAAGTTCATTCTACAGGTGAAAAAAATTCGACCGGGCGCATCGTCATCGCGGCCCAAAGTATAGTCGGCAAGAGTGGCACGAGGGGGCTTGATCTCTGATGCTGGGAGCGGGGACGGAAAGGACGGAGTTCAGCGGTAGGGGGTTTATACCCATCTGGCGGGCAAAGGAGGCAAGTGATGGGCAGGGTGGAGTCGTGGGTGGGAGTCTCGGGAGCGTGTTTCCACCTGGAATTCGCTGCAGAGTTGATGATCGTTTGCGTATTCGGCTGTGATTGACTGGCGCGAGCGTGCCCCGAGGTGATCTTCATTGGTTCCAGCGGAACCAATGTATACATAGATTCTCGTTTGAGGCATATACACTACTTCCAACCTTGGTTGCCACAGGGCGTACGTGGTTGATGTGGGACATCCGCGCTGACTAGTCGGGGCGTCGTACCGGTGTAGGTGCAGGGGGTAAAGGATATATCCAAAGACCGCCGAACCTTGAACAGGCATTCACGTTTTCGATAGTGTTGACTGGGTATTCACTTGGATCCTGCCTATGAGCGTCGAGTGTTGGAAACATCACCCGCAGCTGACTCAAGCGCAAGTAACCCTGTAAGCAGGCCGGATGCGTTACCGGAGTCGTAGTATACATCAAAGTCAAAATTCCGAATTCTCCATCACACGCATGACAATTGCCGATTATCAGATGCCTTGCGGGAAGGTGTGCCATCTCACTGCATTACCGCAGATACCCTTGCTCCAAGCTGCACTGATCGTCCTTTTGGGGAAGTAGCTGGGTGGAGGCTGTGGGAAGGTATGTCTGAGTGTCACAGTGTGCTCCGATGCCCTACAGGATCGGCCCCTGCAGGAGGGAACCGGGAATGTTCAGCAGGTGACGGTGTATGGGCCAGAACTCCAAAATAGCGGTTAAGCAACGGGAGAAACATGGGGGTCCGAAGCGCTGTTGCAGCTAGATTGAGCAACTGTGAGAGGCCCGCGCCTCAACATGCAGCTACCGGGGGGGGGGTACTCCATGCTTTCTAATTGGCGGTGGTCCCCTGTTCCTTGTTCCCAAGCCCCTCGTTCTCCTCGTTCTCCTCCTGACCGCTTCCCCTCTCTTCTGACGTGCTCTTACTTGCCTCTGCCTAGAGGCTACATGGTTGCTCCGCCACCAGGCGTCGTGTGTATGACTCTTTCCCCAAAATTGCTCGCCTCCCTCGACCCACTTGCACCTGGGCCTTAAGTGGCGTCGCACCTCTGGTCAGGACCCAACAGGACTTTGGTAACTCAGTACTCGACTCCTGAAGACGGCCGCTTGCAGGAAGCCCGGACTGTGCCCGACGCAGAGCACGGGCGAAATCGAGAGTTTTGGAACTCTATAGAGCTATGACGACGCTGAGGCTGCCTCACCCTCATTGGCACCTGCAAGCCTCTTGTAGTGTACGTGTCTATTAGAGTACGCCGTGTCACACCGTTATAGAGGGTCTGCACTGGGAATGAATGGTTCGATTGTGAAAAATCCAGAAAATCATTGCCCCGGTGCAGCCGGGGAACGGCAGGCTCGATGGTTTCAGTCTACTTTTCTCCGGCATTTACTTTGTACTTTGTGTTCAGAGACAAGTTTCCACCAAGGGGGGGGGGGGGCGGCACCCTCCTACGGTACACCGTTAAGGGGGGGGGCGCAAAGACACTCGGAGGATAACTGAATCCTTGTTGGGATTACCTCAGATCGTCCGAGTCAAGACCTAACGGGAAGAAGGGGGGGGGCCATTCCAAGCGACTAGGGGGAATCCGACCGAGGCAAAGAATAGTATGCCCCTCCCACCATCTTGTAACCTCCACCTTTATATCATGGCGCGCACGGCTATAGATTATCATGGACTATCATGAGGGGGGCCAAGTCCAGGATCCGAGACCGATGCTACTCCGTAACTACACCGTAAGAAGTGATGACATGCCGCTAAGGCAAGCCAAATTGGATGGGCCCGCAGTTGCTCCCGCTGCATTCAATGGGGCTGGGAGCCAAGAAGGGATCCGGGCAATCAGGAAGGCCGAGTGAAACGTCTGGAAGTCCAGGGAAGGCTGGATCAGCTCCGCCCGGCGCCCTTTTGGGAAATGGGGTTCAGGAACTTCGCGTCCGGTGGGGTGGGCGCACCGCAAAAAGAGGCTCGCAACAAAAGGGGGCTGATCCGTCCATCTGGGAACGGGTCTCGGAGAGCGACCGTCACTGGTTTCCTTTCTCGTACACTGTAGTCGAGGATCTTAGTTCTAACACCGTGGTAGTTGGGCGCTCTTAGCTCTGGCTTCTTAGCTCACCGTTTGTACTACCATGCAACGGTGAGGCTAAGAAAGATTCGTCCGGGGAGAGAACAGCCGACAACCCTATGGAGTACACATGGTGACATCGGAGCCGGTGAGCTCACATACTCCAGAGATCGGCAAATTTTCACTGTGTCACCGTCAAGATCCACATTGATGGCAGGGGAAACTGGAAGTACTATGTGCTCCGTGGCCCCCTGAGCTTCTGGAAATGGGTGATTAATATGGTTTCCAATTTTTCACTTTGCAAAGTGGCCCCTGCTGTGCAGGAAGTGGGGCCCTGCAAATGGGTTCCGAGTAACAGACCGGAAGGTCTTGGATCGGTGTAATGATGTAGACATTGGTCCGGGTCCCCTGAGCTGTTCCAGGCATCCCAATTCCGTACGATGTGCTCTGCGAGGAGACAAAGTATCCCGGCGTAGGTGTCTGATATTTACTATTGGCTATGACTTGTGCATTATGAAAAAAAAACAGAGTCAAGCCTGTTCTTCCGGCGGGCCCGACCCCAAGGACACCCCCCGGTCGAGACAGGGCTGGGTTTTTGGCAGAGCGCTAAGCACGATCAGATCCGCCCGGCCACGTTGTGAATGGTGGCTCTACCGCCCGTTTCCTGATCGGGCGCCACTTTTATTGGTATTTTATTTTTTCCATCTGCCCACAGACCACGCGGGCCATATCTATTGAACTCCCGTCTTTAGCTCCACGTTAGTGGCCAACCCACTGGGAATTGGTGACTTTCATCTCCTTGGTTCCCGAATAGGAGACGTCCAGGTAGATGCTCCGTACTCCGTAATTTCTACGCTGTCGGGTGACGGCGCAGGGGACTGGTCACATTTAAATCCGTGTTTGCCGGGTGAACTCTAAAGTCAGAGACAAAGATTATCCAGATACAGAGGACGGTAAGCAGATTAATATGAAGCTCCACGTTGGCTTGCCGAGCTTCCCGCCCAGGTCATTTTAAACACGAACCCTCGGTGACGGTACACGGCCTACCGGTCTTTGACGATGAAACAGATCCACCGCCTCCTCGGGTAACGCAGCCCACGTAGCTCAGGTGATACTAGAGAATGACCGGAGTGGCTGCTGTGTTGATCTCGATCAGATCAGAAATGCGCCATGCAAAGTGCGCAATGCAGGCTGCCTACGGAACATAGTTCCAGTCGGTTCATCCGGGGGCTCTTGATTGGCCCAATCAAGAGCCGAGATGGGAGGGGGGCTCATCGGAAGAAAAACTAGCGACAAATAATAAAGATCGGTGGCGATGATGCATCTTCTGCATCATGTACTCCGGATGGAGGAGGGCGCATGCAACGGAGAATAGAAACGTCACCGGGTATGCACGGTCTCTAATCAAAATTGTCTAGACCGCTTGGGAAGGCCGCGACAATGGCAGTCTTGGAGCTCCACCCGTTACTTTGTTGCCAGGTGCCTAATCCGAGAAGAGAACCGAGAGACGACGTGGGAGGAAAAGTGTGGAAAGTCGATCTCGAGCCCCATCACATTCCCTTGCGTAACCGTAAACCGGGTCCCGTCAAACTAAAACAAGGGCCTCCGAACAAAGAAATCGATAAAAATACAAAAATGCCTGCATTCTTATTGCACGGCTGATCGTCGCCATGAAACCGAAGAATCAAAAAAACCAGCCAGGGCGGGCATATCACCCAAGCAGGAAGTGAGGGCCGGTGATCAAAATTGAATCGCATTCCGCGGACGATTAAAGGGCCAAGGTTCCTGACTCTTGGGACTCTTGGGGCCCGTTAGTCAGTCGGTTATAGAAGGGGGCGCACAAGGAACAACCCTAGCTGGGCCAATGACCAGGCCACTTGTATCCGAAACCATGTCATGTACTCCGTACTTGTACGCATGGAAATTAAAAAAAGAAAAAAGAAAAAAAGAAAAGGGAAAAAACGGAAGTGTAGCCCCAGACCGGGCCCGTGTGAGGATCCACGTCCATTCGGTCGGACCCAACGGTGGAGCACCGTCTTTCCCCATGTTCGCCTCCAAAAGCATGTTCCATGTCTCCATCCGACGCGCTACGACGTATAGGTCTGATCATCGTGGCCTGTACTCCGGAAGATTCCCCTGTACCCTTCTGGGTCCTGGCCGAAACGGTGGGACCGACCGGTGATTCACCATTCTTTTATTTGGTTCTCTTTACTAGTGTCAACGTCGTGTCATCCTTAGCATGCGCGGTGGGATCGTGGAGCTGGGGCGGGTGGTAGATCGCCAGGCTCCCTGGATTCCCTTATAACGTTGGCGCCCTGCCCGGTGACCCTGGATATCAAACATCTCGTCACCCTGCTGCTGTTCCTTTGCGGGAACATCGGCCTTTCTCTTCGAAACTATATCTACTCCGTCACTCCTTCCCCCACTTTTCTGTCGGTCTTCCTCCCCTTGACATCATCTGCATCTCGCTGACCTAGCAAAGTCCACTCAACTTGACCTTATTCGTAAGGTGCTCTACTCCATTTTGATGGCCGATTACTGCTATCAACAACCCGCCTCTTCAGCTGGCGCTCAATGGTTACCGGAAGATGTTTATAGCCAACCCACCAACATGAATATGCAAGATTGGGCCCGTGCTTTCCCTCGGCCCCGACACACTCGTGTCATGAAGCCCCGTAGTGCCGGAAACAGCCCCTCGTCGTCGATGGCCAGGAGAAGGACAACCGTCGCCCAAAGTGCCATGAATGGCTCATCGAATCAGTACTGGTCTTCTTGGGAGGCTGCTATGCTCGCCTCCGCCGCCCGGAACTCACGACCGATCAGCTGGCATCCATCCTCGGTCAGGGCTCGAGGTCTTTCAAATCCGACATGTGGCCCTAACTATGCCTCGGAGAACTATGCTCCCATGGGCGCCTTCCCCGATCAATCAATGGATGGCTATCCGGTTTACACCAACGACAACATGATGTCTTATCCCGTCTCAGCTGGCCCGACTTGTTCGCCTGGCTATCTTTCCTTGTATCCCGAGATGCACAATCCCATGCCTCTCTCGCAGCAGACAGCAGCACTATCAATGCCCGGCTCGCAGGTCGAGCCCATGGCATGGGATGTCGCCGCAACCAACATGGATATGTCCAACATGACCCAGACTACATCTGATGGCTGGTCGCTGGATATGCTATCCATGGCAAACATTCCTCCTGCGGAGACAACTTGTCCTAGCTACGCCAGTGTGCCTTCACCGGGCGAGCTGAGCGGCCCTTCAACTCCCGACTTTCTCCCCATCCAGCAATTTGACTATCCGGGCCCCCCAAGAGCAGAAGAAAGATAAGGCTGAAGAGGAGCTTGTCGGAATGGGACTGTACAGCCAACCTGATGGCTCGCGGATTCAAGCCCGGCAAGGATCCCTTGGAAAGGGCCTCAAGCTCGAGGAGACATTTTCGCCATCCGACGATGAAAAGGACAATGGTTCCGCCGATGGAGCCGATGTCAACGAACAATTTCAATTGAGCGCCCCCCAAGAAATGGCGCCCGTTTCGCATGCCTCCAATTTCTCCGCTCCCAAGCAGCCATCCAAGCACGCTATGAACCTTCTTCACAGGTCTTTCTTTTTTGACCACGACGACCTCGACCAGCAAGCGATGACTGCAGCGCAGCCCTTCGCCAGCCTCAACCAGCCATGCATGAACTACGGATATGGTTGGATCTAATCCACTCACTTGATTTCTTTTCTTTTTTTCCTCCCGAATTTACAGCTGCATAGCATGGAGTTTTGATTTTTGAATTGGAGTTGGAAACACGAACGGATACCCTGGGATCAGATCGCTTCTGAGGCATGACTCAAAGCAGCCTGAAATTATTAGCATAGCATTAGATACACACAATCAACAATCAGATCAGCTAGATTTGAATCTCGCTTCCAGATTTGTAGACTTCTATTTCTAAATTTACCGTGGTAAACAAAGCTCCGACCTGATTGGCTGCGGGATTACTTTCACGGAAAAACCAGCCCAATGGATCAACAATCACCCGAAAATCTTCCTCCGGTCAGATACTGATTTAACGCGGCGCTTGCGGCCCAAATAACCAGCATTATATTCCTAGACTCTCGTGGAAATGTCCAAGCTCATTTTCACGCCTTGGAAGAGCAAGTCGCAGTTGCTCGATGTGCGGAGCGAGTTTTATCCGCTGCCTTCGTATGATGGCCCGGACATGCGCTCCCATGCCTGCGCTACGGTATTATAACCTTTCAGTATTGGCTTCAATGATTCTAATAAATAGAACAGGTAGAAGCGTGGAAGTTGCGCGGAAATCTCCCGCACCATGTCGAGGCGACTGCGTTGTTGACGAACGCGATTCTGCACGACGATGCGCAGAGAAACTCCATCTTTTCTATCCGGGCCACTTACTCGGCTGCTTTTTGCCGGTATGATTCTCTTTCTCCAGTCTTCTGCATTGCTTCTGGATTTTATTGTTTCTGGGGCGAAGGACACATCGCCCCGGATATCTCGCAAGCTATCTGACTTTCAACTGACCGAGTACCACAGCTTTGTAACGGGTCTTGTCGACTCGAAAATCCATGGCCAGCGCAAGACCATGTTCCAGCGTGCAGTCGACCTGGGGTTACCTGCGTCCTTTGTCGAATTGCGCCACGAGGCCACTCACCGCGAGCCACCCTCGCTGGTTGTGTTGCGCAAGGCCTCGCAGCGGTCCCTGGAATGGCTCTGGGATAACTACTGGGTCGGAGTTGATGACCTGGGTGATGTCCCTGCTATTGAGCATGATGACAGCGAGTCGGTGAAGAAAGCCTTCCGCGACGTTTTGCAACAATTCTCAACCGGGTATGGCTCCGTGCCACCTTCGAAGAAGCGGAAGAGAGATCATGAGGTCTCTGTTGCGGCTCAGCTTATTTCCCTCTGTGATGCGTCGAGTCAAGGCGTTCGGTCCTTGCCTGCTGTTCTACTAGAGGGGTCTGCGTTGATTGATCCTGCGCGAAAGTAAGTTCAATTCGAACAAACTCGCAAATCCAAAATACTAATATTCCTTCGCAGACTTGGGGAGTCTCTGGATGAGACATTCGATACCTGGGATGTCGTCTTGCAGAAGGTTGCAGAGAGCCATCTTTCCGTCGTGGTCTACCTGGCCGAGGAGCTGGTACACAACTTGGTCTTCAATGTCGCCAGCGATTTCCCAGAGAGCGCACAGGCTGAAGCACTATTTCTCTGGCTTCTCCATCTATTGACATCACCAGAGTGGGAGATGCTGCGGCCATTCTGTCCTCGCAACTACATCCTCACTGCCTGCAGTGAAAACCCCAACCACTGGGCCAAGATGCTAGGTGCTAGATTACGGGAAGAGGAGCCATCGAAGAACACGCCCCCTAGAGCACAGCCTGTTGCTCAGAAACGGTCGAAGAAGGGAACATCTCAGAATGGCACTGCCAACCTGTCTGATGCCGATCGGAAACTACGGGAACGTGGATGGGGGCCCGTTGAGACCTGGGACAGTCGCCCCTTGGGCATTGCTTCTATCTAAACATCTGTAATATACCATTGTAGACACCGTGCTGCCGGCAGCACATTAAAGAAAAATTGCATTTCAATGAAACAATCTGTAAGCTATTTAGAGTGCATCCAATGAGACACGACATTACTAAGGGGACCGGGAAAACCAATGTTCCGCATGACGTTTGATATGTAATCCGGCGCGAGCTGCCGCTGCTGGTTAGTTAGTTATACACAGCTGTCTCCCCGCATTGGGTCTTCACTCTGTCCTGTGATGATTTTTACCAGAACAATTCGGTCCCTTGGTTCTCGTCAGCTTCGCGCCCAAAACATCCGAGCCATGCATGTTCAATCAATTCCCATGTGTAAGTGGACCTGCCGGGGCTGCATATGCAGATAACAATAGAGGATGTGACCGGCTTACCTTGTTTGGTGGCTAGGGACGGGGAAGGGCAATAACTATGCCTACCTCGTTACGGATGAGCCGACTAAGAAGTCGGTGATTATTGACCCTGCCAACCCCCCGGAGTAAGTGCTTTGCGTTGGATCATTCGTTATCAGGTGCTAAGCGTGACCAGAGTCGCTCCCGAGTTGAAGTCTCAGATTAATGCTGGAAAGATTGACCTGACAGCAATTGTCAACACTCACCAGTAAGTGCTCGGATGTGCCCAGTTAGGGCGAGAATGTACGGCGCTGATATTCCGGGCCAGCCACTGGGATCATGCCGGAGGCAACGAGGAAATGGTAAGCGTCTTCTCGTAGCGTGGAAGAATGCACCCCGTACTGACTCCTCGTAGTTGAAGCAATTCGGTAAGCTTCCGGTCATCGGAGGCAAGGAAAGCCAGTGCGTTACCAAGACCCCGGCACACGGTGAGGAATTCATGATCGGAGACCGTATTTCCGTCAAGGCTTTGCATACCCCATGCCACACTCAAGACAGCATCTGCTACTTTATGCAAGATGGAGATCAGCGCATGGTCTTCACTGGTGATACCCTGTTCATTGGCGGTATGTTTGAGAGCTAAACTTGCAGTCCTTCTTGCCCCGACAGTTTGCGAACTGATCTAATCAACCCAGTAGGCTGTGGCCGTTTCTTCGAGGGCGATGCCGCAGAGATGCACAAGGCGTTGAATGAGACGCTGGCATCCTTGCCAGATGACACCAAGGTTTACGTACGTTGCGTCTTACTTTATCTGCCAGGATTTAACTAACACTCTTAAAGCCCGGCCACGAATACACCAAGGCAAATGTCAAGTTCTGCATTCATGTATCCCAGACGGAGCCGATCAAGAAGCTTCAGGCTTTCGCCGAGGCCAATAAGCAGACGCAAGGCAAATTCACCATCGGTGATGAGAAGGTATGTCCAACATGATGATTATCAGGCGGGCAGAGACTAAAACAAAACTCTAGCTCCACAATGTCTTCATGCGCGTTCATGTAGGTATCAGCCGGTCATGTTTCCCTATCCCCAAATGCTGATCCAATAAATACAGGACCCCGAGATCCAGAAGTTCACCGGCAAGACCGAACCGGTAGATGTGATGGCTGCTCTGAGAGAGATGAAGAATTCGATGTAGTTTTTAGCAAAATACAGACACAAGTCCAGGGATCCTCTCCCTTGCGGGGGATCTTCGTTGAACACTAAAATTCCAATTACACCCAAAGTTAAAAGGTGGAGCCAGCCAAGACAAAGATCTCTTGGGATCCCTGAAACAGAGGATCAGTCGGGTATGCAATTCGAAGAAAGTACATATTTACAGTACGGAGAATGAAAGATAAGGAATCGAGAGCGCCAGCAATGAGCGGACCGACGTCATACCCACTTCTCCCACCAGCACGCCATTTGCAATCCACCACACTACGGCCAGGTCGGAATTACAACACAACACCGGTCATGACCGTTTGATTGAGGAACAAAGAAGTCCAGATTCTGTGCGCGATGGACGAAGGCCACCGGAAGACATCCTCGGTTGCCGTGGACGACGTATGTGTATCGACAACGCGGGGTTATCGTGCCGAGACTGATCATATTTAATAGAGCCACGGAGGTGCCAGCGATAACGAGACGCAAAACCAGCTAGAGGTAGGACCTTCCAATACATCTGGTGGTTTATGAGCCCCAACTAAAGATAGCTACCATCCAGGTCGTGTTCTATCCGGACGCGAACCATCGCCGCAAGTCCTCGCTCGTTACAATGGAGAAACCCCGAGTCCGACCTCATTTGGAACCTCATGACAAGACCACGGCCTGTTACGTCCATTCTCTGATTGCTGGTGAATGGGTAACACCCTTGACCAAGCTTAACGACCCGAATGACGTGATCCGCCCCCTCAGCGAGGAAGATGTACCTACCGTCGACGCAAAGACCCTGGACGAGGACAATGTGGTGTCGGTGGTCGACGGCGACAACAAGATCTTGAAACCCGTGCCATCAATCATCCAGTCGCGACACTTGACCAAGCGGCAGCTGTCGGACATGGCTTGGAACGTGCGCAAGTTGTCCAAGAAACTGGGCAGTGTCAAGCTCAAGCTCACTGTTAAGAATGTCTTTGTCGTGAGCAAGGCATACGACGAATCTCTCGTGAGCTTGACACGCAAGGTCACGAGATGGCTGATTTCTAAGGATCGTGATACGCCATACGTTGTCTACGTGGAGCGGCGCATGGAAACACATCCGGACTTTGGAGCATTGCAGCTGCTGCAGGAGGAGCCATCTGCCCAGGGCCGACTGAAGTTCTGGGATGCGAAACTTGCGCAAGAGCAGCCGCACCTGTTCGATTTTGTCGTCACTCTCGGCGGCGACGGAACAGTTCTCTACACCAGCTGGCTATTCCAGCGTATCGTGCCGCCCGTCCTTTCCTTTGCTCTAGGCTCCTTAGGATTCCTGACAAACTTCGATTTCTCAGACCATCAAAAGATCCTGGAAAATGCATTCCGAGAGGGCGTTACCGTCAGCTTACGATTACGATTTGAATGCACCATCATGAGAAGCAAAGCGCGGTTGAAAGACCCGCATGCACGGTCACTTACCAGACGGGACCTGGTGGAAGAACTGATTGGAGAAGAAGGGGAAGACACATTGACGCATACCCCGGATCGAGTGTACGAGATCCTGAATGATGTAGTTCTCGACCGTGGACCAAACCCCAGTACGTGCCTGCCATTGATTTCCTGCATATACATATCTAACTTCCCCGCCAGCCATGTCTCAAATCGAGCTGTTTGGCGACGATGAGCATTTCACCACCCTGCTTGCCGACGGCATCTGCATTGCGACCCCGACGGGCTCGACGGCGTACAACCTCGCCGCTGGCGGATCCCTGTCGCACCCCGAGAACCCTGTTATCCTTGTAACCGCTATTTGCGCGCACACTCTGTCATTCCGCCCGATTATTCTTCCCGACACCATCGTGCTACGTATGGGAGTACCCTACGATGCGCGAACGAGTTCATGGGCTAGTTTTGATGGCCGCGAGAGGTAATTATTCCCCTGAAACGCAGATATCGATCATTTCGACAAGAACTAACTTCGATTGCAGAGTTGAACTGCACCCCGGTGATTACGTGACCGTGTCGGCGTCGCGATACCCCTTCGCCAATGTTCTGCCTCAGGGGCGACGCAGCGAGGACTGGGTGCACAGCATCTCCAAGACCTTGAACTGGAATTCGCGCACAAAGCAAAAAGCGTTCAAGTAGATGGACAGACTTATTGGAGCGCACTGCGACACAGTTTAACGTATGAAAATTTTTCTGATTCTTTTCGGTTGGATGCAACGGCCACTGGATGGCCGAGGTCGAGAGTACATACAAGGCTCATACGCAAATAGCAAGCTACTATTATTATTTGAACGTCTCAGTCTTTCACAGCAATCAAGTCTCGAGATTGAGTTTGATTGACGACAGAATCGTGCCGTAGCAGAGGCTAAGCTGATAGTTCTAGGCCATCTCTACGTTGGCTACACTAGCTCAATGCTTCTGAATAAATTCCAATTGTTTACAATCCAGTCCAGAGCTCATGCTAGTCTACTCAAATTTTCCAAGTGGATAATCGCTAGAAGCTTCGTATGGGTCTGGGTCTGTTTCCCGGGCAGCTCTGGCCGCCTATAAAAACCCGCCCGCCCCGAAATTTTTTTCTCTTCCACTTCTCATTCTCTTCACCCACCCGGGCTTCGAGAAGTTTGATGCTGCTCTCTCGCAACCCAGTGGGATGAAGTGCACAATCTTCATCTCTACTTCGTTTTCTTATTTTCACTAACTTGGTAAGTCCCAGACTTTTTTTTTTTCTTCCTGCACCAGCGAAAGGCCGTGGCCCTTTTATGATGAAAATTTTTCCTACATTCGCAGTTTCCACGCTAGTCATCGCTTGAACCCAATCAAGATGGCACTGTGCGCAATATCTTCCTTGGATGTCTGATTATTTCGCTGGTCTTATTTTTTTATGACTTTGATTGCCAATTGGTGAAGAACCTTGCTAACGTCGCATGGTTTCAGAACAGGACTTGGGACTCTTTCATTGTCTTCGATACTCTCGACGCTCTCGACTGCCTCTGTCCACATCGTATGGTGTGCTCTCCTCGCCTCACTTACCTCTGCGGATTTGTCGTCGGCCCGTGGGAAACTTGCCTGTCGGGCCTACGGTGTCTCTCGAGGAGACTGGTGCGTCGGGGTGGGCAGCAGTATACATCTATTTAGATCATATAATGAAGATGAGTATATCTGCAATATCTTCACCCTCTATTATAATCTGTAAAACATCCGAGTAGAAATTTCCATTTCTCTTAGACTGCACTTGCGGGCGATGTGCTCCACCGTAGATCGCATCCACAGCTCACCTTTGAACATCTCCAACTCCTCATCACCACCACAGCTTAGAAAGTTCGCCAACTACAGGACCATGATTTTCTGAAGTCGACTATCGCTTTGCCCGGACCCCTCGACTCTCCTTCCCTCTCCTGGTTCAATCCCGGCAAACATCCACCACCCCCCTCCACCCAAACATCATGGCCGCGCCGCCCAGGCACTCCTCAATGATGTCTACCAGCAACGCAGGCACGCTTCAATCGAGCACCACTGATAGACAACAGGCCCCGCAACAGCTGCCGACGCCTCAGCCAACACAGGGTCTCCGAGTGCCCTCCAATCGCAAGACCATCTACGACCGACATCTGAACCGGAGCCGCAATGCAGAGTCCAGCCGAGCGAGCTTCGCCTACCTATTTGGAGAGATGGTCACATATGCCCAGCGGCGCGTAACAGGGATACAAGACCTGGAAAAACGGTACGACATCCTCAACTGCCAATCCAAGTCCAAGCATACTAACAGACCACAATCCAGATTAAACGAACAAGGGTATCCCCTAGGCCTACGCCTCCTCGACCTCCTCTTCTACCGCTCCACGTCCACCTCCTCCTCAGCCCTTTCCAGCTCTTCGACCTCGTCATCCCCGCCAAACCGGCCCCTGCGCATCATCACCCTCCTCCACCTTATCCATGGCCCGCTCTGGCGCCTCCTCTTCCAGCGCTCCGCCGATGCCCTTGAGCACTCCGTGTCGCCGGATACCCCCAATGAATACATGATCACCGACAATGACCCCCTCGTCAACACATATATCAGCGTGCCGCGCGAGATGAACATGCTCAACTGCGCCGCCTTCGTGGCGGGTATTATCGAGGGCGTGTGCGACGGGTGCGGCTTCGAGGCCAAGGTCTCGGCTCATAACCAGCCCACGGAGATGTGGCCCAGCCGCACTGTATTCCTTGTTCGGTTTGGAGATAGCGTGATGGAACGTGAGAAGGTGCTCGAGCGGAACGGCGTCAAATAAAGTAAGATCCAATTGCGATCATTCACCCCGCGGTTGAGTCTAGACTTGCTAGTCAAGCAAATCTCACGGCTCGCGCTGAGAAGCGTGCCCGTTACTCAAGGGCTCCTGGGAGCTTGCGGCTTGTGCGCCGACATATTCCATCCCGGCTGGGTTGTTTTACGAAGTCATGCATGAGGGCAATTCGAGCCCAGGATATCAAATCCAATCCTAGTCCTATGTCCCAGTCCTATGAATTTCTATGTACAAATTCCCCTTTGGGATACGCAGATATCACTTTCACGTCAACAATTACACGCCCTCCAGGTGAGGGGGATGCTATATTCCATACAGGTCTAGATGAGGGAGTATCGGTTGCTCGAAATGCCAGTGTATCACATAGAATTGAATACACCCATGCAAATTTTTCCAACTCCGCGCCAACGCCAAGAAGAAGTAAAATGAAAGCAGTGCTTCGGTCATAAGGCTGTTCATGAACTGTCCACCCGTCGGCGCTTGTCCCGGTCTTCGTAGGGTGAAGGGCTGCGTTTCCGACGCTCTCTTGATCGACTCCGCTCGTCGTGCCAATCTCGTCGTGGAGAGCGAGACCTCGATCTCCGTCTTGGTTGAACAGCACTGGCATTGGCTCCCGTAGGACCCTGAGGCTTATCATCCCTCCTGTCAGGCATGAACCGCTCATCTGTAATGCCCACCGGCAGAGCATTATCACGCCGCCGATTCTCATATCCTTCACCGAAGCGACCCGTATCCTCCGTCTTAAGATCCCGATAGCGAGTGCGACCCTTCTTGCCGAGCTTGGTCATATCACGGACCTGCATGTACTGAGGCAGCGTCTCGCGCGAACTCTCATCCACAAACTGCCGGCCCATCAAATTGCGCTGATCCAGTCCCTCGCGCTCCAAGTCGTCGCGGAAGAAAGCTCCCTTGTGGAAGTAGCGCTGCATGAACCCGGTCTGACCGCGCGTGGCCTCGCGTTCCTCCTTCTGTTTCGCAATGAACTCGCGATCTTCGCGGTCTCGCTCCTCCGCAGTCAAGTTGCGGCGGCGCTCGATCTCTTCGCGCTCCTTCTCGGCTTCTTCGATGGCTTCGCGCTCGCGCTTAACCCGCTTTAGCTCGCGCAGCTTCCAGGCTGCGTACTCGGCGTCCGGGTCTATGCCATCGCGGTCGTCGATTTCGGCTTCCTCATTTGCTTCCACCAGTTCGTCGTCGTCCCAGGCTCGGTTCCCGGCTGAGCGTGCAATTGCCTCTTTCTCGAGCTGGTCCCGTACTAGCTGGTCTGCTTTCTCTTGTCTTTGCGCGCGGCGCGCTTCGTCCTCCGCTGCCGAGTCGGTAATACCAGCTGCGTCTTTGGTCTGGCCTTCGCCTTGCGCACCATTGCCTCTCTTATCTTTCTTAATAAAGGTAGGCCGTATCAACATCCTCCGAGGCGCCTCGTCCTCAGAGCTGCTCTCCTCTTCTGAACTCTCTTCCTCGCTTTCTTCTTCGCTTTCTTCCGGCGCTGCTACCGGAGCAGACTTTTGTGCGGTAGGTTCTAATTCATCCGGCCGAGGCTGCGCAGATGTCGCTTTAAGTGCTGGCGCTGGTTCATCTTCGTCGTCTTCGGTTTCAAATCCTTCCTCGTCCTCATCCGACTCTTCCTGAATTTTGCGAGCTGCAGCCGCGGGGAATGAGCTCGCCTTGGGCGCCTGTCTTCGGCGCTGCGCCTCAGCTTGTCGGCGCCGTTCTTGTTCTTTTTGTGCTTCGATGTCCTCTTCCTCTTCCTCTTCTGATGATGAAGGCTCTTCTGCGACTGGCTTTCCAGGTCGGTAGCGACCCACGGGCTTGAGCGGGTTCGCGGTCATTCCCCGGTGGTGGGAGGGGAGTGGAGGAGGCATTTTCGTAGTATTCACTGATTCTTGTTGGAATTGGTTGGAGGTGTGTCGTCGGGCTTATTAGAGTGATCGCTCAAGTATAATGCGCCGTGCCCATCAATCTGGTTTCTGGGGGTCACTGGCTTGGAGCTTGAGGCGTTGACGTAGCAAGCAGAGCTCCGGGTTGAAATTGATAGTGTCACGTGATAATATACTGGAGCGCGTTGTATAAGAAGTAGCACCTTTCGTTTTTGGGCTAGGCGTAGGTGAGACCGTTAGTAATGAATCGATTTAATTCTCAATCAAATGCGAGTCATCTTACAGTTCAACAACTGCCTAATCAGATCCAGCAGAATACGCTGCCACCTCGATCATTTAAGCTCTTTTTGAGAGAATCACGTGACCACGCGTCCCGCGCACCGCGTCGACCCAAGAAGCCTTCAAGCATCTCCAAGTCAACACAGCCCACTCAGACACTTCAAGCAGCCCTTTGAACAAACCTTTCCCACGGGCCTGAACTCGATCAAAGAACAAAAATCAACCGAAATGTCTCTCCAGACCCCCCGCATCCTCCCCGCCCACCTGAACGCCTTCCACCCCTCGAGCTCCGGCCCGCGCTCAACACACACGGTCCGCATTTTGGGCACCGTGACCGCGCTCCGTGGTGACACAGCGACAATCGCATGTGGTACTAATGGCGATGTGACACTGATTCTCAAGCCGGACTCGCATCTGCAAATGGGGAAGCTTGTTGAAGTTGTGGGGAAGGTTGCTGATCTTGAGGGTGGACAGGTATGTATTCGAGTATTCCTTATTTTCTTTTTGTTATGACAGACCATGAAGATGCTAGCCCGGAACGCGGGGTGTGGATTGGTCTTTATTGCTCGAACAATTAGCTGATAATGGTGCTAGGGTCTTGGTATTCGGGTACTTGGAACAACGGACTGGGGCAACCCCGCCGATTGTGGTGAGTTTTATTGTTCTTGATGATTTTCTGGTGTACAATATTGCTAACACGTATCTTGTCAAATCTAGACTACAAGATCTACGAGCAGGTCGTCGAGGCTACGCACCGTTTCAAGAGTATTTTCTACGATGCCGAGTAATTGTGCCGGGTAATTGATACCCACGGGAACGGGGACGAATTTACATGCGCATACTTCTCTGATGGAACTCTGCTATTCCTGTACCGCCTCATGGTGGACCTTCTGAGACACTCGGGAAGGGTTTCTAATTTTTGTTTCACGTGGTTCACTACAAGCGCGGCAACTAGGCCCTGGTTTTGACCTCGACGTTCACGAAAGAGTCGCAAGGGGAGTACGAGGGACATTTCTGGTTAACAGGATGCGCTGGAGGTATCAGAGTGTCTTTTTTTGTACCAGATTTGCATACTTCACACGATGTTATGATCAAAGCTCGTCGGTGTTAGAGTTATACCACTCCATGCGTGAGCATTCCATGGTTTTTATTCATGACCCAATTGTGAAAACCAGCTAGGCAGCCTCAGTTACACGGCTATTTGTGAATCCTGTCCTCACTAGCTCGGGACGACGGGCCATTTATCCCCAGTAAACACCAATCGTTCGTCCAACCCTATCTGTTCCAGCAAAGTATACCCCATTCTAATGTTTTCCTCACATATATTCAGAACGCGAAGAATAATGTAAACCTGAGTGGTCGCACGCGTTGTGCACGGTCTGCACCTCTTTATTTACTTTGGAATGATGTTTTTGAATTAAGAATTTTTTGAATTTTTGTTTCGTCTGTCATTTTATCATAAGTGGGCTCGGTGACAGCAACAACCATATGAGCGGAGCAACGAAGGCATGCACATAGATGGTATAACGAATGTGGAGAAGTCTGTTACAACAATTCTGTTCATCATAGAAACCCGAGCAAAGATATCATCAGATAGGAGCATAAAGCCGCCTCCAGAATGAGGTCGGGATGCAATAAATCAATCAAGCCACCCAGCCGAGACGCCGTCGCTCAAAATGAAACAGGAAAAAAAGACAGAGAAATGAAAATTGGTATCAGACATACCCTCACGCGGTAGGAGAGGCAGACTGTTGCCCGTTTGCCTGCTGGTTGGCAGGCTGGACCTTTGAAGCCTGACCCACGTGGTCAGTGTGGAGAGCATCGGAGCTGAAGAAGCCCGAGTCGGGCATTTCCGAACCACCGAAGTTGAAGAGGTGGAATTGGGAATTATGGAGGTTGTCTTTCATGACGGTATGATCGGATAGGATTGCGTTGATCAGGTCTTCCGAAGGGCCAGGGTCATCTTCCGACCCGGAAGGAGAGACGTAGTCCGATGGAAGCCAGTCAGCCCAGTTCTCATCCAGCTTGGCGTTCTGCAAGTCGAAGTCGGACTGGCCAGGAGCATCGTCGAAGATGTCGAGGATCATGCCATCGAGGGATTCGAAGGCTTCCGAGTGCAGACCCTGATCCGCAAGCGTAGGCATGCCATGCTTGTTAGGTGAACGATGTTGCTGTGGAGTGCTCCGCTCCTGACCCTCCTGGATACGCTGCAGGCGCTCCGCAGTGAGCCGGGTCGGGCTCGGATTCATGGTTGAACCGACCTCCTTGCGTCGGTTAGCGGTAGGCGAGTTGCAAGGCAGTGAGTGGCGACGCTCGTGCACAGCATTGGTGCGGTGGTTCCGGCGGCGAGGGGTCGGGCTGACAGGCATATCAAAGTCCATAGAGGGACTCTCGAAGAGGCCATCGATGTCATTACGAGGAGTGGGATCCTGGTTCTCCTTTTCCTTCTCTTCCCGGGGTGGCTTATCTCCACGCGAAGCAATGCGGGGGCTGCGCCGAGGAGAGCAGCTGTTCACGAACGAGGCATCCAGCTCTTTCAACGGACCATCGTTTTGTGAAGCAGGGAAAAGAGCCCGTCGTACAGGCTTAGGAGTAAGGTGGGTTTTGTCCTCGGGTGTAGGGATGGCTCGATTTTGCATATTCCTGGCTGGACTCGACTGGATGGCTTGGCGAAGAGCTTCCATAGCATCCTGCTCCTGCCAACGCTGCTTCGCAGTTTCTGAAGACCGCGGGGGCTCTGCGCTGTTTGCCCGACGCTTCTTGTTGGGATGTTCTCCTGCATAGTCCCGCTCGTTTTCCGCTCGGGGAGTAGTCCCTTCGTCCGGTTGTACAGAGGAGGCCTCAGTAGGAGCCGGAGAGGATGCCGCAGTGGAAGTAGGCGGGCCATTACTGCGAGCCCGGGTAGTAGGCTTGGAAAGTGGGCCACCACTCTGCTTGCGGTTTCTTGAAGAGCGCTTCTTCTTGTTGTTGCCAGTCTTGTCCGCAGGCGCCTTATTCCACTTATTTTCGGGGCGCATCTGCTTGAACTTGTGAAGCCATAGCCCGCAGGGGTTACAAAGCAGGTCCTGTGTCCAACCTTTGTCTTCATCGGCCAGACTCTTCTTGACAATCTTGAATCGGACGACTTCACCCTGGAAATTCCGTTCCTGAGGTTCCCAGAATAACATATTGAAACCCGTCATCATGTCATTTGCAAGTTGCTCACCGCCGCAAACTTCCATCGACCAGGCTCGACGCCATGTCGGGGTTTCAACGGAGCCGCAATTCTCACAGTAAGGAGGGACTTCGCCAGCCTTGATGGCTTGCTCCAAGCGATCCTGCACTTGTCTGGATCTTTTCGCACCTGTTCCACTTCGAGGCTTACCAATCTCAGTTGAAGGCTTCGGGGTTTCAACGAAAGTAAAATCACTCATTGGCCCAGTCCATGTATGTGAGTGATGAAGAGGAGGGGGCTGTGTAGGAGCGGCGGGATCACTGGCAGGGATCGAACTCATCAACTGCACAATATCGCTCTGTGAAATTGGTGCCGGTGCCAATGGCTTCGGGGCCAACCGAACGCCAGCACGCGAAGACGGTCTCGACCCAGCAGATGTGGCCGGACGAGTTGGTGGCTTTCTCGAGTTATGGTCTGCCGGGCCATCGTTCATCACAATTGGCTCATTAGCGTTCTCTGACATGAGCCCAATGGCACTGGCAGGAGAGCCGGCTTGAACAGCAGGTCGAACGGGGCGGGAACGCTTCTCTGCAGTGACTTCGCGCGCCTCATTTCTGCGGCTCTCCTCCACAGGGGTAGGGGCACCATCATCCATGAGGTCCTCGAAACCGCCACTCATGAAACCCGAGTCGGTGTCCAAAGAGATAGGAGGCAGAACCGGGCTAGACCTTTGTGCGAATCGGTGACCATCCAAAATAGGAGGGGATGATGGCATGGTGAATGGAGGCTCGAAGAGACCTTGGTAGCGAGAGTCCTCAGGAGAGTTGGGAGTCTGGTCTGTCGCGAGCATATCATCACTGTTATAGTATGGTGATGTGTATGAAGCGGCACTGTTGATCGAAGATTCTCGTAGCAAGCTAGATGGGATTCGTGCCCGACGCGGTAGATCTCCAGGCCTAGAGATGGGAGTTGGTGGGCGAATAGGTTCCTCATTGGAATGCTCAGCAGCAATGGCAGGGTTGACGGGAGTCGGGCGGTGGATTCGAACTGAGGCGGCAGTGCTGGCTGCCACTCGAAGCGAGCTGGGTTGCCGCTCGATGTTCATATCTGACTTTCCTGGCCAGCCCGCTTGGACAAGCTTGGCTCTCTTCCGAGGCTGGGGTTCCACGAGATCCTCGGCACCACTGCCATATCCAGACTGCACAGAATCCCGTCGAGGCCGAGTGTTAAAAACTTGATGTGGGAAATCACTGTCTCGCATGGACGCACTAGATGAGGGGCGGATCATATCACTATGGCAAAAGTTTTGCTTGGACTGGGGCTGCTGATGTTGACCTGAGGGACGAGTTCCAGCGGGGGTTGACATTCGACTGGGAGGACCGAATGAATGTGTAGGCGAAGAGGAACGAATGGATTCAGTAGGATAGTTGGAAAATTCCCGTGGAGTGGCCCCTTCGCTCAAAAGCTGGTGGAATCGCTCAATTCCGGACTGGGTCATCATCGAAGGAATTTGGTCCTGCTGTCGAGCGGCCTCCAGGAGAGCGGGATTTTGGCGTACAAAGTTGCTCCACGTTTGAGCGTCAAAGTCGTGAGGAATGACATTGCTCAGCTCCCGGTATTTTTGCATGCTGTCAAGATATTCGCTTTGCATGACGGTTGGCACAGGAACTAGCCGCAGTTTAACCTCCAATATCTCCTGGGCACCCCTCGAGAAAAGACCGAGCGGGGTTTTGCACACACGACCAGTAACCATTGTCTTGGACTGGTGAGCTGGAGCCTCTGGTGTCGGCGAGGCAGAAGCGAGGACCCATGATAACATTCCCTGTCCAACTAGGGGGGTTTCGTATTCCGAGTAGTCGTAAGCGTATACCGTGTAATCCCTCCCCAACTGCGCCACCAGTTCAGGACTAAAAAGAAGAATGAGCATTCAATGGATGGTTGATAGAGCAGGGAAAGGGTTCAAACCTGGCGGAAACGATTGCCTGGATACATGTCTTCAATTCGATCACCCCGACGGGTGTTTGCTCATCGAGATAGGCAGTCTGGATATCGAGAACATGAGGCCAGCGAGCGAGACAATTTGTCTTATTTTCGTTGTCGAATGTGTATAGCACTTTCACTGTACGATGAATCGGTTTAGCCTTGATTCTAGTACCAGACACTAGAAAGATCCATACGCCTCATAGGGCGGACGGTGATTCCGTCCTGAGATTCCATCTCCAATCACGCTTCGGTTGACCGTCATGCACGGGAAATGACGAATCGCCAAATTCGATAAATAAATGAAAAGAAGAGGGAATCGGTGGAAGTGGTCGAGTGTATAAGGAGGCAAGGATGGCGGTCCGAAGGGAGGAAGAGTGGATCTTGAATCCGGCAGGACCAGGAACCAAATCGACTTGGATGCACTTCACGTAGCATTCGGCAGGGGTGAGGTAGCAACGAAGCCGATCTACCAGCCAAGCATATCGGTGAAATATCTGGTCGGCCAGGAGAATGGGTAGATTATGCAGCAGCGTGGGGGAGCAGGGTCTGCAGGACTGGAATGTTAGCCGGGCAATTGACGTGGTTCTTCACAAGGGAGAAAAGATAGACGGCTTCATACCCTAGAATTGACTAAAAAGAGTAAGATGATTCAAAATAGGGACGAAAGCTGCAGCTGCAGGAGGGTAGGAGGAGGGGAGGAGGTTGGGGAGTTTAAGAAGAAGCCTTGCATGCGCGAGCGTGAAGCTATCGACGATCACCAAACAAGCGTGTACGCGACGTGAGGCGTGACGGCTCCACTTCCTGTCCCGATTTCTAAGGCACCAAATTTTCAACTCACGTGATCCATCGAACTTCGCGCGACGTCGAAGCTCGGCGGGCCATCACGGCCCTTTTATATCCTCAACTCTCGCCCATCATGTCGACAGCTCCGGACCCCAAGATTCAGTACGTCGTCAATGCGTCAATGACTCATCCGCTCCCATAAAGTTCCCTCAGCTGACCCAAGTCCAACAGAGACCTGCTCAACAAGCCGAAGAGTGAGCTCACGTATGTCAACCCCATTCCCCCATCCCGAACAACCCGAATTCCCCGGTCGTTCGAATAAATATCATTATCCCCTGCCTGTCAAGTTTCTGCCTGGAAGTGCGGGGCTTTTGAAACCAACCAAAAAAAACCCGCATCTCCAACTTACAATCCACAACATTCCTTATGCATGCCACCAAGAACCCTACAGGAAGCATAAAACTAATCGCGCATCCCGCATCACAGGGAATATGAGGTCGCTCAAGTCGAGGAGCACGAGCTCACCGCCGGCCCGCTGTCCCTCCTTCAGACCGCCACCCGCACCCACACCCAGGTCCTGATCTCCTGCCGCAACAACCGCAAGCTTCTGGCTCGAGTCAAGGCCTTTGACCGACACTGCAACATGGTTCTCGAGAATGTGAAGGAGATGTGGACTGAGAAGCCCAAGGGTAGCAAGGGCAAGGGTGTGAACAAGGATCGCTTCGTGAGCAAGATGTACGTTCGGGCTTCCGCTGCTATCTGCTATCTGCTATCGATACCACACATCTGGTGGTTCTCGATTTTGTGTGATTCTATCAGACTGACTTTTTGATCGTATTTAGGTTCCTGCGCGGCGACTCCGTTATCCTCGTTCTGCTCAGCTGAGCGCTCTTACCGCACTCTCTATCTTGCGCACGCCCATCCCGCCCAGGTGGCACTTTCCTGGTATCCCGGATTTTGAATCTACGGGATGGTGATCTCTCCTGCTTGCATGGCAAATCGTACCCGCTGAAATACCGGTGGGACGAAAAATTCATCATGTAATCGATCTCGATACCCTTTTTTTGATTTCTGCTCCACGATATGTCTCGCCCTTGCTTCTGCTCGTCACCGCCGCGGGGTACTCAACCCTTGTTCCTGTGAGGTAGCATTCGTATGCAACGGTGACCTGAGAGTGCGTTGATCTTCTACCTTGTTTGTCTCGTCGTTCTGGTGGACGATAAAAAAGATTTGTTCCGGCGTTTCAGTTTAGGTCAATGAGTTTGCTCTTTTGACGAGCGTCGGGTGGCGTCTTACCTTGGAGCAGAGTGGTTAGCAATGGATTTTTCGGGAGATCATATAACGTTGAGTTCTATTTTTTGCGTAGTATCTTGTCTGGATGTATCTTGTAGTTGTGTCTGGGTACACGGTGTGAAGGTATTGTTGTGTCGTCGGGGTGTGCTCGCCAAAATGTAAGATGCATCTAGTACCAACCTCAATCTAATCCATTACATTTATTTTCACCTGGTCAAAGATAATCGATCTTTAGTGTTGTCATCATCATCAAATTATATAAAGACAAGACCACCGAGCATCTACCCGCGAGGTCAGGTATCACGCTAGTTATTCATACGAAGAGAGCAAGAGAAGAAGACCCAGTCCTTACGCAGACTCGGCAATTCCAGTCAAGAACTCCGTGAGACCATAAGCACCGGGATCCGGCACCTTACCGATCCACTCCGACTCTCCGCCAACATACACGGAGCGACCGAGACTAGCCTTCATGCTCTTCGTCGACTCAGTGCCCTGCTGAGCAGCAGCCGCCGCAACGCGGATATCGTGTGTCTCAAGGAGAGTATCGCAGAACGGCACAAGCGCATCCATGAGAGTCCGGTCGCCGGGCTTGGCAGGCGTGTACTTGCCCAGGGCAGTGACGGAGTGTTTCAGGGCCTTGGCCCAGACCTCGGTCGAGGCCTGGAGGACTGAACCCGTGTCCTGCTCGCGAAGTCCGTGGGCCAGCGCGTTCAGGAAGATCGCGTAGATCGCGCCCGAAGTGCCGTCCATCACGTTCTCCACGACCGTCACGATTTGGTTCACTGTATTGACGGCATCGTCGCTCAAAGGCTTCTCCAGCAGAGCCTGAATGGCTTCGGCTCCACGCTTCAGACCCACACCGCAGTCGCCGTCGCCCACGATCGTGTCGAAGCGAGTCACTTCGGGCTCGGCCTTGATCACGCGTGCCAGGCCGGCTCCGAGAACCGTCTTGATCACAGCAGGGTCCACTATTACAATGTTAGTTTAGGATACCGATTTGAATTGTGGGAGGAGACATACGCTTCACGTTGCTGGGGGCACTTTCAGCCAAGTTGGAGTCCTGGACCTTTGGGTAGGTGTCGATCCGGTTCTCCCAGACCGATGTGGGGATCGGGGCAGACCAGCCCAGAGCCTCAGCGGGAGCATCGATAAGCTCGAGCATAGACTTGCCAGCACCGAGGCCGGTGTCAGCCAGGCGCAGAAGCGAGATGCTGAAGCCCAGGCCGTTCAGACTGGTCAAGAAAGTCCCCTGGATCACGCGGACGGGCTTGATCTTGTAGTCACGGACAAGCTGGCGGTGGACTTCGTCAAGGATACCAGACAACTCGAGCGGGCTGACACCACCGAGGTTGTTGATCAACAGGACGAAATCATCTCCAGACTTGCGGGATACATAAGCGCGGTCAGGGTCGGTCTCGTCAAGCATCTGGCTCAGCATAGTCGAGATCACCGGAATCAGGTCCGCCTTGTCACGGTGGGAACCGGGCTCGTTGTGAATGCCCATGCCGACCTCGATCTGGCCGGGTGGGATCGTATCTTCGGGCACTCCACGGCCGGGAATATGGACGTGTTCCAGAGAGGAGCCAATGGTGAGCATGTTGTCATTGACCAACTGAGCAAGAGCATAGACCTCATCCAAAGAGCCTCTAAACGATCCCATTAGGACTGGACATTCAGAAAAAAAAGTCATACATCGCACACGACTTACCCAGCTTCAGCCAAAGCACCAATTGATTTCAAAATAAGCACACCACCACTCAGACCACGACGGCCAACCTTGCCGCTCTTCTTACGACCAACGCTCACGTCGTCATTGATCGCAAAAAACTCCGTGCGAATGCCCGCAGCACGGGACTTCTCCGTGGCCATACCGAAGTTGAGCACATCGCCCGTATAGTTGTTGGGGATGATCAGAACACCGGCCTCGGTGGGGACCCGATCAATTGCAGCTCTGCGGATCTGCTCCGCGGAGGGAGAAGCGAAGACGGTACCGGCGACAGCAGCATCGCAGAGACCCTGGCCAACGTAGCCGGCAAATGCGGGTTCGTGGCCCGATCCACCACCGGTGACGATGGAGACCTTATTGGCCTTGCGGGGCGCATCTGGACGGCGGAAAACGATCTTGTGCTCGGCGTCGAATGCAAGGGACGGGTTGGTAAGAGTGATGGAGTTAAGGGCGGTCATGACCAAATGGGTCGGATCGGTGAAGAAGTGCTTGGCTAGTGAAAGTTAGCATGCTGCTCTTCATTGACATTCCGAGGTTGGTCTTCCGATGGATCACATACTCTGCATGGTGAAGGTTGTTGGGGATTTTGTTCAGTACGGAAAATTAGCTGCGAAATTTCGTTGTATATGTAGAACCCGTCGGATCTTCCCAAAAGTGACGCCCACGGTTCAACAAGCCCGGAGAAACCTGGAATACGCTTTGAGCAAGGTGGCGAGCTGCGGATGTACTTGAGAGGGCGGGGCGGGGAAAAAGTGGGGGGTTGACGCAGGCTGGGGCTTTCGTTAGTTGAGGACCATTGGGATGTTTCCTTCCATAGGCGATTGGAATTGGTGCCGTAGAGTAGCATGGGCACTAATTCGGTCGTACCGAAGGACTCGGTAGCACCGGGGGAAGGTAAGATGAGACTCACAGGGAGAGCTGTTGAGGAGTATAAACCCGCCGAGTATACAGCAGAAGAAAAGAGTACAGAACGCTAGGAGCTAGAAGGGAGCTCTCCCACTTTATAATCCCTCCAAAGTCACAGATTCTGTCACGAACCCACAATTGCGTTTCTGTTGCTCACATGAACCACAATTCCCCATCGTACTGCTTCCTCGTTGGTCTGGAACGGGAGGCGTTCGGATTACCTTGTGCGGAAATCCCGCCAGGCACGTCGTGGAACCCCCGTCCTTTATCGCCCGAGTGGCAACACACCGCCCGCCATTCACGGGATAAGTCACTTTACTTTGGTTCACTCTCCACCGAGTCACGGTTTTACTTGGATTCTCATCCCCGAATGCGACATTCAGTATGGCTGTGCCAATTGTTTCGAACGCCACCCCCCGGGGGTTCCGTGCACCGACCATCACTTTAATCCCATTACCGTCATGCTACCACCTATCGGGTGCGCAGAACAAGCAACATAGCTAGAACCCCGAAGCCTAAATTTTGGACTACAAATATCTCCAAAATGGAGCTGTACGACTGGGGCAGGCTTCTGGTCAAAGCGGAGGCATCATGGGACCATCAGAAAAGGCGGGCTCCGGATTTTATGGGGCCCGATGGATCCGCTGTCAGATCGGGGTGTGGGGGTTCACGGCGCAGAATCATATACACAGTAGCTCCGCAGTGGCGATTAATCGGGCACGCGGTCAATCATTCCTCGCATGCCCCGGGTTAGAGCGTTGTTTTAGAAAGACACGGGCTGAAAGATAGAAAGCATATTCCAATTGAGGGTGGGCTGTGACGGCAACTACTGCGGGAATTCTCGAATCGGTGGATGCAAACTGCTAAATACACCAAGTCTATGCAACATAGCTGTATTGGTTGCCCTCGGCTCGTTCCATGTAGTCCTTCTCGATCAATCTGAGGTCGAACAAAGTCAGTGAAAAAGCTCGGGAAACGGGAAAATCGGAGACATACTTCTCGATATTGGTCTTGATCTCGGCGGGCTGGAGGGTGCCGCGGTGCCGGGTGGCCTCGATCACCTCCGCCATCAGCTCGGCGTGCTTGATCGTCTTGCGGCTCTTCATAATCCGCACAATGGCCGCCTGCGTCTCGTAGTGCCGGTCTGCCGCGACCCGCTCGTGCGTGGTCTTGTTCTCCTCCTTGGTCTCCTTCAGCTGAATCTGGTTAATTTTGATGCGTCGCTTGAAGTCGGTGAACCCTGCATTCCACGAGAACTGGTCTGTTGTGCTGACTTCCTTGCCCTTGGGGTTCTTGGTCAGAACTCGGTATTTGGCACAGGCGAGCGATTGCAGAGTTCGCTTCAACTCCGGATCCGCTGTAGAAAACGTCAGTTCGCGTTGGTTTGAAGCAGACGGAGAAAACTTACAAAGTCCAGTCGCTTTCTGTAAATCTGCATAGCTCAAGCTCTCGCCCTCGGCAACGTCATTGAATAGCAGAAGCACGATCGCCTGGAAGGAACTGACGACCAGGTCCTTCGGGACGGCCTCCTTGGGGAAGCGAGCCCGCAGTTGACAATGCGCCAACTGGTGCTTCCATTGCAGCTTGCGACCCGTGTGCTTTTTGTGGTAGAAGTTCTCAAAGTCACTAATCGCCGATGCGACGACTCGTGGGATTGTCACCTGAACATCAGGGTATGACGGCCACGCGGAAGCAGAAATCACGCTGACGTTCAAATCCACGGACGAACGACCTCTGGCACTCTTATCCTCGTTGTAGGCTCTCATCTCATCGCGCGCCACATCCATGTCCTTGAACATTGATTCCAGGTTATGCGTGAAACTTGAGCCGCATTCTGGGACATGGTTAGAATTATAGCAACGATGCGGGGTATGACTATATACTAACCTTTCTTGAGTCGAACGAGCATGCTCTTCTCGGCGTCGTCATTCGCGCTTTTGCCCATCAACAAACGCCGAGCGAGGTCGTTCTTGTAGAACGCTTCGAACACTGCCTTTCCTTGCACGAACCGGAATAGATCCAGAACTTGATCAAGCTGTCGGTTAATCTCGGCATCTTCATCCGCCATGGTAACATCCTCCTGCCCGGCGGCCCCAGTTGCCTTCAATCCGCCCTTGAGTAGTCGGTCAACGTGCTTGGCTATCATCTCGCCGGTCTTAGGGTTGTCCGTGCCACCAGTAGATTCGGTCTTCTTGCCGAGATTCATAAACTGGGCAAAAGCTTCACGAAGAGCGTGGCTGAGATCGTCATCCCGATTAAACGCACTCGCCCAAGTAGCATCGAGCTCCTGTTTGAATTGGAGTAAGCGCACGACCATTTCCGGTTCGTTAGCTTCGTCAAACACGATACTAGAGCCTTCTTCGACGATGAAACTATTGAAAGCCGGTTTCAATTTGTTGGTAAGGCCCTTTCGGTTGAGGAGAGTGTAGAGTTGCTTCAAGGCAGACTTATTACTCGATCTCATCAAGCCAAGGACGTCACTCTTTGCAAGAAGAGCATCCTCCTGCTCCGAGATCAGAACCCGATCCAAAAGTTCGGATAACTTCTGCTTCGTGCTTTGGTTGAGAGAAAACAGCGCACAGCGCTCGAGTTCACGCTCGATCAAACCGTGGCTATTTTCAACATATGAAGCCAGATACCCCGCAACCTCCCGCTGAGCCCATGAAGCAACGAACCTTTCAGTTTCATTGATAAATAACGGCTCGAAATCACTGTTGTAGACATCGAGATTGTGGAAAAGATCGACGGACGCTCGTAGTAAAGCCGGGTCAGGTATTCCACAGCCTTCTACTACTCGATCCGCAGTGATGAGGTCGCAAGCACCTTGTAATACCTTGGGCTTGAGACTCCGGTCGGCGAATATGTAGGAACGGAATTGAATTAATCCCATTTCCTGGATCACTGGGAATTCCTTGGAATGCAAGAGGAAGGACTGGTCCAGATAATAGAACACCCAGCGAATAGTAACCTGTCGACCCGTTAGTTCCTGAGCAATGTCTTCGATACATGCCAGCCACTTACCAGTCGTGAATGCCACGCCGACCATGCTTCGATCACTGCCCGCAATGTATCGACGTTGGTCCCACCGCCGGCTCTTGTCACCAGGTTGTCGCGTAGTGTTCCAGCCACGTAATCTTTGCACCTTTCCTGGACTTTCTTGGCCAGCAAGGCGGCCCGCTCTTGCCGACAGATGTTCTCGGCCCCCTTGTACAGCTCCTCCAACGAAACATCCGGCTTCCTACCATCGAAGATAGCTGACAAGGCTGCGTTGAGTTGCGCCCAGGTCTTGTCAAAATACGGCTCCTGGGTGACCCGAGGTCCGGTGCGCAGGTTCTTGACAACAAGCTTCTTCGCACCGGCATGGGGACTGAAGTTGTTTTGTCGCGCGTTCACGTTCAACGCCTGCGACTTGACTGACGGGGGATTCAAAGCAGGTGCGCTTCGACCGAAGGCAGCGCCATTCTTGGGTGGCGAACCGGAGAAGTTATACATCTTGGTGGGAGAGACTGGGTGAGCGGAAGAGGAGCGAGTGGGAGAGTGGGAGTAACGGGAGCGTTTGGAAGTCGAGGAGGCGAGTGGCGGCAGATTATCCTGAGAGCGTTTCTTCGACAGAACATCAGAGATGGTCCTCTGTGACTGCGGCTGCGATGGCTCTCCTTGATCAGAAAGCTTCCTCTTGCCGATCGATTTGCGCTTACCGCTCCTCTCGGTGTCGCCGCTCGAGTGCTGCTGCATCTACCCGGTTCAGTCCGACACTAGTTGAGGAGCTCTTAGCAAGTGAGATATCGGAAAGATCGATCGAGCATCACCACCAGGGCGGGGGGAGGAGTGCGGAGTTCGGGTGTTGTTGAGGGGAATTGACGTTGGTCTCCCTTCGAACTTGGCTCCGCACGGCGATAAGATAGGAGCTCCGGATCTTCACGAATTACGCTGATATGCTGTAACCGCGGTCTATGCTCGTTATTCTTTCGATTCTCTAGTTCATATCATTGATGGACTATCTAGTTAAATTTCAGAGCTCAAATTGGCCAGCTGAAGAGTCCGGTATGACCGGGGAGGGCCCTGGTGAAATATACCAAGAATAGCTTCAGCTGACGATATATATATCCAGTCGTTCACCTTACGCATTAGCAATCTCAACATTAAGGACCTCTTAAATACCTTTGTACAGATATAAATCAAGGAATGTATCCACTTTTCCATGAGAATACCCGCAAACCATCCAAGGTTAGATATAGGATACTAATACCGCCGATTCATAGGGTAGGTACCCAGGTACCTTCAAAAGGTTTACGAGAGGATTTCCCGTACACCCATGGACCTCTGTAGCTAGTTTCTTCCACTGTTCTATGCCGACCTCGGGATCTTTAACACGTTGGAATCTTACTCTATTACCTGATTGAAAAGTGTTTAAAACATTGAAAATTGCAAGGTTATAGTTTAACCTGGGATGCATGTATGGAAAGAGACTGAAAATCGCTCAACCTCCTGAAAGAAGCCTACACTCCGCATCTATGTTACACGCCATGCCGCCTAGTCAACCCCGAATCCAAAAGTTCATGAAAATAGCGTGGGCCGAGTGCTTTGTTGCACTTCCTGATCCTCGAACTATGTCAAAGTTAGCGAGACACAACCTTATAAGGACCGTAGGATAAACCAACCTCTAGGTAATCGGTGGCAGCCACAAGAGCCATGAACGACTTGACGAGTTCACAAAGAGTACGTTGATGATCGGCGGCGGCGCCACCTCCAATCTTTGCGAATCGCTTGAAGACTCCCACCATGCATGAGCGGTTCTCAGCGATAAAAGCCACCGTCTGAGCCTTAATTTGTTCATTGTGGACCCCGCGGGAGAAGACTGCCGAGACGATGACGCGGATCACGGACAGGAGAAGATCGTAATACTTTCGTAGGGCATCGGGGTTGTCAATGTCTGTTCATGTCAGTAAATGTGTTGTAGCAATATTAGAGCAAACAGGGTGTACAGACCAATGCCAATATCCGGATCGGCAGCGAAAAGCTGCGAGTCGCGAACTGAATCGAAGAGACCAGACTTGAGGACTGAGATGGCTCCATTTTTAGTATGACAAAGCTGTTGGAGAAGAGCCAACAGAGACTCGTAGTATGCCAACAGAACGACGGTGTCTGGACAGAGTATGAATTAGTAATGCTCAAATCGTATGTAATAGAGCCCGTAACATACCCGCTGCTTCGGCATTCCGCAACTCAAGGGGTAGTGATCTGACGGCATCCAAGAACAGACTGAGATAATTGGACTGTGAAATCGACTCAGCCAGAACACAGTCAGTCCGGCTGTCGAGAATAGCAAGGCAGTTCAGCAGGAGCAGAGCTGCAGCCCGACACGTTTCTTGACCAGTGTAGGCATCGTCGCAGATGATCTCAATAAGGCCAGGCCCAGATGCCTTGACCACTTGTTGGCTATGACGTCGCAGGCCATCGTGAGTCTCATCCGACGATGTGATGCGAGTGACATAAAGAGAGCAAATGCTATAGAGAATTTCTCTCAATGACACGTTGCCTGTCGACAGCGTGATTCCACGAGAAGAGACTTGGAAAAGTTGATGGAGTTTCTCATCAATGACATCTCCACTTCGAGAAGCAGGGGCTGTAGAGATGTCAGATGCCAGCTTGCCAACCAATGTTTCGGCCAACCGTGCCAATTCGATAGCTTCTGGCGAGTCATTCTCAATTGCAGCTTCGAGTTTGGGGAGAACCATTTGAATGGCGTGGAGGATGAAGGTCGGTCTGCTTGCGTCATCGATGATGGAACAGGCGATGATTGTCGTGATGAGCTCGGCCCAGGATCGGAGGGCGAGGTACCGGTTGCGTTGAATTTGGCGGCTTTGATTTGTTGCGATAAGGGTTACCTTCAAACTGTCTGCCTCTCCCAGGAACACCTCTTCGTCTTGAGGGCGGAGCGGGCCATTGGCCGCCAGCTCTTGTCTCCGGATCTTAATCAACTCATCGACCTCGGGAATATTGTAGAGAATCAACGAATCACCTGCTTCCTTGGCACATGCCTCAACAGCGATTTGATCCAGTAACACAAGTTCAGGCATAGGGATTTCGCGACATACATCTAGATCCGCGAAATCGAACAGGTCAAACACAGACGGATTGTTGATGGATTCTCCGTTGTTCTGGATGGAATTTCCGAGCAAGGTCGACAGAACTTCCGTCTGAAGCGTTGGAGAGCCGATCTTGGCTGCTGAGCGGATCTCAGTCGCAGCGTACGCAAATAGATGACTGCGGTAGAGGAGGAACTCTGCCAATGCGGAGGTAGCATCAGAGAACCAGAACTCGTCCATTACAATTGACAGGCCACTCCAGGCGGTATTCGGTCCGACAATGGGCTGTACTGCAAACATATTCATGAGGAAACCCTGAGCACGCATTTCCCCAAGAGTGAAATAAGTTGCCAGCTTTGAGGACCAAAGATGCTTCAGAACCTCGAAAGCCATGCGTTTGAGGTGCACCGTCCACGATGTGATGCTGCCATCCACCTCATCAGGATATTTCTGCAAAAACCCAATAATGGCATGCAGCAAAGACATCTGATTTGCGAACAAGCCCTCGGATGGAACATCGAGGATATTGCCCACACAACTGAAGCCGAGGAGGAGATGGGCCACAGTAGGACGGTCTGTGATCATCGACAGGCAGCTGTTCAGGAGAGCCAGAAGGCTTTCTCGAATAACGTAACCTGCTGCTTCAGCACCGTACTCCAACTCTCTCGGGTCTGGATCCATTTGAGAGACAAGTGAACGGGAAACACTGTCAACATCCACCTCACTAGCAAGAACCTCAACTATTTTGTTTGAAGATTGCCATTTGAGCAATTCTGGCGATGACATTTTGTTCAACTTGTGAGAACTCGTAAGCTTCTCCAGCAAAGCCATGGAGGTGACGGTCAGTTGCTCGTGACCTGTACCGCAGTACAAACAAAGAGCGGGCACTAGTGTTAGGTTGTTCAGCACACTGTCTTCAAAAGAAGCCAGTGACGAGTTTGCAACGTTAGTTCTGTTGGGTCCGGCATGGGCTTTAATCAAAGGCTTGACAACGTTGAAATATGTCGACTGGAGATCCATGACCAGGTTCATTACTTCAATGCTGCGAAGCAAGGTCAGGACCAGAACAGAGTCGGACGCTGCTTGAGCAACCTCGGCGATATCCTGCTGGCTGATTGCAAACAGCGCCTTCAAGACATCTTCGTTGAAGAGCCACTCCATCACACGAGCAAATGCATGGAGACGAACGTAGGTGACGAAGACGGACGCAGCTGGCGAGGATTCGGCAAGGGAAGGCTGGCTAAATACAGTGACAAGATCTTCACTGAAGCTTTTCAAGCTCGTTACAACAAATTCCAAACAGTTGTAAGCCAGACGGCGGGATTGATAGTCATTAAGTTCCTGCACCTTGCGAGACAAAGCGTGACCCAAAACGAAGTCAACATAAGGCTCGATTCCGGGCATACGATATGTTGCTCCCAAGGTCTCTGGGAATGGTAGAGCCAAGTTGTTGCCCGCGATATCGGAAGCGGGTATGATCAGTTCATTGACCAGAAGAATGAACGCATTGGTTTGGTCAAAAGTCTCGCCGATCTTCTGCAGAGTTTGCTGCTCATGCCACACCATTTGCTGGGGGGGAGGTGCTTTGTTATTGCTATGAACAGGAGCCAGTGCACCAGACAGGTATTGGTCAAGGAAATTCCACATATCGTTTCCATGAGCGGCGGTCTTGTCGGTCACCAAGGCTGAAAGCGTGACAAACGTGGTGGCTCGCAGATGAGTGGGTATCGGCCCTTTGCACAATGTCAAGAGGTTTTCAACGACCTTGAAAGATTCATTCTGCAACATCCATTCCCGAATGGCGCCACTTTGTTTGCAGAGGTGTCCCATGAGGCGAAGATAGCAAGTCAACATGACCGGACTTTCTGGTTCGCTCATATCCACGGGCTCTGGCTTTCGAGTGCGCATCATTCCTTGAGAAGTACTGCTGGGGGCCGTTTTCTCAGCAGTAACGCGACCCGCATACAATTTCAATTCGGCAAACATCTGTGTCCAGTTCATTGTCGTGGAACGCTTCAGCTTGGAGCCCATGAATTTGTCTTCTTCTGACAAGAATCTGTTTGCAGCTGCAGCGTTTTCTTCACCCTCTGAGATTGAGCAGAGCATCTCACAGAAGGCACTGACTCGAGGAACAGTTTGACGCTTAGAAGCCCACTGAAGGAATCCGTAAAGGTTTCCATCAGGATCGGCCCAAAATTCCTGAGCAGCTTCTTGTCGACGCTCAAAAGCGAACGAAATGATCATCAAGAGGGACTCCAGATGAGTTCGAGCTTCCACTAAGCCACGGTGAACGTTGGCTGTCAAACCATCTCTGAGAGCAGTGATTTGTTCCAATCGCTGAGTGTCCTCTTCGGACTTCAGCTTCCGAACTGCGTCGGGCATGTTCGCAATGCATGACTCCACGAAGACCTCGAAATTTTCCATCAAAAGCTCCTTCATGTAAATAGCGCATGAGTTGACCTCGGGTAGCGTGATGATGCTCTCCCTCAGCAGAAGCGCGACAAGCTCACTGCGTGCGGGATCAGCCCACTCCTCGCTGTTGACACAAGAGCAAACAGCGAGCATGAAGTCAAGGGCGCCGTCATCAAGGGCAGTCATGAATGATTTCGTCCGTTCGTCAGCCTCTTTCTCAAGATCGACACCCATAATTGGACTGTCATCGAAGTAGAATCCGCTGTATACTGATAACCACAGAGCAATGATGGCAGCATGAAAAGTTGGCAGCTTCCAAGTTTGACCATCTTTGCCGGCGGTGATGACGGAATTCAGGTCCCTCGCATCCTTCTGCGAACCATTGCCCTCCGGAGAACCGTGCTGAACAAAGGATGCAATTGTGATGGGAAGATAGTGTACCAACAACCCGTCAAAGCGCTCCAGCTTTTTCAACTGAGTGATGAGCACGCGGAAGTCCTCCTGACTTGTGTACGTGCCCTTGAACATGTAGAAAAGAATGGCAGCAAGAGACTCATGCTGTTGTTGCAGACTGTGACGTTGGTATTCGATGGCCTCCATGATGTCACGGTCTCCTTCTGCACCAACGATTGAAGCTTTTTGAACCTGGTCGCCAAGAAGCGACAGCCATTTCTCGATCTCCTCCATTGATTTCAGGCCTTTCCTCGCGAACTCCGATGCGTTTCGCAAAGGGCTGTCTTTAATTTCCAGAATAAGGGCGAGGGCTTCTAGCATGAGGCGTTGGGTATCTTCGCGTTCGATTTCGTAAGACTCACGGAAAATAAGGCGTAAACACTCGAGAAGGAAATGGCGGCGCTCGTGGAATCGCATGATGGCGGTTATCACAGGAGGTCTGTCCAACACCTGCGAATATTCTTGAGCGGCAAGGAACATTGCTGCAGCATCCAATTCGTTGAGATTTAGTGCATCGGCCAGCTGCAACGCGCCCTGCTGGAAATCCTGGTTGATCTCATATTCGACGTCCTCGACCGTAATCCTTCCTACATGCGTCCTAGGTCAGCATGTTATCTTTGCGCAAAGTAGAACGCAACGAAAGCCTTGATAGATACAAACCTGAGAGCACATTCTGGCGACTGTCGTTGGCCTTGGGGGATTTGTCTAGGAGTTTTCGGAAGTCGTGAATATGGGTCTCCAATTCGAAACGAAGCCGCTCGATACTCGGAAAGGGAGAGTCCGTAATGGCAGAGAGATCCTGATACAGACCACGCAGGCCTGCTAGGTTATCGTGGAGCTCTGCCATGTCGGCGCGGGGTGAGGGAGGTGGGAAAGGAAGCTCAGAGCTCTGTTTGTCCCAGAAAGGCGGAGCGCGATCAAAATTCCGGGCGGTCATCTTCTCGGCAATACTGCCGCTCCACAAAACAACTGCGTCAACAATGGTCAAGGCGCGAATTTGTCAATCCCAGTATGGCTGATTGAAGTCCGAGCTTACGCCTGGATGGTCGCGCTGTCGTCGTCGTGGAAGCTTGACGAGAGCTTTCGCTTCGCTCACCATAATGGGGGAGATCTTTCTGGACCGAGCACTCGGGCTTCTGGCCTCGGATAGGCAAAAGGATCGAACTGATGGGCTAGCAGGTTGGTTGGACATGTCCTACTTGATAGGCAAGTGCTAAACGGACACATTAGACCTAAAACATATTCTACATCAGAACAAACGGAGCTCCAAACTGTAAGAGCTTCGCCGCGCAGATGATCATCAACCAACAGCTAACGTCTGACGGGATCATTCTAGTTTAGATCTCAATGATAAAGCCTGCCACAAAATTTTCGAATCCCTCTTCCGGCTGGTCGCTTCGGAAAAATCAGTCTACACCCGAGCCCAACGATCGAACTCCAAGAGCCCTTCTACCACACGGCTGTCAACATGCGCGTCGGTGGTTCGGATTGCGGTCGACATCTTCCTGCGGAGTATCAGGACCAAAACCGTCCGTCTCATCATTGACCATGTCACCGAGACCATACCAATCCCTGGAGAAGGCCTCTGGGAGCTCCTAAGCGTGGACTACACCAAATGCCTAACATCTCTTCTTCGCTACCCACCCCACACTGAGCACCTTGGAGATGGAGAATGGGAGAAACTCATCGAGTTCTGTCTTACCGCATTAAACCTCCAGGAAAGCGACGAGAGTCAACCCAGCATCCGCAGCGGAAATCGGTCTGCCGGTGAAGACCTACTGGATGCTAGCGATGGCCGCTCAACCCCGTCAAGGATGACTCCTGCTCCAGCTTCCAGAGAAAAATATGTGGGCGATAAAAATGCCATCGGAGAGGCTGTAGTATGTATTCATGTTCTGACCGCAAGCCCCAGTGCTCCGGTTCAGGTTGCAGCCGAAAATATCCTTCATGGGCTTGTGGAGTTTGTCAAATCCTCGTCAAGGGTTGCGGGGAATGCACACCAGCTTGCATTCAGTAGCATCAATACAGTCGTTTCGAAAGTGTTGTTTGATCAGTCTGAAGTGGTTCGATCAGCTCTTTTGCGCCTTGTCCCAGTAATTCGACGCCTGTGGGCCACTAAGCTCCAAAACCTGAAGGACGAGTTACTTGTTACTTTGATGCACTGCACAGTGGTCTTGACCGATGCAACTCGGAATGATCTGTCCGCGTCGCTGGAGCCCTCTATCGAGGGACTTGTCGACTCCCTTCACTCCGAATATGTGAGACGTCCCGAGAAAGAGTTGATGCAGGTTGATGATGTGGTCTTCTATGACGCGACAGACAAGAAGAATCGGCCGCTATATGGACCTCGCTTGGGAAGCTCTCGGTCAGAACACAAATGGTCTCTGATTTGGGTCATTGCAAACCTGTTACAGCAGTCGGAAGACATCTCAGCTAATCCAACAGGTCGGAATCCCCTTCGAGAGACCTCGGGGAAACGGCAACGCTTGAATTCCGGCATCGACGACATTTTTCGAGATGCAGTTTCAGCAACAGGTGCACGGAGGATTTGCGCCCTGCAACTTGTTCCTTTTCTTGAACGCACGATGGACGCAGATAGAAAGGAATCTTTCCTCCAGCGACTGATACCTAACATCATCGATGAAAATGGCGCCATTTCCTCCTGGACAATGATTGCGCTGGCAAGGTTAGTAAATTGTATTCCTAATCCTCGACTCAACCTAATCGATAGGGGGTTAGCATCGCAACAGGGCCTGACTCGAGAGCCTTTCCGTTCAAAAGGCATTGGTCACGAGCTGTGGACCTCACAGCTCGAGCCTTCTCTTCCTTTGTCACATCTAGAGCTGCCTGCAAGCTCATGGGCACCATAATAGAATCTGACCTGCTGGAGTATTCTACTGCGACGGAGACCATACGCTCTATGCTGTTTTCCGCGAATCTAAACGGTCCCTCAGCCATTTCAGATGCATCTCTGGGTCTTTGGGCATTAATAGCACGGAAGAGAACACAAATAAGTCCCGGCCCAGCACAAAATGCTTCGAAGCACATCTGTAGTTGGCTGAGAGAAGCGTGGACTATTGGTAGGCTCTTCGAACATCTCTCATTCCATGCTTCTGATTACTAAAGGTAGAGTTTGCAGGCTCAGTCACCGACCGCATTCAAACAGCTCAAGTCGCTATGTTTGCCCGCCCATTCGAATTGCTCAACCTTTTCATGGCTTGCACCAATCGACCTTTCAAGCCTCCTTGCCTTCAGGAGACAGGGCCTACGGGACCAGTAGGAAGGGCATGGTTTTTCTTTCATGAAAATCAAGAACTTCTGGAGTACCTATTCAACATCGGGTGTGATATTCGCAACTCCGACCCATGGAGTCGGGACAGTTCATGGACCCTAGAGCCATCAGCACGACAGGACGCCGATGATTTGGTGATCCTAGAACTCTTACGATCAAAGTCTGAGGTGTTCCTTCAAACATGGAAGACATTGACGGAAGACAGATCGCTTCATATTACTGCAGATATTCTGCAAATACTCACATCCTTTTGTACCGTGTCCGCTCTTTTTGGGGCATGTCTTCCCCAGCAACTGGAATCACGAATGCAAGAAATCCACAAGAACTGTCATTCCATGTGGAATGGCATCTGTGAGTTCTTCGCGGCTCACGGATTAAACTCATTACAACCTTGCCTTGAGACGATATTGCCATTTATTCCTTCGGGGCCAAGTAATTGCTCTATCGCCTGGATTGGCATTTCATCGGTCGTGACTCCTCTTGCTAAAGTACTCGAGATGTTCCGCCAGGGTTCCAAAGAAGACCGCACCACCATGCATGACCTTATGGATTTGGATGACCGGCTGACAGCCCAGGGAGACCAGTTATCGACCGATCAAGGTATCCTATCTCTGAATCGGGAGTCACTCGCACTATTTCGAGACATCGCCACTTTCCAGCGGTGTGTGACTGTTCAGCTCTCCATCCTGTTAAAGGTACAGACGGAAACTGGCCCTTTGGAAAACCGTTCATCGGATCTCATTGAGTACCTGACGAGTTTGGATGAAGCAGATCTCTTATCAGCTCAACGTGTATTACCTGAGGTCTACCGCATTGTCTCAAAAATGAATCGGAACGAACTGCTTCGTGTTCTGGAGGACCTGGGAGAAAAGTGTCTCCAGTCATATGAAATGGAACGGTGTGAGGCTGCTCACGGCATCTGCATCAGTATGATGTCCAGTTTTGTTGCATCCTGGACAGATGAACAGAATGAAACATTGAGTGAATCAGCCATGGACCTGTACAGCTGGTTTATGGAGGCCCTCTTGGCTAGAAAGAGAGCCTCGCCGAAGGTTTATATTGTCTTATCCGAGCTCATCCAAGCTGTGCTTGATGCTCGCCCTTCATACGGCAGCGAACAATCACTTCCATCACCCCGTACAAGCCTCTTCACTATTCTCCAGGCAGGCGATGTCCAGGTCAAGTTTAGTGTTGCAAGGTTCATACCTTTTTTGTTCGAGCGGTTCCTGCTCAAGGACCATGACGCTATCTTTGACGATGTGCTAGGAAGCTTGCCTAGAGATCCAGATTGGGTTGAAGGCATTGCGCTTCGCCTTTTTGTCTTATCCCGATTGGCTTCTGACTGGCACACTCTACTTCGCAGATGCATTTACCACATGTTTGAGACACCCGCTCAGGTACCAGCCTCTCTCGAATACGCGCAAAAATGCATGAAGTCGGTATCGAGGACACTGGGCTTGCGCGATGCAAGAGAACTATTCCGGCTTTTCGCGTCTCAAATACTCTACACCTGGATGGAAACACAAGCAGTGATTTCCATGCCATTCAGTATCTTTGAATACGGGAGCCTCAAAGAACTACTGCTTGACGTGAGGGATGAGGCTGTTGGGCAGATGATGATGCGTGGTAAGGAATCGGAATTGCAAGAGCTTGCAAGCTATCTCGGCATTCCCTACGCCGAACTCCTGGAAAGCTCTTTCCATAGAGCCGAGGCCTATTGTATCGCACGGGACATTACCACTCCACCTGAGCCCGGCAGCCAGCCTAAGGGCGTGGAGGTTCGAATGAGAAAGCTACTTGGTACCGACGGGTTCATGAAAAAGATTGACAGGCACTTTCCTGAAATCATCGCCACCTTCTTCAAGTCGCTGGATCGTTATGATCAGGTTGAACGGGCCTTTTCAAAGCGACCAAGCTTCCAGTATGCCCTTGACATCCAGAACAAAATTGTGGACAAAAGCGCTGCTCAAATTTCCCTACCCGCGAATCAACAGCCCTCTTTTCGAGCTCGCTACCTCCTGGATGAGCTCGACTTTCTTTGCAAACGAGTCGGATTTGAACTGGAATCGATATGGACTGCAGCACTAGCCTCATTTATCTGTCGGTCGCTGTTAGAGACAATACATCCCGCCCTTGGATCTCTTCATACCTGTTCTGTTATTCGGAAAATCAGAATTCTTGTCTGTTTGTGTGGTCCTGTGATCCTCGAAGGCTATCCCTTCGAAATGCTGCTTCATGCCCTCCGGCCATTCCTGAGTGATGTCCACTGCTTGGAAGATGCCGTAGGAATTTTCTGGTACTTGCTGGAAGCTGGAAAAGAATACTTGGTGGACAAGCCTGATTTTGTGGCGGGAATTTGTGTCTCGACATTGTTGACCCTCCGCAAGCCTTTTTCGTCCTCGCTGGAAAGCACAACACAGCAGAGCCAGTTCAAGTCGGCTCTTACGAACGCTGAAAACTTTCACCAGTGGCTCTGGCAATTTGCCGAAAAGTGTCGCAACTCGGATTGGAACGAGAATATTCAGGAACCCTACTCTCGAATGTTGTACCTGGCTCAACAATTGTCAGCACCTAGTCGGTCAACAAGCAGGCCAAGCGAGAAGGACCTGGTTTTCGAAGTGCTTAAAGACCAGGACGCCGAAATCTCTTTGCTCCAAAAGCCGATAGCGGATCTCGTGCTCTCGCTATTGTGTCCCGAGTTCAAACAGATAGCTGATGAAGGCACCAGATCCACCGACAATGCTCTTGACCCAAATCCTCACATTGTTTCGTTATGGCGTACACTGCACAAGTTCAATGGCGGACCCGAGTACCGATTATGGGCTGCTAGAGTCATTGGGCGCTCTTTTGCGGCCTCTGGCAAGGTAAACGAAAGTTTGCTTCGAGAGCAAGACCTCTCATTGTTCAACAGTCCGACCTCCATTGCCCCGTATGATGCGTTTTGTTTCTCCAAGTCCAAAATCCTGCAAGTGCTCTGCGGGAAATTGCAAATTCAAGATCATATTGAGATTGGCCTCATTGAACGCACTCTGCAGGTCATTCTCAGTAATATTACCAATTTTCCAGAAGTTCAAGGATGCGCCGAGGTCATTCCCGAAACCCTGGTACCGGCTTTCATCTGGAGTCCGTATGCATGTCCCCAATTTCCAATTTCGGCGACCGAACTTGAATTGTCCAACAAAGCTGAGACTGATGCTGCTGACTTGCATGTCACCGAATGGGCGCGTAATGTCTCTCTGCTTTTGTCAAATACCACATTGGATGATCCTGTTCTTGGTGCATTGCGCAAAGTCCTTGTCGCAAGTCCGGACTTGGCAGTACAATTGCTGCCTTACATAGTTCACGATTCATTGCTGGTGGAAGGTGGCCAAAGAGGCCAGATTCGACAATCTATTTCCGACATCTTCAGGCAAATCCTGTCAGAGGTCAGTGCAAAAACGATTCCGCATGCTCGTCTTGTTATCAACTGCATCTTGTACCTGCGTAACCAGCCCATGGTCGAGGAATCGACAATGGTGGAACGTGACCAATGGCTCGACCTCGACTTCGGCGAGGCAGCTGCAGCTGCACATCACTGTGGTTTACAGAAAACCTCGCTTCTCTTTCTCGAGATACAGGCCTCCAGGGTCATTTCAGGATCTCGCCGCTCATCTGTTGCCAAATACGAGCCACCCATTGGGCTACTTCACGACGTATTTAAAAACATCGATGACCTGGATCTATTTTACGGCATTCAACAAAGTTCGTCTTTGACCACGATAATGGAAAGACTGGAGTACGAGAGCTCTGGTTTCAAGAATCTTCTCTTTCAGAGCGCACAGTATGATAGCGAGGTTCAGATGTCTGAAAGAGCGAACCCTCATGGAGTTCTGAAAGCTCTGAATGCGACCAATTTGCAAGGAATTGCCAATACGATGCTGTCCGCCTTGGGAACCTCAAGTGAAACACAAGCACCCTTTTCCATCGATAGCACGTTGCAAGCAGCAACTAGTCTTCAAAAATGGGATGTTCCCGTATCACCATTGGATTCCTCGCCATCGGCGACTGTCTTCCGTGTTTTCCAAAGCTTCGATACATCATCGTCTCTGCCGGAGGTTGCGTGCTGTATCAATGATTGCTTGCTAAGCACCCTCGATAATCTTGTCGAAACCGGCCAATCGGCAATAAAGTTGCGGGCTTCGATGCGGGCCTTAGGAATCATGACCGAAATAAGTGATGTTCTCCAATCATCATCGTCCGAAGCAATCCAGGAAGGATGGAGAAGTATAATGGCAAGGAGCAGCTGGTTAAAAACGGAAAGGTACGTACCAGTCACCCACCTTGATCGTCTGATACAGACATTGATTGAATTAGTTATCATGAGGTTGGTGAAATCCTGAGCTGGCACGAGGCTCTGTTTTCATCTATCAGAAAGCATGACTTCCTCAAATCGAAGGCGAGCCTGAGCTCGAGTGAATCGCGACTGCTTGAAGCAAATGTCTTTCGACAATCGCTGGAGATCACGAGAAATCATGGTGTCTCTCAGGCATCGCTCAAATCTGCAATCACTCTCTCCAAGCTCGCTGAACCCTGCGCGGAGCTAGGCATGAATATTGAAGGGGCTGCGAAGTTTGATCTTGCGAATGTTCTCTGGGATCAAGGCGAAATGACCGCATCGATTCGGATGCTGCAGCACTTGAAAGGACAAGGTGACTTACACAAGCAAGCAATTCCAATCAGCCGCGCTGAGCTACTTGTTACCTTGGTGAGTCAAATACTAAAATTCGTCTACAGCAGCTAACAACTGGTTCTTTAGGGTGACCATGTGGCCGAAGCCCGCCTAGAGAAACCCGAATCGATTCTTCAAGAATATCTGTATCCAGCTGTCAAGGAACTGAAAGGGGCTTCAAAGGGAGAAGAGGCCGGAAGGGTCTATCACGGGTTTGCCACATTCTGTGACCAGCAGCTCCTAAATCCCGACGGGCTCGAGGACTTCAAACGTGTTGAACAGCTTCGAGACCGCAAGGAGAAAGAAATGAAAGGCCTAGAAGATATGATGAAGACTGCCGAAGGCCGAGAAAGAGAATCTTTGAAGATCTTCCGAGCAAAGTCCAAACAGTGGTTTGACCTTGACGACCGTGAATACCAGCGTTTACTTCGGAGCCGAGAAGCCTTCCTACAACAGAGCCTTGAAAACTATCTCCTGGCCCTGAGAGAGAGCGATGCTTACAACAATGATGCTCTCCGATTCTGCGCGCTTTGGCTTGATAAATCAGACAGCGATACTGCAAACGCAGCTGTCAAGCGATATCTCAATGATGTCCCAAGTCGGAAATTTGCGCCCCTGATGAACCAACTTTCCTCACGTCTACTCGACGTCTCCGACGATTTCCAGTCTTTACTTACGGGATTGGTGTTCAAAATCTGTGCAGAGCATCCATTCCATGGCATGTATCAAATCTTTGCCAGCAGCAAGTCCAAAGGAGGCAAAGATCCATCCTCTCATTCTCGATTCCGAGCTGCTAACAAGCTCGTCGACCGGTTGAAGAGCGACAAGGCCATAGGGACTACTTGGATTGCTGTTCACAATATGAACATCACTTATGTCCGCTTCGCAATCGATAAGCCGGACAGCAAGTACAAGACAGGCGCCAAGATTCCTCTGAGGAAGCTCTCCACGGGAGATCGACTTGCGAAAGACGTGGAGACTTACAAGCTTCCTCCGCCCACAATGAAAATCGACTTGCGTGTCGACCGCGACTATAGCGAGGTCCCCTCGATCCAAAGGTTCAATTCCGAGTTCACAATCGCATCAGGTGTCAGCGCTCCCAAAATTGTGACTTGCATTGCCACCAATGGCGAGCGTTATAAGCAGCTGGTAAGATATTCTACCTTGGTGGAAATGAAGCTACGCTCACACGTTTATAGTACAAGGGAGGAAATGATGATTTGCGTCAGGACGCAATCATGGAACAAGTCTTTGAGCAAGTCAGCAGTCTTCTCAAAGACCATCAGCCCACTCGTCAACGAAACCTGGGGATCAGAACGTACAAGGTTCTCCCCTTGACACTCAACGCAGGAATCATTGAATTCGTTCCAAACACCATTCCACTCCATGACTACCTCATGCCGGCACATCAGCGGTATTTTCCTAAAGATATGAAGCCCAATGCCTGCCGAAAAAACATTGCAGATGTCCAGACCAGATCATTTGAACAACGAGTGAGGACCTATCGCCAGGTGACCGAGCATTTCCACCCGGTGATGAAGTACTTTTTCATGGAGAAGTTCAACAACCCGGATGATTGGTTCAGTAAGAGGCTGTCGTACACCCGCAGTACTGCTGCTATCTCCATTCTCGGCCACGTCCTCGGCTTGGGTGATCGACATGGACACAATATCTTGCTGGACGAGAGGACAGGAGAAGTCGTCCATATCGATCTGGGTGTTGCCTTTGAGCAGGGCCGAATCTTACCGGTTCCAGAAGTGGTGCCGTTCCGCCTCACACGAGACTTGGTTGATGGATTCGGCATTACGAAGACCGAGGGCGTGTTCCGTCGCTGTTGTGAGTTCACACTGGAGGCACTCCGACAAGAGTCATACAGTATTATGACCATCCTCGATGTGCTCCGTTACGATCCGCTGTACAGCTGGACTGTTTCTCCCTTGCGAATGAAGAAGATGCAGGATAACCAGGAAACGAGCGATGGTCCACCAGTTTTGCCTGGAGCGGCAGATAAATCCTCGACGAACGAACCCAGTGAGGCCGATCGAGCTTTGACGGTGGTGGCCAAGAAGTTGAGCAAGACTCTGAGTGTCACTGCTACTGTCAATGAGTTAATTCAGCAGGCGACTGATGAGAAGAATCTTGCTGTTCTTTATTGTGGTATGTGTCCTCGATCAATTGTCAAACGTGCTAGCAGGCTAACATTGTTACAGGCTGGGCATCCTATGCATAGTGGTATTCTACTTTTTCTTTTTCGTCGAGTTTGTCTTGCATCAATGTACATAAGGGAGGATTGCGTGCCACACAACCGTTCAACTGTTTTCTAGGAAGGACTATCCAGGCAAAATACCCCGAAATGTAGTTCCAATTATATTACTTGTATTGATGATTTATACCGAATGATATCTCGACATACCAGGAGAATCTGGCGACAGCCCGTATCATGTCAACTACATATCTCAGCCCCAAGAACTCAAACCGCGGGGAGACAACTTACAATATCCCTGAACTACCGGATATGTGTATACTTCCGCAGCCCTTCAAGGGACACCGGCGCCGTCGGTCTCGTGAAAGTGGGGCCAACTAAAGCAAATTTGGCTCCTCTCCGAGAATTGACAGGTGCTGCGGTCCGGGAACACGCGTCACCCTTATTTTGTACCGGGAAATTGGGCTTGACACAAGAAGTATAACACAAACTAAGCTCCATCAAGGCTTTCAGGCTATACATGAAGCATTCGGATTTGCCTTTGCGCCAGTTACCATGTCTCTAACCTTGATATCAGAAGATAACCCCTTCCAGGGTTTGATTGCAGATTCAAATGACGATCCGGTAGGTGAACCGATGATTCTGAAAATTTAAGGCTTCATAATACTAAGATTTAATCCCGTCTTTTCTCGGAAAGGGTCTGTTGCAATTGCGCTACGAGAAACACCGAACCTGTCGAAATAAGCAGCAGCGCGAGAAGATCCTAGCGGAAGACTTTTCCGGTTGGACTTTAGACGAGATTCTTATGCGACTAGACGGCCCTGGGAAAGAAGAAGGATTTCTCGATCCCCGGAACTGCCTTGTCATTTGGGCCAGGCCCCCTTCTCATATCCGCGATCTGATATCATTTGTGCAAAGCGAATTGAAGGATGCTGCTCCATGTAAGTTTGAAGAAGGTTACATACCATCAATCTGCTCACCGAATTGCCAACAGCACTTTGGTTTATGCCTCCTGAAAACCAGCACATAACAGTCTTAGAAGTGGCACATTCTTTGACCGAAACGCAGATCGAAGATCTCATTCAAATCCTCCAGTCTTCCACAAATATCACCCCGGCGCAGATTTTAGAACATGCAATTGCTCATAAGACACGCCTTCTGAAGCCAATGGTGAGCTTCGACTCCGCTGCACTGGCACTTAGTTTTGTTCCCGCCGCAGGCGAATGCTCAGCAGAACGATCCGAAGGTCATAACGATAACTACACATATCATCATCTCCGTCGAGATATATTTGACATGGTTCGGCAAACCAATGTTCCCGTGGCTTCACGTTATAGTGTTCCTTCGGCACATGTCACTATCGCACGCTTCATCACGCACGAAGGGTTCCTTGTAAACGGGACACACCCAGGGCAGCTTGACCATTCGCGCGTGAAGTTGCTAGTTGATAAGATTGGTGGCATCAACGAAAAGTTGAAAAGCGTCTATTGGCCTCAACCTGATGGTACCAATCCTGAAGCAGGTGAATGGGTCGTTGGGCAGGATAAGGGCTTGGTAATTCGGAGGGGACGTCTTTGGTACGGAGGGGGTGAGGATGTGTAACTCATTCTAGTCACTGTTAGGTGTATTTGAAGAACATAGGGATGTTAGTTATCTATCTAAACGGTTGCTTCCCGCGCAGAATTTTGCTTTTTGCTCCCAACGTACTTTCGAGTCGTCGAGATATGCGATCTAGGGATTGGCAGTTCCTCTCTTGAACAGCCCGTTATGTCTCAGTTCTATTTTTGATCTGCCAAGAGACCGTCCCCGCTAGGTATTACTGACCTTTCAAAGGTTGCCTGGCAGTGCGTGTTTCTGCGCTCAGTTTTTGTTATTCGTGATTCGTGGCATTTCCAGGCTTTCGTTGTGGCGGGTGCGGCCCGACATCCAATCGCGAAAAACATCCTTGACCTTTAAAACCGCTTCAACGAATAAATCTGCCACCTGGAAGTTAGCCGCACAAACGCATTGTGATTGCGACAGTCATCTCCCATCATGGAGACGACACCCAACAGGGGGATCGTGGTCATCTCCGGTGGAAGCGCCGCCAACAACCTCGTCGATGTGTTCGACGCCTTGCGAGAAAGCAAAAATTGTCTGCTCAGCTATATCATCCCTATTAGCGACAATGGAGGTTCTTCCTCAGAACTGATTAGAATCTTCGGGGGCCCTGGAATCGGCGATATTCGAAGTGAGCGAGTCCCTTCCTCAATAATGACACAATGCTGACTGTCGCGATAGGTCGACTGGTCCGGTTGATTCCTGACTCGCCCGTCAACTCAGAGCGCACGGCGATCAAGACTCTATTCAACCACCGCCTACCCGCTGATGTGGCAACGGCATCGCATGAATGGCAGTCCATTGTGGACGGAACCTCTGACCTTTGGAGGTCCATTGTCCCGGCCAAAAAGGAGTTGATCCGATCTTTCTTTAACATGCTCAACTTGGAGATCTTGAAACGCGCTCGGCCACCGTCATCAACGTTTGACTTCACCTCTGCCAGCGTGGGAAACCTATTTTTGACGGGCGCGCGACTCTTCAGCGGGTCCTTTGAGAGCGCCGTCTATCTGCTTGGCAGCATTTGCGGCGTACAGTCAGATATCGTGCGCGTTGTCCCAGCAATCAACTCTAATTTCTCTCATCACATCTCCGCCACTCTCGCCGACGGAACCGTCATTGTCGGCCAGAACAGCATCTCTCATCCCAGCGAAGTTACGGCGCTGCAACCGGACTGCGGCTCCCGGGCTAGACGCCCCAGCTTACTGCTTGCTGACGGGGATGACTTGGACGATACAGACCCATCTGATCAGTCGGATGCGGTCTCATATGAGGAGGACCATCTTCCCGGTTCTCTCGCCACACTCCACAACAAGAATATATCCTTTAATAAAACCAAGAATGAAGATCTGCCCAGCCGGATTGATCGCATATGGTACATTAATCCCTACGGTCAGGAAATCAGGCCCGCCGCCAATCCACGCGTGCTAGAAGCACTGGACGATGCCCAGGCTATTATCTACAGCATCGGCTCTCTCTATACCTCCATCCTCCCTGCAATTATCCTCCGCGGTGTCGGCAAGAGCATTATGAGAAGCCCCGCACGCCACAAAATCCTTATTCTCAATGGATCATTGGATCGCGAGACTGGCCCTCCGTCCGAGCCGTTCTCTGCATCTGACTTTGTCGAAGCGATCGCCCGCGCCGGAGAGGAAAGCCGTGGACGTCGTCATCGCAGAACCACCCATCACCACGGCTCATCCACCTCGCCGTCTTCACCAGAGACTCTCCGACCCCATACGTCTATTCCTTATACTGCATACGTGACTCATGTTTTGCACCTTGACGGGCCTGGCACTCCTCATGTGGATCGGGACCGGTTGGCAGAGATGGGCATTGAAACCCTTCGCTTGTATGGTCGGAAGATTACTGCCATGGATGGCGACAAGGAAGTCGTTCTCGGCACGCAATATGACTCCAATGCCCTGACACAGGCTCTTGAAGTTGTTCTGGGAAAGAAAGGCGACGCCATGGTCCGAGGAGGTGTTGGCAGTGGTCTCGGCCGGCGGAATACACTCGACCCCCGACCGGAGAAGAAACACGGCGTGTGAATGGCATGTATAACACATAAAAAAAAGCCAGGTGCGCCTGAGCAATGCAATATTCAAATATTAATCATCTCATTCGTAAGATAAGCATTATAGAAAATAAATCATCCCAGGAGGACCACCCCAATGCAATGTGAACGCCATCCTTTCTATGCTCCGCTGTGCCGTGCTCAAATAACGGGGATATGCAAAGACAGTTCACGCCTGAGAAGGCGGGACCAAACTTCGCTTCTTTGTTGTCAACTTGAGTTCTAAGGGAATAAGACTCCTCTTGGGCCCGCTCTTGTCAACCTTTGTAATAACCTTTCGGCATATTGGACATGTACCCCGGGTTTGTTTGCTCGAGTCTAATCGTTGGTCGGCCGAGTTCAGGTATTCAACGATGCAGCGATGGCAGAAGAGGTGGCCTATAGATATGTGTTTGGTTAGAGAAAGCTCAATGAGTGAGAGGCATGGGTTGCCACTTGTGGTAAAACTTACCACACGCAGTGCTGGTTGCATCCTCCGGCGTGTCCATGCACACAGGACACTTGTATGCGCTGAGAACGGATCCGCTTCTCTCCCCTTCTGCTGACTGCTGGGCCTTGATCGCATCCTCCTGTTGTTTCGCAAGCGCTTTTTGGAGTGAAGTCTCAGGTTCAGTGAGATCAATGGACTCAATAGCCTCCTCTTCCTGCTCTACCTCTTCAGAACTATCTGAAGAGTTGGGGCTCCAGAAGCCATCGTTTTCACGTCGACGCTTAATCCCGCGGGGCGTGGTTTGGCTCCCCGCCCGATCTAGTGTCGACGGTTGATCGGGGGGAGAAGAGGTAGAAGAGCGGTGATCAGAACTCGCTTGCGCAGAGGTGAGATCGACGACTGAAAGCCTGCGACTCATGCTAGGATCAAGGGGTTCTCAGGTATGTAGGGAATCAGAGTTCGGCGTTGAACAGGCGCATAACTTGCGGGGTTCGTGGAGGAGAAAGGTGCAGGCTTTTGTACTCTGGCCCGCCAGGTTTCACGTGGGGTCTTCGAGTGGCGACGAAAGAAGTCGTATATATTTATAAGACAATGCAACCGCCTAAAAACCCGACCTAGAGAATGCAAATGATGAGAAAGTGAACGGCGTAAGAGGCCAAGGTGGGATAGATTGATTGCCACCGATAAGCAACCCTTTACGGAAGGCGGTCTGAATCACCCGGCAGCACATATATTCCGAAGCCGACATGACGCTCAGATGCGATAGGCAATGATATGGAAATTGCTCCTACGATTATCACTCCCCTTCGCGTTATCCGTTCAAAGTGCGCAGCCCCTGTCTGGCTGCGATCGCATGCGCTACCATGACCTGAGCCCGCGCAAATTCTTGAATATATGATGCTATCGTGGAAATCCTCCTGCACTCCTTATTCCAGGGGTGTCGTGAGGTCGGCGCGCCTGTGCCTACGACCAGCACTTCTCGTGCACGCGCAACCATGGCAATTTCCCGTGACTGGACGGACACAATGCTACTCAACAGCTGTCAACAATGAAGCCGCTCCCAAACGATCTCTTTCAGGTTTGTTTTACGCCACATTACTCTGTCACAAAAGACAATATGCATATACTAATTCCAAACAGTTCCTGCCTCCTCCAGGTTCAACGACATCGGAGTCCAGCAGCTTAGCGACTATGTTCATCCGCAAGTCTTCCCGGACAAGACCCGGACCCCCGATCCGGAGCTTGTTGCCCTGTCACGAGACCATCTCGCCCGACACGATCTCCTTGGGAAATCCCAAAGTGGTGCCGACCCGATTGCGTTCGACCTGCCACCGCTTCAGGGAAAGACATTAGACGAACATTTCTACAAGCTTGGAATGGATGCGTCCGAGCCGTACCTGACTTACGCCAAGTCATATGCTGCAGTCACCTGTCCGACCAAACCGCGCAAATGGGTTAGACGCAGTGGATGGACCAAATACTCTCCCGATGGCAACTCGGAGCCAGTGGACGCTCCTAATGAGGAGATGCTCACCTTTGACACCGAGGTGATGTACAAGGAACATCCATTTGCGGTTATGGCTTGCGCAGTGAGTCCAACTGCGTGGTATGCGTGGATATCTCCTTGGCTCCTGGGGGAATCAAAAGAGCAATGTCACCTTGTACCGTTGGGAGACCCCTCTCAACCACGCATCATTGTTGGTCATAACATAGGATACGATCGGGCTCGAGTGCTGGAGGAGTACGATATGCAACAGACTCGCAACTTTTTTGTGGATACAATGTCTCTTCATGTGGCTGTGAACGGCATGTGCTCACAGCAAAGACCGACTTGGATGCGCCACAAAAAGAACAAGGATCTCCGGGATAAGATTGCAAATGAGCATAATTCCGTGGAACTGGCTTCGCTGCTCGAGAGCAACACGCTGAGGGAAGAAGAGGAAGAGCTATGGGTAGGACGGAGCTCTGTGAACTCTTTGCGAGACGTGGCCAAATTTCACTGCGATGTCACAATTGACAAGGCACAGAGAGATTTCTTTGGCGAACTTGATCGGGAGACCCTTTTGACGAAACTCGATGAGCTTCTCGACTACTGTGCTGCTGATGTTTCCATTACGCACCGAGTCTACCGAAAAGTCTTTCCCAACTTCCTCGAGACCTGTCCGCACCCCGTCAGCTTTGGTGCTCTCCGACATCTATCCTCTGTCATCCTCCCTGTCAATCAGACTTGGCAGGAGTACCTTGCCAATGCTGAGGAAACCTACCATAAACGACTTGATGACGTGCAACGGAAGTTAGTTGAATTATGCAATGAAGCTTTGCAAGTGAAGGAGCAACCGGAGGTCTACGAAAACGACCCTTGGCTACAGCAGCTGGACTGGACTGGCCAAGAAGTAAAAATGGTGAAAGGAAAGAAGAAGGGAGACCCTCCACGCCCCGCAGCTCGACAAAAGAAACCTGGCATGCCAAAATGGTACAAGGATCTCTTCCCCACGAGTAACTCGGACATCAACCTCACTGTGCGCACTCGGATTGCGCCCATTCTGCTGAAGCTATCATGGGCTGGGCATCCTCTCATTTGGTCTGATAAGTATGGATGGACTTTTCGGGTTCCCCGTGACCAGGTCCATCAATTTGAGAATCAACCAGTGGTTCTCTGCGACATGACCGAAGAGAAGAACGAGCAGCTTCAGAATGACCGGAAGAATACATACTTCAAAATCCCGCACAAAGATGGTCCCCAAGCCAGGTGCACCAACCCTCTAGGCAAGGGTTACATGGGGTACTTTGAGCGCGGAATCTTGTCATCTCAATTCGAACTCGCCAAGGAAGCGTTGGATATGAACGCCTCCTGCTCCTATTGGATCAGTGCAAGAGATCGCATTAGGAGCCAAATGGTTGTGTACGAGGACCAGGTTCAAAAAGGCGGCCGGGTAAATGAAGAGTCCAAGAACCGGGTGGGCTTTATCTTGCCGCAGGTCATTCCCATGGGGACTATCACCCGACGTGCCGTGGAGAACACATGGCTCACTGCGAGCAATGCGAAATCGAACCGCGTTGGCTCCGAGCTGAAGGCCATGATTAAGGCGCCCCCAGGTTACGCGTTCGTGGGCGCTGATGTGGACTCTCAGGAGCTGTGGATCGCCAGTCTTGTCGGAGACGCTCCCTTCCAAATCCACGGAGGAAATGCGATTGGCTTCATGACCTTGGAAGGCTCCAAAGCCGAAGGAACTGACTTGCATTCCCGAAGTGCGCAGATTCTGGGCATTTCCCGCAACGATGCCAAGGTGTTCAACTACGGCCGTATCTATGGAGCTGGTGTCAGGTTCGCCGCTACTCTTCTTCGGCAATTCAACCCGTCCTTGACCGAGAAGCAAACCCAGCAGACCGCTGCCAACCTCTACAAGGAGACCAAGGGTACGCGCACCTCCCGTCGTCTTCTGAGCGAGACACCTTTCTGGCGTGGTGGCACGGAATCCTTTGTCTTCAATAAGCTGGAAGAGTTTGCAGACCAGGAAAGACCCAGAACCCCAGCGCTCGGTGCTGGAATTACCGAGGCGCTCATGAGGCGATTCATCAACAAGGGCAGCTTCATGACGTCTCGTATCAATTGGGCTATCCAATCATCGGGTGTCGATTATCTCCATCTGCTGATTGTTAGCATGGATTATCTCATCCGGCGATTCAACATCCACGCTCGACTGGCCATCACAGTCCACGATGAAATCCGATATCTGGTGAAGGACGAGGACAAGTACCGTGCGGCGCTGGCTCTGCAGATTGCCAATGTCTGGACACGGGCCATCTTCTCGCAGCAAGTGGGCATTGATGACCTCCCTCAATCATGCGCCTACTTCTCGGCCGTTGACATCGACCACGTTCTTCGAAAGGAGGTCGACATGGACTGTGTCACCCCTTCGCATCCTCACAAAATCCCACATGGCGAGACCTTGGATATTTCCAAGCTACTCGATATGGATCAAAAAGCTTTCCTGGATCCCTCCATTGTACCCACTTCTCAACCAACCCCGGAAAAATACTCATACACTCCGCGGGAGTCGGTCATGTCTACTCTTCAAGCATCCAATGACCCAGCTTTCATCAAGGCCCAGATCACAAAAGACGACAAAGAGCTTCGAGAAATCATTAAAGAGAAGACTCAATCCGTCACTGCCTCCAAGCCTTCTCCATCACGTTCCGCCCCAACCAAATCGCCGCGTAAATCTACAGGCTGGGCATCTGCAGAGCCCCAACGGGCAGTTCTCATGGACATGGAATCTGGACTTTACCCTGACTTCCGAACCCCACTTCGCCCTGCTTCCAGTGGAAACAAACAACCACAAGCAGGCCTCTACAACCGTGCCTCTTGGAAGCCACGACCTTCTGCTCGGGCTTAACTTGAAGAGCTTTACCTCTACCTCCCTCACTTGCTTCGCATTTCTCCTTGACTGTCTTCTATTCTCTGTATTTAATTTTCTCGTTATCTTGTTCGAATAATCGGGCGGCTGTATGTCTTATGAGGATTGATCATGGTAGAGCATTGGGACGGCGTCGAAGTGGCCACTGTGATTATAGTGTACAAACATCAAATGTACTCCAAACATCTGACTTGATATTCCTGGCTTGTTACTGGCAAGGCACTAGTGAATGTAAGAAAGCTTGACATTTTGATCGTACTATAGAACTGCACTGCACTGCTACTAAACAATTGAGCGTTGAAAATCTCAAATAAGAAGCTGGCTCTCAAACCTCTTTCCAAATCGATGGAACCCTGTAAGAATTAGCACAATGCCACTGAGATGTTGATTTTCACTTACGCGACCTCGATGACAGCGCATCTCCCACCCTGGACAACTCGCGTTGCCTCTTTGATAGTTGAATCAACTTCACTCTGCTGCATGACCGTCGCCCCCCATGCACTGCCAGCTGCCCTTGCAATACCTGGGTAATCCGGAGAGGGCTCGAACGAGATATTGAGATCTGATGTTAAATTTTCTCAGCCCTTGGTTCCTCGCTAACCAAAAGAAATTATCCCACTTACCGCGCCTGTTAGCTTTGGACGAGAGCCCATCTTTATGGACAAGCAGGGCTGACACCTTGGGTGCATTCCAGCCTCCATTATTCAAGACAACGAGCAAAAATGGAATGTCATATCGTCTGGCAATCCAGTAGACGCTTTCCATCTGAGAGAAGAGATATGTTCCATCTCCCACGCTATAATTCATTAGCATCCCGAAATGAGATACTACGAGATAGGTATCTGGCTCACATTGCGCAAATAAAGGAGTCAGGCTTCGCAAGCTTCACCCCCAAGGCTGCACCGCCTCCCCAGCCTAGACCCCCTGCACCGCTGCCAAATAGAGTACCAGGCTGCCATCTCCAATCAGTAATGCAATACATTCATTCCTTGGCGGATAGATTACGTACCTTGGTCAGATTGAGATGGTGAATGAGATGCCCCGCGTTGGTCACTGCCTCCAACACAAAGGTAGTGTTTTCTGGGACAAATTGTCTGAGTCTGGAGGTGAGATATGGAACGGTCACGATGTCTCCATCTGGAGGCGACTCGAGGCTCTGCAGACTCTGTCGCCAGCTTGCATGGCGAGCTGTGCGTGCGTCAAATTCTGAAGTGTAGTGGCTCTTGTCGACATTCTGGCTATCCAAGTAGGTGTTCAGTTGTTTCAGTGCAATTCCGCAATTCACTTTCAGTCTCCGGATGGCTTTAATGGAGAAAACTGTTTCTTAATTAGCAGAGTATTCGAGTGTTATTTGATCGCGTCGCGTACGTGGCATTTGCTGCTTCAGCGGATCGACATCGAGATGGAAGATTTTCGTTCCTGAATTGTCAGCAGATACTACAAAGGCACAAGCAAGGAATCATACCCTTTTTAGGTTCACCTGCAGTTGGGATCCAAGGTACGTCACAGTCCATAACGAGGATTACATCGGCCTCCAGGACATCCGGATGGGTAGTGACGGTGACACCTCGATAAGCTTCATGGTCACTACGGATACAAACATCGGATCCAACCATTTCCACGACGCTGATGGGTAGTTTGTCACCAAGTTCTTCTAGTAAAGCTGGAGCTTGCAGATTTCGACCGAGATAACCAGTGATGACGAGTGGTCTCTTTGCGCTCATGAGAGCTTTTGCGATCAATTCAACCTCTGTTTATGTCAGTGCCATTGAGAGGTGACCAGAGGAGCATATAAGGCTTACCTGGCTCGGGCAACGCACTTGGTGCCATTGGGCTCAGAAGTTCTTCTTCGAGCCACTTTCTTTCCACTTTCTAGAACAAACGGCTTGTCAGGACAGTCTCGCAAGTGGTGGTCACTACCTACCTCTTCAAGAACCTCTCGCGCAGCCATGAGGTATGCTGGTCCTTTGGGGTCAGACATGGTAAGTTCCAGAGCGCGATTAACTAGTTGTTTGATATTGCGGCCGCTTTTGACTTCCCCGGAATATCTGCAATATTGACGGAGAATCGCAGCCTGGTCAGGCACATCTTGAAGCCAATGAATGAACCTGCCATTGTCAGTACTGGTTTTGGCTCCTATATTGGTTTTCGTACTCGGTTCTCGATCCCAGAAGCTCTCCTCTTTGAGTGAAGGGACTAAGGCCGGCAAAGCATAGAACGGGCACTCTGCTAATAGAAGCGTTGTGTATCGATTGGCCCATAGCCAGGGTACCACAGTCTACGTGGACCAGAACACATTGCTAGACTTGATTCAGTATAATACGACGCACTTCAGCCGCGATCATCATACCGGGATGCCGGTGACCTGAGCGTACCCCAACGCTGCCGACAGGGCAACTAGCTCCGAGGGACAAGTGATGATATTGGGGAATTTGTCCAACTTTCCTAGATGATGATAAGCATCAGTCAATATAAGAGATTTTGAACAACAGACCTTGCTTCGCCTTAACCATGGCTTCGAGCATGGCAGGGTGGTCGCTTCCACTTCGTTCCGTTAGACAGACCATCTGGTTGTTCAAGGGGAACATACAGATTGACAAAGCAGTGAGTGACCCCGGCCTCAGCTAGAATTCCCATTAGATAGAATATTAACACTTCCAGGAGATGAATTACCCAAGGCTTCAAAAAAGGCTTCGGCTGCCGAGGTCAATTCGCCATTCTTCGTTACCTCGTCCTCGTAGCGGGCTCGCTTGGCAGACCTTTCACCATTTTTTCGAGTCATCTTGAGGCTAAATTCACAGTGATAATGAAACGAGGAAAGATAAATGAGGAAATGGAAATGAGGCACAGGAACGTTTAAAACAGGCGAGCTCGAGGGAGGAGTAGATGGGAATAGAGCCGGGATCCCCGTGAACCAACCATTTCCTTCCCCGCTCCCCGCATCCTGCTGTGGAACCTCGTGCTCTGTTGAAGTTCGGGATCTCCGCGATTGGCTCTTCCTGTGGGATTGGCTTTGCCATCGGTTCTTCACGCGCCTGCGATGTCGGAGAATCCTCTCATGGTTTTATGAGCTCTGAAAATCGAGTAGCCAGGTTGATCTACTTACGATATCTTAGCATTCTTACGCAAAATAATCCAAAAATGGCGTCGATACGATATTCAGTTTGTAGCTTTAAGTCTATAACCGATCGGCCCGACTAAATACCCTGAATCTGCTGTGCCAGGCTGGCGCTGGTCACCAGGAAATCCAGCAAGCTGTTTTCGACTCTGTTGTTCGGAAAAATGTGTTCCTCTTACCAGGAACCTATTTCTGGTCGACGGGTGAAGTGCCGGAAACAAGATGTTCTCCCTCGGATGATCTCATGGAATCGGGGAGAGGGATTGGAGAGGCGCTAAAAGAAGAGTTCCAGTGAAAGAAAAAAAATAGTTGGAAGATAGGTATAGATGCTATCCCATACACGGCGTGATTTGTTCTCTCTTCATGAACTCTTGGATCCCAAAAGGGCCATAATATCTTTCATCTTCCCGGGCGGCTTCCCACAATCTGACCAAGACTGAGATGGAAACGGCGCAGCCACGAACTTTGTCCTCGATGCCGAGAATCATCGATACATAATCTTCCTGCTCCGTTTGAGATGTAATACACGACCCAATATGGGCAAGAGGCCAGAGTAACATTGCCCATGCCATACTGGATGATGATATTTGTTTCAAGAGCAGGTTCGCTTCGCATAAGCTAGCGTCAACTTGCCTCTTAATGTATGGTTTGGGGATTCCAGGGCCGTTGAGGGCACATTGAAGAGTGATAATGAGCGCCATTTGTGTGAAAAGGGCTGCCGTTATTTCATCTTTGTCCGGTGCTGGCCAGGCATACGTTCTGGTATCCACTGGTTCTGGCACCTCCCATGACAAGATTTCTTGCTCAATAGTGTGAAACTCCTCGATAATACCCGGGTCGAGATGCCTGGGGTAAGTCTCAGTAGCTCTTCTCGCAAAAGTAGCAATCCGTGGGATCATTTCGAATAAGGCATGTGCACAGGAGGAAGATCGATCATGGTAGTATGACGACAGATCCAGGAAATGACTCGTCGAGCCATTGGAATCAAGTCCGAAGTAGTGGTTCACGACATGAATGAACATATATTGTTCTGCGATAAAGCATGCGCAATGTTCATCGACCGTGGTCAGAAGGTTGTTGTGCGAGACCAACAGAGTGGAGCATGGCAACATGTGTCGCATCACTGCGCCTTCCATGTTTCCGTCGATGACCTAAAGCAGTTTATCCTGATGTCAGCGAGATGCACTAATGGAGTATTGAGGATGACCCAAAATAACTATACCTCGTAATTACAAAGAACTAAGAGCAATATGACGATCTCCAGCGGGTCCCTTCTCAGCCCATTCCCAAATTCCGTAATCATGTATTTCACTGCTCGCAGTACGATCCCATAGTGTGAAAGAGCTATAGTATGTGATTGTGGATCATCATAAGACAGATGTGAAGCACTTATGGCAAGGGCAACATTGAGAAATCCGTCATGTTGGTGAGCCAGCGGTAACAAGTACGCGACGAACGGGTTTCTCGGACCATTCTTCACCACGAGTCGTTTCACAGATCTTTCAATGTAATGATGGAGAAGTCTCTGCTCATCTGGTCTCCCCTGGAGTCGAGGCCAATGTGAGGGTGCATAGATCGGACTAGAGAACAGGAGCTGACATGACGGGGTGACGCGCCGAGCACGGTTTGCGTGATCGGCTCCCACGGAGCCCGATGGAATGTAGTCGATCGTCCTTGCTGGGCCGGGCCAAGAACAAAGTAAATGATTTCGCACACATCCGCCACAAATAGGCTTCTGCTCATCGCATTTTGTATGGCGTGTGCGACAGCTCAGGCATCCGGATTTCGTTCTCTTGGAACTTCTGGTGTAAAGACGGAAGCATCCCTCGTCATGAGCGGTTTTAAAATCTAGCACCCCATGCATTGTAGTCTCCAGCCATTCCTTGTGCGGTGGAGAGGCGAGACGACGAGAAGGAAGATGGCAATGTCGGAATTGCCAGGACCCATGCTTCGCCAGTGCATGGACCCACAGATAAGGTCGGCTCTCCTTTTTCGGTATAGCGTCTCTATCCCAGTCGGGAAACAGAGATGCACGTCCTTCGAGAGCTTCCTCGATATCCTCTCATCTATGCAGCTTCCCAGACTCGGTCCACATAAACTTGAAACATTGAAGATGAACTCCCATTTTTTCACACATGCTAAGTGGATCATTCCCGAATGATGCACAATGGCTGGGATTTTTCCCCCACATATAAATATCAGCCTTCACTCGAGGTTGCTCCATATGGTGGTGAAAATCTCATATCTCTACAAAGGTTAAGTTAAGCTACCGAATCGCTAGCTCGTCCCTTCATGATGCCTCAGAAACATCCCGAGTCCCCTCCTTTCTTCGACTTCATCGTGACCCCGGAAGCTTCACAGAGCTCACCCAAGGAAAACTACGGAGTTCGAACAACCACCGTGAGAAATTCCTTAGTCCGGTTTTAACTGCAACTGAGAGCATTCTAACGAGTTATGCAAAACCACAGTCCCCTGCAATCAAGAATGCCCCTCTACCCGCGGACGGCGCCGGTAACAATTCGTGGTCCAATGCCCTACTCTTTTTCCTGCTGATATCCATTCCATGGCTCATATCTTTTCAACTGGGTGGCGGCCTCTACTTCATACTCGTGGCAACATGTACCGCTATCCCGATACTCATGGCATTCTGGACCACCTTTTCTTCCACGTCCCCACGCATGAATGAAAAGGCAAGGTTCCCAGGTCGGCCAGTGGAATATTATCTCAATTTTCGCACGGATGGAGATCGAGCGAAATATCGGGGCAAGAGAAAGATTCCTATTGAGGTATTTTATGAAAAGTACTTTCGGGGCGATGTGATGTTCAAAAATGGGGATTGTCTGGAGAATCTGGAGTACCGGCACGATTGGGCAAACTTCAGCTTCTCCTGGGGAGTTTTTAAGCACTTTCTGTTTGGATTTGTCCCGGAACTAATCGTGCACTCTCGCTCACAAGGTATGTATCGATCTTGATTTGGTCTCTGCCACATCATCAAGGCCAAGGTAAATTCATATGGCTGATTAAGTACAGACGAGGAGCAGGTCAGCGGCACCTATGATCGCGGCGACGACTTTTACGCATGGTTCTTAGGTCCTCGCATGATATACACCTCCGGACTGATCGGCGATGTCACCAAAGAAGAATCTCTGGAGCAGCTACAGGACAATAAGTTGACGGTAGTATGCGAGAAGATCGATCTGCAGCCAGGTGATACTATGCTGGATATTGGGTGTGGCTGGGGAACCTTGGCAACCTTTGCGAGCGTTCATTACAAGGCACATGTCACTGGGGTTACACTGGGTCGCAACCAGACCAAATGGGGGAATTCTTCCCTTGAAAGTGCTGGAATTCCGCAATCCCAAAGTCGAATCTTTCGCATGGACTATCGGGATTCCCCACGAATTCCGGGGGTTACAAAAAGATAACGAGCCTCGAGATGTCAGAACACGTTGGTGTTCGTCACTTCCGTGGATTTATAAAACAGGTTCATGATATGCTGGACGATGATGGAGTTTTCTATTTGCAGTATTCTGGGCTTCGGAAATACTGGCAATACGAGGATCTTATCTGGGGGTTGTTCATGAACAAATATGTTTTCCCAGGCGCCGATGCAAGTACGCCCCTCGGATGGGTTGTTGATCAGCTCGAAGGAGCTGGTTTTGAAATCAAAAGCGTCGACACTGTTGGAGTGCACTATTCGGCAACGTTGTGGCGGTGGTATCGTAATTGGTTCGCCAATCGGGAGAATGTGGAAGCGAAGTATGGAGCAAAGTGGTATCGGGTAAGCATGACCTTATTCAATGATTTAATGATATAGTCCTAACAAGCTCGTAGATCTGGGAGATTTTCCTCTCTTGGTCTACCATTGTTTCCCGCCAAGGGAGTGCAACGTGCTACCAGATTGTTCTGGTCAAGAACATCAATTCGACTCACCGAGTGGACGGAGTTCCTAGCCAATTTGCAATCACCGGCGCAATCAGGTCGGCGGTTGAGAAAATTGGCAAGATTCCTAGTGCCTTCCTGTCGTAGGGGAGAAAAAGACCCGAGTGAATTAGTGCTACTTTGTAGGAAATGACAAGACAGTGTTGGGATAGAGTTAATTGCAAGGTATAAAGAAACTAATTTAGTTTGCAAGCTCCACCATGAAGGATAAAATAGGAATTTCATTCTGGGAAAACAGACTCAGTGCCAATATCAACCTTGGCCTTTTCAAAATCGCGAGCCTTTACCTCATTCTTGAACAAAATATCCATTTCAGCAAAGGTCCGGTTCTTGGTCTCAGGAAGACGGAAGTATGCCCAGATCAGACCTAGCCCCATAATACCGCCATAGAAGAAACCAGACTTGGCTCCCCAGTTCCAAGACTCCTTTTGCATCATATGCGGGACCAGTTGACCATACACGAGAACGGCCACGTTGTAAACTGCGCGAGCGAGCACAACGCTTTTGTTGCGAAGATAGTTTGAAGGGATCTCGGTGACGATAGTGTAGATGATTGGACCGATTGTGATGAAGAAGACAAAATATTCAACCAACAGTATGCTACCAATTCCGTATCCAATGTTTGGATGCGTGGCTATACTTGGGATTCCCATAAAGCCAATGATAAATGTCGTGACAGTCATGAATGCCGTGCCGTTGAGCAACAAAGTGCGACGACCTACTTTGGGAACCAAGTACCAAGCGACAAAAACACCAACGACTGCCAGTGCATACTCCCCCATACCGAAGTCGAACGAAGCTGCTGATGGAAGACCCGCTTGCTCCAGAAAATAAACGATGAAGGCAACGAGAGGAGCACAAAGTTCCTGGATAAGGTAGGTGAAAACAGCAATCTCTGTTCGACGCAGGTTGACGCCTTTGAACAAGTCCCAGTAGCTGCTGGAGGTTTTCATCTCGTTCTCAATCTTGACTGTTTGCTCCATCATGGCGACGGTGTCGGCAATCTCATCTTCGGAGCTATCCTTGGACCGTAATCGTTGCAGCACCTTTGCAGTATCTGAAATGCGCCCTTTGCGGACAAGCCACCATGGTGATTCTGGTGCAAGGAAAATACCGATGGCGAGAGGAATTGGTAGTGCCCACTGCAAGGCAAATGGAATTCGATAGGCCCACTGGCCATCCGATGACAAAAAGGCACGAAGAACACCGGTACCGAGCAGATAGCCAATACTCCAACACAAAGATACCAGCATAGTGAGATAAGGACGCAGAACGTTCGGGCAGACCTCGGCAGCGTATGTAGTCGTCAGGGTCTGGAAGACACCCCACGGAATCCCCAGGAGAATTTCAGCTCCCAAGTACATGTAGATGCTTGTGGCGAAGAATTGCAGGAAAACGAAAGCCATCATGAGAAAGAGACAGCCTATCATAACATAGCGATATCCGATGGCGTCCGCCAAAATTCCATTGAGGAGTAAACCAATAATCTCGCCGGCATTGACTCCATTGCCCACGGCCGACTGAAGGTTGGCTGGTACCTGGTATGATCCATCACTCTGAAGCTCTCCGTATCGTTTTTGGAAGGCGGGAAAAGCGAAGAATCCACTGACGAACGCGTGGTCTAATCCCTCCATAATCAGGGCCGAGCTGAACCAAATGGACCAGAACACTGCTCTGGGATATTTGCGGATACCTTCACGCAAACTCATTTCATGTTCCTCCTTGGTGGCTCTTTGGGCACCTTTCAAAATATCGCTTCCTGAAACATACTGCTCTTCACCCTTCTCGCCGACTACCGTTGTGGTCGTGCGGTCGGCGATATCTTCTTGGTGCTCCGCCATCTTGTGATAGACCTTTGAATGGACGAGAAAACAGATGAAATTGACAAAGGCGTTAGGGCTATGGGTTTATCCACCAAGCTTCATTGTGTGGAAGCTGAGCACTTGGATTCCCCTTTGTATCGGTCCCACAGGAGCTCCGCTTCCCCAGAATGTGGGGATAAACTTTCTGTGGTTAACAACGGATTGGTCTGTCTCCGCAATTCAACCGGAACTGCGAGCCAGTGAGGCGCCGAAAGAAGGATATCTCCATGCTGATCCGGGATTGAATAGGCCGAGCCATAGCTATATGAACGGGCAGAGACTGCGGGGAGAAGCCCATGCGTTCGTGTACTTGGTAGTTGGCGAAAAATGGAGGCTTTTTGTTGGTGGAATTGTAGTGATGGCTGACTTTCGCTTTGAACTCCGCTCCTCCATGGCGTGATGCACCGCGTATAACTATCGACCTTTGAGCGGGTTCAACACCCCGCCAAGGTCATCTGTCCCCTGCCACCGCTTGGCTTTCTTGTCCCGTATTGCCTGCCCAAACTTGGAGGTCCGACCACTCAAAGATTGCAATTCGTCTTGGCAAAATGAAGAGGAATCTGCGCTGGCTTAGTGGGAATGGCCCCCACGTCCCGTCGGATGGTGTTTCCTTTGGGATGCCATGGCCACGGGGAGTGCATCAGCCAGGCCAGGCCTTTGTTATCGAGGGCGACCACGGGGAATGGCCTATTGACTCGCGTGAACTTGCATATTGGGCTGATGGCTCTCTCAAATGTACGGCTCACTCAATCAGCGGCGATATCGGGCACAGCAAGGAATATGTGGTCAAAGCCATTCCCAGGCAGGGAAGGCCAACGGGAGTTAGAGTCCAGAGTGTTGGCGCTTCCCTTTCAGTCTCTTCACGGCAAGGATTAAATCTCAGATTCGGGCCGACGGGAAGTTCGTCATTGCTTGAAAGACTGGAGATTGATGGAAATACTGTTTGCTCCGCTGCCACAATCGTTGCATCCATCAATGGAACTGAACACAAAACCCGTGTCAAGGCCGTGGAAATCGAGAATCAAACATTCAGCAGGGTCGTTGTTAAGGTTACTGGGGCTGTGGATGCAGGGAAATCTGAAAACCGTCTTCCTTTTCATGTGCGATTCTATGTGCATTCAGACTCGCCGTCCGTGAAAATAATCCACTCGTTTGTACATGACCTGGACCCCCATGAGCCACTCACCTCGCTCGGTCTGCGATTCGCCATTCCGCTAGAGCACACAGAGCTCTACAACCGACATATTTGTCTTGGCGGGTCAGAGGGAGGTGTTCTGAAAGAGGAGGTGAAAGGTTTATCTGGATTAAGGTATGGCCCAACAGTGCAAAACAGAATCTATCAAACGGCAGGACGGATTGTCACTCTACGAGAGGAGGAGTGGACGAGAATAAATCTGGCCGAGGGTCTATCCTACATTCCTTCGTGGGACTCTTACTCGCTTTCTCAGCTCTCTTCTGATGGCTTCACCATCAAGAAACGAACCAAGCCAGGTTGCTCCTGGGTCAAAGTCATCGGTGGTGGGCGGGCAGATGGAACTGCGTACGTCGGATCTGCCCAGCATGGTGGACTGGCAGTTGGCATGTCCGACTTTTGGGAGCGCTATCCAACCCAGATCGACCTGGACAACATGACCTCGGAGGCCGGTATTATAACTGTATGGCTATACTCACCTTTAGCCGAGCCATTGGAAACGGCACCTTACCACGATGGCCTTGGCTTGGACACCTACCCAAAGCAATTAAAGGCTCTGAACGTGACATACGAGGATTTTGAACCCGCGTTTGTGACAGCAAACGGTATCGGAAGAACAAATCAACTCTATTTGAAGCCATTTCGCCAGACCCCTTCCAACCAGGAGCTCAGTGCCTTCTCGTCACTCGTTCGCGATCCGCCACGCCTGGTTGCAACTTCAGCGCATATGCACGCCGCGAATGCCTTTCACGGATGTTGGGCTCCTGATTTCCAGACTAAAACCCTTGGTTCAACTTCCAAGGCAGCTGATATTGAGAAGAACCTGGACCTGCTATTCAACTATTACCATGATCAGGTTGAACAGAATCGATGGTACGGATTCTGGGACCATGGGGATGTTCAACACACGTACGATTCCTATCGACATGCATGGAGATACGATGTTGGTGGTTTTGCATGGGACAACTGCGAATTATCTACAGACCTTTGGCTTTGGCTCTATTTTCTACACACTGAACGGGCAGATGTATTCAAGATGGCCGAAGCCATGACGAGACATACCGGTGACGTGGATGTATATCACATTGGAAGATTTAAAGGATTTGGGACCCGGCATGGTGTTCAGCATTTCAGCGACAGTTCCAAGCAGCTTCGAATCTCCAATGTTCTCTACCGTCGTATCTACTTTTATCTCACCGGAGACGAACACACTGGAGACTTAATTTCTGAGCTTCAAGGCTGTCAACACTCCCTCTTGGTACTGGATTCTCATCGCAAGGTGCAGCAACATGCAGGAATTCCTGAAGGTTTCGCGATGACGAACATCGGTCTGGATTGCGGCCCTCTTATTGCGGCCTGGTTAACAGCGTGGGAAGGTCGGAGTGAGGGCTGGGAGCAATGCAAAGACCTTCTCATCAACCTTCTAGACGGAATTGCGGGCCTGAAACATGGGATTGGAAACAATGCCATTCTGTTTAATCCAACCAGTGGTGAAGTACGAGAATGTCCTCCTCCAACGCCAGAATGGGCAATCTCACACCTTTCTATGCTGTTTGGCTTCCCCGAAATCCTCGCTGAATTATTCCACTATGCGTGGAAAGAGTATCCTTTAATGATGGAGAAATTCATGAAAGTGTGGTTAGCTTATTGCCGGGCATACAACGGCGGTCCGAAGGTACAACGCGAAGAATTCGGCTTCGAATTCCCTTCTCATGCAATATGGAGACAGAGCCATTCAACTCTTACTGCTTTTGCAGCAGTTGAGTCAAATGATGAGCACCTTGCACATACCGCTTGGGACCAATTCTTTAATACAGATGGTTACACGGTACGACAAGATTGGAGTATATTGCAGACGTCGCCTCCGGATTATTTCAGTAACGGCGAGGAGGCTCGATGGGTAAGCACGAATGAGACTGCTCGCTACGGTGTCTCTGCGATCTTTAACCTTGCCAACATTGGCAAATACCTATCTTAGCCAAAATAGAATTGTTACAAATGATTGCAAATGATTGCAAATAAATATCAGGAATCTTAGACATAGATATCTTACAGGTATGTACTTTGGGACTTCTTAAAATGAGAGTAGGCGGTGGTATATTTCCTAAGGTTACTATGGATCAGCCTAGTGCTCATGGGTGTTTTCGTTAACCCCAACAGTTGGAAGGGCCCCGTCTTGACAAAACATCCGGAAGGAAACTCACCGACAGCTTCAACTGGGCGGCAGTCTCGGGTCACAATGACCCGCAGTCCCCAGCATGCCTTCAAAGAGGGGGTTTAAAACGGTAGTGAGATGGGGATAGGGATGCTCTTTACATAGATTCGCGTGGGGTAAGCACCCTCTGGGGGCCTCAGCACGAGACCAAGCTTTTCTATTGACGGAAAAACTCAATCTTGGAAGCTGCAGAGACCTCCCCGGCGTTCTCGCCGGGGAGGTCTCTTTTTGGTTGGTGAGGGGTTAACTCGCTGATCAGCAAACAAAAGATAGATTCAAAGAACCTTGTCCACTTCTTCTTGATTGAATATCCAGACACACAATACTCTCTTTCGTTTTGGCTTCTTTGTGGCTGTCCAATTATTTTGGCAGTATTTATTGATATGGCTCCAACAAGATACGCCGTCGTAGGCACCGGAGGCCGCGCCGCCTTCTTTTACAGTGCCATAGTCCGCGATTTCAAAGATACCGCTACTCTTGTCGCCTTTTGCGACACAAACCAGACGCGGATGGATGTCGCCAATGGCCGAGTACAAAAGCTAGGAATGTCGCAACTGCCAACATACAAAGCCGCCGACTTCGATCGTATGGTTGAGGAAACGAAGCCCGACACCATAATCGTGACTACGATTGATCGAGCACATCACACCTACATCGTCCGGGCTATGGAACTTGGCTGCAATGTGCTCAGTGAAAAGCCGATGACAGTGGATGAACAGAAATGCCAAACGATCCTTGATGTCGTAAAGGCCACCAATCGTCAATTACGCGTCGCTTTCAACTACCGATACGCACCCCACAACACTAAAGTCCGTGAACTTCTGATGGACGGTGCCATTGGCAAAGTTACCTCTGTTCATTTTGAATGGATGCTCAACACCAGACACGGCGCGGACTACTTCCGCCGTTGGCATCGGGATAAACGCAACAGTGGCGGATTGCTCGTTCACAAGTCCACTCATCACTTTGACTTGGTCAACTTCTGGCTGGGTAGCAAGCCCACTACTGTATTTGCACAGGGTGACTTGAAGTTCTATGGTAAAGAGAATGCTGAACTTCGTGGCGAGACCAAGTTCTATTCCCGAGCCCATGGCAGTCCCGCCGCCGCCAACGATCCGTTTGCTCTACACATGGAAGAACACACACAGCTTAAGGCCATGTATCTCGACGCGGAGCATGAAGATGGCTACTACCGTGACCAGAGCGTTTTTGGGGATGGCATTAACATCGAAGACACAATGGGTGCGCTGGTGAGCTATCAGTCCGGTGCAATCTTGACATACAGCTTGGTCGCCTACTGCCCTTGGGAAGGATTCCGGGTCTGTTTTAATGGCACCGGTGGTCGACTGGAGATGGATGTACTCGAGGAATCATATGTCAATGCAGGTGGAGAACAGGGGAAGGAAGGCGCCGTGGCACACACGAAAATTACGGTACATCCTATGTTTGCGCCACCTTATGAGGTGCCGGTTGTTGAGGGAGAAGGTGGCCATGGCGGTGGAGATCCCGTGCTACTCAACGATCTCTTTGGAGCTCCTGTGCCAGACAGACTGAATCGCGCTGCATCACATGTTGATGGGGCTATGTCCATTTTAACGGGGATTGCAGCAAATAAGGCAATTCGTACAGGGCAAGTGGTGCAGGTGAAAGACTTGGTACAGTTCTGACAACACCGAACAATAGACGATCGATTCTTAAATTAAATCATCACTGCAACATATTAATTGGAACCTTTTAATTTTCCTGTGATTTTGACAACCTAGCAAACTTGGAAAGGTTTCAGGCTATGGATTATTCGTGGATCCCCAAGTTCATCTCGGGGAAATCCCGAACCACCAGAATGTATGACTAATGGAGGCGCGCTTGGGTGGACTTAGCCTAAACATCCACTAGAAGCCGACAAACAACATGTCGGGATCGCCGAGCCAAGGGCCTCATGCGCCAGTTGGGGCTCGTAGGAAGACCACAGAGGCCTGTGGCCCCTGTCGAGCTCGAAAATTAAAAGTAAGTCGCCCAAAGGTCAAGTGCTCATGAGAAATGCCGTACCGGACCACGAGTACTCATATCTATCCATGAATCAAGTGTGATGGACTCCTGCCATGTCAAACTTGCGAGAGAAGCAAGGCTCAGTGCTCCTATGATCCATCTACAGCGGCTCACAGAGTGACTAGGTAGGTGACAGAGGAAGTCGTTTTCATGAACTAATTGGGATCTAGTGGGCTCGATATCATCAACGCCAGGGTGTTGGAGTTAGAGCGTGCAGTCTTTGGGGAAAGAACCTATCAGCCTAGAGTTTCTACAAACTCAGCAGGTGCGTGTATTGACTTCTAAGTCTGAAATTCGAAGCTAACACTCTGAAAAGATACCACGCCGAGATCGACCCTGGGTCAGGCTGGAGTGGATGTGTTTGAAGATAGCACTGGGTCTTTGGCATTTTACGGTCCCACATCGACATTTAACATCCTGCGATCACAAGATCCCCACATCTCTCGCGCAGCGAACTTCGATGGTGGCCGCGAAAGGCCCCCAAAAAGACGAAAAGGGGCTGGGCACTCCCCGGAAGACATCTACTCCTCGAGTGACATGACTAGCACGAGTGGATGGACCTTCAAGGAAAGCCTGGCAAAGACGCATATAGACTGCTTTTTTGACAAGATCTCTGATATTATCCCGGTACTGGATGATCCAGCTTTCCAGTCTGCCTACTATCGGTTTTCGAACCCTGGGAATGCATCACTTTCCGAATCACAGAACCCTCGATCCCGTCAACGCCAGTGTCTCATCTATTCTGTTCTAGCCTTGGGTGCTCTTTACTCAGAGACTGACCGCAGCGGTCCAGAGTGGGCTACCAAATATTTTGCCAAGGCGCAGGGTCTTCTAGGTCACTTGTTTGGAGAGAATTGCTTGGAATTAGTACAGGCTGCTATGCTCATGGTATGATGATCATTCTGAGTCCTATTTTTCAAAACAAGCTGACCACTCAAAGGCTATTTATGCTCACCGACGGGCTGATCCTAACTGTATGATTGTCATTGAGGTGTCAACTTCCCGGCTAACATCCCTTTAGTAGCATATAACTACCTAGGAATCGCGATTCGAATGGCCTATTCCATTGGAATCAACGACAACATCAATCCACCCGAGCGGCCTTTCATTGATCGCGAAGCGGCATTCAGAACCTGGTGGACTATTTATAGCCTGGAATCGGATCTATGTCTTGAGTACGGGAGACCGCTCAGTATTCGCGAGACCGATGCCAAAGCGTCTTATCCTCTAGAAAATCCAGTGAGTCTGTTCGAGTGAGAGAAAAGCAACCCTCGCTTATCAAAAAGCAGGATCCCAAGGCAGAAATGGCCAGTAAGGTCACATTCATCGTCGTAATGGCCAAATTCGCGAGAATCGCTCGCAAAGTCATCGACTTGGCATCGAATATTAGCGAGAGGACAGCTGCCCTACAGTCCTTTGTGGGCCGAATGATGAACCTCCAAGCTGAACTCATGACTTGGAGAGGAGAGCTTCCTGCACATTTAGCTCCCAAAGATACTACAACCGCCGAAGGCTTCCAAGCGCGGGGCCAGGTCTCTTGGGTGCAGCATCAGTGCTGTGATATTGAACTAAGTCAGTCACTCTTTACCATTGTCATAATTGAAGGGGTCTCACATTCTGATAGGGTTCAATCATGTGATGCTCGTCATGCACCGACCTTTCTTTGCATATGCAAGCTTCTCCACGCCATTCTACTCGTCTGCCATGGCCAAGGGTGTCTGTATCGGTGCTGCCCGTGAAACCATTCTGCTTGTTCACAAATTACTGGAGTACCCCGAAAATCAGTGGACATGCTACTCTCATCGAGTCCTCGCTGCCATGCTTGTGGTCATCACAAGTATTTTTGACAGCTCCGGAGAAGAAAGAGCTACCTTGTTGGAACTATGTTCCAAGAGCCTGGAGATATTTCGACGCATGCGTTCCGGTTGTCCAGCTAAACCAGTCGCTTTGGTTGAGGATGTGTTGACCCAATTATCGCCCGGAATGTGGCAGGCAGAAGCACTGGTGGAGACCTGACTGGTGTCAGAACAAGTTCAACAATTAGCAGGAAATGACGTATGCGGAGATCCTCTGTCATGGCTCTTATTGTAGCTTCAGGCGTCGAGTGTTTGTATTTATAACCTGCCTCCTTGTCCGGGACAAAATGCTTCTCAATTCCCGAGGCAGCAGCAGCCTCTGCCAGAAGTTGCACTCAGCAGGTGTTTTCCAACAGAATGAACAAGTGAGCAGCTTCATCGACCGTTCTCCCCGTCGTCAAAAGATTTTCAGATGTATAGATACCAAGTTCCTGCTTCTGTGCATCTGATATACCAAGCTTTGGATGCTTCGAGATAGGAACTTTGGGCGAAAGGGGGATATATTTGATTTTTTCCCCTGAGGTTACTCCGGGTGCTCGGAGGAGGAATGCTGCGATCTGAGAGAGGAAAATGGGTGGGTAATAAGTGATTGTACAATAAGTGAAATTAATTATATGGGAATTAGCCGAAAACTCGGTATAAACATGGAAAATGTGTGCATAAACCCGAAGTGTGCAATATATGGGCGTGCACTAACTGCAAGTTGACTGTACCACCCAGGCATAAACCATTGCAAAAACCTTTCCTCAAAAGACGACGACGAGAATTCCAAGAGTCCGTAGCGCGTTACATGATTCCGATGTCCACGAAGGTCCTATGCTGCTGATCAAATAGGTATATCGGAACTGGTCTTGGAAGTCTTTCGCCCACGAGTGCCGTTGAAGACGAGCTTGAAGGTCAGGGTTGTGGTAATAACGAATAGCAGCATTTCCAGCGCCCCAAAGACTGTCGCCGCCGTGATCGCCCGACAGTGGTTCTCTTGTGCCGGACATGCATTGGTCCCTATGTTGATCGCCGAGGCAATGAAACCAGCAGTCCATGAGAGAAGAGCCACAGCCTCGACGGCGACACGAATGTAGCCAATCAATCTATGATCCGCGAACCTGTTTCCAGCAATGAGGAGGAAGATGACGCCCAGAAATGTCCACCCAGCACAGAACATTAAGAAGCCCCACGCATCAGGGACGCCGTAGTAATCGTAGAAGTTGCCGTACACGAATTGTTCGTAGACCTCGTGGCCGCGAAACACATGGATAGCTAGGAGTTGAAGTCAGACTCAACGGTGCGTTGACAAAGTGGGATACATTAGTTCTCCATACCGTAGCCGTCTGTTCCTATGACTATTATGGCAAAAATGAGCTGCAGTGCTCGCAGGGCAAAGTGAACCGGTCTATTTGCCGCCATGGTCGTGGCCATGATGTGAAGCGATCCCTCGACCGACGTTGTCGTTTAGCGAAGAGAGCGCGGGGAAGTCCAAAATTGCTGTTAAAAGAGGGCACGGCCGTCTTTCGTGCAATTAAATTCCTCGGAAATGATGATGCCTAGTGTTGTATAGCGCAGGTAGTCCCAGTTTTGCTAACGAACGCCTACAGCGCACGGGGTTTGTAAAGGGATCTGTGGTCGGACTCGGGAGGTGATGGGTATGCCGAAAAAACTGAAGAACTGCGGAACACGGCGAAGAAGACTAAATAGATAAATTCAATCCTCGCTGCCTAAATGCATGTTTGAAGGCGCACTCTCTTTTGTAGTTAGACGGCTACGAGATGATCGCCGGTGCGCCAATCAAGGGTCGTCGGGTAAACAGGCTTAACTGCTCTGGGCTACGTGGGTCGAGACCCTTTAAGGTGGGCGAATCATGTCCTGCGGGTCTCGACAGTCTCGTAAATATCTAACCCCTTTCGGACGGACGTCGTGACAAAGGCATGCAGATCCTGAAAGTCGATGTCAAGGCTGCGAGTAGTGGAGAGGATGTACGAGCGGGAGTGCTCCATGGTGATCGGCGCAGATCAATCCATCAAATCTTATTGTGCAAAATATTATAACCACGAGCCTCTCACTCTTTTTTCTTCTTCCTGGCTCCAAAATTTAACTCCCATCTTGTCGAATTTACAGCCAAGATGTCAGAACCTTGTTCTTTCCAAAGCATTGACAGCTGTACCGTGGGGAAACGTCCCCTCGGGTGCGCTCAGGTGGAATATCTACCCACTCTTGCCGGCAATGCCATCGCTGGATTGACAGCAGGAGTCTTGGCTGAAAAACCCTGGAGCCATATCATAGATGGCGCTTTTACTTCCAGAACAGCTAACAACAGATGCCCACTGCCTCATAGCTTGATATACTCCGTGATTGTCTGCCACTCTCCCAATAGCCCCCACGGCTTTGTCTGGAACACAGCTTCAAGCATACCTCGATAAGCCGGGCTGGGCACGATGCTGTCGTCAAACTTTGGAAAGTCAAAAGGCATCTCACCCAGGTTGTCGATCTGTGACTCATCATCTGGTAGGGGGAGACCATGCACTCTCGCAGTCTCGTCCGGCAACTCTTGCCCGTTGAGATGCCTTTCTTCCAGCTCGATCACTCTTTTGGCCGTTACGTAGGCGTAATGTGCATTCCAGAGCCCTTCCCGCCGAGGCGCAAATTGCAGCATTTGCAGCGCGCGTCTTCGTATTGCGGGATAACGGCATTTCAGTGCGGTATAGTACAGAGGCCCCAGGATTTGCAGGTCGAAAGACAGCGGTTGCGGTGTTGCCATTCCCACGCCTGGCTTGGCGATTTGTTCCGCATAATGCACAAGCTCTTCAAAGGCGGTGTGGTAAAAGTCTGTGGCCGTTTCCTCGGCTGCGGTGCAGACGCGTATCCAGATGTAGATGACTTTGTAATGCACCAAAAGTATATTGAGCGCGTCCTGTTTCGCCGGGTTGCCGGCAGCCTGCATTCGTTCAAGAAGTTCGTCTAGCTGGTCGCACCATGCGTCTAGCCTTGTTTGAAGTCTAATCTGTTCAACGAGGTCGTCGACGTCAATTTGGGACATAGCTGCCTTAGGAAGGGCTTCATGAATGAATCGGATGCATTTATCTGAAATCTCGAAGAGTCGTCGTCTAGAATCCATAAGGTCTTCCTGAGGAGAGTCTTCTTTAGCCGTAGGACCGTATATTGGTGGCGTTATTCTGCCAGCGAGAGAACAGAGTACACTCAGACGTGAGAACACCGGAAGGATGTGATCTTCGATGGCTTTAAGATCGTTGGACGAGGGATTGGACCCTAGATGCGGGGCTGCATCGCTGTTGCGACGGAGCGCGGCTAGAATATTGAATCCACTCTGAACGTGAAGCCAAGACGATTCAACATTGCCCCTGAGGAAATCGATACACGTGAACAAAAGGCAGCAGACCAAAGGTACCAAGTTTGAGTTGGGATGCGCTTGAATTCGAGCTGATAGGCTCCTCGCTGCTGTATTCCACTCCCGTTGAGCCTCGGGATTGGCATTAACATAGCCTGCCGGATGCCGTAAAGACGATTTTTCGACGTCTTGATAAATGACGCTGATGGCTGATATGGCATGTCGAATTGACGGTTCGGAGTGTGATAGTTGCAAAACAAGCTTGCTCCAGAACTTCGAATCAAATTGTCCGTCCAACTTCGCAGCAAGATTCTGGTGGAAGAAGTCGAGGCCGCGGTCATTTACGAAGAATACCGGCTGACTTTCCGCAGGAGGCAGATATACCGTGATCACGTTTCGAGGTGGGGGTGCTGCACGTGCGTTGTACTCGCATTTTCGACCTCCAACGGCGCAACGTTGACAGATAGGTTTGGCTTCATCGCATTTCACTCGACGAGCTTTGCAGGTGCTGCACCCAGTTCGTACTTTGGATGTACTTTCTCGAGTTCTCTTCAGCGCAAGATCCAGTCCATGGGTCATGATGAATTGTTGTGATATGAGCGAGGCCTGGGCTGTCGTATCGGGCGACCGACGCCCCGTGTGTTCAAGTACGCCAAACCTGTTACGGCGGGCACTGAAGATGTGTTGACCCGCTTATCGCGCGGAAGGTGGCAGGCAGAAGCGGTGGAGACCCGGGGTCAGAACAAGTCCAAGACTTGGCAGGAAATGACAGAAAATGACATATGCGGAGATCCTCCGCCGTGACCCCTATTGGCCAAAAGTACTTCAGCTTTCTTTATATAACGCAGATATTGTTGGCCTTGTTGGGACAAGCAATGCCACGTGCGCCCGCATTTCTAGGTCCGCCACTGCCCCTCGACTTTTCCTCGTCTATATTGACTTTCTTTTTCCCGTCCCTCCCCCTTGCAGACTTGGTCTTCCAAGTTTCTCTTCGCGGTTTTCCCCATTGATTGGAGCGTTGACGATCACCCCTTGAAGCCATTTCCCTGCATCATGTCGGAGTGTTGCTGTGATCAGCACTTCGCTTGATATTACCCGCTATGCACATGGGCCTTAAAATAATTTTGTTACTTGATTTTATTTATTCCTGGTGACCGTTTTGCATCGTCAATGATCGTACGCCGCCCAGCCAACATTCGACGCCGCCCGCAGCCGCTTAATCTCCAGGATGAGCATCCACTCGATGGACTACGCGCAGCGTGACGCGATTCGGTCCGATTCAAATCAAGGCCCAGACCTCGAGGCCGGAGGCCTCTCACCCGCCTCTGCAGCCTCCCCGAGACAGCGAGAAGGATCCGCCATCGACGCGTTCACCACTGCAGCAAGAGTCAACTCCAGCGATACCGCCAAACGTCGCACACGACGACGTTCGAACACCGCTCGCTCCTACCGCCCGGAAGGCTTTGCCCACGAACCTCACTGGCAGCCCGGTACAGAACCCGGCATTGACCCAACCAAACCTCTTCCCCCATTCAGCTCCGAATGGACGTCGAACGTTCCCGGCGACCTGCAGCGACAATGCGAGATCACAGTAGTGGACTTCTCGCAGAACGAAATGCGTCAATACGAACTCGATAACAACACCCTTGAACAGTTCTTGTCACGAGAGCGAGAATCCTGGGTACAGTGCCGATGGATCAACGTGAATGGGTTAAGTTGGGATGTGATCAAGATTCTGGGAAACCACAAGAGGTTACACCGTCTGGCAATCGAGGACGTGGTCCACACAACGAACCGCACCAAGGCCGACTGGTATTCAGACCACGCCTTTATCGTTTTGACCTTGCAAAAACTAGTGAAACTGCAACAGGAGGACAGCGACTCCGACTCCGAAGATGGAGATGGGCCCGCCATTTTCGACATGGATAGAAAGAGTTCGGTGGTCAGTGAAAAAAGCTCGGTATCTTTGAAACGACCCACCAAGCGGCATATCATCTGGGAGGCAATGAAGGATATTTTCCGTTCCAAATCGTCAAGTCGGCCACAAGAGGAAAAGGCCACGATGGGAGCGAGCGTCCGCCCTGGCCCAGGCGCGCCTTCATCAAATCGGGCCTCTCAATTTGGAAATGTGGCCAATGCAGCAGGAGCCACGGCTCGAACTCTCCAGCGATATCGCGGTGGACCGAACGAGGATCGGATCGAGTTCATGGAACGCCATGCCTCACTCGCAGCCAAAGGACTTTGTGTTACTCTGGAGCAGGTCTCAATTTTCCTTCATGCCGACAACACCGTCACATCTTTCTTCGAGACCAGCGCAGACGACATAGAGGCACCAATTGTGCGGCGCCTGAGCTCACCCGAGACTATTCTTCGTCAGTCATGCGATGCCAGTATGCTCCTGCAAGCTATTATAGACGCCGTCATTGATCTTGCGATTCCTGTCACCATGGCCTACCAAGACGCCATTGGAGACCTCGAGCTGGGGGTCTTGACGGATCCGAATATTGATCAATCGAAGAGCCTGTATATCCTGACCTCGGAAATTGCGGTCCTTCGCAATTCCATGCAGCCGATGGTGGCTGTAATTAATGCTCTTCGCGACCACCGATCCGCTCCCGTTGGCGCACCTGGTTTCGGGACATTACGAAATGGTGCATTCAGCCCACCTTCCCCAGGGGGATATTTCGAATTGGGGCCACACATTGGAACTGCTACACCTAATCTGAAGAGCATTGGAGGCTCCGGCGTCACCATCAGTACCATGTGCCATACGTATCTGGGTGATGTCCTGGATCATTGTATTACTATTGTGGAAGGGTACGATCAGATGCGACGTGCCGCGGATAACATGATTGATCTCATTTTCAACACTATTGGTGGGTGCACCAAAAGTCCCCTGATGATACACAGCTGACCATCACGTTAGGTGCCTATCAGAACGAGAGTATGAAGCAACTGACGATTGTCACCTGTCTCTATCTCCCGATGACGTTCTTGACGGTATGCAGAAACCTTGTCGTATTGTCTCACGGCTTCTAACGAGAGCACCAGGGTTATTTCGGAATGAACTTCAAAGATTTTGCTGGTATCGACCATAGCGATGCGTATGTCTGCCCAATATCTTGACCTCTACCGCTGATTAGATACTAACCCATTTTCAGGTACTTCTGGAAGATTGCAGTTCCATTTGTGGTAGTGACCACTCTCTTGTTAATGTGAGTCCCTAAAATCCGTCCAGCTCAAACCGGACCGTGCTAACAATTCAATCTCAGGCGTGATAAAATCCAACGTTACGCAGTCATGCTTGCCCAGAGACGCCTTATTACTAGCTCGAGAAAGCAAAGACGAGAAAGAAAGGTTACTTGATGAGACCTCTGTGTACTACGAACCTCTCATACAACGACTTTTTAGAGTGCGAACATTGCTTTTTTGTACATTATTCGACCAGCCATCATGGGGTCTTGCATCTATATAGTACAGTTTATCATACACGGCCTCCTGTCATTTTTCAAATACTCTTCCGATTGAAAGCCATGTAAGCCTTCCATGGGAACTTCCAATCCGACCGCAGTAGCTCCGGACGGAAGACATCAAAATCGTACTGCTGCAGGCGATCGAGCCACAGGCGAGTAGACACCGCCGGCATGAAGACACCAAAGGCTCGATTGATTTCATCAACAGGCGACTCGCGGGTCTGGGCGCCACCCAGGACATCATGTCCATATTCATGACCCTCTTCACCCTCATGCTCAAAATCATGCCCGACATCTTTGCCAGCCCGAAGATTGCTCAACATCTGCTCCACAGTAATCAAATGATCACTGGCCCGCGTAGCTACAGTGAAAACCGCATCTCGTAAACCCTCAGCATCGGCTCCGCGCCGCAGAACCTCTTCCTCCTTGACCCCAGTCTGCGCCATGATATCCAGAGGCAGCATAACGGCACCCTGCTTGGGACCAGCACTCACCGAGCTCCCGCTGGGCGACTTAGCTGCCGGCGCAGGAAACGCAACAAGCGGCAATCCACGCAGCACAGCCGCAATTCCCGCTGCCTTTCCAATATGAGAAGCCACATGATCCGCCGTGACCGATGCCATCGGCAGCGCTGACAAAGTCAAGTACATGAGGGTGGAGTAGGTATTTTCAGCGTAGGATTCGAGGGCGGCGATATTCGGGTACGGGTCATTTGTGAGCGTCTGTTCTCTCGCACTAATCATCCGGGTAAGCCAGCCCTTGCTTATCCTGGCCCGGCCTTGTGTGCGCTCGTTGAGCTCGGAGATGGCGGAGGCGAGAAGGAGTGCCACGGGTTCCTTTGGCGGCGAGCCAGCGAGGATTTTCGTTACGGCGTCGCGCCAAAATTGTAGGCGCATTAGCCCGATTGTGGGGGAGGAGATTGTGTCCGGGATTAAGGAAAGGGAGACGTTCAATGCGCGCAGGGCGATGTAGAAGGATCTTGCGTGGGGTGGGATGAAGGTGCTCAGCGTGTAGGAGGGTCGGTCATATTTCCTGTCGAGTACATGGTCAGTGTCTGTCGCGCAGTCATACTGATTGGATATATTCGAGTGAATTGATATGTAGTAGAAGACAGGGAGGCGTACGAGAGTAGATCGATACAGTATTTATGTGCGCCGTTGACTTCTTCGGCGGAGACGGGGGAGGCAAAGGGTCGACTTCGGCTGAAGAGCCTTTTCTGATACTGGAATTGCCGCGAATATAAGCGCCATGCTGTCGATGCCCGGCATGGACGAGCGGCCTCTTTGAGGAAGGACATGAGGGAGGTGAAGGATGTGGAGGAAGGCAAGTTCCAGTTAAGCGCGGATGTAATCCACTTAATTGCATTGGCCCACGGCCTATGGTGTGTCAGCGCAATGAACAAAGGCCACTCAGGACTGGATAGTTGCAAGATATCTGACAATATGACTGCAAGGCTAAAGACTACCGGTTAATTAAACTTAGACTGATCTAAAAAGCTCAACGGTTGACTGCAATATTATTCGAACTTTTTTTCTGATCGCTGACGTCGAGCCGCGTGATTTCGCGTTTCCCGGCGCGTCTTCCCAACTCACTTTTCTTTCACTTCACTCGAACCCCATGTCGCAACCACGAGGATGAACGAGGATCTGGATCAGAGACCAGCCAAGCGACAACGGTTCTTTGCCGAAGATCCTGCTTCTTTATCCAATTCGAATGCGGGGACTCTCGACGCGTCGTTACCTCGTCACTGCCCGCGCTTGGAGGAACACGCTCCCAATGACGATGGCAATGTCCCGGAGACTCCTCCCCTTGAGGATATCCAGACACCTCGAGACACCCCATTCGGGCCTAAACAACCTTTCTTGACGACGGAAAGCATAGACGCTGGTCCATCGGAGGCTCCAGCGACGACCTCGCCCCAAAATGAAACGGCCCAGCGAGGAATCCCCGATACGACAACCCAACTTCCAAACTTGAACGGCTTCGATGTGGAGCTATTTACAGGTATAATCGGAGCGCAGCTACCTCTTGATTCTCTCAAAGCGATTCAGACTGCCGCTTCAAACAGCGTTGAACGAGCCGTCAACATTTACTTTGATGGGTCATGGAAAAAGCCAGCAAAGACCGCATTTCGGCCGAATCCACCTCCCTTTCAATCAAGCCTATCGGCCAAAACTGAAGCAGGCGAAGAAGCGTCCGTCGCCCCCTCCCGTGCAGTCAATGAAAGCACACCGGTCGAACAACAGACTCTCCTGCGAAAACAATCGTCCTCGAGATATATCGGAGCGTTTGGCGTGGGAGCATGGGCAACGCGGAGTGGACCAGCATTATTGAAGCATGGAGACCCTGTCAAGATCGAACGTGCCAGGTCACAGCCAGTCACGAAGCGCGGTCGGAACGGAAAGATGTTCACCAACAACAAGAGTGACGTCCTGACACGATTCACAAACTCTGCAGGGCAGGAAATCGGACGGCTTCCGCATGATATTGCTGGATGGGTATCGACTTTGATTGATCAGAAAATATGTGAGTTTGAGGGTGTCTGTGTGTATATTCCCGACAGGGTTCGAGTCAACGATACCATCTACCTGCAGCTACGATGCTTGTTCAGGCGGGAAGCCTTTCAGCATGGCGCCTTTATCGAAGCGGCCGGGGATGACAACAGGTCAACAGGTCTATTCGAGGAAAAGGAAAGCATGGAGGAGAAAAGCCTCAGGCTTCGGCAGGTTGCTCTTGTGAAGCTTTTCCACGAAATTGGCCTCCAACCAACTTCCCTCAACCCGACTACCGAAAAGCACAAGAAAGACGGGCTGCTCCGAGCTGCCGAGATGGCCGAGCAGTACGACGGCGTAAAAAAGGAGAAGACGAAACTCACCAAAGACTCGAACAAAGACCCGAACAAAGATCAGAATGACGACTCCTCCGAAGATGAAGGGGCTGAACTCGAAGAAGATCAACTGGATACACTGTATCGCAAAGCGCAATCCTTTGACTTCAATATGCCCGAGGCCCAGCCACCTTCTACGTTTACTATGGACCTTCGAAAGTATCAAAAACAAGCTCTACATTGGATGCTTTCGAAAGAGAAGGACAAGGAACAAGCTCGAGAGCGCTCGATGCATCCGCTCTGGGAGGAGTATAACTGGCCAACCAAGGACGTTGACGATAAGGATTTACCAATCGTGGAGGGAATTGACCACTTCTATGTCAACCCGTATTCCGGTGACCTGAGTGTCGACTTTCCCGCTCAAGAGCAACATTGCTTGGGCGGTATCCTGGCGGATGAGATGGGACTGGGAAAGACAATCGAGATGCTCAGTCTGGTACACTCTCACAAGACCGAGCCGAATCCCAACGTGTCCAGTGGAATCAGTTCTGTCAACGACCTCACTAGACTTCCCAACGCTGCTGGCATCGTTCCTGCTCCGTATACCACACTGGTTGTCGCCCCAACGTCATTGCTCTCGCAATGGGAGAGCGAGGCATTGAAAGCATCGCAACCCGGGACGATGCGAACTCTCCTGTACTATGGTGCTGACAAGGCAGTAAATCTTCGGGACATATGCTGCGAGGCAAAATATTCAACGGCACCCAATGTCATTGTGACCAGCTACGGTGTTGTACTATCGGAGTTTCGCCAACTTACCCAGTCGTCCGTAATGGCAAACCATAACGGGTTATTCTCCGTTGATTTCTTTCGCATAATCCTCGATGAGGCGCATCTGATCAAAAACCGTCGTTCAAAGTCCGCGAGAGCCTGCTACGAATTGAAGGCGCAGCATCGGTGGGTTCTCACGGGCACACCCATTGTCAACCGACTGGAAGATCTGTTCAGCTTGGTGCGCTTCTTGAAGGTTGAGCCATGGAGTAACTTCTCTTTCTGGAAGACTTTCATCACGGTGCCCTTCGAGTCGAAAGAATTCGTCCGCGCTCTCAATGTGGTGCAGAGTGTTTTGGAGCCTCTTGTACTCCGAAGAACCAAAACAATGAAAACTCCAGATGGTCAGCCCCTGGTACCATTGCCAAAACGAACCGTTACTATCGAAGAGGTCGAACTCTCCGACCAAGAGCGAGAAATCTACGACTGCATCTATACCCGGGCAAAGAGAACCTACAATGACAATGTCGAAGCGGGCACCCTTCTTTCGTCATACTCCACCATCTTTGCGCAACTTCTGCGGCTTCGGCAGACATGCTGCCATCCGATTCTCACCCGCAAGAAAGAGATAGTTGCAGACGAAGAGACTGCGGCGGCTGCCCTCGACGCAGTCAACGAAATGAAGGACGACATGGACCTCCAAGATCTCATTAATCAGTTCACTGCCGGAAATGAGAATGCAGAGACAGAGGACCGGTCTGTTAAATTCACTGCTCATGCCCTTCGACAAATACAGACCGAGTCCAGCGGAGAGTGTCCTATTTGCTGCGAAGAGCCGATGATCGATCCCGCAGTGACAGCGTGTTGGCACAGTGCGTGCAAGAAATGTCTCGACGACTTTGTTCGGCACCACATCAACAAGGGTAATCAGCCTCGATGCTTTTCGTGTCGTGCCCCTGTGGATGCCAAGGACATATTCGAAGTCGTTAAGCACCCGATGACGCACACCCCCGTTGAGGAGACACCAGGCGATACACCGAGCAGCTTGCAACCGGCGCCGCGTATCTCTCTACGTCGCATCAATCCTTTATCCCCATCGGCACACACCTCTGCAAAGATCCACGCGCTCATACATGGTCTGTCTCGCGTCCCGCCTGGGACCAAAACAGTTGTCTTCTCTCAATTTACCTCTTTCCTCGACCTCATCGGCCCCCAGTTGACCAAAGTGGGTATTACCCACCTCCGCCTCGATGGCTCGATGCCTCAAAAGGCACGCGCTGCCGTTCTTGCGGAGTTCGCGAAGACCGAAGATACATATGCCGACGACATAATCGATGACGAGGACGAAAGACAGACGAGGAATGGCCCGCCCTTTTCAAAGACCATCGAGCCACGGCCCACTGTTCTCCTCATATCCCTCCGCGCAGGCGGCGTTGGTCTCAACCTCACGACAGCAAGCAACGTCTTCCTCATGGACCCGTGGTGGAGTTTTGCCATAGAAGCCCAGGCAATTGACCGTGTCCACCGAATGGGCCAATTGCGCGATGTTCAAGTGACGAGATTTGTGGTGAAGGACTCCATCGAAGGTCGAATGCTTCGCATCCAGGAGCGCAAAATGAATATCGCAGGCTCGCTCGGACTACGCGTTGGTGGCGATGAATCGGAAGAAGATAAGAAAAAGGACAGAATTGCGGAGTTGAAGATGCTCTTCGAGTAAGAACATGTGGGTTTTGGACCTGGGTGGGCTGTCATGGTTTTGGTTGATACCCCGTCATCTGTTGGATTTAGCACGACCCTGGCGCTGGATATACATACTGCATTTTTATTCATTTTTCAGACCTACATGGGACATCTTGATTCTTCACTACTGTCGACCACGGTGACAACAATAGAAGCGAATTATCGACAATACACAAGTGTAAACAAAACTTCCGTTGGGTACTAGTTTATACATTGCAAATTGAAACCGAGTGGGAATTGAACATCAATCATAAGTGAAATAACAAAAGCCCATCTTGATACAAATCAAAGCAGCTATCGAATTATGCGAAGACGTCCCTACTCGCTAGACTGCTTACCATGACGCGGGTGAGCAACCTTCTTCAGGCCTTCCTTCATCTTCGACATGGCACCTTGCTTTCCATTGCTTCCAGAGGACTTATTATCGCTGTCCTTTGACGAGTTACCGGACCCGCCCTCTTCGTTATTATTAGCGCTGCCTAGAACCGGATATTCAAAAAGGAAGACTTACTCGACTCATCAGCCTGTGCATCCTTCTCGTCCTTCTTACCCGCCTTGCCCTCCTTCTCAAACTCATCGGCCGTGTGCGGCGCCGGTCCCTGAGGTCCCTTCAGCGCCTCCTTGCTAACACCGTGATCCTCCATGATCACAGCTGTCCCGCGACGGCCCTGGTCCATCTGTTTCTTAGTATTCTCGTCGCTCTCAGTGTTATCGGTATCGCGCTGCTCCTTATCGTCATCCTTGGCCCCGGAGCTAGTATCTTCGGTAGCCTTGGAGGATGAGCCGGCAGCAGTATTCGAAGACGATCCCGCAGCGGTGGTGGAGGCCATGTCCGAAGTAGCGGTGGTAGAGGGCTTGTCTGCAGTATCGGTGGTAGAGGGCTTGTCTGCAGTATCGGTGGTAGAGGGCTTGTCTGCAGTATCGGTGGTAGAGGGCTTGTCTGCAGTAGCGGTGGTAGAGGGCTGGCTGTCCAGCCTAGGTTCCTGTGGTGCGGTATTGGCCTCTGAGGCAGGGGCGTCGGGTTGTTCTGGGGAATCCGAGACTCGTCAGCTCGTTGCGCTCATGGTACAGGCATCCATACAGCCCGTGGCCTCGAAGCCAGGTACTTATGCAGAAATTCCGGAGCAGATGGTGTGCTGCACGGGGTAGGATTTAAAGATGGACTTACCGTCTCGGTTGCCGGCGTCGTATGGGTCGTTGGCGGCGCCTTTGCCCTGCACACCGGAGATGGGCTCCTCGTGCGATTCCTGGGCTGTCTGTGATTGGACATCAGTGTCACCCCAGATGGCGTGCGAGGCCGAGTTGATCACTTTGTTGACTGCCTCCATGTTTTCTGACAATACGATAATGGTCGGTGGTATGAGGGGGTGAGGGGCAAGGTATGCTGTAGGGAGCAATCAAAGAGCGGGGAAGGGTAAATAGAATCGATGAGGTCAGGATCTGGAGGGAGATAGGAGGATCCTTGGGTCAAGATAGTCAAAGTTGTACTAAATGGGTGAACAAAAATACTGAGAATAACTTCTACGGAGGCTCCGAGCTCGAGCTTCTTAAACCCGGCCGATTCACTACGTCAGTGGAATCCCCAGGGAACACATGGCATCACGATCACAGCGGTGTATTGGAATCATTGGAGCTGAATGGTTGATAACTGCACGATCGGCGTCAACGTGGGACCGCCGATCATGGCATCATCTGACGTCATGTCACGTGCGCTGTGGCTGGACCGAAGTAGAAAGTGTAATAAATAGAAACAACCAGGTTTATCTCGTCGTGTCGGCTTGTGTGGCATTGCTCAGGGGGTGTGCGGGGTCGTAGCCAATGCTTTTCACGATTCCAAGTCCCTTTGTCTTGCCCTCACGGAAGAGTACTCGGTCGCCCGGTGCCAGGAACTCGGGGCGTTGGATGAACCGGAAGGCTACAAGGGCCCGATCGCCGGTTCGAATGAATGGGCGGTCTATGTCGATGACCGCACAGGTTTGGCTGACGGCCCCCACGTGGAGCATGGCCTGATATCTAGGCTTGATTGTGGTTGCATGCGACAGAATCAAGACTGAATCCATGTCAACAACGTTTATCCCTGTATATAGAAATGAGACTTACCTTCTGCGACAAATTCCCGGTACACCTTGGGAGGAGTATCCATCTTCCTCAGGACAACCATGCCCTTGCGCACTTCTTTGCGACGCACACGCTTCAGTGCAAAGGACCCAGACTGTCCCGCGGAGCAGGCATTCACCTGGATTCGTTTCCTCTCGATAGATTTGATGGTCGTAGTCGTGAATTGTCCCAGGGAGTCGGGGCCAACGACTACCGAGTCGCCTGCGTGAATGACGCCCGACTTGACCACGCCCGATACTACCGTGCCCACGTGCGGGACGGAGAAGGTGTCGTTGATAAGGAATTCAAAAGGCCCGTCCTGATCGTAATGTCCGCGGTGGGGCAGAATATTCAAAAATGTCCGGACGAGCTCCAGGTTCTCGCCGGTGACGTTGGACACCTGGAAAATGGGACATATCCGCTGGCTGACGAACTGGGTGGCGGTGTTGATAGTTTCCTCCATGTCCTTTACGAAGATAGGAATCTTCCGCGCACCAGGCGACTTGAGAATCTTGGCCAGCTGGGACAGGGTCTCCTGGAGAATCTGAGGCGGACATATGTCGATCTTGGTGACAATCACCATGACTGGCACATTCAGAGCCAAGGCAATTCCCAGATGCTCACGGCTCATACCAATCAGCCCATTGTTGGCAGCCACCATCAGTAGGCAGTAGTTAGGGCTGCTGCTCAGCATACCGAAGACGGTGGTGCGCAGGTAGCGCTCATGGCCTGCCAGATCGGAGAAGGAAATCACTTTCGCTGAGCGTTTCCCAATCTCCTCCCAGGAGAGTTTCCGTCCTTGGGCATTGGTGACGATCTCGCCGTGGCTGTCGAAGCCCATGATTTCCATGCCCACGGAGCTGGTACGGCCGCTCTCGATCTCGTGCTTGTGGCGGAATAGGTTGACTCTGGCACGACCACGGCCATCATCAAGTCCGCCTTTTACCAGGACTCCGAGCATGGTACTCTTCCCCGCGTCGACGTTGCCCACGACTGCAATGCGGACCTCCCCAACTTCCTCCACATTGGCAGCATCTTGGCGGATCAGGATTTTACCCCAGGCGCCAGCTATTCGATCATTTGTCACCGGTGACTCTTTCTCGCCGCCCACATTGTAGGTCATAAGGATACGGCAATGTGCCGGAAGGCTCTCAGCCGCCTCGGTCAGCCGCTTGAGTGCTGTTTCCCATTGGGGAATGTCGAAGCCCATTGAGTCTCCACCATCCTCGAGTCCAAGATCGAATAGAGTCTCTCCGTGGCCTTCATCAATTCGTAGTTGTATTGTTTCACCCAGCTCCTTTAGGCCGTCCTCGGAGGCATCTCCCGTACCGAGCAGGAGGTCCTTTAACTTGACCGTGCGCGGGGTATCGGACAGGCCGAGCGAGTCGAGTATTTCGAGCTCTGCGTGATCCTCGACATCCCGCGACACTTCAGCAGTGCCGGCAGAGTACCCGCTATCGCGGGGCGCGGCGTAGGCGGGGCGCTGGGCCTGCTGCTTATCCGCGTACTCGGCGAACTCGCTGAGAGCCTGGGGGACAGGTGAGTGAGGGAAGACATCCCGCGCAATGAAAACATACGATCTCGCCTCGTTTCCTCTCTTCTGCGTTTAATCTTGTGGTGTTCGGCATGTTTCGGTGAGGTGGGAGGTTCGAGAGGTGCGGTGAATCGCGTTCTTGGGGGTAGTGACGTTACGGATGGAGGTAGATTGGATCGCCTAAGCTGCGGCGCAATTCAAACCTATATTCGAGTGATCATGTCTTTACTCTGTCAGTACGATAGAAAGACAGGGATTGATGTGAAAAAGAGAAGTTGGAATTTGGTCTGAGGAAGTACAAGAAGAGCAGACCGGGGCAGCTTTATCGATAACCTTAGCTCGAGGTCGAGTCACTCGCTTGAGTCATAACTACGCTGCGCTCATCCGCGACCATCTGCCCCGATCATGCTGCGCCACGACTATCTCGCTCTAGAAATAGCCGGAAGAACTGTGACTAACAGTGGGGTCCCAGGATATCAGCCTGGTGGCTCTGGTATGGAGGGGCTACGGGACAAAAGCCTTGGTTCATCGCCATTTCATGGTCTCATATCTATGCGACTGGTATTTGGATGGTATCGTATTTTGCCTCCCCAACTGTAGCTGCTCGCCAGACGCCGGTTCCTCTATCAATTCGTGGGCCGATTAGGCCTGGGGGGAGATCAAAACGACGGAATCGCCTGGGAAGCATCAGAGAACATGTTCAAATCCCGTGGAGCTGACTGAGTCATGACTAACCTCGCACAAAAAGCATCTCTTCCTGCTTCTTAATTGTCTGTTCGCACACATCCCTGGTTAGCGTACCGACGCTGAAAACGCCTGGAAACCCTTACCCTTGTGGTCTCCTCCTCATTCTCATCCTCCTCTACCACGTAGATGGTCTCTTCCACATCACCGAGGACAAGGTTGCAGTGGCTATCATATGCCTAGGGAGTCGTCACAGTCAGCGGGCTGGTCAAGCAATTGCATGACAGGATGGGCTCACGTGGAGGCGGCCCTTGAGTTCACGGTCGCCGCGCAGCTTCACGAAAACAATCTCGTCGAGTGAGAGGCGCACGAGATCCAAAGGCTCTGAGACGGATGCGCCTGCATCCTCGGTATCGGCCATCTTGAATAGTGGAGGTATGGAATCACGATGTCGATTCGGTCACAGCAGACGCGGGCGGAACGAAATCAGCGCGAGCTCTGACGGTTGCTCGATTGGGTCTAGCGCATAGAAGATGAGTCAGCACCGATACCCCAGTTTCTGCCTGAGGAAGAAGGTGTCGAAACTGGGGGTCACGATGGATCAAAAGATGGGGTTACCCGCACCTCCACTTGTCAGATGTATACTCTACGACGTGTAAATCTACTCAAACGGAGTACTGGACGGAGACCATCCAAGAGAGCTATCACAATATCAAATTAAAATATTAGAAAAGCATCCAGAATCTAGTCCCCAGTAACCTGGACTTCTGCAAGTCACTGCTACCCTGGGGAAGGTCTGACCGTCGCCGAGCGGCCCCTCACGAAACAATGCAGCCCGAAGTACCTAGTACGGCAGGGGTCGATGCACCCCCTCCCCTCATCTGCCCCTGTCCATTTTCCTCTTCGCATCTTTCCGTTTCACTCTTGTTCCCTCCCTCCATCATGCGGAGAATCTCTCTTGCTGGTGAGACGTTCTCCTCTCACTGGTTTCATTCGCGACCGGCCGGGCCGGAGCAATGCTTCTACAACCACCAGAACCTCCTGGTTCCCGGTCTTACCGGTCACAGACAAATCTCATCCTCTACTCGATCACACATCCGTCAATTAGGTGGCCCTCAGCCCCGCAAGAGGTGTCAGCCTCAACGACGCAACTCTTTCCACGAGTTTACTACAACAGGCAGACATTCCAGCGCCAACGCGACACGTCCGGAGTGGATTGAGACAGAACGCCATCAACACGCCGCGGTCCGTCCAACCTGGGATTCACCGGAGGCGGAAGCAGAATACGCAAACAAGTTCTTCCAAGTGCTTCAAGATGGCCAGCCAGACCAAGTGATGACAGCAATGACTGACCCACGGTCGGCGGGTCTGGTCGGTTCCTTACACCAGAACATTTTCCTCGAGGCTCTCCACCGACTGTCCCCCACCTATTTTGTGGAGCCTTTCCGCAATCTCCACCATCCCCTACACTCCTGGTCCACTCTATTAAACGGTGTGAAGCGGATAGAAGAGGTCTTTGATGGTTTTGTTAAAAATCTCCTCACGATTACCAGCTATCGAACATCCGGAGGCTACTCCTTAGACCTCGCGGAATTCACACACCTCTTGGACTGCGCGCGGTCCATGGGGAATGGGCCGCTTGCAAATGATATTTGGAGATCCATGAAGGACAGTGGTGTCATTCCAGACGGGCGATGCTACAACCATTACATGGAAGCGCTCGTCTGGGACCACTGTTATACTGGCCAAGAAGCATATCGGCTGCGAGCTCTTCCTCGTAGCTACTACAAGCGGCGCCAGGTGACGGATCGCAATATTGGTTGGCAAGGGTATGGTACCGGCCAACAGAGTGTGCGAAAAACGGTGATGAATCTGTTTCGCGAAATGCTCGATAACGGGCATCCCGCCGATGAACGCAGCTACATCAACGTCATGCTTGCATCTGCTCGCGTTGGTCATGGCCCGGGCATTAGGCACGTTTTGTCGACTGTCTGGAATATCCAAGTGGATGTTCTCAAACAAGAGCCAGATAACTCAAAAATACCGGCGCCGACGCCGTATGAGCCATGGTCTGCGCTTTATCCAACCGAGAATCTGCTCTTTGCGATTGCCCATGGTTTCGGTACCAACAATGATATTCCTGGCGCTGTCCGGACCATCGAGTTCATCTCCGCCTCTTACAATATCCCAATTCCGCATCGAATCTGGCACGAATTATTCGAACGGGCGTACGTGCAGTGCAGAATCAGAACCACGCAGACCGAGGACGAACAACAGGCCAATGCCGTGGGACCGGTTTCGATGCAGCTGGTACAATCAATATTCGAAACAATGACTTCCGAGCCTTTCAACGTCCAGCCAACTGTACAAATGCGGCGCTTCATGATTAACATCGGCATCGACATGGGCTCTTTGGAAGACTGCAAGACCCACCTAGATGAAGCATACAAATTCCTGAGCGAAACCCGACAAAAGGAGGAGAAAGCACGCGCCCTCGTACTCAGATGTCTAGTGCCACTTCTCGAAACCAGCCAGAAACAGATGCGACAGGGATCTCCTTGTGACCCGTCGCTCTTCCAATCACCCATCCTCGCCGAAGCAATCCAATCCTATGACATCCTCCGTCTAGAAGTCTACCAACAAGTATACCTCCTCCGGCGCGCATTATGGGTAACCGTCCGAGTCCCCCACTGGAAAGACACACCCGACAAGGACTGGTTCTATCAAGAACGCCCTAGGATGCTAGAAGAGTGGTGTGACTTCCTTCCGGCCCGGAAACGCATCTTCTACGACGAAAACACCGGGTCCGTGGATATGCAAGGGCGCACGGGGTTCAAAGACCGGCACTGGTGTGGCGACTTGCATATCCCCGTCCGACGAATGAATGATCATCAAACGTTGTTCCACCCCATTGAGCACGTCGCCTGGACCCAGGACGGGAAATGGAATGACCTGTTGAATCGGTATCCGTGGCTGGATACGAAGCTCGCGCCACTGGATCGGCTTTTCAATTTCCAGCGGCCTAATTCACCCGAGTTTTTGGACATGCTGGAGAAGTTGCGCGGTAATTGGGTCGAGTATCCTGAGGAGCATCCGCAGTCTACGGCGAGTAATCCTCATGGGGGATTTTTTGGAAGGCTTGCTGCATTGGGGTTGCTGAAGTCTAACGAGCGGGGAATCTTCCTCTTGGATGACAAGTCCTGGATTTGAAATCATGCGAGCTGCAAGCGGTTAAGCATTACTGTTTTGTCGGTTCATATGATACCCCTGATATCGATGTTGATTTGCACCTTCTTTGTTTGTCTGAGGGCATTTGCATCTGTTTGAGATACACATACTTCGAAGCGTGTAATGAAAACTGTATGACATGGTCCAAATCAAAATTGGAGTAGATGCAAAGTATGTTCACTTTATTGCTGAAAAAAAAAGATCTTGTAAGAATTGTGTACACATGAGCTACACTGTAGGTGTCATCTGTCAAGTCATATACATGGAAAGACATGGAAACATTATGGTCCAATACAATGGATCATTCATATCCAAATGATACCACCGGCTCGGCCAGACCGCAAAAGTGGCCTAGACCTTCTCCCGCTTCAGGTCATTAACAGTCATATACCGACCGATAGTAATCCACCCCCAACGGAACCAAACCATTTGACTCTGATGGCCTTTCACCATAGCCGACTGAGCAGTTATCCACTCCCCAATCGAACTCACGAAAAGCAAGCGCACCGGACCATCGTCGGCCTTCTTCTTTTTCGTCCCAGTCAACCCAGTCCAAACATTACCCCAAGCACCCTGCAGCATGGAAAGCGGCGCATCAAGAACACCCACATACTTGCGCCAAATCGGAAGCGAAGTCAGTGTATACAGGGTAACGGGGCTCGCGAACCCGGCTTTATCTTTCATCAGCGTGCGCAGGAAATGCACGGCACCGTGGTATAGGGAGCGGTGGTTGGGGTGGTTGCTGACGCCGTGCTTGTCGAAGGTGAGGATGACGTCGATGGTGGCTGTAGGGGCTTTTTTGGGGTCGGCTTTCTTGCCTTTCAGGCTTGCGGCGAGGTCGGGTGCGAAGGCAGAGGCGAGGAGGGAGGTGATTTCTTCTTCTTTCCAGTACTCTTTCATGCCGTCTGGGAAGCGGGCTGGGTCGTCGACGACGAAGACGTCAGCTTCGTCGCGAACGCCGAGTTGTAGGGCGCTTTTTTGGAGTTCTTTTTTGCGGGTTTCGCCGAGGCCGTCTGCATCGCCTGGGGAGGAGGGTTGTATTGTTAGCTTTTGTTTCGGAGTTTCGGTGGTGCTTGCGAAAGACATTGGTTTTCGATTGAGATCAATGCCGTCGACCAAAACACCTTCCTCGGGTTCAATTGCGACGTACCGGTACTGAAACAGAGGATCTTCAGGTGGTTTCCTAGCTCCGGTCGGGTGAGCGCAAGCACCGTCGGTGCAAAGAACATGGCCTCGTCATCCGGGTGGGCGATGAGTAGACAGATGCGTTTGTTGACGAGTCGAGGGAAAGAACCGGTAAAAGGTGAGTTGGAGGTCGAGGAGATGGTCCAGAAGGCGATTACTGCGCCAATGGCTACCACAAGGGCAGTCAAATTGGAAAGCATGGTGGATGTTCGAAATCGAGATAAGGCTTGTCAATGCCGTTCGAGTTCAATGCTGGAGCTCCTCTAGTCTCCAGCTCAAGTTCACGCGGAAGCTATCTTTCGACAATAGCGTTTGGGTAGGCTCTACAGGCGTCAATTGTGGATCAGATCGTGCAGAAAGTCAAGACATGGCACGGTGGGGAATGCGCGGTCATCCCACTTCGGCTTTGGGTGGACGCGCCGGGGTCGGAAGGGCCAGGAACAGGGGACTAGAAGCTGGATGTTAGTTAAACAGACACCAGACCCATGACCGTGACTATCTGAAGATCATAGAAAAAAGACACGGTGGCAGGAAGCTCCTCCGGAAAAGGGGAAGCTCGGATTTGAGATTATGTGCCGGGCGATCCCCCGGAGTCACGTGCCAGGGGGTTCAAGCATTGCGACTTTGCTTTGACTTAGTTCCAAGATGTTGGCTATCTCTGCTATTGTTTAAAAGTTAATAATGTCATACTTTTTCCTTTCTGATTGTATCTGTATCTAGAATGATGTGATGTCAATTTGTTTTCATATCGACAGACCCATGACCTTTGAAAAGAGCCTGATAGGTCGCTAGGATGCTGGCTTGAAGAACAGCTTAAAGGTGTAGACTTATCAATACTCAACTAGATGGCCTGGAAACTAGATTGTATGGGCGGAGTGTTTTTTTTGCAACGGAAAACAAAGATCTCATTGCCCGGTGGTCCTCTGCTTGGGGTACCTTGGGAGTATCTCCCAACTATCAAGGCACTCAATGGATTGACTACACTTGTGTGACCGCATTAGGCTCAGAAACCATTTTCGGTAGGTCAAGGTAGGCCGTCCGAGGACACCACCAATGTCGAGCTCATATTTGCTGCATTCGGAAGTACCTTCCAAATCGGTCGAATCGCCAGAGTTGTATGGAACACCGTCCGGCGCGACGCGACAGTCAAGTGGAGAATCCAGTTAACGAAGCAATTGAAACTCTGCCGATTACCCTTTACAAGTCAACCGTATGAGCAGCGACTTGGAGAGGTGAAATCCATCGATTACCTACAGGAAATACTAAAGTACACGAATGACCTAAGAGCTACGCAAGACGGAAGTCTAGAATCCAGTACATACCCGCCTACGATGATGATCCCGAATCAAATACAGCGCAACTCCACACGGTAAACCGACCAGACTCCAACCGGCCCGGGGTCTTGAAACCATCACGAAGCCCTTGAGGTTTCCCGACGGACAAGTGAAAAAACGAAATCGCCGAGCGGAGCTTGGCGGCGCTGCTCAATGGTCGGGGCGGCCTCATCGCGGGTGGACAGCCCACTTTCGTAGCGGTCAGCTCTTTTTACAGGATGAACTAGGGACGAGTGTGGCAGAGCCGGGCCCCAGTGGCATTGATTTTAAGCATCACGTTGCCCCGGCCCGAGTATAAACTTTGAGGGTGGGTTTACCCGGCGTAGCACGGAAAATTTCTGCTCACCTCCGAGGGGGGACTCGGGCGGTTTCCGCGAATTTTCAGCAGGTGATGAGCCGTGTGAGTGAAGGCGTGATTTGAGAAATTAATTAGACTCCACTATTGTAGAATGGCGCGCTCGATGATCACAGTTCTGGGAAGATGACGCGAGACCAATCTAGCAAGTAAATAGAGAAGATGAGTCAGGTCTGATCGGAGGCGTTTTCCGAGATCGACCCGAATCAGGACGCTCGTCAGAGTCCGCCCGACGTGCCGCTCGGCCGTCTATTGGCCGCGGTGCCCGATCTCGAGTGTATAACCTCCGGTCTCTACTGTACATTCTAGGAGCGTGGGTTTGAGTGGAATTGCAGCTACTGTAGGTCTCTCTTTTGCGTCCATAACCGGCTATTGTACGCGGCAGTGAAACACTAGAGAGGGGCCACGGGGATCGACAGATCGCGTCGAAAGGGTCGGGGGTCGGGCGGCACTCCATACGACAAGCCGGGGCTGTTTCCCATCATGGCGTGATCGGGGGGACCTTCACCGCAGGATGCTTGATGGTTGCTCCGCGGAGTAGATGAGTCAAGGGGTGCACGAGCCCAAGACAGCAGGCCGGGGAGTTTCTTCAAAACGGGTTCTGCATAGGTGCATGGCTGCAGGGATGGGATGGAATGCAGTGCATGGACCACGCGATGAGATGCGACAGCTGCATGTAGGTTTAGGTACCTGGATCGAAGTACCTAGTGCCCCCGATGAGCGGAAACTGTTAGGTAATTAGTAGGAGCAGGAGGTTTGATGATTCGCTAGATGCATCTGGGACGAGCACGGAGCATATCTTGACAGCTCCCGGGGCTAGAATCATTTGGTGGATATGAATCTTCTACGATTTGTGTCCGTCTACACAGGCCGGGGGATAACACTTCATCGCGAGGCTGCTATGCCCCGCACTGCTTTTGCGGGGTCATGAGAGACTTTGTCGGTTAACCCAAAACGGGACAATGGGCTGCAAACGAAGCCGGCGAGCAAAATTTTCGAAGTGGAGCTCGCAGGGTCTTTGCACGCGTTTTTGTTGCCCGAAGCGGAAAAGCGGCAGAGAAAAGATCTGCCACTAACTGATTTCGGTATTGTACTCTGCCGTATACCCGCTGTATTCTCCCTGTACCGTACCAAACACAGCCCGATCGGGTCCCGCTGTTTGCGCCACGTGATGACTCGTGTGGCAGCTGATGCCTTCTCTTTGTGGACGCCGGGACTGTCGCCCGCTGGCGTACTCCGGCGCTCTCTGGCGGCTAGCCTTGTCCGATCACAGTGCCGACCGTAGCATGCCAAGTCACCTCCGGCAGGCTAAACGGCACACCAGGCCGGGGAAGAGGCTCACATGACCGGACATGACTCCGTACCTGATAGTTGCCTTGTTACTCCGTACTGTAGGCCGACAAATTCTCGGCTGTACCCCGCCAACACGCACATGCGAAGGCCGAACATACGAGAGCAGATCGCACCCTCATCCACCCTCATCCGACCGAGATGTAGCCGACCGTGACTCATTTCCCAGGGTTGCGCACGGTCTCGATGGTATGATCGCAAGATGATGCCCACATTCAATCCTTGGATGTGGGGAACACATCTGTGTTGCGTCAGGCGATCCCCGATCCATGCCCCCATTCGTGTTCCTTCGAGAGCATTCGTGTCCATTCGTCCCTACGTGTGGCCGGTCGAGATCCTGTCGGTTCTCGGGGCCCGTGCCGGTGCCGAAATGCCGTGGTCTAACACGGGTATCGAGATATGCCAGAGGCAATCGAGACACACAGTCGGACGGAGAGACATTCCGTAGAGCTGAGAGACAATCCCGAGACAGACGGCCTCACCAGAAAACAAAGATCTATAATTATCCAAGGACCTTGGGGTGGTGTATTTCCGTGTAAGTGATCTGTACCGGTACCGTCCGGATCCACCATGACGCTCTCGCGAGGCTCCACCCGATTTTAGCATTTTTTCCATTTTTTTTAGTACCCGTGTCTAGAACAGCGAATGGCGGGGCCGTACCTGGCTTGCTTTGGGACTGGGTGGACACCATCCGACAGAAATTTTCTTAGTTTTTAGGAGTTTTCCACGGATTCGGGCCCCGTTTTGGCTTGTGCCACATGAATGGGGGGTTCATAAGGGACGTCGCTCCTGACTGTTTCTTTGACCCCTCCAACTTTAGCCTCATAGTATGTCCGGATCGTTGGTTCTTTTGCTTTATTATACCAGCACCGCACTGCTTCTTGACTCTCTCTTACATCACTCAGCTGTCACTGCCTCACACTGATCCACCACACCACAAGATGCCGGGCCGTCTGATCCCCAACTTTGTTCGGGGCTCTGGCTCTCTGCACTCCTCGCTCGCCTCCACCCCAGTTCACTCCAACTCCTCCTCCACGACATCCGTCAACGAGATTCCACATACCATGGGCAAGAAGTCTGCGCATGGCACTCCGGATCGTGCCCGCTCCCCGGAGCGCCGCCTGTCATTCTCCATGGACCACTTGATCCACCCCCACCGGGACCACAGCAAGGACAAAGAAAAGCGCCGCAGCCTGGCTCGCGCCGGCCGCTCCAAGGAGCGCCTCAGCAAGGAAGAGCTGTCTCCGCCTTCTGCCAAGCTCGACGTTCTGGTGGAATCGCCTCCTCTGGTCTGCTATGGCAACCCCTCCACCTCCACCGGTGCTTTGTTCTCGGGCCGCTTGCGCATTGCCGTCTCCGAATTAGCAAACGAGGTGACCCTGAACCAGTTCGACGTGCGCCTTGTGTGCAAGACGAGCACCAAAAAGCCCGTTTCCAACCACTGCGCCAACTGCGCCACTCGCACCGACGAGCTCGCTCGCTGGAACTTCCTGACCGAGAATCTCAAGCTCCATCAAGGAGATCACGACTTCCCCTTCAGCTATCTCTTCCCCGGCAACTCGCCTGCCTCGTGTGATGGTGCCCTGGGCAAGATTGAGTACTTCCTGCTCGCCCACGCCCAGAGCACTGCCGGCGAAGAATTCAGCATCAAACTACCTCTGAACATCCGCCGCGCTCTGCTTCCCGGAAATGACAAGTCGTCTATTCGCATCTTCCCTCCCACCAACCTGACTGGCCGTATCGTGCTTCCCTCGGTGGTCCACCCCATTGGCAAGTTCCCCGTGGAGATGACCCTGAGCGGCGTGGTGGACAAGGGTGACGAGACCCAGACCCGCTGGCGTCTGCGCAAGATGATGTGGCGCATCGAAGAGCACCAGAAGATCGTCTCGACCGCCTGCCAGAAGCACAGTCACAAGATCGGCGGCGAGAACAAGGGGGTCCTCCACCAGGAGACCCGCATAATCGGCCACAACGAAGAGAAGACCGGCTGGAAGACCGACTTTGACACCGCGGGCGGAGAAATCGGCATGCAGTTCGAAGCCAGCATCAACCCGACCACCAACCCGGTGTGCGACATGGAGGCCCCCGGTGGCCTCGAGGTCAAGCACAACCTCGTTATCGAGCTCATTGTGGCTGAGGAGTTCTGCCCCAACCGCAATACTCGCCTGATCACTCCTACTGGTGCCGCCCGCGTGCTCCGTATGCAGTTCAACCTCCATGTTACGGAACGTGGCGGTCTCGGCATCAGCTGGGACGAGGAGATGCCCCCGGTCTACGAGGATGTCCCCGCCAGCCCGCCCGGTTACACTAGGCCCGACGACGACTCCCACAGCGTCATTGAAGACTACCAGGGCTCCCCACTGCCTCTGCCAGAGTACGACGAGCTGGATCGACTGGACTCGCTGCGTCTGGATAGTGACTCGACTCACTCCTCCGCCCCGTCCTCCTCTCGCGGACGTGTCCGCTTCACAGTCGACGACCTGGTCACCGACCACACCCCTCCTGCCTCCGAACCCGCCTCTCGCGTGCCCTCGCGCGCCCCGTCTGTCGATTCATCGCGCCAATAGACTTTCCTCTTGCTGGTCTGAAATTCATCGTTCCAACATGACTTTACGATCCCCACGACCCAAAGAAAGATTCCCTTCCCGTCATTTCTCAGTTATTCAACATTTAACGATAATCACCTTCCGGAGGATAATGATTCATGAAACCTCCAACTCCTTGATTTCTCAGCGGCGTTCGTGATACCTGGACGGAAATGAAAAGACCTTCATGGCTGAAGGCGAAAGAAACAGAATACCCGGCTTAGTCGCATTTCTCTTCGCTTGGACGGACGGCTTCGTTCCGTCCTTTGCATTATACCCATCATTCGCTTCAACTGTGGATATTTCTTTTCTCCTCCTATGCATACTTTCGGTTGCTTATTCCCCCTTCTGTTCTAGAAATTTGATTGATTCCGTCGAGGAAGGGAATCTCTACTTTTATCTGATATTTAATGCAATAACTACCAATATCCATCCTTCACTTCACTTTTAAACCGTAGACCTTGAATCAACTTAACAATCATGTTGTTTATGGGCCTTCATACTCCACTCATGCGAGCTAGGATACAACCTTGGAAGCAGCCTCATCGTTGCTGATCCCTACCCCCACGGGCGAGGGAAAATACAAGAAAAAGCAATTGGCCAGCCACAACCTTATCGCCGTTTAGCTTCCCCGTCGCCAAGATAACCTCGCATAGATAGTGAATGATCCCAAGCACGGACCAAGTATAGCACTGATAACGGGGCTTAATTGAACGTTTGAGACCTACCCCGCGTTGAACTATAGGACTTGAAGGGGACCAAGGAATTGTTTTAAGTGGAGCATCCTCCAAAATAGTATAGTAGATATGTTACTGGTGCTGGGAATCCCAGTAAACTACAAAGGCTACACGTGTAGCTGAATGGATCGCCCTAGATTATGTTCAACATTTAAATCTGCTGACTTTGACTCACGAGTGGCCCACATCGCCTTGTGTATGAATTTCAAATTTCCCATTGTGACGGGTTATTGCTTTGCTGAATAACGTGTGCTGAATCTTGCAATGGCATCGATTAGATATCCCGGTTTACATTGAATTTAGACGTGCGTGGAATCGTACACTGAAGGGAGATTGAAATCACCAAGTCTCTAAAAATGCAAATCCAACGAGATGACGATATTACAAAATGTACAAAACACCAACCCAGTCATCACAGCTCCGCCTCGTCAATGTCGTAAGTCAAGTGCCCTTGTCTCATTCCCTTCTTGTCCAGTCCCAGGGCCCACGACATGTTCATTCCCAATGTTATCGTAATCTCCCTGAACCAAAGCCGCCAAGGGGTAATCCTTTTCCTCATCTCACCATTATCTGCAGCCATTTTGAAGATCTCATTTACACGAGGTCTGCGAATGGCGTCGTATTTCTCAAAGACCTCGCCCAGAGGGCGTGTGCGATCCTCGAGTAGACGAGAGAGCAGGAACACATCTTCGAGTGCCATGGAAACACCCTGTCCAGCATGCGGCGACATCGCGTGCGCCGCATCACCAGCCAAGACACACCGGCCTTTGGACCATGCCTTGCCCAGGGGAAGGCGATAGATGGGGTAGAACTTGACAACAGAGGTGTTGCTGATGACTTTTTTCAGCGCGTTTCCCCACTCACCTTCTGTATTTTTCAAGACGCCGAGTATCATGGTCTTGAAACCTTCCACCTCTTCTTTTCCATGCACTTCCCATCCATCACGGCTATCACCAGACTCGGGGAGCGGGACCTCCTTGGTAAAGAACCAGAATAACTCGTCTTTGGACGCCGTGCATGGGTTCATGGCCAGCATCCCTTCCTCCGTGAAGGTAGCTTCAAGGCCCGAGATTTGATCCATGACCTCAGCTGAGACAACCTCCGCCGGAACAATCGACATTATCCCGGACAAGCCCGAGTACTCCGATGTCTGCGTCGGGTCGATATACGAGCGCCGAACATTGGAGTGAATGCCATCACAGCCGATCAGGAGGTCAGCAGAATCAACCGAGCCATCAGAAAAAGTAACCTTGACCCCATCAACACTATCGTCGATCGTGGTCAACCGTTTTCCAAAGCGAACAGGAATGCCCGCCTTAGTCGTTGCCTGGAGGAGGACATCCTGCAAAGCCGCTCTCTTGATCCGCAGATACCCAAATCCAGTCCGCTCGCGCGCCCAGCCAACGTGATCCATTGAGCCAATGACATGACCTTGCACCGAGTGGAGTGTCAGATTGCGACCGCTATATCCCCGGGCTACGGCTGCGTCGTAAACACCCAGTCGGTGCAGCAGGCGCAGACCGTTAGGCAGGATTCCAACGGCCCCACCCAGCGTCGTGGGCTCGGGGCGCAGCTCGTACACCGTGCATTTTATGTCTGTTTGTTGGTGGAGACGCAGAGCCGCCGCGAGGCCTGCGGGCCCGGCCCCAATGATGATTGCCTGGGGATTGCTTAGCATGGGATTTGATGACGACGCTGGAAAACTTTCTCACCTTTCGATCCTCGGGCATGTTTCTCTTGATTAAGAAATGACTTGAATGATTTGAACGTGGTATGGATGTTATTTCGGGGTGGAAATGTTCGCTTCATATACTTCGGCCGTGCCACGGGGCTCCGCGGGCTAAGCCACATTTGGAAGGTCAGGCCGCGGACCGGATATCGAAATATGTACAACGCAGGCATCAACGGGAATAATCCGAGAATGCATATCTTGCAGGTTTTTCAAACCATGCATAATGTGAAAATATATGGACCTTCCGGTGCGCGGGTATTTAGAGAGCATTGGTTTGCGGATTTGTACCAGTTGGACCTTAGGACATTTGAAGTATGCCGTATATGTAGAGGAAATTATGAGACTATAACATTCAATGCTGTCATTGTGCAGGTGAAAAGAATTTTGAAAAATGGAAATCTGAAGCAGCTAGTACGTCGTCATTAAAAATTGGACATGTAAACTGCATTGTCCATAGGTAATCGAATGCAAAATACGCAGGGAAACACTAAAGGTACATCAGGATATATCTGCGACACACGAGAGAAACTGAAGATGGCCATCACTTAATTGAAAAGCAATGAAGAGACGGGAGAGTTAATGATTCAAATTTTATACTCAAGGTTTCCTCCGAATCCTGGTAAAATGCCCAGTGAATAGTGCGTGTGCTTTCACGGTGTGGCCATACGGGACCAACACAGTTCCATTCAATGGAGGCGCGCTATGTACCCCGCTGTGGTCAATGTTGCTCGAAAATTAGGTGTTTTGCCTAAGAACCCCCTGACCGTAAAATGGAACCCATCTCTTTGTCCTTTTCCTCCCTTGGAAGGCCCTTGCTCTTATGATATTATGCCAAGATGCACAGACCCGGTAAATGGCTATCAGTGGCAGGGTTCCCCTCTTCAAGTAAATTGGCTTTGACGCACTAAACTACGTGTATGCTGCCATTTTCTAGCCCTGGTTCTGGCCCTCAACGAATGATATTGCGCAGCGGCCCCGGAATGAAAAATTCGGGCTCACACGTCCAAGTGGTGATTGGACATGCATGAGTTCTCGGGGGAAGCGGATGAACGCACGCTAGTGCACAAGTTATCACAAAAAATGTAACTTTAAGCTGCGAGCTAGAAACTACGTCAGCAAGTGTGATAGTGCACAGAGCCGCATTTTGAGGCTAGCTCGTGGGTCAGGTGCCATGTTTGCTTTGCCAAGAGCATAAATACGGCCGGGATTCTCATATCGTTTTCTTAATTTCCGTATTCTCCAGACCATTTCCTCTTTGGTGCCTTATATATCTTTATCGTAACACCGCTCGGCAAGACTACTACGCAGAATGGCGGCTCTAGTTGCTATATATCCCGTTCTTCCTGGACTCGAGACGGCTTTGGAGATCCAGGATTTCCGCACGAGCGGTGCTCTGTATGAATCCCATTTTATCGTCTACCGGCATCCTTTCTATCTGAAATGCGGAGAAGCCTCTTGCTAAATTGGAAAATGTCGACGATCTTCAAGCCGCTCTCGCTGTGGCCGGTGTTCTTGAATTTGTTCTGGCATTGACCTCCTTTATTGGTCATTGGATCTCTTATCCCCATTTTTTCTATCCTGGTACCCATAGTCTATCCTAAATCCGTAAACCTTGTAGCTGGATTAATTAACAGCCCATCCAGATCACGCATGTTATATGCTCCACTTGCATCGTCCTGAATAGGTACTGGCTCCGGCATATACGCGAGACGACTTGGGAAGCCACGCGATAGCAGTAGTCCCACAATTCTTGCTACTTTGATGGCTCTGATTGTCTCATTTCCCAACCCTCCAGCTTCCTTGCTGAACGTGGTCCAAAATATATCCTCCAAAGTGACATAATCGTCATGCCGGACCCAGCCATTCCTGAGATGGATTTTACTTATCAGTCGCTGGTGAGAGTAAAGGTTCAAGCCAAATGGCGCAATCTCTGCTCCCTCGCAAAATTGTCACAGGCTGAGCGAGTCGCTGCATTCTTCTCGAAGAATTCAGCAATTTCTTGATCAACAGAGTATGCGAGGTCATTGGTAGCCATGGTGGGCATAGGTTGCTATGTTCATTGATATGGATTAGGGATGAAGCAGGAGGTTGTAGTTGAGGCGAGGCAGAAGAAGTTATCTTTATTATATACCCCTGGTATTCATAATTGTGTTCGACTAGGGTGTCAGGAGACAGAGCATCGACATTCGGAGGCCTGATGTGTCTGCCAGAGAGTTCGGTCACTATTCGCCGTTCCGGACAAATAGTTTTCCTGATTAAAGTCCTGACAGGGACTCAAGTAACCGATTACGTAGCGTCACGACTACCCGTCCGCCCTAACCTTACGAGCAATCTACAACCCTCAGCTAGTACTTGGCTTTCTCAAACTTCAACAGAAAGAGCGCAAACTACCACAATGAGTGAAAATCCAACAGGAGATAACACTGAGAAGGGCAGAGACAAGGAGTCTGAAAATGTAGGAAATGGTCGTTTTATATAGGAAAAACCAAAAACGTGGGTCCGTTCCTAGAAAATTCAATATTATAAAGGGGTTATGTCATGTATGGGGTGTCAATACCGGCAATTTACTATGTATAAATGGAATCGGCATATAACCCAACAACTGGTTGTCCCCCCCACCAACACCTTGGACGTGAAGAACCCCGCCTCAGTATGTTTCCTCTCAACTATTCGTGAGGCAACCATTTATGCAAAGTACCCACAAATAGGCAACCAGCAGGCTGCTTGCATCTTCCTGTCCATACGGACAATAGTTGGGTAAAAACCAATCGGCAGACCTCGGATGACCAAGGGTGGCCCTCGGGGCCAACGACAATAGATCCCTACCTAGCTTGGGAGATTATGATGGTAAGGCTGACCACAAGGCTTTTGCGTGTTTCTTACTATTTCTTCCCACAAACCACAAACTCCACGATGGAACCCCGCCAACGTCCATTACGACGCCTTCTTTATACTCTGATACAAATGTACCTCCTGGGCGCTTGCCCGCGACCAATGATAGAGCAACCCCACCAAGGGTGGACCCGATTGATTTGGAATTCTATGTACGGAGCATCACATATCCTGCGTTGATTTGCGGGTCTCTCTTTGTTTGCATTGGTTGCCTAACGAGCACGAGGGTTGCCTTAGCGCCCTCGGGCGTATTCCAAATCCCTTTAGACTTTATGTGGAAACAGCAACCCTCTAACCTTGAAACCCCTGAACAACGAAAAAGGCATGAGCCCCTGAAACGAACTTTTTGACTGAACTCCCGAGGTGAAATCTAAAGAACAAGCATCGCCCAAATCTGGTATCAAGGTATATACACAAACACGTACTCCAGAACGCTAGAAAAGGATCTATGGCTAAAAATGCACAGATGGAAGCAAGCGGGAGCAAAGAAATCAGGAATCGAAAATCGGACCAAACGCCGGGATCCCTCGTGACTCGAGCTCATACACAATCCTCGCTGTCAGCACAGGGTTACTTATCACGCACACCGCTTCCGCATCGAACTCCTGGACCTGCCGCTGCACGATGGGCACCATGTCGACGCGTCCCATCAGGTTGGTGTCCATGATGATTGGGTTGGCATCCATCCGGTGCACGAGGTCTAACACACCCTGACCGTATGTCTTGAGCGGCGCCCGCGTCTGCCAGAGAACGCGGAGGGCTGGTCGGTTGTCGTCGCCCAAGAACGAGAGACATGGCCCGATGCCTGACCCCGTCGTGACCACGACCACGCGCTTGAAGACCCTCATGGCATATGCGAAGCCATAGATCAGCACTCCACGCTTATACACATGTGTGGGAGGGTTCTTGATTATCTCGGTGGTCCAGTCGCCGGCCTTGGATATCAAACACGAGAACGTTGGCTTTCCATTCTCACCCGCCGGAGTAGGGTCGGGGAAAGTGGCAAATCCATGCCAGTCTCGCAGCGGGTGCTTCGACAGGGAGATGCCCTTGCCAAAGGTGGTGGTGGTGTGGTCGAAATGCAGGCGTACCGCGTGGGTCGAAAGGGTCTCGGCCCGCACCGCGACTTTCCGCAGCAGCAACCACGGGTGAACAATGGCCGCAACCGTGACCATCAAAAACCAAAAGGCTGGAAGCTCGACGATGAAGCGACCCAACGATTGGTTCTCTGCTCGGCTGATCTCATGGGCAAAGAGCATCAAAAGAACTACAAACAGTCCAATGACAAGCCACCCGAGAAAACGGTGGGTGAGTTCGAAATAATCATGCCACTTCATGCGGAACGTGGGGTGTGCCACAACGGCGATCGTCATCAACAGAACAAGAATGATGTAAGCGACGGTGACGGGCGCGGCTGAGAATTTGATGGCAGCTGACGGTGACCAGTACTGTTGCGACATCAGACCGACAAAGCCAATGTACCACACCAGGGCCGTGATACCGCAGCCGCTATGCACGCCACCATAGTGATACACCTTGGACAACCATTTGCGCAGAGCGTACGGTGCTGACCTTGGCACTGAGAGTACGACTCGGAAGATCGTGTTCACCACAAGAGGCTGGCGGGCCAGACCGCAAGCCAGCAGATTGGCGGCAGTCGCATTTACCAAAGCAGTGAGCTTGCGGTTGGAGACCATCACATACACAAATACGCCAACGTTGGCCAGGAAAACAAGACTAAACAGCCGTCTATAAATGGTCATGATGGCATACCGCAGCCAAGCTAATCGCTTGGGCTCTGGTAGAGGCGTTTGGGCCTCGAGGTCGACCTGTCCGTGATAGTCGAGACCGGGCGATGTCTTCTCCGCCACCGTCTTTTCGAACAAAAATGGGAATTCGCCATCGATGAGAGTAACTTCACTTGGCCTTGCAGAGTGAGAGACCACTCGTGCCACAGGAGCTGGCTTGAGTATTCTCTCAATGGAAGTTTCGCCATCGACGAGGGTAGCCTCGCTGGGCTTGTGAGAGTGAGAGACCATATTGGTATGGGTTACGGACGCGGATTTGGTTATAGGATCTTTCTCCGAGACCGACATGGTTGATGGTCTTGCAGGAGGAGAGTTCAAAAGAGGACTGAACGGGCAAAGTAGGTTGGGAACCTGACCGGGATAGAGAGCTTCATGGGGCCAGGCATGTGGTTTTGAGTGACGAGGACGAAGGCATCTCCAACCACCAAGCACGGGCTCCCCGTTCGGTCCATTGTGTCTCCACCATGGATCTGACTTTGATCTGACTCGTTACTCCTTCCCTGCCACTTTCTTGATTCCACCGCAGGAACTCTTTCCGAATTCGCGCACCACGGCTCTCATCACACTGCCCAAAGCGGAAAGCATTTTGGCCGGTCACAGCTTGGCTGTTGCCCGTTTCCTTTGGCTACCTGAAGACCCGTTTTCTCAACTAAAGTTTTGAGGGGTGAATGACACTACCATGGCGGGCCAGAATCCCGGAAGTCTAGCGAGAGGCAATCGTTGCCAATGAGATCACCGGCTCGACCTCCTCCACCCTTACTTTCAGCTCCGAATGGCCGTCCTCAAAGGGCCATGGCGCCCGAATGGAGACTCAATGGGGCCACAAAGCCGCGGTAACAGATAGCGCATGCGGTGGACAGGTGGGCACACCGATTCATGGAGACGGGATAGACCGGGAAGTCGTTCGTTGACCTGTAACCCAATCACCGGGCCAGCTCCAAACGATCGTCGACCGCGGCCAGCGACCCGAGGAATATTTTCTCGACCATGCCACTGCAAGTCGCCACTAGGACCAGGCTTCCTATCGGGCCATCTTGCAGGGAAGCGTGGCCGGAGGAGATCGACCGAGGCTGGTTACATGGAACCCAACGATGCACACTAATGGGGACTAGAGACTTCCAATACCGGGCCATCGGAGCCAAAAGGATGTCACCGACAACTGAACCGGAGACAAACAATACCGAGCCAGCAGCTGGAAAAGCGCCACCGACGAAGAACAATGGGAGGTGTACCTGAATGTGGCGGCGATTTTACCTTGCAGCTCCTGTTCCTGCGCTCTCTGTGTGTGCTCGTTTTCTTTAATTTCTTTATTTTTTATTTCATATTTTTTTTTTCAGCACTGTGCAGCCGATCATTACTTGCGGTGGGGTATGGGGCGCCTCCAGAAGCAGTGTATTTTACACTCATGGAGAGGGGTGCGTGAACCCCGAGGAAAAGAGTGGAGCCGGCTGCAGTCTCTACATCAGCGCCCAGAACAGAGGGAATGGTACTGAATGTGCGTGGCGTCTAGTTGGCACTGGTCGATCGAGATCTAGGGCTGGCTGGCTCGTCCGCGCGCGACAGGAATCGGGGGTGTCACACGGCAACGAGGGAGGGTGGGTAGGTCGATGAGTGGTTTATCGTGCCCCGCCAGTCCGGGACATGCTGGCCGGGATATGCAGCAAGCTCAATTGGAAGGGAGCGGGTGAGACCGTCGGAGATCGGAGCCATGATCAAAAGAGGGGAATGGCTGTCATGACGGGACATCAGGCAGGCGTGACAAGCTTGGGGCATCCGGGGGGAGACAATTGACAGGCGATTGGCGGATGAGGGACGAGCGTCGACCGTGGTTAGCACGTCTACATCATCAAATTGAGCGGGAGCCACCGGTCAGAACATCCCTTGTTCGGAGATCTCAGCTCGTGGAGATCCAACGTAAAGTGTTGGGACCAATTGGGGCTGGTCACCGACACATCGAGATCGACGGTTGATTTACTTCAGTAGAGAAGCGGTAATGATTCGCCACAAAAATGGGGATTAGGTTATGGAGAAGAGCGTAGGCGATCAGGTGTCGATCCGATTCACCGTGATTGATGGCCGTCGTTGTGATCCGAGCTTGTGGTTGAGCTGTGATCAATCATCGAAGAGGTTGCCGCTAGTTGTTCCCCGCATTCGACGCTAGTATTTTAGCGCTTTTTTGCTCTTGAACCGGTTCGATGGAGCGCGTCCGTGAACCACTTCTCTCTATCACCACGTCATGCCGTCCATGACACATGCACTTGGACTGCAATCTGCTTGCGGATCACCGGGGTTTGGAAACTGGATGAAAAGGTGCTTTTGTCGACGTCTAGATCCATAGATCAGATATTGCCATTTCCGGTGTTATCGGTGCCAATCGGGCTGATTGAAAGGAACAGTGGAGCCTGGCCTAGCGCCGTTACCTAAGCAGGTATTCCAAATCAGCTCGCATCGTGCTTCAGGAATTCAAATTGTCTAGATGGGGTTTCAGCGTAGAATGATAAAACGGACTCCCCTCCAATTTCCCTATATAACACCCTCGGCGCAGGGATCTCGTTCTCCCTTGACCCGATCCTTCCCCTTCCATCACCTATACTGCCCTTAACTCTTCCGTTCCATACTTCTATACGGCTTTTTATCCCATTTTGCTCCCACGTCCCTACCATGGGATCTTGGAATCCATCCATGACGGTGCCCAGCACCATAGACCCTCTCCTCCACGATGAAGATCTGTACACCGACTTGTTGACCTTCACCTTTTGCGGGCCGACACCGTACAATCAATATCAACCACTGTTTATCGATGCCGAAGATCCCTCGCGTTCATTCACAGCCGCCCAGTTCCGGCAATTAGTCCGGACTCTGATCGCAGGCTTCAAGGCGAATAATATCCAGCAAGGGGATTGCGTGCTGGTGCATTTGGGGAACAGTGTCAGTTGGTCCCCATCGATTCGGACTGGCCCGAAATAATTCGGAAATGCTGACGCGGACTGGTTTCATAGATCCTATACCCTGCCCTCTTCTTTGGTATTATCGGCGCTGGCGGCGTGTACATGGGCTCCAACCCGAAGAGCCACCCGCAGGAATTGGATCATATCGTTGGGCTCGCCGAGCCCAAAATGATCCTTACAACCCGAGATGCATTGCCGACGGTGTTGGAGGTTGCCACTGCCCGGGGTATACATCCGGGCCAGGTGTGCCTTGTAGATGAGCGGGCAATTGACTACTGCGCCCAGCTTTTCCTGTGGTACGAACTAGGGTTCCCGGCCGGAGCGGAGTTCCTCACTCTGGGAGATACGCAGCTGAACCTGGCTCACCTGCTCTGCTATGGTGAAAGTGACTGGCTCATGTTCACCGACCCGGTGATGGCACAAAATACTCCCGCGGCCATGTTCTCGACTAGTGGTACCGGCGGTCTGCCCAAGGCAGCTATTCTGTCCCACCATGCGATCGTGTCGCACCACCGCACGATCCATTACGATGTGCCGTACCCAACTAGCCGACTGATGTCGCTGCCCATGTTTCATCTTTTCGGTGCTCTTTGGACCCACTTGTTCCCAGTGCGCTATGGCCACCCATTGTTTGTGCTGGAGCGCTTCGAAATCACCCAATTTTTGGCTACGATCCACCAGTTCCAGATCTCCGAGACCTACCTGGTGCCGGCTATTATTCACTCCATTAACCGATGTGCTCTGCCGGTTGCGGAGTATCTGACGTCGTTGCGCTATGTGGGTGTGGCTGGGGCTCCCATCGATGGCATGTCCCTCACTCAATTTCGGGAGCGGCTTTCGCCCATGGCGTATGCTTGCCAACTGTGGGGCATGACCGAGGTGGGGGTCATCTTCCAGACTCGATATGGCCAACGCGGGAACCCCGGCAGTATCGGTACTTGTCTGAAGGGATACGAGGTTCGCCTGGTTGACCACGAGGGCAAGGTCGTCCAAAATGACGAGCGTGCAGGCGAGATGTACGTGCGTGGTCCCGGTCTGCTCATGGCATACAAGGGCCGCAATGACGCCAAGGATGCACAAGGATGGTTCCGAACCGGTGATGTCGCTTATGTGAAGAACGGCTTTTATTTCATTGTAGGACGGACCAAGGAACTCATCAAAGTACGAGGGTACGTATCTCACTTTTCCAGTCAACTTGGTTGAATCATCAAGCCTCACTCTAACATCTCTACAGATGGCAGGTCGCACCCGCTGAAATCGAGGCCGTGTTGCTCCAACACCCTGGAATCAGCGATGCTGCCGTTACTGGTATGAACCTGAAGGACGGCACCGGCGAAGTGCCCCGCGCATTCATCGTGCGCTCCCGCGATAACACAGTTCCCCGAGTTACGGCCGACGAAGTTTACAAATACGCCCGCCAACGCCTCGCAAGTTACAAAGCCATCGACGGCGGCATCCTCTTCGTCGAAGAAATCCCACGAACCGCCAGCGGCAAGATCCAACGCTTCAAGCTATCACAGATGAACTCCTACCGAGAAATGGTCGCGTCGCTTTTATCCGGACTGGAAGGAAAGAGTCACCCGGGACGATCCCTCCCGTCTAGTGCCGACGTCCCACTGGGAGTCGCGCCCGAGGGCCGAGTCACAGTATGAGCCGCACCCTCAGGAGTTTTTTTTTTCCTTTTTTGATATTCGGGAGGCTTATCAGGACATTTTGGGTAGAAGGGTTTCGGCGTTCTTTTCAGGTATACATGGCGTTTTGGGGTCGTGGTATGCCTCGGCGCATTCGCGCGCTACGCTTACGAATCGTTTAATTTGGTCTCGACCGGCATCTTTCCATCACTTCCTCTACCTCTACTTCGACAACCGGCATGAGAGGCAATTCTGCGATTTTGATTTTTTTTTATGATTATTCGATACGGCTCATACCCCATATGCACATAGGCCCTTCACATTGCACATTATGCGAAGGCAAGTCTGGAATTCACGAATATATGACCTTTTTTGTTTCCCCAAAGCGAGCCTTGATAATTTTGTCCATTATATCATTCCCAATTCGACCTCGGCAAGTTTCATCTCCGGGCAAATCGAAGATCGAGTTGACATTAATTTGTTTGTTTTACGTTAAAAAAGTTTTTTTCTTTTCTATTTTTTTTTAAAAAAGGATTTGTCATGTACACCGACTGTCCGCGCAGGTACTATACTATTCGTGAATGGACCTGCATAGCCCCCGGACCTTCCCACGCATTCCAAGAAGCCGGTTATTGGCCCCGCTATGGGCCTTCCGTGCGACCAGGATTGTTCATCCCTGCACCCTGTTCGATCACTGGCTCGGCCCGGGCTCGTTCCTCGCTTATGCACTCACTCGCGGGAAATTAACAGAGGATCGATCCCATTATAGGGCAAAAGCAAGTCGCAGTCGGCAAAAATAACAAGGGCTCATAAGTTGACAGGTGTCAAGTGTCGGTCTACCGCCGAGTCTCAGCGATCAGCGGCTGGGACCCATGGAATTTGCCCAGCCCTCTCCACACCCAGAGAACTGCCGGCCCTGCCGTCCCAATTTTGAGCTAATGCAGTCGCCTGCAGCTTCGGAATCCTTAGGCGCTGGGACGGGCGGGGCGTCTCGCGTGGGCATCCAGCCTGAGGCCCGAGGCCTTGAAGAGGGGTAAGAACGCATGAACTGTGGGCCGATCTGGGTTTTGGACCTTGCTGCCAGACGGGGAGCGGGGTTTCCTGTACTTGCCTTTGCTCTCACCGCATTCTCACCGACGGTCTTGGTTAAACTCTATTCGTGGCTAGAAGCACTCTAATCAAGGCTTTTTCTAAAATTTAAATTTTGTTTTTCTTAGCGCCAAGTCGTTTTGGCTTTTCCCGTGGAGATGTTCTCCAAAGTGATTCGGAGTACTTGCATACTTTTTGGAAAATTTCTTCATTCTAGATGTGCCAATTGAGGGGAAACTCCGGAATAGAGTATGCTGACAAGCTAAGGAAGGTAATCGCAAACGCCACCCTGTGGTGCTCTTCGGTTGGAGGAAGTAGGCCGCCCTGGACTCGTTACCAAAGGCTTTCCATGTGGGGTTTACTGTTCTTTTCTCCAGCGTGCTTCCCCCCTCAAACTGTAATATAGCAATAGGAAAATTCTTCTAAGATATTCAGTTAAATCAGAGTTGGAAGCTATGGCACCCCAATGGCGAAGACAATGGGTAAGATGGCCTTTGGCTCCTCTCCGACGCGTCCGTGGAGGCCTCAGAGAAATTTATGCGCATACAAACCCATTGTGTTACAATGCTCTCGTTTATGTAGAATAGAATGCTCATAACAGATAAATTATATCCGGGGAATCCCGACATCTCGGTACAATAGGTCAGCACTGGTCCAGACGACGATGGTTGTAAGGTCACACGCACGACCGGGTATAGATCGCACATTTCTACCCGATGTCGGACCTGAAAGTCCGAAGACTCATGCACCATGCACTCGACAGAAAGTACCGCTTCCCCGGCAAAGAGGCAAAAAGTATTGGCCTGTCGAAGATGCCGCTCACGAAAACAGAGGGTAAGCCCATCTAATTTTTGGGGAGTTTAATTGCAAGAGCTCAGATCCTTCCAGTGCAGTGACAAAAGACCATGCGATAATTGTACTAGTGCGGTTAAAGGTGCATCGATCCACCATGCTTGCATATGATACATCAACTCACGACATCGATAGAATGTGTTGCAACTGAGTGTATCACGCGTAAATCTCAGGTGAACCCCGAGTGGGTAATCTACTTTTTCTTCACGCTTTTTTGTTAATTTCTATTGGTAGGTATATTCGATCTCTGCAGAAGAAGATCGCAGATCTCGAGTCTCGAGTGGCATGTGAACCGAGAAATCATCATTTGCATAATGATTCGGCCCTGGACTCTGATGACGTATTGGAGCAGGCTCATTCCGAGCAAGAAGACACATCTCATGGCGACCAAAGAGCCTCTGAGGTTCTGGATACACAGTCTCTCATCGTCCCTACGTGTGAAGTGGCGGCCATCGCCTTTCCCTCACCACTCCATGGCATAGCTTCAAATACCTCGCCAATTCATTTAGAACCACTACAGTCATTCAGGTCTCTTGATCGGTGTATTGGCTACACTTACCAATAAAACCCCCTGTGGCATCGCTCCTCAGCGGAGTGATGCGAGGCACGAGAGCAATGTGTCTTTTCCAATCTCAGAAACGGTCCTCCATCCCAGTCACCAGATTGATCTTCATTCTCATGTTGAAGATACGCTCGTCCAAATCTACTTGGAAAGGGTCAACCCGCGACACCCGTTCCTACACGTCGACATCTTTTCCGGATGGTATAAGGCATGGAGGACTCGCAAGCATTTAAGATCAACCACCGGCCGGTGGGACAGATGGAAGGACTTCATCGTGATAATGGCTCGTCAGAAGGCTTATAGGCTGCCGCACGAAACTAACGTAAGAATGATTTAGGTCCACTCTGTCAGTCTACTTCTAAAGCCTCGAGTATCTCAGAACGACATCGTTACCTCTCAGGTGTGTTGGAATAGTAGAACCTTGCAAATTGTCTAATCTGACGGCTTAGGCTTTGTAAAATTGTGCGATGAAATACGCACCCTTCGTCTTCGCTCACCATGATCCAATATTGCATGACTTTAACCATCTCTCGAATGTTCAACCCTAAATGAAATGACCCAGAAGTTAAAGGCTGCCGTGGCACAAAAGCGGACTCGCTCCTCCGTGGAGTCCACCCTCGCCGCACTCAAGCAAGTTACCCAACATGCCGCTTCCCAAGGTGTAAAGCTTCTGCTATTACCAGAGACCTATCTTGGTGGATACCCTCGTACTTGTGATTGTGGAACTGCAGTGGGCGCCCGCACTCCCCATGGCCGGGAACAATTCCTGCAGTACTTCAAGTCGGCGGTGGATCTCGGCGATACGCCTGCCGGAGCTGGTGATGACTGGATTGACCGCACGCTTCCAGTGGCTAAGGGATCTGATTGTCGTGGCGATGGCACAAGAGAGTTTCTCGAACAGGTTTCTCGAGAAACGGGTGTTTTCATCGTTACCGTGTTGATTGAGAAGGCCAGCGATACTTTGTACTGCTCCGCTATTTACGTCGACCCGTCGTCTGGTGTTCTTGGAAAGAGATGGAAGGCCATGCCGGCAAGTCATGTGTTTGCCCTAAAACACGCGTTCAACAGGGCTTGCTAAATCTTAAAAACCGACACAGGCTGCATTTGAGCGTCTTATTTGGGGCCAGGGCTCACCGTCCAGTCTCCAGGCTGTAACCACCGAGATTGATGGTGTCAAGCTCACCATTGCTGCTGCTATCTGTTGGGAGAACTTCATGCCCCTGCTCCAGCACAGTCTGTATTCGCGAAATGTGAACATCTATCTTACATCCACTGCGGAGAGTCGAGACACTTGGCTGCCTCTCAGGCGGACTATCGGTGGAGAGGGCCGTACGTTTGTATTGTCAGCCAACCAGTGTGTAATACATTGAACTTCCCGCTTGGATCACTCATCATGGTGAGAGTGTGTCTGAAGGTACGAAGCTCCGAAAATAATTTTTATTGGATGATCCTATGAACTGTGATAGCTGACACATATACAGAGGAAGGAAAGAAGTACACTTCTCGAGGATGATCTTGCATTGTTGGTCCTCTGGGTGAAGTCCTCGCGGGTCCATTCTGGGAAACATCTCATGATGATCCTCTTGACGCATCAGGGGTCAATGAGGCTCCTGAGAAGGACGGACTCTTAATCCACGAGATTGATGTGGAGGATTGCGAGCGCGGTAAGCTTGACATGGACGTTGCGGAAAGTTCCTCAAGGAATGACTCCTTCAAATTGACAGTCGAGGGGTTGGGCTTGAACCTGCCGCCATTTTGAATGAACTGGTTGGTCTTTGACTGTGAAAAGACTCGCTGTTTCAAGTGCGACAACTATGCATGGCCAGAGGCATATTTTCCTTGACTATCTCCTTTTATTTCACATGCTCAGACCTTGTCTTCGCAAAACGAATGTCATAGATCGATGGAGGTGGACCTGCGCGGCGGAACCGATGGCGTCGGAGCCGATGCTGGCATTGGCCAATGAGAGCGGATTAATTCAGGAACTGTGGACGGAGCCGCCCAAGTATTTAAATGGGCTTCGTTTCTTTTTCTTTTTCTTTTTCTTTTTGTATTCTAATAACACTCAATCTCTCACAAGTGTCACATCCTATATTCCTTTGTGAACATCCAGATGGCCAAGCCAGTGATCGTTATCGTGCCCGGCGCTTGGCATCGCCCCAAGCACTTCCAACATCTTATTGACAGACTCACCAAACTCGACTATGAGGCTGTCGGCGTGACACTTCCATCTGTTGATTCTAGCCCGCCTCACCAAACCTGGGAACAAGATGCGCAAGCAATTCGCAAAGTGATTGTGGAATACCTTGATGCTGGGCAGGACGTCCTTACACTCGCCCACTCGTTTGGTGGCATTTCCATGTCTGAGGCTGTCAAGGGACTGGGCAAGAAGGCCCGCGAAAAGGAAGGTTTGAAGAATGGCGTCGTTAGACTGGTCTACATGTGCGCAATGGCACTGCCTGAAGGCAAGACACACGTGGCCCAGATCACGCCAGTGACTCCCGAGGAAGAGGAGATTGAGCGACACCGCCAGGAATTGCAGAAGAAGTATGGGGCAATGAAGTTTACAGAGGTAGGTTTATTGGCAATTTTCGCAAAGATGTTGGATGACAGTGGAAGCTGACCGTCTCCAGGACGGAGCAATGCTGCTTGACAAAGTTGGCATCCGTGATATCTTCTACAATCGGTGCGATCCTAAAGACGTCGATGAAGCGGTCGAACTGCTCGGTTCATTCCCCGCGGGACCTTTGACGGTGCCCGTCACCTATACAGCCTTCCATGAAATCCCTAGCACATACATCGTCACCCGGAATGATTTGGCTTTACCGGTCTCCTACCAGGAGAGAATGATCTCCCAAGGGGAGGGGGCTTTCACCGTTGAACGATGCGATGAGGGCCACTCGCCATTCCTGAGTAACCCAGACTTCATCGTCGGTTGTGTTCGTCGCGCGGCAGGAGAAGATGTTTAGAGGAATGGCATTTGTGTACATCGTTCGTTTGAGAATCTCGACTTCTAGATCCATAGATCACGCGTTCCATCATGTTTCAAAACCAATCACATCAGGCTTCCCAAATTTCTGGCCCACTAAGACTCACGGTGAGCCATCGGACGCAAGGCTGTCGGCCATAAATAGCGGGTGTAAAAGCACCGATTGGAAGAAGTCGGTTTCGACCGCCAGCCTCGCGCGGGGCACATGTGCGCCGTTGAATGACCAGGCTTGGCGTAAGCGCGTCCCTTAAAAAGGCCTTGAACCCTCAGCAAGTACCTTGTGCGCAAGAAGAGTCCCATCCGGATCCAGTATGCCATTTCCACCAACTCCAACTGGCGAGAGCAGCTCCCACTCCGGCAATTGTCATTGCGGAGCTGTGCGGTTTACCTTCACGCTATCCCCGCCCCTGAACGAGTACCCAACCAATAACTGCAACTGCTCCATCTGCACGAAAAACGGCTACTTGCTCGTGTACCCGTTCACCAAAGACTTTAAGATTGAAAAGGGAGAGGATGTGTTGAAGGATTATCGCTTTGCTGAGCGTAAGGTGAAGCACCAATTCTGCAGCGAGTGTGGAAGCAGTTGCTTCATCCGTCTTCCGGAGGAGGGCTATCCACCGATCACCCCCGTCAATGTAAGCTGACCGGCCTTTTGTGAACTTGAAGGTACTAAGTCTTTTAGGTGCGACTTCTGCATGACTTTGATATTACGAAACTTAAACTAAACGAGGTCGATGGAAGGTCGATTGGGCTAGAATACAAAGTGTAGATAGAGTGATCGATTATTTAACCCACTTGAGCATACATCTGCATGTTTAGCACTCAGCCAATGAAGTTAACCGTTAATCGATCTGTCAGAGTGCCCGAGCTGGTGTAAATAGAGTAACTAAATGGTTAGTTAGAACTGGGACGGCGCCTGAGAAACGAGTGTGCTAAATAATCAGGCAACAAGGCACCAATGATGAATACCCGCGAGACTTGTGACTACAGGTCAGTGCACCTAGGGTCGGAGGTCGCTGCACCTAGGCACGTGACGGTATGCAAACACCTACAAACAAAATTTCACTTTCTGTTGCAAAGCTTTTCGCCTTACATTACCTTACATTCTCTATCCACTAATTTTTTCTTCAATTTACTATACCTTACCCTTTACATTATTTCACTATGCAATGTGATTCCGAGAGACAACTAAGACAATAGACTAGTTATTAACTAGTTCTCTACCACTCTTTAAAAGCTCTAGCTCTACTTTCAGTTTCTGATTTTCTAATTCCAACTTTTCCCTCCTTAATCGCCGTTCCTCTATATCATCCTCTATCTCTTGGTGCCTTCGCTTAAGCTCAAGGCTTTTAAGCTCAGTATATTGATCGTTATTAGACGCATTTACCGTAGCAGTGCGACGGGGATTGAATCCGCTTGGCTTAGGGCTTGCGGGGGTTCTATAAATTAGTTAGCAACTAGTAGGTAACTAGTTAAGGGCACGTACTGAGAACGACTTTGAGAGCGATTTAGCGTAGATACTCTAGATCTTAACCCTCTCGGTGTCTTTGACCTATACCGACTAACGATAAAACCTAAAGAGGAGGCCTCCTAGAGAATCTAATCGTCGATATTATCTTGGTCCTTTTGCGCTTTGTCTCGATCGTTCTGCTCTTTTTTCGCTTTTAGTCTTTTCCGCTCTTCGCGCTGTATACTATTACTAAAACGAGTCTCTATATTATTAGCGTGATAGCTATAATAGATACTAAATCTCTCTTGAATAGAGAATTGATTAATGTCTCGCTGATTAAGGAATCGTGACCTTATAACTAGTTAGAGGCTAGTTTCTAACTAGTTATATTGAACTTACTTTATCACTGCACCTAAAAGAGTATCGTAAACCCCGAGAAAGTACGATTTCTAATAGCTTTGCTTAATAGCATTTATATAAGGCCGAAATCTCTAAAAGAATTTAGGGTTTATACCTAAGTAAGCCTAATATAAACTAGCAGTAATTACTGGATGTCTCTTATACTGAACCTAGCCTCGTAGGTTTAGGTCGTGGTCTAGATAACTAGTTAGTAACTAGTATTTAACTAGTTAATATTTTTACTTACCTATAATTAAGTTAAGCAACGTGTGATAATCGCTTAAGGATTAATAGGAAAGTAGATTAGTTAAGCGTCGGCGGGCATTAATATAAGAGCCATTTAGCCTATTAGGGTATATCTTGACTACCGTTCGTATAAAATGGATAGTATAGAATATTATAATATAAGTTAGCTACTAGTTTCGAGGACGTCTATAGGGGTCTTGGTCTTAGAGGAAATCTCCTAAACCTTAATTAGTTATAACTAGTTAGAGAGTAATTTATAACTAGTTAGAATAATAACTCACTATATATCTAATTTAGATATATATCACTAACTATAGCCTTGATACCTTCACTATGAATGGAAAAGAACTTAATGGGTCTTTGAATAGCCTAGGATACTAGTTTAAACACTCGTTGAAAGATGAACTTATATACCGTAGGGTTTTCCTAGTCCGTGAAGACACGGAATAGTGTTATAACTAGAGAACTAGTTAATAAGTAATTAAAGACTAGTTAAATAGACTTTTACGTACTCTTTCTATAGTCTAGTAGTATCGTAGCAAAAATGACCTCGTTTATCACCCCTTTCACTTATTTATAAGATATATTAACTTTAATAGCGTTAAGAGATGCGAGAAATACCATCTATATATAGAATGTATAAAAGATATATATCTTATAGGTAGTGTGGTAGGTTTCGCGGACGTATTGCTAAGTAGAACTAGTTAGAAACTAGTTTCAATCTAGTAGTAAATTAGTTAATACTATACCTTTAATGCTGGATTAACTCGAACTTAATAACGGACACTAGCTAGATTTTTTCCTAATAGGTAGTGTAACGCTCGCTGTTTCTAAATTATAGCTGCAATTTTATCACTTTTAGCGAAGCTAGAGTAAATCTAAGATAGCGTAAGATATTGCTTTTTCTCGCAGAATTCGCGGAGCGTAGGACTTCGAAGAAATGTGCCTTAAAATTTAGTTAATAACTAGTTATTAACTAGTTATATTTTATTATACTCACTTAGTGTTAGGTCTAGGTTTATATTCCTATAAATAATATTAAGAACTTCGCTTGTAATTAACTATAGAGCTTTCGTAGGTGGTGGCGGTGGATGATTATAGACCCTACGTAAGTAGAAGATAGTATATAGGTGAGACCTTATATCGTATAGAATAAAGGTATAGAAAACGACGTTGTACGTGCTATGATCTTGGATAGAGCCTTAGCCCTAAGGATGGATTATTCCTATTACTAGTTAGAAACTAGCTATATAGTAGTTGATAACTAGTTCTTGCCGTATCTTGTCCTTTAAGAGTTCTATAGCTCGATAACACCGTATATTTTCGAGCTTGCTTTAAAGGTGGTACTTAAGAGACTCTTAAGAAGCGGTATATCTATCGAGTTCTCTTTCGTAACTAGAGACTGATGGAAATGCTTTTTATGATTCTCCTAGGTTACGTTGAAATACCTAATATAATAGCTAGTAACACTACTAATATTCTAGTAACTAGTTAATAAATAGTTTAGTATTAGTATTCGTAAAATGAGCGAGCTTACCTACTTATCGTATATACTAAAGGTAGGCCGATAACTTTTAGTTTACGCTTTATAAGCTCTCTCTGTAGTAAACTTCCCCTAGATTATATAGTATAGACTAGTAAAGTATTAGTAATATCGATTATAGCGTAGAACTAGTCTTTAACTAGTTCTTAATTAGTTTACCTACGCTATACTTACGCGCTAAAGTAGCCTAAAATCCTTAGTATACTCTATCCGTCGCCTAGCTTAAGCGATCTTAGTGAAAAGCGCCTTATCCACGTAAAGATGACCTATTCTAGTAAGCTCTAGGTTAAGGAACTCGTAGCGCTTAATACTAGAGTATATATATCGTTTTTTCTCTATTAGGTAGCTAAGATATATATTAAAAACGTTTAATGTTGCACCTTTGCCTTTAAATGAGTACTGGATCTATACTAGCTATCTAGTTAGTAACTAGTTAATAACTAGTTTAAAGGCGACCCCTACCGATTTAAGTGTGTCTTTCGCCTAGTGGGGCTTAATATTTTCGAGGTTCACCACGTATACGTACCCAGCGTTATGCGTTTGTGGATACTTAGGTAGCAAGGCCATATGCTCAATAAATGCTGCTGATATAGCATATATTAATCGATCTATTAAGGGCATTGGAAGAGGGTCAAGGTGCTAGAGAAATAGTTAGAAACTAGTTGGTGAAGAGTTGTATGTTGTCAATGCAGATATATATTTACGTCGTTTGGGTCTGGAATCGATGCGTGACGATCTTGGAGATCACCCTGCTCCCCGAATTCAAAGGCGTCGTCGGTCGGTTCAGGTGTAGGGTCAAAACGTATAAGATCATGGATCATCCGATACTTATAGTCCTTCCAGATAGGTTGATTACTATTCGCCATAGTGATAGTAGTGATAGTGAGGAATAGAAAACAAGCCAAAACAAATACAGTATGTAGGTAAAATACCTTGTTACCATGGCATACAATGATTAGTAAGTAGGAATGCGAGATGGGTGCAGTGAGCTCAGAAAAGAAAAGTGGGGCTAGGTGTAGCGAGCTTTCGGCCTAGGTGTAGTGACCTGTAATCTGGCGAGACTTCCGACGCAGCCCAAGTATTTCTACAAGTCCCGAGCATTCCAGAACAAGACACATATCAAACGCCTCTAAATCCACACATTCCTTGAATCAGTTGCCCTGAGCTGGCGTGGTCCGATGGTATCTGATGTCCAGCCACCTCACTGCTGAAGTGGTGTTGAGGTCCTCCCCGCAGCCACAGCGGCGACAGAACTCCAGCTGCGACCCTTGCCGACGCTCCAAGCGACGTTGCTTCTTCCCACAAGATGGTTTACGGGATGCAAGTGGCGCCTGCACACATTGCAGACGTCTAGGTCATACATGCACCTTCGACTTTGCTGCATCCCAGCAGAGCTCGAGGCCCAGAAAGAGACAACGGCGTAATCCGCCAAGATCCAATCAAATTGCGGATCAAAATGATACATATTTACAAAAAGCAACATCCGATACTTTTGCGGATCTTCTGGAGTACACACCTCAAGCTGGCTCCATGGACGGGCAAGACGAACTTGGTTCATGGCTCAACCTGGATATCGACAATTGCTTCGGCGACAGTTTCGTCTCTCCCTTTACCGGCGAAACCAGTACAACTCAACATACGGTATATCGTTCAGGATCATCGGCAACATCCGAAGCCGGGAATGAACGTCGAATTTCTCTTCTGCCAGATCGCTCGCACGCGAAGCAGTCATTTTCATACAGAGCAGATGCTATCTTCGGGAGCACCATACACAGTCCGGTCTACCTATTAAACTCGAAAATGAATGCCGGGATCTTAGATGAACGTCTTATTCGGATATTCGATACTATCGTGACAGGTTCTGCGACCAGATTTCTTGACTACGATTGCAATCTATACGCGACGGGGAGTCGCTATCAGATAGAAAATAGCAGCCCAGAGAGCTCCCAGAAATCATTGCCCGCAGTTATGAATGCCTTGACGGATGGAACAATCGTGGAATCTCCGATTTTGTCACCACAGATGTCCGCTAATGCTTCAGTGGACTATAATCAAGACTCGGGAGAAGCAATGACGCATGCAATTATTCCTACGCCGGATGACGACTTCAAGATGACGCTGCTGGGATGTGCTCGTTTCTTGGATCATTTTGGTGACTTCTACGGCAACCGATTGAGCCCAGCTGAGCGAATGAAGTCGGATGCAGCCTTGAATTCAACGTTCCGAGCATTTGCGCTGCAGTGGTTACCAAACGGCAGCTCGGATGGAGCACAAGCAGCAAGGAATACGTCGTTAGATGTTTACACTGATGCATGGTTTCGAGCACGGTCATCAATCAATGACGCTCACTCTGTTCGCTCGTTCCGCGTCGTCTTTGCGTGCCTGATGTTCAACGGCATCGTTATTCCAAAATCGGCCCAGTCACATGCTATAGCTCATAAATTTCTTGATACGGGTTTGCAAAAGCTTCGTGATCTGGACGGGCTTGTGAAGCAATATTGTACAACACTGGGGCCTTTTTCGAAGTATGCAGCCCTCACAGAAGCCAGTTTGAGTCTTGTCCGCTGGTGCGGGTACCTTCGTGATACTGGAGCCGCCCTCCTTGGCGATCACCAATGCAAACTGCCCGACCCTTTTGTTCATTCAAATGGTAAATTGGCTCCACGAAATTCCATGATAGCTTACAGCAACAAGGGAAAACTGACATTAAGTAGCATTTACAAGCGACGGCTCGACTCCAACGCATCCCATTTATGACAATCTCAGAGAGCTAGACTTGAGCGTTCCAATCATCTGTCGAAAGGCATCTGCAGAGGCATTTAGCATTTGGAGACAGATTATCAAAGTGAAAATCTCTCTGCATAAACTACCCGATAGCAACTTTGATCCCAACTCGGACATTTTCGAGTCAATTATCGAAACGCTGGCCGCCATTGGAAAATTTGATGAGGCTTTTAGGCAATTTCTGAACAGCTGCAGAGAAAAGTTCCACAGCCTTTCTATTTCATCGAGGATTGCTTCAGGTAAGTAGCTTTACTTTTGACTCTATTATATTCTTTCAATAACAGCAACTGGCAGTTTCTCTTATGGCCTTCTGGGACCTTGGTGTCCTCATTTTCGCCGAAGTACTCCAACCTCTTGCGGACAACTCTATCTCAGACGTTGTTTCCAAAATGCAAGCCTATCGACATGATGCAACGGCATCTATTGCTCAAACCATCGAGTGTGTACACCACTTGCCCATCGACGAGGCATTCAACCTTCAAAATGGGTTAAGTGCCCAGGTCCCTCTCATCGCCTACCATGTTACTCCGAGTTTAATGGCTACTGCCTTGGAAAAAGCTGTGGAACACGCTATTCAATTGAATATTTTTGAATCCTACGATGACGAAGCAGCTGGCACTGCGTGGGGTCCTGACCGAGAGGTATGGGCACATCAAATTGACGTCCTAATGAAAGGACTTCTTTCTCTGGATGCAACCGTTGGCGGGTCTCAGACGGCTGGCGTTGCTTTTCAATCACTGATGCGAAAGTACGGGGACATTATTTCTGAGTGTTGGACCTCCAACTTTGCGGCATAGTCAATGGGCAAATTTTGTACACATATTATGGAATAAACACACCTCTCTCTCTTCTAAAATTTTCACTGTATCCAATAGATGGGTGATAAAGTTTGGCTTTTCAAAATGGCAAGAACATGTCTTGTATTCGAGAAACAAATACTTAGAAAATGCCATACCCCATCCACCAAACCCCCCAAGCCAACGGGCCCAAAGCCCCAATAACAGCGGGCCCGAACGACATCTCCAAAATGCACCAAATCCACATCGTCCCAAAGGCTGGCGCCTTCTTCATAACGGCGTAATACGGTTCTCCATTCGTGATGGCGATAAGGTGAGCACCGAGCAACAACGCCGGCGGAAGGAACACGATTGTCCGGAGACTGGGCGGGAAGACTAGGCGGCGGAGAAACGAGAATGTGAACTTGTCGCGAGTGAGCGGGAGGATGGCGACGGGCTGCGGGGCGAGGAAGCTTAGATTTCCGCTTAGTCTGAATCTGACGATGTGGCCGTGGGCGAAGTGGATTAGGAATGTTAAAAGTGGGAACGTGATTGTGATTGATTCTTTGAGGAGGCGTGGGAGGTCGATAGACTCGGCATATTGGTGGGCGGCGAGATAGGCGAGAGTGAGGTGAAGGGTTGTCAGGGGCATGGAGAGAAGAACTGTGTCGATGAATGGAGGAAGTGGTCTGTTTGGTTCGTCTTCTGCCAATTGTGTGGCTTCCTTGGGGATCTTTCGTGAGCCCATGTTCATTGGGACTTGGTCGATTTCACCGGCGTCCACGACTTGCCCGGACGCGTCGACGGTCACGAACCGCGTCCCCTTTGGTTGTGAGGACTGTGCTTTGTCAATTGTCGCGTCCAATGCAGCCTGGGAGACAGCTTGTTGCCCCAAGAGCTCATTCTGACGCTCCGCGATGATGTCGTATAATGTTCGCTCGCCGGTCTTCTTTGGAGGCTGGCCGCGTGGTGGGGTTGCGAGGGGAATCTCGAGTTCGGGGGCCGTGGAAGCTGCAGCGGCAGCACGGCGCTGCTTTCGATTTCGAGGAGCATCCATGTTTGGAGTACCCGGGATGGGGCAGGCGGCGGATTGGGGATGTGGATGAGCTGGCGGATAGCAAAAAGCTGCGGACCAGGGTCTCGGCGATAAGTCGGGATTAAGGTTCAGCGGGTCGGAATCCGCGCTACAGAACTAAGTAGGTAAACATCAAGATCATCATTTACTCGAAAAAAAGACAACAATCCGTGTTCTTATTCCACGCTATATCTCCAGGCTCTCATTAAATTTCACCTGCACCAGAAACTTCTCCTTCCTTTTCTAATCTTGTCTATCTAATCTTGTCCAACTCTCGGACCGCTTTATCCAGCCTGGTACAACGCAGGACCAGCAACGACATGCGGGTTGATCATGCTAATGTTGAACGGGGTCAAGAATGGGTTGGAGTCGGTGATGGCGATGAACATGGTGCCATTGATAGCCGGGTCGCCTTCGTAAGTCTCCATGTCGGGCTGGATAGTGGAGCCACGGTTACCGGAAACATTCAAAGGCGTGTAGGTCACGTTCAACTGCGATACCCATGCAACGTACTTGGGGCTACCGGCCGAAGTCGATGTCACATAGCTGTTGTTGGGGCCGACCAGCTGGCCTGGGTTGTCCCACTGCAGTGCAACCTGACGGCCGGGGAACGAGAGACGAGTGTAGTTTTGGGGGGTGACAAGAGATCCGTAGGTGCCGTTCACACCGGAAGAGTCTGAACCCGAGCCCGAACTGAACTTTGCGACATTCGTGCCAGCTCCCAGGGTGTTGTTCATAGCAGAGGCGGTGGCATTGCTGCTATTACCACCTGTGAAAAGGCTAGGCTGGTTGAGGATTGTCAGACCAGGGAAGTTCTGCCACACCAGTCGAGTCTGGTTGCTAGGGCACGAGCTGATATACGGAGCCAGTAGAGTCCATGCCCAGGACTGCGGCACACCGACCTCAAACCACACAGGCATGGGGAAGAGACCCTCGAACTGACGGAAGATCATCTGCTGACGTGCCTCCGTGGTGATAGATTGAGTGAGGAGGGTAGCAGCCTCCCGCGAATTCAAGTGAGACAGGAAGCCATACACACCGGACTCGCCGAAGCGGGTCAACTTCTGACAAAAGTCGAGGTACTCCCGAACATTGGTGTAAGGGTAGTTGTACTGGCACTGCTGAGGGGCCTGGGCACCGAGCATGTTACTAATCAGGGTCGCGTGTCCAACCTCTTGCTGAGCCATGAATGCAATGAGTTCACGGTCAGCTTGGTTAAGACCGGCCGCCGTGAAGTCCTCGGCCGAAAAGCGTCTCAGGCCATCATTGAACAGGTCCAGCTCAATCCATTCCTGGTACAGAGCAAGAGCCTAGCGGTAATAGTCAATATCGACAGCATCATAGGGCACGAACTGTAACAAGATACATACCAAAGATTCGTAGTCGAAGTCGCTCTTGGCATTATAAACAGGGATCGATCCATTGGTGCCGACTCCTCCCGCTGGAACGTACGGAGCAGGTTCAGGATTGTGAAGCTTGCCATCACCATGGTAGGTGGTTTCCGCCGGAGCAATGCTGGCTGCCTCGGTAATACCCTTTCCGATCGAGGTGGCAGTCAGAGCTCCAGTAGTCGATGGGGTTCCAGAGAACGGAGTATGTGGCTGGGAAGTGTGAAAGCTATGAGTGGGTGGTCCGAAAATAGTAGTCACCGACATCGACATCGAGGGCGAGTCCTGGCGGACCTCCAATGGAGATGCAGAGATGAAAGGCAGCGAGCCCAACGCGCTCAGCATCAAGAGACTTTCCCACATCATCACCACGAAGTTGCACAGTTATCCTCTCTTTAAAGCTCCTCTGGCTATAGAATGGAAGGCAAGAGAGAGGGAGAATGTAAAAGTCATAATTTCCTGGACAAGCGCGACAATTATCTAGAGCATATATGTAGTTCCAGACGTCAGTGCTCGTCACGCATGACCGAATCAAGGACTGACGCAAGTCTTCATCGATCCAGTCAAGCCGGTTTCGAGGCCCAATCGAAATTCTCGAAACAGCTCCTAGAGCATGGAAACAGCAAGAATCCACTGTTTCAAGGACGGCACAGCATGGCGTGAGCTCGATTCGGCCGATTGATGCATCACGGCGATCTTCATGAAGCCAGCGGCATTTCGAAATGCCGAATGCGTCGCGCGACTTCCGCCATGGCGAAGGTGAGCAACGGTGATGATTGAGGTCAGGCTCCGGTCATCAACAACGCTAGCGCGGACGGCATTCCGATACGGCAAAAGGGACGGCGTGGGCAGCTCCAGGAAGCTTTTTCCCTTGAGTTCTTCCATCGATCTTCAATACTTGCAGAAGACGTCATTTGCGCCATTGGTCAATGAGGTTGGAGTGCCCGCAATACTGTCATGCATTTCCTCCGCTTAGACGGCACCTTCGAGCATGGCGTGAGAAGAATAGGCCCTGGTTCTTGCGGAACCTTGCGGATATTGTTGAAGAAGCCTGTTTCAGGGCTCGGATATTGAATGGACCGAGCCTACTGATCGTGGTGTGGAGCCGCTCTCGCGCTATCAAGTAGATCGCTGCGTATCGATAGGCTTGCCGATCAAGAACCGAGATCGTCTTGTCGTCACACAAATTCGTCGTACGATCTGCCTCGATACAATGTCTTCTTTACGCTGAACAATTGTTTTCACTCCTCTCGTTAAACGTGGGTCATTGCAGGTACGTGGGATATCACCCACGGTTCGTAACGGAAAGACCATGACATTTGAGAAGGGAATCCTCTCCGCCATCGCCCATGAACAAATGATGATTCCATGAGCAAGGATGAGATGAAGCGGCAAAGAGCCAATGGGATTTCAGTTGTGGTCGGCGTGAGACCCGAGGCCCACAGCAAGGACACGGGAATTGGGGTATCTTGACATCGGGATTCCCCCAATTCTTCTCCCTCGTTCGGATTTCTGGCCGATGCATGATACTCAGAGCTTCGGACGCAAAAACACATGGAATGTTTGGAACATGCGGAGTTGGCCGTTCTCACGAGAAATCTGCTGCAATTGGTCCGCTTCTGAAAATAACAGCGTTGATTCAGTTCATAAAGACGGTGAAGGGGGAGGACAATGGGGTATCCACCGTCAAAGCGCCGATCAAGTGTGGGGGTGATGAATGACGATATCACGGTTGCGGGGAAGAGTTCTCATCCACGCCTCTCATTTTCTCACTGCTCGTTGTAATATTCACACGCCACTCAACTAGCACATTATGTCGAACCTTCAGGCCTCAAATTTGTTCTCGGTTCAGGGCCGGGTCGCGGTGATCACCGGTGGAGGCAGCGGTAAGCATGAAGACCCATCGCTCGCGTGAACTGCGGCTAAATGTGAAACTCAGGACTGGGCCGCATCATGGCCCGCGCCCTGGCCATCAACGGTGCCTCCAAAGTCTTCGTCCTCGGCCGCCGTGAAGACGCCCTTCGCGAAACTGCCACCCAGGCGCCGTCCGGTATCGTCATCCCGGTTCAATGCGACGTAACTTCGAAAGAGTCCCTGGAGTCAGCGTACTCCGCCGTCGCGGCACATACAACCCATGTGGATATCCTGTTCGCCAACAGTGGCATCATGGGTCCGAAGATGCGCGAGACTCCGAAGTCGGACGGATCCGTACCGTCTCTATCCGAGGTCCGCGACGCGTTGTTTTCCATCCCGATGGAGGAGTTCACCAAGGTCATGGATGTGAATGTGACGGGAGCATACTACACTGCTTTGGCGTTTCTGCCCCTTCTTGAGGCCGCCAACAAGAGACGGCCTGCTGCGCAAGTTGGCGTCATGTCTGCACCGACTGCTCAGGTGATTATCACAAGCTCCATTGCGGGCTTCAACCGCAAGGTGCCTTTCAGTTATGCCTATAACGTGTCTAAGGCTGCCGTGACCCATCTGGTCAAGGCATTGTCGACCAATCTTTTACCCTACCACATCCGTGTCAATGGCATCGCCCCTGGATTGTATCATTCCGACATGGCCGACCAGATCTTCAAGGACGGAGGAGTCGCGGGCGGCGGGGTCTCGGATGGCTCACACCCGGCCTCTTTGATTCCCCTGACTCGTAGCGGAAGTGAGGAAGACTTTGCTGGTCTGATCATCTGGATGTCCAGTGCCTCTGGTGGCTATATCAATGGTGCCATGATGCTTACCGATGGTGGCCGTACTGCATCGGTGCCGGCCACTTATTGAGAAACTACAAGATGGACTTTCAACAAGCTTGTAGGTATAAACCGTTGATCTCGAACGACATAGATACAGATAGATTGTTGAAATAACAACCAAGACATATTCCTCAGATGCAGAAAGCTAACTATGCAATTCAAAAACGAGTGATCGGCTGGTGGTGATGGAGGTGAGTATCAGTAGCTCAAAAACTGCTGTGAAAAATGACAATTTGTCGATCAAATGGTTGCAGTCAAGCGTTGAACCAAGTAGTCTCCAGCGGTGATCTCCGCGTATTTCTTGGTCACCTGGATATCATCTCCCCAAGTCCCCGGCAGCGCCTCGATCACCTTGTTGTTATTGGGATTGCAGAAGTATGCGATACTGTATCGTGCCGGGTATGTTTCCGATGGGTCATTCTCAGAGTCCTGGCCCGCTGGCCTGGGAGGCTCGATGACTCGGTGACGAGTACTTTTAATGGTGTCGTTGGACCAACGCGCCAGCAGGTCTCCAGCATTGACAACAATAGTGTCGGCGATAGGTGTCGCATCCACGAACGTTCCTTTGGGGGTGCGCACCTGCAGCCCGCCGTGCTGATCTTGGAAAAGCAACGTAATGGACCCATAGTCACTGTGTTCCCCGGCACGAACCTGATTCGGGTTATTTTGGAAGGCTTGTTTTCGTACAGGAGGGTAGTGTAGCAGACGCAGGTTGTTGTCTCCTTCATTCACGAATTCGTCAAAAAAGTGCTCCGGCAGATTCATGCCCAGGGCGATTGCGCTCATAATTTGTCGGTGCAAGTTCTTGCACAACTCAAAAAATGAGAGCATGGTCTCTTTGAAATCCTTGCCTTCGTCATCGATATGATCTGGCCATTGGTTTGGCAGGCCATCGATGCCCTCGCGGCCAATTTCCATGGTCTCTTTGAGATCGGGTATAGAGCCCCGCCGAGTGTCGATCTCTTCCGTCTCGTCGAGAGTAGCTAGCTTCTCCCGCCCGACAGCCACATAACCACGGTTCGACCGTGGGGTCGTCCAACCTAAGCTGTCCTTCTGACTCTGGGGTCTTCCGAAGAAGCTAGCTGAGGAGGCGAACACACGGGACACTACGGAGGGTGGGATGCCATGTGCTTTTAGGTATAGAAACCCGGATGTCTTGAATGCATCGGTAATAGAGAGTGCGACGGCATGCTTATCGGATGGTGTTCCGGAGAAGAATGGACCGAAATCAATAATCTATGCAATTTTTGAATCAGTCGCGATCGATAGAAATCATCTGACGAGGAGTGGGGCTGGGGACTCACCGGTATCACCAGGTCGTCCTTCTCCACAGCGGTGGTGGATGGGTGGAGTTCTTGAGCTGCGTTTGCCATGCTGCACAAAGTCCACCACAAATGCTGTCAATGATAGCGCTTCCAAATATCTCTCCAGGGTAACCACAGTAACGTCGATGGTCGAACGAAGTGTGAAGAGGCGAAAGGCTGGGGTAGAAGAGGGGAAGCAGAGGGGAAGCAGAGTAGATAGATAAGGGTGGGAGATAAGCGCCGGCTCAGACCTCGGTGCCTCATGTGAGAAAGAAGCCAAGAGGTATTCCTCCATAGTGACACTCAGTTCGATACGAAAGAAGACGATGTCATTCCATGATATTTACAAGAACCAGTGATAATTGACACTGTAGAATTCGAAAACAAATTCCCCGTTGACACCCCACGGTTTCTCGGCCCGTCTCCGAGCTCACCCTGCCCTAGTACGAATCTGGATTAGTTGTAAATCCTCCTTTTCTAACAATAAATCACCTCTTCTCGTGCGCTTCTACTTGTCGGATACAGTTTATAGCTGTTCTGAAAAGAATTAGTTCTCGTGGATCACCAAGAAATCCATTACGAAGAAAAACGGCACACTTCCAAGACACGTTTCAACGAGGGCTTTTCTTGACAAGATCAAAAGTAATTGAGACATCCGAAAGGTCCGTCTCACCATCAAGATGAGTTAATACAATAGGAGTCCCAACTTGACCTCCCTTCTATCGGTATGACAATGTGGTCACGGCAGGAGCTCAACCTTTTTCTTTGGTCGGTTTTTACTTGGTTTTGGTTATCCAACGATCACTTTTGATTATCCTTTTCCTTTTTCTCTGCTTTACAGACACAGTATGCCAAAACCTTGGTCTTTCTTTGATTTCCTTGCTATATCCAGCTGTGGCGGTGGTCTTGAAGTCCCCGCGTTATTGTGTGTCTTGAAACCTGAAATTCAAAAAAAAAAAAAAAAAAAAAAGATCTAGCTGAACAACAATGCGAAGACAGGTCACTTACTATTTACCTGATGGTGTGTTGTTTCACGCATGACCAGGTGTCCGGCCGATTATTCTAATTCCAGCGACGAAGGTAAGGTGTGAGGCAGACTAATTTTAGGGAAGGAATATAAGGCCACCTTGAACCGTGAGCCGTGAACCGTGAACCGAGAGCCGTGAGCCGTGAGCCTTACTGGCGCTATGGACGGCTAGCATTTCCGATGACTCCCGAGATCATAACAGCCAGCTGGTTTGCCCTGCAACGGAGCTCCCGGAGCTTCCATGCGCCTGTCATAGCCCTTTCTCTAGCAGCCTAGCACCGATCGGGTTAAATAATCCATGCATGTGATAGCATGTCGGCCACAAACTTTGCCTTTGAGTGATTTAACTATCAAGCAAGCTGAAACAAAATGAAATTTATGCCTGAAGGGAACTACTGTTCGCGAGTTCAAGAGAAGGCCCAGGAATATAGTGGTCAGGGTCGTTACGAGGATACGGTCCTTCGTTCTCGGCTCGTTGATGCTCTCTTCTTCAGCTCATCCACGTGAAATATGTGACCTCAAAGTATGGAGCCCGAGGGCTTACACAGTTGACTGATTGGCTCGTAGTAAGCCATCGAGCCCTTTGATCTGTCGTTGGCACCTCATGTGACCCTTTGCCCATTTTTAAACTGGCGGGTTGTCAAAGTCTATTGATCACTACGTTTACTTGCTGCTCTGTACATCTGGTTATGGCGGAACAGCTATCAGTTCGGGAGTATAGTTCCGAACGCTTCAGAGTTTCTCTAGATCAATGAACCAAGAAATGTAGTGACATTTCAGTCGAGGAGAACCCCGTAGTCCCCTGTCTGATTTCGTTGCAACAGCGTCGAAAGATATCGGCTGTGCCACCCAGAAAAATACCCTGCAAGCACATAGAGCCATGGCTTTTGTAAACTCTCCATATTTTATTCTTCTCATGACTCTTTTTATGTCTTGGGCGTTGTCGGATATGGGACCTATAGTCATTGCCATTGGGTGGATGTCTTATCATCCGTACTGCTTATCAGAAGCGTCATCGGGTTCATTGCCCGAACATCCGATTGAGATTCGCCAGATTGGTGAATTACGATAAACTTTTCCATTTATGGAAAACCTATAAGCCCGGGGGTGGGACGGTTTTGACCCGAACCGGGGGCGGGTCTGTCTCGGGTTCTAGATTCACAAAGAACTCTGGAGGTTCCTTGGGGCTGGGTGGTCGGTGGCCTGATAGCTGCCTGTCTTGCCACAAGCAAGACTGGCCAGGACTCGACTGCGCTTTATGGCAGGGGGTAGTCAATTGCCTTTAAGCCATTCGGGCCGGTTGTGTACCTCCCGGTCAGGTGATCGGTCCCCAGATATCACGCCCGTTGAAATTGGCCACCTGATTGCGATGAGTATCCAAATATGTCATCGGCATCGGATGTGAAAGGCCATTTACCGGGCAATGGGTCGGATGGGGCGTTCGATGCTCCGTGTCAAGGTGGTGGTCGCCATGGCTATTAAAAAGAGCAGTCGTCTTCGAGTAGAAGTGTAGATAACAGCTCCAAAGCAATCAGTCTTCAGAGTATTAACCCTCCCGTTCTTACAAAGACATTATATTTGGTTCTTTGGATTCACAATGTCCTTCTTGAGGAATTTCTTTGGCACTTCTGCCACCGCCGCCGCCGCCGTTGAGGCGAAGGACGACAAGAAGCCTGTCCGTGCCCTGCCTGCCTCCTGGTATACCTCCCAGGACATGTACGAGCTTGAGCGACGATCGATCTTCTCTCGCAAGTGGCTTCTCACAACACACAAGCACCGCATCGCCAACCCTGGTGACTGGGTTCTGTATGACGCTGCTGGATACGAATTCGTTATCATCAAGGATCAACAAGGAAACATCTCTGGTTTCCATAATGACGATTTATACCCCGTTCACATTCACATTGACCGAAACGGTTTCGTATGGGTCAACTTGGACACCAGCGAGACTCCCGAGGTTGCCTGGAAGGACGACTTTGAGGGTGTAGATGAGCAGCCCCGATTCGTCCACTACAACTTCGAGGAATACAACTTTGACCACACCTGGGACATGGAGGGCGAGTTCAATTGGAAGATTTTGGCCGACAACTACAACGAATGCTATCACTGCCAAGTTGCCCACCCCGATATCCCCACAATTGCCGACCTGAACTCCTACTACGTCCAGACCAAGGACGGCCACATTCAGCACTACGGTGCCCCGCGACAAGATCAGATCGACAAGGGCTTCCGAATTGCCACCACCTACTTCTGGCCCAACGCCTCTTTCAACATCTCGTGAGTACACCAATCCTTACTAGGCTTGGAAAATAGCTAACCCTCTCTCAGTCCCAACTTCTTCTTCATGCAGCGATTCACTCCTCTCGGTCCCAAGAAGTGTGTGATGCGCTACGAGGTCTACCGCCACAAAGACGCTAGCGACGAGGCCTTCAATCTCATCAGTGATATGTACAAGCGAATCATGTCCGAGGACAAGTACCTCTGCATTCACTCCCAGAAGAATCTCAACGCCGGTGTCTTCGTCAACGGCCAGCTTCACCCCGAGATGGAGAAGGGTCCTCTCCACTTCCAGAAGACCGTGCGCGAGGTCGTTATGGAGCACCACAAGAAGGAAGAGGCCGTCGGCCACGAGATCTGGCCCGCTCAGGAACGTATTCCCAGGAACAACACCGCTAGCCAAGACACCGTCGCTTTCCGCACAGGCATGGACGCCTACAGCACAGAGAAGGACGATTTGACGGACGGCCTGACCAGCAACTTTGCTCCGACGATTGCTGTCTAGAGAGCTGGTGGACGGAAAGGGTATAAAGTCCGTTTGTGATATAGACTTGCCCCTGCATTGTTTTTAAGCGTTGTGCTTGATAATTGTTTAGAACTTAGCTTTCTTTAGCGTAATTTAGCCACGACAGAATGAACACAACCTACATTTTACTATGATATCGACGTTCAAACCGGACTACCTACATAAGTCTGTTCATTCTTGAGGTTCTTACTTTGTAGTACGATGATACAACAACCTTGAATGCAACTATAGCCTATATGCAGCACTATGAGGACCTGAACTGGGCCAATTGAGGCAAGGAGCGAGCGAAAGTTTCATAGAAAGAAGATCTCGAGAAGCGAGCAAGCATGTATCTATCATAGGAGGCCGATTAAGCAGAATACCTGATCGGCCAGGCCGATATCAGGCCGACAGAAGTTGTGGGAGTACGATACGTGACGACCAATCAGCGGTGAATACAACTTCTCACTACTACTACAGTACATCCCTGAATCTGGCAATCTGTAGGAAGAGCGTGTCTCGTGTTGGAAATCCCTCTACGGCAAAAAGCCTACATGTAGGTGCCGTGGATTGTCTTAGACTTATCCTCAACATCTCGTACAGGGGTGCCCTTGCTTGTAACCACAAGAGATCCATGTACAGTGTGCGTGTGTTTGAAATCGTTTACCGCGAGCCCATCGCTGAGCGATATGGAGGCTACCACAGCTATATATATTCGTGTGTGTACATGGGTGTACGACTGCACAAAAACGAACTTAGAGCCTTATCAATTCTGCGAAAATAGCTCCCTTTCTTTGCCATGCTCATTTTTGCTTCCATTGTGCATAAATGCAGTCGCGAATAAATGCCTTCTCCCTGGAGTGGCGGCTATCGGCCATGCCGTTTCAGCCATCGCTAAAAATAACCATTTCATGGCCCACCCCGCTGGTATTTTTCTCTGTCAAGTATTGCTTGGCCCCTCTTGCTTAGGGACACTGAATCAACCAAGCCTTGCTAAGCTTCGTCGGCTAGTGCTTCAACGTCATACCCTGCTATTTTAAGGCGAAAACGAAGCTAGGGCGTTGATTGACGTACGTGGGGGTTTACCCCACCAAGGCATCACCGCTCTTGCTCATCAAACCGCAAGGAATTTCCTCTATAGGTTTTCTCTGCACCCCTGGTACAGCTAGGATGTTTGGTGAATGGTCCATAGGGACCGACCGCCTGTATGTACATATTGTAGAAGTTGGTGTAAGGTTAGGGGTGGACAGTCCCCATGCTGATGACGTCGGCCCACTTAAAATTGAACAAGGAACCGCCTTATGACGCTTAGGCAGCCACAATTAAACGGACCCAGTTGATTGATCTGCTCGTCTTACGAAGGTTGTTCTAAGGCATTTCCCCAACTTTCTATTTGCGAGGATGTGGAACCGGCTTTCCGACGTCATCGGTAGCCCTTAACCATGGTGCACTTAAGTGGCCCCTTATTGGACCATACCGCCCTTCTGCTAAGCTGAATATACACTCACTTCTTCCAACTTCTCGAGTGAATCTATCTGGCTTCACTCACTGCTGGTAGCATTTTATTCAAATCATCAACCGCTAAGCTCTAATCGCAGCCGCTGCATCATGGTCCCGTGGGATGTATACGCACTGTGCCAACAGTCGCAGACGGTGACTTCCGAATTGGCACAGGACCCGTCTCAAACTCCGGGAGCGGTCTTCAAGAAGCTTTACGAAAAGCAGAGTCCTGTATCGCACCACGCAAAGGGTAATTCAAAAGGACTCTCAAAGGAAGAATTCCAAGAGAAGAATGAACTGCAGAGAGCGCATGCTTGCGGGAATTGGGGATCGTCAGAACCAAGCGAGCTATTCCTCCAGGTCAGACATCTACTTCAAATTGGGCAGTCTGGACCAACTCACACCGGAACCAGATTTATCACGACGTGCTCTGTTCCTTAGAAAAGAACCCCATTGCAGGAGTTGTCTCGCCCCCTGTAATCGGCAGCAGAGGTGTCGTTCCTCTGACCATTGTTGCACCATTACCGGACCTTTGCCGCCATCTAGCCAACTGCATTGTGCGAGCTGAACACGAGATTTTCCTGGGAACTAATTTCTGGGTCCACTCGGATGCAGCGACGTTGGTCACAAATGCGATTCGCGAGTTGTCCAAGAGAGCTAGAGAACAAGGCAGGAAGGTGATCATGAAGATGGTGTATGATCGTGGGGACCCCCGTCAGGTTTGTTGCTTGGTTAATCCTTGGTTTCAGTATCCGCGAGACTGATGGCTGCTCCCAGGTCTTGGAGAATCGGTTGACTGTCCATGAGGATCAATACACCGGCGAAAAAGTCAAACTTCCACATCCTAGCGAAATTCCAAACGTTGATCTTCAAGTGATCAACTTTCACCGACCTGTCTTTGGGACATTCCATTCCAAATTCACTGTGATTGATCGGAAGATAGCTCTGTTGCAAAGCAGCAATATCCAGGACAACGACAACCTTGAGATGCTATCTCATATTGAAGGTCCTATCGTCGATGGCTTCTATGACAGCGCATTGCTTTCATGGGGCAAGTCTCTCGATCCCCCATTGCCTTTGTTGAACACTCCCGCCGAGACTCTTCAAATACCTTTTTACGAGTCAAAGGAGACGACTTCAGTTTCTGAGGATGCGTCTCAGGGTCTGTCAGTCCTGCCTGAACATACCACAAAGGACGAGCATTACGACACCACCTACGAAAATGAAGCACAGCGAGTCAACAGCGGCATTATTCCTCGCGGGGAAGAGACTTCAACTCATGCTGTCACCCGTCATTTGAGTATGTTTCTGAATATGCTGCTTGTCTGTTCAATCCACTAACGTTGTCAACAGACACGACTATTCAACCTGATACAGTTGGTGATGCGCCAGACTCTGATCAAGACCCCAGGATGACTCCATACATTGTGCTGCCTCGTCACGATCTTGTACCCATGGCAGTAGTCAATCGGGAGCCCTATGGCGGTGAGTGGCTTGCTCTGCAATTGAACGAGGTGCGATCGCAATGAACGGCTAGCTGACTTTTTGAATGTGCAGCTCCAAATCACAGCAGCGTTCACACCCCTCAGAATGCCGCATGGCTCGCAGCTATCAAGAATGCAAAACGAACCATTTTCATTCAGACGCCCAACATGAATGCAGAGCCACTCCTGGAGCCTATGCTTGAGGCTATTCGCCGTGGTGTGACCATTACCGCCTATCTATGTCTTGGTTACAACGACGCTGGCGAGTTGCTGCCATTCCAGAACGGAACGAACGAGATGATTGCGAATAGACTCTACAGCTCACTCGAGTCTGAGGAAGAAAAGGCTCGGCTCCAGATTCACTACTATGTCGGCAAAGACCAAACTCGACCCATCCACAATTCATTCAAGAAGCGCAGCTGTCATATTAAGCTGATGATTGCTGACGAGCAGATAGCGATTCAGGGTAAGTCTAGACGTGCTTCTGAATGTCCCCCCTCACTAAAGGCTCTCTTCATAGGCAACGGCAATCTTGATACCCAATCCTTCTTCCACAGTCAAGAGATCAATGTCCTACTTGATTCACCACTGATCTGTAGGGAATGGCTGAGTGCGATCGAACGAAATCAGAATACCGCAAAGTATGGTGCTGCGAGTAGTAAGGATGGCTGTTGGCATGATTCGGAAACCGGTGAAATTCCTCCGGGGTCCGTAGGTACAGACCCGGGACGGTTCAGTTGGGCAAAGGGCGTCGTTGGTGCCGTAAAGCGGGTTCGGGGAGTAGGAGGATTCTAATGCGCAAATGAACTCTTGAGATGCTCGCCTTTTTTTTGTGACGGTGCCGATTATTTTTGTATTCGCTGGATTTGTTCACATACTATGCCCGATTTACGTTTCTCTTCGCTTCGCAGAATTAATCTCACTTATTCGACAATAAAAATATTTCGGGTTCGCACTTGTCCCCATTGAATCCCGTTCCTAGGAGAGTACATCACGGGAGCCGATCGCTTTCAAGGCGGCATTGATACCGTTAGCTATGTTACAGAGAAAAGCACCATTGGAAAAGTCGGTTGCCAAAATCACCTCCTTGCAAAACATCTTGGAATTCGGAAAGCCAAACACGACATACAATATGACGGGAGCCCGAGACTCGATAAACGCCCCACCGCGGACCTCGGCGGCATGAATTAATAAGCTGTTGATCTCGCCAGACAATTCCCAGTCCCAACGGTTTCCCCTCTTCCAAAATATATTTGCACACTTCCAAAGACTCGTTGCTACCATCGCCATGCCTTACCACGCTGCTGTTATGTACCCCAACGAGGACGATATCCACTTCGACCGCGACTACTACATGAAATCCCACATGCCCCTCGTTGAGAGCACCTGGAAGAAGCACGGATTGACCAGCTGGAACGTCATTGAATACACCAAGGCCATCGATGGCTCTCCGTCCAAATACCTGATCGCGGCCCAGCTGGTGTGGGAGAGCGAGGAGTCTATGCAGAATGCCCTGAAGGATGCGGACACCGCCAAAGTCTTTGGCGATATCCCCAACTTCACCAACAAGCAGCCCATTACATTGGCTGGCGTTGGTCTCTAAATTTGGATCCAAGCATGTCAATATGTATGTACAAACACCTATTGGGTGTGTTGATTTGAAATGCGGGGTACTGATTCCTGTGATTAGTTCTGTTATCATACATACTGCAGAATGGAGGAGCGTGATAACACAAGATTATGGTCTCATGAATCTCAATGACTGAAATCCATTATAAATCTAAGTAGCTCCAGTTCCAGGAGCACTAGCAACTTGGCGTTGATAAGGGGCCATTTGCCCCCGAGTCAGGTACCTGGAGATCCCCGCATCTGCAGGTCTTATCTCCCTCACGACTTTCGTACCTTTCTTCCCCTTTCACCCTTGCTCAACCCCTTCATCATGTCGCCTCCTCTCGTAGTTGATATCCACACCCATGTATACCCTCCAGCGTACATGGCGATGCTTCGTGCGCGTAAGACCGTACCTTACGTCCATGATCCCGCCGGCAGTGCAACGCCCCGTCTAATCATCTTGTCGTCCGACGACGACCCCTCCATTCCGATCAATGAGCGAGGCCGTCCAGTGGATTCATCCTACTACGATATCAATGTCAAGCTTGCATTTATGCAGCAGCATGGCATCGACTGCAGCGTGATCTCCCTTGCGAATCCATGGCTGGACTTCCTCGCCCCAAACGAGGCTCAAGAATGGGCGAAGCGAATCAACGATGATCTGGAGTCTACTTGTGCACAGGTAAACAAAGACACGTCTTCCTCGCAAAAGAAGATCTTCGCTTTTGGTACATTGCCATTAAGCGCCCCTACTCCAGAGGTGATCACCGACGAGATCAACAGAATCAAGACCCTTTCCCATATCCGCGGCGTGATTATGGGCACTTCTGGGCTAGGTAATGGTCTGGATGACCCTACTTTAGATCCAATTTGGGCCGCGCTCGAGGAAACGCAGCAGATGATGTTTCTACACCCGCACTACGGCCTGCCTGACGAGGCCTTCGGTGGCACCGAGACAACAAATCGTTACGGACATGTCCTTCCCCTAGCGCTGGGTTTCCCACTTGAGACAACCATTTCCGTAACTCGGATGCTGCTCTCCGGTGTCTTCGACCGCTTTCCCAAGCTGAGCATCCTGCTGGCTCACTCGGGTGGTACCCTCCCATTTTTGGCCGGGCGCATTGAGAGCTGCATCATGCATGAGCGGCATTTCGTCGCGAATGGTGGCTCTACGCCTGGTCCGCAGCGAAGTGTCTGGGATGTTTTGCAAACCAATATCTACCTTGACGCGGTGGTATATGGCACTGCCGGCCTGAAGGCGGCTGTCGCGGCTGCTGGGGGGAGTACGGATCGACTAATGTTTGGTAAGACGAAAATTGCCGCTTGAGTCCTTGATAATGCTCTAGATTGAACTAAGTCATTGATAGGTACCGATCATCCCTTCTTCCCTCCGCTGAATGCGGAGGATAAACAATGGGCCAGCGTCACGACGAACTACAAGGCCATTCAAGATTCATTCGGTGAAGACAAAGAATCCGTGGCTGCAGTCCTAGGTGGGAATGCCGCTCGTATTTTGAACCTAAACTAAGAAGGGCCGCCGAACTTCTGCCTGATCCCATTCTCTAGGTACTCAGAGATATTATATCACATACAGTCATAGCATACATAAACATAACTCAAAATCAAAACTCCAGGTTTTCGAACTTCAGAAAATGAACCTTCCGTGTATATAGATAGGAAAGGAAGAAAAATAGGCTCCTTCAACGGGAACGAAGAGTCGAACTCAACATGTCCCAACCAACCAGTCTCCATAGCTCCTGTGTAAACCACTCTGGAAACTCCGGCTGGTCCACATGACAAGCGTCACGGTTCTGAGGAGGCGGTGTCACGGGGCGTACCAATCCGTCCAGGAATAATGGGTCATCGGCGCCGAACACTGTCTGCAGCAAAGTCTTTTGTAGACGATTCTTCATTTTCCGAACAAATTGAGACTGTATCGACGAGTGAGAAGAATTCAGAGGAGAATCGGGGCCCAGGACGTTGTCTAGAAATATCATGAGGTATTTCGCTTCGAGTTGGATTTCTTGGGGCGACACGCCCTCCCGGATCATTGCTGCTAGTCCATCTGGGGGCCTAAGCTTTGGGCAGACGTCGGTTGGCAAATGCAGATTGCTGAACACGAAAAGGGCAAGCATCTTTCCAACTCTGTCAAGGGTAACGAAAAAGAAGCCCTCCATGACCTCTTGATCCTCTTGTCGACTTGGGTCAAGAGAAAGCATCATTGTGGATAGTAGATCAGTAAGATTCCCATATGCCTCTGTTTTGAGACTCATTCTTTGGCTCTGGTCGGGTGTTGTCTGTTCATGCACGGCGGTACAATGCTGAGTGAGGGCAGTCAGGGTAGACTCGAACAAGCACACCAGATAGTAGGTAATCTGGCCCATGCATTGACTTCCGTTCTTTGCACTCGATATGGTTTTGAGGGATCTGTGCACTAGATCAAAGGATACTTCCACGCCTCGAATGACGACGAGCAAGCCAGGCTCTCTCACTTTCTGGTTTGATGCGTGTCCGGTTCGAGGTGGCCCTTCATTATCCCGCTGAATAGCACTCAACAGCTCCCATTCGGCTGCCTTGCACAATACAACAGCATCAACTGCCAGAGAATTGGGACTGCGTCTTCTTTGCAGGGCGCGCTGGAGCGCGTACAATGGTCTCATAAGTGACGGCGCTGGCACTTGATTAACAACAGGAACGTTTTCAAGTATATCAATAGCCTCACTCACGTTCAATTTCGTCGTCCATCACCTCTGATTTATGCTTTGTAGGTCGGGTTCGCGATGTTTTCTTCCCTGCTTCTGAGCCATCTAGAGTGAGGCCGGTACCGCTAACCTTTCGCTTTGTCGAAGTTCGATTCTTGCTCTCGTGTCCTGGAAATTCTTTGTTCACTTTGGAAAGAAGAGTCTGGTTACGTTGCTCCAACTCGTAGATGGTGTTGAGGAGCTTTGTTTGCTCTTCTTGTGATTCCTCGTACGCCTTTTGCCAAAAGCAGACGCTGTCAAAGAATTTTCCGTCTGCGATGATGTCCGACTCTTTTCGTCTTTTAATGAAATTCCGGATCTTCAAAAGATGCTCTGAGTTGACTGTTAGAATGTCTATTTGCCGGGGTGAAACATGAGCTCGAGAATCGATTCTTACCCTTGACACCTTCTGTCGGAGGCTTCTGCTTGACGATTGCCAAGGCAAGGGCCAACTGTGACCTTCCTGGCTCAACAACGTCCGCACTTCTCATCGTTGACGCCATTGGGTGTTGTAGAGCAGTTGAGTAAAAGGTTGGGGAAGATGTCTCGATGCACACGTGCCTGTGATCGAGGTCAGCCTTGCCATTGTAGTTGCACCTCTTGAATTAACACATTTAACTCCACGATTGCACTCTGTGAAGAGCAATGAATATGGGTTACGTAAAAGTTTGGGGATTCTCCTAACTAACACTTCAACTCATGGTAAATCAACAAGAATCCTTATTGGGATTAGAACAATCGCGGCAATATTCCAATATAATCCTGGAAAGACACTTTTTCTCATCTTTTTTGTACGTTAAACACATCATACATCCGAAAACGTAGACGAGTAGAAAATAAGACAAATAAAATCTTAACTAAAAAGACCTTATCAAACCTTGCGACGGGGCCGAGTGAATGGAGTAGGCCACCAAAGCTCGGGCGGTGGCGCTCCAACTTTCCCCGATTCAGAATTTCCCCGAGCCTCGAACATCTTCCAACCTCTACGGAAGTCTCATCGTCTCGGCCAGGTGCTGCATCTGCGCTCCGTTCAAGATGTCTGAAGACCTCAAGGCGCATGCCGCCTCCAGCCAAGACTTCTACGCGCTGCTAGACCTCTCCTCAGCCGCCAGCGAGTCCGAAATCCGTCGCGCCTACCGACGAACGGCATTGAAGTACCACCCCGACAAAATCTCCAACCCTACACAGGCAGATTTCGAAAAGTTCCACCTCCTCCAGATCGCCAACGATGTGCTCTCCGACCCGTCGGTGCGGCAGCTCTACGACAATGCGCGCGAGGCGCGCTTGCGCAAGCAGCGCGAGCGGGACATGATGGATGCTGCGGAGCGGAAGATGCGCGAAGATTTAGAAGCTGGCGAGCGTGCTGCTGCAGCTTCGAGAGAGGGGGCCGCAGGGCATCAAACGACCGTGGTCGAGCACTGCGGACGATGCGGCGGAGGCAGAGCTGCAGCGAAAAATCGAGCAGATCCAGGAAGATGTGCGCCGCCGACGCGTCGCGATGCAGGAGAAGAGGCAGCGTGAGATGGACGAGGAGAATAAACAGGCGCAGAAGGTGGAAGAGGAAGCACAGCCAGTGGATCAGCCTGCTCAGCGAGTTGGCCGATCTCAAGAGGGCAGTGTCTCGGAGGAAGATCGGTCGATCAAGGTGCGCTGGGTTCGTGAAGGCCGTGGGCTTGATGTGGACGCAGACTGGCTGAAATCCCTGCTTGCGCCATTTGGAAAGGTCGAGAACACCGTCATGCTCAAGGATAAACGAGTGCGTATCGAGGGGAAGAAGGGCAAAGTCACCCTCGGCACTGGTCTCGTTGTTTTTGCCTCAATCGTCCATGCCCACGCAGCTGTACTGGACAGCAAGCAGAAGATCGGCCGGGCCGAGGGCGACTGGGCTCTTGTTGAGTCTGTCTCATGGGCATTTGGCAACGGGCCCGATCTGAAGTTCGCCACCAGCAACGACAAAACGACGGCATCCGAACAGCCATCATCCACAAACAAGTCGGCGCCGTCCACAACTCCATCATTCACCTTTCCCGGATCGAATCCGGTCCCGAAAGATGGCAAGGCCCCGACGTTCGGCTCGTTTGCTTCTGCTGCGGCTTCCATGAATGCTCCCAAGGCATCGTCGTTCAAACCAGCAGCTGGCAGTACGCCTAGCTTCGAGGAAGAGACGCTTATGCGTTTGAGAGCTGTGCAGCGTGAAAAGGAAGAGCGCAAAGCCCTTGAAGAACAGCTTGCGAGGGAGGACGAGGCTGCCGATGCTGCAGAGGCCAAGGCCAACGGCTCCTGAAGTATGACTTGAGCGTCTTTTTACATTTCCTATATTAGAGATACCCCAGCCCTTTGGGCACTGTTTAGCATGAATAGAAGGAGTTGTTTCACATGTACATGTACCATCATCTTCTATGCATTTGACCTAGTCGGAAAATGGTGGTTTTAGAATGGTGAGTGAATAAAGATACATATGCTATTTACTTTAAAGCCGTTATATATGGTACACCTCGGTATGAGGGCATAGTAAACTGATAGTCTACTCGGTCCGTCGCTGCGCCTCTTCCTCTTCCAACTGCTCAACGAACCCGCGTGCGCGTACACCGTCTGTGGCCTGCGGTGCGGGCTTGCGTGCTCCGCCAGTGGATATAAAGTCTCTCGTCCAAGACGGAACGAAGGCCTTCAATTTGACTTCCGCGGGCTGCTCAGTCTCCGTCGTCCACGAGACCTTGAACTCGGTCCCCGGTGTATACTGGGTTCCTTCGCTCGTAAGAGCAATGTCTGTCATAATTTCCAAGCGACACTGTGCCAGACCGATGTTTCCAATACCATTAAGGAACTTGCCGGCACTGCGGCCACGACGGCCGCCAGCCTTGTTGATATTTGATCCGCTGGGCGGCAAAGGCAGCTCAGCTGAGGGATCGTATGTAGGGCCGCTTTCCGAAGGTGGATCCTCAGTGTAAAGTTGCACAGGCAAGATGCGCTTGCGGACCACGCCGGTATGGTGCGTGCGGATTGTCAGCTCCTGGCCCACGTAGCAGCCCTTGCGGAAATCGATGCCCCGCGCCATGTCCATGTTGCATTCCATTGGCAGCGCCGACTCCCGGGTGATTTCAGTCTGGCCCTCTGCCACACCGTGGAGGAATCGGCGCACAGTGTATGAACCCAATTCCACCTCCGATCCAGCCACTTGTGATTCGTCGGGCAAATGGCTGCGCAGGTCTTCCTGGCCGGGAGTTATAATTCGAGATCCGAAGCCCGGGGCGCGGGAATCAATGCACCCCACAATACTCGAGGACGTGGAGAATGGTGACGCTGTATCGGTTTCCAAATTGTATGCAGCCCAGCGGGGCTCAGCGTGATTCTTCCAAGAGGACCATATGGTCCGCTCGCCGTCCTCGAGAGCGCGGAGCTTCAGCTTCGCGCGCAGCTTGTGCTTCTTGAGATGCTTCAGCAAGCTTGGCACCTCGTTCTTGTCCACTTCAACCAGCCATTCCCGTTCGAGGTCATTTCCATCGGAGTTCGGGAGAGGGTAGATGAAGGCGTCGTTCAACACTCGGCCCTGCGAATTGAGGAAGGCTGTGTACGAGCCCGTGTGTCGGATACTTTTGCTTGGGTCATTTGTGACCAGCATATTCTGGGTAATGAGGCCTTGGAGGAAGGTTGCGCTGTCTATGCCAGTGATGGAGATGAGGCCGCGGTTCGTGAGGCGGGCGTATCCGGTCTGTGGCGGGGCGAACGAATTTTGGCGCTGCTCTGCCTGGGGCGCTGTTGTAGAAAATAGTCTGCTGCGCGCTAGGCAGCGACTACAAACTGAAAGGCGAGGGCGCATCATGGTTGAGGGCGGGCGAAGAAACAACCAATGTGAGTCGGTGTATTTCTCTTCGCCGACGATGACGTTAGGCGGTGTGTAGTGGCAGAATATGAACTACGAGCTCTAGTTCGAACGGGACTACTTTGGCAAGGTGGATATACAGCGAATACATGCTTGGTTTCGATTATGTTCTAGAATAAACACGCTCGCCTTTCAGCTGACAGAATTGATGTCTGCCCGAAAGGAATGATGGCAAAATATCAATTATTTATTGCCTTTGGCAACTCCTTGCAAGTACCCAAGCAAAAACTCCTTGTTGCTAGGTGATGCAATGTGATTCGATGTGGGGGGATTCATGTCCCCTTCAAAGACAGCAGGGGTGCCATGGCGGGAAAGGGAGCCTCCACTGCTAGGCAAGTGGAAGGATGAGAGTGGGCTGACCAGGCCGGAAACAGTAGAAGGGTGCTGATTTGCAGACCGAGAATCGAGCTGAATGGCCGATGTGGGAGACGGAGATGCGGCCTTGCCAAATAGCGCGAGAAGTGCATCTTTTTGCGCCAAATTCTGACTGGGGCGACGATCAAATCTAGTTTCAGGCGCCAACTCCGACATGTTTGTCTGCAAGCCACCCAAACTTGGTTTGTTGCCCGTGATTTCCATCTTCGATGAATTCATCAGGAAATCCTCATATTCGACTTTCTCGGAGCGGCGGAGGATTTGGGGTTGGAATGGCTTCACGGGTTCAGGGGCCTCGGTTCGGGGAGCTCGAGCTTGAGGGTGAGGCTGAGACGGTACCTGGTGAACAGGTGCTCGGGGCACCGAAGTAGATGTATCTCGCTTGTCCGCCTGTGGCCTCGGCAAAATGGTAATAGGGGACGACAGCTGCTGTGGCTGAGAGGGTTCCCGCCGAGCTGAATTATTCCTTCTGTTTGACCCATTCGTCCCCTTCTTGGGTGACTGTTTGGACACTGGATCGAGCTGTGGCATACCCATAGGGCCAGAAACAGTGGCCGATGTCTGAGTCGGTCCAACTGCAGTCCTCAAGGCGTTGTTTCCGCGCTGCAAATTAGGATCAGGGCGTGGTGATGGCCGTTGAAGAATTTGCTTCTCGGCCGGCAGGGCAGATGATACCGGGTGTCCTCCCAGCTCTACCGGCATAGCACGCGGACCTTTGAATAAATCCAAAAGACCTTCTTGGTGCTGGGATGTCTTGCGAACCTGATGTTGCCCTTGCCCGGGGATGCTCAATGGGGTAGCATGAGGGCTCTTTGCGGTGTTCAATGCATTGCCTTTGAAGACATCAAGAAGCGCCTGAGACTGGCTAGTAAGCTTTGGCGGTGGCAACTTGCTCGCCGGTGGTACTCTAGCCCCTGAAACTTGAGATGGCTGAGTTGATTGAGAAAACTGAGGATCTCCGGTCGCCTGGAATGGAGCAACCTGCCTCGGCGGCGCAAAATGTGAAGGCGACGACTGAAGTGGATTGTTGTAGAAGTGGGGCCCGAGTGTTTGAGAAAATCGAGGTATAGCAGATCCAGAAAGCTCGTGTTGAACCATAGGGGGTAGCCTCTGACTAGAAACATGCTGGGCAGGGTTAATGGCAGGTCCTCCATTCGACTGCGGTTGTCCTTGAGGCAAAACTGTAGATGTTTGCTGCATGAAATTGGACGAGGTCATATGCTGCTGTTGCTGAGGGAATCCAGGGAAGAAATTCGGTGCCAAGTGAGCTGGTTGCGCAACAGATGGTGGGCCGGGATGTGTAGAATTTGAGAAAGGCAGGGCCTGGTTCTGAAGCTGAGGAACTACATCTTGCGAGCCACTCCTCAACAAGCCAAGTAGTGCGTCGGACTTGGTCTTGTCGACTGCGGGTGGCTGCACAGGCTGCTGGGTTTGCATGGCGACCGGCATAGCTCCAATATTCAGAAGCTGCTTGAGGTGAGAAGAAGCATCGGGGGTCGATGTCACTTCTGGAAGATCACTTGGAATAGCCACGTGCATGGTCGGGGTGCCGCCGGCTTGCTGTCCATTCTCATCCATCGAAGCGTAACCCTCAATTGGGTTTATGCCAACCTGGTTCTTAAGGGCCATCTTCTTCTGTTGCGAAATCCACTTCTTCAGAGGGTTCAAGAACGGAGCAACCATGTAGAATTTGTTGGCATTGGCAACCGCTAGTCCCTCGTCGTGCTGCTTACTCTTCTTCAACGTAGGAAGTTCCGAGAGCTTATACCACTCGATTTTGCTGATTTCCTTGCGGGTGCGAGGTTCAAAACAAGTATCCTTGGGCACACCTGGGAAGACGTAGAGTCGCATGTGCTGCTCTCTCATCGTAATCTCGATATACTTGACATTGTCGTCGTTCTTGACCAAGCCTGCCTCACGAACATCGAAGCCGGTTTCCTCATAAACTTCACGAATCGCACAATCCAAATCGGGTTCACCTTTGTTGATCTTGCCACGGGGAAAGCTCCAGTTGGCACCTTTCTTCCAGCCCTTGACCAGAACCACCTCGTCCATCTCTTGGTTCAGCATGATGGCACCACGAACGGGGACTCGGGTTTTGTAAGCCAGGAACTCAGAGAACGCAGTCATGTGGTGGTAATGGGACCATTGCGACATGAGAGGGCAATGCTGGAAGATGCGCAAGGCGAAAGCCTTAAGCGTCAAGGAAGGCAGGGCGGGGTCGAGCGGGCGAATGAAGTCTTCGTAGAACCATTGTGCTTCTTCTACTTGGAAGCAAATGCGCTCTACGGATTCGAGCTCTTCGCGAGGTAGGTTAATGATGAAGCGGACACATAGATCATCCAGCCCTGTTGCGGCCCAACGGCCTCAAGTCAGTCATGAAATATCAACTGTCACCAAGAACACGAACAGTCTTCTAGCTGCATCTTTGATTCGGTCATGTTGATCAACTAAGCTTAGCATCTCAGCACAGGCTGCCGAAATCAGGTGCTTGTTGGGCCGCGGATGCGACAGGACTCCACTGAGGGGGAGCGGGAACAGGTGGAAGGTTTAAAGGTGCACTGGCGTAGGTGGTAAGGAATAAGGCGAGAAGGTGCCAAGGTGGTAGGCACAACGAAGGACCAGTAGGAACGTGGGAGGGTGGAGAGGGAGAGAAGGTGCCAATCGGGGAGAGCTCCAAGATGAAGACAAGTTGGACCGAGTCACTCCACGATCGGCTTAGTCAGTCGTGGCGCATGGTGCGGGTGTGGCGGTGTGGCGGTGCACCGCCACGATCGACAGCCATTTTCAGGATTTAGCGCGCAAACAAAGCCCGCTCCATATGACGTGGAACCGACCCTTCGTTCACTTGTTTCGCATCTCCTCCCCTGAACCTATATTCTTTCTTTGCTCTTGTCAAGTGGGCGTTTCGTGAAACACTTAACGCCACCTAACCAGGGCTGCCCTGCTACTGTTCTATTTTCATCCCTTGCACCACTGTCCAAGGTATATCTTTCTCAGACCGTCCTAGGGGACTCCTCCCACTCTTTCTCCAACTATCGTGACATTTGCTCCGGTCGCTACAGCTCGCTACACTCAAAATGTCGCAAGCTCTGGTATCTCTGGTCGGCAAGCGCATGCTGGCCGAATCTGCCAGGAACCACTTTGGAACTGAGGTAAGCGGTCTAGAAAAGTATTGGGCATTGAGCTCTAATAGCTAACCAAAAGATTGCTATCTAGGACCCGTACTTCGAACAAGTACCAGCTTCACGCCTCGGCCGTGCCTTCGGCAAGAAAACAACCAAGCGTCGCAAGGCCGTTCCACCGGGGGTGTCAGAACACGATGCGAAAATCCTCACTCGAGTTAAGCGCAGAGCTTACCAACTCGATTACGCCCTTTTCAACTTGTGCGGTATCCGCTTTGGTTGGGGCAGTGTGATTGGTCTCGTCCCATTGTGAGTACTGCTTCTCCTTCAATTTGCTGATTCCCAAGCTAATAGGTCTGATCATAGCATTGGTGATGCCGGCGACGCTGCACTTGCCATGATGGTCGTGAGAAATTGTCAAGAGATCGAAGGTGGACTCCCATCGCACCTGCGCATGATGATGATGATCAATGTCCTCATCGACTTTGTGATTGGTCTTGTTCCCTTCATCGGCGACCTTGCGGATGCAGTGTACAAATGCAACACCAGAAACGCGGTCATTCTTGAGAAGCATCTTCGCGAGAAGGGTGCAAAGCTCGTCAAGAGACAGCCCAAACAACCATCAACACAAGGTCGCGTCCAGGAGATCCAGGAGGACACTGTCGATCACAGTCTTCCAGACGAGTGGGATAAGCAGGAAAGCGGTGTTGTCAGCAGTTCGCCTCCGGAATATCCGGAACACGCAGCATCAGGCGGCCGACAAGGAGATCCCACTGGGATCCAGCAACAGCCTCGGCCCAACCGTGGCTTTTCCAGATGGTTCGGAGGGGCTAGACATCCAGAGGAGGACTTGGAACGAGGCAGATGAGATATGGAGAAGTCGAGAGTATGATTTCAGATACCCCTTCCGGTTTGTTGATAACGGTTATGTGTTGTGCTTTGCAAATGCCCCAATTCTTTAGGACCAAATTTATCTCACATATTTCCATAGCTGTTTAATTAGGAACGAACTTCAGGACGAGACCTCGAGCATCCGTAGCAGAACCGAGAGCCTTGGCTTTCACCAAATTGACTGGAGACAGTAATTCCAGTGTTGCCTTTGACATTGCTCACAAGGCTCCCACACAGTGCGCATTCAGCGCAATCATCAGACCCGGCGGGCTGGAGCTTGTTTGCAGTTCTTGACACATTCGCAATGACACCGGGGTATTTCGCGCCCTGAGTCTCGACGTAGCGCATCATCAGCTCATCAATGGACAAGTTCTTCGTGAGCGTATTCTCCGAAATTGGCTGATCAGGGACGACAATATTTGCAAGCTCCGAGCAGACACTCGCAAATTGATGCAGTTCAGGCTTGTTGATATCACGGAGGGGGAACTCGAATTGCACACCCCATGGAGACATACCATCGGACACCTGCCAGGTCAGCGACGCACCGCGGCCCTTCGCAGCACCCGCGAGTGTTTTCGCTGCAAGGCGGGTGTCCGAGTCACCCCATAGAATAGTCTCGCAGCCAGCTTGCTTCGCGAACGCGACAACCAGCCTGGTCAGTAGGACATTGTCCAGGTCATCTTTGGACGTCGCAGTGGCAACACAGGCGCGGAAAGCAGCTAGGCGATCCTTATCCGACCGAGAGCTATCATCGGCAAACTGAGTCCCCGCGTATTCATTTATGAGGTCCTTCATTTCGGGGACGTATTCGAAGACACTGTGGAACGGCAGTCGAGTAAAGGCGTGCGTCGGAAACTTTCTTTGGAGTTCTTCAAAGTTTGAGTCATATGACAAGTTGCCTGGCGAGATAGTCGAGGGCTCGATGACAAGGACATGGAGCTGATAGGCTACTCGGCCATGTATATTGGCAATTTGACGCTGGAGTTGCCCGTCTAGGATATGCAAGAGGACCGAGGACGAGACGCCGAGAGACAAGGGTAGAAGCAGCTTCGATGGAACGTAATCCTTTTGCTTCTTCGGTGGCGCTTTATGGTGATCCATGCGCCGAAAGGTCTTGTGTGCAATAAATAATTTGAAACAATGACTGGAGGGGCATTAGCAAAGGCAAGTGGGAGTGGATTTGAGAGTGCATACCTGCACAGCGACCTCTTTCGGGTTGTTAGAACTGCTTCGGCATCTTTGCAGTCCATACAAGGACGAGTCAACTCCTTCGCCGGCATTTTGGGTGAATATTTGAAATATCGTTGGTTGGCGATCAAGTACAAGAGAAAAAAAGTGGCGGCCCCGAACGGCTTAGATAATGGCCCACGCGGCTTCCCCGGTTCTCAGGGCCACGCATTGAGAGCTTCGACGGTTCCGGAGCTTCGGCAGCTCGCTTCCTTTTCGCCTTTCTATCGCCCTTTCATGCGGTGTACCTTTTAATCGCATTGCCTTTGAGAACCCTGGAGCCTCTCCTGCTTCTGCGTCAACGTGATGAAGAGCTGGCTCCGGACGCTAGGCCTTACGGCCCTGCTAGCAGGCCATGTCCTTGCCAATGAGGTGGAAATAGTAAGTTTTCGTTCTCTTTATGAATCGCATCCCATGTGTGTATCTCCGTTGCAAAATCCTGACGTATGTCCCCTAGAAATCCGATGGAGCGCACAATCAACGATGCTCAGGGATGTACAGCCGCAAAGCTTGGGGAGGGAGCGTCGACCCCTTTATCTTGGTGAAGTTTACCAAGTCCAACGTACCAGCGGGCGACCCTCTCGCCAGCTTGATTATATTTGAATGGAACGACGAGGACTTGATTGGCGAGTACCGGAACAATGGCGATGAGGTATTTCCCTTTCGTCCAACAAGCCGCAGCCTTAGAGATGTCGCGACTGACAGGAACATCAGATCAAGGAAACCATCTGCGATGCAGCCAACGTCGATGCGAAGCTTTGCACAGAAGACCAGATTGGCGCCTTCCTCCTGACCAAGAACGCGACCGATGTTTCCCAGAACGCCATCCTCTCTACCGCTGTCCACCTCAACAACCCGGACGCCATCAAATACTCCGTCCGGAAGACCGGTTTTTACTGTGTCAGCACCTACCCATACTCCGGAGAGGATTACGGGGCTGTGGTGACTTTCCGTAACTCGTACGGCGAGCTTCCCGCTGCCCAAATTGCCAAACTTCCGTTCTACGGAGGCCTGACCATTGTTTATGCTGTCATTGGATGGTACGTACCGTTCGAACGCAAACCCCTTGTTGCTTTGTTGAAACAAGCGCTGACATTGACACAGCTTCTGGGCATTCCTCTACTTCCAAAACCGCTTCGATATCTGTAAGGCAGCAACTTTTTGCTATCCTACAGGACGCTAACAATCAGCAGTGCCTGTCCAAAACTACATCACTGCCATTGTCGTCTTCTTGGTTGTTGAGCAGCTGATGACATGGGGATTCTATGGTGCGCCCACGCAAACTCCCTTCCCCCTATCATATCTGACCAAACCCTTTACAGATTACCAAAACCGTCATGGACTGAATGGCATGGGCAAGGCATTAATGGTCATCGTTGCGATTCTCAATGCAGGCCGCAATGCTTTCTCTTTCTTCCTCCTGCTCATAGTGTGCATGGGCTATGGTGTTGTCAAGCCCTCCCTTGGTCGGACAATGGTCTACGTCCGCATCCTGGCCATTGCGCACTTCATCTTTGCGGTCGTCTACTCTATCGCCAGTCTTTCAATCACTCCGGACAGTGCCGGTCCCCTGGTGCTCCTAATTGTTCTTCCTCTCGCCGGAACCCTGACGGCCTTCTACGTGTGGACGCTGAACTCGCTCAATGCTACCATGAAGGATCTGATTGATCGGAAGCAGAAGACCAAGGCGCTCATGTATAAGAAGCTCTGGTGGTGCATCCTCGGCAGCATCATTGTGATTTTCGGCTTCTTCTTTATCAACTCGTTCGCCTTCGCTGGCCACAGCGACGCCAGCTTCGTGCCAGAGCACTGGAAGGCTCGGTGGTTTGTCCTTGATGGATGGCTCAATCTAGTTTACATGTTTGACATTATCTTTGTGGCTTACCTTTGGCGACCAACAGCCAACAACCGACGCTTCGCCATGAGTGATGAGGTAGGAGACGCATTTCCTCATTGGAATATCCTAGCTTTAGATGCTGACAATACTCACAGCTTGCTCAAGATGACGACGGCTTCGAGATCCGCTCCTTTGGCAGCGGTCTGGATGAGGAAGACCCCTTGGAGGCACCTCCAGAGTACCCCGGTAGCTCGAACCGCCGCGACCTGTCGCCCGTTCCTCCCAAGCCGGTGAACTCGGGCCAGCGTGAGCGCCCTTCTCTGGATGAGGAGACCATTTTCGCCGTGGGCGAGGATGGGGACAAGTGGTCCGACGACGACGAGTCTCCTCGCAACTCCAGCGAGAGACAAAGGCTTACCCAGTAAGGGATTTATCGAAGCACACGTTCGGCATAAAATGGGCCCGTTCAAATGGTCCCGGCAGGCGATTCATCTCATTAGTGAAGAATCGACTGATTTATTTGAGTTGAATGACGGCCTCGTATCTGTTCGAAGCTCAACTCGAGGATCACAAGCATGTCATGGCGTTGGTTTTCTTTTCTTATCTATGTGATGGTATTTTGGCTTGTACCTTGACCCTAAAGTATCTTCTAAATCGCGTGCCGCGCAACGACTGCGAGTTGTCCTAGCTACATTTGCAAATCACAATGAAATTTGATTTAAAAATACTCGGACTGCAAACCACCCTTAGTAGAACCAGCAATTCGAAGAGTGCTCAGGTGTGCTACCTCTTAAGTCGGGTTCGGCCAGGCCCCGCAGAAGCTGATCGAGGCCCGCGGACTTTGACTCATACAGAGCCTCGTCTCCGCCATATTTATTCCATTACTCTCTCGCGACAGATCTTCAAATTAATTTTGAAAAATATTGATTCTGCATACCGATTCAACCTCAGGAGTGTTCCCAACCTGATAAAACTGGCAGAATATACTTTACCGGGCAGGCACCACAGGATCCAGGAACCGGCACAAACACAAAAAAAGCACCAACCTGGCAAATTGAGCGCCCCAACTCACATGGACATGCAGTCTCCATCCAAATTAACGGAAAACCGCGTATGAATGCGCCCCCTCCCTCACTCGACCGGAGACTACAATGGCACACGACCCCAATCACCCCGCAACTGCCTCCCACCACGATGCAGCCACCGCCACGCCCCTAGTCCCAAGCACACAAGTCTCAGCAACCCTGCTCCAGCAATGCAGTTCACTCCTCTCCGAGATTGACGAGTTACAAACCCTGCTGAAAGGCTCGCTACGAAATCCGCAGCTGGTGGAGGTGCGCCAATTCCGGTCGAATGTGAACTCGGAATTGAAGATGCTGCAGAAGCTGGAGCAGCGCATGCAGAACAATATACCTGCGTCGGCAGATCAGACTGATCCCGAGCTTGAGAAACGACTGTTGCATGCGATGCGGTCGTCCAATTTGCCGTTCTACCAAGCAGTGTGGAACATTGCTAAGACGTCGTGCTCGGGCTTGGTGGCGTTGGGGAAACGGTTTTATTGGGAGGGTGAGGTCAAGTCGTGTGAGACGACACGCGATGCTGGCAAGAGGAAAAATGGTAGTGGGGGATGGGAGAAACAGCCGAACAAGGACAAGCGCAAGAGTGTGTTTGTGGATATTGTTGCCGGTGATGGGGAGGAGTGGGTGAAGGTGTCCACAATTTCGGAGAGCAGGTTGTTGTTTGATATGGCGAAGAAAGGATGGGAGCGAGATAGTGATGATGATTGTCTATCCGATGAAGTTGAAGAGCCGGTAAAACGGACTATTTTGCGGAACTTCGACGGCGAGGATGACGAAAATGATGATGACGATGAGCCAGAGCTTATCAAGTTGGCTCGGGACTTGAGGAAGGCCGCTGATGGTACGCGGGTCCGGTATAGACATCCTCGGCTACGAATCATTCTACCCAAGATCATGGAAGGAGATGTTCCTGAAATTGATGATATCCTCAAGGAAATGCGCAGCTATGGTATCAAGGTCGAGTGCCAGGGCGGCCTGTCCAATGTGAGCGCCACAAACCTGGCACACCTGCTGCCCCAGCCTTTCAAAAACTTTACTCCCACCCTCAATGTCGATTGCACCCTGCTTCTCGCCATGGTGTCTGATCTATCCCACGTCAAGGATATGCCCCCATCGCCGAGTTTCCATAGAGCTATCATTCGCCAGATAGAGGTCGAAAAGGAAAAACCGCTGCTTCCAACTGAGCTCTGGGCTGCCATGGGAGACCGCGAGCTGCTGAGCACCGAAGAGGCTGCCACGCGCATGCGTGAGATCGTCGACACCATTGGAACGAAGACGGAGCAGACTCGAATGAAGATCATGATGGGCCATGCTCCATATGACCAGTTAGACCGCGAGTCTCTCATCCAAAAATTCGCAGAAATGTCCGATTACCCTGTTCCAAAAGACTGGAAGATCCCACTCAAGATAGTTGAGGCACAATCGGTGATCGACGCTGCGAAAGCACAAGGGAAACTTCCTTCTGTGGCGGAAAAGGTTGCGGAAGGCTTGTCGGATATCAACCACAGCGTTTTCATGTATGGATGGGCAACTGGGATGACCACTATATCAAGCAATCGAACGATCGATAAACAGATCGAGATGACGATTGAGAATAGTCGCCAAGGCGATGATAACAGTGAAGGTCCCTTTGTCTGGATTTGCGACACAGCCCGAAGCTTAGTGGGGAAAGACAAAGATCGCCAATAATGAAAATGCGAGATTTGCCAATGCATGTAGCTAGATGTGCTCGTGTGAATTGCTAGTCATAGAAATCATAAAGAGTTGAAGACCGACGCGGCTCACTGTCTATTTATCAGACGGTCGAGGTGGCTCTTCGGGTTGCCAGAAGACTGTTTCCTTGTCGGCACTAGCGATCATATTGTATCGGGGGTTGTAATCGATGATGGCAGTCCGTCCTCGGTATGGTAACCTGCACATGGGGGGCAACATGTTATTTGCTTCCCGCTCCTGTTGCAGGTCCCACACCAAAACATCGGGTTCGTCTCCATTACCACCAATGACATAGCGTCCATCTGGCGTGAAAGATGCGTCACCCTGTCCCAAAGGCTTGCCCGTCGAGGACACTGGGGCAGCCCGGCCGGGGGATCCACCCTTCCCAGTCAAGAAGGCCTTCACAGTACCCTCAAAGGCATCCAGGATATAGTGTCCGTGGTAGTCTGTGCCAACCATCAAATACTTTCCATCGTTGGAGAACTCGAGTTTAGTCCAGGCGCGTCCTCGACTGGATGGTGTGTACAGTTCTTCAAAAGGAGCAAGGTCAAAGGTCGAGAACGGGGGCTTGTCGTAGTTGCGGACATCGTAGAGGAGGATGGAGGAAGTAGACTGTGAAGCAATGGCAATGACTGAAGCCGAAGGATCATACGCCACGAGGTACGGAGTCGCAAGTTTCAATTTGCCCTGGGGATTGCGGGAGCCGAGGTCCCAGAGCGTGATGGTGTCGTCCTTGGAGCATGAGATGAAGGAGTCGCTCCCTGGAGAGACTGCCAGGCAAGTGACTTTGTCTGTATGTCCCGTAAAATACCGTACGTATCCTTCATTATGGAGGTCAAGTAATCGCAAGGAATCTGTGCTGATCAGTCTCGCGTCTTGAATCGATCCGGGTTAATGGGACGTACGGTCTACTTTGGTACTGGCGTGCAGGACCTGGCGAGAGTGATGAGTGAATCTGGCCAGATGCACGCCATACTTCTTGCTGGGTACAGATTTGGTGAGCTTGCCCTCCTTGATATCGAAGACCTGGATCGTCTCGTCGTCGCCGGCGGCGACTAGATAGTCGCCCTGGTCGTCGAAGTCTAGGGAGGTCACGTAATTGGAATTGTCTGCCTTCGAGGCGCGGAAGGACTACCATCAGAAAGTAAGCATGTGGCCATTAAAAGTGTTTTGCGCGTTCTGTACCTTGCAGGGGCGATAACTGCGAATAATGTCCGGCAGCTTCTGGGGCAGTTGAGTAGCTTGGCCCGACGGCTGAGGGACCGGTGTTGACTGCTGGCCCTCTGCCATTATCGAGGTCCAATTGCACGCGAGTAGACGGTGGAGGGAGAAAGGATAGACGAAAGAAGGCCGACGACGCCCGTGTTTAAAGGTGAGCTTGCGTGCCTTCCCAATTCGGAGCTCCCCACGCGCCTTCTTTTTTCGCGTCGGCAAAAAGTGAATCCGCTTCACCGCCCCCGGTACTCGGAGTTCATCAGGCGCCATTGGCCAATCGCGGTCTCCGCGTTTCGGCCATGGCTAACCGCAGGTAAGCTTTTGATGAGCATCTCAGCCTTGACCATCTCACCCCGGACGCCGAACTTGGGGATCCGACCTTCTACCTTACGTGCCCTGTGCCCTCGGAAGCCTGTTGTTGGCTAGCAGAGCCCAGCGATTCTCACCTGCTATTTTGTAGCGACCTGCGCTTTCCCATTACCCTTTGCCGCCACTCCGATTGCTCTCCGATCCCCGAGGAATTTCCTCGGCTCTTCCATCCTCCTGCAAACCCAGCCTTCAGACCAGTCGCCATGTCTACAACAACTGGGTAGGACTTCCCTAGGCTCTGCGCATATATGAACGTCCTTGCGCTAACCGTGTCTCTTCTGCAATAGTGCGTTCATCGCCGGAGGCATCGCAGCATGCGGTGCTGTCACCGTCACCCACAGTTTCGAGACAGTCAAGATTCGGTGAGATCGGAATCCGTGTCGCTTAGCCGGGAATGTTATGCTGACATACCCTAAGGTTACAATTGCAGGGTGAATTGCAAGCGAAGGGTGACGTGACGAAGAAATACCGAGGCGTCTTACACGGCGTCAAGGTTATTCTGCAGAATGAAGGCCCCAAAGGCCTATTTCGAGGCATTGGTTCTGCCGTACGTTTCTAATTCCTACTGCGAGGACTGCTATCTAGACCCAAACTAATACGCGTGATTTTTAGTACATCTACCAGGTTCTGCTCAATGGTTGCCGTCTTGGATTCTACGAGCCGATCCGCTCTACCGTCACCAATGCCATTTACAGCGACCCAAAGATCCAGTCCCTTGGCGCCAACGTATTTGCCGGTGCCGCCTCCGGAGTTATCGGTGCCGCGGCAGGCTCGCCCTTCTTCCTAGTGAAGACACGCCTGCAATCTTACTCGCCTTTCCTCCCTGTCGGTACTCAGCACCATTACAAGAATTCGTTTGACGGCCTGAGCAAGATCTACAACAGTGAAGGTGTCAAAGGCGTGTACCGAGGTGTCGGCGCAGCTATGATTCGCACGAGTTTCGGCAGTGCTGTCCAGCTTCCTACATACTTCTTTGCTAAGCGCCGCCTGACCAAGCACCTTGGCATGCAAGAAGGACCTGCCCTGCACCTTGCCAGTAGTGCATGCTCTGGTTTCGTCGTATGCTGCTTCATGCACCCTCCTGGTATGATACTAAGCCCCAGACCAAGGGATGATGTTTGAGTTGCTAACCTACTATCTAGACACTATCATGGCTCGCATGTACAACCAGACTGGTAACCTGTACCAGGGCGTATTTGACTGCCTACTTAAGACCGTCCGCACCGAAGGATTCCTGGCTATCTATAAGGGTTTCTTTGCCCACCTGGCCAGAATCTTGCCCCACACCGTGAGTTTGATCTATATATACTACGATACTGAAAATGTGCTAATACCCTCTTAGATCTTGACTCTCAGCTTGGCCGAACAGACGAACAAGCTGATGCGCCGCGTCGAAGACCGGGTCCTGCCTGACTCATTCCGCGAAAAGCTTTAGATAGCGGGGTTAAAACACCTGAGCTGTATGCACCTGCATTTCCGCTGATGTCTGCCATCTCATTGCATCTCAAGGCTACCATTTTTCATTCTGCGGTTTCTTACTTACATGTGCCGAGCTGCGAGCCCTGGCATCAGACTTCTTGTGATACCGGTTTTGGATATAGATTTGGCGTTCTCGGGGATTGTTGGCCCCGTTATTTTAGATGCGTTTGTGTACATACGTCCTGGATCCTCGCTGTCGGTCGGTGCCTTTCCAAGGTTACAGCTGCGGGAGGGTACTCGGCAATAGACGAAGCTACAGATCATGTTAAAAAAATATGTTACGAGAGTCGTAATCTCGCGGGAACAAGGAGGCGTTCAAGGCTGTAGAACATTTTCGATATCAACTTTAAGTGTTTTTATGCGATACTCAAAAAGTGGAAGCTACTCAGCAGATCCATATCGTATCTATACACTATTTGTATTCTATTAGTTTCTTCTAGTGATATTTAGACCCTCTCTGCAGCCTGCAGGTATCCAAGAACTTTGCCAACCAAGAACTTCCGCGGCTCAGCCTGATCATCGTTACTCAGGGCGTGAGAAGCATTTGGGATAACAGCACTGTGATCATCATCCCAGATTTGGGACCCTTCCTGGTTCGTGGCCATTTTCCACTTTGCCAACAAGCCCTCCTTATCAACCCAATCAGGAACTGCCTGGTCAGCACCAGAGAACAGGACCATCAACTTGTGTCTCAGCAGACCCCCTTGCTTAATCAACCCAAAGGTCTTGCTCAGCTGCTCATCACCCAGGTCGTGGCTGAACAGGTCATCCTCCCCGGGTGATTGGGGACTCTCGGGGCTGACAAGGCTCAAGAATCTCCGCGCACTAATCGGAGTATTGGACGGATAGCAAATAGTCGATGTCATCCACAAAGGCAGCAAGGTATCGTATTTTGATTCCTTCTGAGCAGCTTCCTTGGCCAACGCGAGCGCCTGGTCATAAATTGGCCGGATCTCTTCTGGCGACTTACCAGCCCAACCCCACTTCAAGACCCACTGAATCGCCTCCCTGTCAGAGACTGGCGCCTGCATGATGGCGCCATCAAGTGCCGGTCGCTCAACATGTTGAAGCGCAGAATCAAAGGATGCCGTGGCTGTGTGGGGGTTCGGACGAGAGAGGTAGTGCACCACGCATTGACTTCCGGTCGAATGGCCCATGAGGACGACTTTTCCATTTCCGAACTTGTCTCCCTTGTAATCTTTGATATATCGAATACATTGTGCGATCTCATCGGTGTCCCGGTCGAGGTGACCCAGACCCCATGATTGGTAGGAGGATGTGAGGTTCAGGGTGAAAAGCGACCATTCTGTTGACTGCAGGGCGCGGGCAAGGTCTGCCATGTAGGACGTCGTCGCGAGGCCATCGCCTAAGCCGCCGACGAAAACAAGGCTGTGAGGTTGACTAACAGTGCTGGAGGTGTATTCGAATGTGACAAGGGTTTCGGTCTAGTCGCGTCGATTGTTAGTTTCCCCGCACCAATTAAGTCCTCCACGGAAGACAAAAACGTACGTAATGATGCAGGATACCGGGGAGTCCTCCCTTAGGCCAGAACTTGGAGTACATGTTGGGATAGTTGGAGTGATGACGGGAGATTCTTTAGGGAATAGTCAAGGAAGCGAGGGGGCATTCCTGTCAGGCATTGGCTTATGTACAAAGTGGCTAAGGGCCAAGCTAAACAACCAATGGAAAGTCCGTAATCGGGCCCATAGGCCTTTCATTGCTTTTCTGCACGGCAGTGCGAGTCCGTCCGTCGGGACGGGGTTACGTTTTGACGTGGGCTACGATAATGTGGTCCGGGTGTGATGAAACCGAACTGGCACGACCCATCGGGCAAACCGTGGAACTGGAAACGAGGCCAATGTTCAAAAACATCATGCCGTTTTGCCCAAGACGTACCGGTGGAGCTGAATATGATCCAGCCCGAAAAAATTCTCGGCAGTGTTACGTTACGGTTGGGTGGGCAGCAGGCGTTGCGATAGGCGGATCTGATTAGATGTTTGGTGGCTGTACATGTTCCGAGGCGGGAATCTGATTAGATGAGCCGTCCGTGTGAAAAATCTGATTAGATTACCCGCGAACGTCTCAGGAAAATACTTCTTCGCGTAACACCCACAACACTACAGCATATGTCAGAAATAGTGACCACATGGAAGCGGCTATGGAATACGTCGATCTCTCAGGGTTCTAATCAGCCTTGCAGCTCTCATTATTTGCTGTCGATCTATCCCTATGCACGTCACTACGTATCGGTGGACAACCAAAACAAAATCAACCTGCTTGCTGTTCCGACCTCATCCGGCCCTGTAAACCTTGGCAGCCACAAGCGGGGCCGGCCACAAGCGGGGCCGGCCATATTGTACGATCTCGCTTAGACTCGCATTTCATCACACGCAATCTCCCATCACCGCAAGGTCCTGCAGTGGGTTATTGATTGGACTAAGCCACTCGTAAGGTCGGCACTTACTGCCTATTGGAGATGCTGATCCATTTCTAGTTTTGGTTGTGGAGGTCTCGGCTGACAGACCTGGTCACTCTCCGGAGATCTAGCGCAATGTCGCCAACGCCTGGGTCAAATCCGAAACATTGGGCGGGCCTTCCAAAGAAACACGAAACGTGAATTTCACCGTCAGAGTACTGTGGTAATTACCGTACATGTAATAGCCCAAACAGGAACCCCAACTGCCGATCTCGGCTTAAACTATACCACTGGCCATGTAATTCCTGTCGCCTCGCGGTAAGCCCACCTGTGGGGATTTAATTTTGGCTATATAACGTAAACCCTACCTCGTAAGCTAGGTAGCTCTAGCTCGTGCAACGCCACATTGAATCCCACGGTAATCCAACCTTCCCTCTCGATATCGAAGCGCGCCAGATCCCCAGCCGGGCCGTGGTCAGGATGGGATTCATATCTGCTGAGAGCGTGAATGGCATTACCGAGAGCAATGTCTCTCTGGTCAATCCTACCAAGGCGGATCGCGACGGATTTCGGTCTTTCGAAGTCGCAGGTTTCGCTTCTGAGACGCCCACATCGACGGGCATGAGAGAGGTGATTGTGCTGGCATCCTGGCTCCTCGTTCTTTTGCGCATCCAGGAAGACGGGCGCGTTTCCTTCGACTGGACTTATAAAGGTCAAGAAGATGGAGTTAAGCTGGAGCCAGTGAACAGTCTGTTCTCAGATCAAGTAATGCCAAATCTACAAAGTAATATCAGAGACGTTGCGACCGCAATTTCCCGCCAGATTGAAAAGGTCACATCGAGACCGCGTTCTCCTTCCTCGCTCATCTTGAGCACCAGCTCTCTGTCGCAGACATCTGAGCCCAAGGACGAAGTGAGTATATTGTCCCTCTGCCCACCCATTCGACCCTACAAATACCTGACAGTAGATGAAAGGGCGTTCTGCATCTCGAAATTTGCTTCAATCAAGACCGTCTCAAAATTCGACCAGTATGGCAGAGCAACAATATTTTGCCTTATACAGTAAGGCGCCACATCGAAACACTGGTCGATACTGTCAAGGCCTATATTTCGAACTCCGATGCCCCCGTCGAAGACAGTATTCGCCCGAGCGAACATGATTTGGACCATCTCTGGGGCCTGAATTACGAATTACCTCCATACCATGACTTTTGTATGCACGAAGTGTTTTCAGGAGTGGCACAAAAATTTCCCGAGAAAGAGGCCATTTCATCGTGGGATGGCAGCTTGACCTACGGCCAAATCAACCGCTACTCTTCATTCTTAGCAAAATCACTTCAAGATTCGGGTGTCGCACTGCGTGACTTTATCCCGGTGTGCTTCGAGAAATCACGATGGACGATTGTTGCCGTGCTTGCGGTGATGAAAGCAGGAGGAACCCTCGTCATGATGGACCCGACGCTCCCGCTGGCGCGTCTCCAGAATATGGCAAAGCAAGTCGGCTCGAAGACAATGCTATCATCTCGCATGCAATATGATCTTTCGATGGAGATTTTGCCAAAAGGAAAGCATTTCGTTGTAGAGGAAGACGCATACGCGCACCTCTCAACCTCGGAAGCTCTGCCTGAACTCCCAACTGTCCCGTCAACTACGTTGATGTACCTTATCTTCACATCTGGCAGCACGGGTAATCCCAAGGGAGTCAAGATCTCCCACGGAACTTATACGAGCAGTGCCTTCCCTCGAGCAAAGGCAGTTGGATATAATGAGAACTCCCGCGTCCTCGATTTTGCGTCCTACGCTTTCGACGTTAGCATTGACAGCATGCTTTTGACTTTGGCTAACGGTGGCTGTCTGTGTATTCCTTCCGACGAAGACCGACTCAACGACATCAATGAAGTGATTCGCAAAATGAAGATCAACTATGCTGGCATCACCCCTTCGGTAGCCCGTATCCTGGAGCCGGATGTTATTTCATCCCTCGAAGGCCTTGGTCTTGGAGGTGAAGCGGCCTCGGCAAGAGACGTTACGATCTGGGGCCAGGACACTAGAATTATCATTGGCTATGGTCCTTGCGAGTGCACTATCGGATGCAATGTCAACAGTAGCGCTGCTACTGGAAGAAACTATGTCTCTATTGGTGAAGGCAACGGTGCCTCCATCTGGATTGTCGATCCCAATGACCACGAACGACTTATGCCAGTTGGTGCTGTTGGCGAATTGCTTGTTGAGGGCCCCATTGTCGGACAGGGGTACCTGAACGACCCTGAGAAGACCGCTGCGGCCTTCATCGAAGACCCATCATGGCTTGTTGCAGGCCACAAGGGCTACCCTGGTCGCCGGGGCCGTCTCTACAAAACCGGTGACCTTGGAAAATATGATCCTGATGGTTCAGCAGGCATTGTGTTTGCTGGCAGAAAAGATACCCAAGTCAAGCTTCGTGGACAACGCGTTGAGCTGGGCGAAATCGAGAGCCAGCTTCAGGGCCGACTGCCATCTGGTATCACCGTGATCGCAGAGGTAATTTCGCCTCAGGGGTGTGGAGGGCAGGCTACATTGGTGGCGTTTGTTGCATCTCAGTCTATGAAGGAAGATGTAAATACGGAACTTGTTTCTGTCCCAATGGATGAGCTCCGTGACACACTATCCGAGGCCGACGCAGAAATTGCCAAAGTTTTGCCGCGATACATGGTTCCCGCCGCGTATATTCCAGTGAATTATATGCCGACTCTCATTTCAGGCAAGACCGATCGCAAGCGCCTTCGGCAACTCGGAACTACCGTTGATCTGCGACAGTTGGATCAAGGGACGACAAACGATACTTCCCGGCCACTGAACGAACTTGAGCTGCGACTGCGACAGGCCTGGAGTGAGATATTGAAAATTGACCCCGAGTCAATTCGCCCCGAAGGCAACTTCTTCGCCCTCGGCGGTGACTCCTTGGGAGCAATGAAACTGGTGTCTGTCTGCAGAGCTCAAGGGCTTGATCTCTCCGTCACCGGCACCTTTGGAAATCCCACACTCTCGGCGATGGCTGAAGTTGTTCGCACTATTGATTCAGAGGCACCGACCGAGACAGCAGCATTCTCCATGATTTCTCAGTCCGTTAAGAGCGCCTGTCTCGAAGCTTCGCAAATTTGTGGAGCGGACCCGTCAGCCGTCGAAGATATATATCCTTGCACGCCTACGCAGGAGTCTCTGTTTACCTTTTCGCTCAAGTCCGTTCAAGGCTACGTTGCCCAGCGGATTTCCCTTATTCCATCGCATATCAACATCGACGCCTGGAAAAAGGCATGGGCGGATGTCGTTGCGGCAAGCCCTATATTGCGCACTCGCGTGGCTCAGCTTCAAGAACCAGGTCTCCAGCAAGTGGTCTTGAAGGAGTCTATCTCTTGGAGACATTCCTCTGATTTGGCCCAGTACTTAGAAAACGACCGCAATGAAAAGATGCATCTTGGCGAGAGCCTCGCTCGTTACGCAATTGTCAATGATTTAACTGACGGCAAGCAATACATGGTCTGGACCATTCACCACGTTGTTTATGACGGATGGTCGGAGCCATTGATCCTTGAAAAGGTCCAAAACTCATTGAATGGTCAGACCATCGAGACGCAGACACAGATGAGAGACTTTGTCAAGTTTTTCCGTGACACGGACGAAGTCGCCATGCAAGAGTTCTGGCGTCGAGAGTTGAAGGGTGCCGTTGGACCTCAGTTCCCTCGCCTGCCGTACCGAGACTACTTGCCAACCCCAAGTGGATTTGCTGAGCATCATATTCCATTCGAGATGGCTGCTGTATCTCCCTTTACTCTGGCCACATTGATCAGAGGTGCATGGGCCCTTGTGGCATCTCAATACATCGGAAGCGACGATGTTGTCTTTGGCGAAACACTTACAGGTCGTGACGTCCAGCTGCCTGGTGTTGAGAATGTCCTCGGCCCGCTGAATGCAACCATCCCTATTCGTATCCATGTCAATCGAAAGAGCTCCGTTAAGTCCTACCTCCAGAGCGTGCAACAGACCATCTTGGCTCGCACGCCTTACCAACACATGGGAATGCAGTTCATTCGAAAGGTCAGCCGAGATGCTCAGCACGCATGTGAGGCAGGTACGGGCTTGGTTATCCAACCTGAACCAGAGTATGAGGTCAGCGAGCTTGGTTTCCAGCAGGGAGATCCTGCGCGCGAGGCTCTCCATTTCAATCCATACCCTCTCATGCTGGCATGCGGGATCCGGAAGGGAGGTTTCAGAGTCTGTGCAAGCTTTGACACTGGCTTGATCAAAGAGCCTCAGATGAAGCGCATCCTTGTTCAGTTGGAGATGGCTCTCCTGCAGTTAAACAAGGACATGGCTAGAGGAATTGACCAGATATCCTGTCTACCGGAGGTGGAGCTGAATCAGATTTGGCGATTGAACGAGCTCCCGCCTTTGTCTCTAGATGAAGTATCCGGAAAGCTTCGTGCTAACGCGACCACCAAGCAGGGTTCAATATATCCTAAGGCAATGGTGCCTTGGGTGTGTGATCCACGGAATCCCGGATTGCTGTTACCCATCGGTTGTGCCGGTGAGCTTTGGCTTGAAAGTGCTCAAAGGCATTTGGGTGAGACTATTGAGTCTCCCATTTGGCTTGCATCCGGAAGCTCCGAAGTTGCTGGCCGCTTTGGAAAAGTCCAATCGACAGGCGATATTGTTCAGTTGCAAGAAGACGGCAGTCTGATATTCCTCGGCCGTAAGGAGAACATTGTCCCCGTTCAAGGACATGCAGTGGATATGACAGAATTTGAAAAACAGTTTGCACGACACCTCCCGGCATCTACTCGTGCTGCTGCTACCATTTCCAAGTTCTCGTCCGACCCAGAACTGATTATCTTCATTGAGAAACAATATTCCAAGGAAGAGAGTGTTCATGTCATGTCGGCCGATCAAGATATTTCTGACGAGTCAGACTCCCACCAAAGCTTCGAAGCAACTATCTGCTCAGCCATTCCTATTAGTCTTGCAACGGCTATCAAGAAGCTCGACAAGTTTATTCACGACGATCTTCCTTCTCACATGGTCCCTTCTGCATACGTTGTGGTTGCGGAGATGCCAACTTCAAAGGGACAGATTGACCACAACCAGTTGAGTCAGATTGCCTCCAAAGTTCCCCAGAGGCTTCTCGGGGAGCTTAGGGAGGGCTTCAAAGATGCATGGAAGAAGATCTCTACACAGGCTAGCTTATCTGCTTCGGAAAGCATTCTCCAAGCTGCTTGGGCCAAGATCCTTGGACTCGGCCTTGATCAAATTGATGTCGATGACAACTTTTTCCGACTGGGTGGTGACTCTGTTCTCGCAATGAAGCTCGCCTCCACTCTCCGATCACAGGGACACACCTTGTCAGTCGCCGATATTTTCCAGCACATGCGCCTGGGTGATGCAGCACGGGTTTTGAAGGTCGGTCAAACGGCTGCGGCAAAGACCGAAACTTACAAGCCATTATCCACTCTGGGCTCACTCAACAAAGAGCAATTTTTGTCCGAGATTGTTGTGCCAAAGCTTGGAAATCCGTCCTGGTCTATTCAAGATGTGTGTCTGGCGACAGATTCTCAGGCCGTCGATGTCAAAGGAACCATCCAGGCACCCCGTTCGGCCGTGCAATACACGATATTGTACTTCAACAAGGGCATCTATCGCAAGCAGCTGCTCCGTGCATGTAGCGATCTCGTCAAAACTCACGATATTCTGCGCACCGTATTTATCGAGGACGACTCGACCTTCTTTCAAGTTGTCTTGAGTGATTTAGATGTTCCCGTGGCCATGCATACCGCGGACAAGGATCTCGAACAGTTCGTCACCGAGCTCTGCGCAAAGGAGACAGAATCAGACTTCCGTCTCGGATCACCTTTCCTCAAAATGCACCATATCGAGGACGAGAATGACCGGGAATGTCTTGTTTTGGGTCTATCTCACGCTCAGTACGACGGAATGTCTCTTCCCAGGTTGTTGCAGGACCTAGAGACCCTGTACACTGGAGGAAAGGTTGCCGACTTCGAACCTTTCTCCTCATACGTGGCTTGGGCTGCCGACGAAAGCGTCCAGACCAAAGCAGTCACTTACTGGCGCAATCTCCTGGATGGCTCATCTCTGTCAGTTCTCCCGGGAACAACAACTCAACCTGGGGACAAGGGAACATTCCAGACAAAGGTTGTCGACAACTTCCGGCCCCTGGAAGAAATCACCATCGCAAATATTCTCTCCGCGGCATGGGCACTCCTCCTGGCTCGCCGTCTCCAGAAGCCGGATGTGACATTCGGCAGCGTCACTTCAGGCCGCATGTCCAATCTTCCAAATGCGGAGAATATCATGGGTCCATGCTACCAGCTGACTCCGATCCGAGTTCCCTTCCAGAGCCAGTGGAGAGGCATTGATCTCTTGAAATTTGTCCAGAAACAGAGCGCCCAATCTGCTTCTTATGACTTCCTCGGTTTCAAGAAGATTTCCAGCCAGTGCACACAGTGGCCGTCAGAGGCGGCCTACTTCGACTCTCTTGTTCACCACCAGGACTGGGATGATTTCGATACCATGTGTTTTGCTGGTGGATCCTGCAAGGTGGATATTTCGAGCCCGCATGGTGACTCTCCGTATCCCTTCAAGGTTGTTTCTTTCGTCAAGGATGAGAAGATGCATGTTGGTGTTGTTGGAAGTGAAAGAGACTCGGCTTTCGCGGGCTCCGTTCTTGATGAGCTAGCTGCCATTGTTGAGGAGCTTTCGACGTACCATGGAGGTACTTTGTTGAGCGGCCAGTTCTTTTAAATGGTGAAATGAGCGAGTTAGCTTCTACATACCTCAACGAGAAGTTGGGGAGGAAAGGGGCTTCCTTGCCATCCTACTTAGCTAGTGCGACATGTTTTCAGTTATAGATTATTTTGATATTACTATTCATATTGATACCTATTTGCTCTTCAGTCACGTTTCAGATTTTTTTTATCTACTTAGATACCTTTTCCTGCTGAGATAGCCCCAGCAGCTATGTTTTGATGTGTGGAAAACATGGGCTTCGCGACATCTGCATTCAAAGATTAAAATCGGACCCAAGTTTCAAAAACGCACTACTATGTGTATAGGTTTGAACAGTGTCAAAATGGGAATCTAATTTTGAATTAAATATGGATATAAAGCCAAAAATAAAAATCTATAAACAATTTTTATCAGGTCGCCACCGTCTGGTGCATGACATTTGCGCGATAGCTATCGGACCTGTCTAACAACTCTTCGTGGGAACCTGAATCGACACACTTGCCAGCTTCGATCAAGAAGATGGTGTCCGCCTTTCTGATGGTATGCAAGCGATGAGCAATAGCGACGACCGTAATGCCACGAGCAGCCTTCTCAAGACCATCCTGCAACAACTTCTCTGACTCGGCGTCCAGAGCACTAGTTGACTCGTCGAGAATCAAGAGCTTGGGCTGCCGAACAAGTGCCCGAGCAATCGACAAACGTTGCTTCTGACCTCCAGAGAACTGGCTTCCATTAGGACCGCACATAGTGTCGTAGCCATCAGGCAATCCGGCAATGACATCGTGGATGTTGGCAAGCTTGCAGGCCTCTTCGATCTCCTCCTGGCTCGCTTCGTGGCCTGGCTTAGCCCCGAGGCCGATGTTGAACCTCACGCTTCCCTCAAAGAGAACACTCTCTTGGGGCACCAAGGCGATCGAGTCACGGAAGGCCACGTCGCGGTGCTTCGTGACATCGACACCATCGATGATGATCGAGCCGCTCTCTGGTTTGTATAGGCGCTCGACGAGGGAGATGATTGTCGATTTACCAGCGCCACTGGGGCCAACAAGGGCGCAGAACTTTCCTGGCTTGATATCAAGGGTCAATCCGGTCAACACCTTAATATCAGGGCGAGCAGGGTATGAGAATTGGACATCACGGAACTGGACGCTAGACGCAGTGTTGCCGGACAAAGCGGGCTTGGGCTCGCTGGTGGCCTCGACATCTTTCTCTGCCGAGGACCCCTTGAATGAGCGACTAGTGACATGGCCGTGCATTCCATCGGATCCAATTTCGATCAAACCCAAGATTCTGGCCATTGCGTTTCTGGCACTGGAGAGCTCAGGCGCCAGGGCAAACATTTGACTCCACAGAAGCGCACTGACAAGAAGGGAGAACACCACAATCAGGAATTGAGTCTGAGTATAGCTGCCGTTTATGATCTGCTTGGCTCCCCACCAGTACGCCAGTGCGTTCACACAGTTACCCAGGAAATAGGTGATAGCCTGCCAGAGACTTGCTTGCACAGTGACTTTCAGCGTCTCCTGGCGAGGGCCCTTCAAGGATCGCCGGTAGGTGATGAGGGTCTCCTCTTCCAACGACAGCGATGCAATCGTTTTGATAGACTTGATCGCTTCAGTGCCAATGTCCACGGACTTGGTGTATGCTGTTTCGTGCTTTTCCTCAAACTTTCCGAGAACCATGAGCTCCATCAAACCAGCTCCAAGGAGCAGCGGGACTAGAGACAAGCAAACCAAGGCAATCTTCCAAGCAATAATATGTGTCAAGATAATCGCGGCGATGAGGTTGACGCTAATAGAGAACAGCGAGCCAATGATAGATCCACTCAGCCCAGCAAGAGCATTACCATCACGGGTGATGTAAGAAAGAAGTAGAGCCGGAGTCCGGTTCTTCGACTGATGCCACTGAAGATCCTGCTCAAACAGCGCACGGAAGGACAGAACTCGAGCCGAGTACACGACCTTCTCAGAGACCCAGCCAAATCCAGCCCAGCTGGCGATATTGGCAAAGAATTCGATGATTGCGAGAACAAAGAACATCAAACCAAAAAAGTCACCACGGCTGCGAATGCTAGCGGCGCCCTTGCAGGGATTCAAACTTCCAACAGTGTTTCCGAAAATCACGGCTTCTCCAGAGAATGCACCTCCGACGATAGCTGCACCGAGTAGCGCGAGGAAAACCATGACCAGGTGTGGGCGCAGAGCTGGTGCATATCCCTTTGCAAGTGCCCACAGAGACTTCTTGGGGGTTTCGGGTTCATCTTCCTCTTCGGGGGTTTCCTCGGAAGCAGGGTGTTCGGTTGTGGAGATTTGGGTTTCTTCGGCCTTTCCAAGGTTGTTGTCGTTAGAAAAGCTGGCCTTCTCCATGTCGGTATCAGTCAGAGAGGCCTGGTCAGACTTGGTGATGCTGTCTTTGCTGGACGCGGTATCATTCTTTCCAGGCGCAGATCCAAGAGTTTGCAACTTGACCAGGTCGGCGTATGAGCCGTCTTTGGCCATCAATGTAGAATGATCTCCCTGCTCCAGGATGTTGCCCTTGTGCATGACAACGATGTTATCCGCGTTCGTGATGGTCGATAGACGATGAGCAATGGTGACGACAGTACGTCCACTTGTGATGTTGTTGATAGCCTTTTGAATACGCTGTTCACTTCGAGAATCCAGAGAAGCAGTGGCCTCATCCAGAATGAGAACCGCGGGATCTTTCACAAGAGCACGAGCAAGCGACACACGCTGCTTCTGGCCACCGCTGATCAAACGTCCACTCGAGCCAACGCTCGTACCATATCCATGCTGCAGCTTAACGATGAATCCGTCGGCATCTGCGAGTCTGGCAGCATGTTGAACCAGATTGACAATTTCGAGCATAATCGGACCACGGGCTTCCGCCGCAGCCATAAGATCCTTGCCTTCTGTCAGTTCTCTCGCCAATTCCTCGAGTTCAGTACCCAGGAGGGTCTCCTTCAGATGTGCGTGACTAGCCTTGCTCGAGTTGATCAAACCATGGGCAATGTTCTCCAGCAGTGAACGGTCAAGCAAAGAAGGCTCTTGCTGCACAAGACTGAGGAAGCCTCTCAAGTCACGGACGTTGATATCACGGAGCTCACGCCCATCAAAAGTAATCTGACCATCTGTCGGATCGTACAGTCTCGTGACCAGACTAGCAACTGTTGACTTGCCACTTCCAGAAAGACCAACAAGAGCAGTATGCTTCTTGGCGGGCAGGCTCAAATTGATCTTATCCAGAACGGTAATTTCCGGTCTCGAGGCATAAGCGAACGAAACATTATGGAACTCAAAGCCACCCTCTGCTTCTGTGAGGCGAAGACCAGATGTAGTGGTACCATCAATCAGGGACTCCCGATCGAGATCTTCGCGCAATTTATCGTAGGAGGCAGTAGCTTGCATAAATAAATGGATAAACGGTGCGACTTGACTCAATGTCAAAGTGGCTGTCGTTGTGTTAGTGGAAGTATGGGATTTAAAGAGCTCAGCCAGACATACCTTCAATCAAAACGAAGATGACAGTGAACACAGCACCAACAGTGACACCAGCTGTACCATTTTGCACGGCATCGGCTACCTTCTGACTTCCCTGCCAGAATGCCAGACCGTTTGCTCCATAAGCGATGAAGTATAGGATACCAGATTGGATGCCAACCGCGGTGGCCTTCTTCAAGCCTTCATGTTCCGACAACTTGAGGGCACCAGAAAACTTATCCTCCAAGCGAGCATTTGCCCCAAAGGCTTGCACGACGACAATGTTGTTAAGACCCTCGGAAGCGATCGATGCAGCCGAAGCGGCATAGTCTGACATGAGTCCAGAATATTTCTCAATATAGTGGCTTCCGACAAATGACATGATAAAATAGGCCGGGATCAGGGAAATCAGAATGGTCGCAAGCTCCCAATCCTTGATGAAAGCCACGATATATGCAGTGACGAAGAAAGAAAAGCTGGACAGAACGATACCCGCTTTCTCAGATGTACCGGATCGAATTGTCTGGATATCGCTGCTAAGTCGGGAGGCGACCTCACCAGGAGGTAGCTCGTCAAAGTGTGATGGTTCCTGTCGGAGCAAGTTTGACAAATACTTCTCGCGCAGTCTCTGTGAGAGTCGAGCGCCGTACATGGTCCAGCATGTTAAGTGGGCGTAGATCAAAACGAATTGAGCAATGGCAAGATAGAAGATAAGGAGGATCTCATGGTCGATGCTTGACTGATAGCCAGCGTCGGAGCTCGAGGATCTGTCGTCATTGCATGTCACGGAGTTGAAATCGTTCAGAAGTTGACCGAAAATAATTCCAATAAGAGGAAATGGGACTCCAGATGCGATTGAGCACGCGATACCACATACTAGCATGCAAATGTCGCTTTTTGACGGATTGGCAGCCAAGAGCAAGCGGGGATAGCCCGCAAGCTTCTTGAAGATGGCCATGGTGACTGAGGATGTCGGAACCTTGTGGATGTCACAGCCTAGAGTTGCGAAAACCCCGGGGCCGGTTTGCCGGTCACGGACTAGCTTCTCGATAGCGCTGCGCTAGGGGACAGAGGCTGTCTTGCCTCAGAAAATGCGTCCCTATATTGCCAGAGCTTCGGGAAGTCTGGTCAACGGCTATGGGGGCCGAAAGGTTGAAACTGACAAAGTTAATATGTGCAGTCTGCAGGAAGAAAAATTCAAGATGCCCCTGGAAATAGCCAAGAACGGTCTAGGAATCTGCCGACATCGCTTTGATCTGAAGTCTTGGAATTCCGAATCAGATAAAAAGCCCCCACTCGCTTGAAGAAAAAGTGAATCATTCAGGAGACCGAACTTATCTGATTTCCCACTGCGGAACCCTAAATTACCCTATTACGAACGTGTGGCGTATTGTACGGAAGTACGAAACATACGTAAATCCACAGTACACAGAACCGTAAACACGGCTAAAGCAAATCGGGCAATTTCCTCGACGCATCGCAACAAGGATTCTTGGGTAATGCGAGGCCAAGGAAAGTAAAAAAGGCGTATCCACAAAAGGACGCGCTGCAACCCCGTCGGCGGTATTTTCCGCCGTCAGTTGTTACGATGCCAGCGTCCTATGCATTCCCAGCCAATTAATATGTTAATATGGAGCCTCGGAGTTCAGATAAAAGTTTTCCCCTCCAGTAAGAACGGCGTTACGCGGCTTTACTATGGATAGACACGAGACAAATTCTTCTTGGCGGATGGGAAACGGATCAGATAACTTTGAACAGGGGTACCGGGGTTACAATGATGTCTAAGTGGCCCCGCTTCCCATTCACTCGAAATCATTAGACTCCGCAGGAGGCCCATGCGCAGCAATTAATTCTTCTGGTAGCTAGTTGTCGACCAGGAAATTCTCCGAGGTCCCACTCCCATCCGAGTCCATTCGGAACCGAGCGCAGAACCGTATAACGAAACAGGGTAATGATGTTCAACCCCCTCCCATGGTCCAAGTGGAATGGTCTTGGCCTTGAATGACGAGTTCTGCTCACTCTGCTCCCGTTATATCCGAAGGCTCCATTTTGTTGAATTAACGAGGAAGAAGGTGTGATACCTTATATTCACGATCTATTTTGCATTCCCGCGGCTACCCAGGTATATGTTTTAGCCGTATCGTAGTACAAAGGATGAAGCCCTTCATGAGCTTCAGAGCTTAGCGTTCCAAGCTGCGCGGTCCGCGGACTCCAAGGGCCGCTCTCGTCCGTCCCAGAAGAGTGGGCACAGCTGGAACCATTTCTCTCGGCTGCAGACTGAGTGAACCGAGCGCTTGTGGCCCAGATCGACGTATTTGCCAATTGTGAGACCCTGGGAGTTTTCGTAGGAAAGGATGGTGGCGCCGGTGGCTTTGGGCTCGCCCACCACATTGATTGTTCGTGGATCATCCAGGAAACAATAGTGTATGCAGCTGGAGTACCATGCGTTGACCCGGTGCGCTCCCCGGAATGACGCGTCCCCAACGAGCGAGTGACGGCCGCGGTCGTAGTCGTGAGCATCATAATGGGCCCCATAGTGATCCTCCTAAACCTGCGGTGTCAGCACGAATCAATACGAGATGGCGGAAAACCTCAGCTGGAATTTACCTTTGCCCAGTATAGCTCGTAATAAGAGAAGCGGTTGTTATCGAAGCGTCCGAATAAGCAAAGGACGTGGGGGTTAAAGTGCAGTTTGCGGAGGTACTCCTGGTGCTGGTCTAGAGTGCCGGTTTCGTTCCATCCCTTGGCAACACGAGGATCGTTTTGCCATGTGTTGAAAAGCTTCAGGTGCTCCTCATTCTGCCAGTTTACCACCTCGAGGGAAAAGTGCTCGTTGATCTCGGGGATGTAACGACTGTAGGCGATCGATCCAGCATGTGGCTTGGGCCGGCGAGTCGGATGCCGCGTATATACGCGCTCCTCGGGGAAGTTATTTGTGATCTGATAATTCTCCGGCATGATCGGGTACTGTGCCAAAGATTGCCGCAGAGAGCCATCTGTACCATCTCCAACAACCCAGATTGGGCGCGGGCCTGTTGGGGAGGCCGCACCCTGCCAGAAGGCATTGCGAAGAATCAAAATTTCCTCGGTTTCCCAAGTCGCCTTCAGCTTCGAATCCCAGGGCCTCGGGTGCTCAATGCCTAGGCCAGTAACGAGGAGCTCCTGCCTGATGACATCCTTGTCCGCGCCGCTCAGGGTAAGTCTGAAATACTCATATGTCGGATGAGCGAGGTAGATCGCATGGACCACATTCCAGATCTGGCCCAGGGAAGGAGTAGTGTTGTTACCCCACTGGAATACAGTCGACGGGCTTCGGCACGCTCGTGCCCAAGGAGTGTTATCAGATTCCGGTGGGCAAGTATCTTTGGCCGGCAAAGATAAGTCGAACCACGATAGCAAATCGGAGTGAAGGGATTGGGGCAACGGCGATCCTTCTGACGGCTGGCTCTCCAATGTCAAGACCAGCTTGGATGGAGTAGTCTCGGCAGCGGCCTGCACTCGGTACGCAGTCAGAAATGGGTGCGGTAGCTTGACCGGAGGATATTTCTGTGCAGGTGTAGAAGGCATTGTGAAGTGTAGCAACGTGCGTTGTTTGAGGAAATAGGTAAAAAGCAGCTTCTGCAGCTTCAAAAAGTAGTTAATACAGGGAGCCACAGACGGCCGGGGAAAGAAGGTTACTGAAGAAGTGGTGACAAGGTGCAAGGGAATGGACCCTAATCTATTATAGCTTCTTGTCTCAGATTATGTGGCGACGAGTAAAGGACCAGTCTCGGTATCTGCTGCCTAGATGGACCAACAGTGTGCCATCAACGGTACCTCCGATCCGTTTACGATCATTCCGTCCAAGAACTGGCGTCGTAAGATTTTTCGACAAGCGAAGGAACCAAAAAGGCTAGGGTGGGTCAAGGTCCTATTTTATAAGCGGGGCCTCTGAGCCGAGGATGAAGAAATACCCCAGTCATACCGACATTACAGGGCGAGGTTGGAGAAACCCGTGAATACGATACGTATTTCCGAAAAATGAATCCTCAATTGCCCTACAGGATATAAGACACTGCAATTATCTGCCCAATCCCTAGTCCATATTGCACCTTCCTCGCGTGGCTGCCTGCCGAACCCACCATGTCTCTACGATCTAGACCCCAGAACTTCCAGCACTTTAATGTCTCCTTTCCCCACGAGCGAGTTGTCCAGGTGACTTTGACACGGACAGAAAAACTCAATTCCATCACCAAAGCTACCAGCCGAGAGATCCAAGAGATCTGGGAACTCTTCGATCAGGATGAAAGCCTATGGGTTGGGATCATTACTGGCTCCGGAAGAGCTTTCTGTACTGGTGCTGATCTTCACGGTATGCCTCACCTCAAGCTCCATGTCTAGTTATAGTTCCGGTTTTTGAGTACTATAACTGACGAGTGTCTATACGAACAGAGTGGAATGAGATGAACAAATCCGGCATCGTCAACGACATGTCAGCACCGGGCCTTGCCGGACTACCCCGCCGGAGGGGTAAGAAGCCGATTATCGCAGCCGTCAATGGCATTTGCATGGGCGGCGGATTTGAGATGGTGGCGAATTGCGATCTCGTAATAGCATCCTCGTCCGCAATCTTCTCTCTTCCCGAAATCAAGCGCGGGATCGTGCCGGTGGCAGGATGCCTTCCACGGCTAACTCAAACGATTGGGCTACATCGTACCACGGATCTTGTACTAACGGGAAGGAACGTGAGCGCCCAGACTCTGTATGAATGGGGACTCGTCTCTCGAGTGGTGGATTCGCCGGATGATGTTGCGCAGGCCGCTCTACAGGTTGCTCAAGCAATGTGCCAAAACAGCCCCGACGCTCTCATTGTCGGCCGGGAAGGGATTCGACTTAGCTGGGAATCAGGCAGCGTGGAAGATGCCGTATCGACGCTAGCGGATGCATGGTATCCTCGATTGGTCGCTGGTCGCAATTTCGCCGAAGGTATCCAAGCGTTTGTGGAGAAACGAGCACCAAATTGGATCAATTCCAAGCTGTGAGCGGATGACTATGCACGGGTTTCCATAAAAGAAAATTTTCATCAAATTTAATCAGATCCCCTTGTCCAGGCGTACCCGAGCACGTACCTAAGTAGAGTTTTTGTGGCGTCCCCGTGGATGAGGTTGTGTGGGGCGGTTTCATTATCAGATGTTTCGGTGTGTCGCTGCGGTGGATTGGGTACCTGCCCTTTCTGGTTGCCAGTCCGAGAAACTGAAATGCCCCAAGATCTCTCCGCACATGCTCAGTCTTTGGTGACTGCACCCCTACACTGATTTGTCCTGAGTTCTTTTTGCGGTATCCCTTGTTCCATTGCCAGCTCTCCGACCACCAACAGCCCCATTAGAGTTCAGTGGGATGAAAGCTTATCTGATATCCGGCGTTCCAAGGTTGATGATGGATCTCGGATCAGATAATATAGGACCTCCACCGGCACGACGACATTTCAAGCCACGTGTGTATAACGGTGGGTGGTAAAGTACGAGCCGTATGTATCGTATTGAATACGGTGTGGTATGTTTCCGAGTTTACCTCAGCAATCACGGACCATCAGAGCGAGCCCTAAAAAGTCCGGGCATCTCGAGGGTACATCAGGGAAGTACGTAACTCTAGCCCTAGAGGTTTTTAGAAAACGTTATGTGTCGTAATGAGTTAGGTAACCACAACGGGTGATTCCGAACGGATCTCTCGGAGCTGATCTGGGCTGATCAAAGCCGGCTGCTTTGACCCGAAAGTGGTCCTGGAGGCTGAACAAGATCCGATAATTCCCAGTTTTTATTTTGTTATTTTTTCTCTCGGCGCGATATCCCTGCGTTTTTTGCGCGAGAGCCGAGAAAATTCCATTTCTTGTGGCGGACAAGCTCCACAGGTTATTTCCCGGCCGCCAAGAGAAGCTTGAAAGGGACGAATACGAAGCTTGATGTGGATGAAGTACCGACACACCATCCTGTATTAGGCATAGAACACACTCGATTCTCGCTAGATAAGATCACATAGAACATCTGATTAGATCGAGCCATCGGCCTAGCCGGTTTTCTCCTAGTCATCCTCCACCCCCAGTGGAGCTCCGGTGGATTTGCCCACCTTGGCCAGCGCATCTTACAAGAGAAAAGATTTTCCTTTTGGTGAAACAAGCAAATCAAAGACGAGTCCAAGCCAAACTCCCCGTTTTGGTCCGCATGTCTGTGCGGCGTATGCTTTTTTTCGATTTTTGGCCCAAGACACCCGACTTCGGTCCTTCCGTTCTATAAGGGCACAGGTTTCCCTGGCTATCTTTGCTTGTTTGAGTTCAACTTTCAATCCTTCAACCTCATAGTCAATCATCATGGGGATTCGCCCTTTGATTCGAAGAGGCCGAGCGGTCTTCCGTCGTGTCAAGGTCGACCAGGACGAGTCTATCAGCAGCTCGGTCGACAACGATGTCGCCAGAACTACCGTTGAGCCGGAAAAGATCCACGATAGAGAAAATCAGACAGCTCCCATGGACCCCGAAGCGCCCGTTGCGAACAATGGTGCTGAACTGCCCGGTGTGCCATATGATGAGCTTCAAACCGGTGTAAAGGATATGGAAGCCCTTGCGACGAATTGGTCAAAGGGAGCCTTGATCGCAGTTTTCATCAAGTATGTCAATTTCTGGGTGCCGGGCTGTTCCATCAAGTTAGCTAACACAATGCCTTGTTAGCATCTGGTTCCTCTACTTCGTCTATGCTTTCGTCTCGTCGGTCAACGGCAGCTTGTCTAGCTACGTCGCGAGTTCTTTCAAGCTACACTCACTGTCCAATCTTCCCACTCAACTATCCGATGCTTTCTCGGCTGCCTGTTTCATTCCGATGGCCAAGGTCATGGACACTTGGGGCCGTGCCCAAGGATTTGCCCTGATGGTGGTCTGCGCCACTGTCGGTTTGATTCTCATGGCATCTTGCGACAGCTTTGCCATCTACTGCGCTGGCAACGTCTTCTACAATATGGGCTTCACCGGCATGGAATATTGTGTCGATGTTATCACCGCCGATCTGTCCCAACTGAAGAACCGAGGATTGGCCTACGCCTTCACATCCTCACCGTATATTATCACCGCATTTGCCGGCCCCAAGGTCGCAAACGAGTTCTACTACGACATCAGCTGGCGATGGGGTTACGGTTGCTGGGCAATCATCTTCCCCTTCGTTGCTGCTCCGTTGTTCTTCGTCCTGAAATATAACCTTGACCAGGCCAAGAAGAACGGCCTTATTGTCAGGGAGCCAAGCGGGCGGACTCTCATCCAAAGCATTGTGCATTGGACTCTCGAGTTCGATTGTAAGTCTTCCGATGGCTTGAACTATATAATCCCGCGCGAAAGAGGAAATGCTGACCTTCGTATCCAATAGTCATCGGTGTCTTCTTATTTACTGCTGGGCTCCTCTTGTTCGAGCTGCCATTTGACATCGCAAGTCAAGCTCCGAACGGCTGGGGTACGGGTTATATCATCGCTATGATTGTGGTCGGATTCTCGATGCTCTTCATCTTTGCCCTCTACGAGCAATTCATCGCCCCTAAGCCTTTGCTCAGCATTGCCTTCCTCACAAACCGGACCGTCATTGGTGCCTGTCTTCTGGATGCGACCTACCAGCTCTCCAACTACTGTTGGAGTCTCTACTTCCAGAACTTCCTGCAGGTGGTCAATAATTTGACCATTGCCACTTCCGGATACGTTGTCAACACCTTCGACGTGGTCTCTGGTGTTCTTCTCCTGATTGTCGGTTGGGCGATTCGTAAGACTGGCCGTTTCAGGTGGCTCCTGTACATCTCCGTGCCCCTGTATATCTTTGCCCAGGGCTTGATGATCTACTTCCGCCGTCCCGATCAGAACATTGGCTATCAAGTCATGTGTCAAATTTTCATCTCCATGGGTGGCTCGGTCTTCATCATTGTCGAGCAGATCTCCATCTTGGCCGCTGTGGACCATCAACATGTCGCTGCTGCACTTGCTTTGCTGAATGTTGTTGGCACCATCGGTGACTCGGCCGGTATCACCATCTCCACGGCGATCTGGACAAACACATTCTACCCGGCTCTGCAACGAAATCTCCCGGAGTCTGCCATGCCCAACATCGATAACATCTACGAGGAAATCACAGAGCAGCTCAGTTACCCCGTCGGAAGTGCTGCAAGACTCGCTATCCAGAATGCTTACTCCTACGCCCAGGTGAGAATGCTTTCTGCTGGATTGGGCGTCATGGGTCTGGGAATCATCTGGACTTTCGTGATCAAGGATATCAACCTCAAGAAGATCCAACAGGTCCACGGTGTGATTTTCTAAGATACTGTGGTAACCATAGACTTGTCGAAGGTATTTCTGCATTCTTCGGTTGTATCTTTCTTAGTTTTGGTGTACCTCGTTTCGTCAGGTTCCTCACCATCTTCTAGATTTCCCCAATCAAGGCCATCACCACCCAGAAGTCTCTGTTTCCCTCTTTGTGTTTATCTATTTTCTCACACGCACACACACACCTTGCAGTGTAGATTGATTTCCGCTCTGGGTTATCCACGAAAAGTTCAAAATAATAATATACCCTCGATTTTCCTGGTCCATGGACTTGGGTCATGTCCCGTTCTTTAGTGCTGACTTCTACTTTTACATACAATCGGAAAAACTCGTAATCTATGTTGAATCATGGTATTTGGCCGATCTCGGATGCATGCGGTGGTGTATCGGCCAAATAAAGCTTGGAATCTTGCAAGGCCCAGGTGAGAGCTGCGACGAGACCAAATATATAGACAGGCCCACTTCTCTTTGTTCTCATTGTCATTATCTTTATTCAAACTCAAATTCAGTAAACTCACAGTTTGATCAACATTTGCCATGAAGGTCTTCAATCTGGTCCCTACTGCTGGCCTCGTGGCTTTCGCCAACGCAGTTACGCTGCTAGTTGACCTCCGATGTCGTTGATAACAGCCACCTTATGGAAAAGCGCTGCTGTGGAAATCTGTTATTCTCGCTAAACTTTGATTGCTCTCCACCTTGAAATGGCTTTCTCATAATTCATGGCTGATTTAAAATGTCAATTCAGCCGGTTCTACTTGCACCTCCGCTTCACAGTGCTGCAGCAACGCATGTGCTGCCATGATAGTCATGAAGTTCTTCAAGCACTGTCTTTGAAGACTTCTTCCTCGTTCTAGGTAATATAAATTCTGCCTCCTCTACTATAAGCACATGATATCTAAGAGAGAGTCAAGTTTGAGTCCAACTTTCAATCCTGCGCGTAAACACTGGAGACGTTCCAAAGCTTTCTCACTCTTGACACTCGGTGTTTACTTTTTGTCCTTCATCTTTCATGCGCCTAAGCTCTTTATACCCGTGGACAATACTTTGACCTTCTCCTCCTAGGCTTCTTTGTACACTCGTTTCCACGCATGGTCATCCTTTTCGCCTTCACATATCATCAACAAATTCAGGTACGCTCATATTTTCTCACTTTGGAGAACTGGCCAGTTCCGTCCTGGTTTCTCTAAGTGCTCTTCCCTCTCGGCGCATCTGGACCAAACAACAAGCTCACAGTATTGCCAGGACGTATTTCAGTCAACATGGACCTCTGGCCCTGTGGGCGTCTCTCAGCATGGGATGGCGATTCATCCAGCTTCATTCCAGATCCAACAATTAGTGCCAGCACCCTGGCTCGCCTGGTGGAACAGTATCCTATCGCTGATTTTGGCAGAATCCGTACCTTCAGTCATACGCAAACAGAAGAGTTTATGAGATGGCCTTTTCCAGCACAAGCACGTCTGCCCGACCTCGGCGTCTACCTGGCACTGAAGACCCTGTCTGTGTCAGAGCGTTCCAGCCGCTATCCCGTTGACTTTGACTGGTGTGGAAACATTCGAGTGAGTCGGAAGCCATGCGGAGAACCTGTCATCGTGCAGGCATATGGCTTGCTTTGGATTGCTGTCTGGAGGCGGTCAATCATCTTGTGCGGTGAAGACTTGGGGACACGCCATGGCTGGATAATCAAACCGACGCCTTCCTCGGAACTTGAGCCCGCCTTCTATGCAGGCATCATCCTCCTTCCCTCGGACTATCAGGGACGCCAGTATGTGGAGTTTCTGCGATTGGACTACGGCCGCTCTGCCAACATCCAATGGAATCAACAGGTCACTGAGCTCAATGCCCATACCGACTTTACACGCGGCTGGGATGAGAAAGTTCTCGAGCTCACTGACGCTTACACTCCGCGAGTCCAAGTCATGCGGACCATTCCCGGTTTTCGTGTCACCGCTGTCAACCCCATCGTGGATATTGACTGTAGCCATGCCCCCGTTTCTCGTATCCCGAACCACGCTGCGCTGCTGAATTTGCCATGGCAAGCCGATTCCTGGTCATCACACCCAAGACTTGATACTTGGTCCTTTGACCCTCGCCTCCAGAGACCGTTCAATCCGCTCCCGGTCCAGTTGATAACCACCCGCTACGACTTGAACAGGATTCGTCATTACCGCCCCTATGACGACTGGCTTGTGTTGTTTGCTGAAATTATGTGCCGGGTGAAACCCGGACCTGAGCAGTCTGCGTTTCAGGCCGTCGGAAAGGCTATCGTTCATCGTCGCGAGCTTGCCGTCTTTTTTCCTGATTCATCAGGAGGTTCCACGATGCTCTATTCTAAGCAGAGATCCCTTGACGGACGGGGTGGTATGCGAATCCTTCAGTTTATGGAAACTTTGAATGATGCCCAGCAGAAAGTTGGCAAGCTCGGAGACACCCGTTTCGCGAATATCCTTGCCCACTTCCTTTGCGCTATGCAGGTTCCGTGCCTCTCGATCAAGCCCATTCCACTGGCCACCGTGCGAGAGCTCGCTGGTTATCTGAGCCTTTCATCATCTACGTTCACCTATGAGAATTTCTTAGCCTACCTCAGAAGCTCCCTTCGTCATCCTCGTTCGTGAACGTAGGTCTGTGCCTGTGTGTCAATTCTCATCAGCGATATTTTTGCTGTTGGGTGCTTCGTCTTGATCGTTTGTATTGCCCTAGAACTGTAGCGATCTAGGGCATCTGTACTCATTTCTTTCGGCCCTTGTGTTCTTTCTCTTCTGACTGCTCTATTCTCTATCGCCCGACTGAGATAAAAATGGCAATTCATAATTCCAAAAAAGAATCGTTGCCATGTTATTGCGAAACGTGAGCCATACTTGCGTCGAAATTTATCTGACTAGACCCCAAGTTGTGTGAATGAAACACCAAATTAACCCATGTGCATACTATACGCTCCTGACGCGCGTGTGGGGAATAAAACTGGGCCGGATTCTCCTACTCCATTCGAAGCGCATGGAGAGAGATACGTAAGGCCCGTCTGCCCTTGTTCGAAAGACCAAAGTATAACGGAGCTAGTAATGTAGAGCTGGAGCGAACTTGAAGGTGTGCGCGATAGTTTCATATTATCCCGGGGAATGACTGCCGGGTCACCCTCACACTGTTCAAAATTCTCCTTGATAAGAAGTAATTTCTGTCATTTGCCACGCCAATGGGATAAATGTGCCAGAATGTAGCGTGATTGCGATCTCGGCGAGGATCCAAAATCCGAGACGCGAATATGCAGGGTTGCCCGAGCACTCAAGCTGGCGGGTGGAGACGCGTGCTGGGAACTCAGGGATAAAACACGCCCAGACTCTCTGAAACCCGGTCTCCATCGAGACGTCTGCCTAAAGCAAGATCCAGCACGCGGGTTGAGAGGATCGGCACATTCTCCGACGCGAGGCTGTTGGGATCCACTCCCTGAACCTTCCGAACGGGGCGTCGAGCTCCTTCATTCCTTCTAGAGCCTTGACATCTGTCCCTGAATCTCCGATCACTAGTCGCCTATATTATGCATGCCGACCGCTCTGGAGTCGGCCTATCTCTATAATGCTGCAGCTCCTACGCTTAATTGAAGATTGCGCGCGGTGAAGGGGGCTGGGGGCGAAAATCACGTCAGGGCAAGCGAGTCGGTTTGGAGCAAAAACACGACTGGAGCTCAATCCTGGCAACCCAGTCTGACTGGTGCTCGAACCGGTCTAGATTGCCAATTGGATCCGTAAGTCCGGGTTGTGGCCCTTAACGCGTCCACAGGCGCGTAGTGCATGATCGTCTGCGGGCTTATCTGATCGTGATTCAGCTCGGCAGTGGATCCCCATTACGTCGGGCTGAAAACTCGGGGCTCGGACGCGTCTGTCAAAGCGCGTGTTGTTGATCTGTTTCATTGCTTTCATTTTGAATCTTCGAGCTCGCCATACAAGACATATACCCTAGGTAGCTGGCCAAATGCTCGTAAGTAAGGTAGTAGAATCTAAGATGGGGAAATCGCCCCATAATCGATAGTTAAGGACCTGCATACTGGAGGCCTAGGGGACCAGGCCCTGTCGAATGCCCGTCGAGGGGCCTACCGCAGGCACGGCCATGGATCGACTGCCCTAGCGTCGGACGTTGCTGGAAATCCAGTGGCATGAGAATTCCAAGCCCGCGACTTCCCCTTTGAGACGACGCGCCTTGCGTCCTGACTAAAACCCGTCGCGCGGTCACGTGGCCAGTGACCGCGCTAAAAGATTCACGCCCGCCAACTACTTAATCGATTCTTCTTCCCTCCCAGCTCCCACATTCCTTCTTCCCCTTCAAGCCTCTTGACATTTTGTTTTTCTCTGTGACTGTCTTGCAATTGTCCTCTGCCATCAGTCCTCAAACACACTTCTTAATGGCCGCCCAAGTCACCCCCTCGAAGCAGGTACGTGATGTCACGACTGTCGCCTCACGCGCCAGACGCGTCGTGAAGAAACATATCACTGACTCGTACCCATCTATAGGCTGCTTCCTCCCTCGAGAACCTCAAGATGAGCGACTCACCCGTTAAGAAGCTCGATTTCGAGTCCGCCGGCAAGGAAAACGTCGCGTCTTTCAAGCCCACCGACGCGACTGTCGACAAGATGGGCGACAAGATCGTTGAGGTCCCCAAGGTCGCTCCTGGTATCAAGGAGGCCGAGGCCAACGAGCCCCTCCTCCAGGAGAACCCCCACCGTTTCGTCTTGTTCCCCATCAAGTACCACGAGGTTAGTCACGTCGCCGACGCGTCCGTGTGCACGCGTAAAGTGGCGTGGACGCTAAGCACCCACGCATTCATCCATCTGGAGAGCACATGGCTAACAATGGCTTCTCTGCATTGACAGATCTGGCAAATGTACAAGAAGGCCGAGGCGTCCTTCTGGACCGCCGAAGAGATTGATCTGTCCAAGGATCTGCACGACTGGCACAACCGCCTGAATGATGACGAGCGCTACTTCATCTCCCACGTCCTTGCCTTCTTCGCTGCCTCCGATGGCATTGTCAACGAGAACCTGGTTGAGCGTTTCAGTGGAGAGGTCCAGGTCCCCGAGGCCCGCTGCTTCTACGGCTTCCAGATCATGATGGAGAACATCCACTCCGAGACCTACTCTCTGCTCATTGACACCTACATCAAGGAGCCCAAGCAGCGCGCCTATCTCTTCGACGCTATTGACACCAGTATGTTTCCCCACACTTGGTCTCATTGACACACGGACTGACATAGCTTCCCTAGTTCCCTGCATTGCCAAAAAGGCCGAGTGGGCCATCAGGTGGATTAATGACCGCGACTCTACCTTCGCTCAGCGTCTGGTTGCCTTCGCTTGCGTTGAGGGTATCTTCTTCTCTGGTTCCTTTGCCTCTATCTTCTGGCTCAAGAAGCGTGGCTTGATGCCTGGCCTGACCTTCTCCAACGAGCTGATCTCGCGTGACGAGGGCATGCACACTGACTTCGCCTGCTTGCTATTCTCTCACCTTAACAACCGCCCCAGCCCCCAGATGGTCGAGGACATCATCATCGAGGCCGTCGGCATTGAGCAGGAGTTCTTGTCTGACGCTCTGCCCTGCGCTCTCCTCGGAATGAACGCCAAGCTGATGTGCCAGTACATTGAGTTCGTCGCCGACCGCCTCCTGGTCGCTCTCGGCAACAAGAAATACTACAACGCTACCAACCCCTTCGACTTCATGGAGTCCATCTCCCTGGCTGGCAAGACCAACTTCTTCGAGAAGCGTGTCGGTGACTACCAGAAGGCCGGTGTCATGGCCTCCACCAAGAAGGAGACCAGCACCGATGGCGAGCAGAGCTCTGGCAACGACGGCCTCAACTTCGACGAGGACTTCTAAGCTGTTACCGTCTCTTCCCTCCCCTCTCCCCCATTTGTTTTATACCCTGAGCTGTGGGGCTCGCCTCACGCCGTTTTCCACATGATATCACGCTGTTCTTTTTCTTTTTGTGCTTTTATTGATTGACGGATCTTTTCAAGGCTACGCATGGGCTTGGCGTTCTTTTCTTCCCTTCTTGGTCTGTCCTAGACTCATGCCATGGTGTCTGATATGGGATGGATGGCGGATATGTGTATTTAGATGTTAAAATCACTTGCTTAGTGTATAATGCTCCCTTTGGCTTCACCGTGTCTTCGTAACATAGTTCCTATTTTATGCAGCTGTAAGGTAATCATGTCTTTCTTCTAACTTTGGCACTTCAACCCACAGCCAAATGCATTTCCACTGTCCATGGCACAGCCATCTATGAATAAAGTCTTTACCGAGATTCTTAGCCCAGAAACCCAACCATTAAGCACTCCTCATCGCTTCCCCTTCCCACCCTTCTTCTTCCCCTTCCCTCCTTGTGCTTGCTGCCCCTGCGGTTGCCCCTTACTCACCTCCTCGACAGCAGGCGCATCAACCATCTCCACATCCGCAGTCCCCGACACCCCCAAACTAGCCACGTCCGCCCCACTAGCAAGCTTCCCCAGCCCGGTCATCAGCCGGCTGACCTCGGCAGCCTTGTTCGTGCGGTACTTCAGGCAGATGCCTGCTTCGGCATTGAATGTCTTTAGCTCTAGCGCTGCGACGGGCGCTGTGCTGGTCTCTGTGGTTGCGTCGCCTTTGCGGGCGGCGGACTTGGCGCGGTGCGCCTTTTCTGAGGGGCGTTCGCTTGGGAAGCTGTATTTTGTTGTGATGCGCTGGTTGGCTTGTTAGTCTGCGTCCTGATCGGGGTTATGTAGCGGGGAGGGGTGTGGCGGTGGGTTTGGATTGTGCTGTTGGGATTGGAGGCGGGCATTGGGCTTGGGCTTACCGAGTCAGGGTACGCTTCGAGGAGGAGGGCGGATTGCTCCAGGTATTCCTGGGAGGTGGTGAGGTAGGGCATCGTGGTGGGCGAGAGCCAGTCTCGCTTTTGTGATAGGTGTTGAGTCCGAGCGCGGGGTGGTGTGGATGGAATTCTGCGTAGTGGTGGTCTGTTCGGGCGGGTGTCGATGATGAAGAAGAGACCAAAGATTTATGTCGGTCTCGTTGGACTTGCTGAGAAATTGGCGAGGTAGGTGGCGGTTAAGGAAGTCCGGGGTGCGAAGATCGCAGTTATCAACGCCGGACTTTTTCCATGTCTTGGCACCGGCCACTCGCATCCGGGTTTTGTAGATCTAGACAACACAACTTACGTAGCGTTTTCAATTGTTCAATTCAACAAGTATTTGCACGTCTGCATTTTCATTCCATATCTTTGTATCCAAATATAGTACATAGTCGAGCAGAAAGTCCTGTTCGATGTTGAAAATACATCCTTCTGCCATGGCCAACACCATTTCCAGATGCAGAAGCCCAAGAACCAAGTATGCCACAGTTTGACACCACCAAAACCAAAGCTCCAAAAAATGTGCAAAAAACCACCCAAAATCATGAGACCATAAATCATTGTACATCAGAAAAAAAGAAACATCTACTCAACCGTTTGATTACACTGGGCACAGATCAATTTCTGCTTACCGTCTCGCCCCTTAACACCACGGAAATTTGTTCCACTGCAATTATTGCACTTGAGGATAGCGTCATCACCCGACCCACCAGTTGACGAGCCATAGTCACTGCTGAGCACACTACCAGTCGTACTCAGTCTGCGATCATGGGACGGGATGCGATTGGGGCTGAGGAGATCATTCGACTTGCGCGATTTCATCGCCATAGCATCGTGCGTAATCTTGTTCCAGTACACATAGCTATGATCTCCCTGCAACCACAGAGGGTTTTCTTTGTCCTTTCCGGCGGCTACAAGATCAGCTGACGATGCAGGCAGCGTCCGTGGGTCTGAGTGATCGACCGGTAGGTCAGGGTCATTCTGCTGTCTGGATTTCTCGCCGGAGTAGCGGTTGTCCACCGGAGTCCGATGTGAAGCCGATGGTGGAGAAGTTGTAACGGCGGATAAAGATTCATTGGGACCCAGACTTGATGGTCGGGACGAGGAGACTCGGACTGTTGGGGTCGGTCTGTGTTGAGGAGATGGACTGCGACTTTTGAGTCCAGCGCGGGAGCCTTCGGTACTACTGCGTCCATGGCGGATGACTGAGTTGCGCCACGAGATAATTCGTTCGGACGGTGTCTTTAACCCTGAGTCCTTCCCGGTTGAGGAGGCGATGCTACGGCGCCCGGAGTTGGAGCGTCGAAGAATCCGCCGCGTGAAGTTCGAGCTTTCAGTCCAATTCTCATACTTCCGTTTTTGATATGCACAATCCTGTCGAAAAATCTTGATATTTCCGGAGTAGTCGGCGATGACGATGATGTTTCCATCGGGATGCGTCGAGCGAGACAGATATGTCGGGGATTCTTGTGCCATTCTGCTGACGATAGACATGCGCGGTGCCGATGCGGATCGCTTGTGAAGGCTGACCGTATCCCGCGCAGAGTCTGCTTTCTTTCTGGACTGATCTGGACTCACGAGAGCGACGGGCGGCGGGTTGCAGATATCATAGATTGGATCATCTGACAGTCCCAACGCCTGCTTGGTCGCCGTCGGCGCCGTGATAGCCACCGTCACAATGGCTCCCTGCGTTTCAAAAACCTCCACCGCTCGTTTCTCTGCGTCTCTTTCAACGGGGCCGATTGGCCATACGTATGCTTTGCGATCCTCACTGCCACAGATGACATGCTTGCCGTCGTCGGTAAAAGTCGCCCTAATCTGGCTACAGGTGTTCTCATTTCCGCGGAACTTGGCTTCCAAGGTGCGTTCCTTGAAGTCGTAGAGTCGAATACGAGAATCGTTGGTGGTGACCAGCAGTTTGATATCGCCGTTGGGGTCATCCTGCGCGACCATCATTGTGTCGATCCCGGTGATCTTGTTGCCTTTGGAATTGCGTCCACGGGCCGATCGAACATGGATCTGCCCAGAAGTTTTGAGACCCTCGGTATCGTAAATATTAAGCAGACCGTTCAAACACCCAGCCATCGAATATCGGCCATCCGGCGTGAAGCCAACGGCAGTGATCATGTCGGGTAGGGTCGTCACGTACGCAACGCTTTTGTCCGGGATGCTCCACAAGCGCAGCTTCGTATCGAGTGACCCGGCGAGGAAGAATCGATCATCCTTGGGGTGGAATTGAATCGAAGTTACAAAATCACCGTGCTGAAAGCAGCATAAACATTCCGGTCGACTTGCGTGCCATAGTCGAACCGTTTTGTCCATGGAAGAGGAAAGAATGAAGTTGTTCTGCTCCAGCGGTTAGCAAATGTTCGGTTGAAGTATACCCTTGGAATGTATACTTTACTCCAGCTCAAGTCCAAAATACTACCCGTGTGACCTTCAAAGACCTGGACGGGCTTCGGTCCGAACACGGGAGCCTTTAGGCTCGGAGTCTCTTGATCCTCTTTCGGCGCGGCTGCTTCGTTCCGCATCGCCGCCTCTCGTTCTTCGGGTGTCGTGATGGTTTTCCAAACTCTAACCTTCCTATCCTGGCCAGCGGCTGCTAAATATCTGCCGTCCTTGGAGAACTCGACGGTCCAAACAGCTCTCCCCGTTGTCTCTCCATTCTTGATATTGGTTGAGGTCGACGCCCGTCGCTCAGCCTTTGTCGATGGGGCTGTACCCTCCAATGTCTGGGCCAGGAATACGCGGTGAAACTTCTTCTCTTTCTTGTGATGCGCCCGGATCCGCAAGTACCGGGATGGCGCAGGATGTCGAGGAATGAAACCTATCGGATGTGAGGTATCGACAGACATGCGGCTAGACTCTGCATCTGAAAGTTCATCTTCTACATCAGAGAGGGCGTCCTTTTTCTTGGTTCCAATAATGCGACTGAGGAAAGAAACAGCCTTTCTGCAGGAAGGAAGAAAGAGTCAGCCGGGCGTTCATAGATGACGGAGTCCGAGGATTTTATAATGGACCAACGTGAGGGACAGGACAAAGCACATACTTCTTTTCTCTAGGACCTTTTGAGTTTGGTGATGCATCGCCCCGAGCCGTACTCTGGTCCCATGGACCCTCCGAGCTGCCCGCTTCGGCCTCGTACGATGCTCGACCCAGTAACTTGAGGGGAATCGACTTTTGGGTATTCGTGCGTTGGATAATGTGCTACACATACAGGTCAGTCTCCATCCATGGAATCATGATACCGTGATCTCCGCCGCAAACACGCCCTCGTACCCCGCATTAACCAATCCAGACATCAAGTGCAAGCTTACCTGTGAGAGTGGATCGATGGCGCTGGCCTCGGCACGGGTTTCGTGCGTAGAGTTTCTGACGAGAGGCCCGCCAATGGGTGAGAGCCGGTGAGTATTCCGTTGGTCATCCTGCTGGCTGTTGCTGGAGCCTGATGCAGCATCTGATATGGCCGAACCTATCATTTATCAGAATTGTTTTTTATGCGCTGGGGCCGCGGAGCCGTGCGCTCGTGATCGCCAGAACAACCAGGCCGAATCGCAATGTTTCCACATACCAGCTGGAAGCGTGGAGGATCTGGGCGGCGCAAGTTTAGTTTCGTGGGTAATCGCGGGGGAAGTCGACGCCCGTGGCAATTCTCTGACTTCCATGTCGCGCGCGCCCAAGTCGCATGAAGTTATTTACGGAAAAACAGATGTGATAATGAGAAACGAGTATCAGAATAGTTGCGCCATATCAGAAAGAAAAGGGAAGAAAAAAGGACCGAAAGGAATGGAGCGGCAACGGCCGGAGTAGATGACATCAAATCGGGGCCCGGACTTTACGAGTGGAGCAGACCCTTCTCTGGCCTCTTTACTATAGGACCGTTTATCGCCATCAAGCGTCGCTAAGAAATCCCATTATCGCGGTCGAAACTTTCTACAGGGTCTGGGTATATACATGGGTCCTTGTGTTCGTTAAAGGTTCGCCTGCAGTTTGCGTGCGCGGTCCTTGGCAATGTCACACATCGCCTTGGAATTGAGTCAAGTCAGTCAGGAAGAGATCGCATTCGAATCGTCGTACGCACCTGAATAGTCTCGGCGATTTCGCGCTCGCCGTCTGCCCGATCAATGCGCTGGCGCATTTCGGCCATGATGACATCTCGGCTGCGGCCGTTGACGAACGAGCTATCGTCCCGATAAGAGTCAGAAAAGAGAAAGGATAGACGTGGGGGATCCTCATTTAGGGTCTTACACAAATCGCAGTCCGGGGAACTTGGCCTCGTACTCGGCATTCAACTCGCGCAGCTTTTCGGCCTGTTCCTCTGCACCCTCGTTCAATTGCGCCTGCTCCTTCTTGCTCAACTCGCTGAGATGTTCGGGGTTGGCGGGGGCCCGACCGAGCCGGGGATGCGACCCCAGGATGCCGAACAGCACATTCCGGTCGGTGGGCGAATTGACTGCGGAGAGGGCGGACATGCGACCGCCGACGGCGTCGATGAGCGAGGCGTAGGAGGAGAAGCTCTGGCCGGCGAGGACGGGAACCATCAACTGATGCAGCTCGGGCGATGGCTCGAACAGGGTGTCCAGCACCCGCAGCTGGGTTTCCTGGGGCTGGTGGGGCAGTGACGAGAGGCTTGGAAGATCGGACATGGTGCTTTTGAGTCAGGTTCCAAGTCGCAGATTCCAGGGAATGACTACGGTATAAATGTCCAGTGCTGGGGTCCCCGCCTTCGGGGGTCGCCGAGTGTCCAGCGTCTCGGCCGGGGACCGGCGGCACAGTTGTCGGAATTGAAGATATTCGGTACACGGCTTTGGGATTCCGATCTCGTCTGCAAACTTGGAACAGGACGTACTCGGCCATTCTTGGATAGCCGGTAGTATTCTACATTGGTCACCTGCAGACCTCTCCGCGTACACGCACGTCAATGGCTCGAGCCGAGGCCGGTGATATCACTACATTCCTCAGGTACCATATACCTAGATAAGATAGCCGCGTCGAAGTATGTGAGTTGGAGAAGGGTGTGACCTCGTACTTGTGGCTTTCTCAGTCGGTGGTCCTATGCTATAAAGAGCACTGACTCCGAGCCAGCGTTTCAGATGCTCGGCTTAAATTGGGATAGCCGCGAGTGGAGTCCTCCAACGAATGGAAGCGGGTGCCCCTGAGCCAGAGGTTCGTCCCTGCGACCTATTAGACTCTATCCATCCTTTTGTCAAAACAAATCGCGATCTCGAGATCTTGGTCCCTACCGGGCTCCATCTCTACGCTCGGTCGTTCTACCGACCCGGTGTCCAGATCACCTTACCCCCTCCCTGCTTCCTTACCTGCAATTCACCTAGGTCCCTCTCCCCGGCCCTTCTCCATGCCGTGCGCGCCATGTCTCTCAATGGGCTAGATAATCCCGCCGTGGTCGAAGCCTACCAGAGTGCACTTGCTGACGCGGGCGGATGGTGAGTCTCGTCCCCCTTTAGGGCGACCGCGAGTGTACCCCGCGAGACCGTCTCGCTGACATGCTCCCAGGATTCTTCTGCACTACACCGCAAGGGATGAGGTAGCTCTGCTCGATCGAGGCACCGGCGGGGTGCCCGAGGTGCGCAATGCCATCGAAAATTACGAGGAGACGTCGCCGCTCTACGGCTTTCTGCAGTATCGACGGAGGAAGGTCATCCTGAGATACATGCCCGAGGGGCTGTCGCGGCTGATCCAAGGTATGTACTGCGAGTGTTCCACATGATCGGGACTCGACCGCTGACAGGGGGTCTTCAATTGTCGAAGCTCGAAGCAACGTTCAATTTCAGTCCGTCCTCGACAAGTTCACCCCGAATGACACCGTGCTCGCCCTATCCCTGGCATCCGAGCTCAACGAAAGCGCTCTATCGTCCGCATGTCTCCTACACACGGCATCCGGATCGATCACGTCCTCGTCGAGCTCTCTGCGCCGCCGTCGACTGATGGAAATTACCGAGGACGCCGAGGAAAATGGTACAAAGGAAGAAACAAAGGAACAGGAACACCCTCACCCGCCGAGTACCCAGACGAAACAAAGATCGGGTAGCCTCAAGTCAGAGGCTACCATTGTGCCTCCCACCGTTTCACCTGAAGAAAACTCCTCGCCTGACCTCCGACCCCCGCCCTCTCGAGCCAGTTCCCGAGCACCATCCATTGGTAGTCCGCCGTCCATTAGTCCCAGCGAATCCCAGACCAGCACAATGTCTCCCAAATCCCCCGACTCCAGCTCGGGACGTTTCAAGTACCGCAACATCTTGGATGAGTTCCCTCGACCATCAGAAGAAGCCCGAATGTCGACCCAGTCTGCGCGGCCTTCTTTGCGAGATCTGGAACGAGCTGCCGGTATTCAGCCCAAGGTCAAATTGGGACCTCGTCCGTCCGTCGACTCGAGTGGACGGCCTCGTACCTCGGGGTCTTCACGAAACTCCGATCAACGTCCTGTTGCTTCTCTGCCTTCGGGAATGCGCTCGTCTTCGCTACGAAGGTCCAACGTCGAAGTCCCTCGTCCCCGATCACAAGGAAGCTCTTTTGCGTCCAAACCGATCAGCCGAGCACCCCCGATCCCACCGCTTCTCGTTCCTCCCCCGAACATTCCCATTTCTAGACCGCCGTTATCTCCCGGTGCCAAGTCATTGGGTGCGTTGTCTACCTCGTCAGGGTTGACTCCCGAGAAAGAGCGGTTGATGAAAGCGCTGCAGCAGAGGAAGAAACAAATGGCGAAACGGGCGGAGGAGACCAAGAAGAAGCAGAGTATTGAAGAAGAGCCGAAAGCAGAGGACGATATTGCAAAGCACCAGGAGGAGAACAAAGAAAATATCAACTTGCTGCCCGAGCAGGAAAAGCCGGAGCCGCAAAAGACACAAGATGATCAAGATGAGAAACCCGCTAAGCCGGCAGTGCCAGCTCCCGCGTCACTCAATGACGATACTCCTGCTGCACCAGAGCCTCAAACCGAGGCCCAGGAGGAAGAAACTCTTCCTGCCACGGTGTTTAAGATAGAGCCCCCTGCGGAAGTGGACGTGTCTGGTTTCGAGGGCAGATCGTCCTCAAATACCCCCGATCTTAGTGCGGGTACTAAATTCTCCACCGGTCACGAAGAAACGATCCTGGAAACGATTCAGCCTAAGACGCCGCAGACTGTCTCTGAAGATGAAACACGCGCCGAGGATGCCGACTCCGCAATTCCTGTCCCAAATGAAACTAAGGATGACCTAGTCCCACCTAGCGCCGTTCTCGAGGTTCCACTCGACAGGGAGTTGACAGAAACCTCAGCCACTGCCCCAGAGCCCCAGGATGCTTCTTCTTTACATCAATCTGATATTCCATCGCTCAAGAGCGAGCCATTGGAGGCCCGATCTGTAGACGCTGGTCCGGCAAAGGCCCCTGAGTTTACTCATCCGAACACGCCGCCTGCGAACGCTCCCCCTAGCCCCGAGATTGAGCCGTCGGTCGCACCCTTCTCCGTTTCGATTGACCCAGTTCCGGCGGATGAAGGGGTTCCCGAGGAACCGCCTGTCGAGATAGCTAACCTTGTTCCCTTGGACCAACGACGGAAGATCCACTTGGAACCGATTCAAGTTCCCACTCCGGAGTACTCAGACGACGACAATCTCCTTTCCGACGATTCATTCATGGAAGAGCTGAGATCGGCTACTGTCCAGGAGGCCAGACCAGTCTCGGTCAAGTCCCCCGGTGATCAGCCCTGGGGAGGCTCACGCGCTGTCTCAAGCTCGCATTCGCTGGCATCTTCATCTCCCATGCAGGCATTTGCAGTGGGTAGATCTGTGTCAAGCTCGTACCCTGACAACGGGCCTCCGACCCCATTGCTTGTGGCCAAGAAGGTCAATGTTTCTTCCGGTATCTCGAGCCGTATTAAGGCTTTGGAAAAGTTCCAGAGTCGAGAAGGCACTCCTCAAAGCGGCACCCATCCTGTGGGGGGGCCCTCTGCCTCATCTTCCTTTGATAGTCTTCGCAAGCGTGCATCTGTTTCTTATGGAAGTCCTGAGAGCTTCTGCCGCGCACCAAGCTTGAGCCGTCCTGAGTCGCGTTCCAGTCCCAATGCTCGCCGCACCAGCTCCATCTCGGTAACGGCCCGTATTATTCGCGATACGGGTGTTTCTCCGGGGTCTAATGGCCTCGAACCTACCGAGTCCGACATTCTTAATCTTCAGCCTAGCCCATTGACCGTGCAGCACGGCTCGAGCGAGGAACCCCTGCCTACCAGCGAATCGGTCGAATCCACCAGTCGTTCGGGGACCCGCAGCATGTCTATATCATCCGCTGGATCAAGCCTACCGACTGCATCGGCGTCTCGCCCTGGAAGCCGCCTCTCGTTGTCTTCGCGTTCCAAGGCCGATGAGAACGCCCAGGCGAGCTCGCCCTCTCCCGAGGAGAAGAAGGCTTCCCGTGCCTCCCGTCTCATGCGCCGCATGTCATCTATGACAACCAATTCGCGTCGCAGCATCATTGGCGCTCTCAGCCCACCGGTGAAAGAGGAGGACGCCAATCCGATGGATACTCCAACCATCTCGCGATCATTGTCACGCTCTCGTGTCTCGGAGCCTATTGACATCGGCGAAGTCAATGTACAATTCCCCGATACACTCCTTTGGAAGCGCCGATTCATGCGGATCGATGAGAATGGGTACGTGGTTCTCACGCCCGGTACCACTGATGCAAGTGCTCGTAACATGACCAAGCGCTACCATCTCTCCGAGTTCCGGACCCCCTGCCTCCCCGACGAGGACATGCAGGAGCTGCCTAACAGTATCTTGCTGGACTTTTTAGACGGCAGCACCCTTCAGTGCGCTTGTGAGTCACGGCAGGGACAGTTGTCTGCCCTTCAGAGTAAGTCTTGCTCGAATCTTTGCTCTATGGGATCCATGCTAATCCAATGATACAGCCCTTATCGATGCTCACGGCGCGCATCAGCAATAGACCTTTCATCAACGCCTGAACAGGACTCCTTCCTCCACTGGCTATCTTTTGCTTCATTCTTCTTTTTTCCAACTTTACATTTTGAGCCACATCTATCAGCGCAGCTCATCCGCGTCTGTGTCCATCATCTCATAACCCCTTGATCATTACCAGCTAGACCTTGCGTCTTCCTTTCCTTCCATTTCCCACCTTATCGGTTCCTTTCCTATCTCTCTTCTTACTCTCGTCCTTTGACCTTATCTCTTTCCCTCAATTCGTGTCTAAATGCGTGATATATGTGGCATGTTCCGTGGTTATACCCCTCCTTCAAGTCAAAAAGCTCTTTCCTTCGAACTTCTCCCATGTACAGGTGAACGAAGATAGACCGATATCTATCTTGCATCCGCCTCTTTTGAGGCCCAGGAGTTTGTCTTATCAACTTCTTTCTTTCTTCGGCCTCAATTTCTGAATGCATTTGAACGGGATCACCGATGGATGTCTCGGGTAGTTCTGTTGCAACAGGAACATCATGCGGCTTGGTGTTGTACATAAGGCTATGCACTATTCTAAAATGAGACCCAGTACTAGTAATTACCGATACAACTCTCGTAAGTCTATCAGGTAAACTCCCGAGTCCTGCAATGACCCTGTCATTCATGGCTCTAGAGACGTTCTATTGCGCACGGAGTGACACTCATCAACCTACAAACTTGAGAGTATACCACACCACCCGCAAACAAGCACAAGGGTAAAACAACACATCGCAGCAACAAACCTAAGTAGCAAAAGCAAGCAGAAAAAGTCACACAAAGACTAAGAGGACAAGCAATCCGACTCCAACCCATGAGCGCGGGCGGATGCGCATTTATCTGTCCCACAAACCATGCCACGTTCCAAGTTTAGACTCTGTTTCTTTCAGCGGAGGCAGCATTCCGTCCACCGTAACATGGAACGTTAACACCCAATGTCACACACGTAAGTCCGGGATAGGCTTCCCCGAATTATCGGTATCGGCTCGGAAAGGGCTGCCCGGGTGGAAGGCTGCCGGGCTGCGTCACCAATACGTACAAGTACAAAACAAGGGAAGTAGGATGCGAGGGAACACAGGCAAGGCAAAGAGTTTATGCATCTGGCCGAGTATAAAGATGGCGTGATATCTCTTTCTTCCAGAGTTGAATAGAAACCAACGGGTCGTTATTGACTGCATTTTCAAATCTCCTTCCAACCTTTCTAGTTCCACTTCCTCAATCTTCATCTTCACTTCACAATGAAGTTCCTTGGTATTATTCAGTTCTTATCAATCGCAAGCGCTCTCGCCTCATCCCACAGAAGAGCACAGCCCCTCGAAATCCAAGGCCTCTCAGCAAACCAATACTCCAACATAACCCTCAGCACGCTCCATTTCACGGTCCACGACCCTAGCACCGACGTAACCGATGACTGCAACGTTTCCTGGTAAGCATATTCTCGCCCTGGAGCACTCTGTTTAAACATATACAAGTGTGTACCTTCTAACCCCATACAGGAACACCAGCAGTATTAACCAGCCAGGCCTCGCACCACGAAAGTGTCTACGCGGACAATTTGAATTCGGCTTCCGCTATGGCATCGGCAATATCGAGAATTTTACTCTGGTGGTGCAACAGGTTAATGGGTCTGCGCAGGGCTCGTCCGTTGTTACGGCGTACAGGAGAAATCCAGACTGGATCTGTTTGCAGAATCCGGTGCAGGGGGTTAAGGAGCGGTGTGTTTGGAATGGGACGTTGAGTATTAATGTGTAAAGTTCCCACGATTGATGGCCGTTATGTGGATGACGGTGGCCATTGGATTGGATTTGTACGTTGGTTACTGGGAGGCTCTCCGTGAGACTGTGGTGTATATTGATATAGATTTCCTGTGCTATTCAATCTCTCGAATGCTTCATTCTTATTTGGATCTGTCTACAGAGTGTACTGTTTTGATGCGGTCTGCTGGGCTGACCAGCAAGGAAGAAAGGGCTAAAGTTTCGAGAGAAGCAAGATCTGCATTCTAGCAAATGTACAGATTGGTGTCTCTGAAGCCAGCATTATATCTAAGCCGTCCATATCTGGGTCTTCAACGGCGTACCTATTCAAGGGGTCGAAGCCAGCTCTCGAGCGCCATGATCGTATGTCGTCGTCCGATTCCACGCATCGTGATCGTGAAAGGGCTCGTTCATCTCACGTAGTGTGTCCATTCACCTGGTCCTGCGTTTCCGCAGAACGTGGCTTTTTTGGGGTGAGCATTGCCATCACATCTTCCGGTTCGACCGCGTTTCCATTCTCGTTCTTGACGGGATACAGCTCGGGGAAGGCGGTCCGCTTCTGCTGCAGATGCTGACCGACTAAGTATTTCATGAGGTTGCTCACGGGCATGGTTGAGTGCATGCGTCGCTCGGTTTCAACGAGCTCGACTCGCATCTGCACCTCCCAATCATGCTCCCCGGCGTGGTCCTCAATCTGCTTCCTGCGCTCGAGTCCCTTGCTAGTGAGGACTGTGGCGCATCCGGGCATTCGGCATGCCCAAGTCTCAGACTCATCAGGCGCATTTACTATGCTGACCTCTGAGGTCCACTGGCCTGTGCTGGGGGCTGTGGTTGCGTGTGTGTGTGCTGGTTCGGCTGAGAGTACGCTCTTCAACAGAGAGGCAGCAGCAGACCGGGTATTGGTATTTTTGAAGTCGGGTTTGGGTCGGGCTTTTTCAGATGCAAGAGGTGTGCGAATGAGCTCATGCCCGCGGCTCTTGCTGGGTGTATCGATGTCCTCCATTCGGGTATCGTCATCATCTTCGTCATCGTCGTCGGACTCAACGTTCTGCTGATTCGCAGTTGTGCTACGATGTCGTTTGCCCATGACCTTATTTGAGACAGAGGCATTTTTGGGCCGAAGAACGGACTTTTGAGTCCGACCCAGCTCTTCATCGCTGGAATCATCCAGTAGAGGTAGGGGTGTTAGGAGGGAGGGTGGTAGAGACGTGTGTTTCGAGGCAGCTTCTGAGAGTTCTCGGTGGATGACATAGCGAGACCACTTGAACCTTGTCTCTCCTTCCTGGTCTTCTTCATCCAGCTTCTCCAGCACGGCACTCGATCTGGCGTCGATGATCTGGCGGGCATCGTCCTTGATGAGTGAATACCGAGTGGACAGGCGTTCTATCACAAGATCAAAGTTCAGCCGGCGCTTTGCCAGATGTCCCTCGTCTTTTAACTCGTGGATTAGCTGGTAGACGGCATCAGCCTGTGATTTAGAAATTGCACCCGGGTCGTGTCGAGGAGTGGACACCAAGGGCATCTCTTCGTCTTCATGGTCATCGGGATTGGGTGATTGCTGATCCACAAGCTTCCGGTACTCGTCCTACATAGATATGAGTCAGTATCAACAGAAGATATTAGTGTCAACAGAGCATAATGGGCGACTCACGGGGAATTGGCGACGTAAGTGAACAAACACATTGGTTTGTTTCCAGTCCACATCTTCATCTTCATCTTCAATCATGCATCGGAGTAAGAAAGGCGCATGTTCTGCAAACACTTCGGCCGACTGTTCCCAGATTTCGCAATCACCGTGTGTGTGGAAGACGTACTGTTCGGAGTTTAGCTTGAAGGTTGCGGGTGGAGAAGCTCAGAGCTCACCTGTCGACAAAGGTTCTTGAATGTGGGATTGATCTGCTTTTTCCCTTGCTTGTGCCTGTCAATCAGGAAATACAGCATGTCAACTGCCTGGACCATGCGATTGAACGTCGGCAGATAGCCTTTAGCAGGCGAGATGAGGTACCAGCCGGCCTTGCCAGCAACCCAGATCTCGACACTGCGATCCTCCGTCTGACCATAAGCATAGTGTGTGACATCGTCGATGATAATGCGCTTCGAAGGGGAGTCCGGATCGAGAGCTAGAGAGAATGCGATAAGTGAGCAACAGCAAGCTTGATAGACGCGTACGATAAGCGTCACGGGTAATCGAGGACGCACCGAGATGTTCCTGGTGTTTCTTGAGCTCCAGACATCCAATCACTTGCACCGGATTATCTTCGGAGGCGTCGAGGACATTCGCGTAGAGCATCTTGCCGGGTCGCAAGACCTTCACGTCGGTCAAATCGAACTCCCACCAATCATTCTCATCGGTGATGGAGGGATCGATGGGAGGCAGGACGGTTTCTTCGCGGGCTGTCATGGTTGCGCGCGCGGCATGGTGGGTTAAAGGGAAGGAGAGGTGCAACCGCGAATGAACGAAGTCGAAGTCGAGGTGGCATGGAAGGAAAGAGACAAGAGCAGTGAGTTGGAATCTCGCAACAACATTGAAGGGTCCCATCGATGTCCGGTAAAGTTACCGGTACCTTATCGGTACCCGCGATCCCCATAAATTACGTCCTCGGGCTTTTTCTCTTCTCCAACCGTGCAACAGATGCCATTTCCGCGAGGCTTTCGACTTTTTCGCACTTCTATGTCGGGCGAAAAGATCGTCGAGGGCGTCTTCGGTATGTCTACTCTTGGTTTCCACTGAGACGCATCACTGACTTCACAGCCGTTCACAAGCCGCAAGGCGTCACCTCCGCCGATGTGATTCGCACCTTGCAGAAGCATTTCAACCCCTCCAAGACCTTCAAGCCATGGCTTGATGAGGAGAAAGCCCGCCGGGATCGTGAGAGCAAGTTCCAGAAAAAGCGCCGCCGTCATCCCAAGCGATGCGAAGTTAAGCTGGGACATGGCGGAACATTGGATCCGCTTGCGACGGGAGTGCTCGTCGCCGGTGTGGGCAAAGGCACAAAGTCACTGCAGGACTTCCTGACATGTACCAAGTCCTACGAAACAATTGTCCTCTTCGGTGCCGAGACAGATACCTACGATCGACTGGGGAAGATCGTGCGCCGGGCCCCGTACGAGCATGTTACGCGCGAGGCTGTCGAGAAGGCACTGGAGCAATTCCGTGGAAAGATTATGCAGCGACCTCCTATCTTTTCGGCACTGCGAGTGCAGGGAAAGCATTTCTATGAATACGCGCGTGAAGGCAAAATGCCGCCGGTCGAGATCAAGGAGAGACCGGTGGAGGTCGTGAGCATGGATGTTGTGGAATGGTACGAGCCTGGAACTCACGAATTCAAGTGGCCCGAGGAAGAGATGACTGGTGATGAGAAGATTGTTTGCGAGCAGCTTCTGGACAAGGAATCATTGCCTGCGGCTTCAGAAGGTGAATCTGCCGGCCATGAGTCATCCAACAAGCGCAAGTCGCCCCCTCCTGCAAATCCCACCCAAGAGGAAGATCAAGAAGCGGGCAAAAAGCAAAAAGTTTCCGAGGACGGTGCGGCGCAAGCAGTGGCACCTGAACCTATCGCCCCGGAGCCGGCCACAGAAGAGGCTCCCACCACACATGTCGAGCAGCCGCGACCCCAGCCGGCAGCCGTGAAGATTAGTATGACTGTCACTTCCGGTTTCTACGTCCGCTCGCTGGCGCACGATTTAGGCAAAGCCGTTGGCAGCTGTGGCCTGATGAGTGAGCTTGTGCGGAGTCGCCAAGCTGACTTTGTACTCCAACCCGACAAGATCCTGGAGTATAAAGATCTGGAAGCGGGCGAAGAGGTTTGGGGCCCAAAGGTGCAGAAGTTCCTTGAGGAGTGGGAGAACAAGAGGGCTACCAAGGCAGAGGCTCAAGCCGCGGAAGCTCAACAATAGATGTATCCGAGCGAAACGGTTATAATTGTATAAAAGTTTCTATTCCAAGTACTTAACAATTTGAAGATACGAATTGGAAAATATTTGGTTCATGATTATCTGAATATTTTCCGCTGATTCAAATGTTTTCAAGACGTAAGGTTTTAGCCCTCTGTATATACCACCACTTAAGTGTCGAGCGGACATCGCTATAGCATAGCAGATACGGAATCTGTTGTCATAAAAAGGAAACTCGATTGACCATGTGCAAATGCAGGGTAAAGATTCTAGTTATTACAGAAAGCAACGGTGAATGTACCACCCTTCGAAATTTTTTTTGCACCTCATGCGCCTTCACCACCGACCCGGATCCTTCTCACGGCTTTACAGTCGGCCCTTGGCGGCGCGCTTGCTCTTGCCGGGCCGCTTGGCTCCGCCGGCCTTCATCTTCTTCTGAGAAAAGCTGCGCATGTCACCACTGGAGGCAGCGTCGCCGCTTTTCGAGAAGCGCTTCTTGCCACCGAAGCCGAACTTCTGATCTCTCTTCTGGCGCTTGTTGTTGGGGCCATCACCGGCACCACGGCCGCGCTTGCGATCGGGCTTGTCAGTATCCTCGATGGCAACATCGAAGAGGTCATTGGCGTCATCGGTGGGGGCAGAAGTGTCAGCCTTGCGCTCTGTGGAACATATCGTTAGCAAGTTTGTCCAAGAATCATCAACAAAGGACGTCAACATACTCTTCTTCAAGGCAGTGATCTTATCAAGAGTCTCGCGCTTCTCCTTGGCTCTCTGCTGCAGCTTGGCGACCTGCACCTGCTTGCCGAACTTCTTCAGATCACGCTGGCGGCGTGCCTCAGCGGCGGCCTTCTTGCCAGCAGCCTCGTCATACAGCTTCTTCTTGATCTTGTCCATGTGCTCGTCGTTCTTGACCATCTCCGCGAAGTAGTCCCCGGGGCGGGTGAAGGAGATACCCTCCTTCTTCAACAGGCCGCGGGCCGAGATAGCGGCAGCCTGGCAGACCTTGTAGAAGGCCAATTCGCGGTTCAAGTCATCGTTGGGGTCTTCAACCTCGATAGGCTCTTGCGAGACTAAGGAGTTGTGCTCGGAGAATGGGGTCTGGGAGGTGATGAAGGAGATGCGCTTGAGGGAGGAGGTAATGGCGGCAGAGTTGTTGATGGTGAGACGCTGGTGCGGGACGATATCCTCACGCTCGTCGTCTTCGAGGTCTGAAAGCGGGATATCTTCTTCCTCTTCCTCCTCGTCCTCGTCTTCCTCGTCGTCAACAACATCCTCGGCTTCGTCGTCCTCCTGTACCTGCTCCTCATTCTCCTCAGCTTCGGAGCTAGCAACCTCCTCGTCCTCCTCCTCAACCTGCTTGGCGGCCTCTGCGCCGGCCGGGCCCTTCTTCACGCCTTTGCGCTTCTCAGCGGCCTTGACCTGCTTCTTCTGCTTCTCAGCATCGTAGTCCCGGCCCTTGTGGGCATCGAGAGCCTGAAGGAGTTTGCTTCGTTTGACCATCGTGTCTGATCTGCGGGGAATTGAGGTTGGAGAATGACGGTGAAAAAGCAGCTGGCAATGCTACGGGATTTTTTTGAACTCGGACCAGGCCCGATACGGTTAGCGTCAGCGATAAGGCGCTACAAGTGGTTAGCGCGCGTCGGGCCTGGAAATACAGATGATCCGGGCTTATCGGGCTGCCCTACTCTGCTCCTCCGCCTCCACGAGTCCAGTAAACATCACCAGTACCACCATGGCTGAGGAATCTGCTGCCGAAAAGGCCCCTGCTGGGGAGTCCTTCTTGTCACAGCCGGTAATTGCCTACTTTGCAAGCACAACGTCGGTTCCCCCGCTAATCCACCGCAGAACTCCGATGCCCAAGGCCAACTCACCGCGGCCGTCGACGAGCTCCTCGACCAACTCCAAAGCAAGTTCGACAATGTCTCGAAAGAGGTGTTTGGGAAATGTGCGTTCACTCCCATTCAACTGGCGCCCCAGCTGCTCTCGTTTATGCACGACTCAAGACTGACTCTTTCGCAGTGGACGACATGACCCGCCGACTGGACGAACTGGAGGCTTCTTTAGTTTCCTCCGGAGGTGACTCGGCCTCTGTGACACCAACTAAATAGGAGCCGCCCTGTTTGTGATCCGAGAAGACGTGTTGCATATGGCGTTACTTGGTGCAGAGCGATAATTGAGCGCTATGTTTGGATCTCATGGTTCCGTGGCCGATTCCGACTCTACATCTCCTATCACTCAACCGTTTGAGCTTGGCCTGCAGCTTTTTTGTTTATGCTTTAATGAAGATACCCTACGTTTATACAAGACAGCCTTTGCAGAACAATTTTCGAATTTATAACCATTTTTCATATACAGACACGGGCCTCAGCAGAAAAAAGTAGTGAGACCCAGATTGTTGTTCTGGATTTCTCAATTCATACAATACAGCATCAAGCCAATGTTCTTCTAGCCATCCAAATCGAATATTCATCAGGTGGGTATGGAGGTTGGCCTTCCATGCAGCTTTCCCCCCAAGACCCAATCCGCTTGATTAAGCAAAAGATAAAAACGAGCTTAGAGCTCATCCTTACCAGCCTGCTGGTCCTCACCAACAAAGCCACGCAGGATGTTGCTCCGCGAGACAAAGTCGTCAATCTTCTCGGGGGCGGAACCGCCCTTCTTCAGAATCTTGACGAGACGAGCCAGCTCCTTGGAAGCGTACTCGCCGTTCTCGCTCAGCTTGGTAGCAACCTTGATATAGTACTGAGCGTACTTGTCCTGCAGGCCCTTGGCAACCTTCTTGATCTCGGCAGCGAGCTTTTCGAACTTCTGCGCGGGCGCGTACTCGGCAACCAGCTTGTCCAGCGCCTCAACGGTGCCAGCTTTGCTGTTCAGACCGCCGCCAACGGAGCGGCTGGATCCGGTCTTGCTGTTCAGGAACTCGACGAATGCCTCCTCGGAGCGGGCACCAGCGTACGCCTCGGCCTCGGTCGAGCCCTTGGCGAAGAACTTGATAGTCGGGTAACCGGTGACGCCCTGCTCTTTGGCCAGGGCGCGGGCGTTCTCAGCCTCGGCGTCAACCTTGGCGATCACGATGTTGTTCTCGAGGGCAAAGTCATTGGCGAGGGTTTCCCAGATGGGGGCGAGGGTCTTGCAGTCTGTGATAAGAGGGATACGGTTAGAACGAACGCGAATGAGACGAATCAAGACATGACAACTTACGACCGCACCACGGTGCAGTGAACGCAACCAGGACATCCTTGTCACCACCAACGGTAGTCTTGAAAGTGGCGTCATTCAGGAACTCAACCCTGCTGGGCTCCTTCTGCGCACCGCGAGGCTTGATGCCAGTCTTCTCGGTGATGAAGGCAGACAAGCTCTCCAGATCACGACCACCCTTATATTCCTCAGGCGTGTCGCTCTTTCCATCGAACCACTTAACGGTAGGGAAGCCCTGAATGGCGAAGCGCTTGCCCAGGTCGCGGTTCGCGTCAGCGTCGACCTTGCCGATGGTAACCTTATCCTCGGCGAAAGCAAAGGCAGAGGCGAGCTCCTCGTAGATGGGGGCGAGGGTCTTGCAGTGGCCACACCAGGGGGCGAAGAATTCAACAAGAGCGGGCTTGCCGGAATTCAGGACAACGTTGTCGAAGTTCTTAGGGATGAGGTCTTTGACAGCGGAGCTAGCGTCGGCAAAGCCGCTGAGCACGGTGAGGGTGCTCGCCAGCAGGTAGCTTAGACGAACCATTGTGAGTGTTGGTATAGGGGAAGATGTGAAGGTTGGATCAACTTCCAGGAGGGAATTGGGGCTGCAATTGGCGTCTCGGGGATGATGACAAAACAACCCAAGAGGCCACTTGGTGCCTCCGCTCCATCAGCTCCGCAGATCATCCGCGGCCCCATGTGTTCAAGTACTACATCTCTTTACGTGTCCCCGGTTCCACGGTGAGGCCTTTTATCCTTTTTTCTTTCTTACTAGATAGTAATACAGTAGTGGTCCGCCATCAAATTCCAGGATAATTCATGCAAATCGATCGTTGGGAGGCATGAAGCTCAGATGCGACCCGCGTACATTATAAGCCGGAAATCCTCTCGTCGATATAGAGCTTTGCTTCTTTTACCGTCGCTCCGACAACCACTTGTTCGCATCGTCCCACAGCTTCGCATCCTTAATCTCCTTGCCGGCATGCTGTGTTCCCTTGTAGACCTGTGCAAAGTTATTAGCCAAGCTCTAAGCTCCGTCTGCCGCAGAGGACAGGTACATACCGCATCCCAGAGCTTGAATGCCAGATCCAGGTTTCCAGTAAAGCTCTCGCTGTGTTGGAACCATTCTTTGCCCTTTGACTTGACCTCTGCCCGAGCCTCGGGTGAGGTGGGGTTTGCTTGCAGGGGGAGGTCATCCAAGTAAGTGCGTACAGCGATGCCAAGACCGCAATCATTATCATCAACAAATGGTAGCCTGAAGTATGGGGTTAGAAGAGGAGACACTCTTTGAGCAGTACAAGGAAGAACGTACTTAATTCCCAGCTCCGGCCAGTCCTTACGGTCCCGTTCGGCATCGCCGCTAAGCAGCAGGCTGGCCAGCACCACTTCAACCAGATTCCTCAGCGCGGATCGTACTTCGGAAACCAGAGAGCGGTAGCACAGCAGCTGCCGGCTCAGGGGGCCAGAATATCCAATTGCCTTATGCTGCAGCTTGGCAATGCAAGCAACCCGGGAGACCAGCATGTTGAAAGTCTTGTCCTCCTCTAAATATTTGGTGTTAGCCTGTCCACTATATGCAGAGATCATCCGGAAAGGACCTACCCGATCCCCTCATCGGTCCTCCCGATACGTGTGCGAACCAGTGCGTGGTGTTGAGAAGGTCCATGCGAAGCATCTCGACAGCAATAAAAACAGCTTCTTCAAGATTACCCGCAGGGTCCACAACCGAGAGTGCTGATTCCAGACACTTGCCCCAGGCAGTGAGCTTGTGCTTATCATCGACATATCCGCGCAGTTGCAAGAATCGCCACATTACGTTGGACAGAATGTCTTCTTGTGCTGACAAGATCTATGGAACTGTTAGCTGTGCAAGTGGAAAAGATCAGTTCAACATACAGGCATCTCTTTAGTAGCAAATGTCTTCGACGCAAAGTCCGAATTGCTTAAGCTCTGAATGGCAAACTTGAATGACCCGCGAGGAGCCTGCAGTTTCTTGACACTCTCGGGGAATTGGTCTCCGGAAACTTTCCAGGATGAAATGGTATCCTTGACCGAAGGGAGATTCTTGAGGTTGATCGTCCGCTCGGAGTTGTCATCAAACCATGGTTGAATTTTAATCACTTTGGTCTGGTAGAATCGGTGGAGACAGTTTGCCAGCAGGCAGATTGACTGTGTGCGGATTGGAGTAAGGTCATCCCCCACAAGCTGACGGTAAACTTCAGTGTCTTCTGTGCCCAGCGGCAGATCAATGCGCACTTCACCCGACGTCAAGGTGTTTGGTACTTCCGGGCCCAGGATTCCCTTGGACAGATAGAAGTAGAGTTCTTCCGGCAGCCGCTGGCCGATGAGCTCATGCATATCTGAAGAAGTGGATTCGGGATCCATGGGGGCAACCCGGCCGTCGATATCCACGTAGACATGGTGCTTCACAATCATCCATGCGCGCTTGTAGCGGTCTGTGTACTGGAACTCCTGCATGCGACGGTCGTCTTCGAACTGAGCACACAAGGTCAAGGCGTTCCGTCCGGCTGCGTTGAACATAGGGAGAGCATCGCGAATGGCAGGAAGTTTGCCGGGGAATCCGGGGTTTTCAAAAAGTGGGCAGGGGCGCAGGAACGGAGAGCCCAGAAGCAAGCAGAAGTCTAAGAATTGGTCATTGGACAGACGTCCCAGCTCTTCTTGGCAGGTCTGCTTGTTGATCCAGAAAAACTGGGCGGGCTCGGTCTCAATCTTGGTCACCAGCTTATCCAGGTCAAACATAAGGATCTCGGAAGGTCCATAAACGGCATCGATCACGGGGTTGGTGCCACGGTGAAGATAGGCAAGCTGTTCGAGCACGGGTTGTTAGTTATCAGTGTCTCCCAAACGACATAATTCTTGTTGGATGTTTACCTGAGCAGCTGCGCTATACGGCGCCACCATAAAGGAGACACGGTTCTCGTTCAGGATCCGCTGCAGGAACTTGTAGAGGGTTTCCGGGGGTGGGGTCCCTGAGGTGAGGGCTTGGTCAGCGATTAGTGGTGAGATTGGCGAAAGCACCTGATAGGATCTGACACTGGGGATGCAGGTCGCCCAGAGATGCGAGAACTGAAGAGTATAGAAAGTGGGCATACCGGCATTGCTGAAGGCATCGACAACCTGGTCGGCTTGCTGCTGATCATAGAGCTCCCAGGCCTGCTCGAAGGAGCGCACCGACGCGGGCGAAGTGTTCGTGCGGTGTTCCTTCTTACCGAAGTCAAGGCCATTAAAGACGAAGACACAGCCAACCCCCAGGTTCTTGAAGGTCTGGAGCTCCTTCTCGATGTTGTTCTTCAGGGCGAATGGGAAGCCACCGAGAGCGCCCAACAGGGCCTCGCGGGTGGACTGGTTGGTCAGGTGCTGGGAAATATAGTGCGATGCATCGATACCGACGACCGCGCCCTTCAAGGCGGAGAGGGGGAGGGACTGGCGACGGCCATTGACCCAATCGTCAAACGGACGGACTAGAGAGGAGGGCATTAGGGTAAGCGCACAGCAGGGACGGGAATTCTTACTGGGCATGGTGAAGCTGGGCAAAGAGCGCGGCTATCTGCCGAGCATTGAGGCCCAAAAAAAGGAGGGGGGGGAGTGGGTGGGATGAGAGGAATGTCTTGAGGGCAGGTTCGCGATGTTGCGAAATGACGAGGGGAGGAAAGCGGAGTTGCAGCTGGCCTTTGTTTTTTCTGGGCAGCGAACCCCTTCAATGCAGCACAGCGCTTAACGGATGCACCTATCTTTGGTCAATTCTAGTCTACCTTATTTTGCAAACTCCGTTTTGTATTTTGTCACTAACTTAGTTCTAGCCTATGTTCCAAAACGCAGAGCTGAGATTAACTGGTCGACTCGTGCGGATCGCAGGAGTTGCCTGAAGGGTCTAGAACACCCAGGTATATTGATAGAGCTACTAAGAGCCTCGTTCCAAATTCAAATGTGCTCGGTCCCATTGTATAATAAACTCTATGCTTTTAATGCCAAATACATGGCCAATTATTTCGGTTGTTCCAAGGTTATGACTTATCGGATGCTCGGGGGATCAAAGTCGCCCGGAGAGCCATGAACGCAGCATCGCGGGGAACAATTCTGCTGGTCGGAAGTCGCCTGTGAGCGGGGTCCATGGAACGCGGGTCTGATAATGACATTCGTGGATTAGTTAGATATGCCAGATACGCGATAGGCCCGAGCCATGTTCCTAGCGTCCCAAGTATATATGTCTCTTCCGCCTCCACATCTGTTCTTGGATTCACCCGCTCTCAAAATGTCCGACGTTACGGCCCCGATTGAACTCCCTGTTATTGACATTTCCGATCCACATGACCCTGCCGTAGGCAAGGCGATGCTGGATGCTGCTGCAAAGTATGGTTTCCTCTATGTGAATAGCAAGGGCTCCGACTTTACCGTTGAGGATGTGGATCGTGGGTTCGGCTTGGTATGTACGCTGCATTTCGTCAAGACACAGTTTCTGACTGTCGCTATAGTCGAAGAAGTTCTTCGCATCTCCCGCTGCGGAGAAGGAGCCATGTCGCATCACGCCCAATGTTAGTGGCCGCGGCCCGGTGCATTTTCCACGGCTCCAGCTCATATTGACTCACGTTTATAGAACCGGGGGTGGTCCGGGATGCATACGGAGACACTCGATCCTGAGCACCAGCGGGTACGTCAAGAGCTATACCCTCATCTATACTCCTGAACTAACATAGTATCCCAGACCGGAGACTTTAAAGAGTACATACCCAGTAGCATCACCTGAACCAACCCTAACTGACCTCTCGCAGAGCCATGAACTTCGGCGACTTCAAAGATGGCAAAGCCCAACAACCACTACCGGCATCACTAGTCCCGCACGAGTCCGAGATCCATGACTTCGCAAAGCTGTGCAACAAGACCTGCACTCGGGTCCTGAACCTACTCGCTCTTGGCCTGGAGATGCCCTCCGACTTCTTCACCACCCGCCACGACCCCAGCAAGGGCCCAACAGGCAGCATCTTGCGATACTTGTACTATCCATCGATCTTTTCACCAGCAACAGCATCCTACAAGCACGACAAGGACGTGCGAGCCGGCGCACACTCCGACTACGGCAGCATCACGTTGCTCTTCCAGCGACCCGGACAGCCGGGACTGGAGATCTTGACTCCGGAAGGATCCTGGGCGCCGGTTCCTATCGTACCAGGTCCACAGCCCGATGCGTTCCCGTTCCCACCTATCCTGGTAAATATCGGTGACCTGTTGAGTTATTGGACTGATGGACTGCTCAAGTCGACTGTGCATCGGGTTGTGTTTCCGTTGGCGGAGCAGCGGAGCCCGAATCCTCAGGATCGGTATACGCTTGTGTACTTCTGCCACCCGGTGGATTCGACGGAGCTGGTGCCCGTTCCTAGTAAGGTTGTGACGGAGCATCGGGAGCGGAGCGGTGGAGTTGGCGTGGTTGGGTTTGGTGGCGGTGCGGGCTCTTTGGAGCCGGGGAAGAGACCGTTGACTGCGCAGGAGCATTTGGAGTCGCGGCTGGCGGCGACGTACGGATTTACGAAGGAGTAATTACTTAGTATCAACGTTCAGATGCAAATGGGTTCATTCATGATGAAACGACGGTGCTAATGAGTGGAAGAAAAACGCCGGTGCCGTGGCGGCAAAGTGCAGACAATAAAGAGACGAATCCTCCGGGACGTAAATCAGCATCGTAGATGGGATCGAAGAAAGGAGAATGCTGGCAGAGACCGGTGGACGGTCGGAATGTGATGTTGTCCATCTAAGGACATAGGAAACTCGTGACAAAGCGCGATTAGGTATGAGAAGAGCATTGCGGTTCCGAGGGGAATAGAAGATCAAAGACGTAAAGGGAATCCAACACATGAAGATGAGGAAAAGGAGATGTACACTCATGACGGCTGAAGACACTATGTGAGTTTAGAGTAAGACGGCCCACAGCCAATAGGCCCGATATGAAGAATGGACCAACGAGGAAACTGAAGGGGGCGATAAAAAAAGATATGCGCGCGAGAAGAGGAAGAAGCCAGACAGCATGTAAAAAGGTATCTTTCGGGAGGCCGAATTGGAAACGCCGCCAGATTTTGCAATGCCATGCGCGAGTGAGACGTAAGACTTTGGAACAAAATGTAGGGTAGAAGGGTGACGGAATATGACGCTATGCGAGCCAGTATGCATGGAAATCAGAAATGGAAACACCTTGGAAGTCGTCGGGTCGTATCAAGGGGTCGTGTGACACCAGTGGCGATGGTACACCCAGGCGGCCTTCTGGCAGTCTTTGCTGCAGTATTTGGTGCGGCGGCAGCGCCGACACTTGGCAAACTGTCGCTGGAACTCCTCCCACTTGCCACACTTGTAGTAGGCACATTGACGGATGCCACCTCGTGACTCATCCTTGCGGCAGAGATTTCGCATGACCACGCATGCCCAGTACTGCATATCCTTCGAGTGGTGTCGAACGGTGAACTTCTCCACCAGGGGGAAGATGTTGACATCGTCGGGAAGCAGATACTCGTCTTCATCCTCAGGCATCTCGACTGGAGAAGACGGATCGGCGTTCTCATCTAAGAGGTGCAGCTCGCGATCGATCTTGAGCTTGGGGACCAGGTGCGAGCGTTGGAAGTATGATCGAAGATTGCAGTACTTAGACACATAGGCCAAAAGTTGCAACGACATCAACACATCTTCGTCGCGAGGCATGGTCGTCAAGACGTTTTGAGAGACGGGCATGTTTCGGTCGCGGAGGTACATGGCGTAGGGGCTGGGTGCGAGAGTAGGAGAGTTAGGATTGTTTGGGGCTTGAGTTGGGGAAAGACCCAAGCCACCGGCGGTCTGCGTGGTATTGTTGTTGATGATGCTGCCGTCAACGGCAGAGCGGTGCGCAATATTGAATGTCTCGGCTTCCTGGCCCTCCTCAGAAGGATCGGTCACTGTCAGACCGTGTGTAGTGGAGACATCGTCAATCATTGCGGTCTGTTGCTCATCGACGCCGTCAATCTCCATCCGGTTTGGGAGACCAACGATGGGCTCGTCGGTCTGACCCAGGACGGTATCATCTCCCATGGTTGAGTCTTCACCATTGGCGTCATCCGACTCGCCGGAGGCAGAAAGCTGCTGCCGAATGGCAGGGCGATGTCTGACAGGCGGAGGAGGTGGGGGGACGCTTCGAGATTGAGGCTGAAGAGGGCCACTTGGGGTGGTTGGGGAGTCGGGTTGAGAGATGATGCCAGTCTGTAGTCCGGGAAGCATGCTAGGAAGGCGTTCCGCATCGCGGACAGGTCGCAGACCGAACCCTTCGGTGCCATCTATGGGAACGACAGCGGTGGCGAGGGGTTGCATCGTGCGCAATCGATGGCTTGTACGGGAGTACCGGCCCTCATGAGACCGATGAGAGTGAGCCTCCGGTCGGAAGGTCCTTCGTTCGGGCGGCGAGGTCATGGGGGCACGAGGAGGAGAGGTGATATCCATCGCATCGGAGTCGGTCGGTTGAGTTTCCTGGTAGTAGGTGGGTTGCGGGATTTCGATACTCGGAGGAGGGGCCTGTCGGCGGGAGGAGCGTGATTCGGCGTGGGCGGTGGACTCGGGAACGGGGGTGCGTCCAGCGACCTCGCGAGTCGATGCACTCGATTTACCCGCCTGGCGGCTGGACGAGTGCTTGTGAGGCTCAGCCTCACCACGGGCGCGGACCTTGTCCACTACCTTGATGTAGTTGTCGAGGATGGTGGCGATCACAGGGACCATGTCGGCTTCCACCACTCTAGTCCGCACACTTTCCGAGCCACGAACACCGATGTTGACGACACACTGGAAGGCGAGACTCCATTTCCACATTTCCATCAAATCCTTGCTCCTGCCCTCCTTCAGGATGCACACGAGCCTTTCGATGCCGCCATCGACGGTGAGGATGTCCCGAATCCGGGCGGACGAGGTCGTGAGGTATGCAAGGTGATTGAGCGAGTTTATCAGGGGCAAGGTTGATGTGCAGTCAAGGGCTCGTCTGTCATAGAGGGTGGTTGTGATGTTGACCGAGGCCTTGTTCACATTAGGGATGCTGAAATTGACTTCCCGCATGGTGAATGAGATATAGCGATCACGCAGTCAAGATACTAAAAACGATAAAAGCGTAAAGGACGGAATGGCATCCAGGTCGAGAAGAAACAAAGGACCAGATGATGAGGACCTTGACGATGCCTATACGGTGGGATTTCAGCCCCCTACCGGCGGGGATAGCGCCCACGGTGACGAGATTAAAGAAACGTCACAAACTCAGTCGAGTTCAAGCCAGAGACATCAGGGACACCCGGATCGGGGAATAAGGGACGCCCGATGGATGAGTGGCTGGTTGTGGTGATGACTGACTCCACGGGGGAATCGGGAGAGGCGAAAGGGAGGCTGGACTTGGGGCGTGCGTTATAAGAGGGAGCCGGTGGTAGGTGGAATATAAACACCCCGGGGAGGAAGAACGAGAGAAAACAGAGATGAAGGTGAGTGCAACGAGGGCGAGGCACGATGGGGATGGCGAGGAGGAGAGGATGAAAAGCCTTTGAGGGCGAAAGCGGAGAGGCGTCAGGTGCCTCCTTAATATTACGGTACCCGCCCGAGGATTGGCTCCCGCCACCCTGAACAGACCTCGCTCTATTTTAAGTCGATGTGGCACGCTGCGGTGAAGATGAGAAATGTGTAGAGATTCAATACTGATCACGGTTGACGCTGTTCTTATTGTCGAGTGTCTAGAATCCCCGATCGTTGATGTGTCCGGCGCTGCCACTCTGCATGGCTCTTCCGAGAACCCTCGTGGCGGCATCGGTAGCGGAGTTCCCGACTGAGGGACTGGCGCAAAAGGGCCGAGCGCGCAGATGTGAAGAATCAACTAGCCTTGTCTTCTATCACATTTGAGGTTGAATCACGTATCATCCCATCTTCCATCCCACCTCGACTTTGTCCGATCTTTTTATCTGCCTCTTTTCCCTTTGAAACTTACTATCCACTTTGATACTGCCTATGGATCTATGGCAATGTTTTGATATCCATTTCACACTACCTTACCTAGGCTACGGTAATTCGATACAATGCCGAATGTCGATGAGATGTTGGCACCACCCTGAGCATTGTCTTTATCGAAGCGATGCCTCAGGGGACCTCCAAGGTAGAGACTAAATCAATAGTGGCCTCCTCCAGGGCTAGAACGGGACCCGTTCCCGAGATCCACGTCTGCCCTGAAGACGGGTTGTGGGATACCCTGTGGGCAAACTGCACGAAATAGTTTGATAGACATAGTCACGGAGCCATTGTCAAGTGCATATGGTCTGGGTCGAACTACGAGTACACGGACACACAGTGAATTAGAGCCGAGGATACTCCTGCTGCTCCCGCTACCCGGGTTTAGAATAGGGGGGTCTAGAACCATATCCCTGTGCAGCAACGAAGTACACAAGGAAGACATTAATAATGAAAGAGTCATCCTGACCCCCTCGTCTCGAGTGCAGACAGCCCGAGTCAAATACATGCCCAGGGCTTCCGTAGGTACGGCAGGGCTTCACGCTTGAAAGTATTCAAGATAATCGGCCCGACGAGTTCATTGAAATCGGGGCTGCAATGCGTTCGGCTGACGTTGAATATGAGACTCTCAGCAAATTTGAATGGCCTGGTCCAGGTCGCACCGGGCATTCACTTCGGCACTTGACTCAGCCTCAGCCGAACGAGGCAGCCTCATCGGGCCTGGCATTATGTGGACGCGCGCAGACGTACACCGTCATACGCGAAATAACGATCGGATGTTCTCATCCGATTTCAGCAGTATGTATTTTCAGGGCCTCACTGTAGATCCTCCGGGGTGGATCACGGTGGAGAGAGAGAGCTCGGCACGTTGAAAATCCAGTGGGCCGTCGAAAAGGAGATGCATGAAATCCGACGCCGCGCGTGAACCCGGTCGTGCTCTGCTGACAGGGAAGGCGCCCCAGGATGGTATTCCAGAAGCGCATATGCAGCATCCAGAAGGGAAAAACCACAACACCGGAGTCCCCCACGGAACCCGACGTAGTCCGCAACAGCAAATCATGATCAACCGTGACCGACGCGCCGAGAACCATCATTGTCGGGTTGAGCCCGGCAAGGAAAAAGGGGGCGATCAGAGATTGTCTTACGCGCAGTGGAGAACAGGGGACCGGTCTTCATATTCGCGGAAACGAGCCCATTCAGCCAATTTCTGGAAATGAAGTAACGCACGATCCAACGGGCGGGACCCGCCAGTACGGGCGCCGGAGCCAGAGTGCCGCAGATTACTTGACTTCGGAACTCTCAGGGAGGCTCTCCTGACGTGAAGATACATACGATACCTCTAGAGTGGCTCGGGGAGACGCGGATTAGTCAGCGCGGTGGGGTCTCTAGTTAGCACCTGGGCTCGGTGGTTTTGGTGAACCAGAGCTTGGGCCCGTACGGCGGGGTGGTACGGAGTACAGCAGGAGCTGAGCGTACGGTGTGTACCGAGTTCGCACTGAGGACCGTACCTATGTACCCGGCTACCTAGGTATCCCTAGGTGTATACCTAGTACGGAGATGGATAGTTGAAATAGGGACGAAGCCGAGAGAAGGCCAATCTCTGCGTTGGCGTCTACCGGTTTGGATGACCCCGACACCGTTTCCCCCTTTGTCGGGTTATGATCTCCGTTGCGGACCATGATGCCAGGGAGGCCCCAATCAGAGAGGGATGGATAAGATGACAGAGGCGGCTAAACTACTGTGAGTATAAAGCACTACGTGACGTGAAGAGGACAGGGGGTTTGCCTTGGTCTACACTCAGTAATAGGAGAGTGCCTGCCCCATCGTTCCGTCCATTTTTATTACTCCGCAATACCTATGGTACGTTACATCTATGAAGCCTCTATTAGTGTTGGTATTTTTCATCCCCTTTATTTTGCCCGGGGCTCGTTTTTCAGTTTGAAGTCGTCGACGGGTCGCGCTAGGCCGATCCCCAGCGCCACGGTGAAATATTCGGTTCAGGAGGGTATTCTCCCATCTGTACGAGTAACGATACCTACAGAGTCATCAAGCCCTGGAGAAGGAATCGAATGCAAGTCACTACGGTGCGAATTAGTCCAATGATACCTTGCACATTGCACAATAAGAAACGATGCTCAGGTACCCGGGAGGAATGGCCCCTCTTTCCCCCCTGGACGTGTATTGACGCCGTATTCTCGACCGACGACGGTCAGCCGATCGATCTAGGGGACGAAACGAAATAATGATCATGGCCAAGTCTGATAATTCATTAGGTAGCGAGAGTCTTCTCCTCATAGTTCACGTAGACCGAAAGATGAACGTGTGCGCAGGTCGAAAAAACAGGGCAATGTCATCAAGTTACCACTAGCAGCCGGTAATACACGCTCGACTCGCTCACCCCCTGTTCAGAACCTTCGATCGAATCCCTCTTCCTTTTTCCCCCAATTCGCGCCGTGGACTCGTACAGAATCCTCTCCCCCCCTTGCTAAGATTATTTTACACTGTATTATGATCACAGCGTGAAGACCTCACTCGGTCGCTTCCGCCTCTCTGTCCTCTTTCGCTCCACTTTCAACCCCCTCGCCTCAACCTTCCCCCTCCTACCTCAGTCCCCTTCTCGACTTGTCAACCACCCTTAGGTTGACATCTTCCAACCCCTCCCATTTTAATACAGTTGCTTTCAGGGGCCCTTGTCCGGCAAAATGGCCGACATGACCGGCGAACAGATGCAGGCCAAGATTACCGCGGCCAGGCGCGAAGCTGAGGGTTTGAAGGACAAGATCAAGCGTCGCAAGGATGAACTGGCCGATACCTCCCGTACGATTCTCTTAGCTCCTTCTGATGCCGGAACGGTCTTCCGGATTGGCCATTCGGCCCCCATTGAAGAGACTACCCGGGAAACATTGCTGACCTCTTGTCTACAGTTCGCCAGGTTGCGCAGAACCAGACAGACGCCCTCCCCCGAATTGGCATGAAACCGCGCCGGACGCTGAAGGGCCATCTTGCGAAGATCTACGCCATGCACTGGTCGACCGACCGCCGCCATCTCGTTTCGGCTTCGCAGGACGGAAAGCTCATCATCTGGGATGCCTACACCACCAACAAAGTTCACGCCATCCCTCTGCGATCCTCCTGGGTCATGACCTGTGCCTATGCGCCGAGCGGAAACTACGTTGCCTGCGGTGGTCTGGACAACATTTGTTCCATCTACAACCTGTCGTCACGCGAAGGTCCCACCCGTGTCGCGCGCGAGCTCTCCGGCCACTCAGGCTACCTCTCCTGCTGCCGCTTCCTCAATGACCGCCGCATCATTACCTCCTCCGGCGACATGACCTGTATGCTGTGGGATATCGAGTCGGGATCCAAGGTTACCGAGTTTGCCGACCACCTGGGCGATGTGATGTCGATCAGCATCAACCCGACCAACCAAAACATCTTCGTTTCCGGTGCTTGCGATGCCTTCGCCAAGCTGTGGGATGTTCGTACCGGCAAGGCCGTGCAGACTTTCGCCGGCCACGAATCCGACATCAACGCCATCCAGTTCTTCCCCGACGGAAACGCCTTCGGTACCGGTTCCGACGACACTTCCTGCCGTCTGTTCGATATCCGTGCCGACCGCGAGCTCAACATCTACCAGGTTCGTCTTGTTAACCACGTGTGCGCCTGAACAAAGCTAATCGGTTTGCAGAGCGACCAAGTTCTGTGCGGCATCACTTCCGTCGCCTTTTCCGTCTCCGGCCGGTTACTGTTTGCTGGTTACGACGATTTCGAGTGCAAGGTATGTACATGTCCGCCCCCTGACGACCGAGATGTGAATTGACCGGGAGATAGGTTTGGGATGTTCTGCGCGGCGACAAGATTGGTTCGCTGAGCGGCCACGACAACCGTGTGAGCTGCCTGGGTGTGAGCAACGACGGTATCAGTCTGTGCACTGGATCTTGGGACTCTTTGGTAAGTGTCTGTGATGAGCCGGTTCCTGATCACCTACTAATTGCGCTTCCCTCAACAGCTCAAGGTCTGGGCCTGGTAATCCTAAAAACAGAAAACAAACGCAAGATACCCCGTGTCGATCATTTGCAATGCTCTTATTCGAAATGTTCTTTGGTTCGATGGGTCGAATCTCCGCCATTGTACCATAATAATCAGTTACCGGGGAACTCCCAGGTTCTCGCGATAATAACGGCGCAGACATCGGTTCGTCGCAAGTGAAAGTGTGGTGGAGGTGAGCGCGATGCCGGGCAGAAACGAAAGCGACGACACAAATGTTCGGATACGAGAGAGCGAGGTTTATGGTTGCATCACTGCTTCCAGACTCTCGGTCCCGTTCCCCCTACTGGATGATGCCTTTATCTTTCTTCCTCCCTGACCTTTTTTTTTCTTCCCCTTTTCCCTTTTTCTATTACCCCCTCTTCGTTCTGAATTGCCTCTCCTGCATCGGTCTCAGCATGTATTTTCTGGCGGAAAGGAAAGGACCGGTTAGTTTGGATTGGCCACGATCTATCGCTTGACTTCTTTTTTTTATCTTCTGCGTCTTTGCGTCATCCTTTTTTCTCTTTACCGTTATTATTTCCCTGCCCCGAAAGAAAGAGTGTGCCTGTACCTATTGTGTCTTTTTTTGTGGCAGAATCTCTCGTGGGTTCCGGATCCGATCCTGTTTTGAGTTCCAATTTCCATTTGTGATTTCACTCTGTGTTCCTTCTGTATGGACTTGGGTCGCGACGAGGGCGTCTGCGAGCATGGCGTGTTGCGTCAGACATAGGGCATTCTTACAAGGTCTCCGGTTCAGCTGCCTGAAGATGTAAATGTAGACGTAGGCTCAGACGTGGATGTAGATGCCCTGATTCCAGCCCATTGACTGTACTCGACGCGATGCCAGCCCGGGTGCCTGTCTTCCGAGGTTGTCAGTACATCTGCCACGACACCATAAGCCTTGCGTCTGGACCGCGGCAGCCACTAGAAGGTGACCGATGTAGCTGATCCACGTCACGCTTCCCTGGTCAGCGGAACTGGCATCGGAGACTATCCGTAGGCATCCCCGATCCAGCCTGTGGATCGAGATAGAAGGCAAGACCCGGTAGGATTGGGCCCACGAAGGGCGCAACCAGGCAACTGATCACGGTACAGGGCCGGGGGAACGACCGTCACAAATAAGAATCCCGAAACGCGCTCTACCTTGAGCACGAACGGTGAGCATGGCAGAGACGGCAGAGACGGCAAAGATAAGAACCCGCCAAGATGCGAAGGCCAACTTTTGAGCCATCGTATTTGCCGTATTAACGCGGTTCCTGTTCCTTCGGAGCCGAAAATAGTCCAAGGGCCAGCTCGAGAGGCTGAGCCCGGTCCCCGGTAGGTCAAACACGCATCTGGTGATAGCCAATGGACGGGGGAGCCGGGGTGTCGGAGGGTGATTCGTGAGGATGATTTTCGTCACCCCGGTCTTTGGGTCGCAGATTCAAGCCACTCATTACAGGGGGGCCCGGTGCCTGGTTGGGTAGTGGGTGCTGAAACAGGCCTGGACTCAGGCCGCGAGTCTAATTGTAGCGGATTCGACATGTTCATTCTCGTATTGGGCGCTCGATCCCCGTCCACGTGGTGATCTATACTTTAAATGTACAATGTTGAGTTTGCCCTCCGACGTGAAGCGGGCAGTGTAGAATGCCTGGATACCACAAGAGCGAGGCACCCGAGCATCTAGATCTAGACTGGAAAACTGGAATACGCCGAATTCCACAGGAGCGTAGAAGTCGAGCACGGAATCCTTCCGGACGAACCTTCCTCAGCGCTTCGGTGGGTCCAACCGAGATTCTCGAAGCCTGAAGCCTGAAACCTGAAACCGCTGAAAAGGGGCTTTGCCAGTTTCACGTCGATCTCTTCCTTGCTCAGCCCCATCTCCGGCGTCCTCTTGGCTTCAGGGGGTTCACTGAAACTGTTCGATCCCGTACTCTCACCTCACTCTTGTGGCCTCACGCGACCCCAGCATTCCCTCCACTTTAAATCCCATCTCCACCCCAGCCCGACGCCCGCTTTTCTCTTTTCACGATGTCCGCCCAGGAAGAATTCAATCAGCTGGTGAACAACAATCGTGACAAAGCCACCTCGCACCCCGAAGACCGCGATTCCAGCCCGCACTTCTCCGACGACAACGACTCCTCCCCGCCCCGCAATCTGCGCCAGCGCCGCGTCCTCGACTCCGACGACGAGGACGCCGACGGCAACATGCTCTCCTCCCGCTCGAACAACTACCACATCCCCAACACCGTCTTCGACGCCAATACCGGTCCCAAGGGTGTCATCGCCGACGCCCAGGCCTTTGAGCGTGCCCGCAAGAAGTCCTTCCGAAGGACTCTGCTCAGCGCCGCCGGCTTCGACGGTAATGGTTCGTTTGGCAGGTCCACGCGCGACGAGACACCTCCCAAGCCGGCAGACAGCTCGTCCGGCAGTGAAGATGACGAGGAGCGATTCTTGCACAAGTGGCGCACCTCGCGCATGCAGGAGCTTCAGCACCGCGGCATGCGGCGCCCCTCGCCTCGTGGCAGACGCTGGGGTGCGGTGGAGACCGTCGATGCCGCGGGGTACCTCGATGCCATTGAGAAGGTGACGCCCGATACCGTGGTGGTGGTCTGCGTTTACGACCCGCAGGTAAGTACCGTCATGATCGGAAAGTGCTTTCATCCCAATCTGACTTCTTTCTAGTCCAATGACAGTGCCATCGTCGAGGAATGTCTCGTCACTATTGCCCGTCGCCAACCCGGTACCCGCTTCGTTAAGCTGCACCAGGACATTGCCGAGATGGACCACATCAAGGCGCCCGCCCTGCTGGCTTATCGCAACGGCGACGTCTTCACTACCATTGTGGACGTCATCCGCAACATCCCCAAAGGCCGCAGCTGCAGCGCCGATAGCTTGGAGGATCTGTTGAAGCTGTATGCCTACCAACCCCCCCCCCATCACGAGTGACTCTATATTAACCTCAACTCAGAAACCGCGTGCTCTAAACATAATAATGCATCGGACATGCGAGAAAATCCCTCGCATACACGTGTTTGGCTCCATCCATTCACCCACCTTTCATTTCCTTTCTGACATGTCTTCTTACCTCTACATTCCCTGATACGTCCCCCACTGATCATTTCCTTGAATAATTTCCTTATTATAATGGCCAAACGAAAAAAGACGGATTGCTGGCGTTGGATTTACATAGACCGTGGAAGGGGGGGGGCTTCTGGATCATGGGTTGGGCTCTGTTTTTTTCATGGGTTGGGGGTCTCTCTCTCTATACTTGGTCGTGCCTGGCCTGCTTTTCCTTGTCTGTTGGTTATTGCGCTTCCTTTCTTCGGTCTGCTGATGCACGGCCGTGTCTGGCTGGTCGGACTTTTTATTACTCTTAGTCTTTATCTTGGTTTTTAGTTGAGATATCCCATGTTGTTGTTTTTTTTCTCTCTCAATTACTTTGATTCTCTTCGTAACGGTAGACCAGGCCCATTCAATAGTCCATGGGTGTTCGAAATGCCATTTTAGACCGCGGGCACATGTAAATACATACGCACGGAGCATCCAAGAGACTGCCGTACACTACGGTACCCTGCGAGGGGCAAGAGGGAGTTGTTCCCCATCTATTGAAATAGGTGCTGGTGACAACGCTCGAGGGATCATCCTCTATCGGTCCTTAAGACGTGGAAAGTTGAGAAATGTGCGTTGCTTTTCATAAACACAAAATGCCATCTCCGGTGCAAAAGCTGATTGAAATTCGGTATCAGATCTACGAGGAAGGAGAGAGAGGCAGAAAGAAAAGTCCCAGCCAAGTTCCTCTGAGGGCCGCTAACTCCCCAGGATCAAAACATCAAAACATCAGGAAAAAAAAAAAGCATAGACAGGCCAGGGGTCTGTAGCCGCATTTCTGCAGATGAGGGAGAAGGAAACTAGAACCAGATGCTTCCCAAGTTGCTTAGAGGAAGCCGCGCTCTGCTGTGAAGTCCCAAAGCATCTTGATCAGGGTGTCTGGGAGAGTGTAGAGGTCGACGTGGAACTCGCCCTCTGTCGGTGTGTGTTAGTAAGTCTCGACACGAAAGAGTGTGTGGTGTCAGAGATGGAGAGTACTCACGCTCGACGTCGTTCTTGGTGTAAGAATCCGATGACTTGTTATCATGCACCATCTGCACGACCATCAACAGGTCGTCCTCGTTGAGTTTTTGCAGGCCTTCGGCCAACTTGTCCATATCAACCTGAGAAGTCGGTCAGTTTCAATTCTCGAACCAAGGTAAAACGACACATACGTTCTTGTCAGTGCGCTTCTTCTTCTTGGCGCTCTCTTCACCAGTCGCGCCACGCTTGACCTTCATGCCGTTCTCATCGCCGGGAACGGGACCTGTCTCACGCAATCTCTCAAGGAAAGCAGGCTTGGGGTTCTTGAAAGTCTGTCACAGTGCGCATCACCGGTCAGATACAACTCAAGCCACAAGATATGGAAGGTGCGGTCTTACAAGGACGTGCTTAGACTCATAGCGCTCCTGGGCAAAATTCAAGTCATGCTGAATGAAGTGGGCTTTATCCGCAGTGAACTCGATCTGCATGTCAAACTCACCCCATCCTTCTTCTGAGATGCGGAAGGGCGGCTTCGTGAAGGCTACGATTCAGATCCACTCATCAGCTAATCTTCTTCAAACCGGGTGCTGCAGGGCGCAGCATTGAGTTGAGAATCACATCAGACTTACTCTGGACAGCGCGGGAGCCGAAGCTGGGATGGAGGTGGTAGGTGACCTTGTCGAAGAGGTTGGCAGGCACCAGATCACCCTTCTCGTTGGCGACATAAACCTCAATAGACCACTCTCGTTGAGGGAAGCCCTCAACCTCAGAGGGCTTGTCACTGTTATAACAATTCCTCCGTCAGCCTGGGCACCAAGCCTCTCTCGCGTGTGTGCATGTTGTGATTTGAGATCCAAGGCGAAGGACGAATGAAGCGCGCTCCACCATCGCCTATCGAGCGCGTTTCACTTTACTCTTTCCCCAGTATCCAAGGCGGTGTTCGAAAGCATGGATGATTCATCGTTTTCAGGGCGCGGAAGGAGGGAAAGGTCGATCACGTACATAATGTGCTGCTGCGTCACAAGACGGACATTGCGCTTGACCTGGACCGCGAAGGAAACATTAGCTCAAGCCGTGATAGAGCGTTGAAGAGAAACGACAGCGAAGAGTCGCGATCGACAGCCCGGTGCGAAGAGAGTGCGAAGAGCGCCGGGCGCCAGCAATTCCGCACAAGCTTCCACAACAGGCCGTGGCACGCGCCAAGTGGGCAATCAGAATTCGGACGAATACTCACGTCAGGCATTTCGAAAGAGCGAATAGAGTCCTTCTGTTAAAGCTCTATCGAGAGGGTGTCGGGGCAGAGGGGTATGCGCGGAGGATAGGATGGTTCCCAAGCAATTCGCGCGAAGTTCGCGGTGAGGACTCGGAATGCAAGCTTCGTTTTTCAGTTGATGATCACTTGGAGCATCGATCCCAGAATGGCCAAATTCGGATTTCAGTGTCTATGTTGGAGAAGCTGCCAAGCATTGAAGGGAAGGAAGAAAGGGACGCAGGTGGGAGTGGGGAGGAATGAGGTCGGGGAGCCAAAGCAGAACAAGCCGCCCATTGACCACCAACAACCCCAGTATCTCTCACTTAGCCCTCGCCGTGTCTAATTGGGCCTTCATTAAGTATTTGGCCTCTACTACGATTTTGGTACAATCTTGAACCTATTTTCTGTGGAAAAGATGAGCTTCCTCGTTGGCGAGTTACCTCGGTATACCTTTTACAATGGCTACAATGGCCTACGTACATCCAAAGACACTCCTCGGAGATCATGTGTGATGTGCAGGGTGTATATTCGAAGGGAAAGTTTCTATCTACTGCCGATTGTGGGACTTGGAACTGCCCTCCATTTCATAATCACATCACGATGGCTGTGCAAAACAGCATCATCATCACTGCTGCCTCACTCATCGCGTCATCGGGGGAAGGGGGATGGGTAAAATGGGGATATGGTGTGAAAGACATAGTAGTAGTTGTTGTGTTGTCGAAGGGGTAGATGGCAAGGGGGTTCAGAGCGAGCTCCTGGTCCTCGGAAGACGGCTGGCGACAAGTGCATCACGGTTGTGAGTCCTCAAGTCTTGGTGCGGAGAATTGGGGCGAGGCTTATTTCAGATGAGTGGCAGATTTACTGCTCACCGGCACCGAAAAGCTTCTCGTTCTCCTGCTGGGCCTTCTCGAAGGCATCCTTGAAGAGGTTGGCGTCTGGAGCTAGTCAGTAAAAAGTTTCATGCAATACAAGGGTTATACAGATACACTCACTCTCGCTGTTGGCAAAACGGATAGCCAGGGTCTGAGCCTCGGGCTCACCCTCGCTGACATCGGCGGCGGCGTTCCAGACCCAGGAGCGGTCACTGCCGACGTTGGGGCTCAACTTCATGTCGGGGACGACTGGAAATTCAATTAGCAACATACCCTCCAAAGAGAGAGAAAAAAAGTTCATGGGCTTAACTTACTGTAGTGGTTGGCGCAGACCTTGAGGGTCTTATCCCGGCGCATGACCAGGCGGGTCTTCTCGTTCTCCTTGTGCTTCAAGAGGCGGACGTCACCGGTACCGCGCTCCTTCCACTCCTTGCTCTCACGGTCAAACTTGAACAGCTTGGCGCGCATCTTGAACACCTGCTCCTCGAGCTCCTCGTTGGTCTTGGTCTCCACCTTCTCGGTCAGGCGGATGACGGGCTCGAAGTGAACGTCGGGGGACTCGGGGGCCTCATCCTCGGGGTTCTAAAAACATGCGAATGTAAGTAATCTGCACAAGATCATCTCAAAATGCCACGGCGAACGGTGTGGGTGGGCTATAGGTTGGCTATTGAGTGACCACACGATATATGCAGGGACCAGAAAAACAAACCCCGCCCCCGCGATATGTTGATCACACCAGACACGTCTGAGCTGTAGCCCCGCACCACCATCATGGCGGATATGGGTTAAAACTCACCTCGCTCTCCTTCTGGGCCTTAGAAGAGCCGGAGGGCTCGTCCGCACCCTCCTCGGTCTCCTCCTTCTTCTCCTTCTTGGGGCCGCCTCCGAACATAGAGAAAACGGTGTCGGAGGTCTTAGAAGCTGCGTCCTTGGCGGTGTCAGCAGCCTCCTTGGCCTTCTCGGCAGCAACCTCGGTCACGGTCTTCTCGCTCTCGCCGGTGGTGGCGGTCTCAGGCTTCTGCTCCTCAGGAGCCTGAGTGGTGGGGTCGGCCTTGGTCTCCGTGGCGTCAGACATGGCGGGTCGTAGATGGAGCTTTTTATCAAAGACAAAAATGGAAAGAAGGGTCGGGAGGAATGGTAGACACCGAGATCAAGGTAGAAATCAGGGGAAGAATTGGGTTTGTTGATCAGGGAGGACAATGAGGGGGAAAAATTAATGGTTTGGGTGCGCGTGGGCAGAACCGTCACCGCCTTGGGCGGACTTTGAACGCGAGGGGCGAATTCCCCTTTTTCTTTCTATTTACTTCGCGGTGTTCGATATGACCTGTAAACTACGTATCTGGGGATAAATTCCCATTAATCTCAATTGAATTGCATTGCGCCGAGGTGAGGTATTCGTGTGAACCCCATAGCCTAGTACCAGACCCGTTCCCCCAGCCTAATCGCCGTAAACAAAAACAGCCCCACCATCATTAGCCAAGATCAAATCGTCAATAAGCAACTTAGAAAGAAAAAAACGCCCGTTCAGCACTTTGAGCTATCACCTGAGCAGTCAGGGTTTCTAAACTGGAATCCCGCAACCTGGCGTGCGCGTGCTTGAGCTCGATCCATCATGGACCGAACATTGATCTTCGCAGCGGACTTCTCCAGAAGCCTCCAGGCGCCACTGATAAACCCCTTGGCCTCCTCGTTGACACGAGTTGAGCGACTGTGCAGGACAGAAGAGATGCTGCGGAATCGTTGGATGGCATTGCTGGCAAGGGCCGAAAGCTGTTTCGAACGTGACAGAACGCTGTCTCGAGCATGGAGGCCGTCGAGGCGGAGACGCTCGGCGTTATGCCGCAAATCGTGAGATCTCTTTACTACGTCTCCAGCAATGACCTGAAGGTCGGTGGAAAGTTGACCGTAGATGTCAGTCAGGTCGGTGGAAAGTCGGCCGTAGACATCAGCCAGGCCGGTTCGAGCAACTTGCAAGTCTTTCGTCACTTGTGAAGAGACCACCCGGGCTGCGCGTCTCCAGTTGGCAATCTTCAACCACGGAGTCCCGAAGTCAACCACTGTGGTCTGGTTGATGGGGGCCTTGGACTTGCCAACGACTGTAACGTTGACCAGACCATACGCTTCCTCTCGATCCAATCTCAGCGAGTAGACGTCATCAAACAGCCGAGACAACTCATAGGGAAGAGCTTGATCATATCGATGAACGCTGACATTGAATCGTGCCTGCTTCTTGGGAGATGCAAGGTTTCGAGGAGGCTTAATCACCACATGGCAGTCCCCAACGACTTGAATTTCAAAGATATCCGATTTAGAAGAGCTTTCAATGGTAGGTCCGGTCACCCGGTCCACAATAGAACAATCAGAAATCTGACTTTGTACCAGTCCCACTTGGCCGTATGGCCGAACAGACAGTGCGGTCTGTCTCACGCCTTCCAAAGTCATTGCAGTCGTCGGAATGGGCGCAACTGAAGGGGAGGACATCTGAGACAGAGCGGATCCGGCGATGTACTGGGTAAGGACAAGAACCACCGTTTTGACAGCTGCATAACCGATTGAAAGGGCGATGGCCGAAATGAGGGTCAACGTGATAAGACGCAGCATTGGGGCAAGATCCCAGGCCCTGGTGGCATATGACGGAGGAATCCAGTTCAACGGATACTTTTCAGGGTCGGTAAGCGAGCAACGTTGAGCCAGGTCTGGAATATCGGGGGTGGTCTTGTGCACTTTGCTGGGATAGAGCTCCATAAGTGAAGCCAAGTTTCTATTGAGTTGGCTAGGAGTAATGCTCTCGAAAGTCTCCAAGTCGATTGGGTAACGTCGTAGGAGTACCGTTTCCCCGGTCTGGGAGTTTCGAGACTCCAGACACATGTGAAGGCTGCTGTGGTTCAACGGGATGGGATCACCTGCCAGCTCCCACATTGGCTCCTCAGAAATCACCATTGCGGGTATTCCATGTCGCTCCAAAAAGGTATGAGCGAGCCGTTGGGTTTGCACGACGGCAGCATCATCATGACCGGACACAAATATGATCGCCATGTCTGGAAGAGTCCATTCCGATGCCGATGAAACACAATATTTATCTCCGTTCCACCATGAGCGACAGGATGGCCGATTTTTGAACGTCAAATGCAACGTACTCGGCTGATCCTTCTGGGCATCCACGGTAGCTTCCGTGCACTCGTCCACCACAAGTTGAACATGGATCGGGAGCAACTCGGCAAAGTTGGGCACGGCACCAGCTCCAAAAGATGTCGGCACAACATGATACCGAGAAGACTCAGCAGAGCTGGCCTGCGATCCGGTAGATGAGCTTGATACCAGAACGTCACCGATCTTGTCAAGAATGATATTCCGGTACTCAGGCTGGCCAATATACAACACGCGGAAAGGTTTGTCGAGATCCAGGCTGTATTTGGTCATGGTTTGTTGGACCGTGGCCATTAGAATGGAGTCGGCCGTGTTCGACGGCAGCAACATGGTCGACAGTCGGCTCTTCAATTCCGAGGCCATTTTGTCGTCGAAGATGCGGGTCGTATGCTTGAACTCGACTCGCTCTGACTCGGGCCACTTCTCAGGCTCAGGGAACTCGATCGACTCGGATGACTGACGAGGTCTGGTAGTGAGTCCGCTATCATCGATCGCCCCCGCAACATGAGTATAGAGCTTGGGGAACAGTTGAGACCCCGCAGTGCTCTGCGTCTCACCCCGGGATGCCTCCTCATCTTCCTGGTCATGGCGATCTTCTTCATCAGGCCCATCGGCCTCGCTGCCGCTGTATCGTTCGTCGAGACTGGCGACATCATCGGGGGTGGTTTGGTCGATCAGCGACCCGGTATCAGTTTGTTCGGAGCGAGTTCCATCCTCTGAATGTATATCGGATACGCTGAGGGTAGCCCAGCTGTCACTCAAGGACTTGGCATGAGAGTCGGAGGGTCGATCGGAGGTCATGTTGTTGGCGGGCCGAGAGTGGGATAACCACTCCTCTACAGAGGCCGTGAGCGGCGGCAGGGTCGGATACTGAAGATGGGAAGCCGTGTAGGCGCTCTTTGGTCGCCTGGGCGACTCAAAAGCATCAGCCATATTTCCGAGAAGAACATAAGGTGAGGGTTATCTCAAAGGAAGAGAGGGGCAGAAAAGGAAGGTGTAGCATACGTTGGAGATGACCGGGATGCAGGCATGTGCCCCGGTGGGTCCGATGGAGTCGCTCGTCAGGTGGTGTCTGACTCAGGGCAAGTGCGGGTTTGATGAGGGTGCAAGTTCAGGTAGTCAAGTTGGGCAGAGACGGGGCACCTTTGGGAAAGAGGGGAACCCTTGGAAGCCGTGGATGCACTTTGACCGTTGGAGTTGATAAGCATATGAGAGAAGGATGGCGGGGTTCGGTACAACTTACACGGTCCTTCCCATACGAAGGTACAACTGACCGTCTGTAGGCACGTACCTTTGTTCTAAGCCGTTCGTGTTCTTATTTCCACGGCTCACGGTCAACGGTCATCAGTGATGCTCCGACAATAATTACGTCGCCGATAAGAGGCCCACTCCACTTTGCCCCACCGATCTCCGCCCGATCGTGGGGCTTGGCATGTTGACATCGGTTATACTCTTGGAGTATTTCCAGAGTCATTCTATACACGACAGATCTCATATTCAATAGCCTTGCAACGTTCTGCCCAAATGTATTTCGGCGTTCGGGTCTCAGCTCCGAGGAGGAGGAAGTAAAGATTGTGCAGCAGGCTACGGACAAGGAGACCGAGAACCAGAGCCTCCCCCGGCAGCCTAGTGAGGAGTAGGTCCACCTGGCCTTTCCCGGTTTTCTGTCAGAGAACCGATTACGAAAACCCACTATTTCGCTAGCTTTTTGCGCTTGTTTAGTTTTATCTTGAATCAATAAGAATCTCCACATATCCTAATGCTGTATAGGAATTTTTAGTATTTGTGAATTACTTCAGTACCTTCAAATAAGAATCTTAATCATTATATATCTAGAAAGTCTTAGGATTTCTTATTAGAGTCACAGGTTTTACTAGATTCCTAGAACCCGTTAGCAGACAGGGGTTGAAACGTAACTAGCCGAAAGCGAATGAGGCTGAATGCCGATGGCTTTTCCCCTCCTTCCCTTATTACACTTGGAATCTCACCCCCGCCATATACCCGATTAACTGTGTGCCGACTTCGGCGTGTCTATTATTCCCTGTTGTGTTCTCGTCATGTCCAACCCGGAGGACTACACTATCGGTTGGATCTGCGCCATTACCGCCGAATATGTTGCCGCCCAAGCCTTCCTCGACGAAAAGCATGACGGTCCTGCATATGTGTCACCGCACAACAAGAACGACTACACTTTGGGTAGAATTTGGAAACATAACGTGGTCATCTCCGTCTTGCCTATGGGAGAATATGGCACGTCCTCGGCAGCTCGGGTGGCAGAAAACATGATGCATAGTTTTCCGAATATTCGCATCGGCCTCATGGTCGGTATCGGCGGAGGAGTGCCCAGCCAAAAACACGATATCCGTCTTGGAGATATTGTGGTCAGCATTCCTGGCAATGGCCAGAGCGGTGTCCTTCAGTATGACTTTGGCAAGACGATACAGGGCCAAAGGTTCCAGACCACGGGCTTTCTAGACCAGCCACCTACCATTCTACGCGCAGCAGTAAATGGCCTCAAAGCGCAGTATGAGGGCGAAGGCCATCAACTCGACGAAGCGGTCAACCAGATCCTTAGGAACAAGCCACGGCTGCGGAAAAAGTATCAGCGCCCAGATCTAAATAGTGATCGACTATACCGAAGCCAGATTGTCCATCCCACAGACAGTGAGTTATCTTGCGCTTTGAATTGCGGTGACGATCCATCTTGCATTATTTCGCGATCTCCACGCGCCGAAGATGATGACAATCCTGCGATTCATTACGGCCTGATTGCCTCAGCCAACCAGCTTATGAAGGATGCTTTGCTTCGAGACAGATTGGCTGCGCAAGCAGATGTTCTGTGTTTTGAAATGGAAGCGGCTGGACTGATGAACCACTTTCCTTGTCTTGTGATCCGCGGCATCTGCGACTATGCCGACTCGCATAAGAACAAAAACTGGCAGGGGTACGCGGCACTGGTTGCAGCAGCTTATGCCAAAGATCTTTTACATCGGATTGTGCCCCAGCAGGTGGAGAAGGTAGCGACGATAGCGGAGATGGTGAAGGATGGAGATCAGCATAATCATATCACATTCGGAAATCAAAATTATGGCTCTCAGGTTGGTGTGAATAATGGTTCAATCAGCGGGACTTTTGGGACCAAGTGATCAAGGTTCCATATATCAGAGAGGCCTGGTCAATTTCTGCTTACAGGACTTCTATGACGATTCCTTACGCCAGATTTGTTTCTATGTATTTTCAATATAGATCAAATGATACGATGTGGGCTTCTTGCTACTCGGTGGTCTCGAAGTGGTCTAATGGGATTGCTCTGTGCATCATAACGATGTGTGCAATTTCCGCCATCCTTCTTTTTTATGCTCTAAATCACCTACCTATCAAACTCGACAACGATAATATCCGTCTCTAGTGCATGTCCCCCCTTTTTGACAAGTCCACCTGCGTCCAATTCCCACTCTCCAGACCCCCAGAGCACTTCCTTAACAGCACAAGCACCAGCAGGTAACTCAATCGATACAGACGATGACCACGAAGGTGTCTGTAGTGACAGAATACTGATCAACATCCTGTTCCCAACTTTCCAACCAGAAACATCCATTTTGGAATGCCCCGTCACCGACAGAGGAACTGTAGAAGCACCCAGCAAGAACCGAGCAACCTCGTCACTTGCAAGCACCCGACTCAGCTTACTCGTGATGTTAGAAAGCTCACTGCTAGTCGGGTAATCCCACATCACGATCCCCTTGGCATTGTGATTCAAATTCAGCATGGTCATGGTCACCTCCTCCGCCGCAGTGGGAAACCTGGTCCAGTAGGACTGATTCCCAAATGCCATTGGCACGCCCCAAAAGGTCTTCGGTCCTCTCCCAAGCCAGGATTGATATTCAGTCCAGATATCCAGCCTAGTCGAGATATCCTCCATGTCCCCATGGCAGTCATCGCAGCCACAGCAGCCATACGTGGTGTTGCAGACCGTGTCATAGACCGTGGACCAACTCGTGTTGACGGCGATGGGGTATACATCTGACAGGACAATATCGGCTCCAGAGGAATACTCTTCATAGTAGAAGTTGTAGCAGTTCAGGCACAGAGAAACGGGATGCCATGGGTCCAGCGATTTGATCAGGTCGTAGGTAATCTTGGTCGCATTCAGTGGGTCGCCGTGACCATCAGGTTCGTCACCTGTGTACCAGAGGAGCATGCTTTTGTGTGTTTTAAGTAGATCGACTTGGTACCGGACTGAGCTGAGGTTCTGGTAGGTCCAACGCATGTCGTACATCACCCACAGTCCGATTTCGTCGCACTTGTCCAGGAATGTATCGAATTCGGTGAAGTTGAAGGCTTCATTGGCGAGTCCTGCGTTGGGTACAACGTGGATGATATTGTAGCCTTGGTCTTTGAACCTTTGTACGTTGCTCAGGGACTTCTCGAGCCAGCCGTCCCAGCTGACGTAGTAGGAGTATGGTAGTAAAGAACTCCATGACGAATCCTTGGTGGAATCCTGGACCAGAAGCCCGCCGTAGAGACTGTCCAGCTTCGTTATGCTACCGCCGTCTGTCCGCTCTGGTAAACGGTAGAGTTCCGTGGTTGCAGTGTAGACGCGACTACCATCTTGGCGATTGGCTTTGAGGTTTACACGGTAGGGCTCAAATCGTGGAGCAAGTCCCTGTAGGGGAAACTCCAGCTCATTTGATGATGTATTGACAGTTACCGAGTGCTTCAGGTGCAATTGAGCTCCCTCTACGGAGATTTCAATATGGAGACCCTGGCACCCATGGCCTTCGGTCTCCAAGGGTTCACCGTGGATGTATGAGATCTCCGCATCAACAATAAAAGACCCCTTGTCATCGCCGGGAGCATACAGATTCATGCGCGGGCGGACTTTCAGATCTAGAAGAGGCACAGCAGATCGAGCTGGACTATCCAACCAGCCTCCGGGCTCGAACGAGGCATTGCTAGAGACGGTTAACTCGGTCCCCGAATGAATTAGAATCACATACGTCGATTGGTAGGCCTTGCCGCACCAAATGTCCACGCCAGGAGGATTGTTAAAGGCCGCAGCTAGACCCAGGAACAAGAACAGCCACATCTTCAGGAAACGTGGGGGCAGTGTTCTAACTGTAGAAAGGGGGGTTGTTTACCGGCATATTGCCCGTTATATTTACCCCCTCACCCCACAACTTCCCCTCCTGAATGTCACCTTCCCCTCCAACGCTGCGTAGGCCTGATAGCAAATGTCGCATCGGTGTCTATCAGAAGCAACATGAATTACTACTAGCGAATCACAATTGGTTTTGAATTGGCCACCCGCTAGCCGAGTTTCCTCTTGCCTTCGTGACGCGTCTTCCATGTCAATTGATAATCCAGATCGACAGGCTCAACAAGGCGACAGGTCTTATCTCACGGCAAACGGTATCCAGGGCCCACTCTCTAGTTCGTTGTGGAGAGAGGGGAAAGTCTGTGCTCGCATGCTAAGCACTTTAACCGCCTTGGCTCTCAAGTGGATCAAAATACGCGTATTCAATTGCCGATGGATGACCCCAGTCCAGTTGTGATAATCTGCACAAGGGCGAGCAATCTACACCTATATCAAATGAAAAGAAAACCTCGGATGAGTGCATTATACTGATCTCATTCGCTGCGTAAACCACCGGGTAATTATTCCATACTCTATAGACAGCCATGATCAAATCTGGTATTTGCGAGATTTGGAAACAATGCGAAAGGGGAGACTCGTGGGATATGCCACGGGGACAAGGACGTTTGGGGGAGGGAGACGAGATATGTACATTTCATGGATGCATGCTCGAAGACGGGACCACGGGTGGAAGGGTCGGCGGAGGCTGGGAAGAGACGAAGAAACAAATGGTAGTGGTGACAAATAGGAAAGTAACCTGAAACAAAACACAAAATCGCAGGACGACAGGATTGTTGCCATCATGCTTTCCGGGAACATCCAACCCCATACCCCCCACCTTCCGCATCACTGAAGCACAGACTGTATGTCCATGTAACGGAGAAAAACTGATTCCTCTGGCAACCCTCCGGAGAGGAGTGCGTTGGAGAAAGGCTTGGAAAAAAGAGGACGGGCTGCCAGCGCGAGAGGGCAGGATATATAACCATTGGCGAACGGGCGTTATGATCGCGTGGTATCGACGGCCACGAAGGACCAGACGACGGCCTCCCTCCGTCGAACAACCAAAAACAGTACACTGCCAATCCCAGTGACGTGGACAACACGCTAGATGAATATGTCAACATGGATGATAGACATGGTCACGCCATCTTCCAAGTAGAAAAACCGACAGATCCGTTGAACGCCGCCTAAAAAGAAACCCCGGCCAACATAACACGCAGGCTTCAGCAGAAAACTCCCAAGGGACAAGCCCAGGTGATGCTCGAAGCCGAATGGAAAGCATGTGGAAGCAGGTAATGAAACGATGCATAGAAATGGCCGAGGCGTTTATGATGGCTTTACGGCGAGGCCCAACCACCAGCGACCTCAACCCATTCGGGCAAGCAGCTGCCCTGCTTGCCTTCGACATCGACAATGTCGGTGTCACAGCGGCATCGGCATCCAACTCCGTTCTCCTTGACCGGGTCCGACGTAGCCCAATACTCGTCTTCTTCAATCCGCTTCTTCTCGTCGTCGGTGGTCTTTTCAAGGTAGGGCTCACGCGGTAATTGCCGTGCGGGAGCGTTGGCTGGGCAATGTTGGATCGTGGTGTGTCGGTAACCGAAATCACGGAAGTAGTGGATGTCCTTGACACCGAGAAGAGCACCGGCCGCGAGGGAATGAATAGGTGCGTCACCCCAACGTTCATTCCAGAACCCACCACTGCGATCCATCATTTGGAAGAAATCTTCGTACTCCTTACTGCGGAACCAATCTAGGCGCGCAATCTCGAAGTTACTCCAGAAGTGACACATGTTGTAACTTTCGCCCTCCATGGCTTCCGGGTCAATATCATCGAGACCGTTGTCGCCAATTTCAGACTGTAGAATCTCCTCGGGGAGTTTCTCCTGCTTCTTCTCTCCCTCTGGCGGGGTGGTCTCCTCTGGGCGCTCAAGGAACATCTCCCACAGACCCTTGGAAGGCAGGTTGTTCTTGCGCTTATAGGCTGAGGCATAGCGGAAAATGTTGGGAACTGTCTCGCGAAGTTCCTTGACAGCAATGGTGAAACCGTATGTCTTGTTCGCCTCAATCATCTTGATGAAGGGATCACTGCTTCGTGTAAGTGACTGGACGGGTCGCAGGACAGATAGGATGGGCTTACTATGTGATATCACAGAAGTACTTGATCTCGGGCTCCAGGCGCCAGTACCATTCATATTTCATCAGGAGAGGGTGCTTGTAGAAGTGTCTGGTTATCTGCGTCAGTATTGAATGTACCGCGACGGTTAAGCGGGGCCACTTACCCCGAGTAAAAGCGGCACATGTGGTGATAGCTCTCCATACCACCATACATGATAGCAGCATCACCTTGTTTCCGAATACCTTCCTTGGCAACCTCGTGGTCAACCCAGTCGGGGAAACCCCACATGGAGTTATCGATCTTGCCGAACTCCACAGGAGCGCTGGTGTAGTTCTTCACGGTGGCCCGGAAGTCCTCGTCGAAGTCTCCATCGTTAAGGAAGACGTAGGGGTAGTGATACCAGCGGTTGAAGTGTCGCTCGATCGACTTGAGGGACTGAATGACACCGTCCAGCTCCTTGTTTCTCGCGAGAACGACGAAAGCGGCGTTGGCGCGAGGGGCCTTTGCGATTTCTGCGTGATCGATAGGCATACAGCCGGTGGCAAAGACTTTGTCATGCTTTTCGCTGATTTTGCTATATCGGAGGCGGCAGGGGTTAGCTATTGCAACGTTGGGGGGGGAACCGGGAGGTGACACGAACCGAATGGAGGGCGGAGTGCCCGCTGGAATTAGGATGCCCCCGGGAGACGAAGGATGTCGGACGAAAAGAAGTAGAATGAAGACAATTACAAGGCATGGAAATAGTAAAACAAATCCCAGGGGTATAGAAATGGAAGAATTGCCCTTCAACCGAATGCGCCGACGGAAGAAGGCGAACCGCGGCGAGCCGTGGCCCTTTTCGCGGGAGACATCTTCTAAGGGGAGGCTAGGCGCACTGGGCAGCCGTTTGGTGATGCGCTGAATGAAGCTCATGGCTGCGATGGGGGCACGCGTCGAAGACCCACGGTGGCCAAGTCAACGGGACCCAAGCAGCAGAGCCGGAACCAGGCGTTATCGACCCCAAACGGTGATCAGGGGGGGGGAGGGGCGTGACTTGTCGACGGGTCGAGCGACGACGAGGGGACGAGGAAGAGTACCGGAGTGAACGGGTACCTTTTTTTCGGAAGTGACGATCAGATCTCACAAGACAAAACGAGTGGCCGGAGGAATGCCTCCTTTCTCCTTCCCCCAACTAACCTTCTCAGACCCAAGATGGAGAGGAGGACGTCGGGAGCAACGCAAAGGAGGTAAACGATGAGGAAAATAAGGGGTTAGAGGACATGAATATGGGAAGGTCGAGGGGGCCAAATAAGAGTGGAAAGAGAAGGGAAAGGGAGATGGGGATGGGAGAAGGGTCTGCCAAGACCAGGGAGGCGCAAGCGTTTGTGGCCCGTCACACCGAAACCGTTAATTTCAGACCTCGCCCCTCGGTTCAGGGTTGAAACGATGAGTGAGCGTATTAGCCTTGTTATCCGCGTGTATTTTACTTGGATAGGAGATTTTCTGGGGTGGTTTTCTTTTTTTCGATTTTGGCCGTACAGTTGACTTGGTCCCGTTCGGTCTAGTTTCATGTTCTTCTCAAGGTAGTCGGTGTTGGTGTCAACCGTCGTGGACTTCCCCTGCATAGCGCTGTGATACCCACGCGGTGCGCGGTAGATGTAGGTACATCCGACCTACGACAGACTTGGCTTTTTTTTTTCTCGAAGCTTAGTCTATAAACGGGTCGTGTAGATGGTATCTAGGTGACGATCCAGGCGATCTTGGTCCACAGGTTCTTCTCGTGGCAACGAAGATGGCAAATATTACTCAGTACCTGGTTCCTATGTATCCAGGTACTTAGAGGTACTTATAGGGGCTCGTCGATAGATCTCAGGTACTCCGTACATGTGTACCACAGAGTACCTCGCTGCAAGGCGGCTCGTGTGCGTCGCGCACCTGGAACTAGCGTCTGTCGATCGAGGGTCCAGGGCGTCGGCGACGTCTCGGCCATTATGCCGAGTGCGACCGGAGCCAATGGCGGCGATATACGCGGACAGTACAGCAACAGAAGCAGCTCGAAATCAAATAAAATTGAAATGAGCAAAGTACCAGTACCTCTCCGTGCATATTCGCCAGCACGGAAAAATAAGTACAGTACCAAGGTCCAGCCAATCTGCGGCTCCACTCACTACGGGCGATGTGGCCTAAAGACGGAAGGGAGGCGGGTCTGGACCCGGACCCGGACTCTGTTCGTGTGCCTGCTTACTCGAAGGACCCGGTATGTCTTGGTATTTTGATGTCGATATACTCCGTACTGTGTATAGCAAAGGTCGAGGCTGAGTACTTAGGCAGCCAAATAGGTACCTAGTCTAGCTCTGGAGTATAAGTACAATCACTGGACCGCTGACTTCATCCGTGGTCAACCTTGAAACGGATCCTAGAATGACTCGTTCCCGCCCTCAGTTTGACATCAGCCCAATATATTATAATGTGACCCTCGCCTCTGACCGGGTCATCCCCTAAAGGCTATTTCTCTCGGGCCTCTCCGACTTCGTCGATGGGCAACGATCGTCGAACTGCAGAACGTCGCGGGGGTTACCCCCTTTTCCTGGAAACCTTGATCTAGACCTCTTCTCTTCTCTCCTTTGTACATGTCTGCACGGCCACCATGAATCAGGTACTGGCTCGTCCCTCGTCGTCGGAGGGACAGAGCAGCAGATCCCCCGCCATTCAAGTGCCCAACCACGCCGTCCATTTCCGCGCGCCGCCCTCCCGCAACGGCCATGTCAACCTGGGTACTTTCTCACCCGTCAACGAGAACGGTAGCTTCGAATTCGACCGCGTCTTGAAGTCCGGAAAGGTTTGCCGTCGCGTCAAGCACAAGCATGTCTTCCGCGCCTCTTGGAAACCCGCCTACCTCGTCCTGCGCCCCAACCTTCTCTCCGTCTACAAGGACGAGGAGGCTACCCGTATCCGCATCTCCATCAGCCTCTCCGAAGTGACGGCCGTCGCGCCGGTCAAGTCTCCCCGTTCCAATCGCCAGCACGTCTTCGGTGTCTTCACGCCATCCAAGAACTATCGTTTCGAGGTTCTGTCCGAACGCGACGCCGATGACTGGATCGATCGCATTCGCGCCGAAGTTCCCGGCAACGAGGACGAGGTGGCCTTCATGGCCCTGTCCAGGAGACGCGAGTGCCCCGCAATCCATAAACAGCTTATCGAAGACACGACCGACCACTCTGATTTTGATGTCGCCGGCCGTGCCAGCTCGCCCGAACTCGGCCGAGCACTGTCCCCAGGCCCGTCTGCCCGCAAACCCTCCTACATTCAGGATTACTCGGGAAACGAAATCACTTCTTACTCGGAGCTTTCAGACGGATCGCCGCCCACCCGGAGCAGCTACCTGCGCTCCATGCCATCTATCCACACCTTATCCCTTTCCGCCCCGGAAGACAAACCCACGTCCTTACCAACCTTACCACGGGACACGAGCAAATACTCCGAACTCGGTATCCTGCGCGATCCGGAACGCGTAGTGTGCCAGGGATACCTGCAGGGGCTGCGGATCAAAGGAACCGTGCGGCAATGGAAGCGGCTCTGGGTGGTGCTACGGCCCAAGAGTCTGGCCTTCTACAAGGACGAGCAGGAGTACTTGGCGCTCAAGATCATATCCATGTCACAGGTGATTGATGCCGCCGAGGTCGACCCCATGTCGCGGTCCAAGACCTTTTGTCTGCAGATCATCGCCGAAGAGAAAACGTATCGGCTCTGTGCTCCAGATGAAGAGTCCCTGGCGCGCTGGCTGGGCGCGTTGAAGAGCGTCATTGTCTTCCGCAAGAAACTCGGTGCCACCCCGGCTGTCGCGACGTAGGCATTGCATATCTGCTTGGGTATACTCGTTCTTTTCCCTTTGCATTTCACCATCTCTACCGACCGTGGTTCCACTTACCCTGTCTTTCTCCTGCCGCTTTACCTGATATCCGGCCGCTGGCCTAGTCCTGTCTTTCTAACATTTCATTTACATCGTTCAACTGAATATACCCAGGTCTGATTCATAGCGTCGAGGGAGCTGACAGGCGTTGAATCTTTTGCACTGTTCATAGGGGTGGCTCTTTTTTCTGCATTCTTTCCTCACTTCCCTTATGTTGTCCTTATCTACTTGACACCTACTAATTTTCATTGGTCTATTAATTGATTGAAGATCCGAGGCAAGTGGTTTTGATGCTCTCATAATCTGTTGGATTTATAGCGATGTCCTTATCTCTCGTTGATATTTGGGTACCCACCTAATTATAAATCAGTGGCTCCTTGAAATACAAAAGAAGTCGAAGTCAATTTAAGAGCTTCATAATAACTCTGAACATTCGCTGCATAAAATGCCATGTACAGACGCAGTTGTCTCTGAACACGCTAACTCGAAATCAATCTACGGTGGCACCAGAACAGTGCGAAACGATTCCGGAGAAATAGGAATAACAAATGTACAGATGCGCTGCAGAAGACAGTATCTAGAGGAAATAAAATACACATCTACCTCACTTCATCGCGAGGAATGCTTTCATACTCGCCAGATGATGCCCGGGCTATATCAGCTGAAGCGTCATCTTCTTGAGTCTTGCTTTCGTGGTTGACAACCAGGAAAGAAAGGAACACGATCGCAGCACCGACCCAGTATAGTGGACTGGCGTACTGTGATTGTAGTACTATCTGGCCGACCAAGGACAATGGGATGGTCAAGCTGAGACCGACGGTCACGACGAGTGGGGTTGTCAGGAGCATGGCGTAGGCCCAGGCTATATCAGAGAGGAACGAGGAGACAGAGTTGACCTAGAAAGAGTCAGTTTTGATGCCAGATTTACCCAAGGCAAAACAATCACGAGGAATCTCATACCAAGATAATAGTCCAGATCCGCTTTGTTTCAGGCAGCGAGAAACTTTCGACGCCCGTCCAGTGCAGAATAAAGAAACCGGGCCACAGCATCACGAGATTGAAAAAGCCGACAAGACCGAAGAACAGTTGCATGTTCACCTTCGACTCGTCGCCCACCTGCTTCTTCATCACAATCGTGTAGACGCCGTACATGATGGCGCTGAACGCTGCCATGGCGTCGCCGAGTGCAATCTCCGCGGTCGTCTTGTGCGGGAATGAGCTCTCGCTACCATCTGGGGTTGCGGTATCGTCTGATTTTGAGAGGTCCACGCGCGAGATCAGGATGATTCCAATTAGAGATGCTACGACGCCGAGGAATTTGCGGACGGTGAATTTCTCGACTCCGATAAAGGCTCCGAAGACTAAGGTCCAGACACCTGCGTAATTATCAGCTATCAGGCACCATTGCTCTACATTATCGGAGGGCTCTTACCGCTGGTGGAAGTCAAAATGGTCGTGCTTCCCACGGTCGTGAATTGCAGACATGCCAGGGCAAAGTAGTTCGCCTGTTCAACATCACGTTAGATTCGACCAGAGCTCAGTGCAGGCGATATTGGCAAATAAGACATACAATAAACTGTGACTAGTTAGCATATCCTTTTTCTCTATAAACCCAAGAGTACATACCCAAAGTAAACAAAACTGGAAGCTCAGTTTGGCCGTCGCTTTCAATCCGAGCTTGCCGTCATCCGATTTCGGCCGCAAATCCCGCGCGGTATCGTCACCACCAGGTTCATAGTCGAGAGACCCAGCGCGCAGGTAGTCATGTTCCTCCCCATGTTTGGGATTATCCGAATCCAAATGGTGCAGTAGACTCCGGAATGAGTTCACTCGGGAAATTCTATTGGTGCGCCAGAGTCCCCAGGTGCGGCTGATAAGAATGGTAACCAGGGGCATGGTAAAGAACGAGGTGTTGATGTAGGTCACAAAGAAGGGCTTGGGATAAGTTTTATCCGCGAAGATGGTCTGTATAGTGTCTCGCTGTTAGTATCCGGTGCATCGCAAGTCCAAGTGGCCCTGGAGAAGGTTGAACGTACGCTTCCTAGGAAATTTGAGGCCGTCCACAGGAACACCACGACCAGGAGCAGACCGATACCCAGAGTCCGTCGGGCTACGCCCAGGACTTTCGGGCTAGGAGCGTTGGCGGCAGTTGCCATGGTCGCAGGCTTGAAGTGTGTCTGACACACGAGTGATTGAGAGGGGCGGCTCAGATGGGGGCATGCCGGGTCGGCAAGGTAGCACAAGAGGTGCAGGTCACGAACATCGGTCAGCACCCCGGAAAGAGAGTCAGGTGAGTCTGAGGACTTGAGAAAACTCCCTGTCCAGCAGGAAGAGCGTGGGGGGGACACGCCAAGCCCGGATTGGGATGGACGATAAGGATGTGAGGGTTCTATCGGCGGTTCTTCCGCCGGAGAAATTCACACATGATTCCTCATAGCGCAACGTTGTATATTGAAGTGTACGAGACATTTTCAAGACTACAGATGAAATTCAAAAAATACATGTAGAAAAAAGTAGAAAATAGCACCCGAGTGGACTTAATACTGGAAACGATCGTATTGCAGTAGACCTAGAGATCACATGCCCATTAACAAGGCAGGGCCGAGCAATCCATCGCGCTCGAGTCCAACCCAGTTTCTTCATAACTGCAAGCCGAGAGCATCTACAGGACAAAAACACGTCCAAACATACCAATGACCTTCTCTACAAGCGGAAACCTTCGGAAACCGAGAAGCACCAGCAACGGTATGACATAAAAAGGAAACAGAGAAAAGAGGATATCGCTGAAACGTCATGAGTATCGGGCAAGGGTATCAACAGGCACAGCCATCGCGCTCATTGTCCAGATGGATGTTGATCGGGTCACTGAATTCGCCACTGAACTCCTCGGCCTCTTCCTGTGCGAGGGCACTCCGGGCAATGACTAGTGTGGGTTAGCATAATGAACATGATTCATGGTAATGTTGCGGTGGCCTCACCTTCGAAAGCCTGCTCAACGTTGACGGCCTCCTTGGCACTGGTCTCAAAGTAGGGAATGTTGCCCTTGGACTGACAGAATGTCATGGCCCGTTTCCCGGAAATCATGCGCTTGTTCTCCTCCACGTCGATCTTATTGCCGATCACCACCTGCATGTCCATCAGTATCGGGGTTTTGTAGGCCACGAAAGCCGTCAATCGGTGTTGCTAAGATCCGGGGGCTTACAAATGGGAAATTTTCGGGATCACGAGGGCTAGCCTGGATCAGGAACTCGTCCCGCCAGCTGTCGAGTGCCTCGAAACTCTTGGAGTTGTTGACGTCGTAGACCAGGACACAGCAGTCGGCTCCCCGGTAGAAGGCAACGCCCAATGATTGAAACCGCTCTTGGCCGGCAGTGTCCCAAATCTATTTGTGGAAAGTTAGTTGAAAGATCAATCTTCGTCGGATAGCGGAGCGGCCGTTACCTGCATGGTCACTAGTCGGTCATCGACGAGGACTTCTTTGGTCAGGAAATCAGCTCCAATAGTGGCCTTGTAGCTTCCACTGAACTTCTTGTTGACCTAATGAACCGAAAGAGCGATACGTTAGCGCTGTGAAAATGGGAAACTGTGGACGGGCGCTAGCTAAATGGGTCGAGAGGGAAAAGGACGCACATATTGGTTCATCAAACTGGTCTTTCCGACACCGCTGTCACCGAGAATGATCACCTAGAGCAGAAAGACGACATGTTAGCAAAGAGTCGTAGCAGACTATCGCGTGCCGGAGCTGCTGCGGAGATCGTACCTTGAGGAGGACCTTCTTCCGTGACGCCATGGCAACGGTGTGACTGGGAACCCTTGAAAAGAGTGAAATAAAACCAACAGATATAGGCTCAGAGGCAAATTAGAGCTATTCGGAAAGCCTGAAGGGGCTGAGGAGAGTGAAGATCGCAAGAGAGTTGGAGTTGGGTTGCAGCGGGTGATGATGCATGGCCGGGCGGTCGAGGGGGGCGGTGGAGGCTGATAACAGATAGCGTCGACATCATCGCATTCGACACATTCCCCGTTTCCCGATCTATCCTTCTCGGCTGATGGCCCAATGGAGAGAGGAGTATCTGGCTGCCCTTGCAGTGCGGGACCAAAGGGAAAAGGCCAACTCTGCACTCTACGATGCCTGTTCGTTCTCTGAATCGTCCTTCCACCCCGTCAGTCTACTTGTTACTGACTACTCCATAGATTCTCGGCTCGCAGATCGCACTGCGCAGCTCACCACCCCCTTGGATTCCAGCGCCGGCCCAGGTCAACTGAGGCCCTCTGGCCATGAAGCTCGTACTGCTTCGCCTCCGGTAGCGACATCCAAGAAACAGCCGACCGAGGGATCTTCTGCGACCGACCTTTTAATCACTACCCGAGCAGACTTGTCAGAGGCACAGCGATCTCGCTCAGAACTACAAGGCCGTTTGGACAGAGTGAACACGGAGTACGAAAAACTGCGCAAAAAAAATGCCCAAGATAGCCGGCGACTCAACGCTCTGGACCACGAAAGAACAAATTTACAGTTGCGCCTGAAAGATAGAGATGAAGAGCTCCGACAGAAAGCCAAGTTATTGGAGGTAGGCAGTTTTTACATGTCACAGATTCCACCGAAGGGGTGTTCTATTGGCTCGGATGGGAACCGTGATTGACATGATCTGACCATTTTACAACAGGATTTCCAAGACGAGATAGCGACACTCAATCTGCAGCTCAATATGGCCGATGAGAAGTCAAGCAAACTTCAACGTGAGAATAAGGAGCTAGTTGACCGCTGGATGGCACGGATGGGCCAGGAAGCTGATGCCATGAACGATGCCTCGAAGTTCTCTTGAAATTTATGGCTCTTCTCAACCGATGCTTGACAAATTCTAGATGCCACACTCTATATGCATATTGACCAGATAAACAGGAAGATTTAGCTCATAGATCAGACTGTCTTTGTACAAGTCGAATTGGTATCATACATATAAACCGGGGATATATCCAACAGGAAACATGAAAATGTACACAAACCAAAAAAAGGCGAATTTACCCAACTTTCAATCCTAAAATGATCTGTCGATGTCTAGAGCGAGTTCTCCATGAATCTCTTCAGTCGAGAGCTGTCCTTGGTGGCAATGAAGTAGGTGCCGCCGACATCGGTCCAGCTGACACTGTTTGACCAGTAGTTCTTCTGCTGGACCTTGAGGAGGTTGATCGGGGAGTTGAGATTGCGCGACTGGATCTTGTGGCCGGCCGGGACAAACGACTTGAGAGAAACTATCTTGCAACCTTCTTTCATGTCGAGGAAGTGATTGATCAGCTCGTTGTTAAGCTGGGGTGTAAAAGCTTGGTTGTTGATAAGCACCACGTCTGCTCGCTTCAACACGTTGACGATACTCTCCTGTTCCAGGAAGTCGCCGCGCACTAGATGCGTCTTGCCCGGTGCGATTCCCCAGAGACGGCAGCGGGCTTTGAACTCGGATTGCTGCAGCTCGGCGAGATCGCACGCATTGTTCATCATCTCGCAACCCCAACTCTCGCAGCCAACTTCAAGCGCTGCTTGAAGAACAACGTTGCCCACGCCCGAGCCGAGATCAACGAAGACCTGACCTGACTTCAACTTGGTCTCCTTGAAGATATTGCTGATGAATCTGGGGAGAAGTTCACCGTACACGTTGTCCGTGCCGTTCTCGTACTGTCGGAGAGATTCAACTCGGGGTGACACCGTTCGCGCATAGATTTGGGTCAGAATTCGTTCGACCCAAGGTAAACTGATGAGCTGTGTTGTGTCTAGATGCTTCGCAAGGCTACCGCTCTCTCTCAACCGCTGAATCGCCTTGTTGTAATCCTCGACGGCCTCGCGGAACTGGCTCTCCGATGTCACAGCCAAAGCACGACGCAGTCGCCGTCTGATCCCACTGGTCTCGTTATTGAACTCATCCGCCTCTTCAGCCGGTATGTAATTGTCGGAGACGGTCTCGATAACCTGAACGATGTCGTCGATGGGCCGGAAGTCCTCGTTGTCTTTTGGTATCATGGAGTCGAATCTAGTCGCAGGAATCAGCAAAACTCCTTCCAAGTCATATTAACCACCAGAGGCGCATACCGCTCTTTTTGCGAAGCACTAGGATACTGCAAGAGGATCTCCGTAGGCTTGCCCTCGACGCCAAAGGCCGGCTTAAATTTCCCTGCTTTCTGACGTGACGTGATATCCACAGCATGCACCATCTTAAACGGCCGAGTCCCTTCATCAGAAAATGCCTTCACCGAGCGAATCCGTCTATCGGGATCGGGTTCCGCGCTGGCGCTCGTGCGTGCACGCTTGCGCACTTCGAACGAGGTATCGCTGTCGCTGGCATCGTCGTCGCTTGAAAGCCGAGTCTCCGGGGTCAGTCGCTTCCGTATGCGATTAGGAGGGGTGAGTCGCTTGGAGGGGCGAGCATCCGCGTCACTCGAGACTGATCGGGCTTTGAGCGCGTGCGTCTTGCGGCTCCGTTCCGACGACGACTGGACTCGAGGGGTCCGCGAGTTCGGAATTTGTGTTGTCGACCGTGTCGGGGCAGCCGGGGCTTTTTGAACGACTTTGCGGATCTGAGTCTTCTGTGGCTGCAGAGAGAAGGCCCCTCCTTTTTGGAGGTGGTCGAAAAAGCCCATGAGGGAGTAGTGGGGAAGAGGTAGGATAGTGATATAGACAAGAAAATGAAGAATTAAAACATGCACCGAAAGAACATGAAACAGAGCCAAGTATATAAACAAACCCCCAGGGCTCGGAGAGTTGGAGAGGAAGGAAGAAGAAAAGAGGAACTATCAATAAGCCGCCACTCGGGGAACTTTAGGAACCCGCGCCCGCGGCGGTGGTCCCGCGTGGTTCTTGGCGAACTCTACGTAAAAACGTCGTGCACGTTAGGAGCACTGGAGGTCTACAGGTGCAGGTTGGCTTTTAGTAGCGTGGGTATCTCCCTCGATTGACTATGTAATGCTCTCTATCCACAATGGTACATTTACGCCTTTTTCTTCTTCGCCAGTCTCTTCTGGGCCCGGATATCCTTCTTCATACGCGAATCCACAATCTTGTACTTGCCCTTGACACCCTTGGGACGACCGGAGATACCACGGTTGGCACCCCGGGCAACCACCAGCTTGACTTGCTGCTTGGGCTTCTTCTTCGTAGCCTTACTCATCAGCTTGGTGATGGCCTGGGACTTGTCCCGCTCACTGAGTGCCTCGTCATCGGCCAGCAGAGCAGACTTCTTGCGCAGCTTCTCCAGCTTCTGTGCCGCCTTGAACTTCTTGCGGCCCTTGGCCTCCATCACCTTCTTGATCGGACGGGCATTGATAGCACGCATCTTCTCCTTGATGGCAGCCGCGGCGGCCTTGGTGATCGGGCGCTGGATCTTGCTGTGCTGGTTCTCGTCATCCATGAACCAATCCGGCATGCCATCCACGTCACGGAACGAATAGCGGTTCCAGCCATCGTCAACAACGTCTGAGGTTTTCTTCTCGCCACTAGCCATCTGCTGAGCCAAAGCCATGGCCTCCGCGGTGATGATATCGATGTCTGCGTTGATGTTAGAATAACCCTCTTAATCATTCACAGTAGAGTGAGACTTACCAAGCTGGCCGTTGGGCTTTCGAGGGTCTTGCTCCTCGGGCTCTTCGTCAGAGTCAACCCATTCCGACTCCTGCTTCTTTGCTTCTTTCTTGTTCTCCTTCTTGTTCTTTTGCTTCGGCGTAGGAGCGGGAACCTCTTCTTCATCCATCTCGATGTCGCTGTCTTCCTCCTCGTCCTCATCCTCGTCTTCTTCCTCTTCCTCATCATCGTCCTCATCCTCCTCCTCGTCTTCGTCTACCCCTTGGAAGATATCTTGGTCGAAGAACATAGCAGCGTTGTTGGAGAGGCTACCAGACTGAGGTGCCCGGACTGCAGAAGCGGCAGTCTTGGAATCCTCATCCTCTTCGTCCTCATCATCGCTCTTGTTCTCGTCGGAGAAACCCTCCCATGCCTCGGACTCGTATTCCTTACGAGCCTTCTTTGCGCGCAGTTTTGAGTCCCTGTCCTCCATGCGCTCTTGGTAATGCTCGTACATGGAGTCGAGTTCCCGCTCCAGGCGATCGCCATCCTCGTCGTCATCTTCTGACTCGGACTCAGACTCAGACTCGTTGTCGCTCTCAGCTGGCAGATCACGGGCGTTTACAACCGCATCTCTAGCATTTGCCCGATCCACCCGTTTAAGAGAGAATGTGGTATCGTCGCCTCCGGGTCCATGCTGCTCCATGCCGATATCCATGGGGGTGGTCATATGCATCTGCATGCGGACAATCTCCTTTCGCTTCTTCTCGTTCTCCTTGCGGCGCTCTTTCTTGTCACGGGTGCTTTCCTTCTCGCGCATCTTCAGCAGCTGTTCCTGAATCGCCAATTCCTCATCCATCGGGGCAATCTCGGCCACTTCCTCGGACTCTTCCTGGTCCTGGTCCTGCTTTTTCTTCACGACGAGGCCGAACTTCTCGCGAACCCTCAGGCGCCATCGCAGCAAGTTGCGGAATTCCTTCTTACCAAGAATCTTCAGATCCTCGCAGCAGGTTTTGATCTCGTCCGTAGTTTCCTCAAGTCGGTTCACTGTGGACAAAGCGAGGTCTCCACTGGGTGGTTCCACGAAACTGAGTTTATTGTATTGACCCAGAATGGCGATGGGGTCTGTAGTATTGATGAATTCGGACACCGGGATTTCCTTGAATTGGGTATAGTCTCCCTCCTCGTAACCTTCACGCTTGCGCTTCTTCTTCTCTGGGTTGAAAACCTTCGCTTCATTGTTGGGAGTGGGTGCTGAAAGTTCAGCAAAGACATGCTTGGGGTCGAGGAATTTCGGGTCGAGGCGCTTGGGGGCCTTAAATCCACGGCAGACGACGAAAATTTCGGCAGACACATTGCGCGACGAAGGGGGCTTGGTCGCCTCCACGGATGTGAACAGCTGCTTGAACACCCACAGAAGAGGGTTGTAATCCTTAGACCGGAAGACCTTTGTGACGAAATTTCCACCCTCCGCCAAGAACTCCGTTGCCAGCTTCAGAGACTGAAGGACCAGTTCTGCTTGCGAGAAGGCATCCTGAACCCAGGCTGTACCGACATTGGGCGCACCATCGTGAAGAACGGTGTCAGCCTTCCAGTGTTTGAGGTGGCCTCGAATTGTAGCACGACACTTCTCGGTAGTGATGTCGCTCTGGAAAGTAATTGCTCGAGGGATGGGTTTAATCGGGGCGAGATCGACACCGATAATGAGACTCTGCGCGGGCATGCATTCCGCAGCGACTTGACACCATGACTAGGCGGTTGTTAGAAACGATTTCTGCGGAAGAGAAGATTTGTAAGGAAAACTTACACCAGGTGCCGCACATAGGTCAAGAAGAACTTTGCTCTTCTCCAAGAACCCATACTTCTTATTCAGCTGAATCAACTTGAAAGCAGCACGGGCTCGGTAGCCCTTCTCCTTCGCAAGCCGATACCATTTATCCAAACGACCTTTTCCGTGCTTGGGAGAGTCAATACAAAGGCCGACGTGGAACATGCGCGAACAGACATACCTTTTTCTGGATCGCCATTTTGAATCACGGGCGGTCTTTTCAAAGACCTTATTGCCCTGAATGCAAGAGGGGAAAAAATGAGTGATAGAGGTTGTATACCCTTCGATCCCAGCGGCACCGCAGAAAAAAAAAGTCGACTTATCGCTCACCGCCCTGGAGTGTTGCCGTGTTGTGGCCTCAGGCGACAGTCGCAATCACCAGGCACCCAAGACCATGTGACATGATATCAGCCATCCTGGCTCGTGGCGCTTGTTAACTTTCTAGATCATTTCATATCGGTGGTTGTGTTTTGGTTGATGGGACTTAATGAGACTATCCTCGCGTCCATGACACCAAAGAGATCTCGCAAGAGAGTGAAGCCCAGCCCTGGCGAGGACTCACCGTCCCCCGCGTCTCCGAACAATGCTGCCCGAGATCGCTCGGGCTCCAAGTCTCAAGGGCCCGCCGTAAGTCTAGATGCTCGAAAAGCTCATTCTTGATCTGTCACTAACCACTGGTGGTCCCTTCTATAGACCTGGTACCCTGGAAATTGGTCGGCCATCTCGCGGGTGTCCAAGGCGGCTCCAGTTACCGAGGTTGCCCGTGAGAGCATATCCGTCGCTCAAAACGTAGCCTCCAGCGTCGCGGGCACCTCCGCCTCTCTCCTCGATACCTCCAAACAGATACATCCGTCTATTCAACTGACCCGAAAGGCAGGGGCGTCAACTCGATCACTGCCCGCCGATGCGACTACGACCAGGGTCAACATTGTGTCGGACGCATCGGCCTCCACAACGGCTTTGGATAAGCTTGAAGCTCCGGCAGCTACAGGAACGTCAACGCCCGACAAAGAGACTACTGAAGAAGAACCCTTAAAGCCCGTAGAGAAACCAGCAGAAGCACAAGAGCCCGTCTCTAATAACGCTGGCACCGATCCCAACACGTCACAAGCAGATCATACTGAGGCATCTGGCGGGTGGTTTTCTTGGCTACACAGGGCAGGCAATACCGAAAAGAGCGCTGGCCCGGAGTCTGCAGAGACGGCAGAAACACAGTCTGACCAGGACCAGACTACGAAGCAGACCGACACACAGCCAACCACTCAAGACTCGCCCGCGCCGGAGGACCAACAGGTACAACAGCCAGATCAGGTTTCACTACAGGCCAATACTATAACCGAGACTGCTTCCACCGCCCAGAAGCGTTCTTGGCTGCAGATGTGGTACGGATCGGCCTCATCGAGTAAGCAGGGAGAGCAGGCTACGGTGGAACCGAGCAAAGCCTCTCCGGCAGAGCCCCAAATATCGGTGAATGAAGACGTGAATATGTCACCTAAAGATCCGGAAGAAGAACATGAAGAGGCAGCTGATCCGCCAAAGCCTCCTGCTGAAAACACAAGATCCTTTGGGTGGTCATTCTGGTCTAAAGATTCGAAAGACCCGTCTGTTCAGAAACCACAGCATGTTGAAGGAGTCGAAGCGACAATCGATCAAAACTCCCCGCCACGGGAGACATCGCTTGAGCCGGACCCGGAAACCAATGTCAACATTACCAAGAAAAGCAGTGTCAATGTCAAGCCGCTCAAGGACAAGAGTGCTAAAGATGGGTCTGTCTCTGCTATGGAAGCAACCTCTGCATCCGCACCACTTGCCGAGCCTCGACCAGCCGACGTCACTGCTTCAAAGCAACTACAGAAAATCCTCCCCAACCAAGTGCTTCCACGCTTCGAAGACACGTATAATTTAGAAGAATCGCCAACCATTTTGCAATCTCTTGGTCGATTCCTTCATTACACCAAAGGCCCGGAACACAAGCATGTGTTGCGAGTCAAAGAACCTCCTCGTATCAAGCGAGCCTTGGCCATTGGCGTTCATGGCTATTTCCCCGCGCCTCTGATCCGGAGCGTGTTGGGTCAGCCTACGGGTACATCCATTCGATTTTCAAATATGGCCGCGGAGTCTATTCGAAAATATACGGCTGATCATGGCTACTCTTGTGACATTGAAAAGATTGCATTGGAAGGAGAAGGTCGCATCTCCGAACGAGTGGACCTGCTATGGAAGCTACTTCTCAACTGGATGGAAGAGATTCGAAAGGCTGATTTTATCATGCTTGCTTGTCACAGTCAAGGCGTGCCAGTCTCAATCATGCTGGTTGCAAAGTTGATATCCTTTGGCTGCATCAACGCCTCGCGTGTGGGCATCTGTGCCATGGCAGGTGTGAATATGGGCCCCTTCTCCGCATATCGATCTAGATGGATCAGCGGATCAGCTGGTGAGCTCTTTGAATTTGAGCTACCTTTCAGCAAAGTCTCCAAAGACTACGAGGCTGCATTGAAATGTTGTCTTAACTTTGGTGTTCGCATATCATATGTTGGAAGTATCGATGATCAATTGGTCTCACTTGAGGTTTGTTCGCCTGCCATTCACCATGATGAACCAATTTCGCTAAACAAATTTGACAGTCTGCCCTATTCTCTCCAATATCCCACCCATATATCTACCGGTCCGTTTTCGTAGACGGCAGAGTTCACGCTCCGAGCTTGTGAGTCCATTCACCGCGGAAAGCCAAGGGCGGCTCCATGCTGATTCTATCTCTTAGCCTCTCGCATCTTGTTGGATTCGCTCTCAAGCTTCGAAACCTTGGGGTCCAAGATCATGGGCTTATTCGCGAACTCAGCAGTCCATTGGCTGGCAGTCTCTACACCGGGGAGGGACATTCCCGTCTGTACGATGACGAAGCCGTGTACTAGTATGTGTGATCCGTCACTTCTGATAGCTATTGTCCTAACTTTTTTTTCTTCTACTAGCATGGCCATCCAATTTGCCCAGGAAACCTCCACTGTCCCAGACGCCAGCCTACACATCAAAAGGTCCGGCCCGGCCATCCCCAACCCATATATCCTGCCGTTCGCCATGCGTGGCCTTTTGGAAGAAGAACATGTGCGGCGCGAGCTACAAGAAGAAATGATGGAGCTCCTGCGCCAGTTCGATGACTGGAAGCCGTCAAGCAAGGTCTTGAAGGATGTCAAGTTCCGACTTGAGGGAATCCGGTCAAAGCTATAGTTCCTCACATTTCTGCATTACCCTCGTTTTAGCGTCCCTTTAGCGACTCCATTAGAGGAAACATACAATTCCTTGCACATTTTTTGATAATAACATCTTTTGTCTTCTTAAAGATGAGAAAAGGTCCCTTTCATTTGGGTATTAAATAGAACTTTCCGATATACCTTAATTACATGCATCATAACCATAAAACCAAACCCCTTGGAATGTGATGAATAATTTATGATGTCGGTAGTAGAGGAGAAGGGGGGGGGGCGAGTGTGTCGCAGAAAATGCAAGATGCGCTGGGAAAATAGGGCTTCAATTAAACAGATGCGGGGAACGCCGCGTGAAATGCACCTTGGATTTCATCTGGGATTGTCAGTAATCGCCAATAACTAGGATATTGAAAAGGGGATATTACCTCTCATCCCATCCAACGCCTCAAAAGCAAGCGAGTAGTTCGACAGCACCCCGATAATCCGCTGCAGTCCCTGACGTATCTCCCCAAAGAGCCGGTCTATTGAGTCGCCCGTAAGATCGTTCTCCCAGTCGAGTGAGAATTGCTTCGCCACGCGGGCTTTGTAAAAAATCATGAACATCGCGTAACTACTCTGCATTAGACAGCATGCAAATGAAGGCATAGTCCGAGGTAGCGGACGACTTTGGTGCTGCTCCTGATTGCTATAAAGCGGGTGCGGGTATGGCAGAGTTTCGAACACGCGGGAAATGACGATTGCAGCGTTGAAACAGATTTTCGCAGAGTGCTGCGAGCTGTATGGGAATCCGGATGCGAAGGGGTACTGTGGGATGTAGGGGTGGGTGTCCGAGGTGGTGGAGGAGTCGGATGGGGTCATGTATTCGGTGGAGGCGGAGCGTTGAAATGGGTTGAGGTTACTGCATGGACAGGAGACATTGTGGATTCCTGATCCTGAGATGGAGAGTTTGTTGAGGTCGATTGGGGGGTGGTTTGGGTTTGCGGCTGTTAGGTCGCAGTGTCTTTTAATGAAAAGGGGGATGTCGCTAAATGCTCTAAAGCGGTGTATTTTGATTTGTGCACTGGAACATTATTAGATGGAGGCTGAAGTCGATGTGGTTGGTCTATGCCTACCTGGACAATTTGATGCGGGAAATTGAACGTATACAAAGGGCGGTGATGGTTTCGTGTTGGTCGCCAAAGTCGGTGTCAAGCGAGGCGATGGGGAGAACTTCTGCCTGCGCGAGCACGGCGTTGGTCCAGGAGTCGAGCTGTTGCATTCGTCCGTACATGTATTGCATACCCGATTGCGACGAGAGGGACTTGTTCAGATCATCGATGAACTGCGTTGCTGATACCAAAACTTGCTGAGCTTGTATTAAAACAGACCAGCCCTGGAATAGATGTCAGTTCCTTGATTAGACTGACTGACGGCAATACCGGGCACCGTTTCGGGATACTGACCTCCGAATCTGAAGAAAAGTGTGGGTATGGTGTTGTGAATTGAGGGTCATTAATAACAATCGTGGGCGGCTAATGTCATGTTAGCACACCTTTGATCCAAGGTCTCACTCCAAGAGCGCTTACAGTTGTGCTCACGATTGAGCCTTGTAAAACGCAATAGTACTAGAGCCAGGGTAAGAAGCAATCCAAGTCAGAGGGGAAGGGCAACAAACCGTCATCCACCATGCTCTTCGTCGGGCTTCGGAGAATTCATTCTCCTCCACGTGCGCATGAAGCGATTTGTCCAGAGCTAGAGCCAAGGCTTGGCCGGCACGATATCTCATCTTGAGCAGGTTGCCTCGCTGAGCATACTCGTATACCGAAAGAATTAGTAAAGCAAGAAGAGTCTCCAGATCCTCTGGAACCCGAGCATGAAGTCTGTCCCGGCTGATCGGAGGTCGCGGGTTTGATAATGCCTGACCGGGATCGGTCGTTGACAGCTCAAGATCGCATTCCGCCTCGATGATGGAATTAGCCAGCTGCGCAAACGCATGCGCGTACGTCCTTCGCTGTAAGATGGACATTGGGGATGTCGGCTCGGTGTCAGCGGGATGCGGAATCAGCGCTAGCACAGCGGCCACCGCGAGACTCAAAGGCGAACGAGGTCGGTACATCATCAAGGGTTCCGCGGACGGGTTGGAACATGAGATCGGGCAGTGCAGTGGGCGATCTCGACACGGAGGTGATGTTCGTGGCGGTAAAAGGGGAAAGTATGAATGAATAAAGTCGTAGTAGGCATTGAGACTGGATGTTGCGTTAGATGGCAATGCAAGGCCTTTGGGAATACGGTACTGACATCTCCGCCTCGCTTCCATAAGTTCTCACGAAGCACTGCTGTGTATTCAAGGATGAAGGCCCGGGTTCCATCTGAACCGAAGACGGGTTCTCGTCACCCAAGTAGGACTGGAACATGGAAGGCATTGTGAAATCCAGATGGCGTAAACCGGCACCTGGTGCAGAGAGCACATCGATCTGGCTGAACATGCCAGCCGCTAAGGAGACATTAGGGACATGAGCATCAGGGAATCTCAACAGGCCAGTACATACGCTCTTCAAACTCGGGCACAACGGCATACTGGGCGTCCTCCGGCGAGTCCTCGGGCGACGGCGATGCCTTCTGCTTCTTCTTACGAGGCCCACCTCGTTTGCTGGGCAAGTACGAGCACTTTCGGCCTTTGGAGATACACTAGACAAATTAGTATGTACGCATCGAATGCGGACCGAATCAACCACAAGGGCACGTACGTTGGAACAGGGCTCTTGCCCGCCACATCGAGTTCTCGAAGCGCGACTAGCAGGAGATTAGCGGGGGACGCCACGAAAAGATCGAGGAAGGCGCACCAGGGCAAACAAGCTACTTTGACCGGGGGTTTGGCAAATTTCTTGCGCATCGGCCGCTCGGCCGCAAAGTCCTGAAAAGGTTCGGCCATGGCGAATCACGCCGGGATCTTAAAAAGGCATGGAGACTTCCCGGAAAACCTTTTTTTTTCGTTCGATACTTCTTTTCACTCCGGTTACGAAATTTAAGTCGATGCTTAGTGGTTGAATTGTGGAGGTGAGGAGCCGTGATATAGAAAGAATGCCGATTGATCGTTCTCAGGCGCAAATCCCGAGCGTGGAGTTTCGGGGTTTGCTCGCAGTTTCATAGACGTCCGCAATTTGTCACCATCGGGGGTCCCGCCTCGTGCTCACCGCAAGGAATGGAAAGGGTATGACGGAGATGGGGAACCTTCTCTGCTAGGGATGTAACCTATTGCGCTAGCTCAACCCTAGAGTACCCCGGAATATCTGTGCTCTCGTGAAAGAGGACTGCGCAGGTTGCGAAGTACTCGTTCGGGGTCACGTGGGGCAATTCGCCTCACCTGTGGATTTTGGGTTGGTGTTTAGCTGCGGATATAGCGCCAGTAAGCAACCTCGGAAGTGCTAGAGATGATCAGAGCATCGAACCTTGCAGATCAGGCCGGGGGTTTCCCGAAGTCCCCGGGTGTGGCCGTTGTTCTAGCGGAAGTGGGCCCCGAAGGAGAGGGATGTAAATGCCGAGATATGAGCGCATCGGGTTCAAAGTATGAGAAAATATGAGAGCTTTCGATTTGAAAATGTTCATGCATACTGTAGTTTCTAATAAAATACACTTCCAGTATATACTTTTCCGGCTTCGATTTACATAGAGCCCCACGGAAGCGAACACACGGAGGCCCTACGCTGAACATCAACTACACACCATCTATTCATGCATCATGACCTGTACACATGCTTACTGCATCCTGCCCACCGTCGAAAGCTTGATGCCCGAGACATACCGCACGCTGTCCCAGACGCTGTCGGGGACTTTGACTGGAAGTTTGTGGCCCTTTAACTTCTGGTCGATCAGCCACATTCCAACCACGAATTCCTCTTTCGTCAGAAGTCCGATCTGCTGCTGATCCACAAGATCCCACACTTGCTCCAGCACTGCGGTTGGTAGCCGGCTGCGGGACCAAATTTCACGGACCACTAGGTTAAGCACCATCTCTGATGGCGGCGGCCATCTCCCGGCCCCATTCGGATCGCCTCGTCCGGGAGGGATGAGTAGCCCCTTGTTAGATGCCCACACGCCTTCGTAACGCTTGCGCTCCTTCTCCGTGACTTCCTGCCTCCATCGTTTACGATCTCCTTCATGATGTTTGTGCGGATGCTTCTTGAGCAGCCGGTGCCGGTGGCCTGCATCCGTATCGTCGGCCTTTGGCATGCCTCGAAGCGTCATCGGCATTCCCTTGGGCGGGCTTGGCGTACGTGATAGATCACTTTTTGGTGAATGTGCTAAATGCAGGATCGAACGGGAGCGGGCCCGTCGTCGTCGTGGAGGTGGTGGGGGTACTTTTGTCACGGGGGATGCCCGTGCGGATGCGAGGGAGGAGGCCACAATTGCATTAGAGAGGGCTTCGGTTTCGTCCATGGTGCTTGAGCTGCTGGTATGAGATCGACCCGATATTGATGCCATGCTGGGTGTTGATGTGCGTAACGGGGTCGCGGGGGGAAGCGCTTTTCTTGAAGTACCCTGTGAGGGGCCTGTAGACCGTGGGGGAAGCTTCGGCTTCAGCTCATCGGGTGGTATTGAGGATATTCGAGAGCTTATGGAGGGATGGGGACTCGGGGCCTGGTCACGAAGACTCCCGGCTCTGGATGGCCGGGTTGAGATGCGCACACCCGTGGGCTCTGGCTCAAAGCGCGGGTCGTCATCCAGAAGCATTTTATCCACCGGGCTATCTCTGACGGGCAAGGGGCGGATGGGGGTGGGAGAGCGCAGCTCGCGTCGCTCGGTCGAAGCTTGGGACTGCATCCTGCTGACGCTTCGCATGGCACCGAGTCTGGCAGCATCGATTGCCGGTTCTGGTTTTCTAGAAGGTGATCTGGAGGCGGCAAGACGTGCGGCGATCTGTTCTGGAGGTGGTGATAGGGTCGGGACCGGTGATCGTCCACGATTCGATATGTTGGGTGCGGAGAGCTGGTTGGCGTTCAGCCTCCCTACCATCTCCTTCACGGAGGGGACTTCGTGTTCCGACTCAGATCCCACGGTCGGGCGTCTAGCTCCTGCATTGCGGTTCATCGAGCTGGCCACTGCGGCGGCGGCTGCAGCAGAGAGCTGGGGGTTCACATGTGGCGCGCTTCGCGGATGTTGGTTGAAGGCGATGGTTGCACCTTGTAAGGCGGAGTTATCTCGGGACGCGGAAGCCAACCGCTGGGTCGCGGCGATCTCGCCATTCATGAAATCGATCACCAGCGTTGGATTGCGCCAGTTAAGTTGAAGAAGGTTGCAGATGAACTGCAACAATCTTGGGGCTGAGCTGAGGATAAAAAAGCACGACAGGCCCACCGGGCGCCCGTGCACTCAACGTCCACGTACCGGCCGGAGCTCGAGGTACTTCGGCACCAGAAGTAACAGCGTACCTACGGGCCTGGCAACGGAAGTACCCTCTGCTCGCTGGCATGAGGCCGATGAGAAACTGGCAGAGCCCGTATAAATAGGGAATGTATCTTAACCATCGTACCCGAGCTCAACCCAGATTCAAAATTAACCGAGCCCGTTTAAATCGAAGACCAATCGCCGTGCGTGTCCCTTTCTCCCCGCATGTGGCGGGCCGATCTAACTATTTCAGCCAATTTATACCATGCGATCCCCCGACCCCCCGATCCCCCAGTTTCTATGAAACTACTGACGCTTATCGAGCCTGGAGATGCACATAGCCTCGATATACTCCCGTCGGCATGCTCTCGGAGAACGACAATGCGCGTCCTGAGACTGCAATGCACGATATGGATTCGCGCGCAGATCGGGGACAAGGCGCTCATCAGCCTGGGGACAACCGAGACTCGCCCTCGGGCCATGTTCGATGCTCTGTCTGTAGCAGCATTTTTCGGCGACCGGAGCACCTGAAGCGCCATCTGCGCAGTCACACGAAGGAGAAACCCTTCGAATGCGCTCAGTGTGGCCGACATTTTTCACGAACGTATGCTGGTGCGCCATCTGGGACGAGTTGACCGTGGCTAACATGTAGCGACATTGCACAGTGATACCCTCCACCGGCACGAACTAAGTCACCATACCACCGGAGGCGAAGGCGGCAAGGATCGTGCCCACCGCATCACCGTCAAGACATTTCGCGCATGCTTTAGCTGCGCCACGGCGAGAGTGCGATGCAGCGGTGGTACTCCATGCGGACGTTGCGATAACCGTTTGCTCGAATGCCAGTATCCTACGGAAAGACGGTCGAGGGGAAAAGTCCGAAATGGCGCTTCCAAAGGAGTGTCTGGATTGGATATGCTGGAGCATGAGCCACAGACCCCTTTACCATCTTCTAACCGACTCAACGGTGATGAAGCTGAGTCGATGGAAATTGAACACGGATCATCTAGCCAAATGGCCGAGTTTTCCGTGAATAACATTCATGGCGTAACTTCGCCGAACGCTTCGGTAAATACCTTCTCAAGTCGAATGGATACCCACAGAGAAAGTATTTCGTCCGATGGAAGAGCACCTATTGCGGGGGCTTCTAACCCCCCGTTATACTTGCCATCGTCGAATCAACTCCCTTCGACGCGACTGTCATCAGCTGTGTATCCAAACGATACCAGTCAACATCCACCTAATGAAATGGCGACTCCTGATGTGCCGGAGATGTTCTCGGTTGATCCGACCTCTGGCCTCAGCCCCAACGGGAGGGATCTTCAACCGGACCTGACAAACTCGGTTGCTGATATAGAAATGGACATAAGCGGGAATGCGCAGATGACACTGGAATTTGATTCCTCATTGTTCGATCAATCTATGCTTTCTACCATAAACTGGCTCCCCAACGAGCTCTTCGCCAGTGCATCTAATGGACCGACCCAGCTGTCTGGAGTTCCTTCGCAACAACCTCAGTCTGCCGTTTCAGATTCCTATCCAACCCGCATGGCATGGTATCCACCTGTCACCAACACTGAACAAATTAGCCCTTCAATGGCCGAAAACTTCTCCCATACCCCTTCCGGAAATATTTCGCTGGGAACCGACATGGGAAGCCCCAGGAGGTATTCAAAAGTTGGCAGCGAAGCATCTCCATATTCCGAATCGATGGATTCTTCAAAGAGGTCATCCGACTATTACGTTGATGGCGGCGGAGCCCGTCTTCCGAGCTACAGAAAGAAACATGTCCCATGGCCAAATGCAGTCAAGGCAATGGCTCTATCCGGGCAATCAATCGCTGAAGACAATGTGCGTCGCCATGGATTTCCAAGTACTCACGAGATAAGTGTCAACAATGCAGAAGTGGCCAAGTCCGTGCGACCCATTGACACAAACACCCATCAAGAGCTTTACCGCAACTTCTTGCTGCTTTGCCGCACCGAAAATTCATTTTTCGAGGTGTTTGAATCGGATTATTTTCCGACTGCAGAGAACTGTACAGGTTATCTTGCATCCTACTTTGATTCATTTCACGATGTTTATCCCATAATCCACCAACCTACCTTCGACCTGAACCGGTGCCATTGGCTGTTGGTATTGGCAATAATGGCAATCGGCTGCCGTACTTCAAGTATATACGAAGCAGACCAATGTGGGAATGCCTTTCATGAGATGATACGACGAGCTCTATACGTCGAGGTAAACGTTTTCCCCTACTCACTTGGCTCTACATACTAACAAATGCTCTTCGATAGAAAGAGAAATCTGACATGGAACGTGTGTCACTTCACTTGATGCAAGCAATGCTACTCAATTGCATTGGGCTCCTTCACAGTGGTAGCGAGCAAGATAAGCTATCGGCTTTAAAAATGTTCAAAGATCTTGTGACATTTGCAAGCCACGAAAAGCTCCTCTCCTCATCGCATACGGATATATCCAGTACTTCATCTGAAGTCATGTGGGTAAAATGGGCGCAAGATGAAACTCGGCGGCGAACGGGCTACTGTATTTGGGTATACACTCCTCCCTTGGAAAATGTGCGACTTCAACTGACTATGTCTTACTTGAAGCTCCTGGACTGCACACTTGCATACTATTTCGAAGACCGGCCGCTTTTATCCCTTGATGATGGGCAAGCTTCACTGCCTGCCCATGAGAAGCTATGGCAGATTGGTTCTGCCGAGGCTTGGAGGCACCGGTGGGATAATACAACCGGTACCATTCATGTCGATTGCCTACCCAGGAAGAAATGCTGACCCTCTTAGTTAACGACTCATTATACGATACCGTGCACATATTGTACATAGAGAAGAAGCTTGTTTCCGGGATCGGAGAATTCAGTCATATCCTTCTCCTTCACGCCCTTTATCACCGCATGTGGGAAGTCGGTGATTACTTCCGCCGACCCTTGTCTTTCTGGAACCCAACTGCCAAAAGGCAATCACGAGAGACCGCCGTTCCCCCCGGCCCGGTATGGCTTCCGGGGATCCCATCCTATTCCAAATGGCGCAACAGCACGTGTGATTGTCTGGATATTTTGCACTGGACCGCGAATAGCACTGTGGCCAAGGCCGCCGGAATGGAGCACCCTACTGTTCTTCATCTTCATGCAGCACGACTCGTTCTACTCGCGCCGTTTCGTGAAATCCGCTCGCTTGCAACATCTTTGGCAACAGACCAGTTGCGGTGGAGCAAGCGACACCAGGCAATTGAGTGGCAGTACATCTGGCGTTGGGTTAAGCATGACCAATATAAGGCTCGCCTTTCAATCATTCATGCCGGTGCCACTCTCTGGCACGTTCGGCGATACTCCATGAGTGCATTCCACGAACCAGTCGCCGTTTTTCTTGCTGTGCTGACACTATGGGCATATGGCTCATGTCATGCTCATGCAACCCAGGACTCTATTCCGCATCTGCAAGTGTCCGGAATAGAGCTTTCGGAAGAGCCGAGTTTTGTCCATTTGGATCGGCCATGCGATGATGAGCTGGTGCAGCTTTTTGTCCGGAAAGGTCATTCTATGCGAGGCAATGTCACTGGAGTTGGCAACATCTGCGCACCTGAAGGACCAGAGAGGATGCTTCGTGTCGGCTGTGAAATTCTGACTAGTCTGACGGCGTGGGGCGTCTCGAAGAGATTCATTGTGATATTGACGCGTCTGGCTGATGTGATGGCGCGACAACCAAGCACTGAGCACAATCATAATGCCAGCATGGGTGGATCTTGATCTCACTGTTTTATTCTCTTTTTTTTTTTTTTTTCAAAATACCCCTGAATTGTACATTAGTCTTCAAATGCATCATTATTTCCTGGTGTATACTTCGGCGTGATGTCACATGTGCGCTATCTTATCGTTGCCTAAAATCATCCGGGGAACCTTCCACTCTCTTGGAGCTCGACTCGCCATGGATTCCGACGAGATCGTGCCCGAACCACGAAATGTGGAGGAGGATCTGGATGAGAAGTAATGATTCTGGTCTCTCTTCAGCTCTGAGTATGCTGATCCCCACGAAATAAAGATATCCGAACCGCCCCCATAACACCGCCCCCACGCTTCCATTCCACGAGCTGTACCTGAATTTGTTCCACCCTCTCAGCCAGATCAAGAAGAAACCTGCGACTACTGCACCTGCAAAGCGCAAGGTCGGATCCAGTAACAAAAGCGCGACACACCAAAGCCCGTACGAGCTCCGTCGCGATGTTATCGCACGTTTCATCTCGCGATGGCGCAAAGAGGTCGGCAACGACATTTACCCAGCTTTTCGGCTCATCCTTCCAGACAAGGACAGGGACCGACCTATGTACGGCATGAAGGAAAAGGTCATTGGAAAGATGCTGGTGAAAATCATGAAGATCAATAAGGAATCAGAGGATGGCTACAATCTCTTGAACTGGAAGCTTCCGGGCCAGTCATCGACGCGCATGGCAGGAGACTTTGCGGGAAGGTGCTATGACATCCTGTCTAAAAGACCGATGCGGACAGAGCCGGGCGATATGTCCATCGAGGAGGTTAACGAGAAGTTGGACAAGCTCGCCGCTACCTCGAAGGAAGACGAGCAGATCCCTATTATGGCCGAGTTCTACCGGCGCATGAACCCGGAGGAATTTATGTGGCTCATCCGCATTATCCTGCGCCAGATGAAGGTTGGGGCTACGGAGCGCACGATGTTTCATGTCTGGCATCCAGATGCCGAGAATCTATACAGCATTTCCAGCAGTCTCCGGCGCGTGTGCTGGGAGCTCCATGATCCCAATATCCGACTCGAGGCAGAGGACCGTGGTATAGCACTAATGCAGTGCTTCCAGCCTCAGCTGGCTCAGTTTCAGATGCACTCTTTCGACAGAATGGTTTCGCGAATGCAGCCTACGGAAGAGGACCCGGTGTTTTGGATCGAAGAGAAACTGGACGGCGAGCGCATGCAGCTCCACATGGCCCCCGACGATTCTGTTGCAGGGGGTCGGAGGTTTGCCTCTTGGTCCCGCAAAGCAAAGGAGTACACTTATCTCTATGGAAATGGGATCTATGATGAGAATGGGGCTTTGACCAGACATTTGAAAGATGCATTCGTGAACGAGGTGCAGAGTGTCATACTGGATGGCGAGATGGTCACCTGGGATCCTGAGCAGGACGCCCCCGTCGCCTTTGGTACGCTCAAAACCGCGGCATTGGCCGAGCAGCGAAATCCTTTTACAAATGGCCCCAGGCCGATGTTCCGCGTCTTTGATATTCTCTACCTGAATGGGAAAGATATCACGAAGTATACTCTTCGCGATCGCCGCAAAGCATTGCAAAGGATTCTCCGCCCAGTCCACCGACGCTTCGAGATTCACCCGTATCAAGAGGCGACCACGACTACAGAAGTCGAGACGTGCTTGCGCAATGTTGTTGCCGAAGCCTCGGAGGGTCTTGTGCTGAAGAACCCGCGATCCCAATACCGACTGAATGAACGCCACGACGACTGGATGAAAGTCAAGCCTGAGTACATGACCGAGTTTGGCGAGTCGCTTGATCTAGTCATTGTGGGTGGATATTATGGACAGGGCCATCGAGGAGGTAACTTGGGGAGCTTCCTATGTGGATTGCGCGTTGATAATCCCAACTCCTCCCAACCGGAGAAATGCTGGTCATTTTGCAAGGTCGGTGGTGGCTTTACCGCGGCCGACTATCAAGAAATTCGCCACCACACAGATGGCAAGTGGATGAAATGGGATTCAAAGAAGCCGCCCACTGAGTTTATCGAGCTTTCCGGCGGAGACGCTCAGCACGAAAAGCCTGACATGTGGATCAAACCATCTGACTCCGTTGTTATCTGCGTGAAGGCAGCCTCCGTGGGAGTGAGCGACATGTTCCGCATGGGCCAGACGCTGCGGTTTCCGCGGTTCAAGAAGCTTCGTAAAGATAAGAACTGGAAGAGCGCGTTGTCGATTCAAGAGTTCCTGGATCTCAAGTCCAATGTGGAGCAAGAGCATCGGGAAAAGGAGTTTAACGTGGATAACTCCAGGAGGAAGCGTGTCAAAAGGGCTGTGAAGAAGGCGTTGACGATTGCCGGGTATGACGAGAAGGAAAATGCCCAGTACCTTGGACCCTCCGGCCATATTTTTGACCAGCTCAATTTCTGTACATGCTGTCATGCCCATTTCCCACTATGACATTGCTAACAGAGTTTCAGTTATTATGACTGATGCAAGCTACCCCGAGAAGAAATCAAAGGGAGAGCTCGAGCAGCTGGTGAAAGCCAATGGGGGCAGAATCTACCAAACAAACACCGCTGTCCCAGACACTATTTGTATCGCCGAGCGAAGTACGTACTCCATGTCACCGGATAAAGGCTAAGCTAACGGTGTAATAGGGACCGTCAAGGTGGCTTCACTGCTGAAAAGCGCGAACTTCAACATTGTGAAACCATCCTGGTTGATGGACTGCGTCAAGCAGAACGAGAAGGATGTAGGATTGCCCGATCTGCTTCTCCCCTTCGAGCCCAGGTAATTTCTCATCACACGATTTACAAGAGTTGGACTGACAAGTGGATCCTCTCGTGTAGGCACATGTTCTTCATCATGGAGGATCGAGATGAAGAAATCAACATCAATGTTGATCCCTTCAACGACAGCTACGCTCGCGACACAAACGTCGATGAGCTCAAAGAAGTACGTGTATGCAAATTCATTACCAATAAGGAAGATACTGACCAGGCAATAGATCCTAAAGCAAATGGAAATCAACAAAAAGCAAAGCAACCATTCTCTCGACCCGCACACCCTCCACAAAGTCGAGTCTCACATCCAAGCAAAGATCGACTCGGGATACACTGCGCCCTGTGGCTGGCTCTTCCGCGGCCTAAGGTTTTACTTCTCTACACAAACTCCTTCTGCAAACGGAGACGGTGCATCCTCTAAACCCGAGATGGATCATACTCCTATATGCGTGGCACGTAACACCGCCCGATTTGCATCCGCCAACATCGCGACTTCGCTCAAAAGTCCGGACGTTACTCATGTCATAGTCAACCCGGCAACAATGTCGCGAGAGGATATCATTTCCCTGCGAAAATCGCTGGCTACTAGGGCGGGGAAGAAAATTCCACATCTCGTCTCGTTGGACTGGGTTCAAGAAAGCTGGAAGAATGGGACGCTCTTGGATGAGGAAAGTAAGTTTCACCGTCTCCCTTTGTGTACGATTCTTTGTTGTGGTCTACGTCAAGTTGTCTAACATGACTGTTACAGGGTTCTCAGTGTCTCGATGATGGTTCGGTCTACGGGGATCTACCACTGGAAGTAGTTATTGTTCCTAGTTGAACAGGTTGCATAGCCTAGATTATCCATCTGTTATAGATCAGTCGATGAGCCACTGACTAGTCGCCGATCAATTTGCGCACGTTATGATCCCAGCTCCGGATATTTCTCTACAGCTCTCATTTTTTTACAACGTGATTCGACATTCGAAATCAGATAAAGTACACACTGATGCAATGTAGTTACCTATTGCAAAGAAAAATTATCTCTATCCCTGTTCGGCTGACAGTAACAAATGAACCGATGTTGTAATAGCTCAAGGGCCACTAAGGTACTGTATCTCTGACTGAATCAATTGATTCAGTTAGGTGGTAGAGAGGTGTAGATTATATTGAAAAGTAATCACGGGAGTACGTGCCATAATCTCTTGCGGTTGTGCAATACCTCGGCATGCACGAAAATCAGGTCTCCGAGGGCTCCACCTGGGTGCTGCTCCTTGACAAAAGTGATGCACCACAGTCTGGATCATGCGATACGACGTGGCCGGAGTGAAGTTTGAACCGAGTCACCCTTCTATCTTCTACGTTGCATTGGAGGTTCGAGTTTCACTGATGAAATAACCCTGCGGCGGAAGGGTCAAGGGTGGTTCGGGAGAAGACAGCGCCGCTAGATGCTTTCCTAAGTGTTCAAGTTCCAATATTAGTGATACACTGTCTTGGCTTTAAAATCCCTCTGGCTGGGATGTGCCGAAAGGCTTACTCACCTGCTATAGACCACCTTTTACTAAAGCAATTGAGGAGCCTCACCATTAGTTGTAAATTTTCGTTATGCTTTGGTTTGCCATTCTGTTCCCATAATCGCAATTGAATAACCGCAGCCTGATATAAAGCGTATGGGACAAAAGGGGACAAGGAAAGTCGCTGACTTTCGTCTTGGGCGATGCTAAGCATATGATCTGACAGCTCCACCATTTTCGTAGATAGTTGTTCCAACGCGAATGATGTGCCATTTGTATTGAGAGATCGGATCTCTGGATAGTTTGATGGGCGTGCGTAAAGTGTAACAAGGGAGCTAGTATAAGAAGTAATCTGTTAGATTGGGCTGAGCAAATATGGGCCTGTAAATATTCACCTGAAACACATCGCTAGAGCTCCACAGTAGTTTGTGAACTGAACTTCTTCTTCTGCCAAGATTTGCAGCAATGGCAACAACGTGCGTTCGAGTTGCGCTGCCTCTTCTCCATGAAAGCTGCTGTCGGAGATAGGACTAAAAATGTGTTGAACAACCCTCCCAACCAGATGTGACACTTGGCATTCCCTAACAAAGTGGCTCACTCTGAAAGGGGGGAGAGGGCTGGAAATGTTCGGATTGATACTATCCGTCAACAACTTTCAGCTAGTCAGCAAAGAGTACATTCACCCTTCTCACAAAGTTGGCATTATCTGGGAAAGTGGTCAAGGGCTTACATCCAAAGTGTAATGCATCTCATCATTCGGCAATGGATCATCTCTGCCAACATCTTCGGTGTTGAAAATGGCATCACCATTACAGAGATTTAGATACCTATCGGTTAGTGAGCCCAAATAGACAAGGCCAAAGGCCAACCCACAAATTGCGTGTTCAAGACTTACCTATCCAGGTTGTGAATCGCCCACAGTGTCACTCTTTGCTCCATGGTGGACCATTTGTATGTATTAGGTTGTTCAATACTGACTCGCTGGAAACCGAGATTGCGGGCTGCCCGCGCACAAGATGCCATCGAGATAGCTGCTGCCGGATATATTCCATGACTTGCTTCATAAAGAGTTATAAGAAGCATACTCTGAACAGTAACCAAGTTATAACATCCTGCTGTCTCCAATGAGCTGATACCGAGCTTTGCAATTGCATAGAGAGAGGATACCATGCTGCTCAGGGATGATGAGGGCAGAGACTGTATCAGATGCATCGAGAAGCATAGTGAAATGAAGCTTGCGTCTCCAGAGTAAGAGACTGGCAAGCGCTCGAAGAAATTTGTTTCGGACATTATCGGCAGTTTATGATGGGTCGAGTCGAAGTATTTACGAGCCATGCTTTTGGTTTGTTCGAGAGAGCCGAGGATGCGCAATGCTTGCGTGGGAAACCGGCTGTCAGTACCAGGTGAGTAGGGTACCTGATGGCAGACAAATTAGAAGGATACCATGAAATGCCTTAAACCACATAAATACCTGTGGAGGAAGACTCAAAGAATCACGAACAGGCTGCACTGAGCCGCTTAATGGATTCTCGTCATAAGTGCAAATCCGGCGAAGACTAGTATTTTTTGAGTAAACCTATCGAGACATATAAGGCGGCTGTAGATCTTATTGACCAGACTTACCGTGCACAAGAGATGCAGCTCGGCAAAGCTCTATTACACTTTCTCTTCCCACGAGTACATGCTTTGCATGCGTTGCGCGGAGGACAAGTTTCCTGCAAACTTCGGTCCATTTAATCTAAACGGGCAACCATAAAAGCCTTCGGTTTTGCTATCAGAATATCTAGCTCTCTGAGGCTTGAGAAGAGAACAGTCTTGTAGTGGATGTAGTGGATAACCGCGGTCGCTGGCGGGGATTTAAAAAAGCTCATGCGGGTTGGTCACGTGAACCGCCTCATTTTCAAAACAGTTCTGTAGTGGCGTTCCAAAAGTTTCGGAACACAGTACTTCCATTCACACGCCGCCCTCTCTACACCACTCACCTATTTTATCCACGCACTAACCGTATCTCAGCGACATACCACAGCGCCGGCAGTCGGTGTTACTATGTATGTGTCGGAGTGGCCGGCGGTAGAGCATTAGGGTGATCAATGAGATCCTAAGCAAAAGCTATTTGTAGGGGGTTCGGCTACATGACCAAGGACACTTGCTTGATAATCTCATCTGTGGGCGAGATTCATCCAGTCTCCATGACACACTTTGATTCTTCCTTTCGATGTCAGAAGTGCGAGACAGTAAAGCAATACGTATGACCAACCTTAGAGGATTTGAATTAAATCTTTCCCAATGAAGTAAAGGTAATGATTGGTTGAATGAGACCTGATGAACAAAAGATAGGACTGACATTCCTGTCGCTTGAAAAGAGCATCTTGAATTATATGTACCATTCCAACGTTGCACAGGCATACCGAGCTTGGTGACCGTCCTATTAACAATGTTGCTGAAGAATGCTTCGATGAGACTCTATGCCATCATCAGTATTGGAATCATAGGTAGTGTCAATGCTCATTTTCATCGTGAAGGTTATCCCCTGTATTCCCTGGAAAGTCATATAAGCTGTGTCGCTTTAATATGAGGACGGATTAAATAAAATGGTGGAGTTTCGAGCGGCCAGCCGATCTTTGGCAATTATGGAATATGATGAATATTATTGATATTGGAGAATAGGATAGACTCTTAAATTACTCAAACGAATTCAACCTGTAAATTGTGCATTCTCCAGAGCTTGATGGACTTACTCCTCCTATTCTTCTCCTGCCTCCTTACCTGGCATCCGCCGCGTAATGGCTTACTTTGGTATAGGGTTGCAAAGTGTGCTTTAGTGACTACAAAATGCCGATCCGCACTTATCGAGGGGGCCGGTTACTCTATTAGCAACCACATTGCTGTTGACGTAGTAAGTGGCATTCCTAACGCCGCAAATTCCGGCTTGTTGCACTTTCCTATCCGCCTCCTGGCCATAAGTTCTTATGATCACCCACATCATTGCTCTAACCCAATCTCAGTCAAAACGTTCCTGACTCCTATCTCTTCAAACTTCCTGTGGTCTTCAATCTGACTTGTGCTATTTATCCTCCATCATGAAGGCTTTTGCGATTCTTCTCTCTTTTGCTGCGGTTGTTTTGGCCCTTCCTAGCAAACCTTGTGCTACATGTGGTGGCCACCAGGAAACTGGGAATGTCTGTGGTAGTAAACAAACTGTGGTCTGTCAAGGAGAAGGCAATGCTGGTCTTGTCACTTTGGGAAACGTCTTGGAAGGGGCACTCGGCGAAAGCTGCTCAGCTGGAGACGTTTACTGTTGCGAAGAAGGGGATATTCAACAGGTATGATACATGTTCTGCTGCTTGAAGTTTATGGAAATTGGACTAACAAGAGCTCTGAAAGTCTGGCTTGGTTAACCTGAACCTTAACGCTCAATGCTCTCTCAACCGTGTTCTATAAGCCATTGTCTCTATGATGTCTCAACATCCACTGTTCATTGTGTATCAACGACTTTCATTGTTACCAGACACGATCACCGGTTAAAGAGGTTGGAGAGAAAGTGGTAGGGTGAAACAGCACAAATGTTACTCGGTCACAGCGGTCCGAAAGAAGAACTCTATCCCATTATAGGGACCCTAATATGAACCCATGCAAAAATTTGTTTACCACGAGAAGTAAGGACAGATTGCAGGACCCGGTGTTTATTTCTTTACATTGAACTTCCAAATTCCTGTCTGCCAAGCCCCTCATTTCTAGGCTGGGGTACCTTTCATACATATATAACGTGAAGTACTCAGTATGATTCAAAATTAATCCCATCAATGCAACGAGCGCCTCAATACTCAAAGATCCAATCATCGCTCCTGGTGAATATTCTGTCACGGTCGCTACTTAAGTGAAGCGAATTATGATTTGTATGGAATTTAGCGTGGCAAAAGTCAGTCAAGTAGCCCCAAAAAACCCTGACCCAGGTATTCGATGCAAATATATCCCGTACACATTTTGGGGCGCGCCAGCTCTGCCGAGGGTGTTGGAGGAACGGTAAGAGGTAATATCGTTATTTTCTCAAAAGTCAATGCAGAGGCTTCACCACGGTTTCGAGATCATGTCTAAAAACATGCGTTACATTAACAAGAATCACTTTTGTGTAGCACCTTGACGGTCACTATTTACTAATAGTGCGTGCATTGGAGTCTCTCATGAAGCGCCTGAATTTCATTGAATATACTTGAAAATTAATCTACACAAACGAACGTTCAGTCGATATGTAGTCCGCTTTGACATTCATTTTCACCTCAAGAAAGATAATATCTGGTCCGCAATTTCTTGAGGATGACTCTCAGAGGCAAAGTGACCGGCATCAATGAGACTTATCTGCGCACCAGGCAGATCTTTCTTGAAAGCCTCAGCGCCCGCCGGGACGAAGAAAACATCGTTTTTGCCCCAGACAGCCAGGAGTGGCACTTGGGAAGAGCGGAAGTACTCCTGGAACTTTTCATACAAGGCAACATTATTTTGATAATCCATAAAAAGATCAATTTGGATATCTTTGTTCCCAGGACGCTCTAGGAGAGCGTAGTCCAAAGCATATGACTCTGGTGCAATGTCGCTAGCGGTGGGTGTTCCATCGATGTACTGAAACTTGACCATGTCGAACGTCAACATAGCGTTCGATATTTTTGTGCGGTCTTCCACGGAGTTTTCGCTTTTCCAGAAGTCCTGAATGGGGCCCCAGACATCACCGAACCCTTCAGCGTAGGCGTTGCCATTTTGCGAAATGATGGCTTCGACGGCACTTGGACGTTGCAAGGCCAGGCGAAGGCCTATGGGAGCACCGTAGTCAAAGAGGTACATAGAGAATTTCGTCAAAGATATCTTATCCAAAAACTCGGCGAGCGTGTCGGTGAGTGACTGGAACGAATATTTGAAACCTTCGGGCACTTCCGTGAAGCCGAAGCCTGGGAAGTCCGGAGCAATGACATGATACTCTTTGGCGAGGATGGGAAGTAGATTCCTATAGTGATGGGACGACGATGGAAAGCCGTGAAGTAGAAGAATCGTTTTGCGACCGATTTCTCTGCCCAGTTCACGGTAGAACATGCGAACGCCACTTTTGGGTAGATGGGCTCTCTTGAGCTGAGGAGGTTGGATCAGAGCCATCATGAGGGAAAAGTATCGAGAGAGCAACGGAAAGCAAACGGTTCCTTTTTGTCTTCAACTAAGCAGGTTCTCCAGACAATTGGCTTTGAAGCAATGGCGGAAGACGTTTTGATTGTAATTGATTTGGGGTTGTCCGCCAAGTTTATATAGCTTGGGTAGCCTAGAAACTTGGAAGGGCCAAGAATCTCACCGAAGCCATCCTCAGACCTGAATTAAATGACGCATGGAAGCATTAGAAATTGCTAGCTTCTGACAAATGCTCCTGATGATACCTGGCCTCAGGTGCTGGCCGAAGACGTTACCACCAAGCTCCCGCATACCGTAGTCCGCACACTAATCCGCACATTAACTGCACGCTAGTCCGCACGCTAGTCCGCACCAATCTGCATACCCCGTATTAGTCCGCACACTAATCCGCACGCTAGTCCGCAAACTGCATATGGGGAACTGACTACAGGCGCTCTGGAGCGGCTATCCTCAAGTTTATTCAATGACGAGACCTACCGCTAGCATATGTTGTTTGATTTAGGATCCCTATTCGTATGGATTGATTTGTCAGAGGTGACGTAAGATGTTTTCATAGGCTTTTGGATAGCACTTCAACAGGGTAGGCAGAATTTCGAGAGACATAAATAGTGAAGTTTTCCTACGTCAGGATGCTGTTAGCATCATCCTTATCTAACTTACATTAAACATTTTGACTAGTTCAAAGGCCTCTTTCCATTTGACTATCGGTCTGCTTTTCAATTTTCCTTTTTGAATCAGTGGCTCGATCGCAGATTGCTCCATCATCCATGGCTTCAACCATAGACAAACGTGTGCTTCTCAACAATCAACAGTATGTTGATAAATTTAGAGGTGATGGTCTTGATATACATCCAGCCTCCAAGGTCGTGATTGGTGAGCATTGATCCTGTCTTCGGAATGGTGGAAAATTTGGGTTTAGTGTTTTTCTAATCATTAAACAGTGACTTGCATGGATTGTCGAATTGATCCTATTTCCTTTTGTGGCTTTAAACTCGGCGAAGCTACGATTATTCGAAATGCTGGCGCCTATGCTGGAGAGGCGGCTCGCTCAGCGCTTTTGACAACCCATATCCTCGGTGCCGAGGATATTTACATTATCAAGCACACCAAGTGCGGTCTTCTGGGTGTTGACGCGAATGTCGCCCGTCACGCTATCAAGCAAAATCTCGGGATTACGGAGTCAAAAGATGTCGACGCATTTGAGGTGTTCCCTATCACTGATTTGGACAAATCTGCCGCGGAGGATGTGGAATTCTTTCGAAACCATCCACTGATGATGCCTAAAATTCGAGTGACTGGGTGGGTTTATGACACGGACTCTGGTACCTTGAAGCAGATTGTTTCTTGAATGATTCTCAGCTATAGTGGAGGCCACGTGAGACTTGAAATACTACAGAGAGTTCTAATCGAGTTATTGTTTTCAAATGATTTTTCGTAATCTCCATCGTCTACAAAGGGCGGTTACCTCCAAATATCAGCATCCAATTACCAAATACCTACACAGGAAATTTGGGCGGCGTTTTGCCTACGAACCGAGCGTGCCTATTTCCCCGCGACTCCACACGTCACGACTGGTTATTCATGCACACCAAAACCACCGAGCCGAAGACAGCTACCATTGCATGTGTGGCATCCAGGAAAATATTACTTGCGTTCTGGTAGACTGTCTGAGATTAAAATACCCGCGGAGCAAAATACGCCTTAGCGGTGCGCCAAGTCTTGGGGGCTCGAAAGAAGGTAGAAAACGCAAACTTGATAGCGTCGTGCAGACTAGAACTGTGGCGGCTATGCTAGGCTTCGCCAAAGCATCATAACAGTTCCGAAAATGCGCGCTACAAGCGCAACTTAACATCACGAAGGGTAACGAGGCGGAAAAAAGGTCTAGATGAGGCGCCAGGTTCGTTTTCAAAAAGTGATACACCCTACCTACACGGACATGGATATATGTAGTTGTCGTAGCTGTAGCCTGCGTATCACCTCGGCACTTGAAACTCTGGACTGAGATACAAGTGTGATCATCATATTTTATCTAGGACAAAAAAAAGCAGCTCTTTGTAGTCGCAGTAACTGCATCCATAACTATATATAAATCAGTTTCCATCTCCATCCCATATGGCGCAGTAGCTTGGCGCAGCCTTGGTCGGCATACAGCAGTTCCTCATCTTGGCAATTGAATACAATCAGGAGGACCTCAATTTTTAAGCCTCTACACCTCGCTTTTTCAATGAAGTTTGCATTTCCTCGCGTGAACACGCTTTACGTGTCCCTATATCTAAAAGTTTTCGTCAAAGCCGCAATACGAGGATGCGGGTCTTCCGATAGGTGGTTGTCAGCTTTCTTAGGGCCTTAGGACTATGGTTCGCTCCAATGTAGGGCTTGACTGGTTGCCAATAGCTCTTTCTCGGTTGGGTCTTTGAGACACCACAACCTCTTCCTCCACCAAGCCATCCCTGTTCTTCATTCCTTCCTTCATCCATCTATGCCTCCTCTTTCTTCGCTTTTTGCTCTGGTCTTCAACATCCCGTTGGTTTCCAGGACCTCGTGCTCCAGCTCCTCGTGATATCGGGGCTGCGTATACTACGATAGTGCTGTCTGTGCGGTGCCTATCTTAAACAGAAGCTCCTTATCCGGTTCATACAACCATGCCCCGGCTCCGATCAGTTTCTTTTGGTCGCTTCTATCGGTGTAGATAATCAGACGTCTGCCGTCCTTTATATTGACAATTTAATTAATGAATTGATTGAGCCGTTTGGCTGCTCCTTCTCACTTCTCGATGAACGCCTATGGCGGCTCGATGTGTAGTGGTTGGACGTATGCTTTACGGCTCTCCCGTCCTCCCATCACAATGTGAGTGGGAAGCTCAAGACACCTGCTCTTCCGCCATGCTTGTTGCCCCCATTATGCACTTCAGTATGGTAATTCGAAAAAGAAGAAAAAATCTTCTGGTGAACACAATGATCCAAAAAATTGTAGAGGGCACTATTTTTCCTCCTTGATGGTTGACCTGCCCGCGACCGCTATATATCTCGAGCAGGGCCCTCAATCTAAATTCCCCGGACACTAACCAATTCACCAGCGCTTTAATTTAAGGCAATTCGGGTAGTCCATTAATAGCGATATAAATCTAACACGTCTAGCCTACCTCTTTTTGATTTAATATCCTCTCGCGCTTCTTCTACAAAGTTCCCACGGATCAGGTACCTTAAAGGGTGCTTAGTCATAGTCAGTGGGGCAGCTCACATAATGGCAAGGCGCTTTATTTCGGTTCAAGAGAGTAATAGGTTTCTATTTTTCTGCCCTCGTATGTTAGAATAAATGAATTGATGGATAGACATGTAGATGTTAATTAGGATGAGTTATAGCTGGTGATATGTCAATTTTTTGTTCTTATCTTTAATAATCAGTGGGCGGCTGGCCTAATGGTAAGGCGTCAGATTTCGGCTCTGAAAATTACGGGTTCGATCCCCGTGTCGCTCTTTTTTTGTGTTTTTTCTTTACATCTTTCTATATTTTAATGTTCTTCTAAGATTGATTTCATAGACAGTTCAATTAAGCCAAGGGGCTACTTTACAAAATATTATAGGACTTGATCGATTCGATAGGTTTTAATATGATGTTGCAGCACCACGGGCGTGGGTATGTTGACAAAATTTAGAGGTAGAAAAGACCGACCCCCAAAAAGAAGTATTCAAGAGCTCTAGGCCAGTTGCCAGCAAAGAAGGTGCCGCTGCGGTGCCTACGATATTTGAAATAGGTGGGTGATTACAAGAATGCGGGCGCCTACAGAGACTTGTGAGACTGGAGATTCAGAGATCTAGCACCTCGTCCCCCGCATTCGCAGACAATTCTCATTTCTCCGAGAGTCATCTAGGCTAAGAGATAATAAAGTTGACACTGGATCTCGTGATGATGGGAAGACAGTACCTGCCTCATCGAATACAGCCGCTGAAGGCAAATCATTCGGGATGATCTCATGGCTGCGGGATGATATCACGCCGCAGCGGGGAATTTAATTTGCTTCGATATTGCAAAACAGTACAGTATTACTAGTGCGACAGTATCAAGTATTGAAGTATAATAAAGGTTGTTTGATTGGATGGATATCTTGAAGTTTCAACAAGGGAAGCAAAGTAGGTTGTCGAGAATTGAAGGTTCGTTCACAAAAGAAAGGGGTGTCGGCCAGGACACTTGAATCCTAGTCCAACGCCGCGCTAGTATGATAAAAGGGTCTTAAAAAATGATAAATATGTACTGAGGGGCTGACTGCGCTCTGCGCTGGTCAGCCACATCCCGGGGTCCGGCTTTCAAAGCCGACATACCCAATGAGGAGCGGCTGTTTAAGCCGAGATGCCCACCCAACGGGAAGGCACCGTGTCATCATCGTCGCCGTCTTCGTAGTCACCCGACAGGCGATAAGGATTACTCTTGCGCGGAGCAAGCATGATGCGAGCCCGTGTGGGAATATCTTCGCGAAGTTTGCCACTGCGTCGCATGTTCATCTCCAGAACGACCATACGGAGAAAGTCGCTGTTCTCGCGAGGTTCCCGTTGGCGTGACATTGGCGGAAGCTCCGGATCATACGTGTAGTAATGGTCGCGATTCTTCGGGGCGACAACGTGGAAATGATTGCGCCGGTGGCCACGGCCGCGGGACCGGCGATAGGTCTGCATCTGGATGGACACAGGACAGGCACGCACCGACTCGGCAGTTTCGTGCGGGTGATCATGGTACACACACATGTCCGCCGGAGACATCGGAGTAGGGTTGAGATAACGTCGCAAGGCTGGGGATGGTGGGGTTTGCATAGGCGGGGGGCGACGATCATCCGTCAACTCCGGGGCAATTGTGAACAAAGACCGCGTCAGGAAATCTTCCGGCTGGACCGAAGGTGTCGCAAAGGTCGAGACAGACTGAGCAGCGGATTTAATGGCCCGTAGGGATGCAGTGAGGTTGGATTTGAAGGAAGATCGAAGCCGAGGAAAGGACCGAGTTGATGCAGACTGCTTCGTAGACGCGGCGTCACGCATTATCGGTTCCTCATAGCTTTCTAGATCGACAAGCTCGCCTTCCTCGATCGCCGTCTCTAAAAGAGGATGATCGTAGGCGCAGTCTTCGGAAGGGGAGTATCGGAGCCGTCGCTCAGAAGAGCTTCTTTGGCTGCCGGGGGTCGGCGGTAGCTGGAGACTGGGAGGGGAATTTAAATCATGATCAAGAGATGGCACCGAGTCACTCGAAATCGACCGGGCCGAGAAGGAAGTATCCAGTTCGGATTCGTTCCCCGCAGGATATTTGTCATCTTCATCAGGTGGACTGAGAAGAATATCCAAAGGCGAGTTGCCAGCACCGCCCAGCAGATCATCTTCTTTGGACTTGAGCCCTTCCTGCATCATCCGGCTGAATTCCTCAACATGGTTTCCCCGGGGGAGCTTTCGAGGCCTCCTAGTGGACCAACTTCGTCGTGGAACGCGAATTTCAGTAGCGTCCAGTATTGAGGCCACTGATGGACGCTGGGGGCGATCATTGGACGAGGAGGAAGATGAACGGCGAGAGGATTCAGAGATCTTGAAGGGAGTGCGCGAGCGTGTTTCTCGACGCATCGGGGTACGTGAGCCACGTTTTGGTGGAATAACTACCGGGGCGGCATGTTTCAACTCCAGGTTGGCAGCATTGTTGGAAGGAGAGAGGGCAAGCCGGCTCTCCAAGTTCTGCTCGCTCATCCCGTAAAGCGCCATTGTCTTCTGGGGCGGTGCCGAGCTGAACATAAAGGCTCTCGGAACCATCATTTTATAGGATCATGCCAAGAAGGATCCAAGTGAGGCCTAGGCCGGATGAGGCACTCTGGTCGAGAGTCTGGGCGAGATACATGGATGGGGAGAATTGTAATGGGAGCCTCCCGTTCCTCTGCAACGGGAGATGGGTGAATCGGATGACTGGGGGATCCGATTGGACGAGTGGCCAGCGAGGGACCAGCGAGGGATGCAAGGGGAGCGACGAGCGAAGCTGAAAAGTGCTCGGGTAGATGCACGGCACTTCCAGTAGTCGAGGGTCGCAGAAGTCGAAAGGCTGGGAGGGAAGAGAAGGGTGAAAGAGTAAAGAGTTGAAACAGGAAGGGATGGAGTAGGGCGAACCACAGCGAGATAAGAAAGTGGTGATCTCAGCGTGTGATAAGCGTATTGGGCAGGTACGCGTGTGACGGTAATCACTTGAGATGGCGCAGGCGATTGGCGCAGACGAGAAGCGGGGAACAAAGACATGCCGGTGTCCGGTATTTTATTGTTCGTGACGAACAAAAGACCGAAAAAGAACAATCGAATGTGACATGGAATGTTCTGCCGGTGGAGTCCGCGGGTCCTGGGATTCGGAAGCCTGGGGAGAGGATCCCTGCACATCCCGCTCCCCCCTTTTATCGGTGACCCTTGAATTTTATTTTTGATTTTTGGTCTCGAGCACACACAAGGTATAGTTTTCATTTACGAACGGTGCCCTATCTTGACCCAAATGGTTTGTAATGGTGCGTTGGCAAGCCACGACGGGTGCGCTGTTTAAGGTTGGGATAAGTGCGGTCCCTGCAGATAGACACAACGCCGTTGTAGCCAATCTACTCCAGAAAAAATAAAGCAAATAGACTCCAGTTAAACGGGAGATAGCGAAAACCCTAAGCTTGTCTGAAAAAAATTCCACTACTTTTTTTCCTTCACCGTCAAAGCACGCCACGGAGTAATGATAGATCCAGAATCGGAATCCACCGGGGGCCGATCGAGACGGACCAGTCGGGAGACGGGTGGCTGCAGAAGACTGAAAAGGTAAAGACGAAAAGACGACGTGGCGGGTGGAGCTGCCCAACTGACTGGCGGTGTATATAGCCCACTCCCTTTTCCTTTGTTTTGGTGTTTGTTTCAATACGCCCCGTTGGGCGTTGTTTTCTTTTTTTTTGGGGTTTTTTTTGCTCGCACAACACGGGTTCTGGCGGTCACGAGGAAGACCACTCGCTTACTGCGGCTGAGGTGAAACTATGTCTAGGGCATCAACTACCTCACCACTTGTTTGTACTCTTTGAGTCGTACGCATCAGCACTCGCACTCTGTTTAGAAATTAGTCGCACCTAGATGATGGAGTAGATGCCTCGGCGCCTCACTGTGTCCCGGGGCCGGTGAGAGCACGTGGTCTGATGGTTCGTCGGCGATGAGTCAGCATCTTATCGCCGTCGCGCGCACAGCCCCCGGACGAGGAGGATAGCCATCCAGGAGCTGGTGATAAACCTCATCTATCTTCACTCCTGTGTCCAATCATCTTGGAAGTATCCTCAATCGCTGCCGGATTGCTGTGGTGTGGGAGTTCTGCACCGCCCTAGACCCTCCCCGCTCGCACGGTGGGTCATCCCGCGGGGTCGAGGATTCATCCGCGTACACTGTTTGCGGTGCCGTGTATAGATCCGACTGCATATTGAGTGGTTCATCTGCGTAAGGTCTGCTTGCACCCAGACCTGTCCGCCGTCTACGTGGATTTGGATCTAAACTCGTAAGTGCGAGTGTGACTCCGCGACGGGAAAGAACCGGATGTTTCTTCACTAGCGCTTTGGACGATGGATATGTTATGCACCGATCTTAATCTGAACGGGACCATTGACCAACAGCCACGCTGGAGCACGGGATGACGTTCCGCAAATTCGAATCCTGAGTCCCACCTATAGAAGTTGTCCACCATGGCGGAACGTGGTGCTCCTTCGGGACCCAAAAGACGCTGCGTCAGCACGGCCTGCATCGCCTGTCGCAGAAGGAAATCCAAGGTAAACATGCTACCCCGTGATTGAGAGTGGCGCCTCTGATAATTGGATATTTCCGGTAGTGCGATGGGAATCTACCTAGCTGTGCTGCCTGTTCCTCGGTTTACCATACGCCATGTTCGTACATTTGCTTCGAAACTTTGATTTCATCTACTGACTCGGACTATAGGCATATATGACCCAAATTCAGACCATCGCCGTAAGGGTGTGTATAAGAAAGATAGTGATACCTTGAGAACCAAGCATATCACCCTGCAGACTTTGATCCAAGCAATATTAAATTATGACGAAGACGATGCCATTGACCTGGTACGCCAAATCCGCTCATGCGACGACCTTGAAGATGTCGCAAAGTCAGTCGTTGCCCGTCAAGAAGGCCTCTTATATGCAGCCTCGCGGACCGGGGAGCAAGCGAGCGATGAGAGCGCTGAATCGGTGGATCAGTTCGAGACCGAACTCTCAGGCAAGATGAGCGAGCTCATGCTGGACGGCTCTCGCAAATTTATTGGGGGCACGTCAAATCTTATTTTCCTCCCACCGGGCTCAGAACTACACGAGTCTGCTTCAATGGCCGATGGTCTCCCGTTGAGTCCTGGCGGTGATGCGCATCCCGTGACGCGATGGACACAAGTCACAGCAGATGCTTCACTGATCAGCCATCTCATAACAATGTACTTCACCTGGCATTATCCATTCTTCACCATCCTGGCCAAAGAGTTGTTCTATCGAGACTACACCCGAGGTATATCAAGCGTGTATTGCTCACCCTTGCTGGTTAACTCGATGCTCGCCCTCGGTTGTCACTTCAGCTCGCTGCAGGGAGTCTTTGCAGACCCCCAAAATCCCGCGACGGCCGGTGATCATTTCTTCAAAGAGGCCAAGCGGCTAGTCTTGGAAAACGACGAACATGAGAATGCGAAGCTTTGCACAGTCCAGGCCTTTGCACTCATGTCTGTGCGTGAAGCAGGCTGCGGTCGCGAGGGCAAGGGCTGGGTTTATAGCGGCCTTAGCTTCCGCATGGCCTTTGATCTTGGGTTGAACGTTGATGCTGCAAATCTCGGTGCGCACAACCTCGGCGATGAGGAAATAGATGCCCGCCGCATCACATTCTGGGGATGCTACCTGATTGACAAGTATGTGCGCCTGTGATTTGCGCTGATAAATATTTTGCTGACGAAACAGGTGCTGGTCAAATTACCTCGGCCGCCAGCCTCAATTGTCTTCATCTAATACAAACGTGCCTAAATTCGATGTTTTACCGAAGGAAGAAATAGAAGCCTGGTCGCCATACAGTGATAAGGGTGTAGACCACGATTATGTGCAGCCTTCGCGAACCAGAGCTGTTGCACTGCAGGTTTCAAAATTGTGCGAGATAAGCAGTGATCTTCTCGTGTTCTTCTATCATCCGGCGGAATTGGAAAAATCGCAGCAGAAGCAGTCAGAGCTGAAGAAGCTTAGCGACGTCCACACACGCCTTGAAGCATGGAAAAAAGAACTTCCCAGTGAGCTCGAACCCAAGGAAGGACAGCTTCCCCAGGTCCTTGTCATGCAGTAAGTGGCCCCGAAAGAATATCTTTGCCAATAGAAACTGATATTTGTCACAGCATGTTTAACCAACTCCTTCTCGTCCACCTATACCGGCCGTTCTTAAAGTACACCAAAACCAACACTCCACTCCCTCCACACGTTTCACCTCGCAAGATATGCACCCAGGCTGCATCGGCGATATCAAAACTGATGCGGATGTACAAACGCACCTACGGTCTCAAACAGATCTGTAATATCGTCGTCTATATCGCTCACACTGCCTGCACTATCCACCTTTTGAACCTGCCGGAGAAAAACGCGCAACGAGATGTGATCCACGGCCTCAGGAACCTCGAAGAAATGGCTGAAGGCTGGCTTTGTGCTCGTCGAACATTGCGCATACTCGACATCTCTGCCAACAAGTGGCAGGTCGAACTGCCTCCTGAAGCCAGGTCTCTCTTCGAGCGCACCCATACAAAATGGGGCTCATGGGGTTCTTGGGATCAAGCGACATCTCCCTCCGCTTCTACCGACTCTCCAGTTACACACTCAGCCTTGCAATCCACCGTCACGAGTCCAAGCCGGTTTTCCCCTTCTGCAAATCCAACTCCTCCCAGTCAGCGCGCAGAACCCATACCCGCCAACGCCTTCCCCACGATGGGCGTATCGATGGGCCCTCAATACCCCCCTATAGCTACAATGACTACGTCCATGGCACCGATGCATGCCACCCCGCATCAAACAGTACCAAGCCCTGACCTTGCACCACCGGAGCCTACATATCTCCGACCAATGTCGCAAGGTCAATACCAGATGCCATCACTTGCATCCTCAGGCCCATCGGCCCATCCGAGTCCAAATGCCTGGTATAATACATCCGGTGTCCCAGTCGCGCCCCACAGCACACCCACAAGATCACCGGCGTCACCCGTCAGCGGATTCGGCGCGGAGAACCTAGTCGAGCAGAGCCAAGACTGGTGGAGCCGGAATGCCGCGGCGTTGGGCTTGGGCATGGAGACTTGGGGCGGGCCGTGGAGTCCGGATATCTCCAACCCAAATCTCCAGTATGAGAATAACCGCGGCCATTTCATGCCGATGGGTCAGCATCCGAGTCCTGGATCTGTTTCCGAGTATCAGCCGCGGGTGGGTATCGAGATTCCGAATATGAGCTCACCGGCGGAAAGCCATGGGACTCCCGGCTTCGATGGTCAGTGGCAATGATGCTGCACATACTTGATTCACATATACATCCAGCCTGTCTTTAGGTGATAGGCTATTTCTTTTTCTTGGACATGTGTCATTCAGGCTAGCACAGGACCTATTATTTTTTTGCTTTTTCATATTTGCTTTTCATGATACCAGCAGTCGAGGGTTTGACTGATATCCAGGAGTAGGTGCGTCTTGTCACATTGGCTAAATTTACTAAGTGGACCCTTTAAATTTAGATCTTGTCGGTTTCTATGGTTCCTGGGTCTGAGTTGAGGGGGTGGAAATGGAGTTGTAGTGAGATAAATCTATCATACAATTGCATTTCATTACGTTATATCACCATATTTCCAGCTAAAAGCTCCGGCAACACAAATCTTAGATGAAAGATACCTACCAATCGTCGATAAACTGGGCCCTTGAATCTACCCGGAACGCGCTGTCCATTCTCGTCCATGCCTACGAATGATTCCCATGAACCTCATGGATCCACGCGTCCGGGGGCCCCAACTCCACTGGGACAGTCCTCTTTCTCATCTCAGTATCGACTGGGCCATCCTTATGTGGCTGTGCACCTGCTGAATTTAATGCATTGATCATCGCCTCTTTATTTCGCATGTTCTTCGTGTAAATTCGTCGTTGCATGAGAAGTGTAATCAATGCAATCAGAAGACATACGCCCAATCCTGCGCCCACACCGGCTGCGACAGCTGTGTTTTTCTTAGGGTTGGGGCAGTTGATTTCTGAGGTGCAAGCGGCTGATTGCGAAGAAGCTGTAGTATCGCTTGGTGAAGAAGCTGTAGTATCGCTTGGCGAAGAAGCTGCAGTATCGCTTGGTGAAGAAGTTGATGAGGTGGCAGATGGGGAAGAGTAGGAGGAGATTGATCCCGATAATGATGTGACGGTCACATTCACCATCTGTCCCATGTCTAGTCTGGCAGCATTGTGGCAGCAGTCAGTTCCGTTGCTGGCGCACCAGAACCCGCGGCCCTGGAGAGGACAGGGTATAACGTATAGTGTAGCATTGGAGGCTGTATATTGAGTTAGGGTTAACGAGATTGAATGTCGGTAGCGAGTTGATGAGATGCATTGCAATTGACTATTTTAGGTCTAGACTCACCTGCATGGCTGAGACTAGGACACTGACCACTTTTCCACGTCGAGTCGGTACAGGCTCCCTGTCTCAAAAGGCCCCTGTAATAAGGATCCTGGACATAGCAAACTCCTCCGGTGAGACATATATCGTTGGCTACATCATTTTCTTTTGCGATGGAGCAGCAGAAGCTTTCATCCTGGTCGGGAAAGCATGGTTGAAAGCTCGAGTCAACTTCCTTCCCGTTCGTGAGATAACATGTTCGCGCCTGGGCCACAGCAAGCAAAGCTGACTGTAGGATAAGGAGTCGGAGTGCAGGTTGAACGATGGCTACACGAACCATTTCTTCAGTTGTCTTGGTATTGATTAAAATGATAATAAATCTTGAGTGGAGAGACACTATGCAAATAGAAATAAAAATTCTACCCCTGAGCGACCTATCGATTGGGGGCCAAATCAACCTCACGGCCCCAGCCCTCTAAATTGGGGCCAAAGTAACTCGGCGCTTAATTGTACCCAATGATATGTATCTAACTTTGTTGGTCAGTGTCTTAGTGCTGCCAGACAGCCTCTTGTTTACTTTTTAACAACTTAACAAAAACGGTTTTCTTGATCGAGCGAGGACCAGTTGTCAGATGGATATTTGAAATAAGAGACCTGAATATGGTCACCGTATTTAATAAAAATCTCGTCCTTGGCGGACTCACTGAATGGGTCAGCATTGAAGTGACAGTGCCCGATGTAATACTACCTGAGTCCCGACTAGTCGAAGCACACCAAGATGATACACTACGTATTAAAACTTGATCATTCCAAGTATAGCTAGCTCACAGTTTCACATACGCCGGGGTGTATTCTACATCCTCAGAGTGATATATAACTTCAGATTTATGCTGTGAGTATCTAGGATTTGGACAGCCATCTGCGCCCAACGGTGGACCGGCGCTTCTTCGCATTAGTGTACGGAAGCTGTAAAGTACGCAAAGATTTAGCATTTGGATTTATCTCGTAACCGTGGAATCAATTGCAGTGCATTCACGTAATTGATGCGATCCCGCAGCTTTTGACTCATCTCATACCGCTCCAAATCTTCCAAAAATGCAGGATAAGCCGTGATTGGGGCGTATGGGAAGTCACTCTATGTCAAGACTGTCAGTTACTTGTTCTTTAAGAAATAATATCTTATTGAAAACCCACCCCATATAGGATATGGTCATGCGGAATCATCTTAAGCGCTAGATCAAGCACGCCAGGCGTGGAAGATAATGCCAAATCGAAATGAAAGCTGCGGAAATCCTCCATCACCTGCGCATGCGTTGTTCCCATGCGGTGTGCGGCTACAAAGTCTGGCGCTTTGCGCATAAGTGTAGCCACTCGTGTTATCAGATATGGCAAGGCGCCGCCTGCATGGGACAAAATAACCTTGGTGTCCGGAAATTTGCGACGCGTACCTTGTAAAATCATATCCATGGCAGTGCGCGTCGTCTCATGTGGATAGTCGATAGCAGGCTGCGGGAGTAGAGGGTTCCCGGGCGTTGTATCGACTGGGTGCGTGGGATGTATGAAAACAACGCATTTACGGCGATTAAGCTCTGCCCAAATTGGCTCCAGGGGGGATGTCCGAGATATGTATTACCCGACCCATAGCGGGTGAAGAGCGTGACTCCATCCGCATGCAACGTATCGAGCGCGTAGGTAATCTCAGCTAGCGCAGCTTCAGTGTCGAGAAGACTTGGGAGCGAGGCGAAAAAACCGAAGCGTTGGGGCTCCTCATTGCGCAGTTGGGCTCCATATTCATTTAATCGTCGCGCTAAGTCGAACGAGGCCGATCCTTCAAGGATAAAAGCGCCCGGAGCCGTCACAGAGAGTATCGCAGTTTTCACGCCGAGTCGTCTCATAAGTAACCTAGACCACATAGGAGTCCAGGATGGAGTAGGCCAGCCACTGGCATCACCTGGATCATGTTAGCCTGTTTAATTGATATTGGCGCAGGTTTCTCACCTCCTGCTTCTTCAACAGCTACAGACCAAATTAGCGAGAGTGTATAGAAAACGTTCGCTTGATCGGAGAAGCCAAACCATTGCGGTAGAAAGAGGGCACATAGTGATGGTGTGTATCAATTTTGTTGGTTGGAGGCGCGGGTATCCATCCCATCACCTTATCCTGCAGCCAGTCGGCCGCCTCATCGGCCATATTGGAGATGGTATCTTTTCGGAAATGCCAGAAAGCCAAGAGTACCACAACAGTTAAAAAAAAGTATCAGCATCGTCAAACCCCGGATATACGGCACATGGGCAATCCCCACTTCTATATATACCCCAGCCGGCATAGGTCCATCGCCACGTCATTGTTTGTTCTTGAATGTTATTCCACGGGATGGTCCCGGGCTTTGAAAGTGTCGGAAAGGACCCGAAGCTTTATCTTACAGAAACCTTTGTAGCATCAATCTGCCATGATTCGGTGTTGAAGGAAAGACATCTATTGCCATGGCTAACGGGGTTAAAGTAGATCCTTGTGCTACCTAGGGTTGAACAGGAAAAAAGAAAACGAAATTTACCGTCTAGGACGGAACTTCCGTCGAATTGGGCCACTACAACAAATCAAAAACCAACTGGAGCGAGTTCCTGATAGGTTTATCTCGCTTTGGAAGTGGCGGACTGTCGAGGAGGGAGAAGCCGGCCCTCCGGAGATATCAAACCTGAAGTTGGCGAAGCGTAAGGATCTTCTTTCTGTCTTTGGACGCTTTGAACACTACTGACATGAAGACGCAGCCCAAGATTTCAAATTCCCCATTAAGAGTTTGCCGTGAGAGCATATTGAGAATTTGGGTTGCATGGCCGAGATTACACTTGTGGCTTGCAAAGTATGGATAGACGCCAGAAGCTGGAGCTAGTGTTACTATCAACATTATTACAGAGAAAGTTTGGAAGTGAGAAATATCAAGTAAAATATCCATCATCAATGATCATTAAATTCGCAGCAAATACAAAAACACCAAGACACGAAATGCTGGGCCAATCAAAGGCTTCAAGAACCGTATAGACGAGACAGAAAGGCATGCAGTGGGTGGTATCACTGAAATACAGTTAGTTGATATCCTGTCAAAAGTAGTACACCGCGGTATGTCACTTACCAGGAAATAATCAGCGACGGGCTTCTTTGCAGGCATGCCCCTTGTATCCTGGGCCGCGGCCTCAAAGACACGGTATCTTCTCCCAGGACTGACGACTGTATTGGCGTCCACAACGCCGTTGCTCCGACCATACTCTCCATTACTGCGTGCCACAGTGCCGCCATTGCTGGCATCTTCACCCAACTCCAGGATCGCAGCAACGTTGCCACATCGGTAGCAATAGTTCGGGGCAGACCACACCGTGACGATGCCGCCGTCGAACATTTCTTTATAACCTTCCATGACGAGCTGATGCGCACGCGCAACCAGAGACAGTCCGTTGAGGTGGTTGAACTGTTTGACAATGTCGCTACCGAAGAGGAAGCCAGCGCCTCGAGGGCTTAGACCCCATCCTTCAATCTCGTCGGGGTCAGACCAGAGAAGGTCGCACATGGCGCCTTCATGGGGGACTTCTTGCTTGCGATCAATCAGTCGAATTTTGTCCACTGAATCTATGAGTGGTGACAATCCACCGTGCACACAGAGCACGGCGCCCGTGCGACTGGTTTGGGCGCTGCCGTTGCCATCCCCACTAGCGCCTGTGCCGGGTGCACCCGTACGAGATGGAGTGGCCTGCCCGGGTGGGGCAGATATGTCTCGTGGTGGCGATATAGCCCGCGAGTCTGTGGATGTATCGGAGGAGGAGCGCTGTCGCGGGCGGTATGTGCTGAAGGTGACCTCGCCTTGCGAATTCAGAACTTCGGTTTCCAGCTCGCCATCATCAATCGGCATGGTTGATTGCGTTGTATCATTAGTGTAGGACGTGGTCGGTTCGAGACCCGAGCTGGCGCCGAGTACGATCGCCCCCAACGCCAGGTAATCGAACACTTCGCAGCAGTACCGCCAGACATTGGCGCTGCCATACTTGCGAATGCACTCATCGTAGAATCCGTAGACGGTCGTGATCTGTCGCGACTCGTGGTTGCCGCGAATGAGGGTGATGCGATCGGGATAGCGCACTTTGAGACAAAGAAGGAGGAGGAAGGATTCAAGCGAATAGAACCCGCGGTCAACGAAATCGCCCATGAACAGGTAATTGGTGTCGGGAACATCGCCACCGACGCGGAATAATTCCATCAGGTCATGAAATTGGCCATGGATATCGCCGCAGATGGTGACCGGCGCGTCGACAGACACGACATTGCCCTCTTCGATCAAGAGCTCACGCGCCTTGTAGCACAGTTCGCGCACTTGGGATTCGGGGATCAGGCGGCAGGCCCGCAGCTGCTCGATCGCCCTGTAGGAGATAGCATGTTAGTGACGGAACGTGCAATAGCAGTTCAGAGGACAAGCGCAGTACCGGTCGAGGTCGCTCATGATGCTGGATGAGGAGTTGAATGGTGGGTTGGAGGGAGAAGGGGGAGGTGGTGGGAGAGAGAGTCCCCCCAGGGAGACGGGGACAAGAATCAGATGGTCAAGACAGTTTGCGAGAAATATAAACTCATCGTTGCGAACAAGCAAAGACACGAAGAGCACGCGAGACGGAAAAAAGGCGGAGTGAAGGCGCCGATGGCTCTGAGCGAGCCAACATCCAATCATGCGGGAGACAGATAAGATTAGAAGATCGGATGGCACCAGAACCTTCAACCTTCAACCTTCGACCTTCCACCTCCCGCGACTTTCCTTCTTCCCCGGATTCTCCCCTGCTACTCGGATCTTTTCGATTGAAGAGGGGCATTGGGATTGACTCAATCGACCTCCTGATCCACCTTCTCTGCCTCCCGGTCCGCCCGTACTGAGCCTTCCGATGGCCAGGTAAAAAAAGGAACGAAGCCGGCCACGCCCACCCTTCAATTCGTATCGACTACTCGACCTCCTCGACTCTCTACGAATCCTACATATCGTCACAATGCCGCCGCACCTTCATCCCCGGTCGCGGTCAACAACCGGCCTGTTCGCCGGCACCCTGCTAGCTTCGCTGCTGGTGGTCGGCATGCCGCATGTCTTCCCCTGTCCGGCCCCGCGACGTACCCTCGCCGACTCAGAGATGATGATCACAGCCGACGGACAACAAGTACCACGAATCCGACGCCGCAGGAGGAAAGACCTCGAGCTGGGCGCAGATGCGCCTCGACCCGGCCACCCGACGCCTTCCGGGGCCATGGACGAGGAAGTGTCTACCTTCTTCCAAATGGAGGAGGAAGCTGAGAAGCTTGCACATGTTGGCCACGAGTGCCCTGTACCAAAACCAAAGGGCGTGATCGGCGAGTTGCTGGGATTCCGCAATGCGCGTGGGAGCGAGCAACCCCAGACGGTGGGACCGTCCGATGGAGGCCGATAATGTCTAGATGACAGGATCCGTTTCTTCTGTGTTCTCATCTGTTATTGCATGTCTTCTTTCTTCTCTTGTTTAATGATACCATGGAATTGGCAATGTGGGTGGGTTGAGTCGGATACAGTGGTTGTTGGGACGCTTGGATTGGCGTGCTAGACGTGTCACCGCGAACCCCAGGTTCTTATCGTGTATAAATGTATATAAAGGAAATTATTACAATAACCAAGACCAATCGTCAACAAAACATACAATTACTTCAGAATTGTCGAGTAGGCCGGCGTCCCTGCGCGTCGTACTTAAAACACTAAAGCGGCTCCTCAGGCCACCTTGATCTTCCCCGTCAACACTCCGCGCCGCAATGGCATGGTTAGCCTTCATACGCAACGTGCTGACCGATCCACGGCACACGCAATGGATCGCTCCCCTCCTCATCCTGGGCGACGCAGTCCTCTGCGCCCTGGTAATCTGGAAGATCTCCTGTGAGCCCGCGTCCCGCCACGTCTGGACAAGCCCGAGCTAATCGCATCTCACGCAGACACCGAGATTGACTGGTCGACCTACATGCAGCAGGTCTCACTGTATATCTCCGGCGAACGCGACTATCCTTCCATCAAGGGTTCGACCGGTCCCCTCGTCTACCCCGCCGCGCACGTCTACGTCTACACCTTTCTCTACCACATCACCGATGAAGGACGCGATATCCTCCTCGGCCAAATACTCTTTGCCGCCCTCTACCTGGCCACCCTGATTGTCGCTATGGCTTGTTATAGGCAGGTTGGAGCTCCTCCGTACCTCTTCCCGCTTCTGGTCTTGTCCAAGCGTCTTCATAGCATCTATATGCTGCGCATGTTCAATGATGGCGTTGCGACTTTTGTTATGTGGGTCGCGATTTATCTATTCATGAAGCGCAAATGGACTGCGGGTGTCGCGGCGTGGTCCTTTGGCGTCGGTATCAAAATGACCCTGGTATTGCTCGCGCCGGCTATTGCCATCATCCTGCTACTGAGTGTGGGATTGGCGCAAAGTGTCGGGCTTGGTCTTATGGCCATACTCATCCAAGTAAGACCCTGCTTCTAGCTTTGACTGGGCTGCCTGCCATGTTTTCGTCTGAGCACTAACGATATGAAACTCCAGGTCTTGCTTGCCCTGCCTTTCCTCCAAACCAACCCGATTGGCTACGTTTCTAAGTCCTTTGAGCTGTCTCGACAGTTTTTGTTTAAATGGACGGTGAATTGGCGATTTATAGGGGAAAAAACGTTCCTCTCCAGAGAATTCTCCTTGTCTCTACTAGTATTGCACGTCTCTCTACTTGCTATCTTCGCTGCCGTCTGGGTGAAACCGTCAGGAACCAACATGTTCCGATTCCTCCAAAACGTCATCCGAGGTCGCCAGGACACAGTGACCCTTTCGAAAAGCTACATCTTGGCCTCGATACTGAGCTCGCTGGTCGTTGGCTTAATGTGCGCAAGATCGTTGCACTACCAGTTCTACGCCTATCTGGCGTTGGTCACCCCGGTTCTCCTCTGGCTTGGTCGCGTCCACCCATTTCTCATCTTGAGCGCTTGGGCGATGCAGGAGTGGGCTTGGAATGCTTTCCCCAGCACCGGCCCCAGTTCAAAGGCTGTAATCTCTGCTCTCATCCTGCAGGTCGCTGGTATCTGGTTCGGGCTCAATAAAGTCGACACCGGGCGTGGAAGGGCCGCTGGGGGCAGGACAGCACGCCCACAATAAAGGGTGACGTGGTTTAGCTCGAGTTTGATTGAAAATGATTCATTCAGGCGTCAGATTCATCTGAGGAGGGCATTCTGCCCACCCGAGATTCTTCCTCGTCACTGTCGGAGTCGGCGACGGCCACTGACTGCTTGGGGAATTCCTTGGGCCTGTGAGTAAACATAAATTAGCACACCGATCAATTGGATTCGCAAAAGCGTTCTTCGCGGTGTCATACCAGAAAGAAGCCTTCCTCCAGGCCTTCTCGTCCCGCACGATGTTGATAATCTCCCCGCCAATCTTGTTATCCCGCTCCTCCTGAGTCGACGTGTCGACCAGGACGAAGGAACCGCGCTTGATCCAGAAAGTCGACCGGAAGCGGGCAGGCAGTTCGACCAGCATCTGCTTCTTGTCGGGCAGCTCAATGAGGTAAATGTTATTGCCGGTGGCCTTGATTGCGCGTGCGATCTGGTGGGTGTCGGCGAGCTCGTCCGGCGGGAACATGGTTTCTTCGGCCGTAGCCAGGACCTTGCGGCGAGGAGGGGCCATCTTCAATTCAATAATTGATTGAATGTCTGTAACAGAAAAAAAGGAAAAAAGAGAATTGGTAGAGAAGCAATGGCTCGCAAGGTAGTTTGTGTAGCGGGGGGAAAATTTCCAGCTTATCTGGCGGGGGCTCTCTCCGCATTGATTTCCGCGTCCACCGCAGTTGATGACAAAAGCCTCCAGTTGCCTCCCCCAATACTTACGCTACGACCCCTTTCACTGTAATTGCCAGAGTACCCGGGGTTCATTGAGTAGCCGGTTGGTAGGCGGTAACCCTCCAAATACGGCAATCATCCGATACTGGGCATGGTCTGATTATCAATCCGAGTGGAGGGGGGTTCACTGGACCTACACTTTTCCTTCATGTAGCCACTTTCTGTATTATTTTGATTTGCTTGAAACCTTCACAATGGCGCCCTCGAGTTTGGGGGCTTTCGTAGAAATCGAAAGCTCGCCTCATGTCTCCAGCCCGCCACCTGCAGTACAAAAGAACAATCAAGGCATTGCACGGCGTCCGTCGGATTACGAATTGGATGAAATTTCGCTACAAAGGTCATCTCACCTGCCTCCTGAACCGGCAGCACAACCGCCTACCGGTTCACCATCGCCCACACCCAGCGTACTGGAGAATCACTCACCAGATGCCAATGAAGACGAAGCCGCAGAATGGGCCGCAGACCGCACCTCGACGTCCTCGAAGACCAAATGGCGGCTGCTGAGCTGCTGTCTGATCAACTTCGGGAACGGCATGAATGATAGTGCCCCCGGTGCCTTGATCCCGTATATCGAGAAGCATTACGGCATCGGTTATTCCGTCGTCTCACTCATCTTCGTGACCAATGCCTTGGGATTTATCTCTGCAGCACCAGTCACGCATGCCATCGAAAATAAATTGGGCCGGTCCAAGAGCTATACATTTGCCATGTCTCTTCTGGCCATCAGCTACATCGTTATCATCTGCCAGCCCCCGTTTGCTGTCGTTGTTGTCTGCTTCTTCCCGCTCGGCTTTGGCATTGCGCTTAGCCTAGCCCTCAGCAATGTGTACTGTGCCAACTTGGCCAATTCCACCACGGCCCTGGGCTGTTTCTCTGGCGGTTACGGTATAGGCGGTACAGTGGCCCCGTTATTTGCAACTGCGATGGCTTCCAATGGGATCCGTTGGTCCTTTTTCTATTCAATCACTCTGGCTTTCTCTCTCGTCAACTTGGGTTACTCCACGTGGGCATTTTCCAATTATGAGAAGGATACGTCGGCGGAGCCGCAGAGAGCGCTGCAGCCTACTGCTTCGCGTCCCGGGGGCGAAACTCCGACCCGGGCTCAGCTTGTCAAGAAGGCCATCCGGAACCGTACCACACTCCTCGGTGCCCTGTTCATCTTCGCCTACCAGGGTGCAGAGGTCTCCATATCTGGCTGGGTTGTCTCCTTCCTGATCAGCTACCGGCATGGAGACCCTTCTCGAGTCGGATACGTGAGTGCAGGTTTCTGGGCTGGCATCACCGCCGGTCGATTCCTGCTGGTGTACCCTGCAGCCAAGATAGGTCATAAGATCGCCGTGATTGCAATGGTGGCGGGTGCCGTAGCCTTCCAGTTACTGACATGGCTCGTGCCAAATGTCATCGGAGAAGCAGTGTCGGTAGGAATCTTGGGTCTTCTGCTGGGTCCTGTGTTCCCGTCCGCCACGGCTGTCTTCACAAAATTGCTGCCACGCAGCATGCATATTTCCAGTCTGAGCTTTATTAGTGCCCTGGGCAGCAGCGGCGGTGCCGTGAGCCCATTTTTCACCGGTATTCTTGCCCAGAGCGTGGGGACGATGGTGCTGCACCCGATCTGTATCGGTTTGTACGGAGTGATGGCGACTAGTTGGCTGTTGCTGCCGAAGATCTCGAAGAGATCGGAGTAAAATTGATGTATTTCCCGATACGGCACACCCGAGCAGGGATTGGAAAAGGGCAGTGTTTGTGGGCTGACTGTGAGATTGGGCCTGTGTACTTGGGCTGCTCACTTCGGCTATCTGGATCAAAAGGTTGGATTTGCAGTGCATTGCGTACATATCAAACTTGTCGGGGTGGTACTCTCCCCGTTACGGGGAAATATCTGCCATTTGCCCAAATTTCCCCTCACTTAAGGCCTTTTAACCTTAATCGGGGCATTAACCGGCCCTCTATTTTCCAAAGGTTTCTAGACACGTGCCCACACGACAAGCTTTGAAGCCGTGGCTACAAAGACCGGTGGACAAGTCACGCTATGGGAAGAATGTGTGCGATGTAACGGAGGCGTTTAGCAACTCAGCCCCTCCACGTAAGGAGAGTGTGGTCGCACTAGAGCGGTGACTTGCCCAGCTTGTATCGTCCCATGTATCACCAAGACACGCTAATTAGGCCCCCGCTGGACGTAGAGAATGAGATCATTAAATGCCAATGTCTCGGAGCAGACTCTTGGGCTTGGGTTAGTGGGCTAGCCTTACGTGTGGATGTCATTGTGTGCACTATTTTGCCACAGACACTGTCCTAATTCCCGTGCTTATCTCTCTCTGGGCTTTGTGTCGGGCCTGATCGCCTCGCATTTTCCGAAGTGGCATTATCCTTACCGTTGCCCCCCCTGTCAACAAGAGCCCCGCGAAACCCTTTCCTCCTCCTCCACCACCCCGTCTTATCTTGTCCACCACCCCCTCCCCCCCCAACCCCGACCTGCCTGCCCATCATGGAAGGCGACGAGGTTATCGCCTCGGTCTACCGCAAAATCGAGCGGGAGAAGGCCCTCATCGCCGCCGCTAGTAATATGCGGCAGTCTACCGACAATCCTCTCGTGCAACAACGTGTCGACGCCAACATCCGCGATGGCCGCAAAAATATCGCTTACCTCGAGGAGAAAATGCGAGAGCTCCAGATCCGTTACATGCCCGACGACGGTGGCTCACCCCAAAGCCAGCGTCACGCGCCAGGCTCTGGACCCCCTCCCCCGCCCAAGGACTATGCCGGGTACTTTGGCGATGGCGACGGCGACGCCCACGGATATGCTCAGGGAGGCACCGGCTCGATGCCTTCGGGCGCTCCATTCCCCGACCCCCGCCCGTACGCCCCGATTCCCAAGGCGCGGCCAAACTACACCAAGCTCGGTACGTTCGGTTGATCACATCTTCCCAATTGTGACTGTATCGCTTTGGATAACGGAGAATTTGAGTCTTTGGAATGCTGACTGACAAAAATGTCTCAGATCTTATCAAATATGACACTCAGTATCTCGGCCCGAAAATCCAGCTCATGCTGTCCCAGCTGGAGTTCAAGTTGAGTGTGGAGAAACAATACAAGGCAGGTATCGAGAAGATGGTCCGCTTGTACCAGGATGAGGGTGATCGGAAGAGCCGCGCCGATGCAGAGGGCCGTCGCATCGAGAGTAACCAGAAGATTCAGCTGCTGAAGCAGGCTCTGAAGCGATACGAGGATCTCCATGTTGATATTGAATCTTCCGATGCTCCAGATGGTACGTCGGAACGCCTTTTATGACGGTCGGGTTTAATTCCGCGGAAACTGATCGTAATACAGATGAGAGTCTAAGCAGTCCCAACATGCGCAAGCCGTTGACCGGTCTTCTTACAATGCGAATTCATGCGGTGAAGGATGTGGATCATGCCGCCAGCTCCCGATTCTCCCGCGGCCCAGAAACATATGTCATTGTCAAGGTGGAAGATACAATCAAGGCGAGGACGAAAGCGACTCGGGTCGACAAATGGCTGGACGAGGCATTCTCCATCGACATCGATAAAGCGAACGAGATCGAGCTTACGGTCTACGATAAGTCTGGAGACCGTCCGACCCCCATTGGTATGCTGTGGGTGCGCATCTCCGATATTGCAGAAGAGATGCGTCGCAAGAAGATTGAGACGGAGTTGAATGCCTCTGGTTGGGTGTCTGCCGACAAAATGGAGAACTCCGGCGGTAATCGATCCGACCACCCTGGATCACCCCAGGGCTCCTCCCACGGCGCCAGCTATGGAGGAATGGGTCCTGCTACAGGACAGCAGGGAGGCGATAATGCGAATATCCCCCCAACTGTGATGATCGATTCATGGTTTGCCCTGGAGCCATTTGGCCGTATTCATCTGTCAATGAGCTTTGGTAAATTGCGAATGATTTCCACAAATGTATCATGAAACATGCTAACATCCCATTAAAGCCAAGCAACTCAAAGACCGTCGGCCTTTCGATATCGGTCTCAACCGCCAGGGTGCCGTGCGCCAGAAGAAGGAAGAGGTTCACGAAAAGCAGGGCCACAAATTCGTTACCCAGCAGTTCTACAACATCATGCGCTGCGCGCTGTGCGGAGAGTTCCTCAAGTACGCTGCGGGCATGCAGTGTGCGGACTGCAAGTATACCTGTCACCGCAAGTGCTACCAGAAGGTCGTCACGAAGTGCATCAGCAAGGCGAACTACGAGACCGACCCCGACGAGGAGAAGATCAACCACCGCATCCCTCACCGTTTCGAGGGCTTCTCCAATATCTCCGCCAACTGGTGCTGCCACTGCGGTTACCTGCTTCCCTTTGGACGCAAAAATGCCAAGCGATGTACCGGTAAGCATTTCGACAGGATTTCATTTTGCTATCTTAACCATACTGATCCTTCTTTTTTATTCAGAATGTGCCCTTACGTGTCACGCTCATTGCACGCACCTTGTGCCTGATTTCTGTGGCATGTCGATGGAAGCGGCGAACCAGATCCTGGAGACCTTGATTCGCGCAAAGAATCATAACAAGTCAACATCTGTTAGTTCCGGTCTTAGCGGCCGTACCCTTCGACCAGGCGGTCCGCCGCAACCCCCTCAAGACAATGCCGCCCTCTCCTACCCCCAGAAACCCACCGAGGGCCCCTACGGGGCACTTCCCAGACAACCCTCCGCAGAAGCGGTAAGCGCTGCGACTAACTCCTTCATGACTCCACAGTCACCAACGGCTGCTTCACAGGCTGCTCAACGCCATCCATTGTCACCGAAATCGCCTCCAGGGCCCGCGGCTGCGGCCGCTGCAGCGGCGACCGGCTTGCGTAGCCCTACACAGCAGACGCCAGGTATGTATTTTTTGTCATCCAGCTCTTCCTGGTGCTAACATTCGTCTTCTAGCGGAAATGACCCGTCCTCCTGTGCAGCATCAACAGCCTCCTCCTTCTCATGCCCACTATGACCCATCCGTCTACGCTAATTTCCAGAAACCTCCTCCGCCTCAGGCAATGCAGCAGCAGCCGGTTGGACCACCCGCACATTACGGGATGCCTCCGCCCCAGCAGCAGCAGATGCAGACCATGCCGCAACAGGTCGCAGTGCCCGTTAAGGAGGAGGCGCCTGCCAAGACGCGCATTGGATTAGATCACTTCAACTTCCTCGCTGTTCTCGGTAAGGGTAATTTCGGAAAAGTCATGCTGGCTGAGACCAAGAGCACTCGCAAGCTCTATGCCATCAAGGTGCTGAAGAAGGAATTCATCATCGAAAATGACGAAGTGGAGAGCACCAAGTCCGAGAAGCGTGTTTTCCTGATCGCCAACAAGGAGCGTCACCCATTCTTGCTCAATTTGCACGCGTGTTTCCAGACGGAGACTCGTGTTTACTTTGTCATGGAGTATATCAGTGGTGGTGATCTGATGCTGCACATTCAGCGCGGCCAGTTCGGTTTGAAGAGGGCACAGTAAGTCTGACAGGTTTTCTTCATTATTTTGGGGGCTGGATATTGAATTGAATTATCAGGTTCTATGCTGCGGAGGTCTGCTTGGCTCTCAAGTATTTCCATGAGAACGGTGTCATCTACCGTGATCTGAAGCTTGACAACATCCTCTTGACCCTCGACGGGCACATCAAGATCGCCGATTACGGTCTCTGCAAAGAGAACATGTGGTACGGCTGCACCACCAGCACATTCTGTGGTACTCCCGAATTTATGGCACCTGAGGTAAAGCTTCCCTGTTGAAACTTCAACTACTTTAAATGCAACGTACTCACTCCTTATTCAGATTCTGCTTGATAAGAAGTATGGCCGCGCAGTTGACTGGTGGGCCTTCGGTGTCCTTATCTACCAGATGCTTCTGCAGCAGTCTCCTTTCCGTGGTGAAGATGAGGATGAAATTTACGATGCTATCCTTGCCGATGAGCCTCTCTACCCCATCCACATGCCTCGCGACTCAGTTTCCATCCTGCAGAAGCTGCTGACTCGCGAGCCTGAGCTGCGTCTTGGTTCCGGCCCTACCGATGCCCAAGAGGTGATGTCGCACGCTTTCTTCCGCAACATCAACTGGGACGACATTTACCACAAGCGCGTTCCTCCGCCATTTATCCCCACTATTAGCAGCCCGACCGATACCAGCAATTTCGACCAGGAGTTCACCAGCGTCACTCCTGTCTTGACGCCCGTTCAATCCGGTATGAATTCATTGAGCACCCGGTTTCAATATACTTTACTAACTTTGTTTCCCTCTAGTGCTCTCACAGGCCATGCAGGAAGAATTCCGCGGCTTCTCGTACACTGCCGACTTCGCTTGATTTTGGGATGTATAAAACGATTTTTCTTGCTTGAGCACCTGCACCTGCCGCTGCCCGGCTGTGAAACGACTCGCTATCGACTCACACCGGGGTCTGATTTCCCCACGGTCGAACTCGCGTAAGCTCCAGGTGTTTCCCGCTTTCTCTTTCAAATTGCTTTACATACCCATCGCAGTTTTGTTTGGTTGCAAGCTGGCGTGGATGCCAGCTACAAATCGCTTCGCTAAGCATGCTTCGTTCGCCGAGTGACGTGAGGAATGGAGCAACATCGTTGCTTTCTGCTTTTGTATTCTTTTTGCGTATCTAAATTGTTTGATTTTTCCATTGCTCGCGGGTTTTCTCTTGACTGTTCCACGCCATGCCGGGTCATGGATGCTCGAAGATGGGTTCTCGGGCAACTGTGGGCAGGATGGATTACGATCGCATGAACGGGGATGAGGTGTTTACAAGAAAAAGTATTGAATGAGGGATGATGGTTTCGAGGGTTTATGAGAGACGTGCATTCTTGAGGGGGCTCGGCGGTACGCCTTTGGGCTGCGTTTTGCAGCCGTGTTGCTGGAGTAAGAGGATGAGATTCAATGACTGTGATCAGGAGATGCAAATACGAACTATTAACATCCTGCGCTACGATCCCTTGTAATATGTGGCACTGAGTTTATGGTATACTGCCCCTAGTGACCATCCTAACCGGAAGTCCACGACATCGTCACTTATTTACACGTAGAACATGGAAACACCATCGGATGCCTCTCTTGAACGTTTCCTCTCGTATATTCCCCTCGGTTGTTGTCATCCAAACTTTCTGTTCTTTCACGTCTATTTTAAACTTTCTCTTTGTCTACAGGTTTCTTTCATTGAACCTACCATCACACATTCGAACCTTTTCACATCGAGTCCAAGCGAGGACTTGACTCCCTCGAAGTCCTCTCCTTTACCTCCATGTCGAGTGGTCTCTTCCCCGAGTTCTTTGTAAAGTGACTGCGATCACTCCTTTGTCCTTGTTTCCCTCCAGCCTCCTCCACTCGCAATCGCATGGCTGCTCTCGTCTCTTGATGTCTCTCCCAGAGATTCCCCATCCTCTCTACCTTCACTGAATTCTCCTGCGAACCAGACTGTGTTTATCTTTTCAAGGCCTCTTGCCAACGCCATACTGCCAGCTTCATACTGCCAGCTTCAACGTCCGACTCCCCAACAGCTGCTGCTTCGAAGGTATCGAGTTTGACAATTTCGGCCGTCAAATCTTGTCCATTTGCACACCCCGCATTGAATCACTACCTTCGCAGAAACTTTCCCTGTGATTGTCGAGCCAATGCCACGCCAAAAGCGAGATTCTCCAGTTGACGATGACTTCGATACTCAGGCTGCACCAAAGCGTGTGAAGGTTGAGAAGCAGAACAGCATTAAAAGTGAAGAAAAGAAAAAGCAAGCTATGATTCCTACATCATCACCTCCACCTGAACAAGGACAAGTCCACGAGTTTACTGCCAATTCAACAGCAACAATTCGCACTTCACCCGATCCCAAGAAGAGTCAAAGACCCGCAGTCGACCACCTGATCGAAGATGAGGAGGAAAACATCAACCCCCACTTTGGTCGATCAAAGAGCAATCGCAAATCGCTCATTTCCACAAAGAACAACCATATTGATAAGAGCACTAAGTCAGGGACCCCCAAATCGCAGACTCCCATTCCGAAAGCGAAAGGTCGAGCCAATAAGAGAAACAGAGAGGATCCCTCGGAAGAGGATTGCTACGTCGAGAATCCCTCTATCCACGGCGGCTCTAGTTCAGGGGAAGAGAATGAAATCACAACCCTTGACCGTGAGGATATTGAGGAATTTCTCACCAGAGAGAAAGCCGGACGATTGGCTACAGCAGTGAAAGTTCCAGTGGATAGCAACATGTCCGAAGAGGAAAAGAACTTGTATCTTGGGCTCGCCCTCCGCGGAATAAAACCAGTGATGTCTTTTACCTGGTCAAGGGATTTCAGCACGCTACCGGAATCATTGTTCGCCGTTCCAGACAACAGCGACTATCAAGAAGCCAGATTGGCTTTCAAAACACAGAAAGGTACCGATTTTGCGGCAATCAAAGCCTTCCGAGAGCTTCTCGAAGTCGGTGGTTTCGTCCGAGACTGCAGATTGCTCACCTTGAAGCCTCAGGTGGTGATCCAAAGATTCATCAAGAAGTACATACGCTGGGCTATCAACGACGCGGGCTTGAAAATCGCTCCCAAGGCACTTTCTGTCCATGTAATCTACACCCAGAGATCCGGTCAGACTGCCCTTTCTGCCGTCACCGGCCTCTCAAATAAGATGGAGCGCTTGGCCGAACGCCATCAGAAATTACACAGCGACTTTTACTTTGGTAAGCCTTTAAAATAAAGTAAGGAACTTGACCCACACTGAACAGCCAACAGACAGCGAACACATCAGATACTGGCCTACATTAGTTGGCTTCCTTTTATGTGGACCTATCATGACCATCGTCTCCCTTAACACAGATCCCAACTCTGTCGTTTGGAGCGAAAAAGCCAACAGTCGAGTGAAGTACCTCGGTCAGTTTGACATGTCGGAGACTGATCAGGACGTGTGGAACTCTCTCGCCATTGCAATTGCGGTGATCAGTATGAGAAAAAGTCTGGCACGACTTGCTGATGAGTACTCGGGTCCTCATCTTCCTCGCTTTCGTCATCCCGATGATGGCACTGATGATGAAGATTTATAATATCGCGAATAAATTCGATATCTATTTTTCTATCTATTTTTCAATCCACGATATCTTAGAAGATGAGATTGCGAACCTCGGATCTCGAATATTCATCTCATCGATATTTGCAATAAAGATGATAATTTCAGAAACTACTCATCCTTACGCTTTCTTTATCTATTTCTCCGGGGCTCGACGTATATCTCTCGAGTTTCAACTGATAGGTAGGTGCCGGGGGTTTACCTGCAAAATGTCACCGCAAGGTTTCACTTATTAAAACCTGTGAAAAACATTGATCATTCTATTACTGTATATACAAACTTCAGAGAAAGAGAATTCGACACCCATATGTCTGCTGTTTTTGAATCAGTTTCGTTCTCTATTGGTGTCACATGACCCGACCCGCCATTGACGCTTTTCACGATCTTTCGAGTGTCAACAGCTGCCACACTCCAAGTCTCCGCGATGGATGCAGCCGAAGACCGGGATTTAAAACTCCAGCGAGCATCCAGTGATCTAGTTACGGAGTTCTCAGCAAAGCTGCCGTCGCTGCTGTGGAGAGCCCAACATGGAACCCCTCTCTGTACCCCACGCAAATGGGCGCCAGTAGGCAAGACAGAGAAGCTTGTCAGCCTTGTAAGATCACCAATTTCTCACCGAGCCTGCCATATACAATTTGCCATTCAGAACTAATGGAATATCACAGCTCGAACCTTTTCAAGAATGGCCCCAGCTGCTAGACCCGCATCTGCACCAGCTTCTGCCTCCTTTAGTGGATGCGTTTCTGGCTTACTTGCTGAAGCACCGTGGCCAGTATACTTCGAAGGCAGCGAGGAACCCACAAGGCGCTGCTCTTTATCCCCTCCCAAGAGCCATCTGCAGATTACTCTATACTTTCTGCAAAGTCCGAGGTGTCAAGGTGATCAGTCGGTTCTTGAACAACGAACCCAAGTACCTTGATTCGATGCTACGTGCTTTCATTGAATGGGACTCAGTTAGCACGTCCGACACAGCAGAGGATCTGGCGGAAGTTGAGCCCCAGACGCTGCAGTGGGAAGAGCGTTATGTGATGCTAGTTTGGCTGTCGCATCTCCTTTTCGCGCCCTTTGACCTGTCTTCGCTATCATCTGATGACATTCCAGTTCCCTACAAAAACCTGAAACAACTTGGTGAGCTTTCTTCACAGACTCCAATGGTTGCGAGGTCGCTTCTTTCCCTGGCGTTGCATTACATAAATGCCTCTGGCAAGGAGCGTGAAGCAGCAACTGCTCTTTTGGCACGACTCGTCTTGCGGGGAGACATGCAAAAGCTCGGACTTCTCACGGGCTTGACGGAATGGGCCTTCGCTACAATCCAACCCGCTGCTAACACGGAAGTGCCGTCTGTCTACTCGTGTATCGGCATCCTTTCTTTTATTGCCCGTCTAGCTGGGTCGGGCCAGATTGAGGATTTCGCTCCTTTGCTTGGAAGCGTCTTCGTTCAAACCCTCAAGGTTTCCCAGGGACAATCGGAAGTGTCCTCCATTATCCAGGCCTCTGCCTTGGCTAGAAAGACCGTGGTCAAGATCCTTCGCAATATCACAGTCATGGCCTTATCACTTAGCGAGCGGGAAGATAGCGTCATGACCGATGATCAGTTAACGAGCATTCTAGAAGATGCAATTGATCATTTCCTCGTCTCATTGGCGGACAAGGATACACCTGTGCGACTTGCTGCGAGCAAAGCTCTCAGTGTGATCACATTGAAGTTGGATCTGGACATGGGAGCTGAGGTTATCGAGGCTGTCATTGGCTCGCTCGGAGAAAACATACTCTATGAAAAAGAAGACGGCTCTTTGGTGACACCATTCGAGGCACTGAAAACAGGCATCAAATCTTTCAAGCGCAACCTCAGTGCCGTTGATGCACAACGATGGCATGGTCTGATTCTTACACTGTCGCATCTCCTTTTCCGCCGCGCGCCTCCACTCCAGCAACTTCCTGATATTCTTCATTCTCTTGTGCTGGGCCTCTGTTTTGAGCAAAGGTCATTCACTGGCAGTTCTGTGGGAACTGGTGTGCGAGACGCTGCATGCTTCGGCATCTGGGCCTTATCTCGGAAGTATGCAACTTCAGAACTGCAGGCATTGCCCGCGCAGATCATACCTTCACTTTCTGGGATGAGTGAGGTGGATGTTCTACAGAAGTTGGCCGTTGAGCTCGTCTGTTCGGCTTGTGTAGATCCCTCTGGAAACATTCGACGAGGGGCTTCTGCCGCCTTACAAGAATTGATTGGCCGTCACCCCAACACCATCACCGAAGGTATTCCTCTGGTGCAGGTCGTGGACTACCATGCTGTTGCACGACGCTCACGCGCTATGATTGACGTGGCGAAAGCAACAGCTTCTCTGAATTCAATGTACTGGAGTCCACTTGTGGATGCTCTGATGAACTGGCGAGGAATCGGTTCTCCCGACGCCGAATCTAGAAGACAAGCAGCAAAATCAATGGGATCATTGAGCGCACAAGAAGGTCTCAAGACGATGACCGTAGTGTTGCAACGGCTTTTGCATAGGCTTCCATGTATCCCTCGAAGTGACGTGGAGTCGCGACACGGTTGTCTCCTGTCTATTGCAGCTACAGTGGATGCTTATATCCGAGAGCTGGAACTATCGCCGGAGAAGAGAGATACACCTGAAGGGAAGGAAGTCTCTTCCCAGGTGGCCAAAATATGGGGCATCTTTGAGTCTCCATCTGGCCCTACCGACAATGACTTGACTTTCCGGAATTCCCGCCCTGAATTGACAGCAGAGGCATCCTCCTGTCTGATTGCATCGCTTTCTAGATCAACGGTCTCAGTCGACCTTGACCGGCCCTCGGATGCAGTGCTCGATCGAGTCTTACGTGTTCTTTCGCTGTGTGTTTCTCGGAGTGATGATATTTCGATCGAAACATCGTCGGACGCTTTATCCACGCTTTTTCCGCTCCTGACGCCGCTCAAGCAGCAGGGGATAGTGGATGCATGGTTCTCTCATCTCCACACTTCGTCGAGGCTGCCAAGTGGCCGTGGTCAGATTTTGGCTCTCGGTGCGGTCTTCAATCAATTCCAAGGGTGCGATTATCTACAAGACAGTATCATTACGGAAGTGCTTCGGTGTGCAGGAAAAGAGGAGTTGATTGAAAAACGAGTAGCCGCAGTAAAATGCTTGGCTACCAAAATTTTACCATACACAAGTATGTCCTCTTCTATCTTTTAATTATGGATCGACCAGGACTAAACACCCCTCAGTTGCCACAGCCACATTGGCTAATAGTATAATTGATTTCCTCAACGACTACACCACAGACAGACGAGGCGACATCGGATCTCTCATCCGAGTGGAAGCAATTGTGGCTGCAGGTATCATTTTGAAGCAGGAGTCCAGGCCCCAATCGCGTTCAACAATGGTCCAAGATTTAGTCGGCTGTCTTTGTCGCCTCGCGTCTGAAAAGCTGGACAAAGTCAGGCTACAAGCATGGCTCTATCTACAAAGCTTCTGGGAATCGGCAGGGCTCTCAGTTGCATTGGAAAGGTATTTGATCCGTGCTCATATCTGTCCAGCCAGTACTAATAAGAGCAGGAGATACGATCATTTCAGCCATGTTTCGTCGAAAGAATACTTTGACCAATTGCTGACCCTCTACGACGTCCAATGGTTGCGTCTGCCATTGTTACAGGGACTGGCAACCTCTGCAGTTGCAGGCACCGAGGGTCTCGTTCGAGCATCTCGTTCTGCTTTGATCCAGTTCATCAACTCTCGTGAAGCTTTCCAACGCCAGGTCCTCTTGGTTGATATGCTACGAGTATTGTCGAGAATTCTGAATGACAACATGCAAGACGACCGTTACGCCATTCCCACCATTGAGTTCCTTGCATTCCTGATAGACAGCTATGCCGTTATTGGAGATGATTTAGACCCGGCTTTCCGCAATGCTTTTGTCGTGGTCCAGCTAGCACATTTCCGGTCGTCGAATATTGCCCGCTTGGAAGCAGCCATCAAGGTTTATGCGTCTGTAGCGAGACTTGAGCCTTTACGCAATGGTGTTTTGAAGAAGATGACTGGGTTTTTGATACATCCTTTCCCGAAAGTATGTTTGTGTCAAATATTCTTTGCAATGAAGGTTCGCTAATTGATTTGCCAGGTTCGAGCCAGTGCTGCAGAGCACCTGTTTGCCGTGACAGAGTCAGACTTAGTTAAGTATGATGATTGGTCCGCACAGCCCATACAGTTAAAGGAAAAGATGGAAAGTGTGAGAAGTGCGCTGGCTGTTAAGTAGATGGTCAAGTGCGGCAGTGAAGTTTGGATTGTAGAGAAGAAAATACAATATAACTTCTGAACAGATTGACAATGATAAATGCGGGAGCTTTTGTTTCAAAAGAATGCAAAGCTCCCTTTCAATAACGTCCAACGAAAAAGTATTCAGGTAAGAAAAAAGGTTCACGGAATGGAAATAAAAAAAAAAAAACAAAAAAAAATTTACTTTGCATCATCCGTGAATCGAACACGGGCCTCGTCGATGGCAACGACGAATTCTACCACTAGACCAATGATGCTAGTTCATGCCTGATTAATGGTAAGTATGCTTCTTCAACAGATCTCAGGGCTTTGATCAAAACCAGAGCTCAACCTCGTCTCCAGCTGGCTCCCGGAGCTGCAACAGTCGCAACCATGGCAGCCGCAGGTGTATCGGCTGGTGTTCCTCCGAATTCCACGTACGTGTTTAACTTCCCGATCTTTTCTCAGCTAATCCGCTAATTTGACCTCGCAGTGTCTACGTACGCATCCTGTCCCTCCCCTCTTGCCCGCAATAATGCTCGCGACGGCCGACTAACGGTGATGCTTTTTCAAACCCACAGGTCAAGAATTTAGAGGAGAGAATCAAGGTTGAGCAGCTCAAGGTCGCGCTGGAAGAGATCTTCTCCGAGTTCGGCAATGTGCTCGAGATCGTCGCAAAGACCAACTTGAAGGCTAAGGGCCAGGCGTTCATCGTCTTTGACAGCGTTGAGGCCGCAACCCGCGCTATTGACGAGGTGAATGGCTTCGAGCTCTTTGACAAGCCTATGGTTCTGGACTATGCGAAGACCAGGAGTGATGCTACTGTTCTCCGCGAAGGTGGCTCGGAGGAGCTGGAGGCTCACAAGCGGAAGCGGTTAGCTGAGAAAGGTGGGCTACAGCGAACTCATTCTCCCCTGTCGCACAACCTATGTCAGGAGTGTATCTTACTGACTACTCAATTCTTTTCGCAGAGCGACAACAAGCCCACGACGCCCTCGAAGCCCAGAAGAAACTCAAGCGCCCCGCCGCTGCTCCCGACACCGCACGCCCAGCAAAGACCACCAAGGGTGCCGGCCTCAAGCCCACTTCCGGTGCTACAACTGCTGTCGTTCCGGACGAGTATCTACCGCCCAACAAGATTTTGTTCTTGCGGGAGCTGCCCGAGGACGCCAGCCAGGAGGGTCTCACTGCGGTCTTCGGGCGTTTCGACGGGTTCCAAGAAGTCAGATTGGTGCCTGGCCGAAAGGGCATTGCATTCGTCGAGTACGAGAACGAGTCAGGCGCTATCAGTGCGAAGGAAGCTACAGCAGGAATGCCCATGGGAGAGCAGGGCAAGCCGATTCGTGTTACGTTCCAGCGTCAATAAAGACCGCTGTGGTTCTCGCGGCTCCAAAATATCCCTGTCTTGTTCTTTTGGCGTTTGGAAGGGTTCTAGCTCACTTACGTATTTGCAATATGACCTCGTGAAGATACTCTCGTCGATACACCTTGATCTATCTAGATAGAATTAGGACATTGTCTAGTACGGTTGTATATACTCCCATCTAAGCCACATGTGCATGAGGTCGGGGTACGAAGAACACTTGATGGAAAATGATACAGATGTTAAACATATGCAGAGGACGCTTGTCCCAAATAAACACAATGGTGAAAAAGATTCCCTAGAAGATGACATCGGTGTCTTCCTGCTCTCCCAAAACATCAGGTGCCTCGGTCTCTTCCGTAGATGGAGCCGCAGTAGCTGGAGCGTCGTTCTCCGCTTCCTTCTCCGCTGCCTTTTGTCGGGCTGCAAGAATCTCGGCATCTGCCTGGGCGACGTCTCTCTGTTTCTTGCCAGAGACCTTCTTGAGGCGGTAAAACTCCTCACGGTCGAGCTCGTCGAGTTCGGAGTTGATGTCTGCATTTTTATTAGCATGTGCGATGTTGATGGAAATCAGAGAGTGGTAGATACATTTGATGGTATTTTCAGTTCGAGGGATGATAACGTGCTCGCTGAAGGAAATGTTAGAATAAAGCTTTGTCACTGTTAACAGATGTATAGCTTACATGGCGTTCACTGGATGATACATGTTAGCAAGTATACACGATAGCAAATCTAGAAAGACCGTGCTTACCTCTTCGGTTGACAACCTTGATCACCTCATCCAGAATCAAAAATGCAGTCTGAAGGAGATTAGTGAGACTCCCAACGCATATTACTCCGGCATTCATACCTGCAGACTAGCCAGCTCCACCAAGGTCTCCACGGCCCGCGCGTATGTCTCTCGGCAGCGTTGGATTTGCTGTCCTCCCTTTCCAAGACCGGTCAAGCCGAAGTCGTTGACACCTTCTTCTGTGTAGCTCTCGAATTGAGGAAGGAAGACACCCGAAACATTCTCCTGCTTGGCTCGCACACGGAAACGCGCCTGTTTGGCAGACTCCTGAATCTGGTATCCAATGTCCCCGCCGACAGCGTAGCTCACTTCGGCAAGTGAGAAGGCTGCAATCTGCATAACCCGTCCCATCTTCTGCTTGGCCTCATCGATGCGCCGTGTGATTTCTGTCCGCCGTGGTTAGCTTCCGTGGAGAGTGCGGGGATCCGATCTCGAGTCGTTGTAGAATCATACCTCGGAAACGTCTATTTGCGAAAGTAAATGGTCAAAAAAGCTCACAAAAGGAAAGAAGATGCAGACGACTTACTTTGTCAAGGCTTCACTCTTTCGCTTCAACAAGCTGTGCCCGATTTCAGCCCCCTTCAGCTTGCTCTTCATCAATCCCAGCGACTGACGAGTCGGGAAGACTGGCTCTCGGCCCTATAGAGAGACATGATTAGGATCTGTCGGTGTAACCGATAGGATATACTCACCACAGCACCCGACATGACGGCAGCTCAAAGTTCCAGGCGTAGACGAGCAGCTCAGATGCCACATTGATATGACGCCGATAAGTAAAGCTCCACCGCCCACTCGATATGGCCACGGACATGGTCACGTGATGGACATACGACTTCGTCGCCAGATTCATTCTTCGCGCGCCTGTGTCATTTGCCCGCGCCAACATCCTATGCTGTTCTGTTGATCCGTGCGATTCGATCCCGCTCGAACCGAGTGGCGCAATGCCAGGGACGCTCCTGCCCCCGAGATCAAACCGGCAGCACGCACAGATGGACCGAACGTCTGCGTCCCGGCCGGACTTCTACCTGATCGTAAGCGCCCATTGAGACCTTCCGCTTCCACATGCGCTGACGTTCCTCCAACAGACTGATCAGGATACCGTGTACGAACAAGATTTGCTCCGCGATGCGGGTAGTGTCAAGCCATGGCTTGCCTACATCGAATGGAAGCAGCAGCATGGCACCCTCTATGAACAAGCCTTTGTATGCCTACAAACCTCTATGACCTCTCGAGCGCAAGACCAGTCACTGACGTTCAATTTCTGCAGATCATGGAGCGCGCATGCCGACAATTACCACGGTCGTACAAATTGTGGAAGATGGTGAGATCCTCCCTCTGGAGATTGTTGTGCATGAGTGGCTAACTGACTGACACCTACGATAGTACCTGGAGTTCCGAACAAAGCACCTGAAAGGGCGCAACCCCACGGTCTACCGCGCTGAATACCTGAAGGTCAATGCCCTCTTCGAACGAGCTCTGATTCTTCTGAACAAGATGCCTCGCATCTGGGAGATGTACCTGTCTTTCCTGCTCCAGCAACCGCTAGTGACTCAGACTCGACGAACTTTCGATCGCGCCCTGCGGGCCCTGCCAGTGACCCAGCACAACCGAATCTGGAGACTCTACAAGAGCTTTGCGCGATCTGCATCGGGACAAACTGCCGTCAAGATCTGGGCCCGGTATATGCAGATTCACCCGGAGAATGCGGAGGAGTATATTGAACTCCTGGTGGAGATGGGACAGTATACGGAGGCTGTCAAGGTGTACATGGACATCCTTGACAACTCGCGGTTCCAGTCTAAGAATGGAAAGAGCAATTTCCAGCTGTGGACTGAGATGGTCGATCTCTTAGTTTCAAAAGCTAAGAAGATTGAGACCGGTCCTCAGGTGGGAATTGATGTCGATGCCATTCTGCGAAGCGGTATCGATCGATTCGCAGACCAGCGTGGAAAACTCTGGACCGGCTTGGCGACCTACTGGATCACAAAGGGTAACTTCGAGAAGGCGAGAGATGTCTTTGAGGAGGGAATCATGACTGTCATGACGGTCCGTGATTTCACTCTTATCTTCGACTCCTATGTCGAGTTTGAAGAGTCGATCATTGGCAGTCTGATGGAGGCCGCGGCTGTCCGATCAGAGAAAGGCAAACTTGACGAAGATGCCGATTTTGACCTCGATCTGCGCATGCTGCGCTTCGAGCAGTTGATGGACCGACGACCGTTCCTAGTTAATGACGTTTTGTTGCGACAGAACCCTCATAACGTGATTGAATGGGAGAAGAGAGTGGCCCTGTGGGGAGACAACAAGCAGGAGGCTGTCAATACCTACACGGCTGCCATTGCGGCGATCAGCCCTAAGAAAGCCCACGGTAAGTTCTCTGAGCTGTGGGTTAACTACGCCAAGCTCTACGAGAACGGTGGAGACTTGGAAACCGCAAGAGTCATTTTCGATAAGGCCGTGAAGGTTCCTTTCAAGTCAGTTGCTGAGCTTGCCGAGACCTGGTGCGAATGGGCGGAGATGGAGCTTCGTGCTGAGAATTTTGACCAGGCCGTTGGTATTATGGCCAAGGCGACTCAAGCACCCAAGAAGTCCACCGTGGATTATTTCGACGAGGACCTGTCACCCCAGCAGCGTGTGCACAAGAGCTGGAAGCTATGGAGTTTCTATGTGGATCTCGTAGAGAGTGTTGCCTCCCTGGAGGAGACACGAAAGGTCTATGAACGGATTTTCGAGCTGCGCATCGCGACGCCCCAGACTGTCGTCAACTTCGCAAACCTTTTGGAAGAGAACAACTACTTTGAAGACTCCTTCAAGGTATACGAGCGCGGCTTGGATCTGTTCAGCTATCCCGTTGCTTTTGAGCTTTGGAACCTCTATTTGACCAAGGCGGTTGATCGTAAGATCGGCATTGAGAGACTGCGTGATCTCTTTGAACAAGCCTTGGACGGCTGCCCGCCGAAGTTTGCCAAGCCTCTATACTTGATGTATGGCAATTTGGAAGAGGAACGAGGTCTGGCACGACATGCAATGCGCATTTACGAGCGTGCAACTCGGTCCGTTTCTGACGAGGACCGGTTTGAGATGTTTGAATTCTACATCACCAAGTCCGCCTCGAACTTCGGTCTCACCTCCACCAGACCGATCTACGAGCGGGCCATCGCCGCTCTGCCGGACCAGGAGGCCAAGGAAATGTGTCTCAAATTCGCCGAGATGGAGCGCCGCCTCGGCGAGATCGACCGTGCCCGTGCCATCTATGGCCACGCTTCCCAGTTCTGCGACCCTCGGACCAACGCTCCTTTCTGGTCGAAGTGGGAGTCTTTCGAGGTTCAGCACGGAAACGAGGACACATTCAAGGAGATGCTGCGCATCAAGAGAAGTGTCCAGGCCCAATACAAGTATGATTACCTTTCTTCGCCACCTTACAAACAATTTGCTAACTATCTCACAGCACCGATGTCAACTTCATTGCATCACAGGCCATTGCTCGCAGCCAACAGCGTCCCCAGGACGGCGAGGGCCAGGACGGCGAGGAAGATGCAGACCGCGCCGATGCGATGGCCGCTCTCGAACGCCAAGCCCGTGCGCCTGTGGGCTTCGTCGCTGCCAGCAGCGGCCCAGAGGGTGGCAATCGGCCCAAGCCTACGGGCGAAGCTCCAGCAGCCCCTGCCAACCCGGATGCTATCGACCTCGACGCCGACATGGATGCCGAGTAAGACGCGTTGGTTTCCCATGATGAACACGAAAGGAACAAACACTGAATGGCCGTGCTCGACTGACCGCTCCTTTTGGATCTCCTTATTCGAATCTGCCTGCCTGTTATCTTTTCTTTTCTCCTCTAGTTACAGTACCATTGCGATAGATGTCACCGTCTCCTTTTTTCTGGTGTTGTCTGCTGCATCTGCTGCATCTTCCTGTCTGATTTCGACTGCTCTCTTCTTTGCTTCGAGCCAACCTCGCTCGAGAATGAAATCTATCATTCCATTGTTCCATTGTCTGCGATACCTGCCGTTGTTAAGGCATTCTTTTGTTGTATACTTAAATCACTTCGTATTGGAATATGTCGAGTCTTCTTGTTGCTATTTATGGAGTTGTTGTCGATAGTAGATCTGTTGCTTGAGAAAACCGCCGACGCTGGACTGTGGCAAATTGCCCATTGAATGCTGGAATCTATGTGCCTAGGTACTACTACTACGATAGAGAATGACCGGTTTTGCTTGGATGATTCCACCTGGATGTGTTCTAGTTTGATGTTTCCTTGACGTCATACAGCACCAGGCCAGATATTCACCCCTGCATGCAATCAAGTTCGTTATGATATCATCGGAAGTAGGCCGATGATATTAAATCTCGTACGCCCTCTCAATTAAGAGAATAGACCATCACCAAATCAGAAGAACTTCACCAAACATCTATCTCGACCATGGCTCGTATCTTCATCACTGGTTCCAGCGACGGCATCGGCCAAGCTGCAGCCAAAGTCCTTGCTGAACAGGGCCACTCCGTGGTCCTGCACGCACGAAACGCAGACCGCGCAGCCTCAGCCCACAAAGCCGTCCCGAAGGCCGAAGCCGTACTAGTCGGAGACCTGCGCTCGATCTCCGAAACCAAGAAACTCGCCGAAGAAGCCAATTCCCTGGGCCCCGGCGCCTTTGATACAGTTATTCACAACGCAGGAATTGGCTACGGTGGCACATCCAGCCGGGAAATCACAGCGGATACGATCTCGGCTGTATTCGCCGTCAACACTCTTGCACCATACATCCTTACCTGTCTAATGAAGAGGCCTACATCGCGCCTTCTTTATATGAGCTCGGATAGTCACTACGGCGGTGATGAGAACCTGCGGAATATTACGCAGTCGCATTCTTACAGTGATAGCAAGTTGCATGATACTATGCTAGCCAAGGCGTTTGCTCGACGGTGGGGTGAGGAGATTCAGGTGGTCAGCATGCATCCTGGCTGGGTCAGGACGAAGATGGGAGGTTCGATGGCTCCTGGGGGGTTGGATAAGCCGACTAAGGCGCTTTCTGAATGGGCTGTTGGCCAAGGGAAGTTGGCTAGCCTGAAGAGTGGAGCTTTCTTCACGACAAGCGGCGAGGAGTCGCCGCATCCTGGGGCTGATAATGTAAGCAAGCAGGAGGAATTGTTAAGGATTTGCAAGGAAGTCTCTGGTGTAGATATTCCAGAGTAACTTTGATGGGAATCATTAAAGTTGGATCCGTGGTAATTGCTCTACACGAATGAAGCTTTCGGTTCGATTATTTCAATGCTCAAACACCAAATTGGAAATATCTTTTATTATGACATAGCATCAATGGAAAGATCATTATCTACATGAACATTGGACAAGAGACAATGATGGGGGAATAAAACCAAGCCTGCACCCCACGCTATTCTGTATGTAAATGCAAAAGGGCGGAGGAAAGTAGACCGAAGCACACCGGTAGTTGACTTGGCTCCTACGAAGAAGCCTCTTCCTGAGAAGCTGCTTGGCTCTCGGCAAGGCTGGTGTCTCCGTCTTCCGCGATGCCATTAGGCGGGGCCTCTGTCTCCTCGCTCTTCTTGCCCGCATCGCTGGCCGGCTGGGCAGGAGAGTTGATAGCAGAGGCTGGCTGCGACTTCTCTGTTTCCTGGCCTGCCTCGGGGAAAATCTCGACAAAGAGGTCTGGCAGGAAGCGGCCAAGACGTTTGCGAGTTTCATTCCACATTTCTTCTTTGCTGGGATCCTGGGATGGTGGCACGAGGTAGCCGCCGTCAGCCATGACTAGAAGAATGTTCTTCAAACTCTCGGGGATCGCTTCCTCCAGGCTGTCGGTCTGGCCACAGTTCATCATGCGGTCTAGGATATCCAGAATCTTGAGCCAGAGAGGGAGCATACCCTCGCGATTGGGAAGCTGGTCCAAGAACCGCAGGAAGATCTTGCAGACCAATGTCGCGGCCTGAACACGGGTTTCGCCCATGCCATTAGGGTCAGAGTGGTAGACCTCCGGCTTGAGAAGACGCAGGACGAGAGGGAACAGCACTTCATCGAAGATGGTGGACCATTCCTTGTCATCGCTGGACACAAGATCAGCGGACAGGAGAGATCGTTGCAGGGTGGAGATTGCGTGGTGTCGAATGTCCCGGCAGGGATTGACACATTGGCTGGTTAAGGATTGGAAAATGGGAGACCAATAGGCAGCCCAAGCTTCACGTTCCTCGAGATGAGACTGCTTGATCAACATGGGGACCCGTCCAGTCAGATGATAGATCAGTCCAATAGCCTTGATGCCACGAGTGACGACTGGGTTCTCGGTAGGTTTGGGGGGCTTGACGCCCTTGGTCCGCCGAGCCTGTATATCTCTTTGGCGTTCGTTAATAGACCCCACGTGTGCAGCACTGACGAAGTCATTCGCGAGGGTCACAGCAGATTCGTAGTTATCGGGTGTCACAATGTCAGGCATAGATTCAGCGATGCTTTGAAGCAGCTCGAACACCATCGGTGCGGCCTCTTCATGCTGGTGCAGCCTCTGCAAGATTGACCAGAAGTCTGGGGAGATGGTGATCTCGTTCCTTAGGCGACCCGTGTGTGCAACACAACGGGCAAGGCCCTTCACTATAGGCGCAGCAACCATCTCCAGGATATCTTGGTCGTATCCAGAGATAGCGTGCAGCACGACTGGTACTCGCATGAAATCCTGGTCCTGTAAATTTTGTTAGCTGTAATGGATTGGAGACGTTCTGCTTTCGAGAGAACTTACGTGGCTGAGTCGCAGAAGATTGAGTAGATACGAGACGATGCGAGATACGCTCAGCGGATGAAGATTCTTTGCATCGCGCACCATGGTTTGAAGAGTAGTCGCCAGCATCTCGCCAAGAGCACTCAGGGTCTTCTCATCGCGAAGAGTGAGGACAGTTGCCAACTCCAAAGCAAAGATCATCGACGGATCATATTTGGGCTGGTTGGGGTCAATACGAGGATTGGGGCTTCTCGAAACAGGGCTTGGCCGCTCTGGCTTCACAACAATGACTGCCGGAACATTCTCTTCGGGGAGCTGAGACAACAGAGCTCCAACAAGCATTTCGAGAGACGAAAGAGGGAGCGATCTTCAGACTGGTCAATAATTGAATCGGAAACGTCGAAAAGTATTGAGAACTTACTTAATGTTATTCAAAATTTCGGGGATCGAGCACGCGGTCACGCAGTCCACTGTGCACAGCGTGTTGTCCAGCTCTTCGTCGGAAGGCTCAGGGGGGTCATCAGCAGCATAGCTCGACAGGTAAGACGTGAATGCAGACAACAGTCCACTTTCGTTGCCAATTCTATCCCGATCCACAACCTGCGACGGAGGCTGCAGCGGGATTGGGGAGATGTCAAGCTCGGCCGTGATCTTTGAATCCAGCGGCGGAATCAGAGAATTGATGAATAAATTACTGAGAATGCGAACGATATGCTCCCAGCTTTGCTTGGGCGTGGATTCATTGCCCGCCAGGACTCGGAAGAGCACCACGGTAGCAAGCTGTGCTCGGAAATCCCTTCCAAACTTCACAGCAAGTTCACTCACCATAACGCTCTTTTTGCCCACCTGGACCTCCGTGTTGAGTGCTGTACTTGGAGGCTTGGTTGTCGCCAAGGTGCTGATGGATGCAAGGGAAGAGACGATGCGGTCGAATGCCTCCGTCAAGCCGTAACGAGCAGCAATCTGGGCACACTGGTCGAAGCCATTGACCACGCGGGAATAGACTGCGTCATCTGAGGCAGACATGAAAACATAAGACAGAGTTGCGACCACAGGTTTCCAAGTAGCTTTGAACATCTCCGCATCATAAACGTTGGTTTCGCCCACAACCATCTCGCCAGCTCCGGATGACTTGAGAAGCATTTCTTTCCAGGCGTAGTCGAAGCCATGCTTGTTGTCATGTTCTTCCGGCAATATGATCTCATTCTGGGTACGAGTCAGCTGTTAATCCCAATATCCAACCACACAGACAATCCTTACCGCTGAAATAGAATCGTAAATCTCCTGGAGAAACTCTTCCGTGAAATCACCACCGCCATTGACACCCCGCAAATTCCTTGCAAAAGCAGGGAATGACATGCGGCTTTGTGGCTTGACGCTGGGATTAAATAGATCTGTGTTCTAGATGGGTGTTAGCTTCCCTGATCCCATTGCCCAAGATGGGGAAATCTTACGAGCATGATGATGGCGTATGTCAATACATATAGCGAGTCTTTATCAGCGATGAGTTCTGGCTTTGCCTTTTCCGTGTAATGCTCGGAGAAGGTTGTCACGATTCGTTCAATAAGCGGCGATTCGCCGGGCAGTCGGAATGAACTCAGCAGCTCTCGTAGAGCTTCGACCACATTCGTCCCCGAGAAATCAAGGAGGTCGATAAATGCACCCAGCAACTCCTCATTGTCACGTTTGGAGATGAATTCACCAAGCACTTTCTTTGACAGACGCGCCGACCCTTTCAAGAATCGGGCGACTAGCACTGGGTTTTTGGGGTCTTCAATAATACCATGCTCTGCAAGATAGGCAATGCCCTTCTTCGGGTTCTCATTGAACAGCTGTGCTCCTTTGATGATGATCTTCTTTGTTTTCCGTTGACTGCGAAGAAGTTCTTGTGGGGGATAATCTCCTTGAACAGGCTCATCGTCCAAACGATCATAAATAAATTGCACATAGCCCAGCAGAGCATCCAAGCACAGTGGGGGCACGTTTGTAGTGCTCCATGTGGCAGAATCCGGGAAAGCGTTTCGGGAGAGTAACCCGATCATATCCTCACACAGATCTCCCCGGTCAACTTCACAGTCGTAGTTGACAAAGAGCTCCGTCATGAAGCTAGGGATGCGCGACAAGACACCTATGCTCTCAACCATTGCTTCCCGTGCCTCGGGCTTTCGTGAGCCGCCCTCAAGACCTAGCTTTTGTCGGTCTTTCACCGGAACTGGGGTGGATCTGCCACTGTTCGTCTGAGATAATGGTTGCTTCACAAGCTTGGGTGCTTGGGGGACCCCCTCGTACAGTGATGGATCGATGCCAGCCTCACGGGGAATTTCCACGCGGGGGTGGAGGCATGCCACTAAATATGAAAGATAGAGTTCTTGCTGAAGCTTCAACACAGAACGACACGTCGAGAGCAAAGTACCCGCAACTCTCAGAGATCCGGTGAGAATGGGCAATTGCTCCGATCGGACCAACTGGAAGAGATATCGGCAGAGATCATCTCTGGCCAAAACAGCCAAGCTAGGGTGTCGAGCGATAGAGGGACCAGCCACTTCCAAGGCGACATCAATGATTCGGAGAGCCATCACTCGCATGGTATCTGTATGTTGTCGATTGTGAGGATCCAGAAGATCGATCAATACACGGAACAGTTCTCTGATAGACGGCAAAGAATACGGTTTAATCTCGGTCTCAGTGTCATCATCCGGGTTTGGAGGTGCAGCCGCAGCGGTTGCGCTCCCCGGCTGCTCGGGAGACCCTTCTCGACTGGTGCTGGCCCGTTCGGCGGCTGCTGTATCGGAGCTCATGGCGGACTGGTGTTGCGATGTCACAGTATCGCCATTGACAGAAGGATCCATCTTCAATTTCGTTGCTTCGGACTTGACATTTTCGTCCGCAAACGAAGCCGGTCCTAGTGAGACCTCTTGATCGAGGTGCGACAGGCGCATGAAAATGACTTGGCACATGTTGACCATAGCCATCTCTGCGGATCTGCGCAACACCTCCGACAGGCGGCCTTGACAGCACATGCTCAATCCCGTTTCCATCATCTCACAGACGCTCTCATCACCCAGCAGCTCTCCTTCCGGCCGAGAGAGCATGCCCTCCATCAACTTCAGAATCCTCAGAAGCACGATCTCGTCCGCTGAAGAGTCGCTCGCCTCGAACCGACAATGCGTAATTGCTGCAGAGAGCAGCTGCATAGCCATTGGGAGCCGCGGCGAGTTTCGATTGATGATGTTGTATGAAAAGAACTTAGTGATGGCGACCAAGGCGAGAGAGGTAATGACGGCGGAGGTCGAGGAGGAACGGATGACCTGCAGGAATGGATGGAGTAGGGCCGGCGTATCGAAGGAACGGATGTCTTTGCAGCCATTGAGGTCACTCCGCAGACGGGTGAAGGCCGATATCAACGGGTTGTCCTGCATGCTCTTGCCCTTCTTCCCTCGCAGGCCCCATCGGTTTGCCAGGGCATGGTCGTCATCGACACGGGACGATTGACTGCTCTTGCGCGGGCTAGGCGGCGCAGATGTATCCCGCTCATAGACACGAGACCCTCCATTGCCGCCCAGGATGGCGGAGACGGAGGAGTGCGCCCAACGGGCATGCTTTCGCATGGACGAGGTGACCGTAATGCATTCTGTGGTCACGAGAGCCACGGGGTCGATGGCTATGGGGAGAGGATCGGACATGGTGGAATCGAGCATCTCGAGCGGGAGATGCGCTCTGTGGTGTCACCGTGAACTCGTGAACAAACAGCTGGTCTCTCGATGGCTGCTACTTGCCTCTTGCGGCTTAGCGTGTTCCCCGCTTGGTCACCGCCTTCGTCAGGGGGTCAATACGTAATATACGTAATATACGGTATTGTCACACCTAATATGATTTAATACTCGAAATATGGTTACAACACTAAATTATGTGCAGCGTTGATCCTGACTCGCCCAGGCGCTAGATAAGTACATTATTGAGCTGTGTATGCAGTAGTAGGTATATAATACTCGATAAAGCTGAAAATAAATCCATCATTAGATGGAATATTGAATCACTTGTAGACTCAAGTGTGCCTAGCTAGCTATAGGACGATGTAGTATTGCGTTGCTATATCCGAGACCTTTTGTTTATATACATCTGCTTTCGGAGTCGTCAACCAAGACAGGCCAACCACCGACCTCGTTAGGTAGATAATTGCATTGTTCCCATGTCTGCGACTTCAAACTATGCCTTTGTTTGACCCATTCTCGAGATCTGACATTATGCTTAAAAATTCGGAGATCTGGTGAACCCTGTCCTGTACTGATTGTCGATCTCGTGGGATGAATAAATGATCGGCTCCCTACCACGAAGACGGTAAACTCTATGGAGAGAGCTAGAGGGTAGGTACCTGTTCACACGATAGAGTACATTTCGAAGCGAGCGAATGTGACTTGTCAGATCTGAGCCTTGCAGGGTAGACGAGGTGACCCGCGTTGGCCCGACAAACGTAAACAAAGATCCTCCGATGAGCCGCTGGCGCTAAGACCAGGCCCCAGTTATCGCGCTATCGCTGCGGTATCATTTATCCCCCGCGCGCCAAAACATTCTCTCCTCACGCCTCCAAGATCCCTCTGTTTGCCTCGTATTCCCCGCTCCATGTGTCCGCTCGTCGATTGAGCGCTGCCGCCGACACAGTTCCATGGAGGGGGCCCACGAGCGTTGCGACCTCTATCAGTCCACCGCAACTTCCCCTCACATGGGTTGTTGACATCCTCTCACCGCGACTAGAACCTTTCCTTGAAACTGTGCGCTTCGTTGTCGCCGTGTCGATCCTGCCGTCTCTCAACTTCGGCGAACCCAATCCACGCGATCACGCCTTCCCACGAAGCGCACACTTGCCGCAAGTGCGTTTGCGCCATGGCAGTCAACGCAACAGCGCCTGCGGGCACCTCGTTGTCGGACCTTCCTTTGGAATATCTCAGTCTCTACCATACCGTCGATCAGTATCTCTCCTCAATTCTCGTCTTCTACGGCCCCGTTGCGACTGTAAATGCCACCATAAGCAGCTCGCGCATTCAGGCGCATATATTCACACCCGCTGGCTTTCAGAGCTACCCGCGCTTCACGATATCCCCAGCTGCTTCGGTGTATGCCGCAGTCAATCATCTACCCCGCGATAAACAAGGCGACGAAGTGGCCCGTGGGCTTGCTGTCAGCATGCTAAAATACTTCACCGAGTTGTCGGACCCGCTCAAACACTGTCTGACAGAGACGACCCGTGCTGCCAGACAAGGTGGCAAGATTCTGAAACCGTTTGATGCCGTCCATGCCGCTGATTTGGCCAATCGCATGATAAGGGTGGAAGATTCAACAGAGATTGTGCGCGACATTCGCAGTGCTTACCAGGATCGCAGAGTTTCCTGGACCGATATCGACGTCGTCTTGCCTGCAGGCACTATTCAAAAGCCCGAGCGGCGCAGCAGTGCGGGATCCGACATCGAGGAAACTCAATCCCTCGAATATGGCCCCTACACACCCCTCATATCTGCTTTTGGCGACCCGATGTTTTTGCCAACCTCACGACTCAAACGTGCGCCTTCACAACCGACCAATGTCAGCAAATCGAGAGTCTTCACGCGAAGTCAGAAAGAAGCTCTTCGTCTCACCATGTGTGAGCTTGTTGACACAGAAGAGAGATACGTTGCTAAACTGTATTCTCTTGTACACGAAGTGGCAGATGAATTCCGGCAAAAAGCTCAAGTCAAGGGCGCCTCCAGTACCAGCCCTGATGAAGCATCGTTGGCTGCCCTCTTTCCACCGTGCTTGAACGAAATCCTGGAAGTCAATCTTGGTTTTCTAGATGTCATTCGACAAGTGCTTGACGAGACCGAAAAGGATGCCATCGAAGATATCAGTCAAGACACTGAACTCCCAGGGTCCGGCCATCATCGGAGAGAGAATCGGGATTCACTTGGTGCTGTGACGTTTGCGAGGGCGTTGCTCGACTGGCTTCCACAATTCTCGCAGCCCTATGCGAACTATATGCGTGCCCACACTGGATTTACGCAGACGCTCAATTCGTTCATGAAAGACAAAGGCTCCAGCTTCTCAAAGCGGGTGTATGAGACCGGAGAGCAGAGGTTAAGATCTTTGCTGATGGAACCTGTTCAGCGACTTCCTCGTTACAGTTTGTTGATTGATACCATGACTGGAAGCTTGCCCCTGGTACACCCAGCTGTGCGACCGCTTCTGAAAGCTCGGGACATTGTTAAGGACATCTGTGCTCTAGACAATTCTTCTCCATCCGCACATGCACAAAGTCTCAAACGATTGAGAGAGCTCGTGGATGGATGGCCGGCGAATAAGTTCCCTGATGGTCGTTTGATCACAGCCGTCGATGTCAACGAGATTGCACCACCTTATCAAGTAGATATACAGGCCCCAGGCTCGGCCGCGGGAATTATGCTTCTTTACAAGAACTGTCTGGTACTGCTCGCAAAGCCTCTCGAAAGCCGAGCCACTGCGCGCGCAGTGTTGGCCGATATCGATAATGCAGCTTCCTCAACCAACGATACGTCCATGTCCCTACCGGCATCGGAACTCAAGGTTGTACAGGTCCTGGAGCTTCACGCTATTCGTTGCATGCAGTCAGCCTCTGGCCGGTTGTTGTTCATTGTACCCGCCTCATACAAGCCCAAATCTAGTTCTATGGATGGCGAGCATGATCTCCTTGCTTTAGAGCTGACTGCGATGTACGAAGGAAGAGCCAGCCGTCTCATTGAAGAAGTCACCAAAGCGAAGATCGAGGGCAGGTTTCCAGAGCAAGAGCGAGAGGGAGGCAAATGGACCCTCCGTAGCCCTCCTGCACCAACAGGCAATGCAAATATTTTAGCCTGCGTGTGTGAGGATGGCCAAGGCGCTGCAATCAATGAAGCCCAGGCGTCCCCAATTCGATTACTCTTCGACACTCCCAAGGCAAAGTGCACCCAGATGCTCCAAAGCACCGATTTGGAAATGATTATTTCGATCTCTCCGCCTAACGGTGACCAGTACAGAATGGATATTGATTCTGTCGTTGGTGGCCCATACACGGACTTTGTCACTGTGGATAACTTCATCCCGACCATGTCACGACGTCTGCAAAGCCTACTCTCGTCTCTGCACAGCCCTCGAAATCCAAAAGTGATGAGACCTCTGGTTCATTCAAATTTCGAAATCCTTCGTTCCATTACGACTAATTTAATTTTGCAAGTCAAGTCTTCACGCGGCTTCCGTCCGCCTTCGCCTACCAAGTTGATATCCAACCTTCTGGGAGGTAGTCGCGACAATGTCCCGACCTTGAAGACACCGAATTCAGCATCTCTGCTGGGTGAATTCCCGAAGATGCCACCTCCTAGACCCCAGCATGCCAGATCCAATACTTTGCCATCTACATTTCCCAGCAAAGAAAAAGAAAAAGAAGAAAGCCCGAGCAAAGCACCAGGAGCTGGAGTGACCGCCCTCAAGGGACCCGATAGCCAGCTTGGATCCCTGGAACAAACGTTTGCAGCCTACGTGCTTTCCTTACAATCTCGAAGCGGGAACATTCTTGGTCGTATGCTCCGGGCTCGAGACTACGCGGATCGTGTCCCAGTTAATGAGCTTTACAATGTCCTGCTGGAAGACCCAAGCAAGCTTCAGTCTGCCGCGGAGGTGCCTGTTGACACTTTGTTTGTCGCCTTCGAGACCTTCATGAAAAATGCCTGGAAGATGAGCATGGGTCCCGTCTTGGCAGTGTCGTCGTTGAAGTTACTACAGAGTCAGTTTGACACCATGTTCCCTCGGGACTTTGATGAGCAATTTAAGAAGTTCTTGGTGGACATCAGCCCGCAGAATCGCCGTGCTCTGGCCGCCATCATTCGATTGCTTGCCGAGTTGCTTGACGCCTCTGGTAATGACGGGGATAGGGGAGCCTTGACCATGGCTTTCGCCGAGGTTCTCACGGAGGAAGGAGATCCCGTCCAACACGTTTCGCTCTTGGACCGACTAGTCGATGACTTTGACAATCTCTTCGAAGAATTTATCCCCGGTGGCGCCTCAGTCGAGGGAACTCTGGGTTGTGATCAGGGCAAGACCTCACAAGCAAACACTGGGTCAATGGGCTCAAATAGTTCATCATTCCGAAAGCGCTTCGGGTTTGGCCTCCATAAGGAGAGTCAGAGGAGCGAAGGAGAGAGCAAGGTCGCATCAATCCTGCGAACTCTTAGCAAGCGACAGAGTCCTACGGATTCAGAGCCTACCACCCCCAGGGGACATTTGACACGTTCCAAGTCCACCGATGTGGACTCTCGCCTAGGCTTTTTTCGACCTGCCTCACGCGATCGCCCCTACGGATTTTCATCCGAGGAACAGATCTCACGGCCGGGAACTGGCTATGGTCAGCCGCAGTCCCTGTCGTCTGTCCCTGAAATCTCACAGGATGGGGTAGTCAAGTTCCGCAGAAAGCGCAGAAGCTCGCTGTCAGACTTACGCCCTCCAACAGCCCTGTCTGATGCATCTGAAGTCTCCCCAACCCATCCGTTGCGACCGGTGACTCCATCTAATATCCCACGCGCGGAAGTAACAACGCCAACCAGCCAACCAAGGCCGCAAAGCAGTTATCAAACTGCTTCACCTAGCAGGAGCACATCGCCCGCGAAAGCGTACTCTTCCATTCGCCTGGGGTCTCCTATTCGAAGGATGTCACCTCCACGGCCTTCCACTCCGAGTAGAAAGGAAAATATTGATCCCAAGGTACCACAGGCGGATCGTGCAGCCAAGAACAAGCCACACATTCCGGAATCACCAAACCAGGAAAATAAAAGGCGATCTCGCGCTACCAGCATTCCTCAGCGGACCGTGGGCCTCCGAGAGCGATCAACAGTCAACAGCACGGATAGCAAACGGCCCCAGTCCTCTTCGCCTCAAAAGCCGCAGAAACTGCGGATGCAAAGTCCACAAAAGGTTAGTCTTCCTCAATGAAGGTGGGTTGGAATGAAAGCTAAATTGTCTTGAATAGCTTCGTGAGCGTGTTTATAACGAGAAGAGGTCTCAAGCTACCGCTCAGCTTGGTATACGAGACGAGCTTAGGGCTATCGGTGACGAATTACATGCTCTGAGACTCACGCCAAGCAAGCAATCCGGCGTGGAGCCGGCCATGGGTTCTCCAGGCGCTGATATCTCTTCGGGCGCAAGTGCTTCCCTTGAAGCTCGCATGCGGACTCTTGAAGCGCGTTTCGACCAACTCTCCGGAGAATGCAATGGACGAACATCAGCATTGGAGAGAGACTTAGAGTCCTCTTTGGTCCTGAGTGAGAAGCGGGTCAAGAAGCTGGATGAGCTATACCGAGAAGCCAGTGCCGAAAATGAAGCTCTCTATGATCGATTCAACTCCGAGCTCAGCAAGATCTCCCGGGATGTTCGATCTGGGAGCGCTGAAGACGCCCTGAAGTCTCAGCTGTCCAATGCGCTGGAAGAAATTGGTCGCCTCAAGAAAGAAAACTTTCGACTGAAGAGAGAGGCCGGAGGCCTCCGAGCCCAGCAGGCTGCTGTTGCTCTTTTGAAGGCGAGCGAGCTATGATCGACACTAAACGCAGCCGCCACATTCCCTTTTTTCGCCCGTCACGTACCACCATCACCTGTCTTTTCATTCTTCTTCCGTGATACCACAAACTTTCTTTCCTTTGTCTATCCTCTATTTGCATGTACAAGGGGTCTTTTCTACACTGTATTCATTGAGTCCATTTCCTTGTCACATTCCAGACCCCACGGACAAATGGTTTTGGGTCATGCATAGCTCCGGAGATCGACTTTGCAGCGCTTCTTATGTTGTCTAGACTTCTGTACCATACCCAGTAGGCTTATCACTCACATCTGGTCCGCCCATCAGGCGCACTGCATCGGTGTCAATCATTTTGTAATTCCAATCCCATGTCATTTTCCACCAAAACCCATTCCAATAGATGTTCATCTCATTAAAGGCCGGCCCACGTTTCATGCCGGATAGACACATGCCGATAGTTGGTAGCAATAATAGCTGCTCAGGAGTCTCCACATTTCCAGATGGACTCGATTCCTTCAATGTCAGCACGGGAACGGTTTCCCGGACTGGACCAGAAGCCTCCAACGCAAGTATTTCCTGAACCCATTTCCAGACATAGCTGGCTTTAGGAGCTACTCTGCCGTACTTTCCCGCTAGCGTTCCGTCTTCGTAGCGGATCCTCTCGAGATCAGAGCGTTCGAAAGGACGAACAACGAGAGAAGGCGGTTTTAAGCTGCGGTACTCAGGGCCATTGAGTTCAGAGTCGGGTACCATGGTGAACCGCAACCAATGACGATCATCCCATAGTGTCCAAGTATCCGGCTCAAATTGAGTTTTGGGTAACCGTTTCCGCATATATGGTGCGCGGGAGAGTTGCCAGGTATTTTTGCCAGGTATGGAAACCAAGGCTGCGGGCGTGGTTGGGTCCGTAGGGTCCAACTTGGATTGCGGTTTGAGGGGGCAAAACAACACACCTCCCGCCACGAAGGGCTTTCTGTCTTTGAGGTACTTGGCTCGAGACTCGGCGCCCCTGACATCAGGATAAATTTTGGACACAAATGGCTCATAATGGCTCAAGGGATAATGGTTTGCAGAGCAAGGGGCGATCAAGTCCGTCACACGGCGCATGGCAGTTGAAAGTATCCGGGATCCAACGGGGTTGGAATCTTCATCCCGCGCGGTATCTGTTGATCCAGGTGCGTCCTTGAATTCAATGGCCATACTTCCCGTTTTGAGATTGAGGTTGAGGAGACGACATCGTGATGCGAGCACTTCGTTAGAAAGATCTTCTGTTCTTTTGAGAGTATGTTGGCCCGCCTCGATGAGAGAAAGGATAGATGCGGATTGAAATGCGCGGGGCAAGGCATTCTTAGAGAGCAGGTGTCGGATAGTGTTGCGGGTTGTGAGGGTAGGGTCGAAATTAGTCGGATCGGACACGAAGGGAACCTTGTTCTCTATGCAGGTGTCGACTAGCCGAGTCTTGGGGAAAGAAAGAAGTGGTCGACAAAGAAAAATGCCCCCAGTTGCCGTCAAAAGTGGTGAAGAGGTCAATGGCGGTTGTAAAGAGATCCATGGTGGATGATTTTTAGTATGGCGCCCAGGAAGCGGATTCCGAGCGTCCGGTGGTTTTGATGGAGAGTGGAATTCGATTTTACCTCTGTTCTTCTCTTCAATACTAACCCGTACCGGAAGAGCGTCGCTGCTTCGTGTTCCAAGGAGTTCTGCATGGGAACAACCCTCGGCAATCCCCCAAAGGCCGTAGCATTCGGGAATTCGCGATACCTCGGAGATTCCCCCAAGACCAGTCCCACGAGCTCCAGTACAGAGTCTCCAGATGACTGTTTCAACATTATCATCCCTATGGTGACCAAGCAAGAGGGTCTTGATGTCATCCTGTAGGCAAGCTTTACCGAGGGCCTGATACCGCAGCTTACGAGCACTGGTTTCAAACGCAAATGGCATCTTCACAGGATCGGCGTTTGCCCCCTTTGAGTGTGAGCGTGCAGAAGTGGAAGACCAGTCCAGCTCAAGAATCTTTGTTTTGATACCTAAGTAGTGTTAGTCGAGGAAGAGATAGCATTGAAAATTCAATGAAGGACATACCCATATCTCGTAGCCAGCCGGCCACCGTGTTGGCCTCTTGGCTGCTCTCCGGGCGAGCTCGATGATCCACCACGAAAGCTGTAAAGGAGACCACTCCGGGGTCAGCCGTTTGTTCTAACTGCTTGCACAGGTACGCGAGGGCCATGGAATCGGCACCGCCGCTGATGGCGAGACCTGACCCAATTAGCTTTGATCGATCTAGATGGAGGGCAATCATACCGATTTTCCATGGCAGCGTCACTAGGTCATGGTTCAATACTCTCCGGTCCGCTGCATAGGTGACCCCTCGCGGAGTCATCCATGCCCGGTAGAGCTGCTCGGCGAATTGGGACACCGAAATGCCAATCCGCGGAGCCATGGAGGTTGTGATACCTGCGGGAGAAGGTTGGCCCCTTCACATTGACTTCTCTCCATTCGCGGGTGCATTGACCTTCCGTCCGCCATTTCACGTCCGCGGTTCGAAGCCAGCTATTCGCATTTTAAAATCACCACATTCACCCCCGCGACATAAAATCCCAAATTGAAAACAGTGTAAACCAATTATGGCTTAGCTCGATATGAGCATCACTGCAGCCCAAGGTGAACGCTGTATACGTCAGTGTCTTGAGTGATTCAAAGCACCCTGCCACCCATTGGCCTGTGCTGGTTCTGACCGACATAAGCCCTTGCGTTTCAGGCTGCCCGGGCCTAAAAATAATACCAATGTCTTAGACACGGTACTTCGCCTCGATCTACGTAGTAGCCTTTGCAACTTCGGGGATTACTTGTATCTTGACAGGTCTGTTCTTTTTTTTTCGAGATGGGGATAGGAAGTCAATCTTGGACATATGGACGCCTGAGAGGTGAGCTCAGCTCATCTGGCAAACATAGGTCCGCTGTATTCCCATTGGAGATAACGGAAAGGTATAAGAAGGGACATCTACCCCGCCCAGAATAATCAAAAAACCTTGGAATCGGACTATTTGAACCACATCATCCCATCATTTTTCACAATGAAATTCTCCCTCGCCTTTCTCGTCGCCGGCTCCGTCTCCATGGCGGCTGCCTGGAACATCACTACTTTCAGCGATGACAAGTGTACTCACTCTACAGGCTGGGATATCTCTCTGACTACCACCATTGGCTGCATCTCGCTGCCCGAGCCCGTGGGCTCCATCCTTGTCGAGAACATGGCCGATGACCTTCACTTCATAGGCTCGAGCGGCTACGCTTGCGACGTTTTCCATCAGAGTGGTGGCAATGGCTGCTATACTCAGGGACAGGACTTTCAATCCGTCGAGGTTATTCCCTTGTAAGTGCTTTCTTGGTGGGTCCAAAGGCTAGAATGCTAATTGATTCTAGCAATCAATAAGATCTGCACGGGAAAAGATTTCAGTTTTCGAGAAGAATTGGATTTCAAAGGGTGAATTTACAAGTTGATAAGGTCATGGACAGAAATATCAAATCCATTTGTTCGGAGCTCAAGTGGCAGCCTTTATCAAACACAGTCTAGCTACGCCGTAGAAAGGTCCTCAACGTAATTTGTCTCAGCCTTTGCACTGCACTCTCAATGTTGTCTACCATCTGATCCAGGTGGTCAGTTTCAAACTTGCCCTTCTTTGCCCACTCGGTACCTGCAACAATCGGACTGGTCTTATAGAAGATGGCATCGATCTCTTCCAGCCGCCTTATCCAGTGGCTGATGGAAGCTCCCGTGCAGACCAGCACGTATTGCAAAGCACCGAATGTCTCTCGTTTCCAGGCTGGGAGCGTCTCAATGAAGCTGCGTTGGTGGATGCTTTAAACTCGGGACACTTGTCTGTTGTTAGTTTGGATGTTCATGAAAATGAGCCTCATGTGAACAAGGGGCTGGTAAAGATGAGAAACGTTACGTATGGGTCTTCCCGATGTTTTATGATGGGATGCTAATCGTATTTGTCTTCTAGGTTGACTGCCCACACGGCTGGAAGCGCTGCCGAGACTCGGATTGGATTCGAGAGAATCTCGATGAAGAATGTTCAGCGAATACTGACGGGCCAGGACTCGTTGATCCCCGTAAACAAGCATTTATTCAAATAAAGTAGACCTGACACAATTCAGAATATACTTTATGAGGTCGTGATTGAAATGGAACATCCATCGTGACATGGCCATGGACAACCAGAAGCAACATTCGCTTCAGAACTCGGCAGCATCCGGAAATGCAGCCAGATACGCATGTTCAATCTCGCGTCCCATACCTCCAACGCCCTCGAAAATAATGTCTGATTTCATCGAAACCCCAAGAAATTCCACCCCATGCCGAAGTTCTTCAGTCAAACGCTCCGCATCCGAGGCCTCGGTTGCAGGCTCGGGTTTATTAAGAAGATGATAGCAGGTTGCCAGACGATCCGTCGCTAGACACGCGCGCACTTTGTGAAAGAGCATCAAAAGAGCATAGCAGTTCTGCATCGCACAGCAAGCGAAGAACGGGATGGTGTGGGGATATCTGCGTGGAGATCCCCCAGATATTGGCATCGACCGTCCTGTCAGAGGACCTCCCTCGTAAGACTGTCTCTGGGGATCTGGGTATGTCAAATTGCGAAAAGCCGTTGCAACCACCAGAGATGCCTTGAGGCAGATGTTGGAGGATTCTTGTTCGGTGAATGGGAATGAGGATTCACGATCCGCCACCCATGTTGGTGAAGGCGTGGAGTTGGAGACGTCGTTGTTTATGGAGGGAAGATGACAGTATTTATCCAGAAAAAGCGGAATGTTCATGAATGCCCTGAAACGGTGAAGTCGACATCGAGCACTGCGAGGCCATTAGTATGTTACGTAGGTTTCTTTTCGAAGGGAGCTCACGTATAGGTGATAATCCGACCCAGTCTCCATATATTTTCGGCAATTGGTGCTTCGCCTTCTTGACCAAATGTTACTCGGAGACTGCGATCTGATTCAGTCATCAAAATGGAAATCTGGAAATCTAGTTTCTTGATTTGGTCGCTACGATCTGGTTGTGCCGCCTCATCCATACGCTCGATGTTGTTGATCATTCGATTTGATGCGAAGAGATTCTTCTGTGATTGCATCAGGAATTCCCAAGGCTTGAGACACATTAGCACATCTTGAGCATTATGGATTTAGAGACTCGTGGGATACCTCTAAGTCCACATCAAATTGTGGATAAGGAGTTGTGATTCGTGGATCATCCAAAGTGATGACAGGCGGCTATATTTAAACCGTCAGTGGAAGACGACAATTGAAGTAGGAATGACAAGCATACTGTAAGATGAAGATTTGATGATAGGTAAGCTATGAACATCTGGCGAATAGGTTAGCAACAATGATCACGAATACATAGTCACGCAGTTGACTCACCGTAATCCACCACGTCCGTCTTTGCGCCTCCGAGTGCGCTGACTCTGTGGGTCCTAAAGCGTGAAGAGAAATATCCATCGCGGCGGTGACGGCCTGGTTGATCCGGGAACGCATTCGGGACACATTTCCTCGCTGACAGTACTCGTATATGGCAAGTACCACTATAGCTAAGATTGGATCCAGCTTAGAGGGTACCTGGGGATGCAGTGGAGACTTATGTTCAGACATTCCAGCCCTAGGGGTAGCAAAATTCAATCCAGGTCCTAGGTCATCGGTATCTCTTTCCACACTCGCCAGTGCGGCCTGGGCAAATAGTTGTGCATATGATCGCCGAGCAAAAATGCTCATGTCTGACATTGGGGATGCGTCTTGCGAAGACGGTATCAGCACGAGTAATGCTGACAGCGCGAGACCCAGGGAAGACTTTGGCCAATAGGGCAAATCGGCCCTCGTTGGTTCTGCGGTCTCATTTGGTAGTCGAGTTAGACTGGGCTGGTCTTGATACTGTGATGTAGGCGAAGGTGGCAGTAATGGAAGATATGGGTGGATGTAGATATAGTAGGCATTGGTACTTTTTCGGCCATTAGCATATGTTTGGGGCTCAAATTCCATGGTTTGGCTCCTTACATGTCCTCTTCGCATAGATAAGCCCGAACAGCCGAAGGCTCCGAGTCAGGAATGGAGACAGATGCAAAGGGGCCATCTGTGCTGGGCGTGAGCTGGCCCCAAGGCTGACGAGATTCACTTTCATCGGGAAGAGAATCTGGAGCAAGATCGAGGTTGTGGACACCTGCAAATGGAGATACTAGGCCGATCATATCATCCAAAAAGGAATCTTTCCATAGTTAGATACAATATTTGATATTGTTTTGCAGTAAGCCTCACCGAGGTTGTCAGTGAAATCTGACGGGCTGCATTGAGGCCGTGGATCGCCATGATCAGCGCGGTGTCGCTGTGCTTCGGCATAGCGAATTCCTCTTCGGGGGCCGCCTCGGCGACTGGGCTGATACGTACAACCCCTATCCTTGTTGGAACACTAGGACCAGGTATATAATTAGCCTGACTATTCGTAGTTGTGGATAATCGTCCACTTACAGGCCTGCAGGGCTGCTGTCCGTCACAACGAGTCTTTGTAGATCGACTGAAAAAGCACAATTAGTGTCTGTTAGACAATCGGCAACGAGAATTTGTTCACCATGAAAGACAGGCGGCCTTGACAGGGGGCTTCGATATTCGTGGCATTCCTTGCTCCTTTTGGTGTGGAGGCTAAGTTTCTCGAATAAAGTGTGACCACCTACTTGAAGAGTCGAAACCCACTGAGAGATTTGGTTTCGGGCGAAGACTAGATTGAGATTAGATTGAACCAATAATGAACCAAAACTTATTATAATGAGAGTAAGATGCTTGTAGTTGCAGAAGGACGGGGGTTAAAGATCATGACGTCCCCGCAAGAAGCCACATTTAGTTAAATTCGGCGTTTGATCGGACCAATCGCCACCCGTTTAACTACCCACTCGGCCTTTGATCCTGCGCAATGATCAAATGGATAAGATATTTTCAAACAAGAGAGGTATCACCGCAAATATAAAATTAAAAAAAGTATATCGAGCTCAGCATGGCGTTTCTGGGATCCAGCCCCATGGAATGATCTATCAAACGTGCAACTTTCTCCGAGGGAAGCAATTGAAAAAACTTCATAGCAACATGGACACCTTGAATTCCAAGGTTTTCGATTACGGTTCGCTAGAGGCCTCTTTACACTCCGTCTGGTATCTATCTAACACTGCGGTGGAGATATAGCATCGGGCCCGACATAAACCAAAGGAGTCCCTAGGGCACTGAAAAAGAGTACTCGTCATGGTGTACTGTCGGACTTGCATAGGGTGGTTATTGTGCACATTCACTACACCGGGAAGCTACTCAAGGTAGCGCGCGGGTTTATGATAGATCTGTTCTTATCTAAAACTAGGCTGTTCTTCTGGACAGCAGTTCCTAAACGTACCAAGGACGTTTTGCCAGAATATTGAGTGCTCGTAATCATCTTGGAACGAAAACCGCCTGGGTTTACAAACATGTTCTCTTAGAGCAAACATTCTCCATATCCGGTACCTGCGAAGTATCAGTCCGACAGAAACAAGACGACGTGACCGGCACATCTGCCACCGCAACAGCAACCTTCAACTGCGGCTCAATAACCCTGGCCTCATCCGTGCGACCCAATCGCACCAAACATTCATGATAACCCTGCAAAGCCCACACGTTATTCGGATGATGGCGTGCACGAATAACAGAGTCATCAAGGCCCAGATCCGCGCGATAAACAGCCGCCGCCTCCTCGACATGGCCTTGCTCGAGTAAAAGCGCAGCGTACGCATGGCGAGAAGGCTGCATCCAGCTCCACGGCTCACCGTATCCTAAGCCATCGTCCAATTCGATGGCTCGGCGGAGGTGCTCGAATGCCTTATCGTAGTTTCCGCGACGGTACTGGATCTCGCCGTCTAACATGGCAGATCCCACGCCCAGGATATCGACACACTTATTCGGGAAATCGAGCCGTGATTCCGGGACGTGCTTTGCAGCCTCTAGGTAAAGTTCCCGCTGGTGCTCGGCCCCGGCGATGTTCCCAGTTGCTGCATAAGCAACACCTTTGGAGTAGTGCGCCATTGCGGTTGTGACACAATACAGTACGGGATCGTCGGGAAGCGGGCATGTGATGATTTCTTCCCACATTCCAAAGCGAACCATGACGTGGGAACGAACGGACATGTATACCTCGAGGAAATCTGGTATCTGGGCGATGAACTCTTTCGGCAAGGTAGCTTCCATGCGGTTGACGGCATCGAGGGCGACGGCCTTCTGGCCGGCGAACATGGCTGCGTAGATAAGGGTGTGGTAATTGTGCATGCGGTAGTTTGTATAAAAATTGAAGGGACCTTCGAGCTTCAAAAACTTCTCATCTGCGATGGTCGCGAGTTGATTGGCGAGGACGGCGGCACGATAATCCCCCACCTGAACATCCAGATGCGAGGCCATGTGGCATGAATGTCCGGAATCTGGAACCAAATAACGCAGACTGTCTGCCGGAACCAAACCTAATTCTGGCGTGGGTGACATTTCGATAAGATGGATGTACATGTGCAGCAGGCCAGGGTGCTGATAGGCATCTTTATTGCGGAGAGCTTTCTCCAGCACCTCCTTGGCTTCCAAAGTGCGTGTTCCTTCTTTGGGCTTTCCAGTGACAAGGTCCCATAATTTCCAGGCTGAGAGACTCATCATCGAGTCTGCGTAGAGAGTCATTATATCCAGGTCATCGTCAAATTCGCGATAAGCAACCTCCATCGCGTCAGCATACGCCCGGTTATGGGCTCTGTACTGTTCCATCGTGGCGGGCTTGTCGCCTTGGAAGCGAGCTTGAATGGCAGTGATGAGAGCTTGCTCCACTGGTGTAGCGGTTGCAGCGAGGGCCTTGGCCTTCTGGACGGCGTTGTAAGTGCGTCGGGCGACATCTTCCAAATTACGGCCGAAGAACTCCCACGGGTGGTTGTAGTTGGGGCCAAGGGCATAGGCCAAGCCCCAATATGCCATGGCACAGGAATCATCGTGGGCAATTGCCTGTTCAAAGCAGGCTGCTGCCTCTTTGTGGTTGAAGGTGTAGGCCCAAGTTAAACCGCGATTGAACCAAATCTGGGCCTGGGTGCTGATGGTTGTTATGGGCCGGCCAAAGTTGCCGAGATTGTAGACATAATCTGTCCGTTTGACGATGTGGTTGGTGACTGTCATGTCGGGGTAGAGAATGAAGGTCGATAAATGAGGGGTCGTGTAAGAGCGGATGCCTGATCTTTATACGGTGAGTGAGACTTGCATTTGGGGTTTGGGGCTGGGTTTTACAGCTGACTGGTCGTATCAGGTTCCCGAGGTAGATACAACCATGGAAACTTTCGGCCCCGGTTTCGAATGTATTGAATCGAGGATACGAACAGTCTGCATACTCGTCCCTTATTGGTTGTACCTCATTTTGACGGAGACGAAACCCTGTACCGCATGGTAATTTTGTCAAGGCGAGTACTGTAGAATGTATCCTATCAGTCTATATTCAGTGTTTGTCGAGCGTTGGTGCCAAGTTAAGTTCCACCGCAGCCTCGGTGTTTGAGCTTCTAAATATGGTTGGTATTGTAGATGCCTCAAGCTACGTAGGAGTGGTGCGATACTGCGGGGAACAAATATGCAACAGGTATCTCGGTTCTACATACAAATGTACGCTCTGACCACGGGGCTAGAAGCGCCCGCCAATGCAGTGCATGCGCTGGCACCAAGGAAACGAAGAAATATATGGAGCATAGATATCAGCCAAGGGGGAATCATAGAGCGTCTCCGTATGTACCCAGGCCCATGACTCCCAGAAGAAAATGGCCATATAGATCATCACTAGCAATCAAAAAGCCACACGCATCAAAAATGTCAAACTCAAGTAATATCACAGGAAGAAACAAATGGAGTAACTCTCTAGGTAGTGACTGAGCCGGCTACGGACCCAGAGTTGGTCATTGAATGGATACTACCTGGGGGTGCCATGTTTTCGCCGTTAAGGGCGCCGTTAAGGGCGCCGTTAAGGGCACCGTTAAGAGAGCCAGGTTCGCCAGCGGTCAGATGATTCTCGTCATTACCAGTTAGCGACGGAGGAGGCCGGATTTCCTTCTTCCCATTCGCTCGGTAGTAGAGAATCATATCACCAGAGGTGCGCCAGAGGCACGTCCGGATCGTGGCCAGAGTCATGTTCGGCGGGCAAAGCTGAAATAATCAAGTTAGCAGGAGCAAAGCGCAACTATGAATTGGAATGACTTTACCTGTTTCTGGCAATATAGGTCAAGGTACTCCTCCGGCTGCATAGCTTCCGCTTCAGGCTCGTCAGGGTTAGCAGGATCGATGCGCTCAGCCACGTAAGCTAGGACCTTTTTGACCCGAAGCATACGGTTGGCGTTAAGTCGAGAGCTGTTGTTGTTGCCATTCACGTTGCTTGGGGGTCCACCATTGGCAGTCGGTCTGTGGCGAATTAGTCTCAACACAGTACCAGGCCACTCGACAAGTAATGGAGCACTTACAGTTCAGGCTTCACAACTGGTGGCAGGGAATCATCGTAGGGCTTTAGGATAAAAGCGATCTTGACATGCTCCTTAAATGGAATTTGATTCTGAAAAGAGAGTCAGCTTGGAACTTCAAAGTTCGTTAGAAGAACAATTGACCTTTAGGAGCAGTTCACCCAGCCAATGGGGAATTGCCTTCTCGAGCCGCTCAATTTCTTGACCAATGCGTCCTACGCTACCGCGGTAGAGATCAGAAGCCACGGCAGTGTCACCCGTTTCTTCTTGGATGAAAACCGCTGTTCGCGGAGGGATATTAAGCCGAGGAGTTTCATTCTCTTCACTCGGGGTGATGGATGTTACCAAGTCCTGACTAGGATTTGAAGACAGGAACTCCTCGTAGTCATTGCGGATTCGATCGATCACACCGCTGATGTTCGCCTCGTACGTCTTCTCTTCCTTGATGGAGGAAATCTCCGACTCTTCGATCTTTTCTTCTAGGATCTGAGGCTTGGTGTCCGTGGAAGTGCGTGTTAGCTTCTTGGGGAAATCCATACGGAATTTTTTCCCAAACAAAGAACTGCCCTTCTTGCGTTCCTCTTTGTCAGGCTCTGCTGGTGATTGCGGTACCACGGAGTTCATGTTCACCTCAGGTGACATGGGAGTCTTGTCGGTATCAAGCTGAGAAATCAGAGACGGCCCCTGAGGTGGGGGCATTGGCATTGACGAGAAGTAGTCGCTTTTATCCGAGAATGAACCCGGCACGGCATCCATAGTCCGATTCATGGATCCGGGGGTATCAACATCAAGGGCTGGAAAAGGGGAAGTGCTCTGCATGGAAGTGCTGAAATAGTTGGCCGAATAGGGCGTACCAACGTTGATACCGAATCCAGACATATTCGGGCTCCCAGGGAAGTCCATACTATGCATACCACGCGATATGGGAATGCCCATACTACGAGGAATATCATCGGTAGGAGCAGATGTACCCATGGTAGGATTGAGCCTAGCAAGCTCTTCCGCTTTGGCAACAGCAGACTCACGGTACTCGTTGTCTCGTCGGATCTCCTCGTCCACAATTGGGGCGAAAAGCCAGCGCAGAATCCATTTGCCGAGATTGACTATGAGGTGTAAGTGGCCTGAACAACGGGAACTTGCTTATGGAAAGAAAAAGAAAACATACTTCGTTGGTCTTCTCGGAATTGCGAGAGATCAGTTTCTGATAGCCCAGCCTCGTCCGCATAGACCTCGGCGTCAAAGCAACGATTGGGCTCCAATATGACGGAAAGTCTTCCTGTTCGGACGTCAATTGTGCACCAGTGAGAAATGCTCTCGACGGTGTTGAGTTCATCAGCGACATCATCGATATGACGTTTGCCAAAGTTTTGTACGGGAACACACTGTATTTCATGTTATTTCTTGCTTGTTACGATTTCATGGCGGTGTTTCGACTTACTTTAAGCAGGTCCCACAAGACAACCTCTCCAGCCGAATCTTGAGTGAGAGTTCGCTTTCGATCATTCAACATTAAACATTTGATGAGGCCATGCTGGCCCTCAATAGACTCCTCCGGCAGCGAATGGACAGGAATTGTGAGACCAAGATCATTCTCCATATCTGGCTCGGGCGATTGCCCACCCGAAGGCGACGGTTTGCCGAGCAATGTGGATGCAGTAGACAGTTGTAATGCGGCATTGGGAGGAATTTTCTTGGGCTCTTGGTCGGAAGACTTCTCTGGCGCAGCAGTGGAGTCGATAGTTCGTCCAGGTTCAGGCAGCGACTCGAAACCCAGCGTAGTGTCAACATTTCTCCATCGATTAATGCTCGACTTAGGCGTAGCTGTCCAGATAAAGTCATCAGTAGCAACCACCTTTACAACACCTTCATGTTCTTGCAGCGCTGCAACACAAGTGCCCTGTTCGATGTCGGGCGAGCCTCGTGTGTCAGTTTTAGCCACCATGCCAGATCGATCACTAGAGTAGAAGACCGAAAGATCTGGGTGGTCGGAATAGAGAGACCACACGCTGTCATTGTGCATGGTCAGAGTGTTCATGCAACGGCCTGCCGTCAGTGACCAAATTTTGATAGTCTGGTCTGAAGAGGCCGTCATGATGGTATCCCCAGACTGGTTGATCAGGATATCGCGAACATTATCGGTGTGACCGACGAACTTGGTGACTAGTTTCCCTGACCTGGGGTCCCATACGCGCACGACATTCTCCGGCCCCCCGCTGGCGAGCACCGACGAGACTGCACCCAGCGCGTAGACGGAGCCTTTCTCGGCCGTATCATCACCGCTGGCATCGATATTCAATATTTCACCACCGCCATTCAGATCCCACAGGTAGAGCTTATGATCAAGGCCACCGGACGCAACCCAGCTAGCTTGGGCATCTGGACTAGCTAGCGCCTTGACATAGTCGGTATGCTTGCCGATGCGCTCGGGGACCTCGGTAGACTCCGAGTGCGGGCGCCAGAGACGCACAGTCGTGTCGGATGATGCGGATACGAGAGCGGAATTACCCTGAGTTAGGACGATGTCGTTAATCCAGTGGCTGTGAGCCTGGACCTGGGTTTTGAATTGTGTCGGGCCCGGTTTTCGATTGGAAGCAGAAAATGGGTTTTCGGATTGGAGCGAGGCCAGAGGGCAGTCGAGATCCCACGAACAGATGACACCGTCGCGGCCGGCAGAGTACCTGGGGAATAGACGTCACATTAGAGGCTGTGAGAACAACGCGAAGAGAGAACGGCATCGAGAGAAACAACAATCGCATTATGGAGGTCATATGTCTCCCTGGAAGCGTATTACTTCGCATTGTCGTCAGCAGACTTACAGGATGGAGTTCTGACGGTCAACGGTCAGGCCATTGACCCCCAGCCGATGCCCGCCTGGGGCATCAGGCAGAGGAAGTACTGGAGGAAATGGTTAGCATGGGAAACCATGGCCAGCATCGGAATGAGGAACAAACCATAGGCGACCCTCTGGTGACTCAGTTTCCGTGCCATACATGCAGGTTGGGGGGTGTGGGAGAGGGAATTGCGGAGGAGATGCGGAGCTTATCTGCCTCAATCGAGGGCCGATCACACGTTTTCGGTGGGGGAGGACGACGTCACCAACAACAAAACACTCCATGCACGTTGCCAGCTTGAACTGAGGAATGGCGCAATGAAGTAAGAGAGAGGGGAAAGTGGCTAAATGAGGGGAAGCTGGGGATCCGCCAGGGGCACCGTCCCCATCGGATGGATGGTTTTGGCGACGCCATGCCGCAACATTCGGCCTTGGTCCGGGCATTATTTTCCAATGTCTTCCTAGTCAAGGTAATATTCATCACTCTTTATTCTCTTCGTATGTTATACCGGTCATCGTTGCATATTGACTCTTCTACGCGCTTCATTAGGATTCGATGCGAAGATTCGATGGACATCGATAAGCAGAATTCTTCCACGGCGTTTTTCCCCAATCAAAAGCCCGAGTATCTTTTAGACAGTGCACGGGTAAATGGCATGCGATACGTGCCCCGTGCAAGCTTCTTACCGCGGAACAAACGCAAAGATTGAGCTGGATGCTCAATATCGAAACATAATGACGAAAGATCGAAATAGATGTATTCTCCCGTCATATTCAGGACCTCTATAGAGCCAATGATAATGTACAATAGTATATCCCATAAGATGAGTTCACTCGTCCTCCGCTCGCTGGTTATTCTCCAACGTATTCCACGCCCACTGATAACTGCCCAAGAAGACAGCACCACCAATACCAATCCATGCCACACGCGGCCCAATTCCACGCCAGAAGGCACCCAATCCCTCCTGCGCAATTCCCCGCACGATCTCCTTAACACGAACCGGAGACCCGGCACCATCGCTACGACGGGCCAACATAACGCGGGTCTTGATAACATCCAAGGGGGTAGTCAGGCCGGCTGCAATAGAACCCGCAACGCTACCAAACATGGCACTCGTCGAAGCGGGGATCTGCTCCTGAATGACCGCTCCAGACCCAACATCTGTTTTCCGGAGGTAGCGTTGGGCATATCCTTCCTTCATAGACTCCCACATGGTGAACTGGAGCACGGTAAAGGGGATCTCGCGCGCGATCGTGATACCGGCACCGCGGTACAGTTCGCGGAATACCTGGCCATAGCCCCGATTCACAGGGGCCGCGGCGGTAGCAGCTCCGGTTGCATTTGTCCCCGCAGTTGGAGAAGGAGGAGGCGCGGCATGTCGTAAAGATAAGATATCTTTCAAGGCAAGCAGAGTCGAGCCACCGAATAGGCCAGCCTGAGCACGCTGCTTGACGACCTCGGTCGGCACGCGCACAGCGCAAGCGGCGATCTCACCCAGTGAGGAGGCAACGGAGTGTGTGAAGAAGACATGGGCGCGGGAGGGTGCTTCGGAGGGTGCCGAGCCTGTGGTCGGGGGAAGGAGCTGGCGCTTGACGCCGTCGTAGACGATGAAGAAGGATGCGGCGGAGGGAGCGGAGCCGAAGAGGACGGAGGGGAGACCGGCGTAGATTCCACGGACTGTTTGGCGCAGAGAGACCCGGGTTGCTTGGGGTGCGGTGGGGTCGCGTGCCTTTTGGAGGCGGGTTTTGATGGTGTCGAGGGGGTAGAGAGAGCAGTCGACGGTTAGGCCTGCGACAGCGCCGGACTGGAATTGGTATCTTGGTTAGTATAAAGCTGAAGAAGGTGATTGTAGTTGCGGTTTTCGTACCAGGAGAGACCTCGTCCAGAGGGAGGAGACCAATGGCTCTCCGTCGGGTTGCTGGCTCATGATGGAATGAGTCGGGAGATGTAGGGCGTTCTACCGCAAGAGCATGCTGTGTATTCAATGGACCTGGCGAAGCAATTGCTGCAGTTCTGGAACACTGGTTGGAAGACCGGAGGAGCGAAAGCGCCGCGATAAACCGAGCTCCGCCGCAGATCCAAGTTCCGAAGTTTTGCTCCGCGGTCAGGCCATTCCGATATCGCCGATTCGGGCCTTACGTCAGGTCGATCCTCGATGAACGCTGAAGATAGAAGACCTACAATAAAGTGCGAGTCCGGGGAAAAGCTTATATGTATTTAGAAGTATCTACTATGATGCCCCGAGGGCAATAACGAACGCTCCGCTCGAGAACCACCCCTGCTAAACCAATTCCACTTCTAGCAGAAACATCTAACACTGAACGGAAGGGCCTTGATTTCCTTCTCGACTCGAGGCTCTTCATAACGCCGGAAAACATCACACGGAACAATTCCCAGAGAACACACAAATCATCTAGACGGGTCGAAAAGCGCGGATGGAAAGAAAATGGGCAAGGAGGGAAAAGAGATAAAAGACGAGTTGCGGAACCATTGGTCAGGCCGCGGAGGGAATTATGAACACAAGAAATAAAAATTGATACACGGAAGATGAATCATTTCGCCTTGTTGCCTTTGCTGGCCACGGGAGGACTGTGCGACGGAGGCTCGAGGACATGTGTGTGGCCCTCGGCGTTAATGATTTCGCCGGTGCCCAGCTGCTCACACGCAACGATGTTGCGCACCCATTCATCCGACATAACCTCGTCGAGGGTTGCTCGCTCTTTCGGGTTGACCTTCAGCATACGACCAATGATAAAGCGACTTTCCCGCGGCAAGATGCGGAGAAGTCGCCAAGGGCCTTTGATGACCTCCTGTTTTGGTTGCGGTTGAGAGCCTGGCGGGAGAGGAGGGGCCTCTTTGCTGGTCGTGCGGGTGGGCTTTTCGTGGTTGGTGCTGGTCTGAGTGTTGGACTTCTTCGCAGCTTCGGTTGGAGAGGTCGGTGTGGTTGGAGAATCGCCATCCTTTGAGCCGTTCTGCTCCGGCGCAGGCGGCTCAAGTTTTGCGGGCGACTTAGCAGCTTCGGGGGCTGGCGCGGAAGTAGGGGGCAGCTGCTTCTGTTCATGGACGGTGGGTGGAATATCGGTGCTTAACTTGGGCCGGCTTTGATCCCTCCGAGGATTGGCATCCGGGACCGGAGTGCCAGGAGTCGGGGTAGCAACGAACAGCCGGTACGAGTTGTCCGTGGTGCGGGGCTGCTTCCACGGGAAGCGGCGCAGAGTCATACAGCAGAAGATGATCGCCAGCGACCAAACATCAGTGGGGCGAGGGTCGTATTTCTTCTCGTCGTACACCTCAGGCGCAAGGTATGGATCGGAGCCGACAATGCCTGTTTATATGGTCAGAAGGTTTTCAAATGCGCCTGCAGAGTGCATGGTACATACCTGAAGCAGGAACAATGTCGTCCTCAAAGGGATAGCGGAACACGACCGCACTTCCAAAGTCGATTAGCTTCATGATGCCGTGGTCGTTTACCACGACATTGTCCAACTTCAAGTCTCGATGGGCCAATCCCATACCGTGGAGATATGCCACGCCACTGAGGATCTGCTTAAAGGAACAGGCAATCTCCTCCTTGCTCATCTTGCCGGTCATGACAATTGCGAAGAGGTCAAATGGCGCATATTCCATCACCTCGTACCAGCGGCTTCCTTCCTGGATGATATCTAGGGTCTCAATGATGTTGCCATGGTGCAAGGTGGAGCCAATGCAGAACTCAGCCGTCACCTTCTTGGAATATTCCTTCAAGCTTTCCCAGCTATGGCGATCACGGAATTGCTTCACTGCAAAGGTAACCCCGTCGCTGTTTCGCTTCAAAAGTCGAACCGAGCCACCTGCTCCAGATCCGAGGACCCGCCCCAGCTTGCCATATTTGGAGTTCAACCCGTGGTCATCAGCGAAAGGCACGTTTTCGGTGGCCATCTGGTATGAAGTACTCTTGCCCGATCCTCGGCTCGATCGTTTGCCCGCGGAAGTCGGCGACTCCGGTCGCTTGCCCCGGTGGCCCATCTTGAAGAACCGCTTCAGCTCGGACATGGAGCCGTGATGGTGGTGGCCATGTCCACTCTTCTGCTCGTGGTGTTCCTTCTTGCTGTTTCCAAATATGCCTTTCTTGTCGCCCGATTTGGAGACATCACTTGCGCTGGCCGACCGAGGTGTTCCAGGCCGAAACGACCGCTTTGAATCACGGCTTCCAAAGATAAACCGTGCGTCCAGTTGCCCCAAGTTCTTCGATTGTGGCTGCCGCCTGCTGCGGGCGTATGGGTCGTTGGGTTCGCCGATTGGTGTGATGGTACCCGGTGGCGTGTACGATTCCCTCGGGGTTGCAGGAGGGCTCTCTTCTTGAGAGCTGGTGGCGTCGGTCCCAATGAAGAATTGAGCTCGGTGTCGTGGCACATTGGAGACTTGCGCAGGAGGTTCGGATGAACCGCTTTGCTTTGCGGACAATTGTTCGGTGGAGGAGGGGCGCGAAGTTGGGGCACTTCGTTGGGTGCCATTATTTTCACTGGATATGACGGGAGGCGATGTTTCAGGAGTAATAGCCGATGCCTGAGCATTGGCTCGGCCCACGGCATTCAGTGAAGCCGTGCTCTCGCTGGATCGACCTTCGCGGGAATGGGTGACGGCGGGGGTCAGAGGAGGTGACTGTACTGCGGAGACGGGGGGAGATGCGTGGGGAGAGGTCACATATGAGCTGTTGCCATCTCGTTGACTCCGATCACTCGACTCTCGTGATCCAACCTGTGCGGTGATGAGTTCCAGTCAGCATGGCCGTTTTCTCCACTAACGGGCGTGCAGGAAGCCCGGTCGCCATTGGGCGACCACCACAAACTCCAGGTGATCCGCTCAAGCTCCCCGGCAAAGCTGAAATAGAGATTTGAGAAGAACGTAGACTTACTCGTGATGTGGGAAGAGACATTGGGTCGAAGGAGAAGTTGCGCAGTCGAGACTCCTGAAGCTGGGAACTCTGCAGGCTCCTAGCGAGCGAACGCAACTCCTCGTCGGTCGTCTTCTTGGGCGTGTCGGCCTGGGCTTTTTCCGGCTCGGGCGACTGCAAAGAAGGTTCGATCTCATGCGTGACGGACGAGAAGCGGACTTGACCGGGCTGAGATCTTGACTTGGCATTGGAGTCATCGGCGCCCGAGGCCTGGGCGGACATCTTGGCGGGATTTTGCATTAACTGGGAACCTATTACGTGGAGCATGCATAGTCAGGCAAGGGATTCAGCACCCAAAGGGAAGTGACAGACAAGCCAAGACATACCTGAATCCACGGAGTTGGCGGTTGGGGTCGAATCGGCCGTTTCAGACGTCATACTCATTCGACGCCAACTCAAGACCGAGCGGGCCGCATGCCTTTCACGGTCCGGATGTGCGAAGAATTACTGGGGTCGTAGCCCTCTCTTCTCTCGCGCACGCGCAAGCCTTGTAGTTGTCAAGGAAGGAGAGTCCGGTGATTGAGGGCGAGAAGATGTCGATTACGTGGGTGAGGCAAATCTTTTCCCTTAACTTTTCGGCGCCGAATCCGTGCGATAAGCCGAACGTCCGCAACGGGCGAGGCGGGAACGTCAAGAAGAACCAGAATAGAATCTGGGGAGGAGGGGAGAGGTGAGGAGGGGTTGGAGATAAAAGTAAAGTAAAGTAGAGTAGTAAAACCCAGATCACGGTAGAGGAGAGGGGAGAGTTCGGGGTCTGGGCCTGAAGACAAAACCAGTTGCGGGTGGCGGGGGACTGCCTGTGCTTGTCTGTCTCCCGGTCTTGCTCGTGCTTCTTGTTACGTGCGGTTCTTGCGGCTCTAGCTACTTTTCTATTTGAGCCATTATTGACAACTACAGTACTGGGCGGATGCCCTCATGACTGGTTTCCAGCTCTCGCCGTGACCGTCGGAAGAGCGCGGACGGAGGGGTCATGTCGGCGGGATGGGCCTATGATGTCGATATCGAGGATGCCGCATATCAGCTCGTGCCGACGTCCCGGTCCTCCGCGAACAGCCAGGGACTTTCTAACACGCTGCCTCATCTTCCCTGACACTCTGGAATTTTGCCTCTTCAAGCCTGGCGGAGTGCTTCATGCATGATTCCCAAGGTCATGCTTGCATAAATCCCGAATCCCCCCTCTTTTCCCTCTCACCGGTTAACGGATGGACCCCTTCTCCACGGAGATCTCCCTGATCTCTCTGATCACCATCTATTCCTCCCAAGACACCCACATGCCCATACCTGCCAAGGGATCATCCATGAACTTGTGTGTCGTCATTTCTTGGATTTTCATACCACCAAGCCGGCGAGATTTTGACAGGCCGTTTGTTGCATTACATACCGTATGCAACTGGGTAGGACAGCTCCCCGGCGCTATACCTTCCTACCCGGGACTCGTAACGGTACTTTCCCCGCCATTCAGGTACACTTAGATACGAGGACTTCCCCTCTCGAAGATTTGGTTTGCCCGCACGGCGAGAGAGTGTAGGACATTCTTCGTTCTCCAAGGGGCCTTCGATCAGCAGGCCCTTCCATGCTGGTCTCCGATCAGATATGGAGATAGTCATCACCGTGCTCATTGTAATCACAACCATAAAAAAAAGGCCCTTTGGATTGCTATGCACACATCGCTCTAACAGCATGCATGAGATGATCGGGTATATATTGTACAGTAGGGAGAGATTCCCGTTTTTTCTCCACATAGAAAAACGCCAGTAAAACAAGCCAATATCAAAACACATCCCCTCACACGTCCGTCCTCGAGAGGACCGAATGAGTGAAACGCAAAGTCGCGACCCGTTATGGACAATCACGGGACAACCTGGATGCCAATGGACTTGGCCTGCGACATGATACTCTTGCACAACCCCTGCAGGCTCAATCCCGATAACCGGGTCTCGGTGTGCTTGATCTGGGCGATTTCATAGACGTGCTTGAGCGAGATCTTACCGCAGATCTCGTGGCCGGGGTTCATGGCACCGCGCAAACGGTTCTTCCGAGGCTCCACGTTGGCGGCATTGAGGAGGAGGTAGGTGGTGGTCGGGGTGCGGAGATCGAAGGTGAAGGACCGATCGGGGCGGACGGTGACGCGTGCCGGAATGGGGACGCCGGGGTTGATATGAGCCGTGCGGGCGTTGAATTCCTTCAATGGGCTATTAGATGCGACCGACTCGAAGCTGAAAGGCTGAAAGCGCTCACCTTGCAAAAGTCCATGCTCTTGACACCCTTACTACCCAGGGCCGGACCCACGGGCGGACTGGGCGATGCCTGGCCGGCGCCGACAATCAGCTTGACGAACTGGTCCTTGGCCAACACGTTCTTAGCCATGGTGGTGAGATGGAGTTGAGGTGGACGCAACGGGAAGAAACAAACTGAAGACGGAACTTTTTCGGGATCGCGGATCGGCCCCTGATTGGCTGGAGGCCCAAGCGAGCTGTTGGAGAGTCACCCAACGTCATCGTATCTTTCAACTTCGTCTACTTGGCCGAGTTCAGCAATAGACATTCTATCAAGGGTTTCTACGGATTCTTGTCGTTTCTGTCGTGATTCGACGCTGCTCTTTTTCGTTGATCAGATCACCCGGCGGGTTCCCATTCGCATCCGAACTAACTCGGGCCCCGCGTGTCGATCTCCCTGTTTCTTCACCTCCCTTTTCTATTTTTCTACTCCAGCCCATCCTTGCAAATCATCATGAACTGGCTTAAGTCGACGTACGCTCCACTCCTCCGTTATGTATGCGGTGGTAGCTAATACCAGATCCACAGCCTGTCCGCGGCCGTGGGCACGCAAGAACCCATCTATGGCCCCGAGGCCATCCAGTCCGTCGCCCAGCAGGCCGCCGAGACTCCCTACACCGTTCTGACCAAAGAGAATTTGCGATGGAAGGCCTACCAGTATACCAATGTGGAGACTGCTACCTTCTACATCATAGCCGACAGCGGCGATTTGGTCATGGTCCAGGTCATTTACAGCAACATTGCGTGAGCATTCCTTCGACGGCACTATATATCTGTGACCCAATAGCGGGGTATTTTCACGGACTGCGCTGACATAACTCTTTTGAACGATAGTGGTATCCATACCACCGCCCACTTCAACACGAAGATCTTCAACCTCAAGGGCGATGGCCCTCACGTCTGGAACACCAACCCCTTGTCCAACTTCATGTTTGACGAGGGCATGCACTCCTTCGGCGCCGATAACTTGACCATCACTCTCAACGAGGAGGGCGACGCATACCACATCAAGTCCACCGTCAACCCCGACAGCATCGTGGACCTCAAGCTCACCCGTCAGGCTCCCGGTTTCGTCGTTGGCAAGGACGGTACCTCCTACTTCGGCACCGACCCCAAGAACCCCTGGGGCTCCATGTTCCACGGTTTCTGGCCCCGCTGCGCCGTCGAGGGCTCCATCACCACCAAGGAGAAGACCTATAACCTAACCGGCCGCGGAGTCTTTATCTCCGCTTTGCAGGGCATGAAGCCCCACCATGCTGGTAAGAATTACCTCCCAACATCCTCATAATAGCTGAAAGCACTTGCTAATGAGGACATAGCTGCCCGTTGGAACTTCATCAACTTCCAGGGCCCTACTTTCTCCGCTATCATGATGGAGTTCACCACTCCCCCCTCCTACGGCTCCACTAAGGTTAACGTCGGTGGTATCGTCAAGGACGGTGAGATCATCTACGCCGGTGCCGACAACACTGTCACCCACACTGCTTCGGAGCAGGACCCTGAGAGCCAGTGGCCCGAGCCCACCTCCATCAAGTGGACCTGGAACGGCAAGACGTCCGACGGACAGGCAGTTTCCGCCGAGGTTGACGGTCCCCTCGGCAAGCGTCTGGACCGCGTCGACGTGATGGGTGAGGTCCCCGGCTTCATCAAGACCATTGCTGGCAGTGTTGCTGGTACCAGACCGTACATCTTCCAGGTAAGTCGTCCCTTGCTTTATAACTTATTTTTCAGATATTGATATCTTTCTACAGTACTCTCCTCAGGAGAAGCTCAAGCTGAAGTTGAACATTGGTGGCACGGAGACCGTCGAGGAGGGCTTCATGTTCTCCGAGTCGACCTTCATCTCGTAAACTTGATGGTCTCCTCTTCACCTACGTACATAGGATATTTGTCCCATGCGGGACCTAGTTGGCGTTTTGTTTCTTTTTGAGTCACTCTACATTATGTGCCGAGGGCAGTTGAGATTGACGACCTCCTGCGTACCAGATATTCCACAGATTGTTTACTGGATACTTAATGCTATTGACCATGACCCTCTGATCGTATGCTTTGACTGAGTTTCTAGGTGGACCTTTACTTGACAGTAGCTATTGATAGAAATACATGTTTCAATTGAGAAAGAACTTGGTGACTCTTCTTCAAAGCCCTTCTAGTCCTACCTATAGGTACATAAAAGACATAACCAAAAGACCTAATCCAAAACAGGGTATTCCTCCCAATTGGATTGCTATTGCTTACATAGAAGAGCCTTTGACCATGAACGATACAGACTAGATGCAAAAAAATGGTCGCGCCCGGGATCGAACCGGGAACCTTCTCGGAAGTACCGAACTCAGTTCACATGAGATGTGAGCGAGAAATCATAACCATTAGACCACGCGACCTGATGATATAATCAACTCTTCGATAATTGACACGAGACATAGTTGGCGTACGGATCGAAATTGAGATCGGGTGTTGGCAACCTTCCAGAAGCTAACAACCACTCCAACTGATCCACGGGTGAAATATAAACCAATTGAAGAGAACTATCATTTTAAGGTCTAATGCGGCTATATTCACTAATTTCTCACATTTGAAAGTGGGACTGTAAAAGCGCAGCCCCAATTCACATCATTCCGACAAATTCTTCCAGCGAAATACCGGCACAGTACATATCGGGCTCTAAACTTCAAGTGAAACGCCGGAAGAGCCTGAAGATGGCGATCCTGACAAGACAAATGACTCGTCAGAAAAATCAACTGGTTCAGGCTCAAGTGAGAAAACAACTTCAACCGAGAAGACAACATCTATCACTAAGACATCCTCATCAACAACTGCAACTTCTACGTCCACCGAGAATTTGCGCTTGTGTTTGACGGTTTACCAGTCTGGCACAGACACCACAGACAACTACTACCACCGAGCCAAAGACCACTACACCCAACCACAACTCAGTCGAGCACGTTCTCCACCGCCACCGAGACATCAGAGAGCTCTCTATGCCGTCGGAGGTAAGAAGAGCCCTGTCTTCAAGAAACGGGACATGCTTTGTCTGACACAGTGCTTCCAGTGAAAGTCCTGCGGGTCCCACTTCGTGCATTTGCACGTCTGGAACCACTGAGACTTACAACCCGACTCTAACAGGCGTTGCAAAATCCGACTGGTGTGGATACATTAAACTGCTCAAAACGACTTCGAGCACCACCGACATTAAGACAACGACCAAGGACAATTCCCCAGCAGAAACGCTTGGACCTGTCACCTCCTCTTATACGAATGATGAATTCGTGATTTGGCCCATCCAGACCATCAAATACTACGATGTCCCTGGGACAGAGCTGACACAGACATATCCAGCCGGTGACCCTACCACTGACACGAGCACAGCTGCTATGCCAAGCCAGACTTGCTGGAGCCTAAGGGTTCCTCGATATGCAGCACTGGTATTTGTGAAGGTGAACAGTGGAAAGATGCCTGCAAAAGCGCTTGGGAAAGATACGACAATGGGATGGTCTACACGGGGGAAACAGCGAGGTATGACGAGATCTCGAGGGACATGGGCTGCACAGCCAAATACACATAGTCCAAGAAGGACAATTACGTGCCTGAATTAAGCGGAAAGGAACTTCAAATCTTGTAAATGATTACGTACCAAACCCATTGACTGCATACTAACAAGTCTTCTAGGTTTGCGGGAATCTTCGACAATGACAGGATCGAGAGGTGTGGTTCCTCTGAACTTTCAAATGGTTGCACAGTCAAGTTGGACTACTGTTGGCATTGCAAGGATACCGACTAGATCTGTCTTCTGGGGACGCAAAGGCCGCTCCCAAAAGACAAGCTTTCATATTGAATTGATTGTATGTACTCAAGTTGAATTGAACATTTATATGGTTATGTTGTCATGATTCCTTAGCTATTGGAGAGATGTATGCGCCCAACAAAATCAAATTCGGCCGAACGAATATTTTTGACGGGAACTATAGCTTCGGGTCGCTCGGGGCAGCGGGGCGACTTGACTCATGAGACTACACACCAAGCAAAAATATAAGAAATACCATGATGCAGAGATATCAGCGCTGTTGAAAGACAAGAAATCACTAATCAATTCGCTCTGCCGCTGCAGACTTGAGAACAGATCCTATACACCAACAACATAGAAAAGGGGCTGAAAATGCGTTCTTAGAACTAGAAATCGAGGGAATTGATCAAATGTGTAAGACAACAATGAAGAATACAGGCGATTGAAAAGAGGGCGAGTCAGAAGGTCGCACACACGAGACGCCTTTGCCATCACTTCATCAAGGAAATTTTTGACTATGTTTGCGGCCCTGTGGCAGGGGAAGGGGTTGTGCGGATCGCAGGACTCGCGCTCGCCGAAGTCACTGCGCCAGGTGCTGGGCTAGCGCTAGCACTGTGGCCGCTGGAGGGAATGGGGATACCACCCGTCTTCACGATGCGTTCCTCAACGCGCTCCTTGTGCTGTCGGTTGCGGAGATGGACTTCGAAATTGTCGACGGTCATGCCCGGTCCGGGGGTGTAGAGTTTGCCGGGGCAGTCATGACAGCGGATGCGAGGGAGGTATTGGTATTTGATCTTCTGGCCGGATGACAGGGTGTTGGTGTTGGCCACGGGTGCGAGGGTATCGATATCCACGGCGGAATAGCGCATCACTCCTTCGAATGAATCATTGGGATGGGATTCTTTCAATTTATTGAGGCCGGCCTGGAGCCAGGTCGGTGGTGGGGGCTGGAATGCGCACACGGTCAGCCAGGGACCAAAAAATCCGAGGATTCTCTTTTTCAATATCTACTCACACCTGGGACCCCAGCCTGGGGCGGGTTCGGTGCGTCCACGGCTCCGGTTTGTTGAAGTCGAGGGTGGTGTGCTTGCCGAGACTGGGCAGACGGTGGTGCCATGGCGTTCGCGGCTGCATGGACGGAGGATTGGTGGGCGCCGACGATGCGCTGTCCATTTCTAAGAGCGACAAGTTTGTCTCGAGAAAGCTTTAACCGCACGATCAGCTTTTCGGGCTCCTCCACGCTTTCTTCTCGGTACGTTTGCCGCCGAGAAGACATTCGGGGCTCATGAATGACCGGCTCTGGAGTGGCGGAGTGTCCCAGACTAGCACGTAGGGCTGCATGAGCAGCCGTTGCAGCGCCTCGCATGCCTCTTGTGCGGGCGGTTCCCTGGGCGAGATGCGGCCCGATGGCTGGAGACCCAACAGATGAATCGTCACTATCAAATTCATCTGATTCTTCGTCGCCACGTGTTGCCATTCCACGGCGGCGACTGGAACCGGAACGTTTGATCACGTTGCTCTCCTCCATGGTAGCGGCCGAGTTGGGAATGACAGATGATAGGGCCAAGGTCCGGATGGTACGTTGACGGTCCTTGAGGTCCGGTAGAGCGGGACCACCGCGCCGGTTGATAGATCGCTTCTGGCGACGTAGATCTCGAGAAATTGATATCTCAGTTCGCTCGAGGTCTGCTTCGTTCAGTTCGTAAAGATATGGCGTGTGCTCCTTGGCCGACTGGTAAGGTCGGAAGGCGGATGATACGGGAGTAGGGAGGAAAGAAGCGCTGAGGTCGGGATCTTCGATGGGGCGACCGTCGAAGGGATGAGCGACAATGTAAAGAGACTTGGTGAACATCTGGGACTGTTCACGGATGGAGTGGGCGATAGCGGTGGTGAATTCACCCGAGAGGGAGAGGTCATTCGTCATGCGCAGAGCGAACTCCTCGGGCGAGTTCTGTGGGTCGTTGATGTCCCATTCGAACTGATCGATGAGGGTGTGCTGTCCGATTGTGATGTTCAACTTGATCAGAATGCGCATCTCCTCGTTCCGATAAGCGGAATACGGCAGATGAGGGTCGAGTGGCTCCTCGTGCATGTAGATCTGAGGGTAATAATCCACGATCTGGTCTTGAATGTTCTTGGAGATCTCACGAATGAGGTGACCAGATGTCTCCAATGGGAGACCAAGATCTTCGACGAGCTTCTCAGCAAATAGATCCGGAGACACGACGCGATCATGAAGGTTCCAGGTGAAAGTATCACGGATCTTGATCTTCTCGTAGTCGATGTCGAGCCGAATAGGCACAAGGTCTTCGATCTGCTCACTCTGCACTTTTAAATCCCGACGGGACACTCGTAATTCTCGTGTCTTTCGGTTTCCAGGCCGACGTCGGTTGGATGGGTACAACAGCTGAGGGATTTGATTTCCCCTATCCGTCCGTGGGTTTCCAAACCCTTCGTAGCCCATCCCATACAGCACAGCTGGATTGGCTGAGTACTCGCGCCGTAATCGCAGATAAAAGTCGCGTTCTGACTGCTTCTGTTGCTGAATTTCCTGGCTTGGATTGTGCCAAGCGGCCGCGGCCGCATAGTCGAATTCGCGGTTCACATATTGCTCCAGCAGGATTTTATCAACTGGTGTCTCGCGCGTGCGGACAGCCATTGTTCCCGATACATCGGAGGCCAGAATCACTGACCCGTCGCGGGATCGCTTCCTGCTTTGCGCAGAGCCATTCGTGCCATTGGAATGGGGCGTGCCATTGGGGTCGTTGGATTCCGACATCCCTGAGGCTGCCAGCTTAGCCTTTGCGTTCTGCTTTCCTTCTGAAATAGTATCGGCCGTCGAAGCGGTTTCAAAGGAGTCTACACCTGCCGTATCTGACGCGGTCGAGCCGTTCTGTCCGCCTGACTGGGAGTCTTCTGGAGACTGCTCTGATGGTAGCAAGTCATGTACCAATTCAGGGGATGGCATGGTCGAGCGGGTGTTTGATTCGGTGTCGTTGGCTTGATAATCGATAGGTAGCGGTACTCAACGCGATCGGGGTAGAGTTATGGTATTTAGAAAAGCATCGTTGAGTATAACCTGCGCCCGATTCCATTAATGTCAGTAAAGGATACTTAGAATTCAAGCATTGATCCTCCATCCCGCCGCGACCGCGCAGCATAAGACGTCCGGTGCGGGCGAGTCGTTGAACGTCCGTGACGGGCGCATGTCCCAGACACGTCAAAATGGCAAAGAGAAGCTGTACGGGAAGCTCAAATCGGAGGATGGTGGAATTGGAAAGCAGCGACCACGGTGCAATCCTGGGGAAGTAATGACATACCGGAGTCAAAGGGGGAGGAGGCGGATCGCGCTGTCGGATAGGCAGACCAGCACCAGATCCCGACGAGTATTGGGGGTTAGTTGGCCACCTGCTTAAAGAGCGCAGAGAACGAGAGACAAAGTCGGGGTGTTCCCGGGGGTTGTGTTTGCGCGAAAGCTGAGGCTGGTCGCGGTTCCTCAGGGCGCGCGGGTGTGTGAGAAGTTCAAAGGAGATTGGGAGGATTACGAGATGTCCGCTCCCGGGCAAAAGCAAGGACAGCCTCGGCGCCCCTTCTACGCCCACGATTTTTAGGGACTACTAATTAAGAGAGGGAGCTATGTGAGGAGGAATCATGAAGTTGTCATTGCTACTTTCTTACTTTCTGTCGGCGAAGACACTGGCGCCAGGGCTGATTCGACGGCATGCTGTGAGTCATGTGATCTCCAGGAGGTTGTTATTGCTGCCTTGTTACTCAGGCAGACTCAGGCAGACTCAGGCAGCTCCCGGTGTCACTCAACGCGTTGGAAGTTGCATCTTGACACTTAGTCTGGCGATTGAGCTCATTGGTGGTCAATATGGAAGCCTCTTCCAGTAAACCTAAGACATCTTTCAAGTCGTCTTCAACGAATTGTCAATGAAATCGGTGATTTAGTGTCAGCTTATCATTCTCGAGCAACAGGCCTCGAGGACCTTGAAAGTCCACGAGAGAAATATAGATCCAACAGGGCGACAATACATGTGTAGCCGTTATTAGCGAAGGGAGCAAATGCTACCTCCAACGTTGATTGTCAGGTATCTAGGTACGTATGCAGTGGTATTTTATTCATGTGCTAAAAGTGAACATTAGGGGTCTCGACTCCATGCTAGCCCACCAGAGTGAGGTCTGCAACAACAGCGCGATGGTCTGAGTTAAACACTGCATCGTCAAACCGGTTTGGCATCACAGAATAGCCGTCCACTCGCCACGTCTGATTTCCCTTAGTAGCCAGTAGAACGTAGTCAATGCGTGATGGCGATTCTTCTTCATACCCAAACCCAGTCGCGGTTATGATGTTGCCATACCGCCGCGAGGCGTCGAGCAGTTTGAAGGTGTCACGCAAGTCTCCAGATCCAATGAGATCAGAATAAGCCTCCTGGTCTTCCTGACTGTTCAGATCACCTGTCAAGAAGGTGCCCGAAATGAAGCCGCCGTATTGTCCGTGCTGGTACTCCTGAATTTTGGCGCGAATAATGCGAGCAGCTTCGAGCCGGGAGCGAGATCCCTGGTCATCCAAATGCGTGTTCATGGCAAGAACCGTGTCACCGGTAGTTCGGTGAGTGAATACACCGATCGTGACGATGCGGGTAGAGGCCGCATCCCAGCTCTTCGAAGGCTTGGAAGGCGTCTCGGACAACCAGACTGTCTCCCAATGCAGCAAATCCCAGACCGAAGGGCGATAGAAGATCGGGGAGTATTCACCGGCCTGGTGGCCGTCGTCTCGACCGACACCAATATATGCATATTCTTGAGTTGAAGAGCCCGTTGTGGGATTCAATCCTGCTCGGATATCTTCGAGCTGTTGGTGAAGAACTTCCTGCAGACAAATGAATGTCTCTTTACAATGGCGAGCATGATATCCGAGTTCATTCAGTAACAATTGCCTGCGCTCAGCCCACGGCCGTTCTCCTTTGAAGGGAGAAGTCGTTGCATATCGGATGTTATGGGTTAATACGCGGATCGGGAGCTCTGGTGTGGATCTCATTTTGTACCCCAAGTACGTGAAAATAAAACTAAAATGAGAGATCAACACTTTGAGAAACGAATGTAAGGCAAAATGAAAAAAGGAAATCCAACCCGAAGGAGAAGCTGGGGAGGGGTAGCGGTTTGAGAAGCCAAGAAGATCCCTGCAAGCCCTGGAGTTCACGAGGCCTTGAACAGAATCGTCAGCACGAAGGTCACGAATAAACGGAGTGGATGAGCATCGTATGCGGGGTTACAACGAAAACCTTAGTCACATCCATGCTCCTGGACGGAGTCGACAAGGTCAACGAATGACGTCTTTGCCGCTCGTAACCCTAGCCGTCCGTCGCCTGACAATTAAGGCCATGGCGGGTGCCCCCCCCACCACCGCTAAACGCTCTCTCGTTCGCTGCACACGACCTGCTCTCGATCCATTCTTCACAGGTTCCCTAGGATCTATTGCCGAAAACCACCTGCATTATCTTTTCCTCGCTCCATCGCGAGGTCAATTCATTCCACAATGGCGGAGACCCAAGTGCCCGAGGTTGGTATGTAGACCTGCTGTGGTGCTCCCGCGAAAGCTCTGACGTTTGTGGGCGTTGTCGGTCAATGGCGTGAGCTTCGCTGGGAGGTCCTTACAAACAAACCACCTAAGTTCATCTCGGAACTAACTACCTTGGCTCTGCTTAGACTACACCCTCAACAACCCTGACACCTTGACCAAGTACAAGACCGCTGCCCAGATTTCGCACAAAGTGCTCGAGGCCGTCTCTGGTGCGTTGCGCACCCCTCTGCTCTTCGTGCCATGCGTTCTAATGTTCTAATATCTCTCTATAGCTCTGTGCCTGGAGGGCGAGAAGATCGTCGAGATCTGTGAAAAGGGTGACAAGCTCCTCGACGAGGAAATTGCCAAGGTCTACAAGGGCAAGAAGATTGCCAAGGGTTGGTCTACTTCCATCATCGAAGATCAAACGATGCAGAACTAATTCGTCGATGTAAAGGTATTGCCCACCCCACCACTGTCTCTCCTAGCTCCTATGTGACTCCCTACACTCCTCTTGTGTCCGATGCCGCCGAGGCCGAGACTACCCTGAAGGCCGGCGAGGTCGCCAAGATCCAGCTGGGTGCTCAGATCGATGGATTCGGAACCATCGTCTGTGACATGGTTGTCATTGCCAAGAAGGACTCCGCCAAGGAAGTTGTCACCGGCCGCGAGGCCGATCTGATCCTTGCAACCCACTACGCCAACGAGGTCATGTTGCGCCTCATGGTTCCGCCGGGTCTTTTGGCCCAGGGCACCGAGGAGGAGAAGAAGAAGGCCTCCGCCCAGAAGGCTCCTTCCCAAGCCCAGATGTCCTCCTACCTGGAGAAGATCGCCAAGGCATATGACTGCAACGTCGTCGAGAACACCACCAGCTGGTTGTTTGCCCGCAACGATATCGAGGGTAACAAGAAGATCATCCTGAACCCCGGCGACGGTACCCGTGGTGAAGGTGTTCCCGAGGTTGGTGAGGTTTGGGGTGTTGAGGTTGGCCTCAGCTTGGGCAACGGCAAGGTCAAGTCTCTTGACCACCGTACTACCCTGCACCGCCGCACCACTACCACTTACATCCTCAAGCGCCCCAGCTCCCGCCAGACTCTCTCCGAGGTTGTCAAGAAGTTCGGTACTTTCCCCTTCAGCTTGCGCCAGCTTGAGGACGAGAAGGCCGCCAAGGTCGGTGTTGTTGAGTGCGTTCGCAACGGTGTCCTGCGCGCATACGAGCCCGCCGGTGATGCCAGCAACTCCCCGGTCTCCCGTCTGCTGACCACCATCGGTAAGTTGAGATTCCATAAAAAGACCAGACACATATCTAATTTCCGATAGCCATCACCAAAAATGGTATCACCAAGCTTGCTGCCCCCGCCGCCATCGATCTCACCCAGTTCAAGTCTGACAAGAAGATTGAGGATGAGGAGATCCTTAAGATCCTCGAGCAGCCCTTGGCCCGCTCGACCGGTAACAAGAAGAGCAAGAACAACAAGAAGAAGAAGGCTGCCGGTGAAGAGTAAATGCATTGACACTAGCGTTGTCTTTCCTGTGCAATACACTCCGATCTAGTGTTGGAAACCTCATTCGATTTGCAAATCAACAAAAAAAAAGATATCCAATGACCAAGTTCCCCATCGGGCCTACGCCTTTCTCAGCAATGAAACAGGAAATAGGTGTTGAATGAGTGGTGCGTATGAACAATGGCTGGCGATGGCGCTCAGTGAAGATTTCGGTATATATTGACCGAGTCAATGTTGAAGTGCAAGCCAGGGCACTTGAGGGCTTTCTGGTATGCTATTCATGTAATTAGCAGCGCAGCTGAAAGTTATGAGCCAAATGGAGACATTGTCAGCCCCAAATTTCAGTGACACCTTGAAACTGTAGAGCCACAGCACCTGAGAGTAATGCGTATTGGTCTCAAAGAATTTATTGCTAGTAAGGTACCTAGGTAGTTATGCGTATCTGCGCTGCCCGAGTGATTGACGTCTGACTAGATGCGGTTTTGTCTTCAGAATGCTTTGACCTTGGCCGCTTGGTAAAGGGACTTTGGTTAGGCAGAACGGGTCAACAATAGCATCAAGCAAATTAGACATACACTCAATACTCATTTAACAATAAATTCAAGGTGAGACAGTTAATTAATAGCGTGAATAGCTTTTCACCAGACTGAGTAGCCGTTGTTCCTGGCTACCTGCTTGCTTTACTCTCACTTCTCTACCTTCTCTTCTGCCTACCATGCAGCTGACATACTTACATCAATCGTGTGCCGACTCATCTGATCTAATGAATTTTTTTTTCACATTCAACAAAGGTATGTACAGCCTACCCTATGTTCCTCGGGTCTGCGGGAGTGACTATAGTTTCCTTGGTGCCCAGACCCAGAACAATCTAAGCACACCATTTCCCATCATTTCTTCCTATATCTATCATCTAATAACTATCAAAAAGCACAGGGACACCTCCATAGTCCATGAAAAGCCAGTTATTCATGTGAAAACTCGTGCAACCCAGCAAGTTTTGTATAGATCGCGTTAGGGCAGCGATCCGCATGGCGCTAACCCTACAGTCCAGGGCGGTCAGCAAGCGTTGGCTCCGATCCCAGGGCCGCCGGGCTATTTCTCAACCCGCAGACGAACCCGCGCCTCGAAAGCTCCAAGAAAACAACCCGCGTCAAACACGCGCAAATTCGTCCGAACCGGGCAATGCGCCCACGACTAAGTCTACCTCGCTGCTATCCGACATCTGTGAATGGGAAGAATCTACCGCGGAACGCGCGCGCCCAACCTGGGCAGATGCCGATTCCATTAGCTCGAAAGAGAACAGATATCTCCGGACAATGAAGCCGATCGGGCAGTATCCGTCGCCTGCGGAGTACAAAAGCGTTGGTCTGACGCCTCCTCCAAAACATGTTCTCAAACGCGCCAAGTTGGCGATGCGCGAAGGTGATGGTCCCATTACGGGGATTCCTATCACGCCGGTGGCAGAGGAGGGAACAATGGAAGCACATGACGCCGACGAAGTTATGAGCGGGATTGAGAGACCGGTTGCCTTAAATGAGTCTATTGAATGCATTGGCGAGGAGACAATCGGGGGTTCTATTGAGGACACACTACTCAATGGGGACATTGACGAGGACGCTCTCACTACCAATCTTGCGACCCCAATTTCTGAAGCTCTCGACTCCCATCCCCAATCTCTCCATCCTTCTTATTCTCCTGAACACACACCTCTTGATACCCCGGTGGATGAACTCTTGACTGACCCGGTCCTGACTGCTCCTGAAACTCATCTTACCGCACCAGACACCGACACCGACACCCCCTTGCACCAAACCCAGTCTCCTCCTGCCACCGCCGTTGCAGACGGCATGGCTCCCAAAAACGGGAAGACCATGGATCGTGACTTTGTCGCTGTGCTCAACTCCCTTCCTACTCCAACGTCCGGCAAGTATGATGTCCAGTCACTCAAACACGTTGTGGAACTTGCCGTTTCCCAGGCTTCCAATCGCAGCGACGACGAGGTTGCTTTGAGTCTTGTCTACTACTGGTCGGATGTCTCTGGCGACGACTTCAAACTGTCGCTGATTCACAACATCGGCTGCAGCAACACTGACCACAATCTTGTACTCGCGCTGAAGACGATGCTGCGCCACTCTGTCGATGATGCAAACGAGTGGTACGAGTCGTACTCTGCAGCTCGCGCCAGAACTCTAACACGCCAGAACAGTGACTCGGATCTTTCATCCGCCAAGTCACTCGAGGCTGAGCCTCTTGGCCAGACCCCTTTCAAGGTTGCGGACATATACCGTGACACCACTGGGCCGAAGCTCGAAGAGGCTTTTGTCAACGGCAAGACCAACACTGCTCCTCTCAAAAGGCCCAAGAAGCCGTGCCGCGTCAACGAAAACTCGTTCAAGCGTCGTCGCGAGTGGGAAGCAGATCCTTCTCTTGAAGAAAATCTACAGAATAAGCGAACTCGTCTTTCAAAGGACGCCCCGGCTGAAGCCGACGAAGTCGCCCCTAAGAGCAGCTCTGTCCGTCCCAAGCGAGGCGAACCCAACAACATCGAACAGCCTTACACGACGGGTCGCCCAGCCCGCGAGCGACGACGTCACTCTCTTCCCGCCGCAGGCATTGCTACCGATGAAATTGAAGTGCCCACCATGGCCCCTCCTACCTCGGCACCTCGCACTCAGCGAACCATCAAAGAACGACAAAGGCAGAAGGAGAAAGGCAAGCAGCTCCAGGAGGACAAAGATAGACGTGTAGGATGGGACGGCCGAGCTCGGTCGCTCTCTGTGGATCACGCCCTTGACTCCGACGCCTCCAACTCATGCTACTCCGTCCGAGTTAACAACTGGACTGCCGGTTACGCACGCCGACTGATGCCTGAGGAAGTGTATGTGATCGTCCTGATTTTGCTACTGATGTTTTGATGCTAACGCTCTACAGTGAGCCACCCGAGAACAGCGATAACTGTTCCAAGTGTGACCGAGGCGGTAACTTGCTTTGCTGCGATACTTGTTCCAATGCCTTTCATTTCCGATGTGTCAAGCCCGCCATGGATCCCAAAAATCCGCCTAAGGGCGAGTGGCACTGCGTGAGCTGCGTAGTCCACTTCTGCGCCACGGAGATGATCCAGAAGGGCAAGTACAAGAAGAAAACCGAGTATAACGCGCCCAAGGAAATCAAAGAATACTTTGCCGGCGTCGGTGAAAAGATCCAAGGGGACGCGAGCCAACCGCACAGCCTCAGGAATGAGCGCTTCTACGAGAGTGTCCCCCACCTGCCGCGGCTGACTAAAGCACCGAAGCGTTCGACGGGTGTCCCGGCGTACAACGATCCCAATCTGCTGCGGCTAATGGAAAATGGCCATGTCATTCTCTGCTCCAAGTGTGGTCTTTCCAGCGAGAATGTGCGTCCCATTATCAAATGTGACTACTGCCCTAGCCGCTTCCATCTAGATTGTCTGGACCCTCCCCGTGCCAACCCCCCTGACCCTTTCAAAGGCTGGATGTGCCCCAACCATGTTCGATCTGATGAGATGATCGTCTCAAAAATGGTTGATGGCCGTCTGCAAGAGCGCCGTGTGCGCCGTCCCAAGACTTGCGTTACCGTTGATGTTGACGTCCTTACCACTGATGACTTCCGGGAGACCACTTTCGACGAGGACTGGCGCGAGAAGCGAGCCCGTCTTCCTGCTGGCGATCTCGTCATGGACTTTGTTTCTGCTGTGCGCGACAACAGCTATCGCCGCGAGCGAGAGTATTTTACCAACGTTGCCAACACAGCCATCACAGTCGCCAAGCAGCTGACGATGGAGCATCTGTCCGCCGTGGGCGTCCCGAGCAACGAGACTAGATTCCCTGTTCAGCTCCAGCATCAAATCACCGAGGCTATTGAAAGCATGCGCACAGGCCACGTTCCGGAGGAGCAGTTCGACGCTGCCACCTCCCTTCTTGGCCTCGCTCTTGGAGGTCCCATTTCTATTCCCCCGGTCGGCGAGACCTCCGCCACCATTTCGCCTCAGGATTCTGCAACTGCCACCAAATCCGATGAGCCCATTGCTCAAGAGGTATCTCAGACCGCTACTCAAACTGTGACTACCGACTTTCCGTCTGGTGATGCAACCGCCGCCGCTACCATTGCTGCCGCCGAGACTGAATCTCGTCCGGATGAAATTCCTGCTTTGGCCCCTCGTCCTAAATCTCTTCCCCGGTCCCGCCGTACCTCTGCAACTCCCAAGGCAGCTACCCGGTCGCGCCAAAATTCCAAGTCCGGCCTTTCCGATGGGGAACTTCTTCCCCGATCTCGGGCGTCTACCCTCAAGCAGACGTCCCTTACCTTCAAAAAGCGATCTCGCGATGAGTCCGAAGAACCTGCCAATAAACACCAGGAGCCGGTGCAGAAGCGCCAGCACACCGACTCAGATTAATCTATTTGTGAAACGGAGCTGAATCAATTCGTGACATGTAGTCGGCAAACTCGGACACATTCGAAGGGGCGCAAATGGCACCCCGCACACACAATACGCAAGCATAATTCCCACCACCTTTCTCGTCATTTTCAGCATACCATCTGCATCAGCACAGTACAAAGAATTGCGTTTCCGCAGTGGACAGTGGCGTTTTTTTTTTTTCAATCTGAGGGATGATTTTCGAGTCTGGCTCACAGGCTATTCGTTCTGCGACCGCAAACCGCGGTCGACGATCTAACTTTTCCTTTTTGGATTCTTCGAGTTGTCTGACTAGGAATATGTTTTCAGGGTCCAGGTTGTTTTATCCCTTTTTTTTCTGATCTGCATTTTCCGTCTCTGGGGACTGCGAATTAACACGCGAGCATGGAACGGCGCATTCAGAACTCGAAGAATCAATTTGTACGATTAGCATAGCCGTCAATGGATACTTTCCATTTCTATCATTCTCATCTACTGTAGGGTAGGTACTCTTGTAGGAGGGTTGAGACCGTAAGAACAACAATTCATTTCGTACTCTACATGAAGGCTGGACATATCAAGGTAATAAAACACGCAAGAACAGGATTATCACGCTCCGGTATACCCGCAGGCATATGGTTTAGAGGAATTTCTTGGGCATGTTGGCACGGCGGCGCTTGTAGATGATGTAGGAGCCTGCGAGGAGAACCTGGAAGGCGATGACCAGGAAGATGAAGAAGCCCATGCGAGGAGTGGAGGCAGTGATGGCTATAAAGAATATCAGTATATTTCAAATCTTTCATACTTTTGGAGTAAAGGAAGACATACCGCTCAGCAGGTGGCCCTGCAGGCTCTCAGTCAAGCTGAGATGCGATGACCGCAGGGTATCGTGGAGCTGGCTGAAACTGCCGCTGTAATCACGTCCCTGCACATCACGCTGGACGCTTTGGAGCAGGGTTTCAATGCGCTGGAGGCGAGCTTCGACAGCGGCAACATCGCTCTTCGTCGCCAGGTTCTGCTGCAGTTCCGCATGCCGAGACTCGCTCTTGGCGGCCTGGTTTCTCATGTCCTGGAGGATGGTGTTGGTGGCCTTGTTGGTAAGCTGGAGGCGACCGCCCAGATCAACGAACTGCGCGGCGATGCCGGCATCGAGAACGGTGTTGCCAGAGGAGGCAACTGGAGGAGAGTTGGCCTGGGGTGGCTGGTTCTGGACTGGCTGCTGCTGCTGCTGCTGCTGCTGCTGCTGCTGCTGGGGAGCGCTGTTCTGATACGAGGGAGCACCTTGGCCAGAGGCAGATTCTAAGGCGAACTTGAAGATCTCGAAGGAATCGGGGTTTTCAGGGGTGGCGGCTGTGATACCGAATGTGTTGCCAGCGGGCAGAGCGACCTGATCGGAGTTAGTGGCTGTCAATGGCGCTATTTGGAGGTTACGGCGTACCTTGTTGGTTGAGAAGCAGACCTTGTCGTCCACGGTCACCTCGAGGAGCGAGTTGGTGTGCTTCAGCTTCAACACAGAGGGCCGGCCTAGGTTGCGGTAGGCATAGTCGCAATGACCGAAGGCGAGGCTGTCGACGCTACGGTGACTCTTGTAGTCGGTTGTTCCGTCGTTCAAGAATCCGCGAACACTTCCACCGCGTCCACCATGCGTATCAATAACCAGGGCAAGGCCGTCGAATTGGCCCACGGTGTAGATGCTCGAGGTTCCAACTCGGGCCTGGCCGTCCTTGGCATACCATAACTGGAGAATACCACCAGCTCTCTCCGGGCCACTAGCTCGGAATTGAAATTCTGCGGACCATTCTTGTTGGGAGGCACTGTATGTTCTTCAGCAGTTGTCACTGACGAGAATCAAAAGGGCGACGTACGGGCTTTGTGTCCAGGCGGATCCTCGTGTGTTTCCGGGGTAAGGGGGTGTTAAGATGAGCTTGTCGGAGAGCTAGCTTCTGTGTTAGACATGCCATAATCAAAGAGGTAGGGAACTCACAAGAGTAGGCTCATGGCCCTCTCCGCCAATTTTCCATCCCGGAATCGAGTCTCGGCTCGGAGATATCCTGACCATCAGATCATGTTAGTTAAAGACGGCATGGGAAGGAGGGCATGCGACAGGGCTCAATGCGTACGTTTTACCGTAGCCGAAGCTCTGGCTCTCAATCACCTGGGCAGCAGCGCCAATGGCGAGCAGGGCAATGGAAGAGAACGTTCTCATTGTGGCAGATAAAGTAAAATCTCCTAGAGAGTATAGCGGGCAATAACAAAGGCGTCAAAGAAGCCCCTTCAATGCAACGTGGACAATTCGTAAGTCTAATCAACACAACTGGTATGAATCAATCGTTTTTCGAGTCTCTTTCGAAAGGACGGGATTTGCAGTCGCACGATCTCCAAGAGGTTTCGCAAAGACTAGCAACAACGCGAGTCGTGATCCACCCGACGACAATGGCAATGACACACAGGCGAGCCTCCTTGGCGATGGCAGCGGCAGAAGGAGAAACGTCAATGAAGTGGTGCAACTGAACACTGTTGAGAATTGTGTGTCGGACGCCGACGTCCGAGAAGTCCATGCGGAAGGTAGTGCTGTTGATACCTGGCCTTCTCCTGTGTGCCTTGCAGCCTGACGCCGGGTCACGGGAGTACGGGAACCTGATCCTCCGGAAGTTTCTCAAACCAGCTATTTTCTCCGGTCTTCGTCATCAAGATATCTTGCAAGGAACCTCTTCAAATATGCCTAGACTAGGATTTCTCAGGGTCTTTCTAAGCGTCTCTTGATTCCATTTTTCAAGGTATCTTTCTAAAGATCTCTTTAAACATGCGGGGCTGGATCAGGCAATTTGTACATGTTTGATTACATGATCATTCATCGGATAATCCATATGTCCGGTCTCCCTCCACTGCTGTATTCGCTCCGACAAGTCTCCCCACGCACGTGACCCGTATTTTGCGGAGGAGCTCCACCCTTCTTCGATCTCGACTTCCTCGGGAATGCCCTGCTGCTCCAATGGCTGAGCTTTACCCGTCATTGGCGCAGTGCGCTATCGCTGCGGGAGCTCTTAAGGTGCTACTGTTCCCTGCATAGTGAGTTTCCGTCCTCCCACACAGTTGGTGGGTGCTGATCATGTCTCGCCGTTTACAGCAAATCGACCGACTTCGAGGTGCATCGCAACTGGCTTGCCATAACTAATTCGCTACCAGTTCAGGAGTGGTATTATGAGGTTAGTTCGCTGGACATCCTAGGATCACATCTTGGGTTCTAAAAGTCGTCTAGAAAACCTCGGAATGGACCCTCGACTACCCCCCGTTCTTCGCGGCCTTCGAATGGCTAATGTCGCAAGCGGCTGCATATATTGACCCTGCGATGCTGGTTGTGAAGAACTTGGGTTATGATTCATGGCAAACTGTCTACTTCCAGAGAGCCACAGTCATCCTGACCGAGCTAGTCCTTGTCTTCGCGCTGAGCCGGTAAGACACCTTCCCCCGTGGTACAATGAGCGAGGCTGACTGTTGATGGGCTCAGATTTGTCAAGTATGTTCCCCTTCCAAATAAGCAGGCCGCCCATGTCGCCAGTCTCTCTATCCTCCTCTCGCCCGGTCTCTTCATCATCGACCACATCCACTTCCAATACAATGGGTTCATGTACGGAATCCTGATTCTATCCATTGTTCTCGCTCGCGAGCAGTCGACCCTCCTCTACAGTGGAATTGCATTTGCCGCGCTACTTTGCTTCAAGCACATCTACCTCTATCTCTCTCTCGCCTGGTTCGTCTACCTGTTGCGCGCCTACTGTCTCGACCCCAAGAACGTCCTCCGGCCGCGCTTTGGAAATATCTTCAAGCTTGGAGTGTGTGTGGTTGGCATTTTTGCGATTGCATTTGGACCTTTCGTACATTGGGGCCAGCTGCTTCAGCTGAAGGACCGGCTCTTCCCTTTCTCGCGGGGCCTATGCCACGCGTACTGGGCGCCTAACATTTGGGCTATGTACTCATTTACCGATCGAGCTCTGATTCCACGTAAGTAATCAATTGCTGGAGCGGACTTGTGGGGTTGCTGATTTGCTTTATAGTTGCTCCTCGCCTGGGACTGCCCGTGAACCAAGATGCGCTCACCAGCGTCACTCGCGGCCTGGTGGGAGACACTTCATTTGCAATTCTCCCCGAAGTTACCAAGGAACACACGTTCTTGCTGACCTTGGTCTTCCAGCTGGTATGTATACATCTCACAATCTTCAATGGGCCTCTCTAACATCCATCCAGGTTCCCTTGGTAAAGCTGTGGCTCCGCCCCGACTGGGACACCTTCGTTGGTGCAGTTACACTCTGCGGCTACGCATCCTTCCTCTTCGGCTGGCACGTGCACGAAAAGGCAGTGCTCTTGATCATCATTCCATTCAGTCTGATAGCACTCAAGGACCGCCGCTACTTCAGCGCATTCCGACCGCTCGCAGTGGCAGGCCATGTCTCGCTGTTTCCACTCCTATTCACAGCGGCCGAGTTCCCTCTCAAGACCGTGTATACGATCTTCTGGCTGGTTCTGTTCCTCTTTGTATTCGACCGTGTCGCACCAGTGCCAGAACGGCCGCGGATCTTTGTGTTTGACCGGCTGTCCCTGCTATACCTGACCATTTCCATCCCCTTGATTGTGTACTGCTCACTGGGACACTATCTCATCTTCGGATGGGAACGGCTTCAGTTCTTGCCCTTGATGTTCATGAGCAGTTACTCAGCATTAGGGGTAGTCGGCAGCTGGATTGGCTTCATGGTGGTATACTTCACCGCATAGAATGTTTGCTCAATATTATAAATTAGCTAATAGTTAAAAGTCAAGTGTGATTCAATTAATCCCTCCAATACTCCCCATTCTTCAACTGTAATGCGGTGATGTAATCTGTTTGCACGGGTTTGCATTCCACGTGGGCCAGACCCACCAGACCACAGAAGTCTATTGCGGCCTGCGTCCAAAGGCAGTTAGCGCCACCCGTGAATCCATGCAGCATGCCGTCTGCGAGATGCGGACTCGTTACGAATCGTGCGTAACACTGATTTGGGTGGGTATTCTGAAGTTTTGCAAATTACTAGGCTTGACTGATATTTGAATTATTCTTTTGCTCATTTTGAGGATCATCTATCGTGGTGGAACCTAGATCCGACCGTAGATTATATATTTGCGGCTGACGAGAAGGAGACACGATTCGATCAGAACGTGTTAATGGTTGAAACTTTCGAATCACTCCAAGGCTACAAGGCTAATAATTGGCATCACGATTAAGTTGTAATCACCATCATGCTTTCCAACATACAAGCTCTCGTGCACAGGTCTCTCGTCTCCCACTCTAGCGCTAGATTTTCCCATGCACAGTGGCATTTCCTAACGAAGCTAAGAAGGGACCCAGCGATACTTGTAATGACACACAGGCTACGACGTAAGGCTATGGAATACAAACAGGGATTGAATTGACCGTAATTCTTGGGCAGGGACCCTATATCAAACGATTCTGGTAGCCGTTGGTGAGCTCAACGCGAAAGAAATGTAGTCATATGCCCAGACTAAGATTGCACCAGAATAGCTAAAGCTTGAATACATTAAACCGTGCGAATGAACTTGGAGCCTTTGTTACATGGGTACGAAAGTGCCTTTTATCTCTGTACGGGGGGCTAATTGGCCTCCATTTCGATTACTAGATCGCGATGAAACTGATCAGTCTGATCCGATTCCTTACTAGTGATAACTTGGTTTACCCGGTAAGACCTAGACCATTGATAAACAAAATGCATAAGTAGACAAGCAGGGGAGGTGCGTGTCAATTCGTGTTATAGATGGAGCTTGACTGATGGCCTCAGTTCCGGGCGGCCGGATTCAGAAAGAGCTGAAAATGGGGAGTTGGATTGGTTAAAGCATGACTGCTTCAATTCGGCGGAAAGACCCTATGGAGCGATGACTCCGACTGAGTTTAGTTGTCTCCGTAAACAGACCCCTAGCTGTGATGCATATCCGGGATGCTTTTCATTCCCGGACGGCCGGTGCCGGTGATGCACCATTCCGGTTCATCAAGTAAAATACCAATGACAGCAAGCTTCTCAATGTTTTCAGAAAAGATACATCTTGATTGAAGATATTATAGCGGTGGGTAAATAGCAATGCTTGGCTTGAGAAAATGAATCCTTTCCTGAACGGGATATCCTTCGTGAAAGGTGCCAATAACGTCATAGAATGAAAAGAGGGCATGAATGGAGGTGCTGTGAGATAGTGTTACCAGTTACAAAAATGGTGGTGGATCAATAGCTAAATTTCCGATTCTCTTGGGGGTGATTGTTGCAAATTGACATCGGGTGAGTGCACTCCACCCGGGGAGAGGACTTGATAGTTGGGCAGAACGGTCGGGGTTGGAAATCAAAGAGCTAGAAAATAAAACCCGTGAATTCTCCACATCGCAAGGAATCGAACGAGTGCAAACACATCGGGTGTTGGTGGCGGCAGTGGGGAAGGCAGGGCGAGAGCAGCACCGGGCAGGGCGAGGAGGGTCGCGAGGGAGAAAGCGACCAAGTTCGACTGGGGCAGCGACTCCCGCTGCTCCTCCTCTCCGCCAATCAGCGTCCCGCTCCGGCTCGCGGTTGATCTACCGCTTCTGCTTTCTGACTTTACCTTCTCTGTTTCTCTCCCCTGTCACCTTCTTCTGCACCCCAACGCGACTTGCGCGTCCACCATCCACCATCCACCATCTATCTCCCTCCTTGGAATCTTCGGAATTGTTTGCGATCCCCGTCTATTTTGGACGCGTTTACCCGGTAAGCCCGCGACTCCGATTCCACCACTCCTGCTTCCTCCATGTCGTGTCCGGTTCCGGTCGCTTTGATCACGACCTCTTCGGTTGACCATTCCAAAACCCCGTTCGGTCGATTATTGAGCATCTCCTACGTGTATTCCCCTTCTCTCCGCTCATTTGTGACCCGACATGCCCATGGCCCGATAATTTTACACATGAACTACTTTGGCTAATTCAAATCGTGTGTGCTCTAGTCGTTTCATGTTCGATATCGCCCGCGGTAGTCTCTGGTGGACTGGCGCGTGCCCCCAGCATCCATAGAGAATAATGGTATGCGACACTCATTCCCGCCGGAGATTTGGCCGTGGAGGCCACCGAAGGTGGAATCATGCTCGTGGCAGGGGAACTATGGCCAACAATTCTCTCAACCAGGTCCTGTTCAAAAGAAAACCCGTTATATACCTTCCACAACCCGTCATTGAAGATGATAGCTCCGAGGTATGTCGTCTACAATCCGCGCTGAGAAGCGAACCTTTGGTTAATACCCATCCTAGGTCTGGGTTATCCCGGAGACCAGCGAGGTCTTCACGAGCTATGACCCGTACCTCCAGCGAATGGACTTTTACAAGCAACGCCGATTCATCTGCGAGATCACCGGCCATTCGGGCATGAACTTTTTCGAGGCACTCCGGAGTGAGGTATGTCGCCACTGCGGGATCGAGGATTGGACATAAGCTCATGAATGAATTAGACGGAGGAATCACGCGAGGTCAACAACAGTTTCCCCGAAGCTTTGAAGGAACCGATCTTACGCCGAATCCAGTTCTCGACGGTTTCGCGGGTCGATAACTTGGGTATGTTCTCTCCTCTCCAGATTATCGGCGGGACTCGGCTGACAATGCTTTTTTTCACAGTGGATGAAATATACGAAGTGAGAAGCCTGCATCGGCACTGACACGCGTTTAATTGATGCTGACAATAACCAGGAATTCAAGTCCGACTTCTACCCGGGCGAAGCTGTTCTTATTTTGCTAGAAGATAACAGCAGACTTCACGGGACCATCAGAGACAAGGCTAATTTTGCCGAACAACTCTACGCTGATGGTACCATCAAGACTCCGGCATTTGCTCGGTACCTAGTCAAGGTTTCAGACCGACCAAATGAGGAAGCCCTTTTGGACCAAAACCACATCACGCGCGACCGAAAGGCTTTCACCAAATTGATGCTTCGCGGCTTCATCAAGAATAACGTTACTCGAGAGGCGTGGACTGGCGCACCCTGGTTGGTGAAGGCATCAATCGCCGAGGAGTACAAAATCTCCACAGAGGTCCCGAAGCACCTGCAGTACGGCGCCAAGATTGCTGAGAAGAGAGCCATGAAGAAGGCGGGCGAAGAAGGTTTCTTTGGCATTTTCTCTTCACAACAGTTGCCTGAGCTGAAGCCCGCAGTGAAGGGCCAAAAGTCCAAAATGTCTGCGCAGGAAATGGCAAAGACCCGTGAAGCGCAGTACCAGGAGTACCAGCGATCTCTTAACGGCAACCCTTCATTCCTTCCGCCTAACAACCCTCTCCGTCCGTCCAAGCCACCGCTGGTCGGTGACAAGAAAATGCATCCGCCATCAGTCGTTGTCAAGAACGAATCACGACCGCCTTCGCCTCCTCCTATTCGGTACCCTATGGAGGATCTGGAGCTCGCTCCTATCCATGAACGGAAGCCTCGTCCCACCTTGAAGTTTGTGAAGCTGGGCGAATCGGACGACGACGACACCGAAGACCTTCTGCCAGATAACTTGGAACCGGATTCCGTCGGATTGCTTCTGGAAACCTGGGATACTCTCAATGTGTACTGCGAGGTTTTCAAGCTTGACTCATTTACCTTTGATGATTTCCTCCAGGCAATGCGCTATTCATCAGAGGAGGTTGACTGCGAGCTATTCGTGGAAATCCATTGTGCCGTTCTGAAGAAGCTTGTGAATGCTGAAGGCAAAGACGGCGGTGCCATTCAAGTCTCTCTCCCCGATTTTCCCGTCGAAGAATCTGATGAGTCTGAAGAGGAAGAGGAAGAGGAAAAGGAAGAGCAGGAGGAAGAGGGCGATGAAGAGCCGGCACCCAAGGCAACAAGAATGACCACCCGAGGCAGCTTGGCCAAAAAAGAGGCGGATGAGATCAAATCAAACATCCAAGAAGAAGAACCCGAGGACGAGCGGATCCATCGCGCCGAGGAGATGTTCGAGAAAGTCGGCTGGATTGAGCGTCTTCGCCGGCGAGACTTCCGCAATGGTGGCTGGGAGTTGGTCATGATCGGTCTCTTGCATCAGCTGTCTTTCCGTCCTCGGTCAGAAAAGACTTGCAACGACATCCTGCAGCATCTCGCCCCTCTTGACATGCCCCCAACTCAGAAGACTGCACGCGAGCAGTACCGCACCCTCGATATCAACTTGCGAGTCAAGGCTCTTCAGATGATCTGCATGTTGAGCTTGGAGACCAAAGCTATTCGGAACTACCTGGAGGAATGCAGCAATCAGATGACCGAGTTCCGCAAGGAGAAGATTGAACACCAGAAGGCGCGCAAGGCAGCGTAAGTCGATTTGTTTCTTTCTTTCAATGTACCCGTGCTAACATCTATAACCAGACTTGGTGAACTCCGCCTGCTGCATCAAGACCGTAAGGCGCTTGCCCCAGAGCCTGAAAAGGGCGCTGCAAAGTCGCCGACGCCCATACCCGAGCTTGAGGAGGGCTTGGATGACTCCAAGGTGACCGGCATCGAAGGTGACTCCGAGATCCCCATCGACACCGAGGACGAGGATACTCCTCGGCCGCGAGCACTACGTGGTGGAGTTGATCGTGCTCTGGAGCGGAAGCGGAAGCAAGAGGTGGAGCGGGAACGCAAGGAGCAGCTGGCCAAGCAGCCCAAGGGCTCCAAGGCGTACCAAAAGGTCCTGAAGAAGATCGAGGAACAAAAGAGCCTGATCAAGGAGTTCGAAGCGAAGATCGAAATATGTGAAAACGACCTGCGGGAGGCCGACTGCCCTCGGACGAAATGTCTCGGCTTAGACCGTTTCTGCAACCGGTATTGGTGGTTTGAGCGTAATGCGATGCCCTATGAGGGAATGCCTACCAGCTCCACAGCTGAGGCGAAGTACGCCAACGGCCGCCTCTGGGTCCAGGGTCCGGACGAAATGGAGGTCTCTGGCTTCATTGATCTGACCGACGAACAGCGCAAGCAGTACCACAGGCATTTCCAGACTACACCCGCGGAGCGCAGAAGCCTCGAAGAAGGCCCTACACACGTCACCAATGCCCGGGAATGGGCCTACTATGAGGATCCCGAAATGATCGAGCAGCTCATCGAGTGGCTCGACCCGCGCGGTAACCGCGAATGCAAGCTGCTCAAGGAGCTCATGAGCCAGCGAGAGGTCATCACCAAATACATGCAGAATCGCCAAGAATACCTGAACGAGACTCGCGAGAGGGCCGAGTCCGAGGAGATGCCGACCAAGCGTGTCACCACCCGCACCAAGACCTACGTGGACACCAACGAGCACCGTCTCCGCTGTCTGCGCTGGAAGAACACGACTGCCCTCACCGAGCTTGGACACCTTCACGTGGACCCTGACCGACCTCTCAAACGCAAGCGGGCTTCCTCCGTCCCTGATGTGCGCGAGAACAAGGCGACCCGCGGTAAGCCATTGACTCGCCGCGGATCACGGCGCGGACGGGGATGAACCAAAAGGCCATCACGCGACCACGAATCTGATTGTACTATTTCTACGCGAATTATTTTCTGTATACAGTTCGTTTTGCACGGGAGGAGTCGGGGTGGTTTACTGCTTTCATTTTACGGGAATAGAAATGGCACATAGAACATTACGGCCTTCTACGGAAGTATGTATAAAGGCTGACAATTCGGCTTCTCGGGACTCGTTCCAGTAACTTCGAAATTACCCGCCACCCCGGCCCGCATCCTGGTATCCGTACCGTAATCCCGCGGCTACACGCGGGGTGCGGCTGGTATCGGCATGTCAGCTCTTACGCCGAGTGTCGGGCAAATCGACGTCAGATCAAAGTTGCGATTAAAACACACAACACACTCTTTTGCCTCTCGACACAAGCCGATCTTTATAGAAATACTCACTGATCCCTTGAGGAATCGCTATACATTACCGGAGACACCCCTGCGCAGCCTGCCTAAGGTGCCGACGAGCCTCCGGTAGCCCGAAACTTTTCTTCCAGATTATCGCCGAGTGATCACGAGGGAGGATACCGTTCTTCCCCAGACCCTCCCGGTGCGCCTCGGCCGCACACAGCGTCTTCGCCGCTTCCCATGTCGACTGGATTTCCAGAACATGAGCAGAGACCTGTTACGCAACCTCTCAACCAAAACACATCCGACTTCAGTCGGCAATCTATCCCTCAGATGAGTGGCCTCGCTCATCCACGATCATCGGGGCCCATTGCGAGTGGCGCGGGCGGACAAATGAGTACCGGTGGCAGCACAGAAGAGCAAAAGGGTAGCGGGACGAACAAAGCAGTCAAGACTCGCAGCCTAGACTATGTGTTGCGGAGCGGTTTAGCGGGTGGATTGGCAGGTTGTGCGGTAAGTGCGAAGTCATTGACAGACTATGAAATTTGTACTGATGGAATGTGAACGCAGGCAAAAACAGTTGTTGCACCCCTCGATCGCGTCAAAATCCTCTTCCAGGCATCCAATCCCCAATTTGCCAAGTACACCGGTAGCTGGGCAGGCCTCGCGGCCGCCATCCGCGACATCAAGCGCTATGAAGGTGCTTCAGGCCTGTTCAAAGGCCACTCGGCCACTCTCCTCCGTATCTTCCCCTACGCCGCCATCAAATTCCTCGCCTACGAGCAGATCCGCGCCGTCATGATCTCGTCCCCTGACCAAGAGACCTCCGTCCGCCGCTTAGTATCCGGCAGCATGGCCGGCATCACATCTGTATTTTTCACATATCCGCTCGAGCTTGTACGAGTGCGATTGGCCTTCGAGACCAAAAGAACATCGCGATCCTCTTTGAAGGACATTTGCCGCCAGATCTACAATGAACGAATCACCCCTCCCTCAACAGCCGCAGCAGCGTCCCATTCCGCCTCGACCAGCGTTGCCGCCGCCGGAACCATTTCTTCAACTGTGAACCAGGCCGTGCCTCGCTCGGGCTTCGCCAACTTTTACCGCGGATTCGGCCCCACCATCCTCGGCATGCTTCCCTATGCCGGCATGTCTTTCCTCACCCACGACACAGTAGGCGACTGGCTGCGCCACCCCTCTGTCGCACAGTACACTACAATCCCAGACTCGGAGTCCAAACCGAAGAAGGGTTCTCGACACCCCCAGCTCACTGCGGCCGCAGAGCTGTCTTCCGGTGCACTCGCCGGCCTGGTCTCCCAAACATCCTCATACCCACTTGAAGTGATCCGACGCCGAATGCAAGTCGGCGGCGCAGTTGGTGACGGCCGCCGTCTCGGATTATTAGAAACGGGCCGTAAAATTTGGCTCGAGAGAGGATTCCGCGGTTTCTGGGTTGGCTTGACCATTGGGTACATGAAGGTGGTGCCCATGGTGGCTACCAGTTTCTTTGTTTATGAGCGGTTGAAGTGGTCTTTGGGCATTTAGACCTGCTGATATGGCTTCTTCGTTTCTATTTTCTTACGTCCCGTCTCTAGTAGCTGCATATGATTGGCGATAGACCATTTTGGTTGGCCGATGCGTCTCGGCATCTTTTGATTCCCCTTGGCGTTGCGTGGATCACTATCTGGGCTCTTTTTTTTTTCAGCGATAGAAGGGCCATTACGGCCTAGTTGATATACACCGAAGACGAACATATATTTCATTTTTTTCAAACTCATCGAGGCCTACCTATTCTCTACTGTCTATGTCGTACGTACCAGTGGACTAAGGAGATATTGTAAGTAGTCTGTCCACCTACCTACTTTGACCTTCTTAAAAACCAATTAGAAAAAAATGTCTAGAAAGACCTTAAAAATTGCCTAGGAAGACGTTTATTCACGCCTACTGACAATTTCTCGGCCCTTGATTGCGTGCAGCCGTTGATGGTCGGGGCCCGGAGCGCCGCACGGACCACTCAGTTCGCCGCAAAAAAAAGTTGGAGACTTCCGACTTCTTCACCAGCGCTTTACTTCAGTCCCACCACTACAATATGACGACTCGCAAGCACAACGAATTCCTCGATACTGCACCGAGTGACGAAGAATCGGCCAGCGACCGCGGCTATGATTCCGAAGAGAATGTCGCCAAGAGCAAAGGCAGAGCCGTGAAGCGGAGACGGACCGCGGACACGCAGGACTTTTTCGGTCTCGAGTCTGACGAGGACGAGTCAGCGGACGAGGAGGATCGCACAGAAGTCAAGGGAAAGAGGGGCAAACAATCGAAGGACAATCAGCCCGCGTCTGACGACGAGGACCAAAACGACGAAGACGAAGACGAAGAGGGAGGCGCACTCCTCGACACGACGAAACCTACGAAGCCCGCCAAACTACTCTCTACCAAACCGCTCAAGGAATCCAAGAAGAACAAGACTGGTGTCGTCTATCTCTCCTCTCTTCCGCCCTATCTTAAACCCTTCGCATTAAAGGGTATGATTGAGGCGCGAGGTTTCGGCCCTATTACCAAAATCTTCCTCTCGCCACTAGTGCCTAGCAACTCCGGTCCCAAGAGAGCCAAGTCTAATAAGCGCAAGATCTTCACTGACGGTTGGATAGAGTTCGAGAAGGTATGTGCTGCCCCGGACCTCCTCTATGCGCCAAACTGACACCGCGACTCAGAAAAAAACCGCCAAGATCTGCGCCGAGACGTTGAATGCGCACATCGTCGGCGGCCGGAAGGGTGGATGGTACCATGACGATGTTTGGAATATGAAGTATTTACGTGGCTTTAAATGGGCGGACCTTATGGAGCAGGTGCAGAGAGAACGCTCGGAGAGGGAGGCCAAGCAGCGGATCGAGGATGCGCGTGCTAAGAAAGAGGAGAAGGTCTTCATGGCCGGTGTTGAAGCCGGAAGAGTTGCAGATGGTATGGCTAGGAAGAATGAGGAAAAGAGGAGGAGGTTGGCTGAAGCAGATCGTGCTGGAGCTGAGGATGCTGCAAAGGCGAAGAGGATTGAGAAGCCTGCGCCGGTGCGGAGACGCTTTGTGCAGAACGACGTTGTTAAGCAGAAGGATCAGAGTGGGCTTGGAGATGATGCGAAGAGGGTGCTAGGGAAGATCTTTTGATTTCCTGTTCCCTGGGGACTTCTCAGCTTGTATGAATTACCTATTCGAAACATACTGTTACTTTTGATATCCATAACGATGAAAATATTTGCATCCGATTCATGCTATACACATGTATCTATTTCAGAACTTTTTATTGTAGATCCCATGTAAAAACAAGAGTGTGTAGATAAACGCCAGCCATGATCATCAAAGATATCGGTATCAACATCAGTCGCAGTCGCAGTCGCAGAAAGCTCATTGGTCGTTCATGTTCAACTCATCAAAGTCATCAAGCAGCTCGTCCATGTTGATTTTCGGCACCTCATCGTCACTGTCGCTATCCTCGTCCATCATCTCATCACCAACGGGCTGCTGCACCTTATTCCGGTTCTTGTACAGATCCAGCGTGCTCCGCAGTTCCTGATCCTCCTCGACATCGCGCAAGAACATCTCAAAGTCGGCTTCGAGGCGCTCCTGCTCCTGCTCCTGCTTCCGGCTTTGAGCAGCACCGGAGCCGGCAGCCAGAGCCTCTTCCTCGTGCTCGCGGGCCATACGGCGAAGGCGCCAGGCACGGTTCTTCGGCTTCTTCTTGCGCGCATAGTGTTTCTTAATCAAGACCACGTCTGGAATCGCGTCTCTGTACTGATTGCTGGATTCAATGGCATCAAAGTTGGGGTCGTTGAAGTTGGTGTCTGTCAGGTGGTAGCCGAGAACGGAGTCACCGACGTGCAGGATAGCGCCGAGGTGGGTGCGTGTGAAGTATGTCTTGTCGTTAGAGCCAAGGTCAGAGGCACGAGCAACAGTAGCTTCAGCCAGATGGTACCGGCCGTTGGACTTGCCAACGGGCTCAATGTCCATGACGATGAACTCCTTTAGCTCGGTCACGTCCGCCAGAGACCTAAACGGCGAGCGCCAGTATGTACCGGTGGGGACCTCGGCCGTTTGGAGGGTCTGAGGGTCCATAACGTTGACAGCTGTGCCGACACGGTGGCAAATGGCCAGGGGCGAGATATTGCCTATCTGGCGGGCTAGCTTGATGGGAAGGCTATGATTTGGTCAGTGTGGTGAACGGGAGAGAATGAAAGTTTCGTAAAGACGGAGGAAAAACGTACGCCACGAGATCATCTTTTACAATAGGGACCAACTCGACGGAAAAGCTGAACTTGTACGACTTTGTCCTAGAGAAGTTTGTTAGCGCGGACAAGCAACTTATTTAAAGGATAGAACATACCCTGAGTGTGTATCTTGCGAGATCAACGTGCTACTCTTGGTGTATCGACAGGGAGCAACACTGCACAAGAAGTCCAGCATCTTCTCGGCCTGGTTCCGGTGGGCATAGTAAAAGTCGAGACCATCCTTGACTTCTTTGATGTTGAGTGTATCCTTGTGCGCGCCATTTTTCAGGATGAGTTGCTCGAGGTACAGGAATGTCCTCTTGTGCGGTACTTTCTGCCGGAGCTGAATAGTAGCTCTAAACGCGTGGTGCGTGAAGCTGGTCTGGCAGTCCGTGCATTGCTGATTGGCCACGACAAAGACCACTTCAAATGTTTGCTGGACGATGGTACCCTCAAAGGCTTCCTGTTGGATTGTGATCTTGACCTTGACACGGCGAGAGTGGGGTTCGGTCCAGATAAAACTGGCGTCGATAATGCGGACTTTGTTGAGGCCGGTGAGCTTGCGCAGACAAATAGCGAGGAGCTCCTTCGATTCGAGGTTGGCAACGACCCAGCTGTTGGGGGGCTGCAGCCATCGCTCGCAGTCTCTGCACATGTGGAGGGTGGCTTCGCGCTGAATGCCTTGAGAAACGTCGATGGTGAGCCTCACGCAGTCGTGGCAAAGTGCTCCAGCGGAGGTGGTTCCATCGATGGGAGCACCACAATTACAGCACAAAATACTGCTCTCATGTTAGTATCGAGTCAAAATCTCAAGTAATAAAAGTCCCGCGATAAGAACTTACGTCGCAATGATGGGCTCGTCCTGCTGCATGCCCGTCATATAGACGGGGGCATCCAGATCCATCGACATCCTGAACGAGGATCCAAATGACTAGACGTCGAAAAAAGCAAGAAGACTTCACGAGCCTGTGAGAGAAGAAGTTCGATTTGTAACTTTTGCCCCGCCGTGAATCTTTTTTGCAGCTGACTCATCCCTTTGCAGTGTTTGCACCGCCGATATCATATCGCGCGCTTCGCCGGTTTTTGAGCTCAGCATCTATCTATCTTCGCACCGCCATGAGGGCTTTATTAAGAGGGGCTGCGTGCCAATCATGTCGCCATGAAGTACTCAGGTCATTTCTCGCTGTATCCGGCGTGCCTATGCCGCGATATACCTCTGCCCTTCGACCTGCTTTCAACTCGCGAACTTTCTCTGCGATAGGCCCGTTGCGGTCTGATCGTCCCCCTATCTCGCAACACCCTGAGGTCAATGAGTCGCCTGCGGAGGAAAGGTCTGCTGAGATGGAGAAAAATACGACAGCATCATCTCACGTGCCCTGGTATCTTCAGGAAGAACCACTCGCTACCGAAACTCGCTCGGTCTCTGGAGATCACATCCCGGAGATACCGGAAAACTCACCGGAAATGCTCACCACCCTCCTCGACTATACATACAAGGATCTTGGCCTGGATAGTCTGAAGCTTTACGACTTACGTGGTCTCGACATTCCTGCCGCTCTGGGAGCCAATGTCATCATGATCATTGGCACAGCGCGCAGTGTGAAACATTTGAATGTTTCCGCTGATCGCCTTTGCCGGTGGTTACGAAGCAAATACAAGCTCACTCCCTACGCGGACGGTTTATTGGGACGCAACGAGCTGAAGATCAAGCTTCGTCGCAAAGCCAAGCGCGCGCGTGCTGCCAGCGCTGCCGGCGCGTTCATCGACGAGAAAGACGATGGGATTACCACCGGCTGGATTTGCGTGAATACGGGTGTGGTAGACAAGGATACTCCGAAGGCCGAGCTCAGCGAACTGGGTTTCGAAGGATTTGGTCAAGTCGACGCCGGCACCAGCGTCGTGGTCCAGATCTTCACGGAAGAGAAGCGGGCCGATGTCGATCTCGAGGGTCTCTGGCAGAAGACTATGGAGCGGGCCGAAAAGAAAAGACTTCAAGATGAACAGAATAATTCCGTTGCTGCTTCTCGATCTCCGGCAACCAGCGATTCTCCTTTTGGTCCGGGAGGTCAGAAGCGGCGCCTTCATTCTGCTCGACATGATGCGAAGCACAGCACCAATTCCAGCGGACTGAGCTTATCAGATGCCTTGGCTGCTACATCCGCTACTCAGAAGGCACGTGGCAAGGGTCTGAGTACAGAAACTCTAGTTAAATTGCTGGTCGGGCTCTCTCATGAGAGCGCACGGAGTGAACTGGGAACTGGCCCCGAGGATCAAAACTCCACACTTTTTCTGCAGCTCCTGTATGCCAGTCTGCCACCGAGCATGGCTGAACCGGCGATTTCCCATCTGCGTTTGAATCTGTTTTCAATCGCGGTTTCTCGGCAACATCCCGCGTATAGCAAGGAAGCACTTTTCAGCTCGTTCTCCGACCTTTTGAACGATGGCCATGACCTTCCAGACGAACTCGCCTTTGAGATTCTTGCCGCTCTTCTGACTCCAAGAGTAGAGAACGTTCAGCGACCTGCGCCGTACCTCCCAGAATCGGACATGGAGCTGGCTTTGCAGGTTCTGGATCGTCTGAGTCTTCGCGGCGTCCCGATTCTCAATTACAAATTGTTCAACATGCTTTACCAAGTCGTTGACATCCCTACTCTGCCGTCTTCAGAACCATCCCCCGATGAGTCCGTTCCACGATCGGCGAATGTTAAACGGTGGTCTCAATCTCAGCGACAGAAGCTGGACCGGCTATCGAAGATTGTTGCGGCCGCGGACGTTCCCTTTGATGCACCTGAAGCTCGTAAGCTCATGGTGACCCAGTTTCGATGCGAGGATTACGACGGATTCTGGCGCCTGTGGCGACAATTACCTCTGAAAGGGGCTCAACGGACACGAGAGGACTATGTCCAGCTATTCCAGCTGCACGCGGATTTGGGCGAGGAGCGACAGGCGCGAGACTGCCTCTCGGCGTGGGTGCCCATGATGGCCCGGGAACAAAGCCCGATTGTACTTCAAGGGCCCCTTGTGAACTCGTTGATGCACTGCCTCCTGGTGGCAGACCCTGACATTCACAACCGCGCAGAGGACGCCTCTCCAAGCTATTTTGCGGAGGTTTGGACTCGATGCCAGAGCGCGCTGGCGCAGGAGGCGGCACATGATGACGCCTGGTAAATGGAAACAAACGGTGTATAATACTTTAGCACATAGCGTGTACCAAAAGAACGAACGTCAATTCTGTATAAAAGATCATACTGTCAAATGTCTGCGTAAGGCAAAGCGCTCGGCGTTGGATTTTGGGCCTCGGCTGACGATCCCTGGATCCGGCGACAGCTCCACACTCTCCGCCTCTTCGACTTCCCGACTCCCAACCATCAACCATCCACCATTGTCAAGGGCTGTCGAGGATGACCGGTACTCCTCACAATGGAGTACCTTCCTAGTCTTCAACAGGAGTTTGATGAGTTCAAGCCATCACTCTTCGGTAAGTGCCACCCTCGCGGGGAACGTCACCCCGGACACGGGGAACTTGCACACATGCGGAGTCGCTAACAAAGACCTCGCCGGACAGAACTCCTCGCTGAACAGCAACTATCCGATCTCCTTCCACCGTCTCTCCGCTATCTCCTCGCGGTCGCGACACATCGCCACCCGCGGTACCTTCTCCGGGTTCTCAACTCCTACGACGAGGTCTACGCGCTCCTCTCCCTAGTTGTCGAGCGGTACTACCTGCGCACTTTCGGTGGATCATTCACAGAGAACTTCTATTCTCTCAAGCGCGAGCGCGTTCTCCGCACCAAGAATGGAGAGATCCCTCGCGCCCAGGTCGGCGCCGAAGCCCCCGTGCGCGAAGCCCTCAAGCTGCACTCGGCCGACGTGTGGAAGAATCTGCTCGTCATGGTTGGCATACCGTACTTGAAACGCAAGCTCGATGAGGGATACGACATTCACGCTGCGCCGCAGGCGGCACTAGCCTTGGGTGGCGGGCCGCGATATAACCCCAGTGAAGACCTACCGCACAACCCAACAGTACGTCAGCGCATCTTCCACTACTACAAGTGGTTCTTGCGAAATATATACCCGTCTGTAAATGCGGCGTACTATTTCTCTATCTTGGCGTTCAACCTCGCCTACCTTTTCGATAATACCAAATACTCCTCACCATTCCTCTGGCTCATTGGCACGCGCATCCGTCGCCTGGGAGGCGCAGATCACCGTGCCATTGCCGAAGTGCTGGACCCCAAACCCGCACCTGGCGGTGGCCGGTCTCAGCGCCCTGGATCTGGCTTGCTTGGCCTTCTGAGCCCCCAGAATCTCCACACCCAGCTTCTGACTTCTCTGCGTTACTTCCTCCCTGCCTCAATCTTCGCGCTGAAGTTCCTGGAGTGGTGGCATGCAAGTGACTTCTCGCGGCAATTGGCCCGCAAAGCAACCGAAGTCCTTGATTTGCCTGCCCCGGTAGTCTCGGGGCTTACCAACCCGGCTGAGCGAAAGAAGTCCGGCCAAGAAGAAAAGGAAAAGAAGCAAGCAGAACAGGAAAAGAAGACTGGCGATCTCAAATCCGCCCTCAAGCCACCTCGCCGACACCAACCGCCTATCTCCGCTACCTCATATCTCCCTATCTTCACCGTTCCATTACCACCCGGCGACACCTCCAGTGCCAACATTTGCCCTGTCTGCTTAAACACACTCGCCAATCCGACGGCCTGCCAGACAGGATACGTCTTCTGCTACGTGTGCATTTTCCACTGGCTTAACGGTGAACACCAACGCCAGCTGGATTTCATGAACGGCGAGGGTGCGGGTGCACCCTGGGAAGAGGAGATTACTGGTGATGATGATGAGGCAGCGAAGAAGTCCTCGGGTGATAACGAAGAGAAAAGCTCTCGCAAGCGAGGTGGGAAATGGGAGAGTGGAAAAGGAAGATGCCCTGTTACTGGCAGGAGAGTCCTCGGAGGAACTGAGGGCTTGCGACGAGTTTTGATTTGATCATGCATATACACACTGTACCTATATACATAGATATCCAACCCCAGAAAGTGATCCATTCCGGAAGCTTAACCCTAACCTTTGACGGTGCCTGACGGCCACTAGGGAATACCAACATAGGCTACATTCAAAATAGTAGATAGATTGTTCGTTCAACGAATATAAAGAGACCCGAGAAGGATGTCGTGACAAAGGATTAAACAAGATAACTGGGAAGCCGTTTAAGGAAATGTAAATTGACTAAGATCACATTTTGAAGATTGTCTGGGTATCACGAGTAAGAAGATCCTAACAATCACTGCCAGAGTGAGAGTCGTTAGTGACGGAGAAATCCATCGTGCGCATCATCTGCAAAGCGGCCTTCCAATAATTGGATTAAACAGCGGTATGCAGATGCGTCTGCGACTCCGATCCAGCGTCTTGCAGGGCAATACTGCGCTCCTCAATCTTAGACCAGGTTGAGTCAGTAGTCATCCAAGCCTTGGAGATCGAGGGCTTAGAAATCGCACGCGATCCGCGTCGGGGACCAGAGCCCAAGTTCTCATTGGAAGGCTCGCTGGACCTCGTGCCGAAGCCGAGAGAGTTCTTCACCTTGCGTGAAAGGCCGGATTCCATGATGAGTTTGGAGAGGCAGGGTACGCTGAAGATGAAGAATCCGCAGGTCATTTCGGCGCAGGCCCAGAATAGAAGTGGGCCGATGAGGTACATGCTGTCAGAATCCTGGGCGAAGGCGACCGTATGGGCTAGTCGGAAGCATGCTGCCACCGAGGCACTGTGCCGATGTTAGCGTAGAATGAAAGACAATGCGTGGAGAGAGAACTAACAGAAAACCAACGCCGAAGATTACGGAGACACCGATCTTTTTTTGCCAGTTCATTTGTAAGCCCCAAATGGTTCGCTGAGGCAGCAGGAGCATTGCAATGTCCGAGACGACCTGAACGCTTGCCGACGTGAGCATGACCTTTGGCAGTGAGTAGCATTTGCTCGGAAGGTAGAATTTCCAGATGGCCTCGTGTGGGCGGCACTGCGTATTCAGAAGGATAATGCAAAGGAGCCCCCAAAGCCACTGAACAGATATGACAATCATACAACCGGCCCAGAACAGACTTCTAGATCTCTCGATGGGGACAAATATTCTACACCAGTCCATCAGGATGGCTGTTTTGATCAACGGCAGAGTGGCTGAGTAACAGCAACCGTAGATGAGGATCAGCTGGTAGGGTGATTAGCCACTGGATATTTCTGGTGTGATCGAACCCGAGCGAACGGGTGGGACTCACGTAGAGGGGTCGTATCAGATCCTCGTTATGAAGATTCCAAGTGTGCACGAAGTAGCCCGGGGTATAGATCAAACCGTAGCCTGCATAGGCCGTGCCCCAGTAGGCGCCCTGAAAAGTGTGAGGAGAAGTCCACATTGGGCAAAAAGGGAATAAAAGAGACAACACAACATACGTATGCAAGAATGACCATGACTGGGAAGAATTAGAGTTAGCTATATATCAACGGCACGAAGATGAAGTGGGATGGATGTCAACTTACATTCTTCAACACGAAGCTTCTTCTCCAGCCAGAGACGCACAGTTATGCGAAGAAAGAGACACATGGTCGCCACAACCATGCAGAGTGTTGTCACAAACCAGGCCAAACCATTTTTATTGGGAGGATTGTCGAAATTTGGTGTGACTCCCTCCGGCGCTTGAAGAGCTGGCGCAGCCAGCAGCTCAGCTAGGGCTTCCGGCGACATGTTGATATCCAAAGCCCGTAGAGGAGCAAAGGGCTGGGAATCAGCACGTTATAAAACGAAACCGGTGGCCACGAGCGAGAAAGAGCTGTCAACTTATATGTACGATGACAACAGGAAATCATCATATTTCGACATCTCGAAAAAGCCCCTGACGACGATCAAGGTACTTCATGACCACGCGCTCGTGATACCCAAGGGATTGGGTTGTGGGATTGGACTAGTCCTTTCTGCAGAGTACCGATTGCTTGTTTGAGTGATAAGACGATCCCAGGAACTAGATAGGTCTCGGTCGTGCACGAGTGGATCTGTCAACCACGCCATTGTCCACTAATGTGGCTAGGGGACACCGGATGGCGCGTCCCGCACCTACGCCCTCCGCACGGGGACGGGGAGCGGGAAGTTAAGCTGGTTTGGCAGCTGTGAGGGCCAAAATGACGAGAGGGGCTTGAATTATCGACGCTGTCGCTATTATAAAGTTGAGAGATTGCGTGTTTCTACAACTTAACCTCCGACAGCCGAAACCATGGCTCGTGAGGGCACCGTGCGATACCCGCGTTTGACAGCGGACAGCTTCGAATGCGTCTCAACAATACAGGTGTCGAAACATCCCGTCCCATTTCTTGTGACCTGTCAGATGTCACAAATACCGTTGCTAATTTCGGAGTTTCCACAATGACTTCGTGGCTGTTTCATTGGCTCGGATAAAACTACGCCTTGAGAGGCTAAAAGTCAATTTGATTAAATGCGGGAATTTGGGGTGTACATAGAAACCTTAAAAAGGTATCAGTGCCTACGTAAGCGCCCCCCCACCTCCTGGTGAGGGTGCGCTGCACCGGTAGGCCCATTTTCAGCGGTAGGCCCAATTCCATGCTATTCAGCTAATTATCATCGCGCTGGATTCGGATCTAGGTAAAAAAGGTCGCCTGCTTCTTCTCTTGCCCTCGCTGCTTCTATAGATGCCTCACGCTTCTAGGTAGGCTATTTTAGTGGCGGTTTACTATAGACCTTCGTATATAGTTTATCCAGCCGCTTCTTCTCCTAGATAGCCTCTTTTGCCTTCCTATCTATAATTAACCGGTTAGCATCGCGAACGCTGAGGATACTAGTATATCTAAGTAGTTTAATATATCGCTTAGTATAATTCCGTCGTAGAGGGGCGCGAGCGGCTATTATTTAGCTAATTATGTCGTTCGAGAGAGCTACTTATTCCGCGATGACCTTATTATGTTGGAAGATACGTATTAGGCCTCGCCGTTGCTTTAGGGTGAGGTTTTCTATCTTCGATAGCTTCCTATAGTTCTTTTCAAGAGCCTAGATGCTCTTTAGGGGTATATTCTTAACGCTTAAGGATATAGGTAGCGGTGATAGTGTCCGTTCCTGTCAGGATTTTAGGTGTCTGCATTTATAAATGCAGATTTCCAGAGCTTCCAATTCAACATGGAAGTTCCCGCTGAAGTTCCCGTTCTGCCATTTCTCACTGCCTTTATCTGACCTTCCAATTATCTCTCATTTATCTCTCACTTTGCTCTCGCTTCGGCCTTTACTATCTTTCTCTTTCCATTTGCCTACCTAACCGAGGTTATTAGGCCTATCCTATCTATAGCCTTGGATATAGCACGTTTACCTCGAGCAAACAGCACGTTTACGGCATAATTACCTCGGGCAAACAGCATACTTACCTTGGGTAATCAGCACACTCATTCCAGATGAACTGAATATTTTATCTATAAATATGGCCTAAAAACCAGACTGAATAAAACAAGAGCTTTCATCTAAATTATTCTCTTACTACCTTTCTCTCATAAAGGCAGACCAAAGAGACCCTTCATCTTTATCTTTATCCATCTTCCTGGGGTAAGCTACTACGCCGCAGTAGTAGCCGACCTCTATGGGAGGTAGTATTTCTCTCGACAAATATTTGTCCTAAGGACTGCCCTGCCCCATAGGAACCCTCAGGCATTTATTTATCTCTCTTATTTTCTATACTACCAATCCCGACAGCTATATTCATCGATATTATATACTAACTGTAGCGCTATATCTTTAACGACGTTCCCCTATTAAGAATACTAGAGTTCTAGTATTCCGCTATTCTCTACCTAGATCCGCTTATACTCCTTCGTTCTCTACTTTACCGAGGTAAGATTAAGGCCTTAAGGAAGTCGTTTAATAAAGCGATACACCTACATACTGCCTAGCTCGCGTTTAACACCTATACGCTTTAGCGAGAGATTCGCTATCTCCTCTACTAGCGCAGGCGTCACTAGAAGATAGCGATTATATATATTATATATCCAGTGAGTCAAAGCTTCCTCCTGATAGTCTTGAAGAGCCTTATTAACCGGTTTCTAGGCAGTGCGAGCCAATTTACCCCGTCGGACGCGTCCCCGCAGCACGTAATACGGAGTACTCCATATTCCTTGACGATCTTCGACAAATTCGGCTTTTTTTGGGCATAGGCGGCTTCGCTGGCCTCGATTACACAAGATTCTGGAATTTCGGGCTGGTTATGACGAAAAACGATGGATAATGGAAAATTTGGGCCTACCGGGGCAGCGCACCCTCACCGCCAGGTGGGGGGCGCTATTACGAGGCACTAATACTCCGTACTTTGTTACTTTTTTTTTTCTGAGTTCATTAGAGGCCGCGAAGGAAATAGAGGCCAGTCGAGGCCCCGCCGATCTTTGGCAAAAATCCCACTAGAGGGTTCCAAAACACGTGCTGTTGTCGTACTAGGCCGAACGGGTATAGAGCTTCGTAAACACTTCCGCGAGACGTGCTAGTCTCTATGTGGCCGTAGTCTAAGGACGAAGTTTTGACCATCCTGATCTGAGGGGGGGGGGGGGGAAATGCGAACGGGCTCATGGCTCCTTTCTCTTCAAATCCCACTCCGCTGGATCTGCCACCCTTTCACATAGCGAATCATGGCTATTAGTAAGTTAACCAGCATGTTGTAAAGAGAGTATGCAGCATGGTGAAGACTGACACAAAGTACCAGACGGCGACGCGCACTCGCAAGAGTACCCCCGGCGAGCGGACTTGCGGAGGATGATGGACGAACACCCGCTCCCCACACTGGTCCCGGGGTTGGTTGACTCGGAGTCTTTGGCCGGCGATGCGGCGACTAAGCAAGCGAATATTGTATTGGACCGCTTCAATGCTGCGTTGGCTAATAATGATGCTGCCTCTCTCGAGGCCTGCTTCTATGCTGATCAAGCATTCTGGAAAGACCAGCTCGCACTGACGTACCATTTGCGCACTTTCAAGACTCCAGGAGTAATTGCAGCAAGCCTCCTAGAGACGGAAAAGCTGAGAAGTATCTCGAAAGGAATTGCTGTTGACGGTGCAGCTCTGTTTCTCCCAGCTACCCCGGTTCTTGTAAGAGAATGCCGCATGGACACGCAATAGAACACAGACTTACAATGTATTTCGCATAGCAATTCATTGACTGCCCGATCGTGTTTCGAACTGAATCGCCTGGCGCCACTTGCCGAGGCAAGATCCTCTTCTTGCCTGTTAAGACCGAGCTCCAGGGCATGGAGACAATTGAGTGGAAGATCTGGATTCTGAGTACTAGACTGGAGGGTCTGGATCTCCAGGCTGAGGATGAAAGTCTGCTTCAGGCTGCAGCAAGACGATTCGATGATCTCGATTTCGAGACCGATGTCTTCATCATCGGAGGCGGTAACGCGTAAATTGCACATCCAAACTGCCCAAAGAAGCGGCTTGCTAACACGCTGGAATCTGTAGTGCCGCTGCCCTGTCAGCTAGGCTGAAGGCCCTCGGTGTTGATAGTGTTATGGCCGAGCGAAATCCCAAGCCGGGTGACAACTGGGCGCTTCGGTACGATTGCATGCGCTTCCATATCCCGACATCCTTCTGTGAACTGCCATTCATGTGTAAGTGGTTGCAACCTATATACCTGGTGATAAGATGTATTGACTCCTATTTAACCAGGCTATGACAAGGAACTCCAAACACCTCACCTTCTTTCCCGACGTGAGCTTGCGTCACAGGTTGTACGATATATCGAGACCTTCAACCTCAACATTATCAACTCGGCGAAGATCCAGTCAACGCGCTATGACCCGTCCACGGAAAGATGGCGGATCAAACTCCAAACGCCCGCTGGTCAGCGTACTGCAGTCTCGAAGCATCTCGTCTTGGCAACTGGTATTGGATCGCAGAAGCCCAATATGCCACAGATCGCAGACAGAGATCTATACCAGGGAATCAGTGTCCACTCGGCACAATATCTGAATGCAAAACAACTGGTGGAGAAGGGTGCCAAGGTAGGCAAGCACACGATGGAATTGGAGATGCCTGGAGTGCTTATCATGACTTAGTCTGTCCTCGTGATAGGATCCGCCAACACAGCCTTCGACGTGCTCGAGGACTGCCACGCTGCCGGTCTTCAACCGACAATGAATGTCCGCTCTCCCACATACATCATCCCCGTCGACTATGTCTGCGACAAGATGAGTCTGGGAGCATACGACTTTGGCGTCGAGGCAGCTGACAATCTTTTCTTGACATTACCGGCAAGTGTAGATGGCCAGCTCGCCCGCGGGCTATTCGCGATGTTCGCATCCAAGGAGCCGAAGCGGTATGAGGCTCTGGAGGCAGCCGGATTCCCCGTTCTTGATAGTAGTCACCCCACCTCGGCCTTGATGCATAACTTGCTCGAGAAGGCCGGTGGGCACTACGTCGACGTGGGTGGTACCAAGCTGCTTGTGGAAGGCAAGGCTGGTATGAAGGCGGGAGTCGAGCCTGTCGCGTATACTGCGACCGGTCTTCGATTCTCGGACGGGAGCACTGTCGACGCAGATGCTATCGTGTGGTGCACTGGATTCTCTGACGGTAATCTGTGCAGCACCGCAGCGGAGATTCTCGGTGGTAGCCCCTCTGAGTTGAATGGAACTGCAAATGGTGTGAAGACCATGTGTGAAAGCAAGCACCTGCTCGGCCCCCACGAACTCGCCGAGCGTGTCGACGCGACTTGGGGAATTGACGACGAAGGTGAGATTCGCGGTATGTGGAAGCGTCATTTGCGCCTTGATAATTTCTGGGTGATGGGCGGCTATACTCAACAACACCGATGGCACTCGCGCACTCTGGCGCTTCAGATCAAGGCTGCACTGGCGGGAGTTTTGCCTCCAGCCTATCGTGACACTCCTTCGCCACGAGCCAAGTAACTTGTGTAATTATGCCAGCTGCCAGTCAATGTATTATGCTTTTTATGCACTCTCTTCATCAGGTTCGTATTGAAAGCACTTGCCCGGGTCAATCGAAAGACCCGATCAATTCCTAAACCAACCAAGGATGGCGCCGATGGCACCTGCGGATAATAGTTTGCCTTACGCAATCCCCTCGAGGCAAGGTAAAAGCGGCTATAGTGAGAGAAGAAAATCAAATTTATATCAGTTAATGTTCTAGACCAGAGTGGAAATGGAACTTGACTTGGCAGAAAAAGAGATATCATGTCTTGACAAACTCCAACGGAAAATAACCATGATCGGATGAAAGCATGACAGGGCCAAGGAAAGATGATGCTGCCAAGTGTATCAAGACCGACAGGAAGAGCAAAAACCCCCCTTTCCATGGCTCGTATGAGCTAATCGCATGTGGCTCTGAAATCGATCCTTGCGACCAAATGTTTTATTGCACTGGGAATCAGGACATTTAAACTCGTCTGGAGATACATGTGTGGACTTGATATGTCGCCACAGGCAGGTTTCACGCGAGAAACTACCCGGGTATGAGCAGCCTTCCCAGTGGCATTTGAATCGACCGTAGTGCTTCAATCTGGAGTGAAAGTCATAATGAGACGTGCACGGTGCCAAAGATCTATAGGCGAGGAACATACTCTGTGCTGGGAGGCTGCGGCTCGTTGTGGGAAGACTTCTCTTGTGTACGAAAGTGGTGCTTGCAACACCTGATATCCGTACCACGAGGCTGTACAGAAGTCGAAGCGGAACCGGAAGCGTCGAGCTCAGGACTGCCCATCAGGTTCATCCAAGGGAAGTCTCCTGTGCCGCTGGTATTGCTGGTGGAGCACTGACTCGAACCTGAGCCGTCAAACCAAGAGATACTCGTAGTATCGAGCTGTGTGGAGGGAGGGGTCATCAAGGTGCCTGGTCCAAGCTCTGGGGAGAGTTGTATGGCGGAGTACTGCAAATAAGGAGAAGAACTACTCTGGCTCGCAAACGAAGCGGCAGGTGGATGATGAGTGGGTACCCAAGGACACAACGGATGATCAGTGTCCCAGCCTGCCAGATCGGATTCAGTGTTTGCTTCATCAGGGTTGATAGTATGTAGAGAAGTGGCCATGGTGGATTATTGAACGGATTGATATGCTAGTAAGTTCCAAGTTCCCCCAATAAGTTTGAGGCTGTGGTTAAGCTGTAGGTAGGATCCATGGATAGGAAAGAAAGAGGAATATCGAATAAATAGGGTCGATCAGGGTCGTCGTTAAGTAGCAGCTCTACCTTGCAGCATAGAGATCCCGATCCGGAGAACCAGCCTTGAGTCAAACCAAAAGAATGTGGCCTGTGCTGGGAGCCTCAGCGTTGCCCAGCCGCCCAAACGTCATGGAATCCCCCTGGATTAACGTTCCTATGGTAGAGATGGTACTTTGGTAAAGATCGTGACTATTCCGGATTTCCTGCAGGCAACAGCTACTTCACATGCATGATGATAACCTTTCGGGTGGGGAATCCGGGGCTAGGGATGAGCATTGGCGATCTCCTATCTCTTGAGGCCACGCGGTTTGTGCCCAAAAATACTCCATTGGCCCTATTCAACTTTCCAAGGATTCTTGTTCTCCCACTTGAGCCTTGGCCCGAGCTGGTTACCACGTGCTTGGGTTTCAACTGTAACCATAAAAAATCCCCCCAAGGGACAACATGTTTGGCTAGAATGACGTTGTTTCAGTATGCACTCTCCCTTGTTAAGTGCTCCTGGAACCAAAGATAGTGAAACCGGGATGGTTCTAGACCCAGCTGAAGAAGGTAAGACCCTGCAGGCACACCACGTCCCCGGTATAGGGCTGCAAGATGTGACCACTCAGATGTGGTGCAGCATGCGAGGGTATCCGGAAGTGGACAATCACGAGAGACGGACCTGTTTGGGATGTTCGAACAACAGATCTCCATCCGATCGGAGTTGGCGGCACGGAAGCTTGGACGGTGGGGAAGGGAAGGGCTGACCCGAACGGGAAAACGGGCGCCCGCACCCTATTTTAGAGTGGTCCAATCACCGATACGACCCACCTCCATCCTCTTGCGGCTCCAAACAATTCTCACTTTACAAAGATAAATATATATTCTTCTCGATAATAATACATTCCCAAGGGGGGGGGGGGGGTCAACGGCTCTTTTAAATACTATACGGCTTCGCATCCTCGCCAAAGATCAAGTGCGGGCGCTCCTCCGCAACTTTGAGAAGAGTCTCGGAAAACACGGAGTTGGCCCAGGCGAACCAAGGGCGAGTATACTGCTTGATGTTGGTGACGTTGATAGACTCGTGCACGAGGCCGAGCAGACTCGAGTCGCGGACCAGGTTGATGCACTCCATGATCTCGGTGTCGTTGTCGGAAGTTTGAGCTTGCACAAGAAGGGACATGGGCCAGGCGTTCTCGAGACCGACTGTTTTCGTTAGTAAATTGCCACTGTACAGTTGACACGGATCACTTACTGTGAGGACCGCCGATGCCGTGGAAGTCGGGTCCCTCGAGATAGTAAGGGTTACCGGACTTGTCGGTGATCATCTTACGAGTGTTTTGGTAGGTCTTGTCGCTCGCATCGAGGAAGCCCAGGTAGGGCAGAGACAGGAGCGAGGGGATGTTGGCATCGTCCATGAAGATGCGCGAGCCATAGCCGTCAACCTCGTAGGCGTAGACATCGCCGTATTTGGCATGGTTGAAGATACCGTGCTCGCGCACTGCCGCGGCAAGCTTCTTACCACGCTGCTCCAGCTCGTCGGCCAGGTCGTCGTGGCCACCAGCCTTCTTGAGAACCTTGGCGATCTTTTGAAGCTCAACCGACATCATGGCATTAGCCGGGATGAAATATCCCAGAATCGTGGCGTCGTCGCTAGGGCGGAAAGCGCTACGAATGAGACCGGTGCCACTGTTGAGCGGGTTGCCGATACCGCCCAGGTTCAGAGTCTCGGTGCCAATAGTGGTTTCACGCTGGAAGGTATACTGGTTGGGGACAAACTGGTTCTCGGAGTTAAAAGTCGGCTGCGACTGCGCGTCAATGGTGTCAAGGAGCGTCTGAAGGGCCTTGAACCAACGGTCGGTCAGGAACTCGGTCGAGCCGGTGTTCTCGTGGAACTCGATACCCAGCTTCAGGAAATGGGCGAGCGAGTCGAGTTCGTACTTGCACTCGTACACAAAGGATTTCTCATACCCGGGGTGAACGGTATCAACCTCGGTGTTTTTCTCGGGCTGGATGCCACTGACGGACGGTGGCTGGTAGGCATTGCAGTAAGGCGACTGGATGACGTACTCGGACTGAGTCGCAATGGTGCCGAGAATGAGCGTATACAGGCTCTTGTCATCGGTGGCCAGCTTCTGGTAGTTGGTAAGCTGGTTGGTCGAGTCACGCAGCCACTCCGCATCGATGTCGCCAGTCACGATGAATGTCTGCGCGCCAGTCCACACGGCGGTATCCCGCTTGCTTTGTCTCTTGGACGCTGAGCTGGTGCCATTCTGATGCCAGCGGATTGTGGTGTCCAGAGTGTTGGGGAAGGCATTACGGAAAAGCTGAGCAAGGTCCTTGTCAACAAGACGCGAAGTCATATCGTCAATGACCTTCTCGACGGAGGAGGACGAGAATGTCCGGCATGCTGGCGCAGGACGCTGGAAGGGAAGGTTCAGGGGACCGCCACTATAAGGGCCGCTGAAAGAAGTGAGTAAAGCTATTCGCGATTCTAGTGCCGGGACCACTTACTGTGGTGTCTGGGAGTAGGAAGTGTAGTCAGGGCAGGCTCGGCGCAGGACGGCAGCATTGTCGCGTCCAGGCATAGCACCGGCCTGAAGGGCCAACAGGGAACCCACGAACAGTGTGGAGAGAGGCATGATGGGCGAAATGATGGGCAAAAGCACGAAGGGAAAGTCGGGGTAAATAAGAGGGGAGCATAGCTAGTGTCGATCGCCAGCCCGCAACCCAACAGGGGCGCACATTCCTCAATCTCGGAACGTGGAGCACAAGATACACTCCACGATATACCGGGAGTAATCTTGATTGATGACCGGCGAGATAGGGGGCGCAAGGTGACATCGGCCAACATCTGTGTTCGCTTTGGTTGCACTCGACTCCGCAACTGCGGAGACTGCGGAGAGGTGATCGGCGGTGTTTACATTACATCCAGGTACGACTACAGTAGTTTATCTGCATTCGGGCTAATTCAATGCGACTTCATATTAATTGCCCCGAGAGGTAATGCTACTACTTCTTGCCGAAGAACGACATGATATTCCCCTGTCCGGGTTTAGCTCCCTTGCCCTTGGCCACATTGACGGCCGGCTTCTTCTTGGGCGCCGGCTCATCCTCGGAGAAGGACTCCCACGTTGCTTCCTCTCGAGTGACTGTGCGTAGTTAGTATAATTGAGTGATTCGAGGTCAACTGCTTCTTACCCAAGTATCCCTCCTCATCCTTGACCGTCCTCTTCTTCATGACTTGACGCTTGCCTCGTCGGCGGCCGCCTTGCACAGTCACCTCCTCTTTGAGCTCTGCCGGCTTGGAAGGCGGTGGTTGCTCGATGGGAGTCGGCTCACGCACCGGCTCTTCGTCGGCATCGGGCATTTCCTCATCTGTAATGCCGTGAGCGATGGGTCTTCGGCCGTGTATTTTAGGTCCCGGGGTCCTACCGTCTGCGTCGTCATCTTCCATCATGGCCTTGAGCTTCTCTTCTCGCTCTTTTTTGCTTTCGCGGGTGGCTGCTGCCGCGGCTGTGTCGGCGCTATTTGGGAAGAGCTCTTCGGCCTCCTCTTCCGAGGCGTCATCCAGTACAACTGCGGGCCGTGAGCTAACGAGTTGAGTTTCGTATTGAGATAACTTACCATCTTCCGCACCGCTTGGCGTCGCCTTTATTCCGGGATTAATGGTTTGACCTCCATGTAGAACTGACCATGATAGACTTACCGACTCGGCAGGAGTTGATGTCTTCTGCTTTGGCTTAGCCTTGGCGAATGAGCTGAACAGATTGCTCTTCTCGCGCTTGGGAGCTGGCTTTGCAGCAGGCTTTGAGGACGTTTGAGAGTTCGCGGCCGAGGATGACTGAGATTTCGTTTCCTCGGGCTTGTTTTCAGTTTTGCCTGCAGGCGCAGATTTCTCGAAGGGACGTTTGGCAGGGACTGTGGATTCGGTCTTGGTCTTAGGCGCCGAAGCAGTTGGCGGTGGCGGCGGACGAGCTCCCGTTCTCCGCTATCGCCGTTGTGAGACTTTGATAGTATAACGGAATTTAAAGAAAATCCTACCTTGACGTTGCGATTTTGGATCATGCCCCAGTCCTTTCCGCCCTCTAACGGGTCGTCCTGCGCGTATGCAGTAGCGACTTCCCGACACACATCCGTCAAAACATTGAGGTCCTGGAGAGCTGTCGGTTGAACGCTATAGACGTGGATCGTTGAAATTGACTGGAATGTAGCTTTTGCATCTATTCAATGGCCCAAAGTATCAGCGGAACGATCGGCGCACAAACGGATAGACAATGCCTACCCTCCAGATCCTCTTCCCGGGCTAGTATGATCGAGGCAATACGCAACGAGTCGGAGGGGGCGTCCTGATTTGGCATCGAGCTGGGCAAGTAGGGACTGCTCTGCATGACCTCATCTTCGTCGTCCTTCGCATGACCGTTCGTCGCAGGCGGCTCTGGAGGTTTCTGGATTCCCGAGATGACGTAGGTAGCGTGAACACTCTGGGGCTTTTTCGCGTTTTCCTTGCTGTGGAATTCAAATAGCAACCTGCAGTCAAAGTTCATTAGCTGGTCCCTTATCCAGAAGCACTGGATGACACACTGTTTGGCGCGGTTGGCATGGACCTTCAGCGCGCGGCCCAAGGCCCGGTAGGTGATCTGGAATAGATCAGTGGCTGTCGCAAAGAACTACTCAGCATTTTTCATACCGTACGCTGCTCATTGAGCACCTGCTCAGCAAGATACATCTTGGAGTCCATGATGTCTAGAGCTGTAAGTTGGACGACGCGTGCCAAACCACTTAACGCGTATCAGTCAGCGGGTCTTGGCACTGCGCCAACTCCACCTATCTTCTTCTTCAGCTTCACGCGACTGATCTTCTGTCACTATCGCACCGAATTCGCCTGTGCCTGCGCCCGCAGGTTTCTTCGGCTACCCCTATGGCGGAGCCATTTGATATCCCCGACTCCACGGATTGGCTAAATACGCCACTTTTACTACTTGCGCCGCTGGAGAACTCTCTACGATGCCAAATCTGCAAGGACTTCTTCGATAATCCTGTTCTCACTTCTTGCTCACATACATTTTGCTCACTATGCATTCGTCGATGCCTCAGTAACGAGGGCAGGTGTCCTACATGCCGCCTCCAGGACCAAGAACTGAAGCTACGGCGGAACTGGATCGTGCAGGAATTGGTGGAGCAGTTCCAGAACGCGCGTGAACCCATGCTCTCGCTTGCACGGAAGGAAGCGGCACGCCTTACGAATGGAGGAGACGATATTCAACAGCCCGCGCCCAAGAAGCGAAGGGTTGGCTTTTTGGACCAAGACGAGGAGGCCGAAGCAGCGGATCCAGGTTCGCAGCGAATGCGCACTAGATCACGCGGCGTGAAAGTGGAAGTGGCGATGCAAGAGGAGGAGCCGGAGGTTATTGAGGATAGCCAGGATGATGACGAGGATTTTGTTCCAGGTTAGTTTCGTTCTTGTCTGCCATGGCATATCTAATGTGATCGCAGAGGATGGACTTTTCAGTTGTCCTCTCGGATGTGGTCGTAGGATGAAAGAAGCGGTGATGTTCACCCACCTTGATGTCTGTACCGGACAAAAAGCTCCAAGTCCAGCTAAACCGGCAACCTTTGGGTACGTGAAACAAGCGCATGGGAATCTAATGGTATCAAGTCTGATTCAATGCTGTCATAGATCTTTACAACCCCAACGACACGCCACCCAGAATTTCATTGACCCACCCGAAAGACTCCCTGCCATAAATTACTCTTTGTTGAAAGATGGCCAATTGAAAAAAAAGTTTCGAGAGCTAGGCATCCCGGACTGGGGATCGAGGGCGCTCTTGCAGCGACGTCATACTGAGTGGATGAATCTTTGGAACGCCAACTGCGACTCACGGAACCCCAAACCAAAAAGGGAGCTTCTGAATGAGCTTAAGATCTGGGAGAAGACACAAGGAGGGGCGCAAACACCATTCGCATCGGCTGCGGATGAGATTACACGCAAGGATTTTGACAGAGAGAAGTGGTCTTCAAGTCACGATGATGATTTCAAGCGTCTAATCGCAAATGCGCGTAAGAAGAGTGATGCTCAAATAAGGTCCACCATCCCTGGAGCTTTAGCAGCTTCAGAGGACAATGTGCCGGCACCGGCTGGACCTATCGAGATCCCAATGGGGAATGGTGATCCTGTTGTGATCGATTCGGATGGGCCTTGAGCCACATGGCATGAACCCTGCGCCTGCGTGACTGACATCCATGGCTCGTTGCAAATTGACAGCAACCCGAGTATAGGCTCTCGAAGAAAAGTCTTGTTGATGAATACTATTCTGCTGGCAGCTGACCCTCAACCGACATGTTGGAGAGCCTGCCGATGCTCTCTGCCAGTTCGGCGTCGACATCCTTTCCCGCCTGTGCCTGACGAGCTGCCTCGTTTGAGGCCTGCTTGATACTGTCGAGCTCCGCAAGCTTCTTCCTTGTTTCCTCTGCTTCCGCATCCTCTTTCGTCTTCTGGTCACTCCTCTCCAGAGCCTGGAGCTCGTCATCGATCTCACCCTCATCAATGACTGGCGCAGCTTCATTCATGATACCGCCAATCTCGTCAACCTTAGACATCTCTTCGCGCAGCTCTTCCACAACATCTTCAACCCGCTCCGCACCGCCTGTCTGCGCATGCAGTCCGCGAAGAACGCCGGTACTGGCTTCCATGACTTTCACGATTTCTACCTGACCGGCGGCCTGTTCGATCCTTGAGTAGACCTCCTCGAGCTGTGTCAAGGTATTCAGTCGCTGCTGGAGGTTATGCTCGACCATCTTTTTAGATTTGATTGCAGCTAGCGCCGAAATACGGTTCTTGTTAGCGAGTGCTGCCTTTGCAGCTGCATTCAACCCCTCAATCTTCGCTTCCAGGTTCGAGACCTGCTTCGAGATTGTCGATACAAGAGTTTTTATAGACGCGATAGTCGCGTCCTGTTGGGTGATCTGCGGAGGCTCATCCGCAGATTTGAATTTGATTGTCTGGTGATCTCTGATCAGTATCGATAGAGACCTGGTATGTAGATTCCACATTTACCTTGCCATCATACGCAATGGCGCCGCGGTCGCGGGATAGATAGACCAAAAGAACATCAAAATCCGAATCTGAAAGTTCCGTAGCATCGTGGAGTATGGTGGCGAATGCCTCGACGAAGCTTTCTTTCGAGTATATCAGATCCAACTTGGATGAAGTGCCACCAGTGGCCTTTTTAACAGCCAAATCTGCCGCTTCCTATGGATCGAAGCCAATAATTAGAAAAAGCCCATTAATGAAAGAATTACAACCCACCTGCAGATTCTCGACCAGCACCAATTCCTGAACTTGGATCTTCGGCGCAGAGTCGTCGGTCCCCACCACAATGCCTTTCAGCTGCCGCGCGCCCCAGCTCATGACATTCCACGGGCTCAACACGCTGGTGTCAATAAGTTTCCACTGGCTCCTTCGTAGACACCCAGGGTCAGTCTTGTATACCGGCAGTGGAATCATAGTTCGTTTGTTCATTGCTTCCATCTGCAGCCCGCATTAGCCATGGATCCACCCTCGAAAGATCCGCACCTTGCATGAACATACAAAAACAGCACCAAGCGCCACCGGCCTTCCCCACTCAGGAAGCTCCAAATCTCGTAGTAAGGACTCATCAGTACGAAGAATAAGGTGGTCTGTCTTCTTTCGACTGGGAGCCGCGTTCCTTTGCGACGCCGAGGACCCCGAACGCACGCGCACGCCGCGTGACGAGGTATACCCGCGCTTAGCGGCGTGGTTCAGGGCCTGCTCCCAAGCAGCGACATTGACGGCGTATCCATCCGGGTTTGTCTTCTTCTGGAGGGCGAAATCGGAGTAGAGGGAGGGGAGGCGGTTTCTGTCGGGGTTCAGACAAGTCAGCTTAGCTAGATTCAAGGTAGCTGACGGTATAATCTTTGCGTATCGAGGACAACGTACCTTCGGAAGGTATCCTCGTTGTTGAGGATGTAAGTGAGGAGTTCGCTCATGGCTGGCGAGGTTTAAGAAGAAAGAGGGAGGTGGATGCACCGGAGTCAACACCACATGGAAGCTTTATCGATAAGAACAGGTGACCGATAAGAACCACAATTTGGTTATATACTCGGCCGTGGACGAGGATATTTACAAGGATTTTTAAAATAGGTGTATAGTCTGGGTGCACGTAAAACTTAAGGAAGAAGGATTTTCTCGGAGAGATCTATCTACGTGGTCAATTGCAAAGCACAAAAGAATCGAATCTCTATTCTTATATGCTATGATGGGATGAGATATTAATGTCATGGCCTAGGCTCGTTCAAAGTCATCGTTAGGCGAGTTCTCAGAGTCCCTCACCGTTGCGGTCATTTTGAGGTTTCCTGCATCCAGTTGCCCAGGAAGTCCGATAAGAGAGCGACGATGGTTACGCTTATCGATTTTTTCGAGCTTCTCGCTGGTCTCCTCGGTGTCAAGCGGGTCTTCTGTGGCCGGCTCATCGCGTGCATCGAAGCCTCTTGCCTCGAGATACTCGACCTTCACTGCATGCCGCAAGTTGTCGACGAAGGTTTGCATCTCGGGCATCGGGAAGATACCGTCGGTCTCAAGCACCTCGCCATATAGACGCTCGGCTTCCTCGACGCAGGCTGATGCCAGGTTGGGCTTCCCGAGTTTGAGCCATTGGTCGGCAGCAAACAGACTCCACATGCCGGCTTTGCGGCGACGCGCTCCCCATTTGGCTCCGCCGGCAGGAGTTTTGGATGCGTAGCAAGCTGCCACCCGCTCCATGAAGAGGATTTGACCGACCGAGCCGACCAGGCCGAAGTCCATGACCCGCATAGCCCACCTGGCGGCACTCTCGGTGGCAGATCCACCCCGAGACTTGAGAAGCTCGACGGCCAGGGCGAGACACCGTAGCGCGTGAGTCGGGTCAGAGCATCGTGTGAGATAGGAGTAACAGGCAGTCTCAAACATCTGGTCAACACTCTCGAGCTTGATTTTGGCTGACATTGCCATGGGGTTCAGCAGTGTGCTCACTGCACACATTTCGTGGGCCGCAGCGTGATACTTCCACGCTTTGTCATTGCCAAAGTCGGATCGGATCATTTCATAAGTCGAAGCAGACAGCTTCCAATCACGGAGCATGACCGCAAAATCAGCCATCTTTCGCAGGATAGCCTCTGGGGAATCCGGGCTATAGAAATGTTGGTCCGAATCGTAGTTCCCACTTCCACTACCCGATGATCCCCCAATACCCGATCGCGAACCTGAGCCAAAACCGGCCCATCGTCGGGACATGGACATGAAGCGGCCACTTATGCCTCGCCTTCGAGATGCTACTTGGTCGTTCCAGACGGCTACTCGGTTCTCCATGAAAGGAATCACGGACTGTACAATGAGTTCACGAATGAAGGACCTGATCGCGGTCGCATCAGAATCGAAGAGGTAGGGAGTATCATCTGTACCAAGGTCCACTAATGTCTCTGGTTGGGAATTAGAGCTTGGTTATGGTTACTTTGAGTGGGCTGGACATACCTGCTTCACCTACCCCGGATAACCGTTCTTTGGGGGGACAACCATTCGCATTGTGGCACTTGGACACTGTCATCATCCGTCACGACACATTGGCTACTTCGGAGTCTCAAGAGATGACAATGTAAGCCGAAATGCCGCTTCATCTGATCATACAGTTTGGTGGACTCCGTGATATCATCGCGCTCTTCGTCGTGTATCAAGACGTAATATCGAAGGTATTCCTGGTTAACCCACTCAGGCAAGCGTTTGTCACCTGTATTACTCTCAGCGTAGAGCTGTCTGAGTGTCTCCAAGGGCGCTGGGTTGCGCGAGCTGATAGTAATCACGCTAGCCACAGGGTGGCCGAATGTCTCGTGAGGCGCAGCAGAGGTAGAGGACAGAAGCTGCCGCAGGAACAGCTTGCACAATGGTGTCGTGGCAGGGAATCCCAACACGTCTTTGGATGGCACAGAGCTGCCGATTGGTCCTTCTGCAGAATTCAATTGTTTCTCCAGTACCTCCTCAATCTGCGCCAAGGGTGAGTCTCGTGCGGAATCTCGACCAGGAGGACTCCGCCCAAACCCTTTGAGATCCACGAAGCGCACCCCGTAATCCTCCCAGGCACGACTTGAGCCAACACTATCGCGAATGATGACCTTGCCTGGCACAGTTTCCCCAAAAGGTCGAATCAACTCGCAAAAGCCCCCTCTGAACCCCTTATTCCTAACCAATTCATCGGTGTCCTCGGAAGCGTGAACGGTGACAGTAGGTGAGAAGGCGCGTATTATTAACGATCTGATATCCTCCGAGCCATCAAAACGTCCATCAAAGGGCGACCCAAGCGACGAGCGAGCTAATTGCGGGGTGGACGATCTGACAGAGCGGGCATGCGGCGACGCTGACCGGATTGGCAGCTCAGCGGTCGTGGCCGACAGAGGTGTCGGAGACGACGGTGACCGAGCCTCCGCCAGCTCGGCGTCTATCGAGTGCGTGACCTCTTGTCCATCCGGGTATCGGGACTTGGATGTGGCTCGCGCTGGGCCGGGGGAGAAGGACGGCGGAGGTTTCACCGGAGTGCCATCTCCGGGCGATGTCATGGAAACCGACTGCTTTCTGCAAACCTATAGCTAGTGAAACGAATTGCCAGGCCCCATCGACTGGGAGGCGCAGGGCAGGAAGGATTCGAAGGCCGTGCTGATAGGGTTGGGCGTGGTTCGAAGGTTTGTTGGGTAATGGAAGCCAAGTTCGATTCGGGCCGATAAACAGAGACGAAGGCACAACGCGCCAGAGAGTAAGTCACAAGTATATGCGAGTGGGCGCCGTTCGTGCAGAATTGGGCAAAGCTGTCAACGTAGACTGGAATTGTAGATTACACGTACTCCGTACCTCGGGCGCATTTGAGAACGCGATGATGCAACCACGTGAGGCTTATCGGCGATTACTCACTTTTCTCCATTGTACTTGACTTGACTTTGCTTCCTTATGACTCAACCAATTTCCTTCATGGCTGCATTCAATGCCCAAACTGCGCACTCTTGAGTTTATACTTGAGGTCTGTCGCCCTTACTCCACCTTCCCACTTGCCCGCCTTCAATCGAGACCGACCCTTCAAACACCCCTCTCCAACCCTCCCCTCCGTCCCTTCCAAGCTACCTGGCGCCCTTCCATGCGTGGCTCTGAATCCGATTCGGACTTCTCAGAACGAGCGACCAAAAGGCGACGTATTTGTACCTCCCCTCCATGGGGTAGGTCTCAAGAAGCAATGGAACACGCTCACCCCAAGATCCAGCTCACGCCGATTGAGAGTACCCTTCGAACACTCCTTCTAGACGTCGCACAATACATACACGAAAAGGACCAAAATAGCAATGGATCGAATCGCCCCGAGACCGTTTTGCGATTCACCGGTGGGTGGGTTCGTGACAAGCTCCTCGGTGTTGACAGTCACGACATCGACGTGGGGATCAGCAATATGACTGGATACCAGTTTGGCAATCAGCTTAAAGAGTATCTCGATAAACCAAACAACCTCGAAAAGTACAAACAAGCTTTACCAAATGGAGAGAAAGACTCGATTGTAAGCCTACACAAGATTGAGGCAAACCCGGAGAAGTCCAAGCACCTGGAAACGGTGACAACGAAGATTTTCGGCATGGATATCGATCTGGTCAACTTGCGCAAGGAGACGTATTCAGAAGACAGCCGGAACCCACAAATGGAATTCGGAACAGCGGTCGAGGACGCGGTGCGGCGAGATGCTACAATCAATGCACTTTTTTACAATCTGAACGAGTCCCGGTTGGAGGATCTCACGCAGCGCGGTTTGGACGATATGAAAAAGAAGATCATTCGCACCCCATTGGAACCATACCAAACCTTCAAGGATGATCCCCTTCGCGTGCTTCGCTTGATTCGGTTCGCAAGCAGGCTCGGATACCAAATTGAGTCGGAAACGGAAAGTGCAATGCAAAATGAGGATATCGGCGTAGCATTGAAGCTCAAGATCAGCAAAGAGCGTGTTTGGGCCGAATTGGAAAAGATGCTGCGTGGTGAGTACACCGAGACTCTTTAAACTATATATTCCTAACAAGCTTTTGGCACAGGCCCTGATCCCCGCGGTGCCCTGCATTTTATCGATCGACTCGGCCTCTACCCTACCATCTTCGCCAATCACCGAGATGAAGTCACTGTCGATACTTCAACCTGGTCCATTGCCTACAACGCGCTGGCGCGGTTCTTACACCCGCCTTCTGAGGTTGGGACAGAGATCCATGCCGCGACAGAGCGCCTCCGCCAGATTCTTGTGCGTGATGCCACCAGCGCCTACTATGCTTGGATTATCGCGACATTCGCTCCCTGGTGCTCCGTACCAAAGCGAGCAGGAAGGGACAGCAAAAATAAGTCTTTTCCTGAACGAGCAGTCGAGGTTGCCAGAGAAAGCCTCCGTTCCGATAACAAAACCCTCAACCTTCTCCGCGACGGCGCCGCATACTACAGAGACATCATCGATTGCAAGTCCGACCTATTCGCAAAAAGCCCGGAAAGGCTCACCGGCACACCCGCAGAGATCCGAAAGAAAGTCGGATTGCAAATTCGGACTTGGGGCAAGGATTGGAAGCTGTGTTCAGTCTTGGCCATGCTCCAAGAAGTCATGCAAGGGCGCGACTTCGCTGAAGGTGAGAATACTCCATTGAACAAAATTGATCACTACTTACTATTTACAGTGGTCCAAGAGTACGACCGGTTCCTTGCGTATATTGTAGAAATGGGCCTAGAAGATGTATATGAGCTGAAGCCCATTGTAAACGGGAGCGACGTCATGAAGAGCCTGGGCGCAAATAAGGGGCCCTGGATGAGCAGGGCGACTACGATGGTCATTGAATGGCAGTTGCTGCACCCCGACACGACCCAAGAGATGGCGTTGGAGATGCTTTCGTCGCGTCGCGCAGAGTTGGGGTTGTGAAGATCAAGTGACGCGGGAAACTGAATCAGCAACTTGGAAAATCAATTAAACTTCGCTCCAGCCACACTTTCCTCCATACTGTAGAACCCACCATGGATAAACTGCGAAAAGAGGCCCGCGAGGCCCTTCAACGCGATCCTGGGAACCTTCCAACTTATCTGCCCGCAGGTTTTGCTGCCGCTGCAAAGAATGATCTCCACCAGCTGTGGCAGAACGTCTCGGCCCACGATAATAGTACCAATCTGAACGTGAGTCTACCTGTGTACTAGATTGCCGGTTGCCAGGGCACGAACTAACAAGCTAGATTTGTGAGAGCCTCTTTACGGCAATTGAGTTCCTGACATCCTGGGACCCCCTGCTCCCAAATGATGGAGGTCCCAAGCAGCTGGAAGGAAACGAGGTCGAGGCCGTTTCCAACTTGTTCGGATGGGCAAGTAGCCTCGCGCTACCATCCTCTGCATTCGCAGTAGACTATGATGACAATGCAGACATCACCGATGGTATGTATGAATTGACATCGAACACGCGAACTCGGCTGATTTCTCGGCAGAAATCAAAAGGGCCCAAGAGGAGTCCCGCCTCAGATCAGAACTGGCGATACGGCTCATTCTAGAGCTCGGAAAACCGTTGCCAGGACTTCGAGACCGTTCCGTAGCTAGCTCGCCAGATGTCATTTTGGCTGTGGCTAGCTTTACCTCCAAGCAAGATCCGTGGACCACGGAGGACTCCCTTATGGAGGCGGAGATGCATCTCAACGTGACTTGCCAATACAAGCCGTGGCCCATCATTGAGCGTGTCCTCAGAGAGAAGATCAGGCCTCTGTTTTCTAAGACGAAGAATCCTGCTATCACGAGCGAAGGCCGCAAGAATTTCCATCCCGTGCCGCCGACTCGTTTTGATGGGAGCAGTTTGGATGATAGCACCAGACCTTGGAAAAACACCGATATCTATGCTGCGACTGTCCTATCCTGGATCATCTCGAAATACAATGTATGTGTGGAGAATACTAGATCTGATGGAATGCTAACAGCCACATAGCCCACTGACAAGGCCGAGCTCGAGGCTCACTTCCCCCTCCTGGTGCCCGCCATCTTAGCCATGATAGACGACAGCAGCCTCCACTTCAAAACTAAAGGCTTGAATTTACTCATTCAGATTCTAAAAGTGATTCAAGAGAGTGGCTCTGACATCCTTGTGCGGACAAACCTCGCCTCCGTCTTCCGAGACGCAATTACCCCGTGTCTCCTCTCCCTACCAAGCATCACTCCCGAGGAGAGCTCTCTCAAAATACTAGGAGCAGCTTATCCAGCACTCCTTGCGCTCTTCAAGACAGCCTACCAAACTTCCAAGAATCAACCATCCCGGAACAAGGAAGAGGGAGAATACACCACCAGCCTCACGAAGATTCTCCGGTCAAACCTCATCTCTTCTTTCCACCATATCAGCTCTTCTACACCCGCTTCCGGGGCTACCTCCGCTTCATTCCCACACCCACGGCTGTCTGCATTTCTTCTGGACTGGATCTGTATCTTCGTGAAGGAACTCGGTATCCATACTACCAAGTACCTCCAAGAAATTGTCCCCGTTCTTTACACCACGCTCTCAAACCCTTTCGGTACTGCTCATCTCCCGCTTCTGCTTTCCTCGGTCTCAACAGCCAAAGCGGTGATCTTGAACGCCCATCCCCGGATCTGGAGATGGCGCGGTGAGATGTTCGCAGGACTGACGGCATGCTGGCTGCATATTGCTGCTGAAAGTAAGGAGAAGACAAATAAGTCAACTGCCACCGAACTTGCGGAATTGAAGCGCCAGCTGCAGGCCGCAGTGCAATTGTTGAAACATGTTCTCCAACATCCGGCTGTGATTGAAGGTGTCCCGGACGCAGATCAGTTGGCTGCGAAAGATGACATGGACAAAGAGTTGAACGAGCTTGTTGCTGCCGATGCGGAATTGAAGGGTCTTTTGTTCGCTGATCTTACACCTTGAGGGCGACAAAATCTGCGTCTATTAGAAATAGTTGGCACTTGCACAGCTTAGTGATGTGCGATTTGCTGCTGAAATAGAAGAATAGAAGGTTCAAACATAATTTGTATCCAAAGATCAGAATGCATTTGGGTATTAGTCTCAAACAGGATATGCTAGATCAAAAAATTCGATATGGTAGGGTCATTACACGTCAACCCGTTGCTTGAACAGGCTCTTTCCCCGTAGCCATTGGCGGTATCGTTTGTATCTCTTCTTCTCGTAGTCCTCGTTCACGACGGTTAGTCCCTCCTCCGACACATTCAGGAACTCGGCGTAATCAACAATGTTTCCCTCAGCTCTAGCTTCGAGAACTGATTCTTCCACGTTACAGTTATTGGCATATATAACCATGTCCTCGCTCGGCCCGTGCTCTCGGAGCGAGGCAGCTGAAATTTCATCTTCGGATGTGACGACGAGGGGAACTTTGAGAGGGTGGTTGATGTACATCTCATACTCCTCCGCCTCATTGGCGGTGACAGAGGGGTTCAGTGAGTCGGTCACCAACTGACCGAGTGTCCACTGAGCGATTTGTGCTTTGCTCGGGGTAGATGAAGAGGTTGGTGGATTGATCGGAGGGATGTGGGAACCTTGGTACAATTCAAAAGCTGGCTCTTTGATGATACCGGATGAAGGGGCTTGCTTGGAGGAGGATGGTGGCTGATGGGACCAGTTGCTAGGAATTTCTGGAATAGTTGGGGTAGAGGGGGCGTAGCGGACGCGGCTCTCAGAAGGTTCCTGGATCTTCACACTCCGCTGGGGGGGTTGATGACGCTGCATTTGGTCTGGCGAGATGCGACGAACGAATGGACTAAAATCGGGAGGCGTTTGCCCAGGGCGAAATGGAAAGTAGGGGATGGTAGACTTCATCTTGTAGGAGAAGACTTTAGAGAGTGTGGAGAGGGCAAGTGGACGATAGTACTCCAACCAGTAGTCATCGAAATGTGAGAGTGACTCCTTGGGACTGACTGGAAGAGGCGGCGCTTCTCGTTCTTTCAAGTTCTCTGGCGTATACCAATGGATGTAGTGTGGCTTTTTCTTCTGCAGGTGGGACTTGGGATTAGTATGGTGCAGGTAGTAGTCGGTAGAAAGATCCCAAAGCATGGGAGCACCCTGTGAGAATATGTAGTTGCCAAGGAAGAGGTTGTACGCCTCCTGACGTTGAGCATCAAGGAAAGAATTGTTGTAGTATCGCTTGAAACTCTCGACCATGTCACGCGAGTGACTACTCCATTGATTGATCTTGCGGTATGTGGCCATAGTATTGACTAGATGGGAGCCTCCATACTGGATGGCAATGGTGTCACCATGGTCTTGCCACATGTCGTTGAACAGGTTGACAGCATCGGTATCGTATTCAACAGTCGTGCCTTCGATAACACCAAGGGCATGAAGCTGGTGGCCGAGTGCTTTTTTGCCGATGACAAATTGCGCCGCATTTGTACGGTCAAGACAGTCAATACAATTCGTTCGCGCGACGCCGTTCTGAAGCTGCAATCCGGACTCGATATCCTGGCCATTCTTGAAGAATCCAGTCTTCGGTATTATATCGCCGGCGATCCCCTCCAACGTTACAATAACATCATCTTGATCCCGTCCTTTCGAAGCCCGACTCATGTCCCAGGCTTTGTATATGAGCTTCTTGTCTGGGGGGAGGAACTGATTCAAGTAGTCGACGGCGTTGGTGAACTCTTTCAGGAGCTTCGACTCCCGTGGCGTCCGCTCGCGTGACTTGACGAGGTTCAAAATGTAGATTGGCGTCCCATATCTCTCGAAAAGATTATCAAAATGCAGTGCGGCCGCCGAGTAGAACGGATCGACAAGATTGAGCTCAATACCCGGCTTGGGTGACACCCCAGTACTTTCCTGAGTCCAGTACAGGGGAATGCTGCCCCGATGTTGCACATATGAAGTGTAATTCGGGTTCGCGTACAATTTCGGCCCAGCAGAATGGAAAGACGTTGTGGTCTGCTCACAAACGATTTGCTCCGACTCGACGTCGTTTGCCACATACCCCATATCATTCGCACCCCGCTTGAGAAAGCGAGCTCCTGCGAAGAACCTAGACCGTCTAGCAATAACGCAAATGTAGACCAAGCGTCCAAAAACACTCATCTTCGACTGGTCAACATACCCATGGATGACGGGAAGACACCATTCAAAGGGATTCTTGAGAGCACCGAGGGCTGGAGCAAGCAAATGATTGTTCCAAATAAACATCGTATTGTAATCCGCGGACTGCTGACTCCGACGCCCTTCATCCTGATGTGCCTTTCGTTCCCGACAGATGTTATGTTGTAGCGTCCGAGTAATATCGTAGGAATAGCTGAAGTAGAAGGACCGGGTCAAGTCAAGGTTGTTCAAGATCGCCTTGTACCTCTCTTCTTCTGATTGCTTTTCCGACTTCAGTCGCACGGATTCCGCCGTGGTCAAGGGGACCAGCTCCGTTCCGTCGATTTGATAGATATTGTGGCCGCCGAGCATCGCCACCTGGCTCCTCTTTGTGGCCAAGAGCATATAGTAGGCGCCCGTGAATCGGATAAAGCCCAGCAACGCCCACGCACTGCATTTCAATCTCAACCCACCAGAACTCTTATTTCCATCATCGATGGCGTCGAGGAGATGCACCATCTCTCTCTTGGTATAGATCATGTCATCCTCCGTTATGCTCAGCTCGCCCGACTCCGAGGTGCGATCGATCTTGAGGATCCGGAACCGTGTCTCTGCGAGATTGATGCCGACCATGTAGAATCGAGTTGCAGTTTCGTAAAGAGTGAACTTGTGTATCCGATTAATTCCCTCATCCTCTGTATCTACCCCGGAGCGGTGTTTCTGCGCGAAGACGGGTGACGACTCTCGCTCAAAGGACGTCGCGACGTGAGGCTCTTCATCGTCTTCTTCCGGTGAGAACACCGAAGCCAGTGCGGTATCGTGAGCTATCTCAGTGCTGCCTTGAGAGGCACGGCCTGCGTCCAAAGGGTTCGAAGCTTGAGTGTTCGATTCCGCAGACTGCCCAGCGGAAGGTTTCCTTGTCTTCGCGTCATTGCTGGAACGGGGAGGTTCATCGAAAGGGGAAGGATCGGAGACCGTGCCAATCAGGGTGACGTCGTCAAAGCTCTCCATGGAGGGCACTGAGGCCCCGGGCATGCGTTGTTGCTGGAGGAGCGTGTGATGAGAGCTTTCCCCACATCCGTGACGTCGCCGGGACTCCTTTGTTTCTGCCTGAGGAATCATATTTTTTTATACACCCGCCTCCTGTATCGCGGTTTCTCAGTGATTCAATAGTTTGATACGCGATTAAGCCTTGTAAAATTCTTGGTCTTATTAAGGAGCTCATTTAGGAATTTTAATGCCTATGCTTTTATACGATCGATCATCACTTGGAGATTGGAGTGAATATATCGCAAGTTTATCGCTCTCGAAGGAAAAATGCTACTCCTACTCAACAAGATTCGCATACTAGAGCTGCTCATTGCGATTGAAAATAGGGTAGCATTTGGTTGTTAGAGCTACCCAAGGTTGTACCGTGCAATGCCCAGGTGCTCTACCTACACAAAGCTATCACCTTGGAAAGGAATATACCTCGCAGTCTGGTGGTTGTAGGTCGAAGTGGTGTTGTAATCCCACCAGAAGGAGAGGTGCTGCGGCACAGAACTCTTGATCTTGCACTCAGACGCGAAATCAGGGAGCATTTTGCTGACCATGTTGGTGTAGTTGGCAAGCGAGCAGGAGAAACCGGGACCCTCCTGGCACGACGTGAAAGGGACGACAGCCTCATTGAGCACAACGCGTACATAAGTACCCTTCTCCGTGGCAGCTGTCGCATTGCAGCTCATCCTTTCAAGGGTCAAGTGGCCGCCCATAGGGATTATGTTGCCGCTCTCGTATGAAGACGGGAACGGGATCTTGTCAAGAGGCAAATCCTCATTTGGTGAGGCGATGCCCAAGGCGGCCAGAATGGGGGTAATATTTGTGTCGTGAGCACTGACATTTGAAGTTAGTGCGGTGTCATGACCGCGATTTGAGCGATATCGGTGGTAGGTGCTACTCACAAGTTGAAATACATTGAGCCAGCTTCTTCCGGTCCCTGGTTCAGCAAGGTCAGGGAGGCATTCGCGTAAACTGACCCAACGGCCTTATAGTAGGGGTCTCCAGGTCTGACTATATATTAGAAAATGTACCATAAACAACTAGATCGTGGGTTTCCTACCCAGCGCAGTAGTAGTACTGCAGGTCTTGGGTGTATCCGAACCATTTCCACTCGTCGAGTGTGAAAGCATTAGTCCAGTCAGAGTTCCCACGAACGTTGAGCTCAAAAGCAGAGATAACTAAACACTGTTAGTGCTGAATATGCGACGATACACTTCACTGAACGTACACATTAGCTGGAACACGTCGGTTGAGTTCAAATCGAGGCCCGGGTTCTGCTTGTTGAACCTCTCAGCAGCGACGCGAAATGCTGGGAGGTCCTGGCTAAGGTTGTCGCATGTCTTTCTGTCGTTATCTCCAGGACACTCAGGTGTGAGGCTATTGGCGCCCATCTTTTTGCTCTCCGAAATAACGTTCAGGGCGACGGAGTCGGTATAATTCCATCCAAAGAAACCTTCACCGAATTTGCGAGCAGTCTGCACGACACGCTCGAATTCACTCGTCCACATCGGAACGGTCTTGCCGGAGCCCTGATCCCACAGGTGACCATAACGCACACGATACTCGGCACCATGTTTATACGAGGTCAGAAGCCCGTTGTAGGGGCCGCTATCGGTCTCAAGCCCATAGAGACCCTCATCGTCCACATAGTACTGCCACCAGTTCAGGAAGGTAAGATCTCCTTTCCAGTTCTCCACATCAAAGCCATAAAGCTTTTCCAGGACAGCTTCAATATACTTACTGTCGCTTCCTTGCGGGTACCGCTCGCCATGACGTTTGATCATGATGACCTGGTCTACAGCGCAGGACTCGGGAGGATCCCGTCCAATGCCATATGACATGCGATTGCTATAAGGTCCAAGGCCACCAATGTGCTTCAAGATTGAGTAGCCTTCCAGGAATGACTGGTCATATGGGGCAGCAAAAGTGAATCTCCCAGTATAGCCAGGTCGATTGCTGTATGAGGCCGCGGCAACAGCAGCCGTGCCGAGAAGTGTCGCGATCTTTCCGGGACCCATGTTTCAAGTAGCCGAGGAAAGATGGGCTCTGCAAGTAAATAAGCGATCTCGGAGGCTCAAAAAGCCTGGAACAACCGGACTTCGCCCTCTTATTTATGCCTTGTAGCGCACGAGATCAACTTCTTCGTCGGGAACCTAAGGCGCTACATTCCCCGCATCGAAAATTGCGACGTCGCGTAGCCCGGATAAACTTCGGAGACCGAAGTTTTGCCAGGGGTATTGAATGGTTTCCTTGAGGATCATCATAGTGATATGCTCGAATAAGTATGCCTAGCCGGTATTAGTCTGATCGTCGAGGCGGGCCACTTCGATTCCCCGCACGCGCGATGTTATCTCTTGGCAGCGGTAACAAGCTTCGCCAGGAGTTCAGAGACGTTTCAATCGAATCTTCAATTATCGCCTATATTCCTTGTAGACCGCCCTGTTGAGAATCTCCTGGTCTTGAACACTCCTCAAAGCATGTCTCCTTCTGATGCTCTTCCATCACGCCTCCTCTTCCGACCCGTGGACGAAAAGAGGAAAGAACGAGAATGGAAACCGAAAAAGAGAAAGAAAGAGAAAAAAATGTCATCCTGGAGTTGAACCCGCCTCTGCCAATGTTTTATTTTCCGTCATCGACGGTTTTGGGACGTCCTCCCGAACCTCGGGAGGCATGTATGTACACATGAACCGGGACCCGCGAGAACTCGCGATGACTTCAAACGGCATCTCCGCAATAGTTTCACCTGCTCCACAGCCTCTATTGACAGCTATTGCATAGTAGCATCCTTGGTCCTACTTCTCCGTGCCCATACAGTAGCATGTCTATCCATAGAATTATTTCATTTTCTGTACCCGAGGGTAAGACATATGTACAATAGAAATGTTCTCAAGTTCATGAGAAGAAGTTCAACCATGCAATTTCACACCTTTGACTGTCTCTTCTCGAGCACCTGTCGCCGCGTCTTAAGTGCCTTGGTCTCTTCTTGGAGCGCAAGGCCCATCATAATCTCCTCACTCCCACCTCCAACGACGTGCACCCGAGCATCACGACTGATCTGCTCAATGCGTGCCCCCTTCCCGGCCTTGTTGTATCCCGCACCTCCGAGAATTTGCTGTGCCTCTCGAACACTCTTTTCCAAGGCTCGGGTAGACATCACCTTGAGCAGCGCGGTCATACCGCCGATCTTGACATCGTCCATGGGTCGGTCTTTAGTGAGCTCGAGAATGTTGACAAGTTGTTCCATGAATGCGTAGGCGGGTTCAATCATCAAGCCAAACTTGAATATCTTGGATTGAATTGCCTGCTTTTGGATCAGGGGCGAGCCAAAGGTCTCCCGTTGGATCGCGTAGTTGAAGGCATCTTCAGCGCAGACACGGGCCAACCGCAGGGAGGCACATGCTAGGGCCAGACGCTCCGGGTTGAAGTCTTGATCACACAGTCAGAATCTTCCCTAGTAATTTACCCGACTGAACTTACTAGACATGATCAGTGGGAATCCCTTGTTCTCTTCTCCGATCCGGTTCTCGACGGGGACGCGGACCTCGTCCAGTTCAATGAAGGTTGATCCTGTCGCCGTGTTAGCTTGAAGAATCTTACAGTTCTCGCTGTATACATACCACTGGCATTCACTCCCGAGTTGAACATCCGCCGGCGAGTAACACCCTTGGCCGCCAAGGGAATAACCAGCAAGCTGATGCCCGTTCTCCCTGGGCCACCCGTTCGCACTGCAGCGGTACAATAGTCCGCCCAGAGACCATTGGTAATCCATTTCTTCGCACCATTGACAATGTAATGATCGCCCTCGCGCTTGGCAGTGGTCTTAATATTGGCAACATCAGAACCAGCTATAGTAGGCCACAAGAATATTAGCTCGTCTCACCCAAAAATGGATAGCAGTTATCTTACCATCTGGCTCCGTGATCCCCAAACAAAATCTAATATCACCCTTCGCAACACCTGGTAACCAGCGCTTCTGCTGCTCCGGCGTGCCGAACTTGGCGATGGGCGGACATCCGATTCCATTGCCACCGCCCAGGCCCCAAACCACACCGACGTACCCGACGCGCGTGAGCTCGTCGCCCACAATAAGCGAGCACCAAGTGTCCCATTTCTCACGAGGCACATTACCGGGTAGCGCTAGACCGGCCGCATTCTCGTCGGTGGTGAGGGGATGGACGATGCCGAAGCCGAGCTCGCAATGACGTCGTCGCACGGATTCGGGGACTTGCCCTGCGGCCTCCCATTCCTGAGCATACGGCGCAATGGATGTTTCTACATAGTCGCGGACCCAGGCGCGCAGGTTGTGATGCAGGTCGGTGTAATAGGGATTGCGCACGTCGAGCTGCGGCAGGAGAGGCTCACTGTATGGCGCCGTCGGGGCACGGAGAGAATGCGCCATTTTGGAATGAGTTGTTTTCTGGAATTCAAGCAGCAAAGAAATTCCAAATTGTTTTACATTGTCAATCGGAGAGTTATGGTATTTGAATGCGGGGAAGAGAGACTCGGCTGCGCGTGAAGACCCACCAGACCGAGGCCCGAAGATGTGAAGATGTCGATCACTTGCCGTGAGAGAAGAGTATGCATTTTTTATGTTGGGTATATACGCGCTCTAATTATGAAACATTACACTTTCCACTTAATTCCGCGGCTGCAGCCGTTTCAAGGCCTTCTGAGTCTTGCGCAGGTGGTCTTTGACTTCCTGGCAGCTCCACCGCCTTTGCGACTGAGGCGTCAACATGCCTCGGATGCAGCTCATCAAGACGGCGGCTACCGTGTCACCCGTATCCAACTGCGTCTCGCCGCAGTCTATCTTTGCTGCAAAATCATCAGGAAAGCAGATGGTTCCGCGAGTCAGTTCGTTCAGAACCATTTGGCGCTCCATCTTCGTGTTCAGTCGGTAGACAAGTTCAAACAGGATAACACCCAGCGCGTAGACGTCCAACTTCTCGTCAATTTTATACTCCTCAAAATAGTCCGAGGCTGGACTTGATGGATCACTAACGGCTGGTGGCCGATAAAACTCGGTTCCCACGACGCGTTGAATCTTAGGGCCATCGCGAAACGGGGTCACGGCGCTATCGGCCGCGGCCCCGTCAAGATGTGAGATATCAGCAACGAGACCAAAGTCTCCGATCCGGGGGCGACAAAATTGTGTTGTGGAACTTGATCCGGAGCCACATGCACCGCAGGTATTCCGGTCGCTATTCTCAGGCAAAGACAAGAAGATATTTGCTGGCTTCAAATCTCGGTGGACAATTCCTTTTCCGTGGAGATACTCGACACCGGAAACAATATCCAGCATCAGTTTTAGAGAAGGCATCATGTGGAAGCAATGGCGTCTCGCGGGAATATCACCGACGGGACTGGATGCAGCTTGAGGATGGAGATAGGAGTTGAGAGAGATCGGGTGGAGCGACATTTGAATGTGAAGAATGACAGCTGGCGGTGGCTGATTATTGGGTTTGAAGCGGCATTGCACCTGCAGCCTCGACTGGTCCTGGCTGAAACCGTCGGAGAAAATGTCGTCTGTTTCCCCAAAGGTGGATGTTTGGCCATGCGAAGGGTTGTGAAAGTTGCGGGGAATGGACTCGATATCATCGTCATCCTCTAGAACCGAGCCGGAGCTCTTTTTTGAACGGCGAGAGGACGAGGTCGCATGGCTGTCTAGACGGTGTATCCTGTTGTGGAAACCGAATTCATCAGGGACAGAGCCGGGCACAGAGCTTGAATGTGATTCCATGACTGAGTTCTCGGAGTGTTCAAACACGATGCCCATGCTAGGCTCGTTAGAGCCTTGTCCAAACACATCACTATGTGAATGCTCGTAACTCTGAGTCGGCTGTTCGAATGGTACTCGCTTGTCATTGTTGAGTCCCTTATTAATGTCTTCCATGTGGTACTTGGAGAGGTCGACTTGTGCCTGCTCCACCCATGCACCGTAATATCGCACAATATTGGTATGCTCGAGGCGGGCAAGGGTACGAATTTCCTTCATAATGGTCTCCAGCTGATTCTGTCCACCGTATTGCAACTGATCAAGGCGTCGTTGGCTAAGAGGGATTTTCTTGACGGCATAGTCCTGCCCATCAATATGATTCGTGACATGGTACACCTCACCAAACGATCCTCGCCCGATAACTTTGAGCTCACTGAACTCGACCGCATAACGCGACATCAGGTTCAAAGACGAGGCGGCAGGCTGATTGAAAAGCGGCATGCTCACCGGAGAGCTGCCGAAGAGGGGCCTGGAGGGCTGAGGCAAGCTTCTCGCTCCAGTGGGGATTCCATCCAGTACATCAACCTTGCCAATTGAAGGAAGTTGATCTCTGTCGCCGCTCCAGAACTGAACGCCTTTCTCTAAGAGATTGATTCCGTGCTGGTGTCTCGGCACCAACGCCATCTCCTCGGTGCCTTCAATTGGAGAACGCGCTTGATGCTCATGGAATTTTATTTCTTCGAGTGCGGAGCGGCCGAGGAAGTCAAGGTTATCGCGATAGGTCTGTCTCGTGGCGCCAAGCTCTTCTTTGTCGATGCCATCCGTCAGAACGCCATGGGAGGAGAGGAATTGGGATTTGTACTTGTACAATTTCTTGCCTAAGTACTGGGCCTCGGGGGATTGCCGGGTAAATCTCCTGTTAGACCCTTGCTGGGCATTGAGAATCTCTGCTGCTCTGGTTTGGCAATAAAACTCCAACAGGGCGGCGGTCATCATATTTCCATGTCGCTCGACTTTTACATCTAGAGCATCCTGTGACAAGGACAGATCGTCGAGCGAAATTGAGGCATCGACACTGCTAGAAGATTCAAATTTCTGGGAGGATCGGTCCCTGCTAGCGCGTCGAGACCCGGGGCTTGTCTCACTTCTGGGAATTGGTGACGGGGCGTCACGATAATCATCTGGATCGGATCCTGACTCCTGATCAGAAGAGGAGATATCGGCGGCTGATCTGAACATTGACATGCTGATAGTCATTGGTTTCGGTGGGCCAGCGAGAGAAGGAGACCTGAGTCAAAATCACGCCTGCGCCATGGAAACGAGAACCATGGGAGTAACGAAACAATGAGACCTTTAGAAGGCTTTGCCCAGGAAGTTGGGCAGATCAAAAATGTTTCTGTGCGAGCTTGATAGGGTATATAGATTTGGAGGGCGTGAAGACAAATGGCTAGGTCGGCACCGATGAATAAGCAACACGCGACCTTCAATGGGAAGTGTCTTGAAGTTTGAAGTTGACACAGTAGATTAACGTCGAATGAAGCCAGCTGTAAACATGTCCTGAGCCAAGACAGGTGATGATTGACTGAAAGATTCCATCAGATTCCAACTGTCTCCGACAGGGCGTGTGAGGCGGGCTGTTCGTTTGAACCCACTGTAAAACAAACAACGATATCAAACACAAACCTGACGTATAATGAAGATCAAAGGATAAAATAGACAACACTCGGAAATCTGACAACAACTGAAATCACAGAAGGGCGATGCCAAGGCGAAGGGGCAAAAGCGACGAGTCATCATTTTCTGCCGGCAGAACGACTAAGTCTTCCCGGCCGCTGCCGCCGGGGCATCTACACCGAGATATTGATGGACTTGAATGAGCATGAGAGTACGAGATCGATAGAATTGTATTGGATCGGAGTATTTAGAAACGGATTGGATTATGACCTACTTCATACCGGATAGTTCTCAGGTGCCAATCCAAAGTACTGCCAATTCATACTGATGGGCTTATCCCTTATCGCCATGTGACCGACCACGCGTTAAGAGCGTCACGTCGAAGGCGCGACTTGCGACACGACTCGAGTTGTTGCCCGCTCAACACATTCTCCTCCCACTTACTTCAGCATTATTCCCCACGGCTTCTCGACGGTGTACTCGTACACCCTGAGTTGCCATCATGCCTGAAGCTATCATGCCGCAGAAGCGAGTATTGGGCGACACCACCAGTAACGCACGCAACTCTTTCGCGTCTCCCAACGCGATGAAGAAGCGCAAGCTTGACAATGAGACCAGTGGACAGCTCAAGCCACCTACACAAAATGTCCAACGCAAAGGTTTCGGCTCAAGTCAGCCGCAAAAGAGCACATTCGAGGAAGAGGTTCTCGAGAAGATGACCCAGGATATCAATGATCTCAAACGAAGCAACGCCGAGAAGGACCAGCAATGGGAACGTCCTCCTCTTGGACCATTTGACCCAGTGGCGGAGAACATTTGTTTCCAGCAGATTGACGCGGAGGAAGGTCGGATGGCGGGAGACAGGATGGCTGTCCGACTCTTCGGTGTCACGGAGGTATTTCATATTGATGCCGAATTTGCCCCAAGTTCCATTAGATCTAACAGTTGTAACAGGCCGGTCAATCGGTCCTGCTTCACGTCACCGGATTCCAACATTACCTTTACATCGCTGCCCCCGTCGGCTTCACCAAGGAAGATTGCCAGCCATACAAAGCTTTCCTCGAGACCAAACTGGCACAGAATGCCCCGGTCATCCAACGCGTGGAAGTCACATTGCGGGAGAATATCTACGGATTCCAGGGTAATAAGAAGAGCTGGTACCTCAAGATAACTGTCACCGACCCAAAGTTCATTGCCAGACTGCGTAGCGCTCTGGAAACTGGTAGTGCTACTATGAACTACAAAGGTCTATGGGGCAACTCGGACAGTGGAATCCTCACGTTCGACAATATCCAATATCTGCTGAGATTTATGATCGACACTGGTCTCCACGGCATGTCATGGGTCGAAGCCAAGGCAGGGAAATATCAGCTCATCCCAGAAGACGAAAAACATTCAACTTGTCAATTGGAGGCTATCGTGGACTACCGTGACATGATCGCCCACGCGCCCAACGGTGAATGGGCCAAGATGGCGCCTCTTCGTGTCCTGTCTTTCGATATCGAGTGCGCTGGACGACAGGGTATTTTCCCCGAACCTAACATTGACCCCGTAATTCAGATCGCCAATGTCGTGACTCGATACGGAGACAGCAAGCCCTTCGTTCGAAATGTGTTCTGCCTTGATACCACCAGTCTTATTGTCAACACACAGATTTTGGAATTCGACAAGGAGGAGAGGATGCTCATGGCCTGGAAAGAGTTTGTGCAGAAGGTCGATCCGGATGTGATCATCGGGTACAACATTGCGAACTTCGACTTTCCGTACCTTTTGGACCGGGCAAAACATTTAAAATGTACCAGCTTTCCCTACTGGACACGATTGCGGGCGACCAAAACGGAGGCCAAGGAGGCCAATTTCTCTAGCAAACAGATGGGTAACCGAGAGACGAAGGCGACAAACACCAATGGCCGAATCCAGCTTGATCTTCTCCAATTGGTGCAGCGGGATTATCAACTTCGAAGTTACACTTTAAACTCCGTCTCCTACGAGTTTTTGGGCGAGCAGAAGGAAGACGTTCACCACACAATGATCACTGAACTGTTCAACGGTACACCGGACTCTCGTCGTCGATTGGCGGTATACTGCTTAAAGGACGCCTATCTGCCACAACGATTGATGGACAAACTGATGTGTCTGGTCAACTACACTGAGATGGCAAGAGTTACGGGTGTTCCATTCATGTTCCTGCTCTCTCGCGGCCAACAAGTGAAGTTCGTCAGTCAGCTGTTCCGAAAAGCGCGGGAAGAACAACTTGTCATTCCCAACTCCAAGTCGCAAGACGAGCAGGACTATGAAGGCGCGACCGTAATTGAACCGAAGCGAGGATACTATGGTGTGCCAATAGCGACACTCGATTTTGCATCGCTCTATCCCTCCATTATCCAAGCACACAACCTCTGCTACACCACCCTCCTCAATAAGAGCAGTGTTGAGAAACTCGGTCTCAAGAAGGATGAGGATTACATCGTGACGCCAAATGGAGACATGTTCTGCACCGCCAAAGTCCGTAAGGGTCTCTTGTCTCAGATTCTTGAGGAGCTTTTGAGTGCACGAAAGCGCGCGAAGAAGGAACTGGGCACTGAGACGGATCCCTTCAAAAAGGCTGTACTGAACGGTCGTCAACTTGCCTTGAAGATCAGCGCAAACAGTGTATACGGTCTGACGGGTGCTACTGTCGGAAAGCTGCCTTGTCTTCCCATTGCCAGTAGTACAACCAGTTATGGTCGTCAGATGATCGAGAAAACCAAACAGGAGGTGGAATCTCGCTATACCATCGCCAACGGCTACTCTCACGATGCCGAGGTCATTTACGGTGATACCGATTCGGTCATGGTCAAATTTGGAGTGTCTGAATTGGCAGACGCGATGAAACTCGGTGAGGAGGCTGCAGAATTCGTCTCGTCCAAGTTCATCAAACCCATCAAGCTGGAGTTCGAAAAGGTGTACTTCCCTTATCTGCTAATCAACAAGAAGCGGTATGCCGGTCTTTACTGGACCAACACTAAAAAGCACGACAAGATGGACACCAAGGGTATTGAGACCGTGCGTCGTGATAACTGTTTGCTTGTCCAAAATGTTATCGAAACTGTGTTGAACAAGATTCTCATCGAGAGAGATCTCGATGGTGCTCAGGAGTAAGCAAATGACTCTTTGATTCTTTGATGCAACTGCTAAAATTTCAACACAGCTATGTCAAGTCGACCATTTCCGATCTTCTCCAGAACAAAGTCGATATGTCGAAGCTGGTCATCACCAAGGCCCTCTCTCAGAAGGAGTACGCTGCCAAGCAAGCACACGTCGAGCTGGCGAAGCGCATGACCAAACGTGACGCGGGTTCTGCGCCTGCTCTAGGTGACCGTGTGGCCTATGTCATGATCAAGGGCGCAGCCAACTCAAAGGGCTACGAGAGGGCCGAGGATCCCATCTACGTCTTGGAAAACAACATTCCCGTCGATACCAAGTACTACCTGGACAACCAGCTTGCGAACCCGCTTGGTCGTATCTTCGAGCCCATTCTGGGTGAGAAGAAGGCCAACCAACTGTTGACCGGTGAACACACTCGGTCCATCTCCGTTGCAGCACCAAGTCTGGGCGGGTTGATGAAATTCACCAAGAAGACCCAGACCTGCATGGGCTGCAAGAAGCCTCTCTCAGGCAAGGAGGAGCAGGATGGTGCCGTTTGTCAAAACTGCCGCCCTCGTCTCGGTGAGCTCTATACAAAGGCTTTGACCAAGACTTCTGATCTCGAAGTTCGATTCGGGCGACTCTGGACTCAGTGTCAGCGCTGCCAAGGCAGTCTTCACTGTGAAGTCATTTGCTCGTCACGCGACTGCCCTATCTTCTATATGCGGATGAAAGCGAAGAAGGATGTCGAGGACTCACAGAAGGAACTTGGCCGGTTTGACTTCGATGCCGGTGCGTGGTGATTAATGTATTTCATTGTGTGATGCTGCCCCAGGGTGGCCGAGAATTTTTACTGCGCCATAGCAAGGGTTATCGGTGTTTATGGATGGAGTTAAGGGCTCGGCTGTACACAATAATTCAGAAGCATCTTCTTTGGGACAATAAGTTCCATTTATCATCTATCGAAACCAACTGTAGTTCAACTAGCAAGTCGCACTCTAAATCGATCGCCGGACTCTTGGCGCGGAGAAGCTCCGTCTCCGCCGATCTCTGCGGCGAGCTCCTCGACATCCTTTGACGCAGCTCTCGAGGCCTCACGACATGAGCGCAAACATGTACACCAATACGACTGGCCATGGTCAGCCATATCCAACCGTCAGTGACTTGCAGGCCAACGCTGTCCCAATTCCTTGGGAAGAGGTATGTCGTCATTCCCAAATTTCCGTCGCGTGGGAAAATGGCGCCGCAAACAATGCCAGCGAGGGTCACTACTTACCTCTCATTGCTGGAAACAAGCTTTACTGACGTCTTGTCTTGCTGCTTAGATATTCTCGCGCCACGAAAGCGTTCTCTCGACCCATCTCGAAATGCTGGACTCGGTGAAAGGGCATGTTGCACAGGACGGAGAGGCCTTTCGCGTGGTCTCCTCGATGGTGAATAAGACGCTCCAGACAATGAACCAGTTCAAGGTGGTCCGGAAGCAAATGGTTTGTCACTCCCCTAGAGGCTCGCTTGGTTTGAGCTATTGCGACTAACAATACTCACTAGTTGGCCAGTACGTTTATCGGAATTCTCCTAGAGATCTCTCACGCCGGCTCTTCCACGGCTTGTACGGTCAAATGATTTTAACGCCTGATACAGGGAAATCCCCCGCGAATCCGTTTCACTTCGCCTCTTCATCGGCGTCCAAGATGAATGCTCGCCAGACACCCACCTCACAGTCTACAGATGCAGACCCTACCAGCCGGAGGAAGCGATCAAGAATTGAGAAGGAGAGAGATATCACATCTACGGAGTCAGAAATAAACACAAAATCAGATACTTTGGAAGACCGCGCTTCGAAACGAAAGCGCGACCTCGCTTCGCACCCGGCGGCTGAGGACTCCCCCCATGCCTCCGACTCTCTCGACACAGAAGATATCTCGGAGGAAGTCCAGCGCCGACTTCGAATCAAAGAAGAACGACGCCGAAGAAAAGACGACGCCAAGCCCGAGAAGCGCAAACGAGAAAGCTTGCTATCCAATGAGAGCTCGTCTCCGGGCAACTTTACGCACCGCAAGAAGCGCGCCAGGACGGGACATGACTCGAAGCGAGATAGCGAGATAACGACGCAGGCGAATGCGGGTTTGAAAATAAGGAAACAAAGAAAACCTCGCCCCTGATCGACAAAGGCTCACAACACACTGCCATCATCCTCTATGCCTTTGCCTTGGCTTTGTTCATTGGCCCATCTCACATATGACGGCACAATCATAAGACCCCTATTTTTTTCTCCGCCTTTATCCCTGTTTGTTGGCGGGTCTGTTCTCAGATCAAAGCGCGGCTATATTTATCTCTATGGGTCCTCGTTGAAGACAGCTTTACCGATGCTGGACCAATCGAGTTCGAAAGAGGGGTTTCAGGGTGTGCTCAAGAGGTGTCAAAGGGCTGGCACTTCTTTGATTGCGATCGCCTTAAAATCGGTCATGCTGCACTGCAGTCCTACTGTCTAGATACAAAATAGCATTAACTTGCGAGCTATGACATTGTCTTCTCCTCCGCAATGTATTCATAACCCAGTCTCGATAGACAGCGTACTGACCTTCCGTCATCCAGTGCTAATCAGCAGAGCCTCTTTCTACTAACATCAAAGCACCGTCATTTCTGCCATCCGCTGCCTGTTCAAGTTGCGGGAGCGAGCCCGACGACGTTTCACGGGCCTTTGAACACCTCCGAGATCCGCAGAACGGGCGAGTACTGTACAAGCTTGATTGCGGCCGTCCAAGTAGGGCTTCGGAGCTGATATGCTTTTCTCTCCCCTGAACTAAGCCATCTCCGGCCTTGATGCAGTTCCGGGTCCCGTTACGTATCCGTGGTTCCTGCACAGATCATCCACGTCCACTTTGCCGGCGCGAAAGCGACTTATACTCCCTGGGACGTCGCATCCCAATTCGAACGCGGAGGCCGCAGGGTGCAAAAGGGTGTCTACTAAAAGCCCCTGCTTTCCACCTCCGCCCTCTTTTTCTCTTTCTTCTTCCACCTCTCCCACATAACCTGAGTGGTCATCTTCTACTGTTACTTCCGCCCAGCTCTACTTTCAACCTCCACGCACTTCACCCGTTACCAAGACAAGATGGTTGGTCCATCTTTCGGCGGGCGCCGGGAACAATATAAACCCCGTGCGGACGGTCCTTTCAATCAACAAGTCGGATATCGACCAAATTATTCCACCAACGGACCTGGAGGCGAGCCCGGCATGCGGTACAACTCCCGCAACTGTACCAACCAAAATCCAAACAAAAACAACCACGGCAGCCATCACAACCACAAAAACCACAAAAACAATGGCAACGCCAATTCCAACAATCGCAACCCTGGTTACCATTACCAGGGTGGGCGGAATTTCCACTCCAACGGGAACCAGGCAGCTGGACTGCCTCGATTCCCTCGATCCGGCAATGCCGATGAAGTAAATGACGCCTTCTAAAAATATGAATGAAGCTAACAGTTTAATAGAGTTACCGGCCTGGTAATAACTTCCACAGACGAGTACCCCCCTCGGGACCTCGTTCATACCACGGCCAGGACCAGGGCTACAACCAAAACCACCCCCCTGGTCAACACTATGGACCCCGCGAGTACCGTCCAAACCAACACGCTCAAAGCCAACAAGGTCCTCGTCAATACGGCTATAAAGCCTCCAGCCATCAAAACGACCAGCAATTTGATGGCCTCAAGCAAGGCCCCAATCGCCGACGTCGTGGTGGCCGCAATCGTTGTAACAATCAAATCCACCCAACGCCAATGCAACTACCACTTCTACCACCGCTGCCGATCCCAGAGACATCAGATTACAGCTTTACTGACGATCTTGAACTATTCGAGGAACCCATTGAGCCTTTTGTTCCGATCCTGGGCCCTGATGGCATGTACTACGACTGTGACGGGGACGTCATCATTGAAGACGCACCTGAAACCGACATCGTCCAAATAGTGACCGAAGGCACTGTCGAGATGGCCAAAATCACGCAAAGCCTACTCGAATCCATCACCACCTGGGGCTGAACCATCTTCGACGCCTGACGGTCATCACTCAAAAGCCTCAGTCACCACTACTTTGTGTACTGCTCTCATTTAATACCCATCAGCAGCGACACGTCAACACCTCAGCCGTTCGCGCGGTTACATCTTCATTGTTGACCTTGAATTGTACGGGGAAGAATGTATTCAGTACCTGTCCTGACCAGGTTTTTTACCTCGCGCGCCAAAGCCCAAGAGCCGCGAGGATGTTTCCCCTGGCCCCGTGGCATTCGTCGCAGACCCACGGCTCAAATGAGGGGATGGAAATTATGATCTACACTGGCGCCCACGTTCTGAATTGTTCTGCAAAATGTACTTCTTCGGCGTGATTGAGATCATTTCTTATCGTGCATTTACATTGTGTTTTGAAACGGATTGAAAACTTTCATCTCGATCATTGTTCCGGCGGCATTGATGGGGGAGCCATGACCCCTGAGGTGACTGCTTGATATCGTAGCCCCGGGCTGCGACCTGACAAACATCAGGATGATTGGGCAAATTTGTTTTAATATCTGTCTGCAAGGAACATAGTGTGTACCTTGAGCATTTCCTTTCATGTATTACCACGAACTGCATGATTTGAAACCGGGTATTTTCTTCAATCCGATCTGGTATTCAAGGTCTGTAGACTCGTAGAGATGTATATAGTTAGGTATTACCTTCCCTAGCCTCACTACCCACACTAGTAGTCTAATATTCCGTCTCTCAACCCGGCAAATTTTCTTGTTATCTTCTGCTTTGACTCGAGTGCACTGGAGTGGCACATAACATATACCCAAGTAAACGGATGGACAGCCCCAGTTCTTTCCAAGGTTCTGCGTGGGGCAGCAGGGGCACTCCCACACATGCGCTAAGCGAACCGACCCCTCATTTCAGCCAAATCAGTTCCTGTTTCAATTCGATCTTTCTCTCTCACCTCCTCAGTCTGGACCAATTTTTCCTTGCCTGATCTACAGGTTCTCCTCTGAGTAGCAGATTTCTTCGCAAAAAGCGTGCGTATGCAACACCTCTCACCGCTCACCGCTCATTTGGAGGGGCAAGTGAACTCATCCTGGAAAGCGGTGGAATACTGCCACCCTCTTCGGTTATAACTCAAATCAAGGCCTATCCTGATGTCCTTCGGGACATTTGGTCAAATGAAAATATACAGAGAAGATTAGCATGGCCCCTGCACTAAGGATGACACGCTCAATCAAAGAGAAGCTACCAGTTTTTTTTTCTTTCCTCAAGCTTCGTTGAGGTGCAAGCCCCATGTCTGCTTTATTACGTGTTCATGACGGCACGCGTTCGAATACCCCCGCGACTTCTTTTGTATTTTTACTTTTTTTCAACAAAACACACCAACCATTTTCCCGAAGTATCTACATCGAAGGACATGTGGCTCAACCTTAGACGATGAAAACTAACGGTGGTAGAGTTGATTGACTCAAAAGGGAATTTCAACACCCAGATGCTCCAAGAGCAGAGGATATATTGATAGAAATAATTATATGCAAACGCCTGATCCCAATGCTAATCTGAGGTGGTGATACATATGTGGAGCTGTAGATATGACAATTATGTGCAGCGAAGCAGATGGCGAAAGTAGTCGAGAGCGAATATCAGGGCGGAAACCCAGCAACTCTGAAGACGAACTCGGTGCTGGCAAAGAGGCAACTGGAAAATGCAGGCCCTCACTCATCATCGTCCTCCTCAGTTTTGCGCCCCCAGTTCCAGACATCCCAGATATGGTCCATGATCAAATCACCATACCCTTTCCCCTCCTCGATAGCCTTCTGCTCCTCCCGAAGCCTGCGCTCCTTCCAACCCGCCGATTCCCCACCCATCCATACACGGTCGACAACACCCTTCTCCTGACTCTGGCGCGCCTTGAGTTTCTCCAATTCCTCACCCGCAGCGTCGCGTATTTGCGCCTCCCGGGCAGCTCTCAGCCGAGTTTGAATTTCCTCGGCGCGATCGGAAGGTAGGTCGCGCAGGAGAGCCGGGCGTGTTGAGATTCGCGACTCGATGCGGTCGACGATACTGCGCCCTGTCCGTTCGCGCGTAATGTGGTTGGCGGAGATGGCGAAGGCACTGGCAAGCGCAACGGTGTTCAGGTCGAGTCTGCGCGGGGGGAGGGCGATGATGATAGGTGATGCGACGAGGAAGCCGATGGTGGTGTAGTTCTTGAAGCGCTCGTAGTCGCGTTCGCGCTGGGCCTGGGTTTCCGAGGGGGTGGCCATGGCTGCTGGTGATTGCCGCTATCGATCGTCTTGATGCGCGGGATTCCAAACGGAGGGACATTTTACGGGCGGCAGGAGCCGCCAATGGTGCAAGTCATGTGACCATCCACGTTTCAGAAACACATGAAACTAGATCTTTGGTCCAACTTTGAAAATAATGAACAAGGCTGGGAACACATGCACCGGCATCGCCGTCCATTGCCACCGAGGAAGCCTGCGCCACGCCGCCACGGTAGTTGAGAAAGCTGAGCCACGGCACGAGAGACTAAAAATAGGAAGGGATGTACACGAATGACGAAGCTTGTCGAAGCTTAGCGCTTCAAGACTGGGGTCAATCGGTGGGTTTCAACTCACCCGCGAATTTGCGTGTCTAGGCACCCGCGATTTTCAGGGGCCCCATTTCAACTGTGGCCCGTCGAGCTAGATCCCGTAATTTCCCACAAGCTGGGAAGTATCTGCGTTATTAAATCGAAATCATACGAACTCTCAGGCAGCCATGTCGCCCGCGTTGGGCCCGACATGACTGGCCCAGTTCCAACGTGGCAGGGCTTAGGGCGACTAGTGGAGGCCCATGGGCCCGATTACGGTCTTCCGTGACGACGTGACGACGCTAGGCCCCCGATCTAACCGAGTGTGGATTTAGCACTTGTATCACCCAGGGACCAGGGTTCTTCGTAGTGAGAGAGTCCCGGGAGTATTAAAGGAACCGCACCCCTCCTTCCCTCTTTCCATCCACATCACCTGCCCCTCCTGCCTATCAAATCTTCCATCCTCTCCAAAGGATCTTTAAACAACTCAAAATGTTCGGCAACATCTCTTCCTGGTTCTCCTCCAAGCAGGAGTCTGCTCCCGCCTGGGACGGCGCCACTGCCTCGGTCCAGAACCAGCAGCCCACCAGCCCCGATGCTCCCTCCACCGAGCGCGTCGTCACTGAGCAGCCCGTACGTCCCCGGTTCTTGGGTCCGATCTCTTTGTACTGACTCTTTACTCCAGAACTCCCAGGAGAACATGATGAAGCTGCGCGGTGGTGGTGCCGGTGACGTCTGCTGCGGCCTGTAAGTAAATTTCGACATCAAATCGCCTGATTCAAACCCATATTGACATCAACGTAGCTGTGCCGGCCTTATGTGCTTCGAGTGCTGTGAGGACTGCTGCTAAGCGGCTCGTCCTTGAACATCCCCTCGTGCACGAAATTCGCCGCTGGTGGTGATGATACCTTCGCACTGCCAGTTTCCTTAATACATACCTAGACCGGTGGAACTCGCTCGGATGCTTTGTCATGTGGGGAGGGGGACCTAGTCGTTCTTTTCGTGCTTTTTTCTTCCGTTACGTTTCCATTCGAGATGCCCCATGTTTTGATTATGCCTTTCTTGGCTGTTTCCTTGCGGGCGTCTTCCCCCTCATTCACGGAGTCGGGGCCCGTAGGATCAATACCCTTTTTTTAGCTGAGCAAATATTATCCTTTTCTCCTGGGATGAAGTACCTTCGTAGAAATAACGACCGAGTATGAAGTGAGCGCCCGTACAGGCGAGATAACGAGCCGTTTGTACGTCCTCGAATACTTCTATCTTTGCATACACTAATTCAATTCCTGACTCCACCCATCATCATTCCTTGCAGCCATTCCCGAAGGTCATAGCGTAGTCAAACCCAAGACCCACTCCTCTGAAACAGTTACAACTTGGATCCTGCGAGATTCTTGTTGGAGGGACATAGTTATACGAGTTTCTCCAGTATTGCAGTTTTGGATGCTCAGTTCTCCTTGTTATCTAGCTAGCCATCGGCTTATAATACCCATTCTACCAGGCTGGTTTAAGTAGAGCCACAGCTTATGTAGAACAAAGTAGCATTGAAAGTAACTCAAAATACCCAAGTAGTTGTGGTAAAGTAACGAGGGCCGTGGATTACATTCCATCTCAGAACCGAGAGAAGGGCAGCCTGCTAATGTCAGTACGTAGCTTCCAGTTTGAACCTCTGCGCAGACTCACCACTTGCCGCGCAGCGTGATAACAGCCCAGTTGTTCCCATCGGCATCTACCTCTTTCTCGACACTGGTCGAGAAGGAAATAGCACTCATGATACCATCCCCGAACTTCTCATTGAGGATAGCCTTGTAAGCATATCCATAGTTCTGCACAATCTCATAGAGACGGTAGATCAAAGGCTCCTTGGGCGGCATCTCAACCGACTTGCCGCGATCGGGGAAACCACTGAGCTGCATCTCCAGCTGCGAGTGGTTAATCATGAGCAGGTCGGACAGCTTGTGGATGTCCTCTGCGGAAGCCATGGCCTGGCCGTAGAATATGGCTGCGGTGGCGACCTCATTGCGGCCGATGTGTGTGGCGATCTGCTCGAAGCTCAGTCGCTGGCGGGCCTTGGCGTGGAACAGGGCCTGCGATGCTGCGGGGAGGTTGGGGTGCTGGGAGGTCTGGTGGAGGTCAGCGCTGGATCAGGCGAGGGCAATTGGAAGAGATACATCGAGAGTGGCGATAGACATGGTGACGGTGGAGGCAGAGATCAGATAGTGGGGTGAGTGATAAGGTGATGTCGGGTCCGTTTTATACTTGCGGGCTGATCTCACACTTACCTAAGGAGGTGCGGGGGATCCTGCAGCGCTCTTCCAAGGCTCTCTCGTACGCTTAGGTAGCTCTGGAACGTACTGTTGTTGTTTTAGTCCTTCTATAAACTATTTAATTTTCTTCTGATCAAACAGCTCACTCCGGAATCCATCAACGCGATTTCTCGAAGAAATGTTATCTTATCACCACGAACGCTTGGCCACAACACAACCCTCTAGGGCTCGTCGTAATGGTTGGAAACTCAACCAAGACAACATGAATAAATAGACAAGCGGAAAGCCTGTATTTCTAATGACTCTCAAGCCTATTGTTTCGGGCTTCATGCGACCGTTGTACATTCCAGGGCAGAGTGGTGATCGCGGGAAAGCGGTGTCTCGTGGAAGTCATCTGAGTTTCAAAATGTTTATTTACCCTTGGGCTAAATACATGAACCAACGCTCTCCCAACCCAATGACCACATGATCGTTGAAATAAGATGAAGATTATTTCACCAAATGTCCGCGAACTCAGTCACAGTCAACTTTCGCCCAGTCTTGATAAACAGTGACCCAGACCCAACGTTAAGGTGAACCAGGCCAAGTATATTCCCCTTATCACGGCTGTTTGTTTTAAAGCATGTCTATTGCCCTCGATACCGAAGTCTCACAAGCAATGGCGGATCGATAAGGTGAGCTGTCGCCTGTTAGTGGATGCACGGGCTGGCGTGGAGTGCCGATCCACGGATATCCACGGCCTTTGCAAACGATACTATGAACCTTTGTTTGTATCGACCGGACATACCAGTTGCATCAGATAGAAATACAAAGTAAAGTATGTTTCATAATACGAGATTCAGCTCAGAGTCCACCGTGTTAGAAACACAGCCACGATGGAGACGTGGCTGGGTAGCGGGGGGACCGGAGCTGTTAAATCAACCCCCCACTCTCACCTAGGCATCCGTCGGGTGACCTTATTTCTCTTTCCTCTTCATCTTACCCTCGCAAGATGTCTCGACAAGAAGATGATTTGGCCTATGGCCGCTACTATGAGTCCGAACGAGGCTCGGGTGACGGAAGCCGAGGATTCGGCGACACCTTCAAGAAGCTCCGTGACACCTACAAGACCCACAGCTCCTCACAGCCGTCCGGTCAAGCTCCCAACCAGGCCGCCTATCAGGGACAGGGGGTATATTTATCACTCCTGCCTCTCGTCTAAACATTTAAACTGACGGCACCAGAACCCAAACCAGAACCCCTATGGATACAGCAGCCAGAGCTCCGGCGGGGCCACGCAGCAGTACCAGCAGCAATATCAGCAGCAACCCCAATACCAAGAAAACCCACCGAAAAAAGACAAGCTGGGCGGGTTCCTGGACAAGATCCAAGGTACCGTCACCGAGATTGGTAACGAGTTCGCTCAGAAGGTTGGTACCGCCATTGATCCACAGGCCTACGCCCAGTATGGCGCCAGCAAGCCCACCACCGAGCACCGCTTCGGCAGCTTTGCTCCTTCGCGCGAACACAATGATGTGAAATGGTATGTGGATGGCTGCAGTTATTTCTGGGCCGTGTCCAAAGCTCTGGAGAATGCGCGCGAATCCATCTGGATTTTGGACTGTAAGTTTCGGCTCCCTCGGATCGATCCGTGGAATGTTTATCTGATCTTTATTTTCCGTAGGGTGGATCTCTCCCGAGCTGTACTTGAGAAGGCCTCCAGCCAAAAATGAACAGTATCGTCTGGATCGAATGCTGCAGGCAGCGGCCCAGCGTGGCGTGCGTGTCAATATTATCGTCTACAAGGAGGTTACTCAGGCCTTGACTCTGTCTTCCTCCCACACCAAGCATGCCCTCGAGAACCTTCATCCCAATATTGCCGTTTTCCGACACCCCGATCATTTGCCTGATCGCCAGGAGCTCGAGTCGGATATCACGACGTCTCTCCGCCACATGTCGCTCGACTCGGCTAGTCTAACAAAGATGTCCAAGGATGCCCTGAAAGGCTTGTATGGAATTGACGACGATGTCATTCTGTACTGGGCCCACCACGAAAAGCTATGCTTGATTGATGGACAGATTGCTTTCATGGGTGGATTGGACCTGTGCTTCGGTCGCTGGGATACCCATCAGCACGCGATTGCCGATGTGCATCCCGAGAATATCAATGAGATCGTCTTCCCAGGCCAAGACTACAATAACTCGCGAGTTCTCGATTTCCATGATGTTTCTCACTGGGAACAGAACCAGCTGGACCGAAAGAGTATGTCCAGAATGGGTTGGTCTGATATCTCTATTAGTCTGCACGGTGCTGTTCTGGAGGACCTGCGTCGTCACTTTGTTGAGCGATGGAACTTCATCTATGATTCCAAGTACAAGGTTCGAAATGAGTCGAGGTATGCCAGACTTGCACTTTACGGAAGGCCGACCTCCTTTGGCGGCCAGCATGGCAACCAGCATCAGTCCACTCCGTATCCTTCGGGTAATGCTAGTCCGCAACAACAGCAGAACCCGACCCTGCAATATCAATCGCAGCAACAAGGAGGAGCTTCCACCTACCCACCGCCTCCAGGGCAGGCGTCTACGACCCCGCCGCAGCAGCACCAGCAACAACAACAGCAACAAACACCCACTCCATCTTACCAGGCCTATCAACCTGGTGGCGCGCAAACCTACCCACCACCTCCCAGTCAGAACTCTGGTAGCCCGCAGGCGCAACAGTATCAACAACATCAACAGCAGCCTGCTTCATCTTACCAGTCCTCCCAAGCAGGCGGTAGTCAAACCTACGCACCCCCTGCGAGCCAATCTTCGGCTGGTCAGAACCCGCAGCAGCAGTACACCTACACTGGCAATTCCTTCCCGCCGCCTCCTGCAGGACCTCCTCCAAGCCAGTCACCCTCAAATGCATACTACCAGCCCCAGCAACAGGGACAAACCCCCTACTACGCGCCCCCAACCCAGTCTTCCGCCAGCTCTGCGCATCAGGGTCAGTCTCAGGGTCAAGCACCATACTACCCGCCCCCGCCGGGCCAGGAAACATCTCACTCTAGTACCCGTGGAATGGGTGATAATGAATATGAAGGCGAACGTGGATTCGCACCACGTCGCTTCCGCGAGGAGTTCTCGCAGTACGGAAATCAGCTTCGTGGTCAGCTGGCTGGCCAAATCCATCAATATCAGGATAAATTGACAACGTACGGACGACCTACCTCTCAGGGTCGTGGTAACATGTCCTGTCAAATCGTGCGCAGTTGCGCTAAATGGAGCAACGGAAGCCCTCTGGAACACTCCATTGCCGATGCTTACGCCGCTGTGATCAAGAACAGTCAGCACTTTGTGTACATCGAGAACCAGTTCTTTATCACCTCCACTGGTGAATCTCAGCATCCGGTGAGAAACAAGATCGGTGCCGCCATTGTGGAGCGCATCCTGCGGGCTGCTCGGGCCGGCCAAAAGTACAAAATCATCGTGGTGATTCCTTCTGTGCCCTGCTTCGCCGGAGATCTGAGAGACGACGAGTCTCTGGGGACCCGGGCTATCATGGAGTTCCAGTACAACTCGATCAACCGCGGGGGAAACAGTATCATGGAGCTGATTGCCAAGGAGGGCTTCAACCCCATGGACTATATCCGTTTCTACAACCTTCGCAACTATGACCGGATCAACAATGCTGGTCTGATGGCTGCCGTTGAACAGCAGAGTGGTGTCAACTATGAGGATGCTCGCAAACAGTATGACTACAACACTGTTGGCTCTGGTGGTTGTCCCCCGAGTAGTACTCGAAGCGCTTTCGATACTTCTGCTCCATTCCAGCAGTACCAGCAGGCTGCTCAACATGTTCAGGGTGGTAAATCTTCTGGTCGATGGGATAGTGTCAGCTCGTGCTATATGTTGGGCGGAGAGGATATTCGCAATGTGCCGTGGGATGGACACCCCGATGCTGAAATTGACGCTTTTGTGAGCGAGGAGCTCTATGTGCACTCCAAGGTATGTGTTAACAAGTAACCCCCATGATTCTTCTTTGTTCTAACGATCGTAGGTGATGATCGCCGACGACCGCATCGTCATTTGCGGCTCCGCAAACCTGAACGATCGCTCGCAGCTAGGTTACCACGACTCCGAAATCGCAGTCGTCATCGAAGACTTTACCCCGGTGCAGTCTAGTATGAACGGCCAGCCCTGGACCGCCAGCCGCTTCGCCAGCTCTCTGCGTCGTGAACTGTTCCGGAAGCACCTGGGTCTTCTGCCTCCGCAGGACTACCAGCACCCCGACGCGAATTCCGAGCCCGTCGGCGTCCCAAACCAGTTCGATTTCGACTGTCCAGAGAGCAAGATCGTCGCCGATCCCCTCTCAGACACCATGCAAAGCCTGTGGAACTCCCGAGCCCACACTAACACCGAGGTCTTCCGCAAGGTGTTCCATGCCGTCCCTGATGATTGCGTGCGCAACTGGGCTACCTACAAGGAGTTCTACGAGTACTACTTCCGCAATGCGGACAAGGAGGCCGAGTGCAAGGATGGGTATGGCCAACCTGCTCGTTTCCAGTGGGGGCATGTAGTGCGCGATGACTTTGCACCTGGTGCTGAAGGCGCGAAGCAGGTCAAGGATCTACTTAGCCAAGTTAAGGGTACTCTGGTTGAGATGCCTCTGATGTTCCTGATTGAGGAGGATATTGCGAAAGAGGGATTGACACTGAATGACCTGACCGAGCCCATTTACACCTGAGCGGGAAGGGCATCGTGCATATGATGATGATATGACAGTTATCTGTATTTTGCGTGATTGCATGTTGTATCCAAGTTGAAACCAAGCAATTTTCGTGTTATCAGAAATCCCGGTAAATAATTCCCACAAGTACCTTTCGAACGTCTTTTTAGAGATCGTTTCCAAAATTGCGGCGTGCCCTTGCCAAGTATCATTCTTAAGTGTGTCGGCGTAGTCACAGATACCTCGAATGACAATGCAAGGGAATTGATTTATCAGTCCAGCTGCTTCCATTTCAAAACACAGAACTACTTCTTGCGTAGCCAATTCGTCTCGAAGTAAAGCGTCCTTCATTAGTGCAAATTTGAGCCGTTCAGCGTTTTCATGGCAAGTCATGTCCTCTGTGGATATCCCAGGGGGGATGCATAATCATCGTGATTTCCTCATTCCCATCAGAGGGCAATCTAGTATCTAGCTCCACCAATGAAAATTTCCACGCATCTGCAACCCGTTGATCTGGTCAATACGTTGACTCGAGAACCCACTCAGCATTCGCACTTTGGCCTTGGGTTTTGAAATCGAACATGAGTCGAGGCGAATGGTTGAGATAATTGAAACGACGCTATTTTGTATTAACTTATGAAGTGCGGCCCCTGATAACTGCCGGACATTTGAATGCGCACCCTCTCAAATCTACTTATACGTTCTGATTTGCATTTCTTCACCATTTCCACTTACAAATTATGACCTCGGCTATTCTTATCAGGGCCGCGTCCTCTGGAAAGAACGGGGCCATTAAAATATCTCCTAACCCTGGGCATAGTATGAGTCGGAATTATTGTCACTGCCTTTAACTGAAAAAATCTCTCGATCCCTAGATGATAGTCTTCTAGCTGAGCTCTATTTCAAAAATGAATTGTATTGAAATAATAATATATACGATACAAGATTAGATCCATTGCTGGATCTGTCGTGCCGATGGCTCGATAGAAGATAATGTCAATTTACTGCAAAAAAGCAGCGACGGCAGCCACAGCCCCAAGGGCACTGGCGAAAACGCTCACGCTCTTTCCACTCGCACCGTTGAAGACAGGGGTGGACGAAGCAGAGGCGGACGAAGAAGCCATACCGGTCTTAGAGCCGGTGGGCATAGGCATGGACATCGAGGACCAGCCGGACATGGAGGCCTTCGGGCCAGAAGATCCGCTGCACTTCGAACCCATTCCCATGGGTCCATTGGGCTCGCCAACCTGGAAAAGGTTAGAGTTGAGTATTCTGATACGTTTCAGATGTTCTCTAACTTACCTCGACGATGGCGGGACCGGCGACGATGTTGTCATCCGTAGCCTGCTTGTTGCCCTTGGTCAGGACTACATAGCTCTGGCCAGCAACACCCTCCGGAACAGTGACACTGAACTTGCCATCACCAGTGGACTCAAGGGGAGCCCAGACGGGTCCAGTGACAGTGATGAAAGCGGCGTAGATATCCGAAGTGTCTTTGGTCATGCCACTGGCAACCACTAGGTCGACCTTGGAGCCGGTCATGACGGGAGCCATAGAGGGCATAGTCAAGGCGGGGAAGGCCTTGACCGGCAGCTTGCCGTTGCTCTCGGGGCACGAGGCAATAAAGGCCGAGGCGAGGGTATAAACCTCATCGAAGTCGAGGGGGTCGTCGAAGGGCTGAGGGGCCGGGGCCTCGCCAAGCGCGGTACGCAGATAGGCGCTGTGGCGGGCTTCAACGGTCAAGATGCTACCAGCGGCAGTGAGGTAAGTCTTGTCCATGATGCTGGCAGCTGCACCAAGGTAGGCGCTGACTCCTACTCCTTCCAGGATACTACCGAGTGCAAGGAACGATTTGACGTCGGTGGAAGGGAAGACATAGGTGCAGGCCTCGACGGGCTTTGCGCCGGCGGCCGTCAGAGCCTTGGTCAAGAACTGGACGTGGTCCTGCTCGTCACTGGCGGTCTCCTTGAGGTTGGCGTAGAAAGGGTCCTGCAGGCCGGCCTTCTGAAAGTCGGCGTGGGTATAGTTCTTGAGGCCCTCCTGGTAGAAAGCGGCTTCAAGGTGCTCCAGGGTTAAGGCATAGTTGAGGATATCGGCATCGGTGATTTGCGCACGCTCAACGAGAGGAGTAGCGTGGGCAAGGCCCATAGCCGCGCCAGCAATAGCCACAGAGGAGAACTTCATTTTAAAGAATGACTAAAGTGAGAATATTGATGAAGATAAACATTTTGAGGACAAGGAAACACCAGCTACTTTATACTCTGGGCCAAGCTCAGCAAAAGGTGCAGAACGGCAGTGCTCTGTAGCTCGCAATTCCGAGGAGGGTACCTGCATCTGCCAGAAAAAACTCTATGTTCCCCTTTTCTTCTCCACATTTAGAATGTTATCTCCAATTTGGGATATGCGCGAGCCATGTTCCTGTCGATCTTCCTTGAATATTATGCGCAAGGGTCAGTCAGCGCCTACACAATGGCAATTTCGGGACAGTCCAAACAAGACTTAAATCAGGTTTTATTAGACATTATACCCCATTCGTGCCCTGAGTACATATATGGAGTCAATGCTTGGCAGATCGCAAGTTTGTGACTGGCGCGATCGATGTGGTTCTTCCGGCTAAAAGGGTTCCGGAGACTCCATGTTACAAGCTCGTGTGGAGCCGATCCAAAGGCCCACTTTCAGACGCCAATCGTAACCATTTCTATACGTGGAGGTACGAACCATTACGAGAACGAGCACGAACGGACTTGTACAAACTCTCTTCACCTTACTTCCTCCTTTTTCCTCTTGGCATGTCTCTTCAAGATCGAGCGTGAAACAAAAGGTCTTAAATCCGCAAATTCCTTTTTATTCCCGCAAGACTGCGCCCCAGGTCTAGAGCTTATTGCCGAGGGCCCACGTCTTCCACATCAAGTTACCCCATCCTCACCAGATATGGGCTGCATACGACTCACGGTCGTGAAAAGTCCGCGGAATGAATAAATGACATACTATTTTCCACCGCCCACCATGCCACCGAATCAAAAGCCGGTTGAGCAGGAAGACAAAATCCTACTTGCTACGCAGTCCCTTGGAAACGACCAAGCACCTACTATCAGTGAAGCGGCTAGTTGATTTAATATACCGAAAACAACGCTTATAGTGGCCGTTTGCTTAACGAGTTCCGACCTTCTAGGAATCCAATACGTTATGGTACAGCCCCCATCCAAAGTTACGGGTGGAAAGGCGGACGTTCTAGCGTCGAAAGCGGTCATTTTCGGCGTCGATTTCACAGGTCCTCAGATACTAGTTGTAATGATTCACTAGATCAAATCAAAGTTTGCCAATATCTGAAGGCGAGGAAAACACGAATAAAATGCAGATTCGTGTTATTTTACGAGACTCGGAATGTTGAACCCCCATTTTGCCGTTGGTATTGTTCCTCGAACAATACTAAGAATGTGTCAAAGGGCGGCTCTTTGTTTTGCGACAAAGATCAACTTCCGGAATCAACTTCCCCTGTCAGCTCCTAAGTTTGTTTGGACTTTTCCGGGGGTCCACTTGGTATTGTTTACTCGATTGACTGCCGACAGCTCCTGGCAGCGCTTCGTCCGAGCCTACACGCGTGTACTAGACACTTGCACCGAAGGCACCTCGGGCCCCCCACTCCTGTCTCGTGGCTTCCTCGCCTGAAAGAGATCTTTGATTAGGCCTCAGATCTCCGTTAATATTGTCCCTGCAAACGACAATATCAACATGTCCACGAGGAAGATTCGGGGCTCTCATCACACGCCGCGTCCTGTCACTCCAGCCGGTTAGCAAACAGCTTTCCAACGGCCCTTGCCAATGTCCTTGAACTGCCCTTGCTGACTGATAGACTATGCCAACTTGTTATCAAGGCCGCCATGCTTCAATCTCTCTCCCGCGGGACAATATCAAGGAACGCCACAATACATCACAACAATATCATCATCCCAATAACTCCATCTCCGTTAACAACAATCAAACCTGGAATCTCAATGCATTTCAATCAATCTCAGTAACGCCACCGGTATAACTACCTGGAAACCTCAACTCCATCCCAGACAACGATTCATATAAAGACCCATCCCACTCGGTCCAGATACAACTCTCTCCTCCTCATCCGCTCACAAACTCATAACCAATCTACTCATCTCAAACCAACTTTCGCTTTTCAAGCAAACCACCCAATCTTCCTAATGGAGTTCCAGAACACCGCTGTTGTCAAGGGTAAGCTTCTTCTTCTCCAACCGCATTGAACCTTCTACTAACACAGCACCAGCTGCCCCCGGTGGTGGTTGCGTTGTTATGTAAATTCTTACATACACGCCCCCGAATCGAACCATCCCACACCACCATGATCTGACTTTGTTCGCCAGCCAGCGTGGTTGACAATCAAACTTCAATGATTCGACTTTTCACTACACGAGGCTGAGAAGCACCAACAACCTTACAAAATGACCATTTTTCGAAACACGACCAGCGACACACTTTTGCTTTGGCGGATTCGTCCAGTTCCTTCTTTCTTTTCGGCTCGGTTGCTACATTGTTTCTTCGTCGAGTGTTCATCTTCCCATCTTGCCTTAGGCGAGTGGGTGATATGATATCGGCGGTGTACGATGCGGCGTTTGCTGATCTTGTTGTGGACGAGGGAGCGAGATATCTAGAAGAAGGGAGGCGGTTCTGTTTTTTTCTTTCTGCTGTTCGAGAAATGGTTGCTAAAAATTCAAAAAAATGTACCCGTGTGGTACGGGTTGTCGGTGCATGCTTGACCTTTTGTGGTGACGGTTCTGGTTTGTTGTCTTGTGCGGGATGTCTTTTGATTCGGGACTGTTTATTTGTTGGTCGTGGCAGCTGAATAGAACCCAGAATGCCTCCGAATCCCTTTTTGCTCTTGTAGAATTTGCGACGTGTAGACTTGATGAGAAATTAACTTTGCAAAGGAAAGGGAACTACTTCTTTTGGAGATTTCCAGTAAAAGTAAATGTGATATGTACGATTCGACGAGTCAGCACCCCAACTATATACTAGATCTACAAAAGCTGGTATCACCTGCTGAAACTGGCTTGTAGGGCCTAGTTCCATCCCTCCATCCCTTTCCGAATCTCAGACACTCGTGTCTCTTCTTCTTGCGTAAACGCCTTCAAATCCGAGTCATCGGTCCCATAGGCATCGTGAACCGCCTCTTCAATTTGATCCAGCGTGAGACCAATCAATCCTACAGACCGAGCATTGCCCACCTGACACATCTCCTTGCCAACAGCAGATTCGATGAGTCCATCGCCACCTTTGGCAGTAAGATCGGATTCAATGGCACGAAACAACTCCCGGAGGGGGGGAGAGGACTTGGCTACGGAAGGTGGCCACGGTCTTTTCCAGTTGCAGGGTATCCCTTAGAGAAGAAGACGAAAGGAGTAGATAGTAGAGGTTCAATGCGGAGTGCAAAGCCGGGCCCTCGGTTTGAGTGAGACGCATCCAACTGTCCAGTAGATTCGCAGAGGTAGCTGTTTTGACCGGGCCGAAGAGGGGCTGGAATAGAACCCAAAAATGAAGCGGGTCGTGGAAGACGGTATCTGCTGATTCGTGACCGATGATTTCCTCTCTCAACCACGCAATAGCGCTGTCCCGGATAGACATCAAACTCATTTCTTCCAAGATGGAGTGGATAAGTTTAAATCGTGTGGCGGAAGACGGATGACTGTGAACGACGGTCGCTGGGATCTGGCGGACAATACCATGTGTCTGGCGCGCTGTGCATGCAGTCAAGGCAATGGCGAAGTCTTTGAACTCTGTCTCGCTGGATGGTGTGACAATGGGATTTTGCATGGCGTGCACAGTGAGAGCCAGCAAGGAGTCGAGCAGCGCATGCGGCTGGCCATAAGCTACTTCATCCACATTTTCGGAGTGACCGAGGAAGTTCGCGAAGATCGCTGATATATCTGGGAAGACGGAGAGCGGTGGCATCTGAAGGCCAGATGTAAAGAGGGTAAAGCCCGCGGCACGGGCTGCAAGAAGTAACAGTGAGCCGTGGCGCTCCAGTGGAATTTCGTCCGGGAATTTTGGAGGCTCTTCGAAGTCCAGCGGAGGCGGGTGCTCCTGGGGGGAGCGGGAAACGATTGACAAGAGTTCAGTACTATCCATCCCAACATCTCGTGATAATGCCTAAATAATAACAGGGATCAGCAAATACCACGGAAGGCATGAACGCAACTGGTGACATACCACAATATTGCCCATGAGCATGTCCCGTTCTCTCAGTTCCTTGGTGGTTGAGTATGCCTGTGTCTGCGACTGTTCCGGCAACCGCAGAGATGGATGCAGATGCTCTTGCATGCGAACGGTCCAGGACATGCCGGGATCCATTGGGCCCGAGAAATTCAAGAGATAGGACTTGAGTAACTCCAACAAACCGAATTGGATGAATTTCCTGACCAAAAGGCTCTCGTTGTTTGCCGACAGTGACGGCGACGGTACTTCCGCTTCGGGATCTGGAGCAGAAATTTCCACAGTTCGCAATACGCTCGACTCACTTGAGGCTCGCGGGGGTGGGGCCGGTCGCTTGCTGGGAGAAACATCGCGGAGGAACTCGAGCAGGGCCAGAGTAGTCTCGTCACAGGGCATGGCTGTATATGCCTCGAGTGCGGCATGGAGCGAAGTCGCAATGAAGCGGCTTGGAGCTTTGGTTTGAATTCGGCCATGAAGCAAGGACAGCATGGCCAAGAGACAGTTGAACTGCAGTATATGTTTGGGTAACGAGCCATCCGTGGCTTCGTCGTCGTCGTCGTCGTCTTCCTCGGGCTGGAGCTGCATCAAGGCTTCGGACACCCGCAGGATGACCTCACGCGGGTTGCCGAGCCGGGCCACATCCTGCAGACATTCAGTGGATGCGGGGAGCATGGGCAGAAGCAGCTTGATGAGGTCCCAGCCGATGTTGGTAGTGAGGCGCTCATCTTGCAACAGCTGGTGGAGCAGTGGGAGGCGTTGGGGAGTCAACTGGTACTCGAGGAGGGTAAGATAGGTGAGATAGTCAGTGGCCGGCGGTAATGCCTGCACTAGCGGATCTTCGGGATTCATGGTTGGCGGGTGTGGAGGGTATCGAGGGTTGAGGTCGGCGCGGGGAAGTTGAAGTGAAGGTGACATCACCTGTCAGCCGCCGTTCGTGTGGCGCCAAGGGAATTTCTTAAATCAATTACACATGAAACGAGTATTTATATTGACCGCGGGATATTCTACACGTATGACACGATGACCAGCAACAAATAGTACGGAGCAGTACCACACTAGCAGGTCTAGGCTCGTTGGACTGGGCTCGGGTAGAGCAGTGCGTAGACCACGGTTGTTCCTGGCAATTTCTTGGGTGGCCGCCGATCGCCCTTCAGCCTTAAAGGAAGTATACCCCGAGCCAGTATCGCATGTTGTTATGCCCCCTTTGGGCTGCCAATCGTCGTCCTTGTACCGCGATACGGCTATGGATACAGCACGATTCAACTAGGAGTAGCTAGTGTCGTAAGGATGTCCTGCATGGGCAGGTAGCCAAAGGTGGTTGCCCGACTACGTAAAGATGAGAGCACTGAGCGAGCCGGACAATCCGATCCAAACCTTCAGCCGTTTATTTCCTTGTTTCCCCCCTTCCGGTCTTTTCCTCTTAAAAACCTCTCGGTCGTAGCCTTCTGCCTCTAAAGTCATTTACTCCTCTACCTCCGTTATATCTATCTTCTTGGGTTCCTGACTCCTGCCTGACCCCTTCGGACCCCGATTCGCGCGGCCTGTGCCTTTCCGCCTGCTTCCAGAACTAAAGCGCCGTCGATCTTCCAAATCGGCTCAGCTTCTTCACATGGGGATCACATCCATACGCGACGCTCTTTATTGAAACTCGAAAAACAAAAAAAGCCGTCGATATAACCCCCCCCCCCCCCCCCCCCCCGGCGTACGATAGACGAGATCTTCGCGACGCCCCAATCACAATGGCGACCGAAATGCAATCCTTTTATACCCCAGCTACCTCTCACATGTCGCGCGCACCGGCAGCCGTGGACGAGCTCATCAGTAAATACTCCTCGAGCATGAACTTGAGCGCGCCCCGGCGTAATGAGCGTAATGAACCTCGCAACCCGTTCCGGCACGTCTTCGATCGCGTACGGCTCAAGTACTACCGCTACGAGGTTACCTTCGGGCTGTATGTGCTGACGCCCGGCGAGAAGCTCGTTGCGAATACCTTCGTCTTGATCGTCGTGGGTCTATTCCTCTGGGCACTTCTCTACTTTCCGTCTTTGCTCTATAACAAGGCTGGCAGCTTCGTATGGCTGCTGACGGGCCACAACGGCCAGGCAGTGGGAACCGCGCTGGGTATCCCTGACCAGTACGGCAATTACAGCTCACCTACGGCTGAGAGTGCCCTGTCGTGACGACAACGCACCGGGAGTACTGGCTCGTAGTATCCATACTACATCTAAGAGTATAGCTCTTCGAGAATCTCTGCTCTGGACCCTTGCTTAGCGGACCGACCGGTCGCATTGCGCACTGCATTGTTTCGTGGATTTCCATGTTTCCATGTTTTCCTGTTTTATGCTTGGCTTTCATTCTTCACTCCGAGGTGAGTGTACGCGTCGGGCGTTTGGAGAGAACCATATACCACGTTCGTTTCGCGATACGTCGCGCTATAGACTATAATGACGCGCACCGCCAACATTGTCTGGCGGTCGACGAGACCAACTCGAGCACCACGAGCCCTTGGGCACCACGAGCCCTTGGGCACCACGAGCCCTTGGGCACCAGCGAGAAGGGAGATTCGTGCTCTCAGGCTGCGGGGACCGGACAGCATCGTGATCTTATTGCGATTCATATTAATTATTAATGTCAATCTCTATGTTACTTGAATCCCACTTGACGACTACTTGAAAGTATCTCGGATTATCTAGAAGTAGCTGAAAGTACCCATAGTCATCGCTATAGGACGATGGCTGAGCCAAGTCCGCGCTCCCATACACTGCCATGGCGTGGACGTGGCGTGAACATGGCACGAGGGCTGAGAAACGAGCCTACGAGGTGGGATTTGGGCGTAGCAGGCCTCGAGGTGGCCTAGAAGTGGCTTGGGGATGGCGAGGAGTCAAGACTGGAGAGTGGAACTTGCCAAGATGAGATCGAACGAACCACGCACACGCAAGGTCGCCGCGCGGCTGTGTTGATCGCCGCCCAAAAATAACTTCCCCGGTAATTAGACTGCCTTTCTTTCAACTTCATCTTCTCGTTTACACCACACACTCTCTCTTCATCTGTTTTCCCTTTTACAATCGCTTATAGGGTTTCCCATCTCTCGCTTTGTTTGTCTTTCACTAAAGCGCGTTTCTTCACGAATTTACGACCCCCGATCAGGCTTCCCGCAACCTCGGCTGCCTGCTGCCCACCATGGCCGCCAACGAGTATTACCACTCGAACATCCCTAACCCTCCGAGCTATGATCAGGTCGCAGGTCATTCGGGGGACCGTCTCCATGTCGCCCCAGGCTACGGCTACGCCACGAGCAATTACAACCACACCGACCCCTCCGCCCCCTATCACAGCCGTGAGAGTCAACAATCTTTGCAATCAGAAAATGGTGCCTATCCGGCAGTTGGGCGTGTTACAGACGGCGACAATTATTCAGAGAACATTCCGTTGAAGGCACAGACCCAGTATGGGAACAATCCTGAATGGATGCACCAGCAGACTGAGTACCCGCCCTCACCAGGGGCCGTGGAGGACCGTCGGCCACGTCCAAACAGAAAAAAGCCCGGCTTCTTTCAGAAGAAGCCGGCCTGGGTGACTTACACCCTGACGGCGATTCAGGTTATCGTCTTTATCGTGGAACTAGTGAAGAGTGGTGAGTGTTGCAGGCTTCACACAATGTTGGGAGGCTAAACTGACACTTTTTTTTTTTCTTTCCAGCTCAATTGACAGGTTCACTTATTGAGACTAAGCCCATGTTTAATCCCATGATCGGCCCTTCGCCATACGTGCAGATTTACATGGGTGCACGATATGACCCATGTATGAAGAGTATTCCGAACCTTCAGAACAACACCGTGCCCGTCTACTTGCCATGCCCTAACACTACTACCTCTGCATCCGAATGCACATTGTCGGAGTCCTGCGGGATGGGCGGAGTGCCCAACCCCAAAGTGGGTGGCTCGCTGGATGACAGTCCTTCGCCGAACCAGTGGTGGCGGTTCATTACCCCTATATTCTTGCACGCTGGTTTCATCCACATCGGATTTAACCTGCTGGTGCAGATGACTATGGGTGCAGATATGGAGCGAATGATTGGAATTTGGCGGTATACCCTGACTTATATGGCCAGTGGCATCTTCGGGTTCGTCTTTGGTGGAAACTTCGCCACACAACTCCAGCCTAGTGACGGCTGCTCGGGCGCCCTGTACGGTATTCTGGCTCTTTACCTGCTGGACCTGTTTTATGACTGGCCACAGCGTGAATCTCCGTGGGTAGAGTTGCTCATCATGATTCTGGGTGTGGTCGTCTCCTTTGTTCTCGGCCTGCTTCCAGGTCTGGATAACTTCGCCCACATTGGCGGGTTCATCATGGGTCTGGCTATTGGACTTTCTATCATGCGCTCCCCGAACGCTCTGCGGGAACGAATCGGGCTGGCACGCCAGCCATACGTCGCCATGTCTGGCGGTGCCGGCCAGGCTGCCCCCGCCGCCGAGAACCGGAAGACGACCAACTTCACGGACTTCTTCAAAGGGAGGAAGGGCATTGTTTCGTCATCCGATGATAATGCCGATTCCAAGAGCCCGCTCCGCTTTCTCAAGGGCCGCAAGCCTCTGTGGTGGGCCTGGTGGCTGGTTCGCACGGGCGCCCTGGTCGCCGTGCTCGTTGCATTTATTATGTTGATTGTCGATTTCTACAAATACCCCTCGCCAAGATGCTCCTGGTGCTACCGCTTAAGTTGTCTGGTAAGTTTCTATCCCCGGGGCTTTTTTGAATAATTGCTAACTGTTATTTTAGCCTGTCAATGGCTGGTGCAATCAGGATACCATCAAAAGCGGTGGCAGCAGCGACTAAGCTGCCTCGCTTTTGTCTTTGTTCATTTGGCGTCTTGGGTCATTCGAAGCGACAGCCTAGGTATGGGGCATCTGTAAATAGAACGCTTTAATCGGACATGTACATCCAGCTTTGCTGCTATCTATCTCAATACATACGTACCGGATAATGTCTGGCAACTCTTGGCTTTCCCTTTCCATTTTAGTGCTCACCCCTTGCCACTTTTGGTCGCTGAGTAGAATTGAGCCTGACCTGAGCGTCCTGATTCAATCACTGAACCTAGCCTGAGAGCTTGAGTGATACCTACCTCAATAAAATGCAACACGCTAGCCCCGTTCACGTGCAGATTTTCCACGCTAGCTTGCACAGTTGCTCCAACAACAAAGGACGGACATCATCAATGTGACCATCAATCGTGGTCATCTGGCTTCTGCCAAGGCAGTAATCGCTCAATAGGATCTGTGCATTCGGCCAATCAATTTCTAATTCCGGCTCTGTGCTCCTAGGAGTGTTTCAACTACTAGCCCCGTTGTATACTAAGAAGACTACAGTTCATTCCGGGCCGATAAAATTAGCAGAAAAATAAAGAAGCAGCTCAAGATCCTGGGAGCTTGATACAATCAATGCCCCCTAAGTTGCTGCCTTGCGTTCGTGTTCACTGGGCATGATATAAAATCCGAGTAAATTTTGTTAGACTGACGATACTTTTAATTCTAACGTTATTGCCCGTAGAAAGCTTCTTTGGACAGCGAGGGTAAGTACGGTCTGAGCTGGTTCTCTGTCTAGAAATACTAATAGTTTATCGGATGCAGACATCTGAACCTATCCCCGCTTCCATTGCTGCTAAATATGCGCAACGGCAAGCTCTGGCCCTTCTTGAAGCTATCAAATGTACTGAGAGCCAAAATCCTGTCTTGACAGAGCTCTGCCATCAACTATCTTCCGTTCAATCCACTCCAGGGAGTTTAATATCAGGACTAGAGCGTTACGGTTGCGAAGTTCAAAGGAATCTCGCTTTGGCCATGTGATTCATACCACGATCATAGGATGGGTCCACTAACTGCCTACCTTGCGGTGTCAACGAACGGCTAACATTCGCGCTTGAACATTACGAGTTCGTTCTTTCAATCCAAATTCAACTCCCAATTTGCACCCCTGCGTGCCAAAAAAAGGAATTGCATGGGGAGTGGGGGCGATATCAGGAATGCAGTGGTATAACTCGCCAGCTAACGCGCATATGACAACAGAGCACAAAGTACAATTTGAGGGGTTCAGCTTGGCCTTCGTCCCTGGCCTAGTAGCATCGCGAAGAATTTCCCCTCACTATCGTTGGCCTTCGAGCTCGGCTTACCCTTCCTCGAATCACTTCAAATTGCCCAAACGTGCACACTCTCCCGCCCCGTCCACCCTCCCCCAAGCAAAATGAAGAACAAGGAAGATGCCAAAAATGCCGTTATGGGTATCGCCAAGGAATATGGATATATTGAAAAAGATATCATGGATCGAATGGAACCCGACGTCCGGGTCGCCGTGGAAGAGAGCATGCGTGCCAAGGACAAAAAAGCTGCCCATGCAATTAAGACGTCAGAACTTTGTCTCGAAGAATACTTTCAAGTACCAAAATCGTCCTAATTTGTCTTCTCTAGTCTTGCCAAACATATATATGCTAGCGACGCCCGGTTCATTTTTGAGCTTCTTCAAAATGCGGACGATAATCGCTTCACGCACGCCAACACGCAAGGCGAATCTCCCTTTATCTCCTTTGAGGTTTATCCGGATCGTATCGTTGTCGAATGCAACGAGGATGGATTTACAGCAAGAGACCTTTCCGCCATTTGCACAGTCGGGGAGAGCACCAAGTCAGCCTCACACGGATATATTGGGGCTAAGGGAATCGGATTTAAATCTGTTTTCATCGCTGCATGGAAGGTCCACATCCAGTCCGGCCATTTCTCGTTCTTTTTCCAGCACAAGAGGGGCGACCTAGGTCTCGGGATGGTTCTGCCAGTGTGGGAAGACACTAGTGATGTGCTACCCAATGCCTTGACCCGAATGACACTTTACTTGCACGAGGAAGGAGATCCACAGGAAATCAAATTCCTTCGTGATATGGTGTTCAAGCAGCTGAATGATCTTCAGCAGACATGCCTGCTTTTTCTGCAAAAATTGAAAGAGATTCGAGTGGCATTCTACGACAACCACGGAGTTTTACAAAGCTCTAGAGAATTTCGAGCTGGAGGTGCTCGTAACTCCCGCTACTCCCTCGAAACTGAAATGACGGACGAGAATGGCCAGACCACTGTTGAATGGAAGCATTACCATGTCACCAGACAGATGGCAACAGATCTTCCAAAAAGCAACAATCGCGATCATCCCGACACAGAGGAAACAACACAGGCGTTTTCAAAGGCAGAGATTGTCCTCGCCTTCCCTCTCACGAAGCTAAACAGGCCATTGTTAGAGCAGCAAGATATTTTCGCATTTCTTCCAATCAGAGAGTCCAGTTTCAAGGTTCGCATGACCCTTCGAGGAGTTACATGTGGGTTTACTAATCTTCACCACAGTTCTTGATACACTCGGACTTTGACACTAGTGCGAACAGACAGGATATTACGAACTCGAGACGAAACAGAGAGCTCCGAGGCTGGGTTGCTAAAGCATTTCTGAAAGCAGTCTCGGAGTTTTGTGAGGATCCAGACCTATGTTATTCTTGGCCAGAGTTCCTTCCTCCAGTAAAGGATGACACAAATAAATTTTGGTCCGTCATGTGTGAAGAGATCAAATCACTAATTCGCGAAACTCCTATCCTGAAAGCCCGACATGGAGGCAACTTGCGGAAGATCAATGATGTTGTTATTCTCGTCAAGGGGTTTATGGATGACGAGGATAATCCTCTTCTCAATGATTATACGTTGAATCCATTCCTTTCAAGCAGATACTCCCCTGTCTGTACAAACTTATTGAAAGACTTCGGGCTTGGAAGAATGCATATAAATCTGGTGGTCAATATGCTTCGAGACGATCTCGAGAGTCCGGGCTCGAGAATGAGGTCTGATTATCCCAGTGCAGAATGGCACTCCAAACTCGCGAGGATGTTGCTACTCCCTCCAAAAGAAAGGATCAGAAGCCTCGGTCTCCTACCTCTCAGAAGTGGCGAATGGGTGTCTGCTAGCAGCATGTCCGTATATTTGCCTACCACAAGAGGAATTTCTGTCCCGCCGGAAGTGGATATTAAAGTCCTGAAGCCATCAGCAGTTGCCAACAAAGACAGAAAATTACTTTTCGAACATCTTGAAATCACTGAGCCATCAATCGCAGATGTGCGCGCTTCGATATTCAGAAGCTACAGTTCGGGGCATTGTCGAGTTAGCAGGGGAGATTCAAAAGCTCATTTGCACTATTTATATCTAACTCAACCGCCGGATGGTACTGAGACAAGTTTCAAGGGCATATATATCTACAGCGAGGGCGGTCATATAGGGTACCCGCATCGAGAAGACTTCTACCTACGCGCCGGTCATTCTTATGGGCCAGAAGAACTTCTTCTTCCAACGGACAGCGCTCCTGGCTTTCAAACACTCCTGCTTCACCCAACGTATCTCGAAAATGCCCCTATCGCTCCCAGCCTACGGCATTCATCATGGAGAGAGTGGCTTCGGAAATTCGTTCTTGTGAAGGAAAGACTCAGCCTCTTTTCCCGTGATGGGAAGACGATGTCAGAGGCTTGTAAGTATGTCTCGGAGCACCGTCCAGAGAAGTTTCTTGGTCTTCTAAAGTATCTCTGGGAATACGAAGGCAAAAGGATCAGCGAGAATGATGACCTCGTGAAAACCATCAAAGATACAGAGGCCAGCAAATTTTGTATGGCAGATATTACGGCAACTGACCTTGACCAAACCTTTCTTCCTTTACCGAGTCTCCAGCAAGTATGCGCACGCTTCATGGAAGAATATGAACCATTTGCCTTCTTGAAGATTGATGAAGTAGCCGCCTTGGAAGAACTTGGCTCGCAATGGATTTTTCTCCACACTGCCTTTTCTGTTGGAAAAGATGATGACCTGAATTTTCTTCTTGAGATATTGCGGCGGATTCACCAGTCTGACTCCAATGATTCTGATACATTTCCACTCAGCAACCCAAGGCGTATCTTGGACCTCTACGTCTCACTTGACTCAAAGTGTCTCGGTGCCGAGGATCAGCGGGCCGAAAGAAGACGCGTCAGGTTCGAGATCCAGGCTTGAACAGCTAGAAACCATCTGCTGACAATCCACAGGGAATTCATCCAAGAGAACAGTCTAGTTTTCATTCCGCACCTTGGGGAGCCTGAAAACTACGCTCCTGAATGGTTTGATCTAGAATCCTGCCGATGGGATGGTCCGCCAGGCATGCGGTCAACGTGTTGCCTGAAGTATAGCTACTCACGACTGGCTGACGAGGATCAACTGGAACACCTTTCGCGTTTCATTCGACAAACATTGTCAATAAAAAGCGTCTCATGGAAGGACTTGGTAATTGAGCTCGAGGCAATGAGGGATGATGGTTGTGAAGATTTGGATCGTCACATGGCAGTATACGAATGGATAAGCAATCTGATTGTTTTTGGGGAGGATGTGAGGTAAGTTTGGGGTCATGATTCCGGGCTTAACTTGCAATCACTGACCTCTTCACGTCAGAAATGCATTTCAACAGAAGGAGCTTATCTTTGTGGTTACCGACGGGAAGGCTGGTTGGTATAAGAGCTCGGATTGTTTGTGGTCCAGCACGACAGAGATCCGAGGAAAGGTGACGCTCAATGAAAATTACGAAGACCTAGAGAAGTTTTTCATAGAGACCCTTGGCGTGAAAACGCTAACGTTGCAAATGGTCTATGATGAACTACTCGAGGCAGGTCCACAGGCCTCGATAAATGATGTCAAAGCTAAGATTTGGTCCCTCAACGCGCTTCTCCAAACAGAACCTAGCGATATCGATCCAGATGCTTTGAAGCAAGCCTGTGTGCTTCCTGTCATCAACCCCGATGGTACAAAATCTCTGGTTACTGCAAGTGCAGATTTTGCCATCGGAGATCGAGACTATTGGACCAAAAAGTTTCAGCACCGCATCAAGTTGCTCGATTACAGCCTCAAATATATTAGACATCTGAGAAATTTTTTTGAGTGGGCTAGACTTGGCCATCACTACTTGTCTGTTGCGATCAGAGAATTCACATCCGTCTCTGGGGAGACACGGCCACTCATCCCCAGGCGTGATCGAGACTTGAAACGGGTAGCGTATGGTCTTCTCCGGTAAGTGCTTTCAGTCAATTATTTCTATAAGATGCGTGCTGATGACAGCTAATTCTGTAGTGTTGCAGCGACTTTCAACAGCCCTCGGTACCAAACCGATCCGACTAGGCTTTACGAAATGCTTCGTACAGCCAACATCGAAATGACCGACGGGATCACGTCGGTCTTGAGCATTTCCCAAGATGGAAATGTAACAGAGGTAACAGAACCAACCGGTGGCTTGCATATTAGAGAACAGCAGACGAGGATTACAATCTACGTTCCTGTGAACAAAAAGAAACAAGAACTCTGCTTCAGTTCCCTTTTGCCTAAGCAGTTCACAGACTGGCTAATGCGAGATGCTATCACGCATATCCAAGACAAAGTTGACAGCACTTTGCTGGCTGCAGTCACTGCACTTTTGAGTAGTGATCCCTCAGTCATGGATCTAGTTCTTGATCACCACGGTATCATTGAAATTGAGCTACCAAATGAAGATCCCATAGAAGACGATGACGACGACGACGACGACGACGACGACGACGACGACGACGACGACGACGACGACGACGACGAGTCAGTGTAGCGGCCCGTCACGCCTCACATATCGACCAGTGAAATCTCTGCAGAACCTCTGTATACTCCATCTAGGTCGAGTAACGACATCGATCCTGAATCGTCCTATTTCCCAACCTCTCCTACAAACACCCCCTCACATCCCAGGACTCCACTATCTGGAGGTCTTTCAGAAGGGGATATGGGTTATTGCACACTTCTCAGCCAAGTAATAGGAGCGGCGAGAGAGGGTTCTTTCCCCTCGATTGGAACTTATGATATGAGTGGTCTCAGTGAGGCCCTACTTAGAGAAGATAGTGGCATGCGGTTCGCTGGGTTCGATGGGCCTGATGTTCAAAATGCGTTTCGGTCGGATAGTCAGCGTATACGGGATGAGAAGATTGGTGCCGCAGGCGAGCTATACGTGAGTTCCTATTTCCCCTTCGCCTGTGTCTGAGGCAACTAACCAGCGCCAAATAGGCCTTCGAACTTCTTTCAGCTCTTCGCCCGGGTTTAAGAGGCTGGGGGCGTCATAACTGGCAAAGCACAATTCGAAAATATGTCAATGTCCACCCCTACTATGAGAACATGGATCCCTGGAATGGAAGGGAAACGGCAGATCTCGTTTACAATGATACCGAGGGCGACCTGACGGCCTTGCTTGTGGAAAATGGGTATCTTGATCCCAGTAGATGGCACAATGCGCGACCGAAGTATTTTATTGAAGTCAAGACGACTACAGGGCCGCTTGAGACTCCATTCTGCATGAGCAAGTATCAATACAGGCGAGTAAGTATATCAGAAAGCCACCGGCCTGTTTGCGCTAATTCAATGTAGATGCGGGCAGTGCACAACAATGAAAACCATTCCGAGGTCTACATGGTTCTACGCGTGTTTCGTGTACGAAGTGAAACGATTGGCATGAGTATATACATGGATCCCGAGCAACTAAGATTGAACGGTGACCTGGTATTCAGGGGGGAATCATGGTCGGTCGTTCCCAGATATGGCTCTCAATCCTAATACCTCTCTTTATCTGGCCATTAACTCAAATGAAATTGATATTTTTCTGTGTTCTGAAGCAAATAACATTCCATGTTCTTCAATGTCTCTGTTGATAAGTGTTAATTTGGATATCACCGGACTGAATTCGGTCAAAGGTACCCGTTGCGGCTTGGATACGTGATCCAGAACTACTGAGCTATTTGATACTTCCTTTCCTTTGGAGTATTCCTTTGCCTTTTCAGGTATGAAAATGTTCACCAAAGATCCAGCCACAACAAAAATCACCGTTCATGGTAAACACGAAATTGTGCAACATAATGCATCGCTACATAGAATGCATGCTAGTTGCGACCCAACGAGGCTCTAAAAATAAAGTGGCTGAGACGGTGTGGCTGAGTCAGGACCTCCGCTTACGCAGTCTACAGACGACACCGGAATTCCATCTCCTCGGCGATGCGGCGCTTTCTGTGAAAACCAAAAATTATCTCGATGCCCCTCACCCACCCTGTGCCATCGAGCATCTATCATGGCCACCCTGGCCTCCTCAACCCCCACATCGCCTTCCTGGCCGAAACGAAGCCCACGCGCCTGGGCGCTCCGCTGTGAGCGGTACTGCTGTGCTGCGGCGAGCTGCTTCCCTCTGGTATTTGTCTACGGTTTAACGACGTGGGCTGTCTACGTCGAAGCTAGTATCGGACTGAAGGACTCGAGAAATGACTGGATAGGTAGGGAGGGTGTAGATACCCCGTGGAGATCGGATCACTAATGCCGAATGCGTAACGCGCAGGTATCCCCAGCACGATCCTGGGAGTCGTCCTTTACGGTCTTCTCAACGTTTCTTATACCATCGCCGTCTTCACGGACCCCGGTTCCCCATTGTCCTCGGGCCGCGGCAATCAGCGGCACAACTACAGCGCACTGCCAGTCACCGAATCCGAATTACCCGAGTTCACATCGTACACGGTCAGCTCGACGGGCTCATCGCGGTACTGCAAGAAATGTCAGTTACCGAAGCCGGACCGCGCGCACCACTGCTCGACATGCAAACGGTGCGTGCTGAAAATGGACCACCACTGCCCCTGGCTCGCGACATGTGTCGGACTACATAACTACAAGGCGTTTCTGCTGTTCTTGATCTATACATGTCTTTTTTGCTGGGTGGATTTTGCGGTCGCAGCTACGTGGACGTGGACAGAGGTCCTCAACGACACACGATATATGGACACATACCTGCCCGTGAACGTGGTCCTTCTGGCCATCCTGGACGGTATCATCGGACTGGTATTGACAGGCTTTACGGCGTGGCATATCAGTCTCGCCGTGCGCGGCACGACGACCATTGAATGCCTGGAGAAGACGCGGTATGTTTCGCCGCTACGTAAAGCCCTCGATCGACGATTCGAGCAACAACCGCTCAATGGCCACTCCGGGGACCTGAATCAGGAGAGTCTGAGCCACCGACTACACGAATATGGAAACCAAATTATAGATGCACATGCGAATGCTATCCCCGGTGTTACTCGCGTCGAGGAGGGCGAGGACCGCCTCTCTCCGGCACCTTACCCGCCCAGCCACGGACCAACACTCGGTGATAATCAGAACCTTACGCCCGCGCAGCAGGCACTCTCTCGATCCTACGCCGAGATGGAACGACAACGCGAACGCGAACGATACCAAGAATACCTCAACGAGGAAGACAGCGAGAAGATGCCCAACGCATTCGATCTCGGCTGGCGGCGCAACCTCACCCACCTCTTCGGCGACCGCCCACTTCTCTGGGCTCTCCCTGTCTGTAATACCACCGGCGATGGCTGGCGCTGGGAGCCCAGCACAAAGTTTCTCGAAACTCGCGATCGAATGCGTCAGCGCCGCGAGCAAGATGCGAACAACGAGCAACAGTACTACCGGGACCTGTACCAGCGCAACCAGGATAACTCGCGCCACTGGATCGGCGGTGCAGGCACCGTGAGCGCGCAACCCACCTGGACGCCGAATAGACGGCAGGATGCCCACACCCCCGAGCGCCCGCCGACCAGTGTATCTATGCAGACGTTGGCGCCCGCGTCACCACGGCCGCGTCCTGGGGACAGTGATTTCGAAGACGAACCCGAGACCAGTGGCTTGCTGGATCCCGAGAGTGGACGGCGCCAGAGACGCAAAGAGACGGATGAATGGCGTGATTGGGATTGAAACCCGTATTTTCCTTGCATACATAGATCGGCGTTTGAAGGCGATTCGCCGAGGGGCCAGGTTGGCACATACTTGTACGACTAGCATGCTCAATTAAATGTATATTGAAGCCATGATAATGATTATGGTGCTGCGGAGTACAAGATGGAACTAAACGAGGATCCCGCGTGTTCCAAGGATCCAGTACTCCACTCCTCCCGCAGTCGATCTAATCTGAACCTCCAATCCACCACCTCACCAACTTCCCACCACAATCAAAATGACCTCCCCATCAACGCGCCGTCTACTCAAAGAATCAACAGACCTCCACAAAAACCCAAGCCCGTACTTCACCGCCGGCCCAGTCGACGAATCCAACCTCCACGACTGGCACTTCACCCTCGCCGGGCCACCCAGCCCAAGCCCCTACGCCGGCGGCTTATACCACGGCCGCATCACCTTCCCACCGACATATCCATTACGTCCACCGTCCTTCCGCTTCCTCACGCCCTCCGCCCGCTTCGAAGTCAATCGCGAGATATGTCTTAGCATCTCGGGCCATCACGAGGAAACGTGGCAGCCGGCTTGGGGGGTACGCACTGCGCTACTGGCCATCCGGAGTGAGATTTTCGGGTCGGAGAGTAAGGGGCAGGTTGGCGGGATGGAGGGGAGTGAGACGCTGAGGAGGGAGTATGCGCGTTTGTCCAGAGGGTGGATGTGTCGTGAGTGTGGGGTTGAGAATGAGGGGGCTATGAGGGAGCTTTGGGAGATGTGTGCGATGAAGGGTGTTGAGGTTGATGTCGAGGGCGCGAAGGGTGAGGAGAATGGGGACAAAGAGAACCGGGGTGAGGCTATACAGTTTTCGAATGCCCCGGCCCCGTCACCACCTGCAGAGCCGGCCTCTGCACCGGCCCCTGTTCCTGCGCCTGCGCCTGTTCAGTCGCCACAATCACATTCGCAGCCTTCCGCGCCGGCCACAGCTCCAGCTCCAGCTCCAGTGGCCACGCGTCCTCGACCAACACCAACCATTCCTGCTCCAACTACTGAGCCGGCCAGTAGCCCGTGGCTGGACCGCGCTATCGTGGGCGTGGTTATCGCCCTCGTCATCCTGGTTCTGCGGCGAGTGACCGACGCCGACGAACTATAAACACTTTCATTAGCATCATCCGGATTCATAGGTTACAGCGCGGCGTTAATGGGAACTGATATACGAGTTATGCTCTGACCCTAGATACCTCACAGAGTACATGGAGTAAAACTTGAATATACGTGATATAGAATCTTTATTCATACATGAAAAGCAAGTTAATGCTACCTTGAAGAGCACGGAACTGCTCAAGTCAGAATCATCCACCAGAACTCGCGTACCTTCCAGCCCGTGTAGCCCCCGGTTTCCTCTCGAGTTACCACGCCCACGTCGGCCAGCCAACCCAGCAGTAACTCGATCTCCCAGGCGCCTAGAGCAGGTTTGATCATTCCGCTGATGGTCTGCGCACTTACACCCTCACGAATGGCAACGCAGCCAATGACGGAGGCAATGGCCATTTCCCAGATGGGCCGGATGAGGCCCCCGTGAATGTCGAACCAGAAGGGGACCTTCGGCGCAGTGCCGTCTTCTTGGAATGCTGGCGGTGGCGGAGGACCTATGGATTCAATCCGTTCCTGGAGCGGGTTCCCGTAGACGTATGAAGTGGTCGGGTAGATATCAATGGAGAAGCGGAGTTTAGACCTGTCAATTTGTCTTGTAAGATACCCGCCAGTGGTCAGCCCGAACTTGGCCTTCGGGGCGTCGCGTGGCTTGAGAGTGAGACGGCCAGCAGCGGCGAGGTTAATCAGCGTGAGGATGTCACCATCGTCCGCAGCGTAATTGACCTCGAGGCTGCCTCCACTTTGGAACTGCGGGTCTAGAACGGTTGTTTTGTAATGAACTGCGCGACGTAGAATAGTGCATTCGATCGTGCGCTTGCGGTTGATCTGCTGCAGGAGGTGATCGGTGATATCGTAGTTGCGACCTGGTACGATACGGCCCCGGTTGCCCATGCCGATGATTCGGTCTGTCAACAGACACTGAGTAGCGGACTCGACCAGGGGCGCACCGAAGCGACTCAGGGTCTTTCTCGCTTCTTCTGGTCGATATGCTAGTTCCGGTGTGACGATGTTCGCACGAACCCATGACTTGGCGACTTCCAGGCGAGCGATCTCGGCCTTTCGTGGTCCTGCTGGTGCGGCTTTTCCGGTGTCCATGGGAACGGCGAACGGCACACGGGTTGTGAGAGTGCGCTTGTGGGTCGTGGTGATCATCGACGTGGTTCCAAACAGCTCATCACCGTTGGTAACGGGATCTTCGCGAAGTTCGAAGATGCTATCGAACTGTTCGCGGGTCGCCGGGAGAGAGGGAGCCCTCTCAGATGTGGTGACGTCGAGTTCGATATTCGCCCACTCGACGACTGCCGGCCAGTTGTACTTTTCGAGGTTCGAATAGTCGATTTTCGGGACCCGTCCCTTCTTGTATGCCTCGAGGAATCGTTCTTGGAAATCACGCTGCATCTTGAGGATCTGCAGTCGATTCCTGCTGAGAATTGACTTCGCTCGATCGTGTATGAAATTTGGGTCTTCAGAAGGAAATGCTGCCGACACAAGTTCCCAATCAATCACTCTGGCCTCCCATCCACCGGCCAGCACCCGGACAACGACAATGGCTGCCATGATCTTCCGATACATCGTGTCAGAGATTGTGGTAGTGAGTCGCTGGCGCCGAAGCGGCGGCTTCAAGCCATCTCGCTGGGTTTCTTTGCGCGCCTCCAGCGAGGTGTCCACTGCATCCAGGCGACGTTGTCTCGGTACAAACTGTGATGATCGGCGGGCCTTTCGGGTTTGATTGGGCGGACGAAGTCCTGAAGGTACCCTGACCGGCTGGTCGATGTCGAAGCGAATATTCCCCTCGATTGGGGCTGCGTGGAACGTATTTTGATCAAGGGCCTGGTCGACATATGGGTGGTGTTCAAGAATGGCATCGAAGAACTCCCCATGATTAAGCTCCCACTTAAGGATCTTGTCCGATGTGCTCGATGGGTCTTCTGTCTGGCGCGCCAGTTGTGTCAGGTGCTGGACAGAGTTCTCAACTTCAAGTGGTAGCATAGGCAGCTTGTCCTTCGTCTGTCGACCTCTGGCAAGTCGAGCTCCTGTGGTAAAAGTGCCACTTTGCGGATAGAACATCTGACCCGGGTTCATCAACAAGTTGGTAGATCCAATGGCAGATACGATCTTCACCGGTCGTTCGATCCTGGGTCTTCCTCTCGGCCGTGGAGCAGGTCGAGCAATCGATGTATGAATAGTGCCCGAAGAATCTCCTTCCGCTGGCCGACGTTGAGTTGTCAAGAGGCGCTTGGTCTTAGAATTTCTGGTATCGATCTCGCCCTCCAATTGTCTCATAAGCGCTCTGTTGACCTGGCGCTCTTGCCTCTTCTCTTCATTGACAGCGAATGCAGGTTTATGGTGCAAATGAACAGTCGTATTGGCCACAACAGGCAGTTTGAACCTCTGGGTGATAGGCACGTTTTGCCTGATCAAGATGGGGTCCACATCCACGTGAGGAGAATAGGAGATCCTCGGCTCGCGGGGGTCTGTGGCCAGTACTTGCTGCTGCATGCCCTTGACCAACGGATCGTTTGGAGAAATATCAGGCTTCGCCAAGATGGTTCTTGTAACCATCACCCCTTTAAGATCTCTGCCACTGAAAGTCAATTGGCGAAGCTTGCCGGAATCAACGATGTTCTTGATCGATGTTTTGATAGTCCGCATGTCCGGCCTCTCTTTGCGGTTGTATTTCATCCAGAAAGTCACAAACGGATACCAAATCTCGTTTCCAGATGGGTAGGCGCCACCGGCCTTTTCCACGATCTCCATGATGATCTTCCGCCGAATGATGGAAATAGAACCGCCTCTGTCGGCCGCCGCATGCCTTTTTGCATTCTTTGGCGAGTCTGACGCAACAGACGGGGACATCTCCTTGGATGAAATCGTTGGCTGTGAAGCCTTGATTGACTGGCTGACGGAACCATTGGGTTGTACCGACGATGAATCCTTGTTGTTAACGTGATCTGGAGATTCAAGTCGGCGTCTTTTCGGCGTTTTTCCTTGATCCACTTCAATACTCAGCGGGTGTACAGCAGCACTCTTGGCTCGACTATTTGTCGAAACTGTTTTTGCTTGTGCTGTTGACTGCACGATCTGTGGCGAGTCTTCAGCGTCACCAGATTTGGTCTGGTCAGCTTTATCAGTATCAATACGGGGTCGTTTGATGTTCCTTCCCCGATAAAATGTTGAATCGCTCGCCTCGGTTGGAGTAGGGGAATCGATCTGATCCAAAACACCCTTGGGTCGCTTAGACCGCCTTGTGGTTGAAGGGGTGGGTGTCAAAGGAGTAATTTCATGGGCAACGGACCCTGGAACACTCAGACCGGTCCCCTCGGCATCCGAGTCGTTGGCATCCTGGACAAACCATGGAAAAGAGGCCAATTTGTCAGATTTGAAAACTGCAATCCGGCTTTGTTTCGGACGACCTTGTCTCTTTCCTGCCGGCCTCCTCTTGCCCTGAGGCGTAATATAAACACCTGCAGTGGGACGGTCGATGAGCAAAACATTGTACTCAGTCCACGTTTCATCCATGCCCCTGGCTTCGAATCTCTCTTTCCTAGATAGGCCATCCATTTGCCTCTGTTTGCTTTTAACCGTCCTGGAGGGTGTGAATTCCAGGGCCTCGGGGGGTTCCTCAATGACTCGCGAATTCGAAGTTTGAGGGGTATTTCTAGCCATTTTCATCACGGTTGCTCGGTTCAAAGACCCTTTAGGGCGACCAGTACTTTTAGTTGGGACGGGTGATTGCATCGGGGTTCCAAATAGAATTTGTCCCGGGCCTTTTTGGACAGCTGTTTTGTTCGGTTAGTGATATAGTTTTAAACAAGTTTCAATTGTGGATTGAAAAGCGGACAAGAGATCATACCAAAAGTGCCGTCTGTCATCTGGACTGCCTTGGGATCGGCGCTCGAAAGCAGGTAATTTGATGGTCTGCACGCAGCGACACATTCGAACAAACTGGCCGTGCCATTCTTCACCAAGGGCTGGGAAGGTGGGCCTGAAGGGAGTCCGTATTGGTCGAGTTGTGGCTTAGCGTCAGGAGGTGGAAGTTGGGCCTTGTTTGCTTTGCCAGTCTTGCCCGCAAACTCAACAGCTTCCCACGAGGAATCACCGGCCTCGACTATTTTCGCAAAATTCCTGGCAGAATAGTGGATGTAGTAGAACACAGTTTTGTCGATGGCTGTATCTCGCACAATTGCCAAATGCCGAATATGAAGTGGCTGAGAGAGTTGCCAGCAGTCGGTCAAACGATGCAAAATACTTTCGGAGGGTCTGCGGTAGAATGACCCGAATAAGATCCGGTTGATATTCTTGGTACGGTCAGTTATCATGACGGCTCCGAGAAGGTAGCTTCAAACATACCACATTGGCTATTCCGGTCGTTCCAGCTCTGTCAATGATGTCAAAGAGCTGGTTGCCCGTAATACGATCCGGCGTCCAGGACGGTACTGTTCGTCCAGCCTCCAGCACATTGTCCTCTTGTTTCACAACCACATCGTCTTCATCTGCGCCTGAGGATCTTCTCTGCCCGGTATCATCCATTTCCATTTCGTCGTCCACCTCCGCTCCATCACCGTCGTCTTTGATCAGGTCGTTCCGGGTATACTCATGGAACTTCTCCATGTCCCTCTCCGTAGGTTCACGGACCAGCATGACACATGGGTGTAGCCGATCGTACTGGGACTGTGCCCTCACGCGCTTGATAACCCCAATGCGCTCAAACTTCCGAAGGGCACGAGAAAGAATTCTCCATCGCCAATTATCATTGAAACCGAGCTGTTTCTTGAGGTCATTGCGTGTGATGATGCCATATTTCTTGAGAATCTCAAACAGGCTGCTGATGAACGCGGCAAAGTCGATCATGGGTCGATCATGGGTCCCCTGGGACTTTGAATCGCTCGCTTCGCCGATTGCAGACTGCGAAAATCGACGAAGAGTGCAGAGACTGGTTCGTGCTGCTTTGATTTGGATTGCGCGCTTCTCGATGTATCCCTTACGTACCAATGCATCGGTTCGTTTGGGAACAGATCGTTTGTCTTGGCCACTGAGTTTCACCAACTCTGTTTGCGCGACGCCAGCATGGCCGTACGAAGCAATGATAGAGAGCAAGACGAACTCTGAAGGTGGGACCTTGTTGTCATCAGGCTCATGGCCGGCAATCGCAACCCACATTCTCTCGGTGGACACAAAGATCCGGAGCTGCGAAGCCGATCCAGGAGGGGCTTCATCTTGGGGCTGATCAGATTTTTCCGCTTCGGTGCTCGCCTGGGAATTTTGGTTAAACTGGCTGTCAAGCTCTTCCGCTTCATCGAGGCTGAGTCGATTCCATTCACCGTTCTTTCCCACAGACACCTCAGGATTGCGCGTCAGCCATGACCAGACCTTTACTTTGAAGAGACGATCAACAGTCTGTTGCAGCTGAGAGGCACTCTTGGAGTGAGTCTGGTAGAAAGTGTCAATAGACTTGAGGACCTCCGGCAAGGTCGTGCCTGCTAAATGATCAGTGATTATTCAGGAGATTAAGACAAAAGCATCGCCAAATCCCGAGCATCTACCCGTTTTTGCACACAAAAAATGGCCAGGCACATACATGCACGGCGGGTATACATCGTGCTGAGTAAAGTGGGTCTGAGAGGCTCTAGAGTGCAGGTATAGAGCACGCACCTTGGTTGCCGCAAAGCGCGACCTCGTTGAGCAGGAAATCTATCAGTTCCTGTAGACTGGGCGCCATGGCTAGCCCATAATGGTATGAAATTGGAGGAAAAGGTAAAGGGGGATGTTTAGAGCATGAAGATGTCAGAGAGGGATGGAATTTAAAAAGTGAAAAGTGTGCTTCGAACTCGCGTCACTTGAATTCGGTTTTCGGCGCGTGAGTCACGTGTGATTGTCCGCTTCCATGCCTTGGAAATCGGGCGTCAATGTCTTTTCTGCACGCCCCTAAGCAAACAAAATGCTTCTCTGGTTGCCTGTAATAGGAAAACCTATAAGCAAATAAAATAGTTACTAGAACTGGTAGTTCAGCTCGTCGAAAAGCAATGGCAAATAGGCTTGCGTTGACGCCACTGTTACCAAACAGACCAGGGTCGGTACGATTCTCAGTAATTGCTGTTATTAAAGAGCCAGCGATGTAGAAAACTTCTAAAGAATCCAAGTCATTTGCACGGTGCGTGGAATGGATTGTTTTGGATTACTTGGGATGTGAACCTTGGGAAAGGTATAGAATCACGCTTGCTAGATCAGAGGGTATCTATATACTTTAACACAGCTGAGAACCAAAAGCATAAGTCCGCCAATGCCAAACCGAAATCTAAATGCAACCCAAATGAAATCTGCAAATCCGTTCGGCAAAGTCGACAAAATATCATCAAGTCATAACTGTTACAGATTACTTCTACTTGGCTTCCAAGTCGCCGGTCTCCTCTGTCTTTTCTTTGTGGTCGCCGTCAACACCATCGGGCATGTTCTCGACGTTCTGAGAAACATTGTTGGTAACGCCGTTGGCCGCATCAGGGCAGTGCGAGGGGCCATCCGAGCCATTGACGGAGGGAGAGGACGCTGCGCTCTGTTTGTCGCGACCCCCCCATGGCATAAAGCGTTCTTGTACGGACGCAAAACGGGTGCGAGCAGTGGGCGCAGAAATATCGTCAACCCAGAGAATACCGCCCTGGCCGCGGTTCTCAGCCCAGGCCTCCTTCTCACGGCGAAGATCACTCTGGACCCAAGGGATGGTGATCAACGTCCAGACACCGGCCCAGGCGAAAGGGAGAGTCCAGCCGAGCTATGGGTATGACGTCAGTCTGATTCAGGTCCTGGTATGAACAGGCAACGTTACTCACCGTAAAGGCCACCGGCTCCGAGACGGTAAAAATCACGACCGTAATGGCAGCGGCGAAAATGATCGATCCTCCACTCCAGAAGCAGTTCATCTCGAAGAGCATCCGCCGGAAGTAGGGGCTGGACAGGTATCGTGTGCGCAGCGCGTACCGGTAGATCTGACCGCCTCCACCGTCGACTGCGACTACATCTTCGATGAGCGCATACAGCGCGGTCGGCATGACGGAGCCTTTGGGTGTTGAGGATATTCGGAAGGGCGCTTTGAAGCTGGCCATGCGCAGAATGTCGAGGGAGAGATGGACGATGCCGAAGTAGAACATGACGGTCGGGAGGACCATAGCGACGAGGCGTACATAGGGCTCTGCAGGAACCGTTCCACTGTACTCTAGTTAGCGTAATTCCACAGCTGGAAAGGATTGCACCCGAGCTTACACAATGAGCTCGACGGCCAGAATGAGCCAGACGATAGTAAAGTTGATGTGGAAAAAGTCCAGCTAGCACCAGTCAGCAAGGCGATCATGTATTGCTTGAGGAATCGCGTCTTACCCATGATTTCCTTGCATTCAATGGCCGGGCGCGAGAATTTTTGCGGAAGAGGTTGTGTAGACGGAAGAAGTATTCAAAGACTGAGACACCCCCCAAGCACGCCGTCACGATCGAAAAGACTTGACTAGATCAGTAATTGAACCTAGAATCCCAGAGGCTCAACGTACCCAAGTTATGCGATAGATCGGTGCAATACCATAGCACCCAGTACAGGATCAGGGGCTGGCCCAGAGTATCGACGACAAAAATGGTCCAGAAGATCGCGATGGCCTTCTTTCGCGTGTGCAGCGAATAAGGGAGCGGAGGGGGCTCGGATGGCAGAGGGCCGGTTCCTTCTTCCATCAGCGTGGCGACGGGTCGGTTCGAGTGGGAATAGGGGTGGAATAGGTCTGTTTATTTCAAGGATCACAGACACGCGCGCGGTCGGGGGATCAGGACATGTTGGGTTTGACAGGGAACTAGGGGTCTGCCAACCAGACTTGGAGTAAAAGAATAGGAGGAGAAGAGGCGATAAGGGAGTCTAAATCTAGTTTTTTTTGGGTCGGCCGGAAACGACGGAGTGTACGGGTACTTCCATGACCAGACAAATTGGGCGTGGTCGCAAGTACCTGACGTAAGGTATTCCCCATGATGTCATCACCTCAACTTGCTCTGTTGTAGTTATTTGTTTCACTATTACTCGCTTCTATTCCTCCTCGATATTGCCAAGGTAATCTATTTCTCGGCATTGCTCAGCCATTCCCACGCTCTCTGGTCTGTCTTGAAGACGCGGTGACGTGATCTGGCTGACGTGCACTGCCTACTATATCCGGCCGCATCAAACATTGGCATTCCATACGGGTGTTGGTGAGTTTGGATAAATACAAGGTGTGCATAAAAGAACTCATGCCAGACTGCACTCAGACTGTACATATTTTGTGACAGATAGACGAAACGCTTTGTCCTTTCTCCAATAATGCCAATGCCCCGGGTAAAACATCAGAAAACAGGAAATCGGGATTGGGACGTAGAACTCCCGGGCGCCGATCCCAGCCACAAGTTCAAATGCCGATCGCCGGTTCGCTCGGTTTTGGGTTTGTGCGCATAACTGTCGTCAGCTATGAGATAGCCCTTGGCATTAGATATGTAGCGTGAATGAGCGCTGAATGGTTCTCATGGTCAAGCTATCTAATGTCTAGTTCGACTGTAAACCAGATCAAATTGGAAAGGAACTCCGCATGGGAAATGCCATCGCATCACAGCTGACTCAGCGGATGTTGGATCCTCAAGGTTTCTCTGTACAGTCGGCGAGGACGGCGCCGATGTCTCCGACATTTACTAGCTCGGTAAACACTGGTCCACTCACCTGGGGCATCTTAACCTTGAACCCCGAGTGCTTTTGTATCTAACAGACATTGAAAACAGCCACGTAAGTGTACAAAGAAGATAAAATAAATCAAAGAGAAGCCACTTCGTCAAGACAGAGAAAAAAAAATATTTTAAAGTGTTAAATCAGAGAAAAAAGATGTCGCCACTCCCTCTATATATGGAGATCGAACCGAGACACGGGTATCTCTCTTCCCATCCTCACAAGATCCGAGTATTAAAAAATATCACAGATTTCAACGCCTATATACGGACCCGCTGGCACATGGAGGGTATCTCGGAGAAGTCACGGGGCCTAGAGACAAATCACAAAGGGGGTGCTTTACAGAGAGTGTGACCCGAGGATGAAGGTCACAGGGGTTGTTACAAATCGAGGATGGAAGGACTGAAATGGGGTAAATGAGGATTTGGGTGCGGTGAATTGTGTGGAAGGTGATCACTTCCGAGATATCAGTCTGCGGCCGAAGCTGCGGATTGTCCTTTTATTGCTGGGGGAGGAATGTTAGCATATGGGCGGATGGTTGGAACGTAGATGATATTTACCTGTCGTCTTGCTCAGTCCCGTTGGCTTGGACCGTAGTCATTGTCTGGCCGGAAGTCATGGGTCGGATGGGAGCATTGGTATTGACAAAGCGGCGTGACTCCTGTATAATGATTTAGCATGGTAGCAATAAAGTAACAGTAGGGAACTAACCTCCCAGCGAGAATCTACATCCACTTCACCGGCAGACCGAGAATCACCCCGAGGATCTGGATCTTCCGGGTCACGAGAATCCGAGTTCAGAGACGTTGACCTCGCCAACGGCGAAGCATTCGACTGCAGGGACTTTCGCGACGGTGCCGGCGAGTATTCGCTATTCGAGTCGTAGCTCGTCAGACTCAAGGCTTTGCTCTGTTTGGGATTCTGAAGATTGCTGGAGTTGGGAAGGAGTTGCGACGACGACGCAAGCTCGCGGAACTTTCTCTGTTGTTGCTTGGTAGGGCGATGGTGCGAGAACTTGTTTCCGAGAATAGCAGGCGCGTGCGAGATGAGCGCCTTGATCACATCCTTTTTGAGACGCAGGGCAAGGTCTAGATTCGACCATGTCTTGTTGCTATATTCGAGGACTGGCAGGCGGAAGACGAAGTCGTGCAGGTCTTCCAGATTGTGTTCACCTTTGCCTTTGTAGCTCATACAGAGGACCACGTCATGAACCTTGACTCGTGCCAGGGTCATGTAGTTCGAGGCTCGGGACATCATCTGCGACAGGTCGTCTGTAGGCTCCTTGGATTTACCACGCCTGGAGCCCTTGCTCAGAGCAAACTTTTTCTTCTCTTCGCCGGCGCTCGTGCTGTGAGCTGACAAGGATCTCTCCGTAGGCTGTTTTGCCAGCATGCGGATACTGTCGGCGGATTTCTTCTTTGACAGGCCACCGGTAGTTGCTGGACGGGGCTGTTGTCGAGCGCTGTCCGAGACTCCCAGCCGAGAGGTGTGGCTTCTTTGAATGGGCGTCATTGCAAGTCCCTTGACTTGACTCGAGCGTCGACTGGTCCTGCCCTCTTCAGAGAGCGATAAAGTCGGCTGCAATCTCAACTCAATGGAACCAGGGCCCTGGGAAGCTTGCATGTCATCCATCAGCACACTGTCATCGTCGGTAGTAGTCATGGACCGAGCCCGCGACGGATTGTTCGAGTCATCATCATCACCGTCCTCTGCGTCTGAAGCCTCAAGCGGCTTCATGTTCTTGATCATGAAGGGCGAGAAACCGCCACTTTCAAATGCGCCAGAGCCCATGTTTGGGAAGATGTATTCGAAGAGCCTTTGGCCCAGTTCACGTTCCAGCTGGATTTTGAGTGGGAACAGCGACACTTCAAAGTTGTCAACGACAGGGATGCCAGCAACAGCTTCAAGCATGTGCCACTTTACTCGCAACATGAAGTCATCCAAGGGCCGCGGCTGGTCTTCATACGGCGAGATGATCTGGGGATAGATAGCCTCGGGAAGAAGATTCAAGCCATTAATACGTTCAATGGCCACCAGGTTGTGGTTGGAACCGTCAGTATTGTCTGTGCGTTCAAACTGAGCATTCTTAAGTTGAAACTCAACCAGTGGCGCCGACGCTTCTATCATTAGATGCCAGACAACCTCGCTCGCAGAGATGCTCCAGCGCAAGACGCCATTCGTAGAAGCACTAGGGTCAGCGCGGCGTTGGGAGGTGGTAATCGCCTTCATCATGAAGAACAACTCGTCCTCGCACTGAGACAGATCGCGCTCGAGAGCCAATCGGTCGTCCCAGCCCTGCTTATCCAGGTACTTGGCATTGATCTGGAAGTATTCTTTGATCTCTTCGAGTTGACGGATGCGCGCTTGTAGCTTAAACACAGCTTCTGGGGCACCACGTAGGTCGCTAAAGTCGGAGGTGAGCATGATCTTTTCCAGGCGCTCATTGCGGACCTTTTCGAGTGGTTCGCTATAGAGCATAAGATCCAAGACAATAATGTACAGGGAATAGTACTCTGCCGAGTCACAAATCGCGCGGAAGTGAGGGAAATCAACACTAATCTGATCCATGCGGGTTTCGTCGCCTCCAGGGTGTGGTCCCTGGTGACCCTTAGCAACCTCCTCATTGTACTTCAAGCGAAGGTTGTTATACTTGTCGTAGCGAAGGCTGGCGGAGGTCTTTTGCACGATGCGAGAGAATCCGAACGGATTCAGCTCAAAGTCAAACATCGCTTCAAGGGTCAACCAAGGAGGCCAAGCGGATCCAGGCGCATTGCCGTACTTGTTGCCTGCGTACAATTGCAGATTGGCCATGAGGTTTTTCTGCGTGGCAACAAAGAACTGAGCACCGTCCATTTCGAGAGAGAACCGGCGCTGCACCAAGCCGCTAACATCGTCCGAGACACGCTCTTTGTCCATGATGGAGACAACCTTAAGTTCCATGCCTTTGGCAGCCACCAGTAACACGGATCTGCGGTTCTTCTCGCTCATAAGTTGGATCTGAGGAGCAATGAGTCGCAAGTAGTAGCTGTTCTGCGGCGTGAACTCGGGGGCGATATTTTCACTGGAAACGTCCGAGTTTTCGGGTGATTGAGTGTTCGAGTCCGACGGTTCGTTCTCCTCGGCATTCACATAGCGCTTGGCGTCATTGAGCAGCTGCTCAATGCGATCTTCCACATCCTCGTCATCATTGTCACTGCGAGTCTGTGTCTTGGACATCTTGGGTTGCTTCCGCTTGTTCTTATTTTGTTCTTCCACGATGTCCAGAATGAATTTCACTGCTCGTCGAGACATGTAGTAAACGAAACCACGTCGCTGGCTAACCTGATGACTGTACCGCAGAATGATGTTTCGGAGGGAGTTGTTCCACTTCAATTGCACATTGTGGATCATGAAACGATTGTTGAATTCGCTGGAGAAATCATCAGCGGCCGAGGAATAAAGGTCGTCAATTCCAGAAGTTCGGCCATCCTCCCCATCTAAACCCGTTCGAGAGGAAGCATTGCTAGGAGCCGGACGGTCGCCGCCAAGGTTGTTGGGATGCGGCGTTCGTTCATCGCGTGCCAAATGCCTCTCAAGTCGGTTAAGAGTGGAGATCAAGAACTTCCGCCGTCTCGTGAGAGATTCCGATTGACGAAGGTACACCTCATGTTGTTCTTTCAGAGCCGGGTCATGATCCACGTCCTTCATCAGTCTAAGTTGCTGTTCACCAATAGTACGTTCAAAGTTGCGAATTTGACCTTCAACAGTTGCGAGGCGATCCTTGGTCAATTCGATCTGTACGCGGCGAGGATCGTGGGTCTCGGACATGACACATTCGTGAGTAGGCTCGTCCCCAAAGGTACTATAGCCAGTCTGTTCCGGTCCGATATCACCATGGTCTGTTTGGCGAAAGTAGGTGAACCGAGGAGTGAAGGCAAGCGGGAGAATTTGAGTTTTCGGGTTTGACTCTTGGGGAAGAATCCAGTCGGGTTCCACGAAATCATCCATGTCGATCCAGTCCAAATTTTGGTCGGGAATGGTGAATCGAGAGAGATCAACAGATGGCAGTGGGCTCTGGAAAGTCGAGATGATATCATTTCTATTATTCTCAATATCCTCGGCTGTGGTACCTTCAATGGTAGCGGAAACAGCCCGGAAGTCGGCCGATTGCAAATCAATCAAAGCCTGATTCATGCGCATCGCGGTTGTCTGGGTCTGCTTGGTACGGCCACGGTTGTGAGTCCTGACTAGTTCACGTCGCTGATGAATGTCGAGCTTCAAAGAATCCAGGCGGACCTTGAGACCGGTCGCTGTCACAGCGTTCTCAGAGTAGTCTTCACGGTCCTTGTGCTTGTAGATATGGGCGACAAACAAGGGCGCAAGAAGAAGCTTGTATTTAACAGTTGCCAAATGCCGATTAAATTTCTTGCTCGTCTTAGTGATACCCGGAAACAGCGGACCCTGGCGAACAGGGAGAGACATGATGCCAGAGAAGAGCGACCACCAGTTGAAGAAGTGGGTAAAGAAGCGAGGAGTAAGATGGACTGTATTGTAGCTTGAAGATGGTTGGATGTCATCAACGGCCCAATTTCTACATTGAGGCGCAATGACTGAAACAGACAGGTGAATATGGTCACTGCGGAATCCACGGAATGCATCGTAATTGGTGCGCTTGGCTGGGTCGACAAACTTGGGGTTCTTGAGAACCACATCGTAGTGCGGTCTGAATGAGAAGGTGCGTGAATCGTCGTCAACGTCACGCTCAAACACCAACCCAGTTGCCCACTTCACGTCACCTGAAAGCTTCATGACAACCTTCTTGAAGTGGGCCGCATTCTTTTGCTCGCTGGATGCTGAGCTATTGTCCAAGTCTTCTGTTGTCGACTCATTGGCCCATCGAGCCTCTGCGCTGTAATCAGGGATTGCGAGCACATATTCGCCACTCGTCACACTCATGAACTCCATTGGATCATCGCTGGTGTGAATTTCCCACTTGACATCTCTTCTCCAACACATGACAAAGCCGCTTCCGAATCCTGTCACCACATACGGATCGCGAGAACCTTTGAGACGCAGATGAACGTCACCGTCCTCCTTCCAGAGAACCCTGATCCGGGAGTGGAAGCTCAGACGAATCTTATCCCAGAAGCCAACCCGTTCGGAAGGATCAATTTCGGGTTTGGTGAAACCTTCGATGATTTTCATCATGTCCTGAATCACGGGCTGATACGAGACGCCCCATGAAATACTTGTTGGCAAGCTTGTGTTGATCTCAAAGGTAGGATCCGAATACGTCTTCACCGGCGTCACAGATCGCCAGACCTTGATATGGAAAGGATCAGTGTGAGACTTGTCGGGTAATTCGGTTGAAGGAACAAGTTCCACGTCCACTTCTCTTGCAGATTCATGGTCTCTGAATTCTTCTGCGATGACAAAGTTTGTCCGTAATGACCAGCTGGGAAGCCTTGGAGACTGGCCAGGGCGCAGAGCTGGAATATGCAGCAGGTCCAGAGGATAATCCCGCAGGTTGACACGAGCTTCACCCATTTCAAGATTGAAGCTCATTGGAATAAGCAAGCCATACTGCATATCCATGGGCATTCCCTTCCCGATGCGATTAAGGAATGTGGGAAGTTCGTCCATGGGAAACGAGGGCTTGTCGATAATAAGGTTCACGTCGCTAATGAGTACTGACATCAAACCCGGCCTATTCGGAATAGCAAGAATGGTCTCGGTCTCTTTCGCGTCGTCCGGCGGCTCATCAGCACCAGAAAACAAGTTGCGCACCTCCTTGATAGAAGTTCCCTGAAACCTGAGTGCAGCATCAATCTTCTCCTTCCAAACCTGCGCATTATACTGCTGCAGACGGTTCCATGCCGCGTCTGTGGAGATCTTGTATTCTGAAGACAGACAGGTCGCACCTTCGGTATCATAGCGGAACTTTCGACCCCGGCCATGCTGCTTCGGCTGCTGCTGCTGCTGCTGTTCTTCTTGTCTTGGTCGCGAATCCGCACTCCTACTCCTCCGAGTGTCTTGACTGGTTCGCTCACTGCGCAGCGTTCGATTGCTTGACTTGGCCCGCAGCCTTGATGAAGCACGCTTTTGATCCGTTTCCCTAACCTTGTGCGCCTTCAACAAGAAGGCTTCTTCACGAGCAAGGCGCTGGGTCTGCTCAACCAAGCCGGTCCGGTAGATGCAACCCAGCTTCCATTCGAAGGCATCATCCTCCATTTCGAAGAGGAGAGCCTTGCTGCGAATGGAGATTCTGGGCACCTTCTTCGGCCCCTCAGGTGCGCGAACAGACACGAAATCTCTGCACCGGTTCTTGAAGCGGTGATGCAGCTGTTTGAATGACTTGGAAGTATTAATCAGATTATCAAAGATTCGGTGCATCACCATATGGTGAGGAACACCCAGCCGAATGAAGTCGGCGGCCAAGTCAATGGATCTCTCTTCGGTGAACTGGCCGGACTGCTTCATTCTCATCTTGCGGAAATCGAGCCGTACGTTGTTCATGCTTCCAATTCTTGCCCATACTCCCTTGAGCTTGGGCGCCTCGGCGTGTAGACGAACAAGGTTAGCCTTGACATGCGGCGTGGAAAGACGTTGGGAGCCACCAGCTAACCCATAGATCTGTAACATCATTGGAGGGTCATTTGGAAGGTACGCCTTGAGTTGAACGACTGTCGCCTTGGCATCGAAAGTGACTAGCTCACCCTTCTGGGAGGAGTGGGATGATGGCGGCGGTGGCGGCAACGATATGCTCGGGGCACCTTTCTGTTTTCCTGTAGGTTGCGGGGTGTTCCGAGGCAGAGGCGTGATGACATCTTGAATCACCGAAGTCGCAACGCCCAAACAATAGAAGCGATAGAGCGAGTATTGAAGATATATGCCTTTAAAAACAGAGTTGACATGAAGGACCGGTCCCATCCGATCGCTCTGTGTGCTCAATGCGATTTCAAACCGAGGAAGCGAGAAGAATGGCTCGGGCTCAAGATAATCATCCGATTCGATAACGAATCCATCAAATCCACGTGCATGGAGTGCCAGACGTCGGCCATCTGTGGCGCCACGCTTGATGTTTTTCGGAGGTGACGTTGGGGTGAACCTAAATGGAGATTCGTCGCCGATCGTGGAATGACTGGAGGTACGTCGCCGGACGATGCTGCCAGCAGCGTGCTCGGTTTTCTGGGCTTTGTATTCGGCTGTCCAAGATTGCAGTTGCAAGGAGACACCACGGGAAATTTCGGACACGGTATTATCGACACCAGCGACTTCCAAGCTAAAGCCTGTGGCCTCGAATGAAAACTGAAGTAGCCACGGTGGAATTCGCCGCAATGGGCTTGTCTTGCGTTCAAAGGGCATTGCAGCCCGTTTCTGTGGTTGCAGGTGTGTCCGGAATTGTTCAAAGACTTGGCGGATCCCCCGATTGACTTCACTATTGATCATGTGTATGGAGCACTCGTTCAAGCTTCCTGAGGCAATGACACACAGTTCCGGACTTGCATTAAGATGGGCCTTGAGCTCCATGCTTTCAGTGGTCAGCAGATTATGCTTGTTACCAGCAGGTGTCTGGTAGTAGAATTTGTGTGATGTCACCCGATAGACAGACGACAGAGAATAGTGTGCACCTCCCTCGATGGAATGCGAAGATTCGATGTCAAGCGAAATGGAAGAGATGGACGAAATCAGGAGATTGTAATCGTCGGGTTTGCCAGACTCTTTTTCGATGGGCAAGACAAATCGAACCACAGGTTCATGGACGGATAGCTTGATGCTTGCCTTTGGTAGCAAACGAGAAATCAGTTGGTGGTTGTCCCGCTTCTTTGACCTAGGATAAGACGCTCGCGCCTGTGCCAATTTCAAGAATCGAGAGACATGCTGGGGTTGCATGTCCAGAGAAGGTGACGTGATAACTAGGTTGGCAAAGAGAACATTGGAGTTGCGCTCTTCCGGGTTCTCATCTTCAAACGCGCTCACAGTTTTCGAGGGTAGTGTGGTTTTGATTGTTGTCGTAGCCATGGGGATGTAGAGAATATTGTCAGTCTCGCCCGAGTCATCACCCAAGCTGACCGAAAGGGAAATTGCAGCGAGCAGTGCTTGGTGCGCAATGTCGTTCCGCTGGAAGTACATGCGATGCTCCGGGCTCTTCTGGTCCATTCGGTGAAGATCGACACCGATCTCATGTGATACGACATTCAGATAAACGGGATTCTGACCAGCAGAAAGGGATTCGAGACCACGGGAGAGGCGAAAGAAACTCAAGGCGACTTGGATCTCTTGTATACCGCGAAGGAGAGAGCTGGCGAACTCCTTCGAATCTGCCACTGTTTGGACAATCGTATCATCTCGGCTGCCAGGCTTGTCAAGTTCCTCCACGAAGTCCGCAAATGACATCTCGTCGTCCGTCTCGGGGATCGCAGGTTCTTTTTCTGTCGGCTTCTGGAACGATTTGATTCGTCGCAACAGCAAGCGGATATCATCGTATGGAACATGGAGACGTCCGATTTTGAGCGCCACCGAAGCATCCCGGAGGCCTTCCAAATCTTTGTAGAGCAATCCGTGGAGGTTCACACCAACGTGATCCAGAATCTCAATTGGGTCGCGACCGTCGACGGCAAGTAGGACATTTTGTACGTTCATAATCCATTCAGCCGGACGCTGTTCACGGGACATATCTTTCTTGCGACGAAAGAGCTTGCCACGTTCCACCATTTTACTCCGGGTGTCCACGGTTAACGAGAGCGATCCAACCTGGATCTGGCCGGCATCGGGGAAGACGATGGTGGTGTTGACTGCGTTGAGGTCAACCAGAGCAAGCCAATTAATCTGTCTATGGAGGCTCTTGAGGCGCTCCTTTATGCGCGTCAATGTCCTCCATGTTTTGCTCCGCGGAGTGGACCAATCGGGGGCTGCTTTGTCCTCGGGGGAAGGGCTGCCTGGCACGGGTGATCCTAACAAATCTCGAGATGGCTCGGGCTTCCCTTTGGACAGGACGGCCGTGTCTAGCGTCACCTTCAAGTCCGTCAACCGAACACTGATCCATGTCGGCTGCGCAAAGGATGGCGGATGTATCGAGAAACCGAGACCGCGGATTTCGATATGTAGACCTTCCTTCGGGGAGTAAGCGATTCGGCGGAGGGAGAAGTATCCGATGCGCTGAATCGAGATTCCGGTTGCAATGCGAACGATGGCGAAGACGAAGAAGGACGAGAGGTAGAGCAGGAGGAATCCCACGAGGATGGAGGTCGGGTTGAAGAGGGTCATCGCGAATCGCGATCAGCAGGGGCTGATCTATCGAGCTAAAAGAAGCAGCACCTCACAAGACATCGAGTGTCGCACGGTCTGGTTCAATTGTGTCGGCTTGCTGCTGGGTGAGCTTCCCGTTGTCGATCCTATCTTTTGACTGCCTTTTGGGGGGAAGCGAACGGTTGACGTGGAAGAAATTCCACGAAACCCCAGATTCGCTAGCAATGTCAACAGCAAGACGGACCGCACACACCACAGTGAAAGGGACAAGGGTGCAGGTGAAGCATGTCGGAGCTGTCAAGTTCACGACGTTGAGTCTGGAGAAAGACAGATTCATGGTTCGGACGCGCCGGAAGAACACACCCACCTGCGAGCGGAACGCTAATCTTCCAAACCGGCTTTTTTCTCCATTCGTCACTTTCTTATCTACTGTCTTCACATTTCATGTTCTTTTTCTACTTTCTAGGATGTTCATCCCTGTCACTGGCTGCATTTATACTCGCTTAATTGTCTTGTCCTTCCTATTTCACGCATAGGTCTCGTGTTGCGACTCCTGATGATTTCACGGTACAGAACCACCGTGGGGCTTTTTTTTTCCTTACCTGCGATCGGCGCTTGCTGATTCGGCCCCCTATTTATGCACCGATAGTTCGGTGGAGTGGATTGACAGATTTACGGTATAAACATTGTTCAGATTTGGTAGAAATACATGGGTTGGTATCACGGATTTGTACAGAAATTCCACCGTTGACACGTGCACGTGTGCGCGATAAGTTCTCTTTTTTACGGAGGGTCGCAGGCTGACACATCTGGGTCAAAAAGGCTCTGGCAATGCACGACGTTGTCCGTGCGCTGCCACCCAGGCTTCCGTCTATTACCCAACCCGTCGGGGGGCAGAGTTGCACTGGGGCCGTGGTGGGTAGGGCATTAAACCACCCGTTATTTGACAGGGGTGTTAGGGGTGTGAGGCACGGGCCGGGTCTTCTCTAGCTCCTCGATCTTTTCATCAAGGAGAGCAATTTCAGCCTCAATGCTCAGCAGCTTCTCGCTGAGGATGCCCCGGTATTCTTCGTCTGACAGGTGTCGGAGTGGGATCCATTTAGATTCAGCCATCCGCTGTAAAAAAGGCTTGCCCGGGTTCTGGGCCTTTTCCATCTGCCATGTATCAACCCTGTTGAAGGCACTTTGACCACAGTAGCCGAGTAGTGAGAAAATGACGAAACCAGGCACCAGGCGGCCTCCTTGGGACAAGATTAGCTGCTCTGCATCGAGAATGATTTAGGGAGGAACGGTACCCATAAGCCTCGTTACCACCCCACCAGATATGCCACCGCAGAGGGCACTGACATATGCCCGCTCTTGAGGAGAGGTCTTATCTTGAAAATGAAGCTTGATGATGTTGCTTCGCAGCCCTAGATGCAATGCACAGTTAGTCTGTTGGGCCAATAACAGAGAGATGTCCAAGACATACACCAAAAGGCTGAACCGCATGCAAACCAGTGAATACCGCACGACAGTGAGTGTACCACTGGATTGGGGGACCTGATCACACCAGCAGCTCCTCCATAAATCAAGCCCGCAGTTCCTGTGAGTTAATTAGAGATCGTCGTGTTCCTGAAAGTGTCCCCAGGCTGGGAAAGACGGACTAACCACTCAGGCCTCCCACTTTGGCAGCAGCCAGTAATGACTCCTTTTGGAAGCCAGCATCGGGATTATTTTGGCCGCTCATGTTGCGAACGATCTGAGAGAAGCATGAGCATTCCCTGATCCATCGAAGAATGAAGAGCGAGGCGATCGATAAATTGATGGCAGATACCAGTCACGTGTCCTGTGGTTATGTAATGGGACTCGGTCACGAGGGATTGTTATTTTCCTCTAGTCATTTCCTGTTTATTGGTTATTTTGGCCTAGTGGTGATCCAAAGTGCTCACTTGTAGTATTTATGTCATTTTACTCGTGGTAATTGCTGGATTTTGGTGGTTGGTGTGCAGAGAAATTGACTAAGAAAGCCCTCCCTGAATATATATCCGGAGGGCTCGGCACAGTCGCAAAGCAAAAGTCGACCAAAATATTGATCAGAATGAAAACATCGGAAAGATTTCAATGTTCCAAGTATCATCTATAGGGGGAGATGGCCACCAGGCTTGAAAGAAATTTCATTATGAAGTCTAACAGGCTAACAGAGCCGACGGATGCAAAAGGCAGGAAAGTAGCTCAGCTCAGATTCAACCTCGAGAGTACCAGGTGGGCTCAGCGCCCAGACCGCATCGCGAACAAAGAACTCCCTATCAATTCCCCCCAAGAGGGAACAGAATGGCAGAGAAGGAATCGAAAAGAAGAAAGTCATTACAGGAACACATTTCTCACGGGTCTGTACAGGGGACGTTCTCCCGTATGCAGGGCAGGCGCTCTGATTGGACTAGCGCGCCCAACTAAAAATTATCACGGATTAACTAAGGCCGCTTGGTGCAGTCCCCGATTGCCGACTTCCCCTCTGACCAACTTTTCCACGGTGGACTGTTATCCTGACACTTGACTGGAACGACCCTCTGATTATTTTCTTCCACCTTGCACGGCTCCTGGACTTCTCCCCGGGCGTCTCCGAATTTTTTTCCTCTTCTCTTCTTTCTCCAAACCCTTCTGTGTGAGAAGCGCGCACAAGTTCGCTGGCGCGTTTCTTGACCTCTTTTTACCGCAATCATGGGTTCGTGAAGCCCTCCTTCCCTTCTTTGGTCGAATGGCCGAGTGCTGTTGCGAGCAGCAAATCCTCGCCGATCGGCGCATTTGTGGTGGTTGAGCACAGCTGACGATTTTCCCCCACCAGCGCCCGCTAAATCCAAGGCCCAGAAGATGTCCCTCGGGAACTTCTTGGCTGATGAGAGTGAGTATAACGGAAATTTACAGGCCCTAGAATATTCTTAATGCTGACTGAGGGAAGGCCTTGGCTCTTGGGCCGATGAGATGGAGGACATGCCCCTCCCGTGTAAGTTGCAGGATTCCCCGCCATGACCTTGTTGACCGTATGCTGACAATCTGTATAGCCGGTATGTCTTGCCCACCGGATTACATGCTCCCCGATTCGTGTCTCGAACGACTTACTGATGTGCTGAACAGCCCCCGCGACTTCCAGCTTTGGTGCCGGCCGCCCCTCTGGTGGCATGGGCTTCGGCGGCAGCGGTGGTTTCTCCGGTATGGTGATCCTCAAACCCTAAATGGAGATATGGTTATTGTGTGGAAGGGACAATTGAAATCTGACATATGCGACTTAGACCGTATTGAGCGTGGTGGATATTCCATTCGCGAGCCCCTCGACCTCCCCACCGAGCCTCCGTTCACTTGCCACGTCGGCAACCTGTCCTTCGATGCGACCGCCGACGACATCTCCGACCTGTTCTCTGGATGCGGTGTGACCAATGTCCGAATTGTGGAGGACAAGATGACCAAGGCCCCTAAGGGTTTCGGTTACGTTGAGTTCGAGACCGTCGAAGGCCTGCAGAAGGCCCTGGATCTGTCTGGCACTTCCCTCCAGGGACGCACCATCCGCACCAGTGTCGCAGAGCCTCGTGAGTCCCCCGTGGATTCGTTTCCCAAACGGTTTCAGAACTAATGGAATAATAGCCAAGGAATCGCGCTTTGAAGCCCGTGATGTCGACTGGACCCGCCGTGGACCCCTTCCTGGCCCGCCTGAGCGCCGTATGCCCGAGCGGTCCAGCTTTGGCCGTAACATGGATGCCGCTTCTGATGCCGGAAGCGACCGCGGTGGCCGTCGCAGCAACTTCGAGGGTGACGGCAAGTTCCGTGACTTCAGCAACTGGGAACGCAAGGGCCCTCTTTCTCCTTCCGCTGGCCCTGTGCGTGAGGGTGGCCGTCCTCGTGACAACGATGGCCCTGGATCTGGCTTCCGCCGAAGCTCGCCCGCTTGGGGTGAGGGTCGTTCGCAGGATGATGGATCTCGTCCCCCGCGCCCGGAGCGCGCTCCTCCCGCTCCTACCGCTGCTGATATGGACAACCAGTGGCGCGCTAGAATGCGCCCCGACCAGGCTGCCGAGCCCAGCAACCCTCCCTCTCCCGCCGCCCCTGCTACTCGCCCGAAGCTGAACCTGGCCAAACGCACCGTTGCGGATGCGCCTACCGGCCCCGCCTCGGGTGGTGATTCGAAGGCTAGCCCCTTTGGTGCGGCTCGCCCGATCGACACTGCTACTCGTGAGCGTGAGGTGGAGCAGAAGCGTCAGCTTGCCATCCGTCAAAAGAAGGAGAGTGATGAGAAGGTCAAGGCCGAGAAGGCCGAGAAGGCTAAGCAAAAGACCCCCGGTACCGATTCGAACAAGGACGGCGTCGATACTCCCCAGGGAGCCAAGAACTTTGAGATTCTGCGACGGGCTGGTGGTGATGAGAGCGGCATGCCTGCTGACGAGGAGACCGTCGAGGAGACCGCCGCCGCTACCCCGGCTGCCGAGGAGGCCCAGAAGAAGGAGTCCGCTAACGGCAACTGGAGAACCGCGGAGGCTCCCGCTCCCACCGAAGATAACGACGGATGGAGCACCGTTGGTACGAAGCAGCGCAACAACCGTCGTGGCCAGGCCGGTCGTGCATAGATCCCTCGATACCCTCAAAACAACCACCGCTCTCGCCCGACCTGCGGCCTCTGATGCGCAGATGAGTCCGACAATGCATGCAATGTCGCACATTGATCCCGACACACTCTTTCTGGAAAAGACCTCGCTCTACCTCCCTCTCGGTGTCGGCCTGGGGTCATAATCTTGCATCTGCACTGCACGCCGAGTGCGGCTTGTGGTAGTTGTTCTATCCGACCTTTCCATCATCTTCACTCCTCTTTTGTCTCTGTTCTCATGATCTTTCCCCTTTCTCTCCGGGCTAGATTTTCGATACACATCTAGTCCTCGCTCCTGATGATTTGGCAGTCTGAAAAGTTTCCTTCCGCGGTTTACCTTATGTCTTGCTTGTTGTTGCTACCTAGCTTCTATTCCCATGCGTGATTACAGTGATTTGTCCATGATCATTACAGCCGATGCGAAATGAAGATTACCCGTTTCTCCTTTCCTTTACTTTCATCCGTCCTTCTGATCGTCCCTGGGTGATCTTGTTTTTGTCCCTTGTCTGCCGTCCTTGGGGCCAGATTGGGCGTTGGAGTGTGGACTCATGTCCCTCATCCGCAAGCCTCGCCTTTCCAGTCCCTAAGACCAGCGATGCGAATACGAACGAGTCTATGAGAGACGAGGTAGTCCACCATGAGCATTTTCCATGATCACGCATCTGTGATGACAATGAATCTCTATGTTCCCTTCAAGTTCTCTTCTCCATCTCTCTACCTGCCATAGCCTTGTGCCTCTAATTACGGCCACTTCATTCTGCCATGAGGAACGCTGGAGCCACTGTCATGCCCTTCTATTTTAGATTGAAATGCAGTCTTCATTGACACAGTTGCCTTTCACAAGCGGAGACCGTAGAGACAATATAGTACTAGTATGCACCCCGGACGGGGTCCTTGCCCTACCTCTTTTCCGCTGTGGAGTCAAGCACTGGACCACATGCTAGCCCCACTGTCCTCGTGCGGGTCAATCTCTTTTTCGTTTTTGGCAGGAAAGAAGACAGGGGGGCATGAGGAAACTATTGAACTTTGCGTTCTCCGCGCATCAATAATTGATACCGTTCTCCAAGGGATACACGACCCCGTAAAGAGACAATTGGTCGATAAGTGGCTCGCCCAGCAAGGGCGTTATAAATAGGATGGCACTAGCGACCCAGCGATGTTCAAATTCGGAATAGTCTCAACGTCCACGAGCACCAAAATGAGGTGCATCTTGTGACAGGTGAATGTCCGAAGCCACGGGGTGTTCCACTGGGGGGTATTCACCGGATTCACCGGATTCACCAGTATACCAGAACTCGATACTTGGAATTTTGATTGAAGTCTACGAGCAAAGACGAGAGAATAGATTTAGTCCAGAAAGTAAGAGAAGAAGAAAAATTGGATTGTGCCTGAGACACGTATAGCCGGTCCAGCCCATTGGACAAAATAAACAGGTGGCGCAGGTATGGAGTTGATGAACCCCCTTCAAAGACTCGCCCGGCACTGGAAATGAGTCGTGTTTCACGATCGTCTGGTCCTGACCGCTTGTCTTCTGGCTGCTTGCGTCTTGTCCAACGAGGTGTTTGTGTGTTTGTGTTCTCTCCCTGGTCGCTACCTCGGTTTATCTACTTTGCTGAAAGTCGGGGTAATCTCCCCATGTTGTCATGTCGGCTACGACCACCACGCTCACGACCACCATGCTTGTCGGATCGCCCTCTGCTATGACGAATGCCTCGACCTCCGGAAAGCAGTGTCCGGCCTGTGGAGGCAGCGGTGCCTGTAATGATCCCTCCGAGGTGCAGCAACGGATCCTGGAGCTGGAGGGGCATGTCCAGGAGTTGAACGAGCGCGCGGCGCTTACTAGTAAGTGTGCATCACGCCGTCTTGATGCTGTTCGAGCGCATCTCTCGTGCTCGAGACAACTACCGGGACTCTATCCAGTCCACGTCTCTACTTGCATCTGGAACTCCTCCGCTAACGGTCTCTGTCTCTCCATGTAGCCGGCAAACTCGCCGATTACGAAGAAGAAATCCACCGACTACGCTCAGCGCACGCCGCCTACGCCTCACCACCCCGAAGCAGCTCCTCCCAACCACCGTCATCGTCTCACGGCGACAGGGCACTGTCACCCACCCAAGCCCCGATCCCTGTATGCCCAGAGACGACGGCGCATATATTTCCGCAAGCGCCGCAGAGCCGTCTCGCAACCCTCACCTCCTTGCTTCCCTACCGCCGCGGCAGCGCCACACCAACCAGCGCACCGGTCCCGACCACCCCGACCGCACCGACCATCCCCCTCCCGCAAGTGTCATCCCCGGCTAGCAGTGACAACACCTCCGAGCTGCAAGATGCGCTGAACCGCGAGCAGGGTCTGCGCAAGGCGGCCGAGGCGCAGCTTACACAGTCGAACACGGAGTTGGAAGAGTTGACGGTGCAGCTGTTCAGCCAGGCGAATGAAATGGTGGCGCAGGAGCGTAAAGCCCGCGCTAAGTTGGAAGAACGGGTTGCCGTTCTGGAGCGGAGGGATATTGAGAAGCGGAGCCGACTTGAGCGGTTGGAGAAGGCGATGGCTCGGGTTGACAGGCTGCGGGCTTTGGTCAATAAGTGATTTTGGCTTTTTCCCTGTGCTTGCTTTGCTGCTTTATGACTGCTATGATTGGACTCTTCACGATCGGTATGGGATTGGGCGTCTTGGATTTGGCAGGGCTTCATTTTACGATTCCCGGCTTGCATTCTGGTTTTTGGTTGGCGCTTCATGTGGGTTGTGGGATTGTCCACTGACGGTGGACGGTGTTTCGTGTGCTTGTTTTGTTATTGGCAGTTAATCGTTCGAGGCTCTGGCCTGGTTCTGGAGCCGGGAAGCTTTCCATTTCCAAGAACACGAGAAGATTCCTGCGGTATTGTTCATTGCTTTCGCTGGTAGATCTTGATGCATTCATAGAATTGTGGGGTTGGGAAGACGGCCCTGTTGGTAGAAAGGCCATCCAAGCCTGGAGATATATATTGCTTACAGATCACGAGCTCGCTGTAGGTCTTGCGTCATGCATGATCACCACGCCTGTGAATCGGTAGCCCGAGGCATGAAGGAGATGTGACTCCCACCAGGAATCAGATCAACATCTGAGTATAGAAAACTAGGAAACCGAGACCGGCTCACTCAGGATCGTAGTTCTGATGGTCTAGACTTCAGACTTGGAAGTAACATTGGAACCGATATGACTTGGGGCAATGAAGAGCCCCAGATCTCCACCTTCTGAACAATGGACTCAAGTAGCGAAATGGATGAGTTCATTCACTTTCGAAAAACAAATCCTTCTATGGGTGAGCTCACAACGGCCGGGACTCGCGATGGTCGGGAGCAGGTTGGACCTTCCCAGGTCCCTCGAGGTGGACACACGGGTTCCCGGTGGGCTCTTTAAGTACCCCACCTCTCTAGGGCAGTCCCTGCATGACATCTCATAGAACAATCTTGGATCTCTCGTCAATTCGAATCTCTTCTATTCCATTATCAGCTCCCAGAACCAGTTGAACTATGCCTATCGGCGTAGCAATTATCGGAAGTGGTGAGCATCTTCTGTACATCGTCGTGGACAACCTCAACTAACGGTCGTCAGGCCTTTTTGCCAAAGAGCAGCATCTGGTATGCGGAATATGCCCGTAATTCCCGACATAGCTGACACTCTGTATAGCCTGCTGTTCAAGCTGCTGCAAACTTCCAGCTCAAGGCCATCTACTCGCGTTCCCTCAAGTCGGCACAGTCGCTTGCGGAAGGCAGGTCCGGGGTTGATCTCTACTCCGAAGACGCGGGAGCTGGCAAGTCTTTTGATGATCTACTGGCCCGTTCAGAAATTGACGCCGTCATCATCGCGTACGTCATCCATGTTGACATTTCTGAAGAGATCGAAACTAGACAAGCTAACAGCCAGTAGTCTCCCCATTCTGGTTCAACCCGAATTCATCAAGAGAGCCCTTCTGGCTGGCAAGCATGTCCTGTCCGAGAAGCCCATCGCCAAGGACGTTGCCACAGCCCAGGAACTCCTGCAGTGGTACGGGGCCAATATTGACCCCAGGAAGACATTCTGGGCCGTGGGCGAGAACTACCGATACATGACCAAGTTCCTGTTTACGGCTGAGCAGGTGCGAAAGATGGGCAAGGTCAAGCACTTTCGGGTAAATGTCCAGAACTTGGTGAAGGAGGATAATAAATACTACCGTAAGTCCTCTACACTAACCTTTTGTTGCGTATATGCTTACATCTTACCCAAAGAAACTGCTTGGCGTAAAACGCCTGGGTATCAAGGAGGCTTCCTCCTGGACGGTGGAGTGCATATGACTGCTGGCCTGCGCCTGATCCTGGGCTCAGAGCATATAACTGCATTGTCAGCCCAGTCTCAACTGCAGCAAGCATACCTACCACCGGTTGACACGGTGGACGCCGTCGTTCAAACCGGATCTGGTGCTACAGGTATCATTTCCTTGTCGTGGGGATCGCCGTTCAAAGACAGCACTTTCGAGTTTGCCTGCGACAAGGGCGTGGTGACTTTGAAAGGTGACGATGTGACAGTTGATGGCAAAGCTTACCACGTTGAGTTTGATGGCAATGGAGTTGGCCCCGAAGTCGCTGATTTCGCGACAGCCATTGTTAATGGATCCCCGGTTGAGAAGAGGCAGTCGCCTGAGGCTGCACTGGCGGATTTGGAAATGTTGGAGCAGATGCTGAAGAGTGGCGAGCGACAAGGTGAAAGAGTGAACCTCCAACTGCAGGTGTAAATTGTTATGTTTAGCAGATAAAAAGTCGAATGACACCCATGCTTTCAGGATATACTTGAATGGCATCCCGAATAGGAAGGCTTGGCAGGGCATAATCCACTAGAGCCCTACGATGACATAAGCACACTCCCGTTCGCTTAGAACGCTCGAAGCGCACTAGTGTGGACCGCCCACTCGTCCGCGTCAGTGTGAAGTTTTCGAGATTGATTTCAGTCCGACTCGACAACTCTCGAACGCCCGGCGAGACCCTACAACACCGCCAAAGTAAGTCCCGTTATCGTCCCTCCGCTCTCCTCAAACGGCATACTGACAGTTTTCCTTCCAGATGGTCGCCGCAAAGAAGCACATCCCCATCGTGAAGAAGCGTATGTTCCCGATCCCCGACCGTCCCCATTTCCAGCCTGGATAGCATCGCCCTTCGACCCGCGAATTGGATGAAAAGCCCGGAGGAGGAAGAGGAGGAAGTCGACAATGATTTGGAAGGGTTTGGACAGGCGACACATTCTTTGCAGTTGACGGGCGATTTTATCCACGGACCTTGAAAAAACCACGACGACACACAGGACACAGAATTGAAGGACTGACATTAACTGCAATAGGCACCAACCGCTTCAACCGTCACCAGTCTGACCGGTTCATGCGCGTTGACCCTTCGTGGCGCAAGCCCAAGGGTATTGACAACTGTGTCCGCCGCCGCTTCAAGGGCCAGATTGCCATGCCCTCCGTACGCCTCTCCCCCCCCAAATGAAGATAATGCTCGACCGTCGCTAACCTGCCGGGAATAGATCGGTTACGGTAGCAACAAGAAGACCCGTCACATGATGCCCTCCGGCCACAAGGCTTTCCTCGTCCACAACCCCAAGGACGTTGAGCTCCTCCTGATGCACAACCGTACCTACGCTGCTGAGTACGTTTCGCCTACGATATTATCCATGGAATAAAAACTAACCGCGATATAGGATTGGCCACGCTGTCTCCTCCCGCAAGCGTGTCGACATCCTCGCCAAGGCCAAGGCTCTCGGTGTCAAGGTCACCAACCCCAAGGGCCGTGTCACCACCGAGGCCTAAATGGAATGAACCCAAAAGTTCTGTTTCATTTTTTCGGTGTGGTACTCGCAGGAGCACGAGAGGGTCGGGGTTTTTGTACGGTCGTGATACTATCACTCTGGCGATAACGAATTTCAAGGATAGTGCATGGCATGCCATGTACGGCTTACGTCTGGTCAATTCACCGGGCGGAGCAAGAGAAATTTCTCTGAAATGACAACAAAAATTCAAAAATCCCTTTCTGGATGTTTTGGACATCTCAATAAATTCTAAGCCGTAACCGTTGTACCTGGTCGAAGACGGTCGCCGGCGCGCGTGACCAGTGTAGTCCCGAAACGGCTCCCTCTTATCGTAATCACATCCGCCTCTTTAACTGTAAGTGCCGGAATTGGTCCCAACCAACCAGCCAACCAGTCAATCTGACCCTGAATGCTACTCAGCAATGACGATTACTGATCGCCAGACCCACATGCAGGGGGCCCTCGTGGCGCGGCCTATGTAACGCGGAAGAGAATTGAAGGAGCCAGACTGCTCTCCGAACATACACACGAGACGGTTGCAATGGCAATTACCCAATCTGCACAATGCCAAACAGCTACCGTGGATTCTCTGTTCACCCGAAGCTACCGGAGCAGAGAGAAACCGGATTCATTGACCCCAGCTATCATTACTGAACCGAGCGTAGCGTAGGCAGTCGCGCCAAAGATCAGCTCCGCAAAACCAGTACCCCGAATGCGCGGACTGCCAGACTTAAAAGGGTCCTTCGGATCCCGGCTTTGTCAATTCCTTTGATTCAGAAATATCGACCGCCACCGTGATGGGGCTTTGAGTCTCCCGTTTTCCCCCTCCCGTCCTCTCCCCGCACGATGGCCACCCTCCCCGCTCGCTATGGGCGTTGGGTGCCCGTCCTCATACCACTGGCTCTTCTAATCCTGTTCTTGCATTTAAATGCCCGCTTTGGCGATACACGGGTTGTACTCCAGCCCGCCTCTTTTCCGAACGAAAACGAAGCCGAAGTTCCGCCCGACCCGAAATCGTCACCGTCATGTCGCCAGCTACCAGGCATTGAAGATGTTCTGGTCGTAGTTAAGACCGGAATCACGGAATCTCAACACAAGGTCCCCGTGCATATCCGCACAACGCTACGATGCATCCCGAACAAGCTCATCGTCTCCGACTTTGAGGAAGACATTGACGGCCTGCGCACGCTGGACGTCTTCCGCAATGTCTCTCAAACTTTGTATTCGAACGACGACTTTGCTCTGTACAACCGCGCCCGACAAGGTGGGCGTCAAGCTCTGACGAGCGAGGATCATACAAAGGTCGCCAATAGCGCGGCCGGCATGATGGACAACCCGGGTTGGAAGCTAGACAAGTGGAAGTTCCTGCCGATGATCCACGAGGCCCGGGCCCATCGGCCCGATGTCAAGTGGTATGTCTTCCTCGAAGCCGACACTTACCCGATCTGGCCGAATCTACTTGCCTGGCTGGAGAACTTCGACTCCAACGACAAACTGTATCTCGGTAATCAGATGATGATCGGGGATCATACCTTTGCACACGGCGGGTCCGGCTTCGTAATCTCCAATGCGGCCATGCATGCCTTCGCGGATTTCTATGCCGAGCATGCGGATGAGTGGAACGAGATTACCAACAACCAATGGGCGGGCGACTGCGTGCTGGGGATGGCTCTAGCCGAAGCAGGCATTGGATTGACCTGGTCCTGGCCACATGTTACCACCCAGTCTGTCTGGGAGCAGGATGCTCTCGGCGAGGGGTTCGGCAGGCCGCAATGGTGCTATCCTCCTTTTACATTCCACCACATGACGCCCGCCGACGTCGACCAGATGTGGAAGTTTGATCAGGAGTGGTTCTCAAATGTGAGAACCCGCAATTTCTTTGTCTTGGACTTTATCTTTTGTCGGTGTGCTGGTTGCTTACATTTCTCGAAATTTCTAGGAAAACCGAACCGTTCTCACGTACGGCGACATTTTCCAATACTTTATCCGCCCGATGCTCACAAACCGCCTCGATAACTGGGACAACAATGCCCCCGACGGCGACAATAATGCCGACTACCGGGGCCCGTCCACGCCTGCTTCCATGTACGAATGTGCCGAGCACTGCGCCCGGTCTTCAAATTGCTTGCAATACCGCATTGACAAGCAAGGTCGCTGCTCAACATCCGGATGGGCCCTCCGCGGTCTGCCCAAGCCGGGTGTCGCATCAGGAACGATGCTGTGGCGAGTCGACGACGCTATAAAACGGAGAGGTAGTTGTGGCAAGCCGAAGTTCATAACCAAGTAACGAGGTTGGCTCTCGTGTATACATTTCTTTTTTATATGTTTTTTTGGGCTACACATATTCATTGGGATGGGGCGCATGGTACTATGTTGGGGAGTTTTACAGGATTGGGTTGGTTTGCTTTAAGTATTATATTCGGTGCATCTATAGGTAATTTGAAACTTGCAGGTATATACAGAAATCTGCAATCGATCTTGATTTCGTCTATACATCAACCTTGGGAGACTTTGAATACCCGATCAAAAAGGAAAGCCATTAACGATCTATGAGATCTATCTAGTCCACGTGCATGCTTGTCGCGTGAATCCAAAAAGGTCACTGTCAGCCCTCAACTCAGAGGGCTTCGAATCCTGCCGTCACGAATGGCCTCATAGATGATTGAAATCCACGACCCGATTGTCTTCCGCGGGCGCTGTGGCACACCCGCGATCTTACTGTCGATGGTAGGATGCTCCAAAAGACCACAGTGAAACGGCACATTCAGATCACGTCGCACAAAGCGATAGAGAGACTTGGAAGAAGAACCGAGCGATGATTCAGCATTCAGCTCCCCCGACAACGTCCGACTACGTGTCTCCTCATAGAGCGACTGTGCTTCCTGGCAGATACGCTGCTGCACTGATTCGATCTTTGCAATAGGATCTTCGACGTTCAGACTCTTGGCTTGTGTCAATAGGACCGGGGCCATGGCTGTTGACAATCCTTGGATCCGGAGGGACAGGTCTTCTCGTGAGGATCCTTTCCATGATCCTCGGATTGCTTTGCTGATACCGGTTTGAAGCTTTATCATAGTCTCCTTGTCTGACGAATCCAATAATTCTGGCAACGTCGACTGTACCACGCCGTCCAGTTTATTCAGGAAAGTCTCATGCAGCAGCCGCAGATCCAGAGCTTGACAGACCACGTACAGAAGAGCTGCACTCATCATTGAAACAAGCTCCACGGCCTGCAAAGTATAGCGAGCAGAGATAAGAGCAAGCGAATTGATCGGCTGGTTATGCATCTCAGCAGACTGGACATGCGACGTCACCGAATTGGCCAAGAACCCAAGCTCCGACATATACGAAGCCATGGAGATATCAACACCCTTCATCGTGAATGACAAGCTAGGATCATCAGCCGCCAGGTTGGGCGGGAGACCCTTGCTTAGATCGGGGTTGATAAGCTCCGACGAGTAGCTGAACAAGAGCTTGCCAACCATCTGCAGGCCCTCGCGTACCTTTCCCATGGCCACCGAGACAGAAGCTGCCTGGAAATTGGAGCAGGAGTATACCTCTTGGGTATCGGAATCGATGACCGGGTTGTCCTGCGTGGAATTGAGTTCGGTGGTGAGCTGCTGCACGGCCAATCCGAGGTCTTCCACTACCGGCCCAAGCCACTGTGATGCACCACGGAGAGCATACCGATCCTGAATGAGTCCCGGACGGAAGCGATCCTTTTTATCGGAGGTTTCAACAAGTTTCGAACCCTCTAGGCCCTTGCGGATGTTGCCAGCGACTTCAATCTGGCCAGGGTGAGGGCGGATTCGGGCAGGGAACTCGTGATAGTTCTCTGCATTCCCCATCATGGCCTCGCACGTCATTGCAGTGAGTGATTGAGCCAGGATAACCAGCTGACTCGCTTCATGCGCCGCCAAAGATGCAACAGCCGCAGAGGCAGCTGCTCCATTCACAAGACCCAGTCCCTCCTTCGGACCCAGAACGAAAGGCTTAATGCCAGTCATCTCCAGAGCAGTGGTCGTCGATACAACCTTGGTCTCCGGCTTCGAATCCCAGTGAACCTTGACGTCCGGGTTCCCTTCCAAGACCGCAACCAAGTATGAAAGGGGCATCAAGTCACCCGAAGCCGAGATGGAGCCTCGCAGTGGCACAAGCGGTGTGAAGCCCTCTCGCAGCAATTTCAACATCGCCTCAATGATCTCCAGTCGCACGCCCGAGTGGCCTCTCAGGAGGTGGTTACATCGCACGAGCATGGTGGCTCGTACCCATGCCACTGGCATGGCGTGGGAACCCAGATTATAATCTCCCACTCGGGGGGCACAGTCACTGCTCGTCAAGATGCCTGCTTGGGTAAGCTGGAGAAGTGCCTCTTGTAGCCGTACAGTGTGCGTTGTCCGGGTGTCTGCACTACCTCCAAAGCCGGTGTTGACCCCTAGAGAACGTGTTGGTTTGCTTGGCTCAATCAGGTTTCCCTCTGTACCTTACCATAGATAGAATATCCTTTGGCTAGGTATTCATTCAGGGTCTGAACGCCCGCGAGCACTTTTTGGGCTACCCAGGGTTCGTTGGATATTTGGGCGCCGCAGCCATCACTTGGATCGGAATCGTCAGCTATGATTCTGTGGTTTGAGTGAACGTTGACAATACCGAGCAACTGCCGCCACACTCGCGATATCGAGGGCTTCTCCATCCAAATCAACGCAGCCCTTTTGGATAACCGAATTGAGCTTGTTCCACGACCGCAATGTGTCTTCCTTGTGCGGAGCCAAGGGAGCAGGAACTGTAGTCCCCGAGCCAGAGAAGAATCGCATCATAAAGGGACAAATGAAGACTCCCAACGAACGGCGGGGGGGATTTAGCAATCGGGATCAAAGTCATCCAACGGTCCCGCAGTACTTATAAGGCAATGGAGGCAGACGCGACTGTGAATCGAGGGACATGGCAAGAATCCGGTTCCCTTATCCGCGGCAATTCCATCTCCCTTCCGCTCGGCATTAGTCAAAAGTAAAACTATAAACGTCCACCTATCCCAAAGGGGTGTCTGCCACACCGCCACTTGAAAATAGCCAAACGCGATTGGATCTCATGTCGAAAAGTGACCAAAGTACGATCGCGCTACTCCACGATCCCCCGAGCTAAAGTATTGTATTCAGCTGCAGAATCGCTAGCAAGTGGAGCCGAGGGTGCGAATTTCAGATCGTGTGGGCTAGATTGGACGATCTACCCCTCAACCATGCAGTAGCTGAACTTCTTTTGCAGCAGTTAGCACGTTCCTGTTTTTATTCGTGCGTGACTATTAACCGAGGATGGCTGGGACAGGGCGTGAACCTTAACGCTGGAGCGGGTCGTGAACGCGTGGGTTCCTGAATTCACTGGACCATGACAGAGTTTGCGCTCAATTTTTGAATGGATTACGTTTTGAACAATAGGGGGTTGAACTGACATGTATACCTGGCCGTTATTTTGCGGGTCATACAGGGGCTTGCAGCGGCAGGTTTTCCACCGAGCCTGGAATGCATATCACATTGTTTGAGATCATGGTGCATGAAAGTGCAGCTGCTTTTGATCCTTCGATACTCATATATATTCCGCATTTTCCCGAAGAGGGCTGATATCTGTTATTCCATCGCTCCACGTTCTGTTGTGAACATTGACGCCGTCACTTCCAGCACACCATTTTTCGGTCGCAAGAATCTTTCAGGACTACTTCAAAAGGCACATTGAAAGCCCAAACTTGGAAGAGTATGATGAGCCAGCTTCAGCTTCCTGGGGGTTGGATTTCATGACACTACCCACATCGCTCGATAGCGAATTACATTTTAGTTGTTGAGTTTTGTGGCATCAATGTGGACCCTCCTCGAGTTGGAAGGGGCAGAAACCACATAAAGCGACCCAGAGTCTGGGTTGAGGAACCCTCGGGAAACAGATTTCCATCATTCTGCCTATGTGGCGACTGACATTTCGAAGATCGTGGTTGAGCCAAATTCCCCTCCGAGTTTGGGTCTCCGCTTCACCCCAAACTCAAAATGAGCCAAATGACCATTTATGTTGATGTCATCGTAGTAACCTCACTACGCATCCTGACATGGACTTCGAAGAAAGATTCGTCTGAGAGAAGTACCAAATTCCAGTCGTGAGCATCCAGATGATCGGCCGACGTGCACTTTCGCGTCTCTTCCAGGCGGTACTAGATATCCCCCACCAATTATAGGGACACGCAAGACTGATTGGCGTATAGCCTCATGGCCCTTTCAAAACGCAAGTGCGACACTTGAATCTTCTGGAGTACCAGTCGCACAAACTTCTCAGAGATGTGGGTTAAGCTTCACTCTGCTACTCGATTCCTTGGCTTACTTTCGCCAGTTTCATATACCCGTGCCCAATGGCGTCGTTGTCACGACCCCGGAGGATGCTCGGGATGTGGTGGCCGATATAAGTGAGTTTAGCCTCTTAATTATATACTTGCGTTGTCCATCTGGTCGTGTTTGCTTACATCAAGCAGGTGCGCCGTCAGTTCTGAAGGCTCAAGTCCTCGCTGGTGGACGGGGCAAGGGAAAGTACGACAGCGATGGAAAAGGAGGAGTTCGAATTGTTACTTGGTGAGCCCAAGCCCAAGGAGAAAGTGTCCAATGCTTAGCGACTGTCGTAGGCCCAGCGAGGCATACGACAATGCCTCCAAAATGCTCGGTTACCATCTAACGACAAACCAAACCCCACCGGGTGGCCTACTTGTGAAGAAGTTATACATATACAAGGCGGTTGATGTCGTCGATGAATTTTATCTTGCTCTAACCTTTGATCGCGATCGGGACATGCCAGTTCTCCTGATATCAGATGTCGGAGGCACCAACATCGAGTCCAACATCGACAAATTGCAAAAGTTTTGGTTCCATCTACCAACTGGACTCACCACCGAGATAATATCCTATATTCAAGCACAGCTCGGTTTCTCCGATAAAGAGATGGTCGTCGTCAACGACATCCTCCACCAGATGATCAAGCTCTTCCGAGAGAAAGACGCCACGCTTCTTGAACTTAACCCCCTCGTTCGCACTTACGATGGGAAATTCATTTGTCTCGACGCTAAATTCAGTTTTGACAATGCCGCTCGATTCCGACAGGAGGAACTTTTCAGTCTTGAAGAACGGTCTCCCGAGGAAGAGGTCGAGTATCAAGCTTCCAAGCTTGGCCTGTCTTATGTTAGACTGGACGGCAATATCGGAAATGTGGTCAATGGGGCCGGTCTCGCTATGGCGACCAATGATCTGATTAGTTTGTACGGTGGGAAATGCGCTAACTTTCTCGATGTCGGTGGAGGAGCGACCAAGGAGACATTGAGTAAGGCTTTCGAGATCCTTAACGACGATTTGCGGATTAAGGGGATCCTTGTGAATATTTATGGGGGTGAGTATCCATTTTATCTGACTTTACAGAACCTCCGCTAATCGAGTGCGAGGAATCGTGCGCTGTGATATGATCGCCGAGTCTATTGTTGCCGCCGCTGCTGCAATGGGCGGCTTCAAGGTCCCAGTTGTAGTTCGTCTCCAGGGTACGAATTGTCCACAGGCGCTGAAATTGGTAAGTGTAAATTGGGGCGTGTTCTATTCAATATTATAGGGGCTAACTTCTATCGTGGATCGAAACATCGGGTTTGGATAATGTGACTGTAGATGCTGATTTTGAGTCGGCGGCTCAGATGATCGTCGAGCTGGTAGGGAAATCGGGATGAAAATGTCTCCTTCAGGAATATAGTATGAAATTAGTTTCTCTCTCAAGTCAGTCATGAGACGGGTGTGAGGAAGTGTGGTTCTACTTATCTGCCGAACAGCTGCCACATTATACTCAATTACTGCACATCTCGCAACTCCTCGAACAACTGAGGACGAGGATCGTAATGCTGATGACGGATGACTATTTCTTTTTTGTTATTTATTTCCTTCAACACACAGCCGGGTTTGAGTAAGACAGTACAATATTTTCAAATTCATTCCAGTTAAAGTGTCATGGTATCTCACAACGTATAGAAGAGGGCAAGGTTATTCCGACTAGGCGCCCCCACCAGCCATCCCTTTGCCGCCCCCAGCCAAGCCTACGCCGCCACCAGACCCTCCCATAGAGTACACGTTTTCCTTAGCTCTCATAGATCTAACATTCTGGCGCCGTTGGCTTTCTCGCACAGCAATTCCAGTAACAAGTGCCCATCGATCAAATGAATCACCGTAATCTTCACGCATATCGAGACGACCAGTAACCAAGGAAAAACGATCTGATGAGAAGACCGCAACAACATCTTGACTCTGCTCGTCGACTAGCTTCATGTTTCCGTGTGAAGTGGAGCCGCTACCTATTGAACGTGTTTTCTTCCATGCAAAACTGCCTAATTCCCCTCGGACTGGTATCTGAAAGGTGTATTTCATAGACATGAATCCTTTCTTCATCACGCATACCCAGTCCTCCTTTAGTTGCTCGTCGACTAATGTGACATCGCAATCCGCTGAGCCGCGAAGGAACTTGGAGAGGCCGATAACAGGGCCATCACTGTCGGCACCATCATAGAATGTGAGGTCCGACTTTTGCGTAGCATACGGGGCGTTTTCTATGTAGAATTGATGCTGGCCGCCTTGGTCGTCGTCAGTGACCACGTAATAATTGTGGTCTGGCGACTCCCGGGTGACTTGAAATTGAGTAGGCATGAGGAATATGTGGATAGTGCCTGATCGGATCGAATGTCCATTTTATACGTCCCCCAACGATCCGCGGAAGCGTTGGCTAGTTTCCAGGATCCCCCGCAGGTCCCACTGCGGGTCCCACTGCACCCACGACCGGATTTCAATGGCGACGCCACATGTCAACTATTAGGCCTAGCGGTAATTTCAATGGCGATGCCACATGTCAACTCACGAACCGGCCGTATCGGCAGATTGTGCAAGATGAGACATTGTTATAATACGGTAAAGGCTCATAGAATCACGTAGAATTCTCTGTTTATACAAACAGGCCAAACAAGGGTTCTCAGTCCTGGAGATCTTGCTCCCCACCCCCAAGCTTCTCGACGACTTTTTATTTCTAGTGATGGCCCCACGCTAATCTCGAATCCTGTCACCATCACTCACCTAATCTAAATAGTAACCTCTTCTTATAATCCTCTTGTAAACCAATTTCTATTCCTTCACAAAATGCAGGCTCTCGAGGAAAAGTTCGAACGAGCCACTACGACTGGAAAGCTGCCAGGAACCGTCCTTGCTGCGGCCAGTCGCGATGGTGAGTATATTCTCACTCTCTCTCATCACCACCTCCACCTCCACCACCGCCCACTACTAGCAATAGTTAAATAGCTGACTAGTCGAATCAAAGGTTCCTTGGAGTACTTCAAAACGTTCGGCAAAAGTCGTTTAGAAGAAGACTCCCCCCAGTCTCGTCTGACACAACGTTCTGTCTCGCCTCTGCCACGAAGTTGGTCACGTCTGTGGCGGCGATGCAAGTGGTTGAGCGTGGCTTGGTAGATCTAGATGATGACATTACCAAATTTTTACCCGAATGGAAACATCCGCAAATCCTCGTGGGATTTGGAGGCGAAGAACACAGAGAGAAGCCTGTCTTGGTTCCAGCGCAGAATCGAATCACGTTGAGGTAATACCTCACCTTCGTTGCCTGCACTATACTGACGAAGGAGTCGTGGGTTTCTAACCGATCTTTAGGCAGCTATTATCCCACACTTCCGGGATCGCCAGCTTGGACGACGAAAAGTTAATGAAATACTACACTGTACTTGGCGATAGCAGAGGAACCGTGCTTTTACGATATTTCATGAATAATGACCCTGAAATCAAAGCAAAGGCATTAGAGGAGGTTCGGCAGGTCATGGGCAGTCTGGTATGTCATTGATTTTCACCTGTGTTCCCTACTCTTTCCTCTAAATAATAATTGAAATGGCAGTCAGTTGAACCCCTTTTCTTTGAACCAGGGACAAGTTGGAAGTACGGACAGAGTACCGATTGGGCTGGCCAAATTGTGAGTTTCTTTACCGCCGACTGTTTGCTAGATCACCACCTAACCGCTGTTAGGTTGAGCGAGTCACAAACATGACTCTCGAGCAATACTGTCAAGAGAACATATTCAAGCGGCTCGGAATGACTCACACGACGTACCGTCTCTTAGACAATCCACATGTTGCTGCCAACCTTATTCAGATGACATCTCGAGGCCCCGAAGGCACTGTCCAGCCGGCCGAGAGCGTATATCCAATCGATCCCAAAGTCGACAAGGGCGGTTCCAACCTATATACTTCTGGTGCAGACTTCCTGAAGCTTCTCTCATCTTTGCTCCGTAACGACGGAAAATTACTTCGTCCTGAGACAACCGACCTCATGTTCAATTACAGCCTGCCTAAAACAGAGGAATTTCGATATTTCCGGACTAATCCCGAACATCTCAAAGATAACTTCGGTGATTTGGCTCCCATCGGTATGGAAGTTGACCATTGTCTTGCCGGGATTGTGAACCAAAGAGATCTGTTAGGCGGTAGAAAGGCTGGCAGCATAACTTGGCAAGGCGCCACGCGCTGTTATTGGGTACTTCCTATTGTGTTGCCTTCTCAACTGATATCTACTGACAATTGAGATAGTGGATTGACCGGAAGGCTGGGATTTGTGGATTTTACGGCTCTCAGATAATGGTTGTCCACGAACAAGGTGTGACACCGGGATTTATTCGCGAGTTCGAGAAGACACTTTATGATGTATATGAGCCGGCTGCAACTGATTGCTAGAAAGTTTGAAAGGGGCTAGCCTTCTCCCTAGTCGAGACCGGGCTTTTTGAGCAGATGTTGCAGAGTGCTTCCAACATCAGTGGTGTTAGATCCTTCTGCGGCCTGAGAGACTGGCTCTCGGTCATATCATGGATGAAATGCAGCTTTGAGAGGGGGTGCCTTAGAGTCATGTTGCATACTCAATCTTGGATAACGTTTACGAGTCACGGGAAAAGAAGCCCTCTGGCTTGGGACCTCAGGTGGACAGCAGCCAAAGAGGGGCATACAGGTAGCAGTGTAGTGTGTATACTGTAGCACTTTCGTGTGAAATACATAATTCAAGGTCTCGCTAACGTCAGGTAGAATGTAAAAGACAATATAGGGTTCGGGAATTAATCCACCATGACCTCATCTTATGCCTCGTGATAATTATGGCCCCCACGATATCGTACCTGTCTCATAGAAGTTCTACCAATCGCTTATGCGAGTTTGCAGTCGACCCCAAATTCCGCCGTCTTTCGCCACTGCCGAGACTGGGCGCAATGTCTTCGATACCGCGGTCAGACTGCCATTTGCTTGCCAAGTCGCTCCGCCTCTCGGATAATTACGATGCAAATTCCAAGGAACGTCTCATGCAGGGTATAACGTTTTCTAGATACGGTAGTCGGGCCCAACGCGGGGGCAAGTCCCGCCTTATGACTAGTCTTGTTTGCCTTCCCGACTACATACGATCTCAACAAAGTGTCTATGTAATATATTTTAGGGGAACAACATTTTGTAAGACTAAATACATCAGACTGGGGAGTGTTGATTGATTTGATAGGAAAGACCCACTTTTGGTCCGATATGATTGAGGAGCATCTCTATTTCATTACAATTCTGGATAACTTGCGACGGTATCCGCTTATTGCAGCCATTGGGAGGACGCTTTTACCACACTTAAACAGTCCGCATCCGCAACAGGCATACTAATTATAGTAGCGAGAAAGTGACGCGCCGGTTAGAGAGCAAATCACCTCGTGCAGATTTCATGTCGCGGCTTATTTCCAAGGTGCTGAGCCAGGAAATGGAATTGGAGGAGCTTACGGCTCATGCATCGACTCTAGTGCATGTTTATATAACCGATCTTAAGTGAGACAACAAGAAAAATCACTGACATATCATTAGAAATGCTGGGGGCGAGACGGTAGCTACCTTCCTGGCCGCAACCATGTACCATCTTCTATCTACCCCGAAGGTATACGAAAACTCCTGGATGAGATCCGCGCGAGATACACCGATGTATCCGAGATTAACGCTACCAACGCTTTGCAATTACCATGACTATTGACGTAGGAGTAATCAGTCGCTTTTCAGACCAGATCACTGCAGCCCATTTCTCTCTCTTATCTCGGAACAAAGTTGCTTGCTACCTCGAATCGGCGCACGCAGATATTGAGGCGGTTTACAAGCAACTTTTTTTTCTAACGAGCCCGCTCTCACCGCCCCCAGAACAACAGTCCACCCGGGTTAAGGTGGCATAAAAGATTTCTGATTGGATAATTTATATACTGTAGAGGCTGATGAACCGCGTATGGGATGAACACAAAGAAAGGATATCCCCGCGAACCAACTATAGCTCCTGAAAACATTCCGAAACTCCACTAAAGTCTCTTTGCATTTCCTTCGAACCGCTTAGTTTGTATTCACTTCGAGGGCATTTTCTCTCACTTTTTGCTGCTGTTCGCATACAAAAAGTGAGAGTGTGAACAAAACTCGCTGACAACCTATATTTTATCTACTCTCACTTCCCGACCAATCCAACTTAATCTTCTCAACACCTCTCCAGCTTTTATTAACGTATGCGAGGAGTGACGTCGAACCAATATCTCCTTCTTGTTACTTCCCTCACATTCAGCGAGGTTATTTACCGCCACTAAACACCCTCAAATCTACTCAGACCAGACGTAAGTCTCAAATTTCTCATTCCATCATCCTTCAAACATCAACTCACATATCACTCAAGCAATGCTATTATGTCTGAAAAATCCACTAGACCAAAAATTCCCCCGCGGGACAAAGACCGCCCTGTTCCACAGGCAGTGATATCTAAAAGTTTACGAATCTACCCTCCGGGTTCTCAAGGGTTCCCTCGCAATACTCCGCCTCAAGAAGGCATCGTGGTTAGTGGGACCTACGTTCCAGGAGATGTATACCTTGCTTTCTATCTCCAACATCGAATGTGGCTCATTTAATTTGCTCCCATAGGTCGAAGAATATACATCTGCGTGGTCAGTCACGCACGACCCACGCTATTTTCATGATCCCTTCGAGTTCAAGCCAGAGCGCTGGTTGGATTTTGAATGCACCAATAATAGAGAAGTTAGTCAGCCTTTCTCTTTAGGGCCTAGGGGATGCCTAGGACGTAAGTAAGCTTATTCTTCTCCAATGACAGGGGTTTCCAGTACCAGGGTGCTAATGACAGTTATCCAGCTTTGCTATGGTCGAAATGTCCCTCATACTCGCCAAAATGCACTTTGAATTTGAGCTTTCTTTGTTATCTCACGCTGCATGCTTGGTGCGCCTAGCCTCTGTAGCCCCTCCTGCTAGTCTCCCCACTTGCATTTACTGCATTTATCTTATTAATCAATGTCAATATGTGTTCATGGTTTGAAAAGTGAGGTCCCGTTTTGCCATGTTCGATTTGGTTGACACTTGACCCGCATCCAACAGGCATGCTTCTGGTCCTGGAAATCGCTGATTTATAGTATGGATCCGTGTAGCATCAGCTACTGCCATAGTTTGAGATGTGCATATATCAATAGCTGAAGGTTTCAACCGAGTCTAGTACAACAGGTTTAAGTCCAGGCCGTCCAAAGCCTGTATGTCTGGGTCAAAGCACTAATCACATGTGCTGGAGAACAGTAGCTGCGAGGCGAGGAAAGGAGGGCCAACGCAAGAACAACTAGGAGACCACTTTGGTGTCATCATGCCAATCAGTAATAATCACCAACAATGAACCGCAGGCGTACTAAATGCTTTTTGGGTGCAGGCCTTGTCTAAATAATCGATTTGCACCGCGATCGAAAGTCCTCCGATTCGGCGGAGCTCCGGGCCGCTAAATGCCTACCATTCCCAGAGGAGATATGGCCAAGACTAAGTTCCTTGTCTATGTACTGGCCTCCATGCGCTCAGACGCTCGAACTAAGTTAGAGGCTAAGGTAGGGATGGGCAGGGCATTTAAATTAGACCCAACCTACCGCTTCCGCCGAACGTTCGGATATTCTACGACGTCAACCAGGGCCTTCCCCCTTATTACACTCAAGTTTTTGCACAATCTTCTTCGTTTTCATTTTTTCCCCCCTGATTATTCCAAGTAGATAAATATTGCTCTGACTTTTCTTTGACGCTAGCCGACAAGCAATCGCTCCCATGGCGGGCATGTGGTTGGGACTAGGGTATGCAGTGGCCAGGTCCCGTAGGTCGTCAATCATTCCCCAATTCAACACGCGAACGAACATATTTCCTCATGAAGACTTCTTTTCCATCTAGTTGGCTCTGGGGTCTGGTCTACTGTCACCGCGCCTTTGAGAGGCCAGGAGGGAGGTGCCACAGCTTTCAAACATGTAGCAATCTCTTCAGTGCGCACACTCATCGACAATCTTTCTGTAGAGCAGATCCAGTGAGTTTTATTCTGCTTTTAGGCAAATTCATCTCAGTTTAAGATGCAAACAATGACCAGTCTACCTACAGATATGTCCTTCCAGCCGACTCTGTCCTAAAATCTTACGAAGACCACATGCAACAACACAAGGGCATACCCAACATTCTGAAGCTTCTAGATGGCACCCAAGCATTCTGGCTTGGCAACCCAGAGGCTGATAAACTCATCATCTATGTTCCCGGCGGTGGCTACTGCATCCCCGCACTACCAAACCACTTCAGCCATGTCGAGGCCCTCTCCACCGACCTCAAGAACCACGGCAAAGATATAGGCGTGCTCTTCCTTATCTATGATCTGGCCCCTGGTGCTCAATGGCCCCGCCAATTAGAGCAGGCTGTTTCCCTTTTACGATATGCCATCGAGACGTTGGGGAAACGACCATCCGACATCTTACTCCAAGGCGATTCTTCGGGCGCCCATCTTGCTCTAGCGGTTTTGTCGCATCTCGCTCATCCTAAACTTGAAGGTAGCGTGGCCGCCTTGTCGCTCAGTGAAAAGCTCGGTGGCGCGATGCTGCTGTCTCCCTGGATTGATTTCCGGACTCATTTCGAGAGCTACAAAGAGAATGCAGCTCGAGATGTCATATCGGCAAAATCCCTTGGCCGCTGGGCGCAAGCAGTCATGGGCGATTTTACATCAGATGAGTATAGTCACCCTACGCAGGCGCCAACGGGCTGGTGGAAGGACCTTCCTGTTGCGAGGATCTTTGTTGGAGTGGGAGGGGACGAAGTGCTTTTGGATTCAATCGTAGCTTTTGCAAAGAAGCTCAAGGTATAGTCACCCTCTGTTATCTTCCCTGTGTTGTCTAACCTTTTGCTATAATAATAGGCTGAACATTCCGAGGTGAGCATTAGCCTCGTTCCTAGAGAGTTCCACGTCGAGCCGATCACGGACTTTCTCTGGAAATTTCCACCCGGGGCGCAATTCCAAGCAATGGCATCATGGTTAAACCAGACATTTGCGCAATAAAACAGACTACTAGTGTCAGGACTAGCACTTAGGGTTGCGATGAGTGTATCCGCGAGATGAATGGCAATCTTAACGTTCAATGTTGAGGGACGTCACAGATTTTGATATTTTGCTCATTAGTTCAGATTTTACTATTTCGTTTTCAACCTCTGTGACTGTACGTTTGTGTCGGCTAAATTATAGTAGCCTGTGCGAGGAAAGCAAGGGCAATGAGTTCGTACTATCCACTACTATTAAGCCAGTAACATCTATAAACACCATCCTTTGTTGCTAAGGTGGTAACCAACCGCCCAGCGGTAGTAGACCTTGCCCAAACTCGCGGCCTCTCCACGAACCACTATCCATCAACTTTCACGGACACTAAAATGCTAATGCGAGTTACGGGGAGGGATATAAGTAGCAAACGGGCCGCACGAAGCGCCTATAGAGGCGGAGACGGACGACTGATTAAGTTTGGCAACAGGGCTACTAGGATGAACAGAATTTAGAATGAACGGAAGGCTAAGCATAAACGGACCTAAATGTGGCATAACATAGGCGGGCAACTGGCGGAAACTACGGGCTTAAGAACAATGTAAAGCTAGTCATTTTCCGGCCTCACGGCCGTTGGCGACCCGGGAAGAGCCCCGCAGACGGGAGCTATATTCAATGCAACTCTCTCTTTCTCTCTCACTACATATTTAATGATAAAAGATGGAATCACATTGCTTGTTTTCCCTAGGCGTTTTTGGCATCGATGGTCCATGTCGTATGGGCTGGTCTGATGAATGGACATCTTCATAGTTATTGGTTGAGTCAATTATGCAGCCGCTGTTGCACTAGCACTAGCAAGTTTTCTCCATCGACTCCCCAGACTAACCACGGTGGCCAGACTAGATGCGACAATTGCAATTAGAAAGGCTGCCTGAATGCCCTTCATGTATGCTCCTAGGATTGCCGGTATCTGTGTCAAATCAAAGGTTTTGCGCAAGTCAGTCGCACCAGTCATGACCACTTTTGTGGCGTCAATGCCGGGGGATTTGCGTAGCATTTTTAGAAGTACGTTATCGAGGACAGACTGGCCAGCAGATACGAAAACCGAGCCTCCGATAGTTTGAACAGCTTCAAGGAGTCAATAATCATGCGTTTGGAAAAAAAACGATGGAATTGCACTTACTTAAAACCATGGCTGTTGTAGAAGGCAAGTCTTCTGGGGGTACTGCAGACTGCGCAGTCACAACCGGTACCTGGAAACACCATCCAATACCGAGGCCGGCTAATATTTGATACCCAATCCATTTGCTGGCACCGGAATTGATGTTCAGTGTGTATAACAAACCGGATCCAATGGCCGTGAGCGCTGCACCAGCTAGAAGGAAAGGTTGAGGATATGCCACCTTACTCAGGGCAATCCCTGACGAAACAGTGGCCACACTCTGCGCCAGAATCAACGGAAGGTTCCGGATTCCGCTTTCAGCTGCGGAGACACCGGACACAACCTGGAAATAAACAGGCAAATAGTAGACCAGCAAAAAGAACGTCCCCGCTAGTAAATCAATATAGATCATTGAGATCACCACGTTCCATTTGAAAAGGCGACCGATCATTGCTGCACGTTCCTTTTGCACCCACTGCACGACAGCGTAGGTGATTAATAGGACCCCAAACCCTATCAAAGTCCCTACCACAGCGGAGTCACTCCAGGGACGTGTGATTCCTCCCCACTGAAGAGCAAAAACATAACAAATCATGGCACCGATGAGAAGTGCAGTGCCAGGAAGGTCCAATTGTAGAAGCTTCTCTCGCAAAGGCTCCTGAAGGAAATGCGATGGGGAAGGGGGTCGGTAGAAGAAGAGAATGATCAATCCGGCAACCCCACCGATGGGAAGGTTGATGTAGAAGCACCATCGCCATGTAACGTTGCTAGTAAAAGCGCCACCGATTAGAGGGCCGATAGCAGCCGCGACTCCATAGGAGGCTCCCAGAATTCCAATGTACACTGGTCGTTGTTTTGGAGGTGCAGATAAAGCAATGATGGTGAATGCACCAGAGGAAATCCCGGCGCCTCCAATGCCTGTGATCGCTCGTCCGACAATTAATGCCAGACTACTGGGTGCGATTCCTATACAACCCATTAGGGATTCGCGTCTTTTTTGTATAGAATGCACTCACCACAAACCAAGCTCCCGAGCTCGAAGAGAATGATCGAGAAGAGAAATGAAAACTTGAGCGGAAAGTATTTATATGTCTTGCCCCAGGTAGCTTGGAATCCTCCCAGAGTGATAAAAAATGCCGATCCGTACCAGCCCACAAGCTCGATGCCACCGAAATCGCTTGTAATACTCGGGATAGCCGTTGCGACGATGGTCTAAGTGAGGAATCAATTGTTCAGGATTGCAATTGATTTAGTAAAACATGGTTGCATAGCAGGATCGAAAAATTACCATGTCAAGTGAAACCTGTTGAGTACAACGATCAGTTAGCAGCCGAAAGCAATGAAGAGTTCGGGGTATCTTTACGAGGAACATGCTTAGCGCCAAAGCCACGACCGTCATGAGTAGTGTGACTCCGTTCGAGCCTGTGTCTGCAGGCGACGCCGGGTCCTCATTTTTCTCGGACATCTCAATTTGCCCCTTGGCTACCTCTGGAACTTTTTGTTGATCAGACTCGTCTAGAATGGTGGAGGTTGTGGATATTGCAGCTGACGGCGCCATGTGCCCCAATGTTATTAGACTTGCTGCTCTCAGGACCTAGAGATTGGAAATTCATGGAATAGTCTATCCATCTTCAAAAATCTAGAAAGGAGAACTGGGTTTCTTTCTTTCTTTATGTCTTTTTTCTTTTGGTTGCTGATGCAGATCGCTTTCTTCTTCCGCCGAGCCGGCGGACGGAGCAACAACCCCTGAGGTTCGCTTACAAACGATTTGGGGGCTACAATCTCAACCCTAGCACATCTCTTCCGCCGAATAGCCGGAACGACCATCCATGGACACGAGAGCTTGAGCCTCTTCAGTACCTGTCTTATTGTGGTATGAATCCATGTAGCTGCAGCCACACTATCATCATCATGCCTTTATCCGAAGATCAGCAGCCTCCCCGAAAGAAGATCCGCAAGGGGACCCGCAGTTGCTGGGAATGTATGTGAAAATTAGCCATTTAATCAGACACTCAGCTTACCTCAATCCAGGTAAACACCGCAAGGTGCGCTGTCATTTTGCTTCTGATGGTGACCGTAGCTGCAGAGAGTGTCTGGTTCGGGGTTTGCTCTGTCGCACCCAGGATTTGCCGAAACCTGAAAATCCCCGCGAATCAGATCGTGCATCTTTGAATGACCGATTGGCTCGAGTGGAATCGCTCTTGGAGAGGTTTCTGCAGCGTTACTATGGCGATACAGATCAGTCGTTTCCCCGAGCCGCGGGTGACAATGATAGCCCTGTTTCAAGTCCGACGGCTGCAACTCCTGCTCACGAAAATGCCCCAGTCTTATCTCTTTTTGACAATGAGGTGGTACGATCTATGTACTCTCTATACATTTCACTGAGCTGAATATCGTATAGCTAGGTTTTCGACGACAAGATGAAACCACAGTGCCTAACATGTCCTTGGATTGGGCGGCAAATCGGGACTGGAAAAGACTGAGCCGCACCCTTTTCGTAGCATTGCCTTCCCAAGACATATTGGAAAAGCTAGCAGAGGCCAACAGTTGCTGGTGGCTACTCCGCGCGCAGTGCTTCCAAGACTACGATACGTCATTGCTTTCTATCCCAGTGGCGGACCTTTCAAATAGCCACCCGGCTGTGATAGCTACCGCTCTCATGTGGACCGCGATTAGTCTGCAACAACTTCCACCTAACTATGACACGAGTTTTTGGGAACTTCCCTGCCATCCAACCAAGCTCATCGAGCAGTACATCAGCCTAGTTGTCACATCTGTCTGCTCCGACGAAGCCATGGTTAGTAACATCAACGGGCTTGAGTGTTTGGTTCTTCAAGGGATCTTTTACAATAATGATGGGAAGCTAAGGAGTGCATGGCTATCCTATCGTCGTGCTCTAGATGTCGCTCAGATCATCGGGCTCCATCGTCCGTTGCCAGCCGGTTCAGCGAATAGCAAATCTCTGCATCGCGCCAAGAGTATCTGGAAGCACATCATCTATGCAGACCGATATCTTTCGCTCATGCTCGGAATGTACCATGGCATTGGCGATGCGGTATTGGAGCGGCAAGAAGCTAACCTAAGTGATGTGCCGAATTCGTCTTCCATGGACCTTCTTTGCCGAGTGGCCGGGTCAATAATCGAGCGAAATCAGAACTTTCCAACCGTCACCCCAATTATGGTGCGAATGACCCAAACCATTGATTCAGAGCTGGGGACGATCGATCCTCCAATGGTAGAAGAATATACACTTTCCACACCTGGCAAATCTGCGGAAAGAGCCCAATCCTATGCCATACTCATGACCCAGCTATGGTACTACCAGCTTATGGCGTGGCTACACCTCCCTTTTCTCTTGGAGACAGGCAGCCACGGCCGTTATGACTATAGTCGACAGAGCTGTCTTCAAGCCTCCAGACACATGATCACTAGCTACACCGCAATCCGACGCCTCACTGCAGACAGCTTCTGCTGCAAATCCCTCGATTTCCAGGCGTTCACTGCTGCAGTAACGCTTATGATAAATGTACTGGGACCAAATGGTCGAACAAATCAGTCCCCAGACGACCTTGAGGCTATTGGACGAGTCATGCAGATTCTGGAAGGATTGACAAAAGGAAGCACTCCTGATAAAGTTGCAACTCGCGGTCTCAGTGTTTTACAGACACTGAGACGAGTCGCGATGGGGAAGAGTCCAATACAGCCTGTCTCTCCCGAAGGTCAATCTAATGGAGAAGAACAACCCAGCCATATCAAGGTTGATATTCCTTACTTTGGCACTATTATCCTTGACCCTAGGACTCGAGCCAGTTCTGCACAGCAAGATATTTCTGATCATGGCCTACCACCGGCGCCGGGCAATGGTGGACTTGAGACAAATGGACCATCATCGTCAAAGGCGAATTTGATGGAACATAACTCTGCACAAATGGGATCCGGGTTATCAGTCACTTTGACAGAGACAAGCCTTGACTTTGAGCCTGCTGCGGAGATTTGGATGCTTCATCCTGATTTAATAATGCAGCCTTCCTTCGTGGCCGACCTTGGTGATAACTGGGATATGGGATTTTAAAAGAAGATTTGCACGTCAAGTGGTGTCCATTTCTAGGGTTACCAACTCCTGGGCTTTCGCCATTGCATGCGCTACCTGTTACATAGGATGCAATTATTGGCCCCGGAATTATATCGCTCGGTACATCCCCAATCTGGAAGCCGGCGATTATCCTGGCTTACCCATTCTAGCACCCCCGCACTGTGCCCTATGAAGTAAACCCTCCATGACATATAACAAATTTGAGTCTCTTAGTAAAGATCTGAACATAACATAGTTTCTAAAATTGCGCATCATGCAGACCAACGTTCTGGATTCGGTACTGCAGAATCTGCCAGAAAGCCGGGGTGATTTTGTTTAGCTTGGGAATTGCAGTAATACCCCGAGGCCCTTTTGATAGCGGTATGAATACTGATCAATGGGAAAAGATAGGAATTTATTGGATAGGCCTGATTACCTACAATGTCTTCTTTCATCCTCTGGCTCCATTTCCGCGCCCTTGCTGGGTGGGCGAGAGCATCCTTTGTGAGAATGGCCCTCTTGATAAAACCATGTTCATTTTCATATATTGACAATATCTCGTTCAAGTTGTGGCGAATATGGTACACAACAAACGGTCCATTTCACCGTGCGGTGGACAACCAGCACAAACACCACGGTAAGACCACGCACCAGTAATCCATTCAATTTCTTAACTAAGAAATAGGCGACGTCGTCCGAATCTCTCCCAATGAACTATCCTTTGCATCAGTCGAGTCTTGGAAGGCAATATACCAACCAAAGAAGGCGCCTCTAGTCAAAAGCGAGTTCTACGATATCTACGGCTCGGGATTCAACTCGCTGTGCGTAGGGAGTGAGCGCAATCCTCAAGTCCACAATCGCATGAGGAAGTCCCTCGCTGCCGCGCTCTCCACCAAAGCTCTGCTGGAGCAGGAGGATATGGCGTGGACGGACTCATTGAAAGAATCCGGGTTCAGGCAAAAATTACTCCTTCTGGACTCGACATAACCAAGTGGTTTGAGATGTTGGTGTTTGATATTCTTTGAATTCCCACTATTTTCCCGTGTCCTTCATTCTCATATCTAGCACCTCTTTTCAAAGTTTTCTTACCACGGTTTACCGTTCATGTATGTGCCTTAATTATTAGAAACGCTTAGCCATCCGATAGCACAAATATCTGTGTATCTTTTTCTCTTTAGATGTAACATGTACACAAAATAGGTAGTATATTTGGATCTGTCACTTATCTCTTATTTGATCATAAATTATAATCACATCACAGCGCTAGCAAGGCTGCGCCCGCTAAGCCCAAGGCCATATGCTGAGATATACTGGTCGCTCTAGCAATAGCTGGGTTGCTAGTCGTCGTAGCCACGTTAGCAGTATGGGTGCGGCTAGTAGATGTGGTAGTAGGCCACACAGTAACCGTATCGGAGACAGCTGTAGCCCCTGGCACAGCATTCCTGCCTATGCCGATCTCGAGGATATTGCTCGTCGTCGAATTGAAATTGGTGTTCGCAAGAGAAACTTCGCCATTCGCAATGTCATAAACCACGTAAGCGCTACGCAGGAATGTATCTCCTAGAATGTTCTCGGCAGTGATGTTTGATGGCAGAATCCCGAAGATACACCCATACTTGCTACTGTTGTAATCTCCCTTGTCAAGCACGAATTCCTTGATCCCCACGTTGATAGTTGGGGAAGTGAAAGTGAAGGAGATATTCATGTGTTTCTCAGCCATGGTACATGGCAGGAACCCAATTTCCTGTGTGTGGTTCCACGCGACTCCTAGCTCGTTGTAGATGTCGAAGATCATCTCATTTGGGAGATAGGTCATAGAGCTGGCAGTGTCGAGCACAACTCCAATAGGGAGCTCAGATGAGATTGATTTGGTTTCCAAGGAGTTGGTAATAGTTAGGCCAGTGAGTTCGATGTAAAATTGCCACTCGACAAGTCCCCCCTCACAGTTACTCCATCATTGTTGATCTGCAAATTTGGTATTGTCTGCAGCGTGCCATGGTATTTATCCGTGTCGACACCGCCAAATAGGATTGAGCCTTCATTTGTATCAAGGTCGTTTAGCCAAATGCTAAAAGCAGCAGACTGGATCAGGCCACTGTTAACCATTACCAGAGGTAAATTAGGATAGATTATCCCGTTTGGCTCTGAAGTTTGGCCCTCTGTGTATGTATATGAAAGTCCAAGTCTACCGGCGGTATCTACACGAATTATTGTGGTTAGTGAGTAAAAGTCAGGGCTGGTACGTTGAACTGACATACTGTAGACAAGTCCATCTTCGTTAATACCGAATTGAAAGTTTTCCAGACTTGCTCCTCCGATAGACAGGGTGTCTGCAGCGTAGTCGCCCTCGGCATCACCCGCTTGAAGATACCCAATAGTCAAAAAACCCCTTGACATAAAGGAGTATGTTGAAGATTCATTTGCTTTGTAAGTGCCGTAGGATCTGCAACGAGAATTTACACAGCCGCTGGGTGCACTCACCCACGTATCTGCGCTCGAGGTATCGATGGCCAGGCGTAGGGGCTGCCCAGGGGTTCCCAGTGTGATATTGCAGTAGTAGAGACTACCGTCAGTATCTAGGGCAACGCTGGTTGTCTTGTCTCGCTTTCTCCTCGCGCGATCCTGAGCCACAGAGCTGGATACTGCCACGTCATTTCGCTTGATATCAAGACTGACCACTGCAGGTCTGTCTCTCTGATGAAGATTCAGATTGCCCAGAGTAGGGATCACCAAGGTTGCCAAAATGGCCAAAGCGTTTCTCATTTCTCTGTTTTTCGAAAGAAAAGAAACAAGCAATTGAGTCTCGCGTTACAGGCGGAGAAGATAAAGCAGGATTCCAAAGCAGGAGAAAGAGAGGAAAGCGCTCGTAAGGCGTTATCAATTCCAAAAGCTTCGCGTCTAGTGCCTAACAGGCTAGTGCCTAACAGGCTAGTGCCTAACAGGCTAGTACGAGTTCAGTGGCTGCTGAAAAGCCTTAGCGTTCCTATATTGGAAATGATGTGGCGTACAGTAGTGGAACTCGGCACCAATCTTGGGAGGTGATAGCACTAAATCAGGTTAGTTTCTAGCGGTCGAGCCCGCGCCTGAGAGCACATATTACGACACCCCAGAGCTCGGAATCTCTGCAGTGAATGCCTTCGCGCGAGATCATGGCTATGGCCTTACTACCCGAGGTAGTAAACGCACCAAAAAGGAGGTCTTAATAGACCTCGCTCCTACCCGTGGGTAGACCCAAAAAATCCGACCCCATCCCGTTAACTTCTTGTACCTGCCTTTCCTTTTTTTATTGTTTCAGAGCATTAGCTAGTTTAGAACGGAACCGAACAAGGTCAGAATCGATTAACTAACCACGGCTTCCTACCCTAGAGCGGCCGGAACCCCGCCCAGTCCTTTGACGACTGTCCCATTCCCGCGCGATCCAGACTTTGTCAGTCGCGACACACTGCTCAATCAGATTCGCGATAAAAGCCTGGTCCTAGGTCGAGGATTGCGCTTATTGGCCTTGGTGGTGTTAGTGTAGAACAACCAGTACGCGATCCAGTGCTAATAACTTAAAGGAAATCATAACTAGCCATCGAATACTCCTACCTAGTCCGATCCTAAGCACCGACAATACACCAGGTGCGACTCCAAATCTCAGTTCTACAGGTTTGACTGCTGGTGATATCGTTTAGGGATGAATTCCCCACTGGCATTTAGTTATTTATTGCGTCAATGAGGTGCTTATGCGCACCTATACGTACCGGATTTTTCCTGCCAGCCGGGGTTTCCTCTTCTAGCTGCCGCCTCTTTTGTGAAGGTGTTCAGGCTCGGCTCACTCGTGGCATGTCTACAAACTTAGAATTGGATCGAACTCTTAAACGCAGGTCACTAGTGAGTGGGCCATGGAGGCATAGGCCACTCCGAAGCACAATACAAAAGGTGATAAATTACTACCTCGATTTTGATGGAGAAAATCAACACCAGGGCGTAAGGAAACATCCTACAATAAAGGCCTCGAAGGCGTCCCTCTAATACTCGTGTATCATCGTCAATGTACTGGCATTCAGCGGATCGCCGAGACACACTAGATCGTTCCAAACTGCACATCTCCACCTATGGGCTTAGCCCGCCACCTCGGTTTGCTATCATATCCAAGGTAATGCATCACTTGCTAACAAAAGTGATCATTTCTTGCCGCGACATTGCGACTACCTTAGTGATAGGCAACACTGAAAATTTTGAAATTGCCAGCACCGGCATCCTTCCAGGCGAGGGACGAATTGACCTCGAGGAAACTGACCCATCTGTTGCTTTGGCCACTAAGCTGTACGGTATAGGTGGCACCATTGGGCTGGTACTCGAAGGTGAAGGCCTGTGCGTCCTTGACATTCTTGACAAGCGAGCCCAGTGGGTCGGCACCGAGGTAGGTCTTGTCCAGCGCAGACTGGATGTAGAAACTGGTGGGAATAGGAGCGTCATCAGCAGCGTGGATGACCCAGCGCTGGCGGATGTCCTCGTGAGCGGCAGTGGCGGGCGACAGGTCGACGATCTTGCCACGGACATTTGTCAGGGCAAACCCGGAGATCTCGAAAACCAAGTAGCGACCCTCAGACAGCTGACCGCGAACCTGCTTGAAGCCCTCCTCGACAAGGAGGCTCATGTTCTGGTTGGCGTTTGCCGACCCGAAAGGAACGGCTGGCTGATTGTCGGGGTACTCAGACAAGCACAGCGATGGCTGGGCCCAAGGTCCAGTTAGAGATCCAAGCTCAGCAATATCTCCACTATAGTCAGAGGGCTCGTTGGGGAGCATGGGTGGCTTGGTGGCCTGATTAATAGAGGGATTGGCGAAGTTGGGCTGTTGCATCATCAGCATGGACAACAACACCATAAAAAGCGCCTAGCAACTGCCTTGTGGCCGAATAAGAAACATTATCTATGAGTAAACATTGTACTTACGTTCTCGAAATCAAAGGCGTTCACCAGGTTGGACATGGTGGCGCGACGCCACGGTGTGATCTCCTGGCTGTAAACACCCTTGTAGCCATGAGCAGCTGCCCACGCCTCGGCAAACATAATCTCGGAGGTGTGGTCGGTTAACTCAGTGAAGACGTTACCACCAGCGGTATACGGCGACACGATGACACGCGGAACACGGGGACCTAAGTGGTCATTAGCTACCTAGCCCGAACTGGCATTGCGAAGACTTGATGTATTTTTCGGGCTGAACTGCCTGTCTCTGAAAAACGGCTGGTAACAGGAAAGAGGTGATGAAGAAAAGGCAGCACATCGTATAGTTGACTTACCGGGACCGAGAGCAGTGTAGTTATCGTGGTCAGAGGACGAGTACGGGTCAATAAGCCATTCACCAGGAGTTCCTTTCGGGGCAACGACAGGCGGCACATGGTCGAACCAGCCTCCCTGCTCTATAAGATAGTATCAGCACCTCACCTGACAAGTTGGGGGGTCTGTGGGATAGTATGAGATTGTCTTACCATCGTAGCTGATGACTAAAACGGTCTCGTTGTAGAGAGGGCTGTCTACCACGGCATTTACAACCTGCTGCTGGAGCCAGCCACCATCCACGGGACGGTTAGGAGGGTGCTCGGACAACTCTTGAGGACCAACAATGTAGCTGATCGACGGCAGAGTGCCCTCAGCAGCCGCCTTGTAGAACGCCTGCAGACCGAGGTATGAGTCTCCTTTCTCCCGAAGTGCAGAGCCATTTGCTGCCTTCTGGTACTGCTCAAAGTATGCAAGTGGATTGTCCTCGAAGTTGTCCTCGTCTTGGTACAATTGCCACGAGACACCGGCGTCCTGGAGATACTCGGGGAATGTCTTCCACGTGAAGGGGAAGCAGTTGGCCTTGACTGGGGATGTAATATCACAGCCTAGCAAACAAGAGCAACAGACTTAGTCCCCCGGGAGTTCATAATTTCCAAGACTTTCCATCTTTCCGTTCTGATTTTTGCAGGGTTGACTCACCTGGCGTGGCAGTGTTGTCCAGCATGGCTCCACCGTCGCTGTTCGGGTTCGACGGCGACCCAGGCGAGTTGACTGAGCCGGTCAGCCACATACAACGGTTCGGGTCAGTCGGTCCCAGGATGCTCTGGTGGCTCATGTCCAGGATAGTAAAGCTGTCCATGATGTCGAAATGGGTGGGTATTTCCTTGCGAGTAAAGTAAGCCATGCTATATAGGGAATCGGCATTGGCCCAGTTGTTGTAAGCGCCATTAGACCAGGCCTCGTGCATGGCAACCCAGCCATTGCTACCGGCATCCATGCACATCGTTGCATCGGGGTATATGCCACCAGCATAGTTTATATACCAAGGCTGTAGGATGGAGCTGCCGTTCACGGGCGGATTGACGGGCCTGGGAATCGTGGCAAAATTCAACGTTAGTTGTTACATCCCAGTGTATACATCGTCAGGGGATACTTACTGCTGGAAGGTCGTGTAGCCATTTTCTGTGATTGGCACATTGGGATCGGCGAAACCGCGTACACCGGCCATTGTGCCGAAATACTATAACCGTAGAGGCGCTCGTATTAATGGCGGACCGTACAGCGGGCAAAATCAAAAGGAGCTCACTTACATGGTCAAACGCTCTGTTTTCCTGCATGAAGAAGACAAGGTGCTTGACATCCTTAAGAGATGCGGCCGACACGGCGGTGGCCGCAGCCACAACTACCAGGCAGGAGTTGGCGGTACGCATCCTGAAAGCTTGGGAAATACTTAAAACAACGATCCCACAATGTGCATTTCGCCGTCTACTTAAATATATATACATTCACCGGACGCCACCGCTATGATCTCGAAACGGATCTTCCCCGAAATGAGGTTCGCGTACGTGCACAAGTATTGTATGTTGCATTTTCCGAACTTAGCGTAGCATAAATTTAAAAGCTTGATCATTCTGCAGGAGGTCCAGCCAATCCATACACGAAACCCAATTCGTCCCCGGGTTGCGCTGGTGTGATGCGACTGGCGCATCGTGACACTTGCGCGCACGTTAGTCAGTGATAATTGTGGAGCATTTAATTACTTCCTGCATTAGTCCACTCTCTCGAACCTGTTACCGAGGGGTCTATCTCCTCCACGTGGGCTGGGAACTCTGGAACCGGCGCGCTCGGACCGGCGGGAAAAGCATGAGACGGACAGGAACACAGCGAAATCCCCGGTTTAGTCAGCACTCGTACATGAGTGGCAGATTGACAAAAAGCATGAGAATGAATCTTAACCCAGAAGTGCTTCCGACACTCTTGAAGCCGGCAATGAAATCGGACAGACATGGGCGGTGGCCCATTCTTATTTGCAGCGCTGTGCTGCTCGCTGCCGTCGGCGGTATTTACGTCAACCTCGTTTATCACTATTTCAATTATCATACTCCTATATTCGCAGCCGGAGGTGTGTCGCTAGATCATCTTCACCCTGATTCTGGCGTCAACGAGGACACGAGGATCGGTCCTACAGGTGACCATAACACTGGGGATCCTAATGCTTCTGACGTGGATATTGCGTCTACATTACTCCGACCGGAGCGACATAAATTCCGCGATCGGACCTCCATTCACCTGAAATGGAACGTCACATTGGAACCGCGAGCACCAGATGGGGTTATGAAACCGGTTTATCTTATCAATGGTAAGTGGTTGCAAAATATAACTGAACATGAAACGTTCTATAGGCCCACAGTTTGCCATACACTGCTTTCACCGTCAGAACACTTACCAGAAGTCTAGGACAATTCCCTGGCCCTACAATTGAGACACGGTCAGGTGATGAACTTATAATTGATGTCTACAATGGTGTTGCCGAGGAAGAAGGCATTTCCATCCATTGGCACGGATTATACATGAAAGGTAAGCAAGTCTATATTCCAGTATGCGGTCCTTGAGTACACTATCAAAGCTGACTGGGCAACTTCATTGCGAGAAGATGCCAACGAGATGGATGGGGTGGTTGGCGTGAGTCAATGTGCAATTGGCCCATCTGAGAGTTACACGTATCGGTTTCGCATCGATGACAGCCAATTCGGCACATTCTGGCATGTAGCCTATTCTTTCTCACGCGGCTCCCATGGCTTGGCCAGACTGAAAGACCAGCAGCTAATAGATGCGCAGGTATCATGCCCACTCCGGTGGACAGCGTGCTGATGGGCTGTACGGCGGGCTTGTGGTACATGAGCCCGTTAGCAGGACCAGTCAAGAACTCTCAGTATACGGGCAACATCCAGAACATCTGCTTCTTATAGGAGACTGGTATCATCAGCCAGCAGGTGCTGTTTTTGGGTGGTATCAGGAGCCGGGCCACTTCGGTTACGAGGTATGGGATACGAAGAGGAATCTTTTCCTTTCCTCCATTAGTACTGCATACTAATACCATGGGTAGCCTGCACCTGATTCACTTCTCATTAACGGCAAAGGCTCTTACAATTGCTCAATGGCTGTTAGGGCGCATCCAGTGGAATGCAGCCCGAGTGAGAAGCCGGCCGTGACTTTTGCAGAGAGCAATAGCGTCATATTACGCGTTGTAAATACGGGGTTAGTCATCTAATCTCTCATCTTTGCTTCTGGTTATCCTATGTCCCACTGGCAGCATGATTTACAAAGAAAGGCTCACACTAACTTTGCGTACTTCTTACGCCTAGAGCTTCTGCCGGATTCTCATTCTCGCTTGGACAGGCGCCCATGACGGTCATTGCGGTCGATGGGGGAAGTACGGTAGCATCAAACACCCCAAGCACGACGTCGATCGGCCTTTTGTATGCTGGAGAGCGAGTAGACATCCTTGTCGAACGCCCTACAGGATCAGCAACAGCACCTGGTGGGCGCAAGTCTGAAATGATACAGCAATCAAAAGCTGAACTGAGCCTGACAATCGGTCTGGATTTGGAGTACGTCCGCACATTCCAGGAGCCCTATATCGTCAGAAAAGCAGACAAACTCATCTCTAGGCCAGAAACTTTCACTTGACGAATTTTGCCCTTACGCCTCAGCAATCGTTCCCTGTTATATGGCGAGATAAAGGCGACGAACTCCGAAAAGATGAACCGCGGAGCGATAACAATCAACCTGTCCCAAAATTCAACTTGGCACAACTCTCAGGCAGTGTGGTCGCGGATTATGTTGCCAAGAAACCTTCAGAGACGTCGGTTCTGTACACATCGATGTCAATCCGGTCGGCTAGTGGCCTTCGACCAGTCGGTTCTGTGAATCGTACCACCTGGGTCGTGGCTGATCCCAGAGCACCGCCACTTCTTGCTCTGGACCAGAGTGAATGGAATCGTGTAACGAAGCAGCCCGGTCCAGTCTGGGCTCTAGACGTTCCGCACTACCAGTCTGGGGAGGGTAAATGGATGGAGCTTGTGGTGAATAATCCCGATCATCAGGGGCATGTATTCCACTTGGTACGTACTGGCTAGGCCTCTGTTAAACGCACGCTTACAGGCATTTGCTAACTAAACCGGGAATCGCCCGAACCAGCATGGATATGACTTTTACGTGGTCTCACAATTCCAACAGACTCAACTAGGTTTCCCTGGAACATACAATCCTTTTGATCCGGCGAGTGCCCCCCTTGGTGGATCAATAAACACAGTCAATCCCCTCCGGAAAGACACCGTGTATATCCCAAGAAATGGGTACGTTGTGCTGCGCTTTCCGTTGGCAAATGATGGGCTATGGCTCTTCCATTGTCACACATTATGGCACATGATTTCAGGCATGGGCATTGTCCTTCAGATCGGTGAGATTATGGAAGACACCAAGCAGAGGACGTTAGCAACTTGCTTGAAATAAGTTCATCTTCGACCCGACGATCTCTACAGCCATGCAGTTGCCCCCGAACCCTCAGCTTGAAAACCCGTCAACTTATAAGCGCGAAGAGGTTATTACCGCCGTGACAGGTCTACCAATTCCTCGCTACTCTCTCTTACATAGAGTAAGCCGATATCCTCTATCCCCCACCTGAAGGATGGCCACACATTGCCCAGGAAAACAAAACCTTTGCGTCCTTGAAAAAGACCGACGAGGTGATTAATCTCCTTCGTCACTTGCTATATCTAGATTCTAGGTGCGAAGATTAGCAAATGATGCCCTTCTCTACGCCATGCGATTATGTGAACTAAGGTCCCGGAAAATATCGACCTTTAGCGCCCGATGAATTTGAATTCCCTCTGTGGGTTATGATTTTAGCGTCAACGTAAAGGCACCCAGACTCTATGAACAAATAATAAGAGTATGATAAACGAAATTTTATGTATATGAAATGCTATGCTCGAATCCGATTTTTGATGTTCACTTTATGGAGGGTATCTATCTTCTTGATGCAAGCCAACGATATGATATCGTAAAATCCAAAAAGGCAGCAACCAACAACGATATGAGAAGAGGCAAAGCGGCCCCAACTCTAAGGCGCAGCAGATGATTCAGATTGGGGCAATTCACCAGCTGAGGCTCCATTCAGGCCATGTCTCGGGTCATCGAGGTTGACTAGGCCAACGCCCTCTACGAGGACAGTACCGTTCATGCCGGGTCTCTTGTCACCGGTAGCCATGTCATCATCACCAAGCTCAGGGACTGTTCCATGGCCGATAATAGTTTCCTCGCCAGGAACCCAGTCAGGGACTTCGCGAGGTCCGTCCATGCCAGGTGGAGGCTTGGCCCAATGAGGCATGGGGCTACGGTATCCCCAATCGCCATCACGGTCAGCATAGGCGACGGCATGCAAGAAGATACCCAGTTCATGGACACCTGGGTCTGAGTACAGCTCTGTGCCACAGACATCGCATAACTCGCCAGACAGACGCTCGCCCTTGCGCTTCTCATAGTCCTCCGCGGCAGCTTGCTGTTCGCGAGACATGATACTCGCTACAATGGACGGATCAGTGTCCACCGGGACGTTCGGAGCGGCGGTGAAGTGATTGCGGTACGTGTGCGTGTCTGCAATCTCAGTCTTGCCCATCCGGTGGAGGCGCTCCATGATTTCATCATCGCGCTCTCCGTGGTCTTCATTTCGCGCCAGCTCCGGCCCGAAAACACGGCGGTTGGAATAGATGGGGTCGTTGCTAATCGGATGACCCAGGAACTGAAGGTGTACTCGGATCTGGTGCGTCCGGCCTGTGAGGGGGAAGCAGTGCACAATGCTGTACCCCTCGTCCTCATTGGAGACGGCCGGAGGTGGAGTGGCAGCACGACCAGACTCATGCTCTTTCGCCGAGGCCACCGATGCTTCAGGAGGATAGTAAGCCAGACGGCGGAACTTGGTGGTGGCTGTCTTGCCGGTAGCCCGCACACGATTCAGACCCAGTTTAGGGCTGACCTGCATGATCGGCTGGTCGCAAACGACGATGCCATCGGGAAATTTGCCCTTGACGCGGGCCAGGTATTCTTTCTGGACAGTTCGGGCCTTCAGTTGCTCTGCCATTCTCTCGGCGCCCTTGGGGTCCTTTCCAATGAACATGATGCCGGAAGTCAAACGGTCCAACCGGTTGCACGGTCTCGGCACAAAGCCATGGCCACGTTCGGCGCGCAGAATCTCCACAACCGAGTTGTAGTGGTAGCGGCCGGCGGAATGGACAGGAACGCCGGCCGGCTTGTCGATGACGATCAAATCATCGCTTTCGTGGATGATACCAATAGGCATGCCGGTCACCGGGGGCTCGTGGCGATGAAGAGTATGCGAAACCACCTGTCCGTTCTTGATCACGGTGTCCCGACCAGCAGGCTTCCCGTTGACGGCAACGAGGCCCTGATCGAGGGCCCATTTGTAGTAGTCCGGTTTTCGGTCACGGAATTCCGAAAGGAAAATTTCCTCCAAATTCCTGCCCCGCCATCTCTCCTTGCAGTTGGTGTTATAGGTATAGTGATACGGCTTGACGCGGCGAAGGCCACCCTCCATGTAGTAAGGCGCAGGCCAAGGGTCACAGGGAGTCACGACAACATCGGGAGGTGGTTTAACGGGATCGGGAGGGGGAGGCTTGTAGGTGACGACGGACATTGGGGGCGGCGGTGGCAGGGGCAGTTTGCCGCGCCGTAGAAGATATGCCGTTATTCGAGGTGAGGGAGCCAGGGGGAAGGTTTAAAGAATCGTTGAAAACGAATGTGGCGGGCAAAAGTTTGGGCGGGAAAAAAAATTGGAGAATTGGCGATTGGCGATAAGCTCAGGCACCGTTCGCCGCGGTGGATCCTCCCCCACGTTCCCCCAGGTGGCCTGGTCTTCTTTTCGATCATATTTCGGTCTCGGATTGAGATTGTCCTCGATCTATTTCGATTCACCTTTCAGGTGAATGTGCATCGCCAGCTTACCTAATCACCCATAGACCTCGGTTCATCGGGTGTGGAGACGCGATGCGGGCAACGGTTCTTCTGGTCCTCGTCCGAGGATTTCTACTTGACACCTTTTAGCACTCGTGACTCGTTTGACCATGGCGCCTCAAGAATACGAATCCAAGAAGCTTCGCAAGCGTAGCAACTACGGCTACCACCAGCTGCATCAGACAAGATGGTACAACGCAGTGACCCAAAGTACAACGCCGGAATGAAACTAACTCTACTACGTAGGTTCGACAATGACATGTACGCCCATCTGAACAACACCGTCTACACGGCCCTCTTTGACACGATCGCCAATTCCTATCTCATCGAGCATTGCGGCATGAACCCCTTCAGCGTCAACAACCCTACCCCCAAGAGCTCCGAAGGCCAACCCTCCAACTTGTCAGCCGGTACGGACCAGATCGGGCTCATTGTCTCCACGCATTGTGACTTCTTTGCCTCCGTTGCGTTCCCGGATATCCTGGAGGTGGGCTTGCGCGTGGCCAAGCTGGGTTCGTCGAGTGTCACATGGGAGATCGGCGTGTTCCGAAAGGGCGAGGAGAATGTTAAGATGGTTGGAACATACACGCACGTCTTCGTTTTGCGGGAAACTATGCGCGTCGGAAAGGACGGCATGGCAAGTAACGTGCGGAGCGGACTGCAGAAGCTACTCAATTCGCCGGAGGCTAAGCTATGATGCGGTGAAAATGAAACTGTGAATAATACCTACCGTACATATACCAGGCTTCAATGCATTATTAAAGAAATTATCGACTCTATCGAGGTGCTTCACGGGGGAATTCAAAAATTGCAATTGATCATGCATTATGTACAACTGTGTAGATGGCTTGGAGGTATAGACTCGTCTGAAAGGTATGTCCGCTCTCTATGATACCACACCTTGTTCCTTGAGCTTGGCAATATCCGCCTCTCCATAATCCAGCATGCTTCCCAGGATTTCGTCGGTGTGCTGGCCGAGCGTGGGAGGAGGCATGCGCACCCCAGGTGTTGCTTCAGAGTACTTGATGGGCGTGTTAACCAGCTTGATCGGGCCGCAGTCAGGGTGCTCGACCTCGGTGATCATTCCTCGTGCTTTGACTATTGATGGGAATCAGTACAAGTCGAACAAAGAACTTGCAAGAAGACCTACCGTGCTCGTGGTTCAACGTTCCCTGGATGTCATTGACAGCCGCATAAGGCATTCCACTCCCTTCAAAGATCTCCAGCCACTCCTGCGTGGTCTTTTGCTGTGTGATATTCTCAATCAATCCATCAATATCCGCGCGGTGCTTCACACGATCACTGTTGGTGATGAAGCGAGGATCGGTCTTCCACTCGGGGAATCCGAGTCGATCGCTCAGCACACCGAACAGACGATCGTTACCGCCGCCGAAAAGAATGTCGCCGTCGAAAGTCTTGTAGCTCCGGTATGGTACAATTGAAGCTAGATAATGTTAAACTTTGCCAGAGATTCGAAAGCTTGGTCACTTACGGTGAGCAGTGCCCCAACGACCGGAATCCTTTTGGCCACTGATGAGCGCAGAGGAGGCCAGGTTCGACAGGGTAGCAACCTGGCAGTCACTGAGACAGGCATCGATATGCTGGCCCTTGCCAGTCCGCGCTCGGGCAAGCAAAGCGGCCATAATCGCATTCGAGGTGTAGAGGCCGGTGGTTAGATCGGTGACTGCAACGCCCACTTTCACTGGCGCTCCATCTCGCGCGCCGGTGATATGCATTAATCCCATTTCTGCTTCCACCATGACATCGTAGCCAGCTCGGTTGCTGTACGGGCCTGTTTGACCGTAGCCAGTGATACTGGCGTAGATCAACTTGGGATTGATCTCTTTCAGAGTCTCGTAGTCCATTCCATACTTCTTAAGGCCACCGGGGAGGTAGTTCTCGACCAGGACATCGCATTCCTTGGCAAGTTTGTGCAGGATCTCAACGCCTGACTTGTGCTGGAAGGATAACCCAAGAGATTTTTTGTTGCGATTGACCTTTTCAATCAGTCAGTATCTGCAGCAGATCTTTTATCCTTCAAATTTTCTTACTGCGAGGTAATATGCACTCTCGCCGGGGCCCTTCTTGGACGAATCATCCTCGTACTTCGCATATGGCGGGCCCCAGGCACGAGTATCATCACCGCGCACGGGGTGTTCAACCTTGATAACATCGGCTCTATTATAATCATGTTAATATACGCTGGAAATTTCCAATTGAATAGGGAAAGGGCCCAATATGGGCTCCAATTGCTCCACATACCCCAAATCACCCAAGATCTGAGTGCAATATGGCTGTGAATCAGATCAATTAGTATAAATTTGGAAGGAAAGCAACATGCGCTTTAGCTCACCCCAGCAAGAACTCTTGTCATATCCAAAACACGAATCCCAAACAACGGCAGCGTGTCATTCAACCTCAACGTAGAGCTGGAGAAGCTCCGCCAGGGCGACATGTGCAAGGCATTGCGAGGCCAGATAGGACGCGTCCGCCGAGCAATAGCCTGGAATCTGAGCGCAACCGTCATATTGAATTCTCGAGTGGCCGGCACCGTTGAAAACAGACAAACAGAAAAGCGCGAGTCCGGGGAAGGTTAAGAAGGCGCTGGAATAGATCGAAACTCCGCCAAAACGCCGACACCGCTCGGAGCGGGCGCCGAGACCGAGGTTGACCGACCCCAACTTTGCCTCTCTGTAGATCAGTCACACCCGCAGCTATGTTTACTGGACTTGTCGAGACCATTGGGAGTGAGTGTTTCACGACGATCATCATATATCGAGACTAACAGTTCCTTTCCACCAGCCGTCACGGCCCTGGAGCCCCTCGATACCTCGTCGAGCGGGGGTGGGGGTACATCACTCACCATCTCAGACTGCGAGGAGATCCTCTCCGATGCGCACCTGGGCGATAGCATCGCTGTCAATGGTATACATCCCAGCTAAACACCCCCGAAATGTTCTCTCAAGCTCAATCGGAATAAAGGAACCTGCCTCACGGTCACGGCATTCGACAAAACCTGGTTCAAGGTCGGCGTCGCGCCGGAAACGCTGCGCCGCACGAATCTCGGCGATTTGCAGACCGGTTCTTTCGTGAACCTCGAACGCGCAGTCTCTGCGGATACCCGGATGGGCGGACATTTCGTGCAGGGCCATGTCGATACCGTCGCGAAGATTCTGTCTGTCACGCCGGACGGGAACTCGCTAGTCTTCCGCCTGCAGCCGCGCGACAAAGACGTGCTGCGTTATGTTGTCGAAAAGGGCTACGTGACGCTGGACGGTGCCAGTCTGACTGTTACCAAGGTTGTGGACGGCGAGGATGGGTTCTGGGAGGTGATGCTCATTGCCTATACACAGGAGAAGGTCGTTACGGCTGCCAAGAAGGCTGGCGAGTATGTCAACGTGGAAATTGACATTGTGGGCAAGTACGTGGAGAAGAGCGTGCAGGGTTACTTCGCCGGTACATCGGGAGGTGATTTCGCTATTCTCGAGAAGATGGTCGGTCGTCTGGTCGAGGAGAAGCTCAAGAAATAAACAAAAAAAAAAAAACGATATCAAGTCATGCCATTAATGAGGATCTAAAATCAAGACGAAAGCGCCATGCAGGTTTTCCTATTCCGAAACTTTTCTTCACATACTCCATGAAAATGTACAGTTGAAACCACCGAGGGTATAAAGTAGAAATTCGAGATACCTCCTTACTCCTCCATCTCATCCGAGTCCTCAGCGCCCTCGGCATCTTCGTCACTGAACCACTCGTCCTCGTCCATATCAACATCCTCGTCATCATCCTCCACATTCTCGCCATTGGCCTTGGCCTTCGCCTTATCCTTCTTCTTCTTTTCGATGTTCTCCCTCTGCTGCTTCTTGCGCGCCGCCTTCTCCTTTCTCTTCACAGCCCAGTTCTGGTCTAGCGCCCTAATCTCCTTCTCACTCTTTGTGATGAAGTCATGCCACATAACTCTGCCATCACAGACGCCGTCCTCGACCTTCATTAGACGAAGCTTCAGGCGGGGTCCGAGTTCAACCAACTTGACAGCTCGCTTCTCAACACCGGGAGTAGAAGGCTTCTTCTCAGCGTTATCGCCGGCCTTTTGGCGCTGGGCTTCACGCTTGTTCAGGACTTTTCGGGTCGTGCTCTCTGCAACCTCCACCTCGGCATCGGTGTCCAATTCGGTCTCACTGGCAGATGTGTAACCAGCGGCAGACGGGTCAAGGAGGTAGTCGGCAGCATCTTCAAGCTTGCCAAGGTTTGGGACGGCAGCCTTCTTATCCCTGTTGCGGATCTCCTTGGGGTCCAAGCGACGGATCCGTTTTGACAACCCGGTCTTCTTTGTGACAATAGCGTAGTGTCGGAGGCTAATAACGTACGAGTCGTCGTTTTCAGACTTGGCCGGTTCTCGGTTCAGGAGCATGACACGACGAATGGAGGAGAGCGGTGTAGCTTGGGGGTTGATCGGAGGGAAGAGGGATTGGAAGATAGTGGTGGTAAGAGTCTCGAGTCGCTTCGGCACTTTGGAATCCTCGGTGGCATCGGGCGAGTTGAAGTTGTTCATAACCAGCAGCGGCGGTGTCTTGTGGTCCTGTCCACCGCTCCGCGGGCGCTTTTGAGAGCGCTCAACGTCTTTGCAAAGAGAATATTGCTCAACCTTGAAGTAGAGGGTCGGGCCGCGAGGCGTGACAGCGAGTCGCATATTGGTGTTTCCCGTGTTTGACTTGGAGAAAAGCATCAGATGCGTGACACCGAGCGGTCCGGCCATCACGGTATAGTCCCGCAGTCGGTTGGATTGGCGTTCCTGGGCATAGAATTAGATAGAGCTCGTTAAACAGGATGAAATTGGTGGCATACCTTCAATCGCACAGCCGTATCGGGCTCCATCATATGACGAACATCTTTGACGAGCTGGCTGACGCTGGTACCGACCTGAGAAGCACCAACACGAATGACCATGGACTTGGGCGCCTTGCTCTGGATAGCACCGCTGCCCTTGGACGCAGCAGAAGCATTCTGCGCGCGCAGATGGGTGCGCTTCTTGACACGTGCCTTTGCCATTGCGAGATATGCAAAGTAAAAGACTGTATAAAAAAAGGGTGGATTTAATCAAGCTCGATGAGTTGAAACCGAAGTTTTTTTGTCTCCAAAAAATCCAGGCGGAGACCGTGCGGATCAACGATGATGCGGACCCACCTTAAATTATTTCGAGATCGCGAGCACCGCAACTTTTTTCGAGTTTGATAAATCCACCAAAAATGCCTCCAGTCAAGAAGCGCAAGGTTGCCGACGAGGCGCAGGCGCCTGCAGAAGATAGCGATGCCAGTTCTACACATTCCCAGGCCGGGGGCGACTCGCCCAATCCTGATGAAGCCGACCCCAGCGCCGAGTCTACAGCTACTGCCGCTCCCAAGTCGTTCAAAGAACTCGGAATTATCGATTCTCTCTGCGAGGCCTGTGAAACCATGGGTTACAAGGCACCCACGCCCATTCAGGCTGAATCCATCCCGTTGGCTTTGCAGGGCCGCGATCTGATCGGTCTTGCCGAGACGGGTAGTGGAAAGACAGCAGCTTTTGCTCTGCCCATCTTGCAGGGTAAGATTCTCCCCAATTATCCCACGAGTATAAAAATTGGTCTAACCCATTGGTCATCCAGCTCTTATGGATAAGCCTCAGCCCCTCTTCGGCCTGATCCTCGCCCCAACCCGTGAACTGGCCTACCAGATCTCGCTCTCATTCGAAACTCTCGGTTCAACTATCGGAGTTCGCACCGCTGTCATCGTGGGAGGAATGGATATGGTGCCGCAATCTATCGCCCTGGGCAAGAAACCGCACATCATCGTCGCCACCCCGGGTCGATTGCTCGACCACCTCGAGAACACCAAGGGCTTTTCCCTCCGTGGTATGAAGTATCTGGTCATGGACGAGGCAGACAGACTGTTGGACATGGACTTCGGTCCGATCCTCGACAAAATCCTCAAGGTGCTTCCCCGTGAGCGTCGTACTTTCTTGTTCTCCGCTACACTCAGCTCCAAGGTTGAGTCGCTGCAGCGTGCTTCCTTGTCGAACCCGATGCGCGTGTCTGTTTCGTCGAAGTACCAGACCGTCTCGACTCTGCAACAATACTTCCTCCTCCGTCCTCACAAGCACAAGGATATCTACCTTGTCTATCTGCTCAACGAGTTTGTCGGCCAATCTGCTATTGTCTTCACGCGCACCGTGCACGAGACTCAGCGTGTTGCTTTCCTCCTGCGCACTCTCGGATTTGGCGCTATCCCGCTCCACGGCCAACTTTCTCAGTCTTCGCGCCTGGGAGCTTTGGGCAAGTTCCGCTCTCGCAGCAGAGACATTCTCGTCGCTACAGATGTCGCTGCTCGTGGTCTGGATATTCCGTCCGTCGATGTCGTTCTTAATTTCGACCTTCCCACTGACAGCAAGACCTACATTCACCGTGTCGGTCGTACGGCACGTGCAGGCAAGAGTGGTGTTGCAGTCAGCTTTGTGACGCAGTACGATGTGGAGATCTGGCAACGTATCGAGACCGCGTTGGGCAAGCAGCTTCCGGAGTTCGATGCCACCAAGGACGAGGTCATGGTGCTTGCTGAGCGGGTTGGCGAGGCACAGCGCCAGTCAATTATGGAGATGAAGGCCTACGACGAAAAGAAGGGAACGAGAGGCAACAAGTTCGGCAAAGGCAAGCGTGGCCGCGACCAGATGGATCAGGAGGAGGGCTAACGGGCTGGCCCATCGGAGCTGCTTGGCTCTTCACTGTATATGAATTAATGTCCTTTGTTTTGGGATAGAAGCATAAAAAGTTGTCTACTTGGAAAAAAAATGTGTAATGTATTCCGAGCTCAAGCTCGACGAGAGTAAGATAGTGATAATAATTTCATTACTGCATCAAATAATATCGAATTTTATCTGTCGTGATATTTTTGGTGGCATTCCATTGGGTCGATGTGGTGCACCGAGACCAATGGACGTCATCCCAGGGCCGTCCAGGCCTACTGGGCATCGACACCCGCCTCGCTAACAGCGTTGGCAACACGGGTAGCCAGGTCGTCCGCTTCGGACCGGCTAGCGGCCTCAGCATAGACACGGACGGCATCTTCGGTACCACTGGCACGAGCGAAGCTGCGGCCCTTGTTGTATCGAGACATCAGGGACTCAATCTGGGCTTGGAGGCCGGCAGGAGACTCCAGCTTGCGCTCAGCATCGTAGGCCTTGAAGATAGAGCGGTCCTTGACCTCGACGCGCACAAGGCGGGAGGGTAGATCGGTGTAGGTGCCCAGCCACTCCTTAGGAGACCAGCCCTTGTGGGCAAGGATGGCCTCGACGAGAAGCATGTCGGAGAGAGCATCGCCGACAGCCTGGTTGATCAGATCGGTCAGGGCCTGGAGGCACTCCAGGGCATGCTGCTGAGCCGGCGACTGGGGCTCGGTGTTCTTGATAGTCTTCATAGCATTCTCCGAGAAGGTTACGGTGCCGTGGCCGTTAGCTTCAAAGTAGACGCCGACGTCGAAGCGGAGAGCGGCGTGGTGGAGGTGCTTCACACCGGTGTTGGTGCAGATGATGGGGAGCTTGAGCACCTTTTCAATGTAGTCAGTACTTGCGCCATTGGCGTAGGCGGTCTGGACAACGCCAATCTTGAGCTTCTGGGCAATGCCAGCGTTGCGAGCAAGGTCTCCAATGAAAGAGGCGGCGAGAGTGGCAATGCGGTCACCGTCCAGAAGACGGAACACGTTGCTCTCGTCCTGGAAGTAATAAACCAGACGGTCGGCATCACCGTCCAGGGAGGCGCAGCGATCAAGAGCGCCAGCCTTGGAAGAGGGCGGAGCGCGCTGCTTGGTCTTGACGTAGTCGGCACCACACTGGAGAAAAGTCAATCATATGCGGTAGCGACAGACGAGCGCAGAGGATAACTCACGTCGAAGTTCAGGCTGTCGGGGTTGATGACATCGTCATTGACAACCTTGATATCGATTCCAGAAAGGAACTTCATGAGCTCCCTCAATTTGGGACCTCCGACGCCATTGGCGCAGTCAACAGTCAAGTTACCCTGAACCTTGACTCCTCGCATGACCTTCTGGAAGGACTGTGCAAGTTTCTCGTAGTATCCCTTCTCACTGGGCTCACCATACTCATATTGTGTTCCGAGAGTGTTCTTGCAGCGCACAACGTAGTGAAGTTGAGGAGTAGTCATGTACTTGAAGTCGATGAACTCAACCTCGGTGGCCGTAAGCGCGGCGTTGAGCACGCCCACCAGACGGGAGCCAGAGGCACGGGTGTCACGAGCAAAGACGACGCGAGCGGGATTGGTCATCTTGACATCGATCTCCTTGGCCAACTCATCGTAAACATCGGCAATGGACTCCAGAGGGGCATTGGCTAGCTTGGTTGCGTACGCCTCCCACTCAGCCTAGATCGGAATGTAAGATTGGGGATTCAATTCGATCGGGTATTCGTGGATTAGTCTTACTTCAAGCATCTCGCCCTAATGATTCCATGTCAGAAAAGTGACCTATGAGTCGTGGCGTGGAGGGCTCAATTATTTACTCACCATCGGGTCAACCAGCTTAACTCCATTGTCCTCGGCAGGGTTATGGCTGGCAGTCACCATAACACCAATCCATTGTCCGCTGAGCTTCTTCGAGCGCAGACCGGCAAGCAGACCGACAGCGAAAACGACAGTGTTGAGAAGATCACTGCTCACCCAACGTTAGAGAAAGCCCACGTCAACAAAGGGACGATCGCGGGGATGCGGGGCTGATCCTGGTTAAGGAAACTTACGCCTTCATGCGGAACTACAAGCGCAAAGAGTTTAGTTAGCCAGAGCTCGGAAGTGGATTCCTCACGGTAGCGCGACTTACCCCTGCGGTGCCATACTCGAACACCTTGCCCTCGGGCTTTTGGTACTGCAGCGCAGCCTCGGAGATTGCTTTCTTAACCGCGGGAGACGCCATTGTGGCGCGAATTTGCTGCGATCAAATGAGAATAGCAGAGGAATGTCGAGACCGGACAGGCGCTCGAAGAAGAATCTCCGTGAGTGAGTTGGGGAGGGAGAGAGGAGTACTTGAAACAGAAAAAGGGACGAGGGGCTTGGTCGGGTGAGACGAGTTTATTGCGACGACCCTAGCGGTGAGCTGCGCGGCGGGGAAAAGCAAGGAAACAGCTGCTGGGAAGCGGTAGCGAGACGTGGCATTACGGCTCCACCCGCATTGCCGGTCGTGGAAATTGTGGCGGATAAACAAAGGTGGGGAGATGTTCAGATATTATTTTATTATTAGCAACAGGGTCACCGGGACCCTCTACTGCTGTACATAGTACATGTTCTGATATGATCGCACATGATGCCCTCGGCATATTTGGCTATATATGGTTCCCACCCCATTTCCTAGGCCTTGAGCCGGTTGCCTGCGATATCATCCTGCGCATCCTTGATGAGGAACCTACCAATCCATTAGTAATGAGAACGGGGAACGGACAGCGCACGGCGAGAAGACTCACGAGTACCACCAAGCGGTGGGGACGACAGTGCCCAGATGCCACAGGCTGTGCGCATCAATCAAGCCATGCCACGGCGGGAAGTCGAGCAACTCCAGACTCATGGCCAGGATGATCCACGCAACGATCATTCCGGGCCAAGCCGTCCACGATTTGAGATATTTCTGGTACCGGAAAATACTGAATACCGTCCACATCAGGTTTTGGATGATGCCCACTGCGACGTTGGCGGCCATGTTGTACGTGTAATCCCACGACCAGAAAGTGAGATAGCTAACATGCAGCGCGTAGAGCGTAATACAGATACCCGTCCACAGACGACGCAAGGTGGGGCGGTACTGGGGGTTTTCCAAGTCCAGGCGCAGAATGCGGACCACGGACAGGTACAGGCCGTACAGGACGCTGGCCCCAGCCGCCCAATAATCCAGCTTCTCGGTTATACCGAAATCCCTGGTGTGGAAGATCATGCTGAATGTCCAGCTGGCCAATCCGATATATCCGAAGGTCATGTAGTATTTCCGGAGGGAGTGCCAGGCAGGGATCGACTCCTGGATTCGGGACATGCCATGCCAATGGGCCGCGAAGTTGAAGAAGGAAAAGAGAACTGAAAAGGGCTCTTGCATCCCCAGGATTCTTCGGAAGGGCCATTTGCCGTGGAACTGAACGACTGGGTTCAGCATCGGAGGGTCACGCGAGACTCGGCGGTCGGTAATGACATGTTGGCAGGTATAGTCGCACTCGGCTGGGCAGGTCCATAGCAACAGACGGTGGTGCAGAGCTGGACGAGGTCAGAAGGGAATATTGAAGGGCAATGATGGGGAGACGTACGTAGCACCGAATTGCCGCCCTGGCAGTTCTCGGTTTTACAGACCTGTTGTTGTTAGACACGTGCCACAGGGTCTCCTGAACCTGGGGAAAGCTTACCTGGACACATTCTTTGAAGTCCGGGAGGTGGTCTCCCAAGGAGGCAGCGGTGTGGCCAATAAAGAGGGCCAGAAAAATGAGGGCTAGGAGAGTGGTGGAGCTCACTCTATAGGCGCCCAGGTTCATGGTGATCAACTTCGGGGGTGGGAAGCAGGAGGAAAGTTGGCGGAGCTCCGGGCCGCATTGCGAGGCTCTCGCGGGTCTTGGCAGCAGTTGTTGACAGCTCATCTCCCGAGTGATGAACCATGGACTGTAGATCTCATGCTTGTTGTTGTTTAATGCAGTCATTATTCTACACTAGTTCCTGAACAAATACCCGTTGAATTGGATTCTTTGGCTATGTCTCTCTCTGTACATGACCACCGCATACCTCTTACTTTCAATGGTTCTTTCTACAATCCTTAACAAGCTGCACTCGCGAGACCAAAGTCTCGTTAAACTCCAGCTCTCTAAACTCACAAAGATAATATCTTTTAGCTTATAAGATTCATTTCATTATTCGATTGACGGTATCGTAAGGTAACTTGCTTAACCGCAGCTATGTATACAGACTATAGGTTAGCCCTACGGGAATCAGGGCTTGCTGTATCACGTTATTACCCAAATGGGCTTAGTGCGGGCAGGGAATTGGAGTTGAAGCTTGGCGCTTGAGGACTCGAAAAAAAAGTTGCGGGCAAACTCCTTAGGTCTTTCGTCTGATCCTTTTTTCCCTCTAGTCCTCCCCTTTCCATTTTCATATTCTTCATTCCATATTATTTGTCTCGACAAGATGGAAGGATCCGGAACCCCCGAGCCTACTGGCGTTATCTCCAGCAGCGCTGATCGCATGGTTGGCATGGAGCATTCCGAGGTGCGCTACTTCACGAGGTAAGAATTCCTGATGAGTTGCTCCTATTATAACGTTGTCGCCGGCCGATCGCTAATTGATTAATAGCTACGATCACCACGGTAAATAATATCGATTACGCCGTTCAGGCTGAGGTTTTCTTTGACTAACGAGTTTTCTTTGCCACGCAGGGATCCACGAGGAGATGCTGGTAAGTCCGCTCTTACGAGACTCGATGCGCGGAACGATATCCTGACTGATTATTTCTTTCTTTACAGAAAGATGATGTCCGTACCCGTTCCTACCGCGATTCCATCTACCAAAACCGCCACATCTTCAAGGACAAGGTTGTCCTTGACGTTGGCTGCGGTACCGGTATTCTGAGCATGTATGTGCCTACAAGCAAAAATATACTGATGATCGGCCATTGATAAAATTGATCAGGTTCGCTGCTCGCGCTGGTGCCAAGCATGTTATTGGTGTCGATATGTCCTCCATCATCGAAAAGGCCAAGGAAATTGTCGCCGCCAACGGCCTGACCGACAAGATCACTCTCCTTCAGGGCAAGATGGAGGAGGTTCACCTTCCCTTCCCCAAGGTCGATATCATCATCTCCGAGTGGATGGGCTACTTCCTTCTCTATGAGTCCATGCTTGACACCGTCCTCTACGCCCGTGACACCTACCTCAACCCCGGCGGTCTGATCTTCCCCGACAAGGCCACTATGTACGTGGCTGCCATTGAAGACGGCGAGTACAAGGATGACAAGATCGGATGTAAGCAAAGAACTCGAATTTGCGGCCTCCCTGCTTGGCGCTAATTATTTTAAAGTCTGGGACAACGTCTACGGTTTCGACTACAGCCCCATGAAGGAGATCGCGCTCACCGAGCCTCTCGTCGACACTGTCGAGATGAAGGCTCTCGTCACCGATCCTTGCCCCATCATCACCTTCGATCTCAACACCGTCACCGCGGCCGACCTTGCCTTCAAGGTTCCCTACGAGCTCACCGCGCGTCGCAGCGACTTCATCCACGCCCTGATTTCCTGGTTCGACATCGAGTTCAGCGCCTGCCACAAGCCCATCCACTTCTCCACCGGTCCTCACGCCAAGTACACCCACTGGAAACAGACTGTCTTCTACCTGCGTGATGTTCTTACTATCGAGGAGGGGGAGAAGGTCTCCGGCTGGCTCGAGAACCGTCCCAACGACAAGAACAAGCGCGACCTGGACATCAACCTTTCGTACAAGTTCGAGACCAACGACCCCACTCGCTTCGCCGAGGGTGGTTGCTCCTACCGCATGTGCTGATCTTGCTAATCATGGGATTTACGACTCATTCTTCGTAATATGACTTATTCGATATTCCGCGTCTTTTGTTCGAGAAAGTGGCTCATCTCCAAATGCAATGCAGCATAGCATGGGCCCGTATGGATTTGCACAGGGCGATTGAAGATCTCTCCGGCCTCGATTTCTTTCGGCGTTAATATTGTTGTTTATTGGGTGGCAGGGAAAAGGCATTACTACATGGCGCGATACGGAGAGATGATTATGAAGCTCCTCGATTTCCAAGTAGATATACCCCGAGTCGATGCTTAGTCTAGCAACTCCGACGCTTCTTATGTCTACAACTTGGTTCAACTGTCAAATCAAATCGTAAATTAATGTGTAGATCGCAGAGCAGAAAATAACAGATTCAAGGCAAGGCCATGGCGTTGTCGTCGGCTAAGACGGTAAGAAATCATTATCAGATCCTCGGCCCAGAGCCGCCCCGCAATTGTTCGGTTCTACTTTAGCTTCTTCTCCGCGCATTTCTCCTCCCTCTTTTGTTTCTGCATTTCCCTCTGAATTTCTCTGGTATAATTGCATATAATCCTTCAAAATGTCTGCCCCCGGAGCTGGCCACGAATTCCCTGCCCAACAGGTGTCCTGGCAGAAGCGAGACGTCCTGCTGTTCGCGAACAGCATCGGCGTCAAGGTCGACGAGTTGCACTTCCTCTACGTAAGCTCCAAGGCCCGATGAAGCCCTAGTCGGCAAGCCTAACAATTCTACTCAGGAGCTGCACCCGAACTTCTCAGTCTTCCCCACCTACCCCGTGATCCTCCGTATGTAGCATGGCACGGAAATATCCATTTGTAGCCGAGCACTGACATGGACTCGATTGACTAGCCTTCAAACTCACCGATCAGGAAGTGATTGATTTCTATGCGCGCCAGAAGGCGGTTCACATTCCCGGTGTTCCCGAATTGGATTACCGCCACAGCGTTGATGGCCAGCGCAAGATTACCGTCCTGAAGCCGCTCCCTCCGACCAGCGCGGGCCGCAAGTTCGAGTTGCGCAACAAGGTCATCGGTGTCTACGACAAGGGCAAGCCCGGCACTGTCATTGAGACTGAACAGTCAATCGTTGATAAGGAGAGCGGTGAGGTGTATTCCAAGGTTCTGAGCAGCGGCTTCTTGGTCGGCCAGGGTAACTGGGGTGGCCCTAAAGGTGAGTCTCAAATGTCGTTAAGGTATTGCAAATTAACTAAACCGCCGGTATAGGTCCTTCTACTGTTAACTTCCCTCCTCCCGAGGGCAAGAGCCCCGATGCTATTCACGTTGTTCAGACCAACATGGAGACTGCCCACTTGTACCGGTATGACCGGGCACTCTTTCCTCGATTCGTGAAGCATGCTGACTGTTTGAAATTTAGCCTGAACGGCGACTACAACCCTTTGCACGCCACCCCCGAGCCCGGCAAGAAGATGGGCTTCGGCGGAACCATCATCCACGGCCTGTTCAGCTGGAACTGTACTGCCCATGGTATCCTGCGGGAGCTTGGTGGCAGCGACCCCGCTAACATGAAGGAATTCCAAGCCCGCTTTGCTTCGCCCGTGCGGCCGGGTGACCAGCTCACCACCGAGATTTGGCGGATGGGCAATGCTCAGGCGGATGGTTTCGAGGAGGTCCGCTTTGTCACTAAGAACCAGACTGGCAAAGTTGTTTTGAGCAACGGTCGGGCTCTGCTCAAGGTGGCCGGAGCAAAGAGCAAGCTCTAAATATTTAGCTGATTTTGAATATTGGGAGGAATCGTTGGTTGTATATACATGTAGTATTTAGTTCGGTTACTCCAAAAATGGCCGAGAATGAATACCCGACATTTGTAGCGAATGGACAACTTTCATCGCGATCAATCCTTTTGCACGGCTGTTTATTTACAAACTTTGGACTTGAGTTAATTATGCCCTTTGAAATTATACACCCCAGAAAGAGCACGTGACTATCTCGGCTGCGGCCGCTCCCCGGATTCACATCACATGTCTGTCAATCCACCTTCAAACACCAGGAAGCGTAGGCTGAACCTTTTCAAATGAGTGTGAGTAACTTTGCAATGTTTAGGGTGACTTCTCTGCGGAGCAATGTCAGGTATGATACATTACTGACCCGTAATCGCGACACCGAGGCTAATATACCAACCAGATCCCACCTTGCACGGTCGTATGCATCCAACTGCAGCCAATTGGTAGGTCATGCATGCGAGTGATCTATATTTTAGCTAGGGCTCGACGGCTTACTATTTATACCCCGGCATGGTGCTGTAGCAGACAATTGCTTCTCGATATGCAGCTTCTTTCCCTAAAGGCGGAGCGTTGGGCTGGCGGTCTACTGCTGGCATGCGCGCGATATCCAACACACGGAAATTTTATTTGCCGCTGAAGCCAGAAGATCCAATAGAAAATTCTTCTGTCAACACCTTTGCCAACGAAAATGACGAGCAGAAGGCCGAATTGTCTCGGTCGCATGGATACGTGGTCATCAAAGGCGGCTTAGGGCGTGACAATGCGCCCTTTTTGCAGTTGTCAGTCATCCAGAACAAGCAAAATTCTTTTTGGAGTTTAACTTTGGCTGACTTGAATGTACAGTGGGCCGTTCTTCCTAAGGTATGTATCTAGAAGCAGGACTTTTAGCAGGGACTCCAACTGACGAAGCGCAAACAACCAGAGAAAACTGTCAATGCTCCACATGCATTCATCCAGACACGAAGCAGAGAATCGTTGATACTTTCAAGGTATATTGTTTGCCAGATCATTCTAGCTTCACGGGCTCATGGTTCTAGGTTCCTGCAGACGTCACTGCTCGTGAAGTCGAAACCGCCGAAAAAGATGTGAAAATCAAATGTGATCATCCGAGCCGATCCCACCCCCGAGAAATGTTGAGACTGACGCAGATATAGGGTCTGATGGCCATGAAAGCATCTATCCGTGGGACTGGCTCCTCTCACACCAGCAAAACGTGACTTTAGGCGCGCGAGATTTGAAAAAGACTGACTCCCCACCAAAACCCAGGTAAGGCCATAATGCCATGGATGTGGCTTGAATTTTTCTGATTTGTACTTGTAGAGATCATAGTGCCTATATCCCCCAAAAGGGGGAAGGTTATCCCACGGTTTTATACGAAGATGTGATGTCAAAAGATGAATCTGTGCTCCAGTGGCTGGAGGAGATCGTAAGTTCCCAAGAACTAGTCATTTTACGCCGTGAAGCAACAAGGTATACTAACTGACGGTTGCCAGTGGAAATGGGGATTCTGTTTTATCAAGGGCGTTCCCGTCGACCCCGAGTCAACCAAGACCTTGATCGAGAGAATTGCGTTTATCCGCCACACGCACTATGGTATTTTGAATTGACTACATCATCTCTGTTTTGACATTGCTAATAGCTCCTTTACAGGCGGCTTCTGGGATTTTACTGCAGATCTCACCTTCAAGGATACGGCATATACCAACGAGTTCTTGGGCGGCCATACTGACAACACCTATTTCACGGACCCTGCACGACTTCAGCTCTTCCACCTTCTGTCCCATACAGATGGGCACGGGGGAGCCAGTCTACTGGTTGATGGGTACTCAGCTGCTCGCACACTACGCCAAACCGAGCCGGATCTTTATCAGGCTTTGACTCATTACAGGCACCCTTGGCACGCAAGCGGGAACGAAGATGTCTGCATCCAGCCTTCTGCCCAGGCCCCTGTGCTTTCAGTTCATCCGGACATGAACACGGTTTACCAAATCCGCTGGAACAATTATGACCGGGCACCAAAGAGTGACTGGGAATTGCCTCACCAGAAATTGTGGTACGAGGCGGCTGCACGCTACAATGAGATTTTGAATGACCACAGTCGCCAAATATGGACCCAACTCGAACCTGGAACGGCCTTGAGTGAGTTAGTATCAACTATAGGTTCCTCATAAAGCTAACCTACCGAACTTCTAGTCTTTGATAACTGGCGAATGCTGCATGGCCGCTCTGAGTTCACTGGAAAGAGAAGGATGTGTGGTGGTTACGGTACGTATCGACTCTGGCATCCACAGTTTTCTTTTGATGCAATGGCTTGTTATAGACTTACTGACAACGTCGAAAAGTCAACAATGACGATTTTGTTTCGCGATTCCGTCTCCTTAAATATGGGCGGGAGAAGGTGTTGAACAACCTTGGAAACATGTATGATGCGCACTCGAGTAGCAACCCAAACTCCATCTACTAGGTCAAGGATGGAAATTGGTTGTTCCAAGATGCCTTTCTCAACAGCAGGGTGATGTACCTAGAACTGTATCTAAAATGGAGTTTAGACGTAGAATACACTATTGATAGCATCACGTGACGGCTGACGTTGATGGAGCTCGGCCACCGACAGCTCTTCTCCAACCTTCTGCGATCCCTTCACCTCCACCCACCCTCTCCGAACCGGCCATCCGTTTCTCACTAGGTTCTATCTAATTTTATCCGATCGTCACTTCCGACTCGAATTCCCGCCCATCATGTCGACCCTCGAGGACCTCGACGACCTGGAGCGTGAGACCAGAGACAAGAAGCAAGACCAGGGCGATGACGACGGCAAGAAGCCCGGCGACGATGACGCCGAGATGAAAGACGCCGAGAAGAAGGAAGATGAGGAAGAGCTCTTGGATGAGGAAATTTTGCACTCAAGCACAGCAGACATCGTCAAGCGACGGCGGATGCTGGAGAACGAGATGCGGATCATGAAGAGCGAGTTCCAACGGTTGACACACGAGCAAAGCACGATGAGAGAAAAGGTCAAAGATAATCAAGAAAAGATCGAGAACAACAGGTACGATTCCAATGATGCCCGGGCGGGTCTTCCAACCCAAGCTCCATACCGGGCTCCGCGGAGCTTCAAAGACCTCCAGCCAAACAAACTCCGCAGTCCATCCATACTAACATTGATCCGCCTTTTAATAGACAACTACCATACCTCGTTGGAAATGTGGTCGAGCTCCTGGACCTCGACGTGGAGGCCGAAGCTGCAGAGGAAGGGGCCAATATTGACCTGGATGCCACCCGTGTGGGCAAATCGGCCGTCATCAAGACCTCGACCCGGCAAACCATCTTCCTTCCGCTGATCGGTCTCGTCGACCACGAGAAGCTGAAGCCCGGTGACCTGATCGGTGTCAATAAGGACTCATATCTCATCCTGGACACACTACCGGCGGAGTATGACAACCGCGTGAAGGCGATGGAGGTCGACGAGAAGCCAACGGAGAAGTACACGGATATTGGTGGTCTGGACAAGCAGATCGAGGAAATTGTCGAGGCTATCGTATGGCCCATGAAGGAGGCCGACCGGTTCAAGAAAATTGGCATCAAGGCGCCGAAGGGTGCGTTCAGCCTCTCCCTAACCACTTTTAACTTTGGGTTTTATCTTGCGAACTAACAAAATCTACTTCCAACTTGCAGGTGCTCTGATGTACGGACCCCCCGGAACCGGTAAAACACTCCTGGCGCGAGCCTGCGCCGCCGAGACAAACGCAACTTTCCTCAAGCTCGCCGGTCCCCAACTGGTGCAGATGTTCATCGGTGACGGCGCCAAGCTGGTGCGCGACTGCTTCGCCTTGGCAAAGGAGAAGGCCCCCTCAATCATCTTCATCGACGAGCTGGATGCCGTCGGCACAAAGCGATTCGACTCCGAGAAGTCCGGTGACCGTGAAGTGCAGCGAACGATGCTGGAGCTTCTGAACCAGCTGGACGGGTTCGCCTCTGACGACCGTATCAAGGTCCTGGCCGCGACTAATCGTGTCGACGTGCTGGACCCGGCTCTGTTGCGTTCCGGTCGTCTGGACCGCAAGATCGAGTTCCCTCTGCCCAACGAGGAAGCTCGTGCCAACATCTTGCAAATCCACTCGCGTAAGATGTCGGTTGAGGACAGCGTCAACTGGGCGGAGTTGGCCCGGTCGACGGATGAGTTCGGTGGTGCGCAGCTCAAGGCTGTCTGTGTTGAGGCGGGTATGATTGCCCTGCGGAAGGGAATGACTAAGGTTGGCCATGAGAACTACGTCGATGCTATCGCCGAAGTCCAGGCCAAGAAGAAGGATACCAACATGGGTATCTATGTCTAGGGTGTGTCCTTGGGGCATTGCGCCTTGCCTGTTCTCCTTTCTCCTTTCTCGCTTCTTATTATGTTCCTCTATCCGTGTCTCGGTCATGTATGTACGCTTCTGCGGCTTGAATGGGCCGGTAATTCGCTATGCATGCGGGCGGGGGCCTCTACTTAGGTAAACTAAATAACATGATGATCTTAGACTGGCGATGTCAAAGAATTCCCTTTATGCTTGGAATGTAGATCACCTTTATGTACAACCTAGGCGATGACTTGCGAGAGTCCCTTTTTGGAGTATAGGTAGGTATGCCCTAATAGGTAGCGAATGCAGTAATCCATGCCCAAATCCCGGAAATGGTTTATCAAACCCACATACCCTAGAACCTCTTCTCATAAACCGAAATGTAGAAAGAACAAGACGTCCACACGAGACCTTGGCTAGAAATTATCGGCTATATATCTGATGTGTGTATATCTCTCCATTTTCCGAAACCTAAAAAGCTGAAACGAACAAAATGCAATGGTCATGAATCCATATAAAACACCCCCTAAATCCACACCCCAAGAACCTAATCTCTGCAAACCCTCAGCCCCTACAAATCGCGTTTAGTTCTTACCCTGAGTATCCTTAAGAGTAACAATGCGGTTAAGGATGACCTTTGAAAGATCATCCGACGACTCCCTATCGACCGCAAAGTACGCAGACCGCATACCCTGGAAGCGAATGGAGTGCTTGTTGTTCTTCACATCGCCCTCGGCAGCAGCCTTCGGCCACGGCGCGGACTTGCTAATATCTTTAAAGCCAGTCTCAATCATAGCACCGTGGTAGATTTGCTCGGACTCGGGATCGATGTCAGCGAGGAACCCGTCCGGGTGCGCGGAGGGATCCTCGGACTTGAAGAGCGGGCTAAAGGCGCGGACCTCGGCACGGATGGGGCTGTTGTGCGCAGGGGACTCGGCGACCCAGTGGATGAAGGTCTTGGGCCGGACAGCGGCTTGGCCTTCAGCGGGCTTTTCGTATTTGGCGTGCACGACGGTGACGACGCCGTTGGAGTCTTTTTCGAAGGTTGTGGCGGTGATGGGGTAGGGGGCCTTCAGGAGGCCGACGGTTTTGCCGGGGGCGAGGCGGAAGTAGTCGGCGGAGTCGACTTCGCGGAAGTCGGATCGCTCGATGTAGACGGTCTTGGTGAAGGGTACGTTGTGGGTTCCGAAGGCTGGGTCCTTGGAGAAGGGCACGTCGCACATTTCCAAGTGGTCATCGGCCAGGTCGTCGATGACTACCTTGAGAGGCTCGAGGACGACCATCAGGCGAGGAACGGTGGTTTCCAAGTACTGGCGGACGCTCTGATCGAATCTGTGCATCTGCACGTTTGTCACGGCCTTGGTGACTCCGAGCTCATTGACGAAGGAGAGGATGGCACCTGGGGGAACACCACGGCGACGCAGGGCGATGAGGGTATACAGGCGAGGATCGTCCCAGTCACGGACATGGCCCTCCTTAACCAATTGGATGATCTTGCGCTTGGAGAGAACGGTTCCGGTGATGTTGAGACGGCCGTATTCACGCTGCATAGGACGGTAGACGTCAAGCTTGTCGTTAAGCCATTCGTAAGAGACACGCGAGAGCTCAAACTCAGTTGTGCAAAGCGAGTGAGTGATCCCCTCGATGCTATCACACAAGCAATGCGCGAAATCGTAAGTTGGGAAGCATTTTAGGCCCTTGGCATGGTGATGCTCCTTGTCGCTCTCCGGGATGCGCCATGCGAACAAATCCCACATCTGGGGGTTGGGGTCCTCCAGGTCCTGTTTCATGCGCAGAGCAGCCTCTCCGGCTTTGTACTTGCCATCACGCATAGCGCGGAACTCCGTGAGAGACTCCTCAATGGGTCGCGTGCGGTGGCTGCAAGCAAAGCGCTGACCGCCACGCTGGCCACCCTCCCCCTCACCACGCTGAGCCTTGACCTCGGCCTTGGTGCAGTGACAGACATAAGCACCATCGCGCTTGATAAGCTCCTCGGCGAGTTCATAGAGACGCTCAAAGTTGTCACTGGCATTTGTCTCCCGCACGGGCTTGAAGCCGAGCCAGGCCACAATGTCGCGAATGGCGTTATAGTATCGCTCCTCCTCGCCGGCGGGGTTCGTGTCGTCGAAACGGAGGATACACTCGCCTCCGTGGTAGCGTGCGAAGCCAAAGTTAACAGCAATGGCCTTGCTGTGTCCGATGTGAAGAAAACCGTTGGGCTCGGGCGGGAAACGGGTGCGGATCTTGGGATGGGCCTCGGAGATGGGTCTCTCCTGGTAAACGTCGTTCAGGAAGCCGACCTTGAACATGGCGTCGGGGTCACGGGGCGCAGGGGGCTCATTGGAAGCTTTAGGGGCCTTCTCCTTGGGGGCCTTGACCTTAGGCCCTTCTCGGGCCCTCTTCTCGGCCTTCTCTTTCTCCTTCTGGAGTTTCTTCAGAGCCTTCTTGGACGGACCTGCTTCGGCGGCGGCAGCATCTGCGGGGGCGGCCTCCTTAGGCCGCTCGGGCAGCTCAGTGGGCTTTGCCGGATCCATGATTGTTCAATCTCAAGCTCGCAACGCGCAATGGTGGGGGTGGAGAGATATTTTCGAGGGGCAGCGATCCTTATCAGTTCCCAATTCGCTTATCGGGCCGATGAAAACCCCGGATGAGTCATATTAACAAAGAGCCCATAACTGAGGTATACATGTCATTTGTTATTCGCTGTGCTTTATATGATACGCCATTCTTTACTTCGAAAGACATGTTCCGCCTTTGCAAAGTGGAATGTCACATTCCAGAGCCAAGAAAAGGCTCTGAGAAATGAAAGAAGAGAAGACTAGAGACACGGACGGGTCAATTACTGCACTAACGATGAAGATTGCAAGCTTGATCGAATATATAACATGAATTATCGGTACTAAATACAAAAGTGCTGTACAGTGGTGGTACAAGGTTTGTACAAATCGGAGGTCAACGGACACAGATACACGAAACAAACACAAGCCACCCGAATACCTGTGCGCCAAACAAGTCATGAAAACATAAGCGACGCAAAGACCAAAAATCCCGCCAACACGGGTATCATATACAAGAACACAATGAAAGGAAAGGACCGAGATAGTGCGTGAATCCGGATAGAGCCTGTCGTGCTAATTAGAACCAAACGCCGGCTGTTGCGACCAGGCGCATGGTATCGTAGAAGGAGAGAGCAAAAATCAGAGCACCGTAAGAGTCGAACAAGTGCGGGGTATATGGCGTGGTAATAGAGACAAGAGGAGAGTAGAAAGATTGGACGTGTTAGAAGAGCTGCTTCACGTCGATAAGCTCTGTGTTTCCCGGGCGATCCCGTTCCATGTGGAACCACCAGTCCCGGCCCATCTTGTGGTTCCAGGATCCGGTGCAAGTATCTTTCTCCCAGGGCAATGCATGGTTTGAGACGTTGCTCAGGGGTGTGATTGGTGTTATGGGGGTGGGCGGACAGCCCGTGTTGGACCGACCGCTCAAGCTGCCCCAGCCGAATCGCGACGTAGTAGACGACGGCGAAGCCACTTCCTCAATGGGTGGCGGTGGTGGTGCATCGGGCATGGCTTTGGCTTTGCTGTCGAAGCAATGTACGCCCATTCCGGCAGCATACGAAAGTGACTGATTAGATGCAAGGAGATGCTTCCACCCAACCAAGCCACCGTCTGATTCTTGCCCGGAGATGTCTGGACGGAGGAGGAATCGGGGAATTGATGCTCCAGTGGCAGGGTCTCTGAGGCCGGAACGGCCCATGAAAGCAGGCATCCGGAATTTGTATACAGTCTTGGGACCGTCGTGCTCGGGTGGCTCGTTCTTATATCGCTCAGATGCAGCCCAAATGCCGTAGTCATCAACCTCGGGCTCGGGCTCTTCTTCAACGGCCGGGGCATGGTCAGGCACATAACTGTCAGAGTAATCCTGGATTAACACGGGCATGCCGTTCTCCGTGTCTTTGATAGCCATATCGATAAAAGTCTGTGCACGAATTCGAGAGGAAGTCAGGTTGTTTCCTGCGGGCAGGGCAAGCGGCCGAGTGCTGACGGAGCCGTGTGAGCTGCGAGGCAGGCTGTACCGATCTGGCTTGAGTAAAGCCTGGCCGTTGAGGATAGGTCGACAAATTGCCTGCAGGGCACCCGGAGGTTCCACGTCGTTAGGGGCGCGGAGTGTTTCGAGGCAAGGGAATCCAGCAGACAGGATGCTTTGGGCGAGGTGAGAGTTGGGAGTATCGGTGAGTTTCGGGGATTTCTGGAAAGGAAGACTGTTGAGCTGGGTGAGCGCCGTGCCGGGATCGGGACAGGCCACATCCCAATGGAGGAACTTGAGGCTCGATGATGCCAAGATCGGTTGAAGGATCATGTCCTGATCTGGCATGATCGGACATTTCTCTGCCTGCACGAACTTGAAACGCTCAAGCTGTCTAAGTGAGGAGAGAACCTTGGAAATGACCAGCAAAGACCCAATGTTCTGCTCCACCAGGGCGAGTGACTTGAGTGACCGAGACTCGGGGCGCGAGGTGTATTGTGTGAGACCAGTCTCGGTGACACCGGGCAGATTTTCCAATCTCAAAGACTCCAGCTGTGGCAGACATAACAAGGTGCTGTCCGCAAACGCGTCCTCGTTGAAGGAAGAGATGCACAAGTGTCGCAAGGAGGGCAAGAGACCAAACATGCGCAGGCAAACACTCGGTTCCAGAGCTCCGTTCCCATTCAAGCCATAAAGCATCAGGGTCTCCAGGTTCGTCCACGACACATGATAATTCAAGAACTCAAACATCTGGGAGGGTCCCAGGCTTCCGGGACAGGAGGTGCTACGAGGCGATACCTCCGAAACTTCTGCGGCCTCACCCAGAACCCAAGTATGTTCCTTCAAGCGCTTGCGAGTTGACAGCGCGTGTGTAAGGCGGTCAAACTCGTGATGATAAGGGATGGACAGGCCCAACAGGCGCTCCAGGTTCGGGCAAACCATGACCACGGACGCGACCAAGTCGCGATATTCCTCCCATTGCGCGCTTTGCTTTGTCGTTGTGAAGAGCAAGTCCAACTGGGGAACCCTGAGTTCGCGGACGAGGTTGGCTAGCAATTTCCGTTCGCGCAGACTGCGTCGTAGCAGCTTCAAGCGGCTGCCTCTCTTCAGACGGTATTTCTTTAGTTGAGCCGGAGAATCAATCCCGACGATGTGTATCTTGGTGTAACTAAAAGATATTGCATGAGTAAATGATGCCGTGGCAGATGATACGCTCGGGACTTACAGTCGTCCTCGAACAGCCTTCTCCCAAGACCGACATGTTAGGGACAAGGCATGGAGGTCGCGTTGAAAACAGGTCGTGCAACCCGTCTGGTGCGGTGCTTTGTGCAAAGTTTCTAGGTGGTTCAGGATAACATCGTAGACCTCCTGGGGTAGTCGGCGCTGCACGGGTTCAACAGGCTTTTCAATGGAGCCGAACGAATCGAATTGGCGATAGGAGGAGGCCGGCGAGGAAGGCGAGTATGCAGTCGGGGCGGTGGACGCGCTGTAGTTCGTTCGGTACGAGGAAATGGAGGAGGTGCGCGATGCGGGCTGAACGGTCACGGCAAATTCTCTGCAATTGGATCCGGGTATGGCGTAGGGCGCAGCAGGGCTCTCCGGTCTACTGGCAACAACACTCATCGTGAAGTTGCTCGCCTAGCATCGGAGATGTCGCGCGATGTATAGGGGGAAAATAAGGTGGACAGAAGGCGGAGGGGCAGGAATGTAGGGGGGGGGGGTACACAGCCCAAAGAAAAACGAGGTCGTGTTGTAATGCACCTGAGGATCGGCAAACGGAAATTCCAGTGGATGTCACTTGCTGATGGAGAGCTGGAGATGATGAGAATGTAAATAGTCGCAGAGGAAGTTCATGAAGAGAATAGCATCCAGAGAAAGGCCGTGCCGCTTGTACTCTCATGAGGGTCCGGAAAGAGATGGCGATCGACCCCCACATAAGGCATGTGTTCTACGGAGAACTTTGACAGGGGCGGTTCAGGGGTTGCGCTACCTGTTCCCCATTGTTCTATGCCCGATGCAGCCGGGATCCGCCGAGCTATTCCCCGTCTGGGTTTTGTCGAGTCATGGTCGTCGCGGCACGCCATGGCCGTGGTACCTGGTTTCGCCTATAATAGCCCGAGTTCACTGCGGATGGCATTTACTATTGGACCGCCCGGACACCAGGAACTGCAAGGGAACGCTTCGCCTCCAGTCACGCGAACGGCCCTGCGTGGTGAGAAAGCGGTTCGTGAGCTGCAGCGCTAGACCGGGCCGGGCATAGTGTACCTGAACCAAGTGGGCCATGGCGGGTCTGCCCCTTTTCACTGTTCGTCTTCCTTTTCTTACGATCGTCAATTAGTCCTCTGGGAATATACAGTAGTACGGAGTATATCACCGGCCTTGGCAGGGTGTACATTTTGAGGATGCAACGTGCTCGGTTTCACCCAGCCACCCGGTGAGACACGATCTACAGCCTGACAACGGATGGAATCAAAAAATCCAGGGCCCACGGTGATCAGCTCCGATTCGACCGCCTACCAGGAACCACCGGGAACTGCCACAACCCGTTCTACGATCAATTCCAAATGGTTTGGAGTATTTCCGACTCCAGGATAGCTTTGCCACCGGGTCTCAAAAACATGATGGCCCTCTGGCAAACTCACCCCGAGATCAATCAAGATCTGCGCCCGTAGATTGGTCCGGTCAAACCACTCTACAAGGCAGGTTCTCCGCTTGGCAACCACCGTCGTCCTTTACCTGGTGCTCATGGCTCCTGCACTGTGACGTTGCCATTCTGCCGGCGTCACCATCTGAGATTAGGGATTCGTCAGGCCCCACTTCCGCGTGCTGATGCCGCGATGAGCCCGCTGCGGTTCCAAGGGTTCTGCATGAGGCTAGTTCAGGTCCGCTTCCACGAGCTGTCGATCTTGTCTGCAAGTGCTGTACTTCATGGGGCAGTTGTCCATATCCACAGCAGTCAGCCTATCTATCAAGATCTTCCTCTTCGTCTCGCTTCTCCTCAAGTATCACTGTGAAATTCTGACTAAATAGAACTTCGTGGCGGAAAAGGGTAAAAGGCAGGTACAGTTTCGGCCACCCTGTACCCTCAAGCAGCACATGGCATCTTGCAGAAACCTCGACGATGCAATATTCAAAAATATAAAGTCCCTAGAGCAGGCCTGCCTGACAAAGAGCAGGGACCTGTACATTAAATTAGTCAATTGAGATCAACAATCCAAAATATTCACTGTCTTGATCATTATGCATGCAGCACGTTGGCCATCAATCCCAAATTCCAAGCTGCACCCCAACGGGCTCGTCCTTCGTAAACCGATAAACCACATCCCCAAACGCAGCCGTCGGAAATACATAAAACCATCTCAGGTCTCCAGACCCCGTGTTCGCAATCCCATGCTCTGCATGAGAGGGAATAAACACCGAACTCCCCTGCGTGACCTGGCTCTTTACTCCATCAATCGTGACTTCTCCTTCTCCTTCAATGATATAGTAGATTTCAGCCTGTTCATGGCGGTGGGCGCATAGATGTCCGTTTTTCGGGGGGCATACTGCTATACCGGCACTTAGGTCTGAGTTTGGAGTTTGGGGCTGTGAGAAGAGCGTGTGCCATGACACGACGCCGTAAGAAATGTTCGGGAAGGATTCGGAGGGTGTGTTCGTTGTATATGATGGAGAAATGATGATAGGTTTGGTTTCTTTTGAGGATGTCGCGTTGGTGGTTTCTTTCCTCGTAGGGGTTGCCATAGCGGGTTGATTTTCCACTTGATCTGACAGCTAGTTATTATTTTAAAGGATTTTTAGTTGGGGGCTGCTAGGTTATTTCTAAAATATGCCGGAGATGGCGTTTCTGATCGTTGGGAGGGGAAGCCCCACGATTGGTTTGCTTGTCGGAGGACGGGTTTTCCAGAACAAGAAATGGGTTCCCGATGCCCACGGCAACCTTGGAACTAGTCGATCTAGACTCTTCGAAGGTTTCTAAAAGAGCGAATCAAGGACGTAAATGTGGATAGGAATTAACATGACGATACATAGAATATTCGTGAAAAATTCCAGGACAATTCGGCCCGCTGTGATATGATCTAAGAAAGTATCTGATTTTGGCTCTCGGGAGAGAAGTATATATCCAGAGAGCCCCGAAGGGGAACTTGGCTTAAAACATGTGTTGAATCTGCTGGATAGGTTCAGATAAGGCCCGTGAATGTGAGAAAAGATTGTGTATCAAATCTCAAATCAAGACCTATACTAAGAATCAACCCCCTCTTTGCCCCGCCACCGTACGCCACCTATTCACCCGAATGCCCGTCTGAACGCCGTAAAAAATAGGAGTATAAAGCTCCAAGGCATTAATTGATTTTCTCGCCAGATGACCTGGCCACGAAGGTCTAGCAACTTGGTCACGGGTCTTCTTTCCCGAATGGCATCACCCGGAGGGACTAGGAAGACTTCCATGGAGACCCCCAGAGGGTCCACCCACAGAATTAAGAAATGATACCGGAGATGAAAGCTGCGACGCGGTTGCGCCGGAGTCTTATGAATGTGGGAAAACAGAGCTTGACTAGAAAGAAATAGATAGGACCAGAAAACGCTGACATGAGTACCCGGATGTAATCCAATCCCAACCAGAACCAAAGGCACAAATTTAACTCGCTGGACAAAAAAAAAGCGTGTATGATCCGGCTCCGAGCCAAAGCGATCAGGCGATCAAGGCCAGGGGACAGAACGTGTGCACGCCGAGTCCATCACAAATGCAGGCCTTCCAACATGAAGAAAGACGGGGTATGTAGCTGAACTGTGGAACAGAACGCGGGGGTGAAAACACAATCACAAAGACCGTGGTGATGGCCGGCGTTCATCCTCTGCAGAGCAGAAACAGACAAAGCAAATAAGAACCACCCGGGCAGACAAAATGAAGAACAGAAAACAAAAAGCAAACCCATATCTGCGGGCCGCCAAGGGATGCATCCGAGGCCATGTACAGGACAAGATTCAATGCCAGATCAAGACTCCATGATCATGCAAATCAATGAGACAAATAAAGAAACCGTTTCACATGTCAAAATTATCGTCAACGTTGAAAATCCCGGAATCCGCACCCTCTCCCTTCTGGAATCCGCCCATGCGCTGATCGGTCGAGTTCTGCGAACGGTGGGAGCGCTGCCAGGTTTCATCGTGGATCGGGTCTTCGTCCATTTCATCACCGGGATCCTTCACGTGGTGGTCGATGGAACTCTCGTTTACGAAGGTGAACCCCTTAAAGTTGGCCTGCATACCGGGGGACAGAGGGGTGGCACCAGCAGGCATCAGGCCGTTGGCCAGAGCCGCTGCGCGGTCGTTCAGTGAGTTGTTGTTCTCCAGTGCATTGGTGAACTCAGGGTCGAAATTAGAAGTGTCTGTATCCGACTGCAGTTTCGGCTTGAAGGGGGGAATAACCTCCTTGCGGCACAGAGCATCCCAGTCGACGTCGTGGAAGAACGGGTGCGCCATCAGCTCCTTGGCATCACCGTTGGCTCCCAGCCGGTGCTTGGGATTCCGGTTGAGCAGACCCTTCACGAAGTTGCGGCCCTCGGTGCTGAGAGCATCACGGGGGAATCGGACCTTGCCGAAAGCGATGTTTTTGTACATCTGCTGGGTATCTTCGGCGTAGAACGGGCTCCAACCACAGCACATCTCGAAGACCAAAACACCCAAAGACCAGAAATCGACCATCTTCGTGTAACCTTGCTCGTCAAGCAGGACCTCCGGGGCGAGATACTCGGTGGTGCCGCAGAAGGTGTTGGTGGTGTCGTTTTGTGTCAGGTTCGCCTTGGAGAGGCCGAAATCACAGAGCGCAATATGACCGTTGGCATCCAACAGGATGTTCTCCGGCTTGAGATCCCGATACACAATGTCATGATCATGAAGATGCTGCAGTGCCAGGATCAGTTCCGCGATGTAGAACTTGGCCCGGGCCTCCTGGAAGCGACCTTCACGCTGGAGATGCCAGAACAATTCACCACCGGACATGTAATCCGTGACAAAAATAAGGTCGGTCGGGGTCTGGAAGGAGAACTTGAGGCCGACGATGAACGGTGAGGCCGTCATAGCGGTCCGCACTAGGATATTGCGCTCGCCCAAAGTATGTGCCACCTCCTTCTTTTGGATAATCACCTTCTTTGACAAGACCTTCATGGCGTAGATGCGCTCGGTGTCCTTCTTCATAACCTGATAGACCTGACCGAAGGTTCCTTTGCCGATAAGCTTCAGGATCGCAAAGTCGTTCGGGCCGACCTGTCTGCGATCGGTCATTTCAAATCGCATCTGAAGGTGAATTTCACCCGAAACCTGGCTGTCTCCCGCTGCACGGCCAACCAGAGGGAACCATCCTTCCAGTCGGCTATGGTCCTCCTTCAGGTTTATACCGAGGCGAACGTGACCCAGGAAAGTCTCTTGGTTGTGGCGATCGTAGACAGTGACATCAACTTCCGACTGATCGCCCAGAACATCACTGAAGACACAGTGTTAGCAAAAACAAACGCCGAGGGCAGGTGGTCAACACCGAGAGTACTTACAAGACAGCCTCGTGGTCCCAGTGGGGATCAGTCACGGGCATGCTCCCCTTGAGTTCACCATCCAGGGCGGTGTTGTGACTGCTTTGGCGACTCCGCATCGGGATAGCCATCGGCCGACCGGCCTCGGCCTCGGCATCCATCTGGCGCCGTATTTGTTCCTCTTCGCCATCCTTGGCACCCTTGGAGATGTACTCGTTCCACTCAAAAACGCACACGACATACGGATCGATACTGGGACGTAAACCGCGAGCCTCGGAGATCTTCACAAAGAGTTTTCCCTTAAGTGGTCCTACAGGCGGTCCGTTCTGCGGGGAAGACGAGGATTCACGCGGGAAGGCCTCGTCGAGCTTCATGGTAATTTCGTCGGTGGAACTGTCCATGCTATCCTGGGTTGGTTGAGATGCTTCGACCTCGGGCTCAGCCTCGGGCTCGCGGGGCGCCGAAGTGACGGAGGCGGACTTTTTCTTGGCAGGTTCCTCGTTGGACATAGCCCGGGGAGTCAGTGGCGGGGTATTCTTTAGAGGCACCGCGTTGGGTGCCTTTCCAGTCAGCTTGGAAAGGTTCTCGGAAGAGATTGAAGCACGCGGCCTTTCGTGGTCGAATAAGGGAGCCTCGGTGGATGGTAACGCATCCGGGGCAGGAGGGAGAGTGGGATTGGAGAAATGGGTGGCAAGGACCGGGTCGTCAGAGACGCTGGAGACTGGCAGGGAAGTTTGACGGCGAGAAGGGGAGTCGACGGGGACGTTATGGGGAATGAGATAATTCTTCAAAGTGTTGAAGATCGAACCCCCGTCCTCCTTATCAAGACTCGTCCCGAGTTCCATCTCGTCCGATTCGGTCTGGAGGAGGGAGTGGGGAGGAGTGGGCAAGTTGGGGTGCGGTGCTTCCATCTTCTCAGGCTCTTCCTCGCGCTCCAACATGACGAAGGACTCGGAGGAAGAGCCCGGGGTGGTGGGTGCGGCCGATGGAGGGTCCACAGAGGATTTCGACAGGCATGACCAGAACCGCGGCAGACTCGCTTTATCACCAGAGAAAGAACCAACCTGAAAGTAGTTGTGCATGATGGAAGGCAGACGCTTGTCCGCGGGGTCGGGTTGAGGTGTTGCGATGCCCGTGGGAGTGGACCCGTTCGACCCGATCTGGTCGTCTTCAGGGACGGAGCTATGTGATGGATATTGGGTTAGCCATGGGACTGCATCGGTGCATCGGTAGAGATGTTTTTATAAACGACGTGAGAGTGCGAGCAGACCCGCTCCATCTCTACTCGAACGTTGGAGGATTGTTCCGGGCAAGATCAAGGTGGTGGCGGGGTGGTGGGTAGACCAAGGCTTTGTATAATGAGACAGCGCCTGCAGGGAAGAATGTTCCATGCAATGCGGTGTAAGAGGACGAGCCTCGTCATGAAGTTTTCCCCTCATGACTATCCACACCCCCCGAAAAAAAAATAGAAACGAAGGACTCACTTGACCGGCTTCATGTCGGGATAGCCGTGCAACTCGGATCCGCTCTGCGCAGCAGCCATTGCGCTTCCATTTAACACTCAAGATGCCGCCGGTAAAAAAAAGCGACTCCAAAAAGGCTGGGAAGTCGAGAAAAGGAGAAGGGGAAGCGGGGTGTGTAAATTGAAGGTCGAGGAGGGGAAACGTAGGAAGAGGAAAAAAGAAACTTTGACGCCGCCCGATGATGAGCTAAGGGTGTTTGCGGGATGTCGTCTGTGGTTGACCCCGATCGGATTCGGGCCCTTCAACCAGTGATGTTACAGATGATAGCACTCGCGGCAGGACTCGAGCGAGGATAGAAAGCGTGAGATTCGAGAATTCTCGATGAAAAAAAGGAACTCCCCTGGACCAAATGAGGGTTTATTCATCCCATTCCCGGGGCTGTGCCGGAGAGGGTGGGCTGAAGAAGTAATGGCTGACCATAAGCTGAGAGGCATGTGAGATTAAATTTAGAATGAGACGGGGTCGCCTCGTCGTTACAGATTGTTTCTTATCCTCGACCCTCCTGTTATTTGGGAGGGTTTGAAGTACGGGGAGGCAAATTCATCCGAAACGGAAGGAAAGAAACGAGGCAAATCGGCGGGTTGTGAAGGGCCCCGGTGAATGGCCGAGGATTCTTGGCCGATAGACTTCCTTTCGCTATTTAATTAGAATTAGAATATTCGATAATTTAATTAGTTCCCATATTTTCCTTTCCGACCTTCCCATCTCCTGAGATCAGGGGGTGACATGTGGCCCTCTCGAGTTCGGCCTTTGGGTAATTTGCCTCCTGATACTGAAAAATGAAGGATTGCGCTTTTTTTCGCCTTATCAGTCCACCCTTACTGTACAATGCACGAATCTCCGCCCGCTCCACTCCTTAAGGGGCGGGGTTTTGTCCTCTCTCTCCTCTATCTTTTCCATCTTTATCGGATTACATTGCACCGGACGCCCCCCTTGAATTATTCCCAACTTGCTGCTGTACGACGTAGATCGAGTTCGATCTACACGAGTCGATCGCGATCGTGCAGCTTTCAGCTTGTGAAATGCCCCGGCCCAGCTTCTCCGCTCCCCTTGCATCTGCATACCACGGAGCTCCCACTCCATCGCTGTTGCCGCTTCGGCTCTGGCGGTATGCTGAACTATGAATGATCTCCACCATTTGCGTCATAGGGCGCCAGCCATGGAGCCCCAAGCCCAACGTGGGTGCTTTTTGGTTTGATGGAATCCACAGCCGTGGTCGTGCATGATGGATTTACGTGCCATAACTGCGAGCTTGCTACGACGTAGACGTGATTGGCAATGTAGAAGAAAAGCAACGCTGCTGGAGCTTCCCGAATACGCCATCCCGAGGCGGGGGGTGATCTGCAACTGCCCCTCACCTCTTTTTCAGGACGGATGGACATGGCGTTGGAAAAGAGATCCAGAGGCGTTCGTGAATGACTGGGATCTATTGTGCGTAAGGCTGTCCCATATAGCCCGGGATCGTAGAAGTTACATCGGAAGAGTGCCCCGTTCTCCTCAATCCTGATACCGCCCGCTGACGGTGTCATTAGAGACGCCTGCATGATCCAGTGCAGTGTGCATGTGGCAGCTTATCGGGCAAAGCGACCGGACTACGGATATCTGATTTGTAGGTCATCTGCGGTCTGTGAATTTGATCCACGACCTGCACAACATGGAACCGACTCACTCCCGCGGTCTTTACTGCGCGTTGATGCAAGAGAAGAAGAGCCGGACATTTCTGGAATCGCGAACCGCGTTACCCAAGATCGGCTGTCAATCCTTGACAGCCACTCCTTCTGGGGGAATACTGTAGCCACCCCTCAGTTTCCTGTACATACAAGGGTCCAAGCGGTCAAGGTCTTCTGCATCAAAGCAGGTTTCTTCCGAAGCTCACACCTCTCACATCCGGTGAGATGGCCAAACCATCGGGACGATGGCACTTCCTCGCATGTGATACCCATGGAACGTACATGGCATTCAAGTGTATACTTACAGCCCTTGGTAAAACTTGCTATGGTACATACCCCATAAGGTTGTATAAGGGCGGGTACAGGTCGGTGAAATGGATCCGGGCGCACGGAGCCAGTCACACAGCTCAATCCCGAAACTAAACTGCGAGGACTCCAACGTCGGGAGAGAACGGTGAGCTAACGGACCGGTGAGTGCTTTGGGCTGCCTCTCTGGGCCTTGAACATTCTCTGGAACGCGAAATGAGCTCATCGTGCGGCCATCCACGGGTCCGGATCTCCGCACTACACACAATGCCCGTAGCAATCTCCCGATGGAGACGGATGGCCCTTCCATGATTTCAACCGGCGCGACCGAGTAGGCGGTAGAGGGTCTAGATTTCCCGGGCAGTGCCTGCGAATCAAGAGCTCAACACCTCAGTTGGTTTTGCCCAAGTTGGTATCACCCTGTGTGATGAAGGATGACGTCACAATAGGGTTCAGGGCTTGATCAGTTCCTGAGGCTGAGGGTCGATGCCTTATCATGTGACCTAAAGTCACATGCATTCACGTGATATTCATCGGGGAAATGTTTTCCCGCCCATTGGGATGTGAGCAAAACAGCTCACTTTGGCGGCGCGACTGCAAGACGTATTGTTTGTCCCCGCTATCATTGTCGCTATGCCTCGAAAGCTCAGGGCAGCTGCCCAAGCAGCGGCAAAATCAATGAGTATGTTTTAATGCACCTCCCCAACCTCCAACCCATGTTCAAAGACCATAAGTCATCCCCCTGTGAACGAACTTGCCATTAACAATCCCCAGAAAATGTCCCTACACTTCCGGACGTCTCCGACGAGGAGATGATTGATGTGCCACCGTCTGAACCTTCCTCCCCTGCGGTGGAAGACCACGACTCGCCCGATGATGACCCAGACGTCGAACCAGAGGCCGATCCCGAGGCCGAAGTCGAAGCCGAGAACGCGCCTGAGGAGGGGCAAGCAGAGACTCCAGGCGAACCCAAACCCGAAGACGAAGCGAGCGCCGCGACACCCGCAGCAGATGAAAGCACTGTACTTGAAGGAGATACGCCCAACGTTAACCCCGGCCGTCCATCCCTTCTCCCGCGCAAACGTCGCATCGGTCGTCCTCCAAAGAATCGCCCACCAGACTGGGATGCGCCGGATGGTTCGCAAACCCCGATTCGAGTAACTACCCCAGTAAAGCGGCGACGAGGTCGACCTGCTGCAAGTGGCGGACGCTGGGCGCGCAATCGTGGCCCATCCCACCTTACACAGGTGCCAGTGGACAAGGAAGGAAACATGATGGATGTGATCGGCGATGAAGTTCAACTTCCTCCGAATCCTCAGGGTGACGCCAAGGTTGATGAAAACGGTCGTCTGAAGGGGGGCCGCGAGTACCGAGTCCGCACCTTCACGATTCTCAACCGCGATGACCGCTTGTACATGCTGTCAACGGAGCCGGCGCGATGCATTGGTTTCCGTGACTCGTATCTCTTCTTCCAAAAACACAAGATGCTCTACAAGATCATCATCGATGACGATGCGAAGCGTGATCTGATCGAGCGAGATCTGATCCCGCACTCCTACAAGGGCCGAGCCATCGGTGTGGTCACTGCGCGCTCTGTGTTCCGTGAGTTTGGAGCAAAGATTATCGTTGGAGGCAGGAAGATTGTCGATGACTACGACGAGGCGGCTGCTCGCGAGCGCGGTGACGTCGAGGGTGAACTTGCTGTGCCAGAGGACAAACTACCAGGCCCGGGAGAAGAATACAACCGTAACCAGTATGTGGCATGGCACGGCGCGAGTAGTGTCTACCACACGAATGCGCCGTCGGTGCCAATGCCTGGCGGCAAGCCAGTGGACCCTAAAAAACGGCGCGTGCCGGTAACGGATGATAACTGGATGCTCGAACACGCTCGTGCGGCTAGGTAAGCTTCTGATTCCGTTTCGTTTCGAATCATGTATGAAGCTAACGCATCCTCTCTAGCTCTTTCAATTCCAAGCTTGCCCAACTGCGCCGTTCCACCATGGGAGGCACCTACGACGTGCACACCAACGCGATGCATTACCCTCAAATCATGCAACCGACCCATTGTCGCTGGGAGCGTGTCCCGCCCGCCGACCTGATGACAGACATGTCCTCTCTGAGCCTCTCAAACAAAGAGTCCAGCACGAATGTCAACACCACCGAACCAGCAACACCGGGCGACCAGGTCTACGAACGATCCTCAAACATCTTCCCACCCGTGCCCTCCCACATCGCCGATCGCTACGTGATCCAAGATATCGTCTACGACCCGCCACCCTACTCAAACATGGGACTCCCAGGCCCAGACGGCGATCTGCGCAACCTGCACCCCAATGGTCTGGCCAGCATCGCCAACCCGACCCACCCGGAGTTCATGTCCCCGGAGATCATCGCTCTACTTCCAGACGACGCCAAGGAGGCTCTCATCGAGTCAGCCGCGCGCGAGGTGGAGTGGAAATCCAAGTGGTCAACCGAAACTAAGGACGGCGCGCGCTCGCGGCCGCTCAAGAGCTATGCGTGGGCTCCGTGATTTCCCACTGCCCAACTGGTTACAGGGGGTTATAAATGGAGATGTTCTTTTATTCACTTTAATATCCATATAGGAGTTAAATCCATGAGGGTGGTTCTGTTTTGGGACTCGGACAAAATTTCCAGGTTAGCATGGATTGGGACGTTGGTTTCATGGTGGGTTTCAAAAAGCCATGGGAGTTTTTCATTCATGCTCTGATTTATGGTTTATTCTTTTGTTTTGCAACCCTTGCCTCGGGGTTGTTGTGACATGGCTTTGAAAAGCTGAGGGTCGAATGCTTTTGTGCATACGCTAGATACCTTTGAATTGAGATGATCTCGAACATCTGATAAGACATTGAAGATAGATGGAATGCTTGGATCAGTCGGCTGGCCGTACTCTCCGTGCGTAGGCTGTGAAGCTGTTCTTCTACCACTTGTCTGCCCACCGTACAGACGAACACGCGAAAATTATAATCTGGTTCATTCGAGGACCATCGTTAAGATCACAGCTTCCACAACCACGCAGAAACGGCCTCGGCAAAAGAAAGTATTCTAGAACGGATCCAATATCAAAAGAAGCAAAGGGAAATTCTGAACTAATAGTGGAAAAAAATACTTGGAAAGATAAGTTATGATGACCCAGACAAACAGAGCGGGTCAAACCACGCCGTCAAAACACCGAGGGTGAAGTTGTATGGGAAGGGAGAGAGAATGGGAGGGGAAGAGGGAGCGCCAGAGTATAGGGCAAAAAAAAAACAAGAGGGCTTGCGAAAAACGTCCAATGCAAAAGGTAGGCGAGGCAGGAAGCCAACCGAGGAAAGAAAAGCTGCATATGCGAAGATAGTAGGGCAAGGGTGTGGGTGCTACATGGCCATTTCGGCGCGCAACTTGGCCAGCTCGGCTTCCTCGTCGTCTTCCTCTGCCATAGGCTTTGCGGGTGTCTTTCCAGCCACTGGAGGCCTGTTAGCACGGTCCTGAGTATGTCGAGGTCGAATGAAGGGGTTCGACTTACGCTCCGACTTTCCTGCCTCTGGTAACCGATCCAGCTGCGAATTGACCGGCACCGGGCCAGTATTGAGCATGCGCTCGTCCATAGCCTCCTGTTCCAGTCCCTCCAACTCCTGTTCCAGCTCGTCTTCGTCGGGCTGCTCGCCCAGCGGGACGCTGGTAATCGCCGCGCCAATTTCCTCGCTGAGCTGGTGTTGTTCTCGGAGTATGTCCCTGCGCAAGTTGTTAGCACTCCATAAGCCCAATAGTGAAACACGTGGGCTGTTGCCACATACATAGTCTCGTCGACCTTGTCGATGCTCATTCCACCATGGATCTGCGACATCGCTGCACCAGCCTGCTTCATCGCCTGCAGGGTCTCGTGGTTGATATTGGCCGCTTCGATGGAGTAGATTTGTTGCTCGAGCTGAACGATCTGCGCCGCTGTCTGCTCGAGGTTCTTTTCGTGAACCTTTTTCCGTCGGAGGGCGGCTTTGGCAGCTGTACAGAATACAAACGGGTTAGACTTCAATTCCCATTCCGTTGATAAGACGCCCAAACACAGCCTAGTTGTAAGAAGCGGGGGTGATCGTACCGTTCTTATTTGTGTTTACCTGCTTGCGCGCCGCGGCATCCTGCTCCGCAACCTGGTTCTCCAAATGCTTCTCTCGCTTCTGCAACATATCCAGCTGCTCTCTAAGCAGCAGGATGGCGTTCTTAGGGGCATCCTTCCGTTTCTGAGCGGCAGCGCCGCCAAACCAGGACCACATTTCGGCGGCCGTGTGAAAGAAAGATGTCCGGGATTTGTGGTATGTGGGACTCTTATTCGAAGGCGAGGCGATCAGGCAGCACGGTCAATGAAAAGGTAGGGGGCGTCGCAGTGTAGATAGAGCGGCGAGTCAGACGGAGGTGGATAGGCTCCAGGCAAACCCAAATACGTGATTATCGCCAAAGGAGGGGCGTGGCGATCGGCGAGACAGTGAAAGAAGCCAGAAAGTGTCTTGGACGCGGCGAGAGCAAATTCGCAGCGTGTGTTGAAGTCACCGGATGAAGCCAAATGGAGGGGAGAGACTTTCCCCTCGCTGAGCCTATGACATACTCGGGCCTATCGGGGTCACGTGCCGCGTCATCCCGACTTTCGCTGCTTCTTTGGATTCGCTTTTCTTCATTCTCGCGATGAGCGGGCCGCGCCCCTCTAGTCGCGCATTTCTCCACGAGCTGCCATGCTTACCCGCTGATTCTAAGATCCGCTTTTTGGGCTGGTGCGTTGGGGAATTCCAGCTGAGACATATACTCTACAAACGGCCCCGTTTACTAATGTATCAACAACAGTGTGAGGCAATACAACGTTAATATTGGTCATCTCGTCTTGGAACACCATTATCCGCGCAGCAAAGAAGAGCCCAGCATGGTTTTCGTGGATGTAAATGCTGTCCTCGAAGATCTGACATCCGAGGAGCTGCGGGTAGGCTCATGGTTGAACGTATTGGGATATGTTCGAGATACTACACCGCCAGATGCGTCTTTCTCGAGTCAACAGGGTTCACAGCAGTCAAATGAGGCACTGCCTGTCAAGGTTTCACCACGGCCGGTGTACGTCGAGGCAGTGATGGTTTTCTCCGCGGGTGCTATTGCTCTGGGAGAGTACGAGCGGATTCTGCGCAATGCGCAAGACGTGGAGCGCCGAATCCACAATCAGGGCTGAAGGCAATGATGGAATTTTGCTGAATCGGCATTTCTGAACTCAGTATCCTCGTGTCTATCGTGAACGTTTCGAACTGAATATCGTTTATTCGTAATAATCGCGTACTAGACATTATGCAGCGCTTCATGCAAGGACTTTTCAGCGGCCAGATCAACTTATCCGATCTTCAAACACCAATGCATAGATGATGGGGTATAGAGATGAATCGAACAAACAAAAAATAAAACATAACAAATCCAGTGGGAAAAATACTTCTCTCTCACTCGGCTTCATTCTGCTTCTGCTCATCATTGGGAGGAGTAGCACCCTGCCTGGGCCCTTTGCGCGCCCTCTTCCCCTCCAGCTTCTTCTTATCCTCCTGCATGCGCTGAATCAGATTACATTTCATGCGGATCTTGTACCCGTACCTGTAAAACACAAACGGAATGGGTACAATAGCCACCTCCAGTAAGCCCAACAGCGTGCCAGACCAGTTCGGTCCCAGACTGTCATACATATATGAAATTTTAAACGAAGACCAGGTGGGGCAGGCGATAAGTCTCTGTGACGGTGAAGGAAGACGGCGTGCCGAGAAGGGTGATGCGTATCTCGGAGAGGAAGCCGAGGCTTCTAATGACTTTGGTTTATATCTGCAATGCTTCCTTTATATCACCCTAGTCAACTTTTAATGTTGATTGCCAAGTGCCATTCACGGTTTGTGCTAAGGTGTCATCTCCATGTCCTCCACATGAAGACCCCGTGGGTACATGACTCTATTTCTCTTGAGGAGAGTGGGCGATTCCCCTAGTTGCTCTGGAGTGGATTCGATAGGCCCGGGCTCGGGGGTCTTCCTGGACCATGAGCCAACGACACTGCTCGTTGGCAGGACCAATGTATGCATCAATACGTGGGGTCGGAATTCTCTGGGAAGTTATATGCCTGTATAGGCCCTGGAGGTGTGGTTGTACGGCGAACACCTACCGTTGAGAAAAGCCGGATACAAGCACGATCGGGCATGGATTCGGGAAAGCAAACATCCCGATTATTGTCACGGTGCTGTGGGCCGTCTCTGAAAGCCCGAGGGGAGTAGGGCCGATGCTCTTAGAAAAATTTTATTTCTTCGGTGCGGAAGTATTTCCGCCGAGGGGGGAACGAACACCTGCCCACAAGATAAACATTGAACGCCGCAGAGCTAAGGACGGGACTAAATCATGGGTGGAGCTCCTGTTCTTATGGGCCTTGACTTTAAAGTCTAGCGCGGAAAGCCTTTCGACATCTAGAACAGGCTCGCTGTCTCATTCCCAATTCGACGCTCATGTCCGGGAATAAATGGGCTGTTGAACTAAGTTGACCAACCAGAGCGCAGAATGGCTTCGTTTAACACTAACCGAGCCCGCCTCTTCTCTAAGCGATGCTACACGTTTCTCGCTTGCAGCTCCATCGGTGACAAATATAGCGTTGGTTTCAAGATTTACAAATACTGTAGCTGATCGAAATAAATATGAACTTTGTTTCTCTCTCAGACACGTCTCCCTCAGAGTCTGCGGCTTGTGCTTGGACTTCACATGGCGCACGGGTTATTACATTGAAACGCAGTGACCGTCTAACCTTTTGTCCCTTGTACAAGAAGCGAGCTCTCCCCACTTCCTGCATTGTTGATCCTTGCGAACATCAACCATGGCGTGGATCATCCTCACCTCCGTGCTAGGCCTGGCAGCTCTGTACCTCTACCATGTCAACTCTGCCATGAAGCGTGTGCCCGAAGAGGCGCACAAGGCATCGCCTCGTCGTTGGACGGTCGATGAAATTGAATCTGCCTACAAAAAGAGTCTGGAAAGCCCGGTCGATACAACTAAGAATCTTCCGCCGAAGCAGTCTCGACGATATGTGGTTGTCGGTGGATCTGGTACGTCTTGTCCCCTGCAGCAATCCTGGAAGAAGGTAAAAAGGCCACTGCAACTGACATGATCAATAACAGGCCTTGTGGGCGGCTGGATTGTATCACATCTGCTTGCGCGAGGTGAAGACCCGGCCTCACTGCGAATTCTAGATCTTCTCTCGCCTACTCAAGACATCCTCGACCGTGGCGTGACCTACGTCAAAACGAACATCACCGATGAGCTGGTCGTTTCTACCTCCTTTGAGCAGCCCTGGCCTGAATCTGTCGCAAGGCTCCCCTTAACCGTCTTCCACACTGCCGCCACGATCCGTCCTCAAGACCGGCTCAAAATGTTCTTGCCGTACTGTAGCAAGGTCAATATCGACGGCACCAAGAACGTCCTGAGCGCAGCCAGAAAAGCCGGTGCCAGCTGCTTCGTCTCAACATCATCTGGCTCCATATCTCTGCACAAGCCGAACTTCTGGGTCGCCCCATGGAGCAAGCTACCATCCCGCGCCGTGCAGGTCATCAGCGACGACGCAAAAATACCCCAGTACCACGACCAATTCTTTGGCAACTACGCTGTAACCAAGCTTGAATCCGAGACCATCGTACGCTCCGCAGACTCTCAGACCTCTAATTTCCGCACCGGCTGTATCCGTCCCGCGAATGGCATCTACGGTATCGGCAGCGACGCCTCAATGACCATCACAGGCGTGTACCTACGCAAGGGCGGTAGCCCGACCTGGGTTCGGCCGGTGATCCAAAGCTTCGTGAACGCAGAGAATGTCTCAATCGCACACCTCCTGTACGAGCAGCGACTGTTGGAACAAAGCAAGCCGGGCTCGACACTACCCAACATCGGAGGCCAGGCCTTTGTCGTGACAGACCCGAACCCAGCTGTCTCTTTCAACGACGTCTACACTTTGCTCAGTACATTGTCCAAGACGCCTGTTTCATTCCCAACTGTGCAACCCGCCCCGTTGTTGGTCGTTTCGTACCTTGTCGAGCTCTACTGTGTCATCCAGCACACATATCTCCCCTGGCTTCCCAGATTAACAGGTGACTTGGCGCAGATGCAACCGTCACTATTTGCCATCTCCGATGTGTTCTGCTTTGCGGATGACTCGCGTGCGCGCAAGGCACCCGAGCACGGCGGTTTGGGTTATGAGCCGCCTATTACTACACTCGAGGGCATGTGCAAACAGCTGCTGGATTGGAATGCCAAGGCTGAGGCGAAGCTGGTTGATGTTGCTGGGAAGAGTACGGTAGAGATTACTGGGGATGGGGTCGATGTTAAGCTCGTTTCGCCAGAGACGAAGATTTGAGGGGGGTGACTCGCTTGATCGGTGTCTCGTCATTTGAAATTCACTAATAAGTTGGACCTGAACTGTATTTGGACATTACTTGCATCGCCTAGCGCATGAAAATGAATTTGATTTTGGGATACAATCCATCATACTACGAGATAGCCTTGCAGCTGGGTATGAATATGAACGAAGCTGTGAGGGTTGAAAAGGGTATCATGAATTGGAGACTATGTAGGCCGGGGACCGTGAAGAGGCCCGGATGGCATAAATTGTAGCACAGCCCGAAAAGACGGCAACAGGACGGCATACCGGGAGAGCCATCTGAAAGGCATCCTCATTTGGACTGGCCCTCATTCTGTCGCCTGCCTGACTTAATGGATCAGGCCAAGTGGCCGCCGGTCAAAGCGTTGTGACAGCAATATCCTTGAAGCCCAAACATGGGGCAATGGTAAGGACCTTGCTTCACATACCACAGCAGAGTGATTGCGCCTGACCGGGCAAGCGCTTCGGGCTTCTTTGGAAAAGGACACAACAGAGCAGAACAGAGCTCATCACATGCAACAGATGATCGAGCACAGTTCCATAAAATAGCCCGGTGCAACAGTGCCAGACTTTGACAGAATCATGCATCCTGGAGCAAAAATAGACTTTCCCCTGAAATCGAAGGGGTCACACAGACCAGCAAAACCTTTACCGGGGCTGCTGTGCAGCCTGGCGTCTGAACTCTAGAATCTGCTGACGCAGTCCCTCCGACGCCAACTGGACGTCCAGAACCGCCCCGACACCGCGCTTCCACGTCTCTTCAAGACTAACAACCTCGCCCTGAATAGCTTCTTGGGCAATTTTGCGCTGCTTGTTGACCTCCTCGGCGGAATCCTTCGTTTCAGCCAGCTCCTTCTCAATGCCGCGCAGGATATCTTCCAGCTGGGAGTTGCCGATCAGCCAAGCATTTCTGCCACCTTCTTCGAGGAGGGAGAGGTTCTCGTGGCGTTTAGTGAGATGTGAGGATGAGACGTAAGCTTTTTGCAGAGTCCGGCGCCATTCGTCCAGGTTGGGAGCGTCATTGACGGAGGCGCGGGTTGGGGGTTCTGGTGCTTCGTAGCGGGTTAGATCGATGCCGCCGGTGAGAGGGGCGCCGGCTTCCTTGCGCGAGAGCTCTTGTTGGAACAAAGGAGAGAATCGGGCCTCGGGGGCTGCGGGGATTGAGGGATGCAGAGTTGTGGCATGTTCAGGGACGAGCTCCGAGTTAATGAGCTGCTGGGCGTGCTGTCGCGCAGAGGCTGAGGGCGCAGCGTCAAGGTCTGTGGAGTTGTTAGTTGGGGGCTAGTGATCCATCGAAGAAGCGGAAACATACAGGGTAAAGATTCGTGTGATTCGTTAATGAGAGACATTTTGAATTGGAGGATAGAGTAAGTATGTCAATAGCCAACGCTGAAGATATTCGAACGAGGCTGCGCGCAAAGGCGGTGAAGACATTTATCATGTGATTTGGAAGAGCGGGTCCGTTTTGTGTACAAATCTACTGGTTGGCTCCACTGCAGCTAATCTGCCGACCATGCATAAGTTCGCGAGATATCGCACGAATGATAGCCGATAGCTATTCCCTAAAAGATGCAGGTGCAACTACGATAATCACTGCCAACCTGGGACCAGTCCCTGACCGAATCCCGGGTGACCTAAAGGCGGGAGCAGGGACACGGCCGCGGGCTCCGACGCCAAAACCAGAAACCTAGGCAACTCACGTAGTGTGACCTGTGACCCAACATTAAAGAGCTATGGAAAGGTAATCGGGCGCATTTGCAGTTCCGTGCGGGGAAACAGAGCCGAGTCTAAGCCCAAACAAGCTTGTAGAATGCTGGTACATGACGATCCCTGACCCTGCAGGGATGCATGCTGCACTTTGCCTCTCCCATCACACATCGCTTAGAGAGATACGACCTCCCGATGGAGTTTGTCTAGGTTGAGGCTTACTTCTTTTACCAAGTTGGATAATGATCTTCCCTGTCTACTGACTTCTCGATCATGAGCGCTCTGTCCTGAGGGTTAAGTACTCGTCTCCTGCCTTCAGGGCCTAGTGCCTCGGGATTTCTAAAAAGGGTGCTACCCTAATGTCATAGTTTGTCTCTCCCATAATAAACATGGCTAATCTTCGACTGGGCGTCGCCTTTGGCGTACTCACCCTGACCTTGCTCGTGTTTATGCAACTGCTCGCCGCCTTGCACAACAGTGACGAGACGCCGCCGTCTTCCTTCAGTAGAAACTTCAACCAGTGGAGAAGCCGAGCAAATGCGGCGGCAAAAAATGACTTGTTCCTGGTGGGTGCCGGTAAGGCAGATGTAACTGGGTACGTTCTCCGTTGGCAGTAAACAAAATAGCCGGTCGTGGTTAACCATATCATCAGGCCAGTGGTCGAAGTTGACTTCAACGGCTATGCCACCCTTGATCAGCTGGGAACGGGTTTGCGACAGAGAATCTACGCTCGCTCCTTCATCTTTGCAGACCCCAACAAGCCTGACGATACTTTTATCTATCTGGTTGTCGACACCCTTGCGGGTGACACTGCAGTTAGGCATGGAGTTTTGCAAGGCCTCGCCGCACTAGGCGGCGACTATGCACGATATGGCGAGCACAACGTTGCTATGACGGGAACCCACTCCCATTCAGGACCTGGGGCATGGATGAATTATCTTCTGCCCCAGATCCCCACCAAAGGCTTTGACAAGCAGAGCTACCAAGCTATTGTGGATGGCACCATCTTGTCTATCCAGCGTGCACATGAAAGCTTGACACCTGGCCGATTGTCCTTTGGAACTATCGAGCTTGAGGATGCGAACATCAACCGAAGTCCTTATGCTTACGATCAAAACCCCGAAGAAGAAAAAGCTCAATACTCGGCCAAGGTTGACAAGACGCTGAGCCTTTTGCGATTTGATCGTGATTCAGATAACAAGACTGCGGCCGTGTTGACATGGTTCCCCGTGCATGGCACGTCCATGTACAACAACAACACCTTAGTTACCGGTGACAACAAGGGAGTTGCCGCTTACCTCTTTGAGCGCAGTATCGATGGCGATGCGAGGTTTGCTGATGACGTGGTCATTGGCTTCTCGCAGGCCAACGTCGGAGACACGAGCCCAAACATTCTGGGTGCATGGTGTGAGGATGGATCCAATAAGATGTGTTCTTATACCGACAGTACCTGCGGGGGCACGAACGAGGCATGCCACGGCAGAGGCCCCTTCTTCCGTGTGAAGGACAATGGAGCGAAGAGTTGTTTCGAGATCGGCAAACGCCAGTACAGTGCGGCCAAGACGCTCTACGAGCAGATGAATTCCAGCCCGACCGTTATCACAGGCGGCTCAGATGTCAGGTCCTTCCATGTCTATCATGATATGAATGGCTATACCTTCCCGTCACCATTCAATGGATCGATAGTGAAAACGTGCCCTGCGGCATTGGGCTACTCATTCGCTGCTGGGACCACTGATGGACCGGGTGCTTTTGACTTCACCCAGAATATCTCCTCGCCAGCCACCGATAATCCTCTGTGGAAAGTAGCGCGGGCATTCATCCACGAGCCAAGCGAGGAGCAGCAGCAGTGCCAAGGAGCCAAAGACATCCTCTTGGACGTGGGAACTCTCACTGAGCCCTATGCCTGGGCCCCCGACATCGTCGATATTCAGGTTCTCCGAGTTGGACAACTGTTTATCATCATCTCTACCAGCGAAGCCACGACAATGTCCGGACGGCGCTGGAAGGAGGCAATTGCAAAGGGCGCAACGAATACTCTCGGGATCTCAGATCCCCAGGTAGTGCTGGGAGCACCGTCTAATAGCTATGCCCACTACGTCGCGACTGAGGAGGAATACAGCGTCCAGCGCTATGAGGGCGCGTCTACTCTTTACGGACCGAACGAGCTCGCAGCGTACATCAACCTGACTCTCACCTATCTTCCGTATCTGGGAAGCGCTTCGGACATTTCGAAACTGCCCGATCTCCCCGCTGGCCCCAGCCCGCCCGTCAACACCAACAACTCGCTCAGTTTCATCACAGGGGTGGTCTACGACGAAGCGCCCTTCGGCAAGTCCTTCGGAGACGTGACCGCCAACCCTGGAACCGGGCCGTACAAGCCGGGCGACACCGTCAACACAACGTTCGTCGGCGCTAACCCTCGCAACGACCTCCGCCTGGAATCGACCTACGCAGCGGTGGAAATGAAGAATCCCGACACCGGGGAATGGGAAGTTGTGCGCAATGACCGCGATTGGAACCTGGTTTTCAACTGGGAACGAACCAATCTGATCCTCGGATATAGCACGGTCACAGTCCAGTGGAATATCGAGGATGACTATTATAGTGTGGATGACCCAAACCCCGTGCAGAGCGGCACATATCGCTTGCACTACTATGGGAATTCAAAGAGTGTGTTCGGGCAGATCTCAGCGTTTGAGGGCATTGGAGGGAGCTTTACGGTGGCGACCTAGTATTGTTGTTGCGACAGATCTCTGGAGCAAAGCAGAGCAGTGGGGAGCAGAGATCATGTAATGAGTCAATGGAGCCCAAGTGGCGCATGAGTGAAACGAAGACAATGGCAAGTAATAATAACTTAATAACTCTTCAGAAACATTCATAGTCCGAATCTGCCTCCACAATTCTACGCGCTGAGGCCGAATGGACACTATGAACCAATCACGGGCGCTAACCGGTGCCTGGCGTCTGCTGCAACACAAGTCCGATTTCTTTCTGTATTCAGGCACCTTACGATTTGCTAGATTCTATATTTACAGTGAAACCGTCCCACAAAGCGCCCCTAACAATGGCGGCTGCTCTTTCTTTTACCAGAACAACGGGCTGGGCCTAGCCCGAATTAACCCGGATTCTTCATAAGATGCCGGCCCAATACTGCGCCCTTGAGATGCATCTTTCCTTATTATTTCTCCTTAGTTCTATTTCGGTGTCTCAGGTTGCCTCATTCATTTTGACTTGTATTGTGGAATCAGGCCACTCTTTTCTGTCGCTCGTTCCTTGACCCTGCTTATACCCTGCCAGCCATATGCCATACCATACTATCGTTGATTGATCCCACCACGAGTTCTCGACTTCCATGCGCTTCTTTCGAATGTTTCCTCTGTGAATCACTGAGTGCGCTGCATAAATCCCCGTTTGACCCACTGTTTTCCTTTCCGTTTTGCCCAGTCGTCTTGTCCTGGCGATCGTCCTCTCGTTCGTTGCTGAGTTCAAGGTAAAGGCCGAAAGCAGATATGCTCTTCCATCGCTCTACTATCGTCCTCACATTTGCATGGATCTGCTCGGCTGGTCCGATCGCACGCTCTTTTGCTTCTACTTCGGTCGCTGTCTCCTCCGATGCTGCGCCCGCCGGAATCACTTCATCGCCTGGTGAGCCAGATGGTGGGATATTGACTGTCATTCCTGTCACCCCATCTTGGCTGCTTTCTTCTTCGGTGCCCGTGGAGATATCTTCTACGTTGACGTCCACTGCATCTTTGACCCAGGTTACCGAGGATGGACCGTCTTCTACACAGAAGGATGACAGGACGATGCCAATAGTTGTGTACCCGTCATCCGCAGCACCTGTACCTCAGGCCATCACTCCGTCCTTTACGCCTGCGACTGAACATCCTAGTCCATCGGATGCACCATTTTCTTCAACTTCAATCAGCAAGGCTATGCCATCAACGTTTCACCACGACAGCGACTCCTTTATCCCATCTCCAGCCCCAAGTTCTGAACCGACAACATCAATTACTGCCTTCTCCGAAACTCCTGGGGGTGCTGTATCCTCATCTGTGTCTTTAGTCACTCGGTCTAGCATAACTAAGACGAGCAGTTCATCTTCCAAGCCAACGGTCTCGTCCTCAGCCACGCCAAGATCTACAACTTCCACTTATGAAGTCGCGGCTAATAGCTCTGCTAAATCATCCCCTGATGGTATAGTCGGGCCTCTCCAACCGCAAAGTACAACGGCATCAGACACAAGTGGCTTTTCGGCATCGAATAGCAAAACCCCGGTTGCAGCCCATTCAAATGTTGCAAGCACGACTTCCTCCCTGTTCCAGGAATCCACTTCAACGTCTCGCGGTACTTCATTTACATCACCGGTGTATTCAATCACCACCAGCTCGGTAGCTGCAAAGACAGCAAGCCTCTCCGTTGGCATCATTGGCCTCCTCTCGGGCTCGAGCAGTACTGCCAGTGAAATTATCTCATCAGCTCCAGCACCATCCACAACCATGGCATCCACTACAACGGCATCTTCAACGGTATCTGTGGGAGAAGCAGAAGAGTCGAATACAGTCACAGGGTCCATCATTGTCTGGGTGCCAAGCGGCGGTGAATCCGGATACACCACGCAGACAATCTATCCTACTTCTACACCTACATCTACATTCCCTGAGAAGCTTACCGCTTCCACTTCCCTATCAACAACCTCAACCTCAACCTCGGCTTCAACTCCAACTACAATTGAAAAGACAACTCTAACTACCTCGTCCTCTGCAACCCCAACTACAACCAACGAACCTGAAACCTTGACCGTACAAGACACATCGACCGAAAGCGTGACGGTGACAATCTCCGGCCCAACAGTGACTGTAACCCCAACCCTGGCACGCACAAGCACAAGTAGTAGCTCCTACATACCTACACCCGCTGAGACGGAGACAGAGGTGACAATCACCATACACAATACAGCGATAGCGAGCGTTACAGTGACCATTCCTGGTCTGACGATCACAGTCACACCGACGCCGACGTCTACATCTACGTCAACCTCTCAGGCGGGTGCATTGTCTGTGATCCCGGTTACGCCGACAAATTTCATCACTATCATTGAAATGGAGACTGTGACGACGACTGCGACTGTGACGGTAACGACATCTTAGGCCTGTGAGGCTCGATTTGTTGTTCCGGATGAGATACATGCATCCATGGATCGGTTTCAATTCTACACTAACTTGCTCACGCATCTCCTTTAATTTCTTGCTGGTGGATGTTTCCTGAAATTTTGTACTTAATGCATGTCATCTATGTTCTGTAATTTGACACTGGATTTCAAAAACACTTTACCCCTCAGCTAATCATGCTTTTGGTTCTCGGCCCGTACCGGAACCCATGCTAATCATTGTTGGTTATTCCAAAATCAACCCCTCCTTAGCTGTATCGTGATTTAGAACATATCATCCTTTCGTGCCTAATGCACTAGCCATCATAAATGACCGTATACCTCCATGGGATGTTATACATAGGTATTTCAAAGTGGTGAGGGCGATCTGGCTGCGTCGTCCACGCCCACTTTCTTTTTTCCTTTTCCTCCCTAGCCTTCGTATTAGTTAATGGGCATTTAGCCATAGCCAGTACGGCCCATTTACGCTGATGGACCTCTAGGGGTTTGATCATTTGTGGATATGAGCGGTAACCCGTATCATGACGTGGGAAGGATGCAAGATACCTTATCGCTTCGGTGAGGGGTCAGGGTAAATGACGTTTATCCTTCTACCTATCTACATCGACTTGACTGGCAATAAGGAAGCTTAAATTATAATGACGTGTCTTGCGTAACAACGCTAAAGCAAGTGCAAAGTTATGTGGCAGCTGAAGGTCGGATACACTGACCGCTGCTATATGACAACCCAATCACAGGATGTATGCCCACACTACAGTAGTGTAGTCCATTGCATACCATCGAACCAACCTATCGCACCACAAGAAGAAGCGGCTTGCGAATCTTCAGCCAGCCACCAGGAGAGTGGGGCCATCCTCTCGCCTCTACGTAGATCTCTACGTCAATGTGTTCCAAACCCCGCGACACAATGTTCTGACTAGGCGAATTGTCAAATCGCGCATAAAATCCTGCGCGGGGCCTGCGCAAAGTATTTAAATCGCAACTCTGGCCGACTTCTCTTCGTTCACTGAATCTCTGTCAAAAAGTACACAATCAACAATATGAGTACCCAGGTTCGATGTTTCTAGCAGCCCTGCAGTGTCTGCATCTTAAAAAAGGAACTGACATTCCCTAAGAATATTAGATGCAGCTGGAGTGAAAGATCACATTGTGACCAAAGATAATCCCCTGATTATTATGTGTCCACAGTATGTGCGTCCTCCGTCTATTGAGGAATTTATTTGACACGAATTATATAGGCTCACTGCAGAAACTGCAGATGAGTTGAAGGAATTGGAAGGTGTAAATGTTCAGTCTCAAAGTGGTTAGTAGGACGGTGTTACCAATCACCGGTAATATCCACTGAAGACATCCATGGCCTCAAGTATCAGCTTCCAGGCATATATTCCTCAGGTCTCCCTCTTCTCTTTCCTTTCCCCGTGTTTGTACTGTCAGCTCTGCTACTACAATATGACTTACGTACGGTTTGGTTCTGGTCTGCGTAACTGAGCTAGTCACAGATGGCTTATTAAATGCCTACTTGGAACTACCGTAGTACCATCCCATTCCGATGGTTGATAAACCAAAACACTGTCTCAACGTAGTTTAGTAGTTTAACACATGGTTTGTATGAAGTTGAATGAATATGCTAGAGCACGAGAGACTATAACTCCGACAAGACACCCCCTGCTTCCGCAAACTTCTGCTGGTACTCCTTCAAGCTAGCCCACTGGCTCAGCTCCTCCTGGTCACGCTCGTAGTCACTTAGATAACTCATGGCGCGACCGTTGGCGCGTGGACTCACGCCCCCAGGCCCATTGCCAGGGTCTACGGGCGCGGAAGAGTGACCTTCGAGGCGGATGAGGGTGTCGATGAACGCGAAGAGGTAGGATTCCGCTTCGGCGGCCGTGAGGACGTGTTCTCCGGCCGCGGTAATTGAGGATAAATCTTCAGTTGGAATGGTGGTTGATGTTTGATTGAGGAGGGTGGATGCTACCTGGCGAATTTTGTTTGTCTGCCTTGGGGTTAGTTAACCATATAACACGAGGAGGAGGATCCAGGACATACAATGCTGGCACCGTTGGGCTCCATGTTTACTTCGTTGACGGTGCGTAAGAGGATGAAGAATTCCTTAATGACCAACTTTCGCTCTTCGGCCATCACGCGGCCAATGGAGTCTGTCTGTGCATGGGCCAGAGCCTGTGAAGTTGTATCTGCGGACGCCACTGTGGCGGGCTCAGTAGGTGCTTCTGATGAGGATTCGGTCTTGATGTGCGAGGTAGGAATCTTCGGGACAGATATTTTCGCTGAATTGCCATATTTCGTGAACGTCTCAAACAGACTCCAGTATTTCTCAACAAGGTAGGATCTCGTACAGAGCTGACTGGCATAGATATTGGCCTTCTGGATCTCATACTGAATTGCGCGCCGTTCCTGATGGATGTGATCATGTGGATAGTCAAATATCGAGCCGTCCTCGTTCAGCCCGGATAACCCAGCAGAGGATATTTTCTTGGGATGGAAGAGAGACAGCTCAGCAGGGACGTTCACAAGAGCAGATTTCGCCTTCTGCAGGCATTCTGCCAGACAGGAGCGCTGATGCTCCCAATCGAAGATCTGGCCGCTGCCAAATGCAATTTCCCAGGCCAACAAGGCACTGTTCGAGCTGTAGACTCGCACGTTTGCGTTAAATCCGACAAGCCGCGATACCCGCTCTGCAGGCTGAGGGCTGACATGGGTTGAGAAGAGGAACTCGTCATCGATTTCGAGCGGGAGCGGTGGATACCGATCACTTGGAGTCTCCGGGGGTATATGAACTTTGATGTCTGAAGAACCTATCTGATGCAGAGTCTGATATCCTACCAAGGTGACATAGAAAAGCCGGCGACCCAATTCCTGGGTTATCAGATCCACCGTACTGTTTTCTGTGAGGTTCTGGGCCGGCTGATCCAGCGACATCCCCGAGGTGGTCGACATGGGGCTCGTGGCATTCAGTTCAGGTACAGAAGGTATGTTGGTAGGAGAGCGACAAAGGTCATACACCTGCAGCATAGTACGACATTCCGCCAGGTAGACACGGCATCGACGCATACTATAAATGTAGCCGGCGCATACTCCCAGAAAGTAGCTAGTGGCCGCATCGTAGACTGTCGCGTTGCGGTCAAGATACCCAGTACCTCGGGCTTGTATGGCAACATCATGGCACCGCCTTACCAATGCTAAGGAGTTTGGAAATGCAGAGCGTTCAGCCTCAGTATTGAGCCGTAGTTTGGGTCTCCGAGGAAAGGAGGCAACCAGAAATCCAATCATGGAAGCCAAGAGGGCCAGAAAGGTGCCGCTAGTTGCATCTTCGCGGCGTTCAAAAGCAGCGCGGAAAGTAGGTTCATGGGGAATGGGGACTAGGGGATGAATATAAGTGAAGAAATCGTCCAGAAGTAACTGGACCGTGTGCAGTGAACAAATGGCTTCCGCCGAAGCCGGAAAAGACGTTGTTGGAGAGTGGGTAAAAAATGCGGATGGTTGCGGAGTGCTCGCCGGTGGATACTCAGACGGGCTGGCCAGCGAGGCATCGGGTTGAGCTTCCAGCTTTTGCTTCTTTATGGCTTCTGCGTGGCGGTTGGGAGGCCCCCGGCGTCTGCTGGGTCTCGCATACGTGCATGGAATATCCAGGGTAGCGCAAGATCGGCATGGTGGGCCACTGATATCGCACTTGCAATTGGTATAAGCACATGCACAGGAGGCTTGGAAGCCGAGGATACTAACCTTCACCTTCCGAATACTGCAGGCGTCGCAGGCCTTGCGCAGTCTCGTTTTTGAATCCATTCGTACGAATTTGAAATAGTCGACATGACCAGGCTTCCAAATGTCAAACCATGGTCATCGGGAAAGGTGTATAGGCTGCTTCGGCGCAAAGGTCTAGTGCATCCTGCGGGGATCCTTGACTGACCCACTCAGTCCAGGGTTGTGTGGGATTCGATTTGCAGCTACGTATAGCTTTTCATGTAACCCGCAGCAGCTGTTGAAGTGCAGATCGAGTGAACAAAGGGTTCTTTGGTCGTCTCTTAGATCGCGGATTGCCGGGATAACCGATTGAGGTGTGCTGGCTGGATGTCTGGACCGAGGACGGATATCGCGCCGCGGGGCTGAGTGGCAGTCGCACTGGAATATCGCTAGACGTTAAATACCCAGATAAAGCAGCTTAAGCACTCGAGTGCCCTGATTCTAAACTTCACGAACAATTCAAGTGCGGTACGGTACGGAGCGAAGTTGCAGTTCCTCGAGCCACGTGTCACGTGCAACCCATTCCAGGAGAGGTTCAACCACGAAGTTAATTGCGCCGCGGCGCCGTTTGATTGGGTTTTCTCTACGCTCGGGGTGGGTTCACCCCGTCTATGTATCGGGGAAGAGCCGATCAGGGGTCCAGGGATTCAATATTATGAGGCTGTTTCATATACATTCGTAACCATGGAAATAGATCATACCGTCAATTCGTCCTGATAACCATTACCCAGTCTGTTGGGTCGCTGATCTGCAAGTTGCCGCTTGCGCTCGAGATCTGCTGCCCATAGCGCGGCACCCGAGGCAGTGGTCATGAGGAAGACCATGGAGAAGGGCGGAATGAGTTGAAGGATCATGGCAATCGTGCCGAACCTGCTATAGTCAGTGCGATGGCCTTGCGAAAAGTATATATATGGTGGATAATTACGTGGTATATTGCAGCCGTCGTCGACTCACACTGGCTTTTCTCTCCTGCTTGGTAAAGTCCAGCAACTGGAAATACCGCCAGTGATGGAATGGACCCGCACGATAACCGGTCAGAACCAAGAACATCGGGGTACCAGCCACAGGGATGAAGTTGAGCGGGAGCAGGACGATGAACTCGACGATTTGCCGAAACGAAAACGGCGCATAAACGGCACTGGTTGTCGGAGTGCCGAGGCGGCTGGCAGGGTCGCCAGCCTCGGGGTAGATAACTCGAGAGGCGGTCACAAGCTCTTCTTGGCCTTCATTTACCAAAACCGAATCGAAAATATCCACCAGTGTCTCGTCCACGAAGAAGGCCTCGAACAAGGCAGCAACTATAGCGGCGCCCTCACCGAGAACTAAGAATGCGCCGTTGACCCATGCTCCGGCACCTTGGAAGATGGACAGGAAGGCCACCTGCGGTAGGTAGGTGAAGAAAAAGAGAAGGAAGTATACGAAGCTGGAAAGGAGGACGATGGGAAGTAAGCGAGCCTTGAACAAGGGCCAGAGGAACCGATGGGTCGCGAAATAGTGAATTCCCTAAACCTGGTCAGTACGATGTGAGAAGAAACGCAGCGAGTTCATAAAAAAATACCATAAAAGGGTACAGCCAGGCTGCATGAGTGGGCTCCCAACGCTGCGACATGCTGAAGAAGTGATTGAAGCTGCAAAAGAATCTCGGACGAAGCCCAGTAATGTACAAGGGCAACCTCAATTATCGATAAGAATCACGTGTCAATTAGTCAGCTCCGGCTACCTTTTCTACCAAAATTTTCGCCCTGACACTTTTCCTTTCTTCTTCATACATAAACTGAACTCCTTCTTTATTCACTCGCGAATCCACATTACAATGGGTTCTCCGAGGGGAAAGAGAAGGATAGACTGATTTCTTGCTGGCTTACCCCTAACTCTTCTTGATACGTGGAGCGTTGGGAAATATTTTCAGCGGTACATTTCCCCTTTTCCTTGACGGTTTTTCACGCCCGGTTGATCTCCTCTACGATCTGCTCCAGGCTGTGCACGATCGCCGTGGGCTGTAGATCTGGTACAGCTCTATCTTGCCATCCCTTGTTGGCTCGATCGACCCAGATGGCGTTCATGCCACTATTGCGCGCTCCTATAATGTCGAATGGGTTGCCGCTGATGAGCCACATCTGGTTCATTTGCGACGGCTGTTTGCCAACCGTATCGGCAAGGTGCTTGTAGGTCTCGGGGGATGGCTTGTATCGTTTGATGTCCTCTGCGGAGATCACGCGGTGAAAGATGCTGGAGTGTTCAGCCAGGCCTTCCGAGTCCCTCACCGAGATGCCTATCGCTTTATTGTCCCCGTTTGAGAAGATCACTGGGAAGATGGCGGAGTTGGCTGCCACTCGGTTCAGAGCTACCTGGACGTCGGGGAATGTAGACAGGTTGTTGTAGGCTTCCATCAGGCTCGCCTCGTCCCCCGCACTGAGTTGCTCGCCATGTTCCGCGAGGGCATGGCGTAGGGAGTTCTGCGTGACGTTTGTAAAGTTCTCCCAGCATCCTAGCACGCTGTCAGATATGTTCTATTGGGTTATTATTCAGTATAGCTTACCCATGCTGTTCAGTCTCCATGTGTACTCAAGCTGGTATCGTCTCCAGAGCGCGGAGATAGCCTCTGCCTTGGGGCCGACGAAGGTTTCCAGCTTCTTTGCAATGGATTCCGTAGACAGCAACGTGCCGTACAGGTCAAAAGCAACAACGATTTTGTCCGCCATGGTTGTTGGATGAGTTAGAATGAAGCTGAAACTCAGAAGCTTTGGTCGAATGTGGAATGCCGATGATGTCAATCTGCCGTTGACCCGAGGGGAATCTCCAATACTTCTCCAACTCTCGCCAGACACGACCCACCGGCGCATCATGATGTACAGCGCTGTTTTTTAAAACCATGAAATCTAGGCATCCTCAATGACCTCCGATGACAACTACGCGGTCTTCCGAGAGTGTCTCTCGAGTGCCATTGTCGCTCGCTCCGAAGACAAGCCCAATACGGCCAAAAGGCGACAGAAGCCCAAGCGCAACGGGCGCAAAGATGCGACGAAGAGCTTGGAAATAGCCACCGTGTACACGCGAGCTGACCCAGAGGACTTGGCCGAGTTCATTGATGTACATCCCTCTGCCCATTCAAAGACGTCAATAATGCCACAATAACTAACACGCTCGACTTCGCTACAAACCCAGTTCATCGCATCCGAAACTTTCGCCTCATTCCCTCGAGACCTCCAAACCCTCTCCTATGCCGCAATCCAACATGACGCTCACCTTGCAACCCTCTACGTCCCACCTGACACGGACACTCCACTCCCCCGCAATACCCTCGACACCCTCTGCACCGTAATCCCACTCGATGTAACAGACTCACTCACCGTCTACGGAATCCTACCCGCAGCAGACGACTTCCCAGAATTCTTATCGCCCGTGTTTACCGAGTACATAACCAGCGTGACGAGCGGACCGCCAGCATGGTCGAATACGCGCACTGATGCGTGCGAGATCTGCGAGCGTGACTGGATCCCGCTTTCGTATCACCATCTTATACCGCGCGGTGTGCATGCGAAGGTAATCAAGAAGGGTTGGCATGATGAGTGGATGCTGAATAGTGTTGCGTGGCTTTGTCGGGCTTGTCATAGTTTTGTGCATCGCATGGCGAGTAATGAGGAGCTGGCTAGGGAGTGGTTTACTGTTGAGCGGATTTGTGAGAGGGAGGATGTTCAGGATTGGGCAAAGTGGGTTGGGAGGGTGAGGTGGAAGGCGAAGTAGACAAAGTATACATAAAACGAGTGGCTAGCAATGAATTCTATTGTACATTGACAATGCAACTAATTACATCCGGTGTATGCTCATATCAACCCCATTTTTGTATGAATCAACGCCACGACCCATGATGCAAAACCATGTCGAATGAGAAGAATGAGAAGGAAGTTATATGATACAAACCAGGAAAGAAAGGGGATCGAGAGCGCCAAAATCAAATCTAAAAATACAAGAGCATGACAATGCCACAGCGTAAGCCTTACCCGGCTCACAGGAAGCGCTTCTCGTAGGTCTCTTCGTAGCACTGAATGTGGTCGCCGACTGCAAAATCGGTCCAGTCCTCGAAGCCGATGCCGCACTCGGTGTCTTTGCGCATTTCAGTCACGTCCTTCTTGACGTTCTTAAGAGAGGTCATTATGCCTAGACAGGGTATTAGTATAAGCTGAATGTGCATTGTATCGGGTGAGCGGGTATTCTTACCATCGTAGATCGTCTCGTTGCCCCGGATCACTCTGACCTTCCGAGCCTTGTTGATCATACCGTTGCGAACACGGCATCCTGCGATGGCGGTCTTATCACGTCCCTTGACGGTAATCTCAAACACCTGCTGCACTTCCGCTTCACCGGTCACACGCTGAGTGACTGTCGGCGGGAGCTGCTCACTGAGAACGGCTTTGACGTCGTCGATAAGCTTGTAGATGATGTTGTGGTCCATAATCTCCACTCCCTGGGACTCGGCCATACGCGACATATTGGGATCAATGGGCATATTGAACGAGATGACGAGACCGTCGGCACTAGCCGCATGCTCGATATCGAACTCACCCACGGGGCCCACGCCGGAACGGAGAACATTGGCATACACCTCATTGGTACCGATGGCGGCGATGGAGTTCAGCACAGCTTCTGCAGAGCCGTCAACATCGGCCTTGATGATAAAGTTGACGGGTTTAGGGCCGGTAGGTTCTGAGACCTTGTCGGCAGCTTCGTCCGCGTTCTCGAGTCTGCGCTTCTCAAGGCGTGATTCGTTGATGGCAGCCATGTCCTCGCCCATCTTTGCGGTCTCCGACCGCTCCAAGCGGTAGTCCACAACGTCCTTGGCCTTCTGCTCAGTGGGCGCTTGCAGAATCTCAGTGCCCGCAGCCGGTTGCTCTCTCCAGCCATCGATTTCGACTGGCATGCCTGGAGTAGCTTCGCTGATAGCCACACCAGCCTCGTTGCGCAGGGTACGCACACGAGCCCAGGTAGTTCCAGCCACAATGATATCGCCCGGCCGCAAGGTACCGCGACGGATAAGAGCAGATGCTACTCGGCCGTAGCTCTTGGTTGTTGCCTCGATGACCCATCCCTCGGCATTGCACTCGGTGTCAGCGCGGTGATCAAGCATCTCGGAGAGAGCTCCGATGGCCTCCTCGAGTTCAATCATGCCCACTCCGGTCTTGCCACTCACGCCAATGGCCTGTACATCACCGCCATATTCTTCCACGTGAACGCCGTGAACAGAGAGATCCTGCTTGACTTTATCCGGGTTGCGACCCTCCTTGTCGATCTTGCTGATGGCGACAATAATCGGAACATTAGCTTGTGTGGCGTGCTTGATAGCTTCAATAGTCTGGGGCTTGACACTATCATCAGCGGCCACCACAAGCACCACAATATCAGTAACATCGGCACCGCGACGGCGCATTTCCAGGAAAGCCGAATGACCAGGAGTATCCAGGAAAGTAATCATCTTCCCAGAGGGCATCGCCACGGAGAAGGCACCAATATGCTGAGTGATACCACCGTGCTCGCCGGCCGCTACGGATGACTTGCGCAGCCAATCCAGAATGGTGGTTTTTCCATGATCAACGTGACCCATGATAGTCACCACTGGTGGCCGGGATGGCAAGTTAGATGTATCCTCAGGCAGGGGTGCCGCCTTCATATCCTCGGATCCCTGGTCGAAGATAGCCTCATAATTGAATTCGGCTGCCACCAAGCCCGCGGTCTCTGCATCCAGCACATGGTCATAGGTGACATTCTCGAAGCCCATGTCTTCCATGCGAGCGACAAACAGAGCGGGTCGTACGCCAATGACGTCTGCCAGATTGCTGACGCTGATGAATTCGGGTAGATAGAGCGGTGCTGGAGCTGACTCTTCCACCTTCCTGGATGCCCTGTCATTCTTCTTGCGCTTGCGCTCGTCACGACGGCGGTTACGGTCATCGGCATCAAAGTCAGCGTCCTTGGACCCGGATTGACGTCCCTTGCGGTCGTCGCGACGCTTCGGCTTCTTTTGAAGATCTGCTTGGGCTTGGGCTTCCACCGCTTCCATCTTCTCCAAGGCAGACATATCCCAGGTCCATTGATCCTTCTGATCCTTCTCTGATTTCTTTTCTTTCTCTGCCTTTTCTGTCCTTTCTGCCGTTTCTGTTTTCTCCTGGGGGTTCACCTCGGCATCTCCCCGTGTATCCTGCGATGGCTCATCGCGAGTCGTTTCCTCGTGGTCGGCCAGAACTGATCGACCTAATTCTCGGTATTTGGCCGCTTCCGCCGGTTTCCCGTTCATCGACTGCACGCGCGTCGCTTGCGTTTTGGGCGATTCGTGACCACAGGTGGGGCATTTATTCTTCCATCCAAAAACAACCTTCTTGCACCCAGGGCAGTTCCAATCCCACTTGTACCGCCCGTCCTTCGGGTTTTGAGCCTTTGCAGGTGGAGTCTTTAGCGGAGCCGTATATGCCGGTCGAGGGGTTTTGCAAGATGGACACTGATCGAACTTCTTAAAAACACGCGAGGCGCACAAGGGACATTTCCAATTGGTTTTGCCCGGAGGTTTGTCCTGGGCCGATTTCTCCGCTGCCGTGCCCGACTTTGGTCGGTTGTAGGTGGCACCGCGGTCATTACGACGTGCGCCGATGTATTGGTTTGTGCCCGGGACTCTCTGTCTTGATCCCGTTTGTTTTGGAGGCTCTGGCTCTAGTACAGGAGACGGCTTGTTCCTTTCGACTATCGATTCACGCAGTGCTTGCTCCGCGGGACTTAGGCCCGTAGGCTTCTGCACCTGTTTGCTGCCCCATCGGTTCCCGAAGCCCCCGAACTTCGGGGTCATGGGCTTCGGAGCTGCCCCATCGCCATTGTCGTTCCTGGATTCATTAAGCCGGATCGCGGACGATTGAAAGGTCCGGGGACATGTTAAGATCGGAGAGGATGGCGTAGTTGTTGATAAATCAACGCGGCGCGACAGCTAGACATGAAGGTTAGCGCGTTTTCCGACGTACACGACACAGTAAAGCACCCGTACCCTTAAAACAGCCCGCCGATGCATCCTGCAATTGGCCTGAAGCTCCACTGTTGATTGTCAGCGACTTTTCGCGATAGCCGTCTGGGCGCTTACGTAAGTTTCCCGAGGGTAAGGCGCGTTTCCCGTCGGCGCTGCGTGCGAATCAGAGCTCGAATGGCGCCATCTGCGATAAGATTGCTGTCCCTGGTATAAAGTCCGGAGTCTGGAGAAGCCTCTTCTTGTCAACTATCCTGGTCTAGACCAACTGCAATTATGGAGCCTCAAACCTGGGAAGATCTAGAGAATCCCACTGACGCCTTGCGTACCGTCAAGGATTTGGCTGCGGGCGCCGCTGGCGGTATCGCTCAGGTTCTGCTGGGTATGTGCGCTGTGCGGAGGATTGCACATCCTTCTTTCCCTACTTTACATGTTCCAATCTATATGACAATTTGCTGATTCTCGTCTAGGTCAACCCTTTGGTATGTGAAATCGGCGCACACGTGCTTATCATGATGCCCCTCTAACTAAACCCCGCAGACATCGTCAAGGTCCGCCTGCAGACCACCAGTCAGTACAAGAGTGCCCTGGATGGCGCTACCCAGATCTTCAAGAAGGAGGGTCCCCTCGCCTTCTACAAGGGAACTCTGACCCCGTTGATCGGTATCGGTGCCTGTGTAAGTACCAATGCGACCAATTCTGCGCCAATGCCCCTCTAACCCCAGTCGCAGGTGAGTGTCCAGTTCGGCGCATTCCACGAGGCGCGCCGTCGCCTCGAGGACCTGAACAAGAAAAAGTATGCCGATTCAGCTCTCTCCTACGGACAGTACTTCATGGCCGGTTCGTTCGCCGGTGTTACCAACTCGGTCCTGTCGAACCCGATCGAGCACGTGCGTATCCGTCTGCAGGCGCAGCCGCACGGCGCCGGCCGTCTGTACTCGGGCCCCATTGACTGCATCCGCAAGCTGTCCGCAAACCAGGGCTTCATGAAGGGTGTCTTCCGTGGTCAGTCCGTTACTGTTCTGCGTGAGGCCACCGCCTACGGATCGTGGTTCATGGCCTTTGAGTACATGATGAACCAGGATGCCAAGCGCAACAACGTCAAGCGTGAGGATATCTCCGCTGTCAAGGTCGCTACCTACGGTGGTCTGGCCGGTGAGGCGCTTTGGATCTCCAGCTACCCGTTTGACGTTGTCAAGAGTAAAATGCAGACTGATGGATTCGGTGCCAACATGAAATACAACAGCATGCGCGACTGCTTCAAGAAGACATATGCTGTGGAGGGCCTCGGTGGCTTCTGGAAGGGTATCGGTCCTACCTTGCTGAGAGCTATGCCTGTCTCGGCCGGTACTTTCGTTGTGTAAGTGTCAACTGCACGGCTTCTTTTTTTGAGACTGATTGCTGACTTCCTCGCAGTGTCGAGCTTGCCATGAAGGCCATGGGATAGAGTTATTTTCTGCGGTATATATAACGTGCTTTCTTATTTGGGACTTTATGATATCCAGCACCCGGCCCAGGGAGATGGGCTGAGGGTGAACAAAAGTTGAAACAGGATATAGAAGTTAAACGGGTCTGTACCTATGGCATCTGTGTATAAGCGAGATAGATGTACCCCAATTCATGATATTCAACATTAATGACTACTATACATTTCACATAGCCAGCGAGAAGTCCCCAAAGAAGCCCTGCCATGCAGTGGGGAAGTAGAACAAGTTCAGACCCGGGAAATCCCATTCTGAAACAAACTGCTCTGGCACAAACCATTGTAGGTCCGCCTGCGCATCGAATAGTTCCCAAAACGGCGATGTGGCTGTCGACCCACTGGGGCTGGGCTGCTGTAATTCCCGCAACGCACGACCGTACTTCTCGATGCTGACCTTCAAGATTTGAAGATAGATATTACCCGCTCCGGACTGGTTCGTATTCGATCCAGCCTTACTCAGCTCGTCGACTAGTCGATTTCCGTGTTCCAAAAGCTCCTGGTACTCTTCATCTCGTTCGGGTAGGAGTCTTGAGAGCTTGAGAAGCAGCAGGAATGAAAACGCGCATTTGGCCCACACAAAGTCCATTGCATATTTGAGTTTGGCCAGATAGAAGTCTGGCTCGACGATGATGAGCCGTAGGTGTCTGCGGGCACTAGATTTAGCGGCAAGGAGAATGTTTCGCTCAGTGGAGGACATGGTACTGAAAGAGTACGGCTGTTAGATCAAGACTTGACGGCCTTCCAGGTAGAGTGCATACGCAACGTTCTCGACGCCCATGGCTCGAAGGGCTTTACAGTTGAGCATCATTTCTGCCCAGCATTTTTGAACCCGTAAAGCAATGAGCAAGAACGGCTTCTCTTGTTGTGCAGCAATAGATCCCTCTGTGAGATGTTAGCAAGTCAATCAATAATGTCGGTGACTTAGATATACCAACGATGCGCACCCAATCACTGGTATGATGTCAGTCGACCGTGTTATAAGTCAAACGGAATACGTACTCAAACCAAAGATCAAGATCAATCTTCATTTCGTGAACAAAGTCAGATATCCCAGGTCTGTCCAAGGTTGTTCCTACGAATAACGTATCGTTGATTGTTGCTGCGAGGGTATTAAATTGATGTTTTCAACTCCACGAAGCATTTCATCCTACCTCTTAGGATATTAAGCTATTGAGGGGATAGTCAGCATTTTGTGCAGGATCATAAAGCCGGGCTCCTGAAGAAAATATACCTCAACTTGAGAAAACAGGCGCAGATCCAGAATCGTCGACGCGGGATGACTTAACAAGATCCGACACCTCCGAGAATTACCTATCAATCGAATTCCTGGTGGTTTTCCTCCATCGACACGGAATCTGCAAAGCCACATTAGTTCAGACTATCGCCTCAGCCTCCGGAGACATTACATATGCTCCAAAACCAAAAGCCCAAACCAAGTCCTCGACTTCCTCATCAAAACACGCTCCCTTTCAGAGACATGTTCAGGAGCACCGTATATTTCTTCATCATTCTTCATCGCTAGCCGCTCGGTGAGTTCCTCAAAAGCCTCGTGCAAGCCGAGGTCAAGAGCCATTCGAGTAGCAAATGATAAAATGAGTAGACGATCGGCTGAGTAGCAGGCGATTATGAGCATTGCTTGAACGGATTCAAGGCAGTTTAGTCCTTTGTTTTGGATTATGACATTGATCCATTTCTTCAGTTCTGCATGTAGCATGTCGGACATAGGTCCGCCGGTTCCTGGTAGAAGTGGTAAGTATGGCAGTGTATATAAGCCGTGCTGTCTGTGTTTACTTGTCTCGACCATACAGCCTATAGTGCAGATCGCGTTCAACAGGATACTGCTTCGAGATCGTACCGAGTCGAATGTGTCATGTTCGGGGTCGAATATCGGGATATATCTATCCTGTTCGTTGCAATGTTTTTCAGTATAGTTCGGGATTAAATAGCAAGAAGAAGAACCTTACACATCCTTGAAAGAACCTAAATCCATCTCAAATTAGCCAAATGGTACTGTCCCAGCCAAGTAGTGCAGAAGAGACGTACGTATTGAAGCAGGAATATGCGCATTCCGGCGTGATTAGTCCCTTATCAATGAAATCCGCAACAGCCTCACCCTGAATCTCAAAGCAAGAACGCTTTCGTTTGAGAGACCGGTGGGTTTCTCCATGAGACGCCTCACAGGCCGACTGCACCGAAATACCATTCGGAGACAGCTCCGGCAAGGACCTTTGGTATTGCTGGCCATTGACATAACCCGAAGAATCCGGAACAGTTAGAGCGCTGATGTTCTCTTGTGTTTGACCATGCTGAGAACGTGATGAAATGCAGGCACTCCCATGGCGAACTTCCTGATGCTGATCCCGGTGCTCTTGCGGGGAATTGGTTGACTGGGAGTGGATTGCTGAGTGTGACCGGCTCTGTTCTAGCAACTGACGAATCTCGTGGAGTTGTGTTCTGATATGCCGGACCTCGGACTCGACACCCTCGAATCTCCTGGAAGTTTGTTAGTTTCATAAGCTGCTCATGAATATGATGCCTTTCCCTACTCGGAGACTGGATCTTTGGGAACCTCAAAGAAGACACATTGTTTCTCAAGTTTCTGGCATCTATTCATAACATTCTGTATCAGTACTATGGGGTTACACTCTCATGTATGTCTTACCTTCCACACGGCCTCTCCTCATCACATCTAACCTTCAATCAAGTCAGCTCGAGACCCGATCCCGAGACAACGGTTCAAGCACTTACTTTAGATAGCCGACATGCGCTGCAAGCTTTCTAAAACAGTAAAAGCGCCGATATTAGCAGTCATCCATCACATACTAGCCAGAGGCCCGAGTGCCGCTCACACGTACCGGGATGCGCTTTTTTCCGAGTGGCGCGGGAATAACATGCAAGGACTCGTCGGCCTCCATCTTCTTTCTCCGAAACGGCACTGATCAGCCTCTGCAATGCGCGTCGAAAAATATCCAGACCCCAGATTCGTGCAAGGAGGAAAACGCGGGGTTCGGGGCTCGGGGTTCGGCAATTCCCCCGAGCCGGCTGCCAATAGCCCATCGGACCCCAGAAACCCGGGCAGTGTCAACGCGCGTGAAGGGAGACCGAATGAGCCCACGCTGTGACTGCTCATTTTTAAGGTCCTTGGAAAGGCGAATATTTTACTTAATTTATACGGACAGTTTCATTGGAATTGACAATAGCAAAGCGGACAGTTCTCCCAGATCTTGATTTCCTGAGTCCAGTTGTGCCTAGTATACGTATACAAAATCTTCGTTTTTCATGTCCGTCAGATCCTTAAAGGCGTTATCGCTGACAAGCTGCTGCACGGGGACGCCTTCTTTGTCTTCGATGATGGCTCCCACGGCATGCATCGAGTGGTCAACCACCTCCGTGTTTTTTCCTAGGGCAACACGTTGCTTCGAGTGCTGCTTGTTGAGGAACGAGAGATATGCCATGTTCAACCTGCGAGGAACGGTTAGAATAATGTATTACCTTGTTAGATCAGAAATCTTACAGAATGAGAACCACCAAGACGCAAAATAGTGCAAGGCTAGTAAGTGGTCAGTCGTTGGCATAGAGGGCGACCGGATTATGTGCTCACTTTGAGGTAAGGCCACGGCGATACAGAGGCGCCTCCTCCGTGGTGTAGAGAGTCGGTCCAATAATCTATTCAAAGGCGTCAGTATCAACTACTGCAATTTTGATGAAGGGTTGGCTGCATACATTACCGACACACTGTCCAACAATCAGGATACCAGTTGTCACCTTCTTCTTTGTTTCTCCCGCAGTATTACCGGCAGACCATGAGTAAATCAATGGAGCTAGAAATAGTCAGTATTAAGCGGAGCCTGAGTATGAGATGAGTACACACTAATGCCAGGGTAGACAGAGATCTGGAGCGAAAATTAGCCACCGATTGCAAAGGTCAGAGCTGAGATGCCGCTTACAATATAATATCCAATGAGCAGAGGTGCCTTGTGGGAAGCATCGTGAGGGATCTTCAGCAGCATAATACAGCCTGCAATCGGTGGAAGGCACAGCAGCGCCAGCACAGGACCCTTCATCTTCCAGGCTGTGGCCAACCAGGCACCGCCCATTGTGGCAATGAGCTGGACGGCGCCAAAGGGGACGTTGAGGAGAATGGTATTCAAGTCACTGAACCCAAAGGATTTGACGATCAAAGGACCAAACGTAGTAATACCACCGCTTGGGATACTATGCCATTGTTAGTATTAGGCAGCCTGATGAAATTGACGATACTTACGAGATGGAAACTAGCAATGCAAACCACAGCCAGGACTTCAGGTCCAGACACGCTTCCTTCACGTGGTCCCATTTCCATTCGTGGTTTTCGATACCCTGCTGGTTCATGCGCAGTCTGCGGGTCTATTGTGAATCGGGGTGCTTATCGAAACGAGAGAATTGGTAAGGTACCTTTCGATGGCCACGAGTTTATCCTCTTCATCAAGGAACTTGGCAGTCACCGGCGAGTCGGGCATGAACAGGCTGTTCAAGGTGTTTTAGTATGTATGGAATGACGGGAAGACCACGGGACGGTATCTTACAAGACGGCGACAGATGTTCCGACGGTGACCAAACCAAAGAAGAGAAAGATGATCTGATAAGGTTCGAAGATGGACGAATGGATGTGACCTAATCCGAAAGTGAACAAACTTCCAAACTATCGTGAACGCACTCATTAGCCACTGCCACTTGCTGACAAGCATGTTCTTCCGAGAGCAAAGTCTTACCATGTTGACCACTCCGTTCATTGCATACCACGAGCCTAGTCTGATGGGCTGTTCGCGTCGACGATACCAAAGCTGGGTGACCGCGATGAATGATGGGGCTTGGTTATACGTTAGATGCTGTCTTCCCATACAACCCAGGAGACGACTCACCAATCCCAGCTTCGAAGATACCAAGTAACAAACGGCACACCATCAATCCCGGAAAAGTGTTCGCTGCTGTCATGCAGGATAGAGAAATTCCCCAGAGAAGAGCGGATGCTGCCATAAACTTCCCCAGGGGAACTTTCACCAAAAGGTAAGAGACCAGGGGCTGGAAGACCAGCTGGGCTACGTAAACCCCCGAGCCCAGCCAGGAGTACATCGACCCATGCAGATGAGCCTTGTCAACGAGGCCAAAGACGGAGGCATAAGATAGAGTGGATTTGTCGAGTTGTTGAAGGAAGTAAATAGAGAGGAGAATGGGGAGCAGGCGCAGGTCAATCCTTCGAAGCACCCGAGCATTGTTCTCCGGGGTCAAGATTGTCGAGCCTCCAGCATCTTCGATCAGCTGAAGAGCCTGGTCTTCTTTTGGACCGGTGTCGCCCAAGGCAGCGGCCACCTTTGCAGGCTGCTCGGCCTCGATGGACTCCACATGTTCCAGCTGATCATTTGGCTGGGAAGTCTTAGCCTGCGACATCGCTAATCTTGCGAGCAGAAAGATATAATCGAGATGGTGGAGAGAAATAAAATATGATGTAGAGAGACCTTGTCAAAGAGGAGAGGGAGTACCTTATTTCATGTACTCGGGAGGATAAGAATAGGACTAGCACCCCGTGGGGAAGGCAGGTTTATCTTTCTCCCCGGACGAGCGCAGTCAACGCCCAAACTAGTACAGCGCGGTCTTCCAAGCTTGTTCTTCCGCGCAATCGCCAGGCCATTTACGTGCCACACACCCACATGGTCATCCGACCTGGACCAGCACAGCAATTGCCCTTTCTTGAACGGACAACTTCCGATGCAGGGGACCAATCAATCACTGTCCACAAGGGGGCGAGTGAGGTACAGCGCGGCCTGAGAGTGCTGGAGAGGAATCAAGGCCGGCGCTCGGCAGTCAAAACCGGACTCATACCAGACGAAGAGGGGGAACCTAATTTTGACCGCTACCGATATAGTGTTAGTATGCGCGGCCCCACGCATCCCCAGACTTGACTTCTCGGCCATCGGGGATAATCCCCGATCTCCGATCCTATGCCCCACGCTATGCGACAATTCCCAGCAATGTTGCGTCAACCGCGGGGTTCGACAATGGCAAGGTTTGGTACAAATACAGCTTGTGGGCGGGCTTCCTGGTCCTATCTTCCTTTGTGAGGCCGAAACAAAGCCACAATTCATCATGCCCCAAAAAGAAGTCTGTCCACGCGGCTACCAGCAGGTCTCCGCAACTGCGCAACAAGATGCCTCTGTACATCTGAGGAGTAGCGCAAGCAGCAAGACTCCCTTCGAGTTCTCTTTTGAAGTTGTGCGCCAGAACCTGTTCCGGGTGACTTTTGCCTCCCCCGAACATCCTCTGCCTCCCTACCCCAGCGTGCAGAAGCCCGAGACCAACCTCAAGAACGCCAATGTTTCCGCGAAGACCGATGCTTCCTCCAAGACAATCGATATCGCTGGTGTCACCGCAAAGGTGGAGTGGGAACACACTCCCGTGGTCTCCCTCTCATGGACTAGCTCCGAGAAGCTCCTGCACCGTGACCTGCCTCTGCGCTCGTATGTTGCCGACTCTACCGGCGTTGCGAGCTACTCCGCCCATGATCGAAGCGCTCTTCATGTTGGTCTGGGTGAAAAGAGTGCCCCGATGGATCTCAGCGGTCGTAGCTTCCAACTCTCTGCAACCGATTGCTTCGGGTACGACGTGTACAACTCCGACCCCCTCTACAAGCATATCCCCCTGTTGATCAAGGCCACCCCGGAAGGATGCGTTGCCCTCTTTTCGACTACACACGGCCGGGGCTCTTGGTCTGTTGGTGCTGAGATTGATGGTCTCTGGGGACACTTCAAGGTCTACCGCCAGGACTATGGTGGTCTCGAGCAGTATATGATCGTGGGCAAAAACATCCAGGAAGTCGTTCACCAGTACGCTGAGCTTGTTGGCTTCCCGTTGCGCGTGCCTCGATGGGCTTACGGTTATATCTCCGGTGGATACAAGTACACCATGCTGGATGATGCGCATCTGGCCCTGCTGGAGTTTGCCGAGAAGCTGAAAGAACACGGCATTCCCTGCTCTGCACACCAAATGAGCTCGGGCTACTCCATAGCCGCAACTGAACCCAAGGTCCGCAACGTCTTCACCTGGAACAGAAACCGCTTCCCTGATCCGGAGGAATGGATTAAGAAGATGCACAAGCATGGTATTCGCTTGATTACCAACATCAAGCCATTTTTGTTGGCTTCTCATCCCGACTTCCAGAAGCTCATTGATTGCAACGGTTTCTTTAAGAATCCGGAGAATAACGAGCCTGGATACATGCGTCTGTGGAGTTCAGGCGGTGCCACAGGTGGTGATGGCTGCCACATCGACTTCACTTCCAAGGAAGCCTTCGACTGGTGGTACAAAGGCTGCCAGAGCTTGAAGGCCGTTGGTATTGATGGCATGTGGAATGACAACAACGAGTATACTCTTCCCAACGATGACTGGAAGTTGGCTCTGGATGATTCCATGGTCTCCGTGGATGCGAAGAAGACCGTGGATAACTCCGTCGGATCTTGGGGTCGTGCCATGCACACCGAGCTGATGGGCAAGTCTTCCCACGATGCTCTGCTGGATATGGAGCCCAAGTATCGCCCCTTCGTTCTCACTCGCAGTGCCACTGCTGGAACCATGCGCTACTCTGCCAGCACGTGGAGTGGAGACAACGTCACAAGCTGGGAGAGCATGAAGGGTTCCAATGCCCTTTCCCTGAATGCTGGTATGTCTCTTCTGCAGTGTGAGGGCCACGATATCGGTGGTTTCGAAGGACCCCAGCCTTCACCCGAGCTACTCCTTCGCTGGATCCAGCTGGGCTGCCTCTCCTCGCGCTTCGCCATCAACTGCTTTAAGACCTCCCCCGACAACAATGAGGTCGGCGAGGTCATCGAGCCCTTCATGTATCCCGAGATCACCCCTCGTGTCCGTGACGCCATCAAGCGCCGCTACGAGATGTTGCCTTACATCTACTCTATGGGCCTGGAGAGCCACATGAGCGCTACTCCTCCCCAGCGATGGATCGGTTGGAGCTACGAGTCCGATCCCGAGGTGTGGACCAAGGCCCTCAAGGCCGGCGATGAGCAGTTCTGGTTCGGTAACACCGTCCTGGTTGGCGGCGTTTACAAGGCCGGTGTGACCGTGGCCAACGTCTACTTGCCCCGCAAGTCTGGCGATCAGTTCGACTACGGCTATGTGAACATGAACGCTCCTTACAACTATCTCGCCTCCGGCCAGTGGGCTGAGATCTCCTCAGAGTGGCGCGAGAGCATTCCTCTCATCGCCAAGATCGGTGGTGTCATCCCCGTTGGCAAGAGCGTTCACACCCGTGTGCCTGGCGACGACACCGCTGCCTCGCAGGGCGTCGAGGAGCTCGATGACTACCGTGGTGTCGAGGTCTTCCCGCCCCAGGGTACCTCGCACGGCAACGTCTTCTCGACTACATGGTATGAGGACGATGGTATCTCCCAGAAGCCTGCCACCTCCAGCTACACTCTTAGCTACAGCTCCACCGACGAGAAGGTCCTTGTTGACTTCACTCGTAATGAGCAGAGTGGATTCAAGCCCGCTTGGAAGGAGCTTGATATCATTCTGCACCACGGTGATGAGCGCCGCGTGGTTAGCAACTCCGGCCAAGAGGTTGCTGTCAAGGAGGCTGACTCCCGCGGCCGTATGGTGTACACTGTCAAGGCTTGAATTGGGTTTCTAAGAGGTTGTGATGAATTTCCTTTGTAGAAGATGTCTGGCCGTTACCTTGGGCTCGGGGACATTTATGAACATAGAGTTGGATAATTTGAATAGATGAATGAATAGACTGTGATTGATTGCTATAAACAACCTCGGAACCATATTCTACATGAAGAACTTGTTCCGGTATCTCGCATCTGCGGGAAACCTGGCAACTGGGGCAAGAAGCCATGCCTTTGCGGATGGGCTACCTAGGACCGAGCGGAAATAACCTTGAAAAAGTAGATGCAAATATTTTGAGAGTATACCAAAGACAACTTGTTAGTACATGATGTGATAACACCCACAAGACCTGGAATCATCTATACAATACAGAGTCCGACGCTTCGAATGCAAGCCGCACGGATACCAGAGAGCCAAAAGGACCAAAAGCTACCAAGAGCCCACTTAAAACTGCTTCTTCTGCTCACTACCAGGCAGCACACCGGTGAATGGATCCAGACGCAACTGCTCGGCCGTGATAGGCTTGTAGGTAGTCTTACCCTCCTGAGCAGCCTCAAGGCGTCTCTTCTGACCAGCCTGACCAGCACGGCCCAGAATCCCAACGATCAGATCCGTAGCACGCAGGCTGTCGTCATTAGCCGGGATGGGATAAGTCACACGAGTGGGATCTGCGTCGGTATCAATAATACCAATAGTAGGCACGTTGTTCAATCCACACTCGTGCAACATGACCACATTCTCCAGCGGGTTCAAACAAACCACCAGATCAGGCTTCACGGACGGTCTATCCGCAAGGTCTCGCTTGAACTCCTCCAGCTTCTCATCAACCGCATTGACCACCATCGTCTCACAGTGTCCCAGAATCTGCTGTCCGTTCGTAAGCGCACCGGGAATCCACCGCTCGAAGATATGGTAGCCCTTGGCCAGCTCGGCGGCCCGCACGACAGCCCGCTTCTGGCCCTTGCGGGTTCCCGCGAACAGGATGATGCCGCCCCGTGCGGCGACTTCCTCAACGACCTTGGCTGCGCGGCGCAGGTAGGCGGCTGTGGCGTCCAGGGAGATGATGTGCACGCCCTCGCGGATACCGAAGATATATCGGGAGTTCTGTGGGTTCCAGCGCGATGTCGAGTGGCCCAGATGTGTGCCTGAGGCGAGGAGGAGCTCGAGTGTGATGTCGGATGGACGGGGCGGGCTCCTGATTACCATTTCGGGGTCATAGGCTTCTTCGACTTCGCTGCCGATTCGGTTGAACTTGCGTCCTACGAGGGGGGAGTTCTGTTAGACTGGTTTGTTTCGGAGGGAGAGGAGGTCTGCTCACGTTGCCCTACCCAGCGTCCCCAGGCTTCCGCCTCTGCGGTTTTTTGTGTCCTTGATGCCTGCACCACTTCATGGAGGGGGTTCTCTGATGGAACGATCGTCTCTTTAGGGGGAGTCTGCACTTCGGTTGCAGGGTTTGCTACCGGTGTCTCGAATTCAGTGGATAGGAAACGTCTGGAGATCGGAGTCTGGCGAGTCAGGGCGAGGAGTTGGCGGCCTGGAAGAAATGGGAGTTAGCAGGGCATATTCAGGGACTAAATATGACCAATTGGCAAGAACTCACTCTGCCGCAACCCGAATTTCCGTACAATCATACTGGCCGTGGAATCGCAAACCTGGACAGAAGGCGTATTCAGGATGGTCCGCGCGAACTTTTGTCGGGCTTGGCGCTCGACACCTCGACACCTTGGTGCCTGAGCCATATGGTATTCGAGGCCAAGGCGCTATTCCCCTTTTGGATACTCATACATCGATCTTCCCCCGCGAGTGGCGAAATGTTTGTTTTGCTACGGTAATCTACTTTTTTTTTACATGCAAGGCATTCCGAGATTTTGGCTGATGATGCAATTCTGATTAAAGATGTAATCATAAGCTGACCACTGATATCAATGCAAGACTGTCATGATACACATGTTCCCCACTGGAGATATGACAAAGGAGCAAACAACACAAAGCGAATCCGGCGAAAGCACGCATGCCAACCCGTTCCCTGGAAAAGAAAACAAGCAAAGGAAATTCATGAGAATAGCGAGGTCATCACGTTGAAGCTAGCAAAAGACGAAGAAGCGAGGGAAAGCATCTACTTCTTGAAGAAGCCGCCAAGCTGGTCCATCATGCCACTACCCTGGTTGGAGGGAGGGCGGCCGTAAGGACCGGGAGAGCCGCCGTAGGGACCGGGCGAGGGGCCGCCGGGACTCTGGTCGTGGTTCTTGTGCTTCTTGAGCGCGTCCTCGGCGATGCTACCGATGATGGCTCCACCGATGGTTCCGAGGAAGCCGTGGTTGGCCTTGTGGCCGGCGAAACCACCAGCCGCGCCGCCTGCGAGAGCGCCGGCAAGACCACGCTCGCCCTCTTGGGCCTCACCGGGGGCACCCTGCTGCTGCTCGTAGCCACTATGAATTGTCAGTACGTGATGAGATGCATGTGAGGAAGTCACATACCCTTGGCGGTACTGGTCCTGGCCGTACTGCTGCTGCTGCTGCTGGTCGTAGCCACCACCGTACTGGCCCTGGCCGTGCTGTTGCTGGCCACCGTAGTAGTCACCGGAGCTCTGCCCCTGCTGATGCTGATGCTGATGCTGCTGCTGGCCGTAACCTTGCTGCTCGCCGTATTGGGGCTGGCCGTAACCCTGCTGGCCGTAGCCCTGCTGGCCCTGCTGACCATAGCCTTGTTGGCCGTAGCCCTGTTGGCCCTGCTGACCATAGCCTTGCTGGCCGTAGCCCTGGTTGTATTGGTCGTAGCCGGACATGTTGTGAAGAGTGATGGATGAAGGATGAAGGATGAAAGTGAGGTGAGTGATGGTGAGATAGAGGGGGGAAAGAGGGGAACCTTTTATAAGTGAGATCTCCGAGCCACAGGGCTGACAGAACCACCCCACATGGCCACCGCGAATTTACGAAACGCCGAGAGGCGCAGGGAACTGAACGTCAGCTTGGTTCATCTTACAGTACATTATGGGGAAGTAATACAGCACCGCCACAGGCCTGCCTTTTCGACTATTCCGGTATGCACTATGCCCGGCGGCCTACGTGTGGCTATGCATACAAGGCTGAGTAACTCGCACATCCTTACATTAGCGTACCATCGCCGGCGCCCCCGATCTCCCGAAAATAGAACACGGATCTTCGGCTTCCATGATTTTTCGAATGTTCTACGGAGAAAGGGGTAACCGATGCGATACGTAGGCGCCAAGACTGTCATTTCCGCTACCGCCAATTCACCTCGTCATTCTCGGCACGCGAAGATTCTGGTTGCCTAGTCCCACTTCCGACTTGTTTCATGCCGTGGCTATGTACTTTGGTAATGAGCCGGGGAAGTTGCACTTCATCACGTCCAATGTGTCTGGTCTGCCGATCCAACTAGGTTGTCATGTGGCCACACATAAAGGACTGTCACTTTTCTAATAACGTCTTTCCAACATGGAGTATCCTCTCTGTTTGGGGAGTTTTGACCATAATATTCGATCATACGACTATGTATTCCATACAAAACAACCGATATCAAATAAGCCACCAGCTTGTGGTTCGCAACAGAATCAAACCGGTGAGAACAACGGGCGCATATGAACCATACTTTGCACGCGACCATATTAGGGTCAGCCGCCCGCGGCTGTCACACCCTGCTCGTTTCACTCTGACTGGTCCGGTGATGGCTGCGCTTGACCTCCCCGGTCGCTCATAAGATGCTTAACTACGGGTTCCGAGGTTCCGTCCATGGCTGTGGCCCAATACATTCGTCCCTCAGATCTTTTTCACCAGTAAAACGAGCGCGTGTGGCTTCCCCCTTCTTTGGATTAGTTCTACCATTCTCGGTTCGGCGCTCCAATACACCGACTATGGATAATGCGGAGCCGAATCTTACCCGGAGCTATCTTCCACCCCAGCAACACGGCTTCATTGAATCGAAACACTAGAGAAAATTGATTTCGAGAAATGGAGGGTGAGATGTCTGAAACTTCGTAGAAGACTGGGCTGAAGAACACAGACACTAAAATGACGGAACAAACGCCTCTTCGAGTTCTCGTTACTATTTCAACCTCTAGCGCGTATTGGGAGCAGGCTTGGTTTGCTTCGGAGTTACTCCCGGTAGCTCTCGAGATCCTCAAAGAAAATGATTTACTGAAGTACACCGGCAGCCACCATCTACAACCAAGGCTGCTAGCAAAGCAAAGATGGGTAACTCATGTGTTCCTTGTATTTGACATTTCGAGCACTTCCTATGATCCTGCATTGGGGCATTTACCAGAGCAGAACAAGCTCTCCGTTTTGATTGTTCGACTGGCTCAAAAAGTGCAAGCTTACCCGGCAAACCCTCCAGCACAAAACAAGGCGAATAAAGATATTGCTAGAGCTCACAACCGCAACGGTATAGATAGTGTGCCGCCTTTCGCTGTAGATTATACGTTTGGCCCACCTGTGTACCTTATCCGGGCGATCCAGCATTACTGCGGTGATTACACGCTATGTTAGTTTCATCAGATACCTTAGGGTATATGTTCGCTTCTTGATCAGTATCTAGTAGGCAATAAACATTTCAAATTTACCGGTAGAACAATCCTGTCGCCCCAGACCCCTGCGCAACCTCAAATTTCAGCACTGTTCCACACCTGCAGTGTGAAACGCAGCCCACCTTAGGTATGTGATCGAACGCAAGGTGGGTTGGCCAGGTGGATCGCAGGACCAGCTGAAGCCCCGTTGGCCCAATCACACGGCCTCTTCACGGACTATCGGACGATCTTTCGTCACTGGTTCATGCAGGCGCCCGATATATTTCTCTTTTTCAGCCCAGAGTCCCATCCCATGGTCATTGATTGCCGGAGTCGAGGCGAGTAATCCACTCTGCAGCGTCTTTGGTTTCCTCAGCCCTCCAAATCGTGCAGAAATGGATTGCCCGTGTATAAAGGGAAGGAACTGCGCCGATCGGCCAAGAATGTGCCTGGAGGTTCCAGTTCCCACCCAGCGTCTGTCATTGAATTCATTGAATATTTTCATTACTTTCTACCACCTCGTAGGGGCTTCAGATCACGATGTCACTGTGCTCGGCGTTACTATTCCTTTGCACGCTCGCCGTCGCGTCGGCCAGAGGTCCCACGACTGTTTACATGATCCGACATGGCGAGAAACCCGCGGACAAGAACGATCAAGGGCTCACCCCGGACGGATGGCGACGAGCTGAATGCCTGCGCGATGTGTTCGGAGCCGACTCGGAATATAACATTCAACATATTATAGCACCTCCCGTGATGCAGAGTGAGTTGATGCATCCTCGAGCAAAACAAGAGAACTTCGGCCGAAACAATTCAAGAGCATGTACTGATCATATGAATACGATAGATGGCGAGCACCGACGACCCTACATGACCGTTCTTCCTCTGGCACACGACCTCGGCCTCCAAATCGACGACCACTGCACCCGAAAGGATCCCGAGTGCGTGGCCGACGCTATCAGGTCATACGATGGGACTGGTAATATTTTGATTTCCTGGCGACACTCGAATATGGACGAGATCCAGGAGTTACTGGGATCTGAAAATCCGGTCGATTACCCTATAAATCGGTAGGTGGGATTGTTTTTTTTTTCTATTGGGTTCACTTGCGTCGGAGCTGTCGGGTTCGCGATCAGCGTACTTGTTACACTGCGCCATTGTATTGAGGACCATGCCAGTACCGGTGCTTATTAACTTGCTTGTTGTGTTTATGTGCTAACTGGCTCAGGTTCGACCTCATTTGGACTATGCCCTATCCCTATAATGAAATCACGGATATTTACTCCGAGGAGTGTCCTGGTTTAGACGTTCGGCCTGGACTGATGGCCCAGTATTGATCTGGAATGTCATATATTAGAACCTTATAGATGGCTTTCAATCGCTAACTATAGGCGCAAGAAGAGCCGATACTGCTCTAGTCGACGGAGTGAATGCTCAAAAGCAGTGAGCAGCTTACCCGAAATATATATGCAAGACACTTACAAAAGACTGAAGTTGCCACTCTCGATTCGCAGGCCAGTCATACGGCCTAAGACAAAGCTACACCTTATTGCACTACAAGAAGAGCCATGGGAAATCGAGAGAGAGAGCAAATGAGGTTCGCAGAGACGTACTTTATAGCGCGCAGCAAGGTCAAGGGCACATTGGCCAGTGAAGAGCGGAAGTGGCGGCAAAGATGGGCGGCAGTGCAGAGAGCAGAGCAGAAAAGACAGAGAGTGGAAGCATCAGTGGCAGAGGAGGCAGAAGGAGTAGAAGAGCAGCAAAATGCAACAGTTGTAATTAAGAAAAGGAATTTAATACTACCAACAATCTGCCCCGTTCCTGCTAACTAATCCTAAATACAGTTGATGCAGTCTGCTTGTTTAGGCTGAATGTTTTCTGCAAGAGTCGCACATGATTGACTAGATCAACGCGGGTGGCACTGCCACCCTGCAGCCCTGCGATTAAGAATAGCAAACAGGCGGGGTTATGCCTTCTCTTCGCCCGGTCGGGTTAGGCGCTTGCACTAAAGATCTCCTTTCCTTTTCCCGAGTTCGATAGAACATTCGTCGGGCTAGATAAGCTTTCGCTAGTTCCTCTACGACTAATCTCGATACTCTCAAGCAAAGTGTAGGCTTACTGAACTGGGGAACCTGTATGGAATCGATTTGTATGTAGAATTGAATATGCAGTTTTTACCGGAAGGGTACAAGTGAGTCAGTATAGTGTGGCTTTCCGAAACAGTCATCCTAAGGTTTTTTGTGTTTGGCCTTGGTGATTTCTTTCGGTCTAAGGGCTTCTATTGCCCTCGTCCGAAGTGCGCATTTTGGTGCGGAGAAGCGGAGAGAGAAAACCCACACGCTGTGGCCAACTCGCATCTATTTAGCCACCTTCATCCTCCCATCAACAGAGAAATTCCGTATCAACGAAACTTTCCAATGTCACCCCCCAGTTTCAATCTCGGCATTGTTGCGTGCGGCCAGATGGGCACGGCGATTCTGGCCGGAATCCTTAGTCAAGATCCCGACGCGAACGCGCCGTGGAACGTGAAGCGGATATTTGTCTCAGTCCAGACTGCAGCGTCTGTCTCCCGCCTTCAAAATATGTTCGCTCAACACTTGTCCCGTATAACCATCTATCAGGGGGATAATCTGGCAGTTGCCGAGCATTCTCACGTTGTGATCTTGGGATGCAAGCCCGCTCTTATGGAGGGGATCCTGGGCGCCGAGGGGATGGGAGATGCTCTGAATGATCATATCCTGGTCAGTGTGTTGGCTGGGAAGACTACTGAAATGACTCGAAGGGCTATCAGTGACATTGAAGGCCGAGCAGGCAGAGTGGCCCCTCGAGTGCATGTTGTGAGGACAATGCCAAATATGGCCGCTCGAGAGCATGCATCCATGACAGTTGTTTCGTCGCCAGAAGATGAGTCGGACATTGAAGCCGTGAGGGTGACGAGATGGCTGTTTGACCACGTCGGAAAGACCCACGAAATCCCCGAGTCATTGTTTGACCTGATTGGGTCGCTTGTTGGATGCTCAGCGGCCATGTTTACGGTGGCTGTGGATGGCTTACTGGACCAGAGTGTTGCAGGTGGCCTCAACCGGCCAGCGGCTTTGAAACTCGTCACTCAGACACTATACGGTCTGGCGAAGCTGCTGGAGGCGGGGAACCATCCCTCGGTCTTGCGGGAGGAGATCTCATCTCCAGGAGGGAGCACCATCCAAGGCCTGATGGAACTTGACCGGCAAGGAGTTCGCTCGGCATATGCCTCTGCTCTTGCCGTGACAGGCGAGCGGGCGAAAGCGTTGGGTTCTAAAGAGAAATAATGACTTATGGCTCCATTCGACGAAATGAGCGTACGATGATTTGCGGAAAGATGTCTGGAGATACCCAGAGTCACATGTGCACAGTGACCCAATGGCTAGAATTCAACTGAATAGAGCAATCACTTGAAGTTTATTAACAAAGAAATTATTTGTCTTGTGAGTAGGAAACGAGAAAATCTTGTATCTGTTGAAGAATTAATTGAGATTATGGTTGAAGTTTATCTCGTGGGGTATATAGTCTATGCGTTTATACAGGCGTTAAGGCATTATAAATAAGTCATTATGGCGCATTGTCCTCAGTGGTTTTTGCACCATCTTCTGCAACGATTTGCACCTCGTGACTGTGCTCAAGTTCCGACAGAACGATCCATGTAGGAACGACGCAGAGGATGGTGATTCCGAAGTTGAGACCAATGCTGACGAAGTGGTTTGCGCCACCCTCGGATTGCATACTGCGTCGAAGTTAGCAAAAAGTTTTTCTTAAGCTTCCTTTTAAAGGGTAACTTACGCCCAAGCAACGGTTTGACCGAGAGCCTCAAATCCTCGCAGAATTCCGCAGTGATAAGACAGAGACGAGATGTCGGTGCTGTACTGGCCCACCAGCCAGTAAAGGAATTGTTGAAATGCTTGGCCGCCGAAGGTCCAGAAGAAGACCAAGGCGTACGACTTCCCGAAGCCGCCCTTGAACCAGTCAAAGACGGGGGATTCCGGTAGGTCGTAGTAGAACTGGTATTGCAGGATTGTAGCCCAGATCCAAGTTCCGATGAGAATAATAACGATAGTCAAGAATGCAATGCGTGCGCGGGTCTTGATGTAAATCGATTGCCGATCAAGCAGGGCAGCAATCAAGAATGAAGAGAAGATACCGGCGAAGTTGGTGAAGAATGACGAGAAGGCGCGAGCGCGGACGGTGAAGTAGTCGGTCAACCAAGTGCTGAGGAAGCCGTTGTAGAAGTAACTGATGAAGAAAGAAGGCAAAAGCAGGAGGACCCGGCGCGTGGCAATCAACTTGAACGCGGCCCGGAACTCAGCTGCCCAAGACTCCTTCTTGTGGACCACAACCAAGGTGCGATCCTTGCGCTGCACTTTCTCCGCCGGGCTCAGGCAAAATGCGACAGGCAGACCGAGGCACATGATGACGATGAAGACGATATAGGTTCCTTGGCTGATCGTACCCTGTACTGAAGTCTGGGCATTCAGGCCGAGGCTGATTGCGCCACCGACGATAGGACCTAAAGCCTTGGCTGTTTGCCAAATAGCTATTGCATCGACGGATTAGCATTCGTCTTTGGTGTGTAGAGCGCGCAGGCAGACTTACCGAGATAGAAAGCCCGATCCTTAGGGGTAGGGTATCCAATAATAATTGCAGCCTCCGCCGCCCAGAAGAATCCAGCCGAGATACCGCAGAGTGCGCTACCGAAGAGCATGAACCAAGTTGTCGGGTGGTAGTTGTTGGTGTAGAGACCGGCGCCATAGATAGGGTAGCCGATCGCGCCAATGATCAAACCATAGCGAAGACCGATGCGGTTGTTGATAGCACCAGCCGCGACACACACAACTGCGAACAAGCCGTAGAGAAGAGCATTTGCCGCAGACACAGCATAAGGCTCTGCAGCTCCACCAGCTCCAAGGTTGTTCATCGCATCCCACATACCAGGCGCAGTGAACGAGACACCGGAACAGATTGCGATCTGGAATGGAACGGATCTCCAGATAGAGCGCAAGCGAGTAAAGCGCGGCGCATCGACAGTAGTAGCTGGCCCATCTTCAAAATCCTGATTGGAGACCGTGGAAGCCATTGCGACGGTATATAGTAAGACCTGCTGCCCGGTCGTTCCTCCGTAACAACCCAACCTTGAGCGAAAGGAATGTATTTAAAAGAATTAAATCTACATGGCACCTGGGAAAGACAGAAAAACCCAGCCCATATAGGCGATCCACTGAGGCGAAATTGCGTGCTTTAGTTGAGGGAAAGCTGGGGTCCACCCGAAATCCGAAGGGACGGGCTGCAGATTCTGCACGCGACAGACCCCCGATTCTGAAACCAGCCGAAAAACCAGCCGAAATTTTCAAAAAATAGAGTTGATTCATGTGGTCATTGGTCATTTAGAGTCAATTACGTCTCTTTCTGTCTCAATTATATATTTGATTCACTAAAAGCGTACTGCTAATGGACCAGATCGTTGGGGATCTGGGGAGCTAACAGTTTCAATAAGGTAATGCATTGGACCCGCATACCTCATGGGACCCATTCGCCGGTGTACATCTACGTCTGCACAGCCATGCAATTTCACGCAATTCAGGCGTCATGTTTCCTTGATTTGGCCTGCCTTGGCTGCATACTACCATATTTTATTGGTCGTAATGTCTTAGATACTGATGAGTCCAACGTAGTTCGGGAGGGATTTAAGGTTTGCATGATCTCAATCCCGAACTGGTCCCGGCCCGATCAGCGTCAACATCGGCGATATGCTCGATTAGCGACTTAAGATCAAGATTTCAGCTCCAATTACTGATGACTCCTTCACTACAGTGGCTTGATTGGACGATTCCGTGAAGTCGAATGTTCTCCGGTTGCGAGCCAAATACTTGGGGATATCCGCCTCAATACTCCATCGCCTGTTTCAACTGAGACAGATGCGACTTTATGCTACAAGGTCTTTTGAAGAAATAGTGAATATCCAATGTCTGATATACCTCTATTTACCGCGTGTTTTCTTGACTGACGTGTCTATCTCCTATCTCAGTCCCCCATGACCGTTGGTGAGTGGTTTGCTCAGTCCGTCGCGAGGAACGTTAGTACGGAACAAACGTTACGATGGGAATTTCATATTCATTCCGCCTACCTTAAGCCTCGGTCAGTATGGGGAACTGAAGACGTTTATCGTATCTAGGCGGAATGCTAGGAATTAGTCGTTCGACGGCCGCAGGACGATTAGCACCGGTCATCTCAGGAAGGTTGGCAAGCTCCATCTCGTCCATCTGCATACGATCCTCTTCATCCCATCCCTCATGGTCATCTATTACGAGTCCAGTAAATCCCATATCCAGTATGAGAGCCAGAACACTGATGGCAACGCCAAAAAAGGGCTGCCCGGTAGCCCAATATCTGGCTCTCCGAGTGGTTGATGATCGGAATCTCAATGCACAAGCAAGTCCCAGTCCGAGGCCGTTTCAATATAAGTTCAGTGTGCCGATAATGGAGCCCACACTCCCTTCTTGGTGCCGACGTACAAAATTACTAACAATGATCTGGCCCGCAGTATACACCAAGTCAGGACAGAAAGCAAAGATCACAACAGACGGAAAGATCTGGACTCATTAGCTTTGATGAAGTGGAACAGTTGCCGTCAGTGCATTTGACGTCTGGATCGTTCGGGTGCCGGTTGCTAGAATCCCCGGCGCTGACACACGAGGTACTAACCAGGCAACGAAACAGACAGCCACAGTGGCTGATGAAGTCCAGTCAACTGCAAATTCAACAGGAGGCGACTTTTATTGACATAAGTGGCTATCGCTTCAATGCGATTTAAGTAAGCCGGAGCTATGAACAGAATATAACTTTTCTGGCGAGGATCTTGGAGTATCAGTTCCTGAGGTAGCGGGGTCGATTCTACAGTGACGTGCTGAAGTTCCCCATCAGTGGAGGAACTTGATTTGACGAATGATTGACGGTTCTTCTGAGAAGTACATAAGTGACAAGGATGATGTTTCTCCCACATAGACTAGAACTTCTAACAATCAGTTTCGAGGACGATAGGAAGCTCCAAAGTGGGGCAGGCCATTCTCATGAGCGGCTGTTTTTTATCTGGCTCTGCAATGCTGCTAAAATCTGCGGTAACTGGTCCAGATAAATGAGTGCTGGCGGAATAAAGGAACCGTTCAATCGTGGCTGGCAACTTACGACATTAAGGAGGAAGTAATACGGGCCGGCATCCTGGCTTTTTGACCAGTGCCCACCCTCGAGATACAAATTGGAAAAATGACCCGAAGGAAAGTCAAGTTCTGGCCTAAGCTCCATTATGGAAATCTACGGAATTTGAATTTCTTTTGGACCCATTCTCCTGAGGTCTACCCAAATTACTTACTTTCTACTAAGCAACCTCAAGATAAACAAGGACCGGAGGTCAAGACCTAATACTACTGAGGCTATATGGTAAGGGCAAGCTAATTTTCGAATTTGTATATCCGTATCTATGAAAGGGGTTACATCTTCGGCAAGCCCTTTAGACAGCTATGCTTGCTTGTGCTTTTCTTTTCGCATTAGATTAGACACTGATATACTGATCAAGAATAAAAGCTTAAGGTGGAAGCAAGGCACTATCTCATTCTCTAGCACCATCCAAGGATATCTCATGCATACCCGAACAAGCTACCTGGGCATCCACTAAGTAACAATCGACGTATCAGAAGATGATCAGCGTGATCACAGATCATGCAGCCTTTTGAATGTCGTAAATAACTCATATTTAAGTTGATAATATCTATTCTACCGGGAGTCTTCTATCATGAACTTATATCCTCGTACAAAACCTGCTAAAGCGGACCGTTTACTCTCAAGTGTATAGAAAGCACGGGCCACTAGAGTCGCCGAAATTGTTGTGCGCGGGCGGTGAAAAAGCCGAGCGGAGAACGCCAAGATTTCCTCACCCCCAAATTTTTCGTAGCGGCTACTTCCTCGCCTTCCATTCGCAGTCTGGCTTTCACAACGAGAGCATGGATGATATCGAGGTATGTGAAAATGCTATGGTTGTCTACAGTCAAAGTTGACTCGAATCAGGAACGGCTGCGCAGCCATGCGCAGGCATTCGACGGTCTGCTTTCCTTGATCCCCGCCAAATACTATTACGGCGATGACAATAGCGTACGTGCGCCCCTCTGCTCTACCTAACCGACCTTTTCTCTTGATTCTGGCTTCCTCTGCCCTCTTGCATATCCCCATTTCGAAAATCCAGGTCTAACCAATCTCTGGCCCTGCAGGATCAATGGCAACGGAAAAAACAGACCAAAGAGCAAGCCCGCGAGGCTAAGCGTGCAAAGTTGGACCCCGAATCCGGCAAGACCGCCAAAGACGTGATGGATGAGAATGCTCGCAAGCGCAAGCGTGAGGATGGGACCCTCGAGTCTGATTCGTCCGATGAAGAGCTCGGCTCTGAAAATCCTAGAGAGGGACTGAACCGAGGCGATAAGACCAAGAAGCAAAAGCAGCAAGAAAAGTCGGAGGCCGCTTCCAAAAACAAGTCAGAGGACGCAGAGGCTCGCAAGAAATTGAAGGAGGAGAAGAAGGAGAAGAAGAAGGCCGCCCAAAAGGAAAAGAAGAAGGCAAAAGACAGTGCCAGGAAAGAGAAGGTTCAAAATGAGAAGCAGACGGAGACGGCCACCGAGACTTCCGAGCAGCCAACTCCCAAGGCGAACGGCACTGCTGCTGAACCCGAAGACTCAGACGACGAGGACGACGACGATGTCGAAGGCGTTCCCGAGGCAGGATTTTCTATCGAGTTTAACGACCAGCCCGAAGACCCCTCATCCGCCTCATCTGCTCGCAATTCTCCCGGCTTTGATGCCTCGAATCCTCAGTCGGGCAGCTCCTCCACATCCTCCATTGTTCCCCCCTCCGCCACCGATGCCAAGTCCACCGAGCCTAAGGCTCTTAAGCCCACGCCAGAAGATCTCAAGCAGCGCTTGCAAAAGCGCCTGGACGAACTTCGGGCGAAACGTCAAGCGGATGGACTCAACGGCAAGCCTGCACGTAACCGCCAAGAGTTGATCGAAGCCCGTCGGCAAAAAGCCGAGCAACGGAAAGCACACAAAAAGGAGCTGCGCCAAAAGGTCAAGGAGGATGAACAGCGCGAAAAGGATGAAGCCATGACCCGCCGTTTCTCTCCCGGTGGCTCGGGATCCCTCCTGGCGTCTCCTCGCTCCCCTGCCGAGTCGGTTGGTTCTTCCAGCAACAACTTCTCCTTCGGTCGTGTTGTCTTTGCCGATGGCCAGCACGCTGATGCTACCCTGTCAAACATCCGCGATCAGCCGCAGAAGCACGGTGCCACAGATGCCGCTGCCCAGCTCAAGGCCGCCGAGGCCAAGAAGGCCCGTCTCGCTGAGATGGACCCGGAGAAGCGCGCTGAGCTCGAAGAAAAGGACCGCTGGCTCAATGCCAAGAAGCGTGCTCACGGTGAACGCGTGCGCGACGACACCTCTCTCCTCAAAAAGGCCCTCAAGCGCAAGGAAACCGCAAAGAAGAAGTCCGAACGTGAGTGGAAAGACCGTCTTGACACTGTCTCTCGTATGAAGGACAAGCAGCAAAGCAAGCGTGAAGAGAACCTTCGCAAGCGCCGTGACGAGAAGGGCAACAAGGGTGGTAAGAGCAAGAAGCCTGCCGGCGGTGGCAAGAAGAAGGCCAGACCCGGCTTTGAGGGCAGCTTCAAGGCCAAGACTGGCGGCAAGAAGAAATAAAGTCATGATTTGGAAGCCTGACTTTCACCTTATCTCTTGCCTCATTTCGCTTGCATATTATTTTTCTCTCCGTTGTGATCCACGCTTATATCCTTCTCCCAAGAAGCTGGAACACTCCCTCGACCAACAAAAAGAAAAAGTGTTTTAAGACATCGAACTGGGAAATATCCATCCGGGGATTCAGGTGTTTGGTGTTTGCGCTGTTTCAGCGGCATGTGTCGTCTGTTATGTCTTGTATGTACGTCAGCATGGGTAGCGATCTATCTTCATTTTGTGAATACAATATCATTCCGTTCCAAAGTGCTTTATTCCAAGATTCTCAGGTATTTGCAATGTGGTAGAACTGATCCCGCACCGACATGATGGGAAGCCGAGTCTTGCTCGTACTGTAACGTTCAAATGCTGCGGACCTAAAGCAATCGAGCACCAATGCTAGTGCCCGGGTGGCACGTTCAAGAAGAGTAATAAAAACCACAGGAATATATCCAGGCACGTTCTTGATATAATTTGGGCCGTAATGAAAAACACAAAACATGCTATATTCCAGAACATAGGAAATATAAAAGACAAAGGAGCCGAGTCTCAACGAAACTTCCTTTGGGAATCGACTAGTACAAAGTGATAACACAAGGTCGAGGGGGTTTATGTACAATATGTGATAGGGGTCGAGGGCATCATAGGCCCTTTCTAGATTTTTCGTGCATGGCCCGTAGGCGCACTCGGCATAGGCCCGTGTCTCCTCACGGGGCCAAAGCCTCATTCGCTTCTCCAATTGCGTACCGCGAACACCGAAGCAGCAATGTCCGTTTATCGGTAAGGAGCATCGGCACGGGCAGCCGCAGCAATCTCGGGCTCCCACTTGTCGCCGTTGGCAAGCAGCTTCTCCTTGTTGTAGAGGAGTTCCTCGCGGGTCTCGGTGGCGTACTCAGCGTTGGAGGCTGTAAGGGAGGAAAGGTGGTTAGCTCGCAAAGGTCATCCATTCACGTTACTTTCAAAACTCACTCTCAACGATAGCATCCACGGGGCAGCTCTCCTGGCAGTAACCACAGTAGATGCACTTGGTCATGTCGATGTCGTAACGGGTCGTCCGGCGGCTTCCATCCACACGCTCCTCGGCCTCGATGGTGATGGCCTGGGCCGGGCAGATGGCCTCGCACAGCTTGCAGGCAATGCAGCGCTCCTCGCCGGTGGGATAGCGACGAAGGGCGTGCTCACCGCGGAAACGGGGAGAGATGGGACCCTTCTCGAAGGGATAGAAGATGGTATACCTGCAGCAAGAAAGATGTCGGGTTAGTCCATCTGAGACCAATTGAGGTCGAGAAATTTGGAGGTCCATGTTCGACAGCCAGGTAGACTTACGGTGGGCGGAAGTACTGCTCCAGCACGACGTACATGCCGCGGAACAGTTCGGCCATGAGGAAGTACTTAGAGGCCTTGTCCAGGGAAGACTCAGAGCCCTGGTCCCAGCGCTTGGGCGGGGGCAGACGGAAGCTGGGATGAGGGGGTCCCGCTGGGGTGGCTGCGCGGGACACAGAGGAAGAGAAGTTTGCGGTCAAGCCCAGAGGCATGAAGGGGGAGCGGCGGTTGGCGACCAGCCGCGCGACCGATCTGGCGGAAGCCATGGTGGGGGGAGAGGAGATGGAAGAGAAGAAGGAGAGGTGGGTGGAGAGAAGACAATTGGAGGAGTAGAAGGAGGTCGCTAACATGAAGTTGAGTGGTTTGCAGTTTCTGGCTTAGGTCATTCCTTTCTGCCGGGCGCTGATTGGCTGCCAGCAGGATTTGCGTACGAGCATCAACTTCCCGTCTTCTTCCTCTTCTTCCTCGTCTTCCCCCATCCTTTTGAACCTCGTCCTCTCCCCCCCCCCACTTACCTCCTTTTTTACTCTTTTCTTGGGATTTGCAGCCGTTGCACTCTCGATCTTCCACCTCAATATGTTCCGCTCCGCCATTGTCCGCTCCTTGAGGGCCTCCGCCCCCCGTGCCGCCGTCAAGACTCCGGCTCCCTTCCAGATCCGCAGCTCCCCCATCGCGGCCCGCGTCCCTCAATTCACTCCCTGCTTCGTCTCCCAGACCGTCCGTGCCTACTCTGCGCCCGCCGGTCTGAACAAGGAGGAGGTTGAGGGTCGGATAGTCAACCTGCTCAAGAACTTCGACAAGGTGCGTCAGATTGTTATCGGGCGGCGCTTTGCCATCATCAACGATCAATACATTATTGAACTTTGACTAACACTTTTACTGCAGGTTTCCGATGCCAGCAAGGTTAGTTTTTCATAACGCGACAATACCCTACGGCTGGCCCTCGGTTGTTTTACCTCTGAACTACCAAAGGTCCCGTGAAATCGCCTTCATCGTTAACACCTATCCACCATTAGATCAACGGCGCCTCCCACTTCTCGAACGACCTCGGTCTTGACAGCTTGGACACCGTCGAGGTAGTGATGGCCATTGAGGAGGTACGCGCCCCAGTCCTTTTCCTCGGAAAAGATTGTCCAGAACAAATCTGACCATTTCACCAACAGGAGTTCAGCCTTGAGATCCCCGACAAGGAGGCCGACCAGATCCACAGTGGTAAGTTCGCGCAGCGTTTTGCGTCTGGCTTCGATGGACTGCGACTAACGTGTATTGTGTGTGAACAGTTGAGAAGGCTGTCGAGTACATCCTGGCTCAACCCGATGGTATGTGTATACTTTTTTGCCATTCCTGTGACTTCCATGCTGACCCGAGTGCAGCTCACTAAATATTTTAATCGAACCCCCCGGAGACCGGTTGGTTGGGAGGTCGGATAGAAAAAGGTTCCGGATGTTGGCGTCGGCCCAGGGTATTCGCCCGATAAGGTGTACTTCTGTGGCCTCGGACGTTGCTCTGTATGCTGAAATACATGCCAGTGGTTTTTTTCCCTTTTGATCCTTCTATATCGTGTATATCATCATCTTGAATGCAGTTTTGAAGCAGAACGCTGTTACATGGCGGACTACCGCTGCTTTCTCCTCTCTGTCTATTCCTTTCGATTAGTATTGGGGCCGCTCCGGTTCACGGTGACTGGCACTCGGTTCGGTGCTGTAAAAGGACCTGCAACCTTGGAATGACTATATGTGACAGAATTTCAAGTTGAGGCTCACGGTGCTGCACGCCTCGCCAGCAGAGTTAAAGTCAAAATCGTAAGCGGGTTGATGCAGGGAACTGCAACGTGACGGCAGAAATTTACCATATCGATAACCAAACTGGCTGATGGAACGTGGAGGGGTATACAGGTGGACTATACAGTGGACAGCGTATATCATCTTTGTTGTCGGGCGCACAGCAAAGAGCCACCTCGCCTGGCGGAACTAACTTCGACCCGACCATTCTTCCCGGGAACTCATCCGCCTTCTCCCCTTCTGTCGTAGCCTTTGCAGAGACAGTCCTCCCAGCATTGGCAGATTAATTTAATTGACGCCCGTCAACCCATACGGTCAACTGGTTTCCCCTGACGCCGAGAGTCCCACTTCAGAAAGCGGCAAGCGGCAGAGGCAGACTTTCGGTCTACGCGGTCGACCACCTTTCTCCAACCCACCGGACAATTAATGCCCCCTGCGACCGGCACGCAGATCGGCTTCGACTAAAGAGAAAGTTCCCAGTCTATACCCACCTGCTCTCTTCCCTCCTCTTTCCCCGCCAACCGTTACCTTTATCCTCATGGCCTCAGCCGGGGGCTTGACTCGCCGACGAGGCGGCGGTCGAGCTGCTGGCCCAGAAGACCAAGATGACAGCCGAGTCTCATCGCCTGTCTCGAGAAATAACTCCGCCATGGACAACCGTGGCCCGGAGACCTCGTTCACCGCTGGAGAGAACGGCCACAAGATCGCATTCGACCCCCGCGACCTGAGCGAAACCGAAGAGCGGAGCAAGCAACCAAAGCTCACTTTAATGGAGGAGGTGCTGCTGTTGGGATTGAAGGATAAACAGGTCAGTTGCAAAGGACGAAGGGGGACCGGCTACGTGGTACCTGTACTAGACTCGAGTTGCTGACGTTTTGGGATCTTTTCACAGGGCTACCTGTCCTTCTGGAACGAAAACATCTCCTACGCCCTGCGCGGGTGTATCGTCATCGAACTCGCACTCCGCGGCCGGATAAGCATGCAGAAGGACTCGTCACGACGACGCTTTCCCCTGGCCGACCGCGTGATCGAGGTCATCGACGACACATTGACCGGGGAAGTCTTGCTGGACGAGGCGCTGAAGATGATGAAATCTAGCGAGAAGATGAGCGTGAACTCCTGGATTGATTTGATGAGCGGTATGGCTGCCCTCTTCCCCTCCGCCATGATCGTGGATAGATCTTGCGACGTGAGCCCAAGCTGACCGGTGTCCCACCACCAACAGGCGAGACGTGGAACTTGATGAAAATCGGGTATCAATTGAAACAAGTGCGCGAGCGGCTGGCCAAGGGTCTGGTGGACAAGGGAATTTTGCGAACTGAAAAACGAAACTTCCTCCTCTTCGACATGGCAACCCACCCCGTTGCCGACGGCGGTGCCAAGGACGACCTGCACCGTCGCGTGCGTAACATCTGCAGCAACCGCACGGTGATTATCCCTCCCAGCCCGTGGCTCCCCGAGGACTCCGAGTTCCGTTACCTTCGCACCGTGACAATGGTCTGCGCTGCATATGCGGCCAACGTGTTGGAGAATGCTCTGGTCACTATGAGCCATGAGGCACGTGAGAGAGCATTTGCTCAGGTGGATGAGCTGCTGGCAGAGTACTCGCAATACCCCTTTGCTCGGCGTGTAGGTGGCTCGCAGGCGATTGGAGCCAACCTGGCCCAGGCCATCAACGACGAGGCCAACAAGAACAAGGACCGAGAGCTCCAGTTGGAGGTATGTCTTTCCTTCACACTTATGGCCCGAAACGGGTACTAACTCTATCTGATTAGATTGTCGCCGCATGCTTGAGCGTTTTCACCAGACTTGATTCTTTACTTTAAGCGGATTGTACCGTGTTGGTTCTAATACATTGTCCTTTTTTCTGCTTCTCATCATCTTTCCACCTTCCTTCTCCCACTGCCGTGGTCTCTCCCTGGCCCAAGGAGACTCGATTTTCACTCTGTTCGCTCATGTAGTTTGTCATCATGTGGATTGGGGATTTGGAAGAGCGTCTTTGATATTGCACCGTCGCGTCAAAACTCTTTTATTGTACGGGATTCCTTATGACCTTGATCTACCTTTTGTGCTTCGAGACTTTCTTTTTGACTTTCTGTACTCGCTCGTTATCCGAGTGGGAATGATTCATACCTTGGAAACGATGGCTTCGTATGTGGGCGCCGTGCATGTCTTTTCTGACCGTTTGAGATGATGTCCGTTTCGAAGACGTGCTGATCAAGGAAGATTCACCGATCGCTGCAGGGTTCAGTGCATATTTTCCAATTGAATTCTTCACGATACCAACTCTATCATTATTATAGAAGATGTTGCAGTCGGTACGGCGGGCACTTTCTTGCCTGTGTATCTCAACACAACCACCGGTTTAAACTAGCTGACGACCATAATGACACCCTCGCGATACGCCTGTCAGCTCTACTTTTCCATGATCAATGCGCTCGACTCCTACGATTTGTGGCAATGCTGACCTAAGTTCGGCCATACGTCAACATTAGGGCATCGCCGCGATGTATGCATAATGGCGGGTGATGGCAAGTCCATTCCTCTTTCTCCATTGAATTCCTCGTTCAGGCTAGAATAAAGGACCAAGTTCATTCCCATCATGGTTGTTCATCTAACCCCCTCGTTTTCGGCCATGTCAGATCCTACGAGTGACGCGATGAACAGGCCGGACTTCTATACCAGAGCCACGTCCTCGTCAAACGTCAAGCCGGGCAAACCAGGAAAGCCATGGTCTTCAACAATGAACGAACAAACATTCGTTCCAGTGTCAATGCGAGCACTCTACTACTCCGTGGTACCGGAGGCCACACCAGACGATAGCAGCGGAGACACCACTGCGTCAATCATAAGCCCCAAAACCAAAGCTTCAAACCCGGAGCCGATAGCAAACCTGATACTGGATACCGAATTCCCAACCCCGCAGCCGTCACCGCAGCAATACCTCCTGAAAGTTCAGACGGCAGCATTCTGCCAGGACGAGCTTCGCCTAGCTAACGCCCTCAACCCACGCACCACATCGCCGAAGATTCCACTTCACAGCATCTGCGGGACAGTAATCACTACGCCAACAGCAGATCACGAACGTCCTGAAGGCCCGCGATTCAAAATAGGCGATCAGGTCTTCGGTGTAATTAGTTACACCCGCGATGGCGGCGCAGCAGACTACGTTATCGCCATCGAGGACGAGTTGACCCTAAAACCTAGCAACATCTGCACCGGCGAAGCAGCAGCACTGGCTCTGCCTGCTCTCACTGCATGGCAGGCGCTTTTCCGATATGGTGGTGTAGACCCCGATGCACCTCCTCAAATCAACGGATCTGAGGAGAACAGCAACGGTAATGGCAACACCCATGAAAAGAAACCAGAAGCTTGGCTTTTAGATGAAATTGGCAACGGCAACATCAACGTCAACGTCAACGTCAACAACAATGCCAATGGACGAAACGCCTTCCGACACTCGATAGGCAGTATCAAGAACCACCTGAACAAACGAGGCTTTTCAAATTCAAGCGGCAGCAGCAAGCCCCGGCGACAAAGCAACTCAATCAGCCATTTCAACGCCCAGACCCAAGAGCGCCTGAACGGAAATCGCAACGGAAAGGGCAGTGCGAGTATAGCCAATGGAGTCCCCGAACAGCGCTTCGACGAAGAACACGCCGGGAATCCTCGACTGAACGCACTCCTCCCAAAAAGCAAAGTCGAACCTCTGCGCGTGCTCATCACCAACGCCCGCGACAGCGAAGTAGGTCGCCTCGCCGTGCAAATGCTACGAGCAAAGAAGCTTTTCACCACCGTGCGGCCGTGGGTCTGCGTCACCTGCTCGCCGGCAGAAGAACGCATTGTGCGAGGGAGCTGGGATGTGGACGGGGTAATCGTGATCCCGCACTTACCAGCCGAGAACGAATGTGCCATTGGAGCTGAATTCCGGCGTATGAGGTGGGATCCCGTTCATCTGGTGCTGGACTGTACAGGTGGCGAGGTGTTTCGGCAAGCCCATTTCGTTGCTAAGGACTACGGGGTTGTCCTTACGGCTGTTGATCCGCGGCCGGCGCTTGTGCCTGAGAAGGCGGATGAGCAGGATGTGCTTGGGAGAAGAAAGAGGGGACTTCGAAGTAGGTTTGTCCCTGTGAATCCTGATTCCAAGGCGTTGGAGAGGATTGTTGAGTTGGTTGAGGAGCACATGGTTCGTGGGAGAGAGGAGCAGGTTGTTGACTTGGTTAGCGCGGGTAAGTTGCTTGAGGCTGGTGCTGCAGGTCTTGCTGGTAGCCGACGGGGTGGGATGATTGTTGTGAGGGTTAACCCGTGATTTAGAAGTTTTGTGGACTGGTAGATTTGACGGAAGTATAAATTGTGTTATGGGCAGGAATCGCCCGTGCTATATTCACGAGAGGCAAGAAAACTATACAGACAGCAAATGAGTTGGATATCTACAGCGCTAGGTCCTCCATTCCCAGTCCGTCAACAAAGTCATAAAGCTCCTGGGTATCCTCAAAGACGGTCCAAGCTTCAGCGGGTATATCCTTGAAAGCCTTTTCGAATCTCTCAGGCTTATTCTTCTCTTCCATGTGACACACATTTGTTACCTTGCGGATGATGATTGCATGAATCCACCCCGGGTATCGATGGTACATCTCTGCGTATGCCTCAGGGTCCTTCTGAGTAGAATCACCGATGCATAGAACACGACGACGCGGGAACCAGCGCCGGATCTTCTCCATCCGGTCCACCTTGTACTCCTGCGTCTTCTCTGTGAAAGACTTGATAAGGCCGCTGATGTCCATCCAGGAGTAGTCGCGTAGGACTAGTGTGCCGGCGCAGTAGTGCTCATGGAGGAACTGGTGCAGGAATGGGTAGAGGTTGTATGGTGATGCCGAGAGGTAGAACCAGGTTGGGTCTAGCTCGGAATGCACATGACGATAGAACTCCGGCATGCCGTCGATCGGCACCGGCTCCTCGGCGAAGGTGGTGCGAAGAATGCCGGTGGGTTCCATCGTCATGGTGCGCTTGATCGTGTCGTCGATGTCCGAGACGACAAGCCAGCCTGCTGGTGCAGCGAAAAGTGTTTCTGCTGTTGCTGTAGGCTGATCGTTGAAACTTTGAATTGAGGCACGTACGACGGCACCATCTGCGACTCCAAATCCATCCAGGTCAACGGACTGGCTGATGATGCCGTTGCGGTCCGAGGGGCCCAGGGAGTGGGACTGAGCTGATCCATCGATCTCCAAGTCCACGGTGACGGTGCAAAATGGAGTGACCTGGTCGAGGAAGGGCTGCACACGCTTCTCAATGTTTGCACGTGCGATCTTGTCGCCAGGATTGTCGTTGCCGTCCTCACCATCCAGGCCGAGATGGTCAGCGATTGCAGCGACTAGTTTGCCGACATCTTTGCGACCATCCGCGTGGAAAATGCAAGCGACGACTTCGGTTTGCCATGACTGCAGCGGGCTACCGTCTGTTTCATCGTCAAGCGGCTGATAAGCTGTGTTGTCGAGCAGCCACACTGTATTCTTGCGCGGGTCCGCCGCATGGGACAATGGGGACTTGGGGCCCAGGATGGACGAAAAGAAGTTCAAAAAGCCCGAGCCACGCCTTTCGGGTGCAGGTGGCTGTTGGACTGGGTCTGCGGCTCCATCTTCGCACTTGTGTTCAGGGGATGCAGAGCCGTTGGCCGGTGAATGCGCCATAGCGGTACCGGCCCGGATCGGGAAGACTGTTTACAGTTACTTCGACAGGACCTTGACAATGCGGAAAGCTGACGGATATCAAGCCGGGCAGAAATCGGCGTTGAAAAAGATCGACCGAGCAGTTTCCCCGCTAGCGCTACCACATGTGGGAAGAAAATTCGCCGTGGTTCATCAGGGGAAGCGACGGTGATCATATAGCGCGGGACGATCGCCTTTAGCGTCCAGCTTCACACTCCGCCCCGCCTGATCGCCTTTGCCCAGCGTTACCTAGCATTACCCACTAGAAGATTGAGCAGTGAATATGGGGGGCGCACAGCCCTTGCGAGTGATTTTATCATTCGATGAAGTCAGGCGAACCGAGCGGAGGCTCAACCCGTGTCCCGGTCACCCCGTCATGGCGCTTGTACCCTGGCAAAAGCCCGGGCTATGTACATGACTAGCAATAGATGATCGATGATGGATTCAAGAGGTAAAAAGCCCATTCATAACTGGCGAGCAGGTGTCATCTACCTTGTCGGAGCACCTGGCCACTGTAGAGTGCGGTATACAGAGGAGACCCCACGCGTGCATAATCTTGCAGGCGTCGATCAGGCGTCCTGTTGAATCCGCCACCAGCAATTTGAAAAGACAATAGAAACGAAGAAGTCACGGACCTTGATACGTGATGTTTAATGACAGCGACAGAGAACTGCCCTCGTGATGTCCATGATACCCTCGCACGTGATACCCATATGACAATGTCTCTCGCAATTCATTCTCTTCTTTACATCTTCCCTGTACGAAAGAAAGAATTGTAAGCTATCTGATCTCAATGAGACATTTTATATTGCTCTAAATATCTCCCTGGCCTGTTTCCTGGCCTTGGTTTACTCCTGGATATATCAGTTTGGAGGGGCTCAGATCAGCATGTACAGGGATGGAAGCCAGGCCTTGGAGATGGCTCTCCTTCAACCAGTGACGGTATTCAGAAGGGCAAATCCGGAATTGAAACATTCAAGTAGAAGGGTGTCCGTATATAGTTGTGTACCTTGCATTAGTTTAACCCTATCCAATCCCCCGCCACGGGCCCGCCATCTCCCTTGCCTCCATACCCTCCAAAGGAGCCTCGCCTTTTTCAACAATGCAGGGTATCCTGGAACCTATCCCTCTGATGGAAAGTATAATTACCCCCACCTAAATATGCAAATGCCCACAGCCAGTCTTCTTCAGGCACATTGTCTAATATCTAGATACATCAATTTCAAGCTCTCCCGAGGTCTACTTCAATGCCTCCGAATATCTACCCCCTCATACCATCAGACTCCATAAACAACTTCCCTCTCTTACGATCTGACTATTTTCATCCCTCCTGGCGACAACCGAGCGTTAGGCCGCGACGCAGACAGAAGCTCGTGCTTCCCAGTTACAATGACCCGAACCCACTGGTCTTTCAATCAACTGCACACTCGTTGACACATGCACGACCGTTGCACTGTGAATTTGATTGTCCACGATGTCAGAGACACAGGGTTACCGGCCACCGATCGGAGTGTACTAGACAAAAACTACGTGGCGGAACAAGAGGTCTTTGAAGATAGGACGCGCTCGACGCGAACCTTGAAAAACCACTTTGTTGAGAGAAGATATGGGATTGTGGATGTGCCCCGGAAACAGCACGGCCTTAAATTATGGATGATTCATATAGAGGGCCAGACCAATCTTTGCTCCAAGATGAGCCGCGATGGTGGCTCTTTTCCAAGCAATAATTCGTTTGTTGGCCATCCTGCAGAGCGCTGCGCTCAGCAGCCCCAAAGGTCGTGCGGCGGAAGCGAGGCTCTTCAATGCGTTCATGTCCCGGTGGATCTAGGTCATGCCATCATGCCATCCCAATCAGAGGATTTTATGAATGGAGCGCCGTTGCGGCCAGAGCATGTCCTGCTTTCTCGCAAACCAGTTGTATTTAATCATGGAGTCAGTTACCCAAAGAGATGCATGAATTCGTATGTTCCAAGTCGTTAAACGTAGCCAATTACTTTTGATCGCGTTTCCAACACCACCCTCACCATCTTTTCGGTGCAGAGATCTCAGTCCTTGAGAACGAAGCAGTCACGGTCTCCTTTCCCCGACGCTGCTGGATCTCTTTGATCCCAGTCCGATCCGTCACCGTAGTCGCATTGATGATGTTGTCAAAGTCGTCGTCCTCGCTTCCTGCAGAGCCAGACTCGCCATCCGAATCCACATATGCAGGCTTTGGTCTTTCGATTTTCTCCGGTTGGTGTTTATCCTCGGCAGATGGATTCTGGAATGCCTTGGAGTTGAGAATCTTCTGTCGAATCTCCGCCATCTGATCCTCATCTTCGGAATCGTCGGAGATTGCGAATGGGTCTTTGTCGACTTCATCTTCACTTTCCCCTTCTTCACTGCCTTCCTCCCCGCTCTCATCGTCGTCCTCATCATCATCCTCGTCGTCTGAGCCGTGCTTGGCGGGAAGGCGGTTGGTGTTTCCGGTTGTCCAGATATCGTTAGTTCCCTCTGCGCGGCTGTCTTCGTACTCTTGTTCGATTTTGGCGAGCCACTCCTCCTCTGTCCTCTTCATATCTTCTTCTGTCTCACAGCTGGCGTACCGTTTAAAAAGTTCGGAGTTGATCTCAAGGAATGCCTCGCCGTATCTGAAGTTCTTGAGAACGTCCTTTGCCCATTCTTCGTGTCCACAGATACAGAAGCAGGCGGCTAGGGCTTCGACGCAGTTCAATCGCCATGGCTTGCCGTAGTTGACTGTATTGGCCGCAATGAGGTAGGGTACTATAGACAAGAAGTAATTAGCTGGGGGTTCTTCTAAATCAGATACTCAGACCGGAAAAAACATACGCAGTCGTTCGCATTTGCCGCCGATCCGCGACCAAGGCACTTCCTTGACTCGAACCCAAGAGCATTCCACCACTGCAGCGCCGTACTGCTCCATGAGTTCACGGTCGGCGGGAGAGATGACCTTCTTCGCATTGGGCCTGTAAGTCAAGCTGTTAGTACATGCTATATGACAAATGAAGGGTATGCATACGAGACGATCACACCAGGGAATCGCTGGCCGATATGAAGCTCCCGCATTAAACCGAGCTTCATCAATCGCTTCCCTGAGCATCTCTTAGGATCACAGTGTCCCATGTCCCAGCAGGCGGCTTTGAAGGCCGGCCGCGACGAGCCTGCAGCATCTTCGCCATCACCGCGGGGCTCCGGTCGCGGGCGGGGGTTGGAGAACTTCTTTCCTCCTCGGGAGAAGTTGTCTTTTTTGTGGCGGACCATAATGATGGATATAGACAAGCAGAGAGACCGGAAGTCAAATGGCTGTAACTGTAGCTGTTGCGGTTGATTGAAGAGTAAAAAAAAAAAGTGGCCAAGTACACGTGCGAAGTCTCCGCTCTTCCAACGGATAGGAAGGGAACTCGGGGGCGGTGCCTCCTCCCGCGAACATCGAACAACCCCAAACACCCCACTCCTTGTATATCGCAATCTTCATACCCTCTTCATCCTTTCCTTCAACCGCCACCCTGGAGGCTGCTTCCGCACGCATGGCGGCTAGGGACCGCTTCGGTACCTATGCTGAGCCGGGGTTATCGCCGCTGCAGCGGGCCATTCGTGAGCTTCCCCCCCTCTCTCAATGAGATTCCACCCCGGGGACTGGTTTGCTAATATCCGGTATTAAGGCAATGCATGCGATCCACAGAACTACGAGCCGAACCTAGCTCTGAACCTCGAAGTCGCGGACATGATCAACTCCAAGAAAGGCAATGCGTGAGTCGGATCGGCCACGACACATCTGCGCGCAATGCTAATAATCTGTTCTCACAGACCTCGAGAAGCTGCCGTCGAGATCGTCCATCTCATCAACTCTCGTAACCAGAATGTCGCGTTGTTGGCGTTGGCGGTATGTTTGTGCAATCGCATATGACAGCTGGCGCGGAGATGACTGACCATACGGGAATATAGCTCCTCGACATCTGCGTCAAGAATTGCGGATACCCCTTCCAACTGCAGATTAGCACAAAGGAGTTTCTGAATGAATTGGTCCGACGGTTCCCCGAGCGGCCGCCTATGCGAGCGTCTCGAGTCCAGCACCGCATTTTGGAGTCGATCGAGGAGTGGCGGCAGACCATCTGCCAAACATCGCGCTACAAGGAGGACCTAGGATTTATTCGCGATATGCACCGGCTGTTACTCTATAAGGGCTACGCGTTCCCAGAGGTGCGCCGCGAGGATGCGGCTGTCCTCAACCCCAGTGACGTATGTGTTTTCGGTCTCGGACATTGGTCTCACACAGCTACTGATCATACTCTAGAACCTGCGCTCGGCGGAAGAGATGGAGGAAGAAGAGAAAGAAGCGCAGTCTGCCAAGCTGCAGGAGTTGATTCGGAGAGGCACTCCCGCGGACCTCCAGGAAGCCAACAGGCTGATGAAGGTTATGGCGGGCTACGACAACCGACACAAGACTGACTATCGCGCAAAGGCAGCAGAGGAGGTGTCCAAGGTGCAACAGAAGGCCAAGATTCTTGAAGAAATGTTGCAGAGTCAGCAGCCTGGCGCGGGCATGCCTGAAGGCGATGTCTTCGAGGTTAGTACACGAGTCGGTGATCCACATTAGCATTTTGCGGCTGACGAATCTGTTTAGGAACTGGCTGCTGCTCTTCAAAGTGCTCATCCTAAGATCCAGAAGATGTGTGAGGAAGAGTCGGAGGACCCCGAAGCTGTCCACAAGCTACTCGAGATTAACGACAGCATACACCGTACCATTGAGCGGTACAAGCTTGTTAAGAAGGGTGACCTGGATGCGGCGTCTAGAATCCCCAAGGGTACATTGGGCACGACGACCGGAGTGTCCACGAATGCCAACAATGAGCTTTCGTTGATCGATTTCGACCCGGAGGAGCCCAGCTCCAACGGTAACGGCAACGGCGAGGCATCAGGGCAAGGTGGAAATGCCTTGGAGAATGACTTGCTCGGACTCTCCCTTGGTGACCAAGGCCCTGTTGTTGGCGGTGGGATCTCACTGGGAGGCTCCAGCAGTAAGTGCTCGATGACAAGCAGCTCCCCATTTCCCATTTGATCTCTAACAACAATCTCAGTGGGCTTCCCTCCTATGTCCTCAGGACAGTCTCCGCCTGCCGCGACTCCCCAGTCCATCCAGCAGGCGCCCACGGGATTCAAGCCCAATTATGATATCCTTGCGTCCTTGAATACATCTCGTCCTGCTTCTCAGTCTTCTACGCCCGTGCCGGGGGCATCGCCTCAAGCCCGAACCACAGCCACCCCACCGCAGGCGGCGGATCCATTTGCATCGTTGGTGTCTGCCAGCCCTCGGCCTGGTACCACTTCTTTCCAAGCACCGCTTCAAACCCAGCCCGCACCGGCCTCCTCGTCTCTGTTGGACCTGGCGGGCCGTACGGCTACCCCTCCCCAGCAGCCTGCTGGAAAGGCCCCCGCCGCGGAGGATGACGATTGGAACTTTGCTTCCTCACTTCCTCAGAGCAGCAGTCTTCCCATGATGAACAAGGTGCAGGTATTGAATTCGCAGCTGCGCGTTGACTTCATTGCCCGTCGGGTGCAGACTGCGCCCCGCCAAATTTATATTCAAGCCTCTTTCTCCAATGCGACCAGCCAGCCGATCAGTGAGCTGCACTTCCAAGTTGCAGTAGAAAAGGTAAATTTGACTCGGCCCTCGTCCTCATTCGTCCACGAGGACACCTTGCTGACCGTCTCTAGTTATACACGCTGCAGCTTCGTCCGCAATCGGGTCGAGACATCGCTCCGCAGCAGCAGAACGGTGTGCAGCAGGACATGGCCCTGGACGGCGTTGACTCGGGCAAGGGCGGCTCGGTGAAGATTCGGTTCAAGGTGTCCTACAAGCTTGGAGCCGAGGCCCGCGAGGAACAGGGCATGGTGCCACCCCTGGGGATTGCCTAAGGGGTCGCGGCAAAATACGACATGTGTGACATGTGTGCCTTCGCGTGCGCCTCAATGCCAAGCCGAGGTGGCATGATGTGAGACTCTGGGATGCACAGCCCCATTTCTCCATTCTTATCGGCCTACCCGGAGACCACTTTTTAAGTTGACCGATTTGGTTTAGGGTCGATGGACCGCGTCCGGGGCTCGGTAGTTCCTGATTGCCCCTTGCAAGTCTCGCTCGCCTCGGCGTTGAAGACTCCTTTCCCCTCGTGTTGTGCTTTGAAACTTTGAAACTTAGCGTCCCTTCAAGCTGTTGATAAAGATCTCATTGTGAACCCCAAACTGCATTGCTTCGATACAACGATTCATATCTGCAATATCAAATTCCTCTTGCGAGTGCCCCCAACAACCGACGTCCGATCGCGTAGTCTTAATAGACTACCTAGGTTCTCTCCCTACCTAAAGTTCACAAAGTCAAGTAACCCTACCTATAAAGTTTACAAAGTCAGGTTACCCTACCTAAAGTTCGCAGGGTCAGGTTACCTCGAAGGTAAAAACGACCTGATACGGTTAGATCTCGCAACTCTATCGCACCATGGGGGCGGCGTGCACTGTGCACAACAGGGCCCGAAACAAGTGCGACGAGATGTACCACGGGAACACGGACCACCGGTGCATTTACCAGGAACAACCCATTCGAAAAGCATGGCCGCTCCTAGGAAAGCGCGATGCCGATCATTGTCGATCCGGCATGATCTGCCCCGGGATGTCGGAAATTCTCCATCGGGAAGATGAAGGTTGGACAAGAATCGTGTAACGCCAGGCTCGCGCGGAATTGAGAGCTGCGAAATCCGATCTGTCGTCACATCTCTTCCTTGGGCCTTAGTCATTCTCCTCGGCACTTCCTCATTCTCGCAGAACGCAAATTTTGGTTCAAATAGGGTTACTGTGGGTAGACCCGTGGTGGTTGCCGAGGCAGATTGGTGCGTAGCCCCGGCGATTCTCCGCAGGCCGAGAACTCCTGAGGACCAGTCGTTTGTGGTGGGGCGCCGATGCGACTGAGACAGTCGTTGATTGAATGATTTCTCAATTTTGCAATATCTCGGTAGTGTAGACTTTATCCCGCCGTTGCCGTTCTACCGTGCTACCGTGCTACCGTGCTACTGCACGACTCCCGCGGAATTTCGGGCAGATGGCATTTGGTGATCGTCGGTGGAGATTGGGCGATCTACTGTACAGATGTACCGCTTCTCCACCTGAGGCTCACTTTAACCGCTACCGGGATTACTCGATACAGTACAGCTTTGCGAGGGAGCAGTACCATCCACTCGTCTTCATCTCGACCTGTGATGATTTGTTACTACATGTTGATACCGAAAAATGATCAATCTCTACAGTCCATATGAAAGTGCGCTTCGTCCCGCTCCTTAACAGTGCGAGTGGCGAAGTCCGACGTACTCGATGCGGTTTAGATCCGGCCGGGGCGATAAGGCGATAAGACTTCCGGTCCGAGGACTATGGGAAGCACCAGGGGTGGCGAACCCGACGGACGAAGACCGCGGACAACGGATAGGATGAGCAAAAAGAGGGGGGGGGTGGCGGGCATCTGATAGGGGATTTCAACAGGGCGCGTCTAGATCCTGCACTTTCGATGCAGAGGCTGAAATACCTCTATCTGGTGCTATATCGGGCCAATCATAATCCTTATGCTGGCCCGGTGGATGAGCCCGTATTCGAGGCCAGTCTAGCGTAGATTTTTATACACCTGTTTAGCCTTCAGAAAGGGTTGATTCTATGGATCGGGATTTCTCTTATTCTTGGCCTCCAAAGCGTGTAGGAAGAGGGGGGTAAAAGGTTTTCCACCTGCCGAATGGGGGCAGGGTACCGGGTTCGAGGATCGGAGATTTGGAATGTCTCGTCGGGACCAGCGCGAGGTCGTCAAGCGAAGACCCGAATATGAGCTCATATTCGGAGCCGATCGCCGTTGCAGATCGACACGAGAAACCCCCGGGCTGCAGGAACGGGGATAGTTACAGATCGAAAACTCTGCAGTCACGTGTGGTGTGACACTGGAGGAAAGACCCAGAGTCGAGAAGAGCAGGGGAAGGTAAAGAAGGAATGAGTACTCCGTAGTCTGCGTTAGGAAGCGGGTGCAGTCGCATCGCGGGGGAGTAGTGCCCCCACCGCGTTGCTAGGTTCTAGACCTCTCCGGTGCAGACCTGTCTATACCCTGGAATCATTTTCCGCCAGGCTACGGGGCTACGGGGCTATGGGGCTACCGCGCAGTCTGCAGAATACTCCGGACTTTGCAAAAGGGAAAGCTCGTATTGGGTGGCGCTGTCGAACGGACTCGCCGTAGGGGCCCGCAGCAGAACAGGCCGGACGACCATGGCTCAACCCCCGAACGAGACTTTCCTCGGTGTCCAAACTACGATCGCTGACGGACCCATGGACCATGGATCTGCTCTCCAACCTTCGCCTTGGCCTGACAGCTTTCCCCCCTCCCTCCGGCTGAAACTTAAACTCGGTGGGTATTTAGTATGCCCCTCTCCCCCCCCCCCCTCTACCACTTGGGACCATAATTCGTGCTCATCCTTACCAGGTAGAGCTTTTGATCACATTTTAATCATGGGATCGCCAGAACTAGATCAGGATATCTCTCCTATCCCCCGTTCTCGGGAGGAGAACCAGGAGAGGTAAGGAACTCCCCCTCTGGATGGCGTCCAAATTTACTGACCGATGTCCAGAGCTTTTATTGCTGCTTCACGGCGCAAAGACCGCAGCTTAGATGCGCGGTTGGAATCTGCCAACCGGGCTTCTATGCTTCATAAGAAGCGCACCGGCAAGGCATTCCATATCACCAAGGAGATTGTCGAGAAGGAAGCCATGTACGAAGAAGTCGACGAGCGGTATCAAGAGAAGCGCATTCGCATGCTGCAAGCCCAGAACATGCAGATTGAAGAGCAATTCCACCGCCATCTGCTCGCTGCATTTGCCGCTCGCGCCAATAGCTCGTCGGCTTCCTCCATTGCCAGCCGTCGATCGAGCATGGCCCCGCGCGCATCGATCGATGGTGGCAACTCCCGCAAGATGAGTCTGGATTTGTCCAACTTGCGGACCCCCTTCCCCCAGGGAATGGATTCAGGCTCCATAGCCAGCCCCGCGACCACCGGCCCCGAAGGCTACCTGATGTCGCCGACGGCCACTTTCGACTCCAATGCCCAGTCCTTCATGCCCTGCATGGATGGCTCGGACGACTCCCCATCCGCCTACTCGGGCATGATGACTTCCGCATCGGCTGCGCAAATTCCGGCCTATGTCACGCAGAGACATACCCCGGCACCCACCTGGCCCGCCCAGATGACGCCGTCGTGGGCTATGCAACAGCAAATTCCCACCCCGAGCCAGACACCGACCGATGCCTCAGCAGTGCACATGTGGCAGCAGCAGATGATGCAACAAGCACAGATGCCGACGGACGCAGCGGCCGCCATCCAGATGCGCCAGTTTAGGGATCGGCTCGCCTCTGCCCCGGAACTACCCGTCCAGCACCTCGCTCCTCAACCAGCTCCCGCTGCGTCCATTTCCGGACCCAGTGGCGGCGGCCACCACTGCCACTCGCGTGGGAAGTCGCAGCCCAGTAATAACATCCACCATCTAAACCTGCTTACGCAGGGAACACATCTGGCACAGCTGGTTCCCTCGGGAACCAGCTCGCCCAGGATCGAGGCGTTCTCTGCAGAGACTCAGTCCACCCCTGACTTCTGCCCCACGCCCAATACACCTCTTTCCCCGACCGCCGTGGGGACTGTACAGGCAGATCCTTCATTCAAACCCGAAGGTGACGGTGTCATGGTCTCCCACGAGGAATTGGATCCGGATTTTAATGAGTTCAGCCAGTTTGCTCTGGGACTGGGCAACTCGAATCTACAGGAGCGGGATTTCAACGGGTTCGACGAGTTTGTCGCTCTTGATGACTTTGGTACAGTAACCTGCTGATACCTCCCTCCTTTTTCTTTTTTCTTTTTTGTTTTTTTTTTTGGTTCTACTTTTACTTTTTGATTCCCTGGGGACAATCTACCCCGTTCTTACTGTATATGACGCTTTGGCTTGTACATTGCTGCTGTACCATACCTATTCCCTTTTCACGTTGAATGTTCTTTAACTTTCTTTAACGTATGACCGGGTGGATCTGGATGACCAAGGCGTTGCGGCTTTTTTTTTTCATCTCTGATGGGCACACGTTGTGTTCCAGGGTTTCACGGCTCCACGTTGCTATGTACTTTCCACTGTCACGAGAGACGAAATACCGAACAATCCACAAATCCACAAATCCACAGCAGAACCTTCTTTACCTAGTGAAGAGATTTTCAGGTCCCAGTGTGTGGTCCAGCGTTTCAACGTTGCATCATGCCGCAAACAATTAATTCCTATTCCGGCGAAATTAAACCTGACCCCTCATGGGGCACTTGCACCCACTCAGTCCAATGCCTCCCACCCATTGCCCCTCCAGTCCACGGGCCGTGCCAGCTACAGCTGAAAGTTACGGAAGCTACTTTGGGAGCTCCGGCCCAGACTTACATAGCTCAGATCATTGCCCGGAACTGCATGGCTGGGAGAACCAAAGCTTAACCCGTGTCACACACGAGGACAAGCGCACCAACCACGAGCAGGGATCAAATCCCTATTAGAACCCATGTTAGAAAAATGAAATCAGTCCCCCACTCCATGACCAAAGTGTGACATGAGATGTGATCTAAGAGGCTGAGTCCATGGGCAACCTGGCTCGCAGGCGAGCTCCAAATTCCACATTCCACATTCAGCTCTGGTTAAGAGCCAATGGAGGAGCTGACTCTCGAAACCCCCTCTCTCTAGAACTTAGAACTCTCGTCGGAATGCCTTCCCCGGTTGGACATTTCTTGCGACGGGATTGAAGCCCATGATTTCAAATCCCATGTGAGGATCAGCACTGGCCAGTGCGCTATGAGGTCAGTGCTGCACCTTCCCGCGTGCCTTGCAGAGGCAAAATGAGGCGCTCCCGGCAAAATGGGTCTGGGTCGGCATTTTGATTCGTGATCTACGGTGATCAACGGTATGGAGCTGTATCCCCCTCGGATATCTACGAATGTTGGTTTTTTTTTTTTTTTCAACCGTTTCGAATTACTTTGGAAATTTGAAACGTCGGAGTAACGCTGCACTCCAAGTTCCATGTGATCCTCTTGATATATTCAAAAAAGGTACAACTAGACCGGCATGAAGCGAAGAAAAAGGCTGAATTGCGGGGTTAAGGTTGCAGCTCCCGCACGGACCACACCGCATCGGGGACTCAATGCCCACCCGCGATCCACGGCTTCAACGGCTCGGCATCTGCGCTTTCGGTTGGTGCTGCTAAACGGTGGACCTCCCGGTGTTCCATGGGTCGCTCTCTGCCACCGCGACCCCGTGCACGCATGCGGCCTGCGGATTGGTGTCGTGCCCTTCCCCGTCTGGGACCTACCTCTCCTTTGTGGACGAGGGCGTGAGATGGGATGGAAAGGACTTTCCTAGGGGTCGGGGAACGAAGCTGTGGTGGTGCGGTGGTGGTATGATTTACGAGGGCCTGGAGCGGTCCAAGCGGAGGCTTGTCCTATGGAGGCTGCAGGTATACGCTACTTGGTTGCTACGAGGTTGGAGATTGTGTATTATAGATGGTAGATTGCGCTCGATGACAGTCTAGACCCGCCTCCATCAATTCACCACTATCATCACCGCGCAGCAGATGGTACATCGAGAGTCTACAACTCCCAAAATATACGGATACATCTCGAGAGATCTTCTAGTCGACGGTGCCAAATCCCGAATCCCGAATCACGCCAAGTCACGCGTGCATTCTTACATCAAAGGTTGGGAGGCCATATCGCGATCACGCCACGGATACCAAATCGAGCCAAAAGCCCCTCCGAGAACGATCGTCAGCCAACCAGATGGCCGATGCTGGCCAGGGGAGCTTTGCCTAACCTCAACGGCGGGTCGATCCAACCTAGTGTGGCGGAGACAAGCGAGAGACCGGGCTGGACTGGTGGAGACAGGGAGTGGGCGATCATTTGGCTCGTGGGAGGATTTCTCCGGCGTTTTCGTTTTCTTTTCCCTGTGGCTGAAAACTGCTTGCCGCCAGTGAATGACGGGAGTTGCTATCAGCTTGTCTTCATTGCTGGACTCTATTCGCTCGCTTTTGCGTTGGTCGTGCTTATCGAGCGGAAATACGGGTCCTACGGTCCAAGGGTCCAACTCGGCATGATTCCTTATTGCAAGTCACAAAGTCCAGGCTTAGTCAAGTGTTACACATGAACACTCATCAAGTCCCACACTACGTATCAGGGTGACAAATGATGCGAGCGAATAACCACTTCGAATCAGAACGTGAACGCTTCCCCCATCCGGCGATAGGGTTCAACCGTCCAACCAGAAACACGCGAGGACAAGCACCGGCTAGTTCCGCCACTCACATTGTCCCTGGCCATAGTCTAGCTCCCTGGGTCATGTGCAGAAGTCATCTGCCCCAGCCCGTAAGGAGTATAGTTTGTCGGACTTAGTCCGCCGGGGGGGAAAGGAGAGGACACAGGTACTCCAAACCCAGCGTAACAAGAAGAACGGGACAAACAGTCGTTGGGCGAGAGGGAGATCTAGATTCACGCGAAACAAGTTACAAGTGACGGCTCGCAAGGAACAGGTCATGATTGGAGCGAGGCAATAACTTCACCCTGAGACTTCCAGGGTTGCACAACGGTGTTCTCAAGATTAGGATATCTCCAAAATCCGTTGAACCCGACGCCACAACGGAGGCCTTTGATGCCGGATAAGGAAACCCATGCGCTCTCGGTAAACACCCGACGTAGATCGTGCAATGGTCCACATGGATGAGGAATCAAGCACCCACTTTGACCTGCCTTGGAAATGAGACTTCAATGGTAGATCGGTGGATTGGTGATCGGTGGGTCGCGGTGGCACCGATCGTCACCGGGATTCGAGGCTGTGGAGGAGTTCTCAGCACCCAAGGTTGGCGTTCACAAAATACTACGACTAAATGCACTAGCGCACAATAGTTCTCCACTGAGGAAAAGATATCCGTGTTATTTGCAGTAGTGAATGGCGGGATCGCCAGAACTAATTGACGAGCCCTCCAGTCCAGAACCCATGGACAAAAACACCAAAAGATAAGAACGCCGAGCGGTGGTGGCAATCGAAATGCATGCTAAACCATGTGACCCATGTGCAAGAACGAGAGGGGTTGGCGTCTATGCCGATGTATGGAAATTGTTTTGTTTTTGATTCCGGGAGGTTTTCGTTTTCCAGCCCTAGTCAACTTCACTCGACCTCGGAAGCAGGATTGCCCTACATGCCGCCTCGGCTGAACATTTCGCGGCCAGCCTCCCCGCTGCGGCGGAATTGCATGCTCGAGGAGCTGCTGCGTCGTCGGCGTCGAGACTCGGCCGGGTCTGCGGGACTGAGGCCCGTGGCCCGGGCATGTAAGTTGAGAATATCTGTCAAGCTGACTACGCCAACCAGGCGTCCTGATAGACGGGCGCCGGGTAAAGAAGAGGCTGGGATCGAAGGTGCGAGAGGGGGTGTAATTCCGCCCGAGTGAGATAATGGACCGTTGCCTGTAAAAGGCTGCGGTAGTGTCGGGAGGTGCGGCATGGCATGGTCAGGGAGCTGTACAGTTGTGGTAGCTGGAGGGAGAGGAGATGGCGGTGGGGACACGGCAGTGTTGGGTAGTGTCGGGCCAGAGTTTGGTGTAGCCAGAGGAACATGTACGGTCGAAGCCGAAGGAGTTGGCGGTCCTGATGACTGTGGGGATAGCGGATCGGTCACCCAGAGCCTGGCCATGTCAGTCATTGTCTTATACCAACCTGTAAGTGCTATCTTACCGATGCGATCGAGTCGCGACGAGCTTTGCAACCGTATGCGCCAGGGTCGAGCTCGGGTTCACATGGAAAACAGGGAAGGAGTCTTGGCCTTCGATCAGGCCGCGGGTGGATAGGATCACAGAGATGAAGTGTGTGCAGGTATTTTGAAGAAGGGGTAATGAAGAGGACCGAGTCAGGAGCTATAGCAGTGATCAATAGAAGCACCAAGCATCTTTTGGCGTGTTTGCCCTGCATACCTTGACGTCTGTAGTAGAGATATTGCCAATCACGTTCATGTGGTTATCCACTACAACAAGCGAAGTAATCCCCTCGGATTCCATGGCCTGAAGGGCTTCACTGAGAGGTTTATCGCCGCTGCAAAGAAACATTAGCAACTATAACAAATTAAGACCGGGTGCATGCTGAGCTCACTTGATAGATATCACATCGTGCGATCCAAGCCGTAGAGCATTCAAAGCTTGTGGGTAAAGCTCATCAATAGCAGGGAAACTGCGACCATTCTCCCACAAGAATTTGACGAGTCGAAATTGACTGAAGATTCCAACCACCTCGTTATCGTTGGATTCTTTGGTCACAACCACACGGTGGACACCACCACCAAATGTTTCGACAGCGGCCAAGACGTTTGCTGTGGCTGGCAATGTGACCAAGCGTTCTTTCTCCATCCCCAAAGCTTTGACATCTTTGAGGGGAATCTTTACTCCCTCACGAGCTTTCTTGGCAAGCTCATCATACGATGCGCGGTGTTCTTCCGCAGGGAAGGTCAATCCGGCAGCAAGAAGGAGATACGTATTGAGGTCGGAATAATCAAATGTAGCGACAGCAGATGAGTGTTCAGGAGACTCGCGAATCAATAGGACCGGGGCACCGGAGTCAATCAGTATCTAAAAGGAAAGTAGAGATTAGTTCTCAATGCGCCGTAAAAGGGACTCTGGGACTCTTACAGTTGTTGCCTCTTCAATTCCCGTGTCCAGTTCTACAAAGCGAAGATCCTCCGGACTGACAAGCTCCCCAATGGAGATCTCTCGCCAGTCCCGACCAACAAAAGCCGGGTCGGCGGTCTTTGGAGGCGGGGGGTTATCGATCAAGCTCTGGAGGGCGGCCTGGTTCAGGGATGGCTGTCGGCGTGCACGCGGCGATCCTGGAGGGCCACGCAGCGTCTCGCTCAAGCTCTGCCGGTGTGAATGGTTTGCAGGAGGCAGATGGGACGGGCGGTGTTGGTTCATGGAAGGGCGGGAGTCTGTACTGCTTCGGGGCGAGGCCAGGCCGGAGCCATTGATGGTGGTTGCAGCCGTGTTGAGGGAGGTGTCCGAACCTTCCCTTGGAAGCTGAGTATCTGACATTTCGGATCAAAGCAGCTCAAGACCAAACAATGAAGAATAGTAATGAAGCTTTGAAAGAGTCAAGGGAGCATCAGGTGATGGACGCGGGGGGGTTGGGCAACCGCCAATCAACGCGCATACATTTCTGACATCATATCGGCTTATGTCACGTTTATGCCTCAGGTGTCTATCGGTTGTATACAATATTCTATTTTCATAGACTACTCATAATGGGACAACGAGACTTTTCGTCAAGTGATTTGACGTTTCCATGCGGTTGAGATGACTTAATTAGCCCGGGGAATAAATTGATCCAGGGCAAGCATTGTTCATTCTTACTGTACATTTTCAAAAGTATATACTCACCGACAAGTGCGGCACAGGTGCGGGACTTTTAGGTACCTCTACGCTGTCGGTCGGCGATCCGCGTCTCCTTGTGACCAAAATCCTCGGCTTGAGTGAGGCCTTGGTATACCACTTTCCAAGATCCTCAAATGAGCCTCATTGGATGCACAATATAGTTTTGGCCCGTGGTGTGAAACGGACACTGCCTTTGTTTTGCACCCACTGTGTATCACGTAATGAACTATGTCGTACATGGCAAATCAGAAGGCCAGAAATTATTACTAGCAGTAGTATTTCTAAAAGATTTATTGCACCTAGAACACAAGCTGTCGTGTCTGATTGCAGGTGGAGTGAGTCCCGACAAGTAAAGCAGAAACCCAAAGGAGAGGAGTTGACTGCGGTGACCAAGATGTTCGGGCGGATACTGGGCAAAAAAAAAAGTTCGTCAAAAAGGAGCGAAGGCGATTTGAACGCCTGACCTTTCGAGAAATTACAGAAAACTGCAATCGAAAGCTCTACCGCTGAGCTATCGCTCCTAGTTTGTGCTTATAATTCAAAAATTAAATCATTTAACATACCTGGTATCACACCGGTTTCATGGCAGCGTGAACTATGTTTTTAGGTTAACTAGGGACACCTTCCAAAAGCCATATCTTGTTTAATAGAAGTATTTATCCCTATTTGAGACTATCAAACATCAATTTGGTTCTCTCAGGTACACACTTTTAAGGGTTTTGGCCAGGCATAGTTCTGCTATGGGGCAGGGTGTCGAAACTTTTGCTGTGTCACTGGACTTGCTGTAAAGACGAAGGCTAGGAATAGCGTCACTATAATCTTAGGGGTTTAGATGAGGCGAACAAGCATATGTACGTTGGCTATGTTCGAACTGGGCGTCGCGTATATTATGTCGTAATTATACTGGAGAAAGAGATATTCTGGGACTTCTTTACTATACTTAGTCAAGCAGTGAGCAGAAATTGATGGGTCTAGTCTCCAGGTCCGCTTCTGTTGATGGAGGATGGGATATAGTTAGGATTTAGAGCAAGCCATGGACGCCGTTACCACCAATGAGCGGGAAGCCAAGGGTGCAAGAAGCCGCTTCCTGGAAGATAGGGTCTTCAGCCAAGCCGGAAAAGCTGCCACCATTTTCCTGGTAGTATTCTGAGCTGCGCAATCTCGCCTGCAGCACCGCGCAGGTATCAGTCCACGCACAGACATTACCCGCAAGGCCTTCAAATAGCGAGTATGGGTCGTCGGGCATGCGGTAGTCTCTGTCAGCGGTTGCAGGCGCGGTGTTGTACGGCCGAGTCTCGCGCGAATGCAGCATGAAAGCCAGGGCCCTCGAGAGGAAGTAATCCGGAGTGAGCTTATTGCCCAAATGACCCTCTGGGAGGTTCGACTCATGGGGTAAATGTAGATTTTCGCAGCGAGCTGAGTGTACAGCTGTTGCGTGGTACTTGAAAGTATCGTGGAGCATGAGCCAGGGCCACCCATTACCGGCAATTCCATGGCAAAGACTACCTCCCTTGGATAGGATCCCCTCTTTCCACACACGGTCGGTGGCCAAATCGATGGCCTGGTCCCACTCGGGACTCCAGTGTTTGCGTGTCAACTTCTCGTTTTTCAAGGCGGTTGCCAGGAGAATCAGGATGCCGGGGCTTCCGTGGCAAAGCTGAACAAGCTCAGTCTGTTGCCCGTAACTGAAGGGAGGAAGTGTCATTGGAAGATGACCGTTGCTGGCAATGGTGAACTTGCAGAGGGCTGTGATAGTTTCCCCGATCACGGGAAGGTGTTCTTCAAGTTCCTCAGGCCTGCATGCGAGCAGGATGGGAAGAATTCCCGCTATAGATTGAAACCATTGTTAGGAATATTGACGTTCAGTTGACTCCACACTTGATTACTCACTGATTCCATGGACACTGATACATTTATTAGTACTATATGGATATTTGTTGGACGAATTGGGTTACTCACGCTCCAAGGCAGTAGTATCCTTCCATCCAGACGTACATCAGTGGGTGAGCATCCTGGTCTCCATTTTTTTGAATGAAGTCATTCGAACCTTGTCGACCAGCGTCAATAATCACGCCGAGCAAGCCAGGGATCTTTTCCAGGACTGGGGAAAGAGCCTTCTGAGTCTCGTCACGAAATTGGCGAGCGCGGATATTCAACAAAGCCCATAGGAGCCCGGCACGACCAAACAGCATCTCGTCACCTCCCATGTTGCGGCCATCGTGAGGAACAAGAGGCCCATTCTTCAAAGCTAGGTTGGTAGCATCATCAAGGCAGGTAATATCCTCTTGCGAAATATTGGGCTTCGCATCAGTCTGCCTATCCAAATTTGCCACGGCAGAGAGAATGCGCAAAGTAACAGCGGTTACAGGTGAGAACGATCCTGCCGGGGACAATCGAGATGGTCGTAGGGCGATATCTGGGAGGCCCGCCGGAATCCTCTGAAGAGCATGCTGGAGGTAGTCTGGAGAAGGCTCACCCGCATCTGATATCACAGCTGATTGATGATTGAGGCGCAGGAAAGCAAGGGCGACTCCTATCCGGTACCGTTAGAATCAGATGTTCGCCTCGCATTGACCAGGGCAGCAGATCGGGAATGCCAGATCGCGCGATCTGGGTATAGTTTTCGTACCGGGAAAATGTTTGAACATGCCCTCGAAATTCCATTTACCAGGAATCGGGTCGCTTTTATGGATCGATTCGGCTCCATTGCGCACGGCAACACGCAGCTCTTGGAGAGACTCTGTGAGCGAATGTGTGTTGATAGTGAGAGGAGTCAAATAGTTTTCATAGAACTGAGGGCGTTCGCCTGCCATGTTGTATGCCGCAGTAGTATAGTAGTGCTCCAATAGAGCAATAACGATATTCGAATGGCGTGCTGGAGTCCAGAAGTGATTGGAACCCTCGGGGGCGGTGAAGTGCTCGAACCCCTCTAATTCAGCTGTGGCCTCAGGCAGCTGATTCTCGACATAAGTAACTAGTCAATTATATATTCGCATCTGCACGCTTTGCTAGTGTTGCGTTGAAGCGAACGAATGTCGGCGTCCTATTGGGCTCCACCGACGAGATTGGGAAGAACAGCACCGATCCCGTAGAGGGTCCTGCAGAAAAACATGTGGGGCAGATGCCGATTTGATTACCCATCAGCGCATAGTCTTTGCACGGCCATTTAGAAAGTAGTCTAAACCTAATTAGGGCTCCAAATAAGCGGCACCACCTGCGGGTTAGATTGTGTAAGGTAATTGATCGACTATTGCTAAAACTCCGTCCAGATAAGGTGGTTATTCTACGCTATAGTGATAGCAGTGTCTGTCAAGTCTATGGAACAGACCGAAACAAAAAGAAGGCGGTAGTAAACTACTCGGCTACCATGGAATAACATTCACGTACATGTAGTTCGTAACCAAATATATGGGCTACATGCAGTGAGCTCAGAAAAGTCACGTGTGTAGGTGCTGCCCTTCCCCTTTGAGAACCTCCTCTTTCTCACTGCACATATTCATCCCCATGAGACTTTCTAGACTTTCTAGACCTCTTTCTATACCAAAGGTCTCTTTTCAGTCAAGGGCGGCGGTTCTCCTGCATCAATTTTCTTTCGACGTGCATAGTCGCAATGTCATCATATCCAAAAGGCCCGGCCCCTTTGCCATCCACGACTTCGTCGAGCGCATCCAAACCATTCAACGACAAATTTCTGTATCGGTTCTCGACACTTCTAGCTGTCAAAATCCTCAGGCGTATTCGACCTCGGCACGGGAACGTTCTCATGTTGACAGACAGACTATGTGTCAAATACGGGCGTCGCGTGCATTTGTCTGAAGCATCAACAATGCGTTTCATATCACAACACACCTTAATTCCGGTGCCAAGAGTTCTATGTGCATTTACTCGTAATGGGTGGACGTACATCGTGATGGAAAGGATTAGGGGAGATATGATTGGCAGTGGCTGGGTACATCGAAGCGAGGAGTCCAAGACAAAGCTTCTTGCGCAATTGAGAGAAATGATTCGCGAATTGCGGGAGCTTAAGCCCCCGGAGACTATGAAAGTTGCTTCTGTTGATGGTGGATCGCTTTACGACTGCCGTATCCTGGGCCCATCTATGCGTTTCGGTCCCTTTGATACCACAAAAGATTTCCATCGGCATTTACGAATGGGCATGGAATTCAATTCCAAACTTGATGCTGATGTTAAGGACCTGATCAAACAACAAAGCAAGTCCTGGCCTTTGGTGTTTTCTCACGGTGATCTAAGCAGTCTCAATATCCTTGCTCGCGGTGATAAGGTCGTTGGCATTATTGATTGGGAAACGGCTGGTTGGTATCCATCATACTGGGAATATACTTCTGCCTGCCAAGTCAACCCACAAAACTCATTTTGGATCAATGAGATTGATAAATTCTTACTACCAATGCCGCAGGAGCTGGCGATGGAAAAAATCCGTCAAAAACACTTTGGAGATATTTGACTTTTCTGACACGGAGTTGAAACCAATGTCAGATGCGATGAGATGTGATATGGATTGACATCGTCCAATCTGAATCTCTATGGCCAAAAAAAAATGTGCGTTGAATCCATGTCTCCTCAGAACATATATGCAAGGCAAGAAATGCTTTCGTGGAGATCCAACTTCTCCTTTCGCGTTGCCGCCCAGTTTGTCACCTTGGCCAACGACGATGCTCACCCACTCAGCCAATTGATCCAACAGCGTGTTTCAATTAGTCACCTACTTCACTGCTATATAGCCGCCGCGTAGCCGTTCGCCCCGTACCCAATGAATTACTATCATTTTTCGTGATGCGAATTATTGAAGCGACTCCTCCTGATGCTTTTGCCCAAGAAAGTGCTCTGGCATTGCCCTAAGATGACCATTGACCATTACTAGCTATGCCGGCTTGTACCTTTTTTAAATGCTTTTTTCCAAAATAATTTCAGGAGACGGACCGGATCCTGTGTCTACAAATCATGATGGTTTTGTGCCATCTGGAGCCGAGTTTCGTCGTATATCTGGATAAACGTTACTCCGTGAAGTGGGGTGACTTCCGTCGACGCTGATTTGGAATTCATGCCTGAGGCTTCTAGATGAGTCATCAAGGACGACGGCTTCCCGACTTTGCGTTGCAGCCATTCCGGACTCGAGAATACCCACGCGGTCCTCGAAGTGCAAAAAGGCTTCTAGAACCAGTACAGAATGTCAGTGACCTGGTCCCCTGTTGCAGTCCCTATATGAAGATCCCCGAAGAGCCCTCTGTAGCCATGGCTTTCGTGGTGCTCTCTATTCCCATCTCATCGTCGTCTGGTTTTTCAAAAAAAGCAATGAAAGGTGCCCGACTAATATGGCAAGCAGTCCCGTGATCAGTGCCGCTGCACGATCCCAACATGTCTGAGGTCCATGGAGAATCTGACCACGCTGGAACGGCCCCGGAGATGGACTTTCCTCTGGTATTGGCCCCGCGGCAGGTCACTCTTCGGGATCGAGTGACTGTGGCGACGCTGGTACCTTTCACTTCGGCGGACGAGGTACCGCGGCCGCTCCTCAAGTATCTCTCCGATCAATTCAACAAAGAGATTGAAAAGGGAGATACCTATGCTATGACCGAGCCCATCCCTTTGGCGCAGTTTGGGCGGTATTGGTTCTCCAGTTTCGGTGTGGTCATGCTCCTCGGTGAGATCCAGAGCGCAGAACAGACACATACAATGGACCGAGCGGGAGCAAATTGGACTAAAATTTGTCTCGGTGGCTTCCACATACGACCCAATTACCCTGGTCGTAGTAGCCATGTTTGCAACGGCACCTTCATTGTCACAGATGCCGCTCGAAATAAGGGTGTAGGTCGTTTGATGGGTGAAGCTTATTTGGAATGGTCTCCACGACTGGTGAGTATCTTCTGATACTTTGGAACTACGACATCTAATATCTACTTAGGGATACACATACGCAGTTTTCAATCTGGTTTACGAGTCCAACGTTGCCTCCTGCCGTCTATGGGATTCTCTTGGCTTCAAGCGGATTGGAAGAGTTCCCGGTGGAGGCAGGCTCAAATCCCAGCCCGGGGAGTTTGTCGATGCAATTATCTACGGACGAGGCCTCAGCTTGGACGGCGAAGACTCCGTGTCACAGGACCGGTTTGAGAAGATTCGTTACTATTTGAAGCACTCGAAGTATCCCCGGGGTGCTGATCGAGCTGAAAAGAGTCGACTTCGCAGTGCAGCCACACATTACAAACTGATAGAAGGAGAAGATGGGGAACCGGAGAAGCTGATGCTCAAGGACAAAGAGGTGGTATCCGATCCTCAGCAGCAGTACGACATTGCGCAGGAGGTTCACCTTAAGCAACACGCCGGAATCAACAAGACCACTGCTGCCATTGCGGTCAAGTATCATTGGGTGCGAATCAAGGAAACCGTCAATCGGGTCATCCGGGACTGTCCACAGTGCAAGGAAACTCTCAAGGTGCCGCCAGTTCCAGGGATGAAGGATGACGACAAGTCCGTTTCAGTCGAGGAGCCAGACATGGCTGAAGATCCCATGGAGCAGCACTCGAACGAGAACGATGTCTCTCAAACTATGGATGAAGCGCCCGACGTGTCTCCTGGTCACAATCCTTTCATGAACCCATCAATTCCTGCCACCGCCCCTGGGACCGTACATCCCATGGCGAACTTCACACCCATGCCCCTGGACCCTCAGATCATGGCACAGCAACAGCTCCGACGCTATCAACAGCAGCAAAATGCCATGAGTGGAGTATTCCCGCCAGGACCACCCAATATGAACTTGACTAGTTTTGACGATGCGATGCGCTACCACACAGCCAACAACGCATATCAAATGATGGTTGATGATGGTTCCGACCCCTTTCGACAGGAGGTGCTGGGGCTGATGAACCCGCCTTCGCATGACCTGCCGCACGATCTGCAGCATGATGTAGAACTACTCGCTAAGTACGAGTACGGTAGTCCGTCTGAAGGGAATTACGATTTTACTTGAACTTCATGGGCCTGGCGTTGAATGATTTGATTGGTTTTCGGATACCTCTATTTCTATACGTGTATTCTTCATTAGAATTCTTCACTGGAAGGTCGAAAATGGCTATTAACACATCAACTGCATAGCCTGTGTATAGTGCCAGAATATCACTCCGCATGAAATTATTTCACTAGAGACTCGAGTTGCGTCCGTAGAGTAATTATGACCAAGGCGGTCATTATGGTGTGTTGTGTGGTCACCGCCTTGGGGCTTCGGGGGGTTTGAGGGGGGAACAGAAGCTCTGGGAAATTTTGGCGGTCGAAGATCAGCGAACCCCTCCGACTTCCCCCAAAAACAGACCTGGACCATATCCATTCTTTCGCTTCTCTATTGAAACGGTTCCAGTCTCTCTCTCGATTTCACCATGGCCTTCGCCGGCCAAACACCCACGATTGTCGTGCTGAAGGAGGGTCCGTGTTTCTCCCCGGGAGCAGTTTAGTGGGATTCACCTGGCAGTGCTAACCATTGTCACTTTCGATCCACAGGCACCGACGCTTCTCAGGGCAAGGGACAGATCATCTCCAACATCAACGCATGTGTTGCCGTGCAGTCGACCGTCAAGAGCACCCTTGGCCCGTACGGTGGTGACCTCCTGCTTGTTGACAGCAACGGCAGACAGACCATTACGAACGATGGAGCTACTGTGATGAAGGTGGGAAACTCTATGACCGTCTACGGATGATTTCATTTTGGGGACTGATTCTGACTTTTTGTGTGTTTGATAGCTCCTGGATATTGTGCACCCCGCCGCCCGCATCCTCACGGACATCGCCCGATCCCAAGATGCCGAAGTCGGTGACGGAACAACCTCGGTGGTCGTCCTCGCTGGTGAGATCCTTAAGGAGGTGCGAGACCTCGTCGAGCAGGGTGTGAGCTCGCAGACCATCATTAAGGGCCTGCGGAGAGCCAGCGCCATGGCGGTCAACAAGGTCAAGGAGATTGCAGTGGACATGATCGAGTCGTCGGAGAACGAGAACAAGAAGATTGAGACGCTGCGGCGGTTAGCCGCTACGGCCATGAACAGCAAGCTCATCAAGCGGAATTCGGACTTCTTCACAAAGAGTGAGCATTCATCGGGTTTACACGATTTATGGATTTGTGTGGGGTGACTAACGAGATCGTTTTTCTAGTGGTTGTCGATGCGGTTCTCAGCTTGGACCAGGATGACCTCAACGAGAAGTTGATCGGTGTGAAGAAGGTTACTGGTGGTGGTCTCCAGGAGTCCCTCTTCGTCAACGGTGTCGCTTTCAAGAAGACCTTCTCCTACGCCGGTTTCGAGCAGCAGCCCAAGCACTTCAAGGACCCCAAGATCGTGTGCCTGAACGTCGAACTGGAGTTGAAGAGCGAGAAGGACAACGCGGAGGTCCGCGTCGAGCAGGTCTCTGAGTACCAGGCTATCGTTGACGCGGAATGGAAGATCATTTATAACAAGCTCGAGGCCGTCTACAACACTGGTGCGAAGGTTGTGCTGAGCAAGCTGCCCATTGGTGATCTTGCTACTCAGTATGTTTCCCATTGATTGTGATTTAATTACTTGCGCTCACGATTTCACCCACAGGTACTTTGCGGACCGTGACATCTTCTGTGCCGGTCGTGTTGCATCCGACGACATGGATCGGGTGTGCCAGGCTACTGGTGCCGCTACCCAGTCGACCTGCAGTGACATCCAGGAGCGCCATCTGGGTACATGCGGCTCGTTCGAGGAGCGCCAGATTGGTGGAGAGCGCTTCAACATCTTCTCCCAGTGCCCCGGCGCTAAGACCTGCACTCTCGTCCTTCGTGGCGGTGCTGAGCAGTTTATTGCCGAGGTGGAGCGCAGTCTGCATGACGCTATTATGATCGTCAAGCGTGCCCTGCGCAACACTACCATCGTTGCCGGTGGAGGTGCCACCGAGATGGAACTGTCGAGCCACCTGCACGGCTTTGCCGACCGCAATGTACCGCACAAGCAGCAGGCCGTGGTCAAGGCCTTTGCCAAGGCTCTGGAGGTTATCCCCCGTCAGCTCTGCGACAACGCCGGCTTTGATGCCACCGACATTCTGAACCGCCTGCGCGTGGAGCACCGCAAGGGCAATGTCTGGGCCGGTGTCGACTTTGACAACGAGGGTGTCCGCGACAACATGGTTGCTTTCGTATGGGAGCCCAGCCTGGTGAAGGTCAACGCCATCCAGGCAGCCGTGGAAGCCGCTTGCCTGATCTTGAGTGTGGACGAGACGATCAGTAAGTGGTCTATCAGTATATTTTCGGGATCCCATCTGACTAACGCACTTTCACAGAGAACGAGGAGTCCGCTCAGCCTGGCGCTCCCCAGCGTGGTCTTCCCCCGGGTGCTGCGCAGCGGGCTCTCCGTGGCCGCGGCCGCGGGATGCCCCGTCGCTGATAGATGAGTTAATGCCACGACAAGATGACGGTCTACGAGACCCTACCCCCAAAAGCATCAAAAAAGGGAGGCTTCTAATGAAACGAGCCCCGCGAAGGAGAAATGGGTTCGTGCCCAGCTGTGGTCTGTGCGATATTGAACGGGGAAGAAATAGAAGAGTTGTAGACATACTTGGACTTTGATGTAGTCTCCCGAGGTACATAGGACTCTTTTCAAGTAACTGCTTCTTTTGATCGATCGTATTTGGATGTTGGTTTCCACTTTCGTAGTCAAATAGGTTGCGCGGGCCATGAATTATTTGTACGAGCGTGGTCCTTCCACTTCACTTCTTTTTTTACGCAAGCTTACCAAGGTAGACCCTAGCGACAAATACCTGGCTGGCACTAGAAAGTACGAGTCGTCATCGGCGTCACTGGGCCGCTAATGTTGGAACCCCGCTTCTATTACGGACGCATATGCACGCATCTCCGGCGTGATCTATGGGTTCGATATGTGCAACAGGGCTGGAAACGCTCTATCACGTCCGTATAAATATCGACCTAGGATGATTATGCAAAAGCCAAGGCCCAATCGACACTAGGAGCTGGGCGGGTCTTGGGGTTTCGGGCTGCAGGGGTGGACACTCGGGGCTGCCGATGGGCGCGTCGCTGCATGTCAGATATAAAGAGTGAGACGACGCAGGTTTTTGACTCCGCGGTTTCCTTCTGCTTTCTTTTGCTCACAGACTCCGCCCTAGGGATCGTCCTAGTAAGTGGCAAGTTCCGAGGTTCAGGTCGATCACAGTTCGCGTCTTTCCCTGTTCCTGCATTGCACCATTTGATTTCATTTCATTTCCCGTACTTGATTTGATATTTTTGATCTCACCACAACCTTTTGTTTACTCAACTTGCGTTCCAAGGTTGAGGCTTGGCGGCTCCCGTGCTTCCGATCTGTTTTGCGTCGGATCGCCTTCTCCACTCCCCGTATTCTGTCTCATGAGCTTTCCCTCTGTCTCGCTCTCTCTTTCTTTCTTTCTCTCCCTCAAGTGATGTCTTATTACCCGCCTTATTCGGGTGCTCCGGGGTATCCCCCGCCCCAGCAATCCTATCCCCCGCAGCAAAACCCGTATGCTTTGTCTCCTTTCAGGTTCGCGCCTCAGACTGACGAGCTCTTGTCATAGCCCGATGCATCACCAGCAACAGCCTTCCTACGGCGGCTATCCCGGCCAGTCGTACCACCTGCAGCAGCCTCAGCAACCACCGCAGAACCCCTATGGTTACAGCCATTCTCCCCAGCCGCCGCAGCCCTACGGATCCCCTGCCCCGCCTCACGGTTATAGTGTACGTTGTGATAGAAGCGCTGGAAGTAATGGCAAGATACTGATTTGTGTTGCTCATATTTAGCAGGGACCTCCGCCGCCTGGATACCAACAACCGCCCAGTGGTCCGCCGATGTACCAGAACCATCCACCAGGTTCGTATAACCACTATCGTCGCCTCGAAGACGCGCGTTGACACAGTTGCATAGCGAATTACGGTCCCCCTGGTGGTGGCCGTGGTGGCCCGGCCCCTCCGCCAACTGCCCCGGTCTCGTTCGGACATGGCGCTCCGCAGGGTTATAACTTCCAGTATTCGCGTTGTACCGGTAAGAGAAAGGCGCTGTTGATCGGTATCAACTACTTCGGCCAGAAGGGTCAGCTGCGCGGATGTATCAACGACGTTAAGAACATGTCGAGCTACCTGAACCAGAACTTCGGTTACGCGCGCGAGGACATGGTCATTTTGACCGACGACCAACAGAATCCCATGAGCCAGCCGACCAAGGCTAACATTCTCCGCGCCATGCATTGGTTGGTCAAGGATTCGCAGCCCAACGACTCGCTATTCTTCCACTACTCCGGCCACGGCGGACAAACACCAGACTTGGATGGCGACGAAGATGATGGATACGACGAGGTGATCTATCCCGTGGATTTCCGTGTTGCTGGCCACATTGTCGACGACGAGATGCACCGAATCATGGTCCAGTCGCTGCGGCCCGGCGTGCGTCTGACCGCGATCTTCGACTCCTGCCACTCTGGCTCCGCCTTGGACCTCCCCTACATCTACTCCACCTCCGGTGTGCTCAAGGAGCCCAACCTGGCCAAGGAAGCCGGCCAAGGTCTCCTCGGTGTGGTGTCGGCGTACGCGCGTGGCGACATGGGTGGCATGATGTCCACTGCCATGGGATTCATCAAAAAAGCTACCAAGGGCGACGAGGCATACGAGCGTACACTGAAGACCAAAACCAGCCCTGCAGATGTTATCATGTGGTCTGGCAGCAAGGACGATCAGACCAGTCAGGATGCCCAGATTGCCGGTCAAGCTACCGGAGCCATGTCGTGGGCCTTCATCGCTGCTCTCCGAAAGAACCCTCAGCAGAGTTACGTTCAATTGCTGAACAGCATTCGTAATGAGCTGTCATCCAAGTATACTCAAAAGCCGCAGTTGAGCTGCAGTCATCCCCTGGGTAAGTGCATTTTGGGTTAAATTTTGTCAACTCTTCCCCGCTAACTTTAGCCATGCAGACACGAACCTTCTTTATGTGATGTAAATTGCAGTTGGTAGTGATGATCTGGGAGAGGTGAATCTCCTATTTTGAGAAAGGTTGCCATTTTTTCTTTCTTGGACGTAATGAATTGCTCTCTGTATGTAATCTCATCCCTCGGTGTCCGTGATAACCCGGCTTGCACCTGTGATTTATCTTTATGAACCTGTGATTTTTTTTTTCGGGAATTATCTTTTTAGTCCGCTGTCTGCCATATCTAGGCCGCTAATGACAGCCATGGGGTTTTTTGACATCATAGTAGAGCACCAAGGTGCTTTACGTGTTTGATACCGGTATCCATTTAGGTAGACTCGATATGCCCTACCACCGAGTACGGGTGGTTGTATCATAGATGGATGGATGTTACGACTCCTATATGGTATATAGGCCCGGGATCCACGAGCTTCGTCAGCTCGTGGGTAATGATAGTCTTTTGGCTTTGTTGGCTAGCGTTTCCCGGGTGTGGTCCTAACAATGGATTTCACTTGACTATAATATACTTTCCGCTCTTCCGAAAACATGATCCCCTGCGCCTCTGCCGTCTGTCCCGTCATTCTTTCCCATAAAAGTCATCTGCATGGCAGTTCCCCTAAACACAAAACCTTACGGCTACCTCACTTGATACATTGGCTCGGCCGCAAGCGGAAAGAATTTTATGACCGGACTACAAATCATAGGCCTCCAAATCTCAAGGAGTTCTATACTAAACTCTACTCCATTTAGCTTTGGTATTCCACCGACTTAAAACCTGTTCATTTGACACGCTGAGGTTCATCCATGGGTTCTTTCCAAGGGTGCCGTAGCTTGATTATCTCCGGATCCCTAACCCTGCATGAGCCGGCGTGTATGGAAGCCAGTGATTATGTGTTTCTGGTAGCGAACTACGCTGCTACACATGTATGAGGAACATTCCTCCGTGTTATTTGGGAAGAGCCATTGGTTATTAGCTGCAGAGTGGTTGACGTGGGAGCCCCGCAAACTTGAAGTTTAAACTAACGCTCTTGCCGTACGATGAACCATAATAAATTCCCTCTATGGTGGATAAATACCTGCTTCTTTCTCGGCGTCTGATGATTTCCTGCATTCTTCAGGCTATTCAATTCTACTTGATCCAGTCAATTGACTAGTATGATCTCCCTTTTTTTCTTCTGTTTTTATCATATACTTTATGAGTTTGGGAATCCAGCAAACTAATACTTTCTCATAGCGTCTCCACTCTCTACAATGCGCTTCACTCAAGTTACTCTCATTGCCGTCTTGGCAGCCGCTGTCTTTGCGGCCCCTGTTCCCGACGAAGACCTGGATATTGGCTTGGGTGGTTTGGGTGTTGGCTTGAAGCGTGATCAAGCTACCGAAGATGGCGGCATCGGCGTCGGCGTCGGCGGTGGCGTCGGCGCGGGTGTTGATCTTCGCACGCGCGAGTAAAGTGCCAAGGACCTGCTCATTGGGCATCGGTCTTCCGTCTTCAGTGTGATCAAGCGCGACTATCACATCCGCGCTGGCGGACCTCGCTCAAGACTTCGGCGTTACAGTTTCAGGTGTTGGGGCTGTGCTTGCGATGGCTCATTTTATGATGGAATTGAGGCGTTCTTTGCAATCCAATCTTTTATATCGGTGGAGATTCTATTATTCGTTGCCCTTAATGGAGAGTGTCAATTGACAAGTCCGAAATTCTTCAGCTCGCAAAGGGCATGTTTGTCAAGCCAATTTAATTAATTCAATGAATGGCTATAATTTACCAATCGATCTACACTTCTACATGAAATTGGTTGGATGGAGTTCTTTGCACAATGGCCTCGTGTGAAGGGCTGAAAATAGAGAGTGCGGGATTCTCCGTCCCGAAAATCGTGCGTGCCGGCTAGTACCATTGACATCACATCAACCTTGGAAAATTTTTCATCGATAGAGTGTGCATTCTCATTTGCGAAGAAGCGTTGATGGGACGAACCGGTGAACCGGTGGTAGCGGTCAGTTGGAGTTGGACCTTAAATCGACCCGAACTACGGCCCCACCCGTTGACAAATGCAACCATCTGCCGGCACCGTGCTCCCCGCGTTTGGGTATTCTCCCCATTTCGACCTTCGCGGGAAAATCAATGACGAGTGTCGTAGATCTGGAGTAACGGTAGCGCAAAGCTACTGATCGGTACTGGGAGATATATCTTTGCGGGTCGCTGGGAGCCGATCCTTACCATTTCCTCTGTCTTAAAAATCATTTTCTACGAGATATTTCTCCCCGAGCCCTTCGCCAAGTACGTTAAACCAATTAACCTTGGTGGAGAACCGACTAATTCACATTATCCACAGATCGCCGTTATGCGTTTCTCTCTCGTCGCCGTCTTGTTGGCTGCCGCCGCCACCGCAATTCCCATGCCTAAAGACAACCTTGACATTGGTGCGCTGCTTGACGGCAGGCGTAATGAGATCTCGGACTTGATGCACGGTGTCGCTGATTTTCTCAAAAATGTCAAGCGTGATGAGACATCGGATCTTGAGAGCGAGGCCGATGCCGCTTTCCGCGAGATGGAGACTGCACTCGAGCCCTTGAACCTATAAATGCTTCCATTGATTCGTCCCAAGCCAGATAGACAGGTGAGAAAACACTACGTCTTGGTGCTTATTTACGAGGGCTAATGCAATGCATAGTGCGCCGCTAGAGAGCATGGACAAGAGCCCCGAGATAGAACTTTAGACAACTATATACAGGTCTCGTGGACTAGTCATCGAATGACTAGTGCAATGATAATCATAATGGAACTCGAGCAACAAATAAGAACAAGTAGATCAATCCCGATAGATGTCTAGAAATAATTTCGTAGTTGTTATCATGTTTCTCATTTGCATGTAATTTCTCTCTCTGGGTTCAGGTGAAATTCAGAAAAAGTCGCTGAGCACATCCGCCATATCCCTTCCTCCCCGATCCCTTACCACTCGTTTTACTTGACTCCTCGATGTATCGCCTTGTGATGGCGACCGTTTCCTTTCTATTTGCTGGCGCGCTCGAGTAAGATGTATGACTTGAGACGCGTCATACTGTGTACCACGATGGGCAAAGGATAACATGAACTCCAGAATAGGAATGTCCCGGCCTAGATTCGGGGGAGTCTGGCCCCGATCATTATTTTCGGATCTGCTGTCGGTATCCAGGGCATCCTTGTAAACGTCTACAAGCGGGCCTCGGATAATCTGAACCTGAGCCAGCGCCTCATGATCGGCACGGACCAGATTAATTCTGCGAGCAATCCATCCGCCTAATCGGACGCCCTTCCTCTGGGTATTCAGTTTCTGTATCACTTCCCCAAATGCAGCACATTCAGAGATAAACACTTCGCGTAGATTTGGTAGCTTTTCCAACATCCACAGAGCCTTTGTTGTCAGCCTTGGTTGGTTGTGGAGCCTCAGAATGCGCAACTGCTGCAATGACCCAGCGGTTTCGGCTATCTCGAGCCAGCTGCGCACAATGCGGTCTTCCAGTCCGAGCCCTTTGCCTTCATCAATATCCTCAGGCTTAGGCACCCTTGATTTTGCCGGATAGATGTCCAGGGCGACCAAATTCTTCATGTTCCCGATCGCAACCAGATCCGCTGTGGTGGCATGTGCGGTAGATATTGCAAGGACTGTGCGCCAATTGCCGACCTCGCTGTTCATCAAGTCAATGTAGCACTTCAAGGGTTCCTTTGGTGACCCAATGCTAAGGCGATAATGTGGGCTGAGTGGGCGAAATTGGTGAGGATATGTTTCCGCCATGATCTTCCACATATACAAGGTTTGTTTGTCGCTGGTAAATCAGTTAACTCTTTTGCTGGAGTAGAGTGTAGTGGTTCTGGACAGTCGGTTCAAACTTACCATCGTCCTAGGCATTCCCAAAGATAGTGTGCAATATGCCAGGGAAGCTGTGCGAACAGGTCCGGCTTGAGTGCCGACTGGTCCACCAGGGCCATTTTCATGGCTGCGTGCTTAAGAGATGGGGCCCCCACATCCTGCGTAGTCTCCCACAGATGGGGCAGGAATGGGCTTTCATGAAGCCAATGCGGTCCTCTACCGAAATCCGTTTGGGGACAAGATGAATATCGGGAGATGGACATTTTGTGCAGAGCTTTCGGATCACCCGACGGGCAATCGGGCACTTCTTTAGAAACAATCTGTAGGAGGGCCCAACCATGGGTGTTTGAATGCCGAAGAACTTTGTAAATATTTGATCTCAATGCGCGAGAGACGCGTGTGTCTGCATTTACTGGCGTGTTTAGAAAAAAAATGGTCACGTGCTACCATTTTGCCAACCGGCCAACCCCATGGCTGGTATTTCCACGGCCCTCACCTTTTTTCACTAATGCAACAATGATATCAAGGATAGAAAGAAATTGATGGATGTGACTTTAAGAAAGGATTAAAAAAAGGAAGCATCGAGGGCGAAACGAACACCCCGACATTTCATTCTTAGAATGAGTTGAATCATGACGGATTCTTTTATGCCTCAGCAACCAGGCATCACTGGTTAGACCTAAAGGAGAAATGTAGCGTACGGGAAAACGACGGACCGTCCACTTGTACCCCCGCGATGTGTATTCATCTGAGTCGGGAATTCGCAAAATAGCGGGAAGAGTTGTTATTTTGCACTGTATATTGAATACATCCTCTTTAATACAACATAAGAACGTAGTGCAGTATGGGCATAACGGCCACCGTACACATAGGTTGCCAGTCAAGGTTGCCGAGAAGTGTATGTTCAGCCCAACAAGGTCCGGGGGCTGCACAGCCTCGTGTCCCCAGCCGGTGATGTAACGCGCTTAATTTCGGGCAACTCACACGACACTCCACATTGCTAGGAGTTGCGGAGAGCCAAACCCATAAAAGATGCAAGTCATCTTCATAGCTGATCGCGCCACTTCCTTCTCAAGGTGACGATGGATCTGATTCCGCCGTCGTACGAGTCCGCCACGGACCGAGATGCATGGGCCATCATAGCCCACTACATTCCCTCGAGTGATCTTTGTGCAGCCTCACTAGTCTGTCATCGATGGCACGATTTGTTTATGCCCTTTTTGTGGGGAGACCCGGCATCGCATTTCGGCACGGAGAATGATGCGGTTTATGGTAAAGCCTGATCATCCTTTCAACTTGACAGCCCGGTGCTGACAATATATCACCAGTCGCTCTTACAAGGTTTCGCAGGACCCTCAAATATGCCAGGCGAGAGGTGCGGGCGATGACCCACACACTTCATCTTCCCCCTGCTCTCTCGGAGATCTATGGTGGCCCGCGGCCGGGCTGGCTGAGAGACATCTTGGAGTATTTGCCTTGTCTGCAGTCCCTGATAGTCTCGAGACTACCATTCTTCGACCACAATGCGATGTATGCATTGAAGAGCCATCAGAGCTCGACGGTGTATAACGTCCGTCTTCTGCTGGCGGATCATGAGCCGAACACGACCTCAGCAGGTCTGGCAGAGACACTGCTTCGCTTTCCTTTGTTGACCTATTTGGATCTTTCATATACGCCACCGGCACGAGATCGAAGTGTTTTGTCTTCTATATCTCAGCTGGAAAACCTGCAAGTGTTGAAGCTGCGCGGTATCGGGTTGAAGGATGGTGACGCCGAGTTCCTGGCTAATGCAATCGGGAAACGCGTTCGCCTCTTGGACCTAAGCAAGAACATGCTCACTGATTTGGCGGTTCGTTCCCTGTTGCAAGCCTCGTTCATGCCTCCGGACTCCCAGGTTCCACCGCACCTACAGCGTACGGGATTATCTACGGACCTCGTATCTCAAACGACACCCCGGAGCCCCGCAACAGATTTCATGAGGTCTCCCGACCTCGATGATCAATATTTAAAGTTTCTGGCTCGGCCGATAACGGACAATCCTTGGATCGAATACTTACCGCGCACGGGAATCACCCATCTATACATCGCAAACAATCAGATCACTGTCGAGGGAGTAGCGAGTCTCTTGGCTTCGTCTCGTCTACATGCTCTCGATGTCGGAACGGTTCTTAGCGCAAATATGGTCTACAAATCATTAGCTTCAAAGTACGGGAAATATCCCGGCGCAGAGAAGCTGGTGCCTTTATTGGGGACTGTTGCCGGCGACAATTTGACTTACTTCCGTGCACATCACGCAGTGCTCACAGCTGAGCCTCCAGCCAAAGATGTGGCACCTATTACTGGATTCTTGCCGGAGCTTGCAGCTAGCGAGGCACCTCATGAATTTGAGCTGGATACTTCGCGTGAGCTTTCTCGTGGAGCTGAGTTGAATGCCTCGCAGGAAATTCATGAATTACCAGGGGGAGTACCGCCGGTCTACGAACTTGCAGACTCGTCCATCACAGAGTCAACAAGCACAATAGCAGCTCCGACTCAAACTCGAAAATTGGCAAATTCTTACGAAGATGAACCTCTCCCTTCAGTCAGGCGTGGATCGGCTTTTGCGCCGGAGGTTATCCAGACAAATGCCGACGGAGACATCAATTCTGTGATCTTCAGTCCAAGGAGGACGGGGACATCGAAGTCATTGCAAGCTTCAGAGGATGGAATTTTATCGTCTGTCCCTGGGACTTCGGCTTGTCCTGACGCAATGGATCCCAACTCCCTCCAGTCAATCGCCCAGTGCGGGTCTCCTGTCTCGACGGATGACCCTCTAGCGAAAAAAATACAGGAACTTCTGGCAAAGCGTCCTCGAAATCAATCTCTTCCTCTCCGGGGTGGCAAAGAAAGTCGTTTCCCCTATCTTCATCCTTCTCATATTCCTCATTTAGAGACTCTTGTGTTGACGGATGTCCCGTCACATATCCCACCAAACTCTTCGGTCCTCTACACCCTCACCCGATTCATCACGGCCTGTTCCAACGAAGCATTACTTGCAACCCTCCAGGCCGGCTCCGATTACTCCCTTCCTCCAGGACAAGCACGCATGCAAGCCGAACAGCAACGTTCCCGTTCTCTCTTCGGTTTACGACGAATAATCCTTGAAATTGTCCCTACTGGTGCCTCGTCTCGACTCACCACATGGAAACCTGCTAGCGAGCACAACGGCGTGTCATATTCAAGCACCGGCGACCGCGATTCAGAGAACCTATGGGCCGCAGCTTCCAGTGACTTCAGCTTCTTCGGAGAGGAAGAATGCGGCATCATGGAGAATGATCCTGGAAAATACTTCCCCATGGCCGCATTCAACGAGAAAGTCTCACTCCTGCCCTCGGACGACGACTCAACACATTCTGAGACGGAATCCCCCCTGCACGGTCGCCAGCACTCACGATCCAGTGTGATGTCCGTTACAACTTCAATGTCCAGCCCACCACGAGAAGCCGATCAAAGCAAACAGCAATTGCTTCAAGATGTCGACGTGGTGACAGAACTGGCCGCCTTTCGTCGGACCAAGAAAGCCGAGTATGAACAGGCAGTGAAGCGAGAAAGAGGGCGTCGTAGTACAAACGGATCAGGGATATCGGGTTTCCACACGACACCTGGGCCGCAGATCTCACTGGCACATTTCGTGGAAGGTCATTGGAAAGGAGAGGTCAAGATCGTGCGGAATCCTACTCCCAAGGTCCGCACCGGGATGGTAGACATGTATGGAAACTACTTCGAGAAGGGGTATCTATACCCATAGGACGAGAGCAAAACCAGTCCCAATATGACGTACATGTGCAATCTACGGTGATTGAAACCACGTAAACAACATTTTGAAGAATTTTGTGGTATTTTTCTAGTCCGCAGGACGGACCTCTCTCAGTCATGCATAAGCCACCGACAATTGACTCAAATACACAGTAAGGCACAAGGCGCTTCGAAGATGGAACATCAAAAAGACGGATAGAACAAGGAAATCTCCTGGACGCCCATCATTTTCATGCATCCAAATCAAATGCCTTCGAACAACCGGGGCCCGTTTTCGTTCATCGCAAGGTCATTGTCGGCTGACCCGCGTCATTGATCCGTCAAGCAAGAACACCGAGGAAAGGTAAACAAAATAAAAGAATTCATTTCAGACTAGTTCCATTTTATTTTGTCCGTAACGACCGTTCCACTCCCTTAGTTGGCCTTGCCAGCCTGAGGGGGGGGTCAGCTTCTTGCCGTCCTTGTTGTAGCGGATACGGGGAGGGGGAGCGCGGTTGCGGCGGCCCTCGCGGGAGCGGACACTGGAGATGAAATTAGTATGTCTGGGAATCGAGGATTGTGTATATTGAGCGATGGGAGCGTACCGGACAATCTTGCCGTGAATGGCGCAGGAGACGCAGTACTGAAGCTTCAGGTACATCTTGGGGACGGCGTACTCGGCGAAGACGGAGGCATCGGAGATATCACCTGTAGGTGGAGACACGTTAGTTCAGCTGTTCTTGGAGACTCGTTGACGTGTTTCGAGTATCCCATCATCTTCGTTCCGTTTCAGTGCGTAGGATTTGTCCTGTCGTACTTCCACGGATCCTCCTCTTTTCTGGTGTTGATTTGTGGGTGGGTGTCATGGATCACGTACGGATGGCAGCAGACTCAACCATGTTGCGGATGGTGAACCGCTTGATAGCCTTGTCCTTAGGAGTGCAACGGGCGCAGTTGGAGCAGCGCACGGGCTTGACGTGGCCGCGGCCGTTCTTGTTGCGACCGCTAAATAATTAATCAGTCTCACGTTCCATATTCAAGATTCAAATTCCAGTTCCCATTCTCTCATGTTCCGCAATGCGCTTCGGGTGGTCGTGTCAATTCTTTTTTCGTATGGCGTATGTGCGTGTGTCGCTTCCGTCGGCGTCATTGCGGAGATCATGTCGAATGGGAGACTGTGTCGCGAATTTATGGGAGGAAACGATCTTACTTGGATGCCCGCTTCTTGACCATTTTGACGGTTTGTTCTGTAGAAGGTCAGAGATCCGATCGAGTGTGTCAGAGGACAAGAGGGGGAGGGTAACGTACGGGTGATTTGTCGGGGGTGGGTTGTCGAAGCTCGCTCACTCAAAGACTCTTCGGGAATGGATGGGGGTCGTTGTGTTGTGGGAAGCCCTAAGCCCTTAAGCGAGACCCACGGGACTTTTCTGGATGCCTCGGCGCCTGTTCATTCAGGCTGCAATGACGACTCCAGTCACGTGGAAAGTCACGGGTCATGTCCGTCCCAAATGAGACAAGCGCCCGGATTGAACCGCGAATCATTGAATTACCTAATCGCGTGTTTACGCTCATCCGGAACGACAAAAGAAACACCCCTGTTCGGATCGTCCACCGACTACCCTTTTCCTTCCTTAGGCCGGTCGTGAACACCCTTGCTTTTTTTTCATTTCTCCCATACCTGGTCTCATTCCTCTTGTTTGCTCTCCTCCCTTCCCTCCTTCCTCTCTCCACTTTGTTGAGACATTCTCCGTCGTATTATGTCGCATACAGGTACTTTTAGGGGAACACCCAATAAGACTATCGGGCGACGAGGACTGCCCGACTTTGAATCCCCCGGCACTTCTCACATCCCCCGACCCCCCCGTTCGGACCGTCCAGAATCTTCCCTTACCCACAACTCTACCCATACCCCGTCTAGCGACGTCGGAAGCGGCACCATGAGCGCCGCCAGCAGCAGACAGAGACAGAACCAGTCGAAGCGTGATGAGGTGCGTGACGCCACGAGCTAGCCCAGTATATCTCGGTTTAAAAATGGAGCTACCTTCGCGGCTTGCCGGCTAACACATCGGGGGTTTTTACAGGCTATCCGCCGCAAGATGGAGGCCGACCTCAACAAAAAGAGGCATAACCCGAATAAGGCGAGAGGCTCCCGCAAGGCCCCTCCAGGTACCGTCCTTGCCCTGAAACCCAGCCAAGCTCTTCAGATTAAGCCGTCCATGAGCATCGCGGAAGCAGCACAGCTGATGGCCGCCAAACGGGAGGACTGTGTTTTGGTTACCGATGATGATGACCGAATCGCCGGTATCTTCACCGCAAAGGATCTGGCATTCCGCGTGGTCGGCCTGGGCTTGAAAGCACGCGAGGTTTCGGTCAACGAGATCATGACCAAGAACCCTCTTTGTGCGCGAACCGATACCAGCGCTACCGATGCGCTCGACCTGATGGTTCGGAAAGGATTCAGACACCTTCCGGTTATGGACGAAAACCAGGACATTTCGGGTGTTTTGGATATCACCAAGTGCTTCTACGATGCCATGGAGAAGTTGGAACGTGCCTACAGCTCCTCCCGAAAGCTTTACGACGCTCTGGAGGGCGTCCAGACGGAACTTGGCTCGAGCCAGCCCCAGCAGGTCATCCAGTACGTGGAGGCACTGCGATCTAAGATGTCCGGACCTACCCTTGAGACCGTTCTCGACGGTATGCCGCCTGTCACCGTCTCTGTGCGGACCTCCGTCAAGGAGGCTGCGGCCATGATGAAGGAGCACCACACCACTGCCCTGCTTGTGCAGGACCAGGGCTCTATCACCGGTATCTTCACCAGCAAGGACATTGTCCTGCGTGTTATTGCCCCCGGTCTTGACCCGGGAACTTGCAGCGTTGTCCGCGTTATGACTCCTCACCCCGATTTTGCCCCGTCCGACATGAGCATTCAAGCTGCTCTCCGCAAGATGCATGGTACGTTCTTCTCATGCCATTTCTCTTACCGTCTCAATTACAATTGCTAACTTGTTATCAGATGGCCACTACCTCAACCTGCCCGTCATGAATGAGGGCGGCGAAATTGTTGGCATGGTGGATGTGCTAAAGCTCACCTATGCCACTCTGGAGCAAATCAATACCATGCAGACCCACGATGATGAAGGGCCCGCCTGGAACAAGTTCTGGCTCTCCATGGACAACGAGTCTGACTCGATGGTTTCTGGCGGCCAGAGCCAGCAGCCGCATACGCCCCATCGCTCCGTCATGAGCCCCGATATGTTACGGTCAGGCTACGATAACAGTGTTCTTCCTAATGACTCTGCGTCTCACAATGGCGAAGAGCACTCCGAGGTTGCCTCGCAGCACCACCAGCACCAAGCTGAGGACGCTCCATTCCCCTTCAAGTTCAAGGCTCCCAGTGGCCGTGTGCACCGTGTGAATGTGTTGACTGCCTCGGGTGTTACCGATCTGGTCGCGCAGGTGACTGCCAAGCTGGGTGCAGAGCTTGAGGCTGTTGGTGGTGAAGCCGTGGTTGAGGAGGGCCGTCTCAGCAACACCGGATACGCTCTCAGCTACATGGACAACGAGGGCGACACAGTTTCCATCACCACCGACCAGGACATGGTCGATGCTATTCATCTTGCCCGCCGGACTCATCGTGATAAGGTGGATCTCTTTGTCCACGACCCTACTCAGCCGCCCATTCCCGCCACCCTTGACCCGCAGCCTGCCAAACCGGCCACCCCTGCCACCCCTATCATCGAGGAGCACAGCAGCCCTATCCCAGAGCAAGTCCCCGAAGAGCCTCTTCTGAGCAAGGCTCGGGCCTTCCCCTCGCACTCGCCCGAGGAGCAATTCATCAACGGAGTACCCAACGACCTGCTTCTTCCTGGAGCGATTGTCACCCTCGCTGCCGTCATTGCGGGTGTGTTCATTCTCAGCCGGCCCAGCGGTCGTTAAACATAAAAATCGCGATAGACATAGCTTCCCCTCATTTGCTCATTTTGGCCTCTTGTGATCTTTGAAGAGTGCATACCCCTTTCTAATTATCCATATTCTGCGTCGCTTTCAGATACCGCTGTTCTAGTAAAGATCAGTTGCGGCTTTAGTTTAGCCTTCAATGCAAATACTTTTTTTTTCCAGCTGTTGTGAAACCTGGGTACGCAGAAGACAATGCCTCAAAGTACATACTCGACCCTCCAGCCTTTAAAGTGTCTGTGTGGCTGGCTGACCACAGCCCGGAGTAGCTAAATTCGCCATTTTGAAACCAACAATCTATCATTGAGACATAACTAGTACATTTGGGGCGATTTCTTGCCTTGAGTAGCATATTCGACAGAAAACCCGGGGCAAAGTGCTGATCCCAGTGGGCGCTATCGTTTTATCAATTCCCCTAATCATCAATCTTTTTTTCCCTTTCTCCCCGCCCCACCAAAAACAAAACTCCTCCCTTCCTACCACCCCTCCAACCCCACCAAGTCATCCTACCACCCGGGTTCGAAGAAACTGGGTTCTTTTTGATAGTTGGATCTTGGGGAAAAGACATCCACCATGTCCGTGCTGCCACCCGAGGTCCACGCACAGCTGTCGCAGCTGTTGGGCGCCCTTGGGACCCCCGACAACGCCGTTCGTTCACAGGCCGAGGATCAACTGAACAATGAATGGGTGCAGAACAAGCCCGATGTGCTCTTGATGGGCCTGGCGGAGCAGATCGGTGGTTCCGAAGACACATTAGTGAGTGCTATCTGACCCTAGGGGCTGAAGAGTGGTGCCCGCGTTATATGCACCCAGGGACCTACCTGCCTTCGAAGAAACCCCCGCCGTCAAAGAATCTATACTGAGACTGCTTCATTACAAACAGACGCGTGCATTCGCTGCGGTCCTTTTCCGGAGAATCGCAACCAAGACCCGCAAGGATCCCGCTACCGGAGAGGCCAAAGAGGTTTTCTTGACCTTGCCTAACGAGCAGCGCGTGGCTATTCGCGAGAAGCTGGTGACTTGCCTCACTACCGAGTCGGTTACCGATGTGCGCAAGAAGATCGGCGATGCAGTAGCAGAAGTCGCCCGGCAATATACTGACAACGGTATGCCACCTCGAAACAAATACCGGAATTGGTGCTGATGGTTCGGTTTTTAGGCGATCAATGGCCAGAGCTCCTCGGGATTCTCTTCCAAGCCAGCCAGTCGCCTGAGTCTGGTCTGCGGGAGACTGCTTTCCGTGTCTTTACTACCACCCCCGGCGTTATTGAGAAGCAGCACGAGGATGCTGTCCTCGGTGTATTCACCAAAGGCTTCGAAGATGAGAACATTGCCGTACGTTGGATCTGGATCTCAATGTCTATTGAGGCGGTTCATTCTTGCTGACTTCTTCTAGGTGCGAATCGCCGCTATGGAAGCCTTCGCCTCTATGTTCCGCTCCATCCCCAAGAAGTCTCAGCAGAAGTTCTTCTCCCTCGTGCCGTTCCTTCTTAACATCCTTCCTCCCCTCAAGGACTCTAGCGAGAGCGAAGAGCTATCCTCGGCCTTCCTTGCTCTTATTGAGCTCGCAGAAATCAGCCCGAAGATGTTCAAGAGTTCGTTCAATGACTTGGTCAAGTTCAGTATCAGCGTTATCGCCGACAAGGAGCTTAGCGACCAGGTCCGCCAGAACGCTTTGGAATTGATGGCCACCTTTGCAGACTATGCGCCTAACATGTGCAAGAAGGAGGCCAACTTTGCCCAGGAGATGGTCACACAGTGTCTCAGCCTGATGACTGACGTCGGTGCTGATGACGATGATGCTGATGAATGGAATGCCTCTGAGGATGTGAGTTCTTGTTAATCTGGTTCGAGATGAATATGTTGCTGACTAGTCTTAGCTCGAGCCCGAGGAGAGTGATCTCAACCACATCGCCGGTGAACAATGTATGGACCGTCTAGCCAACAAGTTGGGCGGCCAAGCCATTCTTCAGCCCGCTTTCTCCTGGATTCCCCGCATGATGTCTTCGACTGCCTGGCGCGATCGTCACGCCGCGTTGATGGCTATCTCCGCCATCTCGGAGGGCTGCCGTGACCTGATGGTGGGTGAGCTCGACCAGGTTCTTGCACTGGTTGTTCCCGCTCTCACGGACGCTCACCCCCGTGTGCGCTATGCCGGTTGCAATGCTCTCGGTCAGATGAGTACCGATTTCGCTGGCACCATGCAGGAGAAATACCACGCCATTGTGCTGAACAACATCATTCCTGTTCTGAGCAACAACGAGCCCCGTGTGCAGTCCCATGCCGCCGCCGCTTTGGTCAACTTCTGCGAGGAGGCTGAACGCAGTATCCTCGAGCCTTATCTCGGCGATCTGCTGAGCCGCCTTCTGGACCTTTTGCGCAGCCCTAAGCGCTATCTGCAGGAACAGGCCCTCTCTACCATTGCTACCATCGCTGATTCCGCTGAGACCGCTTTCGGACAGTACTACGACACTCTTATGCCGCTGCTGATCAATGTCCTGAAGGAGGAGCAGGGTAAGGAGTACCGTCTGCTGCGTGCCAAGGCTATGGAATGTGCCACCTTGATCGCCTTGGCTGTTGGCAAGGAGAAGATGGGCCAGGATGCCCTTAACCTCGTCCAAATCCTGGGCAACATCCAACAGAACATCACCGATGCGGACGACCCTCAGTCGCAGTACCTTCTTCACTGCTGGGGCCGTATGTGCCGTGTTCTCGGTCGTGATTTCGTGCCGTACTTGCCCGGTGTCATGCCGCCTCTGCTGACCGTGGCCGCCGCCAAGGCCGACATCCAGCTTCTGGATGATGAGGACCAGATTGAGCAGGTTGAGCAGGATGAGGGCTGGGAATTGGTCCCGCTCAAGGGCAAGGTCATTGGTATCAAGACCAGCGCCCTGGAAGACAAGAACACCGCCATTGAGTTGATCACCATCTACGCTCAGATCCTCGAGGCTGCCTTTGAGCCTTACGTTTTGGAGACCATGGAGAAGATTGCCGTCCCTGGTCTTGCATTCTTCTTCCACGACCCCGTCCGCGTGTCTGCTGCTAAGTTGATCCCGCAGCTGCTGAATTCCTATAAGAAGGCCCACGGTGACCAGTCACCCGGCTTTGCCGAGATGTGGAATAAGGTTGCGGAGAAGATCATCGAGGTTCTGAGCGCCGAGCCCACCGTGGATACCCTGGCCGAGATGTACCAATGCTTCTACGAGTCCGTCGAGGTTGTCGGCCGCAACAGCCTCACCCCGCAGCACATGCAGGCCTTCATCGACTCGGCGAAATCGACTCTGGAGGACTACCAGATGCGTGTGAAGCAGCGATTGGAGGAGCAGGCCGAGCTGGAGGAGGGCGACGAGGAGAACCTCGACTACGAATACGCAGTGGAGGATGACCAGAACTTGCTCAGCGACATGAATAAGGCCTTCCACACCATCTTCAAGAACCAGGGCACTTCCTTCCTGCCCGCCTGGCAGCAGTTGATCCAGTTCTACGACAACTTCATCACAAGCCAGGACCCGACGCAGCGGCAATGGGCCCTGTGTATCATGGACGATGTGCTTGAGTTCTGCGCCGAACAGTCATGGACCTACAAGGACCACATCATGCAGCCCCTGGCTGCCGGTCTGCAGGATCAAAATGCCGCCAACCGTCAGGCCGCCGCTTACGGTGTCGGTGTCGCCGCGCAGAAGGGGGGTGCCGCATGGAGCGACTTCGTTGCTGCCAGCATCCCCAGCCTGTTCCAGGTCACCCAGATCCCTCAGTCCCGCAGCGAGGAGCACGTCTTTGCTACCGAGAATGCCTCTGCCAGTATCGCTAAGATCCTGCATTACAACCCCTCCAAGGTTGAGAATGCTCAGGATATCGTCGCTAACTGGATCGAGACTCTGCCCATCACCTACGACGAGGAGGCGGCTCCTTACGCATACTCTTTCATTGCACAGCTGATCGACCAGTATGTTTTCCCATTTGTTCCTTTTCCCGCTCAATTATATTCTAACTACCTCTAGACAAAACCCCGTCGTCTTCGGCAAGGCCGACCGCGTGTTCGGTTTCATCGTGCAGGCCCTCGAGGCCGCCACTCTGCAGGGACAGACCGCCGTGCGGGTCGCCGACTCGGCCAAGCGGTTGGTGGCAGCCACCGGCCTGAACGGAGAGCAGATACTGGCGGGCGTCAGCCCGGACAGCCAGGAGCGGGTGCGCAAGTTCTTCCAGTAGAATGTTCTATAGCTACTTGCCTACTGGTCTCATTGTCCATTTTCCTTTTTGTTATCATTCCCCTTGGTCCATATGATTCCGATGCTAGTGAAGACCTGAGACGTTTCGTTAATTCTATCCCCCGTCCTCTATGATTTCCGTACAAAGACTTAGAGAATAAGAAAAGATTGTTGTGGCTGTAGGCGAAATTCACCAAAATACTTCGAGTTCAGTGTTTATGGACTCAATTCCCTAAGGGCTATTTATACTCCTCGGCGTATCTACAATGAAGAAACCCGCTTGATCTCATTCGCAACCACTTCACCCAGGGACATCATCTTGGGTTCACCAATCAGCCCATTCGCCCGTTGATTATACAAGGTGCCTCCCTCCGTCCAGATCCGCCGCAGCGTAAACACAGTCGCAGCGGGGTTCCCGGCCTCCCAAGCCGCAGTCTCCAGCTCGCGCAACCGTTCGACTGATGTACAGGAGACATCATCCCACGGTTTTCCAGTAGTCTGGCGCTCGAATTCAGCCTGGATCTCAGCGGGGCTGGTGGTGAAGGAGTTGACGCAGAGAGGACGGTTGCGGGACTCGGGGGTGGAATGGAGAAGTGTTGCAACAACGAGTGTTCCCACGCTATTCGGTACGTCGTTAGACAATCCATTCGCCGAGCAATACGCCCAAGACAATTTGAAAAATAAAAGGAAATACTCACTCCTTCATCGTCGTCAAACTAACCCTCTCCTTCCCCGTCTCTCCCAGCAAAACAGCCTTCCGAGCCTTGACATCCCATCCGCCAGCCTCTTCCATCCCAGGGGTGAAATGGAGATACATCTCCGCAAACGGACCCGTCACGACGTATGAGTAGTCCAGGTCCGCGCGCGAGATCTCTTTCTCCAGCACGGCTCGCACCTTGAGCTTCTGCTGGTGCGGCTTCTCATGGGCCGAAGCCGGGCCGTACGCAATGTCAGTGCCGTACTCCGAAGGCAGGAACCATTTCACGCTGGAACTGGCAGCTAGACGGATCAACGGGATTTGCTGGGCGAGAGCATTGCGGCCCAGGGCTGAGATGACGGTGTCAATGCCTGTGGGGGTTAGTAATCTGAATTGCAATTGGGAACATACAATCCGGGGTGTTTACCGTCATAGGCAGCCTTGATAGCATTCTCATCTTCGACGTCACCGATGATTACTTCGACATTCTGCTCTTTCAGTTTTTCCAGGTACGCGGCTTTGGTCTCGGCAGTGCGTGGGGAAGTAAAGATGGCCACTCGGCCGAATTGAGTCCTCGCGGAGAGGATGGCGGTTAAGATGAACGAGCCAATTTGGCCCGTTGCACCGAAAAGAAGAATATTCTGACCAGCCATTGTCTGTTTCTTCTTAATTCTGTGTAATGTACAAGAGGGAAAACAGACGGCGGATACTTGGGATACGTGTATGTGGGGGGTGGGGCTGCTTATCAATTCGCGCTGCTTTCCTTTTAACTATCCGATCTTCACGCCTTAAACTATCTCAAACTACCATCTCCAGGATCTCCAGTGCCTGTTCCTTCTCCGTAAGTGGCACGGGATTAGTCTTGCACCATCGGTCGTGCAGGCTGTGCGCAGCCAAGGCGTCGAGCTTGTCGCGGCCCACCTTGACGTCACTCAGAGACCGAGGCATACCGATCTCGCGGATGACGACGTCGAGGATATCGCCCAGGTCTGCGGTCTCAGTATTGACATTGCGAGTGCGCAGAACCTCTGAGACGACGGGGTCGTGGATTAGGAACTCGCGAACGCGCCCTTGTCGATCGCGATTAGCATTGTGCTTAGCGTTGTACTTACACACGGCCGGCAGGAGGATGCAGCTTGTTTCACCGTGTCCAACGCCCAATGGGCCGAGCTATAGAATTTGATTAGCTTAAACTCCAACCATCAATCTCTGAGATACATGCCTGATGCCCAATGCCATGACTAGCTCCCAACTCCACTGAACCACTCGTACAAGCCGCCATCGCGTCCACTGACCCCAATTGACACTGCAGGTGTGCGTCTCGATCCGCGCGATTCTTCTTGCAGTTCAATAATCCCGGGACAAGTAGACCGAGTGCATTTTGCGCAAGCTTATCCGACTCTGGAGTTGTGCCGACAATAGCGCACAACGTCTCGACACAATGATCAACAGCGCGCACGCCCGTGCTAAGCCAGATTGAATCTGGAGTGGACTCCGCCAGTTCCGGGTCAAGGATGATGAGCTCCGGCCCGCGCAACGGCGCCTGGAAACTATACTTGCGGCGGGAGCGGTCCTCGGTGCCACCTGCAAAGTTGGAGTACTCGCCGGCGGAGAGTGACGTCGGCACTGAGATAATAGGGACAGTGGGAGCTTTGACTTCCGCACGCTTTTTAGGTCCCTGGGCGAGTGTTTCGAGCTCATCTGGGGTGTGGACGTCGTTTGCAAGAGCCTGTGCAGTGTTAGTGTGCAGCCCAATGAGTGACGCACATGAGAGATTTCATACAAGTGCAATGATCTTCGCTCCATCGGTCAAACTGCCCGCTCCCAGAGTCAACAGCAAATCAGCCTGCACGTTGCGAGCATCTTCAACGATCTCTAAGACCTCGGACCACAGTGTATGGCTCTGCATGCCAACCCGGCGGCCGACCACCTTCTCAGGCTCCAGCGCGGAAGCCAACCGGTCAAGCGAGTCCGTGTTACGGGCCAGTGATCCCGAGCAAATCACGTAAACGCGCGAAGCGCCGAATGTCTCGGTAACATGGCGGGCAGCGGCAGCGGGGAAGGCGATGCCATAGGAGAGGAGGGGACGTTTGCGGTCGGCGAAGGCTGGACGGGCTATTTCTTGAGACATGATGGAGAGTGTAGAATTCAATTCTGAACAGGAAAAGCCGAAGTAGAGGCTCGGTCATGGCTGCGACTATAAAGCTTAAGCTTCTCCATGTGGGATGTGGGGCCATGTGGGTTCTCTTCTTCAGTAATCGCATCTTCCCCGAACCAGGGACCGGGCAATCGGAAGGAGACTGCGTGCCTGGTTTGCATGGGTGTAGTGACCGTCGGATGTGTCTGAGAAGGTGACGTCTGTGGACAAGGAGCTTCAAGAACGCGATGCAGGAAGATAGCGAGTTGAGTGAAGCGGTGAGAACGGGTTCGAAGACGGCAGTAGTATTAATGGAAGCAATTGGGGAAAGCATGACTTTCTAGATTACGACTCGTTTAGTTTGCATTTGATGTTTATCCGTATTTTCCTTTTTGGCGGCCTCTTCATTTTGTAGTGATAGCGTTGGTTTACAGATCCTTTAGAACATCATATCTTCCATCTTATCTCCCTTGTCCAAAGCATCCGCTTCTTTCCGCAACACATCTGCTCGGAATCTCCTGAAAGCGGTCTCGATTCTCTTCCGGCTTTCTGGATCGGAAGTAATGTTGCGACCGGCGCTAGCTGATCCAGCAAGGAAGCCTTTTCGAACAATCCGAGTCAGTGTCATTTTCATCATATGACGATCAATGGGACATCTTACCAAGCTCTCCACCCAGAAACAGACCACCGGCTGAAGCGAAGAAATACGTCGCAAAGTCGCCCAGGGTTGTGGGCTTGAGCAGCGGCGTCAGATCAGGAATCGCTTCTAGTTCACATATTAGACCCGCTTCTCTTTTTGTGTTAGATGCATCAACTTACCGGTACGACCGTCAGAGAAGACAACCTTGACTGGCTTCTCTTGCGCACGGACGGCAGCGAAGAATGCCTTGCGGGTGCTGCGCAGTCTAATTGCAGCATACAGCCCGAGTGAGATACCGATTGCAGATCCAACCGTTGTCCACATGGAAACCTTAGTGGCAGCGGCCTTTAGCTTGTCGCGGTCATCGGCCTGGAGGTCATGCTGCATGTGCTCATCGGCGAGTTTAGCGAGCTCGTCGGAGCGACGGCGGCGGAGGATAGCAAAGGATTCAGACATTTTGCAAAATGTAGAGGAAATAAGCTAGGAGAGAAGTTTACGGGAACGAGAGCGACTGAGTTGAAGCTTGGCCGGAGCTGGTAGTAATGACGTCATGTGGGTTTGTCCTCCGTGAACGATTTACAGTTAGTTACATTATTCGAAGCCACCCAAGTTAGCAGCAATTTAGAATAATACTGGTGTTAAATTAATCTCTGTTTGATCCCTCTTATCCCTTGATCTGCCCGGCTAATTATGAATAACTAAGTTTCCGTCGCTGACGTCAGATTAAAAGAGGGCGAGCATTAACTATGAGACTCTCGCAATTCAAGAAATTCCCCAATAGCAATTGACCTTCAAAATGGTCCGTTTCGTTACCGACTCACGTACAGCTCCGACGAGGAAGCCTTCTCTCCGCGTCATCGGAGCCGGTCTCCCTCGTACGGCAACATCCTCGCTCCAAGCAGCACTAGAGCAACTGGGCTTCGATCCGTGTTTGCACATGGCACAAATAATCCCTCATGCCGACAGACAACAGCTTCTCCTTGATGCAGCTCGTGAAAAAAACACCGATCGGCGGCAGAAGCTCATCCACCGGCTTGTGGATGGTTACGCCGCAGTATGCGACATGCCAGCTGTATTCTTCCTCCCGGATCTGATGGACATGTTCCCCGAGGCAAAGGTGGTCCTCAGTAGTCGGCCCAATCCTGAGACCTGGGCTAGGAGCTGTTTCGAGAGCTTGGGCTTTTTCTTCACTCCTTGGTTTTATGGCTGTGGGTTGCTGTGGAAGACGGATCGCTTGTGGTATCGGCTTAACATGCACATTCTTGACTGGTGCGATGAGAACTATAAGCTTGAGGGAAGGAATATATTTACTACTTCAATGTATGAGCAGTATAATAAGTCGGTGAGAGAGATTGTGGAGAAGAGGGGACGCTCGCATCTGGAGTTCAAGGCGGAGGATGGTTGGGGGCCTTTGTGTGAGTTCTTGGAAAAGGATGTGCCGATTACGGAGTATCCGAGAGTGAACGAGAAAAAAACGTTCTCCATTATCAAGAGCATCATGATCATGAAAGGAATCCTGAGCTGGGCAGCAGTTGGGGGAGTTGCCTGGTTCGGGTGGAAATACGTTCCTACTCTCTTGAAAGGATCGACCAGTTGACCCAAGAAATGTTTGGTCATGGAAAGGAATACCGTACTTCCGGATATCAGTTACCATGTACATTCTTTGATTATTTCTCGAGCCCTCATACCCAGAGATCCTAAGATACATTTGGCATAGTCGATGAATTTCCCCAGTTGCTAAGCCCTGTACCGTACTGGACGGATTGAACACGCTTTCTCTCACTTCTGCATTTCAGTGCATATTGTATTCACATAAGACGGAAATTCGTGGAATTAAACCGCATATGTCCTGGACAGTTTGATTGTTCGAGGTGATACTCTTAAGAATTATAGAATGCCAATTGGTCAACATTCAAGGCCGCCCTCGCCCTCGCCGAACCATCGAGGTAGTACCTTGTCCGGCATTACTATGATCAATGAAATCAAACTTTGCGTACAAGGAAGCACCATCCTTACTGGCGCTCACGTACATGTCAACTCCTCCGGCGTCGGCCAGATCACATCCCCATTTGACAAGCATAGAAGCAGCCCCTTGCCGTTGATAATCTGGATGCGTAGCGACGATGTCCAAAACTTCAACTCGTGCACGGGTTAGTTCAACTTATTTGACGTAGAAATAGAACGGGAAAACGCACAGATATGCTTTTGGTTACCCATGACACGCTTTCTATTGTTCTCACCTCTACTCACGAAAGCCTCGCAAAGCTCCCTGGGCATATCGTCATGCCACGGCGGATAGCGTGGCCCACGTTCTTCGGGCGTGGACAAGTCCCATTTTGCGTAGGCGGCTACTCGCGGTTGGCCGTTGGCGCCTTTCGATTCAGGGTCAACAACTTTGAGATAGCGCTGGAATGGTCTTCGAAGTAAATCAAGGTAGATGGCATCTTCCAGCCACCTTCGCACACCGGGGGTATTAGGAAACAGGCGTCTGGAACCGGGGTCTGAAAATGCCGCGAACCAAAGGCCCATGAGGGTGGAACTATCCTCCGGGGTGACGAGGTCTAGTTTTAGCGGACTCGAAGCTGCCATTAGGAAGTGGAAGATGAAATAGTTATCTAATATGGACGTAAGTATATGAAAATTTTGGGGGCATGCTTCGCCAGATACGGCAGCCTAAGTAACGGAGTCAGGGGCGCGCTTCATGCTGACCCGTGGCGGTTAGATAGACGCACCTGGCGACCGCAACCAAAATAAGTTCGGTGAGTTTTAACACTGTGTAGGCATACTACACACACGCTCGCATGACGCTATCTGCGAGATCATGCTGACCGTAGCCATGTTCCATCCATATTGTGTCAACCATCGGCTCATTCTAGAAAAGATGCGTGCTTTGTATGATTTCAACGTCGCCTCCATATTGACATTCCTCTGCGCATTGTTCCCAGAGCCGAAGGCCTCAAACATGCGATCCACAGGCTGACCAGTCCGACTCGCGTTACTGAGATCCTGATGTCTAGGGTAGACTCATCAAGACATGTCTTCCCGGTCCTGCACAAACCGTTGGATCCACTTCCATAACTTGGGAGAAGCGACAAACATGTCTTTCCGAAGTCTCGGCTGATGATTGACGGTATACTGTGCTTTCCATTCTGACACGAGCGTCAGCTTCTTGGCTATTGTGTTTCTGAGATCCTTGTTTCGAAAGTAATCTTTTTCATCCTTTTCAATTTTCGAAAGTGGCTGATCCTCTTGTTGAACTTCTTTATACAGCCCGATGTAGGGAGGCGAACGCCGCTGTTGTAAGAAGAATTGCCCCAGGTCCTGTTCAAGGCCACGCGCAAAGTGCCAGACAGTAGCAAAGAGAGTGTAATCATCAATTGAGTCCAGGTTGAGGAGTCGACTCAATCTCCAAGAGACTTGACCTCGCTCAAGTGATTCGCGATATCTGTGGATTTCCCTCTCTCCTATCGATCTAGGCATAGCAGCAATAAAGCCATCTATGAAGGATATATGTAACTCCGAACTAATTTCGTTGCGGTATTGTGGCAAACCTGGCGTCGCTAACAGCATAGATTCAGGAATGAATGATGAGAATGCCCAGTCGATGAGACAGGTAATATTGTAATCATCATCAACATATATGTTATTGACGCTCAGATCAGGGTGGTACAACGAAAAAGTCCCCGAATTGATAGCTGGCAGTTCAAGTTTCCGTACAATGTCGCGGAGAGCGTCTCCTGCAATTATGTAGTCTAGTCTGTTGACTGCCGAGTCTGTCTTGCGTCCAACGGTCACGAAGTCATTCCATAGGTTCACAGCGCTCTCATATTCTTTCCTGGATTGATAGTCGTCCCGTGAGGGAACAGGTGCCACAAAGCAATGATGTGATAACTGCAGAATCTCTGCATGCTCCAATAACGCAGAAACAAGGCTGTCATAAAACTCTGCTTCCGAAGTGAAAGGTCCCCGTGGAATTTCCAACGAATATCGTCCGTGTAACATGTGACCACGTGAGAGACATTCCTTGATATCGAAGGACTCATCTTCTTCAAAGAGTGAGCCAATTTTATCGAATCGCAACTGCGAAAGCTTCCAGGTAATACAGCCCAGTTGGGAGAGAATTTTGGCCTTGCCGACGGTGTCTAGACCAGGTTGAAGAGAACCGGCTGGTTTCCAGACTTTTGACAGTGGCCAGCCAGGCGCTTCACTCATAAAAATGAACGGAATCCCGATGTCATTATCGGATGAAGCACTATAATAGGTTAGTTCTAGAACAGTGCGGCCTAGGAGAGTGCGTTACCAATAGTCGTATACTTCTGGAACTGGAATATCGCCATGGGCCCTGATGTATCGCAATGTGGCAGCCTCGCTTGCCAGCAGCTTTTTCCCCATTTCCATTGGCATAAATGTTCTATCGTGCGGGGATCGAAAGACCCATCGTACCCGGTCTTCAAATGAAATAAATATAGCCCAGTTAAAACTTCCTGAGGCCGGACGTTGATCTGGATCACAAGCACATGGAACACCCTGTCGCAGCGCGCTCGCTTGACGGCACAGAGCTTGAAGGTCAAAGTCAGCATAGGTGAATATGTCTGGTTTCGGACTTAGGGACATTTCGATGGAGATTCGGGGAGGGAAGAAACATGGGTTCAAAAAAAGGGCCGAAAGCTAAGTACTAAAGATGGGGGTGGGATGCTTGTTGATCGTCTCGCATGATCTCGCCCACCAACCCATGTGATGAAACCGGAATATCAAAACAATATCAAAACATGTCGCATGTCGAACAATCAAAGAGTGTATGTGGTGACATCGATTTCCAGATGTCGTGTAATTTTAAACGATTTAAAGCTCAAGACTAGCAGAGACGCAATTAACATCCATCGAGACCATGCACACCACCATTCGCCGTATACTGGCAGGATCCAGTCCCTGCCGTCGTGGAATTCTCCGGATCCAGCACCACATTGTCAATGTCAATATTATAGCACGGGTGTACTTCCGAGCAGGACACGGATGAAACAGAACTCTTGCAAGCCTCATTAGTTTGCTGAAATCAATCCATAGTTCATTCACAATCTTACCAAATCCATCGCTATTCTGAACCCAATTCTCGCCATACGGCGCATCTACCGCAGTTGTATTGGCGTGAATGTTGTTGAATCGCATGTTCGTCCCGTTCATAATGTTCAAGCTCCACAACTGCGGATCCTTGATATAGAAGTTGTCCACGTTGACATTGGAGACATTCCAGAAAACGAAGGGCATTGGGCGTCCCGGCTGGGTGTTGCCTTTTTCTGCGGTATACCACACATTTCCATTACCGTCAATTCCACCCGTGCCGTATCCGTCAATTTTAATATTGTGGCCGGTGATGATGAAGCCGGCGTGGTGGTTTTGGAAGGCAATTGGGTAGGAGTTGTTTCGCCAGTAATCCAAGTCATCGGAGAACCTTTGAGGGATTAGTTTTCAGGTCTCGCGGATGGCTTGGAGTGACTTACAGTCCACTTGCCATGCAACTCAATTACTACGACGTTGATGACAGGATTGAGGCGAGATGCAATCCAGTATGACTGATCTTTGGGAAATAACAATTGTGCCCCCATTGCCGCATTCATGGAAGGCTTTGAGGATGTTTGGGACATCATCCTTTTGGTGGCCGTTGGCCTTGACTATGCAGACCTTCGAACCGGTTTTGAGGACCGCTGCATTTGCAGTTAACAGCAGTCCCGTACAAAGAGCTAAATAAATTCTGGACAGCTGCCTGGTGACTCGGGCTCAGAACATAACAAATGCAATTTCAATGCGGAGTCGATGCTTTATACTGGGAAATGCACGAAACCCGAGCAATCCCCACATCGACTCGGGCATCTTTGCACCGACGTCAACTGCGAAGAAGAGCGATTGCGGGGGTGATGACCAGAGTGCTTGTTGCGGCAATCCTTGTTGCGCCGACCCTTGCCCTGATCCTGGTTGATATCGATGTCTTTGGATATAGATTCTCCACCAATGACTGTCATGATACGCACGAGCTCCGCCGTTCTCCACGCCGGATCGAATGGAACTGAGTCAAGGGTTGTTCTAGTCAATGCCGAAGGCTGTCTTTCTATTTTAATTTTATGAGAAGGGGAGGTTTAGGATTAAAGACGGCAGGCACGGTGCTTGGAAGTATGAGTACAGCACCCAAGGATTGAAACATTGCCAGGGCCCCGGTGCTCTCGACAGAGCTGTCCGATATTAACACAAAAAAGTCGGATCAATATACCTTGGAATTTACTATTCCCGGTGGCACTTCGGGAAGCCTCACTCTTCCATACATTACTGCGTCGAAGAAACCTTCGATTACTATCAATGGGGACCAGGTTACGAGGGATGTAGTGTATGCGGATGACACTGCCACGTTCGGCGTAGATGGAGGCTCTTACAAAGTGATAGTCCATTGACTTACAGCAATTGATATTTATTTTCTCGTCGTCTTTAGCACAAGGATCAAACAAAGTTGCAACACTTCCAAATCTGTATAGATCAGCCCATATCACGTGCATCCCCACATCCACCTCCAACTCCGACACCAGCCGCTCACGTCCTCTCATTACAAGGAAAAAAGAGTACACAACATGGCTTCAGCACTTCGCTCCAGTCCCTGGCGCACGTGCCAGTGCCTCTCTCGCCAACGTATCCGGAATCCTCAAATCACCCGCCACCTCTCCACGGGCAACATCCTCCGATCCACCGGCCATGCCGGCAACAACCCACTCCGCTCGCAAGGTGGGCGCACAGGAGGTGCGCAGGACGGTGCACGTCGGTCAGTTGTACTTTCGGCAGCGGGGATGGTCCTATGTGCAGTGAGCATGTACGGCGTGATTAAGATGGACGTATTCGGGATGAATGCAGTCGAGGCAGGAAACGACAAGCAGAACCATGCCACGGCCACGCCGACGAAGAACGGCGCATTGAAGATGGATGGGCCATCCGGATTCCCAAGTGACGGCGGACCTTCGGTTATCCCTCTGCCGGGCCAAGACATCGTCAACATCGAGCAAGTCGCAACAGGAAACAGCACAGTCCCATATTTCCCAACCACGATCCGCCTGCCCTCCGCCTCCGAGACCGAAAACAAGCAACCCGGCGATGAACTCTCCACCGCCAACGGCGACGACTACCAGCTTCTGGGTCTGGGCATCCGCACCGTTTCATTCCTCTCAATTCAAGTCTACGTGGTCGGTCTGTACGTGGCCAAGTCCGACATCACAGAGCTGCAACAGCGCCTGGTGCGCACAGCAATCCACCCGCCCTCCGATGATGACGCTGCCGTCTCCGGGACTGGCGCCGAGTCCGCAACATCCCTCGTCCCGCCCGAGCGTGCCCAGCTGAAGGAGCTTCTCCTGGACGCAGAGCGCGGCGACGCAGCCTGGACCGCAGTATTGAAGGAAGACGGAATCCGCACAGCCTTCCGTATTGTCCCAACCCGCAACACGGACTTTATGCACCTGCGCGACGGCTGGGTCCGCGGAATCACTGCCCGCGCCCAGCAGAAGAAGCCGCTTCCCGGCGCTACGGCCCCTGGCGAGTTCCAGGACGCAGAGTTCGGAATGGCGATGAATGATTTCAAGGCTGTTTTCGGTGGTGGTCAGCGCAAGAATGTGCCTAAGGGTCAGACGCTTGTTCTGCTGCGTAATGCGCACGGCGCTTTGGATGCGCTTTTCCAGGCTGATCCTACGCAGTCGCCAAGGTGGATGGGCCGTGTTGCGGATGAGCGGGTGAGTCGGCTTGTGTGGTTGAATTATCTTGCTGGAAAGACTGTTTCTAGTGAGGGGGCGCGGAAGAATATTGTTGATGGGTTGATGGCCATTGTTGAGCGACCTGTTGGAACGGTGGTGCAGAGGGTCGTTTAGAGATTTGTGCGAGCTGTACTATTATACTGGTTCTTTCACGGCCGTCAGGCAGCATTTTAAGTTGTAGGGCCTGTATCGCATGTTCAGAAGCAAAGCTGTGCAATTGTGAAAAGACTCGAGTACCGTACGTACCCCCGAGCCTCAGATCTATCTATCTTAGAAACACAATCATATTACAGAGCATTGGCAGCCTTCAGCAGAGCAGGGAGCTCAGACTTGCGGGCCTGGAGGTCGGAGTTACCGCCGATGTGCTTCTTGTTGATGAAGATGTTGGGCACGCTGCGCTGGTTGGTGATCTCCTGGAGAGCGTCCTGAATAGCAGAGCCGTCGTCTGTAACAACGTCAGTATAAAATCCCATTTATGCCATCAAAAATAAAGCGCACTGGTGTAACACAGATAATGGGTAACGATCAAGAGGCCCGGCTAACGAACATGCCCGATCGTGTTCGCGCCCAAGAAAAGTGAAGCCATAGCGCAACCCACGGTCAAAACCAACTCCGAAAAGCAATCACTCACCAATTTGGTCCAGCTCAAGCGTTGTGAAGTTCGCGCCGAGTTCGTTCAACAGCTTCTTGGTGGCAACGCAGTAGGGGCAGTAGCTCTTAGAGAAGACGACAACGCCGTTCTCGTTGATGAGGGTCTGAGCCTTAGTCTTAGCGGCAGCCATGGCGGCGGGAGAAGGGGCGGCGAAGGAGCCGAAAAGACGCTGGAAGATGAACGAAATGGTGGGCGAGGGAAGGAAAGAAACCGGAGGTGTGCGCGGTCTCTTTAAATTCGAAAGGAAATGGATAAACGTGAAGGGGCGAGGTTCGGCGATTCGGTCATAGTTTGCCGCTATGATAAGTTATCAGGTGATGACTTGCTTGGTCAGCGTGCGGTTCGAGTTGTTGCGTCATGGGGAATGGTTGTTACTAGGTACTTTATTTCAAAATTGCTGATTCTAGAGTATTCTATCTACATTCATTGACAAGGTTAGTTTATATGGGCTGAGCACGCAATTCACATGGTTTGACTGTATGTGGCGTGCTACCGCAGTCGCTTCCATACAATCGCATCTACGGAAAACTCTGTTCTTTCTTCATGGTTTTTGATTGATAGGCTAGCTTAGCTGCGCACCATGCTCAAGTCAACTGAAAGATAAGGAAAGAAATAGAAATAACAGAATCGCTTGCAAGGAGGCTTGGGAATCTGGCAAAAGTGGCAGCAAATGTCCGCAAAACAGGCAAAATAAGGACGAAAACAAATGGATCAAAATGTAGACAAAAGATATATGCTGACCCGTTGACGAGACGGTGTCTTTTGCCTTCCGGCCACTTCGGCTGGGAGTCGGGAGAAATGATGACAGGAGAAGAGAAGGAGAAGGAGTGGATGCATGAGGGGGCGCCATGCTCCGGTAGGAAAGGACCGAATTAAAAGGAATTCCGGGTAAGGTAGACCAAACACCCTTTGGCCATTGGGAATAATCAATCCGGCTGAACACCATGGCTCGGAGATTAGAACAAAAATTGATAGACAATGAATAGAAATGAGACCAAGGGGTCTGTGCAGGTGACCAAGGTATCTCGGGGTTAGATAGGGCATAAGAAAGAAATGTTGGGTCGCGAAGGGGGAAGAATAAGAATGAAAACCCATCACATCACAATACAGCATCCACATCCCTTCTCTTTCTTGAACTGTTTCTGGGCGGTAACGACCGGAGGATTCCAGTTAGGGTTCTGTGTCAGCCCTAGTGGGGGTGTATCTTGCACCTTGGGCATTGTGCTGTATCCGGTGCTCGTGTTTGGTCGAGGCACTGCTTCTGGTTCTGGGCTCTTGCGCTTCTCCTCCACTGGAGGCTCCTTGCTCTTGGGCGGAACAGGAGGCACATCGTTCGGGTGGACGGCAAGAGGTGCAAAGTCGCGGTCGTATGTGGTAGGTGTTCGTCCCTCTTTCTCCCACTGCTCTTGTTGCAGCTTCTTTGCAACAGTCGGAAGCATCTGCTGGTCGGGTGGGAGACGAGGATCAGGCTTATACATTGTTGCCAGCCACGGCGGGTCGCCCTCGGGTCGGTTGGCCGCAGTGGTTGGCCGGCTTTCGCCAGAGCGAGTGGTAGGTCGCTGCAAGGCATTGCCCGAGACCGCACGGGATCTGGCAGTCGAGATCTTTCTATTTGCGGGCGGAGCAGATGTCTTCCGGGTGGCAGATCCTGCCTTTGCCGGCGTCTTTTTGGCCGGCGTGTTTGGCGTAGTGCTGAAGCCGCGGCTGCCCGGTCGGCTTCCTGGCGAAGGAGTAGATGGGTTCACTTCACCCATAGGCTCGCTTGCTCTGCGGCCTCGGTTGTCCTCGTCGTCGTATTCGTCCGTGGCCGCGCGGCTTCGAGGTCCGCGAGAATCACGCCCTGGCATGATCGGTACAGGACTAGCCGTCGAAATGGGTATTCGGGAAGAGCTCTTTCGGAGGCCGGGATGACTGTAGATGCTGGAGGCTGCTTCGTCCGCGGCAATTTCCTCAGGTCGGCGAAGATCCCAGTGCTGTCGTTCATCATCGGGGTATTCACCATCGTAGCCCTTCGGTTCCTCCCTTAGTTCAGGCCAGGGCTCCGAATGTTCTGCATTAGGCGAAGTCGTCGAAATAGGAGCACCACTCTGGTGAGAATCGTGACTCCGTCCACACCCTGTGCTCGACTTGCTGTCTGCCGTCATCCGTCGCTGGAACATGATGGCGGCCTGGTGGAGCTCCTCACTCTCAATTTTTGCAAGCTTGTCCCGGTGAATCCAATTCTCTTGATTCAATTCCTCTGGGTAGTACATCCCCCAGCCGTCCGGACCCTCTGCGTACTCCTTGCGAGACGGGTCATCTGGAACGATGCCGAGTTCGCTTCCATGTCTGTTCATGCTGGGGTCACGGCGGCCTCGGTTGGAGTGGTAGGAGCCATCGTGGACAGTTCGGGAGACAGAGGAGCTTCGAGAACCGTTTGAATTGTGCTTCCGAGCTGATCTCGCCTGGGCCGAGCTCGAATCGTGGGAGTTTCGCGATTTTGAGGAATGCTGAATGCCCTGTACGAAAAGAAATAGCGATCAGCAAAGAGATTTTTCCTCTCACCTTCTCCCACCCCCGAGTTTTCCCTAAGAACGAAAGAGAGAGAAAGACCAAGAGAAACCTACATCATTGGGAATCGGCACAGCAAAATCCCACTTCTCGTTATCCACGCCTCCAGGTGAGGTCAGGGCATCGGTTGAATAGGCGGTGGCTACGCCCGCCATTTCAATGGTGTGGGGGGTTTATTGGGGGGGGGGGAAGGCCAGGCCAGCTGGAACCCGAACAATGGAGAAACCAAAGGAAGGTCAAGTCCAGGTTCGCTTCAACGAGTATCGTGTGTATCGATCAGGCCATTACAGGCTTTGCCGGAGTCCCGCGTCACGAACCAAAGAAAGTCGGAATGGCGAACCTCGGGGGAGGTTGCAGGCTTTCGGTGGTAAAGGGGGCCCGCACACCGCAATGGGGAAGAAACTAAAAGCAGTAAATCGTAAATAAACTGCAGGGGGCTCAAAGGTGCAGTAGTCTGGGCGCGGCCTACAGATGTGACGCGGTACCCGGAAGCGATCCACGGGTGAGGACGTGGACCGCGCAATTCGGTTCCGTGGGAGCACCAGTCAGGGCAAGGGCTTGGGATGCGTCGAAGTATGACCTCTTGACGAGATTCAAAAGCTGAGATCTTGACTTCGTGAGGGTTCGAGAAGCACGAGGGGGAGGTTAAGGAAGATCGTGCGATGCGACAGTGAGGTGAGGAGGGGGGGGGGGCAAGCGGGCAAACAGTGCGGGGGAAGGAAAGAGCGGGAAGGGATGGAGAGAAAGTAGATATCACGACCTGCAAGAATCAAGGCCTAACGTCCAAGGTCCAAGATAGGGAGCAGAGCAGGAGAAAAAGAGGAGAGGAGAGACCGAACTGGGCCCATCCCAACTGGGAATAGCACGTCGATAGTCGTCGAACGAGTCTCTTTTCTTTTCTCTACTTGACACACGCACTATGAACCCGCGCCAAAATCATGAACTTGACAGCTCACGACCATTTCCCCGCGCATAGACGCATCGTCTGAGCCTGCCCTCTTTATCGTCTCAAGAACGAGTCAAAATGTTGACAGAACGAGCCCGAGCCTGGACCACGCGTTGGGGAGGAGCCCCTGAACCATGTTGATCAATCTTGAGATCCCGCTAAACCATTCCGGCAAATGTTCTTACAGAGGTCTTTGTCGAGTTTGTCTCCCCACTTTTCTTACGTCGAATCCCGTTATTTCTCAGCGGTCTGAGCACTCGACTGATCCGATGTGTCAATGCTAAATCGTGGTTCATGATTGACAGCTCCCAATAAATATGATGCTCGCTGGACTAGTATGTAGAAACGATAGTCTATGTAAGAGAAACACCCTTCTCCCACCAATCAAACGCGTCAAATGTACACATATCCCGGGGCGCGACCGGGCTCTTCTACTTGTTGGCCTGGTCCAATCGGTTGAGGGTCGCTTGCGCTTCCCTGATGAGCGCCTTGCGTGCATTGCGGACAGTCTCATTGCCGTCGGGCTCGATACCGTCTGCCTTCAGCATGATCTGCGCCAGGATCATCTCGCTCAGCTTCCTGTATTCGAATTCCCGCTTCTTCGGATCGGTGGGCGGGTCTGCCACATATTCGTCACAAAGCGGGATCAACTCCTGTTGGAGGTATCCAACCAGCGCAGCGACCTGTTCCAGTGGAGTCTTCAGGTTCTTCAGGTTCGGAGGCTGCAACGGAGTAGGGGCTCGATCAGACGCGGGTTGCGGAGGGGCAAGGGAAGCCGATGACCCTAGCGTCTCCTCTCCGCCTGCGGGTCTATTGTTCTTCTTCTTGTTCTTCTTTTTGTTTTTCTTCTTGGTCGTCCGCACCGGCTCATCTTCCCCGTCTACGCGGGATGAAGAGGACCCGGGCCGCTGGAACGTGGGATCACTAGTCCGACCGTCGTAATCGGAGGCGTCGCTGGGTGTGTTTGCTCCAACTTCAGAGACCACGCACAGCACTTCGGAGTGCTGCTTCAATCCTTCCGATTTGCAGGGCCGAGTGTCGTCCTTGAGGAGATTACCCTTGTATAGCAGCCGGATCTGGTTGGGGTTTTTCACGCCCATCTTCGCAGCTGCCTCCTGTCGTAGTGCGCCAACGGACAGGACGCCATCATCGATAGCATATGCGCGGAAGTGGAGCGGGTATATCGTCCCGCGGTGTCGGAGACAGATGATATCGGGCTCATTCTCATCCGCGTTCGCACTGTAACCTTGAGAAGGCGGGTCAACAATATCGTCCGGTCCGATATAACTGAAATCGCCGTCGCGAACTTGCGGCGCGGATGCATAGTTAGGCGAGCGGCGCCAGAGGTTGGAAAGGGGGTTGGTCCAACTCATCACGGTAACGGTGAGCAGGCAAATGAGAAGAGCGGCGCAGACGGCGGCGGTTTGTTCGTCGGCGTCAAATGGCAGCGCGCGCGCGACCGAGCGGAGAGAAGTGGCCGAGTACGTCAGAATGGGGTCCAATCGAGGGCGGAGGGACTGCAGGAACGGGAGGTTCTCCGTAACGTGGTCCAGGTAGAATGCACACTTCTCGCCCAAGGTGGACTGAGCGAGAGGGGAAGGCAGGAGAGTCATGGATTGCTGGGGGGCAGCTGGACCGAAGAGGTGGTCACATCATGCCCGCTCAAGCTGCTTCGCAGGCAGACAAGGCGGAGAGCACACTTTTTTTTGCCATCGTGTGGAGCGTTTCCACGGTTGCCTTGCAGTTTGCCATCGCGAGAGGCGCAGGCCTCGGGTTTTCTTACTGATCACTTGGAATCTTCGTGAGGAGTCGACGGGTGCCTTGTGCCACCTCGGGGCTTCCTACTGCTATCTGGTGGCATCAGGCCATTACACATCGTGTCTGAACCCACCTGTGGCGAGAATGGCAACCACACGGTTGATTCTGCACTTAGAAATACGTCTGTAAAATCGATATCAGTCTACATGAGCTAAGCAATAGTCCAGTCCAACTCAACTTTGAGGATAGTTTCTAGCTCCCCGTCACGTGTCGGTACTAGCCTTCCATTGAGCCTCCGGGATTCTTCATCCGCAGGCGAAATATTAGCTTTTCGTAGTTTTTGCAAATCTGTATGGGTATTGGCGCTATTCGATTTAGCACTTCATTCTATAGGGCCCCTTAGTTGGTAGACGCGCACTTTTTAGTCTCAGTGGCCCAAATGACGATGTATATATATTCATTGACGAACACCCTGCCATATATCGAGAACAACGCCTCCAACTAGTCTATCTGACTGCTATAACGACATACCCAAGCCGAATATATAGGCAAATAAAAATAAAAATAAAAATAGTAAACAGAAATTTGTCCAAGTAAGAGTAAGAGGTATAGGATTGGAATTGCCGAGACTGAACTGTGCAGGATAGAGCGGTCGTATGTGACACGAAGACACAAGACAACACGACAAAATACAAAATTGTAGATTCCAATAATTGAGTAACACAGCAGCTGGGAGGTACCATTAATCCAATACTTGATGAAATTATCCAGAAACTATAAGAAATATAGGACTTATACAACTAGGAAAGATACAAAAAGAGCAAAAAGGTATGCCCTCAGCCAGGATCGAACTGGCGACCTTCGGATGGCAATCCTGTTAACAGGACCGTCAAGGTGCGATGCTCACAATATGAGACCGACGTCATTACCACTAGACCATGAAGGCATTTGATGGAATTTGGCCCTACTAATAGTTATCTGACGCAGCAAGAAGGAAGCAAGGACGTCGATTTTTTTCCCATTCCGCGTATGTATGGCCTAGTTCACACTTCTGCGTGAACTAATAGATAGTTCGCCACTCATTTCTAAATAATTCACCTCTCAAGCCTAGCAAGTCTACTTTAGCGCTTTTTCTACACCTACGTATAGATTTAGACAGGAATAAGAAGTGAGGATTGTCAGTCATCCAGATCCTGGCAAAAGGTCGTGATGTAGCAAGAATTCGTCACGTGCATCAATAAATGCCTTCATGGTCTAGTGGTAATGACGTCGGTCTCATACTGTGAGCATCGCACCTTGACGGTCCTGTTAACAGGATTGCCATCCGAAGGTCGCCAGTTCGATCCTGGCTGAGGGCATACCTTTTTGTCAACTAAAACTTTTTAGTGTGGGGAGCGGGACATGGGGACCCACCACCAATAATGACAGATCTAACCATGACCCATCGAAACTTGCAGATGGGAGTAATAAGTGAGAAACTGTGAATGAGATGTAAAGGAGAAGCAAGAATGTAAGTAGCTTCGAAAGAGTGAAACATTTTTCCAACAATCGTGATATTTACAACTCAAAGGAATTCTATATTATACACTGTCCAGCAGCGGATACGGAGCAATCAAGACCCAAACACCGCATCATGCAAAATACAATCCAACCGGGCGATACGTGCAACACCCTCTAGCCCAGGCGCAACCGACCAGGCACAGCCCGGCCTCCAAACAACCGGTTTATACCGCCGTCCTCAGTGGTGGTGTTATCGCCTGACATCCAGCGAGGCAGACGCAAGGGCTCACCACCATTAAACCATTGCGGGGTATTGGTGGTTTCAAAAGTGTTGCGCACACGGTGGGCAAAAGATTTGAAAAAGTTCTCTTCTTCTTCCTCGTCGTCAACCACAGTAGGAGCTGTCACGGGTCTTTGGGTTTGAGAAGTCCGAGGAGACCGCGAGCCCTCAGCAACCGGGACACGTAGCCGAGATGATCCACGAGAGTCACCCTCCTCGCGGTCAGACGCCCAGGTGGAACGACCACCACGAGAAGAGACGGCTAAGGTACCGTAGCCGTTCAGTTCGCGCTCGATCAGGTCCCGGCCTTCACGCCAGCCACCCATACCGTACCCGGCGGGGTTATTCTCGACATCGTGAATATCATCGTCCTCTGCAAGGCCGAATCCGCAGATGTTCTTAATACGACCGTACAGGTTGAAGAGAGTTGCGCAGATTGGAAGGAGAATGAAGATCGGGAATATGAAGTCGAACCATTTACCGAGACGCGTGAGGTTGATCAGCTGGCCGAGGAACTTGTAGAATGTGGTACCCCGGCGGAAATCCTTAGGCAGGAATGTCAAAAAGTTATAGGCGATGGGAACGGTCAATCGAGCGACGAGGCTGGCGTACCAGCAAGCACTCTCGCCATAGGTATTGCGGCGCACGAGGGCCCGGTTGCCCCACACCTGGACATCATTGACACCTACGAGGGCTGCAACGCACATGTATAGCAGCCACGCAGAGGCAATGACCTGGTTGCCAAACCCAAGAGGCTTCTCGTCCTTCCACTTCGGTACCACAGTCCAAGTCACGGCGGACAGTTGGGGCGCCAGAGACTTGATCAGTTCCGACCAGACGATGCACACGGATGCTACCGCGAAAAAGGCACCAAAAGCGAGTCTCACGGTGGGGATAATGTTGTAGTAGAGCTGATAGCGCATGTATGGGGTCAAAAACTTCATCTTAGGAAGGCAGGACGACCGGCGCGGAGCCGGTGCAAACTCGAGCTTCTTCGACGCGGCGGAGTTCATGATGGTTTCTAAGTCGGCTGCAGATTGAACCAGGCGATCCCACTCATCCACAAATCGTGCCTTCATATGTCGCGCGCGCTGCAGCCGCCTTGTCAGGTCTGCCAGGTAGCGCTCCGTAATAACCGACGGGATGGTGGCAGAAGTATCGGCCGACTCGAGAATCGGGACGCGCACATCGGAAGAGCCGGAGCTCTCGGCTAGATCCTCAATCCATTCCTGGAAATCACGAGCGGTCCCAGTCTTGCGTTGCTGCAACTGATCAACCTGCGAGTTGAGATTTTCCAGTTCGTTGACCGCGTCCATCAAGCGCTCATGCACCTTGGGAGCATGTGCCTGAAAGCGGCGCAGCCGGCCGCTGATGTTGGCGTTTCGGAAAAGATTACGCGGGATCGAGACCAAGCCGTGACCCATCAGGTAGATGGCGAGCACAAGACCCCACACGTATGCTAGGGCCATCACCAGACCCTTGATCGAGGTGAAGTCAAATCCATTGGAGATAGAGACATAGATAAGCCCCACAGTTGCGCATGCCAGGACGATCAATTGGTACCGGGCATTCGAGCGGAGGGAGTAGAGGATACGGGCCTTGGGTTCGCGGTATCCGGAGTCGACGTAGTCGCCCAAAAGCGGAAGGATGGCCCTGTAGACATCAAGTTAGCGACTGGAAGTATTCGAGTCGCATAATCATAACATACCAAGTTAGCATGAAGATCAGCCAATAGGCGATGCGCCAGCACACCAGGACCACGCGATCCGGCAACCAGATTGCCTTCGGGCCGGTGCCATCTCGCGAACTGGAGGCTAAATCGATCGGAACCAGGAGAACAACGCTGGCTGGGAGAGCGAGAGCCAGAAATATCGGTACGAGGATGTAAGCTGGTGTGGCGCGAATGGTCACAAAGCGGCGCAAGAGCAGCAAAACGAGGACGGAGATCGAGCAGAGGGCCAAGGCGAAGAAGACGTTGGAGCCCACGGAGACGGGCGGAACGGAGACGGAGAACATGATATAGGAGAAAGGGAAAATAAACAAGTGAGAATGTGTCTAGCTGTTGCTCATGGCGAGGATGAAGCTCCGGAGAAGTGTGGAGGGAAGTTGAATATAGAAATAGAACAGTTGACGTTTCCAGGGGAGTGAGTGGCTGACTTAAGCTCCGGGGGCTACGCAATGCGCCTCGGGTAGCGGTACACACTCCACCACATTATTTTGCAACGGGGTGGAGGTACTGGTACTTGGGTGACGCCTCAAATGCGGGCCCCATTGGACCAATTGGGGCGGCCGGATCAGGCCAGGGCCAGAACGTCGATCTTGGGGATGGCCGTACAGTATATTCATCGCAAGGTGTATACATACCCCGATGTAGGGTTATCCGTATGTAGGATAAGGCATTTAGCATTTGGCATTTGTCGAATTGTTCTCAAAGACAATAGCTTCAATAGCTCTTTGCCATAGGATCAATAAAGGTGTGTAACACCGATACCGGGAGTTTCCATACATTACGCAGACAGAGACGATCACGCGGCTCTTGTGCCTGGCCTTGTGACCTGGAATGACATGGCAATACCATCGCAATACAGCCTTACCAGTACACCCAATTCGTCACCAGCTTCGAAGGTGAATTGCGATTACTCTCTACAGTCCTCTTTTTCCTATCCTCCTAGTCATCTTGTCTTCGCCATCTTCTTCTCCCCGTACTCCAGTTGTACTTTAAATCTTTTTCTTTTTCTTTTTAGCTCAGTTTCGCGCCTCCGCCCGTTTTCCCCGGCCACTCCACCCGAGTGTCCTGTGCACTCTTGAAACAACCTTTGAGACCCAACCATCAAGTCTTCCCTCCCAACCACCCCCTTCCTCCACTCTTTTTTCGAAATTCACCCTTCCTCGTTCGTATCCCGAACGTGGTGTCCTCCCGAATTTGTCTCTGCTTCGTCCACCCCATCGGCTTTTGCAGACACGACGGGGGACAGACCGGTGCGACTTAGGAGCTGCAGCATCCCTGTCACGGATCGCATCCACCCTACGATTGCGCCCGTCCACCTCATTCGCTCCAATCCTCATCCGGGCTTTCGTCAGCGAATCTAATCCAATTGACGCTGGTGCCCGAACGCCTTGCTTTCTCGCCGTGCTCTTCGCTCGTTGCTCCTCCTCCACTCTCCGGCTCTCCGTTTGGGCCATTTTGAATTCATCCCCACCCTCCCTGATCGACTCAACTCGGCACGGTTCCACACTAGCAGTCGCCTTCCTTTTTTTCCCCCCTCCACCGCCGATCTGCGTACCGACCGCTATTCCGAACCTGCGTCTCTTATCGATCTCGCGACTGTCATTGTTTCGTCTTAATCACGCCGCGACACGGACACACCGTCCAGCGAATGCTGATCGCAACGACCACCCCTTCGCGGATTGATCAGTGATCCCCATTAATGGGGCTTCGGTCATGAATCCCGCTCAGTTCCCCAACCCTGGCGGGGGCATGCCTGGTGCGGTCACGCAGGGCATGCAGCCGCCCAAGAACGAGAATGCCCAGGCCATCATGGCCCATGTCGCCCATGTGTTGTCGAACCAAGGACCTTATAGTGGATGGAAAGCAGAGGTTCCGATAAAGGCGCGGGCGATGAACGTGTATCAGATGTGCGTTTAGCCCTTGGTTCCTTCTCCTCATGCATGCTTACACCTCCCTAGGATTACTTCCCTCCGTCTCATCCAACCTCGGATCGATATCAACCAGGCCGCACAGGCTGCGCTGAGCTTCGAGCAGAAGTCCTTTCAAAAGGCCACCGAACGGGTTTGTCCTTTCCGCCCGTACTTTGAGAAGGGAAAATCATGCTGACATCGTTCCTGTTCTTCACAGTCCGAATATGATAAGGATTGTATGGAGAAGCTACTCCACATCAAGGATACTCGACAGAGACAGGCAGCGGTCGCGATTCAAAGTGGCATGATACCCCAAGGGGGTGCCATGCCGAACCAACCTCAGGGTGCTTTTCCGCAGCAGATGAATCCGAACATGCAGACGTCACCCGTTCTGGGCCAGCCCCAGATGGCGATGGGAATGAACAATATGAGCCAACAGGCTGCAATGCAGCAGCGCCGACAACAGTCAGCCGCGATGCTCCAGCAGCAGCAGCAGCAGCAACAACAACAACAGCAACAGCAGCAGCAGCAGCAGCAGCAACAGCAGCAACAACAACAACAGCAGCAGCAGCAGCAGCAGCAGCAGCGAGCTCAGCAACGCCCCGGAAATGGCGCCCCTCTTCCCGATGACCTGAACACGCTCTCCCCGCAAGAACTCGAGCATGTGGCTCGACTGGCTCAACAAATGCAGTCCAAGACCTCGCCTGAAGACATGGAGAAGATTAGGATGAATCTGTCCAACATGAACCCAGACCAGCAGCAGTACTTGGCTCGAAAGAACATGGATCCGTTGACCTATTTCTTCCGCTCGCAAGCACTCAACCAGCTGAGAAGACACCGTCGCGCTCGCATGGAGATGGGTCGTGGCCAAAGTGCTAGCGTGGACGGTATGATGAGTGGTGGTGATCCTATGAACAATCCTCAGATGTTCCAAAACATGATGAACCTCCAGCGCAACTCAGCCTTTTCTGGTACTCCCGGCCAGGGTCTTGATCCGTCGAACGCCTTCATCGGTAATGTGGAGAATATTCAGGGCCAGCAAGCAGACGGGCTTCGATCACAGGAAGCGGGCCAGCTTGTCGTTCCTGCCAGCTCATCGCAGATGAACCACCAACAGTTCCCAAACCAGCAGAACATGTTCCCCCAGGGAATGGGCCAGAACGGCCAAGCCAACATCAACGGCGCCGGCGTTAACCCTCACATGTTCAACCAGCAGCAAATGCAGAATGGCAACCAATTCCAGGCCCAGCAGTCCCAGGCACAGGCTCACGCACAGGCTCAGGCTCGTGCCCAAGCAGCCCAGAAGGCCCAGATGGCGATGTCAGCACATGGTGGTCAGGCAAACCCCCAACCACAACCCCATCTCTCCCAGCAGAGCCCAGTGATGCCAATGTTGAACCAACCAATGCCCGGTCAAATGTCTCCAGCTCAGGTCCCAGCTCAATCTCGACCTCCATCCCGCCCACCAAACATAGGTCAGCAACCTGGTGGAGTCTCGCAGCCTGGAATGCAAGCTCGACCGCAGATTCCGGCGAACCTTCCCCCGCAGATCAAGAACCAGCTACAACAAATGACTCCCGAGCAACTCAATGCTTTCTTCTTGAACCAGCAGCGCCGTGCCAGTATGGCAAACAACATGGCTCGAGGCAACGCTCCCCAGCCGCCCGGCTCCCTTCAGCAGACCGCATCACAACCTGGCCAGAACCCGGCGATGATGAATGGACAGATGGGAAACAATCGCATGAGGAACTCCATGAGCATGCAGCAGGGCATGAACGCAGGGCAGGCCCAGGCTCAGCAGCTTCAAGGTCAGCAGATGACGCCGCAGCAACGGCAACAACAGCAGCAACGACAGCAAGAACTTTACCAGATGCAACTGCTCCGCAACCAGAACAACGGCATTGAGATGAACCAGGATCAAGTCAAGCAAATGGACCAGGTCCCCTTCCCGCCGTCCCTTCTCAGCAATTCGTCTTCTCAGGTGCCGAAGAACATCAAGTCCTGGGGCCAGCTTAAGCAGTGGGCGGCTTCGAACCCGCAGGCCTCGAACGGTGTCGATCTGCCAAAGCTCATGACGCTTCAGAAACTTCATTTTGCGCAGGTTGTCAGCAATCAGGCCAAAGACCTCAATGCCCAGGCCGCAGGACTACCTTTCAAAGGAGCCCAAACACAGGTGGCAAACACACAGAATAGCGCACAGAGTTTCCAGCCCGGCCAGCAGCCTCCTTTAAATATGCCAACTATGCGTGCGATCACGGCCCAAGACATTCTGATGGCCCGGCAGAAAATTGGACCCAATTCTCACAACTTCAGCGACGATCAGATTCGCGAGATCCTACGTAACCGTCAGAGACAAATTCTCATGCAGGCGGCTCAGAACCGAGCACAAATGACTGGAAACATGGCATCGGCTCCGAATCAGTCCATCTCACAGCCTCCCATTTCCGTTCCCCAACCCGGCCCGCAAGCTAAGCCTCCGATGCCACAACAGCAACAGCCCCAGCCAGCCGAGCCTGCGAAGGCGCAGACTGCAACCGCAACCAAGGGGGCAAAGGGACCGACGAGCAAACCGGCTTCGAAGAAGCGAGCCAACGCTGATGAATCTGCTGAGACTCGCGCCACGGCCACGCCTCAACAGCCTCAACCAGCAGCACCCCCTAGCGGGCCTTCCAAACCTGGCGTTCAGTTCACACAGGAGCAAATCGCCCAAATGAGTCCGCAGCAGCGAGCACAAGTTGAGGCTCAATTCCGTCGACAGCAACAAATGCAGTTCCGCGGCACGATCCTCAACAGGGCGGCTGCAGAAGAAGCCTGGAACAAAAATCTACCGCCCAAGGTCATGGAGGTGTACACCGATATCGCCAAGAACGCACCCGCTTCGAAACCTATTCCCGTTTCTCCAGAACAGAAGGCGATCATGACCCAGCAGCTGCGTGACTCCCTGGATGTGCTTGGTCGATTGGATGTTTTGGTGTTGCACGGATTCCCCCGGTTACAGGGCCAGGAAAAGAACGTGAGGAACGTTCTCGCGATGCGAATCCAGTTGATGCGGCAGTTCAAACCGTCAGCCGAATGGATTGTCAATGATCAGTTTACCATCACTCCGGATTATTTAACTGGTGCAATCCTGTTCATCCGAAAGCTGTTCCAGGTTATGATGGTTCGCATGAATCAGCAACGATCCAACGCCAACCAGCAACAGCAACAGCAACAACCTCCTGTATCGGGTCCTCCGAACACGCAGGCTGGCACCTCAGCATTAAACGCGACCAATCTCCAGCAGCTGCAGCGGCAGCAGGAAGAAGAAGCCCTCCAAAGAGCTCGTCGCGCCTCCAGCCAGTCTGCAGGCGTCGCGCCAGCGCCATTTGGGGCCCCCTCTCCCCAGGGAGTTCCGCATGCATACGGCCCCGGTGGTCTCGCACCCGAGAAGCTCAAGCTTCCTCCGCCTAAGAAGAGAAAGCAGTCCCATGCCGGCCCCAGCGCATCTCCCGTGCAGGCCAGCGCTCCTCCCGCCGCCGCTGCAAAATATAAGCAGGACGTGGCAGATGCCAAGTCTCAAGCTGCGGCTTTGTCTCGAGGAGGGCCGTGGACATGCTCCGTTGCTGAGTGTCCGCATCACCTCCAAGGTTACACGACCCAAGCCGGGTTGGAAATGCATATGAAGGACGATCACCCGCCCGAGGAAGAGGAGATGCCTGAAGATGTTATGCAGTTTTACATGGACAGCATTGACATTGGCCTGGGTCTTGACCAGAAGACCCTGCAGGCCAAGGCGGTTGCTACCGTAGCGGTATCTGCCCCCAACAACCTCAGTGTGGCATCTCCTGCCAAGCCGGCCCCTGCCACTCCCACCGCAACCCCCATGCTGCGCACTGCTAGCCTCCTGGGAGCAAAGACCGCTTCCCCTGCCACATCGGCTCAGCAGCTCACTCCTGGCCAGGCTGGCAAGAATCTCAAGCCTTCGCCCGGCAAAGACACCCCGAAGGATGTCAGCAAGGATGGCATGGCGAGAGACCCGTGGGCGGATGCGCCGATGTCTCTGGAGAAGATCCACGATACCTTCCAGCCCGTTTTCGCGGAGTGCCGACGCCGCGAAATGGGTTACGACCCCTTCGAAGAATTCATGAATGCCGACATGTTCTCTGGAGAACAATCAGACAGCACCCCCGACTCCCTGGACGTTGCACTGGCGACTCGGACCCCCGAGGACAAAACCAACATCGAGACCAACCAACCCGTCAACTGGCAAGACTGGATGCCCTGGGATGCCGAAGCGATTGAGGCCACCGAGGAGTGGATGGGGATTCCCTCAAGCATCGCTTTCGACAACCAACTTCTTAATGGTGGTGGTGACACTCTCCAAGTCGACTTCGAGCGTCTCCAGCGCATGTACCAGGAGTCGAAGAACCTCGACAGTGCCAATCTTGCTATTCCCGCCTTGTGATCGACACGAGTCTTTTCACATATCTTTACATCACAGTTAATATGGACCGATATCACGACTTTGTTTCTGGCGGCTTTACGGCGTACATAGGATTTTTTCTCTCTTTCCTTTTCAGGGGCGAAGCATGTGTACAATACCCAATGCGGGACTCCAGCTTTTATGTCTTACTTTCGTTTCTGAGCGATGTCTATCTTCTTCTTTTCTTTGTCTTTGTGATTTCCCACCGAGCTCAGCGAGGGCGTTCTTGAGGGGGAAAAGATGGGACTTGTTCGCCGCTGGAAAAGCGTGATGGTTCATTCGGCAATTATTTGGTTTAGCTAGTAGGGTTGAATTAAACCTGCTTGCAAATATTGTTTCTTGTAGAGATCCCGATCCCGATCCCTCGTAGACACCTGTCGCGTATCTCAACCCATCAACTAAGCATAGATAGATCGACGTGAGACCCACTCGGCATACCACGAGTCACGTCAGCTGCCGCTTATCACGCGATAAGGTTCTCCGCTTTGTTCAACCTCTCCAAATCTCTCCTCTTCTCTCCTCCCCAACTGTTCTTCACCACGGCAATCATGGCAGGCCGTAGCTTCATCCCATTCCTGGTCACGATGATGCTCGTGACCGGAGTCTGCAACACCATCCTCAACAAATACCAGGTGAGCACGAGTTCCCCTCCTACCGGGGGTCCCCAGCTAACACCGAACAAAGGACATGCAATGTGTACGGAACTGTGACTCCCCCGATCCCAAGGAGCGGAAGTTGTTCGAACAGCCCGTTATTCAGACGTATGTGTATATCCGAGGTTGGCACCGGAAGCGTGCGGGCCGTGACTCGCACGAGACGATAAGCTAATCCATTGCTCAGAGCGCAAATGTTCGTCGGTGAAATGGGCTGCTGGCTAGTCGTTGGGTTGTCTATTCTTTACAAGCGCTTTGTTGCGCCCCGATTATCCCGCAATGCATCTCCTCTTCTGGCCGGCGGCTACCGCCCTGTGCCCGAGGAGGACGGCGACGATGACCACACGATTGATGAACCGGAGGACCAGAGACATCCCAAGCCTATCCACGGATATGGCAATCGGATCCCGCTTCGTGGGTGGCGGATTCTCCTCCTTGCTGCACCCTCGTCCTGCGACATCGCAGGCACGACCCTCATGAACGTGGGTCTGCTTTTCGTGGCGGCGAGTATCTACCAAATGACACGCGGGGCTCTGGTTCTATTTGTTGGGTTATTCAGTGTTATTTTCCTCCGTCGCAAGCTCTACCTGTACCAATGGAGTGCGCTGTTTGTCGTTGTCCTCGGCGTCGCACTCGTGGGACTTGCTGGTGCTCTTTTCAGCGGCGATAGCGGCCACGATCTCACGCAGGATGACGATGTCTCTGGCCAGGTCGCGAATACCCCTCAAGCTGTACAGACGATTATCGGGGTGCTGCTCATTGCCGCGGCGCAGATCTTCACTGCCTCGCAGTTCGTGCTGGAGGAATGGATTCTTGAGAACTATGCCATGGATCCTATCCAGGTTGTGGGCTGGGAAGGTGTCTTCGGGTTCTCGGTTACCCTGATCGCTATGGTTATTCTCTACATCGCCGTTGGAAGCACCGAGGCTGGTCGCTACGGCTACTTCGATATGAAGGAGGGATGGCACGAGATGATTACGAACCGCGCTGTTGCTGTTTCCAGCATGCTGATCATGATCAGCATCGGGTATGTCTCTTTCCCTTCTGCATTTCCTCACTAATATCACATAACACTATTAACACAATACTAGCGGCTTCAACTTCTTCGGTCTGTCCGTCACCCACTCGGTCTCCGCCACCTCGCGCAGCACAATCGACACATGCCGCACACTCTTCATCTGGGTCGTCTCTTTGGGTCTGGGCTGGGAATCCTTCAAGTGGCTACAAGTTGTCGGTTTCGGCCTGCTCGTCTATGGAACCTTCTTGTTCAACGACATCGTCCGGCCCCCGCTCAAGGCTTGTCTTCCGAGTAATGGGAGAGAGGGCGAGGTCTTGCTCCCCGAGGAGCCGATTGAGCATATCTAGATCTACCATGAACCTTCTGTCTGTGATACGAATGAAGACTTGCATGTTGGGCTATGAGAGTCGAAGCTGTGTGCTTCGATGCTTTGGATACGATCTTGCATTCGGATGCTTCTCTGGAGTTATTTGTTTCTGACACTGTCTCTGGGAGATATATGGGCTTTTCTTTTTGCATTGATGGTTGTAGTATTTTTGATATATCTATAGAGCCTCGTGGCTTGACTCATCTCATTATCCGCTGACTCTACCTGCAATCATTGAAATACCTTATCTTTGGTATCGAGTAGTCACCCCAGGTATTCTATAGGAGATAAAGCCCAATTTTGGGCTCTATTAAGACCTCGGCAATGGCTCTATAAAAACCTTTTGTGGCTACAGCTCGAAGATTCTCATTCTTTGACTTATCGTACTCCAAACAGAAAACCACTTCATAAAACGCCCCAATCCTGCACCATGCAACACAGGCTCATGCGTTGAATCATCTGCTACCGAAGCATGTAAAAGAAATAGAATCACCTTCCCAAAAGAAGGCAAAGCAGCAACGGAACATGGAACTAAAATGTCTAAACGGGGGTCCATAAAAGTGACTAGGGGTGTGGGCGTATAGAACGAGGTGCTGCATGAGAAATTAGACATTCATCCGCCCGACATTTTGAAGCGCTCTGCTCTTTCTCCATTTTATTCAGTCAAGATCCAGGGAAGCACAGCCAAGTTTTCTCTTCAAGACCTGATTTACGGCTCGGTCCAGTCAACCTGGTCGGTGACGCTGTTCCCACCGTCACGGCAGGATGTGACGCGCAGGCGTAGGCGGAGTTTGGGAGGAAGGGCCTGGGTGTGTTTGTTAGCTTGGGTGCTCAGTAGGGAAATGGAGATGTTGCTTACCCCATTCACTCCGGTCACGCGCATTGTCTGCGTGCCCTCGTCGCCGGCATCGAGCTCGGCCTTGCTGATCGCGCTCAATTGCAGCTTCTGGCTTTTGGGTACGGCAGCCTGAAGACCGACGTTGGTAAAGCGGTCGAAGTTGGACTCGTTGCGGAAACGGGCCATGATCTGCGCGTTGTTGCCGCTGCGCTGGACTGCCAGAGCAAGGGAGAGGCCGTCTTTGCTAAAGACTGTGTGCGCAGGCGTCGAGACGGAGCCGAGAGCGGGCGAGGATGAAGGCGAAGGTGCAGCCGCCCCGCCACCCAGCAAGTCCACGAAGGCAGATGAGGGCTGCGGTTGCGGGGAAGGTGAGGCACCGTTGGAGCCGAACATGTCCATGATGGAGTTGGTGTTCATGCTGTTTTGGGCGGGAGCTGGGCCAGGCGACGACATGCCCGAGTCGCCGCCAAGGATATCTGCCAGCAGTTCGGCGGTGTTGGACCCGTTGGATGTCGGGCTGGTCACTGGAGCTTCGTCACCTCCCATCAGGTCGAGAAGCAGATCGTGCTCGGCCGGCTTGGAGGCCTTGGTGGACTTGCCGCGGAGGACTTTGCTCTGGCGCTTCTTGGCAGGTGCACCGAGAACACGCTGTTCCTCGCGAATCTCAGGTGCGGGCATCCGCTCGAGCACGCCGCGGCGAATCTGGTCATAGCCGAACAGGTTGGTGTATTCGACAGCACGTTGTTGAATCTCGACGCTCAAGTCGGCAGTCCGGCCGGTCAGGAAACGACGCAGACGCTCGATCTGAGAGGGATCGGACATGCGCACGGTAAGCTTCATGGATGCAGTGGTGATGTACTCGATGGCAGTCTGCGTGGCGTAAGTGCTGTTCAAGATGTTGGTGAACAGATCCACAATATCGCTTTCCCGGACCTCCTTGACCAGCTCCTCCTCCTCGTACTGGCCACCCTGCAGCAGACTGTCGGCATATTCGCCAATGGTCCACGTAGCAGCCAGTGTCAAACCCTCTTGCGAGATATCTTCTTTCAATGACGAATAAAGCTTCTGAACGGCATACGTCTGCAGCTCGGGAGTAGTCGCAATGAGACGCACGAACGACGAGAGAATCTGCTCCTTGACGTAGTTTCCAGCCAGCTTGAGAACTCGGAGAATGGTGTCCATGTGCCAGCGCTTGTTTGGGGCAAATCGATCAGCGGCGATGCCAATCTGGGAGGTCATAATCGGCTTGAATTCGTTGTCGGCGACCTCCAAGAAAGCTAGCAGTTCCCGCACGAGCACCCGTACATTACTCTCGTTGATCAACATGAAGCTGAGATCAAGAGCACGTCGGCGAATACTGATGTCGGGATCCCTCAGACATTCCAAGATGGTATTGCGATGTCTTTGCACTGCATTGGGTTCAATCGCAACGACCTTGTTGAGCGTGTTCAATGCAACATAGCGGATGTTGTTGTCTTTGTTAGCCAAGAATTTACCGAGGATATTGACGCCGAGAACTCGCAGACCAGAGTCGGCCTCAATATCCAGGATAGTGAGCACGGCCTCGTACAGAATAGCGTTGCCCACGTTCTTGGACGAGTCGGTGTTGGTGGCCACCTGGGCCAGGATGTCGTTGATCAATTCGCTGGTTGCCGCATCTCCTCGGCCCAAAACCCGCAGGAACCGAAGAATCTTGACTTGCAAAAAGGGATCTGTGATACCAGAGACATCATGCTCCGGTGCATATCCAGATGTTGTCAATCCCTTCAAGGCGCGGACGAGGCCCCCGGCAAGGGGCCGGAACATCTCAATCACACCCTCCGGCCCTTCCCCTTCCTCCTCTTCCGCCTCACACAGATCAATAGCAAACGTCAAGCCGCAGAGCAAAACGCCGTGGTTTCGGTCTGACAGTAAAGTCTTGGCCTTCTCCAAAAAGTGTTCGTACAGGTCCGGGACCTTGCGACATATCCGCATGGCACAGATGGCCGCTTTCCGGCGAATGTAAGGGTTCCCGGTGGACATGAGAGACTCGACTTGGGGGAATAGATCACGGGACATCTCGATGGAGGCGATGTTGCCGAGCGCGCAGAGGGCGAGGCCGACGATATACTGGTTGGAGTGGTTGAGATCACTGCGTGCTTGTCAGCATTGCTTCCCCGTCTATCGCCCAGCTTATGACATAGTACGCACTTTCCAAGCGAATTGGTGACGAGTGTCAACACCTCCTGGTTCTCGTCAAGCAACAGCATCGTCCCCAGGTAACCAAGGCGCTTGTCAGCGAACCGGTGTGAGGCGAGTAGTTTCAGGCATTCGATCTGACCAAAGTGAGTCCGCTCTCCCAGGGTGAAGAGGTACAGCAATTTGGCCACATTGTTCCTCCTGTAACAGCATTAGACGGGGTTATGGTAATGAATAGGGTGCGGTGACGGTACCGGATGCCGGAGTCGTGGCTCTCTTCGCGAAATGAAGCTCGAATGGCGGCGCTTTCTTTCTGAATAACGGCCCGCTCATCGGCTATTGTCTTGGCCGACCGCACATTCCGAATGAATTGCTTGACTGTTGGACGAGTTGGGTTAGAGGGTCTACATCGTCAGGGGAGAGGAGGGGCGGCGGGCAACGTACGGGAAGACATGGCGGCCACAACCCCCCGGCGGGGTCAGGGAGGTAAAGGGGCAAATGAAAGGGAAATAGATAAAGTCCGCGGAGGGACTCAAAGATAGTGCGGGCAACTCGTCAGAAAGTGAAGCATCTAGCACCCGGTCTGAACTGTGCTTTATTATGAGCCCGTGACTTGGGTCGACCTGGCTTCTTGGCGCGGGAGGACGCGCTAGTCCTTATATGGAAATAGCGCGGTTGTTTCTTTGTGGAAGGTCACATGACACTTTTGACCCGTGAAACAAGGTGTTGAGAATGGCTCAGCACATGGGCTCTGACGTAATAACGGGTCCCTGCTAACGTAATTCACGGCCAACCCGTTAACACGGCCAACCCGTTAGCCCCACCAGAAATCGCGCGTCCAGTCCTACCTACCATCTTCAACTACCCACCATGCCACCAAATCGCTCTGAATCCTGGCATAAATCTGCTGAGCAGGAGGGCAGGATCCTATTAGCCCTTCAGGCGGTGCAAAAGGGCCAAATTAAATCTCTCTACGCCGCAGCGAAGCTATACGATATGCCCTACACTACCCTCCACGACCGCGCTACCGGAACGTCTCCACGCGTCGATAAACGCTGGCATAGCCATAAAATGACACAATTAGAAGAGGATTCGCTTACTGAGTGGATCATCTCTATGGATTCGCGTGGTGCAGCACCTAGGCCCTCTACTGTGAGAGAGATGGCTAATATCCTACTGGCCACTCGTGGGATTCACCCTCCGCCTACTGTAGGCGTGAATTGGACATCATCCTTCGTTAAACGCCGCGAAGAGATCCGCTCGCGCTTCTCGAGACGCTACGATTACCAGCGCGCCCTGAATGAAGATCCGAAGTCGATACGAGAGTGGTTTAATACCGTAAAGCGCGTGGTCGATGAGAATGGGATACAACCAGAGGATATTTATAACTTTGATGAGACGGGCTTTGCGATGGGCCTTATATCGTCACAGAAGGTGGTTACGCGAGCTGAATACTACGGTCGGCGCTCTATCTTACAGCCAGGAAACCGCGAATGGGTTACTGCTATCGAGGCTATATGCGCCGATGGCTACGCACTACCGCCATGTGTGATATTTCAAGGCAAGGTTTATATTGCTGGCTGGTTCGAATCAAATCTGCCTAGCGATTGGCGGATTGAGGTCTCGAATAACGGCTGGACTACCGATGAGATAGGCCTTCGCTGGCTACAGAAGCACTTCATTCCATATACGAATTCGCGCGTACGAGGTCGATATCGGCTATTAATTCTTGATGGCCACGGTAGCCACCTTACACCTCAATTCGACCGAATCTGCGCTGAGAATAATATTATACCGCTCTGTATGCCTTCGCATTCTTCGCATTTACTCCAACCGCTTGATGTTGCGTGTTTTGCTCCGTTGAAGCGCGCATACGGTCGCTTCGTGAGCGACCTCGCCCGATATGGCTATAACCACATCGATAAGCTCGACTTTCTCGCAGATTACCCTCGGGCGCGTATCGAGGCGTTTCAACCGCAGACTATCCAGACTAGCTTCGCTGCTACTGGTCTTACACCGTTTGACCCAGAGCGTGTGCTTTCTAAGCTCAATATCTCGCTCCGAACGCCAACACCGCCAGGAAGCCGACCAAGCAGCAGATCTAGCCAATTCACACCAAAAACGCCTAAAACAGTGATTCAGCTACAAAAGCAGGCTACCTTACTCAAGAATCTATTGAGACAGCGGTCAAATAGCCCTCCGTCACCCTCAAAAACTGCTGTGGATCAGATTATCAAAGGTGCTTATTTATCGATGCATAACGCTGCGATACTAGCGCAGGAGAACGCTAGTCTACGCAGAGCAAACGAGAAGAAACGCCAGAAACGTACACGGTCGAATCGACAAATAGCACATGAAGGAGGCCTATCTATCGCAGAGGGCCAACTGCTAGCTCAGCAGCCAGATCAGCCAGTTGAAGATAGCCCGGTGGTATCGCGTGAGGCAGGCGAATCAGCTAGTCAGGCAGATTTGCCACGCAAGAGGGCTCCGCCAAGGTGTAGCGGGTGTGGGGAGTTAGGGCATAAGATTAATCGTTGTAAGAAGCGCTAGTTTGAGATGAATTTATACTTTCTTGGTGGAGTTATCTTGAATAGAAAATTGGTAATGGAGGTGGACTAACGGGTTGGCCGTGTTAACGGGTTGGCCGTGAATTACGTTAATCTGTTTTACCTTGGGGTAGCATGGCCAAATAAAAGAGCTGCCTACATATACTTGCTGCTAAGGCCCTGCTATGTAGTATTTCTTGGTCACCCTGTACGTAGAATAGCTCCGGTGGTTTTCATTCGCCGTAAGGCAGACCGTTGACGTAGGGGCCCCGTTACTCAATACTCTTTCGGCGGCGGTGTCCCCTCGGACGCCAAATTGATGTCTGTACAAAAACTGTTTACTCCGCTTGGGTCTAGTGGGTCTCTCTTCACCATCATTTCGGATGGGACCCCTTTCCTCGATCCTACAATTGCATACCCTCTAGGATGTCCACTGCCGTCTCCCAGAATGCGTCCGCCAACCTGCGGCCGCGCGCCGTCCTCATCCCCAAGGCAGACGTGAGTCTCACGCCGCCCGTGGATAAGCTTGCTGCGGACGCCAGGTAGGTCGCTCACAGGCTAAAGCTTCCTTGTCATGTTGGTGCATTGGCTTATACAGGAGCTTCCCATGCAGTGGCCGCTCTACCCCCGTCCCTGAAGATGCGCCCCCTTCGGCGCATTCAATCTCGACGGCCCGCAAGCAGGTGCGGGCTCGGAATCGCCTTTTCTATACCATCGACTACGTACCCCGCGTATCCCATTTTGACCCCGAGAGCGATTATCACAACTTCCGCGGCTTCTTCATCCTTTTCTGGATCTCGCTGTTTATCATGGTGGTTACGACCGTGCTGCGCAATGTCAAAGATACCGGGTACCCGCTGCGAGTGCGGGTCTGGAGCTTGTTGAGTGCCAATGTGTGGGAACTGGCTTTTAGTGATCTCGCTATGGTGGCGTCCTCGGCGCTCGTCCTGCCATTGCACAAGTTGTATCGGAGCGGCCCGCGGTGGCTACGATGGGTTCGCGGGGGTGTGGTGGTACAGAGTGTCGGCGAAGCGCTGTGGCTAGCGCTATGGATCAAGTGAGTCGAGATTCGGCCAATCTCGAGAATTGCTGCTGATCAAACTAATAGCTGGCCCTTCATGCGCATTTGGACCTGGACCGCCCAGGTGTTCTTTACGCTCCACGTCTTGACTATCCTAATGAAGTTGCATTCATACGCCTTCTACAACGGTCACCTGAGCGAGACTGAACGTCGTCTTTCCGACCTCGACACATCCGATTCGATGGCACCGAGCTCTCCTGCTGCGGTTCGCTACCCGGAACCACAAGGACGCCGGCCATCGATGAAGTCGCTGCACGAGGAGGACACTCGTACCGAACCGCTGCTCCGTCTGCGCGATGATCTAGCTACCGAGCTAACTTCTCCCCTCGGTAACATCTCTTACCCTCAGAACCTCCACGTAGGCAATTATGTGGATTACCTCTTCTGCCCAACCCTGTGCTACGAACTCGAGTACCCGCGCCGAAGCGAGCGCCGCTGGACAGAGCTTGCATACAAGACCACGGCTGTATTTGGTTGTATTTTCCTGTTGACGCTGACAAGCGAGGAGTTCATCCTGCCAGTCCTTAACGAGGCCCACTCCCAGCTTGAAGCGTTTACCAGCATCGCCGATAAGGCGCTCGTCTTGGCTGAGACGATTAGCATGCTTCTGTTCCCCTTCATGATCACATTTCTGCTCGTGTTTCTGGTCATCTTTGAATATATCCTAGGTGCATTCGCTGAATTGACCAGATTCGCGGACCGGCACTTCTACTCCGACTGGTGGAACTCGTGTGACTGGTGAGTTGACTCGATCCAAACCCATCCTTCTTACTGACCATTGTAGGCTCGAGTTCTCCCGTGAATGGAATGTTCCTGTTCACAACTTCCTCTTCCGCCATGTCTACTTCCCAGCCCGATCTTACTTCTCGAAACCCGTCGCTATGCTCATTACCTTCGTGGTGAGTGCCGGCTTCCACGAACTGGTCATGAGCTGCATCACCAAGAAGCTGCGTGGATACGGTTTCATCTGCATGATGCTGCAACTGCCCATCGTGGCAGTTCAGAAGTCCCGCTTCTTCCGGGGCCGGACGGTCTTAAATGTGAGCCTTTGCCCCTCTATTTGATTGAGAACTTAGTTGCTAATTCCATCTAGAATGTATTCTTCTGGTTCTCGATGATCCTTGGCCTTTCGTTGGTAAGTGTACATTCTTCTTGTGGCGTCTTCATGCAGATACTTACAGGCAGCTTTAGATGTGTGTACTCTACGTCTTGGTTTAAAACCAAACTCTTTGAGCTGGGATAGATATTGATCAGGGATTGAAAGACTCGTGCTACTCAATACCCCTCTGCATTTGCTTTGTGATGGTTTTATTTAGTCTGACCACCCCCTATTGTACTAGTCCTTGTATATAATAGCGACTGTGTATCCTTGAATTGAGAATCATTATTATTACCTAACAAACCTCCCTGCCCTTGTTGCTCCCTTCGTTACAATCGCTTACAAGTGATTTGAACATTCGTCTGCCCATCCCATTCTCCCCACCCCATTGGCATATCTTCCCTCTGATCCTCATCTATCAGACCTTCCTGGATACCTCTATCAAGGGAAGAACCGTGCTTCAGTTGCCTCGTCATAGTTTCTCCCCGCCAAATTGCCTCTGAATTCAAGAAATAAACGACGGCGCCCGAAGCCTGAACATCTCCCGCATTGGATCCAGCCCTTTCAGTCCAAGACCGAGCTTTTCCATCATCACATGCCGATGTTTTTCTGAAAGAAGTCAAGTCTTCCGCCAGCTTCATACTAGCCAGCACTTCAGGAATGGGAGACCGAATTACTGCACTTCCCCAATGGCCTTCCCTAGCGCAAATCAGTCCTCCAATTTTGCAAACCCCGTCTCATCTCCTTCAAGCCCGCAACAGCGCTGAATTTGGAATTTCCATCTGCAAGATGAATGAGAACCTGGTGTGCGCATGCAACGTCGAGAACCTCATCTGTGACTGGAGAGTTCAACACGTCGGTGATCGTAAAGGATGCATTTGTAACATTTCAGGTCCTGGCGACGTCGTTTGCGGAGTCGATTGCCGTGGTATTGTTGTCGACCCTAATGAATTCTCTTTTCGGAATAGGGACTCCTAGGCCTAGTATGATAGAGTCCGCGCCGTAGCCAATGTCGAGAATCTTCATGTGTGATGATTTATGGTATGAAGTAGGCTGATGTATTGGTTGCGGTCCTGACTGAGTATATTCGCAACGTCGAGGGGGAGTATGACTCGGTTGATATTTGGAATATCTTTGATTGGAATGCGATGATAGATTCAGAAGAAGCAAAATTCCTCGATGTCAAACGGGTCAGCTTGAGTTATAAGTGACGAGGAAGGCTGTAGCGGGCTGGAAACGCGCAGTCGGACCGGTGGCAACCATATCACCCAAAAAGGACATATGGAGTACGATGGGCATCATTTGCCACGCCTTCCCCAGCTTGCGTGGAAGATCCCACGAGACTCTACGGAGGCCGACAGTTTTATAATAGCTAGCTCATTTGGTGGAAACATTTGACGGTAAAAGCGCACAATCTTCATTCTGATAAATGACGCACACCACCATCAAGTTATATTAACTTAGCTTAGTTCAAGTAACTTACTAAAATCATCCCTGCCCCCGAAACCAAAGAAATCAACACCTCTCATATCTCATATAATCTCATTTCAAAGAACGTCAATTCGTAAGGATATCCGGTAGGTTCCACGGGTATCTAACCATCTCCCCCGGAGGTAGGAAGCAAAAACGCAATATTAAGCCAGACAAAAGAAATGCAAATGACAATGCGCCATTGGGTGTTTGCGAGGTGTATATCGAAAGCAAATAACACCGGGGACCCTCCCATATTACGCCGACAAAAAGAACATAGCGCGTCAATCACGCAGCTATCAAAACCATCCCAATGCTTAGGGTTCAAGATCCAAGCCCAGCCACTTGCTATCCTATCTTCATTGGGACAATGAGAATGGACATGCGATGTAGTTGGAACCGGGTCTTTATGTAAAGAACTGGCGGGCAGTTCTGAAGTATGGACAAGGACAAGGACAAAGACAAGAAAAATCAAATGTGCATGGGCGTCAGAACTGTCGTGACTTGAATTGCGTATAATGCAGGGGTAGTCGTTTCTGGGATTATGCTTCAAGCATAGGCCGATTGCCGGCGAGCAGGCGCATGGCGAGGGTACTGGTCGGCGTACTGTGGACTGGAGCGATTGACATCGCTGGGCCGGATCTCACGGGTGTATTTGACGTCTTCGCCGCGAATGCGCGGGGAGTATTCCACGTCGCCGTGAGGTCTAGAAGGCCGCACAGTGCGCACCTCGATGCGGGGCGAGGCCTCGGACTTGTACTGAAAGGTGCTAGATCGTTTAGGTGGGCCCCGCGGGCGCTCGGGCGAAACAGAGCGGTACTTTGATTTGGAGGAAGGCTCGATCACCACCGGGTCGTCAATCTTGTAGCGTGTAGTCGTGGTTTTAGGCGAAGCGCCTCGCTGGGGCATTTCGGGCGTGCTGGGACTTGAGTAGCCGGAGTCGTAGCGCTTGGACGAACGTGAAGGAATTGATTCGCGAACTTGTTCACGAGCCATTTTCTCCAGAATTGGTTCCTCGCGACCGGATCCTTCGCGCTTACGAGTAAAGCCGGTGGACCCGGCGGTGGCGGCGCGGTGGAACAATGACGGTCGGATGGAAGCCTTGTGGCCAGGTGAGGTGGCAGTGGTGGGAATCTTAGGCGGTTTGAAGTCGTAGCTCCGCGAGGATTCCAGGTGTTCGTAGGAATTGTTGCGCGATGACGACTGATTCCTGGTCGAATGGGAGGACCGACCCGAGCGCCGCGAGGCGCTGGACTCTGGTTCGGTCGAGTCATAACCACGGGGTCGCTGTGGAGACCGGGAGGATCGCGGAACTTCATACTTGGACCGCTCAATGTGCTGCTCTGCCAGCGTTTGCCAGCCGTCGTGCTTGTTGGAGGCGTAGCGGTCAGAGTAATCATCCTCATCATCGTAGATACGTTCGTGGCGGCGAGAAGAAGATTCCGTCGGGCGGGAACGCGACTCGCGAGGCTCACGGGACTCACGGGACTCACGAGTCGTCCTGCGGGAGGCAGCTGGCTTCCTCGGGGGAACGTAGGTATCAGAGTCACTTGAATCGGATGGATCCGATACCACACGTGGGCTGAAAGATTCGTAGACTTCCTCATACTTGGCCGAGGCTTGGCGCTTGCGATCTCGATCCCGTTGCTTGGCCCGGTCGGCCTGTGTCGCTTTGGCGGACTCACGGTCATCCTTCGCTGCGCGGTAGCTGGTCGGGGGTACGCGGGACTTCTTCTTCTCTTCAGTTGGCTTCGCCTTGGGCCGTTTGCCATACTCATTGTCCTTGCGCGACATCGTCCGGGGTTCATCTGTATATCGCAATTCCTCGTCTAAAAAGACATCCACGGGCACCCGCTCTTCCACGATATGACCACCGCGCATCTCTCGGGCGTTGCCACTCCCGCGCGGTGAAGAATACATCGCCTCAGTCCGCCTGCGCTCCATGAGCTCACGCTTGAGATCAGCCAACTTCACCTTTTGGTCGTAGCGAGCTCGTCGGGAGTCATCTGAAAGGAGTTCGTAGGCCTGCTGCACACGTTGGAATTCGTCCTGGGCGGCATTGCGTTGCGATATATCTTGGATTTTGTCGGGGTGGCACTTGAGCACTCGTTTGCGATGGGCGGCTCGGATCTCGGAGATGGTGGCATCTTTGGCGACTCCCAACGCAACATATGGGTCTATATCGGGTGGCGAGGACATGATTGCAGTATGAAACCATCAACAGGTAGTGATAATTCAATTGAAGAGAGCTGGAGGTTGGAAGAAAAGAGGGGAGAGGGGAGAGGGGAATAGGCGGTGGAGGGAGCGACGTATATTATGGGCCCCGACTTTGCCGTTGTCGGTGCATCCAGAAGGCTCTCAGGATCAGGAGATGGTGAGAGGCAAATAATGAAGAGCTTAGAAATATTGCGGGAGATGTAGTCACTGATCAAACGCCCCGGGCCGGTACTATTCTTTTAGGGAATAGGCAGGGATGGGTCAGACAGTATAAGCCACTCCAAAGGCCGAGCCACCCGGTAGCGATGTAACTAACTATTCGGGCGCGGGAAAATGAGATAATAATCAGGGACGAACAGGAACTGGACATTCCAATCCGCCACTTGTCAGGAAGGATGGGAGAGTGGCGGATTTGCGGATATGCGGATTCCGACTCCAGGATGACAACAGACACGCCCAACGAGCCCGTTCAAATAGGCAAAGACAAATAGCAGGGCATCGCCCATCCATTCCTTCTCCTCTACGGCAAGGCGCCTGGCAATACCTCGCCACTGGCCGTCACTACATATCACTATGCCTTTCATCGGTTTCTCAAGCCCATTATTCTAGCCTGAGCGCTCCACCCGATTTGCTGCGCTGTCCACCAATGACGCTGCGTCCGAGAAGAGGCATTTTGTTCGCCTTGGAACGCGGTGGAAGCGGGGCGATCAATCACCACGAGAGGCCTGCGTTGTCGCCCCATTCTCTCTTTTTTTTAATTCTTTTTCGTTACTTTTTTCTCTATGTAGCTCCCTCGATCAGGCAGTCCCGCTCCTGTACAGTCCAATGACCCCCGCATAGGGCGCCTTTGGCTTTGCCTCGTCCTGGCTGTCGACACTTGGCCGCAACGACTTCCCTGCTGGGATAGATCTGACTGTACTGTACCGTACTGTATCCTAGGTCCTCCAGGGTATAGGGACGGTGCCTGTGTCGTGCCTGATCCGTGGATCGCGTGGAAACCCCGGGTGGTTCCGTCGACACCTTATTTCGTGGCTTATCTGACCACGCACTCTCCGTCTGCACGGTACAGTAGAACCTTGAGTCCCTATATATAGAACTCACCGCTTCTCTACATGACGCGGTGCCTTGCTCTTACTCATCGTTATTCACCATGACCGTCGACCCTAGGGCTTCAAGTGCCTCAGATCATGTCAAACCTTTACTTCGCTGACTGTACCTAAAGCTGAAAGTACTAGTTCTGCTGGGGACCCGAACCAAGTCCTCCAGCTGTCTGTCCCACCCGGACCCATGATCCAACGTGTCCATCCGCCCCTCCCCCCACCCGAGACGGTTCACTTTCTAGTTTCGGACGGCTTGTCATCTGGACCTGATGCGGCGGTCAGGGCGGCCTTTCATCTGCAAACCCATCAGCTGCATTGGGAAGATAGTTAGTGTAACGACTCAATTGGAAACAAGATCCCGGCATCTCGGTCATTTGACGTGTGATAGCAAGTGCAGCTGTCCACCGTATCTACCCACCTTTCAGTCCGGACCGCCACACCCTGCTCCCTGACCTGGGTAAACCTCCGATCCCATCAAAAGTGCCTCTCGCGTCGCACAAAGTGTCTCGATCTGAACAGGGTTCCAACCTTAAGCGTAAACTTGTCCGTAGATCCGAGAGCACCTCGGTCGGTTCAGGATTGGCCTAACCCCTAACCTGAGCATTTGAACATGCAGAGCCCCTGTGTTTGAACCGGCTGCAAGTTTCCCCCTGCGTCATTTGAATCGGTGTTCAGACCCACGACCATTCAGGCGCCTCGATGCGATATGCAAGAACTGAGAGTCGGGTCCTGTGAAGAATCTCCATGATCGGCCTCGCATGGGTCGCATCCGGTGTCAGAGAGTTGGTGGGAGGCCCGTGGCCTGGTTGGTTCGTGGCCTGGTTGGTTCGTGGCCGCCTGCCGTTATCCCTCATCGTCCACTCAGGGGGCGGCTCCACGCGCCCAGTGTTTCTGGAAACCTGGACCATTTTGAGTTCTTTCGATTTCCGCTGCAGATGACAGAAGGTGTGATATCACCCTTTGTGATGCGCCAATTTCGGGTGTTGCGATCTGTCAGATGCTTATAGAGATGTGGGTGGATGTCAATCTGCGGGGTTCTAGGTGGGGACATGGGGACATGGGGACAAGTAAACTTCGAGCCTCCGGGTCCAAGTGATTTGATTGCTATCGACGTACATGAAACTACCTGCTACGGGTCAAGGATCAACGGCCTCGGGGCCTCGTAGCCCGCCAGCGTGGAGTGCTGTAAGCATCGACAATCTTCTCGAATGCCCGGGTCACCAGTCGACGAATCCTAGAGCGATCACGCATCAAAGCGTCCAACCACCACGCTGCTGAAGGCCAAAGCTCTCTGGGGATCCTGCATGGCAGTATGCACTGGATCGATCCCAAGCCACGGCATGCATGGTAGGACACTCACATTGCCGTGCGCCAATCGATTTGCCGGCAGACCTAGAGTCCTTCTCCAAAGAGCACGCATCGCGGGGAGATGAACTTGAGGTCAGATGCATTGTGAATCATTGGCAGTCGTGTCCTGCCACATTGGAAGTTCCAAGTCGACCACTATCGGCGCATTGAACCGTTTTCCTCCTTGGTGCGGCCAGCTGGTGGCCACGACGGCAGCGTTGACAATGCACGTTTCCTTTCTCAGCGTTTGTAAGGCGTGACCGCGCCCTTGAATATCAGCAACGCCCACAGACCGAGCAGAGCCCTGCTCAGACACAGCTAGCCCTGCCGAGGAGTTTGACATCGGACTCGGAGGCGCCGGCGAGCACGAAAAGCCTTCGTTATCGAGGCGTTCCGTCCGTTTACCCGTCAGGTCAACCAGGCTCTGTTTCTTACTTCCTGGGGGAGGCAAGAGGCCCCGACTAACACCATCGACGCCGTCAGCATCTGGCCCTGCCGAGATAAGCGCGGGCTCCCAGCGAACTCTTTCGTAGCCTCGTCCTTCATGCACATGGCCGCAAATAGCTAACGGCGGCCTCACGCGGCTCAAAGCCCGCCGAAGCGCGTCGCACCCGACGAACATTCCATTCGGCTTCTGGTCGCAGTGAGACCGTGGTGGCGTATGCGTCACGATAATGTCCGTATCTAGGGGAATCAGGTCCCAGAGCGTCGTCGCATTGCTAGATTCGTATCCAAAGGCCCAGTCACCCTGGAACTGCGAATAGGGAGACCCGAACACCTTGAATGCTGTCTTTGGACCGCCGGCTCGGGTCAAGCGGATAACAGCTGCCTGGTGTTGAAAGAATACGATCGAGGGTTCTGACCTTGTGACGAGCTCTATGCATTGTCGTGGATCTTCGAGGTGGTCGCCATGGAAGCTTTGACCATGTTTTGCATAGAACTCTGGATCTAGCGTGATATCGTGGTTCCCTATGGAGTTGGTAAGTTCAGCAATTGACGAGGTCCTCAGGCATCAAGTCGCTCAAGTAGTGCTGCGGCATAAACCAGTAGCAAGCTACGGCGCTCAGCCCACGCAATCCGCTCGATCAAATGCCATCGCATCCCAAGGAAAAAACTGACCAGCCACGATGAGTTTCATTTCAAAGTCGGCCTTGGAGATCCAGTCCAATGTCCTGCGGAGCTCGGGCATGCTTCCCTTGTTAGTCAAATCGCCCGCGTGTATCAGTACGTCGCCTGCCGGGAGTTTGAACCCTGCCTCGGATGGAGTATAGCCATGGGTATCGGAGACGCAGACAAAACGTGTTTTGCGACGCATGGTTCTTTTTCGGGATTGCGATCTCGGCTGTGCAGCTATGCAGGGCTGTTGATGCTGCCCAGTAGCGTCGCAGCGAGCGCGAGTGAATGGGCTAGCCTGGAACTCATAGGGCGCGGCGAAAACAAGAGGCAGTACAGTAGAAATGAGGCAGTTGATGAAGAGAATAACATTGAAGGCCCCATGGTAGAGATTAGTCATCGGACCCAGTCTTTGATCGACTCGAGACCCGGCATTGGAATGCAAGTTAGATCACCCCAGATGAAGGAATATGAGATATGGATGGTAATGGGGGGATTAATGCTACAAATAGGAATGATATAGGGAAGCCGTGTAGTCGAAGTTACTCTCCAATTATCTACAGGAAAGAACTAGCACTTGAATCTGCCCAGGAATGGCCTCCGGTTTTCTAGACCATGGACGGGCAGCCCTAGAGACAAGCCCTAAAAAAGTCGAGTGGATGAACCGCACCTTTGAGCGCAAAATTTGGTGATCAGTCAGCAGCACCGACGGGACAGCGGGGCAGTCACCTGACCTAGGTTATACCATTGGCCCACATTAGGGCTGCGGCCCTCGCCACTAATCCACACACAGTACGCCTTTCGGGCTCGCTTAGCCCCTTCGCCTGAGATCCATCCGACTTCGTTGTGTGCGTCGACTTGACTCCAACGACAACAACCGCCGACAACCATCCGACATTTCCTTCACACGGTGACTGCAGGATGTCCTCCTTCGAATCAGTGGTGCGTTCCTGAATTCCACTACCTTGTCTATCGCCAAAATATCACCGTCTTCAAAATGGTGCAATTCGAGGTCAAGATCGCTGACTTGAACTCTTTACAGGTCGTCATCGACGGCAAGGGACACCTCCTTGGTCGCCTGGCCAGCACTGTCGCTAAGCAGCTGCTCAACGGCCAGAAGATCGTCGTTGTGAGATGTGAGGCCCTCAACATCTCTGGCGAGTTCTTCCGTGCGAAGCGTACGTTCCACCCCCGTTCTCCCTATCTGTGCCGTCGAGGAAAAAATGGGTTGCGAATGGAGGAACTGGGATAAACACGACACAACACGACATCTACGGCTATGGAAACCACACATCGGACACAGGTCGCTAACATTGAATTTTTGTCGACTACAGTCAAGTACCACGCCTACCTCCGCAAGATGACTCGTTTCAACCCCACTCGCGGTGGTCCCTTCCACTTCCGCGCTCCTTCCCGCATCTTCTACAAGGCTGTCCGCGGCATGATCCCCCACAAGACTGCCCGCGGTGCCGCCGCCATGGAGCGCCTCAAGGTCTTCGAGGGTGTCCCCCCTCCCTACGACAAGAAGAAGCGCGTTGTCGTTCCCCAGGCTCTCCGTGTCCTGCGCCTCCGCCCCGGCCGCAAGTACTGCACCGTTGGCCGTCTCAGCCACGAGGTTGGCTGGAAGTACCAGGACGTTGTCTCCAGGTGCGTTATCATTTCTATGCCTGCAACAGTGGTATCGATTGCTAATGAAATTTCTACAGACTCGAGGAGCGTCGGAAGGTCAAGAGCAAGGCTTACTACGAGCGCAAGAAGGCCGCTCGCCGTAACCTTGCCAAGGCGGAGCAGGGTGCGAACGTTGACAGCAAGACCAAGAGCCAGCTTGCTCAGTATGGCTACTAGATACCTGATGAAGTGCGGTCGGTTGTTGTGAGCGGGTTGGGATCGCGAACGGTTTTGTTTCAGCGAAATTGAACGGCAAGCCGATCGACCTTTTTCCATGGCCTCGGGCCTGCTGGCTTTCTCGTGGAATACCACGACTTCGCGGTTGTGTCGAACATGGGCTGGCCGGCGGGACTGGGTGCTCTTCGGAAGTTCTCAAAAAGCAGAAAAAACGTCGCGGGATGAAGGTTGTTCAAAATAGCTGGCTGTTATCTCGCGCCGTGGCGGTTTAATCCAAAACAAATTTTCAAGAGTTCAACATGATCTTATGATGATGCAGGTTCATCTTCTTCCACATGCCTTCCCGTATGTCCATTGCCTCGTCGGCGTAACCGTATTCCTAGGGTTCCGGTGTACTATGACTCGCCTTTTCGGACTCTACTCTAGGCCGGTGCTAAGTGTAGCAATGTCTTAGTTGAGACTATCTCGACTTTCTAGTTGGTCTTTGTTCGACTCGAGATCATGGTGTGGTCACTCGAACAGGCATACCCGAGGCATTTGACTGTGGCAGGACCCGCTCGCGGGCAACACCAACTACTCAGGATCTTTTCTCCAAACCACTCTAGGGCAGAAGGAAAGATCTGGTACCTGCGCATTGATCCCTAACGAAAAATGGACCGCCAAATCTCCAAATCCCCAAATCCCCAACCGGCCCGTCATCACGATCTTTCCGAATCCCCCCCGCGTTGATCCGCATACCCTTAGTTAACCTAGGTTAATGACTAACGCTAATATTGACATTCCCCGCATTTCTCCAACGCAAGAGTAAAATCCCCTTCCCTTTATTACTTCTACAATCGGTCGTATCACGCGAGTCACACCTTACACCCGGCCCTTATCATGTCCGGCGTCAAGTCTCGGTTGTCGAGCCTGGTTGGCCATCTAACTGGATCAACCTCGGCCCCTTTCGAACACCGCTTTAACAACCACACCCTCTCGCCGACTTTCTTCCTACCCAGGGCGGCAGCGATTGAACCTGATGTACGTACCATTCAGGGCATTCGATACAGGTGCCACGGCGGTATATCTGTCTTCGGATCGAAGATCAGCTACTGACAATTACACAGGCGGAAGCGGTCTACCATGTGACTGCCAACAATAAGATTCTTCGCAAAAGCTACAGCGAGCTTGCAGATCGTGCACGTGGTCTGGCATATTACTTGAAGAACCGCGGGTTCAAAAGAGTCGGCATCCTGTGCCCGAATACCCCGGCTTTCTTGGAGTCGATTTTTGGGATCGCCGCTGCGGGGGGTATCAACGTTGGTAAGGAGATTTGCATTGTTCATATATATATATATATTGAACGAGTATTGACTGGAGTGAACTTTTAGCTGTCAATTATCGTCTTAAGAAAGAAGATATCGCCTACATTTTCGAACATGGAGATGTTGACGTGATCATCGTGGATAAGGAATTTGAGTCGCTGCTCGAGACATACCAATCCCAGCACCCAAACATTCCCATCATCGTGGATACTGATACCGGTGCGACCGAGCAAGAATTTATGGGTCCTTTTGACCATGCAGTGCTCGAAGGGTTGAAATTCGATTCGGAGACTGGCGCGCAGGGGTGGGAAGCCCTAGAAAGCCAGGCTGCGGATGAAGAAACCATAATCGCATTGGCATACACTAGTGGAACTACTGCCAGACCGAAGGGTGTTGAATACACCCATCGAGGTTGCTATCTAGCAGCCGTGGGAAATGTCATTGAGTCTGGCCTGAACTACCATCGCGGTCGGGCCAAGTATCTCTGGACGTTACCCATGTTCCACGCCATGGGTGCGTGATTTTCTCTAATGGTTGAATGTCCAGTTCTAACATTTGCAATAGGATGGACATTTCCATGGGCCGTGACCGCAGTCCGCGGCACTCACTACTGCCTACGCAAGATTGACTATCCGGAGATCTGGAGACTGCTCAAAGAAGAGCATATCACCCACTTCAATGCCGCACCAACAGTCAATACCCTTCTCTGCAACTCGAAGGAAGCTGAGAGTCTTCCCAACCCCGTTCGCGTTACCGTGGCAGCCAGTCCACCGACACCTCATTTGTTTGAACAAATGACGGATCTCAACCTGCATCCGGTCCATGTATACGGCATGACCGAGACATACGGGCCCATTACCAAGGGATACTATCTTCCGCAGTGGGATGACATTCCATTGAAGGAGAAGTACCAACAGATGGCCCGACAAGGCCATGGCTTCATTACCAGTCTCCCCGTGCGGGTGATCAAAACTGACGTGCCCGAGGGAACGATGACTGATGTGACACGAGATGGCAAGGAGATTGGTGAGATTGTTTTTATCGGCAATATCTGTGCTCGGGGGTACTTCAAGGACTCCGAGGCTACCCGCAAGCTGTTCGCGGGTGGCGTGCTTCATTCTGGAGATCTGGCTGTCTGGCATCCTGATGGTGCTATTCAGATCCTCGACCGAGCCAAGGATATTATCATTAGTGGTTTGTCATCTCCATAATGTTCCGTGAGATTCTGATCAGTTGCTGACCAAGATAGGTGGCGAAAATATATCATCCGTGGCACTGGAATCTATGCTAGCCACGCATCCCGATATCCTCGAGGCTGGTGTTGTGTCTGTCCCTGATAGTCACTGGGGAGAACGACCAAAGGCGTTTGTTACGGTCAAAGAGGACAAGCAGCTTGCGGGACAGGACGTGATCGACTGGGCCCGGAACCACAGTGGAATCAGCAAGTTCATGATTCCGCGTGAGGTGGAGGTGGTCAAGGAGCTGCCTAAGACCAGCACGGGAAAGATCAGGAAGAATGTCCTGCGAGAATGGGTAAAGGGGCCACGAGCAGACAACTGAGATATAGATAGGAATATATAGAGTGGTAGAGCCGATGAATGAGGTAATCGAAGACCCCTGTGGGGCTGGGACGTCCAGCACTGCACGGGACCGCATCAAAAGACCTCCAAAGACCTTAGTAAGACCGAAAGTTGAAAAGTGAGAAGGATTGAACCTCATTTTCTCCCTCCTTCTCACTCTGAATCTATTTTTGTCTCTCCGGGGCCGCATGGTCGCATCTTATCACATCGATAAGCAGAGCTTGGCGCCCACGCCGCGCTTGTGACACCGGCTCCATTGCCTCATTCCCCTCCATTTGCCGCCTTGCTCCCCTCTCGTCCTGCACCTTGCCCCCTGGTATCGTCAAAGGGGTTGACTATATGTGGACTCCCTTCGAGTTCCTATACTCTGACCCTCCCTTCACAACCCAACATTCGCCATCCGTACGACTGAGCGTCGAGGTCGTCAGCTCACCCTCCACCCTCCACTCGCGCACGACCTCTCACCCATTTCCCTAAAGCCAACCATCACATTCAAGACCATCGACCAACCGCCCAGCAAAGACCTTATCTCACTCCACACCCGATCGAGCGATCCGTTTCCTCCCGCGCACCCACCCACCGCCCATGCCGACGTCACCCCGGGAGTGATGAGATTTCAACCCTACGATCACCTCAGAAGAAAGTCTGATCGGACCGTAGACCTCGACTCCTCACCGGCCAAGATGCCTCGTCCCATCTCTCGGGCTCGCGTGTCGAGCGAAGCCCCCTCCGAAACATCGTCATCGACATCACCGGAACGAACCGCAGACGATGACACCGACTTCTTTATGGCCCAGGCCAACGACTCGCAGTCCTCGATCGGTGTCACCAACTTCCGCGATTCTCATGTGCAGAGCAGTCGACTCTTTCCTGTGCCTCCGATCGGCCGCCTCCCACCCGAGATTTTGATCGCCATTTTCTCCAAGCTCGTCTCGCCCCTCGACATGCGGAACTGCATGCTGGTGTGTCGCAACTGGGCTGCGAACTGCGTGGGGATTCTGTGGCACCGCCCGTCCTGCAACAACTGGGATAACCTGAAGAGCGTGGCTGCATCTGTCGGGGAACAGGACAGCCTCTTTGCCTATGCGGAGCTCATCAAGCGGCTCAATCTGTCTGCGCTGACCGAGGATGTCAGCGATGGCACGGTTCTTCCGTTCGCACAGTGCAAGCGTGTAGAGCGGCTGACGTTGACGAATTGCTCCAAGCTTACGGATAAGGGCGTATCAGATCTGGTGGAGGGTAATCGACATCTGCAGGCGCTGGATGTCTCCGATCTGCGCTCTTTGACTGACCACACCCTTTACGTGGTAGCTCAAAATTGCCCGCGTCTGCAAGGTCTGAATATCACAGGCTGCTCCAAGGTGACCGATGATTCGCTGCTGGTTATATCGCAGAATTGTCGCCAGATTAAGAGGGTAGGTGGAACTATGCTTGAAGAATTCCAAGAGAGACTTACTGACTGTTCCTAGTTAAAACTCAATGGCGTCTCTCATGTTACTGACCGGTCAATCATGGCCTTTGCGGAGAGCTGTCCGGCCATTCTAGAGATTGATTTACATGACTGTAAACTCGTCACTAGTCCATCAGTAACGGCGCTGATCACCACACTCCGTCATCTCCGAGAACTTCGCCTTGCGCATTGCTCAGAGATCAACGATTCGGCCTTCCTCAATCTCCCGGAGCATATGACTTTCGACAGTCTGCGCATCCTCGATTTGACAGCATGCGAGAATGTCAAGGATGATGCAGTGGAGCGCATTGTCAGCGCTGCTCCTCGACTGCGAAACCTGGTGCTGGCCAAGTGCCGGTTCATCACCGATCGCTCGGTTCAGGCTATTTGCAGGCTGGGCAAGAACCTTCACTATGTTCACCTCGGCCACTGTTCAAATATCACCGACTCGGCAGTGATTCAGCTCATCAAGTCTTGCAACCGCATTCGATACATCGACCTGGCTTGCTGTAACCGCTTGACAGATACAAGTGTGCAGCAATTGGCCACTCTGCCCAAGTTGCGTCGCATCGGTTTGGTCAAGTGCCAGGCCATTTCGAACCACAGTATCTTAGCTTTAGCTCATCCACCCCGAGCTAACCACCCGATGGTCAGCAACCTAGAGCGTGTACATCTGAGCTACTGTGTTGGCTTAAATATGGAAGTAAGTCAATCTAACGAGTTCCACCAACTATCTATACTGACTTAGTCCCTAGGGCATTCGGCCATTGATCAACAATTGCCCGCGACTCACCCACTTGAGTTTGACAGGCGTCCATGCTTTCCTGGAAGACAAATACACTGCATTCTGCCGAGAAGCTCCTCCAGAGTTCACACAACAACAACGAGACGTCTTCTGTGTCTTCAGTGGCGAGGGCGTGACCCGACTCCGTGAATACCTGAATCGAGACACCGGACCGATGCGAGAAGAGACGGAGGCCACCATGTACGATGACGACGAAGAGCTGGACGAAGACGAGGGCCAGGTAACCGGACTGATGCATGCGACAGACCTCAATGACGAAGATTATATTGATGTCGGGCCTTCCAACGAATGAAATACGATACCCCTCTCTTTTGCTGCGCTTCTCCGCTTATGATATAGGAGGCCTTCAATTCTTTGCATCCCTTGCTTTGTTTTCTTGCCATACCCCTCGGCCCATCTACCCCGTGGCCTGGAGTCAGGATCATGCCCAAGCTTTCATATTTCTACCCATATCAGCGAAAGATTACCCTCTGCCCTTCGGTGTCTGTGTTATTCAGGGAAATGCATTGTGCGCGAGCGAGAACAGTTTACCCGCTGTATGACTTATTTATGTGGAATTATATCGCATCTATTCTACGGACTGGATTTCAATGGTGATGGTGATGGTGGGGTTGTGTAGTTGTAGATTAGATGTTCTCCTAACAATTTTTCTAGTTATCTTTTTAACCTTGCTGGATACAGATCTAAACATCTCTTTATGCGTGTATTCTAACATTTTACTATGCATGGTGGAAAGTCTCCTGTGTCGTTTCGTCCTCATGGCCGATATTCAACCTGTAGTAGTTGTAGGTTGCAGAGTGCCCGTGCGACGGCACTGTAAAACCAAAGCTCCCCCCGCATTCTCCAACGCAACCTCAACGTTCCACCCCTCGGCTGTCCACCCTCCGGCGATGGCTTTTCCCAAGGCCAGAAACCCTCTGGCATTTACGCCGTGGCCGGTCACAATAATTACCACCGTGGTGTACCTCGCCCTGATCATTCCCGTTCTTGTCATCCATCTCAACGTCCCGGCCGCACCGCGAACTAGCCCCAAAGGCTTGAACCTCACCGAAGCATGGCAGGACCTTCAAACTCTGACAAGAGGCTTCCATCCGTACAACTCGCGCCGGAATGACCAGGTGCGCGAGTGGTTGCTGGAGCGCATCGACGCGGTCACGAAAGCCGCGCCCGCGGAATACGCGACCTCTGAGGAACAGCCCGAGGTCTTCGTCTTCGACGATCTGACCTCGAATTTGACTTCGAACGATGCCCGCACCGGTGTTTACTTCGAGGGAACGAACATCTTGGTCTACGTCCGTGGCTGGGAGGATAAGAAGGATAACTGGTGGGAGGTTCCTGGCAAAATGCCCGCCGGCAACGGCGGAGTTCTGGTCAACGCGCACTACGACAGCGTGTCGACCGGGTATGGCGCCACAGATGACGGTGTCGGTGTTGTGACATGCCTGCAGCTGCTCAGGTACTTCACTACGCCGGGCCACGCGCCGCGCCGCGGCTTGGTGGTGCTTTTCAACAATGGCGAGGAGGACTATCTGAACGGTGCTCGGGCGTACAGCCAGCACCCGATGGCGAAATTTGCACATACATTCCTGAACCTTGAGGGTGCCGGCGCTGGTGGCCGGGCGACTTTGTTCCGCAGCTCGGATACAGAGGTCACCCAAGCTTATGCGAAATCGAAGTATCCGTTCGGGTCTGTGTTGAGTGCCAATGGTTTCGAGAAAATTGGTAGCCAGACGGACTACGTTGTTTTTGAGGGTATGATGGGCTTGCGTGGGCTGGATGTTGCCTTTTTTGAGCCCAGGGCTCGGTATCATACTGATCAGGATGATGCGCGGCATACGAGTATGGATTCGGTGTGGCATATGCTGTCTGCGGCGGTTGCAACGACTGAAGGTCTTGTATCTGACTCCAGTGACCGGTTCGATGGCCATCTCCGTGACGACGGCTCCGTCCCCAATGGAAAGGGTACTCCGGCTGTTTGGTTCGATCTTTTCGGCAGTGCATTTGCGGTGTTCCAGCTTCACACGCTCTTTGCTTTATCGGTTACTATGTTAATTGTGGCGCCATTGACGTTGCTGGCTACCAGCGTGGCGCTTTCCAAAGCTGACAAGATGTATCTATTCCGCTCATCGGCGAAGGTGGATGGCAGTGAAGAAAGAGTCTCACTTCGCGGTATGCGAGGCTTCTTCCGCTTTCCCTTCCTGCTTGGGATTCCCACGGCCGTAACTATTGGCTTGGCTTACCTGGTGACAAAGGTGAACCCTTACATTGTGCATAGTAGCAGCTATGCTGTATGGAGCATGATGATCTCTGCCTGGATCTTCTTGGCTTGGTTTGTGTCATGCGTGGCTGACTTTGCACGGCCATCGGCCTTCCACCGGGTGTACACCTGGACCTGGCTGTTTGTTCTCACCTGGGCTTTGTTGGTAGTCGCCACTGTCTACGAGAATGAGCAAGGTATGGGTGGTGGTTATTTCGTGTTCTTCTATTTCGCTGGCACCTTCCTGGCTACCTGGATTTCTTATCTCGAGCTTTTTGCTCTCCCAAGGAAATCGGACTTCACGGACCACTTTGCCCTAGGCTCTCGCCGACCCAGCACCTTCGGCAGTCGGCTTGGTACTGCATCCGGGGATGAACACCAGGATGACGATCCCGAAGAGGAGCCAACTGAATCAACTTCACTGCTACAAGGCCGCCAGCGCACTACGTTTGCGAACTACGTCAACGTCTCTGGAACTCATACAACAGAACCTGAAGAGGCGGAAGATGAACAAGACCCGAACGTGTACGGAAACGAACAGACATGGAGTGCCTCGATGCCTTCGTGGACCTGGGTCCTCCAGTTACTCCTGACTGTTCCCATCATCCTCACTCTGGTGGCTCCACTTGCTCTGTTGGTCACCAGTGCCCTCCACCAAACTGGTCAAGATGGCAACCCCGCATTGTTCGTGTATATTGTAATTGCCGGCCTGACAGCGATGCTCTTTGCTCCGATGCTGCCATACATTCACCGCTACACCTACCACATCCCGATCTTCCTGTTCTTCGTCCTTCTTGGCACACTCATCTACAACTGCATCGCCTTCCCCTTCTCCGACTCCAACCGCGTGAAGCTGTTCTTCTCTCAGCAAGTTGATCTAGACAGAGGCAACACCACCGCCTCTTTGACCGGCGCATACCCCTTCGTGGCAGACGTGGTCCGAGGTCTCCCAAGCTCAGGCGGACAAACCGAGTGCCATCCCTGGCTCACACGCACTCAATGTACCTGGACCGGTCCAGAACCACAAGTTGTCCCGGAGTCTTCTTCCCCCTCGCCTGACTGGGTTTCATTCGGTATCTCCAATCAAGAGAATAGCACTCACTCCGTGCGCTTCGAGGTCTCAGGCCAGAACACCCGCGCCTGCCGTATCACCATGGACCGCCACCCAATCACAAACTTCAGCGTGGTCGGCTCCTCCCCTCCAGATTCCCGTTTCTTGCATCCTGCCTCGGACGGTATGCATGAAATTCGGCTGTGGAGCCGGACCTGGGATGGGCAGTGGACCGTGGATGTGAACTTTTCCAAGCATTCTGACGAGGGTGAGGAGGAACCTATCAAAGGCCGTGTATCTTGTCTGTGGAGCGATAACAACACCCCCGGACTGATTCCCGCTCTCGACGAGGCTAGACAGTATGCGCCGGCCTGGGTGGCTCTGACTAAGCTGTCTGACGGGCTGGTTGAAGGATACCGGGAGTTTGAGCTTGTGCGTGGAGAGTCTGGATTGGAGCAGGCTGCGAACTAATGATCTTTTCTACGGTCGAATGGAGTTTCAATTTGGGTTCATCCTTTATCTCTTCTTTCTAGTTCGGGCCTGGCTGTCTACTATACTTCGTCTTTGCCATCCCATAGTAAAATACTATGCAACATCCCAATTTCGGTTTGACACTTCATCTATACATGAGAGATTTGTACGTGGATATGTACGCTCTGTAACTTACACCCCACAGACCCTAAACCTCCCTCTCATTTACCAACCTCTTCTCATGAAAACAAACCTCAACGCTCCTACTTTCACAGGCCCAGGTGAATCGGGTATTGTAGCGTCATCGTTTGGAAACAAGCTTGGTATGTTTACTTTCACCGCAGATCGGATCAGACAATGCATTCGATATTCAAATTTGACTGGCGCTTTGTCATAATTGAACCAAAAAAGGAACTTGTCCAAGTCCCACCGGTGTCTTATAGTTCTGGACCTTAATACCACACACTAGTCCTTCGATCTTACCTATAATTTTCATTCCTAGACACAGCAAGGAAAGATAGCGACCAAAGTTGCCGGATATCAGATTCTAACCGGTCAGCATAAGCCCACTCTCGCCATTGAAAAAGGAAGAAAAAAAAAAGCATACCAGTCTGAGTTCCAGCTCCAGGCGGCGGAATGACCCCCAGTGGAGTAACCTGGAACCCACCACGATAAACCCAAGACCAAACCTCCTGCGAAAGCTGATCCTGATTCCCCTCAATAGAATCCCAAAGTGTATTATATGCCTCCTTCACATTCCCATACACCGAGTCATCAGTACAGAAAGCAGGAACACGGACAGGGATTCTCCTCTCTTTCGAAGAAATCAAAACGTTCGACGTAACCTCGCACCTCCCCAGCTGCAGGTCCAAGCCCTTGGCCATCATCGCCATCGGCCAGGACCATACAACCGTGCCGTGGTAGGCGCCCGTCGTCCAGTTCTGCGCATAGATCGGGTCGCCGCCGAAGGCTGGGTTGGCTACCACCATTCCGGCGGAAGTCATCAGGCCCGCTGGGAAAGTGCGGCGGATATTAGTGGTAGAGGTGTTGAGGAAGGGGGTGAGTTGGGCGTCGTCCGTTGTGTTTAGGAGGAAGTGGCGGAAACAGTCGTCTGTGTTCATGACTTGGACTTGGGTTAGGTTGTTGTATCCGTCTAAGGATAGGGCGTGGAAGGTGACGTCTGCATCGATGGTTGAGGATTGGGATGGGCCTGGAAAGGAGGTATTGGCGTAGGATTGCATGAGGGATTGGGCTTTGGCTTGTGGGATTGTTACTGAGAAGAAGGGGAGGGTTTTGTCTTCCCAGATTTGGGCGTAGTTGTCCGCTAGTTGGGCCCAGCTTTGGTGATTGGGATAGATGCCGTTTCGGGAGAGGGCGGCGATAGATCGTAGGGCTGCGGGGACAAGAGCTGTGTTTACGTCGTATGGGATACGGCCTCCGCCGATACCTATTGCGTTGTATGTTTTTTGATTGTGGAGGTTGGGGTTGAGGATGAATACTGCGTACCGTATTCGCTATCTCGCCATTCCCCGACGGTCTGGCCGTGCTTGAGATGAATGAGATTTGCCTTTGTCTGTTCATTCGCAAAGGGAGCTGTGAGACGCATGATTCTGGCTGCGTTGATCGTTGCCAGCTGGCCCCAGGTCAAGTTCTGGTTCGCTTCGTTGATATCCGAAGACATGCTGAAGGGAGTTAGATGGTGTGAAGTGATTGGAAATGTACGGACTTACTTGAAGAAAGCAGCCACCCTCTTTTGCCCAACTGGGTTTTGCAGGAAGTATCGCTCCATTAAGATAGGAAAGTAATAGTCCGAGTCAATCTGCTTCATGTATAAGCATGAATCTTGGACAGTTTCTGTCAGATAACCAACCATCTTATAATCGCAAACCATAGCATTACTGGTAATATTATTTTGCAGATTTGTCCAGGTCGCATAGTCCCTGCTCATTGTCAGCCATAAAATGCCCAAACAAAATCAAAAGATAACTCACCCAATAGTCTCCTCATGACAAACACTCCCATCCGTGCGATTGATCCTCTCCAGAACAGAATCGATAACTGCCTCCATGGACCTATCATTCCCACTGCTAAGCACGGGCTCCATAAGTAGCGCCGAGATCATCGAGTCGCGCCCGAAATAAGTCAAGAAGCGCCACGCCCCTGCAAGGAGCTTCTCCGAGTACGCCAGAAACGAAGGCGCAGTCGTCTGACCGGGCATTTGGGTAGTCAAGTTTGCCGAGTCACTGTTCAATGCTGCGCCCGGCTTGAGCTGTGATAGTTGGGGCTAGTTCATTTCTGCTTTAGACGGGTCATGGTTTATAGATAGCTGTATACTCCAGACAGGGGAATAGGAGACTATTTATCCATCAGGCATGGTAGCAACGAAGTGGTAGCACAGTTACCGACCTTGCCTGATGAAGCTCAATCCGACGAAAGGTGGACCGCTTCCCCACGGGGGATGTGAAGATCGGCCAGTTTCAAGATTTGTGATTCCCGATATTTCTCCGTCTACGCTGATCTTCAATCTAACGGTGTAGGTATAGATAAATCATATTCAGGTGGAAGTGATCGGGTATTCTTCTATATACAAGATCCAAGAGACATCTACATTCCTGGGTTTTCCGCGCAATAGCGCATTCCGATCATCACACTGTATTGTCCAGGCGACAGATCGGATTTCCCATGGAATCAGAGGGCCGGGCGTGAGGCCCGGAGAGAGCACTTAGAGTGTCTCGTGGAGTGCTTCCCAAGAGTGTGAAAATATTCAAGCGTGGGATATCACCAGTCTCAAATGGCGGGCGTATATTGTAAGCCGTGCACCATCAAAAAGGAAAAGAACGGAACTAAAGTCCCCTCGACTCATCCATGTTTTTCTGGAGTGTCGGGTAGCCTCGACGGCCGACTTCTCCAGCTCTGATACCGACAGAAAGGGTTGATGAAGTCGATCGAAGTGTGGTCCCCGTGATTGATGTGGGTTTCGCTGCTCCAGGAATGGGAGATATCAGAGGGTACGCCGTTGGCGTCAACCGAAGGGGAATGTTCGAACATGGCGATGGAGATGTCGTCGGCATCCATCCATGATGGACCTCGGTCTCGGGTGATGGTGGGGGCGGCATGGGTAAGGTCCGAAGTAACGCGGGTGGCGTCGACAAAGTCGGGATAGTCGCTGGGACCGGAGAAGGACTCGGCTTTCCAGACGTGGTTGTGGACGAGGTGGATTAGTTTACCGAGCACGGCGAATTCCAGCTTCAACTTGATGCTGTATACAGCGCCCTTGAGCATGGTCTCCATGATATAGAAGTTTTTATATTCAGCAACCAACAGTCCCACGTCCATCCCGATAATGATCAAGTTGATTATGATGAGCTGATACTGAATCTTGCGCTTCGTTCGGTCTGGATCGAGTCGGATCATGCGAATGGTTTCCCAGATATACAGACCGGAGATGACAAACTCCTGCAGGCAGAATCCGGTCATTTGGATCTTTTCCATCACATTATATCCACGGATGTATGATCGGGCGTTCCCGGAGGCTAGGTTGCTGCCGAAGGTAAGGACGGTGGTTGGGATGTGGAGTGCGACGGCATCGACGAGGATCATGGTCAAGACGCGTCGCAGGACCCGCTGGTTGGACAACACCAAGTGCAAACGCGAGTATAGGACGATAGACTGGCCAGTGACCATACACCACCAACCTATGGTGAGAAAGGTCACGGGCAGCCAGCTGGCATCGGGGGTGAGGCGGAAGAACTTGAGCAGGAAGCCAAGCGAGTAGGGGATCAGGCCGACGGACGACGTAATGAGCAGACTCCAGAAGTAAAGTCCGCGGTACTGGGCGAAGGTGACGAAGATGAGGACCACCAGCTCGAATGCATTATACCAGGTAACGCCGGCCAGAGTCGCGATGGTGATCTTGAGGCCGAGAGAGTTTCCCATATAGCCGCCGGTGATGCCATCCCCGGCGGCGGTGATATTGGTCATGATGAGGTGTCAAAGAGACTGAGGCATGGTAGGGATCTGAGATCGTGAAAACAGCAGAGGAAGAGAAGAGGACAAAGAGAGGAGTCACATCCACGGGGCGGAGCGACGATCGTGGAGAGGCTCCAGTCCCCCGAGCGATCGGAAGACGCCCGGTCCTTAGCGCGTTGACGTTGCAGGGATCGAATGCTGGCACGCTCACCGATAGTATGATTATTTACCCTAGCGTTGTCGTATATACTCCATCGAGTCTCCCACGGAACGTAGATGTCGGGAATGTCAAAAGTGGGTCAAGGGGAAAGCAAATAAAGCCCCGAGTTGAGACATGGCGTACACAGATACTGTACACACTCGACAAGTACCGGTGACTTCAGCCCCGTCTTGGTCAAGGCCATGACTTCATTCCACTAGTCGCAACCAGTGCTCCGGACCAACACCCTAAACTGCGCCCCGAACAGGGATCCCAGCCCGCCGTGCCTCATTGTGGGGTTTGCCCTGGCCGCCAGGTCCGCAGATCCTTTCCCTAAACCTCGCGGTATTCCGAGGTCGCGCATGGGATATCCAATATGAAGAGCCTCTACATTACTCGGGGCGTCCCGGGTTCGTATTTTCCAGGAGAGGCCTTTCAGTCTTCCTTCAATCGCCCGACAAGGTGAAGCGAATCTGGCAACTGGATGGGGCAAGCGGGACGCTGACCCACTCTCGATATGTGCTCTTCAACTGGCAGAGACTCTGAGGGCCTCGTGTCATCTCCGCGGTGATACGCCTGAGGCCGGGCCACTCCACTGGAGCTCGAACTCCGGAGGGGGACTGGGGGTGGTCTGGGGGTGGATTGTGCAACGGCACGGCAATCGAGCCCGTACTACCCGCTGAAACACATCCTGCAGGTCACGATCATGGCCCGGGGGCCTGACTGCCGTGAGAACGGACGGAGTATGGAGTATCTGAAAGGAATCCGAGACCCTATGGATTCTCCGTACAGCAACGGCCGAAAACAGGTTTCCCACTCGCACTCTGATCGGGTTATTTTACACACAAACCCCTGTTTAGTTGTATCGTATTGCCAGGGGTGAGTTACTACGCTGCAGTCGTATCCTACCTCTACGGAAGGGTAGTATTTCTCTCTATGAATATTTATCCTAGTTAAGGATAGCCCAGCCGCATAGGGACCCTTAGGCATTTATTTATCTCTCTCATCTTATATACTACCACTTCCGACACTTTGGAACGGACACGGGCGTCGGACCAAGATAAGGTCTGGTTGATAAGAATTTGAGGTATAAGAACCCCTTCCCCAACCATTTTGCCGACAAGAACCCCGCTTACTGTCAATAGACCACCCATTATGGCCCAGCCTTCTGGAGAATCCCTGTTGAACGCAGAGTTTGATGCTCTTGTGGAAGAACAGCTCGAGCTATGGAAAGTGCCCGGCCTAACAATCGCAATTGTCCAAGGTTCCAAAACGTATTCCAAGGTAACGGCATCCTCAGCCGTGGCATGTACCCCAATACTCAAATTCAACAGGCATATGGGTTCGCCGAACTCCCCGACAAGAAGATGACGACCGATGCACTCTTCTCGACCTGCAGTACTACCAAGGCATTCACTGCTGCAGCGACGTCCATGGCAATCCAGGATAGCAAAGCTACCGCGTCACCTTTCGACTGGGACACCCCAATGTCCACGCTGATTTCAGACGATTTCGTGCTACCAGATGACTACTACACTAAAAACGTTACGATCGAAGATCTGCTGTCGCATCGATCCGGCATGGCGCCCAATATGTGGGTACTTGCCTGTACTGAAAAGGACCTGACTTTGCGCGAGACTGTTCGTTCGTTGCGAAACCTGCCTCTCTCGGAACCCCTGAGAACCAAGTATCAATATAACAATCACGGGTACATCGCAGTTACGTACGCCCTTGAGAAGCTTACAGGAGAACCTCTGGCGAAAATGTTGAAGAGACGGATCTGGGAACCATTGGGGATGAAAGAGACCTACTTCTCCATCCAAGAGGCCAAAGCAAACCCGGATAGTGCACAAAAGTTCGTCCAAGGCTACGGATGGCATCAGACCGATGAATGCGGCTCCTATAACCCGGAGCCTGTAATGTCTTGGGATGCTTCTACCGGTGCCGGATCTATGGTTAGCAATGTTCTTGACTATTCGCACTGGATACGAGAACAGATCCATAAGACTGGTCCACTCAAGGGTCATGACTCGCTTACACGGCCCCGGATACTGCACTTTGAAAGTGGGGATATCCCGCCTGGTCCGTGGCACGCATATGCGCTAGGTTGGTTTTGCGACCACTACCGTGATCAGCCTCTCTACACCCACCCTGGTGGCTGGCCTGGCTTTGGTTCCCTGATGGGCTTCTTGCCAAATAAAGACTTTGGGTTCGCCGTCATGGGCAATGCGACCTCGGCCAATATTGTTGCAGAAAGATTAATCGTGCACCTCTTTGACAAGATTTTAGATCTTCCAAATGATCCCAGATATAACAAGGAGCTTGCAGCATGTTTTGCAAAGCAGCGCGAGGAATGGGACCGAATGGTCACACCTCCAAGCTTAGATGATATGAGGGCCGAGCTCTATCCTTCTTTGCCTGATCCCCCATTGCCTTTGTCCTTGCCAATGGAGAAGTATGCCGGGACCTACACACATAAGGCAAGTTGTTCGGTTTCCCTGACGGTCTGGGAGGGTCGTTTGACAGCAGACTCCTCTGGGCCCAACCCATTATGCCTAGAGCTGATACATGTGAGTGGGGAGTTCTTTATTGGAAAACTATGGAACAAAAGGGGTATCTATTTCAAGAAGTTCCCTGTGGAGTTCTCTGTTGATTCTACAGGAACGGCTCATAAGGTTGGGATGCTTCTCGAGCCCGCTTTGGGTGAAGAAAAGATCTGGTTCGAGCGCAAAAAATAGTTGAGGACGCGAGGTCTCAACCTTGTCTGCTAACTTATTCGTTGTATAAAGGAGAATGTAAAAGATGTTTGGATATCAGATTGTGTGTGCATAAGCGTCACCTGATATGAGCGAATCTACGTCTCAAAAGGATAGATAGCCCTTGATTTTGCTCAAGAAGCAGTCTCTGTACGAACCAGATCTGTATTCCTCCTTCCAGACGGATTCGCTGTGCTTTCTTACCTGAAAGTTATCAATAACATTGTCCCGACATTGAACGGTAGGCACTTATTCAAATATGACTGAGGCTGGTTTGATAGACCCGTGCCAATACGAGGAGACCGCAGAGAATTGGTCCGTTGCTCCAATCAGTGTTGGAAAGTTTGAGAACTAAAACAGATCTATAAGACAATGAGTACCTTACAGCTTAGCATTAAAGACATCTTAGAATGGGTTTGAATGAAATCGAAAAACAATTCGTGAGTGTCCAGAGGTGAACTCCATTTTGAACACCGCTGTAGCGCATGGAAACAAAACCAACGCCAAAACACCTCGCTTACATGCCGGAAATGCGGAGAGACAAAGATAAAGTATAAAAGCAGTTCCACGGGAAAAATCCCGTAACTCCCCGAACCCCTGCCCTGCCCAGAACCCGGAAGAACACCGTCGCAAAAAGGCCACCAGACATCACAAAACGGGGGCCAAAAACACGACACGCACCATGCAACGTCACATCAAGGCTGATGCCCGGGCATCATAATGAGATCAATCCCTCCCAAAATAAAATCACTGACTCGGCCCAGCCCCATCACGCTGATCATCAGCAGAAGCAGACGCACACGCAGACGCCGCAACGACACGGTCCACCTCCGCCCGACACTCGGGCATGGCACTGCGCATCTCGCGCGCCAGCACGTCCCGGAACCCGGCGAAAGCCTCGCGCTTCCCCTTTAAGTCCTGGTTTCCGCGCTGGACAAGTTCCACGAACTCACGCGTGTAGATGTCCGGGTTACGTGCCGAGTCAACGTAGTCGATGATTTCGGGCGGGAGTTGGATGCTTGAGAGTGGTGGATTGGATGGGTCGGTGGTGGTGTCTGCTTGTTGGCCCGGCGGGACGTCGGTGTCGTTGGAGAGGGTGGAGAGGGCAAGAGTGAGGTTTTTACTGAGGTTTTTGTTAGCCGAGCTTGTCCTGGTAAATCCTTCGTGGTCTCGTGGTAGGCAATGGCTGCTCGCAACACGTACATTTTCCGGACGAGCTCTTGCTGTGTCTCAGGACCAAGGTAGCCGTGCACGGCGGACTGGATCTCGAACAGGTGCTGGATGACGTCTTTGAGGTCATCTGTGTCCCATGTTAGCTTTGAAGGTCTTTTGACTGTCTGGTGTCACTCACCATCGACCGTATTCAGCATTACCGGAGCCATGATGCTTTGGGCTGTCAATTGAGGTTATTGCGACGGAGATTTGGCGGAGATCGCGGTGGTGGGGAAAGGCGGTGTGAGTGTGAGGAGGCTTAAATGAAGTAAACTTGGGATTGCGGAGCGAATGGAATTCTGTGTATAGACCTTAGATTGAGTTGGCTTTTTATATCTAATTGCAAACGTTCTTTTTCGGCTCAGTTTTGGTGTTTTGGTGTCTTGCTGTTCTTTGTCACGGGTGCCTGACATTGAAATCCCCTGGTCTGGATGTACTTTGCTACTAGAGTCTCGATGTCTTAGTATTCAATAGCGTCAAAAGATCGAGTTTTAGAAAGCATAAAACCGATTTTCTCTCGATTTGGGCTCTTGATGCATCCTTTGATCAAAATCGAGTCTATCAAAGGCCGAGTGAAGGATAAGTGGAGGCAGGAGAGAGGAAGGAAGGAGGAGGTTTAGGATTGAAGATGCTTAGAGACAGAGGCTACTTGCCTCAGTGAGATGCGTATCACAATGTAAACCGACCGTGATAGATCGATGACCATCTCTATAACCACACTTATAATGAACCCAGCGAGGCCAGAATGCAAGCCTTCCAGATATATGTACAATCCCCAAAGTACCATCCACAGACGAAACACGCTAAAAGCACTTTCACAGCACCACAACAACCTCTAAAATGCTCTACACTTCTCGAGTCCGCAGCTTGGCGTACTTCGGAATCTCAATCTCTGTCTCCATCTCCAACCCTGAGAGACTCGGGAATCGCCGGCTGAAATTAGCCTCCCAGTCCTCCCCTTTCGGCGCCGCTTGAGATGACGGACTAGGGTCGTGGCCAGTGCCGGGTCGGGAGGTATCTTGGGTGCCTACCCGCAGATTCTTCGGCTTTGGAGGGGCTGCGGGGCGGGCAGCTGCACGAGAGCTAGAGGAATACCCCGTGGAGTTGGACGTGGCGGTTTGCGGGAGTCCTGCTGGCGCGCTGGCTCCTTCACGGCGGTCTGGTAGAGCCACGTTCCCGTCGCGGGCACCGTAGATGGGGCCTGGGGTGCGGGATATGGGCTGTTTGCCCGAGGTGGGAGATTGCAGGTCATCCTGCTTTGCCTGCAAAGCAGAAGTATCGGTGTATTTTCCGTAGCCGGAAGCTGTCTTGGGAGGAGCCGGTGCCTTGCTGGACTCGCCGAGCAGTGTCTGCACCCTGTTTTGGATGGCTAGAGACCGGTGCCCATCTGGGCCTGCTCTTCCGCCATCGTGCTCGGCAACCCTGCGCCGATACTCGGCCGCGGCAGTAGCTACTCGCTTCTCCTCCTGGGAGAGACGGCGGCGCTCCAGCTCACGACGCATTTCGGGGGAGATGTCATCTCGATCGATATCGTCCAAATCAGCGTCCTCGTATTGCAAAGGACTCTCGTTGGCTTCCTCGTAGGCTTCCGAGTCGCTGACAAGGGCCTGTTGCAGTTGTGGCTGGTCTTGAGCCGAGGGGGTTGAGGGTTTGTCCGGGTTGCTGCTCTCGAAGCGGCGGAATGCCTCGCCAAAGCGGCCTGCAAAGAGGTTCTTGCCCCCTGAAAAGGATAGCGAAGAAAGACTGCCGCGCTTGGAATGCTTAGCGCCACTGCTCAAGCGTTTCTCTCGTTTGCGATTGCTTTCTTCCTCTTCCTTGGCTCGGAGATAATCTAATTCCGAAGAAATTTTGCTCTGCTCATCTTCACGTTCCACTTCCGTGCGAACTGACCTCAGTGGTGCACCGTCCTCGTATTGGACAGACAAGTCGAGCGAAGACCGTGAGTGCTCGTTATTACGCGACAGGTCATGCCGCGCTCCAGCTTGCACAGAAACAGGGCGAGCCTTTGCGATGGCAGACTTGGATCGTCCAGCGGACTCGTTTGCTTCCAACCCAGACGGCCGTCGGAGTGTCTCCATAGAGGGGCGAGCAGAGTTTGACTGGTTCGAGAACCTATCGGATGACAGGCGTGGGCTGGCATCCGGCCACAACCTAGAAGATGGAGGCGACGGGTTCTTATTCCGTTCCTCCTCAGTCCACGGCTGGCTCGCGGGTCGCTGCTCGTCAGAAGGCGGGAATCGGTAAATTGGACGACTAGAAAGCTTCGGCTCTGGCAAACGAGGAGTTTGAGCGGGCGAGGTCATGGTTCCTGTGGAAACCATTGCAGGCCGCTTGGGAGTTGGTTGATACAGCGGTGCCGATTGTCTGACAGCAGTTTCTCGAGGGGTTTGGGCCCGCACAGGTGAGGCCTGCGCTTGCCGGACAGCCCGTCGCTCTGGCGAAGCCTGTCGGAAGGCATCATCCGCCAAGGCATTGGTAAGTCTTTGCGACAAATCGTCGTCCTCCGATTTGGGCTCTTTGGCTGCTGGCTCAAAGTCGAACTTATCGCCCTTCTCGTGCAAGATATCGAATTGATCCAGCGAAGGGAACCGCTGGGATAGCTCTTCTGCAGTCTTCTCGCGAGATTTTCCATCTAGAGCCGCGAACGGATCACTGGCCGCGCTTTTAGCGCCACCACGGTACGGAGAAGGGCTTGGTCTGGCAGAACTATGCGTGGATGACTGAGGTTTTCCAGGACGTCCTCTTCGCATCGGCGCAATCTCGGGGATGATTGGGGTCTCTTGCATGGGAGGCGAGAAAGTAGCTCCAACTGAGGGAGCTTCCACGTGAGTAGGCGGCAACTCCTGGAATTTCCGTGCTTCGGAGATAGACCGGTTGGAGTAAATCTGGTTCAAGGTCAGTAATTTGATTCAGGACATCAGAAACAGCCGGAAACGAACGTCTCGAATTGGGACTTCCTTGCCCTGCATTTTGCACACTTCTTTGACCACCTCGTATATATTTGGGCGCTTCTGGGGATTCTCTTTGAGCATTGATGCTGTGGAGACCAGTCAGTTATGAATCTCCTATCGTATGTAACCGATCCACTGCACATACCGATCAACATCTTCAATCGATCCGAAAACTTGGGGTATGATGGGAACTTGAAGCTGGCGTTAAGGATCGCCATCTGTCCAACTTCTTCAAACGGAGTCGTGTAGTAACATAATTTGTACAGGAGAACACCAAGGGCCCATATATCACTCTTCTCATCAATCGGCTGCTTGCGATACACATCAATCATTTCCGGACTGCGGTACTGTAGGGTAGTGTGTCGTTGTACATCATCTTCGATCAGTCGACCCTCAGCCGCCGATGTGGCAGCGGGACGAGGCGGAGCCGTAGAGCCAAAATCACACAGCTTGTAAGTGGACGTGCCCCCGGACTGTGAGATCAAGACATTTTCCACTTTCAGATCTCGATGGAGCAGAGGCGGTTTGAGATAGTGCATGCAGGCCACACCCTCAGCCACATCTGAGAAGATCTTGATGATCTCGGGCTCCGTCAGACGGTTCTGAAGCCGGGTGTTCATGAAGTCAATCAGACCACCACCCCCGCAAAACTCCATCAGCAAGAACACCTCGTATCCGCCCCCGTGTAACTGTGAAGCATGCGAATCGATATACTTGACAATGTGCCGGTGTCCTTTGAGTTTCTTCATCGTTTCCACCTCAGTGCGCATACTTGCCAGCGCTGCCTTGTCAGGGACGGCGACCCGCTTCAGAACCGCGGTCGGCGAGCCATTGATCGGCTGAGGTAACCGGACGACGTAGACATGGGCGAAGCCACCTTCGGACAGGTATTTCTCAACCACCACGCGATGACTGCCCACTTGGACCTTGGTCCCGGGGAGGAATGTCCCCGCGGGGGCGGTCACAGCGGCGACCGGGTTGTACGCGGGGAGGTGGCGCAACGCGGAGTGGCCCTGGTGGGCTTGCGGCGATTGAAAGGAGGACATGGTGGTACGGGACAGCCCTTAAGGGCAGGAGAATTGGGTCGGAGAGGTCCTGGGCTATCGACGCGGCATAGGAGAAGGGGAGGGGGTGAATGGATGTCTGCGAATGGGGCCAAGAGGACAGGTTGGCGGGGAGCGGAGTAGAATGGGGGTAGTGCCTGACTACCGCGAAGCCAAAGCAGAAGAGAAACAAGGAAAGGCCTCCACCAAGGAGGGAGGACTTCAAGACTCAAGACAGATGGAAGAGGAGGATGGAATCTCGAGGCGGAATATGATCCAATCACCGGGTGCGGGTCACGTTCTTCGGAGGATTGTTCTCTTGGAGCCGCCTTTGCATCCTTTGGATGTGTACGTCCTTCTTTACTCTAACTCTACACCGTCCTTCAACCGGTCCATTTGAAAGACTTTTGCGGGTGGACCGTGACTCGGAGTCTCGCGAGTGTTGAGAGCCCTGATCAGAGTCCCGCATCTCATGGCCGGATCATGGGACATTCCGCTATACCGAGCATGAGGCCCAAAGCCTTGATACCAGTGGCTGCTTATCTGCTTAGAGAGCGGTCTCTAGGTCGTCTCTGACAGCCTCACACACGATGGTCATCCTCCTAACCAGACACCTCTCATGGACATACGGGCTTCGTCCGCGGCTCTCAGGAGCCACGGTGCCCCGTTGACCTCGAAGATCACGACGGACCCACTGCGCTCGAACTATCGTCCCCAACCGCTTGACCGCAATATCGACACGGCTCTCTCCTGCGCTATACTATACCGGGCTATTGCGGGGGCCACATGTTGAAATGGCCACACCGTCCAGTTTCTGAACACTTGCCGCGGCTTTGGGGGTTCAGGAGACCCGAGACGTGAACAGCGGGCGTGGACACAAAGTATTGCAGATGGATTGTGAGCTCTCACTATTACTTTGCACAGTTCACAGCTTTCGTACCCGCTCTGCAGCACCACCTTATTACGTCTGTCGTCATTCTCTCTGCCTAAGGCCCGTTGGGCGCATTTCAGGCGACGATCCGATGACATAAGCCACCTTCCGTAACGGGCAAATTGTAAACAAACAGTTTTCTCGCACCCTTGCGAAGCAAGCAGCGTAGCCAGCATGCTCTACAGTTGATAGTAATCTATATGCGGCATTTACAGATCTTGATAACGTTTCGAGAAAGGGCCTCGTCGTTGAAAGAGGGGTCGCGGGCCCAAAGCAAGGTTCAGACCGGCCTGATATCCCTTGATGCTGTGCCACGGCTACCATCCTCCCCAGTAGCGATGGGGCTCGCGATCGCGTGGCGCCCCCAGGCATTCCAACAATGCGCAGAATCTGATCTGAGCGTAGAGGAATCCGAGATCGAGGAGAGGGCCCATTTTTGCGGGGATCTATTGGTCGGGCCCTCTTGTTTTGCTGTGTGATGGCCACGTCTGTTCTGCATAGTGTCGCCGATCCTTAGCGGCTCCCACTTCTCCTAAACAAACTTCCCCCAAACTATCCTCTTCACTTCCTCTGCCCCTGCAACACGCTTTTCTTTCTCTGAGGATCAGAGTCAGATTTGCGTCTCCGCTTCTTACGTTCCCCTTAATATTCGTTCGCAACTGGCCTCGGACGTGGCCCAGCACTGAGTGGCCTAGGGCCTCAGTGCAAATCTTCCACTGAACATGATCTGGCTATCGACTCAAAATTGCGCAAACCTGTTCAACTAGGGTCTAGTCGTCTGTTCGCAGCTGGGATATTAGCCTGGAGTAACGAGACAGGCACCTGGTATATCGAGGAAGACTGGGGATTCCACCGGCTTCCGTTCTATCTTATCTTTTATAATCATACCATCGCGCCCTAGCACGTCGCCCATTTTACCATGGACGGAGCGCCGCCTCCGCCGCCGCCGCCGCCGCATGGCGAGAACCCCAATACCACCGGCGGCGAATATCGCAAATCGTCCGACTTGCCTCAGGGGAACTACGATATCTTCATCGTCCCTCCGCATTCCTCCGGCGGAGGCTTCCTCTACCTTCCCTCCCTGCAATGCAATCGAAACAGCTTCCTCGCGGGAGTTGCAAGCACACTTTTCGTGGGCATGGTATGGACTCTCATATCGCCGATCATCAGGGCGTGGTATATCGCCGCCGTTTCAGGTGGCAACAATATGGGAATCGTTGTGGTAGCACTCGGCTTAGGCGTGGCTGGTTGGGCCTTCGGAATATCGCAGTCAGACGGCTCGAAGGGCAATAATGGCGGAGGAAGAGGGTTCGGCGGAGGATCTGGATCTGGCGGGCCAAATGCCCACAGTCAGTCTTCTGGTGCCGGTTATGGAGGTGGACCCGGACAACAGCAATACGGAGGTGCCGGTGGATCGGGACAGCAACAACAACAACAACAAGGAGGTAACTTCGGAGGAGGGCAGAACCGTGGCAACCAGTACGCTGGTAATCAACACGGCTCTGGGCCTCCGCCAACGCAGGATTCAAAGAAGCACGGGGCAGATGGGGCTGAATGGGAGCGCGCACGGGAAGAGACAAAGCGCAAGGAAGAGCTGCGCCGGAAAATGGAGGAGTTTAAACGCAAGCGTGAGGCAGAAGCCAAAGAAAAAGAGAGGAAACGTGAGCGGGAAGCAATGGAGAAGGAATTGAAAGAGCGCCGCGAGCAGCTTGAGAAGGAAATGGCTGCTGCAAGGGAGAAAGCGGAGAAGGAAGCCCGTGAAAAGGCTGAAAAGGAAACTGCTGAAGCCAAGGTCGAGGCCGAGAGGCTTGCAGCAGAAGCAAAAGACAAGGCTGAAAAGGAAGCTGCTGAAAAGGAAGCTGCAGCAAAGGCACAGGCTCAAAAAGAGGCCATGGCCAAGTTCGCTGCCCTCAAAGAAGCAGCTGCAAAACGATACGCCGAGAAGAAGGCTGCGGAGGCCATGAAGGAGAAGGGTGCAGGCATCAAGCCACCTGCCAGTGCAACAAGCGCACCCCGGACCCCTTCCCCTAAGAAACCGCCCTTCCCGACAGCCAGGACAACTATCGAGGAAGACGACGCATATTCCTTTCGGCCCTACGACCGCCCACGCCGGCCGTATGTCACTTCGGCATACTCCGAGTCATCCTACGCTCCGTCTCAGTCTACGGCTCGCACGACGCCTCCACCGTCGCATCGAGGTACTTATTCCACCAAGGATCCAGACAAGATCGTGATCCAGGGTGTATACCAATTCAACAATGCCTTCAACAAGACCCCAGTCGCGCAGCTGGTCTCCGGCCAGGGAATGGTGACCGACGGCCTCGTGCTACGAATCACAACGGAAGGCCTGTTCATCGACGATGACCTGCGCGGCGTCGGACAGCGCGAATGGGACGTCAAAGCCTGGACTCTCAAGCTGGCAGAGGTATGGTGTCCCCAGATGGGCAAAGCCCCCCCTCAAAGCAAGGCTCCAGCAACCCCTTCTCCTTCCGCCGGGGCAATTCTGCGCATTCGGTCCCTACCACCGAGGAATCCGATGCGTTCCAGGCAGCCTTCCTCAAGACGTGCAAAAACACCTGCCGTCTGGCGTCTCCGGCTGCATCCTTTGCCCGTAGCGCTGCCGCCAGTGGTGTCAACAGCAGCGGCCCGCCCCAGGCGGAGTTCCGTGGTCTTCACGTCCTCCGCGCCAGCATTCGCGACCAGGAGGGCAAGCGATACGTTTTCGTCGTGCAGGACACGGAGGCCTGGAAGGTCGCAATTGGACTGCAACGTCTGCGTGCCGGCGCTCTGGTCCGCGCCCTCGGTGTATCGGCTCTGCCAGTCCCAGAATGCAAGAGCATCCTGGGAGGGCTCGGTTATATTTGAGAAATGGGCTATAAGATCATTGGGAACAATCTTGCGGGACTGCGGAAGCAAGTACACTTTCGTACTGCCTGATTCGACCACGTCTTCCTTCTTTCCTGAGCGTTTGTTGCTTTCTGCTGCGTTCTCAAAGCTGCGCTTTCATTTCTCATTAGCGGCGGAGTTTGCCCCATACTCTTCTTCCCTCGGTACATTCATTCGCTTTTTTTGCCATGGCCTCGTAGCTTCTGAGATTCCCCCCTTACCTACTTTTTTGTTATTATTTTGATGTCTAGTACAGTTGACGAGCATGTGGATGAGTTTCATTGGGGACGTACATAGCATATCATTACCGAAGTGAATCAGCGATGTTGCTTTATACCTTGCATTTAGACTAGCCGAGACTTAATTTAGGTTGATTATTGTATTTATTGCTTGTTCCAAAGACCGGTGTAGCGTTATATTGAAGAAAGACCTCATCAGAGATGATACATTTGCCGAGTCTCGTTACTTCTAATTTCATATCAAGCCTATTTCAAGCTCACTTGATTTTGACCATTCATAGAACATGATGCAATTCTATCCAAAGAACAAAACGCCACGAATGATGTCTGGTGTATGCCTGTCGAGTCCATGGAAAATCAGTCCGAGAACATGCACCGCTCATTTATTCATTCCCGTCCAGCACTCATATAGACACATCAAATGATAATGAAAAGACACAAAAAGGAGTTAAATATGAAGCCAAAAACAATGTCTATCATATGGGAATCATCCTGCTTCCGTATACCCGTGGAAGCATCGCAAATATGGAAGAAGACATGGCTGGAAGCAGACGAGCAACGCCTTTTTTGTAGTGTTGGTGTCGTCGAGTCCAGATCAAGGGAATATCAAAGTAACAACCGAACAACCGAGGGTACCCTGTATATGGGGGGTGGAAACACATGCAAAGGTCGAGGCGGGTATCAGGCAGGGCGCAAATGTCTCCGTTTTCGACGATACCTGGTCATGATGCTCTGCTTCAATTGTTCGCTGGCTGGCTTGAAAATGGTGTTTGGAAGAAGGGTAGACGGTCGGTCCATCTAGAAGGGGAAGCCGCCGGGGAATCCGCCGCCACCGCGAGACTGGCCGGCGAAGGGGTGGCCGCCTGCTGAGGCGAAACCGCCGCCGCCGCCGCCGCCGCCGTTCATCATGTTGAAGAGGATGTTGGGGTCGATGTTGATATGCGAACCGCCCATACCTCCCATGCCGCCCATACCTCCTCCCATTCCGCCCATTCCACCCATGCCGCCCATGCCGCCGAAGCCACCGCCGCCAAACATGTCGGACGGGTCCATCAGATCGTCTCCGTTATCGTAAGCGGCGCGCTTCCTGGTGAGGATGTTAGCATAATGTTCAAAGTCAGACGAATAGTGAAGACACTTACTGAGAATCGATCAGAGTCTCGTAGGCCTCGCCGATCTCCTTGAACTTCTCGTCGCCGGCCTCGCCATCGCGGTTCTTGTCCGGGTGGTACTGGATAGCCATCTTGCGGTAGGCCTTCTTGATCTCATGCTCGCTGGCGTCCTTGCCAACCCCAAGGATCTTGTAGTAGTCCTTGCGCTGGGACTTCTTCAGCTCGAACTCGGCCTTGCGGATGTCCTCCGCGATGCGCGGCTCGGACGGGTTGTTCTCAGCAACGCTCTTATAATCGCGGATAGCCTCCTCCCAGTTATCAGCGCCCGCATGCGCCTTGGCGCGGGTCTTGTAGGCCTTTAGGTATGAGGGATCCAGACGCAGGGCTTCAGTGCAGTCCGCAACGGCCGACTCCCATTGCTTCATGTTGGAGTAGGCCTGGGCACGGTTACCCAGGATCTTGGCGTTCATGTCCTTGTTGGTGGGATCGACCTCCAGAGCCTGGCCGTAGAGATCAATCGCTCGCTGGTAGTCCTTGGCCTTGAACGCAGCGTTACCCTCTTCCTTAGTACGGCTGAGCTTCTGAACAATGCGCAGCAGCTTGATAGCCGCCTTCATATCCGGGTCCAGCCCGAGACACATCTTCAGGAGCTTCAGCGCCTGTTCCGTCTCACCGGAGGCATAGAACGCCCGCGCGCGGATCATCATCGCATCCGGGTCCTGACTGTTCTCACGGAGCAAACCAATCGCAATATCCTGTGCCTTGCCCAGCGAGTTGCTGTTGTTCATCTTCAGCTGCGCTTCCGCGGCCATCAGGGTCCACTTGCGCGGCTCCTTCACACCACCGCCCAGTCCTTGCCGGGCCTGGTCCAGGCAGAAAACGGCCATCGAGCCACCCCGATCTTCGGCCAGGGTTTGCTCGGCCTGTGAGATGAAGCGCTGCATCTTCTCCGCTGCCGCACGGTCGGTCGCAGTCGCCGGGGGATCCACACGTGACAGCACCTCCAGCGCCTCGTTCGGCCGACCCAGGCTCGTCAGGATCTTAGCCCAGCGGTGGAAAATCTTCGGGTTTTCGGGATCGAGGGCGTTGGCACGCTCGATGTCCTCGAGCGCATTGAGATATTGCTTGGCGGAGATGTTGGCTGCCGCGCGGTTGGACAGGTAGGCCGACGAGTTCGGGTTAATCTCGATCGCTGCAGTTCAAAATTAAGTGTTAGCGCTTGTTCTCAGTCATCGTGCACACACGCACGCCGGAAAGCATACCCTTGTTGTACTCCTCGATGGCGCGACGGTAGTCGCCATCCTTGAAGAATTTGTTACCGGCCAACTTGAAGTTGTCGGCCTCATCCGTGGAGGAAGAGTTTGACCGGTGCGGAGGCGGGGTAGGACTCCGTTCCTCGGTGCCGTTGACACCGTTCTTCAGCTGAGCCTCCTGAGGATCGATGTCCATGGAACTCCGCTGGTCTTCTCGGGATGCCGCCATGGCCGACAGTCGACGGCGCAGCTCGTCGGGCGGGAGATTGAGTGGGTGAGATTCTTTCTCTTTTGAGGACTTGCCGAACCGAAAGGGGGCAGTCGGGATAGAGGTGGAGGAGGAAGACCGACTGTGAGTGAAGCGGTTCTTGGTGGGGGACTTAGAGGGCGAAGGTTTGGAAGGTTTGGAGGGCGACTTGCGCGCGGTGGAGAAGGACGTTCGGGGAGAAGAGGCGGGACTGTCGGGCTCGTCCTTCTTCCTCTCTTTTTCTTTTCTGTCCTGGACTTTCTCTTTGCTTTCGGTGGTTTGTTTCTCCTTGTCCTTATCCTTTTTGAAAATGTGGGCGAGTTGGACCATTGGGTGGCGTTAGGGTTTCCCCTGGTACTGTAATTTTTTTTCTGGGGATCGAAGGACAACGAAGGCGGTAGAATCGCCCGGATGGAAGGATCTCAACCACGAAAAATATGCTGAAAGAATGTGGTGGTTTTTTTCACAGAACAGCAGCCATGATCAGCATTAGTCTAGTCATCAAGCGTCATAAGGGGCCCGATAATGCCGGTATCGACTGGCCGGGGGGTCTGGGGATGAGATGCGAGGGGAAAAGGCCCAAAAAAAGATCCCGGAAAGAGATGGACCGGCCAGTGTACTTTATAGCTCTCTATCTATGGAACTTAGTGTTTTCTTTTTTGCTACTGGTGGGAACGCAGGAAATAACCCAGAGGCTGGAGAGCTGCTGGTCTGTGTTAGCGCGCGACAGAACTGGAGCAAGTCACCAAATCCTGTCGGATGACGACGACACCACCTCGGCTAAGACATGACTGAAGTGGTTCGAGAATCTTCTGCTATCATCAGGCCCTCTTTGCAATCGGCTTCGAGTCTTTCTACTGGAAAGGGTAAGGCCCAGCAAGGGTGCAAAGTCAGCGAGACTTTCCTCACGGTGGAGCGGTGGATCCAACATGCAGTTTGCTCGACTCGTAACGAGACGCCAGTGCTGACCCGGGGCGGGTTGGCCCTAGGGAGAGGGGAATCCCTGCCATAAGTCATTCGATGGCAACGGACGTATTGCCGGGGTAATATGTGTCGTCTGGCTGATATCTGTCTTCCGAAACATCCCCACATCGTCCTGTGTTTGCTTTTTTCTGGTACGGAGTACAAACACGAATTGTCGAGACTGGAGCTGCTGGTCTGTGCTGGCGTACGGGGAACTGGGTGTAGCAATGGTCACAGCGTGGTCGCAGAGTGCCAATCATACTCCGATGCCATGTGCTCATCTGACGAATTTGAGACAGATTCTGCAAGTCACAAATGCTAGGTGGGAAGTCATATGATTTCCGATCTCGGCCCTGACATGGACGATCATGAAAAGAAGCTCGACTGCCTGCACTACTTCGCTTGACCTCGTTTTGTTTCCATCATTGTCATTGGGATCTCACGAGACCAGATATATACCCCGGCAACATAGAGTGTTCAGTGGATCTGGTTGCGACCGTTGCGTATCAACACTTGACGTTTACATCCGCAACTAGCGCTAACTCCAGACATCATTTTGAATATTTTACTCTGCATGATAAATTTGCTTTATTGACAAAGAACCGGGAAATTAAGCTATGTCAACGTCATGGGAAGGTAGAGTTTATCACTAAGCGGGTGCCTCCCGAAAGCTGCCATAAGAGGATTAGTTGCCGCATCACGGCTCACGATTCAATCACCTTGGCGGTCTTCAACCTTTCTCTTCTTTTCAATAAAATCCTATCATCCAGATTCGAAAACCAGTCAGCCGTAGAAGGGCATAAGCTGTATAAGCTGGTCTACAAAATGAGCGAGTCCTTTCCGAACTCGCGGACAAAAGAATACACGGCACAAATAAACTGTTTTGCTTTGCTAAACACGCTAGGGTATAATGTTTCATGCAAAAAGTAAAGTCTAGCCAATCCCGCTGGATATAACAACCACGTCACCATCATTCTCCAGCCCTAACCAAGAAGACCAGTCTCAAAGAGGCTGGTTATTGACTATTCTCATGAGCACTAGCTCTCGGCCTCGAAGCCGGACCAAACGTGAGTCGCATAACGTGATTCGGGCTGAAGCAGTGACTTTCATAATCAGGAGGATGATCCCGCCGCTCCAGGTCGTCATCACTATCATATGGATGCCCCACATATAGCGGGGTCGTTGCATTGCGTAGCCTAGTGGGCAGCCGATGGATCTGTGGATGGGAAGAGCGTGTCGCCGAAGAACCAACAGTTGTCCACTGTTCCACATCCTCAAGCCAGACTCGGGGGTCAGAGCTGCGTGATCTTGGTTGATTGGTCTGTCGTTGTATGATGGTACTTGACCGTGAGCGCTCGTAGTCTGGGGATACTCTGTTGTGTTCGAGCTCATCTTCTTCGGTGTGCCTGCCTCGATGGGCTGAGGCTCGTATGAGGTTATTATCCCTACTCGAGGGACCATCGTTCCCAGTTGGGTTGGCAGCTGGTCTGCGATGTTCTTGCTGTCGTGGAGATATGGGTTCTGCAGAGGCGGGTCGCGGCGGTAGAGGCTTCCAGAGAAGGTTTGGAGGTGTATTATGTGGGGTTGCATTGTCCACGCGAAGGCGAGGAATTATAGAATGCGGCGTCCTCATGGTCGACTGGTCGTCGATTGGAGGGCCTTCGAGAGATGAAAGATCCATGAGAGGGCTTGGTTGTCGGTAGGAGTTTCGAGGAGTTTGACTGGAGCCTCCGGCTTGTTGAAAATCTAAAGGGTCTGGCAGGGGCTCTCGAGATGTAGCGGCGCGTTGTGGCGGCATCGACTGGAGATGTATTGGTGGCTCGCGGGGTTGTTGATGAGACTGGACCGCTGTTTGAAGCCCCCACTGTGTCGGTTCAGACCCTCGAGATGCTGCATGCGAGGCATGGGGTGCAGACTGGGTTCTGAAGAAGAATTTGCACAGCCTCTCGCAAGGCATTGTAGGGGCGGGCCTTTTAGGGGGGTGATAGAGCAAGAGCCCGGAATGTACGCTCAAACGAATGAGGTGCGCTTTGATGAATGTAAATAGTGGATCGTCGCCGAGTGCTCGTATTTGGAACCATCATCAAGACTCCGAAACGAGTGCGAACGCAAAACAACCCCCGAAGACTGGGAGGTTACAATTCCTGGAGAATCCAGCGGTTTTGCTGAGCAGGGGTGTCTGCTACGTATATAGATCAGGGATCCAAGCCAAATCGGAGATTTCCAAGGCGTCCTAGCGAAGCCACTAGCGCGGCGTGGCCCCTATCCGGGGCACTAGAATATTCCTTTTCAAGATTATGTTCCTTTTAATAGTCTCCAGGGACGACCCGAATCCTTTTGGGGGCCAGAGTCTCCAAACTGCGTACACCGCTAGGGACGAGGGCTAACAACCGCGGTGTACAGCCGGACCAAGAAGGTATTGTAAGTGGGCCTAATTAGATGGTCATAACCTTCTGTCTGGGAGGTTTGAAAGATGTTCGGAAAGGTACCTTGGAAAAAGGGATCAAAAGATGTCTAGAAAGACGTTTTTAGAAATGCCCTGGAGGATATTTAGAAGGACTAGGAAAATAAAGTGTCGAGGCCCTTTTGCAATATCTCCTTGGTCCGGCTGTACTTTACAGAGTTGTATGTTATGTAAAACGTCATGGCCATGAGATCCTGACCTGGATGGGGCCGTGGTTCAACTCCTTCGCACCTAGCTTCATGATCATCGTCAACACAGAGAAATACTGTTTACTGAGGGGCCACGGCCCCCGAAAGCGAGTCATGGTGCCTTAATTTCCGAAAGCGAGCCGTGATGCCTTCATTTCCGAAAGCCAACGCCCTCGGAATATAGTCCGAGAGCGGTACTATGTCGACTATCTGGAGCCAATGTGGATGTTGCTGGATCACGCCCCGGTGGGGCAGTTATTTTTGGTTAATACGAAGCGCGGTAAGATTCTGGTCGCACTATACGAGCCAGCGAGTGTAATACAATTGTCCTTAGGGCTATGCCTGCTCTTTTTCATCATCAAGGTCTGGGGTTGATCATTTCGGCAATTAGATCTTGGGGTGTGAGGTCATTCTGTTCGGGAATAAATGTAGCAACACGGCCATCGCTCGGCCAGCGCAGATCGTAATAAGATTGGTCCATTCTTCCTTACAAGATGCTCATGGTCTGCTAGGGATTCCAAGGATCCAACTAACACTAATGAACTCTCTACGCAGGCCTTTGCCGGGTATCGGATGCACGGCATACCTGATCGAGGTAGGTACGTGTTCCCAATATACATCCATGGAATATCCGCACGAAAATTATTTCAAGATTATAGCGGACAGGGAATTGCGAAAATAATGAATAAATATTCATGGATGTTCATTGACCTTGTTGCCAAGGTCATGATGCTCTTGGGAGCACGCGAACCTGAACCTTGGAACACGGTCCACATTCCACGGATGCAACAGCGGCTCCATGAATACCTCGGAGTATAGAATTTGCTACAGGCAAATACGTAATTTTCCATTCCCATTTCTTCACGTGCCCATAAAACACCATACACAACTAATTGAATTAAGATCAATTAGAATACCAAGTCAGGTTCGAAGATCTATGAAAGTGCGCCTTGTAGCGAGGCTCAAGGTGGCAGAGCATGGCGGGCTTGAACCCCTGACAGCCTGGTCAGCTTACACCACCATCTACAAATTTAGCACAATGAACTCTTTAACGATAACGAGGCTACTGGGAGAAATTGCAGGTACTCTCGGATAGATAACCGTTTCTAACACTGTTAATTCCCGACGGTGTCTCAATTGAGCGAAGCTCAGTACTGACACCCGAATAGGGGTAAAACGAGATTAGGGATTAAATCACTAGGTCTAAAGCGTAGACAGCGACGGCATTAACACATCCAAATTAAAGAAAAATAGATAGCAAATGTGGTATGGATACATTGTCAAAAAGGTTACGGGTATTCGCTGGAAAGTGGGGAAATGGTGAAAGCTGTCATGGTTTACATTAAGATCGTGCTCAAGCCGCCAAGCGCTTCACACACAACTCCGAAGCTATCCAGGAAGCCCAAGAATTGGAAAAGAATATGTATAGCAAAAGCAAATCAGAAAAGGGATAAAACGTATCCAATCAGAAGCAAGTAACAGTATTGGTCGGGGTATTCACACCAGACCCAAGTTAAATAACAAGAACCTTCTCTCTCCGTCCCCTTTCCATTCCACTTGCAACGGCCACATACCAACCAGGCCTAAGGCCAGCTTAGATGCAGAAGTCCATTACGGATGGAGTCATTTAAGCCAGGAAGAAGGCGGCAGCGGCGGCGGCACCAGCGAAGGTGAGCGAGCCGGAGACGGCACCAGCACCGTTGAAGACGGGGGTGGAGGAGGGGATAACGGAGGCGGTACCGCTGGGACTGTGTACTAGTTAATTTGCAGATCCATTGATATCGGAGATCAGGGATTAACTTACACGCCGGTCTTGGACGAGGGGACGTGGGGAACACCACCGCCAACGGGGGAGGAGTTGGTGGGGCTGGAACCACCGGGGGCGGTGACGGTCTCGTACCAGGTGGTGCACGAGGTGTGGGGGATCACCGAGGTGACGGCCGGGGGAGCGGGGATCACGTTGGTGGCGCTGGAGACAACAGGAGCGGGAGCAGAGCTGGAGGGCTTAGGAGCGCTAGCGGGGGTGGTGGTCAGGACAGCGGGGGTGCTGGTCTCAGTGGCACTAGCACCGGAGGGCTGGGTGCTGTGGGTGCGACCAGGGCAGTTGGTGACCTCGGGGCCGCAAGAGGTGATGGTGACCTCCTCAGTCTGGTAGACAGTGGTGTCGGCCGCGTTGGGCATAGCGGCGGCCAGGCCGACGAAGAAGGCAACGGTAGCAGCGGTGAAACGCATTTTGATTGATATGAGAAGGATAACCGAAAGGTGGTTTTGTTTAAGAGTTCGAAAAAAGCGGAGCTTTTTGTAGAAAGAGAGTGAGTAGTTGGTTAAAGAGTGGATGACCGAAGTCTAGAGAGTGACTGAAGCGAGGCAACGAAGATGATACTTGGGGAAGGAAAGAAAGGGAAGTAGCACGGGGGGAGCCAGGGGCCTTTGTATGAATGGGGAGATTAGTCTGATTAGTCTGCCGTCGTTGCTCGTGTTTTCGCCCCCCGAAAAAAAAAGGGGAAATCGAGCTCGATACTGCGGAGTCGTTCTGGCCTGTACCGGGTACAAGGCAAAGTGCGGTGAATGGGCCGTGTCCGCCAAGTCGCCGGTACATCCCAGTACAAGATCATTGGCCGGAGTGGGCGCGTGGGATGAGCCGTTTCGTCCGTGACCGCAAGTTAGCATGTATTTTTGACTGGCGCTAATGCGTTAGCGCAGGGACTGTGCCGATCGTACGGACTCGGAAGGTGTGTGAGAAACAGACCTTGCATCTTCTTGCCTTGCTTGGATTTACGCTAGACCCCGCCTCCGTACCCTACAGATGCTAGCTATCTACTGGGAGACCGGTGATTCTCGGATCCCCGATACCACACGCCAGATACAGAGCTAGTATAGCCCAAGACGAAATAAATTGAATGGAACAAAAGGAACCAGTTCTCGGGGTTTCAGCCCGCGCGGTGCCAACCAATCCACCACCGATCCCCTGCCCGTTCCTGACGCCGTCTGCCACTCTGCATTTCCCCGTGGATCCACCCCGTCTCCACTTTACCCCTGAGCAACCCGTGGATTTTATTCCGCTTTCTGGGCACGGGCTGTTATTTTTTGTGTTGGTGCAAGGGCTTGTGGACGGTCATCCTTACTCCGTTGCCTATTCAAACCTTGGTTCCGAACTCGTTCCCCAGGCGATGCCGATGCACATCATCACTGGTGGGCTGGAACCCACGCCCCGGCGAATCGCCGACGAGGCCTTTCGTTTGGGGATGGTGTAATGTCATTTCTATTCTCGTCTGTCCAAACCATGACCCTCTTTTCAACTTCGGTGGAGCCCGGACTGGGGTGTGCTGTCTCCTCCGTAGCATCCGGGTAGAATTTCGTCCCACCCATTCCGGTTTATTTCTAGTCGTTTTGTTTATCATACTTTAGCTCTGGCGCTCTCTCCCCATGTCGCCGCGATCCAATTCGATTGCAAGCGAAGCACTCTTGGCCCCGCTACAGACAAGGCGCTAGTCTTCTGTCTCAGCGCCATCTCCCCCCTAACGGCTGCGACTGTCCCCATTTCACGTTGCTTGGAGGTGCTTAGCCCCGGGGCGGGGCCGGGGCAAGAGCTTCGAGGCCTGGGCTTGAGCTTTGGTCCCTGGGTACTACGCTGACATGATATTTCATTAAAGAGGTGGCAGGTGGCTCCGGATCGAGGCCCTACGCGCGTGATTTATCCCCTGGCGTTGCTTATGAATGTCTTGAAGTAATTTACTGACCCGTTACGCCGAGGTCTGCCAGTAACAGTCGGGTATCTGTGCGCATTGTTGATCACCATCTCGGAGCTGCGGTTCGTGAGTCTCGACCACAGACGACTCACTTCACGCGGTTCTGGACCGATAGTTCAGTGACAACTTTGTCTTCGCCGGGCCAATGATGATTCGCAGTGCGCCTGTTGTCTTTCATGGTCGAAGGCTCCATGATAGGGGTTTGTAAAGGTTCAAACCAGACACCGATGGCCACGAGGCCACCCGCCCCAGACTCCACATATTCCGCAACTATTGATTCTTGCTTGGATCTCGTTCTGCTTGATTCCCCTTTTCAATGCTACATTGAATCGGCTTTTAGTATTGATGAATGTACCCCATATTCCTCCTCATTCTATACTTAGACTAGAGTTCAACTTATTTGTGGAATCGGTTCACCGATATTCGAAAATAGGGGGTCATCAGATAGCATTGGAGGATCTGTACTCCCATCCCCTGAATTCCGATATGTACCAGCAGCCATTGACTCAGGTGCTTTTTTATGTATATTTTGGATCTTTTGATGGCGGGAAAAGGGGTGCACGGGCTCAAACGGCCAAGTCCCTGAATTGGGTCGATTATATCGACGGGCGCCCACCTGAGACCGCCAGTGTCTCTACTTTGTACGGAACCCGACCGCCCAGCTCAATGTTAAACAGGAAAAGCCATCTCGTGTTTGTTGAGGCAGTTTAACTGGGAAGCAGGTAGACTTGAACCAGGGTAGCTTATCTACAGATCGGGCACGAAGTGAAGCACCTGACAACGCCCTGCTGTTCGACCGACGTTCTGAGTTACGCTCACCGGTTACAAGATTACCAGTCGCCGTGGTTTTACAACATCACGAATCCTTCGCGAGCAGTCGCGGACAGCCTTTCGCCGATGCCGCTTCGGCCCCTGCACTCTTTTTTACAGTTGGGAGTGCGGCACGCCGGGAAGCGCCCGGGATTTATTGATCAAAGATCAGCGACAACGCGTCAGCCATGATTGAACTGCTGTACTGTACTTCCGCGACCCGAGAACTATTGGTACGCGCTCCGTTCACGATTTTCTGGCAGGCCGAGAATGCTCCGGACAATTGAACCAGTGACGCATTGAATACTTGGTGGACAATCGGGCCTTTGAAGCTGCGAAATATAAAGTGATTCCCTGCGACCCTTAACTGCCCTCTGTTTGTTTGGACTTTGTGGTTGTCAAGCCATAAACATATTGCTGCCTTGCGTCGCCACCGGTGAATCACAGCACGGCCGTAGACAAAATGACGTCGACGTGCCCTCCTTGATGCGCCATTCCGATGCTTCTGCAAGGGTTTCCCATCTAGAATGTGGCTTCCCTCGATCCGTGGCTGAACACACGGGAAGCCGAGTGCACTGCCCAGGTCAGAGTTAGGATTGCCGACTCAGAATATGAGACGGTAGCACAGCCACAGGGACTATGGAGTGCCCTTGCCGGAGCCATGGAATCTATGTGTTACGGACGAATCGAAGTACGGCCCTAGTCACTGATTTGGGCCCCTGTGATGTCCAAACGTTTCTGATCGACGCTGCCACTGGTACTCTACGCGCCGATGATGACACCGGATCTCATCAACTGGGCTAAGCCACCGCAAGGGATATCTACAATCAGATTCTGATGTCTCACTTCCGGCCGTTGTGCGGATCGCCCCTCGGCACCATGACATCTGCATTGCGCTGCATCGCTGGTTCAGACCATGTGGTCATGTACTTTTGCTGGGGATTGAATATGAGTTGGCAATGATGTCGCCGGGCGCCACTAATCTTTGGGCGACGCGTGGTTGGCGAAGTGGGAAAAGAGTGGAGTCTCGGAGAAGGGAATTTGCGGCTCAAGGCAACAACGTATTTCCCGGATCATGTCCACCGTATCGAAAGGAGATGATGTATAGGAGTGCATGTTAATCGGGAAGGGATAGTAACGAGCAGTAGGTGGGCAATTTTAGGGGGAAGGACGTGATCAAACGAAGTGTGCAAGTGTATCCTGAGATACGTTGGCGACAATACATCATCACATCGCAACCGTGGTTGACCGTGAGAATTCGATCTAGCTTTTCCAGCCTTGGATACGACTAGGCCAGATAGGAGAGAAGCAAATAGTACTAGGTAACGAGAGTAGAAAAGCAGAGAACGGAAGGAGAGAAAAGTCGAGGACAGCCATATAAGGCCGTGCGATCGCCGTGTTTCACCTGAAGGCCTTCTGAAACAGCCCCACCATCGCGAGGACCCGATCTCTCTCGCTCGTCCTGTCCCACTCGGCGGCTGTGTTGTCTATTAATATTCATGACGAGGGATTCTTGCTTGCTTGGATATCCAGATTCGTCGATGCTTGACCGTTGACAGGTGGAACCCAAACGCTTTTCTTGCCGAGTCACCTGCTCCAACTCCTCAACTCCTCTTCTCCTCCCCTTTCCACATTCGTTTCGGGGTCGCGATCTCGTCCACTCTCTTTATCTCCCCAGGTCGCCCCCTCTAAAAGGTGGACGAGGCCCTATCGACACTGTGGCTACCCTGGCTGACCCTAACGAGTTGTTCCTGCCTGGGGAAAGGCAGAACAATCTCGCCATGTCCTCCGTACCGCTTCTTCGACCCCCGGTCCCGGGCAATCGCAGCAACACCGGTAGCCCTCGAGCTCCGAAGCTCACCCTGGGAATACCTCCCTCTCCCAACGCCAAGCCCGTCAATGGCAATGGTGCGACTGCCGATGCCTCGCAGTCGCAGTTACAGTCGCAGCTTCCGACACAACCACAACCACAACCACAACCACAACCCCTACCTCTCCAGTCCACCCGTCCCGCCCCGCCTCGCCTGCAGCTGGCGACTCCCATGGGCAGCAGTCAAAATGTCCCGCAGGAGACAACGGTCAAACCCGCTGGTCGCCCGTCGTTAGGATTGGCCACGAACGGACTCGGGGTGAATGGGCAGACCGGCTCCCATGGTAAAGGCAGTGATCCGGCCTCCGCGAACTCCCAATACTCGGCTCTTAACTTCGCCATATCCCTCCGCCAGTCTGGAAGTGGCAATTCAGACCCCTCATCAGCCATCGGCTCCGTGTACTCGGACCGCGACGGTGGTTCGCAATTGGAGGGGGAGAACGGCGTAAACGGATTACTCCCCGATCTCGATAAACTAAGCCTGGAGAAGGGCCGACCCCTCGATGTGGAAGATTTGGACGACGAGGGTTGGCACGCGGCTAGCGAGCAAAAGAAGATTGAAGAGTTGGGGAGTCTGGGTGAGGGTGCTGGCGGTGCTGTCACCCGATGCAAACTCAAGGATGGCAAGACTGTGTTTGCGTTGAAGGTAAGTTTCCCCCATGGAATTAATATCTTTGGATATGTTCTGATCCAAGCTAATGCTTCACTATCATAGATTATCACTACAGACCCCAATCCCGACGTCAAGAAGCAGATTGTTCGTGAGCTCAACTTTAACAAAGACTGTGCATCAGACCACATCTGTCGCTACTACGGCGCCTTCATGGACAAGTCAACGGGCACCATTTCTATCGCCATGGAATTCTGCGAAGGTGGAAGTCTCGACAGTATCTACAGGGAAGTCAAGAAGCTTGGTGGTCGGACTGGAGAAAAGGTCCTCGGAAAGGTTGCTGAAGGTGTGCTGAACGGCCTTACCTACTTGCACAGCCGCAAGATCATACACCGAGGTTCGTCCATAGATCATTGCCAGACGACGCGACACGGAAGCTAATGTTCAATTAGATATTAAACCTTCCAACATCCTCCTTTGCCGTGATGGCCAAGTCAAGCTCTGCGATTTCGGCGTTAGTGGCGAGTTCGGCACCAAGGGCGATGCGAATACCTTCATCGGAACATCCTACTACATGGCCCCGGAACGGATTACGGGTCAATCGTATACCATCACCTCCGACGTTTGGTCCCTAGGCGTGACATTGCTGGAAGTCGCTCAGCACCGATTCCCCTTCCCCGCCGACGGAACCGAGATGCAACCCCGCGCGGGGTTAATAGACCTCCTCACCTATATCGTTCGCCAGCCCATTCCCAAATTGAAGGATGAGCCGGAGAGCGGCATTCGCTGGTCAGATAACTTCAAGTACTTCATTGAGTGCTGGTACGTATTCTCCGAATCAATGCTTGGCTATATTTTTGCTAACGACGTTCGTTTAGTCTTGAAAAGGAACCTCCTCGAAGAGCGACTCCTTGGCGGATGCAGGAACATCCCTGGATGCAGGACATGAAGAATAAGAAGGTCAACATGGCGAACTTTGTGAAGCAGGTGTGGGGATGGGAAGAGTAAAAGAAAGCAAAAGTCCGCCTGAGACCTGATCTCGTCCTTCATTTCCTCTGCCGCGGAGTCCTCGAATATTGAGTCTGAGTGGCTGGACCCCCAAGAATTGACCTGGCTGTCAACACTCAAAAACACGACCACCCATCACGACACTTGTTTATTTCTGTTGGATTCATGTGTTGGCGCTATCCTGTTCATTGTCATAAGATACCTGCCGGGCCGGAACTCGGCGCAGCGCATCTTTCTCATCATACCCTGCCGTTGTCCTTTCCCTTATCGACTACGACCTTTGGTCTGGCTACGTCCTTACCCATACGATCCTTACGGCCTGATATCCCCGTCCGCATTTTCTTCCGATCCTTTCACCCGTCCCTTTGAGACTACTTTCTCACCTTCTCACCTTCTCTCCTTCTCCTGCGATTCCCATCTCGTTGTCATATCTTGAGCCTGGACATATCTATTCTTCATATATTGTTTCTCTGTCCGTGTATAGCCAATCTTTCTAGGTTTTTTTTTTTTTTGAGGGGACCTTGCTTCATGGAGTGTATGCAATGCATTGGGGCCCATCCTGGCACATACCTAGGTCACTATACGTACCATATTTCCTCTGCCAGGTGGACTTTCCTATTCCAGATGCCGCCCCTTTAATAATGGCGCTCAGAATTGGGCTCACCGAGTAAACTTCAGTCCGGGCGTAGATCCAATCACGTGATATAGTAGTAAGGTTCCATTGAGCACATTATGAGCGCTCAGGGTGTGCTCACTGATTACTCGGAGACTGATCAGAGGCATCTACTGAGCACGCAGTCTACGCTTAGACCATGCCCAAAGGAGCAATGGGGCCCCACCATGCTGTGCGCGAAGCAACCTTCATTTGGAGACCAAGCCAGCTGAGCTTTGACCAGTAGAGGATAGGCTATTGTCGAGGTATGGGCCACGATCTTAGGAAAATGATCTGCTTTGGGTGATAACGTGTATCCTGAAATTGTCACTTCGATCTTCGCGCGCACCGAAGCTTTGGCGTTTCCTAGTCAATAGCGTGCGTCTTTGACTCGCGCATTGCAGACATTAGAACTTTCAGAAACCCATATATTTGTTCCTCACTGGTTGAGATTCATTACTATAATAAAAAGGCAGAAATTAATATCGTCTAACTAATATGGAATCGAAATAATCAAACTAATGAAACCGTCCGATTGGAAGCAGACTGATGACCTGTCACCCGTTGGCCATACTCCCAGAAGTCCAGCGACGTGAGGTACTCGGCATTGCGGACAACTGTCATCCAGAGGATGCTCTGGGCCGAGTACCAGGCTTGTTGAAAATTGGAAGATGGCTCGAGTATGGAAGCGCCTATACAACCGGAAGTAGCAATGGCAAATTCGATTACTGGCGAGAGGGGATGGTGTCTACCCATTGATGTCACTCTTTCCTGCACTCGGTCTAGCCACTCCGACCCATTTAAAGGTCTGAGGGACCGAGATGTACCTTCCATGATGGCGTTCCAAAACTCCCTGACATGAAGTCCATCCTCCACGGAGATAAGGGAGGCATGTCCGGGTGTCGATGACTTGCTTGAAGCACGGAAGAAAGTAGCATGTGTCACCACGCTGGCAACCCAATCTACTGGAGATATATAAATCCATGATTCGTTCTCTTCAGCGTTATAGCCGTCAATATCAAGCGCTGCAGAAACGGTGCGCCAAATGACATCATCAAGGTTGGCTACTCCGTCCATTGCGGCACCCATCATTAGTCCCGGGCGAACAATTGTAAAGGAGTGACCTTGATGGCCATGAGACTGAACGTAGCGCTCGATCAACATCTCGGACACCAGCTTTGTCTGGCTGTAACCAGATTCTGCGGAGAGCGTGCTCTTGAGATCATCTGAGACCGGGAATCCACCTTTCTCTCCAGGCCGCAATGCAGAGACATACGTGAATGGAATGGGAGTTTGGCGGCGGGAGAGTGTCTTGAGGAGTGTAAAAGTAGACTGCACGTTGCTGGCTTTCAAGGTGTCATAGTCATAAAGCCAGTGAACAGTGGCGGCGCAGTGAATGATGGAGTCAAAAGTCTCTCCGCATAGAATGTCATAATTCTCATCTGATAGTCCCAAATTGTGTTGAGCTAAATCCCCGAGCCAGACTCGAATCACACGGCGATACTCATGTCTCCACCAATGGGCCTGACTCGCGGCCGCAATGATGCGGGCGAATGCCGCTTCAAGACTGGGACCACGCACCAGGAGAGTGACTGACTGAATGTCAGGATTCGATATGAGTGACTGCAGAATCCGTGTTCCAAGAAACCCTGTGCCGCCTGTAAGAAACACATTACGGAATCGCTTTCTCGGCATCGATCCTATGATATGTTTGTCCCTGGATAATGATTCGGGCTTGGGGAAAAAAGTGTCCATCTCGGCCTCTAACCGTTGATAGTCCTTCCACCAAGGGGCGGAATCTGCTGGAATGGGGTTGGAGCCGCCCTTGGACGATGTGGAGGAGGCAGCAATCATAGTGGCAATATCGCGGACCTTCGGCATGGTTTGGAAGAGGGCAGAAGTCGGGATAGTGATGTGAAACTCGCGCTGAATTGATTGGGCCAAAAGAACCATATCAATAGAATCTAATCCCAGCTGAGCGGGGCTTACATTCCGTCCAAGAATTTGACCACTGGCAGACTGCGTGTCTGAGGGTCCAAACCTTTTCTGGACAATTTCACTCAGCCAACGCGAAAGAGTCTGTGCGATAATTTCATCCTCGGCCAGGGATTCAATCACTTTCTGTGAGCCAATCTGTCCCAAGGCAGCCAGGTCTTGCGCCGAAGTGGCCTCTGCGGCCCGTTTCAGTGCTGGTCGATTGGCCTTGCCAGATACAAGCAGTGGGAGCTTTGGAAGTTGGAGGAAGAGCGACGGTACCATTATGGGGGGTAAGGCTTCCTGGATAGTTTTCTGGACATCCAAGGCACGAGCGGCAAACAGCGGGGAGGGCTGGCAAAAGGCAGCAGTGGAATCTCCATCTATGCTGGAGTCAGTGCCCAAGTACACCATGGCGGCGAGCAAGGAATGGCCCTCAGAGCCCTTGGGACTGATCAAGGCCGCTAATACCGTACAGCCAGCACCAAAAGCCAGCTGCAAATGGTACTCGACGAGAGACAAATCCAACCGTTGCCCACGAAGTTTGATCTGTTGACTGTCTCGACCGAGGAAGATGACCGAACCATCTTCGTTGTATCTGCCCAGATCACCGGTTTTGTAGAATCGACCATGAGATGCCGCACCGAGTTGAGAAACCCAGTCTGTCGTATCTAGGAATGCTTCTCGTGTCTTGCCGGGATTTTCCAGGTATTCTCTACCCACAATCGGACCCTGGATGACGATCTCACCAACTGCGCCCACCGGAACAAGGGAGTTGTGGTTATTTTTATGGACCAGCCAAAGATGGGCGCCCATACCGTTTCCAATGTTGCGCACGTCCACCTGCTCATGGTTCACCGGTATAGCCGAGGCACCTGTGCAGCACTCGGTAGGCCCATAACCACACAGCAGCTGAACTTTAGAGGACCATTTCTTCGCCTGGTCGACAAGCATTGATTCCCCAACAGCAACCACGGTATTCAGGCTCGGCACATCCCGAGGGTCTACTACTCGAAGCATCGAAGGGGTGATGACCATCCATGTTGCCTGAAATCGCTGTACTGCGGCCACGATTCCGGTCCGACACTCCTCGTCTTGCGGGATACACACGCAGCCTCCAGCACAAAGCGTGGTGAGAATTTCGACGGCAAAGGAGTCAAAGGCATAAGAGGAAAGTTGGAGCACACGAGACTGATAATTTATGTGCAAGTGTTTTTGTTGCGCGATAGCGGCAGCGGCAAATTGTCCATGCTCAATAATGACCGCTTTGGGTTCTCCAGTTGACCCTGATGTGAAGACTGTGTATGCAATGTCCTGCGCAGTCGTTTTTGCATCAAACGCTCGAGTCACGGCCTGCGGTGTGTACGAGTCAATGAAAAACACCGAGTCACAAAGCCCCCTGGCCCTATCTGCTAAGTGTTTCATTGTCACGATGAGGCTCGCTCGAACCCGCTGGCATATCTTCTCATGTTGAGAGGCCGGCTGTTCCAGATCCAGCAGAACAAATGGACTCCCAGATTTCATGACCGCCAGCATGGCAACAGGGACCCAGTGAGAACGTGGAAGAAGTATACAGACGTTGTTGCGTTCGGGGACGGCGTTTTCAGGATGGGAGTCACTTGCCATTGCAGATGTGAGCTTATCGAGTTGTGCATAAGTCAGACTTATGCCATCCCATGTCGTCAGTGCAATGGCCTCGGGCTGTTTCGCAGCGGCTTCGGCAAACAAATCGTGAATGCAGCACTCTGGCTGGGCTAGAGCACCCGTATTCCATGTCGATAGTTCAGTCTGGTCCTCATCGCAGAGTAGGTCTAGCTCGTCGAGCATACACTCATGCCCCGAAAGCTGACTCAGAACATGGGCCAATTGATCCAGCATTCTTTCCCCCTGGGACTTAGGAATGACGTTTGTATCGACGAGGAGTTCTAGAGACCAGCTCTCGAGCCCGGGCTCACAGACGAGGATAAGCCCATATCCTGGGAAGCCTTGCATACCACCTAACCTTGTCTCCACTCGGCCCAGAATGGGGGGGGCCTCGAAACCCTGGGCATTGGACTGCACCACAAGCAGACTTCGGAAACGACATGCCATTGCAGCATCCTTACTTGCCCGAGCAATATGCTGCAAGCCAGACTGCTCGAAAGGGATCGCACGAGATCGTGCTTCTTCAAGCTGCAAAAGCGCATCTCGAACACTGGATTTGTGATCTAACTGGCACCGGACGGGAATGGTGGCAATTGTGGGCCCGGCCACAGCCTCTATTCCAGGGAAATCTGCTCGACGTCCGTCGACAACATTACCGAAAACCACATCATCTGACCCGCTGTACAATGAGAGCAAAAGTGCCCAGGCGAGACGTAGTCGGACTGTTGGACTAAACACGCCATCAGAGGGCGGCAGTTTAATATGCCGACCACATGTAGTCTCTGCACGAGGTAGATAGTCAGAAGTTGGGTAATGGGGAAAGACACACGGTTCAACGTCTGCCAGTTCACCGCGCCAGAAGCTTGTCGTGGCTGTAGGATCACGCTGCTGTTGGAGATGCTGGACGAACAAGGAGAACGGAAGGATTTCAACTCCAGATGAACAATGGTAGGCCTGTTCGACGAGTTGAAGGAGTAGTGACAGTGTCCAGCCGTCGTATGTGGCATGATGAAGCGTCAATGCAATCGTTTCGGACTGCCCTTCTCCCAGAATGCAACTAAGGCTTACCAACGGCATTCCAAAGCTCATCTCGAGACCACAGTCCGCCGAGGTGAAGTCGGTGATACTGGGATAGCTTCGCCAGTCTATAGGTTGTTTGACGACAACCTGATAAGAATGTGCACCTGGAGGTTGAACGATTCTTGTACGTAGAACAGGTACTTGATTCACAGCCAAACTTAACGCTCTCTTTGCATCTTCAGGAGATGTTCCCGGTGCCAGATGGAACAAAAACCTGTCGATATAGGCATTGGTGCCCAGGCTGGATGTGATCGAGAAAATGCCCTCCTGGATTGGTGTGCAGGGATACATATCCTCAATATCCGTCACGGATATCAAGCACTGTTGTGCAGCAATTTGACGCAGCGCCGTAATATCACCGGAAAATTGCAGTAGAGAAAAGGGTTCCGGTGGAGGCCTATGGCAAGGCTGGACGGCCTGAATTGAGGCCGCAAGGTTCTTCAACGAGCGCTCAGCATCGAGGAGTCCCTCCCAATGAAGGTAGTGGCCGTGTCTGGCTAAGTGCCGTGCAACTTGGATGGCCGAGACTGAATCCCCGCCCAGCTGTCGGAAGGGGCGATCCAAATCAATGGCCGATTGCTGTATTTTCAGGACGCTGGCCACACTTTCTAGGAGAATATGTTCAGATCTCGTCGGGGGAAACGGTGATAACTGTGTATTTGACGTCAAAGAGCGGCTCTTGTGATATAACTTCGTGACGAGATCAGTGTGAGACATGCCAGTCACAGCCTTGCGCAGACGTTTTTTGTCCACCTTCCCCGTAGGCCCAATCGGCATCCGAGTCAGGGGGATGAGGAACAAGGGGACCATAAATCGGGGTAGAGACTTTGCCAGGCGGTCGAGAAGACGCGAAGCCTCAGTGTGGAAGGAGCGAGGCACTTGAGTCGGCCATCGTACCGTGGCAAGGTCCTCGTCCCATTCGACGCCTACAGCATGCTCGACAAATGCCAGGAGGACTGGGTCAGAGCGGTTGCTTCGATCCTGTAGCATAACAGCATCTACGGCGATCGGGTGATTGGGCTCCAGGCGGCGGAGGGCAACCTCAACCTGGTCCATGTCCACTCGCTGACCGTTGATCTTGACCATAGTATCCTTCCGTGAAAGATAACGGATTGACCCATCGGCATTGTACTGGGCAAGATCTCCAGTTTTGTAGAAGCGTCCGCTTATAGGTTGAGGGAAGGTACTGCGCCATTGAGGAGGTGGTATGAAGACCTTACCAGTCTGCACGGGATCGTTAAGATAGCCTTGGGCCACGGCAGGCCCTTCTATGATAATCTCCCCAACTGTTCCAATAGCGACCAAATGGTCCACATTGTCCGGTCGCACAATCCATAAATTACAGCAGGCACTGCTTCCAAAGGTCCCAGGAATCCAGCTTCCGGGAAGGATCTCGATGCTTGCACCGCCACAGCCTTCCGAGGGGCCCCAGAGGTTGAACAGACGGATATGGCTGTGCCACTGAGCAACCAAGTCTTGAGTCACTGGTTCACCACCGAGAACGACTGTCTCCAGATAAGACAAATCCTCCGGTGCATAGCTGCGTAGAAGTGTTGGGGTGAAAAATGCCCACGAAGCACGATGATTTTGAATAAAGGATGGCAGTTCCCAGAGCCGTTGCTTCTCGGACGGAATGCATAGACAGGCGCCGCGCGTCAGCGCATACCACGTCTCCAAGACGCTCATGTCAAAAGCATACGAGGAGAACTGCAGGATCCGAGAGCTTGGGTGCACATTCAGAGCATGACTTTGATGGTGGGTGGCCGTGGCAATAGCCTCATGCGTCAAAATCACGCCTTTGGGCTCTCCAGTGCTGCCAGAGGTGAAAATGAGATGAGCCACATCATGGGGGCCTGTGTGGACAATATACTGTTCATAACAAAATGATGTCTCAAAAATCTCGGGAACTACCCATCGGAGATACCCGTCATGTCCAAGCCTATCGCTTTGCGACCGCGAACATAGAACTCCTCTTGAGTTCAACTTCTTGATAATGCTGTGGACGTAAGAGTCTGGATAATCGGTGCACAGACTGACACAGGTCCCACCGGCCTTAAGGATTGCCAACGTAGCGACCACCATCCACTTCGACTTCTCAAACAATAGTGGAATGATCATCCCTTTACTGAACCCATTACTGAGAAGCACACTTGCCAGTCTTTCTGACAACGATTCGACCTGGCCGTAAGTGAGTTCACCGTCCCACGACGATATAGCAGGAGCGGATGGCTGCTTCTCTGCTTGGGCGCTAAAGAGATGATGACAACATTCCAGTACCGACTTGCTTGTCTGTGGAGTCCACTGTTCGAGTGTGGCTCTGTCAAACTCTGAGATCATATCGAGGTGTTGCAATGTCAGATCAGGAGCAGCCAATGTGATCTGACGGACAAGATGAGCAAACTGATACGTGAAGCGTGAGGCGACGTCATGAAAGCCAACTGTTGCTGCATAGTAAATGCAAAAGGATAGGCACTTCCCAGATGCTGGTTGGATTACCATACGTAGTATTTCGTCATCATCCAGCGTGTGCCACTGGTGGCCTTCGGACACATCGCTGCTTGGGAGGTCTGCACAAGAAGTCAATGGCGAAACCATCGAAACGCGAAGTCCTTGGACAGTTTCGCTCTTGTCTCCTTCTCTCAGCTCATGGACGCCTTTCAACTTCTTTGTCACTCCGTCCAATGTCGCTTGTATGCTCTGGCTGGGATGCAGATCTAGTTCGATGCCATGTGTTGCCGCTTCCGCCGCCGATCCGTCAGTATGCCGAAAATCGATCTCGAGTCTGATTGCGGTAGAACCGGAATAACAGGCCAAAAGAATAGCCCAGCTTGATGTCAAGACATTGTTGTCTAGATCGGATGTAAATAAGGAGATGGAATCTGTGACGGCGACAGCCCGATGGAGGTCGAGCGGGTCGTGAAGGGTGGTAAATGGACTGGGAGTTGCAGCTCGGAGCATCGAACCCTTAGTTCTTGCCTTCAATCCTTCGGATATGACCTCCGATGAAAGCATCTTTGGTCAATCAAGAAACGAGATGGAAGATGCTAAAAAATATATATATATAAAATAAAATAAAAAATAGAAAGCCACCTGTTCGTGATAAAAGAGGCATGACATACTTGGCGTGGATATCATGAAATACGTGAGGTCTTGCTGTTATCGCGTACAAGAAAGGCCGACAAAAAAACCTGACCCTTGCAGTGCAAATGCAAGGGCAACGTCTCGAATTGGGATGAGGAATTTCAGGGAGTTACAGTCCCGAGGTCGGTAATGCATATCTTCCGTACCCACTTCGTCATCAGACCAATCCCCAGCCTCACCACTTTAACAACCACTAGTATGCCCGGAAAAGCTATCCCAGTCGACGGAGAGACTGGGCCTTTAAGTCATAAAAAAGCCTAGTTTGATAGAATTGAGGAGAAAGGGACACACAATGCCGAATATATGTGGCGGAATGGGTACGGAAGACATGCATTACCGACTAAAGTCGATCGCACGCCCGGCCCGCAGGCGATCTGCCATCAACCGAGTCATCATTGAGGCAAGGCTGGACAAACTTAATATTCTCAGTTGTCTATACTCTTGTGGATATCATGGATACTTCACAGCTTTCATTCGACCAACTTGCTTGTTCAGGCTGCTATAGCCTGGTTCGTAGTGTGGATTTTACATAAGCACTGTATCTGAATAACGGCTCGAGGATGAAGCGAGGGCAAGTGTGTTGCATGTAGACATCTCGAATGAACATGTGTATGTACAGGAAAATTTGGAATTTATGCAATGAAATTGAATCTTTTCTCCACAAGGTGCTCAAAACAACACCTGCGCATGTAATGTGTATGACGTGATCAGGGCAAGCACATAAAAAAAAGTGTATGATTGGTTGGGATCTGCACCGCCACCTAATAGGGGGCTGGTGACTCTCCGGCTTGACGTATATATAGGTACCAAAACAGGCCTTGTTGTTTTGTTTTCAATCTACTTTCTAACTATATGGTTTGTTTTAGTTTCATTTTCGTACACTGTTTCATATCGTAATACCGCGCTTTACGATGAATTTCGTGCTCTCTGTCCTTAATAGATGTTATCTACATAAAGGTATATCTAAAAGCACTCACGTCCTGCCGACTAGTGCCGGGTCTCTATCTTAAACTTTGCTTACAGATACCGAGGTTAAAAGTTGCTTGCAGTGGAACTTGTTGAGGATGATACGCGGCGCAAAGTACGGCGGATTAACTACTAGGAGGTTGTTTGTTGATCCAGAGTAGAGGTTAAACGCCTGATTACCTCCGGAAGCGGAACCAGGCAATAATTTTGATGCAGGGCGGAAATGGTGTTTTCATACTTGTCCAATCACGGTCATGAAACTGTCCTTCAGGAAATGAGAACAAAGACGCGACAAGGTTGCAGCCACAATGAACTTCGCTTCAGTATCTACTCATCGGTGGACCCTCTGACAATGGGACCCGACCGTCCGACTCGCTCAAAAGCTGTACTTTCAAGAAAATTCTTTTCGAACCATTCACGTGCCGACATCAAAATTTCCCGCCCTTTCCGCCCCTTTGCCTGGAATGCTGCCCTCTTGAGCGTACCTGCGGTTGTGTTCTCTGTAATCCCGTTGCCAAAGAGCTCACCGTCGCGCGTGTGGTAAAATGCAAACACCTGGCGTGATTCTTGGAGGTAGGGCCGGTCGGCAGGCATGTCTGCCGGATTGTTGTACGGGATATATCGTGCTTTTTGCTTGGTCACTATATTCGGGTCAGTCCTTCCTCCGAACAGATTGCGTTTCGGCTTACCATCGGCGAAAACAGTAGTCAGCATCCCGTAAGACAGTATATCTCCAACTGCCTGCACCGTTCGCTTGTTCCATCGTGCCGGATTCAGGAAGATGCCGTGGACAAGGTCGCCAAAATCCTCGTCAACACATATCCAGGGTACCTCCTCATTACCACCAAGAGGTGGAAGGCGCAGCGTCAAGTAACCTTCCGCATCTTTATTCCATGGAAATCCACCAAACTCTTCCACGAAAGATGGAATGAAGAAGTTCTGAAAGTACCAAGATGCCATGATCGGGGTAAAGGTTTGAAATGCCGGGCAAGCACGTCCCCAATTCTCTCCCCAGGCTTTAGCTGTACGCCAAAAAGTGATTAGCTTTCATATAATGTCATCAAAAATAGAAAGAGTTGTTTACCATCAAGAACTGGGGTGCAGAACTGGCCTCCAGACAAATCATGCGCGGAGGGTTGTGAACTGAACACGACATGAGGGACCTTAGCCTCGGCGGCACTCCGTAGGATTATATTTCCGAAATCATCCTCATATTTGCCCTGCTGGACGGCGGGCGTCAACATGTAGCCGTTATTGATGAAAATACCCCAACTTCCATGAAGGGCGGTTGCCATAAGATTGGGGTCATTTCCATCGCCTTCCACAATTTCAGCGCCCAGCTTTTTCAATTGCTGCGCCTTGACAGAAGAACTATCCCGTGTAATGCACCGAACATGGAAATCGGGATTCTGTAGTAAGGATCGAGCGACAGAACCGCCTTGTTGGCCTGTTTTGGTATAAGGGTATAAGCATCCAAGTCATAGTTTGAATCTCAAGACACATACCCGTGGCTCCTATTATGGTGATAATTTTCCCCTCTTTTGCCATTTTTGTCCTCAATTTTTGAATGATTAGATACTTTCGTGTACTGCAACACGACGAGATTATTATCCTGGAGTTGTCGCAATCGGCTCTGCACAACAACTGGTGACCTTGCATCCACGATCATGATCAGTGCCAAGAAGCACCAGTCAAGGTGAGCCTTGCGTCAATTCCTGCTCCATGGTGCCCAGCGCTCACAGTCATATTGGTATGCTGCATGCCATGCAACTCGACGCGATCGCTGCCGGTGGATGTGGAGCTCGTCACCGCTACTTGGACTTGACAGGTCACAGAATCTCCACGGAGTCCTGTACTTGCATCCTCCAAGTTACATGTAATTCCTACACCGCAAGTGCCCATTGCGGTCATCGGGCGAGGCTAATAAGTACCTGATTATGACAAACTGCTCCTTCTTCTAAATTGTCGCACTCTAACTTTTCTATGCCATCACTGTCTTGTTATTCCGAGTGCTTGCTTTCGAGGTCACCAGTTGAGACGAAATTTCAAACACAATGACGATTCAAAAGAAGACGGTTGCCGTATTTGGCGGAACTGGTATGGGTCTTGAGCCTCCAATGGTGCAAGGATGGGACTGTGCTAATGATGGCCCTTTCAGGGAACCAGGGAAGTGCTGTTGTTCGCTCACTGCTTTTAAATAAACAAAATACCTTCGACGTGCGCGTTATTACACGCGATATCAACTCTTCTATAGCCAAAGATCTACTTAGTCTTGGTGCAAAGACTGTCTGCGCCGATGCCCGGGACCATGATCAGCTGGCTGCTGCATTCACCGGGGCTTGGGCGGCGTTTATCAACTCCAACTCTGATCACCATGTAAGCTCCGTTTTCAGGTCCCCTTCAGCTCTAGATGCTAACAACTGCTACCAAAAATTAAGGGGGCGGATGATGAGTTACATCTGCCAAACGTCTTCGATTTTGATACCGCTGTCCTCAAGGCTGCAAAGGCAATGGGAGTCGCTCACGTAATCTACAGTTCTGGTGCTAATGTGTATCGGGCGACGAAAGGGCGGGTCTCCCTGGCTGGCTTTGACTGTAAATGATACCTTTACATTCTGACATGATAAATGCTCAATTAAGTTCACAGGCAAGAGCTACGCTGAGGAATATGCTCGGTCCGAGGAAATGTTCGATACATTTACCGCGGTCCTTCCCGCCTCTTTTATGGAATGCTGGACAGCTGAGCCATTTTGTGAGACCTGGGGTGGGTTTCCTCTACTTCCCAAGGAGAATGGCGAGCTTCTCCTAGCCGTGCCACCCTACGGCGGTGACGGTCGAATGCCGTGGGTCAGTGTCCAAGACGACTTTGGGGACATTGTCCACGGCATTCTTCTTGATCCTGTTCGTTATGACAAAAAACGAGTCCAGGCAATCAGCAGCCTCATACGATTTGAGGACTTGGCGCACGCGTTTACTCGTGGTATGTACCTCTTTAAGGCAATTGAACACCCGCTTATTCTACGTTCAGCCACTGGAACTCTTGTCAAGTTTCAACCTCTCTCTTCGTGGGCAGACGTTCCGCAGGATGGGAGTGATTTGCGCCGCGAGTGTTCACTAATGTTCTTTTACATGGAGTTCTGTGGTGGTCGCTGGTTTGCTGAGTACCCCAGCGATGACACAGCCGCCAGGGAATGCAAGGAAGCTGCCGCCAGGGCTCGAGGGTGTCTTGAGACTAACCCTATTGCCTTTGAAGATTGGTTTAAACGCAATTTCAAAGGGCATATCAGTAGTCAGAAGTGAAAAGTAAAGAAGTGCAACCAAATGGCCGCCAATGAAACTGTTTCCATTTTTCCCTGATAATAGATCTAAGTCGTACCGGTTCAGCAACTTCCCATAAACACTAATCGCCGTGATATTCTGGTAGCGACTCCTGTGTCTACGTCAAAAGAAACCCACCATTCGATTCCAGGACAGTCCCGTTCACGAACTGATCTTTCATAAAATACAAATAAGCCTGTGCCACATTTTCTGGGCGGCCAACCTTCCCAACCAGCGCCTTCTGTTCAGCCACTTTGATCGCCATGTCGTAGTGCTCCCCCAAGATGTCCTTCACAGCCTGGGTCTCAATCGGCCCGGGAGATACAACATTAAACCGTATCGGTTTCATTTCCACCGCAAGCCCTCTCATAAGTCCTTCGATTGCACCGCAATATCCGGCTACGACACTCCAGCCCGGATCGGCCTTTTGGCCATGCGCTCCGCTTGTCAAAGTGACGGAGTTTTCGGCGTTACTCTCCATAAACCGAGGTAGGTGCTTGGTCAGAATGAGAGGTGCGAGGAATCTCAATGTATGAGTTGACTCGATGTTTTGGACCGTTATGTCGCGGATGGGAGGCGGAACAGTCATGTCCGCCGCCGTTATTATGAGGTGATTGATTTTCGCGCCGTCAGCTGCGTATTCAAGAATGGTTGGTACTGTTTCCTCCAGCGACTTCGCGCAGGAAAGATCCGCCTGTATTCCTCTCAAGTGGCCGTTGTTTGTTTCCAGAGGATAAGACCCACGGAGCTGGGACAGTGCATTTTCCAATTTGGACTTATTGGAGCCTACCACTGTCACAAGTGCCCAATTCTCGAGAGCGGCTTCCGCGATGGCGTATCCGATGCCCGAGGTGCCACCAATGATGAGCACGAGCTTGTCTTGTAAGAGGCCGGTGTATTTTCTTGTACCCTGGGCCATGTTGAACACTAGCGGTTGGTGTTGAAAGGGATCGATTGTGAAGCCACCTGAGCACGGCTTATAAGAGTCTCAGGGCTTAGCTGAGGTTCTTTTCTGAGCCGGGTGCGATATTAAGCGGTGACCTAAAATTGCCTGAAATACGGGCTTTCGGCTAGCTGACCTCCTTTGCCAGCGCATAAATTCTGCTTTGTTCACTATGCGTGCCTGTTAGCAGCGGTGAACAGCCGCGCTCTACGGTGCAGTTGTTTCAGTCAGGTTTAGTTAGAGTGATACATGAAAAAGGCATTTCTAGGTTATTATTTTCTGCAAGCTACTGATCACATCCATTTTGAGTCTTTTCGGTTCTCAAATATTCTGATATCGTCCAGCCAATACCGAGGTATCGTCTTTGACCCACATATCTCATCGAGATCACTCAGGCATAGTTTTGATGCCAGGTATGATCACCTTTCTCCTGAAGGAGTTTTTTCACGGTATGATGTGGCGTCAATGGCTCCCTGCACAGTATCTCGCGCAACAATCCGTCCACGACCTTTAGTTCCCCCCTAGCAGCTGCCGTCCACCATGAGGCAAGTATCTCAAAAAGAACGACTGGTTTCTTCCCTTTGTCATGCTCCGTATGATGCGCAAGGAACTCCCCTTCCGAGACATACCGAATCTTCAATTCCCGACCTGTGGACTGAATAATCGTATCCACTATCCCCCTTGCGGTGATGGTCTCGCCCGCCGTGAGAAGTACTGTTTTGTTCTCGTACCCACCACCTAGCATTAGGCGTGCAGTACCCTCAGCAAGGTCCTCTCGGCTAGTAAAAGCTATTTCACCGTCGCATGGAAGGATAATCTCAGCTGTGTCGGCATACCAGTTGAGAAAGAGTGGGAATGCCTCTGTGTAGATACCCTCGCGGATGCAGGTATACGTCAGACCAGATCTAACGCAATCAGTCTCAGCACTGTAACTCGAATATGTAGCAATGTGCCTCACTTTTGGAGCATTTGCTCTGTGGCTATATGCTGCTGTTGGACCGCGACCTTTGAGTCATTCCCAAATCCACCGAAAGGCAAAGATGTGTACCACACCTATGATTAGTGAAGTTAGTCACATACTGCGAAGGCTGAATGTATGCGCCACATACATGCCGAACATTAGCCTTGGCGGCCGCCAGTACGACATTCTGGTGGTGTCTGTGAATTCGATCGATATGTATCACATTCGTATTCGTACTGACGAAGAGCAGATTCTGCACGTCTCGTAGCCCCACCTCGAGAGTGGAAGGATCCTCGTAGTCCAAGTGGCGAAATTGGACTCCGCGACCCTCAAAGTACTGTCGCTTCCCTCTTTGGGACGATGAGACGGCAAATTCATTCAAGGGGACGTTATTAATGAAATAGTCAAGAATGTGGCCACCGAAGCCACCTGTCGCGCCAGTGATCAGGTATCTGAGCATCATGTTGTTTGTCTCTATGCAAAGTGGAGTGCTGGACTGAGGAGAAGACAATATGGTATCACCTCGTTGTTACCTTGTTAATCTGCAACATGTATTTATATTTCAAAGAAGGGCCGCCATCTATAGCAGACTATTGCATTGCATGAAACTACCTTATGAGTCTACTGCAATGTCTAAGACCCAGCTCCCTTGTGCGCCACCAACTTTCTAAAGCTGACCGAACCTTGAAATGGGTTGTTGGCAGTAGAAGCAAGGGACTCGGGCCGCCGGACACGAATTGTCCAATTACATGCAATAAATGTGTCCTAGTCCGCTATTCCGAGTGATCTGCAGCAGAACACGGGACATCAGGAGTAGCGCTCAACTCCACCTATATATCTGGGCATGTAACCTAGACTCCACACAGTGCACTATAATATGTGATTTATCTGACCATTGAGATTTCTTCATACCATCGCGCAGTTGTCTGCACCCTAGGCGGTGATTTCCGTGGAACCCGTAGGGTCTACCTACGTTATCTGCATAGGGAGGCTGTATCAGCTCTTAGGTTCTCTCATCGACCTCCAGCAGGGTAATTCGCTAACAAGAAATTGGTAGCTTATAAATTCGACTACATCGCCATTTTCAGTTGAGAAAGATTCAACTTCCTTCGCAATTTTCCATCATGAGGGACCACAATGCAGAGTACATTAAGAAAGCTGCACCGTTTGGCACGCAACCATTGGGAACCTCTCATCCTCCAGGTGACCCCCATGTATTCATTTTCCCAGGTCCCTTACTACATGGGATCCATTTTGCTAACTAGAGCTGCACAGGCTGTGAGTTTCTCTCTGCCGACTTGGGCGTCTGTGACAGGCAATATGGCAGGGGAATCTTGGGTGAGAAAGAAAAAGCAGACCACGTATCCAAGGTTAGTAACTTTCTGCAAAATGATGGCCATATGCTGACCCTTATTGGAAAGAATGGGATTTTGCCCGACAGTTGGGAAATTGACTGAGGCTGCCCTAGGACGTGTCAAGCGTCCCGCGGGGGTAAAAGCGCGGATATTCGTTTCTGAGGAGGCTGCTTCCCGTCTACGGCATACATTCAAGCAGAAAGATTCAGCTGCCAACATATATGTAATAGAATTCAAGGTGCCCCAGCCAGGTAATCCAGAAATAGCGAACTGGGCCCACTTTGTGTTGGTACTTTTTCCGGAGAGCTTGGAGGAGGAAGCTTTCACTTTCTGGCTCAATCACGGCGACGGAATCTCAAACCGACACGCTGAGTTCTGTCTGAACCTATTGGATTTCATGGACACGCAATGTGAAGATGATGAACCTGACTTCCAGACCTCTGGTCCAAGGTCGGGAGATGCACTGACGGATCTCCCTGACTGGACAAACTCGGGGTCGACAGAGAAGACAGCAATCCAATCTGTTCTTGCTGAGACTATCAGTTCTCAGAATCAAGCTATGGTTCCTGTACAGCCAGAGGATGTGTTCCTATATTCCACTGGCATGATGGCTATAGGCAAAATTGCGCGCGCGATGAGCGACATGTCAGGAGACGTGGCAGCCGTAATATTTGGGTAGGTCCTATTCTCCAAGATTTACCAATACATGGCTAATGCGTGGCAGCTGGTTATATTCGGGGACTCTACCCCTGGTGAAAGACAGCGGATATACCAAGTGCACGCTATATGGCCGAGGGACAGAAGAGGAGCTGGACCAACTCGAGTCCTCGCTTGCAGCAGGAGCAAAATATACAGTGTTGTTCAGCGAGATTACTTCGAACCCTCAGCTCCACACCCCAAACCTGGTTCGCATCAGACGTCTGGCAGACACATACGGGTTCACAGTGGTGGTTGATGACACCATAGGAACATCAGTAAACCTTGACATATTACCATATGCGGATGTTATTACAACCAGTCTGACAAAGATTTTCAACGGGGCTTGCAACGCGATGGGTGGAAGGTATCACCAGTTAACTGTCCGTATCCATTGATAATTGAGCTAATTCGTCGCAGTCTCATCATCAACCCCAACTCTTGTCACTACAAAAAAATCCACGGCTACTTAAAATACCACTATGAGGACCTTCTCTTCCCAGCTGATGCAGTTTTGCTCAGCGAAAACTGCATTGACTACCCCGACCGCGTCCGGCGATGCAGTAGGACCGCCCGTGAGATTGCCCATCTTCTGGCAGCTCACCCGTCAGTTGACTATGTCAATTACCCGACTCTTGTCCGATCACGGGCAGAGTACGAGCGGTATCGTCGTGAGGGGGAAGGCTACGGATATCTACTCAGTGTCGTCTTCCGGGAACCAGATTTTGCAGTCAAATTTTTTGACGCGCTGGACGTGTGGAAAGGCCCAAGCATTGGAACAAATTCATCCATTGCACTTCCATACTCGGTACTTGCACACTGGGAGGAGCAGGATTGGGCAGCCGAGTATGGTGTCCCCAAGCATATTGTGCGACTCAGCGTAGGGCTGGAACCGGAGGCATTATTACGAGCTCGTGTGATCGAAGCTTTGGCACAGGCAGCACCAAAGTCTCTATGCAAAACGACGTTGTGCAAGAGCGATCACTAAGCGAGCTTCTTTTATTTGTCTGACGAATGTCGGTAGTGTACTCTATATAAGGTTCACACTATCAAGGTTTTATAACTCGTGGGCCGGGCCGGGCCGGAGCTAAAGTTGTCAAGGTCCAATTCAGAATGATTTGCGAAATCCTTTCCAGCCTCGCTGAGAAGGGCCTCCCGTACTTGCCTAGTTGAGTAGCCAGAATGATTCTTTTAGATCTTTTGATTATGTGATTTTTAAACGAGAGTCCCCATTCAGAAAAAGGGGTTGCCCACGGGCAAACAATTTATTGGGTTTAGCTCGATGTAAAGAAAGGGCATTCCACCCCTGGCTTCCATAATGCGCTCCTGGCCAGTTTTTGTCACTTCCGGTCAATTCCCTTTAATGACCATCCACTTTTACCCATTACATATTGATATATCTATTGGTTAGTTTTTCTTTAGCTTCGCAGCGAACAAGCCCCCTTATCGATCAAAATGGTGAAACGGTGAAACTCGGCGTATTTTGTTGATACACAGCGTTTAAAATACAGGCTCGAGCACGCAGGAAAATCAGCTGTCACAGGCAGCGCAAATTCATATTCAAGAGAGCTTTTTGACGGCAGTTTCGTTTTAGGAAATTTGTGGTGCAAGGGGTCCCTCATAAAAAATGTAGCGCTATCAAAGGCTAGAACACACAAAGTCTTATGAAAACATCAAATAGTGGTATCAGTGCAGTCAGATATTTAGCTGCGTGACACCCTGAAATTCCTCTTGTCAGCCTAAGAATGATTGCTGTATTGCTTTTTGTGCTTCCTGCACAATCTTCTGGATCGATGGAGACTTTTGATTGCGCTAAAATCACCATGAATACAGTACAGTATTCTTTATGTAAGGGGGCGATGTAGCCGAGGCAACAAGCAAGGCCCTCGATCTTCTACAGAAGAACCTGCTTTTTTTTTTTGCAGAGGTTTGCCTTTATGTACTTGCATAAATACTCGTAGCCTTTCAAACGCAGCGATGCTCCTCCTGCATCCATGAAGATCAGCATTGTATTACGGTACTATGACGGTCACAACATCATCATTTGTGCGAATTGTTGAAGTTGGACCACGAGATGGCCTCCAAAACATCTCCCAATGGATTTCCACTGACACAAAACTGGATCTTATATATCGACTTGAGTGCTGTGGTTTGCGTGCAATCGAACTGACCTCCATTGTCTCCCATCGCGCGGTGCCTCAGATGGCTGATGCCACTAAATTGCTCCAAGATGTTCATGTACAGAAGATGCTCGCAAAGTCCAGTGTCCGCCTTCCTGTGTTGGTACCTAATCTTCGTGGGTTTGAAATTGCCCGTGCTCACGGAGTAAAGGAGATAGCGGTTTTCATTAGTGCCACGGAGGGCTTCAGCCAGGCAAACTTAAATTGCTCCTGTGACGAGGCAGTTGGGAGGGCAAGGGAAGTGGTAGCCCAGGCCAGGCAATTGGGTATTGCGGTACGAGGGTAAGTCTTACGACTTTTTTCGAAGAGAATCAAGCTAACAGTATATAAGCTATGTGTCTTGCATATTCGAGGACCCGTACGATGGGCCGACGGAGCCCTCTTCTGTCCTCGGTCGGGTGAGGGAGCTCCTTGACATGGGGTGTTATGAGGTCAGCTTGGGGGATACTCTTGGTACTGGCAACCCAACAGCTGTGCGTGTGCTCCTGAGGTACCTTCAATATCATGGGATATCTATGACTAGCATCGCTGGCCACTTCCATGACACATACAATCAGGCACTGGCAAATGCATGGGCCGCCTACGAGTGTGGGGTTCGAACGCTCGACAGCAGTGTGGGAGGTCTCGGAGGCTGTCCTTTTGTACCGCACGCTCGAGGTAATCTTGCGACGGAAACACTCGTTGCTTCTTTTGAAAATGCTGGCATCGCTACGGGTATCAATAAGGAGGCGTTGGAGGGCACGGCAGCCTGGGTCCGAGATCTACTGAGGAAGGGTTAAGCTATGCATTGAAGTATATGTGTTTGTATGCAATGAGTGAGATTGTCTAAGTAGACATCAATGGAAACTATTCAACGACTGATCCCACAGGTCTTCTGAAGGTCTACTCTCTGGGTTCACAACCAGCAGAGGGTCCTTCTTGTCTACCCAACCTGTTGCTGGCTGACCAATCGAATAACCCATGAACCTCTGCAGCCATTGCGGAAACTTGGCAACGGTCTCCATGTCGCACGCAAGAAACTGATTTTCCATTTGGCGAAGACGGCCTCGAGTGGCAAAGACTGCGACTTTGGCCCTCGACGCAGCAGTAGAATTCCCACCGGCTCCATGAATCACACTTCCCAAGATAAAAAGTGAGTCGCCTGGGCGGAGGTCCGCGTCGATAAGAGAACTGTCGCCAGAGTCAGGTATGGGGCGGTTGTAATCCCACAAGTGGCTACCTGGAATCACTCGAGTTGCCCCGTTAGCGCCCGTTGTTTCTGTCAGGGCACTGAGCATCGTAACATTTGTATCTCTTCCTAACACATAATGCTCCACGGCAGGCTGGACATTGGCACGGTCTACGTCGTCACGGTGTAATGCTTGCGGCTGCCCCCCTGGGTGCACAAACGCGCCCAGGGTGCTGTCCAGCTGCGGTTTGATGGTCACAGTGGCACCTATACCTGGAGCGATCTGTAGTAGATATTAATCTTTGTTGGGCGTGTATGAGTAGGAGTATTTACTTGGAAGGGACCAGCCTGCTCGCTGAGGAAATAATCCACCACTTTGAGGAAGACCTCATGCCCAACCATACTGATAGCATAGTCGTGGGACTTGCTGAGCAGCCCGGTCACAACCGAAGTGGAACTCTGAACTCCTGTACAAGTCATTAGATCATTTCCCCTCTCCTGATGGAAATGCCATACCATCGAAATTGCCCGCAGCCGGGACATGCTGCTCTAGGTCTTGTCTGACCCGGTTGATCGTGGTCTCAGGGAACATTGTGCGAACAATGCAAGCTCCGGAGATCTTCATTGCTTCAACGATCCGAGAGATACTATCCTCCACTTTCTCATGGTCACGTAGGTCGACTTCTGGAAGTCCTCGCCACTCTTTCAGCATGATTTATGATTACAGTCCGTCTTCAGTAAAAAAATCTTGAGTTGTATACCGCCAGCTTTGTGTTTTTCATAGGGCGCGTTTTATGATGTAAGCGAGCACCCTGCCCCCTTGCTTCTTCAGCTCACCGCATCTTCAGTTCACGTCGATACTACATGCCGAGAAAAGGGAGATGACATACTTTGCGCTGAGATTAAGCGTATCCAAATCCCTTGCATTAAGCCCAATAATCTACGGGTACCTACATAGAAACCTATCCATAAGAACCCAAGCTCGCCATGAGACTTGTCTGTGAAATAACAAGTCCACCATGGTGGTCGATTCCTTTGAGCTAAGCTCGCTCGATCAAACCATCTGGCACAACTACTACGGGCTGGATAGCCTGTCGTTCCGGGTAGATAACCCAGATACGGCTGCTCTCACCCTACAAGCTGCTGTTGATCGACTCCTCCAAGCCCTGCCATTCCTGACCAGCGAGGTTATCCACTGCCCTCAACTGGGAAATAAGCGCAACCTCAAACAACTCAGACACAATCCAACCCTGAGCAGTGAGGTTCCTATCTTCCGAGTTGTGTCTCACACCGGCATGGTGGAAGAGGTCACGCAATCTGTCGAATTCAGTCCTCTACCACTATTACTTCCACTTTCTCAGCGACAGGTGGTAGTGCGGTTCCAGGCCAATATTTTTGCAAACGGTCTTCTGCTCTGTATGAACTTCAATCATTGCGTATTCGACGGTACTGGGGCAGCCCTGATCCTTCAGTATCTCGCTAGCCTTTGTCGGCATGATCCCTCGATTGAAAAGCATCTTTCCCATATTCTGAGAAAAGAAAGTTTCACCCGCAAGAAATTGAACGTCATTGGTATACCACAGGTGCCCGCAAACGCCCAGGACCCTATTCCTCCCGAGAGTTTCGGCACCGGAGAGTATGATACTCTGCTCACTCAGCTGTTCAAATTTTCTAATCGACATATAAACCATCTGAAGCATCAATGTCAGCAACACCTTGATGCTCTTGGAAAGAGCCACTTTCTTAGTCGAAATGATGTCGTGTCGGCTCTATTGGCGTTTTTCATTAAAAGGGCAAGGGTCATGAACAAAGGAATCCACGACGTTTCGGTGTCACTGCCTGTCAATCTCCGATCAAAGCAGCCTGAGATATTCCCGCCCATGTACATGGGAAACTCATTCACATCGCTTCATGTCCAGTCCAAAGTGGATGTTACGTCCCCCATACCTGCAATCAGCCAGATCGCTTTAGAAATTCGCAGGCAGATCAACATGGTGAATAAAGGCTACATTGAAGACATGCTCGGTCAATTGAACTGCCTTCAGGACTATGCGGAGTACCCCTGGAGGCCATTTGACCTTGAGCTCTCGAGCTGGAGAGACCTGGCAATCTACGACTTGGACTTCGGACCTGAATTAGGAAAAGTGGTAGATTACCATGCTAACCCTGGTTCGCATGACGGTTGTGCATTTATATTTCCGGTCAAAGGGGCGGATTCCAAACACGCCGACTGGGAAATTAGTTTGACCTTGGCCAAGGACACAATGAGGCGCTTCTCAGAAGACCTTGTGGTATTCACTCTTTCTCTCACAAAGGCAGGCTTATGATATATAATGATCTCTCAGATATCTATTCATTATTTTGGCATACAATATTAGATGAGCAAGAATGTAATTGTTGCGATCAATAGTCACAGTCTTTCAAATTACAGTAGAAATAGTTCTGGCCGCTCCACCCCTCTCTCCATATGCAAGGGAGATTAAGAGACCCACCCCTACAGCATTTTTGCCACAAAACACGGATATCTCACAGGTGTTGGGTCAAAATCCGAATACCGATGTATTTAATCTACATTTTTTCGCAGAATATGTCCATTCATGTTCAAATTTGACTGCCAGTTCGAACATCATGGACCTGAAACATCAGAAAGAAGTCGAAGAAACTGCATCTCCTTCAGAGACACCCCCAAGCAATAACGAGCTGGTTCGTAACCAGGGCTGCTCTGCCTGGCTTCAAGTTCTAGGATCGTTCATGGTATTTTTCAGCACAGCGTGAGTGTAATTCCCCCAGTGCAGTACTAGCTAACCCGACCTAGGGGAATGGCCAATATGTTCGGAGCCTACCAGGCGTTCTATCAATCTGAAAACAAATTTGATGTCTCGGCGTCGGCAATCTCGTGGATCGGGTCCCTCCAGGCGGCTTTATGCCTTGTGTTAGGGATTGTCACGGGACCGCTGTATGATCGTGGCTATTTCTACCATCTCGTATACACAGGATCATTTCTCGTCGTGCTTGGCCAGATGATGCTCAGTCTCTCCAATTCCTACTACCAAGCGTTTCTGGCGCAGGGGGTCTGCATGGGCATTGGGGCGGGACTGGCTTTCTTACCTGCATTTTGCATTCTTGTTACGTATTTTGACCGGCAGCTGGAGGTAGCTGTCGGAATTGCTGCCACAGGGGGCGGTGTGGGTGAGCATGTCTTGGTCTAGTTCAATGTCCTCATTCTGACACGCTACAGGTGGGATTGTCCTCCCCGTCATGTTCAATCAAATTGTCTCCAAGATAGGCTTTCCGTGGACCGCGCGAGTAACAGGGCTAGTCCTTTTTCTCCCTCTTCTCATTGCCGCGTGTGTCTTCCGTACTCAACAAAGGCCAGTGCAGCCTCGCTCCATGGGACATTTCATCGACTGGACTGTCTTCAAAGAACCAGCAAGTGTCGTCTTCCTCTTGGGAGTCTTAGTATCATCCATCTCTGTCAACATCCCTGCCTTCTATGTGCAAGGGTACGCGTCTGCCATTAATATCAAAGATGAAGTCCTGATTAATTTCGTTTTGTCGATTTATTTGGCCGCCTACACGTGTGGATGCTTCGGGCTGAATGCAATGGCGAAGTGGGTCGGTCCATTCAATGTGATCTCCGCCTCTGTCTGCCTTAGCGGCATATTGCCTTGGGCACTAATTGACTTGCGTAATGAATGCGGCTTGGTCTTTGTTATTATTGCTCTTGGCTTTGTCTCTGCAGCTCCGTCTTCACTACCGCCAGCATGTTACGTCAAGCTCTGCCCCGATCTTCGCCTTGTGGGCTCGCGCATGGGGTGCGGCTATGTGGCGTCGACTATTGGGAGTCTTGTGGGGGCCCCAATTGCTGGCGCTATTTTGGATCGCCGCGGATATAACGCGGTGTGGGTCTTTACCGCGTCCATGTCGCTCGTGAGCGGGTTTATATTCATTATCAGTCGGGGTATTTACAGCCGTTGGCGAATGTGGGCAGTATCATAAATCAGCGCTAGGTTTACTCTTGGCGTGTTTATGACTATATCGAAGAATCCGACATTCCAGACAGCATTATGTATTTCTAGGCATGTGGACACTCATACGTACAACCAACCCGTCGCATGTGATGCGTGAAGACAAGCAGTAAGTAATAGATCTTCACACTTTCACCGCTTCCAGGACCCTTACAGAGTGCATGCGGAATGTGCTTATGCGCTGATAACATCGGAATGATGTATCACTTCGATGTTTTGTACAAGACGACCGGTAGCCTACAGTGTCAACAGCCAAATACCCTGCACGTATTCATTTCATACACTTTCAGGTCCGCGACTTCAAATTCAGAAATCAATAGACCTAGTCATTAGCAGATACGTTGAGATGGCTCAGAAGAGCACAGCTTCTCTTACGAGCGCTTTTGAAGTCCTGGACCGATACTGTCTCTTCACCAATGACCATCAAAGAGCCTGGTGGGAGCAGACCGCGAGACTCTTGGATAAGGTTCTGGCATCGGCCGACTACAGTCCGGGACGACGCTTGGAGGCCCTCACCTTCTTCAGTCAGGTGCTGATCCCAAGCTTGGGTCCCTATCCATTTTCCTTTCGCAGCGCCATAACGCGTAGCGGTCTGCCACTTGAATTTAGCGTCAACTACCAGCAACGTGGAGAGACAGGCCCTGTTGTTCGTGTCGGGTTCGAGCCCCTCGCGGCAGCCTCTGGGACCGAGCATGATCTCTACAACCAGAAACCGCCGGTTGATTTCCTGAATAAGCTCCAGAAACTCGGGCTTCCCGGCTACGATGATTTTCTCTTTCGATATTTCCTGGACGCACACACTCTTAATTCCCGTGAGAGAGACCAGCTGCAGGGGAAGGCTATTGAGGGCAGCCAGTTGACCTCACAAGCAGCATTTGGGTTTGACCTTAAGCCTGAAGGAATTTCAGTTAAGGGTTATACCTTCCCTGCTATGAAATGCCATCTCGGCGGCGAAGAATTTGGCCCGTTCGTGAACGAGTCCGTTAAGCCCCTCCTCGCGCAGATGGGACCGCTTCCAGCCCTTGACATGGCCACGGAATACTTGGAGGAAACTAAAGGGGCCAGCCAATTTGCATTCTGGTCTTTTGACTGCGTTGCTCCTTCCCAATCCCGCCTGAAGCTCTATAGCTCCAACAACAGCGTTGTGTGGTCTAAGATTGAGGAAATTTGGACCATGGGAGGACGCGCCAAATCACATGTTGTTCAGAAAGGCTTGAAGTACCTTGAGGAGCTTTGGCAGTTGCTGGGGCTTTCTGAGGGCCATCATGGCTTTACCGGCGGCTTTGATGATGGCAAAGACTCGACCCCGACCCCGATGGTGTGGAACTACGAGGTGAAGAAAGGGGAGCCAATTCCTCTCACAAAGTTCTACTTTCCCGTCCACGGAGAAAGCGATCAGAGGATCATCCGCGGCCTGTCTCAATTCTTGACCCGGATTGGCTTGGAAAAGTACGGCAGCAGCTACGAGGCTACAGTGCAGCACTACTTGTGAGGCCACTCCGTTTCCATAATGTTAGTCTTCAGATCGTTGCTAACCTTCTCAGCCCCGAACGAAATCTATCTCAGTCAGCTCGGTTGACTTCCTGGGTTTCCTTCGCGTATTCGGAGAAGACAGGGGTATACCTTAGTGTTTATTACCATTCATCCGACAATTATCCGTGGACGGAACAAGAACAAGCAGAAGAAGCAAAAGGGCCAGTGACAGTTTAAGTTTGATCAATTAGGTCCTTGAATAATCTTGGTATCCAATGGAATAGAGTTGTTACTCGAGCACCGAGACATAGTAAAACTTCGTGGATGGTAAATTATGGCCAATGTCTTCGTAGTCACACCATGGAATAATCCAGCGTGCTCATTAGGCCGCTTAAAAGTTACGGAAAAACACTGGCCACATGCAGTGTGCAACAAAAATATTTAGATCCGGGCACCTGCGCAGGAAATCACATGGGCATGTGGATAAGTCATTTAATAATCTCAAAAGTACCTTGAATAACCCCGGAAGCAGTGTAAAATGTACGGTCAAGTAAAATCCATTGAATAATTTATTGCGCGCGAGGTGTAACCTGTAATTCATCGCATTCAAACGTTTACTGATTATAGAGTTTGACCCTGGTGGGCTAGTTGGAGTGACAGGCCGCTTGTGAACTACGTTACTGCTTTCAGACACTTATTTCCACCGGTCGCCCACAATCTTTACCTTGATGGGCCCAGATGTCTGCGCAACGATGTAGTCGGACCATTCCAGACTTTTCCTGTCGGTCTCAAAAAGTTGCATATCATAGCGCGCAAAGAGATAAGCAAGACAAGAGGACAGCTGGAGATTGGCGAGGTTCATGCCGATGCATTTCCGCGGTCCCTTGCTGAATCCGATATGCCAACGCTCCAAGGCGTCGTTATCTAACCAGCGATCAGGTCGGAAGACATGTGGCTCTGGGAAGAGCGTCGGATCTAGCTGGACCACAGGGTGAGTGACGCTAATTTTGGCCTGAACCCTTGATTAGTATTATGATTGGGTAGCGGGGAGACAGCACATACACCTCCTGGGATAAAGATGGAGCCGACATGGGCACCTTCGCTGGGGACAACACGAGGCAAATACCCGGGAGTCCCGTGTGATAGTCTTAGGGCCTCCTTGATGGTAGCAGACTGTAAATCGCCCCATAGTCAGCATGGCGACAAGTCATTAATAAGAGCCAGTAATACCGCACCAGGTATGGCAGATTCTGTATCTTCTTGAGATCCAGCGACTCTGAACTAGATAATCCAGCACCAGCTAGTTCTTGCTGAAGCCGACTTGCACAGTGCGGCGACTCCAGGAGATAGAATGTCGCACAAGATAGAGTGTAACTAGTGGTGTCCATTCCAGCCGCAAGAAGATTGTAAGCATCAGCGACCGGAGAGACGATATCTCTGATGTTCATGTCGGACGATGAATGCACATCAAGACATAGATCAAAGAAGCGTTTGGGACAAACCTCAACTCCGCTCTTGCGAGTCTCCCGCGCTTTCTCGAACCACGCTGCGCAGTGCTAGCCAGCGGTCAGTAGATGCCATAAAGATATTCCCCTGACTTACCTTATTGAACCACATGAGTTCAGGAACCAGGATGGCATTTATTGCAGCCGGGAGATAGTTCAAAAGGCGCATCGCGTTCGGGAATTGAATTACTATGCATTAATTAGAGCCCCATGTCCAGAGTGTGGATTAGCTGTTCCTTACCGAGCCAAGACGCCTTTTGAAACTCCTTTGTGGCCTGCATGAACCGTGTGGTCTCCGGGCCAAATGCCATGAAGTCAAGCTCGTGGCCCAGCAAGGTCTGACAACCGATATCGGCCTTCCAAATGATGGTTTGTTAAACGGCATTTCACAATGGGGCCATACACAGGGCAATTGTCACATACAACGAAGGCGCGATACACTGATTGTATATCCACTGGTACCCCAGCAGTCCTCTTCTTATCAAGGAAGCTCGACATCCTCTCGAGTTCTAAGAGGACTGTAGGTGCAGCATCTGCCGCGAATCGCACAGAGAACAACGGGCTCATATGGGTGCGATAAGAGCGGTACTCCTGGTCATCAGTGATGCCTAGTAATGCCCCTTTCCCATCCAATGCTTCGTAAAATTGGGGATCTTTGCGATACTTTGTTCGCGAGGCAAACATGCTATTCTTGGTCAGCAGATACCACGCAAGACGAGGGTTTCATACGTTTGATAGAATTCCGGTTCATTGACATGGACACTGTTCGGTCCAATACGAATCACCGGAGACTTATATTGCTCATGGAGGCTGGGGAATAGTTTTGAATATCCTTGGCTAACCATATTATGATAGAAGCCATATAGTCCACTCATGGCGGCGAACTTGGGGCCAGGAACATGCCGTAGCGGATGGAAAAAGAGTCGTCGGACAATACATGATGCAATGGAGATGATTGCCGCCAGCAATATGGTCTGCGAAAAAAGCATTGCCATAATGAGCCTCTCTCCTGTATTTATGGAGTAGAATTGTCGACCTTGTGGAAGAAGTAATCAGCTGTCTATGAGGAGCAGAGAGAGAGCACCGGTCGTAAAGCCCCTATTACATGCCTAGGCCTAGGCAAGCTTTGCAGTATCGCCGCTTTACGTGAGGACCCTAGCAGCATTATCCTGCGCCAGCTGCTTTGGGTGAGTGGGTACATTATCAGCGGTCAGGGAATGCAAGGGAGAGCTCCAAAGCGGAATGTGACGTTGTACAACGGAAAATACAGAGAGACACAACCCCTTGTTTTGACCTGTCGGTGTATATTGTGCAGTTTCTCAACAGTTACATGAACAACTTTACTTCGAGCGAAACTACGATTCAGATTCTTTTCCTGGTGAGCAACGTTGACTTCAAGTCCCATGGCCGTTAACTTTGTTGATATCATGACGGTACCATACTTTCTATCTTTGGACAACCTCAAAGTCCCTGCAATATTAGCCGCCTTTGTTTGCTTGTTGGCATGGATACTATGGCCCAGTGGCCGTTTACCACCAGGACCCAAGCCGTTGCCTATCATTGGCAACATTCATCAGTTGAAAGGCCAGAATGCAGTCCACCAGTTCCAAGCCTGGCACAAGTTGTATGGACCGATCATCTCCGTTCAGCTGGGTCCAAAGACGGTGATCAGTATCGGCTCCCACCGCGTGGCTCGCGATCTTCTCACGCAACGAAGCCAAATTTACAGCTCTCGTCCGCGGTTCCCCATATTGGATGAGTGTATGTTCCGTGGGTTGAGCACGGTTCTTCTTCCTTATGGGCGACGTTGGCGCTTGCATCAGCGCCTACAATGGCACTTTCTCAAGGCGGCTGTGGCACCGACCTACCGACCCGCCCAAGACGTGGAAAGCAAGCAGCTTCTGCATGACTTATTATCGACAAACGAGTTCAAGCCTTTATTTCTCCGGCTTCCATACAGTCTCAATTCAACCCTGGCATACAGCACACGAATTGAAGCCAACAACGGCAATACCATCAAGGTCATGGCGAGCGCTTCAAAGGAAGTTGAAGCAATCGCCAACAGTCCGGGAGGGTCACTAGTCGAGATGATTCCTGCACTGAACAGCCTGCCATCATGGCTCACTCCGTGGAAGAAACAGGGTGCCCGGGCGTTTCACCGTATCAACGCGCTCTATGAAAGAAATCGAGCAGCAGGAGAAGCCAGCCCCTCATGGAATTGGATTAAGGGAGCCATAGGTGCTAAAGAGGCACAAGGAATCCCCCATGAGGAATTAACCCATATCATCGGATTCATATTTGAAGTGGGCGGCGAGGTGGTCTCTGGAGTTCTCCAGGTATTTGTTCTCGCAGCGGTGACTTTTCCAAAGGCGATGGAGAAAGCAAAGCAAGAGCTTGAGAGGGTTGTTGGGCTTGGAAGATTACCTGACTTCGACGATCTCCCTCACTTGCCGTATACATGCGCAGTAGTCACCGAGACCCTTCGGTGGAGGACAATTGCACCGCTCGGGTTTCCTCACATGAACTGTGAGGAGGATGAATATGAGGGCTACCGAATTCCAAAGGGCACAACCATCCTACCCAACCACTGGGCGATGGACATGGATGAAGAAGTTTTTGACTGCCCTGGCGAATTTCGCCCTGAGCGCTGGCTGGAGAACCCTGACCTTCCTCTCGCTGCCTACGGATTTGGCCGTCGCTCATGCGCGGGGCGACACATTGGCCAGGATACCGTGCGCATTGTGGTCGCTCGTCTCCTGTGGGCGTTTGATATTACCCCACTAGAGGAGGTTGATCCCTTCAATATGGTTCCAGGACTATTGTCGCCTCCAAAGCATTTTTCAGTGCAATTCAAAATACACACCCGGGAACAGCAGGAGATTATTGAGCGTGAATGGGCAGGTGTGGAAAAGAATCCTCATGTATTCATGAGGACTTTTGGTCCTAATTCAATTTAAGGATACAGAGTAATCCTGTCGTTGCTATGTCTATCTCCCGTAGCCTGTGATAAATCCAGGAAGCCCCATATTTAGGTTGATTGTTTACTCCGGCTAACCCCAGGCATTTTTTTTCTGTGTTTTTACTCGAAGGCTAGACACGGCGAGTGTCAAATGATACCCAAGAATAAACTATAGGTATTTATGACTTAATGAGCAATATTTAGTACTTCTTTCCGTATCTCACTACAAGGGAAATACCTGGAGTAATTGATACGTCACCAAAGGCTCCTTATAGTAAAGAATGACGATGGTCCGTCCAAATGTGGATAATTCAGATGTCACAAAACCACTGGCATTAAGCTGAGTCCCGTGGGAGAGAACATAGACGTAGAAAAAGCCAAAGTCCCCGCGGAAATCACCCCTGTCTTCTTAGGCAACTTGGAGATCATCTGAGCTGTCTCAACGATCAAACGGAGTCATACTGCGAGTGGCAAATATGTGGCTTTCGTTTACATGTACATATGTTGCAACCTTACGTCGGACTTTCCAAGATTGCATCTGGATTCCTTGGTCAGCGTCTACATACCGCATTTACACAGTTCCTTGCTTGGGACCTCGTCATGCAACTTGTGAGTTCCCATGCCTTGCAGGATTCCCCTACATTGCTGGGGTCTCGGGGATAAAGACAAACTGAGTATGCACAGTTGTTACCCAGTTTGCTGGCCTCTTTAATATCCGAGTCGTCCAATCCGACATTTGAGGTCAGTGACACCAACTTACCAAGATGGATTCCATAAAAGATGCTGTGAAGGCAGTCAGTCTTCAAGAAATCTTGGTTATTGTGATCATAGGATGCGTCGTATATTGGACATTATTCTACCAAGATCGTCTCCACAGTGGGATTCCCACGGCTGGGGCGGACCCCAAGGCGTGGTTCAAAGTGGCCTCGGCGAGAAAGGCCTTTTTGGTCAATGGCAAAGGGGTTATCCAAAAAGCACTGAAGGATGTATGTGTAGACTTGACATTTGCTGGTAACTACTCACGATTGACAGTACACCGGTGTATTCCAAGTCGTTACTGCGACGGGCACCAAGATTGTGCTTCCCGGCCGTTTCGTCGAAGAGATCAAGAACAACTCGCAACTGAGACTGCCCGACGTGATTCACAAAGTCAGTCTTCCGGGTCGCCCATTGCCGCCATTCTAATCTGGTTCAGGAATTCTTTGCTTCGTATTCCGCCTTCAAGCCGTATGCGTCGTCTCAAACAGCATGCATTATGACCGAAATGGTCCGTACCAAGCTTTCGAACTCGCTGGGTAGTACTTGTACTCCGATTCGAGAAGATCGCATACTGAAGTTTTCTTAGACATGATCAATGACCTGGCTGATGAGACAAATTGCGCGCTGGATGAAATTTTTGGCAGTAGCGGAGGTATGGGGTATTATACGCAAATCTCGCACGCTTATGCTAAAGCATCGCAGAGTGGCAGACAAGGAACCTCAAGACAGAGATATTGCACTTAATCGCTCGGCTCTCGTCACGAGTATTCCTCGGTCAGGAGATGGCACGGAACGAGAAGTGGTTGAACATCTCCAAGTCCTATACTGTCGATTCCTTCATCGCCATCCGCATGATGCGAGAATGGCCTGCGGCCCTTCGTCCTTTGATCTATCTGTTTTCTCCGGAATGTGGCAGAGTGCGAGAGCAGGTACGCACAGCCGGTCGGCTTATCTGGCCCTTGGTCGAAGCTCGTCGACGAAGCAAGCGCAAGGCTCTTGAAGCGGGGCTTCCACCGCCGAAAGCACGAGATTCAATTGCCTGGATGGATGAGCTAGCAGATGGTGCTGAGTGTGATGTCCCATGTGGCCAGCTAATTCTTAGCGTTGTCGCTCTACATACCACGACCGAGCTACTTACCCAGGCTTTGTTTGACCTATGCCGTCACCCGGCGATTATCCAACCGCTACGCGAGGAGGTGATTTCGGTCGTTGGTGACAGGCCCTTAAACAAGGCCACATTGTACAATCTGCGACTGATGGATAGCTTCCTCAAAGAATCCCAGCGACTTCACGTCGGCGATATCAGTAGGTACCTTACCTACACTTTCTTTAGCCTGTTTCACTGAAACTTCCCCTCAGCAACCATGCAACGCCTTGCTCTCTCAAAGGTGATCCTATCCGATGGGAGCACTATCCCCCGAGGTGCCAAAGTTGTTACAACTACGGAAACGATGGTAGATCCCACTATCTACACTAGTCCCGAGACATTCGACGCTTATCGATTCCTGAAGATGCGTCAAGGCGCGGGGCAAGAAAATCAATGGCAGTTTGTCAGCACCTGCTCCGAACACCTGGGCTTCGGTCACGGGCAACATGCTTGCCCCGGCCGCTTCTTCGCAGCCAACGAGACAAAGGTGGCTCTTTGCCATCTTTTGTTAAAATACGACTGGAAGTTTTCGGACAACGCTCAAAGAGATGGGACTGATGTGACCTTCGGAACTGAATTCGAGTCTTCCCTCGAGGCCAAGGTTGTTCTCAGACGCAGAAATGAGGAAATAGCCTTATCGGTGTGATTGTGACTATCATGATGGGCAAATAGATTATGAGATGGGAAATTGATTACATTGAGAGAGAAATGCGTTCCGTTCATATATCCTGTAGAAAAAGCTGCATGGTCAAAAGAATACTCGCCTAAAGGACCTGGGGGGCTTCAAACTCAGCAATTAATATGAGTACACATATCTCGGGCTTCTACCCTATCAGCTCGGTACTCAATGAAGCCATCTCGCTAAGCACCCCAATACTGCATGTAGTGGGCATCAAGCTACCTTTGAACCCGGGTACGGTGGGCTTAGTAGCTCTAAACAATCTCATCAACGGCTGGGACCCCTCCTAAATACAAGAGAGCTACAGAGGGGGCGATGCGAGAGCGAATTCGTTTGCTATACTGCAACTCATTCCCCTCAATGCACTAAGGCTGAAATTCTCACCCCAGTCTGGTTTTTAAACGATAAAGTTGGTTTAATCGAGGCCCAGGATCCTCGATGAAAGATCTGATGTGGCCCTTTGTGGTCGAAGAGTCCCGATACTACTCACTTTGAACTTTTTTAGGCCCAATTAAACTGTTACACTCCCTTCCTAGGTACTGCGGTGGGTGCACTGGGTGCAGATACAATGGATGGAGAGATTTTGTATGCATATTGAGACATATTATCATGAGCCTTGCAATCTGTAAGCTCTAATATAAATTGCGGTTGGTATTCTGAAACTATCTAGTAACCCGACAATTTGCGGGCCCGGATGCTGACGCTTGAGGTGAATGTAAACCCATCTGACTCCTTGCGGCCTTCTTTACTGCCAATATCGCAGTTCACCAATATATAGGCAAGGATCAACCGCAGCGAATCCGCAGCCAGTTGTTTCCCGGGGCTAAATATGAGAAAGAATTAGCCGCAGTATTTTCCTCCAAGGAATCCTCATAGCCTTACCAAGTGTGTCTTCCGGCCCCAAACTGCCGGGACTTCGGCAGCTGTCCCGCTATTTTGTAATCTTGAGGATTTCCCGATCGTTGCCCAAGTTTGTAGAACCGCATGCCGTCAAATTCACTCCCATTTCCGTAGTACCTCTCATCAAAAAGTAGTGGAGAGTTTGGTGTGTACATAAACGTTCCAGTCGGAATCTTCAGCCCATTCTGGAAGGTAAAGTCCTTTTTCGCAACTCGATACAATGAGGCTACCCCAATATCAGCACCATTGCCATCAAGCGCCAGATGAGATTCTTACCTGCGGCGAGGGGATTGTGTCGATGACTCTCTTTGATGAAGCTATCCAGCTTGTAAAGAGACTCAATGGTCTCTTTTGTCCAGCCGGTGCCTAATTGTAGGGCACTCATGACCTCTTGACGAAGGGGTTCAATGTACTCCGGGCGGGCGCTCAATTCGTATAGACAGCTTGCAAGGACCTATTTTTCATCAGCAGTGCCGAGTTGTGGAGTTGATTTATCATCTCACCATGCCTGCCGAGTGTACAGAGCCGAAAATGACAGAGACAAGCATTTGAGCGACGTTCAAGTCATTGAGATTAAATGCGGCTTCAGATTGCACCCAATTGCTGAGGTAGTCGGTAATTGTCTACAACTTGGTCAATAGCTGTACAAGAGTCCAATGACTTTTTCTTGACAAACCTCTGGCTCTTTCAATCCCAGCTGCCGCCTGTGCTTAATCGTATCAAGTATTATTCCATCTAACTGCCGTGCCATTCGAGAAGCCACACAGCGAGGTCCAATCCAACTGATGAGACGATTAGTATGTGTTGACTAAGAACGGGGGCGAGAGAAGCATACTCACGGTCGGATAATTTTTGGAAGCCATGCAATTAGCTGCCCACTGCTGGGAACCGCGGCACCATATCGGGAAAAGAGGTCAATGGCTTCAGGATCCCGGCATAGAGGACACCCAAACAGAAGACGTGCAATCAGCCTCAGCATCAGATGGCTACTGAACTGAAAGCAGTTAACTTGCTGCCATTCATCTCTCTTCACATCTCCGTCGGACAATTCCATCTCCAGACCGTATTTCAGCTCTTCAACTAGCCCTGAAAAATAAGGGTCTGTCTCCGACGAGACACGTTGTCGCGCCCAAGCTAAAGCCTTTGCCAGAACTGGAACAGGGACCGTTGGCTTCGAGTCAACAAATCCGGGGGATGTATATTCTGTTTGGAAGTACTCCTCGTTGAAGCCATTGAGCGAAAATATGCTATCGGGCACGGCTTGCATCTCTGCAACCATCGTCTCACTGCAAATGCACACATCCCATCCGCGTACTGTTGCTACCTGGAAGGCAAAGTCACGATGCTACATATGAAGATCAGTCTCGATTTGCTGTGAAAGATTAAGGGTTGTATATTACCTTGTCATAGCCGTTCTGCAGAATCTCCGTCTTATGTGGGTAGTCGAGCGCTGTTTTCCACGACCAAAGGGGGCCACGCTCTCCCACCACTGGTACATCAACCTAGATTGAGAATTCTCTGAGTTTTCAGTCAAGGCAAAGTGGGTGTAAATCACCTACCCACGACCGACGAAATTTGCGCCAACGAACGAGCAGGTACCAACTAAATAATGCGCCAGCGACGGCGAGATGTATGTATCGAGTTCCACCTGATTCATTAGAAAATACCATTTTACCTACCAAAAGAGAATTCATCAGATTGTAGATTCATCCCAAGAGCTGCCTTGGAGCAGAAACCCAGAGATTAAGTAAGTTGCGGTCAAAGAATGTGGTGGCCTATGTAGGGACCGAACCTTGGATGGCCTGCGAAGCTGAGGCTGCAAGGGGCTACACCTTTTACATATTTATGCACATGTGTATATCTCGTCGAGGTAGCTTATAAATACATGGATAGCTCCTGCTCGTATCTTTCCGATCCACTCGGGGCAAAATACTAACCGGCCCCTTTCATGATTTTCCATCTCATTACGGAACTTCGGGTAATGAGGGTCTCATGACCGCATAATGCACCTCCAAACAATGAATTTTGACACGAGTATCTTTTACATATTGAAAAGGAGAACCTCTGCCTATTTGTCTGTGAACAGGTCGGCCACTGGGAGTAGTGGGGAATATAGGAGAGGAGAGGAGAACGCATAGGAGTTGTTCAGAAGAAAAAGTGTGTCTTTATTTCTACGCCTGTGCAAAAAGTCTTATTAGACCGCCATATTAGGCAGTCAGCAGTTCCCCCACTACATGTATTAAAGGAGGAATAAAGGAAATACTTCGTTGAAACCCCGAATGGCATAATAACCACATTTTATTCTTCCTTCTTAGTTCTAGTTTTTGCTGTCATCCAACATGGAAGCCACTTTGTGGAATTCCGCATTTGCATGTTGCTGGCAGTCATGGGAGCAGATCCAAGCCGGGCGAGTCACCATTGTTGGAGTTTCTTCCGCATTTTCGCCTTCCCACTTGGCATTTTGGAGTGTCTCCAGCATCTTGTGACCGAGTTCCTGGATCTTGGCGACTCTCTGATATCTCAGCCGCTCCGCGACTCGAAGACCTGTAGTCACTCCGCTTTTGCCCGCAAGTTTGAGACAAATAGCCACCGTCGCCCCGTCTTCAATACATTGGTTCGCCCCTTGACCTGTGTTAGGAAGGAAAGGATGAGCGGCATCCCCTAGGAGAATCATCCTATTTTTCTTTGAAAGCCAGGAAGGAAGTGGGTCCATTGTTAGAACCAGGTGGTCAAAACATTTCCCCTGCGGTGTGCTAGTGATAATAGGCTCCAGGCGATGCTTGACCTCCCAGCTCGTGATGTGTTTCAGGGCTCTAGTAACATCAGACACCTGTAACCACGCTTCCGACACATCGTGAAGACTCTGCAGAGACTTAGTATCGCGAATATGTCTGAGACCCGGATGGGAATATACCTTGTGCATGCATCCCCAGTACACATCCTTCCCTCGTCGGCCAGTTCCCACGAGGAAAGTGACATCCTTGCCGATGAAATGATAGAGCTGGTCCTTCCCTTCCTTTCCTTTGGTCAACCACTCGGCAGCATGGGTTTGGCTCAGCTCCTCCGCAGAGTACCCTGATCGATAGATGGCACTTCCTGTCTTTTTGGGTGTAACAGCCGTACCACAGATGGCTTCCCTCGCTTTACTATGAATGCCATCTGTGGCAATGACACAATCTGCTTCAATTCTCATCCCGTCGACGAAAATTCCGGCATTGTGCTCATCCTCCCAGTAGTCGGTGACGTTGGCGCCAAAACGAAGGTCGACACCCAGTCTCTGCGCGTACTCGAAGAAAATCCCGATCGCTTCTGCGCGGTTGACTACATACCCCTCCCCATCCCGATACCCCTCCATATTATTAACGTCCTGCAACTTGCCGGTCTGGTCAAAAATTTGGATCTCGTCAATCGCGCATCGCGCCTCGTTTAGCGAAGACGAAACGGCTCCATCTTCCCAGTGCCGAATCACTGATACGGCGTTACTTCCGATGCTGAAGATGTCTCCTATTTGAGGTTTTATATCAGGGAGAATTTCGAATAAATATCGGCCATACTTACCGACATGTAATAACGAAGGTGTCCTATCAAATGCAATGACATTATGACCGTTGCGGTGGCATTCGATGGCCGCAGTCAGGCCGGCGATACCGAGTCCGACAATGATTATATCAACCTGTTCGGGTCTATCCTTCTCTGTCTTTGTCATATTTACCAGAAACTGTGTACCCTGAAATCAAGAAAGTCAGGAAGTGGATTCCTGCCCTGTGGGCTTTATATCATATTCAATAACTACTGCTGTTCGTTTTCTTCATTGCCTTTTAGCAACATACTAATCTAACACGCCTGGGAAGCTCCCAGCAGTAGTCCCCTTACATTCAAAATACGCCATTCTGACTCCTCGTATAGGTGGAGATACAGTTCCTATGTATGCACATAATGTATCTAGACCCCACAGGTTTCACAAAATTCAATTTAACCTGTATGTACATTCTTAGGCAACTTCAAGATAGTCTGAGTGGTCTCAGTGGTAAGATACACCGCACATTCCAGGTGGCGGGGTGGAGTCTACATTACATGTACAGTATACAGTAGGGGGCTGTGCAGTCGACACAGACATGTACACGATACTTTACATGCTCCATTGAGATCAGCGCTTACCTTCTCACAGTGCCATTAAAAATTGCGAAATATTCTGACATCTCGAGCTCTCAATGGTCAGATAAGTGGCATATCCCAGGTGACGGATAAACGGTGTTTACAACATGCATGTGTTGGCTGTAATGCCAGACTGAATTCTCTCCTTACTTCTACTCTGGTCCACACTGATACCCCTTGCTGCCGATTATTCCCACGTTGCGCATAATTCAGCAAATTAATTTCTGCTACGTAGGGCATATTTGCTACATGTTATCAGTAGCATGTACTGCTCGGTATTCTCAGCCAATTTGAAGTCAATAGAGGCCACAATTGCAGCTTGCAACGATCGGAGACTTTAGATTACGTACGGATTCCAACTGAAGGTACGACCCGTATCCTGTTCAGAGTCAGAATCCTGTCTTTGGATTATATTGTGACATGTGGCTGGTGCAGATCAGGAACGAAGCCGCGCCATCGGAAATAATTCCCGAGATTTCTGTAGGAAAGATCAAGTTGATTTACAATTAACATGATCTTCTTATTGCATATATAGCCTCACTTATTCCTTCTGAAATATACCAACACATCTTCCTTTGAAATACAACTACTTTATTTCCGTGAAGATTATTGATGCGTGCGGCTATGTCGGCACATGTGATTCAGCGATTCGTACAGGTGATAATGTGGGGGCCAAGAAGAAAGGATATTAGAGCACAGAAAATTCCGCCTCCAATCAGAGCCTGAGGATCCGGTCCTAGTAATCTTGGGTCCTATTGTTCGCGAGTCGGTTCGTCGGTTGGCCTTCTTTTGACTCATCCCGACATCCTCTTATCTTTCGCTACGATCCAACGTTTGACGGTATCCTGATTTGTGTTATCGCTAGTAGCCTACCTAGTGCAGTGGGGGAATTGCTGACTGCATAAACTGGCGGTCTATCGGATTGTATCTGGCAATTTGTCTGGAAATGTAATACGTATGAGATGAAATGAATGAACCTTTGAGAGTGTACAGCCAGATATATTCCTGCTCAAGGAGCCTTAACACTTAAGTATGGATCAATAATTCGAATCCTTCCTTGGTTACCCTTCAAAGAAAAAGAGAGCATTAAAAACCTCTGGATAAACATATGAGGCAAAGCCTTAAACATTGTGATCAGAGGACCTAGGTCGGCTAAAGTTGTAAGTCATGGCCAGACTGCTTGGATTTTGAGACTAAAGATACACCGTGTGCTACGTGGGAGCTTAAAGGAAGAATTTACATATGTCACAGAAATTAATGAATGGTCTTATTCTATGATAAGTTGACACAAGATGTTACCCCGGTGTTTCTCAATTCCCCACCAGCCCAGGTCAGTACCCATCAAGTAGTAGAGGGTCTCAGAGCTGTCTTGTCTTATACTACAGGGAGGAGTGGTAGTAAACACTGAAATATACCCCAGTCTTCTCCGAGTATGCGAGGGAAACGTATTGGATGAGGTTGCTGGTCTTACTAACATCTGTATCCGGGCTGTGAACCACGTAGTTTATATCAGCATTACCAAGAATTCAACACACAGGCAGAACTTACAAATGCGACCGGAAAGTAGGAATAAATAATTCGGCAACTTCGTTCCAGCCCAGATGCCTGTAGAAATCGACAATGGCCTGCGCATTCACCAGGTCGTTCTGGCCGTGCAGGATAAAATACCATTTCGGCATCGGGACGGGGTTGCCTGGCACGAGCTCGTAGTTGTAGATACCCACTCCCATTTTATCCTGGGTACTGTTAGCTAGATATTCCTTGGCCCTTGGATGGGATAGAGGAGCGACAGATACCGTTTCTTCGGTGATGAGCCGCCATAACTCTTGCGCGGCGTCCAAGCCACGCTTGACCAGGGGATTCTTGGCGAACTTTCCTCCTAGTGTCCAAATTCCCTCTAGCTTTGGCCATGTCACCTCCTGGACCGTATTATACACTTTCAATCGTGACTTGGAAGGATCGACAAAATCGAAGCCAATGAACGAGTACTGGTTGTAGAGGCCGGCACCCTCCAGGTACTCGTGGACAGAGTTTAATGCGTCTGCACAATTCATCAAGTTGTCTGATCCTAGCCCCACAGCTTCATTGAGCAGGTCTCGGAATGGCTGCCCCGTGAGCTGGGACTTCAGCGCTGGGTAGACATAACATTTGACAGTCACCTCTCCGCCCTTCAGGTCCAAGCCGAGTGACACCTGGTTTTTCAACCGGGGCCAGGGTAGCTCCTCCATGTTGACAGCTATGGCCTCTTCGGAGCTTAATACCAAATTCTTCATGAATAGATCGAAGAGGCGGCGATCAAAGGACTTGAGGTTCAATTTGGTCAACAATGAAATGGCTTTGTTGACAGTCTTCAAATTCAGGCGATCTGATGGCGTTCCGGACAGGTGGCTCACGGGTTCCCATCCAATTCGACATGTAGGAGGGCCATATTCTTGATAATTTGTGCTGAATTCAATGGGTATTCCGGAGTAGGTTATAAAACAGTCCCATTTGTTAGGATGGGGGCCCATCAGAGGTACGATGACGGTTTTGTATAGAGTCATGTAGAGATACTGATGCTCCACGGGGTATTGGGCAGCTTGGAAGATTCGTGCAAGCAGCGGAGCTGTCTGCTGCCACCATTTTCTTTGGTCCTCATTTTCGAAGTCGAAATACTTTTCCGGATTGAAGTATTCGGTAGGACGGATGCGCTCCTGACATTTAGGAGCGGTGACTGTCATTTTGGTATAAAGATCGGATAAGAGTGTTGCAGCTGCGCAAGGTAAGTTCAATATCAACTTATGAAGAGGACGGAGAGTGCTGGAATGGTGCACAGGGTTAATTCGGCACTGCTTTAAACGGAGGCAGCAACCTAGGTAGTGCTGGCAGATACTCGGGCATCTCCTACACCGCATTTCTTCTCCTTGACGAGAATTGTGGCTGATTCGAAAAGCAGGCTCCGGCAAGGGATGGATGACACTCGGTATGTCTCCTGCATATGTGTGTGGTCTCATACACATACGTATTGTGTCTGTCTTCTCAGCTTTTCCTGTGTACAACCATACTTTGGAATTGATCGCGGTTAGTGGGACCAAGCCCCTTGCCGTCACGGTGTAGAACACCGTCTCCACAGATCAGCACCAAGCGAATGCTGTTCGAAATGTTATAATTGTCCTGCAAAAATAGCTTGGTGGTGTTTACATAGAGAGAACACATTGAACCCTGGGAGCAGAGTCATGAGAGTACACAAAATCAGCAACTAGAAAAATACCTAAACGTTCAAATGTTGACAAAATAAACAGACTAAGCTATCTACATACCCGGCATAACTTTCCACGATAGTATCCGTAGTAGCCTTTGAAGCAAAGAAGAGATCTTCCCGTAGGCATGCGAGACTCGACACATGCCCTCATCATACCAATCCTCACTCCCAACCCCAAGACGCGTGATGAACAGGTCCTGTGGGTCCCATCGGCGCTTGATACTTAGCAGTCGTGCGTAATTAGGCCCCCAGTACGTCGTCGCTGGATCTCGCTCATATGCAAAAGGAATACCAAGGTATCCAGCGCCACCTGAGCCAGGCTCCATAGCCCTCAGTAAAGGCAGTTGGGTCTCAGAAATCTCCTGCTCAATCCTCTTGTAGGCTTCCCAGTCCGGATGTTGGGGCAAAGCACGCCCGAGGGTTAGAGACATCAGAGCGTGCTGCCAATCTGGGTGGAGGGCGCTGTCGACAAGGTCCTCGGCCGCCATTGCTTGCCGGCCTACCATCCCTTCAAGGCTGAGCACGTCACCGGGGAGGAATGTGAGCCGGCGGAGATTCCGTACGACCCGGTCCGCACCCGCATGAGAGCTCAGCAAGTCCTTGGAGAGTAGCCTAGACGCTGTCATAATGGATGCTCCCGCCTGGTCCAGGCCCTTGGGGCGGGCCAGGTACGTGGAGAGTCGGTCAAAGTGCTCCTCCGCATAGGCTACCTCCAGCCCGAGCTCCTGCAGTTGGGCAAGGTGGTCCTGCAAAATTCCATGCCCTGTTCTATCCGACTTATCGCCAGTCAAGTATACTTCGATATTAAGTAATGCGCCTCCCATTGGAAATACAGGCATGGCAAATGTCTGAACGGCAATTCCCAGACCAATGAACTTGTGAAGGACAGCCAGATGTTCCTTCACGGCAAGCCAGAATGTCTTGTCTGCGCCATCCGAAACCACGATGTTCATAGTGGCAACGGTGGCTGGCACGTCTGGATACGCTCGGAAGGTGACACTGGTGACAACTCCAAACGTGCCTCCTCCCCCACCGCGAACCGCCCAGAAGAGCTCCTGGTTTTGATACTTGCTGGCCGTCACATGTGCACCATTCGCTGTGACTATGCTGAACTCCAGAACGTTATCAACTCCGAGCCCTTTGGATGGGCTGAGGATGCCATAGCCGCCTCCTTGCATCCAGCCTCCGGCAATACCCACGGTGCTGCAGCTCCCGCCAACGACCGTGTATCCAGCATTTTCTGCAGCGGTGTAGAGCTCCCCCGTGGTAATTCCGGCGCCAACAGTAACTGCTGGCCCCTCTGATGGGACTTGCTGGCCCCAGGGGGCGGCTGGCTGAAATGCATCAATAAACTGATATCCATTGAGTGCCGATGTCATAAGCTGCAAAGAATCTGGAGATGTAGATCGGCCGGCAAGATCATGCCCGGTATTCCGAATGGCGAGACGAATGTTATGGGTAGCCACAAATCGGACAACTTCCTGGACTTGCGAGACAGACTGGACAGAGGCTGAGTAGAGAGGCACTCGGCCCTGACCGCACGAGTCTGTCTTGCCATCGGAGTTGACATGGCAAGCTTCCTCTTTGGGGAGGCTGTACTCCCAGTTGACGACTTGCAAGGTAGCTTTAAATCATCAGTAAGCAAATCGGCGTAGTAGCCAGAGAGAACCTACCGGGATTCCGCACGCGCCAGGTTGTGTTATAGAAATTCTTCACCAGCTCCTGGCACGTCTCTGAAGTCTGGTCATCTGGAAAACAGGCATGCCCTGACGGCTTCAATGCAATCAAATTGCCATCCAGCGTATGGTTTAGTGTATCCCAGGCCGCAGATGAAGGCCAGCATGGCTCATGAGGTTGGCAACGGCATCCCTCCTTCCAGGGGACCCCCAGGTAGAGGCCAAAAGCAATGGCCAGAGCCGCCGGGCTGAGACTCATCCACATGGTGGTTTACAAAGCGCGGCTGAGGAGGTGAAGATTCAAATAGTGACAAAGAAGCTCGGCTCGGTTTTGGATTATATATTCGCCGGCTTGAGCATGAATTATGTATCCTGAGCAAATGTCGACCCCTTCGATGCAAGAGGACCAGGAAGTAGATCTCCTGAGGAACTACTCGCCTCCCGTTCTGCAAGGGGGGGTCGCATTCAACACGTAAGCTTGGCATACCGATTGTATTTTCAGTAGGCGTTGCTTAAATATCAGTTGGCGGAATCAACCAGTTTTATAGAGTTATCTTCTCACAGCTTGACACGATGGGCTCTCTGGGCACCGACGAACCTCTGGATTTCTACTCCTCACCTTACCTTGCAGAGCACTATGACCTCATCTGCGCACAAGAGGGTTCCTTCTTCAAAGACATTGAGATCTTTTCTGCGGAGCTGATGCAAATCCGAGACCGCAAACGCGCCAAATTCCAGGACCCCGATGCGCTTGTTGTCATCGATGTGGGCACCGGGACCGGTCGAGCTCTGCACGGTCTTGCACAGAAGGCATTGAAAAACGGCATAGATCTCTCCAAGGTGACATTCCTGGGTTTCGATTTATCCCAGGATATGGTCAATCGGGCAGCTCAGACGCGCGACCTCACCGGGGTGGGGCATGTCGAGTGGGTATGCGCTTCGGCGGTGGATCTGGACAGCGTTGTGTGCGCCCGGGGCTTCCACGGGAAGGTTGACCTGATTATGTTTGCTGATGGTGGAATTCTACACCTCACCACACCGGAGGAAGGGCACAAGTTCCTGCGTGGACTCGAAATGTCGCTTAGGCCGGGTATAGGTCGAGCCTGTATCTCGGTCACCAATCGAGAATCTGTGGATGATCTGCATTACTACGATACTGAGGCCTCCGGAAAGGGTGCCGTTGAGTATGAGAGTCAACATTTTCCGAACCTCATCTATCGGAATACTTTGACTGGGATTACGGAAGAGGGCACAGTTGGCATCTCGACGTTCCAATTTGAAGTATGGAAAGTACAGGAAGATGGCCGCCGAGAGCTCGTTGAGAGTCGAGTGACTCGATTGGCAGGAAGATGGTGGACGCAAAGCGAAATGAAAGATCTGATTGGGGAAGTCCCTGGCATTTACCTTGCCGAGATCGCCTCCCCCGACAACCGCCAGATATTCTACACTGTGGAAGTTCAACAGTAATGATGTTGGTAAACATGGTGCTAGCAGATGGACAAAACCTGAATACTAGCATGGATTTAAGCGAAATTTACCAGGTCAATTGATCATTGCTGCTGCTACTGCTACTAGATACAATACTAGCGGGTGGATATTCGCCGATGCACAATCATTGATAGGGACAACCTTTAGGAAACATGTAGACGCTCAAAGTACTCCCTGACAGTCATCATAGTCTCTCGTCCCTTCCTGCCCTTTGCCTTCCATGCATCCCGCTTCAGTTGACAAGCAGTCCTAGTCTCACTGGGCCCATTGCCGTAGTAATCGCCCCCTCGTAGTTGGCTGTAGATGAACAGATCCTGAATTCCCCCACACTCAAAGGTCGGCATCTCCTCTGCGGGGATGTAGGGCATGAATCGAGCTTTCTTACCGGTCACTATAATCCCATTAGCTGTCTTTTGAGTTCCTTTCAATTGATTGGTGGCGAGGAGGCCGCAGAAGGAGGAGTTTTTACCAGCAACATAGGCCTGCACCATATCCGCCCACGACATCAGCTCTCCATTACACTGGATCACAGCGCGATTCCACCGTACAGGATTGAGGAAGACGCCGTGAACTAAGTCTCCAAAATCATCTTTCACACTGATGAATGGGACTTCCTCCTCGCCTCCCCATAGCGGCACCCGACAGCTGAGGTACCCGTCCTGGTCTTCGTGGATGGGGAACCCCCCCAGGAGCTCGGCAAGGATGGGATGTTCAAAGTTCTCAAGATACCACGAAAGCATAACTGGTGTAAAGGTCTCAAAGACGGGACAGGCATCGCCCCATTCTGCTGCCTGTGCCTTTACATCTAAGTTAGGGACGGGCGCACGTCCCGCGGTCAGCTTTCGAGCGTCAGGCGCAGAGCTGAAGACAACATGTTTTACGCCGGCAGCTGCGGCGCTTGACAGGATTGATCTTTGTAGAGCAACAGCAATGTCGAATTCTTGACCCTGGGAGACCTATCAGTTGCTTGTTTCCCTTTGATCTTTGACGAAGGCCGTACCTCGGTAGCCACATTAATGAATGCCCCCCAGCTGCCCGCCAATGCCCGTTCCATTTCCTCCGCATTTGCTCCATCAGCTTTGATCACATTGAAACCCTCATTCATGAGTGCCTTGGCTCCCGGGGAATTCGTGTCTCGGGTGATGCACCGGACCTCGAAATGAGGGTTTTGCTTCAGAGACCGAGCAACAGAGCCACCCTGGGCCCCTGGGTAAGGGTGAGTAAAAAGATTTATAGAAAAAAGAAGTGGGTATCATACCAGTAGCCCCGACAATGCTCACAATGTTTTGTTCGATTGCCATAGCGTTTATTTTCTTTCCTTTGGGTTTGCTTCAAGGGTCTAATCAGGAGTTCCTTGGTCAAAGGGTCAAAAGATGGTGAGGATTCTTGCCTGTGGAGGACTGACCATACAGCGCGGCTTGGCTCGCCATATCATACGATATTGGAAGCCCCCACACCTGATTTTCGACTAGAGACAGTTGCAGAAACAACGAATCTGCGAGCTGCAAGCTGCAAGGAGCAAGAAGAACATAATACCCCACCTGTACACAGTCCGATCTTGGAACTGACCGCCCTTTGGAATCACAGGAAACAATGCTGCATGTCCAAGCATGTACTTCACTAGTGTGCAGTAACATCAGTCTTCCTGGACCTGTAGCCTGTCTGATAGCGAAGCTTAAGCATCACTGCATAGTTGCAGTACAGTCGACACAGATACGTAAACGAAACTGCATCGTTTCTACAGAGGGCACTGGTCTTTGAGTATCATGATATATAGTTAAACCAACGCTAGATCTCAGAAACGTTAATAACATTGCTAAAAAACTACGTAGTACTTAAGAAAACGTCCCAGACAAAGAATCTGATGCCATTGTCATTCTCGGAGTAATCTAAGGATGTGAATTAGGTACAATGTGTTACGCACTGCTCCTGTGAACTGGTAAGTTGGTTTGTATCAGTTATACATACCGCAATCGGCCCTCAAGCTGGACGAGTAACCGTACCGTATCATAGTCCGCGAGGCCTTACACGGGCTCGGGTTTGTAGAGTAGTCTTGCAAAGCTGTTCTTAAATAAGGTCTGTCACTGATATGCTGGCCTTATTGTAGGATAGGTTGTCAACAAGTCAAACAGTGATATAGGATGAGGGGGTTTCATGTAACAATGTAGGAATTGATCGACTCCGCCAAACCCGGACATTATCGTTCAATCAAGCTTTATCTCGTCGATCCACATTATCGCATCTGCTCAACTTAAAATGTCCCGCCGCAGCAGCATAGCTCGTGCGTGCTCATTTCTGCTCAGTGCTCAGTGAGCAGATCTGAGCACTAAAGGGAAAGGGAATGCCAAGAAGTGGCAGAGGAAATCCTGTACGTAGGTACTTAATACCAGCGCATTTATCTAGTGTTCGCTCGGCTTGTAGATCTAGTCGGCTTCTTTCTGTAGATAAAATTGTCCATGCGCTGTTATAGAGCAAAGACATCAGGAAGCTCAAATAAGAGGACCCATCCTAAATAAGATGTGAAAGTAAAAGACTTGCTAATATAGTCATCGCTAGCATGATATACAGCTACCTACATACATCCCCCATCTCCACTACACAACTACCGATTCACCGGGTCAGCACCAAGCACCCACCCAATCCCACTCGCCAACCCACCCGTCACCATATTGCTAACCATATCCCTCTTCCTTACCCGTCCCTCGCCCTCGGGCGAAAGCGGTCTCTCATCATCAACAGACTCACCCCCACGCCTAGCTGCAGCTGCAGCCCGCAACGGGAAAGCATTCTTATGCAACGCTATGGCCGCGCCACGCGCAACCTCAAACAACCCCATGGGCGCCTCGTGCGGGTGCGAATGCGGCATCGCGGCGCGGGCGCGGGCCCGCCGAGCCGCGCGCTGCTGCTCCGTGTCGAAGGCGTCGCGCTCTGAGTCGGAGGGTCCAAATCCACCAGGTACGCTCGATATAGTGTCACCCTTTGTGTCCCAGGCGTCTTCTTCCGTTTGCTCGCGTGCGCGGAGGGATGTCATCTCTTCGTCGCAGCGGCGCCAGGCGCCGAGGATTTCCGGGAGTGGGTCTGGGGATGGAACTAGGGCGAGAGCTAGAGAGAGGAGTTCCATACGCTGGGAAAGGTGGCTGATTTGGGATTGGAGGGGGGTGGAGGGGTTGGGTGTTGTTGAACGATAGCGGCCTGCGTTGTATACGGCGCGCCAGGAGATGTCGTCTGGGACGCTTGGGGTATTGAGGAGGGGAGATGAGGTTGAGAGAAGGGATGGTGGTGTCAGCCGGGTGAGGATGTAGGAGTAGGCTGTGCCGAAGTCGTTGGAGGCTAGAGCGGAGGATATGGCGAGGGAGGTGATGCGGCGCTCGGCTGTAATTAGGGCGTCTTGTTCGGAGAGAGGCTCCTGGGATGTTTGGTGTTCGGCTTCGTTGGATGCTAGCTCGGTGGATAGTCCAGCGGAAACGAGGTTACGACCGATGGAGAGGAGGTCGTCGAGTTTAGTGTAGCTTTTGGCATTTTGGTCGAGGACTTTCTCGACCAAGGAAAGAGGGTCGTGGTGCACGCGGATGCTGACCGGTTGGAATGGGACGCCGTGTTGAAGGGTTAATGCGTAAAATGACAGTACGTGCGTCGCGGCTATAAGTGAGTTGATCTGTTTGAGGGACACAGAATCTGGGAAGTGCCGCTGGAAGGCTTGCAGGCTGTAAGATTCGTTAGTTATCGAGTCAGATATTGGCTCTCGCCGGAACTCACATGTCGTAAGCTCTCTTCATTCCACCGCGGGTCCGATTGCCGTTGCTGGCGTTGTCGTAGGCCGCGAAAATAGCCTGGACAATGGCATCTTCCACCTGCTTCCTGTTTAAAGGCGCCGCTTCTGGCTGAGTGTATAGATCCACTGCCAGTTGGTATTCTAAGAAGGATTAGCATTGAGTACAAACCATGAGGGATTGGTGTCTAACCTTGAGCACCGAGTAGAGCTTTTAGGATCTCCGTCTCAATTTTATCTCGCGGGATTCTCCAGAAAAGGCCCTGGTGGGTCGATGGCTCATCCCAGCCATTGTCTGACTGCTCTGACTGCCAATCGCGAAGCCAAAGCAGTTGTTGTCGTACCTCCTGCCACTCCAACTTCGATCGAGGTTGCTTGACAGCCGAAGCCACCAAGTTTTTCAGCTCCACCATTTGCATCTCCTCGGTGCTATGCAAGCTAATGTTCGCCACGAGTCGGCATGGAACAAGATGGCCGAGACCGGTCAAAATGCGAAGAGAGAGGAGCACCGCGCTCAGGAAAGAAATCGAAGATGGCGAAGGTTGTGTCAAAGGGTTATCTTGGGCAAGGAGAGAATTCTGTAATAGAGAGACCCGAGACGTTGAGGAAATCAACTTTGTATCATAGTCCACCGATGGAAGAGCCGACAGGGAAGAATCCAGATATGAGCACTCCTCAAGGCCAAGTAACCTGGCAACTCGATCCAGCACTTGGCATGACCCTTCAATGGCCGCTTTTGACGAGTCCGCATGGGCGTAGACCACAGCTAGACCCGACTGGCAGTACCGTGAGCGCAATTCCTTCGCTTTGTCCGATGGTATCTCCATATCTGTGTCTTCGTATCCTCCCAAGTCCTTGTCTTCGGGGCCATTCCAGTTCGTAAAAGCGTTCACGACACTGTCGTGATCCACAAGGCTCCGTGACAAGAGCCATTCATTCACATATTCCCATCCGGCCATTTCAGTGGGCTCCGGTTTAGGTGTGCCTTGGATGTAAGAGATCGAGTTTCGTCGAGTAGCTTCATTGAGTCTCCGACGCTTGGAGCGATTGCTACCATATAGCCAAGGGCCAATTAGCCCTCTCAGGTTGTTGACCAGATCCATGTTGGTTCTGACAGAACCGCTAATAGACAATAGAATGTTGACCGCCGCCCGGTCATCCATCAACTCCAGAGTCTCCAGTGATAGTGTCTCGTCGCGGTCCGGATAATATTCGTAATTGAGTCGAAGTGCCGGCAGTAGGCTTGAGATCAGCCATGTTCGAATAACCGGGGAGTGTGGGTAGAAGGGAAGGACCAGGTCGAGGATGAGGGGTTGGAGGGAAGTTTCGATGTCAATGAGATGCGCTCGGTGGATGATGAACTGAGTCAGGGCATCTGATGCTTCCACTTCTTCTTCCTCTCCGTCGCGCTTCAGTGGCAGTAGTCTGAGCTTGGCCACACGCTTCCTCGCTGCTGCTTCGGACAGGCCTCTAACCGCAGAGGTATCAATATCTCGGTCTGAGGGCACGGAAGAAGAGCCACTGATCAGCCCTTGGAGCACAGGAACATATAAAGAGGGCTCGGTGCTCTCGGGCAGGAATGTCAAGATGATGCGTAGGAGACGTTCGAGCGGAAAACAATGGGGATGTCGCGCACGCAAAGCAAAAAGGTCGGTCACTTCGCCGCTTGCACATAGACGGGTCGCTAATAGAATCGCATGAGCATCCGACAGCCCTTCCAGAGGCGCCATGGCGGTCGAGCGGAAGGAAAGTGAGGGTAAGGTGTCCTCATACTAGCGACGTCAACCCAAGTCGCATACGGCGAGGCGCACGGACCAGGTCGGGAACGACAGGGAATGCGTCGCATCCGCCGGCAACTTCACCACTTTCTTGCTGCCTCTCAGCTCACCACTCTGCCAATTCCTCTCTCTTCCCTCGACAATGGCTTCCGGCTTCGGTCTCAAGGGCGGTACGTGTCTCACTGTCTTGTTTCCTGGGACGTTGGGCTGGTCCGCGGGGGTGTCTTCTCCCGCGTGAGATCTCGCGCAGACCAGGCCCCTCCTCCAGTGATCGACCCTGGCTGATTTGCTGACTCGCTTTTACTCTTTCTAGGTCCCGGCCGCTGCTATCCCTTCTGGCAGGAAGTTCTTGGATGCTACGCGGTAAACTCCGGCGAGGGTGAGACCGGCAAGAAACAGTGCACCCCAGCTCTTGAAGATTACTACGAGTGCCTCCACCACCGGAAAGAGGTACGTTTTGCCTTTGGTCAGACGCTGGCTCGAGAGGGTTTGATTCCCGAGTCATTGGAGAAAATATCTGACAATGTGACTTGGAAATCTAGGCTCTCCGCACGATGAAGATGCAAGCCGCCTACCGCAAGGCCGAGGCCGCTCACCCCCGTGAGAATGAACCCAAAGCCGAGCAGATCCGCAGCCTGGGTCTGCTTGGAAAGGAGGAAGAGTCTACCGCGGTTCTGAGCCAGCTTGGGCAACAATGAAAGGCGATATGGGAATAAATCCAGGGCGCAGTGTTTCTTTTGCTTCAATAGGCGTGATCCTTGTGGCTGCCCCGGATCATTCTGCCGGGAGCCCGTGACTGTATAGAAACGCTTAGTTTATTGGCCATAAGGCCTTGTGTTTGAAAATGATACTCCAGTTACATGACAGGCGATGCCATCCGGGCTTGAACTCCAATCTAGTAGGACTCCAGGGCTAACTTGTACTGAAAGAAGAGCCTGGCCGACCTCGAAATTTGATTGGAGTGCTTCTCGAAGGCCATACGACAGGCGGTCTTGTCATCAAGTCACCTGTTGAATTTCGATATTTGTACTTGGCATCACAATCTGGGAATCGGTGGGTTTGATTGGAGATCGTTCATTTCAAGATTGAAATGTCAAGTTCGCATCATTGATTACTTCGAAGATTGGAAGATTTCTCAAAATGTGCCCAAACGGGCGATTTGAGATAGGATACCCGTAGATATGTACGCACGACTGACGAAGTTTAATACCTCAGATGGAGATATATAGTTCCGGCCCATTTGCACGGGAGACGTGGCTATCGGTAGATTTTTATTTTATTTGCCACCTCACTTCCAGCTGATCATAAAAATGAAAGTGAATCGATGATGAAGCTGCAGCATGTTAGCCGTTGCAATCGACTACATACTCGGGCGATCCCTAGGATCATCGTGGGAATCCTCGAGTCTGATGAGGCCATCTGGCATGTCTTGGCGCCACTCCAGAACTACGCCTTAGTGAAACCAAGAGGGTTTATAAACACGACAGTTCATCAGCTAGGGCCCTTCTGGTCAAGGATCATATCACAGTCAGAATAATCTAGACTCCTTACAGCCCAAAGCCACAGAATCATATCTGCGGAAGCGGTGCACGTGATCTGAAAAACTCGCGAGTGGGGGTCAATGCACGCTAAACCGGAACGGGGCTAGCGGCACACACCCAAACATGGGCCGGCGCGCCGGGCAGAAGCCCCCAATGATATAAACCCGCCTGCGTGACCTCGAATCTGCTCTTGTGTACTGAATCTAATCCTTCCCTGCTGACTCAGCCTCGGGTCCTCTCTCGGTGGTGTTGGGCGTTTTTCAATTTCGGACGGGCATCCCTCGCGTCAACGTTTGTGATACGAATGGTCGCGTTCTTTGCTTCCCTTTCTCTGTTTTCTCAACTAATTCGGGCGGTGCTGTTCACTCGGCATCAGAGTGACGGCCCGCCATGACCTCCCGGTAAGTACCCTCGCCCAATAATCACGCGTCTGTCACGTGAAACTGACCCATTGCCTAGTCTTGACCGCCTGGTCACGTGAGTACTGTAGCTTACCATGTCCCTTTTCATGATACTAATGATCATTGCAGGTTACTCGAGACTGGCAGCACTCAATTAATTCGGAATACCGCTGCTCAGCAACTCGGAGATGTACAGAAGCAGCATCCGGATGAGCTCTTCAACCTACTGGGTCGGATTCTCCCCTATCTCCGGTCAAAATCCTGGGATACTAGAACTGCTGCCGCCCGAGCCATCGGCCTGATCGTCTCGAATGCAGACGTATACGACCCAAATGAAGAAGATGGTCAACAGATCAAATCTGCAGCAGATGAAGATGACGTGGAGATCAAGTCCGAGACCAAGCCGGAAGATCCTACCCCTACAGTTGATGGGTTCCTCCGCCTCGACACGCTGGACATCGCCTCCATCTTGAAGTACGGCAAGCGGCTACTAGGTAGCGCCGGAAAAGAGTATGAATACTCGCTGGCTTCGATGGACCCGGCTGCACGCCTCCAACATCAGAAGAAGACTCTGACGGGCCGGCTGGGTCTGGCCGGTGAGTACGTGGAGGAAGAACCGATTAATATCAGCGAGCCGGCTCCCAAGCCAGAAACACCAGCTCCGAAGAAAGAAACTATAATTGCGCCCATCTCTCGTGAAAACAGCTTACAGGATCTGGCAGCTCGGCGACCATCTTCGCCCGGCGATGCCGTGAAGGATGAATTGGGACTGAGTAAACGGCAATTGAATCAACTCAAGCGGAAAAACAAGCAGAATGCAAAGATGGGCGCCAACAAAGTCCGCGTGGTAGACCTGTCTTCACGACGGGTGTCGGAGAACGTCACCACTCCTGTGGCCACCCCCCATCCTGTGAAAACCGAAAACGGCGACGAACAAAATGGCGATGCCAAACCTGATTATTTCTCGCTCGAACCAAATGCGGAAGACGATGACTCAAAACTTGTCACGGAATTCAAAGGTCCCATCGCTCCGGAAAAACCCATTATTCAACCCGAACTTGTCGACCAAGGCTCCGGATGGCCCCTGGAATGCATGTGCGAATTCTTGACCATGGATATATTCGATTCCAACTGGGAGGTTAGACATGGCGCAGCGATGGCTCTCCGTGAGGTGATTAGGGTCCAGGGCCCAGCAGCTGGCCGGAGGGAAGGCAAAAGCAGAGAGGAAAACGACGCCCTGAACCGCCGGTGGCTGAATGACCTTGCATGCCGGTTACTTTCTGTCCTCATGCTGGACCGCTTTGGTGACTACATTTCAGACAATGTCGTTGCTCCAATTCGGGAAACCGTCGGCCAGACCCTTGGTGCTCTTTTATCCCATTTGTCGCCGAAGTCCGTTCGCCAGGTTTACCGATGCCTTTACCGTATCATCATGCAGACTGATCTTGGTCTTGAACGGCCAGTATGGGAAGTCTGCCATGGCGGTATGATCGGCTTGCGGTACCTAGTTGCAGTGCGAAAAGATCTGCTGATCAAAGACTCCGGCATGATGGATGGCGTTCTGGAGGCTGTTATGAAGGGTCTGGCTGACTTCGACGACGATGTACGGGCTGTCAGCGCCGCAACACTTGTCCCCATCGCGGAGGAGTTTGTAACATCACGGACTCCTACTCTTGGCCTGCTCATGAACATTGTTTGGGACTGTCTTTCCAACCTACAGGACGATCTCAGCGCCAGTACTGGATCCGTCATGGACCTCCTAGCAAAGTTGTGTACCTTCAACCAAGTCCTGGACGCAATGAAGGCGAACGCCGCAGACGACCCAGAAGCTTCATTCGGTAAACTGGTTCCTCGCCTGTATCCGTTCCTGAGACACACCATTACGAGCGTTCGTTCCGCTGTTCTCCGTGCTCTCATGACCTTTTTGAAGCTAGAGGGGGAGGGCAGCACAGACTGGGTGGATGGCAAGGCTCTTCGTTTGATCTTCCAGAATCTCCTGGTGGAGCGCAACGAGGGTGTCCTCAAACTGTCTCTCCAAGTGTGGTCTGAACTCTTGAAAGCAATTGACAATCGTGGCTCTTTTACCTCCGACCCGGAGCTTCCGAGCTCTGTTCAGCCTCTTGTCACTTTAACCCTCGGCCCGTTCGGTGTTCCTCGTTACCCTATTCCCATGAGTGCTACACTCTTCATCAAGCCCTCTGGCGTACCATTCGCCGCCACCGCTGCCCCGCCTTCTGCCAAATCTTCACCCCCTGCTCCCACTCCTGGCGGCGAACTTTCTAAACCCGGTCGCAGACGCAAGTCGGAGAAGAAAGAAACAGCGCCGCCGCCACCCTCAGCTCACAATGTGGACGGGCACATGTTATCTGGAGACATCGATCTCGTCGGCGCAGACACGATGCTAAGATCCAAGATTTTTGCTGCAAAGGCGCTCGGCGAGTTGTTGAGTGTTTGGGATAAGCATGGACTTCAAAGCTTTTGGCCGGAGGTTCTGGATGGTCTCAACCTTCCAGCCTCGACATCTCAGCTTGCCTCAGCCATGGTCATGGAAGAATATGCTCGTCTTTCTGGACCAGAAAGCAGGCACACTTCATCCCTATGCGAGAAGCTTCGTCCAATCGTCGAAGGCGAACGTCCGTCATGGTACTCGGATATTTCCTGCTATCTTCATGTCGCTCGCGCACAGTGCCACTCGTTGCTTAATACTTTCCGGGATCATGCACATGTGCCGCCTGCAAGACTGCCCACATTGGCTGTTGTTGTCCAGGGCGATGCGGAGGCGGGCCCCAACGCATTCTCCCTGGCAGATGCTGAGAGGATCGTTGGCGCCGACTTTGATCGCTTGAAAAAGAACCTGACCCCAGCGCAGCGGATCACTGCCACTCAAGTTTTGACTGACACCCGTGCGACGGCGCAATCTGCTGTCGACGAGGCGAGCCTGATGAGAGAACAGCGGGACATGCGCGTCCTGGCCGCCGCTGCAGGTGCCTTGGTTGCTCTGCGAGACATTCCCAAGCGGCCTGGCCACATCATCAAGGCCATGATGGATAGCGTCAAGAAGGAAGAGAATGTCGAGCTCCAGCAACGCTCCGCGACGGCGGTAGCAAGCCTCATTGAGCACTATACAACGGCCACCAAGCGTGGACCAGTGGACAAGATTATTGGAAACTTGGTCAAATACTGCTGCGTGGACACCTCCGAGACACCCGAATTCTCCCACAATGCTCAACTGGAGCAATCGATCTTGTCGCTGCGCAAGGAAGAGGACCGACGAGACCACCCTGATGCAGCCAAATTCGAGCGGGAGGCTAAGGAAGCCAGAATCATGCGACGGGGCGCTAAGGACGCGCTGGAGCAGTTGACCGTCAAGTTCGGTCCTGAGCTCCTGGAGAAGGTGCCCAACCTTGCATCATTGGTTGAGCGACCACTGAAGACTGCCCTTGAGGGCGACCTGCCCGACGATATCACCAACCCAGAGACCGAACTTGGTCAGGAAGTCGTCGATGGACTGTCTACCTTGCGGGCTCTTCTTCCGAAGTTCGATCCTGGCCTGTATCCATGGATTATTGGTCTCATGCCCATTATTGCCAAGGCCATGCAATGTCGTCTCTCCGTGATTCGCTATGCCGCGGCGAAATGCTTCGCTACTATTTGCAGCGTTATCACTGTGGACGGCATGACGATGTTGGTGGAGAAAGTGTTGCCAACAATCAATCACCAGTTGGATGTTCACCACCGACAAGGAGCCATTGAGTGCATTTACCATCTGATCCATGTGATGGAAGATGGAATTCTGCCCTATGTCATCTTCCTCGTGGTTCCCGTGCTGGGTCGCATGAGTGACTCTGACAATGATGTCCGTCTTTTGGCAACTACTTCATTCGCAACCCTCGTGAAGCTGGTGCCTCTCGAGGCCGGTATTCCCGATCCCCCTGGTTTCTCTGAAGAGCTGCTCAAGGGTCGTGACCGGGAGAGGAAGTTTATGTCTCAGATGCTGGACGCGCGCAAGGTGGAGCCGTTCGAAATCCCGGTCGCTATCAAGGCTGAGCTACGACCTTACCAGCAAGATGGTGTCAATTGGCTTGCATTCCTCAACCGGTATAATCTCCACGGTATTCTTTGCGACGACATGGGACTTGGTAAGACTCTTCAAACCATTTGCATCGTCGCTAGTGATCACCACATACGAGCGGAAGAGTTCGCCAAGAGCCAGGCTCCGGATTCCCGCAAGCTTCCGTCCTTGATTATCTGCCCCCCTTCACTCTCTGGACACTGGCAGCAAGAAGTCAAGCAGTATGCCCCATTCCTCAATTGCATTGCGTACGTCGGTCCCCCGGCGGAGCGAGCAAGGCTCCAGGCCCAAATCGCCACGTCGGATGTGGTCGTGACGTCCTACGACGTCTGCCGTAATGACAACGATGTGCTCAATTCAATCAACTGGAACTACTGCGTTCTTGATGAAGGTCATCTGATCAAGAACCCCAAGGCAAAAATCACGACTTCTGTCAAGCGGCTGCTCAGCAACCACCGCCTGATCCTTTCTGGTACGCCTATTCAGAACAATGTGCTTGAGCTTTGGTCTCTGTTTGACTTCTTGATGCCTGGATTCCTTGGCAGCGAGAAGGTCTTCTTGGACCGGTTCGCCAAGCCCATTGCCGCCAGCCGCTTCAGTAAATCCTCGTCCAAGGAGCAGGAGGCGGGCGCTTTGGCGATCGAAGCCCTACACAAGCAGGTGTTGCCATTCCTGCTCCGTCGTCTGAAGGAAGAGGTATTAAATGACTTGCCTCCTAAGATCATTCAAAACTACTACTGCGACCCCAGTGACCTTCAGAAGAAGCTCTTTGAAGACTTTAGCAAGAAGGAGCAGAAGGAGCTACAAGAGAAGGTGGGCAGTGCAGAGCGTTCCGACAAGGAGCACATCTTCCAAGCTCTGCAGTATATGCGTCGTTTGTGCAATTCGCCTGCACTGGTCGTCAAAGAAGGCCACAAGCAGTACAACGAAGTCCAGACCTTCCTGACAAACAAGCGCTCTAATATCAGGGATGTCTCGCATGCTCCCAAGCTCACTGCCCTGCGTGACCTGCTCGTTGACTGCGGTATTGGTCTGGATCACTCGGCTGAGGGCGAGTTGGATACAGGTGCAAGCTACGTTAGCCCGCATCGCGCTCTTGTCTTCTGTCAGATGAAGGAGATGTTGGATATTGTGCAAAACGATGTCCTCAAGAAGTTGCTTCCATCTGTCCAATACCTGCGTCTGGATGGTGGTGTTGAGGCTACCAAGCGTCAAGACATTGTCAATCGCTTCAACACTGATCCCAGTTATGACGTGCTCCTTCTTACCACCAGCGTCGGTGGGTTGGGTCTCAACCTGACAGGAGCAGACACCGTCATTTTTGTCGAGCATGACTGGAATCCCCAAAAGGATATCCAGGCCATGGACCGCGCTCATCGTATCGGCCAGAAGAAGGTCGTTAACGTGTACCGCCTGATCACGAGAGGTACTCTGGAGGAGAAGATCTTGAAGTAAGTTCCACCTATACCCATCCCTACCAAGTGCCACTTCACAGCCGCTCACACCAATTTTTCTGCAGTCTGCAACGATTCAAGATTGATGTCGCCTCCACAGTGGTCAATCAACAAAATGCGGGCTTGGGTACAATGGACACGGACCAATTACTTGACCTCTTTAATCTCGGCGAAACGGCAGAATCAGCCGAGAAACCGGGCGATCAGGCTGGCAACGAAGTCGACATGGTCGATATCGACGGCGAAGTCAAGGAGAAGGGCAAGAAGGGCTGGCTTGATGACTTAGGCGAGCTCTGGGATGATCGCCAGTACCAGGAGGAATACAACCTGGATTCATTCCTGGAGACGATGAACAATTGATCTCGTTTGCCCAACTCAGCACCTGGACGGGTCATGAAGGCTCTTTACTTCCCTTGATCCTCATTCCCTCCTACCCATCTTTCTACCCATCTTTCTACCCGTCTTTCTACCCATCTTTCTACTCATCTTCCTATCCAACCTTCCTACCTCATGATTGTCTCCTTTATGTCCTATGCTTTTCAATTTCCTTTTACAGATGGGGTTTATCTTGTGCATCAGCGACTAATATTGTATTTGCCTCGGAAATTTTAAAGGGTGGTTATCTGCTTTTTCTCCCATTTTGGTTTCTTTTTATCCTTCTCTTCGACCCCTTATGTATTTCTAGCTTGCCTTTGCCCCCACGACGTATTATACTTGCATGTAGATAGAGGAGATGCCTCTCACGCTTTCACTTTGGTGCTTTCACTGTAGATTTCACTTCCTGTTAGTCTCTTCTCTATCTAAACGCTTATAGTTTCACTCTACTCTTGCTCTTGCTCTTGCTCCAGCGCTCTGGCTTTCCCTTTCTCTCTCCCTCTAACTTCCTCACCAAACCTTGACTACTCGCCATTACTTCTTAAACTCGCCCTCAAGCTTCCCAAGATGTCAAACGACACAACTACCACGATCCATGGCCGATCGTGGGTTGTGGATGTTCACACTGGTCCTCCAAGGCAAACAATCTGGATCACTTTTGTCATCGCTGTGATAATATTGGTGTGACCAGGACATATGGTAGTCTTGGGACTGTAGGCCACTTGGAGGAGGATTGTCTGTTTGCATGCCTCTTTGCCTGTTTGTTTTTTACGTTAGGCTGCAAGAAGCTGGATGTTTCCGGAGGAGTGCCCAAGAGTGGTTAAATGAGCCCTTCGACGCGATCTCGGTCTCTCCCACATTACTATGTGTCATGATCATCGGCACCTAATAGTTATTCTTACTATTATTCTAGTACTAGTACTAATAATTGAGAGGTTAACAAGCCTAAAGGTAAAGGAGGTAGATTACTGGGTAAGGATGTTAAATAAAGTTCTCGTTATTCACCTGAATTTGATTATAGAAAAGAGTCATGAAACGTACAGCTACTAAACTTAATGAGGCTATTCTATTATACAAAAATACTGTATAAGCAGTTGATAATACAATAGATGTACAGGTTAGTATACCTAAAATAGGCATTCTTTCAAATGCTCTCAATTTACTGATTAACTTGAGAACAAGTTTAGGATGATTTATATTGTGTCAACTTCATGTTTTAGTTTATTAGGGCCTAATTGAGACTTCTTCCTTCTTTTTAGCTTGCCTGTCGATTGGGCTCTTCGGGCTGGACTGCCTGGCTTGACTTTTATAGAAGTGACAAGCTTAATGAGGCAAAACAGTAAGATCCCTGTTTAATTCCATCTTCACCTCGATGCTGATTTGGCTATAGCCCACAGAAAATATAGTATCTGGCACAGTGAAGGAGTTACTGGCTCGTACGATCGAAAATGTACTTACAGGAGGAGCGCTGCTGGTACCGAGGGTGTACAGCCGGACCAAAGAGATATTGCAAATGGGCTCCAATATTTTATTCTCTTACTGCTTCCAAATCTCGTCTTGTGTATTTCTTTCTATAAACTTCTCTCTAGATATCTTTTGATTCCATGTTCTAAGGTATCTTAAAGTCTTTTTCAAAACTCCCGGACAGATAGTTATTGCCACCTAATTAGGCCCACTTACAATATCTTCTTCGTCCTGCTGTATTTACTCTTAATACAATATTAGAGCATGCTATGTTCGCATTCGATGAAGATTACTCGCGCATACTACAAAGACCAGGAAACCGAAGAGCAGACAGTCTTAAGTCATTAGTTCATAAAACGAGCCTAGAAAAACAGCCAAGCCGCGAAGTCACACCACCTTATTCATTCTCCAACGCTTTGCCACAACATCGGATCAAGCCACAAAAGCACAAGCCTCGAGTGAAAAGATGATAATACCGTTTGAGAGCGCGGGGAACAGAGGCAATGGATACTTCAAGCAAGAGATGAAAGCTCCAGATAAAAAATACAAACACCGTGATCGCGCCCCGAGGAAAAACAACCTGTTGATGCATCCCAGGCGCCAAAGATATCCGCCAAACAGTCCGCAGAGCGAGGACAAATATGTCGAACGGAAAAGTGAAAGAAAAGATCAGACACCGAAAGAAGGGGGGGGAAAGGGCTGGGTAAATGAAACCCCGGAGAACAGAATTAGATACACGTAAAAGAAGAAAAGGCGAGCGGCGTCAGTCAAAGCTAAACGACCGCAGGCAAAGTGTGAAAAAAAAGACAATGAGGGATCGAAACTCAAGAATTGAGATTGAAATGCTCGCTGAAAGGTCTTCAGAAGCAGATTGACTCTTGATTCTTGCTCCAACACGTCCGACGTGTTCTAGCCATATCATACTTAAGCACCAGTGCGGCTTTTCGGCTTGGAGAGCATGTTCAAACGACTCAGACTGAGTACGCCACGAGACTTTTGCTTCGCACTGGCAGTTGCACTGGTAGGAGTGCTCAAGCGTCCAGAGATGGAGCGGCTGGGAGTTTTGATAGGGCGGTTCTTGACAGGGCTGGTAGTGGGAGGGTTCGCCTTCAAGCGCTTGATGCCACGCTCCTCAGTCCGCGCATCAGCCGGTGGCACATTTTCGCTATCAGCGTTCGACTCGTCGTCAACTTCATCCCGATGCCTCTTCTTGTTGCCGATTCCATGGGCAATGCCGTGGGCCACAACCGGAAGTTCAGGATAACCAGGCCCCTTCTCATCTGCATCGGACTTGCGGACGTGGCGAATGCTGGGTGATCTGGGCGGAGAAGGGTGTGGTTTCGTCGAAGCGGCGTTATGCTCGGGAGTGAGGGCAGGGAGGGTAGGGTAAACGACCTCAGACATGTTGGAGCGAGAGGGAGTGGTAGGGATCTTGGACCGAGAAGGCGAATGGGAAAGCTCGTAGCGCGACTTGACGCTTGGAGTGAACTCGACATGCTTCTTGGGAGATGGGGTCGGTGCCGAGTCGGTCAATTCACCGTTGGCCAGGAGCAAATCCGGGTTGAAGTCGGGAGCAGCTATGTGAGTGCCAGAAGCGATCTTGCTTGGATCACAAGAAAACAAAGGCTGGCGTCTGCGCAGGATAGACTTGAGGTTGCTGAAGCTGGGAAAGTTGCCCTTGATCCTCGGGTTGAAATCAGTTTGCGGAGTTCGGGGAGACGTCACAGCCTTGGTAGAAGGAGACCGTGCCAATGAGGGTATCAACGTTGTCTTGGGGGCCTTGATGCTGGTCGACGTGGAGCGTGCCATGGATGCTCTAGTCGGGGTCATGAGGGAACTGCGGATAGCTGCGCGGGGACGAGGGCCAGCAGGCTTCCGAGCGGGAAGCTTCGAGGGTTGAGGACGACTGGTCGATGTGTCTTCGGAAGAGTTGTGCTTGGCACGCTTGGTGGTAGCAGAAGGTGAGGTTGAGAAGGCAGAGGACTTCGATGGAGATCGCGGAAGGGATGAAGCCGGAGCGTCAGGTTCGTCAAGCTGGGCCTTGGACTTGGTTCGCTTCAGAGATTTGGTAGTGGTGACGGGCTGGAAGCGACCAGGCGTGGCCCGGAAAGAAGAGGCATGACCGGCAATGGAATCCATCTTCTTGAACTCGGCCATATGCACATCACTGAACCGGCTCGCCTTGCCTTTGGGCATCGCAATCTTCCGGTCCCCATGGCTCTGCCCAGATTGATGACTCCCCTCGCTCTGCTTAGATTTGTCGAAAATAATCTGCGACTTGATGCGTGTGACTTCGCCTCGAACACTCTCCATAAGCCTCTTGGCTTCCTCGCTAAGTTCAGAGTCCTGGCCAAACTTGAACTCGTAACCAGGAGTGCCAAACTGGGAGGGAGCTGGAGAAGCCTTGGACTTTGAAGGAGTGTTGTCAAGCGCACCAATTGGGTTACCATTGGCGTCTTTCTTGATTGGGTTGAAGCCAAGGATCAGACCGGAGTCGGCCTGTTTAGTTGTGCTCTGCTGTGCTTTGCTGGGGTGCATCTCCGAGCGAGATGGACAAGCAGCAGAGCCGGTGGTAGGAGTACGTGCCTCAGCCATCTTCGCGGCGGTGATTGGAGTCTTCTGGTGAGTCTTCTTGGTCATGGGGGTGTGGACGGTAGGGTAAACATCGCGGGGCATCTCGTCGCGTTCCTCGAGAGACGTAAGACGAGAAATCGAATCGGGTTGAAGGGAATTCTCCTGTGTCTGATATCAGGTGGTGTTAGAGGAAATTGACACCAACCACGGTCACGTCTCGGACCCCTTTTATCACGGGCGTTGCTGGGCTACTTACCTCAGGTTGAGCGCTGACGCTACGAAGGCGAGCGGAGCGGCGAACCGCCATTGTTGAAAATGAGATGTAAGACGGAATGAATTGCGAGGGAGTAGGTGGTAGGAAGGTCTGTCGAGTCGAGTCGAGTCGAAGGGAGGAGTCGTCGAGGTGATGCGGTGATTTGATGTTTGGGCGTTGGAACGTAAACAAACGCGCTTGACGTCACATGACTAATCCGACATATGGCCCAATTTTGACTTGGCAACCTTCGCTTTAGTAATTCGCTATTAAGCTGCTATTGAATCGAATAGTGAGGTACTCTAGAATTGAGCTTGTTTACATTAAGCATTTTTCAGGACGTAGATCACCGTTGCACCCCCCGACAAGAGCCTCTTTATGGCCGCAACCCAGGATTAGTTAGATTCAAATACTTTGCTGACGCGGCCCACACCCCGCCATATTTCCTTTCTTCTATCTCCAAACCATCTTTTTGTCGTGGCTATCGTCTAAACTCCGAAGAGATGGAGCCCGATAAGCCTTACATCTACCCTCTACAGGGCCAACATACACATACCTTCATCATGTTACATGGACGTGGGGGCAACGGCGCCGAGTTTTGCGAGCAGCTGTTTTGGTCTGTCACCTCGCAGATGAAGAATTTACCCGACAGCTTTCCCAACTTCCGCTGGGTATTTCCAAGCTCAGACATTCGTTTCAGCACTATGTCTCAAGAGCAAGAGCAGTCCTGGTTTGATGTCTACTCTCTAACGGACCCCGACACACAACCAGAACTCCAAGTGGAAGGCCTTAGAGAGTCCGTCTTGAAGATCCTAGATATCCTGAATGATGAAATAGAGCTCGTTGGTGATCCAAGACGCGTCTTTCTCGGAGGCATCAGCCAGGGGATGGCGACTGCATTGTGGACCTTCCTTTGCGCACCAGGCCGCATCAAAGGACCTCTCGGGGGAGTTGTAGGATTCTGTGGCTGGCTGCCTTTTGCTGAACCGGCAGAGACTTTGATTCAACGCCAGCAAGCAGAGAAATTGCTTCGGCAATACTCGATCAGCGGCACTACGCTTTTGAGTGAATCTAGTAGGCTTGACAAGCGACTCCAGCTATCGAAGCTATTCCTCGACACCATTGCCGGTCCCGACGTCCATCAAGTTACTGAAGATACTGACATTTCCGTGCTATCGACGCCAGTATTCCTGAGCCATGGCGCAGATGACCGACGCGTGTCTGTCAGATTGTTTCGCCGGGCACTACACATTCTACAGGATGTCGGCATATCTGCGGAATGGCAAGAATTCGCCGGCGCAGAGGCAGGAGGCCACTGGATAAAGCAGCCGGAGGGAATAGAACAGATCGTTGAGTTCATTCAGCGGCAGCTCTGACTTGCACAAAAACACGGCTGTCACGTAACCTCACCGTCGCTCTATCGGTGGCACATTGGGATCATTGGGGTCGTCGAAGTCTGAGTGGAGATTGGGGCGAGCGAAAAAGTGGGCCTTGGTAGAAGCTTGTTGGGTGATCAGTGCACGTACAGTAGGAGAACAACCGGTGAGAGGAGGCTTTATGTAACTCTCGACTTTCGCTGACTACGAGGGTGGTGATGGGAAGATATTGTAAGTGGGTCTAATGAGGCGGTCATAGCTATCTGTCCGGGAGGTTTAAAAAAGACGTTTAGAAAGGTACCTTGGAAAATGGAATCAAAAGATATCTAGAAAGACGTCTAAAAAAATTCAGGAGGAGATTTAGAAGGACTAAGAGAATAAAGTATTGAGGCCCATTTGTAACATCTCCTTGGCCCAGCTGTATACCAAATTACTACACAAAACACAAAGGAGATGGGTCACTCAGTATAACCCCTGTCTAGGCGGGAAGTTACCGCTCCATGGAGCATCTAAAACTGCCCCCTTCCCCCCCCCCAACTCTACACATGTTTTAGCGTAGCCGCTTGTGATCATAGTGGCTACAGGGTTACATTCAGTACTGTATATGGCTCAGGCGCGACCGAGGACTCTGTGCGGCAATTTGATTGTCTTACTATTGCGTGTACGAGTGACTTGACTTTTTACAGCATCCGTTTTCCACTCCACGCTATTAGTACTCAGCCACTTTTCGCTTCGTCCGTTAACCAATGCAACGTTAGCCGAGATTATTGAAGCGACGAAGGCCTGTCGCTGGACTATCCCCTGTTTTCGTAGCATTACCCTCCGCTAGCACACCAGCTATGCGCATGTTCATCTGATCCGGTATTGATGTGCTGTAGATGCTGTCCGTCTTATATTCGCTTGCGCCCATCCCGCTTGGCTTTCTTAGTCAATTCCCAGACCAAAAAAGCCTGTCCAAAGCTTAGCATTTTGTCTCCGATCTTCGATATCTTGCCATCCAAAACATGCGATGGGATTCAATCCTCTGGCTTTTGACTTTAGCCCTTACTGTCGTTTCGGCAAAGGTACCACCAATTTAGAATCCTTCGTTTCCATTTTATCCGCTGAATGTTACGGGGCTTGGTCCTCTCTACGCGTGGGTTGGATCGTACGTTCAACATATGTTTCTCTCAGTTCCAAAAAATCTGATCGTTCTAGGTACTTTAATGCGACGGCGCAAATTGAACTAATTCCCGAGGTCGGATGGAAATATCTCAATGACACACTATGTCCGAGCCTGAGAAACAAGACATTCACAGCGTCCTTCCCATCAGCTCTTGCCATCACCGAGCGCGGACAGTACAATGTTGGCGCCAATCCTGTGAATATATATCTCACCTTTTGGGATCCTGGCTTCGACTTTTCTACTCTTGGGCGGATATTTTCCCGCAGGAATAAATGGTATCTGAGACTTGATGTATACGTCTAACCCATCTTTGGACGGTACATTGGAATCATCACCGCAAGTGCTTCAGTACCTTTTCTCCGAAAGGATGAGACATTCGCTGACTCTGATTATTAGAATCGTATACTCGTTTTCAAATGACACCGTGATTACAGAAGGAATGGTCTGGAATAGCACTTACGTTGCTGACATTTTCAATTTTTGCTCTCATCGACTTCAAAGGCTCCATACAATCTCACCGCCGACAATGGGGGGCTTTTTCTGGATCGGGAACCAGTTTCGTTCAATGCAAATATGGACTCGTGCAGTAGCCTCGAAAGGAATGAGTACTGGATCAACCCTGCCAGCATAACCCCGTCGGGCATTCCTGAGGGGGATTGGACGTATCCATCCGTCAACCTGAATTTCGACAGCAGAACGGCAAACATCACTGTGGATGGATATTTTCTCGGAAATTCTTACCTGCGGGCGAATATAACTGGAGGCAAGCCAACACTGGGGCCGACCTCTGTTAATGGCAAGATCAGGTTGTCATTCAATGGTGTTATTGATACCTACCATTCAGATATACTGGTCAACAACAGCGCCACACCAAAATGGATCAGAACTGTCAGATTTGGGAATAATTCCTTGAAGAACGGTTATGGAAACACGGCCCCTAAAAAGCTTCACTCTGCCATGGGCGCGTGGATTATTTCGTATATCTCGCTTTCCTGTATTAAAGAGCTTGTGAATTTGAGACCCTTTATCAGATCATTTTTCTTTACCCACCAGCACATGAATCTGTCAAACGTTGGTCATTACTTCCCAAGCCGCCAACCTGGCGGTGCAAAATCCAAAGAGCCCGGCAAGCATGTCCTCATGACATTTACGACCACGTCACCCTCGATTCTGATGATGATCCACTGAATCCCTATATTAAAAAGTGTCAAAGATCGAGTTTTAGAAAGCACGAAGAGATTGTTCTCTCGATTTCAAACCTATTGATGCACCTTTAATCAAAGTCGAGTCTATACATTTTTCATCGAGGATAAGGACTCGGCTTCTTAATATCGAATGATAAAACGCGGGAAAAGCATCGCATGTACGGCAGAGCCAGTCCTCGGACTCTATTGTGCGCCAATTCTAGATGACGTGTATTTTGCCTAATAGATACAAAACCCGCAGGTTCCGGCACCCAAAACAAAACCGAGTGACATTTCCCCTCTATTTCACTACCCCTAACCTCCTTATCTTATTCAAAATGAGTTCACTTGCGGCAAAAACACGCAAGAGGAAAACGCCCTATAAAAGACGACTTCGATAAGCAGGCTCCAGCGGCATCGATACCGTTCAAGATGCCGAAATCCAGATATGTTAAGTAAATGGGGCAGCCTTCTCTCCATCGAGAGACATCTATGCGAAGTCGCTCAGTATGAGATAGCCATCGCGGAAATGTTCCTGAAAGCCCACGAAAAAAAAGCTAAGGGCTTATGCGATCAAGCAAGACAGCTAAAGTTACACGACCGGATTAGGGTGCTAGGCAAAGGTCTGAAATTTCTGAACAGACTATATTGGCTCCAGGAGAGGCTATGGTGGGAGCATAGGAACAAGTTGCCCCCGGATACCTTTACGAGAGGGTTTGAACTCTGGCGCTCACACCCAAAATGGTATCTACAGTGCTCTTCGCGAGGACTGTGCCGGACGGGGTGGGTGCTGTGGTCATGACTGCGGATGCTGTCTCCGTCGGCCGACGAGACCAGACAGAGTTCTCAGCGTTGGCCATTGCACCACTGTGTGTGGGTGTTGCGCTCGAGCGCGCGGCTTCGAGCTGAACGCAGAGGAAAGCAACGGGCTTCATGCTAGTTTTCCACTTACGTCGTGCGATAATACAAGCGACCAAACGAAAATGTCTCAACATACCCGCCGAATAATACTGGTTTCGACATTAGGAATCGAAGAAGAGTCAACTAAAACCCCATTTGAGCTCATCGACCAACGAGTATCCTTCAGCCAGCCTGGTACCTGTCTGGCTGCGGATCCACCGAGATATCAGGAAACCTAACATAAGGTCTGTCCTTTGCTGCTCTAAAAAGCCACTATGTTATCAAAAAAAAGGGTGCTTTTGTCTTCGTTGCTCAAGGTGAAAGCCTCGGAATGATTACGGAACCAACAAAGCTATCTAAGTGTCATTGCAATAGGCAGTGGTGCTTAACATCCTCTGTATATTACTGCCATACGTTTTCTCGCTACATATTCGGTCGCACAAATAGGCGGTCTATTCACTAGATGAGTTTTGGAACATAAGTCTGCTCTCACTATGGCTATCTAAGGCGCATGTAGCCTCGCTTTATCACTATATACTTGGACACTAGATTATGGGACTGATAGCATGCCAATAAATTGATTAGCCCCTTCGGCGGGACTGATCCAACTGACGCGTCCATCAGTGTATATCTCCACCTTAGGCTTGTGTTCATTCAGAATTCCGATATCATCCAGTATTCCTGCCCGGAGGATTATTGTCTCGTCAGGAGTTCCGTTAGACTTCATTTTCAGCCCATAGAGCGGCGTTCCTACGGGTATCGTCAGTTAATGCCTTATCAAACTCAGTTTTATAGTACACACCACAATCTGAACAGAAGTAGTTCTTAATATAATTTCCACTGTCCGATGTTTTTGCCACTTCTTTGGGACTTCCAGTGATTTTCAGGTCGGCACTTTTGACGACAAAATTATACGTATTCAGTGCGCCGGTAAGTTTGCGACAGTCGAAACAGTGGCAAAGTGCCTATTGAAAGAAAGGATAATGTTAAGTTGAAAACAATCCGTATCTCGGACATACACTAACCGATGTTATAGGCTGGCCACTATATTGGACCCGAACCTTTCCGCAAAAACAGCCGCCAACAGCCATTTTCAAAGAGCAAGTGTCTGGTGCTATGATACTATAAAAAAGAAAGGGGCTAATGGAGAGAAATCAAAAGGTGTCTTGTATGAAGTCGGTCCGGGCGAACTTTTGCCCGGAGCACACCGTCAGGACTGAGTTTGTTGGCCCCAACATAAGAGTGTTGGGTGTAGACATTCAGCCAGAATTTTGGCGGGGTAGGGGGCTATGATTGCTTCTAACTTGTATCAAGTTCTTGTTGGCATTGTTAAACGCTTGGTTACTGCACTTAGCTGCGCTAGGTATTTGAGTTGTGGTGTGTCACTCATTTTGTATCTTATCACAAACAGAGTGTAGCTTTGCCGGAAGTGGATAGTCTCGTTGCTATCATGTACCCAAGACTCTAGCCACTGTCGATCTAGTGATGATGCATAAGGGTGGATGCCAAGGGGTCTTGAGGTAGGAGGGTAAAGGAGTGTCGTGTAAAGTACGATATTATACGTAAAGCGGTCGTCCTGGGGTAAAAAAGGATAAGGATCTATTTTAGAAAAGGATTATTTACGCTTTAACTTATTACGGATTAGCATAGTTTCGGGTAGTGGCTGGGGAGTAATGTGTTTTTCGAATTCTACTGTAATACGCCTTGTTATGAACGGTCCACAGCCAGGAACCTTTTGGCAGACCCTTTAAAGAGACTTTTATGCTTTCTTCCAGCAGAGATGTCATAGCTAAGATGCAGATCATCTCACGCCCAAGTCCAAGTTGTTGCTACCCACGCCACCTTGAGCCCCATCACTTGACGAAGGCCGTGCTGATTACATAGTATATCTTATTCTGGCATTATTTGCAGCATACAAAGTTGGGATATCTATGTATCAAGGAAAGCTCACCAATATAGATACTGCCATTGTAAACCTCCGGTCCCACTACCAAAATCACAGACAAACCAAGGAAAAACACAAGTGTAACAACCCAACTAGACAAGCCCTAATCCCCACAGGGGACAAAGTTATTTCCTAGGTTCTCCTGTTCCACTCGCTCAGCGACTCGTTGTCGGAGAAGGAGCAGATCCTTCCGGGAAACTCATCGATCTCAGTTTGAAACCTTGTCCGTACCGTTGTTTGAATTCTGCCGTCATTTCGCCCTCCACTTCATCACGCTGATCCACATTGCTATGGTCTGTCGAAGGAGGTTCCATCCCTCTAAGGTGGCTCATGTTGATGGTTGCAATGTCTCTCGACAGCTGCTGGACGGAGGCATCGCTCACGTAGCCTCCCACTTGTCTCGATCTCCAACCAAGAGCTCGGTTTTTGCCGTGCAGGATCTTACCATTTGTGGATACCATAAATTGCAAGGCATCACCGGTACCATAGTTTTCGATCACACTGACATTCTCTTTCAGATGATTATCCGCCCTGGAGCAGATATCCAAGCATTGTCGTGCAGTATTCCACTCATCCTGTAGCCTTGCCAAATCTTCTTCGTCTTTTTCAGAGGAAATTGTTGTCTTTGATTGCGAGAGCAGCCGTTTCATGACGTCCTGCATATGTTTCTCTAGCTTACGAGCTGTCAGCGCTAAGCTGTTTTTGCATTCTTGCAAGCCTTCGTTGGTGACGCTTTCGGGCGAAGTGTTTAGACCATCTGAGCCATGGGAGGCATCACCCCGGTCCGATATCAACTGAATCTGGTCAATATGATCGGATAGCTGGGCACAGATCTGTAAACATTTTTCTGTACTCAAGCGCTCATCTCTCATGGATTGTAGTTCCGCTGCGTCCGGTCCGGATTGCGCCACGCTTTTCTCAACGATGCACTCCAATTTGCCATCTAGAACTTCTAAACGAGCTTCAAGATCATCTTTGGCGTCCTGGATAAGCCGCTTATAATCTTCTAGGCTTTCAGAGTTGACAGAGGTTTGGCGACTGCTTAGCGTCAGCCACCATGAATTTGAACAAATGGAAAGCCCAGAGTCACGTCAGGATCTAGCAAAGATATTGGCACTTACAGGTTTGCATCGGTGAGAGCAATGTTGATTGTTGCTTTATACCCAGCCAGCAATCTTCGAAAACCATCTATGTCGTCACCCATGTACTTCAGCCTGGCCCAGTCCCGAAAATTCGTCCGGTTTTGGTCTGACCGCGACGAGCATTTAAGGATCTCCTGTTGGAACTCCTTGCAGGCGCTACCACAGCGTAGAAGAGGGAGATCCAGCGCCGATAGGTCAATATCAGTGCTTGCCTTGACAAACTCGGCAAGTGGACCAAGCACAGCACTCAGGGCTTCAACTTCTTCAAGAAGATCACGTACGCGTTTCGGATGGGAACGAAAACTATTGACCGTTTCGTGCAACGAGATGCTGCACTGGAAGGCGAAGGTGGCTAGCGCTAGCAACCCGGAGGCCAGGCCTATTGGTTCGGCCATGACTTTGATCACCCGTATACGAGTGGGAGATTGATGGGTGAAAGAGGCCTTTATAGTCGGCCAAAGCCACCTTTTAACGGCTCGACGGCGCAATGGGAATCGCCAACAAGGCCAGGTTGCAAGCGATGGGCTGCTCCACTGGCCGCTATCCCGAAGATGAATGCCACAAGGTTGGTGGGGGTGGGGGCCGGCGGCTAGCTGTTTGGCTGACCCCGTCCATGTGCAATGACTAAGCCTCAGGGTGTCGCCATAAAATTCAAGAGAACTTCCTTGACGGTCGTTGTAATTGGCCTCTTGTACGCGCCCTTCCTGCTGAGTAGTACTAATTTGAGACGGGCATCAAAGCGCCTGCTGTTCGCGCGCGCGTCCGAGGCGCTTTCCTGCCGTGCAAATGGTATCCTGGATAGTAGGTGTGCGGCGGTCTCCAAGCGAGTGAAACTCGCGGCGCATAATTCTAGGTCTCATTACTTCGTCGATCTTCCTTCGCACCTGCTTGGTTGGATACGTGATGCGCGGCAGAGGTGATACACGTAAACCACGTCACAAAAAGTCGCACGGACGTCGGTTGCAGATGATCGGTCCACAATACACACCAATGATCGGTCCGCAATACGCGCCTGCCGTGGAAAGCATTTAGGGCCGCGCGCGAATGCCTACGCATACACCCTTTTTTCGTTCCTCTCACTCTTCGCGCTGGCTCACCTCTGGCTCACCTACATATTAATCACTGTCTGCTCATCGTATTGAACAATACAAGCATTTTCCTTTCCAAATGGCCGAGGTTATTGGTATCAGCTCGGGCGTCGCTGGCTTGTTGGCCTTTGCCCTCGAATCGAGTCGCACCTTGTTCAGCACTGTTCAAAGTCTTCGCAACCGGGAAAAGGCTATTCGGGACCTTCGAGAAGCTCTCCAAGATCTTGAGGAGGTGCTGAAAATTCTCCAGGAGTCGATCAATACCTCCCCGTTTCTGAACACCGGGATAATTGAACGACCTCTTGATCGATGTTGCAAAGCATGCAACGATTTCAATACACTGATTATGAAGTGTTCTGAACGCTCAACCGACGATCATTTCAGCATCCGTGATTGGGCTAAATTGCGCTACATGGGCGAAGACGTTACTGGCTTTCAAAACATGCTTTGCGGCTACAAATCTACAATCACGATCGCCCTTGCTTATTCGAATGTGTACGTTCACCTCATTTCTTTGCGAGATCTTTCTGACTTCTCCCAGCCATCTGACCAGAGCGACAAAGAGTGTCATGCACGAATACAAGGAACTAATTGAAAATACCAAATCCGACCTCAGGCTGCATTTGCAGTCCATCGAGGACAGAGTGAAATCATTGTCCTCCGCAAATGAAGTCGATGTGGGATTTGATCTTATCGAAGTTCAGAAAATGAAGGAAGAACTAGAAAGCACACAGCACGGCCTGGAGATTTGCGCGCAATTTTCTGCATACATAGAGGAGACAAGGTCCACCTCTTTGCAAAAAATGACTCAAGGTTCAGCCATATCCGAACGAGAAGCATCACCTCCAGAATACAACATGCCTTGGTTGATTATCGCTGAAGCCTTGAGTTCCGCCGAAAAAGAAATCGTCAGTTCGAGACTGCGACTGCTTCAATATCGTCGCGCACACGGAAGCCATCCTTGGTTCGCACAACACCGTGGATTGTTACCAGGAAATGAACAGACCAGCGAACAAAGTGATATCACGGAAGAGGCCCAAAACATTAAAGAGTCTTTGAATTTCTTCAATCGGGTATCCGAAGAAACCACCGAGGGTCGAATGAACTATTTTGAGGATGTATCTACAGGTGATAAGAGCAAACAAATCATTGTGACGACGCTCAAAGATTTGATCTCGGCGCGACGGATCACCTCGGGATCTGGCTCATTGCAAATATTAGGACAACTCTCCGAAGAGTCCCTGAACAACATAGTTCGAAACCAAGATGACATCCGTGAATAGTGAATTTAGGCTTAGGGATGGTCGGTTTAGTATAATGTATACTTGAAGAACATTGGCCAATTCAGGGTTCTTTCTGCTTTTAATCCTATCTTTCTGTTTGAGGACAGCGAACGGAAGCGGCAGAGTTGTAACACATGTATGGCAGTTTCTTGTAAAATACAGAGGGGCCTGGGGAACGGAACACACTGGGGATCGGGATCGACCACCATTCCTCTTTTGGATTAGCATGATTTGAGTCAGGGTTTGTGGATTGATGCGAAACATTGTTGTGGTAAAATTAACTTCGAATATTACTGTACTCCATGTTCTCATGTCCTCGTTTTATTTGGCGAGTCAATACTAAGCGGGGCGGGTTGATCGGCCGAAACTGATAGGGAGCCCGCCGCAGAACCGCGTCAAGATGATGCCACGAGACCAGGTCTGCGGAGCGAATCAGGTGATAAATCTCCAGTGGCGTATCTGCTACTCCGTGGCTTCCGTGGATTTGAATCACAATCATAGCTATTTGTGGCCAGGAAGCACCCGGCTAGAGATCCTATCGACCCGAAAGATGTGCGGGGTAAACGGGAAGGAAAGCCGAGCCGATCACCTGAGATCTATGAGGTAAAGATAAGGCTGGAAACAGTCCGTCATTGCGTCTCCCTTTCCAGAATCGAGTTTAATTGCCTCTTTCGTCCCTCGCAATGTCGTCCATTCAAACTAAGGCGATAGGGGTACAAAAGCGGCAGAAGAACCCGAATCGTTGCAAGCCGAAATCCAAAGGCGGCTGCCAAAGGTGCAAGCAGCGGAGAGTAAGTTGAGGTGAACCATATACAGCTGTTGCTGCTAATACCCCACCTATGTCATTTTTTACTGACTCGTTCCAAGCGTAGATGTGATGAGACAAGACCCAGTTGTCAAGAATGCGTGAGAAAGGGTTTTGAATGCCCTGGGTATCAGAAAAAGCCGCTCCAGTGGCGATACGTTTTCCACGAAAGCGAGGAAGAGGCTTCACCAGAAAAGGAGACCATTTCTTTTGTAAAGCCGCAGCCTGATATCCAAGTACGGGAAGAAGATCAGGTTGAGCATGCACAGGAGCTGCAAGACCTCTGGGATGAGGCCAACTCAACATTATTCAACCAATTACCGGGCTTCGATGCCTCGGTGAATATCTGGGAAAAGAACCAGACTGGATCAAATGAAACATCAATTGTGAAAGATGGTTCCCAATCAGACAGTCTGGCAATACTGCACCGTCGCCTGGCAAACCTCCCAATACCGTCCTTTCTCATCCACACGCCGGCCATCTTAGTACAATATTATTTTGACTACGTCTGCAAGTCATGGTCATCGTTTGATTCGCCACTAAACCCTTTCAGGATTATAGTCAGTCGCCTATGGAGCCGGAATGCGGCTATTTACTATGCGATTCAAAGCATGGCCGCGGCATCGCTAGCCAACGACTTCCCTGGGATGAGAGCGATCGGAATCCAAACGCAGCACCAGGCAATTGCGTGTCTTAGGAACAACCCGAGAGTAGGAATGCTACACCGGGACAATCAAGATGACGAGTTCTTCTTGGCTCTCCTCATGATCGGATGCACGACATCTTGGCACAACGCGGCTGATTTGGGGCTGGAATATCTGAAAGAGGCCAAAGACTATCTCGGACAACAGCAAAGTGTGTGCCAGAATCCCGAATCAACGCTTGCCAAGCAATATCCATTGTTCCAGCAGTGTCTTATGTATTGGAACATGTTAGCTGCCTTTGTGGCAGAGGACTCCTTGCTTCTGAATGGAGAGAGCGTCCTGGAGAGACCCGACTCGGAGACATCTGTCTATCTGGTAGATGGCCAGGCTCTCCCTCACCCATGGACCGGGCCGCTATCCAAAGCACTGAGCATATTTTCCCAGACTGCACGAGTAATCCGAGCCGCGCGGATCTCATCTCGAACGCGTGGGAATGACATCGATCTCACACTTTTCGACTTTGATTCCTTGGTTGAGGAGCTTGACCTACAAAAGGATGCTGGGCATCTCGAAGACGAGATTCTGTTCACTGGTCTCTCATCTTTCTGTGGGCCCGTTGACACCGGAGATACAGACACGCCTCCTGCTCATTTCATAACTCTGGCGGAGGCCTATCGGTGTGCCGCTCTCCTGCAAATCTACCACGTCTTTCCGGATATCCTAGAAGAGCGGTTCCGCCTAAATGAGAGACCCGGGATTGAGGTCCCGGCATTATTCCTACTCCTGTTCCCGAGGAGAGAGAACTCTCTAGTCCCATCCGTTGAAGAAGCCCGTCGCATCCTAGCACTACATGTTGTGTCACTCCTGGACCAACTCCCCTCAACATCAGGAACCAGGTGTATGCACCCCGTTCTTCTGGCTTGCATTTCTAGCGATCTTGTATTTTCCAATCAATCTTTGCTCGGCCCCGCTGCGAATGCGATTTCTTGCCTTAATACTCTGGATATTGAGATTGCACAGGCTAGACGGAAGATTAGCTTGTGGTTGTCAGAGCTCAGTTTGATTCTTCCGAAGCTACGATTGCAACGTGTAGCAAAGATTGTGCATGGGACTTGGGATCGGGCAGACTGTGGGATGGGCCAGTACTGGCTGGATACAATGATTGATCGGAACCTTGAGACTATTATGGGATGATGATAATCTTCATTGTTCAGTATGATGTACTTTCACGACTATAGAAATTGATGAGATCGATGTCTGTTCGCTCGCTTGTATTGCTTCTACTTTGGGAGATAACTTTCATATATAGAGAAAGATACTGCGAATCGATTGACCTGCTTGTAGGACAGCCATAACCCAGTTCCCCATACAACTCTGCCAGCTGCTCTCAATGACGAACTTCTAATGAATTCAATTATCGCGCTTTTGGGCGTGCATATGGGCGTGCATATGGTGCAGCGTGTTCCTCAGTTGGATCTCGACCCCCCTGACGAACGGTGCGTCAATTAAATGGTGTGTTTCACATTGAAACAGCTCTAATACAATGTCGGGTGATGCAGATTGACATCGCGGTGCGTGCACTGCAGTTCGAGGTCGATTAATCGGGAAGCTAGCCGTTCTCCTGTTTACGCTGTTCGCCCCTCCCAGAGCGACTCCGACCACGTGATCGGCATGCATGGCTCCGGTTTAGATAAAACTGGGTTGAAATCCGATGGCCTGTGTGGCTAGAGATCTGCGAGTCAAAGGAAAAGGAAAAAAGACTTATACATGTGACCTAGCTGTCGCCCTCCTCACCTGATCGAGGACATTGGACGATGTCTCCGGCCAATCCAAAGCAAATCGTTTCTATCGCGAAACGTCCGAAACTAGGACGCAGGGATTGGTGCGGATCAGTTCCCCCAAGCTTACTATGATTCAGAAGATGAATGGGCATCATCTAGATTTGATTGTGGGGGATGACCTTTCGCCCTACGAAGGCTGCATTAAGCGCCTAGAGCGCCATAAAAGAACCAATCATTTCAAAGCAATCTGAAAAAGCAAACAGCTCGGAGACACTTGCCAAACTGACGTTGGGAAAATTTGCCGAAGAGCATCACAGAATCACTTATAAAGAAGTCGAAGCGCAGGAACACGAGAAAAATACACATTCCACATCCGCCGCATAACTCCAATTCAGTCCCCTTTGGGCTTGAGTTGCTTCTTCTTAGAATAACTGTTGATTCGCAACGCTTGTTGACTCGATTATGCCTTTCTCGCGCTCAATCACCGTTGTCGGGTGCCATTCCGAAGGCGAGGTAGGCGATGTCATTACCGGGGGAGTTCTAGACGTTCCAGGCAATACGATGTACGACAAGCTCATTCACATTTCGACAAAAAAAGATCACATCCGCCAATTACTGCTGAATAAGCCCCGAGGCCGCGCTTCGATGAACACCAATCTTATTCTGCCGCCCTGTGACCCCCGCGCGGATGCCGGCTTCTTGATCATGGAAAGCGAGGAGTATGCACCCATGTCAGGATCAAACACAATCTGTACCACCACTGTATTATTGGAAACTGGAATGATCCCAATGAAAGAGCCCATCACCGAGGTGACTTTGGATACTGCTGCCGGCCTAGTCTCCGTGACTGCCGAGTGCGAAGCAGGAAAGTGCAAGAGCGTGGAGTTTAGCAATGTCCCTGCTTTTGTCCTTCAGCTCGATTTTAAAGTTATGGTCCCCGGACTCGGTGAAGTCTCGGTCGACATAGCATATGGCGGAATGATGTATGTTCTAGTCGAGGCGGCTTCGTTCGGGTTGGCAGTCAGCAATGAGCATTCTCGTCAACTAGTCGAGATTGGAGAGCGAATCAAACGGGCGGTGGAGATGGCTTATACTCCCATTCACCCCGAGAACCCCGGCATCAAGGGATTCAGTGTGATAGAATTTACCGAGCCTTTGCAAATCGAAGACGGCTGCATGGCCGCAAGTAATGCAGTGGTTGTCTCTCCTGGGCGATTTGATCGTAGCCCTTGCGGCACAGGAACATGTGCCCGACTGGCGGTGATGCATGCCCGAGGTGAAATCAAAGAGGGAGAGATCTTCAAGCACAGAAGCATCATTGGCACTGAATTTGTCAGTCGAATCCGTGGAATAACCGAAGTTGGCAACTATCCCGCTGTCCTACCCGCGGTGAAAGGTAGAGCTTGGATCACCAGTTTCAAGCAAGTGGTTCTTGATTCGACAGACCCCTTTCCCGAGGGCTTCAGAGTTGGCGACCAGTGGCACATGCCTCCGAACTAGGCTGCTCTGCTCTGCTTACTCTAGCTCTCTGGCTTTTCTTAAATACAGTATATTGTATCATTGATGGCAAAGAAACGGAGGAGGGAGGAGGGACAGAGCGAGGGGAAAGGCCACCGCGTGGAGTGTGTTTTTTTTTCAGAGTGTATATTGTGAGGGTTTAATAGCAGTCAAATAACAATATTTGATAATATGATCACTGCAGTTAAATCGTCACTACTACCAGAAAAATATCTCATCGTCTGTTAGGTCGGGGTCTTCTGTCTCAAGTAAAGATCCAAGTGAATGTTTCACTCGAGCTGCTGCCGACCTGCGATACTCGTCTGTCCCCGGATTCGGGCCTGCCTTTGTCTTGTTGGGATCCGCTTTTAGCCAAGGTACCTTTATTGTTCCTGGCGAGATGGCAACTGCTTCGCGGAGTCGAGTGATAGCTTCGTCATCATACCCCCCACCCAAAACGACAGCCTTGGCGAACCGAGAGTATCTCTTTGAGCCTAGATAACTTCTCCCATTGACTGGAGTGGAGCCAGATAGGATAAGAGGGAGGTCGCGTACACCTTCCTCAACGCTCATGACGAAATGTATCACTAATCATCCTGTGAGATACAAGGACGATGCCAGCCTTGGAATCATAAAGCTTCTGACAATGTAACATACCTTCATATTCAGGTTCCAACTCTTTGATCATAATAGAGCCAATTCTCTCGAGTCGGCCGCAGAGTACAATTGGATGGGGCATAATAGCTTTCCTAAACGGGAAGTCTCAACGCAGGATTGTACGTTCATAAAATATTTGTCTGGTTGCATTTATATCCATTAAAACAAAGTGGCAAATGACGTGCCTAATTAAAATTGCAAGTCATTAGCTTCGACGAGCATATGCAGAGAGTCTTTGTGACGCCTCGGAGCACCGCTCGGGATCTCAGTGACCGACTCTGATTTCTAAGCTGACCGCTAAAAAGGGCTGGCTGTGCGCATTTCGGTAAATGCAAATAAGGTTCGCTTTCTGGGTTCCAACACCGCTATATTTTGACCAATAACATGGCTCAGCAGGTTGTGAATCTCTTACATTATTGTGAGAGCTCGGAGATGTAGAAGTCCGAGTACCGACATCGGCCCCCGCGACTCCCGTCTGACTGAGAACGCAGCACAAGTATAAAAGCGTCGACTCGAATGTCTACCTACGAAGCTCTCGAGAGAAATGCGCGATCTCCATTAAGATCTGCACAACCTAACAACCTTTTGCCATGGCGTCCATCAATGCTATCATCTTCGGCCCCACGGGCCACGTCGGCTCTGCTGCTGCCCGCACTGCGCAGCAGCTCGGTGCAAAGGTGGCTCTTGCCTTGCGTGATCCTCAAAAGCCCATTCCAGGTCTCACATTAGAACAAGAGAAGGCAGGGGGCTTTGAAAGGGTACAGGCGGATCTCACCAAGCCCGAAACTATCGAGGCTGCTGTCCGCACGTCTGGAGCCAAACGCGCCTTCATATATCTTGCGCAGGGCTCGGCTGACCACATGAAACAAACTATCGAAACACTGAAGGCCTCGGGTATTGAGTTGGTTATCTTCCTGAGCAGCATGGCTGTGCAGGGTGATATCAGGAAGATCCAACCGAAAGATTTCATACCGTATGCCCACGCGCAGGTCGAGATTAGCCTTGACGAAGTCTTTGGCAGCGATGGCTATATTGCACTTCGGCCAGCATATTTTGCCACCAACGTGCAGTGGTGGACGGGCATGGTTCGCGACGGGGAGGTGAAAATTGCTTATCCGGATACCCAATTCGACTGGATCTCGCCTGAAGATATTGGCAAGGTGGCCGGAATGCTGCTTGTTAAAGGAATACAGGCGAGCGAAGGCGCCGAAGAGCGCAACGCCATCCCTCTTTGTGGACCAAAGCTAGTGTCCCAGAGAGATGCCGTTGGCATATTTGGCAAGGTGCTTGGCAAGGATATCAAGGTCACGGAGTTGGATGAGAAAGAGGGTGTGAAAAACATGGTGAATAATGGTGTACCGGAGTTTGTGGCACAGACACTGGTCAAGAATATGGGAGCGAAGGTCAGAGGCGAGGATGGGCCTGACCCGTTTCAAGGAGAGACGTACAAGAAGGCGGCCGCTAACCTTCAAAAATACGCCGGACGGGCCTCAAGCTTGGAGGAGTGGACCGAGGCAAACAAGGATATATTCGGTAGTTAAGTGGACGATAGCCTCCGGTAACCCAGCCACCTGGGGGGGGTATATCCCATTTTGCCAAGCAGAACAATGACTGGTGAGCGTTTGGTATTTTGAAGACGTCTTGAATTGCTTGACATCCTATGCAGTATTTGTGGCTCGTTAGAAAGCTCCATAATACAAAGAGATCTTTTGATCCAACATGTCAACAAAATAGCAGGCCTTTGTATTTTGTCATAAGAAATGCGTTCTCAGAAGCTGACGATCAACAGTGCAAGCAATTAGATTGAGAAACGAAAATAAGAATTATAGCATTCTTGCGCTAGATGCCGCCTTCGATAACTGTAAGCATCTTTACGGCTAAATGGCAAACATCTCCACCCACACTAGGTTACTTAATAAGACTCTCCGCACTGATACATGTCACCAACACAAAGGTCTGCCGGATTTACTAATCGAAGTATATAAATCTGCCTACCCAGGGCTAGTATAGGCAACGGGCGGGTGGATGTCTAAACCCGTCACCCCCAGGTCCCGATTTAAAGCCCAAAGGGATATGTTTCTTCTTTCCCAAGTGCGGTTGCAGGCTGGATAGTCTCCAGGGAGTTCACAGCCTCGGTTCGGTCGAAGAAGATGAAGCCATCAAACTGTTTATGAAGGAACGCCTGAGAGTAATGGGAGACCTTTTCAGTCTCAGGCCTGTAGATCACTCCAATAAAGCGCTCAAGACGGTTCTCCTTTAAAAGAGCATCACGCAGTGCGGGATCAAGACGATCACGTCGGAGATCAAGGAAAAAGCTTTCGACCCCTGTGTCATGGGCGAGTCTTTCCCAGCTATCATTTCTTGAAGGTCGAACTTTCATGACTTCCATGTCCTCGTCCCACTCGTGTGCTGCCGCAACAGTGCCTGTATGAGTACAGCACCCAAGGATTGAAACATTGCCAGGACCCAGGCGTTCTCGACAGAGCTGTCCGATGTTAACTTCATTGCGATGGGAACCCATGCTAGTGAAGCGAGCATCTCCAACGTGCGAGTTGTGCGCCCACACAACCGCCTTGTGTACAGGTGGCGGACGATGTTCTAGCAGACGCGCCAATGTTTCGAACATGTGTGTATCACGCAATGACCACGAGCTGGCGGAGCTCCAGTACATCGCTTTGTAATATTCCTCCGCGTCGCGCACGAGAAAGGCGTTCTGCTTGCTACTCAGGAATTCCTCGCCATCAAAAATGTCATTCTGCATATATTCCAGCCGATTGTTGAGAAGGTCTCGCAGAATCTGTATGACTTGAGCTTCACAGTCCCGCATTCCTTGTATATGTGCAAGGCCATAAGCCGCCGGATCCTCTGCCCACGGATTCAGACATCCGTATAGTTTCCGAGCTTCTTTGCCTGCTGCAGGGTCCACTCGGTCAAGATACTCGATGACTGCTCTCATTGATGAACCCATGCTGTAAAGATCCAAGCCATAGAAGCCCGCTCGTCTTTCCTCAGGCTTATCCTTGTTCCATTCGCGCATCCACTCCACTAGATCCTGCATCTCGCGGTTGCGCCACATCCAAGTCGGAAATCGTTTGAAGGGTTCATGTCTTTCCTGTCCACGTGCTACACCTCCAATGTTGGCTCTAGGGCCTGGTCTCATGCGCACATAGCGATCGACGGCTTCTGCATCTGGCCAATCGGCCTCCACGGCTACCATCGTGTAGCCGTGATACTCAATGAATCGTTTGGTGATCTCGGCACGTGCGCGGTAAAATTCAGATGTGCCATGACTTCCGTCACCGAGAAGGACGACTTGCTTTCCAGCGAAACTATCGAAGTGAGATGCGAAGCTCTTGTCGTCAATAGACGGGAGCGGCTCTATAGCGGTATTGAACAGCTCCTGGAGGTCTGCCATGGATGTTGCTAGTCGTCGAGAGCTGGCTCGAATATAAGTCATGAGATACTTTCTTAACATCGATTGAAATATTGATCCAGCATCTCACCTCGATGGCCGGTTCTATCGCTAATTTACCGTTTGGATATTCCGGCAAGTTGAACATGAGGTCACACCCGAGTAACTGACCAGTCATCATGATCTCACGCAAACCCGCCAAATTCTAACGTTCAGACCAAAATCAATCGTAATACACGGCAAGGAATGGTAGGAATGGTCTGGAATGTGGCTTGGAAAGTTCGATGAAGTATCTCCTGTGGGCTTTGCCACACTTTCATGTCCCACGATCTCTTCGTCTGACCAACACCTCTACTTTCCACGCGACAAATCTCGCGAAGATGGCCCTTCCAATTAGTAGTCCATCACCAAAGGTGGACCGCTTCCAGCAGGCGATGGAATCAGTCTACGGCAGATTCTGGAACATCAGAGACCCGGAGACCTGGTCCCCGCCACAGCGATCCGGCGGCCACCGCGGCCGATATCTATGGACAGACGCGTTCGGGGTGGTCAATCTATTGACAATGCACAAAGAATATACAATCGCAGGTGGAGGCTGTGAGGATACACGATACCTCTCACTAGCCCGCCGACTCATTGAAACCGTCCACGACGTATTGGGTCGCACAAGAGACGGTCGTTCACGACTACCAGGGGCAACGGACAGCCATCCCCTTGGAGGAGGATTACGAATCGGAAAAACCGACGCGCATGGACCAGACTGCGACGGCCAATACCATCATTACTTGACCATATGGATGTTTGCACTGAACCGTATGGCAATGGCATCGGGCGACATGGACTACAATCGCCAGGCCGTCGAGCTTGCACGTGCCATTCATCCCAAGTTCTTTGTTGATCGTTCTGCAGCACGGCCGCGAATGATCTGGAAGATGGCTACAGACCTATCCGCTCCGCTGGTTACATCTGAGGGCAACTTGGATCCGATCGATGGCTTTGTCGTGTTCCGGCTACTTCAAGCAACTGCTCTGGAGGCGGGTGACGGGGAAGTATTGACCGAAGAGATAGGAGATTACAGACGGGTCATGGATCGGAAGGGAGAGCATTTCGTTTCGAGTGACCCGCTGGATCTGGGCATGACGTTGTGGACGGCGCATTGGTTTTCCGACCGGGAAACTTGGGCTTCGAACCTTGCGACGAGATGCTTTGAGCACATATGTCAGTTTTCTGACCCGAGATGCACGGCCTGTGCTTCTCGGATTAGTAGGAACTACGATGCTAACATCCGTGACAGACAATCTTTTCGAGATAGATCAATATCTCAGCCGAAATATCAAGTTCCGCTTGGCCTTCCGCGAATTCGGCACCTCGCTGGGTCTTCAATGTCAGGCGGTACAGACCACGGAGAAGGAGCTAGCAGTTGATCTCAAAAATTGGGCTGATTCTATTATCGCGGCGTGGGACCCATACTTGGAACTTTCCATTTCCGAAGACCTGACGCCAGAGGACATGCGACCCATTACGCGTGTGATGTATTCATCCGCGTTGATTCCAGGTGGTAAGTTGGTTCCGATTGCCATCTGAGTTTATCTCTTCTTGCCGTCTGGATACTGACGATGATTTGCAGCTTTCTGCGCGGGATACTTGGGCCCGGAGCCTGAACCTATGGCGCAAAGATGATCCGAGAACATATAGTCTGTTTTTTACAGGGTCTATCATACGGATCGTAATGGAGGTAGTGCTGCCATAATGTCTTGTGTATGCAAAATCATCGTACAAAGTACTAGCAAGTGTCGAAGCGATGCAATCTATCATCGAATATATTCACAGGGAGAGAGGAGACTCATGCATGCTTGTCTATACTCCCGGGATGCCAACGATATCTTTCCACGGGGGAAGTCTTCTGGGGAGAATGTAAATGACGTATACCGTGCCCAAAGCAACGGCCAAACCAGACCACTGAGGGAGCAAAAAAAGTTAGCCACCGAGCATTAAAACGAGACCGCACAAATTGCAGAAGGTCCGGGAAGTCAAAATACCTTTTCTAACCAGGTGTGGAACCAGATAGCTGTCATAAAGAGCATCCACCAGCCCAAAACCACCACACCCCAGACCAAGCGCATCGACCACGTCCTCCCCATTCCAGAAGCGGCATCCTGGTCGCCGGGTGACGATGCATTAGGGTCACTTGCCTTGCGCTCACGACCCTCGCCCTCGCGCGCGGTGCTGAGAGACGAAGCGACGGCACCAGCACCGACCGCCTCGAAAGCCAGCAGTGCCGTAGCCAGGACCAGCATGAACACATGCCCACTGATATCGTGTCCTCCCTGCCACGCACCGCCCGCAGCTTTGCAGGCAGCAGCCGTAAACAGCGTCTCAGGCTGAACAGAGGAGCTTCCCGAGCCCGCATTTGCAACCTTGTTCAAGGCCTGCTCACATTTCCCGCCCGTGACCACAAAGCTGCGATCAATAATGGCCGGGCCAAAAAACCATTGCGTCATCAAATACCACACGCTCGTGGCAAGGCACCAGCGAAGGAAGGCTTGAAGGGAACGGCGGAAGCGTGTTTCCTGTTGTGCTTGCGAAGCGGAGGAGAGGTTGTATGCTGGTTGGAAAATGATTAAGGATGCGAAAGCGACGGTCAACCATAACCAGCCGATCTTCACGAAGTAGAGGTTGAAGATGTTATTCTTTCGCGCAAAGTAGTTGACTGGGCTCTCGGAGAGATGAAGGTCGGCAGCGAGGGAGGGAGCTAAAGGTGCGGACGGTTCGGACGAAGAGCTCCTGGTCGCGCGAGCGACAGGCGAAATGACTGAGAACAGAGACCCCAGTAGCAAAGTCACTGGGTATACCAGGAGAACGACCGGTGAGGGAGCAGGTCGGGCGGGCGCGGACATTGTTGTGGGCCTGAGAGACCGGAGTCGTACAGGGTTGCTGCAATCGGTTATGTATTTGTTCGGGGAGTAGAATTGCGGACGCCAGAAGAGATCAGCTGAAGAGCATGAGCGGTCACAATTGGAAAGATTGGAGTGGAGTAAACTGGGAAGTTGAAGGTCATGACAGTTGGAGGAATGACATCAACTTTCACCTGCCGAGGCTCCAATTAGGCCTTAGGCCTCAGGCATCGAATTAATTCCCCGGCCAGTCACGAAAAGCAACAGGTAAACTACCTAGGCAAAGTAGAGTCCTTGAGCAAGAATACAAGGTATTCTTTGTTAGATACTGGCCATTGACAGAAACAATGCAACTATATGAAATATCGAAACCATCCTTGCTACCGACCGGGGATGTGTGAGAAGCCTTTGAACCAGGTATAGGTCTTGACAAGATCGAAGCTACCCTAAGGTACATTCCTCATCTTCAAGTACTGTAATTCATCTTCAAAAAGTGGGGTCTTCAGCATTCTCCGTCGCGTTAGGTTAGCAAAGCTCCAAGGCCTTCACTTTGACAGTGAAATGCCCCTATCAGTCCTACGGTTACTTGGTCTTGAAACTGCCGGGGAAACTTAAGTAGAGACTAGATCATTCCAGAGACTTTCCAGGCCCAGGCTAGTCTCGTCATCTTACGGGCTTGGTGGGCCACGGAGATTATACAAGAAACCTAGGCCCGAAACAGAAAGAGACGATCGTTGCATGCGTTCCCGTTCCCGCCCCAACAGCATTAAACGGCGTTCCAAATGGTGAAACATACTTGCAAGTCTCGCCCAGATCAATATCTTGACGAACCATCTCAGCAGTAGCTTGACGAACAGGGACCGCTCACAAGTGACCGGACTCGGTATGCAATAAATAATCACGTGACTATTCACGGGCCGTCAGACACGAGCAGTCAGATTCCTGTACGAAGGACATAAACTAGTGCAAGGCGGTCATCTCACAACCACATGTGTTCTGGGGGAGGAATAGCGTGTTTCCGCGGCATACTGAGCCACGAGTGTCAACTCCGGCGGCTGCGAATGAGCCCTCGACTATCTTTGGGGTGATCGGAACCTGAGCGCTATTCATCTCCGCTTTAGTGGCGACCACCACCCAGTCTGTCGGGTTCAGCTCTGCATAGAAATTAGGTGACTAGGGCACACCGTCTCAAAGAAGCCCGAGTGTCTCTCGTCGGGCACGCCCCCTCATTTCCGACCAAAATGGTTCCACCCTGTCGTCGGAGCCCCAGACATGGCCATCGCTTCTCGATTGAAGAGGCTCTGTCCATGATCTGATCAAAGGAGCTTAGCGCTGAAGCAAGTGCTGTGGTGACCGGAGGAAAGGGTAGAAAGGAGTTGACCGCTAATGTATTCAATTCGCCGAACTGATTAGTCCGTCCGCCGGGGCAGATCCGCAAGACCGCAAAGGGGCCACTTAGTGTCCAATCAACGGCCATGGTGGACCGCTGCGACGGGTCGAAGAGTTTGTGATACAGCGTTTTTACGTACCCTGCTGCTACCCGAAGCTCGCGAAGGCCTTCGCGAGAGGGTGTATCCAGACTGTCGGGACGTCTTCTCGTACCCACCCGGGAGAGTGCAATAATCGCTGAATAGCGCGCGGCCCGACAGTCCGGGTCACTAGCAACCTGTTGTGAAGCCGGAGGGGTCATAAGGCTCCAGTCGGTGTGGCTATTAGCCATTTCACTTTTCTCCCTCCCTCTAGTCTCCCCCTTTCCCATTTGCCTCGGATCTCACCCGACCTCTATCTAGAGCCTTTTGGAGGATCGGGGATGCTTCACAATATGGCACATAGCTCGGCTACCATCGAGCCCGATGTTAGTCCTTCGGAAAATTGATCTCCAGATCTTCGACTGATAGTATATAGGTATCGGATAACGATTCAGCTTACCCCGGATCGTAAGTCTCGTGGCTTAGGTGATGGTGTGTACGATGCTGACCTTGCTATAAGTGTGGACCACGCTACTTACACGACGAGCATCACTTCGGGTGCCTTGAATTACCAGTATGTGTAGCCGACAAGGTCTTTGCTTAATCTTTGTCTATTTTGCGAACCATCGTTAATAATGCATCAGATATGAGGTACACACCGCTTCGGCATGCCCCGGTCCTGAACGCTTGTTTACCTTCCCAGAACGGTCGCAGATACCATTCATATCACGAGGGCGAATATCTTCTGGTATGCGATCCCGGTCGATGAGTTGTCGATCACCTAATCTGATCTCCACCCAGCCGAACGATGAACAGGAACAAGATCGTCTCGATCTGGTTAGTGCCTACCTGACTCAAGAACGTGAACCTAAGGAAGATTAACAAGAATAGAGCCATCACATTTATTTAATGCTTCTCAAAGGAGAACTCCATCTAGCACCCATCAAAAGCCCAGGTCGAGTGCTAGACCTTGGGACAGGAACAGGTATATGGGCAATTGATTTTGCGGAGTAAGATCTCCTTCCAAGTCTCGAAAAGCCGCATCACTAACTGGGGCTAAAGCGAATATCCTGAAACAGAAGTTATTGGTAAGAATGTTGCGTTCTCGCCACCTTAGGCCACCACTAACGTTGGTTCCACATGGTAGGGATCGACTTGAGTCCCATCCAACCGTCATGGTACGACTCCGTAGAAACCCTTCGTGGCGCGAGATGCTGATTTGCACAGGGTACCGCCTAATTGTCGATTTGAAGTCGATGACTTTGAACAACCTTGGTCATATAGCAAGCCATTCGACTACATCCACGGCCGTGAGCTAGCAGGGGCCATTCGGAACCACGAACAACTCTTCATACAAGCCTTTGAAAATCTCAATCCAAATGGGTGGTTTGAGATGGTTACGATGGAACCCAACACCAGATCAGACGACGGTACCCATCTCAAAGCAACATGTATGCTCGAGTGCATAGAGCACATCTACGCATCATCAAAGATGTTTGGGAAGGACATGGACGTCGCACCGTTATGGAAAGGCATGATGGAGAAAGCCGGATTTATCAACGTTACAGAAGTGGTGTATAAGGTATGTGAAGTTGTATTGACGAACCTAGGAAATACTAACCAAGACATAGCTTCCTCAAAGCCCCTGGCCAAAAGACCCCAAGCTCAAAGAGCTCGGGAAATACCACCAGCTCAACATGCTCGAAGCGATGCCAACATACACGTACGCGCTCTTCACCCGTATGCTTCGGTGGGAACGTGTTGAAATCGAAGCCCTGCTGGCAGGAGCTCGACGTGAATTGAAAGACCTGTCTAACCACTTGTATACAAGAGTGTACATAGTATACGGGCAAAGGCCCCAATGACCCTAGACGGTTATAGGCGCCTTGTAAATAGATTTAGTGAAATTCATGAAGATATCCCATCTGCGATGAAAACAATTCCCCAGAGCAAAACCAAGGGGTGTTGATACATGTTACAAGAGATAAGCTTAAATAGCGGAATCCGGCTGAAGTATTCATTGCAGAATCTGGGGCTGAATGGGCAGTGAGGCAGTGAATTTGCGACCGAAAATTTGGTTTTCATCAGCCAAGCGCTTATGCTGATGGCTGTTTATGGTTCAACAGCATAATGATTACTCAGATACCGTCGTCTGAGAATTTAAAACATTCTTCTTGGCTCGACCCATAGCATGATGGTTGTTTGGATCGTGATCGTTTGCCAGACAAGGTGGCGATTTCAAGATTTAATTTTTCATTTTGTGTGAATTCATTTTCATAGAGTAACGTAAATCATATGCGCCGTGAAGATTCTTGCTAGTCCAATGTGTCATAATGGAGTGAAAGCATCCAAATCACACCTCGCATCATTCCACCCTCGTGAGCTCCATCTTGGCGATAATATTTGAAAAAGACTCGGATTGCTGTATCTGAATGCTGTTTCGTGTTTGGTCCCAATAAAGCGCTTCATCCATTTCGTGGCTTTCATGATTCGCCTGCCCTTCATCGGGGCTTTCGGTATGCTCGAGCATTATCTCATCCGGAGGCTGGGTGACAATGATTTTCGGCAGTGGAGTTGGAGAACCGAAGTTGATGGGAGTGTTCTCAGAAAGCTCCGCAATGATCGTTGCAGACTGGGACTCGAAAGATGACGGCTCACAGGGCAATTCAACGTAGGGTGGTGTGTTCTCCCGAGTCTCGGTTGGAAGCTCGGAAACAATATCGCTATCAATTGCTTGTGGAGATTCTGGGTGACTTATAACTCCTTTTAGATGGTCGACCGCCCTGTCCAACCTGCTCTGGAACAGAGTCAACCCGGATAGCCTTTCTCGAGCAAGCTGAGAGTCTTCGAGGGACCAGCGCTTGCGGTTTGCCCCTTTCATCTTGCCCTTGTGCCTCACCATGTCGAGTCGATATGGCTCCAACAGCTTGGTCAAATCCCTTGCTGCGTTGTCTGCATCGGAAATGGTGGAGCTAATCCAGCTGTGTTCGATCTCGCCGAGGGACTCGGCTTGGGAGTTTCTCAGTCGCCTGGCTTGACTTGCTTTGTACACCACTTGATCCGTCTGATTGAGCAGCTGTAGGAGTTGCTTCTCCGGTGTCTTCTGAGTGGTCTCTGGAATGTTGATCGACGCGTGCTTCGGTTCCACCGAGTCTGTCTCTGTCTGGGGCAGTGATCGGGGTGATTGGGAGTGTTGAGGTGACTTTGGTGAAGGAGAGTGTTGTGAATATTGTGTTGGTGATGTTGATGCCGTAGTTTCGTCCAGTTCAGGTGTCACTTCCTCCTTGTTTTCATCGCACATCCTCTCTGGCGGAAGTGAATGTCGGTAAAATCGCTCGGACGTCTCATGTAATTTACTTGCTGATCGATTCAATATGTTTGCAGTTGACCGACGGCACCGGGTCTTGGATTGGACCCATGTATCGGCTGACCGTTTCCACGCCTCCATCGTGGTCTGATGACATCGATTCTTGGAGTCGGACAACGCACTCGCGGACCGATGCCACAAGTCCATACTTGACAGCTGCCACTTGCTTACTGATTGTTGTCGTAGATCCCCCAGTCGCATTTGCATCGTTGTCGATGACAGTTTATTGCAAGATCCCATGATCCCTCAGGCAGTTCCAGTCAAAGCACGATTCGAAGAGCGGCCGTGCTGGAATGTGACGCGACAAATGATACCAATGAAAGAACCTTGAATTGCAGAATGAGGTTGGAATCGACTTTCTCCGGGCCCTGTTCCATTATAAAGACTGCCATGTGTGTCGGCGTACTCGTTTTCCAGTCGAGTGGGGCGCTGTTTCGAGGCTTAGACCCAGTTCGTGATCTTCACGAAAGAATAAAGCGGTGGCCTGCTGCTTCTTCGGTGGAGATTGGCCGAGTCGTCCAAGTGGCGCCCGCTGAACCGGGCGATGTTTGGGCCAAGACGTCTCACACTGCCACCCTCGAACTCTAATTGGTCACTCCTATATTTTCGATCGACAGATCCCCACGTTTTCTCCATACGGTAACCGTTGCGGATTTTCTATTTTTGTACTGCGACGCGGGGCTGTATCCGGCCCCGCGCCACCAAAAACAACCAATGTGACACCCAGAGACTGGAAAAGACATTGAAATTCTAACGCTTTCGTAAGTGAGAGCAGAGATATCAGATAATCGCGAATACGCAATCCCGAATTGCCCGAACGGCGGTTGAAGGCCGAGATGCATACTTAAATGTTCTTGTAGGTAGCCAACAGGTGGGGTTAATTCTTGAACAGCGAACTAGATTCCGAATGGTCACACTATAACTATGCGGCGCTAATGCCAATGACCTAAATTTCAAAAGCAAAATGTCCCGGCAAATTCCAGACACTCCCCCGCATTCTCTCTACTTCGATTTTCCTGAATAGTATTCCTGAGCCGACCCATGTTGTGTCTGGTGGGGCATTTCGAAGTTCGATACTTGGTGGTATGGGGGTGGGGTTGGCTCTCCATGTTTCATTTGGTGCTCGACGGCGCGAGATTGTGGCTGAGAGAAGGTATTGTTCATCTGGTTCGGGTACGTGTACCCCATTTGTTGTTCCTGGCCTGGGTGATATTGCTGGTGAGGATAAGACTGGGGTTGATTTTGGCTGTGGCGCTTGGCTTTGCCATCGTGATAGTCGTTTGCGGCCCTGTTAAATAGTGTTAGAATGTGATCGCGCATGGGTTGTATGGCAAGCAACTCACTTGGAGGCGGCTTTGATAAGCCCGTAGCCACCAGCCAAGGTGAGACCAGTTTTAATAAGTCCCATGGTGATGTATGAGATCTTGATTGATATAGAAGAGATGGATTGATGTCAGGGTGCTTTTCTGTTTGGATATGAACCCTCGATGAACTGAATAGATTAAAGTCAAAATCCGTGGGAATTCAAGAGATATTTATGCTGGGGGCCCAAGTCTGGTATCTAGCTTCTTGAAGCATTGTGGGCATTTCTACAAGTGTTATCCTGGGAATAGCCATTTCCAATGATGATATGACGGGGGCCTAAAATCTCGGCGATAAGCTTTCTCCGCACTGCCTCGCTGGGTCGGGGCGTGGTCATAAACCAATTGACAGTATCCATTTTCCACGCTATTCCCGAAACTATGCAACGAACCGAGCCCGAAACCGAGCCTTGCGCCTCCTTGAAGAATAAATCTGCTTGCGAACATCCACTTTTCCAGGTGGACTGATGAAACCGAAACCGAGCTGAACCCCATGAAGAGTGCTTGCGAATCCGAGAAATCGTCAGGCTTCTACCGGCCCGGTATACTGCTGCAGAGCCATGCCACCGCGATTGAGTCATCGAAAATCCACCAGGGGTTGTCTTCGATGCAAATCACGAAAAGTCAAGGTAAGTATCCGTGTATATTGTGAGAACCTTCCTTCAAGATGCCAACGTTTCGGCAGTGCGATGAGAAGCGACCTCAATGCAGTCACTGCACCCGTCACGGTGTAGTGTGCGAGTACCCATCATTGACAACTCGTGTTTACAATCCTATTCAGCAAAAGCCATCCACCCCACTGACACGACGCGTAGCCCAAGGAGATCCCAAGCCTTCGCTGCCTTCTCCAGAGCTTGGGGGAATGCGGGTCCTTGAGTTACGCCTCATGCATCACTGGGTAACCGCCACTGCAGAGACCATGAGCTCGGCCCAATTAGCGGGCGTCCGTGAGATGTGGGCTGTGGCTGTTCCGCAAATGGCTTTTGAATATGAACCTCTCCTTCACATTACTCGCCATTGGTGCAGCACACCGTGCCTCCCTTCTTCCGGAGGAGGCAAATGCCTTGCGGCCCGTATATCATTCCTATATCGATTCTGCTCTTCAGTGGCATCGCCCTGTGACGGCCAAGCTTGACGGCAGTACTAGCGAGTCAGTTTGCCTGAACGCAGTATTGATCTCGCTGTTTACTCTGTTTCTACGGTCAGAGCCTAGCACGGAGCCCTACGAGCCCCCGCTATTATGGCTCTCAATGGCTCGTGGTATCCGAACCGTCTTGAAAGAGGTTTATCATCAGTTGGTCAAGTCGAACTCACGTCTCTGTCCGTTACTTCTCGCCCAGCCAACTATCTGGTCCCAGGGTTCGTACAAGGGCCCCGACAATCCGTTCCATTTTCTCCTGGTCTATCGTCGAGATGAGGAAGAGATGAATGAGGAATCAGAAAAGGGATACAGCGGGACAATCGCATATTTGGAGCGCTTATACATGTCTGTACAGACCAACGAGCCCGACTGGATTATTCGCAAATTATTCAACGGATTTTCACCGGTTGTACCCAGTGAATTTCTGGATTTTGTCTACGAGAAACGACCACGGGCCTTGGCGATCCTGGCATACTTTTTTGCTTTGGGCAAAAGGGTCGAAAATATCTGGTGGCTCCGGGGTATCCCCGAACGGGAGGTACGTGGTATTAACAGTATTATGCCTCTTGAATGGAAGTGGACGATAGTTTGGCCTCTCAATCTAATTTCTGAAAAGGAACATACACCTAAGGGTGAATCTACTGTTCCTCAGGTGAATCGGAATTTGATAGATGCTTTATTTTGATGGTCAATTGATGACAACGCGACTTGCACCTCCGTGTCAGATCCTGTCTACGCTATAGCCTGTCACCCTGTTCCCCCACCGGCTCATACCATGGCATACACAATTGTATAATATCTATATTCCACTTTTCAGTCAGTTCCACTTCTTAGGTAATCTCTCATGACTCATGGGTTGTCATTATGGCAGGCTTGGAGGCCTGATTTCCGAACCACAAGGGATATGCACAACAACATGTAAGGCTCACCATTTCCACGGGAAATCATGTCAGATAACCATCTCATTCATGATCAATGGGGCAGTGTGGGACAAGCAAGGCGCGACGAACCGGGAATTCGGATAAAAGTAAGATTACTCATCATTTCATCGGGCTCCCAGCTTGGAACGATCGACGGGGAGCCGACCAATCGGGCTGCTCCATTCTGGACCCTGGACCCACACTTGGCCAGGCATCATCGAGTCTCTGATGACAGCCCGGTCTTATTTTCAGCCCCTTTGTTAATAAAAGTGCTTCATTTCCCCATGGACAGCTCCAACATTGCATTGCGCGCGTTGTCATATCCCTCATGTCACTTTCAAGAGCTCCGTGCTCCGTGGCTGACGAGGACGTCTTCGGCCCGGTCGTCACCGGGTCTTGCCGCAATGGCTTTGACTTTACTCTTTTGTTTGAAGAGTCAATTCTGACTCTGCTTCCAATTTCCATCTTTCTTCTCATAGCATCTGCTCGTATCTGGGTTCTCCGTCGAGCCTCGGAGAAGGTCAATCGGTCATGGCTGTATGCAGCGAAGGAGGTGCGACTTCCAACCCGGGTGTGACACCAAAGGTCAATAGGCTGAACTGGCACGTATTTAGATCTCTCTTCTACTACATGTAGCTCTTCAACTCGTCATTTTGTTTCTTTGGATTCAGCCGTCTGCGCCCAAGACGAGGGCGACAATACCAACAGCTCTTGCAACTTTATTCGCTTTCCTCGTCGTCATCTACTTATCACATCTCGAGCATGTGCGCTCCCTACGTCCATCAACAATTCTATGCGGCTTCCTGGGGCTGAATTCTCTGCTTGACCTTGCGCGTCTGCGGACTCTCTCTTTTATGCCACATAATCGACTGATGACAAGTTTGTTTGCCGTGGGTTGGATCGGCAAAGTCGTCATTCTTGTTCTCGAGTCAACAGAGAAGAGAGCGCTGCTGAAGAAGCCATTCGAGGGAAGCGCTCTCGAAGCGACGAGTGGCATTTTCAGTCGTAGCCTATTCTGGTGGCTGAATGGCTTACTGAGGAAGGGATCAAAGACAACTCTTACCGTCGAGTCCCTGCCCGAATTGGACGAAGACATGAAAGAAGCGTCGAATCCTCAGGATCTTATTGAAAAATGGAAGAACGGTAAATATGTAGTTTGTGGGCTTAACATGATGAGAGGCTGACAGACGCAAGCCAACAAATACCGACCCAACGCATTGCTGTGGACCTTCGCTTCTCATTACAAATGGGCATTCCTTGCAGGTGTTTTGCCACGCCTTGGCTATACCTTCTTCACTTTTGCGCAGCCATTCCTCGTTGAAAGAGTGTTGGATTTCATGACCGAGCCTGAGCACGTCAATTCCGACAACTACGCCCGCGGCCTCGTTGCAGCATATGCGATTGTATACGTTGGAATTGCGGTATGTTGACACTTTGCTCCAAATATCATATCAACAACTTCAACGGCAGAAAGCTCATCTGTTTTTCTTTCTTTTTCTCTTTAGATTTCATATGCTGTCTACACGCACAAGGTGTACCGACTCATCGCCATGATCCGGGGGAGTCTGGTCACATTGATCTTCGACAAGACGCTTCGCATGAGCACCTCGGCCATATCAGATGCGACAGCGGTGACTTTGATGAGCACCGATATCGAACGGATTGGAGATGGTCTCCTTGACGTCCATGAGATCTACGGTAATTTCACCGAGGTTGTAATTTCCCTATGGCTGCTGGCACGTCTATTGAACGTTGCAACAATTGCATCCACGGTCGTCGTCGTCGGTAAGTAGACACTTCAGAATAAGGCATTAAATTTTCAAGCTGATTGAAATTGAACAGTGTGTATGGTTGCTGGAATCCCGCTCGCAATCGCATCCGGTAATGCTCAGGGCACGTGGCTTGATGCTGTTGAGGAGCGCGTTGCGGTGACCTCCAAAGTCCTTGGGGTAATGAAGAATATCAAGATGACGGGGTTAACAAACACGTTTACAAACAACATACGAGATCTGCGATCACAGGAAATCAAGGCATCATTCCTATTTCGACTATACGCCGTCATTGTTATAACCGTTTGTAAGTTCAAGCTTCCATTCTGTCTGAAATTTTGTTGACTGACATTACGTAGCGTGGGTATCCACGGCTCTAGCCCCAGTCTTTGGGTTTGGAGTCTATATCCTGTTGGCCCAAGCACATGAGAGCACTACATTGACTAACGGCATGGCATTCTCGGCGTTGACCCTATTTGCTCTTCTGGATCAGCCAATGATATCCTTTGTCGTTGGGTCAGAGGACATCATGGCAGTTGTCAACTGTTTCCAAAGAATTCAAAAGCATCTTCTTGAGACAGAACGCGTTGATTGCCGCTTGACCCATAGTCCTCAGTCCCCTACACTGATTGATGTGGAGCCAATCATCAAACGGTCCAGAGAAGGGCCATTCTGTGCAATCATCCGCAATGTATCTGCGGGGTGGTCAGTTGACGATGAGCCGGTGCTCCACAACTTGAGTGTTGATATTCCAGCCAAAGGAATCACCATGATTGTTGGCCCTGTTGGTTGTGGAAAGTCGACATTGTTGAGGATGCTACTGGGAGAGATCTCCGAAAGTTCCGGTACTGTATCCACCACCTATCAGAGTTCGGCTTACTGCAGTCAGTCTCCGTGGATTACATTTGGTACAGTTCAACACAACATTGTGGGCGCCTCTCAATGGGACAGTCGCTGGTATGACCGCATTGTTCAGGCATGCGCCCTACAGGCTGATCTACGACAGCTTCCGGCTGGAGACCAAACCAAAGTCGGTGTTCGGGGATCCCGACTTAGTGGAGGACAACAGATCCGAGTTGTGAGCAAATCAACGTCTTTATTTTGCTTTTTATGGCGTGGCTGACTGTTGCCCGTACAGGCTTTGGCGCGGGCTTTATATTCAAGGGAACATGTTCTCATCTTGGATGATGCCCTGACAGGCCTCGATCGAGATACCGAGAACTCGATTCTGAGCTCAGTCTTCGGGCCGCAAGGTCTTGTAGAACAGTCCGCTCAGACCGTTATTATGGCGACAAATTCTGGTTGGAATGACTCCCCGTTCCTCATGAAACGTGCCTAACAAATACCAGCGCATCATCTTTCACACGCCAACTTTATCATCTCTCTTAATGAGCGCGGTCAATTGATTGAGCAAGGCTCGTACGAGGATCTCATGGCCTCCAACGGCTACGTCAGTACTCTCGCCGGCACATCAACAAGAGCGAGTACCACGAGAGCTCCGGACGTTGTATTTGATGACGAAACATTGCAAGACTTGAGCTTGGAGGATCAAGAGACGGACACCACAAGCCGACAAGCCGGCGACTGGTCAATTTATCTGTATTACTTTCAGAATATTGGCTGGCCGCTTCTCAGTTTGTTCTTCTTTTGCTCAGTGCTGTTCACCTTTGCACTAATTTTCCCACGTATGGAGTCCGAGTGTTTCTTTGTCACTAAATATCTGCTGACTTGCCGACAGAAATATGGCTCCAGTGGTGGACCGTCGCAAATGAGGCTCGACCAAACGGTAATATCGGATACTGGCTAGGCGGATACAGTGCCCTCGGAGTTTTGACACTCCTTTCATCGTTCCTTGCAAACTGGTATGCTGACACTTAAATGTGATGACTCCCGAGGGGCGTTGGCTGATTTTCAATTCAGGGTCTTTGAGATGATAATTGTGCCCAAGACTGCTCGTCAATTCCACGAGATTCTGCTCGGCACGACCATGAAGTGAGTCAATCTTGAAGCTCCCATCATGCAGTTCTTCATTGACGATCATAATAGAGCAACCACGTCCTTCTTGACTTCGACGGACATTGGAGCGACCACAAACAGGCAAGGGTTATCTCATCCCTTTTGAGAAAATTTCACAACACTAACAAAGATTGCTCTATAGATTCAGCCAGGACCTAGAACTGATCGACGGGGAACTTCCATCAGCATTTGAAAGTACAGTCCAGGCTGTTCTCGGCTGTCTTGTCGAAGGGTTCCTTGTCTTTTTTGGCTCTTCATATATCACCGCAGCTGTGATTCCAGTTTGCATTTTGGCCGTATATTACGTCGCCAGATACTACGTTCGCACATCTCGCCAAATCCGGCTCCTGGAAATTGAAGCCAAAGCTCCTCTCTTCTCACAGTTTTTGGAGGCACTAAGTGGTCTACCGAGCATTCGTGCATACGGGTGGGTGGAGCATTATCAGCGCCAGAATCAAATTGCGCTCGATGCTTCGCAGCGCCCATATTATACGCTTATTTGCATACAGCGCTGGTTGAATCTGGTGCTTGACTTGATTGTCGCGGGTATTGCTATTGTTGTCATTGCTGTTGCGACGTCGATGAGAGGGAGCTCGTTGAATCTCTTGGGTATTGCGCTGTTTAACATTGTAAATTTCAGCTCCACTTTACAAACGCTTGTCACGGAGTGGACTGGGCTTGAGACCTCAATCGGTGCCGTCTCCCGGATCCGCTCTTACGTGCGACATACTCGGACAGAGGATTTGGACTCTGAGACTGAACTTCTTCCAGACTCCTGGCCGGAGCATGGACATGTCGAGATGTTGAACGTGTCAGCCTCATATGAGTAAGTTTTACGCATGGCCACGAGATTACCAATACTAATCTGCATTTAGTGCATCCTCAGGGCCAGTACTGAAAGATATCAACCTGAATATCTCAGCCGGTGAGAAGGTTGCTCTGTGTGGTAGAACAGGAAGGTTGGTTTACCCTTCCCAACTCATTTGCCTCTCTGTATTAGCCCAGTTTTCTAACTCTTCCCAGTGGTAAATCATCACTAATTTCCACATTCCTGCGAATTCTCGACCTGAAAAGTGGAAGTATTTTCATTGACAATGTGGACATTTCACGAGTATCAAGATCGCATGTTCGGTCTCGATTAAACACCATCCCACAGCAAGCCTTCTTCTTACATGGTACTATCCGATTCAATGTCAACCCTCAGGGAGATCTGAAAGATGAGTCCATCATCGATGCACTACGGGCGGTCAATCTATGGACGTACATTGAGTCCAAAGGGGGCTTGGATGAAGACATGTCCGAGGGTCTGCTTTCGCATGGACAACAACAGCTATTCTGCCTCGCCCGAGCTCTATGCAAGCCCAGTCGTATTGTCATCATGGACGAGGCAACTAGCAGGTATGAAAATCACTGATTTTTTCGTGTCCCCTCTTCTGAAGTTAAAGGACTCATCTAACACTCTGCAGCGTGGATTCCGAAACAGACAAACTTATGCAACAGGTAATTCGAACACACTTCAAAGACCATACTATCATCACTATTGCACACAAACTTGATACAATTCTGGACTATGACAAGGTTGCATTTTTGGAGCAAGGCAGAGTGGTTGAATTCGATACACCCAGAGCGCTTCTTGCGAGGGAAGGGTCGAGTTTCAAGGCTATGTTTGATAGCTTTCGCCATCCCTCAGAGTGAAGGGGGAAGTTTCAAAAACGTTGATAGATGATCAGCTCGGACGAAATTTCATTCAGTCCACTTCTCCAACTTCCTTAGATCGAGTCGTTTCCTGGTAGATCCAACATAATACAACTAGTGAGCCGAGATTGTGACCATGATAGGGTGAAATGCGGAGGGTAGGGTGTGATGGTCCATGCACCCGTCCAGAAAAGATATTTCCCTGACGTCCGAGATATTAATTCACTTGGAGTGCCAAATCCTTTCAAGGGTTGAAGATTTGGTGTAAATTATTAATAAAATCAAATTGACAATCGGGTGGAATGCACCGGCATGGGTATGGTAGGCGATAGTGCGATAGTTTTCTTCGCTCAAAATTATCTCGGACATCTCCCTAGAGGCTGCATCTGTAAAGACATCTGTAAAGAGATTTTTCTCTCCATGTTTCTAGATCTCCATATATTTCTATAACCCTTTTTGGCGATGGCGCCTATCGGGCGTGAGGACGCGTCTGTACTAGCGTGCGCGTGACACCTTCCAGCGAACAGACCCCCGCCACTTCACCTGAACACCAGCCGCGAAGCACGTCGCGCCTTTCTCACCCTTACAATACCACTAGCAAAGGCTCTTTCCGTGATGAGTCTGGCCATCAACACCCTCCGCCTATCTCTCAAAGGCCCCAAGAGCAGCCTGTTGGGGCGGGCCCAGATCCAACCTCCACTTTCCACCCGTACCTTAGCCGCCATTCCCCGCACTCCACTTCGACAATACCGACCATCACCGTCGGCCTCCACCTTCACAACACATGCCCTGCGCATGAGTGAAACACATGAGCAGCCAAAGCGAGACCCAACAAAGCCCATCGAGAGTCAACTGGCCATGAGCTTCGAGTCCCTTGAGTTCCGCAAAAAGCTCAAGATCCTGGTGCTTGTCATTATAGGAGTGTCTGCTTTGTTGGAGACTTTGATCTGGGGCGAAGCAATTTGGGTCTGGTGGAAGGGCGAAGAAGGGGATAGCATCGATACGGTGTAATAAACAACACCTTGATTCATCGGGACTGGCCTGGGACGCCGTGGGTCCCGATGTGCATTATTCGCGTTTTTTGTGCCATCGACTAAATACGGCTTTCGTTATATACCTCTTCTGAATTTATTGATTGGAAATTGCCAGCATTCCCAGGGCTCTATGGCGGTTGAATTCGCTGAATGGTCTAATCGTACAATGAAGCTGCACCATACCCGAGCAAGGAAAAAGAACAGTCAAGGCAACATTGGAAGCTGGTGACAAACTTTTATTAAAAGGTCAATATTGGAGAAGTCATACGCATCCTAATTGATTGTTGGAAGAAACCCAGGAATGATGCGTCTGCAAAGGCGATTCTTTGCTTGCTTTTTGCCGTTGACTGTGGTCATCAGCGCAAGGGGTATCGGCCGTGGCTGACCCATCAGAGTGGTCACCACTCCATCTCGGCTTAATATTGAGATCTTCTATGTGTAATCGTTGAAAATCTTCAATATTTGACGGATTCGTGCGGACCACGGCGATCAGACTATTGAGGACCGTGAATTCCATTTTCAACTTGATGCTGTATACGACCGGCTTGAGGGTCGTCTGAATGGTGAAATAACCGGAGTACTGCGTGGCGAGAAGAGTCACATCTAGCAAGACGGCGAGAGCGTTGACGATGACGACGTTTGAGATGACTCGTTGGCCGCAGGGGCCTTTCATGGCCAATAGAAGTCGCAACTCGGTAACTGCTTCCCAGATGTAGAGAGCGCTGATGATTGTCTCTTGGAGCGAAAATCCGGTCAGTTGGACGCGCTCGTAGATATTGAATGGCTCGATGAATTCGTTGACGCCGTGGTTGCTTCCGAGAAAGAGGACGGTGGTTGGAATGTGCAAGGCGAAGAAATTGATGATCATGTATAGAACCCAGCGAGTATAGCGCGCATGGGTGGTCACCAGGTGGAGGCGTGAATAGAGCACCACGGACTGGCCGGTTACCATAGCATACCAGCCGATACAGACCAGCAAACCCATAGTAAAATTAGGGGCGAGTGCCAAGTAGCGAAGGAATCCCGCAATGGCGTGGAGAAGTATTCCCAGTGTAGCGACCACCATGCTCCAGAAGTAGAGGCCGCTGCGGCGTCGGAAGGTGGTGAAGATCGAAATGCTGATTTCTAGCACATTATAACATGCGAGAGTAAACAATCCGGCCATCACCATTGCCATTGCGCGAGACATATTGAAAGGTCCGGTTTCACCAGCCATTGTGGTAGCTGTTTTGGTCCAACGGCAGGAAAATACGAGTTCCTGAGATTGATTGGCTTGATGACTTTCCGATTTACCTCACAGGGTAGACAACAGGCAAGCTTGTATAATATTGCTAGCCCATCCTGAGGTTCATAGTAGTCGGCGGGAAGTTGTGCTCCAGACTGAAGCCGAGAGGGATGGCAGGGTCGGGGCTGAGAGGGTAATTGTGCTATAAAGAGGCCATTTAGCCGCTATGCTGGTACTTCGGGAGTTTCGAAGCTTGCCAAAATACCGAAACTGGGGCATTAAAGTTCTGGATGCCGAGCTCGGGGAAACCCGTCACTTCAACGCTCGTGATGGCTGGTCGTTGGTTGGTCGCTTGAAGTCCCTGACATCATTCACCTGCTGTGATCGCAGGTGTTCGATCGGTCGGGCAATCTTTTTACACTCTTGACAGTCGCTCATTGGCTTGACAGGAGAAGACAAATTATGCTTGGCGGCCGGATCTAGTAGAATGGGCGCTCCTTGGGCCCTCGGTGCTCAGCACGAGTTGTCGATGTGAGCGGCTAATGTAGCTCCATCCAATACCGTTAGCCTTTCTTGGAATGTGCCGTAAACTAGGACCGCTCCGACGCCTACTCTAACTATATGTAGATCGTCGGTCAGTACTAGTGGCACGACGGGGCTGTTCCACGGCAATGCCACGGCAATGCCACGACTCCATACGGGCCTGTTCTCTCATCGAAGATAACATCTCTGATCACACAGAAGATACTCTAGACTTCATTCGTTCTACCAAGTCAACCTGTATAACCATACTAGTCGTTCAATCTCTTAGGCTTTAACCTCATTACCGCTCTCGTCGCTGTCGAACTTCTCGCCCGCAACGTGTACATCAACGCTGTCATGACGGATGCTCTCACGGCGGATAGCCTCCTCGAGGTACTCTGGTTTAAGCTGACCGTGCTTATCGTAGCGGTAGGGCTCTTTGACGGAGATGGACACGACATTGAACACATTTGTAGACTTCTTGAAGATGGTATCCATCTCTTCCAGGGAGCGGTAGCGCGTCTCGGGGAAGAAGAAGTAGACAAAGGGGAAGATAAATGCGTTTCTATCATCGTCAGTTCAAGTTCGGGGTCATTGACGGGAATCGTACATAACAGCAAAGATGATGTAGGTTTTATACCCGATGCTGTCGAATGCAACCGGGGTAATCATCACGACCATGAAGTTGAAGATCCAGTTGGCGCTGGTGAGGAGAGTTAGATCATACTCAGAGGGGTATTTTGGTGTATACTCATTTACCTGGTGGCCAGTGCATTAGTCGGTGCACGGATTCGCAGCGGGACAATTTCTGCCGGGTACAACCACGTCATTCCAAGCCAGCCGATGGCGAAGAATGTGTTGAATACGAAAAGGAAGACCGCCTGTCCGATACCGGCTTGGCTATCGTTCAGTACGGTCAGACGATAGTTAGTACCCGCAAGGACAGCCATAGAGACCGACATGCCAGCGGCCTGATATTGAAACTTCGTTAGCCTATAGGATCCCAAATTGAGGCGCAGATGAGTGACTTACTCCGAAAAGCATCAGCGGCCGACGTCCAACTTTCTCAATGATGAAAATAGGGATGAATGCAGCCATTAGGTACTCTGTGCCGTTACAAGCGGCCAACAACTTCGGGTAATTACCTTTCCCCAGACCAATTTCACTATAGAGTACAGGTGCCTAATGAACCGTGTTAGTACAGCTTTGAGATTTCGTATTTGGGGTAGCTGACATAGTAGGTGATTAGATTGATTCCAGAAATCTGCTGGAACATCTGATTAATGTAGGCAAGAGCCACCCGATGGAATTCTCGATATTCACTCATGTCGAAGAGACTTTTGTAGGAGCCCTTGGACATTTCCTTAACAGTTGCTTGGATGGAGCTAAGTTCATTGATGATGTACGGGTCATCCCGAGATTTCTCATTAAGACATTCGAGAATCTCCAGAGCCTCATCGTTCCGGCCTTGCATCACAAGCCATCGAGGGGACTCGGGCAGGTTTAGAATGGAGCTGAAGATCACCACAGCAAAGAGAATCTGAATGGCTAGCGGGAATCTCCAGGCCACCTCTCGGTCTTCGATGAATGAAAACCCTATTTTTTGAAATCATCAGCACTTGGGCGCGGGTAAAATATCAATTCCCTTCAACTCACCGTAGTTGATCCAGTAACTAAGAGTGATGCCCGCCGTAATGAGCATACCCTCGATCATAACCATCTTTCCACGATCGTGGGCCTTTGATGACTCCGACTGCCACGTGGGTACGGTACTTGTGTTCATTCCATTTCCAATCCCCGTGACGATGCGGCCGATAATCAGATGTGGCAGACTAAATGCGGTGGCTTGCAATAGAGCCCCGGTGGCCATGGTCAAGCAGCCGCAGAAGATAGTCCGCCGTCTGCCAAGCGGATTGCCGATAAAGATGGTCAAGATGGAGCCGAAGAAACAGCCCAAATTGTACGATGAAACTGAGATACCTTGATTTAAACTGCGCTGCGATCTGGTGGCTGCGTCAATGGTCGGATCTGCGGAGTTTATATCGGGAAAATATTTGATAAATGACGGTAGGTCTAGCAGACCACCCGTTACACCTTGGTCATATCCAAAAAGTCTTGTTGTAGTTAGTTGCAAGTAAAGAAAGTATAAGTGTGAAGCGGTAGTAACATACAAGAAATCAAGACTGCCAAGAGAACTGATAGCCAGGTTGAGAGACCTGCCTCTCCAGCCGAAGAATTTAGGAATACCGAACATCATGTCCACACACGGCGCAAATAGCGAGGATCATACGAAACACCGACGAGCGGGACCATGTCGGCCAGCCGTTTATATACCACTCCTATTAGGCCAGGCTCTCGGATTGACAGATAGGGTAACCCGAGATGACCGGATATCCCCAGTGCGTGGGGATGGCCAAGATATGGGGGCCGAGATACGGGGGAAGCCATCGTGCGAGGCGGGGATTGGGGATTCCATGGGTAAGATTTGGGGGCGGCTCATGGGCCATATCGTGACTGGCCAAAGGACCCAGTTCGTGCTTTGGAAATAATAATTTCCGCTCTGTCGGCTACAGACTAAACGCTTGGCAGTTGTGTGTAATAACTTGGCGGACTCTCGGGGAGGTATAGCATCTCTTGGCGACGGCGTGGCAAACGTTGGAGGCTTGGGAAGCATGCGGGCTTTCATCTTGGCTTGCTTCTTTCTTTCCATTCAGCTCTCTAGCAGACGATGTTTCCAAGGCTGAGTTAGTTGTAGCAAGTCTAGCACTCCCCTTGCCCAGAAAGCTATCCGGCAAACGGCAGATGTGTCTGCCAAGGTCATTTTCAACGAGCTATTCGCAGACCAAATCCACATCAATGGTAATACTCTTACGGAGTAGTCCAATATTACAAGCTGGCATCACCATCGTCATGATGTTTCCCCTAAAGCGCCGTGACCCGACTGATGTAGAACGCCAAGACGTTGCAGTGGCAGATGTTCCTCATTAGGGCACGCGAAGCACGCCGGTCCTTGGCAAGACCCGACTAATTATGTCTTGCGTTCTTTATTCTGGTTTGATGTCCGAATGGAACCAAGAAATATGACTTGACTCAGACGGTGCGCGAATTCTTTGATGGCGATCTTGGAACAGCATCACTTGTATCTGAATTTTTCAGAGCAAACAGTCTACATAAAGATGTAGAGACAATTTCTTCTGCTCCATCCTGTAATGAGGTCAGTGCTCGAGCAATGAGGCCAGGAAAAACGACTGGGCGCTATCAACGAACTACCCACTGTAAGATAGCTGAACCGCGACTTGGGTAGTCTGCTACGGACTGATGGAATCAGCCACTCTCGAGCAATACTGAGTATTACCAAAGAGTCTCTGAGAGCCAATAGGTAGTCACTAAGAAGTCATTGAGTCATGAGCCCGTGAGCACCAACACGGGAAGTCAAGCCAAGAAGCCAAGAAGCCAAGAAGCCAAGAGGCCAAGGACTGCTCGGGGAAATCCGGTATTCAATGGGATCTGTCCTTCAACATCACACCATAAGCGCAAATTTCCCCGGTCGAGGTACCAATCAGTTGCATAATAGTATGCATCTCTCGCCCGGACCATAGGATATCTCTCTGCAACAAAGAACACCAATCCTTCCCGGTCATCCAATCGGGCCAAAGCATGTAATGCCCGGGTCTGGCTCGTGCCCGCCGCCCACAACCACCCACTAAGGGAAAGTTTCGTTATTCATATCTATCATATATATATCCAGGTCATATTCTAGAGCTCCCAAGTCCCAAGGCCTCCGATTCTAGCTTTGACAGTTTGAAGAATAACGGGCTTAGAAGTAGCACGAATCTAACGTGTATGTATGGTTGAACGTAGCTATAGTCATTATGTCGTGTTTATCTAACAAGCGCCACCTACGCCCCTACGTCTGCATGTACGTGGTAATCCCATTCGAAATGGCATTGCTCGAAATGGAACTCTCCGAGTTTCGCGCCAATGGTGACATCTCCTCTCGATAGAATTAAATCCGCGTGGCCATGTCTTCGATCTGTTTCCAGTCGTCATCAGATGCGATCATGGCATCTTGCCCTCGTAGCACCTTCCTGTCAGAATCATCAGGTAGAAGAACACCAGCATGCCCAGGCGCCTCAAATGCGGCTTGCGCACTAAGCGGCCAAGCAGTCGCTTCCTCCCAAGTCAACGTGCTCGGCTTCAGCTCAATCTCACTCTCTAGTACGACACACTCAGCCCACATCGACCCACGGTCCGCATGCGCCATGCCGAAGACTTCACCATGGGGCTTGAAGGCAGACTCGGATAATAAGTTGGCGACTGTGCCAGCGAATTTTTGGCCTGGGCTAGCGTCCGAGTGGCAGTATATCTCACGCCATGTGAGCATGTGTCTGATTATTGTTGTGCCTTGTGTTAAGTATGATGTCGCCTAATTTTGTTTGGGTGCGGAGTTGGGTCTGTGTCCATTTTCGGGGAGTATGGGGGCATGTTTGGTGTGCTGGGTGCATGCGGATGGCTTGCATTTTGGGGGTATCTTCCAAGGTTGATAGATGGATTTGGCTGATAACGTGTTGGGTGTGGGGATATCTGGTCTCTGGGAGTTTCCAGAATGTCTGGAGGCTGCGGCCGTGGCGTCATCGGTCACACAGCGATAGCTTAGATCTACGAGAGCCCTAAGGCCCGATAGTATTGTTCAAATGTTGTTCATTGTTGGAACTTAAGTCCAATAATCACGGCGCTGAAGCACCATTAAAGGAGCTATATGCAAAAAGCAATGTTGTCTGTACAGTCAAGGAAAATATACCCCATGTCGGGTTTTATCCAACCCTTTTGGCAAGGTCGGTTGGCATTTACTGCACCGAGGGCAGGTCGGCCGAAAGGGGCAGCTTGCGCGATGAGCTACCGATGTACACCTTCTTCTGGGCGTTGCTGACAACCCAGTCCTGCGCAGAAACATCCCAGTTAGAGAGATCGCGGCGGGTGAGGGTGGAGGTCCACTCGAGCTCCTGGCCAGGAGCGATCGTGACACGATCAAAGGCACGGAGAACCCGAACGGGGTTATCCTCACCACCGAGGGATACGTAGAGCTGGGGGACTTCGTCGCCGATAACGGAGCCAGTGTTTTTAATGGTAGCGCGGACCTGGATCAGCTCGTCGAAGAGACCAGAGTTGCCGCCCGAGGGTCCGCTAGCCGGCAGGAGCTCCTGGGGAGAGCCGTTCTGGGCCCCGTCAGGGACGTAATCCTCGGTCTTCATGCCGTAGTCAGGGTCGCCGGAGGACTTCTTCAGGTTTGTCGAGTTGAGCCACGGGTAGAGATACTGGGTGACGCGTTTGATACCACTGGGGAACAGATAGTCGGAAGCCTGGCCGACCTTGCCGAGCACAGGGGCCTTCATGGTCTTGCCAGTGGTGGCAGTGTATTTATCGGCGTTCAATGTGGTGATTTCAAGGTCGGAGAATTCGAAATTGGTGTAACTCAGACCGTGACCGAACTCATAGATGGGCTCCTCGTCATCCTTGTCAAAGCGGCGGTAGTCAATGAAGACACCATCGGTGAAGTCGTCTTGGGGGGCACCCACGCCATTGTTGGGCTCAGTGAGAATAGCCTGACCATAAGCCTTGCGGGTCTTGCCCCAGGTAAAGGGAGTTTTGCCACCGGGGTTGACACGGCCATACAGGACATCAACCAAGCTGCGGCCGCTTTCCTGACCAGGCAGACCAGCCCAGAGAATGGCAGTGATGTTGGGGTTCTCGTACCAGTCGCCGATGAGAACAGCACTCGGGGTGTGCATGATGACGATGGTGTTGTTGCAGTTCTCGGTAGCAGTCTTGATAACCTGCTCGCCGTTCTTCCAGAGAGTCATGTTCTTGCGGTCACCCTCATTGCCGTCGACATCGATGTAACCCTCACCAGAGTCAGCGTTGACGAAGACCAGGGCGACGGCGGATTGAGAAGCCACATCAGCCATCTGGTCCAGGGCTCCGTTGTCGGTAACGGAAAAGACATTGGTCTTGCCAGCGCTGTAGGTCAAAACCTCATTCTGGATAGCCTGTTCAGGAGTGATTAGGTAAGGGAAATTGGCAGTGCCACTGCCCCAGCCCATAGCCAGAGTACCGTTGTCACAACCGCGGTCAGTGCAGCCGTTTGCACCGTAGGGGTTAGATCCAGCATCCTCGCCGAGGATTCCAACGAACGGCTCTTGGTGAGTCAGGGGCAGACCACCGCAGTTCTTCAGGAGGACAATGCTATCAGAACCAATTTTGCGGATCACGTCAGCGTGGTCGCGCTGGACGTTGACACGGTCGTTGAGCTTGGTGTAGTCCTCGCTGACAATGAAATGCTCGTAGCCGTACACGTCGCGGGTCCAGGAGCTGAAGTTGGGAGGAGTGCGGTAACGGTCACGGCCAACCTTGTAGTAGGCGGCCATGATACGGACAGCCATGTCATCCACGCGCCATTCGGGAATAGTACCGTTCAGCACGGAGATGGTCAGGTTGGTACCCCAGTACGAGTACGGGCTACCTAGGAGAACATCACCGGGCATAGACATATCCAGACCCGCCAGAGCATCGCCAACACCGCTGTGGTGAGCACCCCAGTCACTCATGACGAAGCCCTGGAAGCCAAGCTCGCTCTTGAGGAGCTTGTTCATGGTGTAACTGTTGGAGCAACCGTAGCTGTTGTTGATCTGGTTGTAGGAGCACATGATGGAGCCGACACCGGCACGGACCGAGTCGACGAAGGGCCAGAGGTAGAGCTCGTGCATGGTCTTGTCGTCAATGTTGGAGCTGAGACTCTGGGTGATATTGTATCCGTAGCCCTGAGCCTCGCTGGCCTGACGGAAGTGCTCCTGCTCGTAACCGACATAGTGCTTGGCACAAGCAATAACACCAGCATCTTGCATACCCTTGATAGTCTCCGCCATCATCATACCGGTGAGAACGGGATCCGGAGAAAATCCTTCCCAGACACGGCCACCGTCGGGGTTCTTGCCCAGCGGACCAGCAACGGGGCCCAGCTGGACATCCACGCCCTTGTCGCGGTGCTCCTCGCCCATCGCCATACCACGCTGGTAGGCGAGTCTCTTGTCCCAGGTCGCAGCAACGTTGATACCGGCGGGGAAACCCGAGTTGTAATCAGCTGCTTCTGGTTAGTGTCTTGAACCGATCACCCAAAATGGGAATCATCATACCGTCACGAACGCCGAGAGGCGAGTCCTGCATACACATTCCCCACATTCCAAGTCTAAATCACGCAGTTCCTGTCACTCATTCCGATTTGACCAAATCTTCGATTCTATTCTCAGACTTACCTGGGAATACCACCGGTCTCACCGACGCATCGTTCTTGTTCCCAACTGTGATACTTAGTCTCAAATAACCGGGATTTCCTAATCGGGAAGTGTGTGCTTACCCAGCACCGGTGGTCAAGTTCACCTTCTCCGCGAGCGTCAGGTTTGACACGAACTCAACAGCGCGTCTGTGTGCTTCGGCCCATTCACCCGCGCCAGTCGACCAAGGTGAAGGGTAGTAAGGGGGAGAGTACGCCAAGTCCTGTCGCGCGACACGGTCAGCATTGAATTCAACAAAAGATGTCGGTCAATAGAGCACTCACTTTGGCACCGGCGACTGACGCCGTCAGGACGACAGCTTCCAACCACCCGAGCTTCATGGTTGCTGGGGTGTGAAAGGCTGGATAGATTCAGGGTCTCACGGAGTGGGAGGACCGAATCGCACAGCTAGGTGAAGGTCGTAGAAGGTTGGCGTGGAACGGAATGTCCCAGTGGGGATCGGACTCGATTTAAATCCTCAATGGATTAGAAAAAAGGGACCGACAGGGATGCCGGTACATGTCGTAATGCTCCATAAAAGAGAAACGGGGAACCTGGAATTGTGGAGAAAGTAGCAGGCGATCGACAAATAGCCGGACCGACGTGAGCACGACGTGACACTCAAGCACGCGTTGTTTGGCACTATTGGGCCTTGGCATCAATTGCACGATTTGATCTGTACACTGTTGTTGGTGGGAGTTCGCCCTAGCGTCCAAATGCAAGAGGCTGGCGATGCGAGGGAGGCCGAATACATAGCCCCCTTTGCCCTGAGATTCAAGGGGAACGGGTACTCGACAACAACTTTAACGCCACCCTAGCACAATAGCAACACAGTACAGGACCCTAACGTAAAACACACTTTAGCATACTGCAAGTAATCTAACATTCCATCCGAGCCTGCCGAGCACGGCTCCCGCCTAAACTTCGGCGCCTTAAGCCATTGCTACCCGCCCGACGTCCGTGCCAATATCTCGTTCTCCGTCAATTCTCCGTTCCAGGAATCTCAGGAACATGGCATTTTATGTAGCTAGAAACTCTCCAGTGTACAGTGTTATTGTCCTCTTCAACTATATCACGTTAATCCATAAGAACCACTCTACTGCAGAATACATCAAAGTCCAGTGGCAAAGCGCGCGGATGGAAAAGAAAGGGCGCAATTTAGAGACTTCCAATTTCGTACAGGTGATCTCCGTCTGACTTGCCCGATGGGGAAACTCCTCATCTTCCGTGGCGAAAAGGACTTTCCAGGTACCCAGATACATAGTTGGCATTCAGAGAAAAAGCTTGGTCCTCTTCGTGGAGTACAATATCGGTAGCAGTGGCACCTAGGTTCCACATGGCTTCTCCTTTTGTCTACCCGATCCACGGTTTCCCGACCAAGCCGTAGTTAGAATCTCTATCCGTTAGTATCACCTATATTGATTTGACGTTCATAAAGAATATTCTCTAAGATATTTAATATTTTCCTGATTGTTAGAGAAATCATTTGAACACTGGGCTCTCAGAATGATGAAATGGCCCCGTCCCAGAGCCAAGCGGCAGCCGGCCGTGGAGATCGGGGTCGCGGGGAGAGTGCGGAGGCTCCAGGCTCCAGAGATGCCGATCCACTCCAGGGTCCCTCTAGTTACTATTGACCTGCAGGATCAGCCCATTCGCGAAAGATGGGTCATTTTCTCGGGTTTTCTTGACCGGGTGCCTCTCTCATCATATCTGAGCCAGATCTGCCCATTTCCGCGCCAAGATCAACCTCGCTCTCCTCCATGTGCGTTTGCTTCCCGTCTCTACACCGCTGTGTGATTCGGCGTCAATGCCGAGTTTTTCCCCCGCACGCCATGGACCGGGATCGGACAACCATTTGCCGACCAATCGTTCCCCATGGGTCCACCAATAAGTGCGACACGATTTTCTTAACGTTTTTTCCACTGTTTTCCCTTAGGAGCACCAGTTTCCACGGTAGATGAACGCCACATTTTAGTGGTGGAAACAGCACAGAATTGTGGTTTTGTGTAACCCATCAGGCACAAGGACGCATCGCCTGTATCTATAAAGTCGATGAAAAACACTGACATATCGCCGTACGGGGACGAAACAGAGTATAATGGAAATACACGCATACTCCACCAAAAGGACAAGAAGATGAAGCAATTATTGCATAAAACTATGAATGTAACCCAAGAAACTATACTTGAAGAGACTGTCCTGGGCCGTACGAGTGTCATAAACACAACTTCTCCTTGTTCCATCGGCTCGGCACCCGTCCGGCCCGACACTGTCCATCGGTGGGGACACCCCAGGCCGGGCTACCCTCCACAAGGTCACTCACTGGCTCTTTTTCCCCCGCGGCCAAATTCAATTGGACTCCAGTTCCTGGAGTGCATAGTCTGGAGATTGCCCAGGGTAGGACCGGGAAAATTATATCAAATCATTTGCCGAATGCCCCCCGGCAAAAACTAAAAAATTTACGCTATGGAAGTGATTTATTATGGAGAATGAGCCGATCCCTGCCCGATTTTCTCATATCTTGCTCGGCTTCTGCACTTGACCCTGCCTTTTTCCCGGCTAATTCTCGGTAAACAGGTCCGTGTCCGCGACTCCACTGGAGAAGGGATGATCTAAATACAAAATCTTTATCCGGCGTCATCATGGGTGGCTTAGACAACGACACCAAGGCAATGTCCCAGGAGTCAGATACCTTTTCAATGTTTCAGTTTTAGTTTATGTTGCATCGGACTATACTGTGGTCAGATCATTCGAATCAGGATTCCAAGGTGTGTCTAATTTCTGCAAGTTTCGTGCGGCTATGCGGACCGACTATCCGCGTTCCATTCATAATCCGGGAGATCCATACTCAATGAGATTCCAACTTTAGAAAGTCAAGCTACAGGGCTATTCTTACTGCGCAGGTCATATATAGACCTGCCCCTTACTACCACTTCATGTCTCTCTCACGCGTTGTCGGGATTATCACGTGATACCAACTGTGAATGTCACTACTGAAACATGATTGGCTAGAGACCTGCAAAAACTATGGCATCTAGATTTCGTAAAGATGTAGAATGCATCGTCCCCGGTTTGATTATCTACCCTACCTAGGTATAATTCAAAATGCCTGACCTCGAGGCTAACTCTCCCTCGTCTACTCCCGACCACCAACGCCATGACTCCAAATCAATTGTCAATGACAAAGACGCTGGAGGGGGTGACAGCCATGAGACCAAGCACATGTCCGCATTCAAACAACTCGGTATTCTCGACCGCTTTCTCGCCCTCTGGATCTTCTTGGCCATGGCAATAGGAATAATTCTCGGGAACTTCGTCCCCAGTACAGGTCTCGCACTGCAGAGGGGAAAGTTTGTCGGCGTGTCCGTACCCATTGGTGAGTTTCCTACACACGAAATGCTATAGTCTATAATCTGATATCTCTGTAGCTGTCGGTTTGCTGGTGATGATGTACCCGATTCTATGCAAAGTGCGATATGAGACTCTACATCGAACATTCCGTGCCAAGAAGCTTTGGATCCAGGTTGCTTTTAGCTTGCTGATGAATTGGATTGTGGCTCCTCTGTTTATGGTATGTTTTTCATCATGGACATCCAGTCAGTGCGTTGGGTAACAAAAGTTGTAGCTGGGCCTGGCGTGGGCGTTTCTTCCCGATGAAAAAGGGTTGAGAGAAGGGTTGATATTGGTGGGGATTGCTCGATGCATTGCCATGGTATGTTTCATTTTCGTTGTAAAGACATCTTCGGCTAATCTAAATAGGTCCTAATTTGGACAGGTCTTGCCGGCGGAGATGGAGAGTACTGCGCGATCCTCGTGGCGATCAACTCTGTCTTGCAAATGATTCTCTTTGCACCGATGGCCATCTTCTTCATCCAAATTATCAGCGGTGCAGATAATCCGGGACTGCAGTATTCCTTGGCAGCCAAGAGTGTTGGCGTCTTTCTCGGAATTCCACTCGGCGCAGCCATTGTGACCCGGTTCGGACTGCGCAGCTTGGCTGGGAGCAAATGGTATCAAGAGAAGTTTCTGACATGGATCAGTCCACTGTCACTGATCGGCCTGCTCTTTACAATCCTGATCTTGTTTGCTTCGCAAGGCCGGCACGTGGTGCATCAGATTGTGTCAGTGATTCGGGTGGCCGCTCCGCTGATCGTTTATTTTGCCGTGATATTTCTGGTGACGCTGTTGGTGACACGGAAACTTGGCTTTGGGTATGAGCTTTCCTGTACCCAGAGTTTTACTGCTGCGAGCAACAACTTTGAGTTGGCGATTGCTGTGGCCATAGCGACATTCGGCGTCGATAGTGACCAAGCTTTGGCGGCCACTGTCGGGCCTCTGGTGGAGGTCCCCGTGTTGCTGGGGCTGGTGTATGTAGTCAAGTGGTTTGGCAAGCGACAAAATTGGTAGTGTGGCAATATTGCCGCAAAGCGATAAATCAAATGTTGTTGCTGATTTCATCCAGAACTTGGAATAATACTTGATTTTGTACTCGACAGCCGTCGCCGGGGTTTCCTGATCTAAATCCAGACCAAAGTCTCCGCCGTATCTCTTCTATATCAGCCCCGCGCGTGTTGTACTGGTTGACAAGTTCATCCGCGATCGCACACATAGTTGTATTCAGCACATCGTCATCAGATGCCCCGGGCCAGGTGATTGAGCCCGCTTGCCCCGACCCCGGCGGGCAGCATAGAGGAGGATCTGGACTCTGTAGTTTTTGTGGAAGAGGCCGCTCTTTTGGTTGTGCCTCGGTCAAAGTGCAAGCATCATGAGTCACGGGTGGGCTTTCAATTTCTATTCGATCACCGCTAGGAGAATGAGATAGGGTTGAAGAATGTGAGGCAGACGAGAGAGCAGCTGGCTCGTTTGGACGTTGCACGGCAGGAATTGCAACCTTGCGAGCCGCAGACGAGCCCTGGTCAGCCACATCCACATATTGCTGGACGAGCTCAGCGGAAATCCCCAACGACCCCAACAAAGTCCTGAGGTTCTGGTTCTCAGCGTGCATTTTTTGCAGGGCTAGCCGGTACTCGATATCCTTCTGCCGCGCTTGCTTTTTACACGCTGCCAGCTGCTGCTCAAGGTCTTGGATATGCTCCTGCTTCCGAGCACGACTTTTGCGCTGGTTTTCGCGCACTCGCGCCAGGCGGTCAAGATCCTGCTAAAGCAGTCAGACATTCGTTTCTTGGGGTGAACTGCGACAGCAGGCACCGACCTTCTGGCTCTTCTCGTCCATTGCGACTGCACTCCGGCAGAATCCTTCTGGGAAGTCGAGAGCTGCTACGCGTCCCGATAGGAAATGAAACTAGCATGATTGTCTTCTGCAGAAGATTTCCAGACTATCCAAATGGTCCATCAAGTCACGTGCTACGTTCTCTATGTCGGAGTACGTAATATAGGGGCCAATCAGCGGTGAAAATAACTCCGTGTCCCGTCACACTCCATCGTGGTCGCAATGGCTGCGCGGCTGTTCGTTCCGTTAATTTTTCGACTTTGGTTGGCTGGGGTGTAGCAGCCCGCTCGGTCGGGCCTCTCCTGGAGGCATCTCGCCCTCGCTGGGAGGTCGCTAGAGTTGTTTTTCAATTAGCAGGCGAGCTGGTCAACCTTGTTCCTACGAGGTCCAAACAGGCCTCATAATCTCTCACCATTCCCCGATCGTAACTAGAGAAACGCATGATGCCCCTGGTGATTTCCAGTATTTCTATAATGTTACGTAATTTATCTTGGCATCCCCGCCTTTCTATTATTCTGTGAGAGAGGAAGTTGAGTTTGAGGCTCACTTTCAGTCTTCACTTTGGTACAACTTGTGCAGCGCCTTGTCAAGGTTAATTCATCAATACTCCCATTTTCTTCGCGGATGCCGCCAATATGGGGACTAGCAGGCGGTCGATACGGACGGAACATACAGATCGAGTCCTCATTGCTAAATACCGCCGAAATCACAAGATGCAGGCCTGCGAACCATGCCGAAAGTCGAAAGTTTCGTGCGATCACAGCATCCCTTGCGGTAGATGTGTACGGAGACGCTGTGTTGAGGAATGCTATTATCACCCGAGCCCTCTTACGCGCGTAAGCAACCGAAACGTTCCATCCTTGCATTAACGTGGGAGGTGTGGCCGTTCATGTGTCCCACTGACATCAACCGTCTCGCCAGAGCCGACAAAAAGTCATTACGACTGCGGCAGCAGCACAAAGCGTCCTGGCACCATCGGAGCTAAACAGCTCTGTTTCTAGCTCAATTGAGCAACCTCGCGTAGGAAATGATGCAGATGTTGTTGCCGCTTCGCAAAGGTACAGCCAGAGAGCGAGTTTAGCACTACTACATCGTGCAGGTTCAGCACCACCATTATCCGACCTTACTGAGATCTCACCAGGAAAGCACGGGTTCCTCGGCTTTACCTCGCACGCCTCTATCATGACAGAGAACTTGACACAACTCGGTATACCTTCTATCGGCCTGGAAGGAGCCACGGCTGTCTGTAAGAAACCCATTTCGTATGAAAGGATCGCCAGGGGTTGTCAGGCTCTTTCCTTCTTGCAGAACAGGGCGATCATAGATCGTGGCATCGACTTATTTTTCGAGTCTATTGAATGTATCCATATTCACTGCGGCGAGTTCATCGTGAAGCAATGGCTCTCACAACTGTGGTCTGCTCATGGCGAGACATTGTCAAGTCAAGACCCCGAGCAGATACAGCAGCTATGTCATTTACTCTGTGAAAATACGGCGACGCCGCTGGCGTTTGATGGTAGCACCACGGCAAGGCAGTGGATTTGCTCTGCCACGGGCGAACACATACGCTGGGGAGTAATCGCCATGATTGCCAACTACGTGGGATCATATGTGATGGTAACGAAATCGTCGGATCCGTTTTTCCAGGAGTTTAACGTGGATCGTAAATCATTGTTGAACCATACGGCCGAAGTTTCAGACGCATGTATCGAATTTTGCCGAGAACGTGGCGCTTTGGATGATACGTTCATATGCGCGCTTTTTGAGCACTACAACATTACCGAATATACCAAGGGAGAAACGTGTTATGCAACATACTGTATTGGTGCTGAAGTGAACAGTGCCCTCATTGCGATGGGTCTTCACCAGGAGATCAAAGCCGACAGTCAAGTTCCTTTTTTCCTCGCTGAACTGCGCAAACGACTCCGTGCATTGGTCTACACAGCAGAGATCAGCATAGCCACGTTCCTGGGTCGGCCACCGCGACTTTTATATCGTTATATGAACTTAGACCCGCCGCTAGATCTGACAGACTCGCAATTGTTTTCGGAAGATCCACAGGAACTGGCGGTCGCCATTGCTCAGCTGGATGAGCATGGTTACAATAGAGATGGAGAGTTTCGCCATGCCTCTTTGATAAGGTCTTATATTGGCTTCATGGTAAGAAGAGAGGAGATCCTAGAGCTGTCATTAGGGAACTATACTGCAGACGAGGTGCAACGAAACGCAGACGTTATTCAACGCAAAACTGAAGAACATTGGGCGACTCTTCCGCATTTTATGGTGAGCTTAAGAGATGGTATATTTGGGCTTGAGACCCAGGAGGTCATCAAGCTACACTTCCAAAATTTCTTTCGCCAAGGTCCGCAGGCGAACTCACTTCTACTGCACCGTGTACTCATGCGCAAAGCGGGTACGGGTCCCGCGGAATTAATACATACGGCACAGACCATCCTGAGTGACGTGATGCGGCTGTATAAAGTTGTCGAAATGTCGGCAGCAAAGACTTTCATCTACTTCCTTGCAGTACATGGACTGCGCAGCGCGGTGATACTGGCAATTGAACTCCTAAAACAGGAGCAGCTCCCGGCGTATCCTAAAACGCCGGCTCTGTCTCGAAGCAAGACGATCCAAGATCTATGTATCTTCACAGACAAGCTTAGCGACTTGGATACAATGTTTGGAGATAGAGAGCTTTGCGAAAAGGGCCGAAAGTTGGTTTCTCGGGTTCTTGATAAGATCCTGAGCCCTCCGAACACCGCGGATCGAGATTGTCATCATTATCCGATGCCAACACAGCAACCCGGTACAAAAATGTTGGCTAACGATATGCTGCACAACACGCATGTGCCCGGGAGCTATGGGATGACGGATGACTTCAGTTATGAATCTAGTGCGCATGTCTCTAGTTCAGATCATGAATTCTGGCTATGGCTGGAGAACATTGATGGTCAGGGCTGGGATCCTGTAGCGTAGAATTTTATCTGATTTCTCATGCCAACAAGACCTGTCATTGGCTCGTGGATTTCCCGCTGAAGATTGGTAGTGGCTATCTCAAATTACACTTGAATACTGAAGACGGCCGAGGCCACCCATCCGTCAAAAGGCCAACTCCCTTGACTAGATAAAACAACAATAGTAGGGCTGTTCTTTAGGTAACCTGAGGATGAGGCTTATCCTGGCTAATGGACAAGTCATGCCTGCTGCCGGAGGCTACTATGAGGCGTCTTTTCGGTGATTGGAAACGTAGCTGTTGAGTCAACGGTGGATAGTGAACAGAAACAAAAGCGAGCCGTGATATGAGGGGCATTCTGACTTTTCCCCCTCAGATATTCTTCAACGTATACTGTACCACCCAGTATAAGAACAAGACAGGCCGAAGACACTATGAGAACCACCTGCTACCTGTTCCTCTGGGTAAAAAGGATGCTGACGAGTCCTGCACCCAACAAGCAATAATGAGTTGTTATCCCGCTTTGGCCATCATGGACATGAATTGCACAGTTCACGAGCTCCTACCGCACGAACCATGCAGTACATACATGGTGGTGGATATCAATATGCTTGAGCTTTGTTCTGAATAGTGAATTAACCTTAGTGAGAAGGTCAACCGTTTGGTTATTATCACACAGAACTGAAAGCTTTTGGTCAATATCTAGGCCGATTGACCTAAATATGTGCTTCCACCAGAGAATATGCTTACTAGCCGATGAAATAGCTAGTAATTCAGCTTCGGTAGTGCTTGTTGTGACAGGTTTTTTGCTTCCTAGCCTGCCAGTCAATAGGGCCATTGAATAGCTTTGCAATTTAGCCCTCGGAGCTTTTGCGGTCTGAATTATCCGCAAATGAGGCATCAGATGCTAGGGGAAATGCCGGGGCATTAGGTAGGGTTGGGCTATACTCAATAGCATAGAAGCGCGTGCTATAGAGGTAAGTAATAGCCCTATCCACAGTAGCCATGTGCTCAGGCGAAGGGTTGGTCAGAAATTCTGAGAGATATTGGGCTGTTTTAGCGATATCTGGTCTCGTCATAATGGCTGCCTATAGTAATGACCCATTTTTCTCCTGGAATTGGTGAATAAAGGAGTGGGATGCTTGATGTTTGGTTCTTTCAGTTCAATAGCTTCATTTCGGTGCTTTTGATGGTAGATGATAAGTATATCATCTAGGAAGATCATAAGCGCTAGATGAGCGTAGCTAAGTAATCGGTTTATACGGCTAGAAAAGGAAGGTCTTGGCATAATTATAAATTTGCGGGGGACCGCACAGGGGACCGCAAAAGACCGCGAGGGACTGTGGTGCGGTCCTGACACTTTGAAAAAGACCAAAGGCCGCATGCTCCGGTCCCGGTCCTTGCTCTACCAGAGTCTCCTCCGGACGGAACCTAAATCATCATCCCATAATCTATACCCCTGCTCCCAGACATTATATATAGAGGGAAACATAGCCCTTTTGCTGAGGGAATGCACGGGGAACAGTTTTGCCAACCTTGTTATATGCTCGGGGGCAAAAACATTCGCGAATCCCAGATCCTCAGGGTAGATTTGAGCTCCATGGCGCAATAATACTTCCATGATGCCGATATGACGTTGAACAATTGCTTTGCCGATTGCACTTTCTAGGAGGAGGGTCACGATCGCCTCTTGGCCGTGTTCAATTGCTTTCAGGAAAACTTTTTCTTGATCGAAGCCTTTATCCAACAGCATCTGGAATATTTCCGTTTCGCCAACCTCTGCTGCAAGCTCTAAGATATTGATCTGGCATTTGTCGGTTCCACGCTTGGCGAGGAGCATATCTAGTGATTTCTTGTTGCGGTGCAAAATAGCTTCACGTAAATGTTTATCATCGACGTTGGCACCGTGAGCCAAAAGCGCCTTGATGACCTCTTCATGGCCTTTCTCAAGTGCTAAGTTTAGAGGAGTCTTCCAGAGAGAAGGGAACCCCGTTTTGAGATTCACGTCGGAGCCATTGACAAGTAAAAAATTCACCAAAGCTAAATGGCCATATCTAGCTGCCACCGATAATGCTGTTGATTCGTGCCCTCCTGCTCCATATGGATTTAAAGCCTTCCTGGGAGCATATCGTTCAATGTACTTATAGTTGATGTCTGCCCCATAACCAAGGAGCATTAATGCTAGGGCTATATTCCCAGATACAGCGGCAAATGGAAGGGATGAAGAAGCATAGTCGTGTGGGTTTGGAGAATAAGACAATAAATATTCGACCACGTGCGTTTGTCCTCTTAATGCAGCCTCTTTGATAGGAGCAAAGGTGAATTTAGTGTCATTATCCATGAGGAGTGTCGACATACTTCTATTAAGAAGGACCTTGATGACCGAGAGAAACCCGTTTTTCGCCGCTAGATGTATAGGTGTTTCACCGAGATTATTCTCAAAGTCTAGTCCCGAGCCCCTGTTTAGAAGATACTTAACAAGCTCCGAATGCCTATATTCCGCAGCACGAAAGATTGGGTGCTCCAAACGACATGAACATGGGGCCCATGGTGGAAACTCAGGCTCTGGTGGGTGTTCCTCCTCATGGATAGGTCGGTCTCTCACAAGGTATCCCTCTTTGATGAATTGGGCCACCGCAGGGATTGATCCTAGCTTAGCTGCCTGGAGAATGCCAGCCCCGTTCTGATGATGAAAGTTGTGTCGATACAAGAGGGGCTTCAGTAGATGATAGAAACGGCGGCTAACTTGCACCAGCGCGTAAATATCTTGTTGCGATTGTAATTGCTGCCCAATTAGGAGTATGACCTCGTTCGATACGGTCAAAATGAACATTTTGAATAAGATTTGGGCACGGTTCGTATGATAACGGATGGGCTCGGTGTTATTTTATCCGCTACCCGGGATGTGGGCGTTGACAATTGACATATATGTAAGGGGAAGAATCAGTGTTGCGTGGGCTGAGGCTTGTGGGTGAAACTAGGCCTCACCAAAACCGCCCACCGCCCAAACCCGCCCACGAAAACCCACCCCCCGGGGGCCGGGTAGGCCATTAACCCCACCGAAGTCTCAGTATGGCCCTACTGACCTGTAATCACATCATCTAACTAGTTAAATGAAAGTCTTCCAGGTTCGAGCTAGAAAGTTTTCCGGGGTGTTCTTGATATAGGATGGAATGTGGCTGGTGCAGTCCGTGCAGCCCAGTTGCGCAAGGGGAAAGGGGGGAAATTACGCCGATTGGATATAGTCCGGGGCAGCACAAGCCCAGCCGTGGGGTAAAGTACCGGGATCTCTCACCAAGGGAGTACAACATGTACACCTCGGGACTCGAGACTCGAGAATCGGCCTGAATTAGGCCAATAAGCAGCGGTGCGCAGGAAGGCAAATCTTCGCCCAAAGCGTGTGCGCACCTGCATATTTCGCCCGCAAACAGCAGACCCCGACGTCACTGGCCGTAACTGGCATGCCAGCCATTTCCCCAATATGATGCTAGCGCCTTTCTACTTTCCTTCTCTGCATTCTCCATATATCCAAACACGCGATCGCGATCGCGCGACTTTCATCTTTACGATTCATTCACTTCATCCCACCTGAACGGTACCTTGCCCATCATGGTCTCCACGCGACACCATCCAAGAGAGTTTCCCTCGCCTGAAAAGGCCGCGAAGGAACTGGTCAAGTCTTCGCCCGCCACCGTGACCAACGGCACCTCGCGCAAATGGGTCCATACCCCGTCCGTCGCGCTCACGATCTGGCTTTTTGTCTCGGTGCCACTGGTCGCGTGGGATGCAGGCTACGTTCTGTTGCGCCCGCATAGCATGCCTGGCGGCCGGCTGCACTCGCCCATCTGGACCCCATATGCGCTTTACGGCACAGTCGACTACATCTACGGCTGGCCCGCCTACAATGCGCGCAATGGTTTCACCGCCGCGCAGACCGTGATGAACCTGGTTGAGACCGTCGGCTACCTCTACTACTTGTGGATTGTGTACTGCTACGGATCCACGGTCGCGAGCGGTCGCGGTGCGCGCAAGAGCCAGAAGGGCCTCGTGTGGATGTTGACCGGTGAAAAGGTCGTCGCTGGCCGCACGGGCGCAATCGCGCTCCTGGTCGCGTATACTGCGTCGGCCCTGACCCTCAGCAAGACCGTGCTTTACTGTATGTCGCATGTTTTCTACCCTGTCGCAAACGTATGCGCTAACTGATTTAGGGCTCAATGAGTTCTTCTCGGGCTTCGACAATATCGGCCACAATGACCTGTCGGCTCTGATCTTCCTGTGGATCATTCCCAAGTGAGTTTGGCCTAACACATCTTTTCAGAAGTCCCTTGGCTAACAGAGCTGTCGCAGTGGCCTCTGGATCGTTTTCCCTACCTACAACATGTACGGTCTCGGTGTGGAAATCCTGAATGCACTCGAGCAGGCGACACCGCGCGGAAAGCCTGGCCGCCCGAAATCCTCATAGGACCGATCCTTGCCGAGTAGCTGCAAATGTGCGGCAATTGTGATATTGGAAGACACTGGATGAGTAAATGGCAGAGCATTGTGCTTATGATATTTAGAGTCGCGAGTATAGGGTTTGCGGAGAGTGCTGTTGTTTAATGTGCTACGAAGTGATACATGGGATTCCACCATTCAAGTTTTTGGGGCCCAGGGTCACCCCTGTTCATTGTTCTGTATGTTTTTCTCGGAATTATTGCTATTCCGAGCATTAATCCACCGATCGATTGTCCTACAGCGATATTTCGGCCCGAACAGGACCACATGCAGGGAAGCTTGGCGGGTAGGGGTTAACGCTAACAGAGGAATATCGATACCGCCATAGTCTACATATAAGAGCCTCAAGCTTCTCCATAGCTTTGAGAAGATCATATTTAATGACTAACATCCGCTCCAGAAATAAAAGCTTGAGCTCGAGCTTGTGGAGTGAACCGTGGAGTGAACCGTGGAGACCGATGTGATCATAGCCGGGCTCGGATAGACAGGTGTAACCTGAGCGTGTCGATTCCGTGGACCCTTGCACTGCTGCTGTTTCGCGCCTACAATGTGGTCGGGCGAGTAGTCTGTGGCTGGAATTACCGGCTAGTTCATTTATCATTCTCGTCGTGATGGAAGCGTAGCTCTGTAACCTCTGCGCCGCTAGTGGATGCTCGTGCCAAGCCGCCATTCGCCGCGCAACTTTCCCCATATTCATTCTCCTCACTGTTCCTCCACCCCGACCTTGCCTGCCTCAACGGCCCTGCGTCCGATCTTTTATTACCGCCAACCTCCAGGCTTTGCTGTTGCCTGGGACTCTTTCCTCTATCCTCTCGACCGCGCCGAACGATGCTTCGGGCTTGGGTCCTGGGGTACCCGCACCCGTCATGATCCCTCCCGACTCCGACGATTCGCCATTGAGAGCCTCTGGTGCTAGCCTCGGCTTGGGCCAGGAGGATTCGGCGGCGTTTCCAGATGATTTCGATACGCAAAGTCATACAAGCTCCCACGACCGCGGTAGCACACACACCGGCGACCCCGCAAATGGCCCCGACAACGGCGGGCAAGATGGCCATCACCACACAAACCACAACGATGCCAGTGAAGCCCCAGATTCGGCAAACGCCGATAATGAAAATGACGACAAGCCGGCCTGGAGTGAAATGAAGACCAAGGCTGGGAAAGAAAGGAAGCGGCTTCCGCTAGCCTGCATCGCCTGTCGCCGAAAGAAAATCCGATGCTCGGGCGAGAAGCCCGCTTGCAAGCACTGTACTCGCTCGAGAATACCTTGCGTATATAAAGTAACCACGAGGAAAGCGGCGCCGCGGACGGATTATATGGCCATGCTGGACAAGCGACTCAAGAGAATGGAAGATCGCGTGATCAAGACGATCCCTAAAGATGAGACCAGGGATATGGCTTCGATTGGCAGGTCGGTTGTCAAGCCCCCCAGCCAATCACTGCCCTCCAAGGCTCAGAAGAAACGAAGTGCGGAGGAAGCTTTCGCTACGGAGATGGAGGATTGGGCTCGAGGGGACCGCCGTCCACCCCATGAGACATTCCCAATGAGTCGCGAAGTTAAATTAAGTGATGGCACGGGACTTTTAACTGAAGGCGCAGAGTTCTTGCCCTCTCTGGAGATACAGGAGCACCTGGCCGAGGTCTTCTTTGATTGCGTTTATGGGCAGTCGTACCTCGTTTTACATAAACCAAGCTTCATGCGCCGCCTCAAGGCTGGTACGATTCCCCCGGTCCTTATTCTCGCTGTCTGCGCCGTATCAACACGATTTTCAACTCATCCACAGCTCAGCTCGGATCCTCCGTTCTTGCGCGGAGAGAACTGGGCCAACCCCGCCGCCGCCATCGCGCTAAGTCGACATGATGAGCCCAATATTACTATCCTCACAGTTTTTCTACTCCTTGGACTTCATGAGTTTGGAACGTGTCACGGTGGAAGAAGCTGGTCCTTTGGAGGGCAGGCATTGAGGATGGCATACGCCTTGCAGCTTCACCAAGAGCTCGAACGTGATCCTTTAATGGGTCAAAATAATAGCAACTCCCAGTTGAGCTTCACAGACCGCGAAATCCGACGGCGAACTATGTGGGCCTGTTATTTGATGGATCGCTACAACTCCTCCGGAAGCCAGCGCCCACCCATTGGAAATGAGAAGTTTCTTAATATTCAACTTCCCATTAAGGAGACGCATTTCCAAATGGAGATCCCAGGACCTACGGAAGACCTGGGTGGGGCGATACCTAATCCTGCACCTGGAAATTCCGGTCAACTTTCCAATGCCAAGGAGAACATGGGAGTATCAGCATACATCATTCGCGCCATCGTCATTTGGGGTCGTATTGTCGACTACTTGAATCTCGGAGGGAAACGAAAGGATCCTCATCCCCTCTGGCACCCGGAGTCGGAATACACGCGTCTGAAGTGGCAGGTTGATGATTTCTCTACCTCGCTACCAAGCTCTCTTGCGTTCAACTACGAAAATCTCCAGATTCACGCCGCGGAGAAAATTGCAAATCAATTCCTGTTTCTTCACATCATCATCCATCAGAATATGCTATTCCTGAACCAGTTCGCCATTCCCCTTTCGCCTGGAGGGCGACCTCCTCGGGATATGCCCAAGGCGTTCCTCAGCAACGCTGGTCGAGCAGCGGTGGAGGCTGCGCATAATATCTCCGTGCTCTTTGACCGTGCCTCTGCCTATCCTCTCACAGTACCGTTTGCTGGTTACTGTGCCTACACGGCCAGTACGGTTCATATCTGGGGTATCTTCTCCAAGAACGTGCAGTTGGAGGCTCGATCAAAGGAGAATCTCCGCCATACCTACCGCTACCTCAACAAGATGAAGAAGTACTGGGGCATGTTCCATTACATGGTGGAGAGCGCCAAAGACCGGTACCGGCAGTTCGCTGATGCAGCTATCAAGGGAACTGTGGCGAGCCAGAATGGCATCTCACTGGCACCGATGTTCCAGTACGGTGATTGGTTTGACAAGTATCCCCACGGCGTGTCGAGACTACACTGGGAAGACCCAGACACCCGGCACAAGGAGACGGGCGATGATGCCGTCATGGGGCAGAAGCCCGATCTCCAAAGTGTCGAGGACTTTTTCGCCAGTCTATCCCCAACACCACAGCCAGTCGTACCTCGCAGGTCACGCTCGCGCAAAAACAGCAAACTACCCGGCGGCACTCCCAAAATGGACCAAACCTCCCCGACACAAATGGACGTGACAATGGGAAACACCCCAGGCGTACCGGGCAGCGCATTCCCTCAACCCTCAATGATCTCCCAGAACCGCTCCGTGCCCTTCGGCCAACCCCCCTTCGACTTCAGTATTCCCCCAGACCAATTACCCCAGCTCGACCGACAATTTGTCTACGGTTCATTTAACGACTTTGATCCCACTTCCTTCGACCCCAACGATCCTTCCATGCCACCCGTCAACGATATCGAGCAGAGTTCCGACCAGTCCCTTTTCACTGGTCAATTGGATCCAGGTGCCCCGGCTGGAATGGGCGAGTTCTACCAGCCTAGCGCGTGGTTCTTACCTTTCAACCTAGACCCAGTCGGCGGAGTCAACCCACCTCTAGGCCCTGATTCAGGCGCTCAACCACCCGCAGGCCCAACGTCAGCTTCCGTTCCGGGTGCAGGCACCGATATTTCCGGCTTTGGCGGGGCAGGAAACATGTCGTTGAGTGCTTATGACCTGGGTCTCGGCGGTGATATGGGCCAGAACTCGCGATAGGCGTGCGTGCCTCATGCCTCATGCCTTACGACCTAGGCGCGGTGTTTTATAGTTGTTTCTGTTGGCAGTGCTTGGATGGGTTCAATGACTGGCGGTTTTTTTCTTTTTACTTTGTTTTTTGTCAAAAGCCCGGAGTAGTGCGTTTTTTTGTTTGCCCACATTTGTCTCGACTTGTATATCCGTGACTTGTATATCCTTAGCCCTCTGGGATGATCCGTTTGAATGAAGTGTACTAATGGTTCGACTTGACTGCAATGCAAACTTGTTTGGTCTGAACTCTCCCCCCGGCTTTGGCCTTAGAAAGGATATGTAATTAATCCGAGTCTCCTGGAAATTGCCCAGGGTGTGACAATATACTTATATACCTACGTAGTGGATAACCTCTGGGTGGCACACTTTGAAGAAGCATAGTTAAACCCCAAAATGGGAGGTGGCTGTTCATCCATCCTTATGAAAAGAACATTATGCTCAATGTTGAAGATGAATCAATTCTTGTCGATTTCGAGGAGGCCAAGATATCCAATCCAAGTCTGCAGAAAGTGGTCGGGAACCGAGCAATTTATTGTTCGCGAAAGCTCGGGATCCCCAAGGTACATGGCCGTCCCATACTATCTGACTTTAGCGAGGCTCGCTTTGGGTCGATATCACGTACATATTGCGATGATGTACAGCCATTCATGTATAGGGCTCCGGAGGTACTATTTCACATGCCCTGGGATCATAAAATCGATATTTGGAACCTTTGAGTAGTGGTATGTGCATTCAATGTCTCCTGCCTATATCTACTACTCGTATTTATCGTTACCTATGCAGGCTTGGGACCTTTTCGAACGAGGACACCTTTTTTACACCCCAACGCTAAGTGACGGTAAATTGGGCGCCGAAAACGGCTACATTTGACGCCATTTTAAGCGTCCTATTTACCAAATTATTAGTCATCGAAACATCACGTGGTTTATTTCGACCCACTTTTATAGTGTGCTCCCTGAGTGCTCACTGAGTGCTCACTGAGTGCTCAGGGAGCGCTCCCATGAGCACTCATGGTTGCTCAAGGATCAGCTCACCCTTCACTCAGGGTGCTCAGGGCAGACAATCAGGCATGTCGTCATGGCCTGCCCTCTCTGTCATCCGTATGTAGCCGGTCATTACAAAAATAGAAAGGCTCTTTTGTTAGGTGCTGAACCACCTCAAGCCGTCTTTTCTAATATTTAAAGAGTCTTTCCCCCGTCAATGTCAATTCTCAGCTCATTTTCAATGAAAGTCGTCCTAAGGATTCCAATTGCTATCATATCTACTTAAACACCAGCTTTCCCCTGGATCTCAGTCATTACCGCTTTCTTCCCTATTCTCTTCCTTAACCGTGGCCTCAATCCTTTTCTTCTTCTTCTTCTTCTTCTTCTTCTTCTGCTCCTTTTGATTGAGGCTGTTTCTAAGAAAGCCATGTCCATTCTTGACTTGCCTGCGATCAAGAAGAAGCAAGCGCCTAACCCCGAGTATTATCGGCGACGTCGTCAACAACTTGAGAAAGGTATCGTTCAAAGACGATATGCTGTCTCAACCAAGAACAATATTGATTATATCAAAAGACGGTGGCGCAGGTAATTCTCTTTTCAAAATACAACCTTAGGGTGAGGCTGATAGATTCAGATATTGCGAATACTTAAAGGAAGATCCTCTTCAGTTCCTCGTTGCGGCACGGAAAGAGGATATCATGATCTTTCTGGAATGGATACTTGACAACTCCAATATTAAGAAGTTTAGCAGCCTACACGAACTCTGGAGGCAATGGTGCTAGCTCTATCGCAAAGCTGTTGGACGTAGTCTTTATGCAAAGTGCTGCTAGGACATCAATGATGTAGGTACTTAATGTCTTCCTATTATTTTCACTCTCTAACAAAATAGCGGCAGTATATAAAAGAGAATCTAGTCACACGTTACAATCTTGATATGTCTGTTGGAGAAACCCGTTATAAACGTTGACGATTTATATCTTGTCCTCTACCATCATTGGATAAAAGATATAACACCCTACCCTGATTGCCGATAAATAATCTAGCTCGCCTTCCTCCTTTTCGTATCGGCTTATACTATAAGTCGACTAGGAGCACTGGTGTATGTTGAAAAGAACGAGCGTACTAATGTTTAGCACTTTTTTAGCAATGCGGAAGATCAAGAGGAGGAATATGAAGATGATTGGGACCTTAGGTATGAGGATCTCAAAACTCTTTGTTACGGCCAGATCAGCTTGATCCTGCTACTAAACCCTGGAGGCAAGCGTGACCACCTTGTCATGGAAATTGACTTGAAGCATACTAAGGGCCATCAAGGCAGACCGAAAAAGTGATATATCCTCCAAGACATTGCATTTGCTTAATTGAACTGACCATGCCTAAAAGGAAAATATTCTTAATATCTGAAGTGAAGCAGCCTGTCTTCGACGTTATAGTTCTTGTGCTTGTAATGGCGATTCTTGACGACGCCTTTTTAGTAAATATTCGTTCGGTCGAGGATATTTTCAAGACTCGTGTATCTTTATCGCGTCGATCCTTGTAGACCTCGGCAAGGACCGGGTCCGGTCCTAAAAGTTAGGACCGGGACCGGACCATGCGGTCTTTGGTCTTTTTTCAAAGTAGTCAGGACCGCACCACGGTCCCCCGCGGTCCTTTGCGGTCCCCCGTGCGGTCCCCCGCAAATTCATAATTATGCCAAGACCTTCCTTTTCTGGCCGTATAAACCGATTATTCAGCTGCGTTTTTTACTGTTATTAAACACTGTTTTGGTATATACGCGAATACTAATAATAAATCAGGTCTACCAATTAACAAAATAGGTGAAATCACCTCGTATTTATTTTCTTGAAGCTTCGTATTAAGTTAATTACTAATGAAGTTTGAATTTCGGATCGTTGTGGTAAGTATTTTAGAATATACTTGTGAGAATGCGAAGATATATATTTTATGGTAGGAGGACACATACGTTTACAAGTGTCGTGTCTACTACTATCCCCACTATATTTCTGACGGCCGTCAGAATTAAGGCTATCTACGGCATAGAAACTGGTGATATCCCTACTAGTTTTTCTGACGGCCGTTAGAAGCTACGGCCTAGAAACTGTTGATACTCCTACTAGATTTCTGACGGCTGTCAGAAAAGAAACTAGTCAGTGCGGATTGGGTTGCTTGTGGGTTCTAATAAGTTCTGACGGTCTTTGCGGTCCTTATGCGGTCCTTATGCGGTCTTTGCGGTCTCCTAGCGGTCCCTGCGGTCTTAGACCGCAGGGATTATAGCGGGGTAGGTTTTATCAGCCAATCACGGTCTATAATTTAGTTCGTTCTATCTCAAATTATTTACCTATCACTTTCTTCAGTATTGGTACCCCCTATTATTTCTTTGTCTAGATAAAAAGAGAATTGTATGTCTTTCCTATAACTCTCAAGCCCTACTACCTACCTTCTCTTTCATATTATTTATCAATATGTCATAGAGCCACGCATCCCAATTCTCCGATAACTATCCCTTATCCATCTTTGAAGATAACCCTGTGGATGCACTCTCCTTCCTTATATCTGATGGGCCGTTTAACCTAGACGGACACGAAACACCAACCTCTACTCTAAGTGTGACTTTCACACGGCCAGTAGTACCTATCCTGATTCCAGAAACCCTTGAGCGTGTTGGGCTATGTGGCGGGAAGAAGTATATCCTTTGGATAGAGATGTTTAACGAAGATTTTGTCGCCTGGTGGTTAAAAACTGAGTACGGAAGTGTAACAAAACGAAATATCTTTGAGGGTAAACGACAGGTAGGCTCTTGGGAGCACTTCCACTAGGTTGCTACGATCTCTGATGGATCCCCTAAGGTGATATATAAGCAGTGTGATCATATCCTTGCTTATCCTGCCGACCGGCACCGGGGAACGTCTACTATGAATAGGCATTTCTTACAGGCCGCTACCTGTCAAAAGCGAAAGACTAAAATATATGATATCAGAAAGATGATCTCGAATGGGGTATGAATATTATCTATATAGCTCATTTTATACTAACTAAGATGATTATTTCTAGGCAAACCTTCCGTCTCGCAAAAAGGTCTTTTCACTAGGAGCTTGGATGGATAGGTTAACTACCTTTATTGTTGCTTTACGCCTACCATTTCAGCTCGTTGAGCACCCTGAATTTCGCGCCCTTATCGAAATAGCTTCGTCTGCCCCAACTATCCCTGAAATTCCTGGTGCTAGGACTATCCGTCGGCATCTTTAGGAGATAGTCAGGGAACGTCAGGATTCTCTACTGCAAACATTCCTAGAGGGCGCTAAGCTTTCTATAGCATTAGATTGCTGGACCTCCCCTTTTCGCTAGGCTTTTATGGCAGTCACAGGCTACTTTATTGACCTTGAGTGGAACTACCGTGAGATCTTACTCGGCTTTGAACCTCTACGTGGCTCCTATACAGGCGCTTATCTAAGTAGTGTACTACTTGAGTTACTTGAGAAGCACCAAATTACCAACCGCGTGCTTACGATCACTACTGATAATGCATCGAATAACGATACATTACTGACTACTCTCGAAGAGGCAGTTTCGTCTCTTGAGCTGCCTAGTTATATACCGATTATTCGTATACCATGTATTGCATATGTTATATAGCTCAGTCTCAAGGAGCTCCTTGGTCAGATGGATGCGAACCCATTGAATGATAGGGAAGAGATGGAATGGGCCAATCAGAGATATAGCGCCCGGTAAGAGAACAGACAGATTGTGCAAACCCTGAATAAAGTATATTACCTCCCTCTTTCCACTATTATCTTTCTATCTAATACTAACTATTCATTCTCCTCTAGGTTCGGAAGATTGCAGTCTATATTAATAAAAGCCCCCAGCGCCGCGAGAGCTTTATCGGACTGCAGACAAAAGAACCGAAACTTATACCAATCCAAGATGTCCGAACACGCTGGAATTCCACATTTCTTATGCTTCGGCGCGCACGTCGGCTACAGACTA